AGCTTATCTCTTTTCTATTAGCTATCTATATCTATATACTATATATCCACTATCTTTATATTTATATTTCTACATACTTCTTCTCTATATATATATGCTTTTTACCTTATTCTCTCTTAGCTGTTCTAGCCTATCCTACTATTTTACTGTTATACATACATACTTTATTGATCTTATCTGATCTATAAATTAGTATAAAAGACCATTTCTACTTTACTACATTGGAATTTCTAATTTTACACCTCTATATCGCCTTTTCTAGGCCACTTCAGAATATCAGACCATGTTCATTGTAATGCTCTCAATGAGTACTTTCGTCTAAGCTATTATATGACTACCTTCCTAATTAGGAAATTGAAGTCACGTGCACCTTCTAGACCTCCATGATATCATCATATTTAATTCTGAGCAATTGGACCCCTACATAGCCTGTAATAGCATTGGCCATAATATTACCCTATTTGGTATAGGGTATATTTAAAACTGCTTATGTCAGCAATCCAACAGCACTAGCAGAAACTAGACTTGATCAGGATCACTATGATACTAGTCTCACTTCCTAATATGGCCTAGTTAGGGAGCTAGACCTAGGGCCAAAATCGATGTTGGCGGTAAGTCTGGACCCACCTCTGAAACCTTATTTTTCTATGTGGAGGTACCTACCGCCATGTCTGGAATATGACTTAGTAATCACTTTTCTATTTTGATTTATTCTTCTTTTTAATTATTCTCTTATTTTTATATCCTTTTCTCTATTTCTTCTTTTTGCTTCTTTTCTTAATTTTTTTTTATTTCTTGTTTATCTTATTCTCTCTCTCTATTCTTCTAGTTATAAGAAATAGTAAAAGAAAATATAAAATTAGTTAAATTTGTTATGCCTGTCAAGGTATAGATAAGTTAAGAGATTATTCACAAATTAAAGAATAATTAGATATAAAGAGAGGATAAGCCTATTTATAATACAGTTGAACCTTTCTAAAATAGTCTGCTTTGAAATCAAAGAATGGCAAAGTAGGAGACATGCCTCATAGTAGTGGTAAAGAGGATTTTAGAACAGAATATGATAGAATCTTTTAGAAGATAGAAGTTGACAGAAGGACTAGAGGATTTTAAAAGATTTTATGATATTTTAGAATATAATCTTCAATACTTCTTTTTCTTATTCTTTATGTCTCATCATCTTATTTATCATCTTTTATTTCTAATATTGTATCAGGGATATAGCAAATATAAATTCCCACCATACTGTGCCAGGGGCATTGCAAAACCCCAGATCTCTCATATTTCCTATCTTAGAACACTGTAGAACTGCTGACTCCAATATATTAATATATAGTGGATCCCGTGGCTGGAGTACTTATTGGAGGGTTCCCTCCCAGATAGTTACAAGAAATAAAGCATTCTTTTGGTTTCTAGGTTGCTTCACTGGTATCATTATCATTATATAGAGCAGAGTGAGGCTCCTTCATCATTGTGTTTCCTTTTATTGTTGTATCATTTTCTTGCTAAGATTATTCAGTGCCATGTGGTATAGCAGCATCATCTTGGTATATCTATCCTTGAGATCCCTTGATCACAACCTAGTTCCTGTCACAGGGAACAATACACATACACCCCCTTTATAATACTATTAGTATAGTAGAGGGCCAATCTCTATATTTAACTATAGATTTAAGATTAGTATCCCTTCCTATTAGATAGTTTCCTTTCTTTCTTGAAGAATCAAAGCATATCTCTATAATATAAGACCCTTAGTTTAAGTCTTCTATTCTGCTATATAGGAAGTATTTCATTTAGTTAGTCAAAGTAGGACCACTTATCTTTGATAGTTAAAGAATATTATTACTTTTTTTCCTTTATTATTCTATTTATTATTTTCTCTTCTCTACTAATCTGATATAATTCTACCTGAAGCTCTCTTTAGTTCCTGAATCACAGCCTGTCTTGTACTATAAGACTACATATATACACCTATCTTTTCAATATATATCTTACTTTCATCCTTCTTTACTCTAATACTATATATATTATATATCCTGTTTATCTTAAGTATAAATATATTTTTATTTCCTAGCTTCTATTGAGCTATTTCTATCTACTTGTATCTCTTTCATATATATCATCTACTAAATTTCTAAAGGCCTATAGATATAGGAGTAGGATAGCTCTGATATAATAAAGAGGGATAATATAAGTGGTATTATTTGATAGTAGGTGTAGATAGATATTAAATAAGTTTAGAGTGAGCTCTAGCTTGAATATAAGCCATAAGTATGCCATTAATCTATAGCTTTAATACAATAGATTTTAATCTTAGGATCTGAGTAGTTGGATATAAGATTACTTGTGATAGAGATATATAATATATATTTAATATCTAATAGTCCTTCTACTAATATTATAAGGCTTAATCTTATTTCTCTATAGGTTCATAATATATTTATATACCTAAGGTAGCTATAATACAATACAGAGAGATTATATAAATAATATTATTTAACAGTAGGCTTAGTTAGATATTTAATAGGTTTGGAGTTAGCTTAGGCTCTAGGGATGGCTAGATAAGTATGCCATTAACCCATAGTGTCAATAGGATAGATTTTGACCTTAGAATCTTATACTGATTTCTAGAACTATAACTTATATTCTCACTCTATATTACCTGATCCTTCTCTTTTGGGATATTGATTATATATATCACCCTAGTAGGTGCTCAAGGATCTAAACCTAGAGTCTCCTATAGCTTTTTCTTATATAACCTAATCAATAGTGATACTAGTTGTGGCTATGCTTCTTATATATATTTCTCTGCTATCTTGTATAATTAATTTATTATGAGAATTAAATAATAGTATAGCTCTATTAAATATCTTTATCTTTATTTTATCTCTCTCTATATATTTCTGATCCTTAGATCTATTCCATATGGATTTACTAGACCTGATTTATATATTATATATCACTTTGATTTGATTCTATATTTCTCTTCTATACTAGTTTTATATATTATAGATATCCAATACAATCTTTAGATTATACTACTAGTATAGAACACCAACTTTAATCCTACTATATCTCCTTGTTTAGGCCACTTTAGAAAGTCAGACCTGTAATACTCTCTATAAGGATTTTCATATGAGCTCTTGTATAATTACCTTCCAACTTAGGAAATTAAGGTGATGTGGCTGATCTAGCCTATTAGGGTATTCTCATATTCCATTCTGAGCTAGACTAGACCCCTGGCAGACTGGTCCCTAAGCATTGAATAGGCTGCAGACCCCTAGATAGCATTGAACCCTACTGGACTAAAGATGAATATAGTGGGATAGGGCTACACAGAAGTTCTATTCTAGCACTGCTATAGTATAATAAAAGATAGAAGATATAGATTAAAATAAAATATTAAGGGATGACAAGGATAGTGACAACTTAGCTAAAGAAAATAAGATGATCATGCTAGATCTAAAATATCAGCTCTAAGGTAGTTGAACATGCTTTTCACACCATTCAAAGAAATAGATCACCCCCATAAATGCCTCTGTCTGAAAAGGATCCCTCTCAACACTAAAAAGGAGATTGGCAATTGCCTTTTTATGAGGGGGTTTTTCATGAATGAAGCCTTCTTGCTGAAGATGGGTCATCACATCAGGATAAGCTATAATCAGTATAAACCAGACAAGAAGAACTCCAGGGGGAAAAAAGCATTGATCTCCATCTCTAGTGCTATTTCCACAGGCTCTGGTAGGAAGTAGGCAGAGAAAGCATCCCCCATGAGGCTCAAAGTGGAACTGGTGGCGATGCTTGTTGAAGCTGGAAATTAGAGATTGGGCATGAGTACATTGCTGATGATGGTGATGATAATCCATTCCTGGCTGGGATGGGTTTACTAGGAACAAAGGCAATTAGTATATATATATATATAAAGAGATAGATGGAGAAAGCACTTACTTTGGGTCATCAGAAAGCAATAGAGGCAGATACCATACTCAAAAAACTTAATGTATGCCTTCAGCTTCAGCCTGAGGCCTTCCCCATCCCCAAGGGCCTCCCTAGCCCTAGCAGAGACCATGTGAAGCTCCTCCTGCCTGACCTGACAGAGGTCACAGGCCTTCTCATGCTGAAAACACCCCTGGCTGACCCTACCATTAAACTCCCGATTGATCAGGGACCGCCGGCACACCCGTTGTTGGAGATACTCGTGGAAGAGCTGTTCTTCGAGATCTGCTGGTTCTGGGAATTGCCCAGGCTCAAGGGGGGATGATGGCATATGACCAGCCAATCTCCCCAGCACCCCGCGCCGCACGCCCTGTAGCTTGAAGGAACTGGCTGATGCCCCATCTGGTCCCCCAGTGAATGACCATGGCAGTATGAGCAAAGTCATATCCTTCCCCCGATGGCAGCTGTCCCAAGGAGCACCAGCTTCTGCCCATGGTCAAAGCTCTCCACCTCCCTTTTCTTTTCTTCCTCTGGCAGCCCGGCATGGAAATAGGCAGTCTCCTGGGGATAGGCCTGATGGAACTCCTCCACCATGCCCTTATAGGGAAGGTAGATGATCACCTGACCCCTAGGGGGATCTGCCCAGCCTGGCGTGCATCACGGATCAGGTTCAAAAGATATTGGAAGCGGCGGGCGCCAGAGAGCCTAGGGGGTGTGCTTGGACCAGATAGTGAATGTCAGGGCGGTTGATATCACCACGGATGACCAGGGGAAGGTGGGCCGGCAGGAGAAATTGGTGGCGGAGCTGGTCCAGGGCAGGCTGGGTCATGGTGGTGTAAAGGGGGCGTACGTGCGTTGTTCCCTGCGACAGGAACCGGGTTGTGATCGAGGGATCTCAGGAATGGACACACTGAACAATCTAGCAAAACGATATAACGATAAACGAAAACACAACGACGAAGGAGCCTCGCTCCGCTCTATACGACGATAACGATACTAGTGAAGCAACCTAGAAACCAAAAGAATGCTCAATTTGTTGTAACTATCTGGGAGGGAACCCTCCATTAAGTACTCCGGCCGTGGGCTCCACCATACATTAGTATGTCGGAGTCGGCGGTTCTACGGTGTTCCAAGATAGGAAATATGGGAGATCCGGGGTTTCGCAGTGCCCCCGGCACAGTGGCAGAGGCAAAGACTTTGGGGACTGGGACCTGGCTCAGGCGGTTTACATCATTCATCACCCCCCGATAGCTGCGGGCCAGGGGGATCAGATGGGCTTCGTCAAAAATAATGCGGTCCAGGGCGTTTTGGTGGTAGAGCTGCATGGCCCAGTTAATGAAGACCTGGCTGACAGCAGACTCAATGGATACTAGCACTAGCCGGGTAGGAGGGGTCTCCTCATGCCTATATAGAGCATTAGTAAATATATAAAGATAGATAGATAGATAGATAGTACTTACTGATCCTCCCAATTCACCCATGGCAGACCTAGGTTTTGAAGCTTAGATTGCAGGTTCAGCTTCAATGAAACAAGGGGAACCACCAGGACAGTAGTATGCGCCCAGGCAAGGCTTGCAGCAAGCAGAAACAGGGTGGTCTTGCCTCCAGCAGTTGGTAATGCCATGAGAAGGAATGGGGTTGGCTTCAGCAGATGGTAGAGGCACTCACGCTGTTCTGCGCTTCGAAATTCAGCCTGAGGCGTTCCCATGAATTCTTGAAAGAGCCCAAGCAGGAGGTCTGGTGCTTGAAGGCCCCTAGGGGTTTGAGGGAATGGCTGGTGTGCAAGCAGTCGCAGTCGCTGGCCTGGTTCCAGCTCGGCCAGGCGCGGGTCACCATCGGGAATGCCTTCAGTGACATTGGGGTCGATTGGAGTGAATGTGGGGGTTGTGGAGCCCATGAATGCATTGAACTGACCAATAGGGATCTTAGGGGATGGTGAAGAGGCAGATCTCTGCCACCAGAAGCGCAGGCAGGGCTGGTTGAGAGGAAAGGAGCTGGTAGATAGGCCCTGGGGGGTCTTGGCTGTGGCCTGGGGGCCTGAGGCAGCGGTCTTCCTTGATAGAGAAAGCTCAAAAAGTCGAAATCAGGCCCCATGCCGATATAGGAATGCCACCGCTGGCTGAAGTCAATGTAGGCGGCCTGCTGGTTGATGGGGAGGTTGCCAAATTGAACCTGTGGCCGGCCATAGACCAGCATGGCCGTGCGGACGCTGTGGTGTGCTTGGCCGGCTGCTAGAGCTTCATTCTCAAGCTCACTCAGCTCTGGCGCTTCAATGGAGTCCCCCTCCATCCGTTCCCCCATGCCATATCGAATGAAGCCTTGGGCGAGATGGCGCCATGAATGGATCTGAATGCCCTGGCCGATCAGGGCGCTGGTCCGATGGCGGAGCGTGTCACTGACCTGGCGGCTGGTAGGGAGGTCGCCCTGAATTGAAAAAAAGAAGACTGCGGCGGTTTCGGAGCTTCAATGCCTGATGGAGATAGTGAATGAATGGCTCCACAACCACCAGATAGACCAGTAGTATATGGGATGGAGCTCTGGGGATGGCTCGGACAGCATTCCGCTCCATGCCAGTGGTCGCCAGCACCTTACTATACCGCAGCCGAATGAGGAAGAGCTTCGATTTCGGGTCCAGAAAGAGGTTTCGGCGGTTGATCATGGAATTGGATGCCAGGAGTGGAATAATCTCAGTGCCTCGGGCAGGGGCGCCACTGGTCATGTGCACCAGAACAAGCAGATGGAGCAGGAACTTCTTGGCCATAAATAAATATCGCTCTGCTGGTAGGGGAATGAGATGGAGCCGATTTCCAGCCTATATAATATTTTATATATATATATATTAGTATGTGAATGCCATTCAGCCAGATAGATGATATACGGGAGATACTGACTGGCTTGAACCATTCTTTGGCTCGCGTAGGGTCATCCAGGATTTTTTTCACGAGATAGGGCTGGTAGTGGTGTTGGTAGTCCTCATTCAATGTTAGGAAATTGAATCCATTCCCCTCCATGGCAAAATCCTCAAATCGAGCTGCCTCCCCCAGCTGGATCTGGTTGAAAAGCTGGGCATCCTCCCAGATCAGCAGCGAGCCTACTAGGGAGTGTGCCAGGTCCAAGGTAGACTTCTGGAAAAATTCCTGGAGCTGCAGACGGCTGACACTAAGATGGTGGAATCTTAGGTGGTGGGGTGCTTGTTCAATCACCTGGTTGCCTTGCACGCTGGAGATCGTGTTGTAGTAGAGAGCATAGGCTCTGAAGGACAGAAGATCTCCAAGGGGGTAAGGAGACTGGTGCTTGAAGTAGGTCTGCAGCCAGGGGCCGAAGACAGCATGAAATGGGGCCGCATTAGCCAGCGCTTGGTCCTGCCCATCCTCTTTCGCTTCAAGGATCCTCCGGATCCATGGGGTCCAATGGTGGTTGATGGCGACCAGCTGCATGGCGTAGATAACGGCAGAGTAGGACTGGCTGATGCGGTCAATTCGCTTGAAGGTCACCTCCTGGTAGTGAATACTGAAACAGGCCAGGAACGCGTAGATAGGGCCCTTCATGTCATATGACTCATGCCTGGTGACCAGGTCAATGAGGAGCTTTTCAATGAGAGCCACCCCTTCGTGCACTGCCGCCTGAGTGAATTGAAAACCACTGGTGGCCTGCCAGGCCTGCCGCTCGAGCTTCTCGAGAACACCAGAGTCCTCAAGATCTTCCTCACCATCATCCCCCCCTAGGTCCAGGGCCAGATCGATCTCATCCTCTTCATCATTCTCACCATCAAGGTCATCACCAATATAGGCACGGGCACTGCCTGCCTGCAAGGGGCCTGAGGCCTTTGGTGCCTCCTCATCCTCTTCCGCTAGGGTGGGGGATAGTAGCAGGTCCTTGAGCTCCTGAATCCCCGCCTTGACCATGTGATCTATAGCATAGAGTCGATTCAGGTCCCTATCCCTAGGCCCCCTAGTGACCTGGTAGGGATAGCTCTCCAACAGAAAAACGAGAAAGCTGTGAAGCACGCGGGCATATTTCTGGGCACTGGCTGCCTCCTGGAGGGGTTTGAAAGGGCGCAGAGTCACATGCTCAATGTCAAAACTATTGAGAAGGCATCGAACATGGCGAGAAAGGAGAGGGATGATCTTCTGGCCTTTGGCGAATATATAGGTGGTGCAGGCAGTCAGGAAATCATGGATTCGATCTAGAAAAATATGAAAAAAATTAGTGCATGCCATATATATATATATATATATCAATAGATAGATATAGATATAAGCTCTAAATACTCTTGAACATCAAACACAAGGATACATGCATTGTTAGGGTTGTTCATTTCCCCATACAAAATATATGGCAAAAGAAACATGGGTTAGAGTGGTAGAGGTATCCCTCAGAGAAAAGAAATTAAACTCACCAGAATGCTCTAGGGATAGAGAGAAGAGATTTCTTAGCTTTGGGAGGGAGCGTTGCTGCAGGAACTCTGGATACCTGGTGTGGAGCTGAAATCCATTGAGCTCATCCCTAGACCCAGAGAGATAGATCTTGGCTTGCTCTGGCTGGGGCTTCTGGATTTCCTGGTACTGACGGAGCAGGGAATCCACCAGATCTGGGGTGATGCCAGAGTCAGGCTGCGACGAAGAACCAGGCCTAGAAATACATATTAGTGAAGGCGTAGAGGATACATATCTACATAAATATATAGACCACACCTGGTAGGAAGACTGGCAGAGGGTCCAAAGGCAGAAGGGGCTCTCAGAGAGGTATTGACATCCCTATACAGTGAGAATCAGCAAGATATATATTCAAAATGAGCAGTGGGAATGCTTACCTGGCAGAGACCATCTCAATGTCAGAGTCACTAGACTCAACCACCCTAGGAAATAGTTAGTGAGTGCATATTGCACCTGATACATATTTTCTTACCTAGCGTGGTGGGCATAGTGTGGCTGAGATGGGCCAGGGGTTGGTGAAGGACTAGAGGTGCCTGCCCTAGTAGGAGCATGGTCCCCTAGAGGGTGAGATGGAAGCCGCACTTTGAAAAAGTAACGATTTGGCTGCAATGCCTGGGCCAGAGTATCTATAATGGTAGGATACTGAGCATGACCTCTCTGGTGCTGATGGGCCTTGGTAATATGGCGATTAGCTTTGTTCATGGATTGAAAGAGCTCACCACAAGCACTACATTCCCTAGCTTGAAAAGAGCTCAATCCCTTAATGGGAGCAATTGGCTGGTCATTCTGAATTTGGTGAAGAGACCTAGTAAGAGGGAAGATATCAAGCCTCTCAATGATAGCCTGATAGCCAAGGTTAATAACTTGATGTTGAGTCATCAAATGGTCTTTCCTAAGGTGTTCCACAGCCTTATTCTTAGGAAGAGCAGTATGGCATTCCTTACAAATAAGGATATGGAAGGTAGGGTAGTAAATAAAAAAATCAGGAAGCTCAGTGGCCATAGTGAATAGTAAATCAAAAAGGAAAATAAGTAGAGGGTTTAGAAAGTTGAAGACAGTATAGCAATGGAGATATAGGTAATATGAAAAGAAATATTGCCAATATTACTTAGCTAGAGGACCAACCTCAAGGGATGTCAACCACCTATTTATATTATAATATGAAGAGCTTGAGACATTCCATGTTGTAAATTTAATTTCTTTCAGTTTCAAAAGATGATATCATACTTGTGGTGGTGTCATTTTGGGATCCTCAGGATCCTCTGGGAGGTGGTATTCCTGAAGTCCAGCTGAGCGATCCCCCACTCTGTGCCGTCCCCCCACTCTATGCCGTGTCCCCTATCTAGCTGCGCCACCATAGCAATTGCAGATCTTAAAAAATCCCTCATCTTATTAATCCTGCCATTTATTGATTTCAAATCATCTTATTCTAGGCTGATACCCCTGCCTAGTTGTTTAGGTTTCTTTCTAATATATCGATATATATATATATGTTATCTCATGTATATAATACCTCTACCACCATGTCTAAACTATAGTAATATTATTAGTGTATTAATAAGAGACCTTTTCTACTTCACTGCAATAGAATTTCTAACTCTAAACCTCCATATATCCTTCTCTAAACCACCTTAGAATGCAAGACCTTATTTATTATAATACTCTTATTAGTTGCTATTGTCTTAGCTACTATATTATTAAATGACTACCTTCCTAATTGGGAACTCAAGGTCACATAACCCTGTCACGGAACTCAACTAGACAATAAATAGGATGCTATTCAACTATCTAGGCAGTTATTGACAAGAACTTCAAGCATGGAGAGGAGGGAAAAGGGAAGAGATCTACGTGAAGCTGGATGACGTATTCCTATCCACGTGCCACGCTAATCCAAATAGATATATATGCAATATCAATATATACGCAGTAATTATACCTTATAGATTAGGATTCTATTGTATCACTACTAAAATAGGCCTAACATCCTGACAAATTTAGAGTAAGAGTATAAGAATAGTAGTATAGTCATTTTCTATCTTGCTATGATAGAAGTCCTATATTCAAACTGTGATATCTCCTTATATAGACCACTTCAGGGAGTGCGACTATGTTCATTGTAATCCTGTCATAAAATGCCTGAGAATGAGCTATAGATCAACCACCTTCCTAATTAGGCAGTTTAGGTCACGTGACTTTTTGGCTCCTGATTCGTTTGATGAATAGTACAAGTCAGAATATACACCTTCCTAATTGGGAAATAAAAGTCCCCTGACCCCTCTAGACCCCAATGACATCAGCATATTCAATTCTGAGTTCAATTGGCCTACTAGATAGCCTATAGCAGTGCTATCTACATATTACCCTATCTGGCTTAGGGTTAATTTAAACCTGCTTATGTCATCAATCGAACTATACTAGCAGAAACTAGACCTGATTAGGATCACTATGATACTAGTCTGACTTCCTAATATGGCCTAGTTCTTGAGATAAAGATGGGTCAGAAATTATTTTGACCCATCTTTTTTAGGGTCACTACCCATTCTAATTTCCCACCAGACCCAAGTTGGGTCATTGTACAGAATATGACTTAGGCTGCCTTTTTCGGCAGCAGGAGACTGCCGAAAAGGGCCATGTTTCAGCAGCTTCCTTCTGCCACGCTCCCGCACTTTCTGTCGACGCACCATCTAGCGTAATATACCATGCCTGAGGCTGTCAACATCCTGGGCGCGTCCATCAGGACTCGTCCAGGGAGGCTCATCCTCCGCTTTACCGTCACAGCTCTTGGAATCTCATTGACAACGCCGCCAATGGCGCCCCCAGCGCCATGCCAGCTGGTCTCTGGCCAGTGCCTCAACAATATGACTATAATACGCCCGTCTGTTCCAGTTTTCCTATCCTTTATTTTTCGTCACCTTGTGCTCACATCGAATCACCGAAAGATCGACCTTGTCCTTGCCCATCTACTAAACCGAATACCGACCGTCACGCCCTGGGATTTCCTTGACTCTTCCTGTACCCTTTTCTCCCTACGGCCAGCTTACGAATTTAGTCATGCGCCGTCGGAGAGAAACCAGTGCCAGCTCCCGCACTGCCATTACTGAATCATCCACCACGTCTCCTGGAATTACCGATGACGATAGATCCGTCGAACCTAACTCGGAGACGGACCTGACGGAACCGGAATACCTGCCTCCCCCTTCTCAGAAGGTCCAGAAAAAGAAAACACGGCGAGGCCCTACTTTAGGACGCGAGCGCGCGGACTTCGCAGAGTTCAAAGTTTCGGAAACTGAGAATATCATAGATGTGTCGGCCGTGGAGGTGGTTCATCAGGGCCGTTACGAAGATCCAGCTGATGATACAGATGAGGATCTGTCTAAGGTGCCGGAGGATTATGGCAAATCGAATAATACCCGGAAACTGAACCTTCGACTAGAGGAGCGCTGGGCTCGGTCAGTATCCATGCCGACCAGGTTATACTGAAATGTTGCCTTGATGGACCGATCTCTGACTTGTATGCTTTTAGGTACTGTCGGACTAAAGCAATCGAGCCGTCAGCCGATCCGAAGTGGGAAGATCCAGAGGAGGCCTTACGTCAAGCCTCCCCAAACGACATCCACCGGTTTCTGAATTGGTGTCTCAAGCTGAAGTATGGCTTGGACGGTCGCCGCCTAAAGGGCTACAGAAAAGCTAGTGCCCTTGAAGCGGACTGGAAGTATTTCCGAGTCTATTACACCAAAGTGACGAAGCAGGAGATGAGCAAAGAAATGGGTGAGGCGGTGCGCACTGTACGTCCTATTCTTCCTGGATTCCGTCTTCATTAGCATGTCATTTACCGTGCGGGCAGGGAATGAGACACTTGATCGATAAACGCGGGTTGGACAAACAGCCACGGGCAAATGTTCCCGTCTATGTCGAAGACATGGTGCCGTTCAATGAGACAATTCTCCAAACCCAGGAAAGGCGATTCCATCTTGGGTTTCAGCGAATTCTTCTATGTCTCTACAACACCATGGGGCTTTTCACTGTCAACCGGAAACAGGCGATGCTACACCTCCAGTTCAAGCATTTGCAGATAAGTCTGCAGCGGGATCCGCATGGAGGACCGCCGGTGCCGATGATAGAGATTGAACCCCAGTTTGTGAAAAGTGTTCTCGGAATGTCAAAGGTGTACGTGGCCCTCAGCGTCATACCTCACCCAACCCTGGTACCAGGTAGGCTCATTGGACTGATCAATGAAACAGCAATACCTTCACTTTACCCAAAATTATCTATGGTGTATCGCTTGTTTTCAGCCCACACGTATTGCTCTTCAGCATACTGTTCTACGTAAATGCGTTTGAGGCGCCCCACTTGACTTCGATGGAGGACCTTCGGAGGCTGTTCATTGAGGATGGGCGACAGGAGATGCCACTTCCCCTGAAAAAGGAGATGGACAGTTACTATGTCTTTCCGAAGGTTGACGTCATCGACGGCGAGCCCCGTATCTTGTGGGAGACACGCATGAACGGCTCTACACTGGATGGGCAGCTTCGGTCATTCAGTGAAATACATGGTTTCCTGAATCACTTTTTCTCCCACCAGTTCCGTTACGGGGGAGGAGAATTGCTTGACCAGAGTGGTATGAACCTTAGTCTTTTCGATCCATATTGTGCATCCTCTTCTTTTCTTTTCTTTCCTTCTTTTTTTTCTTTAACCTAAGGGTTACTGACTATCGCCTCCAGGATTTGTGAGCGAGGCGCAGCGTAACGTGATCATGACTCACGCGAGCAGCAGAACCTTCATCAAGCACTATCGACTACGACGGCATACTGGTTTGCAGGAGGTCATGTGCGGAGTCGATCCGGATGAGGAACTTTCGCGAGCTGTGACTCGGATGAGCCGTTGGATTGACAAGAGGCGACCCCGAATTCTAAGCGACGCCGAGAAAGCGTCAGTGGAGAAGGATCCCGAGTTGCAATCTGCCATACAATGGCACGCTGAGCTGGAGGACCGTTATGCTCGATCCAACGATCCAACATTGCGGGCCTTGTTGGAACAACAGGAGCGTGGTGTTGAGAACACGCGTCGCCGTCTTCGGGAGAAACGGCGTAAAGAGATCCGCCGGGATTTCAGTCGGAAACAAGCGGTTATTGACATTGAGAGGCAATTGACAGGCGGTGCCGTGAATGACGAGCCTGCCCGGGAGGTGTTACGGAAGGAGTTTGCTATGCCACCGGAGCAGATCCTCCTTGTGGAGACATTTTTCACTTGGCCTACTTCAGACGCGTTGGAAGACGAGTGGTTGAGGCGCAATAAAGCAGTGGCGGCGGGTACACAGTACTGCAGTTTCCATGAGGGGGGACCTCTCCGCGGACGGCCAAAACGTCCTGCATCAGACGATGCGACTCAAGTCGCAGACCCACTAGCTAAAAAGCAGAAGATGCAGGAGCGTCCGACTGTGTCGGCATGGGAGAAGAAGCTTGGTTCCGTCAAGGAAAAGGTGACAGCGGACAAGCCATCTGCGTGTTTTCAATGCTTGAAAGAATACTCTGATGTTTACGGAGTGAAGAGACACTTTAAGACATTGCATCTGAAGGATCGCAAATGCAACTTCTGTGATCTGTCGCTACAGCATGAGATGCACTTGCGGAGCCATGCGCAGGAAGTCCACCGGCTTCGTACGTGAGCGTTTTCCTCGCGCTACTGTGGTGGTCCTCACACTGGCTGATTGCCAGCAACCTACTACGGATGCTAATCAGATGGTGGATTCAGAGGCGCTGGTTTCTAAGGACAGTGCGGAAAGATACAATCACAATCATTAGACGAATCGTTTAGAACTAGCTGCACCTAGTAAACTTGGGCAACCCAGTTTCTTTCCATTAGTTTTCTTTGGGCGAAATGCTAGTAGGACATCCGATAGATATTGATCTCTGCCAATTTCAGGTCAGGTTACCAACCTCTACCAGCGAATGCCGTTCAAGATCAGGCAAAACCCATTTGACCATCCACTCAGACTGTAGGACTTCTTTGGCAGTCGGTCGATCCTTTGGTTGGAATGCCAACATCCGACACATCAAATCCAGGATGGCAGCTTTCTCGTCCTCTCCAAACTCTCCTACTCCAAGCTTCCGTCGATACTCCTGTACATAGTCCTCAAAAGCCTTGCTAATAGGCGGCCATACATACCGGCTCTCTTTTGGATGTCCGGTGTTATCGAAAAACTGACTTCGCTCTTCCCAGAGCTCCCACCACTTTAAGGGCATAGACCCCAGTACATCAATTTGCTGACAAGTCAATTCATCGACAGTGGTAACTTCACTGCTGAAAATAGCCTTCATGCCAAGGATCTCCCAGATCGCCGTGGCCAAGCTCCAGATATCAGCTGAATATGAAAGAGTAGTCTGTGGTTCGAACCGGGTTTCTGGGGGTCGCATTGCTAGTGGTGTGTGGCAGTCTTCTCCCTTGCGGGCATCAAAGTCTGGGGCAAATGCCTCACCAAAGTCACCTAGAAGCACGCGCGCGTCCGATAGTAAAAACTCCTCCGCATTTTGGCCAAGGTAAAGTGGTAACACCGCCTTTGACGGGATGTTTGGTGGAAGTGGTTTCCCATCAGTGCGTGTAATAGGGATGGTCTCAGGCTCTCCGTATTGTTCATATAGCTGATCAACCGAGAAACGATCAAAGCTCGAAGGGAGTTTGACCAGGACATTCCGGAGGTGGATGTCTAAACAGCCATGGCCTAGATATCAGCGATATAGACTTATAATATAAATCATCACATCACAAACCTCCATGAGCAAAACCTCGTGAATGCATATACGCAATAGCTAGTATGAGGCCACCTGATAACGCCCGAGCAACTTCAAGAGGAAACAGGCGACTGTATGACACTTCTCTGAGATTACATCGCGCAGGAGCCATTGTGTAGCATAAATGTTTTCCGTTGGGACCATTCAGCTCAAATTCATCCAAAGGTACGGGAATAGCACTATGGCCTAGACATGCTGGCATATATGATGGCAATCGCGTGGAAAGAGCTCGCAGGATATTAGTCTCCTGTAGAACCGCGTTTGATATGCCAACTTTAACAGCAACATAGCGTTCCAATAAATTGTCTCGAGCAAGCCAGACAGTCGAATAGCCCCCGAAACCTAGTTTGTCCACGACGCGGTATCGCCCGTGAAGCGTATCGCCAATCATGATGGGATGGTAGCCTCCAGGCTTGTACTTTTCAAGAGATTCTGTACCATCAATCCAGTTGTACTGGATCTCACGGTTCTCTGCATGTTCTTTGGCGCGCGGCATTACTGTCGACGAATAAAAGGCGAAACAAAGCCGCGTGAACGACGCAAACTCGAACTTCCAAGAGCAATTACTGGGTGGGGCACGCAATAATATTTTGCTGGTTATACTTAATGGAAAACGAAAGACATTTGAGGATCTTATCCTGGAGCACCATGCCATGATAAGCAGTCGTAGTGGTTGTTATTTGATGTCTGTCCAGACAGGAATGCACAGAAGAAGGCGGAATGACCAAAACTCAATTTGGGTGTGCCCCACCAGCTAGTCCGGAAAGTGGTGTAACCCCCCATATTTAGCCTTGCCACTCAGCAGTGCCCCACCTCGCCTCCTGGATTCCAAAACCTACCAACGGATGAACTAAGCGAAGGATGTCTATTACTGGCTGGATAGTCTAGTCTGTGGATCCTTGCATTCACCGAATTTATTTGGTTTCGTGCTAAAACTGTGGAACACAAGTCCCATGTTTCAATTCTTTCCTTCTCTTCTCTTTAAAATGAAATAGAACAAGAAAAGACCAAGAAGGAAGTAAATTCTTTGCACCATAGCATTCATGTCACCTAGCCCTTAATTCTGCTGAGGCAGGTGTGAGTAAGCGATAGGGCTATCCACATATTCTTCGAGGAGGTTCTCAGCTGGCCAAACAACCTTTCCAGATCTCCGCCCACCCCGAGGAGTTCTGTCCTGCTTTTCTGGAGTATGGGTTGCCTCCTTGAGAGTAAAATCCTCCTTTCCACTGGTGTATCCATGGGATGCCACATGGAACTCTCGCTCCTCCTGGTCATCGGCCTTGTAGGCGAAGGTACCATGCCAACCTTTGGGATCTTTGGCATGCTTGCCGTCGATGGTGGTTGTGTCGTGCATGTCAGAACTAATCCAAACCATAGTTAGAAATACTAAAATCGTCTTATAGGGGCCAGTAGAGATAAAACCAATACTAACCGAATGAGAACTGCTTTAGGAGCCAATTTTTGGTCCCGCGCAGTAGCATAAGCCAGGGCTACTAATTGGCGTTTCCGATCTGGGCTGATCGTGTTACCGGCATAGAAAAAGTATTTCACAAAGTGTGCGCCTCCTCTAGCAGCCATTGTTTCAAGGTAGAAGATGAATTTAGGGAAACAAAGCTCTTCTGCTTCAGTTGGAATTGAGTTATTTTAGATGTGGTTCAAATGATGGTTCGATAAAAGGAGGGTCATCATGCGCTTCTTATATCGCATAGACCCTTAGAAAAAGGTACTGTTTTCCCCAAGATATCAACAGCTAGTGATGAGTGGGTAATGGAACGTAAGCTCCTAGCGATCTGGCCTTTGCTACGAGTAACAGCGATATTTAAAAACTAGTATTGGATGAGTGGCTCTCAGAGCAAGTTGAGTCGACGAGCACATATTAGGCCTACACCGTAGATTTTAGTAGTCCAACCAATAAGAGCCTGAAATGGATGTGATGAGGTGCGGATATTGTTAAGATCGAGACCTATGAACTGTGGTTCAGCCGCCAAATCACGTCATCGTGCAGCATTATTTCTGGCCCAAATAGGCATTAAAGACCTTCCGATAAGTGCGAAATTACGGATAGCGCTACTCGAGTATACTTTTGATTCCGCACTAGCATACGCAATGCATCTTTGGCTTTTGACTTGCATAAAACAGTAGAAACGAAGCTGATCTGAATGGTTTGACATGAAATCTTGCCGAAGACAACAGGATCAGGTAATAATGCCAGCTTGGCGCATGTTGGGCTGCGGCCCTATTTCATCCCGTTTCTTTTGTTGTTGCTCATCGAAATTGTCCAACGGCGTACCGCTTTTTAGCGCCCAGAAACCCAATACGGAGGGCTAATGGTTGTCAGTGGACGCCGGCAGCCACCATGCACAAGGGGTGACTACTCCACAGATGTAACTAGCTAGCCCAAAGCGTAATGGTTCATGTGATTGACAATTGTCTGGATCACCCCGTCCCCGTCCCGTCCCGCCCCATCTTGCTGCCTAGCTGGACCGCTTGATTCGTACGCGAGGATGATTCTACACTTAAATACGAAACTTGTATATTGTTACATCGCCATTGGAACACCTTGAATGCTATCGTCCGCTCAGATGAAACCTCCCCTGAAACGCCAACATATTTTGGACTTCATAGAAGCGCTACTGCCCTGAGCCAAGACTACTATATCCCAAAAAAAAAAAAAAAAAAAAAAAAAAGAAAAGAAAAAAAGAAAATCCGCAAGTGTGGCATAGTTTCGTAATAGCATGGCTAGGGGAGCTATAAGCGTTGACACAAAATCTGACCTCGAAATAGGGCAGTATCTATCAGGGGTTGTATTTGAAGTAGTGAGAGTAGAGATTTCCATAGAGAATAATCCTTCGGATACTAGCTGTCCCGTAATCAGTTATCGTCATCCTATGATACTCTGCCTTTCGTGTTCATCTCTGATAAGGTGCGCTAGACAAGGGTATGGAACATAAACAACTTCGGTCATGATTTGCCCTGAAAAGGAACAGGTGTACTGTAAGGATCATAGCGGCTCCAACCCCGCCTCTTATTACAAAAGCCGGTCTCCCCCTTTCATCTTAAAATAACTCTACTCTCATCATAAAAGGCCGATCCCCCTTCTTATCACAAAAACAACAAATCTTCGTCCATCTACTGTAACCTGGCAACCATGTGCGATTTTGACGCAGTCAGCGCGTTTTATTTCCATTACCAGGATGACAACAGGGAAATACAGGGACTGTCAGCTAAGGCATCGGCGTTAGCATCTCAGCTTGCGGTTCTGGAACAAGTTGCGCCCGTTGCAGCGAGCATCCGGATCGGGGGTTCATTATCAACAATCCGTAGATTGCGTGCCAATATTGCGAAATTATCAAAAAGTGGACATCGATGGGCTAGCCTTCAACAGTTAGGTTGCAGAGAAGCACTATTTTGCATGATTTCTATCTGAGATTTAACTGAGCTTCCAAAAGCTCAGTTTGATTGGCTGTTGGCTAATGTTCAACGATATATGGCTGGTCAAGGCCTTCCCCAGAATTGGCCGACTTTGAAGCAGATCAGTGAAGCGATAGGACGCATGCCTTGGCAACCTCAATACAGCTCATTCCTTCAAAGTGAGTGACTTTCCAAAGTAGCAGTGATGATACTAATAAGCACTGCGGGCTACTTTGAACTCGTTCAGAATCAATGCAGTAGTGAAACACAATCTACAGAAGATTTTCCAGTGAACAACAAGAGAGGTAAGGCCAGAGGCACTACTGATATACATAGTGCAAGTAATAAATGGAGATGGATATCTCTGTCTCAACTTTCGTTGACATTCTACCAGAAATATCGGGTACGATGGGTTACGATCCTGATCAAGATATCAACAACGCCGAACCGCTTAACATCACAAGCAATTTACCGTCTAACAGAAAGAGAGGTAGGACAAAAAAGCGTCTGATATTTACATCAACTGATCGAGAGAAAGAAGTAAAGTTTATGTTTTCGAATGCTCCATTTGAAATTGTTGATACTTTGCCGGATAAGTTGAAAGAGGCAGTTCAAGCCAGCTCTTTATGGAGGGAGGAGAGAAACCAGAGGCGAAGCACCACAGGATGTCTGGCGAGTCTGTTCCCACGGGATGCAGAACAGGATGTCTCGTTCACCATCTGGTGTGGCCATGATCAGGGTTACGATTTGAACAATTTCTTCCAGCTGAAGCGAACAAGTGACCCTTAGGTTCGGAAATAGACACTGGCACCAATGACGTAACAGGTGTATCCGGGTGGAATCTCGTACGGTGTATATTCTGTTATCTCTTCTGCTGATGTCTTCGAGTCCTTCGTTTTCTGGTTGTATATTCGCAAAAATTCTCCTTTGAAGTATATTGTTCTGGTTTTGGCATCATCCGGTGGGAAACGATGACTAGGGACTGTCTCTTCCTGACCGCTAAGTGCAGTTGCGCCTCTCTGGAGGAAATGTACGATTTAACAGTTGATTTTGCAGGAGAGGTACACTAAAATCGACTTACCTCCATATCGGCGTTGTTATCTTTTTATTCTTTCCTCAACTGGCCCAAAGGGAATAAAACTTTTTCCATGAAACAGTCATCATTCAGAAATTCGCGTGTCGCGTCGTTGGGTTTCCATGAGGGGTTGCGGGGTTGCGGGGCATTGTGTCGTGATCACGTGATATTCTTTGTAACTTGAAGTCAGAATGCAGAGTGGGAGTGCATGAATATGTTCAGTAGCCCGGTCCAATATTTTAGCGGAGCCAAGGGCTATTTTGGCGGCTTTTTGGTATCTACCTGAAAGTGTAGGCAGGTACTATATAAAAATAGATATACGTGACTTGATCATAAAAGAAGGATTCCCCCTTTCATCTGCAGCCTCACTTAGAAAAACAACACTTTCGTGGAAAACTCTAACGACTACTAAATTAGGAGAGTAATTCGTTATCTAGCGTGAACCTTCGAGTCATGCGGTGCTTTTTCTTTTTTTATTATTGCTGTTATGCGGGTTCCCATTGTCGTGAAATGAAAGGGGGAATCCCTCGTTCATAACGAGAAGGGACCTACCAGGATCTGAATGGCTCGGGACTACTCTATGCTCGTCCACCAATAATATCTTATTCACTCCACTCCCAGGTTAGATCGTGAGATGTGATGTCCAAGAATATGGGCAGTAACTACTATTGCGAAGTGGTCTATGATCTACTTTAGAGCCTGTTGTACGAGAGATGCTTCTATTGGTCAAAAAGGCATGGTGCCCTGTTTTCTATCTAAAGCTAGTAACAGGAAGTCATAATCTGGACACTATAGACGAAGAACTATCTATAAGTATGCCAGCTTCATCGCAGGTGCTCACCGCAATTTTGCACGGACACAGGCCCTCGTTGAGGTATCATCCATCCTTCAAAGGCTAATCCAATTGTCGTGCATCTGTCTAATCATGTCCTTTCTTCGTACCATCCTCTGCCGCTACTGCTGCTGCTGCCTGAGAGAAAGTGAAGAATTTGACGAACTGACTTCCTTCTCTGCTGAGATGCCTCCCTTAGAGGTAAAAATGGAATCTGTGAGTATCAAGCACCAGGGAGCTTGGGAAGGTCTAACATAGGTATACTGGTAGACCACCGTTGTCAGATATGTCAACGAGGATAACTTCATGGCTATAAGCCAAACTGTTGTGGAGACCACCCACATCGACCCACAAGCGGACTGTGGCTCTGGCCAAGATATGGAGACTAAGGCTTCCACCCCTGACAATGCGTCTGACGCAAGAACTCTCGTCGAAGATCCCGAAACAGCAATTGTACCGTCTGCCTCTTCCTTCCAATCAATGAGAGAAGCGTCATAGAGAAGGATACTGAGATCGTCTTACCTTGTCCAACACTTGTCGATAGAGACACCGGTCGCCGTATGGTGGAGCTGCTCTATGTCACTTCTATGTGCCCTTTTCCCATTGTTGTATGCCTTGATGATTGCGAAATCTGCGAACCCAGTAAACCAGAATCGGGTGAAGATGAGATCGAGGCGCTATTCCGCTACAATGACATCAAGTTCTGCGCGTACGTTCCGGCTGGTTATGTAAAGGCCGGCCGAAATGGATCCTGCTGTGTCGACTGGCCTCTTTGGTGTTGGTCTATTCCCCTGAGTATTAGTCTCCGCCATTTTCTTTTGTCTTTAATACGGTTGTCAGCTGGCACAGGGTATTGGTTGGTTAGTTGCATACCACAAATGTATATACGAAAGCTATCTGCCGAGACTCTAAATAATATGGTGGTCGACATATCTTCGAATATAAAAGAAGGACTCTTCTCATTTAACATATCGAGTACGATAACCATGAATAGCCTTCTTTATATAACTATCTTGCTGCTAGTACTCTGGCTCTTAGTGTTTATTATTCTCCATCTCACACGGCCTCTTTTTAGGAAAAGATATTTTCCTGATCCTGAAGCATCTATAATTCCTCACCATCTGCATGACGAGTAACATGAATCCTGTACGTTTTTAGAGAAGGTTTCTTAAAACATTGTTTACTAAGCCCCTTGAAGAATAGAAAACGTTTGAATACCGTTGCAGGAAGGGACGAGCTCGCTCCAAGAAAGAAGGAAAGTTTTGAGAGAGGCTACCAGATAGTAAGGAAGAAATCCTCCTTATCAGAAATATTAGTTAATGAGTTATAGCACCATAAAGTCCTAAACGAGGACCATATTCCTTTAAAATTCAAGCGGGCTGGTGAATATCCTCAAAGCGACTGGGTAAAGAACTGTGCACGTATGCCTTTGAGACGATTCTGTTGTGTGTGTGAGAAGAAAGAGGCGGTCATGCATGAAGGGGGACTCTGTCGTGCATGCGGCCACGAAAGTTGTCCAGAGTGTCTTGCATAGCTGAGCCTTTACATTACAGACCTCTATATTAGCCAGTACCGTCCTGAAATGCAATCGATTGGCCAGGAGCTGCCCACAACGCTGATATAATGAGTGCAGACTGTGCTATCACACCGTCCGGGAATGTCATGGCTGCAGCAGGAGCAGAATCCTAGTACACTAGACCAGGGACTATTGAGCAACGTCTAGATACCGTAAGCCCACTGCTACTTAACCTTTTCTGACTTTGTCGCCACTTCTCCTGTAGATCGCAATATCCTGCACGAATCAATAGCTAGTTGTGCCCGGATTTTATTTTGCTGTACTAAGTAGAACGCGGTCGTATCGATGTAACGTAGCAAATATTGATTGCTGCATATTATGTCTTTCCATCGATTGGCTGGCTATAATAGTATCGTGCGGTCAGACATGTTACCCTTCGGGTTAAGGGAAGAGCTAAGGCTGTGATTCTAGAACTTGCGAGCCCTGTGTAGTAAAGGCTGAAGGCTGTTTACGAGTCAGGTAAATTCCTGCGCAGTCGTAGACCTACACAATCTCATAAGACTAATTGGTTAAATTTAGAGCTGCTCTAGTGACATCTTTATTGGGCGCAGGGAGAAATCAGCATGGATGGAGAGAGGAGCTCGATAACCCATCTGGAAATTGGTTGTATGCCAAACCCCTTCCTAAGGTTACCTTGAATTTTGCGCCGGTGTCCATGTTACTTTTCTCGTCATTTTACAATAAAGCTCAGTCATTTGACAGCCTCGTGTACTTTGTTCACGAGTAGCATATCAGTATTTAACCTGCTTTATGACTTCTTACTCCTCCTGCTCCAGATTCACATTCTTCAATATTTGAAACGTTACACCTCAACGGTGTAACTAAATACTAATACCTAAATTCTCTTACAGTATGTCTACAAGCAATAGTGAGTATTGAAGGTCAAAGCGTATTATTCTGTTACACTAATATGTATTACGCAGGCCTCCGTCGCGGAGTTCCTATATGGGATGTGGACGAATTGCGAAAGGCTCGGAAAGACATCCTTCAGAGGCTGTCTGATACAGAACTTTCAGCTCTCGTTGCTGCATGGTCTAAAACGGCTAAGAGAACAAGAAGAGACGGTAGGCTTGTTTTTCATATCCAATATTGTTTGTCAAAAGCTTGTGCTGATTACTAGTAGACTGTTGCAAGTATATTTTGAAAGCCCTCGACGACACTGTCGAAGACTCTCTACGCGAAAATGTGAACAGTGCACAAGAGTTACAAGGATCGAGATGTAAGCAGATGCTAGATGTTCTTATCTCAGTGGGGGACTATGAGAAGAAATTCAGAGACGGGCTGCTTGGCGAGTAGACCTCCAATGACTAGATATAACACATCATGCTAACAGGATAATAGATATATCTGCAACAATTGAGATTCCAGAGATCTACCTTCCGCAGGACATACCAAGTAAGGAGGTGCCATATAGTGGTGACACAAACAAAGAAGAACGGTCTTGGACATTGGTGGACCCCTTGAATTCTACCCAGCAAGTGACATTCTACATCCAGGAGACAAACAACATCCGTCTGTGGTCTCAGCAAATGCTTAACAAATTAGCATACCACCCTTTAAGCATGATCTTACGTTGCCTTTTGAGCTACATTGAACCACGTCTTCAATATGTATACTCTTATAGGCGTGGGATCGTCCCGAGTTGGTGGCCTCGCACGATAGAGTTCGGTGGCAAGATTACCTATAACAAAGCCGGTAAGACTTGTCTCCACAGTTATTATTCAGCCTCTGATATATTCATGAACAGAAACGGTTGCATTGATAATTTACATTATATTCGACCTGCACTCAGAAGGATTCTGAGTTATCCATGCAATGGATGCTATAAACTTTCATGACGACCTCGTCGCCCTGGAGAGGAAGATCCTATATTCAATACTCTTTGTTCGACAGTCAGAAGAGTTATGCCGTGGGGACCTTTCTAGTACGGGTCCAGAAGCAAAAGTGACAATAGGCAGGAAGGTTGCCCAAAGAGCACCGACAAACTCAGCAACCGAGCCAAATTCTATACGACAGGTTAATGGAGTATCACACCCTTCCATTTGCGCCAGAGGCACGGTTAAAAGGTCATACTACATTCTCCTGGGAGCCGACGACCAAGGGAACTTTTTTTATTCAGTGTCGCAATCAATGAATAGTGACAATCTCAGGTTGTCGGCCGCCGTGGAAAGTTTCAGGCAGGAGGTATCCAGGGTGGAGGAGCAACGAAGGGCTTACCTGTCGCAAGTCCATATTGAGTTAGAGCAATAGGGTTGGGAGTGTCAAGAGCATCACCCAGCTTGCTGTATTATATTTCTGTCTCTGGTATGACACTTTCCTGGTGGACCGAGATAGCAGCGGAACAGGAAGTTTTTACTTGAATTGAGACCTATAGCCAGCCGCCCATAGGTATATTACTTGATATACCTTCTTCTGTCGGAACAACTTGGGCGGAGAAATACATAGCATGTAGTCCTTTTTTACTGTACATTTTGGTAATTTATACCTTGCCTCTGGCAAGATTACCATGAAGTAGATACGCATCACATTTAATCAAGACACTGGTGAAAATGCCTCTAAGCCGCCGACCACCCATCCGGCGAAGGCGTTGGGAGGTCAGGTCCGCCACTAATAGGTCTATGCTGTCCTCGTTGCGCTTTCGGTAAAGGAATAACTTTCGACCGATAACGGGCACTCTTTTTTCCGGGGTTACAAGTAGATCAACCTCCGTATTCCGCGGATATACATGCCAAGCTAGTGACTCGTTGGATGGTGTTTCGCTGTGTTGGCGGACGATATAATGGTTTAGGTAAGCCACTACGGTAGACTAGCAAGGATAAGACGCAGGTCACTTCTTAATCTCCTCTGACTTGGAAGAACGTCTGGACGGGGGCTAAAAATAGGGCATTCCGAAATCCTTGATCTCGAAGTAGGTCGACCCATGAAGGTGACTAGTTGAGTATCTGGTCTGATCCACCTTGTGATCCTACAGTACCACTCCTCGCACTGGAAGGCATCCATCATTATGGATATGAAGTCATACAAGCTGCCATGTTGCTAAAAATGAGGAGACCTGGTTCCTTGGAAACAGCTCGGCCGGTCATCGCTTGCGATTATGGGAAATAAAATCCTTGGCGTTTAAGGTCAAGTGTGGATGGTCTTACGAGAGGCAGTGACGTGGAAGTCCAAAGGGATCCGTGTTGTAGTCAAGCGAGGTCAGGGCAACATCGACCAATACTTCCGTTCGAAAACCCAACGACGACTGTCTGTTGGGCCAATTGAAGAGGGAGGATAGTTCTCACTCGAGGTTATATCGAAGGCTTCATGTAGCCTTGAGTGGGTAGGTACTACAGAGGGTGAAACAAAATCTCAAAATAGCATCCCGGGCTGACCTTGATTGGGTGGCTGCTCTTTCTAAGCCACGAATATAGGACTACTTGCAGCAGGACTATGTAATGGGTATATTGTGAAGACCAATTGCACAAGCAATCTCAACTTATCTACTGTACAGAGTATGGTCGAGTCAGCCTACGGGGACGTCTGATCACACTTTCCTGCTGAGACCCAGCCAGCGATTCGTCCGCCAACGAGCGTGTTGGTCCAATCCCTGCCATCCCTGCAAGCCGAACATCATAACCCGACACCAGAGGAGGGATACGTCCGGTTACCAATGGATGTGTGGATCCAAGCTAGCCGTGCAAGGTAATAGACCGCTTTTCACTATCCTAGGATGGTGGGATACCGGAAAGCCTGGTGCTAGCTCGCTTTTCGCTATCCTGGGATACTGAGGAGCCTGACGACCCCTTGGCTATAAAAGGCCCCTCGATTCCCGCTATTTCCTCGCTTCCCAATTATCCTTATCTCTCGCTCATTCGAGAATAGCTTCGAGACATTTGATCATGGTGTCCAATAGCATTAGCATTCAAGAGCTGGACAAATCCGATATACCTTCCAAAGTCGAGGAGAAGCTGATCAAACTGCTCAGCGAATTCGTTGATATGATTGCTTCCCATGCAAACATTGAACTTGGTCGTACACCTAAGGTATTCTGGAATCCACAATACGAAAAGTATCTTCGGCTGATCAAAGTAGTTCCACACAGTCATCCAGCAGCTGTGCGAAAGAGCCCCGAAAGTAGCGCAGACCATTGCTGGAACAGTGCAAGAGGGCATTACGAATTCCCGTGGACGCAAGCGCAAGTCAGCTGAAGGTCCTTTATACCGCCCAGCAAAGTTAAGAAGACAAAGAATCGGCCGCCTAGCCAGCATGTTCAAGCAAAAGCCGGAATCCGATGAAGTTCTCGGCTCTACCAAGCCACGCAACGAACACCTATTGAAGCCTTCACCCTTGCGTCATGATTCTTCATCTCAAGGCAGCCGCTGTGGTGAAGAGAAGAAGGGTGTATCGCGTGCAGGAGTGCTAGCCACAATGGCAAGCAAAGCGCTTGCCGCAAGTTCCGAAGACCCATTGCGCCACGCCTCACGGGAGTCAGTACCACATACAGAACCCACATCTTCCATGATAACACCCACTACTCCTACAAAACAAACTGACCGTCGTTTATCTTCACCTGAAATGGAGGAAATGCAGCGAAAAACAACCCCGACATCACTTGAGAGTATTACTGGCCAACCCACACAGATGAGGTTGTTCCCGAACACACGCTCCATTATAGACTTGACTGTCAAAGCCACCCATACCATCTACCACCTTAGCAAACATAAGGATGGTGTTCCCTCAGATGTACATACCCGAGTCCTTCAATCGCTTCAAGTCCAACCCGGAATGAGCGCAGTATGTGCCAACCGGAACCATTGGTCGGATGGTTCAATATGGGTACAGATACTTGAAATGGGGGAATCCCGAAAAGACCGAGGCACTATACAGAACATGCTCGAATACATAGGAGCTTGGGAGTGGTACAGTATTCAGGTGGAGCTTGCGAAGAAAACAGTCACAACAAAAAAGAATAAACCAGTTAAGCAGCGCGGCGCGGCAAAGCATGTAATGGACCAAATACAGAACAGATGGATCGGTGGAGTGGGAACAGTCACACTACAGGAAGGCAGCTCCTATTATCAAGCAGGAAGTGGCCCTGCCAGTATATCTGCGGAGGCAAAACATTTGCAACGAAACCGGATTAGCATGCAGCTCAATAGAGGCAAGCTGTGTGCTAAACTCGTTAAGGAACTGGGGCTTGGGATATTGTTCGATGAAAATATCTGGTAAGCTGCAAGAAAACATTGATATCTTTGGCTACTAATCGGTGGTAGGGCCTATGTTAAATCGGGCATAGAAGAGGTTGATAACATAATAAAGGCTATTCAAGCCGACGCAGGACACATGAAGCTGCTTAAAATTCTGGCCCCACAGCTGGAACACCTTGTCAAGATTGGGTTACCAGATCTTCACATTTTCTACAAGGACTTGAAAGAAGCAAAGCTAGTGTCCGAAAGTGAGCTCCGTCAACTGGAAGGACGTTTTGCTCTAGAAGGGGTAGGTACATAGCCCACAACAGCCAGAGTATATGTTAATATTACTATTGAAGGACCCCCTGCCTGACAATCAACTTGAGGCAGAGATTGATCGTCTTATCAGAGACGTCAACATAAAGGTACTTGATCAGTCCACATTTGGACGTGATGATACGATTGCAATCAACGATGGTATGGAGATACCATGTGATATCTTCGACCGACTTCGCCCGGGCAGATGGCTGGATAGTTGGACTATCAACGCTCTCATGCAAATCTCCGATAAGCCCGCGTTTGTTAAGCATGATCTAAGCATCCCGTTAGACCAGAAGAGTGGTAATAATGTTCTTCGGCCGATCAAACACCCGTTAAGAGCCTGGGCCACGAAGATGGTTAAGTTTCGGGAAGAGGCCAGGAAAGCCTCTGGGGAATGGGTCCCTTTGGTTTTTTTCTGCCCAATCAATCATCAAGGTCAACATTTTTCGTTGCTCGAGATCAACGAACGAGAGAAGGTTATACGCCATTATGATTCGATGGCTAAGGTTACTACCAGGCTCCGCATGACCGAAGTAGTTGAGGAGCAATTTGGCGATTTAAAATTCCCCTACGAAGAAGTGGTAAGAACCCACGGCTACGAGTCCCTTTCAAAGCACTAATACAATGGCATAGCCTACTCCACAACAGGACGATGGCTGGAGTTGCGGAATCAGGACGGTTTGGAATTTTCGGCACTTATCGAATAATCTCCCAATTGGATCAGGCGATACCGTGCTGAACCCCGAGCGGATGATGCTAGAAGTGGTAGAGGGGCTGACAGCCTGCGTGGAGAGTGGCGCGATGACGAAATATATTCGACGAAGACGCTCAGACCGAGAGAAACGACCACCGACTTGAATGCATGTTTGAGCAATTAGAACCTAACTGGAAAGCAGATAATCATGACTTATACTGGAGACTGTAAAGTAGTACAGCTGGTTGCAAAATGCTTAATATTTTTACGCTTGTCAACCAGCTCTCCTTACCAAAACTTTTTGTAGCCACCACGTAACGTAGTCGTTGCTTATCGTGGCAGAGTAGACCACGTAGCGATTAAGAAGACTGGGGCGGCCACAGTCAAGGAAAGAAGGTAAGAGTAAAGTAACATAAAATGAAGAAAAATAGATTAGACAAGAAAGACCTATAAAAAGTCATTCAAAGACTTGAAACTCCCCTTGTTGGAAGTACAAAGAGCTAGAGTTAATTAATCGAAGACAGAGTAATATAAGCCAATCAAGTTTTATAAGGAACGGGATACGCACTAAAGCTCAAAAGCCCATTGAGCCCTGGCTATCCAAATCTACGGAGAGGATATGTACTCGGTACAGAAGAGTGCTAAATCAGTCTTACGATACGGTCTTCAAGTAGGGTTTTTGTGGTAAAAGGCGAACAAAGGAAGTTGTGGGTATTAACAGCACTCATGCAGCACCCCCACAAGATAACTCCCCAAACTCCCGTCATCAAGTCGATACAGGTAAGCTAGGTTCCCAGCTTACAGGATAACATGGTGGCTACTTCGTCAAGGGAGTATAGATACGGAATATATGATCGTGAGCTTAGTTACAGAGGTACTGATCTAACTATGAGACACAATCAGAGAACTGTGTGATTCCCTAAGAGTAGACCGAGTCCATACACAGACATGGGTTAAAGACGCGCTACTTATCCACTCTGAAGGTAGATAGAAACCAATAACTGAACAGACTATGACTGTTGGCACCGATCAATCCCGAAGGCTCAGTTCCCCCGATCCTTTGGATCGCCGGGAATAGGATTCGGCCTATGCTTCTGACCGTCTTCGCCAATTTCACAAACAACGATAGTTGATAGATTTGCCGTGTTTACCTCTGCTTCAGTAGGCCCCTCGTTCCACTCAATCTTGTCTCCGTTCTGGAGGAAGATTATAATGTGATCATCGTATTTTGCTATCACTTTTGCTTCATAGTATGACAGGTCCACTGTATAGTATTTCCCGGGTGGAATAGTGATGGTGTCTTGCCATGTCAGTGTTATCTCCTCAGTATACTCATGGCTTTTGGTACTCTGGTGACTCGCGCCGAATTTTACTGTAATGGTCTCATGGACCAACTCGAGGATGTCAAATTCCGTTTCGCTTTGGACCTCAACATTCTCCGTCCAGGAATCAGTGAATGTGGTTGTATTTGTGGTCGACTTCGTCCGGGAAATGGTCCTGATCTCCTCGGTATCGCTGCCTCGATTGTCTATTTGTGAAGAATCAAACCCAACCGGATTGATTGAGCTCTGGTCAGGCATTTCCCTGATGACTAGCTTCCTCGTGACTCTTGAGATATCAGTGATGAAGATTGGATGGACGACAGCCCAACGATCATCATCGGATTTGGTGGGATCTTTCCAGACGGTGACATTGACTCCCCGAAGCAACCCACTGTAACCGACCCATTCTCCTTTATGGTTCGAGGCCACACCGACTCGAAAGTCCTGGCCTCCGCGTGGGTTGCCATCTGGTGCATTGGGCTTCTTTGTCTTGATATGAATGAGCCGGTATTCCTTGTTTGGTTTAGCCCAGTTGACCACCCAAGATGTAATCCTTTCGCCTTTCTCGAGTTTGAGGCAGTGGTAATCATGGGTGGTAGAACCGAGTACCCTGGAGGCTTTTCCATTGGGGTAGGTGATTCGAAGGCCACTTATATGGCCCCAAATGCGGTCATGATCCTTGGCCCAGACTTCCACCTGGGAGACAAGAGGACACGATTTATCTTCAGGAGTATCTTCTGGACATAATCCACACAAATATCATCCCAGCCTTGTGGATCCATACTTTTTGGGAATCCTATGGATCTTTGAGAGAGCAAAAAGAGAAGGATAGAGAGAGAATAGATCAAATTGACGATTGGAAAGTGCTTGAATGAATGAAATATTTCGAAACGGATGGTCTTCGGGGTCCCGTTTTATAATGGAGATTCCCCCCTCTACACCGACAACTTTCGAAGCCGTCCACGTAGCATATCGCCGAACTCTTCCCGTTGCATGTCCGACCAGCTGATCGAAACCGGTATAACTCGCGTGATGGGGAGATACACTGGAGGCCAGGCTTCTCAGGCAGGGCTTGAGTTTGAACCATCCCATTCCCTTCTTGTCTCTTTGACTAAATCGGTGGTATAATCAACAAATGAGAAGTTGGTTATCTTCGGAAGACTTACCACTTTTGCTTGCTCTTGCTGCAGTAGAAGGTATGCCAATATCCAGTCGGATCCATGGGATGCTTCTGCCCAATAGCTAGTCTGGCTCACATGCAGCTCAATAGGCGTCTCCGGCCGTGACAAGGTCGAAGTAGGTTACATCTTTCCGAGGACTACTGTTACCGCGACCAGCGTAGTCATGCATATATGTGCATATATAGCCCGAACAGGGTTCCCCTCATGTGTCTGTCGAATTAGATGGCCCTACACGCAGAGGAGGGGTCGTGCACCGGAAACGTAGTGTAGCAGAACATGACTCCTCCCGGAGGAACTAACCGCTCTTTGATAAGAGATATTCTCGCTGCGGTGGCGTGTGTAGGGCATGTCGATAGACCAGAAACATTAGATCGTTCAGAACGAGGCGGGAATTGGGTACGTGGCGTCATGTGGTGGGAGAATCAACCCTGTCGCTCGATCACTCCCTCTAGACGTGATCATGTTGGGCTACTGGCGCATACCTGATCTAAACCAAAACAGAATAGCACAATTGGAGCAAAGACTACAGTTAATCTATATTTCATCCCCCCTCCCCCTTCTCGAAAGCCTAGGTAGTATATTAATAGTAGCTATGGGCCGCGTGCATGTAACCCCTGAAAAATAATCTATTGCGTCATGTCCATTCCGAACAATAAACCCAGTGAAAGAATTCCTATCGAATGTGAGAAGAATTTTAAAATTAACCTTTTGGAGCACAAGCTGAGGAGATACGAGGGGTAGATATGGGAAACTGCCTGATAATTAAGTAGTTTATTACTTTTTCTTTTGTTTCTCCTTTCATTTGCGTTATATTTATCAGGTTCTGAATCAAGGATGTTTCTGTGATGCTCATGCCACTTTGGCGGACCAGGAGCGAGAGAAATGGAGACATTCTAAGATTAAGCCCCAGAGACGGAAACTTCCATATCTTTGTCGGCGGGCATGCTACATAGAATCGGCATGGACCATACGAGCGCGAATGCCTCCATTGGGCTTCTCGGATCAGCTCCAGAGCTGATATTTTTAATAATAAATTGCTAAGCCGTCGTTAGGTCGTATTTTAGGCTCGTTGAGTCGCGAAATTCCACCCTGGACCCACCATACTAGGATTGAACTATAACGAACACTTGGGTAATATTTGGAAGTGGGTCCACTAGCGGTATTGCTTCGGAGATTACAAAAACGATGCTTCACTTTCCATGTTCCGCGCTAGGCGATATTAGGGAATGTTCTTGCGAAAGTGGATCCGAATAGTCTTATCACCTGTGCGTCTTTCCACAAACATAAACTTTCGTTCTTCATTCGACAAGAACCCGCCCCACGAGTGAAATCGAACAGTTGCCACTCGGCAATCAACTAATTATACCTGTATGGAGTTTCCCTGCAAAATTCCTTCCATTCGATGTTGGTCCGGCTCAGAAGTGGCTCGGAGGATTCAGCGGGGAAATCGGAAAAAAAAAAAAAAGGATGAGCTTATTCCAAACCCGAGGCTCACTATTTCGGATGACCTCCGAGGGATAACGGGTAGATGTCTCCACAAGCGATGAATCCTCTTCGTTTCACCTAAGGAGATTATTATTAAGTATAAGCCGCGAATTGTGGGTCCTTGTTACTTATTGTAACAAGTACTTACAATGGGCCTAGCTTATATGGTTAAAAGGACTTTGGTGATCTAATAAGGTCCGGCGCAAGCTACTACTCCACATGACCCTCAGACTAAAAGCTTTTTTATTACAGGAGTATTTGACCTTAAAAAAAAGACTGTAGAAATGCTGGGATATTGCATCATATTCAATATTAAAAAGAAACTTGGATAACGTAGGCAAGCGCCCGTTCCTGTTAGTAAAAGAAACGGACTTTGACAAAAGCTCTTTGAAGAATGTCAAGATACAATCCTGCTCGGGGTGCCTCTGAGGATTTGGATATTCGAGAAAGAGAGTGGGGGGGAATTGGAGGTGATCGACTTCAGCTCCACCACTAGGCCCCCATTTTGGTTTCACTACACGAGCTGTTCTATGCTTCCTCAAAAGCTAAGTGTTGTGGGCCCCTTATTACATGTCAGGGCGAGAACGGTGTACTCGGCCGATGGTTTGATATTATTCAAGGTGCAAGTTTCTACGCACCCCACATGTATACCAGGATAAAGTCCTCTCTGAAATTTCAGGCTAAAAGAGATCAAATATAATACCATCCGAACTTTTTATTGGCATTTTGGATAAAACAAGTAGCAATCCGTTCTCCATTGGTGAACGAGATAGATGATGCAACCCCGGTTTCGTATCGGGGAAGGATTTACCTTCTAGCTAACATTTGAAAATATGGACTTCTCTTCCCTACGACATGCTGGCTGCTGCTCTGTATAAGTATCGCCTCCATCTCTCATTGATGATGTCCTCTACCACACTCGTTTCCTTCCATCGACTCGACAGCCAACATGTTGCCCAATATGGTTCAACTTAAGACAGCTGCTCTGGCTCTGCTCTTCGCTGGACAGGCGCTGTCCGGAACTGTCGAGTCCCGACAAGCCTCTGAGAGCATCGATACCAAGTTCAAGGGCCACGGAAAGAAATACCTGGGAAACATTGCTGATCATGGCACCTTGAACAATAACCCTAAGACCCCGGCAATCATCAAGGCTAACTTCGGTCAACTGACTCCGGAAAACAGCATGAAGTGGGATGCTACTGAACGTGAGTACCGATGACCCAGGATAACTCGATAATCAGACGTTGACTTGCAAAACAGCAAGCCAAGGACAGTTTTCCTTCGCAGGATCGGATTATCTGGTACGTACCCAAATTCTTTCACCGCAAAGTATTCTTTGCATGGTTCTTACCCATTCCAGGTCGATTTTGCCGTGACAAACGGGAAACTGATCCGCGGCCATACTCTCCGTAAGTGCCCAAGGCTTCAAAGTTCAGACATATCACGGAAACAGAAGCTAAACCCGCCAAGTGTGGCACAATCAGCTCCCACCTTGGGTCTCTTCCATCACGGACAAGGCGACCCTAACAGATGTAATGAAGAACCACATCACCATGGTAATGAAGCAATATAAGGGCAAAGTCTACGCTTGGGTATGTTGTGTTCGCCGCGAGAGTCCCACCGAGCTACATTACTGATTGACCGAAGGACGTTGTCAACGAAATCTTCGAGGAGGACGGTACCCTTCGTGACAGCGTCTTTTCCAAGGTTCTTGGGGAAGACTTTGTTCGGATCGCCTTCGAAACAGCTCGTGCCGCAGACCCAGAGGCAAAGCTCTACATTAACGATTTCAAGTGAGTCGTAGCCCTCGGCTTCTTTCTTTTCTGTGTTCTTTTTTTCATTTTGCTATTCTAACCTTAAGTAGCCTGGACTCCGCCAGCAGCCCTAAGTTACAGGGTATGGTCAGCCACGTTAAGAAGTGGGTTGCTGCCGGAATCCCAATCGACGGAATTGGTAAGATACTTCCCATGGCAGTTCGCCGTGTACAATTACTCACTCCTTTCTAGGCTCTCAAACCCACCTAAGCGCGGGTGCCGGTGCCGCAGTTTCCGAATAAGTACCCTATTCCTCCTTGGCCGAAAACTACCTAACAGCCTCTCACAGCTCTTAATGCTCTCGCTAGTGCAGGAACGAAGGAGGTTGCTGTCACCGAGCTTGATATTGCTGGCGCCAGCTCTACCGACTACGTAAACGTAAGTCTCCATGATGCCTGCTATGAATGGCCCCTCACTAAAATCTCTCTTTTATAGGTTGTCAACGCCTGTCTGGACCAGCCGAAGTGTGTCGGAATCACAGTTTGGGGAGTGGCTGACCCGGTAAATGCCAATTTTCTCTCAGATCAAAGAGACTATGTACTAATGTTCTTGGTAGGAATCGTGGCGTGCCGACGAGAGCCCGTTGCTTTTCGACAGCAGCTACAACCCCAAGGAGGCCTACAATGCCATTGTAGATACCCTCTAGGCGAGATATTTTCGATCTCAATCTGAAGCTACGAATTCTGCTACTGAGGATGCTGCACTACAGGTTGACGCGTAGAACCGATGTTGTTGAGATACAAGTGTGACGGTGAAGAATGGCTAGGAAAGCTAGGAAAGAATGTTGTGATTATCGTTGAAGAATAGTGTATTCGAGGAAATACTCTCGCTTTACCAAATACAATCGGAAGGTTTTTTCTAGTTGAACGGAACTTGCTTCTTACTCTAATTGAAGCTAAGAAAACGGACATGGTTGAAACCATCCTAGGATGCCTTTTTTTTAAAAAAGAAAAAAAAAATTAGCAGGCTGAGCGCTTGTTTGCCAAGGTTAGTCCTCTATATATAGAAAGGCTTTACTCTGCCAGTTTGATTGGCGAGACTTTCTTCCTTCGTTACTAGCGTATAGCTATCAAGCACAACTAGAGTATTTGTCTACAACTATTGGCACTAGCTATGGTGATACATAAATTCTAGACCGACGTTGGGACTTACAGAGGCGGAGTGTTTCTCAGCTGCCGCAAGAACGGCAATATCAGCCATGAATAAGATAAGCTCACCGTCACGCTGTGGCTTGCATTATACCCGTCAGTCACGATATGTAGACGCGGTTACTAACATGCCCAGTTCATCCGTCGACGAATAAATTTCGGCGCACCTTCGTCTCGGTATTCACATGCTAGATACTCAGCAGCTCGCTCATCAGCGGCGATTGCTGGGCTACTCTATGGACCACCACTACGAGCCGCTCCTTGAACCACGCTATCTGCTTGGATTATCCCTGCATCTTATTGAAACGAGCTTTTTATTTAGGAAGGGGTGAGATCCACTGCGGCTGCAGTCCCTGAGCCACCAATGTTAATGAGTTACCCAGGAAAGCTGAAACAACCGTTATTTATCCAACGGGTTTTTTCTGGTCAGCAACAGCCGACTATAGCCTAAATTCCGGCCTTCTGAACTTTTATCGCGTCCTCACTGAGCCATACAATTTACCCTTATCTATTCATTTTCAACAAATGTCTTGTCCTGTTCTACTTAACTTTGGTTCCTTTACAGCATGACCTGCTAGAGACCCGATATATGCCAGCTTGGTCCTTGGACATTGTACGTTCTAGCATATCATACTGGTTGAACCAGGGAACTTTTGTCACTGTGAGCGGGCCAGGGAGAGATCGTATTCCACCGTCGTCATTCAATACTTTAATATAGTTTGGTTGTATATCATTAGTCTGTAATTTTGTATACTACCGGTTATTGAATTATACACCCGCAACTACCGTACCAAGGAATGCTTGGTTTCTGCGAAATATTGCCGACTAACGGACTTACTATGGTTTACAGGAACAGAATCGTAGATCTCTGTCTCACCAACGAAGAGTGGGAACAAATCGTGCCTCGACCCCGAAAATATTGACTACTTTGAAATTGTTCCTTGTCCTGATCGACAAGCCTAAATGATTCGCCTCTCTGCGAATATGACCCATAAGCAACGGGAACGGCTTCAGGGTCTAATTTACGCAAATGGTTTCTTCCCGCCAAGTGTATTTCATTCTTCACCTTCCAGGTCCCAGCAGGTCAGGTACTATGAAAAACATCAAGCGAAGAATACCCCATTTCGGGGCAGTACTCAAATATTTCCGATAATTGACCGGCCGATCTACATAGTACCTACACTTTTTTCCACAACCGACTTGTTTCAATTTCGTACGGGGACATGCCCCACCAAATTAAAAATAGTTATCTTATACTTCCATATATATATATTCAAACACCACTAAATTATATGGCCATTTAATATATCATAGGAAATAGGACGTTGAATTAATAGGACTTATTTTAATGGCTTAATATATGGCGGACCCCACAATCTTCTTGGATTACCAGTTTATCATGTGGAGTAAAATCCCAGAACACAAGCGATGGGTTCGGCCCCTATAATTTTTGTTGAAAGAGGTAAACCTTATTGCCCATCCAGACGCTATGTGGTGTTTATATCCGACGGGATAATAGATATCCCCCGTCAGACGATGTTGCACCAGACCAAGGAAGACAGACGATCACAATAACAGGAGTGAACATCGTTGGCCAGGCTCCGTCTATTTAAGCCTCATCGTTCGCTGTTCTCTCAGTTTTCGTCATTCATCCAAATGGTGATTCCCTTATTCCCTTCAATATTCTATTGACCAGGGCCCTCTCCACTCCGATGCCTAACATGAAGCTCTTTGTCGGACTTGTTACACTTGCGGCCACCGTTGTGGGCCAAAAGCTCTGTGATAAGTACGACAGTGCTAGAAGCCCCCCATACTCGGTGAACAACAACTTGTGGGGAGAATACCAAGGTACCGGCTCCCAGTGCGTGTACATTGACAGCCTCTCCAGCGCGGGTGCGTCGTGGCACACTACTTGGATCTGGAACGGCGGTAAGGGAACGGTGAAGAGCTACTCTAACTCAGGCGTGGACTTCGAGAAGAAGCTCGTAAGTGATGTGCGAACCATTCCTACCGGGGTGGAATGGACGCAGGATAACACCAATGTCGATGCTGATGTTGCATATGATATGTTCACCGCGGCAAACGTGGATCATGCTACATACAGCGGTGATTATGAACTGATGATTTGGTACGTGTGAACAAAGCTCTCCTAAGTTGATTGATTAGATCTATCGTTTTCCCAGAAAGAGCATAAAACTGACACTACCGGCGTTGGGCCGCATGCTAGGCTTGCCCGTTACGGCACAATCCAACCCATCGGTAAGCAGATTGACACGGCCACGGTGGGAGGAAGGCCCTGGGAGGTGTGGTATGGCACCAGCATCCAGGCTGGTGCTGAGCAGAAAACGTACAGCTTCGTGCCAGTGAACCCGATCAACAACTACAAAGGGGATCTCAAAGCTTTCTTCGACTATCTCTCCAGCACGCAAAGCTTCCCCTCTGCCACCCAGTATCTGATTAGTAAGAGAACTTTCGACCCGCATGCTTCTGTCGTGGAATTGTCACTAACGCAGCACGACGAATAGATCTTCAGTTCGGAACAGAGCCATTCACCGGGGGTCCCGCAACGTTCACTGTGTCCAACTGGACTGCCAGTGTCTACTAAGGCATAGGGGCATTGGACAATAGAGGCATAGTCTTGGTATATCTCCAAAGCCGACCGGTAAAATTGTGCGTTTGGTTCAGAGCGTTGGATGAGTACGAGCTCGGATTCTCAAAGGCTAGCTGGATAGACAGGCCTATTCAACATGGGCCCCTACCCTTCTAGAGCAGACGTAGATAGTGAACAATGCAACTTATTCCGCTTTGCGCCTCTGGTGTTCTTAGCACCCCTTTTCTACGGGGGGAAATTACAGTCGCGTAGGAAATGACCTTTATAGACATCCTGCCCCTGATCGTTTGACACCGGGCATGGCTCTGCTATATACTCACAGCACGTACGGGGGAGATGGTCTAATATACTTAGGAGTTCGTTATTCTTCGTAGAAGGGAACAGTCAATTCCTGAGGACATGTGAAATAGGAGAGGCCCAAACTCGCTTCCAGCGTCTTGAATATATCAAATCGCGTGTCTTGGGGATGCGGCAGGTTTCATTCCGTTTGTCTCAAGAATCCATTTTTGTAGTTATGGATGGAGTAGAACGTCATATACACTTCCAACGGGAGCAGAGCTGAGTACAAGTATAGTGGCTGTGGTCATGGTTACGGATATCCGGTAAATCATGAACAGACTTCCATCGTAGATCCGTAAACCTTGGACACTTTTTAAGCCACTCAGCCTGTGAAACAAGTCTAAGGCCTTTTGCTGTAAGCTTCGTGTGCATGAGAGATACTGGTTCTGGTTTTACTTGGTCCCATCCCCCACCGATAGAATCCTGACATGGTAGGTGAATGTGCTCGTATCGTTGATTACAAGGGTTGCGGATCTTGACCCTCGTAATTACATCAGGTTAGGTGCCTGAGAATGGCACTATACTCCGCACATCCCGGAGAGTCCGAACCCCGGAGCATATCCAGCCCATTACGGCCTGAGATTAGCGACGCTCGTGGCAGTGGAGCCAAAACAATTTATAAGCGCAATGCAATTCGACCCGGATGAGCATGGCTCCATTAGGTCGGCCTGCCATCGGACGAATGAAAGCTAAAAGCAATCATTCCTGTAATGCTGATCGTGAAAATCGAGCCGTAATACTGCCTGGCTACCGTGTTAGTGCTCTGAGAGTCAGAGCCTATCTTTATATTTCTGAGGGTTGTTCTAGGGCAGGCCTGGAGTTTAACAATACCGTCTTGGATCTTCTCCCGAACGTAATGGTAACGTATATCGATGTGTTTGGATCTCTTGGTGGTGAGCTCAGCTTCAGCCATGGCGTGTGCACCTTGATTATCGATATAGAGAGTAATTGGCGGGCATTCAGTAGGGAGCACGTTGAGCTCGTTGATGAGGTTCCGGAGCCAAAGGGCATCTCGGCTGGCTTCACTTAGAGCCATATACTCAGCTTCGTTGGAGCTAAGTGCAACGGACGTTTGCTTGCGGCTTTTCCAGGCAATTGGGGCCCCGGCAAGCAGAAATATATATCCAGATACTGACCGGCGATTGCCTGTCAGTTGACCACCCCAATCAGAATCAGTATAACATCTGGGCATGAGGAGGTCAGATGTAATGGGTTCCGTGGCCTTATGGTAGGTAATTTGTCGGTTAATGGAGCCTTTAAGGTAGCGTATAGCGTGTATAAGGGCACGCCATGCCTTTTGGGTAGGTTTGGCGTGATATTGGGATAGTACGCCAACTGTCCGGCTAAGATCAGGTCGGGTTTTGGTGGCTAGCCAAGTAAGGCAGCCTACACCACGTTGATATTCTTTGATGTTCACTGTAGGGTCTGGGTCATCATCAATTATTAAACTAGGATCCATGGGGATCCCAACAGGGTGTGCTTGTGCTTGGCCAAAAGAGGCAACCACGTCTTCAGCATAATTGGCCTGGGAGAGAGTATATGTGGTCTTGGATTGAGAGGTGGCCATGCCAAGGTATTTGGTAGAGTTTCCAACTTCTTTTATGTCAAATTTAGCAGAAAGAGACTCCATAAACCAAGTGGCATCGTTCTCATGCTTAGCATAGACTTTGAAGTCATCCACATGGGTAGTCACATAGAGTTGGGTCCGGGTGGTATGGATCCAGAGACCAGAGTCGTATTCGGAGCTTTTGAAGCCAATTTGTCGTAAGAAAGCATTTAGTGTATCATACCAGATACGGGCAGATGGGATCAGTCCATAGAGGGACTGGCGGAGTTCACAAACCAGGTCTCCAGAGCCTTCTTTGAATCCCTGAACTTGGGTCATAAAGACACGTTTATCTGTGGGCATTTTTCCATTTAGGAAAGCAAGGATGGCATCTGCCTTTCGAGTATGCCAGCCAAGTAGAGTGGCCAGTGCCGTAAGGGTTCTAGTGGTATTTTCATCTACCACTGGGGCGTATGATTCCATGAAGTCCTTGTCAAGTAGATTTCCACGGATCACCCAGCGAGCTTTAGCTTGGTAGTCCCTTGTAATAGGGGTACCAGGGATTTCTTTCTTTTTGTATACCCACCGGCCAGGGATGACCTTGGTCCCTGGTGGTAGGTCAGAGCGGCGGATAAGTTGCCAGCAGCCTTTTTCTTTGAGTTGGTTGACTTCTTTTTGCATGGCTGCTTGCCACTTGGTGGCATCAGGATGAGATATAGCCTGCTTATAGGAAGTAGGCGTGTCATCTTCAGACGAAGGAGTAGTTGAAGTGGTGAGATAGGCTAGGGACATGCCTTTGGCGGGTCGAAGCCATATTTCCTGGTCTTCATCTTCAACAGGTTGGTTTGTATCTTCTTTATTAGGAGTACTTGGATCTTCAGGAACAGTAGCTTGTGGAGGTGTAGTTGTGGGATCCTCATATTCTTCATCAAATATAGTGTCATTGGTTGAAAAAATGGCGTCTGTTTTAGGGTCCCACACTCTGTATTGTTGGCTACTGATTTGGCCGATCATGAAGCAGCATTTAGAGTGGGAATCGAACTTGTTTATAGGCTTATCTGAGCCATGTCGATGAACCCAGACAGGGCAGCCCCAACGTCGGTATTTGTTGATACTAGTTGGTGAGTTGGTCCAGGCAGCCAGAGGCGATTTATATGGGCTTGGGCTGATTTTTGTGTTGGTATTGACCCCCCCAGGGATAGGTGAATTGAATAGGATTGTGGATGTTGGGAGGCGGTTTGTTATATCTGATGCATATTTTAAAGCATCAACCCAAAATCGCTGTGGTATATGGGGAGCGTCAAGCATTAATGTCCGAGCACGGTCAAAGAGTATGCGTATGCTGCGCTCACTGACACCGTTTTGCCAAGGGGAATATGGAGAACTTGGTTGCCATTCGATGCCTTCCTGACGGTAGGTTTTCTGCCATTCAGCTGAACAGAATTCATTGTCAGAGACAATATAGGCTGGGGCAGGGAAATGGTGATTCTTCATCTGTTGTAGCCAACCCCGAAATGCATCAATTGCAGCAGATCTTTCAGTTAGGTAGTGGATCCAACGGTAACGTGTAGCGTCATCAGTAATAAGCATCACATATTTGGCTCCTGTACGTGAAGGTAGAGGCATATCTAGCTTCTCTATATCTAGTGTTCGGCCGCCACCAGCAAGGTCTATGTGGACTCGGGCTAGTGGTGCAGTCATACGGGATCTTGGTGTTTTGCTGTATTGGCGAGTTTGCTTGCCCTGGATGCAGGCTTCACAAAGTGGTAGTTCTCTGGAACCTTTGATTTCAATGTCTGATGTAGGATCTGCGGCAAGGCGTAAAAGATCCTGCTGGTTTAAATGGCATAGACGGCGATGCCATGTCATAATTGGTAGAGCTGTTTTGGAGCTCTTAGTCTTTGGGGATGTTGTAGGTTTCTTTCTGGGAGGGTCCCCTGGTCGGTTGGCCTCTTTGCCAGACCGGGTGGTGACAAAGGCATAGGAGCTCTCGTTGGGAGAAATGCAATCTGATAGGATGAATACATTGTTGGTATTCAAAATGGCTTCAAATTCTGCACCAGAAGAGGTTGTGATTTGTGCTACTTGAGAGCTGGAAGGGAATTCGATACGAAAACCTTGTTTGAGAAGCATTCCCATGGAGATTAAGTTGGAATTGAAGGATGGAACATGTCGTACATCCCTAAGGATCAAGGATCCGGTTCCAATATCAATGACGACGGTGCCAATACCATGAGGTTTGGAAATCTTCCCTTGAGCATCTTCAATATAATCCGCTGGAGTAAGGTCCTCCTTTCTCAATGTTTTATAGGACGTGAAGAAAGCTTGGTGGGGTGTAACATGGAATGAAGCACAGCTATCAAGATACCATGAAGCTTGGAGAGATTGGGCTGATTTAGCAATGGCTGTTTTTGCAGCTGAAGAAGTCCATGGTACCAGTTCATTGGTTTCTGCTTCAGAGAATGAAGCAGTGGAAGATTCTTTAGCAGTGTGTAAAGCACGAATAGCTTCAATAGTATTTTTATTGGCTCGGTGCCAATGCTCAGAGGCTTTCTCAGGGTTCTTGTAGAGGCAAGGCATTGGGTGGAAATGACCACACCAATCACAACGGGTCTTTGGTTTGCGTGAGTCCTGGTCCTGAGGTTTATATTTAGTGTTGGAACTTGAGGCGGAAGAGCTAGCAATGGGGTTAGATGCTTGTTTGGAATAGCTTCGTCCGGATAGATTCTCTCGTCGTCCTCCGTGTTGGGAGCGGGATTCACGGGCTTGGGTGCCCATACGGATAGAGAGTTGAGCTTGAATGGTAGTTAGGTCCAGATTGATGACAGGGTCTTGTCCAGTTGAGTATACTTCATCAAGTTTACTCTTAATGAATGCTTTGTTCCATTCGCGGAGGCCTATAAAAAATAGGTCGTGAATAAGGTTGTCAAATGATGCTTCTTTTATAGCATGAAGGCGGTCTACTATCCTAGTAAACGCAGATTGGTAGGATAGGTAGTCATTGTCTTTTATATAGAGCTCCTTGAGCTCTTTTATGAGAAGCATTCGTTCTTCACCAGTAGAACGTCCGAAAAAGGTAGCAGTTCGGTCCCATAAACCATGGGCTGATAGGTCATATGTGTTGCCCAATTTGTCAATGGCTTGGGCAGTCATAGCATGAAGCATTCGGGCTCTCATGACAGTGGCTTTGCAATGCCATACTTCAGCATCATAAGCTGAGTATCCTGCTGGAGGTATATCCTGATGCAAGACTGTACTAGCGTTCAGGACATTGGCTTCTCTTTGAATGGCTGAACTCCAGGGGTCGTAATTATCATGAGACAGTGTGATTCGGCATCGGTCTGGTAAGAGCGCTTTAACTTGAGCTTGTACATGATCAAAAGGATCTTTTTGTACTGGATTTGAGGCTGGAATAGCTGTATTATTTTGAATATGATTGTAGGGAGTAGCGTTATGCCGGACTGTAGGAGTGGAGGATTGGGATTGATGGCGTTCAAGGGCATTAAAACGAGTCATGAACTGGTCCATCTGCTTCTGCATTTGCTCCTGCATCTGCTTCTGCATTTGTTCCTGCATCTGCTTCTGCATTTGTTCCTGCATCTGTTCCTGCATCTGCTGGAACAGAGCTGTGATGTCTGGTGTGGATGCCATGGTGTTGGCTGTAGTAGAGCTTTGAGCTCTAGGGGCAGTTGGGGTGTCCATTTCTTCAGAGATTACTGAGGAGGCGGAGGAGCCTATATCTGATGAAGGATCTGTGGATTCTGGCTGACGACGGTGACGTCTAGCGGTGGTAGGGGGCGTTCGAGGCACCACCATTTTGGATGGGATCGATCGAAGGATCCTGGGGTTCAGGGGCCGATTGTTGGCGGTCCTGGTGTTCAGAGTCGCTTAGAAGCGCTCGATTTCTGGTTTGACCAATGAGAGGTCACAATTTAGCCTATCTGAAAGGCTTTTTTTTTTAAGCTCAATATCGTAGAGCTAAAACGGGCTCATAACCTAATGGATAGGCGCATGTATGGTCATATTACTAGGTAGGCCTGCCTGTGCCGTGAGATAGGTAGCGAGGGAGGTCTAGGACGGCAGAACCTCACGTGTACTAACATGAGCATGCCATTAGCACGTGATCCTGTGGGATCGGACTTCGCTATTGATTCTACTACCGGTAGAGTTATTTTAGGACGATTGATTGCAAAGATGTCCTTGTCTTCAGCCTTTTTTTTTTTTTTTTTTGCTTTTTGGAACGCATATGAAACGCTGGTGCCTAGATTTCACAGCAATCCCAAAGCTGTCCATCAACTTGTAGATAATAAAAAAATACTAGCCAGTCAAATCCTTTACCCCATTGTTCTCAATCTTATGGGTTTCCTCTGGAATGCGCAGACCCAGATATCTGCACCCTCCTTAGCTGAAGTCAGTACGCCATACATGTTCTGTATTGACCAGTTATTGCCTACATCACAGTCATTTGCAGCTGCATTGCAGTAGTGTGGGATTATAGCAGTACATGATACCTATTCATGTCATTATCTGTTGGATGAGGCGTATACATGCCTCTCTAGCCAACCGTACCCGTATCCTTTGAGGCCTACAACCCCCCAGTTTGAATTCTACCTAGACTAACAGAAACCCTTCTCTTTCCTCACTTTGCTCAAAGATCCTTCATTACTTCAAGCATCACCTGTCTCGACATTCTATCCACAAGCAACACTCCTAAAGCCAAATTGATATAGCAGTATGTCCAGCATTCATACTCTTCTTAACTTCCCATCTGATTTGGCGCATAATAAAAAAAAGGAGCCTCTCTTGCCCTCTTGTGGCATGTTAAGCATTTCTGACTCCATCCCAGTTTGTTTCCCCAGAAAGAAAATGAATTCCCTGATGGGTGACATCAAAGTCGAGTTAGCAGCGAAGAGAGAACGTCTCCGAGAACTTCACCAGGAACAAATACAGACCATTAATTTTATCCGCGACCTCAAGGGTCAAAAAGCGGCCCTGGAACAACTCACCACCAGCGCCCGGAAGTCAAAGGAAACACGCCACAAACAAGACAGTGGAATGACTGTTGATGAACAGATAGCGAAGGAAGAAATGAAGGCACAAAAAATAACAGATGAAATAGACGCTCTTGAAATGGCAATTTCACTACTTGAAGAATGATCTCTGAAATGCAAGGGATATCAGCGTTTATCAGAACAAAGACTTGTCAGTGACTTCCTCCATTTCCAGTGAGCAAGATATGCAGTGATTATTGCACCAATACCAACCACCCATTGCAACCCTAGCCTTCGTCCTTTGATTTCAGGTATTGCAAGCTGAAGCCGGCATATCCATCGACTAAAATAGCGCCACATCAAATGGCTTTGGGGATTGTCTCCAGTTATGTCCGCATTTGTTTGCTCCTGACTCTGGCGGTATTCTTGAATTTTCCGGGAAATTTCAGCAACTTCCTCTTTAGTGACGGGTTGCAAGACATGCCCTTGCTCTATACCCAACTCTTCACGCCGTTTTTCAAACTCTTCGAACTCTCTCATCTTTGTATCCACAGCAGTTAATTCAGGTTTTCGAAGCTCAAGACTGTAAAAAGTATCCACTCGCTTCTTCCTGTCTCCACCATAGTACACATGGTCCAAAACATTCCAGTAAATGTTCGAAAAGTAATGAGGTTTCAATAACCCATGCGGAAGTAGGAAGGATGTCATGTCCCGCAAATCTTTCCATCTCCCATACAAAGGAAGATCGTCAATAGATTTTTTTTGAGGATTGTAGTACTTATATTCTCGGTGAAAGACTTTCCTCCTAAAGTTAAAGGCCTCAATCTTGTATAGAAGACTTGATATTGCTGATCTGGAGATTTCAAGGACATCTTCATTGGTAAGCCAGTATGGGGGAACAAACATCTGAATGGGAATAGTATGACTAAATTCCCAGTCCAAGATAGACACAATGTTGAAGTCCTTGTCAATCACAATATTAGGCGGGCGCAGGTCACCGTGCATCAGGACGAAAGGGCCGTGATTGAGATCAGGGTCAACCCACTCCATTAACACAGCCAGAGAAGAGAAGTTGCCGTACAGATAGAACCGAGCATCCTCCTTGTCAAGGACAGAGTCCGGGCAGCGATAGAAGTCATTCGATATCACTTTTGTAAGCATATACACATAGTCAATTGTGGATCCAAAGGTTCTCTCAGGAGGCAGATAACGACAGATATCACGGCCGCTGACTTCTTGCTCATTGATGTCAACAGTCAAAGGTCGGTTGTGGGCAAAGACCCAGTCTTTATCGTTCTCATCTAGTGTGAGTGCGCCTACCCAGTCAAATTGTTGGCGATGAAGCTGGATATAGACATCAGCTAACTGAGAATAGAGATGTTCTTTCTTTGACAACTCCAGCTCGCTGATTTTGATGCCAAACAGGGTGTCGCCTTCTATATACTCAAGCAGCATAAATGGAAGGCCAAGGATATTATCGACGTGAATTGAGTAGCCGTGTAAACGAGGTATGGGGATGGTGGTCTTCTCTGAAAGATATCTGTACCTTGTAAGATATTGATTGCCAGGGGGGGAGGGAGAGCAAAAGAGCTCTTACTTCATTGTTGCAATCTCGCTGCGGAGTTTCTCTTCAGGAAATGCCAGTCGAGGCAGCAGTGGAATTCTCACCATCCATTTTTCTCCTTCCATACTCCCCTCCGTGTTGAAGATAACAGGAAAGCAGACATTGTAGCTTCCCCTCTTTAGATCTGCAAAAATTCGACAAGGCTTTCTGTCTGGATGGAAGGATGAGGCCAGCTCACAGACTTTCTCCAAGCTGATTGAAGATATTAGCTTCTGAACTGCTTCATCAAGCTGGTGTTTAGTGATCTGATCCATGGTTGTTATGCACGTCTCTGCTTTAACGTTCTATACCAGGTACACACTCGGTAATCCGTAATTTGCTGGAGGAAAGAATTCAGATAAGCTATCAAGAAATGTTCCCCACCCCTCCGCTTTTTGTCATCTTAGGAAAGTGAGGTGTGCTGGAACGGGAAAGAAGCCCCTGGCGGCTGTATGAATCCACTGCTGGCCATGGGATTTATGGCACGTGATGCCAAGACTGAATGTTGGATCACGTGGGATTCTACCGCATAGGTCCGCCCTCGCTGACCCTTTTCACCACGTAGGCCTATCTAGCTAGTAACCAACCAACGATACACCTCCATTAGCCAAGCCGCCATACCACTGTAAAGGGGGGCGTACGTGAGTTGTTCCCTGCGATAGGAACCGGGTTGTGATCGAGGGATCTCAGGAATGGATATACCAAGGCGATGCCGCTATACCACGCGGCACCGAACGATCTTAGCAAGAAAACGATATAACGATAAAAGGAAACACAACGACGAAGGAGCCTCACTCCGTTCTATACAATGATAGTGATACTAGCGAAGCAACCTAGAAACCAAAAGAATGCTCTATTTCTCGTAACTATCTGGGAGGGAACCCTCCATTAAGTACTCCGGCCGCGGGCTCCACCATACATTAGTATGTCGGAGTCCGCGGTTCTACGGTGTTCCAAGATAGGAAATATGGGAGATCCGGGGTTTCGCAGTGCCCCCGGCACACCACGTGACCTTTTCCATATCAATTCTGAATCGGGGTTTCATTTGATCATGTACGAACTGGCGCAGTAAGGAGGACTTTGGTGTTGAACGGTCCATAAGCGTGGTTTGGGCCGGAGGCTTATGCAATGGCATTTCCCTTTTGGCTGGCTCGCCAACATTTTGTTGATGGTTTCCATGATCAGCTCCTTCCTAGTTAAGTTTGTAACCCCAACTAGTTAGGGTTAATTAGTTTGTCCGACTCCAGCCTCCCTAACCAACCCAGCGAGTTCAACCCCATCAACATCTTTCAAGACCCAGATACAGCAACTTCCACAATCCTTCCAGTCTTATAAAGCGATTCCTTCATGCCAACTGTTTGTCCAGTCATATCGTGACAAAATGCCTTCTGTTTATTTGTCTAATATTTCCAACGCCTCAGTTGAATTCAAGACATACAGCGAAGAACTAGACTATTCGGCGGAAGGAAAACCGGAGCCAAACATTCGCTCACAGACATTGGTTTACCGCTTTAATAGCTCACAGTGGTGGATAACAGTGACATTTCAAGGTTATGTTTACAGCCTGATATCGAAACGAGAACGTCGCAATGAATTTCGAACTTTTGCCAGTCTCATAGACTACAACTCACTTCCTCTGCTTGATGACACTATCACAGAACTAATTCTAGCCGAGGTTTCTGGAGGACAGAATTCGAAAGTCATTATACATGAAAGTGAAGCATCTGCCAACAATCCCTTTGTGAGGATCGCTTCCAAATTGGGATGGACCATTCGGGAAGATCCTTCAAGGGTAGTTTATCCATTATGCGATGAATTTCCCTCCTTTCGACTTATCAACTTGAATGAGCTTTCCGACAAGAAAGAGATTGCAGATGGAGTCTTCCAAGTCATCAACATCAACAACAAGACACCGTATATACTCAAAGTTGTGAACCGCCCCCTCTATCATCCTCATGACACGGAGGTCATACGCAAAGAACTAGAAAATCTTGAGATATTTCGAAATGTGCCAAATATTGTACAGGCTGCTGGTATCGCGGTCTCTACAAACCCTTATATGACGTCAAGCAGAAGGGATCAACCACTTGTTGTCATGGGTATTGTGCTGGAATATTACAGTGGTGGCTCTCTACAAAGAATCCTGAGTGAACACCACCTGCTTGGATTTCCCTGGGAACAGTGGGCTCTACAAATTGCTACTGCATTATGCTGTTTCCACAAGGCTGGGAAATCCCACATGGATATTAAGCCTTCAAACGTTGTTCTTGATGCAGATGGAAACGCAGTGCTTATTGACATCAGTGGTATTGGTGGAATCACACATGGATGGCGTGCCCCGGAGATCCGAGATGAGATATTACCTAGTGAACTCCCGGTTGAGATGCGTCAATCACACGACACCTGGGCTTACGGAAAGCTTCTGTTGGAACTCGTTCTCCATGCAGAAGACAACCCTGTTACAAAGAAATTGAAGCAAATTGCTGATTGCTTAATGATAGAGAAGATGAATGAGCGCATGACTATCTCTGAGGCTATCCCAAAACTGAAGCTTGCTGGTAGTGATAATATTCATGATACATGCGAGTAGGGACCGATGCAGCTGGGGTGATCAAGATCCAGGGGAGGACAACACGCAGGAAATATCCGGATCAGTATTACATTCTGTCTGTCCAATTCCTGTCCAAATATAACATCCAGACTCGCAAACAGAGCTAGCGTGAATGGAACTCTAAACTATTGTCTTGCAAGTCCTGGTTCTACTTTTTCACCTTTTTCCAAGCTATCATTTCAACAATCCTGATATGGCAAAGGCGGTTTCTTTCTTGTACTATGTACCTACTCTAAAAAGGTGGAAATATCAATCCAACCTTCCTCGCCAGCTTTGTTTATTTTATGAACCCATAAGTTATTTCACCAACGAACCTGCAGGTAACACTTATTTTCACACCCTGATCAATAAAAAAACCTGGGTGTATTTCATCACGGATTTGTTTGATGTCTAGACAGTTTTCCAATGCTATGTCCCGCACCTTAATATTGTCTGTAAACAGATCAGTCTTCACACGTGATAGCTGCCAAATTGTATACTCCACCACATCTTTGAGGGGCCCAAGATTATCAATAGAATCAACCTGGGTGGCTCTTGTCCCAGTATCACTTAATGATGATACGAGTGGCTGGGACGGTTGCGTCGGGATGACATTGGATATTAATTGGGTGGCACATCGGCCCAGTTGTAGGGTTGGAAGCTTTCTGTCTCCTTTCGCGGTCTCTCTCTTCCTCGGCGTAAAGTATTTCTCGGATGTTGTGAGGAACGTCATCATGGGTTTCCAAGGTACCACCATCTTCCACATGGGCGGCAATGCTTCCTATGTGATGCCCTAAAAGTTTATAATGCTTTTTCCCCAGTCCAAGCAACAGAATTGACCGTTATGGTGGCATGGGCGGCCAGGGCAACGCATTACCCGATAAACATGTCTCCAGGCAGAAGTCTGTCCAGAGGACCGCTCAGCATCAATCTGAGCCTCTCGCTCTTTGAGCATCAGAAGGAAAGAGGCGAGGGCAGCTGCCTGTCCTCAGCCCTAGCCCTGTGCCCTACTTGCTCAATCTGCTGGCACCTTCTAAGACGTGCCAGGGTCACATGCTGACGGTCATACCTCAGGTACGGTCGTCACACAGATGGCCTAGAGTTAGGGCTAGTAAGATAGCTGAATAGCCATGTTACTGTCGATTTTACTTATACTGCTTCCCCAGAAGTCTGCTTCCAACAGGACTATAATATGTGTATCCAGCTTGACACTCTTTCTCTACATACCATGTTTACATCCAGTTTGGTGAAAAACTGCATATGCCTACCTCAATTATTATAGTATACACTGTCTATGCACCCGTAAGGTGCCGATGACACTTTTAATTCTCAAACACTTACTAATGAAAAACCCCCACAGAGCACCGTCTTGCAATCAAGGACCTCGAAGGAAGCTCGTCTTGGCCAAATCCTCCGATATACTCATAGGCTCTTGGCCAGGTTATAGCCCGTGGCAATACTAGGAGTCGTAGATGGAAAACGGAGAACGCGAAGAGTCTTGGATTGAGTACCTTGAAGGCATAGTCCGTTTCCGCCGCCTTTGATACGTCCCGGAGACTCTTGGCCAGGACTACGGTGCTTGGCGAGAGGGATCTTGGCGGAGATTGAGCGACTCGTTGTATCTCTCATGATGTTAGCATAGGAGTGTGGGTGGGCAGGTAGAATGTTACCTTGGGGGCAATGGGACGTTTATTACCCCCGTGCTGGACGCGCTGAACGAACTGTTTCTATTCTATTCCATTTCGTTTTCCTGAGCAAGAAGCGTTCATCATGGTCAACAAATTCCTGCTCATTATTGTTGCTGCCGCTGTTACTGCAGTTCATGCGCAGACTTCCTACTCCGGATGCCATACGCATGGCAGTGTTGAGTACTGCTTTGGGGCTGATGGTGAGGAAAGCCCCATCACTACTCATGCTCCTGAGACCGGAACGGGTACTCGTCCGACGAGTGTTGCTGCTACCACCACCGGGACAGGAGAGAGCACAGCCGTGACAGGGTGTCATAATCATGGATCGGATGTGTATTGTATCGATGGCGATGGACATGAAGTTTCGGTGTCTCTGGAGGTTACTCCGACGGGTGAACTGCCGGCGCAATATACTGGGTGTCATTCTCATGGTGATGGACGGTAAACTGCCCTATGTCGACCCATATACTGCATCCGGCTCATCTGGTGGACTGTTAGATACTGCATTGACCCCGATGGCAATGATGTCCTAATTGTCGAGGAAGGTACATCGTCTGAAGCAGAGGGAGACGTTCATGAACATGAAGACTCTCACGGCGAAAACTGCCATTTTCACGCAGGCGTGGAGTTAGTATTATCTCATGCCCTACCTGTTCTCGAGTTAACGAATGTATAGGCACTGTGTCGGCGCAGGGGAGTCAGAATCAGAATCTAGCAACGCAAGATCGTGCAGGCTCAGAGATCGAGATTTCGACGTCCCTCTACGAATCGGGACTCTCTTCGTGGTGCTCGTCACCAGTTCCATTGGGGTTTTTGCACCAATGCTCCTGATAAAGATCCCCTTCAGGACTATTAACACGATGGTTTTGACGGCAGTAAAGCAGTTTGGAACGGGGGTAATCATGGCCACTGCATTTATCCATGTACGGATTTGGAATGTGCCATTTAACTCTCAGAGAGTTATAACTAACTGTTTGACTCAGCTCTATACGCATGCCTCCCTCATGTTCAACAACGACTGCCTCGGAGAACTCGAATACGAAGCCACCACGTCTGCCGTCGTCCTAGCAGGAGTCTTCCTCTCTTCCTTAACAGAATACATAGGCCATCGCGTAATCCTCGCGCGCAGCTCCCCGTCATCCGCCAGTGGGAACGAAGACATCTCCGAGTCTCAACCTCATCCTAAGAACGGACAGGCAAACACCACGGCATTAACCCAATTCAGCTGCAGCCACGGCCACAGCACCTCCGATCCCACAAAGCCAGACACCAAATTCTCCGTCCTCGTCATGGAAGCCGGCGTGCTCTTCCACAGCATCATCATCGGCGTCACTCTCGTCGTGGCCGGAGACTCCTTCTACAAGACCCTCCTGGTAGTCATTGTATTCCACCAATTCTTTGAGGGTTTAGCCCTAGGCGCAAGAATTGCGACACTACCAGCCACGAAAATCTTTCCGTCGAAGGTTCTCATGGGCGCAGCATTCTCCTTGATCACGCCCATCGGCATGGCTATTGGCTTGGGGGCATTACATTCGTTTAACGGCAACGATCGGGATACGCTGATCGCGCTGGGAACGCTGGATGCACTGTCTGCGGGTATTCTCGTGTGGGTGGGCGTGGTGGATATGTGGGCGAGGGACTGGGTGATTGAAGGGGGTGCATTGACTGATGCCGGAGCTGGCAGTGTAGCTGTCGGGGGAGTGTCCCTGGTGGCTGGAATGGTGTTGATGGGATTACTTGGGAAGTGGGCATAGAACAGGGTATCCTGGTGGTTCCGTGCGTACAGTTAGGTGAGGCTAACATTCCGAGCCAGGATTAGGCATAAGGTCTTTTTAATTACCACCTGAGGCATGGAAACGAGCAATTGCAATGGAGCATGGGATTTTGTTTGCAGCTATCTAACAGACGTTGCTGGCAGAACAGCTTTGACCAGAGGACAGGTCGAAGATCACTTCAACTACCTTGTCTTTCGTCTCTCAAATGCAGGCTGTCTCTTCTGACCCGTGGCTGGAAGACATACATTATGAGCCTGATCCTAGACTGGGACAACTTTTCATGTCTTGGGTTAGTGTACTGTCATGGGCTACGCCCAGGCAGATTGCATGATGTGGATCAGGGGTGCGGCGTCTGGATACCAAATACTAAAAGGATACCGTAGGATTCGTAGGGATCGTGGTGTCTATACCGATATACTCCATGTTGAACCAAAAAGATGTCCTGACACCGAAGTAGTGTCTAGTCAATCCTCCAACTCCAGAAGTATACTACGCCCAGTCAACCATGTTGGCGGATTGTTTTGAAACCGAGAAACCCGTCAAATAGGGTGTTCGTACTCTTTTTCGGTCGAGCTGCAGGACTCAGCGTATGCATATTCTGACCACTTTCAAGCATGAGATCAATGATGGCCTGGTTTCGAGAATGCTGAGCGCTTTGCAGTGCTGTCTGGCCAGATTTGTCACGGGAGTTGATATCTGCTCGCACATTGATGAGGCTCTCTGACGACAGCGTCATGTCCATTGTCAACAGCAAGGCGCAATGCAGTCCTGCCATGTCGGTCTTTGCCCTCTATATCCGCGCCGTTGGTAACTAAAACCTTCACTACATGTTCATGCCCGTTTGCTGCCGCGGCATGAAGAGGAGTGCGGCCGGAGTTATCTGGCCGAAAAGGTTCAGCGTCACTACGGCGTAGGAGCATCTTTACGACGTTAACTGCCCCTTCTCTGCTGCATAGAATATGAGGGCTGCCCGCGCTCATCCTTTAGGTAACGACCTACATCGTCTCGCGCCTGGTAAATCCGCATTACCGCCTGGCGTCCATTTCGGACTGCATGGTGGAGCGGCGTCAGACCTTCCTTGTCTCTTGGGTAGGCATCAACGTCACCGCGACTTAGTAGCAGCCATACAAGTTCTGCATGACCCTGTGCTGCTGCAAGGGAAAGCGGTGTTTGCCCATGATTGTTTCGAGGATGGACTTCAACACCGGGGTTGGATAGGAGGGCCCATGTAAGCTTCACATTGCCTATGTTTGCCGCATGCAACAACGATTCATCATTATTCCGGTGTAGTGTGGTTTTAGGGACAAGACGAGCCTCTGTGAGATACTGACCAGGTCGAAAAGGTGCTTGGATTTCCAAGTGACCTCGTCGACTATACTCGAGGGATATGTTGGAATAGAATGATGCCAAATTTGCATTCTGTCGCAGACCCAAAAGATGCACGACATCTACAAAGAGGCCTATGGCGTCCTAGTCGTGGATGCCCTTTCAATCCAGCCATTCGTCTTCCGAGGACGTGCTATCGGAGTCATGCACATGCCCGATGCTTAGCCTTTGAGATGCTGGGAAAGCCGTTCGTGTTTTACGGCATGGACGATGATTTCCAGGATATGGAGAAGGTCTCGGCACAGACGCAGCGGATCGAGACATTGCTTGCTGAAGGGAAGACACTTGCGATATTACTCGCGGTCTTTGATCCTTGCGGTAAATTATACGATGGCGTTCTCGTCGAGATGCTATCGGAGAGTTTTCCACTTAGGGAATCCAAGGGGAGGGTAGCTGAGGCGAGGCTCTTGACGCTGATTCATTTTACAGCGAGTGTTCCTGTGGATACTGCGGCCAAGGCCATAGGGTTGGGGAGTTCTGGGGGAGGAGATGCGTATCATGCCGAGTGGCTGACGCCGAGATTCCGGCTTGTAGACTGAAGGTTTCGTTTGTAAACGCTATGCGCGATGGAAGCATGCGTTTCTAATGAACCACATATTGCTTTAGACACTCTCACGCTTCCCCAAGATACCCCGGACATGCTCAAGAGTAGCAGTCGCTCTCGTCCTGCGCCCCTCCCCATTTTTATCCCGATACGTCCACTTTAAGCCAAAATGAATTCCCACAAAAATCGCCGCAGCAAGACACGCCAAACCAAGATACACCTTCGAACCAACCCGCCAATTCGGCGCCTCCTCGGCCGGAAAGGCAGCGATGGGCAAGAAAGCAGTCCACGCATACGACATGATAGTCCCCGTCGCGAAGAGGACGGTGCGCACTTCGGGTTCGCCTTCGAGGTATTCCGCTGCCCAGGCGCAGAGGAGCATTGTCGATACACTAGGAGGGTTAGAGGAAGGAAGAAGGAAGGGGAAGTTGCGTTAATGGGGTAGAGGTAGAGTAGAGCAGGTAGACGTACGCGCCGATAAAGTTCATGTACCAGCCTGCCATGTAGGTGTGTTCGTTGCTTGGGCGGATGATCAGGATGATCAGGGATGCGATGTTTATTGCCTGCTGACATGGTTAGTGGGTTAATCTATTCCTTAGGACACCGTGGCCATGGCACTTACAGAATGCAAGAGTAAGAACGGTAACCGGACACCGAGTAAATCGCTGAATCCGCTGAACAGCAGTTCCGCAACGAGTTGCACAGCTTGACCGGCGATGGGAAGATAGTTGAGCATGCCGACAGAGCTGTACGGCGTTGTCACGAGGTCAGGAGATGCTTTGATATTGACAGCCCATGTACTCACTATTTCCTTGTTCCATCCGGATTCTTCAACGATTTCAGCCAGAGATTAAAGTAGTTGGACGGGGTGGTGTTGAAGCCAATTGACCATGCAACTGCCATCGTGAGCCAATATACATAAGGGAATAGCTAACAATAGCACTCACCAGCAAAGGCCCATAACTGCCAGAAGGTGAAGCATCGGAGAAAGCTCTTGACTGTCAGGCCTTTCTGGGGTTTACGCCTGACGCGACGTGTTCTAGCCAGGGCAATTTCTGTATATACATGTCAGGCCAACGTTTCCTGGAGGATAAGACCAAGATGAGCTGCATACCGATATGTCGAGGCTTCAGGTACAGTCTGGCGAGTGGATTTGGACGTTCCGGCTACAGCTGTCAGCACAGCGCCGTAGCCACCATGACATGTTCATTACTTACATATCCAGGGAGCAGGATGAATGCAAACAAGGCAATAAAGATAGTGCAGACACCCTATACCATTAGCCATTGGGCATCTATTCCGAATACTCCTACTTACGTTGACGAGAAACGCCCATCGCCAACCGGCTCGACCCAGAGCACCCTGCAGGTTGGTCGCGAGCGCGCCCTGCATGGCTCCCGACATCATAGCGCCGACTGGCTGGGCAATATTGTAGAGGCTCATGCGGAGAGACATTTCCTCGGGGAGGTACCATTGGCTGCGCAGTCAGTGGTGTTGATTGAGCAGGGAATGCTATGCCTTACCTGATGATTGTGTAGTACCCGGGCCAGGTAGAGCCTTCGAAAAAGCCGACCAGGAAGCGGAGGCCATATACCTGCTTATAGTTTGTGGCAGTGGACAAGCAGCATGTGAGGATTCCCCAGATGACCTATACGTTGTTAGGAGAATTAGGTCTCTACGAGGAACAGATATCAAGGGGGCACACCTCACAAAACGGCAGCCACCAGGAAGGGCCAAGGTAGGAGACGATGACACAGGAAGGATAGAGCATGACCATGTAGCCAATACTGCAAGAGTCAGTCGGTTCCATTGGCATGGGAACGAAAAGGTCTTACTTGAAGTAAGTGGTGAAGTAATTCAGTTCGTTTCCGTAGAGGTGCAGATCCTCCTGCATGCCGGAGACGTACGCATTGCTCTGCAGGGGTATCAGCACTAGGTATGCATGAGAACACGCTGAAAGAACCTGAAAGAACAAGGATAGACGCACAATATTTGTCTGATCGAGATACTTGAAGGCGTATCCCAGGAAGCCGATGACCAAGAAGCCGATGTCGAGACGCCATAGCTGCGTGATAGGAAGATCAGCATTTCAATAGTAAACACTTGACGCTTCATAAATAAAGACGCCGCATACAAATGCCCGTTCCTCCTTCGGGTCGATCTCGTCGATCTGCTCGCCGTCAACAGGAGTGAGTGGTTCATCTGAGACCTCCCCGCGGTCTTCAGAGCTGACGATGACGGCGTCCTTGGTAGCCATTGTTAGATGGTAATTCCAGGGCTGCAGTGATAAATCCAAGTACGAGGGAAAAAATATAAATCCCATCATATATAAATAAACACGCAGAAAGGAAAAAGAAATGAGAAACGATGGTATCAGCATCGCCGGCAAAGACGTGCTCTCTCCACCTTCACGAGAAGGAACAGCTTCATTCCAACTCTGTCTCGCCATGCGCACTGCAACTAGGATGCTAGTCGTAGGATAACTTTGGACTTTTGAATTGGCCCTTCTCGATCCTTTCTTCGGCCAGTTGTGTGGAGGGCACTGCCCTGCGTGGGATGGTTGTGAGATCTTGCGACATCCACGGCGGGATTGATGAAAGAATGCCAGATCTAACAGGCTGGAATTAACATAGAAAGCCGGATAGTATGGGCCTGTCTCGGAGCTTTATTTGTTGTATTGTTTCACCCGGTTTATATCACCGGAGTCTGCAAATAACGCCTGGGTAAAATATCCGAGTTTTATATCAAGCGCCCAGAGTATTAGGCACCCAGTAGCCCGGAAGAGTGACAAAGATATGAATTACCATGAGGAACGACGTTTAGACATCCTCCAGATTACATTCTACGGATTACATTCTACGGACTACATTCTCAGGATTACATACAGCCCTGACTTCAAACGTCTGCAGAGTATGTTTCCTGCCAAACTAGCTGCCCGGAAGATGTCGGTTTATTGGATAGAGCATTAGTTTGTTCAAATAATGATATGTACGCATCATTGCTATTAGCAAGGCCTTGGCAAAGGTCAAGCCTCTATCCTTGTGGATGTTTTCTGGCCACGGGATAGCCATGACACGGCAGCAAACTTGTCCAAAATAAGCATCATGCCCCAGATTATTACCTGCAAGTGATAGATCAGGTAATTTCGCTACCCCAGGCCAGAACGATGCAAGATGGCGCCGCTAGTCATAGTCATGTCAGGAAGATCTGCGGAAGTGCTGCATCTGCAGAAGACAGGTCACGTCTCCTGCGTCTTCCAACGAGCATCCGCACGTCCGAGATATGGGGTATGGTTATGGCTCTATTCTACGCGGGCAGCTGCCTATACTACTCTGCAGACGACCCGCCGGGAATGCAAGGGGTCATTTGCAGTATGTAGATAGCAAGTGGGTATATAGATGTGGAACTCTGAGTGCAGCTGCGTCAATCCGCATGCACCCTGTGCAAGCATTGTTTCAATTGGCAGTACGTGATCTCACAGCGCCTCCGAAGACATCGGTTCGACAGGAGTGTTTTCTCGTTTCCGTTCATTTTCACTGTTAATCCAGCGTCTTGTCATGGAATATCCACCGTCCTGTCATGGAATGGATTCTCGCAGCGTGTGTCAATCCGATATAGTTGGTAGATGCAGGGAGGACGGGATGAATGGGGGCGAACGAGGAAATGTCTGTTAGGGTTCCCCGATTCAATGGCGAGTATAATCATGCTGGTAGATGGGATATGATCCACAAATAAACAGCATAATCAGGCCCAACAATAAATCCATCATATCTCACCACCCGGCGGTCGTTGCAGCCAAACCGTCGGAATTGAAGGACGATTTGGTCTGCATGTGGTCTGGAAAGGGTATGAAAGCCTATCGATCCGGCTGGTACAGGAGATGAAAGATGCGTTCAGAGCGTGAATTCCGGCATGCGAGCACAATCTAAATGGCAAAACTCTCCATGTCAATTCGATTTCGACAAGAATGCAGGGGAATGGCTCTTGTCCGATGGCGACTGTGATATTTGGATTGGTGGCTGCCTAGGTGTTCTGGGATGGTGCTCTGCAGTACATTCCTCACAGCCACGGCATATAAACAGTGCCTTACGTCCAGTCCGATATTCCTTGCCGATCGATTTCAAGCGCATTTTTCAGTCGCCAGCTACGGGGCTCCACTTACTCCGTACACATGGCAACAATTTCACGAAGGAAGTAGAGGGCAATGAGGTACAGGTGAAATAGCCTTCGGCGACCTGCAAGAGCAGATCGGCTTCAGGTTCCCGGGAATCACGGCCAGTAGAAATAGCGTGTCTTTCTTTTGCGTAGGGTTGTGGAAGTGGATCGTGGCCACCTTCCGAGGATGACACCACCCCGTCGGGCTGCGCAGAAGGATAGATTTTGCATAGCGTGCATTAGCAGCCATTGAGCAATGCCTGTTGGCACTGTCGACTGTCCAGTGACTCCAGTCTGGCCGTTGTTTACGGTTCTTGCATTATTTTGGATTCCACAGACGGCGTGCAAGCCCCCGTCGTTGCAGCCCCGGGTCTCAGCCATTAACCCGGACGAGCGGCAGAATGATATGTCAGATTGTAACATCCAGTCGATGGCTATTTGCAAGTCGCAGCTATAATTTACCAGCAACGGAACGGAGGAGCATGCACAGCGGACCCGTTGTCTCCTGATGCTGTGGAGAAACCGCAGCAGGCGAGAACTCGGCATGTCGACAGCGGAAAACACCCACAATTCAAATTAAGCATGCCGATCGTGGCAGGATGCCAAAAGATGGCGACGCGATTTGCGGATTTCAAGCCCGGAGTTGTGATCTGTTTGAATCTCGTCCGGGCATTATTATCCACGTACCGAGTACCGTCGACCTTCGCGTTGGCAAACCCTTACTGAACCCTTACTGAACCGCTACCGAACCGCTACTGGACCGCTACTGGACCGCTACTGAACCGCCGGTCCAGAAAGCCATCCTGGAGTGGCCGGGGGCATTCCTTGGTACTCCGTAGTGCAGCCGATTACCGAAAGTGGCAGTCCTCAGGGCTGCACGGAATGCGAAATGAATTCCACTGGGGGCCGTACGCTGATCGTGCCTGACGAAAACTTATTAAACGTGCCCGGTTCTAGCCTGAAAAGGAATTTGCTGGCGTTTTCTCACGGACCACATCGTCGCTGATCGTAACCTTATGTCTTCCGAAGAACGTGGACTCGCTCGGGCTCCTGTTGACTTAGTATTCACGTGACCCCATTAGCCACAGATAGGGACCGACTCCGCCGACCCCTTTATGAATACAACCGCGTCGAACCCGTCAGCTCCCACCACCGAGGCATTAACCAAGATCCGCGTGGAACCCGACGCTTGCAGTGGGACGCGTCCAAAATACAAGTTAGTCAGTACTGGGCTCTTGACTCAGGACTGCAGAAGCGGCGATTCGGCCGGCCTCTTGACGCGGTGGAGTGGCCTGGATCCGTTGATGCAGGAACTATACCGCACTATTGACACTGCGTGATATAACTATGCCATGTACCACGACGATCCTCATCCGGATGCTGTATATAAGAGAGACGGGATGAGCGGTTTCTCAACGGGGATTCTTCTGCTTCTTCCCATCCGTCCCTCGTTGTGTCTTCCTCTTTGAATATACCCGGCCAGACCAGGTCTCCGTCACTCTTTCACCGCACCTCTCGAGAACTGGGTCTCCTGTCATTCTTTTCCTTTCACAATGAAGTTCTCCCTCGCTGCCCTCGGCCTCCTCGCGGGCTCTGCCATTGCCGCCCCCGCTGCTAGCGCTCTGCCGTCGGCCGTCGTCACTCCGACTCCAAGCATCACCCCCATCGCAATCCCTTCGGATGCGCCCACCGGCCAGATCATCACGGACCTTGGTCCGCTCGTCAACAAGGTCCTGACGGTCACCGGGACCGACGCCAAGGCGCTGCTCGTCGAGCTCTCTCCCGAGGTTGCCGCTCTCGTCGACGGCCTTGGTCTCACCGGCCTCGGTGCCCCCGTTGGCGAGGTCATCAAGACTGCCGGCAGCGTCGGGGATCTGCTGAAGGACCTGGGCTCCGTTGCGGAAGGTCTCCTCGTCGTGGTCGGCGAGGACACTGGTGCTCTTCTCATCCAACTCTCTCCCTCCGTCACTGCTCTCGTCGCCGGTATCCTCCCTCCCCTCGCCGTCCCCGTCGGTCAAGTCATTGCTACGCTCGGTGAACACCTCAAGCGCGACGGCACCGGCCAGCTTCTTTCGGATGCCGGAAAGGTCGTCGACGGAGCCCTCACCGTCATCGGACTTGATTCCGAGGAACTGCTCCTCCAGCTCTCCCCCGAACTCACTGCCCTCGTCAGCGGTCTCGGTCTCCCTGCCGTCGGTGTTATTGTTGGTGAGGTTGTTGCTGCTGCCAGCACTGTCGGCGAGCTCCTCCAGGCCGTCGGCCATGACGTTGACGGCCTGCTCGTCGTTGTCGAGCATGGTGCCCAGTTCCTCCTCGTTTCCCTGTCGGACGTCGTTGCTGGCCTTCTGATCGGTATTGGCCTGCCTGAGCTCGGTGTGCCTGTTGGCGCCATTGTCGACACCCTTGCCGTCCACCTGTGAACGGTGCATTCGATGAGATACGGCTTGCATACTGGCATTTCGCCAGCAGGCAGGATTAATGTTTAGCGTGTGGTATTGGCTACATGGGCACTATTCTGTACACTAGATATCCATAATACTGTCATAAAGTTTTAATTGGGAATTTCTTTTTTTTTTTTTTTTGAACCTCACCGTGCTACAGCCACTGTTTAGATTCCATAAACCACGCCAAATGAACATTAATTAAGAGCATGTTAAACGCATCCAACAGAGTTCGCTAGTTTTATTAAGCTGCATCTGGCGGTGCATACAAATGGAAGATCCGCTATAAATGAACTCGGAAGCATCCGTTCACGGATAGTTCCGGATCGGTCAGGAATACGTTTCCGGAACGCTTGGATACGGAATGACTTTCGTCCTGGCTTCCGGGTCACCTTCGAGTCTACAGAGTATCATTCGAATTATTATTGTTATCTCTTTCTTACTCCATACAATAGAATAGCCCCAGGACAATTTCCCGCTCTGTTATGGGCCAGCAATGATCTTCACTCTGTGGACGATACTCGAGTGGGTAGCCTCTTATATGGCTATAGACCGCCACTTGCCACCTCAGTCTCCGTGGCGCAATCGGTTAGCGCGTCTGACTGTTAATCAGGAGGTTGGAAGTTCGAGCCTTCCCGGGGACGACATTTTTTTACATTTTTATATAATTGTGCCCACACCGCCTACCTACCTGCCCGTCTTCCCATGTAGTAGGGTGTGGGCACAATTATAGAACAGCTACGCCAGGCAGGCCAGGCTATGTATGATAAGGCAGACAAATCCCTGGTGGGGGGTATATACAGGCATAACAGGGCCAGCACCGCTTCTATTGTTGTATCGTTCAGCTTCTTTACTCTATGAACCTATCGCAAAACTGCAAGATATAACTAGCTATGAATAAATTGGGATTTCTGAATCCAGACCTTCAGTATACACTGTGTTGACCTGAGCAGCAAGCATGTTCCGTCCTACGTAGACCACTACACAGGATTGCCATCATTTAGTCGCAATAATCCAACTATATAAACATGCACTCTGTAAAGTTTAGTACATGCGACCACAGGGTGTGGAAAACAGGGCTTCCCGTCCGCTCAGCCGTACTTAAGCCACACGCCGGCCGGTTAGTAGTTGGGTGGGTGACCACCAGCGAATCCCGGCTGTTGCATGTTTTCTTTTTCTTTAATTTTTTTTATTTTCTACCTTCATATAGTTAAACCTATGCTGAAGCTCACTGAAGAGTAAGCAACATTGCCGTATCAATTCTTCGTAAGGCATGGATATTTATTGGATACAAATACCCAAAGCGGGTGGACGGCGTTATGTCTTGGCCCTGAAGGGTACATACATTCCCATCCTTCCATTTGGACGGGCAATGGGCTCAACGAGCTGAGATGGCGGTTGTTCTAGCTATAACCTCCTGAACAGTGAAGCCGCCTTTAGATGGTATTCGCCGACATTTGCCGACCTTTGCCAACTTGAACATGCCACTGCTTCTCATTCGCAGCATGCCTTCGCAAGTAGCGCGGCATTATGCATCGCAAGATGGAAACCTTTGATGATTAGTCAAGCCTAGTTTTCAAAGGACTGGTAGGGCTTCTGGAATGTTGCCTAAGCAAGGTCTTGAGCGAGCAAGCTTGCTTTTCAGGTTGAATCGCTGTCTTTGGTGTTGTCACGGTGCTGGACCATCAACAAAACTTTCCCTTTCTAGATGCACTCAATTCATGAGGTCCAGGCGCCAGTCTCTGGGGTCTGATTGACTGCTAATTTGACCTGCATAGCACTCAATACGAGACCGAACAGGGCAAATATGAAGACTAACGGGCCGTAGTAACGAGCGAAATATGCCCCATATGGCTTGTGGACCTGATGATACATGAAGCGGCGCAGGAAGATCTTGCTCCAGAAGTTGAGGCGTGAGAGCCTGCAGGTTAATCCAAGTGTGATGAGGGCAGCAATGACTAGTGTCAATAATCCCACGCCGCTATTTGATCTCTGGCCCGAGGCGAAGGAGAAGAATACTGGTTTTGACCGGGAAAATTTTGAAAATCAAGCTCGCTACTGCGATATCTTGTCTATTATCAAGCTCCTTTTTTTCAGCACCGGTACCTTTATGACCATGCGCCTGGGTGTCGGACTGTTACTCGGCTGTTATATCTGCCTGCCTCCATTCGGACTGAGCTTTGATTATCGGCTGGTCCTCAGTCACAGCCTCCTGTTCACAGCAGCGTGGTACATCCTCCTTCTCCAACCACGTAACTGGTTCACGAGTAGGCGTTTGATACGATGTGTCCTATGGGCTGTCTTTTCCCTCTTGGCTCTTTGGTTAGTGCTTAACCGTCCCAGCTCAAATTGGGGGAATTCTGAAGGATTGGTTGTCAAATGCCTCTGAACATGAACCAACAAAATTCACCGAAATTGTCTACGCCCCTAACGGCGATGATGCGGTTGTTGAGTGAGTGTCAATTGTGACTGAGCAATTAGCATGGCCCTGATTCTAATCTTCCTCGTTCCCCTACCAGTGTGTATGCAATCCATGGTCTTGGGTCAAACGCCACCACTGCGTGGACGTACAGGAATAGCGGGACTCAGACACCGTGGTTAAAAGATATTCTACCGGCTGTGGATGGCCTTGAAGATATCAGAGCCATCCAGGCGAACCATCAATCGCAATGGAGCTTCTCTCATATCATGAGAGACTCAGATTCCGGGAAGAAGGCAAGTCTTATTTCGGCCAGGAAAAGGATTAGATATGCCGACATTTCTTCCCTTTTTAGAGGAAAATCCGTTCACAGCTTAATGACACGCTTATCATCCTATTCTTTAGTGGAATTCTCGGCATCGATTGACTCTGTCCATATTCACCCACTTATTCATTACTGGGCCCGACTACGCCTACCGGCTGATCAAAGGAATAAGCTTTCGAGGGATTCTTTGGAGCTTCTTCTCCGTGCGCTACATCAGAAGTCAGGTTCACTTCCAAGTCAACATGCTTTCGAGGTTCGGCTGTTACCACATGTGCAAGCTGTCCTTTCTAATATACAAGAATATTCATCCGGCCTAAGTCGTTCGGAATATGAGGAATACTTTGGCCTCCTTTTGGAAACCACCAAGAGGGCTCACTGTTGAGAATCTACAAGTTTGTTGACGGTTGGTATCTATGGTTCGGAACATGCTGGAAGAATTAACGAGCGGCATTTTCTCCTGGGCGTATCCTGAATACAGGCCAACAGGGGACACCTGGTGGTTGGCTTACGAACTGAGCAAGACCCTATTACGAAACCATCGTTATCGTGACGCAGAAATATTTCTTCGTTGGGAATTCCTGGAAGCTACTAAGGCCCTTAACGCGGAACATCCTAAATGCCTGGCCATCGCTCATATTCTTACAAAACTGCTACTCTTTCAGGAACGGAATGAGGAAGCCAAAAAGTGGTATCAGTGGCTACTTTCGTCGCAACGAAGAGTTCTCAGCAAAACAGATGTTTCGACACTTACTGCTCTCACGGACTTTGGTAGAATCCTGGTGCGCGAAGGGAAATATGAAATGGCCTTCCAGGCGCTCCTAGCCATTTATCAGGGCACGGCAATGCCAGAATGCATTGGAAAAGCACCATCCAACCAAACCAGGGCTAGAGAGGCTCTAGAGTGGTTCCAGCATATTTTTGAAGTGCAGAAGACCCTTGGCCAAGAACATATGGTCTTCTTGAATATTGCCTATGCCATTGGTATTATACCAATGGTTCCAACAGGTATTTGAAAGACAACAAAAGGTTTTTGGCAGATATCATGGGGATACTTCATATACTGCCTGTGCCATTGGAGGAACTCTTATTAATATGGGAAGACTTGATGAGGCATTCCAATGGTGCAGTGCCCCCGGCACTGAAAATCGATAGATAGGTCCCTTCTTTCTCCTTTTTCTTATCTCGAGACTTTCTATGAGTTGGACGGTCAGACTCCGCCATACTCAGGTATGGTGAAGTCCGTGGCAGAAGGATACTTACGGCGAGCCTCCTCCGAGATAGCTTTGAAGCATCAGGCATACTTTTTGATTTCATGTTGCTTCACCAGTACCATCATTATCATGTACTACAGAGCTCAGCTCTATTCTTGTTGCATCTTTTTTTTTGTTATATTGTTTCATCGCTAGACAGCTCTGTGCCGCGTTGTATCGCGGCATCGTTTCAGTACATTCATCTTCAAAATCCCTCGATCACGACCCGGTTCCTTTCGCAGGGAACAACGCATGAATGCCCCCCTTTCCAATGGATGACCGATGTCTAGCTCAGAAGCTGCCGGGCAGTCAAGCAGCAGCTTGTCATTATGGGGGTTTGAATATAGAAGTCATTTTCGTATTAGATACACGAAGGATTCCTTGGGGACAACGACCTTGTCTGTCTTCTTTCCTCCCAAGGAATCTTTCGTGTATCTAATACGAAAATGACTTTTATATTCAAACCCCTACACAGCTTGCCGCTGGATGTTACAGGTGGAAACGCAGCTATTCCTTGGCTTCTGGTTTTTGTAGCTCTCACAAACCATCCGTGGAGAGGGACTGGACAATGCCCTCTCACTTTGACAGCCATAGAAAATAGTCTGAAAGTCACCTGGAAGACTCTGGGTTCCATCTACAGTTGGGATACTTGGATCCCGAGATTATTGCTCCTCGATATCCTTCACAGTAGCGTATGAAGGGCTGCAGCAGGATCGTAAATACGGGATCACGCCCGAATGGCTCGCTGCGGCGAAGGAGAAGTGGCTGGATTTCAACTGCTAAAGTAATCTAATTGACCTTTGAACTTCCTTTGCTTGGCATTGATGGCTAACATGGCAATGCAGGAGGTCTGTGGGAAGTCACATTAACAGCTTCGCTCTCTTCTCGTCGAGGGAGGACGCTGTCCCCATCGTTCTTGGCCATGGCTGGCCAGGGAAGATATATAAATGGACATCTCCGTCCGTGTTGTGTCTGCAACCAATACTCTTGAAACAGGAAACTTCCTCAAGTTTCTTCTGCTTTTGTCATTGATGCGAAATCGCTATAACCCTATTAGCTTGTCTTACCACTTAGTGACACCGTCGCTTCCGGGCTGTGCCTCCTCCTCGGGGCATATCTAGGCTGAATAGCTAACATCCCAAGTGAACGCCTGCTTCATGACAGAACCCGCCAACGCATTGGAATTGTCCCTCACTGACGCCGAAAAGCGAGCCCTGGAAAGAGCCAAGTGGCGTACTGCTTCTGGGTCCGCTTATATGATAGAGCATGGCACTCGCACCAGCACCATTGGGAATGTCCTATGGACGAATCCTGTTGCGTTGATGGCCTGGTATGGTTTACTATTACTCTCTATCATTCCTACGCTTTGGGAACTATAGTCTACGCAGGGTTGGAGAGAAATTCCTAGGCTGGGTAGACGAGCCTCTACCTCCAGATACCATCCGGGAGTCGGTGACCTTATACTGGCTCACTGAAATACTTCTTCGTTCCATCTATTCTTACCGGGAGCTATGATATTTGCTTAGCACCAACTGCATCGTTCATAACTGACCCGGTGCCCAGAACTTCCTACCTCCCAAAGTCCACCTTGCCATGGATCCGAGATGGTATATCCGCAAGCCCTTCGGGTTCTCCTACTTTTCAAAGGAACTGGTCCCCATAGCTCACGCCTGGGTCGAGACAACGGGGAATGTTGTGTTCTGGAGGTATAATGAAAACGTGACAGCCTTCGTTACATCCGTATGGGCTATATTGTGCTGACACTTAAACACAGGGCGGACACTTTGCCGCATTGGAACGGCCACAAGAGCTTGCTGATGACCTTACTGCGTTTATTGAGCAGGTGTGGACTTGATGTGAGAATGAATATAGTTCTGCTGTTGTTGATGCTTTCTGGCGAAGTATACCTTACAAAGGCAATCGGAATTCACTCCTACGGGATGTGCAGTTACCACGCCTACGACTGCCATGACTGTGTTATCGAAGTCAAAGGAAACAGAATCGAACAGGATTCAATGGCTAATCAATCAACGTCTGGCTAATTGCATCTCCCAGCTGAAAAGGATTCTAACCATGTCCGCGTTCATCAAAGGCAAAGCCACGGAATCTCAAAAGCACGGAATCTAGGTAACATGCTCCTTCTCCTCCTCCTTGGGAATCCTAATCCAAACAACCGTGATCAACGCTGCAACCAGTTGGCAGCCCAGCGCGAACCACCAGATCGACCGGAGACCCTTCAGTCCAACCTGTCCATCGGGCGTCTTATCAACCCGGGTCCCAATAGCGTCAGCGACACTGGTAATAATGGCAGAGGATAGATTTTGGTTCGTCACCAGCAAACTGCCTGCGCTTCCTTGGTAGGACCTCGCAACACTACTCGTGATGAAGATGGAGGCAGCTGCAAATGCCAGATCAGGTCCAAAGGTGACCAACGCAACGCCCGGAAAGGAGAGAGCCCAGTATACCGTGTTCGCTGTCTGAGGGAGGAAAAACGCCGGTCCAAGTGTGAATGCGAACATGGATATGATGTAGATATAGTGTCCCGGAACTAGATGGAGGGTGCGGCTGACGAGCCATGTTGCAAAGACGCCCACAATAGCATTGGGGATATGATACAATGCCACGGCTAATGGCGAGGCATGCTGGATATGTAGCCAGAACTGGATGGCGTAGAACTGCCATGCACCGAAGAACGACCCGAACCCCAGAAAATAGGCCGCCATCAGCGGCGTGAAGCCTTTAGTCTTCCATAGACGACTGGGGATTAATGGGCGGGGGACATAGCGCTCCACAAAAAAGAGAGCGACAAGTAAGACGATCCCGATAATGGTAAGCACATAAGTATAAGGTGACCACGAGGTGACGGAGCCCTGTGTGAGACCGAAGAGCAGACAGACACACCCCGACATAGCAAAAGCAGCTCCGAGATAATCGAACTGGCGTAGGGATGGCGCCTCAGTTCCAGCAACGTCAGCAACAGGTCGCAGAGTAGGGATGGAAAAGTACGCCGCAACGCAGCAAATGCCGGTGATTATGGCGTTGGTGCCAAATATCCATGGTAGATGTCCATGAAGTGCACCCCCTTCAATGGCTCCCAGGGAGAAACCGAATGGGGCACAGGCTGCCATGGCCGAAAAGACGCGATTCTTGCGAATGCCCGGCTTGTAAACTCGGCCAAGGATGCTCATGCTCCCAGAGACCAGAACCCCAATGGCGAGTCCCTGCATCGCCCGAACGATGAAGAACAGCACGTATCGTGACGGGTGAAGGGAAAAGGCACCCACGATGTTCCACACAGTAAGCCAGGCAAAGGCACCGACCATGAGACTCTTGGGAGGCGTCAGGTCTGTCAGGGATCCAGACACAATAACCGAGATACCGTTGGCAACATTAAACGAACCGACCAGCCACGGCAGTTCGGTATTCGTGATGCCCAGGGCTCTTCTAAACTGCTCCTGGGGCGCAAGCACGTCCCCGAGAAGGAAAGAAAACAACATCAGACCAGCTGAACAGACACAGACCATAATGAGCTCCGCCGCGAAGTTGCGAAGCTCAGGAGGAACACCTTGCGACCGCGGTGGCGGGGGCGATGCCGACTCATCGGCCGCGTCAGGGCTTCGGGATACAGACACGGACGGTTTTCGATTCGTCAAGTGGCGGCCGTCTCTAACACTGAGCTCATATTCCTCTTCTGGATGATCCGATAGATGAGATATCCTGTGAGGGAGGGTTTTGAGCGCATCCTCGTCCGCGAGGACTTTGTGGCCCAGCAGAGGGTCTGGCGTTTGTGCGCCCGTAGCCGGAGTCGATGGAGTGATGTTATTGAAGGAAAATGAAGACCGACCTGAAATAGGCACGGAGTCGATGCCATCTTCATCCTGAACAGTCACTGCTGGGGTTTTGCCGGGTTGCTCTGGCGGCATCATTGTAGCCGACTTGTATTGATCAAACCGTCTCCGTCTTTTTTTTTTTTTCTTCCCTGTTCGCTTCGGTCGGCAAGTCGTATTCACTCTGTAGACAATCGAGGACCTGGGAGAATAGAAAACTTGGATTCCCCGTGGGGCAGGCTGATTAAAAGCTGAAAAATGGGACTGTGGCGACCCATCGCCAAGAAGAAACGAATTGCATGGATAGTGAGTGGGCTCTCCAAGACGAACTGCGTATCAGAAGCCATGAGAAATGCGGACCTGCGAACTACAGGCGAGGATCACGTCAATCAGACAGCATTTTCACGTTTTCATGGTGAACCGGTGGATGCAAGGCCGTCGTTATCTTCGTAAGCTTTGATATGTCCATGCAGGCGAAGAGTTCTGGGCTCAAATAGACTCTTGAACAGGATCTGCCTGGTCTGATCGGCCGGCAATGAAGATCATCATTCGTGTCGCTGTCGCTGTCGTTGTCGCTGCATCGATGCATGTTCTTTCTCCTATTCGATAACAGATGGAAGACATGCTGCATTTGAAGTATTTGAAGTCACTGGTTGACTAGCTGGCCTCGTAGGAAGACCTCTCCGGATCATAGAGGGATCTAGTTCCTGCTCTCGATGCAGGCATTCTGTACCTTGCCTGGCAGACATGACTGAGTGATAGATGAGTGATAGATGACAATTTTAAGTCTGAGTGTGCGCGATGCAGTTCTGTAGTGCTTCCCTAACCCTAAAAGCGAACGGAAACAGCCGTCCCATTTTCCGGCATCGCGCATCGTCGGAATTCTAATACATTTCCTTCTCTCCAGTATAGTTCTTTCACAATGACTCTGCAACACTATAGGAGCTAATACTGCTGCTGGTACGCCGTGATGACATCTCCGAGCCGAAATATGTTGAGGTTACGTTTCGTGTGTAAGCCCTGCCTGAGGAGTCATTCATGCATGGATGAACTAAATAGATGATTCAAACTGTCTAGGTCTACTACAAGTTTGTACATTAGGATCGGAAGTCTATTGGACACTTGTATGGAAATGACTTCTTATAAGAAGTGTCTTTGACAATAACCAGCCTTACAAATCATTTTCCTGCTGGTTCATATGAGTCGGAAGGTTCCACGACGCATAATCCAAATGCACAAAAGCCCGATCAACCGTCGGCACGCTCTCCAGCATATACTGCAAGCTCTCACCAAGATCATGGCTATCACGAAGACTCGTCTTCTCATCCATGACGATATCAACCTCGACAATCAGCTTGTCACCCGCGTGATATGCTTGCAGGCCTTGGATTTTCTCAATGAGTTTGGAGAACCGCATGGTCATGTACAGCAGAACGTTGCGTTCATCGGGTGATGCTGTCGCGCCTGTCAACCGGGGGATATGTTCGGCTGTGGTACTGCCCCAGTTCCACATGATGTACAGTGAGAGGAGGAGACCGCCGAGCGGGTCGAGGTACCACAGTTGTGTAAAGGAGCCGACTGGGTGATGTCAGTTATCACTGTTTGACAGTCAGAAGGGGTTTGGGGGCTGTAGACGTACCCAGAGGGAATATGATGCTGAATATATTGAAAATCACATCTGTCATCGCGTCTTGGGCCAGAGCCTGGACGCTGGAGTTTTTCACTAGTCGGCACCAGATCCAGCACAAAAGCTTGACCACAACAGTTCCAGCCATGATACCAATAGCCGGCGGAGTAAGTTCAATCAGGGCATGGTCGGACGATATCAAGCGTTGGAAGGATACAAGGGCGACCTGGAAAAAGGACGAAACCATGATCACCGAGAAGATCAGGATGCCAAGAGGCTCCAGTCGTCGTCGACCAACTGGGTATCGATACCGATCTTGTTTCATGATCAGGTTGGTTGTAGTCCACACGATTGCAGTGCTGAGGAAGTCCAGAGCCCCATCCACTAAACTAGCAAGCACGGACATGGAACTAGTTAATGTCATGACCACCACCTTGGCTATAAGAAGCACGATGTTGGCTGCAAGGTTAATCCAGATGGCAACCATGACTACATGATCACCGGTATCGACAAAGGATTCGCTGACCGCCGCGATATCATGGAGAAGAGGCTGTTCTTCATCGGGTAAGGTAGATGAGATGGAGGCACTGCTGCTTGGAATGCGGTACAGATTCCGCGGGGTCCGTTTTATCCTGGCGATTTCCTGCGCGGTAATATCTGCATGTGTCGTGCCTGTGCCATTCGTTGCCAAGTGCTGGCCAGGCGAGAGCGCACTTCTGTCTTGCATCCATACAGGCGAGGAGCCACCGGTTGTAGTAGGCGCCGGATTGTTTTCGTTGTATTCTTCGATCAACCTGCGAGGTAAAGGCGAGTCAAGCAGTCGGTCGATGTAAATATACTCGGAGATGAGATAGTTGTTCCGCTCGTAGTATTCCCGGATCGGCTTTCGCATTTGCCGCAACTCTTCGGTTGTCTTGAAATATCGATGCCACTGATACCGAGGATTATTATTCTTTCCAATCAACCTCATGCCTCTCCTCGTCTGCAAAAACGAATCGGAGCCGATCTCTTCATCCTCAGCACCCGTCGCATATTCCCCACTGTCTCTTCCCGGCCTTCCTTCTGGTTGCGCATGGTACTTTGGAAGGCGCAATGCTATCGGGCTTGTTGATAAAGATAGCCGCCTGACTATGTCAGGCAGATGCTGACCTCGTGTCGTGAAGAATTCATGTTCGGCTTCAAGGCTGCCGCGACGCGGGGGCACTGAGAAGGAAGAGCGGAAACGCGTTGAGTCATGGGCTGGCGAGGATGGGAATTTCATGACATGATATGATATCTGCCCGAGAGCCTATGCAGGTCTGGATTGAAAGATTTAGATCAACAAAATCTTCTTGGCTGCTAAGTCGGCATTTTAAGGATGAAAGGAACCACCCTCGCGCAAAACGTGCTGTTAGTACACGTGAGGTTCTGCCGTCCTAGACCGCCCTCGCTACCTATCTCACGGCACAGGCAGGCCTACCTAGTAATATGACCATACATGCGCCTATCCATTACGTGCTGCTGTTGGATCACGTGGGATTCTGCCGCATAGGTCCGCCCTCGCTGACCCTTTCCACCAACCAACGATATACCTCCACTAGCTGCTACGCGTTCCAGTCACGTGGTACTGCGTCATCGGTTCATCAAGCAACAGCTTTATTTATCCCCGGATCGATAAAAATAATATCAAGGCCATTGAATAAATGCATCTACTGCATATCTCTCTCATGGAGCCTTCCCGGAAGAGCCAGGAACACCACAGCAAGAGAAACCGCAGTCGCTGAGGGGACTAACCATCTTCAAGGCCAGTAGATTCGCTGTCTCCTTGTCGTGTAGCCTATGGCCATTTAAACAGAGAGAAATCAGGCGAAACCGATGAGACCCCGTCCGCTGAAGACGTCGTTCACCTGCTGCTGTACCTTATCAAATCGCATGAAGGAACATGACTCGCTCTCCAAGTGGTTGAACAATGCAGCCAATGTGATGAACTGCTTTTCACAACTTCGCCTCCGATTCGGGCAGTGATACACCTTCTGTTTGTGGGCTGGCGAGTTGAGGTATTGGTTTAGACCGCATGACCCACTGAACTGTTTGTGGCAAATGTAGCACTCCCAATGGGAGCCATTAAATGCCATCTCGGTGGCCGTGTATATCGAGTTGTCTTCTTGATCCACCCGATCTGCTTCCTGGTTATCACGCCGTGTGGATCACGCTCGCGGACGATTTGGAGGATGGTTTCACGATTGAGCCCAGGCGCCTGACGGCAGGACGCTCTCTCCAGATGATGCGCAAGACCACTGGCAGTCGTGAAATCTGTCTTGCAAAATGGACACGGGATATTGGAGCCACGATGGATCCTGGAGTTGAGGTGCTACAATGCAATTATCAGTTTTATAGGCGTATCTCACGAGATAGCCCCTTCGTACCATCTTCAAACTGTTCTCATTCATGAAACCCCGCCTACACTCTCTGCAGTAGTTTTTGCAGTGGCCCAGGCCCTCCATATGTTCATCCGCGGCGCCCTGCGTATGGAATTTCTCTGAGCACGTCTCACACGAGATTTTCGGCGCCCAGTGCCCAAGGCTCGACATGTGCTGGTTTACCGCATTCTGAGACCGAAATTCTCTGGTGCAAGTCTCACATTTAAAGTGTGGTGCCAGTGATCCAGGTCGCCCATGTGCTGGTGACAGGCGCTCCAGCTTCGGAATATGCGAGGACAGGTTTCGCATCTAGGCCAGTGGTCGTATTCATCCATATGGTCGTCTCGATCATCCTGGGGCCAGAAAGTGACCGTGCAGGTGAAGCATTCCCAGTCATCGTCCATTATCATCGAGCGCATCGAATGATCTGAAACAAAGCAAAGGGAGTGATGTCAAGAAACAGTATCTCGATGGATTGAATACAGGTCAAGGGGAAGATGAGAGAGAGTATATGAGAGAACGCGGGGAACCCCGCAGATCGGCAGTTAGGCAGCTCCGTTTATTAACGTCGATCACCGCCCGCCGCACGGTTTCTATACTCACCGACTTTTATATCGCAATTGTTTACAGCTTCACATCTCAGCCAATATGGACCCGATTTAAGCGGCGCTAGCATCACTCGAATCATTGAATCCTGGGAATCGACCAGGTACACTGAAATTGCAAAACGCTTTGGTGTGTACCGATCAACCCTATCGAGGCGTCATCGAGGGAGAGCCAGTATGAAAAACAGCAAGACGCCGCATGCAAGCGGGCTGGTTCTGCATTCAACTTCTTTATATATTCTTTATATTTTGAATACTGACTAGAAAGGCCAAGGAATATGATATGCAGCCAGCGAATATGTATAATATGGACGAGAAAGGCTTTCTCATTGAAATACTGCACATTGACAAGAGGGAGTTGGTACAGCAAGATCACGACATATGATTTCCATACAGGGCATTACTGCTTAGAATCCTTACAGCTTCGACTTGCGGTCCTCTTTCTTAGCCAATTTGCGCAATTCCCGTCGAAGAATCTTCCCACTCGGACTCTTAGGAACAGCTTCCACATATACAACACCCCCACGGAGCTGCTTGTGTGGTGCCAGCTTTGACTTGACGAACTCCTTCACATCCTTCTCGCTGATGCTGTGCTTATCGGTGACAATGTATGCTCTGGGTACTTCGTTTCCCGAGCCATCGGGGGCTTTGACTCCGATGACTGCCGCGTCCATGATCAAGGGGTGGGATACAAGCAGGGCTTCGAGTTCGGCTGGTGCAACTTGGAGGCCTTTGTATTTTATGAGCTCCTGTGAGTCGGTGAGTATATGAATGGACTTGGTTGGGAGATACAAGTATACCTTCTTCCTGTCGACTATATAGAAGAGCCCGTTCTTCCGTAAACCGATGTCCCCAGTTTTGAACCAGCCATCGTCGGTAAACGCCTCCTTGGTAGCTTGTGGGTTCTTAAAGTACCCCGTCGTGACGACGGGTCCCTTGACGAGAAACTCGCCCTCCTTGCCTTCCTCGACATCCTTGCCGTCATCGTCAACAATTCTCAGTCGCGTGTTCGGAAGAACTCGACTAACGCTGCCCGTTGTGTCCTCTACCCCCCACGGCAGTATAGTAGCACTACCTGTGGTTTCACTCAGTCCCCAGGTCTGATTAACCACGCATCCAAGCTTCTTCTGCGCTTTCATTTGCAGATCCGCGCCCATAGGAGCAGCTCCCGTGTACGTTCTTTCCATGGTTTTGAACTGATCCTTGACCAGGGGGCTGAGCGTGATGAGAAGAAGAATAGGAGGCACTGTAAACAAAAAGGTAATGCCGAGTTTCTCGTTATACTCGAGGAACTTGGGGAAGTCGAACTTCTTCATCCAATACGTCGTCCCACCGGCTATGGCGCCGTTGACAAAATAGCCCTGACAGCCCGCAATATGGGCGGTTGGAAGGTGAGCCAGAGTCCGATACTGAAAGTAATCGGGTTCCTTCTCTCGTCGTCTCGCGAGGTATTCCTGGTCCATGAAGTAAGGAATCAGTCCCTCCGAGACTAAATTCAGATGGGAGACGCAGACGCCTTTGGGAAGCCCAGTCGTCCCACTGCTGTATAGCAGGCAGACGAGCGACTCTTTCAACTGTTTTGGGTCCGTGATGCGCTCCCAATCCAACACGTCCGTATCCTTGAGTCCCTCCAGATAGTTGTGCCCTGTCTTCACATTCTCCAGGACTCGTTCATGGCCCATGCTCCTCAGCACAAGGATCCGATCTAGGGGAACACCAGCATCCTGGGCCGCCTTGATCGTTACATCCTTGGTACTTGGACCGGTGATGACCAGATTACTTCCCCCTTGTCTGATCTGTCTTTCCAATTCCCCGCTGGTTGCTGTCGGGGAGGCCGCACTCCAGACGCCACTGGCGGCAACTACTCCGTAAAACAGGACAGGTAGCAAGATCTGCCCATGTGATACCGCGATGACCACATCTTTTCCTGCTCCCTGACTACCAATACCGAAATGGTGCCGCAGGATGTACGCTACGTGTCGGGTTAGCTGGCGCGTTTGCGCTTTCGTGAGAGCATTGGAGGGATCGGCTGCTTCGGCGTGAAGAATGCTTTGCTCATCGCCTTGAACAATGTGGGATTCTGGAAGAAATCTGGATTAGGAGGCATATGGAGGAAGTGTGATCCTCGAGTGAAGACTCTTACCAAACAGGAGCGTGAGCAGGTCGATGTTGGGAAGGTCGTAGTCGTTCTCCGGCAGGTATACTGGCATTTTGCGAACGAAAGCGAATCGATCTCTAGTACATGAAAGTTAAAAATCTATACAGAACTTCTGAAACCCAAAGCCCTGGATATTTCCGGATTTTTGAATGAACCGCCGGCAGACATTCCGAGGTCGTCGGTCGTGACAATGTAGCACTCAGCTGGGAATGGACAAACCCCGTATTCAATGAGGGGAAGTCGAATAACAATAACAATAATAATAATAATAACCTTTCTCAATACTACGGAAATATGGAGAGGGGAGAATTCATCCAGTTGCTTTCTTGTACCGTGGCATTGTGGTCTGTCTACCAGAATTTGGCTGCTGGCGTTTACAATGTATACATAGATCTGAGAGCCCTAACAGCTTGGTATGGACGTCTTCTCTCACTGTCTGAACCGTGATATACTAATTCCATGCCATTTTTAAGAAGACAGAGAATGTAAGCGCCTCAGCTCCCCCGCATCAACTGCCGATCATTCCATGAGCCTCGGCGCTATGATCAGTCTGGCTGGGCTGAGTCCGGCTGAGCTGGGGAGCTTAAATACCGAATAGATAATGCTAATACTGTCCTCCTTTCTTGATCCAAGAAAACAATCTTAATCCTAGGGCATCATGGCCACCGTCTCCCTCAATCCAATCCCCTTCTCGGAACCCCCGTACCTCCGCGGCCTCCCATCCCCCTATTACACTGATGGCCATCGCCGGTTCCAGAAAGCCTGCCGCAAGTTTCTCTGGGAAAATCTCCTGCAGCATGCGCTCGAATGGGAAAAGCAAGGCACCGTCCCAGAACATGTGTTCAGGATCTTCTGCGAGCATAATATGTTACTGCCGAACCTGCCGGCGCCGTTACCGGTTGATTGGTTGAAGAGGCTCGGGATTCATGATATTCTGGGCGTGAAGATTGAAGAGTGGGATTACTTGCATACTGGGATCTATTGCGATGAGGTACGTTGTTCTTTCATTCCTCGCAGCGCATAGGTCTGATATATATGTGTGTCTGAAGCTGGCTCGATCAGGCTCCTTCGGTCCCGGAGGCTCGTTGAATGCCGGTTTTGCATTTGGTATCCCGCCCATTATCAAATTTGGCAATGTCCAGCTGCAGGAGCGATTCCTCCCTGACCTTTTGACGGGACGTAAACGGGCATGCATTGCCATCACCGAGCCGGAAGCAGGTAGCGACGTTGCTAACATCACGACCACCGCAATGAAATCTCCCGACGGGAAACATTATATCATCAACGGAACGAAGAAATGGTACGTAGCTCTACATTTGGTATGATATGGGTCTCCCTTCTGAGTAGGCCAGGATCACAAATGGCATCTGGTCCGACTACGCCACCATGGCCGTCCGCACCGGTGGCCCCGGTGCACCAGGCCTCTCCGTCATGGTCGTCCCATTAAAGGGATACCCCGGCGTCACGATGCGACGGATCAAAGTATCCGGCGGAGTAACAGGAGGCACGACATACATCGAGCTGGATGACGTGCAGGTCCCCGTGGAAAACCTGGTCGGCCGCGAAGGCGACGGCATGCGAATCATCATGACAAACTTCAACCACGAGCGTCTTACGATCGCCGTCGGCGTTACACGACAGGCTCGTGTCGCGCTCTCTGCTGCGTTTGAGTACTGCATGAAACGGGAGGCGTTTGGGAAGACGCTCATGGATCAACCTGTTGTGCGGCATAGACTGGCCAAGGCCGGCGCAGAGCTGGAGACGCTGTGGGCATTCGTGGAGCAACTTCTGTATCAACTGCGCCATCTGAGTAAGGAGGAGGGAGATCGGCAGCTGGGGGGCATCACTGCTCTCGCGAAGGCCAAGGCTGGAATGGTGTTGAATGAATGCGCGCAGTGCGCGGTGTTGCTGTTTGGTGGAGCCGGTCTCACACAAAGCGGGCAGGGAGAGTTAGTTGAAGGTATGATTGGTTTCCATTCATGTATATATACATGGTGAACTTGTCTGACTGAAGCAGCTATCAATCGCGAGGTGTTTGGTGCCCGTATTCCAGGCGGATCAGAGGATGTGCTTCTTGACCTGGCAGTGCGGCAGCTTGTGAAGATCTATCGCACGCAGGAGAAGAGGCTGAAGGCGTCAAAGATCTGATCTGATCTGATCTGCTCTGCTCCTGACAATGCTGTCATCCTTTGTATACCTTGGGAATCATCGCCAATTGCTAGGGTTAGAAGCCGGACAGAAAGCACATCTAACCTCCACTACCAGAACCCTGGATCGACCTTCTCGGTATAATACCCCTCTCAATGCTTGACGATACTCTTCAGAATCACGGGCTCCTCAGCCATTTATGAATCTCCCCAGGATAAACCGCCAGATCATGCAACTCCCACGCTCCTTTCCACTGGGCGTGGCATCCAAACAGCCTTCCACGGACCCTGGCGAATAGCACGCAGCCCGAACAGCTCACACCCGGTAATATGCGCTTGCTCTTGGGATATTCCATTGAGTTTGGATGAGATTGACTGGTCGTATAGGGGCTGTATAGGGATAGAACTCCTGAGGCTGGTGTTAATGTTCATCCGAAGTGATTAAGCGATTACCGCAATGATATTTAATCCATTTCCAACATGCCCTGTTTCTTTCATAAAAATCAAATACTTTCTGATGGTTTTAATATTACAAAACCTTCGCAAGGAATATAGCCCTAAATCCATGTCACAACGCTGATACTGTCGGTAGTCCTGCTTTGCCCTAAACCCGTAGCGAACCGTCCGAATGCAATCCCAAAATAGCCTTCAAGCGCAGCATCCTGTCGATGAGGCCATTTACTTCGCCTGGTTATCCACGCGAAGCTGTTCATCAGCATCAGAACCACCCATCTCCTTATTCTCTTCCCTCTCGATGCCGCTCAAAATCCTCCACCCAAGTACACCAACATAAAAAGCCCCAACAATACCAGCGACAGCCGAATACGCAACAACAGCCCCATTTTCTCCCCCATGGCCCATGTTCCTGCTCAGAAGGAGACCGAGTCCACCATTAGCTACTCCGAGAACGATCATGATTCGTCCCAGCCAGCGGTGGATGTGTGAAATGAAAAGCTTCCCGTCCGTCTTCCGGAAGTGGAGGTGCTGGATGATTCCCATCGCTGGCTGGAAAAAGAGTAATCCTGCCACGGCGACGAGGCCGATTATGGAGTGGTAATGGTCCATCTTGCCCGTGTCGACGCCAAGGGAGATACCCACACCTGCTCCGGCGATGGCTAGGGCCAGTGCGCACATCTGCAGTGGTGCGTGGACCCGTAGCACGGTTTTGGAATATGGGATGACGTGAAGAGAAACGGCGGATAATGGGAAGAGAATCACGAACGCAGCGGCCATGATGTATCCGTGTGCTGGCAGGGAGGACGAAGAAGCCGAGTTATCCAAAGGGGTAGATGTGGCTGTTGTTGTACTATTATATTCGGCGAACGGATTGGATGTATTCAGCGACGTGAATCTGGCCTGGGCCATATTGACAGACTGCCGGCCCGTGGAATCATGCCGGGCAATGTCGGCTGCCTTGTTGTTTGAGTCGAGGGGGTTTCCTTTCTTATATGCCCAGATCCAGTTGGTTGATGGGGAGGTTAAATCAAGCGATCCGCCCTTCCAGCTGGTGCAGTTCTCGCAGAGTACGTTCGCGACCATGTATCCGTCAATCACCCCGGTGCCCCCAAGAAGGGTAATTTGGGCGTCAGGATTAAGAGTTGGCTGGGAATGACCGGTCGACAGGCGAGGAGAGAGTGTGATGTTGTTCGCAGACGATGTGTAGAGGACGAACATATTCGAACCGGCCATCTGCGAACCCTCTCCTAGAGCGACCCATTCGTACGTCAGGGGCGCTCGGATCTGCACGTAGACAGATTCTGAATTGGAGGTAAAGGTGTCACTAGGGAGGGCAATGCGGAAGGTCATCCCCTTTAATGGGGAGAAGGAGTAGATCTCGCTGGTAACCAGAGAACCTGTAGCCGCATTAGACGTCCATTGATATTGGTCTGAAAGAAGCAAAGGAGCCCACCCAGCGTAATTACCGCTACATATAGGATAGTATATACGCGCATCGTGTCAATTGACAGGTAGTGAAGAGCACAAGAATGATCTGGGGACCGTGAAACGAGAAAGGTGGGAGACGAGGTAGGATATCAAGAGAACTGGATAAACTAATATTCGCTCCGCCACGTCGATTACGCGGCTAAGAAGCCATGGATTACAATATCAGCTCTTGGGATTTTGGTTGATCCCAAGAAATATTTGAAACCAGAAAGATCATCGAGAAAGGACATCCACAGCCAAGACCATGCCAATGTGCCACGACCATGCGGTTTTCATGTTTGACCGTGTTCTCAGTGATCTCTATCGTATTTGGCCAAGGAGGGCCGCTATATTTTACGGTTATGATGTTAGAAATCTGCGTGGTTAGCCTTATATGGGAGGATCATGCTTCGTTGGCTCGGATGCGATTACAATCAATACAGTCAATATCGAAACGAGTTTCCATCGTACAAGCACAGAAACTGAAGAAGATATGCTCGGCATGGCTATACCGAATATGCGGGGATCGTACAAAGTTCACCGTCGAGAGCAACACAAGACGGCATGTTCAACCGGTCATAAGTTAGGGTTAGAGTGAAGACGATAATTGGCCCAACATCTCCCTCCACGCCATTCTCTCCAGTTTATTTCAAGTGAATATCCGTTGAGCTCTGTCAGATCTAGCGCGGGCCCACCGGAGTCGTAGAGTCGTATGTGTTTCTAGTCTGGCTGTCATGGTGATGGCTGTGTTCTTCCAAGATCCGGCAGCATTCATGGGGCAACGGTGACGCGTGCAGGTTCCTCGTTTTGCGCCCTATTATCTTGACACGTCGATATCACTACCAAAGAAGGCATTTGAATGGTGATAGGATCGGCGCCCAGCCTGTCAGAACCTTGTTATCCAAGGTAATAAAGGCTCTTGGGATCGTCGGTTAATGCGTATGCTAATTACCAGGTCAACAAGCAGGCACAGTCACACTGTCGGTATCAAGAACTGGGTCTCCCCTTTAAGACAAGGTCAAACTTGCATCGACTGGCCAAATATTAAATCATTAACTGGCCAACTAATCATCTGTATCTGTGTTCATGGCACGAGTAAGCTGACTGCGGGGACGGGCTATTCTTTGTGCATGGCAAAAACTTGGCATTCTAGCCATACATGTCTTCTGAGTTACCTAGAGCTAGGTAGCACATCCATGCCTTCGCCCCTGGGGTTTAAGCCTTCTCTGTGATTGTGAACCGAACGTTGTGAGGAGTGTCTGGCAGTTTGGGCTGTATCAGGCCCAGGAACCACCACCAAGAAAGGACTGGCCTACACTCGAAGCAACTTCTTCTAAACTTCTTCGGAGGCTACAGTATCTGGTGTAGATGATCCTGAACACATCCGGATATTCGGAGTGGGAAACGATATGGAGATGATGATGAGCGTGGGCCAAAGGAGAGGATAAAGATGAAGGACTCGCACGAACCGGCAAACATAGGGGCCACCACTCGAATACCAAAGCACACGGCTATCTTTTGCAGAAGAACGAACCTTGGGGCCCTGTTTAGAAGGTGAGAGAGAGGCATGTCCAGTCTAAGATGGGTTGATTTGGTCAATACAGTATACAGCCATGGTGGTTAATGCCCGGAGAACAGAACAGGAGTATATCACCATTGTGAACATCAAAATATGGATTATGCCACTAAACTGATGTAAGTCTAAACTGGACTGAGGCCAATAATCTACTACCGTCATGGCAGCCCAGCATACTTGAAAGTCTTGCCCGTCTGTGCCAACTCGTCTTCTATATCCATGAGACGATTATATTTGGCCACCCGTTCACCCCTGCAGGGACTCCCAGACTTCAAATGCCCTGTGGAGAGACCAACTGTGAGATCCGCAATGAAATCGTCCGTCGTCTCCCCCGAGCGGTGGGATACAAAGACGCGCCATCCATAGCCAAACGCCTTTTTGGCCCTGCAGGGACCGTCAGCTCAGCTCGAGCACAGGTATTATATGACGGTGATACTCACGCAGCAATAGACTCTGTGATACTGCCGATCTGGTTAATCTTCAACAATAGCCCAGTGCATGCATCTCTGTCCTTGGCAATGTTGATCCTCTCAATATTCGTGGCGAGAAGGTCATCACCGACCAGCTCCACGGGGCAGACCTTCTTGAACGATTTCCATGCCTCCCAGTCGTCCTCGGCGAAGGGGTCCTCCAGCAAGATAATAGGGTACTTCTTTAACAGTGAGAGATATAGGTTCTGGAGTTCCTGCTTCGAGAGGAAGTTCCGTTCCTTGGTCTTGAATCCCAGGTCGTATTTGTCCGAGGTGAAGAACTCGGATGAAGCTGGGTCAATGGCGAACTTGACCTTGCCGTCGTGCCCGGCATTGTGAACAGCCAGAGTTAAGAGATCCAGCGCTTCTGTTGGGTGTGAGACGGGAGGTGCGAATCCACCTTCATCTCCAATTCCACCAGCTGCTTTCCGTCAGTTAACTCGATAGGTCAATGTAACTGGGTAGACATACCGGCAGATCCGAATTTCTGGGTGATGATGGCCTTGAGAGCCTGATAGACCTCGCTGCCGATTTGAACCGCATGGGTGATAGATGTTGCTCCAACCGGTGCAATCATGAACTCCTGAAAGGCCATTGTGTTCCCGGAGTGCTTGCCACCATTGAGAACGTTGAAGAACGGCGTAGGCAAGACATAGGGGCCAGTAGCCAGGGCCTCCTGTCTCAGGAACTCATACAGGGGGACGTCCTGCCAATCGGTCAGCAGACGTATATAGATTTACATTTATATTTGCGAAAAGAGTCAGCGACCTTCTCAGCAGCTCCGGCGCGTGCAGCCGCCATACTAACCGCCAGGATGGCATTGGCACCAAGCTTGGTCTTATTCTTCGTTCCATCTAACCGGATCATAAACTCGTCGATTTTGGCAAGGTCTGTCGCCACATTGAACTTCTCCTTGATCAAAGCCGGCGAGATAACCTTCTCCACGTTCTGTATAGCCGCGAGCACGCTGTTCCCCCCATATTGGTCCTTCTTGCCGTCACGCAGCTCGTGCGCCTCGTATTCACCCACGGAGGCCCCGGACGGAACCAAGGAGGTGAAGGTCCCTGATCCGGATCAGCTTTTGTCGAAGCTCAGAATACGGGTGATCCTGAACCGACCTTTGGCAGTAGTCAAGACGACCTTGACAGTAGGCTTGCCTCTGGAATCGAGACGCTGGGCAGCGGTAATCGACAAGATATGACCAGACATATTTTGTAGCAATCGAAACAACAATTAACTTGTCCAGCTGGACTCGAAGAGATTTGGCTGGTCTTCCACAAACCTTCCCATCAAGAGGGCCACTGTTTATAGGGCCCTGTTCCCAAGTAGAATCGATGATATCACCGCACCATACGATCATGCGGCTGGCTGTCGTTACTGGCCTGTTGCGAGTCAGGTTTAGACACTCGCCGGAAGGTAAAGGCTCGACAGTGCCATGTCTCTGTTCCGGTGGACGTACAATCACGCCGGCTATAGCGGGTATATGCCGGTTCGGACGGGTTTAAATAATGACTTTATTCGGGATATTAGCGACGGCATCATGACCTCATGCTATGCCGTTGGCGGTGCTGTGCCGATATCTCGTTGTTTCTCCAGGTCGTTGGCATGGCTGGTTATGTCTGGTGGCAGGATAACAATAAGCCTTGAATCCGCTGTTGCTGTTAGCGAGTTGGGGCGTGGCTCTGTGAGGCTTACGGAGGTGGGAGCAAGGCAGTAGACGAGCTACTCTTTCTTTCAGGCCACGGATGAGGTTATTGTTGAGGATGCAGTAGCTATTCACTAGCACTATCAAATATTCTGGTGGAGGTGAATGCAGCAGGCTCAAGGTCTTCAGTGCTCTTTACAGACCCCTTCCCAGCCTCTTTATTCCTCCAAATCCTTTCCTCTTGCAGATAGCTCCTATCAACTCTAGAAAATCAACATCCAGCGTCACCCTGTCGAGCGTATTCCAAGGGCCATTCCATTTCTTTGCTCCAAAAGAGACGCCCAACAAATGAATCCATAGCGTCGCCAACAATATGAGCGCTCCTCAAGCGGGTTCTTTTGACTCGTGGTATATCCATATGTGGCTCTGCTCCATTAGCTTTGTGCCTTGCTAAGCAGCTTATTCCTATCTTAGATTTTTGGGCAGGCCTCTCCGTGTTGGATTTCCTTGGTTGAGAACAGTGAAATCCTTGCTGATGATCCCTTTCCCCTCGATGCGCCCCTCCTGGAGCGGTATGGCAGACTCATGAAGGAGGTTAGAGGGGTAAACTGAGTTTCCTTATTCATAAAATCCGCAAGAAGCATGGCGCATCACTCCGACCTCCGCCGTGTCGATGCCGTGGAAAGATTATCCTCCAAACTCGGCCGACGACGCGCCGCATAATCCTCCTCTTGAACCGGTTCCGGAGCCCGAACCTCGCTCAGGGAGCTGAATAGATCCGTGCCGAAGCCCTCATCATCTCCATCGCGCATCCCCGTGGGTGTCTGCTCGAGATACGGTCGGTCTCTGTCCTTTCCAGTGGCATGTTGATCTTGATCTCGATCTTCCCGGCGGGTGGGCTCAGGGGCGGCGATTTCTGTTAGGGCGTCGTATTCGCCGTCTGATGTTGATGTTCCTGAGTCGGCTTGTTGTTGCTGCTGTTGCTGTTGCTTCTGTTTGTCTTGTGGTGGAGGACGCTGGGGTTCACCAAGTGATTTGGATTTGTGGTGAGATCTGAAGGGGATGTGTTTCCAGAATTTGCACATCTTTTCTGGTGATGGAACAGGATGCCTGTAGAAGTTTGGATACTGCACTTCTGATGTATTATACTGGAACGTCTCATTGATTCATATACAGACATGCATGCCATCTATCGACTTCCGGCGGACATCGGCTACGTGGTCGGTAGGTATGTCGATGCAGTAAGCTTGAAGTAAATCACCAGCAAAGAAATGATGGCCATCAGCACATAACTCCGAGGAAGATAGCCAGCAAAGTCTGCGCCCCTTAGCATCAAGCATTAATTGATAGACTGCGCCGTCCCTGGCCTGATGGGCGTCATAATCGTATCCTAACTTTGTTGCTCCGTCCGGTCCGGGATATCCAGCCCCAGACATACCCGGCATCCATGGCATGATGGTGGGCAGATGGAGTCCTCTACTTTATTTCTGCGGTTGCAAAGGCCCCGAAGATGCTACTTATCCTCGTTCATATGGGATTTATCACTCTGCCCAGGCCTCTAGAAAGTCCGTGGAAATAGTGGATATAACTTCTAACTAGCTAGATATAACCTATATAACTTGTATAACTAGACATAACTATCATCTTGACTATGCGCCAGAGCACCTCCAGGATGGCTCATTTTCTGAAAATTAGGGCAATCCAGAAACCGGACGGACCACTCCATGGAGTTTGACATCTCGCTCGGCCACTCACAGGAAAGTATATCGGTCGAAAGATCAGGCAGTGGCGTTAACGAGCTCGCATCTAATGCGGTAGAGTCACCGAGGAAAGGTGATCCGGGGATTGCAAACGTAGGCATCGATGGTAGTTGGTTGTGTCCAGATGCATGTCCTGATGGTGCTAGGGATCGGATCGTTGTGAGTCGAATAGTCAACACCAACAAACTCTTGAAGGTATTCTGGACTCACCTGCGGTAGACAAGTGCAGACTAGATACCTCCCCCAGCATATCTGCTGCCTTCCGCGCCGCGACGGAATTGGCGCTCAAAGCTTCAAAGACTTTCAAGCAGATCTCAGCGTCTTCACGTAATGAGTAGGCCGATGTCCTCCCTTCTAGGAGATTGTTATTCCGGTAGAATGTCTCTGCGACGAACAGAATGGAGCTGGCGCAGATGAGACAGGAAATCATCTGCCACCAGGGGAAATCGTGGACGAGGCTCCGTTCATCCATGACGTTGTGTAACAAGTGAGCGGTTTGCTGCGCTTCGGAGATGCAGATCCACTCTGCGTGGGAGATCTTTTCTTTATCCTGGACGAGAAGGTCCATGAACGGCTTGTTGTTCATTTGAAGTAAAGGTAAACAAAGGAAGGGTCGATATATGAGTGCTCTGAGATGGTGAAATTTGACAGCAAGCATGTTGCGCTGCACCCTGTCAGTCAACTCGCTGTCTTCGCCATGAGAGAGAAAAAAAAAAAAAAAAAAAAAAAAAAGAGAGAGAGAGAGAGAGAGACACAAACCTGCCGTTTAAAAGAAATCGACCTCTCAAACGTATGGCCAAGATCAAAGCGTAGGTGCCGTGGAAGGCCTGCCTTCCATTCAGCCAAGTGTTGGTCTAGCAACGACACACTGTGCAACATTTGATCTGGGGACAAGTCGACCTGAGAAGGTCGATAGAGCTGCCGAATGACAAGACCGACAATGTCAGAGAACCGGATAACCTTCCGGAAGTAGTCCATCATCGAGGCATTTGGAAACTGGCTTCGCTCAAGGACACAACCGCCACTCTGCGGTCCAAAAGGCCATGGATCAGACCGGTCGGGCAACTCGACCTTAAAATCCTCCTCGTGGATAGCCATCGGGCGTCCAAGCTGGAGAGCTAAAAGCCTGTCCAGTACGTACAGAGAGTACCAGGTCCGCCGGCCATGTTGATTCTCAGCCACAGCCTTGGAGCTGCTCCTGGGAGGCGATTCCACATGGAGGCCAATGCTCTGAGCCATGCGAATCGCAAATCCCAGTGTGTTCCAACATCTGTGGGATGCATGAATAACGGATGCGCGCAGCAGTGCAAGGAATTACTGACCTATCGGTGTGACATACGGCGAGTAGGAAGAAGCATTCCACCAACATGACCCAGACATTCGTCAGAGAACAGTGCGCGCCTATTTCGTGCGAGAAGAAGAGTCCCTGCTCGAAATATCTGAAGTGATGTTGTGCGTCTGCGTCTTTACCATGGGGGAAGGATGTATAATAGGATCCGATGGCGAATATAAAATCTGTAGCCAAATGCCAACTTTTAGAAATCACGGATGCAGGAAGAGGTCTGCAGGAAGAGGTCATACTGAATAGTGCAAGCCAGGGCCGATATTCCGGTCTCTTGTGACTGTCTGTCCACAGATGCTCAAACTGTTCCAGCGCCGTCTGCTTGCATAGAAAGGGGTAGGCGAGATGAATCGTCGACAAATAGATCTCCAGAAAATGGGCTGCTTCATCGCGAGACGGGATTAACAACGGCTGATTCAAGGCAGCCGGACTGTCTGGAATGCGTGTCTGACTGTAACTCTGTCCGGCCAGATCGTTGCCCTCCCCTGTATCATGTCCCTGCATGCAGCGGCGCGCAGTATGGATGAAATGGATATCGCTAACCTTGCCCACGTACGTATAGGACTCGATCCCACCGTCTTCGGCGGGCGTGCCGAGGGCGTAGAGGTCAGTGAGCTGTTCCGAGTTCGCATCTAAAGGTCGCAGCCGACGGATATTGCTGAGATTGATATCGACGGCCGTCTGGTGCGTGCTGTCCAATTTGGCCCGTAACTCTCGGATCAGGGCCTCGTAGGACTGCACCACCGTGCGGTACGCTGCCAGGCTGCTCTGCTCCGTCAATCCGGCCGGACTGCCAAGCGATGGGCTAGAACTGCCTTTGGTCACACGAGAACGGCCGTTCGTCCTGCCCTCCACCGATCGCTTCGGGGTTGACCAGCTACAACGAAAGCCATATCCGTCACATCGCGCACACACCGGTTGTCGCCCATCGCACTTTGCATTAGTTCAAGTCAGAGAGAACCGAGTATCAAAAGGGGCAATCGAACCTTGGCCTTCAACAGGCGACACTTGTCACAAGCTATGCCCACACGTTGCCGTTTCATCGTCGAGTCTTCCGGCGACTTGAATCCATGGAGCGGGCAGGAGATTCAAAGGACGGCACTGATGTCATCAGCTAGAGCTGCGGATTTTAGCCAAGTAGCTAATTAGCTACTCCATAACTTAGACAATGATGGCTTAATAACCGCTCATAGCATGCATAAAGCTTGACTTTGCACGGCTTGATTGGCGAGAGTGACGATAATGAAGCTGTACAACCCGGGCCGCCCGAGCCGGTAACAGCCCTACTCCCAGCCTTTGCAACAGGAACCAGGAGTTGCAATACGCTCTCGGATTTAGAGGAACATGCTCATCTCTCCCGAGCTGGAATCCCGGGTCGTCTGACTCTCCTATTGTTAGTGAGACCATCCGCTATGCGTCGGTTCTCGTCCCACAGCTCTCAACGCGCGCGTTCGCCCCAGGAACCCCAAGGCAACGAAGACGATGGTTTGCAAATGAACGGCCTAGACGAGGTCACAGCTCCCTCTCCGGCATACGATTCATCGGAAAAGACTCTCCGGCGGCACGGTTGCCTCGAAAACCAACTCCCGACCACCTCCCCGGGCCCTTCGGAGCCAGCCAGGCCGCACGAAGCCATTGCAGACGCGCAGCAGACTGATCATGCTCAACCGGGGGCCCTGGAAGGCAGTTCTAGTCATAGCCAGCAGACGAAGCGATCTCTCAGACATCTCCGGAAATACCTTACCACGCTGTATACCCTGTCCTATTTGATTGTCTTCTCCTTCATCGGTACACTGTTGCGATCAGCCATTGCAAGCTTAACCCTCTACCCAGGCGCTCCAGTGAATACGAGCGTGTTGTGGGCAAACGTCGGCGGTAGTTTTATCATGGGATTCCTTTCTGAAGACCATAGACTCTTCCGTTCGAAAGAAGTCGAATCCCGCGTTCTCACAGACTACGGAGCGGACGACAAAGACCGTCTGAAAGCGAGTCTGAAGGCGCACAAGAAGACTGTCCCGCTGTATATCGGACTGACCACTGGATTCTGCGGTTGTCTAACGTCCTTTTCAATCTTCGTCCGCGACGTGTTCCTGGCTCTGGCCAATTTACTACCTGTGCCGCTTGGTCCGTACTCGGATGTGTCGATGTATACCATCCCAGGAGCGGCTGCAAGGGCCCCGAATGGAGGATACAGCTTCATGGCCATCGTGGCCGTCCTGGCCACGGAGATAGCTCTCTCGCTATCCTCTATTTTCCTGGGCGCTCATGTAGCCATCCTGTTGGCTCGCTGGACGCCCGCAATCCCACACGTGTTCCTGCGAAGAGCCCTCGACCCTCTCATGCCAATCCTCGCTTGCTTCTCCTGGGTAGCAGTGATATGTCTCGTCATCCTCCTCCCGCACGTCCACAAGGAAAATTCCCTCTGGAGCCACGAGATGTGGCGCGGTCCGGTCCTGTTCTCCCTCGTCTTCGCGCCCGTCGGGTGTTTGCTGCGGTTCTTCCTCTCGTTGAAGCTCAATTCCCGTATCGCTTCGTTCCCGCTGGGTATCTTCGCCGCGAATATCGCTGGTACCCTTATACTGGGAATGGCGTATGATCTGCAGCATGCTTCTTCTATCGGTCCCTCTCTGCTCGGTGGTGGGAGTCTCATCGGATGCCGGGTCTTGCAGGGGATTATGGATGGGTTCTGTGGCTGTCTCACGACGATGAGCACTTGGGTTCTGGAGTTGTCGGATCTGAGGAGACGGCATGCCTATGTTTACGGCATTGTGAGCGTGGCTGTTGCGTCTGGGCTTTTGATTATGGAAATTGGGAGTCTCAAGTGGACGGTTGGGTTGACGACGCCGGATTGCTTTGCTCGATGAGCTTATCTGCTTGCATCCGGCTTCTCCATGGTATTCTTTGCATTCTAGGTTGGCATATATACTTTCCCTATTCGAAACGCGAGGCTTGCGATTATAGATGCGATGGATTGTTAGAGCCTACGTTGTAGGATATTGGTATAAGTAAGGGCATCCTAGGGTCTGACTTATAGCATCCGCCTATATTGCGTTCGGCCATGTATACGAAAGTAATATAAGATGCGATCCTGTTTGAAATTCCTACGGACTGGCTAACTCACCAGAGCAATCCATCTGTGAAAGCCCGTCTCACGTTGGTGTCATGGACACGGCTGGGCAACAGAAAGAGTGCAGTCGAACTCAGAAGAATTCAACCACCATATATCCGTCCTCGATCTTACCGGAGTACACCAAGTCGAGCATCTCATTGATATCCTCCAACCGGAACTTCTTCGGGTGGATTTTAGGAATGATACTCTTGCGAGTGGAAAATTCCACACACTTGGTCGCTTCCTTTTCACCAGGGGCCTTTGCAGCGATCAACTTACAAGTCAATGTTAGTGAGATCCAGTTCTACCTAACGATGCATCCAAGGAGAATAGATGTACTGAATCCACGATTAGTAACCTGAGGGAGCAACACAGGTAGAGGATCATGCGGTAATCCCACCATGGCCAGACTACCCTGAGCTTTGATAATATTGAACGCAGTCTGGTACGCAGGGACAACTCCCGAGGTGACGACCGCAGCACCTGCTAGTCGACCATTATTCAGTTCGGCGAACTTGATCGGAAGTAGATCCGCGGGCACAGAACGCGCGTTGAGAACGTCGTCCGCGGAATTTAAGTCCTTGACGCACTAGATCTGCTTGTCCTGGACGTCGAGCGCGATGACCTTCGCACCAAAAGCTTGGGCGTATTTAGAAGCCAGCTCTCCGAGCCCCCCAGCACCGACAATTGCGACTGTCTCACCGGGTTGTAATTTGGCTCTGTTCAAAGCATCCCAGAAGGTGATGCCTGCGCAGAACAAAGGTGCCAATGCGCTGGGAACGGGATACTCCTTGGGTATCACAACAGCACGGGCTGGATCGACGACTGTATATTCGGCGAAGTAGCCCGGGCTCGTCAATCCCTTCACCTGCATTTTCGTGCAGAACTGTGGCTCTGCATCCTGGCAGTCGAAGCATGTGAAACACATGTTATGCCACAGCGGCGCTCCAACTAGGTCGCCAACGTTGATGCCGTAACTGGCCGCATCGGGACCTAATTCTTCGACTACCGAGACGGCCTCGTGGCCGACGATCACGGGAAGAAGAGGTTGCCGAATCCATCTCGCACAATGCTCACATCGGAATGACAGAGTGAGGCGGCCTTCACGCGGACGAGGATCTCGCGGCCTTGTGGAGTAGGTACTGGCGCGTCTTCTATGACGGTTGGTTTGCCGACCTGCAGCGGAGGTTAGCCTTGGGTGTAAAGAGCGTAAGGTCCTAATAGAGGACCCTGGGGAAATAAGGATTCTCTCGATCTTGGTTCTACAAATCATAAACGTGTCTTGCCTACCTCCTTGCAGACAGTGGCCTTCATCGTAGCTGGCGCCATCATGAATCGATAAAGTCTTTGAATTGGTCTCGATGCTGTGGACGTAGTATAGGTGCTTGTTTCTCTCTTTAGCGGAAAGAAAAATTCTAGATGATAGTTCTAGCCCATCAGATAGAATGGTATTTATATCTGTTATGAGAATTGCGCACCCCAAGGCATCTTATGCCCTGTTTATCCTCTTAATAGCAGCTCTCGAGCCCCCCTGGAAGTTCGCCAGTCTCATTGAAGAGCATGTGGATACACTGGGAGCTCTGGAGGCAATTTGCGGTGGGAAACCAGTTGGCATTTTTAAGTCCTTTGAGATTCCCCTTACAGCGGGAGTTTACCGATGTAAGGCTTCCTAATCCGGTGCACTTTTGTATTTCTATTGTCCAAGAAAGCGGCAAATAGGTGCAAATGGACCTGAACTGATCCGGCTTTTAGACTATGCAGGATGGACGGCAGATCTTCGGCCCTGTGGTAGTCGTTTCCAGCTTCAAGGATGACGCTGAAGTGTTGGAATGCGCTAATGCTACCGAATTCGGTCTCTCTGGCGCTGTCTTCAGCCAGGATGTGAACCAGGCTTTAAGAGTTGCCGGTCAAATCCAAAGTGGAACAGTCTGTATCAATTGCTGCACAATGGTTGATATTCAGGCTCCCTTCGGTGGCTACAAGCAGAGTGTCTGGGGAAGAGAATTGGGCAAGGTACATTTCAGAAGCTCATTATTCTTATGCTTGCTGCAAATCCGCCAGGGACAAATACTGATGTCTGGCTCAGGCTGGAATCCAAGCGTACACTGAAACGAAGACAGCATTTATGAAGTAAGTCTCCCACATGTCTACCTATTGAGCCTGCGTCTAACTGCCGTGCCATTAGCATGACATATTAAGTGATGAAACTTTTGGGTTGCTCACAAATAGTAGTGTTTCATATATATGAAGTTTTATATTAAGGATGCGACCTTCTCAATTGACCATAGTTTGTACCTGTGCCTAAGCACACAGACGTGAAGGTAAAGTGTCCAATTAGAAGAAAATCGTAGTTATAGTAGCAGATGGATCTGGCCCATACTTCCAGCCTCACCGCAAAAGTGAGGCTCCAAAAAAAGCAAGGCGGTTTGTGGGTGACGTCAACGATGGATTTGGTGGAACATGACTACGAACCGGATGTATCTCCTCAACAGAGATGAGGAGAAGATGGGAATAATATCAGTCTTGGAGAAGGATGAAGGATGAAGGAGAGAAAGAGAGAAGGAAATCGTCTTGGAGTTCAAGTAGACTCCCCACGTGACCATATCTTTCACTCACGTGACCTAGACGGGCGAACACGAACAACCTCCCTTCAGCTTCAGCAGCTCAACAACTCCCCAACCGTCCACATCCAGATTTCTGACAGCTTTTTTCATTCATAATTGACGGTCACAAAAGGGACGCATGCACTGTTGGCCACATCCAGGTGCTTTCGTTGCAGCTCAGACCCTGAGCGACCTCCGACCTGCGCCCTCTCCCCCCGCGGTCGCCTCGTTTAAATAAACTCTGCTGCCGTTGGTTCTCCAAAAGTCTCGCCCCTCCGGCTCACGACCCTGTCGTCCGTGGTGCGTGCGGTGGGGAGAGTGTCGTCAAAGCCTAATCACGATTGGTTTCGACATCTGGGACCGCAACCGCAGATTCTATCACGTCACGTTTCACTTTCATTCTTGAAGCTTCTCCTAACATGGCTGCTGCGCTCGATGACGAAGACCTATCTATCCCCATCCCCTCCTTCGATCAAGATCGGGACGGCAATCGCGAACAGGAGAGTGGACGTGAACGTGCTAGCAGAGCCGTTTCCACTCAGACTACCAATTCCTCCGCCATGCCAATGCCCTCATCGTCACGGCCGGTCAGGAGAGCCGCTGATGTCTCCAGACAGTCCCCCGCGACCACCAGGGATATGCAGCGCCTTGATCAGTATAAGACGGTCAGGATCCTGGGTGAGGGCTCCTTTGGGAAGGTGAAGCTCGCCATCCATCAACCTAGTGGCCGTCAAGTCGCCCTCAAAATCATTTCCCGTCGCAAACTGCTCTCCCGCGACATGGTCGGTCGCGTGGAGAGAGAAATTCAGTACTTGCAACTATTAAGGCACCCTCACATCATCAAACTGTACAGTATTCCCTTTCTATTGGCGATTAATGCGATATTTCTTTTGTTGCTTTGTACTAACTACTCTGTCTATTTCTCGTTTGCTCCAGCTACACCGTCATTGCCACCAAAACGGATATTGTCATGGTTCTGGAATATGCTGAACGAGAACTTTTCGATTATCTGGTCAAAAAGGGGAGATGCACCGACGATGAAGCTCGCAAATTCTTCCAGCAAATCATCTGCGCCGTCGAATACTGCCATCGTCATAAAATCGTGCACCGTGACTTAAAACCAGAGAATCTTCTCATAGACAGTGAAAAGAATGTCAAGATTGCCGACTTCGGTCTAAGCAATATCATGACCGACGGCAACTTTCTTAAAACCAGCTGCGGCAGCCCCAACTATGCCGCCCCCGAGGTCATTTCCGGAAAGCTCTACGCGGGCCCCGAGGTCGATGTATGGAGTTGTGGTGTCATTCTTTATGTGCTGTTGGTTGGACGGCTTCCCTTCGATGATGATTATATCCCCGCCCTATTCAAGAAGATAGCCGCCGGAAATTTCTACATGCCCTCCTATATCTCCTCGGGTGCTGTCCGTTTGATTAGAGCTATGTTGCAAGTTCATCCCGTCCACAGGATCACCATTCCGGAAATTCGTCAGGACCCATGGTTTGTCAAGAATTTACCTGCCTATCTTCAACCGCCGCCAGAAGAATTCACGGCAACCCCTTACGATCCAAGCAAGGCTACGGACCCGCGTCGGGTGTCACTTGGAAAGCCACTTCCTGTCCAGTACAAGGTCCATCAAATCGCGGTGTCCAAGCTAGAGCGCAGTATGGGATACGCGCGTGAAGATATCGAAGATGCTTTGAAAAGCCCAGAACCAAGCGCCATTAAAGATGCATTCTTCATAATCGTCGAGAACGAGATGATGCAAACTAATTGTAAGTGGCTTTCAAGCTATTTCTCGATGGCCGATTCCATTTTACTCATTCTTCAAACAGCACCTACCGACGATAGCCCAATAGACAGTAACACGAAACCTTACTCCCCTAAGCCAAAAAGCAATGCACCCCCCTCCACGCTGGCCGCCACTGGACCTCCTGACTCAGTCACACCCGCTCCAGTTCGAAGTGATTCTCCTCGCCCCACATCCAAGGCTCCCCAAAATGATTCCGATTACCCGACTGCAACCCGTGTAAGCCATATACGGATACTGCCAACGAGCCTGCCGTACGTCCACGATCAGCTCATGGAACAGCGTGACAGCTTCACGGCAGCGGACAGGAGAGATAATGCCGAAGGCGGGCAAATTTTAGACGAAGTACCTGGAGATGCTGCCACCGAGCGGTCTCTCGAGGAACAGGCTGCCACTGCTCGGGCTTTGAAGCCGCATTCGCGTAGCATTGTGGACCTTCATAAGCTACGCCTGCAGCCTCCGGAGCGGACCGCCGCAACTCATCCCCCCAAAAGGTCCCGGAAATGGCAGTTCGGTATCCGATCTCGGAACCAGCCTTACGAGGCAATGTTGTATCTCTACAAAGCCATTGAAGCACAGGGAGGTGTGTGGGAAATCCAGCCTGCCGAACCGGAGGGTAATCCAACCCAGGAAGACCAGCAGGAGTCCGGGGATAAGGAACAGCCATTGCAGAGGAAATACACTAATATTCCACCGGATTATTATATCCCAAAGGACCCATGGTTTATTCGAGCACGACTACTGAAGGAAGGTATTACGGCACCTGGTCAATCGATTAGCTCGCGCAGCAGTCGGAACGATCTTCAAGAGCTCCTTCGTCGTGGCAATGCTGCGAGCGGTACGAGCTTCGACGATAAGAATACGCCCATTTTTACGACACGTTCCAGCGGTGATAATCTCGGACCCAATCAGTATTCTATATCATATGGTGTGTGGGTATTTATCGATATCCAATTATACCAACTCGAGGAGAACAACTACATGGTCGATTTCAAATGTGATGGGTATCAAAATGTGATTCGTGCGCCGGACGACACTGAATGGCACCCCATCAGCAAGCGATTCAAAAATAAGGAAAAGGAAGTCAACAGCCCCTATCCATTTCTGGATGTGGCATCTGATCTCGTGGCGCAGCTGGCTGTTGCTAGCTGAGAGTATATGCATGGCATTACATTCTATAATGGATGGTTATTATATTGGCGCAATAGGTTTTGCTTTGTTGTCCGGGGCATGGGAACTGGAGTTGATCGAACTTTTTTCTCTTTTCTCCTACGTTAGCATTCATCTCGTTGTTTCGGTCATCGTTTGATAATGGTCTGGATGGCTTGTTTGCTATACGCGAGAAGGCGGTATATTTTTTTTATGCTTATAAATTCATATTCTATAATACAGTGAACTTCTTGGGGAACATTTGGTTATGATGTTTTTCTGTCCATTTTGACAATATCTTGCATGGGGCTATGGCTGCAGGAAATGCAGTCTATTCAATCATAAGCGAAGTCGCGCAGAGTTGCAGCAACCTGCTTTGTTGCCTTCATGGCCTCATCACACCACGGCGCGAATTGCAGAAAGCCATGCGTTAAGTTCGCATGATGCCTCCAGGTGACCTTGTTGTTAGCCTCTTGGAGCTTGGATGCATATTCGACGCCGACGTCGCGCAGCGGGTCAAAGCCACAGGTGAATACAGCTGCGGGAGGGAGATCCTTGAGGTTCGTCACAGGTTGCATTCCGGGTGAGACGTACGGATGAGACGGCGCAACCCCAATAGGGAGGTAATGATGCGCAAAAGAGAAGATGCCGTTGCCTGTTTATTGTAGGGCACGTTAGTGTTTCCTGGTAACTAAAACAGGATAGGTAACGTGTCTCCCTTATGGAACAGATACTCGAGGAGGCAAACTAACACTGCAAATACAAGGTCGAATTATTCTCCGCCGCAGCAAGCGTATCAAAAGGTATCCGGGCCTCAGGATACAGAAGAATCTGAGCTTTGATGTCCCCGTTCTTCCCCTCATCGCGCCTCTTCAGTGATATCGCCGCCGACATGTTCCCTCCTGCACTGTCTCCCCCAACACAGATCCGACGGGGGTTTATGCCTCTCTCCTTGCTCCCGGACCCGAGGAGCCAGTCGATTACAGACGCATACTCATCTATCTGGACAGGGAAGGACCATTCAGGAGCAAGTCGGTATTCAACCGCGAAAACAATGACACCGGCTCCCTCGGCGACAATACGGAGTCCGTTTTCGAACTCATCTACCGTACCAACCGTGTATCCGCCGCCGTGGAAGTAAATCAGGGCGGCTGCATCGTTGGAATGCTGACGCTCCGTGGCCGAGGAAGGGTAAAGCACGCGGATAGGGATGGTACCATATGGACCGCGGATGGCGGTGAATTCCACGCGGTGGATGGGAGCCTGCTTTGAGGGTTCTAGGGCATGGATTCCCAGGACCTCAGTATGGTGTCGACGTTCATGGATGTAGTCTGGTCCGCCTAGTCGGAGAGATCCCTCGAGAGTGGTGGCGAGGAAATGCTGAAGCTCGGGGTCTAGGGTGGTTCTCGCGGCCATCTTGGGGAGTTTATGAGGGCCGGTCAGGATTTTTTCCATTTTGTCTGTGGTTGATATTTGTTGTTTGTAGCTTTTTATACGTTACTGAGCTGATCATACAAGTTCTTTAATGTAGTCCTGACATCATGGTTCATGGATGAAGCCTTGCGTGAACATTACATATGCTGGTCTGCTACCCTAATCTGATGCCCTAGCCCTAGCTTCTTAGACCACCCTTCTTCATGTTTAATAAACAACATGCCGATGGATGATAGATGCAGCTCTGAGAAATGCATCCTTTGTCTCAAGCACAATTCCGTACTGCATACACCGTATGGAGTACGATGTGCAGTCATCCATAATGAACAGAATGGCCCATCCCATGAAAGACTTGCATATGTTCCTAGATGATGTTCATTCTATCTTACATTATCCTCTACACCGATCCTATTTGAACTCTCTCTTTGCCTGGACCTAAAAAAAAGACAGCACAGCACAGCTAGCTACACATCCATCAGGACACGCCCCAGATGTCTCGAAAACGTAGCCACCATTCAACTACCCTGTCCAAGGATGGAAATCAAATTAAGAAACCCCAGTTAAATCTGAAGTCGAATCAGAAAGAAAGCGAAGGGCCACTGTCATTGTCATTGTCACACTCATGTCCCACTCACATGTACGAGTTGCGGAAGAGGGAGCCCAAGCCAGGACACGAACAGGAACAGGATCAGGTACGCAAACGACGACAGCGGAAGCGGATGCAGGAATTCCTCCATGTCCTTGTTATTAAGCCGAAGATGGATCCACATCCAGATACTTTGATCTCTCGTTCGGGTTCTAATACTGGAGGTGCGAATGCTTCGTCTCCATCTGCGCCTACATCCTCAGCAGACAACAACGACGACGACGATATGAGCGGAAGCCTTCAACCACAAGGGCACTCCTCGCATTCAGCCTCAATAAACTCTCCTCCTATGGCTACAACTGACCTCTACATGGCCACCAAAATCCGCGACTTCCAGTACAGCCCCCATCATCCCCTCGCCAGGGCTACTCCGCCTATCGTCGAGCCTCGGCGTAGGATTCTAGTCCCAGTTCCCCTAGGAACGACAGGCAGCAACCGGAATACTGCTCGGGGGGGGACTTTTCATGAACTCCAGCAGTATCAGCTCGAGTTGATGCGGATGAGGGTTGAGTTTCGGCGGTTGGAAAGGGATCTTGTTACTTTGTATACGGTGTTGAATCTTTTAAATTGGGTGCGCCTTGTGTGGCTAGTGTGGATTATGTGGGATATTTGGGATACCAATGTAATGAATGTAACGGAGGATTTTTAGTTCTCTTTCTCTTTCTTTCTGTAGTGGGTTTCTGTGGGTTTGTCTGATTCTACGTGTTCGGTATCAGGTAGATTTCTGGCATTGTACTGTACTTCTGTAAAGAATTGATAGAGTGTAATGAATATACATTGAACAACGTGCCGTATCCAGTCAATTAACACCCCCAGAAAAATCTAGAGAAATAAGAAGAAAGAAGAAAGATAGAAACCTATACATCCCCGTACCCAACCCCCCTTCCATCCCCAGACCTTCGCCATGGCGGAATCCCCCCTTGCCTCTATCTCTCGTAGACCTCGAACTAGAACTGAGCCCAGAGACAGTCGTCGATTTGGACGAACTCCCGTTCAGAGACAGTGAAGTGGTCGTTGTATTTGTCGCTGCTTCCCTGCTGGTTTTGGTCCCGATATCGATGCCCGTCTTCGTGTTCGTGCCGCTACTGCTATACTTGCTAGGAGTGTAGGTCATTGCCATCGCTGATGGATGACAGTGTAGACAGATGTAGATGTTGAAACCTCTTCCGTTGCAACTTGGGCAGGTTTCTCCTCTGTTTTTTTTTTTTTTTTTTTTTGTTATTCGTGGTATGTATAATCATAACATGGGTTGCTTACCTCGGTGCATTCCCCGCGCAGTTTCGACAGGTTATCACTGTCCTGCCACCGATGCAGGAGATATGGTCTGGGTCGAGTTGCATTATGGAGATGGAGGTCATGGGCTGTGAGGGAACGTGGGCCATGTTGCGTTGCTGGGGTAAGCTTTTCGACAAGGCTAAGGTTAAGAGTTGTCAAGATTGGGTTGATGAACTCCTCTCTCCACTGCCCGCCCGGCTTATATAGATCCAAGACGAGTGATTAAAATAAGAATATCCAGCAGATGTATCTCTCCCAGAACGGAACCCAGCAAGACAAGGCCATCCTGGTCTAACTCAAACAGCGATGATCTACGCCACCCTCTGTAAATAGCATTTAGTTTCTGGCAGCTATGATGACCATATCGAAGTGTTACCCTGCTGGTGGCTGCGTAATTGAGCGAGTATGAGAACTAATGGCTCCGAGTGGACAGATCCAGTCAGTCTACTTACTGCAGTGTAGTTCGTGTTTCCGGAATGCGAATCCAAAGGCTCAGCTGAGATCAGGAGGACGTCCGGTTTATCATTTCGCACCAATCGAGGACAGAATGGACGCTGAGAGAGTGTGGCATGATATGCTCTCACTGGCGCTGATTTGCGTCAGGACAACGTCGACGGTTGCCAGGAGTGCATATCGACAGTGTCAGCTGTACAAGCAACATCGCATCTTGTCAATCGTCATTCCGAATGACTCGGTAGTAATCGCTCCTTCGGCACTTAAAGCATTGCAACCAATGCATGGATCCAGAATCAATCCGTGCAGCAAGAAGCAGGGCTGCATGTATCATGGCCCTGAGAGGGCCTGGTGAACCGAAAAGCCAAAGCAACGCAGCGCATGGCAGCCACGGTGGGCTGTGTCACCGTCAGAAGAACAAGTATAGATAGGATATCTTGCTGACCGCTAGTCAGACTCAGACCAGAGCCGGCTGGTATTAGCACTGCTACGGCGGATACATGCAGCGGTGTTCAAGGTAAGAGATCCCAGCACCGGAATGCATGTTGCGGTCAGATGATGGGGAGCAGCAAGAGAGCAAGATGTAACAGCAACAAGACTGAAATCATCTCCTGGCTTCGTCCTGCATCCGACATTCCAATGCCAGCCGGAACCGTCGCCGTCATTCGTCGCCATCTGCTGCCTACGTGTCCTGCGAGCCGGGAGGTATTCGTCTCTGCTAGCCCTTCTCCGGCCAGGTTACATTGGCTTCATCATTGCACCCGGTAGCTATTCTATTATTCCAATTGTATTATCTCTGCCCGAACAAGGATAAGCTAAAAGTCCTGTCCCATACGCCCGTGTCCATTCCATTTCCAGTCCGCCTTGCTCATGCATCACTCGCAAGTCCCGTCCCAACACAAAAGAAAAACACCGTCCGGTTATAAGCATATTAGAAAAAAAGGAGGAAACCAAATCGAAGAAAGAACATCGTCAATACTTCACCAAGACTCCAGAAAACCCCTTACTGGAAGAAGTCAGGCGGAAGAGATGCGAGTAGGGCAACCGTTCCAAGTCCTCCAACGACGGCTCCAACGACAGCGGTGGTGACGTGGCTCACAATGCTCCTCCTTCTCGATTCCTGTGTCGTCTTAATGCGCTTACGGCGCCTTTCGTCTTCTTCATTGATCTGTATAGGAACGAGATCGGGGAGAGCCTTTGTCGACTCCTCGGGGGTCCTAGGAAGAATCTGAGCGTCCTGTAAAGATATCTCGTGTCCCCTGCTTGAAGAAGCCGCAAGAGCGGCGGGTTCGGATCCAACTGAATCAATCTCCATTTCTGCCGCTTTCCTCTTCATCGATGGTTTCTGGATTGTGCGCGGCTCCAACGGTGACGTATCAACGATATCAGCGATAGAGACCCGGCTTTTCATCGAGGTGGGTCCACCTGACAGCTGCTTCCCGGTCTCGCGGTCGGCGCCCACGCTGGAAGGCAAGGAAAAGTTCGGTTTCGGCAGATTGGCAGAATTAGGAAACTGACGAAGTTCCCGAAGATCAAGTCGATTCCTGAAACAGTCATTGCTGGAGCTTGCGAGATGAGCAGATGTGCCCTCGTTCTGAGCTTCCGGTTGCGATTCCCTGTTGACAAAAGGTCCATCGGTATAAGGGACAGAGGGAACACTTTGACTCTGGAGAGGATATGAACCGGTTGCAGCAGAGTTTCCAGGTGCCCAATCATCGAATGGGGTTGGAAGGAAGCAGTAAATGCTGCTGAGAGGAGGGTCAAGCGGCCGGTCAGCGGGTCTGAAAGATGGACTGGGACCGGATGCAGGCTTGGCCGTCCAATTCTCCTGGAACGAGCATGCGTTGTAGCAGAAAGCACTGGGTCTGCTTTGCTCCTGTTCGCTATTATGCGTCTCCATGCTGAAGGCAGGGCCATCAGCCTGGTGGAGTTCAGCCACGCTGGCATGAGAGGAAGGTCCAATATGAGCAGACTGCTGTGTATATTTGTTGTCCACGTTATGTGAGCTGGAAGACGTAACATCAGGGTGGAAGTGACTTTCAGTCTTGGAATAATCGACTGAGACTACAGGATCATCTTCTCCGTTTGATAGCTCCACACCATGTCCGTAGGAAGACTGGGAAATTGAATCATTGTCTATGTCAAAGTGGTCCTCCTTGCTCCAGTCATCATCCGACTGTACACTCGTGGCACCCCAAGGAGAGGAGTTCGACGCAGCTAGACCTTTATCAGAGTTCGCTGGCCCCGAGTGTAGCTTCGAGGAATGATCCACCTCGGTAGGCATGGGTTCGGTATCGGGGCGATTCATAACTGGGGAAGTTCCTCGTGGGGTCACAAGGGGTTGCTCAGCATTTGGAAAAGCTTTATTATTAGAATCGGCGGTATTGTCAGAGATATGAGGGCTACTCTCCTGGTTATCTGCATCGCTGATGTTAACGTCGGTATCCTTAGCCGACGGCGAGGTTACTGCAGTCGAATTTTCGGAGGCTGGATGGTTCGATGTACGTGGACTTGATGAACCATCGTCTTCCCAGCTGCTGGTGCGTTCAACTTTCACATTATTGACAGAATCATAGTCATCGATGTCACTATCATCGTCGTAATCAGGAACAGAGAAGCAATTGGTGGGAATCTCTTTCTGGGGCTTAGAGACTGATGCCCCGTCCCTGTTTATAGCATCAGCAACCATTATGAGATGCATCCAAGCGTCAGATGAAATGCACCTACCGGTCATCAAACCACTGGCATTCACATCTAACCTTCAGGGGTGGGAAAGTTTCTACACATAGACAAGGATTAGCACAACTGACGGTTGGAGAAGAGCATATCACAATCCTAGGCTTAATAGAAAATACACCTACCAGCGCCACGAGTAACTTCCGCCCCGAAGGTCAACACATCACCACTGTGGATAGCGACATCCTGGTGGATGGGGACTTTCTGATCGTTGACCCAAGTGCCATGCAGGGAGCCACCATCACGGATGTAGACACACTGCAGTAGGAAATCAGCATATATCGATCAAGACATAGACGCCCGCAAGTGAGGTATACTAGGCAAACCAAAACAAAAGACATGAACGAACCTTGTTTGCTGGAGAGATACTCAGCGTTGCATGATTCCGGGACATTACACGAGAGTCGAACCACGCATTGTGGTGAGCAGGAACGAGGTTCTTGGCTTCCCGTTTCGAGGATCTTCCGATACTGATCTGGTCGGAGTCCGAAGCAAAGGTCAGAGAGCGGAAAGGGAGGTCGTCTGGAAAAAAAAGAGGATGGAGGGTAACGACAGCTGTGAGAAGAGATTGGGCAACGTCAGCTTGAGCACTTAATGGCTATCTTATAAAAGTGAACGGACACATACCCTGTCTGTCGGACATGGCGGACGGTTCAAGGGAATCTCCTGGCTATTGGCCTTTCAGATAGTAGCTATATAGACACAATGAGTTTGTGCTGCAAAAGAACTAGGATGAGGCTGTTTGCAGGAATCTTGACTTGATATTGGCAATGTAGATAAAGAGCAACAGCAGAAGGTAGGCTCTTGTGAGGGGCACAAGGGCACCTCAGGCAGCAAGCTCACCTAGGGTTCCAAGCTGCAGCATGTAATCAGCCAAACACAGCACAGCAACAGCCAGCTTGTCTTCACATTCAACAAGAGGTGTATCAAAGAAGTTAAGTGCAGACAGGGTTAAACGAAGAGTGCGTCCTGTGAACTATGACGAGAGCAGTATGTTGGACTAGGGGAGAGGAGGGGTAGCACCTATTGGACCATGGATTGGGTCAGCAGAGAGTCAAGCGATGGTCATGAGAGTTCAATAGTCCAGGCTAGGCCTCAAGGGAATACTACGTCGACATACAAAGCACAACCTGGAAGGATCTTCCTTGACAAAGACGTCTGCACCGACTGATGGTCAACCTTATGTGGCAGCCACGGTGGATAGACAGCCAATCCCGGACAGGTACGTCAGCGGAACGGGGAGCACGGAGGGGCAGCTCTGTTCAGTTGACGGTGGTGGGATGGGAGACGGAGACACAGAAAGGGAGATATGATGGGAGATGAAAGGATGATGGAAGACCGCAGCTCATGCAGTAAATCTGCAGGGGAAGAAGAGGGGAAGAAGAGGGAGAGACAGCAAGGAGCAGGAGGTGAAGAAGCGATAAGTGACGATGACGCCGTTGCCTGTTAATCTGCCGCCAATCGCTGCCCGTCACATGCACCCCCTCACATGACCCTACGGATGGACTTCACTTTCAGAGACACTCTCACGCTCATATTGGCTCCGTATATGGTACAGTACATCCTCTCCTTGCTCTCCCGGGACTGCGTGGCTGCAGAAACGTCCAAGACAACTCGACACAGCCAGTCCCGCGCAAAATGTCGAACATCAACCACAATCCAACAAGACAAAAACAGCAGCCCTTTGGAGCCCAGACGAGAAAGACGCGCAAATAACAACACATGCAACGAAAGGAATGAGACACCAAAGGGCGAGCAAATGATAATAACATAGTCAGTAGTAGATACACACACAAATCGGCCAGACGCCCTGCACAGTAGGAACGAAAGGAAGATGGCTCAGACAGATGTGGTCCAAGGCACATGGGAAGGCGGAGAAAGGGGGGAGAGAGACATTAAAATGGACAATTAAAGGAAAGGTGAGAAAGAAAAGGATCTTCGGTTCTCCTGCGCGAGACACTGAGAGCCCGTCGTGGTGTTTCTGACTGTATCTTCTTCATCTTCCTCTTTAGAAGCCCCCGCCAAGGCCAGCGCCCATGCTCTGTAGTCGTGCCGCGAGCTGGGGGTACTTCTCCTGCACCTCCAGCTGTGTACGCGTTGCCTCGGCATATGAGATAGCATTGACGATTTCACCTTCTGTCCGAGCCAGCTCAGCGGCTCTCTCGAAGTACTTAAGCGCCTGCGACACCTTGCCCTGCTGGAGGAGAAGTTGAGCCATCGTCCCCACAGCAATATCGCATTCGGGGTCGACTAATTTCCCAAGTTAGTTCTCTCCGCTTCGCATGCTAATACAGTGAGCAATCAACTTACTGATGAGAGCCTTCTGGCACAGATTCTCGGCTTCTTGGAAGTCATGCTTCCACTGGAGAAGAGCGAGAGCCTTGTTTATCAGAGGAAGGACGTTAATCCCCATAGGTTTGCTCTGCTTCTCCATCTCGACTGCCTTGTCGAACTTCTCGATGGCCTCAGCGAAGTTCTGTTGATCAAGGAGCAGTTCACCGAAGTAGTTGTAGACATCAGGAACGTCCTCAAAGGTCTTCACAGACCTTCTGAAGGTGGCCATGGCAGATGCCACGGAGCCCATCTTGTACTGCGTCACACCCAGCTGGATGTGAGAGTAGATGAAGCTGCGATCGAGGTCGATCGACTTCTGGTAGTCCTTCGCGGCATCGGCGAACTCGCCCAGGATGAAGTGGAGCTGGGCACGGTGATAGTAGATATCGGGATCGTCCTTGTTATGAGTAATGGCAAGCTCGAAGTCATCCGCTGCAGCGTCCTTGTTTCCTGTGCTTTGTCAGCCGCAACACGGTGAGTCAAAACTAATAGAGAGAGCAATAACATACCTAGCTCGAGATGAAGACTAGCCCGCTTGATATAACTCTGTACCAAGGAAGGCTGCAGTTCCACGCTCTTGTTGAGATCGTTCAGAGCCGTCGGGGCATCGCCTTCCAGGTACGTGAAGGTGGCTCTCATGTTGAGAGCCAAGGCCTCGAAATCACCCAAGTCGCCCAACTCGAGGGCCTTCTCAAACGCCGCGGCAGCCTCTTCATAGCCATCCCCGGTCTTCTTGGCCATTGCAAGGAAGCCCTTGCGCAGTTGGCCCTTGCCGCTGTCCTCGCTCAGATCAGCAGATTCATCCAGGCCCTCGGGGAGCGGCTTGGGACGGAAGCTCTGGAGGTAGTTGGAAACAAATGTCGGGCTTGGGAGCTTCTTGCCCTTGGCGGCCAGGATGGTCTTGCTCTTCTGTTCCGCAACCTTCTTCAACAGTCTCTCCAGGGCGACACGGCTGGTCTCGTTGCTGAAGCCATCGATGATGCAGCTTGCAGTGAAATCAAGAAGGGCCTCGCTGAACTTTTCAAGATGCTCATATGCGATGGCCCGGCGATTCAAGGCCTTGACGTACTCACTGTTCATGGCAATTGCGGCGCTGGTGTCCTCGACGACCTTCTCCCACTCGGACAGGACGTTATAGCAAGCAGCACGGTTGGAGTAGTAGACAGGGTCAGGCTTGCAGATAATAGCTTTTCCGTAGAGATCAATAGCCTTATTATAATCCTTGGAACCAAATGCCTTGTTTCCAGCCGCCTTGAGTTTCGCCGCATAGGCTTTTCTAGTCTGTATTGGAAAACGAAAAAAAAAAAAAAAATCAGCAATGCAAACGAGAAAACATTGCACAGAACTCAACGTACCTCTTCAGACAATTGTCCAACGGTTGCCTCATCGACTTCGGGAAGCTCGTCGGACGGCTCCTCGGCCTTCTTCGCGGTTGATTCTAGAAAATAGTAAAAACAAAGATCAACAATCCACCATCCGTTTCACATAAACAATGAAAACATACCATCCTGAACCGTAGCAGCCTTGGCCTTCTTTTCCTCCTCGGCCTTCTTCTTCTCTTTTCGCCTTTGGTTCTTGCTCTTCTTCTTTTCCGTAGGAGCTGCCGTCTTTGTAGCTTTATTCGAATCGGAGAGATAGTATACAACACCGGCACTGGTCACGACGACTGCGACACCGGCTATTGTGTAGACGATGGCCTTGTTCTCCGAAACCCATTTCGAGATGCGGTCCCATACGGATGCTGTCGACGATGCTGGCAGAGTGGAGGTGTCGAGGACGATGTCCTTGGCGGGTTGCGGTAGTGGTGATGGGCTCGACATTGTGTATAATTTTTTTTCGTTCACTCTTTTTCCCCCTTTTATTCTCTCTTTGGATTGTTTTCTGTTGGATTTCCGCTCGAAGGCAGCTGAACTAGATAGAGCTGGTCTGGCTTGACCTGGTTTCTTCACTGTCCAGCCACGAAAAACAACGAGTCAGTCGAGGAAACCCAAGCAGAATCAGACAGTGCTGGGTCGCACGCACACAACAAAAGGTAAACACAGAAGGACAAACCGGTCCTGGATAGGCAATGCGGGCGTTTTGCGGGAGGAGGCCGAAGTTCAGCGGGAGAAGGAGAGCGAGGAAGAAGTGATGCGACCCGAAAAGATTATTATTATCGATTGCCGGCGGATACTAGCTCTCGTGCTCAGCCCACACAAGCCAATCAGTCTGTGCTGATATTAACCTGCGCTGCTCAACAGGACAACAGTTTAATGTGTATTTCCGGAGGACTGTTATTTTGATATTACTTCGTTTTATTCTTCTTCCTTGTACATATTCTTCTATTCTGTCGTCTCATTTGACATGGCAACACCGTACCGGCATTGCCCGTGCGGAGCTACGCGTGTGCACGGCACTCCGTCCGTACGTCAGTACTCCTTTATGAAAAACAAGTCCCGGTAGAACAAACAATGTCCTCGTCGGCGCCTTCATTCCACATCTTCTCCTCCCTCCGTTACGATCCCTGGCTCCCGCAATTCCTATCCCACTGCGGCCAGGAATCCGCCTACCCAAATCCTCAGGACACGCCCTACTATCTCCTCGCCTACCATCGCGACCGACTAATCAATGCCGCACAATGCTTCCAATGGTCCTCCGCGTTGGATTTTCTAGAAAAGCATGATCTGGCAGCTTTCATCCGCTTTCTAGATCCTTTCATCCCGGATAAGACAACGCAATGGCGTCTCCGGATCTTGCTGCACTGCAGCGGCGAGTGCAAGGTTGAGGCATATCCAACGGCGCCGATTCCACCTTTACGGCTTCTGGTTCCGTCACCAGGTATCCTGGACCAGCCAGCAGAATCACAATCGGGTCTCTGGCGCGTCTACATTGATTCACAACCGATAGTTCCCTCGGTATATACAACTCACAAGACTACGGCCCGGGATGACTACAACGCCGCGCGGCTAAGGGCAGGAATACAATCACCTGCCGAAAACGCAGAAGTGCTAGTCGTGAATCCTCAAGGCGAGGTTATGGAAGGAAGCATCACTACGCCGTATTTTCGGCGACGGCATCAGCTGGGGACTAGCGGGGCCGGAGCTCCGAGTGAGCCCCATTGGATAACACCGCCATTGTCGAGCGGCGGAAATGCGGGGACGACGAGGCGGTATGCCCTTGCGCAAGGGTTCTGCATCGAAGGGGTAATAAAGACCGCGGAGTTGGTGGATGGGGATGAGTGCTGGTTAAGTAACGGTGTGAGAGGGTTTATGCGGGGCGTAGTCGTGCTGAAGCATTGACTCTTTCGTAATAGGCGTACACACAAAGATCAAGGACATTATACTGAAGAGGGCCGGGAACTGGCGGGGAGATGGTCACTCGTAAACGTCAATGGAATTAATCCAGTAGCTGAATTCTAAATACAAGTCCCTATAAGGGACAGCGCTGGGCGAATCCGCTTGAAAACGACCATACCATGATGTAAAACTGCTCCAACTGTCAAAAGATATGGTATCTATTATAATGAAAAGAAGTTGCGCTTATTTTTTTGGCTTCTCAACAACAATCGGATTCGGATTTCCCTTCCACTCTAGTGGCCGCTGCCTCATATACTCGGCAACGGTCTGCTCATTGACCTGAGCTCTGCGCTCCTGGAACGCTTGGACATAAGCTTGCACTTCAGCGATGCAGCGCTGTTTGAGTTCACCGGTGAGCATCTCTCCCTTCTCGTAAGCGACACGGATACGTTCAAGTTCGTCATCATCCTCCAAGAAGAAGGTGAGGTACTGAAAAGGGACATCCACCTTCGTGTTACCACCAAGCTTGCGCTGCAGCTCAGCGGTGTCCTGGCCGCCAGAAAATGCGTATTTGTTGATCTTGTTCTTTATGCGGTTGGGTGTGTCGTTCATGAAGATAGCTGAACTGTCAACACTAGCAGACATCTTGGACCCTGGCCCTTGAAGCGCCGGCAGGAATATGGAGTGGATCAGCGCAGGTTTCTTGTATTTCATTTTCTCCGCATGTTCACGGCATTGACGGAAGTACGGGTCTTGGTCGATGGCGCAAGGAATCAACGCCGGGATTGAGGCAACCTTCTTCCTGTCCGTGCCGAAAATATGAGGAAAGCTGGTAGCAAATGCGGATGCGGACTGCGTTGCGCAGAAATGGAATTCACCAACGTTGTTGCTATCTGTAAATCCAAACGTTCCTCTGACCGAGTTGATTGTAATCCTCTTTGCCAGTCGGCATATGTTCTCGTAAAAGGCAGCACCAACGAAATCAAGGTTACTGAAGATGAATGTTTTCTTTGGGTCGAATCCAACGGCGATGATATCCATCACGTTAGCCTTAGTGTACTTTCTGGCATCGTCAATTTCGATCTTCTGAGAATGCATGAATTTTTCGTCATCGCTCAACATTATGACGAGAGGTACATCGAAGACGTCTTGTAGCCACCTATTGACATTCAAAGAAGTACAAGGTCAGCACCTTCAGATTAATTGAGGAGATAGGTGAAGAAATGTTTTTTTCTTACTTGGTAAATTCAAAAGGAATGGTATGTCCGACATGCACGCTATCACTGCTCGGTCCTCGTCCGGTGTACAGAAAGAACGGCTGCCCCTTCTCATACCGATCGAGAATGACATTCAGTTCGCGGTGGCTAAAGACAATCCCTCTGCGCATGAACCTATGAGGACGATGCCCCGTAACTTTCTCAAATCGTTCTAGCAGTTGTTTGCTGATAAGATTCGCGCCGAATTCTCGGACCAGCTTGTCATAGTCGACCGGTAGCAGTTTTCCCGACTCATCAACACCACCAGAGACATCGAAGGGAGTGACTTTTTGCTCGACAGCCTTGGACACATGAGCCTTTTCTGCCAGGCTCAGGGTTGTGAGCGCGGGCGGTTGCCCAGGTTCGTCGGTCATGATGCGATGCGTTAGAGAAAGGCGAAGGTAATTTGACGACGGCAGCAAAAATTCTTCGGAAACTTCTCAGAGACAATTCAATACCTGACTCTCTTCCTTTCTTGCGGGACGTAGCAAGGTTGCAGCTGAATTGCATCCGTGGCTGATAACAATCAAACGTTATGCCCCTCGGAAAATGAGTCAGTCAGGAGCGGTTTATGCCCTAAGCCCAGACAGCGCGTTTGATTGGCCATCTGGCAAAAAGCGTCACGTGCACCCAGTCGGAACCCCGCGTTCTAGATTAGGTTTAGCTCCGGAGGCGACCGGAGCCGCCAAGCTTCCAGAATTCGAATATTTCTCCGACGTTCCGAGAAATCATAATAAGCATCCAGAGCAAAAAGGTTGGGCCACCATCGTCATCTGCCAGTAACGCAACCAGCTCCGAGAAACTTGCAACCTCGCTTGTCTCGAGTCTGAAACGACTGGCTGGACGTTCATCTGTGACCATGAAGTTTTTCGAAAGTGTCTTCACGTACGACTACTCCTTCCCGGCGGTAACCCTCGCCTACTTCCTTCGCTATCCCAATCCGTACTCTCGCCATGTCCTCACGACCGATGTCATTGACCGCTTTGTCGACCCTAATACCCAACGGCTCCATACCACTCGCTTACACATAAAGAAATCAAAAGTCCCATCGGCCATTCTCAAATTACTTCCCAAGGGCATAGGGGGATCGGACAATTCCGGACAGAGCTGCATCCTCGAAACTACGGTGGTTGACCCCCGGGAAGGGTGGATGAAGTCGGAGTCTCGCAATATTGAATGGACGGGTATCCTCAGTGTTGTTGAGAAACAAGTCTATCAGCGTCATTCTGCCGAGGACGTTGACTACAGCCTGAATGGACTGGCAATTGATAGTGCAAAGAACGAGCAGACGACCGTCAGAACCACGGTCACTTTCGTCTCCCGGTTCGGACAAGGAAAGCTCTTCAAAGGCAAGAAAAGGGCCAAGTCGAGTGATGATCAAGTAGCGGACGTGGAAGAGGAAGCTCCCAAGAAGGGATTTTTCACGTCCCTGTCGACTACTGGGATCCAGCGGACGATTGAGCTTATTGGCGTGAAGCGCACGCGGGAAGCTGTCCTTCGAAGCAAGCAGGGCATGCATGTCGTTCTAGAAAGATTGCGGCATGGCGGCATCGTGGGCGTCCTCGAAGGAATGCGGCAGGACCGGGAGGCGGCCTTTGGACCGGAAGGCCCTTGGAAGCGTGTCTGGCTTCAAGGCAATGGTCTTAAGGAACACGCTCATCTGGAAGATGACGACCACTAAATTCTCTTTCCTTTTTGTCGTTTAATGGCTTGGCATCGCTGGGGACAGCAGGAAGCCTCTCGACTACGCTTGTAACTTTCATTCCAGCGTCGGAGCTTTGGCGTTTGCAAGGGGATTTACTTTTTATTCATCTCTTCTTCGTGATTCGACGACACCCCGATCACTTGATGAATTTAGTGCTTGTGGACTCAATTTTGAAGAAAAACAAAACAAAAAAAAGGAACAAGGAAAACTGTATTTCTATGTGGAACGGGTTAAAAAATGGGGAAACCAGGAAAATAACTTTTTTTTTTGTCAGGGGGGAAGGTGTGACGGCGATTGATCTCTCCTCACTCATTTTTGGGAGGCCTAAGGCGGCCGATGTACAATGCAGCTCTCGTGTCTTTTCTAACTTTCGGTATCTACTACGTTAATACTAGTATGATATATTGTTTGGAGCTCATATGTGGACGAGCGTACATAGATTAATAGTAGATACTATGCACTAGGCTCCCTGGCCCAGAGTGGAATCGGTTGGGCTGAGAACGGACATGAAACATGCGTGGAATACGAAGGGAGGCACCGATATCTAGTTACCTAGTTAGAACACACCTATGATAGCACAGAGTCGCGAGGCGGCGGCTCTCAACACGATCTGAGAGCGCCTTCAGCAAAACCGGGCGGAACTGGAAGATTCTGGTTCCTCCGTATGTGGAAGCAGTTCGGCCATGATTCAGAAAAAGGGGCCTATGGCTCTATCCGAGAAACAGCGGAAGTGACAAGCGAGTAGTAGTTCCACCGTATCGAGTCACACTACACTAGGTGTGTGATCCAGTTGAACTGTCCGTGACTCCCTTCATAATAATAATCGCTGGTTATCAATAACGTGACAAGGACGATGAATGCAGGAGGCACTTGCGCTCGCAGTGTGTAGTATGATTAGGGACTTGACTGGAATGACTTCATAATGCCGCACGAGCACAGGCGAACTGTTTTAGCTCCGGTGACGGTACTTGGCCGAGCTGGGCAGTTGGTCGTTATCTTCTTCGAAGCCAAGTCGGAGGGAGAGCCCCATCGATGCCATCCGACGGTTACCCTAGGGAAAACCGCCGGAGAATTGGCAGGAGGGCGAATCTGAGACGAATCTGACAGGAGGTGCGAGAAGGGAGTGCATAATCTGATGCTGATGTCGGACAGCTTTGATGCTGGATATCCATCACTTCTCGCACTGTGACTCTTTCTGCATCGATGACAGTAGGAGAGTCGGCGTAACGGCGTATCATATTGTATTACACGCTCAGGTCAGATACCACTAGTAGACTAGCAGGGATAGTGGAGTATTATTGGTGGATTCTGTACCCACTCTATAGCAGTCCAGCCAATAGTTGTATGTATGGAAATATGAACCCGCCCGCAATTTGCCACATACGGCTAGTGGGGACGGTCTGGGCCAATCAGGGCGAGAAAATCACGCTAGGCGCAGAATCGATCGATGTTCCTTTATTTTCCTTTAATCCTCTTGTTCTTCCTATTATTTTCTCCATTATTGCTCTAGCCATTCCATTTAATATTAATCGTAATAAATATCTCAGCTGCATATTATATTGCCATCAAGAATCCCCATTCCACTTAGAGTGCTGACCGCGGATGGCCCCGAACCCATAAGTCAAACTAACTAGGCTTTGCTGGTGCTGATTATTACTATTACCACCTCGCACCACCAAATCCTATTTTCTCCCCCCTCATTTCCTCCTATCTCTCTCTCTCTCTCTCTCCGTGTGTCGAACCCCGTCCTTTTCTTCTGTCCTGGATACATCATCGGGATTATGCAACTGTCCCCTGCGTGTGCTCGCCTTCCGTCTCTGTCGCGTTCCATCGCGACCAGACAGCTCTAGCCCCCCGAATCCATCATCCTTCCTGATCTCTCCAACTCCTCAACACACGACCTCTGCTGATGGCGGTCCAATCTATCATGCACCTCCTCGCCTCGTCCGGTTTGCTCCTGGTGATTGTGTTGGCCATGATTATTCAGCCCATTCGAGCCAACTACTGCCAGTTTTGGAGCCCCGATTGTATTGATCCTCTCGCCCAAACCGCCGTCCCTTTCAACTTCGAACCGCTTTATCCTGACCCTTTGTATCTCTTCTACGCTTTCGATGCTTCTACCGATGGTTCCACTGGCCAGCCGGTAACCAAGACCAGCTTCTGGCTTCGCTACGGCGGCACTCGCGTCAACAGAGTAGCCATTAATGGCAATCGCACCTTGGAAATTGCAATGCGCGTCGGCAATCTCACTGGCTATCCAGCTGGAGGTCACAATGCTTGCGAATACGTTCTGGGTTCCCAATGCACCGAGACCATCACCCAGACGCTGCAGTATGGCATCTACGGGCACATCCTGTCTGGGCAGAACTATACGAATCCCCTAGCGACGATTTTGACTCAGATGCAGATGTATACGCCTGCGAATTTCTCATGTTCACCCTACTTCTTCGATGTTCAATCATTCCCGGCGATCTGTATAACTCCCCCCCTTTTCACACGTCTTCACATGTCCTATATACTGATTGGTTTTCTTTGCAGCGTTCGCCTCAGAAATCTCCTCCCCGCAATCCGTTGAGATGCAAAGCTCCGGCTCCACGAATTCCCCCTGGGCGACGTGGTATACACACGACCTTACTTCTGCCAGCCAATCCGATCAGGTAGCCGTGGCTATTGTCAGTCGAAGTCCGGCCTACGGTTGGACAACACCTCCCAGTCTTAGCGACATTCAGGTCGAGCTTGTCTGCATCCAAGCCCCGTCATGATATTATATTCCACAATCATCGCTCTAGAATCAGTTTAGACATGTTTACTTCAGGCAAGAACAGAGCGCCCTGGGTTTGCCTGTGATCTTTGAATCGGTGACCTGGCATCGGTATTGACACTGGAATGAGTCCGTTGAGCCATCCTCAAACAAACCGAACTCTTACCACCACACCGCCAGATGAAATCGGCCCCCCTTATCTACCTCCTTCCGTTCGGTACAATCCCCACCGTGGCATGGCTCCACCACGGCTCCGGTTTATTTACCCGCCGACATCTCTCTTTTCATCTGGAAAACCAGTGCATACTGGACGGTCACCAGTTTATATGCATGCGGTCACTGGAACATTAAAAGCATTACCGTGGTTGACGCACCGGATACCGATCTAGATCCTGAACCCGAACTGGCGTTCCGCGTCTTTCCGTTCCAGTATGCGGTCCGTCCGGTTCAAAAAGTCCGATTCCGTTCTCGGATGTATAAGGTTATTTATGCATACGGTTGAAACCAATACGTATCCTTGGAGTTACTTCCCTGAAGGATGCTCATATTTGATATCTATGCTGCGATTGAGCACTCTGTGCCAGTTGTATTTTTTGTTAGATATGAGGATGGATATTCTTTCGTTTGATTGCAGATAATCAAGGATATATCTGAGTAGAAATATCTGCAAATGAAAACAAACCCAATGAAAAGCAACAAAAGAGAAAAAAAGAAAAAGAAAACTACAACTTCGCCTGCCCTTCCTTATTATCCTTCCCCTGCCATGCAAACTGGATCGTCTTCCCAACCCCCGGTTCAATAATAACATTCACCACTGTAGGGACATCATTTTGAAATCCCTCCCGCGTAGCCCGTTCTAGTTCCTCTTCGCTGCGAACAAAGTATCCCTTCCCCCCACACATGGTAGCGAGCATTTCATACCGCGTTTCGTACAAGAGACTCGTCGACCGCAGTCCTCTCTTCTCATTACCGGACGCAGCTGAAGATCCAGAGCTCTTCGTATCATTCGCAACCGTCTGCTCCTGCAGAACCTTCCAGGCATCTTCAGTCTTCGTGTCCCCGTGGTAGATACCGGAGTTATTCATGACGAATATCAACGCCGGAATACGGTAGCGTGCCATGGTCTCGATTTCCATCGCACTGAACCCGAACGCGCTGTCGCCTTCCAGTGCAACGATCTTCTTTGGTTTGCCGTTCGCTATCGTCCCGACAGGCGTGTTGTATGCTTCGTGCGCCGCGATTATATACCCCATCCCCACGCCCATGGTGGCGTAGGTGCCTGCGTCGAGACGGTGGCGGGGTTGGCTGAGTGGGAATATCGAGCGGGAGATGTCCATTGTGTTTGCGCCTTCGGAGACGTAGACGATGTTTCCTTCTTCCGACGATGAAGAAGGTGAGAGCGAATTCAGTGTTGTCTTAATGATATGGTATGCCCGCTGGTAGGTCAGGAATGCATCAGGGCTGCGCGGTGTAGGCATCAGAGCGGCCTTTTGCGCTTTGGCTTCGTTCTTCTTCGCCGATTCAGCCAGTAACTTGGGGAATTGACTCGTAGTGCTATACCGCCAATTCGACAGCGTCACGAGCAATTGCTCCACGACCAGGTTGATGTCGCCAACGATGCCCAGTTCGGCGTTTCCTGCATTACGTCCGATCTCTTCCGCGGCGATGTCGACCTGGATGATCTTCGCCGTGGGCGACCACTTGGGCGGTTCTCCAAAATGCAGGATCCAGTTCAGTCTCGCCCCAAGCACGAGCACGACGTCTGCGTTCTTCAGAGCTGCGCTGCGGGCACTGGATACGTTCAGTGGATGCGCATCAGGGATGATCCCCTTCCCCATCGGCGTAGGAAGGAAGGGTATCTGCGTCCTCTCGACGAGCTGCCCAATTACTTGTTCCGCGCGGGCATACGCCGCGCCCTTCCCGAGAATCAACAGTGGTGCCCGCGCGGAGCGAAGCAACTGCGCTGCCTTCAGAATAAGAGCCGGATCCCCGCTCGACTTCGGCGGGGATGCGACGTATATATTCTCAGGCTCTGGTAGCTGGAATCCCGGCGACGCTTTCCCCTGGATGATGTCGGCGGGTAGATCAACAAAGGTCGATCCTGGACGACCGTACCAACAGGTCCGGAAGGCATTCTTGATCGCACCCGGAATGAAGTCGAGCGAGGACGGCCGTACGGCAAACTTGGTATGCGGCGTTAACAGGGAGATAGCATCCAGTTCCTGAAAGGACCCCTTCGTCACACCGGTCGTTTCTGCGGATCCGGCGAGGATGAGCAGTGGGAAATTATTCGTCGTTGCGTTTCCTATCTGTACAAGCTGTTAGCATCATGGAGACTGAAGACAGAGAGAAAGTAGACTTGCCCCTGCCAAAGCATGGAGAACTCCAGGTCCCCCAACGACTAGACAGACGCCGGGCTGTCCAGTCATGAATCCGTAAACGCTCGCGGCATAGCTGCATGCCTGTTCGTTCCGGAAGGCAATGAATCGAATGCCCAGGTTGATCGCCTCCTCGGCTATTTCTACCACGGGGATGCCGACGATGCCAAAGATAACTGTCACTCCCAGATCGCGCAGCGTCCGGGCAATGATCTGAGCGCCTGTGACGGCCATTTTGGATAGTTGGAGAACAATAAAGCAGGAAAGAAAGCAGAGAGCAAGGTAGACTGCAGGCGTACGTATGCTCCTTGACGTGGAGCCGAGGGATTATGGTTGCTGACGCAAGTCGGAGGCGTTTCCGAAAGTCAATCACCATAAGGCTGAATGAGCATGGCATTCCATAATTATAGGAGTTATAATGATAATATGACGATAAAGTGATTCAGGTGTTCTATATATTTACTATGGAGAGATGGATGTAAATGGTATTCGGCTACATACTATCACAGACGATATAATGACAACTTATTTTCGCCGTCGCCAGATGAAATGGAGAGGACTCCCCATGCGTAAAAAAAATTAAATAAAAAGAAACGAGATCATTCGAATAAAAGCATCTATCAGAATTCAAACTCCTTCCGGAAAGCATTCACATCCATCCCCGCTACCACCATGTCGGCCAGGTCCCTGCGTCCCATCTGGCTGAATACGCGCCGCAGCGTGTCGTACAGGTTTGTGCTCTGGTTCTGGGAGATGTGGAGCATGCGCTCTAGTTGCTCATTCTCAACACCGTCGCCACCGATGATTTCTCGCGCTCGTTCCCGACCTTCTTGTTCAACGACCCGGTGCATGGACAAGGCGCCCAGGAGATGCTGTGCCGCTTCGGGGTAGCACCCAATGTTGATGCAGGAAACACCAAGATTATACCGGGCCCGCACAAAGTTGGGGTTGATGTTCAGCGCTTGCTCGTAAGCCTCGATGGCTTCCTCTGAGCGCCCGGAGTTGGCCAGCGTAGCACCCAGACGGTTCCATAGAAGGTGAATCTGGTCTTGCTGGTTCGAAGTTCCCGACTCAGTGGATGCCAGTGCAGCTGAGAAACAGTCAACCGCCTTGTCGTACTCTTCTGCACAGTAGAAAAGAACTCCCAGGCCGACCTGCACATCAGGGTCCATATGTTCACCAGAAGGTGAAAGTTGAGCCGCCTGGATGAAAAGCTTCGTAACCCTCTCGTGTAGTAACTGACGGTCAGTGAATCCGAGGTCTGTATCGGGCGAAACGTCCTTTGGATCGATGATCTGGGGATATTTGACAGAAAGCCATCGTTCGAGTGTGCGGTACGCAGTAGAATCGTATCCCTCGTTTGTATATGAAACGGCCAATCCCATAAGAGCATCGAGGTTATTAGGATCGATTTTCAGGGCTTGTTCCAAAGCCCGAATGGCAGGAATCTCCTTCTCGTTCTGCGCCTGGGCGTGACCCAACATCGTCCAAGCCTCCACATGCTTGGGATCCTTCTGCACGGCAGCCTCGAAGGCCAAAGCTGCCAGGGACAGGTTTCCACCATCCCGCATGATCTTTACTCCCTCTTCGAACGGGTTGTTCACGGTGCGGAATACGTTATCTTCCTCGAACATGTAGTTTCCGAGTTGGGGATCCTGTAGTCGAGTATTGAGGCTGTCAAATCCATCCCATTCACCGAGCTCTCCCATATGCAGTTTTTCGTTGATATCAAAGGCGGGATTTTCTTCGGCCAGTTTCCTGTTCGTAGCCATCTCAGCTTCGACTTTTCGCCATACATTCTCAAACGTTCCAAAATCGAGATTATTAGTCGCGCTGGTGATAGTAGGAACTGACCTGTCTAGCTCATTCAGCTCCGCTTCCATGGCCGCATTGGCCTCGGCATCCACCTCGCGGTTGCCAGCCGTCTCCATCTCAGCAAACTGTGCCTCCCAGTTTTCATCATCCAGTTCGACTAGACGACCTTTCCCTTTATCCTGTGCAGCGGTCTCGGTCTGAGCCGGTTGTTGCATTCCCATAGGTCCATAAGAGTGCATCATGCCTACTCCACCCATACCCATGTATCCCATTCCGAGCGGACGCTGGTAGCCAGCCATCATCGGAGATGGGCCGGCCGTGATGGGACTCGATGTCTGTGGCATGCCCACCCGGCTCTGTTCTTGAAAATGGGCAAATTCTGCCGGAGAAAACCCCGCCCCGTTATTCGCCTTCGGGCCAGCAAAGGCAGCCTCCATACGTGCCTGCTCACCAGGATCAAACTCCGCAGCCCAGCCCGGGGACCCGGTCCTCGGCGGGGCCGTTTGGAATTGGTCCAACTCCCGCCTCAGTTGTTCCATTGCAAAAGGCTGTGGAGGGGCCACTGGCACCTGGCCCGGTTGTTGTATAAACTCGTCCATCATCTGAATTGCAAAAAGAAGGTATTGTCTTGTTAGATTCGGAGAATTCGAGGATGCGTATCATGCGAAACAGAGACCGCCGGGCCTACCTGATCTTGACCACCCATCATCCCCGCAGATCGCATGCTCTCCTGCATCCCACCGGGACCTCGCCCAACTAGTCTATCCCGTTGAAGAGACTTGTCATCTTGGATGTGCTTGGTGAACTGAGTCAACGGGTTGCCCGCCGTGGAACACTCCGCGCCACCGAGAAAAGACATGTTGAAGATAGTCCGCAGTAACGTTTGGCTATGAGCACCGATGGACCGTCAATTCTGTTTCCGTCTAGCTTCCACGGGATTGAAGACGGTAGAAAACGACAGCGAAGAGTGTTGGAAGGATCGAAGACGATGGCGCGGGGGTTGATTAATCAGATCGAGTTCCAGACGGGGAGAAGACGATCGGGCGGAGAAGCCGAGGTCCATTACGGTCACGTGGCGAGCATGCTTCCCAAGTCCGCGTAGTTGAACATGTAGTATCTACGCTCAAGACAGTCAAGACAGCCCTGAAGACCGGATATACTATACGATGCGCGACCAGGTACACAGAACTCGGAGTAGTATTATACATCGCACGTAAAATTCAAGCTATGTCCCGCTATAGCACCTGCATATCCTCACTGCTGCCGATTTGACCACCTCCGCGCTTGGTCCTCTTTTGGCTGTATTCAATGTGAAGTTTCCTGCCGTACGGGGCCTTTCTGCTCAGGATCTCATATGCGACCTCGGCGCTGTAGATATCGAGGAATTCGGCATGAGCGAAACCACGCAGCTGCCCAGTGCGACGGTCAACCGCTATCCGGATATCAGTGACATTCTCAACATCCCTAAACAGATCGTACAAATCGCGATCCGTCATTTCGTACATTAGGTTGCCGATGTACAGCAACTTGCTGGGCTGACTCTTCTGCCGGGTATGCTTCAACGATTCCATGGCAAATTGCACGTAGAGGCGGCGACCCTCAAATATGCTCAAATGCATACCGCGTACCGCGCGCTTTGCAGATTGGATATTGGCAAAGGTGACATAACCAAAGCTTGATCCCACCGGCAGATTGTTAGCTTTGATGGCCGTCCGGAAACTGGATGTGCGATGGGGATTCACAAACTCACCCCTTGCTCAAGCCTCGAGTATCATGAACAATCGTAGCCTGCTCAACAATTCCATATTTCTCCATCTGTTTTCTAAGATCATCCGCTGTCACATCGAAGAAAAGGTTCCCAACATAGATTGTCTCGCATGGTGGAGGTTCAGAAAACTTAGCGGGGCTCTGCCATCCTTCGGGGTATGGTTCAATTTCCGGCTTGGTTGACTCTTTCGAGCCATTCCGTGGTGTATCTGCATTAATCTTGACGCTGTCTAGTACAGAATCGGCTGTCTGGATCCCCTCAATTGACCCATTATTCCCCGGCTCTGTCGGTTCTGTGAATTCCGTTTTAAGAACCTCTGTAGTAGATTCCACTGCTTGGGTATCCTCATTATCTGCTGCAGCTCTTGTATCCTTTTCTTCGCGCTTCAATTGAATTGGAGCTTCGTCGCTGGCCCATCGGCGCTGGAATGAACGGCGAGGTAGCTGGCGGGATGCAATAGAAAGTGGAGAAACCGGCGCAATCGACGTTGGCCTTGCAGGTATGGAGGCTGAAGACGATACAAAGCGAAGAGTAACCCGTCTGAGGCAATTCCTGTAGAATAAATGGGAATGTCAGTGGAATCTGCAATTACTTGAGCCATTGAAAATCATGATGATACAACCCACATTTTTTATATTATCTTTTCTCAAAACTATTAAACAAGCATAAGCAAAGAGAAGAGAAGAGAAGAGGAAATAAAAAAGCGATTATAAAAGAGAAAGGTATGCTGCAACAGTAAATGCGCATCGAGAGGCGATAAGATGAAATAATCTCCATTATGATCACGTGTTTCGCTGGCGTGTCGGGAGTTGCCCGATCCGGCAATCATTAAAGCCTCATCTCTTCGTGAATCTTCGCGCTTCAGAGCAAGCTGCTGCGTAATCTGGGGCAGGCTATACTGGGGAAACAGTCAGAAAGCGGCCAGAAACTCATCATCCCATCAGTAGTCCCCACGTTTTATAGTCTTAGTATATAGTGTTATAGATTACAACTGAAGTAGGAATACATGCATAAATATATAATCTCAATGAACAGTGTCGTCATTGCACTTCGTTGTCTTCTAATCTTGACGAGCTCAGCTATTTCTGTAAAAGATTAACCAGTCCTGTAACCCATAGCCACCAGAAATAATCTTCACTTTTTTCATAACGGCATCTAATCGTACAGGACTACGTTCTATACTAATATGTTCAATGAGAAGGGTGATAACCAAGACACCAACCCAAGGCAGGTCCAGGAAGACATATCATACATTAATATATGATCCTTTTTCCTTTTCGTTAACCCTGAAAACCTTCCCGCTTCCATATCGAGAGAAAACTTAATTGCACAATGACAGATCCTCAAGACCCATTTAACCCAAAGACCCAGGACGGCCGGAGAGGAGAGTATTCGGTGGGAAAATGCAAAAACGGGGGTCACAGAGCCCTTTGCCGACCAACGACAGCGCTACTTGAGCAGCTTTGGGGGATAGGTGTTGTAAGTGGCCCTGAAAACGCCAGTGATATCCTAAATGCCAAGTGCTTTGGACTTGTAGTCGTATGGGGTTCCTCAGGAGGAAGGAAATGAGGGATGGAGAGCCGGTGCCTCCGGCTTCAACAGCAGTCTGAGCCGCTGATGCGCCTTGTGCCCATTTGTGAGAAAGGAATCATATATTGGGAGTTGGCCACCATTGATTTGAAGAGTCAACAGTCGAATTTTGAATATAGGAATCCCAAGCATCCTAGAACCATGTCAGCTCATATTCGCAAGAACCCAATGCTTAAGACCGGTGGAAACTAACCCAGTCTACATTCAGCTGGAGATCAGGCATCTGGCCAAACATGCTATTGAAGGGCGAAGGGGCTGCTGGTAGCTCTACTGCTGCCGCCAACCCCCCCGGGATTAATGGCGGCTCGGTCATTTTCATCCCTTGGTCACTAAACGGTGTAGGTGCTGCGTTCATAGGAGTCATCCCACTGCTCAAAAGCCCCAATGTCATCGCTGCACTTTGCTTTTCATCTTGCGGCTCGAACGTAGTTGGTGCGTTGGGCTCAGTGCTGGTGAGCACGAGGTTCATCTTTTCAAACATGACCCCGAGAATCCCGGCGGCCTTATAAGCATCTATGCTCTCATCACGAAGATCATTCCAAATTTCCCTGGAGCGCTGTAACGCGACTAGCATTTCCGCCTGTCGCTCTTCGCCCCAGACGTACGTGTCACCAGATGGCCTACCGGCTGTCTGCAGCTGGAGTCCATGATAGAGGTCCAAACAAACAATAGTGGCTGCAAGTAAGAAATCTGCAGAGGTGAGGGAGGAGTTCCAGCGAGAATTGACCGGTAACCGGCCGTTAGGCCCGGATTCTGCATGGATTATAGATTGGTATCGTAGGAGCTCCATGGCCGAATCGATACATGTCCGTCGCGAATAGGCAAGCCGAGGGTTCTCCCGAGCTCGTACAAGATAACGACGGTGAAGGACACACTGTGCCTTGTGATAAATACTATTGGTCTGCGATTTGTCAGTATTTGGATGGGTATTGGAAAAAGAGGAAGTTTACATTAAATCGGGCAGCGATAAGGGCAGGCTGCTCCAGATGCCACTCCTCAACAGGAGGAATCTGGAGATGTTCAGGAATTAAATCCCTAGCTTGACGGAGTTCTGCATCGATTTCCAAGACGACATCATACGAGCCACTTTGAACGGAAGATGTGTGTTCAATCACACGGCCAAAGGCATAGCTTAGGCGCGCTTTTATAACCAGATACGATATTGGCGTAGGCTCATTGTATGGACGCGAAGGGGGAAGTTCCTTGCAGTCTTCATCAAAGTCATCATCGTATAGATTTCGCGGGATCTCGGTATCACTGTCCGCCGAACGTATCATGCCAGGAAGTCCAACTTGGAACGACAATAACAGATCTGAGAGTCGGACATACGTCCATACCCGCCTGCGCATTTCAGCATGGAATGGTGAGATGTTGGGGAACATTTTTGGATCTCTGTGATATCCCATTCGCATCGCTAGCCTCGTAATGACACCCACCAGCACCCATATAGAAACATCAGTTTCTCTTGTCTCAAGGAAGTCTGCATGGAGATGAAGGGTCAAGCATTCGATCAGATACCGGTATGGTTTGGTGTAATCAGCAAGATTTAGGCATTGCGCCATGAGAGTTCGGAAGCTCGCTGCCATGTCCAAAGTTTTCCCTTGGAACTCTGGTGGTGTGTCATCTTCCTTCTGGTATGAAAGCATAGCAATCCGCATCATAACCAAGACCATGCCGATCCAGACAATGGATGTTTGCGAGGGATCTTGCCAATGTTTATGGTACTTCCAAGAAGGTTAGCACAAAAATAAGAGGATGCGTTTAAAGATCGCCAACTTACCTGGATCTGGAAAGATGGACCATGGAGGAGGTCTGCTCACTGTTAGCTGAATGATCATTGACAGAGCGCACAGTCCAGGGAGCTGCTTACAAGCTGTGGGGTCCCTGGAATTGAAGAAGCGAGCTATCAAGATATCCGTCGTATATTTCGATGGGAATGAGGACATGATTTCTGCTCGCGTGGCGGGTTTCATCGCACCGAAGAGCAAGGCTGTGCCTGGGTAGTGGCTCTTTTCTCTTATCGCACTGACCTTCTGCATTTGCTCCTCCATCTGTTTCTTATTTGCCGCAAAGTAATTTCGGACTTCTGCTATCTACGGCATACTGTCAGACGAGATAGGATACGGGAGTGGATGAAAGACTCACATCGTTCAACACAGTCACCCAGTGCGCATCGCTGATATAGTAAGACTTGTTATTGTCAACTTTCAGAATACCAAAAGATTTCGTAACCTGTTCAGTATCGCTTTCCTCCAGACCGGCAATGGGCAGCTCGTCCGAAGCTCGAGTAGAGCCTGCGCTGCTGTCACCAGAAATTGCGGCCATGGCAGCAGCGGGACCTGCGGACTGTGAGCCGTTGGTCATTAAAGATAGAACCAGGCTCTCCAGCCGGTCAATTCTGTTTTGCATGTCATCTAGACTCGTGGGATTTTGAATGTTCTTTTTCCGGGAAGTCGCTTGAGCGTATGTGCAGGAAGAAGCATCGTCCCGTTTAAGGCAGTTCTCGCAGGGTTGCGCCCGGTTGCACTTCAGTCTATATGCAGCCGTCAGAGATGGTCTGGTTATTGGACGAAGGATCAGAGGGCGCCGGACTCACTTTCTATGCCGGCAAGGTCCGCAGGAGAGGGGCACCCGGTTTCTCTTTCGGATGATCCTGTATTGGCTTTCTGGGGTATGTACGCCGCCACTCGATGATGTTGTGGTGGATGGCGGTGTTCGAGGCATCTTCAGGGAAGCGCTCAGTCAGGTATATATATCTTCTATCCTTCTTCTCCTTCCTTTCGGCTTGTCTTGCCCTCTCTCGAAACAGAGAAACCCAGTCGGCGTGTGGAAGAGCGCATGCGATCGTTATGACGGATCGATCAACGGTACAGCGCTACCGGTTTTAGTCAGCTGATTAGACACAAAATGCAACCAGGTCGCCAAAAAAAGTCCGTGTGAGCGGGAAGTCTTCAAGAGCGCAAGAGGCTCTCAACTAACTGTCCTTTTCACCCGGTAGCTATTCGCTGGGGGGCTTTGCGGCGTCCTTTCGAGCTGTCCGTCTGTCCGTCCGTCCGTGTATGACTCTCAGGCGGTTGCGAGACCGGTGGGGTCTGTCTGACTAGTAATAACTTCGTTCCTGAGTCCAGGCCAGGTTGGTCATAGAATCTTCCACGGACGTGAACGGCGACGCGGGAGATGTTGTTTCGTCAGGGCGGGGGACGCGGGGTGATGCGAAATCGTTGTTGCGTTGCCGCAAGGAGCAAAGACGGATTAAACAGGACAAAAGGAAGTGTGTCTCTAGATAGCTGGAACTGGACTGCGATAGAAGTTAGAATTGCAAAGAAGACGGATGCCAAGGGCGCCGAACGGAGTAGATAGTAAGCTAGGCCGCAGCGACTTCTCTTTCGCGGAAGAACTGAGACGAAAGCAAATGATAATTTACGCACTCTTCTCGGAGCAAGATAGATAGATGGAGACGGAGACCGGACAGGCAGGATGTCCTGTCCGACAGGGAGGAGGAATTGACGCGACGCGAACAGAGAAGAACCTTGAAAGGATGAAAAAAAAAAAAAAAAAAAAGCTACGGACGTCAAGGGCCCTGTAGTCAGCAACCTCAGTACATACTCGAGAAACAGAAATGCAGAGTATTATTATCAACCGCTCTAATTTATTCTCTATGTCTGCTATGGTCCCGTCAGATCCAGAACGCACGATATTCTCCCATGCTGGTCAAACACCAGAACCCTCTCAAGCCCTCCACAGGAAGTTATGGCGTCCATCAAAACCGTCCAGTTCAGCAGCGGACACTGCCAGACAGCCGATGGCTTCCTGTGTTATTCGTAGGCTCCAGTGTGATCGCCAGGAGGGTGTGGCTGAGACACTTCTTTGCCGACAGCGATATTTGTTATAACCAAATTGCCGCTCAGCAGAAGATGATTGCTGGAATGGCCGAGATAGCGCCTGTCTCTGCATGCGTTTGTGACTCATTCCTAAGTCACCAGGCAGGCATTCCGTGGTAAAGGGGAGTGAATGGAGGAGACAGCCAGGAAAATTTGTTGGACCACAGGGCAGTGCTGGACGCTGGGAACAGAGGCCAACTCATTGCCTCTCGTCTTTCTGCATACAGACAGGGATGTTGCTGCTGTATCCAGGCTGTTCTTGTAGGCTGCTCTAGGACAATAAGTTGTAACCGACCCCTACGGTAACCTTCGGGGTCGGTTAGTAGATAAAGTTCCCCTCTCCCCTTCCCCCTCTCTTTGTTTCTCTCCATCTCAAACCCCAGCACCCATTTTGCTGGGGATTTATTCCATTGGAGAATCTACCACCCTCCTAACTCCGCAACTGCCATTGTTCATCATGTTCAGCAAGAAGGAGTTCGGTCAGTCGCAGCGAGGTAGAGGCAGGGGTCGGGGCGACCACGGACAGCGCGGAGGACGTGGACATGGGGGAAGAGGAGGTGGAGGTCGTGGTGGAGGAACTGTAGAGCTTCCAATTCGTTCAGGAGACTCTCGAGGCCGTGGTGACTTCAGAGGTCGGGGAGATTCGAGGGGTCGGGGAGATTCGAGGGGACGTGGACGCGGCGACCACAGAGGCGGGTTTCGTGGAGATACTGGGCCCCCGATCTATGCGTATGTTTTCTCTATCCATGCCTACATGCAGTGGCCAATGTCTCTTCCATACTGATGCTATTAGTTCGTTGCAGTCCGCCAGGTGGTCAGATTCCTAGCCCAAGCCCGGTCGTTGAGAAGACCGAGAAAGCCATTGCTATCACCCTATCTCAAAAGCCCAAGTCTGCCAGTCAGGCTCATTACCCGGAGAGGCCTGGATTCGGAACGGTTGGTCGGAAAGTCCTCCTGTACGCAAACTACTTTGAGCTGCCAAGGGTTGGCAAGGTCCTCTACAGATACCACGTTGGTATCGTTGGAGACCAGGCGGGTCGTCAACCCACAGGCAAAAAGGCCCAGCAGGTCATCCGACTCTTGCTGGAGGAGCATTTTGCCCCGAACCTCAAGAGCATCGCGACGGACTACAAGTCAACACTGATCTCAGTGGTTGAGCTCCCGAACAAAGGGGCTTATGATGTTCGGTACCGCGATGAGTACCAAGATGAGTATCCGGAGGATCCAAAGATTTACCGTGTCACCTGCCAGGCGACAGGAAGCCTCCAGCCCTCTGACCTTTTGAATTACCTCTCCTCGACAAGTGCAACGGCCATGTTCGAATCCAAGGCAGAGGTCTTGCAAGCGATGAACATCGTCATGGGATACAACCCAAAATCAGACCGTTCTATTGCATCTGTTGGTGCAAATAAGCATTTCAGTGTGCATGCGGACTTGGCTGAACGATTTGATCTGGGCGGTGGCCTGGAGGTCCTTCGAGGCTTTTTTGTTAGCGTTCGCGCTGCCACTGCACGCCTTTTGGTGAATGTGCAAGTCCAATACGCCGCATGTTACGAGGAAGGACCATTGGAAACCGTTATCTCCGCATACCAACATGCTAACTCTCAAAATCCCTACAAGCTTGAGAGTTTCTTGAAACGAGTAAAAGTTCGGGTGATACATATTCAAAGAAAAAACAAAGTACGCATCAAGACGATTGCGGGCCTGGCAACGCCTAGGGATGGGTCGTCATTGGAACATCCGCCAAGAGTGACAGCATACGGGGCTGGCCCGAAAGACGTGGCCTTCTTCCTTAACCCTGGCCAACAGCAATCTGCACAGCCCGGAGCCGGTGGATCTGGCAAGGGGAAGAAGGGCAAAAAGAAGGACCCCAAGGCAGGCCCGGAACCTGCTGGCGGGTATATCAGCGTCGCCGACTTCTTCCTTCAAGGTAAGCATTCTAGGATGACTGTTGCTTCCCTTTCTCGCTCAACATGCTTTCTAATTGATATCCAAGAATACAATGTGAAAACAGATCCAAAAATACCTGTCGTAAATGTCGGGACCAGAGAAAGTCCATCGTATCTGCCAGCTGAAGTCTGTGTTGTCCAGCCTGGTCAGCCAGCTGGGGTTAAGCTTGCTCCAAACCAGACCCGAAATATGCTCAACTTCGCCGTTCGGAGCCCTGCCCAGAATGCAGAGTCCATTGTAGCGAAAGGTGTGCAAGTTCTTGGTCTAAGTCCACAGAATGGAACCCTTGTAAGCCCCCCTCCCTACCCATTGGGTATTATGCATTGTATTGCTGCGGATGCGAATAGCGGACTGACTTACGTGACCAGAATCAGTTTGGAATAGAGGCTATTTCGAAACTCATAACAGTTATGGGACGGGTTCTTGCGGCACCTCAGGTCTGCTACAAGGGACAACATATCAACACCAGGGAAGGCGGCTGGAATATGCGAGATATCAAATTCTCGAGATTCACCAAGCTGCAGTCCTGGGCGTGGCTCTACATAGACTCCGATCGTGCTAGACCAGCTTGGGATGGCCCGGATGGCCTTAGCCGTTCCCTGAACGGTCTCGTTGGCAAATTGAACGAGATGGGTGTCTCTTGCAACGGGCCTATTGATGGTAAGAAAATAGTGTTGACCGGTCAGAAAAACGAAGGGAAAATTGACGCCGCGATCGCTGAGTTGATGAAGAAAAAGCCCCAGTTGATTTTCACAATACTTTATGACAATGACACGGCAGTTTATAACTGTGTCAAACAAACCTGCGACGTCCGCCGTGGCGTACGCAACATCTGTGTGCGTGCTCAGAAGCTTGCCGGAGCAAATTCACAATACTACGCTAATGTCGGTCTCAAATTCAACCTGAAGCTAGGTGGAACAAACCAGTCACTGAAAGCAGACCAACTGGGCATCATTGGGGAGGGGAAAACAATGCTTGTTGGTATCGATGTCACCCATCCATCTCCAGGCTCCGCAAAGAATGCTCCCAGCGTAGCAGGGATCGTGGCATCCGTCGATGCCACACTCGGTCAGTGGCCAGCAGACATCCGAGTCCAGACCTCCAAGCAGGAGATGGTCTCGGGGCTTGACGAATTGCTCAAATCTCGTCTTCGAGTCTGGGCCAAAAACAATAGGAATGCCTACCCGGAGAATATCATCGTTTACCGCGACGGCGTGTCCGAGACACAATACGACAAGGTCATCTACGAAGAGCTGCCCCTTCTGAAGAAAGCCTGCCAGACTACCTATCCCGCCGATGCGACGAAGAAGGGCCTCCCACGCATTTCCATCATCATCGTCGGCAAGCGTCACCACACGCGCTTCTACCCGACGGAACAGGAACACGCGGACAAATTCAACAACCCCAAGAATGGCACCGTTGTAGACCGAGGCGTTACTGAAGCCCGCAACTGGGATTTCTTCCTGCAGGCCCACACCGCGCTCAAGGGCACCGCCCGACCAGCACACTATTTCACCGTCTGGGACGAAATCTTCCACAAACAGACGCCAAAGGCACCCTTCAACAACGCAGCAGATGTCCTGGAAAACTTGACGCACAACATGTGCTATCTCTTCGGTCGCGCCACGAAGGCCGTTAGTCTTTGCCCACCCGCGTATTATGCGGACTTGGTCTGCGAGCGCGCGCGCTGCTATATGAGCAACGTTTTTGATCCCACGCTTCAGGCTACTCCGGCTGCTAGTGTCATTTCGGGGGGTGCAGGAGGCCAGGTCCCTGGGAATTCAGAAGTACAAATCCATGCTAATGTCCGTGATACGATGTTTTACATCTAATTCAGGCGAGGAAGGGGGGGATACAGAGAAAAAGTAAGTTTCATTGGATGAGCGTCGGATTGGATTCCTTTACTTCTCTTGATCTATGCTATCTTGGATGCGAGGTGAAGTTGCCTAGTTTTCTATAGCCGATTTGGAATAACAGTCTTCATGTTTTTATTATACATATTGAGTGGCTTCTCCAGATCTATGAATACATTCGCTCATGGACCAACTTCCCTTTCCGTTTTGGTGCTCCGCCGCCGCTTTAGTCGCCCCACCTTGAGGTAAGAGAAGGCCCATCAGATAGTTAAGTCCCGGCCCACAAGAAGTAAGCCGGCCCACAGAACGGCCGAAAGCTAGGCCGGCCGCCTGCTGTGTGTTTGGACTCACTTTGTGTGTCCTGCTATGGTCTCGAATTCTGATTCCAAACTCGGGATACTTGGTCAGTCAAAGAAAAAAGGATACGACGTCCGCGTCTCCAACGCGGACTCGCGGCCTCATTCGCGAGGATTTGCGTGGCAGGAGAATCAGCGAGCGCTACTTACCCCCCCTACGTCACGTTAGTATTTTTATTTATTTTCGTTTCTTTTTCAAAGAGGGACAGCGTGATAACCACTCCAGCGGTTGTTCATCTTAAGCCACTTATTTGACCACCTCACAAATAAAGAGCGGGTGGGACGTGATGGGAGCCGGGCAAGCTGTAGTGGCTCAGTGCTCCAGGCCGCTCAGTGAGCCATGTTCCGTGCTTTGGAATACTCACTGAGCGAGGCCCCCGAGAGCGGTAGATAAGTCACATCCAGGGAAGCGAAATAAGGGCAGCGGTCTAAAATCTGGTACGTATAGCTACATACGTATAACAGAACCTAGACCGGTTACGAGATACTTTCACATTTGATACATTCATTTCTAGAATACAATTGACTGCAAAATAGGAAAGAATAGGAAAAAAAAAAAAGATAGAGGCACAGTTTATCCACCGCTACAGTCTGCATCCGTAGAAATCCAGCACTCGACCCATATCGTTTCGAATAAACAGATGGAAGTAAAATAAAACACACCCAGGAAGAAAAGAAAAGAGAAAAAAAGAATAAAAGAATATTCAAACAGTTTGCCGTATCGCAAATTTCATTTTCTTCGTTAAAAGAGACAGCCATAATAGTCGAAATATCGATCATTGCGTGGCCAGATATTGTCGAAACTCGTCCACCTCAAACCGACTACCATTGAGATTTGACGAAGTATGGAGCAAGCTATAGTCAAGACAGAACTTCGATAGCGTATATCAGTTCTCTTCTTCATCACTGTTCAAGGCCCAGCTTCTTTGTGTCGAATTCTTAATACCACGAGTGGGTGGAGGCACAGGCTTTTTTGGCTGGGGCGACACATCATAAGTGTCCCAATGCGGCTCCATCATTTGGACGGCCTTGAGCCGGTGAGTCGCAACGGGTTTCTTATTTTCAAAATCGTTAACTTTCTCTTTCTCCGGGGTAGTGTCTGTGAGACTCCAGTGAGGATCAAAGTCCTTCCTGCGGGGCGCGTTGCTCGCAACAGTTGAGAGGGGTGCCTTGTTTTCATTCTTAGCAGGAGCTGGAGAGTTCTCGTCAGGGAGCAGAGGATCGTGATATAGGCTCAAGCCCCTATTCTGGTAAGAGCTGATGATTCGCCTGTTCTTGGGGGTCCCATTATCGTTTTCATCTGTCAACTGGAAATGTGTCTCCGCATCCCGTCGGGGGCGCACCACTCGTGGCTTTGCTGGAGGGGTATCCTCGGGCTCGTCATCACTCCAAGCGAAGTGACGAATCTGACTAGGACGGATTTGGCGTTTGGGCTTCTCTGGAGTAACAAAGTCCTCAAAATCCCACTGTGATTGATGACACGTCTTGGGGCGTGAGGGAATTGACTTTATTTCGCGTTCGCTGTTGTCACCGCCAATCTCGAAGTGACTGTATTTTTGCGCGTCACCCCTGATTCGTCCGGCCTTCGAAGGAGTGGGTTCTTCTTCGTCAAATAAACGGGAAGGTTGAAATTTCTTGGCCGCACTTGCTCTGGGAGCAGGTCTCTGCGACCGTACGCCATCGGGCGAAGGGTCATTCTCATTGCCAACGAAGAGTTCACTGTAGTCGTGGCCCTGATGCTGAGTTTTTGGCTGGCGAGCATGCTGTTCCTTGTCGACAGTGGGGGACAGAAGCTCATAGAGAGATTCTGCCGCGTAAGGGTCCTTGACAACTCTCCTACTGGGAGAAGTGACATCAGTAGATTCCGTGCTGTTGTCTTCTTTGCTCGACGGTTTAGATGGCGCGGACGCCTGGCTTTCCTCAATGGCAGAAACAGCAGACTTGAGGACTCGTATCTGTTCGGTAGCCTCGCGAATAGGCCAGGCTCGTCCGCGTGAACCGATAACGCCGATCTGCTTCAGCAACGACCCTTGGTCCCAGTAGAGTTTAATCTGTTGGATTTGGTTTTGGGAATTGAAGCGAACTATATGTACCTGCACAGAAGTCAATTAGACGGACTTATGGAGAAGCACAGCATATGCGCCAAGTAATGCTCGAGGGCTTGTAATACCGTGGGAAAGGTCACGACGTGGTCAGCTAGGAAATTATCGTCCATCGAGGGGAGATAGGCCCCTCCCCCAGATATAAACTCCAACGTGGTTTCGACATCAAGAGTCAGAAAATCAGGTCCCTCGACAGCGTCCAGGATCTTATCTGACTTCTTTTTGACAATTCGAGCCTGCTTGGAGAGATGGTTGAGCACCGTGTCGGACTGGACGAAGTTCGTGGCCGTGGTAACATAGAACAGGGAAACATCAGGAGCCAGCGGAGCAGACTTGGGTTCTGCCAGGAACTGCTGATACACCTTCTTGAGAGACATTGTCGCTTGCGGCTTCTTATGAGGATCAAAATAATTGGAAGGAAGGAAAGGACTGTCTGGTCACTGAAGAATTGAAGTTGCAAACCACGGAGACGGTTTGCAGACGACTTTTGTTTGCTTTGCTTACACCAAGGAACGAGACTACGCGTAGATTTCCGTCGGTAGAGAACGGGAGAAGATTGAAGAAAGAAAGGACAGACGACGAACGAGAAGTCCGAAGGAAAGACGCGGAGATTAGAAGGGGGGACGGTTGGAGAGACAGGAGAGAGGGAGGCAGGGAGCCCGTAGTCGCTGGCTATGCTTTCTCTTAATTATTCACTGCAAATAAATGCGACAAGCGCGTCAGACACTGACAGATGGTTGTAGCCTCCCTCTGCAACGGTAAATGTACTGTCATGGATGTCTAGGCCAGGCACAGCGTCCCTGCGTCTGTTTTGTTTACGCTTGGCCTGCACGAGACCCACCCCCGATCACCGCGGGAAGACGCGCCAGTGTTTCACCACCTCTCCTCTACAACGGTAGGATTTTGTGGGCTTTATGAAGAAAATACATAAATTACTCGGTCTGCAGGCCCGTGATTATGCAGGCATGGATCATTGGTTCTTCTTACAGCGCATAGGCAGTCGCGCATAGTGTACACTGTACAGAACATTTCAGGCGCCAAATGGACCAAGTAGTTCCCAAATATTCGAGGTCGATGGAGTACAGAGTAAAGCTGAAGAGCTGCCCAAATTCAGAGTATGACGCCTGGTCTGCCTTTGTAAACGGGGAGTATCGCGCTGCTCCTCCTGGGAGCTTTCTGGAATTGCGGCAACAGCTTCCTCCGGGTATAATAAGCATTTCCAGTAAATAATGCTGCTGCAGCAGGATACCTCGTCACGGATCTGCTTAGCATCTTTCCTAAAGGATTCGGATCTCCCGGGGTATTACTAATTGTCATTGATTTCACGACGAGGGCCTTTCTGGGTTCCTTGAAGTAAACGTCCAGTAGAATCATGGAAGTGGGCAATCATCTGTCGCCTGTTGTTTTCATTATAGCGGTCTTCGGGAGTCAGCATCTGAAGCTTTCCGAAGGAGGTACGCCACTCACCCTAAATAGTCTTCCTTAATGGTGCCAATGGCGTTGATGGCAGCAACGTCGGGCTTGACACCAAGGATCTTCAGACGCAGACTGGTTCCCTTCTCAATGACCTGGTCCGCGTGGTCTGTGTACTGAGGAGGCACCGTATTCGGCTCCCACTTGATATCTGATGGAATGTTCTTGAAGATATTATTAGCACTGCGACACCCAGCGTGTTTCTGCGTTTAACGTACTTTCCGCGCAACGAAGACCACCAATGGACCGGCCAAGGTGAATATCCCGGTAGGCTTGACGGAGGTGACGATGGCATCCACCTGCAACACTGCAATCAGTACACGGGCGAAAAAAAGTCATGGACTGATTAGTTCTGGAGACATACAGTCTCTCCCCGAAATGGCTTCCAGACGATCGCTCGATACTTTATTGTGTACTCTGCGGATCCACTCCCAGGTACGACGCGTCCCTCTCCAATATCTACCATATCCATCACGCAGATCACAAAGTGATCCCCTGTACACCGGCCCTCTTCCTCCTCGTTCAGTCTGTTTATCAGGTATTCGCGCACATTGGGCCCGAAGTAAGACGGGTGAAGCGATATGATCTTTGTCTCTTCTTTGAGGAAAAACATGGTAGCCGTCGTCTCTCTAGACACATACACCAAACAGTATAGCAGTTATAGGATATTCCCTCTCAGACAGACAGTAACGCCTCAAGCCTCTTGCCAATTTGTGCAGCGTACAATTCGTTATTTCGCAAAGCGGAGGGGGATTGAGACAAGAGATCCGTCAGGAGTGGCAGCTCTAGATGTTGGATCCACTGGAGTGCATCGAAAATAAAAGCACTGTTTCTGTTTCGCAAGGACTAGAATAGAGAGTGTGACGTTTCGGGGGAAAGATCAAGGTCCAGCGACAGACAAAGAGCAAGAGAAAAGAGAGGACCCAACTGCGTCTTGAAAAAAGAAACGCTAGAAAGTAACAAAGGCACAATATTGATGAGTGTAAGCCACAAATTTGGGTATCTGCTTCCCATAAAATATAGATACAGATTCTTGAGACGTGCTCAAGGCAGCAGAGGGAGAGTTGGGAAATGGAGGTGACTGGCTTTCAGTATCCGGCAGTTCTCGAAGCCAACCTCAACTCATATATAATCACGTGATATAGATATGGGACAGCCACGGATTGAAAGGGAATGAATCGCATCGTCAACAGTGTTTGTATAGGAGATGGTGGCAAGTAGCCTACGTAAAGGGTTGTTGGAATCCACTACAGCATGGTATCGATATCAATTTGTTCATTGTGACAGGAAACATGTTATAGTATGGATAGAATGTACGGAGTAAAACCTACATATCCCCTGGCGGACTATATACTCTGCTGAAGACAGCATAGCATGCCTAATTGCTAACAGATAAGCATTTGCTATTGCATAATGGGCCAGTATTCCCCGATGACCCGTGATCCCTGTATCCTAATGACACTGAAGCAACAGAGACGCTGGGGTTATGGTGTTGTAGCTCATCTTAGCTGGAAATGCTGACCATAGCAGAGCTCCATCGGACTTTAGTGGGGAGCTCCTCTGAGTGGATGGCCTATAAAACAAAGACACAACAATGTACAGCAACAATCGTTGTGGGAATGGAAGGAGTCGATTATTTGAGCGTTGTAGAAGAGACGGTGGGAACAGCATGGCATGGCCTGCGCCTTTCCCGGATAGGAAGTCTCGGCGTCATCCCCGCCGAGCGACTAAGACATCCGCCATCATTATTATTTGACCTTTCTGTGTTCTTTTTCTTGCTCTTTTGCTGTTGGAGAAGTTTCCTCTCTATGCCTATCTCTGTGTATTTATCAATATCCGAAGATCTAACTGGCAACAATGCCGCTTAGTCTCGAAAGGCAGCTACTTTTCGTGAGTTTCTTCCTTAACACCCGGGGATGATGGAAAACTGCTAATAATGCTATCCCGTAGTATGGTGCTTACCATAATAATCCAGTGAGTAGTATAGTATAATTGTGGTCTAGACCTCACAGCTCTCATAGAAGGCCATTGCTCACAGCTCTCTAGGTTAATGTTGGAATTCACATCATTTTTGTGCCGATAATCTGGTTTACGTCTATCATCTTGGTACATTTCCTCCCGACTTTGCTCGTGGTAACTCCTGCTAACCAACAGATAACAACAGGTATCGAATTACCCTCCTTTGTTTAGCCTCCCTGATGCCATTGAACTGCAGTACCTTCCAGCGAATCTCGGAACGTTTGGCGCCCTGTTCTATTCCGGCTTCTTCGTCCTCCTGGAGCCGGTTGCAGGTGGGCTTCTGGCACCCTTTCTTATCAGTGGTGCGGCATACGCGAACTATCTATTGAGCACGTATGGGACAATGGTTAACTACTGGGCTGGTGGTATCCACGTCGTGGCATGGCTGGTACAATTTGTCGGGCATGGGTTCTTTGAGGGTAGGGCCCCAGCATTGCTTGACAACCTGGTGCAGGCGCTCCTGCTGGCTCCGCTGTTTGTCTGGATGGAGATCTTATTCTTCTTCGGATACCGTCCAGAGCTGAGAACCCGATTCCACAAGAATGTAGAGAAGGAGATTGCCAAGTTCAAAGCAGAGAAAAGGAAAAGCCCGAAATAGTCGCATCTCGCATGGATTAAGGCCTATGTGAGGATTCTCTTCGTGTTTGGATGGCCAGCCAGTGATGCGGACTGTTACCACGCAATCCTGCAAAAGCAATTGCTAACGGCCAGTGAACGACTCGAAACGGGGTACTAGTGAAGTGTGTACCCCGGAGGTGTAGTTACCCACGTAAGCGCTCGCCGGCATCAGACGCTTTCGCGGGTCAATTACAAATTTATACTTTCTATACCACCTACGGATAGTTGTAAAGCTGCTCCTGATATTTTCAAGAAGCATTGCCTCCATCTTGGATGGCGTAGTGGACTATAGGCGATGGAAGCAGAGCGTGGCGTACTGCGTAGGTACCTCCGGATATGTACCTAGCACGGGAGTTGCTGTGACGAAAACACGATTCCGCGTTTCCGATGAAAAACAAAACGAAACCCCAACCCCAATCCACGCCCACCACAATGCCGGAAAGTAGGTTGTAATAGGATTTTTTTTTTGCTCGTTAAATGGCTTTACTACTATTTTTATTTTAATTCTACGACATTTGCTTGTAGAAAAGACACTATCTACCACCGAGAGCCAACGCCGAGGCGCGGTAATACCAGAATAATACGCACTAGGGCGGGTTCGGAGGAGGAAAGGCTCGGCAAACTAGGCTTAGCGTGGCTCTGAGAAACTCCCATCCCGACGACAAAGCTCTCCCTCCCTTCTCCATCCACAATCCCTTCCTCTCGACCACCTCTCCTCTCTCCAATTACGTCTCTCCTTCAGAGAAACCACTCTCCCATTCCTCTGAACCCCCTTCATAATGTTCAGAAACGCTTTGCGGCAGTCTAGCCGCTCCGTTGCGGCCGTCGCTACCACCGGTCGGATCGCTTCGGTGAGTTCTCTTGCCTGTCCTTCCCAGCCTCATCTCTGCACCATCACGTCGCTGCCATGCGCCGTAGATTTTGTCTCGATCTGTGGCCTGGCTGGCATGGTCTGAGTGCGCATTGGCTTTCTGGCTTCATTCTGCTGTCCTTCCGCTACTGTAACCTGCTGTTGACAAATTTTGCGTTCCTCTTCTAGGTTCGTGCGGCTGTTTCCGGCCCCCTCGCTGGTGCCTCCAAGCAGGTCCGATCATATGCCGCTGAGGCCAAGGCCTCGCCCACCGAGGTTTCCTCTATCCTTGAGCAGAGGATTCGCGGTGTTCAGGAGGAGGCCGGTCTCGCTGAGACTGGACGTGTCCTCTCCGTTGGGTACGTCCTGCTGACCTTTTTTGTCGTCGTCGATATGTTGAAAAAACCGCCATTGGCATCATCAAAATGCAATTGGTCAATGGTTTGTGAGTCTTGTGCCTTTTACTGACGCGTCTTTGACAGTGATGGTATTGCCCGTGTCCATGGCATGTCCAATGTCCAGGCTGAGGAGCTGGTCGAGTATGTAATTTATGAACATGTTTTCCTTTTCTATGGTTGTAGATGCTGACGGATGCTTAGGTTCGCCTCTGGTGTCAAGGGAATGTGCATGAACCTCGAGGCCGGCCAGGTCGGTGTTGTGCTTTTCGGTTCCGACCGACTTGTGAAGGAGGGTGAGACCGTCAAGCGTACCGGTCAGATCGTAAGTCTCTCAGGTTCAACATACAGAAAAGAAAATTCGCTAATTCTCGTGTTCCAGGTCGAAGTTCCCGTTGGCCCTGAGCTTCTTGGCCGTGTTGTTGACGCTCTTGGTAACCCCATTGACGGCAAGGGCCCTATCAACACCAAGGCCACTAGCCGTGCTCAGGTCAAGGCTCCTGGCATTCTCCCCCGTCGTTCCGTTAACCAGCCTGTCCAGACTGGTCTCAAGAGCGTTGACTCCATGGTTCCCATTGGTCGTGGTCAGCGTGAGTTGATCATTGGTGACCGTCAGACCGGTAAGACTGCCGTCGCTCTTGACGCCATTCTTAACCAGAGCCGGTGGAACAACACTAGCGACGAGACCAAGAAGCTCTACTGTATCTACGTTGCCGTCGGTCAGAAGCGTTCCACTGTCGCCCAGCTTGTCAAGACCCTTGAGGAGCAGGATGCCCTGAAGTACAGCATCGTCGTTGCTGCTACTGCTTCCGAGGCTGCTCCTCTGCAGTACATTGCTCCTTTCACTGGATGCGCTATGGGAGAGTGGTTCCGTGACAACGGCCGCCACGCTGTCATTGTGTACGACGACCTTTCCAAGCAGGCCGTTGCTTACCGTCAGATGTCTCTTCTGCTTCGTCGTCCCCCCGGTCGTGAGGCTTACCCCGGTGACGTTTTCTACCTGCACTCTCGTCTCCTCGAGCGTGCTGCCAAGATGAACGACAAGCACGGCGGTGGCTCTCTCACTGCTCTGCCCGTCATTGAGACCCAGGGTGGTGATGTCTCTGCCTACATTCCCACCAACGTCATTTCCATCACTGATGGACAGATTTTCTTGGAGTCTGAACTTTTCTACAAGGGTATCCGCCCCGCCATTAACGTCGGTCTCTCTGTCTCCCGTGTCGGCTCTGCCGCTCAGGTCAAGGCCATGAAGCAGGTCGCTGGTTCCTTGAAGCTTTTCTTGGCCCAGTACCGTGAGGTCGCTGCTTTCGCCCAGTTCGGTTCCGATCTCGATGCTTCTACCAAGCAGACTCTCAACCGCGGTGAGCGTCTGACTGAGCTGCTCAAGCAGAAGCAGTACTCCCCCATGGCTGTCAGCGATATGGTCCCCCTGATCTTCGCCGGTGTTAACGGTTACCTCGATTCCATCCCCGTAAACAAGATCCTCGCCTGGGAGGCTGACTTCCTTGCCCACCTCAAGACTAACCACCCCGAGGTTGGTCAGACCATTGACAAGGAGGGCCAGGTCAGTAAGGAACTCGAGGCAAGCTTGAAGGATATCATTGAGAAGTTCAACTCGTCTTTCAGCGCCTAGGTGAGCAAAAAGAGAGGATCGGGGTGATCCGTCCACAATGCAATGTTTTCTTTTCCTGACTTCATGTGTATAGAAGGATAGCTTGTACAATTCGAGCCAACTGTTTTCCCTTTGTCTCAGAGCTCGGGACTTTCGAGAAACCCCCTTTGGGGACGTATAATCCATATAAAAATACGCGGTGGCGCATAAACTAGGGCCATCTGTTGATTGTCCTGTAGCTGGAGAGAAAGGGTACAGTTGGAAATATGCCAGTCCTAAAAATTATCTTCGAATAATATTGTGTATCAACTTGTTTTGCGTATTGAATGGGCGGGTCAGATGGTCTGAAGGGGAATGATATATTGCCTCCTTATCTTTGTCACTGTCCTCAGTTTGTCTTTTCGAATGGAGCCAGGGCTACGGGTTATTTGTCCATTCTGCAGTTTCTTATTGATTTACGTAGTCAAGCATCTATGTAGGCATCTACAAGTATGCGCACGACGGGAACCCGCCGATTGCGGCCGCTGGTTATCGATAAGCGAGAAATTTTCATCTTCACCATCAGTACATCTCAACTTGCAAATCGCATCAGCTTGCTTTCCCTCTTTTTTTATAGCTGTATTTCTTATTTGTGTATCCTGTACCTATGGCGACCCACGCAGATTCGGCCCCGGCCTCTTGCAAAGTCATGCTGGCCAAGAATGTGGCCAATGGTCTTCTGAAGGAGGTTCAAGAGGGCGTCAATACGCTCGAGAAGCCCCCTCACCTCGTGGGCTTTTTGGCCAACGATGACCCTGCGGCGGTCATGTATGCCCAATGGACAGAGAAAACTTGTCAAGAAAAGTAAGCGATCGTTCTGTATTTGTTTCTCTATATATCGCTTCTCCGGTTGGGAATGCGTATTCCCTCAGGCATCAAAGAGCAGTGCCATGCAGCTTTCTCATGAAGAGTATAGATCTTGTAGCTAACGTAGTCTTCTCTCGCCGCTTTTCTTCTATTTACAGTGGATTCCGCTATTCCCTCCGTCAGGTCTCCCGCGACGATATCGAAGAAGCAATCCTTGCCGCCAACGTCGACGCGGATGTGGACGGCATCATCGTATACTACCCCATCTTCCACAACCGACACGATCAATACCTGCAGCAGATTGTGGATGTCCACAAGGATGTAGAGGGTCTTAGCCACCGCTACATCTTCAACATGTATCAGAATATCCGCTACCTAGACCCGGAGACCAAGTTGCAAAAGTGCATCCTCCCCTGCACCCCGCTCGCTATCATCAAGATCCTGGAATACCTGAACATCTACAACACGATATTACCATATGGGAACAGACTGTTCGGGCATACAATCTGCGTTGTCAATCGCTCTGAGGTTGTGGGGAGACCACTTGCCGCGTTGCTTGCCAATGATGGCGCCTGCGTTTACAGTGTCGATATCACTGGTGTCCAGAAATTTACTCGTGGCGAGGGCATCAAGAAGCGAACACATGAGGTTGTGGATCTTGAAGGCTGGACGTTGAAGGATGCTGCTCCTCTGTGCGACGTCGTCATATCTGGTGTTCCAGGAGATAAGTATAAGTTTGATACTAGCCTTCTTAGAGAGGGTGCTGTATGCGTCAATTTCTCCAGTGAAAAGGTAAGATCTTTAAAAATATCCAGTTGGGACTTATTGAATGCATAATCTAACGCTGCATGGTGAAGAACTTTGGCCCAGAAGTGAAGGAGAAGGCCTCCATCTTCGTTCCGTCAATTGGAAAGGTGACAATTGTTGTTCTGCTCAGAAACCTTCTGGTGAGTGCTGTACCCTGCTTGCTTTTGCTCCTCCCTCCAGCCCAGGAAATGTTGTTCATGTTCGACCATCTAACACAACACGTATTCCAGCGACTCATCCAAAACCGACGAGCGGGTGACGTGAAGCCAGCCGCGGCCACCGAGAAACCTGGCACAATCGAAGCTTCCACATGATCCTCCTGCAGTTCTTCGTCTATATAGAACCGAAGAAATGTATAAAAAGTATTTCAGAAAACCGATGCCCATGTGTTTTCCTTTGAGACGATGCTTTGCGATTATTTATATTACGATACTGAAGACTCTACGTCCTGACCGTTTCCTGCTATGTATTGCTACTTCCAGTGGAATAAAAAAGGAAAATAGATCTCTTACAATGATTTTCTCAGGTTGCATATGATCCATTGAGTCGTCAATCATACATGAGATCGACCCCAAATGGTTCTGGACGAATGCGAATATAAGAAGCCAAAAAAAGAATAAAACAACCAAGAAGAATGAAAATAAATAAACAATAAGGCATATCAGTTGCATCCATTTTCGAATATCACGAAGCAGATGCACTTTCCACTCTCTCTTATCACCTTTTCTTTTTAGAACCTCCCTGCTTTCCTACATGAGCGGATAAGCCACCGGTTTGCTTCTCGTTTTCTTCCGCAGCGCGTTGCAAAACTTCAATTTCGCCCGCCAGCCATCGTCGAAGAGGCTCCGGGTGCAAAATACCCTCTGAAGAGAACCAAGTCGTGAACGAAGTCTCGAATTCTTTCTCTTGAATTACCTCGTTCGAGGAGGACTTGTATAGGATATGCAGCTTATAGAACGGGGAATGCTTTTTCGCTGACGAACTAACAGAGATCTAGGTCCCGCGGAAGAGGAAATGAGCTTTTATCAGGATTCATCTTCGGGGGTCGGATGGACGTACCGCTTCACCTGTTTTTCTGCTCCCTTGGAATATCTCACCAGCCTCCACAGCCCATATCCAAATCGTAAGAAGGGAATTGAGAACAAAGTATGAAACCACCGCTGCTATAATCCAAGGTGATCTGGTAGCTTCCCAGCCCAGCTTACGGTCTGCGTAGAATGTAAATCCTGCAATTGCGACTCCGCCATAGCCCAACGCGAAGCGGACATTCGACTTCAGATGGTTCTGGGTGAACTTGTACGGGTCTGGAAGGGTGGTTAAGTATGCGACAACGGCATCATCGGTGGTGGTTTTCAGGTCTGTGGGAATAGACAGTAAGTAAGCAAAGGGTTGAAAATAATATCGATTCTTAAAGGATCAATTTAGTAAGGGGGAAAAGAGCAATGAGGGAGAGTGGTAGTATAGCTATGGGTGGGTTAGACCAACCATTAACAGAATAAACAGGCACCTTAGGCGCCGTTTCAGACGCCATGGCAGGATTGAGAACCCTCAAATACGTAAATAGAGTCTCCTAACTGTCTTGTAGTCTATCGATATGACTTCTTGCGCTTGGAGGGAAACTCTCGAGGACATAAGCAACGAGGAGTGTTGCGGCGAGCTGTCCGTTCGGCGGGAAAGCTACCAAAAGCGGGATTATTGAACTAGCGTCGCGCCGCTTAACATCATCCTCCGCTTAACCTCTTGAACCTTGTCCTTCACCAGATCAAGCAGCATTAACAGTACGAGCCATGGCTATACAAGGGGTGGAGCAGACTATCGTGCGGGATCCCGCCTTATTGTGAGTTTCGCGATATCGCTTTTCCTGTCCTCGAGTATTTTATTACGGAACTGACGAGGAAGGGGAAAAGCTATTGGATTTTGTTCCCTATTACGATTGTTATGGTATGGTTACTCTTACTGTCATCCGAATGGCTCCCTGAAAGAACAGCTAGTGTCTAATGTGTTTTGTATACAGATATTGACGGGTATCCTTCGCCACTATGCGACGGTGTTGATGAACAGCCCTCCCAAACCCCCTGCCACCCTAGCCGAGTCCCGCGAACGTCTTGCCCTCCAGCGGGGCGTGAATCTGCGCGCCAATGCTTGTGCTGTCCTGAGCAAGGAAGCCTTTGAGATGAGGAAGAACTATCTCGTCTCCGCATTTCGAGATGGAGCGTTCCTCAAAGACCCTTCAAGACGCGGTGAACCGCCTGCAAATCCCATGTCGGATCCGGCGGGCATGGAAGCCATGATGGGTATGTTGAAGGGGAATATGCTTACGATGATTTCGCAAACACTCATCATGAGCTGGATTAATGCTTTCTTCGCGGGATTTGTCATTTGTATGTCTCCTTTGTCCTCCTTCATTCGCTTTTTATATGGTTTAAAACAGCCGTACTCATGTGGTGTCGATTCAAAACAGTGAAACTTCCTTTCCCTCTAACCATCCGCTTCAAATCAATGCTACAGTCTGGTGTTATGACTCGCGATCTGGACGTTAGATGGGTTTCTAGTTTGTCGTGGTATTTCCTGAATCTGTTCGGTCTTCAGTCCGTGTTTGGTTTCATCCTTGGTAGTAACAATGGTCAGTCACATTCTCATTTCCCTTTCCAGCCCATTTAAATGAATTTCTTAAGAAATAGCTGTTATCTTGCTGACCGTCTCATTCATATTTAGCTGCCAATCAAATGGCTCAGCAAATGGCTTCCATGAACCCTGCCGCTGCTGTGAATCCCTTCCAGCCTGGCCAAGACCCCGATAAGCTATATTTGAGCGAGGCTGAGAATTTGGAGGTTATGGAACATTTCTGTATTCTGGATGGTATTGAGGAGAGAGTTTTGAATAAACTCATGTCCCAAGTGAAGCTTTAGCTGAGTTGATTAAGGCATATCTGATAAACTTGGGGGTTAAGAATTCTGTTGGTTAGAGCTAAGAATTGGACTGGGGCAACCCTATCGTGACATGTGTACCTCAGGACTCTAAACTTTGTATTCTGACTTCGAATTACAAGCTATGGCTATAGATTGGGATACAAACTTCGTGCAGAAAGGGACCTATCCAAGCCATATATTCCCCGAACTCAGTCATAACGCATGATCAACCAAAGTAAACTAGAAACGCCAGCTATGGTTGTAGCGTCGTGTCGTAATATTCATAGCCCATACTGAAATCTTCAAGTATAATTAATAACGCCGTTAAGAATCCAAACCTCGCCATTAGAAACCTTCTCTGCAACAGTGTCGACCTCAATATTCCCAGGTTGGATCTAGGGGCTGTTAGCAGAAAGTAACAAAATCATAGACCGATCAATAAACTTACAAAGATCTTATTGGCCTCCTTCGTCCATTTCAACTTTCCACCGCCCAAGCTCTCCACTTCTTCGCCATTCTTCCACGGGCTCACAGGAATAAGATGTGCCTCAACAAATCGTCTTAGATTATTCTTGGCCCGATCCTGTCCATCCTGTCCCTCATACGCCTCAGGCCCAAATTGTCTGTATTCCTCCGTACTTTCCCAGGGTTTGCGTCGGAGCGCCTGAATCGCACTGTTCCTAGGGGCTAGAACCGTTACATTCCGAGACTCATCATTCAGACGGGATGCAATCGGCTCAAAGTCTCGTGTAAGTGAGGCGAAGATATTGATCGCGCGATTTTTGGGGAGGACATCCGAGACGACGGGCCGACCATCGCTGCTTTCAATATCATCATCCGGATCAAATGGAGATATCACAATAGTATTTGGTGCTGTTTCTTCCATAATGGGATGCTGGTTTGCAACCCCACGATCTTGACTCTTGCCCTGCTGGGGCTTTCCGTGGAGAAAGCTGAGGTGGCCGCTGTCAGGGACGGAGGGGACCCAAATAGCATATGCAGTGCAAGTTAGCGATGCAAATATTATAGCTAGAACAAAAACCAGATGTCCTAAAGTCGTATGAGACGCCATCTTTTGCGTATGGCTTACTGTTCTGTGCAAGGACAAGCAGTTGATAGACCTGGAGGCGATGATGTAAGGAAAGGTCTCCACACGTGATGCGGGATGTGTACACGTGATCTGATGTTATCGATAAGGCCGTCGGCAGCCACAAAAAGCGTCATGCCGCAGACCGGAGGGGAGGCTTTTGCAGCACCTTAAAAGGAAGAGCCCGTGGCGCCGGTCGATTGGAAAAGAAAGATGTCGGCGTTGCAGACCTTCATGCTGGTCGTGGACCACAATAAGGAAGAAGCTACAGACATTGCAAAACAGGTAGCTCAAGGTACAGTTCTGTTCCCTCCAATTTCCCTATCAGAGATGCTTGTGGCCTAATATTACTTGTGTAGATGTCCAGAATAAAAAAACGACTTTGATTGAAGTTGTGCAGTCATTGGGAAAATATATCAATGACGAAGATACCATATTGCGGGGGAAGGCAGTCTCATATCTTACCGCTGTTATAAGGGAGCTACCGCCGAAGTTCCTCTCGCGACAACAGATCCAGGTTCTAACGACATTCTTCTGCGATCGCATTCAAGATGGAGGTGCTATTACGGGACTAGAAACACTCCAGAAATTAGATCGGTTTCACAAGGAATTGACTGAAGAAGTCGCGCGAGCGTGAGTACTCGTGGCCTGTGTCTCAGGTCGTTGGGTCCATGGTTAAGAAGCAACGGAGCTGATAATAAACGTACAGCATCTTTGGCCATTTCCAAGAGTTGCAATCACGGTCCCAAACTCAAAGATTTCAAGTCTACAACTTGCTGAATGAATTGATGTCTAATCATCGAGAAGGTGGGTGTCACTGTACTCCATGCCATTCATTAATCACGACCATGACGGCTGACAGACGTTACTAGCGTTACGTGATATGGGTGATGATTCTATTGTTGGCATTGTCGACCTCATGACGGGGGAGAAAGATCCCCGTAATCTTATGGTCGTGTTTTCAATCCTGAAGGTGGTTATGATGGAGTGGGATATTTCGAATCATGCCGAGGTGCCGTCGCTTCTGCCAGAAACGAATTCTGTGTGTATTCAGTAACTAACTCTTCAAAGCTCCTCTTTGATTCAGTATACAATTACTTTCCGATCACCTTCAGACCTCCTCCGAACGATCCCTACGGCATTACAGCCCAGGACCTAAAAGATCGTCTGCAGGATTGCATATCTTCAACAAAGTATTTCGCTCCGCATGCTTTCCCGGCTTTGTTGGATAAACTAGACTCCACGTCTCCTAACGTTAAGGTAAGTTCTCTGGCTGGTTGTCTCGTTGTATACAGGATCTAACAGCTATTAGAGAGATGCCCTTAATGGTATCATTGCCTGCGTGCGTTCTTATGACCCTGACACGGTGTCTAGATACTCTATCACCATTTGGGATGTGTTGAAGTTTGAAATCCTGAATGCGCAGGAGGAATTTCTTGCCGATCTTTCATTGCAAGCTCTGCAGGATATCGCCAAAAGACTATCTGAGGGAGTTAAACAAGTCTCGAAAGAGCTACCTCTCTCGCACTTCCTGAAACCAATTACAAATGAGTGCAATGAGCAATTACGTGAACCCCAGCAAAAGCAAGCGAAGCCTGCACAGCAAATTCTGAGATCACTTTCATCCGCATCTGCCATGTCCTTCACGTTAGTCGTACAAGCTGTTGTCGCTCCTCTCTTTACAATCTATCAGGAAGCCGATGGGATTGCTAAACAACGGGCACTTTTGGATACGTTTGTTGTGCTCTTCCATTCTGCTATTGAGGTATTTGGACAGTGGACTGACCGTCTTTCCACCGTCTCTATTGAAAATCCTTTACTCGAGTTCAAGGACCAGTTCTCCGACGTTTTCAGTCAGGCATTGATGGGAACCCCGAAAGAAGAAATATCGTTTCGGGTGACAGCTCTAAAGGGACTGTTGCGACTTTCGACGCTACGCGACTTCTTCCAAGATAATGAGATTGGTTTGTTTGTGCAGTACCTTGATGAAATATTGTTAAAGGAAGAGTCAGTCGGCAGGGATGACTTAAAAAAAGAAGCAATTGCGGCACTTGCAGAAATTTCAAAACACAAACCTCGCTTGATTATGGATATAACTTTCCCGGCCTTCGTGGCTACACTTCCGGACTCAGCTGACGGAACAGGAGCTGAGTACACAGGTACTCTTGAAACCCTGGCTCAAATTAGCGTGGAAAAGGATATATTCGAGACATTGGTTCGTCGGCTACTCAGTAAGCTGACGTTTCTATTGCAAAAGGCGGAGCCCGCATCTACAGAATACCCGAGAGCAATCCTCTTGACCATTCTCTATGTTATGAACCAGAGCAAGATGGACCAGGATCCGAATCTCGGTTCCTATTATGAAAAGATAGTGATAGGGTTTTGCCGCAATGCGGCTGCTTCGGCGTCGGGAAAGGCCCCCAATCGAATCCTGAATGATGCAGCAGTCCTGGACACCCTTGGGAGACTTTTCAATGTCATCGTTAGGTCTCTTCCGAGACAGAGGCAGGACGAAGTTGCGGAGAATGTCTATAAGCTATTCAGTACAGGGGACGGCTTCGTACCGGTGCCCTTTTCGCAAGGAGCAAGTGAAGATCGGCAACGTACCATGATACTCTCTACCTACCTCCTTGCAGGGCTGCCAAAAGACTGCTTGAAGTTACCCTATAGCGATCCCGACATGTCCGGCTTGCTTTCAGACCTTGTCCAGCGGTCAATGGGCAAGACCGAAGCCGCGACGAACCTCGCCCTTGTTCGACACATCTCTCTGCTAGTGAATAAGTTACTCTCTACAAAAGACCTTCCCCTTGCATCCAAACTGTTTGAATCACTTCTTCCCCCAAACACGGAGGACCCGAAACTCAGCCCCGAGACAATAAAGACAGTGTTCTGGCTCTCGAAGGCTCTCGTCCTACGGCTTGCCCCAACGACAACTCAAGTGTTGACCTCTCTCCTATCGCTCCTGTCGTCCTCAGATGAAGTAACAAGTACAATCGCGGCTCGCAGCTTTGCCGTGCTCCTCCGTGACGATGACGTCCTTTCCACAGTCAACGCTGCAAATATTCGATTATTGTCAAAGCAACGAGTTTTCACCACCGTTATTCCTCTCATATCGAGCAGGATCCGCGAACTGAACGTTATTTCTAGCGACTCTGTATCTCACCCTGCTCATACCAAACCCGCATACCTAACAGCCTTATCTGGTATCCTTTCCACGGTCCCTCCATCCCTGGTGATGCTCGAGTTGCCCACTTTACTCCCTCTTCTCCTTCAGAGTCTGGACCTCCAAACATCCGACTCCCAAGCCATCAGATCCGCGACCCTGGACACTCTCGCCGTTATAATTCGCGAGAATGGCGTCGGTGTTATTGAGGAATGCGGCCACGTCCAGAGCCTAGTCACCCGACTGCTGAACACAGCCGCCTATACCCCTGTGACCACGAAAGCAGATACTCCGTCCACTAGGCCGATGAACGGGGCCCGACTCCGCGAACAGGCGCTGAGGTGTCTTTACCTGCTCGCGCAACGGCCTAATGTGAATGCTCCATCTATCGCTACGGCAGGGAAGCTTTCCCCCCTTCTACCAGTGAAAGCTCATGTTCTGCGCTCTTTGCGAGCGGCTCTTGATGATCCTAAGCGTGATGTAAGGAAAGCTGCTGTCGATGCTCGTGGTGCTTGGTTGAGAGGTGTGGAAGATGCACCTGAGGAAGATTAAATAGTATTTTGAAAACACAGAAGGGTTAGTTAGTTGTGATGCACGTCTGTTTGCCTATGTGCATGCTTCAGTTATCTAAACCATATCTCAACGGTGAATTTCAGCATGTTCTTGGATTTAGATCTGCTTCTTCTGTTCCACGTATGACATTATTATCCCAGTCGTTCAAGAATAGTGTTGAGTTATGCTAGATGCTAGACAGGAAGGCCAACATTGGCACATAGACTTGAGATACCTGACTCGATCAAATTTTGGGAGATGTTTGAAGCATTCGGCGAATTGTCCCAAGAAAAAAATAGTGTGATGAGTTCAGTCTATCGCTAAATAAACAAATAACTATAAACTGTCACATCAACTTGGTTACGATAAACCATTTCAGGATAATTTCCTTTTCTGAAAAGAGTGCTGTATGCCAACAGTGCGCGAGATGATTGTTTGGTGCGACACGAAGTCCATCAGAATCTCACATTCAAAAAAAAAAAAAAAAAAATAGATGCAGGGGAGCTACCTCCATGTACCGAAGCAACTACCAGAACTCCAATTCCTCCAGTTCGCGAGACTTAGCAGGCGGAATAGCCTGGCTTGCACTTCCCACTCCTTTGATGCTCTCCAGTTCATCAAAATCAACGCCCTTTGCTTCAGCTTTGACGAGAGGACCTACGGTTGAAAGTGCTACGGTCGGACCTGCGAAGTTCACTTCTTCGGCAGTCTCTCTGTCGATATAAGGTCCGACGTTGAAAACCCCGATCCCGTCTATTTTCTCGACGACCATCTTTGTCAGACGGAGCATTTCCCCAAGACCAGCGTCTCCGATGACAGAGGCAACGCGGGAGAGGGCTGGCCGGGCAGTTGCATTACTGTCAGGCAGCACGATAGACGCGTCGTTACCCAAGAGATCCAAGCTTCGCCAGTCATCGGTGCGTTCACCCATCTCCAGATTAGAGTTCGCTTTGAGAATAGCTTCAATAGAAGGGCTAACCACGGATACCTCATACCACTGTCTTCCCTTTTCGACCATCTCACGGATCGGGGCGCAGTTGGCTCTTACGGCTTGCGGGTCCAATGGGTTTGTACCCAGGAATAAGTCCTGAACTTCCATGATCTGGAGGAAAATATCCTGATTCTCGATGGATGACTGACTAGTCGCACTGGTCTGGTCCACCGATGAATACGTTTCGCTCTTCTCCACCGTCTCAGCGCCACGGTCTTCTGGTGATAAGGTATCGGTATCTTTTAAAGCATCGCCAAGGCGGATATAGCGATGACGGGTCCATCTCTTCATGAAAACCTTCTCAATAGCAAGCTTGTTGTCCTTAGGGACTCGAGTGAATATCCGACTAAGGGATCTGTCAGGCTGGACCCAAAGGCTGTCGATGATGTACTGAACAGCGTCCCGAATATCCTTTTCTAAATTAACAGAATTATGTTCCATGACGCCGCTGACGACAATGCTCGCATCCCAAGTCTGTCTAGGGAAATGCAGGTTAACTGCCCCGAGTGTTTTTGTGGAGCCTCTCACACTGAATTTTCCAGTTTCGTCAATAGTGATAATGAGGATCTGATCGGCGTTGGTCCGACAATGGTACTCATAGACCACGCTATAGTCAGTGTACTCCTGCTCAAAAAGACGGGCCTTGCCTTCGGCTTTCGACCTTTTCATATCGACGATGTAGTCTACATCTGCTCCAGACGTTGTGAGTCTGTTAATGAATTTCGTGGTGGGAGGGGGAAGGCCATTTCGCGGTTGGAAGATCCTGTTCCATTCGCTCGTCGATATCAACGTGTTTTCTCTATAAGTCTTCGGAAGAAGCGGGATCAGAATGAGGCCAACCTGGCACTCCAGGGTTAGCGTTCCGGGGAAGTATTCAGCGGCATCCAAGATAGGCTTCAATGCCTCAAACAGGTGCTTGATGTAATCATCCATGCTCGTGCCGACTTGCAAGCGCTGCTGTTCCTGGAAGTTGGGCATTGCCGGCTTCACGCTTTTGGCTTCAGCTACACCCAATGATAGTTTTTCCTTGATATCATCGGCTGCTTTCTTTTCTGACTGTGGCACATTGGCCTCCTTGTTGGGCTTCTTCAGCCATCCCCAGGCATCTTCAAGCGTGGCTTGGCGTTTTGCTTTCTGAGCTTTCGCCTTCTCACTCAGCTTGGCAGTTTTGTGAAGCATGGTCCGATGAAACTTCCTTGAATCCAGCTCGTCTATCCCTGGTTTCCCCTCTGTGTCGTCGTCTTTCTCCAGGTCTGCAATTCTTACGCTCATAAAATCCAGATCTGCAAACCGGGACCGTGGAGGACCTTGAACTCCCATTCTCATACCTCCATTACTTCCTATTTCTGCTTCTTGTCTAAAAGCCAGGCTCTTCAGAGAGGACAGCCTTTTTTCAATATCGTCGGTCCTCTCTTCTTTCATAGATGTGACATCCGAGGCACGATTCGATCCCAGGACGGCAAGCTTATTTTCTAGGACACTCTCGTTCATTGCTTCATCTGATGAGCTTGTATTTGCGGTGTTCAGGACGCTCTGCTTCTGCGTGCAGGGATCTTGAAGGTCTTCCAGACTATCCAGGATTGGTAAATTCTGCGGGACCAATGCAGGCTGGTCGAAAGAGATTAAAGGTTGAATGTTGGGTTGTAAATTAATTGTCGGAGCCAAAACATCGACGAGTAAGCTCTGTTTTCGTGGACTCTTGTTAGGGGTTTTTGAAGGAGAACTAATCTTCTGAGTTGAACCCGCCTTCGAATCCTTGGACACATATCTCGAGTCGCTATTCAGCCCATATTTGCTAGCATCGAAATTTATGGGCACTCGAGATTTACGCTCTGGGGTTTGAGGAACCGGAACTGAGGAAGGATCAGGGGCTGCTTCTGCTAGGGCTTTAGAAACAGGCTCGCCGTCCTTCTCGTCTAAAGTACCTGCTGCATTATTAGAAAGCGGCTGATAAGTCATAGCCCATTTCCTGCGGGGAGGAAGGGAACTTTTTCGCCCGGAATTGGAAACAATAGCTTTCGTCTTCTCGGAAGTAATGGGAGCTGTTCCACTAGGGATTTCAGGCTTCACTTGTTTAACTATCTGGCCTTGGGGGGCTACTGCCCTGCGAGTCTTGATTCTAGGAGTCTTCTTTGCAGGTGGCGGGGGCACTGCTTCTTCACTGGAGAGTGTTGGTTGTAAGATGTCGTTGATCTCAGGGAGTAGTTCGGCTGCTCCTGTATCAGCCCTCCATTTATTGACTAAGTTAGCCTTCTCAGCTGTTAAGTATGGGTGGGAAGCAACAATCCTGGTCGACACAGCCTGCGGATCTTTTTCAAAGCTTGGTTGGAGATTGATGAAGGTATTTCCTTTCCCTAGCTCCTGGAAAGTAAAGTCTGTCCAAATACGTGACTGCCCAGGCTCATTAGTCGCGTGTGGAGGATTGCGAAGGTTTTCGGGCACAGTAAATGATTCAGCTTCAACATCGTAGTAAATCAGCACAGTCACGTATGCCTCATGCAATCCGAGGTTTGAGCTTGCATAGGGATCTGTTAATATGCGACGGAGGGCCACATTATTTAGACTGCCATAGCTCTTTATTTGGAGGCGGGTATCTTCTGAGGTAAAAGCAAGATTCACGGATTGAGGATTTGCTATAAGAGCCTAGAGATATGAGCATTCAACAACCCTAAAGGGTGAAGCCATATCACCCAAGCAATGACAATCAAAACTTACCAGGGGCTTCTCTAACCCGGCTAACTTCGCAAAGGCATCGTCCACATCAGAGCCCTTCCCAGAGATCTGGATTCCTTTGCGGTTATCGATGACAGATATCCTCGTTCCAGTCAACTTCGCAACTTCAGCCAAGACGTTCCGGAAACCAGTAGCAAAGCACCCCAAACCCCCTCCTGGGGACAACCAGTATTTGGTGGCTCCACCGATGATATTTGGCACAAGCTCTTCTTCTGAGTCGCTATCTAGAGCCAAGAGAGTCTCGCCTTGGACTTCCTTGGGACTGTCAACGATGGGATCCATTCCATCATCAAGGAGAGCGGGGACTTCCAACTGTCGAACGCGTGGCATCTTTCCAGGGATTTTAGCTCTAACTCTGGATACTTGCTAAAGAAATAGCTGGAGAGACTTACATCCAACAAGTCCTTGTTTTTCTGCTCCTCGATGAACTCGGACATCACCTTCACCAACTCAGACTCGAAACCATCCGTATTTCCTTTGACTGTGATGATCTGAGTAGATACGTGTCAGCCATAGAAGGAATCATACCCAGGTATATGATATCACTTACATCGTCCGGTCTAGAATACTCGAAAAGACAATCCAACTGGGGTATAGTTTCACTTGAACTGTTCAGCTTTATAAAATATCTCATCCATGGACTGGTAAGAACAAACCTGAGTTCCTGCTGTAATTCCCTGACCTAGTTTTACACCAATGTAAGCAGGTTCAGGGGACTCCTTTTTTCGAATGGGGATCCTCACTCCTATATCCTCAAATGCGCACGTGGAGGCGATACTCAACCGCTGGTTGAATGACATTGTTGCTTCCTCCTAAAAAAGGCGATGAGGTTTTGCGGAAACAAGAATATCAGACTATGGATCCAGGAGCCTCTCAGGAAGGTGAAGGATGCCTAGTCCTAACTTCCAGTCTTACACTGAAATAGTGAAGGAGAGCAAACGAAAGCCTAGGAAGGGGAAGAAAAATCCAAATATATCAGCGACCATCAAATAGACAGACAAGATATGAGATAAGGAAGGGGAAAGAGGGTTACCAGATGGGAAAGGGAAGTAGGCGTTTGTAAACTAGAGTTCTCAAACACGAGAGGAAGAAAGTTGAGAGAAAGATAATATCAAGAGGCAGTGGAGCTAAAAGATACCAAGCAATCAAGAGCATTGAATAGAATGCAATGGATGAATGCAAACAGAACATTCAAGGCTTGAGGTCGGTCCCCCAGAGAAAGTGGGTAGATGCAGAAGAGGATGGAAGGTTTATAAACATAGTGGTGACTTTGTCAAGTGACGTTCATGGCCAGTAAATGCTGCAATATTTACGGCGTTTGCAGGTCCAGTGAATGGATGGAGGCTCTTAAGATCCCATTTATTGCTTTGATAGTATATTGCAAGGGTCAGGGGAAAAAAATTATCTAGAAACCTACTGCAAAGAAAGAATCTCACTGGATTTAAAGCTGGTTATTGAGAGCCTAGATCAAACCAACCAATGCCAGTCTTGAGGTGCAAAGCATTTCTGCACTCTTATGCATTATTATTATATTCAACCATGTCTATCATAGTTTAGCTTCCCTGAACATGCAAGTTGGGGTATCCATGATCAATAAACCACAATCCCAGGGTATCTAAATTTCTTTTTTTCAACTCTGCGAAGGTAAAGTTAAGAACCAACGTAGGGCATTCACATATAAAACAGCTATTAGGAGAGTGAGACGGGGCTGCGGTCTCTCTTAGTTTGAATACTCCGTAAGGTTGGACGTTCGACGGGAAAAGAAACGCTCGTATAAGGAAGCAGGCAGTCGTTCCTAATCTGCACCATCTTGGCGTTCGTGGATGTTTGGTCCTGATTGTTCCAGAGCAGGAGTGTTGTGTTGTCTGTTCTCGTTTAGGTCTTTGGCAACAGTCCGGTTGATAGCCCACCTCATTCTCCCTTCGGTTTCTTTGAGCGACATGACGGCCACATCGAGCTTGGCCTCATTTTTGTAGGCCCTTTCAATCATCTCTCGTACTTCGCTATCGTACGCTCTCTTATACGCGGCATAGTCCTCAACTAGTTTATCGAAGCTTTCCCTGCTGGCCTCGATCTCGCGATTCTTCTGGGCCATAATAGCGTCTAACCGCTCTAACTGCACGTTCTTCTTTTCGTTGGCCTCCCTCAAAGAGGCAATGTCGCCACGAATGGCTTGAAATCTTCGCTGCATTTCCGCTCTTTCCCGTTGCCCGGCTTGAGCAAGTGCGTCGTATTGAGTCCGGGCAAGGTTGGCAATCTCGTTAAGCTCTGCGGTTTTCCGATTGAACTCATCACGCGATTCAACCATCAGATGGTGAACTTTACGCGATTCTCCTTCTGCCGTCTCTCGTCTGTTCTTCTCGATTTGTATCTCTGCTCTCAGGGACTCGATCTTCCTATCCTTTCGGGAGATCGAATGGAGGTTTGCTTCGTTGGCCATTTCCAGATTCCGAAGCTGTTCCGTCATGTTCTGCACCTGGGTTTTAAACACGTCATTCATTCGTTGCGTTTCTTCTGCTCGTGAGCGATACAGGCTGCATTCGCGCGTCAGGCGAGCGATTTCCTCCTGCAAACTGTGTATGACACGGCCAGATTTGCCGGTGGCCGCGTGCCCGACCGCGGACCATTCGTTTGTTATCGATTCGCCATTGGAAGGGTTTGGGGACTGAGGGAGAGCTGTCTCTGCGAAAAATAGACAAACAGAATGGTAAGCATTCGGTATCAAATAGATTGTGGCAAAAACTAGCGAGTGGGAGAACCAACCGGCGGGTGAATCAACAGCAGCGGAATGCCCATTTCGTGCCTCTAGAGAAGCAGCTTCAAATATACCGTTGAATTGATGCATATTCAGATGGGATCCCACATAAGGGAGGCTAATTCGAGGAGCACTGCGATCTGAGGTGGACGGCGTAAGCACGTTGTTGTCTTCTGGGTCAGCGGCGGTCCTTCCCTCCTTCAACGCCTTTATGACCCGGCCCAAGCGGGCCATGCTCAAGGGAAGTATTGAAGCAAAAATGGAAAGAACGAGGGAGACTGAGGGAAGCAGATAGGAACACAATGCAGACCAACAGGACGCATGTCTTCCCAAGTGACTACACAACACTCCCCACGGACTCTTGTGAAGCTAGCTTGTAGGAAAGCATATAACTGTTTATGACGAGACAGATAGATAAAGGAGATAAGACATGAAATAAAACATACCGACAGGTGGATTGAGTTCTGGCTGCACTGGCGTGGAATTGCTTGCTTATAGGATCAGTCGATCATATGCAGTTAGTGTCTCTGCACAAAGCAGACAGTTACTAAGGGTGGATCTGGACGTATGTATCTGAGTGGACAGATGAGCGAAATTAATTCCCGGAATGAGACCCAATTCGGGATCAGAATTATGGATATGATATAGCAACAGTGTGCATATATATACGCGGATGGCAGAGCAAGAAGAGATGAGGCGCGATGCGAAGACGCGAAACCGCATGAGATCCGCAACAAAAGTCGCTAAAGGCGGGCGCTAATTCATTGATTAATAGCCGATGATTATTATGGTTTGTTTTGTGTCTTCATCTGCACGATTATTATTATTCCTGTTCTGTTCCAGTACTCCGATAATGTGTCAATGCATTCCTTCGAAGCAGAACGCTCTTGGATGCGCCTTCCACGACGGCTCTGGGAACATTCCCAGGACGTCTACGGAGTACAAGGAAGATGGTCCCTCTCAGCTTCTTCCATCCACCATCCGACTCCTATATCATCTTACTGCTCTAACACCATTTACACGCTCGTTTTACCTATTTCTATCCATCTTGCTCTTGCAAACTAAGGGGAAAGGGAATAAATAATCAAAAGGAAGAACCGCAGGCCACGCTATAATCCATATCTAATTTCACCAGCTTGAATCACCAGAAGCTCAGCTGCTAAAGTACAACCACCTGTTTCATATCTCTGCATCCTCCTTGCAATTCCATGTCACAGGGAGAGGTCGCTGTTCTTCCAAAAAGCACGGGTACAACCGAAACGGGCTCGGAGCCGTTTCGTGAAGCGCCCAATAATAATAAGCCTGTGCAGCAATCATCGCAGCTAGGCTCCCACGGCGCCCAAGAGAATTCCAGCCATCCTCCCGATACTATTGAAAAGACAGGTCCTGGGAAAGCGTCCTGCAGTAACCCCAACCATCCATTGGATGCTGCACTGTTAGGGGCGCGTGTCGATACGTTGCATACCCTCTCACTTTGCCGAACGGTTATCACGTCCCTCGAGTTGACTCGTATGCGCAAATCGCGAGTCGGCTTCTCCTACTGGCTATCATTCTGGCAGCAACTATATGAACGCTCTCTTGCCCGTTCCTTGGGTAGTATAGTCTCCTCTGCACGTTCCAAGATCGATTTCCTGTTCCGTGATGTGTCCAGGGAACTGCAGCAAGTCGCAGCCCGGATGGAGCATGCTGTGACGCAAGCAGCCTCTGAGAAGGAGATCCTCAATATACTTGAACGAATGGAAGCTCAAGTCGGCTACCTTCGGAACCGCAGACGTGAAAAAGCTCAAGAGATAGTGGACAAAATGAGGGCCGCCATTCAGGCTATTCCCGTTATCGTGAGCGATGAGCTTCTTGACGACATGAAACGCGGAATTTTTGCTTTGGACGTGTACTGCAATTATTATCCTGTGGACTCTGAGACGGAGGATTGCCAGTGTATAGGGCCCGGCCGATTCTTATATGAACAGCAATATGCCTACATAGTGGATCTCCAAGCTCAGAACCGTCCGAATATAATGCCCGCCCCTCCAGTTGCAGTTAATACTATGAGCTTCCATGTGCCGGGCGAGAATCTCGAGGATGCAGAGAACCATATCAACAGAAATCATTGCAATGATGAGAACCGCCCGTGGCATCCACGAGAAGGCGATATGACTGATTGTTGGTGACATTGGGCTATGTTTTACTATTCATTGGTTCAGTGCGTACATTTTATTGATGAAGTATCGGGGTAATGTACGTAGTCTAGCTATTTTTCCACTGAAACTGCGTCTGTGTTCATCCTCCATATTAAGGATTATATATCCCTTGAGGGAAATATGCATATTATACATACGTATGCCGCTATGAGAAGTCCCATAGCGATCTCATGAGACTTCCCGGACCGACATCCTGACCGCCATCCTCCTCAAGCCCACGATCAGTGAAAATCCGCTTGGGTATCTTGTACTCCACAACCGGTGTCCTCTTCAACGGCTTCTCCTCCAAGCCCAGTTCTGCTTGCAACATACTTTGGTATGTATGATCTAGGAAGTCCTCAAGGATATATGCCTGTTTGGTAAACTGCTCCGATATAATTCGCGCAATAGCGGCAACATTCGGATGATAGTGGGACTGAAGTGTTTCGATTTCCCACAGACTGCTCTCAATCGCGTCTGTACGTGTGGGATCAGGTTCGGACGGATCGAATGGATCGTCCATGCCCTCTATATCCAATTCGGCCTTGAACTCCGGATCGCGGATTTCACGATGAAGCATGAACGTGCATGTTGGATGACTCTTCAGCAAGTTGTAGATCCACGGGACGATAGCCACGATAGCCGTGGGGGGAGCATTTAGAGCGAGGCGCGAGAGGCGTTTAATGAAACTTGCAACGAGAGTCGCGGGAAGGTGGGTCGATGCGAGGAAGGTGTTCATCAGTCGGAAGAATCGGGATCGATGTTTGGAATGCAATAGGTCTTCATCTAGGAGGGAGTACAACTTTGTGTAGAACTGGGGGTAATCCAGGTTCTTTTCCTGGATAAGATAAAACAGGCCTGATAGGGCAAGGAGGGATGTTGCACCTCCAACGTTATATGAGTCTGTTAAAAAGTCCATCAGGAGCTCCGGACGATTGAACCAAGGTTCGATGGTAGGGGCCATGATGCGTAGGAGTGCCTTGCGTTGGGACTGCGAGAGGTTATTGCGAAGGACTGCTAGCCATGCCTCCTGGGCACGCTTTTTGTGCGAATTCGTCGAGATTAACTTTTTATTTTTCTTTGAGACTTTCGTGTAAAAAAAGTTCTCAAACTGGTGCTCCGGTTCAGGAACGGAGTCGCATTCGGAGAGCATGGATATTAAAATATCGAGGGTTTCCGGGCTTCGTTGTGTTGCGGCATACTCACTGTTTCGATTGTGGTTTCCCGGTCAGTACCGACATCCTAAATGGCTTCTGAGACTCCAAAAGATGGCACATACGCAATTTGAAAGAATGTGTAATAGCGCACGTCTTCGTAGGGTTTGACGAATTTCTCAAGGAATTCAGATCGCAACTCCTGACCGTTTCGAGCCTCGACAACGGCTTCGAAGACGCCCTTGAAGAGTCCCGAAGTCCAGACCTGGTTCTCGGCGCCGGGGATATGAATAGCACGTTCATTGATTAAGCGCATACACAAAGTCAAGGCAGTGGTCTGGATAGACTGTCAGCAGATCTCCCGGAGATATGTGTGGCATGGAATCCAGACCTGTGACGAAGATTGCGATTCGCGAATTATCGATAGCAAAGCCTTCTGGTATTCCTGACACCGTTCCTTTAGCCATGCCACAATTATCTTCTCGTTCTCCGCCGCGCGACTTGATTCTGTGAGGTTTCCGGCCGCAATCAATCTGCAGAAGACTCGACAGAGAGACACGGCCACTGCCAGGTTGGGTTGCCTTGTCCCCGGCTCATCGACATCTAGCATTGATATCAAAGCAGCGATATTGTTATAGTGTTTCCGTGACTCCGAAATCTGCTCTTCCAGTTCTTGAATTTTGGCCGTATCGGTGCTCTGCGGTTCTGCGACAGCGCGACGCTTCGAGGACGGGACACCGCTGCCCTTGTTATTTTTCCGCTTTTTTGAGGCGCTGTCTCTTTCAGTAGGGGTTGGCATTTTGCACACTATGAAAATCCGCAAAAAAAAAGACACCAGGACTGGGGGTAAACTCGCTGCTGTCGCTGCTGTCCCTGCAGACCTTCAGGAAATTTTGTAGATACCCTCGGCAGCAGTTTTTCCGCACAACGCGCTATGCCTGTCAGGGACTAGCGTGTCCCGCACAGCAAAGCGCCCTCCCGACCTCATCGGAAAGTATCCTCAAGTTCCCGTTCATCCTTTACGCTCCCCCCAGGTACACATTTTCGCTGCTGCAATGGCTTCGCGTCTGGCTAAGAGCGCCATTGGTATGCTCAATGCAATCTACCACACCCACTGTGCTCTTTTACTGCAATTGCTGACCCGCAGCTAGGTGCTACCCGGCTCCGGCCGACTCTTCCCTCACGCAGCCTTGCTGCTGTCGCTCCGCACCTCACCATCTCCCGCTCAGCCTCCAATGTTCCTGCGGAAGATCCTAAGAAGAAGGCTCAGTCTATCCTCGATGCTATCCCTGGAAATAACCTGGTTTCCAAGACTGCCGTCCTTTCCGCCGCTGCTGGTCTCTCTATTGCTGCCATCAGCAACGAGCTCTACGTCGTGAATGAGGAAACTGTTGTTGCTTTCTGTGTGCTCAGCGTCTTCACGGCTCTCGTTAAGTACGGTGGTCCCGCGTACAAGGAATGGGCTGAGGGCCAGGTCAAGAAATACAAGGACCTCCTGAACGCTGCCCGTGCCGACCACACCAACGCTGTCAAGTCGCGTATCGACAACGTCAACGCTCTGTCTGGTGTTGTTGAGGTTACAAAGCAGCTCTTCGAGGTTTCCAAGGTAGGATTTCTTTTCTTGCCTTGGTGGGGGCCATAATCAGGAGTCCATTGACGATGTTATTCAGGAAACCGCCCAGCTCGAGGCTAAGGCCTTTGAGCTCGAGCAGCGCACCGCTCTGGCTGCTGAGGCTAAGCAGGTCCTTGACTCCTGGGTGCGCTATGAGGGCCAGGTTAAGCAGCGCCAGCAGCGCGAACTTGCCGAGTCCGTCATCAGCAAGATCCAGAAGGAGCTCCAGAACCCCAAGGTTCTCCAACAGATCCTTCAGCAGAGTGTCGCCGACGTCGAGAGTAAGTGCAGAGTATAATAGATTTTATTACTTAATCACCGGGCTAACCGCATAATGCAGAGATCATGGCTTCTAAGGCCCAGTAAATGGATTCTATATGGTTGGCTCCGCGGTCGGCTTGATGTATAAAATAGAGAGATGTTCGCTGTGATCGTCAGTAGACATGGCAATACCATGTTCTGTTAAATGGATTTGCAATTCACGCTGAATTTCATTTTTCTTTCCAGTTGCAGCTGCATGATGTTCGCGATAGTGGTCCGCCATTATGGGAGTTTGTAAATGACCTAAAGTAATTAGCTGTCGAAGGCGTATATGATCCTATCCCTGCATCTCGGGGTCTTCAGTAAAGGACGTCCCTGTCAATCCATATCGCAGGCTGAGCTCATCTTGCCAGGAAATGAAGGCTAAGCGCGGCAGCTACCTGGATATCTTCCATAGTCAAAAGTCTAAAGTAATAATAATGTCTCACACAGCCACGGCACAGCGCTCGCGTCCATAGAACAGCCCTGTTCGTATATGATGCATTCAAATTGTGGGATATAAGAACCTGGGATCTCCATGATTGTGGATTGATTGTGGATTGATTCTGGCAATCAATCACTTGGCTTTCTTCTTCGCATCGTGCCTTCGATTCCGCGGCAAGGCAGTGGCATTCCTTCTCGTTTCGCCTTCAGCACCACAAAGGAAAGATACAACGGCTGGTGCCTGCTCATTTGTGTCTGCTTCGCCGCTGAAGATTTTGCGACATCAGTATCAGCCCTACACCATGTTCCGAAGGAAGGAAAAGGTTGCGGATCCCAATGCGAGATTCTACTCGGCGCAACCTGCAGATCCTGTGCCTGAAATCAGATTCGTCCGGTCCGACACTCATACAGTAGAGGAGCTGACGCTGCCAGTCCACCCCGATGACGATGTCGGTCACAATAGGGATTATAACTATGATACTGGCAGAAGCAGAAACAGAAGAGGCAGTGACAGCGGCAGCCGTCGACCATCTATATCCTCGTCTTCTCGGAAAGCATTGAGATTGTTCACTCGCTCAAGATCTCCTTCTGACTCATCTGCTCCACCAACGTCTCCTCGATGGGAGCATGGGTTGTCACAATTGCTTCACCTTGACAGACCAAGCTCACGGCATTCCAATGCCAGCTCTACCTCTGTTAATATCCCCACTGGTCTCCCAGAAGTTTCCGGTGACATCGGTGATAAGCAGGAGAGGGAGTCCCAATGGGAGCAGAGAGCAACAATGCTGGTGCAGCAGAACCCGCAGTTTAAGAACTCGCACACAGACTTCGATGCCCTCGGTTCGGAATGTAGGCGACCACGGTCTAGGGCATCTAGTCGGGGGAGCATCAGTAATCAGGAAGGAGATGTGAGTATGAAACTGTTGGGATCTGTTGACTTGGGTTCTTTGTTCTCTAATGGAGAAGGAGAGAATAGGTCAACATACAAGAGGCTATCCGACTCCACGAAGCTGGAGGTAGGTTTGTGAATGATAGTACAGAGACAACTGAGAATCAATCCTAATATTTTACTACAGAATTAGAAAAGTCAACACAGATGTTTGCGAAGCTCGCTGACCCCCATGGCGAGAATAATGCGCTGAGCCAAGTACTTTACGGACTCGCATTGAGGTTGGTCTTGTCACTTCTTCCAACATGAATGAAAATAGTGTGCTAAATGCCATCTGCAGACATGGATGGGGATGCACACAGGATCCCGAAAAGGCAGTCATATATCTGTCTGCTGCTGCATCGAACTCCGCCGCAATTGAATCGGAAGCTCTCCGCGCAGGTATAAAAAAAGGAGGCGCAGCTAAAGGCGAGCTTGTCCTTGCGATCTTCGAATTGGCCAACTGCTTCCGCAATGGCTGGGGCATCAACAAGGATCCTGTAGCTGCTAGACAGTACTACGAGACTGCTGCCAATCTGGGCGATACGGATGCTATGAACGAAGCTGCATGGTGTTATCTAGAGGGATTTGGTGGCAAGAAGGACAAGGTGAGTGTGGTTTTCAACGTCTAGTGGGATCCTGCAATCTGCATCGCTTCTTCGCAAAGCGCTTAATGCTAACCCAAGACCCTTGTTTTAGTACACGGCAGCAAAATATTACCGGCTAGCTGAAGAGAATGGGAACAAGACATTAGGAAATTCCTGGTGAGTAATGTTTTATTTCTATTTGAGTCAATCATTACAGCGGTGCCTGAAGTTGCATACAACATCGGATTGCTATACATATGATTTAATCACTTTTCCGGCCTTGCAGCATTCTGTTTCAAAGGAAAACTGCAGCCTGGACTGATAGGCTCTCATTGTCTCTGGTATCGCGAAGTAGTGTCTTCTACCTACACCATTATTGCTGCCTGCTCAGCCACCCACATCTCTCAGCCGCTCGCTGTACATTCTCTTTTACATTCATTGGCTAGTCTGTAGGAATGCTAGCGCTGACGCTATCTATTGTCTTCTAGGATATGGAAAGAGAAATACAATCCTCAGTGATATGTGCTCTCCGGGTATGAAGTTTGTTCTCCGGAAATATGAAGTATGCGCCACACAAGATTATATACCATCCTATAAGTAGCACTATTTAACCATTAGTATCTTGAACAGTCTCCAGCTTCTCAATAGTGCCATAATCTTATTTTGAGCAGGCCGACACTAAGACTATATACATTATGCTGCCTGTTAAAACCACCCACGTTGACCCCTATTTGAGATGCTAAACTGCACATAAAGTATTTCAGTAACCAAGACTATGAAGTGATAGAACAGAAGACAATTCACAATTCAGGCTGCCTCGACCACCGTGCTCTTTAAAATGCTCCCCTGTCAGAAGGATTGTCTGCCAGGAGAGTGTCCTTTCTAAGCACATTACAGATATGGCCCAGGTGGTGCTGTGCCTCAGAGTTGACTCTTTCCATGATGGTCTGTCCAGTATTTTTTAAAATCTTCCTCGTCGATTGGATGCAAATGCAAGTGGCAGACACACAGCCAATGCTAAAAATAATAATGCAAGAAGAGACGCCTCCGCATTGGTATACTTGTTAACCGAAGCAACGCTATGACATCCAGGCCTCATTTGCTTCTACCTTGGCTATTCCAGCCACTGGCAGGGACTTTAAGTGCAGAAGGCCAGTCAGCAGCCTCTCAATGACTTCATGAATGTATTGAGTAGTGCTGCAATCAGTGCTGCATGCCACCCCCTAAAACGGACAAGGATTTGGCGGGAAAACCTGTGGCGTGGGCGAGAATCAGCTCAGAAAACTCTCTTCATGAGACTGCTGACGTTGAGAATGATCTTCTTATGGGTCATTGCACCTTTACCTCTCTTGATGCTGCTGATCGGTGATCTGAAAAGCCGTCATGACTTACAAGACTTTGGTATGTGGTCTGGAGATATGTGCTCGTCTACTTCCACCCAATACTACCTATTTCCCTTTATTTATTGTCCAGGAATTGTATTTTCAAGAGAAGAACCACTGGCAAGGCACAAATTTAAAGACGTGAAACGGCCCATGAAAGTGAATCATAATGTTTTCAGGAAGACATGTATAATAGACATGGAACATCCATGTCGGTTTTAATATAAGGGGATATTTACATAATGTTAAGGATTAGATTTACTGGGATGAGCCAGGACTAGGGCTCTATTCAGCAGGGAATCAACTCATATGACCAAGACAGTCAAGAAAAATGTAGTACGTAGAATTCCAGAAGGCCGCAATTGCAGCATAGTATATGAAGACTGGGCCTTCCAAAATTATCAAAACTTGCAATACAGTTAGTTCATCTACAATTAGAACCTTGCTTTCATCACCATTAAGCTACTAACTACCATGCCCAACGCACGCAAGGGCCCACGTACCATCATAACTCGGACGTCACAAAAATATGCGTAGTATCGGAAACGGCTTTCTGCGTGGGATTAGGGTCCATGCAGTGCGTCACTATTTGGTTCAATGGAGGGAGCTCCATCAGAATCATCTATATTAGTCCTCGTTGTGGCACTTAGCAACCTGCTCTGAGAAGGACCAACGTATTGCTGAGTCTTGGCAAACATAAAGTAGTTCGGAAACTGTATGAATAGTATCGACATTACTCCAGGCCAACCTTGAAGAAAGAGAGACCCAAACCTCATACAGCCGCAGCTGGACGCAATTATGGTCTTAGTTCAAGGCTTCCATGGCCAGCATTGTATTGATGTTGCTTCTAGGAAAAGAAGAAGAAGAAGAAGCCCAAGCTGAGGGTTCATTGAGATCGCAATCTCTTTGACCGGCAGAGAGGTTTCATGATAGTGGCAGTGGGGTTCAAGAGGATGTGGATCAATACTTGCTATCTCAGAATCAACAGAGGAAGCTGGAGTCTTAGTGCCTGAGGGACTATCTGATTCGAAAGAAGCATCTGAGTTATTGGTAGAAACATCATCTTCAGCAGCCCAGAGTCTTTTTGGGAGATGGTATGGCTTAGCATTGATGTCACATACATGCATAGTGGCAGCATGGGCCAAGAATTGAGTGATTTCAGAGAGCTTCAGGATATCACCGCAGGCTGCCCAGGTGCAGCTAACCTTGTCATATGGGTTAGTTAAGGTGATAATTGACGAGATAATATGAAGAGAATCTTTTTATTTTAAGGGAAACTTATGTGGAGAAGGACTAGATGCTTGACCATGGGATTAACCACAGCAGATGGTAGTAACTATGCTGTATGGGAGACCTAGAGGCAGTGAATGTAGAGGTAGGAAGGCTGCACACAATACAAAGACCTGAATGAAGAACTTATCACCAAAAATTCTTCTTAAATCTTGTCTCTAACTAGGGCCTAGTTAGCTAACTAACTTAGCAGTCTATTTTATGTCAGCCAAGCCTGGGAAAAACACGGAAGAAACAGAAACAAAACACCCAAACTTTTCCATGGTTCCCCCAGCACATGCTAAGTTAGTTAACTGAGGTAGGAAATTTCAAGGTCCAATCTGACACAGTTGCTAAACTACCCACACAAAATAAAGGAGTTGAGCAGGGTGTGTAATTCCAGGGGACTGCTCACTGAGTTGCTGACCCGTGACAAGAAATACTCCCTGAGCCCCCTGAATGCCCTTACTAAAGTGGTGGCATCCGAAAGAGGAAAGTCACAGTGGCTCCAGGAAATCAACTATGCTGAGTTACACATTGATCCTGTACCTACAGGCGAGTTGATGGGGGATCCTTGCATCTCGATAGCATTTAGCGTGTGTTTGTATTGCTTGTGGTTTTTGTTTAATTAATTATTACCCACCTTTTTTTTCTCTCTTGATCTTGCGGCTCCTTGGGCACTTTCAGACCTCCACTTCATCGATCCCATCTTTGCGCCGTATTAGTTCGAACTATAGGCGGAGACGCGATTTCTGTACTATGTTATGATTTGATCCAAACCCAGCAATAATGGCACCCAAATCGCGCCGTCTTCTGCGCAGGGAAATCACCTACTCCCAGGCTCGAGACGAAGAGGTCAATATCCTGCGCAGACTGGACTACTGGCCCGAAAAGAACAAATTCATAAATCGGGTATTTCGACATCAAAATTGGATTCAGGCTACTGTAGCTCACCATCTCAATGTGTCTGCCCAAGACTGTGATGTGTCTCTGAAAGACTCACTCTATGGCAGTTTCAATCTGTGCATCCCGGTTACCGTGAAGAAATGGAAGGGGAAACGGCAATCTGGTAACCGTCTTATGTTCCGTCTTCCACTGCCGTACCGCGTTGGAGATGCTTTCCGGCCTGGGAATGGCGATGAGAAAGTCAGATGCGAGGCTGGAACCTACGCGTGGCTGGAGGAGAATTGCCCCGATGTGCCCATACCGCGATTCTACGGTTTCGGGGTATCGACTGGCGAAACGGTGAGCATCCTAAGCTTCTGGTGTTATATATATAATATTCGGAATGAATGCGGGGCTGATGATGGTTTGGAGTGATTTAGTTTACGCGCATCGAAAACCTCTCCGTCTTCGTTCGCTGGTACCAGTATCTACGCCACTGGATACTGTCGTTGCTTGGCTATTCGCTGCCTTCGTTCTACGTTCGTCGCCGGAGACCACCAAAAAGGAAATCCAAGGGCCATAACCCTTTCCGTACCGCATACATGTTGATTGAATATATCGAGGAGACAAGGGGGCGTATGTTGTCGGAGACATGGTTGAAAGGTCAGCAAGCCACAGACCCAGTGCTGCGGGCAAATCTATTTCGGTCTATCTCGCAGATCCTGCTCAGCATTTCACGGATTCCTCTGCCGAGGATAGGATCTTTTGTGATTGACAATGGCGGATATCTACGGTTGACAAATCGGCCTCTGACAATTGAGCTGCAAGAACTGGAGAATGAAGAGATCCCAACCGATATATCGCGGGACTACACCTATTCAACGGTTGACTCTTATGCGATGGATATGCTTGGTATCCATAACAATCGCATCCGGTACCAGCCAAATGCGATCAACCATGTAGCAGATGGCGCTTACCAGATTGGCGTGCTTACAGGAATGCGTACTGTGATGCCGACACTCTTTAAGCGGGAGCTTCGCCGTGGTCCTTTCGTTTTCACCTTCACTGATATGCATCGAAGCAACATCTTTGTGGATGATAAATGGCACATCACTTGTCTAGTGGATCTCGAATGGGCCTGCTCCCGACCCATCGAGATGCTCCAACCGCCTGAATGGCTCACAGATAAAGCCGTCGATATACTTGCGAAGGAGTCAGATGAGTATAACAAACTACGTGTTGAATTCATGCGCATTCTAGCGGCCGAGGAGGAGGCCTGTGGAAAGCGCCAATGCCGCTGGGATGTATTGGGAGACGGGACAAAACTGTCAACCCTCATGGAAAACGGGTGGGAATTAGGAACATTCTGGTATTGCCTAGCCCTCGCCAGTCCAACTAGCGTTTTCGCCATCTTCGATAAACAAATCCGACATAGATATCGCGTTCATGAGCCTCGACAACAACAACAACAACCTATGGAGGGAGACGACGAGGAGGAAGATTTATTTGATCGCGTTATGCCGTGGTATTGGTCTCAGGACTCCCGTTACGTTTTAAAGCAGAAACTGTCTGATAAAAGGGACTATGACAGACGTCTAAAGGAAGCGTTTGGCATTGAACCTGATAAATTAGCCATTACTTGGGAACGATAGGCCTCCTTCCCTGGTAACCTTGTTCCCCTTGCCCTCCCTTTACCATTGCTCAGACCTTTTTGGTTATTTTCTTGTTTAACCTCGACAGACTTTGCAGAAGAGGTAAGTGATTGCAGTCTTTACGTCTGTAGGAAAACCCACATGCCTCTCTTCATCGTATGGGTATGCGTTTGGTGATTTATTGCTCATTTTAGGAGAAGTCATGAATGTCTGGTTTAAAGAAGGCAAATATACCAACCAGAGTCTTCATTAATGTTCTCTTATCTTCTTGTTCAGAGAATTTCATGATAGATAACGTCTAATGAAATGAATCTAATTTCCAACTGACCTTCGAGATAATGGGATACGGAATTGGTGGCATTATCTACGTATGGTTCATTTATTCAATCTGGAATAGTAGATACCCAGGAGGAGTCGAGTTTTGCTCATCTGTCATTTGTGTATTTATCTACCTAGCTCCAGTCGAGATTCTATGGACGGAAACCAGGCCAGCCTTATGCATGTTGCAGTAATTAACTATCTATTTTAATAGTATGTTGCAGATTTGAGCGCTTTGGGTATCTATTGCATTACGGCTCACGGAGTCCGGACCAAAAATACGAGTCATAGAAGCGCGCGCCAAAAGAGTGAGAACAGACATACAGATACGGAGTGATTACTCTAGAACGATCAAGTAGAGAATGGATCTCCAGTATCACAATGAATATATAGTGAAATGAAATACATGTTATGATATCAAGCTCAAGTATGATTGAGGGCAGACCAGCAGCCCGTTAGTCCAAAAAGTAAAAAAAAAGAAAGATGCAACATAATAAGACATTATCGGCGTCAATCATACAGTGCCATTAATATCGTCAGTCAGTCGATTCGACTGCAGTCGTATCGGGGTCAATTCAGATCATAAACCGTAACACTCATAATACCTCCCTGTCCCAAGTTCAACTGGCCTGTGCGAGTTCAAAAAGAAAAAAAAAATGCCAAACCAATCCCATAACCCTTATAGACCAGAATCAGCCAGTAATAGTCACAAATAAAAAAGACAATCAACTCCGGAGTAAATCATGTGAGGTAACAATGCGCCAACCCGTCTGTTACGGTTCAACTTCTGTCCCGTTGTTGCCCGTTCCCTGTCCGTAAAGAGGCCCGAGTGCAAATCATGCGATCCTTAGAAAAAGGGTCATAAGGGCAAAATATAGCTAACAAAACATTGAACAAAACAAAGTACACTGGTTCATCCATAAGAAATTTGAAACGAAATGAAACGAAGAAAAAAAAAAAAAAAAAAAAAGCGCCAGAAAACCACCAGAGACCAAACTCGCTAATGGATCACATAGCTCATTATAAATGACAATAGCTAAACAACGTAGAGATGATGTAGAGGAAGTCGTAAGGAGAGAGGAGTGATCTGGTGAAACATGGCTGATAGCCAAGTCTGGCAAATGCCGGTCAAGAAGCAAAGAGTCGAAGACGTTCAAGAACAGAATAAGGGAAAGTGAATCGGATCATGTCAACGGAAGTGCTGCCTCAGAATGCCTCGGCTAGGCATCCACTTCGCGTGACTTCAAGGTGTCGATAGACGTGCGGGACGGAGAGTTTGCAAAAGGAGTGTTCAGGTCAGGTCGGTATGGAGGAAAAGAGGAAGGTACTCGTGCAACGGGATCATGATAGGAGGATGCTACTCAACACTTGTCTAATCTTCTCGTTTGACGGAGCCTGCGCCATACTCTTGGACCATGCGTCGGAAGTCGTGGATGACCTTCTCGGGAACACGATCCCACATGAGCGATCGTGAATAGACATCCGAGGTGGACTTCATGTGCATTGAATTTTGTGCAGCGCCGTTTCGCATCGCGGCCAGGGCCTGCTGCAGGTTGGAGGACTGCTGCGGCTGTTTGAAGTTTGCATGTTCGTCGTAGGTCGTCAAAGAGTTGTATTGATCGGGTGTAAGAGAGAAGACCTGTTCCTGTTCCTGTTCCTTGGTCGGCAGTGCGAGATTGTTGTGGAGCTCATCGAGCGTAGACGTGGCGCCGGCTCCAGATGTCATCCGTGCCATCTCAGCGCCGCTGATGGTTGTGGGCAGTGGGCCAGGAGGGGCGGAGGGTGCCACGGGGGCTTGATCGGAAGACGGCACAAGCTCTGGCGGAGTGGAAGCAAGGACAGCCTTCAAAACATTGGCGGACTCGGTGCGATACTCTTCGGAGAGAGTGGGCAAGGAACGAGCCGTGAGAGATGAGCTGTTGGAGGCGATAAAGGCACCAAAGAGAAGACACATGTAGAAGGCGTTCCAGCTGAATGGATAGTCGGCATTCTTTTCGGTTGTCTTGCTGTCATTGGTGGATGTAGCCATGGTGTTCGCGGTCGTCACCGTGGAACCAGAGGCGGGTTCCGCGTCCAGCGAAAGGTTATTGACCATGCCGAAGTCATCCCAGGAACTACCATCCATGGCCAGATTCTCCAGGTCATGGAAGTCGTTGCTCAGCGCGGGGGCATTGGGAACCCTGACCTGCCTCTCCAGCTTCTCAACCGTCTCCTTGAGGATATTGTTCTTTTTGCGAAGCTCGGCGGTCTCCAGGGTGTGCACGCGGATCAGCTCGTCCTTCTCCATGTGCACATTGTCGATGTACTGATTGATCTGCTGCTGGGCATTCAGCCATTCATTCTTCTCGCGAAGCATTTCTGCCTCGCGGATCTTCATGCTCTGCAATGCCTCCTCGAGCTGGCCGATGTACTGAGTGAGCTGTTTCTTCTCCTCCTCGAGCTTCTCGGTGTGAAGCTTCTTTCGTTGACGCGAGTCCAAACTGGAGATTCATTGTTAGCGGGAATGTCAGACGGGAGGCGTGGGGGAAGCAAAAGGACTTACGCGGCCTGTCGGTTCCGGAGCAAGCGCTTCTGTTGCTTCAACTCCTTGATTTCCTCCTCGTTGGTGGACTGGCTGATGAGTTGATCGATGTTGCTTAGGGTGCGCTCAGCGGGGATGTCAAACCGCGCGTTCTTCTTTCGGATGCCATCGCGGAGGCCCTCCCGGAGAGCATCACGGCGGGCGTTCATGGGAGAGTCATTTCGATACGTGGGACTCTTAGTCGGACGAGAAGACGAGTCGGGGAGTTCGGTGGGAGCAGGCACCCAGCCTTGACTGGACTGGGGAGACATAGCCACAGCGGCGGGGGCTGCGTAGGCGAGACCTTGACGGTAAGACATGGCAGGCATGTGCATGGTGTTCATGGAGCCGACAGCACCACCCGAGAAGGAGGCAGCAGAGGCGTGGTCAAAGTCAGAGGGAAGGTGATCGTAGACGGCGGTGGGAGTGCATGAGCCGGAGTCGGCGCGTGGGAGGGCCCAGGGGTTGTTATGTTGGGCGTAGGGGAAGGGATTGCTGAACATGACCTGCGAGCTTTGACGCGAATGGGAGGCGGCGAAGGGATGTGCATAATCGGACCATAGGGGATCGCGATGGGACGCAAAGACGTCCGCGCTCTGATCGTATGAGGTTTTTCGGTGGTCGGGCAGGGAGGAGAGGGCGGGCGATGTCGAATCGAGGATCTTATCGTCGAGCACGCTCATCTCGTCCTCTTCGGAAAAGACAGGCTTGGAGTCGAGGGTGGAGGGGGACTGCTGGTAGAGATCAAGGGACTGATGGGTGTATCGAGCCATGATGAAGAGAATAATAGTCGAGGATTGGGGGAAGAGAGAGAGAGAGAGAGAGAGAGAGGATTTGGAGAAAGAGGCGGTGTGGACAGGAAATAATATGGCGATGTCTCGTTTGGGACGAGAAGGTGGTTATATCGGTTATATAGGATGAATGGCTAGGAGAAACACGACAGGGATAAGAGAGACTGCACAGGGTCGAGAATAAGACGCAATGCAGTGATTTGATTTCAATTTGTCTTGTCTTCAAGTACAGCGTCAAGTCGCACCAGGTCGGACGGCCGTCTGTATCTATTTAACAGGAAGTGTGCATTGCGCCCATGCCATGATACGACGACTATTCCCATTATTACTCTGCATTATTATTATTATTATTATTACTACTAGTATGCTACAGACAAACTATGTCTAAACCTTAAGCAAATGCCTGAGACGGCGGTCACTATCCGATGCCATTGGGACGGATTGTCTGCTCGCACCGCGGTCAAACGGAACGCAGGCCAAAAGTACGGATGGAGCAGGAGGGAGAAAAAGAAACGAAAGGAAAGGATAAAAATAACAGCGACACAAGCGCTGATTTCTCACGGCTGCCGAGTTTGGCGAGAGACGAAGCCATTGGATGCTCTGTGGAGGTCTTGGGCAGACGTGCAGAGGGCGATGCTGCCATCCGCGAAGCCTATCAGGCATCTCGGTACTTTAGTAGGAATAGGCATAATGATAATAGTTAACTTCGCGCGAGAAGATGGATTAGTCAGGACAGTAGCAGGAGTAATAATCATAGGAATGATAGTACGAAGTATCTCGAGATGAAGCACTGCAAATTCCCCATGCGGTAATCGGATCTCGCCCCCACGAGTATGTACAGTACATAGTAACGATCACTGTCGACCACTCCCTGCCTATCGTCTCTGCTGCACTCCCCCAGATGAGACCTGGTCTTTATTTTACTTTTGGCCGTCACGGCTCTGCTCTGTCCCTCTTAGGTATCAGATTCAGGCACCGCATCTCAATCCAAGGAGATCTTGTTGACCCTGCTCGTCTTTGTGCCCAAACGGCTGGCTCGACATAGCATACCGCAATCCGAATACACCTAAATTCATATAAAAATATATAAAGGATAGTAAATTCAAATAAATGAAGGATCAAGGAATCAGATGGACGAAAATGTCATACAATCATCCTGGCCGGCGTGACCAATGGCTGTCATACCCTCTTCGCAGTTTACCCTCTGCAGAGGCCACTCTGCGGTCTGTGTGCGCGAAATCCCCGACTTGCTTTCGTACACCGTTTCTCTGCCGAAGTGCTCGCTGCCATTCCTGGCGGGGGGATTCTCGCGGTGTGCGGAAGGAAGCACAGCGTACGAAGGATAATCTTCAGATGAAGCGGAGATGCTTTTCGGAGGTCGGAGCCCTCCTGTAGGTTGCTAGATAGAGACGTACGATGTTGTAGACGTACTAGATAGACCGTCGCACGAATGCACGTAAGTACCTAGGTTGCAAGCCGGTCCGTCCTGCGGACGTCTCTGCTCGGTACTCTGTACAGTACTTTCGTCCGTCCAGTGGAGCGAACGATGCTGTCACTCGTTTCATCTTAAAGGGTTCACTTTTCTTCTTCGACTACGAATCCACGCCTGCCAGCACAGTTTCCTGGAATGACTCACACTCCCCTCCAGGCCTGGCCCGCGTCAAAGGTCCACACAGCGTCGGTCCCAAGCAGCTGGGCATTCGAACCGAAGTCCCAAGCCAACTACGGGCTCGGAGCTGTAATCAGATACCGAGCCGCGGGTTGTTTCGAATGCCTTGCTTTGTCTCTGCTCGCCAGCTCCTTGACTTGCCGCTTCGGGGACTGACGCCAGACAAAACGAGGCGGACGTTGGGTTGAAAGACTTGGAGACGGACAGGAATGTCTATTTTGAGTCAAGCCAGCACGATCATAGCATAGCATATCTCGTTGTCGTTGGTGGACGCGGGATATCTTAGTGCTTCCAGTTATGCACTGTGGCATTCAGCTCGGCCAGGTTTCAGGTTATTCCTGGGTCTTCAATGAGAAATGCAGCTGCCTACGTCTATCGTCACAAAGGAAGATGTCCAAGTTACTCCATTCCCGTGCCTTATCCTCTATTCTGTACTGGCTACAGGCATGCCATCTCTCTCCTCTGGGTTGCCTATCTGGGGTGCAGACAGTCCAGTTGGCAATGGGGAGGGGGCTCTGGGATGCATCAATGCCCGCATACGCTGGCAACTCTGCCCCTCGTATGTTGTCCCTGATTATGCCCTCCTGGTTATGTCATAGGCATCAGCCAGTATTTCTGTATGTGGACTCCCAATATGCACATACACCTGCAGTAGTCCAGTTAGATGCATCAAGCCCAATATCAAAGATGACACCACTTCGACTCTGTATACTGTTGAACTGATGGACATCATGACAAATTCCTGTCAAAGGAGCCTAACCGTCTATCTGCTCGAGTCGAGTACGTTTCCTGTTCTACACTACAACGCATTAGGTAGCGGTACATACACACGTATGATACCTGCGCCTACCGTGGACATCTACACACACATCTACATCTACATACATCATGCATTGTACCTACCATGTGTGCCATGTAGTATGCAGCAGTTTATATCATCGCGTTGACGTCGATCTTCTGTGCCTCCGATGCCGTGTTTCCTCATTAGTCATTGTTGTGCAACCCCATCTGGCTTGGTTGACCTATGCAGGCGCAGCAGCATCATGGTCTATTTCACAACACTCGTATACCGTATGCTGTACGTAGTTATGAGACGTCGATAAACGCCTGCTTCTTCTACGAGAGCAGTTGTACTATCTGTGTGTGTAGTCTATTTTGTCCTCCCTGCGGTGTATATGTCCACGCACACAGTGCACACTTGAAACTTTCTTCAAGGACTATGAAAATAGAATATCTGTGTTACCTTCCTTTCCTCACTGAACAAACCTGATCACTACAACAGATTGACAACATGAAGAAATCCCTAAACCTGAAGCTGCCGAAACCCCAGAATCAAGCTATTAATCTGACGCAGACTCGTCTGGTCATATTTCCCCAACACAGGATCCAAAGGCTCATCATCAACCGGTTCCAGTTCATGTTCATCCCGTCCACCCCGTTTGCTATTGTTCTCCTGCCGCTGCCGACTGCGAGCTCCGGCAAGCTGCTCCGCCATCAAGCTGGCCAATAACCAGTATTCTGGACAGTAGCGGCAAAATCCGACCCTTTTCCACATGGTCTCTGGCCATAAGCCCCTGTCATCAATGGTGACATGCGGTGATGTGTCTGGGGAAGCTATTTCGGCGAAAAGCTGCCATGCGTCTTTCCAGTTTCGGAGTGCGTTGCGTATTGGGAGAAGGAGTTGAAAGTCTCCGAATGAATTTCGGTATTGGAATAACAGGGGGTGTATGGCTATGTATATATTGTCTGAATTTAGTATGTCAATTGTAGGAAGTGAGCTGAAGGGAACACACCTGATGCCAATGCAAATAGATTCAACGGTCCCAGTGCTGCCAACGCTGCACGCAAGTCTCCCGCGAGATGTTCTTTACAAAGATTCCTAAAAGCGCAGCGGAATGACATTTTCCAGTAATAACTGCTCTCTGGTAGATGTATTTGTACCTGGTCGTAGCATTCATCTGCTGTGGTGGCTTGAAAACACGCCTCTGGCACAGCCATGTGCATCTTCATCTCCTGCAGTGCTATTCGAGGTGGGATGTTGTTGAATATAACAAACGCTGTGTCAAGCAAAAATATCCAAGTGAAGATACTGGCACAGTGCAGCAGATTAGACCCTCACGGAAATAAAGAAGGGGGGGGGATCAGTCCTACCGGATGAGCTCTTCTCGAGCGGCGAATTCGCTCCATTCGAACTGGAATCTCGCCTGGCTGCTGTAGCATATATGTCTTGCAGTGGTGATATTTATATCTCGCGTGGTCTGGAACATTGACATTAATAACAGTCCACCAAAACAATGCGGTATCATCTCAAAATAGAATCAACTCACAGATACAAGTGTAGCGAATCGATACCGACGAATCCTACTCTTACTGGCATCGGTCCCTTCCCAGTTCTGATAAAGACAGACCATATATGCAGCCTGAAGAGCCTGTATCTTCTGTCGATGCGTAGCCAGTCCACCAGAGAGATAGTTACTGTTGAAGTCGTCGTTGATGAAAACCATCTCCTCAACACAATTGGACCACATCTTCGCATTTTCATTGTCCGGCAGATGAGGCGAAACAAGAGCCCCTGGGAGATCTCTAAGCCATGTATTATCACTATATTTCCTGAGGGAAAGGGGGGAAATATCCTACCGATCATGGCCATGGCAGCCAGAAGGGTCGAGCTGGCTGATACAGGATTAAAGGTGGGACGGTGGACAAAGTTCACATTGGGATGCCAGATCGCCCAGTATAGCTCGAGGAACCTGCGGAGGTTTGTGGGTGAGAAGAATTTCAGACATGCTTCCTCTGTCGCTGGCGTCCACTCCAACGTTACGACACTGTTGCGCGGCTTCAATGTGACAATTTCCTTGACCAAGAGGAGAATCTGGTGGGTTTTCAATGAGAGAGGGTCAAGTAGCCATTGTTGGGGAAGAGTGCTTCCAATGTCGATACCGATCGAAGTCTCTCTCGGTAACTCTGGCTGATGTTGTTCATATGCGACTTCGAGTTCCACCTTGGTGACTACCTGCTCTCTCTGCTCTTGAGTTCCACAGTCGAAAGTTTCAACAAAGCCAGTGCAGCTTGTGAACCGGTCGAGAAAGTGAAGAGAATCAAGATTATCCGCGCTCGTGCTAGGAGGCCGGCATACGAGTGGGCTCTCGGGAATGGCCAGGAAATCCTCCCAGCTGGAGTCGAAGTTGAACAAAGCCGGGTCAAGCGATTCGTCGTCATTGAGCCTCGTTGCAATGTCTTCCGACTCTGCTGACATTCCAAACGGCATCAATATGCCGGGTTCAGACGGCTTGAGCTCTTCATTCGGCCTTGCAAGACGTCCGCTATAGTGGCAGTCTACAGCCTTCTTGGAACAGCCCCGGCATGGTTGATGGGAATCGCAGGCTTTCTTTTGATGAACACAACGGTCGCAAGCACGCCTTCTGGAAGTAACCTTGGACAGCCCAATGACTCTGCCGCCGCAGGTACCTATATGACGCTTGAGCACATCAGCCCGCTGAAAGGCACTCCCGCACGAGCTACATTTATACGGACGTTCCGAGGTATGTGAACTAGAATGGCGCTGCAAGTGTTCTCGTCGCTTATAGCGCCTCAGACAAACTGAGCATTGATGGGGTCCTGAATCTGCACCTCGCGTTGAACGCATGTCTCAAACTGCTTTATTCTCGTCTCCGGTATATGAACTGCTTGGGAAACGATTATGGTCTGAGACTTGACTCTCTAGCCTCGGGATCGATGACCTGGGGGCAAAATGCGGGGGAAGCTTTCAACCCCTAAGAATCTGGAACCTGAGGTTTAGAATTCGTTGGCCAGAGCTGTGGAGAAGGCTATCTTCTATTGCTATCCGCCCGTTTGCAAAAGTACGGATCAAAGAGATTTGCGCCTTCAAAGACTACCTGGTCCAAGCGGCCGATTTCGTTTTTCGGCAAAGATGAAGAAAGAATTCAGTAACAAACTAACCAGTCCGCATCTATAAATCGCCCTATAGTGCCTAGAGGTTTCTTCTCACTAAGGGACATGATGCAGGCCATGGCAGCGGAACATAGCACAATTAGGGTTCGACGTCGGAGTTGAGTGTGGGGGACACAACAGCGACCAGAATATTGGTGAATCTTGCCCGAATACAAAGCCGTATATATGGTGGCTGATCTACCTGCTGTGCCAAACATCCTTGAGCTTCATGCTCTTTGTTGTCGAGGATGGTGAGATATGGACTACCTACTATATAACAATGGACCCTCCTCCCAGATCCTCGAGATAGACTGTCTGTCCCATTCCCAATAGGTCCTATTCTTTGCGGCATATTGCAGTTTTCAGCTTCAATGTGAGCGAAACTAACAAGGAACATACAGATGACCCTTACGCTGTGCCCCTTCTAATTGGTGGTATAGACATCGTATCCAGGACAACATTCGGCATACGAGATCCTATCACAAGGCGTGTACTTCACCGAAGCGGCAGCGCGGCAGCATCAGACGCATCACACGCTTTTAAGAGCGCCCAGGTAGCGGTTTTAACCTGGCCAAAACTGAAACCAGCGGCCCGTCGCAATTACCTGCTCAAAGCAGCAAGCATCATGGAGCAGTGCAAAGAGAGCCACATGGGGTCATCCTGGGAATTGTTCCATGGTACTTATAATTGACGAACATATTATAAAAGTCCATATCAACAGCTCTACATACAAGACGAATCAACGGTGCCCCATGGAGGTTCAAACGGATTGGATGAATTGTGCAGACCAAGACCATTATATGAATAAATTGAGGCGAAGTACTTCGTCTAGATAACATGATTTATTGCAATAATCCTGTTTATTTATAATTCACGCTGTTCAAATTGAATATAATATGCAGCGAAGAGCCATGCTTCTCTATTCGGCTAGCGGGGGTGTAGCCTTGGTCACGTGGATTATGCAATGACTGACCGCCTTCGCTTACCATACACTAGGACAAATCAAGTTAAGGCGTCCATCCGTCAAGAACTATATCAAAACAGCTCTTTCTGACGATGTCCATTTCCTCGACTTGCTGACTCGAGTAACGTATCTAGACGCAATTTGCGTGCCATAGCATCTTTTTGGCCTAGTAATTTTATTTATTGCTTTTTCCTTGACTACTGTGAATCTCTACTGGGACATACCACTAGCGTATGATGCAGCTAACTGAACTAAATCCGCGATATAGTGACAAGAGACGAGGGGAAGTATGAGATTACCTGAGAGGGTTCCAAGAGGTTAAACGACTTCTAGAAAGGAGAAGAGACAAGTAAACGTATGATCCTTTGGTGCTTTTGTGTGAGATGATCACTTCAAATAAGTATTGGTATTGACAGGTACTACAGCTCGAACGCCATACTTCATTTCGTGATGCAACTTCATCCATGCTACCTGCAATATATGGTCACTTCTGGTGACATGTCCCCTGACGGAGCTGAATTTATCATTGCTACCCGGGAGAATCTTGAAGGACATTATGATAAAAGGTGTTTTTATGGTGACTCATTCAGAGTCATAACTCAAATATTATGCAGGAGTGCCAGGGTTCTGTCATCCATCCTCACAGCCGAAAATGTTCCACCATAGCTATCGAGCGCGAATACATTGAAAATCAAGACAACCTTCTCGACGATGTGGACGTCCTCGTGGGCAGTCAGGACAAGATTGGCATTGTCATCATTGTCAAGATTGATACCTCGGCTCATGATTCAGAGAAGGAGTAGAAGGATATGCATTCTTGCCTGGACAGTATGATTATCGACAGCATTGTGGCCACCCCCACAAAGTCCGACGAAACGCCCACCTCCGCATCCGCTGGAGCTTCACCCGCGAACTCTATGCCAACCCTGCATTCAAGATCAGCAGAATAAATTGTCTCCAGACTTTATAACCGATGAGTTCGTCGGTCTTCTGACAATATCTCATCGAGTTTCTTCACATATCATTTCTTTTGAACCATACCTTACGGCTTGCTATCTAAACAAGTTCGTGCCTTCTCAGATAATTCAATATGCCATCCTTTCCCACAATTCTATGTCTATCTGTTGCTCTGACAATTCTCGTAAGCCTTTTCTTCGTAGGACACCGGCCCAAGAACTACCCTCCAGGCCCGCCAACCCTACCCATCATCGGAAACATTCACCAGGTCTGCTCACACCGTGTCTGTAAGCTTGGAGTTTCTAGCTAACTGCCTTGATTTAGATGTCCTCCAGGAATGTACACCTGAAGTTGGAGAAATGGGCTCACGAATATGGTCCCGTATACAGTCTCATGCTCGGCACAAAGTGCTTGATCGTGCTGTCAAGTGACGAGGCCGTGAAGGAGCTCTTGGATCGACGGAGTAGTATATATTCAGACAGACAGGATATGTACATCGGTCAGACTCTTTGCAGTGGCGGCTTGAGATTGTTGATGATGGTAAGATCGTTGATGCGGTAACTATTTGAACGGTAGAATGCTAACAGATAGCTAAACTAGGGCTACGGACCAACATGGCGTAAGGTATGTATTACTACCATTAGAGAGGATTATCTTTATTATAGTGTCAATTGGCATTTTTCTGACCTTCATCAACAGTTCCGGAAAATGGTCCATGGTCTTTTGAATGTGACCGCATCTAGACACTACGTGCCATATCAGATGCTGGAGAATAAGCAAATGCTCTATGAATTCCTCACTCAGCCGGATGGATTTCTAAAACACATTCGCCGCTACTCGAATGCTCTGACTACAACCATGGTCTTCGGCTGGAGGACCCCAACGCATGAGGATGACAAGATGAAGCAACTCTTCGACGGTTTCTCTGAGTTTGCGAATATTAACCAGACCGGCACGGCAGCATTGATCGACTTTTTCCCCTGGCTGAGACGGCTACCTGATTTCCTTCTGCCTACCCAGAAAAAGGCCAAGCAGCTCCATAAAGAGGAGAAGGCCCTTTATCTGGGCCATTGGCTACGGGCTAAAGAAGATATTCGAAAGAATACAATAAAGCCGTGTTTCTGTGTTGGTATGTTCGAAGCGCAGAAACAGGAAGGGTTTAGCGATGACCAAGCAGCGTATATCTCTGGTACTCTCCTCGAGGCAGGATCTGATACAACCTCCAGCACATTATACGCATTTGTGCAGGCGATGCTCCTGTTTCCACAGGTTCAACGCAAGGCTCAGGCAGAGGTCGATCGTGTTACTGGTCCAGATCGGCTACCCATCATGGAAGACCTTGCCAATCTGCAATACATTCGCGCATGCATGAAGGAGACTCTTCGATGGATGCCGACCACCATCCTGGGCGCTGTACCACACGCCGTGACACAAGATGATGAATACATGGGTTTCTTCATTCCCAAGGGAGCAGGTGTCGTGAACAATGTCTGGGCCATCCACATGGATGCTAAACGGTATCCAAAGCCGCGGAAGTTCGACCCAGATAGGTACAAGGATGATTGCCAGAGCTTCGGCGACGCCGCTGCTAATCCGGACGCTACGAAACGGGATACATTTACCTTTGGCGCCGGACGCCGCATCTGTCCAGGAATCCACGTCGCTGAGAGAAGCCTCTTCCTCGGTATGTCGCGGATCCTGTGGGCGTTCAACATCGAACCGGCCTTGGACAGGATAGGCAAACCGATTTTACCGGACCCGGACCGTTTGACGCAGGGATTTGTGTGTATGCCGGAGGAGTTCCCCGCGATGATTAAGCCGAGGTCAAAAGAGAGAGCTGATCTGGTGATCAAGGAGTGGAAGGATGCGGAAAGGGTGTGTCTTGACCCGGAGACGAAACAGTGGTTGCAGTCACCGGTTGAATCAGTCCGTGGCTTGAAGGGTGAGTGATAGCAATGTGGAGAAGATGGAAATTGTGGCAATGTCTCTCTATGTCAAGTACGGTATGAATGCTACATTCCGTGGATATACAACATTACTTGTCCTGTGTGGTCGTTTACTTCTCGTGTCTGAATAGTCATTCATATGGATCCTCGATCCACAGATCCTTGCAGGTGCACTTTCACAAATAGCCACGTTAAACTAAAGAAAACAGATCCCCCAACCCACCTCTTTGGCAAATAGAGAAGGAATGTGGATTATATCTAGCAAATCGGAAGTATATCCAAAGTACAGTGAGGCGAAGATGATGCTGTGATATCAAGAAGGCGGGAGAAATCCGACACAAAATCACAGCACAGTACTAGTACAACTTCCCTGCAGGCTGCTATTCTCCTTGTATCGGCTGTATGCCTAGCTGAAACACCTGTCTGAGTCAAAGGGCCTATACTCATTGCTCAATGATGTCCGTTGCCTCACTCTGTGCTAAATACGGTATATGATGCTGCTGCTGTCCGTGTAGGAATGGAGGGTCCGGGTCCCATCTGCAATCAACACGAATTACGAATAGTAAATAATTCCAGGATAGCTGGCTGCATACATTTTGACCCACTTACCGCTATCAATTACAGCATTGAGTCTGTTCGTCTAGAGAGTTTGCGATCAGTACATGCTCTTCCTCAGGCTGGAAAGGTGAAGCGAGCCTGTCTCGGACGGCTTCCAGGAACTGCTCCTTGCATTTGCTCTGTTTCACTTGGGTATATACTAGCATGTGATGTCTCCAGGCGCATTGATAGACATGTCAGTAACTTGCAGCGTAATCTATATGCAGTGGTGGTTGCCCAAGTCAGGATTTAAATCGACATACGTTAGGTACTCTCTCTACATCATGCATTATCCTCTAGGACAATGGTCGTCACGATTTCAATTACGCACAACCAATACATTCATCTCATCTATGGAATATGGATACCAGCTCAGTGCTGTGGATAACCTGGAAACAGCATCATAACTTCTTGCCCTACAAACTGATTGGACGCGAGCCCTCATTGAACCCTCATTTTTCACCGCCAGATTGAATTAGAACAGGTCTCTCCTGGATGCATTAGCAGATTCTCTCTTGTTACAAGTCTAATTAATCCATTCACTCCACTTCTCTCGATCTGATTACAACTGAAGACAGGACCCGTGCCCGAATGTAAATGTAAATGTAAATGCCTACTGTTGGGCCGTTATCCGTTGTCCATCATATCCTGGATGCAGGGGGTAAAGGTAAAGCAGGTCCCCGCTCTCTCTCTCTCCCCGGTGGAGAAGGTGATGATATGTACAAAACTTTAGAGATTTCTCTTCTCTCTCTTTTGCTATGAGTCATACTTGCCTCTTCTGTTGTCTGCTTCTCGTGTGAGTTGCTTGTTGGGGAGGGGGACGTCCCCATTTAGGCTTGGAGTAACAACTTCGAATTCTGCATACGTTTGGATTTGTCTTGTTTTCTGTCTGAGTTCTAGTATGGGACAATGACAATTAGTGTTTAGATTGCTTATGTTTAGTGGGAGATTGGTTTGCAGTGAGTCTTCCACCATGATCTATCCAGATGGGAATTGACAAATATACAGCCCACAGCAGAACACCATTTTCCTGACTGCATATAGTAAACGGCATACGCACATTCACCTTGTGTACTCCTACATTCCTTCCGGACGAGCAGAACCATTATGTTCCTCGCAAGACATAGCTGCAGACAGCCGGGATATATCACTGAATCAACAACCTTTCTTCTATCCTATCTTCATAAGACTATAGACACGCCCGGTTCAAATAATACTACCGAATCATCCAAGGATTATCCAGCATACGCTTCGATTCTCACCTGTGGCCGTTATCCAACCGACATCGGAATCCTTGAACCATAGCAATGAAACAGAAAGGGAAAAAGAAAGCCTCATCGTAATGATCATGCCATGATAATAGACAACTCATGTCCATGTAATACGCCATAAGGGTATCTTTATTCCCGCGAGCCGCCAATCCCGCAGGCCAACTGGTCAAAGTAAAAATGATACAAAAGGGAAAGGGAAACAAAGCCGATTCTCATTTACAGACGTCGTCATTGTTGTCGGGCAAGCAGAAGGCAGCGACCACTCGATAGTGACGGCATCTAGAAGCGGACGAAATCCTGCTGCTGCGCAAGTTCACCACTGTCAAGGCCCCCAAGGATGATCTCGGTCTGATCATCGTCAGACTCGTCCGAGTCGACATCTTCCGAATCAATCTCATCATATTCCTCTTCCTCACTGGATAGATCTGCCTCGTCCTCGGAGGCGGAAGGGCCTATCTTGTTAGCAGCCATCTTGCGGATCTGACCAGCCCGGTCAACGTGAGGTAGGAGACAGCGTTTCTTATTGCAAATCCCCATGTTGGCATAGTTAGGACACTCGTGAACGTGTCGCTCTTCGCATGTTGCCCCCTTTTCACAGTAGCCTAGAGTTGCAAAGTCCCGGCACACGGGAGCACCAGGAGTCACGCGGACATGTGCATATCGACATTCTGGGTTGGAGCATCGTCCTCTAAGAAAATGCATGCAAGCCGGGGACCTGTGGGGTGACGGTTCATGGGAAAGATCGCAACTTAGACCTGCATTGCATTTACCAGTCTGGAGAAACTCCTTGCAAATGGCTACTTTGTTCGGATCGTGAATATAGAGACAGTTGGGCCCCTTGTAGCAGGCACCTAAAATCTCGTAAGAATGACGCAGGTCAGCAAGTATCGACAATTTGTAGGTGAAAAAAAAAAAAAAAAAAAAAAAAAAAAGAGGCTGATTAAAGGCCGTCAAAAATCGCGAGGGAAAAGACATGATACCCGTTGTAGTAAATCTTTTACAAAGCTCGTTTTTCTTCTTGACCATTATCGGTTTCCTGTTCTTGTGAGTTCACTGCAGTTCCGCAACATATTGGCATATGGATTCCCACCTCTTCGAAGTTACTGCACCCAGACGATGGAGATTTCCATTCTTGCTTCGGACAAAAGGCAACCCCGCGATTGTTGCCTTTTTCGGCGTGTTATTCGCAGTCTTAGGATCATCTATCGTAAAAGGTAAGCTAGCTCCCTGCCTCACTTCGATACGAGTGGGAATCGCACTAGACAATCTAATCAACTTGCTTCCACCCCGAGAAATCCTGAACGGAATGCCATCGACAAAGATCTGATAGCCTGCCGAGGGTTGGCTGGTAGCAGCGGTCTGGGGAGTCACGGATATGGGAAACTTCCTCCCAGCACCTTGGGCGTATCTAAGGACCTTAGCTTCCTCTATCTGTGTTCGTTTCTGCGCCTTAAGCTTCCGGGACTCCTCAAGAGCCTTCGTCCTTGCCTGAGCTTCCTTGTCATAGATTGCCGAATTGATCAGCTGCATATGGCGGTCGCGCTTCGCAACCCATCCGCTGCCTGGCGTCGAAGATCGCACCTCGCCCTCATTATCAGTCGCAGTGCCAGCAGATGACGCAGAACTTGGAGTAGATCCTGCTGCCACGGCGTTGTTGAGAACAAGTGTGCGGTTTCGATGAGGCGCTACCGGTCGTCGTGGATATGGTCGTCCGCGATACGGTGTCCAGCCAGGGTGTGGTCTAGGGGAGGTGTGTCGTGACACATATTGGCCTGCTGAGGGATCATTATTGTAAAGATTCTGCGTCTGGTTTTTATGTTTGTTAATTTGACCTAATAATAGGCAAAGCAATTAGCAACTAGCAAAACAGTGCGGGCACAGTATAGCAGCGCGTTTACCTGCAAGCTGGCCAATTTTGGCGAGGAGCTCCTGATTCTCTGACATCCCAGCGATAAACACAAAGGCTACAATATGTAACTGATGAAAGAGGTGTATTCCTATCACTCGTTGTGGAAAAATAAGTGTGGTTTGTCTTGAACTCTTTGAAGGCGATGGATTAGTGGCAACAAGGCGCCCACTGTATGTCACATGATCATATTCACATCACTCTCAAATGAACATTCACAGCCATCTTCACTCACTGCTGTTACAGAATCCTTATTTTTTACATTTTGCACCAGAATACCTAGGGCATATATTTCAAAAGGCTCCAGACTAATTTGGACAGCTAACGCCATATCCTGCTCCTAACTCCATAGACTCCATAAACGCATGATGTACCTTCCCCTAGATGACACTCTCAAACTGCATATCGTCTCCTTCTGCACCATCTTCTTCCGAGACGTCTTCTGTATTGTAGTCTGTCCCTGGGGGCAGCTCTTCTTTGGCATCTTGGTACAGGGCATTCGCGTAATTGCTCTCCCTGGCTTCTGGCTTGAGCTCCCACGTCATGGCAAAGTCACCGGATTTAACCAGGTGCGCAACCATCTCCAGAGTTTGCTTGAGGTATGCCTCAGGCTGCTGGAGCCTTGCCTTAAGAGTCTTAAATGGCCAGTACTTGTATTCCCTGAAGCACTGGTAGATAAGATCCAGTAACTCGTTTTGCGGCATACGGGTAGTCTTGTTCTCTTGAGCGCGCACCTTAGCCGGTTTAGCTGTCGCTTGCTAGGAGAATGTGAGCAGACGAATATAAAATAAAAAGGAATAATTGTGGGGGGATACTGACCACAAATGTGCTCTGGGTGCCAGGCAGCGCATGCCTCTGTTGAAGAAGCTTGCCGGGTATTTTGTCAATAAAGACAGTCTCACGCTTAGGCTTGAGAGCCTGGAGAGCACGCGTTTCCGATATTCGTCGAAACTCCTCATTCTCGACTGGAAGACAATTGAATTCCTCACTGACCCGTCCTACAATGGCCGTTTGTTCTGTTCATGTCCTGTTAGCCCTGCTCGGCTCCTATATCAAAGGACAACGTACTTGGGACGGTTTTCCGGATATAAGGCTCCCACTTCTTCTTGCGATCCTTTTTTCTCGCATCGCGTTTCATGGCTTCATATAGAGAAGACCGCGCCTCCCCGAAAACCACCATCCGGTTTTCGCTTCCAGGGAGATCCTTCTCGGTGAAAACATATGTATTTTGAGCAGAATTAGATGCAGCGATAGTCTGCCGTTGTAGCGTATAGTCTTTTGGAATATCCTTGCTGTCTGGTCGATCGTGAAGTCGTAAGCTAATCTACAAAGGCAGGGAAGTCATCAGAAGCTGTTGGCAGGAGATAAAAAAAAATCAAAGAGACAAGGAACCGAAAGCCATGGGTATATCAACCTACTCTTTTAATATCTTTGGGGTCCCCTTCGATTCTGATTGTTCCCAGCTCTACCTCCTCCTCGTCGTCGATGTGAGACCAGTTCTCCCACAACGACCTCGGGATGCGTGAGAGCCAAACATTCTGTGAAGCATTTGAAAAGTCCAAATCTCCTGCATCCTCATAGATATCATCATCGTAAATGCCGGTGAGTGAAGCGTCTTTCGAGTCGGGATCGGGTTTGATCATAGGTACATCTGGGTCTTGCTTGATTTGGGTGGCCATGGCGCCAATTCGATAGAAGTCTTCGGAATAACCTGTCAGGGGAAATTGTAAGGTAACACAGTAGAAGCTCTCTCTTCTGTGTCAAAAAAAACCAGTTCTATGAATGTTATGACTTCGGAAAAGAGCTGTCAAGACGGTGGCGTTCTGTCGTACTGCCGAACAAAGATGCCCAGCTTAATGAAGGTCGAGCAGCTGCTAGTTGCCTCAGGATCCCAGGCCTTCCGCGTCATGCGGTAGAAGCATACCGCCTTCCATATGAGGTTAGTTCATTATATCAATATGCGATCTTATCGGGATATCTTATCAATCCAACATCTGCGATGTTATTTAATAATTCCTAAACACAAAAACAGATAAAACTAAAATATCTCAGTATCCAAGGAATAATTCTTTCTGCGGAAGCGGAAGGCCAATATGAAGACCTCCAACTTGGCACTTCAAATTCCCAGAACCCAACTACTTTGCCATGTGGCACGCTCTGCACACGTTCATCTTTGGAACCAAGGACATCCCATCCCGTCTATAAAGTTGCTTAGGTATATGAATCTGGCAGCAGTAAATCGCTCCTCCCATATCATGCCTCTTGACTTGGGTTACAGGCGTATCAATCATAATATGGATTTTACTGTTTATCTCGATTCACGGAGTGGAACTAAGCAATTAGTTAGGGCGTGCACTGAGGTAAAGAGAAGGAATCTCAAAATATCATGTTCTTCCGCCCACCCATACTGGATCTTCATTGAGATATGGTACGGATCGCAAGGAAGCGGACATTAATATTCGAATAACAGGGTCGAGTTAATTTCTTTCATTGAGGGATGTATCTTTGGACATCCATATATTTATTCTCTCCTCTGGCATGATTATGGAGCCGTCTTCCGAAATCCACTGCCCAACGATCGAGGACTATCACGACCCATAGTAATTCATCCAAAGTCCAGGAACATCGGTGACACGACCAGGGCGCCCATAATCACCCTTTGAGAAGAATATCTGTCTGGCTCCATTCAGGGCCGCTGATGTATATCCTATACACCTATTTGGTTTGTCATTTATCAAATATGACCCCAATAGCGAGGCCAATTCGGCCGGTTTACGACTATTGTCCGGCATGAGCCTTGCATCATGGTTTCTACCTGGTGAAAATCCTGGTTTTTCGTATTGTGAACCAAACGTCTAGAACGAGCAATTGCTGGTCTTGATATGATTGGTTATGAGAGTTCCTGTGTCTATATCAGATACCACTCACCACTAACGTCGACACAAAATCTATTATTTGCTGACCCTCAGGAGCTCGCACTGTCTCTGTAGAGTACCGCTCCATGTTGGGCGCGGTGCAGAAAGCTGCTCCGAGGCTAATTGAGAAGGAAACCTCGTCGAATTCGAATTACGAAGTTCGTTGCGCATGAAAATAATCTCATTCCCATAGTTTGTGTGAATCTAGAGATCACGAATTAGTCATTTTGAAAACCGTTCCCTGACTTCGGCATAAGCTGACGTACCTGAAGAGAAACAATTTCACGCGGCGTGGGAGCTCGCTCATAAGTAACACTTGATATTCTCTCCCCAGCAGGTCCTTGATGAAAGATGAAATCTTCGTCAGACCTTGACGGCCAAACCGAATGTGGCCTTGGTCATCAAAATAGAATATGAGCTCTACGATAAAAGCGGGGTCTTTAAATATGTGTGCCACTATCCTTGTAAGATGAGGCAATCTCTCGCCACGGATTCCGCCGAAACCCATATTTCGTATTGGATTGAATGTCTGATATGAAAGGCTTTGCTGCTTGAGAAGAATTTTCGATGTCTCTCTCGGATAGAAAGGTATCCAAAGGGGCTGTGACTGCATAAGTTCTAATTTATTAGGCGCGCGGTTAAGTATGCTAAAGGAAATCATTTAAATGCCTTCAAGGCTGTCAGCCAGTGAAATTATCCATGCATTGAACAGGATGTCACCTACATCACATTGAGCAACAAAAGAGACCTGTTGCTGCCCTGTCAGAGGCAGTATTCCAAACGCGACGTATGGTTTCTCATTTACTATATCGCCCACCCAGCGGGATCGATAGGTGTACAAGCCATTCCGCAGGGCCAACCTTACTTCCATAATCCAATCTATACAAGAAGCTAGTGCCAAACCCACGACAGAGTGAGAATATGGGATTTCCATCATGGTTTCGGGCCCAGAGACATATCCGAGACAAGAAGTGGTAACCCTTTGGGTTTCGGGGTTCAGAAGTCGAAAACAAAAGCCTGAAATAAATTGCTGTGAGTTGACAGTGGTAGTGGATACCAAAAATTTAGACAGTACACATATATCTAATGGTAAGACGATTCATCCAACAGGTTTTTGAAACTGAGCTGAACCCCCAGAGTCATGGCCCGGCTGAATACAACGGTACCTATTCCACATTGTACAGTATAGCAGATGGTGAAGTATCGTAGAGCACTTGATAGGATCTGATAATTCTGCAGAGGCTCTTTGTAACAAGACATCCCAGCAGGCTGCATGGAAGAAAAAGTTCCCGGGAATCGGTGCATCATCGTAAGGGATGTATTCTTCAATCCTGTCATCAAAGTTAATATATCCACTACTGCTAAGAATTGTATGGTCGAGATCATTATGGTACTAAACAGCATGATCTTAGTTGCTGGCTGCAGTAGAGGACAATTGATAGAGTAAACAAACCAACGCGGAGCCCTTAATGCTATCTCACGTCCTCATTTGGAGGTGCACCAGGCACCGTGGAGGAAGAACAAATGAGCACATCACATATCACACAAAATAAGTGTATTTAGTATCCACTTGATAAGCTGCATTGAATTAATTCACAATTACTCAATTTCCTTTGTCCAGGATGCCTTTGCATCTGTGATCCCAAAGAGATATGTTGGTTGAATGTCAGTAACAGCCGCATTTGTGTTGCTGCACCAAGAAGCAAGAGATCCCAAGCTTAAAATAAGAGGGTAATTCAAATGTAATATTCGCAAGTTTGAATGTAGGACTAATTTCTTCATTGCTGGTAGAGTAGATGACAGGAGGAGAGTGAAACTTCCCTGGTTGGCAACACACGGCGTTAAGCTTTTATCGATAAGCAGCTTGATCCTTCTCCGTACGCTGTCAGAGCTCCTCACCACCGCTGCTTCTGGTCCTTGAGGCGTCTATCTATTCTGCTCTTCCTCAATACAAAACCCTTTATCTTTTCTACATTTGAAAAGTCCAATACACATCCTGGCTATGGCGTCTCAAAAGGTAACATCAGCTCTAGCGGCCATAGAGGCAGCCCCGCAACAGAACAAACCACAGCTCTACAACAACCTACTTGTGGAAATCGTCTCGACTACATCCGAACACGAGCTTGCACAGGACCTCATCTACTACCTCGATTCCATACTCAACGAAGATATCAGCATTGTCGCCGTCCGCTCCCTACTCGATTCGTTCGTCGATGTGCTGCGAAAGTTGACACCGGAGACCAAGATCAAAGTCGGTCAACATGCCGTTACCCTGCTTCAGTCCCGTTCTACGTCTGTGGAAGAACAGGACTCTCAGATTAGAGAGTTGTTGGCGGATGCCTACGAGTCTGAGGAAGAATACAGTGCTGCTGCGCGAGTGCTACAAGGAATCCACCTTGACAGTTCGCAACGGCTTATTTCCGACTCGGCGAAAGTAAGGCTCTGGATTCGAATCGTGAGGTTATACTTGGAAGAAGACGATACAACGAGCGCGGAGGGCGTGTTGAATCGCATCAAGAACCTGCCAAGCAAAATTGAGGATCATGAATTGAAGTTGCACTTCCAGCTCTCGCAGGCGAGGATCCTCGATGCCCGTCGACGATTCCTAGATGCTAGCCAGGAATACTTTAATGTCAGTCTGGCAAGTGGTGTGGATGAAAGCGACCGTCTTCAGGCGCTTTCGGCAGCTATTATCTGTGCCGTTCTCGCCCCGGCCGGTCCGCAACGCGCACGAACTCTGGCACGGCTGTACAAGGACGATCGCGCGTCATCGGTGGAAGAGTTTGGCATTCTAGAAAAGATGTTTTTGGACCGGCTGCTCAACCCGGATGAGGTGGCTGCTTTTTCAAAGAAGCTGGCACCGCACCAGTTGGCTCAGACTGCAGACGGAACGACGGTGCTTGACAAGGCAGTGATCGAGCATAACCTCGTTGCTGCCAGCAAGCTGTACGAGAACATGAAGATCGATGCTCTTGGGGTTGTTCTCGGGCTGCAAGACGGTCCGGAGATTACGGGTGGAGAGAAGGCAGAGGCTTATGCAGCACGGATGGTCGAGCAAGGCCGTCTCAAGGGCAGTATCGATCAGATTGCGGGTGTAATCCACTTTGATTCGAGTGCCGTTGGCTCTGGGGCAACGTCCAAGCAGATCCGACAGTGGGACACGGGGGTGCAAGGGCTGGCAGAGGATGCTGAGAGGGTTGCTACTAGCATAACGGATGCGTTTCCGGTAAGTGGTTGCTTCTACGTTGTTTGCTGTGGAGGGCGCCATGTACTGATGTTTGATGGTATACAAGAATTTTGCAGTGGGGCAAATGGTACAATAGTTGAGACCAGGTGTATAGCTGCTTCTTACACGACGAAACGACAGATACCAAGTACATCATTGATTCAAGAATCTGAAAAGAGAAATATGTCATTGTGAAGGCAACAGCTGTAGTGTTCTTGTTGTGTTCAACAGGATGGTTCGGGCCGGGTGATCCGGGCCAGGTAACCTGGGAAACATGGAAGCCGCCGATGCAGCCAGAGAGCAGGATAAGGATGCCAGGGTGACATGACCACTTGCTGCATGGCTCCGGATGGCGAATTATAGTAGTCTTGCAGTGTATTAGTGGACGAGAAAGATCCGAGGCACAGCGTCTGCACGAGAGCAGGAGACAGCCTAGGCATGTCAGGGAGTAGCCAGCATGTTGTTGATATCCATGATATGATACCAATATCAGTGATTTAGCTGAAGACATGAGATTTTGAAGGCCGGCAGGCTGTCTTGGACATTAGTAAAAAACGCATTCTTATGGGGAAATTGCTGACGGGGAGTTGCTGACTCGGGCATGCATGACTAACTAACGTTAAAATGTCCTGGTAACCAAAAGGTGGCTGATGAGACAATAATATTCCTGAGGCAATTCTACATGCGGCATTAACCCCCATAGTATTGCCCATCTCCATCTCAATGACTGGTGAACACCTGATTCCTGACTAATTTACACCTCAGGCTCTTGTTGCTACAACTTACTGGAAGTTCCAGGAGGACAGAGAATCATGATGTACAGCTGACCTAAGGCATCCCTGTCATTGGACCGAACATGTGAAGGCCCGGCATGTGATCCGGGGTAGTCTAGCTTCATTAAGCGTATGTAGTTGAGGCAGTATGTGTGTTCAGGTACTCTCAGTCTACATTACAGTAGATCTCGCTGTCTCTCTCGAGTCTACACATAGTATCGCTCCTGTCTACTGGACATCTCCCATACATCCATCTTGTAGACAGTGGGGACGGCATGCTGCCGCGTTAATACTCCCCGAAGTTCGATCCAGCGGGCCAAGGACATCCGAGCCGTGGACTGGAAGGGCCGCTGCGCGTATCCAGCGCTGTCTCTTGTGGGGGAAGATCCGCTGGTAACAGTAATGTGCCTCGGCCGATACCCTCCACCGGCCGTCGGCTTTTGAAGCTGCTCTGCGCAAGCAAGTTTCCATCCTTGTATATTAGAACTGCGCTCCCCTCCCTTTCTTTCCATCCTCTCTCTCCTGTCTCATCCCATCCTCTCATCCCCTCATCCCTTTCATCATCTTGTCTATCCTCGTTCTTCTTCCGTCTCCTACACATAACCAACTCGCTCAACATGACGACCCCTAACAGAGTCATCGTCGTCGGTGGTGGATGTACGCTGAGAAGCCCCCCTCCCCTCCCCTGCCAGTTCCAATGTCTTGCCATTCTCAAATCCATCACAAGAACAATATGCTGACTATCTCCCTGGTGCGCTCCAGTGTCCGGCCTCAGCGCTGCCCACACGGTCTACCTCAACGGTGGTAATGTGCTCGTTCTCGACAAGCAGAGTACGCTCTTCCCTGTCCCTGGATACGATACACCCATACATTCCATGCGCGCACATACACCAGACAACACATTTCAGAACTAACTCTTTCCCAAGACTTCTTCGGTGGTAATTCCACCAAGGCTACCTCCGGAATCAACGGCGCCCTCACCCGCACACAGGTCGACCTCGGCATCCAGGACAGCGTCAAGACTTTCTACGATGATACCCTCAAATCCGCCAGAGACAAGGCTCGCCCAGAACTCATCAAGGTCCTGACCTACAAGTCCGCGGCCGCCGTCGAATGGCTGCAGGATGTCTTTAACCTCGACCTGACCCTGGTTTCTCGTCTCGGGTACGCTGCATGCCGCACTTTGCCGCACTCTCCCGCTTTGGCCCGCCTTTACTAACTCTATGTCCCACAGTGGTCACTCCCAGCCCCGAACTCACCGTGGCCACGATGCCAAGTTCCCCGGAATGGCTATCACATACGCCCTGATGCAGCGGTTGGAGGAGCTCGCTGAGACCGAGCCCCACCGTGTGCAAATCATCAAGAAGGCCCGCGTCACCGCCGTCAACAAGACCGGAAACGTCGCCACCGGTGTCACTTACGAGCTCAACGGGGAGTCTCACACTGCTGATGGCGTGGTTGTCCTGGCTACTGGCGGATATGCTGCCGACTTTACCGACAACTCCCTTCTGAAGCAGCACCGCCCCGATACCTGGAACCTCTCCAGTACTAACGGTACTCACGCAACTGGTGATGGCCAGAAGATGCTCATGGCCATCGGCGCCAACGGCATCGATATGGACAAGGTCCAGGTCCACCCCACTGGTCTGGTCGACCCCAAGGACCCCACGGCCAAGTTCAAGTTCCTTGCTGCTGAAGCCCTCCGTGGTGAAGGTGGTCTCCTCCTCAACTCCGACGGCCAGCGATTCTCCGATGAGCTGGGTCACCGTGACTACGTGTCCGGCCAGATGTGGAAGGAGAAGGAGAAGGGCAAGTGGCCCATTCGCCTTGTCCTCAACAGCAAGGCTTCCAAGGTCCTTGACTTCCACACTCGCCACTACTCCGGCCGTGGCTTGATGAAGAAGATGACCGGCAAGGAACTGGCCAAGGAGATTGGCTGTGGCGAGGCTGCTCTGAAGAAGACTTTCGACGAGTACAATGCTATTGCCGAGGGTAAGATCAAGGACCCTTGGGGCAAGAAGTTCTTCCACAACATGCCGTTTAGCATCGACGATGAATTCCACGTCTCGTTGATGGAGCCCGTCCTGCACTTCACCATGGGTGGTATCGAGATCAACGACCGCGCCCAGGTCCTCAACTCCGAGCACAAGCCCTTCGATGGCCTCTATGCCTGTGGTGAATTGGCAGGTGGTGTTCACGGTGCTAACCGTCTCGGTGGTTCCTCTCTGTTGGGCTGCGTCGTTTATGGCAGAGTCGCCGGTGACAGTGCCAGCCAGTACCTCTTCCAGAAGACTCTCTCTTCCGGTGGTAGCGCCCAGCAGCGCCTGAACCAGATCTCGCTGCACATCGACCCTTCGACTCCCGGTAAGATTTCTGTCGAGTGGAATGGTGCCGGTGCCGGCTCCAGCTCCACTCAGGTTGCTGCCCCCGTTGCTGTAGCAGCTTCGACTCCCGAGGCGGCACCAGCTGCCGCCGCGAAGCCTGGCAAGTTCACCATTCCTGAAACGGAGTACACTATGGAAGAGGTTGCTAAGCACAACAAAAAGGACGACATGTGGATCGTAGTTAAGGGCGTTGTGCTGGACGTGACTAACTTCGGCGATGAACATCCCGGTGGTGCCAACGCCTTGTACAACTTTATGGGCCGGGATGCCACTGAAGGTATGTGTTCTTCTCGCCTTCCTCTGGCGTTCATTTACTAATTAATCATAACAGAATTTGCAATGCTTCACGATGATGAGGTCATCCCCAAGTACGCACCAAATATCGTCATCGGCCGTGTCAAGGGCCAGACACCCAGCCTAGAGCTATGAGATCGTCCATGTTGCTTGCTTTAGAGAATCTTAAGAAATTTGCCAGAATCTCAAAAGAGACTTGCTTTATTTCTCCCCCGTTCTCCTTCCGTTTATTATTTAATTTCTCTCTTGCGTCCATGTTTTATTCCATACCCCCTTTTCATGTATGTTAATTTTGGGTACGCTGTGCATTGTATGCCTTACGGGATAAATTTAGGATATTCTGTCTTCTTCTTTCGCTTTCTAGAGTAGGTACATGGGATTTCTTTGGACTGGACAGTTCATTTGGAAGATCTGAACTACACTATTGGGAGTAAACATGTAGAAATATATGTTGTCTTTGTAAGATACCCATTCCATGTCATGCGTATATACAAGAGTGCATTATGCAAAGCCCCAACCTTTTGAACAACATGCCTGGCAGGCTTCCACTTCGCTAAAACAACCAACTTGGAGCCTAACAGCGAAACCCAAAAAGAAAATCAAGCCTGCATATGCTTCAAAATCATCTTCAATCTCCTAACAGCCGGTCCATCAACATTCCCGGCGACTTGTGGGCCATTCCGTCTTTCCGCTGCCTCAATCTCATCCCTGGCTGCCTCCAGCGTCGGCCGGAGATACCCCCATACCTCATCATGATAGCGTTCTTCAACGGCCACCCAGTCCGCCGCACCGGGGAGACTGGATAACACCGCGTCACGCAGGGAGGTCTCATCCAAGTGTGTTGTGGGGGGGATAGAGTCGAGGAAGGTTTCTATGTCTGGGACAAGACTGGTGGGGCCTAGACCTACTCTGTGCTGCTGCTGCTTTTGATGATGCTGGAGGGTACCTGGGGAGGATTGGTCAAATTGTCGACGGAAAGAGTCGATCATTTCGATCTCTGCTTGTGTGAGTGGTGCTGGAGGGAGGAGGTCTGTTTCTGCGTTCATGGTGTCTGGTTCGAAGGGGAATTCTGGGTCGAAGGTTTTATCGGTTAGGATGGATACCACCGCTGCTCCGTCCTTGATGTCAGTGGAGGGTGAAGTAGAGACTGTTTGCCAGACTGCGCTGAAATTGGATACATCGCTCGATTGATAGATGTCTGTGTTTTGGCTCTGTCTTTCCTTTCCTTTTCCCTTGTCTTGCTCTGTCTCCTGTGTGGTTCCTATACCCTGTCCATCACTGTATCCTTCTTGTAATTGAAATTCATCGAATCCACCCTCTTGATCGCCGTGGGTTGTACGGGAAGAGCGAAACGACTCCGATGCGAGCGGGCCCGCTTGATCCCGGACTGCTGAAGATGCAGAAGGCACAGAAGCGTATTGTCCGTGTGCCCCTGCTAACTGGAATGCCGACGGCCCCGATGATGATGCGAAAGACCCTCCCTTATTACCATTTGCATTCGCCAGAGTTTGGGATAGATCTGCCGCAGACGATGATCCCGGTGCAAAGAAGGCGTTTCTAGCGAGTCCACGCGCCGAGTTCTGGATGCGAGTAGCTAGAGAATCGGTAGCAGCGCCGGATGAACCATCCACTTTGCTATCCACCGAAGAAGCATCCGCTTTCCTGAAGGGTTGTTGCTCCGGTTTGTCATTGCCTGTGTTGGTCGTATCTCGGTTATTATCGTCCCCGGACATGGTGCATCCTGTTGTTGTCGGGAGAATAGTAGAACTTGGAACTTCAGGTGAAAACTATTGAGAACTAGATCAAGTAACTCAACTCAATTATTTGGATCTTATCGATTGATCTGGAGTCGGGTCGAAAGTAGAACGGGTTGAAGGAGATGGAATACCCCAGATAGCGTAGACGGCAAAAAGCATGTGAAGAAATTCCCCGCGTATTGATCAGCCCCGCAGCTCCGTGACACAGCTGGAATTAGATATCCGGAAAAGAAAAATGCCCGGATGAGACTTGAAGTGAATGCCAACTTGGAGGAGAGATCCATTGCAGAAGTCTGGTAGCCAAGGTTCATGACGGACGGCGTGGCGGGGTCTTCGGCGGATGAGGCTTTCCTAGGTATATTCTCACTGCAGGGAGTCTGCGGCCTTTTACATCTTCCAAGGTAAGATTAACAGCATCGGTTAGGTTCCCTATTGGAAACAAATGAAGACATTATCAAACAAGTATATATAGGCGGTCATAGCTCAGGACGATGATTCTCCTCGGTTATATATATATCCTGTTCTAACTACTCCCAATGAACTACAGATGTCCGGGAGATTGTCTTCTTTTTCAAAACTCGCTCTAGCACTCCCAGCCAGATTCCCTAATCATGAGTCGGAAAGACATGCAGATGAGCACCCCTGCTTGCCCTGCAGATGGCGTGTTTTGCGCACAGATCATTAAGCCCAACCTCTGTCCCGTAGCTCCCAGCTAGAAGGACTCCCACGCTCCTCTCGATGACGATGGTGCGTATTCTACTCCCTTGTTGGCTGATGGATCATGATACTGGGCAGCAGTGTCCACGTTCACCCTACAAGGGGCTCTGGGATCGCAGAGCCTGGTGTTTCAAATTGTGAAGGATTATGCTAGGCTTCCCGGGAAGTCTCTAGCTGCCCAAGTAGAGGGATTTCTTCAGATGGCGCCGGATAGCGTTGGACGGTCCAAGGATGGGGTGGCTATGCATAATGATGTTCAGGATTTGCGGGAAGTTCATCTATATAAATAATCAATGAGCTGTTGCAACACCGCAAGATGCCCCAGCGCGCGTGTATTCTCAGTCCGTATCAGCAACGTCCAAGTGGCAAATGACCGCAACGTAGGATGCAGACAGGCTGTTGTACCTGGAGGTGCGACCAACCAGCACGCCACAGGGAATTCCAGAGAGGATAGAAGGCTCTCAAGATTCAAGTCCTGTGTTAGGATGAGAGAGCGTAGGGTAGTTGGTGTGCAAGAGCATGCTGCGTTGTAGTGTTGTAGTGTTGTAGTGGTGTAGTGGTGATGTGCAGTTAACTAAGCTGCTAGTAACTCCCCACCAACAAAGACCGCCCAGTTCTCTTCTCCCCCTCCCCAAACCAAACCATCCTCTTCCTACAGGAACCTCTCCCACCACCGCGTCATATCTCGACCCTTGTGCCTCCCCCACACCTCATCGTTTCTTCCTTCGATCTTCTCTCCCATTTCTTCCTTTATACCCCCCTAGACCCGGTTCCCATTGCAAGGAACCGTCCCCGTCGCCCTTCCTCTCAGGCTGGCCTTCTTTTTAATGTCTTTTTCAGCCTGTCTGCCCTGCCTTGTCTGACGTCTTATCGTGGCCTTGTTTTCTTCTTCCTTCGCATCCCCCTTCAGTCCGCATCGCAGCCCAATCAAACGTCCTGGGCACTTCATTTTTTGCTCCCGCCGTTTCTGCGTTCGAAGAGCAATCGCCCCGTCGATCGGTCTTCATCTGCAGCTCGGAGCTAGTCGCCATTCCTCGCCGTCCACGTCCCTCTCCAACTTTCCCGGTATCGCCGAGAAGAAATCACAGCTACCGTTTAGCCTCTCGATCCAAAAACTCTACTGGGCCATTTCCTACCGCGTGTGAGTGAAGTTTATCAAGTGTCTAGACGCCCTTGCACGATAGAGCTCCTGAGAGTGGGGCTTGTTCTTCCCGGATTTCTCGTAAAAAAGCCTTCGGCCCTTATTTTCCAATCTACCCCAACCAAAGGGTGGTACGTGAAAAATGGTGGACAGGGATCCAAGTACACCTACCTGGAAGTTCACGCAGTAAGTTTCTCGTGGGAGATCTTGTTTCATACCTGTTTTCCATTTTTCGGGATCAAGTCCCTCAGCCCTCCCGGCATCGGGACCTTTTTTTTGTTCTCCTTCATTGCATTGTGTATCGACCTGATGATGATATCTGCAATCCCGTATCAGCGGGAGCCGGATGGCTCCCGCCTGAACGCCAACTTGTTTTGAGAGACATCACTAACCGAAACAGATGCTTTGGTGATAAGGGGGATGTGGAAGATATAACAGAAGGTACGGTGATTTCATTTAGCTGCCGCACGAGGCCCTTGCAATCCGTGATGGCATATATCTAGCATAAGGGTGTCGCCTGATCATTGATTGACTATTGACTGACCATTTGTGCTCGCCGTAGCGGATATCATCTCTACTGTCGAATTCGACCATACCGGTAACTACCTAGCTACGGGAGACAAGGGTGGACGAGTTGTGTTGTTCGAGAGAAACGAAACGGTATATCCAAATATCCTCTGCCGCCGGAAGGGCACATATTTCTGACATACTTTCTTCCAGAAAAAAACCTGCGAATACAAATTCCACACCGAGTTCCAATCACACGAGCCAGAATTCGACTATCTAAAATCTCTAGAGATCGAAGAGAAAATCAATAAGATTAAATGGTGCCGACGACAGAATGCATCCCATTTCCTCCTTTCGACAAACGACAAGACGATAAAACTATGGAAGGTCTTCGATAAGTCCCTAAAGGTGGTTGCAGAAAACAACCTGTCCAACGAACTCACTCCCGCGAGCGTTGTCGGTGGCGGGGCGCCTCGCGCCCCCCGGTTGACCTTCAAGGATCCCTCGATGCTGAAACTTCCGAGGATGACACACCATGATACAGTTGTTGCAGCAGTCCCTCGAAGAACCTATGCGAACGCACATGCCTATCATATCAACAGTATATCTGTGAACAGTGACGGAGAGACGTTTATCAGCAGTGATGACTTGCGTATCAACCTATGGAACCTTAACATTCAAGATCAGAGCTTCAACATCGTTGACATCAAACCTGCAAACATGGAAGAGCTGACCGAAGTGATTACGGCCGCGGAATTTCACCCGACCAGCTGTAACTGGTTCATGTATGCCAGTTCAAAAGGAACCATCAAACTTGCGGACATGAGGCAGCGCGCCTTATGTGATGAACACCAAAAACGTAAGTCTTCGGGTCCTATTCTTTTTTGGCCATTGATTTTTATGACTAACAATCCTTTTTCCGCGTCTCTAGTCTTCGAGCAAGAAGAAGATGCCGCCTCCCGCTCATTCTTTTCCGAAATAATCTCATCCATTTCAGACGTACGCTTCTCACATGATGGCCGGTATATTGTTTCGCGTGACTACCTTACTGTTAAGATTTGGGACGTAAATATGGAAAGACAGCCGGTAAAGACGATTCCTATCCATGAGCATCTACGACCCCGCCTGTGCGATACCTACGAGAATGATAGTATCTTTGATAAATTTGAGGTGGTCTTCTCGGGCGATGCACAGAATGTGATGACTGGAAGTTACAACAACAATTTCATGATCTACCCTACCGACCAGGATAAGGAGACAGAGATTGTCCTGCAGGCAGACAAATCCGCGTTCAAGGCCAAGAAGGTTGGTGTGCCAACGCCAATGAACAAGGGAGCCAACGGGAAGAAGAGCGGCTCAGGTAGCCCTGCCGGTCCTGGTAGTCGGATGAAGAAGGAAACCGACGCAGATCAGATCGATTTCAACAAGAAGATCTTGCACATGAGCTGGCATCCTTACGAAGACAGCATTGCTATTGCTGCCACGAACAATGTGAGTTACAACAATCCCGCCCGAGCCTATTTTCAGTCTTTTCTGCTAACCTTATCAGCTGTTCGTCTTCTCCGCATTGTAATGCCATGAGTATAGTCGGTGATCTAGCTGAAGACCGGCGCATGTCCCGAGCACGGTGCGAGGTGGAGGAGAGGAGCGTAGCAACAACAGCTGCAGATTTCAAAATTCAAAGCCAGTTTCGAGTTGAGGCCATTTTCTGGAGTTTGGTCGTACGAGTCCCTTGATCCCATACTTTTCGCATTTCCTTCACCTCCCTCCCAACCCACCTTCGGTCCGATACTATTTAGAGCCATTTCTTTTTTGATTTATTTATATGGGGTTCTTGGGCATCTTCGAGGCGTCGTGATGGGGAGTCCGATAGAGTCATGCGAGAGGTTTTGCCCATTTCGTGTGACAGAATGTCCCTTCTGCTTTTCCACTACCAGCAAATCTGCGCATTCTACGATGAGGAAGGAAGGCTTTATCGTGCATGTCCGTTTACATTCCATTCCAGAAGGGGCTTCTCTTTTGTCGCTCTGCAGCGAGAGCTTGGTTCCTACTGGCCTACTGAAACCCCGTTGTAGGCATTCTGTTTAGCGTTACTTAAACTAGGAGTAGATACACACAGAGTAATGAATCGATGAAGGACAAGCAAGGGTGCTCGCTATTCTAGGTTTCTTCCGTAGCATTGTGATTCTTGTTTCAGCGTGGCATCAATTCCAACTCGACATTAGATCACGTGATGACGATCTCGGTGCCGAGGATGCCGAGTTTTTGCCCTTGCCGCAGCAGCTAATCACAGCGCGCACGGCTGTCAGCGGGGGAGGGCGCGGAAGAATGATAATCCCAGTCCCACGGATCTAGTCCCGGCACGGCTTAGCGCGGCGGTAAGGTGACCATTGGAATGATCCGCGCAAACCATCGCATCGTCCCCAGCAATGTATGAATTTACAAGAATGGTCATTCATTCGTGAGGCTGACCCTGCACTGTCTGCTCCAGCTAGCCCTGGCATCATTCCATCATTTCTGCTGAGAAATCATCGTCTTAGATGACTTCCTTTTCTCTTCGTATCTAGAGCAACTCTCGCGTGCAAGAGTGATGTTCCTGCCAAGCACCTTTTGAAGAAAAAGGGCACCCCGGACACTGCGTGGGAGATACTCTCAGTATTTCTGCTTTGGTTTTCGATATTCTACCATCCATAGGCCATTCTCGTCCGATATCTTTCCATCGCCTACGACCGCAGTCGTAGGTAGCTAATCTGGTTGCTCGCTTGAAACTACTACTCGCGTTCCTTCGTTGTGGCTGGCAAATCGTCACTGTTGGAAATGGAACGGTTAAACCAGCAACCTCCAAGGCCCCTGGGATCTTTTGGGTATGTCATTCATCTTCTGTTCTTTACCCAGTCGTGTTCCCAAGATTAGCAGAATAAAAATAATTATGCTGCTTGACTGACTGATTTTCTTTCGACTTCCCAGGCAAAATCCTCCACCGCAGCAAGGTCCGTCATCGCAGCCTGCAGGGCCGGTCCTGCCACCTCCCGCTGGTTAGAAATACACCCCTTGTACTCCGTTCTTAAGTTCTATTTTATGAGATGTGTAATACAACTCCATGACGCGTATCCGCTGACCTTGGTTCGCTCTCGCTTCAGGTCCCTATCACCCAGCAGGCCAGCAAGCCGGCCACTCCCTCCCTGGGCTGGCGGAATTGAGCCAAGCCTCACACCAACCTTCTGCGTACCATCCATCCGCTTCTTCTCATAATGCTGGACACCCGCTTCCCGGTATCGGACAGGCGATGCAGCATCGTTCCCCCCAGTCCATCAACCGAGAGCGTGAAAGGGACTCGAGAGAGCGTGAGTTGATCGAAAGACAGCGGCAACAGGAGGAGATGGTACACAGAGAACGTGAGCAGCGTGAACGCGAACGAGAACAGATAGAGCGGCAACAGTTGGAACGCCAGCGGGAACAGCAACATCATCCCGTTCAAAGCCATACGGGATCGCTTCCGCTGCACCAGCCCGTGGCATCCAAAGTTCCAAACTCCATCCATGGCCCGAACGGACTGCTCTCAAACCTCAGTGCTAACCCTCCCAATGGCCCTCAAAACACAGCCCAATCTTCTGGCGGTCCCGGAGGAATTTACGGGGCTCAGATCCCTCCTGGGGAAAGTACTCGAGCATATATGCAGCACTCTGCAGGACCTCCAGGGCAGCCTATGCTTGGATACAGTACTTCGGGACCACAAATTCCTGGCAATGTTGCGGCCCTTACACAGGGCCAGCAGCCCATTTTGAACGTAAGTCTACTCTTTTTACTGATTTCCCGCCTTTTGTCGTTCATTGCATGCAAGATGGCACTCCCGTGCCGCTGTGATTTACCACGCTAACACTCACTCGAACAGGATGCACTCAGCTACTTAGACCAAGTAAAGGTTCGATTTGTCGACCAGCCGGACGTCTATAATAGGTTCCTTGATATTATGAAGGACTTTAAGAGCCAAGCGTAAGGATCCTATTTCGAACAATCCACGACACCTTCTGACTCTCAGTAGCATTGATACGCCTGGTGTGATCCAACGCGTCTCGACTTTGTTTAATGGTCACCCTGCTCTCATTCAAGGCTTCAATACATTCTTGCCCCCAGGCTATCGTATTGAATGTGGAACCGAAGACAACCCCGATGCCATCCGCGTGACTACCCCTTCGGGCACCAACACCCTCAACATGGCTCGCGCGCGTCATCCAATGGATACGGCAGCCGATATGGGACCCTCTAGCGGTCTTGCTCCTCATCGCACGGATTATTTTGACCAGTCGCGGCCTGGATGGCAGCAGCCTCAACAACAACCGACCGGTATTGCCCGTTCTTATTCACCTGGATCTCGTACGATGGGGCCGGGCATCTATGGGCAGCAAGGAGGACAAGCTCAGGCCCAAGACCACCACTATGAATACCCAGGTCACCAGGAACAACAAGCTGCGGCTAATGCAGTAGCCATGGCACATCAACAAGATCAACGCGGTGTCTCGCAGCTTCAGGGTGCTGTCTCTGCGGCGTCAGCTGGCATTGGACGAGCGTCTCTGTTGCAAGCTTCGCCAGCGCCTGGGCAAGGACCTAGTTTAAATCAGCCCATGAACAGTTTAGCTGGTGTTGGATCTGGTGTGCTTCAGGGTTCACAGGTCGACTTGTCTAAGCGTGGGCCCGTTGAGTTTAATCATGCAATCAGCTATGTGAACAAAATAAAGGTTAGGGAGTTGCCCCGATACTTGAAGCATGATGACGAAATAAGCCAAGAGTACTGACCATAACTCCTCTTTCCCCCAGAATCGATTCGCGAGCGCCCCTGAGATCTATAAACAGTTCCTGGAAATTTTACAAACCTACCAACGCGAGTCCAAACCCATCCAGGATGTTTATGCACAGGTTACCCAACTTTTCAATACCGCGCCGGACCTTCTGGAAGACTTCAAGCAATTTTTGCCAGAGTCAGCAGCGCATGCGAAGCAACAAGCAGCAGCAGCTCGTCAGGCCGAAGAAGCGGCTCCACTAAGCAACGTGCGTGGAGAGCCTGGTTACTCGAGCAGCGCCCTCGCCTCGCAAACTCCAAGCCGTGATATGAAAATGCCTCCGCTGGGTCATTTTAATGTCAAGGATTCGGCAAAGGACAATAAGAAACGTCGCAGTGGGCCCGGTGCTCCGTCAGCTCTGGGTTCTTCCGTATCCGCATCTGCCGCAGCCACAGAAGCTGTCCGGGTAGCCGATTCTCAGGGTGTGCGAGTTACGTCCTTGCAGAATGGAAATGCGAATAAGGTAAGCCAATTTCAGTTTAACAACTCTTGCCATTTTCAGCCACGATTTAAGAGACAGCTTAGTAGGGGTCTCTTTCGACTCTCGAAAGGTATTGCTTTGGACAACTGAAGCTCTCACCCCGGCTATTACATCACATAACAGTTATTTATTTTCTTATATCCTCAGGATGGAAAAGCTAACCGGATCAATTCAGAAAGCCAAAGTTCATCATGTGAAGCCAACCTCAGCGGAGGCTCCTGTGGTCTCGCCCACACTTGTCCCTGCTCTTCCGGAGCCCATTCAGCCAACCTTTTCATTGACGCCTTCACAAGAAGAATTTGCTTTCTTTGATCGTGTCAAGAAATTCATTGGAAATAAGCAGACATTTACCGAATTCCTCAAACTTTGCAACCTCTACTCGACCGATCTAATTGACAGAAATGTCCTCGTAAAGAGAGCCGCCGGATACATTGGTTCTAATCCGGAACTTATGAATTGGTTCAAACGGTTCATGCATGTCGAAGACATCGAAGACAAGGTCATCGACGTGAAAGCGAAGCCGGAGTTGGGCGTTGTCAATCTTTCTCACTGTCGCTCCCTTGGCCCTAGCTATCGTCTCCTGCCAAAACGTGAACGACAGAAGCCATGCAGCGGCCGTGACCAGCTCTGCTATGCTGTTCTGAATGATTCGTGGGCTTCTCATCCAACCTGGGAATCTGAAGATTCTGGTTTCGTTGCTCATAAGAAGAACCAGTATGAAGATGCATTGCATCGTATTGAGGAGGACCGACATGATTATGATCATCACATCGAGGCTTGCACGCGTACAATACAGCTGATTGAGCCCATCGTTCAGCAATTCCTTGTTATGTCCGAAGCAGAGCGGGCTGCTTTCAAGCTCCCTCCCGGCCTTGGGGGTCAGAGCGAATCGATCTACCAGCGCGTCATCAAGAAGATCTATGATCGTCAGCGGGGCGAAAAGATTATCAGGGAGATGTTTGAAAGACCGTGTCACGTTCTTCCCATTGTGTTGTTCCGCTTGAAGCAGAAATGCGAGGAGTGGAAGGCTAGCCAGGTGAGTGCTCCTAAATGACTCAACCTTCTCTCGATCTTTCCTCGTGAGGGTTATTTACGTTGGCTAATGTTCCATGTTCAGCGTGAGTGGGATAAGGTTTGGCGTGAGCAAACGCAGAAGGCCTACTGGCGCAGCCTTGATCACCAGGCTATTGCGAACAGAGCAGTTGAAAAGAAGCTCTTTGTGGCGAAACATCTTCAGCATGAGATCCTGGCTAAATTCGAAGAAGCCAAAAACATTAGGAAGAGTGGTTTCCAGGTTCCCAAGCATCAGTTTGAATTTACCTTTGACGACCCGGCGGTTGTTCTCGATGCGACCCACCTGTTACTAACATTCATCGACCGGAATTCAGCTGGATTCGGGGCTGACCCGCAGAAAGTCATGAATTTTATCAAGGACTTTGTCCCAATCTTCTTCGGGATGGATCGTGAGACGTTCCATACGTATATGAATGAGCTGTCCAATGCAAGCTCATCGGAAGAGGCCGACGAGGAAACCCCGGTTCCGGATGACGACTCGACTACCCAAAGCCGAAGAAAGGCAAACGGCAAAAGAATAGATCTTCTCCGCGGCATTCTAGAGCGCGGTGCCGAGAAGGCGAATGGAACTGGTAAGGAAAGTAGCCGCCCCGGTACCCGTGCTGGCACCCCGGATGCCCTCCTTGTCCCGTCTACTCCCATTCCTGATCCTACCGTGGCGTTCGACGTGGCAGGGTTGAAGTGGATGGAACACCCTGATCAGGGCAACTTCAACCTACAGCGGGAGTATACGCTCAATGAATCCTACGACAAGAAGGTTCACCACCTGTACGCCAATCTGACGATCTACTGCTTTTTCCGCACTTTTGAGATTCTGTATTCGCGGTTGCTACGCGTCAAGCTGAACGAAAGCATTGCTCATGAGGTCATACGACGTGCTCTCCTCAACAAGCCTGCGCGGGAACTCGGACTCCTGGACAAGCTCCCGACAGACTTGCTATACAACTGCGATCCTAAAGCGGAACTGTACCCACAGGTCGTGCGGATGTGCGAGGAGGTTATCAAGGGTGACTTGGAAGCTTCGCATCTGGAGGAGGCCCTTCGCAGATATTGGCTACGAAGCGGCTATCAATTGTACAATCTGGATAAGATGTTCACTGGAATCTCCAAGTTCGCGGGAGGCATCTTCAACGGTGACTCGAAGGACAGGAGCGCCGACATCATGAATCTATTCTTCAAGGAACGGGACCGGGAGCAGACCACTCACAACCAGGAAATCCAATATCGCAAGCAGGTTGAGAGGCTGGTCAAGGATGGCGATATTTACCGAATTTCATTTGTAAGTTTCGTTTGTTACCTTTGGAAAGAGTGGTAGGGAGGTGGTAGTCTATTGAGCTAACGCTCCCTTGCTTGCAGAGTCCTAGCACGCAAAAGACGACCATTCAGATGTTGACTCCCGAGGACAGCACGCTTGAAAACGAGGAACTGAGCCAGGAAGCACGTTGGTCTTACTACGTATCGGCCTACACGATGCGTGATCCCACGGAGGGGGTGCCCTTCTCACGGATGCGAATGCCATTCCTGAAGAGAAACCTGCCACCCAAGGTGGATCAGGATGAGGAGTATAACCGCTTCTACCGTCCGCTAGTGTACCATGACGGCCTTGTTATCCGGATCTGCGCCAACAGCTATCATATTCTGTACGAGCCTGGAAGCTACGACTGGTGGTGGCGTCCCCCGGCCCCACGCGAGGAGTCAGCAGAGGAGCTAGCTAAGGAGGAAGCGGCGATTAAGGAGAGACGGCGCGACCGGTTTATGGAGAAGTTTGTCAACAACCCCAGCTGGGCACAAGGGCTGAGCAAGGACGAGGTGGACGAATCGAATCAGCGGTTCCGCTCGTGGGTCAAGGGTCCGGAAGCGGGGAGCGCGGGAGCGGGCGACGCTGCGGAGAACAAAACGGCTCCTGGTAACGATGAAACGGAGGATACGGAAATGGCCGAGGCTGAGACGGCGGCATAGACGCGCCCGGGAACGATTTGGGATGTACTTTTATTCGGTTCGGTCGGGATGGCACCACAGCTGTCTGACTGATCGGCTGGCTGGCGTGTGATAGACTGCATGAGACACTTTGATATGGTTTTATTCCTTTCTATTGTTTCTATTTGCGTTGCAAGGTTGATGTGCTTGCCTCGGGGTCATCCAACCCGATTCCACGGGTTGGATTGATGCGCCGAGGCTGAGTGACAGGCGCGAGGGTTCATGCTGTTATCTTTTTCTTTCATTTCTCTGTTTAATGTATTGTGACTATCTGTACTCTAGGGATGAATGGCCTGATTCAACCACTTAGTTACACTCCGTACACACCGCGCATTCCTCGGCTGACACGGAGAGCGCAGTCGATACTCCGTTATGCGGATCAGACAGCTCTCCGCATCAAGCATTATCCTGCCATCATATCATAATAATCATAACCTCACAAGAGCAAAAGCTCCATGTGTCCGAACGGCATAGCCGACACAACCGGTGGATGTCCCGAGACAATTCCGGCGTGATGTCAAGTTGGCTCTACACTTAGTCATCACTGCGAGGGCGAAGAGGCGACAGAATGGCATGATTCAATTAATTATTGACTAGAGAGCAAGATACGATGCACTTACTCTGTCAGGCTACGGGTTAGGAGTAATGAATAAACAACATCCATCGGCTGTTGCTGCGGTTCCTGTGCCGTTGCGTTGACTGTGGAGATCGCGATTCTTGCGGGGTTTGGAGGCGTTCCTTTTCCCCTGCTGCGTCCAGTCTACTCTATTTCTAATTATTTCGCTTCTCTCTCCTTTCTTTTTTCTTCTTCTTAACTCTCCACTCCTTCTCCCATCCAGTCTCTCCCTCCCTCTCTGTCTCTGTCCCTATCCGGTCTCTTCCATCATGTCTGCCTCTGCTCTCCTCAAGAGCCGTGTCAGACGGCCATCCTACCTTAGCAAGTTGGCTAAGGCTGAAGACCTGATCGGTCTTTTCCCCAATGGCTCCTACGTCGGTTGGTCCGGCTTCACCGGTGTTGGCTATCCCAAGTATGTCTCTGCTCTTTTTCCCGGCTTCTGTTTCGTATCCTGCTGATCCGCCGCCCTACAGGAAAGTTCCCGCGGCCATTGCCGACCATGTCGAGAAGAACAACCTCCAAGGGAAGCTGAAGTATCATCTCTTCGTCGGTGCCTCGTCCGGTGCTGAGACTGAAGGCCGGTGGGCATCCCTGAACATGATCGAGCGCCGTAGTCCGCACCAGGTTGGCAAGGAGATCGCCCGCGGCATCAACAACGGCAATATCAACTTTTTCGACAAGCATCTGAGCATGTTCCCCTCGGATCTGGTTTATGTAAGTTGGAGTTACCCTTCCATCCTAGAAATTCACGATTCCAAGTATTCGGGAAGCAATTACTAATGTTGCTCTTCCGTAGGGCTGGTATACTAAGGACAAGCCCGGCAACAAGCTCGATGTCGCCGTCATTGAGGCCACCGCCATCACCGAGGAGGGCGGAATCGTTCCCGGTGCATCCGTTGGTGCGTCTCCTGAACTCGTCCAGATGGCGGATAAGGTCATCATCGAGGTCAACACTGCCACTCCGTCGTTTGAGGGTCTGCATGATATCGTTCTGTCCGACCTTCCTCCGGGCCGCAAGCCCTTTATGGTTATGAACCCCGAGGATCGTATCGGAAAGCACTACATCCCCGTGGATCCAGAGAAGGTTGTCGCCATTGTCGAATCTGATTACGCCGACCGGACGCCACCAAACTCGCCGGAGGATGAGACCTCCCAGGCCATTGCCAACAACCTCATTGAGTTCTTGGAGCACGAAGTCAACCACGGCCGCCTGCCGAAGAACCTCCTGCCCATCCAGTCTGGTATCGGAAACATCGCCAACGCTGTCGTGGGAGGTCTGAGCAAGGCTGGTGATAAGTTCCAGAATCTCAAGGTGTGGACCGAGGTCTTGCAGGATACTTTCCTGGATTTCTTCGACAGCGGTAACCTCGATTTTGCCACGGCCACTTCTATCAGGCTCTCGCCTGAAGGGTTCAAGCGCTTCTACGACAACTGGGACCAGTATGCTCCCAAGCTTCTGCTGCGTTCCCAGTTGGTCTCCAACTCCCCCGAGATCATCCGTCGGCTGGGCTGCATCGGTATGAATACCCCTGTCGAGGTTGACATCTACGCCCATGCCAACAGCACCTGTGTGATGGGCTCGCGCATGCTGAACGGTCTGGGTGGATCTGCCGATTTCCTGCGTAACTCCAAGTACAGTATTATGCACACTCCCAGCTCGCGGCCCAGCAAGACCGACCCGACTGGTCTGTCTTGTGTTGTGCCGTTCTGCAGTCACATTGACCAGACAGAGCACGATCTGGATGTTATTGTTACTGAGCAGGCATGTTCCCCCCCTTTTCTTTTCTTTTCTTTTCTTTTTTTTTTTTTGGAGTACGAAGTCTAACAATGTATAGGGTCTGGCCGATGTCCGTGGTCTCGCTCCCCGCCAGCGGGCCCGTGTGATCATCAACAAATGCGCGCACCCCGAGTACAAGCCCATCCTGACGGACTACCTGGACCGGGCTGAGTTCGAGTGCCTGAAGAAGGGTATGGGCCACGAGCCGCACCTGCTCTTCAACGCGTTCAAGATGCACAAGAACCTGGCTGAGAAGGGAACGATGAAGATCGACTCTTGGGAGTAGATGTTTTTTTCTTTTTTCTTTTTCGATCGTTTTTGTGTAAATGTACTTGCACAGGATCTTAGTTCATTCGGTGTACGGTTGGCGAGTACTGCATGGGTGTTTTTGATTTGAGAAATTCATATGCTCCGGGCAACTGTATTTTAGGTTCTTGTACATACTAGAATGATGTTTATTGTATTGATTGATCGCTGGATAAAAGAATAAAATGTATACAGATGCTAGAAGCAAGGTATAATAGTATAGCATATATCAACAACTCCTCAGAGCCCAGCCCGTAGTAAATAAAAGAACAACCGAATAAAAGAAGTATGGAATAAGCATATCATCATGTCGTACGACCTGATCAGACGGAAGTAAAAAAGAACGAGGTCCAGTCAGGATCTAAATCCAGAACCCGACTGGATCAGTTGCTGGGAGGACGATAGCTGCCGCCGAAGATACTATCAGAGGAGTGTCAGTGCCATTCATATGATATGGATATCAAGTATCCTGACGGGATATACATACCGGTTCCAGAGAAAAGCAACCAGGCCAGACTGAGGAGTTTCATCGCGCTTGGCCCAGCCGTGGTCGACGTTGTAGTGCTTGACGTCTTGGAGACCGGCGAACATGCCACGTCCTTGGGTGGGGGCCTGTGGTGTAGCTTGTTAGCATATGCAAAGAAGAAAGAGAGAAAAAAAAAAAAAAAAAAGAAAGAAAGAAAGAAAAGAAGACATACGCGATGTGGCTTGGGATCCTTGATCCATAGATCTGCGCCGAACTCGTTCTGGGCGTGTGCGGCTCTGGGGGCTTCCTTGGCCATTGTGATGTATATGGGTAGTCTATAGATGGATGATAGAATGGCAGCAGATGCAATTAAGCAACGGTGATGATGATAATGATGATGATGAGAATACCTCAGCAGCATGGCAAACATAGCCCTATATATACACCAAGAGCAGACAGACCAACATGGCGCCAGATGTCCTCAGGCCACTGACGGAACGAGGTTGAAGCGATTCATGACGAGGGAAACAAGGTCACCTCACAGGCATCGCGATGAAGCCGAAGTCACGATGACATGCCACGGCCTTGTGACCACCAATCGACGATATAGAGATATCCCCAGGGGGAAGACATATCGAACTATAGCGAAGTCTAATCGGCGCGGGCCGTGCAAAGACAGTCGGTGGTGTGATGCTGCACTCCGGCTGCTTCCAATGCTTCCAATGCTACCGATGGACAACCACAAGATCACAAGTCCTTCTCTGCCGGAACATCCCGTGCCTGGTCGGATCATGATGGTGCTTTGCTTCCATTATTATTGTGGTTGGGGTTTCTCTCCTTCCTCTTCCGCTCCGCTCCGCCATCATCTTCATCGCATTCTCTTTCCCATCAACAGTTGACTCGAACGGATTATGAAAGTACAGGTTATGCCTTGGTCTCTGCTGTTTCTTTTGCCGCTACCCGAGGCCTACATAGCTCAGTCCTCGTCATTCATTTTCACTTGTTTCCTCGTCCCTCTCACCTTTGTTCTCTCTTTCCGTGCCTCCTGTTCCATGGCTGGTTGCCATGTAGGGAGAGACATGCGAAAGACGGCAATTTTAGCCAACACATCTTGATGGCTGGGAATACTGTCCCTGGCGTACTATGTTCCAGGTTCCAGCATGCCATCCCGCCCTTTCTCCCTCTCCCTCGTCTCCCTCCTTATGTCCACACCCACGCCCCTCTCCCAGAAGAACAGAAAAGAAATCCACACAGCTCCGATACTTGAACACTCCGCTTCTCGATAATCTTGCCGACTTCCCGCATGGCCTGAGGCCCTCTCCCCAACATGGGTATCATCGTCGTAACCAAAGCTGCCGTTGAACAGGCGTCTCGCACCGTTTGAACCCTTGCTTGAAGAAATCATGGCATTACCGACTGGCCGGTACTTCACTTCACTCTGAATCCATTTTTGCGACCAGAACGGTGGCTGAGCTAGCAGGACTCGGATCCAGGCCGCACGGTTCACGACCAGAAGCTGAAGTATCCATTTGTTCCCAGGTGAGTATGAGACCTATCATACCAGGATCGGTGTACGCCGTGGAAAATAAAGTCTTCGATGCCCGTTCCAACAGACCAACGGTCTTCAGGATCTAGACGTGTCTGCTCCGTACTCGTCCTTGGCCAGGTGGTGGGGGGATGAGATGAAACCTATTATTAGGACGGGGTCGATGGACTCAGTCTGTAACAGCCCCGTAGTCTGATTGCAGTGCGATGGCGGTCCCAGATGTGTACCGGATGTTCTGGCCGTACCGTGTAGGACGTAATTCCGGTACATAACTGTATCCATACTCGGTTCTGTACCATACCGTACGACACTATGCTCTTCCGGGAATGTGGATGCCGTGGTGTGTCTCAAAGTCTCACCCAATCCCAATGTCGTTCCTGAGCCAGCCCGACCGTCGGGCTGTGATGGCGCAGCCGCTAAGCCCGGAACGGACAAGTGCACCAGCTGTCCGACCGCAGATTGGGCACGCAGCCCTAATTAATCTCATCGATCCCAGGGCTCATTTGCCGTGCATCACGGGTCAGGGGGGCTTTCTTATTCTTTCGCTGTTCTTCTCTTCTCTCGTCCTCTTCTCCTCTCCTGTCCGTCCCTGCTACCTCCACCTCTGCATATATACAAAAGGTCGTCGGGCCTGCTCCCTTCCTTTTCATCCGCATCTCACTCTCGTTGACCACCGCTTTCACTCTTTTAGCGGGCATTCTTTCTCCTTCGTTCTCATTCTTCGTTCACGTTCCCAAGCAGTAACCAAAAAAAGGGGGAGACTCCCGTCCGGATCCCTCCTCGCCAACATGAAGGCCGCACTTTTCACCGCTGTGGCGGCTCTCGTGGGCTCTGCCCTCGCCGACGGTTCTCATCATGTCCGCCGTCACGGCCATGATGCCATGCATCGCCGCCGTGCTGTCGAGGCCGGTTCTGGTGTGAGCAACTCCACCTGCGGCTGCACCACCACTACCATCACTTACTACGGCGCTCCAACTAGTGGGTATCCTGATTCAGTGCTAGACATGCGGTCAACTAATGCGAATCTTGATAGCCATCACCCAGCCTGCCCCTGTGACGTCGCAGACTGCCGTTACTTCGCAGACTACCACCACCATCCTGTCGACCAGCTACAGCACGGTGACTGTTCACGTCGTTCCCAGCTCCAGCTCTGTTGCCGCTGTGCCTGAGTCCGTCGTTCCCAGCTCCAGCTCTGTTGCCGCTGTGCCTGAGTCCGTTGCTCCCAGCTCCAGCTCCAGCTCCGCGCCCGCTGCTCCTCCTGCTCCTGAGACGTCTGTTGCTCCTCTGCCCACCCCCAGCATCACCACCTTCCCCACCCCCGGTACCTACACGATCCCTGCGACTACCTTGACCGTCACCTCCGAGACTACCGTGTGCGGAGCCACTACCAGCCAGGTTCCCAGCGGCACCCATACCGTCGGCGGTGTCACTACTGTTGTCGAGACCTCCACTACCGTTATCTGCCCGTATGCCACCGTCAAGCCCTCGGGCAGCACTGTGACCAGTGTCATTGAGACCACCACCTACGTCTGTCCCTCTGCTGGTACCTACACCATCGCTCCTATCACTACGTATGTTCCGACCAGCACTGTCATTGTCTACCCGACCCCGGCCAGCTTCACTCCTGGCACCTACACCCAGCCTGAGCAGACCGTGACCGTCACCGAGACCTCGTACACCTATATCTGCCCCTTCAGCACCGGTCTCGCCAGCACCTCTGCTCCTGCTCCGGCTACTTCCGCACCTGCCACTTCTGCTCCTGTCCCGGCTACTTCCGCTCCTGCCACTTCTGCTCCTGCCCCTGCCAGCTCCGCACCTGCCACTTCTGCTCCTGCCCCTGCCAGCTCCGCACCTGCCACTTCTGCCCCTGCTCCATCCTCCGCCCCCGCGGAAACCAGCAGTGCCGCCCCCTCTTCTAGCGCTCCTGTTTCCTCTTCCAGCGCACCCGCTCCTTCCAGCACTGGCGGTATCATCGGCGGCAGCAAGTTTGCTGTAACCTACTCCCCTTACACCAGCCAGGGTGGCTGCAAGGCCAAGTCCGACGTTCTGGCTGATATTGCCGTCGCCAAGCAGAAGGGTTTCAACACCATCCGTATCTACTCCACCGACTGCAGTGGTCTTGAGTTTGTCGGTGAGGCCGCCAAGCAGAACGGCCTGAAGTTGATCCTGGGTGTCTTTATCTCCAGCAGCGGCATCTCCCAAGCACAGGAGCAGGTTAGCGCCATTGCTTCCTGGGCCCAGTGGGAACTAGTTAGCTTCATCGTTATCGGTAACGAAGCCATCCAGAACGGCTACGTCTCTGCCGGCGATCTCGCCGGTTTCATCTCCTCTGCAAAGGCATCCCTCCAGAAGGCCGGCTACAGCGGAGAAGTTACCACCACCGAGCCCCTGGACATCTGGCAGGAGTATGGCTCCACTCTCTGCGGTGCTGTTGACGTCGTCGGTGCCAACCTTCATCCCTTCTTTAACGCCAAGGTTACTCCCTCCCAAGCCGGAGAGTTCGTCAAGTCTGAGCTTGAGATCCTCGCCGGTATCTGCCCTGGCAAGGAGACCTACAACCTCGAGACCGGCTGGCCCAACGCCGGTAATGCCAATGGTGACGCTGTCCCCGGTGTCGCTGAGCAACGTACTGCCCTTCAGGCTATTGTTGAGTCCAGCGGTGGCAAGTCCGTCTTCTTCTCCTATGCGGATGACCTCTGGAAGGCTCCGGGCGAGTTCGATGTTGAGCAGCACTGGGGCTGCATTGACGCCTTTTAGACAATCTGCACGAAAATCCTTTTTGTTTATCTCTTAGGCATGTACTCGTAACTTGGAAATTATTTCTGTCCTTTGAACTTCTTTTTCTATATATGCCTGCTCCCGTTGCCAGTCCTGGTATGTGAGTGACCGCAGTTTTGACTGTTACTTGAATTTTCCTACCTTTCTTCACGTTGATATAGTAGATATAATTTCCTTTTTTTTTTTTTCTTTTCTCGGTGTTATTATGTGTATGCTGTCTATAGTAACTGGAGTGCTCATTATGCAGAACTTGTGTCCGTTTACCGTAAATCTTGACTGACATTCCAAGTCGGTAATCCAGCTGCCAGATGCTGGAGTGATAGTACAGAGTATTGGGCCGTGCCATCGTAGATTGTAAAAGTGATGCGAAATATCATTCCCCTAATCTTCGTCTCCCTTGGAAATAAATATCGTACTCCTGAAGGATGCCATTACTTGAGACTTTCCATCGAAAATATTCTGTCACTTGCAGAATTCTGCTGCGGGTTCCACACATATATCTCGCAAGATGACTGACAACGGAGCGACATAATACTAGTAGGAAATGAACGTTCTCTACCGGCCATTCGCTGTCAGAACCAGTTAGAGTAAGGAAAGAAATTTACTTCGACTGTAGTGCACAATACAGTGCAATATCTGCAGTTGAGGGGCGTTGAGAATTTAAGTGAACTGGGGTTAAACAAGCATACCACTGACAGATATACAAGGAGGCATGGGCATGGGGAGGAGTCTCATCGAAAGCAGTAGGTTGGACACTGGTATTTCTGCAGGATGATTTGACGCAGACAACAGGCAGGTTGTTTGGGATCCTTATTGACGACAATAATTAAGTGCTATCGGGAAGTTCTCTAATAATCCAAAGTAGAATTCGTTCAAAGCATTAGGATACAGTCAGAGGCAATCGTGAAGTCTTCAACCAACAAAAAGGGTATAAAGAGAGTCGCAAAGAGAAAACAAACGAAAAAGAAAGACGATCACTCAGTATGTATTTACACACGGCCATCCTTCTGGCCCAACCCATGTATCCGTTCCCTTCGAGCAGCCACTTCCTGATCCTCTGCCACAGACCTTTCCGACTGCTTCAAAGTCTATTTCTCACTTGGCTTCAACGATATAGCACGGTACTCCCCGTCTCCACCAGGAGCTCCTACTGTAACCCAAACAAATTTACCCCCGGGCCCACCGGGCTGTGGAAGCTCCTGAGCCCCCTCCCAGTAGAGCTCCGACGGAAAAGACTTTTCGTCAGGTTGCCTTTCACCGGAAAGCGCATGGGATGATGGTCGACCTCCCAGCCGCCCATGCTTGATCCAAGTCTTCAACACATTCCGGATGAAACTGATTTTCTGCAGGAAAGAATTTGCCTCCAGAACCTCTTGTATCTTTTCATTCGCAGTGCTCATCAATGTGCCCTCAGCAATGGCTAAGAGAATTGATGCCTCCTCCGAAGCGATAGCGCGTGTGTCAAACCCAGACGGGTGCATCCTTCCCTTCGCAGAGAGATAGCGGGCCGCTGAAGCAGACAGATGGTAGAAGTCTATCCAGGGAGACGAGTCTCGCGTACGACCTGGAGATATGACGAGCTTCGTATGGTCGGGGAAATTGAACTAGGATCTATTAGCAATCAAAGAGAACAGCTTGCAAGGCTCGTTAAAACATACCTGAAAAGCACCGTCGCCAAACCCCCAAACACCGACGTTGCCCAGTCTTTGATAGAACTTGATATACTGTCCCTCGTTTTCACCCGGGCAGTTGTCTTGAGCCCCTTCGTCTGCAAGTCTGCCCAGGGACCTGATCATGTACTTGCCAAATTGATCGACCAGCTTGACTCTTTTGACCTTCTCTGCGTCACTTCGCGAGCATTCAACACTAGAGCTGGTGTGAACCTTAATTCCCGAACCAGAACTAGCAGAATGGGGTCCCTTAACCTGGAACATCGATGCTGGCACCAATGCCCGTCGAATACCAAGGAACTCAGAAGGTCCCTGAAAATTCTCATAGAATTCAACTGCCTTCCCGTTTTGTGGAATAAGTTGATCTGCTTGCGAGTATGCATAGTCTGCTCTGTCAGGCTTTTCCAGGGCCCGAGCTTTACGGCGGAAGTGCCTTTCTCCATCTCTCACTACTACACAGCTCGCGGGTTGCCTATTTTCACCCTTGAAGACGCATCCCACAGTGCCATCGTCGAGGACGTATCCGATGCCATACCGATTCGTGTAATCAACCCATTTTATAACATATGTATGTGGTTCCCCTCTTGGGCGCCCCCGTCGGCGAGTGGAAGAGTGAGGAATGAGATTGGAGAGCATGAGGCGCAAGTTTACATTTACCTCATTGAGCGATGTGCCTGGCAGAAGCTCACATTCGTCCTCGGAATGAAATAGTGGGTTCGACCCAAGGGTGGAAGAAGGCTTGTTTCCAGAAGATGATGTCTTGGTGCTTGCCCGACTCATGGCATGATCATTCCGCTCTGGTTGTCCACGAGAGTTATGGGCACTGCCTAAGGTCTCTTCCCTTGATCTTGTGCCATCTTGCTCCTTTTGCCGCAGAGCATCTCTCGATTCCCCTCTTGATGCTATGCGTAATGAGGGATTCCGCGTCCTGGATGAGGATGCACTAGACGTTGAAGGGGTACGTTCTCTACCAACTGCTGCTGTTTCAGACTGGTGTTTTTTGGCAGCTTCCAGTCTCCGGGATTGAGAGCGAGTCTTGCCCACTGTTAATACGCTGGAAACATTGACTGGCCTGGACACCTGCGGTACCATATTTTCATCCAAATCACGCAGCGATCGAGAGCTGGGAGCAGCAATTCCGCAGCGCGTGCGGATAGGGCGTTCTGCCAGTCCTCCGGTGGGCACTGCCGAGACAGGAACAATGTCCGACTGCAACTCCTTCAGATCAAGCAAAGGTGGCACTGGGGGTAATTCGGGGTTACAGATTGCTGTAATCTTTCTTACAGAACCCCTACCAGACACGGCCTGTTGTCGAAGGGTAGCCGCATGGCTCAGTGACCCTCTTCGTCTCTCTTGAGCCGCTGCAAGGGCCGCTTGAGTCCGGTTTAGCGATGCAGTGTTACTCCGGAGAGACACGCTGCGTTGGTGGATTCTGGTACTGTTCTTCGTTGTGGAATCGTCCTTGTGGCCGGTAAAAATAGACTCAGGGACGCTCCAATCGCCCTCGCAATCGTGCGGAAATTTATAGACCGAGTCTTCTGGCAAAGGTACCACAGGCTGGAGGCCCCTTTCATCCTCCACACAGCACTCAGCATATGCCGATTTAGACCAGTTTCTACCAGCAGGCTTCCTAGCCGAGCCATCAGATTTCCTTCCAACACCGCATAGACTGTAGAATGCATTCCTACACAAGCGATAACGTAGGCTGTAGTCACCAGTGTGGGATGCGTAGCCTGCTAACTTCTCGTCGCAGTCCAGGCTATAACCAGGAACCATGCAGTCCCCACGAGGCTCGTCTGACGTAAGCCAGACTGGCTTTGTAAGGCGGCATTCTGAATCCAATTGTCGTGGAATGCAACCATCATACATTTTGAAGAACGGGTGCTCAACGAAGTCATCAGGGTCAGGCCGTTCATCTTCTGCGAGATTGAGACACGAAGCGACCAGCGCTTTGGCTTCATCAGGGATGTAGTTTCCACGCTCTGGGTTCTTTGGCCAGACATAATCCAGGTTCCGCACCTTTTCATAAATCTCTTCCTGAGTCTTCGACTGAAACGGAGGGTACCCGGAAAGCATTGCAAAGCTGAAACCTGGTATTTAGCGCCCATGCGACTTGGAACGAAAGGCAGGTATTTCTTACCATATTACACCCACCGACCAAATATCGACTTTTTGCGTGTGCCCACGCTTGCTTCGATCGACAACTTCGGGGGCAATGTAGTTGGGCGTGCCGCACACGGTTCTTCTTCTCTTCTCGTCCTTTTCTGACACAAAAATCGCCGCTAGTCCAAAATCCCCAACCTTGATATCCATGTTGCGATCTAGGAAGATATTGCCCATTTTCAAGTCCCTATGTGCGACGTTTCGCTTGTGCAGATATTTAACTGCACCACAAAGCTGGATCATAAACCGTCTGACCTCTGGCAAGCTCAAACACTTTCTTTTCTGGACCATATCCATTATAGAACCGTTTGGACACAGTTCAAGGATAACATAGATGTTATTGTCAAACTGGAAGGCACGATGGAACTGAACAATATGAGGATGTCGCATCTTTGAGTGGATTTGTAGCTCTGTTTGAAACTGTGAGAATTATCAGAGTTAGCCATCTATCTCTTCTCCCGCTCTCACCCTATATTGAATGCACTGTTTCGGAAACAGAAAAAAAAAATTACCTTTTCCTGCATCTTTTTCTTCATATCTGACTTCACCACCTTCATCGCAAATACTCGACGGTTCCGCATTAGTGTCCCCTCGTAGCAGACTGCAAAGCCTCCCTTCCCCAAAAAAACACCAGTAGAATATCGCTCGGCATCTTCTCCCGGTTCTGTTACTACTGACGGTGGCGGTGGGGGAAGGTTTTTCTGTGCTCCATCTACTCGGGCGGCGCGCCCCGTTACGGCTTTCCCATCGGCAGGTTTTTGCTGAATGGTCGCCTTCGGCTTCACCATTATATTCGCCGAACGTGGAGATAGCGCCGCCATATTTGTAACTGTAGCCCTGGGGCGACGGGCAGAAGAGGAACGTGAGGGGGATGGAAAGAGCACCTTTCAAGATCGAGGGTCAGAACAATCGCAATTGTGCCGGTTCTATGTGGTCAAGATGGTCATAGGAGTCATTAACTATAGGAATAATGGCACGGTATATTTGGGAACTGATTGTAATGGAGGGTCGATATCCCTGTACAGACGGTCAGTACTCGACAAGTTTTGCATGCACCAACTTTTACGGAAGATGTCCTCAACATGTGAAAAAAATATATATATATGCAAAATTCTTTTCCTCATTTTTTGACTCGGCAAAAGAAAAATAAATTGCGAACAGGGCAACGGGGACTCACCGATAAACCAATGCTAGAATACACAACTGTAAGAATGCTCAAAGAGAGAGCTTGACGGATGCGCCGCACTGCAGGAATAGCATCTTACCCAAAAGGGAAATGAATAAACAACGACCGGCCACCGCAACAACTATTAGAAGTCACGTGTATACTGCCCTGTTAGACCGCCCTCGCCTGGTTTACAAGACACATCCAATAACAACTGCTTATATAATAAACTTCCAGAAGTGTCACGCTAATCCTAGAGAGGAATAGCCTCGGGAGTCAGATCGGCGGCAAGCTATTCCTCATCGGGGAGGACCGTGGATGCCTTCGGGCTGCAGGCGCCATCTCCGAAGACCGAAATATCACCAGAAGGAAATGCTTGTTTCGTTCGCTCCTCATTTTCTTCCATCCAGTCTTTGCTAAGTTCACATGGAAGATACTGTCGTTTAAGGCGTAATGTCTCTAACACTAAAACTCTCCTCTCTGTTAATCCGCACGCTTTCGAAGCCCATCGCTGTGCGTGATACCAGGACTGTTTTTCAATAGCAGCGAACAATGCTGACGTTCTGAAGAACCAAATAAAAGCCCAGGCGCGCGAACATGACCGTTTCCGACGAGTATGTGTCTCCGTGGCACAGACCCTCCATCGATTCGACATGGGTCTTCGATTGGGCAACCTCCGAGACACATCGGTGTCCCGAAGACAAGCGGAAGCAGCTGCCGCTGTTCGGAAACTTAAACCCAAGGCCCCAACAGCGAAGACAGAGGCGGAAGCAAAGGCAGAAGAGGAGGCTATAGCAAAAGCGAATGCTTTGGCTTCCGAAGCGTCAAAACCGCTGCCTAAACCGCATATCCGACCCCTCTCAGAGGCCAAGGCCATCGAATCGGGCGCCGTGTTCCTGAGCGAAACATTCCTATTTCTGGTGGCAGGTGGATTGATTATCTTCGAGACTATGAGAGCTCGAAGGAAAGAATCAAGTCGCAGAGAAGATGTGGAGGGACGATTACTGGAGCTACAGCAGTCCGAGAAGGCTTCTCGGAAAGCCCTGATGACTCTGGAAAAGGAACTCCTGCATCTGAAGTCAAAGTATGGAGAACCAGTCAAATCTGGCCATATTTTATCACGCGACATCTGGGAAACGGAAGGCATTGAGGAGGATGAAGACGCCAAGGATGAGGGGTGGCTTTCTCAAATCCAATCGTACTTATCGTACCTTTCTTCCGTTGTTCAGGGAACAACACGTGGCCCTAAGCCTTTGACTGAAGGAGAGCAGGACTCGAAGAAACCTCCTGCTGATACGCTGTCTTTGTCTTCAACAACCTCGACCGGCGATGATAAGACATCTCGACCATCCGAAAGTGCATAATTGATGGCATTGGATATGACATAGAATTGGAACTTTGTTTAACTCCCGGATATCCCTTTGATCATTACGGCGTCATGACCAGTTCATCTTCTCAGACAGGCATGTCTATGGCATTGTGCTGGATGATGGCATGTGCTGTATCACATACATTTCTTGTCGAATATTTTAGAGGGAAACAAGCACGTAAATAGCAACTGAATATTTTCAAGCAGACTGTATTCGTTCTACAGAATATGTGTCAGGAGTATTCCTTGACATAAATATCCATGATCGGATATTACAAGATTCATGCTGTTCTTGGACGCAGCAAGGATAATCAAATTCTGGGATGCAGGCATTGACAGATATGATGGAATGCCAGATGACGTCTCCGATGCTATTCTTAAACACGCCCAGCCACAGTCGATAATTTAACGCCTTTTACGCTGCCTTAGGGATAGGCACCCTCATTACTGCGTTGGCGGGGCCGGAGATCCTCCTGTCAGGGAATTAAGCAGTTTGCTGACGTGTGTGCCTATTTCCTGTCTCAATTTCTTTTCTGCATCCCTTGCCAGGCACCAGGAGTCGCAAACTGTCCCCTACTCGTCTTATTGCGCGTCCCAGCGGAGAGCCACAGCGAGTGTGGCGCAGTCAGGCCGAGTACCCAATGTAACAGACTGTCTCCATCTCATCTCCTTCTGATCCGTACGGGCAGGTGGCTACATGCTGAAGTTTCGCTCTCTCTCGCCTCCGCAATCCCTTTCTGTCTCTATCCTCTGTAGTCCCACGGGCAGTCGATTGACGCTGGTGACTGTAATGCCAACTTCTTGTCTTTCGTATTGCCGGGAGTCCCGATAATAATAACACCGCGCAGCCATCACGATAGGTACTCATTCCCACACTTGGCACCCACTGGTTCGAACCCTCCACATTCGAGGAGATTGATGAAAAATGGTGAGCCTTCCCTGCAGCTCTTGAATGCTGTATCCTTTGCTGACGCTCTTCATCTTGTCCTCTAGGCACCGTCTCGACGTCCTGCTGGCGGGGAGAAGAAGAATCGCGGTTTTGGTCGCTTCAAGGCATCAGCCGATGCGCCGACGAGCGATGGAGGACGAGGCAAGCCCCAGGTTAAGAAGGCCACTTTCGAAAGCACGAAGAAGAAGGAGATTGGCGTTTCGGATCTTACCTTGCTCAGTAAGATCTCCAACGAAGCCATTAATGATAACCTGAAATTACGGTTCGAACACGGAGAGATCTATGTAAGGAATGGCTGGGCGTGTGTGAGGATCATGCACTTCGAAGGCAGATCGGCTAACCTCATCATCATAGACATATATCGGACATGTCTTGGTTTCAGTTAACCCCTTTCAAGACTGTGAGCAATACGCGAACGCTTCCTTTCCGAATCTTCGTCGATGCTGACGCTTTTGCTCCCTCCTAGTGGGTATCTACACGCAACAGGTCCTCGATTCTTATCGAGGAAAGAACCGACTCGAAGTTCCCCCTCATGTTTTTGCCGTCGCAGAGTCCGCTTACTATAACATGAAATCCTATAAAGATAACCAGTGTGTGATTATTTCTGGAGAATCCGGTGCAGGGAAGACAGAGGCCGCAAAGCGCATCATGCAGTACATTGCAAGTGTTTCAGGAGGCGGCGATTCGCACATCCAACGCACGAAGGACATGGTCCTAGCTACCAACCCTCTCCTAGAGTCGTTTGGAAATGCGAAGACGCTGCGAAATAACAACTCGTCGCGTTTTGGAAAGTATCTGGAGCTGGAGTTCAATGCTAATGGTGAACCTGTTGGTGCTAACATCACCAACTACCTACTTGAGAAGTCAAGAGTCGTGGACCAGATCACAAACGAGCGGAATTTTCATATTTTCTATCAGTTCACAAAAGCTGCACCTCAGAAGTACAGAGGTATGAAATTTCACAGGTTCTCGATTGTGGAACCGACACTGACTTCCATCTGTTAAAACTTATAGATCTATTTGGTGTACAACAACCCCAATCCTACTCCTATACCAGCCGGTCAAAGTGTTTCGATGTGCCAGGAGTTGATGATACTGCTGACTTCAGTGATACCCTCGAGGCGATGAAAATAATCGGTATGACCGAGCCTGAGCAAGACGATGTCTTCCGGATGCTGGCTGCGATTCTGTGGATAGGCAATATTCAATTTGTTGAGGATGACTCCGGCAACGCGTCCATTATAGACCAGTCGGTTATCAATTTCGTCGCCTATCTTCTAGAGGTTGATCCTGGGCAAGTGAACAAGGCGATGACAATCCGCATTATGGAGACTGCTCGTGGGGGTCGCAGGGGATCCATATACGAAGTTCCGCTGAACACTGTGCAAGCGCTCGCAGTCCGAGACGCTCTATCAAAGGCGATCTACTTCAACCTCTTTGATTGGATTGTGGGGCGCGTCAATCAGTCATTGACCGCCAGGGGTTCCATTGCAAACTCGATTGGCATCTTGGATATTTATGGTTTTGAAATTTTCGAGAGAAACTCCTTTGAGCAGCTTTGCATCAACTATGTGAACGAAAAGCTCCAGCAGATCTTCATCCAGTTAACACTGAAGGCAGAGCAGGATGAGTACGCTCGCGAACAGATCAAGTGGACCCCTATCAAATACTTCGACAATAAGGTCGTATGCTCTTTGATTGAGGATAAGCGCCCCCCTGGTGTATTTGCGGCTCTGAATGACGCTTGCGCTACTGCACATGCGGACTCAGGTGCTGCGGACCAGACGTTTGTCGGCCGGCTGAACTTCCTCGGACAAAATCCCAACTTCGAAAACCGCCAAGGCCAATTCATCGTCAAGCATTATGCCGGTGATGTCAGCTATGCAGTGCAAGGGATGACGGACAAGAACAAAGATCAGTTGTTGAAGGACTTGTTGAATCTTGTTGGGTCGAGTTCCAATCCGTTTATTCATACTCTGTTCCCAAATCAGGTAAACCAGGATGACAAGCGACGCCCTCCCACTGCAAGTGATAAGATCAAGGTCTCCGCGAATGATCTCGTGGCCACTCTGATGAAGGCGCAGCCGTCCTACATTCGAACCATTAAACCAAACGACAACAAAGCTCCGAAAGAATACAATGTAGGTAACGTGCTGCATCAGATCAAGTACCTTGGTCTCCAGGAGAATGTCCGGATTCGCCGTGCTGGATTTGCCTATCGCCAGACGTTTGATAAGTTCGTGGAGCGTTTCTACCTCCTTTCCCCCAAGACTTCATATGCTGGTGACTACACTTGGACTGGAGACGCGGAGTCCGGATGCCGGCAAATCCTAAAGGATGCCGGTATCCCAGCAGACGAGTATCAGATGGGTATTAGCAAAGTGTTTGTCAAGACTCCAGAAACTCTTTTCGCTCTGGAGGCTATGCGCGATCGCTACTGGCATAACATGGCCATAAGAATTCAACGTGCATGGCGAAACTATGTCCGCTACCGTACGGAATGTGCCATTCGCATTCAGCGCTTCTGGCGTCGTATGACTGGCGGGCTTGAATTCATTAAACTGCGTGACCAAGGTCATAAAGTACTACAGGGACGCAAGGAACGCCGACGAATGAGTCTTCTAGGTTCACGTCGATTTATGGGTGACTACATGGGCATCGGTAACAAGGGCGGACCTGGAGAAATGATTCGCAGCCGTGCGGGCATCTCCGGTAAGTTTTCTATTGGATTGCGCATGCTTTTATAGTTGGCAACGGCAACCTGACTTTTGGGACTTGCAGGTTCAGATAATATCATCTTTTCCTGTCGGTCTGAGGTTCTCGTATCTAAGTTTGGTCGATCTAGCAAGCCCTCTCCGCGTTTCTTGGTATTGGTAGGTTTTATATTTCATTGTCGAATGTTGTTACTTGGTCTAACAGATATTCAGACAAATCGACATGTATACATCGTAGCGCAGACCGTCGCTAATAACCAATTGGTTATCTCTTCGGAGCGAACAATTCCTGTTGGCGCGATCAAGACCGTCAGCACATCGAATTTAAAAGATGATTGGTTTTCACTTATTGTTGGCAGTCCTCAAGAACCTGATCCACTTATTAGTTGTGTCTTTAAGACGGAGTTCTTCACACACCTCACCAATATCATGCGTGGTGTGAACGTGAAGATAGGTGACGGCATTGAATACAACAAGAAGCCTGGCAAAATCACGATTGTCAAGGCTGTCAAAGATCCTTCAGTGCCGAGAGATGACGTCTACAAGAGTGGTACTATTCGCACCGGACCTGGTGAGCCTGCGAACTCGGTCTCAAAGCCTACACCACGTCCAAAACAGATTGCTGCCAGGCCGGTGACTAAGGGGAAGTTGCTCCGTCCAGGAGCCCCAGGTGGTGGACCGTCAAAACTGGGTGCAGCAGCAAGGTCGAGACCTACGCCTCAACCTTTGCCGCAGGCAACGCCCCAACCGGCTGCGCAGCCAAAGCCTGTTCCTCAGCCCCTTGCAAATGTCGCGGCCGCTCACCAACGGACCGGCTCGACAGCGTCTACAAGATCAGTGAAAGCACCGCCACCACCACCACCTCCTCCGGCAAATCATCCGGTTTCAAGGAAACCTACGGCAAAGGCTCTGTACGACTTTAACAGTGGACATTCAAACGAACTGTCCATTAAGGCCGGAGAGATTGTTCAGGTTGTCTCGAAGGAAGGGAATGGTACGTGGCTTCCCCCTTTTCTCATATGTAGACTTCTCGGGCTTACCATCGATGTTTAGGATGGTGGCTGTGTATGAATATGACCACGTCTGTTCAAGGCTGGACGCCAGAATCGTATCTCGAAGAACAAGTTGCACCTGCACCCAAACCTACGCCTCCTCCTCCACCACCAGCGGCAGCCCCCAGGGCCAGCCCGCAACCAGTGACCAACGGCGCTTCAGCAGCGGCCAAGGCGGCAGCAGCAAAGGCTAAACCGGCGCCTCCTGCCCCCCCTGCTAAGAGACCGAATATGGCTGGGCGAAAACCTGTTCCTCCGGTAGCTCCTCGAGACAGCGCTGTGAGCATTAATTCCCATGACTCCTCCGGAGCCAGCGGTAGGGGTACTCCTAGCAGCGTATCGAACGCTAGTTTTGCCGGCGGCCTTGCGGAAGCGTTGAAGCAACGACAGCAAGCTATGCATGGGAAAGACGATGATGACGATGAGTGGGCTGACTGAAGAATTGTCTAAAAACCGGTGACCTGCTGCTAGACCATTTATCATTTCTGTCGTCTTTTTGGTTTCGTCCAGCCCCTTCTTAGTTTCCGTTTCCGCTTGTTTTCGAATATTTCCTTTTACGTGGTCTTTTGTTCTCTGTGGTCTGCGGTGACTGATGCTCCATACCCTTGGGTTTCGTCTGCGGACAGATAGCATTCCGGTGTTTCATTTTGCGTTCTTAGAATGTCACAGAAGCTTGAATATGTTAGAATATCCCCAATACCATGTTGTTATCATTTCTAATGCATTGATACTGGAGTTCTTAAGGCATCTTTAAGGAATACGGCATACCGTGATTATAGACATTGGTCAGCTAGGATTGGGGAGCGAGGTGAATTTCCTTAAGAACCTCCATTTGATAAGGGACCTACCGGTACTATATGACTAAAGGAGCTAATCTGTCATTTCAATACTGTTTCGTTGGAAGTTACCGACGTACGGAGTCATTATAGGATCATTTGTACGTCCGGCAAGATAGTTGTATTATGCATCTCAAGTTAAAGAAGAGACAACATGCCCGAGGTGAAATAACACAGAGGAAAGAATAACAAATGTCGTCAATTTTAAATGAACATATTCCCCAAAATCAACCAATCCGTACCTATACCGTGTCGTATCTTGTCATATCAATCAGAAAAACTTGCTGGCAAGCTTCAAAAGACTGCTAGGACCACCAGTACCCTGCGATCCACTGCCCTGGCCCTGTATGTACATCTTCATCGCGGCCTCGGCGGCAGCATTGATGGCGGATTGCTTATCGCCGCTCTGAAAATATCACGAAATCAGAAAACGAGATAGTAAATAGATGTAGACGTTAAGACATACCACTTTCCCAGATCCCTGCTTCTCATCGAACAACTTGCCAGCCTGAGCCATGGCTAACCCGATCAATGAATTCAGGTCACCACCACCACCACCAGCGCCACCGCCAGAACCAGAACCGGAATGGGAACCACCACTGGAGTTAAACATCTTCAATGCCTGCATTGCAGCTCCCATACCCATAGACCGCGAATCATGGCTTTGTCCGTCATCACCACCACTGCCATAGAGGGACTGGTGGGCCTTGATCATATCGGACTCGTCCACGGGTGAGTTCGACGAAGCAATCTGGTCCTTGCGGCTGTTGAGGAAAGAGATAGCGGAGGAGAAAAGATCAGAAGTAGATGAGGAGGAATGGGATTGTGCATGTGCCGCAGCCGAGGAGAAGTCATGGTCCTGGCTTCCAGAGTAGTTGGCATGACCACCCCCTTGATACTGGTCGGAGTACCCCCCATGCCCATATCCTTGTCCATGTCCGCCCTCGTAGCCGCCAGAATATCCACCTTGTCCACCAGAGTAACTGTCTTGACCACCATATCCGTCGCCGCCGCCAGAATACCCTCCTTGGCCGCCATATCCACCACCGGAATATCCTTGATTACCGGAATAGCCGCCCTGGGAATATCCCTGTCCGCCACCACTGCCCTCATAATAGTCTCTGCTGGCCATTGTGAGAATGGTCGTTGATCCTAAGTTATTTTATAGTAACAAAAATAGATAGTTAAGGATGAATGAGATGACTAGAAGACGAAGGAAACAAACAAAAAACAGTGAAGGCAGATGCCTGTTTAAAAGGAGAGACAGCATCACAGCAGTAGGAGGCTGACGAACGTGGCGGAGCTGATGAGGCTGAGGCGCGGGGCTGCGGGGTTGTGGCTTGAAGAATAACACAGCCACAGGGGTCGACCACAATGGAATAACGCAAGGGCTACGTGCTGTTACCCTAACTACAATATCGGTCACGTGAGCGACTGTGTATGCGTAAGTGTATGAAGATCAATAAAAAAACAGCTAAAGATGGAAAACATATTGGTACAAATCACGAAGAAAAGTCACAAGAACATAATGATACAAAAAGAAGGGTTGAGGAATGTGAATAAACAGTCAGCACTCCGTACCTAGGTTCTGTATTCTCAGTCAAAAGCGGAAGTACCAAGTACGGCTCCCCTGAGAAAGATGGCGAATCGGAAAATAAGAAACCAGGACATAAGATCTGATATCAGAAAGACACATCACTCCATGCCGTGTCACACTGCAAGAGGTACAAATTCTGGGGATTCATTACCGCGGTGACCGGTGACCGCAATGCTGAGACAGGAAGTACCTCAACAAGACATTGTTTATGGAGTAGCAGGCTATCATTTTACAGCGTACATTCCTCCACCGTGCAAACCTCCTCGCTGAGTTGTCTCTGTCGACTCTATTGGTTCATATGAATGGAAAGCATACCGTATGTCAGATAAGGCGGGGTGTACGGCCGTCGGGTAGTCCTCCGAGACCTCCTATCTATGTTTAGAAAGGATCCATCGGCAGCTTCACGGGCGTGGTGTTGGATCCTCCTCCATCCAACAATACAGGTCACTATAATTGCACGAGTTATTGCTACCACTGCATCTGAAGGGACAATGGCACCGATTCACAAGGTCGCTGTCATACAATGGCATATCAAGGTTTGCACCTGCCTGAGCACTCCGTAATTCACTTGTCTAATGAGCCCGCAGAATTTAGCACCAGAAGAGAACTACTCCAAGGCCTGCAACTATATCCGCCAGGCAGCGGTGCAGGGAGCCGCAGTGGCGGTGTTGCCAGAGTATATATTCCTAGGTGCATGGAACTACAACCGTCCTCCGCTAACAAAACCTCGGCAGATACCACCTAACTGGCTGGGCCCCGGAAGATCCCTTATTCATGGTTCAGGCGGGGGAATTCCAGAAATATCTCCAATGGTACCAGACTCTGGCGAAGGAGCTTAATATCTGTCTGGTCCCGGGCACTCTCCTCGAGCGACACGTAGTGCGGACGAAGGAGACTGACGAGGAACAAGTGCATCTATACAACACGGCCTACTTTATTGACAGCAATGGCCAGATCCTAGGATCCTACCGCAAAAAGAATGTGTGGTATCCAGAGCGGGAGTATCTGACATCTTCGAGACATGACCCGCATGAAGTTATCGATACGCCAATCGGCAAGGTTGGGATGTTGATCTGTTGGGATCTGGCGTTCCCGGAGGCCTTTCGGGAATTGATTGCTCAGGGGGCACAGGTAATTCTCATGCCCGTTTTCTGTGAGCATCCCGCCGACATCCTGCTGTTGTGACACTCGTCTGGATGCGGATTCTCACGTTTCAGCAGGGACCAAGCTCGATGCTTCGCCAGCCGGCCGGGCTCTCAACCCCGAGAGCGAGGCTCTATTCTTGGAGTCAACAATCACGTCGCGATGCTTTGAGAATACTTGCGCCATCGTCTTTGCTAACGCAGCTGGGCCGGATGACAAGTTCCTTGGAATGTCTCGGGTATCATTGCCGTTCGTGGGACCCGTGGCCAAGATGGGAAACGAGGAGGGCCTGCTCGTGGTGGACATGGACCTAGGGATACTGACCCTTGCGGAGGAGAACTACAAGGTTCGGGCAGACATGTCCAGTGAAGGGTGGCATTATACATACCGACACATGGCTCTGGGGAAGTAGGTAGAGATGCACAGCGTGTAAAGGTGGAAAGAGAGTTCCCTGGAATCAGGGAACGCAGCCAGATCACGTGGTGGTTGCCGCAGTCCCTTTTCCGTTTCCGTTTCTATTTTTATCGCAAAAACAACAAGCAGGAAACAGTGCAGCATGCAGTGCACTATTATTATTTATCTTTCCTGACATTCCATTGTTGTATTATCCTGTTGTGTCACTCCAATCTTCTCTGACCCACCTAGGCACTGGCTGTCCTTCTCCTTGTCCCGGTGATGCGAGCCATATTCCTGTAGCCAGGTAACTGTGGTCTCTGCTGTAGACAAGGGGGATTCGTTCTGGTTCTTTAATCAGGCGGAACTTGCCGTCCAGATCGATTGCCAATATTTCCCTTTTTTCTTTTTCTTTTTTTTTTTCTCTGACCCTGCTTGGCCTCTGTCGCATTTAATTTTAATGTTGTGTTGATCTCATACGGTAAGCCTCACTTTATACGGAGGGGGTCCCTTCTACTCCCCAGAGATTGCGCTGGCGCTAACAGCCCTTTGGACGTCTGATTGAAGCATCATGGCCCCGCCGCAGAGGTCTTCCTCCTCGCGACGCAATGGATCGCACCGTGCACAACGAGAGTCCTCCAGACGACGCCGGGATATTGAATCGGGGCCCTATGCCGACTTTCCTTCCACCTCATCCGCAAATCGACACCATACCAGGGACTCTAACACGCAAAGAGCGAGGGATGCAGACGAGGAAATGATGTATGGGGAAGATTTCGGGCGCCACAGGTCCTTCGTGAGACCAGATCGAGGTCGTATTGACCCAGATCACCCCAACTACCACTACCACCAGCAGTCTCATAATATGCCCACATACCCGTCGACGACCGGCCACGATCCAGCCCTGGATGACGATGAAGAGCAGGAGAGCACTAGTTTACAAACCTTCGAAGTCACCACCAAAGATACTATGGCTGCCGACCATGGAAACATTAATCGACCCATGGAACGTCTCCCAAGCCAACACCATCACCGGAAGAAGCGATCATCTCGAAAAATCGCAAAGCACGGCAAGTCCGGGCGACGTAAACAGAAGCAATTGGAGCCCGTACAGCCTCCGAGTTTGTGGAATGTCTATTGCGCCATCATCACCTTTTGGGCTCCAGATTTCGTTCTCCGTTGTTTTGGGATGCCTGCGAAGGAGCAACGGAGTGCCTGGCGTGAAAAGATTGGGCTCATCGGTGTTATCCTCCTCGTTGCAGCATTTGTTGGTTACCTCACCTTTGGTTTCACTGCAACCGTGTGTGGCCAGCCGCCCACCCGTCTGAAGGCTAATCATGTTGGCCGGGGTTATATGATCTTCCACGGGAAGGCTTACGATCTGTCTAAGTCGACGCACCCTGCTGCGGTCGGTATCCCTGGAGGGTCAAACGTCCTGTATGACCTGCCACACAAATATGGCGGACAAGATGGGAGTTTCTTTTTTCAGAAAGTGAACGGCGCTTGCAAGGACTTGATCACTCTTGCACCTGGATCGGATGTCCCTACCAACTCAAAAGGCGACTTAGCTTGGTACTTTCCCTGCACCGCTCTTAATCAGGACGGCTCCAGCAAACCCAATTTCACCGAGCCTTACTATCTTGGGTGGGCCTGTCACACGTCCGGTTCAGCCCGCAAGGCGTTCTACGGCCTGAAGAGTGATGGAGATGTCTACTTCACATGGGAGGGCATTAAAAACAAGAGCAGAAACCTCGCTGTCTTCTCAGGGGACGTAGTGGACCTCGACTTGCTGCTCTGGTTTAACAAGTCCCAGGTCTCATATCCCACCAAATTCGACCAGCTCCGGGAAAACCCAGATGTCCGTGGTGTCGATCTTACGTACTATTTTCAAACGGGTGTTGAGAAGAAAATTGGGAGGTGCTTAACTGAGATCGCCAAGGTCGGTAGTATAGACACCGATACTGTTGGATGCATCGCTTCGAAAGTCGTTCTATATGTGTCACTGGTCTTCATCTTGTCCGTCGTCATTGTCAAGTTCATCTTTGCCCTACTCTTCCAGTGGTTCATTTCCCATCGTTACGCTGCTCAAAGGACGAGCATGGCGTCCGACCCCAAATTGCGCAGCCAGCAAATCGAGGATTGGTCGAACGACATTTACCGGCCTGGTCCCCGTGTCGCAGATCCTCCTGTGCCAGATCGTACTAGCAAGCGAGCTAGCTTCTTCCCTACCACCTCTCGGTTTTCCAGCCCATACGTCATTGGCAGTGGCGGGAAACAGAAATCGCAGTATATAACTATGGCCAGCCATAATTCCACGACTCGGCTCATTCCGAGTACATCTGGTTCCATGTACAGATCAGGTGATGATGAAAGCGCAGGTACGTTGAGCGCGGAAATGTCCCGTCAGACGGGCAGTCGGACGAGTTTGGTACCACCGACAACACAGGATAAACGTTATTCAACAGCCGTAGGAAACGCAGGGGGCACTTTCGGACCTGCTGGATTCAACCCGGATTTGGTAATTCCTCAACCGCCGCCAGAATGGCAACCATTTGGATATCCTTTGGCCCATTCTCTCTGCCTAGTTACTTGCTACTCGGAAGGCGAAGAGGGTATCCGCACAACATTGGATTCAATTGCCCTGACAGACTACCCTAACAGCCACAAGACTATCATTGTCATCTGCGATGGTTTAATCAAGGGCAAAGGCGAGGAATTCTCTACCCCCGAGATCGTTCTCCGCATGGTGCATGATCACGTTGTCCCCCCCGAGGACGTGCAGGCTTACTCATATGTCGCTGTCGCCTCTGGAACCAAACGACACAACATGGCCAAGGTGTATGCCGGATTTTACGATTACGGCGAAACCTCCATTGTGCCGCCTGAGAAACAACAGCGAGTTCCGATGGTTGTTATCGTCAAGTGCGGCACGCCGGAGGAAGCGACAGCAGCAAAACCCGGAAACCGCGGCAAGCGTGACAGTCAGATTATTCTTATGTCCTTCCTGCAGAAGGTTATGTTCGATGAGAGAATGACGGAACTTGAATACGATATGTTCAATGGCTTTTGGAACGTCACTGGAATCCCACCCGACTTCTACGAAGTCATACTCATGGTTGATGCGGACACAAAGGTCTTCCCCGACAGTCTGACCCACATGATCTCTGCCATGGTGAAAGACCCCGAGATCATGGGTCTCTGTGGCGAGACGAAGATTGCTAACAAGACCCAAAGTTGGGTTACGATGATTCAAGTTTTCGAGTACGTCTTTTCCCCATCTCACCCCTGTCCATTCCCGTCCGCTAATGTTGTAGATATTTCATTTCGCATCATCAGGCCAAGGCCTTCGAATCGGTCTTTGGTGGTGTGACATGTCTTCCAGGTTGCTTCTCTATGTACCGTATCAAGTCACCGAAAGGGGGCCAGAATTACTGGGTTCCCATTCTGGCAAACCCGGATATAGTCGAGCATTATTCAGAGAACGTGGTGGACACGCTGCACAAGAAGAACTTGCTGCTTCTCGGTGAAGACCGTTACCTGACAACCCTCATGCTTAAGACATTCCCGAAGCGGAAGCAGATTTACGTCCCGCAGGCAGTCTGCAAGACGATGGCTCCGGATGAGTTTAAGGTGCTACTCTCGCAGCGGCGACGCTGGATCAACAGTACGGTTCATAACCTTTTCGAGCTGGTTCTGGTTCGCGACCTTTGCGGAACGTTCTGTTTCAGCATGCAGTTTGTCATCTTCATTGAACTTATTGGTACCCTGGTGCTTCCAGCAGCCATTTCGTTCACCTTCTACGTGGTGGTCAAGTCCATCGTCTCGAAGCCCGTGCAGATCATCCCGCTTGTCTTGCTAGCACTGATCCTTGGCCTTCCTGGCGTGTTGATTATTGTCACGGCCAGTCGGAAGATCTACGTCTTATGGATGCTTATCTATCTGCTTTCGCTTCCCATTTGGAACTTTGTGCTCCCGGTGTATTCATACTGGAAGTTCGATGACTTTAGCTGGGGAGACACTCGTAAGACAGCTGGAGGTGACAAGGGTGGCCATGACGCTGTCGAGGGTGAATTCGACAGCAGCAAGATTACCATGAAACGGTGGCGTGATTTCGAGAAAGGCAAGTGACATAAACCCGGTATCTCTTAAAATAACAGGGAACATCATGCAACTGACTGGTCAACTAGAACGACGCCTCAAACTTCAAAACGGATGGACACAGTCCCAACCAACAGGTCGGTACTCTCAGTATGAGCCCTATTCCGATTACTAGGGCTGTGTCTGATGACGGACCTGATTTTCCATTTACTTAATTAATTATTTTTATTTTTTCTTGATTTCTTATTGGTATGGATATGGACAGGGAATACGGCTAAGCTAGCCATCTAAATATATATATATATATATAGTGCAGAGATTTACTACGAGTTGGTTTGGTGATTTCTGTTCCTAAGGTGGATTGTTTTTGAAAGTGATGTATATAGGGTTTGTGTATCATTGATCATGACGATGCCGACGATGCCATGTATCATGATGTAGGCGACAATGTTTTGAGATTATATTTCGCGTGTAGGCCCTGTCCATAACCAGCGTTGGCTTTTGGTGCAGTGGCTGTATTTTTATTTCAACTAACACCACGTAGCTTCTCGGAACGACGCACTGAAGACGGCGTTCATGCATCAAGAGATATTTTGAAAAGCGCTTTTGCTGCTGGTTAATAGTGACTGTACAAATGCTTAAGAAAGTTCTCACTTCGAAGAAAGGGAATCAGAGGCAGCATGAAACCATAAGTCACTTGAGGATGTTGTGAAAAAGATGGACCGGCTCATACAGCAAAATATTTATCTCCATGAAGAGAAAGACGCATGTTGCTGCAAGAGGCAGCATTAGCGAAGATGAGAAGGCCTGGATGGACGAAAAGCTCCAGGGCATCAACTGGCATCTCTGGTCGCTTTCGTAGAAGCGCTACGAAATCTACTCCCGGTACCCTGAAGGTGCCTTTGTCAGAGAACGTAGCCGGATCCCAGAGTGGTTGAATGAGAAGAGGACAAGTATACCTGCGCCATGCGACTGGGATGTTGTCCCCGGAAATGCGGTTGCTGAAAGGAGCCTCGTGGAGGCCGTGATGGCCAGACAGGATAGTTAGGGGAAACGAGGCTCAAGCACTGTACTGTGGAATGTGGCTGCTGCATCAAGTGGAGAGGACTCTAGGACTCAGGAAGCTGCAGCAGATTCAGAGAAATTGGTGAATGGGAGAGATTCACTGTTCCTTCGCGATCAGGACATGATGATGCTACTTCTCGCCTTCTTGCTCTCTCTCCTCTTCCCCTCTTCCCTTCCCATCTCAACCTCGTCCCCGCTCACCATTCACGCCAGTCCATTGATTCCTCTTGATCCTAGGTCTACTTTCTTCAGGATATGTTGTTCCATTCTGCTCCTTGCTAAATAAATCGGTAAATTGCCAGTAAGTGCAAGCCGCATAATCTCCCGTGGGTTCATCGCTGCTGGATCTTGCTGAAGCAGTCCCGTCTTCTAGCAGCGCAGCCCATGAACAGCCCAGAGAAGGCCAATCCGCGACACTATTCTCCATTTTGTTCCTTTGAGGTACTGGTGCACAGATCCCTCGAGATTCCAACGTTCAAACTCTAGTGGGGGTTTGGAGGATGGCTCTTTTTTGCGACAAAGACTCCTTAAAAGCGAACTCCACAATCCAGATATCCCCCTCCAGGGCCGGCTTCGCGTTGCTGGCCTGCTATCTACTTTTGGTTTCTTGTGTCTGCATTGCAGAATTTGCTGTGTATACTTTGAAGAGCTGACTCTCTTATTCAAAGTGATGATACTATTCTGCTTTTAGCAGTCCATGTGCCATTCAGACCTTTTCATCATCAGCCTTAATATGGATGTCTTCCACAATCTTCTCCTCTGGTACTTTCACGTCGAGGACGTTGCTTTCTCCTGCAACGACAAGGGTCTCCTTGCACGGAAAAGCTAGATAGAGCAACCAATGCACCGACAAACCTGCGAATGTGTTGACAATCCAGTTCGTTCCATAAAATTGCTGATACGTTGTCGAGACATGGATGCTGGGTGAGGCACTGTTGATGACACTCGGGAGAAAAAGTGCCATCAGGCCGAATTGCACCACGGCAGCTCGCCAATTGATCCCTTTCTAGATTCCCAAACGAAGTCAGAATCTAGTATGTATGCCAGCAGATGTAACATATGGATCAAAATGTTTGAAGATGGGACTTCCAAATAGCGGAGGGATGCCCGGGGAACTTACCTAGTACCGGTATCATCCATGAGGGTTATAGAGCGCTGGCAGATCAAGTCGACCGCGGCGGATCAAGACATAGTCTGCAATCATAATACTGCATGTCTGGCAAATGAAGCATCCATACGCCGACATAAATGTGAGAAACCGGCTGGCGTTATTCACTAAGATCCAAGGAACAACAGCCCGCATGCCGAGCGTCATACAGATCATCGATTCTCGTCGAATGTTGACCCATGATGGAAACAGGGCCATGGCATCGTGGCCGAATGGTACCGAGTTGGTAGATATACTGCGGATATCTGTGCTAGTAACCAGAGCATTGCGCACCAGAAAGCCAGAAAACGCCCACCAGACCCATGCCAGTGAGGCAGCATCTCGATTGGCGTCCAGATATCTTATTGTACAGCACACGACCAGCCCCCACGGTGGCTACCCCGAGAATCGAGTACGCCGTCTTGAGAATGATGATGGCCGGAACCTGAGCCCATGGATTCCGTCTGAAGATCTTGCGTGAGTATACAACGTGTGAGAGGGACTTCACAACATAGCATATAACTATTTATGGGGATACACACTTTCGACGACTATATCTCGAATAATCAGACATATTCAGAACAAGCTGTAAGCCAGCTGTTGGTTAAGGATGTCAGCGTGGCCACCTAAACCCAGCCTCTGGTTGACCTTGGCAAGGTGCCTGGCTGATTAAATACGCCTTGCACGTTCCCTGCTTTGGCGCAGATCCATATTGACCGCCAGTGCTCCGAGTGGTTGATGTCGAGCCCGTTGAGGACCTGCTGGTAATCAACCCTGGAACATGATGATGATGCAGGGGACAAATGATCGATACCAGTCCAACCTTTACCGTGTCATCAATAAGACGAGCAAAGAGCGGTATAGCATTCCGTACTTTTTGACGGAAACCCTGACTTCTTGGTGAGGTGCCTTCCTAGTTGCGAATATCCTGAAACAGGTGCCAAATACGCCCCGGTTACTGTTGACGATTGGATGCGCGGACTCTATGCGGATATATTTGGGACATTAAAGGAAAAGGTGATAACCGAATTGCCGAAGAATAAGACTGCAGGTACAGTTTGACAGATAAAATATAAGATGATAGAGTCTTGTCAGGACTCGTAAGTCGTGTTATGAGCGAAAGTATCCCAGAGATCTAGTACATATCTCTTCTGGTCTCTTCTACGACCCCAGTTACCAATGAGTTCATGCTGAATGTGCTGATAAGCATTGGCATTTTCATTGTTATCAAGTCTCGGCCGCAGATGAGATGGTAGAGGGTTATAGGGTTATAGTGAAGTCCTGCCTTGGCTGCCGAAAACGTCATACTGGTCTCGAGAACCAGGCTACGATTATGGCTATGATGCATGAAATTAATTCTATGCACAGCAGACGAGGAATAATCCGCGGTGAGACAGTTTCAAATGCAGAAATGTGAAGGTACTGATTAAAAGAGGCCATAGATGGGCCGTTATATAAAAATTCATGACATTATCAAAGCAAGAGGAAGCTCAATCACCAAAAACAGATACCGTCCCGCAGAGTATTTCAATCCTCTCACTCACGCAGCGCGTAGAGAGTCTGTGGCTTCCCATCATATCCACAGCTGGAGAACCGCCACCAGCCCGAGTACCAAAACCCGCCGACGTTAACCAGGCCCCAGCGGATGGGAGCTGGCATGGGGGGCCAATTGGCCCACTTGCCTTCCTCTGCGGTACGATCAAAGTTCAAGAATAGGAATGGCACCACGTCAGTGAGGCCAGCGCGCATGATGGAGGCCTTGCCCCATTTGGAGAACACAGGACCAACGGTAGCTGCAAGATCCTTGTTGTCAGTCTTCGTTTCCGAGAGCGCGGCGATGGTAGCAATTTCAGAATGGAAATGATGGCAGAAGGCTTCCGAGAACGAGTCCATGATTGACAGAAGAGTCGATGCGTTGAATTGGGTTTCCTGGCCTTGCTCCGAGAGAGGTTCTAGGTAGTCATGGAATTTGACGAGGCCTTCCATGAATGTATCTGCGGAGAAAGAAACAGGTCAGGAAGAGTTCACAGCTGGCTTCAATGACCACAAAAGAACAAGTGGAACTGACGATGTTCCTCGTAGGCCTTGGCCAATGCCCCTTTTTGACCCACGATTTCCTCGACCTTGGGGAAGAGCTCCGCTTCCTCATCATCATGGTGTTTCTTGACAAAGTTGAACCATGTAAGGCTATACCCGATGAAATCCGCATAATCGACTGGCTTCACGTGGGGTGCCTGAAGATAGATGGTGTTGTATCCGCGGAGGATGGCATTGTGGAGGAGCGCCATGTGCGATGCACCTTTGGTGAAGACGTCATCCTGGAAGGCACAGATACACAATCAATAATCGCCTGGAAGAAACGCTACTGCTTCTCATTTGTATACTGACCTTGCCCGTCTGATACATTGGTGTCTTTACCAGGGGCAGCGGGCCGTCTGCCCACGGCTTTGGCGACTGCTTAGGGTCTGCCATGGGATCTGCTGGCTTGTGGGAGCTGTAGAAAAGAGCAAGAATAATCGCAATGAAGACGACAACAACCTGCAGGGTTCTGGAAATCAGCTGCGAAAGCTGAACCATGTCCTCAAGACTGTCGAAGCTATTTAACAGATGCGTCTCAAGGTTGATGCTCGAGAGCGAGTGGGAAGATGGAGGATGGTTCGCCCATTCCTCCGGGAATCCAGCCAACTGGAGATGAGGGGCACGACCACATGATAGCTTGCTATTGTTACATAGCTGATTACATAGCTGGGAAGCTTTGAACTCTGATTTGAATTGAACCTTTTGACTTTGAAGAGCGTTGAAGCAGCAACGGGCAGTGCTTGGTTATTTGCCGTCCATGATTGGCTGGCAGAGAGCATGGCCTGTTCAGTCACCTGATCTGTCACGATCACGTGAAGAGTCGCTGCACAAATCGGGTGCAGATCTGCCCAACCTGCATAATTATTGAGAGAATAGTAAAATGATTATTAATCCAGATGAAGCATGGCATCATATGATTCCTGCCACAATTCCGTCCTGTACAGCTTGTATGCTGCCAGCAGTATCGAAATTGCAGAGCCTGGGAATATGCATTGGAGTGATGAAGCAGAAGGCGCAGCTGAACTTGACGGAAGAATTCCCAGCTGATGCCAGATGTTGCACAATCCATCTCCGATGAGGACAACGTTTGCTTTAACGGGAGTTCCTGCACAGGATATCAAAACACGCCACAACAAGACCCGTATGTTAACGTTAACTGAATAGTGTTGATCAGTCCCTAGCATATCAAGCATCCTCTCACAGGAGCGCAGAGTTCTGCGCCATTAGTTGATCTGGTGTTCGTATTTGACCCTGTCGCCCGAGTCACCAATGATCAGTATCTGTGCTCTTCTATACTCACAAATGATTTGGTGCAAGTGTTGAGACCTTTGTCATGGACGCAATTCCTCCAGAAAACACGACGGCGAGTCGGTAGGACTCATTCTTTTGGCTCATCTATTCCAGAGTGCCAGCGTAATTCCGCAGTATGTACCACAGAAAGCCCATGAATAAATCGGAAATCCAGAACCTGGCTAGCTTCTTCGAACCATCATGGATTTACTAAAGGACAGTGACACATGCCATAGTGATCCGAGCGGACTAAAGTGATGACATCCCGACTTCAATTGAGAAGGTCTCAATGGTACAGGTAATCATGCTGACTCTCTGGTGGTGGTGGTGGTGCTGACCTTAGCAGCTTGGCAGTTCAATTGCCAGGGGGCCAATTGCTTTGGCCTAGTTTTTGTTTTCTATGTATTTTGGTGAATGTGGTTTGAGTAGCCCTTGATCCTTCTCGCAGGTTTTCGAACCTTGGTGCAAGAGCCGCAATGTCTCAGCATCCGTCACACATAGGAAAGATAATCTGGTTCACCGGTTTTGGTGAAGGATTATCACTGTATGTACGACGATGTGGTCTGAGTTGCTCTAGAGGAAATGGGCTATATCACGGAAAGAAACGGACAGAGAGAAGGCTCTGGATTTTATGATCCTACTCGCAGTTGTATGCGGAATATCATCAAAGCTGCAATTTCCCACAGCATTGCAAGAACGCAAAACCGATGCAGCTGTCGATGCCGAAACCATTCGCTCTTATTGTCGGTAACTCGGCATCTGGGGTCCATTGAATTCGCCGCAAGGGGAATTATTGCCTGGGTTTGGCTGTGTTCGCCAATGACAAGACCAACTTTCTGTGGCGTACTATGCTATTTGCTATTATCTGGGACATCCGCTTCCCGCGATCTACTAAACAGGGACAACTGGCGCATCCCCGTGCTTGTGGAGAATGTGTGAATAAACTAATGCGGAAGGACGACCCGGATACCTAAGGTATCTGAGATGATAAAACGAAGGAATCGCCACTCAATCATGCTGAGATGTATGGTGACCTTCATATCTCTACGGGTGCGGACAAGGAGATAGGTGCTGCTGGAAATGAGTGGCTTGATGTATCAAAAAGGGCTATCGATGGAGGTCGTAGGACCTTTTACGAGGGATTTCTGCTATCGAGACGAATGCCTTTACGCGCATAAAATTTACTGGGCAGGTCTTGTACAGCCATGCAGATATATGGGGCAAACTTGGGATATACCAATTTGACAAGCCTCATTATTGTTTGGCTTTATTTTAGATAGAAAAATGCGAAAGATTTCTTGGAAATGGTATTATATTGGAGAATATAACATCATGTCATTATGATCGAATGGGATAGGAATCCACACACAGTTCACACTGTCATAGGGGGAGCAATGAAGAAAGACAAAATTTTGTAGATGAATAAATTCGTGGGACACTGGCCTTCAGCCCACCCACATGCCATAATATCGAGATGCAAGTTTCGTCCTGACGCGTTTCCCGTAGATGGCCAACGGGATATACGTGCATGACACAGCGAGACTGATGAAACCACATATGATGAACATATTCGTGAGACCATCCCGCTCCATCCAGGGAGTAATTCCGAAGGGGACCCCGACACTGACAGCGTTCCGAAGAAATACTATTCCGGTAAAAGCATCTCCGGTGATCTGCGTGGATATTAGACTGCTTCTCCTCTATAGATGTTGTCTTCATGTAGGGCATTTTCTCACCTCTCGATAGCTGTCGATGACTAGAGTCAAGGCTGCATCACTAATACTACCGAGGCCAAATGCGAAGATACCGGTGCCGATTGTGGGCCAGATCCAATGCAAGCCCTGAATACGAACAAGTCAGCTTTGCGTCGCGAAAGCAGTGTAGTAAAACACAAGCTTACCCGGTCGGTACAGGCTCCAAACATAATTAGCCCCCCAGCCTGGCAAAGTGCAGGTATGTGCAGGTTATACAAGCGCATTTCAGGCTCGTAGTATCCACGGTTCTTCCGAGCGTAGTATAGAATGGACCTATCGCCAAAATAGCCACCGTACACAACACCAACCAGACTGCCAATGAAAGGTGCAACACCGAGGAAACCTATTTTCTCTGCACTCATATTATAAGGTGGATATGCATAGACCATCGACTGAATGCTAACCATGATGGTCAACCACGCCACGCCGCAGGCATACTGCATGCCAGTAAAGAGCACGGCAGGGAACATCAAGAGGATGATGAATGGTCGGTAAACAAATGGCCAAACTGGCACCGGGGATGGGGTGAATAAGGCGAATCTTTTTTTCAAAGGATTCATAGGAATGCTTAAATCCAGCTCGCGTTGTTCCGTTGTCGGCTGGAACTTGGCAGGTGGCTGCCCGGACAGCTCGGTAGTACTATCCTTGGTTGCCTTCTTTGTATCATTCCTCGGTCTGTCATCAAAGGTATCTGCATTGCTAGGTGCAGTGTTGATACCGTCAATAACAGGAATATACTTTGTTTCTTCGTAGAAAAAAATGAAGAGCAGCAAGACTATAGCATTGATAATCCCCATGGTACGGTATGACCATCTCCAACTCTGGTTCGTAGCCTGGGTGCCGGCTGCCATCGGGGTGAGAAAGCTCTGGTTATACCCGGTTTCTTGTTAAAATTATATCTCCAAGAATATTCTCGAGCACAGATCGGACAACTCACCCCTGTCATCATCATAGTCATGTATAGGCCGTTCATGGTTCCTCGTTGATGGACAAAGAACAAATCACTGATCTGAAACGGCATCAGTAATGACCCCAAGGAAGGAAGATGTTTGGAGCCTCAGCTGACTGTAATCTGGACAATGGCTTCGTTTGTAGCACCGGCTAAACCCTGAATGACATTGGTCACATAGAGCTCCCAAACCGACTTCATCTCCGCGGACCAGAACGACGTGGCAAGCATCAAGGCAGTTGAGATGAGGTACGTCGGTCGACGGCCATATTTTCGCGCCATAGGAACGAAGAACATACAACCAACTGCGAGACCGGCATTGTTCGCAGATACGGCCCAATTCAGCTGGTTGTAGTTCACGGGCATATCCACGACCATATATTGCCAGAAGAGGACCTGTACCGATAAACTATTGTGGATGCAGCGTCAGTAAAGCACTAGTAGCAAATGGTCTGGACAAGGGGAGAACCAACGCAGTGAAGATGAGGCAGGTCACTGTGAGAGCAAGAGTGAGATTGACAGCCTTCCGCTTTATACTCCAATTCTGATACCGGTCAGCTTCGCTGCATTCCAGATAGCTCCTGGTGTTGTTTCGCTTTATGGACGTACCAACGGCTCGTTGGGATCTGCCGATGGCACAGGGTCCAATACGACGACCCTTTCAGCAGAGACAATGCCATCATGTTCGCTTTCTTTACAGCTGTCAGGAATAAATGCATCGTGAGCCAACAGCCAGAAAACCGTACCTTTTACCAGGAGAAACGTTCCGGGAGGAGTGAACTCCTCCTGAGAAGCAGAAGCAGGACGTGAACTCGCCGCCATAATACCCAAATAGTAAGTGGCAACCTGCGCAATCAAGTAGGTACTTGAGAAAGCATCGCATGGATGTACCTGGTCAATCCCTCCATATTTATCAATATGTCTGAGCCTAGCCTATCGACGACTGCCGTATACAGGCAATACTATGTGAGTGCGTCCACCTGCCCGAAGAAAGCAAAGTGTCTGCTTTATCAAGCCAAGCTTGATAAGAATCAAGGTTGCTAGTTGTCATTCGAGCCGACTAGGTTATCGTTAATCTTTGGTAGATACGCAGGAGTCTGCGGATGGGCATGGACAGGAATACGAGCGCACTGGGACGGGATCTCTTCAAGCCGTGACGACAGAAAAGAGGGGTCTATGGAGTCTAGCATGATCGCGAGGACGATGCTGTCTGTGCGATGGTCTCCCTATCCAACGACAACGATCAATAATAATCGATATCGATCTGCCGTTGCACTCGGGAGACATCGTCGGCAATAATGTCTTACTATGGAGTAAACGCGTCGAAAGGGGAAAGTTGATGACTAACCACAGGACTTCCCGATTGGGAAAATGTAATCACGTGAAGACCAAGACCGTACTAGCCGTTCCTGGAGAAGAAGCCCTAAACGGTTGATTCTGGACGAACTACTGTAGATAGGTAGGGTTTATATCAGGAGAAAGCTCCATCTTAGGGTTAAGTCCATTCCCCATGAATTGATGCATAAATTTGATCATGCTGTCGCAAGTCGTGCTGCACGCTTACATAGGATGAGGTCTAACTCCGGTCTATTAACAAGGCACTCGCTCAGTTGCCGTCGTAGACTTCATATCGATATTGAAACCATCCAGATCCGCAACACGGATCCATTCTTCCAGGACATCGGCTACCTGCTGCGGTGTGCCAGCAGGCACCGGCCCATTGCCGTCGACTGAGATCCGCTTTCCGATGTTCCGTGGGGTCCAGGACGGCACACCGTCGCCTCGATATGACAAGCTGTGGATGGTGGAGTGCACGCGTGCATCAACATGAACATCTGACGGTTTGATGGCCGTGTCAAGATTAATCTGATTGAGGTCAATTCCGTCGCTGCCTGAAAAGAACACAAGGTCTCCCTCCGCGCTGGCATACTCCAGCGCATCCTGGTACCTGGCCTTGGCTTCCTCCTCGGTGCGTCCAATAATGAGAGTCAGAATTGCAAACACCTTGATTGACTCTGGATCACAGCCAGCCTTAGCAGCCTCCTCACGGATCGTCTTTATGCGAGGTGCCAGGATATGGGGCGACGGAGCCGAGACGAAGATGCCCTCGGCGTGACGGGCACCGAAAGCAACGCCAGCTGCAGATGTGCCGGCCTGAAAGAGGAACGGTGTCCGCTGGGGAGATGGGTCGAGAATGTGTCGGCCATCCACACGGAAGTGCGCTCCATGGTGACGAACACGCCTGATCTGGCTTGGATCCGCGTAGACGCCAATTGCGTTGTCTTCTCTCAACGCGCCATCAGCCCAGCTTCCTTCCCATAGCCTTTTTAGGGACAATCAGTGCTGCACTTGTTGTGATGTATTACATTGGCCCAAAGAGAAGGGGAACGTACTTGTAAAGAACTCGTAGGTACTCATCCACAATTTCATACCGTTTGTCATGCTCGACTGATGGAAGCCCAAGCTTCAGTCTGGAGCATTAGATAAAGCTCAAGATACCTTAGCATGGTCTTACATGCCGATTTTGATGCCGATGCTTTCCATGATGTTACAATATTCCAGCCAAATCGACCCCCAGTCAGATGGTCAAGAGTCGAGAATCTCTTGGCAACGACGTATGGCGCTTCATAGGAAGTCGAGGTAGTTATGGCGAATCCCAAGTTTTGAATGACAGGCGCCATAGCAGTGATAGGCTAGAGGTTCCTCTGTTAGAAGCAAAATCCTATAAGTCTGGGAATTCTATTTGTTCTGTCCCACGCAAAATGGAAGGGTCCCCCATGGGAACTTGGACGGCGTTTGGGATGGCAGCCTCATCGCCGCCCTGGTAAGTATCGTATAGACCGTATGTGTCAGCCAGGAACAAAGCGTTGAAATCACCTTTCTCCAGCAGCTCGTCTAGATTCGTCCAGTAGCTGAGATCGCGTCTCTTCGTTGCAGATCGGTCATCAGGGTGTTTTCACTGCCCGAAGGATAGATGGCCGACAGTGAACATGTCAGAGCCATTGAGGTAGATATGTTTCTTCGGATGGCCGTCCGTCGAGGAACCATTGGCGCGGACTTCTGTCATGTTCGGGTACGTCTAGAGGAATTCGTTGAGGATTGAAATTCAGATGAGTGACTTGAATGATGAGGCTTCGGCTATTCCGCAAGAGGTGGGCAGCATATATCATATACAACGTCCTAATCAGATACGCTCCGGACATGATGAATGTAGATTTCACCGCTGTGCAATCAAAAGATACGACAAAGGACTAATCTTGATGACGGTGTCGTTCAATCGGCACTGCCAAATCCTAATCCGGAGGAAATGGACGGAATTCAGGATGCAAATTGACCATACGAATAAGCATGCTCACTCCTCGTAAAATGGACGCTCTGCCTGCGAAGTCACTCGGGCCATGTGCCGGCGTATATTGCTGCCCTCTGCAACCTTGAAATCGCGCAATGCCGAGCTGGAAGTGTATCATCATGGTGATATCGGAGGGGGCAGCGTGGAATTGGTCTACTTACTGCTGCGTGTTGCGATGATCATACACAACCACAGTGCCCGGCTCCCAGTGGACTCGAATATGCCAGTCTGCACCTTTCTCGATATGGTCAAAGAGAAAGTTCAGAAGGTTGCCTTCATGTTTTGTTAGTACGGAATACGGCCGAGATTGCAGGCCCGGTATTCAGAATGACTTAGACTTACTGCTTTCTTCCTGCTTTCATCCTATAATCTTACGCGTGTACAGCCGGCTGACATAAAGTGATTTGGTTTTGGTGACCTGTTATCGGCCAGTGAATAACAATGCGTAACTATATGCCAGGACATTAAGACAGCTTACCGGATGGGTCCTGACAACCGGATGCACTGCTTCAATCGGCTCTCGAATATAATACTCCCGATGTTCGTGCACGGCAGCTTGCGAAAACCCAGAGTGAGTGGCATTCAGGCCGGTGATGAGCCGACGAAAGTCCTCCGACAGATGCTAATACGCAGTCGTGGTGGATAAGTACAACGTGCCATCGCCAGATGGCAGCCCGTCAAGGACGAAGAAAACAGTAGTTCCCATGCTGTTTCTGGCAATGGCTTTAGTTAGAAAGTGAGAAACACCCCGAAAAAAAAAAAAAAAAAAAAAAAAGAGGAGGAAAGGGAGGAAAGTAAACTCCTGGACTTACATCTCGTAAGTCATATCGCTATGCCACTTAATACTACTAACATTATTGGAGATCTCATTATCCACGGCATTGCTCCTGGAAGATGAGAGGGATGTACGTCAGTCTTCTATTCAGAGTCTCAACAGACATCTCACTTGTCTACTCACAAGAAATCCCTGTGCACCGGAAGAATTTCGGGATAACCCTTGATCTGCCCGCCCATTTGATGGACGTGAAGTGGCCCAAAATGGCGACCAAATTCATGTTGCTTTTCTGGCCCGATATCTGCAAAGTCTTGCTCATGGAACAGGACTACACCGCGCTCCGCGGCCAGGAGGGCAAGCTCATCCTTCTGCTCCGAAGTGAGCTGGCTGAGCTGAATGCCACGAAGCTCGATCCCTATGTTGGGAGTGATCTCTCTAACTGTGACTCCAGGAGCCTGTAGGAGATTCTTCTCCTGCCGGCGTCGAAGCGGGTAAACTCCTTCAAGGGTGGCTGCGTGCCAGGCGTGTAGTAGGGGAGATAATGAGCGTATTTATACCTTGTAGATGGGTTAGATGATACATCTTTGCAGAACCAGATCACTCCTCTATCATCCACATACTTGGACTTGGCCATAGTTAATTGCGGTTTCGGCCGGACGAGACAGAGGACCAGTCCTCTGATTATCCCCCTCGGGCTTCTTGTCGGTTTCAACAAACGGAGTCATGGAAGTGAAGCACGAAATAAAACAGCAGCTGACTTGTTTGGGCAACAGAATCGAGAGAAACCAACTCCCTAATGGAAACCGAGCAGACTTATATACGAGCAAATCAAGGGCTTCATGTCTGGCGTGACTAGTTCGGCAGCTGTAACTTCACCAAGACCCCTTAGATGCACTAATGCATTCCTCTTTCTTATCGTATCACTTTCTCACTGCCGATCAAATGGCGTGAAGGCACTGGATCGCGTGGTTTGCTTGCTATAAGAGCTCGTCATCGAAGAGACGAGAGCGTTGATCTGCATGGTTGTCCGGCATGTAGTGTCCATTCTGGTAATGGCTATGGCTGCTGGGAAGAATGTTGAGAGAGCCGAGCCTTTCTCTAGAGCATACCTACAGATATACTGAACTGACCATTGCAACTGTTCTAGTTGTATGTCCTGCGATTTTTCGTTGGTCTCCTGGAGACATGTTCATTTCCGGGTTATGCAGCGCTCTTGGGCAGCTGGTACGGACCCAAACAACCCAGAAGGCGACTGGCGCTGTTTCAGTAGTCCAGCGCCATTGCAGGCATGTTCGGCGAAAGGATTGAACGGGAAGGAAAATCTAGCAGACAGGCAATGGCTATTCATCTTCGATGCAATCATCTCCATCCCCATCGGCATCTGGGGCTACTCCGCCATCCCAGACCATCCGCGCAACACAAGGGCCTTTTATCTCACCAAAGAGAAGAGGATCGAGAATATAGTCTTGCGCGCCTTCGGCCCATGGGCGTGCTCTGCTAAAGAGGCTCACCTGGGGCCGATTCGGGTAGTCCTCTTCCCAACCCACACTATAAGTACTGGGAGAGGCTTATCCAAGAGCTCGAGATACTCAGCGGTGACCGCATCGGCCTTCTGGGCAAGAGCAAACCTTTTCCCGAGGAAAGAATGGTGATTCTCTTCTATCTCTGGTAGATAAGTGTAGTTGAGGTCCTCCCAGGGCGGTTATCAAATGCAACGACGGCGTGGATAGCAGAGCCAGGTCAGAGAGTGATGGCCCAGCCATCTTCCTCGCCACGTTTCATTCATGACTTACAAGGCCGTGTATGAATGGTCTTTGTGAAGTACTTATCAATGTGTTTGGTGAGCATGGCCATTGCTCGGGCTTGATGGCAATGGACTCGATATATCCCCGCTGCACTTTCTGCACTGCCTTGATCCATGTACTCGCAGACACGCTCGATCAGATGGACAAAGCCGCCTGCGCCTGGGGCTCCATTGGGACCAACAAAGCGGAGCATGTTTGGCATCTTGGGGACGAAAATCCCAAAGTAGGATTCAGGATACGGGTCCCAGACCTCAGCAAAAGAACCCCCTCCCTCTCCTAGGATTGGAATATACGGACCAGCGTGGTATCGAAGCCAGTGGTGCAGATAATGACATCGACTTTTCGTGTCTTTCCATCCACAGTCTCGATTCCTTCTGGGGCAAGCCGCTTGATCTTTCTCCGAATGAAGTTGACGTTGTCTTCGACAAGTGCCTCGAGATACCAAGGTCCAGATGTGAGACGACGGTAACACTGGCGGCCAGGTTGGTTCCATGGCTTTTCAAATCTCTGGCCTCTTCTCCAGCTTCTTTTTCATGGTCTCATGGCTGATTTTGTGGAAGTCCTGCTGGGTTATGGTGCCGGAGATGGTGATGAGGGCAGCCCCATTGACGGTTCTTTCAATCTTGTGGCGCCAGGCGTGGTATACCGCTGAGTTTGCCTTTCATTTTCAAGCTCCCCCGTGGAGTGTTTAACTAGCAAAGATTAGTTGATTCTTGCTAATAATAGCATGAGGTTCAGGAAGCAGCGCGCACCTATTCTCCCACCAATTCTCCCACCAAGTACCACCCACGTTCTCGTTTTTACTGTAGATGGCGAGTTTCAAGTTGGGGATCCGCTACGTGAAACAGATGCCCGATAGACCAGCCCCAATCACAATGATCCTTATGGGTGATAATCATCAATACAATACAGCGCTGCCAGAGTGGTGGGAGACCGTGCAAAACCGGAAATGGGCATATTGCTGCCTTTCTTGTCTGTCCACCTCTCCCAGGGACCATGGCGCAGTATTCTGTTTAGGACGATTCTCTCATAGAGGCTCCTGCCATCTAGCTTGGGCCATAGCTTATACCACCGTCGCAAACTTCTTATTATGGAATATGGATTACGTTCACCGTCTGGTTTTGAAGAACTCTGGTTCTTGCAACTTGTATACTGACTACTTAGCGAAAAATGAAGGATGAAAGTACCCCGCGATAGCTAGAACTGGACAAACCACTTGGAAAATGGAACTTGGATTGTACGCATCTTTCCGTATAAGCAACCGGCACCAGGACTGCTGGAGTCAGGCCATGAACCAGAAATCCTGTGGGCTCCGTACTAACAGCATGCAATTACATTGCCCTCGTTCTAACCCAGACAACATTGAACTACAAAAGAGAATAGCTAGGACTAACGGTCCATTATTGGACCATGGGTGGAAGCACCCCTGACATCATGGCGTATTGACATGTACGGGCTGTGAAGTGGTCATGGACTGACAGAGAGCAGCAGGACAGGGTGGTTGCGCGAAGATGTCGAGATTCTATTGCAATCCATCACCGTTGGCATCTAAAGCGCCTCCCAGCAACCTATGCGGCAAACAAAACCGCGAAATTAGGGAATCTCGGTTCCATCATCGATACTCAAGTCAGATCTGTCATGGAGCAAGGTTTGTAAACACAATCAAATCCCTGGAAAGTCCATACGCATGTGGCAGTTACGAACGACAGCACCGATTTCCCCGCTACAGAAAGGGAAACTCAATGCGCATCGCATCGTGATCTATGCATGTGATTTTTTCCCTTGCTGAGTTTGCAGATGACAAAATCGAATAACTAATTAGTTCTCAGTTCCTGTGTGGATTTCCGAAGATCCATCGGAACCACGGACTGCACGGATTCCAAGGACGAATGGAACCTAGGCAACTGGCCGTCTCTGTTCCAATCTGCGCATGGCATAAGTTGGACTGCTACAGCAGAAATTATTATGATGGAAAATCATGGAGCCATGGAGCAATGGAGCAATTGATAGCATTATTATTCTGGCAGCGAGATACAGGAAAGAAAGAGGTGAGCTTCGAAGTTCGAAAAGGGACCGCATAAATGTTCTTCCCTTCCGGGTCAAAAAGGTAAAATGCCGCTGTTGACCGCCCTCGCGGGCCTCGGCTCAAAATTTTGCTAATTAATGAACAACTCATTCCGTCCTACACTCGGAGCACACTCGGAGCACCGCACTGCGCTGCGCTTTTGTTGGCGAGCTCCTGGTGGATTAAGATTGTCTGGAATGCTCCACGTGGTTCTAGCAGAAGCTTGTCCTGCTCAGGTTTCACCGACTCTTTGTGGCAAATGCTGGCTGCAGCATCCCGTTAACCTCCAACAGGCATGTGGCACTGGCACTGGGTTGTGGATTTCTTTTCAACAGCTCAACATGGCGACTTCCTGGCCGGCTGGGTCTGTGCTGTAATCTCTATTGGTCTAGCAAAATTCATTTTCAGGGTATTGTTCAGTCGTTTGTTCTCGTCTGCACGTCATAATGATGGTAACGACGACAAGTTGTACGGCCTGGACCATGCCATCCTCAACCTGGACCCCCCAGAAACCATGTGGATGAACATGGGCTATTGGGACGTACGTAAAATGGCCTTGTCATCCGTCAATGGTGCCTGACTAATGTCCAGTAAAGCATGCAAGGACCTTCCCGGATGCATGCGTGGCTCTCCTGAGAAAGGTACTGGAGGCGGCCGACTTGCTGGACGAGGATGGCTATCCAGTCCAACGTGAAGACCGGCAGAGTCTTAGGCTGGTCGACGTTGGCTTCGGCTGTGGTGATCAGACACTGTACTTGACGCAGCAGCTTTCTAAACCAGATATCCACGATGCTCCACCACGCCCCCTCTTTGACAGTTACATCGGCATTACTTTGAATCCCCATCAAGCTGAGTTTGCTCGTCAGCGGCTCCAAGCAGAACCATCCATAGAGCAAACAACAGGCACCAGGACGCCAGACATTCGTATATTCTGCGCGGATGCGGGAAATCCTGCGTCGTGGAATGATGACCTTCACAGGGCTCTGAGTTCAGCGCAACGGGGCAAGAAGGATCCAAAGGACACTGGCGCCTGGCTGCTTGCGCTGGATACACTCTACCACTTCAAACCCTCCCGTCGGCCCCTATTCTCGTATGCCTACGAGAACCGTATTTCGATCATGGCATTCGACCTTCTCCTTTCTGACTCCGCTTCCCTGTACGGGCGGATGGTATTGCGCCTTGTCTGCCTAGTCGCTTCGATTCCGTCCTCGAATTTCATGACTCCATCCGAATACAAGAAGCTGCTCACCCAGTCGGGCTATGCGGTCGAGCGCATTGCGATGGAAGATATCTCGGAGCGTGTCTTTCCCGGACTTGCTGGATATATGCAGAGTAAAGAAAAGGAGCTCGGGCGTTTTGGGATGACCTTGGGGAAATACCGAGTTCCGGCTAAGATCTTTGCATGGTGGGCCAGGAGTGGGATTGTACGAGGCATGCTGGTTGTTGCGAAGAGGTGATGCGTACGGACGGGCAAGCCTCTTTGAACCCCTTTTTGCATCTTTCCTGAAACCGGTGCGTCCGCGTGTTTTCGCCCTATTGGGAAATGGGATCCTCAGCAGTGTAGTTCCGCGGCTCAATATGCCGCTGCTTCAGGTTCTGTGCCTACGCATACATAGCTATATCACTTCTCCAGCGGATGAGCTGCAGATCGTCCCAACTTCATGGATTCTGGCCTAGACCGTTGGCTGCTCCTAGACCCTCCCGGGGACCAGAAAAGACCGGGAAAGCCGAGCTGGGTTGAGAGCTGGGCGTGCCCGCAAGACCAACAGCTGGAGCCCTGGTAGCGCGTCGGCTGATGTTGCGTAGACCATGGGACGCATGACGATTAACCTTCTCCCTCCTGAGTAAAGGGATCCATGGCTGCCAGCCGGAGGGAGGACGGCTTGGGTGACGACACGAGGAGTGGATCCAGTGGGCTGATGGAGCATACCAAGCTGTCATGCTGTTCGTGCAGACGCCTGCGTTAGTGTTTATCGAATGCAACGCAGTACCGGATACAAATCTCCTGAAGCCAATCGGTGCCTGGAGTGCGGCTGCAAAGTTTTTCGCTATCAAGGCCAAGCCTTCAGCCATTTCCTTATTAAGGTCCCCCTTCCTCTTTTTTCCTTTTCTTTACCTTTTTCTTCTTTCTCTCCTCTTGTAGACACTGTCAGACAATCCGTAGAAACACTCAAGAACGGATCAGACCGCACTCGGGATTATTTCAAGTAGGTTCTGGCCCACACCGCGAGAGCGACTCCAAGAACACTCCCAGAGCGGCAATGCCAAAGCGACAACAAGAGCGACAACAAGAGCGATAGCGACAGCAGCAACAGAAGCGATAGCGACAGCGACAATAGCAAAGCCGCAAAGCCGCAAAGCAGCGCAGCAGCGCAGCAACAGCAACAACAGTACCGATAGCGACGAAACACAGCAGCAACACGCCAATGGCTGCAGACCCTGAAAAGACGTCGGCCGTCGAGGCCGCCCTGCACCCTGGAGCCAATGCGACTGGATCGACGGACAACCGTATTGTCCGGCTAGAGGAGTTGGCTGCTGCCGACCGAGCTCTGGCGGAGCAGTATGGCTACCAGCCGGTATGTCTCGCGCCGGTCCTCTGCCGCTGGTGGTAGGCAGTAGTTGATGCGATATGTAGGTCTTCAAACGCGAATTCGGCTACCTCTCAACCTTCTCCTTCGCCTTCAGTATTTCCGGGATGTTCGCGACCATCTCCACCACTTTCTCCTACCCTCTCGCGGCCGGCGGCTCTGCATCGGTGATCTGGTGCTGGCTCATTTCCGGCTTTGGCTGCATGTGCATCGCCGCATCGGTTGCCGAGTTGGTGTCTGCGTACCCTACCAGCGGCGGCCTCTATTTCACCATCTCCCGTCTTGCTCCTCGCCGCTGGGTCCCGTCCATTAGCTGGGTGACGGGCTGGATCAACCTGCTGGGCCAGGTCGCTGGAGTTGCCTCGTCGGAATACGGTTCAGCCCAGATGTTGCTGGCGGCAGTATCCATGGGCCGGAACTTCAACTGGACTCCAAGCACTGGGCTCACCGTCGGTGTGATGGCTGCTCTGACAGCGCTGGCCGGCATCCTCAACTCGCTACCGACGGGGTGGATGGAGAAGATGACGCGGACCTACGTTATCTTCCATCTGCTCGTTGCGGTTACATGCTGCATTGCCATGCTGGCCAAGAACGACCACAAGAATGACGCCTCGTATGTTTTCACGGACATCGATGCGGCGTCTGGCTGGCATCCCGTGGGATGGTCCTTCTTGTTCGGCTTTCTCTCCGTCTCCTGGACCATGACGGATTACGATGCGACGGCCCACATTGCCGAAGAGTAAGGCCCAAGCCGGTTTTGACGTTGCGTGGACTGCTTCGGTGCTCTAACAGTGATCATCTACGTAGGATCCAAGACCCAGAACACAAAGCGCCATGGGCCATCTTCGTGGCCATGGCGTGCGTCTACGTCCTCGGCTTCCTGTTCAACATCGTCCTATGTTTCTGCATGGGCAGCCCGTCCGCCATCCTCGCGTCTCCCATGGAGCAGCCGGTTGCTCAGATCTTCTACGACAGCTTGGGCAAGGCTGGCGGCATCGTGTATACGGTATGCGCCTTTATCCTCCTGCAGTTCATTTGCTTCACCGCGCTGCAGGCCCTTGCTCGGACCGTTTTCGCCTTCTCCCGGGACCGCCTGCTGCCTTTCTCGTCCGTTTGGATCAGGATCAACCGGTTCACGGGAACGCCGCTGTATGCGGTCTGGTTCTCCGTGTTTTGGTGTATCGCCATCAACCTGATCGGCCTGGGTAGCTATGCTGCCATTGAGGGTGTCTTCAACATCACCTCCATTGCATTAGATTGGTCGTATGTGATTCCCATCATCTGTAAGCTGATGTTCAACCAGTTTGAGCCTGGGCCGTGGCACATGGGCAAGTTCTCGGTCGCCGTGAACGTGTGGTCCGTCCTGTGGACGGCCTTTGTCTCGGTCATCTTCTTCTTCCCAACAACACGACCGGTGGTGCCGGACAACATGAACTATGCCATTGTCTACATGGCGTTTATCCTCCTGTGCGCCATCGTGTATTGGTACATCCGAGGAAAGAAATTCTACGTTGGTCCGATCAAGGAGGTTGTGATCGAAGGGCATGGGAACGATAGCGACGGCGTTGTCATGTCGAGTCCGGCGGAGAGCTTCAACAAGGAACGGGAGGCGTCTCGATTCTACTCAGCCTGTCTTGTAACATCATTCAAAGTCAAAATAGCAGATGATATCTAGCGCGATAGACTTACAGTCCTTCATGTCTTTCTTTCCGTGTACCCTCGAGTTTAGAGTCTGACTTGGGTTCAGGCAAGGTGATCCACAAGCATCTGTACTGCCCTCCGAATTACTCGAAGCCAACCCAAGGATACCGTCTGTAATCGAAGCCGCTTGACAATATTCACATGTTCTTCTCCCTGACAGTGGCTGAGGATAAAGTTTGAACGAATATTTCATTTTGCCGTTCCGAAAAGAGCGGCGATGCATGTTAGGGCTAGATATGCAAAACAGGCCGCTGGTGGCAGTAGGTATAGTCTGTCCAGGAGCCGTGAGTCACTAACCGTATGCTATGACTTGCTTTCTTTTCCAGTGTGCTCGATATGAGAGCCAAAATGAGGAAAGAAAGCCCATAGGCCACGCATCTAGAATCAATGGACAAAGTTGATGCCTCAGCTCCAATCCTTGCACTATCAATGAAGACATTGGTCCTGACCCGAGCTACGTCTGGCTGTCCCATGTCTATTGGCATATGGCAGCACTGGCAGACGCTACATCTTCATTGCCGTGACACTGCTGGGAATCATCAGTCTTATTGTCTGCGTTACGGGCCAGGACCATCCTTGTCCTTGTAAATACCGGAGTACATCTTTAATCCACAATCAATAACCAGGTGAGTTGTGCGCCGTTTGACATATTTTACTATTTCCTATTACCTATTCAGCCAGCCAAGCTAGTCAAGCTTGTTCATGGTCCTTCGTTTATGTCATGGGCCAGGTGCTCGTCAGCATCTCCTGTTCAGTCGGGTACAGCGTAGCCCACATTGTCGGCGGTTGATGCCCATCAAATACCGTTGCATCTTTTATGCGATCACCTTCATATCCGTCGTGTTTTGGACTGCTGCAATATTTCCATCCATGGACTGGCGAGGTGCCTACTGCGTGCTCACCAGACTGAATGCAGATGCCACGAATCCCTGCTACGCTCGCTGCCGTTTCACAGGCAAAACGTCAGGGAATAGCATAAGCAGAGTCAAACACTTGTCTCTCTATTGGCCTACGTGAAGCCCATGCACCTTTATAGTTTACTAGTGGAGAGAGCATGCTCTTGGCGCGTCACCAAGTGGCATTTAGCTACCCCGGATTCCTACCGCGGCTGGGGTCCCCGGATGCGCGAGTCGGTAGTTGGAACAGATCGGCGGCACTGCAACCATATAGTAGAACTGCCGGCGCCTAGGTCCATTCATCTCCAGTGTGTTTAAAAGGCATGAAGCATCTGTCGTCCCCCGCTCGCGCGTAGCTTGCACACAGGTGCCGGCTGTTATTTTCTTACCCGCCCATCATCATGACCTTCACGACCCAAAAAGGATCCGAGTCTGCCCATGTCGAGAAGGCTCAGGATCTCACGACGCTGGAAAGTAACGATGAAAAGAATGCCCATGATGCTACCGGCACGCTCTCCGAGGAGCACCGGGAGTACCTCATGCGCCGTCACGGCACGCTGGATCTTGATCCAATACCCAGCAGGGACCCAGCAGACCCTTACAACTGGAAGCTATCAAAGGTACGTGCATACCCACGAACTGAGAACGGAATGGGGACAGCGCGAGGTACTGACGGAGCAGAAACTCATCAACCTCCTCCTGGTTGCAGTGCATGCATTCATGGGCACCTTCATGGCTTCTGGCGTCATTCCGGCCTATGCTTCCATGGCTGAGGACCTCAACGTCTCGCTCCAACGCACCTCCTATATGACTTCGCTGCAGATCGCCGTGCTGGGCGGCTCGCCGCTGCTCTGGAAGCCCCTCTCGTACCGGTTCGGCCGGCGCCCTATCTTCCTGCTGTCGCTGCTGTGTAGTTGTATCTGCAATATTGGCTGCGCGAAGAGCCCCGATTACGCATCCATGGCCGCCTGTCGTGCCCTCGTTGCTTTCTTCATCAGTCCTGCCATGGCTATTGGCAGTGCTGTCGTCACAGAAACCTTCTTCCGTCGAGAGCGTGCTCGCTACCTCGGCGTGTGGACCGTCATGGTCACCCTGGGCGTGCCTTCGGGTCCATTCCTTCTCGGCTTTGTCACTGAGCGTGTTGGATGGCGCTGGATCTTCTGGGTGCTTGCCATCGTGCGTTTTCTCCCTCCACAAGCCTTTTCCGGCCCTGACCAGTGCTGACGCGGACAGGCCAATGGATGCCAATTCATCCTGTACTTATTCCTGGGTCCTGAAACCCGCTACGTCCCTGCCGAGGCGGCCTCTTCGCCTTCGTCCGTTTTCAAACGCGAGTACCTCTCCTTCCGCCGGATCGACCCAACACCACTGCGCATCCTGGACTTCTTCTACCCGTTGCGCCTCTTCACCAACATTCCTGTGATCGTGGCTACTGTTGCATACTCGAATACCTTTCTGTTTGCCAGTGTGATGAACTCGGTCGAGGTGCCGCAGTTGCTGCAAGCCAAGTTCCACCTCAACGCAGAGCAGATCGGTCTACAGTTTCTTGGACTGATCATCGGGTCGCTCTTGGGCGAGCAGATGGGTGGTTTCATGTCCGACATGTGGATGAACTTCCGCGCTCGACGTATCGGCCGCAGACCTGTACCCGAGTTCCGCCTCTGGCTCAGCTACGTCGGCTTCCTTCTCACAATCGCAGGCATGGTTGTCTTCCTGGTCTGCACAGAGCAGGCTCCCAGCGGCCATTGGGTGGTGGATCCGGTTGTCGGTACTGCCATCGCTGCCTTTGGCAACCAGGTCATCACGACAGTCCTCACCACCTACGCCGTTGACACTGACCCGCAAAATGCTGACAGCGTAGGCGTCTTTATCAACTTTGTCCGGTCCGAGTGGGGATTTATCGGGCCATTCTGGTTCCCACCGATGTTTGAGAATGTTGGCATTGCCAAGAGCTCTGGCATCGTCACCGCAATGGTCATGGGTGCTGGTTTCATACCGATTGCCTTGGTGCACTGGCAAAGTTATCGGTTCCGCAAGGATGTGTCAGAGACATGAACACACTAGACATAAAGAAAAGGGAAGCCGGTTCTTGCCTGCGCGATCCTTGCTGCAGAGGCAATGAATTGGTAGAAATATGGGATGCGGCGCCGGATCGAGGCCGGAATGACTGTATGGAGACCAGAGGAGTAGAATATACTTAGAATACACCACAGCGCCTGTGCGTTATTCCGTTAGGGGCCCAGCTGCTACCACGATGGCATGCCGGAATGGATGTTAAGAATTTTATTCTTGTTCTTTTTTTCGTTTTCCTGGCGATCACACAGTAGAATGTACCACATAGGGCTAGCACTGACCGGCAACCAAGGCAAGACAATAAATGGGGTGACCAAGAGGGTAGGCCAAAAAGAAAAAATAAACAATAGTGTTTGAGTCGTAAAAGTGGATTTATTCATTCATTTTTGGTAGAAACGAGGTTGCAGATATGGGCAATTATACAAGGATGGGGGGGAACAAAAATGGGGGATATATTAGGAATATGTATATAGTACTTCGCAAGGTGACGGGACTGTCTGCAGCATACACAAAACAGCTCTACTCTGTCTACTCCATATATACCAAATCCCTTCACACCACCGCCAGCATCACCATCACCATGTCGTCTGACGTCCGAGCCATCACCGACCTCCTCATCGCGTACGGTGAATCCCTCAAGACCGGCAAAGTCGCCGATGCCGTCAACCTATACACTACCGACGGCGTGATCATGGCACCAGGCTTCCAGCCCTCGTGTGGCACCGAGAACCTGATCAAATCGTACACGCGCATCTTCAACACGATCCGCCTGGAGATCGAGTCTAGCATCGACGAGATCACCGTGGCGTCGGACGAGTGGGCGTTTGCGCGGTCAACCGCTGCCGGAACCAAGTTTTGGGTGCAAAAGGGGACAAGCGAGACGCATCATAACCAGGAGCTCTTTGTGCTCAAGAAAGAGACTGGGGAGTGGAAGATTGCGAGGTATTGCTTTAGCAGTATGAAGCCGATTGCCTAGCATTGTTTGAAGGAAACAAATGCCAAGCCCATGTACATAACTAGTTAGTTTCACGAACTGACGATTGTATTAATAATACGAGGACTAGTCTGAAAAACTAGGGTTGGGTAGACTGAGCCCTACCGACTTCCGTTGCTGCCTAAGGTGTCCGTTCCCTCACTACAACACAGCCACAGTATGACATCATCGGTGGCTGTAACACATTGCACATTGCGGCGCAGTCGAATCTTTATCTCAGGCTGTTGTCAAGCCACAATTAAGCGATCATTGGAACTTACATACATCTCTTGCCGGGCAGATTATTATTTATTGGAGATTTGAGGGAGATATATTAATGCAATAATAGCCGCCTTCTTGCAAGACTGATTACCGTCCCACCCTTACACCACAGCCATGTCGCCCCTCAAGCCCGTCCCCGAGCCGATCGCTCTCTTCGACCAGTTTGTATCCCAAGACATACAGACCATAGTCCTTCGCGAAAAGGTCTTCTCCGTCTCGGGGGACAGCTTCGACATCAAGTTCATCGATGGCAAACCGCTTCTGACGGTGCATGGTGCGTGGATGTCGCTTTCCGGCCGCAAGAAGGTCTCCGACGCGAATGGCAAGCACCTGTTCGATATAGTCAAGGAGCATCTACATCTCCATGCAACCTATGCGGTTGAAGATACCCACAGAAAGAAGATATTGGAGGTGAAGAGTAATCTTACATGTAAGTTGGGACTGGTCTCTTGGTGCCAGGCCATCCGGTTTCTAACTGGCTTCTAGTACTCGGTTCAAAGGCCACCGCGACCTTTGCCTCATCAACCGGCAAGGCTGAGGAATTCAAAATCAAGGGCGGTTGGTTCGACCATAGCGCAGACATTGTTGACGAAAAAACTGGCTACACAGTAGCACGCATCAACCGTAAGCTACTGAGTGGCCGCGATCTAGCATTTGGTCAGCAGACATACGCAGTTGAGATTGCTCCAGGGATCGACGCAGCACTCGTAGCTGCCTTGTGTATTTGCTTTGACGAGAAGAATAATGAGGAGAGGGGCTAGGCTGAGTGTACTGTATATAAACGACCCGCAACTACGTATACCCCAAGGTCTAAATACCACAGGAGTGCCTCTCATATTCGGGACTCATGTTTTCTTGGCTACTACCTTCGTGTCCCACAGAGACACAGGGCCCTAGGGTCCGTCATCAAGCTTTATTGAGGTCCTTAGTGATTTGGGCCTTACGCAATACTACTACACTTTGTCTGGATATAAGATTTATCCTGGTAACCCATATTCAGGAGGTTTATGATCAACAACATCAAAATACTGCCTTAGGAGCTGCGCACTCCACTCACAAGCTGTGCCGGTACTAGGCATGTCTGGAGCACCTGTTGTCATCTCCGATGCTTGGTCGTGGAGATCAGTCGCGACCGTGGCTGCCATGTTGGCGGGTGTCCATGTGTCATTGGATCTCTCCGTTTCTATGCTATCGTGTCTGCTGCCAACGTTTGGACTAGGACACTGGCCAAGGCCAATGCCGGTTGAACCTGGGGCTAATGCCAATGAGCCTGTATGTTTGGATGGGACGGAGATAGCGATATAGTCAGCGCTGGTCCTACTGCTGCGATAATCCGGCGAAGCTGTCTGTGGGATTGGCAGCTTGTCTTGCATGGCCTCGGCACGGGAATGGAGAAATTCAATACGCCCCCAGCGAGAATCTCGGCGCATATGGGCGTCATTCTTCCAGTCGTGGTATGTAGCATTGGCGACTTCCCACGCGCTGTCAACGCCGTCCCTCGGCGGCGGCATGCACAGGCCAAGGAGAAGGTATGCGAGCGCGTCCCATTCGACGGATGGCTGGAAGAACCAGAGCCATATTTTCCCTTTCTGGTGGTGCCGTAGTTCATAGGAACGCTGGAGGATCTCCACACTTGACTTCATGTAATCAGGTTGTATTCGTATGGGCAGGTTCCAGCTCTGATCTACCCCGGGTCTGCACACTTCATTTTTCAGCTTCTTGAGAGCAAGCCGGCTGGAGGCTGCTGTTACAAAGTCAAAAGGTACTGTAGTGTCGCAGTACATGAGGTATTGCTCCTCGATACGCTCACTGAACTGTTCAATTGCGTCGTCCTGCTGTGCGGGAGACAGGACTGGGTAGAAATTTTTACGGCAGAAGTCGGTGGAAAATATCAGCTGGCGTGCAAAACGGCTCATTTCAAACCGGATCAGACTGAATAGCATCTCGGTTCTTCCAGGATTGGGCTTCGGGGGATCACCCATGTCGGGATGCAAACCGGCATCATTGACATTGGACGGGAATTTGGCATCCAACGATGAGTCCAGAATGCATGGGTCGGACTTGCGGTCTTCCGCTATGCGAACATCCAGGGCGTATATCTGCCACCAGAGTCGGCGGCGCATCTCTACCTGAAAGGGAGGGAGGTTTAGTGCTGCCCCGTCGCGGTGAAGGCCAATTCTCATAGCGATGCCAGTCGCCATTCCAATGAGTGAACCCGCATCTGGCCCATGCTCATCATGCCTGCAGCATGCCTAGAAGAATTAGATGGTTTGGTTCTAACCCGCCAGATGGGAGCCGGAAGAAGTTCGCATACAAGGTATATGACGAAGGCTTGCAGGACCGTCACGTCGGATGACTGGAAAAAGTTCGCCCGCCAAAGAGCATTTTCGATTCCTGTTCGGTATCTTGGCCTGTCAGTGAAGTTTGATGGTTTGGTGAGCCAAACAACGAAAGGAAGAGAGATACCTCTTCAACAAAGCCGGCCTCTCCTCTTCGAACTCGGCCAGACATGCTGCTGCTGACATGGTCACCACGGTCGAGTAGTAAACTGCAAGCATCAAGCATTGTACAGACGAATCATGCACTCTTCGTCCTCGGGATCGACTCATGATCTGCTTCTGCACGGTTGGCGCATGAAAGATCTTCAAGACCGGATCCACCGTCTCCAGATAGGTCTGCCACATGAATGGGATCATAGCTGAAGGAGGATGGAGCGAATCCAGAGGCAGCGACGGGTCCAGTGCAAATGGAGAGGGCTGGAACAACAGTCCATTCACGGGACTGTGGCTGCACATGTCGTGTTCGACATCCTGGCAGTGTTATCAGCTTGCTCTCCTGCTAACTGCCCTTCCGAGTATATATGCATCGATACTATGAACGCACAGTTCCCGAGCTTACCCAGTAAGAGAAATTCTCATGGCCAGCATCCCGTTGTCCGGGAAGGCCATGGTCAGAGGGAGGCGACGGATTACCGGGGCTTCGATATAGGGCACGAGCAATCTCTGCGACGCTTCTCTCCAGGGATTGGAACATACGCTCCATTCTTTCAACCCAAACTGCGAGGTCACCATCCACTGCGCGGCTGGGCGCCACTGCTTTTGGGGGAGGATAGACGCACTCAATCCGCGTTCGGACGCAATACGCACAGGGCACGGATCGGTCGCATCTGATCTTACGCCGGCGGCATTCGAGGCAGGATCGTCCTGACGCAACAGTCTGGCGAGATGCAGCCATCATTCCGCCGGATGTAACTATTTGTTCAAGGGAGATCTTGACGAAAGCAAAAGATGGAAGACGGGCGGCGTCTCACCCCGAGGATGTCCGCCGTAATCACGCCCGACAGACGCATCTGAATGGCCAGAGCGGTGCAGCGGAGGAGAACTCCGCTTCTAAACAATTTCTAAGCATCAGCTCCGGTATGACAGTGTCAATTTCCAATCCTTCATTTCATTCCTCATGGTTTGGCTGTTGGGCTTGAAGAGATTGTAATGCGCCCTCGAATCTATAAAGATGGCATCCAGCCCCCGAGTCGGGAGGTCTCCCCCAAGCGTACAACGAAGACTCAGTCTAGCCAGATCAACGTCCATCAGCCTCTCATCATTGGCAAAAAGTATCGACTCATTCTAAGGGAATATCTTCCTTGATCTCTGTGAAAATGTTCCTTTACAAGAAGGTCGCAATTGTTGGTGTATGTGCACCCATCCCAATCCGCTAGTAGCCCTCGTATTGATCCACTCACACTCCTCTCTCTACAGGCCAGTGGCAGCGTTGGCAGCATCATCCTCAACGGTCTCATTGCGGATCCCCAGTTTGCCGTTACCGTTCTGTCTCGCTCGGAAAGCAAGGCTACTTTCCCCGGCAATGTGGTCGTCCACAGGAGTGACTTCTCTGCTAATGACCTCGAGGCGGCCTTCCAGGGCCAGGATGCTGTCATCTCCGCCGTAGGAGCCAGCGCCTTCAACGAACAGAAGAAGCTCGTTGATGCGGCCGTAAGGGCGGGCGTCAAGCGATTCATCCCCTCTGAGTTCTCCGTCAGTAGCCAGAATGAAACGGTGGTCCAATTGCTGCCTCTTTTTGGCCAGAAGAAGGAACTCATCGAGTATCTCCAGACGAAGGAGTTGGACGGGCTGTCCTGGACCGGTATTGCTACGTCTGGCTTGTTTGACTGGGTATGGGACCGATTGCATGCTATTTCAACGCAGGCGTCTGCAGACAAGTCACCCATGCATTCTGACCGACTAACTTTGTTCCTTGGTTTCCGGACAGGGCCTTGCGAACGGCTTCCTTGAATTCGATATTGCTCGTCGCACCGCCAAAATCTGGGATGGGGGACATAAGAGATTTACTCTTACCAATGAGAAGCAGCTCAGCCAGGCTGTGGCCTCGGTGTTGAGGCACCCCGAGGAGACCAGGAACCAGTTCCTCCATATTGCCTCCGTCGAGACTACTCAGCGGGAGATCCTGGCGGCGCTTGAGAAGGAGACACGCAGCAAATGGACTCTTACTGAAACGACGACGGCGGCGCAGATCGATGAGGCGCACAAGAAACTGGGTACTGGTGACTTTGGTGGTGCGTTGATCCTGGTTCGCGCCACTTGCTTTGGCAACACACCGGGGCTCCGTTCCAATTACGCCACGGATGAAAAGCTTGCGAATGATGTGCTCGGACTCGAACTGGGGAGTGTTGGCGAGACTGTGAAGCGGGTGATGCAGAGGATTAAACCGGAGTAACCGACGACTACACTGTACACCGCGTATGCTGCTGTGGATAGATACGTCTATAGTTATTGATTCACTCATCATCGATTCCATATACCTTCAAGTCCTGCTCCATCCCTGGCAAGGCATAAACAGCGCTGCGTGCTCCCCCAAAGAGCTTCAAATGTCTCTCCCCTCGAAACTCCAACCCAATCTTCTCCAAAACCCTTCGACTTCGCTGATCCTTCCGGGAACAAAACCCAAATACCCCATTTACATTTAACTCCCTCCTCGCATAGTTGATCAACCCAATTGCCGCCTCGGTCGCATACCCCTTGCCGCTCTCCTCTGGGAGAATGGTGTATCCCACGTCGGGCGCGGCATATGCGTTGGGCGGCTTGCCTTTCATTAGCGACACGATTCCAATGGGTTTGCTCTCTGCCAGGGAAGCCTCCGGAAACGGTTTGAGCGATACCAGCATTTGGCCATGTTTGTTCCGGTTGTAGTCGCTTTGGACCTTGCTGGCGATGAATTCGCCGGCCTTTTCAGGCGTGTTCAGACCCGTGTCGCCTTCAGCTTGGATGAAGTCCTCCGTGTTCCACACGTGGTGCAGGAAGGCACTATGGGTTTGGTTTCCCGGTTGGAGGTAGGATATATGGAGGCGTTCCGTTGAAATGCTGAAGTCTGGAGGGGGGTTGAATGTGGTTGTCATGGTGAGCGATACAATCTAGGGCTTTAGTGTCATGGCATCCGACAAGGACAGGGACAACAAGGATAAGAGACAGGGAACACATCAAGAAATTTATAAAATGGGCTGGCTGTTCAAGCCCCACACCTAGAACGACTTATTGACTATGTCGACGGAGGTGGCAGCCTGATGAGTCATGAAGATGTCCCCGATGACATACGTCGAGACGTGGTGCTCGAAAGCCAAACAGGGAGAAAATCCAAAAAGGTGGATAATTTGCTGACGACGGGGGCACCATATCCTCCAATCAACTTTATATCTAGACCTTATCTGTCATAAGGAAAAATAATTGAGGTTCTAGCATATATCTTGATCGCAACCCTCCATACGGCCTTTCAGGGGTGAGGTGTTTTCATCGTGAACAGCTAAGTAATCCGGAATATTATTCTTCTCTGTCACGTGACTGAGTGTTGTTGGTAATACGGCTCTACTAACTATGCGATGCCATTTGACAAGAAGTGATTGAGTATTCATTTTCAGTTACTCTAATGCCATGGAAACCCAGAGCCGTCGAAGTAAGGGTAGGTCATACCATGGTTGAGGTTCCGGAATGCGGGGCGCTTTGTTGGATCAACTTGCTTGTATTGTCTCTATCTAGGTTGGTCTAGCTATTTTAGTGTCAGGCCAAGCGAGGGCGGTCTACTATGGCAGAACGCACGTGACCTCTGACACCTCCCCATGCATGAGCTAGCCTGACAGCAAAAAATGGTGCTAAATTACATATAGAATGTGAGGACCTGTGAAATTGACACTGAAAAAGACCACTACTGAGGCCAGAAACAGCTGCATTTCCACCTGTACTTTCCAACAGCAGTCGCCGCTTGACCACCCCATCACGTGTAGCATCACTATTCTGCACCCGCTAAGCATTGTTTAGTCACCATCCTAAGATGATATTGTTGCTGAGCCTCTGCCAGTGTTCTCACCTGTTTCGACTGATGACTAAAGCGATGCCAAAAATGGCTGCCCTCTGCAATCAAATCAGTTCTCTTGCACTTTGCGCGGCCTAGTCGCTCACCTATAAAATGCTGCCTTCCCCCCCATCTCCTTCGGTGCTCTTGTATCATTGCGTCCTTTCTCGATCTCAAGCGGTCTTTTTCCGAGGCGCAGATCGATCTTCGCTCGGATCCCTTCAAAAAGACAGCTTCGGGCCTCTGATATCTATATCTGGTCCTCTCGATGGCTCCTCCTCCTGTTCCCCCTGCTCAACCTGGCGAGCATAAATACTGGACCGCCCCTATCCTCTGCGAAGAGACTTGAACCAGACTGGAACATTTTTGCAGCTTTGGATGGCTCCCTCCAAACTCAAACCAAAGACACTTGAAGGTATTGCTGTTATCGAACGATATTGGTGTCAGGGCCCTTGCCATGTAGACCAGGACGAGCACGTGAACTTCCTTACTTGGATTAGCGTGGCGCGTGGATAGGAGTACGTCGTCCAGCTTCACGTAGATCTCTTCCTTTTTCCTTCCTCTTCATGCTTGAAGTTCTCGTTGATAGATAGCTGCCTAGATAGCTGAATAGCATCCTATTCATCGTCTGGTTGAGCCCCGTGACAATTGGCGGAAATAAGCATTACCTTAAGTCCAAAAACCTAAGCGTTCAGGGGTGACATATGACTGACAGATATTGTATCCAGTTGAATGAGGACTATGTCAAATATCTCCTTTCAGAAGATCAAGCGATTTACATGAATTTCTTTGATTGGATGTACAAGACCTCATGGAAGAAACTTCTTCAGTCCTATAACGAATACTGGTGATGCCTTTGTCAGTACTTTGGCCTGTTCGCCCAGCGTCTTATAAATGGTGAAGTCCATGAACAGATGTGTGTCACGGAACTCAACTAGACAATGAATAGGATGCTATTCAGCTATCTAGGCAGCTATCGACGAGAACTTCAAGCATGAAGAGGAAGGAAAAAGGAAGAGATCTACGTGAAGCTGGACGACGTACTCCTATCCATGCGCCACGCTAATCCAAGTAAGGAAGTTCACGTGCTCGTCCTGGTCTACATGGCAAGGGCCCTGACAAACAGTTTCTTGAACAAGTATTTCCAGCTGAACGTGGGATCTCCAGGCAAATGAAAGGAAAGAACACACTGGATGTGGATATATGTAGCTTTGTAGATTACTGTATTTTAGCGATAGAGCATCAATGAACTATTATTGGATTGCCTTATGTTTCTTGAGAAGCAATCCATGACCTGATGACTTTTACCGCATTGTGCCGGGGGCACTGCGAAACCCCGGATCTCCCATATTTCCTATCTTGGAACATCGTAGAGCCGCGGACTCCGACATACTCATGTATGGTGGAGCCCGCGGCCGACAAGTACTTAATGGAGGGTTTCCTCCCAGATAGTTACGAGAAATAGAGAATTCTTTTGGTTTCTAGGTTGCTTCACTGGTATCGTTATCGTCGTATAGAGCGTAGCGAGGCTCCTTCGTCGTTGTGTTTTCGTTTATCGTTATATCGTTTTGCTAGATTGTTCAGTGTGTCCATTCCTGAGATCCCTCGATCACAACCCGGTTCCTGTCGCAGGGAACAACGCACGTACGCCCCCCTTTACAGCATCACTACTACATGTGCCGGCCTCCAAGTTAAACTATCAAAAAACTTATCCCTGCTCTTCTCAGCACTTTCCATGGATTACTCTTCTCGCTGTAGGCAAGGTGTTGGAGGTCTTTTGAGAGTCAATCAAGTCAACAAGGTGGAAAGTATCCCAGTTCAGTGTAATTATGTGTGACAATCAGCTGTAATAGGATGAGAAGAGGAAAGCAACTCGCTATTTGGCCGTACTGTCTAGGAATATCGCACATGAGGAGAAGAAGAAGAAAAGGAAAAAAGGTCAAAGACGTGGTGGGGAGGAAATAGGAGGCGAGGGCAGCTGCCTACCCTCAGCCCTAGCCCTGTGCCCTACTTGCTCAATCTGCTGGCACCTTCTAAGATGTGCCAGTGCCAGGGTCACATGCTGACGGTCATACCTCAGGTATGGTCGTCACAGTCCTCAACTAGAGGTCATACATAACTAAAGATAAAAGGAAACCTAAATGACCCTAACAGTCAAAAGTCACCACAACTAATATGATAACTCTTCTAAACTGCTAGACCAAATCCCCAGGACCATCTTCCTTCACTCCTCTACAAGACTCTTGCGGTGCAAATGCTGCTAGTCGATAACTCATTTTGTAGCTACTCTGGAATTTAAGGGGATTCATAAATATGTGTAATAATAAGGCCAGGTGCGCAATATCTTGCCATCATTATAATCTTTGGTCTAGGCAAAGGTTAGTTGGATCGGCAAAACAATTAGGAAGTAACTTACTAGGGCATCAAGAAACTCATCGACCATCTCTTTTTCATCATGCATCCACTGCCATTTCCATTCACGCCCTGAGAATGTTTGTGCATGATCAAAATCAATCCAGAGAACCCTTTCTGTATATTTCTGGACCATCATGTTTCGAGGATAGGGGTCACCATGATAAATTCCTACTCCATGAATGCTCTCCAGAATTGTACGAAGTGTGGCTATGCGGTAGTCTGAAAATGTTGAAAGATCTATTTCATGCAGATCCGGAATATATTCGATAAGGATGGCATTAGGGAGTAGCATATCTTTCAAAAATGGCTTCAAAAAAGGTTGGCACAATATCGGATCGATCTGTTTTATCACACCGTAAAAGTCTGGTACTACTCTTTGTTGACATAACCCTTTCTCTTTTAGATGATAATATGCAGTGCTCTCACAGGTGAAGGCATCAATTTCGCGGTTAGAAGGGTCGGCGTGAAATCTCTCTGTCGTGTGGTACTGAAGTCATGTTAAGGAAATGCTCAGGAAACTAGGTTTATTAGTAACATACCACCTTTAAGACACGTGACTCCCCTTCAACGGTCACTTGGAAAATAGTAGAAGAGTCAGATTCTCTGAGAACCCGGGTGAAAGTAATATCAGCAATCGTCGGTCCCATGGCCAGCTTCCTAAGAGGTACTGCAATGCTCTGGGTCGGATACTGCTAACTAACCTACCAGTGGGTGGAAAAGCCTTATGTAAGAAGAGCAACCAACGACGCACAGACCCTGAACGTTCTGGCCTCGGCGGCTATAGGTGTGTCAGGCAAGCGGGGGGCGGTCAACCGAGGCAAAACCTACGTGACCTCTAACACTAGAGAGGCACGTTCTTGGTGCCAGCTATCCTGCCCGAACCGAACGAATGTGTTCTTCGCACAGAGAAATATCTTTTGGCGACATAGTAGTGTAAAGGGGGACGTACGTGGGTTGTTCCCTGCGACAGGAACCGGGTTGTGGTCGAGGGATCTCAGGAATGGACACACTGAACAATCTAGCAAAACGATATAATAAAAGAAGAAACACAACGAAGGAGCCTCGCTCCGTTCCATACGATGATGACGATACTAGCGAAGCAACCTAGAAACCAAAAGAATGCTCCATTTCTCGTAACTATCTGGGAGGGAACCCTCCATTAAGTACTCTCCGGCCGCGGGCTCCACCATACATGAGTATGTCGGAGACAGCGGCTCTACGGCGTTCTAAGACAGGAAAGACGAGAGATCCGGGTTTTCGCAGTGCCCCCGGCACAATACATATTATAGTCTTGTTGGAAGCAGACTTCTAGGAAAGCAGTATAAGTAAATTGACAGTAACATGGCTATTTAGCTATCTTACTAGCCCTGTCAGGGCCCTTGCCATGTAGACCAGGACGAGCACGTGAGCTTCCTTACTTGGATTAGCGTGGCGCGTGGATAGGAGTACGTCGTCCAGCTTCACGTAGACCTCTTCCTTTTTCCTTCCTCTTCATGCTTGAAGTTCTCGTCGATAGCTGCCTAGATAGTCGAATAGCATCCTATTCATCGTCTAGTTGAGTTCCGTGACAAGCCCTAACTCTAGGCCATCTGGGAAGTGGCAGGTTTTTTATCAATGTCCACCAACATACTTTGCTAAAACACACACATACACACACACATATATATATATATATTATATTTCATAGGGCGTCACTTTCTACTACTTTTTTTTTTTTTTTTTTTTTTTGCAGATTAGTACATTGACCCTTCCAAACAGAACATATTTTCAGAATTTTTAGTAGGAAACATGATCAACAATGAACTCACATTAAACATTCCCAGAAGTAATTAGGAAATGTCTATGTAATGTGTAATACAGTGCCAGAGAAGACCCACGGAGACCCTGGTGTTTTGAAGACTTTATTGCATATTGCTTTCATGCATGATCTTGTCCATCTGCCAGCAGAATGGCAAGGATGGACTAATATTAACCCTAAAGAGCCACTTTCCTTCAGCCTCAGGGCATACTGCTTGTCCTTCAGACCTATAAATAACCTGGGTATATTGAAGTGGCATACTAACTATATTGTCCTTAGCCGTAAGCTCCCTACTGTGTGCATCCTAAGAGCCATCCTTTGTCCCCATTCAAGCATTGCCTCTTCCATTCCGGATCCACAGACACGTAGAAGATAGCCCAAATATATAATCTATCCTCGGCATATCCACCTGTATACAGAGTAGTATATACTCCATACAATCCAATCACTACCAACCCAACCCGTTCCTAACAATGTTGATCTGAGGAGCATTAGGGCTCCACATACCGTTACTTTCCGATACATACATTACACACGATAACCCGTAATAAAGCCTAGCAGAAATCCCACCCGATACAACGCGATACACGAACAAATACCATCTCCCTCCTTCGCGGGTCGGCGCAACAAAGCCAATGCTTGACTTGCTACGGGGTACCGTCACTTTTCCCAGATGGACCTCTCGGGATAGGAAGTTCTATCTGTCCGAATCGGGCAAATCTGTACGTGTGAGGAGTGCCGATTACCCGGCTTGCCGGGTATAAAGGTCAGGACCTTGTAGGCAGAGAAGAGACAGTTGAAGTCGTCTAAGCATACTATGTACACTCAAGACATAGCCTGTCCTTTATCTGTGTATCATCATGGTGGATTCGATCAAGACAGATGTTCTGATTATCGGTGGCGGTCCTGTGGGCTTGCTTATGGCCTACAGTCTAGCAAGACAGGGTGTGGACGCTATCGTTGTTGGTGAGTTACATCCATCCATCTATTCCTCACAGACCGCTAAAGTACACGGTATAGAACAATACAACAAAGAGGAACAAGCAATGTACGGCCGAGCAACGACATTATACCCCCGCACTCTCGAAATGCTCGACCAACTCGAGCTGCTAGACGATCTAAATCAGATCGGATACATCGGCCGTAACAGTGTCACATACAAGGATGGCAAGCGAGTAACATCGCGCGGCTGGCATATCATGTTCCAGCGCATGCATGGCACGTTTCTCGACTATGCTCTGAATATCCGCCAGAAGTACTCGGAGGACGTTATCCGTGCTGCATACGAGAAACGTGGAGGGAGAACGTATATCGGGTGGAAATTGGAGGATTTTTCTGTTGACAACACGCTTGACGATGAGTATAAAGTGGCTGCACGGATTCGTCAGTTGAGCACCGATAAACGCTTGACTGTGAAAAGGTAGGTGCTTGCTCCTGGCAGCCTTTTAATAACAGTGCTGACTACCGCAGCAAATTCATCGTCGGTGCAGATGGTGGTCACTCACTCGTTAGACGTCTGGCACAGATTCCCTTCGAGGGCGACCACACGAATTTCAAATGGGTTCGCATCGACGGCCAATTCAAGACAAACATGCCAGATGCCGACGTTGGCTGGGCATCGATCGAATCGAAAAGCCATGGGAACGTTCTCTGGGTACAGCTGGACAATGGTGCGAAGCGGATTGGCTTTGCGATGACCCCGGAAATGCTCGCCAAGTACGGTGAAAAGCTCACGGAGGAGCAAGCAAAGGCAGAAGCTGTCAAGTCAATGGAGCCATTTACATTGGAATTTGAGAGGATTGACTGGTGGACTCTGTACAGGTAAGGCGTGCTCCAGCAGATACAGGGAATTGAGTTCTGACAGCGAACCGTAGCATTAACCAACGCGTTGCCGATACATTCTTCGCGAACGACCGTATCCTGCTAGCCGGTGATGCATGCCATACTCACTCCTCTGGTGCCGCTCAAGGAATGAATACTGGCGTCCATGATGCTGTGAACCTCAGCTGGAAGTTGGGTGGTGTGGTCAAGGGCTGGTATACCGCAGACATTCTTCGCAGCTATGACAGCGAGCGTCGGCCGGCAGCACAGTACCTCATTGAGCTCGACAAAGCCTTCTCAGCTACCATTTCTGGGCAGATCCCCGATAGCCACAAAGCTATGTATACGGACGCCAATGAGCTGTTCACTAAGCTCTTCGACGAGACGATCCAGTTCAACATCGGACTGGGAATTCACTATGACGAGAGTGTCATCAACAAGGCTCCCTCGACAGGGATGGTCTCGGCGGGCTGGAGAGGGCCTGATGCGGTGGTCTACGCCCCTGGTTCCCGACTTCCCACCCGCTTGTTTCAACTGACGAGAAACTCTGGAGTGTGGTGGGTTATTGTATTCGCCGGGCAGCCGTTGGCTACTCGTGAAACACTAGCCAGGTCCGTGGAGAAACTGCACACTTCCAGCAAAACTCTGCCGCCGGGCATGGCCCGATTCATAACGCTGGTTGCCCAGAGCGCTGCTGAAGGTGACCAGATGTTCGGCACCCCAAGGATCGGGAACGTCTACTATGACCAGGACCGAGCAGCTCATGAGGCGTATACCATTTCCACAGTGAAGGGCGCGGTGGTCGTACTCAGACCGGATGGCATTCTGGGGTATGCTACTACCTTGGAGGATGTTGAGAGCGTGGGGTCTTTTTTCAAGGGGTTTGCAGACACGAAGTGATCAGCCATCCTTCCGAATTCGAAGACAAGCTTGGGGAACCTGATGTTCGGACTATAGGGTGAGGGTTATTGACTATAGACATAGACCATAGAAGACTGCTAGAATTTAAGATTGAACCAGAACGGATCAAAAAGAGTATCATCGTTGAAATCAAAAGCCCGGAAGAGGTCATCCGTGAACGGCATATAACTTGCTTCTGGCGCCAGGTCGGGATGACGGCCCGCTTCATTCTGGCCGAGGTTTGCTGGTTCACCAGAGTCCGGTGGCTGGTCATCTTGCTCCTGCTGGTCTGCAGTTTATTAGAAAGTGTCAAGGCCCATGGGCAGGTACTCCTACCGGTAGTAGTCAGACACTTCGACTGGATCATGGACAAGGTCTGAGCACAGCGACCCGCAGTATCGCTATATGATGAAAGGTAGTTGAGGGACTCCTGACACTGATTCCAAGCTTTTTCCAGTGCCCTTCGCGTCACGATGTTCACGATTACCGGTGATAGTTCAGCTAGCAAAATGACAGATCCAGCAGTAAATGCATCTACCCATGAATTAGTGTCCGGGGCGGCTTGGGGGACTTTCACATCATCCTTACAAAAAGCACTATAGAACCAGACACTGGATAGCTCAGTGCTGCAGGTCTCATGAACCAAGGAAGCAAGGTCAACTGCAGCCTGGACACCGCAGACAGAACAATCTAAGACAAATTTTGAGTGGATCCCGCTGTGCTCGATCAGATCGCGTTCGTTCTCTCCCAGCCCTCTGGCATCACGGAGCATCTGAGAAAGGACTGGCCGATAGAGAAGGACCTTTATGTGAGTAAATCTGGCTGCGAATTAGTATTCATCGAAGATTGCCTCCAGCTGACTCCACAAACCTGGCCCTAAGCAGATATCTTTCCCGGAGAAATGCAGCAGGCTGTTCTTCGGATCTCCGGGCCTCCCAATTCAAATTTGTGGGTAAAGCTCCTTTGAATTCTTGAAGTTCCAAGTCAATGGCTAAAATGCTTTGACTCTGAAAGAGACTCTCGGCCTTTTTGTCGGCAGTATCCTCTCTATTTGACCCCGTGTTGTCGTATAGTGTAGTCAACAGCTTTCGAAGCATCTCGTATAGCTTCAGTGTTTCCACAAACCACGCCACGCGTGAAGGCATATTTGGAGGCTGCACACATCTCTCATTGCTCACATTCAGGTAGCAATCATCAATCGCTTCTGGAGGAGGCGTGACCGGTTTCAGGGAGATCATCGGTGGACGACCAAGAATCGTGCTGACTGACCTGCATCATAATACACGGATCAGTAACAGGTGTGGATGAAGATACACGAGAGAAAGCAACATACAGGTCAAGCATGACACAACCATGCCATACCCGTCTCCTGATCTGTACTTCGGCAAAGGATCGATTACTGTTGCCAGAATCTGCATGGAGCCCTATTGCCTGAGCGACTCTACAGGCGGTGCCGATGACATGCCAGCAACGATCCGGGGTACGAGACCCTTGCAAGTAGTGCACCATCAATAGAAGCGTTTGTGCCAGGGCAAGGTCGCTGCCTTGGAGAGAGTCCAGGTCGAGGGCCGGTTTGCACAGACGAAAGAACGCCTCCGATGTCATTTCCCGTTCGGCCTGGACCACGGTGGAAAATTGGCATCCCAGTGCAAAGAGAGCGTTGAGCGCGTAATAGAACGTGATGGGATTGACTCTCGTATCACCGAGGCCCAGTCCGTTGGTTGGTTTCCTGCCTGAGGGAATCCCCTGCGCTGTCCATAAGGACCGGTACATGGCCAGAAACGCGTATTTGTGTACGAAAGGGTAGAGGGTGTGGATCTTGGCGAAGTAGCAGTCGACAAGATGGTCCGCCAAAGTGCGAGGGGGCAGCGAATTCACCCAGGGTGCAGAGGATATGGGCCTAGGCGAGGATGTCCGTCCATGGACACGGTGCTGACGCCGCTCTCGGTTGGATTCCATCCTGGTCGGCGCGTTCGGCCGGAGGGTATCTTGTAACTGTTTAATAAAAGCAATAGCTGATGAGTCTCCGAAGAACTCTTTCATCGAGCCGTGAGCGCTGTCAGGAGGTTGCGATACCAAGCCCATAGCGGTCACACCAGAGTCATGTTCATCGTCGACTCTCTGGACCGGGGAAGGGACAGATGGCGATGTAAAAGCAAGATTTACATGGCCTGAGAAAGGACTCGACGTCCTCGGATGCATCTCGGATCTCTTAGAGTCCCTAACGCGTGTCAGTTCTAGTTCTTGACAACAACAGAAGTCCTTGACATACGTCTGCTCTTCGTACGCACAAACATCCCGCCGGCGTTCGCATGTACCGCAGCGAGGACGCAAACCATCGCATCTAATTTTCTGCCTCCGACAGGCACTGCATGCAAGGCCGACTCTTTTCCTCTTGGGTCGTCCACGATCCGGCTTGAATGATACCTTGGTCAGATCTCGTCCCACGTTCTGGGTGTTGAAGGGCGTACCATGAGAGGGAGAAAGTAGATGAAGGAAAGGAATGTCTACGGAATCTGCAGGGGTTGAGAGAGGAACTTTATTCAAACATGACACGGACTGTTCCTGGATTGTGCCTGGATGGTTCCTGGCTATCGTTGAAGTCAACTTGGAGCATGCGGAAGGATGGCAGTCTACGGCGGATTATAGAGGCACAATTGCAATAACTAAAATTCACTAAAATTTCCGATTAACGACCGGCAGAATCAGTAAGCGTGGTTCTATTTTATCGAACACTATTTTTAGCCGCATACATAAATCCATTCACGTACACCACTTGACTTGCTTAGCGTCACTGTTTGGCTACTGGTCCGAAGCACCATGTAGAGGTGCAAGTCTTGCTTAGGTATCGTACACAGGACCTATATGACTGGGCAGTGCAGGTGCTGTACAATGCCAAACTGAAAGGAAATGCTTATACTAACCTTCTAGAGATGATTTAGAGGATTATTGGATTGTCAACAGATCCCTCCTTCCCATCCAAAACAATTAGGTTACTGCAGCCCCCCGCCTCTGGCTCCAGCTTTATTGGATTTTCAGCCATACCATCCTCTAGTGAGGACAGTACAGGGAGCAGGACAATAACCCTGTGGCCTATTAGGACCTACCAAGTGCTCTTAACCCAAGTCTTACCAAAGCTCATCCCATACCGAGCACTGACATGCCAGGTCAGGCCATTTACAGTTGGTGCATGCTTGTTAGACCTGCGCTACGGAGCGTAGGGCGGTCTAAGGATTATGTGAGTAGCGTGCTAAGGTCAGGAATCCGTGGCGCAACTTGCAGGGGTCTTATTGTAATCCAACTTGCTAAGCATCCTATCTGGATTGAATAGAACTAGGCCAGCGCCTGCAAAGCTATTTCAAATGGTTTCTGCTTGAAAGGTGCTTTCATAAGCTTGTGGAAAGGCCTCTAGAAAATTAAGCTTATCACTATGATTGATTCCTAAACACGCTTTCTGCTCCACTAAGCTCCCATACACCTTTTTTACAGGTGAAAAACAGCTGATATCCAGAGGTTGAAGCTTGTGGGAAGAATGTACAGGCATGCAGATAGGAATAATATTATTCTCATTGCATATCTGATCAAATTAAGGTGTAAGATCGCTGCCATGGCTGTCTATAACTAACTAGGAGGTGGTATTTCCCAGTTGTGTGGCTAGTAGTAGCAGGAATAAAGAGATGTTGAAGCCAGCAAAGGCCTATCTTATCAGAGGTCCATCCATTAAGACTAACTTCAATCCTGCTGTCCAAAGGAAGCTTTAGATTTTGATACCAGCCCTGTCAAAGACACGACATCCTTGAGTAGTCTGCGGATCGGTTCGCTGGTGTCCTGGCACGCGAGTAGGATGTCTATAAGGAAAAGTTCTATTTCTCTGAAAGTCATGAAAATAAGATGATACTGGCTTCTAAATAAATCAACTGATCAGACAGTTGTGAAGAGTCATATTATTCTTCTTTTTTAATATAAGGAAGCAACACTTCCTGTCTTGGTTTTCTTTTTTACATAAGTGCTTGCCAGACTATCTTTCTTGCACTTCACTGGAGTAATAGTGGAGATTGATTTGGTACTTCCACCACTGGCGCCATCGGATGATGCCACGGATGCGATGCTTGCCTGCTTCCTGAGTTTTACCATATACTGCCCAACGGCGCAAGAGGTGCCGTCTAGGTTTGTCAGTATATATACTTCACTCTCTATACTATGAAAGGGAGAGAGTACCTCCTTCCATGTGTATTGCCAGTGTTTGATAATCAAGTTTCACCTTTCCGCGCAACTGATTCAAGACACTCACAAGGAGCTTGACATGTCAGCTTTGTATTTAAATGGCATATACCTCGCCAACATATATCGTTGGTTACTAGCTAGATAGGCCTACGTGGTGGAAAGGGTCAGCGAGGGCGGACCTATGCGCAGAATCCCATGTGATCCAACACTTCTTACCCGAGAGACGCGTGGATCCCGAAGCTTGATATTTCGCTTTAGACTTTTACGAACAGGGAGATCTTTGTTAAAGCCGGAAAGCTGCTGCAAGTTCAAAATATCCGGTTAGGGTTCACCGATCAACCCTACCGTCTGCATGGCTTGTATTGTTTATGTTTCAATTCCAAGTCCTATGCAGAATTATGGTCAGTTACAGTTGGAGATCGATATTTCTTGACAGAACAGTAAATTGTTGCACTGAATTGGGTTCCTCCAGCGATTCCAATATCGCAAAAAAAAAAAATAAAAAATAAAAAATAAAAATAATAATAATAATAATAAAATAAATAAATAAATAAATAAATAAAAAAGAAAAGAAACCAAAGTCCTAAGCATGCCGATATATTCAGTCTATCTAGCCCATACAGTATCGGGTCAGGGCCAAGGCTAAGTAGCAGCACTCACCAGACCCAACTGCTGGGAGGGATTAAGCACTCTGAAAATCAATCAATGCCACTTCACATAATATCAGACAACACCGAGACTAAAGATGCAATGTAACGCGGGAGTGTTGCATCAAGAGAAACATGTCACTCGGGGGCGGCGATTAAACGCCGATCAGGTACTTTTGTACGAAGCCCCTCATATGCTATATACTCAAGGCACGGGTATTGAAGTAGAAAATTCCATATGTCCTCTGCGCCCACTCTATCGTTGTTGTTTTGATTGCGAACCACCACTGTCCTTGACCATGGCTGAACTGCAACGCCCAGCACATGCCGAGAGGGCAGAGGCCCGGGGAACCCGTTCCCCAGAAGAGAGTCCAGAAGATTCCAGTGATGAAGGAATTGCGGATACGTATGTTCCATTTGACAAGGCATTGATATGAGCTAACCTGGTTCTGTCTAATATCTAGGTCATCGATAGACACGAGAACCACGGCGTCTCTCTCCTCTAGTATCCAGGAAGTTTCCATCGAGCATGGCCGAAAATACCATTCATATAAGGACCATAGTATTTCTGTCCCTTCTTCCTGCGTACTAGGATGTTCCTGGTGGTTAATGGTCCCTATCCAGGCTTCTACTGGCGTCCCAATGACAACGTGAGTAGGTAGCGTCAAGAAAATCGGATGATGGTATCCTAATGGGCCTGAAACAGGACGAACTCGACCGGCTCGACTTAATTCATATGTTGGTTCAGCTTATTAACGATGGACAAATTCATCAAGCTCCAATTGCGAAGAATCCGCAGGGAATCCTGGATATTGGATGCGGAAGGGGTCTTTGGTGTATTGACATGGGCGATGTGTATCCCAGCGCGTCAGTCATAGGGGTCGACATCAGCCCCAGCCAGGTCACTTTCGTGCCTCCTAACGTGAAATTCGAGATTGATGATGTAGAAGAAGAGTGGACCTTCCGTGCTCCGTTCGATTATATCCACGGACAGTATCTGATGGGTGCCATTCGGGATTGGCCCAGACTCCTTAAGCAATGCTTTGAGTACGTTGTTCCTTCAGGCTGCAGATAGGGCAGTTTATTCCAGCTAACAGGGAATGCTATAATCGCCAACAGATATACTAGGCCCGGTGGCTGGGTAGAATTTCAAGATTTTTACCCTGAATATTACTCTGAAGACGGATCCTTGCCACCGGATGCTAAGCTGCACCAGTGGCTACGCCTCGGCGAACAGGCGCTCAATGCGTTTGGACGCGACATGTTTCCGTCGACGAAGATTCCGGATTATGCTCGACAGGCAGGCTATACCAATGTGAAAGTCATCAAAAAGGTGCTGCCTATTGGCACATGGCCGGAAGATGCTGCCCAAGTAGGCCACAACATTAGATCCATTCGGCTGAATCACAGCTAAATCAGATGTCTCAGAAACGAATAGGCCATTTGAACTGGGTACAACTATACGAGGGCCTGCATGGTATGTCGATGAGGCTCTTGTCCAACGGCCTAGGGTGGAAGTATGAAGAGATCGAGGTTCTGCTTAGCCAAGTGCGCAAGGAGCTCAAGGACCCAAACATCCACGCTCAGATGAGCTAGTAAGTTCGATAATATCCAGCTGTATCGTCCAGACTGGTGCTAACGGTCTGCTAGTTATATCGTCTACGCCCAGAAACCGTGACCCTTCATAATGAGATCACGATTGAGCGCAGGCCCACTGCAATTATGTATATACCCGGTTAATATGAGCTCATTATCATCCGCATGTTTATAGGAGTCATAATCAGGGTGATTGATTGATTGATTGCATTATTTAATGTTGGCGGGAGTCAAACTCGCTGAGTTGGTTGATCTAGCTAGGAGTTAATTAATTGTCTATGATATGCCAACTAGGAAGGAGCCGAACCATGGGGACCACCAACGTTCAACGTCCTAAGGGTACGCAAGTGCAGAGATTCCGGAACGGAACATAAGACGGCCGAAGCTAACTCAGCTGGCTAGGTGTAATTATATACAAAGGAGCGCCAGTATGCGCGAGCAGGTGCTGCCACGAGATTAAGCCCTGTCACGATGTTGGTCCGCCATACCTAGGTATGGTTGTCCTGCACCGTGACAATAGTCTGTTGGTGTAGTATTGGCTACGGAGAAAAAAAAGTAGAGGAAAAGAGGGGGGGAATGGAAGGGGGGGTTGGTCAGTGTTGCTTACAGATCTGTGTAGAAAGCGGATTTCTGCAGCCAGTCTGCAAATAGTTGGGCACCCTCCTTAGTGCTCGGGATATTGGCCGCTGTGCGGCTTCCCCATGAGTGTTTGGCAGCCTTCCGGCCTTGTCTGCAGTAGTAGAAGTGGGTGGGCGTCTTCTCTAGACCGCATCTGCAGTGGCGGTCCGTATCTGGGTGATTGAATCACTCATGGTATGCTGCGAAGTCTCCATGTCCTGGCCGCAAGGTCAGGAGGGAGCCTAGTGTGGCCCGGGCGTTTGGTAATGCTGATCCTGAGCTTTTTGTAGCGGTCTGGGGCGTTCTTCTCCCACTGCGCTGCAAAATCATCCTGTAGGCTCTGTTTGCATATCTTTGGGGCTGTTGCGAATGTGCAGGGCTTAGGGTCAGCTGGGGGGTCTGCCTGGAAGCCCTGTTTGGCCTCATGGTCTGCTATTTCGTTTCCTGGGATGCCCGCGTGCCCTGGGGAACCAGTGTATCATTATCTGGCCCCAGTTGGGGAAGGTCTTTCTGGGCCGTTCCTTCCAGGCTTTTATTGTGTCTTGGAAGGCATGGGAAGTTGCCTGGCTTGACCCTGGGTATGGAGTGGCTTGCTGGAGTTGGAGTGCTGCTTTAAGGCCCTGAAGGGCTGCCTCAGCTTCCGCGTCAAATACCTCTGCTTGGGTCAGGTTGTAGGTGTCCTTGGTGGAGCAGGTCATGCTTCTTTCTCCAGAAAATTGCCCACCTGGCATCTGCACTGTGAGTGTTTGGGTTGGTCCAGGACCCATCTGAGTAAATGAACAAGTCCGTAGGGTCTTGCGTGTCAATCCATTGGGCACGGCTGTCTTGGTCTCGTGGTGTGGGATCCCTGGCTCGCAGCCCGGGGTGAAGGTTGGACGCTTCCGTGTCATGTCCCAGGGGGGGGTAGAGGTAAGTGTCTATGTATTCTGCCTGTAGGGAGAGAGGGATGCCCGCAGCAGGCGTGTGTTGAGGTTGTATTTGTGGGGCCGGGTGGTTCGGCGGTATAGAGGATGGTGGGCGTCCAAGCGGTGGATCCGGGCTGCCTGTTGTTGCTTGCGGTAAAAAGAAACCGACCGAGATGGGACTCGAACCCACGACCTTTCGCATGTTCACTAGGAGGTATCTCTGATACCTGCCCGGAAACGAATGCGCTACCATTGCGCCACCCGGCCTCATAATCAGGGTGAGATGAATCCGTTCTCTGCGGCTCTTTCGACTTCGCGCTATTTCACATGTCCGGACTGATCGACGTAGACCTAGATCGACATGGATAATTATAGAGCGCATTGATTTTCGAAATGCTGGTACCATTGCAAGAGAGACAGTAGCAGCAAAGAATGTTAACCATAATGTTAAATCACTGATACAGTAAGCAGGAAGAAAGCATGTCGATATGTCACGTGGTCTGGTTTATCACACGTGATGAGGTAGCGGGGTCCGAAAGCGGTTTAGTGCGGGCAGTGTCGGGACCCCGATGCGGCTTAGCGGCATCAGCAGCATCGCTCATCGTCAGCTTCAACATAGGCAACAGACCGTACTTCGCTCAAGCTTCCCCTTTCTCTCTTTTTTCTCTCTCTGCTCTTGCAAAAGCCAGGCAGCTCTCCTCCTATTCTTTCCTTCTCTTCCTGCCTGTCAGCAATCCCAATTGGGATAAGACCTCATCAGCGCATTCGGCATCTACAGTCAGATACCGCGCTCTCATCGTCCCCTTTCACGATAACCTTTCGTATCGCATTTTGGAATACTGGAGTAATGGCTTTTCCTCACGATCCACTGCTCTATCCAGTGTCCCAGTCAGATCACTCGAATGAGTGGCTTGACTTGGACAATTCCTTTGACTTTCCTTCCGACTACATCGACAGCGTCCCAACTATGGACTCTATCCTCTTTGAGGATAATAGTCTATCTGTCTCCGGAACGGATGAATTCAACTGCAATTTGTCCCCCGACTCTACCTCACAGGCTTACCAGCCTTCTCTGGATCAAGTATTCGAGGGTGGCTATGGTAATGGGAACGGCGAGGTCACTGGAGATGGTGATTTCTTTTTCGATTCCCCTACAACTTCCTTCAATGCCGGGTTGTATGAATCTCCAACCTCCAACGGTTTGTCATACGATGCATCCGACTTTTTTTCTTCTTCCATCCGCCATATGGTAGAGGCCAAGGCCTCCTCCGATACACGTTACATGGCACGGAAGGAGAAGCGCCGAGAAGCGGCAATTGCAATCCATCTACAGCGTCTACAGGATGCCGTCGCTGCGGATAGGTATCTTTCCTCAGACTCTAGCACCAGCATTTCATCGCCTTGCTGGTCTGATTTTGTTCGGGAAAGCATGTCCCCTCAGCCCCCGCCGACAAAGTCTACCAAGGTGTCACCAGCTTCTTCCGAATCTGTTCACAATGCCTCTCAAACTGAAACGCCTTATTCATCTGGTGCGAATCCCATTGCCGGTGGTGTGGAAATGGTACTCGATTTGAATATGAATGCGGCCACCAATCTGCCCAAGAAGCAAAAACCTAGATCACTAGCTCAAAAAGAGAGTTACATGAAGGTTCGAAAACATGGTGCATGTGAGAAGCATAGAAAACAACATAAAAGAGTGAGTATCTTTCCAATAGCCAGAGTGCTCTGTCGGGCAGACGCCAATTCAATCTCAGTGTAATTGCTTTGAGAAAAACGCAGCCAGCCTTGGAAGCGTCAGTACGATAACCCCAGCGACTACTCCGCTCTCAAGACCAATGGCATTCAAATCAATCAAGGACGCCTCGCAAAGAGCAGCAATCCGCAAACCAAGCGAACGATGGCAAAGTCCAGCGAATCCACTGCAGGTCATACACACCGTGGACAAGGAGCCAAGCAACATATACTCGTCTCCTGCCGTGGATGCCAACTACCCAAAGCACTCGTCACGCGCTGGGAATGGATGTGGTATTCGTGGAAACGCGGCTCTATTTAGACCACTGCCTGACGAACGACTCCAAGTGCGGCAACCCTGGATGTCAGCCAGCCACTCGCTATCGACTCCATTTGTCTTCACTGCCCACGCCTCATACAGCGCTCAGGAAAGCCCTGGTATGTCTCCAAAGGACAGGTCCAGCACGCCAGTGATGGCATCTTATACAGCCCCGTGCTGTCTTTCCACTGCGAGAGACATCCAGACCTCGTCTGCCGCATCATCACCATTCTCTTCTGCTGGTAGTGGGACTATTCAACAACCCATCAGATTCCGACTGCGGAGCATGGTACACAATGCATCTGCTAATGCTGCCGGAGCTGTTCGCACTGTTAAAAGCACTGTGGTTTCAGGACCTCTGGCGGTTAATGGAGCACTCATAGAGTATGGTTGTGGGGTCACTCGACAAGTTTTCGAACACATCACGGTGTCTATTTGCTCTTACTGGAGGTCTTGGTCGGTCGTCACCTCTCTAGCTGGTTCCTTTTTTGGCAACGCCACTCGGGCATGTTGCCGGCAGATTCTTTTCGCGAAACGATTCTCTGGTAGTTTTGTTTAAGAGCCATGGCATGTGAATATGTCACTGTTTTTATGTTTTGCCTATTGTTGTACTCCTTGGGCTTTGCGGTTTTTACTTATTGATTCATGATTCTTTTCTGTTCTCACTACGGTTCCTAGCTGTTGCTGGGCAAAAGGCACATCCCGGGTGAATAAACACCAATACCACCAGCTCAACAGGGTCCCACCATGGTTTAACCTGAACCTTAATGTAATATGTAGACCAAATGAGATGTTCGAAATGAATGCATTCTGTCGCGAAGTGAAACCTTACGAATGTGCATTGACTCGATTGACATACAGCACTGCCCCGCGATGGAACACACGTGGTCGCTATTGAGACTCGATGCATTCGGATATTTTCATTGTACGTTGTAGGCAAATTTCGCCTGGACATGAGTTTAATTTGAGGTGGAAACATTCAATTCCGATCATAATAAAGCCTGATGGTTGTATGCTGACTCGCCCCTTCGAGTGTCATTCCATGAATATATATATCGTGATAGTAGCTGACCCACACATTATTATTATACAGCATTAAGCTACTTCTGGTTTGCATATTCCAGACATATCCCTGTTATTCACGAATGCTATTAAAGATGACAGTCATCCCAGAAACAGACTCAATCATCACCCCAGACTCAAAGCCAGAATCAGAACCCCGTTTCACCTTCACCACTGTACCAGGGTACTTTCTCCCGGATCTCGAGGAGACGGATCCCGGCAAGTTTGACTATGTGAGTTTACCTGCAGTGTCCTATACCATGCCACCTGGATAATGTATATGACTGATGTTGATAACAATTCTGATAATGGTATAGGACTCTACAAACTTTGGCCTCATAGACCGCACATACCCCTCTGACAAAGATTTTGATCCCATAACCCTCCCGCAAACGACACAGTGGGAGCGTTTTGAGCACCATGTCCGGAAACTAAACGCCGATGCCAAAGTTTCTAGTCCGCCAGTTTCGTATAAGGTTCTTTTCCTTGCAAGACATGGAGAGGGGTATCATAATGTTGCGGAGAGGTATTATGGGCGAGAAGCGTGGGATGTACGTATCCCCTCTCCTTTTCAACTAACATGACAAAATAGATACACATGAATAGTTACAACTGTAAACCAGATGGAGATCTGATGATTGATGACAGTCCTACTGGTCCCTCCAACCAGGCAATGACAAATGGACCTGGTTCGACGCCAAACTCACTCCCACCGGCACCGACCAGGCCCTAACAGCCCGCAAGGCATGGAAGAAGCACCTCGAGACGAATCGCATTCCGGCCCCGGAATCGTACTACGTCAGTCCCCTGATGAGATGTCTGCAGACGGCTAGACTTACCTTCGAGGGAATTGGGGTTGCGGGAACGAAGCCATTTACGCCTGTTGTTAAGGAGGTACTTGACACTCATCTCATTTCATTTTACTTATTTCATATCTATTTCACCATGGGTAGGATAAGAATATACCTGCTAACGTACTGGATAGAATATAAGAGAAACACTAGGAATGCATACATGTGATGCCCGCTCTCCCAAGTCTGTCATCGAGGCTGCATATCCGACCTACGTCTTCGAGGAGGGGTTTTCTGACGCTGATCCGGATCCGTTTTTTGATCCGGCGCGTCGCGAGTCGAATAGTGAGCGGAATGCGAGGGTTCGGGGGGCTCTGGTTGATATCTTCTCTCGGGATGAGAATGTGTTTGTCTCCGTCACGGTGCATTCGGGGGTTATTACTTCTTTTCTGGAGGTCATTGGGCATCGGCCTTTTCAGGTGATGACAGGGGGTGTGGTGGCTGTACTTGTTAAGGGGGAGCGTATTGGGGTTGATAAGGCTATCCTGTAAAGCCTCTGGAGGAACTGATATATTGACACTCAGAAGAACATAATTGTTATATTGTACATTGGCTTAAAGGGAGAAAAGAAATCAATCTAGATATATTACCAACTGTAATACTGGTTCTGGGCCGTCACCTTCCGATCAGGTAGTTGTGTCCATAAGTGAGATTTCCGCTGGCGAAGAGCCTTGGCTTCTCGGTCCTGCCATTCCCGAATGCGCGTCTTTTCCTCCTTCAGCAAAACGGACAATGAGGTCCATGGCGGGCGAAGGGTGTGAACTGATCCCCTTGCTCGGTGTTGTATGCGCCTCTCATACGGGCCGCGGTTCACCCACGCCTGCGCGATGTAAATCGATGTAGGATTGGTGATCTTCTTACGCTCACCGTTACTCAATGTAATGGTAATAGGTGTTGGAGCTGGCCCATCTTCCTTCGGGGCTTCGAGGCCCATTCCCCACCGGACCATGGCCTCGTTTTTGGCATGTTCCAAGTGTTCGAGGACATCCTTGGCTGCCTTCTTCTTACTCAGCCGCATTTGCAAGATGGCCTCGTCGATGTTCTTCCCGGCAATCTGACGAGCCAAGGGACCCAGCTTCTTTATCGACGTCTTGAACCAATGCGACTTGCTCAGCGATTCGAGCTCCGTACGCATGATCTGCTCCGTCTTGGTGAGACGTCCCCGACGTCGAATCTCACGTGCAATCATCTTCCTTTCCCAACGACGGCGCGCATTAGGGCGAGGGTCGAGAACTGGCTGCATTTGCTCCCAGTTCCTCTGCTCCAGCGCATCAGGAGCGATGACACCGTCCCACTCGGAAGCAGCCCGGTCCGTCTTCGGTGTTGGCGCTTGCTTGCTCGCCCCGAGATCCTCTGCGAAAATGGAATCTTCACCTAACGTTCCCTCCTTCTGCTGGGGAGCAACTGATCTCCGTGTGATCTTGGGCTTGGCGGCGTCTGACTTCTTTCCGCCGAAAAAGAAGTCCTTGATGGAGGAGAGAGCGGACGGACGGGATTGGCGTTGTTCAGGTTGCTGTTTGGAAGGCTGCTCTGGAGGCTCGATACCATTGCTGCTATTATCGACCTGAGCACGTCGACACACAGAGTAGGTCAATGTACGGCGAGGGATGATGGTACCTGCTCGGGCTTCGGGAGGTTAGACGGGGCACGGGAATTGGCAATCGTACCAATCTGGGTGGACGTTACCTGACCGGAGCAGATGCCCATATGGGTGTAATGAGCCCATTGAGGCCATCATGGATGATACACGAGAGACAGCCGGTGTGGGAGCCGGGCGATGGCGATGAACCGCTGGAGCATCACGAAGAGAAGGAAAATGTCGCGGTGGTCAGGTGATATGCATGTACAGGAGTAATGGCATACCGTAGCCGTTCCCTGCACCGCCACTTCATCGCCGAAACCTATGGCGGTGCAGAGGTATGTTACATCGTATGTATGTTATATTTCACGTGGCAGTCCGCGACAGCCTAGGCATTTCCCCTTGCAGTTGCAGCGGCATTTCCGGCGGCATTTCACGCTGCATCTTTGCGATAAGGATGATGGAATAGAGAATGTAAATAGTATATTCATGTATGCGAGACCTCTTCCCACACATAATCCCCGTAGTTGCCCAGCGTGGCCCCGAGAAACACGATTTGCCGACGTAGCGACATGTAACCCGCGCAGCGTCAGGTGGTGCTGGAGCTCTGCTCTTCTCGCGATCCACTGGCAACCTTCTTTTCCTCCCGTCTTCCTCTCCTGCGCTGCGATCGCCTACCGTGCATGCTAGAGTAATCTGCGTCTATTATCATCTCCGCAATCTCTCTTCATCCCTGCCTGCTGTACGTGCATCACCGTGCACTGTATCCTTCCCTTCCGTCGCCCGTCTGCTAACCCGCGTCTGTCAGGTCTTTTCCACCTCCCCAGCTGCTCCCTCTCGCTCGCTCTTCAGTCACCCCATCCAGACCTCTTCTTCTATTGCGACCTCTAGTTCCTGTTCGTCTCCAATTTTACTGCTGGTGTGCCCCTGCGTGCGCACTGCAGTTTATCGTCGCTAGATTTCTCTGTCCTTTCCCGCAAAGGAACGGTCTGGTTGTGGTCAGAGAGGAAGTGAGGCTGATTTGGCCGAGGGAGGAATGGACTCGTGCTTGAGTTGTCTTGCTGACGGCCTGGGATTCGATTTAGAATAATCTTTGATTTTTGAAGGCAGTTTTGGTCTTCATTTTTTATGCTTGATCTTTTTTTCCCTTTTTTTCTTAACCTTTTCTTCGTTTTTGATTATTTTTCCTCCTAGGAGTGTTTCAGACAAAATGGACATAAATTCACTTCTCTCCCCGCAGGACACTCCTTCCAATTCCTCACGTTCCACTCCCGGTGTGGCTACTCCGTCTGGAAACTCTTCGGCGCAATCTGCGGTACATTCGCCTCATCGAGCTTTCCCCCGGGGGCGTTCTAGTTCTTCCAGACCAGGAATGACTTCTTCCCCCCTTGCACAACAGGTCTTTCCGTCAACAGCATTGCCTGAGCCTTCTCCACCGGCAATGAGCCCGCCGGTTGGTCCTAACTTGGGCGGTGGAAGTGGAACGCCCCCGGCTGGCGAACTGGTTTCTCCCAGACAGCCATCCACCGGAATAGATACCCTGGCCGACCTGGCATCGATGCAGCATCATCAACCCCAGAAAACTGCCGCCTCGTTACTGCGCAGTACCAAGCCCTACGAAAGCCAGCTGTCTCCCTCGACCATGCATCCCAACGTGAAAGCGATCCCCCAAAACACCCCCATTCCGAGAACATCGTTCGATATAGCGATGTCGGAGGGTCCAAGGGGAGGGGCCCAAAGGGACTACACCGACACTTCTCTTTTACCGGAGGCGCAGCGCATGGCAACTGAACTGTTCGCGCAAATCCAAGAGAATCCTCAGTCGTACGACGCACACACCCAATTTATTCGTCTACTCCACGCTGGCTTTATCAACCATGTTTATCCTCCGTCAAATCCCGATGTTCACGGAGATCCACATAGGTACGACCTTCTGAGAGACCTGAGGACCGCTCGAGAAGAGATGGACAAGCTCTTTGCTATTGGTGAGGATCTCTGGGCAGAATGGATCCAAGACGAAAGCATGCTGGCGCAGACTGTGGATGAGCGCATAGCCGTAATGGAATTGTGCCAGCGATCTGTTGAAGAGGAATACGGCAGTACTAAGCTCTGGGCCATCTACGGCGAGTGGGTATTGTATCTCTATACGGCCGCTTCTGACAACTCTGACCAGAGCAACTGGAGCGAGGAGGACAGGCTAGTGGGCCGGGAGGTCTTCACCTGGCAGTCAGTGCTGGACGTTTGGCAGAGAGGTGCGGAAGGGACGCGCTGGAGGATTAATGACAGCCACGTCATCTGGGATCGGGCTCTGGAGCTGCAAATAACAGATCTTTCACGCTCTCCTACGCAGGAGAAGATTGGCGAGGTAAAACGACTCTTCGATATCCGCTTGCAAACCCCCCATGTCACCTGGGATCAGACGTTTCAGACATTCTCTACTTTTGTGTCTACATACTACAATGCGAATTACGAGGAGATCATGTCTGAGACGGTCGCACGGGCATCTGATGCCAAGATAAAACTAGCAGCCCGTCAGGACCTTGAGACGAAGCTACAAAGCACTGTCGATTCCGGCGATAGGACCCGGGAATGGGCTGTATTCTCTGAGTACATTGAATGGGAAGTCAGTCGGAAGCGGAAGAGCCGCCAGTTTAGCTTCGACCTCGTCAACGCTGTCTATCAGCGTGCGGTTCTGCGCTTTCCGACGGACGTCAATCTCTGGGAAGACTACGCCATGTTTCTCATCGACGAATCAATGAATGATCATGTGCCTACCAGCACCATTTCGACCCTCGACCGGGCGACGCGGCACTGTCCCTGGTCGGGTACTCTGTGGTCCCAGTACTTGCTCAGCTCCGAAAGAGAGGGCCGGTCCTTTGCCACAATCTCCGATATCAAACATAAAGCGACGAGTACGGGTTTGCTGGATGCTGGTGGTATGGAGGAGGTTCTCAAGGTACACACGGCTTGGTGCAGCTACCTTCGCCATCGCTCATTTCTACCGGATGCCACCGATGAGGATCTTGATGTCGCAGAAGTTGGCATACGGTCCTCCATTGAAGACGTCCAGGAGCTCGGCGAGAAGAAGTACGGAAAGGCTTATCAAGGAGACCCGCAGTTTCGCCTTGAGCGGATTTACATACGCTATCTTAGTGAGAGTGGTAGTTGGGATAGCGCGCGGGAAGCATTCAAGGGCCTCGTTGAACGTCGGGGGAACAGTTATGAGTTTTGGTTGACGTATTACGAGTGGGAGTTGATCTCCTGGAGCAAGTTTGTACAAGGTGACGCGACAGCTGACGCGGCCCGACGGACTCCAAGTCCAAGCTTTGCGACGGCAGTGCTGAAGCAAGCGATTCAGCGGATAGACCTGGACTGGCCGGAAAAGATCGTCCATGCATACATCGCCCATTGCGAGGACTACGAGGACTCGGAAGAACTCCAGCTTGCGGTGCTGGAAACGAGGAAATACATGAAGGCTATCAAAGCAAAGCGCGAGAAGGAAGCGAGAGAAGCGGCAGCGTGGCAGGCGGCAGCAGAGCCAGTGGTCCACGCCGAGAAAAGAAAAAGAGAGGACGAAATGTACGTAAATGGCCTGCCCAACAACAAACGGTCTCGCCCTGAGGAGGCCCTTCCGCCCACCACGGAAGCAGAACCCGTCACAGCTCGGAGGGATCGCGAGAATGCTACGGTGATTGTCAAAAATTTACCCCACGGCATCACCGAGCATAGAGTGCGACAATTCTTCCGTCATGTATAGTCTCCTTTTTTAATTACTTCCCTGTCCGTGCTTGATCATTCGTTGTTTCTAACTTTCGATAGTGTGGTACCATTAATAGCATAAAAATGCTCCACGGCGATGACGGCAATTCCGAGGTGGCCGTGATTGAGTTCGACACGAAGGACGAGGCTGCTGCTGCCCAGACGCGGGATCAAAAGCTGCTCGACAACAACGCTATTGAAGTTCAATTGGGATCCGGCTCGACGTTGTTTGTCACGAATTTCCCTGCGGAAACGGATGAGATGTGTATTCGGGATATGTTCCGGACGGTAAGTCGACACCCGGCTGCCCTTTTCTTTCTTCTCAGGGTTGGTTCTGACTTACGAGCAGTATGGCGAAGTTGTTGATATTCGATTTCCGTCCCTCAAGTATAATACGCATCGGCGATTCTGTTACGTGCAGTTCGAGAATGCCGGTGACGCCCGTAGGGCTTTGGAACTGGATGGCAAGGACTTCGGAAAGGGCCTGTGTCTTGTTGTGAAGATATCAGACCCGTCCCATAAGGAGGATCGCAAGGGTCCGATGCACGAGGGCCGAGAGATCCATGTTTCAAACCTTGATTGGAAGGCCGACGAAAAAGACCTGAAAGAGCTGTTCTCTAAGTACGGAACCGTTGAGCTGGCGCGCATCCCGAGGAAAGTTGATGGCGGTAGTAAAGGCTTTGGTTATGTTGTCTTTTCTTCCAAGGTACGTTTTTCTTGCTGGAATAGTTGATAAGTTGTCGATGACTAACATACCTCTAGGAGGAAGCGAATGCCGCTTTAGCAATGCACGAGCAGGAATTTCGTTCAAGGCCCTTACATGTGAGGCTCTCCAGCCCGACCGGCGCGAAACGCAGCGCGACTGCTGTGATGACACGGGTACCTTCGAAGATGTCACCACCTCCCACGGGAGCCAATGGAGTCGGTCATGGTACTGCGGAAGTTGAAATTCCAACAGGCGACCGTGCTGCGCGTACCTTGGGTCTCATGAATGTTCCAGACACCGTCAATGATGCGCGGATCCGCGCCATAGTGGAGCCGTTTGGTAAACTTATCAAGATTGTGTTGCGACCGGACCACCAAGGGGCAATTGTTGAGTTCGCTGATGTGCATGCTGCTGGAAAGGCCTCGTTGGGACTGGAGGGTAAGGAGATCGGCCAAGGCCGTAGGCTACATGTTGGCACTGTGCCGGAGATGCTCAAGCAACCTGCGGAGCGGAAGACCAGCCGGACGCAGTCGACCAAGCCGAAGAAAGAGGAGGCTGGCCTGCTCCCCCAGGGTGGACCCATCAGGCGTCCTGTACAGCCCGGGGCGCGAGGCGGACGCAGGGGAGGACTTGGAGTGAAACGGGGCAGTTTTCCTCTGGCATATTCGCACAGCAGATCGGTGGATGGTAACGCAGAGACGAGCCATCACGAAGGAAACCACAGGACGAAGAGCAATGCGGATTTCCGGACGCTGATCCAGCACGGCCGGGAGGAGTGATTTCTTTTTATTTATTTCGTTTATTTCGTTTCCTTGTATCCATTTATTGCATGGCTGACCGGTAATGGCGTTGTGATTCTCAGCCGGTTATGATGCTTCATCTAATGACTGCTGCATGTTGGAGTGTAATGAGATTATTCGGATCGTCCAGTTGACTCGATCAGTTGATCCAATCGATTACATGATCTTTTTAAAATATGATTCAAATAATATCTGCATGCTCACAGTAGATCTATATCTGCTTCCGTTCGCAACTGCAAATCCCGCAGGGCCAAAGCTCCTGTGGTACCCCTCCTCTTCTCTTTTCTTTTTTCTTTCTCCCTTTTCCTTTCATTATCTTCGTCTTGTCATCTATCTCCATTATCTGCGATCAATTGTGTCTTCGCATTGCTGCTCCCGCTGCTGCTGCCTCGAGGCGATATCATATCCACGTCTCCCCACCAGGCACCGGCAAAAGCGTCATCATCACGCGGCTCCCCCCAGCTCCCCCCAGCTCTCCCCGACTCTCCCCAACCCTCCCCCTTGCACTCTCCAGCCTCTCTCACCTCAGGCACAATGGACTTCCATCTTGCCGCTCGAGGCCCGGACAGGAACTACACCGGGTTCCTCACAAAAACAATCGTCTATATGGCCACTCTGGTCATCTTCCTCCTCGGTGAGCCGTCTACATTCCTTCCCACGAAGCAACCGCAACTTGTGCTGACGCATGTCGATTTCATCTCCTTTCTTGTCACAGCATTCGCTTTTACTCTCTCCTCCATCATAATCCCGAAGTGGATCAGCTATAATAGTGACAAGGTGGGTGTCCTCCCCCTTCCTCCCCTCTATAATCATCCGATCTATACAGGCTAACCAGAGCACTATTCCTGTCCAGCCTCCAATCCACTACTCCTACGGTCTAACCAGTCGCTGTTCCTGGCTCTCAAAAACATGCGAACCCTTTCCCCAACGTGACGACTGTCACGGCGAAGACCGATACTTTTGCTCCATGTGGCGCTCCGTCAGCTTCCTCATGACCTTCGCCGTTGTTGTTGAGGGAATCTGCATTGTCGCGTACCTCGTCATACTCACAGGTGGGAAACGACTGCGCGAGTCGGGGTGGAGGTTCCTTGCGTTTCTGATCCTTATTGCTGCCATTGTGCAGGCGGCCAGCATGGCATTGGTGGTACGTTACAATGTTTTATGAGCTGCTTTGGGGGGGAAGGACTTAAAAGGCTAACCATTTCAGGCCTACCTGTATGACAACGAGCCCCGCTTCTTCGCTGGTTGGAAACTCGACGAGTCCTGGGCTTGTTGCACCGCTAGCTGGTGCTTGACTGTGCTCTGCGCGGGAGCTATCGTTATTGCGGCCAAGACGCTTCCATCGGAGGGTGGTTATGAGTTGATTCCCGACCAGCTTTATGAATGATTGAATTTGTTCACTTGATGGGCTCTAGTTTAGTCGCTGCAACAATCGTTACATGGATCGGGATTTTTTTCTTTTTTTTCTTTTTGTCATACATTGCGGGCGATGGATACTTTAAACTTAATTCTCATTTCCGGCTGCTATACTAGTACCAGCGATTTGATTTCTGCTGCCAATTCTAATGACTTCTCATGGTAATAGTGTCTGGGTTTCACTTTCCTGGTTTGTCTGGGCGAAACGGTGTATGGGATAGGGATATGGATATGGGTTCGGATATACAACAGCTAATTGTGTTTTAATTCTCCTTTTCCTTATTTACTTTCTTGACATAGTTACTTCGATCTTGAATTAATCTGGCAGTAAGTTGACTCATTGATTCTACGACTATCTACCATATCGTTATGTAGATTCGCCCTTTGTTTAAGATTGAATAGTCGGATTAATGACTCCGTCGAGAGCGAGGGCCAAGCTTCCGCACTCGACCTCTCCGGTCAACGCGGGAGGCATTCCTGCTGCTGCTGTGGTTGTTGTTAGATGAACCAGTCACAGTAGAAGAACCTTGAGATAGACCCGATATTTGGTGCTGTTGCTGCTGCTGTTGAAGAGCATACACCCCAGGATAAAAATCGGGTAAGATCTCAATATCCGGGAATCTGATCACTCTCCTGGTCTGGATATCTTCCCTCAACCGGGTAATAATGGTGCGGATATCCCGGAAAGACTTGTTAGGACCTAGTTCATGGATGAGCCAGGGTGGGATAGGGTTTGGCCGGTTTCTGCGGGTGCGGTAGGTGCGGTGGGTGGTGCTGGCAGTAGTAGTTGCGTTGGTGTTCGCTGGTGTGGGATCCATGTCTGCATCGGTATCTTCTTCTTCTCCGTCTCCATCCTCGTCTTCAACTCCATCGGTGTCTAAGGCGTCCGTATCCGCACCGGATACATCTACGTCTGTATCTAGACCTGCGTCTGGATCTGCAGGAGCTGCAGCAGAACCAGAATCGGAACCACCATCCTGAACCATCCCAGAAGAGGAAGAAAGCATAGCCCTCCTCCTCCTCACAATTTCCCAAACTCTAACCTGCCCCCAGCTCTCCATCCGGTTCAGCGTCTGCTCCAAAATATCACACTGCCGAAGTGCCCACAACGCATCCCTGTACCGCGACCGCTGGTAGTGCTTCCGACAGAAGTACACCCAGACATGGTCCGGGAAGGTGCGCGTGACTGTCTTGTTGCGGCCGAAGATGTGCGAGATTAGTTTTCGGGGATGTGGGGAGTTGGTGTTGCAGGGGTTGGTGAATTCGCAGAGACGCCCGTTTTGGAGGCGCATTGCTTTCTTTTGTTTTCTTCTCCCCTATTGGATTTGTTGATATGGCGCTTTCTGGGGCGTTCGATTGTGGATTCCCCGGATTAATTGAGATGTAGATGAGGACGGCCTGCTGATGGAAGAAGTAAAGATAAATGATGCTTGTAAATCAATTTATACATTTTGTTGACAGTGTTTTCTGTAAGGAGACAATATCATAATGAGGGTGTTAAGGCATCAGCATTGCTAGCTTGGAGATCTCCGCAAAACAACATTTTGTCAAAGAGATAGATGTCAATTATAGAAAGGGGAGGAAGAGAGTATAAGACAGGTATAAAGGATCAATTCATTCAACAGGATATATCACCCCCTACAAAGATTCAGCATTAGCATTGCATTCAGGACCACATAATCAATCAAAATGCATAGAGGCAAGAGATGATGAGGCAAATCATTCATTCAGTGCCATGCTCCAGAAAGACCTTGTCACTGCACATTCTAGCTATCAATCCAAGACATCATTCACAATTCATTGTCGTTAGGTCGTCTGCCTACAGTTAGCTTGAGCCTTACTGTAGGAGTCAAACTTACCCTACGTGCCATCGTACTTCCATATATGCTGCCATATCATCGACATCGAATGACGAACCTCAAGACTTAAATGCCAACTATCCATCTCATCAATTCACATTTCAGAGCATTCTGCATCCATTTTGAAAAGCCAGGAAATAAGATCAAGCCTACGCCGCCATTTTGACCCCGCATTAGCATTATTCCTTCCGTAAACAGACTCTTTTAACCTGTCACAATTAGCCTGTCCGCAACCAGAAGTTGATCAATTATTAGAGTCATACTTAACCCGAGATGTATAGTGAGTGCCACTACATGGCATATCCAGTAACCATGGTTCTGGGAGCGTATTTCCGTACCACTCGACCACCACTGCATCCAATATCGATTGATTTTAACTCTCGACTAAGCGCATCCATGCTCCTATTGACAGATGAAACAGGATGGTTGTGGTTAATAGGCGCTGCAATAGGCACCTTTGATGGAATTGCCGGTACTGGATTGCTTGGAGCGTAAAAGCTAGACGCTGTATACGGACTTCTGGATGGAGAACGAGCCGGTGACACGGAGTTGCGATGGGACATTCTCGGCATGACTTCCGCTGCAGAGCCTGCGCTATATCCTCTATTGGGCGAGTGGCTAATATAGGCATCATGACCACGGGGAGAGTTCTGGGTTGCGGGATCGTTGCTGAATCGGACATACGATCGAGGACGACCACGACCCGTATTGTTGGCTGGTATAACAGTTTGAGGCGCAGCACGCTCCATTGGAGATGGTGGCTGTGGGCTGGCTCTTGCAGGAGGATGTTTGAAGCGAACAATCACCTCCGGCTTCCGATTTTTTCTCTCTGGTTCTGGAGCCCATGTGTCGGATGGTAGGTGATCGGAAGGGTCAATTTCGCGACCATCATCCCCGATTATGGGCCCTTGCTCTTTGTACGGGACATTGGGAATTGAAGCGTCCAATACTGTCTTCGGTGCGTCGTATTGCGGTGGATCTTGCGTAGTGGCTGATATTGAAAGGTTGGGATTCAGCACATTGTATGAGTCCGGCGAGAACGGGATGCTACTCATATCACGTTCCCTAGCCGTTGGTGGCTGTGGGCTGATTGATTTCCTAGGAGGAACGGTCCTGAAGTCTCTGTTGACTGAGCCCCTGGTTATAACCGGCCGTTCAGCCGCTCTTGCAGATGTTCTCAGAGGGTATACAGCTGAATCATACGAAGAAGGTCGCGAAGGCTGAACCACGACTGAGCGTTCAGATGCAGAAGCCTGTTCCGCTATCAAACCACTTCGTTTGTGCCTCATTTGGTTTTCATACATAGCGCGATCAGACTCCGCTTCCGCGATGGATGGATCATACCCAGGGATCAAACTCGGTGGCATCGCAGGTGGTTCTGTGTATGGAGGAAGATCGTCGCATTGGCCTACCGATACAGGTGCCTCTGGAATTGACATTTTCATCTCAGCAGAGGTGGGTGTGGTAGGAATATAATCTGCAGAGTACGCCTTGTAGGTTGGCTGCACACGTGACGATACCATACCAGACCTATGGACTGGGGGTGGAGGAGGGGGTCCCTCGTCATCTTCAAGTTCGTCTTCCTCTCCATCCTCGACGCTCGGTTGCATGGAAGCATACTCGGCATGGTAGTCCTCACGGCTGATAGAATTGTGAAGGGCTCTAACATTGTTGACCATGGAATTGTCATGCGGATAATAATGTGCATCTGGTTCTGGGGGTCCCGAAACAGGGTACACCAGCGCTGGATCGGTTGAGGGAAGTTGATATGTATGTTTGACCGATTGAGGGGGATACTTGGCAATCTGTCCTTTTGAAATGGAGTGATTGCTCATATGAGAAGGCACACTGTATGGACGGCCTGAATGTCTATCGACTGCCTGGGGCAGAGGATCCGCACGATGGGGTAACATCTCTTTCTTGGGTCGGCGTTCCAAGGGTGGTTGCAGATCACACTCTGGCTGCAGAACCATCTGCTGAAAATGTGTATCGTCTGCCTGGACTGTCGGCTGCGGATATGAGTGCTGAGAATCTTGCTGATGACGAGCCACCAATTGCGAATGAGCCTGGGCATCCGTAGATCCCCATTCCTGATGGTGATCATCCGGAGTTTCGTAGGTCCTCGCTGGCCGTGGTGCAGCAACTTGGGTAGGCGCAGGCTTATCATACAGACCTTCCTTTGATGCATTTTTGGAATGATGCCGCACATGGTCGGACGCGACAGGTGGAACAGGGCCATGTCGGGAAGATGGACGCTGGGCCTTGTCTGCAGTCGAAGGGCGCGCACCAGCAGGTGAGCCATTGGTAGTATCCGGAAGAGGTCGTCTCTTAAGCTCTTTTGGCTTCCTGGGGCCGACAACAGATGACGAAGACGTGCTCCCACTACTCAGGGTCGTCTTGGCTGCGGAAGTCTTCTCAATAGCCTCCTTTCTGCGTTCCATCAGCGACTCTTCTTTCGGTCGCGTATCATAGTAGGTCAATTCAATTCGAATCTCTCCGGCATACCGCCCTCTGAACTGCAGCGGATGCCAGTGATCGCCTTGGCCACCGCCTGGGATGATAACATCGTTTAAATCAACCCAGGTTTCGCCAATAAGATCGGTCTTCTTGTCGTCATTGAACACAGACACTTTGAGTCTGAAATAATCTGGAGACTCGTGCACAGTGAAACGCAGCTCCTGATCCCTATAATTAAGTCAGCAACAAACGGAGTCTTGTTTGCAAGATGTAAGTTGAAAGACACATCTAACTTACCATCGAGGCGTTTGTCCTCCACGCAAGTCCGTATCGGTCTTCTTCGCCTCCTTTCCCAAACGAGCAGCACAGTAAGGATTCTGCTTCCCCATGGTCTTTCTGTTAGGAAGATTCTTCGCGCGGTCGACAACGGCCACGAGAGTTCCGATCACAGGCCCGTCTACCGAAATATCTGCATAGATACCCGCGGCATGATTGATGCCGGGTACTTTGGTGAGTTTTGTCACCATTGTCGATTCACCTGAGGGAAAACAAGATGAAACAAGTTGAGGCGATGTGCCAGCGACTATCCACGAGTCCGTTTTGTCCTACGTCGCCATCTAAGACAGTGCAGTGATGAGCTAGGACAGTTGCTTGGGGGAGTGTGTACACAAAGGACAAACAGAACAACGATGAGATGACAGGACTGGAAAAATCAGATGAAGGATAAACAACCCTGCATGGGACTAAAGGAGAGAAGTCAAGAACAAGAAGGTGATGGTGGGGAGAAGAAGAGAGAGACAGCGAGAGAAAGAAGACGCAGTGCAGCACACTGTATGGTATTCATTGTATCGTATTTACTGTACGGTACGGGCGATAATGGGGAGGCTGGGACGCTAACCCCGGAACTGACTAGCGCTAGGCTGGTAGCAGATATCAGCCGCATATGATTGGCCATGTCGGCTGTTCCTGCATCAGTGCTCTACTTTTAGCCGCGATGCGTCCAACTCCGTCGCTGCAGGAAATCCAGCTAATTCTTGTTTGCCTTGGAATCCATTAATGGCCTTCATTTCTATCCTTCCGCAGTTGATTTGGAATCATCTATCTATGGCCGTCAACCAGAGTACAGTTGGACACCGCACACGGCACAATTCACCTCTCAGATTGTCCTTCTAGGCATCAACAACCAGGGCGACGAAGCTCCATCGCATTCCGTCCCAGCCACCCTCAATCTCAGCTGGGACGTCTGAGCCATCAGCTTGCACGCCACCACACACGTCACAGAGAACAAAATGGCAATATAGTTGGCTGATTTGCTGCGAACTGGCTCCGCTGATTTGTCACAATCCTCTTGGGAGGTTTCCACGGCGATTGACAACTGACTCAGGCCGGGTCAATCGATCAGAGACATAAACCGGTTTACACAGTGGGGACATATGATATGCCAATGCGCTCCTTGCATATTTGACATTTGAAGAAACTTCTTCATAAGGAATAGATATACTCGACAGAGGAGGCCAGTATATGCCACATACATATCTCCATACCTATACAACAACAGCCCAGTTATGCCCCCCTGGCAGTCCTGATAAGAACGCTACAGATGTGACAGCACAACGAAGTCATTGTTTTTATCGGGTTGCTAGGTTTTGTTTCTCGGTTCTGAAATTGACTTCAGGTCTTGGTTCCACCGACCCACAGCTTTATACGAAGTTACGAACAGTATCTAGTCTATCGGCTAGTCACATCTCTTCAATATATGCGATATCTGGATCAAGATCTGGGAGCAAACATGTGGGGCAGAGGATTCATAGACGTTGAGGCTGCTCGAATAAAATAATGCAGGAATTCAAGAATCCCTAGGCATCCAGTAATCATCACTCACTGTTATAAAACTTTATTGGGATATCTTTTCCGAGACTGCGGAGAATGAGAGGAAATAGCCGATGCAGGATCGTCGAGCTGGATTCACAGAAGTGGTACTTCAACGTTGATGCGAAAGAAACAGTCACTCGAGTATCACTAAAGCTGTGCATTCTATAACCATGCATGAAATATCTAATGCAACTAGCTACATCCTAGGATCAACTATCGTGCACCCTCTAGTTCCATCCTTGAGAATCAACCCCGGCTTCCTGACTGCAAGATCCAAAATCATCTCCGCAAGAGAACTGTTCCCCCATGCATACCAAGTCCTTAGAAACGTCTTCAGGTCATTGACATCCACTCATCCAAGCTCGTTAGCAATAGGCAAATACCATACTACAGACCGCTGAACCTACTAGCTTCGTGAATAAGCCCTAGACCCCCGGCCAACTTCTTGAGGATCTCCAGCTGAGCCAGAATCTCATCATCGTCACTGGTAAGTATGCATATTACTGTCCCAACTGGCCACATCACCTCCGGGTTCACATGGGGACTTCCCTGTTCATGCAGCTCCTTGCTGTCGAGGAAATAGAGATTCCTCCTGCGGCTAAGCACCATGGCCCTCGTGTTCTTGTACACGGGGTCATTGGCGCAACAGAATCCTAAGTAAGGTAACGAAAGCAACGATAGAGGCGATGCATCATCCATGAAGATCTGTGATCCGTACCTATCAACCTCGTAGGTAAAGACACGGCCGAATTCTGAATTAATGCAGATCCCTTCCTTGATCTATTGACCGATGGTTTGTGCCTGGGATGCGAGATCTTCTACCCGCGAGCCAAGATACTCACCCATCCTCAACACTCCACGGCAAGGAAAGCGTTCCCGGGAATCCAGAGGGAGAATACAAGTATCATCTAAAGGAGGACCTGACCAGGCTTGTCCCGGAATTTGAGGGAGACTTGGGTCCATTGTAGGGGCTTTCTAGGGAGATAGCTGGCAGACGCATGAATGAGTATGTGGGATCGCGCAGGGCTCCATACTCTGTATATGTAGAATCTCTCTGCTCCCGAATAATTTGCAAGATAGCCTTGGTGGAGCCGAGACAGTCATCCGTGACAAAGCTGCTATCCAAGGTCTGCTGGTGGTAGATCCGACAAAGCTGCAAGAAACAAGCGATACTGTCGATAGCGTATTTTGCCTCGAAGCTCACCTTGCGATCAAAGGGAGGACTCACAAGATCCTGGCCCATATCAACTGGACGCTCCATGACCGGTGGCCACCCGCTTTCGGGCGGAGGCTGGAAGGAGTTGCTACGGTGCTTTGCGAATATTGGAACTCTGGGTATGGATGGCGCCTAACCAGAGGGTCCTTATAGACTCGGACTTGGATAGTGAATGTGCGTATTGTTGCATCTGTTAGAGATTATCTCTTAGCCATGCTGTATCTATATTGTTGGTAATGATATGAGTGCTGGAATGGTGAGTATCCGTCGACGTCTATACGGCAGTTATGTTAATGGTGTTTAAATAGCAATTCTCAGACGTCCTAGCCACATCTGGATCTTTCATAGCTGGCTGATGACATATTCGACCTCTGGAGAGCGATATGTTTGGCATTCCACCGGGGGCCGCTGAAAGGGGAACTTCAAGGACCTGGTAGCATTCTTTCATCAGTTCAAATTCAATCACTATTGAAATTGGAGATAGAGTCCTGACCATCAGAGGATGAGCCGTGATTTTCCCCAGCGTACTTGGTGTAATCTAGACCTCGCATTGTGCTCTGCTTCTTCTGAAGACAGACGAAGATGTTCGCACACTAACACATCAGTGGTTAAGACAACTGCGGACTTGATCAGCTTGATATCTTCCTGCCGACCACATTATTGATCGGTCTGCGTAGGATGACTTTCAATAATATTTTCCATGTCTAGCTCTATATAGTAGTATAGATAAGGTATAGAAGGTCTACTATGATGTCTATTGTACATACATGTATAGCTAATGGAGGTATATCGTTGGTTGGTGGAAAGGGTCAGCGAGGGCGGACCTATGAGGCAGAATCCCACGTGATCCAACAAGCAAGCCTATTGTTCACGTGCCTCTGTAAGGTTGCGAATTTTGAGTCTATACAATTGGAGATGACAAGTTAGTTGTTTACACGTAAATCTAACCAGTTGAAAGCTACATCAGACTTTTATATTCTTTACATCTAACCTGGCTGTCCTGTAGGCATATGAAAGAGCTTCATGATGGAAAACTAGCTGGCCAAAAAACAGTACAGTAACGATTTGAATAATCAAAAAATAGATATACCACAAAACATTTCAATGAACTAGCACTGTTCCAAACCAGGAAAAACAGAAATACAGCACAATAGCTTGACCTCGCCAGTGAGGATCTCCCACGGTATCAGGACACTTGATTTTAATCTTTGATCTCCTCTGAAGCCATCACAATGGCCACCACACTGACAACCAGCACCCAGCTGGCATTAAGAAACTAGAGCTCTTCCAAATTTATGTCATCAACGACCCTAATTTGACAAGTGTCAAATAACCGAAATGCTGATCTGCAAAGATTTCTATCTCTACAAACTCTCATAATTTCGCTAGTATCATCTTGTCTATGTGGATGAGTCGGGATGTGATAAACACGCAGGACGTTGACGAACTGTGTTGTGTACAGCGCGTAATACGCTATTCCCAAAACAGAAATTTGTATTAGATACAATACTGGTATCGACCTTACCCGATTTGGAAACAGCGGCGCTGATAAACTTTTCCACCGATCGATCTTCTTTTCGATAATATCAGAAAAGAAAAAAAAAAGTTCATCGTCTCAACACCCGTCACGACCTGCGCCAGGCAGGACCAATGATTTAGAACTACATCTAATTCATCATCAGAAACCACCTACCGCGACGATATTATTTTCCCGCCTGGTGAACAGCTATGGCTGCCCCAGTGCTCCCCCTCCAACAAGTGAAGCTCGCTTCACTCCCTTCGACCCGTCTAACGCCAGAACAACAATACTGGAGGACATTCAAGAATCCCCTCCTGATCCCATCTCCGGCAAATAGTCCCGTCAATTTTATTACGCAGCCATCTGTTCCGTCATCTGCCACAGCTTTCCCATCCCTGACGCAACCTCCCGATGTTTTCACCGTGACCACTGGCGCAAGGGTGCAGATCTATTCGATTCGTACCCGGAAGCTTCTGCGGACGATAACTCGCTTTGACGACACGGCACGAGGAACGGATGTCCGTCCCGATGGACGCGTTGTCGTGACGGGAGACGATAGCGGTGCCGTGCAGGTGTTTGATGTCGGATCCCGCTCGATTCTGAAGACGTGGAAGGACCATAAGCAGCCCGTTTGGGTTGCCAAATTCTCACCTGCTGATCCCACAGCTATATTCACAGCGAGCGATGACAGAACGGTGCGACTGTGGGATCTGCCGAGTGAGCATAGCGCCAGGACATTCTTGGGACATACAGACTACGTACGCAGCGGGGCGTTCATGCCTGGGTCGGCAGCATCCGCTGGGTTGGTCGTTTCGGGAAGTTACGATCGCACAGTGCGACTGTGGGACCCTAGGGTGGAAAACCGCGCTGCGATGGTTTTCAAGATGGCGGCACCAATTGAGTGTGTTTTGCCTATGCCATCAGGGACTTCGTTGCTCGCGTCTGCGGATAACAAGATTGCCGTGTTAGATATCGTTGCCGGAAAGCCGTTGCATATGATTCAGAGCCATCAGAAGACAGTCACGTCGTTGGCCTTGGCATCAAATGGGGAGCGATTGCTCAGCGGTGCGCTTGATGGACACATGAAGGTCTTCGAGACAACGGGGTGGAACGTGGTATCTGGATCCAAGTACCCGTCTCCCATTCTTTCGCTCAAAGTTATCACCACTGGTACGGCACTGGAAGACAAACACGTCGCCGTCGGAATGCAATCGGGCCTACTGTCTATAAAGACGCGACTTTCCGGCCAACAAAAAGTACGCGAACGGGAGCGCAGGAAGGAAATGCAGGCTCTTCTGGAGGGAAAAATAGAAGAGCATGATCGAAAAGTAGCCAAGCAGAAGAAACTTCGCGGCTCAGGCTGGGAAAAGCGCCTGCGTGGACGGGACTTCATCGGCGAAGGCGTGGACATCGTTATCGAGGGACAGGACCGTAAAAGACGGAAGAAGGAACAACCATGGGAGCATGATTTGCGCAAAGCCAAATATTCGGCAGCTCTAGACCAGGTTCTCGCGTCAACTGACAAGACCGCTCAACTTACTCTCCTGACGGCTCTACGACATCGCTCTGCACTCCGTGCCTCGCTGCAGGGACGGGATGAAGAGACACTGCAGCCTGTCCTGCGGTGGGTGTATAAGAATATCACGGAGCCTGGCTTGGTGAATCTCAGCGTCGAAGTCGCCATGAACGTGTTGGATATCTATTCTGGAAATCTGGGGCAGTCAACACAGATCGACAAGCTAGTCGAGAGGCTGCATCGACGGGTACGGGAGGAAGTGGAAATGGCCCAGCAGGCATATCAGACCAAGGGAATGCTGGATATGCTGAAAGTATGAACTGCTTGCTGAGCTCCTCTCGAAGCCAGACTCAGGAAAGACACAGCTGGGAATGTTTGTCTAGATGGCCTGCAGGATACCCGTGGAGTTTGGGCGTGGTGAACGATAATCTTTATTAGCGTATACAAAAGTGTGATTGTAAATAAGGCATGCATACTATCATTGCTGGAAACTTCATTCTTCATTTGTAGCAAGAATACGATGTCTTCCGCCCACTACTGGTATAATCTGGAAAACCCGTCATCAGGCGGCTGCAACCAATTCCGCTCATCGTATTCCCACCCGTCCCCATTGTCAATGACATGGAAGGTATACGCATATCTGCTCTTGGGACTCGTATTCTTCTCACTGCTATGCAGGACATTCCCATGGATTAGCACCAACGATCCAGCCTTGACAGTGAGCACCTCGGCGTCTGAATCGCTCCCATCCTCGTTCCCAGCAGAAGCATTGCCATTATCATCCTGCACACCCTTGGGCAAACCAGGCCCATCATTCTCAATAAACTCCGTCCCCCCATTGGCAGCCCTGACGAACCTCCTCCGAATCCGTCCAGAATGCGACCCCTTCCACATCTTCAATGTCGCATTCCCGGGGCCCGCATCCTGAAGCGCAAACCACCACCCCACCGCCGAGGGAGGAGAAGTATACAAAAACTCCGAGTCGCGATGAGGAGGCACCGCGCCCCCGATGCCAGGCTGTTTGCAGATAACCATACTCTGCAAGACGCGGGGATCAACGAACCCCAAACTCCTCGCGATGGCAGCATTCCGATCCGACAATGACACCTTCTTAAAGGGCTCCGAGAGGGAATGAAGCGAGTGGCCAATCTTATTGATGGCGAGGTGTTTGGGTTTCAGGAGGGTATTTTTCCCCGTTGCGGGGTCCGGGGTGGTGGAGAAGGCGTCTGGTTCGAAGAAGAACCGGATTTTGTCACCGGAGTTCAGGAAGTAGTCGTCGCCTACATGTTTGGTGGTTTCGTTAACGTCGTCGCCGGTCGTGAAGGCTGTTAACGGGTGGGAGTCGAGGGGGAATGAGGTCAGGAGAGAGTCGGTTTCGGTGATGAGGGAGTTGATTTCGGCTTGGGTGAGGTAATCGGGGATGACGAGGTAGCCGTTTTCGCGGAAGAAGGAGAGTTGCGCTGGAGTGAGGCCTTGCGGGGGGAGGGGGGAGTCGACTGCTGCGGGAGCCATGGTGACTGATGTTGGATGGAAGGTTGCATTCAATGGGTTGTGCCGTCCGGTGATGGTGATGGTGGGGTTTTTATATAGGACTCGCTGTTATCTCCGAATTTCCTTTCGAGATAAAGCCCTCATTTCTGTTTTCGATTATATTCTCTGTTTACAACTATATCTTGGAGCCAGCCCACATTGTTACGTCCCTTGCAAAGCTTTCCTCATGGCTGCCTACCGACATGGGCAGAATGTTTCCCAGCTCTCTTTTGCCCTTCACAGTCCCTTTCATCGAGGGGGTGCAAGGAGTGTATCAATTACCACCAGACGCTGTTTTCCGATGGCACTATATATTTCCAACTGCTTCCTCCTCTGCATAGTCCATGATATATCAATCGCAATTTCGACACTCCGTCTTTCATCCATCCACCCATCGCCGTAATTCGCGTCTAGACGCTCTCCACGGAGAGCGATATGAGGAGAATCCATATTCCCGCACAATGAGTTTGATTTGCACCTTTTCTTAGCAGATGTTTCATCATTAAACAGCCAGTAGTACACGCTGCGAAGTGCTGTGAAACAAGTTGATTAGTATCCTGAGCGGCCAACTCTCCTGTCAGACTGGAACACAAAGTAGGGCTGAACCCTAATGAAAACAGCAATTCCATGTTGGGTGCCTGCAAGAACAGCAAGCTGCAGTGTATTCTGATGCATCAAATCTACTGCATTCACTCCAGCGTTATAAGTTGTGTGATTCTCTGCTAAAATAATATTTGCTTTGCTTGCTACGGTCAACAATAGAATCTCACAATATGCACCAGGTGTCAGAAGGAACAACACGAGCTCATGGCTCCTGTCGGTTGCAGCGTAACGCAAGGCTGCTTCTGCCCTTGTTACCAGTGGTATGCAAGGCAGTTGAAGCGGCGTCTATATGTCCAGCCAATCTGCAGTATGATTTAATAGACTCCTGCCTAATTCAGCAAAGATGGTGACTATCCCAAAATGAGCCAGACCACTTGAATTTTGCGAAAGACCAGCCGGATCCAACTTATCAGGGTGTAGGTTCAAGACGGTCAGGACACGGATTCGGAAAACAGATATCATTGGATCGGACACACGGGCAGGAAGGTTGCAGGTCAAGCTATAATACAGGCAGATAGACAGGATGTAGCTCGAAGAGCTACGACAGGATCAAAACAGAAGTTGGGGGTATCTGTCAATGAGGGTCAAACTCGCTGAGTCGGTTGTTCTAATCACTCCCATACAGCGTCAAACCAAAAGATCTAGATTCCAACCCATCTCAGGGCCTTCTTCAGAATAGAGATTAGAAAACATAGCAAAGGGATTTGCATGAAAAGGCGAGACACCACTTCCCATCCGAGACGCCTTTGAGGTTTCCATGATGTACTCAATAACTCTCTGCGACGCTGGGTTTGCCAGTTGTCTGGGCCCAGGGCCTTCTCATAGCCTGCCAGTGCTTGCTGATGCATTGTCTCTGCCTCCTGCAGCCGGCCCTGACCTTGATAGAGGATCCCAAGGTTGTTGATAGTATCGAAGGTTGAGGTGTGGTTTGGGCCTAGGGCTTTCTGTTTACCTGCCAGTGCTTGCTGATACCTTTCCTCTGCCTTCTGCAGCCGGCCCTGACTGTAATCGAGGATCCCAAGGTCATTGGCAGTGCCGAGGGTTGAGGTGTGGTCCGGGGCCTTCTGTTTAACTGCTAGTACTTGCCGTAACATCACCTCTGCGGCAGAAAGCCGTGTTTGCTTCCAAAGTAGTAATGCAATGCGATACGCCTTTTCAAGACGATCAGGAGTCATGTCAAGTATAAATCTATGCTGGTAAAAGGGCGATTGTACCAGCCATGTTGCATGAGCAGCCAGGTGAGAGTAAGAAAGGTGTGCAAGAGAATCCTGATCATTTGGGTTAATGGATCCAGCAACACAATCAAAAGCATACCAATATTGCTGTAGGTCGGGTTTCCTATTAAGCCCAGCTACTATCCAATCATGAACACAGGCATGCATGCTCCATTTTCGTTCTTCAGTCGGAACCTCAAGAAAACAATAATCTACCAGTGTTCCCATCACATTGTCAAACGTAAAGTAATCGGACATCATATCACCCAGCCAACTAGGAGAACCATCTGACAGCCCTATATGGAAAAGCTCATACCAGAGTGGTTGATTACTAAAGTAAGCAAACAAATTCAGTAGCTTTGCTGCATCTGGATCATCCTGTTTAAGGCGGGTATAGGACGGTTCCCAGGTGGTATAGAGAGTGCGATCTGGATACTCGTACCGCAGCTGGACCGGACGGCGTGGGCAAACATTCCAGTGCTTCTCATACTGCTGAAGATAGTCTTGAAAACTGCAAGAACTTCGTTGGAGATATGCACCAGCAGTTACTAAAGCTAATGGAAGCCCTGCCAGTCGCTCTGCTAGGCCTGTTGCATGGGGATCTAGCCAGAATCATTAGTCGATCATGGTCAGTAATAATAGTGCATGGTAGGATATTGTACCAAGTTCCATATTTTCTCGCTCAGATCGTATTTGCAGTATGGCGAGACTCTCTTCAATATTCTTCAGAGCGTTGATTCGGATTCGGATACTTTCAGGAAAAAGATCCAGTCGTCGTGTGGTCGTGATGATAGCCCCATGGGAAGCAGGGGGGTAATATTGTCCAATTTCAAACTGGCCAGGGTCATCATAGTTATCAAAAACCAGCAGCCACTGGGTGTTTCCGGTGTCTGCTAACCATAGATGCACACAAGTCACACTTTCCTCTTCTTCAGGAACTCCTCCCTCAAACATAAGACTGGCCATTGATTGAAAGCCTTTTTTTAGCATGGCCTCTGATGTGGCATTGAGCCAGAAGATCGATTCATAAACATTGCGGTGGCATCTTGCAAAAGCAATCGCAAGCTGTGTCTTGCCAATACCACCTGCACCTGCAAGGACCAGTCGTCGTTGCTCTTGAGCTAATCCACCTGGCTGTAGAGCTTCCTTCATCTGATCTAGTTCTAGAGTGCGCCCAGCAAAAAAGCTTTGAATCAATAGAAGGTGCCTGGCCCAGGCACATGCCGCAGGGTTTCCGAAAGCAGAAGTCTGCTTTCTGCTTAGCGATAACTACGAGCAGCGGTCAGTAATCCATTATTTCCTTACATAGTATGTATCTCTGTACTGGAAAGAAGATGATCAATCATTCAGTGGAATATTTAGAGACATAAACATGTGCAAAAGTAGAGAACAGTAGAGAACTAGAGCCCCTTGCCCCAGCACAATGAGTCAACACAAACGTGCTTCCTGCCATCATGAGAAACCATCCCAATAAAAGACACTCTTACCCATATAGTGATTCTGGGTGGTAATAGGTGCATTGTTCTGGGTTGTAACAGGTGCATTGTTGTTGATTTGCTGCCCAATCCTGCCGTGGGTATTGTTTGTTTGTGAACCTCCACATCTGTCAAAAAACATAGGAAAGGAATCCTCTGAGGATTTGAGGGATTTCATTTCCTCAAGAATATGTGCGATTTCAGCGTTTTGCTCGGGCCCGACGGGTCTGACTCCGTGGTGATTGACAAGAATTTGGACGTCTTGAGTGAGATCTGTCATGAGCTCCTCAATCTCATTCCCTTTCCCAATTCTCCGGACCACTTTTCGGTATCGCGTCTGCCTTGTATCACTTTCCTCCGGGATGGCTTTTTCAAATATCCTTCTTATTCTGTTGGCCCTTTCATCACAGGTGTCGATCATCTCCATCAACGCATTGCAGACATCGTGTGGCATGGAGTCTTTGACTGGCTCTAGGTGGCTTTTGTAATTTTGGAGGGTATTGAGGATTATAGGCAGTCGTTGCCCGACAACTTCGAATGTCTTCGGTAACTTGACATCATTCCGGACAGACTTGTAGACCTTGACTGAGGTGTCAATGATACCAATGACGGCAGAGATGCCGCCAATCACTTCAAGGCCTGACATAATGAGGACGAGCTGGCAAAGGACTCTTTGAATTGGCTTAATTCAGGCTGAAAAAGACATGTAGGACTTCAGGTTTTGGGAAAGCGAGGTAGGGACTCAGACTTGGAGGCCGGGCAAAATGGCAGGGGCAGCGGTTTGTGGGTGTGTGAAGTTGATGGCGGCAATTTATAGGCGCCCTGGTCATTGTCCATTATTTTGTATGTGAGGTCTCAGGGTTGCAGATGGCCTAACCATATACGTGCTAGAGTCTCTGCATATGTAGAGTCTGTGGCATATAGAGGTTGGGAAAGAATCCGAGGTGTCCAGGCAGGCAGGGTGATTGTACAAGCCCAGCGTACTTCCTAGCGGAAGAAGGGGGGAAGAGAAGATCAAACGGGCAGCTCTAGCTTGTATAGCAGAGCGTGGGCACCTGTTGGAGCTCCTCATGATGCTGCAAAGAAGGAGATGGAAGATGGAGAGGCTCCCAGTGAACCATTTCACATCCCAATCCGTGATCATCTTGCCCTAGCACTTGCCCCTAGGAACCTGTGCCTACAGGGGTTTGGATCAGGCGTTTCACCTGGGTCTGTACTAAGCGAGATGGTGAGCGTAGAATTGCAGTAGAGGACGAGCTTGAATGCAAGATTGGCTTTCTGATTGGTATCCCATATGGCACAGCGCGTACGTGCATTACAGGCCTGTATTACACAGGCGCTGGGACGATCATCCAACCCCGGGTTGCCAACACGGTGCGAGATCAGATGGAGACGCTATGAGCGGCATACGATCCTTGACACGATGCCCGACTTTCTGGAATGGTACGGTACGGCAGCTGGGATATTTTGACCTTGAAGGGATGAGGAAGGGCTCTGAGATTAGCATATGCCCGGTAGTGCTTTTGGGTGCAGTTTAAACTGCTTCTTTATGCACTGTCAGAAAGGACTTTACATGTAGAGCCAAGGCTGTTTCTTAACTTGGATCTAGTAACTATACGTTGTGACGGTTAGCGGGGAGCCGGAAACAGCCCTCATTGAACCGCCCCTCCGCTACCCGCGGCCGGCGGGTAGCCCATTGCCTCTTATGGTGATTGCGTTCGCGGCTTCGGGAATAGCGTGGCCGTCTCGCCGCTTTTGCGCCCTTCACTACCACCTTCACTACCACCTCAACCCCTCCGCTGCATCTATCTGGGTGTAGATATGAACCCTCCCTCCCTCCCTCGAACGACCTGCATCGCCCGGCGCACTGCCCCTTTCCCAAGAGGCCGCGTTACCCGACGGTTGCCCTTGTTCCAGCAATGGCGCCGTCACGCCAGCGCCTTCTCTCTTCGCCTTGCGCTTCCTGCTCCCGCCACCTCTCGCGCCTGGCAATCACATCTTCCAAGGCCTGTGCTGGGCCGTTCCCAGCAGCATTGGCCTTCTCCTAGAGGCCCCTATGTCCACCAAGACCCAAACAAGTGCGTCTCGGGCTTGCTCCAGACGGTCTGAATTGGCCCTCCAACCGACCCGTGCTATCCTGCCGGCGGATAAGACCGCCCTTCATCACCTCGCGCAGTGGGGGGTTCCCTTGGTGGTTGATTGAGTTCACATTAGCGCCTCGACGGATGAGATAACGTGCTGCATCGATTTGATCCCGCTGTCGCAAGATAATGTAGCGCCGTATTGCCGCCGTCTTTGGTGGGGTCGTTGACCTCCACCCCTGGCTTCTCTAGCAATAGATCCCGCAGAGCTAGGTCGAGACTTTGTGCCCAACGGTCGTAAGTCAGTTGACGCAGAGGGTGTGGCCTCGGGCATCGCGGCTGCAGGGATCCGCCCAATGCGCGAACAGAATGCGGAGTATGCTGGTCAAGCACGCTAGGGTTCCACCCTCGCCAGGGGATGAGACGTCACAGTAAGTGTTATTGTTCGAAGCGCCAATCTACCCAAGAAGAGGTATATCAGAAGGGGACAATGTCAAATGAAGAACAAAAGCAAAAGGCCATTTACAGATACTCACTAAAAGTTTTCAAAGCACAATCCACAATGGATTCCACGACACCACTGTCGTGCAGGGAACAGTGGACGCCGTTCCAGCAGTGCTCCATCTCCTAGATACCGCAGTCAAATGGCTGGTATCACATGACAGAATTGGGCAGTGGGGAGCAGCACCGTTTTCTGAGAATCCACGACGCGCCGAACAACTCAGAGAGTCTGACATCTTATTTTTGCATTATTGAAATGCTCGCACATCCTGGCAAAGAAAGGTTCTTGTTCAGAACATGGTCCTTGCCGTCAATATGGAGCTGCTGTTCCTCCAAAGGTCGACGAGCGCTTATGCCGACGATCGAGAACAAGTTGGCAGACAGCTTTACCTCCTTTTCCAACTAAACGTGATCTCAAACCAAGTTTAGTCATAAATTACGACTGGCGTTCAAGCAGGAACATCCCCAGAATGGCTTTGATTGACGCGTATACTAGGGTCTGTCTGCGGGATCTTCGACCGCAGGCAGCGTAGCAGTTGAAGCTCCTGCTTAGGTGCCGCAGCATAATGACATGGGGGCCGGACCTGGCCACCAGAAGTCTCCCCATCAAGAACTAAATGGGCTGCTCTTCATTACCATGACACAAGTCTAACTTGTTGACACTCCAGCACTAGCCTCCCCTGAGTGGCATCCCACACAACTGTTCTGTGGCACCTCTCTGCATGATTCAAAAGATCAGGTTTCTGTTCAAGCAACTCCATCCCACAAACATTACACTCAACTCCCCTGGCCGGCCAAGGAGGATTGACATGTTTCTGTAGAAAATGCCTTGTGAGTGAACCAGGTGTTGCATGATTTGCAATCTGCTCCTTGAGCGGGAGATTGGGATTCCCCAGTAAAAAAACAGATTAAGACTTGATCTGTATGGACTCTATTGCTTGGTGCAGGGCAATCTTAGTATCATCCTCTGACAAAATGCTGTTGCCGTTGTAAAGGGGGGCGTACGTGGGTTGTTCCCTGCCATAGGAACCGGGTTATGATCGAGGGACCTCAGGGATGGATATACCAAAATGATGCGCGACTTATCCCACACGGCACTGAGCGATCTAGTAAGGAAACGATATAACGAAAGAAGAAACACAACGACGATGGAGCCTCGCTCCTATACAATGACGGCGATACGAGTGAAGAAACTTAGAAACCAAAAGTATGCTCGTTCTTCGAAACTATCTAGGGAAGAGGCTCGCCTTGAGTACTCCTCCGCCACGGGCTCCATCATACCTAAGTATGGCGGTGACCGTGGCCCAGTAATATCTAAAATAAGAAAATAGAAGAAAGGGGAGTGCCCCCGGCACACCATTTCTAGAATAACTCAAGTGAGCTCTTGTATCTAGTCCCTACGCAGTAACAACAATTCCTCCTACAACAGATATTGCAGTGCCAGCTGAAAAATATATACAGGAAGTGGGCCATCTTATTGGAGTCTTAGATCCATCACCAGTGCTGCACTAGATCAACCCCTATATGCTGACAGTACCTGCCAGGGAGCCACCAGGGAGCTTCTGACATAGTCAGGACGGCAAGAGGAGTTATCTACCTATTGTGACGACTGTACCTGAGGTATGACCGTCAACATGTGACCCTGGCACGTCTTAGGAGGTGCCAGCAGATTGAGAAAGTAGGGCACAGGGCTAGGGCTGAGGGCAGGCAGCTGCCCTCGCCTCCTATTTCCTCCCCACCATGTCTTTCGCCTTTTTTCCTATCCTTTGTCTTCTCCTCGTGTACGATATTCCTAAACAGTATGCCAAATAGCAAATTGCTTTCCTCTTCTCATTCTATTATAGCTGATCGTTACACCTATTCCAGTACATGCGGGCCTTATCAAGTCTTTCCTGAGTGGCGTTGCTGTACCGCTTCTGTCAAAGCTGAGAGATGTCCAGGCTCTCTGCTTGAGCCAAATAGGTAACATTTATGACTGAAATCGAGTATAATGAGAAACATGCCTGTTTTCCTACTTTTCTTCAGTAATGACTGGTGCGTGTTTGTATAGTATATCTATCATGAATCGACGATGTTCAAGCTATCATAAGGAACGTGTAACTAAACTTCACTACATGTTTCACCTCAATCAGCCACATATCTCCGCCTGTCTTTCATAGCTTACTGACGAAACGGAACAGGAGCAGGAAGAGAAGAAGGAGCCTCATGAGAAAACGGCAAAATCAAATGGTCAAACGTCGCTGCCGCCGCAACTCGAGGATTAAAGGGCTCAAAATCCCAAAGGTACCCAAGTGTGCGAAGAATAGAGGTTGCCGAATACGACACACTCTCGCGATTATCATTGACGCCCTTCTGCTCCACGAAACCGGGCTGGATCCACGGAGAAATGAGGAAGGTAGGAATCCGTCCACCGAGCCGGTTAAACTCGTATGTATAAGTTTGCCCGTTGGGCGTCTTCTCGGTGTATGTCAGATTGTCCGGACGGGGTGCAAGAGGAGGCGGAACGTGATCGTGGAAACCACCGCTCTCGTCGTATGTGATAATGAAGAGAGAGTTTTCCCACTGAGGGGAGGCACGGAGGGAGTCATAAACGTCCTTGATGAGAGCTTCGCCATCGGAGATGAGGCCGCTGTCGTGCATGGAGTTTGTGCCGACCCCACAGCAGGATGGGTTGATGTACGAGAACTCGGGGAGGCTTCCATTGGCGGCGTCCGCGTAGAATTGGGCCAGAGGGACGACCTTGCCCTCGTTGCCAGTTTCCTTGGTCCAGCTGAACCAGTGCGCTTCGGGGCCTGTGCCACCGGCGGTGTCCCAGTAGTTGAGCCAGGAGTGGTTGGACTCGCTCAGCTGCTGGAAGATGGAGCGCTGGGTGAATGCAAAGGTACCGAAGGTATCATCGTTCGTGCCATGGCCAGCGGATGTACCGGCAACCAGAGCAAAGCGGTTGGGGTTTGTAGGCTTATATCTTGTCAGTCGGTGGTCTAGGCACTGAAGGATGCACGCAGATCAAGCCACTTACGCCGGCAACATCAGAATGCCAGTGGTTAAAGGTCAGGAAATTCTTGACCAGATAGGTCATAACGGGGACTTCCTCCTCGGTGTAGTAGTTCATCACCTGCTGCGCCAGGACAGTGCGATTCGCCTTTGCACCGTAGTTATGGACCTGCTCGTGGATGAAGCCCAAGTTGTTGGGCTGCAGGCGGCCCTGAGCGATCAAGGCGTTATCCGGAGTCCAGTCTGAGAAGAACTCCATCGTGTTACCGGTGACGGCGTGGCTGGGGTCATTCTTGACCGAGTTGTAGTCCCTGGGCTCGGTGCAGTGTTGGCCCTGCGACGGATCGGTCACATTGTAGGGGTTGCAGAAAGGACCGTTGTTCACGGGGTTGTCTAGGCCGGGGTGCTTCTGACCACCCAGGAGGTTATCAAGAGACCGATTCTCCATGCACAGGACGACGACATTCTTGATCTTGGACTTAAAGTTCTGGATGGAGAGGCTGGAATGGGCACGATGGGGGTTGGAGGGAGCAGCCAGGCCTGCCGTGGCCAGGGCCAGCCCGACGAAGACACGGAAATGCATGGCTCTTTTTTTCCCCCTTCTTTTCTTTGCTGCAGGATGGTTGACTACGGAGGAATTCGAGGGAGGTACTCAGTCTTTTTATACCTGCGATGTATGGCGTGTCACCGATGGACATGCCATCATTCTGCTACATGTACGTTGGATCCCCGAAGCAGGAGACGCGTACATCGTCTCGTCTCCAATGGGATGCATGTGCAGGGGCACGGGAATGCGGAGAGCACGCACGAATGAGGCATTGGATGCTTGCAATTAAGTTATGCAGCCGGGCATTCCAGAACGGTCAAGACGTCTTGGTGTTGCTCGAATCGTGGAGATGCAGCGGGCAGATGCAGCTAAGCCCTAGCCTGCCTCGTGCATCTCAACCGCCAAGTCATTGGGCGCTGTTCATGGCTGCTCAGGTAGTTGTAATATGGCAAAATATAACAATTAAGCAGCGGATGAGAGATCGGCATTGTATTCTGCATATACAATAAAAAGAAAAAGAAAACATGCAGCAGTCACGCTGGGCCGGCCACTCCTAAGCCTGCTTTTATTAATTTGCTTACCTTCTCGGATTCATCTCGTCGACGACTCGAGCCGATTGTAATATGAGCGCTATCGGGACCGTAGCTGGATACATCATCCCCTTGTCCTCTGCAGCTCCGAATAGGTTTCTACCGCGTCAATCCTGTCGCTCATTCTGCGTTGATCGTGGCCATCCCGGCTGTGAGGAATACCGAAAACAGCGCAGAATTACCCAGCAAGCCATCCCTCAGTATGGATGAAAGGCTGAGTATACGCATCAGACGAGTCCGACTTCATCGAAACTACCTCCTCTGTAGACCCATGGGGCTCCTGCAAACTCTCCAAATTCAAAAAGTCCAGCCACGCAAAGCCATTCCCCTTACTCCCATCGTCTTGATGAACAGACCTCGTAGAGAGACACTCGTTCCGCTTCCCAGAAATCGCAACTATTGTGTCTCGCAGCTGGTGCAAAGATGTTCGGGCTAGGGGTAGACGGCAGGCGAACTCCTTCAGGAGGGAAATGCCCTGGTCGAAGCTGGCCGTCGCTTGTCGGACGGTTGACTGTACGAGCCATGGTTTGTGGAGGGCTATATGGCTCAGCACATGTATCGAGCCCAAAAGGAAGCGCGCTGATGCATGTCGCTCTAGCGGTTGGGGGAGGTCGGTGCTGTAGTACTCGTGGATGGAGCTGATGCTGTCCGTGGCGATTTCGACGCAGAGATTCAGGACGCCGGGGCATATGTCAAGACTGTGGACCCATCCCCGACGGAGGAGGAGACGGAGGCTATTCAGGAGCTGTTCCCTTTATTAGCTGGGATGGTCAAATGGAGCAGAGAGGAAAGGTCTAACCAAGTGAATCAACAAGCCCTGGCGCACATGGAACTGGGAACGAGCATGGATGCACACTCCTCCCAAATCAGATCGCCATTGCAAAGGACCACGAATCTCCTGGAGCAGTAGCTCAATCTGGGCGTCAATCCCTGCTACCGTGTCCGGGTCTGGGAGATTCGCTGTCTTGGCCGTGAGGACGCGGTCCCAAGCCTCTGCAAGCAACGCGAAGTGCCGGTACGCAACGTCAAGAGGGGCGATCGGGGCCTCTGGATTATCAGCAGGCAGCGCATTCAGGCCAGCGTGCAGTTTCATGTCATCCACATGTGGCGGGAGTGCGACGTCAAGATCCGACAGGTGAAGCTGGTAGGGCAGACCACAGGCATCTGCGATATGATGCTGCAAGCAGAAGACCGTCCACACGATCCGTTGGCGCAGGTGAATCTCAAATGGAGAGCAGGACGACCAGCTGGCTTGATTATGCAGCCCTAGCTGGAAACAAATCCTCACTACGCTGCCAGTAACATCGTACGCGAGGTCCCATCTGTCTATGTAGAGGAGATACATCGCCTTCAGCGTCAAACACTGGACGCTCTTTACATTCCAGATTCCCTTCCATGCCGTGTCTCTCAGAAGGCGTTCGGCATGCTTAAACTCCCTCCACCCTGGCGGAATAGAGCTAGAACATGCCGTGTCATCGGTCATGATCTGCTCCAGCGCCATTACGAGATCGACCAGCGCCACAGTCTGGAGCTTGTTCTGGCCCATATCCCCCTGTCCCTCCAGCAGTGCCTCCACGTCCCCGTTTAGCTGCCGGCTATTGAGACAGGGGATGCGCGGGTTCGCCTTGGCCAGGTACGTGCGGACCATGATCCGCATGCGCTGTACCTCGACCAGCTTCGACTGAACGTCCCATTTGTTGATATCGAAGCTGGAAGCCGACGGAATGGGATTCAACTCGGACTCGCCCGTCGGGTGCGCATTCTGGAATGTCCACCGGACTGGAGCCCGGCCATAGGAAATGACCGAGGACGCCAATTCTTGACTGTTATCCTCACAAGCCGGCCCCTCCCACGGTGACTCGGAAGACGCAGTGCCATTCGGTGTCTGCCCTGACCGAGAAGCGTCGGATCGAGGATCATGACTTGAATCGATGGGGGGACTGGATTTTGAGGCCCGCTGGGTTGATCGCCTTGTCCTCGCTGGACCTGGGACGTAGATGCATTCTGACGATTCAAGGCAACAGATCTCACAGGGGTGCGTTCCGGTGCACTGCCACCGTTAGCAATAGGCCGCTCCAAAGTAAATACAGTATAGGGCACAAGCAGGGCAGCCTATGCCCACCTTCGTCTTGCGTCGTCGACACGCAACGCTGTGCGCTACTTGTTAGCTAGACAACCCAATAACCGCCGGGAAGAGACAGACCACGCTTTGGAAACGTACGGTTCCCGTCGAGGAACACTCTTATTCGAGGCGGAGGAAGGCTTTTGACCACCGGAATCAGAATCCATGGGAGGGTTGGAAAGCAGGCCGTGTTGGTCTACATTCACAGCAAGTCGACAATGCCACAAGGGGTCAACAGACGAAGAAGCAAACGTCAGGCAGGCCAGAATGCGGAGATGACAGGTAGTCAGTTACATTGATTTAATCTATGCATGGGCGACGTAGATCCCTGCTATGTCCAGGGTCTGGTCATAAGAAGCGGATACAGGCTTCATAACTTGCAGCGCTGACTCGTCTTCAAAGCTTCAAAGCTAAAGCACTTGAATGATAGAGTAAGCGCCAATACCACTCGCCAATACCACTCTTCTGGGATGCTCCATTCCAAAATGCAATCTTTTTAGGCCCATCCATCGAACGAGAACAGCCCTAACAAGAACGGCTGAAGGAAGCTACACTTATGAACTGTCCTGCTAACCCTGAATAGATAACCCTCATCGATGCAGACAGGTGGAGAGTACCTTAATATTCGACATCCATCTTGTCTACCAATTCAAGTCGTAACTCCGGGCTGCGAACTTCCCATTCCGGCGGCCATCTATCTCTCATCTTCTCCAGCTCCTCGTGCCAGATAGACAGCGTTCTCGCCCGCCACTCCTGCGGCAACATTTTCTCCCAGAGGGATTTGTCGATCACGAGAACGACGTCCGTCAAGTGTCGAAATGCCGGCAGCGTCTGCGGGACCCAAGTCCCATCTGCGCCCCATCCTCGCCACAAATCGTACCTGTCTCGCTTGAACCATCGATATGGGGGCATGAAGATGACGGTGTACAATAAGACCTTCCTAACATTCGGTGCCTCATACGCTGCCACTCTGGCAAACTGGTGCAGACTGTGCAGATTGCTGGTACTGCCGAGGTCGTATTTGAATGCAATGGTGTCAACGGCGGGGTTCATGAATACCCCCCATCTCCTGTGGACGGCTAGGGCTTCGCTTTGGGCAGCCTCGCCGTCGTTGTCGTCCTCATCCCCGTCGCTGTCTTCGTTCCCCGTATTCTCGGGGGGGACGACGACCGGACGGCCATGCGGTCCGTATTCCTCGTCGAAGTGCATCGAATAATCTTTCCTCGCTTCCCTGATTACCCCCCTGCTCTCTCGGCAGACCCAGAAGAGAACAGGAGGGGGCGCGGTATGAGAAGAGCCGCCGTAGTACCCGTGGCAGTTACAGTGGCCGGTTGTACAGGTCATGATGCGTAGAGTTTGGTGATCATGGCCATATCCTTCTCCAATCTCAGTCACGTCGACTTGTGCATCGTCATCATTGTCGTCGATTTCCTCCCACATCCTCTGTTCTTCGCGGTTAAGCAGACGACTCCAGCGGCCATGGTCTCCGTACATATGCAAGACCACAGTCCTGCCTTCCTGTGCAAGGGCAAACTTCCAGATCTTCAGCCGCAGTTCGGCGGGAAGATCGCCGAACCGAGGGAAAGAAGTTGGAAATGGAGAGCAGGACTGAGTGTCGGGGGTCGATGAGGACCCGCAAAGACCCATCATTTCTTGCTTGTTAGATATGAATCTCGCAGACGAATACCGCGGGGTGTTGTCCGAGTAGAATTGCCATCAGTAGATATTGCGGTCAAAGTTTCAGGACAACTGTCAGCCTTGTCAATTGTTGCCTTGCTGACTCCCGAGCCGCATGTGTGGCTGAGAACGTTAGGCCTTCGAACAGTATTTTTATCGATCTTTCCTGGCTTGAATGAGACGTCTAAACCGCATCTCCTGCATGCTACTCAGATCAACAGCATGGGATGCCCAAAGAAGAACAAGTCCGACGAGATATCAAGAGACCGGACTACGTCCCAGAACAGGCGGATGCAGAGACCGATAACAAACGTATATAAGCCCTAATAATACGTCTGATGCACAACCTCCTTCGACTTGCATACTGGAATCCCTTCAGCCTTGTGCATCTCTGCGCGCTTCCGGGCTGGGCATGTATACAGCTCCTTCCATACAAAGTGCGAACAACATTTGACTGCCTTCAACGTCGTCCCAGTCACGGTCCCTGATTGCTTATTTGGCGCCAATATGATCATCGAATTCCATTGCCAATGCCATCGGCAGCAGCCTAATCATATGTCTCCAGATATCTGCGTGGCGGATGGTGATGTCAGACGCGAATCATCCACCCCCCGAGCCCTTGCCACGGAAGACGCGGATATAAAATCACATCTCCAGCTTATTTTTATGGACTGTATCGAATGCTTAATCCGTATAAATAACGACTAACGAGCCAAATAAACCGTATATAGCATACTCGTACCGTACCTAGATACCATACCAACATGTCCGACTCCTACACCAGCTCATCATACTACTACAGTTCCACAACCAGCACCACGAACGGCACATCCACGACCGGCCACCGCTACACAACAAGCTCCCACACAGATCCAGACGGCCACACAACCGTCCGCACCGCCCACCAAGACCTAGGCGAGCCGCCCGTCATCGAAGAACGACGCTACGACCGAACAGGCCAGGAACAAGCCATGCTGGAGGGACCCACGGCTCCAACACCACGCATCACTGAACTCGGCGAGGAGACAGGATCTACAGCGCAGGACGCCGGGAGTCGATATGGGGGTCCCGGATTCGGGGCGGAAGAAGCTGGCCATGAGCAGGCCCGTGGTCATCCGTATGACCGGTCCATTGACAGAGTCACGTATGATTCCGGTTCCAGTTCTAGTTCCCTGTTCGGGTTGCGGTCGTTTAACAAGGAGACAGGAGCGTATGATTCCGCCGTCGAGTATGATGCTGACGGGGTTCCTAGGGGTCGGGGTCGTGGTGCGGCGCGGTCTGGGTATACCTCGTCTGAGCGGGAGATGAGGCAGTTTGAGGATCCTAGTACCGGGGCGAGGATTCGCAGGGAGAGCGATATTAATCTGTCGGATATTCTGGGCTGATGGGGTTATTAGTATATAGAGTGCAGAATAGCCCCATATTCTATGAATGAATGTTCTCATCCATGTATCGTCTTTCCTCGCTGTACGATATCCTGTCATACGGTAACACATCGAGTGCCACGGCGAGGGCCGTGGAAATCCTGAATAATGTGCGAGCAGCGCAGCGCAGCTCGACTGGATATCCAAACTAAACTCTTGATACACTGCCTGTAGCATCTGGACCTCCGAACGTTCGTCACTGCCGGGATGCACTACAACTTAGGGCTCCTTCAGCACCATGTTCCTGTAGGGACGTTCCGCTCTTTGCACATGCCATCCCTTAGCAGTGCACTCTGCCTACTCTTTCCATCCAGATCAGGAGATTTTGCATTGGGTCCTCGGTTTATGTGAGTGAGCACCACGAAGACGAAGGGCCACGATGTAGCAAGGATGAACTAGATGCGGCATCACATGCGTTATGCAATGCTGGCATGATGATATCTTTAATTAACATTCTGCATAATACACTCCATGTTAGTTTATTTATCAAAGACAGTTATCTACGCTGCAGATGCCGAACCCAGTGCGGATCCGCTCCCCAGGTATGCTCTGCGCAACAAATTCATCCTTGGTAGATAGATAATAACCGAGCTGGAGAGTCCGAGAATATTCCGGTACTAGACCAAGCTGTTTGGCGTCAGTAATAACGGCGAGCAGTCGAGGAAAGATTTTTCATATCCACCGGCGGATGTATCAGTCTCTGTGCATCACAAGCACCGCGTGGAGAGGTGAATTAATAATACGCGAGATCCAGCTGGAAATGTCCAAGCAGTGCTGCTTATCTCTTTTACAGCGTATGCCACTCATCCCATGGACTATTTCCACCAGCTCAAGATTTCAGAAAGACAAGGCTCAGGAAGCCGAATGACGGCTCTTTCCCACCGTTAGCCGGGATGATCTCTCCTTGGCCTTTGTCTCTGGCACGCCGGAGATACATGGCATCCAGGAAATACGGCACTCGGAGTCGGGACCTCGCCGAGGAATGCAACCGCCGGGCACTCACCGAACGCGGAGAAAATCCTTTTCTCTCCACGGGGAACGACTTCTGAGCCTCTCATTCGCCTGGTGGAGACTGTTGCGTTCCACGTTGGCCATGGAATGAGCGCCGATCTCGTCGACGACAAGCATTCATGTCCTAGCATGTGGCGTAAGCCGCAAACCTTGGTCACTGCTCTCACCCCATGGAGAAGCCCGGTGGCACGTAATGGGCTCCAGATGACATTATTCTGCATTATGCCACATTATTCCCGTGCCCTCGTGCCGTGTAGTCCGGTATGGGCTTGTTGGGGTCTCCATTAATTGATACGGGGGCAGTCTGCTGAAGGAGCAGGATTTGTCTGAGATGTCCGGAATATTAATATAAAATAATCCCCGCTGTGTCGGGCTTTGTTTTTTTTTTTTTTTTCTTGTTCTTCTTTTTACCTGCCCTCTCCTCTCATACAAACCGTCTCCTCTCACGATGCTGCCTGAAGAGGAAAGCCAGATCGGTGCGGAGCAGGGCTTCGGCTCTGATTTCAAAGGCACCGATCTCCAATCCGAGAATATGCCGCTTGTTCTCTCGGAAGAGCAGGCGTTGGCAAAGGCCAGGGCTCGTCCTAATGAAGCCCTACCGCTGCACATCACCTTCTCCGCGGGGGATAAGGACAACCCTCGCAACTGGCCCAAATGGAGGAAGTGGTATATCACGGCCATGGCCAGCTGGTTGAATGTCGTCACGTATGCTTACCTTTACCCATGCATGCTTTGCATGCTTGTTTTTTCTGGCCCTAACACGAAGTCCTGTGTAGGTGTTTATGCGCGGGTAGCATTTCCTCTGGGGCCACAGGCATTCAAAAGGAATTCCGAGTGTCAGAAGAGGTCACTACGCTCTCCCTGTCCCTATACGTCTTGGGCTATGCCATTGGCCCTGTCCTGCTCGCCCCTCTCTCTGAATATTTCGGTCGTCAACCCGTATATGCGGTCTCATGGTTCCTCCTGTTCATCTTCCAGCTCCCTCTCGCCCTCGCACCGAATATCGGAACCATACTCGTTTGCCGGCTCATCGCAGGCTTCGCAGGCAGCGCTCCCTTGACCAATACAGGAGGTTCAATCAGCGATGTCTGGGAGAGGAACGACAGTGGAGGCGCCATGGCCGTGTATGGACTCAGCAGCACGTTCGGCCCGCCCATGGCTCTCGTGTTCAGCGGGTATATCGGTCTCAACCTTGGCTGGCGCTGGATCTTCTGGATCCTGATGGCCATCACGGGCGGAGTTTGGGTGTTTCTCGTCCTCACCGTGCCTGAAACCAGACACTCCATCATCCTCCAACGCAAGGCGCGTCGAGTCTGCAAGCAGATGGCTGCGGAGAATCTCAAATCCGCAGAGTCAACGACAGACATCCACGCGGACGAAAGAAAGGGCCTACACCAGCTCTTCGCGGTAACGCTCACTCGTCCGTTCCGTTTCCTCTTCACAGAGCCCATCACTTTCTTCTCTGCCATCTACAACGGCTTCATCTATGGCCTCGTCTACCTCTTCAACGAAGCCTTCCCGCTCGTCTTCGGCGCGCCGAAGGGCCACCCTTTCAACGTCGGCGAACAGGGCCTCACATTCCTAGGTATGGCCATCGGCCCCATCATCGCCTTCTGCTTCTACCCGCTGCAAGAACGATACTACCTCAAACAAGTCGCCAAAAACAACGGCAAGGGCGTCCCCGAGGCACGCATGTGGATGGCCCGGCTAGGGGCTATCTTGATTCCGGTAAGTCTGTTCTGGTTCGGCTGGACCAGCTACCGCAGCATCCACTGGATCGTGCCAATAATCGCATCTTCCCTGTTCGGCGCGGGCATCTACATCGTCATATTGAGTATCCTCAACTACGTCGTTGACAGTTACCAGACGTACTCTGCGTCTGCGTTGGCGGGGGTTATTCTCGTACGCAACTGTGTTGGTGCTGGGTTTCCCCTGTTCGCGACGCAGATGTATCAGAAGTTGGACTATGAGTGGGCATCGAGTCTGCTGGGTTTCTTGGGGATTTTGCTTGTGCCTATTCCGTTCTTGTTCTTTTACAAGGGGAGGACAGTTAGATTGAGGAGTCCTTGGGCTAGGGAGCATTTTGATCAGAATGAAGATAATCCTCACTGAGTTTGGCATTGAGTGGTGTATATCCCCTCTCCTTTATTATGAGTGTCCTTTATATGAGCGAGGTTATGTGAACTGTTAATGATACCAGTGAAAAGTGTAAGGGCTGGATGGCAGTGACGGCGTGAAGAGATAATCAATATACGGAGAATGCTAAGTGCGATAGTAGGTGTGACGATCAGCTATAATAGGATGAGAAGAAGAAGGAAGCAACTCGCTATTTGGCTGTACTTGTCTAAGAATATCGTACATGAGGAGAAGAAGAAGGAGAGGAAAGAGGGTGAAGACATGGTGGGGAGGAAATAGGAGGCGAGGCCTGCCCTCAGCCCTAGCCCTGTGCCCTACTTGCTCAATCTGCTCTGGTATGGTCATCACGTATGGTCATCACACTCACTGTATTCTCACGCCAGTTATATGTGTGCTCTACCACACTCCAGCAACCTTGTGTCTCGAAGAAGATCCTGTATTAAGCTTTCTAGCTGCTCACATTTGTCCAGTCTAGCTTCTCAATATTAAATATGGCAATCTTCTGTGGTGTCACTGCCTGGTAGGCAGGAATCTCAGATTCTCCTGACATCCTGGATGTCAGTTCTCTTATTCCCAGTATCCTAGATACTAACTCTCCCTGCAATTGTTGATCAGTATTCTCCTGGCTCAAAATATATCTCCCAGTCTGTGGGTCTCACTCTTGTTGGGCTGGTGGCATCTGTCATGTTCAGTTCTAGGTTCGTGGTTTGATAGCCTGATCAGGGATAGGTAGGCAGGTTGTACAGGCCTGGCCACCTTCACAGGATCAAGGATCAATACGCCATGTACAGTATCAATTCTGCTGCATTGGCTGGGACAATTAGTCTCAGGCAATCCCCCAAGGTGCTAGGCCTGCTAGTTAGGCTAGACGTAGCAGCCCGGGCTCATAACCAATGTTGTGGAATATGCATGTAACTCAGGGAAGAAGGGCAGAATGAAACTGTATCGACTACACGTACATAGCCTACTAAGGAATGGATGCCATTCTGTTCTGTGTCTCTCTCTTTTTCTCTACATATAATCAGGGGCCCGGATTCTCAGGGGTTGGAGAGGGAGCCTGTTGGATCACGTGTTATTCTGCCGCATAGGTCCGCCCTCGCTGACCCTTTTCACCACGTAGGCCTATCTAGCTAGTAACCAACCAACAATACACCTCCATTAAATAGTCGCCTCTGTCACGTGATGAGGACCAAAGCGGTGGCTCGCTGCTGGAAGTTACGGGTGGAAACGAGGCCGTATATGGCCTCTGGTCGTCATTTTCGGCTTCAATTCCACAGATCCTCACAATCTATTTGTAATTTGACCACGAATTCAGAAGTAGGGATTCCACTGAGCTGGTGGTAGTATTTGACCGGCAGTATAATTATTATAGTAGGCGGTGGCTGGGAGCTGATAAGGGCGTGCCAAATACTTATTACATCCCACTTCACGTTTTCATGATGGCAAATGGACCTATCAGTTGGTGTAGCAGGAAGCAACCAATCACTGCTATGTCCACAGCTGAAGCAGAATATATTGCAGCAGCAGAGGCAGCCAAGCAGTCTATCTGGATTAGACACTTCCTAGCAGATATTAAAAAGCACCCGAAAGAGCCAACACAATTGGGAGTTGATAACCAAAGTGCATTAGTGCTAGTGTCCAACCTAGTCAATCATCTGTACAGCAAGCATATCGAGTATACAATATCATTCTATCTAAGACTTCATCAAGCATGGCGATATCAGAATCTCCTATATTCCTACCACTGAAATGGCTATAGTGGCTATAGACAGACCGACAAAGGCAATAAGAGGAGATAGCTTGAAGCAAGCAGTCCAATTGCTACAGTTGGCGTAAGGTTGGAAACTTCATCCCAGTCATCACACTCAGAATAAATAGGGTTCTATGGTCCAACATCAAGACTCTCAGATTAATAAGATAAGACAGGCGTTCAACACTCCTACTCATTCATTTGATTTTATTTCCTGTTTTGGAAGCTTGTATAGCTTCATTTCATTCATTTGGAGTATTGAATAAAGGGAGTGATAAGGAATGGGCCTGCACGTGATCCGATAGGTCCATACCATATCGAACCCCTGAATCTCTACATCCCCCTTTAGACAAAGTTAAGACAGAGGTAAGACAGAGAGAAGAGAGTCAACAAGCAGCCAAGTAAGCCTGCTAATACAATATATTGTTGAAGACATCTCTCCTTAGTAGGCTACGTGTGTGTAGCTGATATAGCCTTATTCCGCCATTCCCCTCACCCCCCTGAGCATTCCACAACATGGTTGAAATAGGACATGTCAAACAGGGCTCGCCGGAGCCAGCAAACATCGAGGCAGATGTACGAGACACAGAGCCAAATGGCATCATCCCTTCCCTTCTATGTCTAATGCCTTCTAGACATTCGACGACACAGGCAGCGTTTCCGATTACGGCAGCAGCATCGCCTCCAGCACGACGTCCGTCAGCTCCTCCGTATTCGAGTACCAGTACGAAAACGGTCGACGCTACCATGCCTACAGAGCAGGCCAATACGTATGCTTTGCCTGGTCTATCCCGTATGAACCAAGCTGACACCGGCAGCTACTTCCCAACGACGAACTCGAACAGGATCGCCTGGACATGACGCACCACATCTTCCGGCTGGCGCTGGGAGGGGATCTGTGCATCACGAAGCTCGACCACCCCCAGCGCATTCTGGATGTCGGAACTGGGACGGGTATTTGGGCTATTGAAAGTATCCAGCGCTTCTCCCCTGGAAACAAACCATTCGGCTTGGATGCTGACGTGTGGTGCAACTGTGTAGTTGGAGATGAATATCCATCGGCACAGGTTCTTGGGACGGATCTGAGCCCTATCCAGCCTACATGGTATGTGCACACCTCGCTGCTAGGGGACGTAATCGGGACGTCTCGTTGCTTACTCTGTAGGGTACCCCCGAACGTGCAATTTGAAATCGAAGACGCCAACGATGAATGGACATACGCGCCGAACAGCTTCGACTTCATCCACGCACGCACCTTGGCGGGCAGCATCTTCGACTGGAATAAGTTCCTGCGATCCTGCTACCGGTATGGATGCTGGAGAAAAAGACCCGAGCAGATTGACTGATCGTTTCACGAGACACGCTAAACCAGGCGGCCACGTCGAGATCGCCGAAGGACGAGCGAATTTCTGGTGTGACGATGGCACCCTTCCGGAGGATAGCTACACTGCCAAATGGCTTGTAAGCCTGCCGCCAACCCCCGAAAGCCCTAAGTAGCTACTGATGGACACTGGACAAGGCCGAATTCAACCGGATCGAACGAGAGCTGAACCTAAACTTCGACGTCTTCCCCTCCCTCTCCTCCCACCTCCACCAGCAAGGGTTCACCGACATCCAAACGAAAGAGTTCATCGTCCCTGTGGGCCCGTGGCCGAAGGATAAGCGTCTGAAGGAGATCGGACGGTGGTTCCTTCTGCAGTTCGTCGAGAGCGGACTACAAGCGTACTCACTGGCGTTGTTTACGCGGAATGGCTGGACGGAGGCTGAAGTGCAGGTTCTCCTTGCTGGGGTTCGGGCGGAGCTTAAGCAGGTGAAGATGCATCTTTATACATATTGGTGCGTGGTGTTGTCCGTCCTACAATGCGTCTGTGCTGACTACTTCCAGCTCGTTTGTAACTGCGACGAAGCCACGCTCCTGAACCAAAGCGCCGGTTCATGATTCCGTCTTGGAAGGGGGTTAGTGCTAGAAAGTCTACCGCATCGCCGGTAGCTGTATTCGCATGGCTCTACTCTATGGCTGCATTTTTCCTTTTATTCAGGTGACCGTCTTATGTTGGGTACAATATGTTCCTAGTCAATTGAACCACTCCCTAGCAAGGCCTGTTTTACCGGCAGATATGACAGTAGAGATACAACCTACACAGGAATGCTCGGCAAGGCAAATCCGAGCCACTCCGAACCGGTGTCATGTTGTTTGATCCAGGCAACGGGGTATCTTGTACGATGGAGAAGAAAGCGGAACCAGCAGGGTCAAAGGCCGATGTAGATGCAAACAAAGATGAAGTTACGCTGCCGTGGAATTGATAGAGCATGGCCGTGTATCTTGATGCAGATTCATCCTTCACCTCTGCTTTCCCATGAAGACAGGACATCGAACGAACAATCCACTCACGGCGGCCCTGTCGTGGCGGCATTTGCCCGCGAGAGAAGAGCCACTCTCCTAGCCTCCCTCATCAAGGCATTCTTCGCCTCGACCGGATCCCAACCCTCATTGTCAATGTTCTCCTTGGCCTCCTGCAGCCACATCTTCCAATACGGCGAATTGGGCGCTAGCTTCGCATGCTCTACCCACTCAATCTCCCGTGTCTCCCGGATGGCATACCACAGTGCCTGCGTGTAGCTGGGCTCCTTTGTATAGCCAGGCTCCCGATCCAAACACCTTCGGAAATTGTACCGGCTCATATCCCACGTGTCGCGGTCGTGCATGACCATCGGGATGGCCCAGTACATGACATTCAGGACGATGTAGGTCACGGCCGTGGCGGCCTGCATGGTCCATTTGCAGTTGCTGAAGAGCAGGACAGATGCCATAAGCAGCACGGTGCTGAACCCCAGTAGTACCCGGTGGGTCCAGCTGCTGAAGACGTAGTTGCAGGTCTGCACGCCCCCGTATAGCTCGCGGGTGATGTCCTCGTCGCATTTGACGACCACGAACGCGCCGGCTCGGGTATTGATCACGACGTCTCCCGGCGGCACATCGGAGGACACGGGTCGTCGGGTCAGCATCGGCCGCCATTGCGAGGAGAGGCAGCCCAGGCTGGTTGAGATGGACATGGTGACGAGAGCGAGCGCCGAGACGCCGTCGTGCAGGATTATCGACGCGATGAACAGGCCGAGCGTGATCAGCACCGAGACATAGGTTACCAGATTCAACGGACTGAACGGTTTGACGGGCAGGTTTATTTCCTCGGGGGGCAATGTTGTGGCGAACGTCATGGCATACGCTGGTCGTGTTTCGACATCTCCAGGCTGTGTATGGCCATCGCCGCCTCCCTTTCCAAAGAAGCCGCTGCCTCTCGGCCACCATCGCCGGCTGCGCTGGCTGCCGTTGTTCTCTGAATACGACACCTCATACACGCGAAACTCATACGGCTTCAACGACCGGACATTATGCAAGACGTCCGCGAAGTAGTTCAGCTCCGTGAAATACGAGCCGGAATGGACCCCGGCCACCACAACGTCCGGCACGGAGGGTAGTCGGGATCGCCGCTCTGTGCTCAGCGCCGTCTGCGGAGCAGGGAGGAGACGGGGTAATGCGGCGAAGGAAGACGCAGTAATGGGCAGGACATGTTTCTCCATGATGGACTCGCCGAGGACGGCGAGAAGGGTGAGGATGTCGAATTGCCAGCCATTCTGGTCGTTTCTGGCCGTGGGGAACCAGCCCATGCTGAGTGTATAATTATACACGGATGGACGAATACGAATAGACAGGATGGGAGTGAGAACTTCACAGTAGGGCGTCTTCCCGCCTAAGAAGGGCTCCCATAGCGCTGATCCTGGGTGAGGGAGGCTTTAAAGGACTCTTGACAGCGGGGAAGACGATGGCAATTATTATTAAAATCCTGGCCTTCATAAGCGCGGCCGTTTGGCAGCCTCACCATCCGGGCACTGCCAATACTAAGTCTGCAAACGCATGCAGATTTCGCGCCGGCGCGCTGCAGGCTGCCATTTTGACGCCGTTGCGGGTATGGATCGGCCCCAGCCGCATTGATTCTTCGTCTCCGTTGTTCTTGTTGAGTCATTCCGTATGGCTAACTATGCTCAACATGAGACAGACGCAGGAGGCGCTGCTGTCCAAGAGAGCGCTGTTCTAGGCTGAAGATTGTGGCTTTTCAGGGACGGACGGCCTTCCGGTCCTTATTACGGCCTGATTCATTATTCCTGGACGGTAATAAGCTTCAGCGGGCGGCATTCTTGCCCGTCGCACTGCATTCTTCCAGCATGTAGCAATGATGCCAATTGGCCGACACGACGCAGTCTGAGGCTCAGTATCCTGCAAGGGGAGCTGGAACGACACACGCAGTCCTGCACAGAGCAATGGCTCCGTCTTTTGGATTCCCTGGGCTTTTCCATGCCGGAGACACACTGAAAGTGCTTCCAATGTTCATTCAGCGCAAGGTAGAGCTAGGGGAAGGATTCCCGGACTCCGTGAAGGGGGTTATGGCCGCTCCCAGACGGCACCGTCTGAAATGGAAGGAAAAACTTGCATTAAAGGACGTAGATTTGTTCCATTTACAGTTGCCCCCAGAGCTCTCTAGATCCTCTACCCATTCTATAAACCCGAATCAAAGCGCCGACCCCAGCTCGCTAATAATGACAGCCACTTCATCTTCCCGCGGAGAAAGCAGCGTCGAATCCTCCAGCATCCGACACTGTCTAAAGGACTCCATACTCGCCCAGTCCTGCGGGATAAAGTAATGTCTCTGAATATCGGGCTCGGACCCATCCAATGCATACGTACACACCCACAGCTGGTCGTCGAGGAAGACGAGATCCTGACCCCTGCGGAGACCGAGGGGGATCTTGGCCTTCGCGGATACCTTACCGGGGACGCGCTTCGTGGGTAGAAGGGAGATATGCGCGTTCACGGATGGCAAAGCAGAGAGGTCGATGACGAGGAGACTGTCTTCGCATCCTGCTTCGGTTCGTTGGAGAAGAACATTTTGGCCGTCTTGCGTGACGGTGGCATTCTTCACGTACGGGAGGGTTTCCGTCAGAGTGAGATCCGCAAGCGCATGCGAGTGTTCGTCGAACATGTACGACCAGCTTTCTATCTCGGAGAGATCCGTCCAGCGGTAAGCTGTGACCTGCTCGGCTCCAAAGGACAGAAGGACATCCGGGTCAAAGGGATGATTGACCCATTTCCGTAAGCCGGAGACCAGAGACCGCTGGCTTTCTAGCGTCCCTTCATCGACGGAGCAGATATGGGCATCCAACTCGGAGACGACGAGTAAGAGAGTCGCGTCGTGGTTGAACAGCAGCTGGTGAACGCCGCTGACATTCTTCTCGATTGCAGGTTTCGCTTTGGGATGATATTGCGCTGATGGCTCTGCACTGCTTCCTAGATACCCTACTTCAATCTCTCCAGCAAGATCAGCAGAGGCGATGTACCCCGAATCCTCGCTCAAGGCGACACAGGCAAAGCCCGTGAAATGCGAGAAATGGATCAATTCCCCGATCTTCCCCAACATCGTGTCGAAGAGAGTCAACCGGCCCCCCTCACTACCCACGGCATACAAAGTCGATCCCCGGCCGGCGGTGCAGATGACCGAGACAGCCTCGTAAGACGCCGAATGCGCCTCGGACACATGCGAGATGAACGCAGAGCCATGGTCCTCGCCCGATGTGTCCGCGAACGAGGCAAATATCTCGTGGAAGTGCAGCAGACTATTCGGCTGCCAGAGATTCAACGACGACGAGCCCCGGATATCGTAGAACCGCCGACTATCCGGCGCAAACGACAATTCACGGATGGCGTCGCCGGATGAGAGTTGATAGATGACACTGAACAGGTCGAAACTCCACACCCTCACCGTTCCCTCGCTGTTGCTCGTGATGAAGAACCGCCCATCGGGACTCGCAGCAATCTCGCTGTCCACCGAGGGAGCTTCCTGGTAGTCTCTCGTCATGGGGTGCCACTTGAACACCGTCCCATCTTTGTACAGGCCGATGATATGGCCCGCAACGGGGTTCCAGGTGAATTTATCCACAGCAGTCCAGCTGCTCTGTTTGGGGCTTGACGCGGCCGGCGGTCTCGGGGGTCTTTTGCATCGCGCTATGCACCGCATCTCGCCCAGATCCCACACGGACAGGGGGAAGCCCCGGTAGGAAACGCCTAGCTGGGTCGCGTTCCGGTTAAAGGCGACGCAGTGCGGCGGGGTGATGGGCGTTCCGCCGATTTCAAACCGCTCCTGGAGGAGTTCCTGGCTGAAGACTGACCAGGCGGCTGGGGAGCCGGCGAGGTCCAGATGGTGGATCAGTCTGTCCGTACAGACGACCAGGACGCTGTCGTCGGTTTCTTGGAATGCCATGGCCAGTGCTGGACGGTCGGTTGGATTCTCGATGGCCAGCAACAGTTGCCCTGAAGGGACAGACCACAGCTTCGACGTCCGGAGGCCGAACGTTAGCATTTTATCGCCACGGCGACTAAACGACATAGCCGTCACTGTTTCGCCGTGGTCGAGCACGCAGGTCTGTCCAGAGTCGTTCGAATCCCACAGATACACCGTTCCGGATGCGCCCAGGACAGCGACATGCTGCGCAGAGCAACCGATCTTGATGCCTTGCTCTCCCCTGGGCAGCGAAGTGCTGGCTAACCGGTCGCTCCAGTCCCGTTCTGACAATCCAAAGATCATGACGTCCGACGACGAGCCCTTGTGAAACTGCCGATGAAGAACCGAATTGGACGGACAGAAAGGCGCAACGAGACCGTATATTGCTGAAGGGTTCGTTCGCAACCGGCCACCAAACTTACTTACGATCTTGACCAAGTCCACGGACCATTCGTCGAGATATTCCAAATCGGCCAACCGGTGGAACATCTGATTGCTGGAGACGTTGGTTTGCCGGGCGCTCTCGACGCATGCCAGGAGATCCTGGGCGGCTTTGACGAGCAGTTCTACCTGTCCGGCGAGCGTGAGGATGTGAATCCACACGAGCACCGATGGGCCCCGGAAGAAACCAGACAGGAGATCCAGCTTGGCATCGTCCATGTCGCCGGAGCGTTGGAGATGGTACGTCCACGATGTCGCGGCGTATATGAGGAATGGATCGGAGGAGGGCAGATTCTGCTGTGCCAGGTTGACCCATTGCAGCTCCGGCGAGCAGAGTGCGTCCACGGCGGACTGGAAAAGGAGACTGTGGCTACGGACCAGGTTGACAGCTACCTCGCTGGCGGCCGATCTCGTCACATACTCTCGCGCCGATTGATGGATTAACCGCACATGCCCGGACGGAGTGACAGCCACGAAGTGCGCGCAGATGCGTGTGATAGCTTCGCCCAGATCGACGGTCTCCATGTGCAACGCCTGAAGCAGTTCGTCAAGTGTCATGCTATAGCGTGCGCAGAGGACCCATTGCAGAACCCGCTGGGCGAGCTCTTTATCCTCAGGGTTGGGGGAGTCGAGAATCGCAAGCTCCATGCGCCGGTACGCCTCGGTCAGATCTCTCGGCAGGGTCTGTAGGGCTTGCTCTGCTGCCTCGTCAGTGTCGCACGCGAGGATTTCATCAAGCACCAGGCGGACCCAGAGGAAGTTCCCCTGGGCTCGGCGCAGGATAGCATCCGAGGCTCGCTCTTTCAGTGCAATATCACCGCTCGTTGTGCCGAGTCTGTGTCCGATGTACAGCATGATATCGGAGAAATTGGCAGCTCGGGTCCCGTCCATGCGCGCAGACGGCAGCGTTACAATTCTCATATCCTGGCCGGCGAAATCCACGGCGCCTTGGCTGGTAAAGAAAATCCGCAGGGAGGGTAGGGCTTCCTGCAGTTTGGCCAGATATCCCAGCACGGCCCGAGGAGACTCGGACTCATCCACAGCATCAACGATCCAGAAAAGAGGTCGAGTGAACTGGATACTCGCGGCGGCTACCATGAACAGCGCAGTGAACACATCCACGGAACTCAACGATGGTAAACCGAAGCCGCTTCGAATCATGTCCAGCAGTGTATCCCGAAACGCCGGTTCGTCGGCAGCCAGTTGGGCGGCCATGGCACGCAAGAAAACGCTGACGGACCGCCGATTCTGGTCGCCTGTCTCGAAAAAGAAATACTGAACGGAGCATCCCATGGACCGCAGATGATCCGCAAGGTACGCGCACATCACGGATTTCCCGCTGGCAGCTGGAGATCGGAAGTGTATGACGGGCGGGTCGTTCCCTATCCCCAGCCATTCTCTCACGGCCCTGCTGTCCAGGATCCACGAGCAGGTCCCCTTGCACCAGAGGGCGAGAAAGAAGGAGACATCGTGCTGGAAGGTCGGCGGAACGCACAGGAACTTCTCGATCGTGGCCGGGTCGTCTGTTTCGACGGTGGTGACGAGATTGTCGTTCGCCTTGGGCAGCAGGTCTGCCACCAGCGCTATCAAAGCGTTGCGAACGCTCGCGTAGTTCGAATCGTCGGGGCTGGCATACTTGCAGATGCCATTGTGGTCTGCATCCAGCCCCATTGCATCCTCCTCCTCGTAGCCCAGCGTGGCCGAGTCCTTGCTCAGCACTAGAGACTCATCGGCCCCGATGGCAGTCGGCCGCGTCTCGTAGAACGACGCCACCCTCAGCTTAGCAAGTGCATACCGGAACTGCTTATTGATATCGTCGATCGTCGGTGACCCGGCCGTGAACTCCGCAACGGCATCCGTGGGCAGGTGGAAAGTCGCGCGGAGCAGATTGCTCAACTCCGTCGCACCACGATGTGGCGTGGCCATGAAAACCATGCCCTTGATCGCGTCTATGATTCCCTCGTAGTGATCATCGCTCTGGCCGAGAAGATACGTGGCTTTGGCTATAAGCCCGCCCATGGAATGCGCGACGAACACAACAGGCGCGTTGCTGATTCGCAGGGCCTCGCCGTGCGCATCCTGTCCGAACTCCAGCTCCTGGAGGAGGGCCGCGGCGAAATCCAAGACCCCGTACAGGCTTTCGATGGCGTCTCTCTCGCGGCCGGCATCGTAGCCGAACGATAGGATGCGACAGTCCCTCATGCCCGGCTCGAGGGGGAGCCACTGTCCCGGCCAGAACAGCGCCTCGTCGCCATCCTCGCACCATGTCAGGGTGCTATCGCCGCCTAGACCGTGGATGAAAATAATATCGGCTACGGGCGTGTCTCCCGGCTGGTGTATGACACGGAGTCCCAGCTGCCGGCGGGACTGCCGGCGGGATTGCACCGGGGGCTGTTCGACGTGTGCCTGCACGGGAGGCTCGCGGTCTGGCGGCAGAGGGGGACTATGCGATGGAACAGGAGCGTCGGGAGGCAGCTGCAGGGAGGGAGTGCTGGGGCATTTCAACGGGGGAGCAAGCGAGTGCAAGGCCGGATCTCCGTCTCTCTGGCCGGACGGGGTCTGCCGTCTCGAGCGCAATCGGGAGCGCAGCCAGGAGAAGAAGCGCGAGCGGTTCCGGCTCGTGGTTGAAGCCGTGGTGTGGCTCCTGGCGTCGCTACCGTCGACATTGGGGAGCTCGAGCCTGCTTGAACCGTTCGAAGACGACTTCTGTTTCTGCTTGCCCTGGCGAACGGTCCGGTTAGCACGAAGCAGTTGACCCGTTGAACACAGCCTACCATTATCGCAGCAGAACCATTCCAGAAGAGTTGCGGGTTTTCCACGGCCTGCTCCTCCGGCGGCTCTGTGACAAGTCATATGTATATGGCGATGGCCAGGTGCCTCCGGGAAAAAAAAAAGAAGAAAAGAAAAGAGCCAGCTAGCGTCTACGGCTATTTGTCATAGCGAGGCCATGATGACATCCCGGGATAATCATAAACACCTCAGGGTCTGAGCTCAGGAACAGGGCGCATTGGTCCGGACAGGGCCCATTTCAGCTCGCCATCTCCATGCAGGGCGAGACTGAACGAATGGGAGCTAATGGGGACCATTGGCACTGGGCCCGAGCATAGATTCGTCGTATTTAGGACCACAGACGCTTCCAGAGCGTGGGGAACTGCGCGCCGGCGGAGGTTTAATATGGAAGTGAAGCTAGACATTTCCACTATTGGAGATCGGCCTTCCAGGTTCCATCTTCTCCAGCTCGATCTGAGACTAGTTCTTCCGCTACCAGCCGATCCAAAATTATGGGATCGATGAGTCGGGCTGTGGACCCACGGATCCGAGGACATTGCAGCGCCTGTGCTCGGCTCGGACTCCCCTGCCAGTACCAGGTGCGTCTGAAATGGGGCAACGAGGCTACGGAGCAGTCTCTCGTGGGTGCGAACTTCTTCCCACTTCAGCGGTTGGACGGGAGCAGCGTCCATTTCGTCAATTTCACCGTCGACGACCTGAGTCCGGAATGTGCATCGGATCCGGATGGGTATGGTGGAAAAGACTGCATGGATGATGTCCTGGCACTCGACTCGCCCGGCTTCACGCCGGGCGATGCGTCCTTCTTCTTGTCTCCGGTATCATCAGCGTCGACGCTTTCCTTGCCGAGTCTGGTGGATGAGCCGTCGTGGTTCCCCCCGTTGGAGATCCCGTCGGACCTGGACGAGATGCTTTTCATGTACTGTAAGGCATCACTATCCTCGCATATAACAACACTACTAACTAGACAATGTGAAGACGCTATTGAAATCTGCCCCCGATGCACGATGTACGACGACTCCTCGAACGGTTTCCGCAGCATCATAATCCCCATGTCCGCCGCGCACCCCTCAGTCATGCACTCGATCCTCGCCGTAGCAGCCTTCTACCAACGCCAGCGAGACCCGGAATTCGAGATCGTAGCGCTGGAGCAAAAGGAGAACGCGCTGGTGCATATACGACGCGAATTCCAACGCCAGCCGGAACGGACGCACGAGGAACTAATCGCCACGGCCATCATGCTCTGTGTTTTCGAGATCAAGGACGGCTCCGGTCCCAACTGGAACAAACATCTCCACGGCGGACGTAGCATTCTCCAGTCCAGGGTGCGAGGGCCCGGGTCACAGATCTGGGGTGACGGTATTGCGTGGTGGGCGAACAAGTTCTTCGGGTACCAGTCCATCAATGGCGCGTCGACTTCTCAGCAGGAAGAATCCCGTCTGCTGCAGGAGCCGGAATTCTGGCTCAGTCAAGGCTTGGGCGTACAGGTACGTTGAGACCACCGGAAATAATCGACTAGACTAAGAACCGAAAGGACATCGACGGCTTCATGGGCTGCTCCAGCGAAATGATGTCCATCACCGCGCGAATCAGTGCCCTAATCCGTGCCACATACGAAGAGAACCTCCCAGACGGTCTCCTCGACCACCATGCTAGCCAACTAGAAAGATGCCTCTTCGAGATCCAGCAGCACTGCCCCCATTTACCCGCAACAATGGGCGAGCGCATCTCCGCCACCACCGGAAACAACAGTCTACAGGACATGATTGCTGCATTCCTGCACCATCCAACCGTCCGCGCGCGAGCCAAAATCCTGGCCTTAACAGCCGAAGCAAGACGACAGGCGGCTCTCGTCCTGCTGCATCTATGCGCGAGGAGGGTGCCCGTTTGGCGAGGAGAGGTTCAGTCGCGGGTATCCAGCTGTCTTGTCTGTGTGGGTGCTGTGGCACAGTTGATGGCAGCGGCTGATGCGCCGGTCTGGGGGATGACGCCGTTGGTCTGGCCGCTGTTTATTGCTGGGGCAGCGGCTGTGAGGGAGGAGGATCGGTTTCGGATTGCCGACGTTTTTGCGAAGTTGAGGGTTTCGAAGTGTCTTGGTGTGCGTGTCCCCCCCGGATATCTCCATGACTTGGCCGTTGACGGTTGCATGTGTAGAACGTGGAGCGCGCGGAGAGCGTGGTCAAGTCGATCTGGAAACAGCATGATATGGCTGGATCGGATGGGGACAGGCTGGAGCTCTGGAGGCTTTACGTGAATCCGAATCCCAAGTGGCCGTTGAGTCTTGGTTAACTTGGTTAAGTGATCTGCATGGTATAGAGAGAACCGGACGATATTCCTCTTCAATGAAAGACCACAGAGGACGTAAGTATCATATGTAAAATCATATATAAATATCATACAAGAGCATATCCATCATCCTACGCGTCGCAATGGAGATCGAACGTAACACCAAGCCAGGCAACAACAACACAAGACATAGACAACAGGTACGATGACACCGTCCGCATCAAGTAGTATAGACAAACGCCTTATTCTCCCTATCCGTCATATCCAGGAACGGCTGCGGCCCATTAGAATCCTCCGGTCCACGACGAGACTGGTTCAGAAGACGGTACGAAGCACCAAGGGCTAGGGCCAAGACGATGCAGACGCAGTAGCTGACCAGCATAGCCGTGATGCCGCCGGTATATTTGGGAGCCTGGTTGGCGATGAAGGTCTGGGGGCCTGTAAGCAATTAGCCGGAGAACACACCAGAGAATACCATCACGAGCAAAATCCGTTCGGCGGCTTCTTACCGATGATGTTGCCGACTGCGTAGGCCAGATACATCAAATATGAAACCGTGACTTCTGCAGGGTGTTAGTGGCATGCACTGTACTGTACGACAATGGGATTCAGCGAGGGAGGGAGGGTCTACTCTTCGTGTGGCCGGCCGTATTGGCTTGGTAGATGGACAACGACAGCATGTATCCTGCATAGTACGTGTAGATGAGATACACACCAGCCAGTCTGGCGCCGGTGTCTGAGAGGGGGCAGACTATGAGCCGTTAGCTGTTGCCCTCCGGCCCTTGTGCACTTGCTGGACCAACCGTGGTTCAGGATGGTCCCAATGATCGGGACCAGGAGGACGATGGCCATCGTCAGCGTCCTGAAGCGGGCTGTGCGCGCTGCGAAGAAGCTGGCAACGAGAGCAGCCAGCGTGGAGAAGATCCCTATGGCTGTTAGCCGGAGAGCCCTGCTGTAGAAGACCAAGCATCATACCCGTGGGGATCTGCAAGAGTGATGTCTGGCGACTGTTGAACCCCAGGCTCTTAATCACCAGCCCGTTGAAGGTATTAAGACCGCCATTGGGGATCGTGACGCCGATGACATAGAAAAACAGAATCCAAGTCCGGTAGTCGAAGAAGCACTCGCGCACCTGGTACCACTTCCACTGTTTGTTCTCGATGCCGGTCTGGTTCTCGCTGACGCGGCGCACCACCATGGCCTTCTCGCGGGACGTCAGCCATCTAGCATTGCCCGGGTTATCGGGCAGGCAGAAGAACACGAAGACGCTCCAGACGACGCTGACGCCGCCGAGTACGACGAAGAGCCACCGCCAGCCGGTAAATGAGCCGGAGCCGGCGGGGATGAAGCCGATGCCAAAGCCGATCAGGCCGTTGATTACGGATGAGTAGGCGCCGAATGTGATCGTGTTGCGGACGGGTTGCTCTGATTTCTTGTAGAACATGGTGTAGCTGCGGCTTGTCAGCGGGAGTCTTTTATGCACGCAGATCCAGACGTACATGACGGTGATGGCGGGAGTGGAACAGGCCTCGAGGGCACCGAGGAGCAACCTGCAAACTGAACCGGGTTAGATGATGATCGAATACGCATCGGGAGAACAGATGAGATGCCTACCCAGCAATCCTCCGAAGTTCTGGCACGCCGCCATGATCATCTCAATAGCTCCCCACAGGAAGATATTAACAGCGTAGTACTGGTGACCTTCGCTTAGTGTGCATTGGACGAAGCAGGATGACGCTGAGGATACCGACCTTTCCAATGGGCAGCCGGTGCATCGCCCACGAGGTCGGGATAATGGCAGCAAGACCACCAAAGTAGACGATGCTTTGAACCACGTCCGTCAGAGAAGCAGGCAGAGAATGGCGATGGCTGCAGCAAGTCAACTCACCTCCCGATCCACGAGAACTGGTCGCCGTGGAGGTGCAGATCTGACTGAAGTCCGTAGACAGCAGCCGTCGACACGGAGACCTTGTCAACGCCGTTCAGCGTTGCGCAGATGGTCATCTATTCATTCAATCCAATCTCAATTGGCATCATCCTCCGTAAGGCAGGCAGATCGGAACCGACTCACGATGGGAATCAGACGCCAGTCAATCTTCCGCCGCAGTTTCTGGTCCTCCTCCTCGGTAAACACATCGTCCGCATATTCGCCCGCGTCGACCAGGATCTGGTTGGCGACATCAAGGTCCTTGGAGAGGAGCTTGGGGTCCTCCGGGACCTGGTGCGTGCCGGCTGGTGTCTTCTCAATATCCATGACTGCAGCACGGGTGGTCTGTCTTCCTTCTTGCTGTCCCTCTTCTTTCTATCATGGTGACCTGCTGTTTTACGGCGATTCTTCCAGGGTTTATATCACCGGTCCTTCCGTACACTCCAACCCTCTATCAAGAGACTACGGAGTATCAACATTGGCAGACGATAAAAAGTGGTCCGACCACGAAATAGACAATGTCGATGACCGGCAAGGATATCATGATTGGACCCTAAACCGTGGTCTGAGCTGGACGCAGAAAGCTAAACTCGTAAGCTCTGAGCCCGCGGGGGAACGATAAGCGTCTTCTGCAGGGAGGTTAAACACTCGGGCTTCATACCGACGGTTCCACTTGGTCTTCTGCTCGGACTTGATTGCCCTGGCTCGAGGGCCCAATCGTCGGTGCCTCGTCGCATTCAGCTTCCTTGTGGGTGGTGCCGTATCGTTGGCCGGCGCCACGTCCGGCGAGGGTCAATCAATGCCATGATGCGGTATTTATACGTGCATATCGCGGCACCGGGGGCTGATAGAGAGATAGATAGACCATCAGGAAGGAGTTTCATGGTCTTCTTTGCTCCAGAGTTGCCCGTATAATCGTTTATCTTGTTCGCTCGTTTGACATCCTGCAAAATGCCGGCTGCGACGGGCATTCGAATCTCCATAGGTGCGTAGCTTCGCCTCCCACTGTTCCTCAGTAATAGATACTGACAATCCCAGACCGCGGTGGCACCTTCACCGACGTCATTGCAACCGGTGTCCCCGGCCATGACCAGCCCGTTGTGCTGAAGCTCCTGTCTGAAGACCCGGCTAACTACGCCGATGCACCGATCGAGGGCATCCGGCGCGTGCTGTCGCTCGCCCAGAAGGACGAGGTGCCGCGCGGGACGCCGCTGGACACAGCCCTGATCGAGAGCGTGCGGATGGGAACCACCGTGGCCACCAATGCGCTTCTCGAGCGTCGCGGAGCCAGGTGCGCTCTGCTCACAACAGCCGGGTTTGGCGACCTCCTCGCCATCGGTACGCAGTCTCGTCCGGACATCTTCGATCTGGCCGTACGGAAGCCCGATGCCCTATATGAGCGGGTCGTCGAGGTGGCCGAGCGTGTCACGATGGAAGAGTTCAGCGAGAGCAGACGGCCTGATCCAGAAAAGACGCGCAAGGCGCTTGAGACGGATCCGGATGTAGTGAAATGCGAGAGCGGAGATGTCATTCGCATCCTTGAGAGACCGGGTGCGCAGTGGTGACTTCAGGATTGGATGAAGCATACCCCGGCTAACATCTACAGATCTGGCCAAGGTCAGGGAAGACATCCAGGCTCTTTACGAGGACGGCATCAGGTCCATCGCCATCGCCTTTGCTCACTCCTATGTCTTCCCGGACCACGAGCGACAGGTGGCGGAGATCGCCCGCGACATTGGCTTCACATTCTGCTCCCTGTCGTCCGACCTGAGTGCCTCAATCAAGCTGGTCAGCAGAGGTCTCAGCGCCGCGGCAGATGCATATCTGACCCCGGTAACGAGGCGCTACATTGACGGCTTCCGACACGGCTTCGATGGGGCACTGGAAGGGAAGAACGCCATCCAGTGTGATTTTATGATGAGCGATGGCGGCCTGACCAGCTGGAAGAGGTGCGATATTCTTGCTCCATGCGTCTTTCAGAGGCAGAAGAATTATTGATGGAGATTTAGTTTCACTGGCGTCAGAGCAATTCTCAGCGGACCGGCAGGTGGATATGTCGGATTCGCAAGGACTTCGTACTCTGACCAAGACGGCCGGCCTGTCATCGGCTTTGACATGGTATGAGACTCCCTGTCTCCCTCATCGAGATATCCCTGACATCAGCAGGGCGGTACAAGCACCGATGTCTCCCGGTTTGGAGGCAGCTTCGAGCATGTCTTCGAGAGCACAACGGCCGGTGTGACTCTCCAGACGCCCCAGCTGGACATCAACACTGTTGCTGCCGGGGGCGGCTCGATCCTTCATTGCAGGAACGCGCTCTTCTATGTTGGTCCAGATAGCGCTGGTGCACATCCAGGCCCTGCTTGCTACCGGTGTGTCTCGTTCGCGTTCTAGCAGCAGTGCCAATGGTGTTCATAGCTAACAAATGCAACAGGAAGGGAGGTCCTTTGGCCGTGACAGACGCCAATCTACTCCTGGGAAGACTCCTCCCTGAATACTTCCCGTCCATATTCGGTCCGAAGGAGAATGAGCCGCTCGATATGAAAGCTACCCGGGCGCTGTTTGAGCGCATGGCTGTGCAGGTGAAGAGGGAGACGGGCAAGGACATGAGTCCGGAGGACATAGCACTAGGGTTTGTGAAATTGATCTACAACAGACTCATGTATCCTACTCACTCGTACCAGTTTCATCGACGTCGCGAATGAGACTATGGCCCGGCCAATCCGTGCCCTTACGCAGGCTCGAGGATACGAACCATCCGCACATCGACTCGCTGTCTTCGGAGGCGCCGGTGGGCAGCACGCATGCGATATGGCACGACTCCTGGGCATCAACTCCGTGATCATCCACAAATACTCGAGTATCCTATCTGCCTACGGGATGGATCTAGCCGAAGTAACCGACGAGGCTCAGGCGCCGACGTCAGAGACGTACAGCCCCGAGTCATTAGCCAGCCTGCTGAAACGGGCAGAGGATCTGAAGACCAAGGTGATGCAGAGACTGGAGGGCCAGGGCATCACTGCATCCATGATCGAGGCGGATGTATACCTCAGCATGAGACTGCAGGGAACAGACACAAACCTGATGATCCAGCAGCCAACTGACAGCGATTTCGCCGCGGCGTTCAATACGGAGTTCAAGCGGGAGTTTACCTACCTGGCCGAGAACCGTGATATCCTGGTTGAAGCTATTCGTGTCAGGGCGAGGAGCAAGATCCATATTGCAGACAACCTGACGCCCTTCAGCGAGGCCCGGGCCATCAGAGAGGGGGCTCTGGCTGCTGTCACTCCGCAACCGACCAAGGAGTCGCCGGTCTACTTCAAGGGTCTTGGACGGGTCAGCACACCTGTCTACCAGCTGAAGAAGCTAGATGCTGGCTCTCGGATCCAAGTAAGCTCTCCCGTACGGTATGTGGCATTGCACTCCATTGTTAACAAGGGAATAGGGACCGGCTATGATCATCGACAACACGCAGACAATCCTCGTGCAGCCCAACTGCACCGCGAACATCTTCAGTAAGCACGTCCTTATTGATGTAGGCAGCGGACAGGCCAAGACGCAGGCCGAGACTGTATCTCCGGCCTCCCCGACGAGCGTGGATCCAATCCTTCTCTCAGTCTTCGGACACAGGTTCATGAGCATAGCAGAGCAGGTAGGTTAGCAGAAAGAATAATATGCAGCGAGCAGGCACTGACAATGGCAAGATGGGCCACACACTCCAAAAGACGTGCGTCTCGGTGGCGATTAAAGAGAGACTGGACTTCAGCTGCGCCTTATTCGATTCAGATGGCGGTCTTTGCGCGAACGCGCCCCATGTGCCGTATGTTCCGATCCCATGTTTCTGCTATATCCTGCTAACGTTATTCTGGCAGAGTACATCTGGGAAGCATGCAAGGGAGCGTTCACTTCCAGCACATGCTGCACTCGAAAACACTCAAGCCGGGCGACGTGCTCGTTACGAATCATCCGCAGGCCGGCGGAGTAAGAACCCACGTTAGAGACAGATCGAGAGTAAACACTTTCTGACACGCTGCAGACCCATCTCCCCGATATCACAGTCATCAGTCCCGCGTTCGACGCGGAAGGCAAGAAACTCCTCTTCTACGTAGCCTCCAGGGCCCATCATCTCGACATCGGCGGACTGGCCGGAAACTCAATGCACCCCGGTGCCAAGGAACTCTGGGAAGAGGGTGCTGCTATCATATCCTTCAAGCTGCTGTCCGAAGGCAGGTTTGACGAAGAGGGCATCACGAAGATCCTCCTCGAGGAGCCGGCGAAGTATCCCGGGTGCTACGGGTCGAGACATCTCAGCGATAACCTCTCCGATCTTAGAGCGCAGGTTGCGGCTAATGCTCGGGGTATTCGTCTGATCACGGCTCTGATTCAGGAGTATGGGGAGGAGACGGTCAAGTTTTACATGGGTGCTATCCAGGCTACTGCTGAAGCATCCGTGAGGCAGTTGCTGACGTCTACAGCTGCGAAGCTGGGACCTATTCTTGAGGCAGAGGATTACTTTGATGATGGTAGCAAGATCCGTCTGAAGGTCAGCATTAAGCCGGACGATGGCAGCGCCACGTTTGATTTCACAGGAACCAGTCCGGAAGTCTACGGTGATAACATCTCCCCCAAAATGCTCTACGAGCCTCGCTGACTGGATTCAGGAAACGCCAACGCCCCAACAGCCATCACCATGTCAGCCGCCATCTACACGCTCCGCTGCCTCACCGCTACGGACATCCCCATGAACCAAGGCGTCCTGGCACCGGTCCACATCATCCTGCCCCCCGGAACGATCATCAACCCTAGCCCGGAAGCAGCCGTCAGCACCGGCAACGCACTAACGTCGCAACGCCTCGTCGACGTGATCCTCAAGACCTTCCGCGCCTCAGCCGGCTCCCAGGGCTGCATGGGCTGTCTGAGCATGTTCGGCGGCCCCCGGCCAGACGGAGGCTGGGACTACGCCTATGGCGAAACCGTCTGCGGAGGCAATGGCGCCGGGCCAACCTGGCATGGCAGTCCGGTACCGACACAGGTCCACATGACGAACACGCGGGCGACGGATGTCGAGATCCTAGAGCGTCGGTATCCGCTTCTTATGCGGGAGTTCTCCATCCGCCGAGGCAGTGGTGGGAAGGGCAGGTATAGAGGTGGGAACGGGGCGCGGAGGATCTTCGAGGCGCGCGAGCCGTTGGAGTTCTCGTTTATGTCGGAGAGACGGACGGTGGCGCCGTATGGAATGGAGGGGGGCGAGGACGGCGAGAGGGGGCTGAATCTGCGGATCATGAAGACGTTGGATGGGCGCTTCCGGACGGTCAATCTTGGGCCGAGGAGTATGTTTGTTCTGCAGCCGGGGGAGAGGTTTATTATCAACACGCCTGGGGGAGGGGGATGGGGGAGTCCTTCCCAAGCCCAGGGGGTGACAGAAGAGACACCGACGAAGAAGTACCATGGCAGGGCTGCCGGGTCGGTGGCGGCTTGGAAGGAGGCGCAGGAGGGCCAGTGATTGATTTCCTAGAGCATGCATTCTACGTGCATCCATCGAGAAAGAAGAAAGAAGAAAGACTAGGCAATAGACATCTTCATCCCTCCATTCGCACAAATGACACTTCCCGTCGTCCACCCACTCTCCTCCGAGCATAGCATATCAATCGTCCCGGCGATCTCGCTCGTAAACCCCGGCCGTCTTCCCCCCATAGACTCACGGACAGTCGTATCGAACCTCTCTGCATCATCCCCGGCCATCGCCAACACCTCCGGCTCGCGCTCGTACTTCGCCAACGGCGCCGCATCAACGTAGGGCTGGTTGATCTGCCAAAACGCCGGCCCAGCCTGCGCATACATGTCGCCCCACGCAGGACCGGGATTAACAGCATTCACGGTAGCCCGACCAGCCAGCTCGCGACTCCAAGTGCGCGTCATAGCCTCCAGCGCCGCCTTACTCCCCGCATACACTGACTGGCCCTCGCACCCGATCGACGAAGACACACTGGATACGTTGACAATCCTCCCGGAGCGGTTCGTGGGCAGATGCGGTGCCACGGCTTGCGTGAGCAGCAACGGTGCCAGCACGTTGACTGCATAGACACGGTTGAATTCCGCCTCATCGATCGCGCCCTGCTTGCTATCGTTCAGGAACTGGTTCGACGCGACCCCGGCATTGTTGATAAGGATGTCGACGCGGAAGGTCGAGTCGGCCGGGCTGTAGGAGAAGAAGAAACGGCGCGCCGCGTCGAGGATGGCGCATGCTGCGCTTGTCGGGTTTCCTAGGTCGGCCTGCACGGACGTGCATTTGATTTGGTGCATAGCGGAGAGGTCCGAGCCCAACTGTGCTGTCGGGACTCGTGAGGAGTCGGATGTGAATGCTAGGAGAAGATTGCAGCCTTTGGCTGCGAGTCTTTTGGCGACGGCGGCGCCGATGCCTGTGTCCCGTCAGTGCCTGGGTCGGATACTGTGTAAGCTACGGCGTGAAGACGAACCTCGAGAGGCACCGGTGACGATTGCCAGCTTGGATTCGTATGGTCTTGCTGCCATTGTGAAGGATGCGTGAGAGTTGGAAGATTGATTCTTACAATGATCTTACAACGAATGCCCCTCCTCCGGATCGTCGTCGGGATGCTCCGTAGGGCTACTATTACAGTAGGTGATCACCTGACGCCCAGCCCGAATTCACATACAACGACGATGCCAAAAAATTGAGTTTAATTATGTAGAGGCCTTTTCGAGTACTAAAAAGAGGTTGAGAGAAAGCTATATAGGCCTTTTAATCTTCCCTAAAGCGTTGTGGTGGCCGGATTTGCCTTCCCCGACGATTTACTATAGGAGGGGCCTCAAGAGCTTCAGCACGGAGCGACTGTATCTGTTGTTTTGGGATTCAGAAGGCCTAGAAGGCTTCTTCTTGCCTCTTTTGGCCTGCGTGAAGTCATTTTGAAGCTGTACATGAGCCCTTTTAGCCAGCTGCTCCTCTTTTGGCGTTTCTTTTGCTCGGCTTCCTAGATCCGTAATTCTCCGTTCAATGCCTAGATTTGCTTCCTTTCTTCAAGTAATTGCTGCTCTTCTAACTTTGCTTGCTGCTGGAAGCTTGGTAGATTAATCCAGGAGACAGAGAGGCTGTAATGGTTGGAATATAGAATTCATTTTGGTGCCGGATACACGAAGAATTCCTTGAGGGAAGGAAGAGAGCAGAAGACAACGGCATGCCAGCAACAAACAGAACAAATGCAACAAAAGGGACAGACAAAACAAATGAAACAAATAGAGCAGGTAGGGTACTCAGGCAAAGCCCTGAGTTGCAATATGCCTGGCGTAGCCCATGACAGGTCCTATCTGCACAAATACAGCCGATTGTAGTAATCCATTCCCGGTTTCCATCTTGCAGGCGTTGCTTGAGGCCTCCTTGCTCATATTATTGCCTAGAAAATATCCTTTTGCCTTTAGAAAGTACTCCAGTACGAGATCCCTTGTCATCCATGTTGTAGGTTCCTTCATCTTCCAAGCCTGCAGCGCAAAGCATAGGGTATATTTATATGCAGAATCAGCGCGCTTTCTTGAGGAATCCATAGCCGTTGTACAGCGAGCAATCAGGCCGCCATTATGCTTCTCCAGAAAGCGGCCTGGCTAGTGCTTTCCTGGCTTTATTCTGGTGAGTTCTTTGGCAAAATTCCGAAGCATCTCATGGGAAGGATAAAGCCACCGTCCGCGAGATTATTGATCCATTTTAAAAGCTCCTTAGCCCGCTGGTTGTTGAGAACTCGCTGACTTTCGTATTGGTCTTCTTTGGAATGTTGAATCCCGCGGTGATGTCTTGATAATGTTGGTTGTACGGCTGACACCATGCTTTTTTGCAAATTCGGTATAATTTATCGATTCTCCTGGCTCGAAGGATTCTCTATCTGCTAGAGCGGCTTCAATACACGGGGAGAGACGCGGAGGTGCGCTTGGCAGGTATATCCTCATCATACTCGCTGGAGGCACCGATAGCTGACAGAGGATGGAAGAGTAGAATAGATGAGAACAAATATCAAAAACTCCGCTACATCTTCTCCAGCCTACGTTTCGGAAGCGTGTCCGCCCCCAGGAATATCCTCCTGTCGACGGCAGACTCCTCCTCCCAGTTACACGATTGCTTGGAAATCCGGTCGCCCGGAAGAGCCCTGAACAGAACCCATCTCGAGGCAATCTTCCTGGCCACCTCGTCTCGGTCCGAATATGCATCGAACATGAGCAGACACGAGCACACCACGGCCTCGACGAGCTGCAGGGCTTCCCTGCCGCGCCACAGGAGCTCCGCTTTGGAGGTGTTCTGCGTGAGCGCCAACAGGGTCTGCAGCATGCGTTCGACAGCGGCACATTCCTCCGCGAAGGCTGGTCGGCAGACGCTCAGCACGGCGATAGCCCATTCGCCCAGTACGGCCTCAACGACTCTTCCCTCGGCCAGCCGCTTGTCCAGAACCACACGGACGACATCCTCGGCCATCACGCTGACGGTTCCCTCCCAGATCACATTGGCGATGGTGTCGCGGAAGATCCTGGCGATGTTGAGCACGCCGTCGCCGTCGTTGTTCTCGCAGTATCCGATCCCTCCCAGGCATTCCATGCAGGCGCGGAGGCCGTCGGTGGATGCAACGCTAACGCGGGCCTTCAGAACCGGCGTGATCAGTCGCAGGAGCGTCATGGCCTGTCTCTTGTCCGGCGGGATCAACTGGGCCGCTCTGGTGTTTCGAGCGGCCGAGCTCCAGTCCTGCTCTATCGCGCCTTGGAGGGCAATGCCGAAGAACGTGAGGTGAACACTCGCCCAGTATCTGACCGTTTCATCGGCCATCCACCGCACATGCGGCCTGTTGTCCTGCAGGAGGGACCCTTGTGTCTTGCGGACTTTGGTGTAAGCGCGGCAGATGGACAGACCACGACTCCACGCCGCTACGGATGCTGCGGCGGCGTACAGCCGTGTGATGTTGAGGATGGTCGTGATCTCCTTGACGCCGTTCCCTTCGTCCCCGATCAACCAGCCCCGTACGCCTTTCAGCTCCAACTCGGCCGTCGGGAGTGCTTTCGTCCCAAGCTTGTTCTTGAGTCGCTGGATCCGGATCCCGTTCAGTTCCGTCGGGGACCGGCCAGGTGCATCACTGTGACCCATCCGTCGCCGCATGGGGACATAGAACAACCCGAGTCCCTTGCCCGTCTGCGCCAGCAATAAGGCCATCTCAGAGTCTGTCGCGCTGCTGAACCATTTGAAGCCGTCGATGCTCCACGGCCCCAGGGGCATCCCATGGGCATCACGGTCCCTGCCTCGCTGGACATCATGAGATATTTCTGACTGGGTCAACCGACGAGCCACCGTCTCCGTGCCACGCACATCACTCCCCCCGGTCCTCTCCGTCATCCACTGCCCGCTCGTCCACGCAGTGTCTGGATCAGACGATACCAGCCGCCTGTACACCTCGCGCAGGACGTCATGACGCCCCGGCTGATCCCCATCGGGATCGCCGAGGTGCGCGGAAAACAGCCTCGCGGCCCCGTCCGTCATCGACATCGGACATCCCGTCACAGCTGAACTGGGCGTCCACAGATGATTCAGCGCGAACTGATGCACGCGCCTGTTCCAGGGAGAATCCTTCTCACCATACGCCACCGTGATAAGGCCCTCCTGCTGTCCGATTCTCTTGAGTTCCTGCCATCCCGCCGCGGTGCGGAGAGGCTGCGACCGGTCCTCTTCGCCGAACGTCGTCCGCGGATGAAGCGTGGGCTGATTCGTTTCTGCGTCGACAGCGAGACGGAGTGTGGATGGCAGCAGGGCGCGACGTGCGAGTTTATGAATTGACTCGAAGACCGCCACGGGCTCGCGGGGAAGGTAGAGGTTTAATATCCTCGCCAAGACTACATCGTCGGATGTGGCGTGTGGGTTGTTGTTGCTGTTGTCTTCTGACCATGCTCGACTGTTGACAAAGGTATACCCTGGGGGTACCATGGGTGGTGTCTGGAAGAATCCATCCGAGGATGAAGAGGGTTTGATCGTACGGTTCGCCATGTACTGCGCTGGAGATCGGCAGATGCCATAATACAAGGTTGAGACATGGAAAGCGGGACTTCCGTTCCCCTGCAGGCTGGCGAGTTCTTATATACACGGTGCAGCACGCGCAATGTCGTATTCGGCTCAAGCCCAAGCTTTATTTCCTCCGTGTCGGCTGTGAAGCAGCAGAGGATGCGGGGTTTCGGCAGAGTCTAGGGTAGCAAGCCCCATGTGACAGTGATGTCATGCAACTGCCTTTTTTGGCAGTCTTGAAGCTGTAGACACGATGCAAGATGCTGATTATACAGTGATGCTGATTATACAGTGATGCTGAATGGAGAGAAGATCCAGGCAGATTCCCTGCTTCCCAGACTTCCCCGTAAAATCAACCCGTAAGTCCAATACAGAAAGGCAGCCCATTCCCACCACCTTGTATTTTCCATACGGTAGCTTATGGAGTAGCTCGTCTCATTTCTGCTGGTTGCTACCCCGTTAGGGCTAACACGACAGTCACAAGTCACTGTTAATACGCATGTAGAAGCGATGAGGTAGCTGAAACCTCAGAATTAGCCGTGCTAAAAGCAGGGTACCGTACGACTCCGATAGCATGACTAAATTAACCGTGAAGGAGATAATTGCCTACAACCCGCCTGATCTTAATGGAGGTATATCGTTGGTTGGTGGAAAGGGTCAGCGAGGGCGGACCTATGCGGCAGAATCCCACGTGATCCAACAGATCTTCACCCCACACGGAGGGAAGCCTAGGACAACGCAACATCCCACTTCAGAGTTCATATATGAGACGAGACGGGTATCGGCTAGTAATTACGGAGCCCGTGATAGGTGGGAAAGAGAAATAATTGAGGTTCTAGCATATATCTCTTGATCGCAACCCTCCATACGGCCTTTCAGGGGTGAGGTGTTTTCATCGTGAACAGCTTAGTAATCCGGAATATTGTTCCGCATCACGTGACTGATTAACTATACGATGCCGTTTGACATCATATAAGTCGTACCAGGTGACGCACTCAGCGACGACCAACACACCCTCAAGCACCACATAACCCAACATGGCCAAATCCACCTTCAGCGTCCTCCCGTACGGCGCGATCCTGCAAGGATTTCGCATCGGGGACCGCAACATCGTCCTCAACTTCCCCACACAAGAACTCTACGAACGGTACAACACCCCGTACTTCGGCGCCACCATCGGCCGCACCGCCAACCGCATCGCCGATGGTGTCCTCAAAGACCTCAACGGTCGCTCCTACAAACTCACCACGGAACCGGGCCAACTGCACTCTCTCCACGGCGGCGTTGGCTGGAGCCATCGGACGTGGGAGGGTCCGCATACAGTCGTGCGGAACGGCCGCGAGGCGCTTGCGTTCACATATTTGAGCAAGGACGGCGAGGATGGGTATCCCGGCACAGTTGAGGCGCGTGTATACTACAGCACTAGTCGGGAAGGGGAGGATAAAGGGGTCGGCGAGAACGGGGAAGGGAAGACGGTGCTAGAGATCGAGTTCGAAGCCGAGTTAGTCGGAGACGAATGCGAAGAAACGGTCGTGAGCATGACGAACCATACATACTTTAATATCGGCGACGGTCCCACGATCGACGGCACAGAAGCCATGCTGAAAACAGACAAATACCTCCCCATCGACCCAACCGGTATCCCGCTCGGATCCATCGAGACATACGAACCCATTCGCGTTACGCGCCCTTTCTACCTCGACGCCACATACCCGGACATCGACGACTGTTTCGTTATGGACGACAGGCCTAGCACAGTGCCCATCGACACGCGCCCGCTTCCACTCCGCCTCAACGCATTCTTCCGACACGTGCGGACGGACCTGCGCCTCGAGGTCTTCAGTACTGAGCCGGCGTTCCAGTTCTACACGGGGAAATATATCGATGTGCCGGCCGTGGATGTGGCGCCGGATCGACAGTCTCATGCCGGCTTTGCGGTTGAGCCGGGACGATTTACGAATGCAGCGAATGTGCCGGAGTGGAAGGGGATGTGTGTGTTGAAGAAGGGTGAGGTCTACGGGTCGAAGATTGTATATAAGGCTTGGAAGGGGAACTGAGACAGGACCTCCACGGATACTGCCTGCATACTGTGCGCATACTGCTATCTATATAAATGCCATTTTTTATATTCTGCTCGTTCTATCCCATCTCTCTTCTGCCTCTATTCTCTCTGTAGAGGCAAGATTCTAGGTAGCATTGGCCAATGGAAGAGGACAATGCGGTTTGTCGTAATAGATGCTGCTTAATTTATTGATTTTTCTTTTTTCTTTTATTTATTTGTTTGTTTATTTATGAGATATTGTAGCATCAGAGCTTCTACCACTATTACGATAAACTTGGCTTCTCATATCCTGGGAGGAAACTCAATAGGGCTTGTACCTGCAGGACTATCGGGACTATTTCCGCTTTGGGATATTAGCAACACGATCCTGCCAGGCACCAGCATTTTTAGCAAGATTGTGCACTGAAAAGGAGGAATTGGTAGTAAATATAAAAGGAGATGGTACATTCTTCCTTTTCCCCCGTTCCTCCATTTTTCCCCCATTTTTTCAGTCCATTCTTGGCCTCATAACAGGGATCAAACCGGGCTGATTCTCAATTGCATTCTGAAAATGCCGTCTTGTGCTCAAAATGTCGGCATAAAGGCCATTGAGTTTTATTTTCCCAGCTGCGTATGTATTGGTTTGTCCTCCAACCCGTTGGGCGTGAATTAACCTGGAAATATGTGCTCTAGTACGTGCCGCAGTCGGAACTGGAAACGTTTCTTGGAGTGAGCGCCGGGAAATACACAATTGGACTCGGCCAGCAAAAGATGAGTTTCTGTGATGACCGGGAAGGTGAGCACGATACAAGATACAAAATACCGATGTTTATGGCTGACGAGACGCGTAGATATCTATTCCATGGCGCTCACGGCCGTATCCTCCCTCCTGCAAAAGTACTCGATTGATCCGAACTCAATCGGGCGTTTGGAAGTCGGCACGGAAACGCTCCTTGACAAGTCCAAGTCCTGCAAATCCGTCCTCATGCAGCTGTTCGGGGAGAATACCGATATTGAGGGCGTCGATACCGTCAACGCCTGCTATGGGGGTATCAATGCCCTGATTAACTCGGTTAACTGGGTGGAATCGTCTGCTTGGGATGGTCGCGACGCTCTTGTCGTCGCCGGAGATATCGCCCTGTACGACAAGCCGGCTGCACGCCCAACTGGTGGTGCTGGTTGTGTGGCGATTGTGGTCGGACCGGATGTGCCGCTCGTCCTAGAGCCCGTTCGCGCGTCGTATATGAAGCATGTATATGATTTCTACAAGCCGGATTTTAAGTCGGAATATCCCATCGTGGATGGGCAGCTTTCCAACACTTGCTATCTTGAGGCATTGGACAAGTGCTATCAAACGTACCGGAGGAAGAGGCTTGCGAGCAACGCGACGATGACCAATGGAGTCGACTCCAACCGCGGCGGCAGTTTTATTGATACCTTTAATTATATGGCTTTCCATACCCCGTACTGCAAGTTGGTGACGAAAGGGTATGGCCGTCTGCTCTTCAATGACTTCCGGTCCGATCCAGAACGGTTCGATCAGATCCCCCCTGAATTCCGGGAAATCGAATACACAGCATCCTTGACGAACAAGAATCTGGAAAAGCTCTGCGTCGGTCTGACAAAAGACAAGTTCTCAGAGCGCGTGCAGCCTTCGGTCACAGCGGCAACGAACTGTGGCAACATGTATACCGCCAGCGTGTACTCGTGTCTGGTGAGCCTGTTGAGCAATGTCCCCAGTGCAAAGCTCCAGAACAAGCGTATCGGCTTGTACAGCTATGGCGGTGGGCTGGCGAGCAGCATGATCAGCTTCCAGGTGAAAGGAGACACATCTGTGATGGCGCAAAAGGTCCAATTGCACGCTCGTTTGGACGCTCGTACAGCCGTATCTCCCGAATTCTACAACAAGGTGAGTTTGTGATTAGCCCTCTGCACTAAGTAGCCTGGGTTCTAACTTCTTCAGGCGTGTCAACTTCGCGAGCAGGCATACCAACAGAAGAACTATACTCCCCAGGGAAGCGTGGACAGTCTCGCCCCGGGCACGTACTATTTGGTGCACGTCGATGATCTTTTCCGGCGGAAGTACGAAATGAAGCCGTACGGGTAACCGGCACAACGCTTGAAAATAGACATGGGTATAGACTTTCCGTACAAAAGCTGTTAGCCTTAATATTCTTGGATTTTTCCTGGCACACTCCGCATTAAGAACAGCTGTCGAATCCTAGATTTCAATAGCCCATCTTTTGCAGTATAGCGTAGATAACTCGTTAACTCCTAGCTAGACAGCCAACCCAGCGAGTTCAACCGCCATCAACATGCTGTATTCAATTCCTGAGGGCGTTGTGAATCACCAACAGATCCTTAAGGAGGCGTTAGTGACCTGGTGTCCATTCTGAACTGTTGATGGGCGGCCTGGTGTGGGTGTTTTGAGCTGTATATCAAGCCGCGAAAGCACCTTTCTGGATTGAATGGGGTTAGGCCAGTTGCTATGCAGCCATTGAAAATTGTTTCTGGTTTGAATATATCTGTATTGGAATGGGGAGACAGGCTGCACTCGCACGATACGAAGATTCTTGTTGAATCTTCTATGCAAGACGCCCTAAGATCCCATCGCCGCGGCGTTAAGAATGCCCTCAAAAACACCCCAGTCAACCATGACTTAAGACCGCGGACTCAAGAAATGGTCTCTAGCTTTGTCAATGGTCAAGAAAAACATATAAAGGGCGAAATCCCGCTTCTATCTCGCTGTCTTTCCGATCCATCTCTAAGAACCGCATCGGAACAGTCGGGTACGAGGATATCCTCACTTCTAGCAAACCAACCATGTCCCTTTCGGAAGTAAACACCATACTCCTTGTCGGCGGCACTTCTGGAATCGGTGCCGGCCTTGCCAGTCGTCTTCACGCGGCAGGCAAAAAAGTCATCGTCACCGGTCGTCGTCAAGACCGCCTGGCTGCGCTGGAGCAAGCGCTCCCCGGTCTCTACACGTCCTGCTTCGACATCAGCGACATCCAGACGCTCCCGAAAACCGTCTCCGATCTCACAGAGAAACATCCTGACATCGACAGCGTGATCATTGCTGCGGGAATCCAGCTATACACCCAGCTGGACAAGCCTGAGACCGTTTCGCCAGAATCCATCAGCGAGGAAATCGCCACGAACCTGACAGGTCCGATCGTCCTGTCGAACCTGTTCGTTTCGTTCTTCTTATCGCAGAAGAAAGCCTCGCCTACTTCGATCGTGTTCACCACGTCGGGACTGGCTATCGCGCCGTTCCCCGTTGTATCGGTCTACAGTGCAACGAAGAGCGCCCTCCACTCTTACGCCCTCTCACTTCGCTCTCTGTTATTCGAGAGCAGGATCAAGGTCGTGGAGATGGTGCCGCAGTTTGTCGCCGACACGGAGCTTGCGTTGAAGGATCGTGATCTGGTCATTGCAGCGTTGGGTGGTCCTGATAGTCCCGCGGCCAAGGGGCTGCCGCTGCAGCAGTGTTTGGACGAGATCATGGCCGGTCTGGCGGAGGGTAGAAATGAGTTTGGCGTTGGTCGAGCTGACATGATCCTCAAGACTTGGAGGTCTGCGGTTGAGCCTGTATTGCAAAGACTGGGAGTCAAGGGATAACTAGTTAAATAGCCATTGCACAGTCTGCCTATCCTGATAGGCACCAACGACAGGTGTTTTTCCGCGGTGGGAATCAATATGAGCCTTTTGGATAGCATCTAGGAGACGTTTTAATGCCGGTTTGTTCCACGAGAAATAGTATATGAAGATATTCTCCGCATTTCTCGAGAGTGGATCATTGCGATTATCTTTGAAACCTAGTATTCGTATTCAACTGGATTTCGCCGACATTGTTCGTATTAGATTCCAAGTATTCGAAATAATTTGTGCCAAGACTATTCTTCCGTTTTAGGGGCTCACTGCCTACCCAATGTTGAACACCGCGTGATTGTCACCGTCCTTGCAACTGACCGCTAGCCAGCTGCTGTAGCGCGAGATTGTCTCACCATTCCCGCATCACCAGTTCACCAGTGTCAAGGGAGAGACTGTTTAGAGGGAGAGACTATTTAGAAAGGGACAAGATTTACTGGGTATCAGGAGGAACTCACCGAACCGAGAGACCATGCAGCGCTTGATGTTGATGCGAGATATCTCTCCTCCATCTCTCAAACGTCACGCACTGAGATAATTAGGAACGCTATTCACACGGCCAAGTGGGCATTGAAGCTTCATATTAAATTAGTAAAATCAATCATGCTTGTAGACGGTCTCTTACTGGATATTTCGTGTTGATGCTCTGTAAAAAAGTGACGGGTTTGACGTGGTTGTATTCATAAAGGAGTCGGTCCCTATCTAGCTAATGGGAGATCACGTGACTACCAAGTCAACAAAAAGGTCATATTGACTGGGACCAGTAAAAGAGACGAAATCAAATAGGTATTGAATAATGTAGATAAAACTGGGCACTTGGATAAAATATAAAGGCAAAGTTGGGATTCTTGACCACTTTTTCACCAAGTCGGCAGGGGATCTACATGGCTTTATACCTCTCGTCGGACCGATCCACGCCTGGCCCAACCTGGCAAGGTGGGCGCGCCAGGGTCGGTTTCAAGCTCGGAAAGCAAAAGGCTCGCAGTCAATCTCGAGTTGATTTCTTCATTTATCATATTATCATGCTTTCCCGGTAGCTTGTATCTTAAAGATATCCATCTCGCACGTGAAGAGAATAAAGACAGCATAGCATCTCCATGTCTGCCCCGAATAAAGGCCGCATAAGAAAGAGGAATCGCGTTCCGCTGTCCTGTCGAGCATGCCACCGTCGCAAGTAAGCAGTACATCCTGTCCAAATATCGAGGATAAAAATTGACGCCAACTCTAGGATTAAATGCAATCGAGAACTTCCATGCCAAAACTGCATTGTGCGAAATGAAGTCTGGACATGCTCCTACGTTGCGCCATCGGACTCTTCGCGCCAGAAGCAGGCTGCTCACAACCGCCAAGGCAAGGACAACTCTCAGAACACAGAAGCACCCGCTTTGACTGCTGCTGGGGCTATTTTCAATGATCAATATGACACGTACTACAGGGGTGCCACTCACTGGGGTAGCGTGGTGGACGAGGTAGGCAGATTCTCTGCACCGTCAGCAAAAAACACGATCGATGCTGACCCCAAGAAGCTTACTGAACCCGATCTGGTTGCGGTCACACTGGGGAGCAGCAGTAACGGCAGTGAAAGCAGCGAGGGTAGTCGAGAAAACATCCAGGGTACCAGGAAATCCGCTCTCGAAAGCGTTGTGGAACTTCCCCTTCGCGCGGTAGCAGACAGGCTGGCCCTGTCTTTCTTCGATACACAGGGACCTACTGGGTTATGGCTGCGTATATTACTCCTTTATAGACATGCTGTATTCTCTTGTCTAATGGATCTCAGATGTCGTTCACCGTCCAACCTTTCTATCTAATGTTTGTCGACTCCCCATGCAATGCTAGATTAAAGAAACCGCTGACTTCGGATGGATAGTATGCAAAGTTCTGGCGCGCTCCAGATGGCCTTCCCAAGTCCTGGATTGGACTACTTTTCTCCATTCTCTCGCTCTCCTTGCAGGCACGCGTGGGCTGGTTTGACGACATCGTTGATCCATCGAATTATCACGACTTTGTAACCCGGTGGCGCTCAATAGCCGTCTCCTGCTCCCAGACTCGGGATAACAGTTTGAAGGGAGCCCAGTACTCACTGCAGACTAAGCTTCTCGTTTCCATAGGCATTGCATTGAGCCCGGATTGTGATGGGAAAGACTTTTCCACTTCCATCGGCGTCGTCACTCGCGATGCCATTCACATGGGCTTTCATCGCGATCCGTCCCGTTCCCGCAGTATCCGGGTCTTCGATGGTGAGATCCGTCGCCGGCTCTGGGCTCTTGTTAAGCAGATGGATACCTTGTCGTCCTTTCATATGGGACTACCCTGTAGCATTCGATCAGCTGAGACGGACACCAGAGAGCCCCTAAATATCGCTGATGACCAGCTACTGGAAGATATGGGTGAACTTCCCGAGCCGGTTCCCTTCTCCCCCGATATACCGATCGGATATATGATTGTGAAGAGTCGCATATGCGAGGTACTTGGGAGGATCGTGGAGCACTTGAACTCGTTGAGCACAGGAACGTACGATCAGGCTCTACAGATTCAGAGAGACCTGGAAGCTGTTTACACCAGTATTCCTCTCCATTTCCAGTTCACTTCCTGGGACGAAGCATCCGAAGCACCCCCAACTCTTTTTGTTCAGCGAATACATTTAAACCTGCTATTCCACCAGGGGATTTGTGCTCTTCACCGAAAATACCTGCCTCTATCCTTCACGGTAAACGGGCATGCATACCGAGCTTCACGAGATGCGTGTCAGGAATCCGCACTGGTACTGCTGTCTCACCAGGCGTGTCTTTTCCGGGAATTGAAACCGGGAGGAGTGGTGAAACCGTCCCACGGGCGTAGTATCAGGCCTGCCAGTGAAAACTTTGGCCTGGCAGCCGCCATCCTGTGTCTTTGTCTTCAGCGCATAGACGCTTCCGCACCTGAGGAGATGGAGAAGAGGGGGGATATTATACGGACTTTACGTATTTCCCGCGACATTTACGCAGAGCTGGTAGGGGAGTCGGAAACAGCCAAAAGACTGTCGAAGATTTTGACATATGCTCTGTCTAAGGCCTTGCGAGCCGACGGAGATGGCAATCTCCCGCTAGAACAAGGACAGGACTTTCCTGCTGTAGATTTAACTGGGAAGAATAGTGATGAACCTCGCAACCAGACAACAACTCAAGATGACTTGATTGGTTTCAGCCTTGACGAGAATGTTGATTTCTCTGGTGTCCTTGATCCAGACTGGTCGGAGCATTTCAACTGGGTGAGTCTGATATTCTAGTTTGTCTACGGATCCTTCTGTACTAAGCGGTCATTCCACAGGGCCTTTGGGATTCTGTCATGCGGGAAGCTGAAGAATTGCCCTGGGTAGACAATCCATCAGTGCTATAGGAGGTATGCAATACATTTAATTTGTTCTGTTTGAGAAAAGAGATACAGATGTAAGCAGGAGAAGACCGTCCGAATAGCGACATATTGAGAACCACTATCCCAGGAGCTCTCTAGTGTGAATCTTCAACTGACATTACCTTTTTAAACATCCCAACAGTGATACTTCCTCAAAAAGCCTCTGCGTCAAGCCCTAGACCCTTTCTATGTGGCTGCACTTAGAAAAAGTCTTTGTTGACAACTGCAACTGATTCTTCTTCAATTGTCTCCAAGTCCTTAGACCGCATTGGTTTTTCATCTAAAACCAGAGACATTGAAGTGTGACTCCTCGGCTGCATGGTACAAAGCAGGTGCCAATGCCAGAGCATATAGGATCATCCTGGGGAAGTAAACCCATCATCTACCATTCTGAGGCTCCTTAATCGACTCTCTCTGGGATCACAGGACGGAACCTGTCGATCTTCAGCCATAATCTATGGGCAATAATAGGGACAATATATACTGGAACATACCCGTCTTCCATGATGTGTCGATGAGCGATATTGCGAAGCTCATCGAGGGAGAACCCGGTGCGCTGATCCAAACCCATATCTTTGGCACGAGGTAGTATGGAACATGGAAGATAATCTGCTGTTCGATTTAAAAGATATGATACTGCAAAATCAGGGAAAGTGTATTGGTTGAAGTGTATGGACTCCGCCTGATAGGAGCAATCATGACCATGAACAAGTGACGATAGCCATCTATCAGAACCAGATTCAGCATCTCAAACTATTTAGGAATCATTTTCGCATAGCTCCCAAGGGAAGGAGATGCATCTTTATCGTGAATATGGTCCCGTCCTTGGACTGCCTGTGCCCATGGCGATCTTCAGCCTATTTCAGTCTCAATTGGGAGCATCTAGGTTCATAGAGCTGAGGCTTGAATTCAACGACATCTAAGACTGGGGTATATTCTGAAGAACGGTTACCCTGACACTTATGCCTTGTGTCCGAGTGCTGTCAGTTATGTCTTGCACTGGAATTTTGATCCGTAGACGAGCAAGCTCTGCCCCAGTGGATATACACCAGAGCAAAGAATCGTGTAGCTTGTCAATGATCATAAATTGAGACCAACAATGGGTATGGTAATTCTATTTTGTGGTTTTACGAGTGTTTATGATGAGAAGGCAGCGTGACTGTAGAGAACAATGTGTCCAAGACCTTTACCAACGAAAAGGTGTTTGTAGGGCTACGTTCAATCGGATAACAGAGAAGATGAGAGCAAACCATCTGCGAAACAAGGAACCCATAATATCTGTCCATGGACCATTTCCTAATTCTTCTTGACTGTGACAATCTTGAAACAAGCACTACCGCTGAATCAGCGCTGTATAAGTGGCGCCCTGGATCCTGGTCCAGTACTCCTTCTGCAGGACGGAGGTTTGGTCCATGGATGATTATTTAAAACAGAGATCAAATCCCACAGTGATCGTCCTGAGCCTTGGTAGATCTTGAGTTCATGTCCAGATTCAGTCTTGTCTTAGACCATTTCACTCTGAGCACTGTCTCTGGCATTGCTATCTATCCATCAGTGTACGGCATCACAGTCGATGATGAGAACGTGCTTATTTACTCCGTGCTCCTACCCTCCAAAGCAAGCAACTACCTAGGTATCTTGCTGTCGGCCAGAAAGACACGGGCACAAGAAGCCGCGGTTTTGATTTAGACAAGTGTCAGACCACATTTTCGGGCTCGATGTGTACGAGTCGGACAATGCATTAGTGCGTGAGAACTGGCCTCTTTTCGCGGGGACGCTCCAGACCTCGCCAAATGCTTGTGATTGTTTACTCTGATGCCTCTTTATCCAGGTTACGAATGACTTATACCTGTATAAATCTAGACCCGATTCCAAGGATCCTCTCCCGATACATACAATCCGCACATACATGTCTCTCCAGCGTGTTGTAAATCTTTTCAATGCGACCCTATTCAACCCCTTGCTGTCAGGCTTAGCCGCCGGCGCCTTGGCCTGGCGGTCTCTACAGCCGGACGGGAAGATTGACAAAGATGCGCTTCTAGCAATACTGAAAACAGACAAAGGGATCAAAGTATGTCTGGGTTTATTCCTTGCCGGGCTTGTGATCCGGCTGAACGGTACAGTCTCACGGAGGGCGCTGAACCCCAGTGGAAAAGTCCGTTGGACCCCTAAGGGTGAAGTCGCATTAGTAACTGGCGGTAAGGAGGGCATGGCAAACCCCCTTTTGAAAGAATCCATAGTTGACATGCAGCCATAGGAGCCGGGGGTATTGGGGCGGAGATTGTCAAGCTCATGTCTGCCAAGGGAGTCCCAGTGGTAGTTGTAGATGTCGTCCCTCTTCAGTTCACTCCTTGTACGTTCCCTTGACCGTTGTTCTGGTTATTGAAAATTGAATTTTTAGCCGACGGACTTCCTGTACCGTTAGCAAACGATGGGGCCCCGGTCTCATACTACAAGTGCGACATTACCGACTACGATGCCTTTCAGAAGGTGGCCAACAAGATCCGAGAGGAGGTCGGATCACCTACCGTCGTGTTTGCCAATGCTGGATTTTCGAGAACGAAGCCGGTGCTCGAATTATCCACGCGCGAACTTGCATTGTAGGAATTCTCCCCCAGCAATTCGATTAATAAAGCTGATCGGCAGAACAGGATGAATGGGGTGAATATCAACGGCGTGCTATGGGCAATAAAGCTCTTCGTTCCGGACATGGTGAGGAAAAACCACGGCCATATCGTGATCACCGCATCTTCAGGTACGCTTCACTGAACAGTGTTCGAGGAGCAGTTCAACTGACACAGAAAAACAATACCAGCTGCGTACGTGAGCAACCCCCGAATGGTACCATACTGCGGTACCAAATCCGCCGTCCTGGCGATCTGGGAAGGGTTGCACGCCGAACTCATCCAGCTCTACAAGGCACCCCACGTGAAGGCCTCCGTCGTCTGCCCCATGTTCGTGACTACGAAGATGTTCGACGGGATGGCCAGTCCGGGCTTCGTGGCACCGCCCTTGAAGCCCATTGATGTTGCTCTTCCTCAGGTGCAGGCTGTGGTGGACGGGGAGGCCCGGCATATCATGGTCCCCCGGGCATTTGGACTGTTTTTGGGCTTTGTCAGGGCATGGCCGTCGTGGGTTGGCGTTCTTTTGGCTAGAGCTGCGGGTGAGATGACAGTTAAGGTTACAGGACATGATCCGTTGGCGTAGAAGTGGCTATTGTTTCGGATGTATTGGATTCTTGCAGTCTTCTATGTTCCTTTCTGGAACTAATAAATCCGATGTATTATATACCTCATTCTAGGGCATAATCTACTCTAGCAAGTTGGAACTTGATGAAAATCTCCGAGAGCAACGAGCCTTGCGGTATTGTCCATTTGGCCAAATTGCTCACTATTGCCTAAAAGCATCAATATCGCAGGAAATATCCTTTCAATCTGGGTAGTCATTGAAATAGTCGATGCTAACATGAGGATGAAACAGACAAAGTATACAATGAGCACACAACAGATTCACAAGACTAGATCGTACTGGCTCGGGTTATACAGCAATACAGATCCAAAGCTGTCAAAAGTAATAGCCAAAGACATGCGAGAAAAAAAAAAAAAAAAAAAAAAAAGGTCCTTGAAATCTAGATAGCCTGATCAGTAATGGTAGTGAGACGGTTACCCCAATCCTTAGCATTGTGGGTGCTGAACTCAGCCATATAAGACCCTTGCAGTTTGATGCTGGCCATGATGGGTCCATTTTCAATGGGACACTTGGGTCCAAGGAACATAAAGTAGTTGGGGAATCCCATGGGTAGCCAGACCGAGATAGCTACGCGGCTCGTCTTTCCATTCTTCACCCAGGTTCGCGCCGTTGCGGCCAATGAGTGGGAATCGGGGCTTGAAAGTTGTGTCGAAGCCAGCTGCACAGACGAGTCCATCAAGTTTGTATTCCTTGCTGCTGTCCGTTACGACACCCTTAGGGGTCATCTTGGTAATCTCACCGTAGACCGTAGTTACGCTCGGCTCGCCCAGAGCCTCAAGATAGCCAATATCGGGCTAGAGGCACGCTTCAGCCAGCTCATTATTTAGTAATGACGATAGGCCAACCTACAGTCAAGCGGCGGCATCCCAATGCAAAGTTGGGAATAAGCTTATTTGCCAGATCCTCATCCTTAAGTTTTGTTCTCATCTGCTGCTCAATAGTTTCTGTTCCGGGTAGCTTCGCCCGGAGGGTTGGTCGAGTCAGAATATTATTCAGTGTGGAACATAAGGCATTCCCCATTTACATCATTGTCAAGTTGCCTTGTATTATTATCCAAAGTAGAAATTGCATAAAGGTTGCTTTAATCTAGTTATTTCTCATTCCGGAGCGTGATGTATAGGAACATACTACTGATTGTATGTATTTACTGAGAATATTCATTAAAAATATAGGCCAAGCACAGAAAATAAGAGCCTCTAACCATAGGTAGAACCGGGAACCTATATCGACAATAGACAGCACCAAACAGAACCATGAGAAAACAGTCCAGGAAGCATAGATAAACGTCCACCTGCTCTTGCCAACACCTCAACGGGACTCGTGGAGCAATAGAGACGGCAACAATCGCTAACACCATATGCCTTGTGAAATACAAAGAAAACCACCAGGATTCTCCATTGAAACAGCAATTTAAAAATGAGCAGCCCAGCTGCTAGGTAGGCCTATACAGAACGGACGGGATATCCATCCCCGCGACAATATCCGGGAACTTATCAATGAACATCGACGTTAACCCCCATCCATTTTCCGAGGTAAAGGTATTATAGAACTCCTGTCGAACCCGTAGAGAATCGTCATGGTCCCGTTCGAGTATATTCTCCCCCCACTTCCAGCGCACCTTAAGACAGCACGGGAGAAATCCGACGGGCTCCAGCAATTTTTCCCGCGGGACACGGTGGATGAAGTTAAGCCGTAATCGCGGAAAGCAGATCTGGTCACAGCAGCTGGGATGAGCTTTCTGCAGCTGGCCGAGAACGGGACGCATGAAGGGGGGCAGATTTGCGTAGGTTTCAGGACTGGGTGACACTAGCCATTTCGAGTAGAGGTAGATCAACCAGCCCATAGCTAGGATTTCGGGTTCGTGGCAGTTGCTACCGCGTAGCATCCACTGGATGCTGTTTGCGAGGAAATTGCGGCGTGTACCGTGTAGGAGGTCCAGGGCGTTGGGGATGTTGGGGCACAAGACGACGAGATCGGGGCGTTTCAGCCATGGACACATGGCGGAGTCGATGTTCGCGCTGTATACGTCGACCGGTGGAGTGAGAGTCCAGGCTGGAACGAAGGCTGGGAGAGCTGCTAGCGGCAAGGGGAGGGCAGAGAGCGATGCCGAGAGGGACGAAGGAGATGTGGGGTCTAGGCTGACGGAGCTGGCAGTGCTGGAATGTGGAGTGATGGGTTGTTCTAGGGGAATGGTAGCTGCTTCAGGGACTGCAAATGGAGCCAGCTCAAGGCCTGCAGATGAAGGTATGGCTGTTGCTATTCTAGTCTCTACCGGGTCCGGATAATGAAACTGGATGGACTCCGGGGAATCCAAATATTTCAGTGTCGATTGCGGTGGCAATGGAGGTTGAACTTCAGCGGAATTTGCTGCCATGTTTCTATCGATCAGAGGGTCCTTCGAGGTACCCCTTAATAGGATATCCGCAGCTGAAGGATCGGGGCATGATGGGTTGGATGATGGAGTCTGTGGATTGTCGGTTGCAGGGAGAGAAGTATCTTGCCATGAATTTACCAGTTCGGTCAATCCTTTCTGGCGGGATCGCAGAATGCGGTTTTCCTTCTGCAGAGCTTGGATAATATCCAAGAGACGTTGCTGATAATGGTGTTGATGCTGTTGCTGTTCCTGCTGCGACCCATTTTGCTGGCCTGGTTCCTGGCCCTGTTGCGCATCCTGCTGGTGATTCTTCTCGCAATATGCGACGCGCTCTTCTAGCATCCTGAGCTGCCGTTCGCGTTTTTGGCGTAGAGCCCTCTGGGCGCGGCGGTCGCGTAGCCGCTTCTTTTCGTGCGAGGTGAGTTGGTCTGTTGGCGTCATGGAGATAGCGATAAGAGAGCGGATAGTGAATAAGTCAGAAGCGGAGGCGAGTAACTATGGGGAGACAGTTGAGTAAGTGACGGGCGAGTAAATTGGCGGGCGTGTCAGCAGTCGCTGGCAGGTAAATTAAATCAAGTCCAGAAGCCGGGCACAATTCCAGGCCCTTCCCCGTAGTTCCGGGGCTACCCCGCATTTCCGGGGTTGGGACCCACCATTCTCCACTGCCGGGGTTTCGACCGCCCCGCTGATTCAGCGCTGATTCGAGGCGCACGTGGCCGTGAGCTTCAGAAGTTCAGTGGCAGTGTGGGCTGCCTCGGTGATGAGGTCAACTCATGGTCTATTGTCGGTTGCCATGGTGGGATCACCACTGTACGGCGAGATATAGACAGCGAGGAAAGATGGGTCCAGGACTGCCTTTAAAGATGCTCTGCTTCCCATCCAGTTTAATCTCATTTTTCACCTCAGGTTTCACTTATCTAGAGACAGTCCTCAATCCTGTTCTTCTCTTGGTACCGGACTACCAGCATATCTCTACGTCTGTCATCATGGCCTCTCCTGCCGTCAATGGAGATGCCTCGAAGTGCCGGCAGAAGCCAGTCCATGCCAACCGCAAACTGCGGGTGATCACCATCGGTGCTGGTGCATCAGGTATATATATGGCATACAAGCTGAAGTACTACTTCACGGACTTCGTGCTCGATGTCTACGAAAAGAACCCGGACCTGGGAGGCACCTGGTTTGAGAACCGCTACCAGGATGTGCCTGCGTGAGTGATTACCCCCATTGTTCTTTTAAACTGATGGATAAATCCTGTCATACGTAATTTCAGTCATAACTAGACGTATTCCTTTGAGCCAAAGTCAGACTAGTCGGCCAACTATGCAACCTCCCGCGAGATCTTCACCTATTTGAAGGATTTCGTCGAGAAATATGGCCTGAGGGAGTAATCAGCTTCAGTATTGCGATTATTGGCGCCCAATGGGACCATAAGCACTCTGAATGAATTGTCAAAGTCCGCAAGGAAGACGGAGCTATTTACGAGCAACGTTATGACTTCCTCGTCAATGTAGCTGGTATTCCCAATGCTTGGCGCTGGCCAGCCGTTCCAGGTCTTCATTCCTTCGAGGGCCCTCTTCTCCACAATGCTTCCTGGGATGAACCTTATGATATGACCGCAAGCATATCGGCTGATTGGAAAGGGGGTAAGTATCCCAGAACGCGGGGTACAGGACAGAATGAATCCGTGCATAATATGTTGCCTCAGTGCGCACATTGTACAGACTGTCTATGAATCCATTGCAGAGAACATCCACATGAGCACTTCTACAGTTTGTAGATCCTATTTGGAGATATGTAGATGTGGGCGGGGACGAGTCAGTACGTAGACGACTCGGTGCAAACCCTAATTGCTTCAGGCCAGTTCCTGTTGGCCGGATCTCAGCTCAATTCAACAAGCTCATCAGAATTTGGCTCCTATATAGCAGTACTTCTGTGTATTTTCAGTTTTATAATTGGTATCGACCTGATGCTGTATAACTAACCATATACTGTGCACTGCACATACTTTCAGAATGAAGAACACAATGCATGTGCTTTGCACCAGTGACCACCAACTACAACTTGACACTTCCAACTAGCAACATGGGTATGCAGCAAATGATGAAATGGGCAACAGGTGCATCAGGCTATGGCAAAATCTAGCTGGCGATAATGTCGATGCTGTCAATGGGGAGGGCGCAATTTGTCTGCGGCCGACAACAGCAGACAATGGCAGACAACGGCAATGTAGTATCTTTGATCGCAGCATCAATTGCCTGTAGCATGAGATTTAATGTCTCAGTTTTATCTTCCATGTTAGTTGAGCGGTTTCGATATCGCCTACCCTGAAAATGATGGGGATGGAAGTATTCCTAGCCATGCTGGAACTATAGTTTTCATAGGGTTTTTCCAACTTGAATTTCCATGAATAGCATCTAGAACTATGACTGGGCTATTATAGAGTCTAGACTACTCCTTTTTATTATACAGAAGCCTTCGTTAATTCACAAATCTTCATAACCGGCGCATATCTTCATTTCCCAGTACCCTCGGATATCCCCCGTACAGCTCTGCCTAGGAGTCAGCGTAGCCACAACGCCCCCGCACGAGTCATTGGGATCTGAGCTCATTATAAGGGCACTGGTGTCTGTCTTTTGATAGTTGAAAAAAAAAAAAATGAATCTGCAGTTATCATCGTCATGTCATCTATGAAGCGTCATACTCTCTCGACGGCTCAATGGCTGGGCTTAGGGCTGAGCCTAATCAAAGCAGGTAGGCTTTGAGTTATTAGGTTGCATGCATTTTGATTCAGGAACATTTATCTATAAAATATAAGTTATTGTGAAATGCTGCTAATCGTAATGGCCCGTAGTCACTCTTGGAGCAGGCGCTGTCGCAGCTGTCCCGTTTCAACGATCCAAGGGTCCGCCGACGCTTAGGAAACATGTTCTCTTCGCCATCATGCGAGTTTTCACGTCTACTCTCCCTCTTAAGGCGATGCTGTAATTATCATGCTTCCCTTGAATCTATGCTTATGATTCAGCTGACCCTCTTGAGCGCCCTGAACCTGACCACCGACGAAGCCTATGAGAAAGTAACCAAATCTCTAGGCAAGAAACTCGATACAGTCACCCTGGAGGACGGCACACGCGGCCACTGGATCGGTGATCGCTCTGCGGAACACATTCTGGTCTTCAGTCACGGTATGGGAGACGGACGCACACATATCTGATAGCTCTGGCCTGATCCAAACCGCGTCCTAGGTGGTGGTTATGCCCTGTATGCCATTGAACCGCAATTCCAGGTCCTCTGGGGGCTCGTAGAAGAGGCCGAACGTAAAGGCAAAAAGCTTGCTGTACTGTTCCTGTCATATGGTGAGTTCATTGAGAGGTTTGTTTTGTTTCTCTTGCTCATTGACGGGACAGATGTCAGTGTAACTGCTCCGTATCCACGACAGCTACAGCAAGCATCTGCCCTTCTCCAATATATGCTGAATACGGAGAAGAAGAAACCCGAAAATGTGAGCCTCTACCTCGGGCTTTCTAGGACATAATGGTGCTAACCGGCCTAGATCATTCTCGCCGGTGACTCTGCCGGAGGCAATCTAACCCTTGCAATCCTCTCCCACGCTGCACACAAACACCCACGCGTAGAGCCGCTCAAACTGGACGGACGCTTTGGCGCCGCGGCCCTCGTCTCCCCCTGGTTGACCTTCGACACAAAGACATCCGATTCCATGAAGCGGAACAAGTACCGCGACGTCCTATCCCTAAGATCCCTCGACGCCTGGTCATCACTATTCATCGCCGACGCAACAAGAGACAACTATCTAGAGCCATTGTATGCAGTGCCGCAATGGTGGCAGGACGCCCCTGTCGAAGATGTCCTCGTCATATCCGGTGCAAATGAGGTCTTCGTGGATGATATCCGAGCTTTTGTGAAGAAGTTCCAATCAGTTCATTCTAAAGTCACGTATGTTGAGTCTCCGAATGAGGCGCACGATGAATTTTCCTTTGCAGGTATGTTCAATGAACCACCTTCTCAGCAGCAGGTTACGTTCGAACGGTGGGTTCTGGCGAGGATTATGACTTAGCTGTCTGCCCTATATGGTGGAGGACGTAGCAGACTTACATGCGCAGATTCGGTTGCTCCTACAGTTTGAGTCATGTTAGTTTATTATGACTATCCATTTGTCAATATGTGGATCACTTTCTCCATCGACTGTCTCTCGTTCTAACTGAATATCCATACATTTAATTCAATATCTTCAGTATAATGTGTTCTTCCATATGCAGATTGCAGATCGAGTCTAGATGCCGGCTCCATTGAGTCCATTGCACTCTGCATGTTCATGAAGTCAATGACAAGCTGTAGCCTTTAGAGACCAGCTCATATTTGTATTCCAATATGCACGTCACGTTCAATAACAAATGGTTACATGCAAGTCAATAATGCAATGCAATAGTTATCGCCATGGCTCGGTTCACAGTGAGCAAGGCATACCTGTAACCACATGTAAATCTCCATCAAATCATCAGCTCATAAAAGTACGTTACCAGAAATAATAACAGTTGAAGTAGGAGACCGTTATGACCATGGGAAAAAGATGGGTTAAGCCAGAACCAAACGGAAAGAGATTCAATGCAGCCGGATTCCTCTCCGGTTCCAAATTCGAGTCAAGCTCCATCGTTCTCGAAATCTCTCCAAATTAACAGCAGGCATCGAGTAGATCCAATGGCATAGCATGCCGGCCACAAACCCAATAGCATCGTTCTTGAACCCAACCAAGAGGCCAACGGTGACCATCATCACCGTCCATCTTCTTTTCCGCTCGCTTTCGCTTATGGCAGGCATTGAACCTAGGCCCGTAAATGCCTGCTCTGCCCTTCCGAGGTCCCGGGCCCCCGCAGTATTCAAACTTTCGCCGACACTGACAAGCTCCAATCCAGAGGCGATAACCATGACCCCCAATAAAGCCGATGGGAATCTCTTCAACAGCCCCACCAGAGACTCGCCGAAGAAGACACCAATGACCAATTTGAAAAGACCAAGAAAAACAACGCTCGACCCTGAGCGCGCTCCAAAGCGGTACTGCGCAGCCAGTCCTCCCGAGCCATGACAAACAGGCATCGCACCGAGCCAGCAGCCTAGAAGATTCATCCCAGCAACGCTAAGTCCGATGGACGTGATGGATGGCGTGCGCACGCTGGGAAGCAAATCCCCCGCGAGGTGCACAACGGCCACAATTGAATTGAGCGTTGTCAGTGGTATTTGGCCAATACCAGCATCCAGAGCACCCACTCGCCATTCCTCGAGGTGAGGGACCACGACGAACGGACTCCAGAAATGGAACGATGGCAGATTGGCTGCTAAAGCAGAGCGAATGGTCGCGAAGACAATGCCCAGAACAAAGACTATCAGTGCATATGGAACGTCTCGATAGATATTCGTCACAAGCAGGAAAATAAAAGCAGCGAGGGCCCAGAGAAGATTATCGGCCCACGACGGACTAATCCAATCAAGGGAGGACAACAACTTCCCCGCAGAGGAAATTATCAACGACAGTCCCGCTCCGACTTGAATGCCCTTCACAACTGGAATGGGGATCACGTTCGCAAACCACTCGAGGATCCCCGTGATGCTGAAGACGAAGATACAAACAGCTACGAATATCCCCGCCGCGGCGATCTCGCCATGTGTGAAGGATCTAGCGATGGCAACAGCCGCAATAGCTTTCATCGGCTGTACTGGAAGTGGGATCCCGAAGAAAAGACCAGTGAGAATGTTGAAGAGTCCCGAGAAGATGAGCGTGCTCGATAGGGACACAGTCCCGTTCACCGACAGGGCAATGGAGATGGGGAGAAAGGTGCCCAAATCGCCCAAGGAGCCGGAGATCTCTGACACATAGTGCTGGCGAAAAACCTTAAGATTTCGGATGGATACTTCACGTAAAGTTCGAGCAGGCATGGTCAGGTATAAATAGTGAAAAGAGTTAAGGAGTTACAAAGAGTGGAAGTTACGGGAGATTGATTATATGGATTAGTAATCAGTGAACTTGAACTAGCCATCAACGAACGCTCTCTCAAATTTGGCAATTTCGATGTCTTGGTCTGTTCTATATTGATGAATTGGAAACGCACGAGCTCAGATAACCACGACGAAAGCAAGTAATTTACTCCAACCAGGTCCCCACAGCCCCCTTGAGCAAATCAGACAACCACTCCTCATCCAGCTTTGTCGCGTTATCAAATCCATGACCTCCATCCCTTACAACCAAGAACACCTTATCACCGCCCGCTTTCCCCTTCATAGCTTTCCTCACCTTGGCGACAAACTTCTCGCTATGCTCAACAGGGACAAGGGTATCCTGGCGCCCATGGAGGATCGCGATGCCACCTCGGGGGATCTTGGCGTCAGGGGAATCCAATCGTTCCAACGGGTAGCGCACCTCACGACGGGGCAGATGCTCTGTACCCCTTTCGTACATTTCAGTCAGCTTCCCCTGTTCGATAGACGCCATTGCAAGTGCTACCCGGGAAAGTGGAAGATCCGATGATATCACCACCCCCGGCTGGGTTTTATCTTCGATCAGTTTAGCGACGGATTCAGGGATAAAGCCAGGAGGGTTGAAAGCTGGTATAGCTCTCGGGACATCATATGATGCCATATCAACGGTGGGATAACTCGCCGTGGCGGACCGGATGCTGTCTGGGTACAAGAGAGCGAGGCAGATGCTCAGTAGACCGCCGGCGGATGCACCACTTGTGATAACGCGGGTCAGGTCGAGTTCCGTCGGGTTTGAATGCGACGACATGAGTTTCATCACTGCGGTGGAATGTAGCCAGGACCAGAAATCTTCCACGTCTTCGATGATTTCAAGGCTAGTAGCTTCCGGGAGGAGGCGATGGTTTGGAGACACTATCACTGCCCCATGTTTCTGGGAGAGGTCAAAAACCCATTGGGGGAACCAGTTAAGGAAAAGTGAATCGCCCGTTATCTACGACAATGTTAGAATTACTCTAGGACTTCATCCTGAAAGAGCATGCATGATAATGGATGCCTTACCAAGCAGCCTCCATGGAAGAAGACTATGACGGGTCTCTTCCCCTTAGGCAGCACCTTTGGGATCAAAAAGTCTGCTCGAATGCCGTGATCATCAACTGTTTTATAGTTGCTCTGCACCACATCAAAGCCAGTGAGCTTGCCGGTCTCGGAATTCGAAGTCACAGTCATCTTCACTGTGGTGATTGAAAGTGGAATGACTTAAACTTGGCAAGATACTAGACTGAATTAAAAGGATTTGGTCAGTGCAAGTGGGAAGAAGGACAGCTTTATATGCCATCTTCAAAAGCAATGTGACAGAATGATAGGATGCATATGTATGCTCCAAGATCGTATTTCGGCTTTAACATTCGTCCTGACGTAACCCCGATGCTAGAATCTCACCTCTTTGCGGCGTTTCGACATGGAAATAACGATAAACCCGGCTCCGTCGGATTGTAAATACGAGATGCAAACAAATAACTTAGACACCCGACTTTGGTTAGTTTGCATATTTGTCTTGTTGTCAAACAAGCAAACAATACAAATAATACAAATCATGCATCGTGCTTGTCACCAGCTCTTTCCCAGATCCAACTTCTGCGCTCATGATACCATATTCAAAGCGATGCTGCTGACTATCTGGCCTGAACAATTGCGGTACCATATCACAGACCATTAACCCATCAAAGATGATGCTGAGGAAGTTCCAGCATGGATCAAGCAGGCCCAAAGATACCGGTTTCTCCTGGTATCAAACAGCAGCAATGCGGAGAACCACCAATATAAATATATAATAATACAGTCCATAAGCTGCGTTATTATTGGGGTCTAACTTGACATATGAAGCAGAGCAATGACAAGGATCACTAACAGGATGTGGAAGATAGCACACCCCATTCAGACATTGACCTATATTGATTGAGCTCATGCTGCTTAGGTTCTGTCGACCGGCAAATTCTTTGGGAGGTGGACCTGTCCCCATTTACCCGGGCTCGATCACACTCAGCGCTCTGAAGGGCCTCTCGTTCGGCTCCATGGACACAGTCGAGTTTATGGTGATGTATACGTAGCTGGTCGCCTCATGCGCAACGAGTTGGTCGAATACGAAGGCAAATTGCCTCTCAGACATGTCGAAGATGAAGAATAAGACGAATGATGGAGCCCAAAGTTGAAAGGAACAGCCGACAATTGTAAAGATAGAGTAGTCGCAGGGCCAAGTTGATGACCCGATAGTGCAGTAGTCTTCTTTTTTTAGTCGAGATTCAAAGGAACTAAGAATCGTCCTCAGGCAGATTACAGTCCGACTCCAGAACCATGGATACACCGACGGAGTGCGGTATACGAACCCCCGATGACGTACAAATGGTCTCAGATATTAGTAGTAATACTACGGTCATCGATTCATTCTGGTGTACGGTGCGTCTTGTGGACATTTCAACAAAGCAGACAAACAAGAGAGCACTCATGAACACCGAGAAATGGCGCCTCTGAATGTGATCATTATCGGTGGTGGGATCTCTGGATCGATTTGTGCGCGTGTACTACGAGAGCATCACAACGTCACGATCATCGAACGCTCGAATCATGAGCGTGCATACGGGAATGGCGTCAATCTGGGACCGAACGCGACGAAGATTCTGGATAAACTGGGCTTCAGTACAGAGCGGGCTCAAACTATCATCCTGGAAAAGTATAGGATAATCGACAGTAGCGGCGCGCTGCGGGAAGACTACGACCTGCGTCCCTATCAAGAGATCAGTGAAGGGCGCTGGTACAGTCTACAATGGGCGGATATGTGGCATGAATTTAGGCGGCTTGCCCTGGCGCCGTCAGAAGAGCTCGGGATATCCGGCCGGCCAGCAACGATGATCATGGGTGTCAAAGTAGTGAACGTCGATGTGGAGAAGGGGGAGGTCTTTCTCGAGAACGGAAATAAGCTGGAAGGAGATCTTATAATCGGTATGTTGGAAAAGGCCAAAGTCTTGTTATGCTTGCTTGTCTGGATCAGTGTGGCCTAACTTACACACGCCGCCGTACGGCCTGTGTTGAATACAGGCGCAGACGGGATCAGGTCCGTGCTTCGATCAATCGTTTTAGGTGATAGACATGACGTCGGTTCAACACAAGAAATCGGGATGACCGCATTCAGATTCATAATGCCGGCCGAGCATGTCGAAGAAGCCGCGGGCAAGTTGCGTGTGATGGACCCTGAAAAGCCACCTTGTCTGGACCACTACCTGGCACTGGATGGCAGCAAACGGAAGATCATCATGTATCCCTGCCGCAACTTCAAGCTTCTGAATGCCATCTGTATGGCCCCGAAACTCCTCGTCAGCGGCACCGCTGGAGAACCATGGGGCACGCCAGGCGACGGAAACCACCTTGCTGACTGTTTTTCTGACTTCGGAGAACCTTGCCAGGCCCTATTACAGTAAGAGAGTGGATTAAATGAAGAGAAAAAGAAAAGAAAGAGATCAGATGAAATATAACTAACCGGTACATCATCCACCATAGAAACGTCAAAGAGATCAAGCTCTACCCGATGAGCGACTTAGTTCCATTACCAACCTACATCAGAGGTCGAGCAATCCTAGTCGGTGATGCAGCACATACCTTGTCACCGCATCAGGATCAAGCAAGCAGCCAGGCTATAGAGGATGCTGAAGCCTTCGAACTTTTCAACAAGGATATCGATCGATCACAGATACAAGACATCTTGAAGGATATCGACCGCATACGTCGGCCCCGGGCAGCGTCTCTTCAGCAAACTACGCGAGCAGCTTTAATCGACCCCAAAGAAAGTGCGGATCCCATGCGTTACCTGTTCTACTGGACGTACCCTGGTATCCGGCAGTGTCTGAAAAACACGGATGAAGGCAGGCAAATGATGGAGATCTGATCTCAGTCTGAGAAGACCTGCACTGGTGTAGATAATCAGGCGAGAATGTTTGAGTTTTCCCTTATTTTCTTCTTCGCTTTGTGTGATCGTGATCCCCTTATTAGCAGCAGCTTCTTCAGCTGTCCATTATATAGATCCAATAATAGTCATGTGATATGAATATGAACCTGTGCAATGTAAAAAAAGGCTGCCAGCCATCAAACACCGCTCTGATTCTTCGAATGCACACATAGCCCTATGCCAACCAGGACCAGAGCCATCCCTAACCAAGTCTCCTTGGCAATAACCTTGCGATCAACATACCAATCTCCGAGAACAGTGAACAGGAACGCGCTCGAGTTGGCGATGGGAACAGTAAGAGAGAGTTCTATAACAGCATGCAACCCGTTAGCAGCAATATCCTAAATAAATTGGATAGAGCAATAACTAAATAAATATGATTACCATGTTTCCCAACAAGAAGAAAAAACCAAACACTCCCCGACAAATTCAACAGAAGCGGAACAGAATAAGCCGGCGTCCGTAGCAGATTAACAATCGTCCAAAAGACAGAAATGATCCTGTCCTTTATCCAGGATGTTGTCGTTGTCGTTGTCGTTGTCGTTGGTATCCCGGGCTTTTTCGCAGAAGAGGGTGCAGGTCCGGGTGTGGTCGCATTGTCTTCTTCTTTGTCCTCGCCGTCATATGCTGCTAGGAGAAGCTGATGCTCCTCTTCTCGTCCCTCGTATTCGCTTCTGTCAGTCTTGCCGCTCGTCTCCGTGGATGATTTGTGTTCTTGTTCTTGTTCCTGTTCTCGTGCTTGTGCCTGGCTTCTTTCCTGAGCCGCGTTAAAGTCCTGGGCGGCGCGACGGATGAACGGGGTCGTGAATCCCCACGCTAGGCCGACAAGGAGGAACGACAGAACGTAGTTGAATATCGGCGGTCTGTTGGATTGCGTGTCTGGATCCATTGTGCTGCATACCGGGGTTGTTTTGTGATACCTTGGAAGAACGTGCGGAACTTAGCAACTCCACAGATGCCGGGAAGGAGATTTACCCCGTATCATGATATCACCGCTACTACCAAGACGGACTACTAATGAATTCCACCATGTCTCAACGATGGGATGAAAACATGCATACTCCATTTAACATGTCTCGTTTTAAATTTCATCCATGAATAAACTAGCTCCAGGCTCATGAAATCCCCCCGAATCATGACAAGTCATATCGAACGTCTATATTTTCAGTACCCTCTTCCAGTGCTGGTCATGGCAGCCATTGATAACATCCAAAAGAAAAATCTCATGGCAAAATACTGGTTTAAAAAAAAATAAAAAGGAAAATGCAGGCAATTGCACGCTATAGCGTCAAGAGCGATATTCGTAATACCGTCTCCTATCATGGCATCAAAGATTCGTTGCAGAAAGAAACCAGTGCGAAAAAAAGGAAGTTATAAAGACCATAGTAATACACATTTAAACACCTCGGAACTAAAGAAGCACGATCAGCAACTCTCTTATTGATGACGGAAAATAATGACGATTGGCTTACCATTCGGACAACTAAGAACCACATAGCGCCCATAAACTTAAATGCCGAAAGACCAGCAACGCTCCAGAGGACAACGGACATGTAAATATTGGCTCTCTGGTTTTGGGTCTCCTCAAGATTGTCGCTGGTTGTTCGTTCCAAGCCCGCCGCGCTCAGCACGACTGCCCCCAGGGCGAAATTGCAGAATACCCACACCAGGACGACAGCACTCCGGAATCCTTTGTAGTAATCCGCCTGCTTATCTTCCTCGGAAATATTCTTGACCTCCTTTGGTGCTTTCTCTGCGAACTTCGCAAGCTCCGCATCATACTGGGCGTTCAGATCACCATCATCCTGTGGGATCTCGACATCAACCTTGCCGCCAGGCTTCAGGTTTGCAGATGGTAGCTTCTCTGCCTTGTCGTCACCCTTTGTTCCCCAGGTTATATCGTGCGTATTGCAGAAGGCGTAGATGTTCAAGACATTGATGTAAGTGGGCGTAAGCAAGACGTATTGGATAAACTGCAGGATGTCAGAAGAAATGGCACGGCTACTGAAGAAGAAGAAAGGGGGTGGGGAAACGAACGCAGGTAAACATGTGCCACGGGTCAAAAAAGATTAGTGAAGCAACAAACCACATGACATATGTCGAACCCAAGGACACGATTATTGTGAAGAATTGCTTATTGCTGAATAGATCCCCGAAGGTGAAGTCCTTCTCCGATGCCTCCTTCTGGATCGACTTCACTGTGACGAAGATTGCTGCGAACATCAGGTAAATCATGATTCCAATCCAGAAATAGACCATTGTCATGTAGAACTTGTTTGAACCGCCGGGACGATTGCCTAGAGATAGGACAAAGCATGTCACAAGAGTCGCAAGATAGAGCCATTCGAAGACGATCCCAAGGACCAGTCCAACTGTTCCAAGGAGTTCCTTATTACCCAGATAGGCCGTAAGGATGTGAAATACCAGAAAGAAATTGCCCTGTGTACCTTGTTAGCATTCGCTCAAATTACTCAACGAGTGAAGGGAGTCCTCATACAATTCCGAACCAAGCAAAAAGCATGCTGATGGTCTGGTAGATGAACTCGATCATCAAAGCGAACTTGCGTCCAAAACTATGATCGCTTCTCCAGATTTGATAAAAGTGAGCGATCGCGTACACTGCTGCGAAGAAACTGCCATTGAGCCACCGACGACGCTGGAGAATGAACTCTGCCATACGATCCGGCACGTCGGTCTCCCCATTCGAAGACTTGACATATTGCAGAATCCAGCGGCAATTGCGCTTTGTCACAATTTCAAAGCACAGAATCCGATCTTCTGCCAAGTACATGTTGGCTGTGAAGATACCAGCGTTGGAACCGTGCATCTTCTCACCCAAGAAGTATCTCTCCAGGGGGCCCTGGCCATTTTTGTCGTCCTGCAATGCCACATATCGATATGCGGAAAAAGCGCCCGGGAGCACTGTGATGAAACCAAATGAGGATTCCAAGGGTTTGTCAAGAATGTTGCTCATTTTGTACTCAAAGTTTTGAGTGGCCACCAGAGGGTTGAGCAATTTCTTTCCATGAGACAGCATAACCTTAATCTCACCACATGCTCCACCGCACATCGGCTCCACGTCAAATGCCTTCCATAGCTTGTAGATGGAATCCTTACCGGGACGAGTACCTGCATCAATGAGGACACAGATGTTCGGTTCCAATACACGGCCAAACGCCTGGAAGAACCAGCGGTGTGAATTGATCTTCTTTTGGTTCTTTTCCTTCAAACAGAAGATCATCTGCACAGGCGGTCCATCGCGCGGTTTGAGTGAAACTCGTTCCCCCTTTAGCTCTAGACCTACTTGAGTAGTGTACTCGTAGATATGGGCCGTGACATCTTTGCCGTTGACCTGCTGTTTCGCAATACCGTCCTGGTAAACACCCAAACCGGCAAGGACCGCCCTAGTTCGTGGATTTATCTTGGCACGACCATCACTGATGACACAGACAACGATCTTCTTCCACGAGTCTTTGCCCCATGTCTTGCTGTTCGACCTCGAGCACATGTACTCGATGTTCTTAAACACGCCGATCAACGTTCTGGCGAAGAGGAAGTCATCCTCGTTGTACATTGTGATGGCAATGAAGAGTTCTGTATGTCGGGGTTTAGCAAAAAGTCTCTGGCGCAGGGTGAAGCGATCCTCGAAGAATGTAGACGGGTCACACGTTGCGGCGGAATATCGCATGTGAGTGAACTCATCACGATTGGGAGGTTCGGCATGGGGGACTCTGTCAAGTAACCTAGGTGCTATCGGACAATCAAGAACGAGGTTGCCGTTAAAGAGCTGGACCTCCTTCACCGTTTTCCACCGTCGGATTGGGGCTGGACTTGGAGTAGGTACAACCGTTTCACCATCGTTATACTGCTGGTTATCGTAGGGATAGGGGTCTACGGCCCCTAAAATCGGAACCTGGTCGTCGTATGACGGCTGCTGAGTATCAGGGTACTGTGACAGGTCGTAGGCCTCATGCTCTTCGTCATATCCATGCGCGGGGATTGCCGGCTGGTAAGGTTGTGTATAGTAGGCATCATGATGTTCTTCCGGGTTTATCGTGTAATCGTAATCGTCGTATGGAGGTTCTTGGTGTGGGTTATGTTGGTCATAAGAGTCGTTATGGCCATGGGAGTTGTGGACTCCAGTCACGGAATACTATTGTAAGGCCCAGAGAGCAATCAGTCAGAGCTCAGGCCAGTAGTTAGGTCTGGGACAACCGCTCACCGTAGGCTGATCAAGCAGTATATCACTGGAGGATGGGAGCGGCAAGTGCTCCTGTGGCATTTGGAGGTGGCCTTGTTCCGTGAAGGGATTAGGAGAAAGCTGGTATCTATTCACCCGGCGCTGCGGAGAGGGTGTCCGGTCCTGCTCATGGTACAAGGTGGTGACTGATGGGTTCATGAGCGTGCGATCATCGTCCTCATCCCCATGGGGATCTGTGGACGTCAGTCAAGCATTCATGAGGAGCGCTGAGGAACGTGAAGGCCCGAGAGAGTAATGGAAGAAGCTACCCGACGCTCAACCGGTATAGCAGCGATGGAATGCAGAATCGACTGACCTAGACGGTTATAGGACGACATTGTGGTGGAAGACTATGGGACCGTGTCCAAGAAATTGGCAACGGGCAATGTCTATTTACCGATGACAGTCACGCAGAAAGCGGGTAAAAGGCTTTCCGCCGGGCGGACGTTTGTTTGCAGCGCAATCAACCGGTGACGAGTACTCTGTAATTGTATAGGTTTTCTCGGCGTAAGGAAGTCAAAATCAGGCAGGATGGGAAAGTCAAATGGGTGGGAATGTAGAGGGAAGAGAGGACTGGCTGCCGTTAGTTATGCCAATCCTAAGATGTCGTCAGAGCGGAAGGCTTATACGGAGGCTTTGTAGGCGCTTGGCTCTTCGCTTAGAATACGAGCAGGAGCGCAGGGCGAGGACTCCTCATCGAGAAGAAAAGAAAAGGTGAAGAATCAGCGATGGCAAAGGGAATCTGCACGGCCTCAGTCCTGCGACAAAGTTAAGGAATTCCCAGACATACCCTTGCACAACTGGTCTCAAATAATACCACAGCCGTGGGCGTTGCCTGAGTGACCAAGGATAGATATGGGGACGATCGCAAATCTCCTCGTAAGACGAAGCCGATCCATGGGCCTGTGCCCGCTCCACATCCAATTGACGGTATCACTGGGACAACGTCCGTGGTTCGGCAAGTATGCGCCTTGCGGCTGTGCCTTAATAGAGACCGGTTGTATGCAGCGATGCACATTATCTGGCTATAAATAGATCATAGCCACGATATGCAAGTCGCATACGCTGTACGAAAAGCTGCCGCCTGGATGTCGATAAAGGCATGGATATTCCAAAATATTGAAGAACGCAGAGAATGGTGAGAATAATGAGATCGTAAGTTGGCAACACTGTGTCACGTGGTCTAGGAAGCACGCAGTCCTTGACATTCTCAAACGACCCAGACAGAGAGCGATCAAGAATCAAGTCGCGGAAACCTGCCTCCTCTCCTGTCGTACAGCGCGGTTTAGATGAGGACACCTACGCTGTACGCAGTGTAGCCACGAGGAAGAGAGAGACATATGCTGCTCCAGAGATTAAAAAGCTGCCGGCGACAGCTTGAGATTACTGTACCTCTGCAAGGCCATTGGCAATCCTTCCATTTGAAGACTGCGGTCTACGTACACGCATTAACTCCTTGCCCTCTATCTCGTCATTTAATAATTCAGTATGAAGAATAGCAAGCGGCATTTTGCCCAATACCGACACCTCACCCTATTCCAGCATGAAAGAGAGGAAACCATAGCAAATCACTTCGCTGGCGCGCCCGTAGATTCTAGTGCAACTCGATCAACGTGAAGACTTTTTAGATCAGATGTCGATATCAATATCCAAATCAAGAGCTGCAATGTTCTCATCATCCATATTCCGATGACGAATCACAGCAATGCCCTTCGACTGCTTCTTCGCAGCGCTCAACGGCGTAGCACTCCTCCTAGGTGTGATCGTGTTCTCCGAGTCAGTTGTAGTTATCGGTGTTCCGTTCCGGCTGCGATTGTCTTCTGGCTTCGTTCCATTAACATCATAGTGTGTCTTGGCCCGAGTCCTCACACGCATGAATGGATCCATTGGAGGAGCCTCTCCTCGAGCAACCGCTACCGCTGCCTTACGACTAGCTTTCTTCTCCTCCAACTGAGCACGTCGGACATTTTCATAATTGAGCCTCTGGTTCCGTAAGTTGATCTCGGCAAGGCGCTCCTGCTCCGTTCGTTTCGCTTGCTGGGGCTTGGACAGCGAAGTGCCGAACGCAAGTTTGGGTGTGGACAATTCCGCGAGTTTAACTTGCAGCCTCTCCACTTCGTCATCATCTCCGGCAGCTTTGGCGATTTTGAGGGTTTTTTCCAGCTCCATGCGTTTAAATACCTTCATCTTGCTGTCTAACGATCCTTGTTTGCGTAGCTTTTCGTCTAGCTCTTCCTTCGTAAATTGGTGATTGAGCAGCCGGTTGATATCCCCAACTTTCGCAGCAAGCATCGACTTTGTTGCCATTTTACAGTCCTCAACCGCCATTGTTTGACGGTACCGGTTGAATTCCGCCTAGATGAAAGTCAGAAGGGTATTTAGGTAGCAGAGTCCGAGAAGACCTACCTCTGTAAAAGCGGAATCAGAACAGGCTATGAAAGGAAATTCGCGTTCTGCCTTCCCATGTGCAAGCACCGTATATTGGTTTGTGACAAATGACCGGCCGTTAGGGGCCTCCATAGCATAAGGTCGCCCTTCGGTAAAGCCTACAACATGGTCAGCCACCTGTGCATGACAAGCTATTGTGGTACATAATGAGGCAAAACATACGCTTGATCTGGCAGAGACGATATTCATTTTGACCGGTCTCCCTATTCGGGCCGATATTGACTCGAACGAAACAGCCAGAAATCGCATCATCAAATCCAGGATAGAAGCAGACCTGTGCAAAGTTACTCCGGCCCACACGTGCACGTTGGATATCTCGTAATTCAGCAGGGGGGTCGTCCTTGGGAATAGAGGGCGAGCGTTCCGCTCGATCATCCCATTCAACCTCGCTTTCACCCTCTGCATCGACATCGGATACGCCATCATCCCTTGAGAGAGGTCGTTGATCCTTGGTTTTCGAATCTCGAAGACGACGCTCGTCACGTCTACCTTTCTGCTCACGTTGACGCTTGTAGGCCTCTATCGCTCCTGATGCCTCCCCGACCTTACGGCCTCCAAGCGTAGTCTTCTGACGAGAGCTCTTCCGCTGACCGTCTTCCAGTCCCGCCACGCTCGCTTTGCGTTTATTCTTCTTCGCCCTCCGAGCTTCTTCCCGTTCACGGGATGCCAGAAGACGGCGAAGGGCAAGATCCTGGTTATGACGGTCGACCTCCTGGGCTCTCTCAGAAAGAATCTGTTCACGCTGAATCTCTGGCATGGCCATGATTTCTTCTTTATCCTTAGCAGAGTAATATAGCTTCTCGTAAGGAAATATTGGGCTGTCGTCGTCGGCAGGAGGCGAGGCATCCGAATCTGATTCTGATTCAGACATGCTGGCAGATTGGAGGGAGTGATGAGACTCAGCGGCGGATCTAGAAGGAGATTGTGTTAGTTTGGAAGTTATTAATTGATGAATTTGATAGGGGAGAGGGTTGAGAGGATTACTCACAATTCACCGTCCTCCACATCCAGCCTCCGAGACTGTCGGTTTCGCTTGATGACTCTAGCAGTGCCTTTGCGCGCCATAGCTGACGAATTATGTTGTGAATGGGAAGAAGAAGAAGATGCCGGAGAGGGGACTCTGTCCTTCCTAACAGCAGGAGATTCCTCGTCAGAGGAGTCACCCGCTAGAGCGAGGAGTTCTGCGTCAAGGTCATCGGCCATGGTGAATTGAACGGCAGATGCCTGGAAATTAAAGGAAGGTGAAAGACCGGATATTGGGGAAGCCGCAAGTCGCAACGGAAGGACTCCCAGAGGATTGGAGGGGCGCAAAAAAAAGAATGAACAAATTGGGGGATATTAAGTCGCAGGAATATTATGGCGATAGATGTTTCCAGCCCGCTATAACCTATATAGGAACGACTGTGGTATGTATGTATTTATAGAATATCCGGCAGATGGCAGATTATAGAGTAGAGGGTCGTATTCAGAGGGTGGCGGCAGTGGCGGGTCGAGGAGAAGTGAATGAGGAAGAAGTGAGGTTGAGTGAAGGACGAGGAGAGAAGGCCGCCATGGCGGTTGCGGTCATTCCTCCGAGGAGCGCGACTATGGTAGGCGGTCGACTCCGCTTAAGCGCGCGCTTCTGCCATTCTTTCATCTAATGATTGCTTCTACCCCAGTCTCCACGTTCTGCATGCTGTATATCAGTTCGTCTATCTTAGCTGTGCTTGTCATGATCTATTTATTATCTTCCAGGATGGACTCTGCAAACCGTCTCAAGTGACCTCAAGCTAAAGCTACTGGTTCATGAGCCAATGCCAGTCTCTCAGTAATGCTCTTGATCATCGCCGTCACGCCACGGTTCCTACAGCACAAAATAGAACCAATAATCAAAGAACAATTTTAGGCTAACAGTTTCCCTATCGTTTCGATAGACATTCACTTGAATAAACGATTGCGAAATGTACGTCTTCAACCAGGTACTTGTGATTGATAAGTAATCTGAACTTGGGCGTTGGGCTTTGCTGAGACTGAATCTCCCTAGGCTCTTCCTATGCCGAAAGTAAGGAAAAATATTCGCCCGGGATTGAAAGAACAGGAGAACGATAAGCGGTTCATTTCCTAGCGTTTATCGCCTTTTTAATGCTAAAGCGGATGTTTTGATTTGTCGTTTGCTCTTTTTTTAAGGGGCCTACTTGCTGGGAATAAAGGGATCATGAAATTGCAGAAGCTGAACCTAGTACCTTGCCTTCAACAGAGCAAGGAAAGAAAGAACGTAAATTTATATCTCAACCTTCACCCAAGAACCATGCAACAGTCACGATCAGGGAAAGGTTCATGACATGGTAGATATATTATTAGCATAGACGTAATGCCACATCCAAGAGCTAACAGCCACGGCCCTTCGAGCCTTTCTGCATCACCTGTCCCGTCTTGCAAAAGTCAAGCTCATACCTTTCCTCCTGTTCATTCACAACCTGTTTTCTAAAGTTTTATAATACGATATGCAGCCTATTTTTACATCATCAAACTGTGTTTTCCGACAATGCCGACATGCATTGCGACCGGCATCCGTGCCTTTATTCCTTGACTTCCTAGCTCCTTCGTCCTTGCGGCAGAGCCAGCTACGATACAATTCCACCTCTTCCGACTCGACAGGGAACAATGGCTCCCAAAACCCATCCCAGGCGAAGCCCCGGTATCTGCTGAGCAAGAGACAACGCGAGTTTCTGGATAGCGCACTTCGAGTCAACCAAGCCGGCGAGCTAGCAGCAGTCCTGATCTACGCATCACAGACGCCCCAGGTGTTGCGCTCGCATCCCCACCTCCGAGAGCTGATGAAGCATATGTATGACCAGGAAGCTGGGCATTTCTCGACGTTCAACAATCTCATCGCCAAGCACCAAGTACGCCCGACGGCCATGTATCCTATTTGGGAGATGGCGGCTTCATTTCTCGGTTGGTCGACAGGAGCCATGGGACGTGAGGCAGCAATGGCGTGTACGGAGGCTGTTGAGACGGAAATTGGTTCACATTATAATGAGCAAATACGAGAGATCATGTCGTGGGAAGCAGAGGCGGAGAGTCGGGGCGAAGAGCTGGACGATGAATTGAAGGAGATGTTGTCAACGTTTCGGAGGATCCGGGATGAAGAATTGGAGCACTTGGACCATGCCCTTGCGAATGATGCGAAAGAGGCGAAGCCGTATGATCCGTTGACTAACATCATTCGGTTTGGTTGCCGAGCCGCCATTAAAATCAGTGAGAAGATTTGAGACGGTCGACGCTTGCAGCTTATCCTTTCTTTATGTCTCTATTTAAACCATTTTGTTGACATAGAGCTCTAATAGGGCTTACTACTTGTGGCTGGTTCGAACAATCTGCTCAGAAGCAAGTCACATTGGGTCAGAAGGTATCTACCTAGGTAGACTCTGGTTGTATCTTAACGATTGTCGATAGGACGCATGACAACCTCAAGGGCTTAACCTTGAATTGCTCTTTTCACACATTCCACCTCAAAATACTAATACTACTTGGAATCCAGCTTGTTGAAACCTCTTGTCCGGATACAACAGCCACATTCCATGGTGCAATAACCAATTGGCCCTTCCTCTACACGGAGCGTAGGGCGTGGCTTCTCAGAGCATTCACACTCACGCTCACAACCACCAAACGTTGTACGGTGCAGGCGTCGTCTTTGGGATAACATGACCCGCCCGGTCGCTAGATATCTCCTTACCTAAGACCCTTGGGCATATCGGGGCACAACTTATACCACGCCTTCATATTCAACCAGTATTTCTGATCCATTGTTTGCGGCTCGTCTGACGACTCCTGTAGCTCACGAGCCTCATTTTCTGTCATGATTGCATCTGAGCCTGTTTTTGTCGCAACTAGACTTCTTCCTTAAGGTATCCCTCTCGTTGGATGAGGGAATGTCTTTTCTTTTCTTCCTTATTGCGCTTTGTGGCCCATTCGTGTTGGACCCTGAGGGAACTGGAACTGCAAAACCTCATTTCGAATCAGCAAAAGGATTGTGCTTGTTGACGCTGATCCTTTGATTCCAGGATGTTTTTGATATTTTCAAATAATTTTTTTTGGTACTAAGAATCGATTAGTCGGGTTCTTGGGTGTGGACAGTAATGGGCTTACTGTATGGTATCAATCGGATTAATCAATAGGTATAGGCTTGGCTGGTAGAGTTAACTGAACATAAATTCCTTTCATCTTCTTCCCTGGAAATTTTGATGAGAAGCAAGTTGATAACAGACTCATGATACGCATTGGCCTGCTTTGTATCCATGGATTACCACTAACCCCGGTGTTTATATTACCTTTGCGCGATGAACCTTCTTCACCAAATTAGAAGAATCAGCAACCCGACAGTAAGTGGGATATCTTCGAGCGGATCATGTTTTTGGTACCATCTTCAGAATGCTCATTGCGAAGAGTTCTGCAGTGGCCTCAGATGGGGCCCTGGGTTAAACATGAAAATGGTGCGACTGCTAGGTGTATTCACTAGGATTCATACGACTCAGATGTGTAGGGGTTGGCTGAGAATCAACGTTGGGACATCATTGAGTGGCCATCGTATTTGCCCAGGCCTCAACCCCATTGAGATAGTATGGCTTAGGAAGGAGATGCTGGCCCTAGCAGCAGAGTAAAACTTTGCTTTATTAAGGGGGTCCTGAGGCAGTTGGGTAAGCTATAGTTAGGATAGTTCGGGATGCAAGCTCGGTTCTATAGACCGATATTCTTGAACAACTAATTCAGAGCATGCCTGGTTGAGTTCAAGTTCTAGCTGCAAATGGGAGTATATTAGGTGCCTCCAGACCCCTGTCAATCACCAATAATTGCACAAATGCAATCATTATCCCAAAAGAATTTCATTATCATGACCATGACTCGTTCCGGGAAATGGCTAGGCACAAAAGATGAGCTCTAAAAGCCTGTGCTCGACTGTCGGCCATTCGATTTCCATTCTATCCCATAACCTTTGCGTGGAATCGGAATACGCATCCTAATGGCGGCCCCCTGTTGTCTTGGTAAGACTGGGCAAGATGCAACCAATGGCACAAGCTCACTCAGCAGTCGCGGTAGATTTCTGCTTCTCGAGATAATCAAGGAAATTTTTCGAAAACCTCGTTACCTGGTGATAAACCTCCTCAAACCCGTTAGCGCCTCCATAATAAGGGTCCCGCACGGTCTCCCCGCCGCCAACATTATCATGCAGTTTTCCACCGGGTCCAAAATCCCCAAATAATCGCACTTCCGCAACTTTAGCATCATTGTCAGCCAGATTCGCAACCGCAGCCGATGCAGCCGCCCGCATGGATCTCCTCTTCGCACCTTTGGCCGCGGGGACGGTCCCGGACTTCCTCGACGAAGTCAGCATGGACTCCCGCACTTCAAGCAGGTCGCTTAGATTCCACTCATCCATGGCAAGGAGGTAATCGAATTTTAGAAAGTCTTCCTTGGTGATCTTTTGGGCGTAGTGGCTGTAGTTCTTGATACCGTGGCGGCGCAGAGTGGACATGGTACGAGAGTCGGGAGAGTCACCGGCGTGGTACGCGCCTGTTCCGGAGGAGTCTATTTCGCCGACTAGAGGAGAGTTCGAGGAGGCGACCATATTGCGGAAAACGCCTTCTGCCATCGTCGAGCGGCCTGGTTTGGTTGAATGTCAATGCTGTTCAGGCGGGGGCAGAGGGAATCCATAATCGAACTCACAGATGTTTCCGAGGCAGACAAACATCACATTTACCGGACGCGCGCTTGTAGTCTCGATTGATTTGGTCATTTTGGCTGTGTATGGTGCCGCCTGGGAAGATAGGGGAAGAATGCAAGTTGTTCTGTGAGTCCTTCGCAGCGGGACCATGGAGATTTCCTTTATCGATACCGATTCTGTGCCATATGGGCCGTGCGTCTGGTTCCATGTTCCATGGGTGGCTTGTGTGCCTGGCCCTGGAGTACACTGTGGATGAGTAGACAAGGACGCATGTTTTAGTTTGGTTGTTTGTCAATCAAAGATCAATAGGAATTATGAATGTCCATACTTCCCTGCTGTATAATATTCTGAGAACTATGAAGAACTGCATCACAGCTATGCTGGCTACTTAACTAACTAGTTAATGTAATCAGCCTTAGCTACCTCGCCATCGCCCCCCCAAACATGCAGTGGGTGCCATGAAATAGGTCATAATCGGCTGCAATGCCATAAGAAACGATCTGTATAGCTTCATTTATAACAAGAGGCGTTGAATTTTTAGTGTTTTGAAGAGAAGAAGCTGACTGATCATCCAGCCTCAGATGTGGCACGTGCTGCCCTCTTCCGTAAATTGGACCGAGACGCGTTCGCGCGGCGCGTCGCCTCAATATCGTCGTACCCAACTCTCAAGTACTACTCCGTAGCATCACCAACATCTTATGAACTTCGAGTTGATATACTCCCCACACTTTCATCTTCAATTATTACGTATTTTTATGCTATATCAACCAATTGCTCATGTCATCGCCTTCCACTCCTCAAACAGCGCGTTCCGCGCCTCCTTCAGGCGCAGGCTCGCCTGAAATCCTCACTCCCGGAAGAAAGATCAAGGCAATGCTGGCTGCTTTTGATAGCGATTCGGATTCAGATAAGGAAGGCTTGAAACCCAGACTTCCAAATGTGCAATCAAATACGGATACAGACGCGAATGAGGACAAGAATGAAGAAGATGGCGTCATTGCACCAAGGGGCCGTATGGCGGCTCGAATGCAGGATCAAGCACAGACAGATAGCAAGGAATCTTCTGGGGCTAGTGAAACAGCATTTGAACGGTTGTCAAGGAGACTGAGGAACATGGAGCAGAACGAGGACGAGGATGAAGAAGATGAGACAGATGATATTATTGTGCCAAGGGGTCGTATGGCAGCCCGGATGCAGGATCAAGTGCAGACACACAAGAGAGCCTCATCTGGGGTTAAGGCGCCTGAAATACCATTTGAGAGCTCTTCGAGAAAATTGATGGGGGGCAAAACGAATGCTGCGCGGTATTCCAAAGGAGAAGATGCAGACTCATCTGACGATCAGCTTCCCACTGCCCGACCGAGACGGAGATTAGTGAAGACAAATGAGTCAGGTGCTGGTGAAGGGTCACCATCCCCTGCGCGCTCTGTTTCTCCTTTGTTCGTGTCTCCTACAGCCCGGAGCGATAATGATAACTCGGATAACACAGAATCACGTCCTAAAGCCAACTCACGTTTTCTTGCGCTGGTCGCTCAGAAACGCAGGGAGCGGGAAGAGAAAGAGAGACTAGAGGCTGATAAGAAGGCATCACGAGTGGCCCAGCTTCAGCAGTTCAGCTCAGAGATTCTTTCAGGGGACGAAAGTGAAGATGATGGGGATACCGGTCGGAAACTGACAAAGCAGTCGCGTCCTTCCCGCAAAGCCAGCAAGAAGGCCCTGGAGGAAATGAATCGTGAGACGCAAAGAATGAGCAGAAATATGCAATTGGCACACCAAGCAACGACGAGAAAGAAGATTACCAAGGAAAGTTTCTTTGCTCGCTTCAATTTCATGCAGCCCCAGGAACTAGACAGAGCTGGCAAAAACCACGCAAGTTCTTCAGCAACCGGTTCTTGCAATTCGTCAGACGATGAAGCTGGGAAAGATAGGGAGACTCCACATACCTCGCCAGTTTTGGGACCGGCGGATAAGCGCCCCGTTCATGAACATATTGACTCCCAGGCACCGCCACTCGACAAGGACAATACCGATGCTGCGCTGGAGAATTTCCCAACTTTCGAGGAAATTCTCGCTGCTCCCCAACAAAAACTTCACCAGGAGCCCATCATCGTAGCATCTGCGGCAACTAAGGCGCAGGAACTGCAACCAGAAGCATCAGAACGAAAGCATGAACGAAAACTGCTCACTAAGCCGCCTGTTCGTGTTCATCTATCACGGCAACTGGTATCTCAGCACCAAAAGGAAGATTCAGATAGTGATTTAGAAGTGGTCACATCCCCTGCCAAAAGTCGGCGGATAGCAGCATTCGAGAACCTGCCTGCAAGGAAAAAACAGGAACCGTCTTCCCTGCTAAAACTGAAAGCTTTGGCTCATCTTTCTTCCCCATCACGGCGAACTTCATCCATGACCCAAGCTGAGTTATCCGCTACATTACTATATCAAGCAAAACAACAATCAGCGAAACAAAGACAAGAGAGGATTCAGGAACTCAGAGCAAAAGGTATCATCATTGAGACAGCTGAAGAGCGTGCTGCGATGGAGGATGAAGTGGAGGATCTTATGGAAAAGGCTAGGAAGGAGGCGGAGGATATTGCGAGAAAAGAAAGAAAGATATCGAAAGAAGGGCAAGAGGGGGATGAGGAGGATGGAGAAGATGACGATGAAGATGATGACTATGAGATGTCCGGGTCTGATGAGGACTTCAACGGAGCTGATGCAGACGAGGAAGAAGGAGATGAAGATAAGGAAGATCGTGCCGATGTTAACGAGGGAGAGCAGGGGCTAGTCGATGTGGAAGCTGACGAGGACGATGAATCCGAGGATGATCAGACAGAAGCAGTGCTATCTGATGAGGAACCTGCGAACCCAATTCCGCGGCGGAAACGGCCAACTCGAGTTATCAGCGATGATGAAGACGAAGCGCCAGAGCCCAAGACTCCAGCAAGACCAGCATTTCAAACGTCGCACTCTGTAGAAAGACCTCAGCTTCCTCCTGGTCTTGGTACTTCCGACGATTTGACAATGAGTCTGACCCAGGCTTTTGCAGGCACATTGGCTGAGAATCAAACAGCCGGTGCAGAAAATTCTCAAGCAATCCTCCTTTCACTGCCGGACCCTGGCCGTACAGCGACCGAATTTCAAGAGCCAGATTCCCAGATCCTGGTTAGAGATAGCCAGGAGCGCTCAGCGGAAACGCCCGATATACTAACACGCTACTCACAAAATGACTACCGGGTTTCTGAGTCACCTGCTCTGCAGTACTCCCAGATCCCAGATCCAACACAGGATGCTGGCTTCGTTCTTTCGCAGTTTGACCCTTTAAAACGATTCGTTGGTACACCGCCATCCACCGTGGAAACCGTGCTTCTGCCTCATCATGAGTCCCCAATGGCTGGAAGAAAAGGGAAACATCTCCGCCGCGGACGAGTGGCTCAGCTATCTGATGTTGAGGAGGAAATGGAGAATGGGTTTGAAATTGAGGCCAGTGCATTCGATATAATGAAGAAAGCGGCGAAGAAACCCTCTGTCCCATTTGACAGGAACAAAAGCAAGGCAAAGGAGATTGTGGACGAAGTAGCAGAGGAATCAGAAGATGAGTATGCTGGTCTTGGTGGTGCGAGTGATGAGAGTGAAGACGATGAAAATGAGTATGACAAGGAAATTGTCAATGATAATAGTGGGGAAGTGGTTGACGAGAAGGAGCTAGCTGCTCTGAATGCGTACGTTTGTGCACTCCTTCATTCTCAGGTATACAAATGGCTAATATTTCCACAGAATGCATCAAAGAGAGGCGGATGAAAAGCAGGTGGCCAGATTGATGAAGGATATAACTACAGGAGCTCTTCGACGCCGGATGGGAGCAGAGGATGACTTCGACCTTGACGACTCAGATGACGAGCGCATGGCTCGTCGGCGCGCAAAACAAAGGGAATTTGCGAGAATGCGCAAGGCACTTCTTGCCGACGAGAAAGTTGGCGAACTGGCTGAGAATCCGAAGAAAGCAGCATTTTTCCGCGCAATCGAGGACCGCGACGTGGAAGATGATTTCGATTTAGACTTCCTTGATGAGGAAAGCGGTCCTCACTCCCAGCAAGATTCTTCATCGCAAGACGTTGGAACAGAGGGTCAAAACGAGGACAGGCAAAACAATAAAAGAAAGAGGCCATTTGAGCCTTCTGCAGCCGACATTGCCAACCGTCCTTCACCCCATCTTCGCCGCACCAAGGCCAGTGGCTTGTCGAAGAGACCGACCACACTGGCAGAGATCCGCGAGACACTGTCCTTCCTTACAGAACAGCCCGAATACGACTCATTCCATGAGGATGCAGCCATGGACGTTGACGAAAACCCCGCAGATGACATGGAGGACACAGACACATCTCACGAGGTCCAATCTGCTAGACGATTATCGGATGACGGCTTCGCTATCCCAACCCACCCACGCCGCACCCGTGGGCCAGTTGTTGACCGTCTTGCTTTACTGCGGCAAGCATCATCGAATTCTGCTTCAGCCGCTTCAGCTCTTACTACTGCTCGTCCTGCCTTTCACTCTGGTTCTGACGTTGACTTCGCGAATGTAGGCTTCCGACCACCTACATTGATACGGAGAGCTACTGCGTCTTCCACCTCTTCGTCTGGTTCTTCTGTTACTTCCACTACCTCCAGAGTTCCCAAAGCTGCGGCTGGTCCGACAGTTGCGAAAAAGGGAGCTGTCAATTATTACACAGCTGCGCGGGAGCGGGAACGTGAGAGGGAACTCAAGGCTAAACAACGGTCAGGTCCATCGAGTATATCAGCATTGTTGAGTAAACGGTCTAGTCTGGGGGCAATCGGTGGCAAAGGGCAATGGGATTAATTGGGTGATTCTTGATGCATTTATTTTCAGTTTCTTGTCTGTTTGCTGGTGAGGTTTTCTCAGATACACATCTCTGTCTGGGTAAAGGATCACAACGACTTCTAATGCTCTTTCATACTGATATCCAAGTTGTAAGCGGGGATTCTAGCTAAAAGCCCATGATTTGAGGAATGTATATTCCAATACATATCCAATCAACTTTTGTCCATATGCGCTCCTCTACTGCCGTTGATTCATGCATATTTCTTCTCTAACTCGACAATCAAGTCCATCAGGGAATGAACGACCTTTGCATCCCGGATCCCATCAATATTATTCCCACGAGGAAGCAGATAGCTATCCCACCCTGCATTGATGGCGCCTTTGTAGTCCTTTTCATAATCATCGCCGACATGAACATAGACCCATTTTTCATTGATGTGATCCATGTTTGGATCTGTGGGATTGTGCTCCTCGTCTCTGTGTTCGCTTCTCGCTAGTCTGAGCGCTTGTCTCTTTGCAACATCAAAAATAAGTCTGTTCGGCTTCTCCTCTCCTGCCTCGTAGGAGGTTATGACAAGATCAAGATCAAAGTAATCCTCCTTATTCTGGTTCTGACTGTCTTCCCTCTCTTCAAAGCCAGGGAGCTCCATACTCGACCGCTCCTGGTCCGCGCGAACGTCACCCACTGATAAACCGAGTGACTTCAGCACAGCAGGGACGCGATCATCTGAATTCGAAATGACACCGAACAGCACTCGATCGAAGATACCAAATCCAGCGGTAGCGCCACGAGTATGAGGAACAGATTTCAGATATCTCATTCTTTCGAAAAAGGGCACCACATCATCATAGAGCCTGTACCCCTCAGATCCAGCAAATCGATTAATAAGAGACTCGGTTAACCCATCCGGGAGGACGAAATTCGCATCATCAATTTGGCCGCCAGCAGAGCCGCCCTTCACGGCTTGCAAAAGGCTGGCCTTGATAACTTCATCCCACCACTGTTTCGGGCCTCCATATTGGCCACGCAGAACATCTTCGCGTCCGTAGTTGGGCCGCCTCTGCTTCTGCCTCTTGAAGACGTCCTTGAAGGCCTCCTTGATCGTGTCGGCGGTTATGAGGGTCGGGGAGAGGCCGAATGAATGTGCTGTTGAGGAGTATTCTTCTGGCACAGATCGTTTGGGGTGGAAAAGAGTTTCAAATGCATCAAAGGTAATCAGGAGGTTGTTTCTCACTGGTGCTGTTCTTATATGTGTAGCGTTGTTTGATCTGGTGGGGGTCATAACTGTTCGGCGGAATACAGCGCCAAGTGAGTCTCTTAGATGACAGGGACGCATGCTGGAGGAATATCAACTCGTGTCTCTAAGTATGTAGCATAGTTTCTCGGGTTTTCTAAGCATGAATCAGGGACAATTGTATGATCTGAAGACAGTTATTCTCTGCAGTTCTCATGAGATTGTTTGCCATGCAATCACGTGTCATCCTAGGTCCAGCTTGGATGGGGAGCAGTATACGAGTGACGCTGGATATCATGATATTCTGCCATTTTCGGATGAAGTTTTATGAAGACCTTTTTAAAGGATCTGGCATCTCATATGGCAACGAATTGATGCTGCTAACATCCACTCAGTGGTAGACTACTGATCGGCCAGATATCTTCACTGCCGGTCTTCATCGAACTTGTCAAAGGCCATGGCCATACAAGATTCTTCGGAGACATTTTGAAATGGAATAAACCGTCAGGAGCGCTGGCTATATGGACATCTCCCTAGTGTCTTATTATCACGTGCTCGTTTATTATTCTTCTTCCTCTTCTTGTTCTTCTCCGTCTTCTTCTCGACATTGACTGTCCTATCCCATGGCAAATCTGCAATGGCTCCTATCATGCTTTTAACAAATGTCCTGGGCGCCTCAAATGCATAATTGTCTTTGAAAGAGCACATAATTGCTGGGGCTGTCTATTGCTTTTTAGAACAGAACTCCACTTCCAGCGACAAAGGGTGCATCATAATTCATAACAGCATGTATAGAGGAAAAGTGACCAGATCTCTACTTAAACTAATACGAGTTGTAGGGCTCCAAGAGACTCACTGTTTAAATGACGGGCATGACACTATTCGATTTACGTTGATCAATCTGAAAGGCCTTTCCTCTCGGTCACTGTGGCAGGCCTTGCGTTGGATGGTATCTCCTGGGAGGTGGACTAGGACTTAAGCAGGGTTCTCGGTGCGTTCAATGGAGGTGGCGATGCCGACGGGAGATATACTTCGTTCATCCCTGCATGAAAATCAGGACTGGCTTTGGATGGCTCGTGTAATGGAGCTGGCGACGACGGCCATGGTGTTTACTCAATGGACTTTCGCACGCTTATTTGGCCGTATGCTGTCTGGGATGTATCATCTTCTGATGAGGCGAAGGAACGATGGATGGACAGCCTTACGGTGTCTCGGAAACTGTCTCGACAGTGCATTTTATCAATGAAACGGATCTCCTATTGCATCCATCACGGGCGGCCGGTCCCTTCTCCCCCAAAAGCTTCACGGTTACAGGACCTGCGAAAGAAATCAGATCCGGCGAGTCTATTTTTCACCTATCCAGGCAGAGGGTTAATAGGTAGACCAGCTAGAATCGTTTATATCAACGCTTGTAAAGCCGTGTCTCCATGCTTTGGTCTATTCTTTTAGCTGTTATTCTAAGCAAGTTTCACTCGTGTATAGGTAGACTGAAGCAAATGGCAAGAGCTGATATCCGGATAGTAATTCTCTATATAAGGCAGTCAGATTTCTTGTAGATAACTCTCCTTGATTAAGCTGTTGCCTCCTTTTAAATCCACCGGGATTTATATATACGCGCTGCCAAGTGCCGATTGGAGCCTGTGGCGGGCGTCGTCAGCAGCATTGACAGTCGATCAACAACAAATAAAACCCAGCGTTGCAGTCTCTGCCATTTCTTTCCTCCGGATTCATCAGGAATAGGGGTGTCTCATTGATAAATGGACTCTGCTTCATCTGCGTCATGCGTCCTCATCATGCTCTCGTGTCTTCTCTCTTCGCGGCGGTGCCGGCGGCATCATTGAGCACCTCAAATGCAAGCCCAGAGGCACATCCATTACTGCATACATCATTTCCTGCAATAGAATATATTTCTGTGCAGAATGCAAATTATATCTTCAATGCAATCCATTCCTCCATGCGCCAATGGGGTTCATCCCTCTACCACAACGGCATGTCCTTCTTCTTAGCCTCCGTGCCAAAAGGCACACAGCTGTACCATGGCACCCATCTACCAGATCCCGTTAACGGTACTGAGTGGTTGGCATTCGAGCCAGAGCATGCCCTGCTATTCGCAAGGCCTTGGGGGCCATATCCCTGGAAGCCCGGAGATCATGGTCGAGGACCGAATGATGAGCGGCCGCAGAAGCCTTTGGTACCTTTCTTTTACAATGAGAGGCACCAGCGAGAATCCCTTGATGACCACGGTTCGGGTTGGCTCCATACTTACAGCGCCGCTAAGGATTTACGACTGGTATACATTGACGGAATGTCTGCGGGGAAAACGCCAAACGGGACTCTAGACTCTCAGGAACGGATTCTATTGAACAACACCCAATGGAAACATCCCGGTTTCAACGAAATGGATCGCGCGAGGGCTATCTGTCGCATCGCCCGCGAGGACTGGGAGGACCGGATTGATGGTGTGATCCGCAATGGAGGCCGGGTTTGAGATCATCCTCTGCTCGTTCGAGCGGGATCTGGAGCTCCTACACGTGAAGCAGACAAAACGGCTTGACCAGGATGATGGTGACGATGACTTATCGAGAGACCGTAATGCAAATTTTGCACGATTCAGATTTCTCAGAGCCGTTGCGGCGCGGTATCATGGGATAGGCGGGGACAGAGTCCGGCTTAACTACGAGCATTTTGTGACGGCGTATAATGGTGATTACGGCTTGGATTTGTTCAACTATTCAATTAACAATAGGAACAGCAGGAACAGCATCAATGATGAAGATAACAAATTACCACTGCTCCCGCGGTTGAACGTCCCCAGCGACAAGCTAGACCCCGTCCGTCGCGATCTATACAATCTAGTCATGACCCACGATACGAACGAAGCCTCCTTCAACTGGCAAGCAGTCACCGATATGATCATCCAGCGCTACGCGGATGAACTGAATTATCTCCTCTCCGACGTCTTCGCGAACACAGCCAAACTGCACGCAGAGATCTGTCGAATACTGGAACCATTCATCGACTACAGCGACCGCAATTCCTCCCTCGAAATCGAAAGATGCGTCGACCAGTTCATCCCGAAATCAGCGAGTCTAAGAGAGAGCCTGGCGGGCCGCGCGGTCTATTCTGTAACAAATACCATCTGTTCGACGCTAGTGGATGCCCTGGGGGAGCAGACGTACGAAGTGATCGTGGGAAATATCAAGAACCTGATCGATTATCTCGCCTGGACTATTTGGAAGGAGTGTCGTGAGTGCAAGGATACCGAAGTCTGCACTATACCCATGTGGCCGTATGGGGTCGTGGAGGATTATAAGCATCCCAGGTGCAGGAATGCGGATAATATGTATGGATCTGGGAGGAGCTATTGGGGCCGTCCGTTTCATTAGGGATTGTTTTTCATTCATTCTGTTTTATATGATGTCTATATATCAGAAGGGACCGTCACGATCTATACCCAACTGGGCTAGGGAAGATGAATTCATATTTCATATCTATTCATGCGCCTGCGCTCGACACTAGAACTCAATAAATGTAAATCATATGCATATTTAGAATGGATATAACGTAACCGACTCAGACCTTTCCAACGTAACTCGAATGGAACACATCCTGTCCTATGCCCAACCGGCTAATGTCCAGCTTGAACGATCGCCCCCAGATCGCAAACCAGACCGCCGATCAGGGACATGAGCGTGAGATTCTGTATCCCGACTAGCGCCGGCCAGGCCATGCTGGAGATACTTCTCCCGCTCGATCTCCACGAGACCTCTTATCTTCAGGCCCGTTACCAAACTGGCCCCGGCCCAGGGACCTAGGGAATCAACTTCACGCAAAACTCCGTGGACGCAAGGCAGGTTTCTGTCTTTGTTGTTGCGCCGGAGTCGCTGTTCAACGAAATCGATCTCTTCCTCTCCATTTTCCGCTTGAGAAGTCGTGCTAGAGGATGCTCCGGATGAGGGCCGCTGATGTGAGATATTAAGATTTTGCAACTTGCGCCGTTCGTATTCGATATCAATCACTTTGCCTCGCATGTGGCTCCAGCCGTATTTATCGAACAATGCTGCCACTTCCTGCAAAATGCGTCGTCGAATACCCGGAATGCGAGATCCGCCGCCAGTGAAAATAATCCGGGACATGCATGTTCCGCGGGTGTCCGGGGGAAGAGCAAGAAGTACATTGTAGACAAGCAACGGGATAGGCTTTTCCTCATCGTCTAGTTCACATTCTGCTATGCCTTTGGCGAAAAGAACCTTGTCCGCTATATCTGCAAAGTCTGAGAAGGGGATATCTATGTAGTTCGCGCTGGGATTCGATGGAGATGGTATCGAAATGGTTTTCTGTTTCAAGGAATCCGCTGAGCTTGACTCCTCCAGTGGGCTTGTCGGATGTTCACGAGCAGAGCTCTTGTCGCTTTCACGCGACTTGCACCATACAAATCGACTGACGACCTCTTCGGCATACTGAAACGGAACTGCAATATCATTCGATGTATTGCTGCCATGATTGCACGCAGCTAGATTAGTGAGAAACCTCCCTGTTTCCTGGAGCAATGATTTCATTGCCCTTGTACTTCGTCTAGTTGTAATTTCTCTGTATTCGTACACCCCCGTAACCGTAGTCTCTGCCCAGCCAAGATCTACCACCAGAGCCGAACGCAGTCCCGCTGCCACTGTTGACATCGTAGGAGCGGACAAGAGGGTGATGCTGGGAAATCGCCAACGACTGAAAAGAGTCGACAATACCGAAGAGAGCAATGGATGGGGCATAACAGACGGCAAGACAAGTACTAGTCGCGACGTCCCGGTGTCTGTCAGCAAATACTTATTGTAGACGTCGCGAAACGCTCTCTCAATCTTATCCTCCACCAGACGAAGATCGAGGTCCCGCAAATTCATGCGCCAGAGTTCATACTCGCGAGCCCAGTCTTCCGCATCCTTTGTATATTGAGACTCAGGAACAGGAATATCGGACGAATTGCCCTTTAACCAGTCTCTATAATCACCAACCCTTCTCGACTCCTCGGGACCGAACCCCACGACGCACATGGGGCTGCTGTCGCCTTCGAATCCCGCACGGAACCACCGTGAACCCATCTCAAATATAATCGCATCTTCCTCATTGCGAAAGGATGAGCTGGAGGATGAGTTGCTGGCGAATGAAGATATACGCGATTGCGGTTGCGAGGTAGTCGGGGAGGACTGACGGAGGGAAGTTCGCAGATTTGAGGAACTGGAAAGTGTATGCTGGTGCCTGACCTCGCCAGCAAAAGAGGATGCGACACTCGCCATGGTGCAAGCTAACGATCCTACAGTTAATATCAAACAATAATACGAAACAGGAGTCTTTGCTGGATGAGCTTCGGCTTGACAGGAGTCGGAGATCAGATAAAGAGGTTGTTCTCAGGCGCTGCGCAGACCAGGCTCCCACGGATTCAAATCACCCGTCATCCTTTTTCAAAACGGTGTAAAAAAGAGCTCCATTGACTATCTGGTGATTCTGTTGAAGTGGGATTGTCGAGTTGTTGGCGTCTTTGTTGTCGTTGTCTCACTCCAACCAGCGGCCGGATCTACATCGGGCCGACCCGAAACAAAACACAACAAACAACTGGGCGCCGTCTTCAGGAAAGCACCATCCTTCGCTTTGCTTGTCGAGTTCCTGACTCTCTGCAGTTCGTTTCGGCCGTTGGTTGCGCATATGAACGTTTTGCAATTGATCCCATCTTGAGTAGGCCGAATGGGGATCCCTGGGTGAGTCCAATGGTTCCTTTTCTCTCCATTCCCGGCTTAAACGACTTTCTGTTTACTGTTCTGTCCACGTCGCAATCGAACATGCACGACTGATTGAAATAGACTCATCAATGCAATTGGCCCGGGAGAGCGCATTTCTCTTTCCAAGTTGGCAATAACCCATCTGGAACAGAATGCAAGGCCCATCCGAATTGCGGTCGACATCTCCATATGGCTATTCCAGGTGCAGTCTGGTCGCGGAGGCAAGAACCCCGAATTGCGAACCTTGTTCTATAGGCTGCTCAAGGTTCTTTCCTTGCCAATCCACCCGCTTTTTGTGTATGATGGACCTCACAAGCCGCCATTTAAGAGAGGCAAGGCTGTGAGTGGTTCGGGAACTGCGCCCATCATCACACTCTCCAAGAGATTGGTTGATCTGTTCAAGTTTCCCCGGCACGATGCACCAGGGGAGGCAGAAGCTGAATGCGCAAGGCTGCAGAGAGCAGGCGTCGTCGATGCGGTTATGAGCAATGATGTCGACGCCTTAATGTTCGGATCTTCCTGGACCGTTATGAATTTTTCAAAGGAGGGCGGTAGTGGCACGGGTGCAGCGACTCACGTTACCTGCTACCGGATGAGCAATTCTCAGGACCAAGAACATCCTCCTAACGTCATACTTGACCGTTCCGGGATGATCTTGTTCGCAATGCTTAGCGGAGGAGATTACCTGCCTTCTGGTGTTACAAAATGTGGTAGCAAACTTGCGGCAGAGATCGCAAAGGCAGGGTTTGGCAAAGACTTAATTGATATAATTGATTCGGATGAACCTGACTTGAGCTCTAAATTGAGTGAGTGGCGGGAAAGGCTCCAAGATGAGCTCGATGAAAATATCAGCGGTTACTTTCAAACAAAACACAAGGCGGTTAAAATACCAGAAACATTCCCGGATCCGAGGATTTTGGAATTTTACGCGCGTCCCGTGGTATCAAACGATGAAGAAGTGGAATTTCTGAAGCGTAAACTGGAAAACGCTTGGGATGAAGAGGTTGACGCCATGGAAATCCGGAAGTTTGCTGCCGACGCTTTTGAATGGAATTATCGTTCTGGGGCTAGGAAAGTTGTCAGGCTACTTGCAGAACCTCTTATTTCACACAGACTTCGCCTTCAGCGGCCAGTAATGGCGTGTCATCAGAACCCTTCCTTCGAGTCGTATACTGGATTCCCGATGATGCAGAGCATTTACAAGAGTCGGACAAGCTTTAGCACGGACGGTCTACTCGAGTACCAGGTGGATATGGTTCCCATCGATGTTGTCGGGCTAGATTTGGAAGCCGAGGAACCCAACCCTCCTCTTCCTTTACCGGAATCTGTGACGTCGGAAGACGAAGAAGAAGGCCAAGGCCAGGATAGTCAGGAAGTGGTGGTGCAAGCGGTGGCTCAATCACGCAAGAGAATCCGGGTAGCAAAGCCCTACAATCCTTATGCCCCTGAGAAAGTATGGGTATTTGAGACTCTGGCGGTTATCGGCATCCCGGAAGTTGTAAAAAACTGGAAACGGGAGCAGGCTGAGTATTTATCTATGTCAAAGAAATCGACGAGTCGAAGGGCAACCGGCACGAAGAAGAAAGGACCTTTGGATCCAGCAATGAAAAGCGGGAGCATTTTGAAATACGGCACTCTGAAAAAGCCAAAGCCTGAGATGGATTCATTCCAAAAGGCTCCCCTTCTTGGAGTGGCAGCTCCTACGACATCGTCAAATTGAATGCATCAAGCTCACAAGGTTGTTATGAACTAGCCAACTCTGCAATGAAAATGATCTCTAACTAGTGTCTAATAGGTTCTCAGACGTCGACGAACTCATCAGCAGATTTTCACTATCTTGTAGATTAGCAGTCAAAGAATATGCGGAAGATACACCTCGTCTTGCAGTGGCGGCAAAGGGCATAGCAACGCTGAGGTGGATGTCCTAGTAGATCAGATGCAGAGCCTGAGCAAGCTTTCATCTGGCCACCCTTAGCAACATTACCCCTCACGAGTGCTAAAACAAACGGCAGTATTACCCATAACGATGGTCTATTGATTGGAAGTCAGAAAGCACGCTCTTCCAATGCCCGAAGCCATGTATCGGTTTCCAAGAAGGTGAAACCCCCACCGCACTCGATTTTGAGGACCCGCATGATATTCAGGAATTGGAATCTTCTATGGTTGAATTACCAGTGCAGCAGGATCATCATTATGACTTGAAGAAATCCGACAAACTCCGAGAAGACACAAAAGGGGGCCCCCTTTATCCTCAAAGTCACTTAAAACAAGCGGAGTCTGACCGTCCAGCGCCACCTAGTCCAAAAGATAAGAAGGCCAGCAAAAATAGGAAGGAATATTCACCAGCGCCAAAAAAAAAAAAAAAAAAAAAAAAAAAAAAAAGAACGCGAAGAAGACTTTAATGACGAACCCAGGCGTCAGCTTAGAAAGGGATCGAGGTCCAAGAATCTGAACACCAATCTTCAATCTGAGTGGGAGCATGCCGAATGCGTAGTGACAACTCGCGACGGCTTTTGGACTACCACCGCTACTGATTCTCTCATTAATGACGGGAGTAACCTGGAGAATGGCAGGAAGAAGAGAGAGGCGAATTGGCTGCACAAGCATTCTTGACTTGACCTGAAAGTCTGGTGAAATATCCGATCCAGGTAGTCTGGAACAAGCCTGGCATCAAACGACTAGAGTTCGCTTTGAGGGCGTTGATGCTGCGAACATGACCAGTCTTGTAGTGCAGTGGACATTGGGCACACTCCCTTCGGAGTTGCCCTTAATAATAATACGAGTATAGGGGATGGACTTCCTAAAGAAAATTCCTTCGCATTTCTATCGTTAACAGCGTATCTATCGAGATTATATTGCGTCCAAAGGGACATAGGAAAGGGGGTGAGACAGGGTGTTAAAGCAAATAAATACAAATCGGTTCTTTCTCATCTGAGAAGGTAAAGGGGATAAATATTACAATGAAAAAGGGTTAAGCAGTACTTCGTAATAACTCCGGACGAGCAGACACTGCCGTTGCAGATAGGGAACGGACCAAGTTGAGACACATATCCGTCTAGCGGGGGAGACTGAGACACTCTAAGGAGAGAAGAGATGAGCATTCAACAGATGGGTGTGTTCTGCCTTTCATCTCCGATCCAAGTGGAATCGAGCGCTGATTATAATAAAGAAGGCATGAATATACAGAGCAATGAGAAAGACGAACAGGAGATTGTCGGGATCTAGAATTGAACAAGAGACCTAGAGTAAAGGTATCAACCAAAAACCTTCAAGAAGCCCCACAGGCCAATTCCACTGAGAACAGGGATAGTGAGATTATCATCCCATCCGAAAAGATCGATGAACTCACTTCCGGCAGCGACGAGACCGGACACAAAGCTCATGACGCCCAGAGCGACTGGGCCCATGACGACGGCGCTAGTAGTGTCAGCCGTCCAGCCAAGGAGACCCTTGACGACATCGGGGAGAAGATTGAGGCTGCCCTTGAACATGATGCAATCCTCAGGGTCATTGGGAAAGGTTCCCACGTAAGGCACGAACCAGCCCCAAAACGCAGCGGCAGTGAAGACACCGACGAACCAGGCAGCTAGGGTCCCTGCCAAGCTTTTGCCGTGGCGAAGACGGATGGTGTGCCGGCCCCAAAGGCGGCCGAATGTCGACGCAGCCGTGTCGCACCAACTAAGCAGTAAGACTCCCATCACACCAATGTCTTTAGGGAAGACCCGGAGAACAAAATATGCGCCCAGCAGGTACCAAATCACGCCATTATAGCCCTTCACCTCCGTTTCGCGCATGAGCGCACCCACGCAGCGGATGTAGAGGTTATTTACCTTCTGCGAGCGATGGCGGATTACGTCTACCGCGGCAATGGGTACCAGCGCAGAAAATAGCCATGGAGTGATTTGTAGAGGTTGTATTCCACGTCTATACAGATAAAGTGTGATGAATCCAATTGACACGTGAAGAGCCTTGCGAGGAATTTCATGGCGGTGGATGAAATAGCGGTAACGCGCGTGAAGAGGAATTAGGCCTAGCGGTGACGGAGAACGAGAGAAATTGCGCCAGTTGCTGTGAGCACCGTTTGATGGCGGTGACAGATGTCCATTTGCGGGGAGACTGCCGTTTGTTAATGGCTCAGACTTGGCCACGACATTAGATTTGTGTCGTCGTTGAGGGCTGGAAGGCGTAGCAGCTGCTTGCGAGCCGGACGACGAAGTCCTGGGGCGAGATCGCTTCGTCGATTTCGAGTCTGTGCGTACACGGCGCTCTCGTGCATCTTCTTCTGGCACTTCCGGTGTGGCTGAAAGTCGCTGACGCCTGGCGGCGGCGCGTGTCACAGGCCCTGAATATTCATCTCGTGATTCCGACGGTTCTGAAGGAGGGGGCGTAGGAGAGGTGACTCGAGGTGTCGAAGGGACATTATTCTGCAAGGAGGACATGGTGATTAAGGTCTGGAGAGAAAGAGATAGGCGAAAGGGCTTTGATGAGCCAAAAGGATAGTCGGCAACGGAGAGGAAAGAAAGTAGACGGAAGCCGGAGCTGAGTTTTTGCCGGGAGACGGAGTGCGGGAATGGCAGCCAGATGAAAATAGCCGCTAATCTTTGACGGCAGGCATCTGGTCAGCAGCGCATGATGATTCTGCGTGTCTGATGCCCTTCTCGATGCTGTGTGGAGTGCTGAGCAAGCTGGATGAGAACAGATCCAGGAGGAGGTTTTGTTGCTGCGCGAGTTAGGAATTCGACCATCACGTGATAGATCACATGCCACTATCTAATCGGCGATAAGATCGGCTTCAATTTTGAAAAAGTTCCCTTGCGACAAGCAATTCTTTAAGAACGTTCTGTCGCCATCAGCGCTTTCTCCAGGCGGCGCTTGAGCCAGGTTATTTGTCTTTAAAATGGCTCCAAAGCCTGCGTCTTCCTCCTCTTCAAGATCATGGGATTCTCTCACTCCAGCCCTATCTCAATGGGCTCTCGACGCCGTTTCCGCTATGGGCTTTTCCCGCATGACCCCGGTGCAAGCGTCAACAATTCCTCTTTTCATGGGCTATAAGGATGTCGTGGTGGAAGCCGTTACCGGTAGCGGAAAAACCTTGGCCTTCTTGATACCCATTGTCGAGAAACTTTTGCGTCTCGAAGAGCCGATCAAGAAGCATCATGTCGGCGCCATTGTCATTTCCCCTACCAGGTAGGCAATTTTGAGCACTCAGCGTCAATCTGCAAAGTTGCTAATATTTATATCATTTTATTATTATAGAGAATTAGCATCCCAGATTTACAAGGTGTTGCTGTCATTGCTGGAATTCCACGAACCTTCCGCGTCAGCCATCAAAACTTTTGAAGACGACAATGCGCCTCGACAAAAGCGCTCTTCATCAACGCTCAGAGTTATTCCGCAGTTGCTACTTGGCGGCTCGACTTCGCCAGCAGAGGATCTCAGCATTTTTCTGAAGAGATCTCCAAATATGCTAGTATCTACACCTGGACGGCTCTTGGAACTTCTCTCCTCGCCGCATGTTCACTGCCCGCAGTCGTCGTTCGAAGTGTTGGTGCTGGATGAAGCAGACAGGCTATTGGATCTTGGTTTCAAGGATGATTTACAGAATATCTTGCGCCGTCTTCCCAAGCAGAGGCGAACAGGATTGTTCAGCGCGAGCATTAGTGAAGCAGTGGATCAAATCGTCAGAGTTGGTTTGCGGAATCCCGTCAAAATCGCGGTCAAGGTCAAGGGTGCATCCGGGGTAGAGGATAAGCGAACCCCAGCAAGGTATGCCTGCTATTATTATTTTTCTGTTTTATTTGTTGAACTGGCCTCCCCCTAGTTAACGCAAAATATGCAGCTTACAGATGACCTACCTTATAACCCCACCGACTCATAAACTACCAGCCTTGAAAGAGATCCTCTCGTCCGTCGAACCCACCCCTCAAAAATCAATATTCTTTGTATCCACATGCTCTGGTGTAGACTATCTCTCTTCTATCCTGCCTCCATTATTTGGGGATGAGTTCCTCCTGATCCCCCTCCACGGAAAACACGCCGCAAACGTACGCCAGAAGAACTTCAACAGATTCATCAATTCTGCTACCCCCTCGATTCTCTTGACAACAGACGTTGCGTCTCGCGGGCTAGATATCCCGTCCGTCGACCTAGTTGTCCAAATAGACCCTCCCTCGGACCCGAAAACCTTCATCCACAGGTGCGGCCGAGCCGGACGAGCCGGAAGAAAGGGTCTGAGTATTGTCCTTCTCCATTCAGGCCGTGAAGAAGATTATATACCATTCCTAGAAGTCCGAAAGACGCCAGTTTCGCTCTACGAAAAATCTATATCCGTCTCGGAAGAAGATGCAACCGCAGCCATAGACGCAGCGCGAAAGGTAGTCCTCACAGATCGCTCCCTGCATGACAAGGGCCAGAAGGCATTTGTCAGCTGGGTCCGAAGCTACAGCAAACACCAAGCAAGCAGTATCTTCCGTATATCTGACCTTGACTGGGAAGCGCTTGGTAAAGCATGGGGTCTACTGAAGCTACCTAAAATGCCGGAGTTGAGAAACTTCACCGGCGACAGGACCTTGGGAGTTACTATTGATTGGGAAAAATACGCATACAAGGATAAACAGAGGGAAAAACGTCGCCGAGAAATTTTACAGGAAGAAGCGGAGTCTGGCGGTGCTGATCAGCAGCAGCAGTCGAATATTAAGAAGAGGCGGCTGAACGGCAGCGTGGCATGGAGTAACAACATAGCAAAGAAGGAGCAACGAGAAAAGCGAAGAGAGCACAAGAAGCTACGGAAGGAGAAGGAAAGATTCGAGAAGATGACAAACGAAGAGAAGCAGAAGATTCTCGAGACGGAGAGGATGGTAGAAGAGATCAGGAAGAAGAATGAGCAGCAACGACTGCAGAAGCGAGCAGCAGCTAAGGCCGAGGCGAAGGATTCTGGTGGCGAGGACGAGTTCCAAGGATTTGACTGATCCATGGAACTGATCTATTTCTCATATACTGATACCTTATATTATCACACCAAAATAACAACTGTGACAGCTATGAACCTGATAGCTTGAGTCAACAATAAGACCAGCTTACTTACCTCCATCTGCACCTTTGCCTCACCAACGCCCAAAAGCCAATCCAGCAAGTCATCTCAATCCAGGCATACCTTCTAACTTCACATCTGGCAGCGCTGATAAATCCAGAACCTCAAAAACCCCAAAGTCACCACTGCCAACCAAGCCAGCGACTTCCACCAACGCAAATGCAGAAGCTGTAGAAGATGCAGGAGTGAACTCTACCTCCATGCTGTTCACTTCCATATCCATATTCTTCAAGGAGGTAGTAGCAGTAGTAGTAGAGGTAGCAATACTTAATTTAATTGCCATCTCTGTGCTAGAAGGTGTGGAGATGGAAGAAGGCTCCTCCTTCATGTTAAGAGGCATTGGAATTGAATCTCCTGCTAACAATGATAGGGATAAAGAAGAAAAGGAAGAACAACCAATGTCAAGGCCAACGTTGCTCTTACCACTACACTGTGTGCAAAGGTGATTGTGATGGACCGGTCCTCGTCTCTGCACTGATCACATGATCCGTCATGCAATCTGGACGCGACTATATAGCGCGTCGGGCCAGGGCGTCTTCTTTTTCTTCTTTCTCTTTTCCTTCCTCCATGTTCGAAGTTCTTATCAAACAGCTGCCTAGTTAATTAAGTAGCATCCTATTTAATCCTAGTTTGAGCTCCGTGACAATAGGTGCCATGAGGAGAATTTAGAGACAAAGTCCAAGGTTTGGATTCTGTGATAGAAGACTTGGGAATCAAATGTGTTAAGGTCGATCAAGACAGCAGAGGTGGGGTGAGGAGAAGGTTATTGAAAGACCCCCAGAGGAGAGGGCAGATGAAGCATCTTATAGCTTCTTGATCAGGCTGGTCAAAAAGGAATAGGGACTGGGTTTGCATGTAGTTTGCATGTAGAGGGGAGCCATTTTTGGCGTCATTTTGGTCACTAGTGGAAATGGGGGAACAATTGTTGAAGTTGAGCGTCAACAGCATGAGAGGTGGATGACTAACAGTGCTTGTTGGGTGCAGAATAGGGGGTGGTACAGGGCAGTGGGCGGTCAAGCGGCAGCTCGCTGTCCAAAGTTACGGGTGGAAAGGCGGCCGTTTCTGGCGCCAGAGGCTATCATTTTCAGCGTCGTTTTCACAGGTCCCTATATTCTAGTTGTAATTGCACATTATATTGGTAAATATCTGGTAGAAGGGATGGGATGAGATGGGAACTAGATATTCACTGGTAAGGTTACAGAGGCAGTGAAAAAAGAAAGAACATGACCATATATGATGATGATATATCCGAGAATCTATCCAAGATCTTATATACATGCCTCTCTGTGTTCTCTCTTGTAGTCTTTCTGGAGCTCACTTTAAAGACTACGAAAGAGGCCTTCATTGAGGCAACGCCATAAACAAAGAATCATGGATATACCATTGTTTCCTTGAAGAGCAGCACAATAAAACTGGACAATGGTAGAGCTAGAACAAGGAAAAATCATCAAAACCAGCGCCAAGCAGGGGCGTCAGGGCAAGATCATTAAGATCTTTATGCGGCAGGCTTACACTCTGCTCGGGCACAAATACCAGACATATGCAAAGAGCACGAGTGAAATAAACAGATCAGGTTCACCGGGCCCATTCGCCGTCCTTGAACGGGACGGGAGGTCCCTGAATGAGCAGATATACTCATCTACCTAAGTACATAGCAACATGATCAAGTTGGGACCATCAAACATCACAGAAAACAATGTCGGGTCCCTAGCAGGGAAATGCAAACGAAGAAGCCGAAGTCCAGATCCCGTCAACCTAACAACAGAAGAACCAGGCTATGCAAGGAGGGGGCCGTCAACCATCATAGGGAACAGCCATAAAGTCCATCACCAAGCCAAAGCGCCACGCCAAAGAAACAGTATACACGAACAGGACACGTGATCAACAAACAGGCGACAGAAGGGCCATGCAAGGAAGGGGGCCGTCAACCACACGAGGGAGGAACAGCCAAATCCGGTCAATACAAGCAGAGCCACAAACAGCGCACGTTGAAATGTTAAAAACATGATTAACAACAAGATGACAAGGACCCTGCGCAAGATAAAAGCAATAAAGTACACCAACAGCATGTAAACTTTTCCATAGCCGTAACCCAAAAGAAACTGAGCAGAGATATCAAAGCGATCCATGAGAAAAGCTGAAAATGACACAAGAGCAGGAATTCAGCATGGATTTGGATGTCGAGAGAAGTATAGTTGCACGTTTGCATTAAAGAGCATCCACAGAAGAAGAAAGCATGTGCGGGCAGACCATTGATGCGACTGATATGATCTATGCCAAAGATGCCGTAAACTCTTCGAAAGCGCTTTTGAAAAAATTGTACGTATGGTCGACTTCCGAATGATCGAACACATGGGTCAAGATATCTGTAGAAACATCCAAATCCAAACTTTCTTGCACGTTTTTCTTTTCTGGCCACTGAAACTCTTGAAGATTCCCAGACGGGCAAAGATCGTAGAGCCATTTGGCATCACGTGCAAAGCGATCAGTCCCGAATGCATCGTCCAGGGGTGAAAGAGATACATTAGTTGACGCGGTCACAGAAGCAGTCAAAGGAGATGCAGCCATGAGAGAGGTGATTGCGGGTGACGTAGTCACAGAAGTGGTCGAAGCAGGCACAGTTATCGCAGAGGCTATCGCGGAGGAAGTAGTTGTAGGAGCAGTCATAGAAGAGGTGGTCACAGGAGACGCAGCCGTCATGGCAGAAGTAGTCGCGGGAGGGTTAGCCGCAGGAGATATAGTCATAGGAGATGCGGCCAATGGAGACGCAGTGAGAGGGCTAGAGTACCGGCTGGACATACGAAGTCCGCTGGGAGTCTTTGGTTTGTATTTCTCAGCTTGAGAGCGTGCTTTAGCGAGTGCCTCTTCATCGACCTTCGAAGGAGTTGATGGGGGAAGAGAAGCATGGCGAGGAGTAGGAGCGGGAGGCGGCAATCTGCGAATAAATGATGTCAGCAAACGGTATCTGCTGATTGACAGACACGGAAACTTACTCTTTAGGCTCGTGATCCTGACTCTCGCTCTCAACATTCACAGTAGGAGCATCACTAGGTGCGGCAACGCTGTATGAGGTCGTTTCCTCATCAGACTCTGAATCATCCGAGTAATCGAATCCGTATGTGCCTTCGGTGTTGAACACGAAACCAGGGCGTCGAGGAAAGTCCCCATAGGTGGCCGGAATCCGAGGTGGCGTCGAGACATTAGAATCACCGCCCATACCAACAAACTGTCTTCCTCGGTAGGGGTCCGTTGCACGGGCTTTGGCGCGAGTTTTGGAAGGGGTATTCTCCGGACTTGCGTCAAAGCGGACCTTCTTCGAAGGGCCAGTTTCTGATCGAATAGCACTGCGCATATTATGCATTACAGCGGTGTCATTTCCACGAGTGCGTTTAGCAGGCGGAGAGATCTCTTCCGACTCATCCTCACTTTCGGAGCTGGAATAAGTGAAATATCGCATATCCATCCCGTAGCTCACTCCCGGGGGATTCGGGATGATTTCAGGCGTTGGAGAACGCTTACGTTTCTTAATTCGAGGGGTTTCGGTCTTCCGTTGAGACAAATCCTCCGTAGAGTCTGACTCTTCCACAACGGCCGGGTTGGGTCCAGAAGCACGTCTCTTATTCGACACCGAAGTGTTTGCAGTAGATTGCTCGTCCATTGGCGCACTGGACTTGGGAGCATCTGAAGTGGTTCCAAGAAACCGACTACGATCAATAGGCGGTGGGAACAGCGAGTACGACAGATCGCGAGGTGTATCATCTTGTTTCTCTTCCGTTGTAATAGGCTGCTGGGTCGAAAAAAGGGGCTGTCTGACCTTGCCCTCGCTAATAGATGGGACATCTGGTAGCGTTGTACGAGTAATGCGTTCAGAAGAGGGTCGTGGGGTTTCTGCAATCGTAAGTCACACGCACATTACTTATATGAATCATCTAACTTACCAGGTTCTTTGGGGCTGTGATCGCCGGCGCCCCAACCGGGCAGTATGCGAGCAAAGGAACGAGGAACGGAACCAATCAATCCACGAATACTCCAGCGCTTGGAAGGTGTCTGAAGTGCTTCAGCTGTCTGAGGATGAGAGGTACTTTGGGGAGCAGACTCAATCGCATGTTCCTTCTCATCCGACACATCCTGGGAAGCTGTCGATGGCATCTCTGTTCGAGAAGACCCTTCGCTCTCCTCTGTTGGAGATGTCAGCCGATCAGCCTCTGCCTGAGCAACGACCTGGGGAAGACGAAATATCGTCCTACGAATGCGGCCCTGACGGCTTTCGACAGTCCTTCGGCGAAGGCGTTCCGAATAGGGTACAGGGTTATTTAGGATTCGGCGAGAGGCCGGGGATATCCCAGTGTGCGAAGCACCTCTGGCAGCACCTAGGTTGCGACGCTTATTGGGGTTTGTTTTCGTTTTCGTTTGTTCGTCATCGCTGGTCTCGCAATGGGAGCGTTTCTTTGAGCCCTTCTTCCGGGTCCTAGTCTCTAATTTTGTAGTTAGCTTCTTGCGCTCCTTGGTCTTCTTTTCCTTCGGAACCCCAGAACGCAGGACATCTTTTTCCCAAGGTTGCAACGCCTCCAGGACGCAAGGCTGTGATTCCCTGTTTTCTTTCCCAGAATCCCCTTCTCGAGTGCCCTCAGGGACGTAAAGCTGTGAATCCCATGCTTCTTTCCCAGAATTCTTTTCATGAGTGCCCTCTATCCGAGTGTCCCCTTCCTCAGCCGCCCCTTGCGGAGTGGCCAGGGCAGAGGCAGCAAACGCCAGCTGAGGATCGGCACACAGAATTGACTCCGACTCATCTGCTGGCGGGGATAGGGGGGTGCGATCCTCAGCCTGGGCATCTGCCGCCTCATGCCCCGCCACTGGAGATGGCTCGTCAACATATCGGTGGCGGATATGAACACCGTTTATTGTCAGAGGAATAAGAGGCACATCGCTATAGATGGACGGCCGCGGAAGGGGAAATGGGATTTCCAACACTGGGGCTGGAACCCAGGTTGGGGTAAGGTCAGGCCCACGAAGGCACGCCGCTATGTAAGGCATGGAAGGGGATTCGAACTCCGCATCAAAGATGCTACGTTGCGGGGCATGTACCGGCTCCCCCATGTTTAACAAAGGAGGAGATAAACAGGGGGGAGCCGTGCCCGGAGCAGAGGCTCCAAGGGTGAGATTGCTCAGGCGCACAACCAGATCCACCACATCTGGGTCTTGCGAGGGATTCACAGCCATAGCGTCCGCCGGGATTGGCGGTTCTCCAGTGGTCGCTACAGTGGCTTCCTCCGTGTGTTCGGTAGGAGCACCAGGCGAAGCTTGTGGCTCATGGTGACTAGACTGAGGGGTGGGGGCAGTACTGGGAGTGACCTGAGAGGCCTTAGGAGAAGGGGAAACATGGGATGCAGATGACTCTTTATGGCATGCTATCGCCCGCTCATGAGCATCAAGTGCAGCCGATATCTGTGCTAGGGTATCATCGTCCAGGTCAAGAGACACATCCAGATAGCTGGGAAGCGGCCTGGATAGGAAGTCACGAACTTCACTATCCGACCAGGGGCAACCCTCTGTTATGTACGAGTCCTCATGATCATCGATACCATCAAAGTCCCCAAGACGTGTGTAATAATCAGGTGCGATATTTTCTTCACCAGCAGTGAAGTCGTCAAGAGGAGGTGGCGATGGGAAAATATATCCATTGTCCTGGGGTTCCTGGGGTTCCTTGGGCTGAACAGGGGGGTGATTCAACTCACTTTTACTACTCTGGGATGTGGACGTGCCAACATCCTTCACTTCAGCTGACTCGGGCAACTTTGCCTGTTCCCGAGTAGCCTTAGTGCCAATCTCTCTATCAGCATTACTTTCGACTCTGTGGTCGGTTTCATCGACGTTGCTGTCAAATGAGGACAGCTCGGGCGTTTCAGAGTTTGCGGACTCGGCAGTGTCTATGGTTTCTGCCTCCGTCGCTTTAGCTTTCGTTTTGCGGGTAGACCGCCTAGTTCCAGTCTTGCCCTTTGCGTTTCGCGTGGTCTTCTTCGACTGAGTGGTAGGTTCACTCTCGTCATTTGTAGCAGGCTGGGTGTTCAATCTCGACCTAGTCACGGGATGGGTAGACGAAGTCGGTTCTTTATGAGTCTCTAAATGGGTAGGTGTCTCTGAAGTAGTTTGTGACGCGTTGCGAGTCGCTCTCTTTCGTCTGCTAGGTGTGACGGTTTCAAGAGATAGAAAGCCTCCTGGAGACAGGGGTTGAGAACGGGTATGTCTGCGCGTAGGCTGCATGTTGACTGTGATACCTGTCGAGACAGCCTCCGCAAAGGTTGAACTCGGTCTGAACACGCGTCAACGCAAGTTTGTGGGTTGATAGATGCTGACGCTGTCGTTGCGAAGACCTCTTCAGTTTGGAAGATGAGGTTTAGAACTGAAGTCTTTGGATCAGAGGAGATTTATAATGCGTAATGCAGTTAGACATGTGAGATGTTGGTTAAGAGATTGGTACAGAGTAAGTGAGAGTATGAGTGAGCGCGTAAGGAACGCAGGCAGTGGGAAGAGGTAGGACAGAAGAGAAGCGGAACGAGGACAGAAATATTTGTAGGGGGGATCTGGACGCGACAGGGGGAGGTAGGAGGGATAAAATGATGGAATTCATCATGAGAATCATTCACTTACCTGGAATGGTGAAAGACGATGCGCGCGTTGGCGATGGATGCAGTGAATGTTAAAGAGTGAAAGTGGTTGCTAGGGGAGAAGAGTCGCGATGAGGAAAATCGAGACGGAGGCGTCCGTCGCAGAGGTGACGTCCCGGCAGAACCTCCCGCAGAAGGCGGTGTGGCACGTGCTTTGTTTCTTCATCTTCGAGTCTTCTTCGACTTTAATTGCCATGAACACTACGCGTGTCTCTTAGGTGAGTGGTTCGGGATAATCCAAATTTACAATACCCGTGTATCTTCTTATACTGGCCATAGTACACTAGACCCTTAGACCAACAATGCATCTTCCCTCCCGCTACTCACTCCTGATTCTGTCATTTCTGTAGCTGCTGCGAGAGGCGTAAAGGGCATATCTCTCTGAGCTGGGTTCAGTAGTCCCAGTATACTAAGGGTGGTCAATGTTCCAAGTCCCCAGCAACCTAGTTCCGTCACGGGTGACCTCCAAGCAGTCTCCCCTCTTTGTGCTTGTCGTCTTGAACAAGTGCCAACATGGCTTCCGCCACTGCCTCTGAGGCAATCATGTCTTCCGGTTGCATGCCATGTTGCTTGGCTTGTTCTTCCACAGTCATCATCGGCGTCCGTACGACCCTAGTTCCATATATATCAAAGATCAATAACTTCACATGTGCACCACCCGTCGTCGGGTTTCCTTAGCCTGGAGTCACGCCGACTACTCGGATTCCAATGAGATCCTCCAGTTCAGCCATGCTCCATATAAATCCACTACTCCATGCTTCGTGCTGCAGTATAGTGGAGCGAACAGAACACCCCGATACCCGGCCAGGCTGGAAACACACACGATTGCCCCCCTCTTCTTATTTTCAATGAAGTTCTTCAAGGCTACACAAGCCAACTTGATGGGATGGATCAGGTTTATTTTTCGACTTCCGCATATCCCTCGTACTCCGGATCGCCCGAGAAATTAGAGAATTGCTTTATACGCATTACCTATTAGACTCTCCTATGGACAAAAGCAAGAGGTAATGTAATAATGAAAGCTCGAACTGACCGGCTCAAACACCCCAGCACAGGGAACAACCACGTCCGGAACATCCCGAATTGACTCTTAGACTTGGTAGACAGATTCTCCAACTCGGCGCGCTTTCGCACGTCACGGTTGGCATCGAGGAATTTCTTGGCATCAGTCGTCAACTTAAGATCGGCCAGAATGACCTTAGCACCTTGCTTATGCACCAGGGCTGCGAATGTCAACCCGATCCCTGAACCTCCGCCGGTGACCAGGACTATTTTTCCTTATACGCTGAAGTCCTTGAGGCGCTGGGATTGAGCCATTGTGAAGTTGGTTCGTTACTGTCCGTTACTGGGTATGAAGTACTCCGTAGACCTGGGGATCAGTAGATACTATTTTATAAAGAAGCGGGGTTTCGCATCGTTTATATTCAGCTCTAGCATGTAATATGTGCAATTATACCGACTCGGTCAACTGAGCCAAGGTGGCATTGTTCGTCCCTATTATGGCGGGGTAATAACATGCCCCGTCGATGTCAGGAGGTGCGAGTTCGTTGATCTAGTCCGTCTGGAGATCTATAGCCGTCCAATCCCACGCTGACTCGTTATACTCTGAAGTTGCCTGCGAGGGAAATGCAGACCCGGAAGTCTGTATTGAACTTATAAACTCCAGATATTGCCTCGGTATAAGTCCCGAGAGGAAGGGAGATTATGAAATGCGACGTGTACGACTCGTCTCCTGCTCCTCTTGGCTGGCGGTGATATTACTGACCAACTGCTAGAGAACACATGTCAGTAAAAGAGACAAGTAAAAGAGACATAATCTATGGAACATGCTTGGTCTGCCCTGTCGCCGTCTCTTCGTCCGGAGGGCGAACCTTGCCCGTTAACGACTGTAGTCTGGACTAACTTCATCCGTCAGGAATTCGTCTACGTTCTTGGTGAAAAATGATCCGATCATGGCAAGACCGCCAAAGACAATGATGACCTTGAAGACCAAAGAGCAACCTCCGGAGATGGCGTCTAGCATGGCTTCATTGACAGCCGCCTCGATTGTGCTGTTCACGCCAGCGATGGATGTGAGGTTTCCCTTCGTCGCAGCCGCCTGCAGCACAGCAGGGACCGATGAAGAAGGAAGACCTGCCCGTATCGCGGCGCGTGGGATATATTTCTTCTCCAATGTCTCCTGGCGATTGGACTGGATGGCGTCGTAGATGGCCTCGGCCACGGATCCAGCCAGGACTCGAGTCGAGTTCAACAAACCGACTGCCAGCCCGACGTCCGACTGATCGACTGTGAAGGAGATGGCTGCCATTGTCGGGCCTTCCAGCCAGCCCGCGAAGAAGCCCCCGAGGAAACTAAAGGCGATCCCCTGGTCCTTGGTGCGCTGGCTGACGGACGCAATGGCACCAAAGAAAGTGGTCACCAGCGCAGATGCAATAAGCAATTGCCATCGGAACTTTCCCAGTCTAAAGCAGGCTCTAGAAACGATGTTGCCTAAAGCTGCGCCGCTTGTAAATGTCATGGTCAACCAGACCTGGTGAAGCAGGCTGCCCTGGAACGGTTCGCTAACCATAGTCGGCCAGAAGACGCTCATCCCATAGTAGATCATGCCCCCTACAGAAGCCACGCCGACGAAGAGCATACATTGAGTATTCTTCAGCAATTCAGGTGGCAGGATCAGGTTCTTGGCCAGAAGAAACTCGTAAAGCACCAGGACGGCCAGGGTCATGAAGCCCACGACAATCGTCGCAATCACATGGGCAGAGTCCCAGGGATACAAGCCTCCTCCCCAATTCAACCCGAGAAGAAACAGGATTATTCCTGCCATCATCAAGATGATACCGACGTAATCAAGCGACTTGCCCACATGCAGCATCGCAAAGGCGGGCGATAGAACAGGTAAAACGCAATGGTCGCAATGCCAGTAGTGACAATATTAAGGTAGTAGCACCATCTCCGTTTCTTCGCAGCCTCAGCAGCAAACGCCTTGGCAATGACAGGGCCAAAGGCATTAACAGGCAGCGCTGCAATGGACACAACACAAAAGATGTATCCACGAGCCTTGTACGGCAGAGGCTCCTCCAGGGTAATGGCGTACGACAGTTGCCCAGCACCTCCCAGACCGATCAGGGCATTCGCCCCAATGACGCCGCCGATGGTGGTCGTGATAGCGGCAGCAATGGAACCGAGCAGAACCAGCACATTGCATCCGATCATCAGCCAGCAACGACCAAAGAGATTTGACAGGCGTCCAAAGAGAATAATCCCACGGCGTTGGCCAGGCTGTTCGCCAGAGGCATCCAGAGGTAGTTAGGGGTCGGGCCTAGATCTTCGTTGATCAGAGTTATACTGTTTGCTGCGAGTTGCCAGCCCTCACAGTTACTCCGTATGCAATGAACGTTTCTTTCCGCGGGAAAACAGAAAAACGCATCTTCTTCGAGTGAATCCGCTCAGCCCAGTCTGCTCCGCTATTCTCAACGACAACCCCGTTGATCCTCGGCCCACGGACGGTGCCATTCTGGATATGCCCGATGGAGCGAGTCACCCCCGTCCCTTGCAGATTCTCGATTTCGTAGTGGCTAGTCGGGTGCATGTTGGTGACGAGGCGATAGACGTATTCGAGATACGGCGCTCTCATGGGTGGTAACTCTGGATAGGGTTCGTTTCCAGGGCTGACTTTGGGTGTATTCTCGGATGCCATGATGCGGTTGGGCTAGACTGCGATTTAAACAGGGGATGCAGGATTGACTGTGTCATGGAGGTTTATGGTCTCCTCCATGTCTTCTCGCGCCGGAGAGTCTTGTCAACCTGGATAATGCTTGACTTGCAGGCATTTCCCTTGCTAAATTCCAATTAAACTCGAATACCTCGCGGCACCGAGTTCCCTTTCTGGTACAATCTGCATGCATCTCCATGTTATCTTCGGAATAATCCAATTGAGAATGGAAACGGGAGATCGCTAACTCGGTCTCACAGTCACATACAGTGCTGCTACTCCGCGCGCTCTTCAGGTTACTGGTTTGGGACAGTCCGCGTCTGCTACCCCACAGATAAGAATGCGATTCGGACAAACATTGCCGGGGCATCGTGGTAGAAGTAATATGCACTGAATACTTCTGATGGACAGTCCTCTGTCGGCCTCCGTTCTGTGGCAATGCTGGAAATGGAGAGTGACTATATAGGTAAGCTATCAGTCTCTATCCAGGAGCTTCAGCTATTCTCTCAGAGTCTTCATTTCCTCGATCTGTTTTTCTCTACTCGTCTGTTAATTCTCTTTCTATATGCCGTCAAGTCAGGTCCCTCGGGGAAAAGTAAAGCTAGAAATCGAGTCTCTGGGCACTGTTCAAGGGCTCGAGTTCTCATCCGGAGTGCGTCAGTTCACAGGGATTCCATATGCCACATTGACAAAGCGATGGACGCGTTCATGCCTCAATACTTCCTGGCCGGAGAACTTTCATGATGTAACAAAACTGGGGTAGGACAATGTCCATCCCTCAGTGCCTGCATGCAATGCTAACTTCTTTTATAGATGCAGTGCCCCCAATCCGCCTGAATACAACGCCCCTAGGCCTGATCTGCTCGTTCCGGTTGCTCTGGTTCCCCACCATGGAACTCCCCCGGAGGACGAGCTCAATTGTCTGGTCATGAGTATTGCGGTACCTCCCGTCCAGACTAGAGGTGCTGCTAAATTTCCCGTCATGGTATACATTCACGGCGGGTCCTTTCTTTACGGCGGCGCTAACAGGCCCGTATTCGACGGAGTCAACTTCGTCTCTCACTCTGTAGCTCGCAATACCCCGGTGGTTGCTGTGAACTTCAACTACCGTGTCGGCCTGGGAGGCTTCCTTGCTTCTGCTGCCATCAAGTCCGATCTCGAGCGCGACGGCTACGAAGGAGTGGGCAATTTCGGCCTGTATGACCAGCAGGTTGCTCTGCAATGGGTGAACCGCTATATAGCTTCGTTTGGGGGCGACCCGGATAATATCACCATCTATGGAGAGTCCGCAGGGGGTATGAGCGTCTCTCACCAAGTCGCAGCCAGGAACCCAGCCCCCTTTCATCGCGCTATAGCCATGTCCGGCCACCTTAACACTATTCCGACGTGGTCGTTGGCACAGCACGAGAAACACTATCGAGCCCTTCTTACTTACCTGGGCATCGATCCGGACTCACCAGCCTCTCTGGATCAGTTGCGCGCCGTTCCGCAAGACGTCGTTGCCGCGGCGACCTTGCCAGTGGAAGGCGTTTTCGTCGCGACCGGTAATCCGTGCAACGATGGTGTGTTCCACACACAGGCTCCATCCTTTAACAAGATCGGATCTCCTCCCAAATGGCTCAAATCATACATGATCGGTGATACTTACGACGAAGGGATGATCCTGCGCCAGGCCTTCGCAGAGGAAGATTTTTCTTCGTTGAGGTCATAACTGGCATCATCCATCGGCTCTGAAGCCACAGACACCATCCTTGCCCTGTATAACGTCACTCCAGACCTTCCTAAGTCCGAACTCGTTGCACGCATGGAAGACATGATGAGCGACTCGGCATTCAAAACGCAGAACTGGCTCGCTGCGCATCGCTCTCAGATCCGGCAGACCTTTGGCTACCACTTCGATGAAGTGTGTACGCACGATAGCCCGTTGAAGGGATTGGCATATCACGCTCTAGATCTGCTATACCTCTTTCTCAATTTCGATGAGAATCTCACCCCAGCGCAGCGTGCGCTTTCTCGGAAAATAGCAAATTATTGGATTGATTTTTCCTATGGCAAGGACCCATGGCCCCGCATTAGCGAGAGTTCGACGTGGATGAGGTTTGGGCCTGATGAGGAATGCAGAGTTGTGACGGAGAGCGAGGACGAGGCAGTCCGGAAGTACTCGAGAATGCAGAAGATTCTCGACTTGGGCGTTTATCAGGAATTCTTCCTTATCATTGATGATATTGGTGTGAAAAGGAAAAGGATGGGGACTTTTGAATGGAAACCCCCGAAACCGTGATAAACGGGTTAAGAACACCCTGCAGGTTGTACTTAGAAGTTATACATGCATGTCTATATTATCGTATACCGTTCAAGCATCTCATGATGCTACATGTTGAACGTAACAGCAGCCTGGTAGGATTAGCAGCTGCTGTGATTATCTCTTCCCTGGGTTAATTTATACTGAAAAATTCAAATGAGGTCCTATTTATACAAGAAAAGCCTCTCCGTAACATCCAACTGAGAAGAAATGCCCATTGCCAGCTTGACAAAGGAGGGCAATAGACAAGGCCGAAAAAAGATAAAGGTGCATCATAAACGAGCAAATATTCCGCTACATGCTGATTTCACCCTTCCAGGCTGCGTCAGACAATCCCAGGTTTTCGACCAGATGCTGCCATCTCGGTCCACCTCTCTCCTTCCGTCGTAGGTATCTAAGTAGTTTTTGCCTCTTATGAACGAGCACTCGCAGGTTACGCTTGTTGTGCTTGTCCTTGTGAGTCCCCTGAAGATGTCTGGACAAGTTCAGGATCTTTTCGGTGAGGATGGCAATCTGCACTTCCGAGGAGCCGGTGTCCTTTCCAACCCGGGGTGTCTTAGTCGCATGAACTGCTTCCGACCCATCTGACGCAGCAGCAGGCTTGGGCTTCAAATTTTTATCGGTATTGTGCCGCCCAAACTTCTCGATACACTTTTCGATATTAACACGAACACGATCCTTTGTGTTTCCGTTGGCGAGGTTTGCAATCCGGCTCATGGCCTCCTGGGCATTTCGATGCTGTTGGAGATGCTTCTCTTCTGCTTCCATCTCAAGCTCGGGGTCTGCGATGGCACGGTTTGGGTTCTTGGGAGGGGACGTCAGGTCCTTTGACTTCTCCAAGGCTCCTTGGAGATCATCACGAGACAGAAAATAGTTCAAGTTGGCCTCTTCAGCTGCCTTTTCCTTTCCATCGATCTGACTCGTCCGGACAGCTTCGAGCTCTTGAATGAACTGGGTCGGTGCGGTCTCCACGGGATCGCCCAGAGACTCCTCCCGTTCCTGGAAGAGAGCCTGTCGTCGAGATAGATTGGCGGCTCTGCGTTGACGAGACTGGGCCATCAGATATGGGTCATGTCTTCTTCTCTCCCTCGACTCTGTCGATCCTGCTCTTATAGAGGTTTTGCATGGGTTTAAGGACAGCGCCGCTTGGGAATTACGGGTGGAGGGAAGACCTAGAGAATTGTGAGCAGGCAATGCGGGAATGCGCTCGCTGATGGGGGAGTATACCATTAAATGCCTTCAATAAAGGCTGAAACGTAAAGCGTGGAGGCATGTTGATGGAGATAGACAGCCCAATTGCAAGCCCGTACATTCGACAGGGTCGTCGTAACTCCAACTTTTCGGGCTTCCAATTTCGGAGTCGGAGATGAGAAGAGCGCTAGTCCTCATTCGGATACGATCATACACGTGAGCATTCACTCACGTGCCTTGGCGGTCTGGGGTCTTGGCGCATGATCTCCCAGCCCTAGCCCTAGGACTCACAACTCGCAAGCGAAATTCTTCCTCAACTGGAAGCGCCTTCGCGACAGTCTTCTCGCCGTCAACACCATCGCGACAAGATTGATACCCTACTTCGCCTTTCTTCGCAGAATATCAATCGCCCACCATGGCCCCTTCTCAGCTCCCTCCGATCTTCAACCCCACGCCCCAGGACATTGAGATGCTGCTTGCAGCTCAATGCCACCTGGGATCCAAGAACCTCCAGGTTCACATGGAGCCTTACCTCTGGAAGACTCGCCCCGATGGCATTAACATCATCAACATCGGCAAGACCTGGTAGGCTGCAGGCTCAATTGATTATGGCTCTGTTCTACTCTTCAAACTAATGTGAGGAATGACACAACAGGGAGAAGATCGTTCTGGCTGCCCGTATCATCGCCGCTATCGACAACCCTGCCGATGTCTGCGTGATCTCCGCTCGTCCCTACGGCCAGCGTGCTGTCCTGAAGTTCGCTTCTCACACCGGTGCTACCGCTATTGCCGGTCGCTTCACCCCCGGTAACTTCACCAACTACATCACCCGCTCTTTCAAGGAGCCCCGTCTCATCGTCGTTACCGACCCCCGCACCGACGCCCAGGCCATCAAGGAGGCCAGCTATGTCAACATCCCGGTTATCGCCCTTTGCGATACCGACTCTCCCACTACCTTCGTTGACGTTGCCATCCCCACCAACAACAAGGGTCGTCATGCCATCGGTCTGGTCTGGTGGCTCCTTGCCCGTGAGGTCCTCCGCCTCCGTGGTACCCTTGCTTCTCGCGAGGTCGACTGGGACGTTGTCGTCGACCTTTACTTCTACCGCGACCCTGAGGCTGAGGAGACCAAGGAGATTGCTGAGGAGGCTAAGGTTGCTGGTGCCGATGAGATTGGTGCTGGCGCTATTGAGTCTGGATTCGCTACCGACAGCTGGGATCCCCAGGCTGCAGGTGCTTCTGGCTCTGCTTTCGCTGCTGCTACTGGTGTTGCTGCCACCAGCTGGGAGGCTGACACTGGTGACTGGGCTGCCAGCACCGCTGCTGCCGCTCCTACAGGTGAGTGGGGTGCTGAGGCTCCCGCCGCCGAGGCCAAGTGGTAGATTTCTGTTCTGTGACGAAGGGCAGTCATTGAGAAGGGGGTCCAGGTCATACTTTTGATCATTGAATATGGCGATTCGGGAAAACGGTTGTGACGTTTTTTGCGAGAAACGGGGAAATTTCTTCCATCTATTTTACGACAAATCCCTTATGTCTCCCTCAACATCCCTTGATATGTCTATCCCATGTCTCTTTGTTCAGGAATTTTCTCAGGATTCAAAAAGAAAAACAAGGCGAAAAAGAAAGAAGAACAAAAAAAGCAGCAAATGAGGTCCAAAATCACCCAAACGGGCTTTCCGCATCTTCAAACCAAAATTCTCATTCACATATCGTTTTCTTGTCCAGGCTTTGATATCGGGGAGGAATTGTACTTGTCAATTATATTGACTGGCGCTTATGAGGGAAAGATATCCAGTTGCTCTCTCCTTCGTTGAGCTTCTGGGGGAAAGCCCTGTGCTGTCAATACTACAAGGTGGACTTAATCGTTGCCTTGGGTTTCTCCTGTCATCTAGCCGTAATTGAGAGGTATCTGCTGCTATCTACCTAACTCGTGTTTGTTTCTGGTTCTCCATAGGTAGCGTGCATTGCCGATTGCGACCAACCGTCAAGAGTATGTGACCGGTACCGTAGTGGAAGGACTTCGGAGGATGACAGCTAGAACGTTCCATTGGGCTAATAACCATGTTCAATCGATAGCCTGCATCCGTCAATCTCCCATCGCTCCGGAAAACACCAAACGCCCAGGCGCCATTGAAGCAACCGAAAGAAGGAGCTTTTATACTCTGTAGACTCCATCCTAATCACTGAATAGTACAACCTCCACTAGTCTGCCCTCCAGCTTCAGTAGTCGTCATACCCGCCAGCCTGGCGAGGTCTTCAAACGTCTCAGCGAGAAGTTCTCCTGTAACTGCAGAACACTCCGCGTACTGATCGCAGTGGAGTTCTTGGGCAATCCTATATGACTGTATCGGATTATCTTGTCAGGATGCTCGCTACTGAGACCAATAACGTAACAGCAGAGGAGAAGGCCTCATACCTCCTGGGGGTAGATGATATCGTCACTCTTCCCTCTAAGGTCTCTTTTCAACCCGATCATCATCACCGGGATCCTCTCGCCAGAGCCATGCTGGAAGTATCTAGTAATATCGTTCCGCCACTTGATTTTCCAATAGTGTCAGTCATCCGTTAAGGATATTTCAGAGAAAGGGAAAGACAACTCGCCCTCTTCAATCCACCCAACGTATCACGATCTGAAATATCAAAAGCCAACCCGACAAGATCAGGTCTCAACGTCGTCCAATGCTGATTAGGACTCGCAGTATCGTAGATATGTAGAGTGAACGATGCCTTCGAGAATCGAATATCATAGACGAACGGCTGATCAGAGTCTCGAAGGAGCTCAACAACAGAACCATCATTAGGACGACCGCCAGAAGGGGCTCTGCCGTTTTTCAGACGACTGTATTAATAACTTCTGTGTTCAGTGGATGTTCATCACTACTAGTTTAAGTAAATACATCGCAACAGAGGTGGTGGCCCACGATAGAAATGTTGACTTTCCACATCCCGGATCTCCGAGGAGAAGTACGGTGACGGTTGTGTCGTTGGGATGGTCTTCTGTAGCTGCCATTACAAAATATATTGTATATGAATGATCATATAGAAATACGAGGACCCGTGAAAATGACGCTGGAAATGACGGGTACTGAGGCCAGAAACGGCCACCTTTCCACCCATAACTTCCAGCGCCGAGCTGCCACATCCAGCACCTGCCAAGAATTTTCAGTCACTCAACTAAGTTGTTCACCCCATTTCCACTTGCAACTAGCACATCTATGCATGTAACCTTAAGTTCTGAAGCTGAACATCATGAACAAAGGAGCGCGTAAGTTGACCTGCCTGATGTGACATTCTGTCCACGATGGGAGGGTTATTCCAGTGCTTCTTGAGCAGCAACAAACGCCATGTTTCAGAGCTCCTGTTTCTACTTTTGTTATTCTATGACTTCACCAAATTCGAGCAGACGGGCCTGGGGAGTAAGGATATAAAAGGACGATGTGCCCACTGCTCTGACTCGGAGCAGTCATCACTCTGAGAACCAGAAGATTGGATTTAACAAAGCCCACCTAGAGACGAACGCCATTTCGATCTCTACTGTCCGAGGCTCTAGGTATATGTAGAACATCCTTTGAGGCTGTTTTCAATAAAGATCATCACCGATCCAGCTAGTAACCGGCTGGTATGGTTGCTAGGATCGCTGCTCTTGAGGGCGTATTATACTGTCTGGGACGGACTGGATCTCAACTAGGTGATGATATATCCAATATTTTAGCAATCGTTTTATGACAGTAGAGGATGTGATCCATATCCATACAACCTAAGCTGGGAAGTAGAAATGGGCTTATTCTATCCATCAATTATGCAACTTCGAGAGCAGGCAACAAGAATAACTTGTCCACCCCGCCTCAATCCTCTATAAAAGGACCGGACGGAGACTCTGTTTACTCCAGCAACATTCATTCATCTTTCAGGCATCCAAAATGCCCTTCACTACTGGAGAGGGCAACTTGCTCCAGCTGAACCAAAAGGACTTTGACTTCAATGTCCAGTTTGAGCAGCTGTTCTTCTCCATCATACCGTCCACTCTGTTCATTGTAACGTCACTATGGAGGGCGCGTTGCCAGGCACGGAAGCCCAGTGTGGTTGTGAATGCCCTGGTTTTCCAGCTCATTAAATTGGTATGCTTCCCTAAGGATAGGGATGTATAGTTTCAAAGGACTGATCAAACTGCTGCAGGGTGCCATCGCGACCTATGTCGGACTTGAACTTTCACTCCTCATCTTGGTTGCCGTTGGACCCTTCCAAGTGACTAGCATGTTCATATCTTCTTCAGTCCTCAAGCTTGTCTCGGCCCTATTCATGGTAACGCTGAGCGTTGTTGATCACAGCAGAAGTGCGCGGTCGTCTGTACTGCTGAATAGCTACTTGTTTCTTACTCTCCTTCTGGACGCGGTCCAGGCAAGGACGCTGTTTCTATCATCGGACAACAAGACAGAGCTCACGTACAGCAGCATCTTCAGTGCCGTGATAGCTCTCAAGACTGGAATACTGCTGTTAGAAGCCCAACAAAAGTCCAGGTTGCTACGCTGGGACAAGAAGGAGCACAGCCCGGAGGAGACGAGTGGCATCTTTTCCCTGGGCGTCTTCTTCTGGCTCAACAAGATATTCCTGGCGTGATACAGGAAGATCTTAACGATCGAGGACCTTTACCCCCTCGATGCCTCCTTGAACGCCGAATCGCTACACGACGAGTTCTCGAGGAACATGGATTACTCGAAATTGAAGGGGGACAAATATGATCTTGTGAAAGTGCTGGTGCGCACGTTGAAAGTTCCTCTTCTCCTTCCCGTACTTCCACGCCTGGCGCTGCTTGGGTTCACATTTTGCCAGCCTTTTTTCATTGAAAGGATGTTGAATTACCTCTCCCAGTCTGAACTCGATGCGAATATCGGATACGGCTTCATCGGTGCTAGCATGCTGATTTACTCGGGGGTTGCTATCTCCACCGCGTTCTACTGGTATGGTTAAAAAAGTCTGACGAGAGAATCACCAGCAAGAATCTTATTACTTATACCATAGTGCAGGTACTCCCACCACCGAATGCGTACGATGGTGATGTCGATACTCGTCACAGAGACCTTCATCAAAGCCACGAAAGCCCGCATCGGAACTGGCGACGACAGAGCTGCGTTGACATTAATGAGCACGGATATGGAGCGAATCAAGACTCGCAGAGGACCTGGATGGCAGGAGTCCAGAATCGTGTGGGACTGACGGCCACAGTCATCGCCAGCATGAAGAATCTGAAGATATCCGGCCTCTCTGACGCTGTCAGTGGCTCCATGCAGAAGCTCCGTGTCAGGAGCTGGCGGCAGGAGCTCGATTCCGCAAAATGGCCATCATTGCCACGCTCTTTGGCTATATTCCGTTGCTGATAAGCCCGCCGCTAACCTTCGCATTCGCTCAACGAACCCTGGATGCCTCAAGGATGTTCGTGAGTCTTTCTTTCCTTACGCTTTTGACCAACCCACTTTCGCAGATCTTTCAATCGATCCCCCAACTCGTCTCTGGGCTGGCCTGTTTGGGTCGAATCCAGGCCTTCTTGGAGTGCGAGACTCGCCATGATTTCCGCCAAGTTCTTGCTGATATGGAGCAGAATGCAGAGAAGACCCGGGCAGACACCGCGGCTTCGTCTGAATCGGATCTAGACATGATGCATCATGTTGTCATCAAGAACGGAAACTTTGGTTGGGAAGCAGGCAAGTTCGTCTTGCGGGACGTAAATACTCGAGTATCCCGGTCCTCGCTCACTATTGTCGTCGGACCTGTTGGCTCTGGGAAATCTACACTCTGTAAGGCACTCCTTGGAGAGATTCCTTTCAGTGAATGCAGCGTAGCTTTAAGCACTAGGTTCTACATGTTGGATTTTGTGACCGGACGGCATTTCTCTCGGAACGGGTCAATCAGGGACAACATTGTAGGCTTCTCTCTATTCAATGAAGAGAGATATGCCGAAGTCATCTAGGCTACGGCTCTGATCTTCGACTTTGCCACATTCCCACAGGGAGACAGAACGAATATCGGGTCTGATGGGATTGCCCTATCTGGGGGTCAGAAACAACGTGTTTCTCTCGCACGAGCTCTGTATCTGCACTCTGATATACTGGTGCTGGATGATATCTTCAGTGGTTTAGACATGGCCATGGAGGAGCAAGTCTTCCGGAAAGTCTTTGGGCCAGATGGTCTACTTAGACGACGACGCTCGACGGTTGTATTGTGCACCCACAGTGTCAGACACCTGCCCGCCGCGGATCACATAATAGCCCTCGGAGACGGCACTGTTGTTGAGCAAGGTAGCTTTAACGAACTAATGACCAGGCAAGGGTATGTTCAACGTCAGGGATTGAGGAGCTCTTTTGACAGCGACGCTTCGTCCGAGAGAACGATGCCAAAGCAGAGCGTGCGGGAATCGACGCTGCAACTGCTCAACACGACGACGACCAACAAATCATCCCTTGCACCGGACGCGGATGCATCACGGCGAGAGGGGGATATAACGGTGTACACGCATTATATCAAGAGCATGGGATTGTTCCTAGCGGCATTTAGTTTGTTCTTCGCTGCTCTTTAGGGTTTCTTTACTAACTTTCCGTCAATTTGTAAGTCATCTTTGTCTTCAATCAAGGGCAATAGAAGCCGTGCTGAAATCCATAATATCATGAACTAATATTAATTAAAATGCAGGGCTCACGTACTGGGCTGAGGATATGTACTAGGCACATCCAGCACACTCTTACGCCTATTACGCCGGGATATATGCTTTGCTTCAAATATGCGGTATGATCGCGCTCCTTCTCCTCACCATCGCTCTCTTCGTCGTCTCTGTAAAAAGAGCGGGGGCCAATCTCCATAAGGATGTCTTGCGAACACTGATTCAAGCACCACTATGCTTCTTCACCAAGACGGATACCGGTGTCGTTACAAACCTATTCTCGCAAGACCTAAACCTTATAGACACAGAGCTGCCAGATGCAACGTTGAACACTCTGCTTTGTGTAAGTCCGTTTTGTGTTGAACACTAATCGGATGTCTTCAACCACATTGCTACTCGTCTTTGGAGAGCTCTTCAGAAGAAGTCCGTCCAGTAGTCTGACACGCAACTCGCAGGTCTTTCAAGCAGTTGGACAAGCAGCTGTTATGCTTACTTCGTCTCTGTACTTGGGCATAAGCTACCCGCTCCTCGGTGCCCTACTGTATTTCGTGCAGAGGTTCTATCTACGGACTTCCAGGCAGCTAAATTTGCTAGACCTCGAGACTTAAAGTCCCCTATAGTAAGTCTGCTGTCATATAGTGGGTGACTGTTACGCTCTATACTAACCTGCGTTCGTTTAGCACGCATTTTCTTGACACTCTTAAGGCATCACAACTCTGAGAGCCTTCGGTGAGTAAACATGCGAAGCCAGGACCGGCGCTGAAAATACGCTGCTAATACAAGAAATACACAGGTTTTCTTCCTGAAAATATCCGAAAGAACGCTCACCTGGTTGATTCTTGCCAACGGCCAGCATACCTCCTCATGATGATTCAAGAGTGGCTGAACGTCGTTCTCGATCTCGTAGTTATGGTGATGGCAGTGGCCATGACGACTCTGGCCGTTCGGCTTCACTCCAACTCTGCCTTAGCCGGTGCTTCGTTTTACACCCTCATCAGCTTTGGACAAAACCTTTCAGGCATTGTCATGTACTACACCAGGCTAGAAACCTCCATCGGGGCGGTAGCCAGGCTGAAGACGTTCAACGAGAATGTGAAGCAGGAAGACAGAGAGGAGGACATTGTTCCTCCTGAACAGTGGCCTTAGAGTGGTGTGGTAGAGTTGAAGCGTATATCCGCGAGTTATGGGTAAGAGACATATGATACCTTCACGAGTATCCACGTCTTCGCTAATGCCGCCGCTGCAGTGCGGAAGATCAACTCGCCCTCCACAACATCTACCTAAGGATCACCTCAGGCGAGAAAGTGGCCATCTGCGGCCGTACCGGCAGCGGCAAGTCTAGCCTTATCGCCCTCCTCCTCAAGCTACTCGATCCCCTCCCGGAGACGGCAGAGAATGCGGTGATCGATAACATACCCCTCCACCGCATAAACCGGTCCGCGCTCCGTCAGCGCATAATCGCAGTACCCCAGGAAGCCGTGTTCTTGCCCGACGGGTCCACCTTTCAGGCCAACCTGGATCCATCCGTCGTGTCAACGCCGGAGGAATGCCAAGCCGTCCTTGCAGCCGTGGGTCTGTGGAAATTCGTTCAGGAGCGAGGCGGCCTGGACGCAGGCATGAGCGCCGAGACACTCAGCGCCGGACAGCGCCAACTCATGTCGCTTGGTCGCGCGCTGCTGAGACGTCGAGTCCGGGCGCGGGATCTGGGGACCGGTTCAGACCGCAGTATCTTGTTGCTGGATGAAGTGAGCTCGAGCGTGGACCACGAGACGGAGTGTGTTATGCAGGAGATTATCAGGACTGAATTTAAGGACTACACGGTCATAGCGGTTAGCCATCGGCTAGACATGATTATGGACTTTGACAGGGTCGTGGTCATGGACACGGGAGAGATCGTGGAGACTGGGAATCCGGCGGTGCTGGCTGCAGAGACAATGAGTCGGTTTGGGAATTTGGTGAGGACTGCAGCCTAGGAAGAATATGAAAGTTGGATAGTTATATAAGAATGCACCAAGAGTAAGAAATAATTCACTATAGTCTCGAGATGCCAAGAACCCCATACAAATATCAACCAAAAAAAATCTCCAATCTCTAACGAGCCAACGACCAACTGCAACGATCGTAGGATCGAGCAGCGCCACGCCCCATGTGGAGATTCCAACAGGAACTCCCTGGTCTCACGCGTCTCATATTCCTCAGGAGGAAATCCTCATTTTTACAATCCCTACGGCATTATCAGAAGTGCCTTGCGTCGACAACGACAACGACAACGACAGCAACAACAGCCCAAGCAATGGCTAGCCAAATCCCCGACCTTGTCCCTGACGGACAAGCACAAGGACAAGGACGAGCAGATTATTCAACATGGAGCACACCCCGTCTCATCGCCAGAATCACAGAACTAGAACGACAGCTACATTCGCAAACGGTCCGGTTTACTTCATCCCCGCCTACGAACATCGCAACAGAAACTATTTCCACTACTTTGCCCTCTCCTCCCCCTGCTGCTCCTGCTGCTCGCCCCGATTCGAAAACAATAGAACAACCCCTAAGTAAAGTCTCAAAACCGGCCCGCTCTTCATCAAACGAGGACATCACGCATACCCGCGCCCCAGGCCGCCCCGTCAAGGAAGTCCGAGAGATCGATCCAACCAAGTACCACACGCGTTTCATTGCGCTGAAATTCGCCTACCTGGGACAGCGGTATAACGGGTTCGAGCATGCGAATGGGAACGCGACTCCTCTTCCAACAATCGAGGAGGAGTTGTGGAAGGCTCTTCGGAAGACGAGACTTATTCTCCCCCCTACCACTGGGGCCCCGGGTGAGGACGATCTTATCTCAAATGGGCCAAGGGTTATGAGGCCTTATTCTATTAGCTGGGAGGGATGTCAGTATTCTAAGGCTGGGAGGACAGATCGGGGGGTCAGTGCTTTTGGGCAGGTGATTGGAATTCGAGTACGCAGTGCACGGCCGAAGGTGCAAGCTACGAAGAAGCTTGAGGGTGGAGAAGGGTCTACAGAGAATATGGAAGTGGATGAGGAGGAATCTGTTGGTAAAAACTGGGATGATGTCGCGGATGAATTACCCTACATACAAATGTTGAACAGAGTGCTCCCAGAAGATATCCGGATACTTGCCTGGTGTCCAAATCCGCCCGCTGATTTTGATGCCCGATTCTCTTGCCGCGAACGTCGATACAAATACTTTTTCACCCAGCCTGCATTTTCTCCTACCCCGGGTGCGTCTGGTTTCGCGCAAGGTCCGAGGAATACGAAGTCCAGAGAAGGCTGGTTGGATATCGATGCTATGCGGAAGGCTGCTAAATACTTCGAAGGAGTGCATGATTTCAGGAACTTCTGCAAGGTGGATACCAGCAAGCAGATTGAGAACTTCGAGCGGATAATCTACCATGCGGATATTGAACTTGTTGATTCCAAAGTCAACATGCCAAGCTACGTTGGGAAACCTGGATTTCAAACATTTGAGAATGGCGATTATGCAGAGACTCCAGCGCAGGTATATTCGTTTACTCTTCATGGTTCTGCCTTTCTGTGGCACCAGGTTCGGCATATGGTTGGCATTCTATTTCTAGTCGGGCAGGGACTTGAGTCGCCATCAATTGTTCCCGAGTTACTGGATATATCCAAGAGCCCCCGTAGGCCGACTTATGAGATGGCCTCGGACGCTCCTCTTGTCCTCTGGGACTGCATCTTCCCCGACGAGAAGAGCGGTAGCCGCGAGGATGCCATGGAGTGGTTATATGCTGGTGATCCTCGAATGTCAAAAACCCGGATGGTCAAAAGCGGCGGAAAGTTCGGTCTGGGTGGTGTAGTGGACGAGCTCTGGTCAGTTTGGAGACAGCGCAAGATGGATGAAATTCTTGCTAGTACTTTGTTGGACTTAGCGGTAAGTCAAGGAGACCAAAGCATAGTGCACCAGGAAACACTGCCGAACGTGGCAAAGCCGAACCGCGGGCAGAGAGTCTTTCTTGGCGGGAATGATGGCAAATTGGGGGGGAAGTATGTCCCGGTTATGCAAAAGAGGAAAATGGAACCGGTGGAGGTCCTCAATCAAAGATGGCTCGCCAACAAGCAACGGAGGAAGGACAAGGGGCCCAATCCCGAGATATAGAGTCTGTATATAACTCAGTAAACAAAATATAGAGCATTGCGGCGCATGTTACTCTTATAAAGAGGCCCATTGTGGTATCCATTCCAAATAGAGGACTTAATTCACAATACTCTTTGGCAATTGAGCCATCAGGACTTCGCATCATAGAGACAGTGCCGAGAGCCTCTCCAGACGTCTTCTAATATTTTTCGCCTTGGGAGTAATTTCTGCAATACAAATATTAATAGACGTCTGACCTCCGTTGCAACCTATATACTTACGGGAAAGACAACAACCACAGTAGGTTCACCTTCCACAATAACAGCGAGATAGAATCGAACTTCAAACCCCTTGAACGCCTCGTGGATCACAATATCTTGAATTTGTGTCGTAGGAATAAACCGCGTTGTGGCTGTAGACAAATACGTAGCGGAAGAAGAGGACGTTTGGATTCCCAGACCACGAATCACTAGGAGGGATTCCTCTGCGTTACAAGGCCATTTCCGTCAATATGCATTACTTTCTCTATTATCGCAGACATCCAAAACATACCTGTGCTCTCCTTCCTGAATACAGCGTAGATAGCCACTGCGCTTACTACAAAGATAGCCCCTAGATGGCATGAATCCACGATGCGACAGACAAAAGACCCCAACGGGCTTCCCCACAGATCATGCCAATATACTATAAGCCCATTTTCTGCAAAGAAGGAGTGTCGCAGTTTTGCGCTGCAGATAAAGAGCACGCAGGTGAAACAGAGCGCGCGTAGGATGGTTTGAAGGTAGAAGAGGATTCTAGCCGACGGGCTCGAGCGGTCTGGGGCGTTGGAGACGGTGAACGATACGGTCGTCGGGGACGGACGACGAACTATAAGACGCACCGGCATTGATTATCCAGTTGAGGGATTGAATGCGCTGTTCGCATGTTGGAAGATGCTGTACATACTACAGTGTCTGTCGAAGCTATGATGCTACGAACGGCACTAATCCGCTTACGGACTAACCTTGCAGGTGACTCGGATTCTGCCGCCGCCCAGTTGGGTAATGTCTCCGAATACAGCAGGAGCACGTCTTTTACGGGCTCGTCCTCCCGAGTCCGTATCATCACGTGTGTCTGTTTGGACAGCACTCGTGCAACCCAACGCAGACAACAAACATCCTCGGGAGACCCTGCAGCTCCAACAATGAACGAGACCTCCCAGCGTGCTCGAAGTCGCAGTCCTACGAGACGACGTGGAGGCTTTCGATGGAAAGAAAAACGACGCGACGATAGCTACAGACCCGGAGATGACGACCGCCGATTAGAACGAGGATATAGGGACAGGAGCAACAGAGCTCGGTCACCGCGTGGAGAGAGATATACAGATCGATATCAAGACAGGGACCAGTACAGGGATAGAGATGGCGATCGAAATCGTGCCAGTTCCAGAGATAGACGCCCCCGGCGACCGGATCACGAAAAGCACAAGAACGAGGAGCTCCGAGAAGGCAGGAAAGAGGAGAAGAGGAAAAAGAAGAATGCTGCTGCAGCTGCAGCTCCCTCTGAGGCCATGATTGTTGTCCACGTCAATGACCGTCTGGGTACGAAAGCTGCAATACCGTGTCTTCCTTCAGACCCGATCAGTATGTCGTCACTCTTCTTCATGGACCTTACAGGACAGCTTCAGCTTCAGATTCTAACATGGAAAACAGAGCTCTTCAAAGCACAAGTGGCTGCTCGTATCGGACGCGAACCACATGAGATCCAACTGAAACGCCAAGGCGAACGACCGTTTAAGGATCAGCTTACATTGGAGGATTATGGAGTCAGTCATGGGGTCCAGCTTGACCTGTGAGCATAGAACCCCTCGTGGTCTAGAACCCTCATGCTATTGGAAACTTTACGCTGACCTACATGTCTCCAGAGAAGTAGGAACGGGCGACTAGAGGTCGTACGATATGACCCCGTGAATGGCAAAGCCGTCATGCAGGGGGTGTTTAAAATCAAAGCATACATGGAGAGTTCTGGGACTCGAGATTCTCCTCGACAGTCTTCGTTTTTGGTCTGTTGTCCAATCTGCACTCTGACAGCCGAATGAGGTCGGGGAGGCATTGCTTGCCTTTTTGCTTTTCGGGAAAAGAGAGCCTTTTTGCTTGCAAAGCGCACTAATCGGATAACTTCCTTGGCCATGTCTCTGTTTTGTCATTTGGGTCTTTTCCTGTTTCCTTTCCATTTTCGTCCTGGGCTTCTGAACCCAGGTTACTGTAGCTACCAGCCAATGGACTCGATGCTTTTTGCGGCAGGCTAGCGCTTTCGTAACGGAGGGCGTGTATTCCGATTTCCCAATGCTGGAGATGGAGAAGGGGAAGTTTGCCCAAAGCAATTGACTGCGCATTGCGTTATGCGCGGAGTTTTCCCTTGCGGGGCTTTGCGTGGTGGGCGCGCATTTCCCGATCGGGACATGATGGGCGCCTGAGGCTCGCAGCGGCAAATGATCCTATCCTGGTTGGTTCCACTGTCTTTTTACTTTTCGCTGAAAGGTGCGTTTTTTTTTGGTCTTTTATTATTTTTTTAGTTTCGATTTTTTTTCCCTTTTTTTCCCGTTTTTTTTTTAAAAAAAAATTCGAATTTTTATACGGGACTTTGGTTTTGTCTTCTTCCATTCTTCCAATGCCTTCACGACTCGCTGCAGCAGATCTCTCCAATTCTTCAACATGTGGTAGTCCCTCATTGCCTTCACTCATCTCCCTCGAGCTCGCTATTTTTTAATCTGTTTCAGAAGTCTTACCGAATCGTTACCCGTTCTTCCAGATCTCCATCTTCCCCGGTATCCCGACTGCAGTCTCCGCCTTCAAAATTTCGACCTTTTTTCCCTCGCGTACTCCTCCAACTCCAACTCCCCAGGTTTATCGTCTCATCACCACCACCACCATCATCACCCTCTTGCTCCTTGCGCCCCATCGCCTGACATGGTCCGGAATATCGTTGTTATAGGGGGCACCTCCCACCCCCGCCTCACCCAGACAATATGCAATTTTCTCGGAATTCCTCCGGCCGAGGTCCTTCTTTCGAAATTCTCCGTGGGCGAGACGAGGGTTGAAATCCAGGAGTCCGTCCGTGGAAAGGACGTCTACATTATCCAGTCCGGTGGTGGGAAAGTCAACGACCATCTCATCGAACTCCTGATCACCATCTCTGCCTGCAAGACCGCCTCCGCCAGGAGAGTTACCGCGGTTCTGCCGCTGTTCCCGTACTCGCGCCAAAGCGACATTCCCTACAACAAAACTGGCGCCCCTCTGGTCAAATCGTCGCTGGCTGGCAGGCCTGGCTCGGTAAACGGCTACACCTTCGAGAGTACTCCTTCGACCCCGCATCCTGGAAAACCTGAGAGCACAAATATCATGAATGGCGTAGAAAGTCTACAGAAAGGCCTTGCGAAAGCCCAACTAGAGGAATTCAACGGCATCTCGCCAAAGAAGCCCACCTTGGAATCGTTAAAGTCAGATGCCAGCAGATCCCCTGTGCTAAATGGATCTCTCAACGACGACAATGCAAGCGTCTCATCATCCACTTCGTCGAAAATCAATTCTTTCCAGCCACGCCCCGGTTACAGACAATGGGTCGCGCAGGCGGGGACTTTGGTCGCAGATTTACTTACCTCTGCCGGTGCGGACCATATCATCACAATGGACCTGCATGACCCTCAGTACCAGGGCTTCTTCGATATTCCGGTGGATAACTTATACGGAAGGCCTCTTTTGAAGAGGTACATCCAGCAGAACATTCCTAACTGGAAGAATGCTATCATTGTGAGCCCTGATGCCGGTGGAGCTAAGAGGGCGACCGCTATTGCGGATTCCATGGGTATGGAATTCGCTTTGATCCACAAGGTCAGTTATTTCTGAAATTTACCTTGGTTTAATGCACCTAATTCTTTTTTCTTAAAAATAAAAGGAACGACGCCCTACAAAAATCACAGATCGTCAGAACGCAACCATGATGCTGGTCGGTGATGTGCGGGATCGGACAGCGATTCTCATTGACGACCTGGCGGATACATCAAACACAATCACCAGAGCCGCGAAGCTGCTCAAGAAAGAGGGTGCATCCAAAGTCTACGCGCTGGTCACGCATGGAATTCTCAGCGGTGATGCTATCGACCGTATCAACGCCAGCGCCCTCGATAAGGTGGTCGTCACCAACACCATCGAGCAGGCCGAGCACCTGGGACGGTGCCCCAAACTCGAGGTTCTAGAAGTTGGACATGTCTTTGCCGAGGTATGCCTCTACCCCGTATACTGCCGTGCACTGAAAAATACGTTTTTTTTTTTTTTTCTAATTGGGTTGTTTAATACAGGCCATCCGTCGTGTCCACCACGGTGAAAGCATCAGCGTTCTTTTCCAATATGACTGAAATTTTTCCTTTTTTTTTTCTATTTGAACGTTTATAGCATGTCATTTTCTTTCATTTCAATTTCAGTTTCCTTCATCATTCATCTCTTGTTTAAAAAAAAATTCCCCACGTGACTGGCTCTGGCTCTTTGGCATTTTATCCTCATAAAGCGGACATATTTGAAATGATTTCAGTAAAACGGAGAAAGCGATAAGTCCCGAGAGGCATTATATGCCTGGCCTCTCTCGTTTGAGCTTTTTCGTTTTTTTTTTTTTTTTCTCTTTCTTTTTTGCTTAGATTTCTTTGATAGACAACCGAATAGGCAACGAGAATCCGGTATACTTCAGTATACCTCCCAGTTCATCAATCCCTTACTAAGGGATGAATTTCTATTTTCATTATCAATGTGAAATACTATGTGCTGCCATTCTTCGCGGCTAAAAACATATCCTAAAGAGATTTCCGCAAATTGCAGGGCTACGACTGACATCAAATCGATCTATCTAGATGTCAAGCAGAACGGAATGACGACCATACTGTTTTTCTGCTCTTTTCATTTCCCTCATTCAGTTTGAGTTTGAGGTCATTCATCTATTTCACATTGATTGAACTGACTGGTGAAATTGAATTCTCCAAAAAACGCCAAAAAAAATTATTAAACGGGTTCCAATGCGCTCAACTCAATACGGGTGTCAGAAAAGGAAGCGGGTACTCGGTCAATGAAAAGGACGGAACAGTCGTCGAAAAGACGCATAGAGGATGGATCATACAAAGAAGCGCAGACGATAACTGTATATAAAAACGAAAAGATGATATTCAGAATACGGAGATGTAGTTTCCTATTCTCTCCTTCTGGTTTTGCGCAATACATTCCGCGATCCAGGTGATATTCCGGATTTCCTTTGTAGCAATCAGCGTCAGCACTGAGATAAAGGCAATGCGAAAGAATAGTTAGACTCACTTGCTCCTTCAACTTCACCCAGGCATATATAACAGCTGGTGTGAATTGGCGTGTGAATACTAGCTTGGAGGATTCCATCTCCTTCTGGTAAAAGAGATCTTCCAAACTCTTTCCCTCAGCTCCACCCCCGCTGCCAATTCCTCCAGCTCCACCCTGGCTCAGACCGACAGCATCAAAAAAAGCCTTGTACTCTGGAACTGCGCTGACTGCGAGACTCACTCCTTCAATGTCATCGGCCCGAGAAAGCATTAGAGATCCTTCCGGCCAAAGCTTCCCAAATTCGGGGTACAGCTTCCTCCGCTCCGGCTTTGAGAGCTCAGTGCCGAACGAGTTGATTGTGATGTTGATCGCCCGTCGATCCGCTTCGAATTCCAAGATCTCAGACATTATCTCTTGAGTGGGCGTGCCCTTGAACTCAGGGGTCATGTTGACAAACTTATAGAAGTCCTCCAGATAGTTCTTGTAGAGAGTGTTGCGGACTATTTCAATGTTCAACTCGTCCAGATCCTGGTGACTAAGACTGGCCTTGAAGTAAGGTGCTAAAGGCGTTTCGATCAAAACGGAGTTATATAGTTCTTCGATATTCGTTGCGACGCAGAGCACCGGCATGGTTTCGAACCAACCCAAGGGATGGCATCGGTCCAGAAGTTCTCGCGTATCACGCTCATGCAGAGTGCCAGTGATAAGAAGCGCAATGTTGTCGATCATGTACCCGTATGTCAAATAGGACAAAAACTTGGCAATCGAACCTGTAGCTTGGGCTTGGAGATAGCGAAATTCCGCGACAAGCTTGTCGGTCATCTTGCCGGCCAGAGAGGAGGTGGAAGGGTTAGGCGGGAGAGAAGCAAGGAAGTCACCGTAGGCGGGTGCCAGTTGAAGCTTGACATCTTTCATTTCAAATTGTCAGGAAAAAGCACTCTACATTGATCAGATTGCAGGAAACTAACCATCTATATTCTCGCATTGTGCCAAATTCCCATAATGCTGGCCGGTAAGGAGACTGTTCCGGTACCCTCGGACAACGCCCTCGATATATCTACAAGTGAAGGTCAGTCACACGATAAAATCGCCTCTTTCCTGTCTCGAGAAACTCAAAACTAACCCGCCGTTAACATTAAAGAACAGGCCCTCCATGGTAAAAGGCGATGGATGCAGGTTGACGAGCTGCGCAATGACAAGCTGGAGAGCTCGACTTCCAGTGCTGGGTGCTTATGTAATACTGTTACCGCCACAGTCAGCCACAGTTGGGGCCTCTCATTTTGCATGTTTTGCACTTTCCGTCGAAATTCCCTGCGGAAAGAAAAAAGTCAAAAAAAAAAGAAGTCCTCGGTGGTTTTGCTCGCAGGACGTTGCGCCCGCCAAACACGACATCCTCGCTCTTCCCTCTCTCATTTATTTAGCCGGCCTCATTCGGTATTGTTATTTTTCTATTATTAACCGGGAAAGCAGCTGAGAGTCGTGGTTGCCCACCATGACACTTTTCATTCTTACCGAAACCAGCGCAGGCTACGCCCTGCTGAAAGCGAAGGACAAGAAACTCCTCAAACGCGATGATCTGGCAACAGAAGCTGCTACTGCAGAGGGTGTATCGAATCTGTAAGTTAGCCAATCTTGGTTTCTTTTCTCCTCGTTCTTGAGTTTTCCACAGACAGTTGTGGGTGTCGAAAAGCTTTTTTTACGGGTCATGTTCGGTGGAATACAAGAGAAAATGTTTTCTCCCTTGGATGAGATCTTGCTTCTAACATGCATCAGATTGAAACTGAAGAGCTTTAAGAAGTTCGATAGCGCTGCTACCGCTCTGGAGGAGGTTGCTTCCATCGTTGAAGGAAAGGTCACTCCTCGTCTGGCCGGTCTACTTGATGAGATTAAAGATGAGAAGAAGGTCTCTTTGGCCGTTGCCGATCCCAAACTTGGTATGTTAACCTGCTTTATCTCTTCCGGTTACAGTATGTCTTATTTACTGACTTTGTGGTGTGAAGGCAATGCCATTGGCAAACTTCCAGGGCTCTCGGTGCAATTGGTTGCCGACTCCTCGACGACAGATATCTACCGTGCTATTCGTGAACACCTGCCCACACTGATCCCCGGCCTGATGCCCCAGGACATGTCTACTATGTGTCTTGGTCTGTCGCACTCCCTCGCAAGACACAAACTGAAGTTCTCGCCTGATAAGATCGATACGATGATTGTCCAAGCCATTGCTCTGCTTGACGACCTGGACAAGGAGTTGAACAACTATGCTATGCGTGTAAAGGAATGGTATGGTTGGCATTTCCCGGAACTCGCGAAGATTCTCAACGACAATCTCGCATATGCTAAGGTTGTTCTGAAAATGGGAATGAGATCCAACTGGGAGTCAGCGGATCTTCTGGAGGTTCTTCCGGAGGAATTGGAGGGAGCTGTCAAGGCAGCTGCTGACCGCTCTATGGGTACTGAGATTAGCGAGGAGGACTTGGAGAATATCCAGGCTTTGGCAGAGCAGGTGGTTGGTTTCACTGAATACCGCCAACAGCTTGCGGGTTATTTGACATCACGTATGAATGCCATCGCTCCCAACTTGACCGCGCTTGTTGGCGAGTTGGTTGGCGCACGTCTCATTGCACACGCTGGAAGTCTGACCAATCTGTCCAAGAGCCCTGCCAGTACTCTCCAGATTCTCGGTGCTGAGAAGGCCTTGTTCCGTGCCTTGAAGACCAAGCATGATACTCCCAAGTATGGTCTTATCTACCATGCTTCCTTGATCGGCCAGGCTACCGGCAAGAACAAGGGCAAGATGGCCAGAGTTTTGGCCGCCAAAGCTTCGCTTGGTCTACGTGTTGATGCTCTCGCAGAGTGGGAGGACGACGTTACAGAGGAAGAAAGAGCTGCTTTGGGTACAGAAGCCAGATACAACCTCGAGCGGAAATTGGCCGCTATGGAAGGACGGCCTGTCAAGCCCAGAGGTGTTGCTATTGCTCCCAATGGTGCTACAACCCAGCCTAACAAGTTTGAGCTCAACGAGTCCAGACAGTATAATGCCGATGCCGATGCAGTTGTCGGTGATGAGCCCGCATCGGCCAAGAAGGCTAAGAAGTCGAAGAAGCTAGTGGAGGAAGTCAAGGACACAGAAATGGCTGATGCTTCTTCCGATGAGAGCGAGTCAGAGCCCGAGGCTAATGGTGCGATGAAGTCTGACATCGAGAAGTTGGCTGAAAAGGCAGGTCTCAGTGTGAAGAGATATCAACGGAAGCTTGAACGAGGAGAAATTGAGTTCGATGCTGAAGGCAATCCCACCGCCATCAGCAAAAAGGATCTGAAGAAGGCCAAGAAGGAGGCTAAGAAGGAATCCAAGAAGGCCGGTAAAGACAAGGATGAGGGCAAGAAACGCAAGAGGACAGACGAGGGTGAGGAAGTGGAGAGCGCTGAGAAGAAGAAGAAGAAGAAGAAGGGCCGGGAGTAAGAAAAGTCGAATTTTATTTTCATCTCTGTATGATATCACAGCTTGTGTGGATTTGATTTTGCTGTTTTGTTTCTTTTTCTGGGTGGCATTTAAGGATGAATTCTGGTCTTCCCATGGCGCAGAGGTGCTTGTTGGTATAAGGCAGTACAATCCTAGCTTGATAATGAATTGGTGTTCATATACTATATGATCTGAAGCTATGAATACAGTAGTTGCATGCATCATGAACTCCGAAGTTGTAGCAGGGCCGGTGTAGTTCCCACCGCCTCTTGCGGCTTCTTTTCTGCCGGCAGATCGACCTGACTTTTTTCGACTTCTCGCAATCGCACACTGTCCTCGCTGTGCAACTCGCGCTCTACAACCTCAAACACAATGAAGGTAGGTCTCGCTGCTCCTGATTCCAGATCGCACGACTAATTCCAACCAAAATAAACAAATAGATCATCGAGCCCCAATCAGCAGCCCTCACAAACATCGAAGTATTAGCCTACCTAACAGCCAACCCACCACGACGACCTCCGAATCCTCCTCCGAATTCAAGAAATTGGGTGCCCAGCCCTGACCTCCGTGACCATAACACGGTTGTTAAGGAAGTAAGCAGACGTACCCAAAGAAATAACATCGAAATCTAATCGAACAGATCCACAATTATGTAACCCGCCTCTCACCTCATCTACTGAATTACCCACGCTACGTACATGAGGGACAGCTGCAATCAGCATCGGCAACGGCATCAGCGCCCGCTCAGCCTTCCTCGGACTCGACAGAGCAACAATTACAAGTACAGCAATTAAGACCGATAGACCACACGCCCACGCCGCTGGATCATGCGATTCGGTCTCTGATAGCGCGGTTGAAGCCGTTCAAACTTACCAAGGCTGAGGTGTTGATGATTGTTAATCTTGGTGTGGGATTGGGGAATGGTCCGCCTGCGGATGAGTATGGACAGGAACAGGATCAGATGGAGGTAGACGGGGTTGTCAATGAGGATGCTGATGTGAATGGGGAGCAGGGAGACGGGGAAGGGGGAGAAGAAGATGGAGATGAAACGGGTGCATATGCTGAGGGAGAAGAGGCAGGAGAAGCTGAAGCTCAGGATGGTGTCGCTGAGGGCGATGAAGAGGGGGAGGGGCTTGCGGAGGAGGATTACGGTGCTCTTGCTTTGCTTGACACTGTTATTGAGGAGAGGGAGGAGAGACTTTCTACGGCGGATGTTGGGAAGATCTTGGCTATTATTCGGGAGTGTTTGGGGCAGGATGAGGGTTTGCAGGGGCATTCTAATGGGTGATGTATTTCTTGAGTCTTGAGGTTTGTGGTTTTTTCTGTGTACATCCATCTAGCGTTTTAGGGCATGAGACAAAAATTCTTTGGCAAGGATATCAATCACTGTAAATGGGATTTCTCAATAGGCCATGAGAAAATGAAGAACACAAACATACCAGTGTCTGTGGAATATGCTATGTACATGAAGTGAACCTTTCTCCAAGAGCCCCTCTCACATATTCACTGCCGCCAAACCAGAATATCCGCAACTCCAGACCTTATGTAGCTAGACACACGCGGATGTATGAATGAAGTATCTAATTCTTCTCATCTGTCCCCTTTACCAGTTTGCCAAATTGGTTATAAACAGGCCCCTGCCTGCCACCTGCAACACCACCCTCCATACCCCACCCGCCACGATCATCATCAAAGACGTCTCTCTCGAACCCAGAAATCAGATCTGCAAAACTGATCCACTCCCCGCTATCCGTCCACACGCCGCCAGCTCCACCGCGTGAGTCCCATGAATCCTGGCCACCGATCAAGTAGGATTGCGCGGCGGCTAGGTCGCGCGAGGAGCGGATGGCTTTGCGCAGCAATGCGCGCGTCCATGGGGAGAACCACATATCCGACCACCAGTTGTCGAGGGGATCACCGTTGTTCAGGTGGATGAGCGCGGGAATGGATGCGGAACGGACGTTAGTCATCAATTTGACGTCGGGCCATCCGCGTTCTCGGGGACTTGGGAGAGCGTCGAGAGCCGCGTCGAATGGCTGGTTGATGCTCTCGTCTGGGATAAGTCGGGGTTGTGTGAAGGGATTATCGATGTTCTCTGCTGCCAGGTCGGGGGGCAGGAGGAGACGTCTTTCTCGCGGGACGCCATGGTCAGCTTGAGCTTTGGATGATTTTGTGACATTTCTGTATTCGAACCATGCTGCATCGTTGTGAGAGAGTCGCGTGTTGAAGAAGAGGCGAGATTCAAAATCAAGACCGATCCCGTACTCGTATCGTCGGCCGGGAACGAGTGGGAGCTTGACGCCTGTTATGTTCGAGGCATCTGAGATACCGATCTTTCGGTACAGCCATTCTTTAAATGGGTGGGCAGTTCTCCTTCTCTCCAACTCTCTCACGTATTCCTGCCGTCCGTAGATCTGCGTCAAGGCTAAATAGTCACCACTGAGGTTCCGGTGTTGTTCGACAAACCGGAGCGCTTGTTCGTAAATCAACTTCAGATCCCCCGCTTGGCCGATCACGACATCCGGATTCAGCCACCGTGGTCGATTGTGGCTCTTTCCACTAGGTTTGCTGTCCGTTTCCCATCCATAGATATCTGGCGGTAAAGTAGACTCGGGCACGGAACGACAACCCACATCATCAGTGAGGTTCGGAAAGCAAGTTTTGCTGGCCCCAAACAAGACCCTCTGCATATACTTCTGCACCGACTCTATCGGACTGGGTTGTCCAAGCCGCGTTCCGACCGTCGCGAATCCATATTTCTTCCTTAACTTCTCATTATTCTCTCTCAGGAGGGTTTGAAACCTCCTCACCAGCACCTCCGGAGGCAGCTGGAAAAAGGTCTCCGACCCGCCGACAATCAGCACGAAATCCTCATCGTGCACGTATTGCGAAGACTTCAGGTACTTGTATGTCCCGTTGATTCTATCCACCAACAGATCATACTGCGTGGAACCCTTCTGTGGTGACCTGCCATACCCGAGCAGCGTGGGAGGCGGATAATTCAAAATCATCGCGGAGGCCACCGTCCGGCAGAGCCTAGGACTCTTCTGAGTAGCAGGTATGAGGACATGGAAGGACGGATTGGTTTTCTGCAAGTTGCTTGGAAGAGTCGTCTCGTTGAGCGTGGACGGTTTCAGATTCGAAATAACGACGGCGTCTTCAGGCCGATTGGACAATGGAAAATAGGACGGGTATTTTGCCCAGTAATTGGGTGTAGATTCCTACAGTAACGGATTCAAATAGATGTTAGCGCTCCGGGTTCTCTCTCCTGTCTCCTTTTTTGCGGGGGAGATTATATGTCGCAAACCCGTACACCTTGTATACCAATAGAACCAAAAGAGCCTCGTCGCGATAGAAAATATATAAGAAAAAAGCCCACGAAGGTGATCCAGAGGACTTTTAATCTGCGAGTCTTTGGTCGAAGGTGATAGATACGTCGAAAGGTCCCTGTTACCATGGGATGCCGTAAATGTGGATATTGCTCAGATAGATGAGTCACAAGGCCTGGAGGGCCCATTATGGACAGATATTGCAAGGAGAAGTTAAAAATGTGAAAAGAAAGGAAGGGAGGAGGGCTGGAATGCAACCTCAGCGCGAAAACATCGGAGTGCACAGGATGGTGAAGCAAACTATATGAGGATAATGTGAGTTTCAGGTAAGCACAGAAACAGGCTCTGTAAATATAGACATCACGACTTCAGATGCTGTTATAGTCAGATGGGATGAAAGAAAACTTCATGCAGCAGTGAATAGGTGACATCTTGGAGGTTCCGGCGGCTAATTCAGTTAGAAAAGGCAGGATGACGACGGTGATGGGACTTAAGCTTTAGCCGCAATCCACTTGGGGAGACGTTAATTAATTTCCCGCGAGGAAAGCATACAAATAAGTTTCAGAATAATCATTGCTAGGTTACTATATTGTTACATTCATGGAGAAATTTGGCAATTTTCAGGTTCATCACAGCTAAGAGCAAACATTCTGCTGCTGCTCTCAAAATCTATTCCAAGTATATCTCATCGCGCAAGCGCTGCAGGTTCCATAGAAAACCACCGCCACTCTCATTGTCCCGGCTCTGCTCCGTCGTTGAAGGCTGTTGGTTGCTCCTGTCAGATAGATCTCTAGACTGACTATCAAGCGCCCTGCGTCGATCATCCACCATCTTCGCGAGGCCGTTAACGAATCTATCCCTCGCCTTCTCTTCCGCCGTTCCCTTCCAAACGGTCGCCAACGCTCGTAGGCTCTCCACGCGACGGGCAGCTGCCTCGATCCCAGCCATCTTCCCGCCGTCGCTGTCCAGTAATTCCAAGATCTCATCCAGAATTTTCTTGGCAGCTTCCTGGCCTTTCTCCTCCCGACTCTGCGCCTCTGGTGACGTATCCGGGGCCGAGACTGAGATAAACGAGGAGGCTATGGACGTCTCAGAGGGCGGGAGGGGCCATTCCATAGCTTCTCCAAATGTACGAACGACGTCCTCCAAATGTGCTCGTACCTGGTTCAATGTGCGTAGTTTGATGATATATTCTGGATCCTGCGGACCTGGCTTCCCATTATTCAGATGATAATTCTGGTTCTCGGCTGCCGGGGACGTGGAGGATATATCTGACAAGACTCGTGGGGGTTCTGCACTGCTATCGCCGGTCTCCAGACCCTCGGGGACAAATTTCACAATATCATCGTGTAGAGCGTCAGTCAGGGTATCCGATAACCCGATTGCTTCTCCTCGCAGCACCTCAACTTCATAAGCCAGGCGGCTACCACTTCTTAGAATTTCATCTGTAAGACTGTTCAATGTACCAGAGTGTCGCACGTTCGAGGCGTTAATCTGCGAGAGTAACGACTGGACCTGCGAGGATAGTTCCGCAATGGGGACAGACCCTGGTGCTCGCGACGCATGCGGTTGCGACGAAGCCAGGGTCAACGGAGGAAGGGCATTGTTGAGGAACTCGGCTGGATCAAAGGATGGATCGGCAAAATTGGGTGAGGTAATGTCAATTGGAGTGCGTGTTCTGGCGGCAGCCTGCTCATAGAGGGCCTGGGAAGTCATTAGGCGCGACCGGCTTCTGGGAATAGGTGTGACTCCAGCACAGAGGCATTGACAGGCATTCCCTGTTGGGTTTTATGGGGGTCCGTGGGGCATCGGAGAGCTCGCTGCGTCAGTTAGATAAAGAACACAGTTGCCAGTATGTCCTCTCCCTGTTGTCTTTCGTCAAACGTATCTACTATCGAGGCGACTCTGGATCGTACCCCAGGATAGTTACCGCCTTCGGCAATATTTGTGGCTCGTTAGTGTTAATGCCTGAGGCAGTAAATATACATTGCCCTACAAAGTACAGGGTACACCGTGCTGCTACTATTAACTATGAAGGTTTGTCCAACAAAATTTTCTGGTGGATAGAAAACAAGTAGCAAATGTAAATGGGATTATTAAATCTGTTTCCAAAAAGCAAAAACATCCAACCAAATAGCAAAGCGGGTATCGTCACTAGAAATTACTAGCAAGTAGGTATTAAGCAGCGTCGGGAACATCGACGGGGGAATCAATATCAAAGGGAGATCAAAGACAATGTATAGGGTGCGCTAAAGCGCAGGAGTACCAGCAATTGATAACCCGCTGGTAAAAATCATTATTTCGGAGGAGATATCGAACTGCCGAGGTCACTCAACAGGGCGAACATTCATATAGTCTCAACCATTCGCGCATTCATGGCTTGCTGGAAACCATCTTGCGTTTCCAATGGTTTGCTAGATCCCTCCCCGGCGTTGTTGGCAATTTCCTGCATGACGGTCTGGTTCATTGCAGGCAGGAAGATGACCTTGCTATTAGCGGTCTTGGCCATGGATTGCATTGCCTCTAGGTAGCGAATCTGCATGGCAGGAGCGGAAGAGAGGATATCGGCGGCCTAGAAAAAAAAAACAAATTAGTTTGGTTTATATGGTATGCGGGGATGGGTACGATAAGAGGTCCATCATGGCTTACCTGGCGCATGAGTTTGGCGGATTCCACTTCAGCTCGAGCGGCAATGACCTTGCTCTCACCGATCCGCTTGGACTGAGCTGCCATGGAGAGGGAATCCTGCAGGTCATCGCTGAAGATGATATCTTTGATGAGCATGGACTCAACCATGACACCCCAGCCGGTAGCCACCTCCTCGATGATTTCGGAGGTTGACTGAGCAATTTCCTCGCGTCGTTCAATCACGTCCTGTAGGACGCGGGCACCGATGACATGGCGTAGAGTGGTTTGGGTACGCTCGATTAGCGCCTGTCGTATGTTGGCAATACCGAAGGCAGCCTTGTGTGGATGGGTGACTTGGTAGTAGATGACGGAGGTCAGATTGAGAGTGACATTGTCCTTGGTCATGCAGACCTGGCGGGGAACCTCGACAATCTGGATCTTGACGTCAACCGTCCTGAGATTCTCGCTGATGGGGTTCACCTTGACAAGGCCAGGGTCGACGGCACGCTCGAAGCTGAAGTTGGTCAGTTTCGGGTTTGTGCTTCCAGGACCAAAAAAATCAGAGCATTACGAACCGTCCAAATTTTGTGATCAGGCCAACTTCGCCTTGGTTGACAGGCTTGAAGGGATTCGGACAGCAGATGCAGCACGGAATGGCGCCTAGGCAGCCAATGAATTCTCCGAGACCGTGCACTGGAGGGATATCCTTTAGAAGACAGGGCCAAAGAAGGGGGCGACGGGTGCACTTACTGAATCCCGCGTACCATCCATGCGCAGCAGGGTCATCAGAAGCATGCTGGACCTGCGAGGCATATCTGGGCTGCAAATCCTCCAGACGTGCTGGTTGCACGTGGACCAGGCCGTTCTGGGAATTGAGCTGACGGACTGCGGGGCCCTGAGCTGGTGCCTTTCCATTTGCCTGGGGAATGGTGGTAGGGTTAGACATGTTGACAGTGTTTCGTTCGAGGTTCTTGGGAGTTCTTTGGTAAAGTATGGAGTGATGTATGTAGGAAACTAGTGGCGCCGAAGGCAATGAGAAGGAAGAGGATACAGGATGATGGGTTCGAAGGAAGAGGACAGAGACAATGGATAATGGTGATGCGAGATGATAAAGAGACGGTGACGACGATGATTACGATAGGGGGGTGGGATTAAATAAGGCAGCATCCTTGCTAGTTACGGAGAGCCATGGTAGGTGCAGGCGGCTGTCACTGCCGGGCGTTGGGTACTGCATACTACGCTATACTCCCACGGGTCCACATATTCCAGTAACTCCACAGCACTGCCCGTCTCTGCACCCGCAAGGCACCGCTGACATCACGGCGACAACTAACTATTAATTACATCCTCCCAAGGCAGGGATATCATGTCATCCTCTCAGCCACCGTCATTTGTTGCGCCCGACCTATAAATGCTCGGGTTCTCACCGTTATTATTGACTTGCCCCAGACTACCCATATTACAGTTATTCCCCCTCCACATGATTGCTTCTAAGCCCTCTACTGCGCACCACAACCGTCCTCCATTGACAGTGATGATTGATCAGATCAGCCCTTTACAATTGTCTAATTACATTCAGCCTGTCTGCGCAATTTAATTATGGCGGATTCTGTCCCGGTTGGAATGTTTGCCTACCAGCACAGCACATACTAATTAATACGTCAGGGATCAACCGATAATCCAAGAGCGAACTGCGAGTATTCCATTCCATGTATCTAGTCTTTGTAGTTATCGGCAATTTGATCCGATTTCAGATCATGGATAACTTTCTGTCTTGTTACCATGTGGGTTGTTCGGTTTGTTTTCGATGGTGGTGGTGGTCACAGCCTCCAATGCCAGGTGGACGAGGCGAATATATACAGTAGATCCGAAGCCAACCAAGACAAACCCAACCAGGTCCAATGACGAAAAGTGACATACAAATGGCTCGATAATCCCTCGAACAGACGGTAAGTGACCACTTTCTATACCCGACACACAACCCGAGACGGATTCCAAGATATACCCTTCGAGGCGCAGCGCTGCTAAGAGATAAAACGGCATGCACGGCATCGAATACGACAGTTGAATCGGCCAACTACGGACTACTCCAGCCATTAGAACAGCATTAGAATCTGCACGTCAAACATCAAAGCCATGGATCGAACCAGGGTAATTATTATTATTATTATAATATAATAATAATAATAATACCAATGGAGCGAGAGTTGGATACAATGACAAACAACGGCCGGGATGCCAACAGCATACGAGGAATTGTTACACTGTGAATATGGCACTGGTTGTAGGAGACCCACTAATACACATCATTGTCATAAAATATAGAATGCACCCAGGTGTATGGAATCCATAGGGTCAACGGTCGGTTCGACCATACAACCATGGTGGTGGTTGACTGCCATGTGGCCATGCGTTGCTTCCAGAAGGTAAACAGGTTTCTTTACTGCTCCTTTCCTTTATGAATCATTAAAAGCAGAAGCTTAACATAATAAGAAGCATCATTGGTCTAGTGGTAGAATTCATCGTTGCCATCGATGAGGCCCGCGTTCGATTCGCGGATGATGCATCTAACAACTTGCATTTCTTTTTTTTCTCCAATCCTTTTTTTGCATAGTATTTGCCCATGATGCCTTCGAGAACCAGATGTAGCTCCTTTTTGTACTATCTCTCCTCTGAACCACCACCCTAAACCATTACTGGACTAGATCTATGCCTAGCCGTGAAATGAGCAAACCCCCTTCCTATTTCCATCAGCCATTGTCTGCGTAGAACAGATCTGATCACACTGGAAGATGAGGAGCCCATATCATGGATGTTCCAGCTTCATACCCATATAATGTAGCAATTACTTCATACCATCTGAAACATGTCATCATATACTCATCATGTCTGCCCGCCATTCACACTAGACATGAGAAACATACAACAAAAAGATAATGAGCATGCCCTTAAAAAGCCATTACCCTCACATACGATGGTCAGAGTCCGCGACCTACCATGGCAATTGCAGTGGGGTAGGCAAGTCCTTGCCTAGAGTGACATCTGCAGTGCCAATATCCCTATGGAGCTCATCATGGTCAGCCTGTACACATCCCAATTGCCGCATTGAAGAACATACCCTGCCCCCCTTGGTGCCCAATATTGACCCGTCTTGCTGATGTCAAAATCATCAACGAATGAGATGAGCGATTTCGCTGCTTCGTCAGGCGTTACGGCTGTATACCAAAGCGTCAGACCCCCCTACTCAAGAAACCCGACGGTGATATGTTACTCACCACCACCAGACTCCCAGTATTTATCAAAACCGACGCCTTTGGTCATCTCCGTCCTCATGAAACCTGGGTGCACCAAACCGACTGCTATTCCCTTTTCTTTGAGATCGAGGCTGAGAAGTTTCCCCACCATGTTCAACGCTGCCTTGCTAGCATGATGGCCATAGTTACCCCCTCCTTCTTTCTCGTGGCGCAATGTAATACTGCCACTCTCGCTACTAACGAGAATTACCTTACTCCCTTCATGCAACAAGCCCGCCTTGACAAGACTGTGTACAACGAATACAGGACCAATGGCTGAGGTGGTATACATTTTCACCTCCTTGTCCCAATCTGGAGAGTCAAAGGTCTCGAAGCCAAAATAACCGGCCGAGATGATCGCTGTCGAGAGCTTTGTCGCTGAGGGGAGTTGCGAGACAAGTTTCTGGCCGACATCAGGCTGGGAAACGTCGATATTGGTCAGCCAGGATACGGAAGGCCCTGAAGGGTGGAAGTTCTCCGGTGCAGAGCTGGATCGCGTCGTTGCGAAGACATGCATCGATGGATTTGTCGCATAGAGCTTGATCAGGGAGGCCCCGAGGCCTCTTGTTGCACCGAGGATGAGAACGTTGGACATTGTTAGTTTCTCACTGTTCTTTGATGAGATGAGTTGCTGTTCATGGAATGCCCCTGGCCGCTTCAAGAGCGATATTTATCGATAGGCTTGACGCAAACGGAATGCTGCATGACGTAAGGGAAGATTCCTGTTGAATCACAAGACACCGATAAGAGTGCACTCGCTTGCAGCTGCATGGTGTTTCACTGTTTTAGCTGAAGCAGTCAGCACCTACCTCAGTAGACCAAGCTTTTCTGCTTCTGCAGGAAGACTCCTACTCATACGAACTCCTTCATAGTGTGATGGATAGATTGCAGTCACAGCCACGATTCCGGAGCTATCCATACCCCCCGTACTTCTCACGCTATAGGATACCGCATTCCAAGAATAGTATCATTTCCTACGCTCCAAGACTGGAATAGAAGTGCGCTCCGGGTACGCTATGTGTTCACATACGCTTTATATGCCATGGCAATGTCACACTATTCTTTGCTGTTCCTGTCCACGAGCCTGCCCTGAGTGTTGCTGCCGCCCGCCGTAGTGCATTGTCTTATCTCCGCCGAAAGCCATTTCTCTCCTCCGGCCATTTCTCACACGAACTGGAGCTGGTCTCCAACATTCTGCGGAGTCTGATAATGAGTCCAATAATTAGCAATTTCATCCTCCAGGTGAAAAAGTGTCGCTCTGCATTCGACAAGCTCAGAAAGGAATATATACAGGGTGATGAGTTGCTGAGGTACAGCGCATTCACTTTCGCATTCGCATTCGCATTCCTTACTCCTTACCATTCTTTTTATGCCCCGCTGCTGATCCCCCATACTCTGGCAGCATCGATAAAGCCAAAGCGCAATTGATTCCCACAGCCTCACCCTGGGATATCCTTCCTGCTGAAATCCAGATCGAGATATTCGCTCATTGCAGCATCGGGGATCTGTTACCGTTAAAACTGGTCTGTCGAGCATTCTACCAGCTTCTCACCCTGCACGAACATGAAATTAGTCGGCAATATCTTCGTCGACGTCGACATGGGTCACTCCCCTCTCCGATAATGCCTGGGACGACGCATACTCGAAATCCACAAGACGATGTAATTCTTCTTTCGGATCTTTTCCCCCCTTCGAAGAGTGCCAAGGGCGGTTATTTATACACATACAGATATTTGCATAGCTTGCGACGTCGGCAAAGAGTATGCTCCAAGCTATGCTATTATCTTGCAGATCGCGTGGTGGATAGGTTCTTTCGCACCGAGTCGGCGTTTGTAAAGTCCAAATTTCCCTCGAAGAGTGAGCGGAATGCTCTCTTTCAACGTGGGGTAGCCTGTATATTGTTTAATTTCACCCCTCTCATGTAGGTCACAACCGAAGCCAAAAAAGGGGGAGAGAGGACGTCTTTCTGAACACATTTCTGATGGATTACCACCAAATCGCAGGTACTATACGTTATATTTCCTCGAGACATACTCCCTCGCCAGGCGGGAGCACAGAAACAGTCTCCTACGGGCTTTCGAAACCGGGCGTCTGCCAGTACCCATTCCTGCGGACATTCGGAAAACCATGTACCGAGAACTGCAAGCGAAGATACTCCGGTCACCCCCCTTCACAGACACCAACACTCTCATCTCCACACATCATTGCATGCACCTCCTTGTTTCATATCTACGACATACGGTACCCCCAGACGAGTCTGGAGAGTTCGACGACAGCTGGATTGGGTCTTTACTCACGGTGTCGCCGTTATTGCGAATAGTGGAATTCTTCTCCGCGGAGATAGGCGACGGTGGTAGTCAGCGCACGCAGCGGAAGGATTTTATGTACAATTTTCATAATGACATAGAAACTAACGAAAGAGACGATATGAATTCATTGGTTTTCGAGCCCAACCCCAACAGCCATATCCATGCCTCAGTAAGTGATGTCTGGTTCGACGTTGCCAGGGAGGAATTGGGGTCGAGGAAGGCCGTGCCGCACCACATGGAGAAGGTCTGGGTTTGGGAGGGCGTGCCCATTCTCTTTGGGTGTCGGCATTGTGGTGATGACTCCAGGGGTTGGTGTGCTTAATGCCGTGGGAGAGTCTATACTATACGTGGGAAATGTTGAATTAGAATAATCAGCATAGTAGCCAACAATATGGGTTAATAATACCATTTTAGTCTGCTTGTAGCTCCTGGGTGTGTAGGAAGATGCTGTTATGGCTGATGGAATTCTCCATCATGCTTGGAGTATGTTAAGGGCTATACTCATTGATAGAGGATCCTATAGCTCCTTCACAATAACATAATGGCATTTACCTCACGTACTGGTAGTCATCTTCTGGAGATATCCGGTGCTTTTCACTGCATCCCTTTCTATTAATTTCCATCATCATGGGATATTCCACAGTGAATATGTATAGGCATACACTCTCCTATACTTAAAGCTCCCCTTGTTGTTTCTCCTTCTCAACCTCACATTTATTCTCTTGTCCGTGTCCGCCACTAGTTATGAAATAGGAAAATTCCCAGAAAGAGGTACAGCCATCCCCCATTCTGAAGAAGCTCTGACAGCCAATCTAGTTAGGGTTAAAGGCCCTTTGATATTCCTCTTCAGCAAATCACCCTGGCTTGTCTTTCACAAGCATGAGACCTGACACCCACACCAATTCATCTCCATCCCCTGATACAGGCCATGCTTGCAAATCCAACCCACATGAGATATACGGCAAAGATATAGATCCGGAACAGCTCGAGTCCATACTGGAAGATGAACCCTGGGTGTATCTAGCTCATCCCGATACCAATCCATGCTGGAATGGTGGCAAACACGCAGGTCTCAAAGACACGCTCGTCATCACCGTCATCGATACCTGCTGTGAGGAAGGCACTCCGTAAGCCAACGCCACCGGGGCTATTTCGGTAAGGATTCCGTGTACAACGGCAGTCCACTCGTCGGAAACATTATCCCGACAGCCCACGTTGCGGAATTAAGTGCTGGGATTGTTGCGCCAGCTATCGTTGCCCAGAAAAGGGAATTCGTTGCCGAGGTAAGACCCCTGTGCAGAGTCGTGATCAAGTCTGATTCCGAGTACCTCGTCAAGAGCATGACTGAGGACGTGTTTAAATGGAAACAGAACGGGTACATTGATGCTGACGGCGCTCCTGTGGCTTGTGGGATGCTTTTCGAGTCCATTGATAAGGGCGTGGTTCAATGAAACAAGAAGGGCATTGAGGTACTCTTTAAGCATGTTCCTAGGAAGGATGTCAGAGAAGCTGCGGAGCTGGTGGATTGTACTTTGAATGACGATGAGCTCTGTGGGGTTATCGGGAATTTTCTATGAGAATTCTGGCGATAGCACTCAAGATGACTCTTTCATGTTCCTGTTGCTGGAGAGAGGCGAGTGGTTTTGATGGAACTGGCGAATATCATACACATATGTGTAGTATGCTCGCATCGAGATAATAATGTTTCTTTAGGTTACAGACGATAACAACACCAGGCTACTAGTAACGATGTACAGCGCTGTAGTTCGTCTTACCTAACTAATAGACGAGCCGACCTACGGAGTAGGCCACTAAAATGCATTCATGCCAAGCCATAGGTATGCCTCACAACGCGATTATTATCAAAATGATAAATTCAACTTCAAATCCAATCCACAATATACAACATCAATAGTACCAACATTATCTACCTTCTCCATTCCAAAATGGTGTATTGTACATATGGATTTGTATTGTTGCTGGATTCGTAGGCTTCATATGCTTCTCTTCTATATTTACTCGCCATTTCGTGTAGAAGCTAGAAATATCGCGCTGACAGGGCAGGCTTGACGTGAGTGCTGAATAGTCAGGTCAGCCGAACCTGGGTTCAACTTTCTAGCTCGGCCCACCTAGAAAAGAAGTCGGCGACCTAGAGTACCCCTCAGCACGAGGTAGAAGTTCAACTTGTTCAACACACCTAGGTGGGCGGAACTTTTTCTAGGTGAGCCGAGCTAGAATACAGGTCAGCTGACCCCCCTTCATAACTAATGGATAGGCGCATGTATGGTCATATTACTAGGTAGGCCTGCCTGTGCCGTGAGATAGGTAGCGAGGGCGGTCTAGGACGGCAGTACCTCACGTGTACTAACAATAACTAAGAGGGTTCACTCAAATTCAGGCAGATTCAAGGGTTCTTTCCAATGCCGAGGTATCGTCTGTACACGGACTGAATGTGTGAGTATAACTAGTTAATAACTAGTATACAACTAATGACAAATATACGAATTTCTTTAGATCCGCCATCATTTACTGACGGGTGACAGAATGCTTGACAGGTGCTAGAATGCAGTTGGGGAGGAGAGTTAAATAAGAACAAATTGTATTCGATACTAGTACTAAGTATTTAAAAAATACTGTAATAGTATAAGGTGAGCTGACCTGTGCCAAGAAAACAATAGACTGTTGATCAGCTGACCTCACTAGCGTAGGTCAGCTCGGCTAATCCATGGGCCGACTGTACAGGGTGTTCAACTTTCTACTCCGCAGGTGGCCCGAACTTTCTCCCAGCTTGGCTGACCTACTAGTTTGCAGTGTTTGCATGTCTATCCAGTAGACGCGGTCCTGTTCGCGTTCTGCATGAAGAAAGCCATCCATAAGTGCCGGAATGATGACTTTCTAACAATATCGCTCTAGAACAAAAAGAGCCCAGAAAATAAAAAGAAGGGGTGAATTCCCTTAATATTGGCAATGGCCGCGCCAATACCCCGACAGCTACTGAATACTTCCTGGACATTGCATCGTCTCTCACCTCTCCATCATGGCAAGGAGTTTCAGACCCTTCTTAACAATCCAATTGCGCTCAAGACATACGCAAAACGACTCCGGGATCATCTCACGGGGGATATGATTGGTGGAATCAATACCGGGTTCAATGATACAGCTACTACTGACGATGACGCGCTCTCCAAAACCGGTGCCTTGAAGGAATGTACCTGGGAGACCATCTCGGGGTGGTCGTATTTGGACGAGAATGCACCTTCAAATCTCAGCGTCGGGTCAGATTCAATTCTAGACCCACCTGACCATGGTCGGGTGTCGGGTATTCTCATAGCCCTGGAGTATGAATTCACCATCTACAAGGCGGCCTTACTTGCACCACCACCACGGTCAGAGGAAAGCGAAGGATCCGGAAATCGTCCAGAACGGCGAAGCAGAAGGAAGACTGAATCTACTTCTACCTCTACCTATCTCCCACTACTCCTAACAAGATTCCCGAACCCCCTCCGACAGACCTTCATCTCATTTCTATCCGCCAATTTCGACACGTATTGCTCCCTCCTACGTCTTCCGTCGAGTTTCCTCTGCGCGGGACTCGAGACGTATCTGAACGTACTGATATCAGACGGTTCCGCAATGTCCCAGTCTGTTCTTGAAGAAGTGGTAAAGGAAGTACAGCTTACTTTGAACTTCTCGCCATCGGTTGCCCCGGCGCTTAGGACGCTCAACATCGGCGTCCCTCGCGAGACGCTGATTCACTTTATCACTAGCGGTGGTCAAGTGGAGTCAGGTGGCAACGTGAGGAATCCGTTCTTGGGACGTCTTAATGCCTATCTTGAGACGCATCTCGCCATGAAACTCGACTTGACGGACTTTTCTGATGGTCAGTCTTTAGTGAGGAAGCAAGTACGACTCTCAAAAGTTGCCTGTGGGGCTTTTGTTCTTGGAACTGAAGGGAAAATGAAATTGGTTGCTACTACAAATCTTGACTCGGCGGGTGACACTTCAAAGGTAAGAGATAGGGAGCAGCTCATTCTGCGAGCCAGTGAAGGATTGCTCCGTGCTGCCATATCAAAGGCTATTGCTGGTGAACGCTAGAAGATGCAGTTTACGCCTTGACGCTTGATCGAGAACTTGACTGAAAAAATATTTCGTACATTCGTGATCTAATATGCATGGATGGCATCGATGAATGCCCATCTTCCGTACAGTCATCATCTATATATATACCGGTGAAATAAAGGCTAGAGGCTTGGTAGAAAGGCACTGGGAGCCAGCTTTTCATGAAATTGGTCAATCATCAACCGGGCAAAGAGAGAAGCTTCATTATTCCAAAACACGATCTTCGGTTTCGGCAAGTCGGATGGCCTCATCAACACTGCGAGCAAAGTGTGTCATACCGCCACAGCATTCAACTATGCCGCTTCGCTCAAACATGCATTGGACTTCGGTATTGGGAACCCGACAGAAAAAGACCCTCGTCCCCTGATCCACGTACGCCTTCACAATCTCGTACAGAACTTGCGTCCCAGAACCGTCAATGCTGGTGACTCCGTGAACATCGAAGATGATGTTCCTATTATGCTCCGGAGGACGCATGCGGGGGGCAGAAGGATGTATTCGGTTGGAGCCGTAAAATTCCAACCGGCGAAGACGGTTCTTGAGGTCACCCGTGTTGGCAAATGTCAGAGGCTCGGGAATTTTGGCGATGAGCGCGCCCTCGATCAACTGCACACTATCTGGGTGAAGCTCTGCGTTCTCGAATTGGTCAGGCGTGCCGGAGACTCTTCCTAGAATCTGAATTCGAGGTTGCGTGGAATGGCGAATAAGGATCAGGATAGAAAGACCAATCCCCAGTGCAATTCCGAGTTCAAGGGAATAGAAAATAGTGGAGGTGAAAATGAGGAACATAAGAGTTAACTCTGTCCATCCGCGAATGCGGACGAAGAAGGCCAAATCCCCGGGACACTCCTCAATAAGGGAGATGGCGACAACAGAGATCATGGAGCAAAGGACTGCTTTCTGCAAATCGTTAGTGTATGTTAAGCAGTAAGCTAGAGTAGAAACATGGATGGAGGATAACACCCACAGGAAGATAATATAAATACGGTAAGAACAGCTTGATGCAGATGAAAGTGATTATACTTAAGAGGATACTGCTCATAGGGGATCGTGCTCCTGTTGAAGCATTCACCTTGCTTCTGCCGTATCCACCAAACGCAGGGAGGGCCATAAAACAACCACCCACCACGTTCGAAACGCCAAGTGCCACCATTTCTCTGTTAGCACTGACACCCATACCTCTAACGCCATCTTTGCGGCCCTCGCCTAGACCCTTGGCAGCGACGGACGACTCGAAAAACCCGAGGAGCGCAATGCTAAACGAAGTACTCATCGCGGTCCGCAAATGCTTCATGTGGCTGAACGGCCACTCAAACGCAAAGACTCCGTTGCCACTATCCTTCATGGGACCAAGAATCCCCAACCCCTTGGCATCCCAGCCGAACTTCCACGTCAATACAGCGGAAAAGATCACCACCAGAAATCGGTCCGGGAAATAGGCCACTTGGGGATATCGCGGCTCGAGGAATCTTTTCAGATACCTATATGACAAAGAGGTTAATGTTCTATCATCCCAAAACAAAAGAATAGTTTGAATGAACCTACCGGAACACCATAATAATGGCGAAGCTGCCAAATGATACAGCAGTAGTAAGGCTATGGGAGTAACGTGCATTTTCAAAAATGAAAACCAGCTTTTGCACCGTACTTCCATGAAGTATACCTCCAATCTCTTTCGCCCTTTGCGTCAGGCCCATTTGAGTGACGAGCTGATCCACAAAAATCACGAAACCAATGGCAGTGATAAATCCCCTCAGAAATGGCCGGCTTAGCACATTATCCAGGAATCCGAGTCGACTCAGGCCAGCTACCAATACCATTGATCCCGCCAGGGCAGTCGCTACTCCCACAACAACGGAATTTGCGGCATCATCTTCTTCATCCGAATGCCCCTGACGAACACTCGATTTCACAATAGTGCCGACAAGCAGAGACCCAGCAGCTTCTGGCCCCACTACCAGCAACGGCGAGCTCCCTAGGATGGCGTATATAAACGGACAGAATACAAATGAATAAAGCCCATTTATGGGTGGAGCATGAGCTAGGTTTGAAGACAGAGATAGAGCCATTGGAATGTAAATGGATGCCATCGTGAACGCAGCTACTATGTCGCCGCGGAGAAAGGACCAGCGATACTGGGTGATCCAATTCACAAACGGAACATAGTATGAGAGATATCTGCCAAGGGGATGAGGTGGTTAGTCTTCATGATAAGCCTGGCAACAGGCGATAAATCGGAGAGTGGTTTTGCGAATCCAGCGAGAGTCAGAACTTACTGGGCCCTATTGTTTGGCGAAGGCCCCTCTTCATCAAATGAAGACTTCAATTGGGAAGCGGTCTCTGGATTCTTCGGCGAATAGAGTCGAGCATGAGTTACTTCATCCAACGAACTTCTTTGCCCATTATACGCAAACCCTTCATCTGATTTAATGCTGGCAGGTCGTGGGGAAAATGTGCCATGGTCGCAGTATCCTGAGCCGCATAGGGGTTCGCGACGATAATAAGATTGCAAGAGACGAGTCCTACAATCGGGATCTCTGCGTGCAGATTCCACCAAATTCCCAGCATGGCCTTGTTCAGCAACCTGGGCGGGTGCTTGTTCCGGAACCGTTGAATAGCCTGTAGAAGGCGAACCCCGGAAGACGTCAGATATCCGGCCTAGCAACGAACGAGGCAGATCGGGGCCCGACATATTGACCCGAGAAAGCGCACGGTCTCGAAGAGAATAAGTCCGCGACAGGTACCCCCTGATTTAAATAAAGGGAATGGCGACTGTGACACTATAAATCCCGGACAACTGTCTGATAGTGCTTCGTAAGGCGGTAAACAGCAGCTAGCGGGGATAGATATGAAGCCCGGAGGTAATGCCGAGATCAATGAGTTTCATAAATGATCAGTAGTATGCTGTGGTTTAAAATTGCTAGTGACTCCCTTCCATCTGATCTCATAATACCAGGAGAGAAGTACGCCAGAGGCATCGCTTGAGAATTTTTTGACACTGTTATTGCTGTTTTGCAGGAGGGAGGAAAGTCGAGCCTTTGAAGAGGCGCCCGGGCGGTGTGTATCTACACGTGACTGTGAGTCATACACGTGACCTGCACGGGTTCCCAAGTTTTCGATTCTTCCAAGTCCCGCCACAAAGAGTGTCTCGAGTCTCTTCTCCATCTCACTGCTAAAGGCCACTTGCTTGGCAAGCCGATATCGTCTCCGAATACCAACGATTATTATAACTCACCATCCTTTTCTTGCCTCCGTCCACGTATTACATACAGTCGACGCCCGAGATTGGCGCAACCCCGCCAAGATGTCGTTAACAAATTGTCGTTTCTACGAGGAGAAGTACCCGGAGGTTGATAGCTATGTCATGGTCAATGTCAAGCAGGTATGTTATAAGACCACATTCGAATGACCTGGGGAATATCTCTGATCGTGATTTTGCTTCTTTTTTGCAGATCGCCGAAATGGGTGCGTACGTGAAGCTACTCGAATATGACAACATCGACGGCATGATCTTGCTCTCGGAGCTTTCTCGAAGACGTATTCGTAGTATTCAGAAACTCATTCGTATCGATCGCAACGAGGTGGTTATTGTGTTGCGTGTCGACAAGGAAAAAGGTGAGAGATGATGGTTTTTGGACTGCGGGAGTCTCGCGCTGACTCAATTTTTTTTTCAGGATATATCGACTTGTCAAAACGACGAGTTTCTCCAGAAGATGTTGTCAAGTGCGAGGAGAGATACAACAAGAGCAAGGCTGTCCATTCTATCATGCGCCATGTCGCAGAAGCTACCAAGACCCCTCTTGAAACGCTATACCAGCAGATCGGATGGCCGTTGAACCGGAAATACGGCCACTCCCATGATGCCTTCAAACTATCTATTACGTAAGACGCATCTCTCTCTCTCTCCCTCCATTGTGTTTGACGGTGGACTAATGCCATTCAGGGATCCTGAAGTGTGGGACGGGATCGAATTCCCCAGCGAGGCTGTCAAGAAAGAACTGTTGCAGTATATTAGCAAGAAACTCACGCCTCATCCGATTAAGGTTCGTGCCGATATCGAGGTCACCTGCTTTGGTTATGATGGAATCGACGCTGTTAAGGATGCCCTTCATGCTGCCGAAGAGAACAATACTGCAGACAGCCAGGTCAAGGTTCGGCTGGTGGCTCCCCCGCTGTATGTCCTAACAATCCAATGCCTGGATAAGAACAAGGGCCTCAAGCTGCTGGAGGAGGCAATCGAAAGGACTACCAAGAAGATCAAAGAGTCCAATGGTAACTGCATTGTCAAGATGGCGCCCAAGGCTGTCACGGAGCATGACGATGCTGCTCTTAAGGAGCTTATGGAGAAGCGCGAACGGGAGAACATGGAAGTTAGCGGAGACGAAAGCCTGTCGGAGAGCGACGAGGGTGTTCCGGAGTAAATGGCGGACGATTGCGCCCCTACGACGTTTTCGAGTTGACGAGTCATAGACACATCGTTCAAGCAGCACTTTCTGGAGCGGAGCAATGCACAAAAGTTACAGTGGATTGAAATGTAAAAGTTCCATATGACGCGACGATTGAAAAAGGAAGACGGTTTAATGCGATCACTTAGCAGGCTCGGAGTGAGAAGAAGAAGCACCCATGAAGTGAAATACTTTGTTCGATGCCGGCCAGTGCCTCAATATCTTTCTAGTATGCCAATCGGGAAATTCGGTTTCTGGTGGTATCCTGCTGCTCTTGCGCGAGTCACCGAATACCGGGAGCTCAATCCAGAGAGGTCCGTGTACATACGTCTTGTCTAATTGCAAACCGAGTATCTGATAGAAGCCAGAGGCGCCACCCGACCAGTTATTATTGGGAATATACCCAGCGCTAAATTTTTCTTGTTCTTTATGATGCACTCTAGTTTCGATGCCCCAGGCAACCATTGATATACTACTACAAGTAACTCCGTTGATTCCCGATTAGACCATGATTTATTCACCATCCAGTCAAAATAGTAATACCGTGAAGCATAATTCTAGAGACAAGGCTGCAGTAAACAGATTCCTTGACAATAAGACGTTATCGCGGGGCAGTCTCAGTTGCATCCTGCTTTGAAGGCTGCTCTTCTATGTTGATTTCGCATGCCGATGCTCGAAGCAGTCGAATTCATAGACGAGAAACAATGTCTTCCACCGGCATCGACCCTGACCTGTTCGTAAAAGCAGATGCGTTCACAACCAAAAACTATCGAGACGTGTATCCAGCGATTGACCCTTCTCGACCCGACCTCTCCTAAGCCGGGAAGGTGATCATCATTACTGGTGGGAGCTGTGGGCTTGGATGAGTAAGTATGTTCCTCTAAGCGTGTATGGAGAAGGGGAAGAAGCTATTGTTTCCAAGCCCACTGAGCCCAGCGCCTTAGACATATGCGGCATCATTCGCTCGTGCCAATGCAGCTGCCATTGTCCTCATTGCCCGGTCCGCTGTGAATTTGGCTGAGACTGAGAGACTCATCAAGGATGTAAACCAGTCGACACAGATGCTTTCGATCGCCGTGGATGTCAATGATGAACCGGGAATCAAGGATACTTTTCAGGAAGTGGTGCGACGGTTTGGGTTCCTCATGTCCTCATAAACTCTGCAGGGATGGGCCTCTTTGAACAAAATCGCCGATGAGGACTTGGATGCATGGTGGAATGTCCAAGTCAGTCTTTTTCTCTTCCCAATACAATGGATCAAGCTAAAAGGTGAAAACTGGCGAAGGAAGTAAACGTCAGAGACACATACATCGTCACCAAAGCCTTCTTGAAAGCGACAGGGTCGAAGCCAGCAGCTCCGACAACCATAATCAACTTGACTTCAGCAGCAGACATCTACATTCCTGAGGGCATGAGTTCCTATTCCCTTAGCACACTGACCGTCATCCATTTCACGGCTTTTCTGAAAGCCGAATCCCCTGATATCACCTCTGTCAGTATCAACCCGGGTGTGGTGTCCACGGACATGGAAGAGCTGGAGGCATGGAAGGAGGAGCTTATTCAGAGTAACCTGTTGACTATTTGTCTTCGAGGGAGGTTTGGAGAGTAGTTTGCTTACTCGTAGCAATTGCAATTGATCTGGTATTCAGCATCATTCATGAGCATTATGAACATCACCGAGCAGAGATAAGGTTCAATAGTTTGAGTTAATCGACGTGCATGTTTTGCATGGAGAAACACCAGATAAGCTCCCGGCCCTCCATTTCCCTCTCTCTGTCTTGTTTACATCCATCCATTCCCTGTCTCTAACAGTCTTTCTGAATCTGCAGCCATGGTTACCTGGGGAAGCTTTTTCGACAGGGGCAGTTCCCGTCAACGTCTTGTCAATGAAACCCGTCGCTGTACGTCATCGGTCCCTGTTTGTTTTGGCCTGCAGCATTGAGAGCTGACCTGACGCTTCCTCTCTTTCTAGTGCTCCCTTCCTATGCTGCCGATTCAGTAGCTTCAACATGCCCTGCACAAGAGGTCACCAAGATTGCCTTGCGATTGAAATACCAGCTTGAACAGGTTATCCCTTGCGAGATCCAGGAAGACGCCATTACCGACCCAAATAGCCGCATCATCACGAAGGATGTGATCCAGACTACGAAGGAGGCAGGCGGCGACGGTGACTGTCGAGCTTGTGTAGTCTACTGCCTGCTCGTATGCTTGCGATGGTTCAAAATGCAGGCACTAGTGGAGTTGTGGGATTCTGAAATCCACGAGTCCCGAGCAGTTGCGTGCGAAGTCTTGGCGAAGAAAATGTATTGCCCATATCCTGCACAAGCCAAATTTAGCTAATACTTTGTTTTGCACAGAATAGAAGACGAGGACGACCAGGATTTTCTGCTCAAAGAATGCCTGCTCAAACGCTACTCTGTCGTCAAGGACGGGGAAGAGACAGTCCCGGTTAATGTCATCGAACGCGCTGTCGACCTTCACGCTCTGAGGGTCATCGGTTCTTCTGGGTATCAGAAATGTATCAAGTATCTCTGGCTAGGATGGTTTGGCCAAGATGACAACAACCCGACTATCTTCATCGAATATCCAGACCGGGCCAACACTAGTTATTGGGCCCATTTCAACCCTGGCCGGATGAGAAGCCCTATCTATCAGAATGTAGTGCAGATATTTTTCTCATTTCTGTATCTGGTTCTGTACACTATTGCCATCAGCACGGTCAACCGCTCGGGGAATCTGGATGTTGTGGAATGGGCTCTCTACACAATGACGGTCGCCTTCATCTGCGACGAAGTAACCAAGGTGTGGAAAGTCGGGCGACATTTCTTCGAGTTCTGGACCGCGTTCAACTCAGCTCTATATTCCATCATTGCGATATCATTTTGCCTGCGTCTCGCTGGCTTAATGCATTCTGCCTCCGAAGGTGATGAGACGAGACGACGACTGAACGAGCTGAGCTACAACTTCCTCGCCTTCTCAGGGCCAATGTTCTGGATGCGCATGATGCTCTACTTGGACTCGTTCCGTTTCTTCGGTGCCATGTTTGTGGTCCTGAGAGTCATGATGAAGGAGAGCCTGATCTTCTTCGCTCTTCTCTTCATCGTCACCATGGGCTTTTTCCAGGCGTTTTCTGGCATGGCCCAGGCCGACGGCAATGACTACGAACACATCACCAGGTCTATCGTCCAGGGAATGGCGAATTCCATCATGCAGAGCCCCGAGTTCGACACTTTCGAGGACTTTGCTTTTCCCTTTGGAATTGCCCTATATTATCTGTTCAATTTCATCGTTATGATTAGTACTTCATTACCATCCCTTCCAGTCCCCTTCCCAACCTTTTACTAATTCTATATAAACAGTCCTCTTGAATATTCTAATTGCGCTATATAACACCGCATACGAGAATGTCTCCGAACGTGCCATCGACGAATACATGGCAATCTTCGCACAAAAGACAATGCAATTTGTCAGAGCCCCAGACGAGAACGTCTTCATTCCGCGTAAGAAAACCTTTAATCATGAATTGGCCCACTTTAATTAATTGATGAATGAACAGCCTTCAACCTCATTGAAATCATCTTCCTAGTCATCCCCTTCGAATGGTGGCTTCCAAAACACCACTACCAGAAACTAAACTACTACGTCATGGGCGCGATCTACTCGCCCCTCCTCTTCATCACGGCCTGGCGCGAGACTCGCGACGCACAGCGTGTCCTCTGGAACCGTCGTCGCGGCGAGGCCGATGATGACGATCTACAGGAATGGGAGCGTATGGCTGAAGGTGTGGACTTTGAAGTCGATGCTGCGTGGCGAGAAGCTGTTGCCCAGTCCCAGCCGAATGTCTGGACCGATCCGTGTATACTGGAGGTTAGGGAATTGAAGGCGCAGGTTCATGCTCTAACGGAGACGGTGAAGTCATTGACGCACGAAGGGAATCGGGCTGTTATTTCCGATGGGGGTGTTCAGGAATGAGGTTAGGATTGATCGAGAGAGGAATGAAAGGGTCAGTGGGTATTGTCATGCTTGCAGTTTGGACTGTCGGAATTTTTCGTTACTTCTTTTTGATTTAATCCGACATGATATGATGTAATGAGACCCGACTGAATTTATATGCTACCGACGCTGTTTTCGGCTATCTACTTGCGAAGTGTAAGAGGTGGATGGCGGTGATAGTGTGAGGAGGTAATCAATATGCCTAGCTCCGCAGACAACATCTTCCCTCAGTGAGCCTGGCCAAATTTTTGCATTTTGGCCGCCAGCCTGCAGTCTCATGGGGGCTTGAAAATGGTTCCCTCTCAAGGTTCCCAACATAAATAGCAGCCTTCGTGCTTCGGGGGCCCCAGAACGCTCTTTCCAATGCAGCAAACAACAACACCTGTATGCAACAAATTTCTTTGAGATATAATCAAAAAAAAAATAATAATAATAATTAATTAATTAAATTAGGGGCTTCATCAGTTGTTCTGTGATGTCTCCCATGCCTTGTCATTCTTAAAAGGCAGATCATTATTCATCCAGCAATAGTGACTGATAGTAAAAGCCCTAAAGACAGTTGATATGGTGGGACCATCTATACTGAGGAAGATATGTGGAGAAATAGTTCCAGTAAGTCACAATTTCTTAGTTTCACATAGCCTTCCTTCTGCTGGTAATCCAAAATGGTCTAGATCCCGCGATTTTGTCAACGAAACCCTCAAGAGGAATATGTATGCCTGTAAATTCCAATTTTATATATATACTTTACCATCCACTCCACAACCCAATTAGTTATGTAGCATCAACACCTGTACCTCCCTGAAATACTATCTCAGCCAGAGAATCAATAAGAAATTGCTGGCCATCAGGACAATATCATGCATGCTGCTTGCTAGATGAGCTGAACCATCAATCCAGCTGCAGTTGTCTGCTATGCTAGTGGAACTAGTGCTTAGCTTACAGAACCTTCTTGCAACCTATTGTAAGTTACAATGAGACTCTGAAACTTTCACCTCAGGGCTGGCCACTTGGCTGGCTTTCTGAAGGCTCATCATCCTCTGAAGGATTAGCTAGATCACAAGAGTCTTAGTGCTCCTGGGAACTTGGCCACATCTCTTGTGATAGATGTTGATCCTGGGAATGGCTAGGCTTTTCCCAGGGACACAGTTATTTCAACCAGATCCAATAAATGGTAGGTGACCAAGCTTTCTCTCCTGCTGAGGTAGCAAGGCCACTCTCGCTGATCGCCCAGGACTTATCCACAGGTGACAGTATCGCATGTGGCCGTGAGAATACTGATTTAATCCATGTATTGAATTTATCTGTACTTGTATATATCTCTCTCGAATATATTCCACCACTGATAGCAAGTACCGTAGAATGTGTCTTATATTACCTCCCAGGAGGTCAGAGTATCATGCAAGAGCACAGCTGTTGGCAGTGAAAAGATAAATCCAACCTGTAATAACAAATAAACAACCTCGGAAATAAATATAAGGTCCCAAATAAACATAGGAAACGCCTCTGGCCATGCAAACATCACTATACGGATTGAGCAAACCCCACGCCAAAATATAAACGCAAAAAAAAAGAAAAAGAAATGAAAGGGTTAGGCTATTAAATAAGTCACAAAAGGGACAGACATCCCGGCCAGAAAATCCCGGGAGGAGTGCCCTTAAAAAGAATGTGGCATCCATCATGACAAAAAGTAATCGGCACGGTTATACACCAGTTGGCAGTAACCGTAATGTAGTGCAAGCAATATATCAGGCCGTCAACTCTGCTACTGCTGGCCAGTGTAGGCGCCTTCAAAATCCAACTCGCCCAACATGCCGTTAACATGGTCGATTTCGTGACTGAGATCTTCGATATTCATAGCAAGGCTGCTAACCTCGTCGAATTTGCGGCGACGGTTCGCGTCTGCAATCATTTCGGAAACGAAGAACTTCTGCTCTTCTAATACGATGAGTCGATCACGGAGGGATTTCTCCTTCTCTTCCAACGCGGAGATCGCGCTGCTATTCTCGCTGTTAAGGCTACCTATGCTAGCATTGGTAGCTGTGCGGTTATGGTTTATAGCTGGCGAGGGTGGATCTTGTCGTCGAGCACCATATGTAGTAGGTACCGGGCCGTTGCTAGAGGATGGCCTAGGAGAATTCGTGCCGTTTGAAAGACCACCGCCGGGTGTAACATGTTTGAGAATTTTGGGAAGCGACTTTAGGGGAAGCATGTGCAGGTGCAGAAAACTGCTAGCTTGTTGATAAATGGCCCTCTGGAGGCGCCGTTGTGTCGGGGAATCTGTTGGCAGGTCACGGATCCGTCTAGCAGCGACATCGTATTGAGCAAAAGAATCAATCAGCCGTTTGCGAACTTTGGATGCCTCTGCAATTTGTGTGGGTGAAGGCGGCCGCACAGGATCCCTAAGGGCAGTATTGTTAGACTGTATAATCAAACATTGGCATTTTGACCATTAGAGAACCATACTGCAAAGCTGCCAATAATTTCTGGAACCTGGGCAGAAGAAGACGTATGCCTCTTTCAAACTGAACCAGATTCCCATACGCCCTCACGTCCGGAGGCCTCCGCATGACATCTGCTTCAAAGTCTCGTCGGTCAAACAAAGTCGACATGCATTCCTTGCAGAGTCTGACATCAATGTTGATTCTACCAACGCCCGTTGTCTTTTCTGCTGTTGCTTTCGATACTTGACCCAAGTCAGCCAAGATCCATGATCCCGCAGCCAGGATACTTACGTGGAGTGACAGTCAGAGGAACCTCGCTAGAACATCCTGTTAGCGGGTCGCCGCATACGACGCGCCCACAAGTTCTGCAGTGGTGTCTCCGGAAGGAGACGCTGGTAAAGTCCTGCTGACAAAACGGGCATTTTGGGACAAGGGAGTCCTCTTCCCAACTAACAATTTTTTGCTCGAGCGCTTTTCGCTGATCAGTATGCCATGAGATTGCCCAGCGCTTATTCGAACCAGACTGGATTTGTTCTAGTGGAAGGCTGGCCAAGAGTTGAGTGAGCCGTGTCAATCTCTTCTCCAGTCGAGATACTTCCAGAATGGCTCTATCAACTTTCTGTTTCCTAATCGATTTGAAGGCATCGGTGTGATCCCTAAGAGCTCCTATTATATAACTTGTAAGCCTTAACCCGTGGACGAATCAGAGTAGATTAAACAATACCATTATGGTCATTGTAACCCTCCCTGGACTTGTAGCATGTTTCGCAAACCCTACACCATAGACCCCGGACCGGCTCGTGCTGCGCTGATCGGGATAGTTTCATCTGATACATGGTATGTTCTTCGCAGAACAGTTTCCCACACTTTCGGCAATGAACGCAACCATTCGTAGCGTTGAGCCGCTTCCCACACGACGGCTCTAAGCAGACGTCGTATAGAGTACGGATTTGCCAGTGCTCCTTCGTAATGACATCGTCTGGATCTAGTGTTCTTGGATGCTCTATAGCATTATTCAACTGGGTCGCGGACGATCGGCTCGCGGCGGTTGAAGGTTGAAGATTGTCGTTCGACTCGAATACGTCCAGCCCCTTCAACTTCTGGTTCAAGACCGCAAGTGGCTGAAAGCGCTTCGCCTTCTCCATTTGGGTTTTGAACCAATCCTTAACTTCATCCTGTCTGTCATCTTCGAGATTCTGATGCACGTCGTCGAGATGCCTGCGAACCGCAATTCATTAGGAGGGAAACAACAATTCACATAGGTAGGTAGTACCTGTTCAACTGCAGCAATGTTACCTAAAGTTCTGTCAGCTAGAAAGAACAATATCCCGAAAGGGGGTAATGTGTAAGTACCGTACCATTTCCTCGTTACATATCGGACAGGCAAGGGCGCCGCCGGCGGCCGCCGGAGTAGCCGAGATGGACGTCTCACCATTTTCCAAGGAGATGCGCGACGTTAGATCCTGAAACTCGGGCGAAATCTGAGAGGTAGACGCCTGCGAACTCAGAGATACGGTGCTGGCGGACGGGGATAGGACATTATTTGGCTTGGACTTCGGGGACGCGATGGAAACGGCCGGAGAGAGCGACTTCGCGCTGCCCAGGACACGACCTCCACCCAGTGTCCTCCGGGACATGATCATGGAAGCATGAGAAGCAGACCGCAAGGAGCGGGAGCAGGACGTTGAGAGAGCAGACTACGCTTGCCTGGCATGAGTGGCGGCTGCTGGTTGACTCTCACGGTGATATATCGCGCCATCACGTGATAGATAGATGATGCACAACTGCTACGAGTAGTTAACTTTCTACTATTCTCTACGCAGTCAGCTCCAGCAGACATGGGAAATCATCAAGGGAAAACAAGAAATACGCAACATCTATCAGTATCTATCAAGAATCGGAGTCTGTTTACGATCAAGGGCAGAACTCCAGCTGAGGGACATGAATCTGCCCAGTTCCGACTTCTATACTAAGAGACAGTCCTCGCAGATCGAGACGCTTCTGCTTCTGTTCTGCTCCTGTCATATGGCGGCGTAATCTCTGTTATTTATACTATTGTATTCTTTTACTCCATTGTTCTTTGTGCTCGAGGCATTTCGGCCCTCTGATACACTCATCAATCATGACATGACAAGAAGAGAACAAGAGAAAAGGCAATTATATAATGCTGCCGGACCATTGAAACCAGCTAATAATTCCATGTCGATCGGTCACCCATTTCTCCTGTCTCGTTCAGAAATCGTCCCTAATGACGCACTTTCGGAATATCGAGTTCGAGGCAGATTGGGTCAGGAAGACCGCAACAACAATGATGTTCGTGAATGCAAGTATGACAGATCGTGAAGCCATTTAAGCCAGATGCTGCCGTCAGGATACGGAGTCGGAGTGTAGCCCCGTGGTTACATGAGTGCCATATGGCGTGCCTGTTCCTTTACTGCTCCTCAAAGTCGGTCTGCATTAGATATATGAGAATTGTGAGCTGTCCTCTTGGGCATGCGGGAAGTCGGAGCTTGGCATCAGAGTGCGTATCATGAATGGTTCTATTTCAGGCACTCAATCTGACTTTCTGGGCGCAGTTGACTGCTCACTACGGACTCCGAGAAAAAACTCCAATTGGATACACACTGCGGCTCCGACTGGGGTGTTCGTCATGTCAGTTCTACAGCATATTGTTCATATGTCCGAGAGACATCTACACTGTATGTGATGAAGACGGTAGATAATAACTGCTCTCCTTTTGGTCGCGCTTCCCATTATGTTTTCCGGTAACAAGATGGGATTGGGATTTGGAAGATTGCCCCGGCGCAAATGGAGTTTTAATCTATTCGGCCCTGCGCCTCTCGGATATCGCGCAGGGTTACGTCTGATTCTGCCTCCTTGGTCAGATTACGGCCATGAGTGAGACATCCTTGGCAGCAGGGCGTGAGGGGTATTTACTATTTATTTAAAGGTCTGAGCAGCTCTCAATTATGTCTCTCGACTCGCCCCGAGAAATGCGATCGCGAAATGCAGCTCCAGCATCTTACGTACATACTCTTCGCAGGGTCGCTGGCCCGCGCGGCTCCGTCTCCCGTCGCCGCGAGAGGGCCGCCCCTAATCAGTTCCCTTGGATCTTTACAGGTGCTGAAATACAATGATCTAAGTGCAGAGAACAACGGAACCGCAGCTGTTCTGGTATACGACAGGCTGGATCAGTCGAAAGCCCAGGCGCGTTGCGCAGCCATTGGAGAGAAGCTTTATACCTTCCAGGCCGGCGACAGCGATCTGCAGTATCAGATCGACTATCTCGTCTTCTCCGGCAGCCTACAGCCTAATGACCTTCTCTGGGCCTCAGAGGGCTCGTCGCAAGGTTGCTTTGCCTATTCGCATAGCCAGAAAGCAGTCGTCTCGGCGCCCTGTGACTCGCAACTTCCGGCCATTTGCACGACCAGCGTTCCACCCACGACGGAAACAAACAGGGCCACAATCGAATCGTCAAAAGTCTCCATTTACTATGACGGGTACTCCGTGACGGGCTATCGGGATGCACGCTCATTCCGGTTTCTGGGGCTTCCGTTTGCGAACCCCCCGGTGAAGAAACTACGTTTCGCACCGCCGCAACCCTACACCGGTCGCAGGAATATCGACGCTACGAAAATGGCTCCCGCCTGTATCCAGTCACCGTCAAGATTTGGGGTCGTAGATGGCAGTATCTCTGAGGATTGCCTGTATCTCAACGTCTTCACCCCTGTCTTGTCGCCACCAGAGGGCAGCCGCATACCTAGCAAGCCCGTGGCCGTATATTTCTACGGTGGCTCGTTCACAGAAGGAAGTGCGTCTCTAATCGACTATGATGGGGGGAATTTTGCCAGTCGTAATGATGTTGTGGTTGTGACAGTCAACTACAGGGTTGGTGCACTGGGCTTCCTAGCCATCGGAAACCACACCACTGGAAACTATGGCACAAGGGACCAGATTATGGCTTTGCAGTGGGTGAAAAAGAACATCGCAGCCTTTGGCGGAGATCCATCCCGGGTCACGATATTCGGAGAGTCGGCTGGAGGTCAGAGTGTCGTAGCCCTGCTCTCCTCTTCTGCGGCCAAGGGGCTCTTTTCCGCTGCCATCTCCCAGTCTGCCCCCATCGACTTGCCATGGTTCACACGGGATGTGTACAACGAGATATATGTTCCGGAAATTGCCCCAGCAGTCGGTTGCAATGGCACCTTGTCGGAGAAAGGCCTGCTGTCTTGTCTCAGATCAGTGCCAGCGACCAACTACTTGGATAACTCAACTGCGTTCGAAAACGCCATGAAGTCTATTACGAGCAAAGTTAGCTCTGGCTACTTGCATGTAAGCTCCTTGATTGCACAGGCCGAAAGGATAGTGCCAATGGTCGATGACACCGGCAGCGGCGTGGTCGATGACCAATTCTACAAACTGCTCGCCCGCCAGACTGTCCCGAACCGCGTCCCTACGATGTTCACAACCGTCACCAACGAAGCCTTCTTCTATGGCAACTCCGTTCCGTCGCTGGGATCGAAAGAATCCATTCTCGATGCGATACTTAATTTCGCATATCCACCTGAGCTGGCAACGAACATGATCAACTCGGGCGCCTTCGAGGGCAATCTCAGTGACCCGGATAGGGTCCGTGATGTCGTCCTGGACGCCATGACCCTCAGCGAATGGACCTGTCCCGAGGCATATTTACTTAGCCACGGCGGCCAGTACGCCTTTCCCAGCCTGTACGAAGTCGAGATCTCCCAGGGTCACAGCCAGACAGATGTCGATGTCCCATCCGCATGTCTACCGAACAACAAGTTCAACGCCAGCTGCCACACGTCCGATGTGTTGCTCGTCTGGGGAACGTTGAACTCGAAGACGAAGGATGTGCAGCCGTACTTTGACCAGGTGGACCATCTACACTCACAGCTTCTCAACGACGTCTTCGGCTCGTTCTTCCGCACGTACAGTCCCAACCCTGATCCTTCCTACCTGCAGGTCCGCGGGCCTGCATATGCAGCGAGTTATGACATCTTCGTCCAAAACAAGTACCGCATCCAGAACTACAACCCGCAGGCTAGCAACATTAATCTCCTGGGTATGCCGCCTGGCTGGGTTGAGAATCCGGGCTTGTCAAAGAAATGCTCCATCTTCAATGATTACGGGTATACTTTCCAGCATGCCAATCTGACAATATCCTGATGTTCCTTAAATATCCGCTTCTCGTGATCATGGCACTGATGTCAGTGTGAATTGTGACATTGCATTTATACTATTGGCATCTAATATAGAACCTGAATATGCCATGTATATAATAACTATGTGTATTTCTATAAAAAATTGAGTATCATGTTTTTTTCTTCTCTTATCATATTCTTTCTGCTTCTGCTCTCAATAAGTATGATCCCGAACAGAATATAAATGTGCGAACCAGTGAACAATTTCATACCATCATGATTGTCCCCAAAAAAGGCTGGAAACAAAGCAACCTAAATCTACAACGGCAAAAATGGCCCTATGCCCCTAAATCTCAACACTTCATCCTGGATGACCCTGAGCAAAACATCATCCGCAGCGCTCCTGACCTGCTCCAACGACGACAGCGTAGGACCGATGAGCGGCTTCTCATCAGCAACGCAGACCGTTCCTGGATTGGGTAGGATTCCCGATTGGAAGTACGCGCGGATCGATTTGGCTATGCAGAGAGAGGGGGCGGCTGCAGTGGAGTGCTGTTGTAATTATATCAGTATACTTAGTAACTTTGGGTTTTCCCTGAAAGATATTTTTAAGGAATGCATACTCCCTCTGATTCTTGTTCTAGGACTACGGAGCCTGGGAAAAAGGAGGAAGTCTTGTGTGCACTGGTCGTGAAGATGGAATTGTTAATTATTTCGCAGTGTCATAGGGGTATGTATATATATATAGAATGTACTTACCCATTAAGAGGTGTTACAGGGTCGAGTGAGTTACTGACAAAGAGCAATGGGTGAGCTGGATTGCTGGAGAATGGTCCTGTAGATATAACAATCAGTACACCATGACACTTATATCGAGTGTGAAAAGACAACCAACCTGCAAATCTCCATTTCGCCTTCGCCTTCCATCCAGCACATTCAAGAAGAACCTGGCCCCAGTAATCACCCAGCATGGCACTATCATTCTTTAAGCGTTGCCAGGACTGCTGGAACACGTCGAAGCTAGGATCCTGCAAGCCCGCAGCATCAGTGCATAGGATGGCAGCTGTTGACTCGTCACCCGGAACAGTGCATTCGGGAGTGTAGGAACCTGCACGCTGACACTCTTCAGACAGGCAGGAGGGTACTCTCTTATTCTGCTTCAAGTCGGCCATGGTGGATCCATTGCCTTGTCGCAACTCTCCCAGAATCTGCGCGAGCAGAGGAAAGGTGTGCAGGGGTTGATATAAGGATACGCGGACGATTTGCATAACGTCCGTCCAGGTCACGACTTCGGGTCCTCTCTTCAAAGAGGCTGTTACGGGAACGGACCAGTTCTTGATTTCCGACAGGAGTTCGACGACGGCGGTGGTGATCGCCGTTGGTCCACCGGCGGTGTACATGGGGCAGACGTCTGGGCCGGCAGCGTCGCAGTATATGCCGAAGCGGTCGAATATAGCATCAGCGTCGACAACGCTGGTGGTGGCACTACTCGTGGGATGATAGTAGTGCTCTATATTGACAACGGCATCGAGCACTGTGCGTTCAATCCGACCTGGATGCATAGCTGCAAAGGTGGCTCCGAGGATAGTGCCGTAGGAACGACCCCAGAAGAGAAGTTTTTCGCTTCCTTTCTTCCACCGCGTCCTTCGAGCAAGGGTTTGTTCTCGATCGTATCCGTATTGGGAGTCGTGAACCCTTTGCAGGGCGATCCCCTGCTTTTCTCTCCATTCCCCATGCCGCTCGATGATGGCAACCATATCCTCCACCACGGGAGTCGTGTTCACATGTTCCCCTAGTGCTTCATCCCCATCGGCAGTCGTAGTCAGCATCTCCGAGCAGCTTGGAGCGAGGGCTTTATTGCGCTGCCAATTCCGCATCAGCGAATCAGAAGATGACCCAAGCATCCCATCTGCTTCCACTTGGAGCTGCCAGTTACGGCTGGAGAATGCGTTGGGGAAACAACTGAACCCGGGGGTGGTATTCCCGACGCCCCGAGGATCAAAACCGATAATGTCGAAATACTTAGCCGAGCTGGATAGATTTTCATCGGAATCCAAGCTTGGATCGAGCTCCGAGTCAGCAATTGTCTGTAGACCTGTGCCCGAGTGAAGAATCTGGGCAATGCCAGAACCGCCAGGGCCGCCTATCTGAGTTAGACTCCAACTGAATGTTAAAAAAAAAAAGAGACCAACCTGGATTGATCAATATCGCCCCCCCATATCGAGGATCAGTAACTGGAACTTTCGCAGGTAGCCTAGCGATTGCAATGGCAACGGTGCGGCCTTTGCCATCAGTCCGTCGGTGGTCCATAGGCACCTCCAAACGGGCACATTGGAAGCCATCAAAGCAATCATGGTACCGCAGGTCCTTGGACGGAAGGATCTAACGAGGTGAGTTGTCCTCCTGGAGGATAATTGAAGAGAACAAACGAAACATCTTACTTGGTTCCATTGGAACTGCGTTGTCTTCACCTCGGAAGGGAAGTCGACGTGGATCCCGGGACGGAATAACGAAGGTGTACGCGACACAAGGACCAGCGCAGACGCGACGAGGATGACAGCCAGAAGACCTCGTCGGATGAAACCAAACCCATCTCGTCGATGTGCTCTCCGTCCCAAGTTCAACTCCAGATTCGCTCGAGCATCGCCAGCTTTGAGATCCATAACGAGTGATGATCGCCAAATCTATCCGCACATCCACACGCCAAGATTTCTCGCCCGATATCAATACACCGACCGGAAACGCGGGCTCAGCGAGAGAACGGTGCTGGATCGCATGGGATGCAAAGGCGAGGCGGGATGGAAAAGAATTAATACTGGTGCCAAGGCAGCTGCAGATTGAACAGCTTGCAGCTGGACCCCCGCCCGATAATATGCATCCGTTCTGAAGTTCGCGAATCATTGTCGAGATGCTAATCAATCTCACTCGTCCTGATAGCATTTTTTAACTGTTTGGACAGTTCGTTGCGGTGTTGTAGGTTGGGAGTAACGGGAGCAACAATATTGGACAGATAGCTTATGTCGACTAAAGACTTACGGGATATGTATATATCTACTGAGGCAGACAATTTGGGTTTTGAGAATATTGCATTTCTAATATATAGAAATAATAACCTTTTTTTTTTTGTTTTTTATGTATATAAATTTTTTTTTTGATCTTTTTTCTTTTAATATTTTTTTTTTTGTTTTTTTTTTTTTTTTTTTCTTTTTTCTCCATCCCTTTTCCAAACGCTCATAACTTCATCATCACTTCATATCGTAATGCCAATAAGAATCGCTATGCAACCGCTGCAACCGTCAACTCATAATATCCTTCAACAATCAAACCAACCCCAGCCCTCTACCTCTCATAATCACGGTGGTAGCTCGTACCCGTGTTGGGGTTATCATATTCCCGATGTACACGGGTGGTTCCATCATCCCTCCGATCGACGTCGCGGTGACGATAGGTGCCCGTAGGACTCACTCTCTCACGGTGGTGTCTGTTAGCACCATCAGTGCGGTAGTCAAGGTGCTGATCGTACGATCCTGTGCTGGGGCTGTAGGTAGTACCACCGTAGCCCGTGTCATAGGTGGTGACGTAGGTGGTTCCGTTAGCACCATCAGTGCGGTAGTCAAGGTGCTGATCGTACGATCCTGTGCTGGGGCTGTAGGTAGTACCACCGTAGCCCGTGTCATAGGTGGTGACGTAGGTGGTTCCTGTGGTGTCGCCGTAGCCCGTCGTGCCGTAACCAGTTGTACCATATCCAGTAGTTCCATATCCCGTTGTGCCATAGCCAGTAGTACCGCCATAGCCCGTGAGGTCGTAGCCAGTTGTGCCATAGCCCGTGGTGCCCGTGGTGCCCGTGGTGCCCGTGGTGCCATAGCCTGTGGTATCGTAGGTGGTTCCGGTGGTGTCGTAGGCGGTACCGGTTGTGTCGTAGGCACTGGTGGCGGTAGTACCGTAGTCAGTACGATCAGTCATTGTGGATGGTTGATGGAAAGCTCGTCAAGTTCGAGAAACTTTATAATAGAGATTTTTTTCGGTTTTTGTTTGAAGTTTGCGAAGATTTTCTCTTCAAGAGACAGTTCACCTTTTGTCTATCAGAACAAACTGATCTGAAGAGGAGAAGAGAGCACATCCAAGTCTCATCCATCTTGCACTCTTTTATAACATATTTCCGTGGCGTTGGAGGCTAGAAATGACCCTGCCTGACATCACTTGCGGCGGGTTTAGTCTTTTTTTTGGGGGAGCGGCAATTCCTCAGCCATGCCAAAGGCGACAAAGCAGCGACTGGCCGGAATTCTGCACCTTAGCCTCCAGGGGAAGAATCCAACGGCCGTGATTCGTTTCAGCTGCTTCTCTTATTTCATCCCAAGCCCCATTCTGGCTGTGTGGAGGAGGCGTTCGATGATGAAGATGGCTCGATGATGATGCTGCTGCTGCGGGGGAATGACATCCAACGACCCTGGCCACCACCGCCGCTGTCGTTTTTCTTTCTTTCTTTCTTTTTTCTCTCGTTGAATTTCGCGCTCATTCGAAGGGAAAGACCTAGAGTCGAATAGAATAATTTGCAAGTCGGTCTTCAACTCCTCACCGAATGTCTGTTGCGGGGCGTGGCATCGCGAATTCATGCAGCTCTGGCAGATTGCATCACTTCGGGCAATGAATAGCTTTGCCTTTGCTATCCTTTTAGCCTCATCGTTGCATTATTATGCAGCATATGCTTCGAAGAGACAGGTTGATTCTCATGGTGTCTCTTCCCTGTCCTTAGCTGCTGGAGGCAGCAAGATAGGCAAAGGAGTCCAGGTTCACTGCCGCCGCCAACAGAGATCTACGTATCATCAACGGCGAAAGTCTTCAGACATGAGATTCATTTATGCCCCTATCTATGCTGTACATGCCACTCCAAAAACCATAAGCAACAGCTCCCCAAGTACAGCTAGCTGCAGAGTAAACTTGAAGGAAGTAGAGAACCTTCGTCTCTAAGGGGCCTTCCCGGCCCAAACGCGGACATCAATATAAATCTACTGTGTCTTCTCAACCCCGGACTCTAGCAGCTCCTTACTCTTCCGCTCCGTCTCACGCTGTAGCTGATCTGGTCGGCGCACAGCGATATCCTTAGGTCGGAAATCGCTGAACAAAACCTTCAGTACATTCTCGACGACCCAGCAGCCAGCATAGTCAACGACCATGAGAACAGTGAGCGTGACTTTGAACTCGGTAGTGAACGGCACAAGGCGGAGTTTCTCGTTGATCTCTGGAATAAATTCGGTTGCGCAGGAGAAGGCGACGCCCGAAGCAGCGACGAGACCCCAGTACATGGCCTTGTTCTCGCGGATCGACTCTCTGAACGGACGGCCCTGGTAGTTGATAGAGAAGGTAGAAATCTGCTGAATAAGCTGGAGGAGATAAATGGCACTGTTGAGAAGGGATGGCTCGAATTCGCCCTCAAGGTCAATGTCGCTTTGACGTCTAATACTTCTGTTAGCCACAAGACACTCAAGCACGTAGACAACGATATACATACGGTTCAACGGAGTAGACATAGTTCGACAGGTAGATCAACGTGGCAATGTGGATCGCAAACTGTCCAAGGACAGAGCCAATGATGTACATGTTGAAAATGTTAGGCTGCGGGCGCTCCTTCGACAGACCTTCCACGGACTGTAGTCGCAATTAGTACCGTACCTCAATGACATGTTCATCCATTGAAAGCGACATACCTTCGCACGAGAAATGGAGAGGAAGCAGACACTCATCAACATGCCGCTGATAGTTACCTGTCCATCTCCAAACTTGATTCCATCCAAGTAAATGACACTCAGACTGTAGGCTGTGATCAAACAGTTCAGGGCAAGAATCTTATACATCTGGATCGTAGCCACAAGCGTGCAACGGCCTTGGCGAATGATGTTAGGGATGGCAATGACATTGGCCAGTTTGCTTGTGAAGGGTGCAGCAACTGAGGCATCTCCGAGCTTGATCGTTGGAGGTTCACTGTCGTCAAGTTCCTGCTCCAACATGGATGTGGTGAGCCTATCAGCAAGGCCAGCAGCCGCAACAGAAGCTTGCTGTTGCCGCTGTTGCTTCGGCGTCAGATTCTGCTGCTGCAGCGCCTGAGCACCGGGAGAAGTGATAGTTGGAATCGGTTCAGCTCCAGCTTGATTTGCGGCACCCTTTCGCTGCAACTCCCTTTCCATGGCCTTCTGGTAGTGTGGATTAGTTGGACCAGGAGGATAAAGATGGGCAATCAGGACAGGAACAGGTGGGGCCGGCTGGTTGAATCGCTGCATCATGGCGACCTGCTTTTCATAGATCTCCTTCATCTTCGTGTTTCGATAATGCTCTGCGATCTTGGCCAGATCTTCCGGAGAACCATTTAAAAGCGCAACGCCGATGTGAGCCTGCTTCAATGCTCCGACGTCATTAGTGCCATCGCCGCACATCAACGTGGTGTAGCCGGCATCTTTGAGACCTAGAAGAATATCTTCCTTTTGCTTCGGAGAAACACGAGCGTAGACCCAGGTATGGCGAAGAAGATCCGGAAGGGCCTTTTGACCCTTAAACTTGGCCAAGGCATAGCCGGTGATGCAAATGTCTTTGGTCTTGAGTATCTCCGGATCAAGAGGCTGGCTGGGATCAACTTCACGGTTGAACTTGTCGTCAATGCTCCGCCAAACGAGCTTCGTCCCAGAGAAATCATTTTCGGGAGCGTCGAGAATCAGAACATCGCGGTCGACAATCTCCACTTGGCGAGCTACATGGATAGCAGTCAAGGGATTGTCACCGGTGATCATGACTACACGGTGGCTGCTCTCATTCAGCATCCGGACGGCCTTGACAGCGTCCTCCTTGAGAGGGCACTGAAGAATGAGGAAACCAGCGAATGTTAATTCCGACTCGATCTCTTCTCGGACATAGTTATTAATGCGACCCTGAGAAAGTTCTGCTTCAGGAGAAAGGTATTTGTAGGCAAGTGCAAGAACCCGAGCTCCGTTTCGTGTAAAAAACTTGAACGTCTCCTCGTAGTTTGGAGGCGTGTTGACCAACATGGTTCTGATAGTCTCAGGCGCACCCTTGACACCCACGAAAGTGCTTCTCGTTTTCCTAGATGTCCTGCGGTCGCTGGTGACAACCGTTGCGATAGTGCTTTGGCGCTTCAGAGCGGAAGAGAACTGGAATCTCCTCTTAATTTGAACCGACTCAGGAACGACAGAAGACCACCCTCCTACAGCATTCTTACGCGTAAGGATGTCATCTTCTCCCAAGACCCAGCCAAGCCACTGCAGAGTAGCTTTCTCCATAGGATCACCCACAATTTCCCCTTCGTCCAATTTCACCAAGGCATGGGCACTAGCAAGTACAAGAGCCGTATGGGCTCCGATGCTGTCTGTCTTTGAAATGTCCGTGTGGGCGCCATCGGGCTCGACCTTGGCGCCTTTGACACCCAACGTGAGGCCGGCGATACCGTCAACAACGAGATCCTCTCCAGTCAGCGTACCGGTTTTGTCAAAGCAGGCAACATCAACACGTCCGGCAAATGGAATCCGGAAAGGCTCGGTGCAGAAGATTGCAAATTTACTGAGCGCAGCAAGGCTAGTGTTGACAGCGAGACTAAGTTCCATAGGAAGCTCGGGAGGAACAACACTCGTGATGATGAGGACACAGTCAAGGAGCAACTTAGACCTCTTGCGATCCTTCGACACACCTTCTTGCCACACATACCATGAGGCAGCGAGAGCGAAAATCAGGAGGAACAGGATAAAAAGCAACGCCTCGACGTTGTTGGCAGAAACACGCTCGGTGGAGTAGATCATGGTGCGCACAAGGATACCTTGACTGGTCTCGAATCCGGTCTTCACAACGACACCCAGAGCGCCATTGTCGGGGGGAGCAGGAATATCAGATGCAACATGTTGCGGGTTTTCAGCGGTGTCGGCACTCGTGTTGGGATGAGAAATCTGCAGCACCTTCGTGCCACCATGGACGAAAGAATTCTTGTCTAATCCATCTGGTTCAATAAGGTCATCGTGAGGTCTGAGCTGTATTGAATCCTTCAACAATGGCGTGCTTTCTCCCGAGAGCATGGCCTCATTGACGATCGCGCTGCCCTCAATCAAGAGAATATCGCAAGCCACACCGCTATCTTCCTTTGTCCGATTAACAGACATGAGATCGCCGGGGAGAAGCTTGTCGCTGGTGATTTCCTGCCATTTCCGCTCGCGATATACCCACACATCGTAGGGTTTGATATTCATCCCACGGAACTCACTCAACGTCCTTTGGCGTTGCCACACAACCGTGCTCTCGAACGCCACAAGCATAAAGAGCGTGAACAACGAGTAGTACCAATATTCATCCAACATCCACAGGCCGACGCAGAAGACCTGGAAGACAAAGAAGGGCGCCACCGCATGCTCTTTAAAAAGCTCAATGAATCCGGGAACAGGGATATCGAACTTGTTGTCTCCGTAGTGATGCTGCACGCGGTCAATCTCCTCCTTGGAGACCAAACCATGGCTCTGCTGGAAATACTTGATGGCCGGTTTGGGTTCCGCATCAAGCACGTAGGACAGAGGGGCGAAGGATCGAGACTCCGGATAGAAGAGAAAACGACGCTTCTGGAACAGAACCGAAATGGTCTCCTTCCCGCCGGTATTGTCATGAATCAAGGGGCAGATCTCAGCAGAGCCCGCGTTAGTGACGGGGATGATCTTGATCAGCTGGGCGGAGTCGACAGATCTGGACCTGGTCATGGTGAAGAACGTGTTGATGTTGATACTCCATTTTGTCATCAACCACAAAAGGGACTGGAATGTAATGATAGTCCCCGACCACACAAATGTCCATTCCTGGCCCTGGATATACTTGTCGTAGCGCTCGGGGGAAAGGTAGAAGGCAAAGAACGCGGGCCAGATGATCAAAAACGGCCAGACATAAGTGTGCAGATAAAAGGGGAGAGGGTTATGCAGCGAAGCATATTTGATCTGGGGATCATTAACGAGTTTCGCCCTGTTGCTGGAGTTAGTTGGAGAAGCTGCAAGCACGCGACTGCGACGGGGGGAGTTCACGGGCGTATGTGAAACCGACATTTTGGCACTCGAGTGACCACAATCAAGGGTCAAACGGAATCTGCCGATGAGAAGGCCTATTGAGTCATAGGAGGGCGATAACAGAAGAAACTCAAGATCCAGGGAGTCTCTTGAAAGAGCAGAAGGCGTGGAAGAGGAACGAGGACATCCAAAAAGCCACCTCAACCGTAGAAATTAGAGCAAGGCCACAGCCACAGCCACAGCCACAGCCACAGCGTCGCCCCTATCTGATGCTACCTAACAGCGTGATCTTACTATTGGCTTTCATTGAAGAATAAGATTTAACAATTGATCATAACCGGACTCGTCATTATTGTACATAAGTTTATATATCCTGTCAGTAGTCACAGTGAAAGACTTGTGCACACTGACACCATGGAAGTAATTTTCCCTCCCGGGGTTTAAATGCTCCTGGCTGCTGCTATCTCCACTGTGCTGCGTCTGAACAGTCGTGATAATTCCCCGCATGCCATCGTCATCCAGATCCGACCGCCAGTGATTTTCTGGATCGTTCCTGGAAAATGTCGATGGACCCCCATACTTGCGGGAGAGAGGAATGCTGGTTCCGCGACTGGGCTTCCCGCTTCGAGAGCCTCCGTAGCTGCCATCGCGGAAGAAACGGAATAGAGGACGAAGCGTAGTCAGACTGCCAGCTGTAATCCCAAGACTGGCCTCGACATTAGACCAAATGGAGATTTGACTTGTCGCATCTGAGGGAAGAAAGGAGAATAATCAGAACACCACCAAACTCAACAATGATATCATTCGGGGAGGAGGCTTACAGAGGAACTCCGGATTTTTATAATCGTGAAGGAATGGGATGCGGACAATGACAGCTGCACTAGCACTGAACAAGAAGTCAGATATAGGATCCAAATCACAGAAATGCTATGGATGAACCCGAGGTACTCACATCCCTCCCATAGCAAGAATACCAGCCAGGGCAATCTTCGAACGCCGATTCATCTGCAGGCTCCAGACCAGGAAGATAGGCACAATGGCCAGCGCAAAATCGCAAATGGTTGCAGTGACACTGTAGAGATAGGCCACATCGATGATGGTGTCGACGGGTAAGCAGTGTCCAGGCCGGTCTCTATGCCAGAAATGCGAGACCGGATGGCACTGCAAAGTCAACATAAACCAGAACAGGAGCCCGACGACCATCGTCACGGCGATCACAGCCCACAAGATGATGGAATAAAATTCCTTGACGGTGAGACGAAGAACGCCCATGGCAATTGATATCTTCGCAATGCAGCATGTGAGGACATAGCTGCACTGGCCAAGCCACCACCACTGTTTTCAATTGAGTGAGAATGGATTCCTAAGAACTATGGCGAGCTGAACTTACAAACAGAGCAACATCAATATGAGTCAAGTCGATGCTCTCGAACTTTTGTCCCATTCCATACGTGGCGCCTGTCATTCCACATATTGCGAACAAGATATTCAGTGCCTTTGGGTTTTTGGGAAACGGGTTAGCCGGTGCACCAACATCTAGGGCATGAGTCGCATTCTATATACCATGGCGAACACCATGAGTCCATCGTCCCAGCCAAACGCCCTGACCAGTCTCAATCGGACAAAGCATCGAAGGCAAACGGAGATGAAGGAGATGATTAGAAAGACTAGTGTGACGACGAAAATCTGCAGGCTGCGGCCATTGAGATGGGTCATGGTGGATGGAAACGGGAGGCTTGGCTAGGGTGCGGCCATACACATAGCATCAACACATCAACAGCGGATCCGGGCGAAAGTACGAACTGCGAGCGATTGGCAAAAAGAATCCTCGAGGCGAAGATGCATAGACTTGCCGGTTCACGGGAAGCGAGAACCTCGTAGGGGAAGGAGAAAAGACTTGGAGGGGGGTATGCGTGCAAGTCGCAGGACGGGCAATGAGAAAAGGTACAGTCTACATCTCAAGTGGGCCATGGGGGAGCCCAGAACGGTATATAATAAAGCACTGTACACATGTGAGGTCGCCTCTCATGAACAGGGACACGATGCCACCATGTCAAGAAACTTTAATTGTATCAGAGCGTTGCATATCCACGGCCGAGTTACCCATGAAACAACGGGGGATATGAGGCAAATCCCCTTTCTCCGGAATTAGATCTCGGCGTCGGTATGACTTTAAAGAGACGATCTTCGGGATTCGCATTCTAGTCTCATCTTGATGTGCATGATAGAGCTGTTTTGAGGAGTCAGAAATATAAGAGTATTGATTCCTCCTCGGTCCTAGCCCGAGAGAATGCATGGCTGGACTTTTTGAAAGAGAAAAGTTCTTTTTCCACTTGCTTTTTATAGCTTGATGCAAATCAGTGGAGACGCCCCTACATCGTGCTGCGCTGTATTATCCCAAAGGAGGCATTCCACCGGGTCCAAGGCCGACTGGTCTGCGGACCTGTCTATCCACATGGAACGAATGAAAGTTCATTATTCATTAGTGACTCCACATAAGACAGCCAAGCCGCCAGAGGCAATGGAGCCATGTTGAAGTTTACTCTAGGGGACTTGGCTGACTGTGGGGACACCCCTGATTGAAACAGCTGGGAAGACATCATGGCTTCCTTGCGACTGTCAAGAGACGGCGCATAATACCCACCTGGGGCACCGGAGCCGGTTGCGAGTGTTGATCGTCGTTATACCCATCAGAAGATATATGATAGATCTGCGTCATCTATCTCATTATTCTCATACCAGTGTCGGGAGAGTTAATACGCGGCTCCGCTATGCCTTCATATAACCAACCGCAGGGCGCCGTTCTTGCTATCGGGGCTTTCAATAGTTAACTAAAGATATGATGGGTAATGAGGTAATGGAATACTACGGAGTACGAAGAAAATTCTTCTCCAAGGCGCAGCTTATTAACTCTTCCGGAGGGGATCCGATCAGTCCTGCCACTCCCCGCAAACCATAATGGGTTAGTCGGCAATTCCAGGCTCAAGTGTCAAGACACCATCGTAATCAGTAATCAGTAATCATAGCTAACCAGGATAATAGTTCATCGTATCTGATAGTAGGTCCTCGAAGGATTCTGCAGGGGGTAGCCCCATCGTACCATCCCTCTGGATAATATTATTGTTAGCGAAAAATGCCAACCAGGCCCAATGCAATGGACAAAGTATGTAATAGTTACCCCCTATGGTGCCAGGATCTAAGTTTCTAATAAGATTCAGACTATAAAGTCCAAAGTTCAAACCATTCCTCAATAATACTCAATTAAAAAAGAAGACTACCGGAAACGGCCGCAGTTGACGCTGTTTCTGGCCGTCCATTTGCCAAGTGCGTGGTTATAAATCCTGGGGTAATGGAATGGTATGCACCAATTTACATGCAATCCCTGCCAAGCCCTAACTCAGCTTACCTCATTTTCCCTCAGTAAGCCTGACCACAATTTTTGGCATTTTGCCAGCTAGCCAGTGGTTTCATGAGGGCGTCGGAAATCATTAGTCATCTAATGATGGCAACTACTCTGACAGAGAAAGTGCTGAAGACAGTCAATATGATACTGACCTGACAGAGCCTGAGGTGAGGGGGACTAACTAGATGTTGGTGATGCAGCTCTGCTCTTTGCAGATAATGAACATCTACCAGAATATTGCATCCAGCAACTTGAAAAGTTCGGGGAGACTATGTGCACTGAGGAAGACTATGGCAAAGGCACCCTTGCCCCCTGTCATGGCAGCATGGAGCTAGTGAAGCTCCAACTGCTAACTGCACGAACTGAACCTCTCTGAGCTCCATGCTAACCAGACGACCCCTTACGATCCTTAGTATTTAGACTCCAGGTTGAACCTAGCGATAGGAAGGATCAATCTGATTATCTCTGATTTTGAATGATACTATCCTTTAACTCTCTGGTGTTCTACTATCCGTAGCTAGCCTGTAACCTCATTTCCCTCCTTTCAGTATGTGCCAAGAAGGGGCCGGTCTTCTTGACTAGTGCGGAGCCGAAGCCCCTTACAATTGACTAGAGGCAACAAACTACCAGAGGATATACCAGATTCCTCAAACAGTGAGCTAGGGCAGGACGATGAGGACGATGAGCAGGAAGCTATGGAAATGAGGAGTCTGCTGAAAGATTCATAGCTTCAAACAAGCTAAATTATACTTTGCTGGAAGAAATCAAGCAGCACAGTAATGCATTGATTGGCTGATAGGAGGAAAATATCATGTGTGCGACAATTTTATAAAGCCTATTGTTGGTGATCCCGATAGTTTAATCAGCAGCATGTAGATAGTTAGTTAACTAGTTAACTCTGTTATATACTGGGCATTGACTTGGGCAAGTGGAATAATTTGGTGTTTCCGCCGTGTGAGGCCGAAGCTGTAGTTGCGCTTAAATTCAAGAAGAAACCCGTGGCGGTAGTTCCGGTCACATGAATAAGTTTTCCCACTTTGCCCACATCGCCTGTTAGGATAAAGATAGTTTAGCTACATCCCCCTTGTATGATTGTGTGCTACAAGTGTGATTTCATACAGCAGAATGAACTGGCGTTGATGGGCCAAAGTTGGACAAGAGCAATGCGTTATTATGTCTAGAAGCTATTGAACTATTGACTTTAAGTAAGCCCGGAAAGTGGAGAAATAAGAGTGCCCGCGATCACCTTACGCCGTAACCCACCCGGATTGAGAAAATCCAGCACCATATACACCGTATATCGTTCCGAAATCGTTCATGTGAACCCTTAGGCCAGCTATTTCTACTGCCATTGGATACCCCGAAACACACCCGTCTTTAGGGGTTCAACAGCTTCTCCTTTCCATCTTCCAGAGATAGAACCCAGTTTCTCCACTCCTGCCACTCCACATACGTCGCACTGGCACGAAGACCCTGGTACTTGACAGCTCGGAAATCTGAAACCTGTTCCCATGGCTTCCCCGAGTTTGATTCACTTCCCCGCAAGAGTCTTCTGGCGACACTTCCGGTAGCCCCATTCCAACCTGCTTTACGCATTAAGCTCTCTATGGTCTCTTCCTTGGTCCACTCCTGTTCGACTGGGACGTCTGGGAGATATGTCGCGCCGTATCGCCTGCCGCGGTGCACAAAGGATATACGTATCCCATGCGTTCCGAGAATCCAGTCCATGGCATCCGTGCATGGCTCAAATGATCCTAGCAAGGTCAGAGAGCAGACCAGAGAAGGTAGAAGGGACTCAGGAATTGGTGAGAATCGAGTGTCTTCGAAGGCTCTGTTGTAAATTAGCTCCCTGGAAGAAGCAGCAAAAGCAGGCTTCTTTTGAACCATCGACAAGAAGATACGTACGAAATAAGAGCGTATGACTTCAGGCCATCAGAAAGTTCCTTCGCTTCAAATGTGCCAATGCAACCACGGAGCGACTTTCTGCCTCTCTTCAACACGTCCCACGTTACAAACAGTGGATGGCTCCGATACTTCCGTTTCTGGAACCCCAACTTAGGTATCTCTGACGCTGGGGATTGAAGAGTCGGAGTGGTAAGGGTGGTAGAAGAAGAGGAAATGGATTGAGACGAGTTAGAAGCCAACGAAGGCGTAGTAGCTGCACTTGAGGATTCAGAAGATGACTGGAGATGGTTGATGCTGGGAAGCCTAAGAGCTCCAGGGCGATTATACGTGCTGGTGGATCTGCCATCATCATCATTGGGCACTGCCTGCTGGCCCCGCTTGCCGTCCTCCCCAATAGAGACAGACTCATTATTTCCCTCAATGGCAGCGAGTTTCTTTATCTGTTCGTATTGCTCCCAGAGTTCTTCTATGACCTCGAGATCGGCATGTTCACGGTCCTCAAAAGAAGCAGAAAGGCACTCGAAGCAATAAAAGCACTGGGCCGGGCTCGCCATGTTTAAGGGAATATAATGTGTTGAAGGATTATAAAAACTTTCTAATATGGGAAGACGAGCTGTCTTATTTAAACCCCTGGCACGTATTCTGGGTAGATGTATGAGTTATCAGCGAAAGCGAGTCTTGTGATATGGGCAAATGACCGGAATAGATAGTCAGCACTACAGTGTGGTCTGAGGGGGTATAAAAACACTGCAATATAGGATACCTTGTTTTGAGAGGATTTCAACGGAACCAGCAGCGCGCAGCACCGTCTGGATATGGAGGCCTTCAAGAGCTGAGAGTTGCAACGGACTTGAACCCAAGAGAGGGGAAAACGGGGGATCGACACGATAAGATGTTGGTGGTCCTTGCGGCCTGAGGTGTCTTATTTCTATATATAGTTAGTTTATGTCAGGGATCACGTGGTTTATACCTAGTTAGACCGCCCTTGAAGTGGATCAGGGGTCGGCGTCTGGATATCAAATACTAAAAGGATACCTTAGGATTCGTGGTGAACACTCTATACTGATATACTGCCATCTCTAGTACATCGTGAAGCTCTTAATTGACATGCTTAACGCTTGAAGCTCCTATATATTCGGGATTCGGGGAACCCAGGCGTGGCATCTCTCGTCCCGGAACATACATATTCCAGATCCCGATGCTGGATCATTAGATAACCCGCCTATCCGAAATACTAACGTATTTCCCGGTCGAGCGGGCCACCTCCTGCTAATTCCTGCCCGCGGGCTAAATACTAGAGCCTCTACCAGCCAAACAATTGCATTTTTATACAAAAACTAATTGCTAAGGGGATTGGGACATCTAACTCTAGTATGTCCCCGAATATGACAATTAGAATACTGTGGTGGAGCTCGTACGCGTGGTCCAACTGCAGAAAGTGCTGGATCTCTAGGAAGCATATCTTGACCTTCAACAACCTCATTCTCATGCTGAAATCACTCTAAACCCTCCTGAATCGCTGAGCCCTCTGGAATAGCTAGCTGCCTAGTAGAGTGCTTTTGCTTTTGACCTTTCCATTCATTATTAGCGTGAAATTTGCGTATTTCTTCACGTGCAAGAACAAGCTCATTAAGTGTCAATTCATGACCTTTAATAATTTTGTCTAATCGCAATTCTAGCAAAGGTAAAGGGCTATGAGCACATTCCCTAAGCAGTTTCTTTGCAGCTGATGCCTGCTTCTCCAGCTGTCTAGTAGTATATGGTGTTTTAGATGCTGAATTAGTTGACTGACTAGGTGGTGGTGTAGAGGTCTTTAGTTGGATGTCTAACTTGCTAAACACCTTATCTGGATCAAATGGAACTAATCCAGCACCTGTGAAGCTATTTCGAATAGTTTCTGCTTGAAAAGCACATTCGCGAGCATGTGGAAAGGCCTCTAGGAAATCAAGCTTATCAATATGATTGATTCCTAAGCGTGCTTTCTGCTCCACCAAGGTCCCATATGCCTTTTTTAAAGGCGCAAAACAGCCCACATCCAAAGGTTGAAGCTTATGGGAAGAATGAGCAGGCATACAGATAGGAATAATATTATTCTCACTGCATATCTAATCAAATTGAGGTGTAAGATGGCTGCCATGGCCATCCATGACTAGAAGATGGTATTTCCCAGTCATACGACTAGAAGTAGCAGGAATGAAGAGATTTTTAAGCCAGCAAAGGCCTATCTTATCAGAGGTCCATCTATTAGGACTAACTTCAATTCTGCTATCACACAGGAGCTTGAAATCTTGATACCAACCCTCTATATAGACCTTCCCCTTGAAGATAATGCATGGAGGAAGTGCCCAGCTAGTAGAGTTGATACACTCAATTGAAGTAACCCATTCCCAATTGCCTGGCTGTACAAGAGAGGCTTTTCTATAATAATCAGCTCTAGTAACTACTCAAGCAGTAGCTACTAGGCCCATAGCAAAGCCAGTCTCATCAAAATTGTAGATATCCTCCTGTACAATCCCATGTTGCATTATAATGATTTGTACACGATCAAACCACTCCTTGATGATTTTAGGATCTTCACATTTTGCTTGTCAATAATCATAGCATTGAGAATAGCGTGTTTTCATTTCATCACGCCATTTAATGAAGCTAGAGACCCAATTCTTTCCAATTGATTGGATAGGTGTTGTACCACGCTCTGCAAAAAGAATATTGGCCATTTCTTGTATTTAGGATGGTCAGGGGCCTGCTCCACATTGATCTAGTGATAGAATCCATCGTACAAAGGATTCCTCTTCATTTTGAGTCAATTTATGGCCATTGGCGCGTGTTTCTGCGCGTGAAGTGATTCCATTAAGTTGTTGCTGGAGGGTTGTACAAGGGATATTATAAACACATGCTGCTTCGCGAATATTGCAAATTTCCTGCTTTTCTAAAGTAGAAATAGCAAGTAAGATCTTTCCCTCTTTCTCAGCTGAATTTCTTGAATTTTGACGCACTTTTGGAGGCATGGTTGGTGGTTGAATTAGTTGAAGCAGTAAAACGCGTAGAAATTTGATGAGGTGGCCCGCTCGACCGGGAAATACGTTATCTCATCATATACGTCGCAGGGACGTACAGTTAGTGGCTTTAATGAGTGTATTGAGTAGTTGGTTGAGCTCTGGAGCTCGGGAGTAGCAACTAGCTAACTAAGCGTACTAGGAGTACGTGACCTCTAAGTTAACAACAGTAGCTTAGTACAACCAGAGATCTATCTATGATATGGAAAAGGTCACGTGGTATGGCGGCTTGGCTCCCTCTCCAACCCCTGAGAATCCGGGCCCCTGATTATATGTAGAGAGAGCAACAGAGAGATAGAACAGAATGGCATCCGTTTCTTAGTAGGCTACGTACGTGTAGTCAATACAGCTTCATTCTGCCCTTCTTCCCTGAGTTACATGCATATTCCACAACAATCTACAACTTCTTCATACTGCGTAACGCATGCGTTCTCCCCCGACACTCAATAAGACTGAGATCAGGCGAATATGGGGTCATTCCATAAATTCAAGATCCATTTCATCAAGACGCCTAATGATACGTGCAGTATGCACGGAAGCCCCATTATGCATAAAAATATCGCCTGGTCCAACTAGTTCTGGGAGCCATGCCTCATATACATAAGATATAACCCATGCAGTAACTCCTCCACATGCTGCTTCTAAAAGAACAAGATCTGTACACTTATCAAATACAAATACAGCCCAGAACATTTGATTTACACCTTTTCCACAGTGTATAGCATGAACATCATGCTCGATTGTCTGGTGACAAGGACTGTTAAAGGTATATAAAGATGGCGCAACTTTACCACATTCAACTGAGCATTCGTCAGTCCATTTAACATGTTTCCAATCTTTAGGCATATAATCAACATACCAGAGAGCCTAAGAAAGACATTTAGCAGCATTTTCTTCAGTAATTTCTGGCTGCTTTCTCTGCTTCCATTTCACATGAAGGTTGCAAAAAAGGCGTTGTACAGTAGATTTAGAAGGTGTAGGATTTACTGCAGCCTGTAACTCATGCATCTTTATATGTGGATCTTCAATAGCAAGCTGGTAAAGATGTGCTTTTTGTTCTGGTGATAGAATTGGAGGCCTGCCACTGCGTGGCTTTGAAACATGATCTTTCCGATCATTTTGACTGATTACAGTATAGCGAATGGTGGAAACAGGAATCTGAGGGTATTTCTGATGAATTCTGCGGTAGCCCCATCCAATTGAATGAAGCTCACATATGCGAGCCCGCATAGTAAGGGTTAGATCCTTATTTTTAGCCATAGAAAATGTACAGAGATTTGAAGCCAAACATGCTCGTGTTGTTTTGCCTGGCAGAATTATGGGCGGTGAATTTAGCATTTTGCGTGTTAAAAACTTTTGAACCCCAAAGTTACTTGATTGTGTCCACACCGCCTACCTACACGGTACCTACCCGTGTTCCCGTGTAGGTAGGCGGTGTGGACACAAATATCTCCTTCGATTAGCCTAATAATAATAATCCTTCTACTGTCACTAGAGTCTGGCCAGCGTATCTTGCCGCAGTTACAGGCACCTCGCAGGCGGCTAATGCAATGATACTGCTGCGCCACGGTCTTCAAATAACTAGCGATGGACCAAAGTACGGTGAGGATCTAGGGGGGATGATAAATAGATAAATAGATGGATCCTGGGCGCCATAGTTCATGCTTGCCTTTCAATTGTTCGAAGGTACATGTTTATTTCATTAACATCGTGTTTCTGACCTAAGACCATGCCTCCCATGCAAGGAGATGATGCATTGCACCAGCTGCAATCCAATCACTCTAAGCTCCTTGACAAGATTGATGATCTTCGCACCATTGGAATCGGGGGTCTGGTGGAACTACCCCAGCTGATCGTGTGTGGTAACCAATCTAGTGGGAAAAGCTCCGTGCTCGAGGCTATCTCGCGCGTGCGGTTTCCTGCGAAGAGTAGTGTCTGCACGCGTTTTGCGACCGAAGTTATCCTCCGTCGAAGACAATCGCCCAGCATCAAGGTCTCCATCGAACCTGGCCCATCCAGAATCGGCGAGCAGGAACGACGGAATCTCAGGAACTTTGCCCCCGATGTGTTCTCCAACAGCGACGACCTGCCAAAGCTGATCGAAAGGGCTGAAGAGCACATGGGCATTTCCAGGACGGTCAGTTCTGGATTCAGCGATGATATACTCAAAGTTGAGATCTCTGGCCCAGACAAGCCGGAACTGACCCTCGTGGATCTACCGGGATTGTACTACTCCACTAGCGAGGATCAGGGAGAAGAGGGCAAGAAAATCGTCCGCAGCCTGACAGAAAAGTACATGGAGAACTCTCGAAGCATCATCCTGGCCGTGATCAGCGCCAAAAGCGACTACCACATCCAAGAGGTCCTGAATATCGCAGCGCAGTTTGATCCACAGCGTGAACGAACACTTGGCATAATCACCCAACCGGATACTCTGGAAGCTAACTCAAGGCTGGAGGATATGTACCTTCAGTTCGTCAAGAATGAGAAGGTTCGCTTGCTGTTGGGGTGGCATGTCCTGCGTAACCGATCTTTCGAGATACGGGACATCTCAGACGATGCCCGAGATGAGATGGAGAAAGCATTTTTTAACAAAGGACGATGGACCAGCATATCTCGCGAATGGGTGGGGATTGATAGCCTCAGGCGTCGCCTTAGCCTGGTTTTATCCAAACTCATCCAGCAGAACATTCCAGGCTTAATTAAGGACATCCAACAGGAGATCTCCGAGCGTCAGCAGAAATTGTCCAAACTCGGTCCTGCTCGATCGACGCTTCAACAGCAACGGGGCTTCCTTCTGGATATAAGCAGAAAATTCGAGCGGCTCATAGGGCAGAGCTTGAACGGAATATACGCGGACGAGTTCTTCGGTGGCCTGGATAGCACGAAAGGGGATAGGAGACTTCGGGCCGTCATTCGCGAGTTGAACGAGTTCTTCGCAGAAGCAATGACGGTCGGAGGCTGCCGCCGGAAAATCTTGGAAGTCGGCGAAGAGCCGATGCCATCCACTGAGATTGAGAAGCTTCGGACAAACTGTTACATGAGGAATTGGATACCGATTTATGCACAACGTTCTACTCTTGAGCGTGAGATTAGCGAACAAGCGCGACAGAATCGGGGCATTGAGCTGCCAGGAAATGCGAATCAGTTACTTGTGGGGAGCTTGTTCCGTGACCAGTCCAAACCATGGGAAGAACTCGCGAGAGACCACTTGATGACGGCGTGGGAAGCAACAAGATACCTTGCATGTCGCGTTCTCCAGCATCTCACCGACGAATATACGTATTCAATACTCGTGGGAGCTGTTCTTGAACCAGAAATAGATAGTATGCAAACTGCATTGCAGCATAAACTCGGCGAACTCACTGCATACACGAAACGGGGCCATCCGCTGCCTGTGGGAACTGGCTTCCTTACTCGAATTCAGAAAGTCAGGGGTGAACGACAGCTCGCCTCTCTCAAGAGCAAGCTGATGGGTTTGCATGAGCAGTCTCCAATTTTCTTAGGCCCGTCCTCAATATTCAGCCTTCATGATCTCGGAAGAGTTACGTCGGACTTAGAGCAATCCAGAGACCAATTTGCAGCAACTGAAATCATCGATCAGATGCAAGCGTACTACGATGTGAGTCTGACAACCTCCTCCAAAGCTATAAGTTACTAGTAGCATCTACCCTTCTTAAACCTTTTGTCCTACAGTCTCTCTAAAACAACACGTATTTAGACTGCGATTGTCACCTTTGTGGAGAACGTTGCAATACTGGGCATCGAGAATTGCCTTCTCTACCCTCTACAGAGTATCTTCACAAGCGAAACCGTTAATAATATGGATGATAGTAAGATTCGAGAACTTGCCTCGGAACCGTCGTTCATTCAAGAAGAACGAGGGCGTTTGACACAGGAGCTTGAGAAGCTGGAAACTGGTCTGCAAACGCTCAAAATCTTCGACAGCAAGATGCCATCGCTACGAAGTCTAAATCTAACCGTTTCTGGTAAGTTAGTAGTTTAAAATTCCAGGGTAGGCGTCGGCTTCATCTGAGATTAACGGGAGCCACATAGCTACGTCCGGTCCCGCAGCTGCATCAGCTACTCCAAGCATCTCCAACAGGTTTGGTAATTCAAAGCCAGCTCTCAAGACATATCCTTTTCAAGGTAAGACACGTATGCCAGTGGAAAGAAACTTGTGGCTAATCAGACTACGAGCTCTAGGAACAAGACCGAGCTCGGGATTCATGTCTAGCTTGGGGAACAGACAATCAACAGCAACAGGGCAGCCCTCGCCAAATGTGAGCCAGTCAGCGCCAGCTGTTGGCATAAGTTCAAAAAATACATCTTCGACAACTACAGGGCTGTTTGGCACTAACCAGGCGAGAACATCTTCAACGGCTCCACCAAAGTCACTTTTCGGTGTACTACCTAATGCAGGCTATGGAAGCACACCTCCGACGACTGGAGGGCTGTTTGGCTCTAGCTGGCGGACAACGCCTTCAGTAGCTTCATCAAAGCCAACTTTTGGTTCATCACTTGATGGAAGCGCACCTCCAAAATCTGGAGGGTTGTTTGGCTCTAGCCGGGCGAGCACCCCTTTAACAACTACAGAAACTCCCTTCTCGACTAACCCTCAATCAACTTCGGTAAATAGCTCGCTTCCGGTGACGGCGGAAGGACAGCTGCCAAGTCGCTCTCAGCCACCGTCTGGGACCAGCTCCGTCAATACGACTTCAGTTCCAGCGCAAAGTACTGTTTCACCATGGAGGGCAAGCAAAGCATAGTTCGCCTTCCTCCGCCTACTCTTGGTGGGCCTGCAAATACAGACACAGACAGTGGTAGCAGTCGTCAAGCCCTGAACTAATGCTAACACAAGTGTATCTTGGACTAGGATACAGGGTAAAACCCAATCTTCAAATGACCTACCTGTTCCTCCAAGCACAAAAAATCAGTTCAAGTACGATCAAAACTTTTTTTTTTCTCTTGTTTCTTTCAAGCTCTTAGCTCCTTTCATACCAACTTGCACGCTTTTTTTTATCTCATGCTTGAGTTTGATTACATACTTTATTTATCATCCAAATTGGACTGGGCCTCCAAACCTTCAGCACAAAGACTTCCTTACTTGGCTTTCTTGTATATGACAGGGTTTATCGTGTACCAGACAGCACCACAGGTCAAGAATCTCACATGCAGCACATCGCATGTTTTAACCCGTTTGCCAAATACTCGCCTGAGGTTCGTGAGTTGACTTCTGTTTGCATCCGATCCTGTAGCCATCATGTCCATTATCCTAGAGGCCATACGAGCTAAAACTGGCCCACATAAGGAGCTTCGACTGGTGGATTATGCGCGAGGTGATGTCGTGTGTTTGTCAACATCTACTCCATCTATGTTGCCTTGAATATTTCATGATATCTAGATCCAATAGTAATACAGACGACAGAAAATGAAGAGTTTCAACATATATGCCACTATGTAGGATTTTCATACTGCCATCAGGGAGACTTTCCCCTTCTGGATGCCACCACCTTCATGAGGGTAGTGAGTATTTCACGTCATGGAATCTCCACATGGGACATGATGCTGCTCAATCCTCTGAACGTTGCAGTTGGTCATTGACTATACAGACTTTTATTCTATCATCACCGCGACTTTTCCTTTCAGGACGTGACTGCTTTTATGATGCTCAGTCATCAGTCATGTGCCGCATGAGCTGCTTGTATTTTGTGTGGAGCAAGGATTGGAGCTCTTATCCCTGATTTAAAACATAAGACACAGAGAGAAATCATTCTCTTAAGAATGCAAACTCTCAATCTCAATAGGAACAGATGTGTGAGGCCTGCGGTCCGGAAGGCGCAGGTCAGGCGTCACGGGTACCGAGTAGCGCAGATACTGGCTACGAGGGGTTCTGAGGTGCGCAATAAGGAGCGGTAAGAAAGGGTGAACGTGCGTGTAGCCTTCGCACAAAGCTAACCGCTGGTCTTCGTAGAGACTCCGGCGGTTAGGAGGATGATGAGGATCTAGTGGTTAACTATGTCGGACAGGTGGATTATCTAATAATCCAGCTCCGGGAGGAAAGGTGCAACAAGCATTAAGCATGATGATGATAGTGCTTTGTTCCATACCGCACTCAAAGGGCTTAAACTGGGCTAGCTACCCAGGCTTGTGCTTGGAAAGAGATGATATATAACGTCACATTCTCACCGTCATCAAAATAGTTGTAAAGGATACCTAACTACACAGGAATATTAATATTTCCGGTAGGTAAGCAAAGCTACGGTCGGAGGTGCGGAATTGGCTGACGGGTCAATGTTCCTACGCCCGTGCTGGCATACGCTAGTATTATGTCTGTTTTCCGAGACAATCTCCCCCTCCACCAAGTTCCCGCTTGAACTGCACTATTATTGAAATCAATTTTCATGCTCATGGTTATTCTACCGCTTCACCTTGCTCCATCCATGATGACTACCTTCTCTCATCAAAATACATTAGACCCCACTCTCGTTCCCGGAGCAAGGCTGACAGCAGGTCTACCTGTATTATGCTATTATGCTGAGCTGGGTGGGTCACCGAGCCGGTTATTGTGCCTACAGGACAGGCTTATAGTGATTATACGCAGACATGCACTCAAATCGGGCAATTGTGAAGCTCAACAGTGGAGCAGAGGACGTTTTAACCGCAGCGATCCAAGCCAAGCGATACACCACTATCTCTAGTTGTGGATAACAGGCCAATGACAACCTATTTCTGATACTTGGCGGGGCACCTGAGATACTAAAGGGTTTGGGTTCGACCCCTTCCATTATCGTTCGCGAATCCCCGCTTCCCTTCTTCCACGCCAGTATTTGCATCCTGAATTGCAGAATCAAATATGGGCCTAGGCCCATATCCCGCATATAATGGCGCGGAATATGGATGTACTATCTGCAAAAGGCTTTTTGTTTCCGAATCCGCTGTTGACACATTGCAAGAAAACATCACGACATGAACGGTGTGAAAGATACGGCCAGGCGTCCATTTCGACTGCTGACAAAGATACGCATCTTCGTGCGTCCAAGAGACACAATCAATATCTGTTTTATTTGTCCCTATCATCTCGATTACAAAACCATAAGTCCGCAGCAATATCTCCTGCGAAAGCAGCGCTGCCAATGACATATATGGAATTCTCTACAAGTAAAGCGCAGCACACCCACTTCACGCCTGAAACCTTACGGACTTACGGAATAGAGGGGTTCTAAATTGTGTCCCGCACACGATAAAGGCACGGCGCTAACCTCGGCCAATCGGGTGTGCCTTACCAGGAGTGGGGAAGGCAGCCTGGTCATAATTGAAGTTGGCATTTGACATTGTACCTCGCTTCAGCAGGAGGTATTTTCTTTTACAATATCCCTGCCACGGCTTCCCCAAGGATAATAGAGGAATCTCGCAGCAAACATCCCCAATGGCGGATCCTTTGAGCGTTACTGCCTCGGCGCTGGCTATCATTACGGCCGCTGTACAATCGGCGAAGTCGCTCTTTGAAACTGTAAAACGCTTTAAAGATCGCGACAAAACTTTAGGTAGGCTTCAAGATGAGCTTGGGGACCTCACCAATATCTTGGACGCGTTGGCCCAAGTGGCCAACACTGAAATGTCAATGCTGGCACTTCTTCAAGATCCTATAAAACGATGCAGTCAGGTATGCCGCGAATTCGAACAATCGATGAAAACTTTCAGTGGGAAGTCAAAGACTGGCCTTCGCGATTGGGCAAAGATGGAATTTATGCGAGGTGATATCAATGAATTTATAGACACCGTCGCAGGGTATAAGTCAACGATCTCAGTCGGCCTGGGCACCATAACTATGTCAGTCGCGATTCTTTGCCCACCTCTGACTCTCCTGACGTTTTCCCATTAGGCAAGCCACCAAAATTTCTCATAAAGCTCTTGAAGAGTACAATGAAATGGTTCAGGACACAACACATAATCTTAAGGTCCATTTACAGCGTATTGATGAGAAATTGGCGCGATTTTCTATTGATACGACCGATACCTCGGGAATAAGCCTAGACCTGAAGGACGAGAGAGAAGTAACCAAACAATGCCTTCGGGTCTGTCAAGACGCGATGTCTTATATTGAATCATTGACAAATCGAGAATCGTATTTACTGCAAGAGATACCTCACAGCACTGCTGAAGATGACATGCAAAACTTCTTCGACGCGCAGTTGCTAACACGTCAAGCCCTGGACAAAAATCGAGATAGGTCTTCGAAAACATCTCCAGTGTTGTTCTTCACAGTCCGGGCAATGGCGATTCTTCGCTGGTCTTCATTCAGAAACCAGGCTGTTCCGACCGAGTCCGGGAGAGTGATGAACATGGTCAGGCCATAGGCGCAGGTAATGGAGCCTTCGATAAGGAAGAGGATCTTCCAACGCGGCAGGGAAGGATTGTCAATGGTACCTACGCCATAGGCAATCAAGCCGCCGACAATGATGGCAAGGCAATTCCCAAGGAACCACGCTGCTTGACGCATCGGCTGCTCCTTGCGCGTATAGAACATGCCTGTCAGCAGTGAGAAGCCCGGTGCAACGGCAGCCTCTGCGGCACCGAGGAAGAACCGCTGGGCCATCAATCCTGAAAACGATTTGCAACCGGCCGTACACATCAAGATCCCGCCCCAGACCGTCACAACCAGGGCGATGTACTTGCCAATGGGGAACCGGACAATGAAATAAGAACTCGGTGCACTGAACGCTAGGTAGCCGAAGTAAAAGATTGAGGTACACCATGAAAACTGGGAGCCGTGCAAGCCCTGACCGATTGAGCGTCAGTAACCCTTCTTGCCGACCCAAGGTGAGAAGAGACTTACAAGCCCGCCGTTTCCAACGTCTTTTATCCCAAGGAGGGTAGACTGTGACAAAGCAGCCTTGTCCAGATACTGAAGGGCATAACATATACCCATGATAGGCATGAGACTAGGTAGAAAGCAGATGTCAGACGAGTGATATGGCCGTACCCTCTCGATCCAAGAGGCACTTACCACCAGTCGATCTTGCGCAGCGTTCTCTGGTTTTCTTCGTGCGTCACTTCGTCAGGAATTTCCGCCAGCCGTGCGGCTTGTTCAGCCTTCTCGTCGACAACTGACTCGAGCTGTGCCGGGTCAAGGCCCAGTTCACTCCGAGAAAGGCCACCCTCGACCTTCTTTTCCATCTTGCCCAGGCGAGAGTCAAGTAGTCCTCAGAAATGAGTGATAATATATCGACCGACTATGAGGGACGACAGATAGAAGGGCCGGTTGGAGAAGCAGCAACTTGGGATACCGCGCGCCTTTATGCTTTTCGAGACTTGCAAGTCGGGGTTCGACGCTCATATAGAGCATGTATACATAGGAAGTAGGCTGATGTCTTATCTCTCATTTCTCGAGCGAATTCGTATATGGAGATGAGAGATAGGAAGTTCATGTATTACGCAGTGCCATGGGGGGGGGATGTCGGGAAAACCTCAGCCAGTCGCGATCCTGCACCCCACAACCCCAACCCCTGGCGCGGCGAAAGGTTAATGAAGCTAATGAAGGAGAATGGGTCAAGACGAAGCCGATGCCTGGAACCGAAGCAGAGTTGCTGTTTCTTGGCCCTGTCGGCAAACTGTCGGCCAATCACCGGTGCTGTCAATATCGGTGGACTCTCCCGAGAGTCCAAACTACTGCTGTGCCAACCGGTGATATGCATCGGACAATGGATCGGGCTGTTTTATCTCGTCGGATTGGGCCATGGGACAATTTGCAAGAGGTGGAATTCTACCGGTGATGCCGGCGACGTCCCGGCGAAAAATGGGTATAAAGAACCGGCGCATTCATATGTTCAGACTCGCCGGCCACAGCACACATAGTCAACATGACTACAGATCCTAATCCTAGCAGCGTGGTGGGAGAGATCAAAGCGGAAGTCGACGCGATTGTGGAAAGACTGAGCCAGAAGCTGCGAGATCTGAACAGGACGGTATGGTAAACACGCGGCTCGCTTGGCAGATGTTGACATTGCTGATTGATTTGCAATGCAATGCAGATTTGGGAGAATCCAGAGATTGGCAAGCATGAGTTCAATGCGCACAACACGATCTGCTCCTTCATGGAAGAACTAGGGTACACTGTCACCCGTTCGGCATATGGCATCCCAACTGCCTTCGAGGTCCTCTCTGGCTCTGGCGGCCGGCTGGTCAACTTCAACGCCGAATATGACTCCCTACCTGGTATTGGACATGCTTGCGGTCACAATCTTATTACCACAAGCTCTGTCACAGCCTTTCTGTCGCTCTCCATGACGCTGAAAAGGCTCAGGATGCCGGGGAGGGTCCAACTGCTGGGAACTCCGGACGAAGAAGGAGATGGTGGGAAAGTTAAGCTCCTCGAGAGAGGTGCATACAAGAACGTCGATGTCTCCCTGATGGCGTATGTTGCATGTCCAGTGCTTTTGGGCCGTCGCGCTGATGGATTGACCTAGACACCCCTTTGAAGGAACCGATTCTGGTGACGGCCACTTCTACCCCGATGGCATTGCGGGATTCCGAATGGTGGCTCGTGAGCGAATTGCAGCCGAATTCATCGGCAAAGCTGCGCACGCAGGAAGCAATCCGTGGGACGGCGTCAACGCTCTGGACGCTGCGGTAGCAGCATATAACAACCTGGCTCTTCTGCGACAGCAGATCCAAGCAAACGAGAGGATCCATAACGTTTTCGTCCAGGCGGACAAAACGGTTAATATCATCCCTGCCTATGTGAAATGCGCATACCAGGTCAGGAGCCCTCGTCTGAGCGGCCTGAAGGTTCTTGTCGAAAAGGTCACCAATTGTATCAAGGCTGCTGGGCTGGCGACAGGCTGTGAGGTCAAGATTCAGAGGCAAGTGCCGTTTCGTCGTTTCACTTCCTATTATTCTGCTCGTGTTTCTTTCTTTCGGCTAACACCTCCACTGTAGCGACTCATGCTATGCAGATATCGTTATCAATGACACGCTTTGCGACCTCTACAAATCGCATATTGCAAACTACGGCCATGAAGTACAAAGGATCATCCCCGTTGTGAAGGTCGGCTCAACCGATCAAGGTGCGTTGTTTCAATCCGCAAAAGTTATCGAGAAACAATAGTAATGATATGTTCAATGTATAGGCAACGTCAGCCACCAGGTTCCTGCAATCCATGCAATGTTTGTCATTCCAACCGAAAACAAAGCTGGACCGCATAGCAAAGGATTTGAAGCCGGCGCAGGGACGGATATTGCACATGAAAGAGCGTTGGTTGTGGGGAAAACACTTGCTCAGGTTGGGTATGATGTCCTGACAAAGGACAAGATCTATGAAGCAGTCAAAGCAGATTGGCTCAGGAATAAGGCTTCGTATTAGGCACATGAAGCCTTTCCTACAACCAACAGTCGGCACCGCTCCCTTTTCGGGGAGTATTTCCATAGTCACGGCGAACGGCGAACATTAGTTTTGAGCCATAAGGGAACTTTCCACCCCCCATTCTGCCATTGCTACACTTGTATGATCTGTATCTAGGGTTTCAGCTTTCAACATTAGTCGTGTTTGATCCCATTTCATAGATATTTCAAGGAATGTTATTTGCCGGCGAAGATACGACCTATCAACCACATCCAGACCGAAAGAGCGTCATTAAATCCAATGTGTCGGTCTTCCCTGATCTCATCGCATCCTGCAGCGCTTCGGTCACCAATGGACTCTCACTATGCAGGCCGCTCAAATCCTGAATTCTGGCAAGAATCCAAGCGCGGCATGCCGTATCCCTCGTTTGTAAACCAGCCATCAAAAGGGCCCAGGTGTGCGGAGCGAGAAAGCGTCTGCCCCGTTCATAATCCGTTCGTGTGATTTGCAATATATTATTTATCGCTACCTGAGTTTGTGTCTGACTGCAATCGAACATTCGATAGTAGAACAAAATCTGGGCCCAGTAGGATGATGCTGCACAGCGCATTGTGTGGAAGACGCGGCGGGTTTGTCCCGTAGCAGGCAGGCTGGCGGTCATGAGGATGTCTTGGTACTTCTATGATGAAGGGAAGAAGTTGTCAGCTTTCTTTCCTCCCCGCAAGGATCATGATGGAAGGGGGAGAGAGTTGGCCATAGTACTTACATCTGCAATTTTCGTGAGGTCTTCCATCAACATCTCAGGTGAGTCTTCAGTTTGCTGCCCTTCAGACCTCGACACCCCTAGCTGCCAAATTCTGGAACGTAAAAGATTGTTTAAATGAAGCAGCTCCAAAGGACGGTAATTCTCTATGTCGTCCAGCACTTCATTTTCAGGGTATTCACCTGCCCAGATATGGCGGCCAGCCAACCGAGACTTCCGATAGAGGAGTTCAATTTTCAGCTGCGGGACAGCCGACTCGGACATTCTCGTCATGAGACTCCGAGAGCAGAGGCCCTGGCCTCCAATGACATCGAGGTATCTATTTGATCTAGTTAGCAATCATATTGAGTCTAAAGCGATTTGGCGATTCTTACGAGATCCATAAAAGGATTTGGGAAGAAAGGAAAGATAGCCCATCATCGACTTGGCCACCCCATCTCGTTCCAGTTTGGTGCTGCTCGCCATTCTCCAAGGCTGTATTCAGTAGCATACTTTCGTAAGAATTATATAATGACCTCACGCCTTCAAGATGCAGACGGAGATGACGCCGTGAGTAGCCGAATCTGACTTCGTACTCGATCATAAAGAACAGTGCGGGTAATAATGATTCCAGCCGCTGCTTTTCATTGCCGTAGGACTTTTGTGCGAGGGACATTGACAAGTCCTTAACAGCGAGGCTATAGTGGGCCAATCCAATATCACTTGAGGTTCCATTAGCCGTTATCTCATCGCGCTTCCTTTGGTGGATTTCGCTCGCAGAGATGGCCAGCATCATTCTCATGACAAGTTGATCGTTGGGGACAATCTTTTGTTTGATGTAAGATAGTTTCGACCATTGCCATGGCTTTCGATATTCGAGAACCATGGACGTGTTGGGGTAATAATCCAAACATTCCCAGTCATGCGGTGTCAAAAGAAGTGAGTTTGCGCAGGGTATATGGCTAGCACTCAGGGTGGGAAAAAGAAGAAGGTTTGGACTAGCAGCAACGGGTGAGACGAGATATAAGGAAGCACGACAACAGCCATTACCGCTATAGAGTGCGTCGCAGGACTTTACCGGTGCCCTGTCATCCTGTAGACCCAGCAATAGAACGTCAGAGCAACTTGATTGCGCTGAGTCGGCGGTTGTCGAGAAAGATGGAGATCGTGCCGTAGGCCCATCCTGGAACCCAGAGAGTCCAGGCTGCCTTGGCCTCAGCGGCTTAATGGGGCTAGTCACTCTGTGATCTTTCTTTCTCGGACCTGACTTTCTTCTCTTCCGTACTGTCCAGTCACAGTCTCTCTTCAACACGGCACAACGACGGCAGATGGGCCGCTGCTCGTCGCATTTGACCTTTCTTGCCAGACAAGTATTGCATCCTAATCCATGCAACAGCAAGGCGACATAGTCAGGGCGCAATCCAAGTAGGTGATTATGGAACAACCCATACCTGTCTTGGAGCGGGGAGCATGCCTCCCAAGCTTCAAGCGCGAATTCGACGGAGAGGCGCTCATTTATTACGATGGTAGTATATAAAGTCCACCATCCAAGGCAAAAGCAACAGGAATTGCTTCATCATACAGGTTTGAGTAATTGGATACGAGGATGAGGTCCAAACCATTGGCAGGACATGGCTGAGACGGGCCGTCCACGTGACCACACTCTCCACGGCTTCATTCCACTGTCAAGCCATTTTCTCTCTTTATCTTTATTTACTATAGCCCGGCATCGGCTGAAACACATTGTCCAAGCAACTGACCCATACCATCAAAACTGTATAAGCACAGAAGAACAGGGTATCATAAATTCTCATCTCATGAAAGCATCCATGGTCCATAACATAAATTCCGATTGCTCCATAGCAATAATATTTTTTCGATCTCTGGTACGCCTTTCAGGTGCTTTTTCCTGTTGCACACTAAAGATGTCGAACTCTCCAAGAATGACGGTGAGGAAGTCAGAGCGAATCACTGCCACCTTGCTGAAAGTCAATTGGCAAGTATAAGCTTGCTCAAGGAAACCCCCAAGACGCTCAGGACCTGTCATCCTTGGGAATGGGCAAGTTCATCATAGACAGCAAATTTCCTGCAGGCCCCGCCCCACCAGCCTGCCCTTCGATGCTTTGCAGCAAATTCTTCATGAGGTTGATATTAGGATTATCATCCTCGTCCTCAACACTCTCATCGTTCTGGGGCTGGTCGACATTGGATTTCTCGGGTTTCTTGCTCCCGGATTGTATCTGCCCTTTTTTGTTCCGTTCCTGGGGACGGCGGTTTAGGTCAAGAACTCCTGTCCCCTTCAACTCCGCTTCCATCTGCTTAGATAGCTCCTGTATCTGTTCCACATCATCATCATCCTCCTCCTCCTCGGATGCAGAGTCCAATTCTTCTATCCGATTAGATGCTCGAGAAGCGCCGTGGAGACCGGGCATTGAAGGCATGCCCATCATTTCCTTCATCATTCGAGAGAACTCCTCTTCATCGAATGATGCTTCTTTATCTTCCCCTTCGCTGCTCATATCTTCCTCATCCTCTCCATCATCAGAGTCAGAACCAAAGTCATCAATGAAGTCGGCCCCTTCAAAGCCAGCCGAGTTATCGTTTAGAAATTCTTCAAAACGAGAAACGATACGCTGGAGGTTCTCTTGGGCATTAGCATCTCCAAAAGATCCTTTATCCTTGCGCTCATTTTTGTTATCCTTTCCCCTTCCCTTTAGCTCCCTATCCAAATCCTCGAAGCTTATGTCCAGCCACTTTTCATCATCCTCCCGCTTACTCCAGAACCTTTCAACCTCCTCATCCGTGGGCAGTTCCTCATCTCCTGTATCGACATCTTCTAAGAGTAACTTCATTTCCCGTACCGCTGCTTTGTCCTGATTTTGTGGATCACACAATAGCATTTCGAAACCACATGTTAATTTCATCCCTGTCTCTGCACGATCATGGATCTTTCGATCATTACTCGAAGGTAGTTTTCCAACCCAAGACTTCGGAACAGGAAAATCCTGACTCTTAAGCTGTGCATAGCCTACCCTGGTGAACCGCACGCTGACTGTGACGAAATCTTCGGGTTTGAAAATAAGGTTGCTCGACTCCTTGCCTCGAAGCGGCCGCAAAGCAATCGGATCTCGTAGATAAAATGATTCAACAGCCGCGGACACATAAGCTGGCTTCTGCCGTAATAAATACGCAACTCTGCGTGGGATCGTGACCATCGCAGAGTGAAGGTTCTCGTTAATCTGCTCAGGGTAATTGCGTAGCCGATAGAATGCCTCTTCTTCAATCATGACGGAGTGTGATAAACGTTCTGGTTCATCCTTTATGATCCTCCTCGCATCTTGAAGCGATATCTTCTCGGTGACTTTCCTCGAATGCTTAGCGTTATGTTTTGGTTTTATGATCACAAGTTGCCCTTGATGTATCCATACCTAAGGGTTTCCCGTTAGTATCGCATCACGGACATATAGCAGAGATATTAAGAGAGAAACTCACTCTATTATCCGCCACTTCAGGCTCTAGCCAAGCAGGTAGTGCCCCGGCAGCCTCAACTAAAAGGAATTCACCATCGCTATCCACAACCTTGACCCAAATATCCTTATGCTTCTTCGTTAGCTCGCGCAGTATATATACGATCACCCATTCATCTTCAATAGAGTCTCCAAAGTTTGTCCGCCCGCGCAAATATGTAATTCCTATAGAACAGAGACGATTAGCATGGTCATATACCATATACTCCACGTTGAAAATGAAGAACGCCACATACCACCTTCCTTAGCTATCTCGAGACGGAAACTCTCACGCTGCCAAATATAATCTTTCAGAAGGTCCTTTGTCAGTTCTGCTGCAGTTCGCTGAACCTCGACTAGTCGTGCTCGCGTTTCTGAGATTTCATCAACGGAGGCGCCGCCAGGGCCGGATGGAACGTGGTAGAGTGAGTATTCGATAGAATCATCGGGAAGCTGGGGTTTTGGAATTGGGTGGAAAGTGGACTTAAACCACTCGATATCCTCTTGCGACATGGGCGCCATGGTTGGATCCTCGACACTGCAAGGGCTCAACAGCAGTCTACTCAAGATATCTGAAAATAAGTTACGCCCATGACTTCATTCTTGGGTATTATTTGTATCTGCAATACGAAAGTCTAAACGAATTTTACGACTAGTAATCTCACGTGATTTATTTGATGAGTCAGCAGAACCGCGTCGGGGCTAAGCTGTTTTGGGCTAAAAGTCAACATCACCGCCCAAAACACGTCGGGCTATGAAGGTTCATTTCGCCTCAACAGCTTGCTCTTCCTTCTGCAATCATATTTACGATGCCGGCGATGAGAATTACTATTTCACTGTGAACGAGTCCTACTCACTTTGAATAAATACCAATAATCCTTCTCATGTTCCCGACATCACAATGCCGTATCCATACATCGACACTCCGCGCACCGAAGCGGACGGGAACGCGACCTACATGACCGGCTACCGCAGCGCGGGACGAACTCACTTATCTGCACTCGACTCGGTTGAGAACTCATTTCAAACACCCTCAAAAGACGAAGATATAATCAAGACTATTGAAAATGGGCGGAAACGCAATTCCGGCGGATTCAAGCTCACGACTCCGCGAGCAGGATTGGGTCCTAAACCGACCAGGAGTGCGCTGCGGCACCTTCCAGCGGCGGCACCCGCGAAGGGGGAGTTTACTCCATTAATGCAGAGCGCTACGAGAAATAATATGTTGAAGAACATGTCTGCGGTCCGAGGGGCCGGCGGTCCGAAAACTCCTGCCTACCTGAAGTCAAATTATAGAAGCAATGGCAATACTCCCGGCTTGCCCGAGATGACAGGTATATACGAAGATGATGTGATGGAGGATGAGGCGACTCCTGTTCCACATGTTGCAAGTAGTAGCGCCCAGAGTACACCACTTCCGATGTTGCCTGGAAGAGACGGAGGTTTCCTGAACGATGGGCAAAATATGATGACTTTGAAGGAGCAGGAAAGGGTATTATCCTATAATTCCGACTCGATGTCTGACCTCAAAAAACAGTCGATCACTAACTTTGATACAGGTCATCGATAAACTGGAGAAGGATAATTTCGGACTGAAGTTAAAGATCCATTACTTGCAAGAACAAATAGAGAAAGCCGGTCCAGAATATAATCAAGCAGCCCTTAAAGAGAATACTGAGCTGAAAGTGGCAAAATTAACAATACAACGAGACCTCTCGCGTTACAAGAAAGGTCTCCTCCAAGCTGAGCGTGACCTTCAAATATACCGTGCGCAAGTTCAAGAACTCCGAGAAAAGAACCGAAGAAGGCAAACCGACGAGACCATACAACGGGAAATGGATCTGATGCGCCAAGACATTGAGACAAGAGACGCCCAAGTGAAGAGTCTTCAGAATGAACTTCGAGATGTAAAAAGTAAGCAGTCAGAAGTGGTCGACAGCCTTCGAGATGACATCGAGGATTTGGAGGCAACGGTGAGGGAGAAGGACCGCATGATCGAAGAACGCGAGGAGGAAATTGAAGAATTGAAGGACAAAGATAATAAGGAACACTTTGCGGTTTCTGAACTCCAGACAGAACTCGAACGCGCCAAGGAACAGCTGGAAGATTTGCAGAAAAGTCTCGACCAAGCCAAGTCTGCTGCTAGGGAGGCGCAGGATGCTGAGAAACGAGCAATGCAGGAGAAGGCGCAAGCAGAAGACGATCTCAGGGAGCTTCACGAGGAGATGGCGAACAAGTCTATCAGCACAAAAGGACTTAGTCGTCAATTGGAAGAGAAGGCCAGCAGGCTAGAAGGAGAAGTCCATGAAATGCAGCAGGAACGTTATGACCTTCAAACAGAACTCAAGCGAACAAAGGAACAAAGTCGTCAATTAGAAGAAAAAGCGAGCAGGCTAGAAGGAGAAGTCCATGAAATGCAACGGGAACGTTATGATCTCCAAGCAGAACTCAAACGAATCAAGGAGGAACTGGCGGAGACAAAGGAAAATCTTGACAAAGCCAAGTCTGCATGTGAAGAAACAAAGGATTCTGCAAAGCGTGCATCGCAGGAGAAGGATAGGGTCAAAGAGGAACTCAGGCAACTGCATGAGGAGATGGCCAATAGATCCCTCGGTAGAGGATACAGTCGCCAACTGGAAGAAAAGGCAAATAAGCTTGACAAGGAGCTTCGCGAAACCCAGCGGGAGAACCATGCTATTAAGAAAGAACTAGACGCCAAGACACAACACGAATCGCGTCTTGAAGAGCAGTATGAGAGAATGAAAGAGCAGGCCGAGGAAAATCTTAAGTTGCTACAGGATGAAATGGCAAATAAGTCATCTGGCACTAAAAAGATCAATCGTCTGTTTGAGGAACGGGAGAAAAAACTAGAGCAAGAACTACGCGAAGTGCAGGAGGAACATGATGCTCTAAGGAAGGAGCTTGACCGCAAGACGCAACACGAATCATACCTTGAGGAACAGTATCAAAGAATCCAACGAGAGATGGAAAGCGAAAGACGCGAATCACAAGATGCGGAGGAGGCACGCAAGCGCGAAAAGGCCTTGCTCCAGCGTGAAGCGGATCAGATGGCTTCCTCTGTCCGTACCTACAAATCGCGCATTGCAGAGCTGGAGAAGGAGCTTCATGAAGCATTGATGAGGAAGTTTGATACCAGGTCTCCTCACTCCTCACCGTCCAGCAAACTTCATGAAGAGCTGCGTAGTTTGCGGAGAGAGCTATCCGATACACATCGCTCCTTAAGGGATCTGAAAATGAAAAATCGTGACCTGGAGCATGCTATGATGAGGGAAGAGGACCAGCGAGATCTCCACGAGCTTCTCAAGACATCGACTCTTGAGGCGGAATCGTTGGCGCTGAAACTGTCCGAGCGAGATGCCCGCGTGCACGAGTTGAAAGCCCAGCTACGTCGGATTCGTGAAGAGCGAGCAAATTATGTAGACAAGGCCGAGGCGGTGGGAAAAGAGCTGGAAGCTCTTCAAGATCGTTATGAGCAGGCCTTAGAGAAGCTATCGACATCCAATACGGAGAACAGGAGCAAACATGAGAAGGAAGTGCGAGGCTTAGGTAAAGAAATAGTCTGGCTTCGAGCAAGGTTGAAGCGAGAGCAGCGGTTCCGCCGCGATCTTGCCTGGAGTAAGGGACTGATGGAGCTTGGGGAACGTGTCAGAGTTGCTTGGTACGTGGTATCTTTTCATCCTGATCTTCTCTATATGTTGCTGACTTTTTTTACTACTACAGTAATCAAGCTGACCTTAGAATGGTTGCGGAAATGGGTATCAAACCGCACGAGTCGAACAAGGACCTTCAGAATCCACGACAGAAATTGAAGCGCACAATTTCCACCGTCATAGCAGCCATCCGGATCCAGAGAATGGCCCGCGAGTGGAAGAAGACAAGGGAATTAGGCGAGAACCTGAAACGCGCAAAGGACGAGGTGCTCAAGAGGAGGAGAAGTTCAAAGAAGGGCCTGCAATGGTAATCTATCATTTCTTCACAGTTTTATCTTCACTTGCTTTCATACTTACTTTCAGATGTTGTAAAGAGATTCCCCTATTGTGTTTGTTCTTTGTACACGACTTTGGCATTCTCAATCTGGCCCCAGAACTGGTTCCTCGAGGCTTGGGATGCGATGAATGGCGTTTCTTGGCTGAAAAGGGTCATGCTAGTAACTTGCGAGCATTATATTGCGTTTCATTATTTATGGACTTTCGGATATTGTTTAGTTCTAAAGGGTATCCCATGAGTAGCTTTTGCCCTACTTGACTACAAGGATAGAAGTAACCATCAGCAGCAGCGACATCAAGGCACTGGTCCATTATCAGGGAGCAAGCGTCGTAGTGATTATCATGCAAGTAGCAGTAATATTCGCTCTATGGGATCAGTATGTACCTCCCCCATGTTGAAGCCCCAAGACCAAAAGCCCTTTCAAAACAGGAATACAAAATGCCAGTTTTAGAGACCAAAAAAAGGGAAAAGACAGACAAAGAATGATCAATTCCCAAGTGACAAGCTATACACTCCATGAGGAATATAATATTTATTTAACGCCTTGGTTTATTCCACCCATCCACTCCCCTTATTTCACTTCAAAGCAAAGTGGTATATGTAACAGGATGTGTTTCATCATAGTCATCATGAGTTGGCATCACGGTTCACGGTCTCATGCACTTGGGTTTGGGTTCATCTGTTTTGTTTCAAGGGACCATCGATGTCAGACTTTAAGGCCAATGTTCCATGAAATGAAACGAAAATAATTCTCTATGATATGAGATGCATACCTTGCGCTTGCCACCCGTCATGGTAACATTGACAAATCGACGAGTGTAGAGGTCTCTCTTGTGGGCGCGACCCTTGGGCGTCTTGGGGTGCTCTTCTTTCTCGACCTGAATAGTAGTAACGGGAATGTGAGTTAGGAGTTCATCTCCGTAGACGTCAAAAAATGCATGATCCTATGAGAAAGGGGACTGCAAGACTAACTTTAGGAGTTGCGCTCTTGACCTTGCCTATGTATTTGTTAGCACAATCATGTCTCTATTACAGAATACTAGCTAGGTAGGGAACTGGTGGCTATCTCACCTGCACGGGCAAGACTTCCGTGGACCTTTCCCATTTTTGCGATAGATGTAGATGTATTCGGTCTAGGTTCTGCTATGTCTCTGTCTGTTGAGATGGAGTTTCTTGAGTCTGCTAGCTACGGAGACGGTGACAATGATGCGTGAGATATTTCTATTTCTGCCTGTCGCCACAAGAGGTGGATTACATAATGACAGCTATACTGCTTTGGGAATCCGACTGAATTGATGTTTTCAGACTTCAGAGCATCGCAACTAAAGCATACACTTTACTGTGGTATGCCAGGAATTTGTTAGATCTGTTTATATACAGATAGGCTTAAATATAACCTGTGTATTTTATCTGCTTTTCTGGAATGGCTAGTATATAGAGAAAAGGCACACCCATGCCCCCTCTAACCAGCGCAATCGTGTATTGTCTGGCTATCGAAGAGAAGACAGCAAGAGACGAACAAGTGGGAATAATCGAAAAAGGGAAAAAGAAAAGAAAAAGAAAAGAAAAAGAAAAGAAAAAGAAAAGAAAAAGAAAAGAAAAAGAAAAGAAAAAGAAAAGAAAAAGAAAAAGACAACATTGGACTGCATCATGCCAACGCCTTGCCTCGCCTCGACTTTCCAAATGAACAAACGACAACGCTGAACACCAGGTCTTTTAGAACGGAGGAGCAGGTAACGAGAAGAAAATGGGAGAGAATCAAAAACAATAAACATGTACGGTTGAGAATAAGCAATCATATTAATGCATAAGCCATTTCGTCATCCATTCAGTCAAGGACATAACCAGGACAAGCAGAAATAGAGAATGTACAGAAGAGATGAGGGAGAATCTCGTCAAGCTCCCTCGCTGCCAAATTCTTTTGTCCAATCTGCATTTCTCTGGAGGTCCTCTTGGCTGACCGTCGGTCGCGAGTTGCGGACGGCTTTAATGAAGTCCTTCAGCACCAGTGGTGGTTCGAGAAGCTGGTCGGCTTCGACGTCAACCCAAGTCATCTCCGTCGCGCCCTCGTCACCCGGTGAGCATGGGGTGAGCTTCTCTGCACCATCAACGAGTACCTGCATATGGAACATAACCAGTCAGCCAACCTTATCTTTATATAATAAAGATAATCGTCATACCTTCTTGTAATGTGTCGCGGTTTGGATTTTGCGGATAGGCTGCATCAACGCATCCTGGACAGCAATGCTGATATCGCTGCCCGAATAGCCCTCACTCATCTCCGCCAACGTCCGATAATCAGTTTGAGTCATCTCGCACGGTGTAGATCCCACAGCCAACATGAACATCTTCATTCGCGCGTTGATATCAGGAAGACTTATATGGACTCTGCGTTGAAATCGTCGTCGGATAGCTGCATCGAGTTGCCACGGGATATTGGTTGCGCCTAGAATCAAAACACCTTTTGAATCTTTACCAACACCATCCATCTGCACCAGTAGCTCAGTCTTGATACGACGAGATGCCTCCGACTCTCCTTCACCACGAGGCCCGCAGAGGGCATCAACTTCATCAATGAAAATGATAGCTGGCCTGTTTTCACGAGCCATGTTGAAAAGCTGTTTGACAAGCCTGCGATGACCAGTCAGTTGACAGAAGGGTCAATATCAGAGGACAAGAATCCGCACCTTTCACTCTCTCCCATCCACTTAGACACCAGATCACTACTGCTGACGCTGAAGAATGTGCTGTTCGCCTCCGTTGCGACTGCTTTCGCGAGGTAAGATTTTCCAGTGCCTGGTGGCCCGTAAAGCAAAATACCCTTCCATGGCTGCCGCTTCCCGGTAAAAAGATGAGGGAACTTGATGGGCAAGATAACAGCCTCCTTCAAGGCCTCCTTCGCGCTCTCCAGACCCGCAACATCCTCCCACTTTACATTAGGCTTATCGGACAAAATGGCTCCTGCAAGAGCCGAACGTAGCTTTTTAGACTCTGGATCTTCGCCGTCGTCGTCTTCTTTCCTATAAAGAACCAACCAGCCCAAGTCAGCAAAAAGTATACCTAGGTAATTCCGATCGATTTCCAAATGCAGCAGTATTCGACCGAACGACTATTTTCCACCTGAAATGGGAAGAAAAGGGGAAAATAACATACCCTCCCTTCCCACTCCCTTGTGACACCTTCCCATTAGCACCAATAGCACTGGGCTTCTTCCGGTTCTCCGCTTGCGCCAGATGGTTCTTCAATTTCTCAGCACGATCCATATACTCTCCAGCCTTCGCACGGATCATCTCCTTAGACCGTGGATTCTTCTCCCATTTCAGGGCAAGCATGAACAACTCCAGCGCGGAGTAGTAGAGTTGATAGGCCTTTTCGTATTCGCCCTCATTGTCGTTCTCGATAGCCTTTTTGACCGTGTCAATCGCCCGACCCAGGAAGTCGGTATTGCTCATAGTGAAGGGCGCCTGGTCTCTTTCTCTTTCTCCCTTTCTCTACCGGTGGGCTCGGTGGTAAGAGTCGATTGTCGGAGATAGAGCTAAGCGGAGAGGGGAGGGATGAGAGATAGTGGCCCCTGTGGTGGCTCTGGCGCGGTCAAGCGCGTATTGGGGACAGACGAGGGAAAGATGGTAAATGGAAATGCTAAAGACCAACCAAGGGATTAAGAAGAGGATAAAGAGAAAGAAAGATGGGCTAGGAAAAGCGTCGAGGATATAGGGAACAAGGTGTCTTGGTGGAGGACAAATTGTTTACGGCCTGGCAGCGAAGCCAAGATTGCGGGCCGATTTGCACGATAGCTGAAGCCCCGCCAACGCAGGTCGAGCTGCGTCTGAACAAGCCAACGGATCCTGCCAGACTACAATTACAGCAATTGAAATCCGGACTCAACAAGGAACCAGCCATGGCAGACGTCCAGAAGAAACTACAAACACTTACGGACGAATTCCAAAAGCTACAAACTGGTATGTCGGCGGTGCACCCGCAGTTAGTCGTCCCATGACGAGAATATCGTATCTACTCACGAATACATTCTTGACCAAACAAGCTAACAATAGTAAATTATCTCGCGTACAGAGCTCGAAGGACTAATCGAGGCACGTCAGAAACTCGAAGCGCAACAACAGGAAAACAAGGGTGTCCAGGGAGAATTCGCCGCCCTCGACGAAGATGCAAATATCTACAAGCTTGTCGGACCAGTCTTGTTGAAGCAGGATAAAAGCGAGGCCACCATGGCCGTTAACGGCCGTTTGGAGTTTATCGAGAAGGAAATGTACGTTTTGAGTCTTTATTCGATTTATCCTCTGGGCGCGAGCCAACTCCCGTGGTGCAGCAAATTGGTCAAATCTAATCATTTTTTAATGCAGTAAACGCATCGAGGGCCAAATCAAGGAAACAGAAGAGAAGAGTGATAAGCAACGGGCAGAAGTGAGAAACTCCTTTTTTTCATTGGAATCGCCAGTACAAATATACTGATGGAGCAATTACCCCTAGATCGTCCAGTTCCAAACCCAAATCCAGCAGCAAGCTGCTGCTGCCAGCGCCTCGTCTTGAGCATACTTCTTTGAACCTAGCCTCGATCTAATCAAACATAGGGGATAACCAATCTTGGGTTGCCAGACTGTGTCTACGGGGGAGCTGGATTGACCTCACCTTCTATCGGAAAGATGGTGTGGAAGGGAGGTATCGTAGCATGCCGTGTATTGAACCATCTACGTCGTTCATATGATGGCCGTGCAATTCTGTGGCAGACCGCCTTGCTGTATATTACTTAATTGGCCTAGATACCATCTCTGTAGCAGGTATACAAAAATCTATTCAGTAATGATAATAGAATGAATGCATTAGAACACAGACACTTTTCTACTTAACAGGAACTACCCTCGGCTAACATCCATCCTGTATCGTATCTCATTTCTATAGATTTAACCAAGACCATGGTAGGTATTATTTAGAGCAAAGGGAAAGAAATGGGGGTGCGTCTAGTCAAATCTATGCCTTGACCAAAAGACTCTTTCCGGTCATCTCCACGGGCTGTTCAATGCCCATTGCGTCGAGAACAGTCGGTGCCACGTCTCCGAGAACACCGTCATCCTTCTTGAGACTCCAGCCTTCTGGGGCATTCGCCAGAACGAAGGGAACCTTGTTGGTTGTGTGAGAGGTCTTCGGAGTGCCCTTCTCAGTAAGCATCTCCTCAGCATTTCTATGTGGAAATAATCATTAGTTGTCTCCTTACGAGCAAAGTGCCAGAGAAAGGAACTCACCCATGGTCTGCCGTAATGAACAGAATATATCCATTGTCCTTGCAGGCCTGGTAGACCTTGCCGATCGCCTTATCTGTGGCGGTAACACCCTCGGCAGCCGCCTTGTAGACACCGGTGTGGCCGACCATGTCAGGCGGAGCGAAGTTGTTCATAACGAATTCGAATTTCTGCTCGCCAAGACGTTCAACGATCTTGTCACCAACAGCCCCAGCGCTCATCTTAGGGTCGAGGTCGTATGTGGCAACCCTGGGAGAGGGGATCAGATCCCGCTCCTCACCTGGGAATTGCTTCTCGATACCACCGTTGAAGAAGAAAGTAACGTGAGCATATTTCTCTGTCTCCGCGACATGGCATTGCTTGACATTCTTCTTGCCAAGCCACTCCGCGAGGACGTTGCCCATGTGCTGGGGTGGGAAGGCAATGGGGAAGGTATAATCGGGTTTGTATTGTGTCATAGTAGTGAGATGAATGTTCTTGGGGTAGGGGAAGTCGGGATTAGGGGAGCGATCGAAGTCACCCAACAACTGGGTGATCTCCCGAACACGGTCGGAACGGTAGTTGAAGAAGAAGAGGGTATCATTATCTAAAGATGGTTAGCCGCTGAAAGGCCCGGTTGCTTCCAAGAATGAGAGCACGGAGAGTTCTACCTTGAACCCGACGTTCCTTGCCGCCAACAATGATGGGTTTCAAGAATTCATCGGTCTCCCCCTTCTCATAACGATCCTTGATCGTCTGAACTGGATCGATGCTCTCTTCACCTTCGCCGTTGACAATACCCTTCATCGCCAGCTCAATTCTGTCCCATCTCTTGTCACGGTCCATGGCGTAGTAACGTCCCACAACGGTAGCGATCTCACCAGTGCCGATCTCCTTGGCCTTGTCAAGCAATTGTTGCATGTACTTGGCACTGCTCTTGGGATCGGTATCACGACCGTCACCGAAAAAGTGGATGTAAACCTGGGGGATCTGGAATTCCTTGGCGACCTGTAGCAGACCGATCAAGTGGGTGATATTGGAGTGAACACCACCGTCGGACACCAATCCGAGGAGGTGTAGACGGCCATTGCCTTCCTTTGCACGAGTGAAGGATTTGACAATGTTTTCGACCTTGTTGAATTCACACTTCTTGAGCGTCTGGTCGATGCGAACACTGTCTTGCCAGACAACACGACCAGCGCCGATGTTCAGGTGGCCGACTTCACTGTTACCCATGAGGCCTTCGGGCAAACCGACAGCCAACGACGAAGCTTCCAACTCGGTGTAGCCCTGAGCGGTCTTGGAGTTGGGCTCAGCGAAGCCAGACATGAAAGGAGTGTCCGCAAGAGCGATAGCATCGCCCTCGGGGGGAGAGTTGGCACTTGGGATACCCCAGCCATCAATGACAACTGCACGACTGTTAGCTGTATAACAGGCTAAAAAAAGATTTGACAAGAACATACTCAGAGCGACTTTGTGATCTACCATGGTTGCAACTGGTTCTAAAAAAGCACCCCGTAATACAGTCAACGAACACACTCGAGTCAATGGTTTTTCTGACGGGAAAGAAGAGTGCTCACCACAAGAATTTAGAGGGAGAGAGATGTAACGAACGATGAAGAAGCGATGGCTAAGAGAGAAAACGCAATGCCTTTCTATGCGACCGACCGGTGAAAGGGAGGGGGAGGGGCAGTGTTTTCGGTGACGCTTTTTGGGTTCTGCGACGTCACCTCAGCTGTTTTTGCTTCTCTCATGATCGTTCCGGCTCTTCCCTATCCAGGGCTCTCTATCAGGCAACTGAGTGGCATTATCCGAGGCTTACAGGCAGCCAGGAACCATCCAGGAGAAGAAAAAGAAGAAGAGAAGACGAGGAAGAGCGGATAATATACTGTTCTCAATGGCTTCAAGGTCCCCTTCTGCGGTTACACCGTTCCCCAAACCGTCGTCTGTTCCCGACACGCCTTACGGGGAGGCATCGTCGTCGCCCTCACCACAGCCGGTCCCCTTTCCTTCGCCGCAGACCTTCGACATTATTCCACCCTTGCATGGTCTCCTGCTCCGTCTAATCTCCCCACAGACCACCGGTGAAGCTGCCCTGAGCGGTGCAAGACCACCTCCTGCTGCTGGAGCAGCATCGTCGGCCGCCCCCCACATTCACAATCGCAGCTTCAACCCCCGTCCGCCACTGATAACCATGCATCATCAAATGCAGAGGTTGGTGCTGTAGGCCCAAACGCACCTCCACCGTTGGACATCAAGGATCTTCCCATCGAGACCAACTCCATCAGAATCCGAATCCAAAAAGCGCGCGCCGTCGTCGAGAGTCTACCGGACGTGCATCGCACCGTTGCAGATCAGGAGCGAGAGATTGAAGAGCTTGAGGATCGTATCGCGCGCTTGAGGTCGGTTATCGTCGAATTTGGGAAGAGAGCTGGCAAACAGACGGAGGCATCATAAGACGAATCATAAGACGTCAGCTGATTTCTCAAATGATGGATATCTCGGTGTCAGGGTACTCTGTGGTCTGTTAGCCTTTATAGGTGGGCTAATATACTGCAACGTCTGCCTCACTCTTGAAGCATATGATAAAACGTGTGGCTATCTGCACTTGTCTGGGGCAATGGCGCATGTATTCAAACGGCAGGGGAAGGGCACTAATGGGGATAGCCTAAGGTACTAGTATTTCTCCTGTGCAAGGTATAAGAGGCTCTATCCGACCACTTTGATGTATTCAGACGGCAGAACGAGAGGTTTTTCAGCAATTCTGGTTATTCGGCCAAGATGATTAGCGATACTTTGATGGTGTCTCTACGAGGCAATTTTCACTGCCGCTTTGCATCGATGTCTGATTACCATTGAATCGTACCTCAAACATGGTTTCTGCAATGGTGGACGACTAGGCAACTGCAAGATGATGGAGGAGATCAAGTGTGATGCTGGCTAAGCGCTACCAAGGTCCCCTTGGAGGGGTACTTCCCTCTACGTACAAGGACTTGTCAGAGGCAGAAGGGTCTCTACAAAATGTCTCGAACACACTGAAGATGTACGCAAATGCCTCGCACCTAGATAGTTGTCGATGACTTCCGGACAGAGGAAGCATAGCGGAAGAGCAATACTACTCCGTTGTATCTTGAAGGCTAAATGTCTGGAATTAGCTTGTCCAGATGTGGCTACTCATCGGAATCCTCTTGTTCAACTTCCTGGAGAAATCCGCATGCCGAAAGAAAATACATATCTATATATATATACATACAAGAAAGAAAGAAAGAAAGAAAGGAAAGGAAAAAGAAAAAGAAAAACCAAATCGAGGCTGTTGGTGCAGCTCCGATGTCGTCGGCCCCAGGCCGGCTCTGATTGGGTCTCCGCGGGAATCGAGGAGGGGACAGAAAAAACAGCAGAAAAAAGGAAAACCTTCTTCCCTTCTCTCTTCTCTCTTCTTCTCTCTTCTCTCTTCCCATCCTCTTTTCTTCTCCTTCATCCATCCCGTCCTTTTCTGATCCCCGTTAGCTCCTCAGCAGTTGCAGAAGGCTCAGTTTCCCAACAATGGCCTCCTATGCTCTCTCACAGTCCCACCGGGACGTAAGTACTCTGCTCACCCCGCCCGTAATAATTTCGTGAGGACTGACTCACTCCATACAGATCCTTGAAAAGCCTCTGGTCGAGGTTGATCCTGAGATCGCGCAGGTCATGGTATGTAAATGTCATGCTCTCTCTGTGTCTGAAGCAAGCACTGACTTGCGTGCCTCCAACAGGAAAAAGAAATCCAACGTCAGCGCGAATCTGTCGTCTTGATTGCTTCGGAGAACTTCACCTCCCGCGCTGTTTTCGATGCGCTTGGCTCGCCCATGTCCAACAAGTACTCTGAAGGATACCCCGGTGCTCGCTACTACGGTGGCAACCAGCACATTGATGCTATCGAGCTCACATGCCAAGCTCGTGCATTGAAGGCATTCAATCTGGACCCTGCCAAGTGGGGAGTCAACGTTCAGTGCCTCAGTGGCAGCCCTGCCAACTTGCAGGTCTACCAGGCTCTCATGCGCCCCCATGACCGCCTGATGGGACTGGATCTCCCCCACGGTGGCCACCTGAGTCATGGATACCAAACTCCCTCCAAGAAGTATGCCTGCCGCTTTCATATTCGGACGAAGAAATGAATAATTGTGTCAGAATACTGATGCGTTTCTGTTAGGATCTCTGCCGTTTCGACTTACTTTGAAACCTTCCCTTACCGTGTCAACCTCGAGACCGGCATCATTGATTACGATGCTTTGGAGGCCAATGCCGAGCTATACCGCCCTAAGTGCCTCGTTGCTGGTACTTCTGCCTACTGCCGTCTCATTGACTACGCCCGCATGCGTAAGATCGCCGACAAGGTCGGTGCCTATCTGATTGTCGACATGGCCCACATCTCCGGTCTAATTGCCGCCGGTGTCATTCCGTCCCCATTCGAGTATGCTGATGTGGTGACCACCACCACTCACAAGTCTCTTCGTGGTCCCCGTGGTGCCATGATCTTCTTCCGCAAGGGCGTCCGCAAGATCGACCCCAAGACCGGTAAGGAGATCATGTATGATCTTGAGGGTCCTATCAACTTCTCTGTCTTCCCTGGCCACCAGGGTGGTCCTCACAACCACACCATCACCGCTCTTGCTGTTGCCCTCAAGCAGGCAGCTACCCCCGAATTCAAGCAGTACCAGGAGCAGGTTCTTAAGAACGCTAAGGCGCTCGAGAATGAGTTCAAGACGATGGGTTACAAGCTCGTCTCCGATGGTACGGACAGCCACATGGTCCTTGTGGATCTCCGGCCGAAGAGCCTGGATGGGGCTCGTGTCGAGGCCGTCTTGGAGCAGATCAACATTGCATGCAACAAGAACTCCATCCCTGGTGACAAGTCTGCCCTGACCCCTTGCGGCATTCGTATTGGTGCCCCCGCCATGACAACCCGTGGTATGGGAGAAGAGGACTTCAAGCGTATTGCCCGCTACATTGGCCAGGCCGTCGACATCAGCAAGAAGGTTCAGGACGAACTTCCCAAGGAGACCAACAAGCTTAAGGACTTCAAGGCCAAGGTTGCCTCCGATTCCGTTCCTGAGATCCTGGAACTGCGCAAGGAGATTGGTCAGTGGGCAAGCACCTTCCCTCTGCCAGTATAAATGGAACGGCTGCTACATCCTCAATAAGTAGCGTCGTTGATGCTGTATGGGTGCTCTGGGAGTCAGATGAAAGCAATCTTCAACTTTTCTTTTCAACAATAACACGTAATTTCAACATTATTGTCTTCGGCATGCTGTCAACAAAAAAGGGAAAATAGAGCGAAGTGCGTTATAAGGTTTTCAATAATATGGGACTACTTCTTTCAACCTAATGCGGGTCATGGGAATACATTTAACATCAACATCTGAAACGGGTATATGACAACTTTCAACACGGATAGTTAAAAGAATAAAGTTCAAAGTACCAGTTGGCATTTTTATGGTTTGGTTATTTTTCTCCTTGTGTTCTTTTATATATAACTAGTTGTGAAATCCAGTCGAGACTCCTGGTTCAACTCGATTGAACCTGGCAGCTCTCTTATGAAACATAGCGCAGTGCTTCTGGTCTTGTGTAAACATTCCATGAGGTTTCATTTGATGCTCTTGCGTTAGTTAAGGAGATGCCAACACTATCCTGATACAATTTCCAAAGAAGCAAGTAGCCAAGATTCCTGCAATTCATAGGTCATCAATCTCGTTCCGTATACTCGGACCATCATTAAGAATAATCAATCGCCCATCCTATATGAAATATACTCGCACACGACAGTACAGAAAAGTCGAAAGGATTCAAAGCAATTTAGTCCCCCCTATCTTACCTGGCCGCAGAGCCCTGGCGGAATCTCATTTAAAACTCACCCGCATTAGAATCCTCAGCAAAACCGGTGCTCGTTTCCTCCCAGGATTTGAAAATCAAGGCAGCAATATTCTTACCCATCAAGGCGCTCGTTTCCATGGTCGAGACGAATGCCTCAACCCCACCCGTATACCAGAGCCCAGGGGCCAATAGAATAGGATCAAATCTTGACCGTGGGTAGAGGTAAGGGTAGGGATGCCAGACTTTCTCATAGAACCAGCTTATATCATTTTGCGGGAGGTCACCAATCGTAGAGTCGTTGTCGGTGGAATCTCCCAGACCGAGGATTTCAGAGATGAACTCGGCCGTGGGCTGTTCTGGGGAAAATATCTTGTAAACGAAATGTTCCTCGTTTCTTACTGAGGGGGGATTGACTTTGGCGAGGGTACTGATGCTCCAGAAGTTCGTGGGGCCGACACCGTCTGGACGGGTGCCTAGGTCTAGGCCCTTGGGGAGGGTTGTTATGATAGAGTTGGGCACTTTGTCGGTGTCATTGAAGCCGAAGAATTTTGGTGAGAGCTTGTGTGGTGAGGAGAATAGTGTTACATGGAGAGTCACGAAGGGAGTAGGTTCTTTCGGGGTGTGTTTTGGTAGTGGAGAGATGGAGATGTCGGAATATTGAAGAGGTCCAGCAATAACGACCTCGTCAAACACAGCGATTTCTTTGTCGGAGCCGTTCGGTACAGATGTGACGGTTAGTGTGCCGTTGGGGTTCCTTTCGATAGAAGTTACCGTCTGGTTGAGTCTGACGTCTGCACCGGAGGCCTTGAGCATCCCGTCGAAGATAAGCCAATTTCCACCCTTGACGGACATGGCATTGCCCGTCGACATGCACGCTGCGGCGCCCAGTCCGTGAATCAATGCTAGGTTCTGCCCGTAGTTGACGCGGGTACTCGACTGGATCATCTCTCTGGAGAAGTCAGGAGAGATACGGTTTCTCTCAAGATACGCCGATCCAGGAGATAATGTGGTATCTAACAAGCCAACCTCAGTAACCGCTTGGGTAAGAGACTCGAAGGGGAAGATGGGGTCCTCATAGAACTTGAGGAATTTGTCGATGGTACGCTGGACCAGGTTGCGGGTTCGTATTGGTGCCAGACCATACTTCCAGACCATCTTGGCAATGGTCCACCAGTTCAAGTCATCGTTCATAATAAAAACGAATTCTTCCCCGTCCCAGATTCCGACCTTGTCCTCTGAAACTGCTCTGGGGTGGGCAGCTCCCATGCTTTGGACATTGAGACCCAATTCCTTGGAGGCATTGACGAGAATGTAATTCACGTCGACAAATATCGATCCTCCAACCTCAACTGGATATTCCGGGTTGCCGAAGGCATTGACTGTCGTTGACCGACCGCCGATATACGATTCCCGCTCGAAGACGGTGATGTCGACAGGTAACTGAGAAGATTCGGAGAGTCTGCGTAGATTATACGCATTCGCGGAACCAGCCGCTCCAGCCCCTGAACAGAACCGATATTAACTTGTTGAACTTGTCTGTGCAAGGGAAGCCCGCATACCGATGATTGCAATCCGTTTCGTGGTAGCATCTGTAACTGTTCCCAATGGCTGCTGGTCTCCACTTGAGGTGGCTAGGGGAACAAGCAGAAGGGCCACCAGGGTATATTGGACAAGCTGGATCCATGTCCTGGCCCATAACGGGCTACTTGAAAGAAAAGAGCACATGATTCAGCAGAAAGAAGCTGTCATGCAGCTTGCATCTACACCGTCTAGTATATTGGCTAACGAGTATAGGGAAGTCTGGTCAGATCCGGAAACCAAGAAAAAGGGAGAGGGCGCGGGGATATATATAACACAGCTGAGATGGATCAATGAGCAAACTGGATGACAGCCAGCTGCGTCCCACGAAGAAAGCTGGCGTGCATGGGGAGAGGAATTGGGTGATGCAGTAAGAATCACAAGTCCCAACGATGCATGGACAGCCCTGCTATCGATGCCGCTAAGCCCGATCGGGACTATCGCTTATCGGGCATTTCGTCGCTTTTCTTTTTTTTTTTTTTTTCTCTCTTTTCTTCTCTGAAGCACAAAGAACCGCCTGTAACCTCGCGCATCTCAGGGATACTGGTCAAACACACTGGTTTATTTGCTTTTAGACAAGCCCGTCTCGCCAATGGATCCATACGACAGTGACTCGACCGGACTGGAGGACGAGGGCGACTACACGGACACCGGAGTCCTTCTGGGTTACGCCTCAAAGGAAGTCGTAGACGACAATATCAGCCATCTGGGAGGCTGGCCGGTATGTCAAGTCATTTCTATCTTGCATCATATGCATGGCAAACATCTGATCCCTGCTGACTGTGATATGTGCATACATGTAGACATGGCTCGACGGCAATACCCCGCCTCCGGGCCACCTGGCTAACTGCAAGGTCTGTAATCGCCCGATGTCTCTACTCCTCGAGTTGAACGGTGATCTCCCCGAACACTTCCCAGACGACGAGAGAAGACTGTACATCTTCGGATGTCCTAGGAGAGCATGCAATCGAAAGCCGGGCAGCATCAGAGCGCTCCGCGCAACGAGGAAATTCAGACAGACGGAGTCGGGATCGGACTCAGTTCCTGCAGGCTCTAAGGGTGCGGTGCAAGAGCAAACCACTACCACGGCGCCTAAACAAGACCTGGGAGCAAGTATATTCGGAAAGAACCCATTGACAAGCAACAACCTGTCCGCCAATGCGAACCCTTTCTCATCATCATCCTCATCTGCACCGTTCAACCCGTTTGCGCAACCGTCGACTGCAGCCGCCGAGCAGCCGCCGACGAAAACAACGACGCCGGTCCCTACATCTCCAGCTACCCTTTCCGAGACATTCGCAGACAAAATTCGCCTCTCATCTCCCGAACCCCAGTCTGCAAAAGCTCCTCCTAAGGCTGCCGGTCCCCCCAAACCCTGGCCCCCACATTCTGCCTTCCCATCCCCTTACCCCCACTACTACCTAGACGCAGAATATGAAACTCTCTCCCGCCCATCTACACCAGAAATCCCGACCAACGCCACTGTTGAGAACGTCGAAGACGACAGCAACAAGGCAGGCTCATCATCAGACCCTAAGGACACCTTCGAATCAGACCTAGACAAGGCCTTCATCCGCTTCTCGACCCGTCTCTCGCATAACCCCGAGCAGGTCCTCCGGTATGAATTCCGTGGATCACCCCTGCTCTACTCACACGGAGATCAAGTCGGCAAGCTGTTCCATGGAGCGGGTAATTCGGGCAATTCTAAAATTAGCACTACTGCTTCTAGCGGTAGAATACCTCGCTGCGAGTCATGCGGTAGTGCTCGCGTCTTTGAATTCCAGCTCGTCCCGCACGCGATCACTGTCCTGGAGGAGTCTGGAGATGGGATCAACCTCGATGGGATGGAATGGGGTACTATCATTCTTGGGGTATGTGGGAGGGATTGCGGGGCTGAGGAGGTCGGTACCACTGCTTGGAGAGAGGAGTGGACTGGAGTGCAGTGGGAGGAGACGCGATGATTTTTATGTCCTTTGGATTTGGTTAGATGCATTGATTTATGATTGATGATGTTAGGCATGCATATAGGAAGAATCGGATTAGACCAGATCATATACCATGACCGAGAATGAAGTCAAGTCTATCAGGTTCTCGTCCCTGTTTTGTAAACTGCAAACGCCAAAGCGCCAGCCACAATAGTTCTGTTCCCGAATATGAACTCAACATACATGATATCACTGTGAACCTTTGAAGACACGAATTTTTTTTACACCATAGAAAGCATGTCTTATCAGCATGAGCATGAGCGTCAATAAAAAGAATGAAAGAAAAGAAATCAAGCAGCCTGCTCAAACCCCCTCCGAATAACTCTCCCAAACTGCTCAATCCCAACATGCTCACTCTTCACTTCACTACGCGTCTCATTCTCCTTATTAGCCGGAACCCGCACGACAGCCTTCTCCTTCTCAACAACCCACCCACACACGTCGGTAACGAACTTCTCCAGTGCCTCCCGACTCCTCAAATCAAGCCACTGCTCCAGGACCTCAGCGGAGATCTCACGGAAGGCCTTACCCACCTCGACGGCGATGCGGATGCGGACGAGCTCCTCGAACCCTGCGACGTCGGCGACTAGATCGGCATACAGGTCATCTGAGTTGAAGGTGGACCAGAACTGGGTGTATTGAGCCGACTCGAGGAGGGTGGAGAGTTGGGCGAGTTTCTGGACGGACTCGACGAAGTCCGAGTGTTGGGATTCCGTCGGGGCGGCGGGAGTCGAAGATGTGGAAGGGAAGGGTTGCGTGTAGGCGGGGAGGAGGGCGAGGCAGAGGGAGAAGGCCGGGGAGGGGAAGACGGTGAGGGCTTTGGCGAGGATGTTGGTTACTGTTTCTTGTTGGAGGAGGTGAGGGTTGAATTGGTAGCTTTTTTTGTTTTCAAATGGTTAGTATGTTTCTCCATTCGATAAGTAGCCCAATCCATGCATTTCCAGGAAAGAGTCAAATCAGAAACAACCATATTTTCAACATTCCTCCTGAAGAAGATTCAGGTAATAGGAAACGTGTAAGAAAAGAAAGATCGTTCATCATTTAGATATTCAAATCTACTCAAGACAAACGAAATCAGCGCGACTCACAGCTTCAATAACGCCAGATTGGCATAGCAATCAAACGTCCGATCCTCGCACTGCTGAGCAACATAGTCCTGGAACACCGTCGTCGTCTCCGGGTTATATCTGTCGAGGCCGTTGAGAATGGCGTCGATATGGCCCGGTCTCGTCTCGCACTTGTCAAACGCGACCATTTCTGCGGTTCCCCTCTGGATTATTATGTATGATTCTGAAAAAAAAAGAAAAGAAAAAAATCGAAAATATGAAGTAAGCGATAGAGTCCGTAAAAGAAGGGGATATTCGACGCGTGGGGTATGGAAAGGTACGAGGCGCAATCTGTATTGTATGCGGGATGCCCTTTTTTGACCTGAATTTTGCTGGTTTGCGTCGGTGTGTGCTTGTGCGGGTTGCGCCCCAAAGGGAAAGTTTCGCCGATCCTCCGACGGACGTGACGAGGCTTCTCTTCGTTTTCGCTGATAAACAAGCAAGCTGCTCATTAATAACGTCTATTATTGGAGCTATGTTGGGCACAAATGGAGAATTCGAAAGGCGCATACTCAGTTTCAATCAGTAGTACATTCGATTCTGTCAAAATACAGAAAGCGCTAAAATAATACAGCCCTCCAATAGTGCAGCAGCAGCATACAGGACACCACGCCGCGCTCGATGCCTCCCATAGCGGTCATCCCAATCGTGAATGACACCAAATTTCCTCCCCATTAATAAAGCTTATTAGGGACATAAGAACGACACGACAGAATCGAAGAAAGACCAAACATACAACAAAAACAATCCAGTCGCCTGCCCACGCTGGGGTAAATAAGCAAAAAGGAAAAATAAAAATAAAAAAATAAAAAATACGCTGAAAAGCAAATATGCCCGACTTAAACAGGATAAAACAGATCCCTGAACGCCATTGCCATGTCTGAAGACGCCTAGTCTATACCTGAGATCCACTCGTGAAGAAAACATGCCGTTATGCAAACTGAAAAAAGATAAAACACAAGATGCCACATCCAGAATCATGGAAATCTTAAGCAAGGTCGCATACATCTGAATCGCGGAATGTCAGTCGTCCTCAAATTAGAGAGATTAGAGAAGATGATTGAGGGAAAGGCGAAACGACTGCGTATGAGGCGTAGGGGGGTGGACGAAGTTCCGGTGTAAAATCGCTACACAGAAACCGAGATGTGTAGTCTCACGCCACAAGTGGCCGGCGTGGTGCGATCGGTATGGGCTTTGGGCCCGTGGACATCTCCACGGTAGATACACCGAGTTCACGGCCATCATACTTGGACGAGGCGGTGCTCTCGCGCCGCGGATCTTTCATAGTCGACATCATAACGGAACGCGACGCAGAGTTCATCCCTTTTTCGTCGCGCAAGGTGCTGCAGACGATTCGTTCCTCAGAAATGGGGACGCCGCCAAACATTGAGCCCAACTGCTGCAAGAGCGCGACAAAATTCGCGTGCAGTTCTGCAAAAATATACTCATTGCCGACAATTTCTGTAAGGTTTCTGGCCCGGATCTGTCCGTGTCGGCGAGGCTGACCATCCGGGTCCACCGTGCGGCCAGTGAGGAAGGATGAGACAGGCGTATACTGTCGGCCACCGATTCGATTCGGCCCATTATTGCTGTTATTGTTACTGAAATTCTGCTCCTCACGCCGCTTCTGTTCCTCTTGAAACTTTTCTGCGGAGTTGACAATGCCTGTTGCGATCCTGCCAAAGGCGCGCCAGATCACGGGACAGGCCCGGAAAGCCCTTCCGGCGTCTTTGCCGGCGAGAGCGACGAGCGCATAACTGCGACGCTTGCCACGAGCCATGGGATCAGGAAGACGGAAAATGTACGCGATGGTGTAACCAGTGGCCGAGTCGCCAAAACACAATGGGCCGGAGGAGAGACCGCGCGGAAGGAGTTCGCAACTAAGAGTGCGGATAGAGGAGCGTCGAAGAAGGGCATAGTCGGCAGGGTCCGAGGGCCCACGGAGCGAGAGATAGGTGAGCATGTGCGTATGACACGACGAATCTGACGAGACGGATGAGGAGTGAAAGGAGTCGGGAAAGGAAGAATGCAAATGAGAGTCGTGCGCGGTGTCGTCGGGATCCGAATGAGAATGGTTATTCCCACAGGAATAAACAATCTCTCTGGAGCGCAGGACCGGGCTGCCATTTCTCCCTTTGCCGTCGCGCGTGGCCGTGCCTGGTGCGCCAGGAGGGAGCTGTTTGCTCACGTCTTCGGGCAAGGACAAACTACAGCTCGCACACGTGTCGCCATCAGTGCCACTGATGGGACGGGGCCTTTCGACGCTGGACGGACTCTGCGACGTTTTGACTTTGAGGAAGTAGGGATGGTCTTCGATCCTGGGGGATGAGACGGAATGTCTATGCGACGACGGGGAAGACCTCGTGTCACGAAGAGGATCGTGCAGGCCATGTGGCAGATCGGCCTCGTGGGAGCTAGCAGGAGTTGCGTCGGGAGAGTAATCCTGTTTGTCGGGGTAACATTGAGAACAGGAGAGAGGTAGGACCTGCGAGCAGATGATCGAGGTAGGACCATGCACCTCGCAGAAATGCGTCAAGGACAGCTGCATTTGACAAAGAGGACAGGACGGGTCAGGACAGGAAGCACAGTGGAATCCAAGTCAAGGGACAAACTCACAATGAAATCCATGTCTGCAGACGATGAAGTAGCAGCTAGTAACGATAGGCAGCAAGTCTAGGCCATTGTTGCAGTGCCCCAGCTCTCATGATGCGGTGGATAGGGAAGAGTGGCAATGACGCAGTGAACGCGAGAGGAGGTGAGATATTACTCCCGTAGACGGTCAGGGACTCAGGAGAGCGATGCGACCGGGGGCGTTGGCAGGGGACAGGGGACAGGGGGCCTGATGCCAGTCACTGAACCTGCAAAGACCAGCTCGCAGATAAAAGGGGGAAAGGGAGGTGAATGAAGGAGGGAAAGGGAGGAGAGGACGAAGAGCGTCGATGGCGGAGATATCTAGATCGGTCGATCGCCTGCACGTTGTAGGGATGATTAATCCGTCAATCTGGAGGCGCGGAAGGTAATTATTATTCCAGAAAATATATCTAATAGTATAGTAATATTTATTATAATTATTATCATTATTATTATCGTCTTATTGTGGCTGTCGTGAATGGATGCCGACTGGATCCTTCGCGGCTGGGCAGAGCATCTCTCCGACTCTCGAAAGCGCTCCGGACGATGCCCGAAAATCCCCATCTGCTCGCCTGAAACTAACGAAGGGAACGGTGGAGTCATCCAGATGTAATTGTGCTGCCCAGGGAAGACTCCACCGGCGTCCCAGCGATATACCCTTCCGGCTGTTCTGCCTGCCCTGTTGCTTCGGCCGGTGTCAATCCCTTCCCTTCTGTCTTCTGTCTTCCATCGGACACTTCGGATTGTTTCGCGGTATCAGAGGAACTCCTGTAAATGTACCCAATGCCATCCGCTGCGCCGGATCATGGATACACTCCCTATTTCTATTTCATGCTTTGCTCCGTCCAGTTCCGCGGACGGAATCGATGGCTATTGGTAAATCCAGGCTGTCGATTCGTCACTCACTCCGAGAAGTCAGAACACGCTGTCCCGTCCATAATATTAGTTATACTAGGTAATTAGATATCACGCGGAGGGCAAACACGACAATCAAACTGGTTTGCAGGTCAGCATCTATCTAGTGTGTATTGTCAATGTCTAATAATCGATGCTGTCCATGCTACCTACAGGGATGGGGGAATCCTGATCCGAGGTCATCATGGCTGTTCCTCCGCGGAGTAAGAGTGCGGTTGCAGCGTCCCCTATGAATGGAACGTCATCTGCATCCCCAGCCTGGCCCGCACGTTTAGCCTCCAAGCCTATAATTTATTTTATTATATTATGCGACCCAACAAATAGGATCCAGGGCTGGAAACGTGGTGTCCCGTCGACGATCGCTCTGCGTTCCGTCCAGTCCGCTCGTCTTCATGCTTTACGGAGTAGACGGACTTGACATTATCATTGTAGGTCTATCCACGAGGACGCGGATACACAAGGGCGCGTTTGACTTATCGAGCCGCAGAATTGGGGAAATAATTAATATTTCAGGTATCAACCTCGATATAGTATATAAATATATACCATGCAAACAAACAAGCCCCTTTTTGCCTCACTGATTGCCCGGCATGTGACTCGTGGTATCTCTTTCTTCCCATCCAGCCTCATGCAGAATACTCCGTATACAGTTAACTACCAGGTTCCTAGTTTTATGATCAATCCATTTGATCCAATTGGCCCTGACAGCACTAGAAACAGAAGGCCAAAAGGACTGGTCTCTGAGAATGGTAAGAGTTCACAATAGTCAGCCCAGCATTTATGTCAACCGGTTTCGCGTCCACCACTGCGTCCAGGGCGAATGTGGATGGGGAAATGGCAAGGTTTACCGCCATTGCGTGTCCGCTTCAACAAAATGGGCGATCAGGTCGTGATCCATTAACTTCGATAGAAACCGGTCGACTCGCAGCAGTCGTGCCTTTCGCCAGGCGATGGTTTCTCCAACACGATATTTCAGATCGTCGCCACCTTTGCCATCCAAAACAAGTTAGCATGCTGTTGCCAAAGTGCAGCGGTTCTGTTCCACGGCTGAAGAGTCAAGCTTTTCAAGATATTGCTGTATAACCATAAGCTTTGTGTCTGAGGAACCGGAGTTGGCACTTCCAGGCTTTGCTTGAATTGAAAAGGGGAGTTGGTGACAATGTGAAAGTGAAAGTGGAAGTGAATGAAGAATAACGCCGGCAGTTCCGCGGAGAGCCTACTTAGGGTCCCCAGAAGGTTGTCCTCCAACCGGCTCGGACCATTTGCTTGAGGATTCTTCCATTGTTGTTTGGAGAGCCTTTGGCATCAGAATAACAGCTTATGGCATTTACTACTGGTGCTCAGGAATGGCTTCATTGATACTCCGTACTGCCGATGCCAAGCTAATGTGGGCCCTATCTTGGCATGTTTGGATAATGCAAACACCCTGAATTAATGAGAACAGCGTACAAGGAAAAGACAGAGGAATGATAACGATATCACCCTCCCAAGCAGGCGCTCTTTGTTTGTTACCTGTATCGCGTAGAAGCCAGTTCGTCCTGTCGCCACCTGATCTTTCTATCTTTGACCTTGGTAATCACAGATAAGAAGAGGCTGCAGGCTGCACAAAAGGTTGTCTCATATCTGGATTAGGCTTTTGCAGGACTTGATCTGACACTAGGGCTGTAGGTTGTCTGAACTCCATGACACCAGGATCCGTACATGCATTATGCTTAGCTTTCTCCCTGCAAAAACCCTCTGTTTACCTTCCACATGACCATAACAGCAACATCAGAATCAGGGTTCCAGAGCAACGCTTGTGGCGAGTCTTTTATCCGTTCACTTCATCTATGATCTCACTCCCGGCATAACAAACTAAGAAATCTGAACGATCAATAAAGCCTCTATTATTATGATGTTTAATTATCATTATTATTCTAATAATGACAGCCAGTCATACGACTTCTTACCCAAACGGTAAAGGTAGCATCCACAGAATGGAGCCCAAAAAGGGTATTATTTAACACTTACTACTCTGGAATATCTATTATTCATAGTCTGAAGAAAAAACTTTCCAGAAGAATACTAGAAAAGAGCTAGTCTGTGCTTGTAACCATGGGAAATGCAGATGTGGATACCCAAGTATGTATCTTTATGGATATCATTAGATAATTGCATCCAATGTTATTTGGCAGAAACTGAATCATGCAGAAACCCTTTGATTATTAGATTAGGCTTCGTCAGCTTTGATCTAGGTCCGTGGTTTTTGATGGGAATTCTTTTTGTCTAATCAGGTTATTCTCTTTTACCTAAGTAATAATAATAAACTATCTGAAGAGATTTACATGTTGCTCGGGCTCCATAGTGGTTTAGGTACCCGAGCAGTCCGATTCCATGGAGTCCATAACGTTTTCACTGTAGACGGTTATAGCCGAGGTACACTATGGATCCATTGTTGCTGGAGCATATGGAGAAGGTTAATTAACACTTCTCGGCCGAGGTAACTCCGTCGTTGCTAACAACTACTAGGTAATTACCATTCAGCCTCACTTTCGCTGCCTGGGTAAGCCCTCTTCTTCAGTTTCCACAGTCTCTTCTGGTGCGCTGCCTCGCGTTGTCGACGGCCGCTGTCGTCCATCACCTTCATCCAGGGAACATGACTACCAGCACGTTGTACCCTATCTCGGAGAATGGATAACATCTTGGCCTGGCGGGCCTGATCAGACTCCTCAGTACCCTTGTTCTTCTTTTGTCCTTCTCCCGACGTTCTTGCCTTTGCAAGAGATCGCTGGTACCGTCTTTCTGCGGCTCGCGCGGCATAGTACTCCTCGCTGATGGCCCAGTTAGGGTTATCCAGGTGCCCGCGCACGAGGACGATTCTGTGACCTTGCTTGATAGATTCTGCAATCTTGGGGCTCGGGATGGGCGTCACCAGTTCCAACTTTCGGGAAGCAACGTTGATTGACCGGACCAGCGCCAGTCCTAGGCAGTGAGAAGCTCGGGGGTCTAGAGGGGTCGAGCTACCAGAGCCGACAAAGAGGTAGGGGAGGTTTTCCTTGATAGTTCTGGTGATGGCACGCTCTGATGTAGCAGATGGATGTCCGTTCTGGGGCGCAGTATCCGGTAAAACATCCATGTTGACATCTAGATCCGGTGCTGACTCTGATTCACCTGGTCCTGTCTCTCCTTGTTCATCGGATGAGCCGAAAGCTTCCACTGGTGGTCCATCTGTACCGGCTCCCAGAACAGCACTGGGTGATTCCACGGCCACAACCCCAACAATAGCCCCATCAATCACATCATGGAGCAGATCCGGGCTGATCTGAGAGCCCATCACCATGATACCCAAAATTCCCTGCTTGGGACCATCGTAGTCGACGACAATGGGTCTGATGCGGGATATGGGCGTCCCAAGCCACACTGGATTATGCAATTGCGTAGGATGTGACATGTGAAAATATGACTGTATTTGCATCGAACGTAGCTGGGCGCTCGATTTGCTCACGAAGTCCGTTGGCTGAGATGGTAGAATAGTCAAGGGAATCATGGCTGTCTGAGCAGCTTGACCCAGTGGTCCCACAACTTCAGTAGGCCCTTTCTCGCTCATGTACACCACGTCAGACAGACCCAAAGATCTTATTAGCCATGTAGCTACCTCGAGACCCTGTCCAAAGATCCATCCAGGGTAGTTGATAATCAATGGGCACTGAGGATAACTCGCTAACAATGTCCGATAGCGATCCATGAGATCCATGGCAGTAAGGACGTAGTGATCAGCATCGTCTTTCGGGGACGTTGCTCCGATGTGGTGAGCACGGATGACCGTTCCATCATGGGAACCGTCCAAGGATGGATGTGTGAATGGAGGCCCAAAGAACGGTGAACGCAGGTGTGCGAGGTAGACTTGCCCCATAGTCGAGAATTCCGGTTGCCCTGGGTCGAGATCCAGAAACGCTACCCCATCCTTATTGCTGTATACTTTATCCTCGACAGGAACTGAGCTGAGTAGATGATTCAGAAGATAGCGACTGAAAGTAGATTTGCCGGCCGCCTTCGGTCCGCATATCAGTACTCTGAGTTGACCACCGCGCTGAGATAAAACCTTCATAGCAGTACTCCATTTTTTCTCCAGATGAAGTGGTCGTAAGTGGCGCTTCAAAGAGTCATCTGCGGACGTATACAACTGGAAAAAAAGTTAGAGCTTGGAGATGCCATCGGATGGGTCTGCGACATACCACCGAAAATGTCCGCCGTGAATCTCCTGAAACCCCCCGTAAGCTGAATCTATCAGGATATGAATTCTCGCCTTTCCATATCCGTTGGTAAAGCGGGGAGAGATCTCTCAGGCGATGGATGCCGCTGCGGCAGGACCTGATCTCTATCTCTGCTTCACCGTCCACGCCGGAGACGCACTTGATGACCGGTAGCGAGTGCGTCGAAGGCGCATATACCCTATAGAGTCTCGGCGATGGATGAATCTTGGCCCCCATCAAACTAACAACTCCACGCTTGACCCAGAGGTCATAGTGACCGACCAGTGCTAGATTCTGGTGATAATATAAGTGTCTCAAGTTCTCATTCGTCGGGTTACGGAATTCGTACCGTCTTTTCCTTAATACGCAAACAAAGAACATTTTCATCACTATAAACTACATTCTTTTTGCTCAAGCGAACTTTTGACAAGGGGAAGTTCTGGATTTCTGCAGGAGTGCTTGTCGGAGATTCATAACTGCAAAACATCAGCACGTATCTCAGATAATCATAGGGGCATAATAACCTATAGTCATCACCTTGAGCAGCCCCGATTCCATCAGAACCGTTCTCCTCGTCAGTACTATCAAGCTCCTCATCCGATTCTCCCTCAGAGAGGGGCTGTTGGCTCGATACACCTTGGACTGCAGATTCCAGAGGAACATTTGTTGCACGTCCTTCTGCAGTAGGAGTCGCCCTCACAGCCTTTTTTGACCCTTTCTGCCTCTGCACTGCTCTTTTTGTGACCCGGTCGCCTTCATTAGCATTCGTGGACTGCACTGGGTCATCCTCCGCAGAGGAATGTCTCGCTCTTTTGGACGGCGGTTCTACAACCGACTCGTTTGGCCCCCGATTTGTTTGAATCACGACTTCAACCTGTTGTTGCCGTGCTTTGCGCGCTGCAAATGCACTAATTGGGGCTGAGAGAAACGGTTAGTGAAGGCTGTCTTTTCTTTTTGCAGTGGGACAGCTCCGTAATAAAAAATTGCGATAAGAACAAGGGCGTACCAGGTGGCTGCTTTTCCGCTTTTCTCTTCATGGCGTATATTATATCGATGGACTTGTCGCGGCTTACTCTCTGTAGAACACAGCCTGTCTGCAGCAACTGGATCTAGATTATTGCATGGTTCTCACGGTGTCTTCCTGAACAGTCCGTGAAGCAGATTTGATATGGCGATATGGTCCGTGCTCTCCGCGGAGCAAAAAAAGTAAAATCGCGATGATCGGATTAAGAACAGCTTCGAGACTTTCCCTTGCCATTCAAGAAGGTCTTTTTTTTTTCTTTCAATTGCCCGGAGCATCGGGAATTCTGTTCCTCTTCCTATTTCAAGTACATACAGACACTCAGTGACTACGGGGACTTGATCCTGGTGTTTGCACCGCTCGCACCTCATCGTCAGTTTCCTCCCGCCGAAGTTTCGCGCACACCTACTTTGAGCAAAATAACGCCAATTACGAAAGAAGAAAACATGTCGGACAGTGAATCTGGTTCGACAAGCAGGTCAGCTTCTCCCGAACTCAATACGAAGGCGAAGGCTATCAAGGAGGCGACGGAAGAGAAGCGCAGAAAGAAGCCAAAGGGTTCAGTCGAGTCGACGGATGCGTCAAGCGTAGGGTCTGGAGAAGAAGGAAACAGTTCTAGTGAAAATGACAGTGGCGATGATGGTACCTCCTCGTCAGCAAGCAGTGATGCTGAGGCTTCAACGAAAGGAAAGACTAAAAGGTAAGGGCTTGTTTTTCACTAGTAAAAAGGCCCTTCCAGCAATAACTGATTATCTCCTCAGCGTCTCCTTCAATACCCAGAAGACCTTCAAGCCGCCTCCTGGGTTCAAGTCGGTGAAAAAGATGCCTGCGCCGTCTTCCAACGTCTCCTCCCTTCTCTCCAATCTCCGCGGCAAGCAAGTTTTCCATATCACGGCTCCATCCTTCCTACCACTCTCCAAAGTTAAAGAAATCTCTCTTGCCAAAGTCCTACAAGGCGAACCAATTTTGAAACATGAAGGTGCAAACTACGGTATTCCGGCAGACGATCTGATGCACCAGGAGACTGGATCCAACTCCGTTTTTCTCTACGACGCGAAGACTGAGACATACTACCCTACATCTGCCAGAAATATCAAGAGCTATCACATTCAGGAGATGGTTTCTATTCCAAAAGGTTCTATGAACAATAGCGCACCATCTGAGTCGGTCAAACCCCCCAAACCGCAGCCTAGGCACTTGAAGATGCGCTTTCGACCGGTAGGAAGCGGAAATGGACCACCAGAGACCATTGGCTCAAGTTCGGAGTCAGAGGGAGAAGAACCTACATTCAAGATGCCCAAGGCCTTGAGCAGGGAGCGTGAAGAGCGGAAGCGGAAACACGAACTCACAGAAGGCGACGGAAAGCAGGCAGGACTGCCCCGAAAGAAGTCAAAGAAGCATTCGTTGTCTCAAGATACTGCGACCGAGCTATCCTCCTCTCAAATAGAACCAGTTTCCTCACAAGATGGAGAGCGTGGCCGCGAGAAATCCAAGAAATCACACAAGCATCGGAACGAGACCAGCGAAGAACGAAGAACTCGTCGAGAGCAGAAAAAGCGCAGAAAATCGGAGAAGGCGTCAGCCTGAGGTGTCTTTTTAGTTTCTTTATGTTGGGACGATTTTCAGAAAAGTTAATAGACGGATTATCGTTTGCTATGATGTTGTAGCTGTACGGTATATAGAATGTTTCATTATACAGTAATAGTAGATAGGTAGTACCTATGGTGATAGTTCCGTCCAACGATTACCCGTGCGATACTATAGAGTCGGGTAAACTAGTACTAGTTAGTTATCTAGTTGCATAACACTTGGGTTGTATCTAGCTGTGGCGCCTACCACAATGGTCTTTTTAAATTTTGGCCCACCTGTCGGCTGAGCAGGTAGATTAAGGCCTCTTTCTATCCTGTCTCCTTTTAGGAGCTGGTTGCACTCCCTGCACAGCACTGATGGCTGTTCCTTCAGGTCTAACCAAGGGGTTACACCCGGAGAAGACAATTGCCTGCGGCGCAACCTTTGAAAATGATGCATTACAAGTACTTTCGCACGTTGCAGTTGAATCGGCACAAGGGCTCAGGGCAGTCTGACATAAGGCTCTACCCTTCAGTGGCAATTGATGGGTTCAGGCAGTTCTTTGTGTAACTCACGAACTAAACAATATAACGGGGTCTGATTCTTCTGGTTTTGTCTTCATTCATCTACTCCTTTCAGTCCACAGGTTCCTGCTGCTTAATTCAGCTATCCCCTCTAGGAAAGGACATTGATATAGGCGCTTTCTATTTTATAAACAAAACTCAAACCCTGGCTGTTTCTCAAAAAAGAGCGTTTCAGTTTGTGAGGCAATGTTTCCTCATCTCCAAGTTGTTGTGGAATATGCATGTAACTCAGGGAAGAAGGGCGGAATGAAGCTGTATCGACTACACGTACGTAGGTTGGAGAGGGAGCCAAGACGCCATACCACGTGACCTTTTCCATATCACAAGTAGCACACCCAACAAATGCTTCTATCCCTGCACACGCTCCAAAGAGAGAGATCTTGGAGGGCCAGGACCCCAGTGTTATTTGCAATTCAATTAGCGATGTACACAGCCTTTTCTCTGAACTGGATATGAACTATGAGAACAATTGCACTGATCTGGCAGAAGTTGAGCCTAGTTGAACCATTCCAAGGCACCGAGATAATACCCCTGATCACTTCGGCTACAGTGAAATTTTCCATACAGACCAGAGCACTTCTGCAGTACAAGTTCACGCCAGAGGTTCCCCAGACATAGAGCGTCTCAACCACATTATAATCGATGAGCGCGAACTTCCCCCTATATCTGTCCACTCTGTATTAAGCGCTTTGCAATCTGCGCTAGGCCCATCCTCCAGTGTGGTGTCTCTCTCTTCGACGATTACACATCCCAGAGACTGTATCGTTAAGTCTGATTTTGCCAACAATGTTATTCAAGCAGAACCCCATGTTCATCCCTTAGGGTGTCATTTTTCAGGCTACCTCAAAACCAGTTCGACAAATGATAGCTATCTAGGTATATAAGTAGATGACTTGAAACAAGGAAGCCATTCCCATCTTGAAGGTAAACCTTGGACCTCATTGACATTCCTTTGTTAGCTACTCTTCATTTCTAACCATCTGCACCGATATATATAGGAAGACATGCAGATATCCGAGGTGGTGTTGAGATAGTACTGGATTCTGAGGAATGCTCTGAAATTGCAATTCCGGAGCTCGGAGTGTGTACTCTACAACCCTCAGGAGAAAGTAGGTTGGTATGACACCAACAGCAGAGCTGCGGTTATCCCCGTTCCATCGATGCCGCTGATACGGACGACCAAGAGTCTGGCGATTATCCCTGCGTTGACTACGTTGCCACCCAAGAAAATACTGCTGACGCTCAACTGAATAAATTGGGGCTCAATGGAATGCCTGACGACCAACGCCCTATTTACTTCTGGAATTCCCTTCCCTCGGAACCCTCCCTTTCCAAACGGATGTGGGCATGCTAGATGTATCCCTAAGCAGTACGGCAGTTACACCTGCACCTAGCAAAGAACCAGAAGTCATTTTTCTAGATGTTGGACATGGAGAGAATGCACATATTGGTTCAAGTGCAGGGCTATTTCGGCCCTGTCAAATGTGTTGGCTATGACACCTCAAATACAGTATCTCCTTGTACACATGATATGTACAACTTCGTTTCCCCAGAGTTTCATCCAGAATACCTCCACAACCAATATGATTTTTCGGTTTAACTTTGAATAAAAATAAATCCTATACTCTAATGTAGCAAGGACATCGATTTAACATGGAAATATGATAAATTTGTTGAGATATTTATAGTTGAAAAATAGTGGGTAAGTACTAGTGTATACGTACTTGAACCATATAAGAGCAGGCGGAACTGATGGTAGTGAGAGGAGTCAGGACGTAGCGGTCACTTAGTACAATGCTAAGTACACGTGACCTTGTCTGACAAGCTGTGTGGAAGCCTGATCCTTTAGGCTGAGATGTTCGCTGCCTTACAAATAAGACTAATAATGCTGGATAAGGGCAGATGGATAGTGATTATCGACTTTCCGAGAGGTGTGGAGTGAAGAATACGAGGACTGGAGCTTCGGCCCAGAAGTCCAAGACTGCACTGACTCTCAGCCAGGAACAGCTGGTGGTCTGTTCTTCTCTGTATCTAGACACTGCCTGCAATGCATCTCAGACAGATGTTTCTGATGCCCACAAAGAACATCTTCATTCTCAAACTGAGCTTCAGCTTAGGGCTCCTGACATAAACCGATACAACGCAGGCTGATTGGGCCGATGTCAGGCAATCCGATTTATGACGCCAACTGCAACCCTGGGGGAGACGAACCCTTTTGCCTTGCAGTGAATGTCTGCGATCTTTCATCATCATCACCTCTCCATCTCCAACTTCTCCGCATTTGCCTCTTCCGTTGACGGCCCATGGGTGACCCTTTCTCTGCAACTGATGGCTTCCTCACTCTCTCAACCTCTATCATCCGCCCTGTAGCCCATCTTATCAACCAGGCAGCCGGCGCGCCTTCGCCTCGTGAGTTTGGTCACCTGTCGTCCTAGAAATCCCGCTGGACAAACAGAAGCCTGTACTTTATAGTGTGACTGTTATGCTGATCCTTCTGATAATGCGTGCTTCGTCTCTTCTCTAGGCTTCTTCCATCTGACTTGACTTGGTTGCCTCCGACCCGACCCGCGCGTACCGTACACCTCGCTCCCCGTCAACCCGATAGTATCACATGAGATAGACCGCATCAACTTCTTCGGGCTACCTGCTTCTAGGATAGCCATCCGACCTTCTCCCGCGAGCCGAACGTGTCTGTAACTCCTTACGCAGGTCTATATTACTGTGTTCCACTTCCCGTTCAGAGCTCAGAATGCCACGCCTCCCGGTCGATGCGGACGGGCAAATGGATGCTGAACCAAGTGAAAACAGGAAGTCCATTTCCATCGCTCGCGCACATTCTAACCGATTACCTGAACGGTTCAAGGATGATGGCGATGTCCAGCTTGATGTTACCGCTCCTCCGGGTGCCCATTCGCGGGACGGGCATATGCGCTACATGCACCACTCTATATTCTCTATGATTGCCGCAGTCGGTTCCAGGTCGGATTTTCATTCGCGATTCGAGGAATCTAGTGACAGCGATGGCGAAACCGACGAGACGTCTGCGAAAGAATCTCCGCCGCTCCCGGCCGCTGTCCCGCCGTCGAAACATGGCCGGCTTGCGCAAAGTACTATAGACGAGAGGGGACGCACGTTTCAAAGCTCGTTCCGGGATCACAAACCTCTATCCCAAATCCCATGCTACAATATTGGTCGTCGACGGGAGAAATCTACCTCTCATGCTGAGATTCCGGAAACCAGTGCTGGGCCATCTCGACTTGCGGCGGATCTTAGGCGTCCCCGGAGTGCGACTCCAAGGGCTGTCCCTGTTCTCAGTAAGATGGTGGAGGCTCAGGCCCGGTTTGACACAGAACAATCTGCACCGGAAGGCACGCAAGGCTTGAGCCATGAGCAGCCCAACGAAGAGCCTCAGCGGCCGTCCTCGTCTACACTATCGACAAGACTCATGGAAATCTTCGAATTTGTGAGGCCAGAAAAGGTGATCGTCGAGTATTCTTGTTCCTTGCTGCAGAGTATGCTCCTACAGGGTTATATGTATGTCACCGAGGGACACGTCTGCTTCTATGCCTACCTCCCTAAGAAGTCTACTGTGGCAATTAAATCAGGATATTTGTCCAAACGCGGTCGAAATAACCCTCGATACAAACGCTACTGGTTTTCGTTGAAAGGTGATGTCCTTTCATATTACAAGGATTGGTCGAAACTCTACTTCCCTCATGGCCACATCGATCTTCGGTATGGGATATCCGCATCTCTTGCCGAGCAGAAAGACAAGGAGAAGGAGAAGGAAGTTAAAGACTTCCAAGTGACTACGGATCAAGACACCTATTACTTCAGAGCAGATAGCCCTTCGAACGCAAGAGAATGGGTCAAATCTCTCCAGAAAGTCATCTTCCGAACTCACAATGAAGGCGACAGCGTCAAAATATCATTCCCGATCGAGAACATCATTGACATAGAAGAAAGCCCCATGGTCGACTTCGCGGAGACGTTCAAAATACGAGTCGTTGAGGCGGGTGAGACGTACGGCGTTGACGAGGTTTGTAGATGTCTTGTATCGCCGATGCAGAGCATGTAGCGCTAACAGTCGTTTACAGTACTTCTTTGCATTCACAGACTCGAGCAATGACGCCTACAATTTATTAAAAGGGTTGATCCACGAAGGCCCAGAAAAGGTCCCATCTCTCGAAACCGCTTCGCAGACAACTCACAGAAACAGTTCTGAACGGCATCGTAGTGCGTCTGTAAGCAGACAGCCAATAACAGCTGAAACAGATCGGCATTCAGAAAGCGAGGTCGCTGCTATGGAGAAGAGCATACTGGACCACTCTCCCAGGATACGTTCGCGCCGGCCATCAGACTCGTTTGTCAATTCTCCTGAACGAGACATGGAGTCTTCAGCTGTCATACAATCTATATCAGACACTCCAGAATCTGCCAGCCAGATTTTAAACCGCAGCGATGTTTTCCAGTCTCCGACCATCCACACGTTAGGAAGACGTCCCTCAGCTGGCCGTAGCTATTCCGACAGAACCGTCCACACAGTGCCTAGACAGGTGGACGTACCAACAGCCTTGCCGGCGCACAATGTGCTGGACACACAACACACAGTCAATGAATCTGATGGGCGAGCTGCTCAGGAACCTTCAGGGCTGCAGCCCACTACGCCTACATTGAACGATATGTTGAAAGCCGGTGCATATCCTCTGCAGCGTGCTGCCGGGTTTGCAGAATACTTGAAAAGCCGCTCCAAACAGATGAGTAGCCTTTTGGCAAGCGAGTCAATGGGCTATATTGAAAAGGTCTCTGGCATGTGGGCCGGTGGTCGGCAACACTACGGTGAAAGCGAGAGAATAATCCCAGAGGATCGAGCCGTTGATACTGAGGACAAGGAAACTGGATGCAATTATGGCGACCGATTCCGTGCTCACTTTGCGCTTCCAAAAACCGAGAAACTTCAGGCTACTTATTTTGCATATCTCCACCGCGTGGTTCCGATCTACGGCAAGATATATATAAGCCAGAGGAAAATTTGCTTTCGTAACCTCCTACCGATACCTCGTACCAAGATGATTCTTCCACTGAGAGATATCGAGAATGTTGAGAAGGAGAAAGGGTTTAGATTTGGCTATAGTGGACTCGTCATTATTGTCCGTGGCCATGAAGAGCTGTTTTTCGAGTTTAGAACCGCCGACTCCCGCGATGATTGTGCTGTCACACTACACCAACATCTCGAATCTGTGAAGTATCTAGTAGAATCCGGCCTGCTTCTCAAACAGGAGAAAGAAGAGGCAGAGGAAGCAAGAGCAGAGCATTCTATGCTGCAAGAGGCCCGTAATGATGCTTCCGCTGAACAAGAATCACCCACCGCGTCTAACGACGAGTCAGAAATGCATTCCATTTTTGACGATCCTCATGCGTCTATCGTCAACTTCAAGCCGTCCGAGTCGCTAAGGATTACCTGCTTAACGATCGGGTCCCGCGGAGATGTGCAGCCGTACATTGCCTTATGCAAGGGCTTACTCGCTGAAGGCCACCGGCCGAAGATCGCAACCCATAGGGAATTTGAGCCTTGGGTGAGAAAGCATGGTATTGATTTTGCTCCGGTTGAGGGCGACCCAGCAGAACTTATGCGAATCTGCGTGGAGAATGGGATGTTTACATACTCATTCCTGAAAGAAGCGTCGCAGAAATTCCGCGGTTGGATAGATCAGCTTCTGTCTTCCGCGTGGGCAAGCTGTCAAGACACCGATGTTCTCATCGAGTCACCAAGCGCGATGGCTGGAATCCATATCGCCGAGGCCCTTAGGATTCCTTATCTTCGTGCATTCACGATGCCCTGGACGAGAACGCGGGCGTATCCGCACGCGTTTGCGGTCCCGGAGCACAAGATGGGGGGCGCGTACAACTACCTCACGTACGTCATGTTCGACAATGTCTTCTGGAAGGCCATAGCAGGGCAAATAAATAGATGGCGGAAGAAGGAGCTTGGGTTGAAGGCGACAAATTTGAATAAAATGCAACAGAACCAAGTCCCGTTTCTCTACAATTACTCTCCTACAGTCGTTCCTCCGCCTCTTGATTACCCTGATTTCATTCATGTTACTGGATACTGGTTTCTCAGAGAGGCGTCAGATTGGACGCCACCACCGGGGTTGTTGGACTTCATTCAACGTGCCCGAACTGACGGCAAGAAGATTGTATATATCGGCTTTGGGTCGATCGTTGTCTCGGATCCAACTGCACTTACGGAGACAGTAGTCCAATCTGTCCTGAAAGCAGATGTTCGCTGTATCCTATCGAAGGGCTGGTCAGATCGCTTGGGTGATCCCTCTAGTGCCAAATCAGAGATCCCTCTACCGCCTGAAATTTTCCAGATTCAGTCTGCACCTCACGACTGGCTATTTAGACAAGTCGATGCCGCAGCCCATCACGGCGGGGCTGGGACGACTGGAGCTAGTTTACAGGCGGGAATACCGACGATTATCAAGCCTTTTTTTGGTGACCAGTTCTTCTTTGGATCTCGAGTTGAGGACTTGGGCGTTGGGATTTGCATGAAGAAGCTGAATGTCACGGTCTTCTCGCGAGCATTATGGGAAGCCACCTGTTCAGAGCGAATTATTACGAAGGCTCGACAGTTGGGTGAGCAGATTCGCCGTGTAAGTAGTGGTGCCAAAGTCGCCTTATCTTTCCTTTTCTTTCTCCGTTGGCCAGTTCGCTTTTTATCAATATCAACTAACATACGTCTACAGGAAGATGGTATTGGAAATGCAATTCAGGCTATTTACCGAGATCTTGAATATGCTCAGACTCTTTCCTATCGACGTTCACTCGCATCATCCACGCCTTTCTCACCAACACCTTCCCCCAAGGGTGGCGCCAAGAACGATGAAGAGTCTACAGTTGAGGACGACCTAGACGACACGGAGTGGACATTGGTGGACGAAGATCTCGGTAATAATAACAATTTGTCAAAGGTAGTACGAGAAGGAGCAGTTTCTAACGCGGGGATGCCAGCGGAGCGAGTCCGCTCTAAAGGACCTTCTGGGGAACATAGAAGCAGTCCATAACAGCAGCTTTACTTGTGCATTGCGATATCGGGTTGATTATTCCTTCGTTAAATTTTTCCTTCGTGATGACCAGTTCGATATTTGCACTATTTCCACTATGATCATTACTAATGGTTTGATGACTTACGTATCATCCTTTCTCATCGGACTCGATATGCTTCAGATTGTTTGACGGGAATCATTTGTTAAGTTCTATACCAGGGCTGTGGGGCTTGGATGTTATTACGCGCGCGGATACATGTATAGGCGCAGATAGAACTTGGAATGGAGGCATTTTTACCCACGAGTACAGTATTAGAATCGAAGAAAGGACACTTAGTGTACTGCCAACGTTTTCAACATTTTCAATCGCATCTATACAACGCATATCGAAAGAATCCTTAACCATTAGGCCTTTTCTTCCCAGTATCATCGTCATCATCATCACCTTTCCCTTCAGCCTTTTCTTTCCTCCTCTGTACAACATCCCAGTTGTAGACGCGGGCTGTGGCAACTTCTAATGTCTGTTCCGTGACGAATATTAGCCTTCTTCCACTCTAATCCAGAGCCAACGAAAAGGGTGAAGAATAAGGATATACCGTAATCTGCTCCCTTAAGAAATCCAAATCCTCATCACACGTAGCAAGACTAGCTTCCGCGGCGGACAATTTCTCCTGCAGCATTTCCTCCGCTTCGGGAAGGGGGTAAGCGAGCATGACATTTGCACCGAGCCAGAGATAGACTTCCTCGGTTTCGGCGGGGGAGATAGATGCTTTCGCGTAGAGGGTGTCATTTAGTTCGAAATGGGTTGTTATGGAGGAGGAGGATGAAGCCTTTTTATTTTTATATATTCAATTAGCAATCTGTCTGTATATGCAGCGTCCGCGAACTTTGTCAAGGAACGAACAGAAAGAAAGAAGTCAACATACATCTCTCTTCAATTTCAGAAACCGAACCATCTCCAATGTCTTCTTGATATCGGGGATTTTCTCGCGGAGGCCCTGTGCGCGCCGTGCCGTGTTCACTTCCATGAACTGGTACTTGGAGATCATCTCCTGGAAGGAGCGGAGAGTGGGCTCGACCTCTGCCCTTGACGAGACGTAGTCGGAAACATTGTCAACGAAGGGAGCTACTGGGATGCCTCGGGTGTTTGTTTGCGTTTGGATCTGTCCTTGTCGGAGTGGCAGGGTGCCGCTGTGGGAATGACGCGGGTTAGTCTTTTTCTTTTTTTTTTTTTTTTTTTGATAATTTCGTGCTGTTGTTGTTTCTTACCTCGTTTTCGTTTCTGCCATTGTTTCATAGAGCCTAGCTAGTAGACAGGCTCTGATGGAGGAGCATTAAGCCAGCGGGGGAGGAAGAAAGAGAGTGTTGTCGATATGGCGGGGGAAATGAATTCATCTTATCTGGGTTGAGTTGATTGCCGTTTTGGGAAAAGACCTCGTCTCGTTCGCATTTTCCAGTTTCGCCTCCAGTTATCATTAATTACTGCGCTCACGAAGCACCACTCAGAGAAAGGAATTTATGAAATGGAATATCTACTTTCAATGTGGTCTGTTTACTTTTTGTAAATCAAAAAGAACACCTACAGCATGGTCCTCCTCGTCATAACCACCCGCATCCTATCCGCAATCGAGTCCATCCCCCCTTCAAGCCGCGAAGAGCTCAGTCTTCCAAGTTCCCCAGCATTAGAAGGACCAATTTCACACGAACAATTGATCGCGATAGCTCGATATTTCCGAGAAAGTCAAAAGGAGCAAGGAAATGCTGCCGTCGACCATGAAAATGACCAACATACTCAGACAGAATCACCATCGCCTTCGCCATTGCCATCGCCAACCCAATGTCTTACATTGAACGAACTACTTCGCGGAACAAAAGTCTATATCCCTCCTCCACCCAAGAAGCCGGAACCGGTATGTTTCCCTATCCCGACAAGCGAACGCTCAAGCGAGAGGGGAAAAGATCTAATAAATGCAGAGCCCCGAATACCTCGCCCAAAAAGCAAGGCTCCTTGCCGCCCTACAAACAGACGAATACAACCGTCTAATCTCCCCCGGGAGGAATCTAGCCATAGGCCCCTCGCCGATATTCTCCTCGTCGACGCCGACGGCTTCCGCGCTACATGGCTCCTCCGACGCCGGCGCAGATACCCTCAACGGGCTTGACTCGGAAGACCCCTTGACACCCTCTTTGGTGCTGAACATTTTCCTCTCTGTGCTTATAACGGGGTTCAGTGTCTATTGGGCTCTTACTTTCTTTCCAACTCCAGATTTCCTTTCTACTTTCTTATCGTCAGCGCCGGCCTCGGAACCGATGCGTGTGCTCTTGTCGTTGTTTGCTGCTTTGGGTATTGGTATCGCAGAGGTTTTTATTTATGCTTTTTATCTGAAGAAAGTGAGTAGCGCTCGGATACGTGAGAGGCGGATCAAAGAGAAGAAGGAGCTTGTGGGTGTGGTTAGGGAAGAATCTGATATCGATGGAGCCAAGATTGCCGCACAAAAGGGAGAGAAGGAGGAAATTTGGGGTAGAGGGGTGAACGGCGGTGTTAGAAGAAGGGTGAGGGAGAAGTGGGAGGAAAAGGAAAGGAATCGAAATGGGCATGATTGATGACACCAGCCTTCTCATTGCTTTGGGAGAGTCGAGTCAATGGATAGGTGTGTTGCATAAAAGTGTTGCATAAAAACAAATAGTCTTCTCCTTATCGGCCATGTGCAGGAAACAGAAGAAAATTAAAGGTAATAGTATATTGCTTCCTATATTATTGGTGCTCATCTAACTAATTTGCCGTCCAAGTCATTAGTACGCTGCAGTCGTGAGCCTGTTCTGTAAGTGTGGTCAGAAGAAAATGAAGAACTCTATAGAAAAGGACCTAGGCCCAACTCCGGCTCTCCAGTAGGAGTTTACCAGCAGGGATGTCGCTCCTAAAGCCTTGTTCTCTGCTGAAAATTCGGTCGCCGCGAAGCCAGGTCTCGCAGACAATGCCACGGAGCTTCCGACCTTGGTATGGAGAGCACTTGTTCCGGAAAAGCATGGTGCTAGGTTGAACCACCCATTCGGAAGTGTCGTCAAAGACGCAGATATCCGCATCGAAGCCGACAGCCAAATTTCCCTTTTGCTTCTGGAGACCGACCTGAGCCGCTGTGTTCGTACAACACAGTCGCACAATAGTTTGAAGAGCATCCTTAGTGTTAAGATCGTCTGGAGAGGAAGTCAGACCTTTCCTCCGGCTTAATTCCGTCCAAAGGATAGGGAGGCCAAGGCCGACCGACGAGATACCTCCCCAAGCTGAAAAGAAATCGCCGTGTCCTTTTGACGCGTGGGTATCCAATGCACAGTGGCCAGGAAATCCGGGGGGGAGGAGTTTGAGATCCGGGGTGCAAGGCGAGTGGTCCGAAACTACGGTCTGTATGACGCCGTCGGTGGTATATCGCTCTAATTCTGCCCACAGGGCGTCCTGGTTGAGTTGGGAGCGGATGGGTGGACAGCACTTGTGGCGGGTATCGCCATCACGGATCTCCTCGGCGGCTAATGACAGATAATGGAAACAGGTCTCTGCCGTAATTTTAATTCCTTGAGAACGGGCTTTGCGCAAAATAGGAATTGCTTCCATGGCTGAAAGGTGGACGATATGTAGGGGCAGATTAGGGGCTAGATGAGACAGTGCAACTATCTGCTCAATAGCGCATGTCTCAAATGATGATGGTCGCGAAGCAAGGAATGTAGAATAGGCCTCCAGGGATCCTTCTGGCGCTGCAGGGGCATCTGATATCTGGCCCTTGACAGGTGGCTCCATTTCTGCATGGAACATGAGCGTTGTTGGTTCATCTGCGAGTTCAGCCATGGCTTTCTTGATGTCTTCGGGAGATACAGCCGGGAATTCATCAACCTAGGAGCGACGAAAAGTAAGCACTAGACAAAGGGGAAATGGTATCTGGTGGGTATTTACCCCACTGTCAATTAGAAAGCCCTTGAATCCTCGAACACCTTGGTGGACAAGGGCCTTGAGCTCAGAAGCATTTCCAGGAACGATGCCGCCATAGAAGCCAACGTCAACCCAACATTGGCCCTGGGCCGCCTTGAGCTTTTCTTGAAATCCAGCAACTGTTGTAGTCGGAGGGATAGCGTTAAGGGGCATATCGATAACGGTGGTGACGCCACCAAAGGCCGCAGCCTGAGTACCAGTATAGAAGCCTTCCCATTCTGTCCTTCCGGGCTCATTCAGATGTACATGGGCATCGACCAGGCCGGGCAGCAGGACGTACGGAGAGTAGTCAAAATAGGGTGTGCCTGCTGGGAAGTCTGAGGCAGGAATAACGGAGTCGAAGATAGCGGTAATCTTGCCACTAGCTTGGGAGATAACGACTGTAGCAGCAGTCAAACGACCCGACACTACGGCACGGGACGAAGCCACCACGGTGATTGACGGATGGTCCGTGTTTACAGACTCCATAGTGTCTGGTATCTAGAGGCTGAAAAGCCGCAGAATGACTCGTCAAAACTTGGAAATAGAGTAGGGGCGATATTGCGACTGAGGCAGAGCTCTAACCTCAATGAGATGGGCGGATGGCCACGGAAAATTATTCCCAAAGTTCTAGCTAAGGAAGCAAAGAGAGTGGGAACTGATCGGGCAAAGGTGAGGAAAGAGGGATAGATAAGAGACGAGGGATAATAAGACAGGGTGGGATGTCCTGGCACACAAACGGTATGCTTATCTTTGCAAGAACACCGGCAAGGACTGAAAGACACGGGTTCTCCAGGGAAATCCGGGGTCGTGCAGAAAATGATAGATACGGGACAAAAGACTGGGGAAGGGGTGGAAGATTAAAAAAAGAAAAGAAAAGAGGAAAGGGGAAGAGGGCTATTATCCGTTATTGCTACTGCTTGGAGTATGATGGATTGGGACATACCCACTGTGGCCGCTCCGTTCCACCCATGGCCACCGCAGAGACGGAGGATAGAACCGCGTAATAATGGGGCACATAATGCTTGATAGCACTCTATAATCTAATCATAGGCGAGAACTCCCCCGAGGGGCACTGAAGGCACCTTGTTTGCTGTTCTTACCTGGTATTCTGTGTAGACGAGCAATCATGAAGTTCTCCCTGTTCGGCTTCTCGAATACCCTCATGTTTGCCATTTCAGGCGAATCTGAGCGCGGCCAACGGAGCCGTTCATCTTAGAGACGGCCCATCATATCATCAACCAAGGTTATCGGCACACTGATAGGCGGGTATTCTTGGGTTCCAATGGCTGTAAACCTCTTCCGGGTCCAGGCTTATCGATATCCATCGGGCATCTCCGACGACGACGTCCTGGCGAGTCATCAGCAAGACCGGTTATCACATCGCCGTTACTCGATGGAAATTTGCCCCTCTATCCCAACAGGTTTCACTTACTCGATAGAAATCTTTAGCCTCAAGACCCGAATAGTGTTCCCCATTCCGGCTACCACTGCTGATGACTGTATCAGGATCAAAAAGACTATCTCCGAAGGTGATAATGATGGTGGTGGGTGGTGATGGACTGGCTATGCATGCTGTCCTGTTCCGAAAGCTGGAAGGCAGGTGACTGTTCATCACGTGGGTGGATCAATGTTCTTGTCTTCCGGTCAAATTTACTATTTCCTCTGTAAGATTAATATCGCCTCGGGTCGTCATCGAGTATCCTTGGCTATCCTTACTCGATTCTGTTCGTTAAGAGGAAGAAGGATCGGGCATCATCTGTGCGTTGGCGAACTTCAACGAAGTCCTTCCTCTCCTGGATTGTCTCGGGCTTAATTCTCGTCCGTTCGCCTTGCTGTCGTTGCGGTTTCTCTCACCAACGGTGCCCAGGCGTAGAGCACGCCAGTAAGATTCTGGGTTTTTTACGCGTTCACATCTATTGAAAGTATCAATTTGCATCGATGTTTCCTACGAAGTTTCCGAATTATTACCGCGTGGGAGCAAGTTGCCGTACCTCGAAGCGATCAGCGGCTTGAACTCAACCACACACGAAACTTACTAACATGCTTTTTAATGCTTCTTCTGCGAGCCTATTGTGATGCATTTGATAATTCACCATGAATAATCAATCGCGGGTTCGAAAATCTACATCACGGTCCCGCTCTGGCTGTTTGGAATGCAGACAACGTCATCCAAAATGCGACGAAGACCGCCCAGCATGCAAATTGTGCCGGCGGCTTGGACGCAAATGTGAATATGGTCTGCGTGTATCTTGGGGCGGTGGACCTTTTAACAGGTCTACGTTTGGCAAATGCATGGTAGAAGGTGTTGACAAGCCTGTTAGGGTCATGAGTACTTCATCAGCCCCTTCCGTCACAATGCTGGATTGTCCTGTTGAATACGCCATCTAGAAGCTAAGTTAAGATTTCAGATGACTCTCAGCTTTCTTTGTCTTTTGTCTATGGGATTGTCGAGTCCAAGGAACATATCAAACAGCCGTCTACAGCGCTGTTGCAAAGTCAACAAAGACCTCGCATAGCTATAGCCCCGTCAAGTGTGCCCCATCTTCTTCCCGCCCATTCATTTCTGCTTGACTACTTCCCACATGTCGTGGACTCGTTCTCATGCAGCAAGGCCGTCAAGAAAAGCTTTTGTGAGACGATGATACCAATGGCATTTTCCACGCCTCATCTCATGACGTCCATACTTACTCTGGCCGCTGTTCACAGAATTAGTGCTGGTTTAAATCAAAGTGAGGTGCAGTTGGCACGTCTGCAGGTAATGGTCATTGAGCAGCTGAGAAGCAGGCTCTCCAACCTCTCGGGCTCACCAACTGAAGATATAATGGCAACCGTCTTGATGCTATGCTACGCTGGCATTGTTGGTGGAGGAGACAAACTTAATGCATGGAGATCGCATATAAATGGGGCAGCTTGCCTGTTCAGCCACGACATCTCGCAATGGACCATACGCTCTCAAAATCCTGCTAGGGTATTCATCTCTAAGTGCTTTATCTCCCTCGTGAAATGTTTCTGGATACCCCCCAACAGACTTTGTTTCCACGACAATGCTCCAGATGGCTAGTGGAAGTATGACGGCCCCTATATAGATGAGTTTACTGCTTACTCAACTGATTTGATCAATGTGCTTTTTGATATCGGGACGCTCTTGAGAATGGCGGAGATCCGTTTAGAAAATAATCGAATAGCCACTGGGGCTCACAGACAGGTATTAGAAAAGTGATCTCAGATGCCCGGATTATATATGGCAGTTGCAATCCATGCTCAAAGCCCAGTCAAATCTATCAAAACTAGACAGTATGTGACTATCCAGTCGACAAAGAGAATATCTTAACATTAATGAAGCCTACCACCACGCTGCTTTGTTACAGGTGTATCAGAGAATCCTCGGAATGCCTCTTTCAGCGAATAGGGTTCAGAAGACTGTACATCGCATTATATCCGTGATATCTGGCATTAGACTCCAGCAAGGCCCGTGTCCAGGAATCGCTTTGTTATTCCCTGTTTTCTCTGCTGGCTGTGCAGCGATTGAAAATACCTATAGGGAAAAGGTTTTGGCTTTAATGCGAGAGATGGCCGGACTATATGGCATCATGAATGTCAGACATTGCATGAAGATATTGGAGACTCTTTTGTCCCGCCAGATTGGCACAGAAAAACGCAGTATGGACTTTCGTGGAGAGACCTCACTGGTATGTCGTCAAATCGTTTTAAGTCGATTGCTTTTGACAATTTCTGACATAGCTGAGATTGGCTGCAGCAGAAGAAACCCCAGATATTATTATATACTAGCGGTGTGATTTCTTCCTGGCTTTCCTATACTTCGTTCTCTTGCTCTATATATACCTTTTCTGAGACGAAAGAAAGCTATACTTGTTTCCATTCGCCATCACTGCCCGACTATCTATCAAGAAAGATTTCATATCCTCTGCGAGACCTTCGAAACTGTTACCCATTGACTTCCGCAGCTGTCCTTCATCAACGGCTAATACACGGAAGTCCTTCATTACGATGAGTCCGTCAATTATGGAGTGCTGCGCCGCAGATCCATTGCAGCCATAAACAAGATGGCTCTCCAAAATTATCTTGCGATTCGTGATATCCTTCAATAGCGGCGTGAACATCTGGTTTTTTGTCAAATCTAACACAATGATATCCGCTTTCTTCCCTGGCTTTAAGAAGCCCGCATCGATGCCGAGAGCCTTTGCATCATTTCGAGTCGCCATGCGTAACATTTTGCCAGGCTGAGCTAGGGATGCATCTCGATGTAGGGCTCGTTGGATTAGAGAGCCGAACTTCATGAGTTCCAACATATCCGGGCTATTCTCGCACTCAAAAGCATTAATCCCAATCCCAACATTTATACCAGCGCTTTCCAGATCTTGAAGCCTCGCAATGCCGTTTCCCAGTTTTGCATTAGATCCGGGGTCATATGAAACAGATGTGCCGGTTTTGGCCAATAGTGCGATATTATTATCCGTCAAGTGAATACAGTGTGCGCCACTACATCCGGGTCAAGGCAACCTGTTTCATACGCGATTTCAATGGGAGTCTTCCCAAACCTGGCCGCGGTATCATCGACCTCATCCTGTGACTCGCAGAGATGGATATGCAGGCCTGTCCCCAGCGTTCGCTTCATTTCACCAACCCGGGCCATCTACTCGATATTCGAGGTACACATCCATTTATGGCCCATCCAGACGTTGATCCGGCCTGAATCTCGGCCATTATTTCGTTGTCCTCGATCAGATCAAGCTTATGCTCTGGCAGTGCAACCTCGTTACTGAGAACGGCACGTATTCCAATCTTACTCGCAGCTCGAGCCAGAGATCCCAAATACCGATACATATCATTAGCCGTGGTGGTTCCCGACTTGATGGCAGTGTAGTATGAGTGTAAAGCAGTTATATACGCTCTCTCAGGATTTAGTGCACGCACAGCAGGATACCATACCTGATCAAAGTATTCTCTGAGAGGCAACTGGTCCCCGAATCCCTGCTGTGGAGTTAACATGCCTTCTGGCTTTAGGGAGAACTCAGAAACAGAACGAAGGTATCTACCTTTGCAATGGAGGTATGGAAGTGCAGGTCTACCAAACCTGGCATAACAAGCTTATCCGTGCCATCGAGAACTGTAACGGACGGGTCGTCGAATACGCTTGGATTAGGGTTACCGGCATAGATCTTCGCTATACGATCGCCCTCTACCTCAACTGTCCCCGGGTAATAGAAGGTGTCATCATCATCCAACGTTAGGATGGAGGCATCGTAGATGATGATTCGGGACATAGCTGGGGCCAGGAAAATTCTAGGAAGGACAGACAATTTCAGAAGGTTCCAAAGACAATTATTATTTACTCGAAGCTCGAACTATACTTGGGGGTAGGAATGTACCTATAGGTAGATATTTATACCCCTAAATCCGGTCTTCAATATGTCCTGGGAAGCTCAAGTGGCTCCTAAGTGATAGTACACTATCCATTTGCCCAATAATCCATCGAAGGCCGGTTTAGCCCCGGAGATATTCCTCTGCGGAAGATGGCTAGTGTACTCGAAAACTTATGTTCACATTATTATTACTTCGAATATAGGAAACTATAGATCGGCCTAGGTGATCCCCGATTGGACATGGTCTATTGTTTCCTTTTCGGGATATGGTGGCGGTTTCCACAGGAATCTCTTATCTAAGCAAAGATTGAGTGTTTCATTCTTCTTAAATAGCAAATAAGCCCTAGCCTTAATAATGGAAAAAAAAAAGTGTTAGGATTCCATGGGCTTTTGATTGAAAGCGCCAGGAGGAAGGGGGAAACATAGGAAACGAGAAATTACCCATAGTGCCTTCGTACCCCTCATACCAACCCCCCAGCAATCACTTTACCTCTTCAACCACGGCGTGTTCTGCACCATTACCGTTCATCTCCTTGATGATCAGATGAGGTTCGGCATAGTCCGGGTCCGCGTGCACTTTGTCCAGCCATTCAATAACACCTTTCCAAGCCATTGGCATGATGCACTCCATATTCAACGCCTCGTTGGAGGAGTAGCAGTTGCAGCCGTATTCGTGGAACCCCGAGACGGGAGCATCAAGGGGTTGGTCAGAGAGAACATAGGCACGGCAACGCGAGGAAATGAAGGCAGGAAATGTATATGAGGTGATGTCTTTATCTTCATCAGTTTCCGGAGACTCGGGGAGTAGGTCAGTGTCCCTCAGATGAAGGGGACTTGGGAGGCAGATGGCGGATACATGGTCTTTCCAAGTCTCCCCTGATGGGTTGTTAGCAAGTTATATACTGGGCAAAAAGGAGGAGCAAAAGTTAAAAGGACATACAATTGTTTGCCAAGTAGCGAATTGCCCCCAAACCCCCCTCGGCCACACCGACGATGTCAATCTTAGCCTTCTCACTCAAGATATCCCCACGGGCCGCCAGAATATCCTCAAACACGCATGTAACATGCTCCTGCCAGTTGCCATTACGAGGGATCTTGTTCCGACGTGTCGTGGTCGGTGGCCCTTCAACGGCTGAATGTCGAGGCATAGAAAGCCAAGTCGCCTGCGTAACCGCTCGACGGGAAGCACAATGCCAGGTCAACTGGCCCGTATTCGCCAGTACAATAGCAACATCTTCCTGGTCTTTAGGTGTGGAATTATTCTTGTTCTTTTCAAGAATGGCCCTCGCGAAAGCAACTGCGGAGCCTTGGTCAATGCCGTCTGTGCCAATACTCCGGTAAGCCCAGACGCCTATGTCTTGAATAGACTCTCCGAATACGACCACGACTCTGGACGCTGTTGCAAGGTTCTTCGATACGAGAATTGGGACGTGTGGTTCATCGACGGGGGTTGAAAGGGGAAGTCTGATCGTTCTGAAACCTAGGTCATGCAGTCGACCGGACACGATGTCGCGAATGCATGCTAGACGTCTATTAGTTCGACGTTTCCCACTGGAAATTACCAGGACGTGGCATGATTATGGAAAAATCATAAATAGTTACCATTCATAGCTTCTCTCTGTGCCTCATTCCATCGAGGGTTCCTATTTATTTTGAACTGAAACTCCTCATTAGGGCGGGTTATCTTCCTGATCTGGTCCTTGTCATTCACAAAGTACCTAATTTAGTATATTCTTAGAGATTAACCCATAGAAGGATTTGTGCAGGCCAACATAGAGCATGAAGATCAGGTCACTCACCCAAGCTTCTCTAGATTAGCTGGGAAGACGGGGTCAGGAGGGAGATCCTTTCGACGATAGACGAACATCCTGCGTCACTGCTTGTCTCGACGTACGTTTCAGTGCGAGTTGTACATATCTGTTTTAGGAAGAAGAATATGAGGGGATGGAGTTAGCAGCAGGTTTATATAGAGGTGAGGTTGGAAGTTCGAAGATGCAGACTCCGTTTGTCACTTGCTTCAGCAGTGAATGCGTACAAACACATGAATACGGCACTATTGGAAAGCGATAGAACCCTGCCAGAAAACTCAATCATGCTCCATTCTGCATTATCTGGAGATTGAACTGAATAACCCTGGCCTCACCTATCCCTCATGTCATAAGAGGTCGACGTGTCCCTCGACAATCTCACCACAACGGACAACACTTATAGAAGACTCGAATTCATCGCAGAATATTTTATTCGAGAGCCATCCTCCATTTATCTTTGTATTATACACATGCGAATAAAAGTGAAAGAGGCAAAAAAACGCCTTGCGCAAACCGACCGTGCCAGCGTCGTCAAGTCTCCAATCAAACCACTGGCTGTGTACCCAGTAATAACCAGTATAAATAATAAATCCCTTTACCAACTAGCTTTTCTTACACCAGGTAATTCACCGGCTAGAGCTTGTTGTCGGAATTGGTACTGCAAAGAAATACCGCATTAGCCATGTCAAGTCGAGCCCGGATAGACGACGAGCATGTAGAAGACTTATTATATTGTATCACTTACCCTTGCAATCCTAAAATCCCGGGAAACACTCCTTGCTATTCCACCAGCCACACATCTGTTCTTGATCTGCGTTGACCGGGTATAGGCGTGCATCTGGGAGAGTTGGAGTTGGGCTTGTGCGCGGACACGTTGAGGGAGGGTAGTGTTGCGGATTATGTAGCGGAGCGCCTGTCTGTGAAGCCAAAAAAAAAAGTCAGTTTTAGCTCTCGACTCATGTTCTTTCGTTTTGAATGGGTTTGCGCATTGGGTGAAAAGACATACCGTTCCGGCTCATACTGTTCGAAAACCTTGCGCTTGGTATGATCACGGATGATGCGGGCGTTGATAAAGCCGCCAATATCCAGACGCTTGGCTCTAAATTGTGACATTATGCAAGGTTGGTTCTTGAGGTTCTTGACTGACTTGTCTGGCTGGGGATGTCGATGTTCTTGTCGCTTTGGGGCTCGCCGGAGCTGCGGAGTGGGTGTGTGGTTTCCTGATCCGGATTAGTGCCATCTCCAAAGCAGGTGACCTTGTAAGAAATTGAGGATTGAAATGGATAGTTACTTTGCTTCGTAGAAAAAAGAATAGCAAGCCTACGTTGCACATGATTTAGGTCTGAACAATACGCAAATGTGAACACTATTTTCTGAATAGAGAGGACCCAATGACTGGGGTTGACCGGCGGCTTCACAATCGAAGCTTCAATTGCACTTGAAATGAACGCTTTGGAATAACGCATACGAGACCAGCGTATAATTATACTCTAATCCAAGTATGGAACTTCGAGAATTTCCTATCCCAGTAGTGCCTTTCAATAGAGAAAGAGTAGGAATTGTAGAAAATAGCGAAGGTAGACGCAGGGGCAGATGCATACACGGAAGCCGATTGACCAGTCCTTCCTCAAAGGTAGAAGAGGTATATCTTGTTCGTTCATCAATACACCCTCTGACGATATTTTCTATTTCATTATACAAAGCAACTGTCCAGAACTCGACACCGACTCGAAGACGGCGATTCAGGTATAAGCCACACATCACCAATAACCATCGCCGTTTTCAATATACAGCATCGTCTTTATCCCATCGTATCCAATTTAGTGCTTCTCACCGGGCTTGGAGGCCTTGGCGTAGGGGTTGCGGGGGTCGTTCTTGAACTCGTCGGCTATGGAGTCACATTGGGTGTTAGTCGAGATGCGATTCACAACAATCCTTTGATAGAACTATCAATCGGAATGGCGATGTAGAAAAGACAATCCCTCTCAAACAAAATTTTGGAGCGCTACTCACTCTTCATCAGGGCATCACCGATAGAGTTGACACCGTAGAGGATGATCAGGCCTATGCAAGACGATTAGAATCCATTTATGGCATGTCACGCGCAAAATCGAGCGACAGCTAATGCGAATCGAAGACGAAACACAACAGAATCAAGGATGGGGTCAAATCCGCGTACCCGCAGCGAAGAAAGGGACCATGGGCTTGGCTGTGAAGAGATGTCAGTTCTCGGTCGTGGCCATTGGCGCGCAGGGGGGTGGGATTAAACTTACCAACAGGGGCCGGGAACTTCTTGGGAAGGAGAGACATGACTGCTGACCGGTTGCGAGTTGAAGAGTCCTGTTCTTTGTATGGCAGAGAGGAGAGTTGGCGATGATGGAAGCAATAACGAAGTCGGGACAGCAGCGAGGTTTGCCCGGATCCCGAGAAATGCCGCACTAAACCCCATTCGCGCTGCCGCTTCGTGCATCCACATCAAGATCCTGCATATCAACGTTGTTTACTCATATTCTAGCAATTAACGCTCTTTCATCTCAGAATGGCTGCTTCTCTGTCTTCTTCAGTGACTTCCCTCCAGTCCTCATTGCAGCTTCTGGACTCGTCCATCGATATCCTCGATTCAGGAGTCAGCGACTTTCCCCGACTCTCCAAGGTCCTACGAACAAGGCGAGTATGTAGAATATACACCTTCCAACTTGGTTCTTCAAATACAAGGGGCATCCATCTAAATTACCCTCTATTGAAATATGTAGCACTTCGAGCTCCTCCCGGAACCCACTATACGCGAAGCACAACAAGCCTTACTAGACGAGATCACGCCAAGCATTGCACATCTTCTTTCCCTCGCATCAAACCACGTCGAGAAGTTAGCTCGTCGCGAACAAACATTGAAGGCCAAATGCGAACTGCAGGAAGGAAGACTCAGTTCTCGCGAGAACCGTCAAACCTCGACTCAGAGCCAGAATAGCGCACTCCGTAACCACGCCGGTGTCGGCTCTGGCAATGCTGCCGCGAGAGCGGTAGAGCTGAGAAGACTGGTGCAGAAGAAGGAGCGCTTACAGTATGCTGTCGAGCGTCTGGAATTGCAGAGTACACAGAGGGAACGGCAATTACGGAAGAGCATGGCTGCGCAGTGATCGAGTGGCTTCAGACGGGTGGGTCCATTGGAATTCTACCAACGGAATAAGAACAATAACTCTTCGTGGTTATTGTAACGCTCGCTGTTTTCAAAAGAATCAACGATGACTTGTCACGTTTTCAATCGGTCGCGCAGCTTGTTGCGCATACGCAATACGGAGGTGACAATGCCACGGCCATCCTGTGTGAACGATACGCCGATAGACACACAGCCTCAGCGCATGGTATAGCCACAGAAAGAAGGTATCCTATACACTACAGCATGGGACCTGGATTTCCCAGCTCGAAAACCGAATTGATTTTCGTGTGATCACGCCCCGGGAAGACTGCAGCTATCACATCTCAAAAAACGTTAGTGGGCATTTCAGTCCCTGGTTAGCTGTTGTTCTTAAACTCTCCTACTAGCTCTTGTTGGGCTTTCCTGATCCGACAAGCCAAATATTCAGGGTGGGCGAGAATACGAGGATGGTAGAGTGAAGCTAAGAATAGAAATTGAGTGAAGAGGTCACTATATTACACTTTGACTAGGTATAAATGCCAGATTCAATCCAATATTCCTTTACCGCCCTCCCCTTGAGAGTAAGAGAAACCCATAGAATGTCCTTGCGCCGCGGTAGATCGTCAACTTCCGGTATTTTTCCACGTACAATGAATAGCCCGGTAAGAGAGAGAGGAAGAGAATGTAGAATTGGAAGGTCTTTTAAACATCGGCCTTAACGCTTTCAAGTCCTGCTGCAGAACGCTTCTTCGCGGCCTGCCTCGTTTGCTTTTTAGTCAATTTCTTCTTCCAACTAGGGATCGTTTGACCCTTTTCCTTGATAAGAATAGGCATCTCCGGCAACGGCGGTGTGGAGGACGTGTTGCCTTCACTGAGTTCTTCCTGTTCCTCGCGCAGAGCGGCTCTTACAGCGGCTCGTCTAGCAAGCCGTTCTTTCTTCCCTTCGCCGTCTTTCTGGCCCAGCACCAGAGTTCGTGGGATCCGGGTCTTGGCGCCTAGAGCCCACAGGTCTCCCCATCCTGCCTTTCGGGCGTCTGTGAAGGCGGTCTTGCTGAAGGAGCGAGGAACAATCCAGCGTTCAATCTTAGCTTCCGGGGTGCACACGTCGAGGATGACGTGTCCTCGTCGCTTCATAGGGGGGTAAACAATACGAGGAAGGGAAAGGGTGTGGAAGGTTCCTGTTGGACTTTCTGATGGAGTGGCTTCCGTAGTCTGGGGAGTTGTCTCTGTCGTATTGGGCGTGTTTACAGCTTCCAGTTCTTCCTCTTTGGGGCTCCGGGCAATATGCTCATAACCGGCAAATGCAGCGTTTGTGGCTTCGATGTCTTGCGCGATTTCAGCTTGTTGACGCAAGTCCTCACCCCGCTGGACAGCGATGTAGCTGAATTTGACATCCTCGTGATTTCGATCCTTGGCATCGATGATGCGTTGCAGGAACTGGGGCCTGATATACCTTTGCTGGAAATGACAGTAGTCTTCACGGCCCTTCGATACGCCCGGGAAGCGGTACATGGGACAAATTTCATGGTTTGTACAAGGGGCAATGATCATCCCAGTTTCCTTTTTCACGGGTTTACCATCTCCAGGAGACTCAAGGAAGTCTTCGTATTCTGTGGAGCCGGGGCTGGAAATATGACGCTTCAGCAACATCTCGCGCGCTCCAGCAACAGCTTCAAACCCGCGCTGGCGTCCTTTTTCGAGAAGAATCAAGACACCTCCATTGGGATTAAGCAAGGACCAGAGATTCTCAACATGTTCCTTCCGCAGATAGTCGTCTTCAATTCCGAGGAGGGTGTGGGGCGCAATTATAATGTCATACTGTTTCCGTTTGGGAGGTTCTCGCGCATCTTCCAATGTCGGCGTGTCGCGGACATGGACGTAATCTGGTAAACGAGGGAGAAACGTCGTGTTCTCGAGCATGGCAGCCGCACGGAGTCGAAGGGCTTCCGATCCAGTGACAACGGTTGACTTCCCCATAGGAACCGAGTCAGATTCGTGGCTGTCAGGATTCATAAGCTCGTGCTCTGTGCGAAGAATGTCTCTCCAGGCCAAGATTCCAGCACCCCCACCACCAGCATCAAGCACACTTGGGCCCCCTTCCTGCGTCATCAGACGACGAATCCAACTGGTCCCTAGTCGTTTTCGAATTTCGACTAGAATGCTCAGCACAGACGAGTATATGCCGGGGTACAGAACGGCCAGAAATGAATTAGCTTCCATGTCGCTCATGTAATGTTGTGAAGCTTCTAGGGCGACGGGGAGCTGCGGCAGCTGGGCACGCGGAGGCATGACCGTTGTAGAATGAGGGAGACTCCTCCCGCCAAATATCGCACGAGCTTTGTCCTTAAGGTGCTTGTTGGAGTAGTTGGACAGGATCGCCGAGATGGGGCCAACTACAGTGTCTGTCGGCAGAAGAATAGTGCTGGGGTTTGTAGAGAATTTACCCTCCACTGTCAGGGGATGTCTTCGGGGAGTAGAATCCGGAACGGCCTCGTCTTCGAACTGCTGGAGCATGACTTCACCACCTAGCTGTTCAGCCACCTCTCTTGCGCGTTTCATTATCATCGACTCCTCCTCCTCCGGACCCGCTTCCATGTCATATACCACAGGGATCTCTTCTTCGCCTTCCCCCTGCAGCGTGGCTCGTTCGAACTCAACCTCTTCCCAACCTCCTTGTCCATCTTCCCGGAACAACTGGTCGCTATCTGCCCCGGCCTCCTCATCCTCGACCTGGAGCTCTTGCTCCTTGACTATCGGCTCGCCATACAGTCGAACGTATAGTTGTGTCTCGACAGCATTCAAGTAGCCCTCTGGTAGACTTTCCCCAAACTGCTGCCTTGCCATTCGAACTCGTGATTCCAGCGCCTCTGGGCTTCGGTGGCCGATTGTCTGGCTAAAGGCATGATCGAGATCCGTACCGTGGATATTAAGGACTCCATGGTGCTCATCCAACAAATCCAAATTTTCTAGAAGCTCGGCTAGCTCGGCGTCATGTTGATTGATATTGTCGATCAAAGCGTAAATCTCGTCTTTGCGACTCGGTCCGACTGCGCCATCCACCGGAGCAGACGTTGACGTCGATCTTTTCGCGGCACACCATACTCCAGATCTGTTGTCGGTAGCCCGTTTTTTCGAAGGAAATTGCGGGGGGAGAGGGCACTGGTTCCGTAGTGAACTGCAATTCCGTGATCTCTGACGGATGGGGTTTGCAGCTCCTCGGCGGAGTTGTCGCGAACTAAGCTGCGGGACGTTATGGGCGATTGCATGCAGGAGCTCACGAGAACATGGCCGACTCACTGTCGATGCTGGAGATCTAGAAAGCATTTTTACGGCCCTTCCACACAGCACTACACAGAAAAGCCTGTGCAATCGTTCTGTAGGGAAAACAGGAAAGAAAAAAGGAAGTAGAGCTCCCGCCACTGGGCGACCTCCAGAAAACCCCAATGTCCGGCTTCTCATTGGCTTCGGCCCTGTTACATAACCACCCAGAACTAGGTTAGTTAACTAACTACAGGTTTTAAAATGTAGTAGGAAAATGTTAAGATGCTAATATCGTGGAAATAGAAATAGGCTGCTATCTGGACATCGAAGGTCTATGTCTACGACAGGTTGTACCTGTCATCTCTGCACGTTGCTGCCAACTTATTCTGAGCAGTAAGTAGGTAATGTCTCCGAGTGATAATATATAATCGGCTTCGCAGCAGTTTCTAAATATGTTTTCGGGCAGGCTCACAATAAACGATCGTTTTCAAGATGGAAATAATTTAGAAATGACATCTGGTTTTTGTGACCAAAAATAAAAACAAGTAAAAAGGCACTTTGTTTTTTCTTTTCTTTTTCTTCTTTTTCTTTCCAAAAAGAATGGAAGAAAAGAGCAAAAAAGAAATTTCGGTTGACCTACGCAGGATTCGAACCTGCAATCTCTCGATCCGTAGTCGAGCGCCTTACCATTGGGCCAGCAGGCCTTTGCTTGTTGAAATGTCGATTCACTTAGTGATACAGAAGGAAAGTTTAACTTTGAAATGGTTGCTTACACTACAATGTTGGCGTACAGGTCCCTACGAGTTGACCCTTTCAACCCAGCATAACATTCCAGTCTACCCGTTATATTGGGCCCCAACACAGCAATGGATAGCCATGGAGCAGCTCTACAAAAGGGGATACAATTAATATAATTTACTTTACTACGCGCACATGCGGGAGCAGAGCAAAAAGGCCACGGGAACGTGCCCACAGGTGACTGTGAACGGTGTTCTTGGCTTGTATCTGTCAGATTAATTATTTTCGTAGTACCTACCACTAGTAGTAGGTAGCTATGACGGCTTCTCATCCTCATCCGCACTCATCATACAGCTTCCATATACCATTGCCGCCGCTACAGACTGTGAATTCTCCACCCACCCCCCTCTATATGGGACCGTGTCTCCAATCCCTTTTGAGAATACCACACCTCAAACGGATTCTGATCTTTTCCTGCGCAGCTTCCGCTCCTCCCTCACTGCTTCTCCCTCACGTTCTTCCGTCGAGCATGTCTCGACGTGCACAGATACCCCAGAGTAAGATATGACAGAATCAACAATAACCCAGTTTCCCATGTTTTCGTACACAAACTCACATTTTCAGACTCACTTGCACCAGTCTGGTTGGTATGTGGAAAGTTCAGTCCAAACGCCTCTAAATTCAACGGGTGCAAATGGCCCACGCTGTCCCGGCCGTACATTCCAACTAGAAAACTGGCCGCGCCGTAGAACAAATGATTAAATAGATAGTATACCCTCTCGCGCCACAGGGTATGGACTGACCCCATTTCTGGATTCTTAGGCAACCAGGCCCATTCTTCGTCGGTGTGGTTGGCGTATTTATTTGAAAAGTCGCCTTCAACATTGATTGTGTCTGGCGTGGGTGGCAGAAACTTCCACGCTTTACGGAAGTATATTGTTGCTGTTATTTGGGGCCCATCAACATCAAATCCATATTGCGGAATGTCATTTGGGCCACATTGAATAGGTCCCATTCATTGTCAATCTTTGAAAACATGGTGAGGATAAGTGTTTAATGGACGGTATAGCGAATTCGGCCATACGTTAGAAATTGTCATTATGAAGCGATACGTTTGAATTCGCAGGATTCATAGTACGCTGGAAATAGAGATAAAAATGAAGTCTGGCTGTGATTCATCTGTCAGGAGCAGCTGGCCATTTACTAAACAGCTACCTGGCTACTAAGTCAACATAATCCACAGAGATCTGAGCCCCTCAGCCTACCAATGAGTCAACCACCCACATTTCATACAAAAGGGCAGTTTTAAGACCCCAACAAAGAATCCAGGGTCAGTGAAACTGAAGATGCTGAATACAAATGCTGTACAATAGCATCAATGGCTAACGCATCCATGCTCTGCAGGAGATGAGAGACGTCTAACGGAAGAACAAAAAGAATGGATGAGGGATCATCTACGCAAAGCCAATGGCTAGATGCCTTATGCAACCTGGTACATTCCATCGTAGGGTGCATGGCTGGTACATCACAAGGCCGGCTAGAGGCAGAGCCCGGGGTTTGTAGTTGTAAAGTAGATTATATAGTTATACAACGCCCTTTTATCTAGTACAAATTCTCCAACCACACCTCTCTGCGTTGTTCAAACTCCTGTCCCCGAAACTCCTCCCCAGCCCTTTGACGCGCCTGCTCCAAAGCCTCCCAGATAGCCCCCTGTGCATCCTCTAGTCTCTCAGCCGTATCAATTTTCCACCCACAGTCAACGTAGACATCAAAATCCTGATATAGGGAGATCCTCGGCAGGGTCTCCGGTTGTTCATCAGATTCCTCAACTTCAGGCCCAAACTGCGCAAGGATAGACATGTCAATATCTTCAAGAATTCCAGAATACACTGGCTCTAGATATCCTGGTACTGAATCTAGAGCCTTTTCAAAGCAATTGACGATAGTTTTGCTTGGAATATCATAATTCCAGGCATGAACCCCCATCGGACAGCATACATGATATTCATGGTCTTGATTGGATCCTTTTTATCCTCAAATTCTTTGAGCATAAACTGAATCCATTTCTGTTTCCAATATGCCTTCCAGAAGCGAATGATTCCTTGATCAAGTGGCTGATAGCGGCTCGTGGAATTAGTTGGAAGCCAGATAATAAGAGTATTCTCTAGAGGGTATGTTACTGGCTTCAATCATTGCCACAGCAGATTCATGGGCAGAGAAGTTACGCATGAAGAACAACACTTTGTCCAGTCATCCACTTATCAAACCAACGAAGCCATTCCTCAAAGATAACACCTGTCATCCAGGCTTTTGTATTACTCCGCCAAATGGTGTTGAGATTCTGGATTTTAATCCCAGCTGCTCAAAAAGCATGAGGATTCTTTGTCCTACCAATAAACCAGATTGGTAGCGCTCAGAGCCATCTGCGTTACAGAAGAAGAGAGCAGAGATTCAAGCCTTCTCCTTCTTTCCACCAGGAAGAATGCGTATTGAAAGACTTCGTTCTGGAATAATCTTCCAGAAAAGCCCAGTCTCATCACAGTTGAAGATATCCTTTTGGTTGTAGACTTGTAAGGCTTGCTTGATAATAAGCATTTATCTGCTTTTGCAGTCACACCTCCACGAGTCCACCGTTATTCTCATTCTCCATCTCTTACTCCAGGCTTTCCTTTGCCTGCCAGTTCCTTGCTGCCTGTCCCAATCATGACCCCTCGCTCCCGACAGCAAAGAGAGTCGGAGCGAGAGTGATGCTAGTTCCGACCTGAGTGAGATATTTTCAGACAATGGACCTGATAGTGACACCAGAAGCAATAGTGAGGATTCAGATGAAGAAGATGAACCCGATGACGATACCTTCGATGATGAGGGCTAGTTGGCCCCCGAACACTACTTGGCTCAAGCAGAGAGTTCGGACGTCTCTCAGCTTCGACAGAAGCGGTACAGCGAGTCAGCATAAGTGTAGATAGTCCGCCCAACTCCGGGCCTCCCTAGCTAGAACAACCAACTCAGCAAGTTCGACCCCCATCAATATTAAAATAATACAATCAATCAATCAATAGCGATTAGTTCTCATATAATAAGACCCCTATGAGCTACGCCTTGAATTCCTAACCTTATGTGACTAGTAAGCAATGTACATGAACCAGAACTAGTTGGAGACTTGTTGTTCTCTCTTCTGCAGGAGGCGTTCTATTTTCGCCTCTTCTCATTTTCGGCAGACCGTGAAATCACCTTCCAGAAGCCCACTAAGGCTCGCTTTCTGAATCGTCATCACCCATAAGCACTTTCAACGAGGCTATCCATTTCAGTACTTCGTATTGGAGGGCGGTCAATTTTGCCATTACAGCCATCAAGCTGGGATCCTGACTCTCTACTCGAATCTTCTCCTTGACTTTCACCTCTTCACCTCGCCAAGTGAATACTGCGCCAGTTTCGTCATGTGGGGGAAGTCGAGGTCCGAACAGTCTATCCCGTAGGGAGAATCCAGTCAAAGAAAGATCTGTTGTAAAGGTTGTAGGAGTATGTGCAGGGGAACTGGGTTCCAGAGTCCGCAAAAATAGCACCAGGGCAGAATCAGCGATGCAAAGATGGAATGACAGATACGGAGGTAACGGAGGATCAAATGTCTTTACAAACAGACGTAATTAGCAGGCTAGCCAACATCAAATGCCATTCAGTGTGACTGTATAAAAGAACTTACATTTTCATCTGCGCTAGCTTCCCCCCACTTCCCCCTCACATCCTCGGTGTCACCCTTGAGCATCTGTCGCGCTTCTGCAATGGTCTCATGTAGAAGGTGAAGCTGGCTAAATATAAATCGCGCATTGAGCTGGTCACCAGTCCAAGTGCTAACGTCGACAATATCTAGGCTCTGGTTGATCAGATTTCTCACTGAAACAAGCTGATTAAGAACAAGTTCCGGGGCACCTGGAGAGCTGGAAAAGCTCAAGCGAATGCTGGCTGAACCACGAGGAGGGAGGGAGTTGAGGCGCAATTGTATATCCTATGCAGTACAAATTTCAGATTATGAGGACTAGAACTTGGTAGGACAGAGACGGGAATTTAAAACATACGCCCTTTATGATCTTCGTGCCAATCCTAGTCACGAAACCCTTGACGCTCTCGGATCGCGGGGATGATAAGACTAAGGTCGAACCTGGATCCTTGGGAGCAAGTAGCGATGCGCATTCTTGGAGACCTTCCTTCAGGGAAAGAAGGGACTCCTGCAGAGAGCGCAGTAGCCATTCTAGCTCTCGAGTCTAATCCATTTGCAGAAGAGTTAGTATCTTCTGGCTCCGATTCAGAAGACCACGTACCAGAGCGCTGGCTGCCTCCTGCACCAGCTGTTCAGGAGGCAGCGGTGGGTATGCCCAGGTTGCCATCCAGATGGATTGCGAAATAATGAGACACTGTCAAGTTTGACGAAGTACAGTTAGTAGTTTTCTCTGTGATTCTCAGCAGAGTGCGGACGTACATCACGAAGTATTCCTATGCCCCCTTGGGGATGTGGGGAGCACAGAGGACCGATAACGGCGATCAGTGTAGTGATAGTTGGAGTTTTGATTGATCCACGTTGTCTCAATGGTCGCACAATATGCGATCGACCTGAAGACGACGTCAACGACCTCAGCTTCGAGGGCTGTCCTGATGTACAGGCGCAGACGACGTCATGAGAGCGCGAGGCATCCAGGTCACATGGGACTGCGCTATCACCCATATAGGACTAGCACTGCATGGGCCACTAGCTCAGAGCGGTTAGCTCAGAAGAGCAACCAGGTCGTTGGAGAAGAACCATGACGTCGAGGCCAAAGTCAATCCCAAAACCAAATCCACATTCTGCACAAACCTGTCCATGGATGATGTCCCAACTACGACTCATTCAACGGGTCATTGGCGAATGTCTGGGATACCCGGGGTGATGGGGCCCTGCTTTTAACCCCTCCTGCTACCCCTTACGCTCTCAATCCGCTCGAATATTAATTACCCTCACTTTTTCCCAGTCAGACGCCTACCTATTCATTATCAGGATAATCACAATTTGAAGAGAAAGCGAATTCGAAATGGCCTTGGCTAGTATGTTATCACTTAGCCCCCTGCCGTGGACTTTTTGTTGACAGTATTGAGGACTGATGATACATCCTTCTACGTAGGAGCGTCACTGGGCTTCCTGGGCATGTTTTTCATGGCTGGCGCCATTTTATTAATGCTTCTCACTCTTCTTGGAGGTGCAACAAATACAAACCCACTGGATATAATATACTTTCTCGAGGCACACACGGGGAATATACCAGGAGCTCCAGAAGTCTCTCGGTGGACATTCTGGAACCTCTGTCGGGTCAATGGCGATGGTAAGAGTGTTTGTGGGACATCTCATCCCGACTATCCCTTTGATCCTGCGGGACGTACAAACTTCGACACTACAGTCAATGTTCCTAAAGCGTTCGTTGGGTATGGAACCAAGACTACCCTTCTCTAGGGAACTTAGCCTGACTAAGTGGCACTACAGGACCCGCCACTTCTTTCTGACCTCCCGGTTTGTTTTTCCATGGCTTTTGATTGCATTGTTCTTCGCTGTATGCTCGCTCTTCGCCGGGTTTTTGTCCCTCTGTACGCGGATTGGGGGTTACGTCTCCTCTGTGCTGGGCTGGATTGCATTATTCTTCCAGATACTCAGCACAACTATGATGACGTAAGTACTCTTATTGACCGTGTGGACAGTCGGTCTTTGAAGCTAATTACTTGGGGAATAGTGCTGTTTTCGTGCAGGGTCGCAACCACTTTCATCATAACGGTCAGTCTGCGAAACTTGGTGCCAAGGCATTTGCCTTCATGTGGACTGCACTGTTCTGCATATGCCTATCGTGCGTGCTCTACTGTGTTGGTGGTGCCGTTAGTAGAAAACGCAATGATTCCGAGACACAACCAAGCGAGGAGCGTGCCTTCTTCCGACATGAGCGTAGCGCCAATGGGCGACACAAGCGTCGTGGACACGAAGACGGAGCCAGCGGAAAGGAAACATATAACTGATCCGACCCTTCCGATCTACAAATGAGATATATGAAGTCCCTCTCTGCTTGTCATATAAATCGGCACCATCCATACACAGCCCTTGACAAGTCATGCCCCATGACTTCCTGAACATCTTCCATCACACTCTCAGGCTCATTTATTTTTCTCATGCTTGGAGTTATAGTAATTGCTAATGGCATGACAACACCATCTTTCTAACATTAAGCCCTATTGGCTAATCACCTTTCATTTGATGACCTCTTTGACGATGTACCATTGTGTATTATATGTCCATTCTTTATATCTACTTACAGGATTATGTGAATACTGGTGGCCAATGTATTCTTTGTATTACCACCCCACTCTGTGAAATCCTAAAAGCCAAGTTTAATCAATAATACCCTATAGGAATCTACCTTATTCCAGAGTGAACCACATCGTTGTCTTAATAAAGAATATAGACATGCCGTAACAGCCTACTTAGTAATCCTGAGGCATGCCATTTATTCTCAGCACTCCTTCCTCCTTCATCCCATCCACCCAGCCATCCTTCCGATGGTAATAAATCTCTCCCCCCAGCTCCCGACACTCTTCCCGAAACTCACCATCCAGCGTCCCGGACTTGACAAAGATAACCCCCCGATCATCACTCGGCTTCGACAACAATGATGCCCCGCAGTTACCGCAGAACTCGCGCCGCACGATGCCTCCAGTGTCATTCTCACCCAGGTAGACTTTGGGGGAACCCTTGGTGTAGTGACAGTTCGGTTTCGGGATGATAATGTTGGCGGAGAACCCAGAGCTAGTGTAGCGCTTGCAAGTGGTGCAGTGGCAGAGGAAGACCTTTACGAGTTAATATCAACCAGTCATTGTTTATTTCATTGCTGCGTTCTGGGTGGATCAGTAAGCTTGAGTACCTTGGGTGGTTCGGCGGAGGGTAGATCGATTCGATACTTGATATCGCCACAGAGGCACGATCCAGTGTATGATTTCTGGGACATTGCTATTATTTATTGCTTTCTCTGTTTTCTGGAGGCGTCTGCTAGTAGTTTCAAAGGTTGAGGTGTGAGAATCAAGAAAGATCTTGCTTATTATTACTGATGCTGACACTGGGCATAGTGAGACTAACGTAATTGGTAAGCGAGTCGGCCACCTTTTGTATTCCATATAAAATGGCAGTTTTTGCGATCTCAATATCTCAACCACTAGTAGGTGTAGGAGAATACAGTTAAATGTGAACGTCTAAACTAATTCTGCAAGAGTGTTCTATTTCTTCATATTTTTAAATAGTTTTCCTAGCTTTCAATAGAACATGGGTAGGGACCATGTAGGTAGGCGGCGTGGGCACGATTACTAGAATAACTGAAAATACAAAAAATACAGCTGTAATTTATCTTATCTAGAGAAAATATTGATTAGAGGAATCTCTCCATCTAATATATAATAAATGTATTGCTATATTATGCCAAATATTGAATTTTATGCCCTTTAGATGCTTCGTTGTTGAGATATTGAGGTTGCGAAAACTGCCATTTTATACGGAATACAGAGGCGGCCGACTGGCTTACCAGTTAGTTACATTCCCCTCCAGCTTACTAATGAAGCAAGAAGAGTTAGGGCAGATGGTAGTAAGCCCTATGCCCAGGACTTGGAGAGAATCAACACGAATAGAACATTCTCCTCTCAAACTCTATCTTCATCAATGATGCATCTCACAAATTTGCATTGGACCAGAAGAGAGAATAACAGTATCCAACTCTCCAGATATCCCGCTTTCCAAACCGGTCGTTGGTCTAGGTCTCATATTTCCTGCACCTGCATGCCCTTTACCCAAGGACTAGTTTCTGGGAAAGACCGAGGTACAGGTCCTAACTGTCGAAAGACTTAAAATAGGGTTTAATACCGTCTGCTGGTTGAATAATTACCAAGGAACTATATTACGACGTGGGGGGTGGAATGTTTAGACTTCAGGCTTCATAGATCGGTCGCCGCGCCCCCTCTTCCCCGCACTGAGCTTTGTCTTCGCCCAGTTTTCTTGTATAAAGTCGTGCAGATCTAACTTGTGGATTTATCTAGCAGCCTTTTTTGGCATGTCTTATGATTCTTGGGATCTACCATGCGTAGGAAGGTCGGCTCGTATTCTGCTAAAACCCCCACGACCTCAGACATCTTGGCGTGGAGTCGTGTAATGTTATGCATTGCGGGCATGATGCTCTCTGCTCGTGAAGCATTCTGGAGAAGTTGGCTCGGGCCTTTTCTCAGGATTGTATATATAGCCCTTGATGTCTTGCTGGTGGTGATTTGAGATGCCTTTCTTGTTCTTGTTCTACATCCCATTGAGGCCCATAGTTCTTGGGACATTTTGTCTATTTAAGACATCGACAGCAACATGGCGAATAAAAATGTGATTATTGACGACGATATCATGAGTGAGAAAGGGGAGGCAACCCATGAGGAGGTCATCCAACCGACGCGGTTAACAGAGGAAGAGACGATAGTTGAGAAGCAACTGCGCCGGCGCATCGATATGTTGATCATGCCCTTGGTCATTCTGGTCTACCTCATGAACTATATTGATCGGTAAGCTTGCTTCTTCAGTAAAAACTGCTTCTTTCATGTACACTGATAGTAAGCGTTGCTAGGAATAATTACGCGGCTGCCAAACTCCAAGGCCTCACACAGGACCTCAATCTCAGCGACTCGCAGTATCAGACAGCCTTGTCTATCCTGTTCGTCGGGTATATCCTTATGCAGGTGCCGTCGAACTTGTTGCTCAACTACATGGGCAGGCCATCTCTGTATCTGGGTTTCTTCACCACCATCTGGGGTTTGGTGTCGACATTGACCAGCCAGGTCAAAGGATTCGGTGGCATGGTTGCATGTCGTTTTATCCTAGGGATAGTCGAGGCGCCCTTTTTTGCCGGCGTGCTCTTCTACCTATCCAAGTGGTACACCAAGAAAGAGCTGGCCTTTCGTATGAGTATATTCTACTCTGGTTCCCTGCTCAGCGGCGCATTTGGAAACCTTATTGCAGCCGGCATTCTGGGTGGACTGGATGGCCACCGAGGCCTTTCAGCTTGGCAGTGGCTGTATATTATTGAAGGATCCATTACCATGTTCGTCGGTTTGATTCTATGCATTCTGCTTCCTGATTTCCCTCATACTTGGCGGTTTCTGTCACCAGAGATGAAGCACGTCGCGAATCGACGTCTTGCTATTGAAGCCACGGAGGCCGATATTGATGAGCCTGGCAAAATGACCCAAGTGCGTGGGATGAAGCTCGCATTCCAGGATGTCAAGACTTATGCATTAGCCATCGCATACATGTCTATAACCGGCGCAAGTGGTTTCCAAAATTATTTCCCGACCCTGACCCAAACGCTGGAGCCTAACAAGATCATCTCCTTGCTACTGGTTGCACCTCCATATGTCTTCATGGTGGTATATAGCCTCATCCATTCCTTCCTGTCCGATCGCTATAAGTGCCGATTCTGGTTCTTCATCTATCCCATCCCAATCACTATCGTGGGATTCATGGTCTTCATGACTACCGACAGTTTTGGTCCACGGTATTTCTCCTTCTTCCTGATGATTTTCGTCTTTGCGCAGAATGGAACTGTCTATGCCTGGATTGCGAACGCTATCCCGAGACCACCAGCTAAACGCGCGGCCGCGTATGCATTTATCAACTCCATTGGCAACTCGGCCAGCATCTGGACTCCGTATACCTATCGCGAGAAGGATGGCCCACATTATGCAACTGCGATGGGCATATGCATTGCCCTGCAGGCCCTGGGAGGTCTCATGGCCATCTTCATATTCTTCCACCTGCGTACGTTGAACAAACGACTTGATCGACTGGAGGATGAGGACACCATCTTGACCAACAGGGAGATCCAGCGATTGCAAAGGACAGCTGATGTGGAGGGCATCGATCTCGCCGCGGCGCGCCGGTTACAGAAGGGTTTCCGGTATATGACATGATTGAAGCGTGGATGCGACTAAAGGGTGAAGATAGAAGACAGAGCCTGTTCATCTAGTTGGAATCTACTAGTGACACTTGAAGCCCTAAGCCCTTGCTTATAAGGAATTAGCGAGTAGAGCATCTCAATTAATGTACGCGTAGCCCATCGTTTGCGTTCGATCCAGCTACTACCATCACCACGACAAGACTACTTCCCTCTTAATCTTCAATCTTCCATCACCACATCGCAACTATCATGCCGACTCCAGAAGTGGGAGACTACATATGGTTCCTGGTGGGCGAGCAGCTTGAAGGCTCTAAACGCAACCTGCGCCCGCTCTGTCTCGTGCCGAAGAGATTCCACTCCATCTTCACCAAATTTCTGTACAGACATGTATACATCTATGGAATGAGTCTTCATAATCTAAGAGCTCTCACCAGCAGCCGATACCTGAACCTCACACAGACTTTATTCATTGCAGGTTTAGGCCGATCGGGATTTTTCCCAATGGCAGGACTTCTTTGACGTGTTGAGGCGAACCACCAACCTGTGCGCTTTAGCGTGGGTTATGAAACTGCTACATTATATTTTATATGCTGTATTCCATACACCCTGTACTAATAGTTTTCAGTCTCAGAAGCACCTGTTTCCCGACTGACCGTTTGAAAACAATGCGCAGCGAGAAATTGTCACGACCGTTTATCGGATTCTCGATAATTATAAGCCCAAAGACGTGCAGGTCGAGACCTACGATATGGTTCTCCCGCTCGATTGGCACCTCAATTGGTTCCTCCCTAAATTACAAAACTTGAAATATCTAGGACTGCGGGGTCTGCCGTGGCAGACCTTTGCAGACAACATCTCGAATCTATTCCAAATCCTGATTGTTCCCCTTCTCTTTCTTTCCTGGCACTTTCTCGACACGAAGGTGAGTATGAGTATGGAGATTTTGAAGAGGGAGAGCTGCTGAGTCATCTCATTGAGGATTTTCACCCTCCAACAGAGACAGCGTCTAGAGGAGCATAGGCTTCCGATAGTCTCTCCCTCAGACCGGGTTTTTGCCGCTGGGTTCATTAGGAAATACCTCTACGCTAACTGTTAACATGGATAAGATGATCGATATAGCTAATTTAGAGGTCCCCAACATCCAAAATGCTTTTGAAGGACTCATTGATCCTTCTCATTCCGTTAAGGCGACAAATCTGCAATCACTTTCCGTTGCCCGTCTAAGCGAAGACATCATTAAACCCATCAAGCTGCTGAGACCATATGGAAATGTCACTTCTCTAGATGAATCCGGCCAGCATTGGCTCTCCATTTCCATTGGATACTGCAATGGATGCTGTGGGTGTCCAACGACGTGGTTCGGAGCGCACTCGAAGACGCCATAATCCACTGCAGCGATCTTGAAGAGCTTTTGTTGTTTATCTCCCTTTTATCCAAGACCACCTTATGCCGCATCTAAGAGATATAGAGTCTCTTTATCTGTATGGAAGCCGGACCGTGGAAATTGACACCATCCCGATCATGAAAAAGATGTTTTACGAGAATCGGAGAATGCATTTGGGTTAGTCGGATATCAAGCCTTTTAACCCATATTCGCGTTGGAAGTACGACATGCCATGTGTTATGGCTAGTGTTGACATCCGGCTCCAGATCCAAGTGAGGTAATAGAAGTTTCACATGAAACGGCCGCCGGTGAATAGAAGATTGAGAGGTATCAAATAATCAGACCTATATAAGGAAAGGGAAGATACAACACTATTTTAGTGCTCATGCGGCCATCGGGGGCAGATGTCCAACTAAATAAAGTCTCTGCAGCATTTTAAACGCCTACCACAGGACGAGAGGTGATCCATCATGCATAAAATAACCCAGAATGAAAAGCCGCTCAAAAATATTAAGTCTTTGAATGCAAAGAATCCATCAACACCCATCATTAAACATACTAGATCTTCGAATCTCCAGTGATGAAGTTAAAGACTCCAAACTTGTCCAACTTGCTCAATTTCCCTGGCTTAACCGCTACTTCAGGATCCTCGGTACTCTCGACATAGTACCGTCGGCCGGAATCCAAGTCAATATTCTCAGCCTTAATCCAGAAGGGTCCGCGGAAATAGATCTTCGACGCAATATACAAGACAAGAATTGCCACGATGGAAATATAGTTGGCGAAGAAGTTCTTGGCGCTGCTCTTCTTCCCTAGTGGCCAGACAGCCAGGTAGAACTCGTCGATAACAAGGAGGATGCACCAGATCAGGCCGTAGAAGGATCCAATAGGCCACGTCCATGTTTTCCAGGGCAGGTCCTTCGCTGAACGACCCTGAGCCTTCCAAGCCCAGCGGAATCGAATGTGGCAGAGGAATATCATACCCCATGTATACAGGGTACACAGAGAGGTGAGGTTAGAAAACCAAGTGAACACAGTCGCTCCGGAATTGCTAACATTTAAATAGCATAATCCGCCGCCGATCAGGAAAGTGATGGCAATAGATGCCCAGGGACGACCCTGGCGGTCACATTTCGCAAATATTTTAGGCGCCAGACCGATTTCAGCAAGACCAACAGCCGTACGTGTTCCGGCATAGCCCTGGGCATTGCCTGAAGAGACGACACTGATGAAGATGATTGCGTTCATGGCATGGGCGAGGCCAGGAATGCCTGCGTCTTGGAAAGCAACAACGAAGGGACTGGCGTTGATACCATCGCCACCAAAAAGGCTGGGATCCTTAGGAGACACAGTGATGGTGACCATGAGGGCTCCGAGAACGTAGAACAAGGAGAGACGCATCCAAATTGAACCGACGGCTCGGGGTACTGCCTTGAGGGGATTCTTTGCTTCAGCGGCGACAATACCACCCATTTCCGAACCACCCAGGGCGAAGATACAAGTCCCCATCACAGACAGGAAACCCTTGAAACCATGCGTGAACGGCATCGAGTTCCAGTACTCGAAGCCCGTTTTATGATGGTTCGGTGCACCACCAGCACTGATCACGATACAGCTGATGATAACAACGACGATCCAGAAGAGTTTGATCCCGGACATGATCACTTCAGTTTCACCAAAGATCCTCACAGCACAGATGTTCACGATGAACATAACAACAAGGAATATAGATAGCCACGCCGCGGTAGGGACCTTGTCTGTCCAGAAATTGAGAACTGTGACCACACCCTGGAGTTCGTTGGCAAGCGTGATAGAGGCGGAGAACCAGTACGCCCATCCGACTGTGAATGCGGGAGCAGTGTCAACGAACTTGCGAGTCCACTGCGGAAAGGCTGAGGGAAGAGGGTATAGAACGGCCAACTCTCCAATGGCATGGTTGAGGACCCAGACAATCGAACCTCCGATACAGTATCCAAGAAAGATAGCAGCGGGACCACCGTTGATCAGCGATGTGCCGGATCCCAGCCATAAGCCCATTCCAATCGACATACCGATGGAAAACATGAGGAGATGGCGAGAGCCGAGCGACTGCGACAGACCCGTTTCGTGTTCATGTTCACCGTACTGAGGAGGGTTGTCGGCGACTTCGCCGACCACCGCCGCCTCCGCGGATTTTCGGGGGGAATGGTGGTCCTTTTTCTCCTCCATGATCTGGCTTGAGAGGAAGAGGAATCTCCAGTAAGATTATTAGGGTTGACAGAAAAGAAAGGGAGAAAATCAAGAAGCAGAATAGAAGGAAGACAGATAAATAGGCGAAACAGTTCAGGGGGGCGACAACTAGATTCTACGGACAACCATTCTACTAATACTCCTCTCTACTTTCCCCCAGAATTCAGTTATTCATGAGATATGAGCTCTATACGAGGATCCTGATAAGAAACGCCAAAGCCAAGCCTGCAGCAGGTGCTTCGTTGCGACCCAAGACCTGATAGAGTTAACGGGGCCCGAACCCGCGTTATCACTTAGGGCACGCTTGGTGGCATTCAGGACATTGCTATCGGATCGATGGAGGCATTCGCACCTGTCATTACGAGGAGTCTGAGCCATCAGAACCATTAAAGGATCTGAGATCCACTGGTCTCTTCGCTTCTTGTCTTCTTGGCCATGATAACAGGCAATTCGGGCGTTGTTCAAAGCCTCAAAGACTCGTCTCAGATGGCGTGCGCCTTATCATCATACCAAGCAAAAACATCTAACCACATCGGCAGTGTTTAAGAAACAGCTTAGTATGGCCTCTTTCTGTCATCTTTCTTATCTTCTTCCATGAGATCTTCGCATTGGCTGATATCTGGGGTTATGGTCGATAGATAGGGGCTTCATGATGGTCCCCGAAACGTGTAATAATCGACTGGCTACACTCTATCATGCTTCCTGGCCCAGTGAGTGCAGCGGTACATGACAGACACACCCTTATCTGCCCACACGTCGGCTAGACCGACAGGGAACAAGGGGATTACGAGCGTTCTTCAGGGTATAAACGGTATTGATCTGGATGCTAAACCTCAGGTGGCGTCCAACCCTCTTCGATGAAATCAATGATGTTGTATGGTATTCTACAGAGGACCAGATTAAGTGATAAGCTAATAAACACCGACAGCATTCTAGAAGTAATATAATTGAAATCCGTGAGTAGATCATAATCAAGTTACTTTTATCATTGTTTTCGTTGGCTTTTTCGGCGTTATACGATAGGGCTAGCATCTCACTACCAAGCCACCGAACTTACCTTTCTAACATCAATGGGATTTACGTAAAGAGTCAAAATCCATTTGTAGTCTTGGAGAATCGAGTTTTCTCAAAATGGATCATGAACCGGATCCTGCAGTATTTGAAGCGACGGGTGCATTCTTGAAAGTATATACCGCTTGAGAAGAGACAAATGGCCTTCTACAGGGAGAGCTGGACAAAGAACGAAACTAGAAAAAAAAAAAAAAAACACCCTCCAATGATCTTTTCCAAGGCCGTAATCTAATAACTTTAGGTAAATTTCCGGGCTTGGCTGCACCTTTTTGATCAAAGCCCTTCTTTGAAGGTCATCGTCTCACTCGATATGGAGACCTGCCATGATTAGCAGTCTGATTTATCTACAACATTGATAATTATTAATGAAATAATCATAATCATAATCATAATGTCAATATCTTGCTATCATGCAACAACAGAGAGTAGGGGAGGTTTTTGTATTGGTTGTGGTGAGATTAGATCCTGCAGTTGGTTGAAAACTTCGCCTGTATCTAATCTTTCTTGTGTTATGATAGGTATATGAGGAGCTTTGATTCATTCACGAGGAACGCGATAGGAGTGAGCTTATTACTCTGTTGCCGTTGGACGTAAAAAGAGCTTATAATATGCGCATAAGATGGGAGTACTCTGTATCGAACTAGGAAGGGATGTGGCACCTTACCAACAGCGAAGTAGTAGTATTTTCCGACTTGTCTATTGCGTTGATGGTCTATATATACATTCAATTAATCTTGTTGCTTTTCTCCTCTCTTGGTTCGGCGAACGACCCTCGCAGCATGAAGCAGTTGAAATAAACGGCGCTGAGAGGTGGACATAGTGAGCTGTTCTGCTGGACCAGGGCAGACATGGGTGTGGAAAGGAGGAATGCAGAATGCAAATGGATAAGACGTTTACGATGTGAAAAACCTTTTTCAATGAGAATGCAAATATATGGTAGAAAGACAAGGAAAAACATTATCCATGACGTTGCAGATTCTATTTTGTAAAGCAAGCACAAACTGGTTCCAAGATGATCGATAGCTTTTTAGGCCTTGGGGGCCTCAACGGCGCCGCGGACAGCACTCTGGCCATCAACTTCTCTGGCAGTAATCTGCAGGCTCAAGTCAGAGTTCACATGGACCATAATCTCGACCTTGCCTTGGGCCTTAACGCCCTTGACAGCCAGTTCGGCGATGGGCTTCTCGGTCTTCCAGACCAACTCACGGATCTCATCGTCTTCCTCTTCCGAAGAGAAATCCGACTCGTCCTCGTCCTCATCATCTTCTGTCTTCGCGGGCTTCTCCTCCTTCGGCTTGGGCTCGGGCTTGGTAACCTTGATGTGCCGAACACCCTCGCAGATGCGGACTAGAACATCGCCACCATCCTTCGATACAGAGTACCGCGCAACACGGCGTGCGGGGAGAGCAGTCTCAGAATTAAGGAGCGGCTTGAAGTGAAGGTGATCTCCCGCAACAAATTCGACACCGATTGCGTTCTTAAGGTGAGGGGTAACGGTAACTGCAGGGTGCGTGGATTGTTCGATATCCTCCTTGTCAAACTCTTGAATGAGGGAAGCCTGGATAGCCGCACCCCTGGCGGCCAATTCCGAGGGGTTTATGGCAGTAGTTGTCGTCGAGGGAGCAAGGACTTTGGTCTTCTCAGAGAAGATGTTCCGGACCAGCTGGGCAATCTTAGGGGTGTGTGAAGTTCCGCCGGACAGGATGACCTGTGATTCACCCAACATCAGTTATAGGGAGTTCCATAAATATAGAATAATTAATAACAACGGTGAGAAATACCTCATCAATGTCAAGGACATCCAGACCCGCCTTCTTGACCACGGACTCAATGAGGCTGGTAAACTGACCAAAGACCTTACCCGCTAGCAGCTCGTAACGCGTCCTGTTGATAGTAGAGCCGTAGTCAATTCCGTCCGCAAGACTCTCAATGCTCAAGCTAGCGTTGGTACCCAGACTAAGGGCCCTCTTTGTGGCCTCGCCCTCAAACTTCAACTTGGCAAGACCGCGGGGGTTCTCGCGCGGGTCAACCTTGTGTTTCTTGATGAATTCCTTGGCAAAGTAATCGATGACGATCTGGTCCAAGGAAGAACCTCCCAGTTCGTAATCGTGGGCAGTGGCCAAGATGGTATACATGCCTCCGCGAGATGCAACAACGGCGACATCAGACCGTGTGCCACCGAGGTCAGCAACCACAACCAGTTTATCTGTCACTGTAGCTTCGGGCCTGGCATCATAAGCGAGGATGGCAGCAATAGGCTCGTGGATAAGCTGGAGAACGTCAAGACCAGCAGCTTTGGCTGACGCAATAAGAGCTTCGCGCTGAGCATCGGAGAAGTCTGTAGGAACGGTGATGACAACGGCATTGACTTCTTTACCAAGGAAGTCAGATGCAGACTGCTTCAGACGACGGAGATGACGGGTCGTGATCTCAGAGACGGTTACAGTGCTGGGTTCCTCACTGCTCGTATCACGGATAGAGAAGGCCACGGTTGAGTCGCTCTGTTGGGGGTGTGCGGACTGGTGGCATGGTGTAGGGTCTATCGACTTGAAACTGTAAACAATGTTAGTAAATAGTTGCTCGCTGCTGCCATTCGAAGAGACAGGAAGAGAGTATTACTCCTTGCCGAGATAATCCCTGAAATACGCAACGGTGTTCCGGGGGTTGCGGATGAGCTGGGACTTGGCCTGGGTACCGTGATATTCCTCTCCCTCAATATAGGACAAAACTGATGGGATTTGACGATCTGAGACAATACGTAAGCTTGTCTTGGTCTCTTAAGGCAAGGGAATTTTGACCGTAGGAATTGGAGACGAACCTCCCTCTTCGTTGGCGATAACCTCAGCTTTTCCCTCCTACATCCACGTCTCGTTAGTATACACTCTAAATGGAAGTCCATACAAATAATGAGAATTCGAGGTACACATACAGGGGAGAGGCGAGCGATCGAGCTGGAAGTATTGCCAAACGAGATACCGATTGCGAATCGTTCCGCAGGGTCAGCGGGGATGTTGGTCGACTCGTCGCTCATTTTGACTGTGCGGATACGCTGAAGTAGAACTAGACGAGATAGTTCAGAAGGAGGTGAGATCAACGTAGGCAGTACTTCAGAAGACGAAAGCACGTGCCGGCTGGAATGAGACGAAAGGCTTTGTCTTGTTGCAGGGAAAATTTCTTTTTTCTTTTTTCGAACGGAGTCGCGGCAATCACCTGTGGCGGTGCCTATCGATAACATATGTGGCAGTGCTTTGGGTTTAGGTCACGTGGAGATAAGATAGCACAGGATCGCAATTTCTCCAAAATTATTCGGATTTCTTCGCAACGCGCCGTCGAAGCGCAGAACGCATCTTCTGAGAGCTATTGGCACAGTATTGGGCCTTTGGACTTATTCTATATTCTATGGGCTGTTACCGACATGTCATCGCCAGCCATCTTACTCCCGAGCGAGGAGATTCCCTCAGAGTACCTCCCGTCTACTACATCCGCTCCTTTGAGGCTTGGACCAGGTGTGCGTCTCCTCTCAAAGCCAAAGCCTAAGTCATCCTCGTCTTCATCTGCCAGCCATGTCATTACTGCAACGCAAGCTGGTTTGCTGTCTGCAGACCTCAAAAGGAACACAGTGTCGATCCTCTCATTCCCCGGCCGCCGCTATATCCCCACCCATAACGACCTCGTGATTGCGCAGATTCACCATTCCAGTCCCGATTATTTCCATTGCATAATTAGCCCGCAGACCTCCCATGCTCTGTTGGGACAACTTGCATTTGAAGGAGCCACGAAGAAAACAAGACCGATGCTGAAGCCTGGAGATCTCGTTTACGCTCGTGTATTATCAGTTGGGGTCGGTGCGGGCGCAGAGGTCGAGTTAACATGTGTAAATCCTGCAACTGGCAAGGCTGAACCTGGGGGCTTGGGGCCTTTAGTCGGTGGAATGGTCTTTGACGTCTCAACCGGAATGGCTTCGAGATTAATGGAAGCCAGTTCATCTAATAAGGACCAAGAGGATGGAGCTGCAGGGCTTGTGATCCTGGAGGAACTTGGGAGGAAATTGGAGAGCATAGGAGGTTTCGAGATCGCGGTAGGGCGAAATGGCAAGGTCTGGGTAGACTGCTCGAATGGCGGAGGCGCTGCTGTCAGGGCAACAGTAGCCATAGGACGATGTCTCAAGGAGACGGAGGAGCATAACCTGAGCCCGGCAGATCAAAGGAAGCTGGTGTCGAGAATCTTACGAGAAACGAAAATAGATGCTTAATCTGACAGATGGTCTGGCGAGAGAACAGAACATGATCCCCAGAAGGGTCGTTGGACCAACGATCTACTATTTCCGCCCCATTCCTTCTCCTTGTTGCCAATACCATAGCTTCTGCAGCATTAAAAAAAAAAAAAAAACTAGCCAGAAAATAGACGTTCAAAGATGCGTAGCAACTCCCATAGAGGCGATTGAATGCGCTGCGGAAATAAGCGTTAGCGTCTCCGCGTCGCCGCCGAAATTTTATTTTCAACCCCATGTCCTCCACCCGTTTGAAGCCTATTCCTGCTTCGATTCCACCAACGGTCCTCGGGGTTTTCTTTCCCAGATGGGTCAGACATCGTCGCAGGTGCAGGACGAGCTCAGCGAGCCGTCTGGAAACTTTGGTAAGTGCCCAATGACCAAATATCGACTTGTTTCTCGTGTTTCGAAAGAGACAGACGCCTGCTATGATCGCAACTAACAGCCCTTGTTATATACAGATATGGATGGCAATACCACCCCATCAGCCACGCTAGAAAGACCCAATTCAAAGTCACAGAAGAACTCCTCACCAAAACGGAAAAGAAAGTCGACCACCGATGGCGCCAATCAGCGCGTCTCTCCCGCGGCACCATCTCCTCCAGTAACCCCCAAGAGCACGCAAGCGTCGCGGCCAGTGAAGAGGAAACGAATCGTGGAGGCTTTGGAGAATGGAGATGCCACGCGAGAGGAAGAGTCAAACACGAACAACATGGTTGTCGAGATTCCAGTGCCCCAAAACTTGTCAACGCCGTCATCCACACATTCGAAAAAGAAAGGCAAGAGACAGTCGCGATCAGAGCCACTTCATCAATCTCTTCCAAGCCAGTCAACTCTATTGAACGGAGTAAAGGCAGCATCAAAATCTTCAGCTGTCCGAACGCCGCATGGTCAGACTAAAACCAACGATAAGGGCAAACTGACTGGTTTCTTCACCCCAGAGGAAGTTCAGGCTCTGGAGGACTTCAAGGTCGAATTCTGCAATAGTAATGGACTATCTGGGGACACGTTCAATCGCATAGTTCAGCATTCTGAGCGCACCAAGAACAGTGACTTTCCCTGCGATCCCTCGATAATCTCAAAACTTGATTTCTGGAAAAATGTCTACGCAATAAACCCTGCCAGAGACCGGCGATCAATATATAGGTTCATGAAACGACATTTCCAGTCCTCAACACAGAAGCCGCACCACTGGACCGAGGAACAAGATGAGGAGCTCATCTCGCTTCATAAACGCCACGGCCCCAAATGGGTCTACATCGCCAAGCTCATAGGACGAAGCGATGATGATGTTGTTCAGAGGTGGAAAAACCGTCTTGAACATCGAGATACAATGCGAAGAGGGCCATGGCAGGTAGAGGAAGTCCGTGGGCTACTAGATGCTTTAACGAATACCCGGGAAACCTTGAAGGGTATGGGCCACAATGTAGGAAAGGATATCTATGAACTGCCCGAATCCCTCATCTCGTGGGGAGCCGTTAGCAACCACATCCGCAATTGGCGTTCCAGACAACAGTGTTCAGATAAATGGCGAAAGATTGTCCGCAAGGTCATGAAAGATCGCGCCAATGGGAATCCCAACGCGGTCTTTGATCCCGTTGCGGACTACCAACGGGCCCGTAAGACCCCAGAATCGGAGAAATCTCCTGCTGCGCCGAAAAGTCGGAGGCAAAAGCCTAAGAGTGAGGAGATTGTACATTCGGAAGATGAAGATTCTGAGAACTTGGAAGAGGCTGGTAATGAAGAAGACGAGAATGCTGCCATCGCATCTAAGTCCCTCAGGAAATCCAAGAAAGGAGAGGAGTCCACCGGTCTTCAACGACCTGTGTCAAAACAGAAGTCGGCAAAGGGTGAAGAGGTTGAGCGTGCACCAGCCCCGGAAAAGCAGGGGGGCGAATCTGCCCTATACGATGTCATGTCTGAATCAGCTTCCGAATCCGAGTCTAATGCTACAGATAATGAGGAAAGCGATGAGTCTGAAGCAGAATCAGAAGCTGGAGGGGCTGAAGGCATGAGCACGATCGCCAATGATACACAGAACGACGCCCAGAGCACGTCTGCGGATGAATCGGACCCCCAGTCGGACTCTTCTAGTGCCTCGAACCGAGGGGAACTCAATTTGTCGAGAGAAGGAAACACGCTGAAAAGAAAAAGAACCACTGCCGAACCAGCCTCCGACAATAACGAGGAGGTCATTTCAGAATCTCCTGTTGCAAAACGACTTTCTACCAGACCTACGTTGAAATCATTGAAATCAGTGATGAGCAAAAGCGAACAACCCAAATCGAAGTCTAATGGCGCCAGCATCAACGATGGTGATAGTGAATCTGACGATGAGTCTAATTCCGATGATTCCGATGCTGAAGATGCTACGAGCGAGGAAACCGATGATGAAGAAAATAGCGATGACATATCCAGCGCCGATGAGGAAGCGCCTGGGGGTAACCAGGCGGCGTCAGTTACCAAAGGCCGCATCGAAAAGAAAGCAAGTGAAGGATTGACAGTAAAGCAAGACGGGAGGAGGGTCGCAAAACTAAAAGGCCAAGTTATTACCGCAAGTGACAGTGTTGAATCCGAATCAGGATCCGAATCCGAAAGTTCTGAAAATGATAATTCGGATGGTGATGCTTCTAGTGAAGAAGAAATAGATGAGAGCGATAATGAACCCTATGATATCAAGGATGAATCTACGGTCAAGAGCATCGAATCGAAGCTAGAATCGAAAAAGGGAGCTAGACAAGCCTCTTCAAAGCGAGCAGGAACTACAGAAAATGAACCCGAGCGCGCCAGTGAGAGTGAGGATGAGAGCGAGGATGAGAATGAGGGTGAAAGTGACAGTCAAGAAGAAAATGGTCAACGCAAACCAGAACCCAGTAAAAAGAGCGCACCAAAAACCGAAACTTCAATACCAGAATCACAATCCGAGCCCGAAGCAGAGTCTGAATCTGAATCTGAATCTGACTCCGACTTTGACACCCATGCTATCAAATCGGAAGCCTCCTCGGACCCCGAACATGCCTCTTCCCGGCGACAGAAAACGAACTTAGGTCCTCGCCGTCACAAACGAGGTAGCTTCATCTTCTCGTCATCTGCAGATATCAAAAACGAAAGCGATTCTGACGACGCCAAACCTATCAAAGTTAATAGGGATGTTGGCTCTGGCAGTGACAATAACAATGGCAGTCAGAGTGATGGCGAGAGCAAGAGCGAAAACGAGAATAACGATGCTAACGACAACAACGGTGATAGTGGTAGCGGGAGTGAAAGTGAGAATTAGGATGAAACTGGACGCTACGTTAAGAAGGACAAACTTCAGTCCGTACCAGGGTCCGATCTCTAAGATGGGGTAGATGGCATTAATTGCCCGGGGCTACCTGACAGATCCTTTCTCTTTTTGGATCCCTTTTTGTTGGACTTCAAGCACGCCCTGGTGAAGGCTAATGATCGTGGGTCTATTGGTCTTCGATGATTGAATGTGTATGCTTTGAAATCTTGGATAATATGAAAGAACAAAATGTGATAATGGAAAAGGAGTCTATTGCCGGGTACTCTCGGGCTTTTTTTCGAGCCGGCATACTTCCATATCCAAGCTAAGATCATAGTATAGTATAATAAGACTTTACATAACTACAGTTCATCCTTCTTCCAACCAGCCGGTTCCTCAAGGACCTTCTGACCTTCTTCACCGTGGCTGTAACTGGGTTCCTCTGTGGGAATACCGCCAGCGACCCTATTGGCCAATGCAGCAATCTCATCGTCATAGGCCGTCCACTCTGGCACCTGTCTCCTGGCACGATCCAACTTGGGCTCCTTGGTAAGTGGGTTATTACAGAGATCGATCGTCTTCGCTCGGGCAAGCGATTCGTCGGAACACCAAGTTTCACACCATAGCCAGTCCTGTGGGAGGCTCTTGATGGGAATATAATGCTGCATGTGATTTGGCAGATCTTGGTCGAGGTTACTCAAACTACCGGGGTCGGCAGACAGGGCCTGGTACTGGCCGCGCAAGCGGTCGCCGGCAGCCAGGGCCCGGAAGCGAGAGAGGTCGACAACATACAGTGCGGAAATATGATAGGGGAGTCCCCGAAGGAAGTTCTTCCAGTATCCCTGTTTCCAGAACCGGAAGCCTTCCATCTCCGTGCGCGAATCGCACATCGGTGTGAAGCCGTAGGGGGCACCTTCGAGATCTAAGGTGACTAGATCGTACAAGTCGGTCCTCACGATCTGGTCTGCGTCCACGAAGATGACTTTGTCTAGGGAGAGGGGGAAAAGAACATCCAGGAAGAGGATCTTATAGCCCCATATCTCACGCTGTTTCTCACGCTGACCCCGTAGCCAATGGGGCCACTTATACGTGACCATTTCGTACGAGAAGCCGTGCTCTTTGGCAAGGTGTGGGAGGAAGGATTTGAATGACGGTGACAGAAACTGCTCGATGAACCAGAACTTGACAGAGTGCTTGGTGTTCCGCATTACAGAAACCATCATAATATTGAGCATGCGTTCGTAAAGGTGGCCGCTCGCAACAGAAAAGATGTTGATGTCTGCATGCTTCTCTGCACCACTGCTCTTGGGGTTAATGCCGACACCCGAAAGAACGTCTGACGCGAAATTTAGTCCCTTCGACACATAATTTATAGCCGAGCCTAGACGCGATCCAGACTCTTGCAATACATCTTCATCTTCATATCCCTTCTTGCGAGTCAAGCGAGGGAAGAGAGTTATCCCCTGGAAAGAAAGGAGTGCGACTTCGTTGTTCTCGTCTCCAGGTTGTGGAGTATAACCAAACCCTCCAACGCTGTCAAGGTTGAAAATGTCCTGACTGCGCCCGGGTTTCAGGTTGATTTTCCAGATTCCTGGCTGAGCTTTGAATTGAAAGTACCCCAAATTAGCCATGATAATGGTGTCCGAGAAGTGCGGGTTGTCCTCAGTCCCGAGAAGTAGTTGGACCCCTCTTGGAGGAGACTTGGTAGTCAGATCTCGCGAATGGCCTTCGATAAGGATATATTCCAAAGCATAAACAGCATCAACATTAGCTCCCTTCTTCAAGGTACTCAGCTTAATATTATCAAGATCGTAGACGGACTCCTTCGGCGCTACGAGCCACGGAGAAGGAACATCCATGCCCAGTGTGAGCAGCGCCTGCACTGGTACCCCAGTGAAGGATGCCTTGGGTTCTAATATGGATCCATCGCTGTTGAATGAAGGCTCTGAACGAAGAACGTAGCGATAGAACCGTTTAATCGGGAGCTCCTGTATCTCTTCGCGAGGGTTCAGTAGTATCTTCAAATTCACTCCAGCCAACTCTGAAAGTATTTTAAGAACAGGCACCCATTTCTGCGCTACTTCGGATGTGGGATCGATGACGGCGACAACGCTGATTGTTGGATCTTCGACTTTCGAGAGCGTTATCACAGAATGAGTGGTGTTCCATTGGTTGAACATGTTTACTCGAATAGGTGGAGGGGAATCAAAGAGTCCTTCGGGGGTGTCGGAGACCATCGAAAGAGCAGCGAGCGAGGTAATTTTCGCGAGATCGAGAGGTGAGGAAAACTTGGCATCAAGTCCCAGGTCTTTTAGGGCCTCTATGACCGGGGCTGTCCGCTTTGTACGCTCGTAATTCAGCAGCTGGTCTAAATCACCAGTTGTCAAAACGGGGTCCTTTGGAAGTGGTCCGACTATTCTCCCATTAACCATGAGGCCGGAAGTCCCAAGAGCAAACCCAAGGTCTTGAGCAAGGGATTGCTGAACTGCCAGAGATTGAGATATCTCCTGAGTCTCTGCTTCGGAGATTGAGCCCTCAGCGCTGTCAGAATACTCCAACTTAGTCATGATTTGCGCTGCATCTAATTCGTGGTCTTCTTTGAAAGAACGGTGCAGTTTTGCTGAAGTGCCCAGTGAAGTGAACTCCAGTGTCCTAGGATTGTGTAGAAAGAGAATCTCGGCCTCCTGGTGCCCCTTCTTTAAAGATAAAGCTGCGTTGAGCAATTTAAAGCCAGCTTCAGAGTCAAAGTCACCGACCACAATGACATGGACGCTGTCTGACACTCCATCGGCTCCTGATTTGAGGCACGGAATGCTATCTAGGATTTCCCCTCTCGACTTGAAAACCTTGGCAATATCGACGAACCGTGTCTCTTTCGGATTTTCAGGGATGATCAAACTGTTGCGCCGTTCAAACGCGCCAGATATGAGAAAGCCCGGAAGCCACGTATTTTCCTCGACATTTCCGTCCACAATTGCTTGCTGAACGAGGTGCAGGTCTTTACTGATTTGCTGACTGAGATCTTGGACCCAATTATCGACACGAGTAAGAGCAATACCGTTGGCGAAGAAATTAGGCGCTCCATCGGAAATACCTAGCCGAGTCTGGTAATCGACTGTGCGAGATACTATGACATCCAATTCATCATTCGCCAAGATCTCTTCAAAGGAAAGAGACTCCTTGCCGGCGCGTACATCGCGAGCCTTTGCCACGGATTTAAAACTGGACTTATCCGGGGCAGCTATCTTGTTCCTAGATGCGGACTGTTTCGATCAGAAATTGCGAGAAGGGAGTATTCTTGATTCCACGAGCTATTTACCTCTTGCAGATACTGTATCAAGCTGCTTAATCCAAAGGCTTCCTGGAGGTAGTGAGCAATTTTGGCCTGTTCGAGGGAACCCGGAGAGAAAGCTGTGGGAACTATGCCGAACCGAATCGGAATTTGTCTCTTGATAAAGATTTGGATGGTCTGGATCACTAATTCCACGTCTTTGGGGTTAGTCAGATCGACAGGGAAAACGACGTTGTGTAAATCGCGACGAACTGAGGGGAGTTGGCCCGGGTATGATCGCTGAAGGTACTAGAGAGATAGTCAGCACAATTTTGACTAACATATCTACTATATTAAGAGGACCAACCGAATCTAAGTCACTAGGCCACGACTCATATCTCGTGTCCTTCTCCAAATCGTTCAGCCATATGATGACATTGCCGCCCTCAGTATCATCCCGGTAATCGTAACGTGGCAGGGCATCGTTTGCTTGAGCCAGTCCAATAGACCTGTGAGACAGAAAGCTAACGGCTTCCTTGGCGTATAACCCCAGGTCCTTAAATTTCTCTACCAACCTCCTCTCACGACGCAGCTGATCAACCAGGGAAAATGCATCGGTTCGCCGAGGATCGACCTGCGCACCATTGATCCACAAAATGTTAAAGCCCGGAGGAAACATATTCGCTCGATTGAAGCGAATTTCTTTCAGTAATAAAGCTGACGTATTGTGGGCAGCAATCCTAGGGGAATACTTAGGGAAGTCTTGTGTAACTTTCAAGAGAGCTTCCAAAGGATCCTTGCTATCCATCACGTAACCAGCGGTATTTAAGCCTAGCCGGGAGACCTCGGATGAGGAGAGAGGTTTCAAGTCATCGAGAGAATCATCCTGCGCTGCTGAGTTTTCGTCAGCGTCGGCCTTGGAATCTTTCTTATCACGCTGCTCGGCATCTCTGTCATCGATAACGATGTAGTCTGTTCGTTTCAAAGCAAGCTCGACTCCATAACCTGCGACAAATAGCGGCCGCGGACTCCAATGCTGAGGAGGACGATATCTAACACGGTATGAAACGAAGCCTTCCTTAGCAAGAGCACTCAAACTCTGGTGAAACTCTTTAAACATGGGCGACGCAACATCGGCATAGAGAACTGCGGGAGGTGAAGAAAGATCCCCGAAAATTCGATCAAACGGAAGCTCTCGAGGGTCTCTGGTAAAAGCAAAGAAACCCATGTCAGTTCGCCAATTGCTCGTGCCACGAAGGATTCAACGGAAGCAGAGCAGGGAGCTTACACTTCCCCCGCATCCTGCTGCGCACGCTCCATCGTTGAAGAACAGTATTGTTTCCCATCTGAATGTACCCATACAGGACAAACGGTATCCTGAGCAACCATCAACGACGGTTCAACGGAAGTATTGTAGTACTGGTAATGAGCCTGAATCCTAGGAGCCGCGGACCGAATCGCCAGGGACAACTTGAATGAGGCGAGACCCTCAGGGGTCGTAAGATGTCCATCATTTCGCACGATTTGCAAGAATCGATCGTAGAGCTCTTTATCAGTCACTATATCATCGAAGGCACCATCGGCGATCCGATCAAGTAGGGGGAAGTAGGAGGTTGCGTTTTCCTCCGCCGCCGTTTCTCTGGTCATCCACAATTAAATAAGCCATTGCATCATATAATAAACGCAGTTAAGAAATGGAACCAAAAAGAACAAGAGGAACATTGGGGGGGAGGAACAAACAAGAGCTCTAAAAGGTACGGCGCCGAGTCGAAAGACGCTTGTAGTGCAGCGTTGATAGAAGGACTAGCTTGCGCGAGGCAAGTCCGTAAGACAGTAGACACTATTACGAAGCATAGTAGCTGCCACAAGACTGCAAAACCATTAGATGAGGCCATCATCTCTCTGCAATTGCAATGGGCGATATAGAGTATCTGTCGTTATTCTGGAGAGGAAAGCAGGAGTTAGCTCGCTCGGGAGAGGGGAACAAGCATCACGACAAAAAGGCCAGGTGTCTGAATTGAAGCTATAGAAGTTGCACCATAAGCAATACCATCAGGTTGACATTGTTATAAGCAGTGAGCTGGATATGCTGAATGTTGACACTCCGTCATTGCCAGGTTGATACTAAGACCAAAGCTGCTACGTCAGCCGAAGCAGCCAAACACGCACTCGCCGACTTGCTGGTTGCCGAGTACTACTATTGCAGAACTGTTGTAGCAATTATTACAATGATCAATCTTAACTATTATACTAATGGCAAATCAATTTCAAATAGGTCTATATTGTGCTCTCAGTAAGATACAAGTATGCACTGCATAATAGCCGTTCGAATGAATAACAGCAAAACTATTTAGCAGTGATATAAAAAAAGAAAATTGCGCCAAATGCACAACCCTTTTTTTTTTTGGAAATTTCCAAAGGACTTTTGTCTTTTGTTGCTTTTTTGTTTCATAAACGTGTCGATCATGAAGTTGCTTGGTTCGTGTTCCCGGTTTCTTTTGATATCTTTTTGCCCTGCCCTGCCATGCCGTACGCCAAATCTCCCAATGGTATATTAAAGCCAGTCCAACTGAGACCTCCAGAGAAAGAATGTAAAGGGTATAAGTGTATGCGATAAAAGGAAAGGATAGACAATGAATCAAGCGTTGATAATATCAACCCAGTGCAAAATGCTTTTAGAGAGTTCCAAAACTTTTTAGCCGCCATTGGATGTGGCTTATATGACGCGGGTTTTGGGGTGCTCCGTTATGACGTTCGTTTATTATTCTCGATGGATGGGTCTTTCTAACGAGAATCATGGCTGGGTTGTTTCGCATGCGTTTTCTTCCTGTTGTTGGCTTCCCAGACTAATCGCTTGCGTTTGCGATCATCTATGTCGAAGTGGGACTCCGCACCCGAGTTGTCGGAGTGACTTTCTGACCGAAAGCTGAGAGCGCTATTTGTTCTCATCTTTGCCAGACCTTTGATTTTGTTGCCATCACCTAGTTTTCGGAGCTCCCGCGCCAGTCGTTCCAACGTAGAACCACCCGGTCTCGGTGTGTGTTCACGAGTTGGAGATGGCGGAAGAGGCTTGTCTGTGATATCGATGCTGCTGGTGCTGCTGTGGACGGAAGGATTCGTTTCCGAAGAGCCGAAACTGATACCCGAGTCGGCTTTGCGAGTCTTACGGCCATGGCTCTGAAACACAAGCTCTTCTTCCAGAGTGGTACGATCGCGAACTGCGAAGCACTGGTCGATAACTTCATTGGCGATTCGCAGATACTGGTCCAATGCATCCCGGACCAACGGCCATCCAGTCTCATCGCCTTCTCGCGCACCTTGCATCACAACTTGGTCTAGGACCTGTCTGCCACTCGTATCTCTGGCACAGATATAACGAAAAAAGCCGTCTCGTTGAGACTGTAGAATGCGAGGCGTCAGCTGCGAGGCGGGCATCTTTGCTGAGTCGGTGACTGGTGGGAACAAGGTGTTGAGCATGGCAATACAGTTGGCCTTGTTGTAAGGCTCCAGGAGCATTTCATTGATCAAAGCCTTGCGTCATCTGTTAGCATGGCGCAAAGGATCGTCTAGGGAACTTGTTACTCACCCAGCGGCGCAGGCCAAGATAAACCTGGGCATAGAGGGCATCGGCTCCCTCATATTGGCGTTGGAGAGATTCAACCCAAGACGAGAGAGCAGGGGGCTCCTTGCCCAACTGATCAGGATTAACGCCCAGCCGCTGCAAGACTGCACCGTACTCCTTTCGACGACGGTTATCGAGGTCTCTGAGGTAATCCAAGCCCGTCAAGGCCTGGGGAAAGTCGACCTCGTCCAATTTGGCGGCAAAGCAGCGGCGCAGAAAGGAAGTGATAAAGCTTGGGGGGAGTGAGCACGGCTGCGACGGTAAACGAGCTATCTGACGGATTAATTGGGCCTTGAACTCGGCTGCTGCGTCCGGAGGGGAGTCCTTGGAGGGGTATCCCTTAGAGAACGCAGACTCTGGGTGCGCTTTTCCAGACGTCGGTGGAGAGGGAGCTCGTTTGGTCGACTTGAAATTCAGCGAATACATGGTCCGAAGAGGAATCTCATAGGACCCGGGGTAGCGAAGATAGTGGTCAAGGATCCAGGGAAGAGCCGACCCGTCAGGGACGCCCACGCCCGATGAAGTTTCCGTGGCTGCCATAACAGACATAAAAATAAGATAGACGAGTAATAGGAAGGTCGTGGGAGAAGGATACAGGGAAGTTTTCCAGAGATAGAGAGGGAAGGACAAAGGTCAAGGTTATGTGTATGTTATATGGATGAGATTCGAGGAACGCTGTTTGTCGAAGTTCACCTGCAGCGGATAGCAGTCGCCATAGCAATGTCAACGCAGGGGTCGCTATCGTTTTACTCCGACTTTCTTCTCTTGCAAGTCCACTCCAGTGCGAAGAAGCCTGATGTATTTGTAAGGATATTCAGACTATAGTACTTCGACGGATATAATGATCCTCGACCGGGAGAGCCGTTTGGAAATGAGGCGTCTTGTTAACACGCAAACTTGGGTGCTCCCACACTTCTCTTCAGAACCGTTTGCTGAGTTGAAGCTGCAAATGAAGAACGACTGTATATATCCTGAGCTAACAAAGGAAAACAGAAAAGAAAGAGATAAGATGAAAAAGAGGGAGAAGATCAGGGAGTAGGCCTTGGTCCGACGCAAACACGAGACGAACACTGCACAGATACCAAAGGCCTCGGCACTTGGACGGATCCCGAAAGCTTATTTGTATGTAAGCAAGAAGAGAAAATGAGAAAACGAAAGAAGGAACAGTCTATAATGAGTGTCAATTGGAATAGATCGCCTTGCGACAAAGGAAAGCGACAGATCTAAGGACAGGGAGGAGTGGGTGGGAGAATGAAGGATGTGTGTGAGTCGAGAAGCAGAGCAGGCAAGGACGAACGGCATCAATAATAATAATAATTGATCCTGCAGGGCCGCGAGAGAAGATAGAGAAGATCGTCGCCACAGAGAATTTCAGACGGTATTTCCATCACCTGGTCCACGGAGGGCCTCTTCCGACGTGCAGGGCGTCTGCAGTATTATTACTATGGCACAGCCATACACAGGGAGTACAGAAATTCTGCACACAGCAGGGTTCACCTGTTGATCCACACAGCGTGAGCCTCCATATTACCTGGGAAGAATCCGCTTGGGATCAAATGAGAGGACACGCCACTGTCGGATCGGAACTCCACGATCTCCTCAGGGCTCACAGTGTCACAGCATCCAGAGAATCGACAGCGTACATGGCATTCATTGTATGATCCGTGCTGGAGATAGGTGGCCCAGTTCCATGGCTCTCTTGTTCCACTGCTCAACGGCGTCCAAAACTACTTCTGCAAACTCGGAGTCGATATGATACACCATAAACCGACCGCGTCGCGACACAGGCCAGTTCTAAACTCTATTTGCTGGAGCTGCAACCAAGGGGGAAGCCGTTCGCATGATTCACACGCTGGATCTCTGTCGGGGAGCACCTGAAGGGGAATGTCTCCCGCACCAGGCCTGTGGTGCTGGGTATGACTATCCATGATAGGATGATCGGCTGGGCCGCTTGAAAAGGAGGAGAAGCCACTCAGTGCTGCCCAATGCGACCCTTTTTTTCGGGGTTCCATTGGTGCCATTGCTCTCGCCTCTCCTCCACTGCGGAATGATTACTGGCGGCTTCAATCCCACAGTGTAGCTCCACTCGACACTATGGAAGAATGAAAAGGTCTAGACACTGCACGTCCCACCACCGGTACGAGTCGACGTTGACGAAAAATCGCGCGAATTTCCATCTTCTGACCAACAGGAACTCCGTTAAAACGGCCGATCAGGCCAATGAAGCCCGGTACCCAGTGTCTATCCGGAAAAATTATACGGACACTGAACGCGCAAGCATATTGACGCATATCGACCGAGGCCAGAATTTCAGCTACTGTACGTACTATTATTGCTGCACAGCTGGTTCCTTATAGAACCCCATCTGTCTCCAATTCCATGGCCTGGTTGGATACGTTTGTGATGCCTGAATTCGCTGCACTGCCGCGGCATATTAGCCTGAATCCGCATATGCAGTACGGAGTAGCGTGCGGAGTATTCTGTCCAGCACTGCACTATGGAATCTGGATGCATAGTACTAATCATACCTAGACACTATCTAGGTAGGCGCACACGCTGCACTCGACATTCGAGAGTTGCGCCTCAAACGCTTGGTGCAGATCATCTTACAAGCCAAGGGGTAAACAATAATAATATCTTCTATCAGTCAGCAAAGATGTAATAGCGGTCAGTTATTATTTCTTGACAGACTTGAAACGTTTGAATGGTATATCATATTCTGTATGGACGATCGAAAAGGAACGAATACGGGGCGCTGCAAAAAAGGACTGGACGTACTTACGCACAGAGCTGGGAGATGACTCTCAACTCGGAGTCTCGGGTCTCGGGTCTCTACGCTGTATGAACGTGATGAACAGAAAATATTCCACATCATTATTATTCTATATTGAGTATGGAATGAGTCATGATCAAGTTCGATCAAGCTCCATACCAATGTATATATATATTTTTTGCACAAGTTTCAGGTAGCACTCTGTAATCCCACCCTGCCCAGTTAACCAAAGTACCTGCCTTGGGATAATATTATCATCTGGAGACAGTCCTTTCTATTAGCGATGAACATGCTCCATCTCCTATTGTTCTTTGGGTCTGGTAGCAGCGGAGACCAGACCTACGATACTCTGGATCCGGCAGCCAGCCGGCTCAGTTCTGGGAACTGGAACGCACAGGACAGAGACGAAGTCTCATGGGTATATTTCTATCAATCTGCCGTAAAGTAGAAATGAGAAATGGTATTATTGTCCGTCCCGTTTTGTTTCCTTTCCATTTTCTCCCATTCTTATTCATTCCAAACATGTACCCAGTACCAGCATATACGGGCTGGACTGTCTGATATTTCAGTGTCTGAATGGCGTTAGGCGTTATCCGTTGTCCTTGTCCGGTGTCCACACTTCAAGGGCCCTCCAGGCTATAACTGACCCCTACGGTAACCTTCGGGTCAGTTAGTTAACTATCGAATACAGATATAAAATACTATGATGTCAGGTTTCTTGACCTGTCAAAGACGTTGGGAACGCTCTACAATGCGAAGTTGGACACACACTGTCTTTTTGTGGTTCCTCGATTCACTGACGCCATGTTGTTTGCCTGCTAGGGGTTCTGCCCAAGGGCCTCTTGTAACCCTAGTCATGTAGCTGTCCAGCAGACCTCTGTTCGATATTCCTTTCCTGGGACAGATAGGAAAAGGTCGTCTTGTTTGGTTGCCGTCTCAAGCAGTGGTGTGTGCCGGGTGCAGCCTATTTTAGTGGGAAGGAAAGAGGAGAGGCTGCTTGGACCTCCCCACACCTCATCGTCCAAGTAGTTAATACAAATCAAAATAACACGATTCCAATAATCCATTTCTGATCCCATCTTCGCGCCATATGAGCATGCAGGTACCTTCGAGAATACGTAGTCGATTCACGATAACCGATAAGCAGATTAAGTCGAAACCTTGGCAGAAAAAAATCACTGGGGAAGCTCCAACTTCGACCTGAAGCCAACATCCCCAGCCAGCCATTATTGCCTGGAAATACTCGATACAATAAGTCTCAAGTACCGTGGACAGTGCCAACATATCGCCAGCATCCACGATGGCCCCGGGACCATTAACGCGAGAACTGCAGTTCGAGAAAAAGAACAAAAACCTCATAAAGTTGCCTAAATGTGCGTTAGAACCTCTCCCCTCCTTGATATCCATAGGAGGCTTTCGCTGTTCATGCCACAGATGGCCACGTATACAAATAGAAAGAAAACAAGAAAAAGAAAAGAAAAAAACTGATTGACCATCCAGACGCCAAAGTCCAAAAACGCCCAATCCCCCACCCTCCAATCTCCTCCCCGTACTCCGGCCCCCAAGTCCCAAAAACAGTCTACATATCCACCAAGACGCCATTCATGAGTGCTGTGAAACGCGTCCAGAAACTCCTCCGATATGCCGAGAAGCGCGCCATATCCTCTGCCCTGTCGAAGACGAGCGGGAAGCTGAGCGAAAGGGAGAAGCTGGCACGGATTGCGAGTGCGGATGAAGAACTGCGGATATGGAATGAGGAAGTATTTATTAAAGCGACGGGGAGGGCGATTGAGAAGGCGCTGAGCGTGGGGAAATGGTTTGAGGGTCGTCCTGATGAATATGAGGTTCGGGTGAAGACGGGAAGTGTGCTTGTTGTGGATGATATTGTAGAGGATGAGGAGAAGATCAGAGCCATTTCCGAGGACGAGGGGAAGGGGAAAGAAAGACAGCAGCAGGATGAGGAGACAGAGGCAGTTCCGGTTTCTTCGGAGTCGCTTACGGTTGATTCTACAGGACCAGCTGCTTCTACATCTACATCTACACGACAAGCTCCGTCAAAGCAGACGGAAAAGAACAGGAAACACGCAGCAATTTCATCAGATATAAAGCTCCCAGAAACGAGAACGAGATGGGTCAATATGGTCGAGATTGCTGTGAGCCTCAAGTGAACAGGAGAAAACCCAAGAAGATGAAAGGAGAAAGATGAAGATGAGCCAGGATCCATCCTTGCCGGGATATGCAAATCCATCATGCAGTGCATAGCCTCCTGACTCGTCAGGAAACATTCTATAGTCTGCTAAGGACTTCGTACATGCATATCCACCTCCGCGCGCTGCTCGGTTCGTCCCAAGTCGAGGAAGGAAGTCCTTGGTAGAACCGGCATATCACAAGGCTTCATTCGAAGGAAACGAGTTGCTCCAGCTGCAGGGAAACCAACATCGTTGCTAGACAATTCCGCTGCACCTCAGAATCAGCAATGGAGGATAAAGAAAGGACTTCATCATTAGATGGAACTATTGTCTTTCCAGCGCTGCTCATGAGAAGTGTAACTGCAGGGTCTACAAGAAGCCATAGTAAGAAAGCATGGAAAGCGCAGAAGACGACTACTCCTCAAAACACCCCTCACTTCAAGCAAAGTTCACGAGAGCATGTAAAATGAATAAGTGAAACAATGAAAGGAAAGCAGACGTAGCAAACATCAATTCAGATGGTTCCAACAAAGGTGAAAAAGATCCCAATGTTGCTGAAGTGTTGTATTTGCCGCGTCATGTACAAAGGAGATCTTATACCAACTGAACCACGGGAGACAGAGAGCAGTTCCAGTATGTAGATACACGGAGACAAACGGACAAGAAAAAGAAGAAGAAGAAAAAAAAAAAAAAAAAAAAAAGAAGCTAGTAGACGGTGCTTCGCGCGTAGAATCCGTTGGACGAGTTGCCGTCTAGAAAAATGTGCCGAAGGCCAGCATATAATATGAAAAGGATTGTAGCCCCCAGGAGATCGTAACTGGGAGTAAAGCGACAGTGTAATGATCAACATGAAACAGAAAAAGAAAAGTGCAGTAACAGATAAAGAGAAGGTCAAGTATGCAATCAAAAACTAATTGGCCGAAGTTGAAATACAAGGAGAAAGGCAAAAAAAAAAAAAAGAAAGATACTGACAATCCCAGAGACCCATTCCTAGCCTAGACATAACAGTAGGGCCAATAACCGAAGTAAATCGCCTTGGAAAAAAAGACCCATCAACCAAAGGGACGAAAGAAAGAAAAGAAAGTAAAACGACCCAACGCTATAAAAGAAAACTCATGTTTAGGTCATCCAAAACTCCGATTACAGCTGCAAAAACTGTTGACAGTGTAGAATGAGAACAATCACTTGTCCAGCTTTTGCCACCCATTAAGATAGGCCATCAAGCCTACCCCCAATAGAACAACACCGAGCATCGACGCGTACGGACTAGACTGTTCCAGGAGATTGTATCGTCCTTGGCACGGGCTTAATGCCGTGGCATCATGCTCAATCTCCTTGGTATGGGGTAACATGTCGGACTCGAGGCTTTCTCCCGTGAGGTCTTGGGCGCCGGATCTCGGAAATTCAACCTCCTCGCCCGCAGATGAGGCATCACTCATTGTCACCAAGCTCTGGGCATCAGTAGCTGTCCCTGCCTGCGGCACCTGGCTATCCTGGCTGCGTTCTCGCCGCAGCATGTCAATCATTTCCGCCAAGGATTTACGGGCTTCGAGTTTCTCGGCCTCTTCTTTTTGCGCCTGTTGTTTGAATGCGGCGACCTGCTGCTTCATCTCCTCCATCTCCTGCATCAGTCCCTGAAGACGTTGCTCCAGCTGTTTGGTTTTGAGATCCGCCGCCGCATCACCCGCACTTTTGTCCACAGCGGGAGCAGCATCCGTGATATCACCATTTGATTGAAGAGTACTCTCTTGCGTTGGTATCTCAAATGCACTTCCCTGTTCTTTCTCTATAAACGGCTCAAGGCGAGACCCGGCTTCAATTTCTTTCTTGCCATCGCCGGACAGCCTTTCAAGCTTTCTAGCTCTCTCTTCTGCCCATTCGCGAGCGGTCCGCTCTTGGCGTAATAATCCCTCCAACTCCTTCACACGGGCACCTTGACTATCGATTTCCCTCTTGGCAGATGACAATGCCTCAATGAGTGATAATATCTGGCTAGACTCGCGTGAAGCCGGTGAGTTGGAGCCTGGTGACTTAGGTTTCTCAGTATCGGAGCGCTTTAGAGCCGAAAATGCGTCTCCTCCATTTCGCGGTGGTGCATCAGGCTTTTCCGGTAAGGGCTGTTGGGGAGGTGGCGCGGGAGGATCGGAGAATCTTGACAAGGAATCTACACGTGGTAACTTCTGTCTTCCGTTTAGCTGGCGATGAAGGCTGTTACCATCCAATGGTGAGTGCTTGGACCTCTCTTTCTCAACGCCGCCTGGTTTCGACGCTGCCTTCAAGAAATCATCCGTTTGTCGAAGATCATGTGCCTGTTGTCTAGCTTGCTTCATTTCATTCTGATCTGGAGTCAGCACGCAACAATGTCAACGATGGTGCTGCCAGATAACCATACCGTTAGCCTCTTAACGACGTGCTCAATCGTAATCGGAGAATTCCAGTAATTCGCCTGACGTTGCTGCTGTAAAGCGCTCATTTGGCTACTGGCCACGCTTTGGGTACTACGATTGCTAGCCGTACTGCCCGATCGACCACGAAAGTGCGATACTGGCTGGTTAAGAGGTGATGAGAGAAGACCATTACCGGAGGCAGGGTCAAGGTCACCAAAGTTGAGATCGAGGATATTCAAGCCGGCTCCATAGATCCCAGCATGTTCAACTTTAGCTGAAACTTTCTGATGGACGATAGTCTTCTGATCTTCGCTAACAATATCGATTCCCAACTCTAGGATGTCGTTTTCGTGAAGCTCGTGAGGATCAGATTCACGGCTATCAGGAGACAAGCGAATAGCATTAACGAAGGTTCCGTTTGATGACTTCACATCTCTGATCCAAATTTTACCATTCCTGTCGGCCCAGACTTCTGCATGTTGCCGAGACAAAACCTTGGAGTCAAAATAGCCGTTCACTGGTGTTGGTACAGTTTTTGCATTTGTCTGTCGGCCGATCCGTAACACCTCGGGGTAATAGGGAACCGTGATATGCTTCTTTTCAAAGGTGCCATTCAAAGGTATGAGAGTCAAAATAGCGGGCGGGTCGCCAGACGATCCGTTGACTTGGCGCGCCCCATTCTGTGGAGAAGCTTGAAGGATATGCTGTGATGGGAGCACATGCGAGGGCTGGTGAATTGCCGACATAGTAGAGGAAGCTGTGGGCCCAGTGGATAAGACCGGTGCTGCCTGTGACCGTGCGTTCGTCACTCCAGAAACCGGTTCAGATTTGGCGCTGGGCCAGATACTCCTGCTGGGCTTCTTCTTCGACGACGGCCAGGCCCCTAGTTCTGAATTGGTATTTTGCCCTGCATTAGTGCTCTGAGAACTGATTGACACTGTTGAAGCGGACGAGTTTGATCCTAACGAAGAGGAAGAATTCGATCTCTGGAGGCTCTTCCGTGGCATAAACATGCGTGATACTTCGTCTGTTTTCACCGAAGACAGACCTCCTTGTCCACCGTCGCTAGAATTGTACCATCCCAAACGCCCTGATTGTACACTAGGGGGAGATGCCACGGCAGTCATGGAGAATATATCGAAAACAGTCGAGTATGAGATAAAGTCGTGAAGGTTTCAAAATCGTTACGCGATGAAAGTCGCAGCAATAGGAACTTTGGCTACCCAGTCTGTCGGAAAAAATAATATAGTGGGGGTTGTCGTAATAAGTACGAACAGTCGTTGGTTACGTTGTCTGTGTCGCTGACTGTGAAGGCGTCGCGTTAGCAGCGTCCCTTCTCGCTGGGATGTTTAAAACTTGTCTCGTAATAGAGGAGAGAGGCGGCTTCGAAGGGCAGATACCGAACGATTCAGCGATATAGCGGACTTACCTAGATAACAACCACGAACAGAGTCAGGGGCTCAGAGCATTGGTTGTTGGTGCCCCAGGCCTAACCAGAACAGACACAGCGTCGGATAAAAAAGTACGGAATAATAATCAGCCAAAAACGGAGCAACGGGCTGAGTCCTCTTTTTCTCGGAGCACACAGGAACGGAGGGAAGCAATAGACGAAGCAGGATTCGAAAACCTCAGCCTCTGAACGATATGAGATTAGCGACAAGGAGGATTTGGATTACACCCAAACGCCCAGGATCAAAGCCATGGGTGGCCACAGTGCCGGGGGGGGGAAGAGAGATCTGGGAAAGTCAGCGCATGGACTTGTCGCCCGGTTGGACGCTGCCGTCTCCCACACGTGACCTGTCCTCCGGGGAGCAGATCCGTGATTATATAAGCTGACTCTCCAGCGCAGTCAAGTGACCGTTCCGCCGGCATAGTTTGCCCGGCAGCTGTAGTATAGCTGCACTGCTGACGCCAAAGGTCTCTGCTCTGCTTTTGCCCTCTTCTCTCGGTTGATATTTGCAAGTCTGCTGCTATCCCAAAATGCCGGTTGTCGCAGGCCCCCCAGCAGGCCCTTCTACTTTTGAGAAGAGTGAGTTCTGAGACCTGCACGACTTGCGTCGAGCAATAATTTCAACGAGTATTATGACTGACCACCATTATCTTTTCCAGTGAAAATGGGTGCCCTCATGGGAGGAAGTACGTTGGAATCCCATTTCAATTCTTCAAATCGCCAATTGAGATGCGTATACTTACTTTTACAGCCGTGGGTGCTATCATGGGCTTCATCATAGGTGCGTATCGCTGCAAAGGAGGATAATATCAGCCATGGCCTTTTCCCTATCCACACCACTCTCTCATCAAGGTAATTGATTCGCCTAATACCGAAAATAAAGGAACCGTTACCATCTTCCAAGTCGGCGCCCCAAACGGTGTGATGCGGACACTAGGCAAGTATATGGCTGGTTCAGGCGCAACGTTCGGGTATGTTTATAACCTGACTCACTATTACAATTACGTTTTATCTGCTAATTCTGATTCATTCTTCGACTCTGAAATAGTCTCTTTATGTCCATCGGCAGCGTCATCCGCTCTGAATCACCCTATCACGATGCCTGGATCCGGGCTCGAGGACCCCCGATGATGCTTCCCCGACAGTATCCCTCACGATACAACCGCCAGTAGATAGCAATATCTGATGGGAACATCGAAATGCGAAGATGTTCCAATCTGGGCCTTGTGTGTGTCCCTTGTATAATAATAATCCAGGAGGAGACTACGCATCTACTCAGAAGGTCCGCGGTGGATGAAAATCAACTGGACCAAAAGGAAAAGCAAAAAGGGCAATAAATGGTGAAACGAACTTCCAACTAAATGTACATAACTATATCAACAACATCTGGATGGGAACTGATAGGGAGTATGCATAACATGGCCTTCATTCGGCTGTTAATATATTCCCATGGCGTTATCGATATTTCCGTCAATTATTTCATGTTTGAAATCCATCACTGACCAAAACTCTTCAGCCGAAAGGCTCTCACTGCGGTAGTAGGTCAAATATAGGATCTGGAAAATGAACGAACCATTGCAAACATTCCTCCACCCCCTTTCCCCGCATAAGATCAAGTACCTAATGTATGTAGTTCTTTCGAAACGCTCCTGATACACCAGTTGCAGATGACTTGTACCCCTTTTTTTCATCTTCAACCATTTGCCTATTGCCCAAGCCCTCGTTAATCCATCGACTGTGACACCGTGATCGGATGCCCGCCGCCATATATCCACTATGGACTGGGGCCATCTGGCAAGAGCAGTCCCAAAGGTTTTTTGCAGGCTGGCTGAAACTATTACTACTACGACAATCACCAGCTTTGCCCGTCTGCCTTGCAAGCAAACATCGCCCAGGTATACGCGCAATGAGGCCTCAGATTTCACCACCGGCTCTTGCGAAATGTGGTGTACGGACGAATTCGCGCGCTTGCTCGGTTTCCTATTCTGGGTCGGAGCCAGTTTCGCCGCGAAAAGACAGATGATGAGCTGATAATTATGGCATTTCTTGACCGTCATATACGTATGCCGCTACCGACCGCCCTTGAGGTCGGAATATGGGGTTGCGGCCCTTACATTGTCACTTCTGTCGTCGAAGTTATCCAATGCCTTGGGGATCCATCGATACTAACACCTGGCTTGAATTCAAGTTTTTCCAACTCCAATCTAAAAGAGCTTATTTTGGAATGGTTCAGATTTTGTTGGAGCTCTGCAAGTCAGCCATCCTACGGATTGGAGCTTTGGGATGGGATGCAGGTGAATGGAAAGTGGCCAAGCGACCATCAACTCTCAATTGGCAAGAGCATTTTCTCCATCTGAAGTATCAACGCAATGATGCTGCAGAATATGAGCAAGACTGCATGAAGAAATGCATAGCATGTTGTCTATTTTGGAGAACAGTGCGAGAGATTGAAATGGAACAAGGTTCTTTCCATCTTTACTGCGACGATCTTCTCCCGTCAAATGTTCTTGTCTCCGAGGATCTCATGGCCACTGAAGTTATCAACTAGGACTTTATGTATGTCGCGCCAGTTGAATTTACTTACACCGCGCCGTGGTGGCTCCTATTTGAAAGTCCTGAAGCCTGGGAGTCTGACCTGAACAAGTTTCTGGAGCGGTACATGCTGCGTCTCGAACTGTTTCTGAAGCACTTCGATACTGTGAGGATAGACAGATTCACAAGGGGAAACTGATGGAGTCGCTGCATCTATCAGATCGGATGGAAATCTTTATGGAAAATGGGCTGTTTTGGCTTTACCTTGCGGAGCGAAGGAGTTCTACGTTTGATGATATCTATTGGATATTTCTTGATGGGAAATATTTTGGTCCTCTGGACTCCCTCGAGGATCGCTTTCTCTCCTGACTCAGGCTGAGCAAGATGAACTGGATGGATTCGTTCAGATGTGTTGTGGAATATGCATGTAACTCAGGGAAGAAGGGCAGAATGAAGCTGTATCGACTACACGTACGTAGCCTACTAAGAAACGGATGCCATTCTGTTCTATCTCTCTGTTGCTCTCTCTACATATAATCAGGAGCCCGGATTCTCAGGGGTTGGAGAGGGAGCCAAGCCGCCATACCACGTGACCTTTTCCATATCAAGATGAAAATGCAACAAGCCAAGGAAGAGAAGTTGAAAGAACATCTAACCTTCCGATGAGATCTTTGATCTGTAATTCAACCGGACGTCTATGAAAACCATAAAGATAACTAACAGAACAGGATATCAACGCCATGTACGAAATTTCCAGGAACTATATTCTCCGCGCCGGTCCGTCGTATTGTAACACCATGTGTAAAACGATGACAGGGCCATCATTAGAGGCTCATCAGCTTCGCCCCGATTCTACACAGTGCCCAACAGCAATCTCAGCACCTTTCCCTTCAGCCCACCCACTAAACTCTCTCCGGTTACAACCTGAAAGTTCCTCGCATTCTCCGATTTGGTCACATTTCGGACTGTAGCGACGACTTGGTGGCTGGCAGACAAGCATGCAGAGCAAGATCGTAGCCCAAAACCGACGAAGGGCTGGTAATGAGCCAGTCCAACGGTGCTATTGTGAAGGTTCATGACGATGCTACGAAGGAAACAGGCAGGGAAGTGTTAGCTAACATGAAGCAGAATGTCGAGACGCAGATACGACTTGACCAGCTGGGACATCATGCTCATGTCAGCACACAAAAACCAGCATGACTTCAGAGTCTAGATAATGAATTTTAGTCAACTAGGAAGGCCGAAGGTATGCAGCCTCAGCATGGCATGGCTTCAGGATCCGAACATACGTCCAATGACTGCTTGCACGGCCCATAGCCACATAGATGCCTCGCTGGAAGGCCTTCCGGGGACCCATCCTAGTTTGGCAATTCCAGACCAGCCATTCGGAGGGTTATTTTGGTTTTTATTGTGTGGCATTAGAACCTTCCAAGGTATCCGTCATCGATGTACTCCGTACAGCGTAATCAAGTCGCATGTATGAATTCAGACGCTGTCAGATTCTGTGCACTGAACAGCGCATTACTTCCTTCGTAACCAAATCAGATACATCTGAAAGAGGATAATGGGCACGAAGGATGCCCCCACGTCCTGCAAATGTGTCATAGTAGAGGGGAAAGAAGGCAAAAGTCCAGAAGCGAGTGGAGCTGTGAGTGGAAGACATTTCCATCTCTTCCGCTAGTTATTACTACCGAGTTAATAATTACTATTGCTATTATTCCCTGTCTTTGCACTGTCTTTCCCTGTGCGCTTCAGAGTAAGCAGGCTTTGTCAGGCAATAATGAGCGAACAAAAGCAGGCCCTACTTATTATTGGGACTTAAATTACAAGGACAACACGAGGCATTAGTATTATTGACAGCTGGACGTTGCATGTCGTCATCGGTGAGGGCGAACAGCGCATGCTGACATTTAATTATTTTTATTTCCATTATTATTATATTTATAAATCATCAGAATTCAAATTAACCAAAGACAAAAAGTTCTTTGATTCTGATTAGCGCCAGGGGTCGCGACGAATCACACTGTGCGCGGCACGAGTACCTGCAGCTGCAGACTGCGTTGTCCAACAGAGAATAGGGGCATTACTGCCCAGCAAACCCACCGGAATATTGAAGGATTAGGAATTTAATAAATCGTCTCGACTATTCCAGACTGCTTCTGCCACGCTAAGCCCTGGGGTAGCCTTGGAAGTCAATCGGGGCTCTGGTCCAATAGTGCCCGCGCTGGAGGCAAATCCTTAAGCAAAAGTTCCCCATCCATTGTCAATACGAGTTGTGGTAAGCCGGTGAGATGGATCCTGCGGCGAAGAAGAGCAGAATTGTCTAAAATATAATTAATAAAAAATTTGAAAAAGAAGAAAAATACGCACAGTGGATTCTGACACACCGTTCAACTCACAAGTATGTCCATAGGCCATGGTTCTCCTTTGTGCCACATGGCATGGGTGGGCTCGATTCCTTTTCCTCCTCTTATGAAAGAGAAGAGTCATAAATGGGCGGCTCTGTCCCTCTTGTCCTTCTTTCTCCAGCTCTTATCCTCCACTGTCCTTTCAGTAGACCCTGACGCTCCTTTGCACTATCTGTGCCGGTCTCAGATTACTGTAACACAAGCAAGAGCCCATTTTCATCAGTGCAAGCAATCCTTCAGAAAGCCCTCCTTTGGGTAACCGCTTTCCCACTTGAGCCAGATCCGGCGCATAGATTCTCCAAAAATGAAGATCTTTGCGATCATCACCACACTCTTTCTGCTGGTGACCCAGCTCGTAGCTGCGGCGCCGGTCACCACTTCAACCACAACGGAAACTGTCACCAGCACCGTTTATCGAATCGGCAACACGCTTTCGACTCCAGCTCCAACGCCAACTTCTTCCGCTTTCCTCAGCTCGACACCTCCAGCCGTTGCTTCTCCTTCCAAGACACCTTCCTCTAGCGCTGTGCCTCCAAGCAGTACAGGTATCCCAGCCGCTGCTGCATCTTCAGCTATCCCTAGTACAGCAGGCGCTGCAAGCTTTGCCAGTGCTAACTTTCCTGCCTTTGTTGCTGGGTCCTTCGCCTTGTTTCTGGGCTCGATCTTGTAAGGCGGTCGAGTGTCCTCAATCATGAGCTACGACAGTCACACATTCTTTTGACCGTACGCAGGACGGGTCGTTTTCAGTCTCAATCTTGGGATCATCTTCTGGCTTGACTGTCGGTTGTGGTTATTTGATTTTTCTCGTTCCCGAAACCATATACCTCTCCAGGGGAGACGGTATTGTGGTTCTTGTTCTCTCTTCCCCTTTCTTCTGTCTTCTTTTCATTAAGACACTTTTTATCCTTTCTTCATCCCTCTTCTCTGGCAGAGACAAGAAGAAAAGAAAAAAAAAGGAGACTAGGAGTTACATGATCAATTATACCCTTGCTTTGTTTTGTCTTTTGTTCTGTTCTTCGGCCTGTCAAAATCATGGCCGCAGGTACTTTTGAACTGCAGAATGAGCACCAGATAGGATGTTGCAAGAAATATGAGGAAAAAAAAGTTCCGTGATGATGATCTGTAAAACAACCCCGGCCTAGGGCCTGCCAACAGCTGTCAATCACGCTGGGGCAGCATTTTGACTGGATCACATAGACAACGGGATTTCGTATACCAGCACATTTTCCATCTGGAAAGCCAATCTGAGCTCTGCATTGTGCTTTTTGGCAGAACCAGTAAAACGAATCAGAACTGAAAAGTAATGGTGTGGATGGTTGATTGATTGATTGATTGCATTATTTAACGTCTGAAACGTGGATGGTTGAGAAGCAGGTGCAGTCGAAGAGACGGTGAAGTCCCACAACAAAATAGTCACATGAGAGCTTGTGGTTCTCTGCTCATTCTCCCTTCTGCTGACGTGTTGGCAATTTGCTGGTCAATACTAACATATCAAGCATAAAATAGGATATCAAAACCCTAACCACTTGGACTTGATATATTAGACCGGAAAATGATGAGAAGGAGGATGTCGGGCCATCTTCGGGCACAAAGTGCCCTGGTCGACACCAGCATTTCGACCTGTCGAAGGCGCTCCGCCCTTTTCAAGACAGAATATCAACTTCCTCGCTTTCTTTTCTGGCCATCGACGTATTCTTAATATAATGTGGTTGTCGGATTAGAATGGGATCAGACACTAGAGAGACTCAATCCCACCGTGATACATTCAGTGAATCCTTCCAGTCTCCTACCTACGACGATGAATCCTCCATCACAAACCTTCCCCCGACTGACGGTGGGAAAGATGTATGACTGTTTCTAGTATCTGGCTTCGTTATTGAGCCATAGTATGGGTTCTGTCTGCTACTCAACTTGGAGGCCACGGTTGATTCGAGTTCCTGAATGGAAGAGATGATAATAACAGGCTTTGCCTTCGCCTACGTTGTCTTTCAGGATTATTATTCTATGCACAAGACCTTCAAGAGTTCCGGCAGCATAGCGGTTATTGGAACCTGCACAATGGTGGGCTGTCTTGATACAATACGTCTTAAAACTCATCTCAAGAGCAATCTGCTGCATCGAATGCAAAGGGCGCAAGCTATCTATCAGCTCCATTTGATTTTACCCTGCTTCTCGCTTTCCCCCGACTAAGGCGATACGCAACACCTGTCGGTTCTGAAATTATGTGTGGCCTTGGCTTTAGGTTCATTCTCTAGGTCCACAATCCATCTCATAATCACGCAAGGCCTTGAAGAGGGGACTTGCATTTGGATTCATGTGGGTAGGTCTCACTACTCCGTCCTGTTGTCAATATTTAGAATTCGATGTTAAGCTCGGCGAATTGTCTTACAGGCAGGGACAAGCGTTTCTGGTGTGGTACTTCCTATCACGCTGCAATGGCTTCTCAATACCTACGGGTACCGGACTACACCTTGATCTTAGGCAATCCTCGTTTTTATCTTATTCCTCCTGTTCTTTTCTTCGTCACATCGAGGGTTCCAATCTCATCTGCTGCAAGTAGCATCCGACCGTTCGATCTCAGCTTTTCGTGGGACTGTCTTGCCTTGATATTCCAACTCGGAAATATCGTTGAGGCGATAGGCTACTTTTTGCCTATCATTTACCTTCCAACGATTGCACGCGGTCTAGGGGCATCTGGGCCGCTAGCATCACTGGCCCTCATTTTGTTGAGTTTGGTATCTACGTTTGGATATGTCATTATGGGATCCCTGCTTGATCGCCTCCAGGCACATGCACCTTGCTATCGACTATAGGCAGTGTAATATCCGTCTTTGTCATCTGTGACTTCTCTGTCTCTTTAGGACCACTATATGCCTCCAGTGTCATTCACGGTCTTTTCGCCGAGTATTTCGTTGAGACACGGCCCGCGGCTATGGGGAAATACGCAAGAAAAAAGATCCAACCGATCCGGGGATGGTCTTCCCATACCTTTAGGTTAGACAAGGGCTTGGTAATATAATCAGCAGTCCACTGAGTGAGGTGCTTCTCAAACTTTCATTCGGAATCTCTGTTGGCTGGGCATACGGGGGCCGCTGTGGTGTTCTTATTTTACAGGAGCCACTGCAGTGTGTGGAGGAGTGGGCATCCTCGGCATTTATCTGCCCTATGTTTCCCTGGCTGTGTTTATAATATGGTAGGCAGCAGCCTTTCCCTACAGTCTCTCTGCATGCTGCTTAGGTCCGGAGCAGAGCTGTGCGGAAAGGATTCCATTAAGAATGAAGGTGCTAGAGCGAGCTATTCTGTCCTACACTAAGGCGTCATAAAAATGAACTCTTATCATTTCTGTTGGTTCATGGTTGCTCCTTTACACTTCGTTTGACGGGTTGTTTTGCTCATTTATCTGACTCGAACACGATTATTTCAACTGAGACTCCATTGATTAAAAACTGGCACTGAAATTGTGACGTGCCTGTTTCTTGGGAGATACGCCCATTGGTAACAAATGACCTTACGCCCTGTTTGCCTTGCTAAAAATACAAGAAATGCACTTCAGCTATCAGGAGAGGGAAGAAGCGCAGGACTCTACACAACTTGACCAGCCTCCTACCACCTCACTTACTCCTACCAATCGCAGAAAGCTTGCCGAGCTCACCCACAGAGAACTGAATTCAAAAGTCAACATACGACGACCCGGGTATGTCGGAGAGGATGGTCGAACTAAACTCTGTTTTGCTTCTACTTCGGCGCATGGCACCCTTTTGACGTCAAAAAAACGAGAATAAACCCAGGTGGTAGATTGAAAAATATTCGCCGTACATCCTAGCCGCTTTCCAATACTGAACGCCGCCAATCGTTGCCTTCGTAAGCACACCTGGTATACCATCAACGCCGGGCACTAAGAGTACTCTGATAGTTTCAAGAGCAAATATACAAAAAAAAGAACCACTTTCAAAAATATCCAATGGAGCCTGCTTTGGTACCTTTACCGGTTTCTATCGCCTCGCCGTTGATGCCAGATTGTGTCCCCGTTGAAGATCGAAAATCCCAAGGAGGGAAAATTCGCCCAAGAGCTAGTAGGGGCAGAAGACGTGCGTCCTTCCCGGAAACCAGCGTCGGAACCAGCATGCTGCTCTACATCGCGGGAGCCATCTTCACCCAAGTCAGAGATTCCGACTGGAGCGGAGGATGCACCTAGGTCATGAGAGGAGCCATTATCGGCTGTCTGCTCATGCTCGGGGCGAGTTTCCATAGGACCATACTCAGATAAAGACCGAACAACGTCGCCCTTGCATATTGGGCAGGTTCGCCGACGGGTTGTCAGCCAGGGAGTACTATCATAATATTAGCAAAGAAAAACCGTAGAAAATAATCCAACTTGAACCACATACATGCACTCCGCATGAAACTCATGCCCACATGGCAGGCTCATTACCCTGCTTTGTCCATCCACATATTCCTCCAGGCAAACAACGCATTCCACTTGCCTGCCGGTATATTTCCGTCGCCACAGAGTCGAACCAGCTCCAGAGTTTTGTCCTTTTGTTGATGCCGTGACTTTCGCCGACTCCGCAGTGCCTGACACGATTCCAGACATTGTCTGAGACCGCTGTCTAGACGACGGCAAGTCTGATCGGCCTCCAAGGCCAAGCAGAGGATCAGTCGGTGAAGACGAATCAGGACTAGAGGACCGGACAGAGCCAGTCGTAGACGAAGTCGTTGTGATCGTGTGGTAGGTCCTGACTGGGAGGCGATCTACAACGGACTTAGGAGCACGCCACCGTCTGCGTCGAATACGAGACCGAAGTAGTAGAAGGGCGTATACAACAGATAGCGTAAGTAACGGACTGACGACCAAAACAAGCAAGGTGTCAAAAAAGGGACTTGTAGACATGCTTGCAGGAGTCAAGGTGACCCATAAGCCTGAGTGTGCGCTTACATCGACGTCCTCGCGGCTTGGGAAATTGGATGCGCTTGACGATTTCTCACCACCTGAAGACCCTCGTTGCCTCGAGCCAAGGGGAGGATCAGGAATGGACTGAGCTGTTCCGGACCAGCCGGATATGTTGGAGTCGTCCTCAGCACTGCCTGGAGTGGACTCTGAACCTTTACCACTTCCCCGCGATGGAGAACCTTCCTTTCGTGCAGCCCTACTTGGCTTTGGTGGCTGGCTGCCCTTCGCTGCTACTACGTCGGGATCACGCCAGTCTTGTATGCCGATGAGGAAACCATCTCCATCCGTGCTGCTGGACTTAGACGGCGGATTTCCTGGTGGCTTTGGCAAGCTTCCACCACGACCGTTATTAGTGGACCCGGTCGAAATATCAGGTGAGGCGAGCTGTTCGTCCCAATGGTCCATCAAAACCCAATCAATGTTTCCGCTACTAGGGGGTCGGTGACTATCCTCTACGGATGAGGATGATTTTCCAGCACGGTTGCCAATTCCGAATAAAGAAAAAAGAGCAGAGAAGAGTCCAGCCTTGCGGTTCGACGTACTCATCGAATAGCCCGTTGATATCGGGGATGGGACTGCTGAGGGAGTGGCTGTAGACCATGACCCCGAATCCTGCTTACCAGGACTTCCAGGTCGAGTATGAGAAGGCTTGTACTCGACCTTCAGACTCGCATCATTCCCAATTATCTGCGGGGGAACGAGAGAGGACAGAAGGTGAGCAGTCGTGTAAGATGTGAAAATGGATGGTATCGAGATGTTCGAGGTATCCCCCCTGGCATACATAGTCACGAGGCTTCCCCCCTTGGTGTCGTCTCCAACGATCAAAGCGATGGCTCCTCGTCGCTGAGCCCACTTGACCTTCTCTAAGAAGCCGCAGCCACCTCTGCTCAGTAAGACCACTTTGCCCGCAATCTCCGCACTCTCCTGGAGTGACTGTATATCGGCATGTGCCGGTGGTCTGCTTTGAGACCGCTCGCTACGCTTATCAGAGGTGCTTTCTCCTGGAGCATCAGACTCTGGAAGCGGATGGTGAAGGTGATCATCTGTACCATCATTCGTCGAAGGTGGTGGGGAACTATCACTCTTGCCATTTTGTGACTTGGACTCTAGGCCGGATTCAGTTTGGCGGCGGTTCTGGAGGGCAGCAGGACCACCGCCTACAGTCCCAGCTACAGACTTCCCAGGCATGTTCTCCGTAGCCGTAGTCACCTTATCCTGTTTGTGACGTGTGCGTCCCTCTTCCCATCCTGGAATATCGGAGCAGCCAAGTTCGCCCGCAGCAGTGGGGTCGGCAGTTTCTCCAAAACCGCTACCAACCCATAATTGGCCACTGAGCCCCTTGGCAGGTAGTAGCGGGCCAAACGCAGCAGGTCTGGCCAGGAAGAAGGTGGAGTTGTCATCGGTGAGGCTGATGATGGCGGAGGGTGGGAAGAGAGAGGAAGGGACATTGAAGGAGAAGAAAGCGCGCAAGCCACTCGTTCGGCCAGCGAGCGGGTTGGGGCTAGTAACGCTGGAAGATGAGAGTAGGAAAGAAAACAGAGTCAGAAAAATCGGAAGAAACACCAAACAAAAGAAGCAAAGGATCAATCGTGGAAGCCGCATGTTGCCAGAGAGGCGGGAGGGGTCGAAGTCGAAGGGGGGTGTGTAGTCTGCGCTGGCGCCTATGGGAGGGGGCTGATCCAAGATTCAAATCACGACCAATCGAAGGGCCCTGGGAGCAAGGGGGAGGGCAATCATGGAGGAGATCAGGCCAGGATTCAACAGCAAGACGGGAGAAGAAAAGAACATTGAAAGCAGGAGGAAGAGGAGGAGAAGAAGAAGAAGAGGGCGAAGAGTGATGGAATCACCAGAGGCGGAGGCGGCAGCATTGCCTGAGGCGGCCAACTTGGCGTCACGGGACTTGCCTGGAGCGCTCTTCTGGGCAGAGCGCCAGTTATAATTCTGTGGATAAGTATTAAGAGCAGTATCAAACAGTCTTAATTATGGGCATGGTTAATGTTAATGTCATTGCCATTGCTATATCGTCTGCCGGACGGAGGGAAAGCTCTCCGCTGAGCTACTTTTGTCTCCGCATGTCTCCTGTCTCATGCCAATCTTCATGAGAGACGGGCACGTGTTGGATGCAGGAAAGTCAGTCTGCTAAGAGTAATAATAGACTCTTCAAGTTTCAATAATAATAATAATGGCAGGAAGAGAATAGCGCGTACATCGTTTCAAATAAAACTGCTGCGCTACAGTCTGTACAACTACTACAATCTGCCCAGCCGCTACTGACGTACTGCGTATGACGTTGCGTGGCGCCCGTGTTTAGTATTTAATTTCTATTTTTGTCGCTCGGCAGTCGATCACTGGCAATCCTCATCTCCGCGTTTCCCCAAATCAAATCACGACGGTGGAATGTGTTCGAACATCCGCAGAGTCTCCAGACTACTCTGGACGATACACAGCTGCAATGCTTGTCTGGAGATCTCAGATGGATGTGGACCCCCTAAGAAGACACTCCCGAACATGGGACAGAACTGGAGTACGGGGTCTTTCCCTGTACCACGGTTCGCATGCGAGACAGCAATCCCAGCTATAACTAAACCAGTTTATTTTCCCTTTGGTTTTAAGCGGGGAAGGGTGTGATCTGTGGCGTGGCGAACACTGACGACAGATGGCAACGCGGTGCACACCATCATGGCCAACACCGTGCCATCAGAAGCCATCTCGAGACACCAGACTTTACTCCTTGCCTATGATCTTCTGGGTTATCGCATTAGAACGTCATGATTCTCGAAAGTAGCCAGAAGTCAAGCTTGTTCTTCACCTTGCCCATTGTCGATCTTGTCAGTCGACCATCTATGGTGTCAACTACTTGCTGCAACAGGGGCTCGCTGAGCATATAAACCCCAATGAATCTGGCATGGTTGATTTCCTGTCTTTGAAAGGGGAAAAAAAGAGACGTTTAAACGCTTTCAAAAACTCCAAAAAGGACCCTTATATCTTCGACTACACTTTATCCTACTGCATTCCATCATGTCGGGCATACTGCATAACATCAAGAACACCGTTACCGGCCACCGCGACGAGCCTGCCCAGGACTCTAGCAAGGCATCCAATATCTACTCCCAAGGAACCACAGGTGACTACATCACTGGAAATGGTCCTAATGAGTCCAAAACTGCGAACAAACGAGACAGCGGCATATGTACGATCTTCTTGTCAATGGCACTTCCCCATGTGATGTATGTGCAGAGCTGAGTTCTCTTGCCAGACCGTGATACCTACGGTGATTCCACTACCAAGACTGGCCCTCATGACAGCAACATTGCCAACAAGCTAGACCCTCATGTTGACAGTGATAAAGGTACGGAAATAGCATAGGTGATACTTCATGTACAAAACTGACTTAATTTTCATAGGCAACCGTGGCGCCTATGGTGACTACTCGGCCAAAACCGGACCGCCCCCCCTTGGTGACAAGGACAAAGGTATGATTTTTCCATCATCACTAGCGTAATTCAGTGACTTGACTTTCTTTTTTATTTTTCAGACGATCGAGGTGTTTCTGGTGGTTCTACTGGTGGTACTTCTACAATTGACAGCGACAAGAGTGAGTGAGCTTCTTCCTAGAAGCAAGCTGTGATCCCGGACTAACGTTATGTTTTGTCTAGGCTACCATGGTGTCTCTGGTAGCGGCTATGGTACTGGCACTAGTGGTGGTTATGGTTCCTCTACAGGCCGTCATGGAACTACCAGTGGTGTCTCTGGTGGCAGGTACGGTAGCGGTACTGGCACAAGCGGTTACGGTTCCTCTACTACTGGTCACTATGGATCTTCCGGCGGCTTCTCTGGTGACAGCGATGGTACCGGCGGTGGTTATGGCAGCGGGTATGGCTCCTCTAACACCGTTCATTATGAACCAACAAGTAACGTCTCTGGAAAATACAGCATCACTGCCGACAGTCACCGGGGGTTAGTACATACCGGGTCTCAGTCTAATGTCGCATAGCTGACTAAAATTGTACAGGATTGACGAAGATATTCTTGGCAGCGGCAATCACAGTCAAGGCCTGGGCAATACTGGTAGCCGTGGAAGTGGTTTCTATAACGCCGCCTCCAGAGATATCTCAGACACTGAACGGCGTATGGACAAGCCACACAGCCAGTGGTAAGGATGTGATCACACTGCCCTTTGGAAAGAATAGACCGGGAAACGTGCCTGCTATGAATTTTTGGCATGCTGAAGATCGACGCCGATGGAGAACGAACTCATTCCTTTCCTAATAACAAATACCACCAGCAACCCTGTATGGAATCAATAAGATCCATATACTTGTCTCAGTCATGTTGTCTGTTTACATTACTGTCCATCATGTATTATATCTGAGGTCTTTGTTTTGCTGCTGCCCCAATACATTCACTTCTCTCCTGCCAGGAGATACATTTCACCAATCGTACTTCATCCATTCATCCAAGAACTATTTTAAACAAAAAAATATTCTTCCAACCTGCTGCATTGTTTCCCTTTTTTTTTTTATTTTGATTTTTGTTGGATACAGAAAAGAGGGATACTATTAATTATTCATTTGGTCCCTTGATTTGATGGATTGTCGATGTGAATTCTAGGAGATGCCTGATGAGGAAAAGACCAAGAGGCATCGTTGGCATGAGTTCCCCTTCATCCCTTGCCCTTCCGTAATTATACAAGTCTGCAAGTCTTTCCAGTCAGACTGGTCTTCTGGTTAATAAATTACACAGGACAAAGGGATCTTAAGAGGAAGACGAAGGGCTAAGCAACCCCAGAAGATACTACCATCTTGGGAAGGACGTCGACCCTCCATCCATATCTCCTGCTTCCCAATGCTAGCCTAGACGCAGCTACTTCCACAACCATCAACCTGGTGAGTCTCCTAAACCATCATCCTCCCCTTAATCAGAATCAGTTTGTGAGCCTACCCGCAACCACACGGTCTCTAACTTGCACCCCTCAGCCTGCCAATCCAGATAGTACTGGACTGCCCAGTGAATCAGGTGGCCATCCATTCACCTCAGAAAGTGACACAATTTCTCATCTCTCAGATGTTGATGATTTTTATCTTGTCCAGTACCACCCACTCTTCTTCCCACAATCTGTCCTCTCTGTCAACCATTTGATACCCATGTCACGCCTAGGTGGATTCGACACGGCCAGGGGACCAAAAGGAACCCTTCCTGGTGGTATCTTCGCGCCTTTACCGGGTGATCAGCACAACGAGCGGACAACGGTGGCAGCGAGATCGTCTCTCAAATTCCAGAACGCGACAAGGCCCTCCCCAGCTTCCAATACCCAGAATTCCAGTCGGGAACTTAATAGTTTCGATGATATGGTGTCATCTCGTCCTGTTCCCTTGACTGCGTTGAGTATGAGAACGAACTCTAGAAACAAAGGCTCTAAAAACTGGAAACCTTTTCCGCTGGACGACGGTAGAGATGACTACATGGGATATACGGAGAATAGCTTGACATTTCCTGGTGTTTCCAGGCCTAAAATTCGCTCTGGCCTCTCTCTAGACTACAATGAAAGTGAAATGGGTGGCATGTCAGTATCAAACGGCAGACTCCCACATCACGAAGTACAAGAGCAATGTCCAAGTGTCAATCCTGGTGTCAAGGATGAGACGAAGAGGCGTCTGTGGTCTAGGGATGTGGATGCTCAGATCCAGCAGAACCCGCTGAGCTATTCCGCTGGTTTTGATGCCCCTTACCAAACTGGTTTGCATCAACAGTCTAGGTCGCCAAGCCGTCTAGACCGTCCAGGTTATCGTGCGTGGCCCACAGGAGCTGATGGAGGTTTAACTGTTGGTCGAGTCCAACGTGATCATTCTTTCATTGCAGACAATCACGTCGCTCCTGAACTGCCCTACCGTTCTCATGAAACGGGTCCCTATGCTGCCAACCCATATTATGGCCAAATGCCACAGCACTATCACTACCATACGATGGATATCCAGTATGGTCCATCTTTCCAGTACGGTCTAGGAGAGCCTGTGTACGGACAATTGGCCGGTTACAGTCCCAATTTGTCGAGCAATACTTACTCAAAGCCTGCCAAAGGAGTCTTGGGCCGTACTACTCCCTTTGTCTCACATGAGCCTCCTTCTCAGACGATGACGCCTGCTGCATCTCATCATAGTTCCCATAACACTGCCAGTAGTTCCACCTCAGCTGCGGCAAAGTCTTCCAGTTCTGATGCTCGTTCAGTTGAAGCTGAGGAGGCCCAAAAAGCCGAAGTAGCGAGACAGAAGGAAGTGGAAAGGAAAAAGAAAGCTCTGAGGGATGCGGTGCTAGCGAAGATAGAGGCAGACGAAGAAATACAAAGGGAGAGAATTCAAGGTCAAATTTTGGAACAGCAACGACAGCAGTTTGCCAAACAAGAGCAAAATCCCGAGCCTTCATCACAGCAAGAGGCACCTGTTACATCGTCTCATCTTTCGTCTAATTCTGCAAACGAGTTGGCCTCCAACATAGAGCCTCCTAGTTCTGGTAGTTCTTTGGACAAAACTGAACAAGTGAAAGAGAAAGAAGGAGCCCAGAGGAATTTGTCATTGAAAGATACGGGCCCAGCAAAGCTCAACCACAATGGGCAAGAACTCAGGCAGAAGTCCGAGAAGAAACTGGATTATGGAACACGGCCGATAAGGCCCAAATTCAACAATGATACTGAAGAGTCAACCAAGGGTTCTTTAAATACTAGGCACGCTGGTCACTCTCTTAGGCCACCCAAAACTAATTTCGCCGAGTCAACTTGGCATCAATTTCATCAGCAGCTTGGTATTGGAAGACATTCGTGGGGAAAGTTAGGACTTGAACCTCCAGTCGTATCCCAATCCACTTCTACAGCCACTAGAAGGACACTGAGGACCCCCCCGGGACTCTCAAAGCCAACCCACTTAAATCACGCAGCATGGTCGCAAATCTTGGCGGACGATACGCTTGGAAATCCAAGATTGAAAGAAGCGAATGACTGGTTCCACATGGACGGCCGCAAGGATGAGCAGCTTCGACAGCAGATCGCGACCATAGCGGATGAATATGCCGACAAGTGTGAGAAACTCGGGGGTGCGAATTACTCAAAGGAGGATAAAGAGATTTCAAGACAGATGACATTACTTCTAGGAAATGTCATTGCTAATCTGAAGTCATACATCATTGATGACGGCGACGGATACGACGGGCAACACGATTACTTTACAAATCCTCGTCACCAACGTTTTCGCGAAGACTCAGCGAGTGGCAGTAGGGACTTCCACTAGGATACACACACACACACACACACACACTCTCTCTCTCTCTCTCTCTCTCTCTTTTGTCATGAAGAAGTTGAGCAAAAATATCTTGGAGAAACGATCATATGGGCCTTAGGTAGTCACTTGGTTGTTGTCTCGTCTTGAAAGTTGAAAGGATGTTAGATTATTAGGGCCGTTTCATATTAAGGGATAAAGGATAGGTTATGAGAGAAGTGATACGCCTATTCCGAGGGGAAGATGTAAAATCAAGGGCAGGTGGGAACAGTAGCTTTCGAACTTACCAGGTTAAAGAGAAGTCGCTGTAGAAAATATGGATTCCTGTCCCTTACCTATACTGTGCCGCTATTTAACTACCTCAACAATGATTATGTAGTCGCGACTTAAGTAGATATTTCAAAAAAGTCTTCCACCACCATATAACCTTCATCTCTCTCTCCCCCTTATTGATGGAACCAGGCCGCCTTTTATCTTAGAACAAGGCTATCAACTGGCTAGTATTCATTTACCTCCCACTCAATCACAAAGACATAGCTAACCAAACGAGGAAATATCTAATTGTATTGCATTGTAAGTATCTATCCTACCTACCTTCAAGAATAATAAATACTGACTGACTGACTGATTGATCAATGTACAGAACATCATTAACTCTATCCGACTGTACTCTGCACAGACACGTGTGAAAATTGATACTGTATAAGGGCCATATTCACTCACATTCTAGTTGTGAGGCAACGAAGTGCAGGACGGGGAGAAAGGATTACAAAGTAGAAGTAGGGAAAATATACAGAAGGAGGAAAAGAGGTAATAAGAAAACAAAAGGGGAAAGAAAAACAAGACCTTGTGCAATAGAACTTCGGCAACACCACCAACCCACACCAAAAATCATTGCTTCGTGGATTAAATATGAAGACCTTGTCAATAAGATAGTAACAAGTAAGATCGAAAAGTAATGAGGAAGAAAAAGAACATCCCCGAAAGAGAAATTGCAAACATCATGACCCAAGGCGCCATACTTACTACTGCTAAGGTGGTTGCATACAGAATTAATAAAAACAGATGAATCATCAAAAAGGGCAAGTGTAATGCCCTGAAAAGGAACCCCCAACAAAAGATATATCGTATCGATTCAGCAAGCAACGAGATTGATGTGGTTATCATTAAGAGCAGCACATGCAAGCAATGTACGGTGGGGGTGGAAAGCCGTACACGAAATAGGAGCAGATCGGGTGTGATGGAGGAAGCTCGAATACGGCTCGAAGGTAGAGAGGTAAGTGCCGTCGACGTTGAAAGTTTTGACTTCATGGCGGTTCGTACCACTTTGATGGGTTAGCATGTCAAAGAGCATATAGGTATACGGAAAGATGCACATACACAACAAAAACTGGAGCATGTTCATGGACACTTAAGGTGCGCAGAGTATCCCTGGTCGCATAAATAGTCGAGATAGGACTATCCATCCTGAGATCCCAAAGCTTTACCTCGCCATTTCTGCTGCCAGAGATCAACTCCCTCAGGCCACCACGTTGCATGTGCACATTGGTGATCCACTGTTTATGCTCACGCCAGACCTTGACCATGGCTGTTGTGGGTTTCAGGCGTTGATCGAAGACACGAACTGCGCCATCTCCGAATCCAGCTACGAAGACATTCCCAGCAACCTGATCGGATGTCAAGGAAGTGATGCAAGAACCCGAGCGTGCAGGAATATCCTATATAAAAGGCCATGGTTAGGATCCGCTTCATGTCAAACGTGACTTTATTTCATGGAGACATACATTAGTGCAGACTTCAGTCGCAGCATTCCACACCCGAATGACCTTTACATCACCTGCGACCAAAGCCTTGCCCTGGCCTTGTTGCCAGTCAAAAACAAGGCCTGCGTTTCTATTGCTAGGAATAAGTTCCGGCAATGCCCTGAATGCCGTAACAATTTCGACATTCTTCTCGGATTCATAATTTCTGAAAACTTTGAGAACTCCGTCAGAAGAGCCTGTCATCAGAAGTGCCTGGTCATCCTCATTTATATAACGGAATTCATTTATTTTTGAGCCTGGAGGGTTTCCATTAGAGAAGCGGCTGAGACGTTTATGGCTCTGCCAGTCCCAAATCCTTATCAACTTCGTCAGCGAGGATCAAAAATGACCAAATGGCGTGGAAACTTACGAAACAGTATCTCTGTCGTCGGCAACCGCGAGATGGTCCTCAAACTGATGGAAGCACATCTTCGATGGCCGGGTGGTATTCGTAAAAAGTGCAATCGAATTATCCCATCGATTGCTGCCTGCTCTTCCCTTAAGGGGTTGCGTCTCCGCGATGATCCTTTCGTTACGACCGCGTCTCCATAGACGTTCGTTGTAATTTGCGCTACCAGGTTCATCTGGTTCGTTCGGCTTCATTTGGGGTTCCCGGAAATACTGGCTACTTGTAAGAACTTTCTGATTCTCTTCTGGGTTCTCTTGGGTTACGCTGTGAAGAACGTTGGGGATTACCTCAGTAGCCCAATCTAGGAATCTGCTCTTCAGGGGTAATTTGGGTAAAATAGACGTGTCCCTCAGCACAAATCCGCGGGATATAGGGGTTGGGGCTTGGTGATACGCCGTAGCGGGTGCCAGTTGGTCATTGACCTCTGGCGGCCGGGTCCATTCTGGCGGAGCTCGACCTCGGGGTGTAATGGGCATCCTACTTATCGGCGGTGAAGCATTTGTCTTCGAAACTGCTGGGGGTAGCGGCTCGGCAGAAGAGCTGCCAAAAGCGAAATTCTTTAGTGACGCAGCAACACTAGCTGTTCGTTTGATGCCCAAGGAGATGTATCCCTCTTGCTTCGGAGGGGCTTGGCTGGGAGGAGTTGGAGGGCGCACGGCTTTCTTCGCTTCCGGTGTTTCTCGAGCCTGTGTTTTCTGTAAAGTACGACCTGTGAGTACAGAAATCTCATTTCTGACGCCTTCCGCTAGAGACGCCATGGGGGATTGCAATAGAGCAAAGTGGACGAAATCAACGATCATGCCTGCATCCTGTGAGATATCGGGATGTGGATCGACGGATAGAATGAGAAGCTGTTTCCAGATCGCGCCAAAGGTCGTGTTGTGAGACAATAGCTGTGGCTTTGAAGTTATATTCCCGAGATCGTTTTGCTTTGATTCAACATGAATCGCTTCCAATTTCTGGCTCTGAGTTTTGCGAAGGAGAGCTTCTTTTTCCTCCAGAAGCTCCTCGTAGGCTGACACGACAAACTTGTTTTGATAGCGCTTTACGAAGGTAGACAAGAAAACGAGAAGCTCCTTCCTAACGAGCACACTGCCATCTGAGGCCATAGGAAGAACTGCCATGGCCAAAAACTCTTCAATCTGGGCTACTTGATCTGTGAGGTCTGGAATGCCCAGAAATGTAGTCAAGGCATGTAACATGGCGGCCCGGACCTCTGGCACAGGGTCAAAATTGAGCTCACAAAGCCTTGCGGGTGCGGCACACCGAATGCCCATCCATTTCGCTTCAGGGAAGTCAGACCAGAGCATACTCAAACAGAGGCACGACCACTGTCGCAGCAGAGGATTTTCAACGTCCGTCGAGTGTTTCAAGCAAGAATCATATAGCTCCGTCGAAAGACAGACATTCTGTCCCTGAGGATAATTCTTGCAGAAAATTGAAACAATGAAAGCACACATTGCACGATGCTCACTGGCGTTTCCAACAGGAATTGGCGAGGACGGATTAAGAATCGATATGAAGTAATGAATTCCGTTATCTTTCAAGAGATCATTCTGGACTGTGTGATCTACCGCCATGATTCTCGCCCAGATGAAGACCATAACCGGTTTCAATTCTTGAGCTGCTGACTGTAGTAGCTTGACAACGTAAGGGAATATGCCAATGCTCAAGGCAAGATGAACAGCCCAAGGACCCAAGTCGAGGAACTTGCTCAGGAGGATTAATGCTCGAAGCCTGTGCGCCTGACTCAAAAGGACTTGTAGGACAATTGGAAGCTGATCTGGCGGGTTCTTCTCGGTCGGCCCGGAGGACAGATAAACCTCAAATGCCGTAAGCTGTTCAGCAAAGAAAGTAGAATGCTGGTATTCGTACTGCCTACGCCCCTCCTCGTGATCAATAAGAGCAGGAAGTTGAAACAGCACCATCTCAACCGCCAGATCCCAACTCTTCCAAAGTGCATGGTTGTGAGTTTCTGGCAGCTCCGGAAAGGAGATAGGGTGGCATTTGTAGGTTCGCATGATCCGCTCACTAAGTAGAAAATTTCTGAACAACGCAGCCACCATAAGATCTTGTCGGAAGAGCTTCTTAAAAAGAGCGCGGGGCAAAGTATTCCATGCGATCGTATCAGTGATTGCAGTGAAAATCCAATTCAGCTCGCCGAGGGGGCTTCTCCGGTCCTGTAGTCGGCCAGGGACCCTGAATTCATCGATGGAAAGGTTCGTCGAAAGAGGATTCTGGAGGATGAAATACCGCAGTGCTATTTCTATGGGTGTAGTCAGGCAGCAAGTGAACAGATCCGCAGGCAGGTCGGGGTTGGTTGGGAGAGATTCGACTTTCTGACAGGCAGCGAGAAGCATGCAATCACCATAGTTCTGCGTGATGGCATTCGGGTCTCGTCTTTTTGTCTCAATATTTTCCCTTTCATGTTTTTCAACAAAGGTGTGAAAATTCTGAATGATATTTCCAGCATGTGAGACATCGAAGACAAAGAGACTAGGACCGGCAAGCCAAGACTGAAGATCATATAAGGACACAGGAATGTACTGTGTATAGTTTTTGTTGAAAACCCAGATCTCGCCTGACTGGGTGGGCAGTGGGACACCATGGCCATTATAATGGAAGAGCACCCGTTCATCTTTGGCGTTACGACGAAGTGATATGCAAAATTTCTTGGTCTCGTCGACTGACGGGTCCAGATACTGCTTATATCTAGTTCTTAGGCTGAGTGTCTCATACTGCTCTTGCAGTTTCTTTCCTATCTGCTCCATTATCTTGTTCTGACCGCCACCGGTCGTCGACGTGGGATCAACCCAGCATTCTAACTTCGCTGAGGGATTCGTCTTCACCACATCAGGGGGGTCGACACCAATGTTCAGGCAAATAGCCAGAGCAGCAGATACCGTTTTCAAGCGATCTTTCATGCGCCAGTCCTGGCTGGGCCAGCTTCCAATAGGATCTCTTGGAATGCCATCTGTCTCGTGGCGCTTCTCTGTGAAGTACATGTAGAAATTCTGCAAGAATCAGATTTGAACCGTAGAGAATGGTATTCCGCTCATGCTCACCGAATGTAGTATCTTAAGATACTCGGTGGAGGTATATTCTTCTTGCCATCCATGCCTCATGGCGAAATCCTCATCATCGTCGCTGATTGCCTTATTGGTCCCCAGCCTGTGACCCGAGTCACTTTTCGCCCTTTTCAGAGTTGGTTTCGGTCGTTCGACATCTGACAGATAGTCGGAAGGCAATCGGGAAGTAGTTTTCGAAATAACTGTTCCCTCTTCCGTGGAAGAGCTGGTGGGTCTGGCTGCCAGGGATTGGTTCTTCTCGACTGTGGAGAATGATCGCTGATGTGGAAGCGACGGAATAGGGGATTTGTCACGAGGTGGGATGTGTCTTTCCAACTCCGGCCCAAAAGCCACACGGGCTGATTTGCCTTGATTCTTGCGGGATTCACCATTGGCGTAAACCGTCTCTTGACTTGAGGGTTTACTTCCATCCATATTCAAACTGGGATCTTTCATAGTGTATAGTAGCTCATCGTATCAGGCTGGGGGAGGAGCGAACGAGAGTCGCCGAGGTGTGCGTGCGAGGGAAAGCTAGTGAGAGAGACCAACCCAAAATCGCCGGCGGAGGCAGTAAAAGCTTAAGTGAAGGTAGAAACGACCAGTTTTAGGGTCGGGTTGGGCGGGCAGTCAAGCAATATGCGCAACGCTATATTCAGTTTGTCAATACTAACAATAGAAAGACGTTATGCAGAGTGTACAACAGCTACCATACCAGAGCCGGAGGCTTTGCGGTGAGCAGTCTAGTCGTGGGGTTGCACTGCGCGAGAACGGACAGGAGTCGACAAGCCAGTACGAGAATAATCAAATTGGAAAAAAGATAAACACACCAAGAAGAGACCCTTGCAAACGACGATCACCACTTCTTCAACTCGCCAGAATCCCCAGCTTCGGGTGTGGAGGGAGCAGGCTGCAGAGATCTTCCACGTCTGGGCAGCATTGAAGTCGTCAGGATGCGAAGTCTTGGCATTTCTTTCCGGAACATCAGTAATCCCGACGGAAGCTTGAATGATTATGTAAGTATTTGATGATGTAAGCAGCACTCCTCCGTGAGGCTGGAAATGCAAAGCCCAGTTGTCTGCCAACCTAGCCGTATACGCCGTGCTCTATGCGCAAGACGTACAGCACAGCACAGCATGCATTGGGCATGGCTGGATTCACGATTCAAGGCAAAATCTTGATGCTAGTCAGGATAGTGGATCCGTCCCACACCCACACATTGTCGGGTACAACGGGTAAAACTAATATTATATGATCTGTATGTCTGCAGGCGCCAGGTGAGATTGCCTTCTCTATGCCAGGGGTACGTGCATCATATTTTTCCCTTCCTTTTCAGAAAGAAACAAGAAAAGAGAAGGAAATACGACCACTGATGACTTCCCAACACATTAGCTCTAAGTGTCCAGCGCTCCGCGCTTCCGTCGAACGCACTCGAAATACAGTTTTGGTAGACTGTGGCACTGGAATCCGACCGAGTGGCGCAGGTCCTAAAATATACGCGCTGCTGATAGGGCCAAAGCGTGCTCATCATCCCTTTTCCCCTGGCCCGTTCGCCCAGCTTAAAGAATCGTATCTGGTGTTGATTTGCCCAACCGTGGCCCCATCTACGGCCGTTGAAACCTGGGAACTCCAGAGTTCAAGGTCAGGTTGGAGCATCTTGGATACATATACGCTGGAGACTGTACAGCGTTAGGTGGGGTGTCTTGACAATACCACCCTATCCACGGATGTCATCTCCAGCAAATCATTCGTATACCTGAGTTTCGCGGGAGGAAACACCGACGAGATGGAAGGGAAGGGGAAGTCGAAATGCAGCATCACTTTTCTGACAGCTCAAGATGCCCCATCCCCTCATGCAGTAGTATCCCTGTTATCGCCAGACAACAACCACGAGCGACTTTTGCCGCATGTTCTGTGTGTACCTGTATACTGCACTCCGTAATAAGGCTAGAAAGACCACGCTGGATGTTATCATTATTACTTATGTTTATTATCTGTTAAAGATCGAAGATCAATTTCTGAAAAGGTTCAGCGCACGGAGGACTGCGTCCAGCGCTGGGAAATAAAAATCTGGACAATATTAAAGAGATGCAAGTGACAAATGCTGTTTGGGTGAATTATAGATTGCAGTAGATCTCCAGCCTGCTGTGGCGTTTTTCTGCGCTCTCCTTTCCCCTGGACTCTGCTCTCCCAGCTACCGCTATCACCGAACTTTGAAACGCCCGTGCCTCTCTCCGTAATTCGCTCCGGGTCAGATCCCTGGCTAATTCTGTCATCTTGACTCTCCTTGCACTCCTAGAATTTTTTTGTACCCTCGGACTCTTTTTCTTATTTTCGTTCCCGCCTATCCTCCTTCTAGGCTTGATTTCTCACTGTCTTTTCCCGCAAATCCATCCAGACTTGCGGTCGACTTTTGTGAAGTCTCCTCAGTAAGTACAGTCTCCTGGTTCGCAGACGACGCTGCTCACCCTACCCCAGCCGCACACCTCTGGTGACACCCATTTACCTTTTTCGTTCAATTTGCAGTGTGCATATTCCCTGAATGCTAACTTTTGCTCAGTGCATGCTAGACCAGCCTGTTTCTCGCGTCCTTAAGCTCTTCCTGCGAAGCCCGCGCTGGTTCCTGTCGCAGCCTCTCGAAGGGGTCGGGTCCAGCTTCCACCAGTTGCTTTCCTAGATACCCAGCTCCCGTGTCTTGTTCTGAACGACCCTTTATGATTTTGCTCTTATAATGGCTTTCCTGTTCAAGTCCAAGAAACACCAGCAAAATTCGCTACCGACATCCAAAAATGCTCATACGCCCGAAGGATTCCAGCACAATGCCCATGCTGCAATGCTCAATGGAGTGAAGGAGCGAGACGGGGCTCCCCAGACTCCGCCAACACCCCCCGGTAGCTACAATAATTCCTTGCCCAGCAGCTCAGGTAGTCAAGACCTTCAGCGGGTACGGCAAAGAGCTGAATCAGAGCCGCAGGTTCGTTTTCAACCCGTTCAATGCCTAAATCTTATTCATCTCCTTCTATTATCCCCTTAATTCTTGCTTTCCGGTCATCAATCTATCCTTATTAGTGCCTGCGGGAATCCACGAGACATTAACGACACCATAGGCTCAGCGTCAGCAGATGATGAACGGCAATGTCCCCAATTACAGCCCAAATTCTTCCCTATATCCATGGTCGCAGCGACGTCTAAATTTCGTCTCACCTCAAGGGAACCCATTCCCCCGCTATGGTGCAGCAATCAATGCCGTTGCCTCGAAAGAGGGTGATATCTACATGATGGGTGGGCTGATAGATGGTTCAACGGTCAAGGGAGATATCTGGAAGATTGAGAGTGGAAACCTCTCATGTGGTCCAATTGCTACCATTGCAGAAGGACCCGGGCCCAGAGTCGGACATGCAAGCCTGCTAGTTGGAAACGCTTTTATTGTGTTTGGTGGTGATACCAAAGTCGATGAAAACGACACACTGGATGATACTTTATACCTCTTGAATATCTGTACGTATCGTTCCAAGTTCGAATATACATTTTGCCTTGCTAATCCGTTTTTTCTCAGCCTCCCGCCAATGGTCGCGTGCACTACCTCCCACTCCTCGGCCCACTGGACGCTACGGCCATACATTGAATATACTGGGCTCCAAGCTCTACGTGTTCGGGGGACAGGTCGAAGGCTACTTCTTCAATGATTTGGTTGCTTTTGACTTGAACCAGCTTCAGAATCCTGCCAATAAATGGGAATTTCTCATTCGGAATAGTCACGAGGGCGGCCCGCCTCCAGGTCAGATACCACCAGCAAGAACGAACCATACAATGGTCACCTTCAATGACAAGCTATATTTGTATGGAGATTCCTTCCTTAGATCTAGTGTGAATTCTAACGATTGTAGGTTTGGAGGGACGAATGGCCTTGAATGGTTCAACGATGTCTGGTCCTACGACCCGCGCGCCAACTTGTGGACTCAGCTAGATTGCGTTGGCTACATACCTACCCGCCGGGAAGGACATGCGGCAACCCTCGTTAATGACGTTATGTATATATTTGGTGGCCGTACCGACGAGGGTGTCGACCTCGGCGATTTGGCAGCTTTTCGCATCACCACTCGACGGTGGTACTCATTCCAGAACATGGGCCCGGCTCCCTCTCCAAGGTCCGGACATAGCATGACCGCTTTTGGGAGGCAGATAATTGTCATGGCAGGCGAGCCAAGCTCTGCCCCCAGAGATCCTGTGGAGCTAAGCTTGGTATATGTTCTCGACACTGCCAAGATTCGATATCCCACCGAACAACCCAATGGAGAGAGAGGTCCAGCCGTCCGGAAAATGAGCGTGGATAAGTTTGGCCCCCCGACTGGCCGCACATCTCGACAGGCCCAAACCACGCCGCCAGATCAACAGCAACGACGAATGCAAGGCCCTTCACGGGAAAGCATAATTGGAGGCCCAGGTGGACGCCCAGCGGACATTGGACCAGGGCCGGGTTCAGGATCAAGACTTCCGAGAGCATCAATAGCGCAGACACCGTCCGGCCCTCCACCTCCTGTGCAAGCGCCCTCTCCTGGCCCTAGGGGACCCATAACCCAACCTGGAATGAACCCCAGAAGTAAAACACCGACAAGAATGGAGCGTGGAATTGCTTCTCCTGCAGATACAGTGCGGGCTGTGGCCCCAGAGAGGGGTAGAGAGTCACCGGTCGCGAAAGATTCTCCGAAAGATGTTAAGCCGGGTCACGAACAGAATTCTATGTCATCAATTCGTCCCCCTTCTTCCCAATCGAGGCTTGCTGCTAGGGCTATGGAGGCTGGTGAAGCAGCTCCATTGATTACACCAGCGCGGCAGCGCTCTTTGCGTCATCACCGGCAGCGTAGCTCCATGGATAGCGCGGATGATTCTATCAGTCGACGGACGAGCCTCGAGGGCTCGATCGAATCTCGGAGTTACAGGAATTCTAGATCCATTGGAGACGAACCTCGCTCTCCCAGACTAACCGCGCATCAAGAAGCCCTGATCAAGGAGCTCGAAGCCACCAAAAGCCGCAATGCCTGGTATGCATCAGAGCTGGCCCTGGCTAAGAAGGCAGGCTACACACCGAATCCTTCTAACATCCTTGATCTGGATGGCCGTGCAACAGACTCGCTGGCGGAGGATCATCGTCCCATAATCGAGGCGTTCCTTTCAATGAAAGCGGAGCTTGCAAAGATGCAGGCAACCGTGGACCGCCAAGCCGCAACTGCTTCTAAACGCATTGCAGAAGTTGAGTATCAAAGAGACGTTGCGCTTAGTGAGGCAGCTTATTCGCGAGCTAAACTAGCTGCTCATGGCGGATGTCTAGCGGGTACTCCACCCCCCGACAAGCCCTCTCATGACCTCAGTGAAGCGACATCTGAGCGTAACACAGATTTGAGTAGACGGCTAGCTTTAGCTCTTGCTTCCCAAACGGAGCTCAGGAGTAAAATGGAAGCAATATCCGGGGAGCTTCAGCAAGAGAAACGTGCACGAGAGCTAGCCGAAGAAACCAATGAGGCCACAAGGAAGCGTTTGGCGGAGCTGGAAATGCAGACTAATACATTGGAGATAGAAAGTCTGCGTGCGGAGCTACATAGGCTCGAGGCATCATCCAGGCAAGAGACGTTACTGCGTTCGGAAGCAGAGACTTCGGTGAAGCAATTGGCTATTGATAAGGAGGAATTGTTGCAGAAATTGGAAGACTCGTCCAGCCGTCTAAAAGACCATAACAATAACCTTGGCGCTCTCCGCGAGGCCGTTGCTGCCTCTGCAGCTAAAACCACTCTCATCGAAAAGCAGCTGGAAGAGGAGCGCGAGATTCGAGAGGGACTTGAGAGGAAATTATTACAGCTGAGGTCGGAGCATGAGGAACGAACTGCAGAGCTTGAAAACGTCACCCGTCGTCTCAGAGATGCGGAGAACCTCGCTGAGACCAATGCCAGGGAAGCGGAAACTCATAAAAATGCGTTCCTGTCCGGCCTTGACCGGGCGTCGTCATTCGACTCAGATAGCTCGATACGCTCCTTTGCCGATCAGCGTGTCAATGTCCTGGAAGCACAGGTTGAAAGGGCGAACGCCCTCGCAAAAGCTAACCAAACCGCAGCGGACGAATCTGTGGATAAGCTCCGTCGTGCAGAAGAAAGAATTGCGGGCCTAGAAGCATATCAGGAGCAGGCGAGCAGAGAAGGCCTTCAGCTTCGAAGGCAATTGCAGACCGCGATGAAAGAGAGCCAGTCGCTTGCTGCTGAGAACAGGGAACTCAAGTCGCAGATTGAAACTCAGCAGCGAGACAGTAGTGCCTTAGCTGCTCAACACTCTGCCTTGAAGGACCTTCTTGGTGAGCGTGGGGTTAGCGTTGTGGATAGCAGGCGGTCCCCAATGCTTGACTCTCCGGGGTCTCGTTATGGAACGCCTGAGCAAAATCGATTGCGCGAGCTGGAGCAGCAGCTTTCAGCCAGCATGAAGGCTCATGAGGAATTGAAGGCCACCTTTGAGTCTCGCGAGCAAGAAGCAGATCGCGCTTACAGAGAGAAATTGGAGCAACTGGAGACCGATTACCAGTCTGCGGTTCATTACGTCAAGGGCACAGAGAAGATGCTGAAGCGGATGAAGGATGAGCTCATGAGATACAAGACCCAGAATGCGAAGATCCAGTCCGAATTAGAGGCAGTACAACACGATATAGCGCAGCGGTCCGGTAATATCACAGAGGCTCCGGCCGATTGGGAAGCTGAACGGTCGACTCTTCAGAAGGCTGTTTCAGATCTCCAGCAAGAGATGGCATCGTCACTTGCAAATTTGGAACGACAGATTTCTAGTCTCAAAGAGGAGCTCGCTACTGCGAAAGCCGACAAGGATAAATATATGTCGCAGTACGAGAGCAGCAGAAAAGATCTCATCTCCATAACGGAGAGGAGCCGTGATGAACTGGAGCAGCTCAAACATGAGAATTCTCTGCTTGAGTCTCGTGCAATTGATGCTGAACAGAAAGTCAGTATGCTGCTAGATCAAGTTGAAACTTCTGTTGGAAACTATCGTCGTCAATCGCAGATCAACAGCATATCACGCACGCAAAGTAATGCATCGAGCAACACGATTGGTGGCACTATCAGCCATCCAGGAGCGGATAGCGCTGTCACCCACGACGACTCGTTTCTTGATAACCGTGGCTCCTTAGCCCTTGATTCTCTTGCGAGCGAGTTAGAGGCGTTGCGCAGCCACTGGGAGAATACCAATCGGGGTTACCGTTTGAGTAGCCAACTTGACCTCGATCGCACTCCGACAAGAGATACCATGGAGGGTAGTGGTCTGAGCGACAGCGTTGCTAACTGGCGGCGCAGGTTGGATGAGGAGGAAGCATCAAGAGCCGATTCCCCCACAGGTGGGAAATGATTTTTGAAGGTTGGAAAAGTCAGGCTGTATTTGTGGATGCATCGTGGGATGCATCCAACGATTGTGGAGCACTCGTTGCTGGCGGCCTGTCTTGATGTCGGTCACTTATTTTTGGGGACGGGCACATTTATTACCATTTGCTTGCTTGTTGATTCTATGATTTCTCTTCCTTTGCTTCTTCGCAGGACGGGTTAAGCATGCTATGTTCTTCATATATCCCTTATCTTCTCTTCACCTTCCCGTCTTTCTTTCAGTTCAGTGTTCTTTATTGCTATCTTCTCTTATTTCGCCCTTTTCGCCTCCCTCTTCAATACCCATTTTATTTTGTATTTCTTTCCCCCGACTTCTATTCTATCCACGACGGCTTTACGAAAAAATGGATATATCTCAGCGCGTGGCTATTATGTCATCATTCATTCTGCTGTCCATCTATCTTACAGTTTGTTCCTATTATCCTGTGATACTATCTTGTATGTACTTCTTCAACTGCAAAAATTATGCTCTTTTCACACGTTGGCCTTCTTTAGCTTGTTCCTGGCAAAGGAATGTAGTCGACAGGATTATGCTTCCATCCGGGGGTCCATCCCATGTCCATGTAGTTAACTGCATGGGCTCAAAGTTGACGGTGTGCAGATTGAGTACGAGCCTCATTCATCCATTGATTGATCATTTACATGTATCATTAAAACCTTGAAGTATACTCTATAGTAGCGTGAATTTGAAAGGGAATTTGAGCTGTTTATTTTGGCGTTCTGCAAGTTATTCAGGGTCTACTCTGTATATGTCGATGCAAGAATTAACGAACTACATATCTAGTAGCAGGATCTGGAGAAGTGGGACTGGATATTCGGAGTCCACTCTGTCCATAGCCCACCGACTATTAGTTCCTACCCACTAGTTGTCGCTGTGATCTGGAACGTGGGAGACCATCGAGGCTCCATAGCCTGTTCCAAGGCCGAGAGGCATTAATCCTTGCCTGGTCCAGACAAGGAAGCGAGTGAGCGCAATAGTATAATAACTCCGTATTATGGAGATATCATGGACATCATGGATATCGGTGCTGGTACATCTATCATCCGGAGGGAGCGTATGTAATGGGATTACAGTAATACGCGTACGGTGTACAGAATCTGAGGCATTTCCCGCATGCCGACTATTCCCGTTCCGGACAGGACGAGGATCCCTGATCAGACGGTGACGGTTTCAAAGAAAGAGAAAACTCCGTGGGCATCGAATGCCTACTTTTTTGCCACGTTGGATGGGGCCTTTCAAATCTTATTCTTCTGCGCAGACCCTGTGTTGTTTTTCTGATAAAGTGGTGATGAGTCTTGCTGGCTGCTTTGTTGCCAAGGTATTATGTATTATTCTTCCATCGTTGGGCGCTAGGCAGTATGTACCACTCCATGTGGTATCATGATGATTATTTATAGACTACCTAGTAGAGTGGCACTAGAGCACGAATGGAAGTAGTTTAATTAAGTAATAATACCAGCCATGATCTGTCCCTCCGAAATCTTGCTGCTCACCAGGAGTCTCCTGGTCGACGGGGGCCAATTGCGGCAGAAATACTCGGGATGCCAGTCGAGAATGAGGATCAGAATGACGGACGACGCTCCAGAACAGACACCAAATCCGGGAATCAACGATTAATTACTGTATCCAGGGAGGCATGATTACCGCCCAGCGATTGCAGCCCAACAAGCAGTGCAAATGCAACAATAATGTTTTAAATAGGAGGAGTAATGCCACTCGCTAAGCCTCTCCCCAGACCGCCTCACGCCCTTTTGCCTCCTTCTTATCTGCTTTTTCTTCTGGCCTTCCCCCCTTTCCGTTTCTCTTCCTCCCTTTCTCCCGCCACTATTTGATATCAAGGCGCCTACCCTTGATCTCATCGCTCGCCGCGTCTCCCCGGTTCTTTGTCTTCATCCCTTGAAGACCTCTTTTCCTTTTCTTTCTTTTCTTTTTTCAACCCTCTTCCCTTACCCACCCTTCTTTCCTCGGGCTGGTCGGGCTTAGACTCCCAGTCTCCGCCTTTTGCTTTCCACTTCGCCATCCCACCGGTTCTACGGTCGGCTCTTGAAACCGACATCACCGCTATCTCACTTCATCCACCCCCCTTTGAAAATTCTGTCATTGTCAATAAGGTTCGTTCCGTAGTCTACTGGGACTATCTTTCATCTTTCTATTCATTCCATAAACCCAGTGGATTAGGGGGAGTCCCGCCTAACATCTCACTCCGCTGTCGATTATCACCTGCCCTTAGCCTGATTGGGACACATTCACTGCTACAGCCACAGACCAGGAAGGCTGACTCCATTCACTCCTCTCCTTCCCATCTATATATATATCCATCCCTCTCTCTGTCTGCTACCCCTCTTTGATCTCCAGTCTTCTTCTTCTTTTTTTTTTGTTTTTTTTTTCTTTGCTCTTTCAGCCTGTCTCTGCCACCGTTCTTCCAGTTACGCCTTAGTCAACGCCCTGACCTGACCCCTCTTGCTGACAAACGTAACGGCTTAGGTTTCAAGTCAGCTTTACACGGCGGCTAGCTGTGTTCAACCAAATCCAAAATGACTACCATGGTAGGACCATCTATAATCTATCCGTCTTCTCACTTTCATGCCCCTCTGACGCGTATGTTACAGGACTTGCGTGTCGGTAACAAGTACCGTATTGGTCGTAAGATCGGAAGCGGCAGTTTCGGTGATATTTATCTCGGTAAGTGAAGCAAATTTCATTCCACAATGTAGCTTGCAGGCTGTCTGACAGAAGTATGTCTGAACAGGAACCAACATCATCTCCGGTGAGGAGATCGCCATCAAACTCGAGAGTGTCAAGGCCAAGCATCCTCAGCTTGAATACGAGGCCCGTGTCTACAAGTCCCTCGCTGGTGGCGTCGGTATCCCCTTCGTGCGCTGGTTCGGTACCGAATGTGATTACAATGCCATGGTCATCGACCTGCTCGGTCCCAGCTTGGAGGATCTCTTCAACTTCTGCAATCGGAAGTTCTCGATGAAGACTGTCCTCCTACTCGCTGACCAGCTTATCTCTCGTATCGAGTACATCCACGCCAAATCTTTCATTCACCGTGATATCAAGCCTGACAACTTCCTGATGGGTATCGGCAAGCGTGGAAACCAGGTCAATGTCATTGATTTCGGTCTCGCTAAGAAATACCGGGACCCAAAGACTCACTTCCACATCCCTTACCGTGAGAACAAGAACCTGACCGGAACTGCTCGCTACGCCAGTATCAATACCCACTTGGGCGTTGAACAGTCTCGTCGTGACGACATGGAGTCTCTGGGATACGTTATGCTTTACTTCTGCCGAGGCTCCCTTCCTTGGCAGGGCCTGAAGGCTGCTACTAAGAAGCAGAAGTATGACCGTATCATGGAGAAGAAGATGACGACCCCAACTGAGGTTCTGTGCCGCGGATTCCCCAACGAGTTCGCTATCTATTTGAACTACACCCGCTCCCTGCGTTTCGACGACAAGCCGGACTACTCCTACCTGCGGAAGATCTTCCGTGACCTGTTCGTCCGCGAGTCATTCCAGTATGACTACGTCTTCGACTGGACCGTCTACAAATACCAGAAGAATGCTGCCATGATCGTGGACGCGAACAAGAAGGATAAGGAGGCCGAGGAACAGCGACGTACTGCCAACGCTGGCGGTGCTATGGGAAATGCAGCTGCAGCTGCCGCTAAGCCTGGCGCTATTTCCAACCAACGTCGCAAAGTCATTGAGCGTGTCAACCTCGACACTCCTGACGCCACCCGTGGTGTAGGAGCGAGCGATAGGATGTGAGTATCTGAGACCTGAAGTTCCGCGTATGGAGCGCCACTTGTCCACCCTGCGTTTAGTGTTTGCGAGTGACGCTGGGCGTGGGGGGAAGTTTCCTTGATTCCAGAATCTGACTAATCTCATAGTCTTCGGCGTTAGGCTTCGTTCTGCTTCCAAGGCTGCTGCTGCTGGTGCCTATGCACCCGCTGGTGGCCGTTCGAAGCGGGACGATGGGACTGGTGCTCAGTGGTATTGATCGTGTAACATGGCAGTGTGGCTTCACTCTTAACAGTTTTGCTTTCCTGCGTGTTGGCACCAGTTGACATGGGAGCCTGGGACCGTTCTGATGCTAGTACATTCCGCAACGTGCAGCAGTTCTCTCGGGCTTCCTATTCCGGATCTCCATTCTTATTGCAATCTCTTTTAGCCGTTTATCCAGCTCTTGATCGCCATTCGATCTACACCGTTTCGGATCGTTAATTTTACACAAGTCGTCAGCTCGCCTGTCAGTTGTCTTTCTCGCTTTCAGTGGGAACTTTCTGACCGCCAATCGTGTCATCCCGAGTCTGCGAAGCTGTTTATGATTACAAGTATTACCATTTTATGCTGGTGGCGATTTCGAAACGTTTTCCTGTTGGCTGGCTATTCTGTTTTCTTTTCCGACTCCTGGTTAAAGCTATTCGGTTTGTGGTGCTCAACGCCTCCAAATAACCTGAGGTCGGAGAGAAGGAGATGCAAGTGGAGCCATCAGCTTTATTACGGGGCACATTTTCTCTGGCTATTGACAACGCTTTGCTGGAAATATTTGAATACGTGGCCCGTTTTGCTGTTTCTGTTCCCCCTGTTATTGCCTTTATGTTTTCTCTGTTGCTTTGCTTGTTCTTATTTGATTTTACCCTGCGATGTCTTGTTTTGACGACGCTGCTAGAAGGAGAGGAGCGAGAGGATGGGGTCGGAGAGTTGCATGGGTCGTGTTGTGTTGGAGGCGACAGTTTTCGGGAGCGGCCGCCTGGGTTTCTCTTTGCACGTGCTACGGTGACTGTACGCGAACGGATTATGTGGTTGAGAGCATGCAGGCACTTAAGTGAGCGCAGAGAGACGTCGGCATGCGAGTCCTCCGGCTGGGTAAATGGCGACGGAAAATGGCTAGGGTCGCTTCCGGGGTGGTATTGCGTCGATTTCGCGAGTTTTCTTCTTCATAATGCGTTGTCTTTTAGTGCTTTAGCTTACACACTCATCTCTTGTTGAGGGCTGGCGGGTCCAGAGTATCGATCCAAAATTGTAGCACGCAGGGCTCCTAGCAAGGGGCCTGCGCGAGTCCGGGATTTATCGCGACCAGACAGTTAGTTTTCATGCACACACCCCACGAATAATATGGGAGCATTGCCATTCTGTTCCTCGGCAGATAAAGTACAGTAGGGCGGTCCACGTGATGTGTCTAGACTCGGGTGGCAATGAACATCATCGACTCGCTGCAGACTTGGCGGAGGCCACCTCCTGGCCTTGGTGCTCTGTACGGAGGCAGATATTATTAATCTATTGACAATATCTCAATATTCTGTCTCAGTTTCAAGAAAAAAAAAATAATACCCAGGACTTGTTTTGTATTTCTACAAACTTGCTGTCGTGCGCATCGGACGTCTCTGCAGCTGAGTCTTGTCAAATTTGTCTCTGCACAGCCTCCGACTAAAACCCAACCGTCTCCCTGGCTCGAGAATCCCATAATAGAAGCATATTGATATACCCACCGCTAGTTGCTGCTAATCATTATCGCCTGAGATCCAAATTCCCCGAGACACTACTATCAGATATCATCCATCTGTGTCAGACCGTTCACCAGTCCAGCATCTCTGCTGCTCGCCTGCTTCTTCAATGGATTACTCTTTCTATCCCCCCAACGCTCTGGCCGAACCTTTCTCGCTGTACGGGATCTCGACACCGGACCCCCAGCCTTCTTCTCAGACACACCATTTTCGCAACCCATTTAACGATCCGGCATGTCTTCTTGTCTTCTCCTCTCCCCCCCAGTTTGGAGAATAACCAAAGAAGTGGCCATGATCTCTGCTTCTAACTTGTCCGCAGAATAACTACCACCACTCCGATCTTCACAGCCTGAGCCCCTCCTTTCCCCTGGACCCGGCAGCCTCTGCCTTCATCCCCCCAGCGCATTCCCCGGAGCCGTTCGCGCGATCCGTCTCCAGCAGTGATGTGGCGAATACAAACAATAATTCATCGACTCACCCGGCCTCCGATTTGAATGATGACATGCTTGCCGACCGGCGGAGCAGCAGTGAGGAAAAGGAGTCGTTGACCCCTGCGCAGAACCGGAGGAAGGCACAGAATAGAGCTGCGTAGGTTGACTTGATTCTCCTTCCCCCTTTTCTGCTCGAGTCAGATAACTGTTTTTTTTATAACCGTCACCACAGTCAACGAGCATTCCGCGAAAGAAAGGAGCGTCATGTCAGAGAACTCGAAGAAAAAGTCGCGAGTCTCGAACAAGCTTCGAAGACGTTGCAGGCTGATAACGAGCGTCTGAAGCAAGAGCTCACCCGATTCGCAACGGAGAATGAAATCCTCCGCGCTACCTCGAAGGCGGCTGCCCAATCCAACCATAATGACCATGCTCGAAGCCCTCTTGAGGAACCTGTACCTGGGCCGATGGAATATTCCCCAACAGACTTCTTCTCCCTTATCGCACCTGAGGGCGGACTGAACCCTCCGCACCGCGTTACCTTTGATGAGACAACGGGCGAGAAGCTCCTCAGTGCCGCTGCCACGTGGGATCTGATACAAAGTCACGAGCTGTTTAAGCGCGGCCTCGTAGATATCGGGGATATTTCTGAGCGGTTAAAGGGGTTGGCACAGTGTAATGGGCAGGGGCCTGCGTTTAAGGAAAGCCAGGTACGGCAGGCCATTCAGGCGAGTGTCGCTGGGGGGAGCGATGAGTTGATTTAAGGCCTTTTTCTTTTTCTTTTGATTTATCGCTTCGCTTTGTGCCACGTTCAGTTGTTCGCTGTTCACTGGTCAAAGTGTCGCTTGATCTAATCTGGTTTGGAGTACTTTGGCGCTCGAGGAGATTACGTATAACTCTGTAAATCGGAAAAGGAACGTGGGCATCTGCAAAGAATGGGTTACAGGATGAAGGGAAATTTTTTTGGTTGTTTTTTCTTGGTACAGATGCAATGCCCGGGGAGTTTATCAATGTTTGGAAGTTCGGTCTGGCAACTGCTAGCATATTCTTGCTGATCGTGCTGATTTTCTTGGTGACATTGTTGGTAACACATGCACTTCATTATAGTTTCATGTTTTACAAAATGAACATACGAGTATTCACTAACTGTCGCCTCTTTTGACACTTCCAAGTGACATCTCTTAATCCCAGTCGTCGTCGTCGTCATTATCTACCGTCGTCTTGGCTCCGGGCCGGGGTTCATCGTCAAAGGAATTAGAGCGCTTCTTAAGTCGCGAATCGCTCTCTTTCACAGCGCCCAGATCAACTAGGACCCTTTCAAGATCTGCAATTGGTAGCAGCGATTGTCAGCATCGTCAGGAACGTACGTTCTGGTCCTCTGAACCCTCCTAGTCGTTACAGCATAGGAAACGGGTTTCGAAATTTTTCGTCATAGCTTACCTTCAACCTTAGTCCTAACCCCATTCAACTCCCTGAGCGTAACAAACTGTCTCCTGATCTCCCCATCCTTGTAAACAAGAATCGTCGGCGTATTTCTATCGGGGTACCCCTCAATGCACATGTCACCACGAATCTCACAGAATTTTACATCCCCGAATTTAGCAGCAAGCTGTCTCCAGATATCTGACAGCACGCGCGACTCAGTATTCGTCCCTGTCGACGAGGTAAGGTTGACAAAGACGAATGCCTTGTTGGATGCCTCGGTGACTTCTCGCGCATAGTCGACTTTCTGGAGCGGGTAGACCTGATTGTAGATGGATGTGTTTTTGAGAGCAGAAAGTTCCGCGAAACGTTTTTGGCTGTTTTAATTTTTATCAATATAAATGCCCAGATGCATGTATGCTGCGTATGTTGTAACTTTTTGTCACAAGTTTTGGAATAAAAAACAAACCCACCGGTATTGTTCTAGGAATTCCTCATCCTCTTCATCTTCGAGTTCGGCTAGCTCGTCTAGATCTTTATCTTCTAGTCTGTTCTCGTAGGCTTTTCTTTCGGCTTCCAGCAGTGCCTCTTGGATGAGGGGTTCGGGGTCTTGTGGCTTTTCGGGGATGATGCCATGCTTGCGGAGGATGTCATTCCTGTATCATTCACAATGCGATGTAATGTGAGCAATGTAATAGGGATATAAAATTTCACTTGAGTATACGCCTGGGGTGATGGTGGTGGTGTTGCAGCTGTCGCAGGTGCCTTACCTACCATTCTGTGTCTTCGTTGGGGTTCACCTGGACTTCCATGGTTATATCTGGTAATGAGCGGTTGAACCAGAACCTAGTGGGGATATATATTGTTTATTTGATTATAGTGACAATATACTCTGTAGTATCTTGTGCAGATACCGACATCGCAGAGAATATAATCACCAGCAGCAAGTAACTAGTTACTAACAGTGATGTATGTAATAGGGAGATGTTTGCATTGTTTGCAACATGAGCCACACGTGGCGGAGCCCACAGACACGGGAAGGACACCTGGAGCGACTGTCAGGAAGGACAACCAAGAAATCCAATCCCTCGCACCGCAACAGGCGAGTTCTCCTGACACTATTCCGACGGTCATTGACGCCTCTCCAGAACTCAATTTTCTCGTGTCTCTCTTGCCACCCTTCTCTTTCAGCCGTCTGTGCAGCCTGCGGATGATGAAGGCGCGGTAATCCCATCCTCCCTGAAGCCCGTCCGTACTACCTACCCAACCCGCCCTGGTTGCTGAATCTGGAATCAGTTTGCGGGCCTCAACTGTCAATCAACCGGCCATTCCTCGTTAGTCTGCTCGCTTTCTTGATTGATACCAAGATTGAGACAACGATTTTTTGGCTGCCTGTGATATATATCAACTCTCCGGATCAAGATGAGTTACGTCAAAAAGGACGACGATGCGGATCAGTCTATGATCAAGCTCGACCGCACGTCTGTTTTTCAGGATGGTACGTGAGATTTCCAATGGCCCCCCTGCAAGATTAAGCTGCTGTTTGAGTTCAAATTTGCTGATCCCCGGTGGGTTTCTTGTGTCTTCGCAGCCCGATTGTTCAATTCCTCCCATATCTCCCCCCGAAGATGTCGCACTCTCCTGACCAAGATCGGGGTCCTCCTTTTCACCGGGGAGCAATTCCCGACAAATGAAGCGACCACGCTCTTCTTTGGTATTTCAAAGCTGTTCCAGAATAAGGACCCTTCTCTGCGTCAGATGGTCTATCTGATCCTGAAGGAGCTGTCAAGCACTGCCGAGGATGTGATTATGTCTACCAGTATCATTATGAAAGACACCGCTGTTGGTAGTGATGTTGTATACCGGGCGAACGCTATCCGGGCTCTTTGCCGTATTATCGATGTGAGCTACAATAAAACCCGTCCTCTGAGATTCCTTGTGTTTGTTGACAATTCGCTCTTTTCAAGGCCACAACCGTGCAAGGCATCGAGCGGCTCATCAAGACTGCCATCGTTGACAAGACACCTTCTGTCTCCTCAGCAGCCTTGGTATCCTCCTACCACCTTCTACCTATTGCGCGTGACGTCGTGCGCAGATGGCAAAGCGAAACCCAGGAGGCGGCATCCTCTTCAAAGCAGTCGACTGGTTTCCTAGGATTTGCGTCCAGTTCTCAGGCTCATGCCATCTCGCAATCGAACTATATGACTCAATATCACGCCATTGGACTTTTGTACCAGATGCGCTCGCATGACAGGATGGCCTTGGTCAAGATGGTACAGCAGTACGGAGCCGCAGGTGTTGTGAAAAGTCCTGCTGCCCTTGTCTTACTTGTTCGGTTAGCGGCCAAACTAGCAGATGAAGACCCCGGCCTTAGGAAGCCCATGATGCAATTGCTTGATGGCTGGCTCCGACATAAGCATGAAATGGTCAACTTCGAGGCTGCCAAGGCTGTATGCGAGCTAAGGGATGTAACAGACGCAGAAGCCTCTCAGGCTGTTCACGTCCTTCAACTTTCGCTCTCGTCCCCGCGTGCAATTAGCAAATTTGCGGCTATCAGAATCCTTCACAACTTTGCGACGTTCAAACCCCATATCGTCAATATCTGCAATCCCGATATCGAGGCTCTGATCTCGAATAGCAATCGCTCAATTGCAACTTTCGCCATCACCACCCTGCTCAAGACAGGGAACGAAGCCAGCGTTGACCGCCTGATGAAGCAAATCTCTGGGTTCATGGCCGATATCACGGATGAGTTCAAGATCACCATCGTCGAAGCCATTCGGACTTTGTGTCTAAAATTCCCGAGCAAGCAAGCTGGAATGCTTACTTTCTTGAGCGGTATTCTAAGGGATGAGGGCGGATATGAATTCAAGCGGAGTGTTGTCGAAAGCATGTTTGATCTGATTAAATTTGTTCCTGAAAGCAAGGAAGAAGGTACGTTCTACTATCCCCCCCTAACAGTTTCTCTATTTACTGATCAACTTAGCTCTTGCGCACCTCTGTGAATTCATCGAGGACTGCGAATTCACCAAGCTTTCCGTTAGAATATTGCATCTGCTTGGCGTTGAGGGCCCGAAGACTCCTCAACCTACTAAGTACATCCGCTATATTTACAACAGAGTCGTTTTGGAGAATTCCATTGTCCGTGCGGCTGCTGTGACTGCGCTGGCTAAGTTCGGTGTCGGCCAGAAGGACCCAGAGGTCAAATCTAGTATTTCTGTTCTCCTGACAAGGTGTCTTGATGATACGGATGATGAAGTCCGCGACCGTGCTGCTCTCAATCTCAGGTTAATGAAGGAAGAAGATGAGGTGGCCAATCGTTTCATCAGAACGGGTGAGGTTGACGTTTTTATATTCACTTATTCTTTGGTACGTTTTACTGACTGCAGTAGATTCTATGTTCTCTCTTCCTACATTTGAACATCAACTTGTCATGTACGTGACATCGACAGATAAATCGACATTCGCTGCAGCGTTCGACGTCTCTGAGATCCCCATTGTTACGCAAGAGCAGGCCCTGGCAGAGGAAAGGACGAAGAAACTTACGACTGCAACACCCACTCTCAAGGCCCCATCCGAAGCTCCGAAGAAGGCGAACGGCCTTGCCGAAGATACCACCGCAACAACAACCGAAAAATATGCCGAGCGGCTTATGCAAATCCCGGAGCTCAAGGCGTATGGAACTCTGCTCAAATCATCTTCTCCCGTTGAGCTTACCGAAAGTGAGACGGAATACGTTGTCACTGCTGTCAAGCATATCTTTAAGGAGCACACCGTTATACAGTATGATATCAAGAACACACTCCCAGATACCGTCCTTGAAGATGTAACCGTTGTGGCAAACCCGTCCGAGGAGGATGTTCTCGAGGAGGAATTTATCGTCCCTGCACCCAAGCTTACAACCAATGAGCCCGGTATTGTCTATGTCACTTTCAAGAACCTGGGTGGGGAGTTCAGCTTCCCCGTCACTTCATTTACCAATGCCCTGAAGTTCACCAGCAAGGAAATTGATCCTACAACTGGTGAACCCGAGGAAGGAGGATATGAAGACGAGTACCAGGTCGAAGACCTGGATCTCACTGGTAGTGATTACGTTATTCCGGCATTCGCTACCAGCTTCGATGAAGTTTGGGAGCAAACTGGCGAAGGAGAGGAAGCTAGTGAGACTCTGTTGTTGAGCAACATGAAAGGCATCTCAGGTATTTCATCCACTGCCCTTTTATCTTCTTTTCTTCCTCCTGACCTATATGCAGACGCTACTGAGCAACTGATTGCGACCCTCTCTCTACAACCTCTGGAGGGAAGTGAAATCGCCCTTAGCAACAGCACTCACACCATTAAGCTCTTCGGCAAGACAGTGTCAGGAGGCAAAGTTGTAGGCCTGATCAAGATGGCCTACTCGAGCAAGACAGGCGTCACGACCAAGATGACCTTCAGATCGGATGAAGAAGGCCTCGCCTCTGGTGTCCTTGCATCTGTGACTTAGATAATGCTTTTCCCTTCTTGTAAAACTGTATGTAGTGGTCCCAGCTCTTTTGCGCTTGATTTGCATGTCTTTTGTCCCCGCATGCGCAATTTCCCTACCAGCCGTTGAGAGTTGGGAGGAGTCTTGTTCCATTGTGTCTTTCTTTCACATTTTTCACTTTGACTTTTTACTCTTTCTAATGAAGTTATCAAGCTAGATGTGACGAATATTGTGTAGGCATCGAATGCAGCCTTTTTCTTTCTTTAATTCTTACTGCTTTTTACCTTGGACCTTGTCCGGCTTGTGTTATTACCAGTTCGCTCTCCTGCGATGGGGATTGGATTGGACTTGGATTGATTCCCAAGCTTTCTTATTTCCCAGAAGTTATTTCAAGAATAAAGGAACTGAAACTTTTCATTTATTTTATTTAGGAATAGGTGAAATTGCGTACTTGAATTGTTCCACTACGTTCATATCGAACATGTACACTTCAATGCAACAGCAATAATACATCTATCATGTACATGTAATATTTTGAATGTAGAATTCATTGTAAGCTAGGTACACGAAGAATTCCTTGAGAAGGAAGAGAACAGAGACAACGGCTTTGTGTACAAGGAAGGAAATAGGCGAGCTAGCAACAAACAGAACAAATGCAACAAATAGAGCAGGTAGAGTACTCAGGCGTCGGTCCTGAGTTTGCAATATGTAATGGATAGGCGCATGTATGGTCATATTACTAGGTAGGCCTGCCTGTGCCGTGAGATAGGTAGCGAGGGCGGTCTAGGACGGCAGTACCTCACGTGTACTAACAATATGTTGGGCGTAGCCCATGACACTTGTGGCTCACCTCTGATGAGGATATACTAGTTACTTCGGGCAGGTGGATTATCTAATAATCCGGTCTCGGGATCCGGAATATATATGTGCCGGGAGGAAAGGTGGTCATACCCGAGTATACTGGATCCTGTATATAAGAGCTCAAGCGAGCGATTAAGCGCATGGTTTAGAGCTTCACGATGTACTAGAGACGGCAGTATATCGATAAAGAGAGTTCACCACGGTCCCTACGAATCGTACGGTATCATTTTAGTATCTGGTATCCAGACGCCGCACCCCTGATCCACATCAACCTCCAACCCCCCTAACCTGGTCAATCACAAAATCCGGGAAACCCTTTTGAGCTTATACTTTTAAACTAATCGAATCATCCAGCATATTTTCGATAATGGTGTGCAACTTCTTCTAGACTGTATTTGCGTGGAGAGTGAGCTTCTCGTATTTAATATTGGTGTTCGTCTTGCACGTTTCCATCTGTTGAATGCTGTCGGATAACGAGGCTCACATCTTAGCCATCTTCTGTGACAACAGTACCTGAGGTATGACCGTCAGCATGTGATCCTAGCACATCTTAGAAGGTGTCAGCAGATTGAGCAAATAGGGCACAGGGCTAGGGCTGAGGGCAGGCAGCTGCCCTCACCTCCTATTTCCTTCCCACCATGTCTTTCACCTTTTTTCCTTTCCTTCTTCTTCTCCTCGTGTACAATATTCCTAGACAGAACAGCCAAATAGCGAGTTGCTTTCCTCTTCTCATCCTATTATAGCTGATCGTCACATCTTCTTCCTCATTTTCCAGATTTGTGCTTCAGATTGCAGCTTTTGTGTTGTTGTGGTCGCCCTGGCCCGTTCAAATTCCTCTTCTGCTTCCCGTCGCTTATGTTCCACGGTTTCAACCTGGTGTCTCTTTTCATCCATCTCATCGTCCTCATCCTTGTCATCGTACACTCCCGTCAGAAAACGGAAAATAATGCGATCTCTTGAGACATCCATACTGGCGTCTGCACAAGCATCGTCATACTTTCCTAAATCAAATCCCTCCAACGACCTTGCCAACGCATCATCCAATGAAGCATGCCCAGAAAGGTAGGCAATTTTGACCCCCAACGGCCATGTTAATGCCCCTTTCGTAGGGATAGCGTAATTGTCGCAGAATTGGAGGTACCTCTGCATCCGTAGTTCTCTGAAATTTGTATCCGGGGTCAATCCTGTGGTATAACCATTGGAAGACATAGTCGAAATCCTTCTGGGTAGGGGATCTCAACGTGTTCTGACTCAAAGGTGCTTCGTTTCGATTTCAACACTGATTCTCCTGGGTCATCGCTGTCTCCAAGTCTGAAAATGGTATGCCTGCTGCTCAATTTGGTTTCTGTTAATCCTACTTATCCATATGCTCTATATCAGGAAGAAAAACTACGCGTGCGTGACTTAAGGAAGAACATCTGTGGGTACAAGGAGGCAATTGAACAAGTTGAAAGAGGCTTGGGTGTTGATGGCTACGATTCGGACAGTTGCGCATGGTGGAGACAAAGGTCTGAATAGGGCCTCACTTGGGGAAATGCTTTCGAATAACCTTCGTGTTATGTTGTTGATCGGAGCAAAATAGATGAAACTAATCCACATCTGCAGAACGTCCATACTCACATTGTGCTCTATGTTTCGTTATTATGTTGAACCCGAAAATGTTCCCATAGTTTCGGCAGATGTCGTTCGAGTAGAGTAATTACGTGACTTGCGCTCCCAGATCCGGCAGTCATACTCACAGGCGCCATCATCCGCCGGAAGATAAAACGAGAATAGAAAGGAGCGGTTTCTGATTTCGATTGATTATTGTTCCCGTTCTGTTGAAGAACCTCATTGTTCATTCCCGGATCTCCCGAGACACGGGAAAGAATCAACATCATTGACTAGCTAGTTGGTAGTCATCCTCTTTCCTATTTGATGCTGTCCTCTCCTACAAGTGCACCTCACTATCCATCACTATGCGGGAATTGCGGCTGCCCCTTGGTGTTCGGGAAGGGGTCTATTTTGTAAAAGCCATTATACAATTTCATATTTGAACAGTTCATCCTCGTGTGACAGCCCGTCCGATCTTTCTCATCCCCAGGCACGATCTCCCGGGGCATTAAACACTTCTCCCATACAATACAATTGCACGTACGGATTCCCCCCAGACCGTTTCATAGCTGGACTAAGAACACCATCCCTTCCCTGCAATGCACCTGAGCCCATCCCGGCGTGTTCGTCCGACTTCCCGACGGTCAGTGGGCCAATTTGGGTGGCGGTTTCATTTTGAGAATTCACCGCTCTTGGCAAGCTCTGGAGTATCAGTAGATCTAGGGGGTCCGTTCATCTTGGTCACATTGGGGTCTCGCTAGAGGAACCTTCAGATACATTGCAATGTGTGTGAGGTTCAATATCGCCTACTGGGCCGTCCGTTTCTTTTCTGGGTGGCGACGTCAATAAAGCCTGAGAGGCCATTCTCAGGATAGTCTCTCGCTATTGCACAATTCAAGCATACCCATTTCACCGCTTACCGCTGATTGATTTCTGCCACGGTCCCATATCGTGGGGTTTGACCTGATCCATCCATTCTCTCAATTTTCTCGGTCTTCATCTGCTCGATATCTTCCTTTGTCCCCATCCGAAAGAAGAAATTTCTGAGAAGGCCGCGTGCTAGAGATGACAAAGTTTCTATGGGAAGTTTTTGAAATTTCAGTTTCCTCCCCTACCGTTCTGTGGTACTTGCAACTTGGTGGTTGATCACGTTAATGTAGGTAGAAGGTTAGTTATGCGGTCGCTGTGGGTCATCGATTGCGTTTATCGTAGATTACGGGTCCAACCTGTGGGTCAGCGCCTTGGCTTCAATGCAAAATAACGCTATCTTAACGCCTCCGATTCTGTCATACCACGGCGTTCACCTCATATTATTACGAGAACCGGCAGGGCAGACGGTTCAATGCGGACCGTTTCCAGCACCCCGCTAATGTAGGTATGAATCCTCCTTCGTTGGATAGCCCAAGTAAACAAAGTTGAGCTCCACTGCAACTTCGTGGTATGATGGACTAGTATGGAGATGGGGATTTATCTTATAACTCTGGCTTGGTGAAGTGCATTTCTCAGCGATTCTTAGTGGGATCATCATTCTGTATTATCGGCGGGATTAAATGGGAGACAACCGGTGAGCATTTGGTAGAGAACAACACCAAAGGACCACCAGTCAGCTGATGGAGCAACATAACGACCATCCTCTTGTATGGTTCGTAGCTCCGGGGCCAAATAATCATCGATATACTGCTGGTCGGATTTGTCGGTCTCACTGGGTGCATATTTTTCAGCACCGTGAGATGATGGAAATAGCGCCGATGCTACCATGGAGACTGAGCCATTCCTGTGTCATTTCTGAGTTTTCAGTGGGCAGAGGTTGGAATGCTGTTTTCCCAAGAAATGTATCTGTATTCACGTTGGTGCCATGAGCAACAGGCTGATACAGCCAAATCTGGAGCCCAGCTTGCCGCGTGACATCGAAGCTGTATGTGTAGCTCCGCATATACGAATCGTCTTCTTCCCCCGCCCAGACGGGAGATTCGTAAAGGCCGGGTATCGAGCATGAGAGATAATTTGGCTCTTGTCAAAGTCGACTATAGCGTATGGGTTGGGCCGTAGGGAAGGGCAAATCTCTGTATGCCTCTAATACCAACGCACATGTGACCCCCGGGCCTGCAATGACCCAGGAACTGCAATTTGGGTCTGTACCAGGCGCGGCAGTTCCCGGAGGAGGGACCAAGTACGCATTGGCGAGAGAAGAAAAGAGAATGACAAGTGCCGAGAGGGAAGGTACTACATGCAGCATGATGGTGGTAGGGATCTCACGTACCTAGCTGCAACCTTGGAAACCTGGAGATTTTGACATTGGAAAAAATTCAACTTTGGAAGCAATTCTTCATTCACTCTGGGGGGATCAGGGGGTATTCTCTGCTCTAAGGTTCGGCCCTTGCAGGTGTAAGCTTCGTATTTCCTACATGGAATAAGTACTGGCCTGATACTAGACTGATTCCAATGTTGCATCAAGATGCAATTGCTGTCTGCGCTAGCGTAGAATATGAGACTGTCGGAAGTAGTCCGCACTCTTCACTATAGACCCGAGGCTAAAGAGAATATCCATGCGATGTTACATCAAAATACTCGAAACCTGGTTGGTTCCAATGCTCAGTGTTGGTGTTGCGTCTTTGGCCATATTTTGTTTTCCTGCGCGGAACCATGATATTCATTCCGCGCTGGGAGGAGGTACAGCCCCCGGCTGGGCCTCCCAGCAGTGTTCAGTGATGCATCTTTAGCATGCAAATGATCATATGATTCCAAGTCAGCCTCATACAGCCCCTCTCAAGGTGAACACGGATTCCCACATACCCTAACTTAACGGCTGTTTGGGAGAGAGAGGGTGGATGCCTTGAACTAGATTTGGACGGGTGATTTTCAGTTGGCATTTCTATTCCGTACCACATACACTGTATCTATTCATACTATGGATGCAAATCTGCATTTTGATATTCCGTGTGGTCGGATTTCGTCTGCAGGCTACGCAACTCAAAACCTGCAATTAGATGTTGCTCCACAAACAACAACCTCATTAGTACCGTACTGCACTGTATTACGGAATGTAAAATTACTGCTGTTTGAAACACCCGGGTTCCATACCATCTGTCAATACGGGACTCGGCAATAGAAGGGGTTAATTAAGCACTAAAATTGCCCCAAGGCAGATGGGTCGGAACTACCTACCAATTGACACCAAGCTTCGCTTGGCTTCTCTAAGCTTTCTGGGCCCCGGGATGTCCCGAAGGTTAAAAAACCTAACGTCCCAGCAAAAGATTTCACTACGTTATCATGTATTATTCTCATGCTTCAAAGAACAATATATTCACCAACAAACTAAAATCATTCCTCAATGCTAAATCAGTCGAGAAGACAGTAGAACTTCGCAATGTAGCTAATCAAATCATCACCACTGTCCACACAGCCGCCTGTGGTAGTAACAACCGGACAGCTCACCTTTGAAGGCAGATCTGGGCAAGTCAAGGTTCCTTCCGTGGCCTTGGGGGCTGCTGGGTTCGAGTAAACACAGGAGGTGTAACCGTGGATCGCAGCCGTGAATGACCACGTTGCAGGGTAAGAATTCAGACCATCTTTCCCGGGCATGCTCATGGTGTACTCCTCGATTTTGTCACACTTCCATTTTCCTGGGTTAGGCAGCGTGTAATCGATAGCACCCCAGTAGTTAACAAAGGCGCCACCAAATGGAAATTCATCCAGAACTGCGTACCCTTCCACGCCCAGCGTAGTTGCGGGTGGAGCTGTGATAGTGGAGCTCTCGCTTGTAGTGCTGGTAGGTCCCGAGGTAGTTGTACTTGACATGGAAGTCGACATCGATGTCGTCGTAGTAGCAACCTCAGAGTACCAGATAGAGCTTAAGGAGGAGCTTAGGGCATCAAGGTCACTACTATCGTCTGTTGTAGTGGGAAAGCTACATCCGGTAAATCCAGCCCCGCCAGCAACTGTTTCCGTGCTCGAATCCGTTGAGATCGAGGTGGAAGTTGATGTGGTCGAATCGCTAGCAGAGCTGCTGCCATCTCCACCATCTCCTCCGCCGCCGCTGCCGCCGCCGCCACCGCTGCTATCGGTACCGAGGCCGGGGGGGCACAAGGGGCAGTTTGGATCACAGAAAGGCCAGCCTTTGCAAGATCAGTCACGTTCTTGACCGGAGGAGTTGACATGACATTCCAAATGCCATTACGAAGCAATACGATAGGAATATGATGAACTCACATGACGAGCCACGATCTGAAGTGCCGGTTGCACTGGGGTTGATAGTTTTGCCTGATGTCCATGATGTTGGTTTCGTGTTTAAACCTGGGTCCGTGGTTGAGACAACAGTTGTGGGATAAGGATGAGGCGTAATTGTGGTAGTGACAGGAGACAACGTTGTGCCACCAATCACTGTTGTTGAGCCCCCAAAGATGTCTGTCACAGGAGCAGAGTAATAACTATATGTTCCTCAGATGAATTCGGTCGAATTTTGCGTATAGGTTGTTGTGGCTCCACTGATTGTTGTGTTTCCTCCCACCACTCTGAAGGGAATTAGATAGCATAGGGAGAGATGAACTTACGGGGTGATAACAAGCGGGAATGGAGACGCTTTCACTTGTTAGAAAGGATCTCATCAACAAAACAATTCAATAGACTTACCAGGTGGGATTTCAATAATAGTCGGGAATGTAAAGCTATCTGGCTCGCCTGGATACTCCCAATCCCAGTCAACCCCGTCAATGTCGTATTCGTTCAAGAAATCCACGACATTAGAGACCAAGGTTGCTCGATTAGCGGGCTGCATCGCATCACGGAAGATCATGTATGTGTCTGGGCTGGTGGAGAAATCCCATCCACCAATAGAGATAATACGCTTGACACCACTGAGAGTAACAAAATCAGCCATTTGATCTTGTATGTTTGTGATGTTGATCGAGTAGTCGGCATTCAGAGTAGCAAATGCATAGTGAATGTGTGTGTATGCTGAAGTATTGACAGCTGTGATTGGCATATTCAGACATGGCCGTGACCAGTCAAACCCTCAAAGTATGCCACTTTGTACGTCTCGGATGGTATGTCTCCAGTGATAATATCGGTGCCGCAATTAGAAATACAACCGTTCGTTCCCTTCGCAGCAGTACCAGGGGCGCCTGTGGTGGAATTGGAGATGGTACAAAACTCTGCAGTTGTTCCACATTCACCCCAAATGTCGCAACAAGCGTTTAGCGGACACTCGTTGAATGTACTCAGATCTGAGCCTGCTGGAGCAGTGGCAGTGCCATTGACTTGCGGCCCGCAGACAGCATTTGCTACAGGCAGTGGCATCGGCGGGTAGCCCGAACTCAAGCATATCAAGTAACCAGCAAGAAGATCTGTACAGCCCATCCAGCCCCAGGTATCGGTGTTGTACTTTTCAATATCAGCCACGGTGATGCTGTAGTTGGCGGCTATAGAAGCGCATGTATCGCCGTTCTGGACAAGATGCTCGTAGCAGTATCCATCGGCTGCGGGTTGCGGGGGGTAGTCGGGCAAGCTACCCGGAGAACAACAAACATGTTGGCCTGCTGTCAAAGTCGAGCAGAGTGTGGAGCTGGGGTTGTACTCGGTAAACTCGGCGGCTGTGATACCGCATTCAGTGGCCAGGGAGGCGCAGGTATCCCCTGACGCCACCTGGACTGTGGTGCAGGTGCCTGAGCTGCGAGAGAGATGTTTTCTCTCATGAGATTTGGGCCTCTGGTCGCGCGCTTTGATGGTACCATTGCTGCGCCCTTTGCCCGATTAGCTGGTCGCTTGCTACTTACTAATGTATTTAAGTTTCGTTCTTACCGAAGTGGATGAAAAGAGTATTTCATCTGGTCGGATTGTCTGTACACGTAAATAGAGCCGCGTCCGTGTGAAGGGCAAAAAGCGGCATCGAACTCGTTTCTGATGAAGTAGGCAAATGAAATTACGATAGCTAGGGAAAGCGAAAATGCCTTTGAGAATCGGCGTTTTTGTTTTATTTCATCAAAATTAATTGTCAGCCAACGATATGGTGCAAAGAGCTGGCAAATCACTGGGATAGAAGCTGGAGGATATTATGCTTCTACTCTGCGATGCGGATGATGGGGAATCGAAGTTCGGGTTATGGAAGGTTGATGAGGTTTATATACCACAAATCTTGTCTCTTCCATCTACTTCTCTAGTCTTCGGCAGCTGAGATTGGGATTTGTTTGCTTTAAAAACAAAGGGATCAAGCGTCTCGACTTTCACATATAGCAAGTATAGCGCCGAAGACGCTCGCAGCAGCGACAATGGTTGCAGGTGTATGGCCACAGATGTACCCACTGGCATCAGAATGGCTTTGTCAAGGCTTGTGCAAGGCTCATGCAAGGCTCGTGCGCCAGGTACTGTTTTAATGGAGGTGGATCGTTGGTTGGTAACTAGCTAGATAGGCCTACGAGGTGAAAAGGGTCAGCGAGGGCGGACCTATGCGGCAGAATAACACGTGATCCAACAGTTTGCAACATGTTTGCACGCCGCCGCATTGGGGCACCGATCGTGCACAATTCCACCTTCCAGGCACAGGTATTACTGCGTGCAATAGGTCGACTTGGCATACATATATAATAGAATATACTATTAGTTATATAGATTTGCCTTGTCAGCATTATCGCTATCATTTCTTTTCTGTTAGGTCCCTCGAAACAGGATTTTTAACAGGATCGTCTTTCTCCAAATCAATCAACTGGACCTGGAGAGTAGACGCAACCTTGCTCATTCCGCGAATATCAAACAGCTGCTTGCTCTCGTCCGGCAATTCATCCACGTTGACATGCAACCTGTGGAATGCCACAGGTAGAATAGATGACTTCCACGGTTTCCGAGGGTAAGAGTCCCGACACGCCATTAGCGACTGTTGAATAACCCACAATGAAAAAGTGATGGCTGAAGAAAGCAATGCAAATGCCACCGACAACCAGCTCCAGGAAATGTGAATACAGGTCTGTGATTGCCACACGGTGCCTTTCACAGGAACACTGTTGGACGCGTCGCCTCGCTGCCGCATAGTCATGGTCATGGAACTGGCGAGACTCTCAATATATGCTGTCGCTGAGGACAAGTTGACAGTTCCCTCTGCGTAAAGCTGCTGGAGCCACAGATCACCCTCGGTGGCATCGGGCCTGTCGTACGGGGACGTCAAATTTCGGCCCCCGAAGAAGTTGGGCAGGTATTGGGCGATAGCCCAGACGGAAGCACCGGAGAAATACCAGACGCATTCGGGCGGATAGTAGTAGATGGTGCTGTTAACTGCCTTGCCGCCACTGGTCAATCTGGTTTCGTCGTAGTAGACGTCAGTTCCATTGTATTCGAAGGTCGGGATGGTGTTGTTGCCCTCTCGTTGGGGTGAGCGCATGCAGCTCTCCGTCGACGGAGTCGATGGATAGTTCCCCGCGAGGGAATAACTCTGATCCAACGCGTTGAAGGTCAACGGTTTAGATGATACAACGGACTCATTCAGAATGTTGTTAGAAATGTCGGCACTGTAGAACTGGATACATGGGAACAGGGAGAAGTGGACTGCCCACGGTTTATGGCCCGTGGTGAACATCAAGGCGTCAAAGTCAAAGCTCAGCCCGTAGAATCCAGGTGTTGATAACATTACCCCCTCTCCTATCTGCGCTCCAGGGATCTGCCAGACAGCTTCATGAGAAACTGACGTGTACCTCTGGCCAGGTGAAGGCCCTGTTTGGTTGTAAATATACGTTATATTATAAAACTTTATCGATGATGAGATGTCCTGGGCGCTGGAACATATTGCAAGGGATGCAAAACTAACGCCCGTGACGGTCTGTGGAAATGTGCAATTGCCTGTTGCGCAGGTGAAGGGGGTACTGCTGGGTTTGTTTGGGTTAATTAGTGCCTGGTACATGGCTGCTGCCATGGGCGCATCCAGCCCTACATCAACTGTACGCAGATGCATGCCTGCTGCTGTGTAGTTGTTGGTGCGCGGAATCAGGGCTACTTCTCTGGGGACGGCATCCACGCAGTTATAGTATTGAATGATTTCTTGCGTGATTGGGTCGATAGCCAGCAATGCGACAATGATGCATGCACCAGCTATGGCTGCTGGGCTGCTCAAGAGTTAGCAGCAGTTCCCAACGGAAACATTTGAGGGGTTCGTGGCCAAACCTTCTCGGCCCAGTAAAAAGGAGCTTCAAAGATCCAACAGCTCCCCGGCTTGCTTCTTCTAGTCGGTCGAGATCCCTCAAGCTGTTTGGCCGACGGAACCACACCCACCTCACTTCCCCAAGTCCTATTCGATTTATTCCGTTAGCAGAAAGATACTTCGTTTATTGATGAATATCAAGTTTCACCTTCTACCACCGGAAATAAGACTAGAGCGTGAAAAATTGACAAGAAGATGGACAGGAGGGTGTTGACAGAAATGAAATGTGGCCATTGTGGCAATGGCTGGTCTTGATAGACCATAACGACAATGATGATAGCCATCAGTGTGACCGCCGCCGCTGCATAGCTGAGGAACTCTGGCCACCAGCAGCTTACAACTTTGACGGGCGACAGCCCGAGAGAGCCGCTGGAGAGCCGCTGGACAGTCGATTCAAAAGTTCAGCTTGTGCTTCGCGAACTTCACCTTCTCTCACTGCTGAGTCTGCATGGCCAGACTTCTCATGTTCCATAGGGACTGGAGGAGTCTGTGATGTGTAGGGGTATTCCATTTCTTCGATGACCAGTCGTTTGTTGCTTGTATAACTAAGAAAGAGAATCCTTTGGGGTTGAAGACCACGTCAAAGAATATGGGAGAAGAGGACCTTAAAAGGCCATTTCGACGCATACTGAGGATCCATCGTGACTGTTCGAACTTATTGCAGTCATAATGGAAGTCTCCTGATAATTTGCCGCTCCTGGCGAACTGCCAGCGGCTATTGCATCTATAGCGAATCGTCTATGAGCAGCTACCGCTGTGTTTGAACTTACCTCAGGTTTGCTTCGGATTTGCATATGCTTGCAACCTGAGTCGCAGAATTATATGAAGACTACTGCAGAAATAAAAATAACTCACATGTTACAGGGGTTGGTTACAAGGTTGTCGAGACGCTGAAATCTAGCCGCTGCCTCTGAGAAGCGCTCACGGCCAATAATTGTAATGCAGCCGAAGTGCACACTTCCTGTCAGCGGTGATCATCGTATGTGCAGTCAATCGTTTTGTAGGATCCTGGCGCTTACTAGTTGAATTCAAGACGGGGACGGAGGGGCTAGTATCCGATCACGAAGGGAGCAAGCAAAGAGCCGCGCCGCCTCCTGAATCATTTGCGGACGATCCATCATCATCAGACAGGATTCGAGTCTTGCAAGGTATTGGAAGGGATGAGAAGTAAATGAAACACTAGGCTGTAGTTATGTGCGTAGTTTGGTGGGCTTCTGGTGATATTGTGTAGCTACCAGCTAGGACACCCACCGGAATATATATTCCGCGACCACCACCCACCTAACTAAAATCAGTCTTTCTCCACCAATTGGGGTCGTATCCATATGTGATGGTATAGGAAGATAGAGAATCGAATAGAGAATCTATTTAATCCATTTGTACATGTATTACCGTCTGGTATACCTACCCCTTGTAGCTGGAACGGCTTGCATCCGCCTAGGAATGACCAGACATCGGGCTACTAAAGCAGCTGCGCCAGCCGCTATTTGAACTGATAACGCGCGGCCTTGGCTGATATATCCTTATCAGGAGGCAAAGCATAAATCATCCCAAGGGAAAATGATAGAGATGCTTTAGCCGGCCTGCCATGAATTACCGCATCTTGATATTTGGAAGCCAAGTACATAGATGAGTTGTTAGGCCTGGTTTAATCTGTACATCCTCCGCACATTCACGTGTATCTAGGACCTAGTCGATATGGCAGGGTTCAGCAACCTCAGTGATCTCTACTGCTAACAAATCTGCTTCGCTACCGCATCTTGTGCATGTAGCGCGCTGTCCTTAAACTGTGTTTACACAACCGCCTTCAATTCTATTATTGCTATTGTGCTGAAGTACGCCTCCTTCGAATGGACTGGGTAGACTTGAGTGCCTTGTTTGCCAAAAGCGTTGAGCCAGGGCGAACTGGCGAATGCAAAAAGAGGACAGCGGATCTGTAACTGTGAAAGATGCATATGTTAGGTCAACATTGTCATGGATTACCCACTCTGTCTGGATTTGCCCAGTTATCATGTTAACCGGGCAAACTGAATCCTTTTTGCACAGGTCATTCATGGAGGGTGGAAGTTGGGGGAAGGGGCTGTAATTTACAGTTGAACACTTTAGTGCAGTGGAGGGATACACAGCATGATAAGGTGTTATTGAGGTTGCTCAGGTCCGCCTGCCTAGGTCAATATCAACTCTACAGTTCCTGCCATTTTTGCTAAATCGATTTGTGCTAGGCTTCCAGTTCCCTTTCAGATCAAGCGATACTCCGGCCAGGCTAAGCCTGTTTTAACGCAGTTCAAAACTCTGTGATCTTAGCGGTGTAATTATACAAGATGGGTGTCACAGAACTCAACTAGACGATGAATAGGATGCTATTCAGCTATCTAGGCAGCTATCGACGAGAACTTCAAGCATGGAGAGGAGGGAAAAAGGAAGAGATCTACGTGAAGCTGGACGACGTATTCCTATCCACGCACCACGCTAATCCAAATAAGGAAACTCACGTGCTCGTCCTGGTCTATAATGGATAGGCGCATGTATGGTCATATTACTAGGTAGGCCTGCCTGTGCCGTGAGATAGGTAGCGAGGGCGGTCTAGGACGGCAGAACCTCACGTGTACTAACAGTCTACATGGTAAGGGCCCTGACAATGGGAGCAATGGAATGTATATACTAGATGAGAAAATAAAGAAGTGGGAAGCCTACAATTGCACAAAAGATAAAAGTCTACTAGGGTATTACGGTATGTCCCAAACAGCAAAGCCTGAGTAGGCTAGGATCAGTCGAGCTGTTGAGAGATCTCCTTTGCGAACAGGCCCCACCTCGCCACGATTTAATTGAGGTCGCACGTTTTACCCGCCCTAATCCTCAAATTCTGTCACATAAACTGTGGCATTTCTGGACAGTCCGTGCGGTAACTTCTGACTGCTAAAACTGTGCAGCATACCGCGGGCTTAGGCGCCCTACGGAAAGGATGGTCTGTTTATTTCCTACAAAGTATGGCATGTCGTCCGGTCAAGTAGCCGTAATAGCCGCACGGCAACCCTTCCCCGCAGATAGATCAACCGCACAGTGGTGTTGAATATCCCAGTGGCTGTACGTCTGATAGCGGTGTGGGTCTGTGCATATACATGTATAATAGCACCTATCCCTCTTAGAACAATAATGATAACAACTTCATACCTCTGAACTTCTTGAATACCTACTACAACAGGTGGCTTGGTTAAAAAAAGGTTGTAGAATCACAAGGGTGGGTACAACTAACTTCAAAAAACTGGCCCCAGGCTGGAATAGTAGCAGCAATGAACCTGGGAGACAGATTACCGCTACATATATGAATTCCTTGGGCTAACTCAATGGAGTGCTGCCTCGCCCAGCTCAACTCAGCTCGATAGCCCGCTTGCTGAGCGAGACTTTCCAAACCCAAAGCCGAGAGCGAAGGGCATCTTCGGGTCTTGTCGCGGACAGACAAAGCCAGTCGAGAACATCGTCCTCAGCCCTATTGTTAAGAGACCTATTGTTAAGAGAATCGACGGCATGTCTCTCCAAAATAGTTTTACCATAGGCAATGTTGCTCACGGCCATGATACCTGGAGCCGAGGCCTCTAACTGTCGTAAAAGGGCTTCATGATCTAGTTTGTGGTCCATGAAGTCGGTCCAAGCATCATTCTTGATGTCATGAATCTCCTGCAGCTGCTGCAGTCCCTTCAGTTCTATTTCTGAGGTGGAGAACAGCAGCATACCGATAACAGCTTAACTCGTTGTTTGCCTTCATCTTCTTCGGAAGAATCTCAACATGCTCAATGCGGCGAGGGAACCGACTGCGCAGGCTGGTGAAAAAGGCTGGATCAATAAGCAGCTCCAACTCTGCTTGTCCCATTTCTTCCATGTCCTCTCGAACCTTCTCCTTACTTGCCTCTGCCTCTACCCGGTAGAGCGCTTTGCTCACCAAGAACTCTTTTTGAAGAGCATAGGATTTTATGTCGCCAAAGAATATTGTTTGGATGCTCTCAAGCTGAAGGATGCCTTCTACGACCTCAAAGAGGTAGTCCAGGTTCGGGAAGTACTAAGTGGCCGAGTTGATTACGACAACATCGGGAGAAGCTGATCCCATTAGATGCAGGTCGGTTGCTGAGCCTTGGTATACGTGCACCTTATCTGCCAACTCAGGGATCGACCTTGCCGTCGCAGTAACGAATTTGACGGCGGTGCGCGATAGTTCAGGGCCAAGTAGGAACGCAAATTCTTGGCCATGCTGAAGAGTATCATTCCAGAGCCTGTTCAAGCTCAAGAAGGTCGAAAAAATTACCGCCGCGACAGTTCAGGATCGTTGCGATTGTATCGCCAAGCCACTCGTTCATTCTCCTCGTTATCCAAAGGGTTCTCTTTGTATGCTAAAACCCAACCGGTGAAGTCCCGTCCGATGGCTTCGGGATGCACATTGCTGTCGATAGCAGCGTATATACTTCTATCAAAAACAGCCTCCCACAACTGTACCCGCTGGGTTTCGTGTTCGTTCCCGGGTTGTCCAAGGCTCTCAATCTGGCCGTTGACATAGTTTGTATTGTATGCTGCAAGTTGAGTGAGCGTCGGCTCTACAGTAGCTTGCGCTCATAGTAATGCAGTTAGATGACATACCCAAGGTGCGATTGCCCTCACTGGCCTCTCTCTCCCCGGATGGGTTCTTTATTAGTGAGGTAACCAAATTCGGTACTCGTCTCCTGCGGCATGCAGTACGGAACTCTTTTGCCAAGATCCTTCCTCGTGTCGTAGCAGCCTGGAGCTGTTTGGGCAGGACGGAGTTCGAAATGAGATTTTCAATGGTGCCTTACATATCCAAACATCTTGTCCGGAAGAAAACAAGTGGCTCTTTGCAATTGATGTCCCCAGACGCCCTGACTCAGGCTTTTCTGAGATCGCATTCGTTTGGGAAGGCATCGCACGTGCTTTTGCCGCATGCTCATCAGCATGCTCTACCGCTTCAGTTTGATCTGGGCAGCAGTGCTGCTGCTTCACGTTGCGTCTTGCAGTCGTTGAGTACTATTTGGAGGCCATCATGATGGCTCCTAGCCCTTCCAAGCCCGTCGTGGCTCGGATGCCAATTCAACTGCGATGCGAATCACCCCCTTTCCCGATACCTGATTTTGACATCAAACCACATTCTCGACAACCTTACACGATTGTCTCCCATCGTCTGATTCCTGGTGTAGAAATGACCAAAATCCCACTGGGACGAAAAGTTGGCAAGGTGCTAGGTTTTTCCAGAGCTCCGCGTCTTACGTTCCGCTTAGAACTCAGTATAGCTTCGGTTCTTCAGAAAGGCAATCCGTACCACGTCCCATTCGAGATGCGAGCTATACCGCAATGGGTGGATACGAGCGAACGCGTCGTAAAGCTTCCCCTGATCATTGGCAGAAATAAATTCGCTCTTGCTGTCAGATCGACCTTGAGTATCATGGCCTTCGCTGCTGGTGCCGTGGGGCCAGTCACAGTTGTGCGCGAGAACCACTTCACGACAAAACTCATCTTGGCAGACTATTCCTCATCCCATGCTAGTCCTTTGATCTTGCCAAGCCATCATGAAGTAGCCACACTCCATAACCGAAGCACAAGGCCCAAGCCCTTCTCAATAAACTTGTCTGTACTAAATTACAATTCAGACTCACCGGTCCGAGTGACCAGACTCCATTGTGTCTTCTCCATCCATCTCAACTGGACTCGATGGGGTCGGAGAGCCAGAGATCTGCAGTGAAGACAGGAGTCTTCCCTTTGCTTTTGAAAGGAGCTCTGTGAAGTATAGATCAGGAGGACATATTTCAAGTAATACTCCAAACTTATGCAGTTCCATTAACTGGTCGACCAGCTGTTTACCCTTGCTGTAGAGGTTCGTCTTTTGCCTGTGGAGCGTTGCTGATGCATCTTGCTTTGTTCAAATGTGAGCTAATCGTCCATTTATCTGCTGGTAAAATCTTACATCCTTTTCAGCTCCAATTCTAGGCGCTGAAGTTTTCTGGTGCTTCCATTCGACTGAAGCTGGTTCCTTTCTCTTCCTCCCATTTTCATTATCATTGGGCGTCCGTTCTGGGACGGCATGGCTGTGATTAACGGTACTGCTATTGCTCTGGAAACTTTTGAGCCACTGTTTAAGGGCCAGATGGAAAGTACCTACTTTGACAGTCGACTCCCACAAGGGTAGTGGAAATTGGGCCCCAGATTGGTGACTTCCAGGCATGCTCGCACAATCCACATATGATGGACATTGGCCGTGTGTTAAGGGACCCATAGATAATAGCTTGGAATCTGGCTCCAGAGAGGTACCACAATACAGTCTGGAGCCGCCATATTGCTACCCCAAGATGTTGCTGCACAATGGAAAGCGTCTTCTGGGTGATACAAGTTAACCCCTGAATTCAACTGTGCGTGATTGCCGCTTTGAGCTTGTGATGACACATGGGCTAGATCTTGTGTTGGTTTGGAAGAATAATATCTGTTCGCTTTGGATTTCTCGCCTGGACAAAGAGAAAGCTTGGCTACTTTTTAGCCCATCTTTTCCCCCGCCTGCCAGGGCAGCAACAACAAGGAGAAAGCAAAGAAGTGCGAGAAACTGTAAAAGGGTGCCATACGAAATCTGTGTTGTGCAGCCCGATTTTGCGCTTTCCTACGTGGTTCGACCTCGCACCGTTCTCTGGATTCCATGCCTTCACCTGCTCTATCTCTAAGAGTTGTATCAGGCTCACCCACACTGGTCTGCCTAACAATACCGTAGATATAGATCAAGTGATCTTTCAAATCTGGCAACTGCGCACGAATGTTCAGCATGGGTTTGATGCACTCAATGAGACTGATAATTTGGAAAATTTCCAGCAATGGGTGGTATGTACTTGACATACCCAGACTCCCATTTGGACATAAACAGACCTTTCAGTCATGGACAGGACAGTGATATGGAGTCAGTTGCTTAGTCCGCGGTGTGTCAGTAACTAGTTATTATTACCTCGATGAGCCCTCTCCAGTTGTTCCTCCAAGAACACCCGAATCCTTATTCGAAGGCAATTTTACCGGTGGGGATGGGCCGCTGATACATTGCAGCCTCTACTCCGTAACTGATACAGTAGTACTGCTATTGTACTCCGTGGGGACTCCACTACTACCGGGCGTACTCTTATAGTATCTTCAACAGCAAACCAATCACATACCAAGCCCATTTTGATATACATGCTGTGATCCTGCACGGGGTGGGACGGCCAATTGAGATGTACTACCGCGGCAAATCAGACGCGGGTAGATTGCAAATTAGGTTTGTCGCCCAGGCAGACGGTGGAGTAGAGTGTCATAAGCAATCCAACCCGAACCCGCACAGTACGGGTTTGGGTTAAAAATTCGGGTTGATGTGAGGTCTAGTCAGGGGTGGAGTAGCGCGGATACTAGACAGATAGCTATAGAATACGAGGAGGAATGCGCGCAAGAAGCACCAAGAGTGCGCGTAGTAAATGTAGGCTAACCGCTGGTTGATTGATTGATTGATTGATTATTATTATTTAACATCTAAGGGTAGGCACGTGCTATGCACGTGCCGGAGGTTCCGGGACGGAACATACGGCGGCCGAAGCTAACTCGGCTGGCTAGGGGAAGTGAAGGTGAGGTTAGTCAGTGTGGAAAGCTGATTTCTGCAGCCAATCTGCGAATAGTCGGGCACCCTCCTTGGTGCTCAGGGTGTTTGGCAGCCTTCTGGGCTTGTCTGCAATAGTAGAAGTGGGTGGGTCCATCAACTGGGTCGATCTCACATCTATACCTTATTAAGCCTTTCTGGCCCCTTCACCCTTACCAAGAAAACATTGAGACCGCGCGGCATCTTGGTAAGCTTGCATATGGTGGAGACCGCGTTTGAAGAGGGGCGGAAAATAAGCGGAACATCCCACAGGGATAGGACAAAATCAGTCTGGGATTCGGTTCGGTCCGGAACCAAATGGAACGTAATTAGGGCTAAACCCCACTCTATCTTCCTAATTTGGAAAGGGTATGCAACATAACTAGGTCCTTGCCTGCTTAGGAAGGTAGGGTGGAGTCTAGCCCTAATTAGGTTCCATTTGGTTCCACCTTTTGGTTCCGGTTCCAAAAGTTGAACCGAACCGGAAAACACTAGACGAAATAGAGTTCGTCATGCAGAGGAAATAACTAGGAAAAAAAGGAGAAGAACACAAAATGGAGACACGACAGCAGTGGCGACGGGATTCCGAGGAAACCACGACGACGGGTGCAACTGTCCTCACCGCATCTCGCGGAATCTCCAAGTCCAATTCTTGTTAACAATGGCTGCAACATGCGCTGGACCTCCACTAGCAAATGGTCTCCAGCCCTTGTCGTGTTTGCGATGCGCCCACCGCAAAGTGCGCTGTGACCGCGTGGCCCCTTGCAACAATTGCATCAAACACAATGCCGCCTGTGAATTTCCCCTGCCCAAAAGTGAGAAGCGCCGGCGTAGAAAGATGGTCATAGCATCGCCGCCCCAGAAGAAGCTGCGGTCGAGAACCCTGAGTGCGGGTGTGGAATCTCCCTCAGGATCGCTTCAAGGAAGAGCCACCGATTCTCCTCAGTGTGCCCCGAACCCACCACGGGAAAGAGCGGACATTGCTGCTGGCCCTGACAGCCACCTAGTTGTTTTTGGAAACCAGAGTCGCTATTTCGAAGGGGAGCTATGGACGAAAATAGGAAGGGAGGTAAGAATCGTCCCGTTTCAATAGCACCGACGCGGTCAAAGGCGAGTACTAAGGATCGAAGTAGCTTGATGCCGGTTCGATATTTCCCCATTCCGACTCGGAGCAAGAAGAAGAAAAGGAGGAGAAAATTCATAATGAGGACAAGGACAGATTCACATTCAATACGGGGACTGGCTACAGGGCCAGTGGCCTTCCTTTAGGCCTTTTGCGAGAGAGATTTTCATTGAAAACGCCCTATCCCAATCCAGAGCACTTTCGTCAATTGTGGCAAATATATCTCTCCAACGTGCATCCCGTCACCATGATTCTCCACGCTCCATCGGCAAGCGAGACACTGGCGGAAGCTGTCAAAGGTCATGGTCACGCGCCCAAAGAGACCGAGGCCCTTCTCTTTGCGACAATGGCATGTGCGCTCGTCTCAATCACTGACGCCGCCTGCATGCGGCTGCTTGGCGAGAAGAGATCGGTCCTTCTGTCGATGTATCTCCATGGTTGTGAGAGAGCTTTGGCGAGAGCCAATCTTCTCATATCCTGCAACCTGGGCGTGCTCCAAGCATATATGCTCTACCTGGTGAGTTTCGTACCCAAGTCAAAGGGTTTGCGCTCGCTGCTGAATGAACCAAAATGGGAAATAGGTGGCGATTGGTCCACACGTAGACCCCAGCGAAGTGTGGAATCTGACGGGGATTGCCAAGCGGAATGCCCAGAGATTGGGCTTACACCAAAAGATATCAACCGCGGAACTCACCCCTTTTGAAGTAGAGATGCGCCGCAGACTGTGGTCTCAGATTGTCATGCAGGACACCATTTCTGCCCAGAGTGTTGGGTTGCACTGGCCGAATCCCGACTGCGAAATGACCGCGCCGAGCAACGTCAACGACGCAGATCTATCTCCGCACATGAAGGATCCTCCCAAGAGCCGCGTGGGGCCAACAGATATGATATTTGTCAACCTGCTTTACAGGGTTATGGATTTCATGGGCCAAGTCAATTGCGGGAAAAGGCCATGGGCTCCTCCGGCAGTGGAAACGCGGAGGTCTGCCGTCAATCAACTCTACCGTGCGGAGCGAGAGAAGGCGGTTGCAGATATGGAGGAGGAGTTGGAGCTGGAAGTCCTCCGCTACTGCGACATGTTGAATCCGGTGCACTTCTACACAGTGATTGTGGCGCGTCTGACCTTGTGCAAAATGCGGTATAAGATGTTGCAATCATGCCAGTGTGGCAAGGACAGGGTTGATTATACCGAAAAGAACAGAGAAGAAATTTTCTCGGCGGCGCTGAAGGTACTGGAGTACGAGAACAAATGGAGCAACCAAATATCAATCCAGGGCTTCCTGTGGCACGGGCATCAGCATTTCGCATGGCCCTGCCTGATACACATATTGGAAGATTTGAGAACACATCCACATGAAGAGCAAGCCGACAAGGCCTGGGAGCAGATCCGTATTTTCTACGATATCCGGCCAGATCTATATCAGAGTTCACAGAGCAGACTGGGTCCCCTCTACAGCGGAATCAACAAGATGGCCGTCGAGGCATGGCAAATTCGAGAGACTCAGGCGTCCGAGAGTGGCCACACTTTGGCGTCCCCAGCATATATCACGGTCCTGCGACAGCAAAAACATAGCGCCAAGCTCACAAGAGATGCCGAAAAGTCACATTATCCTTCCCCCGTTAGCGTCTTACAGGCGACTAGAGAGCAGGCCACAAGCCAGGGACTGCTATCTATGAGTTGCAACTTTGAACAAGAATCGGCGTGTTGGCCTGCTTGGACTGGTTCCACGCTCCCAGCATCTAACCTGGCATCTAATCCGCCAGGCAACTGTGTGAACTTGTTGGAGCCAATTTTCGACCAGGAGATTTTCATGTCAGTAGGGGGTCACAACAGCAATAGAATTTATCAGCCTCAGATCCTCATGCCGCCTCTGGATCAGTATACAACAGGCGGCCGAGGTGTTCTCTAGATGAGAGGACATCGGTCAGGCCCGCTGAGAGGCATTATGAATGAAACAATGCTTGATTCGCCACCGGCTCGATAGATCTGGATAATTCCTATGGTCGAAGAAAGATATGAGCCGTGTTATCACAAACCAAAGAAGGCGAAGCAAAATGAAAAAGAAAAGGGAATACATCGACAAATAGAAGTATGTACCGTGAGTCATTCGAAATTGTAATGAGAGGCCCTAAAGAGCAAAGTCCACATGTCGCAACCTTGTGTTGTGCATGTATGTTTGATAGCCGGGCAGTAGGTTAGTGTGACGACCCGTTCCTAGTGGCCGCCAGGTCCGACTCCGGATCCTGTAAATAGGAAGGAGCGAGCTTGAGCAAGCGATTAAGCGCATTAATTAGAGCCTCATAATGTATAGAGACGGCAGTATATAGGTATAGAGCGTTCACCATGATCCCTATGAATCCTACGGTATCCTTTTAGTATTTGATATCCAGACGCCGCATCCCTGATCCACATCAGGGTTAGCAGCATCACGTGCCATGCACGTGATGCTGCCTATTTATATAATGGAGGTATATCGTTGGTTGGTTACTAGCTAGATAGGCCTACGTGGTGGAAAGGGCCAGCGAGGGCGGACCTATACGGCAGATTCCCACGTGATCCAACATATTTGGACGTTGACTGATGGATTGATCTAGTGGAGTGCGCGGTCGCGGATTTGCAAGACGTGGTGTGGTCTCCCAATTCCTTCGACCAGCTCCAGATTCCCAAGGACACCAAACACCTCCTAGTATCTGTAGCCAGCTCTCGCTTACGCTCTCGTAATGAGCCTACCTTTGATGACTTCCTAGCGCGGGAAGGACGTGGGCTCAATGTCCTCCTGTAGTATGTGATGCAGATTACCCAGACTGATAGCTGCTAACAAGTCATAGTGGTCAACCGGGCGTGGGAAAGACATTCACTGTCAAGGCAACATCTGAACGCTTTGGCATCCCCCTCTATTCGGTAAGAAGACCAATCCTTAAGTCTTACAGAGAGCTGACAATTTAGATCTCGGCGGGGGAATTGATCGCCGACCATGGTGACCCTCTTCAGCTTGACCAGGCCCTGGGTCGAATCGTCAGGATTGCTCATCATTTTAATGCGATGCTGCTTCTCGACGAAGCCGATGTGTTTATGGAATCACGGTCTGCGTCTAACGCATCTTACAATCGCCTAGTGACGATCTTCCTTCGCAAGCTGGAGTATTATGAGGGAATCCTTAATATTTCCTCGGCGGTTGTTTCCTAGTCATTCAGTGATCACGGGACCCAAACTGACCGTATTCGGTTTCACTTCAACAGCTCTCGGAGCCTCGGGGAATAACTCACCACAACCGTCAGGAGCTCGACCACCTTTCCCCTCGACCATCACTCCATTACTGGGACTTGTGCTTCCCATGAGTTCCAACTCTATAAATAAGATAAGAGGCCATTTACGGCTCTCCCTCTCGTGTCTTCCGTCCGAAAAAGAAGTCTACTTCCAGGAATCCTCGTTCTTTGTTCGGTATGGAATCGAGAAACTCCCGTCCCCGGGGAAGATTCGATCACTTCAGAAGACATCCTATTTGGGAGACCCTCCTCCGATGCGATTTCCAGAAACAGGGCTTCTGGTGAAGTTTGGCCACGGTATTAGCGTTGCTGAAGGCCAGTGTTTATGGGCAATACGACGGCTCCTTCGAAACAGTGTTCCGGTACCCGAGCTATATGGGTGGATAGAAGATGGAGACGAGACGTTTATCTACATGGAATTAATTGACGGTGACACACTGCAAGAGCGATGGGATTCACTGTCAGGTCGTGACCGAGCGCGGTTATGTGAAGAACTCCGCGATATAATCACGTCTTTGCGTCGACTTGAGCAATCACCAAGTGAGAAGTTTATCGGTAGGTATCATCCGGTGATCATAGTATCTTACAACTCAGTCGTTTAACTTTCATTCAGGACGAGTGGGTGGCCAGCCACTTTCTGACGTGACTTTTTCCGGCGTTGAAGCCGGCCCCTTTCCGGCAGTGAAGGATTTTAATGACTGGTTCTCTGCATTACCGAAGCAAGGATTTACTGGTGCTACTTTCGATGATCCTTTTCGTTCGCGTCTTGCGGATGATGTACCAGTATGCTTTACGCATGGTGATCTCCATCCCAGCAATATCCTAATTACGTCCAGCGGGACTCCTCATATTCTGGCCCTTGTGGATTTTCATCAATCCGGCTGGTTGCCAGCCTATTGGGAATACTGCAAGGCTCTCTTGACTTGTTGCATTGGAGATGAGTGGGAGACACTCTACATTCCTATGTTTCTGGAACCATACCCGGATTGTTTCAAGGCTTACTCTTTCTACGCTGGTGCTCTTGGTTGCTAAGGGAGAGAAACAAGTTAATTGATGTATTGTTCTCTAGACACTGCTTGACTGGCTTAAGCTATCCATCCGTCCGTTACCACTTCAGATCTTCGGGGCACGGTTCAGCTCGACGATTGCCGACTGTGGCAAGAGTCCCTCGCCCACTAACTTTTCGACATAGTCCTGAAGCCAATGTTGACAGTTCTTACCCTAGAATTGGTCAGTTCACTATCTCCTGTTCATCGGACCGTACCAGCCTTTCCGCATTGGGGTTTAACGGTGATGGGCTGACTCCCGGGGGTTGGACCAATTTTGCCCGCGCCTCCAAGATATCATGCTCTGGGTGTCCGTAGTAACGCTGTTTCCTATCACATCCTGAATGTGGTTGTTGCTCACTTGACCGAGAGGGATTTTCTGGAAACGTCGGTTTGTCTTCGAGTTTGTATCCGGTGAATGGAGAGCCGACAACATGGATAACTTTCCCTTTTACCACACTGTTGGCCTCCGGAATGAATATGGACCAATGCGCCGGCGTGTTACGCTGTGGGAAAACGAGCAGGTAGATTTCACGAGACATAATTGCGATTCGAATAAGGAAAACAAGATATGCCAGTGGAGTGGCGCTGTTGTTTTCACCGGAGGACTTCACAGTGCTTTTATATCCTCATATCCTCACAGCGAAGGCAGAAAGCTATCTCAATTCCATGCGGTAGGGGATGCCACACCAAGGAAGAATTCATTGCGCTGGGAGTCACACGCTGGATATCCAATCATTAGCAGCTGGTATTCGTGACCAGTGTTGCATACGGTCGGGAAAGCGCCGCTCATGTTTTACTACAGACGTTGTTGTCTCACTCAACGCCGTAGATCCAAGCATATATACCCTTGATCAGGGATTGTAATATCTTTACTCTTATTGCTGCATTGATTGGCAGACAGGTGATCAAAACCTCTTTCGTGTGTTTCCCATTTAAGTGCCGATATTCGAGGGCGACTCGCTCTCACCTATTGACGGGCAGAAAATTATCAAATCATGAAACACCTTGTTTTTGTGGCTTTATTGATTAACAGATAGCCAGACAGGTGCTTATAACCACATCAATCCAGCATTGGTCACGGAAACCCTCCCTTCAACGAGTTATGTACTTCCTTTCAGCGCCCATATGCTCTCCTCAACACCTGTTTTTATTGCGCGTATCGCCGACCATGTTCGAAACATATTGCCTGTGCGATCTGAACAATGTCGATTGGTGTTGACAGAAACGTAGGCAAGCGCCGTGTCTTCAATCTTCAGACAGTTGTCTCACCCTGGTGCTTCCAAGAAAGACTGCGTCTTGTCCTTGGCAGTGGGCGGGCTGAGCGGAATTGCACCTGGAGTGAATACAATGCAATTTCAGGTTCAGTTAGAGAGCATGGGTAGGTGAAATGACGGAAGGGCTATCGAAGGCAGAAACAATATGAGAACGGATTGGATTATTCCGATCGAGAACTGGAATCCCCGATCGAGCTTCGATGCTGCAGTGACCTACATATTTCCACCTGGAGTAGCCGTATCTGGGTATCATGGAGACTTTTCGGTTCCCTGGTCTTAGTCCTACTGCGTCTATGGTACTAAATATGATTGCAAAGCTCCCTAGGCTTAGGGGTTTAGCAATTGATTTGACTACTAATTCAACTACCAATTCGTCTGCTGATTCGTCTGCTAATTAGTCTATTAATTCAGCACCTTATACGGTCTATACGGATAATTATTTTGCTACAGTGCCCCTTTTCAAAGAACTGCGAGATCTACAATGTGGAGCTTGTGGTACTACACGACCTAGGGGTGGGATACCTACTCAACTTATTGAGCTAAAGGACCATATCAAGTCTATTCCATGGGGAACCTTATATGCATCTGAAGCTCAGGGAGTCCTCTGTCTCGCTTGGCAGGATAATAATATAGTACTTCTACTATCTACGACCCATTCGCCAGATACCTTTATTCCTACCGAGCGGAAGCGGCCATCGGCAACCTCCACGAATGCAGCTATTGCGCGTGCCCCCTTTCGCGATGAAGGTAAGAAGGAATTAAAGATCCCTATTGCTATCGACGACTATAACCATCATATGGGTGGGGTAGATATAGCAAATCAGTATAGGGCTTCCTATGAGATCCATCGTAAGGGCGATCGCAATTGGTTTCCTATTCTTTACTTCTTCCTCGATGCCGCGATTATTAATGCCTTTCGCACTCAATATATCCATAAGCAGCAGCAGCAGCCACCTACTGAGCTACCTAGTCCAACTAGGTTTTCGCGAGAAGCTCTGCCAGGAACTCTTTGCCTTTGCTGACACAGCAAATATTGTCCCACCAAAACCGCAGCCAGAACCAGGTTATCACCATCGAATTCAACTAAGTGGGCAGCGGGCTTGTGTATTGGTGTCAGTATAAGAGAAAGAAGGGTGAAATAAAGGCTCTACAAGCTTTACGATCAAGATCTGGATGCTTAGAATGTGGTAATGTGGTTCTATGCGTGAAAGGTCAGTGTTGGGATGAGTTCCATAGTTCTAATTAATTACACTAATACCTCTGATTACTGAAATGTAACGCGACTAGCCAATAATAACGCGTTTTGTTGTATGCGCTAAAAAACCACGCTAATTGTGCTGGTGCGGACGGACGAGGAGATACTCCATTATACCTGAGTATGGTGGAGTATATAGATCATAAGACTGTTATACACAAAAGATTTATGCACGGAGCACAGAACGGTCTAGTATTTTCACCGATCTTTCTACAACTAGACCGTAGTGCTCGACTGAAGCAGTTAAGCGACCTAGGAAAGTTTTTAAGAGTTCATTATATAGTGGGTCAAAAGCCATCCTCCACCGCGTTCACAACCATTCTAGAAACTCGGGTGTAAAATAACTGAGGATTGCATCCGCCCCAGATCGGACGATGATCTCGGTAGACTCGAACGCCATGTCTTTCAGGTCAAACACCCCGGCGCGGGCCGCGGCATGGATCATCGCAAATTCACCCGATACCTGCATGGCGACGACGGGCACGGTGGACACGTTTTTGGCATCGCTGATGATATCTGGGTAGGCAGGCTTGATCATGATCATATCGGCGCCCTCGTGCATATCGCGCAAGATGGCCTTGCGGGCCAGGGTCCGAGCCGGCGGCGGCAGCAGGTAGCGTTTGCGGTCGCCAAATGCAGGCGCAGAGGAAGCAGCTTCCCGGAAGGGGCCATAGAGGCAGCTGGCATATTTGGCCGAGTAGGACATGATGGCAACCTTGCTCTCGAGACGGTGCTGTAGGAGCTTGAGCTTGATCGCGCGGATGCGACCGTCGCTCATGTCCGACGGCGCGACGCAGTGCACGCCTGCGCGAGCAAACGACAATGCGATATCCGACACGCGCTCTACTGATGCCTCGTTGTCGACGGACCCGTCCTCGAACGTCACGGCGCAGTGGCCGTGGTGGGTATATTCGCACAGACTGACATCCGCGATCACATACAGCTCTGGAAAGGCCTGCCGAATCTGGGGGATGGCGGGCATGATGGGGCCATCGGGGCTGTCAGCCATCGAACCGGAGGCATCCTTTTGGTCGTTGCTGGGTGGAGAGCCAAACAAGATGACGGAGTGTAGCCCCTTCGCCACGAGCGTTGCGAGGAATGGGAGCAGCTTGTTGATGCCCCGGCGGTACTGGTTGGGAAGACTGGTGATCGGCTCTTCGAGGTCGGGATCGGCAGAGAGGAAGACGGGGTAGATAAACATGGACTGTTGTTGTTTTTCTTTGAGCATAAGCACATCTATCAATCAATCGGTGTATGCATCTGTCTATTGTCGAGGCTCTCTCCGCCGGAAAAGGCACGAGCCGAGGATATTCACCTTGTGTAATTGCCGTTCAGCCTGCCACATGGCCGACACTGTGTGGTTGTAGCCACTCTTCAGCTGGCTGGCAATGCTGGCTGTGCCATCTCGGGGCCATGGAGAATCGGTGGTGACGGTCATGATGTGGGTGAGTGCAGGGAGGGATGTGATACGGGAGTTGTCTCACCAGGGAGACATTCCAGGAAGGAATCGCATTACTTATTTACTTCGAAAACTTCACGGCACACTTGGTGGATGGTACTATGGGACTTGGACCTATACAGAGTACATCGGCTCAAGGGCGCTAACTACCCACGAACCCGCAAGAAGCCATGAGGCTGTACTTTACGGAATAACAGCTGAAATACAGCTTATTACACATATGATTTTATGAAATATGGTATATGTTACATGTATCCAAATTTCTTGGCGGGTTTTGGGTCAAGGGTCGAAACCCAGCCGGCGATTTTGGCGAGGTCTAGCGCTCACTAACTTGGTGGATGGTGATGGTGGATCGCATTTGGCAGCCCATCTCACGTCTTAGCGCCCCGAGACCCGTCGTTTTTCTTCACCCAAGTGACTATCTTTCCTAGTTTGACCTCAGTCGATTTTCGGACCGTCCGAACGGCGCTCGGAGCGGGCGTCTGGGTGTGAGATCCCCGAGCGTCGGCCCCAACGGCTGGGGATCATACTGTACACGCACGAGGCAGCCGTATCACCATTGTCGTTGCCTTGCATGGCGATCATGTACCAATCATGGGTTGATATACAGCCAGCTCGCAGACTTCCTCACGACTGCCTCTTTTGCCCCATTACCGACGCTCTCCCGCCGAACGGAACGGAAGAGGTTCGACCAAGACCTTCCCTAGCATGGCATCGGATCTCGAGACAACTAGTGTAGTGGTCGTCGGGGCAGGCCTATCCGGCCTCCAAGCCGCACGCTCGCTTCAAGACGCGGGTTTTGCCACGGTGGTCCTGGAAGCCCGGTCGCGTGTTGGCGGAAAGACATGGAGCATTCCAGCCGGCCCAGATGGCCGCGGCGTGGCAGACTTGGGCGCCGAGTGGCTCAACGATACTACTCAGCCTCATGTGTACCAACTCGCCAAGTCCCTCGGCCTCGAATTCACGGGGGTTAAGGCGGAGGGCGACGCGATCCTGCAGCTGAACGGCGATAGACTGGATCACTCTGTTATCAGACATCCGTACGGCGAGCAAGCCCCGGTAAGTTGGGGGACCAAAGACAGTGTCAGATGGGATGAAGAGTAGTCGACAGAGAGATGATGCTGATCGACGCTGGTAGCTGCCTGGTAACGAGGATCAGGTCGTTCATCGTATGAAGGAGCTGTTCGAGGAGGAATACAGTAAGATCGACCTGACGAGGTGCCACGAATGCGACCACGATGATATCACGCTTGAAGACTTTGTTCGCAGTCGCGGAGGGAGCCCGGCCGCGCTAGCGACCGTCGCCGTGTGGACACGAGTCATGCTGGGCTGCGAGCCCGGCGAGCTGAGTGCGGCGTCATTCTTTGTCTACTGCCAGAGTCAGGGTGGACTGATGAAGATGAGGTCGGGGCAAGTTCAGGGGAGATATCTCACCGTCAGAACAGGCACCCAATCGATCGCGGAGGCGCTGGCAGCAACCCTATCACCGGGAAGTGTCAGGCTCGACACGGCGGTCAGATCGATCGTGCAGAGCTCGAATGGTGTGGTCGTTCGCACCACGGCTGGACACGTCTTCCGAGCCCGGAAGGTCATCGTGGCATTCTCTACCCCGTTGTACAGCAAGGTCAACTTCGATCCCCCATTGCCTGAGGGAAAGGCGCTTCTAGCGAACTCCACTGTTTTGGGATACTATACCAAGGTCATGGTCTCCTATAGTAGGCCATGGTGGAAAGACAAGGGTCTCAGCGGTGCCTCGCAGTCGTTCGTGGGACCTGCAGCCGCGACTCGAGATACCAGTGACTACTCCTGCTCGCATTTCCGCCTGACAAGCTTCATTGCTGGTCAACCCGGACGAGAATGGTCTCAATTACCTGCGGCTGAGAGGAAGGCAACGGTCTTGCGGCAATTGGCCCACTTGTTCAATAGCGACACTGCCCACCAACCGACTGAGTATATCGAGCAGCAATGGTCGTCCGAGGAATGGAGCATGGGTTGTCCATGTCCCTATACCCCTCCCGGACTGCTAGGAAAGGCGGCTGAATTTCTCATCGAGCCTCATGGACATGTACATTTTGTGGGCACCGAGACGGCAGTGAAGTGGAAGGGCTACATGGAAGGGGCGTTAACAGCGGGGATCAGAGGAGCAGCGGAGGTGACAAACCTGCTCAAGGGCGTGGCAACTTGAACATGCTGCATGGGACAAACACTTCTTTCAAGGGCTCGAGAACAAATACAGGGTACAAATTAATGAACTTATTGTGAGGCCAATTGAAACGAAAGACTATATTATTATAACCACGTTTTTCTTAGATGTGGTGGAAGGCATTATTCTGCCGGTGACTTCCGTACACGTGAACTCGGAACTTCCATCTCCAACTGCAGCGAGTTTTACCACTCTAGCCGTGCAAAGTTCAATCATCTTGCCTTATGCTCCAGGCGTTGCCCCAGCAGCTTGGATATCATCTCTGTGCTCCGTATCGAGAATGGCGTCGAAGGGCCGGGGATCAGTAGCATCCTTTGGCACACCAGCAGCGAATGCCTCCAAACCCAGCTGGGCGTCGGTCCACAGTGGCTCCGTGGCCTGACGATCCTGGCCCACCCCAAGAAACCCTCCCTGAGCAGCCCAGTCGCTTTCCCGGCGGATACTCAGTGCGGTCCAGACCGCATCCAGAGCAGCCACCAATTGCTCACGATATTCCTGCACATGGCCCGGGGTAGGAGTGATGCGCAGCCTCTCCTCGCCGACCGCTACGGTGGGATAGTTGATCGCCTGCACATAGATACCCCAATCCTCGAGCAGCATGTCCGAAGCCTGCTTAGCTACCTCTGCGTTGCCGACTAGAACAGGGATGATATGGGATGGATTCGGGATGACGGGAATTCCCTTCGCTTGGAGAGCGGCCTTCGTCATGCGGGTGTGCAACTGCTGCAGATGCCGGTCTCCATTGTTGGCCATCTGATATTCAACGGAGGCCTGAGCCCCCGCCATGGTCGCCGGTGGAAGGGAGGTAGTGAAAATAAACCCGGGGGCCAGCGACCGAATTGTATCAACCATCCGCGCCGAGCCGGCAATATAACCCCCAACGCACCCATAAGCCTTGCCGAGGGTGCCAGTGATGATGTCAACTCGATCCATAACAGTTTTTCGAGAGCAAGGCATCGTTCCTGCGTGTATTTCATAGTCCAGATGCTCGGCAACACCGGCACCGTGAGGTCCATATAAGCCGACGGCGTGAACCTCGTCGAGGAAGGTGATCGCACCATACCTGTCGGCCAGGTCGCAGATTTGCTCGATGGGACCGATAGAGCCACACATACTGTAGACACTTTCGAAAGCGATAATTTTGGGAGTATGCAAAGGAAGCGAAGCCAACTTGGCTTCAAGATCCGCCAGATCGTTATGCCGGAAGATCATCTTTCTGGCGCCTGAATGGCGGATACCTTGAATCATCGATGCATGATTGCTGCTGTCCGAGAGAATGACACAGTCCGGCAACTTGCTGCCAAGGGTGGCCAGCGTGGCATCGTTGGCGACATAACACGAAGAAAACACCAGGGCGGCTTCCTTCTTATGCAGACGAGCAAGGGTCTCTTCGAGCTTGACGGCATGCTGATTGTGGCCAGAGATGTTCCGGGTGCCTCCTGCACCCGCACCGTATGTGTCAAGGGTTTCATGCATCTTCTGCAGGACATGGCGGTTCCTGCTCATCCCAAGGTAGTCATTGGAGCACCAGACGGTCACTTTTCGTTCCTCGGGGGCTGCCATATGGGCGCAAGGAAAATCCCGTGCCAATCGGTTGATATTGTTGAAATAGCGATAGGACTTGTCCTCCTTCTTCGTGTCCAACTCACGCTGGTAAAAGGCTTCATAGTCAAATGCACCCTGGCAATCCAGTCCGGCTTGAGAGTGTTTCAGGCGGGTGTGAGGTGCGCGGGAATGATACGCGCGAGAAGTCTCCAAACTCCCGGATGCTTGTTGACCGGCCCTCGCACTCTGCACAGCCAACGCTTTTTCCATGACCGGACAGTGACTGGCAATGGCCTGCAGCTTCGATAAAGAGTCATGGCGCCTGGTGCTCGTCGACAGTGACCGCAGCACTGCGGGCGAGGTCTTACGCAAGAATGGGCATGTTCGAAGCGATATACGCGAGAGACCCTCCATGGTCAGCATTCCTCGGTGACGAATGAGCTGGATAAGGCGACGAGGAAGCAAAGTAAGTCTTGAAAGAGACACACGGAGAGGAGCGAATCGTCTAATTACAAAAAAAGTAAAGGAGAAAAACAGAAGGCACTTCGATATTCTTTACGACACCCAGCTGATTCTTTACAGTATTGAGTACGTTGATGTTGAGACCCGCTCATTTTAGTCCCAATGCAGCTCGTGTTTCAGAGAATGGCTTAAGTTCGAGATGATCCGCTTCTTTCGTAGAGGTGTTTGTCGGGCAATGATCCCTTCTGCTCGCTCAAGTTACCGTCGGAGTCTCCGGTAGCTCCTCGCCTCCGCCTCCAATACAACAATCGGTGACTCCGTTGGCAGCCTCCTCTTGGCGAGTCTCACTCTCGCTAGGCTGCCGGAAAGGAAACCCTTGGGTTTTGCTACACATCGACTGTGGGCGCTGGTGCATTCACCCCTTTCAATGGCCTGTGTCATGGTCCTTCATAGCGCCGGGGCGCGGCACAAGCAAAAGACAAAATGACTGTCCCGGCGCTGGATCAACACGAGTCATCCTCTCCGGCAGCTAGCTCAGATAGAGCAAAAAGCTCGATATTTTCTTTTCCTGTGCGTTGCTTGAGATCAGAGAACTGACTTCCCATGGCTACTCCGGTGCATCGCCGCCGCCTGGCACGACATGTTCGAGCCCATGTGTCCATGCAACAACAAGCTTGCTACACCACGAACAGATCATGCCTTTCAATGCCCGCGGTTGAATCAAATCCCACCTTCAACACTCCCTTTGTTGCCGGTGCGCAGCTGCGCGACACCACTGAGAAGCCCAAACCCGCATCCTTTCCGTACGAGGGCTTGTATCAACACATTATCAACCAAAAAAAGGGCAACAAGTCCTATCGCTATTTCCGCAGTATAACCCGCCTGCAGGACCAGTTTCCTCTGGCGCGGTGCAATGAAACCGGCAAAAAGGTCGATGTTTGGTGTTCGAATGACTATGTATGTATGACTACCCCTTTGATTATGGTTCAAAGCGCCCTCTTGAGTACCACAAGGGACATTGCCAAGGAGGATCAAGCGTCTGAATTATAACCCTGATCGATAGCTGGCTATGGGCAGTCATCCAGCGGTGATCGCTGCGATGGAGAAAGCTCTACACACCTACGGCGCCAACTCGGGCGGATCGCGAAACATTGCTGGGCATAGTCCCCTCGTGGAAGCCTTGGAAGCGAGCATTGCGCAGCTACATAAGAAACCCGCGGCGCTTTACTTCAGCTCGGGATTTGCTGCAAATGAGGCTGCTCTGTCCACGCTGGGATCCCAGCTACCCGACTGTGTCATCTTCTCGGACGAGCTCAACCATGCCTCCATGATCGATGGTATCCGCCATGCCAAGGCTAAGCGGCACGTCTGGAAACACAATGACTTGGCTAGCTTGGAGGCTTTGCTGGCATCGTATCCTATCAAGGTCCCCAAGATCATCGCATTCGAGTCTGTTTATTCAATGTGTGGTGAGTTCTCTGTTCCGTCCACCATTTTTTCCGTCGGTTGTCCCAATCCATCTGCTAAGCTATGGCAGGAACTATTGCACCGATCGCTGCCATTTGCGACCTCGCTGATAGGTATGGTGCGATAACATTCATGGACGAGGCCCACGCAATTGGGCTCTACGGACCTCACGGGGCTGGCGTCGCAGAACACCTCGATTTCGCCACACATCAATCCGGTCGAGCCAACGGGCGGACGGCCATGGAGCGAGTGGACGTCATTTCGGGCTCCGTCAGCAAAGGCCTCGGCACCATGGGTGGCTACGTCGCTGGGTCGACAGCCCTGATTGATATGATCCGCTCGATCGCCCGAGGCTTCATATTCACGACGGTCCAGTCTCCCGCTGTCACGGCGGGCGCACATGCTGCCATCCAACATCAGCTGCACAACAAAGACGGTCGTATCCGGCTGCAGCGCAACGTCGCGGCTGTGAAGCGCAAGATGGCGGCCTTTGACCTGCCCGTACTGCCGAATCGGTCACATCTGCTGCCCCTGATGATTGGCGATGCTGAGCTCACTCGGCGGGTCACTGATATCCTGTTCGATGAGTACCATATCTATGTACAAGCGATCAACAGTCCGACGGTGGCCGTGAACATGGAGCGCGTCCGTATCTCTCCTACCGGGTTCCACGGACCCGCCCAGCAAGATGCTCTGGTCAGCGCGTTGGTGGAAATCTGGGATCGGCTGGGGTTGCGCAAAGCATCGGATTGGCAGCGGGCGGGCGTGTGGGATGCGCAACAGGCGGCGGTAACGCAGCTTTGGACGGATGAGCAGCTGGGCTTGACTTCAGGTCCAGCTTCGATGAGCGCACTGTCTAGACCGTTGCAAGACGTGCCTGTAAATGGGCCGCTTGAGGCCACGATGTTGTCCGGCTAACACACATCACAATACGCACTATGAGATTTCTGGCGCTGGAGTCGGCAGTTTATATTTCACCCACAATAAGCGGACAAATCGCTTGAGATTTATATCGTGCAGCGGCCAGTAGGGCTTGTTTCAAAAGACGTATCACAACTCCGCCCGTATCCTCTGCAGATATATAGTGTCCGTCAAGGGCGAGACGGCATGTTCCAATGAAACTCTCGCTGCATATTTTTTCTCTTTTCTCCAGCCAGGGTAGGACTTGATGCTGCTTTTGTCTAGTCACAGGTCTTACCATCGTGACCAAAACAATGTTCCGACCAGGTAAACTTCTTCAAGTCTTAAGACAAGTGTAGAGAACGTGGGCAAGGGCGGCCAACGGAGAACTGGAGATGGTAAATGTTAACGCAATATTCGCGTTGTATTTTTTTTTTTTTTTTTTTTTTACATGAATAGCTGATCGGATATAAGAGGCTATATATTCAAGACAAAGTGTAGTTTGTAGTTTGATTTCCAATCGATCATCACAAATGTTCTTTCGTATCTGAGCTGATTGTTTGCAGCTACCGCAAGCCACATGACAATCATACTTGATTCAATTCCTTTACCGATTTCCTACTGTCTCCCTACGTCTCCCACGCATCACTCTTTCATCGCAATCAGTCCGCAAGCAGTCCACAATCGGTCCAGCGTGTCATTGATCCGTCTAATCATCAATTTGTTCTTCATTTTATTTGGTTGATTGAGCTTCGAGCGCAAGTCGAGTTCCTGAACACGACTCGTCCATTGCCCCCAACCCTCCCTTTGTGAGTCTGGATGATCCATGCTCCTTGATCCTTTGACATCCCTCACCTTTTCTCTCGACCTCGATCTTTCCAGAGGCGTTCTGCTTGGAAGTCATAACCAATCACATATCTGCTAAGAAGATGGTCAATGAACGCCATGATTCTCAGCAGCATCTGGTTTGAAGAGCTTCCCGGTATAGGAATGTTCGTATAACATCTTCCGTGGCTCTCTAGATTGGATAATCGCACTACAAGTTAAATTTATGGATGAACGCTTCTACTATTGCTCGTAACCTCCGAAAGGGTGGCGCCCCCAATTAAGTCGAGATGGGGCAGGCTCGGAGAGTCCGAACAGCTCTCTCGACGCATGGAGATTAGACACTGGCCCGGGCCACTATGAGCGACGCACTAGACAAGCCAGTCTGGGCCCGGATTCATTGATCGAGTGTATTACTGGCAAAGCGCCAATGTGAGATCCATGCTGAAGCGTTGACGAAATGAATTCTGGCGGCTTTCCTGTTCTTCACCACACTGAAGGTCGACCTAAACGCAGCCGCCAGCAATGGCCCAGTCACCGTCTGCCGCGAAAAGCCCGGAGATGATTGAGAGAGAGCTCGAGGTTCTCGAGTACCAGCTAAATGGCCTCCCAGCTAGTCGCCCCCAAGCCCGCACAGTCTTCAGCTTCGCAACGCCTCTCGACCTCGCCATCATCGGCATTAGTGCTTTCGCAGCCATTGTCGCTGGAGGTCTCAATCCGCTCTTGACGGCAAGTGCATCGCTTATCTTTTGCCCTTTACTGATGGTGGACGGCGGAAAAGCATGGTCGATAACGTATATACTGATAAAAAACTCCATCTGATGGATGCATCCAGGTGCTATATGGTCAACTCGTATCGTCGTTTGATCGGTTTCAAAATGGCAAAATTTCTGGCGCCACGCTTCAATCGGATATTTCGCGATTCACGCTGTATTATGTGTACCTCGCAATCGGGCTGTTCGTGTCGGTGTACATTACGACGGTTGGCTTCTATTACACCGGCGAGCGCATCACTCGGACCCTACGAAGAACGTATCTACGGTCCATCATCAGTCAAAATATGGCCTTCTTCGATACCCTGGGCGCCGGGGAATTGACCACACGCATCACGTCCGACATCACCCAGATCCAGGAAGCCATCACCGGCAATCTCTCGGTCAGCCTGACAGCCGCCGCCACCTTCATTTCCGCGTACGTGATCGCCTTCGTGGAGAATTGGAAGTTGGCGCTGATCCTCACGTCTACCGTCATTGTGCTGACCGTGACCGGCGCGGTTGGGGTTGCTTTTCCGGTCAAATGGACTAAGCAGTCGCAGGCGTTGGAGAGCAGTGGTGCCACATTGGCGGAGGAAGCCATCAGCTCCATCGAACACGTTACCGCATTCGGTATCCAGCAAAAGCTGATTCAGAGATACGAGGACCATCTGAAACCCGCCGAGCGGCCGGGCCTCAAGGCAGGAACTGTTACGGCGCTGGTGATCGGCATGGTGAACGCCGTCCCTTACCTCAGCTATGGCCTCGCCTTTTGGGAGGGATCGCGGCTGCTAGTCCGGGGCGAAATCAGCATCTCGGGCGTCACCACGTCCACCCTCGCCATTGTGATAGGAGCTTGGGCTGTTGGACGCGTTGCCCCCAATGCTAAAACATTCATCTCCAGCATCGCTGCAGCCGCCGCCATCTTGGAAGCCATTGCACGCCAATCCCCCCAGGATCCCTTCTCAGATGGTGGAGAACGTCCGGAACATGGCGGTCTTGACATCAGCTTTCGCGACGTCCAGCTTATCTATCCATCTCGCCGCGAGGTCACGGTTCTCCACCAGCTAAACCTGGTCATTCCTGCGTCCAAGACGACCGCGCTGGTGGGAGCATCCGGATGTGGGAAAAGTAGCATCATTGGGCTGCTCGAAAGATTCTATGCCCCGACAAAAGGGGATATATGTAGGCTTTCCCTGCCGCGAGAAATGTTCAACGTCCAACTGATGTGATCTCGGCAGTGCTTGGCGATTACAATATCCAGTCCCTCAGCTTGAACTGGCTGCGCAGTCAGATGTCCCTGGTCGGGCAAGAGCCAACACTCTTCAACACAACAATTTTTGAAAATATCGTTTACGGGCTCGCGGGACAGGAGTCGTCGCTGACAGCACAGCAACTGCAAGGCCTTGTGGAAGAAGCCGCAATCAAAGCTAACGCCCACGAATTCATTTCGGGCTTGCCGCGAGGCTACCAAACTGAGGTCGGAGAGAAAGGTACTCAGCTATCCGGGGGCCAAAAACAACGCATTTGCATTGCCCGTGCAATCATCAAGAATCCCCAAATTCTACTGCTTGACGAGGCGACCTCGGCCCTCGATGTGCGTGCCGAGCGATCGGTGCAAAAGGCCTTGGCTGCTGCTTCACAGGGTCGAACAACGATCGTCATCGCGCACAGGTTATCCACAATCCGCGATGCGGACAATATAGTCGTCATGGCGGATGGACACATCGTCGAACAAGGGACGCACAACGAGTTGATTTCCAGAAATGGCCACTACGCCGAGCTGGTGCGTAAACAACAAATTTCGAGCGAATCGGGTCCAGGAGCGGAGGACGCCAACTATCTCAGCAGCCAGGAAAAGCATACCGAGATACTGTTGGATAAGAAATCAATCATGGACCATCAAAATTCGTTCAGGCCCAAGATTGAAGAGGAGCCATCTCTTCCCCACCCCCAAAACGTCTCCAGCTCGATACCTTCAGAGTCTGCTCAATCGAAAGACACCGCATCTTCCTGGGGCGGTTTGACCAATACTATGAAACTAATTGGCAAGTTAAGTCGACCAGAATCGGTTCTTACTCTTCTTGCAACCATACTGGCCGTTGTGGCTGGCTTAAGTGTCCCTGCGTACGCAACCGTTCTCCCCGTCATGTCTTTCAAGACGGTTCTAATATTCATCACAGTCAGTCGATCATCTTTGCCAAATTAGTTGACGCACTCTCCTTAACCTCTGCACACCACTTGCGAGAACGGATCAATTTCTGGTCACTGATGTACTTGGCCATGGGACTGGGGATTTTAGTCGTCTGGCTTTGCCACGGTATCATCTTCGCCTATGCGACAGAGAAAATGGTTCACCGTGCACGCAGGCAGTGTTTTAGCCATATCCTCCGACAGGAAATAGGATTCTTCCTCATGGAGCAAAACTCGACTGGGGCTCTGACATCGCTTTTGTCTTCGGCCCCAACTGACCTGAAAGGACTGAGCGGACCAGTATTAGGTGCAATCCTGACATTCCTCGCTACGATCGTGGGAGGTATCGTGCTTTCTTTGATCGTCGGATGGAAATTAGCTCTGGTTTGCACAGCCACCATTCCACTGGTCGCCGGCTTTGGCTGGGTCCGGTTGGCCATGTTGAGCTTGTTTGCAGAGAAGATGAAGAAGACACATCAGGACTCTGCGGCGTACGCCAGCGAGGCCGTTTCGGCCATTCGAACCGTGGCTTGCCTCACCATGGAGACTCGAGTGCTACAGCACTATGACTCCATCATCTTCAGCAAATCCAGGGAGTCGATTCGCTCCATCTTGCAAGCTTCAGCCTTCTACGCTTTGTCCCAGTCTATTACGTTGCTGTGCGCAGCTCTAGCCTTCTGGTATGGAGGCACTTTACTTTCGAAACACGAATACACTGTCGTGCAATTCTTCATCTGCTTTGCGGCATTGATATCCGGCGCGCAGACCGCCGGTGTTATCTTCTCCTATGCGCCTGGCATGAGCAAGGCCATGAATGCCGCCCGAGACCTTCGATCCCTCTTCGACCGCCGTCCGAGCATTGACAGTTGGGACACGTCCGGGAAGACATTTAACAAGGAGACCTGCGCCGGTCAGATTGAATTCCGGAACGTCAGCTTCAGCTATCCCTCACGACCGGACCGCGTCGTCGTTGATGACTTCAGCCTGACAGTCCGGCCAGGCCAGTTCATTGCCCTAGTCGGGGCGAGCGGGTGCGGAAAGAGCACCCTAATCGCCTTGCTCGAACGCTTCTTCGACCCAGTGTCGGGCCAGGTCATTGTCGATGGCTGGGACATCTCTACACTCGATGTGGCCAGCTACCGCAGCGCGATCTCGCTGGTCGGCCAGGAACCGATGCTTTTCTCCGGTACCATCCGAGAGAATTTGTTGCTGGGAACGATGGACTCCATCTCGGAGGAGGAGATGGTGCAAGCCTGTAGAGACGCGAACATTTACGACGTCATCGTATCACTACCGTGAGCTCTTTCATCCACTTTCCCCTATCCTATAGTTTGCCTACTTTTGCTGACAAGGCTATTCTTTAGCAACGCCTTCGCCACAGAGTTGGGGTCCAAGGGCGTCATGCTCAGCGGGGGTCAAAAACAGCGCTTGGCGATTGCACGCGCTCTCCTCCGTAATACCAAAATCCTGCTCCTGGACGAGGCAACTGCTGCACTGGATTCCCGGTCCGAAACAATGGTACAGGAAGCGTTGAATAAAGCTTCGGAGAAGAGGACTACGATCGCTGTCGCGCACCGGCTGAGCACGATCCAGCATGCGGACGTGATCTGCGTTTTAGAGGCGGGAAGATTAGCTGAGATTGGCAATCACCGAGAGTTGATGAAGAAGGGAGGTGTATACGCTGGGCTGGTGAAGATGCAGAATCAAGGAACTGCTGCACCACTAGCTCTATAGTTGCCTGACGATCGTTGGATTCGAAGGGTTTAGAATGCCTTTCCATCATTAATACAATGCAGGTTGCAGTTGTAGTGGTCCAAATTTGGTATGCGATGGTTATGGTGTTCTCATGTTATGTCGCGCGTAGCGCAGAAAATGTATTCCCGCTAGTTATAAACGGGCAGGAGATAGTTAAGGCAAATATGGCCTGCCTTGAAACATTTGTTCTTTCTCTGGGTTAAAGTGATCATTTTATGCATTCTCGAAACTTGTTCCGTCCGATCTCATCCTCCTATCCGTATACTAGTCTGTACCGTTTGAGCGCGCAGCGACACCTTTCTCTACCAGACGCCCACAAAACATAGTATGTCCAGCCCTCAGTCCTTGGCTGGCCGGTTGGCGTTGATGTCGTTCAGAATCGCCTCTGCCCCTCCCGCGACCAGTCTTGCCGCCAGTTCTTGGCCGAGTGCGTTGGCTTCGTCGGCAGTCTTGACTTTCGCATCAACGGTATCCTGGACGCTCTGGGAGCCATCCAGACTGACGACGATGGCACTCACCCGCAACTTGTCCGGTTGAATCCATTCAGTCTCAACTCCGATGGGGACACTGCAACCGCCTTCTAGCGTTCTCATCAGGGACCGCTCAGCGAGACAAGCAAGAGTGGACTCGTGATCGGCTAGCTGGTCAAGCAATGCGCGCATCTTCGCGTCTCCTTTGCGAATCTCCAAGCCTAGGGCGCCCTGGCCGACGGCATGGAAAATGCCCCCATCCTTCGAGTGGAGGTACTGGTTGATGCGGTATTTGAGACCCAAGCGCTCGAGCCCGGCCGCTGACATGACCATGCACGTATACTCACTATCCGGATCGTCTACTTTTGCGAGACGAGTGTCCACATTACCGCGTAAATTGGCAAAGCGAAGATGGGGGCACAGCCGGCGGAGCTGGGCCGATCGTCGAACCGACGAAGTGCCTACGACTGCGCCCTCGGGCAGACTCATCAAGCTCGTGTACGGAAGGCCGGCCTTGACGATCAGGGCGTCCCGGGGATCGTCACGTCGCGGAATAGCTGCAAGCTCACACGAGTCGGGCAGGCGAGTCGGCATATCTAGTCCAGTTAACATTTAGACAAACATTTGAACCTAAAGACAACGCAAAGGGGATTGATTTACCTTTCAAACAATGTACGATGACATCCAATTGACCAGACGTGAGCTTTTCCTCCAACTCGGTGGTCCAAAGACTCTTGGCGCCAAAGTTGTAGAGCGCCGTCAACTGGTCTCGGTCACCCAACGTACGCAGAGTCTCGATCTCATAGGATCGGTCTGGCGCGATCTCTCGCAGACGATCCCGGATGCCCTCTGCCTGAACGACGGCGAGGTTGGATCGTCGGGTCCCGATCCGCAGCGGCGGTTGGACAGCAAAAGGTGTTTCGGGCATAGTGGGGGAAATGGGTGTTCAGAAGTGACGAAACGGGCTGAGTTTTTTTCAGACATCCATCACAGAAGACTCATCGCGTGCCCCATAAATTAACATATATATATGTGTACATGTTATTAGCGCGACCGCAACGAGCCTTCAGGGCGGGCCCGGCGGTATTTCCCCAACCCGACAAGGTGGCATCGCTCAGTTAGTTACGTGGATTCCACCGCATAGCGACTGACCAGTACTCGGCGCGTCCATAGCGAGAGTGGGAGTCTTACTACCTGCCAATACTAGAGTCAAGTCGTGGTATAAGTTACAGGCCAGTTGATCACAGAAAATCAAATTTCAGAAGATGCTGGCAGGGACGGCCCTGACCGAGCAGCCGGCTACGCTCGTGCACAGCCAAATATACCGAGACAGTAATTAGTTAACTAACTAGTCAACTAGTGGGCTTACGTAGTGAAAACAAGACTGTCGATATAATTACCGGCGGGCTAAATGTGAGGACCCTAAGGTAATTAGAGGGTGGTTTAATCATGTTCAAATCATGATTATGCAATATGGGATTGCTCAAGAAGATATCTACAATTTTGATGAGACTGGTTATGCAATGGGCTTAATAGCCACTGCTAAGGTGGTCCCTAGGCTGAGACGGTTGGTCAGCCGAAGTGTTAGTTACGCCCTGGGCTCCCTCGTACCTGTATCTCGTTAGACTTGTATCCGTTGACTCTTACCTGACTCTCGAAGCGCTCCTGGCTTTACTAAGGCTGTCTTATCGTAGGATCCTCTTGCCGTTGTGGCTGCTTATGCCCGAAGTGGTGCCTTTCGGCAGGGCAAGGCCAACTAAGTACGTATACTCGGTTGTTAGAAGGGTACTGACAAACAAAGATAATTCCCCAGTTATACATAGCGGCCCGCAGGCCTTGGCAGATCCCAGTAGTGATACAGTTGTGGACAGTTATGGAAAGTTATAATTGATTTCCAAACAGTATCAAAGTTTCATACCTTGGGAACTAGTTAACTATAACTACTACGGTTGGAGGTCACGTGGATTCTGCCATAGTAGACCGCCCTCGCTTGGCCTGACACACTAAAATAGCTAGACCAACCCAGATAGATACAATACAAGCAAGTTGATCCAACAGATAGATGTCAATACAATACACGACATATCTCCATTGCACATATTAATGGAGGTATATCGTTGGTTACTAGCTAGATAGGCCTACGTGGTGGAAAGGATCAGCGAGGGCGGACCTATGCGGCAGAATCCCACGTGATCCAACATATACATATCCAATCACGTGACCCATACACATGCCTATTTGTATTCGTTACCAGTCTTCCTTGAAGCCTCACAAGGAGGGGCGCAGAGATAGCGTGCATCATACATGGACATTCATCTCATTATCCTTATTAGTATCTGGCATTAGTATCTGGTATCCAGACGCCGCACCCCTAATCCACATCACACACTTCCATGCTCATGGCCAGCCGCCGCGAGGCAGTCAAGCAGAAATTGGAAAGCTGCTGCGGATCCAAGGCTTTGTGAGTCAATCTGATGTTGCTCGTTTGCCGATACTTCGATTAGTAACAGCATATAGAATCCATCAAGGGGACTCCCCTCATGGGCAATCTTTTTTTTTTTTTTTACGAGGACTACACTCGACATATCGGCGTTGTCCTCCGTGCGTCAGGCCCAGGATGTCACCTCGAAACCGGCCTCGCAAAGGAATCCCAATGATTTATTTTTTTTGCGAGGTTTAGATAGCTGGGTTAACTCTGATGACAATCTTATTCAGATTGGTGTCTTTGACTTTGAGCTTTACGTGGGTTCGGGCGCACCAAAGCGGCTGAAAGCTGCTGTTGCCAGTTGATGCGACGGTCTGTCCGAAGTCACGTCTCGGAACGTCCGAGACTTCTGCAGCGATTCTCGGCCCATCCTCCAGCGTCGGATGTCTAATCCTCGAGACAAGTTGCATGGACATTATTGTTCCACTCACTGAGCGGCTGAACAATTTTGGTCGATCCAAGCCTTGGTGAACCCGTGGAGGTCGCGCGGAAGCATTTCCACCTTCCAGCACGGAGAACTCAGACTTACGAGGCCTTTCTGCCCTTTCACTTTCTCCAAAATTACGGACGAACATCAAGTTCGGTCTTGGATCACCTAGTGGTAGCGTCCTTTGCTATCGATATTCTAAGCTGTGATCCTCAATCCAAGGAGGCCAACTTTGTTCAGAGGCTAGTCTTGAGATTGATTAAGCACGGCTGTGACTCTTATTGTTGAGCAACAGACTACTCTGTCCAGACTCATCTCCAAATGTCGCTACGGGACCACTTAGCATCCTCGCTGCTAGGCAGGGATCCTTGTCACTTTCCGTGTCTACGCTCTGATCATGTCACCTCCCGAGTCTACAAAACATATTCTTCGTTGCTGTCACTACCAAAGACATTTGTGCAGCCAGACTCAGCAACGCCAGCTTTGAGCGAAAATGATTTGTGTACACTCGCGTTTGCCTTGCTGCTCAAGGCTTACATTCGCACCGATAGTATATCCTGTGGCCTCTTCCAGGGCTCGAATTCGAACTCGGAAGGTGTCTTCAAGGTTTCTTCGGCTTGTCTGCTTATGGCTGAATTTGATGTATCTGTTTCGATCTCTGACAACTTCCGGAAGTTGAAATTGACGCCATTAAGTGGTTCCGACGACGAGATAATCGGTACGCACTTCCGAGAGCTTGAAGATCAGGTGGGGTTCAAGTGCTTCAACACCTCAATCTGCTTCTCGGAGTTTGCTCTTGGCGAGCAAATATTGGAGGATCCTTTCGATTCCGATATGGTTCTACATGTTCAAGGCGGACGCTCTGCCACTCCTACTGACAATGTTAAGGTCAGCCTGCACTACAGGACGAGCCTACTGGACAGCTGGTGCGCTCAAAATGTTGTGACTACATTTCAGAGCATCTTATCTGCGATCAGCGCCGACGTCGGTGGCCTGCTCGCGCGCGTCAGCCTAATCAGTACTAGAGACGAGCAGCTCATCCGCAGCTGGAACGCCAAATTACCGCCACCGGCCAATCAAACCCTGAATGAACACTTTGAGAAGGTTTTTCACGACAACGCACATAAGGAAGCGGTCTATACTTCCGACGGCTGTTTCACCTACGAGGAGCTTGACGACTTGAGTACTGTGTTGGCGGTACGTCTCGCACAACTTGGCGTCAACCGGAATATGATCGTGCCTATCTGCATGGAAAAAAGCAGATGGGCGACATGTGCGATGACTGCGGTGTGGAAAGCAGGCGGTGCCTTGACGACTATGGATCCCGCATATCCAGATGATCGCTTGTTGGCGATCGTGGAGGAGGTGGGCGCGAGGATCGTCATCAGCGATGTTATCAATGCAGAAAGGTTCGAGAAAGCTGGATATCACACAGTATCAGATCTCGAGGATCTTCCTCGCCTCCTCGAGGCCGATGGGCTGCCAGTAAATCGAGCCGGTGCATGGCGCATGGGTGGTGTGGAGCCTGATGATTTGGCCTTCGTGGCGTTCACAAGCGGCAGCACTGGGCGACCTAAAGGAGTGATGCATACTCACAATCGCCTGACTTCAGAACACCAGTCCTACATCTGGAATTCGGAATACAATAACGGGGCGCGGATTCTCCAATTTGGTTCCTATGCATTCATTGCCGGTGTTGGGTGAGTAGGCTATCCAGGAACAGGTACTCAAAGTACATCTGCGCTGACTTCTAAGTGACAACTTCCGTGCCCTACTCCACGGCGCAACCCTGTGCGTGCCATCTGAAACTGAGCGGACATCAAACCTAGCTGAATTCATCAATCGATCGCAATCAACTCGGTCATATATGACCCCCTCCGTTGTGAGAACACTCGACCCCAAGAAAGTCCCGAGTTTGAAGCACCTATGTGTAGGCGGCGAACCTCTCGGCCGCGATCTCGAAAAACTTTGGGCAGGCCATGTCCATTTCATCCAACTTTATGGGGGTAAGTCAGAGATTGAATCGACGTAATCCCAGTGCGGCTGATATATTTGGTTAGCTAGCGAGGGTGGTTTCATGATCAAAGACCCTAGCAACCCCCAATATAACGGACATGGTCTGTTTCCCATTGGCGGACTCTCATGGCTTGTCGATCCGCAAGACGTGAACCAGCTAGTGCCTGTAGGCGCAGTCGGTGAGATTGTCTTTGAAAGTCATGAACTAGCAGCTGGATATATCAATGATCCTGATAAGACGGCCAAAACATTCATCGATCCTCCAATTTGGGCGCAAAAACGAGCTGCTGCCACAGGCTGCAGATACTTGAGAATGGGCGACCTGGGAAGATACGAGACAGACGGCAGTCTCTCGATCTACGGCCGCGCCGATGCTCAGATCAAGGTACGTAAGGGTATTCGTGTTGCTCCATCCGTGCTCTAATCATCGCAACCGTAGATTCATGGGCAACGTGTGGAGCCGGGAGACATTGAGTCCAAACTCAGGGATATACTTCCGCCCAAATCAGAAGCTATTGTAGATCTAGTGAGGCCAATTGATGCTCCAGACCGACCTCTTCTGACAGCATTCTGTCGCTTGGCATCGGAAACCGTCGGCAACCCAGGCACGGGCCCAAGTCTCGATAGTCAAACAATTCTCTTGGATGCTCAGAAGCAACTTCGAAATGTCCTTCCTCGGCACATGGTTCCAAGGGTGTTCCTGATTATGAACGAGCTTCCACAAGGCCCCAAGATTGATCGCAGAAAGCTCCGGACCGACGCGGGTAAAGTGGGTTACAAGGCTCTGCTTGCATCTCTACTATCCGCAGGCCATGACTCCTTTGAGCCTCCGGCAGACGAGAAAGAGCAGATCCTCGCTATGTTATGGGCAAATGTACTCAATCAGGATGTCGAACACATAGGAAGAAGGAGCAACTTCCTGGCTTTGGGTGGTGATTCGTTGACGGCTATAAGGCTTGTCTCCGCAGCGCGCGAGAAAAACATTGAGTTAAGAACGCAAGATATCCTGAGGTGCCCCGTATTGAGAGACATGGCCAAGCTTGCCACCGCCTCAGATACTAACACCGGGAGCGTGGTCGTCGCCGGCGGTGTCAGTCACGACGCGGCCTGCTCGACCGACCCAATTACTCTGAGAGCAACGGACTTTCAGGAATGGGCAGTGCGTATAGGCGCGCTCAATGGAGGATGGATCGATCACTTAACATATGACTTTCGTGGCCAGCTCGACTTGCAAAGGCTCGAAGAAAGCTGCAAAGGACTTGTGGCCGCACACCCCATTCTCAGGGCCGTGTTCGAAGTTTCGGATGACCAGGTCTACATGCGGATACCACAGCACCAATTTCTTCCATTCGAGACTTACCAAGTGACTGTGGATGACATTGAAAGTAAAAGTCAAGAAATATACGCGAAAGATCGAGTGTGTCCTCTCGGAAGTCCAATCGTGCGGTTTTCTCTCATCAAAGCATCCTCGAGTCGCCATAGACTCATTTTGCGGCTCTCTCACGCCCAGTATGATGGCTTCTGCGCGCATACATTTGGGCAAACTCTCCACCTGCTCTACATCTCTCTGCCAATACCACGCACATTTCCATTCCACGAGTATGCTAGGGTGGTTCAAGACCCGTGCTTCATTCACACTGCAGAGATGTATTGGCACGCCCGTCTGAAGAAAAGCCAAATGCCAAAACTCGTGCAACGAGCTCGTTCCGGGCCGCCATTCAACAAGATTCTTGATGGAGAATATAGAAAGTCCGTTCTGGAGCCAAACTTACGACATCACGGCGTCAGCGTCGCCACTGTCGTCAAGGTAGCTTGGGCTCTGACAATCTCCTCACTGTCGCATTCACTCGATGTCGTATTTGGTGACTTCATATCCGGGCGCCAGGTGCACATCCCGGGTATCGAGACTGTTGTCGGACCTTGTGTGAACTTCGTGCCCGTCCGAGTCCATCTATTGCCGAACATGACCAATATCGAGCTCCTCAAAAGGGTTCAAGCCGATCTTATTTCCTCAATCCCCCATGAGTCGCTGGGCTTCAAGCATATCATTCAGAAATGCACGAATTGGGGCCAAAACGAACGTTTCTCCTCTATTGTCAATTTCGTCAACGTCGAGAACGCGAGCTTCGGAACAGAGACATGGATAGACGACGGTGAGAACAGATTGGAGGTTGATTCCATGTATGAGGAGAAACAGCATGACAAAACAGACTTGTGGCTTCTCTGTCTGCCAGGACATTTGGTCTCGAAACCGAACTCCGAGGCCAAACCTGGAAAGAAGACCCTGGAGCTACACTTCAGATACAACACACATCTGTATCCAACTAGCGTTATCGAAAGGATCTCGGGCCTGTTCTGTGAAGCCCTCGACTCCCTCTCAACAGCTCCAGACCAGCTGATATCGATACCGCAAATTTCGGATGAAGAGCGCTCGCTCCTTGTGCCGACCTCTGATTAAACTATTGGCAAAACCGATTTTCTGTCGCCCTGATTGACCTGTAAGGAACGGTCACTCTACGCCTTCAGGAAATGATTAGTTATGAATGTCATCCTGCGCGTTTGCTGACAGATCTACCCATTGCCATCTCCTTCGGTTTCGCTTTCTCTGCAAACTTGATTTCTCTAACCAGAGACAATCCCCAGCCCTTGAGAAACCCTGGGACAGTCTTTTCTCCTGTGTTACCCTGCTATCCGACGTGAAGACCGAGCGGCACCGTTGCAGCGATTGCATTCAGTGCGGTTGGGACATCAGATATCACAGCCGCAGCAGGTTGAATCAGAAGCTATTTCACCGCTCTGGTTTGCACTAGGTGGTCAGATGAAACGGCATGCATACCGTAATACGGCAGGCGATAGCGATCAAATTCCCATAACTAAATTTGAGTTTTTATAATCGGCATAATCAGTAAGCGTGATGCCATTATATTTGACCCTGTTTTCAGTTCCATAAATTAATTCGTGTACACAACTTGGCTTGCTTAGCTTCGCCGTTTGGCTACTGGTCCTAAGCACCACGTAGAGGTGCAAGTCTTGCTTGGGTGTCATACACGGGCCAGTGTGACTAGGCAGCGCAGGTGCAGTACAATGAGACACTAAATCTGAAAAGAAATGACTGTACTAACCTTCTGGAGATGGTCTAGAGGACAATTGGATTATCAGCAGACCCCTCCTCCCCATCCAACACAATTGGGCTACCAGAATCCCCTTCCTCTGGCTCCAGCTTGATTGGATTCTTGGCCGTACCATCCTCAATAGTGAGGACAGTACGGAGGGCAGGACGACAACCATGTGGCCTGTTTGGACCTACCAAGCGCTCTTGACCCAAGTCATGCCAAAGCTCATCCTGTACAGAGCACTGATGTGCCAGGTCAGGCCATTTGCAGTTGGCGCATGCTCCACTGAATGCGCCTGGTATATGGTGGCATTCGATGAACGGCCTCATATCTTGTACAGTGCGGCACCTTGTACAAGGCTGGCTATGTCCACCTGTCCGAAATATGAACGGAGAAGTATTCAGTTAGATACATACCATATCCCTTTCTCCCCATTCCAGATAAGATTCCGGGCACCCTCATCCAGGTGCACAAAGCCAAGATTCAGTCATTCGCTGGAGAAAACTGAAAGTTAAGTTATTATAACCCAGTGGGCATAAGAGACTCACATATAGGATTTTTTTAAAAGTCTTTTGTACTCTTCCTCACTTAGGATATCACGTGTAATTCAAGTTCTCTTCCGCCTCGTGCAGTCCAGATTATCGACTCCCTGATTCCCCGAACCTGAGCTATTCGCTTCAACCGGCCAGGAGAAACCCCATTCATCTTGACCTTTGATAGCCAGCTTTAACTTGCACATCTGCCTTCATATAAAAATCACCATCATGCCAATATTCGAGCGAATAATATCTCTTTTTTTTCAAGCTCGGATATGGTTGGGCAAGAAGCGCTTTGGCTCCTTAGGACCGAGCGTAGTGAGAGTGAGCGAAACCCGAATGATCAAAGGCCCGTGTGAGTCAGCAGAGCTTGAAGGCCTGAAATACATTGCACAGCACACTTCTATACCTGTTCCGAAAGTTTATCGAACCTACTGCGTTTCTGGTCGCCTCTATATCGAAATGGAATACATCCAGGGGGTTACACTCCAAGCTATGTGGGCTAGCCTCAATTTATCATCCACTGAAAAGCATGCTATTGTTAAACAAGTTGCTGCTTACATCGATCAACTCCGACTTCTTGAGCCGCCACAGAAAGGGGCTGTTGCTTCAGCAGGACTAGGACAATGCCTTGACTACCATGTGGGATACAATGCTTTCGGTCCTTTTTTCAACAATGAAGAATTTCATTCTTTTCTCCGCGGACACATCCCATTGGAGGATTGTACACAAGTGTATGGTGAATCTGTCACGCAGTGCCATTCTCGCCAATACCGGACCTGTTTCACCCATGGAGATCTTTGCCCACGTAATATCATCATACGCAATGGCGATATTGTTGCAATTGTTGATTGGCAATTCGCTGGGTGGTATCCGGAATATTGGGAATACACAAAAGCGCATTTTGGACTTTTCGACATGCCGGACTGGTATGCCGAGTTTCAGAATGCTGTGCCTAGATACGATGATGAATTGGCTGCGGAACGTGCTCTCTGGGAGCAATTTGATCAACCCGGAATGGTGCAATGAAAATTCGAGGTTACTGGAATTGGGGCAAAGGCAAATAGGCAAAAGTACCTATTGCTACGATGATTGTTCTTCGCATCTAACACTGATTTCCAGATGACAGAGGAATTGTTGACCACATTGTCGTTGAAGCGAAGAAGCAAACCGATCCATTGGACGCATCACTTGAACAGCTCGAAAATGCGCTCGAGAACTTGGACACTGAATTTGGACGTTGTTGGGCACTGCTGATTCAGGGCGTCGACTTCATTTCTTATGAATATCATCGGTACCGATCTGTTAACGATCGTCTTCTTCCTTGGGGGGAGCAGTTGGCATGGTAAGAAGCGGAGCAGCAGGAATGATGACCTCAATTCCCTGTTCCATTGATGGTGCCATCGCTATGTTGATGGGGTCAAAGCGGTGACGGTCAAAAGCGCTACGAAGAAAAGTGGACACAGGTGAAACTAGCGCGGTGCGTTTTATTGATGCTACCTTAGGCTAATCACCTTCTGCTCAGTCTCTACTCAGTGATCGGCTCAGGCTGTTCAGGGCGTGCTCAGGGCATGTTCAGGTCTACGCAGTGAGCGAAAAGCGGCGAGGGGTGAGCACTGAAATGGAAAGGGAAGGCCTTCGAGCTGTCCAGAAAATCAAGTACGTATATATATATCTCTCCTCAAACGACCGGCTCGCACCACGCATGGAGATGCCTCCGTGGAAAGTACGCCTCGATGCACTCCCTCCACTCCATGTCTTCCGGCGTCATCCCGTCCAGCGTCATGTCGAACTTGCGCACCATAGTCGCTAGGGCAATGTACATTTCCGCCCACGCCAGGTTGCGCCCGAAGCACATGCGTGGGCCGCGGCTGAACGGTACAAGCCACTGTTCCAGCTCGCCGGCTCCCTCCTCAAGCCACCGCTGCGGCTTGAAGTCCAAGGCATCCTTGAAGATCTTCTCGCTCTGGTGCACATGCAGAATGATCATGCCAACAGTAGTGCCCGGTGGGATGTGCCGGCCGGATATCATGGCCCCGCCCGGAGGAACAGTACGCGTCAGTGAAACGCCGGACGGCATGTGCCGCAGCGTCTCTTTGATCGTTGCAGTCAGCACAGGCAGCGCCTCCAGCTCCTTCAGCGTCGGCGGCTTCTCGATGTCCGGCCATGCGCCGTGCAGCTCGCGCTTCAGCCGTGCGAGATCCTCGGCGTGGTTGAGCAGATTCCAGTGTCCCATCACCAGCGCCGTCGCCACCGTGTTCGCGCCGGCGAAAATGATGGTGAGTCCCTCGTCCTGGAGCTGTGCATAGTCGGGCACCGTGTTGTTCTTGTACGAGTCTGCGTTCAGCATGCGGTGGAAGATGGTCTGGTGCGGCGCCTCGTCGAGTTTCCGCGGGTCGCGTAGCACCTTTGCGAGCTCCGACTGGATCATGGTCCGTACCTGGTAGATCCGCGGGCCAAGCGCCTTGGAGTCAGGCAGGAAATGCGTCACCAGGTGCGGAGGGATGGAGAACACCATCTTCCGGAGCAGGGGGAAGTTTCGCAGGAGGGGAATGGCGCTGAGACTGGAGTCCATGGCGAGAATCAGCGGGTCCCGGAAATCAGGCGCGGCGAGGGCGTGCAAGCAATTGCCAAAGGTGAACCCCATGATGGTGTCCAGCGTGAACGACCGGAAGGCAAAGAGGAGGTCGATTGACTTCTTTGCTGCGTTTTTCCTGGTGATTGCAGACGCGAGAGTGCTAGCCTGCCAAGTCCAGTTAGCCAGCATCGCCGGAAGAGTGATAAAGCAACCAGGGGAGTCTGTACATTTTTCCAGATCAGCGGCTCGACATTGTCCATAGCTCTCTTCGAAAACATGGGCTGCAGGACGTCTCGGCGCTCCTTGGCTTGCTTGTACTTCAAGAACACAAAGGACCCGGATCGGACGCCCGGAGTCGTGTACAGCCCTTCGTCCTTGTCCCAGCGCTTGGTGGCATTGTATATGTCATGGAAGGCGGCTGGGTCTCCGAAGTGAAGCTTCACGATAGGGCATTAGCGGAGTGCACAGAATGGAGACGATCGAACCGACGAACCTCGTTGGGCGCAATCCGTACAACATCTCCTGTGCGAAGCGAAAACAAGGATGCGAGTCAGAATATGCCGTTTCCATCGGGTATGAGCCACTACATACCGTACGTCGCATGCAGCCGAAACAGCTCTTGGGCCAACGTCTCCTTTTTCCACACCTCCTTGTACGCCTTCCACCAGCTGGTGGCAGCGGCTGCTCGGGGACCAGGAAAGCCACGGAGCGGGTGGAAGCAGAGATTGTATACCACCCGGCAGACGACAAGGAGGGGGAGCGTGATAGCCAGCAGCACGGGGAGTATCATGGCGTTGTCTCAGAGTCGACGGTATTTCAAACAATGTCAATATCGTACCATCGACTTTGCAGAGCAGGGCACGCTTGTTCTCTTATAACCGCGCCGTCGTTGGCCGTTGCATGCACAGATAGTCTCCCGGCATCAGCAGCTTACATTGGAAACAAGAGTCAGATAGATACAGTGTATTTTACCCTTGACCCTCTGCACAGCCTCGTGCATGGAGAGGTTGGACAAATACAGCCCTGTACACCAGCGTTGGCTTCTTGGTGTGGATTGAGTGAAGCACCATGTATTAGTTGGAACCTTTTGCCCAACCGCCTCCATAACTGCATCCTGTCAGTGTAGCAGTTCTTCAGGATGTGTGACAGGGCGTTCAGACATGTTGGCCAGGCCATTCACATTGCAGACCCCTACTCCTTCGCCCATGCGGGACGGCACATAGCTGAAGTATTGAATGCCGGAGTACGAATGCCCGATGAACGAGTGGAGTGTCCTCTGCATGAAACATTGCAAGTAAGCCTGCAGTCTAGATTCGGGCAATGATTGTCTCCGTATATCCCACAGGCATATCAGCAGAGTGCCAGTTTGGAGTGTTCACTGCTGCAGTAAGCTTATGGGTTCAGAGACAACTTTCCAGGCTGCAGAGTATACCCAGTCCTTTGTCTCTCTCTTTTTATCTATTTACTTTTATCTAATTCATTTTATTTTATTTATTTATTTATTTAAAATTTTTTTTCTCAGTGACTCCATCGCGATTGACGATTCATTCCCAACCGCCCTCGAGAATACTCCCGGTCGTCCCCAAGTCGAACAGCATACAAGCATGGAATGGTGGGTGACTGCTGTGCTGAGCGCGTTGCTGTCCTTGATTGCCTACCGCAAGCTGGCTGGCCCTTCTGCACATCCAAATGAACCACCAGTGATCCCGACATCCATTCCCTATGTCGGGCATCTCGTTGGAATGATGCGCCATCGGAGCCTCTATTACTCCAAGATAAGGTGGGTGCGCAGACCAGGCACGCGAGTGAAGCCATGTCCTAACCGTCGCGCGCAGCTCCAACCGTTCCGAGGGCATCTATACCCTTCGTATGCCAGGGTCGACGACCTATGTGATTACCTCGCCCGCACTCGTTGCGGCCATGGACCGCAAACACAGGGCCATCTCATTCCAGCCGTTCGCAGTCGAGTTCGGTAAACGGGTTTTCTCCATAGCCCATGGCAGATACGAAGATGTGCTGGCTGCAGACGAGAAATGCTTGCACCAGTCCCTGACGCCGGGAGAATCTCTTAATTCGATGCTTCGAGTCTCGCTCGCATCGGCCACCAAGATGCTTTCGTGCGACAGCTCTTTCGTGGAGGGTGTGAAGGGCCGGGCTTTTGACCTTTCCACATGGGCTCGTCATCTCATGACACGCATCACCACCGACGCAGTGTACGGAACCCGTCACAATCCCTTTGGGGACCCGGAAGTTGAGGCTGGATTCTGGTAAGCAGCCTGCGTCGTGTTCCACCTGCGCCATCACGTTGAATCTGACCAGGATAGGGCCTTTGAGGATGGCTTTTATTTGTATCTTGGAGGCATTTCCCCTCGCATCCTCGCACCCGCCGCCAGCGCGGGTCGCCAAACCCTGTTCGACGCCTTCGCCAGGTATCACGCTGTTGGTGGATACAAATCGGCGTCTCGGCTTGTACAGGCGCGCTATGACATCCAGGGGGAACAGGGGCTCGGGGTCACCGAGTCCGACCTTGCTCGGCTTTGCGCGTTGATTTCATTCTCCTTTCTCTCCAACACCGTGCCGACGGCCACCTGGGTCCTGTGGAACATCTACTCGAACGACACACTGCTGGCAGAGGTACGGTACCTGCTCGCAACGTACGTGCACACGTCTTCGTCGGGCGGCAAACCGACTCGCACCCTCGACATCTCACGGGTTATCAAAGAAGCTCCGCTGCTGACGTCCTTGGTCCACGAGACGCTTCGGGTCCAGACACAAAACGCGACGTTGCGCACCGTCAAGGAAGACGTCTGGCTCAACGACCAATGGTTCTTGCGCGGCGGTTCCCGCCTGCTGGTTTCCCTCAGCCAAATTCACAACGACACTGCCGCGTGGGGCGAGTGCGCCGGGAACTTTGATCCCAAACGGTTCATCCGCAGTGACACCATGTCTGGCAAGTTCCCGGGTCCGGCCTACCGGGCGCTTGGCGGCGGTGGGACGATCTGCTGCGGCAGACACTTTGCCGTCCAGGAGATCATTGTGGTCATAGCCATCATGGTGCTGCAGTACGATTTGAAGCCCGACGGCGAGCAGTGGACGCTGCCGGAGCGTAAGCCGCACATTGCGAAAACACTCGTTTTCCCCGACGGCGTGCGCGTTATGCTTTCGCCACGGGGGGATCTCGAGGACAGCGAGTGGCGATTTACCTTTTCATAATCGAATCCATCTGCATGCACATTCTGCCAACGCATCACTCGTGTAATTGCTCTTCGCAGATCAACGCATCCTGGGGGATACAGCCGAGTTACCTTGCGAAAGCAGTTCCTGTACTGACAACCCCCCCACAGAAGACAATACCCTAGGAGGTCTTGGCGTAGGTCTTGGCGCCAAGGCGGTTATCAATCATATGTTTAAACTGACCCTAACTATTGCCTTTTTTGGATTAGTCACTACAGCAGTATTTAACTAACTAATAGTTAACTGTTTTCTTTTTTCACATGCTCTTCTTCTAATTACACACATAAGAACTAGTGTAATTAAAAGGATCTATGTCTAGGCCTAGTTCGGAAATTTAGCCTGTACCAATGTAGTGGGGTACAGGCTTCCTGCAAGAACATGGTCTTCCGGCGGCCCCATTTCCCACGGGCCGTTATCTGCTTATTCTGCATAGACAGGAGGGCCGTTGTCCGCAATATTAATAGCGGTGGTAATATTAATGGTAATATTAATGCACTTGCTCACGCGTACGCGGAGCATGCAGGGAACATGCAGCGAAGGAAACACAGTGCTGCGTTGTTGGTTGTTGTGGCCTGCCGCACCAAGGGGGTAACGTGAAGGAACAACAACAACAACAACAACAACAACAACAACTACTACTACTACTACTACCACCACCACCACCACCACCACTACTACTACCACCCCTACAACTGTTTCACAGGTAGCCTGAGAACCTGCTCCATCTCTTGACACTGCCTCAGCCCACCTGCTTGTCTGCCATGGCTCCAGCAGGCGTCCAGGCACGCCGCACGCTCGCCACAGATGCCACCGCGAAGCCCGCGTCCAGCGGGAACAGCACCAATGGAACCAGTCGACTTTCCCATGACTTTGCCCGCGAGACCAGGACCGGCGGCTGGCTCCCCGGCATGGACCCCAAGGTCGACTACTCGGGTCACGTCGAGTTTGGCGGGTCGCTGGGCGCGCTCGGCCTGATGATCGGCTTCCCCCTGCTGATGTACTACATGTGGATTGGGGCGACATACTACGACGGGCAGCTGCCCTGGCCGCGAGACGGCGAGTCATGGCCTGACTTTGGCCGGCATCTGGTCCATCTGGTGTACACCGGCGCTTATCCGCACGCGCGCACCTGGATGATCTACTGGATGTACTACGTCTTCGAGTGCGCCTGCTATGTGCTGTTGCCGGGCTACACGGCGTACGGCAAGCCGCTGGCTCACCTGGGCGGGAAGCAGCTGAAGTACCACTGTTCAGCGTACGTCAGCTTCTATGCGACGATTGCGTTGATGGTGGTGCTCCATGCGACGGGCATCTTCCCGCTGTACACGCTGCTGGATGAGTTTGGGCCGCTGCTGTCGGTGTCCATTCTTTCCGGCTTCTTGACCAGCTTCGTCGTCTACTTCTCTGCACTTGCTCGAGGCGCGCAGCACCGCATGACCGGCCACCCCATTTATGACTTCTTCATGGGGGCCGAGCTGAACCCGCGCATCTTGGGCGTCGATCTGAAGATGCTGCAAGAGGTCCGCATCCCCTGGTTTATTCTGTTCGGACTCAGTTGCGCCGCCGCGATGCGCCAGTACCAGCAGTACGGCTACATCTCCGGCGAGGTCCTGTTTCTCGTCATGGCCCATTTTCTTTACGCCAATTCCTGCGCCAAGGGCGAGCATCTCATCACGACCACCTGGGACATGTACTACGAGAAAAACGGCTTTATGTTGATCTTCTGGAACATGAGTGGCGTCCCCATGTCGTACTGCCATTGCACGTTGTACCTGGCCAACCATGACCCGTCCACGTATGCCTGGAGCAAGCCGGCACTCGCTGCCCTCTTCACAGCCTACCTGTTTATCTACTGGGTCTGGGACACATGCAACAGCCAGAAAAACTCGTTCCGCATGGTCGAGCGGGGCACTTTTGTCAAGCGCACCACCTTCCCCCAGCTGCCATGGCAGGAACTCAAGAATCCCAAGGCGATACCGACTCGGACCGGCGACAGGATTCTCGCTGATGGCTGGTACGGCATGGCGCGCAAGCTGCACTATGCCTGCGATGTGTTCTTTGCGCTTTCGTGGGCGCTGATCACCGGGTTTGACAGCCCATTCCCCTGGTTCTATCCGACCTTCTTCTGCGTCATGATCGCGCACCGTGCGCGGAGAGACATTCGACGCTGCAGACTCAAGTATGGAGATGCGTGGACGGAGTATGAGAGACAGGTGCCGTATCTTCTGGTCCCGGTAAGTTGGCACGATAGCCGTGTTCTGGCACTGGCTGGACAGAGATGCTGACACTGCGCAGTACGTGATTTAGGAGGAGCATTCGTTGTGGGCATAGTACCCGATAACTGGGCGAGGATGGAAGGCTTGATGTAACCCTGCCATCAGCGTCGGATGGAGAGCGTGGATACGCCGATCAGACGCTGCGACGGCGTAGTCAACCTCGATTCATCAATATCCTGATGCTGTCTACTCCGTACTGCGACTGCCGTATAAATCATGCCATGTTCATGTAGCCCGTCCATTCACGACTGTAGTAATCCATGCTCCTCCTCTCCCTCCTCGCTCTGGCCACGGCCACGACCAGCCCCCTGCCACGCTCGTCCTCCATTGCCTACGTCGACGTCGCCGTCACCACGCTATGGACTGACCCCAGCATGCCGCGTCCCGTCGACGCCCCTGCCATCTCCAACCCCGTCCATGTTGAGCAGTGGCTGCACGCGGCCATCAGCGTCACGTTGGTCATTTCCCTTTTCCTTTCTCCCCATGCTTGAAATTCTCGTCAAATAGCTACCTAGATAGCCGAATGGCATTCTCTATTCTTCCTGGATTTGAGCTCCGTGACAATGTGGAACAGACACTGAACACATTCCCTTCATCAACAACGGGAGTGAGCCCATTCAAGGCACTGCAGGGTGTGCCACCCTGAGTCCTCCCGACCACCTTAGGTGGAGAGGACTTCCTAGAGAGATGTATTGCAATTCATACAGCAATCGCTGACACCATTGACCTCGAAGAAACACAGATGGCAATAGCATATGACAAGAAGCACTAACCGACTGAGCTGAAGGGATTAGCCTTCATATATCTTACCCGATATAAAGACACTACCAACAGTTTAAAACTGTCTCCAATTCGCTATGGTCCTTTCTCAACCAAAAGGCGTGTAGGCGACCTAGCATATAAGCTGGAACTGCCACCACATATGGAAATACATCCGATCATTTCAGTGATCCACCTCGAACAAGCCTACAAGGATGATTTCTATCAACCAGTGCCATACCTTGCTGACGCCCCACCAATCATTGTGGATGGCCAAGAAGGACATGAGATTGACAAGATAATATTGCCAAACAGGCGACAAGGTTGTTGTACGCCGGAAGAATGGCGGCACATCAGAGGAACCAGTATATACAGCACAGAAGGATATCCCTGGTATGTTCTGGCAATTCCAGAAGAAGATGAGAGAAACATGGGCACAATGGCGCACCAAGGACGAACACCCTGCATGGCCAACTGGCCAAACGCACCATTCATACTCGCGCCTTTCAACACGACGTCAAGCCGCATTATCAAGATCATGAACACCTAATGAGCTATATATCTACAATTATCTGACAATTAACAGCAGACACAACTGCACAATTTATTATGTATGCCCCGAGGACGGTACTCTGAGGGTGGACACTTGTTTTTAGCGGACAGAGCCCACATACAGGTGCTCGCCTGCAATGCGAAGCCCTAAGCCTTTCCACGGGTAATGGGAAGGCATAACCAGATAGCATCAGTTTTGTAATCCTTGTTGAGCAGAGGGTTGCGCATTCCCTGCAGGGAAATCCCCTCTGGTAAGGATTATTCTTTCCTGACTGGGACGTCCACAGTGGATAGGAAGGCGGGTGTTTCCGTTCGGAGGACCAAAAGTAGAGGTTGGTCTTGAGTTCTCATACAAGAGATAAGCCCCTCTTGGTTATGCTCAAAGAACATGCCAGCAAACTGAAGCTGAATGACCTTCCAGACCATGGAGACGGTTTGACTCACAATTGTACTGGTAAGACACTTGACGTTTTAGCAATAACAGTCTCCGGGAAAAGGCGACGACTAAGAATTTAGGGCGGTTTCTCCGACTACTGGAAAGGCCTGGAGACGGCCGACCAACGTCGCCATTTATCCCGGTTGAGCTGTGGAATCGGACGTTGCAAAGTGCGGGTTTACGAGTGCGTCGATTGACCTCCCAGACTACGCGGATCCGTTTTGAATGGTGAATGTCCTGCTCTGTTCTGTTGCAGAAATTCCTCGGACCACAAACGGTGCAGATAAGGTTGCAGTTGAGCCGACTGTAACTGCCTACGCTGGACACACAACACTCGGAGGCTACTATTCTCAATGGCGAGGCAAAATCAATTGTCCTGGCCGACTGCGTCAAAGATCCCTTCTTCGCCGACCCGACAACCCGGCTCGTCGAGATGGGCATTCATAGCGTGACCCTAGCCGGCACGAGCAGTCGGGACGGTATGGACGAATCCGCCCTGCTTCACTTGGAGAGCCTTCACCGGCTGGGAGTCGCCGTCTTCGTGGTCTGGGAACCGCTTTCGACGGCGCATAAAGACAGGTTTACTCTGCAGCTACGCGCCTCGTTTGTTACGTGTCGTGAAAGTTGTTGTTTTTGGCAGATCGGTAGCTTCCCCCTTCACCATAGCTTTCCGCTTATTTGCAGTGCTGATCATGGTCTTGACAGGACGTGTATGTTCAGGAGGCCCCATCAAAAAGTGCAGCGTGTCTTTTCGTCTTTTCCGGACGATGCTTACCAGAGACAATCCTCATTTTTACATCTGCGGATGACATTCTCGCCCGGCCCAGTGATAATAATCCATGGGAGCACACACGCAGAGCCCAGTCCAACAATCAGAACAAGACAAGAGTCAATGGAATCCCAAGTCCTACCACCGCCGCCATAGCAAAATTCCACACCATCCCAGCCGATGATCCAGAACAGGAACCGGCGCGCCGGACGACCGCAACGGACGCGGTGTCCGAGACGCTTGCGGAGCTGCTCTTCATCCGGAAGGAGCAGATTAACATCAGGCGGACCTGACGAATATTGGCATCGATAGTTTGATTGCGAGAGACTTGCGCAAACAAATCAATGAGTTGTTTGGAGAGAGTATTTCGACGGGGCGGTTGCTTAGTGAGGAAATTGCAGGTATGGATATTGTTGATGCTACTTTGATGAAATAAGTCTGTTGTATCCTGTTAGAGATCGGCAATGCCGCTTTGGCCTGTTCATTGTTCTAGGAGGACCAGTGACTAAGAATTATTAGAATGCTTGCATTGATCATACTACTCTGTTAGAGTTAGGGTCAGGCTTGTCACTTACTATATATAGGCCAGTGAGACACATTCAACTTCATCTGGTACAAATATGTCCCTTGGCAAACTTTACTCCACGCATGCCAGGCTGGATTGCACAGACCATCCCTACTTAGCCAATGCCACATATATTGTGAAATCATCAATGAACATGACTATGCACGAAGCCAGACACCGCGATCTGAGAAGAGCCATTGGCTACAGGTAATAGACTCCCACGTCGGTATCAACGTGGCCATCGACAGGCCCATCTCTCGCCCGCTTGATAGCAAGCGCCTGTAATGCGAGCTCTATTTCCTCGTCCTCGACGATCCGCTGTTCGGTGACGAAGACCTCTGCGAAGCCCACGGATCGCAGCTCGGCGAGGCCGCCATTTAGCGCCTCATGTAGGGATTTCGTGCGAAAGCCCAGCTCCGCATCACTATATGGATACCCGAACTCTAGCACCTGCAGGGACAGTGGCGCCATATGAGCGACGATGTCAAGGAAGGTATCCTCCACTAAGTCACCGGGGACACTGAGGAAGGTCAAATTGGGGAGAAAGGCGGGGATGGCATTGATAGATTCTGGCTGGAGATTACGGTTCAAGTTGGAGACCGTGAGGCGTTTCAAGCCCCTGTCTAGTTGGGGGTTACTCAGGAAAGGGCCCAGGGAGCTGACAGAGAGATCGTCACAGTTTTTCAGGGTCAGAGAGGCGAGGAGAGGGGGCCAGGGGAAGGATGAGATTGTTGATGGGGAGAATGTGCCGCTGACCTGTAGCCGTTGGAGTCTCGGGGGCCAGTTTGCTGTGGGTGTAGTAAGGGATGTGTGACGGGGCAGTCGAAGGGTGTTGAGTTTCTCGAGATGTCTTAGGGCTTTCTCTAGACTAGAGAAGGGGACCGGGTCGCTGACTAGGGCTAGGTCGAGGTAGCGGAGGTTAAGGCATTTGGATAATGAAGGGAGACTATTCCATCTTTTATGGATTTAGACGCCACACGTTAGACGGCATACAGGCAGCAATATCCGACTCTCAACTTACGAAAACGAGACCCTTGGGGCAATGAAAATTTCCAGGTTCTCCTTGACTCGATTCAATAGCCTGGCTGTCAAACTGTTGGAGCTGTGATGAACAAGCGCACTCAAATCCAGTCGCCGAACAAGACTTCCTAGATTAACACGTCTCTTTCGCACACGAATGGGCGGTGCCACAGTGTTTGTGAACAGCGTAAAAGCAGTGCCCATACCCAGTTGGGGCATCTCATAGAGGAATGAAACCGCTACCAGATACCACTGGCGCGATATCAAGCAGCATGCATGTAACGTCGATTGGCGGCGATCCCCGTCTGCGGCAATGAACCGGACAATGTGCACGATGATTTCAGTAGGGAGGTAGATCTGATGAGTCGAGCGCATGGTCTTCCACTGCATTCATAGTTTGCCATCCGATTATTTTCTCTTGCAGAGAACTTTCTCCAGTGGGATGATATCATGTATTGCCGTGGCCAGCGTTGTCGCTATCAGTCGTGTTGACTCGGGGACACAATTTCTCTCGAGCACCGATTTTACTGCGACTCTTTTCAATTTCCGCGTTACTGTGCAAGCTTCACTAATATCTGCTCGCTGGCTATAATAATATGAGACTCCAAAGGCTGACGGTGTCCTCCGTTCCTCGTGGATTTTGCCGCATCTCGCCGCTCCCATGTCCTCACGTGACAAGACGCGGACAGTATCGCCGATTCACCCGACCAAAAAAATTCATTCTTCCTGTCATCTCCTGACAGTCTCCCAACAAAAATGCTCTGTCGAGATGCAGGAAAGCCAAAAGATCCAGGGAGGCCATGTTGAGAGGAGCACGCCCATCAACACCCGACATGTGACAGAGAAGAGGGCTCCCGGCCCTTTGGTGCACCTTCTCGCTGGCGCGTAAGTTATGTCGGTCTCCGAACGGCAACATTCTGGCGACCCTAATTTCTGTTCTCTAGGAGCGGAGGCCTTGCTACCGCAATTGTGACTTCTCCACTCGATGTTCTGAGGACTCGGCTTCAGTCGGATTTGTATCGGACCCCTACACAACCTCTCGCTGCCTTTAACTCGTCGAACCATACGCTCGTTCATCAGGCTCGTTCCAGCCACAAAACCATCCAGATAATCAACTCCATCTATCGAGTTGAGGGTTGGCCGGCCTTCTTCCGAGGTCTGGGGCCAAGTTTAGCGGGAGTGGTGCCTGCGACTGCGATCAAATTTTACGTATACGGAAACTGCAAGCGGATCGGGGCTACTCTGTTCAACAATGGACAAGACTCTATGTTTGTCCATGCCCAAGCTGCCATTCTCGCCGGAATAGCAACTGCTACCGCCACAAATCCTATATGGCTCGTGAAAACAAGGTTACAACTTGACAGGGCACAGACGCCTGATGGCTCCCAGGCTCGTCGATACCGAAACAGCATCGATTGTGTCAGGCAAGTCCTACGCTATGAAGGTGTGAAGGGTCTATACAGAGGATTGAGTGCGAGCTATTTGGGATCGGTCGAGACAGCACTTCACTTGGTCCTTTACGAACGTCTGAAGTCCATCTTGCATCGGTCAGTTGAGGCAACGGACAGGACAAGGTCCCCTGCTTGGAATGAGCTTGCACATTGGATCAGCACGAGTGGTGCCGCTGGTACTGCCAAGTTAGCTGCAGGTCTAATGACGTATCCTCATGAGGTATGTGAATGCTTCGCTTGTTTATTGTGCGACTTTATTGACTCTACTCCAGGTGGTCAGAACTAGATTGCGTCAAGCGCCTTTGGAGAATGGCCTTCCGAAATACACTGGCCTAGTACAGTGTTTCGTGACCATTGGCAAAGAAGAGGGCCTGGCAGGCTTGTATGGAGGCTTGACTCCCCATATGGTGCGCTCTATACCATCGGCTGTCATTACACTTGGTGTATATGAATTTGTATTAAGACTTGTTGGCATGTAAGCATTGATATGCATGCCACACTGTATATTATTATCATGGGCCTGTCTTTTCTTTTCTTCTTCTTAGATGGGATCATGGGAAAGGAGTCTTGATGTGTCTCGGTCCATCTTGCAATTGGCAGGGTCATGGATATTTCGATCATTGTTTTGGCCACCATTTAGCATGGTTTGGGATGTCTAATCGAGGTGTTCGGTTTCAAAAATAAAATAATAATAGGCAATTTATACAGACATTATTCCTAATGTTTCATTCTGCATCTTCTTTTGGCCTGGCATCCAGATGACACTTATGTACATATAGCCCGCCGTACGAGCTCAGTTGATTGAAGTGACGCATTCGGACAGTCTAAATCCGGTGCATAATTGAAACTTCTCTATCATATTTTAATAACTTCCAATTGTACTTCTTTTCTGAGTATTTATAGTTTTGTTTTCCTTCAGTCTACTTCAAGATGATGTCTCGAAGAGCCTTGCCCTTCAGGCTGCTGCGGAACGCGTGTGTTCGCTCTTATCTAGACTCCGTGCCTGGCCGGAGAGCTCTTCAGACAGTCAATTCTAAACCATTGATACCAGATTTTGCCTTCGCTTTTGAGTAAGTACCGACTATCCCCCCTCCCCTTAAATACCGTCCAGCCAGTGTTGGCTTGAACGAAATATCTAATTGAGTAATCTACGAGCAGTATCGACGGTGTCCTCCTGCGTTCCTCTACTCCGATCCCCGGTGCTGCTGACTCCCTCACCTTTCTCAAGGAGCAAGGGATTCCTTTTATCCTTCTCACAAACGGTGGTGGAAAGCATGAAACAGAAAGGGTTGCAGATATCAGCGAGAAGCTCAAAGTACCGTTAGACGAATCAGTGATTGTTCAGAGCCATACACCATTCGCGGAACTTGTACATGAACCAGACACGAAGCTGAAGGATAAGTGTGTCCTTGTTGTTGGAGGTGAAAGTGGTAATTGCCGAAAAGTAGCAGAAAGGTACCGACCCCCTGCCCCGCTACTGGTTAGTTGTGAACAGTGTGGTACTGATTGGCATCGATCAGGTATGGATTCAAAAATGTAGTGACTCCGGGTGATATCTTTGTGTCGAACCCCTCTATCTGGCCATATTCAGGAGTCTTCAAGGATTACTACCAAAAATTCGCAAAGCCTATTCCAAATGCCGATTCTTCGAAGGGACCCAAGATTGACGCAATCTTCGTTTATAACGACCCTCGCGATTGGGGCCTGGACCTCCAAGTGATTGTCGATGTTTTACTATCGTCGCAAGGCATTGTTGGCACCAAATCCGAAAAGAATGGCCGGAGTGATCTTCCCAACCGCGGTTATCAGCAAGATGGGCAGCCGCCTCTTTACTTTTCAAACCCCGACCTATGGTGGGCCGCCTCTTATCATCTACCTCGCCTAGGTCAGGGTGGATTCCGTGAAGCTTTGGAGGGCGTTTGGGCAGCTGTAACCGGTGGCCCCAGTAAGGGAGTTGAGCTGAAGAAGACAGTGATTGGAAAGCCATCCCACATCACATACGAATTTGCAGAGCGGCATTTACTCCGCAATCGGATAAAATTCTTCGGGGAAACTGACCATCTTCCTCTGAGGACAGTATATATGGTTGGAGACAACCCAGAGTCAGATATCCGTGGGGCGAACTCCTACAGAAGCTGTTATGGTAGTCAATGGAACTCGGTCCTTGTCCGAACAGGAGTTTACAGTGGCGGACAGCCCGCATGGATGCCCAAGGCAATTGTGGACAATGTTCAAAAGGCCGTTGAATACGGCCTGAAGTCCTCGCAGTGGCCTGTTTCCAAGTTTTGAAGAAGCTGTACATGTTGAAGCAGCTAAACTGCATCCTGTGAGACTCATTGTTTGATATGCATAGAATATAAATAGACCAGGTGTTTGAACCTAACCCTATTCTATAAAAGTCGTACTTTATATCATTAATGAACCTTAACTCGAAACGTATCTTTCACCTGTCTGAGGATACCACGTGACTATAGACCCCTCTTAGGGCTTAGGGCTCTATGATTTGTTGGAGGGGCGAATTTCAGCGCTGCAATTGCATGACCCAAACAGATCTCGTTACTGTGACTCAGCTGTCCGCATCGACCATATAAAACATCTCACTGGTGCCATCTAAGTTCAGGGGCATTATCTGTCTCGGACTGTGACATTTCCCACAACATTCACCCCAATTCCCGGAATCTGACAGCCATGGCGTCCGAAGAATTGCCCAACCGTCCCAAGCCGGAAGAAACTATAGCAAACATTGACCCGTCCAAAGCTTCGGCTGCGACTCCATCAGACCCAACGGCGGAGGGTCCGAGCAAGAGTGCAAGCAAGAATGCCTTGAAGAAGGCTGCAAAGGAGAAAGCGAAGGCGGAAAAGGCAGCTCAGCGTGCTGCACAGGAGAAGGCGCAGGCCGCTGCACAGCAAACAGCTGACACGGCAAAGGGGCTATATGGACCGCTTCCAGAAACGGAAGATGTGCTTCCTGCAACCAGATTCACTGAGCTTTCGGAGGAGCTTGCCGAGAAGGAAATTACAGTGGTCGCTCGTGTTGACAATGCCCGTGTGCAGAGTGCGAAGCTGGCGTTTTTGATGCTCAGACAGCAAGGACAGAAAGTGCAGGCCGTCATTGCTGCAGCAGAACCGATATCGAGGCAGATGGTGAAATATACAGGTGGATTGAATGTCAACTCCATCGTTCAGGTCACCGGTATCGTGAAGAAGGCGGACATCCCGATCGTGTCTGCTACGTACAGCAATGTCGAAATCCATATCAGGAAAGTCTATATGATCGCAGAGGCTTCTCAGCAGCTTCCTATGCAGGTCAAGGATGCCGAGAGGCCACCGCCAGAGTCAACGGAGGAAGGGCAAGTCGATGCCGAAGGTGCTCCTCTTGTTACTCTGAAGACTCGTCTTGATAATCGTGTCCTCGACCTGCAAACTGAGGCCAATCAGGCTATCACTTGGATTTCTAGCGGTGTTGCCCAATTGTTTGCGGAGTACATGCTCAAGAGTGGTGCCAGATGGATCTCGACACCCAAGTTGGTGGGAGCTGCTACTGAAGGTGGTAGCAACGTTTTCGAGATTAAGTATTTCAAACGTAAGGGCTATCTGGCACAGAGTCCTCAGCTGTACAAGCAGATGTGCATTGCAGGTGACATGGAGAGCGTCTTTGAAATTGCTCCGGTTTTCAGGGCCGAGGACAGCAACACCCACAGACACATGACTGAGGTATGCCGTTCTATTTGGAATACCAATCCTATTCTAAGGTGGTATTTTGAAAACTGACCAATCTTCTACAGTTCACTGGCCTTGATTTCGAGAAGACATTCCGTCATCATTACCATGAAGTCTTGGAGTTTGCTGAAGAACTACTTGTCTTCATTCTCGGCGAGCTCAAGGAGAGATATAAGGATAAGATTGCGATTATCCAGAAGACGTATCCCAAAGCTGGTGACTTCAGACTCCCCAAACACGGCAAGGCACTGAGACTCAATTATATGGATGGCGTGGCTCTGCTGAAGGAGGCAGGCGTCGATGTTTCTGAGCAAGAAAAGTTCGAAAATGACTTCACCACTGCGATGGAGAAACAACTAGGCCAGATTATCCGGGACAAGTACGACACCGATTTCTATGTGCTCGACAAGTTCCCCATGGCCGTACGACCTTTCTACACCAAACCCTGTCCCAACGACTCCAGATTTTCTAACTCGTATGACTTCTTCATGCGTGGAGAAGAGATCATGTCTGGTGCACAGCGTATTAACGACTACAAGGAGCTGGAGAATGCTATGATCGCCAAGGGCGTCAACCCGCACCAGGAAGGTTTTGAGGATTACTTGACGGCTTTCCGCCAGGGATGTCCTCCTCACGCTGGTGGCGGCTTGGGTCTGAACCGTATTGTAATGTTCTTCCTGGGATTGCCTAATATTCGTATGGCGACTCTGTTCCCTCGTGATCCTCAGCGCTTGCGTCCTTAAGCAGCCGCGTTGGGCTAGCCATGGGAAGCTCGTTCCCAACGGTCGCAAATAATCTGATTCAGTGAAGCATAACGAATGAGTTTATAGCGATCTTGCAGCCGGAATGTATGAAATAAAAAGCAATTGCTCATACGTAGAAAGCCTATACAGCGTAGACATCGAGAAATTCTGCCTCAGGCGCAAGATGGCCCAAGCTCCTTGAGGCTCGATAGAACTTCGTCTGACGTTCATATTTACTTCCAACCATAAACCCTTGGATGACCTCTACAGCAATATCATGTCCAAGATGCCCGACAAGAGAAAGCCTCCTTCCACGACCGGAAGCTCACCGTACGCGAAACGTACCCGCCCTTCATACGCCGAACATGACGACGGTGACGATTTTCACAAGAACACACCCCAGCCCTATGAACGACCCCGTAACGATCCTGTGTACGGCCAGAAAAGTGCCTTTCCAGGCTTGGACGATCCAGCAGGCGATGAGCTGTTCTATGGCCCAGCAGAAGATGGGATAGAGTATCTTCGTATGGTCCGGTAAGCTATTTTCAATCCGATGAAACGTTCTTTTTCTATATATGAAAAACTCCCCTCCAATTCTTTTGCTTCTCGCTTGCTAAGTCTTTTATTTTTTCGTCTTCCCTGTTTCCTTGCATATCAGCTTCTGCCGTTGATAGCGAGTATACTGGGAATCTGATGATGATTCTTGTCAAATATTGACTATTCCCTTCCCGCTCCTGACGCGTTCGACGAGTTTATACAGGTCTGAAGCAAATTCACTACCTTCTTTCTTCGCGGCAAAAACCTCCGTGATGACACGTACCGACGAAGAACCGACTGCTTTTCAAGGACGGAAAGACGCCAATAATTACGCGCGAGGGATATACTCCGACGGTGTCTACGTAGGACCTCCTGTTCATATTCATACTGGCCCCGTTACTCCCCCCCCTTCTAAAGCAACGGAGGATGCTCAAAAATGTCAGGATAACCTTACCTCCTCCACACAAGAAGCGTATTACAATCTCCTACGACACAGATTCCTCCTTCTTCGATCTACATTACGCTGCGCGCCGCCGGCTTCGGCGATCGCGGCCCTGGATGACTCCCATCCCATAACTCTTCCACGGGGCTCCAGGTCCGCGCGCAAGGAATGGCGACGGCTCCTTCTTTCAGTGGATCCGCAGATGGTACAACTAGCGTGTATGGACATGGATACCGTTCTGAGCGTCTTGGGGATCATGGCGCGGCTGATGTCCGAGAATGTCCGTAGCGGGGATGCGGAGAAGGTGAGACGGATAAGTGCCTGGGCATGGGGGCTACTGGGGAAATGTCGGGAAGTGGGGCAGTTGGGGACTGAGGAGGTCGGGGAGATCAGGGACTTAGGGAAGAGGGCTGCTAAGATTCTGCTGAAGATGAAGGAGGATGAGGATGAGAGGAGCAAGATTGACTCTATCGCGCCGGATAAAGAGGAAGAAGAGTCAGTTTCGTCATCCGATGATCAGGAACAGCCGCTGGAAGTTCGGGATGGGGACAGTGCGGACGATGAAAACGACAATATCCCGGAACCTAGCAATAGCATGAATGCCAGAAACGCTGCTCATGCATCGGATTACGATAGTGATATGCCTGATGCAGAACCAGAAACCGAACCTGAACGAATACCCCCGTCAGAAGAGCTAGATGCTGCCAAAGCCCGTCTTCAAGCGCAGCTACGATTTAGTCACAGCCCAGAACAAGAACAGCAACAAATAGAAACGGATGTACCGGAGGACAAGGGCAGTCAGGACCTAGATTTGGAAGCAGAGAGAGCCGCTCACGCTGCGGATGTGGTCAAGCAAACCCGTGCCATGCTTGACATGATCATAACGGTTGTTGGTGAATATTATGGGCAGCGGGATCTCTTGGCTGCTCGGGAAATATGGGAGGTTTCATTATGACATGCCATGATTCTTGCCGTGTATCGGAAAGAGTTATGGAGTTGTGTCTCGTTTTTGTTTATTCGAGGTATAGCAAGGGCGGAAGGACCAGGTATATCACGATACCATCCTGTTTTGTATGAATCCATTGATGAAATACTATGTATATTTCCCATTAAGACTTTTTGATAAGTGACGATAGTTGCTCCGATGAAGATCTATAAAGCTCATTAGACATGGTTGACGCATCAGCTAAATTAAAAATTACGCATGCTTTTGGCCATGGTCAGACTGGGAAGTGTTTAAGAAAGACAGGAAAACAATGCCATTGTAGGCATGTATTGGTTTTCTCAAGGAATCCGACCCAATGCCAAGTGCTGAATTGCTTGGGTCCTCTCCTCTACTGTCCGAGATAGAACTGCGATCTGAGCAGTGAGATCCTTGATCGCATCAGTAGATTCCTTCAGCTTCGAAGCACAGTCAGGGGCCGGTGCCGGCGGTCGAGGGTAATCACTCGGTAGTCGCTTCCCTCCCTGCAAGATCCATGTTTTCTGATCCCACCAATCCATCTCCTCCATGAAACGCCTGCCAACCAAGTATGACTCGTTTTGCCTGGTGAGTGAGTCGAGTGACGGTCCAGCTTTACTGTCAAAGAGCAAGAGAACGTTTCCGGCGGAGTCGGCACATAAAGCACCTGTTTCTGGAAGGGGGCTCGATCCAAGATGCCTTTTCCATTCGTCTCCCGTTGTTGGGGCCATGCCTACTCCAAGGTCTAGCCACTTTGTGATGACCAAAGCAGGGCCTTCGTCACCGCAGCTCCGAATCTGTAGCTGATAATCGATACCGCACATGCGGCATTTGAAGATGGGTGAGGTAGTGTGTGATTCTCTACCATTGTGGTATGCATCTAATTTCGATCGAACGAATTGGGATATATTCGCGTCACGAATGCTGAGATGCGTGCAGATCCATATAAAACCTATCCCTGAAACGAATTGGTCAGAGCTTGCAGTCTTCACCAATGCCCAGTTTTGAATGCGCAGACACAGGCTATCGGAAAAGCAAGCCCGTGCCTCCACGGATAACAAGGTAGTTATGGATCTCTCTTCGAAGAATCGCACTTCAGAATAGGATAATGACTCGGTAGAGATGCCATGCGCAGGGCCGTAATAGTGTCTCTTCATTGCAAGCTGCAAGTGAGTAATGTTAAAGTCATACAGGGAGTGCATGGGATGCACATCAACCGAGCGCCAGAGGCTGGGTAGTTCATTGTTTTCAAGATGCCCGCGGAGACGCTCGGTGGGCTGAAATGCTGGACCTGGAGGGCCAATGTAATCACACGGATGAAGAACGGAGCAGGACTCGCAGAAGAAATAAGAAGGGAGATCCCGCTGCAGTTGTACCAGGAACTGCATTCGTGTCTCGGAGTCGGGGAATTCAAGACGGCCACGTCCAAGTACGTGGAGAATGGTGCGGTTGCAAAGAGAGAATGAAGCTGCATCAACTGGTAGCAGGTATTCTGTAATCATCTGCATAATCTCAGTTGGTAAGTCTGCAAAGGTGGATTTCCTCGCCGCATTGTCAGTACTGGGGCTCACGGAGCGCCGATAAGGACTGTGAGGCATTATCCATTAAGCATAAGGGTATAATATGAGAAATAAATCAGATCTATGACGCCCATTTAGTTTCTGGTACGATAGTAGATGCAATGATGCCTTTAGAGATGAACCCTTTCTCCTGGCATGATGGTGGACAGGGACAGCTGCAATTGAAGTCGCAAGTTGAAGCAAGCGATATTCTGCCGTGCGTTTCCGTCTTATGAGTAATCCTACTGCGGAGTATGTTTCCATCTCCACTCAGACATCAATGTATCTATCTCTTCTATATTCTCTCTGTTCCTATTTTCCAGTGTTCTGCTTGTCTCCGACCTCCCTCACGACAAGCCATGTGGGAAAAATCTGTACAACCCACAACCCAAGTAAGAGTGCCTCAGATCCCATCATACTCCACTTCACCTGAACTCCATATCCAAGGGCAGCTCCACCGGTATGGACAGCTTTCATCAACGCCGTATATCGACCAGAGTAATGCAATTCAAACACCCTGTAGGGCAGTCGTAAAGTATAGAAACCACACCGTCCCATATTGTGAGACTTCCAAGGCCCTTCGGTGCATTCTAGCCAGGTTTAAATTGCGTCGCGGGACGAAAGCGCGACCTCCAAGGGTAGTTTCGTTTCCTGCCACCTGAAATCCGTCAGAGAGATCCGGACAGCAGCCTGCCATTGACCTAAAAACATGATATGAAACCTAAGTAGAGTCTACTATGTTACTAAAGTTAACGAAGAACCCCAAATCAGTTCCAGTGGTTTCCATTATTTCACCAGGGCAACCTGCAACTTGAGTTTATTTCGTCTCCTGTATATAGTGTTTCAGAATACCTTCATAACTCTGCTCAGTTTTCAAATTAACAGCATAGCGAGATGTAAAGGAATCTTTGACCCCCTTGTAAGGGAGGCCTTGAAGATATCCAAGGAAGAGAGATGTTAATGGGTTGACGTAGCTACATAGGAAGGCCCACCAACAAGAGATAACAGGTAACCTCGACTTTTCACGTGACCCGATGTCATCATCGCGTTTATCTACACTGCTCCATCCTGGTCTGGTCTCGTGCGAGCCGTACACTCTGCTGTTGATGCTTCATCCCGCATCCATGGGTCGCTCTCTTTCCAGCTGCAATACTGGAGCCTTTTAGAAAGACTCGATTTACTGGCCCTGTCCTATCCTAGTTCAACCCTGGGATGGCCCCTAACAAGATCGAAATCACCGTCCCAACGACGACCACCTCCACCACATCCCCCCCTTACACAATCTACAGCATCACCCTCCGGCTCCCTCTCCGCTCCTTCACTGTCCAGAAGCGCTACTCAGACTTTCTCGCATTCCACTCCATACTCATAAACCAAGTCGGCACGCCGCCCCCCGTCCCACTCCCCGGAAAGTCATGGTTCTCCAACACCGTCTCGAACACAACACTCCGCGAAGAAAGGCGACGGGCCCTCGAAACCTATTTACAAGCAATAAACGATGCCGCTGATTCTCGATGGCGTAGCTCCAGCGTCTGGAGGGCGTTTCTGAACCTTCCCAGTTCTGCAGCGAGGGAGTCTGCATCTGCATCCAGATTACACGCAGCCATCACGGAACCGGGGGCGGGAGACCTCATTCGCGATCCGATATTATGGCTGGATTGTTATCGCGATATGAAGGGTCATCTACACGATGCGCGGTTACATCTGACGAGGCGCGATCAGGAGACGACACCGCAGAAACAACATGAGAGCTCGGCGCATGCGAAGAGCAGTCTTGTCAGGGCTGGTTCGTTGATTAGCTCCTTGGAAGAGGGGCTGAATAAATTGACCGTTGGAAATACCGATACTGATACCGATGCTGGTTTGGGCGATGGGGAGCTCCGACGAAGGAGAGACCTTCTCATTAATTCGCGCAAGGAGAAAGATGGGCTGGAGAATCTGTTGCATGCCATGGCTGCTAAGAGCAGGGTGGATTCTACGCTTGCGTCAGTCCAAGATAAGGAGGCTTTGATGGGCATTGGTAATGGTAATGGCGGTTCTGGTGCGAGGAAGTCGACTAGGTCCGGTAGGGTGCTTGGGAAGGAGACCGAGCGGACACGTGAGCTGGATAATCAGGGTCTGGTTCAGTTGCAGAAACAGACCATGCAGGAGCAAGATCAGAATGTTGAACAGTTGGGGAAGATTGTTTCGAGACAGAAGGAGTTGGCTATTCAGATTAATGCCGAGTTGGAGGTGCAGAATGAGTTGCTCAGATTGACTGATGAGGATGCTGATAAGTGCGTTTTTTTCTTTCCTTCCCCCCTTCACTTCAATTCCTGTGCTAACAGTCGATCCCAGGCTAGGTCGCAAGATGGACATCGCCAAGAGGAGAATTGGGAAGATATCTTGAATGCATACCAGGAGCATTGTTTCTACATCTCAACATTATCATTTGCTTGGAGCGGCGTCGAGGATCCCATATCTTTCGTTCCATGTACATACATATCTACGCTTCAGCGAATTATAGAGTCTGGGTATCTCTTATTGGCAAATTATAACTATCCGACCAGTAGAGTAATGATCTAATTTCATTTCTGAATGATACCTGTTGATGTGCCAGAGGGTAAGTAGATGTCATTTCGCAGACATGAACTAAAATTTGTCAGCATGAAAACCCAATATTCCTTCCGACACAGAATTCTTACCCTCTTGGCTTCTTCTTCAGTAACGTCAGATTGCTCAGACATATTATTGTCAATCAAGGCAAGTTTATGCCTCCGGATGAGCCACCAGAGCTCGCGGCGATCTCCACCAAGCTCATCCTTCAACAGCTTCTCCTTGACTTGCCGCAAGAAATTATTGAATAGTTTCGGTTCCTCATACCCTACAAGCTCATCTCTCATTACGCCCAGCATTTCGATGACCCGATCATAGTTCGCATCGCCAAGGGAGTGTCTGATCTGGTTCTCAATTATGGCCGTCATTTGCTTGACCGCATCTCCTACAGTCTCGATATCTTCGGCGCCGCTTAATATCTGTTTAAATTCAGGTATAGCGTTGCTGACAGAAATCCGGGCACGCTTTTCTTGATGCAGCAGTGCATCGACATCAAGCCCTGACAGCGGCTTTTCGGTTTCACGAGTGCGCTTACGGCCCTTGGCTTTGGGTGAGACTGTGTATTCTGGTCAGCAAGGTTCACTTCAACTTGGGCGTGTAGACAAAGGTAAGAACCTTTTTTGACGTCGGATGCCTCGACTAGCCTTTCCAGGTACTTTTTGGACTTTTCGACCAGATCCGCCGGGGGGTGAGACAGTTTGGTCAACGTTTCAGAGGCGGGAGGTATTGGATCGTTGGGGTGGATCGCACGGTACCGTATTGCGGAATCGACTCGATGTAGCAAAGGCGAATATGAATGGTCAATGGGCAATGCGTTGATTTGTTCTCTGCGACTTATTAGCAACCCAGCTGTATTATATTTCACCATTATTTCATATTGTTAACATACCCATCATCGTCTCTGTCAATAAGCTCCATACTGTCCACATACTTGCTCATCGCATTTTGTAAATCTTCATTGGGAAGATTACGGTGCTCTGTGACCACTTTCCCCGAGACAGTCACTACCTTGTCGAGCGGAGGGAAGCGATATGTTCGAACGTCCTCATTAAACGGAAGTTGAACTTCGAGGAGACACTCATAATCTGGTTCAATCGAAGGTGCAAGTAACACCATAAGTGGAGGCTTGTTTTCCTTGGTCACCAGTCGAGCTACAGCATAGCACTCAAGCTCAAAAAGAGCATGAATAAAGGAAGAAAGCGCAAACCCTGCCTTGTCATTTGTGCGTTGCGCAATAATGACATTGGTGTTGGACATGTGTAGGTAACGATCGTACTATTAAAAGCCCAAATTAGTCACTTCTACTGGTATTTGGCCGCCTTAGACAAGGAGCAGAGAGAACAAGATATACCTTCTCACTTTGAATGAACCCAACCAAATCTAGAGAGGCAAATGTCTCTAGTCTCGTGATACTTTCATCAGTCTCACTGATATGGACAGCCGTTCGACCATACTCGTAGCCTTTGGCTAGGTTTTCCCGCTCCACATCCGCTTTCCCCCTTGGGGCACTCTCATCGGTAATTTGATACACCCTCAAAGTCCGCACGTTTGTGAGAGTATTCTCTTCTCCAGCTTGAGTGTTCTGCTGCGCTGCCACAGTTGCGGGGGATTCTGCACTATCCAGTTGGCTTACAATATCTGAACGAAGCACAAATGAACTTGCTGGTGGGGGCTTTGCGATATATGTTCTATAATATCGCTCGACTGGGATGCGGAGAGATGTAGAATACTCCTCTGGGTTACCAAGCTGCAGAAATCCTTTAAATGATGGGATACCTCGCACAACTTTGATGCGTGGAATATCCAACTCAGACACTGCCTGCTCCAACGTTCCGTATACTCCCTCGCAGTCTTCAACAAGGCGTTTCAGGAGAGTTTCGTTTTCGGCCTACCACCGTCAGTATCGGATATTTCTGTTTTGGATTCTGAGCATGTCACCTTTTGCAGTCCCTTATCTTCCTCCTTGAAACCATACTCGGGATCATCGAAGTCGGCGCCCCTGTAGAGAGTTAGACACTTTTCTGTAGACAATTTAGGAGACCAGAGGGAACCCACAGAACCACGAGTTCGATGTTATCCTCCTTGATTTTTTCTATAATCCCGTCCATCCCGTCATCGCTCATGGCCCCATCCCCATTAGTAACCAGAACGATTTTCCGCTTATACTTTAACTTCTTGCAGTAGGTGATAATCATCTGTATAGCCAGAACGATAGAAGATATGGCTTAATCACAGTCAGGATAATGCGACATCAATAAATTGCTATTAATAGAAACCTACCATCACCATCATCAGTATGGCTTGGTTTGACCAGTTCACGAAGTGTTCGAATGTCTGGCATGAGAACCCTTGGCATTCTGTTAGTCCAGCCGGATCCAAGTGTCTTTAGCGAGAGAGGCATACTGTCCGATGTTGCGAAAGACAGAAATATTGGAGAAACTATCATCGTCCTTTGCAAGATCATTGACCGCGTCTATAGAATGTATCAGTTAGGGTGCAATGAATACTAGGGTAATCCTAACCATCTGTCCTCAAACCAATGACTCCTATGGTAGCCGTTTTTCGACCAGTGGCCACCTAATACTGTCAGTTTACTCTGGAAGACCTAAGCAGTATGCAAAGGGGCATTTACAGTAGTAGTGATTTTATCCCAGACATACTGCATCGCCCATTCTAGGTCAGTTATGGATCGCCCATGACGGCGTTCTCCCATAGACTGCCCAACATCAACAATATACACGGTGGCTTCTTTGTCAGCCATAATAATGATATATGATGATAAACGGAAGATGGAGAGAGGGGAATGGAAGGGATCTCTTTGAAGAGTCCTCCAGGCAGACGCGTGATATTTCCGTTTTGGGAGTTGGACGGAACGCGAAGGCACATGACATCACCTAGGCGGTTGGGCCGTGCGCATAAGGATAATACGCCTGCAAGGTGCGTGACCAAAACTCCAGACAATGAATCAGTCCAGACTTATCCGTGCTCCGCCGACGACGTCAGTGTTCCCCGCCTCCGCGAGCTTAGAGTAACGTCTTTCCTAGCATCCTGCAACGACATAGCGTTCTCTGCGCTATCATTTGGCTTATTTGATTTCTTTCTTGGATATACAGACGTTCAGCTTCAAAATGGATCCCCGTCCTTTCCACATACTGAGGTTTGTCGATTCACCTCGCGTCACCTACGTGACCCTATTCCGGGCATTTCTAATTCTACCAGTTATGGAACATTGCTGGGGACGCAGATTTTCCAGGTGAGTCGATACAGTATCAAAAATGGTAGTAGTATACCTTCAACAGTCAACAAGGCTAACGATGACTAGTCCTTCATCGGAGGTATAATCGCCTTCAGAAGGTTGCCTCGCCCGCAGTTTGCAACCTTGCAAACGGGCATCTTCCCAATTTACTTTGGCCTTCAGACAGCTCTCCCAGTCGTTATTGCTTTGACTGTGCCAAGTAGTCAAGGTGGAGTTACTGGGGTCTTACACTCGGATGATCGATACAGCACTCTTCTTCCTCTGGTCACGGCGTTCGTGGCCGGCGTGATTAACCTGCTAGTGATGCATCCATTGGTGACCAAGACTATGCGGGATAGAAAGGCCCAGGGTGCGTTTATTTTATTTTGTTGTGTCTTTTTAAGGGGCTCTGGGACGCAGAACTGACTGTAGCAGAAACCCGGGACGGCAAGAAGAGTTATGACCCCCCTCCTCACTCCAAGGAAATGCTTGCCCTGAACAAGAAATTCGGAAAGCTTCATGGTCTGTCCAGCTTGGTAAACCTGATTAGCATTGCTGCGACCGCTTACTACGGCGTGGTATTGAGCAAGAGGCTGTCCTAATTATTGGTTTTGGATGGGGACAAATTTGGCCAAAAGCTATATTATTGGAGTTAGCAAGTTCTAGCATTCGTGTAGAGTATCAATCGGCCTCTACGATGCTCATATGTATACTTATGTGTATCTAATTGACATATTCATCTAGCTTAGACGAATTCTTATCTCATTCGTGTGTTCTATTGTCGCATTGGAGTGAAGCCAGACTCGACAGTTATACATATGGATGAATAATCTGTATGTCTGAAACTCATACTTTCTTTTTTTAAAGAAAAAAATTGTCCAGTGCAGTCAATCTGTTCTCATTGAACTTCGCACGTAAGAAAAAGTGCATACACGGTGATGGATGAGTACAATAACAGCTACTCGAACTTGTTCAAATTCATCGGCCTTCATTGACCGTCCGATGGAGCAACATTTACTTCGACAACATTCAGAAATAAATGATGAGCTCGATATTTCTTGTTCCATGCCTGCTTCCAGTCCAGTGTCTGCTATGAAGGGCCATTTATTCACTGTCGAGTTAATTAGAACAAAGAGTCCCCGTCTCTTTGTCCAGAGACCTCACAGTCATCGCCTTCTTCAACAACTGCCTGCGTAGAATTTACCGAGTATGCCATTGCAACTTGGATATTTAATATTCACTGAATATCGAGGGAATTCTCCTCTATCTTTACTGACAACCTGGAACAGTTATAAATTCCACCTTCCTCTTCCTCTCTCCCTCTCTTCTTCTCTCTTCCTAGCTCGCGCATACATCTCCGAGAACCACCGTCTTAGTCTTTCTCTTTTCATTGTCAGCTCATCTCCAGATCTAAATACTCGATCAACGCCCAATCTCCCGCCAGTCAACCATCGGAAAGAACACCCAGCATCTAAGTCCGAGTTTGGAGTACTCGGCGTCTAGAGTCAAGATGGACCTCCTCGCACTCTCCATCTTCTCTATCTTCGTGGCCATGTTTGGCTCATACGAATCCGTCCCGTTAACTGCTATACACCCCGCATACGACTTCCCCGAGCGTTTCTGGGGTGCCTTTAAAATCTCCTGGACAATGTGTCAAGTGGGAACCGCCATCAGCATGGTCTTTCCGCCAAGATATCTCAACGGGTCTCTCATAGACCCGGGTAACTTTATCACCACGCTGCCGTCCGCGGCTCCCGCCGAAACGATCACCACCGCCCTGTCCGTCATTCCTGCGCCCGTATCTTCGGACATGGTCAACGATTTGGCTATTGTCCAGACGGAGAACCCGGGAACCGCCGAGTCGTCTGAGGGAAGGACTCGCGTCGGCATCTGGGTTGTCCTGTTGCGTGTACTCTTGGGTTACTTCTCCCCCGAGGACCAGGAAGGGCAGCGCCAGCCTTCCTTCGTAGACCTGTTGTTAAACCCATTCTGGGTTCTCAGCGTGGTCGGGCCGTTCGCCGTCATGCGGGCGGTTGTCCAGGGTCTGTCGCTTTTCAAGAGGAGGGAGTATACACAGACAGCCCAGGTTGCCGACGACGAGATCCTGGGGATCGTTCGAGAAATCCGGGTGAAGAAGGCCGAGTTACTGAAGAAGCTCGATGAGGAGCTTTCTGTGGTGGATGCGGAGGTGAGCGATGTTTCGATGCGGATCAAGGCTGAGAGAGAGCGTATCTGCATCGAGCTCGCCTCCCTCCGCGTCCACCACCTCATCCAAGATGAGGTGGCGGAGGTTCGAAAGTCCGTCGAGTCGAGATTCCAGTGCGAACTCGAAGGAAAAGTGAAGGAACTGATTGCGGAACTCGACTTGACGGGCTCTAACACGGTCCTTTCCGAAGGACGTCAAGAATCTTCCACGCAGACTGACAGCCAGCCTGAGAGTCTGAAAGAACCGCTCCACGGTGAATCGTCACTAGTCGACGTTGACCAACTGCCGCTGCTGCTGGAGAATGGGGAAGAGCAAGGACCGCCCGAAGAGACAGGGCCTTCTCCCCAGCTCGATCCGTCTAACGACGACATCTCTATCGATGATAACGACAACGACGATCTATCTCCCTTCACATCTCCAGAGTCTTCCCCCAAACTCGACCGTAAAAGAAGATGTCGCCCCAGCAAAGCTAAGCGTATGCGAATGGCAAAGAGGGTCCAAAATCAACAAGCCATGCCATCTCTGATACCTTCTCCTCTCAAGCTCGGCCAATGATCTACTCTACTACCATCGCAATCGGAACGATACTATCGCCTTCCTTATCACAGACATCGCTCGAAAGCTTGATAAAGATCAACATGAACATACTTCGATTCAACATCTTATTATTTTTCTTCTTAATATCTTTGAAACGCGGCCGGACATGTTGAGGTTGCCATGGCAATATGGTCCTCCATGGACACCGTTTCATTGCAGTCGCGTGTTAACTCGTGCTTCGTCAAGGTTGAGTCGAGATTATCTAAGCGGGAGCTTTGTCTAACTAACTAGATCACATTCTCATCTTTTTTTTTTTTGTCTCCGGGTTCTTAATTCGTTCCGTAAAAGTAAGGGTGGAGCTCCTCTGCCGTTGCTGTTCTGATTATCATCCTTACTCGAGTTATCTTGTGGGCACGATGGCATTAGCCACGGGAGTTTTATATCGCTATGTCGGTGCGGACGCGAAAGAGTATATTCTACGATACCTAGGTAGTTATTCCTTGAAGTTCTTTATTCATTGGGTCGAACCGTTTGGTCTTTACCAGCGTATGAAACGTTAATAGACTACGAAATAGCATAGTAAGTTCAGGGTCTTGATCTACTTGAGAATCATTGGCCCAGAGAAAGATAGTGAAAAGAAGGCTCAATGTTACGCCAAGCGTCAGCCAGGCGCAGGAAGTGCACAAGGGTTGTGATCCATCAATAAATTTGACAATTCAGTAACGGGGGAATATGTAAGCATCATAGAGAGGATGAGTATTAGACATAAAAATATTAAAGAAAAGACTGCTCATTCCCACCTCCTTATGACACGTAAAAAATCGTAACTGCCCTGCTAAAAAATAACACAAGGTTTAAGAACAAGCCAGAAGGTAATGGCAAGGTCCTAGCTTGTTGAAAATTCGGAACATAATAGCTGATATTTTCCTCTGTATGCCCGCAGTTCATGAACCAGCTAGATTCACGGAGTCGTGCAAGTCGGCGGAGGGCCTACTGCAGTCTTCTCTGCCTTCTCTTCCACTACCACTCCAGCTCCTTCCCCGAGACCTTCGGTCTCGTAAAGTTTGGGAAGAGGTTCGAGTTTCTGGCGGAGGATCCAGACGCGGAAATGCCAAATGGCATTCTTAATCTGGTAGGCTGCGTGTTTTGTGGTTGGGACTGAGAATACTTGGTCCAACTCCTCGAGGGTGAGAGCTATACAGTGGTGGAAGAAGAAAGTCAGCACATTGAAATGAGGCTTGCCGAAACATACAAAGCCCGAGGAAAAAGCAAGCTTACCTTTGGTTTCGGGCACAAAGAGCAGGACAAGGAACCAGCCGATTACACACCAGGCAGCATACCAGCCGAAGGCACCTTGAGGTTTGAAGGCATCCAGAAGAAGGGGCCAAGTAAATGAGAGGATAAAATTAAAGCACCATGTGGTTGCAGTGGCCCATGACATTCCAACTTCACGGACATTCAGTGGGAAAGCTTCGGCAGAATATGTGAACGGAACAGGGCCCTCCCCTGGCGAGTAAAACACTTCGAAGAGATACATTCCTGTGGTTACCATTCCCACTCTCGCCCTGCTGGTTTTATTATCGGGATCGATCCAGAAAGAGAATCCTGTCCATAAGAGGCATATGGCGAGGAAAGGGAATGTGAAAAGCAACAGGTTTCGCCTACCCCACGTGTCAATGGTGAAGAAAGCCGGTAAAGCGAAGATCCAGTTGAGAATACCAGTGCCCATCGACACCAGAAGAGCCTCCTGGGTGCTGTATCCCGACTGGGTGAAAATGGTAGTCGAGTAGTATGCGATCACATTCACACCACAAAACTGCTGCATAAACATGACAATCCAGCTTGCCAGCGTGGCCCGGGCATTGCGAGGGATTGTGAACAGTTCAAGAAACATGCTGAAGAAATTCTTCCCCTTGTTGATTTCTTTTTCCAGTTGCACACCAACGTATGCATAATACAGGTCCCGCGCGGCTTGAAGATCGCTCGGCCGAAGGGTCCGGAAAGCCTTGAAAGCCTTGTCTATTTTGTTGTGTTGGATCAACCAACGCGGTGATTCTGGACAGAAATATACTTGTGCACAGACAATCAATGGTAAGACTACCGTTGATCCCAACATCAAGCGCCATGAGAGATCGTCATGTAGACCCATGAAGGCAACTCCCATGATATTGCCAAGCATTATGCCGAATGCGGTCCACATCTGCCACATCATAACCAGTGCCCCTCTGATCGGTGCCGGAGAGCATTCTGCCGCATACACGGGAACGGTGGAAGACTTCGAACCAATTCCTAGTCCAAGAACAAAACGAGCAAGGAAGAGATTGACCCATGAGTTCGCCACTCCTTCCCAGATTGACGCGACAGCTGCTATAAAACAGGAGATCCAAATCGTTCCACGTCGAGCAAGGTATCTATTAAGAGGTTCGGTGAGCCAACAGCCGACGACCGCACATGCAAGATAAGGTGCACCGACGACAAGGCCGGTGATATAATCCTTCATGTGGCCGTGCTCGAAACGCGGGGCATCGACTCCGAGTCTCTAATGTAACATTAGGTCGTTAGCAGATACAATATACTGCGAGAAGGGCAAGAAAAGATCACCTTCAGATAAATAGCCTGGGCTCCATTGTTAACCGTTTCGTCCATGCCTTGTACAGCGGCCGCCAGCGAGCACATGGCTGGAGAGTTCAGTATCAGCAGCAGAAAGCATCGTAGGAAATGCGCGTGACGTACATGCCATGAAATAAAGCTGCCATGGTTGGGACCATTTGTGGGTTGTTTCGCGCTCGAGGTGATACCTGTCTTCCTCAGATAGCTCCGGCAGGCTAAGTGCAGCCGATGGGTTCTGGGAGATAAGAGCTCCCTTGATGAAAGTATGAAGGTGTTCCTGCAGTCCGAACTCAGTGCAAAACTGTTCCACGTCCTGGATGAGCTTTTCCCGAGGTATGTTGGCAAGGGGATTCTCGAAGATGACAGACGTCTTCCTAGGATCAGTGTTTTGGACTTCCTCGTGGACATTCTCCGCATGCTGATAGCTTTGAGGGTTGATATTCTTCCCCGGGATTTCTTCACTTGGCGTGATGCCCAAGTCGTCGGCTTCCTTCATGTTCTCGACTACAATGCTCAGAGTATCTTCTTCTGTGTCAAATGAACTTGAAGGTACTACCGGGGGGGAATCACGAGTCACGGAAGAGAGAATGGTAAAGCTCTCACCAGATGTCCTAACTGACTCATATATGAACAATTAAAGAGCAGGGCAAAGAAAAAAAATTTTTGTCTCCAGGCAGTCCTTTGTTCTGTTCACCCCCCTTTTAAAGAAAATCTGGAGACCCTCATCACGTCTTGTCCATCGTGCAGCCTTATATGAGAGTGGAGCTCCAATAATTGTACGCGAAATCAAGGGAATTGATAATACGCTATGCAGCTTTTCGGAATAGTTCAGACCGCCAGTGGATAAAGAACAAGCTGCTGCACCAGAAATAATGAAAGACAAGGATATCGCCGTTGGTCAGCCCCATCGTCGCATTGCAAACGGCCGAGAAAGGCAATGACTGGGCAAATACTGACCAGGATCAACATCCATGGCCAGAAGCAACGAGCCAATACAATAGCGTCAGTAATATCTGAATCCACTCATCATTGTCAATGGTCATGCCGAGCAAAAAGGCATGCAAGTTGCAGTTGGAAAAGCCTGGAAGTCCTGGGAACCAATCATCAGCCAGGGTCTGAACGGGATACAGGGGAGGCATGTCAGACCAGCAGGAAGAATCCCGAAGAATACCGGAGGACATCATGCAGGTAGAGCCGGTGGAGGGAATGATCAGCGATGGATGGGGAAGTCTGGAGATGAGGAGAAACTGGCAACTTCCGAGCGAGCAGGAAAAGCTGGAGAAGATGATCCGGGGCTATCACGTGCGTGGGGAGTCGGACTCTATCTCTTTCCTTCCCCTGCCTCTCAGTCCAACGCATGCACTGGCTTGGACCGCCAGCGACCCCAAACCAGAGCGTCCAAGTGTTGCGGATACCCCTCCCCCAGTGGTACGGTAGCACTCCGGCTCTCACGCATCCTATCCTCACCCTGCGCCACTGACGGAATTGGCGCATTGCGAGCAGGACGCTGCAGGAGACATGTGCGGCACTCGGGTCGATTCTGACAGACAGATCATGGGGGCACGGAGTACGGCATGTTGTAAAGATCAGTCTGTGCACTTGGTTCCACTTAAAAGATCTGGACATGACTGGGTTTTGTCTTGGGGGTGGTGGCGGCTGTACAGCCTTGCATTTTTGCAGGTGTGCTATCCTTGGTCCAAAAGAGGGAAAGGATCCTCGGACTTCTCTGTTCCATGAATGAAGCTTTGGAAGCCCGAGAATAGTCGGCGGCGTGCCGCGTTACGATGGCTGCTTCTCGATAGGAGCCGTCTTCCGGGTCTGCTACAAGCCTTTCGGCACTCTTGCGAGCTTTCCGCATTTCCTCCGCACGGCTAACGCATGCTCGGTCAAAAATGAAGAATGCGCCAGCAAATGGCCGCGGAGGAATCTGGGTGCCACATAATACGCTCACTGTACAGACAGTTCCCGTTTGGTTGGAAGTCTCGGCTCAGTCTAAAGGGACTTTAGCTGAGCTAAATCATCTTTGCATGAATCCAACCCCACGCCACATTCATCTTTCTGGATGGAGCCGCGCTGACACTCCGTCGAGCGCTATGGAAAATCCGAAACCCCTCGAGTCTTGGCAATTTAGAGGATGTGGCACGGCTGCTTGGAGGGGTCAACGCTCTGCTTCTAGTACTCGAGAACGTGGCCTGTGGCATTTTATTCTACCAAGTTTGCCCTGGCCTTTGGTGCCTGTCTTAGACATCTATCAGCATGACCACATCCCTGCAATATATTAGCATAACGCAATGCGGAAGGTAATCGGCCCATAATCTTCTGACTCATTAAGCGGTGCCCAGATGCAACACTCCGCGTTTTCTCTAGGGCACTACAGAACCTTAACGGCCTTTGCGACTCCGACTTCAGTCCAGATTTCAGATCGGCGGCCGACCAAGCGACGCCAAGAAACCATGGATGCTCCCGAAATAATGAGGATACATGAGATGAATCCGGCCCCAAGGCATGCCCCGATGCTACTCCGTAGATACCGGATAATCGTCAACCAACCCAACCTTCTTCCTAATTATTATTGCCATAACGAGGCAATATCTAGTCTACATGCTCTAAGCCGAGATTGGAAGGAGCTGGCAAATATCCGCATGGGGACTATGAGCCTAGGCAAAACCAATGCAGCACGTGATAGCCATCGTCGTCTTTCTCAACTGTCAAGTCAAGCAACACCCGTCGGTGCCTTTGAAGAACGGCCATGTGCTCGATTCCATTGCCTGATGTCTTTTGAATATGCTCTTCTGTCAGTGTCTACATCATCCATCTTTTCCAACTCACATCCCTTTCCTGTCTCAGCACGGCCAGGTGTGCAGCGTGGCGCTATTTTCCAGAACTGAAAATCTATCTCTCCTGGGATCTCAACGTCCAGTCTCGTGGCGAATTAAAACAGGAAGTTTTAACCGTTCACACAAATATCGATGGCCACGAGGTCAAATTATGCAGAGAGCGACTAGCACTGATATCTTACTAGGCACGTGTAACCCCAGAGGAAACTTAAGAGATCACACCAGCATCAGTTGATCACTCCGTCTACTTGGCTATATCAAAAGCTTGAAGATGAATTCAGTGTTTTCTCCTGCATGTCTGCGTGAACACCCTTAAAATGTGTAAAGGCTTACCTGAATGAGAGGGCAGGCGTATCCGTCTATTCTGGGTACGGCTCTGTCCCAATCGTAGCTTTTCACCACAAAATGTATGGATATACCATATGGGAATGGGTTCTTATCAAGCGTCAGTTCTTATGACTGAAAGACCAAGAAGTTACTTAGGAAAAAACAGTGATTCAAATGAAGTTACCTGTATTTGATCCCAAATCCACGTAGAGCCCGGGCCAATAGTAATATCTTTGCACGGCAAGGGAGCTGAAAAGAACCGTGCTGTACTAGAGTGTTATCTAGTGATGGCGATGGCGATACAGCGGCTTGGCCGTTCTATACCTGTGTGAAACGAGTACCCTACGTTTCCGGTAACCTTTCCTTGACTGGGAAATTGAAAATTCTTTCATACCGCAGAAAATATATTCTCTGGAAGGGAAACTAATAAAGACGCAGCAAAAGTCCATACGATTGGGTCACGTGCTCATGAAGCCCTTGACCTCATCTGGCCGCATGCGGTAAGTCCATTTTTCAATCTGATTCCCATTTTCTTTTCGCTCCTCGCATCTTCTCTTCTCTTCCCCCTATCCCTTGTCTGATGTCCCACAGAATTACAAAAATAAATGCCTAGATGCTTTCACGGGCGAAGGCTTGAAATCCAATCCATCAAACCCCTTTGGGAGCCCATGCCTGCACAGGGACGGTGTTCTTTGTTTGCCCTCTTTTCTCTTCCTTCTCCCCCTCCTCTACTTCATCTGCATTACCTCTAGGAGAAAACAGTGGCTATATCATAAGTTTATTCTCAAAACTTTGGTGGCATGGATCAGAAGTACCAGAGATCCGGCCATTTCTGCACACGCAGATTGGCCTTTCCATATAATTTTATCCAAATCGGGCTTTCTGTCAGTGAGCTGTCTGTTCCCACACCATTTAACCATGTCCGGCAACAGGTATTCTGGCCATTGAAAGGGCTTTGTTTTCTGAAAATGCGGTTCTTTGGCTGATTGGACTGTGGATGCTTTACGTTTTCCACATTCGCTGGTAAGGCCAAGATATCCTTTAAAGAACTGCTTAGTGCACCATTCACACATTCTACCCTCTTTTTTCTTTTCTTCATTGCTTTTACTATCTAAAATTTTCTATCTCAGGGATTAATTAATCCTACAGTCGACAGCCTGCTTCTCCCTCTGCCCTTCCAGTTATTGCTCCATCTTACTCTCTGGTCCCGCTCTTTCATCCTTCAGATACTTCATATTTGCATGATATTACCCACAGCATAATCCTCCTTCTGGAGTATTCGAACTAGAATGTATGCATCCGACGCGGCGTTCTTGGTGGTCGTCTTCATAGGGACCCAGATATGGGGTTTCTTCGGCCATATACCGGGCACGATGATTGATCCACGGCATTCAACTATACAGCGCTTCTTCAGTAGCTTTCAGCTGACGGGTACGCTCTACGCTATTCAACATATCAATCTACGTATTCATCCGGATCCCGAATTTATTACTCTGGGTGAGCTTAAAGAAATGAGACAAGATCCGCTGTTGCCAGAACTTGACAGTATTATGCAAAGGGCCATGGATAATTTTCTTAGAAACCAGAATGATTTATCTCCAGGAACGTTCGCTGTGAAACGAGGAAATATGACCGTGGATGACCATCCTGTCATTCGCGCTCCAAATGGCTTCTTCGAAAAACGGGTTCATCCTGGGACCCCCGGATTTGTGACTGTCTGGGACGTTGCTTGGACACTGGTATTTTGGACTATCCCTGCAGTCATGCTAAGCATTTTGGTCTTGAGGGAATCCAGGAAAAGAGCAGGTAACCGCACCGTATCCGATGATGGCGACACTCCCAATAGCAGTTTTGACAAGTTTCATGGATTCGTGGAACAAAAGTTACAAGAGTTCTCTTTCCAGCTCCAAGATGCTATTCGAAATGGGAATGGGAATAACAACAACCCTTTTACAACCGACTTGGAAAGCTTCAGTGACTCTCCCGGGAAAACATTGCAAGAGGATGTGAATGCCCATCTCGAACAGAAACTTGAACCTGAGCTGCGGACGATTCGTAATAGAACCAGTGACGACTCCTTCGTATCCCATTTCAAAATATTCCATGATTCCCTGGGGAAATTGTTGCAAGAAAATGTAGCTATCCGACAGGAGTTAGAGACAATCAGCAGTGAAAGCAACTGTTATCACCCTGGCAAAGCTACGACGCAAGAGATGAAAGACGCTGTGGTATCTCGCGTTCAAGAGGTTATCCAAACGGAATTCCAGAAAATACTTGCCAGTCTAGAGGCTCTATGGACGAGCAACATCGGTTCCAGTGAGATAGGAGATCATAAAGATTCTGGCGACGGTCTCTCCGGCCCAGAGCTCTTTAGAGATGCCCTCACTGATTTTCGAGCCAAGTTCACCGATGTTTACGATTCTATAAGTTCGATTCCTGCCCTGGTGAAGGAAAGCCTCGATGCACTCCATCGTGCTCGACCCAGTAAGGAGACAACTGAAGCTCTCGATCACATGCAAAGCCACGTCGATGAGCAGTTACAAGCTCTGATAAAGCGCATAGATAGCCTTGAAAGTGGTAGCTCCAGTGACGCCAAACAGATCCATGAACGGGTATCTGAACTTGGGAACCAGCTGGTCAAATTTAGGAAATGGCTGGAGGATATTCAAGATGGAACAAGAAGTGCTACCATACATATGGTTCATCAATTGGAAAATCAGTTGAACGGGTACATGGAAAAATGGAATGCTGAGCTGGAGAAAGTGAAGGTTACAGTTACTCAATTGGAATCACAGCCTGGTCTCTCAGAACAGTCCCTATTCGTTTCACAAGAAGACTATGACAAGGGACTCTGCGAGGTTAAAAACAGTATCTCAACGCTTTCCGAGGAATTTGACGCCACTAAGAAACTGTGCCATGACCTCCAAGAGAACCTCCAAAACCCGCCAAATGAACAAGCATCCCAGAATGAGAGATTCGGAGAACTTCAAAAGACCGTCACGGAGACAGTCTCGGCTACAGAGGATCTGAAAACAAAGTATGCGAACCTTGAGGCTCATTTGAATGTGGCAACAGAAACCAGTGGGGGAAGGGGCGAGAGGCTGGCGAAAGTCGAGTATCCGGTCCAGGAAGCGACAGCGGAGCGAAACAAGACAGCTGAAAGATTAACCAGAGCCAAATCATTGATCCAATCTGGGACAGAACAATGTGACGGTAAGGAAGAGAGGTTGAAAAAGGTCGAATTCTTGATTCGGGAAACAGCTCAGGAACAGAACAAGACAGCTGATGAATTAACTATGGCTGGGCCGTTCATACAAACCGCGACAAGAAAATGTGACAGCCAGGAAAAAGGATTGAAGGCCGAATCATTGATTCAGAAAGCGACAGAAGACCAAAACACTGGCAAGAAATTAACTAACGCGGTCGTAAAGGCGCTAGAACAAAGCGACGGGCGGCTAACAAAGGTTAGGGCTTTAATGGAAAAGGCGAAAGAAGACCACAGCAAAAATTTCAGGAGATCGGCCAGCGCTCAATCCATGATTGAAACTAATGAACATTCCATAGAGAAACCTCAGACCGACGTGGGGCAGCGCCAGAAACAAAGAGACTTAATCGCAGATGACGATGATAAAACCCCCAAGACGTATGCCCCCGGGGAACGAGCGGCAGAGAGCAATGTCCATGGGGGAGGACCATCTCGAACTTTAGGTGATTTGTACCTCGATCCAGCTGCTCCCTGGGATAATGGATCCGGGCCATTGACAGTCCCTGCGAAAAAGCCCACCCCTAGCACTTCTCCTCTTAATCCCAATGCAGCCGAGTTTATTGTTCCAGTTTCTCAAGCCGGTGCTGCATCTCCAGGATTGAAGCCAATCTCCACGAAATCTGGAGGTCGTTTACCAGCAGAGAGACCTGGCCTCAACCCTGCTGCGGCGGAGTTCACCGCGCCGACATCACCTGCAGGAAGTCTTTCTTCTCTGTCTCTTGATCCAGCTGCAAGGGAATTCGTTCCAGCACGGACGCCACAGCTGCAAGATAAGAGCAAGAAATCAGCTCGAGCCGGATCAAAAGAACAGGAAACAAAGAAGGGCAGTAGGGATGAAGAACGGTCTTTTGAGGATAGCAAAAGCACTCACTCATCTGACAGCTCACAGGCTGTGGCCGCCACTGAGCATATCTCTCGCAGGTCTGGGGAAAAGTTTGACTGGTCTGAAGAAGTTGAAACGGCAGTAGCTTGGAATGTTTCTGAGTCACCGGCAACATTGAAAACACCACCAACACCATTGTCCAGTTCCCGCGCCCCCGGAGATACAAGGAGAGAGGTAAAAGAGTGGAACGAATTTGCTAGCCTTTGACTCGGCAATCACGGTCTGGGCAAACTGATAGCGTGCACCCGTCTTGGTTGCAAAGATCTCCAAAAGCACACTGCTGCCGCCCCAGCTCGTGGGCTCCACCACAAGGACCTTCCAGTCCGCGTTCTTGAAGCAAGCCAAGTCCAGCCAGGAATGGAGATGGCGCACGGCATCACTTTCGCCCACCAATGAGTTCGGAGTACTGGCAGCCTTCCGAGCTAGACAGTCGACAGCCATGGGGCCGACCAGCGTGTCTAGATCTTCCCTCCAATCCAACGTCGCAATGCGGCCTTGACCGGCTGAGGACTGCACGGGGCTGGACTGACCGGAAGCCCCCGACGAGACTTCCGTCACCGTCATTCTTTCCACAATGATCTTCGGACCCGACGGCCAGCTTTCGTCAGAGACGACAATGGTACCTTGCGTATCCCGGCCAGACAAGGACTCTGTGTGCGAGTACCCGGTGTAAACGGCTCCTGCACCGGTTGGTAGATCCGTGGAGATGAACAGACGGTCCACCTTGGTAGGAATGGCGGACTCGGCGAGCGGTTGGCCCTGGCTCATAGCCACGAAGATCAGATGGAAGATGGCATCGAGTGTGGCTGGGTGGATAAGGTGGGGATACTCGAACTCGTGCGGCATGACAGCGCGGGTGTCCGGGATGGCGATGGTCCCTACACCGACAATCTAGGGCGAGTGACCTATCTTACAAACGACCCGGACATCACTGCACTCGCCTTTCGCGACGGAGAGTACTTCACCAAGGCCCCATCCGCTCCGAGCCACCCTCTGTTTGGGATCCGAGATGAAACAGCCCTCTTCTGCGATACGGACTCGCCAGCATGGCAGGAGGCACACAGGTTCATTCCTCCGAGTATGACCCCCCGGGCGGTGCGACACTACACCCCGCTGCTGCAACGATCGGTGGAGAAGGCGTTCCTGGTTCTCGACACGTTCGACGAGAACGGAGAGGCACTCAATGTGTACCATCTGACGGCAAAGCTCGCGTCGCAGGTCATCTGTCAGTTGGTGCTGGGAGTGGACCTTCACCATTTCGACGCCGTCGACAGTCCTATGCATCGAATCATCGTCCTGCTTCAGCAGTATTTGACCCTCAACCGCCGCGTGCAAACCAAAGGCGCCTGGTACTCATACCTTCCGTTTGGTATGTCCACAAACGCTATGCAAAAATCCACCGAGTCTTCCATGTATTGACCTTTGCTAACGGATAAGTTTAACAGGTGACCCGGTCGCTCTGAAAAACACTCGAAAGGAGCTCTACGGTCTGATCGAGCAAGCTGTTCTGGCCTGCCGAAACCACAACGGAACAACAGACGACCTCCCCATCCAGACCGCTGCGCTCCATGCCGCCTGTCTGGTGGATTACCTGGCGCGCGCCACCGACGAACGCGGCTGCAAGCTCCGCCATGAGTACATCCTCAGCAACACGCTTGCGCTGGTCGGTGCGGGCTTCGTCACCAGTTCCTCCTTTCTAGCGTGGCTCATCTACTCTCTGGTGACCTACCCCGGGCAACAGGACCGTCTACTCCAGGAGCTGGTCAACCACGGTGCCACCCTTGACAAGAACTGGAGCTACGATGAGATCCAGGCAATGCCGTTCCTCGACGCCTTTGTGAAGGAGACGCAGCGTATGCACAGCCCATCCTTCCAGCCCGCCCGCAACGTCAAGAAAGACGTCGTTCTCCCCGGCGGATGGGCGCTTCCGCAAGGCTCCATCCTCATCCCGAGCATCCCGCACCTCCACCGGCACGCGGCATACTGGGGGAACGCGGATCGTTTCGACGCAGACCGATGGGCGACTGAGGGAGTCAGCAATCGGCACCGGAGCGTGTATGTGCCTTTTGCGGCGGGGGCGCGTGGTTGCATTGGGTTCAACGTGGCTTTGCAGGAAGTGAAGGTGGCGTTGGCGGAGCTGGTCTATCGCTACGAGTTTGTGAACGCTCCGGACGAGGCTATCGAGTATGATCCGGACTTCATTGTGATACGGCCGTTGAACTTCCACGTCCGGGCCATTCGACGGTCTAGCTGGCCGGCAAGATCGACTGCTTAGAACGTTGTACTATACATACAATCATATTATTCGGAGAATATCAATTGGAACGATATCATTAAAGTTTACCTAACTAAACCGTTGTACTGTCAAACACCAGGTTGGAAAACGAAAGGGAGAGGACTAAGCAAAGGTGAGAAGTAAATTGAACAGACAAAAATTCAATCTAGCTGGCTCTTCAGGCCCTGTGCGTGGGTATCTTGAACCTCCTCATGCAGCGGCCGCAGCGGTAATGAACAGCCGCTCCCATTTCATGCCGAATGTCGCGAGCAGAGTGACCGCTCCAGCCACTATACAGAGGATATAAGTCCGATCAATGGCCGTGACGATCGCAGAGAGAACGTTGCTCTTAGTGGCTGGGTCCAAGTCTTGGACGAAGGTCGAGCCAGTTCCGGATATGGCATCAATGATAGTCGAACGGGCCTCATGTGGGAGGACCCATGCAATTCCTAGGGAGCAAAACCCATGAGTTCACAGCTCATAATGCGGAGGGAAAGAGTGACTTACGCTTCGCAGCCTCATTGACAAAGACGCACTGTGCGATGACCAAGGCAAAGGTCAATCCATTCAGCTGCGCCGTGGTGGTGAACGCAACGGCGGCCGGAACCTTTTCGGGCTTGACTTTCGCCTGCGCCACGGCATGACCCAGTTGGAGATACATTCCGGATCCCAGACCGATCAGCGCACTGTATCCGTAGGTCGCTCCCGCGCTGCTGTGAGGATGGATTGTGTACATCAGCGCGGAGCCCACTAGACACAAAGCTCCTCCCATGATGTACCAGGGGATGTAGTACCCCAAACGGGAGGTGAGGAATCCGCCTCCGACGCAACTGAACACGAGCAGGCAGACAAACGGGAGTAGCCGGACGCCCGACTGGAGCGATTCGTCCGATGCAGTGAACTGGAAGTACAGGGGGATGATGTACGTGGGGACCGTCACGCAGACTCCGGTGCAGCAACCGCAGATGAAGAGGAGAGTCAGGAGCGGCTTGCGCCATGAGACCAGTTCCACGGGGAAGAGGCGTGTTTCTTCGGTGGTGAAAATGCAGAAGGGTTGCTGGATGCCAAAGGCAATAAACAACACTCCACCGAGCACGAGTGCGACGATGATGCCGGGTGCGTCCCAGGGATACATGGCGCCGGCGAAGTTGACACCGATGACTCCCGCCGCAAAGGCACCCATGAGAATGAGCGTGCCCACAAGATCCATCTGCTTCAGCCGCTCGATCACAGGGGTCACCACGGGCTGCGGGTGCAGCGAAGGCAGCAAGAAGATGTACACCGGAGTGAACAGGCCGCCGACACAAAGATTGATGTAGAACGACCACCGCCAGCCCGCCGAACTATCGGTAAACGCGCCGCCGATGATGGGACCGAGGACGGTGCCCGCACCCCAGGTCAGACCCATTGCACTGACATACATCGGACGTTCTTGCATCGACGTCAAGCGAGGGAGGAAATTCATGACGCCGACGTACTGGCCCACGCCGCCCACGCCGCAGATCACACGGCCCCCGATGAGCGTGTTCATCGACTGCGCCGCTCCGCAGACGGCGGAGCCGGCCATGAACACCGCAATGGAGAAAATGTACATCCACTTGATATTGAACAGGTTGAAGATTTGAAGCCAGGTCAGGACGGTCGCGCTGGAGGCCATCACGAATGCGACGCCGGACCAGGCCAGCTTGTCCACTCCGTTCAGCGATTTGATGATGGCAGGCTGGATGTTGGCGACGATGGTATTGTCGAGGGCAAAGAGGAAGGTCGAGCTGTAGATGGCCAGAACGACTGTCACCCATAGGAAGCCGTGGACATTGCGTGGACTCGTCGAAATCTCCTTGCTCTGGTCGCTGTTCGAACTGCTACTCTCTTGCTTTTCTGCGTCTTGTGCAGTGTCCAAGTTTGACGGCCGCGTCTCCGTATCGGTGAGATCAGCCATTGTTGGAGAAAGTATGGTCTGGAGAAACACTGAACGGTGTCCTAGTCTCGAGAGTAATGGATTGCACAGAATAGCCCGTTGCACGAGGAAGAATCCTGACTTAAGTTGAGATCAACAAGAGCCACACCGCGTCTCCAGAAGTCCACTGCGCTGACAAATGTCATGGAACGCTGAAGCTTGGATTAGAAATCGCATTGAGAGCAAGACGACAGGGAGATTCACTGCAATCGACTGATCTCATGTTGGGCGACGATGTTCGGGTGCTTGACGGGGGATTAGGGCTGGCGCTGGATCGCCGAAAGGGGTAAAAAGAGGGCTTATATACAACACCGCAAGCATGAGATGGGATCCACCATTGCTTAGCTACCACTCTGATGATTACTAAGGCGATTGTTAAAGTGATTATGAATTAATTCCTGTCTCTTGCTTCCTTGTTCTCAGCAGCAAGAGAGACCAAAACGCCCCGATGAGTGCTGACTAAGAACCCCCCGAGGATCGGGCTGTTTCCCTTAGCCCTAAGTTGTGTCTGGTGATGGCCACTCCACGATGTCAAGTCACTCTCGACTTCCATTTTATTCCATTGATAGAACTCTGTCAGCATGATCATAGGCGCGGAAGCCCTTCTCTCTGTCAAATTCTACTCCCACTCTCTTGGTCACTTGAGAGCAGGTAGTGCTCCGAGGCTTGACGACTGACCAGCTATCATGCTTGACACTCTCCTGAACCTGGAAGATGCGTATTCTTCGCGCGAGGAGATGCCCTTCTGGGCCACCAAGTTATTGACGCCAACCTTCATGGCCGTCGCCATCCTCACCACCATTCCTTCCCCAGGCCCCATGCGGGTCACCGTCGGAATGACAGCCTTTACCAGTCTATGGCTGTACGTGCTCACCCACTGGGTATCCGGTCCAGCTTTCTTCATGGATGCGATCTTCATGATCTCCATCACGGTGCGGTGGATGCTCATGTTCCTGACTGGAACTCCCGAAATCGACTACTACCAGAACAGCAAGACCGCGACGAAGCTCGGCAGCACCAGCGCAGACGGAGGAACCCTACACGGCTCGGCGTTCCTGAATAAAGTCAAATGGAGCGTGGAATTGTGGTCATGTTGGCGCGGCCAGGGTTGGAATTTCGCTGACCAGCATCTCCGACGAGGCGCGGAGCAGACTCAGTCCCGGTGGTATGTCTGTTTCCTGGAGTGTTTTTCAAAGTGCAGCTGCTGATAGAGCTTGGTAGGGAATTCCTGGTTGCAAACGCAGGGAGAATCCTTCTGAACCAGTACATCTCCGATGTGGTGCGGAAGTACGCATTCTGCGCGTTCTGGCCGGCAAAAGTGGCAAGTGTGGATTTCCGCGCATTGCCCATACTTCACCAGCATCTGCTCGTTGGGGCTCAATTGGTTCGAGACAGCCTCATGCTAGACAGCGAATATCGTAAGGCTTCCCTGCTCTTCGTCGGGCTGTATCTGTCCACGCCGGATCGCTGGCCCGGCCTCTTCGGCAGCCCGGCCGACCTATTCACTGTTCGGAATTTCTGGGGGAGAGTCTGGCATCAGATGTTCCGGCACATGTTTACACGGTCTGGCGAGGTGGTGGCCAGAGCCCTCGGTTCGGAAAAAGGGACTCTGGTCGATAAGTATACGAAGCTGTACGTGGGATTCTTGGTATCCGGAGTCCAACATTACGCGTGTCCGCTGTTAATTCCATCTTTGCGCTATGGCTGGGGAATGTTTTGGCAGATGCCACCGTACGCGGCCATCATTACCCTGGAAGATCGGATCAAGCACTATGGCAGGAAAGCTGGGATGCAAGATAACGGTGGGTTTTCTCGCGGTTGCATCTCTTTTGATTATTTTCGACCATATTTGCTAAGTGGCTTCCGCAAAAGGATTTGTCAGAGGTCTAGGGTATATCTGGACGGCGTACTGGATGACCTTGATTTACGCCCTACCTGTTGGATATATGTCGGACATTGGGGGGTTTTCGGGTGTGTGCGCAGCCTAGATCCTTTGCCAATGGCACGCAAGCATCGATAGCTATAAGCTAGGGGAGTTTCACGCGAGTTTCCACATTCTCTAGGAGATGTAAGTAGAGTTGCCGAGTTTAAACAATGTTATATATTGTCGTGTGACTTAGCTCTCCTGGGGTCTGGAAACCAATATCGAGCAATCAAGGTGCATGAAGGGTCTAGTAGGGCTATAGAGCATTCTAATGCTAGTCAACAAGCCGATGAGTCTGGTAAAGTTGAATGTTGCTCTTCAAGTTTTCGTAATACCGTTTCTTGTCTATGAATAAAACCAGCAGAAAACTTCTCCATGGAAGTTGCATAAGGTACTCTGTATGTCCTACGAGGAAAATAAATCCTTCAAATTGGGTGTCTTGCTTCTGACCAGTTGACCGGCGGGGGAAATAAGTCGAGAGCTGAGCCTTCATACTATCTTCCTTACTGCTACAGCTGGACATTCCCACGAAACCACCCAGCATGCGAAATAGTAGTAAACAACCAGGGAAAAAAAATTAATAATAAGACGAATGATAATAATTGCATAATGTACGTCGTTGCTGATCCTCGGGGAGAAATATCTGCCTAACCAAGCCCGAGAGGCTGCCAGGTAAAACAACCCGACTGCATGCATGCGCCGGTTTGTTTGATGTAGTGCCTAGTTAACTAACTAGTTAGTTATCTGTGCTTGCTTGGTAACAAACTTCTCGCTTAAAACCCGGACAGTATACCAACTGACCGGTATTCTGACCAAGGATTCAGATCAAGCATATTAGCTGCCGTCCCCATGGCTAGGAATCCTGATTCCTCGTACTGGTTTCTGGCCCGGTTCTATCCTGCGATTTTTCCTCTGCTTGGATTTTGTTCAGCCCCCAAGACTATACAGTGAGACGATATCGCTTCCCGTGCCAGGATGACGCTCCTTCGCCTCCTCCACGGCTTGCCCTCTGGCGATTGCTCTTTTCTACCGGCTACTGCGGCGGGCTAGCGTGGTTGGGATATCATTGTCTCTGGTCAGTCTCGCTTCGCCATGCAACGGCAGCCATCATGGAAGTCAGGAGAACCAGGCGTTCTGCACGGATGTCCCAATCTTCAACTTGCCTATATCAGCCGCTTATGCGTAAAAGAGCCTGCATGGCCCGGACTACCGGGCATCCCTGGCAGTTGAACAGGGTCGAAGGTGATGGAAATGTTTGCTGCCGAATCCCTGATAGTCTGCTCTGTCTCAATTGGCCCGGTTGAACAGGTCATGATGGAACTAACCATGCGCCCCCTGCAGAGAGGGAATTGTCCCAATGGCACCACCAAGCACCAGTTACCGTCGGTGTCTTCATATGAACGTTGTTGGTAAACCCACTGGCATGAACTAGAAAGGAGGGTCCGGCCACTATATAGCTGGGATCTCTAATTTGTCCCGTAGCTGAGGTAGCACAACATCTTCAAGCATATAACACGCGACTGTCTGCATATCATAGTAAGAGTCCTTGTGACGGGTTGGACGTGGTTGTATTCATAAAGGGGTCGGCGGAGTCGGTCCCTATCTAGCTAATGGAGATCACGTGACTACTCAACACCTTGGGACAATGGCTGGGATGCTGCCTCAGCCATCAGGCATCCCAATTGAGAGCCGCCAACTCGTGACTAATCCCCGCTTAGTCACTCTTGCCCATCCGCTTCTCCACACTCGGACAATCATCACATAACCATCATCTAGACCAACCTTATCACGCCCCGATCATGCCTTCCACTCATTCATCCCCATCGCCGCCCGGTGCACAAGCGGAGGTGACTGCAAGCTGGGAGCGTCTGCGCAAGTCCTGTGATTCCTGCCAGGAAGCCAAAGTCAAGTGCAGCCAGCACAAGCCCTCATGCCATCGCTGCCTCCGTCATCGCCAACCCTGCGTCTACAGCCCGCAACGTCGCACAGGACGACCGAGAAAGAAGCCGGCCTTCGTCGGGATTGCATTTCCCACCGTGAATTCTGGGAGCGACATCAACGGGACAATAATCAGAGAGCCTACTAGCTCAACTGTCAATGGTCAGGACCTCGTCATGGCCGATGTCCGCGGTGATGAACCACCCTTGCTGACCGGTGACATTACCGCGGACAACATCAATCCCATCGACAGCGTCTTTCAGTCCTCGTTCGAGGCCCTGTTAGCAGCCCCGCCACTCGGCAAGGATCCCGCCGGCAGAGATCACAACTCAGACGCCCATCATACCGGCTATCTTGCCGCCTCCCCTCCCTCCTCCGATGCGTTCGGCGATTTATCCCTTCTCTTGCACGATTATAATATCCCCCTTCTACCACATCAGGCGCATGTGCTCGACATCGATCAGCTGCCCTCGCTCAGTGTGGACGCCTCGAACACAAGCAGCGAGTATGGGGACTGCGGAGCGAAATGTTACACGACGCTTCTTCAACAGCTGTTGTTCTTGCGCCAGTCGCTTCCTGAGTCCACGCGACCCTCCATCGACGTGATCCTGCAGGTGGAGCGCCACGTGCGCAGTCTTCTCGACCGGGTTTTGGGCTGCAACCTGTGTGTCAGTAATCGCTCCTCTGCTCTCCTCATGTCGGTGATTACGGAGCGTGTGGTCCAGATGCTTGACTGGATCATCGAGGAGAAGACCCTGCTGGACACCGAAAGTGCGCGCTCCAGCCGGCGAACATACAGCACCTGGGCACGCACTTCACGACTGCCCCCCACTGGCAGCCGGGCCGGCGATCGGACGCACGTCTGCCGCATTCCACTCGTTGTAGGTAATACCGAACTAGATGAGGATACCAAACAGTACTTCCTCAAGCAGCTTATCCTCATGCGGATGAAAAAGTTTGCCGTCAAAGTACAGGATGTGCGACGTACCACTAATATGCGACCCGGGGACTGCATTTACCGTGCTGCCGAATTGGTGCTTTCAGAGTCTCTTCAGCGATTAGACTACCTTCGTGGCCAGGTTCAACTGTGGGAGTGACGTGCTCACCCACTAACGAGATAAAAAAAAACGATAATGAGATACCCATACAGCATTCATGACCGTTATGTTCCAGTCTACATCAATGCGAAAGAGCGCGCAGTAATCCCTGTAGTACTTCCCCCTTCTCCTTTTTTCGTCTTTCGAGTCTTCACTCCGATTCGACATATTCCGACCTCGGTTTACCTAGACTTCCTCAATCTTGAATTGGAAGAGCGTCTCGAACGTGATGATTTCTTGTATGTACGGCTTTCCTCTATCTCTGCATTGCCTTGTTCATAAAACGCTAACGTTTGGCCTGTACCAGGAACATTGGCTCATTTTCCTGCCCTGTCGATCAATCTGGCAATACCCTCAGGGGTTGCCTTCCACTGCTGGTTCTGGTCGAGGGACACTTCCAGTTCCTCCATCCATGTCTTCCGAATCAGCTGGGCATGCTTTGGGCTTCGAGGTGCAATATGTGCCGAGAATGGGTTTAGGCAAACAATAAATCCCGGCCGCAGGTCATCCTTGTAAGAAGTTCTCGACGTCATCAGGTAATCATGCTTTTGGAGAGATCGGGACTTACTCTTGGATGACCTGTCGGGTGTATGGCAACCTCGCTGCGTCATCGTCCGTGGGCAGACGATCAGGACCAACAACCCTGTCGATCTCTGGACGATTTGAGTAATGGTCCGTTGCAACACTGTGTACAATGCAGAGGAAATATTACCTTCCTGAGCTTTCTTTTGCGCCTCTGGGTTGAGACACATCGCAGCAACCCAGTTGATTAGACTGGACGCAGTCGTATCGGTGGTTCCTGTCAGCAGATGATGGCCGATTTCCGCGCCTTCAATTTCCGATACTCCGGGCCACCCTTGCTTCAATTTCTCCTGAATTGCGTGGTTGAAAGAGGGAAGGGCAGCGCCCTTGACCGTGCGATCCTGGACATCCGAGTAGTTGCGCCATATAAGATCGCGATGCTTGGCGGCAATTTCGCGCGCCCGTTTACATACAGGAAAGAACCACTGGGGAATCTTCCACAGGAATGGCCAAGAGTCCAGAAACGCACCGCGGACCCCGGTCTCGGACAAATCGTATAGATCCTGGATGGTCTCCTTGACCCGGGCATCCGCTGAGCTGACGATTCGCCGGCTGTTCACCATGGTCATGGCCACACTATTACTGTACCGCTCGATGTGATCTCGCCATTCGTTCGGCGCCTGGAGGAGATCGAATAGCAGTTGCCGAGTCTCCAGCTCCTGATACGGCAGATACTGCTTGGCGGCGCTGCCGTTGAGGACCGTCTGCCACATTTTCCGCGCGTGGCGCCACTTTTCCCCGTTCATCAGCCCGGGAAAGTAGCCATCGCGCATGAGCAACTGAAAGCGAGACGGCGGGCGGGCCTGGGAGTTGGCGCCCTGTTTGATGAAAATGTCGCGGACCTCCTGGAGACCGCTCACGACCACATGGGCCGTATCGCCTAGCATGACGGTATACACCCGCCCGTACGTCTTGGCCCATTTGGTATATTGATACTGCGGGAACAGCATGTCCACCTGGATCCTTGGTCAGGAATGACTTGAGATAGATGAATAGAAGGACGCACCTGCTTGAGGTTTCCCCATATCAGCTCCGTGGCCGGGCCGGGAGGGAGACCCTTGGGCCGGGCTCCAATCCTCAGGAGAATTGTAGCGAGATAGCCTACGGCAACGAGGAGCACCACTGGTGCATATCCGTAGATGTAAAGAGAGTCCATCGCAGTGTTGGAAGTCGAGCCTGGGTCCTGCCGTTATTCTGGCCTCTACTTGCATCCTGTCTCTCAGCTTTATACCCTCCCATTTTCTAATCAGGCAAAATCATATCAACGATGTGCATTGTCTAGGGGCGCGAATCTGCGAAGCGACGGTGTTCGCCACGGTATAGTTGCTAAAACCGGAAAACCCACCGAGACCAGGCAGGCCCCTCATATTCACGTCGGGTGGTTTTCCATTGCGACGATCGTGCCATAGACACGAATTAATCCTCATCATGACCATCACTCCGAAAACAATCTCCCCAGCAGCGCCAACACCCTCGATAAACACCGACTAACAGGGCCGGCCCCCTCCCGACCGTACAGCCCGGGCCTCATGCTCGAAGCACCCATCCCCCGGTCCAAGTCCACCCCGGCCGTCTCCTTTCCACGGAGATACACATCGCGCAGGAGGACACTCAAATTGGTGAGCACGGCGGAGACCACCTGTCGCGCGAGGAGGGTCTCCTCCTCGGCCTGGAGGGTGAGTTTCCCCAGCGCCATGGGGGATTTGGCACATGTCAGCGAGGAGGCTGCATGGGACGCAGGCGTGGCAGTCGCGGTGCCATTGCCAGAAGCGGTAGCAGTGGGACCAAGCTCGTCGTCGAGGAGGCTGTAGGCGGTGCAGGCTGCGTGGCAGAGGGAGAGCACGGCGTCGGAGAGATCCACGAGCGGGCCATTCAGGTCCTGGTTGTAGCTGTGGCTAGCGCTGTGGCAGGGACTTCTACAGCCCTCAATGGATTTGCAGAGGTCGTCGAGGGGCTGGGTGAGGGTGGTGAGGAAGCTGAAGTCAAAGGAGCCTTGTACAGGGAGGGTGGAGGAGAGGTGTTTGATTTGGGGTGGACAGGGGCAGGGGGCGCTGGTGCTGGTGCTGGTGCTGGTCATTGTGGGTTATCTGGCAGTCTATGATTTAGGCAGGTGGAGGTTGGGAGTAGTTCAAGGTGAGGTACAAACAATGAACGGTTAACTGGTTAGTTAGTTGTGCAATACGCACGACTAATTAGTGATGCTGTTCTAGGATGTTCGCTTGTGGTAATACCCTACGTGCTTATCTAGCTTCTACCATCTAACAACCATACTATCCTCCCGTTATCACTACGAGAAGAACTGATTCTGTGGCCTCGGCAGACCAAGATGCTCTCGAAGAGTCGTGCCTTCGTACTCGCGACGGACAATCCCCCGACGCTGCAGCTCGGGGACAACAAGCCTCTCGACCACGGCATCCAATCGCCTGCGGAACGAAGGGAAACACAATCGTGAACCCGTCAGTAGCATCCTCCCTGAGCCACGTCTCCGGCTCATCCGCCACAGTCTCAGGCGTCCTAATAAAAGCAAGCCTTGAATGGCCTCTAAACCGCTGCGCGAGCTGGCGCACCGTGAGATTCTCCTCGCGGGCTAACTTCAGCACACCGTCCTGCACAGTCTTGCTGGTGTTGGTCTCGGGGATGTCCTCTGGAAGAGGCCCATCCGGATCAAACCCAGATGCATCGGTCCTAAGAGCAGCCGACAGGGACGCAATCGCGCTGTTGTAGTGGACGAGGCTGTTGAGCTTTAACCGCTTGGCGCGGGCATCTTCCACGCTGTCACTAATGACGATCAATGCGGCTGGGAGGATCTTAAAAGAGACCTGATGGTAGTACTAGGCTTTAGGGCAGTGTGGCGGGCAAGAGTAGACTGCGAGTAGAGAAGCAGGCAAGGGGGTGATTATTATATGGAGTGTAGTTTATTGAGGTTACTCGCTCAGGGCACTCGGTCTCTCGCTCACCCCGTGCTCAGTGATCGCCTCAGGCTGCTCAGGGCGTGCTCAGATCTACTCAGTGAGCAAAAAGCGGCAAAGGGTGGTGAGCATTAAAACGGAAAGAGTAGGCCATCGACCGTCCTAGAAAACCAAGTACATATGCCAAAGTTTGTTATTTATCACTGAAGAGCCGCTGAAGTCAGGCCCTGAGAACCTTCGGTTCCTATTAGACGCAGGAGAGCCGCCGGATCTGCTGAAGAGTGGTGGCTGAGCCAGGCACCCAACAGCGAAGACCTCGTAGTATGCCACGATAAGTGGGAGTTGCATGTTACTGAATCCACAGTATGCCCAGATTTTTGCATTATGAAATACTCCACATGCTATTTACGAGGTAGACCAGACGGGGACCTAAACAATATCTGATGGTTGAATCTATTTATGGTGGGTACTCTATAAGGATAGAGGTCTAAAGATGCATCGTCCTGCGAAAATATGAGGGTAAATCTGTGCAAACCATCATTTAAGTCGCAGTCTTTTTGATCGTCGAGGCGGAGGTCCCGTGACGGCAGCGTCCTGGGAGTCCAAGAGGCGCGGGTCGATGTTTGCCGCCTCAGAGTCGAGAGATGAAAGGAGAGTATCGGTGCGCGACCCATTGTCTGACGCCAAAGCCTCTGCGCTGCCAACGGATGAAGTATCGCTGCAGCTCAGCGTAGGTCTCTTGGGAAGATGTTGGAGTTTAATATGGACATCGTACGCGTGGACGTTCACTGCATGGGCCAAGAATCCAGTGATATCTTCGAATTTGGGAACAGCGCAGCAAGATGACCAATTGCAACTAATTCCATCGCGTACAAGGGTGAGATGAGAATCGATCAAATGACGACGTAGAGAGTCCAGTCGCTTTGAAGGGAACTGGTGCAGTGGAGGACTGGACGGTGATTCATGAGACAGACCATAGCAGAGAATGCAAACGTTCGTCGGACACACCAGGGTTTCCTCCTTAACACACAAGGGCTCTTCGGACTTTGTTTGATCACAGTCATTATCCGTATCCCACTGGACTCGCTGGCCCTGACATGCCAGCTCGCAGAGCTGTGAGAGAGCAACCAAGTCTTTAGTGACCTGGATACGTCATGCAAGCAAATTCTCCTCGTCAAAGTCCTCCGCCCCAGGGCCATAAAAATTTTCCACGAGCCGTGCCCGCTCAGAAAAGATATAATCCGGGATGGGAAGCTCCCAATCTTCTTCGTCATCAGAGGCGTCGGCAGCATCACTATCACCGCTGTCAGACTGGCTGAGAAGTTGCTTGATTTGTTTGTCAACTTCCAGCACGGGCGCACAATGGAAATATTCCTTCCTGGCATCTTCTCTGGCACATTTTGCTGTAGCTTTCCGGGCTTGAGAGAGCTTCTTGTTGATTTCTTCGTGCAGGTTATAGAGATGAGGGAATGATTGGCGAGCCTGCCTAACAGTGCTGGCAAGCGCTCGCATCTCTTCCATCAGTTCTCTCTTTTCTTGCCTTAGCTCTAGGATTTCAGGATTCTGGCACACAGCGCGTCGCTGAGTGGCGCTAAGCTCAGAAGATGGTGCCAATGGGTCTCTTTTTCTTAACATACTTCCAGCAAGCCGAAGAAGTCCTTCCTGAGGTGGGCGCAGAAGTACAACATGTTGGAGGTCACGCTGGATGAATTGCGACTGATAGTGCTTTTTGAAAACTGTGTTGCCAGACTGGCCTAGCACCCTCTTCCGTTCCTGGCTGGTAAAATTCCCTATAATACGGCAAGTTAGACACATCATCATATAGAGTATTGGCTGAGATGTTTTCCTCTGAATTGCGTCCAACTGGATACAACTGGTCATATGTATGATTAACTTCATTTGCAGTCCAACGCCGGTAGTTATAGTGGCCGATGTCATTCTCAAACCTGGCATCACGTCCCAACTCTTGGAGCGCTTGCCAACTCGAATCATACGTCATGGACAAAGACTCGTGTAGTTCATAGCCGTAGGGAGTCCGCTTGAGGCGCCAAAGGAGAGGAGTATTTAGCTTCTCCAGCTTCCATCGGAGAGGGAGGGATTGCAAGCATTTCAGAACTTTCAGGCGCCATACAATATCGGGCGTCAATGCGCTGTTTTCGAATGCTCCATCACGAAAGGCGTATGCGATAATCTGGGTGATGGGACAATAGGCCAGCTGATAGTCGCTGTGCATAAAAAACTTGGTCCTGGGGGAATAACTCAGTATACAAGTAGGTACATAGCTCCGAAGACGCTCTTACCCATCAGCACCTTCCAGTTGACCCTTGAGATTGCGAAACTCAATAATCGCGCACAGGATATCACGTTTGCTGTCAGGATCTTTAAGGTAAAAGAGCTTGATGTCGCGGTAACACACGGAGCCTGGTAGATCATCCATTGATACGTGTTTGGGGAGGTCACTCGGAAATGCTTGGTGCCAATTTCGTTTTCCCAGTGATGGCCTGTCAGGTAGAGAAGCTTTCTGCGGCAGTAGGATACCAGGACGAGTCCCAGTGATGGCAGACCACAGCTGAACGGTAGTGAATTGGATGATCATACTGCCGTGACGGAGGTATTTCGAATGTACCCAGTGATGGCGGTAAGTGACACAAAAGACCTCCACATCTAGTGTGTCTTTCTTCTTTGTTCGCCTGGATATTTTGCGTCCAGCAGAAAATACTTGATTGAGAAACTATTATGGATATTAGCCTTGCGAGTCTGAGGGCTGAGAGGCCGCTGTACCCGTCGCATTTGTTCATAGACATTATCATTTGGTCAGCATCAGGCAAAGAGGCTAAAGTACTGGCAGAGTCATCGCCAGTACTCATCATATGACTGAAGAGCCTTTTGCCATGAGGTGCGATGCATCCAATCAAAGAAATTCATATAGATGGCTTGGTCTTCTGAGAGAAGATAGTCCACATAGTCTTCCTTCAGTTGGATGCAGTACCTGTTGGCACCTTTTAGTACAAGGCTTCACATGGCCTTGGATAAGGGGTGCATACTTTCTCCAGTATCGTTCGACCACCGCTAGGCCCTCCAGCGTCTTGGGCTTGAAGTTTGGTGGAAGCCACCCAAGGCTGCGGAAATGCTCTAGCCTGCGTCGTGTCTCTTCACACAGAATGGGATCGGTCCAATACTGGTACTCATTTGGATTTGCAGGTGGGAGGAGAGAGGGTGCCATCTAGACAAATGGAGGTATGAAGGGGAGGTGACAGCTCTGGGATGGATCAACGTCGAAATCTGAGGGTTGAAGAGGACGAAGAGAGGGAGGACGAGAGGTGACAAGAGGGCAGACGACCGCCATTTTGTATGGCGCCCAGGGAGACGGGTCGAACTGGGGGGGGGGCAGTATCCCTCCGCAGAGGAGGCCATTTTCGGCGTCTTTCAGTCGTGAGCTGAAATGAGGTGAGGGCTCGCTGAAGTTGAGCGCCTGGGAAGGCCGACTAGCCAACACTTGGCGGGTGCAGTATAGTGGTGCGGAGCACGTGCAAGTGGTAGGCAACCACGGGGTCACTAAAAATTACGGGTGGAAATGAGGCCGTTTATGGCCTCAAAAGCTGTCATTTTCGGCGTCAATTTCACAGGTCCTCACATTCTAGTTGTAAAGGGGGGCGTACGTGCGTTGTTCCCTGCGACAGGAACCGGGTTGTGATCGAGGGATCTCAGGAATGGACACACTGAACAATCTAGCAAAACGATATAACGATAAAAGGAAACACAACGACGAAGGAGCCTCACTCCGCTCTACACGACGATAACGATACTAGTGAAGCAACCTAGAAACCAAAAGAATGCTCAATTTTTCGTAACTATTTGGGAGGGAACCCTCCATTAAGTACTCCGGCCGCGGGCTCCACCATACATTAGTATGTCGGGGTCCGCGGTTCTACGGTGTTCCAAGATAGGAAATATGGGAGATCCGGGGTTTCGCAGTGCCCCCGGCACAATACTCCTATAACAGAAGAAAGAAGAATGGACCCAGTAGTGGTGTAAAAGGACACAGAAATCATCTATGTCCAGTGTGCTCTTCTTTTTCATGCACCTATTGATTTTGTGCTCTGCAGGAAAAACTTGTTCAAGGTACTGTTGTCTATTGAGTATCTAGATGTAAGAATGAAACAGGAAGCTTAAACATACTCATCATATCTGCTTATGAACATGATGATTTACAGGCTAGTAGGCAAATAAGCCAAAGTATTGGCACAAGCACTACCAATATTCATCATAGGTCTGAAGTCTTTTCTCACACAAGGTCCTTGACATCCAGTCAAGAAAGTTCATATAGATGGCTTTGTCTTCTGACAGTAGATATTCCACATAGTCTTTATTTGAATATGCATAATGTCTGCAGACTGTTAGTTTTATTGGAACATCCTCTGGTCCACTGTGAGAGTGAAGGGATGACATGCCTTTGCCAGTGTCACGGAACTCAACTAGACGATGAATAGGATGCTATTCAACTATCTAGGCAGCTATCGACGAGAACTTCAAGCATGGAGAGGAAGGAAAAAGGGAGAGATCTACGTGAAGCTGGACGGCGTATTCCTATCCACGCACCACGCTAATCCAAATAAGGAAGCTCACGTGCTCGTTCTGGTCTACATGGTAAGGGCCCTGACAGCCAGTACCATTCAACAACTGCAAAACCTTCAAGTTTCCTAGGCTTGTAGTTAGGGGGAAGCTATCCCAGATTTCAGAAATGCTCAAGTCTGGTCCAAGTCTCCTCACACAGGATAGGATCAGTCCAGTACTGGTGCTTGTCAGGGTTTGCAGGAGGAAGAGGAGACAGTGTCATTGAGATGAACAGATATAATATGAATAAAGAAAAAGGGAGTTTTGAAGGCAGTGCTCGCAACAGTTGAGGCTAGGTTGGGAAGGAGAGTTCATCAAGAGGCGTGACAAGAGACAGAGAGATGGCCAGAAAAAAGAGACAAGGGGAAGAGAGAAAGTGACATTTTATATAGTCACCCAGGGAAGCCTGTAGGAATCAGAGAGCAGCTGTATTTTGCAGCAAGGGAAGCCATTTTCAGCAGCAATTCAATCATGAGTTGAAGAGGTTCACAGGGTAAGCCAACAGCATGGGGTGCGGTACTACAAAGAAAAATGGGCTTGGCAGGTGCAGAATAGTGGCCGGATCACATGTGTAAACCATTCAAGCAGCAACCGGTCGCTGAAACACCGTGTGGAAATGACGCCGTAAACGGCCTCACTGGCGGTCATTTTCGGCGTCGATTTCACAGGTACTCACATTCTAGTTGTAATTTCAAAAATCGAGGCCATATCCGGGAGAAAGAAATGAATAGATGACTTTTCATAGGGTATCATTGGCATCGTAAATCCGATAGCAAGACAATTCTCACTCGGTATGAAGAGAAGAGCAAGCAGAGGGAATAAAGAAGCAAGAGCTAAGCAACGGCACGGTCGACGAGGTATTTCCGACATGCACGCTTCAACAAGTCTAGCCGGTGACTCGTATGAATGAATATTTCGTGATACTTCTCCAAACTCTCATGCACTACTTCTTGTCTCGACTTGGTGCCTGCACAAATATCCCGCATATTCAATTCCATCTCCTTGCGGAGGAACGGCTTGCTCATTGAAGGGCTATCGCGGAGCCCGACAACCACGTTGTCATATCCCTCAATAAGGGCGATGCCTAGACGTGTCGGAAGTAACTCTTCAACTCCGTTGCGACCGCCCCCCCTGGTACGGGTAGTGATATATTCGCGTTCTTTGATCTTAGCAATGTGTTCGGCCATGGTGGCATCGGTCCCGATTCCATTCGCATCCATCAGACCAATAAGTTCTGGCTCAGTGAGGTGGTTTGGAGGTGAGGTTTTGCCTTCAACTATATTGGCTTCGGTAGGTTCGATCAGTTCGCCGGTCTGAAAGTGGGGAAGTTGCTGGCTGCTTTCCCATTTGTCGTAAACATAGACATCTAGATAGTTTCTCTCTAGGACAACTAGGCCTCGCGCATGGAATGTCTCATCGCCATATTGAAGGTCGATTTCAGTCATCTCTCCCTTGGCGTCGTCAGAGCAGCAGGCTAGGAATCGCCGGACGACGAATTCGTAGACTTTCTTCTCGTTCGCGGTCAGCTGGGTCTGGGAAACCCAACAAACCGGATGGATCGGGGGGTGGGCACGGTCATTATGGCTGCCTGATCGAGGAGTCCTGAAGTTACCGCTGAGGAGACTGGCTCGAAGTATTATCAGCAATGTGCCTGAGAGATGAATACCCAAGACGGAGCAAGGGAGTTGTACCCTCGAGCGTACTGGCCCCAGGAATTGTCGGGGAGTTGCTTCTCAATTAATTTCTTAAGATCGATCTCTTTATCGAACTGGTCTGTTTCCGTTCGTGGGTAACTTATGAAACCTTTAGTGTAGAGTGACTCGGCCACCTAGAGTGTGTGAGCAACAAGACACCCTTCAAAAGGCATGTATGAAAGCAGTACAAACCTTCATAATCTCGTTACCGTTCAGGCGAAGATATCGACTTCCCATCATCTGCAGATCAACAGTTGTCAAAGGCAACGGCCTCCATTTGCTCGTAGGCCTTTTGTTCACTCTAGTAACTTTGGCCCTTCTTGCTGCTAGGCATCGCTCCAGCATCACCGTAACGGCAGCTCGGTCGAAGAGATGGACACGTCGCCAGTTGAAGTTGACCTTAATCCCATCTTGGAGATGCATTACCTTGATTGTCCAAAACTTTTCCGGCTTGAATTTCTTTACTCGAAGATATCGGTCGACCACAAACCCTAAAGTGGGAAATTGACAGGATCCTATAGAGATTAGAGGGGAATTGGAAGATTAGGTGGAATGGTGGTTTACCATAGCTAATGATCTTTTCGTTTAAAGCTGGAGCTGAATTTTTTAGATTAAGAGTTAGTAAACGAGTAAATGCAGCGCCAATTCGAAGATCAAGCTCTATTCTCGCGGCTACCGCGTTGGCCTTGTATTCATCGAGGTCGACAGGTGCTCGGGCAGCCTGTAGAATATGCCTAAGACCATGACTTTAGCAAGGTAAAATAAAGCAATCTGCTTTGGGCTTGGAGATTTCCTCACACTCTCTCCGTATTGCTGAATCTAGCCCTTTTAACTTCAATCCTGGCATTCCCTCTTAATGCCTGGGACCGAACTTCTGTACCGATATGCTCTCCCTCCCGATCACAGTCTGTCCATATGAACAGAGCTCTGCAAAACCTTGCTTTTTGTCGAATATTTTCTGCAATCGGCTCCGTGCTCTGTCCGGATGTTAGTGTGTACATAGCAGGTAGCTTTACGTGTACGGTGCGGAGTGCCACAAAAGTACGTACAGCATCCAGAACCTCATAAACAGGGGAATCAAAAAGAATGCCAGGTGGACAAGAAGCCCAACCGTTAAGTTGGCGATCGAAATCCAGTTTAGTCAAATGGCCTAGGACACAGGTCATGATTACTTCACAGCGGCCCCAACGACCACCAAAGTTGAAGTCAAATTGATAGTTCTTGACATATTGATTGCCTCTAATTGATGTCTAGTGTCTAAGTGAGCATGTTTCTTCTGCAGAACACTACTAGAGTAGACTTACTACTTGCATAGAACCTCCGGACAGGTGTTGTGCCACTGCCTTAGCCATGCTAGGTTTCTCTGCGACGCATAATATCTTGGGAGCCATAACAAGACCTCTATAGAGTATCAAGTAATGTTCATGGTTGATGTATCCAGTCTGTTCGCGTTCAATGAAGACGGTTGTTGGATAAAGAAGAATCAATTGGTGTTCGCGGACCAGGACGGTTCGAATGCCTAAGGCAACAATTGTTGTGTGCCTCAGGCAGAAACTAATTGTTTACCCGTTTATTTATTTTTTTGTCCATCGAAGCTCTCAAAGACTCGACAACACTCAACAACTCTCCATCTCCAGGTTCTCCGAAAATAGAACATGTCTCTACCACTTCCTAGTGTGCAGACGGTCCTGGATTGTGCGTCCTTCAACCGTACCGTCCTCCCATTCCTCCCAAGCATAACGGCGCTTCCGGCAAGGCTCATCGAGGCCGGCAAAGATGCCGACAAGCTCAGGGCAATCTATGTCAGCACTAACCCTCTGGTGACGGCAACTGCATTTGCACTTGTTCTGTCTGCTCTATTTTTGCTGGTTTCTGAGATTACGAGGAACTATTCGCAAGTGGACAGATGCTGGAGCATCCTTCCGGCGGTTTATAATGCGCATTTTGCTACCTGGGCCCGCATGAAGGGTCTTACGACAGGAAGACTGGACACAATAGCTGTGATAACTGCTATTTGGAGTGTAGGTCTTAATATCATTTGCAGCTCCCTTAGTATTGTTATTCCAATAGCTTGCTGATCAAGAAAAAAACAATTCACCCGCTGCAGGTCCGCTTAACATTCAACTATTGGCACAAAGGAGGGTATAAGTTCAGATCCGAAGACTACCGCTGGTCTATTTTGCGGTCCAAGATCAACAGCACGTTCCTATTTTTTCTCTTCAACGTCTTCTTCATCAGCCTGGTCCAATCACTGCTCCTCCTCGCAATCTCTACGCCGTCTTATACATTCCTCGTCCTCTCCCAGATTGAGAAGAACGAGCAGTTCGGCCTCCCGGACCTTATCTTCTCACGCGTCATGATCGTCTTCATCTTCATCGAGGCCGTCGCCGATCACCAACAATGGCATTTCCAACGCGCCAAGAGCGAGTACTCACAGACTGCACGTATCCCCAATAGATACAAGGGACAATTCTCCCCCGAAGACCTCGATCGCGGATTTGTCGTCACCGGTCTATGGTCGTGGTGCCGGCATCCGAATTTTGCCGCAGAACAAAGTATCTGGATCACCTTGGCCCTCTGGGCGTGCTACTGTACCGAGACATATTTTCACTGGACCGTTTTGGGTGCCCTGGGCTACGTCCTCCTCTTCCAGGGAAGCACCCGGCTTACCGAGTCGATCACCGCGAGCAAGTACCCCGAATATGCTGATTATCAGGCGCGCGTTGGGAAATTCATTCCGCGCTTCTCTGTTGAGCCCAGGAAGGGCTACGCTGCTCGTAAACGGTCAACTCCTAAGAAGATCGATCGCAATGGTGAAACTGATCAGGCCCAGCCTAGTGAGAAAAATGTCGCTCAGGAGCTGAGAGAAAGATGAAGGTGAAGAAAACGATGCTATTTCTTTCTTTTTTTTCCTGTAAAGCATTTTCTACCTATTTACTGTCATTTAGATTAATTAGAGAGGTATCTACTTGGATGCATTGAATGGCGTTTGTTCAGGGTACGCGATACAGTATATCTCTATCAACGTTTTTAAATAATCTTAGAGTTTGCTCTGATCCGGTCAATGAATACCAAAGACTAAACGAATTCAAGTTCGTACCAGATCAGACAAGGCTGGTGGTGACATACCAGATTCAATGAAAATTTTAGTCCTACTGTACAGCATAAACAGAGTCCTCCATAGACAGGACAGAAATTGACTAGGATAGTGGTAGTGGAAAGGAACGAGGAAACGACAATCGCGACCAAACGGAATTGGAATCAAAAAGAAAAGTGAAATTTAACAAGTAGATAGAAAAAAGAAAGGAGATGTTCCAGTAACATGTCAATAAATACATGAGGGGGAAGAAAAAAAGTGCCCCTACACAACAAATGCCCTTAACAACCCCATACCAATCAATCCACGGTTCCCATGCTATCCCGATAAATACTGACGTACAAGGTATATTCTTTATCTATACGGGGAAAGGCGTCTGGTCTCTGCCGTCCTTACCTTCATGGCCCTCCTGGGTCTCAGAAGGTTCACGAGGTGCGATGGTTTGCCCATGCGCACCGTTAAAGTATTTGGCGAATTCATCGCTGTCGGGCCAGGGCCTTGGGCCGAGGAGTCGGATCAGATCTTCCCGGCCAAGAACTTCCTTGGACAGAAGTTCTTCGGCGACGAGTCCGATCTCTTTCTTCTTTTCCGTAAGGAGATCACGGCATTGCTTGTACGCTTCGTTGACAATACGGCGGACCTCTGAGTCAATGTCTCGTGCCGTGCTCTCGGAGAATGGCTTATGGAGCATCTGCTGCGGGTCCTCCTCATAGTAGATGTGGCCGAGCTTGGGTGACATGCCGAACTTGGTTACCATGGCTGTAGCCATGCGAGTGACCTTGTTGAAATCATCGCTGGCACCGCTCGTTACTGTTTCGAAATGAAGCTCCTCACTGACACGGCCACCCAAAGTCATGGCCATGCGATCCATAAGCTGGTTGACATTCAACAAGTATGTGTCGCCTGATGCTGGCAGATACTGAGCATAGCCTAGTGCACCTTGGCCACGAGGAATGATAGAGACCTTCAGTAGCGGATCAGCCCAGCGGAAATACCAGCCGCAAATAGCATGTCCAGCCTCATGGTAGGCAACTGTGCGCTTCTCCTCAGGAGTGAGCACAACGGACTTCTTCTCTAAACCACCGATGACGCGTTCAATAGCCTGTTCAAAGTGCTTCATGACGACGCGATCTGCGTTTTCACGAGCGGCTAAGGCGATGATATTAGCACAAGCGTGACTTGATAAATGGGGAAATCAGAGAAACGTACCAACAAGAGCTGCCTCGTTCACGCAGTTGGCGATGTCAGCACCAGCAAATCCTGGCGTCAAAGCCGCAAGTCTTCCGGTGAGGTATTCCATATTCTCGTCGGTCACGATCTTTTTCAAGTGAACAGCGAAGATTTGCTTACGACCCTCCATTGTAGGCCGGTCAATAGAAATGTGGCGATCGAACCGTCCAGGTCGCATCAGAGCCTTATCAAGCACGTCGGGCCTGTTCGTACCGGCCAAGACAACGACTTGGTCAGATGTATTGAAGCCGTCCATTTCAGTGAGGATTTGGTTGAGTGTACTTTCACGCTCATCATTTCCACCGCCGAAATTCTGTTTGGAACGCGATTTACCGATGGCATCAATCTCGTCAATGAAGATGATACAAGGAGCGTTTTTCCTGCCGTTGGCGAACAGATCACGCACACGAGACGGGCCGACACCGACAAACATTTCAACGAATTCCGAGCCGCTCACGCTGAAGAACGGTACGCCAGATTCACCAGCTGTGGCCTTTGCGAGCAATGTCTTACCGGTACCAGGAGGTCCCGAAAGGATTGCACCACGAGGTATCTTGGCACCTAGCTTTTGGAACCTCTCCGGCTGCTTGAGGAAACTAACGAACTCCATAATCTCCACCTTAGCTTCATCCATCCCGGCAACATCGGAGAACTTAATCTTGATATCGGTTTCATGATTAAAGCGTCTTGCCCGACTCTTCCCAATACCAAAAATTCCGTTCTGGCCACCTGCACCGCCGGCGGCACGTCTCGACAACCAGAAGAAGGAGCCGATCAGGAGGAGAGTAGGGCCAAAGGACAGGAGAGTAGCAAGCCAGGGTACTTCTTCGACGTAAGCGACAGGGATCCGTTCGGCACTTGGAATGCCAAGTTCCGCTTGAGCTTCGTCCAATCTTCGCTCAAAGGAGTCGACGGATCCAATGGTGAAATAATAATGGAAATAGGGTTGGGCAGCCGGGGAATCAGGATAGACCCTGCTTACAGCGTCCCGATGCAAGTCGACTCGGACTCTATTCCCATTAACGACTGTTAACCTCTCAACAAGACCCTTGTCGAAGAAATTCGCTCTGAACTCCTGCCATGTAATCTCTTTGCTGTTCTCCCCAGGCCAGATGCTGCGATAGACGTAGTAAGTCAAGAGGGCACTTATTAGGAAACTGGAGGGATCTAAGCGGAATTCAAATGTCTTGAAGTTCGGTGGCTTAGGCTGCTTCCCCTGCTCGTCCTTTTGCCCCTGTCGCTCTTCGGATTTCTTTCCCCGGTCCCCAGACTGCTCCGACTCAGCAGCTTTCGAAACGTAACCTCGTACTTGTCGAGACATTATGCGGCTCAACTTCACATATTCCATTAGAGATGCCGGTTTTCCTGACTCGATATGCTCTCTGATAAACTCCTTCAGCTCTGGCGGTACACCTTCACTCCTTAGCACCGTCCGCATCTCCTCCAACATGTGCTGTTGTGACTTTGGCAGGTTCGGCTTCATATGCTCTATGAAGGAATTGATCTGTTCTTCCTCTTCTTTCGACAACTTTGACTGTGGTTCCTCGGGTGGCGGTTTGCGGTCCCCATTGTTCCCAGGTCCTTGTTCTTGCCCTTGCCCTTTATCCTTGTTGTCATGATTCGGGCCACCGGGATTGACAGTGGCGTAGGACCTGACACGATGTGAGGTGATAAAGGACGAAAGCTGTGATCGTGAAGCATTTAGCGATAGCGGTCTTGTAGGATGGATATGCTGTGCGGCTCTCCTCGAGATTCGAGCAAGATTGCCTGGCCGCCGGAGGAGGCTGGCCATGGTCGAGGAATTGAGGCCAGGAGGCTAACAGAAAAAGAAAACTTGCAGGTCTTATGAATAGTCCACGAAAATAGAAGCCATAGAGGCCTTCATATGAATGGTAACAAGAGTGGGAGACAACACGCAGCAGTTGAGTCGAGCACAGCTTACCAACTGAGCGGGTTTTGACAAATCTCGGAAGAGCAGTGACGCCTGTCCGGATCGGCTTTTCTACTTTTCCGATGTCCGGCTGAGTCATCAGAGCCGTCTGGATCCGTCTGTTGCCTTCCAGCATTATTTATTTGCCTTTTTCTACTTTTCTGTATTATCTACGCAGTATTAATAACATGCCCGTCTGGACAAACTCGCGCCATTAAAATGTATTAAATAAACAGTCGCACTAATTGCCCCTGAAATGCATGTTCAAAGTGAAGAAGATCGGCTGAATCTGCTCAAAGAACACACACTGTCAGCCCTAAGACGTCACCTTTTTCTCGACACTTATGCCCCCATTCATTAATGCAAACCAAAAGCGCCATGGCTTATTTAGTAAAAGCTAGATATATTTTCGTCCTCCAACTCAGCAGCAATTACGGGTCCGTGTGGGGAGGCCCGCCAGAGTTCATCCCGTTATCAAAAACCGGGAAACTAGTTGGCATGTCCGCCCAGTCCCATTCTAGGGACATTGGGATTTGCCATAAATCTTGAGGAACAAAGGGCTGCTGAAAAGCTGACAAACTTGACGGTGTACTGTCTGTTGTGGTGAACTGTGTCTGGTCGGCTAAATTCGGATTCCCCATGTTAGTTGGACTGAGCATGTCAGGGATGATGTTCTGTCCGAGATCTGGTAAACCATGCACGTGACCCGAAAGATCCACGGGATTTGACCCAGAAACAATCGGATCGCTGTTAACATTCGCTAGAGGTGGTGAATATGCTGTGGTAGTTGTAGGTGGTGCACCAGCTGCCCCTGACGATGCAGTCGGCGCCGAATTCGGTGCTGAATTATCTTTCCTGTCTTGCTGTTGACGCGCGTTCTGGTCTGGTGCTGCCTTGCGCTTCTTTCTCGAGTGAGATTCTTTTTCAGCCTTGTCGATAACGACCTTGGCGATTCTTTCAAACTCTCCACAGAGAGTAAGCATGCGTTTGATGTTTCCATTTGACTCATCAGAAACAAGATTGGAGAGAAAGTTAACAACGACATCCATTAACTTAACATCCGAGCGAGCTCGTGGTTCATTCGGATTCTGAAGAATGTTGGCGAATAACGTGACCAAAGCAGACACGGGATAATAGAGAATTAACCTGAAGTACAAATTAGCATTAAAACTTGCCAGTGAAATAACATAATTGGTAGAACACTCACCAGACACAGGCGAAGTCACCCTGTGGGATATATTTGATCAGGTTTATTGTTCCTCTCGCAGCTGTTACGCAGAGAACTGACGACAGAAACACTCGAGGGTTAAGTGGTCTTGCATTGAGACCTTGGACAGCGTAGTTAGACAGACGGCTTGTCCAGTAGCCATGATGCACCGACATCCGATGGATTGTCGTTAGGCAGTTGTAGTAAGCAAAATGGAGGATGGCAACATGTAGAATCAATGGTGTATACGTAGCCTTGATTTCATTCTCTGGCCTAAAGTCGAGAGGGATACTGTCTTTCCATTCCTCCAATTCTCTATCAAGCTCCCCAATGGTATTAAGCAGCTCGCCGTCTGACTGTTTCGCGGCTTTTGCGGAGTAGAGTCGTTTATAAACCTTGCTTGCGATAGTAGCGAACTTACACATTGCGCTAAATATATTGAACTTCCCAGAACCGTCCGAAAGTGGAACATTTCCAATGCAGTCAGGGGGGTCCTCGCTGGGGAAGCTAACGTTCATGTCATCGTCATCTTGTACTGGAGGTCTTCCAGAACGGAGACAGATACTGTAGGCTCCATTAGAAAAAGGAATGTCAAAAGGAGTGGGGGATAGGGAGATTAGGCATACTCTCTGTCAAGAAGATAGGCAATCCAAAAAACTCTGTTCCTTTGTTCGACTTCAACTGGGTTCAGCCCGAGAGCCGCACCTTTTTTATGAAGGCCAATGCTGTGTGACAGCCGTATCGCTGCTGCTACCAAGAAGAACGAAGGTTGAGGGTTTGGTGTTCCCTGGAGGAAAAGAGACTGGAGAAAGCAATATTAGGTTCGAAGTTCGTTATAGGAATTAAGCTCCGATTAACATACCATTCCCAGCAAGGCTTGAACGCTCAACAGGTCTGTGTTCCGCATGGTCAACTCCGTCAGAACAGCCATGGCATTTTTTAGATACAGCCAGGCCTTCTTGTCTTCCTCTTGGGGTACTAGGTTATTCATAACTCGCAGCCTGTGGGCAATTGCGAGCACAACGTTGATACTGGCCCACCAACCAGAGCCTTCATATGGATCTCGGGAATACTGTCGTTCCACTAAATACATGAACGTGGGTTCGTGAAATAACGGGAACAAGCAGTTGAAATTATCGAAATAATCCCTGAAAAGGGATAATGCTTCGTCCTTAGGAGGCAGCGGCTTGAACACGCGACGTGCAAATATATCGCTGAAAATGTCGGGTTTCCAGTACATCCATTTATTATCGTCGATGAAGGCCGAAGAAAGCATATCCTGAAAAGATGTGTCGCCAGTCTTCTCATTCACCCATTGAATGCCTTTTGGTGAGAATATTGAGAACCCTGATGATGACCCTGGAACATAATATTAGCTTGGGAAGGTGGGATGAAAGGTATTGACAAACAACTCACCGATGTACCGCGTCTCTCCACAGTTGTTTGTGACCAGTGAACACATCATGTCGGACAGAGCCTCCACTTCCGTTTCCGAGTCCTTCTGTGGCTCGGGGGAAGCATTAGTTGTTCGTGGAGTCGACTGAGACTCTGCATGTGGAGTAGATTGGGATGTGGTCGTGGGCTGCATTACACCTTGAGCGCCTAGGTTTTGCGCCGTCTTCAGAGGATTCGCCCCGTTTGCTAGCGACCTATCGGCAAGGCGCTTCTCCAAGGTCCCGAGATCGGTTTTGCCTCCATCATCTTCAGACAGGAGACCGGAAAGTCGTAGCAGAGACTCCATTCTTCCAAGTCGATTCTCTAAGCCCTCAATGTACTTGGCACTAGTTCGAGAAAGGGTCAGTTGGGTCAGTTGCGGCATTAATGAGTATGAAGTATACGAGCTCAAGAGGAGCGATATTCTTACCCCTTAGGGGGATTCCGCTTTTTCTCCACCTGTGTGAAAACACAATCTGTCTTGTAGTTGATGCAGTGGGAGCATTTGGGCATTTTACCGTCGCATTTTATCTTCTTTCTTCGACACATATCGCATGCCTATACAGAATCTCAGTGAGTTTCTGCATCAAGTTTGCACAGCAACAAAGGACCCGTACCCTTGCGATTCTTCTCCTCTTCGCATCATTAGTGTCCTCGTTTCCACCCATTGGTATTTCCTCTTGAAAGACTGGCCCTGGAAGGACCGAAGAAACGGCCGAGCCATCCTGGTTGTAGGCGCCAAAAAGATGCGTCTGTTGACCCATTAGCATGGGTATGTCGAATCCCATGCCATCCGAGGTATCTCCCATCCCATCCATCACCGCTACCAAGACGCTGCAAAACCGCGACTGAAGGTTATTTGGCAGAACGTGAGCCTTTTATCGAAGGTGTCCCTGTGCGCCGTCGGTGCGGGTTCGTTCTATTTCTAGAAGAGCGAATGGGCCGACCAGAAACCGCAGCGGTTCTTCTTGATGGAAAATAGCGAACTTGGCAAACTCGGCTCAGCGATCGATATAGAATGTTCTCTTTCGGCCTGAGGGGCGGTTGGAGGGCAAATCGACGTGCTCTGCGCTTTGCGGATTACTCAACAGGGCTGAGCATGTGAGTGGCTGCGCGGGGGACAAATCGGGGAAGACACGATGGATACGGAGTTTCCCAGTTCATGGGTCAATGAGGGTCGATGAAAAGTGGCTGGAGGAAGTCTCTTCTCTATGGCTTTCTTATGAGACTGCGCGAACTACTAATACTCCCCAAGTGCCTCAACAGTCAACGTCAATCCTTCTGTTGGATCACGTGGGATTCTGCCGCATAGGTCCGCCCTCGCTGACCCTTTTCACCACGTAGGCCTATCTAGCTAGTAACCAACCAACAATACACCTCCATTAGGTTATGAGCCCGTTTCTTGCTCGGAAATATGAGCTATTTTAGGCCCGTATAAGTGGTCAATTTAAGCCCTCTGATTGGCTGAACCAAAATTCCATACCCCAGATTCCAAAAATTCCAGGATCCCAGATACGGTCCGAACCTGAGCATGTCAGGAGAACCTACTACGCCTCCCGCTACTGCTATACGACGATCACGTCGCCGAAATCTCCAAAACAGGTCCTCGAATATAGACGAGACCTCCTCATCAGTTGTCTCTGAAGAGATAGAGACCCCAACGCCTTCCGGAGCCAATCTGAGCTCTACCAATACCGCCAACATGGCTTCCACAAACGAACTTACCCCTGATCTTGCTGATATGATGCGACAAATGCTTGCTCGCCAGAATCAGATGGAACAAGATATGCGAGACCGTGAAGCTAGAATGGAGCTAAAACTGGCATCTATCATCCAGTCTAATACTCCACAAGCTTCCTTGCCTTCAAATACAACCCAAGATACTACACCAATGGATATCCAACCGCCTCTGCGTGATGCCTCAGACACAAATATCAGCAATGCTATTGCCCTTGTCCAAGCCGATGTCGATACGCTACTGCCTGACCGATGCCGTGTCATCTTGACACTGGATAATTACGATGCATGGAGCTCTGCCATACAAAAAGAAGCTGGTATTCTCAATGCTATTACAACTCTTCACCAGGACTCTCCTCCTGCTGGATCATCTCCACTTGATGCTGCAGTTTGGCACAGAAAAGCCATTGTCATGAGAGCCCGTATGCTCAATGCCATGACAACCCCTGCTTCCGATAAACTAGGCACCGTATATGACCTCTCTGCCCATGGTCTTTGGGACCGAGCTGCCACACTTTTTGGCAAATCCACCGGTGAAGAGCGAATGGCCCTTACCATGGAGCTCAAAGAGCTCTATATAAAGGATAACGATTATCTCACCTACCAGTCATCCTTTAATCGAATCTTTGACCGCCTACACGCTATTGGAGAAGAATCTCTTGAAAATCTCAAACATGACCTCTTCTTTATAGGTCTCCGGGACTGGAACCGCGCCTTTATCAAGAGTAAACTAGATGATGTCTACTCTACTGGCCGTGCTCCGGTTACCAACCTGGATCTTAAGGTTATCCAGACCCAATTATCTACTCGAACCGGCACTAAATTCCGTGATACTCATTCTCAAGACCGGTCAAACCAACAGAAAGAGAACTCCCAGAACCGCAGTTATTCAAAACAAGCATCTGGAACCAAATACACAATTCCTCAACGTTCCAATAACCAAGATAGATCTCGTCATACACTTATAGACTGTGATCACTGCGGAAATCGCCATGGACTTATATGCTATTTTAAACATCCTGAGAAAGCACCAGAGTATAGACGCAAGTTCTATACTACTATGGCTAATGCTCTCCGTGTTCAGCAACAATCTGAAGCAAACCCACAATCAAACCAGGATCACCCTGCTTCACAGGAACTTGTCTTGCATAAGAAACTCTCCAATGCCAAATCTGCCATTGTGAAGTCTGCAAAGACTCTCTCATTTTCCAATCAATGGTTTGTTGACAGCTGTGCCTCTTTCCATTCTACACCTGACCGTTCACTTTTTGCAACCTATAAGGCCTTGCAGAAGCATGATCTGGTGGAGACAGATTATATGGAAGGTGCTCAAGGCCATATCTCTATGCCTCAAGGCATTGGCACCGTGATTATAGATATTGGTTACGGATCTCTGATCCTAAGAGACGTCCGCCATGTTCCTTCCTTTACTTCCAACCTCATTTCAGAAGGCATGCTTGTACGACAAGGCTTTAGGCTTCAATATACACTAGATTGTGAAGTCAAGCTGATTACCACACCATCTGGAGCTGAATTCCAAGCCCGATTGTTCAAAAACAATGTTTACCTCCTTGAAGACTGTCTATCTCCTGGAGAAGAAGAAAATTCCTATGCCTTTGTCACCACCCGGTCTGGCAAAGAAGTTAACCGCCCAGAAGAGCCACCTGCAAAGGCTCCCACAATTAAGACACCAGCTGAGGCTCCTACTCCAAAAGAGACCCCGGTTCTAGGGAAGCCGCGAACTACTAAGATATCCCTACCTATCATGGCCTGGCACCGACGCCTATGCCATCTCAATCAAGCCGATCTCCTCCGCCTCGCCCGAGATCCTGAGTCTTGCATCGAAATCAAAGGCTCTAAAGAACTCCCATTTTGTGAAGTCTGTATACAGGCTAGACAGACACGCTATTATAGCAAGGTCCCTAGGTCCAGAGTTACCAAACCCCTTGCCCGAGTCCATCTAGATATCGCCGGCGGTGGACAAACTCTTGATTTTGACAACCCTAATGATGTTGTCACTGGCCGAATTGGGGCAAAATATGTCTTACTTATTACCGACGATGCCACACATTATCGATGGATCCTCTTCCTTGAGACAAAAAGTGCAGCCATTACCGCCTTCAAGAACTGGCTTCAAAATATGAAGAACCATGGCTTCACTGCTCCTGCCTACCTAGTCTCTGATAATGAATTCCGCTCCACTGAATGGATGGAAACCTACCGTCAGGAAGGCATAGAATGGCAACCAAGCTCGCCATATTCACCATGGCAAAATGCCGTTAGTGAACGTGGCATCCGGATCCTTTTGAACGGGCCCGAGCTATGATGCTTGATGCCCCATATATACCAGAACGCTTTTGGGTAGATGCTCTCCAATATGCCACAGATCTTACAAATCGGCTCCCTACATCTACCATCTTATACAATTCCCAAATTCCTGGGGGGGTGAATATCAACAAGGACATACACCCCAGCCCTTATCGCGCTCCGTTGGCAGCGTGGACTAATTCATCCATTTCTTCACTCCCCGGATATCGCCGTTGGGGGTGTCCAGCCTGGGTCCATCGGCATGGACCAGATAAACCTGGAAATAAGCTTGATTCACGTTCTCACTGCTGTTTCCTCATTGGCCAAATTAGTAGCCATCAATATCGTGTTTGGGACCCTAAAACTGACACCGTCTTTGTCACCAATGATGTTATATTTGATGAGGATTACAAAGATCCTACAACTACCACTCCCAAAGGTCCCAGCACCCCTACCGAAGAAAACCCAACTCAATTAGTTGAAGATGAACCTCTCAATGACCAAGATATATGGCTCCGACCTGCCAAAGGCATGTCCCTAGCTTACTTTGCCACTTCAACCATTCCTTCATCAGAAGACAACACGCCTACTTCTTATAAGCAGGCCATATCCCATCCTGATGCTGCTAAATGGCAAGCTGCCATGCAAAAGGAAGTCAACCAACTCAAAGAGAAAGGCTGCTGGCAACTCATTCGCCGTTCTGACCTACCACCAGGGGCCAAAGTCATCCCTGGCCGGTGGGTATACAAAAAGAAAGAAATCCCCGGCATACCTATCTCAGAGGATTATCAGGCTAAAGCCCGCTGGGTCATTCGTGGCAATCTACTTGATAAAGACTTCATGGAATCCTACGCACCAGTGGTAAATGAAAATACTACCAGAACCCTCACGGCACTGGCCACCCTGCTTGGCTGGCATACCCGAAAAGCTGATGCCACCCTTGCTTTCCTAAATGGGAAAATGCCCACGGACAAACGTGTCTTTATGACCCAAGTTCAGGGATTCAAAGAAGGTTCTGGAGATCTTGTCTGTGAACTCCTTCAATCCCTCTATGGATTGGTCCCATCTGCCCGCATCTGGTATGATACTCTGGGTGCTTTTCTACGCCAAATCAGCTTCAAATGCTCTGAATATGACTCTGGTCTATGGATCCACACTACCCGGACCCAACTCTATGTGACCACCCATGTGGATGACTTCAAAGTCTATGCTAAACATGAAAATGATGCCATCTGGTTTATGGAGACTCTCTCCGCCAAATTTGACATAAAAGAAGTTGGAAACTCTACCAAATACCTTGGCATGACCATCTCCCAGTCTGAGACTTCATCTTCTTTATCTCAAGCCGACTACACTGAAGATGTTGTTGCCTCTTTTGGTCAAGCCCAAGCACATCCTGTTAGGATTCCAATGGATCCTAGCCTAATAATTGATGATGAACCAGACCCTACAGTCAACACCAAAGAATATCAACGTGGTGTAGGCTGCCTTACCTGGCTAGCCACCAAAACCCGGCCAGATCTTAGCCAGACGGTTGGCATACTATCCCAATATAACGCCAAACCCACCCAAAAAGCATGGCGTGCCCTTATACACGCCATACGCTATCTTAAAGGCTCCATCAATCGGCAAATTACCTATCATAAACCCACGGAGTCCATTACATCTGACCTCCTCATGCCAAAATGTTATACCGACTCTGATTGGGGTGGCCAACTGACAGGCAACCGCCGGTCAGTTTCTGGATACATCTTTCTGCTTGCCGGAGCCCCAATTGCCTGGAAAAGCCGCAAGCAAACATCCGTTGCCCTTAGCTCCAACGAAGCTGAGTATATGGCTCTAAGCGAAGCCAGCCGTGATGCCCTCTGGCTCCGGAATCTCATCAACGAGCTTAATGTGCTCCCAACTGAATGCCCACCAATATCTCTTCATATCGATAATCAAGGTGCCCACGCCATGGCTGAAGCCGAGCTCACCACCAAGAGATCCAAACACATTGACATACGCTACCATTACGTTCGGGAGAAGGTCCGAGACGGCATTGTTAAACTTCAGACCTGCCCTACCAAAGAACAGGCAGCAGATGGCCTGACAAAACCTCTCCAAACTGAACGATTCAATCATTTCCTGGAACTCACCGGCATACATTAAGCGGCGCTTGTTCCCCCATTTTGGTTATACTTTCTATTCTGATTTACGGCTTCTGATTGGCCAAAGCGGAACCTCTCACTTCTCTGCTTAATTTTGCTTTTACTCTCTCATTTGGAGGCCTGAATAGAGGCCGATTTTTGTATTTAAATTCTTTAGATTAGTCTTTAGGCCAGCTCGTGCGTGGGGGGGTGTTGGATCACGTGGGATTCTGCCGCATAGGTCCGCCCTCGCTGACCCTTTTCACCACGTAGGCCTATCTAGCTAGTGACCAACCAACGATACACCTCCATTACCTTCTGCCATGGCGGTCCCGTGATATCCGGGGGGCCATTGCTGATCCTTGCGTATTGCGTATTCTTTACGAGTCATGTCCGCAGGGTCCATCCATTATTAATTTTATTTATTATCTCATTCGAATTTTCCATGCCTCTAGTATGGAGTAGCTGATGCAATTATTCAATTATTATTTCTCGTGTTTCTGGCGCTTGGCGTTGTACGGTGGAAATTGGTAGCGCCTAGAGAAAAGAACCGCGATAATAAGAATAACGAAGAGTGGCGATCTCATCAAAAGTATATACACCATTGTACAGCTGGGTACAGCATTATAAAAAAGATATTCCCTCCTTCGAATTCCAACCCAACGCCATGCTATGCTCAAAGAAGTATCCCTCGTACAGTAGACAGAACGCGATTCTATGTAGCGATCTCCTTTCAATCCCAGCTCCACTTTTGTCGTCTTAAACGTGTTTATCCAGGAATTCCTTCGCTTCGTTGATCTTAGTGGCCAGATATGGGCTTCCGCCCCGGTCCGGGTGGTTGAGGAGCATCAGTTGGCGATGCTTCTTGCGCACCTTATCCTTGGTGAGAGTTCGTTCACTGTATGATACGTGGTCAGAATGCAATGTCTACTGAACGGAACGGGATAGAATAGCATACGGTAATTCCAAGATCAATGCCGCTTCACGCCGGGTCATTCGCGGTTCGAATCCTCTACTTTGCAGTCAGCATGACACACTTCGTTTCCTCCCAGGATGAGTTGCATATCCAAATATGGACATACCCCTTGTAGAATGCCTTGCCCATGCTGTTCACTCCTCCCCTGTAGCGGCGGAAGGCAACGAGGCCAGCGCGGCCCTGCAGATTAACCCGTTAGCCCAGATATCTTCGGAATTGGATTGATTCCACTAACCAAGAAAGCGGCCGTAGCAACACCCAGACCCATAGCAAGAGTTGAAGCCATCTTGACTACCGAAATGCGACCGCGAAGCTGAACTTGGCGAGAGCAGTAGGTGTTGAAAGGTCCGAGGAAGTCGAGCGGCGCTTCAAAAAAAGTCGGAGCGGCTCGGCGGACCCGAGTCCTAAACAGGACTAGCGCCGAATCTGGGGGATGTTGACCAAAAAAAAAAAGTTTATACGGACCTATTTTTTCGTTGATTGAGACCCAACAGCTTCGCATCTGTTAGTCTTCATCCTACAGCTTGGCAGAATATTGTTAAAGACATAAGTAACCATGAGGTTAGTAATTCAAATATCTTCATCGTCCTCTGTCCACCGATTTTCAGAGCTGACAAGCCGCACATCCAGGGTTGAGACGTGCCACTTCTGCTCACGGCCAGTCTACCCGTCCAAAGGTATCACTTTTGTCCGCAATGATGCGCGGCAATTCCGATTCTGCCGCTCGAAATGTCACAAGAACTTTAAGATGAAGCGCCAACCTCGCAAGCTCAAATGGACCAAGACCCACCGTGCCGCACGCGGCAAGGAGATGATTGTCGACTCGTCTCTCCTGCTCTCCCAGTTCGCCAAGAAGAGGAACGTTCCCGTCAAGTACGACCGGAATCTTGTTGCGGCTACTATCAATGCTATGCAGAGAGTGGAGGAAATTAGGCAGCGCAGAGAGAGGGTATTCACGAAGCGCCGGTTGGCTGGCAAGCTTGCTCGCGATCGCAAGCGCGAGGAAGACCGGAAGGTTGTGGCCGAGGGCGAGCATCTCATTCGCAAGGAGCTGCGGGAAAGAGAAGAGGGGCAGCCGCTGGTGGCCGAACAGAGCAAAGTCGCTTCCAGAGTACACGGCGAGGAGAGGCTCAGACAGAAGAAGAAGACACGGTTGCTGGTGGACGGTGGCACTCAGGAGGAGATGGATATCGATTAAAATTTATTCGACAAGCTTTTCCTTTCTTTTGTTTCCGGGTCTCTATTCAGATACGACATTTTCGCGGTCATAGGACGGGAGTTTGGTTCTATTTATGATTATCCGGTTTGCCTTTCCTACTAAAAGGAATAAATTTGCTGCATTCACTTTTGAAGTTGATGCATATATTATATTCCCTTCTATTCCATGATTCTGGTCTTCTTGTATTTCCTTCCCACTCTCACCAACCCTCCATTGCCTTGGTGAGTGGTCAAATCCAATGTCTCCCATATTGCATGTTGGCTGGAACCTCATTCACTGGAGCATTGCATCTGTCCAGGTTCTCGCTAGATGCTTTCTGAACATTAACTGGTGCCCCTCTTTGCGGGTATTTCCTGCAATCGGACGTTAACCATGTCGAGGATTCACTAGAAATCCACTCAAGTCCTTTTTTCTTCTATTTAATCCCCCTGCCTGCCCTTCTCTCTCTTCCTGCTCCCTTCAATACATACAACATACAGCTCGTCTTCGCTCCCTCAACTTGCCAGAACAATCTACTCGCTTCTCCAAGTATTACTGCTGCTACTGCTACTACTACTACTACTTCTATCGTAAGCAACGCCCTTCAAGGATATCTACGTCATCTCTGCATTGTGTTGTTTTGCCTCCTTCACTGAAATATTCTGGTCTCTGGATTAATGCTTCATAGTATCTCAAAGATGTTACTTCTTCCGCTCATCGGAGCATTTTACATCGCTCTCTTGGGGGCAGTCCTCCCTGTTCCGGGAGTTATGTATCCCTCAGAAAGTTACTTGAGGCGCCTGTCGGGCATCATGCGCGCCATGACTTTGACGAAGGGGGTCTTCGAAGTGATGGAGCTAATTGGCATATACTATATCGAGCCTGAGTACGCAGCACCAAAGACAGAACGCACCTATCTGTGGTCTCGCGAGCCCTTCGAACCGCTAGCTGAGATAGACGCCCCTGAAATGTTCATATGGCCACTCGTATTCAACCACCAGCTGTGGGAGGATGTCTGGGAGAAGGGATGGGAGGACGCTTGGGATGATACTGATGAGGCGCCTTACATGGACCTAGTTCCCGTGGACCCCGACCCGCCGACATCTATCTCACCCCCGTGGCCCTTCGACGCTGTCTCAGTCATGGCAGTGGTTTTCCTTGCTTCCTTGTGGTTTCTCTACAAACGCGACACTCACACACCGGGAGATCTGTCGGAGGACCCTCCCGAGGAGCCTAGCTGCCTCGTGGATGATGAGGCGCCGTCTCTTTTCGAGGAGGTGGTTGCCCTGATCGAATCGTCGACGTCCTTGCCGCACTCCGGCGGCCCCGATCCTCTCACCCTCCCTGAGGGATCTGGCATTGCTGGAGAGCCGGGGTTCAATTACGCTATCGATGAACTCAAGAACTCTACCCAGGACACGTCGGATGTGATGGGCCCGTCTATTCACGTTCAGACTCCAGAAATTCCAGCGAGTTCCGCCGGTCCTCCCGTGGTTGGTGACTCAAGGAATGACCCGCCCGCTGAACAGAGCAACGAGTCCAGAGCAGAAACCGTGTCCAATCCGGTCAGTCATAGCAGGCGTTCACGACCGAGCCGGGCTAAGAGGTTTCGCCGTCGCGGGAGGGCACTAAGGGATTTACAGGGTGAAGCGAGCGCGGTGATCGCAAGGCCTGCTTCTGCTGTTCATCCTGAGTCCAGCGTTCCTCCGGTGCCTCCTGAAGGCCCAGGGCGAGCGGTAGCATATTACCAGGTCGTCTACTATGACCCGGTGTACGGATACTACAGTGGTCCTTCCCTGGTTCCCGTGTACGTTCAGTACATGCATCAGCCGTTGCCTGGCTGGCAGTACATCCCACCGCTGCCTCCATTCGTTTTCTACCAGTATTAGGGGTAGTTTCAACTACTCTGTTCGAGCTGAGCGGAATTGTTCAAATGCGGGTACGTTTGGTAGAGATCGGCTTCAATATTGCAAATCCTGGCCTTCGGGTATCTGATGCCGGCGAGTTGAATATATAGCTGGGTTGCCGGTCTTCGGACTAGGTCTCAGTCATGTCCCTTCGGTTTGTCGCTTGGATTGCCAATTGGCTCGGTTGGTGATGTGTTGAGACGCTCTCCTTCGTACTCACTTTGATAATCTTCTTGCGAGGTGAGTGAAGTGCTGGTATGTTAACGGAGAGGCGCGGCATGTTCTCGAGGCCCAGGCTAGTGCTCCATGAGAATTCACGTTACCATTTGCGCATTTCTGATATCGTTGACCATGATCAAATACGTGGCTTTCCTGTGTTATGGCAACCCTTTTGTAACTCAGTCAATCTCGTCGAATTGGATGAAACTCTCGCCCCTCGACCACCATCCTCGAATGACGCCGCAGCGAAAGAAGATACAAAATCAAGAACCTCTCAAGGATCGGAAACGGAGAGCATAGATTCCTGGAGATATATGACGCGGTCCTGATAACTCTCTATCGTATTGCAACTGCTTACAACCTGCATCGGCTTATAGCTTGCTATCTATGATACTACAGCTACCGCTACTCATCTAACCGACCTTCCTGCGCTATGCAAGGCCCGCTACCATACCTGCCTTATCATTCTTCTTCTAAACCCTGTGGTCGCATATCGGCGATTTATTGTCTCTTTTGTTTAACTTCTCCGTCAATGGCCAATTGATCCTTAAACCCCAGTTGGCTAACCCCCCAAATACCTCATTGATAACCAGATAGGTGGCCTATGAAGAAGCACTCCAGGGTCATCTGCCCTTTCTCATTCTTCAAGATACCATGAGCAAAGAATTTCCGATAGAAGGGCGTGCTATTGCCCCTTCAGCGCAGGAGCCAAGTTCTAATGCGGTAGGGCATATATGGCATTGGACAGTGGCAGACCCTACACGAGCATCGCTTCGGCGGAGTACAAACGAGAACAAATATAAACGGGACTGCGGTACTCTGTTCCGTTCCTGTCATCATCGGCATCAGCATCAACGCCCACATCAGCGTCCTCCGTTATGGCAATATTATTATAGCATAGACCGCCAATCTCAGAGGGCATTGTGACTCTGAATCCCACCAACGAAGGACATTCTACTGTTGCCTTCGTGCAAGAGCAGTCAGCAGATCCAGACATACTGGTGATCTAGCTGCGTGGCTAAACAATATCTCTATTGGAGCCTCTGCTCCCAGCACTGCTCTCCCTACCATGTTTGCCGTATGGGCATCCATTATATACCGTGCATAAATAGCATATACTCTGAAATGGCGCTTCTCTCCCTTTCCATGCTATACATGGAGGCATGTCTCCGCGAGCCTGTCCCTACTCCAACCTGGGTTCTAGCCCCGGTGTTGGAAATCCCATATCCCTTTCCTGGGCCATCTATCTATAGCGACGTACCTGCTCTTCCCCTGACTATAAACGGTGTTCCTATCCGCGCCCAGTATATCTTCGACGATGAGCCATCTCCAGTGGCAGGGCATGAGGCGGATCGCACTCCCCTATCCTATCTCCGATACAAATAAGGCGCCGATTCTCTTCATGCATGCCACACGAAGAAAGGATTCTTCAGATCAGCCCGCTACTCCTCACCGGTATGTACATGATCATACCTACTTATAAAAAATTTCCAGATCGAAGACGCGAGCCAACAGCTAGATGCATCAAGTTAGGGCTCAAGTAAATACCCATCCTACCCGCCTTATCGTTCGTTCTTTTTTCCAACCCTGCGGTCGCATGACTATTCAACTTGAACGAAGATAATAATATTACCGAGAAGATTGCGAGCATCGATCCTGTGATGTACTATTTACGAGCGACGGGCTACATGCTACGATTATGATCATAACTTATAATGCTCTTCTACAAACTTGAACTTGATGCCATCCTACGAAGTCGGCACCACCAATCACAAGGAACTGGGAATCCGCATAAATTGCTTCGTTTTTGTTTGGGGAAGTCGGATAAAGCAAGAGGGGAGAAGGCACAGACATGAGGTTCTTTTAATGTATCTTGTATGTATTTATTGGAACTCTTCTTGTATATTCTCACCTTGTACAGTCTCATGTCAGAATAGAATGTATATTGGCACCTTTAACGGTATCCATCTCCGGGGGTACAATCATGGTAACTTTAACCCAATCTACAGAGTAATCGTAACACGGACACAATGGACATTGTCTTTATATCTCCATGTCCATATGCCCATCATCATAAGCTCTATGCCACTTTGTACTCCCTTTTCGCCGGAGGATACGACTAATGACGCTGTACTGAGGGCTTCAGCTAACTACAAGGTTCAGGTCTACTTACTAATACAGATGACTACGACTGTTAAATGGAAATCTCATTTATAGCGTATATATTCATGTCACCGGACAATATCCCGTCCGAGAGGATTTGAGTACATTTAGGAAAACAGAGCGGTCATAGAGACAGAAGATGGGGAAAGGGGGGAGAGAGATAGAGTGTGTGACAGGAAGGAGAGGACGGAACCAGGTCCAATGCAAAATAGATAGCAGATCAACATGTATATGTGAATAAGCCACCTGCGCTTTTCGCGCATTCTCGTATGGAAACGAAATGATACATGGGATGGTCGGATCAATAATACACAATAGTTCCGAATCAAAGTCCCAGCAAACATGCGATATGTCTGGATAGTTTCATCGTGCCCTTCTCAGGGGGCGCAAGGTCCCACAGGCGTGACCTGCGCCTGATTTCTGGAATGCTGTCATACAACGCAGAAGAACAAGGAAATTCGATGCATACCTCGAAATATGCATCCACGTTAAAAGACAAGTTGGGGGGATGGGGAAAGGGAAGATAATTTCAGAAATTCGCTCAAGCTCGTACATCATGATTTAAAAATTACAGCTGGATCGTGGCTGTCTGTTGTAGGCCCATGCCACTAGCGAGGCTGTGGCTACCAAGAAGTAGATTCCCTTACTCCTCCATGCGGCCAAAGACACCGTCATCGTCATCATCTGCATGTGTGTGACGGTTACCAAAATCGACGTCGTTGTTTCGGCGATGCCTCAACTCACGATCTGAGTCACCCATTCTCGCTTCTCTTTCATCAGATACCTTGTAGGAAAGAGAAGGGTTGAAGGATAGCGATGGGAAAAGGCTGGGAGTTGAGCCAGGTAGAGCGGTGGCTTCAGCTGCACTAGTACCCGATTGACTGAAGCCGTTACTCAAGTGACTAGTACCTGTCTGGTCCAAGAAGCGAGCTGGCGAAGGAGGCACTGGAGGGATATCAGACGACATAGCAATAGGTCCCGTCCGAGGAGTTCCAAAATTGCAAAGGCGAATAGCTGCGGCCAGATCGGCTTCATCGTCGTCTGGAAGCTTGGTTTCCGCTGTTGACGGTCTGGTGTCAATGCTCGAGTGTCGGAAGTGAGAGAAAGCAGGCGAGTGCAGTCCACCGCCGGTGAAGGAGCTAGAGGGAATGGACTGGTATGAGTGGGCATAACCACCAGAAGCATTGCTCACGCTAAACCGCTTATCAAAACTGGGAGGCATATCTGACATATCGAAATCGTCACTGTCATCGATGGGCGGCGGGGTAGTCTCGGCGGAGCTAAGGCCTTCTCGTAGTTCAGACGAGGCATCTGGCGATGCAGACGAGGCTTCCGATTCGGGAGCATCACCGGGCACAGCATCCTGGTTCATGTTGACCAGAACGGTGGCGGCTTCCAGCAATTGTACCTGCTGGTGCTTCGAGATGAGTAGCTTCGAGGTGACGGCCCACGCAGGGTTGTGCTCCCACCTAATTTTCCAGAACAAGAAGAAGGAAACGTCAACCGACTTCGCTCACCACAGGTAAAAGGGGGAGGGTGGTAGTGAAGGGAAGGAGCTGGATGACCACGAGGGCGACCTTGACACAGAGCCGACATGGTGTATGCCCCAAGTTTCGAGCCAGGACTGGCGGAACGGCAATGGGGGGAGTATACACACATATGCTTAGACAAGCAGCTGCCATGCTTATACCCTTTCCCACAGCGCTCACAGCGAAGTTCGGGGACGGAACGCTTGCCTTCCCCTTTGACTAGGTGCGAGCCTTCGCTGGCGCGACGATTTCGACTCTTGCTGGAGGATTTATCGACGGAGCTGCCTTCCGCAGCAGATGCTTCGTCGGGATTCGGGGACGCCTTCTGCACGCTGTGGCTGTGGCCGGCACTGTTCATACTCCGAGATAGGTAAGAGCTAAAAGTGGAGCCTGTTCCCAATGAGCTTGATTCCAGGCCCTTGCGGCCATTGACGATTCGACAGTGGGAGGAAGGGGCCATAGGAATGCCAGGGGACTCCGCGTTGTTGTCCTTCAAGGTGGCCGCCACCGCTGCGGCGGCGTTGGCAGCAGCGGTCGTGGTCACGCTCTTTCGGCGAGTGACACGATGGTTGGAGTTGACGGCACCGAGGGAAATAGAATGTGAATGATGCTTGGGATTGTTCTGACGGACAGCGATACCGGATTGAGGGAGAGGTCGAGAAAGGGATGATTCCTGCTGGGGGGAACGGGGAAGAGGAGTTAGTTATCAGCGGAAGCTAAATAATTATTAACACGGAGCAGCCAAGTCACCTTGAAAGAAGCCATGATGTGAGCCGGCTCTCACTAGCCTTCAGAAGATCCCTTTCCCTTCTATAGTTGCCGAGTAAAGAGATAGTGGCCAGGAGACCCAATTTAAACGGGGGTGGGAAAGTGAGCTGTTTAGGTTGGGAAAGGTAGGGACGGCGGTAGTGCAAGCGGTTACAGGAGGAGCCCAGCGAATTGCACGGACGGACCGAAAGCGACTGAGATAAGTCGATAGAAGGATCTCCGACGGGCAATTCGAGGTATGGTAGGCAATTGGGGATGGTGGAAGAGAGCGCGAGAGAGAGAGAGACGGGGAGAAATGGACGGGAGAAGACAGGGAGAGAAGGAAAGATAAAGAGAGAAAGAAAGAAGATGCGCGCGAGGAAGAGCAAGGCGAGTTGGAGGAAGAAAGAGGAGAAAGAGTGAGCGATGCGGTCTTGGTCCTAGTCTGTACAGCGTATTACAACGTACGCGTATTGACAGCTGTAATACCGGTGTTCCGCGGATTACATAACCCAGTGGAGCCGGCCTCAAAAATAGCTCTCTGGGAAGAGTGCGGGGGTTTTGTCTGGAGAAGCAGAGACAAGAAATTGATGTATCTGTTTCCTTTATAACTGCGGTGTATGATGAGATGGAAAAGGAAGGGAATTTTCAGCAGTCTTCAGCGACTTTTTAGGAATGTAGGGCGCTTGCGCAAGGCACACACAGGCGAAAGAGAACATGCAACTGAGAATGTTCCTGGCCGGAAGGACATCTTGAAGACGCAGCGTTATGCATGTCATCTGGACTGTGGCTGTGACTGTGACACCGTCACAGGGCCTCTGCGTACGGTAAGTATGGTTACATACGTACCTAGTCATACAGTACAGTACGGCTGATCAGGCCCCCCCTGAATGGCCATCTGTATTGACAGCTGGAGCTGTAATAGCTGCAGTGCCTCAGGTCCGATCGCTTCTGGCACTTGGACCGGCTGTTTCCGTCATGCGTCTATTTTAATTACTGCTCTATTTCCTCACTCTGCCTGCTATCATTATTCATTGTATTATCATATTCTCCATTGTCATATGGCGTCCGTAATCGGCATCGCGTCATCCCTTCCGTAATCGGTCCAGATCTCCGCAGCCACAGATGCCGCGGTGGATCAACTGATGAACTCGGCAATGTCAAAGATGCCTCCGGAGTTCTCATTGTTTTCCCAGTTCCAGGAGCAGCTTTTGTTGTTTTATTATTAATTAATGATCAAAGAAATTATCCCGGTACAACCTTCATCGGCAGGCGATCACCCGTCAATGCACAGCTACCTTCCTGCAGGGCGACTATGTTCCGTAGTGCGTACAGTACATGTACAGTACAGGTTAATTACATACCGGTACTCCCAGGCTACTTCAAGCCCACAATACGGCCTCGCCCTACAGTCGTCGCAAACACTTCTGCCTTCAAAGAACAAATGACAGACGGGGAGTGCTGTGTGCTTCTATCTTTGAACACTTGTCATAATGACAGACCGTCGGATTACTCAATCCAATCGGTGAAATATCGACAACGGATATAGTCAACAACCTGGAATCCAGACACCCGACGGTCATGAACTGGGCAACAGCCAGCCTCGCGCATGCGCGGTCTCAATGACCAGGACTTGGTTGTCCCATGTCGAATGTCCGGGTAGCCTCTGCCAGATTAAGGTTTCCTGCATTGACTTGGACCTGAACCTGAGCCTTGCATGAAATGCTGCTGCTGCCGCCATATGGCAATGCAAAAGGTTTGCAACGTCAAGCGCGCTGCTATGTAGGCCTGACATGAGCCAAATGTGTCATTCCCGAAGGTCTAGCCTATTCTCTCATTGAATCCCGCATTCTCTGAAAGTCAGGGAATCTCCACCTCTGCATCCACTCTCACCCCACAAGAACCACCGTTGATTTCATCATGTCGTGGAATGTATTTTCCTCCTCGGTGGAAAATAAGTCAGACTTCTTCCTCTGCCGTGCATTTCGTATGTCTGCTGGAAACGCTGGTTCTAGCTATTGCCGTAATATTGGCGAAGCTCTTTTTCACCTCTGGAATCCCACTTTGCTCCGCCACCGATCAAGACCAAAAAGGCTCCCAGATGGCGTATGCAAGCGTATATATATACCCCAGGAAAGAAAATGGCCCATCTGTATCCGTTCTGCAAAGCAGGACTCTGGTGGTCATAGTAGGAGTGGGGTATGTGCAGTATACTGCTACTTCGTGATTCGGAAGTCAAACGCCTCTCCGAAATCTTCAAGAGTACCAGATGGAAGAGTCGATGATACGCCGCATCTTTGCTTCATGGACACTGACTCTCGCAGCATCCGTGGAAGCCACTGATGGGCCCGTTCGGTCCAGAAAGGTGAAAGAATCAAGCGCAAGGTCTGGACAGAGCCTTCCAGGTAGTCTGAATTTATGGAGATTTCGAGAGCAATAAGTTGGCCTTTGTTCTTATCCGATTGTGCCAAAACAATGGCATATTGCATATCGTCGTCGCAGAACATATCTCCAATCACGACGGGATGGTACCCGCCAGGGACATAATAATCAAGAGCTCAAGGGGTTGAAATGGACAACTTTGTCTGTGGGCAGGGTTACCCCAATGCTCGCGGTTTAATAATGTCGGTTTGCAGAATGTGGTGCGAACTCCATTGGTCATGGGAAGAGTCAAATTCATCGGCTTTCAGATAAGAGGAAACTTAGTGTTAAAGGATAATGTAGAAAAACCCCGATCCGCTTTATTGTCAACGTATGACTGCCTGGAGGAAAGCTGTTGTAAGCCCAGCACTGCTGTTCTGTAATTACTGTGTTATACTTGGAGTTCAATACAACTGCCAGCAGGTACGGAGTAACTCGAGTAACATACAACCTATGTTACCTGGTAGTAGTAATAGTAATAATGTCCTATCTCCTGATGATTATCTTTTTTTTTTTTCATATTGTTGAAGGTCCTCCGAACGGAGCAGCACCTAAGGTAGCAGACCGGGCTAGCTTCCTTTGTGGATCACCTATCCTTGCACGATTCTCGATAGATAAATAATTTGAGTTGTTTAGGCTAGACTATTTGTTTTCGTACGTACAGCATAATCCAACTGAATACGGAGTAAAGATACTACCCACCTCCTAACGTATGGAGTACCTAATATAGTGTATCCCAACATTTCTGGTCGGACACTACGGCATATATCTGAAAGAGCTCTGGAATTAATCATGCATTTGGGAGGATCAGGAGACATCGCAGATCAATGCTCACTAGTGTCTGTGTCTGTGCAGTATCATGTACGACGAATGTGTTGGTGGTCCCCATTATTCATCTCCTTCCTAGTTAGGTTTAGCTCTCACTAGTCAGAATAGTCACATGGGTTCTGCCCAGTTAGACCGCCTGAGCCTGAGCCTAGCACAGCTGGTTCAGGAAACGCGCACATAGATAGGAATAACACAAGTTATACCTCCAATATAGATAGTTTGCCCGACTCCGGGCCTCCCTAGCTAGAACAACCAACTCAGCCAGTTCGACCCCCATCAACAGATATTTCCAACTTCTGTTTTTATCATGTTGTAGCTCTTCAAACTATGCCTTGTCTATCTGCCTGTACCATGGCTCGGCCTGTGGCCTACCTGTGTGCCCAATCCAACCATTATTCGGAACCTGTTTCCTGACCTTCCTGAACCTGCACCTTGACAGTATTACTTGGCATGGATGATAGACTAGGAGAGAAGAGGGCCAGGGTGGAAATGCAAACAGGATAAGCTCTTTGTATCAATCAAGGGAATGGTCTCTGTTGAAGAACAGCTTTGTCACCAGGAAAGCTTTAGTCATTAACTGAATATGTCAAATGGAGCAATCAGTTCGTCGCCCAGCGGTCCACGAAATCTGGCACATTTCCAAGTCTCACTGATTGACACACTCCCTGAGACAATCAATGATTCTATTCTTGATGCCTTTGATCGGCCTGGCTGGACTGCTGTATCTACTTTAATGCAACTGGTGAGACATAGCTGGAGGAATACGGAAGGCGTCTCCCAAGATTGGTTCTGCGCCAGGGCCATTCGTGGTTGACTGCATATGCTGCCGTGGGATTCACAAGGACCGACATAGCTCATCGTGCATGGAAGAAGTTTCATAATACAAACGGCTACATGGCATCGATGCGTGAAAGAGCGATCTTGTTGTCTGTGGAAGTGAAGTGCCGGTTACGGTAGATGAGGCCTCTTTTGTCCACGCTCTTGATTCTGGACATTCTGCACCATACTTACGCTTACGGCTTAGTTACAGCGGAGGAGTTTGACCATACATATATGCGGAGCTGTACTTGCGGGACTCTATAAATGTAGAGTCAAGGTTGCCAGCTCGGAAGCTCTACTATCTAATTGTAGGTAGATTCAGAGACAATTATAATGATTATTCCACACAGAGAGTGAAATTTCTACGAGGGACTGAACCGTGCATTTTCTGGCTTTTATCGTTGTCTTTTCTTAAACCATCATTAATAACTTGCAAATGTGCCGGTTGTTATTCTGTTCTGTTGAATCGAATGTCCAACATGACGCCATCGGAGCGTCTCCGAAGCTGCGCTGCATATGATAATGAATAGCGGTGGACAGCGGCAGAATATTGATGAGGATATACTATTTCGGACAGGTGGATTATCTAATAATCCGCCCCCGGGATACGGTGTATATATATTCCAGGAGGAAAGGCCACCATACATGTATCCTGGAAGAAGTATATAGGAGCGATCGAGACATCAAGGAGACGCATCGATTAGTGCTTCAAGATGTACTAGAGACGGCAGTATATCGATATAGAGCGTTCATCACGATCCCTACGAATCCTACGGTACCCTTTTAGTATCCGGTGTCCAGACGCCGCACCCCTGATCCACATCAAATATCATCTTCAGAAAAACAAACAATAAAAAGAAACTGATGAAGAAAACTCAACACAGCTCATAGCCAATACTTATTTACTTGCTTACTTACATTAATTCAATCCTAATCCATATTCATTAACCCCTCAGACTCTCCAATTCGTACAAGTCTGTTAGATAAAAAACCCACCAGGCAAACGAAACAAAACATGCTCCATTCCCGTCTCCGACCCCTCCCTTCTGCCCCCTCAAAACAAACCCCAGACCCCTTATTCAAAGATGAGGATCAAGATAATAACAATAACAGTGGCAATGACAGCGACGCAGAATCCCCCGAAGACGTCTTCACATCTTTCCTCCCCCACCTCTTCCCGGACGATGCACCCTCCTTCCACGGCGACCCCGGTCAGCATCTCCTTTACTCCTCCCCCGTGTTCGGGGACTTGAAGATCATGGTTCCGTCTTATCCGTTTCAGAGTGATAAGCGGACAGAAGAGATTGCGGTGGGGCTTTCCTTGGGTGCTGAGGATGAGGGGAGGGTGAATCAGGTTGTTGCGGAGAGGAGGCTGTTTGCACATTTCCTGTGGAGTGCGGCAATGGTCGTTGCAGAGGGGGTGGAGAGGTCAGTTGTCAGCGCAGATATGCATGCTGATGCTGATGGAGCAAACATCTGGGATGTTAGGGGGGAGAGTGTTCTGGAGTTGGGTGCTGGTCAGTAATATGTTATTCCTGTATACTCAGCATAGGATAGATATTAGACCGGAACATGGATGAAGCATATTGACAATAAACAGGCGCCGCTCTCCCCTCGCTCATCTGCGCCCTCTCCCATGCATCGAGGGTGACGATAACAGACCATCCTTCTTCCCCTGCGTTGTCGAGCGCTATTGCTTTTAATATTGACCATAACCTCTCCCGCCGGCATACATCCACAGACATACCCACGACCAAAGTTACAATCGAACCCCACGAATGGGGAACCCTCGACACCCCCTTCGCGCAGGCGAACAAGGGTACTTTCACCCGCATCATAGCGGCGGACTGTCTCTGGATGCGCTCGCAGCATGAGAACCTCGTACGGACTATGCTGTGGTTCTTGGCTGATAATAACACGGAAGTTGGTAGCCAAGCGAATGGAAGTAGTAGTACTAAAACAAAAGCACGGGTTTGGATCGCCGCGGGCTTTCATACAGGGCGCGCTATTGTGGCGAGTTTCTTCGACACGGCTGTGCGGATGGGGTTGGTGATTGAGAGTATCTATGAGAGAGATTTGAATTCTATGGCACCGGACGGGGGGGAGGTGAGGAGGGACTGGGTTCGTATTAGGGAGGGGGAGACATCGGAGAATAGAAGGAGGTGGTGTGTTGTTGCTATGTTGAAGGGGGGTCCGTAGTAATAAGCAAGCATTGCTGGTCAAGATTGATCTATCCAGGGATGCAGAGGTAATGATGGTCTACCCCTTCTGAAAACACACCGTACAAACACCCTGGCCCTCCTGTCCCCCAAATCTAAACCGGGGATACTCGATGCGTCCCCAAACAGACAACCGACCATCATCGTCACCATCATGAACATCATCCGTAAACCACCGGATCAACTCTGCCTCAGTCCAATTGCAGCTCGTAACAACTAGAAACCCGCCCTTCCTCACCAGTCTTCGCGCGATAATAGGATACCGCTCGCACACTCTCTGCCGAACAACCATCCCATTCCCACTCTGATCGGCATCCTCAACAACCTCATCAGAAAGCGACACCGCGTCAAACGTCCCCTTGTCAAGCACGATATCGAACCCGTCCCTGTCATACGGGAACCAGTCTAAGCGCGGACGAGAAGCGTCCTGGAGCTCCTTCTTAGACAGCGCATGCGTAGAGGATAGGATATCCCATTCTTCGAATCGGACGGCGTCTGCGTCTTCTTCGGGTTTTCCATACTGAGTTTCACCGGGGTTGTTGTTCGAGGTAGAAATAGAGATCGGAACAGCCTCATTCGTACCATTCTCCGTCGCAACGACAATATCCTCGTGCTCTCTGTCCCCAGCCGCAGTACCAGTACCAGAATAACGCCCCTCCAATCTCAATCTCTGCAACTCCCTCGCCAACTCCACACTTCTCGCCGAGTAATCCACCCCCACCATAGGACCAGTAAAACCGCCCTTCCGTAGGAGAGCGAGCATACTCCCATTCCCCGTCCCCAAGTCAAGGATACACGGTTGAGACTGTTCTTGCTGACTCGTCTCCACGTCCACGTTGGTATTGGTATTCACCGGTGCAAGTGGAAACGACTCATCCGTTAAAAAATTAAGAACCTTCTCAGGCGCTTTGTGTTCCGAGAACCACGATGTGCCAGGGTCATCGTCGTCGTCTTCACTTTCATCGTTGTGGTTATAGTCATCATCATCATCGTCGTCATCGCTGAAATCGTGCTCCTTTTCCTTTCCTCTTGGGTTCTTGATAGATATATACGCCAATGTTCGTTCGTAGTATGATTCCCAGCTGTGTGAGGGTAAAAGTCATTGAGTTAGCTAATTAGCTATTTCGATAACCATTGAAAGGGGTATTTTATTTATAAAGAAACATACTAGTCCTTCGTGCCTAGTTCACTAGGCGGGAGGAATGTTGGATGGGACTCGCCTGTCGCAGATGACTCCGACTCCATTTTGGGTGGTGTTCACAAGGTTTTTGTTGGCAGGTCTCGGCGATTATCATGACGTTGAACCTTAGACCGCTTTCAGGTTTCTGGGCCCTACCCCATTGAGTGTTTACACAAATGGACCCGTCTCGACTCTCAGAGTCCCTACCACGTCTACGACGAGCTCAAATGAATCAATACTTCTTCATTCAATTCAATGCTGCATCAGGGGTATCCCTCACATCCCTCGCTTGACCCATACGAACACATCCATATGAAACTGGATGGCGAGTCGGAAAGAATAAATGTCATAAGAAATACAAATTGCAACCCCAATGCACCGGCAAGGAACTTGGGAAAAGAAAAGACTTCTTAAGGCCAAGTCAAAATCGAAGCGCGGGGTACACACAAGCTCCACTAATGTTACAGTGATTACGCTTCGCATCTCCCAAGCCTTGTACCCTCTTTTCAACGCCGAGGACGCCTAACAGCGAGAGAACAAGTCATACATGCAGAAAGAAAGGGCAAAATATGCGGGACAGATTAGTATTAACATCGCACCTCTAGCCGACCAAAGGTGACGCAGCCAAATAAACGAGAGAAAAAGAAGAAGAAAACGAAAACGACAGCAAAGCCGGCTTTGGTCATGGATATCGTAAAAGGGGAAATAAGGAAGAAAGAATGTGTGGAGGGAACAAGTCAACGAAGGTGTAAAAGGTGAATGAACAGCAGCATAAATGAGAAGAAATCTAACTTCAGCAGAGGCGAAGCCATCCAGAGTCATGCAGTCATTTCTCGAGAAGAAGCCAGTGGGAGCATTGAACCAGACAAAGCCGATCTGGACAGCCCAATCAATGCTATAGAAATTCATCGATATTTCTCATTATCAGGCGCCCGCTTCCTTGTGGCGGAGACCTAGGATCCAAGGGCTGTTGTCCGAACTCGAGAGATTTCGGATCCACAGTTCCTGCCAGGTCGCCCCCAATGGTGCGCGAGAGTGGCATTGTCAGAAATTCAGTGGTCCTAGGCGAGAATATGGCAGCAGGTACTGGTGGAGGATCCCGCACAGTAACTTGCCTATGCTCATTTCCCGGTCGTTGTGAGCTTAGTCGAAAAGGCGGCTCGAAAGACTGAAAGCTGTCCCTCAAAGGAAGCGGTCGTGGAGCCAAAGTTCGTTTGGCAGAAGCCATCTGGAAACCCAAACTCCCAGGAGAGAAGGGGCTTCGAAAAGATGGCTCTTTGCGTGAAGGACTACATGGACGATCTGGAAGTACGCCTTGATGGCCAAGAGCACCCGGCCGTTGATTTTCCGATGATGGAGATGGTTGCGGTTCCGAAGACCTCCTAGGGCCTGTCATGAACCAATAGTCCTTCGGGGTAGAATTATCCAGCTGTTCACGCTGTAGCCTCGAACGAAACTCCGTGAGTTGGTAAATAAGGCTCATATTGGGACCCACCCAACGACTCCGTTCTTTGACAATGCTATACATGGAGTTGAAATCCAAGTGTCTATTTTTGTACAGACCATAGGCAATAACCAGGGATGCGGACCGACTGACACCTAGCTGGCAATGAACCAGCACTTTCTTTCCTTGTGCAACCCGAGAGTCGATCAACTCACAGAGAGATTGCAGATCATCTAGGATCTCGGAATTGTGATCCCACCCAACGTGAAAGTACTCGGGCATCCGTTCCTCCTCTTGGGTAGGGGTCGGGGTTGAAGAAACCTCGGGCTGGTACTCAACAGCGGATCGGAAGGATGCTTCTGATAATGCCGTCTGTGGTTCGGCGAATGACATCCGTTTTGAATCCACTGCGTCTCGCCATGTATCCACAGGGGTGCCGCTTCCTGGACGGGTCTGTGTGAATGGATTAGGAATCTCCTTTGCCACGTTCACAACCACATCGAACTTCGAAGCCTCCTGCGCTGTTGGCTCTAAATACAGGAACACGCCCGAGTCGTATATACGAATAGGCCCATCTGGATAGCCCCGCTCGTCCTTTCTCGCCGATTCTCGCGAGTCCAAAAGATCATCGTCCTCTTCGTCAAGTTCATGCAGTACGCGGTCAGCCATGGCATTCTGAGAAGAATAATGGTCCGCGGATAGCCGTCTCACACCATGGTGCGTGATTGGACGAGGTAACTGCATTCCTGCCTTGGGGCCAAAGGTGGGTGAAAAGACCGACGTCAACGAGGGTGAAGATTCCGCGTGCCTCAAAACCAGATCTCCGGACGGGGTGGGAGGAACGAGTTCCCTGATGCCATTGCCGAAAGACATGTCTGGACCGGGCGTTCGGATGGTGAGATTCGCAGGGCGACGGCGGGCGGTCTTGACGGGGGGGTTAATCGGCGAAGGCGGTGCAGAGAGATGGTGCTGGGAACTTGTCTCAAGAATTGATGATGTTGTGATGGAGGGACGAGCTCTCGACGGCGCAGGGACCGTCAAGGATAGATTCTTGAGATTCCGCGCTCGCCTCCCTGGCGATTCCGAACGCAGGGGCCCCGGTAGATCTGAAGGGAGCCCCGGAATATTATTCTGTGCCGTCTGCGCTAGCTGACCCTCGACAGGACGCGATGGCGACTTGAACTTGGCGTATGGAAAGGACATGGGCAACGGTGAATCGGGAGAAGAGCTTCCGGAAGTGTCTGTGACTGACGAGCCGTCGAAGATGGAGAGGGTGGTTGTCGGGGACGAATCGGTGGATCCGGACGCAGTTGACGACACACTGGCGCGGTGACAAGAAGGCAACAGTCGTTTCGAGGGATTGACGGAGAGATGCAGGGCAGCATCTAGAGGCTTGACGGGCTTGGGATGATGATCTTTCTTGTCCATGAAGTCTGGCCGCGCACCGAACACCGACATGAAGGAAGGAAACGAGTCCGCAACGGGCGGCGGGCTAGTCTGAACTGGCATGGCTGTCTGAGGAACGGAGATTGCCCTGCGTTTGAGAGAGGAAGACGCCCTCCCAAACTCACTGGACTCGTGGAGCACCTGAGCAAAGAGCGAAACAGGATGGTCGCATCCAGAACAGTGATGGAGGCAAGAGAATGTCGCACTTGCTACCTGCGCAAATGGTCTTTTGGAGAGAGCGCAATCAGTGCCCACGTCACTTATGCCGCATGTGGGTGTGTGTGTGTGTGTGGGTGGGGGGTAGACTCGGGGAGGCGAAGCAGTGAAACGGAGGATACTGTAGAAACAAGGAAGAAAAAAAAATAAAAAATAAAAGAGAGTTGTTCGTCGATGGAAGGGAGAAGTAAGAAAGAAAGAGATGAGAAGAGGCAGTCTTCACATGAACACTCCCAAGGATGCGAGAAACGCTATAAACATACCAAAGGAAAGTCGACTTCCTTGCTATTCAAGCCCTGCTGATTTCCAGCAGAGTTAGTGAAAGGGGGGAGAGCGAGAGAGAGAGAGGTATATGTAAGTATTCCCAGACTTGGTGGGACAGTCGTTCCTCCGGGGAATGACGGGGAATGGAATGAATTACGGGGTAAATGGGAATTGAATGGAATGGAGTGAAATGTCAAGCAAGCAAGCAGCAGTATCAATCAAGGCCGAAGGAGAGACGTGCTCCGGGGAGGGAACTGGCGAGGGAGCGATGGAGCGGGTGTAGATGGCTGCCGGCACACTCAAGGACGAGCTTGACAGGCTATTTTCTCCACCAGCGGGCGAAGAGGAGAGAAGAAACAAGACAAGACAAGACGAGACAAGAGAAGGGAAGAGGAAGAGCAACATGTAAAGCAGCAGAAAGCGAAGCAATGCAAATGGAGGGGGCACGACAGGGTCCTGGCCGGCGGCAGGGCGAGGCCAATCAGCCGCGCAGGCGCCCAAGCGAAATCACAAACGCTCTAAATTTAGCCGCCCGGGTGGAGCAGCTGCAGCAGCGCCATGCGAAGCAAAGGCAGTGCACAAAGAGAAGATAAGGACCGCCTGTGCGAGCGTCTTGTTTGTGCGTGCCTTGTTCCCTTGTTCCCTTGTTCCCTTGTCATTGGAGTATATACGATGTGAAGATGTACTTGTAGAGTGTACTTCCTGTGCGTGCCCGTGGAGACAGGCGCGCCCTTGCCTATTCAGGTAAGGCTGGGATGTATGTGACAAATAAACCAGAAACCGCGCTAGTTCTTAGTTGGAATGGTTCCTTGCTTCTATTCTTGTCTTTTGTCTCCTTGCTTTCTCTCTGTAATAATATCATGTACTCTCTCTGTATGCTGCATGAGCGCATACTTCTCTCGATATTATTGTTGCTGGTTTATTCGAGACATCCCGCGAATCATTTCAGACTCCATGGTGATGAAAAGAGTACCAAAAAAATACCGGGAGAATGTCTCTTTTGAAACACACCAGCCGCATGTAGTGAAACAGCGTCCAATGTCCATACGGGGTAAATGGAAATAATAATCTTGGAACAATGATCGCGTGGGATCTGCAACTGGGAATATTCAATAATAATAACATGACATCAGAGTGAAAAACCAAAATAGCTCGACTCCGCACTGTCTCAGATTCGAATCCTCCGCGACAGATCCTGTAATTTCGGGCCAAGCTCTATCCACTGCTGAGTCTGACCGAATATTCCCACTCTGTTTAACCAACTATGGAACGCATTGTTTAATCATTTTAACCGTGGTTCTCTCCCAGATTATAAATATGTCTCACCCGTTCCTGGCCCCGTCTCCCTCCCACTCCTAGGTGTTTACCTGGTGCTACTACTACTACTACTACTACTACTACTACTACTACTACTACTACTACTACTACTACTACTACTACTACTCCTACTACTCCTACTCCTCCTCCCCCTCCTCCTCTCAAACCGTCAATGGCCTCATCTCTGCATCCCTGCTGGCCTTTTCCCGTTTGTTTCACAGAGGCAGACCGGATGGTGCTAGCCTGAGCGGTGGAGGTGCGATCGTCCAACGGCCAAATGCCTTTTTCCATGACAGCGCTCCACGCAGTGTCTCCCGTCAGATAGCTTCGATGAAGTTGGTTCATTTCACCGTTGCAGGCCAGAACCATGGGACGTACATTGAGAACCACGGTTGTCCATTGTTGTTATTTAAAAATTAGAAAGAGATTTTCCAGAATCATTCCGTGTTTTTCTGTCAATTTGCTGGAACCCAGCATGGGCTGTTTTGCAGCTCATCGCATTCAAGACCACCGCTACCTAAATCGACTGTTCGCATTAGATGCTTTTGAATACTATTAGAAGCAGAGTAGAAGCAGGAGACAGTAGAGAATCTACAGATGAGAGAAGCCCCGCATATGTGATGGAGACCACGCACTAGAAAATGGGCATACGACACGTCCAGCAGTATTTCCGAGTAATACGCAGTATGAACTGTCCGCTGCAGTAGGTTGTGCTGGTCGGGCATATAAACATATATCACCCGTATATATATATATATATATATACACACATATATGTATACCATATATGCATATACATCATTACCCATCCTCGAGAAGAATGCACCCAATGCAGCAGCACGACAAAGACACCACAGCCTCGGAAAATGCCGTTCGGCGCAACCGGCTTCGACGCAAGACGGATTCGGCTCTCAGGGCCGCTGCACAGTCGTATAGACAGCAGCAGCAGCAGAGGCGACGGTCGATTGATCTGGCAGCGGACTGGAGGGCGTCAGCAGCAATTCCTCCGGTTCCCTCAGTTCCATCTTTTCTTTCTCTTCATCCAGACCAACGTGACACCATGCGGCACCCGCAAGCGGCGCCAAGCCCACCGTGCTCCTCGCCCGTTACAGCTTCGTCTTCCCTGTCTTCATCTTCCCCAGCCACCAGGCCTGCTGCTGCGACAACGGCTCCAACGTTATCCCCTATCGCAGTCCCACAGGCGCCGTTTGATTTCCAGTTCCAGCTGCCCCTGCGGAAGAGAGCGCTGATCTCCCACGCCCGCGCCAACGCGAACATCACCGACAACAACAACAACAACTCCGAGTCGACCGCGCATGAACCGCCCTCCCTTCCTCATCCCCATCCCCATCCCCATCCCGTCCATCCGTTCGTCCCCCCGCGCGACTTCTTGTCTGAACCATTCCGGCGATCAGTCTCCAGTCTGCACTCGTCCACTGTCTCCAACGCCTCGTCGCAATCCTCCTCTGTGTCCGCCGCGAAGAAGCACAGGAACTCACTGCCATTCGTCCCCAATGCGCACAAGCGCCATAAACCCTCATACGACATAGAGAGCAAAATGCCAGCACCATTGTATCAAGATACTACCGCGCCGTTGGGCGCCAGTACACACGCTTCCGGTCCAGTGGAAAACGGCAAAGACCCGACTACGGATGATGCTGGATTCAAAAGCGCTGATATATTCCTGAACATCGCCAAGGACTCTAGCCGACGCAACTCGGTGCCGCGCTCGGAAATGAGAAGGGTGAGTCCCTTCCCTCCCCCTTCCGCTCTCTCTCCAAGTATGGCTACCACTACCATGGACACTGGCTGACGCGGAAACCCGGAAAACAGTCTCGATTTGGGTTTTCACGACGTAGTCTCCAACCTTCCTCGTCTCCCGATGATCTACGCGTTAAACAGCAAGAAACTGTCTTGCCTTACTCTCCAAACGGGTCTCCATCCTACGATTCTCCCATCAGCTCGTCTGCCTCTGCTCACCCCCTAGACGACCACAGCCGTTCCCGCTTCTGGGGCTCCAGCGCGAGGTCGAGTATCGGTCTACCCCGGAGTCGGCTCAGTCACGTCAGTCCTGACACCTCTTCAGAGGTCAACATCGAGAGGCGAAGATCTGTGCACGATCCTCATTCGTACCGCCATACAACCCTGTCCACCATTCGGAGTAGTCGACACCCGTCGGGTTCCGACACAACAGAGCGGCCCACGTTGGACTTCCAAAGGCCACATCCGGATGGAACAGAATCGATTCTGTCAACTACTGCGACCTCGACTGTCTGGGATGAGTTGGAGGATCTGAAGTTCCGCATCCGGAAACTCGAGCAGGGGGGAATGTCTCCGTCTCAGGCTGCCGTATCCAACGGTTCCGCAGAAAGACCACGAACTGCGACAACGACAACAATGACGACCGTGTCCTCGTCACCTAGACAGGCTCGCAAAGCAAGTATTCGCTCAGGAGACTCGGAAAACGCTACTACCATCGGCCAGGTCCACCCTCTTCTGCAGACAGCGCTGGACAAGGCAAAGGGAGTGCTAAACAGTGAAGTCTACAAGGCACTGGAGACGGCTGCCGCGGAAGCAACGTCACTTTCGAGTATCCTGGGTGGTGGCACCGCTCTGTCAGGCGGCGCCTCTGTTGTTAGTGGCTTCGCACCGTCCGAAAGGCATGCTAGGCGCAAAGCCGACAGTTTGTGCCGCAGCTTGACAGAACTATGTCTTGCGTTGTCAGATGAGCGGCTGACTGGCCAGCGAGCAGAGAGCTGTGAAGCCAATTCAAATCCACAGCAGACCAATGGCACCAAAACCGAGCCACCTGTGGCCCCGATAACGTATCGACGCAGCCTGAATTGTAATGAAATCGAAGCCGTTGATCGGCAGCTGCAAACCATCCGCATTTCAGGGCGTCCCCAGGCACATAGAAAGAGCTTCACTTCCAGCAGCAGCCCGCTTGCTAATCCCGATGCGAATACGACCCCGTCTCCTAACGCACCCGCTCCGGTCCCGAACCGTCCGCACCGACTTTCGCCGTCACTTCTTCGTCCTAGGCTGCTGCTCCGTACTGAAGACAACTCCGATAAAAGAGAGTTCAGCCGGTCTGTCTCCAGAGTCCCGGCTGAGATTTCCACGCCAGCCACTCTGCGTCGAATCTCCTCCAGGGAAGATATCTCCCGTGATTCAACACAAGATAACTCGCAGCAGCAGCAACCTCGTACTCCTGCCCTGTCGTCCAGCATCCCGCTTCGGAGAAGTGCATATTATACGCCTCCAGCGTCTAGCGTCAATATACAGCCCGGATTCCGCCGGTATGGTTTCCAGTCGGGCCTAACACCATCCTCAGCGGACACATTGAAAGACAATGGCATTGATGGAGCTGCACTATCTCAACAAGAGCCCTCCCGTACTCGAATAATTGCCCCGTCGACCAAGCTGGCAACTAGTATCACACCAATCCAGCTTACTCGGGCACGAACGAACAGTCTCGGCACGCGGAGATTCACCCCCAGATCACCGCGTCCAGTGACCATATGCGGAGAGATAAAAACGACAGCTGACAGCCTTGATTGACCCATTGAAGCATTCTGACACGGCTCTACATCGCCACGATGTTTAATGCCCCGACTTGTCCGATTACCAGTTACAACTTTGTTTTTTATCTAACGCAGCGACCGATACCCGTTACTTATATTGTACATGATCCCTCAGGCGGCGTTTCTGGATTCTCTGTGTCCATGGGATATATGGATTTGACATCCATACAGAGTTTTGTTTTTTTTTTTTTTTTTTTTTTCCTTGTTAATAGGCTGTTCTTCAAGGTACGAATCGTACCTTTTGAATAGCCATTCTACAGGGAAAAGACATAAAGCTGTTGGAACTTGGACATGGAGTTTGCTTTTTTTAAAAAAAAACTTCTATGATAGCTTAGCTAATCAGTGCAAATTTCGGATGTCTACCTACTGTTCATGTTCATGGTTGCAGGGCAGAAGAGGAAGGAAAGCATCCTCGGAGCCACGAAACGCATCACATTACAACATCCATGGTTTCTATATCAATCAATGACAAAAGAAAGAAAGAAAGATGGGCAAATGACAATGGCATTAGCAATGGATCCAATCGCATTATAATTAGGTGCACTACTACATTGTTTCTTTTTATGGGCAGAATAGGGATTTGTTTGTTTTTCGATTCTCTATGCATTATTATCATCATCAGGAGCAGCGTCAGTTACTCTTGTACGCTTTTTCTTCCCTTTTCTCCATTCAATACAGTTCAATTCTTGTATAGTTATACTATCCTCCGCTTGTTTTAGTACTTGCTTCTTCTAATAACTCTAGTTACATATTACTTCAGCTTCAGTGTATTTTTATACTGTCCCCACATCCCCGCATAGTAACAGAAAAGACTACAGTACAACCATTCTGTGATGGGTTGAATTGTAATAAGATTTCTTTTTTTCACTTTTTTTTTTAAAAAAAAAATATTGCGGTCTTATTTCACCTGTTTCATCTGTTAGGCACATACGAATGATGCATGGAGCCTGGACGGGTGAAAATGGAAAGGTGACAATGACAATGATAGGATGGATAGTGTAGCGAAGGAGAGGAAGAGGAGACAATTAAATAGGAATCAGAGGAATTAGATCTCATCCGAGTAAGTAAGATATGTGAGCGGAAAACAAGCGAGGATCAATTTCGGGAAGATTGTGAGAAAGACAGATGAGTAGAATCATCGCCATGGAGTGAAATGGACGGGCACCGTAGAGAAAAAGAAGGGACGCAAAGCGAGACCTGGCCATGGAACTTAGCATCAGCAATCCGCATGTAGTCCGCTGAGGGACCACTCCTGACGCTCTCCGTAGAAGCGATCAATCAGGTCTTGCTAGTTGAAATTCAACCCACTCCGGTAGAGATAGAGATTTGCAGAGATTTGGCTTTTGGTATCTAACATGCATTTAGGGCCCATCCCGGCGAATCTCCTCTGGTATATCAAAGAAGCCACAAACACAAGATCAAAAAGTAAGGAAGCAGGACTATTCGGAAAAAGAATCACACGCCCAAGCACGAGAGCATATAGCAATCGCTAGAGTCTGAACTGACAGTGAGGCCTTTCGCTTTTTTTTTTTTTCTTCAGGTACCATAACTCATACAACAAGGTGACCGGCGCCGCCGTAGAAAAGAAATTCGGTTGTATGGCGTAGCTCGGGACCCGAGAAGCATCATTCCTGAAGCTGACTGCGGCGAGTCTTTTCGGCCTCGAGGTTCTCATATAAGAGATACAAAGCCTTCTCGTTGGCTTGAGCACTCCCCATAATCGTGAACATGCGTTCTCCGGTCTCGTCGTGAGGAGCTTTGGCAATCGAGATGCGAGCTCCAGAGCTCCTGCGAATCTCGGTAATCTTGCTTCCAGCTTTGCCTATGATGCACCCAACCATATCTGCCGGAATACTGATGTTTTGCGTCTGGATCTCCTCCCCCTCCTCCGTGACAAGAGGATAGCCACGGTTCCCTGTGTCCGGGTTGGAGCGCCTACCGTAGCCACCAGAATGGTCGCTGAAATCGGCACCGTTGCCTGTACGGTTGAAAGGGCGGCTACCGTAGCCGCTGCCCGTACCCACGGAGTTATTCAAAGATCCTGAACCATAAGACGCGCGGACGGCAGGATTGTAAAGGACAGTACCGGTCCCGCGCTGCCAGTCGTCGATAAGGCATTTTCCGATCTCCCAAACCGCTTTTTCGATACCTTCGGGGGTGCCCTGTACTTCCACAATCCGCTCGGTGGACTGGGGAAGCATCTCCTTCTGCGCGACCATACGTACGCCGGACACATCCTGGATATGCTTGATCTTCAATCCCTGTCGACCGATAATTGTACCCATCTGATTGTGGGAGATGAGGAGACGGATCGCTTCAATTAAAAATAGGAGTTAGTGGATTCATTGATTAGGAATATGAGGATGAATCGACGATATGTTTCGGCCATCATATAAATCGGCATGGGAAAGATAGTCGCAAAGCGGTGGATGGAATACTTACGATGAGTTCCGTTGTTCGCAACAACGCCGCCCATTCCCATCTGCGGGGCGCCCTCAAGCAAGCTCTTGGCCACAATCGCATAGGCTCGGGCGGTACCCTGCAAAGTACCAGTGACAGTCAAGACTCGGTCATGAACGCCAAGTACAGACTTGCTCACACCGGCCTTGACACCGGTCTCATCGCGCAGGTCTGCGACATTTTTCCCGGCTCTACCAATGATGACACCGGCTTCCTTGGACGACACGATTGCACGGAGAGTCAGTATGGACTCGGCGTATTCTTCGTCCGTCTTGGGGGGAAGTTCGGACTCGTCATGCTCCAAAGTGACGTTGTTCAGAGTGTCGACCATGGTCTCATCCACGATGGCAGAGGTCTCGTGAGCTTCGGTAGTAGCCATGGTTTCAAGGGGGCAACAGATTTTTCGAATCCAAAGAGGGAGTATAGAGAGAAGCTGAAAAAAAAAAAAAGAACACGGAAACGCGTGTTCTCTGTTCGATGTAGGTAAGGAAGAGGTTGGATGGTCTGCGACAGGGGTAGAATTAGCTTTATGGCCGTCATGACACCTTCCCACCACGCGTTGTGCGCGGCTATGCACAGGAGATTAAAAGATTGGCTTGCAACAGCTACACAGGGCAAAATATTTTTAAAAAAAGACAGGAGACAAGACGGGGAAAAGAGCAGACTTACTTGAAGAAGTGTATAACAGATGATATATCGGTAGCGGAGATATGAGGTTTGGAGGCGATGGCGGGGAGCAGGGATCGGAGAAAGAGGAGAATAGGATGAGGACGACGGAGGACGGAGGACGGGCGGGGAGAAGGAGAAGGAAAGGAGGGGAAGGATGCCGACGGAGGGAGGGAGAGGAAGAGGGAGAAGAGAAGAAGGGAGGGAAGACGGGGAGGATGAGGATGAGGATAGGGAAGAGGATGGAGAGGAGAGGAAGCAGAGAGGAAGAATGATGGGAGGGGAAGACACGAGGAAGTTTGTTTGGGCCGATTACCTCAACTGGTGCTTCCGCTCGACGATACTATTTCTTGGCCCAGATGCACGCCGTGCTTCTCCTCGGCTTTCGCTACTTCTCCTTGACGTTCGCTTCTTCTCCTTTGCAGTTATTCCATCTTCTGGGACTCTTCTGCTCGCTAGCTTCTCCATGCTCCGTCTCATCTATCCGTTGTCTGGCTTGCCCCTCCTCCAGAGCCGTTCCAGTCTGTATCACATCAACAGGTCAGGCACCCTTCAGAGGGTAGTGATATCGGCTGGATTCAATCATGCATATAAAGCTCAATTTCATAACTGGCTTGCAGCCTTCGTACTGGCTTTCCGGCTATCCCAGCCGAGATCATCGTTGAATTGCCACAGCCTATGCTAAAAAACAAAAACATGAAAGGAAAACGGAAACTAGACTCCTCTGAAACTTCAAATAACCTCGCTGGGTACACTATATATTTTTAAAAGCAGTTTTCCCGCAGGATTTGCTTCGTGGGTGACGGTTTCCAGCCATGCACAACGCCACATAGGCCCGGGTGGGATTTCCTTAACAGAAGCTCCTATCCTGTTTACTTACTAGCCTCGAAGATGACCTTCTGCGCCTTCATTGCATTGAAAATCTCATAGCCCTCGACGGCTTTGGAGAGGGGCATGATATGGTCGGTCATAAAACTGCCATGCACGTTAGCCGGTGTCCGCGAATGTTAAAAACAGGCCAAATGAGAAGGGGTCGCTTACCCAAGCAAATGCTGGTTTTTCTTCAGTACCTCCAGAGCCTCTGCGGCCACTGATCTCACGGGACATCTTCCCATCTGTATCGTCAAGTTCTTGCCGTATGCCTCGTTTCCATCCCACGGAATCTGGAGACAAAACTCGGTCAGCAACAGCTTATACTTGGCCAATGCCTACAGGGAAAAGGCTTACCTCTCCATTGTGCACTCCTACGCTGCTGATGACTCCCCAAGGCCGAAGCAGATCGAAAGCAGTTCGCAGGGCCGGACTCAACCCAACCACTTCGATAACAGCATCCGCACCTCGTCCGTTGGTGAGCTCGAGGACGCGCTTGTCTAAACCAGCCCTGTCCTTCTGGAAATTCCAAGGCTCCGCACCAAGTGACTTGGCAAGCTCGAGCCTAGACTCGATGGAGTCGATTGCAAGCAGATGTTTTGGTTTGTACTCCAATGCGTTGATCAACGCACAGAGGCCAACGGGTCCGCAACCGATGAGCAGGACAGTCTGCTCGGATATTTCTTCTTTGCTGAAGTGCTTGAAGGCATTTTTCGCTGCGAAATATCCGGTAGGGAAAATATCTGCCATGAGCACAAGGTATTTTTCTTCAATTCCCTCAGGGGCTTTCATCACGCTGCCGTCTGCATTTGGGACACGGACCTAGACTGTAAGCCGGGTTTCTCGGATAGGCTTTTTTCCCTCTTGATTGTCCCTGCATCTGCAAACGACCTCAACTCACATATTCAGCTTGTCCGCCGTCCAATTTTTCGGAACCGAACAGGAGACACTTCTCACAACGGGAAGAGGTGCGGCGTTTGCAGTAGAAACATTCACCACTATTTCGTTTCGTCAACACAGTCCCAGGTCGTAGGTTGTCAAGAATATATATATATATTGTCGAAGGTACATACCATGAAGTTGTAAACGCAGGCACAACCTTGTCACCCTTCTTAATAGTCTCAACTTCATCACCGACTTCGACGACTTCTCCCACGAATTCATGGCCCATGATATAGCCCGTTCCAGAGGCCTCGAGGCCGCGGAAGACGTGCAATTCACTGGAAATAGAATAATCAGTCAATAGACTCTTATATATATATATACCATATCTTCAGGGAACAAGAAAAAAATATCTTACCTCCCACATAACGCCGTATACGACACTTTCAGAATTACATCCCCAGGATCCACGATCTTCGGGATCGGTCTCTCCTCAACCGCTACTTTGTAAGGCCCATGGAATACGACAGAACGCATGTCGTCTCTGTTTCGAATGAATTGAAATAAATCGGTTGTATTCGTTTTTCCACGTTGTAGAACCGAACCCTGCAGTATTGTGGCATGTTAATTGAATTGAATTGAATACGAATTGAAAACAGTCTAGATATACACATACCTATGCAAGGATACAATAATCGTAGAAACACTCAAGAAAGAGAATATTTATGACTAGAATACGAAACGAAACAGATTGGGGGAAACCTGCTCCTTTTACACCGATGACTGTAGTCCCTGCGGGGTCTTCGAAAGGCCTCACGATAATGAATTACTCTTCCCGAATCCCCAACAGCGGGGTCCGCTATGAAATGGCCCTTTTCTATGGAGCAGCTCCGAGTCCGAATTCGGTACATATTATTATTACTTGCCTAGGCATCTCGTCTCGTGTTGGCCGATCAGAAAATGTGGACCTGGACGACCATACCGATAAGTTATCGTTAAACGTAATGGCGCTGTGAGAGTACAAAATGGAGGCATTCTAGAATTTGAACATCTTTTAAGGCCAAGACTCCTCATCCGTGGTAGCATGTTGCTGTTACCTGTATCGGGGTCTCTTGAGTGAACTGGACGTGACTGGTTGTTGTAGACCCGCTAACTATCCAAAATGCAAATGCAATACACTCCTCAGTCCTCCTATGACATTAACAGACATTTTTGACAGGTTGAAGAGCGTTAATGCGAGCGACAGACATGATCTGAAATAAAGAAAAAAGAGAATCACGACCACCGAATTGCGCCAAACCTCTCCCTTCTCCCGAATCCGCAGGTTCCCGGCCCCAAGGAAGGCCTGACAAGACAAGAATGAAAGCGCAAAACCCTCCATATAACGCCGTCAACTTAACACCTTGAAAGGAAGGAGAAAAGAAAGAGAAAGGAGGAGAAGCATCCACTCGATCACCGATCTAACACGGAACGCAGCTGACGCTCTAACACACCACACAGAGCAGTTCTTCTTCCAGGATGAACTTCCCCTCCTTATACCTCTCGCTCGACTCGTATGCTTTATCGTATTTCCATCCCACCGTTTCCTTGCATTGTCTGCACGCAATATCCCGAACGATATGTCTCCCGGTCGTCATGCTACGCTCCACGGGTTCGGTTTGGGTAACGTTGACAACGTTGTTGAATAGATACGCCTTTCCGTGTTGGCCTCGGAAGTTCTGCGCATAGAAATAAGAGCCGTTTAGAAATGCTATTCAACAGCAGCATAGAAGAGGGAAGGGAAAGGGTAACGGTAACGACTAACCCGGCTGATAATGTCATTGTAATCGGCAAGATGGGTCTTGCATTGCTTGCACCCAAAGATCTTGTTTGCTGTGAGATATACGTTGTATTTAAGGCCCATGATGACTACAACGCCGACGATGCACCCCCCTGATACCTCGGGTTGCGCAAACCAGCCCAACTGTCTTGTTTTGTCCTGGAAGGTAAGTCCGAACGGTTGAGATCGCAGCTGGGAGTTGTAAAATAAAACAAATAAAATAAATATGCTCTTCTCAGGAGCTGTTCAGACCAAAGGAATAAGAACTTCCTTCTTTCTTGCCTCCCCACCTCTTTGAGTCGCCCCGTTTAGCTAACTGCGAGAAACACGACCTTCCTGCGGTCACCCCCTTGGGTAATGTGTGATCTTGGCCCAACTTGAGGCGTTTCGGGTCCTGTCAGGAATGTATCGTGAGGAGGCTAGGTAGCGTTCGTTGTCCTGGCTTACAGCTTGGTCTCGGATGCTCCCTTGCGTTGGTGGCCCAAACACACGACTAAACTGGGCTAGGATGGCAGTCGCGGGGTTCGTGGTCCTATAGCAGAGAAGACTCAGAAGTCAAGCAGTGGATATATGTGCCTGTTATATTTATGAAGACCAGAAACCTGCACTGGAGGGGAGACAAGAGTTGGCAGAGAGGATGATGTACTATGGAGATAATAACCGGGCGGGATGGTCTGGTGACGCCGAGAGATAGGCAGGAGGTCCCGCACGGGATCAGCAGGGCTTCATCATATTCGGAGCATCTCTTCCTTTTGCTTCTATCTAATAGTGTTATTATCTATTAATATCCTCTAAACAGTACCATTACAGCCTTGAATCTACGTCCCAGGTAAGATCACTCAGACCGCGCGCTCTTGGTCTTCTTGCTCCGCAGCTTCATCATCAGAAAGACAAGAGCATACGAGGAAATGCAGAACAGCGCCGTAATCCCAGTCTGTATGCAATAGTCAATATCAGCTCTCTTTCACAGCGAGGCACAGGAGGGTCCTTACATCTCTCCACGGATAGTACTTATCCCTCAGGTTGAAGGTCTTACCATAATCGCCACCGGTACTGTACTGGCAGTACGAACATGTTGCCGTGGCATTCGAGTCACGCAGGTAGCCTGAGTTGTCTGCTAGGAAGCCGGCCATGTATTCGCCGCAGGTCTGGCCCGGCGGTGCTGCGAAACGTACCCATTCCGATTCCTTACATTCCACTTTGACGTCCCACAGGACCTCACCCAGCAGACCGCCGACAAGGTAATTAAAGGGGTCCAGGTAGTACAGCCAGTACCGCCAGAATGGTTGCATCGAACTATACGGGACGACGACACCGCAAAAACTGATCATTCCGGCTCCGATAAGAACAGGATTCATAACGGCAGCAAAATACGCATTGGGGGCATAAGCGGCGATTGCTTGGCCGATGGACGTGTACAGGAACTCATAAACTAGAGGGAAAGTTAGCTCCGATGCGACTCTTCTGCTAATGGTCCAAAATACTCACAAATCATCTGCAAATAAACATGTCCAGAAACAGCAGCACGAACGGGGAATCCAGCTGTGAAATACCAGCATGCGAAGTACAAGGTTGCACAAACGATCAGGTATGGGATCTCCGAAACCACCTGGGCGCTGATGAATGCAATCCAATGATAGATTTTCGACTGTATGCAAAAGCTGGTCAGTGGTCAAGTCTGGACCCGAACCCGTCGTTGCATTGACCTACCTTCTTCTCCCGAGTTTCAAAGAGGTCGCGGTTATGGAGGAAGAATGGTTGCATCTGGTTTATACAGCCTATAGAATCCATTAGTGCTGCCTGGGAGAAGTACGGGACAATGGCCAAATACCTGGCGCCACAAAAATGAAATTGAATATGGCGAAAAGACGCAGTTGAAGATCGAAAGTGCCATTGCCCATCTTCCAGAAGGTAAACCCACCAAAGAGTCCGGCAAAAACGTGAAGGATGATTTTATTCCACATATAATCCTAGAGTTGAAAATAAGCAAGACTATCCACCAACAACACGTTTCGTAGGAGAGCACTTACGGGTGACCGCCAAAGCTGAATCATAAGTCGTTTAAGAACTGTCTTGAACTGAAACCAGTGCGACGTAGCAAAGTCTGCTGTGTCCTCAACGTAGTTGGGATCGGCTTTGCAAGCTTCGTTCAATGCATTTAGTTCAGCCATCGCTCTTTGACGTTCCTCTGAACGCTTCCAGACTTCAACCCAGTCGATCTTTTCTTCGGTATTTCCTTGCACGACATCCACGATATGCTCTGCTGGATTGGTGTTAGGCGGGCAAGGTGCACCGTTTCTCCCAAAATAGTCGAGCACTATGCTCGAATCTTTGCCAGCTAATTCTAGTTGTTAGATCTACGGGCAATGAAGTAGAGATAGGAAATAGAAAGACCTACTTTGTCCGAAGTATGTCATCTTTCCTCCTTTTGCAAGGAGCAGTAGCGAATCGAATGCCTCGAATAATACAGCAGAAGGTTGATGAATCGTGCACTGAGAAAATTGCATTAGTTATATCGAAAAAGCCAGCAAGACGCGAAGGCCCAATACATACCAGAACAGCCTGTCCACCGTCTACTAACTTTCTCAAGAATCGAACGATGTTGTAGGCACTCTGACCATCCAAACCGGAAGTAGGCTCGTCCAAGAACAAAAGGGTAGGCTTTGCGACCAACTCAACACCTAGTGTTACTCGTTTTCGCTGCTCAATACTGAGCCCAGCGCCCGGAACTGAAACGTCTGTTAGGTATTTACAGATCGCAGCGTACACAGCGGAGTACATACCTCCAATCAGAGCATCACAGATGTCCCGCAGCTCTAAGAGATCAATGATGTGTTCCACATAGTTCAGTTTCTCTTCATAGGGAACCGTGGAGGGTTGGCGAAGCACGGCAGAAAAAATTAGGGCTTCTCGAACAGTGGACGTTTCTTCATGTACATCCATCTGCTCACAATATCCAGTTGTGCGTTGAAAGCTGATACCCTGAGGGCGTCCATCGATCAAGATCGACCCGAAGATTTCGCCCGAGTCTTTTCTCTGAGCCAGCACATCCAGCAGTCTGATGCCGGTTGTTTATTATCAGTATTGATTCCATGGGTGCAGAGACCTATGCAGAAATTCCGTTACTCACGTCGTTTTTCCAGCCCCAGAACTTCCCATCAGCGCAACCAGATTACCTGGCTTCACGTATCCAAATACCTTGTCCAGTAATTGCTTTTTCTCTCCATGAAACGGGACGTGGTAGTCCAGATCATGCCATGTGAAAGTCGACTGCTTGGCTGATTGGGAAAAGGTCCCGGAATCCTTTTCTGAATACTGCCCTTGGCGTCCATTTTCTTCGTCTTGGACTCGATTTTTCTTGCTTCCTCGTTTATAGAGGATTACCGACGAGCCCCCGTGGCTATTGTGCATCTCAAAGCCGAGAGCAGTCAGGAATATGAAGAATGCCCAAAAGCCGACGATGATACCAAATCCTCGCCAGATATGGTGAACAGAGTAGTTGTACTGTTCACGGATGTAGGTTTCCCCATCGATGATGCCCTCCTCATTGCTGCCGATGACAGAGCATCCCCGATACTGTGAGGCCGAGTCCGAATATCCATTGCCAAATGGAATGTAGTCTGGTGAGACGCATTTCAATTTCAAACCGACGAACTCGTTGGCCATGAAGGACTCAAAGGCATAGGCTCCTATATTCCAGTCAACATCGAGTGCTGCTGTTGACTCTCGGGAAAACCAACCTGGGTTGAGATAAAATATCCAACGAAACCAAACATGCATTTTATGGAATGGAATAAGATATCCTGGTCGTAAAGCAAACATGAGCGCACTGGGATTCGATATATAGAGGAGCTTATACATACCTCCATAAACAAAGAAGATCGTTGAAAGTAAACCCGTAATCTTTGAGGCATTTCCGAATTTTTTGCAGACAGCGCCTACGCTGCGAAAGAGCTGAACAAAACATAACGTCTGTGCGATTACGATAATCCAGAAGGTAAAAAACTTTCCAGCATCCATTCGCAAAGCGGACATGAAATATAGAATAAGCGAAAAGAAGGTCACTTGGATCATCACCATGGGGATATCCGTGATCGCATTGGCGATACAGAAAGCCGTAGGGCGATAGAACCCAAAACGCTTCTGCCGAGACAGAATGGGACGACCCATGAAAGATGCAGTTGTTTCGGACATAGATTCCAGCAAATAGTATAGAACAGGGAAGAACAGAACCCCAGGCCGAAGGAAGATCGATGTGCTGTCATCCTTAAGGTTATAGAAGAGACTTCCACAGACGAGGGCCTGTATAATGGAGCTGAAGACCTTGATGGCGAGAGAGAGTTTATCACCCATGATGATCTGGAATTGCCTGCGAGCAAGTTAGTATATCTATGCAGGAATCCTTGTCTTCCAAGGCCGGTATCATTACCTGATAGTGCACGTTACAATCTGGTCCCAAAGGCCAACAGTGTACACGCTCTTAGGACGGGGAAGGTGACGTTTCCGCTTCTCAGCAGCAACAGCAAGCTTCAGATCATCAACCTCGTACGTCAACTGCTCCGGAGGGATGATCGATTCCATCATCTGCTTGAATATTTCACTCTTACGGAAGATGGCTTCGAACTCCTCTGGAGTGTTTGGGACGGTCGCCTCCATACCGGGCCGGATGATTCTCTCAGTGGTCACAGTAGATGCGGTGAGGAAGTCAGATATGTTGGCTCCCTTAGGGCAGATAAAGCCGAGGTCTTCGAAGTACTTTTGGGCACAGCTCCGAGGCCCATAATAGATGACTCGACCGTCCGCCAGAACAAGGACTTTGTCAAACTCGTCGTAGATACTATTTCCTGCTTGATACATGGTCGCAATCATTGTCTTCTTGTTCCGATCCGCTTCCCGGCGCAGAACTTTTGCGAATTCAGCCGCGGTCTTCGAATCCAAACCTCGTGTTGGATTGTCCCAGAGCTGAACAGGGCTCTGTATTCGAAGCGAGATATTAGCTTCGTTTTTATAGTTCGAAGGACGTTTCGCGTACCTGTCCAGCCATCACCTCTGCTAGCGACATCCTTTTCCTCTCTCCACCAGATACACCCCGAACATACTCGTTCCCCACTAATGTTTTCTTCGTATGACCGATACCCAAGGAATCAAGAATCTCGTCCCTTTTATCTGAAATGAAATCCTTCTTACCCTGAAGATGCTCTGGGCGCTCACGTGGTATCTTATTTCGCAGAGCGAACTTCATCGTACGATTGACGGTCAGAGTTGCAAAGTGAATATCGTCTGGAATATATGATCAATGGATAGCCACATAGCAATTTGAGAACCCCATATTACCTTCTGTGTTAAACATAATCTGCTGGCGGTATTTTTTAGCAGTCTTGTGGTCCATACTACCGTAGAATGTCTCGCCAATGACTTCATCAAATGATTCTCGCGAGTTGGAGAGCACATTCAGCAGAGAAGTACAGCCCGACCCCGGTCGACCAAGAACAAGTAACTGCAAATGTTAATACAAGAAGAGCATAAAGGCATGAGGCTTGCGTTTACCATTTCGCCTGGTTTCACTTGCCCATTGATGTCGTTGAGAATTGCCTGCCAAACCATCAACTCGGGTTCCTTTCCCATGGACATATATATTTTCAGTTATGCTTACACGCTTAGGACGCTTGTTTCGTTCGAAAAGATCCAGCAATTGCCGGGGGTCGACTTCGGACCACATTGTACTCCCAAGAGCAGCATCTGGAGCCGTCACTCGGACACTGAGGTTACGGAAAGTCACAGTCAAGCGCTTGCGGAGCGCATCCCTCTGCTCTTCGACGTCGACAGATGTCAACGTCGCCGATGAAGGTGACTCCATGCCCTAAAGCCACTTGTGACGGTGCTATCTCTAATGTGAATGGAACTGGCCAATAAAAGAACAACACACTTAAAGAGCTCCAAGCTGTAAATATCTCCAATAATCAAGTACGGCCAAGGACGTCAGGCTTAACTGGCCGCCAGTCGATTGTTATATGAACCAAAAAGATGCACTGTTGTATATCCGCATATCCGCATATCCATTATTATATCCGTATATCCGTATATCCGATGATTTCTGCAGCTGTCGTGGATCACAGCAGCAGACGATTGGATGAACAGGGCCGATAGTTGCTGATTAACAGGTCCTACCGTAGACCGTCTGTAAATTGCTCATTCGGATCCATATTATTATTCTCAACAGCGAGGCCCGCCATTCCCGGCTGATATGTAGATGTTCCTTTCGTCGCAAGCCCGTGGAGTCGGTGAGGACTCTAGAACCGTCCACTGTGACCGCTTCGCTTTGGCATTAGATAAAAAGTTCTGGCTATATGGTAAATGGTTCTGGCCGAAGCTGTTATTGGAACTTCAGGTTGTGGTTGGATCGGTTTCCCGATACTTTACTTACCGAGAACGCAGCCCGAACGTCGATCTATTATTATACCCTTTTTATGTCTTAGAGATAAAACCGCAAAAATATCCTCTCAGTCAAATAGTAGCCAATAATAAGGATATTAGTCCATTTAGAGATAAGAATCGGCCCAATAATGCATAGAGCATAGAGCTCATGGCAGAGCACGTCAAAACGCTTGCTGATCCATCGTAGGATAAATTGACAAAAACGCTTCAAGGTCCATCGTTGAGAAATTAAGATCCCATCCTATGTCTGATTGAGTGAAATCTAGCGGACTATTGCCTATGACGTCGACACCGTTCCTTAGTTCGTCTTGAAAATTATTGTGTTCGAAGTTGAGAAGGACGGGTGGACCGAAACCCGGAAATGTACCGCGCAGGTGCGAGGGCGAAAGGGGATTCGCTTGACTGTTGTAGAGCGGAACACCTGAGGTTTCTCGAACAGAAATTGATGTGCTGTCCTGAGGCTCGAAGTCACCTTGTGTTTGCTGGTCCGGAGCCAAGTCGTAGGCAGGGTTTATTTTCTTTAGAACCGTCCGAATGGCAGTAATCATACTTGTGATAGGATCTGAGCGTTGCACCGTATACAGGCATTGTAGACAGGCATGAATCCATGGAAGATGAACGGTGGCTGCGTTGTCATCCTGTAGGAGGTCATATATGAGGGTAAAGCAAGCGCTTCCAAAGAAAAACCCATGATAGCGTAGCTCCTATTAAAACGATTGGTTCGGAATGTTAGCACAGCGTTTGTGCTTGTGGGATGCATTAGGCCATACCCTGACAAGTTCATTCACAGCGGAAGCTTCGCATAGATGGCGCATTGTCCTCTGGGCCGCGGAGAGTGTGCAATTGCAGGCCTCGTTAAGCCATGCTGGAACTTCAGGTGGCTGATTCGCATTTTTAGAATGTTGTCCGAGCTTTCCTCGGAAAATAAGGAATGGACGGAACGTCAAGAGGATAGTGTGATAGTATACTGAAAAAAAAAATCAGCGATAGCCAAACAGCAAGGGTGGAAGTCAACGAACATGTAGTCAACATGGTTTGCTGTACCCCCGCACTTCCGAGTTGTGGAGGCTCCCCCAGTCCATACCCTAGGCCCTCCTGCATCAGAGCGTCATAGCATTGAATATCATTCATAATCGACCTGGCAGTCCTCCACATTTCTAATAACGACTCATGCCGTCGGCCATATATCTCGTTCGCAGAGCGTGAGATGGCCTTTGATAGGTGGATAAGTATCTCCAGAAAGGGCTCATCCGGCTGGGCAATTCCAATATCTTTCAAAGATAGGGAGCTAGGTCGTCCCAGGTGAAAACAGATCCAACTGTCAAGAACGGGTCAGATACAATTCATCTTTATATCTCAAAAAGAAAAGCATCGTAACTAACGTCTCATAGAAATACAAAGACCAGAAAGTCGTCCGCCGTCCTTCAGTGTCTTCCATATTTGAAGGAGTATCCTTGTGCAAGCCAGCAGACAAGGCTTTGCGGGCTGCAGTGCCCAGGTGAAGAAATGATGAATTTGGACGACCCTGTTCAGACTGGTAATGAGCGTGCTACAACACAGATTCCGTCAGTGCTCGACCACACTAGAACTGGGGAGAAGAAACTTATCATGAGCAATGAGAGTTGCACAGTTTGGAGGTTTACTACATCATCGAGGTCTTTGGATGACGCTTTGACCCGCTCGAACAGTAATTCACCCCAGCCATGGTGCTCCGTCCCTAGAGCGCCACAGGCCAAGGAAAGTAAGACTAAAAGCCGATCCACATTGGTGCCAGCATGCGCATTAACATTTGCAGTATATAGCTGGTCTAGCTGCCGTTCAAAGGCCTCCCTTGACTTAAACTTGGTCAGATGATAGATCGATGACAGATAGCGCTGTAGAAATGTCTTGGCTATATCATACGGCAAGAACAGCGTTGCGGCATCTGCTGCAGATAGAGCCCTAGTCGAATCGTGGGTTTCAGCCGGGGATCCAAAGAAGATACGACGGAAACTAAACAGATCCAAGCCGGCACCCGCTTCCTCAACCTCACCCTGGGGTAAGGATTGGGCCGCTTGTGGTGCCGAGACCAGATCTCGGTATATGTGCTGCATTAGAGAGAAATGTGAAGTCGGCCCATAGTATAACTGCACTTTACATGAAGGGGATGTCATATGGGTGGCCGAGACACTGTTGTGGAAGTCATACATGACCGAGTTCTTCGGCCGTCCAGAACGAGCGTCATATTCGGGTGCAGTGCTCACATCGGGAAGCGTCAGGTTGTCTGCCAAGCGCCTCTCTTGCTGCTTTTTACGACGCTGTCGAGCGAAGTTGCGATAGACGCATGGCAAGTTCCTCTGCTGGCATGTCTTGCATGGATTGGCGCCATTGCATTTGACCTTGCGAGTTCGACAGGCCTCGCATGCTTTTGGGATGCGCAAGCCTGCTGCTGGAGACGATTCCTGGTCTTCTGCCATGTGCAAGATCCTGAAAAATAAAATAAAACAGAAGATCCTGAAATCTCGGCTCACTGCAGCATTGAACAGGAGTATTGATGAACGCGACGAAGTTTGCTCCGGATGGAGAATTGTTTCCGTCGGGTACAATTCGTGAAGAATATGCTATTTAGCCTGCATGCAGTTTGTTAAATAGGCTAATTGATGCTTTCTCTTCGTATCATACCTGGGTTGAATCCTTGATTCATCCGTTAAACCCGATCAACTGCGAAGTCAACGTCAAGAGAGGCGAATCATGATCACGTCCGCCTCCGTAGATTCTAGAGCGTCACGTGACTATCCGGGGAAGGGAACGGTGATCAATACTAACAGCATTATTTGTTCACCTAAGTTTCATTTCTTGTGTTAATTAGAGAAATAAAAGCAGTTATTTTCAGTAATATACCCCGGCAGTGTTCAAATTGCACTGACTGCCCTGCCTTCGAAGGGGTTGGTTACTACATAAATGTTGTACTGCGTGCATGAACGCTCTCAAACGACGTAACCGATGGAGTTGAAACAGATTCGCTGAAAATGCAATCATGATAATATGTACATGTAAGGGTTTCTGTTTTCCTGAACCTCATCTGTGGCTGAGCAGCTTCATGTTGCTCTCCCAGAATTGCTTGCAGTCCGTATGGCCCCAATGATCCGTCCACCACTCCCCAAAACTGTCCAGGACATTTTCATCAATCACACCTGGGAGTCTTTCGTCTCGCTTCAATCCGCAGAAAGCACATGCATGGGGAGCTTTCAAGGCTCCCTTGTCAGGTCCAGCGGTTATCACTCGAACGTTCTCTGCGATGACCTGAATAGGGCGTTTACCCGACGACAGCATTATCGAGTTGAAGAACCCGGCACGCTCACGCCACGACCCTAACACATCCAGAGCTTCTTGTTTCTCTTTCACGTTTTCGCTCTTGTTGACCGTATTAAGCTTCATCCCTCCAGGTTTTCCCGCTCGTGCTGGGCCGATTCTCATGCTCTGGCTTAAGATGGTATCTCTTTTCCATCGTAGAGAGCGTCCTGCAATAATTCGTGCTGCCACTTTCAATGTGCAGCAAATTTGCGCTGCAACATCCCCCAGAGCATCCTTTTGTTGAGGGTTTCCTCTTAGTCTCGAGGCCTCTTGCTGGAACTGTTCAAACAATGGCGGAAACAGCTGCATCAAAACAGACGGTGGAGGTATATTAGTCGGGCGAACATTAGCCGGGAATTTGGGGCCGTCAGATTTGCTCTGAACCTGATGCTGGCCCGCTCCTATCCGAACAGACAAGTCGTTGTTTTCAATCAGTTTCTTCTTGTTATCTGCAGATGCAGACTCCTCCAAAGGCGCTTTCTTCTTGGCACTCTCAGTACTTGGTTCCGCTAGCTTCCCACCTACGAAATCCCCCCATTCATCGAAGAATTCATCAGTAGACTCTTCATAGCGCGGTATTGAAACATTTTTAGTTTTGGTTGAAGACTTCAGGTCTGTCCTCTCCGCTGTGATTTTTCGTAGGTCTTCTCTTGGCGGCACTTCATCTTCAATTGCATCGATTAAGTCAGCTGCACCAGAAAGTCCCCTGGACCCCGTTGACTGGCTGGAGCCTGGTCCTTCGTTACGAGAAGGTGTGCTATTATCTGGCCCAGGAGTGAGCTCTGTTAACTGACTATGCACCGGCGGCACTTCTGCAGATTCGAATTCCCCCCAATCGTCGTCATCTTCATTCGAAAATTTTTCCAGGGTCGCATCAAAAAGCACATTACTATCCTGTTCTCGTGAAATGCCATTAACAGGCGGTGATGTATTGCTATTATTAGGCTTGCTGGTAGTACTGGGTCTGTTCGCGTGCGCATTCAGCTCAGAAGTCTGGAACTGAGACCAGCCTAAGGGATCTGATGAGCCAGATCGAAGGGCATCTTCTGACGAATCCAAGTCTGGGATCAAGGAATTTGTTTGCGATGCGCTCTCCCGCTGTTGGGCATTTGGAGGATTCTGAGGTGACTGACCGAACCCAAACTCTGCAAATAAGTCCGCGGACATCGTTATTGAGTTCAAGATATCGAGAGGTTTTAGAAGAGTGCGAGAATATCAGAGCATCGAGAGTCTTGGTGAAAATGCAGCAGGATGGATCAATCCATCAGGATCGTCGATCGCCGGAGGTGATGGTGATGATAATAAAGATCAACGAATGGTCCAAAGGCGGGTCCGATCCGCGTCTGTCTTCCCCCACCTCCAACAACCCCTGCTCTCCCTTGCCATTTTCTCGCCTCTGAATGACAAAGACTATGGAGATATGAGAACTATCGAAGACGCTAGGTGATCTCTGGAATCTGCTTTACGATGACGGTACATTGAAGCTGATGGTCCCCAAGGCAGAGATGGGACGCGCTCTTTCGCGGTCATGACACTATCTCCGACTTGAGGAATGCTCTCAAATCAGAACAAGGCACAAGTCTATGTAGTGACGGCCTGAGATCCATTTGCTGGAAGGTTCGCGCATACATGGTTTATCAATTAACTGATCCCGGTCCGTCACTTATACCGGAATAACAGGCAATTTTGCTCTTTGATGATCTCGATCGCACACAATGGCAACGCAAGATATCCGATGCGCGAGGGGCTTACTCGGCGTTACGAGAGCATTTTCTCAAATACATTGAGAATCCAGTTGATTTGTCTTCGACGGTAGATCCGCTAGCTGATGATGAAGAGGTATGCTATCTCTGGATTTGCTGTAGAGCTTTGGGATGTTCAAATCTAACCTGCTGAAAGTCTCCTTGGCAAACGCTGCGACGCGATGAGACTCTCAGAGCAGAGATATATCAAGATGTGGACCGGTGCTTGCAGGAGAATCCCTTCTTTTGTGAATCTGCAACAAAGGCCAGAATGTTAGATATTCTGTTCATCTACTCTAAACTTAATCCAGATCTTGGCTACCGACAAGGCATGCACGAGCTGCTGGCACCTATTCTGTGGGTTGTGGATCATGATGCAATCGACACGACGTCTCTTGAAAGCTCTAGCTCTGCTGCAGAGGACAATAGTTTGATGCTACAGTGTCTTGATGGGACCTATATAGAACACGACTCATTCATGTTGTTCTGCTGTGTTATGCAGACTGCTCGCATTTACTATGAGTACAGTGACCAGCGTTCGGAGAATGGTAGTGTGGAAGTTATTCCCATTGTCAGCAGATGCCAGCATATCCATGAAGATTTGCTGGCTGTCGCAGACCGAAGGTTGGCGGAGCACTTGCAAGCCATTGAAGTCCTTCCACAAATCTTCCTTACGTGAGTAAATTTTCCACATGTCTTAACTCGATCCTAATTGCTGTTAAAGACGCTGGCTGCGCCTTTTATTTGGCCGCGAATTTCCGTTCGACGACGTTCTTACCATCTGGGATATTCTGTTCGCGGATGGTTTGCGGGCTGACCTAGTTGACTTCATTTGCGTTGCGATGCTGCTGCGGGTTCACTGGCAATGTTAGTTAGTCCATGTTCTCAGTCATGATCTCCAATGCTGATATACAAGTTTCAAGTACTGGATTCCGACTATTCTACGGCTCTTTCGTTGTTACTTCGCTATCCGTCGCCCCAGCCTCATGCACCGTCAACTTTGGTTTACGATGGGCTATATCTCGAGCAGAATCCAAGCCCTGGCAGGGGCAAATTTCTCATTTCAAAATATTCAGGCAAGCCGCCTGAATCTCCAAAGCATCCAGAGACTTCGGGAGTGAGATCTCCCTCGGCTAGGAAAGCTCATCTTCGCAGAAACTCCAGAAGCTTCTCTGGCAACATTTCCTCTAGTAGGTCATCCAGAACGAGCAGCCCCAAGAACCTAGAAGCATTCCTGCAAGACGTCTCAGAAGGCATCCATCGACGGACGGAATCTTGGGGAGTTGCCAAAGCTGTCCGAGGCGCAGTGAACGAAGCAAGGAAGAATATACAGTCAGTACAGGCCGAGAGGAGTTTCCGGGGACCGGTTGGCGACGAGCCCACGATGAAATCACAGGGCGCATCTTCTATCAATGAGTCTAACGTCGACATGAAGAGGAGAGTCGAGTACATGGAAAGACGGAACAAAGAACTTGCAAAATCATTGAGCCAGGCATTGGACGATATACGCCCTCACCTGATGAATACGACGGGTCTTGACGCAAGTACGAATGATGCCATGAGAGAAGCTTTCAGAAGGCTTCAGTTCGTCCAGGCCTGCCTCGAAGATTCATTAATTCCAATTCGTCCTGCAGATAAGAATGCTGGAATAACCTCTACAAGTTCAAGGAAGGCGGGATTTTCACCGAGCCAGTCGACGACGCCAGGAGAAGCATCTTCCAGACAAACGAAGTCAATGCCGGCAGACGTGACCGCCAATCTATCTTCAACCGACGAGGAATTGAAGCGAGTCAGCACATCAACCAACTTAGGTGACGAACCGAGTTACTTAATGCCTCTGCGTTCGGCGCCGCGCCTATCTCTAGCAGATTCCGGATTCTCCTGGATGTTGGGAGGCAGTCGACATCTTTCCGGATTTGTTAGCTCGTCCTCGGTGACTCCGGAACAAGCTCGACAGAATAGCTCCAAAGCCAAGAGTCCTCTATTTAACAGCGGGGAAGAGGAGCAAAAACGACATGGCACGGAGTCTGACGGGTTAGCGATGAGCAGTCTCCGGGGCTCTAAGGAAAGGTGATGGTTTTATATTGTATGGATTTGTTCAACCCGACGCACCATTAGGAGAGGATATACATAGGTTCTCAATAGAATTGGATTTCTGGTATAGTAACTTGCTCTCTTCTCTTCAGCTTGTCACGATGATATTCAGGTCTTGTCTGGGTGCCCTACCTCCTGCTCCCATTGAAGCAACCTTTGTTTTACGATGATAACTCTCACTGCTTCTCGATAGATATCACCAGCTTTTACCAGATGCATAAACACATTCCTTTGCTCTTTTCTACCATTAATGCCACGGCTCCGGGAGTACAAGCAGACAACATGATATACAATGACGTCACAGAGCAGTCACACCAGTTATGGAGATACAAAGCTTTATATAGCCGTGTTCATTAAACAGAAAAACAATAAAAAATCAGAACACATTGCGCGTGTCTGTGTTTGTGCAAGAGAAGCAAGTATGCCCTACCTTGAAGTGCGAGGCCACCAGCTCCACTACACCGACCAACAACCCAAGAACCCTCCCAAAAAGGGGCCCTTGACGTTCATCTTCATCCCAGGCCTGGGCGCATCCGAGAACTTCTTCTTGCCTGTCCTCCCCCATATATCAGATAACCACCGCTGCATCACCTTCGACACGTACGGGACCTCTCGCTCCCTCTTCACGGGCGATGTGACGAGTATCGAGAGCATTGCGATCGATGTTCTCGGTATTCTGGATACGTTGCATGTCGAGAAGGCTGTTGTCGTAGGCCACTCAATGGGTGGGATCGTGGCGAACTATCTTGGAGCGAAGCATAAGAACCGCGTCAGAGGGATTGTGGGTATTGGGCCGACGCATCCGACGGAGGCCTTTGGGGTGAATATGAAGAAGAGGATTGATGTTGTTTCAAAGTGTGAGTCCACTTTTATTCCCCCCCTTCTCCCTTTTTGTGTGTGTGTGTGTGTGTGTGTGTGTTATTGTAAGCACATGTGGGATTGATGCTAATACTTGACAATAGCCGGAATGGAGCCCATAGCAGATACAGTCCCCAATCAAGCAACAGGGCCGAACACAACGCCTCTCCAGAAAGCCTTCCTTCGCGAGATGTTCATCTCCCAGAATCCCAGGGGATATGCTGCGCTTTGTCAGGCTATCGTGGCTGCCCCGTTCATCGATTACAAAGCCATCACGGCACCGTACCTGCTGATTGTAGGCGACCAGGATAAGTCTGCGACGCAGGAAAATTGTGATATGATATTTGACAATATTGCCAGTTCTTCTAAGAAGATGGAGATTTTACCGGGGATTGGACACTGGTATTGCGTTGAAGATGACTATGCCGTTGGGAGGATGCTTTGGGCGTTTGCTGGACTGTTGGAGGCTGGCGACTAAGTAGAGAAAGAGAGGGCCAGGGATTGGTGATTTAGAGTGCTATATATCGGATCTATCAATGGCAGAATTCTCCTTGTGATTTTATTCTGAGAGTACAGTGAGGAGCCATCATGTGTTTCAAAGCCAAACACTGCCTGTACCTTGGGCTAGCTAGGGCACGCATTATCTATGCTTCCTCTGTTCTACTAAGAGGCTCATGAATCTGGAAATTCTCGGTTCTCTCGGCAACATGGGTCAGCGTCCAGAGTGTAGAGCTGTGCGAGAGGCCTGATGATTGAGGAGTGGAAAGCGTCCATGCCCACGGCCTCATCCAAGGTGAGTCTCGATAATTTGTGTGCTTAGGGCCAAGCGGCGTCGGTCTTGGTAGGACTTAAGGAACTGAGTGACTTTGTCTTTGGCACACGCCTCTGAAAAGTCGAGCAAGCCGGACTGCTAGGCGGCATAGGCGTCGATGGTGACGCTGCGTAACGTCGTCTCCAAGCATTTACAGAGTAAGAACCTGCAATCCAGCAGATATTGCTGATCAAAGAAGGGAGAGGCATGGACCAAGGCCCGTGGTTCTTCAAAGTCCAGTATAAAAAGGAGATGGCGCCGGGCTTCTAGAGGCAGGTTCTCCAGCGACGAATTGAGCTGGGAATCGCTATAGACTAGCTTTCCTTGCGAGTATTTTGTCTGGTACTGACTCTGTAGCCGGCTTTTTGGGGATGCTGATACTCTGGGCCTGGTCAGCGCCGGTTGTTGTCCCTGGCAGAGCTGGATCCAGTGTCGAGTTGGACAGCAACAAGTAGTATTTGAATTTGGTGACAATTTGTTTCATTGCACGCATCTTGTTCCATGAAACATGAGATTCAAATGAGGATAAAAAGGCGAGAGGTGAAACGAAAAATGCAGATAAATGGTGAGGGAGAGAGGGATGGAAGAGACGTGGTGTAGATTTTCGTGTTGGGCGCGTAACCTGCACTGCTGTTCATTGCCTTTCTTTATAATCATGGCATAACTATGGGTATATCCTCCTGTAAATGTTCACTTTAAGCCTTTCCTTTACCCTTCCCTTTTCCCTTCCGCTGACTGGTCAACTCATCAGGCAGCTTCTGCGCCTCCTTTCCATGCTCCCAAAGCACGCCTAGCCCTCGTTTCCTTTCCACCACGACATCGAAAAACTTCAGTGGCACGAGCGGTACAGCCTTGTGCTTTTTATCCTTATTAGATTCCTCGCCTCCTTCAGGCAGCATGCCCTCGCTGAGAATCACGCCGTTCTCACTCCGCCAGAACGGACATCCTGCCTCCAGCGCTCTCCGAAGATCAATATAGATCAGCACCTGCGCATCCTGACGCATCCCAGAAATAACACGCCCGCTATCAACTTGTACGTTTCCATCCGCGGCTGGCTCCATATCACGGCCGTCGCCATCCCCGATCTTTGCTAGAACTGACTTCAGCGAAGGGCCCGTTGCGAAATGGACGTGATTTCGCCCCATGCAGCGTAGTCCCCCAGAGTTAAGGATCAACGGCCAGGCAGAATGATACGTCCCATGCACCACTGTCTCGGGAAGGGTCGAGTCCAACGACAGCCGTTCAAGGAAAGACGCTGCCTCGACGCTCTTGATGCTGTGACCTTGCGTAGCTCGGATGAGAAAATGCGACGGATCCGTATCATCCGCTGAAAGAGCCTTCTCCGTTGCGCTTTCTTGTCCCTCGCTCGTCGATGAAGCTGCTATGATGGCGCAGTCTTCGCTTTCCTGCCCCTCCGGACGCTCTGAGGATGAACCTACCGGTGGGACCGTCGTTGCTTCGGCCTTTTCCTGTTCGGCGCGCGCCGATGGGATGTGGAGGAGTGCGAATCGCTTCTTTTCCGATGTGCTAACCACATTGAAGATTTCGGGGAGAGTAACCTTGAGGGATTTCAGCTTTCGATATGATAGCTATCATGTTCAAATCGGCGATTGCAAGAATTAGCATCGAATTGCTTAATCTAACTCCTCTCTTTGAATAATCAAAATCGCCTACCACGTCCGCCACATTCGCGTACCCCTGCGCATTCATCCTAAGCCCTTCCCTGTCTGCCGCATGTCGTAGCAAATAACTCAGCGTTTTCGAAACGGTCACTTCGCGGCCTTGGTTCGGCTTGCCTCTTCGTTCGTTCGGCATGAGGGGCGGTCCGTATCTTTCGGAGCGGACGTGGGGAGCGGATGACAGTAGAGCAACGGTGGAAGAAAGAGGATCGAAGGCCAATTTCTTTCAACCTGAACTTTGATATCTCGCCAGGGTCCTATTCTCTTGCGAGATTATATAAAGATTTCCTGTATCTTGTAATGAGCAGGGGAGACAGGCAGACAAGCCTGTGTAAATTGCAGAATGACTCACGATCACGAACGAGGCTGGGCTTGTGGTTTTTCGTCTGCAGTTGTCTAGTACTTTATGAGTCAGATAGTAAAAAGAGCAGTTACAATTGGCACTGTTTTGGGGGATGTAAGAGTCATATCGATGATGTTGTGGGAGTTGATTTCTTTTTTTCTGTTATTTTCCTTTTGACTTGGCGGAGCTCGAGATGATTATTGACATCATCAGCATTCCGCACTCTATTTACCATAATTACTAGTGTATGCTGGACCCTGATACATGCTTTGGCCGAAAGAGGCCGAATCCGATTCTAATAAAACAAAGTCTATGTCTAACATGGGTATACACATAAGACCATGAGCAACATTAACTTCATAGTATATCTTCCCATGCGCAGGGAAGAGAAAACAAGGAGGTCCGAAAACGTCCCTGGAGCAGCTGTCTTACCGATCACAAATGCAATCACATTCTGCCACAGGACATACTTTGTGCCTCATGAACCAGTCTCTGGCATGATGTGCGTGAAAGCCGTGGTTGCAATTGATACAAAAGACCGCAAATCGTCGCATAATTTCTGTCTCGGTGGGCTCACGGTCTTGATTCTCCGGCGAGGCGTCGGCAGCCATACCGGCTCGAGACATGGGATCAGGGAATCCTAGCCAAAGAGTACAGACGCCACATCGTGGCATATGTCGGCCGCATTTCGGGCACGCCGTACCTGACATTGAGATGGGACCCAAGGGGTTTCCGGATGTGGGATGGACGACTTCCCCCGCTGCTGAGAGAGAAGCCTGGGAGGACGCATCTTGCTGTGAGAGTGGTCTGCTACAGTAGTTGCAGGTCAAGCTGACCTGCTGTGGTGGTGGAGAGACTAATCTGCGGCCATCCCAGGTGACGGCGAATTTGCGGGATCCGACGTCGAATCTGGCTCGTTCTAGTTGTAATTTCCAGGAGTTCACTTGCCAACGATAAGTCTCGCGCCATGCTTCAAATTGGGCCCTGCTCCGTTCGCTGTCAACGAAGCGTGGTACGGTATGACTCATGGCCAGCACAGGTGTCTGAATGTCGTTGAATTTGTTGATGTATGATTGAAACAGGTCCATAGCAGAGTAGCCCAGTCCCGTTAGAACAATACCTTCGATGTCACCCTGGCGAATAACCTCTGCCGTAGTTTCTTTCAGATACTCTGTAAGGCTTTCGTCGGGGAGCCAGCGCAGGGCAACCTCCACGCGAAACTTTAGAGGTAGTGTCGTCTCCTCTATGACGGAATTCCAGTCGCCCTTGCTCACGAGAGCAAGAATAGCCCTAGCGTACGGATCGGTAAGTTCTTTGGCAATTTCTGCACACATCTCTTCCCAGTCTGAATCCGTGTCACCCTTGCCGGCGCCAGCAATCGCCATCGCAAGCAGTTTGTGGGCCTGCGCTGGCTCATTGCTTCGCAGTGCTAGATAAGCCAGCTTGGCTTCCTCTTGGAAGAGAGCTAAGGCGGCCGCTTTAGTGTGTCGTTTTTCCGCTACAAGTTGCTTGACAGTCTTTTCTAGTTCATTCTCCGATTGCACGGCTCCGCAGAGGTAAAGGCATAGGCGGCGATGCTCCGGGTAGTCTGTCATACACCCTTGAATCTCAGGGAGGTCAAGTTCAGTAGCAAGATCCATGATCGTTTCGCTTATGTCAATTGAGTTGTATGCGTTAGGACCTACTCGTCGACTTTCAAGACTCCGGCCTTCAGTGTAATGAATTAGCTATGGTCATCAGAATGAAGAGGCAGGCAAAAGATCCAGATTCTCACCTAAGTCATTATTCCACACATCGATTATGCCCAAGTAATTCATATCCAAGTCATTTATAATCATCGAATCATCAGTGGAGTTGGCCCGAGAACCTGAGCTGTCAGTATAGTCGCTATAGTGCGGGCAAAGATACCAAAACCTACTTTCCATCCAATCCCAAAACCCCTGTAAAGAGGGGTCATCTGCCACTATCTGCTTGTTCTTCGCGCCATCGAAAAGATACCCTTCCTTGCAACGGAACCGATTGACTGTCATCAGGGTCAAGACTTCTTCGGCTCTGAGACGGTCCCCTAGTGTTCCTATGGATAAAGCTCGCTCTCGAGTCTCGCGACTTGAGAGGGGGTGTGAAACATAGCCGTTTTTCTTAGATGAATGGCCTTCCGATCCGTCTTGCTGATTAGCTGAGCCCGATAGCGCACGCTGTTGAATGCTCTCTACAACTTCAGATATCTTCGAGTCTCGACCAGAAAGAGGATGCATGACTTGGAAATCCGAGATTCCATCCGAGCATCCGCGGACCAGCATGCTCTGAGAAGACAACTGCACAGGCGGCGACGGTGGTAAAACATTCGCAATAGCGACCTGGCCATTCCCAGCTAGGGTTATGGAACTTGGTCCTTTTGAGGCGCTCATATTCAGCCAGTCGAAAGAGACGACTCTCTCGCACTCGTTGCAGCCGCGGGAAGGATGGTTGTATGGCTTACACAGGTCCCGTACATATTTTGTGTAGATTTGCTCCGGGTAGTTCTTGAGGGAGCCTGGTCCAAGTGTCTCGTCCATAGAAGAGCGATACTCATCAGATATGTACTCCTTGGCAATATCGTAGGTCTTGAAATGGCCGGTGTTGGAAAGAACGCCTAGACAGCCTCTCTTTGTTCTCGAAAAGCGCATACTCCAGATTGTCGCTTTGGAGTCAATGATGTTGTTTAACTCCAAAGCAGCCCCCGACTGGCTTTGGTCGAGAGAAACGGGTCCCAGGGGTGGTGATGTATAGCGGTACCCTACGCGTCGATCCCAGATGCAGATGGTGGCATCTTTGGATGTCTGGCAGGAGGCGATATAATTCTCATCGAGCCAGTCAATGGCCAAATTGTGAACACACCTTGTTGGAAATTGAAGAGATATATTCCCGGGCGCCTCTGTGCAGTCAGTCAGAAGAAGAACGGCACTGTCAATATTAAGAGAATTGAGCAAAAAGAGAAAACGCCGTCATAGACGGATAACGTACCTCTCAAATCATAGATTCTTACAAATTGCCCCTTGACTCCAGTTACCAGCGTGGCAGGCTGATCTCTAAAGAACTTGATACTAGTAATCGGTTCCGAACTCGCGAGCTTCCTCAACGGTTCCGCAAAACCCTTAGTACCCGCCAATATGAGCCGCTGGTTGACGTCCCAGATATTCAAACAAAAGTCATTGCGAACCCTGTCCAAACCCGCAGCTAACAGGCCGTGCGAACTAAATGCTACCGCATTGCAATACCGCTGGTTGCGAATCGGGAAAGAAAACGACTCCTGGGAATCACCCTCCATGCGCAGGAGCGTTGCTTCGCCCGACGACTGGCCAACGGCCATCAATGACTCGTTAACAGGGGACCAGTCAAAGGCCCTGAATGCGGGTACCTTGGTATGCGTGGAGATCACCTCATACTGCAACTTGCGGTCCTCGTACGAGGTCACCCTGCATAGTCGGAACGATTTGCCCACAACATCCACGTAGAGGAAGCGTTGTTCTGCTGTGGTCGACCATGGCGACCAGCGAATCGCGCTCTCCATTTTTTAATTCTTTTTGCTGCAAGGATGGGCGGATACACTACGAGTGGTAGCGTAGTATGCAAGGACGCGCGAAAAAAGAACAGGAGAAGAGGTCTGCAACTGTCCCATCAGCGTCAGCGCCCATCCTACGAGTGCCGTTGATCTTGGCCTGACAGGGGATACGGATCGCGAAAGTGGCATGTAACCGGCATGACGGTCGACTAGATGAACATGGACGACGTCTTGCTCAGGAAGCGAAGCTTTTCTTCGACAGCTGCGATCGCAGACGTCGGCAACCAGGGTCGCTGATTGGCTGCCGCAGATGGTTTCCGGGGTCTGTCGGGCCGATGATGATCCGATATTTTTCTGTTTCCCACGCTCAGCACGGAGTATCAACAGTACTCTCCACGAAAAGAAAGCTGTCCAGCACATTTGGGGATCACATGCCGTTCCATTGGACAAGATGGCCGAGGTACCATCTCGTAGGAATGCCCCCAAACGCAAGGTCCGAGAAGTCTCTGAGGATTCTCTCCCCCCAGCCAAGAAGAAACAGCTCGACGACGACTCGAACCATGAAAGCACCAGCGGTAGACAACATGCACACTCACACGGAGGTAAAAGAAAACCCTCCCATGCTGCTCCAAAGGAACACAAGTATCCCTCTGTCAATGAGCTGAAGAGACGAATCCGCGACGTTAAGCGTCTTCTCAACCGGGTCGATCTGCCCGCGGACGCCAGAGTCGTACAGGAACGTGCACTGGCGGGGTACGAGAAGGAACTCCAAGATGAGCTAAACAGACGGCAGAAGTCGGAGATGATAAGCAGATATCATTTTGTTCGATTTTTGGGTATGTCATATCGTCTAATTTCCAGTTGCACAATTTAGACTAACACTGGGGGAAATGTCTTAGAGAGAAAAACCGCCACAAAGGAACTCAAACGGCTTCTTCGTCGTGAAAAGCAACTCCAGGACTCGAACATGCCCTCCCCATCTCGTGAAGACGAACTCAAGCATCTCTCCCAACGAATCCATACCGCGCAAATAAACCTCAATTATACGATCTACTTCCCACTCACGGAGAAATACATCTCACTGTATCCGAATAAGAAGCTACGAAAATCAACCACAGACGGTGACGACAGAGAGGAAGAAACCCAACAACAACAGAAGAAAGACGATACGGGAGCATCGGACTCGGAGACGCAATCGAATACTAATACCAATGAGACCCATACTACCAAAGAAACAACTACTACGAATGCAAAGAATACAGACGAGAAACCACCCATGTGGTATGTAATCGAGAAATGCACGAAGAAAGGCCAGGAAACCCTCGACCTCCTCCGAGATGGGAAACTGAAACTGAACTTGGAGGGCGATAATAGTACCTCCAACACGACAACTATAACAACATCAACAGTAAATAAAAAGAAACAACAAGAAAGTCACATATCTGAGAAGAAAAAGAGGGATGCACGTGCCGAGTCTGCGGCGAAACAGAAGAGCAGCAGTAGTAAAAATACCCGGAACCGTGCTGAGAGGAGGAGGGATGATGCGAAACACGTGCATATCGGACATGGTAAACAGAAGGATAGTGACGAAGAGAGTGATGGGGGCTTCTTTGAGGAGTGACATGCTGGTTTTCTTGTTGATCATGTTGAGAAGCGAGGGAGACAGGGCTCCTGTAAATACTTCAATCAAATATCATTTATTCAGACAACCATGTCGTTATATCCTATCTTCTACAATGTGAGCCCAATGTCCGTAGATATGCTCCCATACCCTAATCGTGATTTACTGGTTACTGCCATGAACCTGCAACGATTAATCAATTGAGTCCATAGTAAGCCCACACGTACTTCAAGACTAACATGTGACAGTCAATAATTGTCCATATAATGGAATCATATATTGTAGGTAGGTATAAATAGTTGATTCGAGATGAAATGCGGAGGGAGAACAACCCCAAGTCTTTCAAAAACACTGTCTATGACAAAGCAGAGATAGACCTGCAAAACCCAAACACCAGAACAGTAGGACAGAGACCCAATAAACAAAAGAAAGAATGCTTGGTTAACTTCTAATATCAATCAAGACCCCAAGTGCCCGTTCCATTCCATATTCCATCCATAAAATGTCATGTTATTTCATGGTCGTGCATGGCGAGTTTGGGACGGACCCGTCCATGCCCAAAGCAAACCTTACATAGCCGTATTTCATATCTCATAGCATGTCCTGGTGTAAAAGAGCGCACGGGTCTCGGTCTTTCGGGTCAACGAAAGCAGGTATTTCGTATATACCACACCGGAGAGGGGGCACTTTGAAACGAGCCCAGGGAAAGAACATATATAAAGCAGAGGGGGGGAAAGGGCCGAGGAGTCCAGAAGAGCACCCGTGCTCCAAGAAATAACGACCTAACGAACGCCTGGTATCGTAGAACCGAAGAACCGAATATGGGAAGAACGAGGTAATCAAAGTGAAGTGCCGTTCTGGTCCAAATAGGACCGATCGCCCGTTACAGCGAATCTCACATGACAACGCAAGCGCCGCCACTCTGTGCTCTTCTCCGACCTCCTCCAAAGGCGGAAACACCGCCGGCATCATCTGCCTCCTCCTCATCGGCATTCCAACGTTGCTCTGCATCGCGTAGCCGGCGTCGTCTCCTTCTCACTCCCATGCCTAGGATTCCGCCTTCCTCAGTGGCCATCATATAGTCTGCCCATTTTCGATCGAGTCTGCTCGCAGCAGCGAGATCACCACGCAAAACCCGTCTGGTATGCTCTTCCACTGTCATCTGCCAGGGGTGGCAACACTTGAGCTTGATGATCTCATTGGGGTAGGATGCCACAGGCGATGAAGTCGAGGAAGTAGGTAACTTGGTTGTCGACGTGTTCGCAGGGCTATTAGAACGTGACCCTGCTTCTGTTGACGTGCCTTTGCGGTTACGGGGAACATAAGCGTTGCTCGAGAGGACTTCCTTTACACCGGCCCAGGTAATATTGGCACAGTCATAGATAACTAACCGCACCCCGATCTGAGGGGGCCGCTCGTCATTGTAACCTCGCTTCCGAACCTGCGAACTGGCCTCCATCAAGGAGAGGTCCGAGACTCGCGTATTGTCCAAGGCGGCAAACCGAATATTCTTACAGTTCTTGAAAACCTGGAGCATCCCTATGTCCCCTAGATTCTCACAGAAGCTAATATTAAGATGTTCAAGCCGGCGTGCGCAGGGTGACTTGGCAAGTTCTACGAGAGTCTCATTTGTGAGGCTCTCTAGACCCTCAAGTTCAAGGTGAGTCAACTGCGGCGTGTTACGGATCACGGGTATGATGGAGTCGTCGCTGAGTTCAGCGCACTTGGAAAGCTGCAGATACTCGAGGTTCGGAACGGTGTAGGTAAGATTCTTCACCCCATCGTCCGTCAACTCAACGCATTGATAAAGATCCAGGTGCTTGAGTCGTCGCGGAGGAACAATCGGTCGACCCGTCAGTATGTCAACTTCCGGGTCTACCCCGAGCGCAAACGCCTTGAGGGCCTGGTCCGTCACATCAGTGTAACTCAGGACTAGCCGCTCGAGAGTATTCTTTTCAAATAACTCAAGCATGAACTCTTCGTCCTCAAACCCGCTAACTTCCGCAACTCGAAGGTCCCGCAAGCGCGAGCAAGACTGGACGATCTTCTTCAGGCCGCTGGTATCGACGTTGGAACACCAAGATACATTCAAGGTCTCAAGACAGGGACAAGACTGTGCGATAATATTCATTGCAGAGTTTGTCACGCTGGAAAGCCCTGGCATACTGATATGCTCCAGATGAGAATTCCGCAAAAGGAATGAATGCATTGACTTCTTGTCAATATGGCATCCCTCGACGCAGAGGTTAACCACATTCCGACAAACGGCAGAGATACGTTCGCCTTCCGAGGACCACTTTTCGGGCAACTGCGAGCAGCCTCTAAGGTTGAGGTTCCGCACGAAGGGGCCACCGGATACGATGAGTTTGACAAGAACGTCACTTGGAATATCGGTATAGTATCCGGGGGTGTCGATATTCGACCACAACTGCCCGTCGTAACACATCTTGTGCCACGCCTTGGAAACACGGGAGCAACGGACGATTTCCTTTGGTGACAGATAGAGGAAGATCTTCATCCTAATCTCGTGAGGCATGTCTCCCCAAAAGTCAATGGCCTTCTGTCGGGTAAGAGATGGCCGTGCGGCCGTTCCATTTCCAATCGAGGCACAATCCGGCGACAACCCACGAGAGACGGGCCTCAGATCCACCGGCAGAGGGACTGATTTCGACTGCTGCACAGAAGCGGAAGAATCTCTCCCAACTAGACGAATGCGAGGGCTATCTGGTCGATTCTCTGCGGGTGACCCTGCAGAACTGGGCCCGTTCAGTCCACCATATAATTGAGAAGAGCTTCCATTCCCCAAGCAGGGAGTATAGGCACTGGGCGAAAGCGACACGCAAGACAAGGAGGCTTTTGCATCTCGTCGGTATCCCGTAGAGGCGGAACGTCCGCGTCGGGTTAATGATGGCGAAGAGGACATGCGCTGGAGGTTTTGCAACAGCTTATGGCGCCCTTTGAGCTTGGGGGCTTGCTCCAGCGGAACCTCGCCTGTTGTCGGCGAGGCCGGACTGATCGGCGACGCAGTCCGCGGCGATTGCTCAATGATATCGGGAGATGGTGTAGCCATATTGATCACTGCAGGGTCCAAACACACAGCCCTTTGGACCCAGGTAACAAGGGAATACGAGGCAGTCGGGGTAGGTATATGGCAGAGCGAGTGTCAGATGACGAGGACAAGTATTGGCAACCAGAGAGACCCGGGCAATGGTAGGATTAATTCTTAAAGGCTCATAGTGACCCGAAGAGCGTAGGTGAATTCTCGGGAGGCTTAGGCAGGCCTGTACGAGGGCACGGAACTCAATTAACGGTCATGCGGTCAGAAGGACTGGAGAAGGTGCCGGAGAGAGAGGAGAGGAGAGAAGGACTGAAGCAATGTCAGTGAGAGAAAGTGGGATCGGAGCGTGAGAGTGGTAGAACCATGGGCTTGTGGACCGAGGGAACCGGGGAGGCAAGAGAGTGTGTGCGCGCAGCGGTGCAAACAAAGATTCAAGGAACTCCAAAGGGAAAACATAGAATAAATAAAAAATAAATAGATAAATAGATAAATATAATAAAATAAAAATAAATGAAAATACAAATAAAAATCAGGTTAAGGGAAAGAACAATGTGATCATAAAAGATATCATTATTATATTATGTATTATCAACATGTCAGGAAGATAGACAGCGCAGAGGGAAACAACACGTGCGCACAAGTAGAAAAAGGCAAGCGGACGAGAGGCTTCAACTCACGGCACGAAGGAACCAGGAACCGGCCAGGGGAAGAAGGGGACAGCCAGCCAGGTGTGAGAGAAAAGGACGCAGCCAGGTACGAGGCAGCGAGATGAGGTTGAGATGGAAGCAGTGATAAGATATACGCTATGGGATGGGCCGTCGACCTGCGAGGAGATGGTGATGATGAGGATGCTTCACAAGAGCAGAAGAAGAGAAAGAGGAGGTCTGGCTGTATATGTATATAAAAAGAAGAACATCGTGACAGCAGCACATGGACAGTGGCAAGAGACACTCATTCTTATCGATTTGACGACATGTCTGTGCGGGGCATCGTCAGTCAGTCAGTCAGTCTTCCAGGATGGACAAGAGCAGCAAACAGCAAGAATACTAATGATAGTAATGTAATGGTAAGAGAGCAATAATCTCATTCCCGAATGATAATACAAAATAATACAATGCAAAAAATCGAGTAAGAAATGCCAGGTTTGGTGAGACTGTCTCACTCCGGCCCGTCTGGATAGGCTGTAGTGCAGCGTGCATCCCACCGTCTCCATCGCTGATCCAGCCTTGAATTGGAATCCAGCGAGCTTTCAGCATGGCTTCTTCTTCTTCTCGTGTTCTGGCAGTCGTACGCGTCCCAGATATGCTTTCTTGCTTTCCTCGATATGCACCGTTGCATCCTCGCGTGCTTCTCTATTCGTACAGGCAAGCCTTCTAATCCACATGGCCCACTGGACGACGCACTGCCTCAACCCCTCCCATTGGAAAGCAACACAGTAGTATCCTCTATGCTCTCTCTATGCAATCCATAATCGTCGTGGACCAGAATTTGACTTCACGTCTTCACCATCTTCTTTCACATGCCATAGATGATAGTCCTGCCCCTGCACCAGAAAAGATACACAGAAAGTGAAAGGAGAATTCACAATGTACCCGTCCAAGGCAATGGCAATTGTTGACACATCACATGCAAAAAAAAAAAAAAAAAAAAAAAAAAAAAAAATCAAGGTATCCCATATATAACAAAATAAACAACCAGTTCCATGAAATGCAGAAATCGCCTTCCACACCGCTGTTGAGTGACAGCAAAAATGGTAGAATTAATACAAGTAGTTCGTTCAAACAAACATAAAAAAGTATATATCTCTCTGCTTGATATGCTCCGTTATTTTCCATCATCCGAATGTCATCACAAGGAAAAGCATTGCATCGCAAATTCGTCTAGAACCACGTTATTCGTCCAAAACAAAAAAGCTGTCGTGGTAGTCTGTCTGCTACAGCGAGAGACGCAACCGTTCCAACTTCGCACATTATTTTCCCCAGTTCAGTTGCTTGTCATCCATGGATGATCCATCACTTCACCAATGGTCAAGCGGTTGTCAACGTCTCGATCGAGCATCTTTCTAATAAGGTCGATGCAGTCTTCCGAGAACGGCAGGTACGGAACCCGAAGGGGATGGTCCAGAATCTCGTCAACATTGTAGAACGGGTTTTCCTTGTAGACGATCGTGTAGAGAAGGATGCCCAGGGCCCAGATATCCTGCTCCTTGCCCCGGTACGGCTTACCCTGCAGAACCTCAGGAGCAGCATAGTCTAATTACGCGAGGTCAGACAGTCAGTCAAGCTTTCGGCCAAGACAACCGAATCAAGAAAATTTCAACTCACCAATCGTTCCCACGAACACATCGAACGGGCCATTCTTTATATAGGCAGCGCTTCCGAAATCGATCAACTTAATCCGGCCTTCGCCGTCCAAGATCACGTTCTCGTCCTTGATATCGCGATGAACAACTAGCGCCTTCGTGTGGAGATGATGGATCGCATCGGCAACCTGTCGGAAGATGTTCCGACATTCAGATTCCTCCATGTTCGCTTTGAGCTCAATGTAATCAAACAGGTCCATTCCGGGAAGACCGTGCGGTGTCATCTCGATGTAGTAATTGATGTCATCTTCGAAGAACCCTTCCATCTCCACGATATTCGGATGTTTCAGACCATCCCGGCGGAGATAGTCCATGGCATGGATCTCCAACGGAACGGTGCCCAGACGGCGATCACGCGTCCACGTGTCGACCAGAATCTTCTTCTTTGTGACGTATTTCAAGACCATTTTCTTCGCTGGATTGCTTTTAAGACGTGCGAGTTTCACTTGTCCATACGCCCCTTGCCCCATGTCTTCGAGGATCACGTAGTCGTCGATCGTCCTCTTCCTCCGCTCGAGTGGCTCCTTTTTTGTTGCCTTCTTTATTGTAGATTCAGCTATCGGTTGCGGCGCTTTCTCCATGAGGGGTTCCGATGCTGCTTCGCGGAGTTGCTGGCTCAAGGTAGATTGCGCTTGCACCTCCACAGGCTTCACTGCGCTAGGTGACTCAGAACGACGAGGGGATGGCGCAGCTGGGGGGCTTGATGGTAGATCAGTAGCTGACCCAGCCGCGTGAATATGTCGGGAATAGGTGATCCATAAGGCATAGACGAGCTCAGTTACAGATACCGCGTCGTCTGAGCACTGGCTTGGCTGATCGTTTGCGAATATCGTCCCACTCTTAACTACCCGAAGCTGTACGTCTACTGCAATAGTCGAACCATCGCGATGGCGCGCCCGAAGTCCAGGTGGTTCCGCAAAAATCGACGCAGCAGGAGCATTGCCCTCTCGGATGACTAAAAGCGTTCGTGCCCTTCGAAAGCTTTGCTCAGGGACTACTATGCCGTCGGTTAGAGGAACCTGGTCTTCCTCGATAAGCACACGGAGTAGCTTGTCAAATCCTGGTATCAATTCAGTGATGTGAAGTCCTTTGGGCTGCTCTTGCCCAAATAGAGCCGAGGAAAAAACGGAGTTAGAACTGATCACTTTCAATGTTGACGACGACAATGCCATCATGCCCGCAATATGAGGAAAACTTGCCACTCGAAGGCAGTGTGTGCACTCATCCTCGGTGATAGTCACTGGGATGCAGACACCGGAACATGTTCGACCGGCTAGATATCGCATCTCGGCGATCTTTTTCAGCCTCCTTCCACCGGAATTTCTGAGAAAATCCTTGGGAATGCGAGGGAAAAGCTCTGATATCTGTAGACCCGGCTTTACCATAGCTGGACCCCAAATCTTGTCCACGTTGCCATGGAAATCGGTGACTTCAAGTTTATCGTCGCAATGAATGTAAGCCACATCTTCTGTGATTTCCTCCATGACCCAGATTAGACCGCCGTGTTTTTCCATAACCCAGACGCTTGCCGAGCCGTCTGACCCGTTTCGCTTCTTTATGGGCACCACATCGCCACAAAGCAGGACACCGCGTGACTTGTTGGCCGAGTGATTTGTGTTCTTTCTGTTCCTGGTACTCGAGCCATGACTATCATCTGTTCCTGCTCGACCGGACGCCTTTTCCCGGAAAGATGGTTTACTTAACAACTGGGCAGTGATACCTTTACCCAACGATATTGACCTTGGGCTTGTCGGATCGGCATGAGGCTTTTCGGACGGAGTTTGAACCTTTGCTGCGACATCAGCATGAGGATCCAGCAGTCTAGATTCAAGCCATTGCCTCCGCCCCTTCTGTATAAGTTTTAGAATACTTAACCTGCGGATCTCCGACTGTGGAAACCCGAATATTAGGCAGGATAAATCGTTTGCGGCCAGTATTGTCCATGGTGCCTTGGCTTCTGTCCTAAAGACGGCTTGCGAGACCGGAGTCCATTTGCTGCTGTGGGTATGCAGTCCGGGGACTGAGGGCCCTAACCCCAAGGTTGAAGAGGAGTTCGTCAATGAGCAGGAATCCGTGGTAGTATAGGGTTGTGCTAGAGCCTCCATCAGCTTGCTCTGGAGGGAAACAGAGCTGACATCCGTGTATGTACGTTTTAAGCTTACGCGCCTGGATGAAGGGGCTGATTTCCTTTCCCTCCTTTGCGATATATGATCATCCTTTGGCATGGGACTCAAGAAATATGTTTGTTCTGGGGCAGCGCCATGTTCGCGGGAATGCTCCCTAACTGAATCCTCGGCCTCTGATCGGGGGAAGCTGTGGTCAATAAATGCCTTGTCAAATACGTTTCCATCGCCGACATCCGCGGGCCCGGTAACAGGGGCTCTGGGGGGGCCTGTGTGGGGAGATCCGTCTTCATTTCCCATGACGTTAGCCCGGGACAGAAGGTACATCATACTCTGCATCTCAGGATCACCGCTTAAGCGAGCCTGCGCATTTACAATAGCGGGATTTGTAGCAGCCCATCCGAAGCGATCACGCATGAAATCAATGGACCTTTTCAAAATGTTCTGTCTGCTCTGTAATAATTCCTCGGACTGCTGTGCAAAAGAGAATGAGTGTAACGATTCAGAAGGGAACCGATGAAGGTCTTCCAAAACCACCGAGCTCCTGCTTGCAGACATGTGGGTGGAAGGCGCTCTCGATGATGAGGTTGAGCGCGTAAGCGAACGACGGCGAGCCGGCTGAGATATAAGGGATGAGGTTGACAGGTTGGGAAGTGTCAGGACCCGTGTCGGTTGCGGCTGGCGTATGCGGTCCAGTCCAGTCGGCCCCAGTCCGTGCTCTCGCTCGAATATCGACGATCTATAATGAGAAGGGGCGGAATGCGTCTCAGTTTGGCAACCACGTGTAATCACATGTATTTGAGAATAAGCACACTAACCTTGCCATGTGGTCATATTCGGATGAGATTGTATCCATGGAGAGTCGTCTTGAATCATCGGCGCGGCTTGATGGACTCCCTAACTGCTTCCCTCTACTCAACCGTTCTGGCTCTGGCGACTCTGCAAGAGGCAAAGGTGACGATAAAGGACTCAGTTCGCCTGCGCTCAAGCGTCAGTGAGTGAGGCTGTTTCCATGTTAAATAGAAGAGCATCCATGGAGGATTTTGATTTTCCCAAAGCTTTGCATCGCAGGACTCAACTGAAAGCACCCAATGTCGACATGACGCGGAGTAACCGAAATTGGAATTTCTCACTCGAGACTTAGCTCGCGGATCCAGGTCCAACCACAAGTAACAGAGTGCCTGAGTATCTTCTATCATCTAGACCTCTTTTGTTGCACTGTAGGCCGCTGCCTTTGCTTCTGCTCTTGTATTTCCCCCTAAATCTATGGGGTTTCAAGAACCGTTACAACTTCACAGGGGGGGAGGGGGGGAAAGAACCATTTTCCTGAATCCATCCATGCCGTGTAATTGATGGTATGGTTTCTCACGGTGCAAACTCAAAGGGAACACAAAACGTAAAACGCAAACGGACGCAAGGGGGAATAAAAACAAAGAGAAGCGTTGCGACTAACCATCAGAGCTATACGTAGGCCCCATTATCCCTCTTCACACGGCGCAGAGTATACGAGGCAGAAAGCAATCGATCTGAAGAGCGGAGCTCGAAAGAGTTGGAGACAGTTCGTTCGAGCGATACCACACCCTATCCGTACTTCTGAAATGAACGCGATAGACGGTAGTGAATCGTTGGCCCTGCCTTTTGTTGTAACAAAAATTTTGTCTCCCTCCTCTTCCGCAGGCAACCAAGCGAAAACGTAAACGTCTTTTCCAGGTCACCCGCCGGACCGGAGGGGAGTGTCAGCGGGCTTCTGTACGGGATAGGTGATCGGTTTGAATAATGCAGCTGGACCGTGAGATCATTTGCTGGGCGCGGAGGACAGTGGATAAAATAATTTCAGGTTCTCTGGAACCGCTGTGTGAGCAGGGAGAAGCGGAGATCGTCTGATCGAGGTTGGAGTCGGAATCGAGATCAAAAAACTCAAGAAGAAGAGCTTTCGCAGGATCAAGGCGAAGGGGGCACGGTACGGTCGGCAAAGAGAAAAAGAAGGTTGGTTAGACTATCTGGATAATACCGAGTCTCCAGCTGTGGTGATGTAATGCAATGGACTCGGTGAGGCTGGCTGCAATGGAGATGAAGTGGTTGCAGTGACGGTGGTGGTCCATCTGCCGTCGCGGTCGGTGGCCACGGGCAACAATGGCTTCACCAGAGTCGACTTGCCTAGGTAAACGTTTCAATTTACTCCCGTTTCTCATTTTACTTATTGCAATGCCCCATCCAGCGAGTCGTCCACGGTATTCTCTTTGATCCCCAAACTCTATTGTCATGTCATTGGAGATCCACAGCGAGCCCGTCCATGGTTAGACATTTATTTCGCCACGAATGTCACGAAGCTATTCTTTACAATTGAATTGGATGGTTCTTTCAAATGTTCTCAATCTCAAAATTCTTCATAATGCAATGTGGCGCTATGGAAACGACCCCCGTTGGATGCCCCCGCACGGTTTCCAAGCCATCCAGCTGTCGCTTTCCCGACCAGCGTTATTCTGGAGGGACGGTAGCATTGGTGTCCAAAATTGCACTCCAGGGATGAGAATGCCTCGTGCGACCTCAATTGCACAGCAATGGGTCGACGTCCGATATCGAAGGCGAGGATGTAGATGTCCATTCCTTCCCACGATCGTTATGGGAAAAGGGCGAATATACCAACCACAGAAACGATGCGCCAATCGGTATACGGCCAACGTAACCGGGTCAAAAGGACGGTCTGCGGAGGGCGTCGCGGAGCTAACCTAATGCTGGAATCGCCAGTGGTCCGAAAATCATCGTATATCTCTATATGAAGCGATAAACACGATAAACACCCAGAAAGGCTTCAAAACTCCGCAGCTTATTTTGTCGGGCAAGGGATCTAATATTTGTCCGGAGTGGCTTAGTGTGGTGAGAGACCTGTAAGCCGGACTAGTTATCATCCATCCACAACGGCACTCAGTTTGATCAGTTCGTTCTCAAACTCATCATCTGTGTCAAATTCATGGGAGAAGGCCTGTTCCAGGAAGACCGCAGTTTCATCATGAAAGGAATCACCGACAGAAAGGTTCTCCTTCACCCCTTCATCATCTCGTGTGATGACCGTTTGTTGCTGTTGCTCGGCATTCTGCTGAACATGCAATGCACCTGCTTCCACCTTTGTGATAATCTCCTCATCGTAGAAGATGGAGCAATCAGAAAACTCATCTTCCTCATCGTTTGAAATCCCATCGCCGGTTGCTAGAGCCGAGGAGTCATTGTTCTCCAATGTCCCATCTGCATCTCCCACACTAGAATCCAATTCAGCCTCTGTATCTCCTGAAATGTCAAGCTCGGTGGCCTCCTCACTCCCGGCATCGTTTTCTGCTGCAGCGGATCCCTTCTTTGTAGGCGCTAGGAAGTTCACTAGCAGTGGCTGACTCGACGGGACGCGCGGCGCGTTCGGATCGGGGAGGCCCAATCGCTTTCTCTCTTCCCGAACTTTGGCTTCCTTCTCTGCCTTTTTCTTCTTCTTGGCAAGTCGCTTTTTCTCCCTTTCTCGGAGCTTCTGGGCGCGACGCTCTCGCTCTTCTTCGCGTTCGATGCGTTCGATCTGGGACGCGGTGAACTGAAAGCGCTTGTTGCTGCGTTGGTACCGGCGGCGCACGCTCCGGGATTTCTCCAGAACAATGCGCCGCGGTGGCTCAGACATTGTCGACTAGGATCTGGAATGGTGGCATCTGTTGAAATACACGGATTCGTAGATTTCCTGGGGGAAGCTACGGTGTTACTAGTATTTTGTGTGCCGGAGATACGTTACGCCGATGCAATCATTCTGTAGTTCAAGTTGTATTCTAATCATGCAACATTCCAACATATTGCCAGCTATGCAACTGCTTGGTATAAGTTCTATAGTTATATATTCCCAGTATATTCTGTCCAGCTGATGGAATTTCCTACTCCGCATCCTTGACTGGATCCCAGCAGACGGGAGCGTAGACTCCAGTGTTCAAACTCTCCACGTCTTCCTTGGACAATTCAAAATCAAAGATCTGAGAATTTTCGAGGATACGAGAATCTGTTACAGATTTCGGAAGAGGAACATAGCCCTGTTCAGCGGACACACGGATCAGCAAAGTCTCGTCCAACGCGCTTGCTTTTCAGTCACTGCCGACTTACCTTCTGCAAACTCCATCGGACCAAGATCTGGGCAGGAGACTTGTTGTGCTTCTTGGCTAATTCCTGCAGGACAGGCTCGGACATTCGCTTTGCTTGAACAAGTGGCGAATAGGCCTCAACAACAATGTTGCGCTTCTTAAGCCACTCGGCGATGTCTTCTCGAGCACACCACGGGTGAATCTCATACTGGCCAACCGAGATCTCGCCACCACCCCCGTTCTTAATGTACTCTTCCAGCTCCTCAAGATGAGCGATGCTGTAATTGGAGACACCAATGGAGCGGACCTTGCCTGCCTTCTGGGCCTCGACGAGAGCACGCCAGGCACCCAGGCGAGCCTCAGTGCCACCATAGGGGGCGTGGATCAAAATGCTGTTCGAATAGGTCAGTTCTGGATCACGTCTCCTTCCGTTGGTGACGAATAGCAAGAGTGAAACACATACAGATCGATGTAGCCAAGGTTCGCTTTTGCTACACTTTCCTCAATGGATTGTTTGGCTTTCTCGTATCCCATATGAGTCCTGGGGACCTTAGTGGTGTAGAAGATCTTGGATCGGTCAATGCCGGACTTTCGGATGGCCTCGGCAGTTTCTGCTTCGTTTTGGTAGAACGCCGCAGAGTCGACCTAGCCATAGCGAAGATAATGGGGTAAGTATTGATGATTCTGGACAAACTGAACAGAATGAAGTGACATACATGTCGGTAACCAAGTTCAAGTGCCTTGAGGGTCACCTTCTCCGTCACATCAGGCGGGCTGGTAATGCGTTAGGATATATGTTCAGCAAACCCAAACCTGGAGGCCCTCCCAATTGGGGAGAATAGGGAAACATACGTTTGATAAACCTGTGAAAATGAAACGAACCATTGTTAGGGATTGCTGTCTCGATTCGAAAAGGATGATAAATACTTACACCAAATCCAACAACCGGGATCTCATATCCCGAGTTCAGCTTGTAGGTTGTCTCGAGGGAAGTAGGAGCCATGGTTCAAAAGGTGCAGAGCCTGTGAGCTTAAATAGAAACAGATTTAAGTTATTATGATAGAACATCAAGAATTGAGCCAGCGCGAGGGGCACTGAGCCCCTCTTTATTGCCATAAGTGATATTATTCAGCAGCCCCTCCCATCGGCCAACACGAACAAAAAGAGAACGTCGGCCAACATGACGCCAGAGCGTTAGCTGTGGAGATACTTGGGCGATCTCCATGCTATTATCGTGGTATTATTCGTGTTTAATTTTCTCTGGACTGAATGATGGATATGTCTTATCGCAACTAGGGCATAGGGCAAAGGGCTTGCTTATCGATATCGATAACGGCAGACATGCGCTAGTCCTGTTGTAGAAGTAATGTTAATTTGGGCTGCATCATTGATCGGTTTTCCTCCCCGCTCTGAATCCCCTCATAGAAACGTTCACAGATACTTCGATTTCAACTACGAAAGACTACTTACTTCACTTTCGGGCCATTTACAGGATGAAGTTAATTAAAAACAATATTGAGCTTAATGGATCCGGTGCCGTTACTTTGTGCCCCGAGGAACCAGAGGACATGGTAAGTGATATCCCCCCCTTCCCCAGCAACCATTCGAAGACCCTCGTCGCTTATAGATATAATATACGTCTTTCAATCCTAGTGGCATGCATATAACCTGATTCGACCCGGTGATCTCCTCCGTGCAAGTGCTATCCGCCGCGTCACCACAACCCAAGATACCGGTTCCACAACTTCCTCGCGGGTACATCTAACGCTTGAGATCCGTGTAAAAAATTTGGATTTTGACCCCCAGAGCTCTCAGCTGCACGTTTCCGGACAGATAGTTAATGAAACACCCCACACGAAGATCGGCCAGTTCCACACCCTGGATCTAGAGTTGAATCGCAACTTCACGCTGGTGAAAGAAGTGGGCGCGAGTGGTGAAGGGGTGGGGTGGGACAGCATTGCCATTGAGATGCTCAAGGATGCAGTAGACGAGAGTGGTAGACGAAGGGCTGAGGCCGTGGCTGTGGTCATGCAGGAGGGGATTGCACATATTTGTTTCATCGGGCAGTATCAGACTATTTTGAAGCAGAAGGTAGAGATGTCTGTTCCGAGGAAACGGCATGGAGGGGGCGATCACGACAAGGTTAGTTTGTCCATACTAGATATTCAAGACCCATCATGGATAGATATCCCACTAACATGGTTTTGCTGTGCAGGGAATGTCAAAATTCTACCAAGTTACCCTAGATACCCTCCTCCGCCAACTCGAGTTCAGTACTAGCATCACATCTGCAAGCAAGAACGAGCCAGTTCAGCCCATTCTCCTCGCATCTCCGGGCTTTGTCGCCTTAGGATTCCAGAAGTATATCCAGTCTGTCGCCTCGACCACCACGCCCGCCCTTAAGCGCCTTCTTCCCAGCATTGTCGTCGTGCACTCAGCATCGGGCTACCTGAACTCCCTCTCTGAAGTCTTGCAATCACCGGCCGTCAAGACAATCCTAGCTGATACAAAGTACGCCCGGGAAACGAAACTCATGGACGAATTCCTCGAGCAACTCCGCAAGGAGACCAACAAAGCGACATATGGGCCGCGAGAAGTCGAGTCCGCCGTCGAGCAGGGTGCCGTGGGTCGAGGAGGCGGTGTTCTCATCATCTCGAACCGACTCTTCCGATCGCAAGAGGTGGCCGAGCGGAAACGGTGGGTTGCACTTGTAGATCGCGTCCGAGACGTCGAGGGCGGGGATGTCAGGATTCTCAGCTCCGACCATGAGAGTGGGAAACGACTTGACGGACTGGGTGGAATCGCAGCTCTCCTGACATTTCCTATTGTCGAGGAGGATTTCGAATCCGATGAGGAGGATGATACGGAGACTCAGGGCATGGATGTAGCATATAACAGGCCGTCTGTTTCCACTATTTAATGTTTATCTTCATGGAAATCTTTGGCTATTTTATACGATCTTGATTGTAATCGACCCCGAAGGTTACCATAGGGGTCGGTTAGATGATTTCTCATGATCATGAATCACCTATGGCTGTTCTAGGCAATGACCGTGTGTCTAAAGCTCAGTGATGTTTGTTCATATCAGAGCCTATCTATGTGTATCCATCCAATAAAAGTCCATATATCACGTGACTAAAAGAAAAAGAAAAGGTCGAGCTGAGATTCGAACTCAGGTTAGACGGAGGTCGAACCATCTGTGATGTGGGTCAAAACCGTCGGTGCTAACCACTACACTACACGACCACTTGTTGCTGTATCTCTGTGGCGACCTCCGCCCATTTTACGTATATCAAGAGAAAAGCAGATTCCTGTCTAATATCAACTATCAACCACCCATGAACATGGCCAATCCTGTTCACTTATAGAGTAATCGGGCTTTTGCCGTGACAAAGTCCCTGAACGAATCCCCTTCCTCGTCCCCGTCCGGCGTACACTACACTATTTAACTCCTTACGGACCAGAGTGTGACGCCCGATACTATTATCGCTACCCCGCTCACGCCTTAAGCCAAGTCCTGTGCGAGCCTTGCAGTGCTCGAGCCTGTACTCTCCGACCCGGCGAATCTATCTCTCCCTGGCTTCTTTTTCACCAATCAGCCTATCCTCGCTGGGTCTGTGGGAGATATCACCTTCCTTTTATCGATGCCGTTGGCAATGTGCCAGGAGACGCTGGCTCGCGTTGTCACGGTGATGGGAAGGGGATCAGGCTGATACACTTACTCTCTTCAACCCTGTTCCCTCTGCATTAGCCGATGGCATCCAAGAATTGGCCCTTCCAATGATGAGAGACTGGTTATGGAATAGCGGGAATCAATGTGAGAGGCTTAGCCGTTGATGGTCAGCTATGCGCTCTGTCTTTGCTCGGTTCAATAGTCGATGGAGTAGGGAATTGGCCGTTGGATTCCCTGGAGTAAGTCCATCTGTAAACCTCCGAGTGCGACAGCCACAGCAGAGAAGCTCCGAGTGGTCACTGGAGCGTCTCCCCGCTTTCTTTCGTGCTGCAGAAATGTTCCGCATCGTGAGTGTTCATTATCCCCTTTCCCTTTCCTCTCTTCTGCTTGTTCGTTGTCTGGCGCCGTTCTCTTCTCTCTGACAACTGTTCTTCTAGGCGTCTTCGCTGTTCGCTCTTCTGCCCAAGTTGGTTGCCTTCCTCCGGACACTCTTCGGGCCTCCTCGAACCATGAGCTTTGACCAGTGAGCTCTTCTCTTCTCTTCTCTGTTGCCATTCCCATTCCCACTGTCTTGCCTTTTTTTGTTTCTCGGCACATAATGCGCTGCTGTATCTTCAGCGTTGGGTCTGAAAAGGAGACAATGAACTATGGGATATGGAAAGAAAAGGATGATTTTGCTCGTTGTACTTGATCTCTATATCCTCTTATTTATCCACGCAGATCCCCTCTATATATAGTTCTGCCCATGTACCCTCTGTCTCAATGACTACTATCCCACTGTCAATGTCTCAGGAATGTACTCGTGTCATTGCTCATTCTAGTGTAACGGACTTCCCCGCCTGTTTCTCCCTCCCCCTTCTTCTCCTAGAGTCCTTCCAACGCGATCGAATTCCTCTCCGAGTCACCCCAGTAGCGGATTTACTAATTTTTTAAGTTTTGTATATACAGATGAATCGACACTGTGTGGTTGTGAAGTCTGTCTGCCGTTTACCATGTCGTAAGTGTCCATCTTCTGTCTGTATCGTCAATCAACACGGCTCTCTCCATTCCCTCTCACAAGCCATTCTCATCCGAAAGGAAAGTAATGGGGCTCTCCGTGGACAAATCCCACTGGCCATGTCCCGCCATGTGCCCTTCATATACCTCACCTTGACAAAAGAAGTACTGCTTCCCTATACTTCGAACGAACTCGCTGATGATCTTGGCTTCTTCCTATCCCTTTGACTCAGATCACCTCCAACTTCCAAACGGATCAAGACATCAACTTCTTCCAGTGCTCCATCACCTCATCACCATCACCATCATCACCTTCTTCTAGCACAGCAGCAACAACAACAGCAGCAGCAACAACAACTTCACCCCTTCCCGAGGTCAGCTCCTTTTGAGGGCATCCCTATGTCCCAAGCTCAGATTCCTGCACCTACTACAACGACCAACTCACGCAAACGTCGTTCTTCACTCCAGTCAGGCCCTACACCGACCATGGCTGCCCCCGTCAATACCGCTGCTGGAGCCAAAGCCGAGCAGGACCCCGTCTCCGCCCTGAACGTGCCCGAGCACAGTCCGAAGAAAAAGGGACGCACCAACACTCCCTGGTCTGCAGAGGAAGAGCAGAGATTAAAGACTATGCGGGATGCTGGTCGTAGCTGGGGCGAGATTGTAAAGGTTTGTTCGAGATAGGGTCGAGAGAAAGGGATGCATAAAAAGAGCCACCACTTACTAGATCCTCCAGACTTTCCCGAATCGGACCGAGGGCAGCGTGAAAAAGCATTGGTATAAGGTTAGCATCTACCTCTTTTCTATCTATTCGATTTGAACCCTAAAATCAGTGACTAAATAATAAAAAAACAAAAAAAAACCAACAGGACATGCACTATGCTGAATTTGCTGAAGACGAGGTACCCTCAGCAGGAACCCCAACTCCCCACGCTCCCTCCTATCCCATCTGTTTATCGTCTAAGAAGCATATCTAGTCCGCCGCCTTGCGCGAGGCAATCAAGGAATACGAAGCCAACAAGTGGAAAGTCATCGGACAGAAGGTCGGGAAGCCGGCCAAGGTATTTTTTTTTTTTTTTTTTTTTTGAATATCAATAGTCTTTCCTTCATCTCTCTGACAATAAGTTGCAGGCATGCGAGCAGTATGCGAAGGAGCACTTTAAAGCTCTCTAACCAAGTTCCGGGCTTGATTCCACCTTACGATAACGAAATTATGTTACTTCAACGACGGATCTTGACATGATGATTTTGGCAACAGTGAACATGGACATGATACATACTAGCACCGGGAATATGGCGAATTTTTAATTCTTTCTTCTTCGGGTCTTTTTTTCTTTTTTCCTTTCTTCTTTTCTTTTCAAATGGAAATACTTGGGTAGGTGGAGTTGGAAGTTTCTTTATTTATTTGTTTTTTATTTCTTTTACATCATTGTCCTGCTGCACCCTCTCCCCCTTCCATCTTTTTATGTGAGATAGGAAGGGAAGATGGGAGGTACTGCCATGCGCCATTATTTTTCATACCCCGGGCAGAATCAGATTTTAGTTTGTTGGTCAGGTTAGGTCGAAACAAATACACTTGACTTTATTTAGGTGCCATCATTCCCCATTGGAGAGAGCGGCTCTCTATCTGGACGTAAGAGCCTCTCTGGATGAAATAAACCCGTACTATTTATTAGAAATTCCTTAAGGCGGTTGTTCTATTAGACCATCCTAAATAGCTTCAAACGATTTTGTCTGTTGGCCTTAGACGGTGAGATTCTCGTCGTATGGCTCCAACGGCTGGGTACATACAGTGAGTCGAGCCGTTGTCACCAGAAAATACCGGCAAACATTGACATCATAGGAGCGGGACATTCAAGTTATGGGCTTTCTCAATACTACACTCCTGCTACACTGCAATTCATATTCAACTATGCTACAAAATAACAAAAATCCAATACCAAAAACGGCAAATACAACTACACGGAAAGCACAAGAACGGATAGAAGGCAGTCGGAAATGGCAATGGTTCCTGGTATCTGCTTTTCATCGACCTATCCTCCCTTGTCTCGTCGCTCTCGCATGTTCCGGCCAAGTGATAATCACGTGCTCATCATAGGCGGAAGTATTTACCGGTACCAGTACTCGGGCTTGACGTAGTCAACAAACGTCTTGGGCTCCTCGTGGGGCGGGTGGTGGTGGCCGTGGCCATGGTCATCTACAAGAATCGAGTCAGGTAAACTGAAGACAAGGAGAAAAAATTGGCGGGGTCGCCAGAAAGAGCTCCATAGAAGGCTCAAATCATGGCGCGAGAGAGAAAACATACGGGCATGAGGGTCCTCCTTCGGACCAACATAGTTCAGCTTGATGACATTGCCGCACTCACCGCAGCGTTCAAAGGGACGGTCACGAGAAACCTTTATAATAAGACTGATCAGTACATCTGTTTGAATATATGCAATGCTTGACTTACTGTCAGCCAAACAACCCCATGGGAATCAGCGGGGTACCCGGTGCATCCAGCGTACTGCTCATCACCAGCGCTGTTGACGACAATGGGGTCCTCAAAAGTTCCTGGAATAGGCCATTTCAATTAGTATATGTCGGATGTCCGGAAATTGGCACCACTCCATATCCTAGCGCTCCGATATAACTGAATGGAGCCAATGGTACAAAAAATATCCTACTATAAAAGGGGGGGATACGCACCCTTCCTAGACGCATCTAGAGGTCTGAAGTCGAAGATCTCAACACCCTCCATCTTTCCGAGGAGCTCGAGACGCTCGAGACCGGTCGCCTGCTCGAAATCGGTGGGAACAGTACCGGGCTTGGCACCGGGAGGAAGAAGGTCCTCAGAATTGTGGATTTCTATGCCGCAGAAAGAGGGTCAGCACCCATGTACAAATTCACTATGTCGATAAAAGAGGGGCGGTACGAAGATGGGATTTTCAAAGTAGATAAAAGAGCGGATAGTCTCGGAGATCCAGAGACCAACGGGCAATTGGCTTAATAAAGTAAAAGCAATTGGCAATAATTTGAATAGGTGGAGGGTACGAACCTTCAAGAGGAACGATCTTGCCTGCCGGCTTAACCTCCCATTTCGAGCTGTTGACTGCAAAACAGAAAAAAAAAGCAACATTAGCACGAGTTATTGCTCAGTAAAACCGCATATAAAAATTTAAAGGTTCTCTCGGGTTCAATTGGATAGATTCCGGGCCGGTAGAGTCTTCTCTGATCGAGGACAATAGTGAATGTGCGAAGACAGAAACCACTTACAGCGGCTGACGGAGGTGGAGAAAGAGCGATTGGCGAGGACTCTGGCAGGAGTGCGTCTCGCGAGCGAGACAGCTGTGCGTTGGAGGAACATTGTCCTGGTGCGATGATGCGATGACAGGAGGGATGTGAAAGAGGACGATGAAGGTGGAAGACCTGAGGTTCGGGAGGATGAGGTGAGTTAGAAGCCGCTTCGGCCGGCTGGCGGGCGCGTGATTGGCCGCTGCCCTAGGCGGGAGCGTCAACTTCCCGAGTCGTGCGCTCTCTCTTACTAAGCAATCCTGATTGGCTGACTGCGCTGCGGCCGTCTGCAGGCGCCATAATAGCACATTTCCTGAAATGGCCAGTCAAGGGCTAGCCCTCTAAGAGCTGCTATTGCTATTCATACAACTGCTTCATTCAGGATATTAAGCTGTACTGTACAAGAATTTGAAAACAGATAATGAGAAGATGCAGCAAAACAAAACAACATAGAAAGGGGGGGAAAAACACAAGACTGAATTCACAACGCCATTCTACTTTCTACGCGAAATTATCCGTCCGGTCAACCCAGATATCCTCCAGCTCGGCGAAGTTCTGGAAATGTAAAGGACGGTGCTGATCGTCGTAGAACCTGATAGGTGTATCGATCTTCACATACACCGGTCTCTTCTCGACACTGCCGAATGCACTGCCCATGAAGCTGTAGTTCCACACATTGTCTTCGGGAACCAGGAAGTAGCCGCGGATCCTGTCGCTGAGCAACAGCTGGCACTTTTCACCCATGTTTGTAGAGAAGCCCTGTGGCTGGTCAGATGTAGTGTCTTTGTTCTCTGCTCCCCACTTGTAACCTTGAGGAGTAAGAGTCCAGGCTGCAAGCGAGACGGATCCTGGAGTGAAAGAAACGGTCATGGTCACCGTCTTTTTATCCCATGAAGAGTGCGCATTCATTAGGTGGGCATGCTGCGTAACATCCCCAGCGGTCATGTACGGAGGCTCATTGCCAGAGATGGTATGAATAATTCCGAGAGGTTCAAGATTATTCAGATAGTCATGCTGGGGTAGCTCATGGGGAAGTTGAATGTCACGAGTGTTGCCGACCTGCGGGACCATGACGATGGTGCGAATTTCCTTGACCTGGTCGTTGTCCGACGGGGAGCTGCCGTAGAGATATCCGCAAACCTGCACACGAAGATCGCTAATCATGATAAACCGGCGAAGAATATTCTTAGGCATAACATAAGTATAGCCATCCTCACGGATATCATCCGAGGAGACATATATGTTGTTCGCTCTCGTACGGAGATTGGACGTCGCAATCGCCCGTGTACGCCATTCAGTCTTCGACGCAAAGGATTGCTGCTCGTACTGAGACGTGGTGGTAACAATGATATCCTCGCCACGGACGTTCTGTGTCTTCGTAGTGACGGCAGTGAGCTGCTTCTGTTCCTGCTCTTGTTTCTCGATCTCTGCTGCCTGTTGTCGCTGCAAAGAAGGAGCGCTGATCTCCATACCCAGAATGATATCCCTGACTTCGCTGCTCGTCAAACTCTGCACGTTCACATTGTTCTTCTTGCCGTAGTCATTAAGAATCAGATCACGCAATTGTACTTCAACCTTAATCCAGTCCTCGTCGGACAGCGAAGGCCAGATGTGATGCTCCTGGGTGATAACAGTCTTATCAGGCCGGAGAATGATCTTAGCTTTATCGTTGTTAACATGAAGAGCTCGAAGAATGAGGATCAATCTGGAGAATGCGGTGTAGGGCGAAATTGACTTCAGCCACTCATCATACAGGTTGAACAGAACCATCTGAGGCTCTGTTGCACGGAGAATCATATCTGCTAGTTTCTCGACCTTCATGGCAGCCTGGAATGGGAGCTGCAGCTCAGAAGCTCGAATGGAGATGTTGGGAAAATCAAGCAGGTGAACTTCCAGAGGATCAAGGAGACCCTTCCGAGTAACAATGAGCTGCTTCGGCTGCTCTTCAACTGGCAAGGATCGAATAAGTGCTGCTACTTCTTCTGCAGTCTTCCACTTGGCGAGCTGACCCAGACGCTTTTGTCCTGCCCAGACGCTGGTATGAATGATCTTCAAGAAGAGCTGCCCAGTCCGAGGATTGAAGATGAAGATAGCACCGTTGATCGGCTTTGTCGTAAGATTCCCTTCGAAGGTCTTGTGGATAGTGACACGGTAAACATTGGTGTCATCAATGAACAGCTGAATCTGTGGGCTGAACAGCTCGGAATAGTTCTGCGAATTTAGGAACTCCTGGTTGCTCTCAGAAGCATAAAGCTGCAGACCCTTCCGGATGCGTTCTCTCAGCACATACAAAGCCGGGTTCGCTTTCATGATCTTCGCCATGGCTTGCTGAATCAACGTCTTCAGGCCAGGGAAGTATTGACCGTACGCCGAATAAAGATTGTATGCAAGATCGATGCCAATCATCAACCCGGTAGCTGACGGATAGATGCTCATGCTATCTGTCGTATAGTCAAGGTACTTGGCACGGACATATCTTTCAATGTCGTGGGAGTCATAGTCCCCATACCTCAACTGTACGTCCAGCCAGAACTTGTTCGTCGTGGTAGGCTCGTACACATCCTTCGTATCGAACAGAAGGGACGGCCTTGTCACATTCCATTTATTTGTAGCGAAGAGAAGAATATCTGCGCACGAGCTGTTCATCTTGTAGGACTTGCGCGGATGAATCGTCTCCTTCTGGACAGCTTCAATGCCAAGTTGTTCCAGCTCTTGATCGAAAACTTGGCACAAATCCATGACAACAGACTCATGAATCTTCTGCCACAAATGAGCACGGAAAATCTGAATCAAAGAGATCTTCAGTGTCGGGATCTTGCCATGCAAAAATATTCCAGTAAGATCTAATTGCACTTGGAAACCAACATAGACGTTGGCGCGGTTGATAGTCGGAGACCACCAAAGAGTAAACCGACGGTTAGGAATTTGATTCAAACCTGACCTCTGCGCATTTGTCAATTTCTTGAACTTCATCGACTCCTCAAAACCACTGTTGTGCAGAACCAGATAATCGTGTCGCAGGTACAGTTGGTCTTTATCGACTCGGAAGCCGGCCCACTCTGTCGCCTCGGCCTCAAGACTAATATCCTCGATAGAGAAATTATGGGATTGGGAAACCTTCTCCCGCGCTGCCTGTTCGGACTGCCCAAAGGTAGGAGATCTGAAGGCTCGATACCGGCTCCTTTCTTTAGGGTCAAGAGCAGCGAACTCCGTGGCAGTCATCTCCACAGTGTCGTAGCACTCTGCTGAAACTTCAGGCCCTGTTTGTACATTTTCGCTCATCTTCACCCGGTGAAGAACCAGGATATGGTTCGGCGTAACCACAAGATCTTCTTTACCTGCGCCAATCTTGATGCGATACAGGCGGTCTTGACCATTAACAATGTTGAAAGCGCGACGAGGCCCGCCATCAGGACCGAGAAGCAGGTCTCCCTCTCGGACATCCTGGACCTCAACCTCAGTACCATCGTACCGCAGCAACCGTGTTCCCTTGGCAAGACATGCTCTTTCCCAGAAAAGACCCTCCCAAGATGGGAAAGCGGTGGCCTTGAAGAGAGTATGTTCTAAAATCGTCTCCACACCTCCAAGAGCCTGGATAACGTCAGTGCGGTAAGCATTCAGGTTCCAGAGTTTACCGTCGTGTCTCTGACTAGTCCACCAGAATGGATTGCTCTTCATAAGCTGATACTGCTTGAACTCTGACCTCACACGGAAGCCCTTGTCGAAGCTGAGAGTGCTTCGGTCCTTCTGGAAGAGGGTATTGATACGCGGAAGACCACGGTCCCAGCTATCTTCCAAATCCTCGAGTGTCAGGCGCCTGTTCTGTTGCTGAGCCTCCTGTCGCTTCTGAGAATACTCCATCCAGACACGTTGAGAGTCGATAAATTCGGCTTCCCAAGGAATGATGTAACGGAAGATATTAGGGATAAGAGTCTCCTCATCATGAGACATACCCGCGCGGAAATGGGTAATGCCAGTATCTGTCTGTTTTGACCATCGCTTATCACTGGCGGGGATGAGGATGTGAGATCCGGAGATCATACCCAAGCCACCTAGCTCCTTAGGAGTGTAGAAGACAGCTGGAGGGAAACGCGAGGGCATCTTGGAGTTCAGACCAATCTTGACTCGAGTTTGAATCTTCGTTTCGCATTTGACGATGGTGTCCAGCAGATTGACAGTCGACACAGCTGCCTCACGGTAGTACGTGAAGAGTGCGATTAGTGCAGTGTTCCATTTATTCGCAATCTTGGTGAAAGTAGTTGATCCAGAAGACATTAGGATTTGCCGAATGCGGTTATTGAATTTCTGAATATCTTCCTCCGTGACTTGAAGGAAGGCGTGTGCTGTCCTTTCCTTCGTACTATTGTCGACCAGCGACCAAACACTGTCCTTGACAGAAAATTCTTCATTCAGATTGCGAATCTTCGGTAGAATACGAACCTCGAACCCGGACATTGAGAACAAGAGGTTCGGGTTGTCCCTGCTGTAGACGCTAGCAAAAGTATCGTCCCATTCAATCGTAGTAATAGACCGTGGCAAGCGGTTTTTCAAGTCCCAGAATACAGCACGACCCAAGTTAACATCGTGTCTCATCAGGCGCATTCTGCAGTCACGAGGCCAGCACTTCTTATTCTTATAGCCAATAACATTTTCAAAATTGGGATCGGGATTCTCAGTCAGGAAACGCTGGATTAGATCCCTAGATTCGTCCGCTGAGAACCTGAAGAATACCCAAATCTTATCGATGTAGCGGGTGTAAAGGCGGATCGGATGCTTAGTTTCCGTGGCACGGTCTCTGAATTGTAGGAAGTCATTGGGACTCTGTGGTGGACCGGCCATTTCACTAGCTCGTTGCAACCCGAGAAGCAGCAAGTCAATCATCAAACCATAGTACTGGAAGACAAAGCCGGAAAATTGGAGACCCCGGATCAACCCGTAACTGTTGGTATGGTTCATGTCCTTATAGTTAAGCTGCACGTTGTTCTTCGAGGTGATGTAATCGGCCAAATTGTGGTCCATAATTAGCCGAAGTAGACGATTCAATAAGGTCAGGTCAATCTTCTCGTAGACCTTGGAAAGCTCGGTTTCAATCATGACATTGGTCTCTCCATCTGCTGTCTCCCAGACATTCGACAGGTTGTTGATACCTTGTGCCCATTTGTACGTCAGCAATGGAGGCACTTCGGAGTCAGATGGTTTGATCCATGCAGGGAAAAGATGACGCTGTTCTGCCTGGTACCAGAGATACTGATCCAGGTAGGCATCGGTGATCTTCTCAATTGGCTCCACATCGTATACTGGGTTTATATCACTATAATTGTCATTCATGTCGATCCCAACTTCCTTGAATGCTCTCTGTGTCAGTAGGAACCGCTTGATTCTCGCCAGAGTTGTTCCAGGAGAATCGTATGCTTGCTCAATAAGTGCAAGCTCCTCACGCTGACTCTGGTTAAGTCTCCCCTTCACGGAGTAGGCTTCACGCAACCGTTCCAAGGCGAGGATTAGGATCTTCGTGTCATGTTTGTAAGACACACTTGGGAAAGGAATAGGAGAGAACTTCCGTGACTCAAGCCAGTGGACCATGGTGGTGTAGATAGCCACAGCTTCTTCGGATGAGACGTAAGGGCCATCCTTCAAATAATTGTGTTGCCGCTCTTGCTCCGCCTTCAGCCACAGCCGCGTAAGGCGGCCCAAGTTTTTCTTCGCAACCGTTTTGTCAACGGTGGCACCGCGGCGGATTCTCTCACGGTTGTAATGAGCAACAGATATCCACCAGTCGGCTTTGCTCTTAACGTATCGCAGAATGATGTTTTCGATGGGAGCTGGAAGACCAGGCACCTTCCAGGGAATGTTACTCTTCCAACACCTCCAAGCTTCCGAAAGGTGCTGAAGAACGGTGTTGACTTTGTTCTGCTTAATGCCCTCGGGCATCATGTCCATGAGATCCGCCATGACAGACGCGCGGAGTTCCAGGTCAAAGTGAGACTCTACACGTTGCTTGGTGACAGTCTTCGCAACTCCCTTGCTGTGGCGACCCTCGAACTGCCGAGAGAGCAGATTTCCAAGCCACCTCTCCAACAGAGGAATGATACCACGCATGAAGAACAGCCATACTCGCCAAGCAGGAGCCCAGAAGCCACAGCCAGGCCCCTTACCAACAGGTCCCGAGTTGAACCGATAGTAGATGAGGTGCTTCAGATCCTTGCAAGAACGGATCTGATGCATCAACTTATATTTATATCGGTACATACCGGTCAGCTGCCCGACATGGTTGAACGCATAAAGGATGCCATCGGCAAGTTGAAATGCATCGATGTTGCCCAAGCGATATTGAACCTGAGCATCGACGATCAACTTTGTCAAGCGTAATATCTCTCTCATCAGATGGAAGGCGTTTCCGAAGCGAGATTTCTTACGTTCCTTGGTTGTCAGCGTCTTCACAGGCTTCAAGTTGAAATTGTAATCGAGATGTAAGTATGTCAAATTTTTGCGATGAATCAAAAGGTTAAGCATATTAAAACCTTGGCGACAAACTTGCAATCCTGCCTCGACCCAGTCTATTGTTGTCTGCTGGAAGAATTTAGTTGATTTCAAGGTCTTTAGCAAATGTTGCTTATTCTGAGCCTTTGGTCGGCGTTTGTGCAATTCGTTAAGGACGTAGGTCTTAAGAAGCTTCTGGTAGGATACTCTGACTTTGACCGGCTGGCCTTGGGGGCAATGCTCTAGGTACCACTGCTTCACTAACGGCACATCCTGCGCGCGTACCATCTTTCCGGAACGTTTATCGAATGGGTGAGGAGCCCACCAAAGGGAGATAGCAGAAGCCGTCTCAGGGGTGTACAGTTCTTCATCGGCAAAAAATGGTTCAATCTCCGCTGGCAGCTCAAAACTCTCATCTTCCATATTTCCCAGTCCGAAAATCTCATCTTCGTTGCTAACCGTGATATTCTTTGGCGCGACAGCTCGTGAAGATATCGGGTTGATAACAGGATCAAAGTAGAAGGCTGGGAGATTCGGGTCCTCCGTCCGGACATACACAACTTGGGGATGTGAATACCAAGAAACTTTTACACTCCTCGGAAGAGTGTTGTAAAGAAATGGAAATGCGACTCTGTATTCCGTCCGGATGGGGGCGCGGAAGATAATGCGGTCAATGGCGTTGAACTCACTGAAGTCCTCATCGTTCGGATCAATATCCTTGTACAAAGGCTCGAAACGAGGGCCACCTGGGATGGCCACATTCAACGCTTTAGCTGTTAGAAAACTATTAAGATCAAACATATGAAAGTAGTTTTGATCCACGACATCGCTCAGAAGTTGGTGGCTTAATCGATAAAGGGTGGCCATTTGCGGAAGGGTCAAATTCCACGTTTTATAACTCGGTCCATTGACATGAGGGGTATCAAGTAGAGGACGATGGTCATAAAACCAGTCGTACACGGCGGCATCTTCAGATTCATCGAGCTCCATCTGAATCGGCTCCAGAGGTTCGACGTCTTCGATATTTTCGGACCACGAAAGAGGAGGTTCTTCGTCGTCGAATGGAGGGAAGCGCATCCGCTTGAAATGTCGCCGATCACTCTTTTCCCTCCGCATGCACACCCACATTGTAGCCCACTGGGCGTGGAAAACAGGCTCGATCACCCTCGGAGTCTCATTGACGAGTGTCAGGCAACCGTTGACATGGTAAAGCACCTTAACCTCTCTAGCAGATTCCCAAGGCATTGGCATGTTCTCCAGCAGCTTCAGCACAGCATGCGGCATGAACTTAAGCGCACCCAGATAGCTCCGCTTCTCGTTGCTGAATTTCTTCTGCGACACATCGCCGATATCCTTGACAATTTTCCGTAGATGCTCAGGAGGCATGTCAGCCTTTTGGGTTTCGACGAATCCACCTTTCCTTTTCTCCCCGAACCGATTGTGTTGGATCCGCAGCCATTCCGCTTTCCTCTGGAGGAGCTTCGCGGTTGTTGGATCAGCTGGAGGCTGGTACCCCGGCGGAGGGGGAGCCAGAGGAATGGAAGGGGGCGCCGATGCACCCCATCCTGGCGGAGGAGGAGGGGGCAAGGATGCCATGATGGCAGCCGTTGATGCAAATGATCTCGTCCCTCTTCGCGTACACCAGTATGTCAAGTCGCGTCAAGTCACGTCGATGAAGAGAAAAGTAATCCACGTGTTCTGCGACAACGGGATCCGATATGAAGGTGGTAGATAACAGGAGAGTCGGAGAGATGAGATCAAAGTCCCGGAAGTAGATACGCAACTCCTGGACGATCCTCTGCTCACGACGGGCGATGAGAGATGAAGCTGCTCTGCATCTCTTGATGATGGCAAAGTTCAACAGAGGTGGCGGCTCCATAAGATACGCTAACCGGATACGGACTAGTGGGTTCTCGCCAAATTTGCGCTAGCGCGACTTCAGGGCTCGGAGCGAAACCCACACAAATCCGGACCTTGACAATTCTACGAGGACAACGACGACAACCGACAACGCCGCCGATTCCCTGAACTCGTCACCGTTCCAGAGGTTCAAGGACAGTCACAATGGCGAACAACAGATTGCAATACGTGAGTGGAATATTGACACTGGATTTATTCGGCTTTTACTGGATGACATGTTGACTTTTCAATTTTTTCCCCTCACAGCGCAGACGGAACCCGTACGTTTGATCCCTTTCTCTCGGCTCGACCTAGCTGCGAAGGAAAAGACGCGATGGGAATTTCTTGGACAATATTGATGAGTTTCTATCCACAGGTACAACACGAGGTCCAACAAGGTCCGCATCGTCAAGACCCCCGGCGGCGAGCTTCGGTACCTCCACATTAAGAAGAAGGGCACTGCCCCCAAGTGCGGTGACTGCGGCATCAAGCTCCCAGGCGTGAGTGCTCCTGCAAAGTGATATATCGCGATTGTAGTTGGATCGAGAAATGGAAAGAAAAGATGGATAGATAGCGCGGAGCTTCATTCATTACAGTCTTCCAGAATGGCTGATAGTTTCGCATCTTAATAGGTTCCTGCCCTTCGTCCCCGGGAGTACTCTCAGATCTCTCGCCCCAAGAAGAACGTCAGCCGTGCCTATGGTGGCTCTCGCTGCGCTGGTTGCGTCAAGGACCGCGTCGTCCGGGCTTTCCTGATCGAGGAGCAGAAGATCGTCAAGAAGGTCCTCAAGGAGTCTCAAGAGAAGGCTGGAAAGCGCTAAATGGGAAAGATGTGAACATGGACGGTGTTGGTGTTTTGCCGGGGAACATGATATGGGCAACGGCTGGAAACAGTTCTATTAGGTTTTCGAAAATGAACGGAAACGGGCTAGCATTCAGACGCGCTGAAAGAAATGGTCTGGCTAGACAAAATGAATAATTCATTTTACGAGTGTTTGCAAGCGTCTGCTCTCTCTGCCTACTCCAGCAAGCGTCCCATCCATTTCGCGTTACATTCCCATGAACGAGAAACTAGACGTCAATTGGGAGTCTATTCATGATGCCACATGATACGTTGAGTTTGAACCGATTATGTCTGAATTCCATGGACTTTTCGGTTCTCAGTTCACAATAGCGTACGGGTACTCGTGGAAGTGCCGGAGAGCGACGTCCTATGAATTGGTAGATCAGGGTATGAAGGGAAGATCATGTAGCCTGTGCCACCCAAAACAATAAGCATGGTCGACTTGATACCCGTTTTAGACTACGTAGCTCTCTGACTACGACAGCTCCACCGCTAGCATTGCGGCTGAGAGATGCAAATAACAGGGCATGGCCTGTTACCAGGTATCACTATATCCCTGCGTATGGCTTGATGACGGTTTTCCCAACAAAGCGGTGAGAACCAGCAGCAGGTTATGTACTATCAACATCATCAATGCATCTCGCAAAGCCTCTGTGTACTCCGTACAGCATGGTTGGAACTGAGACATTGGGCATGGATACATGGGCCCACGCGTCTCAGTCGTAAGCCCTCAGAGAATGAAACGTGCATGCATGGGATGGAATGGACAGATTTGCAATATGACCAGCCACAATATGATGATGAAATGAAGAGGATATGGACATTACTGAAGATCCCTGCATAGATAAGCTTGCTTCCTACATTTCAGCCGGTACAACAGTTCTATTTTCCCCCCTCCTCCGAAGTGATGGATCCCTTCCTGACGAAAGATCCACAGGAGAAATAATCTGCTGCAGCTGTAACTAACACCCTGCAGCAACAACAGAAGGCCCAAGCCCAATCCCAGGTTCCTTATTTCCCGATGGGCATTTCAAACCCTTCATCTCCCGGGATGGGAACATCTCATGACGCAAACGGTGGAATATGACTCGTTCGGGGAGAGAGAGGAATGCATATACATCTATCTATGCATGTGCTCATGCCGTACCTTTCCCCATTCCAGAAACATCTATCTATCTGACGTTGAAGCTGTCTTCAGAGTTCAAGAGACCAGGAGGTTTGGGGCTCTTCGTGCCTATCGCATGCTTGGACTGGATCCCTGTTGCTGACTTGGCTGCTGGATATCGGGCAATTTGCTATTCAATATTGGGCTTCGTATAAGGATCTGGACTTGCCGAAAGCTCTGAATAATGCAATTCAAACGATGGGTCCCCTGCGTCGCTGTTATCCCAGGAAACCCAGCCATGCACAACTAAATACAGAATGATATGATAGCTGTCCACATCCCTGTGCAATAAACATGAGCACCTTGGAATGCTCCAGCCTGCCTACCAAAGGCTGCATATGATGTGCATATTCGAAGAGACTGGAGCAGCCACGATTCTTTTATTGCGGCAGTCATCGACCCAGACCGGGTATGGATGTTGGGATAGGCAGCGTATATGCCTACTCATTTGGGCTAGGGGGTAAAATAATCAGATATAATTCCTCAACGCTTCCATGTCAGACATACAAGCCATTAAAAGAAGCCACCAGCTCAATCCGCCCCTTGTTCGCACCCCCATAATGAACTATCCACTGAGAGGCACAGTGCTCCGCGCTCTGTGCCCCGTAACTGAACGTACATGTACATGTGGCATGCACGCCCGTCCCATGTAACAATAGAGCACGCGGTTGACAATGTCCCGGGTTGGGTTCATGAACGGGGTTGTATCCATGTAACATACATACTATTGTATACACTGGATTATGATGCCGTGTTTAAGACTTCTAGTCCTACAGCCTACCCCAGCACCAATAGGTTCCATTGACTATGTACAAAATCAGGGTTACGAGTTGTTACCGTTACTCTGTGGTAGTATGTGATGGAGGAAAGAAAGGGAGTATCATACTGCGAAGCAAAAAGAAACAGAGATATATCTAATGGAATGTCCATCCAGAGAGTTAAGCTACGAACCCTGGCCTTTGGTGCATTGGGCATATACGAGAACAAAAATGTACAGAATGGGGGAGTTCAGAGAGGTGGATAGACCTCCCTGCTAGCCCTAACAAGTCTACTCCACACCTGCATAGCGCTTACATCCATACCAGCCAATATAGTCCCCCTATATAGCCCGGATTGTATGCAGAAAGCCGTTTCATTCCACGACAAAAGTACGATGGCAACGGTCTCTTCCATCCCTCGGAATTTCTATTTACTCGGTGGGATCTAAGGGCACATTACCGCCACCACCGTGTCAGTCCGTAACTAAACCAGACTTGACTAGGGACGGTGAAGCGTTTTCAGAGAAGCCATGAGCCGTATTATTATCAACCTATTTCATTTACTAAGTTTATGAATACGTGGATAATAACCGGTATTTGATTCGATTTGATTTCAACTCCAATTGCAGAATGAATGAACGACCTTTAGGGACGTCACAAATCGATAGATCCCGGGGAATCCTCCGCGTCCTGAGCTGGAACTTAGGTATTCCTAGGAAGTACAGGGGTACGACGAAGTGATCTGTACTCTACATACGCGAGCCTCAACTCAGAAGAAGAGAAACGGCACGGCCCGTATGAGACGCGTTGTCACTTGTTTTTCTTCGAAGTATTCTGCACAAGGACGGAACAAGAAATAAGCGCATCCTTGTTGCTGATTTGGTGGAACATCGGCTGATACAGGGGAATAATTCAATAATTAATTTACGTGCAGCTCCCAAAGATTTATCTCGCTTAGAGAGTTACAACTTACCAGGGTGTACAATGTACATGTATATATGTATCATCATTTAGGGAACGGATGTTGCTCCTGGAGATATGCACTCCCCACATACAACGACAACCCGTCGAGCTACGAAGAAATAAATTTCTTCCTCGTGTAACACGGAACGTCGTCGTGGCATCACCTGATGTTGTGTTCCTATCCATCCATCGGGGACAGAAGCGAAACTGAGATCGGGATTCTCGTGGCTGTCACCTAGGGTTCACTGTGGACACGTTCAAGACCCTAGATTCCATGTAGCACTGCTATACACAGCGGGTTATATGTAGTCAAAACATTTTTTAAGTGGTACGGTGCCAGCAATAATAGTAGTTGGAGATCTCCCATTGTCCGTCTCCATGCATAATATACCTAGAGACTGAGGGCTCATGCAGAGGAAAAGACTATGTTACTATCGAAACAGAATAGGACCAAAGTAACAACAAAGAAAGACACCATTCAAGTATACACAATTTTACCAACCCCCCCCAGAAACAAAAGGCATATCGATTCCATTTCACATAGGCCACACTTTTTGGTCAGGAACGTAAATATGAATATGTAACAAATTGATATGACAAAAGCAGTATTTCTAAATTAAAAAGAAAGCGGATCAAGTCAACCACGGGCAACGATAAATAGAAGAGAAAGAGAGTAACACCAACCCAAAATTTAGTAATATGCAACTATACACTCATCTGAAAATCCCCCGAGGTATCGGAGCATGTCAGGAATCCGTTATTGCCTGGAGCTGTGTGAAGACCACACCATCCAAGAATGCCATTGTCGAAAGGAGCTAGACAGTCCACTTCAACCCAAGGGGTAAGATCACAAAAGACGGGCAGACATGCAGGTGGTTCTGCACAGCCAACGATGCTTCCCAGATCGAAGGTTTCAATCGGAGAACATTGAAGTGGTGTGGGAACATGGAATTGTGAAGCCGCCGCCTGGTGTTGTGGGTAAACAACCTCCCCTTGCTGCTGCTGCTGCTGCTGTCGGCGAGACGCGGGTCGCTGAGGATATGGCTCCTTTCGAGGTTCGTCATTCCGATGTTTCACGGGCGCATTTTTCATTGCTTTACTTCCCTTTGCCCCTGAGCGTTGGCGTTGAGAGGTAACTGGTGGATCAGAACCTGTGGTCTTCTTGCAATTCGCTTTTCTGAAGCGCGTAGTAGATTGAATGCCGTTCTTCGCAGCTTCTTCAGTGAGTCTCCAAAAGTTCACAGCCTTTTTGCCTTTAGCAGACTCTTGTCTAACAGCCTCAAACCCCTGTGGAAGAAAAATTCCGAGTCAGGTACAATGTCTCAAACAAGAAGGGAGGTGGAAGAGGCAAATGGCGTACTGCGTTCATAGACAAATTATGTCTAATGCTATTCTGCCAGCCCTTTGAATTCTGATCCTTCCCCTTCGCTGTGTTCTTCTCAAACCAGCTGTAAATCCCCTGGAGAGGTAATTTCATTCCAGGGGCAGATCTGAGCGCTTGGTAAATAAGAAGTGAATACGGGGGGTCTGCATTTGAATCCTCGTCGGTGCCTGAGCCCGTTTGGTGTTCATCAGCCTCAGGCATAGCTTTCATATCTGATGTACCGACATCGCTGAACTTCAGGGATTGGCAAGAAGAGGGTGAGAAGGACGGTGGCGGCGGGCTCACGGTCGTTGTATAGAAAACGGTCGCCGGTTTCTCCAATCGTGGAGTACAAGATCCAGTAAACTGACGCAAATAAACCACACACACACTTCAGCTTCACGGTCAAATACAGGGAAGTACGGGTATCAGCGTCAGCTTTGATTGCGTACCCATTCGGATATGTCTTGGGATTCTTGAAACGGCCGTAGCTCAGACGTGAAGTGTCCCCCGTCGGAGCAGGATCTCATCAGATATGGAGGCACATCCAGTGTCGTCTGGTTATTGCAAAAAGAAACAAACTGGTCGTCACTCCCGAATTCTGGTGGTGTCTGAGACGAATTAAGTTCGGAGCCGTGAGGGATCGATTCTACCCCCCATTGGCTTGCATATCTGAGACGTTGGAGAGGAATCGTTGGCCCCGAGGTAGACAAATCGTAGCAGCCTCCAGGAGAGCTGGTATAAGAAACACCTCCAGGGCTTGAAGAAAGCGTCTCTGTTGGGCTAGGAGAATGGGGATGTCGAGAGCCCGGGTTGGAGGGAACCTGACCATTCGACGGGAGCAAATGATTCATGTTAACCTGTCTTTCGCAAGAATAGAGTAGTATGTGTGTATACTGCTCGAGATATCCTTGAAGACAAGCACGGCTGTCTTGTTTTATTCTGTTTCAAACGGTCAGTCCGACTCAGTGTACTCGGCCACCAGTCTCACTCACACACAGACACACACACAGAGGGAGAGAGAGAGAGAGGAAGCGAAACAGTGGAAAGGAAGGATGAACTACGGGGAAAGAAACAAAAAGTAAATAAGTACGTCTCAAGCGTCTAGTGAGACAAAGATATGCATAGCCGTCCAAGGTGAGCAGCCCAGACTGCGAATCCCCAACTCAGAAGACACAGGCTTATAATAACGCAAACAGCCCGTTCCCAGGCATCTCTGTCCAAGCAAACAACAAGCCCCCCCCGGTGGACAAGACCAGATTATGCTTTCCGGGCGTGCAGCGGTTGTGCGTCACTCTACTGCAAGAATCGTCTTGTGGAACAGCCGCCATGGTACAGACACGCCGGTTTTATCTCACGGGAGACAAAAACAACCGGATCTGGTGCTACAGAAGGCTAAATAGGTAAATCGATTTAAATGACCTACAGCTGGTCTGCCGATCAGAAATTGCGTATGGCCGGGCACCTGCATGGGCCACCGTCACCCAAGGCGAGCTGCACGTTGCTGCCGCTCTAGAACGTGGAAGCCAAGAATATCCCCCTTTTCCAAGTCCCAGTGACTTTCTAGAAGGCAGCAGACCCCATTCTTCTGGTCCCTGTAGTCCTGTGGATGCTAGCAGCGTTCCCGCCAACCAGAGCCCATGGGTTTGCCTCCCAAAGACACAATGCTATTGAGAATCCCTTCATCCCCTTAAGTTATCATGGTCCTCCCGGTTATGACGGTTGATTCGGAGCGGCTGGAAATACGGAAGCAAGTAGGGTTGTGAAATAACAGAACGTGGATATGCAATTTGTTGCGAAGACACCAACGTAGCTTGTGGAGTGTCGGTAGGGAGTTGCATAAGATGGGGTATATTCCATAGGGTGACTTCGACTGCAGTTTAGAAGAGGTAGAAATAAGCAACAAATGACCGGGTCCTATGCAGGAACAACACACATTCCCTGCGATTCCCATAAACAAGGAGCTTGTTCATTAATGAAGATGGATATCGCCAGTACAGTCTGGAAAGTGTATGAAAACCGCGCAACTGCAGCCTATAGGCCTTCTGGTTTAAGAGAACTCAGGGTGGATCCCAAGATCAACTCGAGTTTACTTCCGGTAGTAGATCTAAAGCAAATCAGCACATGATTCCTGTTCACCACCATCTTTATGATGAAATACATACCCTCTTGAACTGAAAATGAAGCTGTAAGATACCCTGAAGATAAGCCGCGTTAGCTAACTGTATTCGAAAAAGGAGGGGTCTGTACTCACCTTGTCGAAAGTGCTCTTAAATCCCCTCTCCCTTTTGGCACTGTAGTCCCATTCCTTATCGACAATTCGAAACGCAATATCTTCGTAAGGCGGCCCGGCCATGAACCGAATGAGACATGTATCCTCTTGACCAGCGGGGGCAAAGGACTGACCCCGCCTCCTTCCATGCTCTCGTTCAATCCGGTATGTGGGAGCCTTCGTCTTATCGATGAGATCAGGATAGAATATATTAAATTTATATCCTTGGACGACTTTTGGAGGCGGATTTTCATGGTCATAATGTGTCTGGTTGTACTTGTTCCATTCGTACCCCATTTGCACTCGATTGAAATATCGAGGCTTGCGGGGTCGATACTTGCTGGCCCATTGAGGGCGCGAGCTTGTACTCACAGCCTCTTCCCCAGTGAAGATCTCCTCGTTCTCGCTTACACCCTTGGCAAGCTCCCTTTCGTAGAGGGCCTTTGTCGCCTGCGAGAAATCCTCGTTCGGAATTGAGGAAAATCGTGTGGAGATGGAATTAACTGCAACATTCGAGGGTTGGTTCGCAGCTGGCGTCGACGGCTTCTCTGTTTGTCGATGTCGCAATGGGACATATCCCATTTTCAAAACCTTCTCACGATCACGGGCCTGAAAGTACATCAGAAACAGCTTCACCTCAAGGAAGATCAGATGCCACCTTACCACTTGGTTAAGAAACGCCGATTCATCTACTATCTGTAAGACCTTGTCCTCTGGGTGCACTTGAAGCAGTGGTTCCGGATCGAGGCCGTCAAACTCTTGAGAATCAATGCCTTCAACTTGCCGCTCATCGCCTGGTGACTTAACAACTGGGGCAAGCGGTGCCAATTTCAACCGGACAGACTCCGCCTCTTCGCACTGTTGTTTGCGCAGTCCCCGAACACGTTCTTCTATGACGGCTTGATAGACTTTCCTCAACTTAGCCCGTGCTTTCCAAACAGTGAGACTGCGCAGCAATTCCTCCCAATAGTCGTAGTCGATAGGTTCGTTAGAATCCAGCTTTCTCTTCACCTGCACTTCGAGAGCCTCCAGTTGCTCGTAAGTTTTCGGGCTAAGCAGTCTGTTTATGTCTGCGACGACGGAACTCAGGGCACGGCCTTCGGGTGCGGTAGTTTTCTGGCGGTCTTTACAAATAATCCTCATAGTCTGTAAAGAGTAAAAATATCAGACCTGGCCTTGCAAGTATTTTTATAAGAGCATAGGACGCAGCACCGTACCTTCCAAAAGTCTCTATTCTGCGAGTTTGATTCGAGGTTCAGAAAGGTGTCTATATCCTTCTCCAGGTCCAACAACTGGCCCTGGGATAGCCCTTCAAATACACCATCCGGATCAACCAGATCAAGCTCTGAGTCTGCTATCTCGTCATCTAAAGGATTTCTCGTGGGATCGATGACCCTCAAGGTGACAGTGAGCCAATCGATTGGTTTTGCGCGGCCTTCCTTGACTCGTATCTCTGCCTTCTTTTTCGCCTGTTTAAGGACGAAAACATCCTCTTGTGCCACCCATTCCCGCGCCTGTTCATCTTCCTGAAGCTGATTCAGACGCACCTGGTCCTTTATACTTCGAACATAGTGCCCGCTGCGGGAATCGGGTTGGCCGTCGCGTTCATCGTGTCTGCGAGCGAATTTCTGCGACTGACGCCAAGACGATGGCGAACGAGACCGGCTCCTTTTCGAGCCTGTCCTGTCAGCTAGTCGCGATGACATTCCAAGCGCTATTTTCCGTGTTGGTTTTAAAAAGGGGGTGTGTGTAGAGCTTAACGGTGACAATAATCGCCGTGAAGAGGTCTTAGACACTGGTGGCAATCGAGCATTCGTAGTTGGTCCGTGCTCACGCCTTATTCAATGTTGCAGCTTGGACTATCCAACATCATCGAGGAATTAATGTTGAAGAATTTCCTGTCTACCTTTCACTGAGGCCAACAATGCCGGGGATATGGCAGAGACTGCACCTCTCAAAGTCCGAAGAGCTCCCCCCTCTTCTCTTCAAATATACCGCAAACCCCAAAGGCTACGATCTGTATCTGACGGATCTTACACATCTGTGGTCCGAACGTTTGAATTTCAAAGAGATCCTGAAGAGAGCCGACGAAGAAAGCACAACTATCGATCCTACAGAGGATCCAGAGCAATTTGATGTCCTCCTTGAAAAGATAGGGGAGGCCCTCCAAAGCCGTCCCGGAAGCAGCATTACGGTCAGGAGCGGGGCGAGCATAGATTCCTTAGAGCTACATGTATCAACGAAGTTGCCTGCTCCTCTGAGGCCTCTTAAATGGCCTATTTATTTTTCAAGGGATTGCCAACGCTTGGTGACTGAGCACTTGTTGATTCCCTTACTGAGGGAAGAAATTGGCTGGGAATCTCGCCGACGGTCCCTTTTGGAACAGATCAAACAGAAGGACTGGGTTCTTAGCAAGCTATTTGATAATATCGAAACTCTGGGTATTGATTTGAGCGCCGTATTCCCAGGCATAACGGGGCTACGTGGAGCCCGTCACGGCACCACGCTGGCACAGGCGGCGAAGTTAATCAAGGGAGTCGCGCCATTTGATGAACAGCTATGGCTCAAAGAGGTTAACGGGCCATCCACTGATTTCGGCCTTGGTGCAAATGTTGTGTCGGAACTTTCTGATTCAGCTGAGACGTCTCGGTTGTGGTTGCTTACCCCAGCGCCAGCCAAATGGTGGGAGAACCTCGATATACACAGCACTGCAACAACAACGGCACTTGAAAAAGGCAGTCAGCAGAGGAAACCCCCAGAAGAAGAAGCTGCAATGGAGACTGATGGTGGTGCAGAAACAGAGGACGATGAATTTGAGGTACCTGTTCCTCCTTCCCATTATTCATTCCCTGTGTTAAGATTACTCCGTAGCGCCAGGAAACGCCCCCGGGGCTGAAGCACATAGAAGAGGAGCACGAAAAGCCCAGCATTTCCCAAGAGAAAACAAAGAAAAAGAGAGAGGATTCTAGACCAGAATCACCACCAGCAGCCCCTAAACCACCACCGAAGGCATCACGAGGGCTCGGTCTCGGAATCATAGGGAAGAAAAAGAAGCCAGAAAAACTAGCATCCCTACAACCTGCTCCGAATCCAGAATTGGAATTATCAACAGAATCCGATAGCTCTGACCATGGGGTAAAGAAACACCCCCCTCCGGCATCATCTACAAAAGAGAAAGGGAAAGGGAAAGGCCAAAAGGAGATCACGGCAGAAACAGAAACAGAAACAGAAACAGACTCGGATTTGGATTTAGAATCAAACACAGCAACAGCAACAGCCGTCCGTCCCCCCCAGCCAAAAATCTCAACACCATCACGACCTCGTCCCGAGTCCCCTAAACCCAAGAAACCCGGTAGACTAGGTATCCTAGGTGGTAAGAAGAAGGAAAAAGCAAAGCAATCCACTCCTCCTCCTCCTTCTCGGCCTCAACTGGCTCTATCACCATCACCATCAAAAACAGAGAATACAGTGACCACCACAACGCCACCTCCTCAACCAAATCCCAAACGCACAGGCACAGGCAAAATGGGCGTAATAGGCGGCAAGAAGCATCTCCCCAGTTACGGCAAGGATGCCACAGAGACAGCTACTGGTGTCAATATTAAAAATAAGGAGAACAACGAGACCGGGAGAAGTATCTCTATGATGCCTAGTAGCCTTCCACGGTTCCCATCTCCTGCTGGCGCTGCTGGAACTGAAACTGTACCGGTGAAACCGAAGAAAGAGGAACCCGAAGAACCGCGGAGGGAGGAGACAGAGGAGGAAAAAGCGGATAGAAAGCGTGAGGAGCTGAAGAGGCAGCTCGAGGCGAGGAGTAAGGCGCCTGCGAAGAAGAAGAGGAGGTTCTGAAGTAGTTCTAGAACTTCATGAGCATCAACTCCTAGTTGAGTGGTTGATTAGTTAGTTGGGATGCATTGGATTAGTATCCTCTCAAGCCGCTTTTGTGGACTTTCAATCACTACTAGTACTCATGATGATGTACAGCCATGTCCACGGTAGAATATCTCTATTCTATGATAGTGATAGTAATAACAGTACAAACAGACTCCTCCAGAGGATGTCTAGGTATATAATGCATATATGATCCAGTCATGTCCATCTCCAGTAATAATGCGAGCTTTAACAGGTACAACTAGGTAAACCATGAGAACTTAATGGCCAAATAAACTCCTCGCTCAAAATCATCTTACAGACCAACAAACAGGCTTCATCAGAGAATCCTCTTCGAATTGGCCGGGTCAGAATGAGGTTCTCGATCTCGGCCTCCAGCTTTATTCACAGGAGTACGGACGGGCCCACTGCGCCGTATCCCCTGCTCACTGGGCGTAACCAACCTCACCTTCTTAGGCGACATCATCCCTGATGACAATGCTCCCGTTCCACTCTGTCCATGTCCTCCCGTGCTTGCAGAGGTAGAAGCACTACCACCGGCAGACGAGACACGGCCCAACATGCCCCTCACTTTTTCGACGGCTCTGCTCTCGCCTCGAGCCCAGGGATCGCGCTTCACAAATCCGATTCCTGCCTTGCGAGAGGCAGAGTCACGGCGTTTGGCTTCTTCTTGCAGAATGGTGCGATTGTGATCGCGACGCGGGCCGGGTCCGCAGTCGTGCATGCATCCCGCCGTAGCACAACCACCTTCACTGATGGAGGGATCACTCAGCCATGTGGTCATGCAGACAAGATGTCCGCCATGGCCACAGCCTTGGCACCAGGTCCAGAGGGCAGATCCCCTGGGTCGCGGAACGGTCTCAGATGCAGGGATAAGTTCGGTTGCAGACACGGAAGGAGAAGGTGAGGATGATGATAGAAGCGACGAAGGGTTGGCCTCAGAGCTGGAATCATCCCATGCCGAGGACTGTGCAGCAACCCATTCAGGGGGAGGGTCTATGCTCATGCAGATAGAGCAGGGCTGCTGCGCAGTACCGCAGCGATAGCAGCGAGTATTGTCACGCTTAGGGTTTTCATACGGCCGTCGGCAAGTGAAGCAGAAGACATTGATGTAAGAATCTACCTGTGCATATTCATACACGGCAGGGTAGGAGGGCACGCAAAAAAGTCGGAGTTCGGCTGCCTCGACGAACATTGACTGCCGCAGGAGTTGTTCGTTGTACGTCTGGAAGATAAGTGCACACTCCTCGTACGGAAGAATAATCTCGTGCTGGCGGAAAAGAATGTGAAGTTTCTGCAATAAGTGGGCTGCAGACTGAATATCGAGGGGAGTGCTGTTACGATAATGTCTGATTGCCTCCCTTAAGAGAACCTCGACACTCCAAGGTTTATCTTCCGTCAAGTCCGAAGTCATGGGAATACTGACTGTTGAGAGGTCATCCTTGCCTCCTGGTATTAATAATTTCGATGATCCTATAGCGGTCGGCGTAGTGCCATTACCGGAGACCTCAAGATGAGGCTCAGAAAAAAGCGCAAGGGGACTCGAAGGCCGTTGGAGATGAATATCATTGGTCCCGGAAGGGCTCTCTTCAAAAGAGAAGCTTTTCAGTGAGTCGTCCTCATCCGGCAAGGCCCCGCGGTCTGACGGCGAAGTCCCCTCTGCGTTCAAAGCTTCCGCGCTCGAATTGGGGTCAGAATCAGCCAGCATCGCCGCTGGTTTTGGAGAGAAGGAGGCCCCGACTGACTTGGTAGGGTGTGAGCTATCTGTGGATGCAGAGAACATAGGAAAGCTCTCCGAAGATTCTTGACGAGGAAAATGACCTGGTATAGGAGGCTTCGTAGGTTGCATAGACGGTTCTAAAGACAAGACCTTCTTCGGCAATTGTTTATAGTCGCGTAGGGCCGCCCTTTTGTCTTCTAGCTTTTGCTCATACTCATCCGAAGCGACTTTTGGGAAATCTTGATGATTCAGAATACGCCAATCGGCTCTACCAGCAATTGCTCGTGGCGCAGATCTCTGGTCAGCCGGTAGGGATGGAGGCCCAAGTTGAGACATTCGATCTGATACAGATTCCCCGGCATGGACAAACCCATCTTCACTTGACTCGGATGGACGGTGTCCGAGCTGTCGGCGGTCGACACTAGAGAACGATAGATCGTTGCTATTCGAGCTCAACACCGACGGTGGCAAGGCCTGTATACCCGCCCCGTCATCAAGGGAGTCAGCTGTATAATCGGTGGTTTCAAGAGAGTTCAGCCGAGAAGAGTCGGGTAATGGCCGCGCAAGGGGCGTCGTCATGTTCGACGTGCTATCGACTTCTGGAACAAGCGTTCGCTGCCCTTCCGCCTCTATAACTCCTTTGAACAGCCGGCTTTTCACCTTGTCATGTTTTCCTTCCTCTACATGCCGGGATCTTTCGGCCAGTGGACCTTCATTCGAGAGCCTCTTTCTTACTTTCCCATTTCCGCTCTGATTTAGCTCACGTTGCTCCCTAGCCCTTCGATGGAGGTCCTGGACTAGGGCGAATTTTGCAACTCTCCACGTCTGGGAGAGTCTGAATAGTGATACACTCTCTGCGCATTCTGCATTGTCGTCAAACGAGTCTAGCAGAGAAACCAACCGGTTTTCATCCGACTGCTTGTCATCAGGGTCTTCTATCAAAGGCGAATAATGGCGAGCGAGGTACCGGAGGAGAGAAGAGTCCACGGTGGCCCCAGGAACGGTCCCAATGACTCCCAGTTGAGACGGATCAGGATTGTCATTTTTTGAAAGCGACCTGTCCAAGGGAAGAACAGGGATCGTATCCGCGGCGCTAGGCGGAGTGCTGCCCAATGACTTAGAAGATCTAGACTTGCGTTGGCGCACAGAAGTGGTACTAGTGAAGAGCGTTTCATCGAGAACCTCATCCTTGGGGCTCTGGCCTAATGCCTTCTCACCATTATTGCCGCTCTCATTGCCATAACCCAAAAACTCGGCCGGATGGATCCCCAACGCACGCCGCGGGCGTTTCTGAACGAACGCCAGAACGTCTCCGCTAGGGCTCCAGGCCACGGAACACATTGGCCGCTGGTTGATAATTTGTGGGGCATATCGGACGTCGGTCTGGGTGAAAGCGCCAGCTTCGCCAACGGTCCATAGAAGGTCGTTCGAATGCCAAAGGAGATCCGCCGCCAGAGAGTCATACCGGTCAAACTCTCGGAAGGGTATATGCGGACGCTGAAGGTCCCAGAGATGAATGCGGGGATCTCCCTTATCATACGAGGTCACAGCCTGGGTCGACTGCCAATCGCCCACACCCTGCGACTGCCCAGACCAGCAGGGCGGACGCCATCGGACATTGAGAACGCCCTGAGGGGTGCGAAACTGGAAGGTGGGCTTCTGTCGTCGCTCGGCGGTGGAAGAAAAATCCCAGACCTTGACCAGCTTGTCTGTGCCGCCGCTGATGAGATATTTCCCATCAGGATGCCAGTCCACTGAAAAACAAGGCTTATCGTGGGCTGCTATCCTCAGCAACGGAGCGGCCGTTTTGCGATCATCCCACAACTGGATTGCCCCGCTGTCCGTAGCCGTAGCGAACATAACACCGTCCGTCGGCGACCATCTGATATCACGAATGGCATCGCTGTTACCGTTGAACATCTTCTGGCAACCGGACGTCATAGCTCCACGCTCCGTAGGAGGCATGCGCAGATCCCACATGCGAATCGTAGCATCCTGGCTACCGGAAAGAAGATAAGCAGGAAAGTGCGGATTGAAGGCCAGTCGATGAACCTGACGACTGTGTCCCTGGAACCGGGAGAGCTCAAGACCTGCGCGATTCAGGTCGTATGTCACAACAGGGCCGTTAGCGACGGCCGTGGCGATGACCGTGTCGTACGCGCCGTGTGACCACTTAACATCCCTCACAGTCAGCTGCTCCTTGTAGCGAGCGTTCAGGGCACCGGTGACGTTGTGGGTGGAGGCATAACTAATAATGGCATTGCGGATATTAAATTCCTCGGACGAATGGTCTGGAGAAACTCGAATGGTCTTCAGAATCTCCTTGCCTCCGACGACAGCGTGCGTGCGTTGAGGGGAGATATCCAAGGCCGCGATGGGGATGCCGGTTTTGTGGGTGACGGTCTGTGAGGCACCTGGTCTGGAGGTTGATCAGCCGGTATTGTATTAACAATAGATATATATACATATATATATATATTAAAATAGTAAACAAGAGTATTACAGAGATTTGGATCTGGTTGATCGAGAACCGGTGTCCGACGAACGGCTAGAGGTATGGGGACTAGGTGGTCTCGAGACAGACAGAAAAGGCTGTGCGAATCTAGCCAGAGCACTGGCAGCGCGATTTGAATATCTCTGATGGCTCTGCAGGGGATGTGGAGCTGGAGGAGGAGGAGGGGGAGGAACGGGAGAGCTGTCGCGGTTGGAGGGCTGAGACGAAGCGGACATGATCGATGTCGGACATTCTTGTGATTATTATGAAGGACGGGAGGGATGCAAGAATTAGCGGGTAGTCCATGTCAAGGGTGAGTCATTTCATCATGCAAAACGGAGGATGCATGGAGGAGGATAAGATTCATAAGATTGACGGAGGGGAGAGAGAGAGGTGGCGTCCAGGTGATGGATTACATCTCATACAGGATAGTTACATGGTAGACTACTAGGTACTACTAATCCTCCACACTTCAGCAAACTCCCATCCGGCACTCACGGACTGCTATTAATATCTGCGCTGAAAGAAACTTCAAACAAGCAGAATCATATGATAAAAGGCCCTTCTAGAATCTCGTTTCGCAGGGCATTATTAAAGAGGAAGACCTCCTCGATCCCTGCTGCACTCCCATCTCACTGCTCGCTGCAGCCCTCGGACCACCGCTCGACGCTGGTCCACGCCCCGAAAGCCCCCAGTGCTCGTGTGCATGTTATATATTGATTATCTCACATAGCTAGCTGCAGCACGCATGCACGCTGGCCTGGAGCTTCCCCGAACATCGGCCGCAGTCACGTAGAGATGGCTCTCAGTCTCAGTATCTCGCTGTGAATGGATCGGGCATCTCAACTTTCTTCTCTCTCTGTGCAGCTCTGGTATGCTGCTTTGTTATTATTGATTGATTACATCCTATATAATTGCCGAAATTAATAATTCTGCTTCTGGCTAACCCGCGAACCAGCGTCCAGCAGCTCAGCTCTCCGTCGTTCGTTGCTCAGAATCTCGGATCGTCGCTCGCTCTCACCGTCTCTTATCCCTCTCGACGCGATCGATACTCATCTGGGCAATTTCTTCCTTGCTCTCTCCATCTGGAAGACTGGTCTCCGGGTGTCTTGTCCTTTGCCTTTTTTTTTCGCCCTCGTTGGCTTTTTATTCTTACGGTCCTGACGCCTGTTCAGTGTTTACTCCGTCAATTGATCTGCTGCTTTGCGTGCTGTATTTTATTCGATTTCCGTCACGTCTTTTAATATTTTTTTTTTATTTATTTTTATTCCCTGTCCTTTTTTTTTTCTCGGCTGAAAGATAAAAAAGACAGCAGGGGGGCCAAAAAAATATCTTTTTATTTTCCGGATTCATTCCCTTGTCCCTTTTTTTTATGCTGTTAGCCTACTTGACCCGATATCCTCCTTGTCGTCGTCCATTATCCGCTCCGTATATATACATACCTCCCAACGGCCTTCATCCGGATCCCTCTCCAGCCCACGGAGTCGACACTCACCGTGTCATGGAAATAAATTGAACAGTCATTGGTTGCATGGTCACTGCGGGAGGACTGGTCGATATGGCTCTATATGGCACCGCTCTCGAGCTACGGGAGTTTCTGCACATCGTCTCTCCCATCTTTCTCTTTGCCATCTTCGTTGCCGCCTTCATCGCCAGCTCCGTGTTGGCAGCTAAGAACGTTGGTGGGAATAACCATGCTATCCGCACGGGGCCAGGTGGAAGACCGCTCCCTAAACGGTCAAGGAGTGCCGGGATGGTTCTCAGATTACCTCCCAAATACTCCGAAAATACCTTGTATCTATTCAAATGGTTGTCAGTAGGCGTTCTCTTGACATTCGCCGCCGACGCCGCTGTCAATATCGCCCATGTCATCGTCTTCAGATCCCAGCATTGGTGGCCTGGCCAATCTCTCGTGGTAAGTAGTGATCCATTGCCCTGCCCGAGGGTAAAATGGCGGAAGCTGATGCATCTCTTCAGATTTACATCGTTGGTTCGTTCTTCGTGTATATGGTCATCCTGGTGTCGTTGGTCGACACGAACCCTTCTCCGACCTTCACCCAATTCATCCCGTGGCTGGTCGCCACACCTGTAGAAGTCGCCATTTCGTGGACGTCCCTATCCATCTACACCACTGTCCACCATGAGCCGATTGTCGGAGACCCGAGGGGTGGCCATTTGAGAAAAAGCATCACTCCTTGGGAATCCGTCGAAGTGGTCGTCGACTGTATCAGAGTTCTGCTTCTTACCACCCTGATTATACTCTATGTATCCAAATCAAATACTCTGAAGTCTTCTACTCGAAGGACGGCCCAGCATCAGTCCAATGGCGCCACTGAAGAAACAGGGCTACTCGATCCTTCCCAACAGAGCACTACTAACGGCAATGGGTACGGTTCGACACATCCGGAGGCTGCCAAACCACCGCCCGATCCCTGGGTTCGTCCAACAACGACTCCCTTAACTAGCTGGTGGGAGTATCTTAGTGGTTATTCGTTGTTCTTCCCCTACCTCTGGCCGTCCAAGTCGCGCAGACTGCAAGTTGTCGTGGTTATCTGCTTTCTGCTACTTATCATCCAACGCGTCCTGAACATATTAGTCCCTTACCAGATAGGAGTTATCACCAACATTCTCTCCCGGGAAGGCGATGACTTCCGTGTCCCCTGGCTGGAAATTTGTTTGTACGTTTTCTACAGATGGCTACAGGGCAGTCAGGGTTTAATCGGCTCGTTGCGCTCATCCTTGTGGATCCCGGTCAGCCAATACTCATATATGGAACTGTCTACAGCAGCATTTGAACATGTTCACGGACTCAGTCTTGATTTTCATTTGGGCAAGAAGACAGGAGAGGTGCTCTCCGCTCTGAGTAAAGGCAGTTCGATCAATACCTTCCTGGAGCAGGTGACTTTCCAGGTAGTTCCCATGTTGATTGATCTCTGCGTTGCCGTTGGATATTTCCTCATTGCGTTCGATGCATACTACGCCCTCGTTGTCATCATTGTCAACTTCTTTTACCTTTACGTTACCATTCGTATGGCTCAGTGGCGGGCGGAAATTAGACGGCAGATGGTCAATGCGTCGAGACAGGAAGATGCTGTAAAGTGAGTTCTTTCGTGACATGCCAGTGTGCTTTTCTATCTCGTGGCTAACCATTTGGAATCTATATAGGAATGACTCCATGGTCTCCTATGAGACAGTCAAGTATTTCAACGCGGAACAGTATGAGTTCAATAGATACCGGGATGCAGTGTCGGACTATCAAAATGCAGAATACCACGTTATTTTCTCCCTGACTTTGATGAACACCTGCCAGAACACGGTGTTTATGCTTGGTCTGCTCATAACTTGCTTCATCGCCGCGTACCAAGTCTCCATTGGCCAACGTGAGGTGGGCCAATTCGTCACCTTGTTAACGTACATGGCACAGCTTCAAGGACCGCTGAATTTCTTCGGTACCTTTTATCGGTCGATTCAGTCAGCACTGATCAACGCGGAGAGATTGTTGGAACTCTTCAGAGAGCGGCCAACTGTTGTCGATCGTCCATCTGCCACTCCTCTGCCCGTCTGCAAGGGGCATATATCCTTTAACAACGTTGAATTTTCATATGACACTCGCAAGTCTGCGTTGAATGGTCTCACGTTCGAGTGTAAACCCGGAACTACAACAGCATTAGTTGGTGAATCGGGAGGAGGCAAATCGACTGTCTTCCGCCTGCTCTTCCGCTTCTACAACGCTGGAAAGGGATGCATTCGGATTGATGGCCATGATGTAGAAGACATCACAATCGACTCACTCAGACGTCATATTGGTGTTGTGCCACAAGACACCGTGCTCTTTAATGAGACTTTAATGTACAATTTGAAATATGCCAACCAGAATGCGACTGATGAGGATGTCTATGCGGCGTGTCGGGCAGCCAGCATTCACGACAAGATCATGACATTTCCGGACGGCTACCAGACAAAGGTTGGAGAGCGGGGTCTACGGCTCAGCGGTGGAGAGAAGCAGCGCGTCGCCATTGCCCGTACGATTCTGAAAAATCCTCGAATCATTCTGCTCGATGAAGCTACTGCAGCACTGGACACCGAGACTGAGGAACATATCCAAGGCGCATTGTCTACATTGTCTAAAGGCCGTACGATGCTTGTGATAGCCCATCGGCTCAGCACGATCACCACTGCGGATCAGATATTGGTTTTACATAATGGCCAGGTCGTCGAGAGTGGCACTCACGACCAACTGCTCGCCTTGCGGGGTCGCTACGCAAGCATGTGGCGGAAGCAAATCCGTGCACAGAAGGCAGCCGCTGAGGCACAGGTCCTTCAGGATCGAGCCGAACGCCTCCGCAGCGCGACACATGGGGTAGGAGATGACAGTTCCAGCAGCCAATCTGATGAAGATCGAAATGGGAACGTTTGTCCCGCAGAAGCCGGTCATGCGCATGGTCGCCATCCAGCTAAGCGGTCTACATGATGGTGCCCATCGGACTGCTCGAAGAATCTTCATAAAATGAAGAAATAGAACCCTTTTTATGAGGTGGGAAGGGAGGCAGTATAGCCAAGCCAACACCCTAAACGAATGAGCAAGCATGCGGAAACATGGCGGTCCGGTTTCCAAGCTTGCGAGCGATTCCTACAAAAGGACGGACATTTTTTTTCTATACGGATTTTTTCCTGAAAATTATACGGGAGTACTCACGACATGAACAACCCTCACTACGTATCACACATGTTATCAGTTCTACGGTAACGAAGGGCTGCTTTGGAAAAAAAAGAATAACCAGACCGCACTTCACTGTGTTCCAGTGGAACCATCAGTCTGTGTAATGACTAGACTTTAATGAGGCTGTATAGACCATTAATGGGTTGCAAGAAGAGGACCAGTCAGTTGGGTGTATAGGTGAGATTAGCCGCAATGCAATGCTGGATTGGTGTGCAAAAGTGACTTAAGTGACTATTGGGAAGGTGTAAATATAGTCGAGGATGAAAATACTACTTGCTCAGAACAATCAACTGTCGTTAACATTGGATTATTTATTTTGCTATTTTCAAACCATCCCCAACCTTTTCTCATAAGACACCTACTCTTCTCGCTGCCTTTCTGATGTAAAGTATAAAATAGCAACTACTAACCGACCCCTACGGTAACCTTCGGGGTCGGTTACTACTACTACTGAACCATCTTAGTTCCACAAAACTCCGTGATGAAGGCACTTCTTGAGTGCTCACAACAAATAACGAAAGTATTATCTCCTTTTTTCATTTATCAGGTTTACGTTCACGTCTAGGGAAATTTGAATCATAACCTGACTCCTAAGGCGTCCGCTGCATGCGCAATGCCCAGTCTTGATGAGAACGTCCCATCACGAGCTCCAGACGGGCCCGGAGATACAACATTTACCCCAACCATTGATGCACGTGCTTTCCTACTCAGCTGGTAAATCTTTAGATTTTAACATTCTCACAGGCCCGAAGCAAGGACGATACGAACATATTCCCGCTCGATGGCGTTGATATTGAGAGCGTTTCAAACAAGGAATTAGTGCAGCTTGGGGAGACTGCTCCTGTGCTCTACCAAATCGGCTCAAGCAAAGTCCTACGAATTTCTCACGACCTGGTTTTGAAATGCGGGCCTTTAGTTCTTCCCAGTGAGGGTAGAGCTCTAGAGTTTGTCAGAGCGGAGACCTCAATCCTAGTTCCTCGGGTCTACCGCTCATTCCAGGTGGACGACCCCTTTGAGTACTATGGGACGAGAGGCTATTTGGTCATGGATTATGTCAAGGGCCAAAATCTTGGAGATTGTTGGAAACATCTCACCAAACATCAAAAGGACGATGTGATCTGTCAGACAGCGGTGATAATAAAAAAACTTCAATCGATTCCGATTCCAACAGCCGGTCCTCTTGGAGGGGGTCCTTGTCAGGGTAAATTCTTCACAGACTATGGTGCCGGTCCATTCAATTCTGGGGCCGAGATGGAAGCTTGGTTTAACCACAAACTCAAGATATGCAAAGATTATAACCAGGCCCCCCAAGATATCCCCTCATTTGACTTTCAGAAGTTCGTGCTCGTGCATCAGGACATCAGTCCTCGAAACATGATATTGGACGCTGCTGGAAAGGTTTGTTTGATAGACTGGGCACATGCGGGTGCTTACCCTCCTGCATTTGAGCGAGCCGCGATAGTCGAGCAATACAGATTCCCGGAGTTCAACGAAATGATACTTCATGTCATGCCAGAATACGACGTTGAGGTGCGGCAACTGCAGTCAATTTGGTATGGATTATCAGTTGCCAGTCTCGCATAATCACCCACTTCTTTCTCCGTCACTTGAATCGGCCGTTACGAACAACCCCCATCGAACACTGCAGGATGAGCCCGCAGGGGTAGAAAGCAGGCAAAATATACCCCCAGTTAACTTAGGTATTTATTTTCAGGTTTATGCTACGGATGTACGGTGTCAATAGAGGAAGGAAGAAAACTTGATGCTATTTTTTTCTTTTTTTTCAAATGTACGCTGCTCTATCTACCTTAACTGTTCTTTGTTCTCTAGTTGCATTATATAATCCATTCTGTGGAAGCGAATGCCGAATAAGGAAGTCTGATTGATTGACTGGTTGTTTTTTTTTTTTTTTTTTTTTTTTTGCTAGAGCGAATTGTAGCTATATACACACTGGCAATAAGGGGGCCCCCATGACAGACCAATTATATCACGGTATAAGAGAGTCAATCAGATAGGCCGCTAAATGGAGCGCTATATCAACCTCACTCCGACACATTCACTTCGACCGAGCGCGCGCAAACCCCCTTGTATCTGCTCAATAATAGCATGTATTTATTATAGTCAGCCCCTTGGCACGTAAGTTTTGGCCACCCTCATCTATGTCTCAGGCTGCTCCCGGCCGACCATACTAAAAGCGCCGGGCTGCAAAGCCAAGAACGAATATACGTCCGTCATAGGAGTAGTAGAAGTAGTAGGATTCACATGAGTCTCTACCTTCGGCTGCAGCAATGTGTTGGTGTTTGTAGCCAATCAAAACAGTACGCGCCAGAGCACAATGCTCCGCCTTTGTGCTGATTGTCGGAGTAGCATTCTATGTAAATCTCGGAGTCTCCCATAGTGGCCGCGGCCCAGGGCCTCCACACACACACACAGCGCCTAGGGCAGGGCGGTGATTCGCTGGACCACTATGCTGGGACCACGCCGGAGCTCCCGGAAGATAGAGACACTGGAAGCCTGGACGCTCAATTCCTTTCTGGATGTAGCATGGCGTTGACCAGTTCAAATAAGGATGGGGTCGAATAGACTACATTAGCTGTAGCCAGTCTATTATTTACCATCTAAATTTCGACATGCATGTCCTCAAGCAGCAGCGGAACGTGCTGGGGATAGGAGCGTTGGCATGGGCGGACAAAGTAAAACCGGGCACGAGCGAGGCAAATGTGCGAATGGGCAGAGAAGGATTAACATCCACTGATTTGCTGATGAGGTGGGCCGATGTAATGAGATTGGTTTGGTGTTTCTGTACAAATATTCTGCAGGATCTATGCACTGAGCTCAAGAGTCATTCACCTTGCATTGATTGTTGTGATGAAATTTTATCTGAGCTCTATACAGTAATTGCGGCACAGTTAGCCTCACAGGCACAATGCTTAGGATGGTCTATTCATTTGCTGAACCCACTGCGCCAGAAACACGGCATAGTTGGTGATCTGTCTGGAACCACTGTCACGGAACTCAACTAGACGATGAATAGGATGCTATTCAGCTATCTAGGCAGCTATCGACGAGAACTTCAAGCATGGAGAGGAAGGAAAAAGGGAAGAGATCTACGTGAAGCTGGACGACGTACTCCTATCCACGCGCCACGCTAATCCAAATAAGGAAGCTCACGTGCTCGTCCTGGTCTACATGGCAAGGGCCCTGACACTATCTGCCTATCTGCCACCTAGATTACTTCCTTTTTTGGAGCTGCTTCTCATGTGTAGCCTGTAAATCCCGGCTCTCCTTGGCAAGATTAATAGTGCTATTCATAGCCATCTCACACCTCTTAGCAAGCTGGTTTAATACAGTATTTATTTGGACTTGGGGGCTTTATATGATGATGTCTTAGAAGCTTTTTGCTTCTCTGATTACTTAATATTACATGGGTATTTTTGGTGCTGGATTGGTTGGTCAGCTCCGGTGTGGATATCTTAAGGAAACTGCTAATAGAGTCCTTCCTTCCTGTTCAATTGAATTTCTTTTAGAAGGCATTTTTGGTGATATAGTGGATAGTTGTAGTATTTGAAATAATTGAGACGCGAAAAAAAGCGGTGGCTGCGTCACTCTGTTGGATCACGTGGGATTATGCCGTATAGTTCCGCCCTCGCTGACCCTTTTCACCACGTAGGCCTATCTAGCTAATAACAACCAACGATATACCTCCATTACACTCGCTTGTGGATCACGTTACACTAGGCGCGAGGTTCATCAGCCGCCGGAGCTTTCTTCATCTGCTCCTTTGCCCTCGCAACAACGTCAACCCAGATAGGCGGCCGCGAATACCGTTCATTGCCTACATCTTCAGCATCCAAACCCCATTGTAACAATTGATCCTCGCTGCCCCATTCACCTGCCGCCATCAGCCCGACAGGAACTTGTCCTTCCTCGGCGCTTTGCCCCTCTGCAAACCCTGCCGGTACGGTGATGGCGGGGATGCCCGTGAAATTGGCTAGCCAAACGTATTCCATCGCTCGGAGCGTCTGGTCTCCATCGCTGACTCCATAGATGAGCTCTGACTTGCTTTTGATGCGCCACCCCGCGCAACCGGTCGTGGGCGTTACGATCACCATGCCGGGATATTTCTCCCACAGGTATGCGAGGTGTCGCATGAGGAGCTGACGAAGCTTCTGGGCAAGCAGATAATCTGTGGCCGGTGTTGCTCTTCCTAGGGCGAGGAGAATCCGATTCGCTGCCGTGAATCTACTGGTTTCTGGAAGGAGAGCAGCTGCGTCTGTGAGGATGGTGATAGCGTGCGCAGCCTGACCTTCCACCAGAAACGGAATCTCTATGGGAATAAGAGTGTAGCCATGCACCGAGACAAGTCGGTCCAGAAGTGATTGACATAGTTCCTGCACGCGTGGGGCCGCCTGGGCAAACCATGCCTTTGGTATTCCGAGCACCTTAGGCCGTCCCAGGGAAGGAGACAGACAAAGGGGCGATGGAGACGGGAATGCAGAAGAGGAATGTGGCATCGCTGCCACATGGTAGATAGCGGACAGAGAGCGTATGTCAGCAGCGAGTGGCCCATTTACCGAGACTGTATTTGCATGATTGACTCCCGGATGATGCGAGAGCCGGCCGTGTGTGGGCTTCAAACCCATAATAGAGCAAAAGGACGACGGAATGCGAACGCTTCCACCACCATCGCTCCCCAATGCCACGGGCACCAGGCCGGCACTTACGGCGTAGGCACAGCCGGACGAGCTTCCTCCGGTGTAGTAGTTGGGGTTATGTGGATTTGTTGGTGTTCCGTAATGGATATTGGTCCCCGTTGTATCTAGGGTCTGTTAACGAGAGAGTACGAAGAAAGCGATTCAGCGCAACCATACCTAGTCCAAATTCATGCATGGAGAGCTTCCCGAGAATGATGGCTCCAGCTTCCTCCATCTTCCTCGCGCACCAACTGGTAATGGATCCTTCGGAAGTCACTTCGCCAGTGTAATCGTTCAAGGAGCCCAGGCAGGACCTGTAGCCATCGAGATCGTATTCATCCTTCACGGCAGTCGGGACACCATCTAACAGTCCCAAGGAGCGGTTTTCCCGGTATCGTCGAGTGGAGGCTTCAGCTGCGACCAGCACTCGATCAACCTGGCAATCGAACCAGGCAGTCGAGTACTCGCTCGCAGGTGAAATGTCCCGGCGAATCAAGGGGATAATAGCCTCAGCGACAGCCGTGGGCGTCAATTCTCCGGATTTATACAGAGAATGATAGTCCGCGACCGAGTAGTATCTGGCGGACGGGTTACTGTTCCGCGACCAGAGTGCGGGATCGGTTGGACCCTCCCCATTCCCGGAATGGTCGCGATCAACGTTGCTGTCATCGAAGGGATCCTCGATCGGAATCACGGTGGGATCGAATCTGGACTCGTATGTTTGGATATCTTCGCGAATCTTGCGCAGACAGTCAAAGCCCGCATTACGCCAGAAGTACTGGGGCAGGAACAGAACCCATTCCATCCTACGCGATAATTATCCAGGTGAGTTTTTACCCATTCGATCATCCAGAGCAGGGAGGAAGACGAACAGGAAAGCTGCGACGGGCAAGATAAACCCCCTCAGCGCAGGGTTCTGCTTCCTCTTATTCTGGTACGGGACATCCGGGCTGTTTTGATCAGCGATGATTCATTCATTATCGACTATCTGCGTCTCTTGGGATGAGGTCCAACTTACCCTCTTCTAGGCTCTGGATAGTTGATGAATTTCTGTCGGTTCTTGATATCGCTGCCCATATTTTCACTGGGAAGAAAGAGGTCGAAAAGAAGTCGAGAAGAGGAAGTCCAGAGACATTGCACACGACAACTATAACAGGGGCACGGATCTGAGAGGGATCAGACAACCGCAGTTGCTGCTGGCTGCCTCGGAGGCAGCGTTCAGGCAAAAATTACATCCAAAGCATCTGGACTGCAGAGTTTATTATTGACGGTCTACGTATTGCTGTTGGATTCCCGATTCGCCAGAAACTCATAGAGAATCCTCCCAATATATCATGATGTTTTCATCTACTGTCTTCTCATCCCATCACCTCACTATCCAGGCTTCCACCCATACGCATTAGCAAGAACCCAGTTTACATATTGTAGTAAGCATAGATATCCCGGTTATAGGCTTCTTCGCATACAAGGGCAGCTGGACGCGTCCTTGGTCGGCCGTCCAACCGTCCACCTGAGTCGGCGCAGAGAGTGACCTTCATCGACACCGACGGGGCCATCCTCGGGGTGCATCGCAAGATCCAACCTACTTATTCAGAGCGCTACCTGTTGGGACAAGAAGACGGGCGACATTGACAACGTTTGACACCAGGGCAGGATACGCTATAGACTAACTATGCGTTGTTACCACCATCGGTACTCGTTCTGTATATATTGGCAACGGTTACTCAACATGCATGATGAATAGGATAACACACCGCAATGTAACCTCAACAGAGTGAACAACAGCCTTTCCTGGCAAAGCCCGAACATCTTCATCCCCGAGGAATAATCCCACCTCTTACTGCATTGCATGGCATATCGTAGCTCTCATCTGCCGCACATCTGCCAATTCCAATGAACCGTTTCTGATTGGCCCGGTCAGTACAGCTCTGACGTCGGAGTTGTTTTTATTATTTTGGAGTGATCAGTCTCCAAGCTTTTTTTTTAACCAGTCTCCTCTGCCCGTTTGAAATGCATCCAATTTCATGAAGATCGATATCCTGAATCGTTCGTCCCGTTGAACGAAGAGCGACGACCTGCAAAAATGCACACTCCATCCCCCCAGCTTCTCCGTGCTCTGCGCACATCCATAACATCCTCTACCCTCCACCGAACAATCGCGCCACAAGTACCATCAACCTCATTAATCGCAGGAGCTGTACAATTATCACCATCAAAATGTGTTCCTCCCCACCGCAACAACAGCAACATGACCCGTCCAGCGCGCATGATCCCACGCGCTCACACCAACAAACCAACCACCCATGACCGCGGCCCAAGATCGTCAGAGCAGACGCAGACTGATTTTGCCTGTCTCGATGTCCTGGGTAATGTACCTGCGCCGACAACGGCTATTGATGCCTGTCTGGATGATGGATTTCACCTGGATAACGGGGTAAAAGTCACGGGCGGCGACGGAGTCTTGCTGGTTGGCGGGGAGGCATTTGCGTGGCGGCCTTGGAGGACCATTGCTGCTGGTAGCGATAATAGTAATAGCGATTCAAAGACAGCCATGGTAAACGCTAAGGGTCAATTCGAGGTTGATGAACAGGCTTGGGGGCTGTTGGGTTTGGTGTGGCCTCGGCCTGGTGAGTTCTTGTCTTGCGTTATACGTGATATTCTATTAATCTATTCTCACTGATATATACAATACTTGTCTATTTCTTCCATGCTGACGGTTATTTCGACAACAGACCTCCTGATTCTGGGAATGGGTGCTTCAATGCTACCCCTCTCCCCCGAGACGAAACGGCAGATTAATTCGCTCGGCATTCGGGTTGAAGTGCAGGATACTAGGAATGCGGCTGCTCAGTTCAACCTGTTGGCTACCGAGAGGGGCGTTTCGGAGGTTGCTGCTGCGCTCATTCCAACCGGGTGGAGGGGGCGATAGAATAGTTTCGTTCGCTGTGGAAATGTATATGTACATGATAATTTATTGGTATCTTCGCGTACACGCTACGGGCATAGGGGAGCAAGGTAGAAATTGCGTAATGAGTAACTAGATAAACTAACTTATAACTGATCTTCTCGTATGAAATTTGTTTTTCTTCTTAGGACGCTTACATGAACTCCTACCATCAAGCAACAGCCGGGCTAGCTCAATCGGTAGAGCGTGAGACTCTTAATCTCAAGGTTGCGGGTTCGACCCCCGCGTTCGGCTTTTCTTTTTACATTTTTTTATGTTTCAATCATATATCTCCCTCCCTCTCATCTTTCTTTTTCTGGGGTTTTATTTTTAAATTTGTTATCTTCGTAATGTACCCAATATATTAACAATGATTGGCAGTACGCAGGTCGAATGCGAGATGATGGAGTCCTTTTTATCTCATTTGTGTTACGCCTGTCCTGTTCTGCCTTATATATATATATATGTGAGAGGGCAGTGTGGTGGTGCCTTTGGCTCTACACCTCTTAGTGCAGCGGTTAAGCTTCAGAATGCACCTGGAGGTCGCACCATGACATTGGCCACAGGGTTGATGCATGACTACAGTGCAGGCTCACATGCATCTCCATTGTGCCGGGGGCACTGCGAAACCCCGGATCTCCCATATTTCCTATCTTGGAACACCGTAGAACCGCGGTCTCCGACATACTAATGTATGGTGGAGCCCGCGGCCGGAGAGTACTCAATGGAGGGTTTCCTCCCAGATAGTTACAAGAAATCGAGCATTCTTTTGGTTTCTAGGTTGCTTCGCTAGTATCGTCATCGTCATATAGAATGGAGCGAGGCTTCATCGTCGTTGTGTTTCTTCTTTTATTATATCGTTTCATTACTAGATCGTTCAGTGTGTCCATCCCAGAGATCCCTCGATCACAACCCGGTCCCTGTCGCAGGGAACAACGCACGTACGCCCCCCTTTACACCATGTGAGCCTTATTCCCTTTGATGGGTAAATCCCTCTAGCACATGGCAAGATACAAAAGCCTTCTCATCGGCAGCGTAGCCATCTTCCCTTTTCTTTTCCTTTCCATGCTTGATTATTTTGCTTGTTTACCCGCACCTAGGAGATAGAAATAGAAATTAACCATTAAATTCCAACCCTACAGTTTGAGACCTCACAACTACTAGGAGCTCAGCCATGTTCCTGGGTGTCCCAAGAGAATGAATAAGAGCCCCTAAAGAAGACTAGCCGCTACGCCCAGGCATATTGCAAAACTCACGGCCAACGCCCGAGTACTCTGTCTGTCCTATTTGTTCCATCTGTCCTGTTTGTTACCGACTTGCCTGTTTCCTTCCTTGTACACAAAGCCCCTGTCTCTTGAAAATACCCCACAGTTATCTTCATCCTCTCAAGGAATTCTTCGTGTATCTAGCATACAATATTCTATATCCAAACCCTTACACAGGGAAGATGGTGGACGCCAAGGCGATGGAGGCCCTGGAGCACCAAGGGCTTCTGTCCCTAGAGCATCCCATGGTGGTTGATACTGTACATAATATGCTGGAGACCACCCCTAAAGCAGAGTACTTGTGCTGGATCAACGCGATCAATGCAATGACTGCATTCTGCGGTGTGGAAGAAGGCCGGCCCACGCGTCAACCCACCCAATCTGACTGCCGGCCTTTACTCGATGACGATGGATCCTGTCCTCCTGCCAAACGGCAACAGTGCTTGTCAGAGGACAGGAATTGAGATTGCTCCACGCCGAGCCATGGAATCTGTGCAGATCAATTCTCCAGAACAGCGACCCTGTGAAGTCTCAACTGTAGGAAAGGGATTTATAGATAGTTTCTATTTCTATCTGCTAGATACAGGCAGACGAAATAAAGGTGACCAAAAATGGGGAGGGTCAGAATGGCTAGCAGGCGTGTGTGAATGTAGAATAATGATGGCAGCAGATAGGGAGGATGTAGGAGAGGGAAGGCGTGGGTGGGAACATGGTGGTAGTAGCTACGATACGCGGTAAGCGGGTGGTATACCCAAGATGGCAAACTAACTGGAAGAGGGAATTCACAGGTTCTGACACTACAGCAACCAGAGAAACCATTTCTCCTCTAATTTGGACCTTCGATTATTACTTCTCTTTGAATGATCTAAACGAACCACGTCAACCATCCTATCACGGCTCAGAAAAGAAGCTTGATTGACTTGGACATGTTAATTCCCGAACCTAAGGCTGCAAGACTGGAAACTCTTATGTCGGAATCCAAGGCATCAAAATTTAATGCACATACGCTGAAGGAATTACAGGCCGCCATTGAGGAGAATCCAGAGGTTGATTTGACTACAAAGATGCCCATGAACACTCTGCTCGCCTGGCCAGATTTCAAAAAGAATCCCATAATAAAGCCAAGGAAGCTCCCGGTAAGCCAGACAAGAGACCGCGACCACGCAAAGCTAATGGGTATTTTCTTAAGAAGGGAAACTCGAAATCATCAGAAAATCTGAGGCCGACATCCGGGACTGCCTCCGCGCTTCATATTCCATCAAAATAATGCGGCCTCTATCTCCAGCCGTGTTGAGGCTACTTGAAGAGGTGTCTGAAGTTGCAGACCCTCTGCCAGGTGGCATCTCCCAACGAATGCTTGAAGTTATGTATAAAAGTGAGATTCTCTGGAAGTCTTCTCTCCCTAGCCAGATGGCGGTTTTCAAGTGTGCTGCCGACATCGTTGTGAAGGCAATGCAGAATGTGGATGATGACACGGAATATACCACGCTACAATATCTTGAGCATCACAAGCCGACAATCCCAGCTTCGAGACCTCTAGGATATGTGCAAATGAGTGGGATAACACTCATTTTTCAGACCTATAAGCCTTCAATGACCCTTGCAGCAGTGTGGTCTCAACTGGAGAGTAGCCAAAAGGCCTCCATCAGAGATCAGCTGAATGTGATCATGTCAGATCTAAGGTCTATAACTTTCCCTGATGGGTCAGCACTTGGGGGAGTGGCCGGTGAAGGTTGCAAAGACATTAGAAGACATCTTCGACGGAGTGAGAAGCCAATTTGGAGTGCCAGCGGGTTTGAAGACTTCTTATCCTCAAGCCCTCATTCTGGTGGTCAGGTGTTTGTCGACCTCCTTTGTCAACTCTACCCGCATCAACCCGAAAAAATGAAGATTGTCTTCACACATGGTGATCTCCGACCAGACAACATTACAGTGGACATGGATGAGCACAATCAGTGGGTTGTCACTGGACTCCTTGATTGGGAGTATAGTGGCTTTTACCCAGAATATTGTGAAGCCTTCGAATGCACCAACTGCATAACCCCATATGAGGAGGATGACTGGTATCTGTTTTTGCTAGATTGTATCTCGTTAAAACGATATGCTCATTTGTGGCTCCTCAACCGAGTTAGAGAGACCAGGGTTGTGTAAGAATGGCACCCGGCTTTGTGCATGTGTCAAATGATTGCTCTCCTCCTTTTCTTCAATATCTCCCTCGCGTCAATGTACTCGTCATCGGGGGCCGCAGTTTCTGGATGCGGTTCCTAAAGGCAAACAACACAGTCAACATCGTCCGCTCTCTCCGGGTACATCAAATATGCGATTCCGTGCTTCTTGCTAAATTCGCGTTCCAACCGCTTTACAGAGATTGTTTCCACTGTAGTGGCTTCCCGGTATGCCCGGGGTCCTTGGCCTCGAATCCGGGTCTGGATTTGTCTCCATCAACCATGGATACCCAAGTATCATGTCATGCCCCGATAGACCCACTGCATCAAACATGTGACAAATTTCGCGGGTAGGGTCATTCCTATCTGTGGTCGCTACGCTGAGCTTGTGTTGGCCATAGGAGTAAACATCATGGCCATCAATTGAACTCGCGGTGGCCGATGTGAGGTCTCAATCTATGGGAATAGGATTCAATAGATAATTTCTATCTCTATCGCCTAAGTACAGACAGGCAAGCAAAACAATTAAGCATGGGAAAAGAAGAAAGAGAAGATGGCTATGCTCAAAGGAAGAGGTTTTTATATCTAGCCATGCGTGATAAAGGGAAATATCCATCAGAGGGAGTAAGCAAACATGCCTTAAAGGGATCTTCCATGTGAGCCTTCATAGGGCCTGGGTAATTTGAAAATGGTTAACCAGACACTGATGTCAAGCTAATCCGCGCAAATTAGAGGTGAGCAGCTCATTGTGGCACATGACCGATCACTGAGCAGGGCCGGAGTGATTATTAAGCAGACACTGAGCGCTCACTCATGATGTGAAGTACCCTCATGAAGGTGGTGGCATCCAGAAGGGGAAAGTCTCCCTGATGGTAGTATAAAAATGCTGTATAGTGGCATATAAACACAGTAGATGGGGCCTTTTTGAGAACACTTTTATGATTGCAGAGAGCTCTACTTGGCAATCCCCGGTTGCTGCAATAGATAAGCAGAATGGAAAGTGACATATCCCGTGCGCCAAGACTCACACCTATCCCTGCCTCCATGAGCTGCATCGCACCCATTCATCATCCCTGGGAACCACAACCTGCACTTCCCTGAACACCAGAACCTAGTGGGATTAGATCCAGGGATCTGATCTGCTTGACTATGGCGCAGGACATGTCTCTTCTTCCTCCACGCCCCTCCTCCGCCGGCTCCTCGATTCGGAACGCCAATGCGGAAGAAGAAGCCCTGCTAACCGGCGAACGAGTCAAGCGGGAGCAACTGCAAGACAACGGCAGACGCGCTTTCTGGAAGGAGGTCGGTCTTTTCGCTTGGGCTTCCATAGCCACGATCGCTGTCATTGTCATCGCCGTCGTCTACCAGCATGAGATAGCCAAAATCCATCGCGCGAACCCCCCTTGGAGTCCCAAGGAGAAACCCACCGGCAAGCGCAACCTGATCTTTATGGTATCCGATGGTATGGGACCAACCAGTCTTTCTATGACAAGGAGTTTTAGACAATTCACGGATGGCCTACCCATTGATGATATCCTGGTCCTGGATAAGCACCATATCGGGACGTCGAGGACGAGGTCCAGCTCCAGTTTGGTCACGGATTCCGCGGCCGGGGCGACGGCATTTTCATGTGGTGATAAGAGTTACAACGGGGCTATTTCTGTGCTCCCGGATCATTCGCCGTGTGGCACGGTGCTCGAGGCAGCTGCGTTGGCTGGGTACAAGACTGGATTGGTGGTGACGACGCGGATCACGGATGCGACACCCGCATGTTTCGCTTCCCATGTAAACATGAGACAGTACGAAGATAAGATTGCGGCGCAAGAAATTGGCGAGCACCCCCTGGGTCGTGTTGTCGACCTCATACTGGGTGGAGGACGGTGCCATTTCCTGCCTAACTCGACCGGTGGAAGCTGTCGGGGCGACGATCGAGATTTGATTGCAGCTGCGCACGGGAATGGATTTAGCTACATAAATGACAGAGCCGGGTTTGATGCCTTGAAGCAGGGAACGGCGGCAAAGTTACCCCTTCTGGGTCTCTTTGCGGATCAAGATATCCCTTATGAGATTGACCGTCGCAGCCAAAACGATGTGTATCCGTCTCTGGAGGAGATGGCTCGCACAGCATTGACAGCACTTAGCGAAGCTACCAAGGACAGTGAGCAGGGGTTCTTCCTTATGATCGAAGGCTCCCGAATCGATCATGCTGGCCACGGTAATGACCCCGCGGCGCAGGTTCACGAGGTCCTCGCCTACGACAAGGCATTCGCTGCAGTTGCGGAATTCCTGGAAAATGATTCGACTCCTGGCGTTCTTGTAAGCACGTCAGATCATGAAACCGGTGGCCTTGCGGCAGCGCGACAACTGCACAAGTCATACCCGGAGTACAAGTGGTTCCCGAGTGTTCTTGCCAATGCCAACCATTCTGTAGAGTACGTTTCTGGTAAGTTCCACGAATACCTCCAGGACCGGGGTAGGGAAGACAGTGAGTCGAAGCAGCGGGAGTACGTCGTCAAGAACCTCCTGGAGAAAGGGCTGGGCGTGACGGACCCTGCGGACTGGGAGGTGGATGCTTTGTTGGATGCGGGCTCAGAATTGCCTCCGAGTTACGTTTTTGCGGATATCATCAGTCGAAGGGCACAGATTGGCTGGTCGACTCATGGACATTCAGGTAAGTTTAGTTTGCGATATTTATTCTTTTCTTCTGTGTAACCACTTGGGTGATCTAACATGTTTGTGCCACCAGCGGTCGACGTCAATATCTACGCCTCGTCCCCGAGAGATGCCTGGCCACTGGTCGGCAACCACGAGAACACCGACGTCGGGTCCTTCCTCGCCGATTACCTTGATGTAGACCTGGGGAGCGTCACCAAGAAACTTCAGTCGTTGGCGTATTGGTCTGGTGGCTTGGAGAATATCCAGGCGGAGAAGATAGAGAAGTTCAGCTGGATGGGTAATCCTCTTGGCGAGAATGTGAGGACGGAGGGACTGGACACATATCATGGAGAGTTCAAACGCTCTACTGAAGGGGATGACGAAGTGGTATTCACTGGAGGCTGTGAATGCGGTGCTGTTCATTGAGAAACAATCGGTCTCGGATAAATCTACGGAGTTTGGTGTTGCTTGAGGTGATTTTCGGTATTCTTCTGTATTCTTCAACTCTCGGGTTAGCTCTAGGAATATCCACAACAATTCCTTGTGTCTAACGGTTAACCACACTCAATCCTCCCTCGCTGCAGATATATCTATCTGGCTGTATGCTGATTGTACTTCATCACTCTTCTCGACGGCACAGAAATACTAGTAGTCCCAGAAGAACATTTAAAACAGCGAACCCCAAGACAAGTCCACCGCACCACATTGCCCCCGATCATAGGCTCGCAATCGGGAGGGTTAAAAGGGAGAGAGGACATAGTTTCTGCATCCACATTTGCATTGGTCCTCATCGCCTTGGTATCCGCATCTGTACAGGTACCCGCGTTCGTGTTCGTGCCCATATCTTGATCTGTCTGTTCCTGTGTCCCTGAATCCAACATCGTTTCAAGCTCTCGCTCGCGGGGATCATTAATCCGATTCAACTCCGCCAGGATGTCACGACAGAAGATGTAGAGTTCGAAGTAGGTATGTTTGCATGGTGTGTGGTGGATTGCTGTGTAGAGGCACATATCCTTCTTCTTCACTTTGCGTTCGTCTTCTGTTGTATATGTATATATGGATGAATTAGAATGAAAATAAATGTAACAGTTCTTTTGTCCCCTCGTAGATTTTAAATCGATGCTTGAATTTGGCTTGAACTCTTCAATTGATATGGATATTTCTATAGTATAGGAGCAGGAAGAAAAGAATAAATAGGATACCATGTCACAACCTAAGGAGAAAGAAAAGAGAAAAGCCATATTTATCTCATATGAGGATGGAAAGTAGCAGCTCCTTTCATCTTTTCTCTTTTCTTTCTGGAAGACAGACTGCTGATATCCCGCACCTGCAACTGCAAGGAACTGAGACCGAACAGAAAGAGGAATAAGAAGTAAACTGAACGTTCAAAGAAAAGAAAAAACAGATAGAACATGATTTGTCCATTTCCATCTGCATATCAGTCTCATAAATATGTAGAAATAAAGCTGGAAGCCCTATGCACCATGCAGGGTTGCGATAGAATTGAACTATATAGAAATGATTATATAAAGAGTGAATTGAATACAATTATGAGACACTGTAATAATATTCTTTAATTCTACACCCTTCTCTGCATATGCATATGTAGGTCTCATATTGTAATTAATGGCTACTTACAGCGTACACCCTAGATACACACTGTACATGCATGCATGTATAGATCCTTCTGTGTAACCATCATTCTGCATGTTCATTGCAATGAAGGCCGCATGGAAATTAACTACTGTAGGGTCTTCCACATGGTTGATGATATTTTACTTCAGGCTGACGACAGCTCGCAATGCAATTTCAAACTAATTTGCAGAACACATGCTACAACAATCAATTTTAGATTCCAAGTTCCAGATAAGAGTATGGTATAATGCCTAAGAAGAAATAAACACCTTGAACAGAACATGAGACCAATCATAGGACATTAGGATCATATAAGGGGAAGAAGAAAAAAAAAAGTGCGTCAAATTAGAGTTGTGCAATGGTACAGAGTTCCACAATAATCGAGTACCCTTCAAACTGACCGTAATTCAGGAGATGGTGGAACAAGAGTATATGTATGTCCATTTTAGAAGAAAAAAAAAAAAAAAGACGCAATGAAAAAAAGAAGCAGAGAAATAGATTATGTCAATATATGAAAATCGCCCAGGATTTACAGTGTGACCAACACAACTACAGCAACGAGAACCGCAAAGAGAGAGCTCTGTAGCACACGCTCGTTTTGGATCGGGGCCCCGCTCTTCGAAGAATCCGTCGAAGAACCCCCCTGGCTGAATCCAGTGGTTGTCGCACCTCCGTTCGAAGAGCTGCTACCGCTACCGCCGCTAGAGCTGCTAGAGCTGCCAGAGTTGCCCGGGGTGTTTCCAGTACCGCCATGGTTAGCGGGAACCGTGTCAGAAGAGCTGGCAGTGCTCGCGCTTCCAGTGGCAGTAGACGTGCCGGTGCTCGCGCCAATCGTCATGTTGGTACCGGTAGCACCGAACGAGGACAACACAGTGTCCTTGTTAGTAATCTCAATAGAGCTGTTGAGTCCGTTGTTGTCTGTGTAGATGTACGACTTGTCTCCCTGGACATTGGCACCCGATGGGGGCTGGTAGCACTGGATGGAGATTTCACCATAGGTGGCATAGTAGTAGCCGTACTTCTGGATGTCGGTGCTATCCCAATCGACCATGCCACCTGCCCACTCGATGGTACCTTCGCCATTAGAGGGGATACCGGCAGGCCACAGCGACATCTGCAGACGGGACGGGGTCTGAGGGAACTCGAACCGGTTGGCGGTTGCGTTCCAGGTGCTGGATTTATTGAGGGTGCGTCTAACTTCGCCATCGACGCTCCAGTTGATGTAGTCGGGTTGCCAGTCAATCTCGTAGGTGTGCCAGGTGTCGAATGTATCACCATCAACATTCTCCTTTGCGCCGTTGTTCCCTAACAAAATCTCGCGCGTTAGCCTTTATAGAAATGAAGAAATCATAGAGCAGGTGAGACCTACAGTCAGGGATTCCCTGGAAGTAATAATTGGTCTGAACATTGTCAAGATCGGAACCAACAAACTCGAAGTCAATCTCGTCCTTGACATCAGAAAGCAGGATGAAAGCTGTCACCACACCCTTGCCGCGGCTACTCTTCATTTTTCCGGAAATCTTGCCGTACCAGACGTAGTGGTTGTTGGCGAACAGAGTGCCGACGGTGCCATTGGCCATGGTGAGGAGAAGGTTGCCATCCTTGGTCAGCGGTTGACCGCTGTACACCCAGTCGGATTTGCTAGCGTTTCCAAGGTACTTAGTGTTGATGGCAATGTCATCCAGGTTATCCCAGGTGTAGGTCTTGTCCTCACAGATGGGGGCGGGGGCGCAAGAGCCGAGTTGGAAGGACGAAAGCGGGTCACATCCACCTAGACAGTATGCGCCAGTGCCGCATTCGCCGTACTCTTGAGGTATAAATTGTCAGTTTATCAGTTATAGACAGATGAAAAGGGCTGAAGACTCCTTACGAGAGCAGCAAGGCTTATCCGAGGGACACTTGTTGGTCGCACTGCAAGATTGGGCAGCCCATACCGCCGTAGCGGACATGGAAGCCAGGAAGAGCGATGGAACGAGACGGACCATGTTTACAGTCGACGATGAAGGTGAAATTCAGCAGATAAAGCCCACTAACGAAGGGGCGATGAAATGAGAGAAGCGAGGGACAGGAATGCAAGCCACGAGGGGGGGGGTATAGGGTATATAGTGGCAAGGGACAATAAAACAGAGAATAATAATATATTAGGCTAATTGCTGGATATAACACAGTTTAACGAGAGAAAAGAAGGGAATAGCAACGGGTTTGAATGAGTGAAAGTGCCGTGCAAGAGACCCTTCGTCGTGAGAGAGTGCGAAGGGGAAGAGAAAGGACAAAGAAGGGAAAGGCGAGTGGTTAATACTAAATAGTGACAAGAAAGGACAAAGAAGGGAAAGGCGAGTGGTTAATACTAAATAGTGACAATCTACTAGCACAGGGGCTTATCTTGGGGCGGCAAACCCTGTCCCTGCACGCGCTAACCCAGTGGGCTCGCAGCCGTTCGCCGTTCTCCATTCCAAGCAGTGGATATCGTCACTAATGCATCGGGGAAATGACTTGGCAATATGGCAGACTGTCTCACTATTATTAAGATGATATTGATATTATTTAAATAACGATAATAATACTATGGGTTATGGACAGAGACATTCGTATCCGACAGAAGAATAATACGAGGCACCATGCGTTACCGTATTTTACAGATCACCTGACACCCTCTGCATCAGCCCTTAATGTGTAATATTAATGTTCACCTCATGAAAACTCAAAGAGTAAAGAGCACTGTGCCATGCTAAATCTGCAAATGTGAAACATTTAATACTCTTTTTCTTCTTGTCTCGCCTGCTCTACGCGAGCTAAGCTGTCAAGGTCTGAGCAGGAGTGGTTACATGCGGTGGATAATACTAGTATGGGCTGAATTTTAACCGTGTATGATTATGAACGACAGACCAACCCTAGACGAACCCCTTTCGTCAATATTAAGTTTAGATGACAGAACGACACATTAGAATACCATCATCAAGAGACGTCGCATGGTTCTACCTTCCCAGCCCATGCGCCGTGCCAAGACCCTCCACAAAAGCAATTCCACATCGCAATCGTTCCAAGACTCGACGGGAAGAAATCCTGTTTCTATCCACCTGTTACCTGCGAGGAAGCCAAATACTAGCATCCTGCGCTGGAGGGCCGCGCGTCAGCGTATCGCTTTTCTGTTCCCATGGTTGTAAGACTTCACAACCACCGGACGAGCGGCCTCTTTGGTAAGCACCAATTCCTTCTCGCAGGGGTCGGAAGAGTAGGTTACCGAAACGCCACTGTAGACGTTACGTCCGTCCTTCCACTTCTCAAATGCCTCCAAAACCTTGCGGGCAATCTTGGTGCTGGTGAACACAGCAGTCGCTATTCCGGTTGATCAGCTCTCGCCTGATATAATATCAATAGTACAACTTTGTCTATCAGCTTACCGTTTCCAGAATTAAACACCCAGAGGAAGTCAATGTTCTGCCCTGCCAACACCCGGATGTCTTGCCTCCATTTCTCCGGCGACAGACCCTCGGAGAACAGCTTCTTTCTCGCAAATGAGAGACGTCGGCGTTCCCTGGTCGGCTGGTTCATCTTGCGGTGGTCGTCGTTCCAGTCAACAAGTTCCGCCAGCTCGACCTGGTAGCCCGCTCCAAGACGTCCGTATTTGAGCATCCGCTGCATATCGTCATTCGACTTCAAAAACGCGAGCGCATGTGATGCATATTGAAAAGTCACTCTCGCGCTCTGCGCAGATTCTATCCGGATTTCATATAGAGGTCCCTCGTGGACACGACTGGTGAAGGACTGAACAAAGCCCTTACTGATCTTTCCGGTGACGCGAATGATTCCCGCCTTCGGTTCCGCGGATAGTTCCTGGATATACAGAGGCATAATATCCCCGCCAGACTGCGATGGAGCTCGGAGAATGATCTCCGTGTGGTCAGGACTGTGACTCTGAGGTGAATGTGGGAAAGGGCCCATTGGTATGGCCGAAGTATACTGCGTCTTTCCAAAAGGATTCATTTCCAAATCCGATATCGCACTCGCAACACGAGCCCAGGTTCCAACAGGAGGCTGGCTTTCCATTCCTAGCTGACTTCTCGTCTCTCCGTTAACGTGGCTCGCGAAGAGGGTGTCCTGCCCCTTCTTCATTTCGACCATGAGGGCTGCGACTGCTTGCTGCCGAAGCGAACCTTGAATGGCGCCTGGTCTCATCTTGCTGCTCTCAGCAGTACCATAAGACTATAACCAGGCTTCAGTCAGACAATTCCCCTTTTGTTTCTGGGCATGCAAGTGGAAGTGGCCTACCGGGTCTTCCATCACATAGTCAGTGTCAGGGATATTCTCGATCCCTTCTGTGAATGAATTCACGATCATGACACTGAACTTTCCAATATCATTTGCCGACTTGTGCTGACCATGCTTCCGAAGCTACTCCTGTCAGTGTTCTCGAGAGAAGAGTGGGTAGATTTATGCCATTGACGGGTTGCGCTTACATGGTTCGCGATGCGGTTCAAGTGGTCCAAGGCCTCTGCCATGGCACTATCAATAGATTGGACCATCTTGGGCACAAGTTTCCGCAAATATATCCAGAGCGCTGAGAGACAGTCGTGATTACTTGGTTTCCAAGAGATGTAATAAGGAGAGCCTGGCTCTGCGCCTTGCTGGGTCAGACCGACATGGAGACATACGACAGGAAAGCTAAAAGATGACCAGAAGAAAAGCTTACCTCCAGGATGTCCAGCTGGGAATTTGTGACACGGAATTTGTTTCTCAAGCTTCTGTATCGACGCGTCGCAGAGGCAGAGTTATGCCCAAGAGCAAATGGTTGCAGCGAGGATGGAAGCAAGCTGAGAAGAATAAGGGAAAATGCGATTAGCAATAACAGAAGACACTGTCTGGATTAAATGGCCAGCAGCAGATGCTGATGTAGATGAGAAGGTAGCAAATGGACAGCACCAGGTCAAAGACCTTTGTGAGTATTTTCCATCTGCTGTCTCTCTCTGAGATGACTGCACCCCTTTGATTGTATTTACAACAGTTTGCTGCGACCAGAGTCCCCACCTGACGGGACCTCTTGTTTCTGAGAATGTAAAGATACAAAGTAAAAGAAGATGGTTTTAGCGGGACAGTGAAACTGGGATGATATTTGGCAAGAATTGTGAGGGGTGAGTTGGCGAGAAGACAAAAGTCTCCCTGTATAGATTTATACTCCATAGATAGTCCTGGATGCCACGAGATTTGATATTGTCAACATTCACTGCTCTGACTCCACCCCCCATTCTCTATTAATTATTCCTGGCTACACTCTGAGAATTTCCAGGGCCGTTTGATTCTTCGAGAGCCATACAGGCAAAGATATCAAAATAAAATACCCGAGACGTTCAGAATAGGACTGTTCCTAGATATCCATCCCTTTCACCATTCCCTATCCTCTTGCATTGGGAACGTCTCATCCCTGGTTCCTCCCATGTCTCCATTACCTGAAACCTATTATCTGCTTGCAAGCATACTCTGACCTTTGAAAGAAACGAAAGTGTCTTCTTCAAATATATGAAAGAATGTAGTTCACATAGTATTTCTTGATAATACAAACTATATAAAGCGAAAAAAAAAAAAAAAAAACCATCGTGAGACACAGCTTCTATTAATCCAGGTTCATGTCCATATTCATCTCATGTCTGGACAGTGTATATATTATCACCAGTAACTGCCTACTTATATTTTGCTAGAAGATAGTCATTCCGAAAGGGGCGGGAAATTTCTCACAAAGCTGTCGGAAGGAAAAGAAACCAAGTTAGATGCTTGTTCAGTCATAGCTCAATGGGCCAAACATACTGAGAAGGACATTCATATCCCGATGGATTCTTATTCAGATATAACTGATGATACTCCTCCGCATCCCACCACTTCCCAATAGGAATGATCTGTGTCGTGATCGGCTTTCCCGGGAACCACTGCTTGCCAACTTTCTCGGTGATATCCTTGGCGATCTTATCCTGCTCGTCGCTGTGCGTGAAAATGACACTACGGTACTGGGTTCCGACATCAGGACCCTGGCGGTTTGCAGTAGTGGGATCGTGCATGCGGTAGAAGAATTCGATAAGTTGTTTGTAGCTGACGACGGATGGGTCGAAGGTTATTTGGAGAGATTCAGCATCTGCAAAGCTCGCAACAAAAGTAAAGTTATCAGTCTATGCTTTTAAATACTTTGGGTAAATCTTTCTCGCCAGCGCATGGGAAAATATAGTAGCATGTACGTGTACTTACGGCCAGTCGTCCCCGAGCATACAACTTTATATGTCGGGTTATCCGCCTGCCCTCCAGCATAGCCGACCTTTGCGTCGAGAAGACCTTTACCATGACCGAAATGTTTCCGAAAAAGATGTTCGACACCCCAGAAGCAGCCAGCTGCCAATGTGGCCATCTGTGTGCTGTTTTCCGATGCCATAACGCGGGACGAGGCAGTTCCTTCGGGTGCTAAGGATAGGAAGGATGGTGAGCTAGTGGTTGAAAAAACTCGTGAGAAGCGTGAAAATAGGACTGAGGCACCTGCAGGAGAGAAGAATGCCATTTATATAGATATTCAGAAAAGGCTACTCACAAGCTGGTGGCGTTTTTCTTGCCTTTTTCTTTTTTTCTGCTTCGAGAACCTTGCAAGATGTAGTAACCGAGCCTAGCTCTGGTGTCATAAACTTTATTCCCCGCCGCTAACATTCGCCAAGCCTTGCTGCATCCTCACTGTGGGGAGGTTGGAGGTTCGTGCATAGTACAAATGTACTGCTGGGAAGAACTAGAGACAGCCTCATTTTCTCTTTGGGAAGAATCACAACATCATCTGTTCTAACTTCTACAGGCCTCGTTCTGGCTTCAAGGATGGCTTATTCTTGAGCAACTGACAAGAAGCAAATGCGAATCTTCCAGACTAGGAGAATCAAGAGGACAAAAATGTGAGAAAGAGAACGAATGAAACGCCAAAATCCGTCCCATGCCATTTACCAAAACCATAATGAGCACAAAAAAGAAAAAGACAAAGGGAATATTGGTATCCATCTCCCGAAACTCCTTTCCATACCCACACAACAAAACAAGAAGAAGGGTAGTAAATGAGAGGATATGCCTCTACCTGAACGACCCGCTCATCGAGGGCCTGCTTACCCTCGGGGCCGCGACTATACTCAGCCTGATAGCGTCCCTGCCTGTGAGGCTGATATCCCTGGATCTGAAATCACCGCCAAGTGTGACCCGTCTATGGCTTGTGTTTTTCATAACGGGGATAGTCCGAGGGCTTAGGACACTGTGTTTGAAATCATATTCTTTCTCTCTCTTCACCATCCTCCGCGCCTGGGATGCAGTGAACATGGTATTTTCGGTCGGAGAACTTCCAAGATTGGTAGCTGTTGGGCTTCGTCGTCGATGAATGCGCATTGAGTTAGCAGAGACCCCATGGCCTTGCTGGGAACCCGAAATGCGTCGCATTGCCGACGATATTTTGATGGCGTCGTCCTTGCTTGCTTTCCAATTGATATCCTTCAAGTTACTGTCTGATAGTGGGCTGCTGGTGAAGCTCCCACTAGAAGTCCGGATGGCGATTCTGGATGGGCGTTCGTTGGATAAGCGATTCAAAAAGCTGCTGTTTTGGATGTTCCGCAGAGGTGTATTTTCGTTGTCGGGCAGGGAGAGAGTAGTGGAGGGAGGTGGCGCAAGAGGCGAGCTGCTGGTTTTTTTCGATAGGAACCCGGTCTTGAATCTATTATTATTCTTTTGAACGTTCAATGTCGGTTCTGGGGGTGCAGGGATCGGTGACGAACCATCCGCAGGGCTCGCACTTCTGGTAGGAACCGGAATGCTGCGTGGAATAGGAGACATTCTCGGCAATCTCGGCGGCGTTGGCTGCCTTATCTCTCTTGTATCAATTGGGTTGATCGACTCCGTTTGTTCCTCAAAACTGGCCTCGGGGATAGGCTCTGGTTTCCGAGGTGTTTTCTGAAATTCAGTAAGGGTTCCATCCTGTTCGTCATCTTTCCACCGAACGCTCCTCTTTGGAACTTTTGCCTGCGGCTTTTTGGGAGAAAAGCTAACGCCTTTCTTGACGGTATTGATCTTGCGGCGCCGAGGGGATCCTTTGACAGGTGAAGTGGGTGCATTTGGGGCCAACTTGATGGAGGTATTTAAGCTCTTCGCAGTGGGTATACCGAGAAGACTCAACCTCTTTGTGGCCTTAGGAGTCCCGGGTTTGCGAGGGCTGAGCGCTTGTACCTGAGGCAGGTTGCCATCAGGTTTGACAATGTTTGACGTCACGCTTGAGCCCGAATTAAGCATTTTCGCGAGAATTTTTCTTCCTTCCTCGACAGCATCCTGTTCGTTCAATTGCATGATATTTTCGACAGCAGCAATTGCCTCGAATTGAGCTTGAAGCAGTTGCTGTATGGCTGCTACATCGCCGGATTTCTCTTGATCTGCGACGGCCGACAGTGCCTCGCGCTCTGCATTTGACTTGAGGAGCTCTGCTTCCCGGGTGATATTGGAGAAGTCAGTGTTGTTGCTGATATCGAACTCCCGAAGTTGTTCAGCGGCATGCTCAACAGCGGAATTTATGCCTCGGTCCCAGTTGCTCCTTGACAACCGCTGGTGACAGTGCTGTCGGCTGCTTTCAAGCTCAAGGAGAATCCCTTGTGCGGCTTTGCGGACAGCTTGAAGATTTGATAACGGTTCCTCGTCTTCACAGTTTTCACATACATTGTCGAAAGCAGCAATCCAGGCAGACAACATACTGATTCTATGACTGATCTGTCTCAGTTTGAGCATATTCCTTGTCCTTTCTTGCCGTTCAGGCAAGGAGTGTTCATAAGCATTGCGAATACGGGAAATACTTTCCCGGATGACCGCCGCCTTTTTCTCCGTTTGCTTTTGAAATTTGGCGAAAGCGAGCTTTTCGGACTGCTTCTGCTGTGCTTTGAGTTCATTAATCAAGGCCATCTGTTCGTCGATCTTCACCAGGAAGTCTTTAACATGACGATTGATATTGAACACATTCTTTGTGACCTTGGTTTGAATGTTCTTGGCTCTGTTGGCATATCGCAGTGTATTTTGGGTTTCATCGAAATGTTGGCTTGACGGGCTCACGCAGACGATCATGACTGTCTTGCAATTCCCACCAAGGGAAAACTTCAGGAGCCGTGTCAGTTTTGAATTGCGGTAGGGAACGTGATTGCGCTTTCTAGGATCACACAGAGCATTGATACAGCTTCCCAGCGCGAGTAGGGACTTGTTGATGTTTGCACCTTCGAATAACCTCTCTCCCCTATTTTTTGTAGCACTGGCACGTTCACTTCCTGCAAGATCGATAATGCTCAAGGTCGCCATTGTATGCGGTTCGTTGACATCGGCATTGCGATCCTTCTGCGCCACGTTGATCTGGAGAACAGCATGCGATCGAGAGGAAGTTGCGTTTGCCTCTGTTGGGGACATCGTGCGGCATTCGTTGCCCCTCATAATCATGTCCATAACTTCTTGTACAGTCTGGGGATGGTGACTGGACAACCCGGCCACTGAAACCGATTGATTAGTGTCCTCACGGAGCATCAGCCCGCCTTTACTACCTCCTGGAACGAGAAGGTCGCGAATCGTTTCGTTATATATTTCCAGGTAGGACAGCGAGAGTTCCGTCGTCTTTTCGCACTTCCTCTCTTCGATACGCTCAAATAGCTCCTGCATGGTGAGAAATATGATTCCTGGATGCTGCGCTGTACCGGTAATTGTGTGAGTCTTTCCGCACCCAGTTGCACCATAAGCAAACACCGTGGCATTGTAACCCTCGAGAACACTGTCGAGAAGGCCGCGGGTGGTAGCTTCGTATACCTCCCCCTGCGTTGTATTTTGGTCGAAAATACGGTCGAAAGAGAAGGTCTGGTCTTTCACGCGTTTTCCATTCGGCACAACGCTCCTGGAAAATTTTTGCACTGGGCTGTCTTCGGGAGGATCGAATACTCTTTGCATCTTTTTGTCAGATGGCAGTTCTCAGTGGTAAGTGGTATGAGCCAACAACAAATACTTACAGACACCTATCATCGATGACTTTAATAATCGATCTGATTCCTTTCTGGTTGAGTTTCGGTGTGGCTGCACCAGCTAGAGAGCCATCACCAAGGAAAAGGGGACCATCTTCGCACTTTGCGAGCTGAGCTGCTTCTCGAATCGTAAAGGGCCGCACTCGAACTGCCACCGTGATTGACGATGCATCACTTGGAACAGCCATTGTTGCTGTTTTATCGTTCACTGTTTTCGTATTAATTCGTAAACTTCACGTCCCCCAGGCTCTTTGGTCGTGCACGCCAGAGCAACGCGGCCACAAGGGCAGGAGGGTAGCTGTCGAAACCGGCAAACGTCCACGAAGAATCGTTAGAAATGAGAGGTGCTGAGTGAGATACGAGAAGCAAAAGAGATAGTTTACCGAGCAACGACTAATAGACTGAATTAAAAAGCAAGAAGCGAAATACCGGAATCAGAGCTGTATGGTGTGGACACAGCTCTTGGTTGGTTAGCGCTGTAGATAGACAGGTATGATATTTGTTGTCCCGAAGTATGCGGTTGCTCTGAGCAACGGGCGGACGTGTGTGGCTGTAGGACCGCGTATGGCCAGCAAAATTGGCGTACGATATTTATACGCACCTGAAGATAAACAACACGTCCCCCATGATGCCCTTTGAGGAAGTCCAGTCAGAAAGGAGTTTGATCAATGATTCAACCCGGTCTAAACTACAATATCGAAAATTCTTGCGGATTAAAGAGAAACTATGTATACCTGCAAGGTGCGATGGATTGGGCTACTAAGATCGCCTCACTAACCACTTGCCCGAAGCGACGAGGGAACGATGTGAGATACATTCTTGAATCGTCTGCATGTATAATTCCTTCCTGGCAGCAAGTGTGCTTGCATTATGCCCTGTAGGAGATTAATCTATATCTAATATGCACTTTCGCTTCTCTTCTCTCGTGAGCTCATAAGAGTCATGCAACATGCAAATTCTCCTCGTTCCATTCCAGGTAGGTAGAAGCATAGCCGTAATGCGACGCCGGACAACATGTACGTGGTATTATTGGCCATGGTGAAAACGCCTCCCAGCAAGGCAGCCCAGCGCCTCAACAGACAGAAGAATCGGATGATGAAAATGTACGGCGACCGCCCGTGCGGATAATTTCAACTCGCCTCCTCCTCATCGTCAAGTCTGGGAACAACGACATCCCAACCGGGATCCTCAAATTCAAGGCCAATATTGTCGAGATCAGGCTGGTCCTGGTTCTGATCTTGATCACCGCCCTCCGTCTCTTCACGACGTTTGCGGAACCTGAAGACGATAGACTGTCCGTTCCTGATATCTGCTGCTTGTAAGCTCACGAAAGAGCTGCTATTGTTCTTCTTCGCTGCTGCTCCTTTATTTGCGGATGAAGACTCTTCTTTCCCGAATGTGGGCGCCTCCACTTCAAGTCTCGTCCAGCCCTTGTCTAGATCGTTTCTGTCCACTGCAACTCCGAATTCAATTTCGGAGGGACTGTCGGGGACTGTATCGCCATTTATTTCTTTTATTCCGCGCACCTGAAGGGCCTTTAAGAGCGCTTCCTTTGCGGTTGTGATCGTTTCATGGGGCTGGAGCATTAAAAGGACCGTAGTCTTGTGCTTTTTGAATAGGAGCGTCCAGCTCCGGGGATCTGGTTTTGACTTTAAGATAGAAGCCATGTTAGAACAAGCAATGGCCATCTTAGAAAAAAGTAGAAAGTAATTAATATGTAGGAAAATGGGTACGTACCATCTTGCAAAACGACCAGTAGAGCTTGACTAGCGGGTGAGCAATGGCTAGTCTGGCTGCCTTTCATCGGGAGTTCGGAGGACCAAGTGCGGTCTCCGCCCAGCATCGTTTTCTCCTGCACGTCTCCAACAAACAGACAACGGACTCGAAGTCAAAGCAATTCGGCCATTGCAAACCTTATCAAAGTTAATTGTTCGCTTCAAAATGGCAACCCAGCAATCCTCTTCCTCTGCGGATGAAGATTCCTCATTCATGAAGATACTCCACTGGTACAAGCTCTTTGACACCGACGTTCCCCCCCGACTGGGGATAGAAGTTCGTAAACGCCTACCTTACACCACATTCTCCGCATTTTCACTCGGGATGTTCATCGGATCATCCTATGGTGGCAAGAAGGCCGCATACCAATTCCGCGCAGAAAACGCACATCGTTTCCCCACGTCGTCGACCGGATGGTTCCAATACCATAAGACCAAGAACTATACTGCTATCGTCGGGGCTGTCAAGGAGGGCACAAAGATGGGCATGAAGCTCGGTGCTGGGGCATTTGCTTTCTGTTTATTTGAAGAGACTGTGGATTATGCACGGAATGATCGACGGGATTTTCTGTCTACTGTGACGGCGGGATTGTCGTTTTCTGGGGTCTATAGTCTGTTGGGTACGTTGCTTTTCCTCTTACCCACTTCGAATTACTTCCTGGGGATTGAAGTCGCTGATTTTGCTTGATTGAAAAACGAATTTAGCCCGTCACGACATTTACACTGCTGCACGCACAACGAAGCTTGGGTTGAAGCTGAGCCTTGCTTACGGATTGGCGCAGGATGCCCTTGAGTCGTTGAAGGGCAATAGACCTGCCTATGTTGACTTTATGCTGGGGAATCGCCGATCTGCGTCCAAGGATGAGGGCTCTATGTGATTGCAAGTTGGGCAACCCTGAGAACCATAATTCCGGTTGATGAAGCACGACCAGTCGTTGCCATTCGACCTAAGCCCTGCCGCTCGTGTACTGGTTGAATGGACCGTACAGCCGCTTCAGAGTTAGCTTAGAAGGCAAATCTGGAGCAAATAGCTGACAAAACCCAGCTAGACTTGCCGAGATATTACATGCGACTTCGAAGATGTGTCAGGGAAGGAAGTCGGACATTCTCTCAATTCTCCTTCAATCTCGCCCAGTGCGCTCATTCCGCTCCTTGGGGACTATAGGACTGTTGGGCTATATCAAGGAGCAGTCCAGGGCAACGCCAGTCATTTCTTGGCCATTTCGGTACTTCTTGTAATCGATGCAATAGTGACTGGCAGGAAGGTGCTCTGGATATTCCCATCCCATCCCATCTATGAGGTGTTCTCGAAGAGGATGAGCAGCTAGCTTTGTGCAGTCTTCCAGGAACAGTAATAATGTACATCTCATCTTAATGCAGGATATTTGATGATTGATAGACCAAAATTTTTCCTTTTTAATTTATTTCCCTCTTTCACCGAACAATCATGTTTTTGGACAGCTCCAACGAAGCAGAACGGTTAGTAGCAGCGGGTGGTCCATGCACTGAACTCCCCCACACCACCATTATTGGTACAGATACGAAGTAGATGAGGAACGCTTCATTGCATTGAAGGTGTAGAACCGTGCTGTTGTCACAGGGAATATCTAGGGAGAAGGTGGTGGCCACGATGCCAGGGGAGGATTACAGATAACTTCTAGCTGCATGCGCTGATTCAGTGTCGCCGTGCTCTGCTTGCTGCCAGGTCACTTGCTGGACGGTGATTGACGGGCAGCTCTCTTTGTCCCCTTCCACAGCCAGCATGGAATGCTTGGCTGCATGTCACGGAGGCACATCTGCAGAATGACAACAACTCCCAGCTCCAGCGCAGTGCTATTTCCCAAATTCCTGCTGCATAGGAAGCACACAGCAGCGCCCTGAGACGGAGGGCCGATCGCAGCCTCTCTCTGGCTGGGTAGGCCGAACCCCACCGCCTACTTGGCTCTGGCACATCGCAGCAGTCAGTTCTTCATCTTCATCTACTGTCCACTACCGTGATGATCTGTTTTTCTGACCCTGGCAGCCAGCTTGATCTCCTCGTCAAGAGCACACGCCTGCATTTCCGAGCCATCCATTATTCCTCCCCCTGCGGAGTCTCGTCACTCCTTCTCCGTCCGATTCCTCCCCCAGAGCTCATAAGTGGAGCTATCAAACCCAATATACTCGGCATCGTTATCTGATTTGACCTTTCTTAACACCTACCGGTCCGAACTGGGAGTCTTGACGCCTTCGATTGACTGCTGGCGATTCGCATACGAGAGCTTCCTGATCTTCGCTGTCACTTGCCTTGTCCGTTCAGAGATTGCTCGCCTGACGTCCGACCTCCCGCCTGCGCGCCGAGAAGAGATGGATGCTCTTTGAGGCCCTACGATTCCGCCGCGGTCGACGTCATCGGAACATCCTCCCTATCCCTACGAAGCTATATGCCGTCTGTTGAAACCCAAAACCGCACTTTCACATTTTCCGCGAAACACGGCAATCCTTAATTGCTACCATGCGACGCCATGGCAGGCCCAGCGGCGGGTCGACCAAGGTCACCCCCATGTCCGAAACCGTCTCGCTGATACACTCTTTCGACTCCGTAACGAATCCAAATCGCCCGGCACGTCCCTCCCCCTTGGCCTCATCCCATATCCAGGAGCTACCTTTGGACTTGATAGACCGTCTACACTCGTTCCCGCTTTTCCAGTCCACACCGGAGTCGTTTCTGTTCGAAGTCGGACATCACCTACGCCCACAGCTGCACGCCGCGAATGACTATATCTTGACGGAGGGAGATGAAGCGAAGGCTATGTATTGGTTGGTGCGCGGCGCGGTGGCTGTTACGTCCCGCGATGGGGAGAGTATCCACGCGGAGCTGAAGCCGGGCGCGTTCTTTGGAGAAATTGGCATCTTGATGGATCGGCCCCGCACTGCAACAATTATCGCTCGCACAAGGTGTCTGCTTGTTGTTCTGACGAAGGAGGATTTCAGGAAAATCCTCCCAAAGTTCCCTGAAGTTGAGCGGGCGATCAGGGATGAAGCCAAGGAAAGATTGGCCATCTTGGAGCGGAAGAAGAAGGAATCTTCGACCGTGGACCACGCGACTCGGGATCGGAGAGGCTCGAAAAGAGTTAGGGATAGCTTTTCAGAGGATTTATCGCCTCGCGCACAGGAGGATATGGGGTTTGGTGGAGTCAACAAGAAGCGCAAGTCTCCCAGCCCTGTACTCAAAGACGTGGGCACGTCAAGCCCCCTGGCCAATGGCGTGGTAAATGTACGCCTTTTACTCAAGGAATTTCCTCTATTCTCGAAGCTACCCGGGGATATTCTTCATTTCTTGGGTCTCAATGCCGAGCCCCGTTCATATCCCCCATTCACCGATATCGTTCGACAAGACTCCCAGGGCCGTGAGGTATATTTCATTGCTCGGGGTGAAGTTGAGGTTCTCACAGAGACGACTGTGAGTCAGCATGGTCGCCGTCCCTCAGATGCAATTGCAAAACCTGGCTTCGAAATTAAAGCCCGTCTAAGGCAAGGACAATACTTTGGTGAGGTCGTGAGTCTCTCTCTTGCTCCGCGCCGGACAGCAACTGTCCGATCTGTCACGTCCGTTGAGTGCCTTATGATTGGCGGCGATGTGCTCGCTGAATTTTGGGAAAAGTGCCCAGCAGATGTCCGCCAACAGGTTGAGAGAACCGCCAAGGAGAGGCTTCAATCGGCCACCGACGGCGATGTCGTAATGGCAGAGGCAGCAGAGGTCGCACCAACCGTCGACGAACTCGCCTTAGACGAGAGGGAAAAATTAAAAATAACCGCGTCTCGCAGGCGATCGATGCCACTCCTTACGCTCACGGAGACGGAACTGGACGCGCAGCAGAAAGCTACGGGAGTGGAAGATCGACCCGTTCTAGAACCATCTGACCCCGATCCTTTTCTAAACGAGGGTTTAGATAAAGTTCGCCTTCGATCACGGCGGGGATCAGTTGCACCAATTACCCCGGAGGAAGCTTCAGGGGAACAGCCTAGGCATTCTTCTCAACCGGAATCCCGTTCTTCTACAAGCTCGACTTTCCCTGGTCTTCCAGAGTATATCGCCCTACCACCAGCTAAAGGTCAGCGCTCGTTACCAAACGGTAACCGCGGCCCGTTCCCAGATACTGTCCTTTTAAACATTTTTCACCACCTGGAGTTGCACCATCTTCTTCGCCTTCGAGCTGTTTCTCTTCACTGGTCGGAAATCCTAAGCAAATCTTCCCATCTCCTTCGCTATTTGGACCTGAGCCCGTACAATCGGAAAGTGACCGATGAGGTTCTTGTCAAGATCATTTGTCCCTTTGTTGGCCAGCGGCCACGCGCCATAAATATCAATAACTGCTTCCACATCTCCGATGAAGGGTTCGCAGCGCTGGCTAATACATGTTGCTCCAACGTCGTCTCTTGGAAAATGAAAAGCGTATGGGATGTATCTGCGCCCGCCATTCTCGATATGGCTGGCAAAGCTCCTAGTTTAGAAGAGATCGATCTCAGCAACTGTCGGAAGGTCGGTGATTCGCTCTTGGCGCGAATTGTCGGCTGGGTTGTGCCTGGACAACAGAATTCAAACATGGGGCCTGTGCAGATTAGCAAAGGAGTCGTGATGAAGCCTACCATACAGACTGCTGCGGGCACTGTATTTGGTTGTCCGCGGCTAAGAAAATTGACACTGTCATATTGCAAACATATCACGGACCGCTCCATGTTCCATATTGCGTCTCATGCGGCCAGCCGAATCGAGGAAGTTGACTTGACTCGTTGCACCACAATCACGGATCAGGGGTTCCAATATTGGGGGAATACACAATTTTCTAGGCTGCGGAAGCTTTGTTTAGCGGATTGTACGTACCTGACCGACCATGCCATTGTGCATTTGACCAACGCAGCCAAGCAGTTGCAAGAGTTGGATTTGGTAAGAACGAGCATTTTGAGCATTATCTAATACTCACGAGTGTTTCTCACTAACAGTCAGTAGTCTTTCTGCTGTGCATTATCCGACACAGCAACTGAAGTTCTCGCCCTCCAATGTTCCCAGCTCACCTACCTCAACATGTCTTTTTGTGGATCTGCTATTTCAGACCCTTCACTGCGCAGCATTGGTCTTCATCTTCTTCTTCTCAAACACTTCTCCGTTCGTGGCTGTGTCAGAGTTACTGGTCTTGGGGTTGAGGCCGTGGCAGACGGCTGTAACCAGCTGCAATCATTTGACGTCAGCCAGTGCAAAAACCTCACTCCCTGGCTCGAGAACGGGGGCCATATCAGATATGAGAATCGGATCTACTTCAAAACCATTGCCTTGAACGGGTCAGCCTCTCGGTAGGTATCCGCAATCTATCCGTTGCTACCCATAATAGGTAGTCGAGATCTTCGCTTTCCTCTGCAAGTTGGTCATCAGCCAGATTTTGGACTATCATTTACTGCCTTTTATTTGACATATTTCTTATTCTTATCCGACATATATGTTGTCTAATATTTTCCGGTCTTGTCTTATTTCTGACAATTTTCTGCACTCATATTGAGAGGATTTATTCTTGCTTTGTCAAACATATTATGACCCACTAATGCCCGTTATGGATTTGTTCATGGAGCTGGTACCTGAGGTGCAATTTCATTTCCTTTAACCCTCTGAATGCTTTGCTTTTACTTATATCTCTTGCTAGAGCTGGCACTTGTGCATTTTGGATTGATCTCTTTCTGTTGATCTGCAATCTGCTAGTTGGGCACAGGCATGGCACGAGTTTAGTTAAGGACAGCAGGCGACTTTGAAACCTGGCAGTTTCTTTCTTTCTTGTGTTCTTCACCTTTCTTTGATGATATCCTGTATCATAGTTGCCCGTTATTATTATTATCCTGCGAATTTGAGGATTGGAATAGATTCTATTGGGTCTCCCTTGAAACCCCAAAACTGTTACCATCGGGGCTTTTGCAATCATAGCCTGCTGGCCTTTTGTCTCCATCTTCTCAATCACTGGTTTGCTCAACTTCACGTCTGACAAAGGCAAAACATAGTTAGAATAAAACGAAGGTCAGTGAGATCCCTTACACTATGGTGCAGGAACTGACTTGCTAAAGCATTGTTTAAATTCATGATTTCTTTCATCTTTCTCGCCATATAACAATCCTATTTGTTCAAAGTTCACACAATGGCGGCTCCCATGAAAGAGGATTGTTCCTTTCCTTTGTCCTATATGCCATTGTCAGCTTTAAACAGAAGCCTTACCAGCCTCAGAATGAAAGGCATGTCCGACATATATAAGAGCTTTTCTGTCCATCATGGACAGTTCCATACACTTGTCTCAGTTCACCATCATAATCCACGACTGTCCCAATTATAATCGGGATTTCCCAGAAGAAACAATCCTTCCCATATTATATTATACTTCACTCAAGTGATAAAACACCTTCCCGTCAGCTACTTCCGTGTGTCAGGTGCCCTACTATTACACTTAACACAAGCCCTAGCACCAGCCCATACTAATACCCATTGTGATAAGCATAGCTGACTAGATCTATCAGCGATGTCTTCTGGGAATAAACGACCGTATAGCCAGCTATCTGGCGACGACGATACTAACAATAACAGCGGATATCCAGCTGCTGGTCCCTCAAACACTTTTGAACAACAGCCTCAGAATGGAAACAATATATCTTCCAGCACGAGCGGTACCACCATTCCAAGTGCTACGACTGGGGGACCAACGCCGCCGCCGGCGCAGCAGCAGCAGCAACAACAACAACGACAGCAGCAGCAGCAACAGAATACTGGGGAGCTAGCTGCTAAGAGGCGCAAACCGCGTCGTAAGAAGGGAGAACCCGAGGAGAATTATTCGGAAATTGCCCGGCAGAAGACACAGAATGCGAGACGTACTGGTCAGGCGTGTGATCGATGTCAGGTAGGTTTTGAACTTCCTATATCCTCTACAACCGAACCTTCTCCTTTGCGTCAAATAATGCTGATATATTTTTTACCCGACAGGTCAGGAAACTTGCATGCGACTCGAATCCGCTCGGCTGCAGCAAGTGCGTCCAAGCTGGTTTGACATGCTACACAACTGATCGTGCTACCGGCCATACGCGTGAACGTGGAGAGCTCGAGCGTCTCCGGGAAGAAAATACAAGACTAGGAGCAGAAAATGAACAGCTCCGACGGCAGATTGCAGGCATCTCACTGTATGCGCAGAGTTTGATGGGAATACTCACGCAGCAGGGAATGCCTGTCCCTGCTCCTCAACAAGTAAGTCGCCCTAGATTCCCTTCTCCCTCTGGGATGTTTCTAATTGGTGTCTCTTCCTTGTTCACAGGATCCAATAGCCATTCCCCAGCAGCAACAACAGCAGCCGTCTCAAGAACAATTGCAGCGGCAACACCGACGGGTGTTTCAGCGTGAACGTGAACAGCAATTACGGACGCGGGAGCAACGACAGCGACAGGATCAGCAACTATGGCAGCAGTCAATGCCACAGTCCCGACCGCAACATGGACAGCAGCAGCAGTATCAACAGATCCAACAGCAAAATCAGCAACTGCTGCTGCAGCCAATGCCACAGCAACAGCAGCTATTGCAGCAATCAATGGCACAGACCCAATACCAACCTCAACCACAGCAATATCAACAAGGCCAACATCTACAGGTTCAACAACAGGTCCAGCAGGGAAACAACCAAGCTCAAAATGTAAGTCAGGTTCCTGATAATCCCGGCGTTTTCTTTCTTGAAGAACCGCTAACTTGATTTTATTTTCAGACTTTCGACAGCTCTGATTCCTCGTATGGGGTAGACGGCTCTCGAGGGCAACAGACGGCGGAAGACAGAGAACGGAATCATCAGCCGAGTCCAATAGATAGTTTAGAGGTAAGATCTGATGTGTTACAAGGACAAGAGCAAGTCCAACGACCCTTGAGTATACCCTATTCAAACAATGCTGGACTCCATAATACTTACCCAATACCACCCCAATCAGCTCCAGCCATTCACGCTGTATCAACCTCCTCCAATGTGTCCTATTTGCCTGGAGCGAATGCCATGCCAACACTACCAAACGCTATACCAGCCTCAGGAACAGCAGCCATCACCGGGAGCTCTATGCCTGGTTATCCGACCCCGCCAGCTGTGACGGACCAGACTCAAAGTCAGAGGCAGGGAGATAATTCTGTAAGACAGCAGCAGGGAAACACTAATAGTGCTATTCCTTCCTCTTCATTTCCAAGCATGACAGGATTCTATTCCAATAACACTGATACACAGGCCTCCACTACTTGGGCATTGGATGGGAACCCAGGTCAGATTCAGGCTCCCGCACAGCAGGTCTATACCAGTCAACAGACATATGATGGACAACAAACCCAGAACATTACTGCTGCTACTACTTATGCTGCTCAGCAGCTTCCTGATAACCAGCAGGTTTACGCTGGTCAGCAATCTCATAATGTTCAACAGGGTTACACTCAACCGGCTTATGATGCTACTGCTACTTATGCTGCTCAGCAGCTTCCTGATAACCAGCAGGTTTACGCTGGTCAGCAATCTCATAATGTTCAACAGGGTTACACTCAACCGGCTTATGATGCTACTGCTACTTATACTGCTCAGCAGATCCCTGACCCTCAACAGGAGGTTTATGGTCAACAGACATACACTGCTCCTTCACCACAAAACAATGATATTAACTCAGCGAACAATGTTCCTCAGCAGACTCTCAAAGTCGGGCAGAACTACTACTGCCAACCGCAGACCCAAAATACCCAACAAACCCAGCTTCAAGTCCCAGCTCAACAGGATCAAGGACAGCCCCAACCTACTACGGCTCAAAGCCAACCTGATCCTGCCACCTTTGCAGCAAAATTGCACGCAGATAATAGAAATGCTCAAAACAATAGCAACGATGATGATAATAGTGGTGATGATAATTCTAACGTCGATGCACCTGCCGACCTCGAGGACTCTGAAGCTGATGCCTTTGCTGACCTTGACGAAACTAATGATCTTCTAGCAGGTATTATGAATGCTCCATTCATACAATCCGCTTTAGGGGTTCCCTGGGACGATAAAGCAATAACTGATATCTGAATTATATAGATTGCATCCCTTCTTGCCGGGATGGTTCGTTCGACTTCGCCTTTTCTTATAAATTATTCTCCCCCCTCGTCTGTTCGGTGGCCAATTATCTTGTAGTTTGGGTTCTTGCTTGGCCTTTTCTGGTGGGAGACTGCAGTCTTTTGCGTATTGGATATTGCATACTGGTGTTTTTGGGCGCCATGTGTCATTTATATCTTGATGTTAGTAGCTCTAATGGATGAACTTGACAAGCTTGCATTTCCCCTCTGAAACGAGTTTGAATGTAGATACTAGTGACCATGAACCAAAGAGTGAGATAAGAAGAATAACCAGAAGATGTGGTATACCAATATCTACAGCTAAATTCGTATATACATTTAAACAGAAGCCCTAGCCAATATCAACCTCAACACCAAAAATTGATGATTAGGATAATGGCGACGACAGTTATCTATCTGTAGATACCTTCTTCCAACAACAGCATATTCCCCTCTCCTCGCACCATTCCCTCACAAATCCCGCACTGACCTCCCTATCCTCTTTAATACGACCAAGGCCTTCTGTATTCAGCCAAGCCGCAAAATCCTCAAGTATAATAGGATCATACATGAGAATCTTCTCATGCCATGTTGGACGCTTCGATGCCACGGGTAACAAGGGCTGGGCGTGGACCGCACTGGTAATCTGCACGGCGAGATCGGGAAGATCGTCCAGATGATCTGCCGCAAAAAGAGAGGAACTAATAGATTGAGGTCCACGTTTGGGGCCCTTGCGGTTTGGGGAATGTGGGGTTGTCGAGGTGGGGAGGCAGTTGTTCCCAACGGTTTTATTATTGGTAGCGTTGTAGCGATTCTGCACTCGGGAGGGAGAAGGAATTACTTCATCTTCTGAATCTTCGATTTCTTCGATGTCCTGAAACGAGGTGGAAGACGCTGGGGGTAGTTCTGAATTCTTTTTGCTTGCACCTTTCCGTCCGGTAGTTGTGCTTTGAGATATGGAAGTGGGTGTTGGACCTCTGGTACGTCCTTTCGGGCCCTTAGAAACCGATGTAGGCTTTTTCTTTGTAACTGGATTTGAAGATGCTTTGGGCTCCGAGATTTCATCCGCATTTGACCTTGGAGCCCTGATAGTGCTTTTCTGCGCTGCCTCTTTCTGCTCCGCCGAATGTGAATCTGACTGAGGCACCCCTGATATACCCAGTTGATTCTTCATAGGCCCTTCGATAGGATCACTGATAGATTTCATGTCTTTCCTGTATTTGGACTCCCAGCACCTGTACAGAAGGTCAAGCATTTTCTTACGGCTCTTCACCGGCTTAAAGCCGTAACTCGCAATCGCCTTGGATAATTCGGCATCCGTAAACCCACTGTATTGCGGCATTGGAGGTGCACTGTCTTCAATTCCGCAGGAAGTTTCTTTCTTTCGACCACCAGACACGACAGGTCCAGCAACAGCAGCAGGCTCCTTCCTTGTCGCAGCATGAGCACCTTGGGATGCCGAAGGTTCTTTGTCATTAGATACCTCATACGGTGAGTCGGGCCCATCATCAATTTCAACAAATGCGTCTTGTCGCGCCACCTCTATACCAGGACATCCAGAGTCACAGGCTATCGGAGAATATCCAGAAGGTTCAGGTGAACTAACCAAATCCACCACCTCATTGTGAACCAAAGCTCCATCGGAATCCCTTGCGGCAACATACCACAGGTTTCTAGAGCCTGCAAAGCGTGTCGTCGTGGGAAATGATGATCGCGTCTGCTCTGCTGCTCTTGTAGAAGAAAGTTGGTTTGTAGACACGCAGCTTTCTGAAGCATCAATGGCCATCTGTATCTCTCTCAATGTTGTCGGTGAATCATCCTTCTCCAACTGGCTGCAGGTGCCAAATAGCAAGTCCTGTTCCTGAAGAGACTTGGCTGCGGCTTCGGGCGACAAAATATTGTATTCAGTGGCTTTATCCTTGCCGTTTGGTTTTGATTTTGTCCTCCGCCCAAGTCTTAAAGTGAGAGTATCGTCAACGCCTACTTCATCGATTATATTGGAGTCTTTCCCCGAAGCAGAATGCTTAGAGATATCGTCAGAAGCGTATCGGGCCGTTGCACGGGCAGTCAGCGTCGTTGCCTTTCTCCGTTGTTTTTTAGGCCTCTTTGCTGAAGATCCATCGTCTGCAGGAGTCTTATTCTTCGCATCGAGCGAACTAGTCTTAGAGATGGGGAAAATCCCGTAATCTACCAGCTACACGGTAAATCAGCGTAAGGAGCATGGGGGGAGAATAAGGGAGAGAGGTATCATCGCAAAATACCTCTATTCTTCTTCTCTTTGTCGGACCACCATCAACCGTGCTTTGATTAAGATTCAAAGAAGAGATATCCTCATCGAAGCTATACGCAGATAGCATATCCTTAAAACCATGCCGATTGGTGCCTTTCTGATTGGAACCTGTCTCACATTCGCTATTCACTTCGGGAGCTGCGGAGGCAGTAGCCTTAGGTGGAGTCCAATCCAACCTCCTCCTCAGAGCTTTTTCCAGTTGTAGGTCTTTAATCTCCGAATCTCCTTGTCTTCTTGTAGCACTATGTCGAGATGGAGACGTAGAAGACAATGGTGGCGCTTCCCCCTTCTTTCGAGATCCCTTATTTTGCGCGTTACCGACCTTCTCAACCTTACCCATCAAAGTCATATTACTTAATTCCTCGCGCTTGGTCATTGGCTTCTTGGAACCGCTTCCCTTGGTTGACTTCTTAGCCTTTGTCTTCGTCTGTTCCAAAACGATAGGGTCGGCATGTTGCAGAACCGTCTTCGTTCTCTTTGCAGGTTTTCTATTCCCACTTCTTGGTTGCACTTCAGCAGCATTTTCCTTCGTACCCAGATCCATTGAATCATCTTCCCCGGCCAACTTTTTCTGCCGTGTTAAAGTCGTGTTGAAAAACCTCGATCGTGTACCAGTTTTGAAAAGCTCGGATGGGGACACCAGCGTAAAGGGAGACGAGCACTTCGGAGGCGATTCAGAAAATCTTTCTAAATCATAGTCAAGTCTTGGAGGAGGGCGAGGGGGTATCTTATCCGGTGTGGAAGAGAGGACGACAACATCCGCTTCCGAGCGCATGGCGTTGGTGGGTGCGGAGGATCACAACTGTCACAGTTAGAAGACCAGACATAAACCTGAATCCTTAACTAATATCATGTTCATGGACCCTTTATTAAGGACCTGGATGGAGTTCGTTTGCTTATGTCCAAACACCAGTGATTTGGAGACGGTCAGACGTTTGGCGCCCGTATGTTGCAGCATGTCTTGGCAAAGTTGAGATATTGCCCTTTTGGGATGTCGAACGGGTAGACAGAGCAACCAGGGCCATCTTGATACAGGGCATGGCTGACCTGGCACAGAGCATTTGCTTGACTGATTCTATAGTTAAGATCAAATGTGGCTAATGTCTAATATCCACTCCACCGGCAATTTCCATTATACTTGGCATACATGCTCTCACCACTGAAGTACCTGGTACACAATTGCAGTATAGTAATTCGCACATCACGATCATATAGCCTCTTCATAAACATCTCGCCGGTTGTATTTTCTACAGTACTATGTCTAGCCCCGAATGTGACTAGTATCTGGGAATAGGAGAACAGCGCGGTGCGGAGGGTGGGCTATTCCGGCCAGCTTTTAAGCAGTCGCTGTAGGGTACGTATGGAGACCCTTCACCGGCAGTATTTGGCCATTTACTCCTGCGGGGATGAGTGACCCCTTTCCCGAATGTACCGACTAACTCAGGAGCTCTTCCTATGGTCGTGAGGCTTGTCTGGCATTGTTGCAAGAAGCCTGGAAGCCCGGACCACCGGGATAGAATCATCGCTTTGAGAAAGCATAAAGTTTCTGGCTTCATGATCCCCGCAATGCAATAGCACCCAGCAGGGAAACTTCTAATAGTCGCTTTTCACCGTCATGGACACCATCCACCTGATATTTTGCTGGTGGAGTAGCCAATGCTCCTAGCTTATATGCTTTCTTGATCTTCGCAACATCACAGGTGGAGGACAGTGTAGCATCATTGAATCGCACTGGGATACCTTTCACGTGTTCTCCCAAATGGGCTGCTACAGATTCATGGGTGATCTCAGGAGACACTGGGACTTTGACCACCAATAGATCCTTTGTTGAATCAGTGATACCGAATTTGCGAAAAGCATCGGCAATCTAAATATCATCAGTCAGCACCAAAAGGATAAAAAAATAGGTAGGTAGGAACAGACATTCTTTGCAGGACTCAGGGACAACACAATCTCAGAATGAACATTTCTCGACCTGAGATGCCCATTCAGGTAGTCATTGACAGCTCTGAAAACAGCTGCAAGAATGTGTGTTCTCGAGAGAACCTATCTTGTGGTTAGACAAGTTACATAGTAGTGTAGGCGATGGACTAGGAATCTGACATACCATGCTGGCGTCGATCAACGCATACTCGAAGTCTGTATTTCCAGCAATGAGCTGCTGCCTCAGAAATGAGGCATTCTGCAAATCACGGTAGAGAGCAATGTGTATAGGCAGCGTTGGTGGAAGGTGGGGTAGATGGATGGTTTCTAAGCAGGAAGACATGCTGATCAACTATGTGTGCAGATGACACAGATGACAGTACAGAGGCGACGGAGATAAAGGAAGTAGATCCGCAAAGGCTGAAGGCGAATGCTGGCGAAGTTATTGACTCTTGAAATACATTATGCGTTATGTCCGACGAGCAGATCTGATCGGGCGGGATCCACGTGATGCTGCCAGCGCTTCTCGAACCTTCGGGCAACCGTAGAGCAATCTCCAACTTGACCGGCTGGTCCGGACGAGGACATGCGGCTGAGTAATCAATCCCGCCGACCTTGATGTCACTGAGTGCCTATAAATACAACTTGAACCGACCTCCAGCCGAGCAATTCCAACTCCCCCATCGCCATCCTTGTCGAGTTACGGCTGGTTCTCATCATGGCAGCCATGGCTTTCGTTCTGAGGCGTCCGTTTGCCGTTTCATCGGCCATCTCCCAAGTCCCGAAATTCACAGCGCAGAATACTGCTCGATTCATCCACAATGCTCCCAAGCCCTCGGTATCCTCAAAGCCTGTTGGACCCGTTTCGTCCATCTTCGCAAAGTCCAGACAGACCTTCCACAATGCTTTCCGCCGCACCTACATGCAGCCGGCTTATGAGCCCGTCCAAGGTGGTAACCTCACTCAAAAGCTCGTCTACGGTGCTGCCATCGTGGGCGGAACTATCTTGGCAACGAACTTGATCTTTAACCGTGAGACGAGAGAAGATGGCGGCATGCCCGCTTACGAGCGAAGCTACTTGAATCAGACATTCCTGCACACTGGTCTTGGCGTTGGTATCATCGGTATTGCTGCGAGAGCTATGCACCTGAACGGATGGTCGTACCGCCTGATGTCTATGAACCCTTGGGCTGTTGTCGGCCTTAGTCTCGTTGGAAGCATGGCTACAATGTTCGGAACTTTCTACACGCCACCAGAAAAGTAAGTCCTTTATTCTGTATAAAAAAATGAGAATACCTTGCTGACCTCATGAACTAGCTACATGGTCAAGTACGGCCTTTGGACTGCCTTCAACATCACACAGGCTGCGCTTCTGTCTCCCTTGATGTTCCTGCACCCCGCTCTTCTCGCCCGTGCCGGTCTCTACACTGTTGGAATGATGGGATCGATCGCTTTCGTGGGTGCAACCGCGAAGCAGGAGAAATACATGTACCTTGGTGGTCCCCTCCTCGCAGGTGTCACGATCGTTGCTCTCTCCGGTCTTGCTCCCCTCGTTCTTCCTATGACTGCTACCCGAACTCTCATGTGGTCTGAGCGCATCTGGCTGTATGGTGGTCTTGCCGTCTTCGGTGGCTTCACTCTCTACGATGTCCAGAAGATCCTCCACCACGCGCGTATGGCTGAGCGTGGCTTGGTCAAGAGAGATGTTGTCAATGAGAGTGTCAGCCTAGAGTTGGATTTCATTAACATCTTCGTTCGCATGGTCCAGATCATGGCTCTGCGTGGCGGTAGGGAAAGGCGATAGATGGTCTACTACATATTTGCAAAGGCAAGGCGAAGGTTTTGTTACGGTTTAAATGTTTCGATATGGGTGGGACTGGGACTGGATATTTCTTGTTACAACTATGATCTGTTCTGTCCATATATATTTAATATGGAGATAGTCCATTGACTATATCCTCCAACTCTTCATTTGTGTTACTCAAGGTAAGATAAAGTGCATCGTAGAAATGGACTAGGCAGCTGTATTGCTATTTCCCCTTCACTTGCGGCAAAAGAGGGACATTCTTGGCATTCTTCTTTCATAGCATGCATGCAATGAGGCTTAATATTAATCATAGTAATAAATGTTGTCTTCTATGAAATACTCTTTTGTGAGGATAAAAGCCAATATATTGTCACAGACTTTGGTTCGTTTCATATTGCAACTACAATATAATGTATTCACATGATGTCTGTTTTCACCGACGATGACGACTCCTTATCCTCTGCTCATCACTTTCCCATAGAATGGTGTCAACTCCAAGCACTTCCACCGACCGGTGATTTGGGAAATAATATCCTTGGCGAAAATTCCAAGGCCTCATTTTCCATTGAGATACTCATTCTGATGGATTCGGAGCATGACTGTAGAGCACACGAAACATCTTCGGTTACATTGACATCCATTATTGCCTATCTCCTGTATCCGGGTCATATTCAGTCGCCTTCTCGTTTCTTGCAGCTTGGGCTCGCTTGAGCCCGCTGTTCAAATAACTCCCTGCTCCTCTAATTCAGCCGCCGGAGTTTCTTGTCCATCAGTCTACCCACCCGTGATCTCATGGCTCTTCTGCAAGGATATCACTCCTGCATGGTTTTTGTATACTGGCATCTTCTGATTGAGCTTTGCAGCATATATCACCGCTTGCTTTTCTTTCAACTTCATATTCATCTCAACCTGCCTCCAATCCAGTCCCGCCATGGAGTAGGAATCTCTGATGTTCACCAAACAACGCCATTTGTCCGTGGTGATCCGGTTGAACGTCAAAAGGATCAATGCAGCTGTCTTCCATCCCTTGATTTGCGAGGCCGGGAGGAACAGCTGGAGGTTCTTCTGTGGCCAGTCACACATGACAAGTCTGTTATACAAGGCGCTCTCGACATGGACGAAGTGACGGCGTTTCTCTCGTGGCCGCAGCTTGCTACCTTTGACAGCGCAGGCAGAGTCGAGAATTCGAAAAGAAAACAAAAGTGAGCCGTCTGCGGTTGCTTGTAGGTTGACGAATTGCGAGTTTCTCTGGTCAAATTGCACGGCTACCGAATGCATTGAGCCTTGCTCTACTGGGTCTTTTATCGTCTCTTTGATTATCATAACGTGGTGCATGAAGTCGAATAGCACGTCCAGTTCAGCATTTGGAAGGTTTAGAAGGCTGATCTGGCCTTTTTCAGGACCTCGAAGGACCAGCTTGAGGCTCTGGGTGTCTAAGAATCCTTTGAGCGCTGGTTGGCAGCTGCAGTCTGGGTCGGTACTGGAGATTCCAACAGGGTGTTTGCTGTCAGCGACTGGGAATCATCAAGATCATCAGGAGACATAGTTGTCAATTCATTGTGGAGAACATACCACGGCATTTCTCTGTTTGGGATCCAGTGGCTTTGAAGAAAGGAGTGCAGTACTTCTCACAAGTTGAAGGCCGTCTGAGAGTGGTGTTACTTTGGTCGACAGAAATAGGGTAGTAGAGGTAGGTGGGCGAGGGCTGGAAGTCGACGAGTGAATTATACTAATCCTGATAACGAGATGGAGAAGCCCAGCCACGATAATTGGAGTCCACCGTCACTTTGTGGAGAGTGGCCCCCAACACCTGCACCATATTCACGGAGATATCCTTCTTCGATGGCAGCAGTCCTGACAGCCAGGTGGGAGCCCAAATGCTGTGATTCATAGATCCGAGGGGTTCTGGGCTATGTATCGGGTAAAGCGACACATGAAGAGTGACTAGCTCTATATTTCGATCCTTATGTTCCTATCAATCTATGGAAGATTTGACCTGAGGCAATATCTACAGGACAACAAGCTGGTGTATAGAGCCAGAAAGAAGAGCCAGGTATACATTGAAGACATGGCTGTTCATGAGGCCATTCTATTCTCTGTGCGCTTCTGGGACATCATTGCTACAAAAGGATCCTCGTGAACATAATGGATTCTCTATTTCCGCAATAATTCTGGCCTCGTCGAGTGATGTAGTTGGACAACGACACCTCCAAGCCAGAGACAGGAGGAATCCTTAACTAGGCATTGCACTCACCGAGTCAGCTCATAGTACTAGCCAGTTAACTAACTAATTAGGCAGTCCAGGGAAGAGTCGCCCAGGGGCTCCTTAGCTCTCTCTACAATCATCGACACGATGCACTCCGTACACTGTATTATCGCACATCCAGACCGTCGATTTAGTCAGACTTCCTCACGCCGAGGGCTATAGCCTCTCTACTACGCCCCCCATGCATGCAAATACGCAGCTCACTCGCAAGTCTTACGAACTGTCAACGGCAGCCTTTCTAGCTTTGCCCGCATCTAATATCAGCCCCTGATGCACTGTTGGCCCCGCCTGTGCTCCGCGTCGCGTTTCCCGCAAGGGTTCAATGACCCAAACTGTCAGAATCTAACATGTTCTGAGCCATCAATGATTCTCTGGCTAGAATTACAGCTACTTATCTGTCGCGCACGTTGCCGGGATTGCCAGATGTCTGTTCGCAGAATGTTGATGAGTTTATCTTCCCTCTTTACTTCCTATGTAGATAGTAACTCGGTAGAATTTAACCAGTCAGCAAGAGACTCAAGGCAGCTTACGGTCTAAGTAGTTGCAGGATTAGCGAAAGTTTAAGAAAGCATCCATGTCGCTCTGTAACTGCCAGCTCAAGACTGCAGAATACATAATCGTGGACAACAGTAACTAACGTAATCGGTAAGCGAACCGGCCACGTAAACGAACCGGCCACATCTCCCAAAAATAACTCTATATATTGATTTCAAATCCCAATTTCAAATCCACATACAAAATGTATACAAAAATCTAACTAGCATTACGATTAGGACATCTGTTAATTCGATGCCCAATAACTCCACAACCACTACACTGAAATTGGCGTCGTACAATTGTTTGAGAGGCTGGGAGCTCCGGCTCGGCCGGAGCAGTAGTAACAGCTTGAGATGCTTCAACCTGACCTTGTACGAGTGCTTGAGCTTCTTCTCTAGTAATCCCTTGCTCAGTAGATATCTGTTTCTTAGATCTTTGGCGTTTTTGCTTCTCTTTTTCATTCGCAGCTCGAAAATCATGGCTTTCTTTCCGTACGAGTAACAGATCATTCATTGTGATTTCATAGGCTTTTGACATCCGCGTAATTACTTGATCAATCACTTGATTTGGATTTCCTGTACATTCACTTATACGTCTCTTTAATGTAGTTGACTGGCGTAGGAATTGACGTATATTTTGAGGTGTCTGTAAACAGGATGATTGTGTATTGCTGGATTGACTTGGAGGGGGTTGGCGTTTTCAATTGAATATTAAGTTGTTGAATAACTCGATCCGGATTGAAAGGCACTAATCCAGTGGCTGTGAAGCTATTCCGGATAGTTTGAGCTTTATAGGCCATCGTACGAGCCTGTGGAAATGCTGTTAAAAAGTCAATTTTGTCAATATGGTTGAAGCCAAGCCTCATTCGCTGCTCAACAAGCTGCCCATAATGCCGTTTTAAAACAGCAAAACAGCCAACATCAAGAGGCTGTACGAGATGTGAAGAATGAGCTGGCATACAGACTGGAATAATACTATTCTCAGTACATGTACGGTCAAATTCTGGTGTTAAATGGCTTCCATGGCCATCAAGAATCAACATAGCATATGTTCCCAATGTATGAGCACGAACAAGAGGAATAAAATGGGTTTTAAGCCATTCTAATCCTATTTGATCTGTAGTCCAGCCATTTTCACTAATATTGATTCTCCAATCATCTGGGAGCTCATCAAACCAGCCTAATCGTACATTTTTTTGGCTTTGAAGATAATGTACGAAGGCAGGGCCCATCCAGTTGAATTTGTTGCTTCAATTGCAGTCACCCATTCTCAATTTCCAGGTTGTAAAAGCTTTGGCCGAGTGTATCGATCGCTTCCAGTAATAACCTTTGCAGTTGCGCAGAGTCCCATAGCAAAGCCAGTCTCATCAAAATTGTAGATATCTTCTGGTAGGATTCCGTACGTAGATATAGTAGTTTGTACGCGGTCAAAATATTCTTGAATAATCTTCGGATCTTCACATTTCGCACGTTCATAATTGTATCTTCGTGAGAACTTCGAACTGATCTCTGGGCGACGTTTAACAAGATTATATACCCATTTTTCTCCAACCCGTTGATCTCCAGATTGTGAGAGAAGATAATTGGCCATTTCTCGTACGAGAGAGTGCCGGGGGGGTAATCCACGTCGATCTAAATCGAGCACCCATTTGACAAGCGATTCCTCCTCAAATTGAGCTAATTTATGGTTGTTGGCGCGTATTAGCTGTCGATATTGTCTTCCCTTTAATCGATCCTGAAGAGTTGTACGAGGGATTGTATAGATTCGTGCAGCTTCACGAATACTGCGAATTTTTCCATTTTTCAAGTCGGAAATAGCTAATTCAATCTTTCCCTCTATTTGGGCTATTTGTAATGGATCTTTTTTGCGAATTTGTGGCATTTTGACGCGTTGAAATATAGTAAATCAATATATAGAGTTATTTTTGGGAGATGTGGCCGGTTCGTTTACGTGGCCGGTTCGCTTACCGATTACGTTAGTAATGTTATGCAGGTCAATCTACGTGATTATCTAAGCAAGTCCTTGACCTCAGACTCTGCGACATCCTCTGCGCGACATCCAGACAGTCTACAGCAAAGCAGAGAGAACGAACTCCCTCGAACAGCATCTATCTATCTACTATATCTTTGATACTTCTTTTCCCGTTTTTACAGGGTTAAGATCTATCCTCTCTATCCCTTCAACCATCATGTCGAACGAAATGGACGTCGACCAACCCGTCGCACAGGACGGTGGCGCCCCCACACAATCAGGAAATGGAGCATTCGAACCGAGAACAAAAGCTGGAGCTGTCGCAGTACGGAGTATCGAGGGGTGGATTGTGTTAGCCACCAATATCCACGAGGAGGCGTCTGAGGAGGACGTGACGGATCTCTTTGCGGAGTACGGTGAGGTTCGGAACTTCAGCTTGAACCTTGATCGGAGGACTGGTTATGTTAAGGTATTCCCTTTTATTTATTTGCTTTTTAATGCTCTTTTTGGTAGAGAGCTGTAGGCGCTGACAATCTCTCCTTTTCCCTATCCCAGGGCTACGCATTAATCGAATACTCTACCCTCCCCGAAGCAAGCGAGGCCATTAAAAATCTAGACGGAGCAAAATTGCTTGATCAGACTATTCATGTTGACTATGCTTTTGTTCGGCCTCCGCCTTCGAATAAGCCAAAGGGTGGTGCAGGCAGGGGTGCGCGCGGTGGACGAGCCCGGAGCAAGAGTCGTGAGAGAAGTCGCAGTCCTGGGGCTGATAATGGGAGGGACTGAAAATGAACCGGCAAAAGAATAGAGACCATACATTTCATTTATCCCGGTCCCTGCTTTCATCCTTTGATACCCAGCTTTTTTTCTATCGAGCCTCGTTCTCTCGGCTCTTATTGCACGCAGACCAGGCTCGTTCTGGGATGCGTACAAAAAGCATGCTTTGTCTGCTGCCGACAATTGCCTACTTTCCTTGCGTGCGCGCTTCTAAAATGGACAGGTCCTTTTGGATTTGCAGCTGATCGCTCCTACAGGAAGGGGTAACTTGTCGGCGTCGTGATATTTCCATGAACTGGTACGATATGCGCTCCGTTTTCTCATTCTATGATTATGTGGCTGACTTCGATTTAGAGCTTATTACTGTTACATTTATCTTGCTAGTAGAGGAAGATATAAGAAGGATTTTGATATCATCTTGATGAAGTGCATAGTGTACCCTGCGCTAGGCTAGACTAGAGGCTGTGAAGTCTTCCTTGGATTTATATGAATATTCTTTTTTTTTTCTTTTCTTTTCCTGAAAAGTATAAACCACTGTTTTCAATGTGTATGTGCAATATAGATTGTCGTTGAGCTGATGTTCTCCTGTAACCTCCCACGATCATTCACGACAAGGTATAACCTTGTGGGTATCACAGATGCAGATGCACGTCTGGAAGTAGATGGCAGAGCTCTATTCATCCCATGATACCAAGCAGCTGACTCTCTGCATGATTTCCTCGTGTGATTTCCTTCAGCTTCTCGTCACTTTCTCTGCGGGGAAGGCCGCGGACTTGGCATCTTTGCCAATGAGCTTTTAAATGCCGGACTTCCCCACATGGGGATGGATGTAACGGAGTACTTCCTGTTACCACTCTAGATCTTTGCTACAAAAGCTTCCTGCTCCCTTTCATCGCATTCATCTCTCTCCTGTCACTGCAGTTTGACGAGGTAGCGGAGGGTCCTGGTCCTCTGCTACCTGGAAAGTACTATTTATTGCCAGACAAGTCGACGTTCCACCACTTTTGTCGATCAAAGACGAACCATGGCAAAGATGGTCTTTCAGACCCCTGTTTCGCAGTGGAATGCAACCATCTTTCTCCTCTGCGTCCTTTCTTTCTTGCTGGGAATTGATGCACTGGCTCTGCTACCTCGGAGTTTATCTACATCATCGGTACGATCGCCCAAGCCAGTGTTCTTGTTAGATGAATCGGTGACAGTATTCGAAGAGGCATTGCCATTCGATTCTCCCGGATTGCCTGCGGATCCCCCCGGCTCCATCGGTACCATATTGAAGGAGCTTCTCTACGCTCTGAATGTGATGCAAGATGACTACTTCGAACTATGGCAGGGCACCTGGCCAACGAGCATTGATTGGACTGCTGCTGTCCTTGGAACCCATGTTTCAGCAACTCTCTCTTCCCTGGCTTCGACCTCCGAAAGCATCCTGGCGTCTGTTTTGTCTCCTGGAGATGGTAATGCAGGAGACGAGTTGGACTCGATAATGTCCAGACATGTTTTTGAATTCGAAAATCTCCTGAGCCACTTCTTCGACCACCTTGCCAGTTTCTACTTTGGTGAGAATGCATTCGGCGTGAGGAACCAGGCCTACGACGACATGCTCTGGGTCGTTCTGGGGTGGCTGGAGAATATCAAATTGCAAGATCTGCACTCCGAGTTACGCTACACTTCCGGGGGTCGACAGGCCTGGCATGCGAGTCAGTTCCGCGATCCAGCTGCGCATAGAGCGCGGCTCTTCTACGAGCTCGCGTCGGAAGGGTGGAATAGCTTCCTCTGCGATGGGGGGATGATCTGGAGCCCTTATCTGACTCCGTACAAGAATGCCATTACGAATGAGCTATACATCTCCGCCAGCATCGCCATGTATCTCTACTTCCCGGGAGATCCTATCGATTCACCGTTCGTCCTCGCAGACGCCTCCGATGAGTACCCTCACAATCCGGCTCATCTGCAAGCCGCGATAAAGGGCTACCGCTGGCTAAAGAACTCCAGGATGATTGGCAGGGGCGGTCTGTACGGTGATGGATTCCACATCAGCGGGTGGGAAAGCGCCGATAAGCCAGGCACGCGCAGATGCGACGTTCTTAATACCATGGTCTACACGTACAACCAGGGCGTCATCCTCAGCGGGCTAAGGGGGCTCTGGCTAGCCAATGGATCGCAGGAGTATCTGTATGACGGACACGAACTGATCCAGAAAGTCATGAAAGCCAGCGGGTGGCCCGACATCTTCAACAAGGGATGGATGGGCCTGGGCCGTTCCGGCATCATCGAAGAAGCCTGCGACTCTCACGGCAGTTGTTCCCAAGACGGCCAGACCTTCAAGGGCATCTTCTTCCACCACCTGACGGAATTTTGTCGACCTCTTCGCCCGCAGGAAGAGCGTTTCCTCAGTTCCTCTCCAGTCAGCCCATTCACGACGGACGACGACACCACCGGCTGGCAAGATGGTTTCAACTGGCATCAGTCTCAGTGTCGAACATATCGCACTTGGATCGAACACAATGCCAAAGCCGCCTTGGTGTCGAGGGACACGGATGGCAAGTTCGGGACATGGTGGGGCAGGCCCTATCGTCAGTTCGACCCGGACGGCGACGATGATATCGTCAATAGCAGCTTCCTACCTCCTGGGGCGGTGGATTATCGCAACGACGATGAAATACTGGAGGCACTTAGGGCTTCCAACCCACCGAGTCGCGTATCTGAAAGCGGCTTCCGTAATACACGGCAACCCGGTGAGAAAAGAGCGGAGTCGCAGGAAACGTGGAAACACCATCCTCCAACCCGGAATCAAAAAATGGAAACGAGTCCGGGAGACTATAATGACCGAGGCCGTGGTCGGACTGTGGAAACCCAGTCTGGGGGGGTGGCTGTGTTGAGGGCATTGTACCAGTGGACGATGCTCTAAGACATGGAATGAACATGAACATGGAACACGATATGACATGTTATTATTGGAAAGCTAGACTGTATATGAATTTTGATCTTTCTGTACGGAGTACTCTTCACTTGCATATATGGGTTCATTTTTACAGGGTTCTTTTAGGGATTGATAGGAACAAGAATATTATAAGTCGCAAGACGATCTGAGATAACCATGTCCATTCCATTTTATGCCTAGAAGGTATCAACATTAGAATATATGCTTGCTGTATTGAGTACGAAATATCCTCCATTCAATCGTCCTACAGACCAAGCCAACCCCACCAGCAATAATAATACCGCAAATAATTGAAAACAAAACTGAGACACATTACCCTAAATGTTATCATACATCATACGGTATCTGCGGTGTACATTGCATACAAGAATTCCATGAACTGTATGATGTGGATATAGATGGATACATATCTATTCACCGCAAACTTGGAAAAAGTCTCAGTCAGTCCTTGCATACACATCACATCGGAGACACAAGGAGTGTCATGTCATAATATATATCAAATAAACAAAAAAGAAAAGACAAGACAATATGTTCTGGAAACAAGTTATATTCATGTCTATATATATCCAGGATCATTAAACATGCTCATGACTATCCTGTCATTACATCATGGAGCATTCATTGTACTTCATCTTCAAGCAGGGTATGCGGTACCGTTTACCTCTTTCGCTACTTTATTCAAGTTTCTTGTATATATCATATCATGCCAGTAATATTATATGTACTAGATAGTAAATGACCGACTGCATCTGCATCTGTATCGTTGCATATGATATGATACTATGCGGAATAATCCGTAGCCCTACGGGTATATAGTGTCTGATATTATATTATCGTCCCTAGTTCAGTTCAAGCATGGATCTATGATGTTGATCCGCATTAAATCAAAGCATCTTAGTTCATGTACTTCTTAGCCTGATGCAGAATTTACCTCCCTTGCCGAGTATTGACCGAATTGCATTGCATTGCTCCACAGGATCATCCAGGGGCTCATTACTGGGCAATAATGGGTCTTGATCAAGTGGATTTCTGCTGCGCACAAGTCAGTAATCATTATTCACTACCGTCTGTAGAATAGAACTAGCTGAAAAGCATCCGCGCAGGGGTATGTATAGATAAGCTGAAAAGTCCTCCAGAACCCACTGAACCGCTGTCCCGCTGCACCACTGCACGCCGAAGAAAAAAGAAATTCGCCACGCCCGGACGAGTCCAAGAGGGGAAAAGAAAAAAAGAAAAAGAAGAAAAAAGTACATTTACAGGAAGAAAAGGAAGAACACCTTGGTTGCTCCGTAAAATGCCTTCCCACTTTTACAGCAACCACATGTGAATTTCCCGTGAAGCCCCCCAACCATCGAAGTCCAAGTACTCCATCCCAAACGCCAAATGCTATGCCAATATAACTCGCGAAGAAGGTTAGAAGAAACAAATGAGTAAAAGTTTTCACGAGACCCATGCCCCTCGCTGGGGTTATGATCCTATAACCTCGGGTCGGGATCAAGGTGGCGAACAGGGTTATATAACAATCGACGGCGATGTCACAGGGTCCTGTTGGGGAAAGAAACGAAAAAGGGCCCCTCATAAGCAAACACGTCCCAGGGCCTTATTATTCCAGGAACCCGGGCGCATACGAGTTCAGGCTGCGGCGCATTCCACTTGATCGGATCCGACCTGAATACCGAATAGCATCAGGCGGCTGATATTACAGGTCACGGGTCATGTGCTTGTCGCTTTGCATCGGAAAGAACCAGAAGAGAAGAAAAAATCACACCTGTTGTCGCTCATCACCTGTGTCCAGTGCAAAAGTTACCGCAGTGTCCGCCTCAATGTAATAGTCGAAGATCTTTTTTTTGTTTTTCATTGGTTGAATTCCCTTTTGATTTTCTCTCCTTCCTTTTCGACAGCCACCACGCGATTTTTGCCAGTGGGCACGTCGGCCACAGTCGAAACAAAGAAAAGGAACACGAACAGAAAGAATGTCGGTCAAGTGCGGTCGCAGAAACAATCGTTCAAAGAGGATTTGATTGTAGGAGATAATGGAGGCATCATAAGTCATGAACTGGCGTAAAATCGGACTCCCTGAAGATACCGCCGGCCTGTTATTTGGCGCTTGCGTTCCGTAATCTATTTCTGGGACTTTCTTCCCTTTGTTCCCGACCTCACGATTTCGTTTTTGGTCATGTTTCGAGTCAATCCACCAATGTAATCCTGTAGGAACTTGTTTTCATTTTCGAGCCTGTCGTGGTCTGATTTAACGGCTTCTATCCGCTCCGCTAGGGCCTGGAGGGAAGATTGCAGGGACTTGGCTTGTCTGGAGAAAGTGATCCGAGTCAGATCCGATCCAAGAGCCGAAGAAAAGCAGGAAACAGGTACAGCAAACACAGACGACTCACTCTTGCAGGGTCTGCCTCGCCTCTTTTCCCAGTCGCTCCAGATCGGCGGAATTGCGGCGCGGACTCATGGCGCGCGCATCGTCCGGTGGAAACTCTTCCTCCTCGATTTCAATCTCCGGGTGATCACGGGGCACCAGTATGGACGTGCTGGGTTTCCGGGAGATGCGACGAGGGCGATCAGCCCGACTCTTGCGCTCAGACTCGGCGTCAGATATGGATGATGACGAGGACACGGATGCCACATGCAAGTGAGCGCCCTCATTGGGTTGAGGCATGATAGGAACTGGCGAGGAGGTGTGGATATGCGTGGAAGAATCCATGTGTGACGGACTGTCGACTCGAAGAAGACAGGGTCAATAGGGTGAGAAGAGGATGAGGGAAGGGGTGAGAGGAAGGAGGCGGATGGAGTGTTTCGGAGTTGATGATGTCGTGGAAGGAGAAAAAAGAAACGAGAAAAAGAAAAGGGATTATCGCACCAGGGGCGGTTCCGTGGGCAATAATATGAAGACGAATGGAGGGGAAGGCGACGAGGAAAAAATTTAGTGCGAGTCGCCCAAAGAAAGGACAAGGAAAAGGGGGACCCGCAAGAGGAACTACCACGGTTGACTTCTAACGTGGTCGAAGAGGAGCCGATGACACCTGAAATGCCTCACAGAGAAACAGACGAGGTCTTCAGGATCCCGACAAAAGGACGCCGGCGGTCTTAAGGAAGCAGTTCAAGTTCGTTCCCAACAGGGCAGAGAAGATATGTAGAAGCAGCACATGGCGGCGGTTGGGAAACCATGGCAATAATAATTACAAAAAAAATATATACATATAAAAAACAGAAATAATTAAAATAAAAACAAAAATAATAATTACGGAGTACAATAATAAGGAAAACGAAATGAAGAAAAAATGAAAAAAATGAAATGGAGGTATCTATGCAACTCCATACCCCGGGCGAAGCCTCACTGGCCGCTACCACAGAGCCCACTGGGCTTTGAAGCCCGCCAGAGAACCAACGAGCACTCCATCGACTGCAGATCTCCCAAGTCGCATGCGTTTTCGGTGGTTGGTCGGGGAAAGTTCAAATTGAATCTACATTTCGTCCCAAAATAGATATGAATAGTTTACTAATACGTATGCTAAGCAGTCCAATAGTGGCCTCGGTATATCTCGGGGAGGCAAGGCTATTTTTATGGTCGTAAGGTGGATTATTATGAAGAGATTAGCATTAGTAAGACCGAAAAACTCTCCGGACTCGATAGAATGGAAGGATGTTACTCGACGGGATTATTCTCGGGTAACCGAGTCGCCTCCGACTGTGGAGCCTGTAGATCATGGCATCTTCTGCCCATCGTTTCTTCTCTGGTTTTTGCTCTTGTTGTTGTTGCTGCTGCTGCTGTTATTGTGGGATGCATCGAAGATATGATCAGACCACAGCGGCGTGCTTGTAAATTGTATGCATAGACTAAGTATACGTGTATACGCAGATGGAAGTTCTACAGAGTATAGAAAAGAATCCGAGCTTAGACCCAAACTGCAGGCTTCATAAAGTTCAGCCAACCCACAGACCCATTTTTAATCACACAACCATAGGAGAAAATTTTGAATCCTTTCCCTTTGCGTTCTCCGGCCGTGCCGGCCGTGCCGAGTAAATTTGTCGGCATGCCGTGTTTCGTGTTCCGTGTCCCGTATTATCCTCGGTCCGACTGCACTGCACACAACTCACTACTGCGACGCAGTGTACACGCCTGACCAAGGCAATTTTTCGTCTGTCATGAGGTCTTTCTTTTGGGCCTGGTCATGCAGTGGTTCTCCGTCGTTTCATTCGGAAGAAGAATGGACGTGCGTCGGATTGAGTATTGCGGCTGTAGTCGAAGACGTAATGGTTCCACCGAAGGTTTAAGCACTCGAAGCGATAAGCGACGAGACTACAGTGACGCACTGGAGAGACTCGTCTTCGAGAGCGCTGAGCAATGCATAACAGGGGAAAGAGAATAGTGCATCGAGGATAATCGATTGACCTACGTACTAGGCGTACGTCCTAAGAGTACGCAGAAGCCCTAGGATCCGAATCGGGCAACGATGGCTCGCGGGTTTTTTCGTGGCGAGTTTCTGGGTTTCCCATCTACTGGGTATGGAGTCTGGATCATCAGCTAACTCCAGGGAATCACGTCTCCCCACGGAGGCGTCTCCATCCTGCGCCTCGCTTCCATTCGTTGCATCGCGGTGCGTCTGGTCAAGCGACCAGACCCTGGGTCGGCGATGACAAACCAGGACTGCCATTATTTATACCAGGATTTCTCACGGTTGGCTTCCGCGTTGCTTCCAAGGTTCACTTTGACTCAATTGACTTTTCTTAATTGACAGATCTTCCTCTTCCTCTTCCTCTTCTTCTTCCTCTTCCTCTTCCTCTTCCTCACTCTTCTTCCTCTTCCTCATACCTCTCCTCCACACACCTCTCCACAGAAATGAAAAACATGGAGAAGGAATCCCACTCAGAGAGTGCTTCTCACGCTGAGAATGCAGACCACATCAACACGCCCTCCACCCTCACTCAATCCCCAAACATCGGTCCCAAGATCGGTACGAAGGGTCAGATCGCGGGAGGCAAATACCTCGAAGCCCTGCGCAATGACGAGGGCAAGATCTCTCGTGACATACCCCTGCAGGAAGTCGACTTCGACCTGCCATTGACGCTGACCGAATGCGTCTTCCACAATGACATCGAGTACATCGTCCTCGACTATGCCCCCGGCGACAAGGAGGATCCCTTCAACTGGAGCAAGGGCTACAAATGGTTCATCTCCAGCTTGCTCTGTCTCATGACGCTGTTCATCGGTCTCGCAACCACCGCGTACAACTCCGGCATGGCACACATGTGTGAGGACTTAGGCGCCGCCATTGAACTCGGCCAGCTCGGTCTCTTCACCTTCAACATGACCTGTGCCCTGGCACCGCTCTTCCTCGCCCCCTTCTGCGAACTCGTCGGCAGACGTATCGTCTACTCAGGCGCCTACCTCCTCTTCAGCATCATGTTCATCGGTCTCGCCCTGGGCAAGAACTCGCCACCATCATCGTCTGCCGTGCCCTGCTTGGTCTCTTTGGCTGCGTCGGCACCATCCTCGTGGGCGGCACCTTCGACGACATGTTCATCCCCGAGGAACGCGCCGTCCCCATGGCCCTCTTCTCCTACATCGCCATCCTGGGAACCGTCGGCGCCCCCATCTACGCCGGCTTCATCGACCAGGCCATCGGCTGGCGCTGGGTAGAGGGTATCCAGGGCCTGTCCAACATCCCCCTCCTCATCATGGTCGTGCTCTTCCTCCACGAAACCCGCGGCGGCGTCTTCCTGGGCAAACGCGCCAAACGCCTCCGTGCAGCCACCGGCGATGACCGCTACGTGACGCGCGAATCCATCGAAGCCCCCAACCTCAAGCAAATGCTCTACAACTCGTCCGTCAAGGCCATCAAAATGCTCATCACCGAGCCCGTCGTCTTCTTCTTCGGTCTCTGGATCAGCTTCGCCTGGTTCATCGCCTTCCTGTTCCTGTCCGTTATCACCATTTCCTTCTCCGAAAAGCGTCACTGGGGCGAGGGAGTCGCAGGTCTCCCCTATATCTCCCTCTGCATCGGTACCACTCTCGCTTTCGCCATGAACTTCCTCCAGATCAAGAAATACCGCTCCATCACGGCATCCCATCCAGACCAGTCCACCCCCCCCGAGGCCCGTCTGTACGGCGCCATGTGCGGTGCCCTCTTCCTCCCCATCGGCCTCTTCATCTACAGCTTCACCCAGTACGCGGACCTGCACTGGATCGGTCCCAATATCGGTCTCGCATGCATCACCTTCGGTATCTTTTTCATCTTCGAGTCTTGCTATTCTTTCACCTCAGACTGCTACGGTCCCAATGCCTCTTCCGCTATCGCTGGTCAGGGCTTCATGAGAAACACGCTTGGAGCCGTCTCGCCGCTTTTCGGTGCCCAGTTCTTCCATAATGTCGGCAGTCAGTATGCTGGTCTCATTCTTTCCATCGTCGGTACTGCACTCACCTTGCTGCCTTTTATCCTCTTCAAGTTTGGGCCGCAGATTAGAGCTCGTTCCAAGCTTGCCATTAAGCGTGGTGGTGAAGCTATCTGATTTTTTTTTTTTCAACTTTCTAATCTAATCTGACGAATAAAAAAAGATTGACTCTGCATATGAATGCGTTATTAATATGCATTACGTTTGTTTGTTCTGTCTATGTGCATAGGCATGATGTGATCTGGGCCTGATTTTTGTACATTATTTTTTTATTATTGTTCATTATCTCCTTTCTTGTCTCGCTGTTATTAAGCAATTTGTCTGAAATCGGCATGGTGTTGGGTCTTCTGCATTGACAGGCTGGTGTTACTATTGCAAGATCATGTTATGGAAAGAATTCAAGAGCGAGCTAGCTAGAATAAGAATCTAGAATAAGAGCTATTATGACTATACTATCCATTCTTATCCTGTACTTTTGTACTTTAGATTCTAAAAGCCTTAGCACTCCAAGACTCCTTATCAATATTGATAACTGGTTGCTCAAACAGCAAGTGTAACTTTATTGCCTGAAGTTCCGAGAAATGCCTAACAGACAAAAGGCAGAGGCAGAAAATGTCATAGATGGAAACTGGAGCACCGGTAATCCCAAAAGCGCTCAAGGGAGAAGAACGAGACGGAAAGAAATAAAAACAGCAACTGATTAAAAAAGAGATTCAAGACCCAATTTCCATCCGTCCGTGGTGGTTCCATTCCACGTTATCAGAGGACAAGAAAAACCGTGTCTCGCTCCTTTACCTTCTTCATTCTAATCCTCTACGCCGTAGTCCATCCATTCTAAAACGCGACTTCGACTATCATTAACCCCTTCTTTACTCAGCAGGCTTCTCGCCCTCGCCAGCCGGAGCCTCTTCCTCCTTCTCGGCAGGGGGAGCCGCATTCGACTCGGGAGCAGGGTCAGCCTCGGAGGAGGTCCAGAGAGTCTTAATTCAAACGTTAGAAAAAAAAACCGTCACTGATAATGCCGAGGTTGGATCTTACCAGGTTGTCTCTCAAAAGCTGCATGATAAGGGTCGAGTCCTTGTAGCTCTCCTCGTTCAACGTGTCAAGCTCTGCGATCTTGTTAGTTTCAAAACAACGTCATATGTTATACGCCATATGTCCACCAACGTACCAGCAATGGCATCATCGAAAGCAAGCTTGGCCAGGTGGCAAGCCTGATCGGGGGAGTTAAGAATCTCATAGTAGAACACGGAGAAGTTGAGGGCAAGGCCGAGACGAATGGGGTGAGTCGGGGCCAAATCAGTCTGTGCGATCTCGGTAGCACTCTTGTAGGCCGCAAGAGAAGCGTCGGCAGCAGCCTTACGGCGGTCGCCAACGGCAAACTCGGCGAGATAACGGTGGTAGTCGCCCTTCCTGTAAACCACAACCATATCAGATCCTAAATCTTTCCAACACTGCACAGAAGATAAGTTTCACGTACATCTTGTGGTAGAAGACCTTAGACTCGCCACTCTGGGCAGAGGGAAGGAGATGCTTGTCGAGAACCTCGAGGATATCGTCGCAGATCTTGGCCAGCTCGGCTTCGATCTTCTGGCGGTATTCCTTGATCAGTGCAACCTGGGCCTCATTTCCTTTCGATTCTTCCTTCTGCTCGATCGAGGTGACGATTCTCCACGATGCACGTCTGGCGCCAATGACGTTCTTGTAGGCAACGGAGAGGAGATTCCGCTCTTCGACGGTGAGTTCTACGTCCGAAGAAGCCACAACCTTCATGTTCTCGACCATCTCTGTAGTTCTACGTCAATAACAGCCTGATATAGGAGCGAGGGGCAGTAAACACATACCCTCATAGCGCTCAGCTTGCTCGGCCAACTTGGCCAGGTAGACAGCATCTTCGTGACCCATTGTGGATGGAATTTCTGGACGTCAACGTCAGCAAGCGCTCTACAAATCTGATTACTATTTCCCTCTTGTGTGCGCTCTCCGTCCTCGATGCCAGGCGGATCGCCCCGGAATCACGCAAACGGGCAGAACAAGGCGTATAGAATAGAGCAAGAAATGTTGATAAGAAGGCCAGTTGGGCTTCTGCTTCAGGATGTAGATGATATATGGCAGGAAGATGGATGGTGTAGATGCGCTGGACCATTTGTTGTCCCTTCTCCGCCTGACCGCGCGTTGCGGGCGCTGCTCCACGGTGGTCCAGACCGACAGGAAGGTCGGAGAGCAGATGAATCCAACGCGATTCATTCTGGGATAGTGAAAGGCGCATTGCTAATTCTATCTGTATGTATGGCTCTGTCTGCACTGTTTTCCTTCCCACAATTTTTTTTTTCTCGCTCTTCGCGGGGATGACCAGAGGCACGGAAAGTGTAAGAGGGGAGGGGCGGTTCTCTCTCACCTGGATATATCAAACAGACGAAAGCAGGAAATGGAGGATGGGAAGTTTAGTGATTGGAAGAAGGAGAAAATGTAACAGGATAGGCGATGGGGAAAGCAGAGATGCAGAGGAAACAAGAGGGGGGAAGACAGTCGAGAATGAGATGCAGCAGGGAAGGGAGGGAGACGCTGCGGCGGGCGGGGCAGACCAGCTGCGCAGTGCGCAGTATATGCCTGAGGCAGCCTTCATCTCCGTAATATTAAAATAACTAGTAGTTGTCATACTCCGTTTATAACATCATTCCAATAATCAGGCTGTCCCCACTAATGCCAATAGCCTCACTTTCCCCCCTTAACTTCCCCGATGCCCATAAACCCGAGAAAATGCCAGGGAGGCTGGGTGAGCCTTAACATAGGTGCATAATAAGAGGGGAGTTCTAGGGACAGCTCTCAGCCGCAGGTGGATGGTAAACCGGGTAATCAAAAATACTAGAACGCGCGATCAGAATAACATGTCTCTAGAGCCTTGAAGCGTTGAAGCCGTTGGCTACATAGTATCTACTCTAGAACGTCAAGCTGGAGAAAGGAACAGCGGCACTAGTCCCGATGGGGAAGCACCACCAATGCCATCTGCAATCGCCAACAAGTCGAACAACCCGACTATTACTATCATCCTGGCCGCTGCTCACCACCGAACCATGCCGCACCGGCGTGTCTTCGCGCCCCTGCGAGAGCCTCTGCGCCACGACCCGCAGCTGCAGCTTCAGCCAGACCAGGTGCGCGGCGCATGCCCCTTCTTGAATCCCACCCATGCGATCTTCATGCCAATAATCGAGGCGCCACAGACCGAGCCTCCTGTCGCGAAAGAGCAACAGCAGCAACAGGGTCCATCAAGGGCCGCCCATCCCAACCAGATTCGCTATCTCTGGCGCTCGCGCGACAATCGCAAGGGCCGGCATGCTCTTCAGGTACAGCACCACGCCCTGTATGCCTTGCCTAGGAATACCAATGGGCTCCGCGCCGTGCTCGCGGGCCTCTGGCGCATGGCCACTGTCTTCCCCTACTGGGATGTATCGTACCTTGTTGCTTTTATCTTCACTCTCGGTTCGGTCATCTGGGTTATCAACGCCTTCTTCGTCTGGCTGCCGCTCGAGGACCCCAGCTCCGAGTTCTCCAACGAGTCCTCAACCGCCGGTGGCGTGACAGCCTTCGTCGGCGCTACCGTCTTCGAGATCGGGAGCATCTTACTGGTGCTCGAAGCTGTCAATGAAAATTCCGCGGGCTGCTTTGGCTGGGCCCTGGAGCGCGTGCTCCGCGACCAGGCCGACGAGCTCCTGGATGTCCTGCAACCCGATAACCACGCCTGTCAACACCACCATGTGAACCGGAGGGCCTTCCTGAGCGGCCGTCAGCAAGCCATCACCACCAGCGGGCGCACCTTCACCTGGCTGCCATCCTGGAACGAGCTGCGGACGCACTACATGCGTGAACTGGGATTTCTCGCCTCCATGGCCCAGTTGATCGGGGCCACCATCTTCTGGATCTCCGGCTTTACGTGTCTGCCCGGTATCATCAATCATATGAGCCAGGGCCTGACCGATGGAGTTTTCTGGGTGCCGCAGATCGTCGGCGGCAGTCTCTTCGTGATTAGTGGGTATGCCATCCAGTAAAATATTATCCACGGAACCAAGAGAAACGTCTTCAGCTAACGCACGCATCCTCAAAGCCTCCTCTTCACCATTGAGACCCAAAAGAAGTGGTATATCCCCGCTCCGCACGTCCTGGGTTGGCATATTGGCATTTGGAACTTTATCGGTGGAATTGGTTTCACGGTTCGTCTGCTCCCCTTCTTCCGAATCCTGTCTTGTGCTGTCCAGTGAGACGAACATGAACTCCAGCTCTGCGGCTCCCTCGGGCCTGCCAGCGCCAACTCTGGCGTCGATTATGAATCAACCCTAGCCACCTTCTGGGGCTCCTGGGCCTTCCTAATAGGTTCTATCATCCAGTGGTATGAGAGTCTGGACAAGTATCCTGTTGAGACGAAGAAGCAGAATTTCCGGTCCTGATCTAAGCTTTTTCTGTCTCGCCTACATACATGGAGAATCTCCAGACGCGGGCCTCAAACGTAGCATCCTGGAGACCCAGATGCGACACCAGGTTATGGCCATTGATAGTCCAAGCTACTTAAGGTCAAGATGATAACAAAAATCCCAGAATGACTGCTATCAATATGGGTTCTCTGATCAACTTAGTGTTCGCATTAGACAGAGGAGGCCTGCATTTTGATTTCTCCCATACGGTGTCAACGTTCGACGTAGACCGACCATGCTTCGTTATCATTCCTTACGGTACCTCCATGGAGCAATTGCCACGGCCCGCTCATCGAATCTTGAGTACGGCCTAGGTGGTCGAACCCGTTGCCAGCAAGTCTAGGTTGGAGAGCAAGGCAATGACGATGATAGCATGAATACTTCTCACAACATTCCAGAATCACACGCTATTGGACAAGGGGAAAGGTCAAGCAGTAGATGTGGATGAAGCAACTCCAACCTCGGAGGAAGGTGAAGATATGTTACACTCTTCTACTAGTAGTATGTGAGGCAGAATCGGCTATTCCAATGAATGCTTCCGTGTGTTATTAGAGAGAGGTAGTCACATTGGTGTTCATTAGCCCGATAAAAAGCCCATTTGGGTATCATCACATGACAGGTAGTCCATAAGCACTTCCACTCGAGGACGGAAACAGTCAGCGTTAACAACTCCATTCCTACCATGTCTCAAACCGTCCTGGCTGTTCCTGAACTCGTTGCGGCGGTGCTTCAGCCTCTTGATCTGACCAGCCTAGTTGCTGCTGCTCAAGTCAATAGGACGTGGGCCCAGGAGGCCACAAATGTCAGTACAATTGCCCCTCATCGACCCTTGAGTCCTTCATGCTGACAGTGGGAGTCGACACGCGTTAGCTTATCTGGCGAGGCACGTATCGTCAGGAGCCTTATAATAGCATGTCAAGCGTGCTGAGAAGCATGACAAACAGCTCTCCAGAACAAAGAAATTGGTAGATGATAACCTTGGCTTCCGAGTTCTACACAGTGGAAAAAGAAGAGATTAATCAACACAAAAGGTACACCAAGAAAATACGATATTTGTATCTTGCACTCGACGCAAACGAGGGACTGCCAATTACTTTACTTCTCAAGCAGAAGGGATTCCAGTTTCCGTATATCAGATCCCTGGTTATGGACGTTACGAGCGAGAATAGCCATGAGGATGTTGTCGCTCAATTTCTACAGCCGAATCTGGTCGGTTTGGAGGTCTTTGGTGGATATTATACTCGTTGGTTCTTAGAACAGATTCGGGTAAGTTCTGCGTGTCCATAAAACTGGCTTGTCCGACCTTCCGAACTGAACTCCGTTTAAACATTCTTAGACCAGCGCTCCTTCGTTGCGAGTGTTTTTGTTGGATAACCGCCTGTTTGACGATGGTAATGATCCATCAGATGATCGCTTGAATGCAACCGATTTTCTGAGATTTTTGCAAGCAATGCCGTCTATCGAGTTTCTGGAGCTGGCATTTGGCTGGAAGCCGTTGTTGGAAGTCGAGGTAATGAGACATATTTTCACCCGGCCTCGACTTCAGTCTCTGCACCTAGGCTCTTCTGCGCGCTCTTCAATGGTCTGGGATATGAAACTGATGAACGGAATTGACTTGGTCGGAGAAATCTTACAAGACTTGCGCTCCCTTGAGGTCGTCGCAGACGAAAAGCCCCTGAGTCTGATCCTACCTAGGTTGCCACGTCTTCAGGCAGTTGATCTGTCACTTCTCTGCCCATCATCACAAGCGATAGTGCTGAACAAGCTGCTGGAGTCTTTGTCCAGATGTACTGGATTGAGGGAGATCTCAATCAACTGTGATGATGGTCTTGTACTTGACAATGATGCTCTATCCAGCTCTGCACTTCTGTCGGTCGCGACAAACTGTCGCTTCCTTCGCATACTTGAAGTGACATCGTCCTTGCCGGCCAGTCTGACTGATGAGTTGATCGAGGCAATGGCTTCAAGACTAACTCATCTGGAAGTGTTCTCATTTGACAGCGCCCCATTTCACGGCCTTTCCTATAAATCAATTGAATCGTTTGCGCGGCACTGCCCCTCCCTGTGTGAGCTCTGTCTGCCCATCAGAGTCGAGTTGACGTCGTTGGAGAGCGAACCCAACAACGTGAAATTTGCCGAGTTGCAGGAGCTGGAAGTCACCCAGGCCACATTTCTCCCCGTGGAGACCTCCGAGGATTTCAGGGCAGTACAAGAGACTTTGGTCCAATTACTGGACAGACGATTGCCACGCTTAACTGCGCTTAGAGAAATCCCTGGTTCTAGCAAGCACGCACATCAGTTGCGGACCTGGATCAGAAATTATCTCAGAAAGCGGCCATCCGGGCCCAACCCGCGTGGGAAAGTCTCTCGCGAGGTGACATTGAGTCTGCTGGAGAGTTGAACAGAAATATCTTGCACACCACCATTAATATGGCTGGGAGGTGGACCCCGATCAGATACACAGAAGCAGTTTAGGAGGAGGGCGAGGTAATAATCCTTCTTGCAGATTCTCCCACCTTTCTCTTTGAGACAGCCATAGCATGCTACGATAATCTTGCGTGCATATAGGAACTGTAGACGGTTCACAGTCATATTCGGTAGATTCCTGGACATCTTTTGTCGCTGGCGTCCAATGATAGCTATATACTTGAAGTTGAGCTATCGCTCATACCGATCATACCTTTCAATAGGACAGATTTCGCGCCGAGATCTCATCAGGTCTATTAACAGCTGCCTCCTTGCCTCATGAGGTGACCATGAAAGGTTGGTTCTACCTCCCACGCTGGATGGCAAGGAAAAAGCTCGGTTTCGGCAGATTGGCAAAACTGGGAAACTGACAAAGTCTCTGAATGTCAAGTCAGTTCATAAAATAGCCACGGAACTTGCAAGATGGCGCTGGGGTACTCTTATTCTGGGCTTCCAGTCGTAATTGACTGTTGGATGACCAAAGCTCTCATCATTCGCGGTGTGGAATGGTCGGAGATTGATGGCCTCAACTGTATGGACCCAATTTCTAGCATCATGACCCTCAGCAGTGTAAAGGCTGCCGAAGAGGCACTGACGATGATTGATCACACTTGATGAACTGGCCGAGCTCGATTTCCTGGCTCGGTAGCGAGGCGTTGAGTGTGCCCACAGATACCTGGAAGTGTCAGTCAGCCTCTTAGTGGTCCCTTCTGCGCTCTACTTGAGTATAGAAAGGTCTGATTCTCTTCATGCATCACCCATCTTTCTTCTCTGTCTTTTGTAAGCAGCTATCGTAAACACGAGAATATCCATCTTTGCGGACATTAGGGCCGTATATAACCCACGTGATTATAATCACATGACCGACAGCGTTGTCGTCACCATCAGCTCTCTTCCCGAAGTCCCTCCATCAACGAACACCGTTGGAAAAAGTCTCCCTTCCCCCAGTACTCTCTACTCCTCCAGAACAACCTTCCCATCACCATGTTCCGCCAACTCGCCACCAAGCCTCTCTCCACCGCCAGCCGTGCTGCTCCTAGCCGGTGCTTCTCCACTGCCGTCCCCAGGTTGGCCGACGGCGACACTGGAGCTCCCCGGGCCTCCGGAAACGTCCACGGGTATGTTTATCTCCCCTCTTGAGCAATCAATTGGTTGTGTGCATATGGAAGACAAGGAGGGGAATAAAAAATTCTGGAAAAATATGCTGCAATTGTTGCGTTTATTTCATTCGGGCTAATTCTTTTTTTTTTTTTTTTCTTTGTTTTGCTAGTGACCAATTTACCCGTCGCGAGGCTGCTGCGGAGTCGCTGTACATCAGGGAGAAGGAATTGGATAAGTATATTCCATCCTCCCCTTCCCCATTTTCCAATTTACCTATTGCCATCTCTTTTACAGGATAGGAGGGAAAAGTTGGCTAATGATTTTTTTGCGCCCTCGTTCAATAGACTCCGTGCTCTCAAGAAGAAGCTCGCCGAGCAGCGCAAGCACCTGGATGAATTGGACAGACACATGTATGTCTCATCGAGCGCAGATATTATATGACCTTGCGAATTGCGGGCGATGGACTGACTTGCTTTCTCTGCTAGTGACGAGTTGACCAAGGAGCAGGGTGGTGAGAAGCACTAGAGTATCTTTACTACTTCATACTCTCTTCCTGTATCACTCTTGTTCATATACCTACTTCCCTAGGCGAACTACATGACAACGTGCCCGGGTTGCAAGTAGGCGGATAGAGATGACTTAGTTCCAATACAGAATGTCCTCATTTGATATCTTCCGGGCGATATCCCCTAAATTATGGTTTTTTCCCCTTCTTCTGGATAGACTCCACCGTATACCGGAATCATAGCCCATGCAATACAATAGATCATTGATACCGGCATTGTACCCTCGCCACAAAATCGAATGAATAAGGAAGGGGAATCCTCAGTAGTGTGATCATGAAATTCCTAATGCCAAATGTCGCCCAACGAAGAAAGGTCTCATTTCAGGCTCAGGAAATAGTAGCATTACATATCCATCCCATTCCAAGATCCACGGTCACAGGCGATCTTCTATCGTCTTCCCATGTAGGAACGGTAAAAATCGTCAGCTGCGCTACCATTGCCGACACCGGGAGTGCCATGACGATATCCCAGTTTGGAAGCAAGGCCTTGCCTAGTCTTCTGCGCTGCGGCTATCTTTTCTTTCAGCTCAGACGTGCCCTGGTCGATAATCTGGAGCTGGTAAAGGTGAGAATTTAGGATGCGCACAATTTGAGCAACCTGAACAATCTCAGTTAGCCTCCAACATATACAGACAAACATGCACCAGATGCTAGGGGGAACATACAGGCTCATCTGCTTTATTAGTCTTGCTTAGGGTTGCCGAAACGCCATTCACTTCCTCAATCATGCTGGTCAAGTCCTTACCCATCTCCTCCAAGCGATCAGACATTTTTTCCGCCAATTTGTAGCTGTGGGAGATACGAAGGTCAGTGGACTCCTGCCCCTTCTCGAATATGATGGCAATTGCAACTTACGTTCTCTCACGCTCCTGATCAGGTCCCTGAAGAGCCTCACCAGGTCCCACTTGCTTGGACATCATCTCATCAACCTCCCGTTCATATCTATCGAGCCATGCGCCCAGCTCCTCCTGTTGCCCTTCAACCGAAGCAAGCTGACGCTCAACCTCCAGTGTGGCGCGCTCCGCGTCGACGGTGCTACCATAGAGTTTCTGGACCTTAGTTCCGTTTTCGACAATCATCCGGTCCCACTCTGCAACCTTCTCGGCTTGTTCACGGAACTCTTTCTGGTACTTGGTCAAATCGGTTGCCCACCTAGTAATAATCTCGTCCATGGTCTTATTCTTCAAGCGTGATTGTGCCGGCGGAGCAGGGCCAGCGGTCGAGGCGCCAAGGGCGGCCCCGCCAATCCCCGTGGTGGCCCCAGCCGTCGTACCTGTAGTAGTGGTGGCGGTTGATGTAGCTGGTGCAGTAGTTGCAGAGGGGGTTCCTTGGGCACCAGCAACAGTCGACGGCGCAGTCTCTGCGGGCTTTGAGAAGAGGCTGCTTGTGGTTGTTGCAGGCTGTGTTGTGGGAGCCGCAGCGGCTGTAGTTGCGGCGGTTGTTGTTGTTGTCGCCGTGGGCTTGGGTGCGCCAAGATTGGAGAACAGAGTGCTACCAGATGGAGCGGCTGCTGGCATCGCTGACTGACCCGCCGACATGGTAGTTGCACCGAGATTGAAGAGAGACTTTTGTGGAGAAGATGTTGTAGGAGTGGCGGGCGAAGACTGCTGCACGGCCGTCGTGCCGCCCAGGGAAGGGAAAGCAGGTTTGGGCGTGGAATCTGCGCCGCTCGTGCCCATCTTGAAGAGTGAGGACGTTCCTGTACTTGAGGGAGCAGGCGTCGAAAAGAGTGATTTGGTAGCTCCTTCCGCAGTACTTGCCGGAGTGTCCTTCGCACTATCCTTGGTGGCATTTGAAAATAAACCTCCACCGCTTGACGGTGCTGGTGGACGAAATCCTGATGCATTGGAGAACAAGCCTGCAGCTGACGAACTTTGGGCGGTCGTAGTTGGCGCGGTGGCAGAGGTTGTGTTTAAATTAAAAAGGCCAAGGTTCTTTCCGGATGTGCCTCCCTGCGGCGGAGGCCCAGCAGGAGTTGTCGACGCGAGACTAAATCCTGTTCCTGACGAAGCAGGAGTAGCAGCAGCTGTGCTTCCAAAGATACTGCCGCCAGTATTTCCAGTGTTCCCAAAAAGACCACTAGTCTGACCTGGTGTAGAAGCGCCAGCGGTCGTCTTTGGATTCGGAGTCTGAGACTGCGCACCAAATGGTGTCTGTGAACTGGCAGTAGAAAAAGCCGTACCAAATGTCGGTTTCGAGTTAGCAGTGGAGGGCGCTGCGCCGAAAATAGAGGGCTTAGGAGACGAGGCCGAGCCGAACAAAGAGCCTCCGCTGCTAGCGGGAGCGCCTACATTTCCGAATAGGCCAGAGCCACTGGTGGGAGTATTTTTATTAGAGCCGAAGGGAGAATCTGACCCTGACCCAAAAGGGCTTTGGCCGGCATTCGAGCCAAAGGCAGATTTGCCGAACTGGAAGCCGCTGGAGCTATTATTCGACATGGTGTTTGCAGGGTGAAAGCAAGGTCCGCTGGGCAAAGCTGGAAGAAAAAGGCAAAATCAGTTCAAAGAGTCCAAGGAGACAAGGGTGATAAGGAAGGCTCACTGCGCCCAGGAATGTTAGCCCTTTGGCGTCGAAAGAAGGGATCAGAGAGATGGATTTGCGCCAATGAGCCCCTTTCGCGACGACAAGCACAGCATCAGAAATGGAGATCATGAAGATGGACGGAGACGCGCTTGACGGCGTTTGGCGTTTAGGATCGGTGCCTGCTGCGCAAGGAATTAATTATAAATGCCTCAGGTTTAAAATTCATTCCTCAGGCACCAGTTCTGGACACTGGGATCGACCGCAGCTCCAAGTTTCCATCCCCTCTCAGCCTGCGTTGCTTCAACCACTCCCCGCTGCAGATTGCCGTTGTCTCATGATTTACACCTAGAGGAGCCGATTCTATCCATGTCGGATCAGCGCTCCCGCCCTCCCAGCGTGTACCTGGAGCCCCCCAGGAAGAGTGTCGAGTTGGAGGACCCTGGCGCCCAGGAAACGGGTACGGACGACACATATGCCCCCTAGCCCCTGTCCATGGACTGTCAACTAACGGTAATACAGGAGCTTCTACCAGCGGCGATGAGCATTTCTCTGATGCCAGCGAGGGCCATCGACGTTCTGGCTCCCTTTCGCCACCCGGTCGTTCATCTCCTATCCCGCGGACTCGAGTGGAGAAGGTAGACGGTAGCCCGCGATATGGTGAAACGCCAGGGACAATAGCCTACGAAAAAAGAGAACAGGATGCCGTTCCAGATGAGATTGAAATTGTTCCAGAAGGCTCACGAAGCAGGAGCCATTCAGCAGTCGACCTGGCAGATCGCCCACTGACCCCCGGAGGAACACCAATCCCCCTCACACTTGTCGAAAAGGTAGATCCAGACTCGCCAAGCTACGGGGATATTCCCGGGACCTTTGCCTATGAACAGCGGAAGGCCGATGCGGTCCCTGATCGTATCGTGAAGGGTTTAGCACCTGGTAGCAGGTCATCGTCACCATCGCCGCTTGAACGAGTGCCTAGCGAGGCGAACTCTGCTTCTACTGCTGTGCCTGAGACGCGACTTTCGCATGTAGATTCAATACCGAATCAGGAGGTGGAATATAGTTTACGGGCGCACAGTAGGAGCCCGAGTGATGCACTGCCGGACTCGATAGAAAGAGTTCAAGATATTCCTAGTAAGCATGCCCTTTCTCTTTCTCTTTTCTTTTATCCCTATGATGGAGGAATTCAGAGGACGATTGACCAATTCAGATTCAAAATCGTCCTTATCCACTAGCTCTACATATCCAAGCGACGTCAGACGGGAAGATACCGTGATGCATGACTATGACGATGATAAAGTTCATGATAATGATGATAACGGTATCAATCTTGACGCAGAGGTAGCAGCATCGATGGGCGAAGATTTTGATGACTTCACACAAGAACAAGAAAATGCAGGAGATGACGATTTTGGGGATTTCGACGATGGGTTCCAAGAGCCCGAGGAGGCTACTGATGATATACCCTTGAATCAACCCAGCCAGACGCCCCCTGAAGCACTGTCCGTTGTAAGTAAATTCAGTACGAGTGACAATTGGAGCACCAAACACCCTTCTCCTTTTATTCCCGCATTTTCATACATGTATAGCCCCGTAACATGCTGATGACATGACCTCGGCCCTGCAGCCACCACTTGTAGAATTCGACACTATCCAGACACTTCCCCAACTTATTACCGCTCTAGAAGATCCTCTTGACCAGCTCTTCCCTGCTTTTAAGAAAATCTCATCACTCACACCGGTAGAGCCGATCCGGGATGCCTCAGCCATCTTCAGCACCGAACGGTCATTATCGCTATGGTCTCAGCTAGTCGCTCCCCCTCCCCTCCAGCCTCAGAACTGGGTCAAGTCCCGAATTCGCCGGCTATTCCTCGTGTCGCTCGGTGTCCCTGTGGATCTGGATGAAATTCTCCCAGCGTCGAAGCAGAAGAAGCTGGTACTCCCCTCGATCAACCTGGACGACCCAGAGAGTATCCGTACACAACCCGCGAGCCAAACGCAAAAAGGCGATAGTTCGGCACAGAATGTATCCGGGGAGAATGCAACTACAGCTTCTACCCAGGGTCAAACAGGTAGCCGAGGGAGGACAACTGCACGGCGTGGCGAGCCGCCTCCGCCGCCAGAACTGGATCTCCTAGCCGTCCGACGACTCTGCGTGACGACGGATGCAGCACTGGATGGCCTCACTGATGAGGAATTGAAGGTGCATGTCAAGGAGCTGCAAGATGCTACGCTTCGAGCGAGCGCGGTGCTGGAGTACTGGCTCAAGAGGCGAGATGGGTTGGTTGGCGAGAAGGAAGCATTTGAGGGCGTGATTGAGAACTTGGTGAGCCACGCCAGGAGGGTGAGGAGGTAATAGAGCATCAGGCTTTGGATGGATTCTATATCTGCATTGGCATGGATGGGCTTTTCCCTTCACAACCTGTTTTAAAGCACAAAATAATAACCATTGTAATACCCTTCATCTACAAAAAGAGGGAGGAAAACTAAGGCAACAGCGCAAAATCATGATCATGAGCCCCCTTCAAATAATCCTCCCCATTCTTCACCCACTTCACGCACGGTTCGACATCCCCCCAGTCAATTTTCCCCTTCACAGACTCCGGCAGCACCATCTCCAGCGTACTCCGATACCACTTGGGAAACAGCACCATGACAAGCATCACCCTCGGCTCATCCGTATGATTCGGCATCCCGGCATGCCACAGCCTGAAATCCCTAATGACAAGCGCCCCCTTCTTCACCCCCAACTGCACGGGAGGCCGTTCAGCACGTCTCTTCTCAAGAAGATCTGCGCGAACCCCATCCGTTGCAGGATCGACAATCCCCAAATCCGGGGTAACGCTCGACAAATGACTACCGGGCCACACCTCCGTCGCGCCATTCCGCTCATCAGCGTCCACAAGGGTGACATTCACACAGAATCCAAACGGAATACCCTTGGGAAAGTCAAACTCCACATCCACATGCGCAGGCTGCCTCCTCCCCTCATCATTCCCAACCTTAAACGCCGTATTGGCACTCAGAAATCGTAACTGCGGCTTGGGACCAAGCATGCACGATATAATCTCCGTCGCGAACGGATTTGCAATCACATCCGGAAAGATGTATTCGACCTCCTGCGGCGGTTCCTGTTGGATATTACCCGTTCCCGTGCCGAAGTTGTGGTGTGTGTTTTTTTGCGCGTAGAGGTATTTCGCTTCGGGGATCATGCGGGCATTCAGCTTGTCGAGGTGGTCAGGTGAGATGGCGTTTTCAAGAACTACTAGGCCGTCGCGGTGGAGGGCTTCCACGGCCCATTGAAGGTTGTGAGAGCTAAGTTGTTTTGTGGATAGCTCTGTCGGCGTGAGGTGGATGGAGGTTACGTCTCCCTCGAGTTTGGTGGGGGATGGCATTTTGTTCTTCTTTTTGTTGTTGCTTTAGATTTACTATAGGTGTTCTACTTTCTTATTTGCATTGGGGGTCTTCCTGATGTCTTTATATGCACTGTACTACTACTATATAGGATCATGATAAGGCTTTGTCCTGCAGGAAGGTCCAGCCAGATCATCATTATTCGGATCTGCCCAAACCGAGCGATGTGGAGAAGCAGCATTAACTAGGTACCTAGCGTTTAATAGAGAAAATAATGCGGAGGAAAGATGGCTATTATTACCGCGATGCCTAGATACGATCTAGATAGCACTGCGAATAGCATAATAAATACATCCCATATGCATTCCTGAGAAGACAATACAGTAGAAAGAATATTATGTATGTTAATCCACTGAAATAGAGAAAGCCACGCAAACCTGGGTATCTTCTCTTGTACGCCCATGTTAATCAATTACAAAAGAAACAAAGAAAGAAAGCTACCCAGCTCCAAAGAATGCAAATTGCAAAGATCCTCTCACTCAAGGACAGCCTGGAAAAAGAACTGTTGGGAACAGAAGTCAAGATAGACATGACTTGCCCCATTCACGGAACAGGCCCCACTGTTTCCACAATCAGTCCAATTCAATGACAACGGGTGAATTGGCCTGGTGAGAAGGGACTTGCGATATCAAACAGTGAGGACTCTCTCTCTCTTCCACCTTAAGCTTCTTGTTCTTCTCGCCCGTAGGGAAATCGACAACCACTGATTTTCGTTTGGCTGGGATTGTGCTGGGGCTCACTGCTGTCTGCTCTTCGCGTCCTCGAGTGGACTGAGTCTCCTCGTCTGTCTTGAGCTCCCAGGATCCATTCGTGTTGACGAGAATGGCCTTGGCCCCTTCCAGTCTGTTGGTACGTTCGAGTTCAGCGTGCACCTCGGCGAGGAAACCGTCGATAATCAACATGTGAGGACGAGCATCTCCGCCGCAGATCGGACATCTCCAATGTTCTTTCATGTGGCTTTTTCCGGACTTTGAGGCTTTGGTCGCGATAAAGGTGTCCAGGTCGAAGCATTCGAAGTGGGTACAGAGACGGCTGCGAGCAGGTATGTTGAAAACCCGCGCCATAAAGGGATCGACAATGTTGATGGTCATATCCTCGCTGATGACAGCTACATCGTCATCATCGTCCTCGCTCCTGGGTTGAAGGCGTCCTTGGATCTGTTTGAGAGACTCTGCTGCCGGCAAGGTACGTGCCATCGCTTTCACCTTTTCAAATCCTGCGATACTCATCACTTCGACCGCTGCCGCATACATAAGGTCCTTAGACTCGGCAGGGCTACGAAGGAAATACAGTGAGACTTTGTTCTCTCCTTCCCGGAGATTGTCCGTGATGTCCAGAGGGATATCCTTGCCGTTATGTATCTTCCGGCGAACATACATTTCCACACTGTTGACATGGACATATATCACGCTCGGCCAGACGGCCTCTGTCAGAGTCCAGAATTCTTCGCTGACATCCTTCTTAGGTAGCACCTTAATGCATCGGAAGCGGTAGGTAAGACAGCCATCGCGAAAGATCCTAGTCGCGCGCTGACCCTCTCCGTTTAGTATACTGCGAGGGAACCTCTCGATATCTTCACGCGAAAGGGAGAACGTCCAATGGAAGGCACACTCCTCCTGGCCCAGAAGGCTTGGCATTACTGCAAAGGAACTCAGGTACTGGAAAAGCTCGGTCTCCTCTTCACCAAATGCTCCTTGGCGAACACACTTCCTGTGTGGATTTCGAAGATGAGCCTGATGCAAAGCAACCCGAATCGGATGGGGACGCGACAGGTGCGTTGGGACTGCATTCGGCGGAGGGAGAAGCGGAGTATAAACGGAGAAATGAGCCTGGTGCGGGTTGGCTTGAGAGTTGCGTGGACCAGGTACTACATGACTCTGTGGATGCACCTGTGGCGACGCCCTTGCAGCCATTCCAGGACTATGTACAGGAGCCTGGGCATAGGGGGGAGCCGTGACCATCAAGTTCGGCCTGCTGGGTTGAGAGACACGCGCAGAGACACCCGGCGGTGCAGAAACATGTACCAAAGCGGGGCCAGGGCTTGCTGCTCCCGGAGGAGTCGTCTGTGCTGCGCCTGGGACAGGATGACGCAAATGTCGCAAATGAGGGAGGGACATCATGAGCCTCAGACGTGAGTCGACAGCGGTAGGGGCTTGTCCAGGGCCCTGGGACATCAAAGTTGACTGCAACGGAGCAACGAGAGAAGCGGGTGAAGTAGCAAAAGCACCTCCTGGGACATGTCGCGTGGGAAACGATGGTGAACGGGCCTGAGTCATGACGGGAACATGCATGCGGCGATTGATGTTCGCATTCTCTGCAGCATTTGGAGACGAGACCTGCTGGCCAGCCTGGCCCATGAGGGTGGAGAGTGGGTGCGACATGGGAAAGTTCTGATGCTGCACTGCTGGGGAGGCAGGCTGCCTGTGCCTAGGTTGTTGACTCTGCGACACCTGGGGGAATGACTGTGGGGCTTCCCTCAAATTCTGGAAATGCAGGAGCCGGTATTCTTCGATCAGAGCCTGGTTTTCTCTCTGCATCTGATCTGCGGAAATGGGATTCCCCGTAAAACGGCGGTGATAGTTTTCTTGGTTTCGCATGAAGATGGAATGCAGCTGCTTGTCAAGTTGGTTACCGTAAATGCGACGAGACAGTGCGGTGAAGATGATTGACGACAACACGGACGACGTCACATTGAACTTTGTTATGAGTTCGTCAAGCAAGGGTGGGTATAAACGATCTCTCACACAGGTTTCAAAGGAGGCCCAACCCTCGGCAATGAGACGCAAGGACTGCCTGATCTGGTGCACTGTTGTCTCATAGAGCTCTGATTTCATTCCAATAGACATATCGACGGGGAATTGGACAGACCACTTCAAAAAATCTGCCGAGACACGTTCATTGTCGACCAGAAGCTGTTTGATCACATCCAGGCCTAAGATCTGCGTTACAGAGAATTTCAAACCCTCGAAGAACTCCCGAGGGAAAACAGTCTGCAGGCAATACACCTGATGAAGCACCAGATAGAACAGATCCTTTGTCCGGCAAGCATCTCGCAGGAGGCGCAATCGGGGCAACTCGACAGCAGAGGAAAGAAAGTACGTATGGCTCCGATTAGCATCCATGATGGCATCGATCTGGCGCAGTAAAATCGCCCAAGATTGATCGTCAAAGCTCAACTTAGACGGTAGGGCGCCGGTTGTGCCGGCTGTCTGCCCATTGGGCTGAACAGGAGCCATTGGGGACCGAGGAGTCGGCGGTAGATTGAGTTGGCGCATGCTCGAAAGCCCAAGTCCAGCGCCCAGCTGCCGTGACGCGGGGGTCGGTCCGCTGCCGCCGCCACCGCCAGATGCGGCCGGCACGAGAATCGAGTTCGGGGTGGTTACGGTTGGCGTGACGGGTGACGGGTTTCGAGATGGCAGCTGTACATGCATCGGGATAAGGATATGAGGGCGAGGGGAGGGAGAATGAGCTCCGGGGGGCGAATTTGCAGGAAGATTGCGACCAACAGCACTGGCGGGGCTGGTCCGAGAGTCATGGCTGGGATCCGGCGAAGGTAGCGAAGTGGATTGATACGCGTTATTGCTATTAATATTTGTCGCGTGTGTGGTCAGCGGAGGGCCGGAAACAGCCTGGGGGAGGGAGGCAGAGGCTGCGTGATCCTCCTGGATATGCTGTAGATTCTCCCCCGGCGTGACAGGAGACATCAAAGCTGCTTCCACAGGAGCGCTGGAGAGCTGTACCTGGGGATTTGCATTCTTGCTGGTGGAGAGTGTGGGATGGCCAGGCCGTTCGACTGTGCCCAACCGGGGTGGCCGCTTTTGCACAACTTGACGGCGACCAGGTTTGGCGGACGACGACTGCTGCCAGTCACTGGGACCGCCGGGAAGAGCAGCAGCAGCGGTAGAAGGAGGTTGTTGAGAGGTCATCCACGGTCTTCGCACACGGCCCAGGAAGAGAGTGGCGGTGGAATTGCACGATTCGACGTGATTAGGTAAGACAGGAGGTTGCTTTTGTTTTGGCTTGGAAGGACTCATGGCGATGGAGAGCAAAGGCGATCATGGCTCGTAAAACGACAGCAGACTAGGCTCTGGGAGGGCCATGGACGATGCGCCAGGATTTTATGGACTGCAAGTGCGTTTGCAGGACCAGGAAAGCTGGCTGTGGACTGCAATCGGATGAGGCCACAGCAGAAGGATTTCTATTGGGCTGGGGGCAATAGGGTTTTTATAGGGTCTGGGAGGGATGGAGTGAATGAAGCAGATGGAGAAGATAGAGAGAGAGAAGATGGCTGTGGATCTGCTGTGAATTGGCAGAGTGAATCCATCTCTCTGTACTCTACGGGGTAATGTATCTGTGGCGTCTTGCACCTCACTCCCCCTCCGCAAACGACTCCGGCCGGTCTGCACAGGAATACAGAACAGAGATCTCTTTTTCTTTCTTCTCTCCTGCACTTATAGAATCCTCTCCACTCAAGGATGCATCCTGTCCGATCGTTATCCACATCCACGGCGGTTGTTTATATGTCATCTCGTGGAGAGGGCGCTTCAACTGTCGCTGTGACAGGCCGATTGGGCACTGTCTAGCAGTTAGAGGGGATATAAATACGGACGTATATATTCTTGATATTTCCGGCAGATAGTGGAAACAGATCTCCTAGCTGAAGCATATCTGAAGTGTATCTAGGGACATTCGCAATCATGTCGTACGCGATGCTGGATGTAGTAATTAATAGTAATGTAGGCTGTGGCTACGTCAGAGGGAACTGGAATTAGAATTACAATTCCTCTCTCTCTCCATCATCATCATCATCATCATCATCATCTTCTTCTTCTTCTTCATCTGCATTCCCAGCTTCATCATCTCCATTCCTGAATCCAGCATCGTCCTCTCCGATGATTCCGTCCAGTCTTTGCTGGCAATCAATATTAATAATAAATATCTAATTAACTACAGATTTCTGCAGCTCCATCCCGTCCACCATTCACCTCGCTCCAAGCAAGCAAGCAAGCACTGTCGGGGCGTCCCACTTGCCATCTCGATCGTCTGCCGGAGCTCCTCCAGCTGTCGTTCACTCTCTCTCCTTCACTCTGTTCTTCCTGCGCGCAGTGATTGCAAATAGATTTTCCATCATCGTCTCTTCAGCGGGTGTTCAGGCAAAAAAAAAGAAGGGATTCGTTTCTTTGACTTTTTCTTTATTTTATTTTTTCTTATTTTTATTTTTATTTTTTGAATTCTGGTTCTCATTTTTCGTTGTTCTTTATCACCCCTCCCCCCCTTTCCCCCCCCTGGAACATCGCCTACAATCGTCGCTCAACGAACCTTCGGTTTTCTTCTCTCAGACCATCATATCTCGAGTCGCCTTCCTACTCCGATCCTTTCCCCATCCCCCAATATTCACCGGTATCAAGGACCGTCGAACCCTCTGGAAGTGAAAGCGGATTCGCGAACCTCGTTTTCAACCCGCGAGGGCTTTGGGCCCCATGTCTGGCGCATCGTCTTGGCTCCAGTCACTCTTGTTGCGCATCTCATCCATCCACATTGCTCCAAGTCTATAAGAACCGTTGGTTGAGCGTCTGCCATGGCTCTCATGGTACCGCCGCGCGGGGTGCGCCCCGGTGACCTGCTGGTCGTTATTCGTATGTTGCCTCCGTCGTTTGATCTTTTTTTCCTTTCCGTCCCAACAAATATCGCTTAGTCTCCCTGTTTGATACAAACTGACCATTTCACCCGTCTTTCTTAGATGATTTTGATTCGCGTGGTGAGGACGAGCTTACACTGCGGCGTGGGGAGAAGATTGAACTGGTAGAGCTGGACGACGGATTTGGTGACGGATGGTATCTTGGGAGGCACTTGGGAACCGAAACGACCGGTCTCTTTCCGGGCAGTATGTCCTTGGTCCTACTATTTACTACCTGTTCTGTTGGAGAGCTACCTTGGCTAAGACGAAACCAGTTTATACCGCGGCAACCGCCAAGACCCCCTTGCAGCAGCGACCGGATCCCCCGAGAATGGTAAAAGCAACCTTACAACACGATGGGGAAGACGCATACGACAGTCCGCCAGAGGAGGAATCTCGCACCGAGTCGCAGACCGCCGAAGACAACACCCCTCACGCTTCACGACCTGCGAGCGCAAGCGATATGTCTAAACCGGAAGGCCAGACGTCCTTGTCCCGATATCAGCAAAGGTCCAGCTCTTCCCCGCTTCCGGCGACTTTAGCTACCGATATTCAGCAGAAGATTGACAACCATCTAAATGGGGAAGACAGCCCAGTCATGGACGAAACCTTGAGCGTAATCGATGAGCATATCAGGGATCTAAGTACCCCCCGTCACAGCATGGCACCACATGACCACAGAGCTGCCACTGATTCGAGTAGCGAGTATAGCAGCCACATGAGTCACCGGCTTTCCTATATCAACGGACATGAAACCGATGAAGAGGAGGAAAGCGTGCCCACCGAGGAGGAAGTGCGCAATTGGGATCATGCCATGACGGCGAAGCAATTGCGGGCTCTAGAGGTTGAAGAGAGACATTGCCAGATCTTCGAAGAACAAGAGATTGCGGGTGACGTCTTGTTGGACATGGATCAGAATTTCCTTTTCATGAAGGAGTTCGACTTTGGCGTCATGGGGCGCCGGCTGAAAACGTGGCACAAAATCAAAGCCTTCCAAGAAGAGGTCAAGGGTCTGAGGCGACCGCGCCAGAGCTCCGCTTCGAATATCTCCGGCCCTGTAGGCGCTCCTGACGAACGACCAATGAGCCGTGCCAATGCTGGCCCTCTCCTTCCGCGCATCCCAAGCCTAGTAGATAGAGGGGCATACCACCATCAACAGAGAACTTCCAGTGTTTCTGCGCAGAATCCAAAACGCGCCAATTCCACCAGAATCAGCGGCACGAGTTCTCCTTCAACCCCAGCGACACCCTCGTACGGCCTGGAGTCGCCGTTGCGACCCTCTGCGGCGTCCATTCGACAGCTAGGTCACTCGCGGCGGCATTCGTCTATCGATGCAACCGGGAAGTCGCCTGTGCCGTCGGAAATGTCTTCTTCACTTCGTGGGAACCACCGGGGCAAGCCCTCGTTTGACAGGTTTTGGTCCATGTCGGTTTCAGGGCAGCCACCGGTCGAGACGCCAACAGAAGGATCATTGACCCCTTATGTGTACCATACAAACACGAACGGATCCGATTCCGCCATCTCCGTAGACGACAAGCATGGCGATTTGGATCGCGGATACTTCTCTCAGACCGAAGTGGATTCACGGAAAAACCGGCGACTTTTGAAGAAGCGACGCTCCAGTGGAGGCATCGGTCACTCGAGGACGCCGAGTTTCGCTTCCAAAGCAAACCCCGGGAGCAAACGGCATTCACGCATTGGGAGCGCGGATTCAATCCGGGACGCGGCGGATCATCTTTCTGCGGCTGCAAAGGCATCTTCACCCAAGGAACGTTTTAAGAGTTTTGGTTCACGCAGGTCCGGCCAACACTCGCAACTATCCACGGATGATAAGCCCGCTATCAGCTCTGGATTCTTTTCCTCGCGAGCACCTTCGCTCGGAAAATCCGACAGGGGAACCGCCAGTATCCATCCTCTGTCTTTCCACTCAGTCAACGCCACGGGGGACAGATTTCGTCGCGCAATGGGCCTCCGGGTGGCATCCGATTTTGCGACGAAGGGGATTGATACAGCAGTCGCTTCCGCCTCACCCCTGACCGAACAAGGCCCCTCGTCCGCTAGGGCTGAGTCGACTACTCCATCTGCAAAGAGTTCCGAACGACATAGTACTGATACTTCCTCGAAGACAGTCGAAGATGGCACCTCCCTGGTACGCGCGAAGACCTCATCCGTGAAGGGGGGTGTCAAGTCGAAGAAGGATACCAGCGCTTACATGCAGGGACTGGAGAAGAAGACGCCGCAGGAACAAATGGTAGGGTGCGACTATTCCGGGTGGATGAAGAAGCGATCCTCACACCTGGTGGCAACATGGAAACCTCGTCTTTTCGTCTTGCGTGGGCGCCGGCTGTCCTATTACTACTCACTGAATGATACCGAGGAAAGGGGTCTGATTGACATTACAGCACATCGTGTTCTTCGCGCAGATACCGACCCGTTGATAGCTATACATGCTACGATCACGGGTGCTACGGTCTCACCGACCTCATTATCAAACGTTCACGCTTCTGAGTCCACAGCCGATGATGCGCCTGGATCCCCTGAAGCCAACCGCGGGACTGGTGGCCCGTTCTTTTTCAAGCTGGCACCACCCAAGGGCGGGGCATCGCGAACGGTCCAATTTACCAAACCTACTGTCCACTATTTTCAGGTCGACAATATCAAAGAGGGTCGTCTGTGGATGGCCGCTTTGATGAAGGCGACGATCGAGCGCGATTTGAGCAAGCCTGTCGAGTCAACCAATAAACAGAGAACAGTCAGCCTCAGACAGGCTCGAAAGATGAACCAACGGCCCCCTGCTCTTATAGATATGCCCATATACGAGACCGAAAAGTACCAGTCGACAGAGGAAGAGAGCAAAGACCTGATGGTTAAGGGTCTGAACTTGGACAAGGCAGTGGCCCGTGATAATAATAATGATGGTAGTAAAAACCATAGACATAGACGGTCTACTTCGGGAAGTATGGTCGACCCTGCGTCTCTACCCTCGGAAGCACTGGCTGCGTTGAGATCGAGCTAGTTGGTTTCCGACTGTCGTTCATTACACTTGGATTCTATCGAGCGGCGACCTTTCAACTGAATCTTCACAGGATAGCTTATTCTGTCATCTTTGGATGGCTGCTCCACCGTTCGGCGTTGTCATGATATACCCTTTTTTATTTCTTGCTGGGCATGTATATTTCTTTCTATGCGCTTCCATTACCTCCTCTTTCTATTATTTTTTTTTAATCTCTTTTTTCATCTTCGAGCTTCGAGTTTTCGCATCTCAGTCTGCTTTCTCTCGGTGATTATGGACGATACAATGGGTTACGATACAGCGTGGGATTCTGGTTGGAATTGATGATAATCATTTTAATACAATATGGTCATGCCCGGGATCTTGAAGTCTGGAGAAGTCTATAGTTATATCCGCATGTTGATGTAAATATCCATAGTATGCTGGATCTACCAGGAAGAGTAATCCCCGCAAGTCTGTTTGCCCTGGATTGCTTCATTCCATCTCTTTCTTTTCATCTCATGTATAGATATATCTATACAAGTAGCGGCTCCCCGACTGTCAAAAGATGGGTGCCTTGCCCAGAACGTTCTTCCCGACCCCCAAGAATAGAGAGATATGATATGCAGCGGGCTTTCAGAGCACCCTGCATAATGGTGCACACAGTCTCTGTAATGCATACAGACCTTCTGATATTTGTTTGTTCAATAAAAAGTGCATAAGTCTCCCCGGGGGAGCCTTGATCTCCTGTTATTCACAGGGGAAGCTAGGTACAGTGGCCAAGGGCTCATATAGTCATGTGACTATAACCAGGTTAGCCATAGAAGAGCAAGGCTTCATTTCATAGTCAATCATCTTGTCAGTTGCATCACCGTTCTCTGCTGAAAGTATTGAAAAAAAGGCCTTATAGAGGCGGTTAAGCAATGCTGACCCGATGCTTGGGCCTGTTACACCAGTCAGAACTGCAGAAACCTGGAAGGAACCCGATATATGAGAGAGTCTATCTGAGGATGAGGTTGAGGGTATATCATGGTCATCTCTCTAATTGTGCAGTCACAAGAGCATCCTCCTCGTTCTCTCTGGAAATGGGAGGAACGACTTACATGACTGCTATATTATCACACACAGAGACAGGTCTCCCACTTTTCTGCTCCCAAAGGCCATCCATCGTTGTGCATGCGGTTGCTAAATACGCTGTATCCATCAACATGTCCCCAGGAGGGTAAGTAATGAAGACAATCATCAGACATTACCATATGCAGTGGGGATTTGAAGGATCACTAGGTACTGCGTCTTACAGGAATCACCATCGTGAACTCGCCGACTAGCACTCCCGCCGTTCTCGACTTCATTTCCTTCGCTGTCAGAGAATAGAAGGCTTCACAGCACCAGAAACCTATAAGAAGCACGATGGTGACGTCCTTTCCGCAGAAAATCACCATGATCATTTGAAATTCCAAGTTTTAAGTTGAACTGAAATCTAAGCCTTCTCCTTCAAGATGTTTTTTTTTTTTTTTTCGTGCCATCCTCACCGGCTTGCTCCTTGGATTGTCTCAGGTCTTGCATGTCTTTGCTGCGCCCACTGGTGAAGACATGGCTGACACAAATGTGTCAGCCATGTCTGCAAATAACTACTTTCCACATGCCAAGGGTGACCTGTCCCCCTTCGATGTTGATTCCGGTTTCGTCGGCTACAACACCTCAACGAAAGCCTGGCTTGCCTCCCTCAATCCAGCAACGGGCAATACTGACGAGGACAATGCCAGGCTGCTGACTACCGCTGCCTATGCGCACTCATTCGATGAAACCGATGAGAACATGGCCAACGGTGTCAGAGACCTGCTCGTCGCCGTCGCTGGCAATGCCACCACCATTGCTGACAATCATACTGCCATTATTGACAGCGTAAGGATATCATGGATGGAGATGCATAGCCTACTCCAGACTCCATGCGCTGTATGAGGGAATTATTACTCTACCCACGAATGAAATACGCAGCAGATGCAAGGCTTCACTGCTGATCTGCGTGCCCGACAGCGCCGATCCAGCCTGGCGCAGTTGATAAGGCTGTCCTTAGCATTACGACTGCTCCACGGAGTCGAAAAAAGGAGTTCGATCCGGATACTGCATGCAAACAGACAGAGACAGGCATCCAGTGTAAAATAGGCATATGCTTTGTTCCATTTGAAAGGACAAGGACAATCTGTTCCGTAGCTGCTGGCCACCATCCCCGAGTGTGTCCTCTGTTGAATCCCACTTCTGGCCCTTCCCCCACCAGGCACAACAATATGTCAACCAGGAGGATAATTAGGCGCAAGAGAAGGCAGGCGGCATCCAATATTGTGTATGGCAGATGAGCCAACTCAAGTGCCTTCTGGAACAGGCTGCCGATATACTCAAAGATCGCGTCGGGGAACTGATGGTCATCAGTGGTAGGTTTACTTCCGCTTGATATGGGCATGGGAAGAAAGAGGTGTCAGTAGAACAAGAGGAGGAGGAAAGAGAAGAGAAAGGGAAGTATAAGAACGCGAAAAGAGCTGCCTAAGGGAATAGGCTTCCAAGTTAACTGCCTCAGGCATATGTACCGAATCACGTGTATTTAGTATCGGAGCTGAATCTTCATACGGTCAGCGATTATTAGACAAAAGCCCCGGAATGTATATACATAGATGAATGAGTACATAGATGGTTAATGTCTTCATTGTAATAATATATATATTACTGCTTGCTGACAACTTCTCTATGTCTGTTCTCTTCGCAAACCTCCATCCATCCCGATGTCAACCTCTCTCCGTCTCCTCCTGTCGCGCGCCCTCACTCTTCTCCTCCCTCTCTCAATCGCATCCACCATCTACCTCTATTTATACCCGATTTTCCACGGCTGCGCATTCCCTATACCGGTAAACAACAACAATGGCAGCACCACAGCATCATCTCAATTACCGCCCCCCTTCAATGCCCTCCTCAGCACACTCCTCCAACACATCCCCACGACGACAACGACGACATGGAAGAATCGCAACGAGCCAGAACCAGCCATCTTCAGACTCCTAGTCCTAGCCGATCCACAGCTGGAAGGCGACTCTTCCCTTCCATTCAAAGAATACGAACTCGTTCCCCGGATCAAGCATCACTGGACGAACGTCAGGTCCTCGATAGCTGCTTCCCCGTCATCATCTGTCTCTATCCTTTCCGATCCTGACGTCCTATCTAATGTCACCACTGCCCTGAGGGAGCTCCTGGTCGATGATATCCCGCGCGAGTTCCGATCCATGAGGAAGCGTCTCGATCTCCTCGGGAACGATTGTTACCTTGCGCACATATATAGGACGTTGCGTTGGTGGAGTCGGCCGACGCATGCGACCGTGCTGGGGGATTTAGTGGGGAGTCAGTGGGTAACCGATGAGGAATTTTATAGGCGCGCATCCAGATTCTGGGGGAGGGTGTTTAAGGGTGGGAAGAGGGTTGAGGATGAGATAACCATTACCGGAGCGAGGGGGTATAAGGAGCAGGACCAAGAGGTTCAATTGCAGGATCTGCCAGTCGGGGGGTCAGAGTGGTCAAGACGTATCATTAATATTGCTGGGAATCATGATATTGGGTATGCTGGGGATATCAGCGAGGCGAGGATAGAGCGGTTCGAGCGCGCCTTTGGACGTGCGAATTGGGATGTTCGATTCCGCTTACCTCCACGCCGGAAGGGAGCAACAGCAGTAGCAGCAGCAGCAGCAGCAGAAGAAGAAGAAGTAAAAGGAGGAGCAGGATCTGAAGGGACAACAATCACGCCTACTCTGCATATCATCAACCTGAACTCGCTCACATTGGACACCCCGGCTTTGTCGCAGGAGATCCAATCCGCAAGCTACGACTACATCAACGATATTATTTCCAGAAGATCGTATCCCGTCGAGGACCGGATGTCGTTCACTCTCCTCCTGACGCATCTCCCCCTCCACAAAAGCGAGGGCATCTGCACCGACGGACCGCAATTTTCCTTCCATGAATCCGACGACGAGGAAGGAGACACGGACGAAAACGGCGAAAACCCCATCCTGCGCTTCAGGGAGGGTGGACTGAAGGATCAGAACCATCTCAGTCAACACGTCAGCACAACGGGCATTCTAGAGGGTATCTTTGGAATGAGCGGGAACGACAATGCCGTAGCGGGAGGATGGGGTCGTAACGGGCTCATTCTTACGGGCCACGACCACACTGGATGCGATGTGATACATTTCGTGGATAGATCTGTCGAAGAACCGGATGAAGCTGATCCCAGACCATGGAAATGGGACGCTAAACGATATACTACTATTAACAATCAGAGTCCAGTTATCCCCGACACTCCATTTATCCGCGAGGTCACACTCCGTTCAATGATGGGCGAATACGGCGGAAACGCAGGCCTACTATCCATCTGGTTCGACGATGACAATGACAGCGGTTCCGGTTCCGGTGAGTGGAAGTATGAAATCGCCATGTGCAGAGCCGGCGTACAACACATCTGGTGGGCGGTCCATGTGTTCTCCATAGTGGCATTGATTGTCCTCGTGGCTTGGATGATCTTGGCCTTTGTTTGGGGGGATATCGATATCCTCACGTCGAAAACGAAGACGAAGACTCTAACGGGAAATATCGCCAATGGCGCGAAGAAGAAGAATCATCACCATCATCATCAGAAGAAGAAACAGATTCATGCGCAGGAAAGTGATGCGAGGAAGAAAATTAACAAGAACAGAAACAATGGCAGGCAGAATGGGAATTGACTAGCACCTAGTCCTCATCCCTACCGTCTCTTCCTTGTTGTCTTTGTTGCATCCATTCTATCAATGACCACCTTTTGGGTAATTAACCTTTGGATATTTTTGACTACAAAATGTATATATACATCTTTTTTGTTATTTTCCTCCATCAAACCCTTCTATGCTGGCTAATAGCAAGGTAGCTCAGCTGCCCCACAGTGCTTAGTGCTACCAAGTACAGCTTCACAGATATGAAGGCAGCTGTATTACAAGACCTTAAGTCAAAAAATAATGTACATCAAAATAACCTTTATTATTCACAGTATAATCACAATAAACCAACAACCGACCTGGCATGACACATGATGAGTAAAACAAGACCTGACCTGAACTGACCATATCTGGCATGGATAATAACTTGCGACCACTCGCTGTATGCTGCCGTTTCCTTCCAAGTCACGGCCAGAGAAACACAGGGCCAACGACTATTAATGAAAATAAAAAGGGATTGACATAGGTATGAGTGCACATAATACCAATGTCAAACCAGGGGAATCAAATAGATGACAGGGATATCCAGCTTTCAAACAAATGCAGTAAAAATGGCAAAAGGAGTCTCAAATGGGACAAGAAGAGGGAAAGGCAAAAAGATAATGAACAGCAACCTCGAAATGAGGAATGCAATAACTTCGAATGTTCGTGTGCCCGAACAAACCATCAACCTGCAAAGTGGAATGATTCCACTGACCTGCTTCTCACAGTGCCAAAGCAGGCTCTTTGAACATCATTGCGAGGACATAATAGGCTGTCTTCGGAGACACCAGATTCATTTCAAAGCGTCAAATGAAAGAAATGAAATGAGTGACAAGATAGATGATTAATAGAGAAAATGAACAGAAAGTTTTGATATTAGTCGCCTTCACGCAGCGGGGTATGAAAACGCAAAGGAAAAAGAAAATAACATCAGAGCGGGCCGCGTAACAGATAAATCCAAGTCGGACTGGCCATTAAATCAAACCGCAAAGCCTGAGGTTCTCTTGAATGATGATATCTAGAATCTGCATTAGAACAAGGTGGTTTGAATAGAGAAATCATATAGTACATACCGTTTACAGCTGCCATGACGAATCGGATCTGGGTGGTGTCGGTGGCACAGGTGAAGTGGGTATAAATCTGCTTCTGTTCCGCCTGGTTCAAAGACACAAAACGGTTGAGGATGTAATCACAAGCAGCGGCATAGTCGGCACCGCCCTCGTAGTCGGGGAAGTAGTTCTTCATTGGGCTAACGGGAAGCTTTTCCTTGAAGCGATCGATCTTGTTAAGGAACAAGATGATGGAGGTCTTGACGAACCACCGAGAGTTGCAGATAGAATCGAACAGTGTCAAGGCTTCCTGCATACGGTTGACCGTCTCGTCCTCGAAGAGCAGTTGGTCATATTCCGAGATGGCCACCAAGAAGAGGATTGTCGTGACATTCTCGAAGCAATGGATCCACTTCTTACGTTCTGATCGCTGACCGCCGACATCGAACATCCGATACGTCAAGTCACCGATGATGAAGGTGGTTTCGGTGATACCAGTGGTCTTCACACGGGAACGCAGGACATCCTGGTCCGTCGGGAGGTAATCAGGCTGAGCAATGCGGTCGATAGAATCGAAGTAACTGAAAGGGGGAAACATGTTAGGTGGGTCCAACTGAAAGTTGTATCCATGTCCAAATACTCACTATTTCGCCGAATCGTTCAGCTGGTATTCACGGGAGCGCTTGAAGCACTCCTGGACACCAGCATCATGCCACAAGGCTGCAATGGCATTGCCGACCTCAGGAAGAAGGCTGTCACCTTCGACCTGAGCAGGCTGCATGAAGATGGTCTGCACATGGTATTCGTTGCGGCTATCTTCAAGAGGCAGCTCCAGCGACTCCATAGCCTCCAGGATGACCCGCATCGACTGAACGGTGTTGCTGTAGATGATTTCCTTGAAGGACTCCCGTTCGTCACGCGAGTAACCACCCTCGTGGATGAGCTTCATCTGTTTGAGGATGGTGGACTTGCCCGACTCTCCAGCTCCTGTATTTGAGGTCAGTTTAGGATGCAAAAGGGAATCCAGGCACAGCAGAGGGAAGGCATACCGAGAAGTAGCATCTTGATCTCATTCCTCTGCATCATCTTGTCCCGCTTGAGCTGGTTTTCAATCTCCTCATTTCGCGCCTTCCCCTCTCTATCCTCAGTGCTCATTCCGCAACCCATTTTGCCGGTGTTTCGAGAATCAGGTGGACGATTTTAACCGTTGATTGGAAAGTGTATAATGATGATGGAACAGGGGGCGCGAAGGGGACGCGAGCCGTAGTGAATTCCGCTAATTACAACAGCAATACATGCAATAACTACTAACAATAGGGAGGCAACGTCAGCAAGAACGTCCTGAACGATAAGCCAAGGGCAGTCGACGTTGCATGTGGTACAAGAGCCAGGACAACCCCCTGAAACAAGCTTCTGGGATATGTACCAATACCATCGACAAAGAGGTCGCTGACGCGAGGCCTTGTCCGCAGAAGATGAAGGACCAATGCCGACCAGAAGCGATGAAGGTAGAAGCAGGAGGAAAAAAAAAAAAATACAAGCCGCTTACCTGATAACGATCGCTCAGAAGTATAGCCAAGTCTGCAGGAATGACTCGCAACTTTGAAAAGGGGAAATGTATTATGAGTAAATGGCAGAAAGCAGGAAATCCGGGAGGATCGTGACCCAGGTAGGCGAGCGAGGCTTTTAGCAGAGAAGGGAGAGAGCGAAACCGGACAATCGTGATTACCAAAGATGAAGAATGGATGACTGGAACAGAGAAAGACAAAAGGACAGGAATTATCGGCAGCCGGAGGATGAAAGGGTAGGCCGGCGAGGAAGGACGGACAGGCGTTTGGAGAAGTTTAAGGAGAGGTTGAGTTGCACCTGGCAGGGAGAGTGGGAGGAAGCGCATTTGAGAACCGCCGCCCCGGGGAGCGCGTATATACTGCGCTACCGCTAGTTCCCCATCGGCCCCTTTATGTACGAGCTGGCCAATGGTAATCACAGTGCGGGTAGGGCCCCATAACGCTAGCAGAAAGACGTTAAGTGAATTAGAGGGTGCAGCAAAGTTTTGCGCTCCCCTGACTGCTGCATGGATCTTCCTCTCCCATCTGCGCATTAACCTCCCGTTCAACGCCTCAGATACTCATGCTTTCCCTATTAACTATCCTCTGTTGATTATTATTACCATTCCTTTTAGTTATTTTTTCCCTAATTTTTCCTAATTTTACCTTTTTTTACCTTTTTTTCCACGCCAGATGACGCCGTCACGCCATGTCTCAATGACCCAATTTCAATTTCCCTTGCTCCCGAACTATCTACCTACTCTGAGTCGTCGGGATTTTAGTTGACCGTGCATAGTGCGACACGATTCCGAATCTGCTGATACTGTTCCTGCGCTGTTTTTAATTTCTGGCAATATTAAAATGACTTCATTGCGCCGTGTATCGGCCACCATCCAGTCAGAGCCCTCGTCTTGATCTGGAGGAACAGCGCGTTTCCAGTGCCGATATCTGTCGGGTATTATTTACTACTGTCTTTGCATGCATGCAGATTTTTTTTCTTCTTTCTGTTATATGTCTGTGCCTCAGGTTCTAGTGGCGTTTCAGACTGCCAGGGACAACTCATCTTGTTCCAGAACTTCTTTAGCCTTCTAGAACGTAAGCATGGGTTGAGGCGTGTTGAAACATGAGGCGTTTGGTGTCTGCAGGCAAGAGTCGTTGTCATAAATAATAATAGTGTCTGATTATTATTATAGTCAGAACTCAGCACTCAGTAACATGCCAATCGGGGATCTGCAGCTTAGAATGAATGCAAAAACATTATGGTTGTCATGGCACTCCTGCATCTCCCGGTCCTGGCCTCAACTTCTCAAGCCAGAGACTACGTCCTTCGAATGACATCCAGCGGGTAAGGATAACTAAAGTGCACCTGGGCAGTCCAAGCAGCCATGTGCGAAAACACAAACGTGGTGTCTAATAGTGTCCTCTGTAGGTGGGGTATTGAAATTACTTATTATCCCCAATAGTGGAAGATGGAGAACCAGCATGGAGATCGCTAGCCCCAAGCAATATCCTGTTTGGGAAACAATCCAAGGAGAAGATAAAAAGCTCCGCGTATTCCGTACTCTGTCAGCGGCCATATACGAAAGACATGCACAGTGCTGTACCTTCGCACAGCCACACATCCGCGAAAAATGCCCTCTTGAGATCATATTCTGACTGGGCGCGAGGATTGGCTGGTGCTATTTAGTACCTTGGTATTATCGGGCCAGATCTGCTTTCCGCGGTTCTCCCAATATCGGCATTCATTGAAGATTCAGGTACCAGCCACAGCCGAATCGCCCAGGTTCGCAGTCAAATGCACACGGTCCTTCGCGATTCTCCAGCTGTCGCGTATCCGACTGCGAGACAGTTGTCCTAGATACCTCCTTGTTACTCTGCGCCGCCCTGCCAGCTGTCCAAAATGTATGAGATGTCCACCCTGAGCGAGCGCGGTGAGTCCCAACTCAGAAACCAACCCGAGACAACCACAACCGATTGGTTTTATTCCTAACTTATTTGGAATAAAACAGCTTTTAATCATGAGCAAGACAGCCCCGTTGAACAAGAGTACGACCGTCTCCGAGACCTAGCGAGGCAAGAAGCTGCGAAGCGCAATTCATGTTTCCAAAGGGTACGTTCGCGATGCGACAACCCCCATCCACCATCCATCTTCAATTAATATTCATTATCTACATCTACTTTCATGAACCTAACGAGAAATCCAATTGCAACCGGACTTAGTCCCGCGAAGCCTACGAAAATGGCGATGGAGCCGCAGCAAAGGAATTATCCGAACAAGGCAAAGAGCACGGTCGCAAAATGGAGGAGTACAACCGCCAGGCCTCCGAGTACATCTTCCGCGAGAATAACGCCGAAGGGCGCGTACCACCGGACACTATCGATCTGCATGGCCAGTTCGTTGAAGAAGCGGAAGAAATTCTCGAGCAGCGGATCAAATACGCCAAGGCGCATGGACAGACGCATCTGCACGTGTGGGTTTTCTTGTCTTCCCCCTCTTTTCCCCCTCTTGAGGCAGTATGGAACTGAACCGATGAATTTCGTGTATACCAGAATCGTCGGAAAGGGCAACCATTCTGCAAACCACGTCCAAAAAATCAAGCCGCGAGTCGAACAAGTCTGTCAACAGCTCGGTCTTCAGTATGCCACTGAAGCGAACGAGGGTAGAATCTACGTGAACCTCACTGGTGGACCGGCAGAAATGCCGCCAGCCGGGGGTGCTGGGTACCATCATTATCAGCAGCAGCAGGGACAGCATCAATATCATCAACAATACCCCCAGCAGCAACACCAACCTCAGTACCAGAACCAGCAGCAGGATGAGATCGAGGAGGTCGTCGAACAACTCCTGCCCAAGGTGCTGCAGAAGCTTGAAAAGGCTTGTTGTGTTGTTATGTGAGGGCTCGATCTGTCGTCTACCTTCTATCTATTTATTCATCTATGTGGCCTTTTGTTCACGCGCTTTTCGGGTTGTTTTTGTTTCTTCTTTGGAAATATTCTTTTTGGAAAGGGGAACTTTTGGTTTCAACCAGTCGTACAGATATATATAATACAGATATACCCCAGAGAGAATGGGTTGGTGTAAATGTCCCCATTCATTCAGGAATCGGATTGGAAATAGGATCATAAATAAAAGCATACACAAGAATCCCTGATGATTAAGACTACGTATTTCTTGCTTCTCGCTATTCACTGCTTTCAAACATTCGACTTCGATGTCGTGGATTCTCATCTCATTAATATGTCACAGCAAGATCACTAAACTGAAATAATCCAGTCCTATTCAACTCCCGAAACCAAAACATCAGCAAAAAGAAGCGAGAAGCAAGCCGTCCCGACGGCCACAAATGGCAGAAGCTATGCCATATCCCGCAAAGCTGAGTTGCAGAAAAGGTGCCTAGTCATTGCTCCCCCATCCTGGACTTCGCCTAACTTCGTGATTGATTATACCAAACCAGACGCCATCGCAAGCTATTCCCCGATAATGAAACAAGCAGAAGAAAGAAGAGGGGTATATTGGCAGAAAGCATATGTTGTAAACTCGGACCGCAACGGGAAAAGGAAGATTTCGTAAATGAAGGAGGTAGCTAAGTTGAACTACTCAACCGTCGACCCCATCTTTGAGCGTGGTCTGAACAATCCTGGTGAGAATCGCCCGGACCAAGGAACCGTCGCCCTGACCGTCAGGCTGCGACTTGTCAATTTCATCGATTAGGGTCAACGCGGTATCGCGCAGGTCCCCGACGACTTGACGGGTGTAGGCAAAACTACCGGTCCTCTCCATATAAGCCACCGCGTAGAGCTTCACTTCCTCATCCTTAGTCCTTTGTTTAAGGATGTTGATTAGCTGATGGTTGCTCGGGTCCGAGCGTATGCTGTGGATTATAGGGAAGGAAAATTTACCCTCAGTTAGGTCCTCGCAAAGGCCCTTGTTCTTGGTGTACATGGTGTTGGAGAGATTGAGGTAGTCGTCGCAGATCTGGAAGATGAGGCCCATGACGTTGACGAGGGGAACGCAGTCTGTGCCCGCCTTGCTTTCAGCTTGCATCAATTTAACTGCAAGTCTAAACAATCCACCCGTCTTGTTTCCAACCATTTCTAGGTATTCGTCTTCGCTTGGACAGGTGAGTGTGTCCCGCCAGAAAAGGTCCATCCCTTGACCACGGTGGAGATTGAGCATCTCTGCCACGTATACGTCGATCGCGGCGGGATTGTTCAGTTTCTGCACCTCCTGCAGGGCAAGGAAGTAGACGTAATTAGCCGAGTTGATGGTTTGCGCAGTGCCGAATATGTTGTGAGCAACCGGGATCCCTCGGCGCAAGGAGGAAGAGTCTTCGACATCGTCGATTCTGCGACAACAGCAAATCAAATCAGGAATTACTCCACATGATTTTGAGTCAAAGAGGGGTCCCAACTTACAGTAAAGAAGCTGTGTGGAGCATACCAACTACCCTGTTGATGATGTCCAGGCTCTCTGGAGGAACTTTGAGCCACGCATTAAAGGCGTTGATCAGCTGTCGCCGTATGTCCTTGCCCGGGTGCTGCGACATGTAGTCATATGGACCCATAAGGACTTTCTCATTCTGCGGATTCCACATGCCATCTTTGTACTTGGTACCATCCACGCTGGACCTGTTGCGGGTATGTCTGCTCGTAACGTCTGTGTTGGTCTGAAGTTTGCCGCCGTTGGAATGAGCCTGGTCGGCCTTCGGAAGGGGTTTCAGGTCGAACTTCGAGATAGTCCCATTTCTGTCTCCGTTCGCCATTTTGGATGAATTGGGTGACTCGTAGGTAGCCTCGGGTGGCATGTTCGCAGGCGAGCTTCGTCTTGTCGAGCTAGCTCGGCGAACCAGGAGCGAGGAGTGAAACGGGAGCTGAAGAGGGGCGAGATTCGTTTAGGTAATGGAAATAAAGAACGAGGATGCAGCTAGATGCAGAGAACGAGCACTTAAGGATACAGACAGGTTGAAGATGGAAGAGAGGAGAGAATAAATAGCGGCCATAGCCTGGAGAGGGGGTGATGCCTAGCATTCACCAGGGCATGACGACTCAGTGATCGATGCTGTCACATGCCGGGCCAGCAAAGACAGGTCAAGGCGTCTTCCATTTTTCTTCTCCCTCTTCTTCTATTCCCCTGCTGCGCCTATTCTTCTTCTTTCCGTCTTCCTATTGTCCTCCGCCATTGTCATTATACGGCTCTTGCCATTCTGTCCTTTGTTGAAGGAGGTCCAGTGACCTGTGCGCTCGACTCGTCGACTTCTCGATGCCTCCGCATGCCAATCACGGTCTGTTCCTCTACTACAATGAGCTAGACATGCAGGAATATGCATGCGGAATATCCCGATCTGCCTAGCTAATAATATATTTTCCTTTTTGCGGTTGTTGCTATTAATATGATTATATGATTGCAGCTACTAATAGCCATGCTATCATACCGGAGTGATTAGTTATCAACCAGGCCACAAGGCATCAGGCAGGCTGGGCGTCACCCCGGGCAACCGTGGCTACCAAGAAGTTTAAGTTCTTTATCGATCTATCGTATCGCCAGCCATGCTAGCATCATCAAACACTCCCAGCCGGGGGTCATTGAACAAGCATCCCTTCACTTCTGCTTTGTTTGCTATGGGACATTTGTCATACACACTCAGATTCCTTCCTGTTGAAATTTGATTAACCTCATGGAGACTTTGCTGGCCCATTCGTTCGACTATCTTTCCTCCTACGAACCAAGCAAAATTCGCAAGGGATTGCGCCAGGTGGAAGGACTTCTCGCCCAAATATGCCTCTCCAAACCCAAATCCGCTGCGAACGACAAGCGCAGGCCCTTGATGTCCTTGACTGCTGCGCAGCAACCTCCGCAGCCGACGCCAAAGGCTCTGTCAGAACTCAAGGATGACCCTGCGTTCAGGGAATTTTTCAAGCTGCAGGATGGCTTCCAATGGAACGGTACGCTCTGTCCTTTCTCCTCCAATACCCGTAGCTCTTGTGTTCTAATCAAAGGCCACTCTGTAGTGACTATGCGCCTTGTGATATGCCTTGAGCATCTTCTCGGTAGGGGCAGCAGCGGTGTGAACGATCTACTCATTATCGCTACCCTTGACTTGATTCAAGGTGTTCTACTCCTCCACCCACCATCACGGACGCTATTTGCTCGCGAAATATACATGAACCTGTTACTTGACCTCCTCGATCCGATCAATTGTCCGGCTATCCAGTCAGCGACTCTCCTCACCCTTGTAACTGCCCTGCTGGACAACCCTTCCAATACGAGAACCTTTGAAGAGCTTGATGGCTTGCTCACCGTAACTTCCTTATTTAAGCTTCGTACGACATCTCGAGAGGTCAAACTGAAATTGGTCGAGTTCCTGTATTTCTATCTCATGCCGGAGACAGCCACCGTCTCAGCAGGGATGGGATCGAGTGCGCCAAATACCGCAGTGCCTGAATTGCAGAAAAGCCCAAGCAGGCTAGTTCCTTTCTCGAGAAGTGTCAACGTCTATGGTGCTGGTGGTGGCAAAAGTAGAGACACACGCACGACGGATGAGAAACAAACACTACTCGGACGGTATCTCAACAACGTGGAGGATTTGGTAGAGGATTTGAAGGAAACAGCTCCGTTTGGCGCAACTGTCTACTGATTTCATTGCTTCTCGTCGGTTTCTGTTCAAGCGGCACACTAAGGGTCGGTGTATCTGTTTTTTAAGAGAGGTATCTGGATTGGGCCAACGCTACGTGCATTTAGGTTCTGGTTTCCGGCATTTTTTCCCATCTGACGCGGAGTCACGGTGTCATTTTCTATCCTGCTTCATTCATTTTTGGTTCACTCACTCATATCCCCCTTCTCCACTTCTATATGCATGATGTCACGCTCCGGATGATATTACTGAATGTGAATTGACGTTCACAATACTTTAAGAAATCGAGATGCTGGTTAATTACCACGGATAATGTTTCTTTTAGCCAAAACCTCCAAATGTGCAAATTAGCCTGTCGCTGGACTGTGTCGAAAGACAGCCTTGTATATCGCATTGCCTCTGAGAATGAAAGGTATACAATACAGAGCTCAGGATGTTGTTCGGAAGGGTTCTTTCGAGGATAACCCCCGAGGATAATGAGAGTGATCAAGGAATTGGTAACGTATTTCCCAACCGAACCGCCACCCTTTCACCGAATTCGACCATGCTTTTGAATTTGAAGCTATCTGCAACCACCAAAACATGTGTAATTCCATTCAATCTATTTAATTATACGTGTAGGACAATTCGTTCTAATATGACCCTGAATATGACATTCAGAACATGTTGGTGGAGCGCGTCTTGGCACAGCTGAAGTAGTTGGTATAGAACTACTAGATTGGCCATCTTTCTCATTCTTTTGCTTCAATCCCCATTTATTAAATCTCTTCCTTCCTGTACTGATAGGCCTTTATTAGGAATCATCTGCCGTTTAGACTAAGTCCTTTTCTGCTTTGTATTTTCATTCTCAGCATGGAGATCATGCAATTCTTTTGACATCATAGTGGCCTGGTGCATTATACTTTCACACCCTTGAATCAACTCTCCAACCACCCTCTTTGAAGGTGATAGAGGGCTTTGAGAACACAGCTGAAGAATCTTCTTCACTGATGAAGCCTTTTTAGTAGCTGAGCAGCTGTATGAGGTGTCCCTAATACTGAGGAGCTGGTTGATGTCCCTCTACAGCTTGAAGGTGGAGAAGGTGTTGATAATGAGATATTTAGCTTCTCTAATACCTGGAGAGGATCAAATGGCTTTATTCCAGCTGCCATAAAGCTATTTTGAATATTCTGAGATGTAAAGACCTTTTGATGTGCTGTAGGATATGCTTTTAAAAAGTCAAGCTTGTCAATATGGTTGAATCCCAAGCGCATCTTTGCCTCAACTAGACCTCCATATGCATACTTCAAAGGGCCAAAGCAGCCAACATCTAGAGGCTGTAGGAGATGAGAAGAATGAGGAGGCATACAGACAGTAATAATATCATTATCACTGCAGAGCTTGTCAAATAAAGGTGTGAGATGACTGCCATGACCATCCAGAATAAGTAATTGATATCTCCCAATCCTGCGGTTTGTAGTTGCAGGAATGAAGACTTTTTGAAGCTAATAGAGGCCTATCTCATCTGTAGTCCAACTATTTGGACTTAATTCAATTCTCCAATCTGGTGGTAATTGATGTTCTTCAAACCATCCCTCAATATGGACCTTCCTTTGAAGATGATGCATGAAGGGACTATCCAACCAGTTGAATTTATACACTCAATTGTAGTAACCCATTCACGATTGCCTGGTTGAATAAGATGAGGCTTTCTAGGCATATTAGATCTAGTAACTACCTTAGTAGTTGCTATTAGACCCATTGCAAAGCCAGTCTCATCAAAATTGAAGATGTCTTCATCAAGGATTCCCTATTTCATTCAAACCTTTTCCAGCTGCTCAAACCATCCCTTTATAACTTGTGGATTTTCACATTTTGCTCGCTGGTGATTATATTGTCAAGAGAATTGAGTTTTAACTTCATCACGTCATTTTATGAAGTTTGATACCCAATTCTTTCCAACTGGTTGGAATGCAGATGGCCTTGTTGATTGAAGAAGAATGTTGGCCATTTCTGCAACATGAGAAGGTCAAGGAGGGGCCCCACGTAAATCTCTAGATAGAATCCATTCTACTAGAGAATCCTCCTCAATTTGAGAGAGCCTATGGCAATTGGCACGCTTTTCAACCTTGTATTGCCTTCCCTTGAGCCTATCACGTAAGGTTGATTAAGGAACATTAAAAACAACTCCAGCACGGCTTATATTTGGAATTTCTTGTGTTTTTAAAGCAGATATTTCAAGTTGAATCCTCCCCTCTTGCTCCACCAAGTTTCGGTCTGATAAATGTGATTTTGGTGGCATGGTGGTGGTTTGAATAGCTTCAATATCGAAAGCGTGGTTGAATTCGAAGGGGGTGGCGGTTCGGTTGGGAAATACGTTATGTATGCAAGATGAGTCATTGCCAGTAGGAGAGCTGCAGATACAAAAGATAAGTAACATTCAACATGGATTCTTCAGAATCCCAAATAATAATAATAATACTTCTCCACTACCCAGTGCTCAGCTGTTCTGTTCTCTGCTCCTTATCCGGAGGGGAAGTGCGAGCGGCCTTCCTCTTCAGGATTGTACGACCATAATAGCAACGACTGCAACCAGCAACAATGTCGATCACCATTAGAGAATCTCTCACCTTGAAGAGCGGAACATCAGAGTCGGCTCCGGTCCGGTATTTGGATACAGTTGACGCATATAATGAGTGGGCAAAAGTAAGCACCATACCTTGGTATGGTGGATGTATACATTCCTATCAAAGACACAGCATCTAGTTCCTGACACAAACCAGGTCTACGACTCGGACGGCAATTTCCTCCAAGCCCTTGACACTCTAGAAATGCAAACTATGCTACCCTCCTTCTTAAGGGTAGTGTCCAGCTACTTCCAGCCCGACGATGCACCCACCATGAAGCTAGTCGATCTCGGATGCGGCACGGGCAGGAACACAATGCAGTTGTTTTTGACTGCACCTAAAAATGTAGATATTATAGGGCTTGATGCATCGCCGGGGATGCTTGATGTTGCCCGCAGGAATCTAAGAAAGGTGGGCATTGCGAGTGGACACAGCGACGACGAGGACAACAACTGCAGTGCCAACCAGGATGATCAGTTCGAAGTAACATCGCCTAGGGAGATTAATATGGTATCTCTCAATCTCTTCAATATCCTCAGTTGGCCACGTATGCTGTTCCCTCGTTCATGTTATGCGAGTACGAGTACTAGTAGCATAGCTACCGCTCCTGGTGACGATATTGATATATCGACGACAGACACAGAAGTGGGAGTAGCAGGGGTAATATCAACTTTAGTTGTTGAACATATTCCCCTCGATCTCTTTTTTCAATGTGTCTCGGCCCTCCTGCTGCCGGGGGGGTATCTGCTTCTCACCAATATGCATTCTGAGATGGGAGAGATTAGCCAGGCTGGTTTCATCGATGAGGCGACAGGGACCAAGATAAGGCCAGAAACAAGTTATTGTCATCGTATTGCGGACGTGCTGAGCGTTGCTGAGAGAACTGGATTGGAGGTCATCGGGGATGTGAGGGAGAGGACGGTGGATGAGACGCTGGTGGAGGTACTGGGGAGAAGAGCGAGGAAGTGGGTTGGAGTGAAGGTTTGGTTTGGGGTTCTCTTCAGGAAAAAGACGTCTGTATCTTGAATAGTAATAGATATGGATGATATTTTTTGATTGAACGCTCTGAAGAGAGTTGGAAAGAATCGCCGAAATGGGTAATGTACAGGAACTGCCAGCACACCGAGGTATATAAACCGACATGAACGCCGCCTTTTCTTTTAAAAGAACTTGACCAATCTCTCTCTGTGTTGTACAAGATTATCATACTTCTTCAATAACTGCCCCAATCTGTTTTGTTTCCACCCCATTCCGTCATCCAGGATCAAATGCGTATAAGAAAACACGCTAGCATCTAGAAGTCCCGGATTGGGTCGGTTGAAAAAGTGCTCGTTGTCACCTAATAGAATCGAAAGAGCCTCAAATGCTTTATCCGCTTCGGCCTCCAGGTCTGAGACATCGATATAGCTGGCTGACTTAAGGAGCACGTCGCGCGCGGCCTGCTGGAGTTGGGACGCCAAAGTGGCCCGGACGAGCGAATTCGACGTCGATGGATCCACATAGAGCCTTCGGACCACGGCGTTGAAATTATCGCTGTCTAGGTAGAGCGCATACAACTGCAAACGAAAAATAACGTGCCTGTCAGCGATGGACCCCGGATTCCGCTCGTTCCCATTTCATCAACTTACCCAGGCATTTCGTATCCGATTATTCAGAAGAGACGCATACGCATCAAAGCGCATGTTTAATTGCTGTTCCTCTTCACAATGAACCTGCTCAATTGCCCATTTTTGTAGTTTGCCGGACGGAATCGGCGTGAGGCTGTCCAGTGGGAGAGCGGGGAGGAGAAATGGAAGAGCGCCTGTCGGGGAAGCATGATTGTTTGAAGGGACGGTCTGGAAGTCTATCCCGACGAATTTCAAGTACGCCTAGAATGATCAATCCTCAGTTAGCAAGGCGCGCAAGAAATTTGGGTGCCTTGTCAGTCATAGACGGACCTGCCACTTGAGGCATTGGGGGTTGAACGATGGTCTCCCATGCTTCGCACCCGCTGCATCTGTGAAGACGAACAATCTATTCTCGCCTGGAACCGCAGGGAGACGTTGTGGAATGTCATTTGGAGGATAGGTCGTGAGAGGGAACTTGTCGAAAACACGCTTTATCGGCGCAGGCACGGAGAAGAAATGACGTGCGGGAGATGAGCTGGACTGAGTGGTGCTGGCAGCAGCAGCATCGCGGCCGTCGGGGGGCATGGATGCTCAGCTCTGCTGTCTGGGAGCAGCGGTCCGAATCAATTCAGACACAATTGACGTTGCCGGCGTCGACTTGGATCCTGAATGGATTCTTGCACGGATATCACTGGCTTGGCTGACCACGACTGAGCGAATGCTCCGGAAGTCCGTCGCCAAGCCTTTTTTTTCAAGCGTGGAAGAACTGCTCTCCGCGACGATAACCACCACCGCTATCTGCATCTGCAATCCTCAGCGCCGTGTCGGTCTCGCATGTCTTCACTGCTACAGTCTTCCAAGGCAGTTTCCACTGGCGATCTGTTCTGATTGTGGACAGGTCATCTATCACCCATCTCTGCGCCCTGAACCGGTTGCATCCGCAGTCCGAGACATCGACCTACGAAACTCGTCATATGTCCTGCATCAACCGTCCTCCAGAGTGCAGAGAAAAGGCGCTTTGCGGAGTTACTCCGGGCTTGGTTTTAGCGACGCTCAACCATCCGCACAGCTAATTATCCCGGCCATCGAGATAGCGCTGTCAAATTACTAAAGATTATTATCGTGGTGGGGTACGGACTGACTTCCGTGCACGTCGTGGTGGGCGATATTCGATCCGAAAGTCTTGCCATATCCACCGCAGCTTCTCTTTGCTAGTCACTTTGACACAAGATACTGCGTTACAGTATATGCAATTGTGACGCTCTGCGGTCTCTATTTGCGTCTGATCGGAGAAAATATCCAAGGATTGCTGCCAACCATGCCACTTGACGAAGAAGGGGCGAAATGGTCATGGTAAAAGATCACACTCTACGTCGTTTTGTCGTGTCACATCCCATGCTAACGATGGAAATCTATACACAGTGAACCATGCATACGTGGCCATCGCTCGTCCAAATGCCAGCACTTCGACAGACTGATGATGAAAGTTCCCAAGGCTGGACGTCCTCTTGCAAAATGTCCTCATCCGAAGGGCACCTGCAGTTGCCAGAAGTTGTATGCTTTCATGATTCGCATACCCAAAGGTACGACGGTAGATCGAGTGTGATATGTTCCTTCGTTCCTACTCAGATGCTGACGCCTCGGCAAAGGTTCTACCTGTCTGTGTAGACCGTTGTATAAGGTGCCGGCAGAAATGGACGAAGCCGGTCAACCTACCCCTCCAGCTTCCGTTGCTCCCCCAACATCCTCCCCCAGCCCCTACAAAGTTCAAAAATCCAGCAGACGCCAGACTAGTGTGCATGTTGCTCCTGAAAACGTTGCGAAGGCATTGAGCTCCATTCCAGAGTTTAAGACGGGTAATGGAAGACCGGCTAATATAACACCATACCTACTCCATACGCCAACATTTGGCAACCCAAGCGGACCGGCAGACAGGAGCTTTACCACGTCTGCACCACAATTAACACCACCGGACCTCGATACCAAGGGCAGCCATACTCCACAGCGTGGTAGCTGTTGTTCCAAAGAGTCACAGCTCAAGCAGCAGCAGCCACTGAAGCAAGGCTCCTGTTGCAAGAAATCTAATCGTCAAGTCGATAATAGTGCCGGCGAATCAGGAGTGGCTGAAGATGGAAATACTGATGGTATTTTCAGTCAAATGTCTTATTCTACCTTCACTGCACCCCAGTTCTTGTTCTGGCAGGGATCCGGCTCAGCTGGACAGGATTTCTCCAACCAGCCTTTCATGCCACATCAAACACATTCACAAAACCCGCCTTATCTGGGTGGATATATGTCACACCCGGCTCAAATTCCGCTGATGACTTTTCCGCGCCAAGACTTCCCCAACAATACTGATCCTAATCATAATACTGTACAGCCTGCAACAGCTGGCGACTCCCAATCCATAGCATATGGTACCACACCAGCATTCGGCGACCCCAATCATATTTGCAGTTGCGGCGATTCATGCCAGTGTTTGGGATGCGCATCGCATCCATTTAATGACAGAACCAAGCAATACGTCCAGGAAATGGGGGCATTGGTCGCGTTTGGAGAGAAAGATGGGAATATCGACTGGCCAACTGGCTACAGAAATCAAAATTTACCCGAGAAAGCAGAGGGATCGTCTTTGGACTTTTCTTTTGCGAATTACAGCCCTCATTTGGATGACAGAACAGTTCCGTGGGAAGCAAAACCATCAACGCGTCCCGAGCATGCGTTGAATTCGAACTTCACCAACGGCTTGTCTTCCCCTTTCTCTCCAGAATACACTCCGGGGCTGCTGATGGAGCCGGAAGAATACTACACCCTTGAGTATCCAGTCGGATTACCTGTTCCTTGCACCGATGTTACTGGGAGTTGCCAGTGTGGAAACGACTGCGGCTGCAGCGGCTGTCTCACACATAACGGCCACAATGGCGAGCCTGTTGCAACGGATACACCCCCCTTGACGACTGCAGAACTTCCAAACTCCTGTTCACAGCAGGCAGATTCGGGACTATCTCGAATTCCTGTATTGGACAACCTCCCTGTTTCTCCATCAAGTCCAGCAGCGATAGGACCACAAATTATCTGAGACTTTCCCCCCTCAGATTGTATTTTCAGCGACGTCCGTTCCGCCTTCTTTTCTTCACGTCTTTTGAATCTCAACGCGGCGCCCTATGGTTGACAATTATGATACCCCTTTTTTATAGACTGAAATTTCAGCCTTTTCATGTTTCCCGAGTACTTGGAACGGAACATTCATTGTTGGAGTACTGTGTATTCTCTTACTTCTTCTTCGTTTAGCTTCCCATATTCCTTGCATGCTTAATAGATAAATGCCTCTTCCGTACTGTTGGGTTGTGTCCAGCCAGGATATAATGTTTTGGCAAACCGATGAAGCAGGAAATGTCGTCAGTCCGTGTCTTAGAAGGCTTGATCAATAGAACGGGCATCAAATACATGCCAGCAGTATTGGGGATTATGCTAGAGGGGCCGAAAATAAGAGGAAGAAGGAAATTCGGAAAATAGAATCTGACATGTGAAATGCAAACACAAGCAATGAACCTTGAAGATACGATCTAGAAATCCCAACTCTCTAGACAGACTCCCTCTTGCAAGCTAACTTGCTATATCCCATCTCCTGTACAGACTATCGTACACGCAAAGAGAATGTGTCTGTATTCTATCTACCAGCGAGACAGAGCGTTTGTAACCGGCTTATCACCCCGACGGAAGGAAGCTGGGAAGAGTAATTACACCAAGTTAGCCAATTGATCATTATGCCTTGTTCTACACCCGAAGATAAACCCATTGGACCAGACCTGGGGCATGGAAAAGAAAAGTATAAAAAAAACGACCTACCGTCAGCCTCTTCCCATGCACGTCCAGCTCCAAAGCCCAATCCAACCCACGCAGGCCAAGCCCTCCTCTTAAACAACAACACGGAGAATACAATACCAAAGGAGAGACCGAGACCGGAACGAATGATCATAGACGAAATGGCGCGATCCCACTGTTTCCACGTAAAGAAAGTTTCACGAAAGAAAGAACGAGTTAGCCAATGGACTGTGATTTCTGCTCTTTATAAATATAATATCCCTATCTGCTTCCCGGCAGAACATAGTTGCTCTCTGATTCGAGAAACAGCTTAGCTCGGTTCCCGAGGGCGGTCTCCCCTCCCGGAGCAATTGACGAAATGAACCGGATCATAGAAAGGATGGGGGGGTAGAAAGGCAAGAAGAAAACCCCGACAGCAGATTAACTTCAGGTCTGGAAATACGTGATAGCATATAGTACCTTCTCATTCAGCAGAGCCTCGCTGACGGGTTTAGTAGACCGCGTGACCGGTCGAGATTCATTGGAGTCGGCCATTGCGGGAATCTGGGAGCATTGTCAGTGCGAGACAGAATTGGGACGGGGGGGAAGGGGCCAAAACTAACTAAGTGCGGGAGATAGGAGGGGAGTGTCTGGGTTCAAATGGCGAGTTTATCCAGGATTCGGTTGTTCGAGGAAGTTAAGCAGACATGGGCATGTTTTGACGATGAAGCTGGGAGGGCGGTTCGGGCAAAGGCGGTCGGGAAGGTCGGGCTCCGGCTGTCGTCAGTGAAAGCAATCTATACGGGACTTTTTTTTTCTGCGATGCGACAACGAACTGGCGGTTTGTTGTTGAGCAGAAATAGTCAAAATACATCTCGTCAGAGATGCCTGCTGCAGCGGAGGTACGTTCATCTTGTTTGGATCACAATAACTGACGAGAAATTTTTCTAATGTCGTTGCTCTACTCTTTTCAAATAGCGTCCTCGCTCGTCGCAAGAGGCTCTTCTGAGTCTCGAAAAAGGCACCGCTTCGCCTACGACGCAACTCAATGAAGCTGCTCACATTATAGGCATTGATTTGGCGTTGTGCGCAAGTCATCCACAGACAGTCAAACCTGTCCAGACACCCCAGAATACCGCCCCAAAGGAAGAATGGGTTCTACGATGGTTATTGAAAAAGTTGAGGACGGGAAAGAATTACCGTGTTGAGTCTGCGTCTTTCTTACTTTTGAAAAATCTCGTCCATTTTATTCCTCCTAAAAGCCTGGCCACGATTTTGAAAGATCAGAAGTTTCTTGATATACTGAACGAGTCCGTCGCGGATCTGAAGGACGCTGTTTTCGCTGCAGTGGAAGAAGATGGAATGAACATTTCGACATTCGCTGAAGCTTTTGGTTGCTCGGGCTCTGACACCAGTCATACACTCTCTGATTCACCTCATGAAAATGGTCGACATAGACATGGAAAAAAGGGCATAAAACGGAAGAGGGTCGACGACGACTGTAACGATGGCAAGGGGGACCCGATGGATATTGACGACCAGCCGCAACAGTCCTTCGCGTCTTGTATTCTAGCTTTTATTGCTCTTCTCAGCTGTCTCTACAACTTAGTGTCACTGGCAAATGGGGCGCCGGGCGTTGACGAGGTAGCAAGTTCTCACCTCAAACATGCGCTGAGAGGGGAGCTCGAATCTGTGGCCGTGGCGTTGAGTAGATCGTTTCAGATTGCAGCTGTTGCAACGGCCCAGTTCTCGCATTGGCAGGCAATTTCTGAATTGCAGCAGTTGTTCTACCTGTTACCAGCAATTCTGGAGCTCTGGAGCCTGAGATCACTTCGTCTCGATGATGCGGAAAACAAATCTAGCAATGTAGGTAGTGCGAACCGGCATGGACTTCACCGCACTAATATGTTTCACTTCTCCAGGACTTCTTTGAAAAACACTGTTTTGTGCATGCATTGAGACTCCAGCTTTGTGTGCTCTCCACTGAGCTCCAAGTCGATGGGAAAAGTGAAGTGCTCCATGGACTTGAGCAGCTGATTGCACTCCATGTAGTTCTCCCAGCACGGGCAGGCTTCTTCGGTCGAGGCGGTTCTGGTATAGATTACTCTGCCGACCAACCAGACTGGAGCCCTGTACAACCTATCACCGAAACATTCAGGCCTCTTTTCTCTAAAGCAGTTAGTGAAAGAGCAGAACTAAGGGGGACTCACCGCAACAACAAAGCTTGTGGGACAGCGGTATTACTCCCCCTTTTTTTCGAAACCGCTGTTCGCTCTGTTCCTAGGGACACATTCCGACGGCAAACGCATGAGGCTCCTTGGCTGGAAACCCTATTTGTAGCTGTTGCAGAGCTGGCGTTTTCAATTGCTAAGGAAGAAAATGTGTCGTCTACCTATATTTTTGATTTTGTGCGCGTTCTGGAACATCTCTTCCGTGTTGTTCTCGATCGAAAAGTCCAGCTGTCTCTGCACACTCTGCTTGCCCATGCCCCATACACCGGTCTTCTGAAGGACGAGCTGGAGCGGGTCGAGTGGAATTTGACGGCCCTGCTTATCAAACTTGACGTTGACATCTTCCTGCCGAACTCGGGACTTAATGACTCTGGTAGGCTTTTGAACGCTTTGCTGGAAAAGATCTCGTTACATTGGCGCCAGGGCACGTCGCGCGAAGATCCCAGCTATGGGACCATCAAGGATAGCATCGTAATCCCTTTGATGAATGGATTCGCTTCCGCAAGGGATTTATCCACATTTGTCCGGATATGGCATGAACAACTGGTGGCCGCAGAACAGGCACGCTCGCAGAACAACAGACTCAGCATTTTCACTGTTTGGGAGGATGATGACTTGTGTGATGCTTACGGTGAATTGGTTCGGACTGCCCTTATAGATGCTCAGTTAGCCGTGCAAATTAAATTCGCTGCAGCTGACGTATTGACGGGAGAAGGCAAAATCTCAAACTCCCCTAATGCCTACGCTTCAACTGTGCAATTAGAAGCCAGCTTTAGGCAGCGGGGCCTCAATTTTGAATCTCTGGATGAAGCTCTGAACTCAATTATCAAGGGCCTGTCAGGGACTTTGTCCTCAAACGATTCTCTACATTGGCGCTGGCGCCTGTGGAGGCTTGCCCGGAATCTACTCGAGCATAATGTACAATCGACCAATAACCCTCTTGGGGCCGCTATCATGGGCTTAGTTGACGTTGCTGCGAATTCCATTCAGCACCTCCACAGAAGTTTCATGGAGAGCTCGGGCTCTTTACTGGAATCATTTGAAGCATACAGGTTCGCCATTGTCGCCGCTAAAGATGCCACCAATCCCGGAAGTTTCGACTCGCTTACTGCAGAAATTTTGGGCTTTCTAAAGTCCATCGCTGCCAGCTATGTCTCAAAACCAACCAATGCTCCGTGGAATGGACGGACCGAGACTCTCGATTCCCCCGCGTGCCTTGGTCTAGGGTACCTTTTCACGCTTCTAAGGGCTCCAACTATTTGGCGTCAGATACGACCCGAGACCAGACGCTCACTGTTCGAACGGATGTTGTCTATGGCCGCTGCGCAATATTGTCCATCATGGCGGAGTTTGGATAATGTTACATCTGATGCAAGATTTGTCCAGGCTTGGGCCAGCTTAGTCTGTCATGACTATCTTCTCAACGTTCCACGCATTGTCAACGACTTGGTTTCACTCTTGTGTGAGAAAGTCAAGAGGGATGCCTCTAATCGCAAGCTGTACGTTGAGAGTCTGCAAAGGATCCCAACTTTATTGATTACGCGCCGGCATAGGGCCACCCTTCTGGACCTGCTTTTCGATATTCTAGATGAAGACAATGCAGTTGAAGTTGTTGTCGGGGTAATATCTCTGATGGCGAAATTAGCAGAGATGCCAAAGTCAGCTGCCGCGGTAACTGGCGATTGGGGGCATATTTGGAAAATGGCAAAAGCTATATCTCTGCAGGGAACGATGGATGACCTTGCAATCACGCAAGGGTTCCGAAACCTTCACCGAGCTGTCATGGACAAGTTGCTCGTGCTATCAGGTGAGGAGCAGCATAAGCTTTTCAAGAAACTGCATCGCAGGGTTACTTCGAAGGTTTCCAAGTTGAAATCGATCGAGTGTGACTCGATGGTCTCATTTTTCTTGAGAATCTCTGTCTCGCAGCTATGGGCCCATCGGAAACAACTCTCGGACGTCGTTAACGAGACGGAGCTTGCTGCCTGTCGCGCTAGATTGTTTGAACTTGTGATGGCCGAAATCAAGTCAGTCAAGGAGCAGTGCAAAAAACACAAGTTCCCGGGAACGACAACCCTGGTCAAGATTCTGGATCTGCTGGAAGATTTTGAAGACTTGGCTACTGCGAATGGTGATCTGAAGAAGCTTTTATCACAGATTGAGGGCTATATTCCACCATCAGATGGACACAGTGGTCCATCCTTGGGAAGATTGGCTCGACAACGCATTCTTGCTGGCTGGAGACCCAAGAGCAACGCGTTACCTCTGATGCAGTGCTCCGAGACTCTTCCTCTTGAGCAACTGTATGACCAAGAGCTGCAGCTCTTCGTTCGAACCACTACTGAACGATTCCGATCTATGACTGTCGAGAGCCTAGGCCAGGTCATCAAAGATGTCAGAGAAACCGGGGGATTCACAGCCGAGAATTCCGTGCATCCTTTGCTTGTAGTTGGTCTGGCTGTTGTTTCGCTCCCGCCTATCGAAGACAAGGATAGCACTGTCGCAAAGGAGCTCTCGTCGATATGTACCACCATTACCGAGTCTCTTCCGCACAGCACTTCGATCGAGCAATTCTCCTTTGCCACGGAATGTCTGGATGTGCTTCTCCGCCACCATACTCGCTGTATCACGCAGTGGAACATCGACAGCCTCCTAACATCTATCTCAATGTGCGTCTCGCCTTTGGGACCACGCATCAGTCCTGAGTTCGCACCAACGGTTTACATCCGCCTTTGCCGGTTGATGGGCGTCCTTTTCAACCTGCACCGTCAAAAGCTCGGAGGTCGCTTTCACCTTATCCTCCCCGCAATGCAACGACTTCTTAGCTGCCTCTTCATCTACGCTAACAAGAAACGCCATATCTCTACCCGCAGCAACCAGCAAAGCCCATACTGGCTTGGTCCCTTGTCAGCGTCACACGCGACAAACTTCACCCGTCTGCTCACCACCCTCTGCGACCCAACAGTATCCGCCGTATCCCGTCCGACACACTCGTTTGTTAATCACGAAGGTCTGACCGACCAGACGAAGAAAGCCAAACGGATCGCGGGACAATACCTTCAGTACTTAATCATGGAGTACGCACAGTGCTCTCTGCGGGGTTCTCTCGCGCCGGAGGTCAAGGCCGCCATTTTGCCTGGTCTCTACGCGGCACTGGATGTCATGCCCAGGGATACGATGCGGGCATTGAATGCTGGGTTGGATGTGTCTGGAAGGGCTGTGTTCAAGGGGTTGTACGATGATTATATGAGGTTTGGGAAATGGAATAAGGCGTAGTATGGTCATTGTGTTTAGCACGCATCATATGCATATCGGAGTACATAACATACAGCATACATATTTTTCCACGTCACCAATCGTTCTCATACAGCCTTACTTCTTCATCAGTCAAAGGATAATCCGGTAGAAAAGATCCTTGCTGTGTGTGGCATATATGCGTGACTTGTAAATTTTCTTTCTCATATAACTTTTTTATGCTGATGATGTATCTGAATTTGGATCTACTACGACTAGTCAGAGTTGTTTTGGCATCTTTCTCCAAACGGGCGTCCGCGGATTGGTTCTAATATTAAATGAACCACTCCCCTCTTGTTCCTCTCACTTATCATGTTAGTACAGAAGGGGAGGGAATTGATAAAAGTGGATATGGTCCTTGTATTGTATTGGTAGCGAGTTCGAAATTTCTATATGATGATCAAGGCAGAAGAAAATGAAGAGAAAGAAAAAGACAGTACCTTCCTGATCGCCATTGCGCCGAGTCAAAGAGGTGAAATAAGCCCGACGAGAACGCCAGAAAAGCCATGGACTGTTGTTCGCATCAATGGCTTCGAAAATCCTTGTTCGCCCATATAAATAGAAGAAGAGGGGTTTATTATACGACCTGTGAGCCTTCTAGTCTGCCCAATTTATCCTTTAAGATTGAGAACTCCACGGTGAATGCAATTCAGATAGAAGATGAGCCTGAATCTCTCGATACGCCTGTTCAGTTAGTATAGAGGGCACCTGTACACCCAAGACCCAACCGTGATATATAAAAAAAGAAAAAAGAAACAAATGAAAGGGGGATAAAATAAGTATACCGGTCAATGGACATGTAAAGCATTTAATGGAAATTGAATTAGGGTGTCCATTGTTAATCTGCATCTGCTCCACTGGCATCAGTCTTTTTTCTGAACACCAAGCCCCTTCAACCGCTGGGCTAGTAAGCTTTCGCCAGCTTCTGAGCCACTGGAGACAGACATAAATGGGTAGCCACCATAGCCAACATCTCCTTTGCTGAGTTTGCTGTACATTTCAGCACTAGTAAGGTTTGTGTCAGGCAGCTCAGGGAGACGGCAAGACCGCATCGGGGCCCATTCGTGGCTCTCCCTCCTGTAGTGATCGACGCTAGAACCTGTCGAGAGGAATCTCTCATCTATTGTCGACGACGATGCTGATGGCTGGAATGGACCAGCGGATGCGTCGTCTTGTGTACTTGTTGAAAGGTGGCTTGAGTACTGTGAGAATCTTACGCTGTCGCTGGCAGAGGGAATCAGCCTCTCCGACAAGCAAAATTCTCCAGCTTGCCTCCGATAAGGTCTGTCACTCATTTTTGTGCCTGTACTGGGCTTATAGGGTGCATATCTTGGATCAGGATACTGTATTTCATTGCGCAACCTTTCCTTGCCATCAGGGACTCGATTGGCAAATACTACGCGAATGCTGGAGTGAAGGTAAAAGCGGCCTCTTGAAGGACAGCAAATGTTCAGGTGAATAAGGTATCTCAGGACTGGCTTGTCCCTCAGGTCCTCCGTCGCGTTCAGGGACGCCTCGGGACGATCCGTACCCAAATTTTTCCGTGCTGTTAGTGGCATGTCTAATATCGGACCTGCCGAGTAACTCCGCTGTCTGATGAATGTTTTGGTACCAGGTTCCATGTCAATAAGATCATACGGCACAAGAAACAGCTTGACGGCGGTCTTGTGGGGATTCTTGATCACGATCTGCAGCTGGCCCTGCTGTGGAATTCTATAACAACCTCCTGCCGGACGCTTGGGTGAATCAGTCCTCCGACTCTTCTTTTCTCGCCTGCGTAGTGCCTCTTGGGAGCTGTAAGTGGTCTTTTGATCACAAGAGTCGATAAACGGATCGCTAGAAGCATCCGTGGGGTTTCGGTGGCGTCTGCGGCGTGGATTTAACTCCGAGTCATCCTTGGGTAGGGAATTCTCGAGGTCTATCAGGCCAACGTAAGGGCTTGGGCTGTCATCGGCTATAGAACGACCATTGCCAGAAGTCGGATAGCTGTAAAACACCGCAGGGAAAGCGACCGTGACATGTGGCGGACATTTTAAGTTTGCTTTGCATTTGCCTTTCCCTAAAACACCGATCTGTGCAGTAAAATCTAGCGGCTTTGAAGGACACATCGACATCCTTCCACGAAGAATTGACTCTTCATATGAGCCAACCATAGGGGCATGAGGCTTTGGCGACATGTCAGAAACTAGTGACTGCCTTCTCGTACGAGAGGGAGAGGTCTGAACTGAGGATGCGAGCTGAAGAGTATAAGTTGATGACCGCGGAGGCATACCGAAATTAATGGTTCCCGACCTGGGCGAATCAAGGCCCGGCAAGGTCTCCGGAGGTAACGTTCGCCGACGGCTGGCTTTGTCCACAGAGTTAGACGGGCTATGTACGTCAGTTCTGGGAGAGAAGTCCAAGTCTGTATTGTTGGCTTGATAAACTAGAGGACTTGTGGGAGCCTTCAGAACATAACTCGACGAGTAGGAACCCAATGACGGAGCTCGTGATCGATTTCCAGTTGAAAACAGTTGCTCACGGCTGTAGCTAAGCGACTTGTGCCCCCGTAACGAGGAAGAGAGTGAAGGGGTGTACCAGGGAGTAGTGGGCGAAGAGCTAAAATTCCCACAAGTCGTACTGCTCTGCGTCTGCAATCCCGGAATATGCAGTTTGGTAACGCCTTCTCGAAAGTCTCCTGAGTGGAGAGCCGAACGAGGCCTCTCAATCTCGGCAGGAGATATTAGAACACCACTCCTGTTGGTACTATCTTCCTCTTCCTCTTCCTCGTCACAGGCATCTCCTCGCAAGACATTTTCTTTAATTTGCTGATTCTGCGATGATCCATAATGAGTGTGGGATTGATTGTCAGAGTGCCTTGCCTATTGTCTATGTTAGACTATATCCGGGAAGCAGTCTATCTAGTCACATACCGAATAATTGCCCATCCAACTCGGGATGTCACCCTTCTTTATATACCGTATGAGTTCCTCTCTACCACTTGTGCTCAGTCTGAACAGGCCAGTATCCACCATTCGGTCTCCAATCGGTATCGCTGCATTCTCAAGATCTCGACTGGTCTCACGAGGTCCCGCAGAAAGACCACGAGCTTCATCATGTCGGCTGTGGTGAGCGGATTCTATATCGTCATAAGACGGTTGTAAGATAGGCATGGTGGCCAGGAAAAACGGCTCTCATAAAATAAACAATCCCAACGATTTGAAGCAAGGATTGGACATCGCAGATGAGACGGTTCAAAGCGTGACAAAAGAGAAAAGTGAGGAGCAGAGGCCGAGTCAAAGGAACGGGCACGGAGTGGCGGAGGCTTTGAATGACTATAGCGCAGAAACGAAGTGAAGAAGGCAGTTGTAGTAAAGGGAGGGTTCCCTGATCCCGAAACGGTGTGGAACGAAGCTGTCAGACATGCACAATGACAGCCTCGTCGCCGCAAAGAGGAAGCGTCAACGGGAGCGGCGTGGAGGGTGAGGGGAGTTGAGGGGAGTGAAGCCTTGCAGGCCGCGGGAACCTTAATAAACCCTGAACCACGTCATATGAGCAGAGCCCGCCGAATTTTCCTGGGTCGGACTTTGTTACCCTTCTGGTTGTGCACTCATTTGATGCTCAAACTGAGCGATATTTATTGTTATTGTACAGCTCTTTGGACAAGAAAAAAAGCAACGAAAGGAATAGAAAGAACGAAGGAATAGAAAGAGACACACTATGGCTACAAAACGAGCCCGGGATACAGACACCAAGACCGAGAAAATTTCTCCAGCACCAGAGCGATCCACAGAACCTCCAAGCAAAAAGCGCAAAGGATTCTCTGTCGGCCCTGCTAATTTACCAGATGGCACATATCGTCGCAAAGGTCTGCCTCTTTGTTACTGCTATAGGCCGCGTCTGTTGGGAAGATTCTAACCAGTATCTCATTGCAGTGCAAAAGATTAAAAGCGACCTAATCCAGAAAGCGAAGGTGAAGAAGGCCTACGCAAAAATAAGAGACAGAGAACTTGCAGCTGTGCAGAGGGCTACACCGATCTACGAAACCGGAAAAGATAATGGCAATGCCAATGGAGTCGAGAGTGACGATAAAAATGCCGACCAGGGAGGCAACGGTGGTCCAGAGAGTAACTCGGCGAGTCTAGAGCTACATCCAGACCGGCAAGCGATGCTGAATCGACCATCTCCAAAGCCCGCACCTAGAACGGATCGCGATGGTCCGAATTTGCAGCGTCGAGAGAGGAAGCCAAAGAGGTCTGCGTTCGCCAAGGAACTAGAGATCGCGGAGAAAAGGAAGCAAGAGGCCGAGGCAAGAAGGAGAGAGCGCGAGCTGAAACAAAAGGAGCGCGAGGCGATGGCTAGGGCCAGGCGCCCTGATCGGGATGGGAAGAGAAGACTGGGGAGGGAAAGCAAGGTCTTACTGGATCGGGTGCAGCGGATGGTTGGCCAGGCCTCATAGAGGGTCTGATTATTTTGTGAGAGAGGATGATACCTTGATACAAGTGATACCCACGTCTTTTGAACCGAAGATGATATTTATGGTAATTTCCGGGCATATGTGCCAAATGCAATTGACTTACTACTGGCGGTCATTTCTCATATCAAAAGGGTCCTGCCAACCCGGTCAAGCTGCCGCTCTCTTGGGTTTCTTAAAACAAGCAAACTCCCCCTTCGTCTTTTCTCTCAACTTCTTCAGGACTCCTCTCATCTCCCCGAGCTCCACCTGCAACTTAGTCCTCGCCTCATTCGTAGTCCGCCGATCTAATTCCACATAGATCTTGCTTTGAAGAGCAGACGCCTCATCCGACGAATATTGTGACATTGTCTGTCCAATGAACTCGGTATCGAGGGTGGCCTGCATCAGTGCCGCAAGAGAATATCTCGGGCGAGCGCGAAACGCATTTAAAAGAGAGGAGAAGACTTGGGTAAGCAGATGTGTGAGAACAATTGTCAACAATGAAGATGTGGGTGATTGTGACAATCGGACAGAGTCGCCAGGCGAAGCAGAGGGAATGGTTGTGGAAATCTCTGTATGTACAAGTACCAAGAGCAATAGAGTATTATAAACGTATGGCTGGACATTTTCTGGGCGGTTAGTCGTTGGCACCCAGTCTGCAGCAGTTACGCCATCGTAGATGGTCTTGTTCAACGCGCTTATAGTAGGGCCTGTGTACGACTGGAAGAGACGATCGTCGATCTGATTGAGCACATCGCTCAGTGTTTTGGCCTCTTCGGTCAGCGTCACAGAGAATGACGTTTCAAAGTTAGCGACTAGCTGGGGAACCAGATCGGCCTGAAGGGCCCGAAGATTTGAAAGAGTAAGAAGCATGCGGACGTTCTTCTTCTCGTCAGCATGCAGTCCATCTATATAGACATACCCTGGAGTAAGTGTGCTTACCCTGTTCTCAGCGTCGACAGTATTGGCAGCGAGCACAGACATGGCTGCATCAGGAGCATTGGCTGCAGTACATGGTCCTGCAAGAACCCATTCATCCCCTTCCCGAGAGACCGTTGGATGCTCTGCATTTTCCACCAAACCACTAAGCGCTTTGTAGACACTAGACACAAACTGTGCGCGCACCATTTGCAATAACTTCGCTGGTGGTTGGGTGACAACCTCCACCGCGTCGGACTTGGCCATGGCCTCTGAGATGTATAGGATCTTTTGCATCTCACCTAGAATGGCACTTTCAAATGCCACAAATAATCTAGGCATCTTCGTTAAATCCCTTCTCTCCGAATCCCGCGTCCAGTCCTCGAAGAATTTGCAATTCTCTGCATCTTTACTCCAGATAGCGCAGGTTATACGAACTGAACGTTCCCGGGCCACGCTCACAAGAGCCTTGAGAAAATCCTGGATACTGTTGCCATTTGTAGTTGGTTCCAACGCCGCCATTTCGCTCGCAGCCGTACCGATAATGACCAAGAATTTACTGAGATAGTGGACCCCGCTAACGCAGTTGGAATATGGCGGCCAAAATGCGTAATCTTCCCAAGGTTCCCCAGGTTTAGGGGGAAGGGCTGGAAGGTTGCTCGTATCGAGTTTGAAGCGAGATTCTGTGGGGGTGATTCCGCTGCCGATAGGACTAGCCGGGGTAGCTGGTACTATCGGTGAGGCGAGCAGAGAGATGTCCTCAATTGGAGGATCAGCAAATAATGACTGTATGCCCTCACGAATCAAATTAATAAGAGACAGGTGACGACTGTACAGCTCTCTCACATTGTCGGGAGACAGCCTATGATGTTTGCGGCTCTCCCCTTCGAATCCGACTGGAAGTAACTTCTGTTGGCGACCTTCAATGAAAGATTGCGCTGCTTCCCACAGATCCGTGACCTCGCCCAGGAGACCACCATGCATTGATAAAAGCCTGTTGAGGTAGGTATGAATGCACTCCCATAACTCAATTACTTGATCCGTGTCCAATGCTCCTTGCAAATCCGGTGCACCCTCGCGAGGCGCCTGGCGAAGGAGCAAAGCCATTGTCCGTGGAGCTGGTTTCTCTCCTGTAGCAAGCCTGCGCCGTAGAATTTCGATCTCGACTTTGGAACGTTCGCAGAATGCTGTGATCTTTGCCCTGAGGGTGTCATAACGGCTGCGGAGCCAGACCCAGATAGGGTTCTCTTCCACTCCGAGTTCCAGAAGGGCGCTGATCAACTCTATGTGTTCCTCCGCCGGATAAGCTGCGCTACTCATTGGCGGTGAAGTGATTGAATTGCTAAGCCGTTTCCAAAGGTCACGTTCGAACACCTTAATCTGCTGGTCGACATCCATCCACATCTTGCCCGTGGCTAGAATAGTATGCGTTTCATCTTCAGCTAAGGGCCGCTGATCACTGACGGCCAAGCCTGCCATGCTCTTTGCCTTGTTTGAGAGAACCCGTGCTTTTGTATAGTGCTCGAAAATGGAATCGTAGTCCCTTGCCTTGATGGACTTGGAAAGATTGCCCCCTAACTCATAGATATCCCTGTGCCTGGTCAACGTGTCGACAACAGACTTCAGCATCTGTTCTCGCTCACGACCACCCAGTGCCGGACCCCATAGTTCCTCCGCCTTAACAGAAGCTTCCGCCAGAGGAGCACGAATGCCTTTCATACCGTACTCACTCTCCTTGGTGAGAGCATTCTTCCTTCTTTCTGGATTGGCGGCTGCCGCAGACAAGGGGCTCTTGAGACCTGAAGATGGCCCGCCAACTGCTATAGACGAAGAATCCTGTTCCGATCCCTGATTCCTCATTTCGGTGTAGACGCTGTCAATCGTTGCCTTTGCGCGGACGAAACGCTCGAAATTCGCCTCGACGAGGACCTTCAATGAGGCTGACTTTTGGTCAATAGACTGCGACAGGTGCTCGAGACCCTGGACAAGCGACCGTATCGAGGCCGACGAATGAGTCTGGGAGAGGAAGAGCGCTGGGGAAAACGAAGTCGACGAAAGCAGAAATCGATTGCGCAGCCGGCAATCATCATCCACCGGTAATCCACGTTTCTTGAGAACCCGAATGACACTGTCTCCTAGCCCCAAAGGATCAGGCTCATCCGTGGGAATCGCATTATCTCTGCCATCAGCCCTCTTCTGCGATCCCAAGTAAGGGCCCCGGTAGCTCGACGTGCGTTCCAGCGCAAAATATCGCGACCTGCGATCTTTCGGATGAGATTTCTGAGCATCTTCGTCTTCTGATGGATCGTTCTCGTCAAGCTCCGCTGGCCATTCTTCGGGAAATGCCGAAGGAAGGTTGTAGTGGTTGACAATCTCAGCGTCGGTCATAGTAGCGATCAGATAAAGGGGTGAACGGGGATGATTTCATGCAGGGAGCATGCGGCCGTAGGGAATGTGCTACCTCTGTACGGAGCACCAATAATAGAAGCAGTGGCCCTCTTGTTTCTCAACCAGCCGGCAATCGGATCGGATAGTGCACGGCGTTGATGCAACTGCTTGTTGGAGGCTTCGGAGCTGTGTCTAGAGTTCCTTCAGCCCGGTTCGGCACAAGCGGGACGGGCGGCGTTGCCGGTACTTCTTTTAGGTTGCAGTGAAAACATCAAGATAAATGCTTTTCTTCCCTCCCAGACCACTCTCCCGCTCATTGCCCACGCCTCCTCTCCTCTCTCAAGCCACGTCTCATCTCTCTTTTCTCCATATCTCTCTATAGGACCGGCACTGGTTGTTGGACTGCCGGACTCTCTTTGAAAATGATGCTTGCAAGGAACTTCGCCTCTCCTGCGCGCCAATGTCTGCGCACAGCTCGCGTTGCACCTCGCTATCAGGTAGCTATCCGGTCTTGCTTGTCTGCTCATAGCTCAAAGATAGATTTCCTGACATATTGCCATTTTTCTTTTTTCTAGATCCGTGGGTACGCCGCCGCAGCTGAGGAACAGGTTGCTACGTTCAAGGGAAAGAAAGGATCCGATGTGCGCAACTTCCCCTCGCCCATCCGGTGGCTTCCGTCGTATTTAGAAGAGCGATGCAGCTCAGAAGAAGCTTCTGAGAGAATAATGGCTGACCTTCTTGTTCTCATAGGGCAAATATACCGTGACACTGATCGAGGGTGATGGTATCGGACCGGAGATATCCCAGTCCGTCAAGGATATCTTTTCTGCAGCAAATGTAAAGAAGCTCCCCAAGAAGCCTAGAATTACTCGAACGTCAAACACTGAACTGAATTGGAAATAGGTCCCCATCAAGTGGGAACCGGTTGATGTCACTCCGATTCTGAAGGACGGAAGGACTACGATTCCGGAGGACGCTATTAAGAGTGTGGAGCGCAACTTTGTCGCCCTTAAGGGCCCGCTTGCTGTATGTCTTGGCTCACGTTCTTTTGTTTCACTGGGAAAGGGCGATTCCATACTGAGTTGTGTTTTAGACTCCCGTCGGCAAGGGCCACGTCTCCCTAAACTTGACCCTGCGTCGTACATTCAACCTTTTCGCCAACGTCCGTCCCTGCAGGTCTATCGCAGGATACAAGACACCCTACGACAATGTCGACACCGTTTTGATCCGTGAGAACACCGAGGGTGAATACTCGGGTATCGAGCATGTCGTTGTACCAGGTGTTGTGCAGAGCATCAAGCTCATCACCAAGGATGCTTCGGAGCGTGTCCTCCGCTATGCCTTCCAGTACGCCCGCTCGATCAACAAGAAGAAGGTCCGTGTTGTACACAAGGCCACCATCATGAAGATGTCCGACGGTCTCTTCCTCAACCTTGCCCGTGACATCGCCAAGGACTTCCCTGATGTCGAGTTCGACGCTGAGCTGCTGGACAACGCTTGCCTGAACATTACTACCGACCCGACACCCTACAACGATAAGGTGCTTGTGATGCCCAATTTGTACGGTGACATTCTCTCGGACATGTGCGCTGGCTTGATCGGTGGTCTCGGTCTCACTCCCTCCGGTAACATTGGCCGGGAGTGCTCGATCTTCGAGGCTGTCCATGGCTCTGCCCCCGATATTGCTGGCAAGGGCCTTGCCAACCCTACTGCCTTGCTCCTTAGCAGCATTATGATGCTGCAACACATGGGTCTCCATCAAGAAGCCACCCGCATCAGGACGGCTATCCTAGACACCCTTGCTGAAGGAAAGGTGAGATTATTCTGTACATTCAATATTCAACCAGTTTAGGATCTTCAACTGACCAATATTTCAACAGACTCTCACTGGTGACTTGGGCGGAAAGGCCAAGACCCACGAGTATGCTGACGCTATCATCAAGCGTCTGTGAACAAGGCCGTGTTCATCCCTTCCGCATTATAGTACTGTCACCTTAAGCCATATCAAATTCCCATAGACAACGGCCATTTCATGTAACTGTTCGTGTACTTTTTAGATCCTATTATTCCTATTATACGCCAATCCGTTCTATGAGCTCATTTTCCCCTTCTTTTTGCTTCCCGAAGTTAAGAATCCTTATACTCCATTTTTACACATATAATAGTAGCTACGTGATCGTTGATATCAAACAAACCTAAAGACGAAGACGCCCTCAAAGAGAAAAGACCCAAACCCCAATCCTCTCAAGTTGTCGGGAGTCATACATCATGAATAACAGAAGGAAAGTTGCAACGCTCTCAGCGCCGTCTGCCGGTCCTTCTAATACCCGGCCCAATGCCCTTTTTATGTTTTGTTCGGGACCCTCTAGGCCGCCCCCTTCTAACCGGAGATTCCTCGGGCTCTTCTTTAGGCTCTTCGGCAGCATCGCTATCCTCCTTGCCGGCATCTGTGCCTTCCTCATCGCTGTCTCCATTGACGTCGGTCTCTTCGGGGTTCTGATCCTCATTTAATCCAATTTTTGGAGCTTCGATCTCAACTTGGAGTCGCATGGAGCGGGTGCCTCGCGCGCGTGTGCTGCGACTCAATTTTCGTCCTCGCGATGGGACCGGAGAAACAGGTTCTAGGTCAGAACAAATATGTTTCGTTAGCTCTGGAACCAAATACGATAATGAAAAAGGTAGACCAAGACTAACCATCTGTATCTGCCACTGTGCTCCCCCTCCGTGAGTCTGCCTGCCCACTAGCAACTGATGATCCTTCCATGGCCAATCTCCTTTCGAACATCAGCTCTCCGTATTCATCTTCCGGTAGCTCAAACGGGCAGTATATATCTTTAGATGTCTCGGGATCATCGGATGGGTCGGTCATAAGGGAGTCCTCCTGCAAAAGCCACGTATTTGCAGTTAGCGACAATAACATTATTGTCTTCGATAAGGATGCTTGCTTGCGACCGCCTTACCCGTTCATCAAGGGCCGGGAGATTATAGAGAGTCCCTAGCTTTTTCCAGATGCCAGGGATCCGTGTGTGTTCTGCATTCGAAGGCGCGTAGCCTTGGCTTTTCATGAACTCCGAGATGGCGATCATACGGAAGTGTTTGTGCATGCCTTTGATAAACAGAGTAGTAATTTATTAGCGGAGGCTCCACTAGGCGATTCGCAAGTATCGTTTCAACAAACCAATGGGTTTCCACTTGATAATCCCCTTCAGAAGCGCGGTCTCTTGTTCATCCGTCCATGGATCTGTGACAAGATCATATTCGGTCCCAGGCTTCGCGCTCTCGGTTGATGCGGGGGTGTTTGCGGGGTTATCAGCTTGAGGTGTAGCTGAAGCGCCGCGGGACGAAAGCCGCGGTCTTTTCTTTGGAGGCATTGTCCTGATGGACGTAGCAAGCAGTATGATGGCCAGAATAAGATGAATATGGTGCCTGGCGACGGTGAACAAGCGGTGGTCCGGGCTCTTCCACTAGTCTACTTTGGGCCGGTCACTGGGTTGCGCGCCGGGCAACGCGTTGATAATAATACAATCTGATGGTGATGCATTTACGAAAGCCAACAGCTGTCATGGAATTGGGCAATCATGGCCAGGATCCATTTTCCAGTGAAGGCTTGTGGAGATTGTCAAGTTTCACTCTGCAGTCTCTGCAGCCGCTGGAACCTCTGCATTTGGATGAAGGATTCCCTGGTAGGTGTAGGCGCAACCCGTCGGTTGTAATGCTGCGGCTAACCAAGCGTTTTCCATATAGATCTCACAAGCGAATTCTTTGCAAATCCCCTGAAATCGTTTGAGAGAGAAGAGTCAAACATATACCAACTGAATATCTTCGGGACTGACTATTTCGGATCCTACGGGTCTCCTGGCACAACCACTGACGCGTCAAGCGAACACCAACCTGAGAATGCTGATCGCGACAAAGAGGATTTGCAAGATATAGAAGATATTTGGCTGTCTGACCAGCTTGATGATGATCCGGGTCATGAAGCCCGATTGAGGTCATGGGAAAATTACGAAGACCCTTCCTTCCGGGAGCCCTTCTCCGCATACTTTAGCGAGACCGGGGCCAAGGGGTTTGATGCAGCTTTAGTACATCAAGCAGCTACTACCGGTCTCACAAATTCAGGGCTTATTGCGCGAAATGATGTCTTTTTCCGGGCGCTGGTTCAACTTGGGCTGGGTTGGAACTCGTTATTTTTTCGCTACAACTATCAGAAACGAAGATTCGAAAAGGACCCAGTGGATGTGCGCATATCGGGAGTCAGTCTTCCCACATTGGATAGGGCGGTTGAAGCAATACAACAATGCGGAACAGATATGCTGAAGGTTCGGAATTTCGTGCGCAACACTGCTGCAAAGTCCAATCATCTATCTTCTCTGTCCGCTTTTGCCAGCGCCGCAGCTGTGATCATCTATACCCTTGAATCTCTGGTTTCTAAACGTTATGCGGACCTGAACCAAGGAGTCTCACTTTTGCGAATCAATGCAATATTTCAGAGATGTGGCGAACTTGTTGGTGCTCTAGCAAACATGATTGAGGAGGCTGAAAAGACTGCATCGGATGCGCAGGTTATCTCCGTCGTTCTAAATAAGGCTGCTTATTTCGCTCAAAGGTACATCTGGGCAGAACGAATTTACAATGAAATATCTGTCCGAGTCGCGCAACCTTGGCTCGGTTTCGTCGAGACTTGGATTGGACTTCGCTCAGAAGAACCGACGTTTGCCGAACTGCTGAAGAATGCCGGGAACTTTGTTGTGCTTGACCATGTTGAAGAATCCTGGAAAACTAACCCCAGGCCTTCAAGGATTGAATATAGATATTGTTCTAAACAGATGCCTTCGCTTATCCCTGCAGACCAAGCGCATCATATCTTTGAGACCGGGAGGAGCTTGCGCCTTCTCAAGCGATCTCACCCGCAGCACCCTATTGCGAGTAACAACATTATTCGTGCGACCCTGCCTCCGAAGCTTCATTGTGCAATTGCCTGGTCTGACATCGAGCGGATACAGAGTACAGCCTATGAATATGAAGCCAAGCTACGCGCTGAGATCCTAAAATATAACAACAGAGGCGAGACTTCTGAGAATGAGCCTCTCTTCGAACCTCCAAGCGAGGCAAAAGCCGACAAGATACTTGAAAATACATATGAAATGTTTGATATTGATGACGAACAGCGTGCTTCGAGCTTACCAACAAAACGTTCTTCAGTGGAGGATGATAGTATCGGTCGATTCCTTGATGGAAATCCTGAGCTATTTGAAAATCATGAGGGCACTTTCGGACCGGAATTAGCGTCTGCTCTTTACCTGTCTCTCGCACCAATTATCTCATCACAAGCACGCCTGATCGACTTCTCCTGTCTCCATCTTCTGTTTAAAGAACATGATATCAGGCATCATTTGGACTTACAGTGGCGCTTCCAGCTTCTTGGTGATGGCTTCTTTGCCCTTCGACTATCAAATGCCCTCTTTGATCCAGAAATGGAGAGCGGCGAACGACGGTCAGGAGTAGTACGCAGTGGTGTCCACACGGGCCTACGACTGGGAAGCCGTGACACTTGGCCTCCTGCAAGCTCGGAGCTTCGTTTAGTGCTCACCAGTCTTCTCAACGAATGCTATTCTACCGATATAAACGACCATGAGGCTATGGAAAGTCTGGGATATCACGATAAAGAAGTACCCGGCGGTCTAAGCTTCGCTATCCGAGACTTGAGCGATGATGAACTAGTCAAATGCAAAGACCCGAATGCGATCGAAGCTTTGGACTTCCTGCGTCTGCAATATAAGCCGTCCACCGTGATAGAGACTGTACTCACCCCCCATTCCCTTCAACAGTACGATATTCTCTTCAGGCACCTCCTTCGCCTGATACGTATGGTCTCTGTCGTAAACGGACTCGTCCGAGACTCCACTTCCCGAGGGTCTCTGTCAGGGGATACAAGAAATCTCTTTCAACGATTTCGCATCGAGGCCCAGCATTTCGTTCTGTCCCTAAGCGACTACTGTTTTAACGTCGGCATCGGGTCTAACTGGAAGCGCTTCCAAGACACACTTTCCAGAATCGAACATTGCCTTGATCGTGGCGATATTGACGGCACCATCGAGGCCGCACATTCTATTCCTAGACTCAGGCAGTACCACGAAGATATTCTCGATCAGATGCTCTTCGCTCTGTTCCTGAGCAAGAGACATGTCCAGGTTGCCAAATTGCTTGAAAGTATCTTCGGAACAATCCTTTCTTTCGCAGCCTTTTCCCGGTTGGACGGTATGAGCGGGATACGGCATGAGAATGAAGAAGCTGTGCTTCGGCTGCATGCAGCGTTCCGGAAACGCGTGTCTTCCCTTGTCCGCTATCTGCGACAGTTAGATGGGAGCAGGGCTTCGCGGAGAAAATCATTTGGGGGATCCGCAGGCGCAGCGTTCGCTTCATCTTCGCGGGCGGAGCCGACAAGTGTCTTTGAGCATCTTCTTGTAAGGCTTGACATGAAACAGTACTATTATTGATCTGCTTACCTATCTTATTGCTCACATGCGCTGGAAAACAAATAATGGAAAATAACACCAAGAATTTCTATGGGTATGTCTCTTTTGATACTTCCATAAGCAGATTATGCAATTGGAAATCGTCATTTGCGTCGATTTTAAGATGCCATAGAACAATCTCCTGGTATAATTCTAAACTTCAGCAAGTCAAGTGAAGGACTGGCATTCTCCCTGTACGCTATGAATGCAATGTAAACTAGGCTAGCCACTTGGAATGGAATTTCAATTTCAAATCCCATCTCATTTCCTTTCAAACAGTCAAATGTATTAAACCCAACAACCCGGCCAACCGATGCCAATATCAATTCCAGTATGGATATCAAACTATGTACATGTACAAAAAACATGAACCCCCTCTATTACTACCAGTCAATCACATTGGATTTGGGCGGACTACTGCCATTGTTGGGATCCCTGGTTTTCTTCCCCCTAACACCCCTTCTATACTTCTTGTCGACTTTCTCGAACGGATCTGCCGCTTCTCCTTGCTTCACCTTCCACTTCTCTGTCCCCAGAACGGCGTCTAGCTCGTCCACAGGAGGGAGCTTCAGATACACCCATCCATCATCCCTCTCCTCAATTGGGAAAGTAGCGATGTTTAGACTCTTGTCATTGGAGCAACGACCCGCTTGCTCACCATTCAGCTCGAAATTTCGCTTATGGTATGGACAAGATACCCAGTATTTCCCAGCGTCATCGTCGCCAATGAGGCCGTCTGATAGTACGAACGCGCGCTTGTGCGGACACATCTGTTGTGTGGCGTAGTACTTTCCCTTGATTTTAAAGATGGCCAGTTGAGTGCTTCCTCGTTTGACGGTTACTGATGAGGTCTGCAGGTTGTGGCGCGAGAAGTAATCCGCTTTGAGCATAGGTTGCCAGGCCAGGCTAGACCATTGATGACCCTTGAAGTCCTCTGTTACTGGCTTATCCGGCCAGTACGCGGGACGCTGCTGTTCGCGCTCCTTGATGACTTCTACCGTCTCCACGGTCTCGGGGGTGTTGGCAAACTGCTGGAAGTATTGGCGTCGCTCTGGGTTTCGCACCGTCTCAGTCCATTCGCAGAAATAACTGTCCACGAAAGCTTGCATTTGTTGCTCCATTTCTGCGGCGATGCCAAGTTTGTCGTCTATTATCACCTCTCGAAGATAGTCGATCCCTCCCGGGAGGCTTTCGAGCCATCGTGCTGTTCGTTGGAGTTTGTCTGCTGTGCGGATATAGAAGATCAAATAGCGATCGATTATTGGGATGACTTCTTCGGGAGGTACATCTCTTGCAAGCAGTTCCGTATGGCGAGGCTTTGCACCACCGTTGCCTCCTACGTAAATATTGAAGCCTTTATTCGTGGATATTAGACCGAAACTGGGAATTGGTGTTAGCGTCTGTCTGAACAAGGATGGAGAGCCTGAACATATGCCGATTTTCTTACTTACTCCTTAGACTGAGCTTCTGCACATTCTCGTACACAACCAGAAACGCCACCTTTCAGCTTATGGGGAGAACGAAGGCTCTTGTAGCGTTCTTCTAATCGAATGGCCATGCCAACACTATCTCCAATTCCAAAACGACACCAGCTGGTCCCAACACAGCTCTATGAAAGTAATTGTAAGTCACCTAGAAGCCCTCAACGGAGGAAACATCGCACTCACCTTAACCGTTCGAAGTGATTTGGCGTAAGCATGTCCGCTCTCCATGCCAGCATTGACGAGTTCTGTCCAGATATCAAGAAGATCCTGTTTCTTGGCCCCAAACATATCAATCCGCTGTCCACCGGTGATCTTGCAGTACAGATTGTATTTCTTAGCAACTTGGCCAATGGATATGAGCTTGTCTGCATTAATCTCACCCCCGGGAATTCGGGGGACGACGGAAAATGTGCCGTTTCGTTGAATGTTTGCCAAAAACCTGTCGTTTGTGTCTTGCAAATCATGGAGATCCTTGTCCATAATGTGCTGATTGAACTGACTTGCGAGTATCGACGCGACAGCAGGCTTACACAACTCGCATCCGAGGGAATCTGGGTTCTTGCCGACTGCCTTCATGACATCGGCAAAGTGTTTCAATTGCTTCACCGCAATTATATTATAGAGGTCGACACGCGAGTAAGAGAAGTGACGGCATACTAAAGAAAGGTTAATACTAAGATGGATAAGAGAAGAAGCATAACTTACAGTGGTTGGTAACCTCTTGACCCATGTCAGCCAGAGTCTTATTGAGGATTGACTGCACAAGGGGCACGCAGCCACCGCAACCGGTTCCAGCCTTGGTACATGATTTAATCTGGTCGATGGTCTTGCATTTGCCGTTCTTGATATTTTCGACAATGTCTCTCTTTGTGACATTGTGGCATGAGCAAATCTGGGTGCTGTCATCACTGTACGATGATAATCGGTCAGACCATTTCATTCGGCAGGTATAAAACACCTTAAGAGGAACCGTAAGAGGACTTACAAGTCATCCACATTCTCCTCGCCGTCCTTTTGCGCACCGATGATAAACTGACTAGGGGGAACTTCCAGCTTAGTCTGCTTTTTAACCATCTGGTTTAGTTTGATATAGTCCTTCGTGTCGCCAATCATCATTCCTCCAAGGAGATACTGCCCGTCCATCGTGAACAGATACTTTTTGTAAACACCCCCAAACGGGTCCTTGTAGGTGAGGCCCTTCACAGGAAGTTCATTATCACTTGTCGCCGGTCGTTTCCCTGGGAGGAACCGTGGCCCATCTCGGTCTGCAAAGAAGTCACCAAAGCTGGCAACGTCAACACCCAGCAGTTTTAACTTGGTGCTCATATCAGGATGTGAAAAGCGCTTGGGAGTCTTGTCGGGGTTTGTCAAATTAAACGACAAGATTTCCGCCATTTCGATTCCAGGAGCAATAATACCGAAAGTCTGGTTCTCCCAGCTTGCGCATTCTCCGATGGCGTAAATATCCTGCACGGATGTCTCTAGCCTTGTGGATGGCAGACTGAAGTTAGCAGCTGTTTGGATTGGACAGAGGAACACTCGAGTCAACCAAACACGTACAGTTCGTTCACTGCAAAGCCACCTCGTTCATCGCATTTGATCCCTGGTTTGCGGGCCAATTCATCTCTGGCCCTTACACCCATCTGAGCAGAAAGATCAGTGATCGGATAAATGCGTAAGACAGGGAGAGGAACGTACAGCTAAACAGACGCAGCAGCAGTCAATATGCTGACCATCCTGGAATGTAATACCCGTAACATTATTATCCTCGTCGGTGTCGATGCTTTGCAACCCTCTGTCGAGTAGAACATCTATACCCAATTCTCTGATTTTTTTGGATACCAAAGCTCCAGCGTCACTGTCGAGTTGCCTTGCGAGTAGCCATTTGTTCCGATCGACAATCTTCACATTGTCAAAATCCTTCAAGTCAAGCATTGCCTTTGCTGCTTCTAACCCGAGCAGGCCGCCCCCAACCGTGATGGCAGTCTGGCGTTTATGAACAGAGGCAAACTCAATGAGTTGCTCCAAGTCTGATATGGTTCTGTAAACGAAAACGCCCTTGGCATCATGGCCCGGTATCCTTCTGGGAACAACGGCATCGGAGCCAGTAGCCAGAACGAGAATATCATAGGGAACCGTGTTGCCGTTTGACGTCTTGACGACCTTGTGCTCGGGGATGACTTCGGTTACCCGCGTGTTGACATGATAGTCGAACGACCTGTCTTGGAACGAGGCGTACTGAGGATACACAGTTACTATAAGGGATTGGCCGAGTATGCTATGAAGCGAGCACATGGACATAACTTACCCATTCCTTGGGCTCGAGGTATAGATTTTCAACCTTGCGATGCTCGAAGAACGAAGTGAGTCCGACACGGTTGTAGGCGACGTATGGTTCTTCGCCAAGCACGACAATATCGTACTGGCGTCTTTCCATGTCATACTTGATGATCTTCTCACTGTCAGAAAGCATTTCATTAGTAAGATTGCTTTTGATTGCCTTTTTCTCTCCTTCTGCTTTTGGGACAGACGTTTACCTACATGAACGAAATGGCCACCATTCCCAGCCCAACTACCACGATCCTTTGGCGTCTGCCGCCTTCCTGGCTCTGCTCGCTGCCATTGTCGCGGCTGACGTGACTGTCTGAATCGCTGGATTCCCCGATTCTATCTAAGCCATTGGGAGTATTGCCAGCGTTGCCATGGACAGGCCTACCGTCCGTCTGCTCATCCAGTGGCATTGCTGCAAAGTGAAAACTTGGGTGAGGATTTCGGGTGAATATTTAGGTAGGTAGGTTCCTACAAAGAGCATCCAGGGAGCTCCCTCGCTAATAAACGGAGTATAGCCTGCTACCGAGTAGACTACAGAAACGCCGTTGGCCAGGCACAAGATCTCTTTGAGAACCAGCGGACCACGCAATTGCGCAGCCAGGGGAACCAGGCTGATGATTCGCCTGAAGAATACGGTTGACATTCTGTTCTGGGCATCCAGCCTTCCTTGCCATGATTTGCATCTCCGCGGGGAGTTGGCATGAAGATAATTACGCATAATGAAGGCGCAAGCAAATCAATACGACACGTCTTCCTCGGAGATCCGACTTGGAATCATGTTAGTGATGTTGTTTGCTTATCAGACCACATCGTGCAGCAGCGCTTTGCCGGCTTTCATCGCACTGTTTAGGTTTATTTCATGCCGTAAAGGCGAAACCTGGCGATGCTCCTGAAGCCGTTGTCTCGCCAGAAGAGTATCTGCTATGCTGTACGGAGGGATTTGCTGTCAAATCCCGGCTGTCATATCCCGGTGCCGATACTGTTGATTCAAGCCTTCTCTTTGCACTTCGTTTCTGTCGGGTTCAACCGCATCGATAATACGGAGAAATATTAGCCATTAACCAGGGGTCGCCTTATCGCTGTGCAGAATACTCTATTCTCTGAGCATTCCCCGCGGAGATAGTCAATGTGAGTACGGAGTATATCACCTCCAAGACGACTGTGGAGACAGATGTTTCCCCAAAAATGATCATGATATTGTTCAATTTTCATTACGGGATGCTTCCGTTTTTCACATCAAATGTTATGAAATCATTTTTGTTCCATTTTTCGGCATTGGAACTACAATTAGTCAATATACTTGATCCCTGCACATACACCGACATCCTACTCTCAGCTACATGGATCTACTAGTTTCGTGAAGAGCCTCCATCGCTTTAACAGAGTACTGTTCTAATTGCCTCTGTAAAACCATGGGCTCCCTCACTCAAGTCCAAACGGAACCGGTCACCACCGCAACCCATTCCATCGGGTCAGTTCAGTTGAAGGTCGAAGAAGACTCCTCGATGTCTTCTCCTGATCTAGCGGAAATAATCCCGCTCCCTCCGCCATCGAGAGAACCCTCTGAGGTTTTAAATATAGACAAGAACACTCCCGACGGACACGTTCCTCGCGATCCTCGACTACTGAGACTTACGGGTGCGCATCCGTTCAATTGTGAGCCACCGCTTACGGAGCTCTACAGCCAAGGTAGTTATATCTTTGAGCCTTGTTGTGTTTCCCCTCCGTAGACAAGGAAACGACGTCTGATGTACCAGGGAAAAGGTTTTCTCACACCACCCGAATTGCATTTTGTCAGAAATCACGGACCCGTCCCCCATGTTCAGGATGATGATATTCCGGATTGGGAATTAAGCATCGAAGGGTTAGTTGACCTTGATGACATGTGTATTTGTTTCTTTAGCCTTTTGAAAAATGAAGGGGGAAAAAATCTGCTAATCCTCCCGCAGTCTTGTGGAGAGACCCGTTGTCTGGACATTCCAACAGATTTTAGACGAATTTGAGCAAATAACGGCCCCTGTCACTCTCGTATGTGCTGGTAATCGCCGAAAGGAACAAAATCAAGTGCGGAAAACGAAAGGATTTTCCTGGGGTTCTGCAGGCATTTCTACGTCGCTCTACACAGGACCCTTGATGGGAGACATCCTACGACGAGCAAAGCCTCTTCGTCGAGCTAAATATGTATGCATGGAGGGGGCTGATGTGTTAGTATGTTATCATTCTTAAGAAGGAGGAGGACAGAAGAAAAACTGACTCTCATAGCCTAATGGACACTATGGCACATCGATCAAGCTCAACTGGGCCCTGGATTTCAATCGAGGTATCATGCTCGCCCACAAAATGAACGGGGAACCTCTCCGTCCAGATCACGGTCGTCCTTTGCGCGTTGTTGTTCCCGGCCAAATAGGCGGACGCAGTGTCAAATGGCTGAAGAGACTGATCCTCACAGACTCCCCGAGTACGAATTGGTATCATATCAATGACAACCGATTGCTACCGTGAGTTCTTCCACTTCAGATATAATTTGTTTGCGGGAACCTGACAATATCGCCAAATGTGAAGAACGATGGTCTCCCCAGAGATGGCATCCGAAGACCCCAAGTGGTGGCGAGATGACCGATATGCCATCTTCGACCTAAATGTCAATTCTTCCGTTGTATATCCAGAAAACAACGAGGAGCTTGTGATAGCTTCAGCCCCTTCGACATATACCGTTAAAGGATATGCTTACTCCGGTGGTGGCCGACGGATTACAAGAGTTGAGATTTCCTTGGATAAGGGAAGATGTATGTACAAGTGCATACGTATCCCGAAAAGTGAATTTCTGCCTAACTAATTATCAATTTAGCATGGCACCTTGCGCACATTGATTACGCCGAAGACAAGTATCGCAACTTTGAAGGCGACCTTTTTGGCGGGAAAGTAGACATGTACTGGCGGGAAACTTGCTTCTGCTGGTCTTTCTGGTCCCTTGACATTCCAGTGTCGGATCTACAGGCTAGTGATGCCATTTTGGTGCGGGCAATGGACGAGTCTTTGGCTGTTCAACCCCGTGATATGTATTGGTCTGTCCTTGGAATGATGAACAATCCGTGGTTCCGCGTCACCATCACAAATGAAAACGGAAGATTGAAATTTGAGCATCCGACACACCCAACTAAGACTGGTGGCTGGATGGAACGGGTCAAGAAAGCCGGAGGAGATCTGGCGAACGGTTACTGGGGAGAGACAGTTCAAGGGGAAGCACCGGCCCAGCAGGAGTCTGCGAAAGAGATAAATATGAGAAGGGAAGGGCTGAGTAGGCTGATCGAACTACAAGAGCTCAAGGATCATGTTAGCAATGGAGAACCTTGGTTTATAGTCAACGGTGAGGTATATGACGGCACTGAATTTTTAAGGGATCACCCAGGAGGCGCTCAGAGCATCATTTCTTCTGCCGGAATGGACGTTTCGGAGGAGTTCCTCGCCATTCGTAAGTCGTCTGAATGGAAACCGGCAAGTTATCACAAGACTAATATTCGATTATAGACAGTGAAACTGCAAGGATTATGATGCCGGGTTATCACATCGGAACATTAAGCACATCAGCCCTGGCTGTTCTTCAAGATAATGGCCTGGAGGAACAGAACAACTCAACTGAACCTCGCAAGACATTTCTCCAGTCTCGATACTGGTCCAAAACAACACTGGTACGGAAGAAGATTGTATCCTCGGATAGTCGGATTTTTACGTTCGAGCTTGAACATCCAAAACAGACCCTGGGTCTACCAGTCGGCCGGCATCTTATGATCAGAGTCCCAGACCCAACCAAGAAGAACGAGTGTATCATCAGATCTTATACTCCTATTTCTGGTATTACACAGGAGGGAACCATGGATATCCTAGTCAAAGTTTACTTTGATACTGCTACCCAACCAGGCGGCAAAATGACAACGGCCCTTGATAGACTTCCCTTGGGCTCCACGATCGATTGCAAAGGTCCAACTGGCAGGTTTGAGTACCTCGGCAATGGCAACATCCTAATAGGTGACCAGGAGCGTCATGTCAAGTCCTTCCGGATGATTTGTGGAGGTAGTGGGGTCACACCAATCTTCCAGGTTCTGCGTGCCGTGATGCAAGATCCGGACGATCCAACGACCTGCGTGGTGCTTAATGGAAACAGACGCGAGGAGGACATTCTTTGTCGGGCTGAGCTAGACGCTCTTGTCGCTCTCAACAACGCAAAATGCACCATGATTCACACTTTGACCAAGGCGCCTGAGACATGGGCTGGCCATCGTGGCCGTATCTCCGAGACGCTGCTGAAGGAATATGCTATGCTCAATGACGACTGTATGGTGCTGGTTTGTGGTCCAGAGAGCATGGAGCGCGATGTTCAAAAGATACTACTTGGTCTTGGATGGGAAGAGTCGAATCTACATTTCTTCTAGGATCTTTATTTACCTTCAGATACCATGGATGGGTTAGACGACATGAGCCGAAGAGCATGCACGTATGTTGGATAGAGCGGTATATACTCCGGACTAGCAACTCTAATATCTGCATAGAAATACATGAATGAGAGAGCCAGGATGGTCAATGTAGTTCATTGATGGCAATGATGGAATGACCCTAATAATCCCCAATCCGGAAAGTCATTTAGGGCATGTATTACACGTGATCAGAGCCAATCAGGGTCCTGAGATCTCTTATCTTCGAGTTGCAAGTTTTAAGTTCCTCCACTGCAGCAGCTTCATCAGTTGCTCGTACCATCTATTCTATACAGCGTGGAAATCCATTTAGCACCGCGGAGATCTACCAGCATTACTATACCCAGCGACAGAACGGCCTTGGGAGTGTGCCGATAATTACCATGATGGAAGGGAAGCAATAGGCATTTTGGGCGTCCAATGACAGTTCTCTTCGTTATCGAGCATCAAGAGCCGGTGAGAAAACCGCTTGCGGTTAATATCTATTTTTCTTTTCTTTTCTTTTCTTCAGTGCGTCCGCGGAAGTACGCCAGAAAAGTGGCCATTGCTCTGGCCGACGCGTTATCAGCGAGCTACCTTGGCCTGCAGAAACGCCAGTCAGCATGACTTGATTCGTCTTGGTGTTCCCATTTATCAATCTGTCACTTGAAGTGCCTGGTGGTATTTCCCCGGGGGGTTCATCAATACCTATCTCGGCCCCAGGCTGGTTTACATCTCATTAGACGTGCCTTTTACAAACAGGCTGACCATCAATTATCCAGGTATCTCTCTGGACCCTACTGAGATTGCGTGATCCTGGAATCTCTGTCTTATGATCCATTATCATTCCTGGACATCGACTTGGGCCTGTTTCTCCTAGGAGATTGATATTGCTTTTTGTCTCCCCGCTCCTACTGGACATTGGACTGCACTGTCTATACGAACCAAGGGAATTAAACTTTCGAGTCACTTTATTCGTGTTGTGTTTCGGCTGTACGGAGTCCAGGTTGTCGCATTCTACAGCGCGCTATACCTTGTCTTGTCATATAGACGGTGTCGATTTCCCTGTACGTCCTGACATTCAGTCATTGTTAAACTAGCATGTTTGGATTGCCATTCAAGTCTATACATATCTCCCTGGATTTCTGTGATATTATCATACCGTCTACCAATTATCTGTGTTTGGATCGTTACCCTTTGGAAAGCTACACAACATGAGCCTTGGTCCCCTCAAGTTACTCTTTGTCTCTCCGGAGGTGAATCCCATCAATAAGAAGGCCAAGTCGATTCCCATTCTCAATCCAATCGATCCATATGGTCGTGTCTTTTTCTTTTCATGGCTCGGATTCATGGTTGCGTTTCTGTCGTGGTATGCTTTCCCACCTCTGGTAAGTTGCCCGTGTTTCTACCTCCATTCGAGCAGCATGAAAAGAAGAGCCAGCCCTGACTCGATTTCCCTGTAGATGACCGATACCATTAAACAAGATTTGCATATGTCGCAGGATGACGTTGCAAATTCAAACATCATTGCTCTTCTAGCAACGTAAGTACCTTTTTGAATAGCGCAAATTTATACGCTCAGTAGACTAATCGACTTCTGCATCCTAGGCTTCTTGTTAGGCTCTTCTGTGGACCGCTGTGTGACCGATATGGGCCCCGCTTGGTCTTTGTTGGATTACTGCTCTGTGGTGCCATCCCGACTGCTTTGGCCGGTCTTGTTTTCACCCCCAAGGGTCTAATCGCATTGCGGTTCTTCGTCGGCATCCTGGGAGCCACGTTTGTTCCTTGCCAAGTGTGGTGTACGGGGTTCTTCGATAGGAACATCGTCGGAAGTGCGAATTCTTTGGCAGGCGGTTTCGGCAATGCCGGTGGGGGAATTACATAGTAGGTTTCTTTTTTCTGTCTGCTAGGGTTCCAATCTGTTTGTCCACTCACTCATTTGTACACTAGTTTCGTCATGCCAGCCATCTACAACTCGCTTGTTCACTCTCGAGGGCTGACACCGCATAGAGCCTGGCGTGTTGCCTACGTTGTGCCATTCATTATTATCGCAGCCATCGCATTGACAATGCTATTTACATGCCCGGACACCCCAACAGGGAAATGGTCAGAGCGACACACCTGGGTAGGCAACCATGCGAGCGACTCACCTGCCCAGAGCAACGCCATCAACATTACAGACACAGAGAAGAAAGCAGGCACTGAATCCCCCGACATAACATCAACAGACCAAGAATCTAAACACCCCGAAGTGGCAGCCGGCTGCAACAGTGAAGCCGTCGTAGACCCGACCCTCAAAGATGCCCTCCGAGTCACCTGCAGTCTCTCCACGATATCCCTAGCTCTAACCTACGCCTGCTCCTTCGGCTCCGAATTATCCATCAACTCCATCCTCGGCGCATTCTACGCCAAGAATTTCCCGAAACTTGGCCAGACCAGGTCAGGAGACTGGGCAGCCATGTTCGGCCTGCTCAACGTTGTCTGTCGTCCCACAGGCGGGTTCGTGTCGGACCTTCTTTACCGCTCCACGGGGACGGTCTGGAGCAAGAAGATCTGGCTCATCTTCCTAGGTGTCGTGATGGGTGTCTTCGAGCTTGCGATCGGGTTAACGGATCCGAAGGATGAAGCGACCATGTTCGGCCTCATGGCTGGATTGGCCTTCTTTTTGGAGGCTTGTAATGGGGCCAATTTTGCTCTTGTGCCGCATGCGCATCCTTTTGCTAATGGTTCGTGTTGTTCCCTTCCCTTATGCAAATACCATAATCTTGCCCAAAAGAGACATCTTCTAATCTGGTCATTAAATAGGTATCGTCTCCGGCATAGTAGGTGGCATGGGAAATTTCGGCGGCATCATCTTCGCCATTGTCTTCCGCTACAATGGTGTGCAGTATGGTCGGTCATTTTGGATTATTGGTGTCATCTGCATCGGTATTAATGTGCTCTTCTCCTGGACGAGACCGGGTTCTAAATTGAACGTGTAAATTAATTCATTTACTTATCCAATTTACTGTATTATCACTTACCTACTTTCGTTTTTGCGGTCTTATGGGGATGTATATGATACCAAGGTAAGGATTTGAGAATTACACTTTTTCACATTCCATATTGATTAATTATCATTCAATAACTAATAACACCGATATTTAGCTGCAATCTGCCCGTCAAAGCACCAAGTCAAGCAACTGTCAACCTATGTTACACAGGGTGGCCAGCACCAAGCGAGAACACCGGTCAATCATCTGCTCTCCCCAACATCATTGACAAGAGATACGAGGCATAAACATCAAAGTCTAGCTGCACCTGAGGTAGGAAACTATGAATTAACCCAAGCATGGGCCATGTATGTTTTGATGTACATCGAACAGGGGTATCTTTCGAGCAGAAAAAGGGAGAGAAATAAGACAAAGAGATGACTGTAGTAGAAACACCCCCATGCTCATCACCAGAAAACGCCTACCCTAGTCTGCAGAAAATAGATTATTGAAAAGGAGCTAATCGTCATCGTCACATGTCGTACGTCACCTCAAGTGATCGAGAAAAAGCGCTGCCGAACCGAATTAATCGACGCTGGGGGGAGCATCCTTAAGGATTTCCCATCCGAACTCCTCTTCTGGTTTCTCCGGTTCCATACCTAGAGCTTGACGATACGCACGAACTTCGTTCTGCAAACCAGAAACTATGCGAAGGGGAAGCTCCTCTTCCTCGCAGCGAAGGCGGTACGCTGTACGAATCATCTCTGCGCACTTCATGGTCTGAGAATGCCAGTAATCGCGATCCAGTCTGGATTGCAGGTGAGCGTCCCGCTCGGCTTGCAGAAGATTATTGTAGTGACGCTTTTGCGCAAGAAAGTGCATGTTATTGTTCTGGCAGTAGTTGCGGATCTGTTCAACCATAACTCCCATGGCTGCCTCATATTCGCCAATCAGTTTGATGTTCTCCGTTTGTTCATGCTTTAATATCTCGACCACACGTTTCTCTCTGGCAAGGGCACGTTCAAGGTCTGCAATCCTGGCAGCTGTATGAGGTTAGTCGAGGGACAGTTGAGTTAATCATCTCATTCTGAATACAGACCGGATATCTCGCCATTAACTTGCTGTAAACTTGGGCTAGAGCCCTCGGTATTAGCACGTCTCTGCATGTGCGTTCAAGTTAGTCATCAGTAAAACGCACGGCTCAAGGTGTCCATACCATTAAATCCTCCGCACTTGTAACAATGCTCCTAGTCATCTCGCGATTATTCTTAAGCACATCGCTCAACTCGAGCACCATCTCGTAAAGGTGGTTTAGATCCATTTGTTGGCCCGCGTTTATAGGCATACCAGCGGCCAATCCACCACCGGCGCCTCCACCGTTCACCTGGGCATGTGGAAGTGAAGGAGACATAGACGGGCTCCGCAAATTCGAAAGATTGTTGGGAGAGCTCTCGAAACTGGAATACATGCCAGGTCCGGCTCCCTGAGTATTATTTGCGGTCATATTTCCTCCGATATGGCCACCGTTGCCGTTAAGTGACATAACCGCACGCAAAAATGCAAGATTAAGTTCGCTAAAGTCGTTCTCAGACTTGCGTTCCTGTTCCGCTATCAAAAGTCGAATACGGTGAACCTCGCGAGTGATACGCCGGAGACGCGCTTCCTCGGATTCCCTTCTCTCGGATGAGGTTTGGGGAGTCCACAACTTGAAATGCGGGTCAGGGGATTGCCTGGAACAGGATGTACTTTCGAGACGCGGAGAACAAAGGCGATACCGCTGAGGTTGACGGCCAGCAGTATCGTTGCCAGCGTCAGGCCCTCCAGTAACTGTATTTCTTCTGCGATGAATTGCGATTCGAGCGGGTTCGGCGAGGATAATACCGGTATCTGGAGTTCCAGCGACCGTGTTGCTCCTTGGACGTGTCCCTCTGGGTATGTTGCTAGGCTGTGTAGCTAGGAGTAGGAAGAAGCTGGAGCTGGGACTTAGACCGGCAGACATTCTGGGGATGTCTGAGCTCCTTATGCGGTCACGTGTATGCATGGTGGTCCGTGCATGAAGCGTGACTGCTGTATTCCTTCTTTCACACAGCAGAGACTCTGGCTGCAAGATAGACACCAGTAGGGAGGTGTAGGAGGGAGGTGAGGAGGTCTGGATATGTGGATCCTTTTACAAGTGCTGTATTCACTGTTGCTAGAGTGCTGAGATGGTAGGGTGCCCACTTCTCCCTCTAGTATAGAAGCATAAGCTGAACTTCTGTGCAGCTTATATCTGCAGCTGCTCCGTGGATTATTTACAAATTTATGCAAAAGGGATTACTCTCAGAATGATGGGTATTTGAATCATGGTATCATACAGTGTCATACATATAAAGTCAAAAAGACCGGCCATCAATTCAATGGACAACTTCAACCTCATTCCTCGTCAAGTCATTTCTAACAGTGCTTCGAGTCTCTGGTCAAATCCCTGCAAAGGTTTAATCTCGTGTCCGTTACTTTTTCTCTTTCTCTGATTAATCCGTCCTCCAACTCTAGCAGCTAACATCCTCATCTTGTCCAGCTCCCGAAAGAGCTCCCCGTCTCTGGTAACAAGGTTTGGCTGGATATTTTCCCGTGGATTCTTGAAAGGCTCAAGTAAACGCTGCAGTTCCTGAAATTGGCAAAGACGCTGTCTTCGTTGCTGGCGCCGGTTGTCCAAATCGATGAGACGTTGGCGGAGGTGTCGATACCTACGACGGTCAGTCAGCTGAAGGAAAAAGAAACCCAAACTAATACATTAGAAAAATGTCAGACCTCGATATTTCTTCTCCTGTTTCATTTTGGTCCTCTATGTCTATGGGAAGTCTGCTGATGTTTCTGATGTAATAGATTAGCAGGTTTTGTAGAAAGAAAAGAAGAGCACTAGAAAGGTAGTTAACTCACCCGTGTCTTGACAAGTCCGCTGTTTTTTCAACTCCGCTGGCATAGGACTCCAAGCTTTGGTTTTCTCGAACCACTGTAGACCAATACAGACTCGATATTTGTTGAGCGACATGATGTACTGCCTGGGTAGAGTAGACGACACGATTATGTTGTTTCAAAGCAGCATTTACTAACAGGAAAACATGTTAGCTTGTGGTCCAAGGCGAAAAGTTATATATATACACCTAAAAGGATACGCAAACAGTGGCTTCATACATTTCCGTAAAACATCTTCGACAACCTTCTCGCTAAGGTCCTCCGCCTCCGCTCCCAAAGCGTACTCTCTCCAATTCTCATTGGGCTCGAGATTCACAGACAATATGCGCAATTGACGTCTAATGAAAGCCGACTTTAATTCGGAGATCGTACGAGCAGATTCCATCTCGCTTGATATTGGTATGGCTGTGAGCTAGGAACTGGAATACGGAGTAACTCTAGGTGTCGGCGGAAAGAATACCTTGCGCATATTCTTCTTGATCCCTTGGAATTCTTGATGCTTAATTTCTATTCTATCTACTTTCAGGGATATAGGTTGGATCACGGGGTGGAAAATCATTATCCCAAGCACGTGACACTTTCCTAATACGATACATATTCGACAGAAAATGATTTAAGAGCAGCATTCCTTTATCAAGACTTTGTTTTTCATAATGTACTGAAAATAATGAGCACAATCTCCGTGTATCCTTGAATGCTACATAAATTGAGTCTTCTGGGTACATGAGAGACAATGATGTGCTGAAATGTGCCAAGTTTTCCTGTTTGGGACAGAGGTTACTTACTAAAAAATAATAATGTGCAGGCATTGCGAGGTCTAGGATGGAATGGATATCTTGTTTACAAGCAGTCCCAAAATGTACATATCCAATGTTTGATCATGCCCTAGATATTCATGAAGTTGCATCCATGTCTAAAACTATCCGTTTGCAGGACAATTTCAGCTACAGATTCCGAAGCACTAAAGCAAATGGATGTTCCCATTCATTCCAATTTTGACAGAAGTCTGCCTCAGCAGACAATCTCCACAGGGAGGAGACCTTCGTCCCTTGTCCTTTCTTGCAAACCTTTACCCTTCAAAAAACTCCCAGGAATACTTTCTTTGTCCTGTAGAGTGGCCCAGGTACGAAACCAGGTTATCTACGCGCCTTCAGACGAAGCCACCCGCGGCGTAAAGCCCGTCTTTCCCGCCGGCACCAACAGCAAAGTGGACATGAGCGACTAGCGGGAGACCCTATCCACCTCTCTCTCCAACGTGCCCGTCACGATATGACCCATAGCGCACTGGTTGGGACAGCTCGTGGCACGAGGAAATAAAAATTTGTTCTTCACAAGCAGGTGGAGTGCAAGCTCGACAAGCTGGACAAGGCTGACATTGTCGTTGTTTACTTCCACCCGGCTACTCCGGCACCCCTCAGTTTGCTTGAGCTGGGGATTTGTGCAAGTGTTCCAGGAAAGGCTATCTTTATCTGTCCTAAGGTGTACTAGAAGGGGAGAAATGTGTAAGTTGTGTGCAAGAAATTTGGGGTTGAAGTGGTGGAGAACGTTGATGGGCTGAGAGGCAGTTATGAAAAGGTGCCTGTTAGTTAACTACTACGGAGTAGCTGATGTAAATCTTCTTATCGATAAATTGAATCACGTGCGCATCTCCTCGACACGAAGTGCAGTGTGCGCCTTTATACGTAGCACACGTTACTTATTCTTGAGGTGCATCTGTTATAGCCTACGGTAAATACCAAGTCTCCTGAAGCTATATTAATACTATATCATGCTGGGAATGCCATTGCCACTGAGGAGCCAAAACACCAAAAGGAACTCCCTCGGTACCCTAGAATATCTTAACCTCGGCAACGCTACGGTGCGCCAGCATACATTCCTTTTCAGCTTCTCCAAGGCCACAAAGCTTAGTGACGCATTCCTTGGTCATTTCCAGATAGGAGATAGAGGGTGTTCGAGGCTCATCCATCGACTAGTTTGATATTTGAAAGACCTTTTGAATGATGGCAGTAAACAAACAACCCTTGGGCCTACTTTTCGACATAGGGGGCGTCTGCGTAAGCACAAAGGCTCAATTCGCAGTTGATCAACTACTAATGGGAATTTCTAGGTCCTTTCACCTTTTCAGGCCATATTGGATTACGAAATTGCTCATAACATTCCCCCAGGATGGGTGAATTTTAGCATCTCCCGAACAGCACCCAACGGCAGCTGGCACAAGCTGGAGCGGGGCGAGATCAAAATGGATGCTGATTTCTTCGCTGCATTCAAAAAAGATCTGCAAAATCAAGTTCTCTGGGAGAAGTTCCAGGAATATCTTCAGCGAAAGCAGAAAAAGACCAATGCTTCGAATCATGTATCTACTCCGGTCCCTCCAATGCCGGAGGTCGATGCGGAACGGCTCTTCTGGGAAATGATGAGGATATCACGGACTCCAGATCCTTATATTTTCCCAGCCTTGAAAAGGCTTAAGGAATCGGGCAAATTTATTATTGGAGCTTTGTCAAATACGGTGATCTTTCCCGATGGACATGAGTACAATACCGACGACAACGGAGTGAAGTCACAGTTCGACATCTTCATTTCATCCGCACATACTGGTCTCAGAAAACCGGATCGAAGGGTATATGAGCTTGCTTTGAAGGAAATGGATGTAGTCGCAAAGAAAAGGGGGATTGAGCGACTCGCCGCTTCAGACGTCGTCTTCCTCGATGACATCGGAGAGAATCTCAAGGGAGCAAAAAACTTTGGCATGAGGACACTCAAGGTCAACCTTGGCAAGACACAAAAGGCAGTCAAAGAGTTGGAAGCGATTACTGGTCTTCACTTGCTGGAAGATCAAGAGAAGGCCAGGCTGTAAGACATGTTAGCTGCCCTATCATTGCAGAACTCTATGAAATACAAGAAGCTGTATGCAGTAAATAATTAGATAACAATACACAGTTCCTTTGCCCATGAAATAAAATGAAATGAAATGCGACCTGAAATCGTGGATTGCAGAGTGAGCTAGGGGTTGATGACGGCTCGTGGCCAACCGCGGTGTTGAGTCGGGATGCAGCCCAGACTAAGCGAAGCCGCGCACAAAGTCAATCCACCCAGATTTTCTCTTCGACTTTTTCCCTTCGGACGCAGCAGCCAACATCGACACGACGGACCTCGATCCTCAGCAACGGTCAAGATGGTGAGTCTCATTGCCACTAGAGATGGGTAGTCCGCCATCCTGTATACGTCGCCGTCCCACGTTCTTCTGCTTCCATCGGGGGCTGAATTCGGGTCTTTGCAAGATGCTTCGGGCGGGCTTCTGAAGCGCAAATTGCTGACTCGCGGGGTCTTTTTCTACAGGTTTTCACTAAGCTGGTCAAGAACAGCGCTTACTACAGGTAAGGATACAGCTTCAAAATTGAGGTAAATTTCCATTTTTGCTAACTTCACCATAGTCGCTACCAGACTAAGTACAGGCGTCGTCGGGAGGGAAAGACCGATTACTATGCCCGTCAGCGCTTGGTCACCCAGGCCAAGAACAAGTACAACTCGCCCAAGTACCGCCTGGTCGTTCGCTTCACCAACCGCGACATCATTACCCAGATCGTCTACTCCGAGATCGCCGGCGACAAGGTCCTTGCCAGCGCCTACTCCCATGAGCTCAAGCGCTATGGCATCACCCAGGGTCTGACCAACTGGGCCGCCGCCTACGCCACTGGTCTGCTCCTCGCCCGCCGTACCCTCAAGAAGCTTGGTCTGGATGAGGACTTCACCGGTGTTGAGGAGGCCGATGGTGAGTTCACTCTCACTGAGGCTATCGAGACCGACGATGGCACCCGCCGCCCCTTCAAGGCTTTCCTTGATGTTGGTATTTCCCGCACTTCCACCGGTGCCCGTGTCTTCGGTGCCATGAAGGGTGCTTCCGACGGCGGTATCTTCATCCCCCACTCTGAGAAGCGCTTCCCTGGATTCGACATTGAGACCGAGGAGCTCGATGCTGAAACCCTCCGGAAGTACATCCTTGGCGGACACGTCGCTGAGTACATGGAGGGTCTTGCCGATGACGATGAGGAGCGTTTCAACAGCCAGTTCCAGAAGTACGTTGAGAACGAGATCGACGCCGGTGACCTCGAGGACCTCTACCTTGAGGCTCACAAGGCTATCCGTGCCGACCCCTTCAAGAAGGACGAGGAGGCTGGCCCCAAGAAGTCCAAGGAGGAGTGGAAGGCCGAGAGCAAGAAGTACAGGAAGACCAAGACCACCAAGGATGAGAAGAAGGCTGCTGTCGAGGCCAAGATCCGTGCTCTCGCTGCTTAAGCCGAAAGGTTGACTACAGGTGTGGGACTGTTAAGGCTGATGAAGTTTAATGAGAGCTAGTCGAGCAAAAAGAGTATTTTATAAAATGCAGGGGGAATATGCTTTTCTTTTTATCCAATCAGCGATTTTCCTTTTTTACATCCTGTAGCTCGATGGGGAACGACATTTCAGAAGGCTTTCTTTTTTTTTTTTTCAATCGGTTCGGAGCAATTAGGTCGGTGTTTAGGCCATGGAATTGAATCTGTTCTAATACTGTCCGAATTGCTCCGTAATAAGGCCTGATGCATCCGTAGCGAATAAGACGCCCGGAGTCCAATTGCGGCATTCATAGCAGACATCCAGGTTGCTTGAAATCTGTTACAAAAATACTGTACAGTGTTCAGAATCCACATACGGAGTACAGCCACGCGAGTCATTATCGAACTCGATTTAATGAGGCTTGAAGCGATTGGGAAGCGCAAATTTTAGGTATTTATTTAGATAATTGTTAGATGCCGACTTTCCCTAGGCCTTCTTGCCGTTAGGGGCAATTTGCCTATTCCGTTCATTCGGTCGGCGGACGGGTGGGACGAACAGTCCGATGAGGATCCAGATTGCTTCTTATTTTCTGGTGAATATGGATCCTCAGGAATAATAATGCTGTACAGCATGTAAAAATTTGCCTTAGCTGAGGATATGCCATTGTTTCTTTTCCTCTCCTTTTTGTGTGCGATACCTAACCTATTTCGATTATTCATAGGTATACTTGTGCAGAATGAAATGAAATAAAACGATAGTATGAGCATTATCAATTGATTGATTGGTTGTTTCATATAAGCCTCAAGTACCAAAGCTTTGCAGCAGACCAATACACGCGCATAGCTCTGCGTATGGTGTGCTAGGTAGTATGTACTATCTACTACCTATGTACCTAGAGAATGGTCGACGTCATATGCAAGCATAGTACGACTCGTGGCCGTGTTGATAGCAATGGCCCTGAAAACCAAAGTATTTCACAGGGATGGATGTTAATATTGTTTACGCATGACTCCATATTGGTCTAGTAATGCATAGAGACGGGACTGCCACGTAGTTCGAAGTGGTTCTTTCTTTTTTGTATTCTCTTTTTCTTTTTTTCAATTCCGTGACCTGACCAGTATTTCCGGTCGTCGAATTCCGAGTTATACATAGGAAGACAAAGCTTAATTCTGCGGCGGGAAGAAAATTTTAAAAGGAGGGGCGTGGTGTTTACCTCTATCTCACCATAGACGACAATACCTCCTCCTGTACATGTACAGGCCTTGCCGTCCTACCTGAGCAGTAATATGAGGATCAGCTGAGAGAGAGAAACGGGCATCTCATGATATCATTGCATAGTTGTTGCAATCGTTTTTGGCCGTGCAGGGTTTCCTCGTTCTGGGGTAGTCTGGTATCAGCTGACAGCGCATTGGACGATGCCGTACGGACGTTACCGTGTATTATACATTGTGGTGGCGATGTGGGTTCAGGAAACACCTCGATCGGCCCACGAAGCCAATAGAAGCGCAATCCCGTGCTCTGGTTGGCCCTGTAATACCGTACTGTTACGGGAAATACGCCAAGTGCCGGGCTGCAGGTTGGATCGCCTTTCTCCGCTCGCTGCATCCGCTCGATCACGCCGAAACGGGCAATGGTCATCCAGCGTTCGGTCAATTAAATACGCTGCCCGCGACTCTGCTCGCCGCTTCGCTTCATTTCCCTCCCCCCCTTTCCTGTCTTTTTTCCTTCTCTCTTTCTTCTCCTTCTGAGTTATTCCTCTTTTCGCATCCTTCCGTTTTCTGAAGCATCATGTCCGCTCATCTCCATACTCCGATTTCGAACCATACGTCCCATCATCAGTAGAACAACCTGCACCGAGCAAAGAGTCGCGTGGGCATTTTTGCTTGCTTTTTCTCTCGCTCCCTCTTCGATTTATGGGCGTGCATCGATCTCTGGATATTTTCCTGTTGTTTATAATTGCAACGTTGCGCCCAAGGTAGCCTCGCCATAATCCCCCGTATCTGTTCATCGATTCTCCGGCGAAATATGTTTTATCCTTAATACTGTCAGGGTCGGATTCTCTGCATCCTATTTCATTGGCATACTATCTTTTGACACATTGCGTTTACGCGGAGTACGGCCTAGTCTTGTGCTCCGATTGTGTGTTCCAAAATGGAGGTTGAAACTGTCGATGTGAGCTGGCTTCACCATTCGCAGAAAGGTTTGTTCCAAGAGGATTCTCTGAACTTCAATTGCACGGTGGCTGGCTATTGATAGAGGGTGGTCGGTGTTAGGATCCGGAAGAAATGGTAAACTGACGGTATCTTTTCTTAGATCAACTGCACCGCACCAAATCCGTATCTTCAACGGTGAGCGATAAATCGAGCATCGACTCAGAGAGGCCCGCAGCGCGGCAACCCTCGCAAGAAAACCAATTACAATCCCGCGGTAACGCCCCATCTACGAATTCCACCCACACGAATGGTACTACGACACCCAGTCACACAAGTGTCCGGTCAGAGGAGAAGGCCCCAAACCATACGGTTACGCCGGATCGTAACAGCTCCGGACAGTCGCCGACACCCCAGAAAACTATACCACGTTCAACTTCGGGGAGAAGAGGCTCCTGGATATCAAATTTGAGCGCCAAGTTTTCCTCTGGTTCTACGCCCCCATCACAGACAAGTGCGAAGACGAGCCCAAGCGCTCCGAAGACCGCCGTCCATGGAGGATCCAAACTTGACTTCCATAACCCTTTCGGGGCAGCCTATTCCCCAAAGGTCAAGGAAGAGGAGGAAAAGGAGGAAGGAAGTAACCCCTTCGCGTCAACTTCACCAAAAGGCCCATCGTTCCTCCACAATGCTTTGCGCCGATTTTCTTCATCTGTCCCAAGTGGAGCGAGCAAGGCAGCCCCGAGTGGTACTGTCTGTGAACGACGTGTGATGAATATCGACCCTTGCCGCGATAGATGTAAAATACCGGAGTTAAACCAGGCGAAACTACGACGCGTCGCTTTCTGTGTCGATGTTGAGATTGCCGGAATCTCTTATCGGGAGCCCGACGATGAGACGTCGCCTACGCGAACTGTGGAGCCACCTGTTATAGAATCTAATGGCCATAAAGGGAAAAAGTCTAAAGAGAAATCCAAAACGAAACCGGAAACCCAGAATACCAAAGACGGTCCGACCGCTAAGACTGCGGCGAAGAAAGACCCGAATGGTGCAGACGAAACCAAAATTGAGAGTGAAGTGAAAGAGCCGACAAGGAAGCAGGAAAAGAAAAAGCGGTCGGAGGAAGAAAGAAAGGAACGCAAGGAGCGGAGACGGAGGCAGGCGGAGGCTAACGGCATAGTGCCGCTTCAACTGAATTATGCAGAGGATGACTCTCCGTCGGCCACTAATCCTCCTCGCCCAAAACCGCAATCGCAGCCGGTCACGGATCCTGTACGAATATACCGACGATGCTGCAAGCTGCGCGAATCTCCTGTTCTCAAGAAGGTGGTTGACCAAATTTCCTCCCCATCTTCAACGCTGGCGGAATCTCCGGGCACTGTCGCGGTTTTGGACCTCAGCAATTTCCCTATGACATATCAAGACATTATTTCATTCAGTGACTGGCTTGCAATCGTCCCGGTCCGTAAACTCATCCTCGACAGCTGTTGTTTGACGGATCAATCTGTGCGAGCAATCCTAGCAGGGCTGCTCTCCACGAAAACAGTGGAAGAGATGACGTCTCGGCGCAAAAGGAACGGCAAATCCGTACAGCAGAAGACTTTGAAAGAGGAGACATATGGCGTTATAGAGAAGTTGTCCCTGAAGAACAACCATAAGATCGGCCCCGAAGGGTGGCGTCATATTTGCCTTTTCGTTCATATGTCGAAGTCTTTGCGAGCCATTGACCTTACAGGTGTTCCGTTCCCGAAGCCACGCGCCGCAGCAAATGGTCCTGAAGACCCATCGCAGACCAACAAACCGACCATTGATATTTCGGCTATCTTCTCAAATTCTCTTGCGGAGAGATTTGGTGGTGACCGTCTCGAAGAGTTGCTACTCAGCGAATGTAACCCTACGACAGAGGATGTGAGAAAAGTCTGTGACGCAGCCATTGCTGTCGGTCTTAGAAGGCTTGGTTTCGCGAATAACGGGCTAACAAGAGAGGGCTTCGAGCACGTTATTCGCTATTTGAAAGCGGGGAAATGCGAGGGTCTTGATCTCGGTGGGAATGATTTGCGGGACCATCTCGACCTGCTCATACCCACGCTCGACAAAGACCACCCTCTATACACGCTGAGTCTGGCAGATTGTTCGTTGACTCCAGTTGTCATGCAGCCATTGATGCAGGGGCTGGCTCGCCTGTCTCACCTTCATTTTGTCGACTTTTCCCACAATCGCGAACTCTTTTCCAGCAAGCCAGATGCATTGGCGACATTTAGGCACTATCTCCCCAAGATGTCTTTTTTGAAACGCATTCATCTTGCGGATGTCGATCTATCTGCAACTCATGCAATTGCACTGGCAGAAGTTCTCCCGGAGTGCCCGAGACTCTGCCATTTGAATATAACGGAAAACCCGACGATTGTCAAGCTGGCCTCTGCCAGTGATCCCGCAAGCCAAGAGGAAGCCTGTGCAGTTTATGCGTCCCTGATGGCAGCCGTTCGTGTCTCACGAACGATAATTGCTGTTGACATTGAAGTCCCCGGTGCGGAAAGCAATGAAGTTGTCAAAGCTCTGGCGTCTCAGATCGTAGCCTATTCCCTGCGGAACCTGGAACATGGTGCGCTAGAAGAAGAGCTTCCTGTTACGATGGGTCCATCTGCTGAGCGGCAGGTTCCGGTACCAGAGGTCCTGCAACACCTTGTCGGTCACGGTGACGGGGAAGAGGGAGAGGATGAAACTGACCATGCTCCAGACGAAGACTACGTTATTGGAGGCACGGGTGTTGTGAAAGCTTTGGGAGTATGTCTCGGCACCATGGATAATATCCATGGGGACCTATCCGTTCCCACAAGTGGCACCTCAACCCCAATATATAGGAGACAGAGGCCCCTTATGACAAAGAGGCCTCATGACATGTCAAAGAATCTGTTGGAGTCGGCTCGGAACATACGGACTAGACTCCAATCGGCCCTTGTTCGGGAAGACAGGGCTGGCAATGACACGAATTACAGTATGCATAGCTTTAGCCTCCCCCTCTCTTGGTTTGTTACTACTTTTTTGCCAAGATTTGTATGCTAACTAGCCTGTTACCAGGACGTCTACTCGTTCTCGACTACGCGTTGAATCGGATAATTAAACGATTTGAAGACCAATTTCCCGAGACGCGCGTTGTATCTCGACCTGCACCATCCGTCACACAGGAGACTGGATCCAATTCAAGTGATGACCATAGCGAGACCGCGACAGCCGTGGGTCTAATCAGCGACAATCATGCGGGTTCTGAGACCGCCATCGATGATGAGGATATTGACCATTATGACATTACACTCTCTCGCTCCAGCTCCATGACGTCTCTGCACTCTCGCGCCATGACATCTGAAGAGGGTCAGGTTCACCGTCTGGGTCAAAATCTTCGTCGTGACTTCCTCAGCCCTTCCCTTGATCGGCCGTCGGACCACCTGTCATCTTCCCCAATTGACGACTCGCACATCATTTCTCTTAGGGAGAAGCTGGAACAGCTCCAGAGGGAACAGATGGCTGCAGGGGATGGTTTCGAAACAGGCCATGCAAGCAAGGCGATTGAAAGGCTTGGGTGGACTGTGGATGAGCTATGGGATACAAAGAAATGGGACACGGAAGCATATACCCGATTCAAAGAGAGCCAGATTGCTGCCCAGATTAATAGCGGCATGCGAAAGCCACCCCTGACTGAGGTCGGCATGAATGGGACGACGACTGAGCGTAATGTACAGGAGCGAACCTGATCTATGGAGTATATTCGATGAGCATAGTGATCGTGTTTTACATTCAGAGAAGAGAGCCCTGTGGGCCTGCCGATATGACTGGTGTACGGTCTTGGTTTATTGTGTGATTTTTTCCGATTGCTTGACAATCTAGATACCTTGGTCGACTGAGGAATTGCCCAGTGGCTGTTGCGCGTGTTCATTTTTTGCGTTATTAGTTTTGATATCCTCTGCCGTTGGCATATTTGGGCAGTGTGTGTCCCTGTATATATAATAATTTTTGGCATATACGCACGGTGGAAAATATAAGCGGACACGGTGCGTACGGGGTGTAAGCTGTGAAGGCCTCTGTTCTGTCCAGCACTTTAGGGCCGGGCACGTGAGCAACCTAAAGGTTATTTCCTTTTTGGGAAAGACTGCGACTCACAGGTTACATCATACGCGGGGCGTGCTATGATTGGGCCGCGTCATCCTCGGCTCATCGACCCCAGAAAGTGCAAGTCACGGGCCAAATCACGGGTCTGCAGCTTCACATGGGGCAGTTCGAAGGAAGACAGATTGTGCTCGCACGCTTCATTCGCACTCTATCCCCATCATTGTCTGTCTGGTTCAGTCCCTCATTACTTTGGGCATCAGCCATGCTCTCCTCCATCGGATCTGGCTAGGCTAGACCAGACGAGACTAAAGTGTCATCTATTACCCGTCTCTCTGTGCAGCCGCGGTAGCAGTCATGGCTGCACATTCCAAACTGCTCTCCCCAGACCGCTCGATCAAACGGATCCTCTCGAAACTCTCTGCTCTCTACCTCCGTCACCGCAAAGGTGTCTTCCGCACACTCTATTTCGCCTTCTTCGCTGCCCTGGCCAAACGCGTTCACGATGCCATTTCCGAACAGAAAGCCGCTTCCCAGCGCCTGGCGGATATCCGCGGGCGTCCAGGGACTAGTAGCCTCCCTGACGGTGGCTCTACCCGGGGGGCATCTCGGAATGGTAGCAAGAAGAAAAATGGCGAGATTAATCTAGAGTTCCTCCGGAATCTGATCAGGTTGCTGAAGATTGTTGTGCCTGGGTGGAAGAGCAAGGAGCTGCGCTTGCTCATTAGCCATAGCGTCTTTTTGGTCTTGAGGACGTTACTGAGTTTGTATGTTGCTGAGCTGGATGGCAGGTTGGTTAGCAACCTAGTCCGGGGGAAGGGGAGGGACTTTCTTTTAGGGCTTGTCTGGTGGATGGCCGTTGCGGTGCCTGCGACCTTCACAAATTCCATGGTGGGTTTCATCTTTGCCTTGCTCTTGTGACCATTCTCTCTTCTGACGTATTTCTCAGCTTTCCTACCATCAATGTAAACTCTCCCTCTCCTACCGAAAACGCCTCACGGATTATATTCATGACAAATATCTCTCAAATATGACGTTTTACGCGATTTCTGCGCTGGATGACCGGATTAAGAACCCAGACCAGTTGATCACTGTGGATGTTTCACGGTTCTCCAACAGCTTGGCAGAGCTATATTCCAACCTTGCTAAGCCGATCCTCGATATGGCCATCTACAACTATTCCCTGTCAAAGAGCGTCGGCGGAGAGGGCCTGTTCATCATGGGCCTGCTCGTGCAGTTGTCTGCTAATGCAATGCGCCTGCTCACACCACCATTTGGTAAATATGTCGCGGAGGAGGCCAGGTTGGAAGGTGAATTTAGATTCCTCCATAACAGACTTCTTGATTACTCGGAGGAAGTGGCCCTCTACCGCGGTCATGAGGCGGAGAAGGATACTTTGGATAAGGGTTATTTTACATTGATCAGACATGTGAATCTCATTCTACGGAGGCGATTCTACCACGGGTTCATGGAGGATTTTGTTATCAAATACTTCTGGGGCGCATTAGGGTTGATCCTCTGCAGTATCCCCGTTTTTTTCAAGCTTCCGGGTCAGATCGTAAAGACTATGGGCGATAGGACAGAAAGTAAGTTGATCTGTTACTACTGTTCTCTTTCGTGGATTCTAATTGATTTAAAAGGCTTCGTTACAAATCGACGCATGCTACTCTCCTCTTCCGACGCCTTTGGCCGCTTGATGTTCTCATACAAGGAAATCTCCGAACTTGCCGGCCACACAGCGCGCGTCTCGTCCTTGCTAGAGGTCATGGATGACCTCGCAGCGGGCCATTTCGAAAAGAAGCTTGTTTCCTCGGCGAAGACGGCGGAAAATGCAGCCGTCCTTGCCGGCCGCGGAACCGAAGAGGAAAGCGACTCGATTGAATTCAGCGACGTACCCATTGTCTCTCCCAATGGCGACGTCCTGGTCCGCAAACTCTCCTTCACCGTCCATCAAGGTGATCATCTTCTCATCGTCGGTCCTAACGGCTGTGGAAAATCGTCCCTCTTCCGAATCCTTGGCGGTCTCTGGCCTGTCTACGGTGGCACCGTGAAGAAGCCCCGCTTTGAGGAGATCTTCTACATCCCACAACGTCCCTATCTATCCCGTGGCACTCTACGCCAGCAGGTGATATACCCCGACAGCACGCCCGAAATGTTCGCCAAGGGCATCACAGACGCGGACCTATACGACATCCTCTGCACGGTTGAGATTGCCTCCGTCGTCGACCGCCCCGGCGGATGGGACGCGGAGGAAGAATGGCGTGACGTCCTCTCAGGCGGCCTTCAGCAGCGCATCGCAATGGCCCGACTCTTCTACCACCGACCCAAGTTCGCGATTCTGGATGAGTGCACTTCATCCGTAACGCTGGATATCGAGAAGGTCATGTATGAAACGGCTAAGGAGTTAAATATCACGCTCATGACGGTCTCTCACCGACGGAGTCTATGGAAGTACCATAGGAAGATCCTCCAATTTGACGGACAGGGCGGGTACATTTTCACGGATCTCGATTGGGAGAGGCGGCTGAGACTGGAAGAGTGAGTCCCCCTTTCCATCCAGTTTTATTTTATATATGCTGGAAGTTGGCTCACAAGTGATGAATTTACAGTGAGAAAGAGGAACTGGATATTCAGCTCCGCGCGGTCCCAGAATTAGAGAAACGGATTGCCGAATTGAGTGCTTGATTGAGTTGATATCTTTCATTTATTCTACGGAGTACTAGGTTGTCCATTCAGATATCCAGATGTATATATACACGTATTTCTTGTTGATCTACCCATTCCATTGTTCAACAATTATATGAATGGAGTCATAAATCGAATCAATCATGAAAGCAATAGCAATATCTAATACGGCTTTACTTGGTCTATAGCTATTAGTTAACTATACTTCAGATGAATTAATTGTAGATGTAATGAAATATCCAACATATTTAATATATTTGCATGTAAAAGTATATATTGAGCAAGTTCCCTGCTCCAATCTGCGTTCATATGGACATGTATCAAGGGAAATAAAATTAAAGCAAATAAGATAATTTAGCACCCTTTCGACCCTAGAATATCCAGAATGAATGAATGCCACTCCTGGACCCCGTATATCCACCGGAGCACCGAAGTCAACATACCCACTCGACATATGAATGACAATAACCGCAACCAGGTCATCTATGAATGGATGGATGGATGATATCTAACAATCCCTGGTGCCTGTCGGGAACGGACCAGTACAACGTACGGAAAATGCGCAATAGGGTCAGTACGCTGTTGTATTAAAAATAGGTAAATAAAACAAATAGTAAATGCCAGTGTTGAAAACAGTGACTGGACAGGTCCAAACACAAAGACGCCCATATGCTTCCAAAATGCAGGTAAAGAGCACTACCTCCCCTGACATAACCTCATCAACTCAGATACCAACGCGACATAGACATCTGTCATTAGGAAGTGAATCCAAGATGTAAAAGGGGAGGGAAAAAGTGTTCGAAGAGAAGCTTGGAATATATATATATATATATATATAAAAACCAAAAACAATCCTCCCATGCACCATGTATAAGCGAAAATGCCGAGAAAATGGGACGCTTTGAAATGAAGAAAAATCGAGACAAGGAGGTAGTAATTATGAAAAAGGGAACAAGGCATGGCAATGATAGCTGGTCAGGGGAAAGTCAAACGGGAGGAAAGAATACATCAGAAATCCAAAGTGACGAACAGAAGGAGACAAAAGAAAGGAATAAGGGGGGCATTAGGTATAATAGGCATATCTGCACACATAAACAAAACATCAAACCTGATGCACATTTGTCAGGTTGTCCAAAGGCTGACAATAAATTACTTTTTTTGGTTGCAAATAGCAAACTCATCTTGAAATTCAAAGGGGAAGAAGCGAGGGCAAAAAGACATAAAAGAACCATGCCACGGATATCCAGAAAACAGAAAACCCAATTGAGCGCCGGGATATAGAGCCATTAAAAAGAAATAGCGCTCAAATGCCAATGCAATATAGAAAAAAAAGATAACAAATGGTGATGCTGTCAACAGTCAAAGGGCATTTGATATCACGGAGAATGGAGGTGCCATTCCATCCTCGATGTATGCGCCTGTGGAAGGACCTACAAAATTCCAGAATCTTTTAGGGCATTTTGTAGAATCGTCTCCTTCACGGCAACAAAGACTAATCGAATATTTGTCGTGTCGGTCGCTTGTGTTAAGCTGCAGGAAGGGAGGACATGATCAGCAGATCGGATGGGGACCAAGAAGGATGGAGAGAAGACATACTGGGGATAAAGCTTGAGATGCGCGCGATTGACTTGGTTGAATCTCCAAAGAATATATTTAGCGGCTCGATTGTAGTCGTCGCCCCCGGAATAATCAGGAAAGTAGTTGCTTAGTGGTGATCGGGGAAGCTTCTTCTGGAAGAGATCCACTTTGTTCAGGAAGAGGATGATACTTGTTCGCAAGAACCACCGCGAGTTTACGACAGAATCGAATAAGATCAGGGACTCTATCATCCGATTCTTCCAAAGAAAGTCAGCACCAGTCACCATCGACTTCAGCCGATCAGTCGATCAGTTGAGGTACTCACTTGATGGGCTTCTTCCAACAAAACCTGATCGTACTCGCTCAATGCGACACAGAAGATAATGGAGGTGACATTTTCAAAACAGTGAATCCACTTTTTGCGTTCGCTCCGCTGTCCTCCAACATCGAACATGCTATGCCGGTTCTGTCAGAAAACGGTTATGGCAAATGGGCAGAAGCACTGATCTCACGTACTGGATTTTTAATTGGCCCATCTCGAATCGTGTGTCGTAGATGCCGGTTGTCTTGGTTCTTGCACGTAGTATATCATCCTGATTGGGCAAATAGTCCGCGGACGCTATTCGTTTTGCTTCCTCGAAGAAACTGGTAGAAACGGGCTTAGTACGCCTGTCCAGGCCAAGACAACAGAGAAATTTCAGATCCTTACTATGGTGCCGAGTCCATCAGGTAGAACTCATTCTGGCGTTCCAACACCGTTGACGTACATGGGTCATTCCAGAGATATGTTGCGGCTTCTCCCACCCTGGGATCGAGCGGTTTTTGCGGGTCCGGATCCACGTTGTAGTCCCACAGAAAGTCGACAAACCCTTGGACCTTTGTACTGGCGGGCTCAACGTCGAACTGGCGATAAGCACCGATGAGCGATTTGGCACACTCCAGCAGATTCTTGTAGATGGTAGGGCGATATAAAGCGCATTCTTCGGGCGAGAAGCCTTTGTGATGGATAATTTTCATCTGCTTGACGATGGTCGACTTTCCGCTTTCGCCGGAGCCTATATTATCTCACGCAAGCAATGGTTAGCCAATGCAGGCAAGTCTTAACTGGAAAAACATGTCACAACAGACAGACAGACCGAGAAGTAAGATTTTGCATTCCCTCCGTAATTTCCTGGCATCTTCATAGAGCGTTTTATCGATCATCTGGCTCCTCTTCCGTTCTTCTCCGTCACTTGCCTTTTCCGAACTGAAACACGAGCCCATGGTTACCAGGTCTCCTGTCGATATCGGAGGCAGGGAAGGAGGAAGGCCATGCAATGGTTTCGGTTGCGGACAATGCGTTCGGGGCTGATCTGATGGAGGATGAAGGTCGACAGAGAACCGAAGCAATTCGGGTAAGGATGGAGGACGCCGGGAGATCCAGCGGGGCCAGGATTGCAAGAGATTAGGTATGATACAGAGAAACAACGCAGAGAGAGGATGAGGATCGCGATGGCGTTTCCGGGGCCAGGATATGGACACGAGCTCGGATGGCTTTACCCTTCGGAATCTCGGAGAAACGAAGACACGGCGGATGATGCGTATATACCTCAGTAGTATACGAGCAGAGTATTGTGGAGGAGCTTCGGCAGGGATCGACGGCAAGAGGGCTTAGCGACGGGCGACGCAGCAGGGCACACTGCACTTGGAGCAACAGGAGGACCGGGAAGATAGGATCCAGTGGAAAGAGTTCGCTTCGGAGACCGGATCGGATGCGATGCGATGGGAGGGAGGGGTGAGGCTTTGGACTGCGGAGCAGAACAGGTCGCCTTGTCAGAGACGCAGGGCCCACGCTAGCAGGGAAATTAAGGTGGGAAATGAGAGGAACAGCGAGGCAGACGAGGTGGGCAGAGGCAAGGGAGATGGACTCGGATGGCTGTGAAACGCGGTCTTCAAACCACAGACCACCGATGATCGTATCATCCAAATGTACTCCCGAGTCACTTGAGTCAGGTCTCGCAGTTTGTTATGTAAGCCGCAGAAACAATCCCATCAAGTGCGTTCAGCTCACGACGAGCCTCTTGGGTCATTTGGTATAATATAATCGGGATATGAGAATGAATAAGACTGGCCTGAGGAAAGGAACACACTTCCAACCAATGGTCCCCGGGGGCGCTGTTCAGCAGTCCTCGCTCGACACAAAGGCAAATGCGCGTAGAAAAGACCTGGAACGAGTCTTGTCACCGTGTAGAATGCCGCGAATCATGAATCAATAATCAGCAGTGTCCAGAGTCCAGTGTCCACTCTCTCCAGGAGCTTTCTGCTGGAACGTCAGTGCTGTTGGCCGGTACTCTGGGTAGACTAGGAGTCACTTCTCCACATCCTGGTCTCTCGCCGCCACTTACTTTAACCTCTCCCGCCCGCCCGCCATCTCCCCCTACGGCCCTCGACCCTCGAAAATTCTGCTGATCGACAGCTTTTTCTAGCCAGCAACTGGAGGATAAGAAGCCAAACCCAAGGGAAAACTCCTCCTCCCCTGTCTCTCCGTCAACTGATCCCCGGTCCTGGCTATCCGCTCCTCCATCATGGCCGAATTCGTGCGTGCCCAGATCTTTGGTACCACCTTCGAGATAACCAGCAGGTACGGTTTCTTTGCGTGCGATAGCTAGTTGTACTGGTGCGAACATTATGTATCTGACTACTGGTCAGGTATACAGATCTTCAGCCGGTGGGAATGGGTGCCTTTGGCCTTGTCTGGTATGATCTCTTCCTCTGCCCCTTCGCCCCTCTTCGACCTGGGTCCTTACTGAGCAAGGGGCGTGCGACTGGCTGACTGGACATTCACAACCGTATAAAAGTTCTGCAAGGGATCAATTGACAGGGCAACCTGTCGCCGTGAAGAAGATTATGAAGCCTTTCAGCACTCCCGTTTTGTCCAAGAGAACCTACCGAGAGCTGAAGCTATTGAAGCATATCCGCCATGAAAATGTTAGTGAGACCATTGGATGAAAGACAGCTGGGATGGATGCGTGCTCATAGCCAGCAGATTATCAGCTTGAACGATATCTTCATTTCCCCGCTCGAAGACATGTACGTCGCCGCATTCGAGCTGGAGCGCTCGTTAACCCGCGCTGTGAACTAACCTATTGCGCAGCTATTTCGTGACAGAGCTTCTGGGGACCGATCTTCATCGCCTATTGACGATGAGGCCACTCGAGAAGCAGTTCATACAATACTTCCTATACCAGATATTGGTACTCCCCGCGATTCCTCCTTCGGAATCCCCCAAGATCTGACGGCTGACGTCTACTATAGCGTGGACTAAAATATGTACATTCCGCGGGTGTCGTGCATCGTGATCTTAAACCCAGCAATATTCTCATTAATGAGAACTGTGATTTGAAGATTTGTGATTTTGGCCTCGCACGCATTCAAGACCCTCAGATGACCGGTTATGTGTCGACAAGATATTACCGCGCTCCCGAAATCATGCTTACATGGCAGAAATATGACGTGGAAGTCGATATCTGGAGTGCCGGTTGCATATTTGCTGAGATGTTGGAAGGAAAGCCGCTTTTCCCGGGGAAGGATCATGTCGACCAGTTCTCCATCATCACAGAGCTTCTGGGAACCCCTCCAGATGATGTGATCAAGACAATTTGTAGCGAGACTGTGAGTAATAATGCGCTGCTCCGCAGGTTGCCCATTCTATCTTGGAGCTCTGCTAACCGGTCCCAATAGACTTTGCGCTTTGTGAAATCTTTGCCCAAGCGAGAACCACAGCCTCTTGCGAATAAATTCAAGAACGCTGACCCTGATGGTAAGAATATTATCCTCCAATAAACTATGTATTTTATCACCTGATGCTGACACCATTTAGCAATCGATCTCATCGAACGAATGCTTCTCTTTAACCCCAAGAAACGAATTAGCGCTACAGAGGCACTTGCCCATCAGTACCTCGCTCCCTATCACGATCCCACAGATGAGCCGGAAGCGGAATCCAAATTCGACTGGTCATTCAATGACGCTGATTTGCCGGTAGACACGTGGAAAATCATGATGTATGTCCCCCATTGACCATAATCATGCCCATCAGCTCCTTATTGTCGGATCTGCAGGTATTCGGAAATTCTCGATTTCCACAACATCGACCAAGGTGCAGAGGCGGAGACAGTTGAAGGTGCCCTAGCAGCTTAGCCGATCCTTTGGGAGGATGGCGCTCCTCGCACATGGAGCACGATTTGGCTGCTCTTTCGACCCCTTCCTCTTACCTTTCTCCCCTCCACTGCAGACTTACTACGGAAGCTGCTTACGATCTTCAGATGCATCGTCGATTGTCCTTTTCGGAGTATACCTTTCGATTCGCTTATGGCGTCGCCAGATTTGGGTGGTGAATGAGATGGTCGGGATCTTATCTTTTGCGATGTGCTTGTAATGTCCATATATGTCAGAGTTGATATGTCCTTCGCCGATGGTATAATGAGAGAATAGACTTCTTTTAAATCCCTATACGTATCTGCTGTGAGTTAAGGCACTATGTTTATATTCTTATATTCCATAGCGTCATAGTCGTAGATCCTTGCTTTCACGTGGCGGTGGTCCAATAATGCTCGTTTTCTGTGCTTAACCTCGTCACCGCCCGCAAGATGCGATAACTGCGATTTCTCTCCTGGACAGACAGTCTTCCACCACGAGCCCTTACAGCTTGTCTCTCACACAGAAGAGTTGCTACTTGCAGAGACCTGGCCAAGGGTGACCACTGGTCTGTTGCCCGTCCGGACTCCGAATTAGCGCATGTTGTGGATGACGATTTCATCGGAATGGCTCGAGTCCCCAGTCGCGGGGGCCCTATTGTGATGGTAGTGGATTTCCACCACGCAAGGTGAGTAAAGACGAGAAGAAGGAAAGGAATAGAAGCGGGGTACTCTGCTTGTCTCGAATCTTTGCGCGTTTTCATGTCTTGTATCTTGCTTTCCACAATTTTTGCCCCATTCTCACTAATAACCTATCCGCTACCACAGGGGCCCCGAAATCGAGCTTTCCATCGGCGATGAAGGAACAGATCCCGTTGCAGAGAATGACTGGTCCTTGCTGCCATTCATGGCGCTCTCAGATGGAGCGCACACGTAAGATCCTACAGCCCTCAGTGACCCTTCAATGATACCATACCGTATTTGCCGCGCGAAAGCAGAATCCATGAGCCATTGCTCTTCTTTATGGGCGTTGCTGACGCCGTATTTTTCTATCTAGCTCTGTCGAAGAATTCTCTTATTTCACCCTCCGCCGTAAAGAAACCCCTACTGAGAAACCAACTTCCCTATTCGGCGTTTCGTGCTCCAGACAAATTGAATCCAGCCTCTTGAAGAATAGGCCACCTGACGTGACGAGATCTACGGTACAGAAGGCCGTTGTAGTAGTGACGGATAACCCACATAGCCTCGGGCAGTTAAGAGAGAAATTATCCATGGTGACGACAGCATGGTTTGCACAGCGGTTCGTTGATAATGTCCATTAACTCCCCTAAGGTGACCGCCAATGGATTAGCAAGGGCTGATGGGCCATGGCCAATACTAGGGATTTCCTTGACATTGATATCTTAAAGGTACGTTAGTAATGGACCTATGTGTTATGTTTGAATGATCAACTCATTGCAATATAGAAATTCCGCGAGTCTCTCGTGCACAGCTTGAAGAGCTCCGAGGAGCTGAAACGTGAATATTTTGGTTTGTTTCCTGCTAAAATTCCTTTTAACTTGCTCAACAAAAACTAACCCGTCAATGAAGGATCGTCATTGCGCGAGATGATTCGTAAATTCAAGTACCAGACTTTGATTCTGTTTAAGAGTCTACTTCTGCAACCGAAGGTATGTCACATAGTTGCCATGAACCCTGCCGGATCAATCGCCTAATTTTGCATGTTCCTAGATTTTATTCTTTGGTTCCCGTTGCGAGAATTTATGTCTGATACAATTTTCACTTATTTCTCTAATACCCGGTCTCATGAACCATCTCGAGGACTGTGCCGACCCGGCGTTCGACAGCTATGCTCGGAATGTTGAAAAGGCGACCTCACTCAAGACAAGCGAGAGAGCTTCATGTATGCAGAAGATATTTGCACCCGTGTGCTGCGCTCCATGCTAACTTCTCCAGTACTTGCATATATGGGTCTCCCTTTGCAGATTTTTGGAAAGGTTAGACAGTCTGTCCAAACTTAGTGTATGAATGCTTCTGACTATTTTGCAGGGAAGCATGTTCGGTCCGTACACGCCTCTGCAGCAGCTGGACCTGCTGGCAGATCACGGTACAAAATCATATGTCGTTGGCTCGACGAACTCGCTTCTTCTGCAACAGAAGGATCGCTATAGTGATATCTTGGTGAATGTAAGGGACAATATCCTTCTGCCTCTAACGCGACTAACGTCATTGTTTAGCTTGACGAAGATACTGTCACTGTCTCATCCCCATCTCTCCGGAGCGCTCTAGCTCTCTCGGCGGCGGATAGGCGCTGGATTGATTTCTTGACGCAAGTCGTGAGCGATACTTGGGATGATGCCCATCCAGAACGACCCAAGACCCACGGATATATGGGATCCGAGGAGTTCATCAGACTGCAGTTTGAAGAATACCTCCTTGCGTTACTATCCTGTATGAAGTATCATGATGAGCTTAACTCATACAATACGGGCGAATCGGGTCGTCGAAGCCAGTCGCAAATTCAGGCGTTCAACATAGAGGGTGATCCTGCACTGGAGTTCAACCAGGAGTTTTTGACAAAATGGAAGGAGACCTCGAACTACGCATTGTTCCAGCAACTTACATCAGATGCCCTCCTTTACTCTATTGTTGAACCCCGTCATCCCTGTGCTGGTGGTCTCTCTATTGATGATATCCAACGGCGGCTGACTCAACAAATTTCAGAACTGCATTTGGATGATCGCGTACGTGAGGGGCGTGAGGTATTGAACAAACATCTCGCATCGGGTCAGAAGAAAGTTAGCGCTGCGTTTAACAGCTTCTGGGCAGATATCGAAGCAATGCGAGAGGCGCAGCGGAAGAGGAATGAAGAGAAGGCTGCTCAATCACAACAGCTATTGTCGGATAAAGGATATGAGAGCCTAGCTACATCGGACTCGGCATCAGCAGCACCTTCGAGCCCAGGTTTGATGTCTCGGTCGACAAGCCGTAGAGCACCTTCGGTGGATTTGAGCCAGGCGCAAGCATCTGTAAGCGCTGTGGGTCAGAAAGCGAGCGCTTACTTCAGCTCATGGGCTTCATGGGCTGGAGAGAAGCGAAAGGGATGGCAAGATAAGAGGACTGCACCCCCCGTCTCTACACCCCCTGGCACATCCTCCTCTACCTCTACATTTGCCAGTGCGGCAGAGGCCAATAGGTCGGATGCGGATTCGCGTCAGGTGACACCACGGCAGAGTGAGGATTCTGTGCGTCGTTCACAGAGCGTCAGCAGGAAGAAGAGGTGGAGCAACATAATTCTGCGAAGAGAAAGCGGTGATTACGGCTTCCTAAAACGAGCTCAAGACAATGGCGAAGACGAGAAGCAGTGCCTTCAAACAGACGAGGAATCATCTCATCGGGAGGTCAAGAATGCAAATGTGGACGAGCACTTGCAACGAGAACCTCCTGAAGAGCCACCGATAGAATCCAATAAATATGCAGAGAAAGCATCCACTACTGACGAGACGAAAGCCTCTCCCGAAAAGCCATCCGCAGAACATCAGCCTAACACTTCTGAGGAACCTTCTCTGGAGACATCCAAAAGCCCAACCACGGCATGATATTGTGGTATAAAGACCTCATAAGCTTCCAAGGGCGTCTGGTTCTCTGTAATAACAATTAATACACGGTAGGTAGGTTAAACCATCCGTCACTCATCCTTTAATTGCTTGGATACACCCGCGTCTTGGGTCTACTATTATAATAATGATACTGAGCATACCCCACTGCATATGCATTTTCACATTGATCTTTTTCTTTTCATTGTTACCCTTCTTCTCACCTCATTCCTGTCCATCAGACTCGTAAGTAGTCCTTAACCATTCCTATCTAAATGTTCTTTCATTGTCAATATTCCTTATATTATCTCATGCAACATACCTCCACACCTGTTAATATCTATCTTGCGTCTATTGCTACATGTACATTTAGTATCTAATGTATAATCCGCTTGGATGGCTGTTGCTAATCTAGACTAATTCAGTCTTCGAATAAGCAAATATCTCTACTTATGATTAGTGGCTGGTCGGTTTCTCTTCGTCCAGATAGTTGCATCATATTTTATTCAAATTATTTCGACATAATCCATAACGGTTAAGATAGTAAAATGAGATGTCAGTCAACTGAATGGAGAATAAATCGGGCCCGAAAATACAACGTACAGAGTAAGTAACTCATATAAAGAGATTCATTTCATTCCTGGTCATTCACAGCCACCTGGGTTGGGTGATTGGTTCGAGCTCGCTTACGGAAAAGAACAAAGAGTAGATAGGTGAAGCAAGAAAAAAGAAAGGAAATAAAAGGAGAAAGAAAGACTGCCAGAGCTAGCCCATGCGTCTAATGATGTCCATATTGGAAGCACAAAACCTTCTCTACTCCTTATTTCCACTTTTTCTTCAAGCAATGTAAGCAATCTCATCACCATCCAGGCGCTCAATGTAGTCCTTCTCCATGAGAGCTTCGATGTTCTTTTTGATATCTGGCACTTTTGGTGGGAATCGAGATTTGACCTGTTGAATGACTTCTTGCACAAGCTGGACGTGTTTCATCTTCTTGCGAGACTTCATGATACGGACAATGGCGGACTAGGGGAAAGAGAAATGTTAGAACGGAGCTTTTCTGAGCACATCTGCGGTAGGGTACGACATACCTGAAGCAGCAGCTTTCGGTCCTCCTCTATGGTCTTATGTGTGTCGTCGGATTCAACCTTCTGCTCGGATTTTATTTGAATGTTCAGGTTCACCTTAATCTTCTTGTTCTTAAAGTTGTAGTTCAGTGTAAAGGTTGTGCCGGGTTGGGGTTTGGCTCCCTCGGGACTTGCAGTGAGCACCCTGGCCCTCAAGAAGATGCTTAGGTTCGGGTCGAGAATTTCCGGAGCTAAGGATGTGGCCTTCTGGATATCGGAGTATTCCAAGGAGTCATGCTCATTAAAGAGCAAGAGAATACCCATCTGAAACGTTGACACCTGGAAAGTGTAGGGTACCTTGGTGTTCTTGATGTAGTTGGCCTTTACCTCACCTTTACAAAGCTGCCAGAGCCAGGTGAGCTTGCGGCCGGAGTGTTTATCGAAATAGAAACTCTGAAACCGCTCCGCGGTCTTCACGATTTCTGGTGGTGCGAGGAAGTCGGTGGATGGAGGGTTGAGAGGCCAGAATCCAGTTCCTAAGATCTGGAAATGTGCATCTACCAGCCTCTTCCGGTCCTCATCGTCGAGAACCTTGTTTTGCCAGTCTTTATAACTAGCATTGAGGTCTTTAGATATCTGAATATCCTGGAACATACGCTGCAACTTGTTTGTATATTCAAACCCGCAAGCCTCCTTCAGCTTGCTTATCATGCTCGTCTCAGCATCATCTGATACTGAGCTAACATGCACAAGCCGCTTGGCCAACATCTTTGAGTAGAACTTCTGGAAGACATCTTTGTCCTCGATATACTTGAAGACCGTCATTATCTGCACGAGCATGTCTTCCAGCTCGGATTCCTCCGCAGATTTGGCTCCCTTCTTCAATAACGAATCCGTGTACCGAGCTAGCAATTCCGGTGACTTCGTGGAACTTGACTTACAAACTGAGTTTCTGTTAACGAACTCCCGGCAAGCATTGTCCAAAGACCGCACAAATTCTGATTCGCCGTTGAATGCATCATTGACCAGGTTCTGGTATCTTTTATGCACCTGTAATAACGCATCGACATACATTTTCGGCTCGAAACTGTCGCCTCCTGCAGCCACCTTCTCGACAGCGGCAAGCCCAGCTTTCCGGACATGAGTCTCGAATTTTGCTCGTAGCGGGTCCAAGCCATCTTTGATGCGTGATAAAAGTCGGTACATCCGTGCCAAATCATCTTGCCGCTCGTTATCTAATAGTACCTGGAATTCGTCCCGGAGCAACCCTGAGTGTGCGGTGACCAGAGCGTCCAAGCAAGTTTCCGTAAGACTTTTGGTGATGTCTGGGTGCAGATACAGACCCACGCGGGCCTTTTCTTCTTCGAGGCGTGCTTCAGCTTTCTTCATGTATTCCACCACACTGTTCTCCGCCACAAACTGCCGCGATTCATTATCATAGTAGGTCCTGGTGGCAGCAATGAATGGCTTTTCAAAGTAGAATCTGTAAACTTCGAGGGTGGACTTGGTGCTGTCGTTCTCATCCAAACCGAGGGAGACGAACGAATCGACGATGCTTTTGATCTGTGATTGATCAATTGTCTCGCCGTTTCGCTGTTTCTCGACCAATTCGAGAACCGCCGCCATCACTTTCTCGTGGACCCTTTGGAAGAAGTCGTCTTTCCATTTGACCAGATGGAGGGTGTATACATCATACACGTTCTTCTTGCCTTCTTCTATTTCCCTCTTCACCCAATGACGGTTGAGGTATTTAAAAATATGGTTGATGTACTTGGCGGCGGTTGTATAGCGCGCCCACTGGCGGATATAAAACCCAAGCAAGGCTTCTCCGGTATGGTTCTCGGACTGAACGTATACATCTCTGAGATGCCGTGCAAGGTACTCGCCAAGCAACTTGTACAGTTCTTCTCCTAGTAGATGTGCTACAAAGTATGTCAGTTACCGCGTAAGCAGGAGTTAGTTGACAGTGCGAAGGGGGACAAACCGCCTCTATGTGCTTGCAGACCCCCTTGACCATTAGTGACCGCCTTCTGTGATGTGCAAAAGTTATGGACCGCCCTTTTCTGGTGTCAGTTGTACTCTCGAATGGAAAGGGAAAAATGAAGTTGGAGTGGAGAAAGGAGCCAGACATACGTGTAAAGCGCCATGTACTACAAGAGGATCCAAACGTTAGCAGAAGAGACAACAAATCATCTCGGTGAAGTTATCCAAAGCGTAGGAAGCATACAGATTTCATATCCAACCCCCCCTCCAGATTAAGCATAACGCTATCAATTCCCTTTTCTAAGAATGTCCATCTAGGTCACTTAGTCCACACTCATGCAAGATCCCGGAAACACGAGTGGTCGAGGGGGGGGGGGTGACATACGTTTCATCAAGGTCATCCTTATGAGGTGTCTGAGGCATCAAGGGATGCATCTTGAACTGTGACTGAGTGGCGCGTGCACACTCAGTCTACGTAGAAGCAGATAACCGTCGAGGCTGAAACAGACAGCGGAGCGCAAACGTCTTCGATCCGATAACGAAATAGCAGGAAGACCACAATACCCCGGTTCAACGTCCTTCCCGAGTGTCTGAATAAATTATGCCTTCTTCGCGAGGACGACGTTCTTGGGAGATTCTTAAGCGCTTGCACTGCGGAGCCGCTGTAGGAAGGAATGGAGAGGAAGAGAAGCAAGAGAAGGATAATTTATAAGGAGAGACAATAAGGCCCCTTTCCCTAGTAGCGGAGCAAAGCAGAACCAGAATCCCAACACGGAAGCCTACGTGGCAGACAGGGGAATAAGGCGATATGGAGGAGAGTGAGAGAGTGAGCGTGTCAGGGTGCGTAAAGTGACTGGGCGTGGCGGTTGGCAGATTCCGCTGTTCTTGGCAGGCGGTGAGACCGCCAAGAACTGCCTTGGATGTTGTCATGTTCTCTGATAATGCTTACACCCAACACTGCATGGAGCATACAGAGTATAATAATGGCTATATGCCTGCTCAAGGTGGTTGGTTTGTTATTCTCTCAGTGGCCATCTGTAGCTATTCACAGTGCTTGAGAGATAGCTAGCAACCCCCTGATCCCTGCTCTTGGTTGGTCCCCATACTACTACTGATTACTGCTCATTGCAGTTCCACAAAACCCATTTACCAGATACCAATATCTCGGTCTTTTCAAGGCACTCCAAAGACCCAAGGAAAGCAAGAGGCAGTCTCCAGACTGTCCTTCAACCACTGCAGAAGACTCACGTTATTGGATGACCAGAAACAAATACACACACACACCTTCAAATGACGTCATGTCTGTGGTACATATCTTGACATAGCAGTTTCTTTATAGCCCACACGCTTGTAGACTCTCTCTCTCTCATTTTTGCATGGATTTCCGAAAGAAATCAAAGATGCTTCTGAATCAGTCCAATGGGATTCGGATCACCACCAAACAGATAGCTGGCTGGCAGCGGATTCCTAATACATCGATCCAGTCAAAGCCTCTCATTATCTACCATAACGCCTTTGATGCAACGCCATCCGAGCTGGCAGCGCATTTGGAGAAGGTCGGTGCAGTTTCCCCTCAGTGGACGTACACCATGTACAACACGACGCACTACCACTCGACCACTCACGAGGTTCTGGGGGTTGTCTCGGGCCGTGCGCGGCTCTGCTTTGGAGGAGAGGGGAATCCCAACCGCTTCGAGCCAACCGTTGGGAAGGGGGATCTGATCATTGTTCCTGCCGGTGTTGGCCATAGGCTGCTAGTTGACTTGGACGCCCACCAGAATGCGTTCAAAATGCTTGGTGCTTATCCACCAGGCAAGCAGTGGGATATGTGCTATGGGAAACCGGGGGAGGAAGAGAAGGCTGGGACCATCAAGAAGCTGGCATGGTTTCACCTGGATCCTCTGTATGGAAGGAATGGGCCAGTTTTGCATGTTTAGTGTCTAATGATGGCAACCGGTGACACTGCTGTATTGATATTTCAGTAACTTTCCATTATTGGATTGTGCATCTGCTGAAAATAATAATGTCTGTATATTTTTCTGCAGTATCCAAACCCTCACAAACCCCAGACAACAAAGCTGTAAACCCCAAAATGACACAGGAAATTTTTGCTGTAAAAAATAGCGGTGTTTATCTGGAAAAGATATGACAGGGAAATAAAGGAAAAGACATGGAAAAGATCGAGAGCTTGCAGCAAGTGCAGAGCGAAAAGCGAGAGTGCAGGAGAGAATAAAGAAAGTCGATAATACAAAGAGCAAAAATATCCAGTCATCGAGTCACTCTTTCTACGAGTCTGTCAAAGTTTATGTCAATAGCAGCACCCCTAGCAGGAAAACCTAAAGCATGAAGCTTACCTGAAAATGCTTACAGCAAAAGTCAGAAGCCAGGCAACCAGCGCAATCAGCAAGACGGAAGCAAGAGCTTTTTGCCGATCGCAGATCGCATCGTTCTTAGGACTGAATGATTCATTGATCTCCGCAGCGGTACATGAGCCGCCGCTGTCAGAAAGGACCTCAAAGGCCAGACTGAGATTAGCTGAGTCGAAAACAATAAAGAAAAGATCCAAAAGAATGAGCCGTGTTTTGGAACGCGAGGACCTGAGGCCCAGCGGCTTGGAAGTATATTCGTCCCACGTGATGTAAACGAGATAAATAAGGGCAACCGCATCAACAATAATGGCCATCAATGCCGATGGGCCTTGGGGGTGTTTGTACTTTTCCGAAAGATGCTGTATTGATCCTCCCAAGGCAAGGGCGATTAGGGAAAAGCACCACACCGTAAGCCGGAAAACCAAGGGGACAATGGGGCTCGTCAGCAATGAATTTTGGAAGCGCTTGATGAACGCATCGCGCCGTCTGTTCAAGGGATCTTCCATGTCCACAAACGTAGGCCGCCCTCTCCAAGGCTGAGAGTAGTCACCTAAATTGTTTTCTAGCCATTCCGGCGTCACGCTCTTCTCATTCCACGTCTGCTCAGGTGGATATTTTATTGCTTCCGAGAATGTCTTCCAGCGCGATTCACGGGGAGGGTAGCTGCTAGATCCCTCGCCCTCATTGCTCAGTCTGATACCGGGCTTCGTCGTATAGGGGGTATGGTTATGTTGTGCAACGACGGCATCCCCAGGTTGAGAAGGCAGAAGGCGGTCCGTTACACCCGCAGAAGTATCATCAACTGGATATTCAACGGACCGGATCCAGGCTGTATGGAATGTGGACAGGAGTCAGTTTGAAAAGGGAATCTAGCCATTGGTACTTGACAGATCTTGTTGACGTACCTGGAAGCGTCCGTATGCCCAAGCCTAAATGCACGCCAGCCGTTGCATTAGAAGAAGCTTCTGCTACAGGTGAAGCATTGCTATGGCTACTAGGACGAGGAGGCTGAATAGACTGTACGTTGGTGTTCAGCTCAGAGAGGGGAGACTGTGTCGGCGTCAACTTTGTTGGTTGCGAATTTCCTAGCGACTTCTCGCAGACGTCGTGTTCTATATCTGGGATTTGGCGGATTTGGTCGCGCTCATCCTGCGCCATTGCCTATCGTCAACAGGTGGAAGAAGGAGTTGCGTCTCGGGCTGGGGGATTGTGCGGAGACTGCGACGGGATTGGCCGGAGCAACACCCATGTCCCTGGCATACGAAACAGATGGGAATGGGATGGGTGATAATGCGGCCCCAGAGGACCGTGTCCGGGGGAGTGAAAAAAGGCTGTCGTTGGAAGTATTCAGCGCTGCCAAAGGAGAGCCGGAGAGTTGATGTCGATGCAGACAATGTTAATGCTGGACGGTCACGGGGCTGGCTGTATTTAATCTCTTGCCAAGCGATCGCCAATGCTGGCTGTTCCCACGCTTTTGTAGTAGCGGAAATATGACGTCTCAAATTGTCCGTCTTCCTCCAGCTGCTGAGAACCGCATTTTGCCAGGCATGTTCTTCGTGCAATATCCCTAGTAATAGTACTAAACCCAGGAGCAGGGCGATTCCACTTGTGTTCACTCTGCGCCAACTAACCCATCAAGAGTTACTTGTATGCAGTCTATTCGCTGTTGCGATGCGCCTCTTTCTCATCCCGATCTCGACGCGACGTGCTCTCGTATACTCTCGACCCCTCGCGAAAGACCTGTCGAAGGAACTTTCCTTCATTGATAGGATATCGAACAAGGCTGCAGAAACGTGGGCGAAGTGGGAGGAAGCAGACCAAGGGTGGAAGAAGCAACTCGTCTCCTGGGGCAATCGGGTTCAGCAGCGGATTCCATACGAAGAATGGGCACTTAAAAGCATCCCTTCCCTGGGCGCACAACGTCGTCTGCACAAGGGCCATGACGAACAGACAGTCGACGTGCTATTCCCAGGGAATGTAATCGAAACAGACAAGGTCACTTCGATATTGCGACAACTCGCGACAGAGCGGCAGGACCTGGATCGGAGGAGGATGTGGTGGAGTATCCTTGCCTGCCCAGTTACAGCTCCAATTGGTTTAATTCCTTTGTACGAGATCATAGCCCACCACGAGGATATTTTTGCTGACCCTGCTGCTTTTTCCTTTCCTAGGGTGCCTAATATCCCCTTTTTCTATCTAGCCTACCGAGGCTGGTCGCATTGGCGAGGTTCGCTCGGCCCTGTCCCCATTCCTTCGATGAGCTGACAGGGAAAAAAAAAGCATTGAACGGCTCGAAACATCTAGAATTTCTGGTCGAGAAAACTCTCCTGAATCCCAAGCCGTTGCCAGAACTAGAGGCCTTGTACGCGAGCCGCGTGCCCCGAGTTCTAGAGAGCACATCGCCTGACAAGCAGCCATCCGAGATGGTAGAAGATGTGGGCAAGAGCGAGGACAGGCTGCTACTTGAGCTGGCGGACGCAAAGAAATTGGCTACTATTCTTGAAGCTCCTGAATTGGTTGTAGAAGCCGAGCGCGCCATTCTCCAAGTGGCGGAGCGGCAGGGAATTCATGGAAAAGTAACCCAGAACGCTAGGCATACAGGCAGCACAGACAAGGCGTGATAGGGCGTGTAATTCTTTGCAGGCTCACGTCAGAAAACAATGGTCTTGATAATGCCAAAGGTTCACCAGTTGGCAGAGAAGGCATTCAGGCAGTTCACCCCCTGGGACTTCTACCAGATGTGATAGTATGTGGCAATGGTCGATTACCTGGTAGTGACACAGATGCAGTTATTCTACTGTGAAATCACTCTGACTGCTTAACTTGTTAATCCAGGCCACAGAAATAGATCAATGAAATACGTTGTAGACAGCATCTCCATGTAAATACTGGCATACAGCATAGAGTCCGGAAGTAACTTGTTCCGACTAGCCACCTTCGGACGCCGTACGGGGTAACTATGCGCGCAACAACAGCTTAGCTGCGGCCTTCGATCAAACGTTCATTGTCTTTTCTCTTCTGTTCTCCTTGAACCAGAAGCATATTGTCTTTATACCACATCATGTCCAACAAGAGGATCGAACAATGGGAAGTTGAGCGGTATTGGGAGATATTCTCGTCGCTTTCGAACGGCAACCCGCACCTAAACAGCTCACAGGCGGCATCAGTGCTCAGGAACAGCCGGCTTCAAGATGAACAGCTGGAAAAAGTCTGGGATCTTGCGGATGTGGATGGCGATGGAGAGCTGGACTTTGAAGAATTCTGCGTCGCAATGAGATTGGTCTTCGATCTAGTCAATGGGGTATGAATTGCTGCTTACTAGCTCATGCCTCTTCGCTCGCCTCCTTGGCCTTCTGTCTTGCTTCTAACCACTCGTGTGGGTTGCGGGAAATCTGCTAACGGTAGACTACGCTGAATAGGAATTGCGACAAGTTCCACGTGTACTTCCGGACTGGCTTGTCCCTGAGTCCAAGGCCCACCTCGTCCAGGCCTCTCGTGCTCTACACCATGGACAGGAACAATTCGAGCGCATCGAGGACGAAGATGATACCCTTGGATTGAAGGATGGATTTGACTGGTACATGAACCCGTCTGATAAGGCCAAGTATGATGAGATATACAATACCAACAAGAACCATCGAGGAGAAACGACTTGTATGCTTTCCCTCCCCGCCAAACAAACGTCTTGTCCTGTTACTGTCGGAATTTTACATTTGCTGACACCGGCGCATCTAGTCGAATCTCTACAGCCACTCTACGACTCCCTTGACGTCCCAGACACTGACATCCGTTCTGCATGGAACCTCGTCAACCCTTCTGCATCACCCTCTATCAATAAAGACGCAACTCTCGCTTTTCTCCACATCCTCAACTACCGACACGAGGGTTATCGTATTCCGCGAACCATCCCTGCGTCCCTGCGGGCGTCTTTCGAGAATAATAAGATCGACTATCAAATCGACCACGCACGCCCCGCGCAAAAATGGGGAGCATACGGCGACATGGAGACTCCAACCGGTCGCAAGGCCAAGTTCGGAGACACATATCTGAGCCGTCTGGGAGTTGGCGGAAAGGGATCTTACCAACCAAAGGGCACGGACTTCAGTGATACGATCCAAGATGAGGAATGGGAGAAAGTCCGTCTGCGCCGAGAGCTCGCGGAGCTAGAGGCCAAGTTGAAAGCCGCCAATGAAGCTGCGGAGAACAGGAGAAATCCCGACCGTCCGCGGAACGACGGCGGACCAAACTGGGCCTTGATTAAGAAGGAGGCCCTGCAGCTTCTGGAGTACAAGGAGCGTGAACTGCGTGAATTGAGAGAAGGCTCGGGCAGGTCCAAGGAGGGGCAAGCATTTGAGAGACTCAGGGACGATGTGAAGACGGTTGGAGACCAGGTTGATGGGTTGAAGAGTCACCTTGCTAAACGAAATGACATTCTGGCCGATCTGCGAGAGCAGATTGAACTGGAAAGGTCCCATCGCTAGGTCATCACCTAATTGTCGTTTATTTTTCTTCATTTTTGTAACTCCACTTATCAGTCCCGCGCTGTCTGTATTGATGTTGATACCTCTTTCCCTCTCATGGCGGCGGACTATATGATTTACAGCTTTTCTTTCTCTCATTGTACGGCCATTCACTGGCGAGGAGCTTTGGGCGCTGAATGTTGAATATTGTTTATGTTTTAATAGGGTTTTGTTGGTTCGTGGAGTCAGTACATATTGTCTTATATTATCATTATTACTGTCTTTTTCTAAGCAGAATAGAATCCATCTATTCTATCCATACATCTGACTTAATGGTGTAGACCCTTCAGCCAGCAGCGAAATCCCAGCAACTCTAACTTCATAGAGCAATAAGCATTAATTCTATCCCATGCATAGGAATGCTAACATACAGGGGGAGGAAAAAAGACGCCAGCCGCCCCTTGGTCTATCTAACCCTAACCCAGTGGCAATAATAATCCCTTCAAATCATTTCCCGGAAATCTCAGTCATGATATTGTTGTTACCACTCCTCTTGGAGTCAACAGCCACAAATGCCGTCCCACTCCTATCCAGCCCTTTCTCGGCACGAATATATGCCTCCTCACTTCGGTCAGTGAGGATCTCCAGATCATTCTTTGACAGAATCGTGTTGGGATCCATTCCGGTCTCAAATTGCTCAAATTCGTCCTCACCAAGAGCTTTCCTAAGGTCGTCGACATCGTTCTGATTCGCATTATCAAGCAGACTCTTGAACTTGCCCTTCTGGATGACAAGTCTTTCTAGGCGGCGCTTTGAGTCTGCTTTCTCGAGGAGCGTCTGCTCGACTGTACCCTTTGTAGCAAGACGGTACACAATAACAGGCTTCGTTTGACCGATCCGGTGTGCGCGATCCTGAGCCTGTAAATCCTGTTGCGGGTTCCAGTCGGAGTCGTATAGAATAACGGTGTCCGCCGCAACGAGATTTATGCCTTGCCCGCCAGCGCGGGTGCTTAGGAGAAAGATCTTGTAGGCAGGATTGGTATTGAAAGCTTTTATTTGGGATTGTCGGTCTGACTGGCTTATTGCTCCATCGATGCGGCAGCAAGGCCAAGAGCGGAGTTGTGTAGCCCAGTCTTGAAGAATGTCAAGTTGAGTTTTGAATTGAGAGAAGATTAGAATTTTGTGTCCCTTTGAAATAAGGCAGGGGACGAGACGGTCGAGGAGGAGCATTTTGCCTGATGCTGTAACAAGCGTTTTATCTACTGCTGATGCATTTTGGGGATCCCAAGGCCAGTAGAAATTGTGGGGGGAGTCGCAGGCAAGTCGGGCCTGCATGATAGGGTTCTGGAGCTTTTTCAGTGAGATTTCTTGTTCTTTGTATGTGTTTAGTTTTGTCAGTTCTCAATAAAGAAACCCAATGCTGGCAAAGTGGTGACATACTTGCAAGCTTTATCGTCTTCGCCCTTTCAATCTCCTCTTGTTCCGTCTCACTATAATCAACCGTCTCCTCTTCCTCAATACCATTCTCCATGTTCCGTAACTTAGCGTTGAATTCGCGGTCACTAAGCTCTTTGTAGCTCTGCCTAGACTTGCATCTTAGGCTAGAGCCGAGTCCATTGGGTGGCGTAGAGAGGCTAGATTTCTGTCTCTTGTTCGGGCTTGTAGGCTCGCTGGTATTGGCCCGGCGTTTTAGCCTTGCAGAGCGCGACAGGGTTGGATTCTTGACTACAAGTCTTTCGACAGCCTTCGCCTCGAGGTATTGACGACTTGTCCCGTTGAGAATCTCCCGGTAGAGGTCTTTTTGTTCTGCAGTAAGAGGTGCATAAAGTATGTACTCTCGCTTTTTAGGCAGCGCAGTCTCAACGTCTGTCTTTACCCGTCTCAAGAGGAAGGGCTTCAGGATGGCATGCATGGTCGTGACTAAGTTCCGCTTTCGGCGCTCAAGCAAATTTGCTTGACCACTATTATCCAGAACAGACGAAAAATCGAACCAACTCTGAAAGCTGTTAAGGTCGTTGAAGATCTCAGGAAGCAGGAAGTGCAAGAGCGACCATAATTCAGAGATGTTATTCTGTAAGGGCGTACCCGTAATAAGCAGTCGGTTCGCAGAATTGTAGGTCATTAGTTCTTTGATGAGTCGACAGTTCATATTCTTCAGACGGTGTCCCTCATCCTGTTGGAAAGCGTTTGGTTAGACATGTGTGCATCTCAGCGTGATAACGTAGAGCATACCACAATGATATATCTCCATTGGTAGTGAGAGAGAAACTTCCTATCATTCATAGCAATTTCATAAGAAGTGCAGACAACCGGAAATTCCATATTTCTCTGATCTTGAAGCCTCATCGACTTTTTCCTGATTGCTGCCCGCTCGTCCTTGGTGCCATGATACAAGACCGTCTTAATACTAGGTGTCCACCTAGCAAACTCATCGATCCAGTTGCTCACTGTGCTCAGCGGTGCACAAATGAGAAAAGGACCAGAGATATTCTTTTCCTTGAAAAAAGCAATCAAAGAGATTGCCTGCACCGTCTTGCCTAGACCCATTTCATCCGCAAGAATCCCGCAGAGCCCATTCATCCAAAGAGACTTTAGCCATTCTAGGCCTTCGAGTTGATATTTTCTCATCTTTCCACCGGTAACAAACTCAGGCTGTTGGGTAGCAACGAGGTCTTGTTGCTCTCCCAGCGCCGTCGGATTCGCTTCAAGTTCATCTGCGGCATGAACCAGGGCTTCCTGAACAGTGGGGTTATCCTCGGTAACTTCCACATCGGCTTTTTTAAAGTAACTAGAGATCGTGTTTCCTCTCGCAGCTGCATTCTTGCTGTTCTGTCCCTTCTTCGTTCTTTTCGTGCTTCGCCCATCCGTCTTTGGAGTATCGGCAGGTAGCTCGGCATTCTGTAAGGCCTGCCCTGCATTGGCGCGCACTGATCGTCTAGTAATAGTCTGAGTAGGAGCGGAGGATGCAACCTTCTCCTGCTCCTTTGCAGACTGCTCTCGCTGTTTCGCCGCTTGTGCCCTCGCTTCTTCTTGCTGCTTCTTCATCTTGTCTGCCATGATAGCTACAAAGACCTAATATCCTCAAAAGAGAGCAAAAAAGAGTCAGACAGAAGAGAGTAATGGTAGAGTCAATTGGATAGGGAAGGCTCATACCGAGCTTGTTTTGAGCAGATGCATCAACGCTTTTGCCCTCACATCCATTCCCTCCAGATCTTCAATTACGCCCCCAGATTCCCCGCCCTCCTTGACTCCTCCATTTTCAATTTGCGGCTTCGCAACTTCTTGGTCTTCAGGTACATCCACAGGTGACGACGGTTGTGTGGATTGCTGGCGCTGGGCATACCCGCCCAGGGAATCAGCTGGGGTTGACGGCGTCGCGGGCGTAGATATATCCATCTCTTTTCTTGCTTTGCGACTTTTTCCCCTGCCTTCGAATAAATCACAGACCGGTTAACACAGCAACAGGAAGAATTGAGGATTTTGTACCGACTCTGCGGCTACCTACTTCAATCCACGGAAACTTTCTTTGCCTAACCACACTCACTTAAGGGGTGCAAGGAAAAAAAGATTAATCCAGAACTTTTAAAATAAGGGCCGTCATCAAGCTGCCCGGCCTGTCGTAACCACAGGCACCTCTTATCCGCAGGGAAAACAGCGACGATTCGTGGAAATTGGTAACAAAGGGACGCGTTGATCCGTTCGTTTCTTTGCTGCAGACGCGGGTTTCGCGTCGGTGCACGGGCCGTCATTAATAATTGCCGGATTGGGAAATATCGATAACCTCAGGTTCCTCTGTTCAGGGACTTCGACACTGGGCTTTCTGATTTTTACTCTGTTTTTGCTACTATGTTGCCAATTCGAAAATTCTCGGTTCATATGGGCCTATATACTATATTGTCTAGGAGATAATCCCAGAATATACATGCTCAGTATGCCATGCAGTGCTCAATAAGCTATTGGAGACAGAATCAAGTGACTGATAATTTTGCTTTATTTTATATTATCCCTTGTTTCTTGTCTATTCTACTCTATTATTCATCATTCCAGTCATACTATGAACAAAGAGCCTGGCGTTTAATTTTATTTTTTTACTTTTATTTATTTATTTATTTTTCTCCTGCGTCCCAACAAGCTAACAGGGCATTGATCGTGGACATAAACAAGAAACGCAGACGATATTCGAAAAGGTGAAAAAATAACAGTGAAATAGGCATTTAGATCTCAATTTCCGTCACAATTTGCTCATCCATATGGGTTCCTGGTCTTGCGAATTTGGACGTTCACCTCGTAATCCATGCACAGCGTAATACGTTCAGTTTCAATATGGCTATTTACTCCGTACCAAAGGTCAAAATATCATTACCAATTCAGGTTGGCAGGAGAACCATTTCATCTTCAGGTTCCTCATTGTCGACATACTCGCTGTCGGATGTCTGAATGCGATTCTGGACAGTTCCCGTCGGTTGGATCTCGTCACACGCGGAAGAGCTCGAATCGGGAGTGCTTATGGGGGTATCTTCTGAATAATATTCAGATTCGTGAGTCTGAAACTCACTCGGGCCGTCTGATGTGGGGACCATTGTCCAGGACTCATCTAGATTTCCCGCTATTCCACCACTCGTTCCGGAATGCGATGGTGGCGGTGGGAGCTTCCCTTCTATGACGGCTTCGTTTGAATCGCCCGCAAGGCATGGTTTACTTCCAGGTATTGTCACAGTGCGTGGTGGTTCCGCGTTGGATACGGTGCGGCTTCCCGAAAGCACTTCGCTGTTCCCATGCTTTTCGCGCTCTCCCTGTGCTTGTGACTGCGCCACTTCTAATCTTTGCATGAAACTCGTAGATGAAGCAAGCCGGGAATTTAAATTGGACCCTGAAAAGCCGTTTGACCAACATCCCCCAAGAGCCCTCTCCAGGGGTTGTGAAAACTGAGAAAATGGATCCGTGCTACAAGGCCGCTGATGAAAGCCAAGGTCAGTTGTCTCGTGGTCAACGATACTGTTGTCGTAGCCCGCCAAATGCTGCGATGACGACGCGAGCATCGGGTCATACCTAAGTGGGAGGCGAGGCAGCTCAGGCTCGTGGTTGGTGCTCAATTCTTCATAATGCCGAACTTTGGCGGCTCGCCCCGAACCTATTCTGAAATGGACCAGCCCGCTCTCTTGGGAGTCTGGTTCGACGTTCAGTTCCCCACTTTTATTGGCGGAGGGTCTGGGTTCTGACCATCTTGGGGAGATAATCATGTCACCCTTGGAAATCTGAAGATCGGCAGGGTTGATAGTACCTGTTCTGTTGGCTTCTTTGATAGAATTCTCCCTTGCCCTCGATAATTTGATAGCGTCCGCGGAGTTGTGGCTGTCGGATTCCCTGTTGGAGTTTGTGCTGAACCCGTGCTCATTTGGGAGAGATGGTTTTATTACCGCTGGAGACTCCAATTCAAATTCCATGCGTTCTCCCCAGTCCCAAGGCCAAGTCTCCAGCTTCAGATGAGCTACAGGCGTTTGCAGAATAACCTCACTGTTGCTCCATTCCCCAGCGTACCTCCGATCGAGTTCACGTTTGAGCAGAAACTGCCTAGCGTCCAAGAGCTCACCAGCATTGCATAGAAAGTAATCATATTGAATACGTTCTCTCAGCTTACGCGTGTATTGTCGAGAAATCTTGCGGAACACGAGTTGATGCGGAACCCTGCTAGATCTGAGGGTGGTATTATCAATTCGGAGAAGTGCCCGGTGCTGCTTCTCCCGCATCTCTTTCAGCTGCGCATTTTCCATCTCAATCTGCATATTACGACGAGTGATGTGTTCTTGGATCTCAACTCGCTCTTCCCGGGTCAGCCCAAGTAAATGGCAGGCTCTTGACCACTCATGCTTTTGAAGTATGTTACTGAAAATTTCGACTTGAAGCCTAGGCGCAAGGTAGCCCCACTCAGAATGGGAGGTCTAGGAAGCATTTAGTCAGGATTATTCTTCCATGGAATGGCGAAAAAGAGAAGGGGGGTAAAGATCATCAAAGACTTACCCGTGCTGGTCTTGAATTAGTAGATACTTCACGCTGTTTGGTATCCTCGGGAGTACTGTCATCCAAATCCCTGTCTGTAAACACGCTATTCGGATCCAAACTGGCCATGACTGACATATTCTTCATATAAACTGGATTGAACTCTCCATTACTCGCCATACGGTTATCCAATTCGTCAATCGACATGTCTTCATAGTCGACGACAGCCATAGCCTTCTGGTCGTTTGCGCTATGTTGGTTTTGAGGAGGGGCATTCTGGTTCTGCACCCTGGAGCGAGTCGTATATTTTTCATCAGTACCATCCTGTCGCGTTCTTCCTGCAGTGGGTTTCTTCTGGCTGGTTTCACCAGCTGGACGGGGTCTATCCAAGGTTGGAAACGCGGCAGGGGGGAGGTCAGGGTTGTAATCGATATATGGAATCCGCTCTGGAGTATGTATCTCGCGTAAGGGACGCTGAGTCAGTTGATAGAAGTTATCAGAGTCGTACCGTTGAGGGGGCCGGATGGACTTTCTGAGCTGCATAGTGATGCTGGACCCGCTCTGGTGGCTGGAGTATAGTCGAATCAGTTCTTGTGGCATGTCAGAGCGCGTCCTGGGACATATTTAGACCGTGGAACCTATCCACGCGTCATTGTGTGTGTTGTGGTGGTGGATGCCGTCTGGGAAAGAAGGCGACGTGAATGAAGGGGGTCAGGTGAAGGACAGCCTAAAGGATGTCGCCGGGTCAAAGGTAAGTAGAGGGACTATGAAAACAGAAGAAGATAACTGCCTTTTCCCCTTGACTATCTGCCCATACATAACACGGGATAAACCACTTTGCGTCTTAGTGAAGGCAGATTATCAAATTTCAGATATCAAACAGCAAAGATTCAGAGGTAGTAGAAACTTCATAATATCACACATACCCTTCATTTGGTATCCCCAGCGAGTAATAAAGAATGTGGACGGGAAACAAGGGGGCAAAAAATAAAAGAAAAGAAAAGAAAGAAAAGGAAAGAAAAGAAATAGACGAAAGGTCGACGGGACAGGCCTGAGATACTCCTCCAAATGCAGGACCGCAAGACAAAACTCCCGCTACAGCATCTTCTGAGAAAAGTTGAAATATTGCATTCAACGATCTCGAAAAGGTGCCAGAGGCTTCCTAGCATCCTCTTCCTCGTCGAGATCCATGTCGTCTCTCGTAATCTCATCATCGTCTCGGTCATCCAAGTTTCTCTTCTTGGCTGTTGCTGCCAGAGGCGAACATTCCAAGGCCGAGTTTCTGCTTGCCTCACGTCTTGTCCTCTCTACGTCCCGTTTGGCCGTAAGGATTGACTCGAAAGAGCACAATATATCCCAGAGCGAAGACTCGATGTTGATGCAAAAGCGACGTTGTTGGACCACGTAAAGGGCGCTTCCTGCGTCTAAGCTGAACATCACCATCAAGTAGGCTGCCACGATAGCAGCAGATCTCTCGTTTCCAGATTCGCAAAAGACGAGGATTTTCCTTGGTTGCTGGTTTTCATGGTTTCCTGCTATGCATGGAGAGGCGAGATGATCGTTGATACATCTGATAGCACGGGGGAAAGTAGATATAAACTCCTGGTTATCCAGAAAATCAACAGAGGCTGCTTCTATACCAAGCTCATCCGCTATCCTTTGTCCGGAAACTAAGCGAGCCTGTGCAGACAATTTGGTCCGGATGGAGAGGAGTAAAGTAAAATGCTCTTTGAGCATGAAGTCGCGGTTCTTCACGCACATAGCCGGTCCCAGGTAGAGAAATGGCAAAATCTCTTGCGCTTCTCTTCGCATTTCATACTTCCATTCCCCAAGTCCCAGTACACGTACGCAAAGACTCAAGTTGATCTTGTCGAAGAACCCGGCTCCAGCAAATTCTCCATCTGCAAAGTCATGGGAGCTGGGAATAACTTCTTGGTCCCGGCTTTCATAATCGAAGGGCAGCTGGAGATATCGACGATCAAAGCTCCGCACAGGCGTTTTGCGTGCATATTCCTGGGTTGCGACGTATTGGGAGAATCCACTCTGCGACATTGGGTTTTCTGCAGACGATGGAGCCATTGTGAGGGTTCCTTTTTCCACCTCTCGCTTTTCTCTTTCGCCCGATCTTCCCTTGGATATTTGGCCCACTTATCGCGTGGAGCGAGGCTCAAAACTGGAGTAGATGATCACTAGGCTCCAGCTCTTGGGTTTGCATTGGCTATACGATTTCCACGGGTCGGACCAAGAATCTTGAGGTTATCTTTTAGAAATACGGCATTTGTATTCATCCGTCAGTAGTGGATATGATTGCATGATACATTGCCAAGCCATTATTATGAGGATATAGCCTTGCACTGGGAAGAAATAATTAACACCAGGGGATATCGGAAATTGCTCTCCAAGGACGAACTGCGCTATTTTTGATCACGTGGCTCGGCTTTTCATCTCTTTTCATGTCGGGGTTCTCTTCGAATAAAGCTTCATCAATAATACATAATACACTAGGTCATCGTTCTGATGCATTTCTATGCAGACCAAGTCACTCGGAAAAAGCAATGGTTGGATATTTGGAGCGCTACTCCAGTGCTTTGTTTGCCCAGACACAAGGGGAGAGATATTTTATAAGGAAAGGCAAAAAAACATCGAGCTCTCTGCGAACTGCCAGATGGAATATCTGATTACAGGCTTTTGTCAACCAGCAGCAAATCTCTGTATCAAATGGATGGTCTCTTCCGGCATATCCTCCATGGGATAGCGCCCTGATCCTTTAATGCACCACCCATCGGGAGCCCAATCGACCATATAGGTCTTGTTGATTGTACTAGTGAGAACGCTCCCGCAGTCGCTCGACGTAGGATCTTTTCCTCCGAAGACAACTGCAACCTTGAACCCCCCTTCTGTGCCCTGATTCAGCTTGTCTGGCCTCCTGCCTTTCCAGAAAAGTCTTCCTTCTTCGCTCTTGGTTGTCATGCGAACCTGGGCCATCAGATCGTTGAAATTATCAGGCCCAAGAAACCCCACTAATAGATTCCAGAGTCCAGTCTCACGTATAAATTTGAACGAATAGCGTGGAGTTAATGGGGATAGGCGCGAGAAAGCATACACGCTGGATTTTGTGCCTGGGGGAAGAGCCCAATATGGCGCGTTGCACCCCTGAACGTCTAGCAAAGACTCGTGCGGGGATGTAATCCTTGTTATTGTTAACCCGGATAGATGCTTATCTATTGTCCCTGTTGAGAAAATCCAGAGAAGACTGAGTAGCAATGTCGAGACGCCGACTTCTTCGAGAAACAGTGGGAAGAACGAATCAAGGAGCAAAATACCATCGCATGTCGATGCGCTCATGTAGGGGATTGTGCACAATGCAATGCAGCTAATGATTATAGTCATTATGAGAAGAAGGCATAGTGGCAGTCTTCTACAGTATGGATTCAGTCTCTCACTTACCCACCCCAATCATGGGCAACCACAATGGCGTTCTTGAGTCCGGTATGTTCAAAGAAAGCCATCAAAGTGCGCATATGCAGCTCAAAGCTGATTGCACTTCTCTGCATAATTTTATCGCTCCTCCCGTGGCCCAGCCAGTCCAGAGCGTAAACTTCGTGGCCCTGCCTAACCAGCGACGGAAGGATCTATATACCAACGAAGAGTTGGAAGATATCAATCAGCGCTTGAAAATTTGCATGTCGGAAAGACCAGGCATACCCTTCTCCAGATTTGACTCCAGGTCGGATTCCCGTGCAGAAAGAGAATACTCTTTTTGACCTCTCCCGAACCCCCATCAATAGCAGGCTTCAAATGCACAAACCTCACTGTTGCTCCGCAGACCTTGAATTCCTCCGTGTTATCAGTCCAAGGCATATCGTCCATCCACTCATGTCCCCCGCGTTTCACTCGGAAAAGCACATTCTCAGGAAACTCATATTTTCCATCAAACTGTGCTTGTGCTTGATCGCTTTGCCGGTTCCTGTGGAACTGTGCTGTCCGGATAAGCATATTCCAGCCGCTCTCCGAAAATAAGTTCACGAAGTTCATGATCATGTACGGAATCATTGGGGATATGATTGTCAGTATATATAAGGGGAAGAGCATGCACACCACGAGGAACCGGGTAACATTGTATGCGAGAATATGCGAGATAGTGTAGTCCAGCACGGTGTGTACTACCTCGACCGGAAAAGTGACAATACGCGCGAGACGAATCATGCTTGTTCAAATGGTCTGTTGGTAGTTGATGCTTTTCCTTCTCTTTTGATGTGTTATTCAAATGCAATCTGCATCCTATCTTCTATCTTACTGATGCGCGCCAGAGAGAATGAAGGATCCTTGGTTAATGGCACAGAATTTACGTCATAACAATGCATGACGAATCCTTCACCTTGAAGGGGTCTTTAGTGCTGGATATCGAGTGGAATCGGTTGTATTGCTTCTGTTGACACTCATCCATAGGAATCAATATCCGTGTGCGCGGTTCAGTTAGGATCACTGATTGACAAGGCCATGATATCATAGTAGTTACTGACTGGAACTCACGTAGACCATGTAAGAACCCATTCAGTCAAAAATTTTCAATGAAGACCTCATGAAGAAGGAAGAGTTCTGGTCAAGATCTGTATATTAACTATCAGTATATCTAGACAAGGGGCCCAATATGGCCGACGATGAGGTTCTAGCCACAGCACATTTTCATATGCAACAAGTAGATGGAAAGGTGTTTTAGTCTTCCGAATATGACGAATGGTTTTCGTAATGAGAGTTATCGCTTTCGAATAAGGATTGACACGTTAGTAGACGGTATTCTGAAGTCGCGAGCGTTGACATTCCCATCTCTTCTAGAGTCAATCAATGTTGCAAAGATGGCGACGGAAGAACAGGTAGCAGTATGTGCGCCTAGCGAAATATCTCACTCCCAGTGTTCGTATCAGAGCAAAAAGCAAATCCCTAAGTCTGTCCTATGTCATTACCATCGCGTCTCAGTGGGTTCTGACCGAAATCAGTTCCCCGGTTGTCTACTCATACCACCAACTCACGAGGCGGGTAATACTCACCATACACATGCTGGGGATACCAATAGCCCTGACGATATTCATTTCATTATTCTTCATTCGCTATCTCATTCCTTTTCTTCTGGTATACCTCATTGGCATCCTCTTCTCGAACGCGGGCTGTTCAGGAAGTCTATCCCGACGCAGTCAACGCTTCCGTCACTGTCGGATATGGACGATATTCGCTTCATATTTCCCAGCACAATTGCATCGCTCCGTTGAACTCCTCGAGACCCGGAAATACATCTTTGGGTACCATCCACATGGCATCATCTGTCACGGTGCATTCATGGCCTTCGGGACAGAGGCACTAGGTTTCTCACAACTTTTCCCAGGAATCACCAACACTCTTCTCACCCTGGACTCTAATTTCCGCATCCCACTATACAGGGAGTACATACTGTCTCTGGGCCTCGGTGGCGTATCGCGCTCATCCTGCAAGAAAATCCTCTCTCAAGGCGGACCAGACGGCAAAGGCATGGGAAGAGCAATTACCATTGTCATTGGCGGAGCTCGAGAATCCCTGCTCGCTACTCCAGAAACAATGAGACTGATAGTCCGTGATCGCAAGGGATTTGTAACTCTCGCCGTCCAGCAAGGCGCGGATCTCGTTCCGGTTCTCGGTTTGGGTGAGAATAATCTGTACGACCAGAGAGACACATCAGAGGAGCATCCGCGTTTGCTAAAAGTCCAATTGCTTTTGAAGCAGGTATTTGGATGGACCATGCCTATGTTCCACGGGAGGGGCCTCTTGGGCAAATGGCCAGGTCTTCTGCCCTATCAGAGGCCGTTGGATATTGTTGTTGGGCGGCCGGTGGAGGTTGAGCAGCAGGACAATCCTGAAGAGGAGTATGTAGATCTTATTCACAGAAGATACATGGATGAAATAGAGAGATTGTGGGATGAATGGAAGGATGTTTATGGGGGAAAGAGGGCGTCGAAGTTGGAATTTCTATGAGGACCTGCTAGTTAGGGCATGGTTAGGGTTAGAGTACTAGGTTTACTTTCCAAAAGGAAGGGTTCGTCATAGCAACATCTTTTTAATCAACCAGCTATGCAGTTATCATTTATATATATTGTCTTAGTATGGAGATTGTTATATTCCTCAAGTGAGAGGAGTGCAGCACAAAATAAAGAACGCAAAACATGTATTTTGCCCATCCTTCTGCACTCACATCCTTGAACAACCATCATCCGCAGCGTATCTTAGTATCTTTATATGTCAGGTCAACCTCTACAAGGATGAACTGTTACTTCAAAGTAACAGACTATCTCTTGAGGATATAGGAGCCTTCAGGCTACCTTAGTTGGCCCTATAAAATTATCACCAGGGAAACCAAACCCCTGTCTCCATCCCTCTTTTTTCATGCGAGAGTCTCTGATCCGCCAAAATATGGAACCCTATCCATCACAAAGAGTTAGCCTATAAGATTCTCGATTCCCTTTATGCTGGGGGAAACGATAGCTTACATCGAATACCTGACGTACATCTTCCTTATATACTTTGCCATCCTTCTGAACGAGTAGCCATGTAGTGACCCATTCAAAGAAAGCAGCACACCACTACACTCCAGTATTTAGCCTTGCTAAATTAAAATCAGTATCAGCAAAGAGACGTGAGATATACCCCGAACGGATCGACTGGCCCACGTTGGCCGTGCATCAGATCGAATAACTCCCTAAGTGTGAGAGTGCCATCGCCTTCCTTGTCGTACTTGGAAAAAATACTTTCAAATTCCTGGGGAACAAAACGACCTTCGTGGTCAAAGATGCCGCTATCAGAACCATGCTGTGGTAATGTTAAAGAAAATCGTCAGCTCTTGTGTTGAGGACCGACACCTTTTGACGCGACAGCTGTACCTTCGCCTTGTGAATACTGGGCACGTAGACCCTGAAGAGGGGATCCGGAACCCATGAATACGCCAGTTTGGAGGGATAGGAAAAATTCAAATTGATGATCAAAACAGCGAACAATGAAAAAAGGACGTTGAACCCCAGTTCTCGAAATCCGATGTATGTATCGTAGGGCGTAATGATTCCATCCCCGTCTCTATCCCAGAAGAGAACATGTTGCTGAAGGACCGTCTAATGGTAGCAGCGATAGATGGCACATAGTCTCAGTTATTGTCTGGATATTCAATTTTCATAATTGGGTCGATAACTGCCCGAACTTACATAGTCTTCGTACTTCTTTGCATAACCGTCTGTGCCATTCGGGGATTCCTTGGACACAGCTATATTTGCTCTGGGAACAGCCGGGTAATTTATATAATTTCCTAGATCGACTGCAGGCTGGCGAGTCTGCGAGATCTTGGACCTCTTGACCCCTAACGCAAAGCCAATGTCTTGGTCGTGAGCAGTGCCATTCGCTCCGGGCATGATTATCGTAAACTGGAGGCCAAAAAGGTGCTATTTCGCCGAAAGGAAAGTAAAATAAACAGATAGAATCGAAACAGAAGATTGTTGCCCATGGCATTTTATGTATGTGCATGGCTCGAATTCCTGAATGTGGTGATGTCAGGTTGATGACATCGCCCGCTATCAAACATGACTGTTACCAAGCCCATACAGGTTGAGAAGTGACGGCCATGATACAGATGACAATGAACCAAAGTGTCTGGAACATAATTCTCATCCGAAATGCAATGAGATATCCGTTAAAGGAAAAGAATCACTGAATAGGGCTTGGTTCAGATCAGAAGTGGAAATGCCATCAGGAGTGGTGCCCGGCCAATGGACGATGAACATTGTCTTCTTTCTCGCTCTTTTTATGCAACGAGGTACATGTATATGCGTGTACATCATTCCCACATGTGCAAATTCCCCAAAGGCCATTCAGACGAGGATTTCTGAATCCAAGATGCTTTCTGGCTGACCAACTGCTCCCAGCGCACATATTCCTCTGTTAATGCTGCAGGCAAAGGTCCCGACTTCCTTCATCTGAGCGACATCAGAAGTGGCTTATCCCCTTGACTCGCAAGGCTCCATTCAAGCCATAGTCCTGTGTGTCATGACCTGGATTTACCGGATGGTTGTTGACCGGGATAGATTCTCGAGAAAGGCTGGACAGTCCTACTATCTAGCCGGTGAACATAACATAACCCTTGCCCGAGATATTCTGCGAATTCGCTCTTCTGTGTGAAGTATTTCGCAGCGTCCGATGGACCTAAGGAGGACTACCAATTAATTAGTCAGCTATCCAGAGAGATATTTGTTGGGGAGGAAGTGGATATACACAGTCCGATTCGAGAGCCCTGAGCAATCCAGGTGTTTGTCCCCAGACAGGAGACTGATATGCGTTACATAAGACGCCGTAAATCTTCGTTGGAAAACAACACGGTGAGCCTCTTTTTTTTTTTTTTTTTTTTTTTTTTTTTTTTTTTTTTTTTTGATATGGAAGTAAGGCCGTCCGTTTCTGAACGTCGCGCCGCTTTCAACACTCGTCCGAATGAATGTCATCCAGGCTCCATTATACTCCTGATGTACGTGGTGGACAACATACAACACGCCCGATTATAGTGACCTGATCAAGGACTAAACACGAAGGATTCATCGGCTTATCATGCGTTAGGTGAAAATGAAACATGGGGAATGTTTACGGCCGGCATGCCTACCTACGTACCTATGGACCAAATCCCACTGCATGCAACCTGAGTAATTAACCCCTGAACCACACCTATCACTACCTATCAAGATAATAGACTCGATTTAATATCATCTGTGTACCTACCTGATCATTGATGTACAGCATGTGTGCATTATAGCATATGTATATGGTGTGACATTCAGATCACCCCAGTCCAGTCGATGCGTGTCCGTCAATACATACATGGCACATTAGCATTTGCATTAGCATGTAATGGGGTATATTGGCAGTCCGTAATCAGATCATTCTATTCTATGGCCAGTTCGCCTATCGCTGACCAGCTTGAAGCTTAGATGCACGTGTATCTAGGTTTGGTGTCTACTCCCTACTGTGTACGCAGCCAGACATCCTTGAATACCCACGGTAGGGGTATTTACTGTTTAGCTTTAACTTTCTCTATGCATCTGCAACCCATGTGATTTGTGCATATCTTTGTCAGGAGTGTTGCATTTGTGAATACACATATTAGATAGAGGTATGCAAGGTACTTTTGTTCTGGGGCTATCTGGTTGTTCTATGCATGACGATAGCAAGCATACCTAGGTAGGCAAGTATAGAGGGAGGATAGGAGCACAAACACGAGTTCAGGAATGGTAATACCTAAGGTGTTTCATTCCCAAGTTACAACAATAACAGATCAAGATTATCGAACCACTATTATTCGACAGAGAACAGAGAAAACAGCCATATCTAGCCCAGCCCACCCTCAACAAGCTCCATCATCTGATCGATGCAGGAGGTCGGGGTCTGAGCTTGATCAGCTCATAAAACGTGGACCGGCAGTGGCATGGCATGTCCGGACATGGGGTAAAATAGGGTGATGTTGCAGTAATCCCGTACCTTGCTGGGGAGCTTTGACGCTTCCCGTCTGCAGGCTTACGACTTGCATTGCTTTCCGGCTGGTCTACAGCGCCTGTAATGAGAGGATAATAATGATAAAAATAACAATTAGCTGCTACTGAATGCCGAGAGTGGGCTGGCAGTTGGGTTAGTTAGCTTTGATGAGGAGTCGAACAGTGTCATGGCCGGCCACATAGATTCTATTATGACGTGGATACTTGCGGTTGAGGCTCAGACGCGAATCAGGAGACGAGGTAGGCTACTTTTCGTTATTCATACTTTGTTCAAGAGTGAAAAGCAATGATATGGGATTAGATCAACTGACCGAGTTTGGATGCATTCCGTAACCCCGGAGCGAGGATTAGTGAGCTATAAGCAGTAAAAGCAGGCCGATATAACGAGCGTAGGAAATGGGAAACAAAGTGAAGAAATGTCGTAAGAACACCTGGGTATATTTCAACAGAGACATAATAGTAATAATAATAACACCACTCCAAGTAGAAACACCCGTATCATCTGATGTCCAACAAGGCAAACGCCAACCAACCAGCCCCTTCCGTACATTTGACAAGGGAAAAGAAAAAAAAGCATGTTCCGCGCTTTCAAATGAGTTCCCACGTTGGCCGCCACCAGACCATTGGCCTTTCGGCCAATGGTCCAACTTCTGAACGACAAAACGCCCGCAGAATGCATTGCAACGTAGATTAGGACAGGAGAGAAAACAGAGTAGTGAACAAGCATTAACGCAGAAGAAGAGAGGGGAAAGCATAAATCCTCATAACGTATTCAACCTTGGCTCGTAGCAGTTTGTGGAATGGCCTGCTGCAGTCCTGCGACAATGCGTTCTAGCTCTTCCAGCCGCCGATCCTTCTCCTCAACCTCGTGCCGAAGTCTTTTCAGTTCGTTTCGTAGGTCCACACCATTCTCGTCTTCAGCATGGATCACTCCCGAAGCATCGCCGACAGAGTCGCGTTTTCTCTTCGACCCCGTGGAAGCCGCGAGAGAAGATGCGCGTATGCCGTCTAGCTCCGCATGAGGAATGATGGTGAGTTCAGACGACGCGCCATTTTCTGTATGCATATGCCGACGCCTGAGATGTTCCTTTAGGTTTTCCTGTCGCGTAAACCCAGTGCCAGTGCTGCGGTTGCAATCGGCATACGGGCACATCAAGGGTTTCTTGATGTTCTTCTTATGTACTTCGCGTTGATGTCTCAATAAACCACCCGAATATGTGAATCCCTGGATCTTGGCACAGCCGGGCTCCAGGCACTTGTACGGTCGATCATGTTTATCCATGTGTTTGCTATTGAAAGACACGAAGAGGAAAGTTAGCTTCTCGCAGAGGTGAAGGTATACAATACTAGACAAAACGGGGTTTCACTTACTTCCATTCACAAGGCCGACGAAATATAGGAGGCGTCGGTTGACAGTCGGGATGATCACAATAGATCTGGCCTGCTGTGTTTTTGGGGGGATCGCGCGCTCGCCTGACGGACAGTCGGGGACGCGCGCTTTCCACGAAGCTTGGGGATATTTGCTCGGCCATCTTCGGCACGTGGGGGAAAGAGTCGTGAGTAGCGACAAGAACAGACGTCGGTCCTCCAGGACCTTCACTTCGTGGACTTGGGTAGTCAGAGCCGTCGCCCATATCGCGATTCCAGCCCCGCTGCCAACCCAGTTGCAGAGGGGTACCTGAATGTATGTGACGACAAAAGGGCAAGGAGAAGGGAAAGGGAAATAGAAGATCAAAAAATCACGTTGGGAACGTGAAAAGATATTATGAGCGTCGTTGGTGCTGTGGCACTGATGGAGGACGGATGAAGAATTGGAACTGCCAGATAATGGCGGCACCAAGGCACCAGCGAGGGAGTTATTAAGCGCACGCGAACCAGGAATAATAATAACCGCCACACGCCACCTTATGCGTATGTAATTCGCCGCCACAGGCAGAAAATGTCGGCAAGTGGATGCCTTAAATAATAATAATACTAATTAGTGACGATGCTGATAATTGTGTGCCAACACCGGGATTGTGCGGATCAAAGCAAGTTATAACTCCTCTCTTGCACATGTGGAGTCGTGTGACAATCGCTTAGAGGAGCCGGACAAGCTGTCCAGGATTATTTACGGGGGACGTTTGCAGTGGTCCTCGGTCGGGGGTTTATTATACGATCTGCGACCGGAAGATTAGAGATTTCAGCACAGAGATCTGGGGGGGGGTGAGTCAACCCATACGTGAGCAAGAAGACGCTACTTACGTAGGATGGCAGGGCTGCAACCGGATAGGGCGGTTGCGAACGATCTGGTCAGGCAACCAAGTCTCGCTGTGCGTACCTTGAATCGTTCGATGCCGTCGACGGTGATATGATGCAGCCAAGGTCCGCCACGCCGAGGCCCCGTTCCCAGTTGGGAAGTGCACCGCCACATGACGGGATGAGACGAGGCTGTACGAGTCATCGCGCATCAGCCACATCTGAGTCACGTGGGATATCACATTCGTTTAAAATAAGCATGAGGCGCCGTGTAGGCAACCCTCTCCCTTCTCTTCGCCTCCTTGGGCCTCCTGCGCAGCTTGACAGCTTCATGATGACCGTCCATTTGCTCCGGGCCAATAAAGCGTGGTGCTTCGCTTCCTATTGTGCTTAACCGGTTGTTTTTGCTGCCCGAATTTGTCGGTTTTCGACTGGTAGCAGAGCAATAGCTGCCTGTCGAAGGTGTGGCTAGGTCTACTAACAAGCGTACACCGTCTTCCTAGAATTACGGCACGGTGATGGCAAAGAGAAACAAGGGTCCACATATCGCACTTTGGGCTCCCAAGTACACCGAACTAGGTTGCAATCCAACTCAGACAATGCCTAGCAGGCTACAATCATTCTAGATGCTACACCGATGCCACATATGGAGAACACGACATTCGAGGCTTACCCTTGTTTTCTGCCAATAAAATCGTCCCACACGCGGACGGGCGCGTGTTTCTCGTCGAATGCATTTGCTGCTGGTGCATTACTCTATTTCTGACTCATAAGGTTGATCACTAGCATGCCTTGTCGGTCACCGGGTCACAGAAATACCATTCATCGGAGTTCAGAGAGAGAAGGGGGAGAGCTGCTCGTGCGTCACCGGTTACACCGTACCCCGGGTGACTACTGCAGGCAGAAATGCATCAAAAGCCATCGGTCTTTTTGAACAGCGATGTTTTTCTTTTCTGCCCGAGAGACAAGGATATTATGCCTTCCGGGCCGGCTGATTTTCAACTCCGTGTCCCTGTAAACATGAGCCTGATGACAGAAATAACATTCCTCAAGTCTTCAGATAAGTTTCTCGGGGCCTAGAGCTCCCAATATGCGTGCAGTGCATGCACCCACCCTGTATCTACGCCCTTAATGATTCAGATTCAGAGAACTCTCGGGCTGGAAGCTGGAATAGGCATATGTACATGCAGATCAGTGCCCACCGAAGGCGACTAGAAGCGCACGTATGTGTATTCAACACTTAGGCGAAGGGGCTGGACAGAAAGGATCGCGGCGAACGGAGATCCAGATAAATTATTCTGCCTGTTTGCCATATAATAGCCCTAGATCTAGATTGACAAGATAGTACTTAAAATGGAAGTATTTATGGAAACATTCAAGAAGATGCAAGATGTGTGGCGCAGCTTCCTTTCAACCAACCTTGAATCTGCGGAGTTAGCGGGATAAAATAACTCGGAGCTATATCGTTCAATCCGAGCTTTTTATTGATATGCAGCTCAGAAGTATCCATTTTTTCTCAAGGCAACTTCTGCGCTGCCGTGGCTGAGCCCAGAACCAATGGCTGCGTCGTCAACTTCCAGTTCAGCTACTCTTGAAAGTTAGGAGCAAGGAGAGAGCATCGGCATTTTTCCTAGGGGAAGTCATTGTACGATAGCAGGGCCGGACAGAACACAAGCCCTGAGAAATACGACGATTCTTTAATTGCAAATGTAATAACAAAGAAGGTCAAATTGGACTTAGATGGAAGACCAGGATGTGTGTCCATAGCATTACCTCATAGATAGCTGAAAAGCAATGAAAGGCATAGAGCCAGGAAAACAAACCTGGTCTGCCCAGGCCTTTGTGCTTCCAGACGCTGCTAGAGACACGAACGAAAATGAATGGATGGATACATGATAGCAATAAGAACATAAAAGAAGGATGATAAGGGGATGGCCAATGGTACACTCCGGACATGTCCAACGTTCTCCATTTGTCCTTGGAGTAATGTTGACCTTCCAGTTGCCCGTTGCCACAATCTTGAATAAAGAAAGCCCAACTTCGAAGCGCTTGTCGAGTCCAGAAACTCCCCTGCTAAAAGAAGCAAGAGAGCTTTCCAGATATCATATTCACACGTCTCACGGGATGGTTGACATTGTGAAACGGTTGACATACCAAACAGTCGCCACCAGTTGTGCTGTCTCGCATAATAACTTTCACCACGTAAGTAATATCACCTCGATAACTTCTTCAAAAGACAAAAGCATCTTGTCTTAATTCATGGTCGCGGTTCCGTATTTGACAGTTTAGATTCGGCCGTAAGCTAGGGCTCCGGCTGATGTCACTTTCAGTACTGCGTGTCTTCGCTCCCAAAAGAAACAGCAGAAGTCTTGAATTTGCCCAGCGAGATAATCAACCGAAAAGAACTAGCTCCCGGACATCTCACTGGGAAAGGATGTTTCAACACTCACTGGAACCTCTTTCCGGTTCAATATGGACGCGCCGCAAAACTTCTGCATCTTGCTTTTGTTGATCGAAGGTCAAGAATAGGGGCAAGCTCAATCATAATTGCCTCCGACCTGGCTTGCGAAAGCAGTTGAGACGCTCCGCGTATCATCATCATCGTTGACATGGCTTGGAATACCACGAGTAACGCGAATGCTGGCGGAACTACCTCCGAAGATGCTACCATTGTCATTGACACCAGTCTTGAAAGGCTCCCGACCTCCAGATTCTACGTAGCGCTTCAGTCGATCAGATTGGCTGAGACTGGGTTGCTTATTCATGTCGTTGATGCTCAAGCCCGCAAGACTAACGCCGCCCTGTCCAGGATTCCTGCCGTCGATAATGCTCCCTGTAACATCTGACTCAGTGGCCGCGACAGACTCTCCAGCTACGCTTGGTGCCCTTTTCCCTCTCATGCCGTTAGCTCGGCGACCCCCGGGAAGTGCAGGCCATGCTTCCGCGAAGTTCTGGAACATGGGTGGATATCCAGAGGTAAGGCCAACACCGCCTAGAGCAGACGAGTGGACGGATGAGACATCGTCAGGAATGTAGCCAATAACAGACCCTGAGTCATGATATTCGTTTCTGTGGCCATTCCTTCCGTTCATAAGCCCGCTGTTGAGATTCGATGCCTGGTTGTATGACATCTGGAAGCGCTGGGGGCCTCTGTACGCCTGCTTAGGGCGACTGAATTGGATGAGTGATTCCTGCAGGTTGGACAAGGGTCCTTCAACAAGGCAATGATGTTCCTTGAAATGTTGAAGGAGGCAGTTCCACAGGGGATGCTTTGATAGCACCTTAGGATTGCCCAGGATAGCCAAACCGTATCTTGCTCGAGTAAGCGCGACATTAAGACGACGCGGGTCGCTTAGGAAACCAATTCCTTGGTGGTCGTTGGAACGCACACAGGAGAGAATAATGAAGTCCTTCTCCCGACCCTGAAAAGCATCAACCGAAGCAACCTCAATTTCTTTGTAGTACTCCTTTTTGAATGTTCCAGTCGCCTGCATCGAACTGACTATATAGCTGCGCTGACCCTCATAGGGAGTAATGATACCGATGTCTCTCGGCTGCACCCCTGCCTTAAAGAATCGTGTGACAATCTTTTCCACATTGGATGCCTCTGTACGGTTGAGGTATGAGGTTCCTGAAGCCGAAATCTCTTCATTGCCAAGATTCGACCAAAACATCATGGGGCTTTCGGCGACGGGCCACGGGAAGTCAACTTCGCGGCGAAGGCGTTGTGCCATAGAGACACCATTCTGGAGAGATCCCTCGTAGAACATATTCGATGGGAATTCCGATAGGCAAGGGTGCATACGATACTGCACATTCAAGCGAATTGGAGAGCACCCCAGAATGACAAGTCTCTCGAAAAGCGACTGGTTCAGACCCGCCTTTGCCGCCTTCTTATTCATAATGACCGGCCCAAGTTGTTGGTGATCACCCACTAGAACGACCTGCTTGCATCCCAAGACTAGCGGAATCATACATTCGGGCTCAGCTGATTGAGTGGACTCGTCAATTAACACAGTCCTGAACTTGGACTTTGCAAGACGAGGATCGCCTGCACCAACACAAGTGCAACAGATCACATCGGCATTTGTCAGGATTTCCCTCTCGGCGGCGCGAGTAAGTTGCTTCAGTCTCTTCTCGTCCTGACTAGACAACTCGCCCAACTCGGCCTTCAATTGATTAAGCTTCACGAGTTCGATATTACTGTCATTCATGCGAACTTGTTCATGGAGGGAGAGGAATCCAACAGGAGACTCCACATCCTCCCTGGATTTGGCAGTCACACGCACGGTCTTCAAACCGGTTCTGTGAATACGTTCGCAAAGCTGGTCGACGGCAACGTTGGATGGAGCGCAAACCAGAACTTGCCCACCATTGATTTTGGCCAGGTGATAGATGATGGTGGCAGAGGTAACAGTCTTACCAGTACCTGGAGGTCCCTGGATCAGACTTAAAGGCCGTTGTAACACACTCTTCACTGCGTTTATCTGGCTACCATTCAACTCTGGAAGGCCAGGAACACTAAACTTCTTGGGCATCTGAGTCTTCATCGGCGCTGCAGCGACTTCATGTCCAAGAAGCCGGTGGAAGATATAACCTGACACACTCATCTCATCAACGGCGAAGGTTTTCATGGCAAGCTGCATACGATCAAATGAAGTCGACTTCCAGACATAGTCTGCCGTGAAATTGTGGGTGCACTCTGTAGGTACTGACTTATGATCACCCTTCGATCGCAATTCTATAGTGACTTCGTCGGACTGGTTGTTAGGGATCTTGATCACGTATCCTACTCCCTCCCATTTTGGACGCAGTTCGCCTGTATATTTAAGACGCATTTCATCTCCGACAGCCAGTTTCACATCTCCAAGCTCAAGCTTTGGCAGGATGAAACTTGCTAGATGCTTATTGTTGAGACCAAGGTCCCAACGCACAACCAGCCCATCCTGCGACTGTGACTCTTTCAGCTTGCGATCATAGTCCGCTTCAATTTTGACAAGCGGTCCGAAAATGTTCTGATATTGATACGCATCGTCGTAGCGAAGGAGAACAGGAGCGGGTTCGTCATCGACTGCTGTTGCGTTTTCTAGATCTGCAACAGTCGCTCGAGAATTTTCCTTCCACATTTCCTCTAGCCTAGCAATCAGTTGAGGACTTAGGTGGCGAGCCCGAAGCTGTTCTTGATCGGAAGGAGTAGCAACAAGCCAAGGCAAAAATGACCTATCCTCAATTAATGGCTGCCAACGGGAAGTATCCCAGTTCATATCCTTCGACGATGGCATAGCAGCACATGGCTGTCGACATAGAAGAACAACGACCGTGTCGGATTTGGCCGGAATAAATCCCAACAGAAAGACGTTCTTTGTGCCGCAGTTGTAGCACTCCAAGATTGTGTCACCGAGCGAAGAGGCAGGGTGCAATTGAACTTCCTTATGTCGAGCTCGGACAAGATGGTTGACAATGTGAGAAGAAGATGTATTCCCACGAGCACTGCAGAACCATTTGTTGCAAGCCAGACACTTGACGACGCTGCTTGGATTGTGGATACCGCAGTACCTAGAGAGAAAGCAATATTAGTAGATGAAGCAAATGTACAAGGAATGGGTGATGCTTACGCGCATGCGTGGGGAGGTAACTCTTTCTCCTCCTCTGCTTTATTCTGCTTTTTCACATGCCCACTAACTGGTGCGCTTGTAGTACTCTCCAAATCATCTTCTTCAACCATATCAGATCCATCATCTTCGTCGTCATGTCTTCGAGGACGTGGACCACCAGCGTAGCCGAGGACACTGTCTTCTGGATCCAGCGTAGACAAATTGTCGAGAGCGGTTGCCGAGTCTGAATTGGAAACTAAATGGTTTCCCTCGGTCGGTAAGTCCATCCTGGCCTTACAACGATGATCTTCAAAGAGCTGTCCGAATTATGTTGCAGACGGCGCTAGAATTTCGATTGTAAAGCGCAGAAACGGGGGGTGAAAAAGGAGCCCGGTCGTGACACTCGATCCTCTCTCTTTCAGTATGAGATGATGTTGTTCTCGTCCGGTCCGTCACTAGGCGAGGAGAGAAACTAGATGGATCCAGTCTCAGAAAAGTTTTGGACGGTGTTAAGGAAGGCTCAACAGAGGTATGCCAGCCAGTGTTCGCGCAGGGCGAATCGCTCCGTTGCCACCGTATCGAACGGAACGAGAGATCTGAACCGTAGCGCGAGTCAGGAGGAGGCGATGGAGGCACCTAAGGAGGACTCCGTGGAAAGGTGCAAAGTCACTGTCGCCTTGACCTTGAGTCCGTCGACTGCAAAAGAACCGCGGATTCGCCGCCAAGCCCGAATCCCACATTACGGAAGCCCGCACTCCCCCCCAAGCGCAGTTCCTGCCGACCTCCGAAATTTTCTTTTTGGAGAAGCAGATTGTCAGCACACGGGCTGTCTTCCCATACAAGATGTTGGTAAGTATCCCTCCAGGAGTCCGCGGGTCGTTGAACCAGTGCTAATTCATATGGCAGCGCCGTCAAGCCCGCGAGCGTCAGGATTACCTCTACCGGAGAGCTTTGCTCCTCCGCGATGCCTCCATCGCCGAAAAGCGAGCAAAGCTCAAGGCTTCCTTGGCTTCTGGGAAACCACTGGATCCGTCTATTGCAAATGACAAGACCCTCCGCGAAGATTTCAAGTATGACGAATCCCTACAGGTTCCGGATAAGCAGAATGGCGACTCCGATCTCATGAACATCGACGATGAGTACGCGTTGACGTCCGGACTGGTCGACCCTCGCCCTATCATCACTACTTCCCGGTCTCCATCCGCTCGTCTCAGCGCCTTCGCAAAGGAAATACGTCTCTTGATCCCTACATCTATTCGTTTAAATCGTGGAAATACCGTCCTGCCAGACCTCGTTTCAAGTGCGAACGCCGCGGCGTTGACCGACATGGTGCTTCTCCACGAACACCGTGGTACCCCAACTGCGATGACAATATCGCATCTTCCTCACGGACCTACCGCGAGCTTCTCACTGCACAATGTTGTTCTTCGAGCGGATATTCCCAATGCCGTACGGGGAACGGTGTCAGAGAGCTATCCGCATTTGATCTTTGAGGGGTTTAAGACAAAACTAGGCGCCCGTGTTGTTCAGATTATAAAGCATCTCTTCCCTCCTCGTGAGGCTAGCAAGGTTGGCAACCGCGTTGTCACATTTGTGAACAAGGAAGACAATATTGAGGTTCGCCACCACGTCTTCGTGAAGACGGGATATCGGGACGTCGAACTTGCAGAAGTTGGTCCGCGCATGACAATGAGGCTGTTCGAGATCAGGGGAGGATCTCTAGAGAAGGGTTCTAGTGGCGATGTTGAGTGGGCTCTTACACAGTATACGAGAACAAGTCGGAAGAAGGAATATCTTTGAGTTATGTGTTGGCCTCGGTGTATAACGACATACCGGATACATACAGGAAGGTAAATCAGGCGTACAGGGTGTTCTCAGGAAAAGCAAATGAGACGATGCTTGGGGGTTTAATCAATTTAGGACTTGTCAATTCTATACCCGCGAAAAGTTTAGACATTTTTACGTTATTTCTGTGGCGGTTGTGGCCCTGTGAAACTGCAAAATGATATACCTGATACCTATTGAATAACCAGAAAACGTAGGGAGTTCCATGAAACTGTGAGGTCAGTAAAAAATGATCCTCTGATGCGGCTGCAAATACTGTCCTCCATCAAAAAGGGTAATACCTCTCTCTTCCCTTTCCACCATTTCCCTTCTAGAAAGAAAATAGCAAAGACCCTAGCACCCTAAGCAAAAAAAAAAGTCAGATTCAAGTAAGTACTTACAAAGGCGCATATCATGCTATTGGGGATGAATATAACGGCTATCTGCAATTTCAATTCCCGTAGCTTCAACAGATTTCATCTTTTAGGGTTGTCTTTCTTATGAATTGCTGTAATAGAATCACTCATTGCGTCGTAATAGTAGGTTCCTTTGTAAGGAAGTCCGCCAGAAGCCCCATCGAAGCCTCATACTGACCATCCCTTATGAGCAGGGAGAATCTACCGTCTGAATCTGTCCTAGGTTCGGGAAACTTTCCGTCTTGTCTTTCGTCCCAGTTTTTGCTGGTTTAGACCTTAAAGAAGTCTTTGAAAGCGACCAAGGCTGCTTCCTGGTTCTGCCAAGAGAGAAGAGGAGGGTTTATCGATTCGACTGTATTTGGTGTATGTAGCGTAAACGTGGGAGGCAGTGTGGGATTCGTAGACCTGTAGCGAGTTCAGCACTTGCTTGTATCATGAAATTATAGGCAAGGAGAGCCAGGGCTAATCACCCAATTTGATACTTTTGTCTGGATTTACCAGATATAAACGGCCGGACTAAAATGTCGTGCTATATGTGCGATTGGTTTTTTGGTCCGTGTATAGATGGTAGTTCACTGCTCAATTATCTATGAATGCACATGAACGCATGTAGTTAGCAAACGCATTTCAACCCTGGAAGAGGACAAACGTAATGTTTCCCCCATTATCGGTGATTGCAGTAGTCGTCAGAGGGTCTGCTTCTCAAGAAGTAGGGCCCGAAGACTCATGCAAGTCGTCACTAATGAATACCAATGGATGTATGCTTCGTAGGAAAAGTAGATGGGCTACGAGGGGCAGTATTGCTTGTAGTACAAAACGAGTTCAAGGTGAGAGTTGAATGAACAAGAGATAATGTTCCATTGATCTATCTACTCATCACTTTCATACATTTGGATGATCCATACAGAAGTCATGAAAGTAAGAGGAAAGTCCAAGACAGAATAGAGGCCAGGTCCGAGGAGAAGTGCATAAAACCAAGCGCAAGCAGAGCTCTGACTGGAAAGTACTTCGGGTTTGTAGATATCGCAAAAAATGGTTCCAAGCACCATGTCTGATTATTGAAGCTGAATGCTTTTCGCAGCTTTCACAAATGCACGGATTTTGTCTAGATCCTGGGAACCATTCGACTCGACGCCAGAGCTAACATCGATCCCGACAACTTTGTGCCCTAACTTGCCCAGACTCTTCAGTCTGTCAGCAACATTATCGGGATTCAAACCACCAGCCAAGATAACTCTCACTCCATCATCACCATCCAGGGTTTTGAGGATATTAGACCGCTCAAGTAATTCGCCAGATCCTCCTGCACCTGAATCCAGTAATGGGAGCGCATGATAAGCCCTGCGGGAAAGTCCAGGCTCCCCTGGACTGAACTTGCGAATAACCGGCACCGGTATGAGACTAGCCCATTCCAATGGCTCAGATCCATGCAATTGTACGATGTCGAGTCCTAGTCTCTGCTGCTGGTCAAGAACATAAGATAATGGCTGGTTTTGAAAGACACCCACAAGCAAAGCGCGAGTGGGATGGCGAAGGACTGAAGCATAATGATCGAAGTAGTCGCGAGAAGACTCATTCGCTATTCTCTGAGGCGCATCGTTAGGGCGTGGAGTCGACCTGACTACCCGAGAAATACCCAAAGCAACACTGTCTGGGACACACCGTTTGCGGCCTTCAACGAGAATGATGCCGATAAGATCTGCACCGGCCTCGATGGCAACCTTAGCAGCTTCCTCGGACCGAGTGCCGCAAATTTTCACTAAGGGGGAATCTTGCATTGTGACTGGTGTCCGCTCAATGTTTCCACCAAGCAGTTCCGAAATAAAAGCCGATGTGTTCGCAGCCCTCATGAGGGCTTCTCCGACAAGAATAGCTTTCACGCCGTCTTTTCTGTAAGCCTCCACATCCTTTGGGCCTGAAATGCCGCTAAGCGCACATACAATGGTAGTCTCAGGTACCATATCCATCAGTCGGCTAGTCGTACCAAGATCAACCTCAAAGTTTGTGAGGTTCCTATTGTTGACACCAATTACCTCAGCTCCCAGGTCGACAGCGATCTTCATCTCCTCAGGTGTATTGACTTCAACAAGGGGTTCCATCCCTAGGCTTCGAGAGTAGTGATATAGCTTCGTGAGCAGTTCGACTGACAGCATTTTCACAATCAGTAAGACAGTATCCGCACCAGCCAAACGTGCTTCCAAAATCTGATACTCATCAAAGACAAACTCTTTCCGCAAGATGGCGGGCCTATTGGTGAACCCTTCTAAGCTCTGCCGAACAGCACGCAAATCATCGATACTGCCTTTGAACCACTCTGGTTCTGTGAGAACAGAGATGACACTTGCGCCTGCCTTAGCATATTTCCGTGCCTGAGCTGGAGCGCATGCCGAGGCTGCTATGATGCCCTTTGACGGTGATGCTCGTTTGATCTCTGCCATGAGAGACAGAGGGTATAGCGATTGCCTAAGGCGGGCGGGAAACGGGATTTGTGGAGGAGCAATACTTAAATCATACGCAGCCTGAAGGTCTTCCGGACGCTGAGACGGGATAGCCTTCTGCGCTTCGACAGCGGCCCTGCGATGAGCGTAAATCTTCTCCAAAATGGAAACTTTCTTATCCACCTTGTCGGCGCTCTTCCGGCTGGCCGTACCATTTACAACGGAAGAACTGTTCTGCCCGTCACGAGACTGTTGGTCTTCTGCCCAAGTGCCAGACTTCAGTTTGAGAAAATTCCTAAACATTGTTCGGCCATACTCCGTAAGAATACTCTCTGGATGAAATTGAACACCCTCCACAGTATATTCTTTGTGCCGTATTCCCATAATCACTTTGCCATTGCCTCCGTCCAGCTGGGCCCAAGATGTCACCTCTAAACAGTCGGGGATTGTCGCAGCAGTTCCGGCAAGTGAATGATATCGAGTTACTTCCAGTGACGAAGGCAGTCCCTCATAGACGCCCTTGGCGTCATGAGTCAACGCCGAAGTTTTGCCGTGCAGAATCTCGCCAGTCACATCAACCTTCCCGCCAAAGGAATGTATCATGCATTGCTGGCCCATACACACACCAAACACAGGTATCTTCCCGCTGAAATATTTGATTGCTGCATTGCTGATGCCGGCGTCCTTCTCTGGGTGGCCAGGGCCTGGACTGATCACCAGCTGCGTGGGATTCTTCGCGATCAAATCCTCCACAGAAACCTCATCATTGCGGTATACTGTAACAGTAGCACCCTCCAAGGCAAGATATTGGTAGACGTTCCAAGTAAAAGAGTCATAATTGTCGATCAAAATGACATTGGAGGCACTGCTAAGCTTCGCAGCTCTAGTGGGCTGGTGGGGTGAATGGTCAACCAGGTCACCTGGCATTGTCGCGCAGGAAGAGAATAAAGGTAGGTCAAAGTGAAGAGGTGATTGAACTTCGAGATTTCAGGAATCAGCGAGTATATAGCATAAACAGAGCATTCCCCAGTGCTTTCAGGACAGCAGCAAAGAAATGTGGTATCTTATCAATTTTATTCAGAAGAGGGTTATTGAAGTCTCGATAAGAGTCATATAACTAGTTAGTTAACTAAAAATGCGTGCTGATGACTAAGAATATTAATCACGTGGATTTCAAAGGAATTCACCGCTCTGCGCTAGGCCCAGTAAGGAATCCAAGCCGGATTTTGCCCTGATCCCAGATCATTTTGTTTATCCTCTGATCCATAGCTTTTTCTCTGAAGCTGCTTACTTCCATCTATCTATGGTCTTCCATATTCCAGAATCATCTCGTCGCATTATCTCCAATCTCTTCTAGATTTGGTTTCTATGATGATCTAGCTGGTCTTGCCAATGGCTCCCATCCCGGAGGCCTATTTTCCGTCCCTGGACAAGTGCTTCTCCGGGGACGTTCAGCTTCTGTATGGCTCTGCCTTTTCATGAATGAGACTGGCGCGGTATTAACGTATATCAGGTCCTGGAAGAGAGTTTTTCTCTATACATGCAGCCCTAGAAATCATGATGGCGACGTGGGAGGTCTGCATGCATTTCTGTCGCATCCAGAGAGCGCCCGTCTGCTTTCCCAATGCCCGAACCCATTCCCCCCTCCCTCCGCGAAATCCAAGTCCGAATTCGAATCAAAGACTGCTGCAATACATGCTGAAACAACGACTCAGAGTTCATATGATCTGAAGGAAATAAAATCCGATGCTCTGTGGTTGAGTCAGAAAGCGAACATCGACGAGATTACCGCGCTGCGCATCACAGTTCTAGAGTGGCAGAGCCGCCCTTCTACGCGCCTGTTGACAAGTTTCTCTGAGGAAGAAGCCACGAGTTTACAAAGCGCCGCCGAAGTTGATAATTTTCGAGTTTCCACAATAGCTCCGAACTTCAGTCGGACATTAAGGCAGAATGCGGACCGCGACCGAGCTTCTGATTTTAATTCGGAGGAATATAGGCGACTGAGATTGAGCGAGCTTTATCTCTCTGAGAGATGCCATATTCTGAAGACAGCGCGCAAGCTTTTGAGCTTCTCTTTACGAGACAATATTCCGAATATCGAATCGCCCTCTCCTAGAAGACGCGGAGACGACAGGCTGGCATCGTTGTCCAAAGTTGCAGCGACAATTTTCAAAAGAAAATCTATCGGCGCCGAATGGTCTCAGTTTCTTGGCGACTGCATTGATGCTACGCGCAATCGGCTTGCATTGCTGGGAGGAGATGGTGGCTGGCTAGGAGCCGACGAAAGCAACGAGGACGTGGAAAATTTATGGCGTACTACGTTCGTTGAAGAGATCTTGCATATTTTGCAGCTTCTCTTCCTTGAACTTCAGGCGTCGCCGGCCATCCCAAATTCTAAGCTGCTACTGTCCTGGCTTCGTCTGATGGCCGAGTATAGCTTCCTGGAGTCATTACAAGCAGTCAGTAGTCGCCTTACCCCCTTCTCACATTGCTGTCCTTTTTCCATTGACGTGAACGATTTGATTGTACTTGTGGACTGACTGGTTTCGTAAAGCCGTGCGCAGATCCTGTAGAAGTGCTCCTGCCTTTGCGTGTTCTTGTGTCGACGATATCACTCGCATTGTTGAAGCTGCCCCTTACAATGCCCTTCATAGTGAATAGAACTGAGCCCGGGTCTCAAGAGCCTGCTCAGACACCTTACTTTCTTTCAAAACCTGATATCTCCGAGATAAACGGGATCTTCCTCGATGCATGTGAGAGTTCAAGAACTGCAAGCACAGCAGCATTCTCGTGGGGCCTGGTTTTGAACACTATGCGAGAACTTGCACTCAAGGACAGAGAACACTTGGAGCTCGAGCAGTTACACAGTGCTGTCGATTCGTTTCAGTCCAACACTCCTAATGCTACTCCGACTCATTCGGAACAGTCATTGTACGAAGAAGCACTCGATTCTGCACGGACTCCTCAGTACACCGTTGATGATGCGATCTCACTTCTAACCTGTGAATCAGTCAAAGACCGTGCATTTGATATCATGGTCGCTATAGCCAGCAAGGCCGGGCAAATGTCTGCTATAGATGATGACTTGACAGACCGGTGGATTCGCGTAGCGCTCTTGGATCTCATCCGAGTTTCCGTGGTCTACCTGGATTATTCGACGGAGATCGTTCAGTCCGTTTTAGCAATCCTCACCGGGTCTCGTCCTGACTCTAAGTGGTACTCGGAACTCTGTCTGACACCTGCAAGCGATCCTAGATGTCTCTTTTTGAAGGACCCTATCTTGATGGACTCCATATTCCGCGTGGCACGGTCCCGATTCCCATATGAAACAACACCATTCTTGAAGCTCTGCCGCGCTCTTATTTGCAAGGACACGGTCAATGAAGATGGCCTCCCAGTGATAGTCGATGAGCTAGAGAACATGGACACGTATACACAGGTGGTGTCGTCCGACTTTCAAGGGTATGAAACTATCCGGGAAGATGAAAATGCAAATTTTGTCTCTCTTCTCCAGCCGCTTCCGATGTTCGAATCCAGCACAAAGCTGCTGTCCGATTACGAAGCCAGCAGTGCCTTAGTCGTCACAGGGGCATCCCAAATACCGCCTGCCACCATAGGCCAGGTTGTGTCCGAATCGCGTCCGGCCGTAATAATGTGGCAACACCAATATTCTTGTTTGAGTTATCTAGGAAGCCGGTTAGAAGAGTTGAGTGAAGCTAAAGCACTACCGGAATGGGATGAGGATTCCGCTGCGGATATTATAATGCTACTTGCTGATATTATTGCTCCAATTGAAGGCGGAACAAGGCATAGCAACGTTGGGTCCGGTGGAAAGAAAGAACTGGAGATTGTGAGCGACGGCCTTCATCGACAGAACGACATTATTTCCGTTATATACGACATATTTGAGCGAAACCTTCAGAATGTCGGCTCGAGGGCCGGCGAGGGAACCTTTGGTTCGACGATTGCCTGCCTGCAGTTCATCCGCAATCTCACTGCGGTTTTACCGAACAGGGTATGGCCTTTGCTCGCACGAAGTGCCCTGCTTGGATCCGATGGAACAGGCAGCGCCATGACCGCGATTGTCTCTGCATTGGAGGTTGCTTCAGGAGACTATCAATTTCTCCTTAGCTGCATTGGCTTGTTCCAAGCTGTTGTTGAAGATGCTGCTTCACATGCGGCGATGAGGAAAAATCCGAACAGCGTCACGACCAAGTCGGTTGCTGTGTCCGACTGGAGCGCCGGCGTTCCTGCTCATGTTATGCGGAATATCTTGCTCAACTTCGTCCGGACAATGGTTGACATTTACAACAGCAACGTAAATTGGAGGTTCAATGACCCTGGACAAAGATTTAGAATAAACACTACGCTTGCGACGACATTTGAAAGGATTCTTTATTACGCTTACGGCGCAAACAACACCACTAACTTGGATGCAAAGGTAACGGGGGTTTTCTCGTCCTCCGCGCAATACCTAACGGATGTCCTGCGACCTCGCTCCACGGATGACCTACCTTTTAATCCAATCATCCGGCTCGTTGTGGATGGTCTGCAAACTCCCTCTACTCTATACCTCAGGTACCTCACGCTTATGACAAGGCAAGTGAAGTCGACCTTGAAGCTTTCGATTAAACTGGTGCAGGTAGCGCAGCTTATGGAGTATCCGGTCTCGCTACTAGAAGATCAATTGTTTAAGGCTACTCCAGTTCTCACCAAGTTATATGCCATGTACGATGAGTATCGGTTGCCTGTAGTATCACTTTTGGATATTCTGGTTTCAAGTGCAGCTTCAGATACGGCGAAAGAGCCACCATCGCTGGTCGGCCATCTCGGTGCCGAATCATCTTGTCTGTTCCTCGATTTGCTAGCCCAGTTCGACAAGCCATTCAATAACCGACCACTGCTACTTGCTATATGGCAATTAGTATCGACCTTTGTCAGCAAGCGCCAGCAATGGCTTGCCGTGTATATCCTGACGGGATCGTCTCCTCGACAGTCATTGAAGAAGGCCGGCTCAGAGAAAGCCCCGGAAATGAGAGGTGTCGCATTCTTGCAGACGGCGCTTGATACTCTCTCACACATGGAACAGGTTGAACCGCAAGTCGCACTGGCTATGCTTCAATTTATCTCTCATTCGCAGGAGCACTGGCCATGGGCCACTCCGGAATTGAGGAAGCACCCTAATTTTCTTAATGGTGTCATAAGTCATGTGTCCAAGATGAAGATAGCAACTCTGCCTGTGATGGACCAGATATTCGCGACGCGGACCGCAGCGGTCGTTGCAGATCTTTGCGCTGTCTATTTGCACTATGCCAAAGAGGCACACGATAAGTCTTTTTCCAAGATGCTTATCCCATTGGTGTTCTGGTATGCCAAGGACGCAGTTGAAGTATCTGGTTATAATGCATCTCTGCACGCTAATCTGAAGAAAAATTTTGAAATGAGATACTCAGGATGCAAGCTAGCTGACTTCAAGAGGACGTCACTTGAGCCTCGCTCGCTGGGGCCCAATTACTATTACGATATCGGCTTGGGCGGGAAACTGCTTTCGTATGATTTTGCCTGGGCCGGAAACCGAAGTCAAGGGTTTGCAGAGGAGTTCGAACGAGCAAATATTAACTTGTCTCTTGTCGAAGCGCAAGTGGTATGTATTGCATTAAATCTGATGAGTCTACGGTATCTGACATCCTGCAGAGCCTTCTTCATAGTTGGAAATTCTTCGCCATAGAGCACTGCGCGGATTTCATGGCGGATCGTGAAATCCAAAAGTCGATGGCTTCGGTAGTACGGCAATGCCTGGTTGCAAATACTCGAGGTGTTCCGCAAGAAGCGATTTTCGAGAGGATACAGCAGGTTCGACTGGATTTTGCTCGGGCATTACTCCAGCGCCTTGTGGAGATTGGAGCAAAGGGCGCCGAAGTCTTCGGTCTGCTTGGGGCCGTGTGGGAAGCGATGCTCGCTCGCCACTCTTCATATGAAGATGCCCTTGTCAATGACGATACAGAATACTACCGGTCTCTTCTAAACGTACTCTTCCTTGCTCTGCAGTTCCACGTCAATACGCCATCACGCGCGGCCCCTGAGGTTGTCACCAAGAAAGCAGAAGTTTCATCAGACCTGAACCAGGTGACTGAGGTGGTGAAGACAGTTGTGGCACAGGGATTTAAGTCACTGACAACTTACCTTCATGACCAACCGCACAAATGCACGCCAAAGGACTTCGCCATCGTGACGGCGATTCTCCAGAGCTGCCTTCAGGTAAAGAATGTGGACCGGATATTCGGGCACATGGCATTCCACATTGAAGACAACGATGCGGCTAGATACGCAGCGACGCTATTTTCATGGTCTGATCAGCTTGCCATTGATGGAGACCCTGTATACGGTGAGCTGAGTATTTCTTTCCTGGTGAAGCTCTCATCACTGCCCACACTTGCGGAGTACCTTGCAGTGGAAGCGATTTTGGCGCAGCTCTCCACATGCCGCTTGACGAACATCCTATGCCAGCAGCCAAAAGGATTTGGGCCATTCGACACCACGCCTAGGTTGTACTCTATCTGGACCACGGGCTTTTTACCCTTATGTATGAACCTTCTCTACCACGTCATTCGAACTGCGCCCGAGGTAGCTGCCTTCCTCAATCAATTTGAAGGACAACTTGCTCGGGCCTCTAGTTCTTTTGCGGCTACCAGCCGCGTAACCCTTGGGCCCGGTGCAGCAGTCAGCCAGCAGATCAGTCTCGGTATGGCATCAGAGGCATATTCTCTGGCATTGATATCCTTCATATTGGACCGGTTGCGAGAAGCGGGACCCAGCGCGGGTGTGGATGGCAATTCCATCCAGGAACTCAAGTGGGACAAGACCCAGGTCAAAGAAGACATCGAGGCGTTACTGGAACGACGATCAGCGCTGCGGGCAAGAATCGTGGCGACGAGCGATAAGGAGGCGGAAATGGCCACACAAAAGCCCGTGCAGGCATCGTCTGGAGCGGAGAATCGGCTTGAGGAGAAGCTGGTCGGACAACTGAGAGCAGCATTGACCTGTCTGGGTGGAGAGGAGGCATGATCACGACGGTGTTGAGAGGGTTACTTGATATCATAGCGCAGTTTGATGTGAATGCATGGTGCATATAAACGATGGAGTTCCTTTCCCGTATAGAGTAGCAGTAGGGATGCTCTGATGTGGGCTGCTTCATCCACCTTCATCTATCTTACATCACACGTATATTACTGCTTAGTGCTGGTTGGATTTTTCGAGATTTCGGGACCCACCGCACGTCGCTATTAAAATAAGCGGAATCGTCGAAGATAAACCAGATCGACGCGCTGGAGATCGTGAAACTTAAGTAATCACGTTTACGGTCACATGAAACGCTTGTACCGTACGGTATTCGCGCGAGCGTACCTAGTAATACCTGTATGTTTATGATACCTGAATACCTCAAGGCCAGACTCACCTCAGTTCTTCCATCCTGGCCTCGAAAGATCTGTAGGATATATACAGCAGTTGATCAGATGCAGCATGCAGATCGACAGGAACAATCAGCCAATACCGCATACAGTATAGTATATACTCCGTACTAACGTCAGGATCCATGCTTAGTAACTAATAATGCACAGGAAAGTGGCGTGAGATCTGGACAGCTGAAAGGAAATCTCAGATCCAGAAGCGAAGCCCGGCGGAACCACTTACATCCGGTTTTTGGGGGGGGAGGGGATCTGATCATTCATTGCAAGCCTCCTGGATGGGGAATCTCTGCATGCGTGGCTCAGCTGGGATTGTTTAAGGACCATCATGGTGATGGGGAATTCGAATCACCTTCCCTTTCTTTCTCCTTCCCACACACGCCTAATCTTCACACATACACGCATATCACATATCACATAGTACATCTCCCCTCCGGTTCTCGTTTCTTCTGCTGCTCCCCGCATTTATTAGTCAAGATGATTGATTGATTGCCTGTACTATGCGGCATTGTTACGCTGTTTTATTTATTGTTGGCTAAACTTATTAGCTATTTGCATGATGCCTTTCCCGTCTCGGGGTTATTTTTCGGGTGGTCTGGCGCATTGCTATTAACTATACCTTAGGTAGATAGTTATTATTTACCTATCTTTTTGCCTCCCCGGTGCCCAAACTTTGGCTGTTTATTTTTTATTTAATTTTCTGTTTGTTTTTTTTTTTTTTTTTTTTAAATTATTTTTGTTTGCCTCTTCGTCCTTGGTAATGCATTAGAAATATATATATATATATTTCTCTACGTACGCCGGTTGGGTCTTTTCTTTTCTACGGGGTATACATAGACCTACCATATCTTCTATGCTCGACACTCCCACAAGACTTCCTTTTTAATTCGTTGATCGCCTGCGTCGCATCTATACCTTTATATTAGTCCTACTAGTTGCATTTAAAGTTGACCTGCCACACGAACTCTACAAAGTACAACTCCGGATCACCTGTTCCTCGCGGATGACGAGCGGCGCCTAGTGATAACTTCATTCACGACAAGCATCCCACAAAACCGCGTTATGGGCTTGGAGAACAGAAGTCATCTGCATCCGGCCGTCTCCTCCGGCCGTTTCGATCTCCAGTCATTTAGCATTTGGATCTTGTATCCCATTCTTGGCGTCTGGGCCTCGTTATTGCTGTTGTTCCTGATACAGCGAATAAGACGTCGACGCTGCACACGCCGTGGTGGCCTCTTTCATGCACCTGTTCCATTTCTGAGCAGAAAGGAACGTCCCATGGACTCCGAGTCATTTCCGGAGAAACCACCCCTAAGAACGTCCAGCGATTACCACGACGATGATCCTGGCAGCGGTGATGCTGACCAACTCACAAAAGCCACTTCCGACTCCAGTTCCGATTCCAGGGGAGCCTGTACCCTCCCTCCAGCATGTGGCATTCTGAAGCCATTGTCCGATTCGATTCTGCTGCCCAGTAGCGGTTATGTCGCTGCACTAAAAGGTCAGCGGAGTATGGGCGAAATAATGCATCCAGCGCGTTTTCAAGCGCAAGGACCGTCAGCCGGTCGCTGGCATGTGCCATCTGAGCCGCAGGAGAAGATCACGGTCCTGTACTCTGAAAGAACGTCCTTTTCTTGTCAAAAAGTTACTCCACCTGGGACCCAAGGGGGTCGTCATGATTCTCTTTCAGAGTCGGTCAACAATGGCCCCAACGAAGAGGGACTCGGGGAGCCGATGGCATCACCGGCTGCGCTCTTCGGACAGGGCCGTCCAGGGACTGCGACCGACGAGACGGGGTTGTCGTCGAGCCAGCCGGTTCAGATAAGGAGTCAGACGCAACAAGTCCTTCGGGGTGTGGATGCGGAAGGGGCCCGAACGTGGAAGAGGCTGATCATCGAGTACCATTAGCTGTTGGTTTTGGGGTCGATTAGTTCTTGTTGCTCTCAACGATGCTTCTTGGTTTGTTCTGAACGATGCGGCGCTGCTGCTCATGGTCTGGCATTTTCTCATCTATCTCGAGGCGCATTTGAACGGTATGTGGGACGGACGGGTAGAGGGAGGGCATGTTTTTGATGTATTCCTGTTGCTTCATGACTTGACGAAATGATAATCATCTCATCCTCTCTATGGATCTCCAGCTGAACCCTCTGTGCAGTACTGTAATCATGTCGTATCGTACTATACCATACTATACCACACTATGCCGAAGGTGGTCTAGTCGGATCTGCCCATCCGTAGCACGTGCCGGGACTGCTGTCATCATCGGCAGCTTCAACTTGCTCCAGCAAGCCCGTCCACGAGCTTCTCCAGAAAGCAACCAAGCGCATCTACAACCGGCGCTCTCAACAGAACAAAGTAATCCCTCAAAATGACGCTTACCTTTTTCCCCGGCTCATCGTCCACCGACATTAATCCCAACGACCCCTCCTCCCCCGACCTCGCCGTCTTGAGTTTATCCCGATTGCTCACAAGGCTGGAATACAATTTGCTTTCCCCATCTGCCGATTTGAAACAGTTACGACGATCTGAGTATCAGCGCATGAGAGTCGGTGGGGTACGCTGCTTTTTATTTCCTCGAATAAACTGCACCTGAAAGCATACTCATGATGATTAATATGAAAATGCGTAGAACATCGAATATGCGCGCTCTCTCCTCTTGGGTCTTGAGCGTAATCTAGCGCGAATCAAGCCGGCTGATCGTCGCCATGAGATCCAGACCGAATTGGCCAAGAAGAGACAGGATCTTAACGTGCTCCGGAGAAGGCTGGATGATATCGCTGCCGACGCCGAGTTGAAACGGAGATTAACGGCTGCGAAGAGAGAGTCTGCTCGCGACATCAGTTCCGTGGAGGCGGCAGAGGTAGAGGACGAGTCTTCTGAGGAGGAAGATGAGGAAGACCTCCTTGGGACTCCGGAGGAATCGGAGAGCCCTTCAGATGCCGGTGTGGACGTCTCTACCGAGAAGATGGGAAACGATATTGAACAGGAGGTGAAGCGTGAATTGCCAGATGAAGAGGGAGACAAAGTTGAACCAACCCAGACGACTGTTCCTACTACTACAAATATACCCATTCCTACGCCTACACCTACGACAACGACAACCTCAATACTCCGAAACCGCCATCATCCTACTCCATTGACCGCTGTCGACACGAAATATATCCCAACACCAGCTGTAGAATCGGCGACAGGAAAAGTCCAAGGCACAGAACAGGCTCTCGCAACCCACCGTCTCGAACAAGAATCCCTCACCGACTCCCTTCTGACTCTGGCCGCTCAGCTTAAAACATCCACACAAACCTTCCACTCCACCCTTGAAAGCGAGAAATCCATCCTTGACCGAGCTGTGGATGGGCTCGACCGTACGACGTCTTCAATGGCCTCCGCCGAGCGTAGAATGGGCATGCTTCGACGCATGACAGAAGGAAAGGGGTGGTGGGGGAGAATGATGCTTTATGCATGGATCTTCGGGTTGTGGCTTGTTGCCTTGGGTATTGTTTTTCTAGGGCCGAAGATTAGGTAGTGCTACTTCGCATGATGAAGCCATCATCCTGGACACATACAACATTAGGGGGTTGCAACTACGCAGAGCAAATTCAGGGTAATACTGACTAATATTAATTGATCAAGATCTAAGAGAATATGAATGAGTTATCTAGATCAATAGGTCTTAAAGTGCTTATCTTCTCAGTGAAGTATACGGAGTATATTCGCAGATATATATAACCACGAGATATAACTCTTGATTTCTGTTCCAAAATGCGTTATCTCCCGAAGTTGTTGCCAAATTTGGCTCCCATGTCATACTGAGCGAGGCGAAGAACATGATGTTTGTCCTAAACTCCTCTCCCAGCGCCATTGCAGCGACATCAGGGTTAGCTTCGATGGCGTTTCACATATACTTAGCCACCGCAGGCAGTCTCCGGACGAGTTGGGCAGCAATAGTCGTGAAGAAAAGCCCGGCAGTACCGCGATCGGATCCATTTCTCCTAAAGAAGCTGGCCGCCAGACGATCCCGGGCGATAAGGCCACGGGCCACGGTACGAGCGATTGTTGACTTGCCGGTGCCGGCCTTTCCTTGAAACCAGGATATATGCTTGCGAGTGATTACCATAGATTGATGTTCTCGAGCAGCTCACGGCGCGTGTCTTTGAGGCCAGTCGCGACGTGTTCATTCGCATGGGGAGTGAACGCGGGGCCCTCCACAGTGCGTAGCTTGCAGATGACAAACTTCTGGTTGCCGATTAGTGTGGGGGGATAGTTCTTTCTCGGTTAACCGGCGCGTCTGGAATTAGAATTAATTGACGTACGGTCTGAGCCTACGCAGCTGCGGTTGGCGCATGGGTAGGTGAAGCCTACCCATTTGCGGGTTATGCCGCAGACTAGTCACCAGTGAAGACTTGGGGATGAGTTTGTGTAAAAGACACCAGGGTACATGGTATTAGAACTCCAGATCACTAAAGACTATTCGCATCATGGCGCCCTCCAACGGCAAGGGATCGAGAATCTTCTCAATATATGCCGGCCAGTCATCGATCCACTGCAATAAGGGGAAAACATGAGCGTATTCCCAGTACGAAGGATACCATCCAGCCATTTCCCAGTCCACAAGAGCAGCTACTTCGTACTCTTCTTCATTCGTGACAGAATTGACGACCTTTCTGACGAGGACATTCTCTCTGTAGAGATCTCCGTGGGTAAACGTAGGTGGATGATTGCGAAGTGCTGATGGGAGGTGACGAGCAAGATAGTCGGAGAGAAAGCTGTGACGATTTGTTTCGCTCCACATAGTCTTTGAGCGAAGTGCAATGGCTTTTCCGAATTCCTCTTCCGTCTGGAAGGGGCCGGTAACGGCGGTGTCTTTCTCACGAGAAAAGAAATACCTATGCGGAACGGGTCCTCGGTTGACACTGCCGTAAAATCCGGGCGATGGCAGAGCTCTCATTTGATCGAAGATGCATCGCAATTGTCCAACAATCGAATGTTTATTTGCCTCAGTGAGCGAAGGCCACACCATCCCTAGAGAGACTCCGGGAACGTATCCCATGACGATATACAGGGTGTCCTGATCGCGATACATGGCGTAGAGTAGTGGCGCTGCGATGTTGAGCTGTTCTTCAACAAAAAGTAGAGCATATCCTTCGTTTTCGGTCACAAGCGGGCCATATTTCACAACATATTTGTCTCTGATTACGACCAGGCGCCCACCATAGTCTGATCTCTTGGGAAGGGTTCTTGTTGCCCGTTCGATCTCATTCTGATCAGGAAGAGGTCCTGGTAATTGGCGAGCATCCCGATAATAAGGAAGGGAGAACGTCATAGTTGGAGGGGCGACTTCTCACTGAAGAGTACAGTTGATCGCAAGTTAAGAACGCGGCCCACAGTCCATAGTGTTCATGTCGGAGCACACAGATGTTCCCACGACTCTAGGTAGACCTCGCCATATTGCTTTTTGGGGGTACCTACCCAGAAACCCGCCAATCATCACGGAGCTCTGCAAGATACCTGCTGCTCGAGAGGAATTTCACTTGGGCGATGGAATCCGGTTCGACAACCATGCTAACGCCCTCGATGCGGTTGACGTTGACCAGTGTCAAACGGATAAACCGTCGAGTTCCCGACGTTCTCAACCAGATCAATATTGTATTCACCGTGTCAATGGCAATAATAGTACGATTATCATGACAGTTGAGTACAGACCGCCCCATAAACTATCCGTGGAGAATCTTCAAGCGGGTTTGCGACCGATGCAGTTCTGGGATGAAGTGGTCAGACTGGACTCTGTTCCCACAGAGGGGCCTGAGAAACTGAGATATAATGCAGCCTGGCTAACCGGCTCGGCTGTGGTTCAGGAGTATCATGTCATGCTCCAGGAAGGGCTCGAATACTCATATCTGACTAATGGATTTGCATTGGTTTTGCTGTGGGTCCCCTATGATAATCTGGGCACCTTATAACTACTACCATCTCTGTGAACCCAACATGGAAGTTAACCCGGATGATGAACTGGATTCTCTACAACAGCCGCTAACAGCGGTTGCTCAGGTATTGTGCTTATGCCTTATGAGTTTCTGCTCACAATATCGTGGCCAGGAATGGCGGAATGCCACAAAGACGCTGCCAGAGTGGAAGACAAGTTTTGATCATACACGTTCCCAGATCCCGGAATCGGAATTGCAACAAAACCCACCAGGCTCAGAATATACAGCATCGGAGTACACGAGCTCCGAACATACTACATCAGAATATGTACCCTCGAGCTAGCTGCGCGCCGCCGAATTTGACATCACGTGATGATTCTGATTCTGACGCAGATCAAGCTCAAGGAGGAAGGAAGCGTGGTTTCAGTCAGGTTACATCATTTACTTCATCTCCATCTGTTCAACGATCAGCACGTCTGGCGGGATCTTGATATACTCTGAGCGGCAGCCAAGGTCAGCAGCATACTGCACAGTTTTGCACCCAGAAACGTCTATGTAGCCTGCAACAAGGTGGTCAGCTGGATGATAATTGCCCAAACGTCATGCTCCACCGACAGGGAGGGAACAGCAGCCAACACCCCATCAATGCTAAAACACTGATCAAGCAACCCAAACAGCAACTAGATGAAAATATCGACTGAGACTGCACACCTCTGGGGGGTTGTGGCGCATCGGGAGTCCCATTTAAAGTCACTTGTACGGCATATGGATATACTATGGTCGGTAAAGGAACGACTTCCCGACGGTGGGAGGAGGTCAAACGTGAGGAAGTCGTATACCGTGTACTTGACCAAGCACAGGGATCTGCTGTTCCTGTTTTCCTGGGGCCAATCGATTTGGCCAAACCCTACTTCGTACATGGAGCTGGCGAGATCCGCCACATGCTTATCATGGCCTGGGGGGTGAGCCTATACCTCAGATTGAGCGTGATAAGAGGACACGTGAGATTGCGAGGTCTGAGAAGGAGATCCTTTCCCTAGGAGTCTTGCACGGGGACCTCCGACTGGCCAATATTCTGTGGAATGCTGAGCTGGGACGGGCCCTGATCATTGACTTTCACTGCTCGCAACTGAATTACCGACCGATGAAAAGGCGGGCGGAGTCATGTGGGAAGCATCTGTGTAGAGGAGAATTGCACAGGCGAAAACGACTTTATATCGTCTAATAATGAAGGTAAGAGGAATTGCAAGAGGAATTGCACGCGTGTGCATAAATGAGTAATATGGGCAGTAATATAATAATTAATTGAAAATTTCTCAGGTAAATGTAGGATCGTCGTTCATACAGTAGCTCCTCCATAACTTGAGGTCCTTCACGAACAGTCTGTCAGATTGTCATCGGCAAAAGTAATGTAGAGGGTCTCCAAATATCAAATGGTTAAAAGACATATGACAAAAAAGTCCTTTCAAAGTCAAAGTCGGGATGCATCTTTTTGATAACCTGAGGACCAGAACAGAATCCCACAACGGACCGATAGACTGAACAAAAGGATGACTGTTCAAAAGCAGTGGGGCTTTGAAAAATATTATGGAGAGTTAAAAAATTATGGGGATCCAAGAAAAGAAGTTGCAAGGTGATACACAGGAGCAATACTCTGCAAGCTAAGCATGAAAAGAAGTCCGGAGATGGGTCCGCAGGCCAACACGGGCGGTGATTACCAGACGGCGTATCGGGCGACCATGCTGGAGACGGCAAGACTAACCACAAAAGGGAATTCACAGATGCTCATTTTACAGGATAAAAACAGGAGATTCACCGACAGTAAACCCACACAAAATACCAACCAATGCTAAATTATCCGAGGTGCTCCACGATCTCCGTCACAACGCTACCATCCTTGACATAGCTCTTGATCTGTTCCGGTATGGGGCACTCCTTGGTATCTTCGTCCGTGCCCTCTTTGGGAGGGAGCATGAGGTTAACGCTTGTGCACTTACTTGAGAAAACCTCTGTGCCCAAGCTTTCCAGGCCCAGGTAAATCGTGGCACCGTCAACTTGATCAAGGAGAACAGTTGGGACTACACCGTCGATCTGAAGGGCAAACTTGGGGCACTTGATAACTTCCAGGCTGCTGACGAGTGAGTCAACGATGATAGAAAGTCCCGCACAGTTGTCGATTGAGATAGCATTAGCTTTGTTTGAGACTTTGATAACGGTCTTGTTACATCGGCTGATGAGAATCGACTGGTTCTGTTGAGCGGAGATTTCGACAATCTCTCCCGGATTGTCGAAGTTTTCAACAAGCCACTTGTTGCCTTCGAGGTCCTTGCGTGGCGGCTTGCGGCCTCGCATACTCTCTGGCTTTGGCTTCTTGCTTGGGGCCGGCGATTTACCGCGAGACTTGACATGCTCATCTGGTACGGTAGAACCTGCACGGAGACTGGGATTCTTGTGTGTCATTTGAGACTTGTCAACCTTTCGGAGTCCAGCGGTGATCGCATCCCCCTGGTTTAACTGCTCAAAGACCGCAGACATATCTGGGGCAGTCGCAGTCGCAGCTGGCGCTGGGATAACACCTGGAGGTGGTGGAGGCGGCGGCGGCGGAGGCGCTCCTCCTCCAGAAACATTGAGAGTTGGCACCGGGGGAGGAGGGGGAGGTGGCGGCGGCACCCCTTTGGCAGAGCTAGGTGTAGAGCCCGTCTTGACTTGCCCTAGGGCTTCCAGGGCATCAATGCCACTTGGGTCATTCCAGGTCAAACCCTTCGGGTAGTGTTTCCTTAGGTATGTGGCAAGAGACTTGAAGATCTGGTAGTAAGCTTGTATGTATTCAACATGCGTACGATCTCTGCTGAGTGGTCAGCTCCCTGAAATCAATTCCTCGTAGAAACGCAATCTACTCACTTGTCTTTGTATTCTTTCAGAACCTTGTTGCCGTAGTATTCAACACCAGCCAGAATCTCGGACACAAAGTCGGCTGGCTTAGTCTCGAAAAACCAACCCAAAGCGACAATGCCCTCCGCGACAGCGCTCAGATGGTTGAAGAGCGGAGACGGCCTGTTAGATTCCCGGAGGTTGTTGATGGTATCGGAAGCCTTATGCAGATCGACCATAAGTTCGGGGGGAAGGGTTTGCGGCTTCTTCGCCTTGGTTGAGACATAGAGGTAGACCCGTTCGGCTTCGAACGCTTGTAGGACTGCCTTAGACTGTACACACAGTCAGCTACTATTGGAGATCCAAGCTTCACTTTACCGGTCAGAGAGGACTTACCTGATCTGTAACCAGGCCACCAATCTTCCCACCTAGATCCACAAAGTTCTGTACTTCCCCCTTGATCAATGCATCGAAATCCTCTATTTGCGGAGGCACTGAAGGGACCGCAGGCGCCAGGGGAGTTTCGGGTTTGGGCGGCTCAGGAGCAGGTATCGTCGGAGTAGGTACAGCAGCAGTACCACCACGATTTGAGGAACTGGCATCTTCAAAAGTCATAGCCATATCCTCCAAACGTGAGGTAGCGGCCTCCAACCTGTAAATGCGTATCCATTTGTCAGATCGATTGCCAAAGGGCACACTTGCCACGATTCGGTGACGCAAAGGAAGAAGGAAAATGAAATTGAATAGATTTAAGTTTGCAATAGAGCCTCAATAACACATAGGGAAAACCTACCGCTTGATAAGCGTGGTTAGATTGTGCATATGGTTTGTGTTTGCCATCTTGGGAATCTCAGCGCGATAGTAAGCTCGAGGACACGTTACTGGCTATATAGCTCATGAAAGAAGCCAGGCAGCAAAGTTTGCGAAGTGGATATTTGAAGAGAACAATATGCAACACTAGTACTTCTCGTGCGACTTTCCAGGGACTCCTGGCTCAATGCAGCTCACCGTCTTGCACTGAGGTGGGTGTTGGCAGGAAGCTGATGCTCGATACTCCTGAGGTTGGCGAGATCCATGGGAGCTCCGTATTTGTATTACCGTAGCTTACGCCACATGGCCCGTATCCCCTCATTGCCTTTCGTATTATCAGGTATTCAAAATTACATTATCATTATCTATCGCTTGAATAAGACGTCGAGTATCTTTCTGCTCCTCAGATATACTCACTAAATGCCCTCCTGTAGTATTCTCATACCTTCTTCAGCATGACTGAGGCTATAGCTTATGGAGAGGCTTCTGATGGCCTTCTTGACTTCTTCACTTTTGCAATGTTCATCCTCGGTATGGGGCCTGCTGAGCAGACGGTTGCTTTTCCTTTGTAAATACTTACCATGCTCGGTCTATACAGATGATATTGACTTCGGGGACTCAAGACCTAGCGTGAAGAATGCTCTTGGGGGAGCGGCGTCATTTGCAGCTGTTGGCGCACGCTTGGTCGCTGGAAGAACGCATGCACGCTCGGTGAGTTGGATTGTTGATGTCGGCTCCGACTTCCCTCCAGAGGTCCTAGACGTCATCAAGTCATGGAACACGAATTGTGTAATTCGGGAAGACAAGACGAGATTGACTACTAGAGCGTGGAATGGCTACGGCTTGAATGAGAAGCGAGGTTGGTACCTCTCGTGAGGTCGATTAGGATGCAGATTGGATAACAAATATTTTAGATTTTAAATATCTAACCCCGAAATTACGACTTGAACCTTACATGCTCTCCGAGGCCCAGGTATTTGCGAGGACATTCCATATGGTCTGTTCTGCTACCCGATGCATTTTCATCGTCCAGGAAATATTAAAAATACGTGGTGAACTTAAGCGAGAAGGCAAATATCCCAAGTCAGAGCCTGTTCCCGAACGGCCATTCTTCATTTGGGAGCCTGTGCCCGACCTCTGCACTCCAGAAGAACAGGAGAATTTCTTCGCAGCCAGCCGTCTCGTAGATGTGGTGAGCCCTAACGAATTAGAGCTGGGCATGATGTTCGGTCGGCCCGGTTGGAATGAGGGCAACCAAGACGACAGGGATCTGGTCCAGAGAATCTTGAGGTCGGGTATTGGTCCTGAAGGAGAAGGTGTTCTAGCCATCAGAGCTGGAAAGGATGGAAGCTACTCGTACACGCGAACGCAAAGAATATGGCTGCCTGCTTATCATGAACCGGACCCTTCGAAAGCTTCACCAGTGACAGATCCCACGGGTGCAGGAAATTCATTTCTTGGAGCTCTGGCGCAAGGCATGGTGAACGCCAATAGGGAGCCTGGAAAAGTCATCGAATCTACGCTGGGAGCATCAGAAAACTGGAGAAAGTCGATGGATTCCTGGGGTAAATATAAATATATTCCCATGGCACTGATCTTCGCCACTGTTGCCGCAGGCTTTGTGGTGGAACAGATAGGCGTGCCCCAGGTATCAGTGTCTAAGGATGGAAAGGAGCTTTGGAATGGAACTGGATTCACGGAACGGGTCCGCCTGTACACACAAAGACTGTATAAGACACTGGAAGAGTCACCCCAGAGAATCAATGGCTCGATCGATTGAAAACGCTCCTCTATCTGTCATGCCGTCCACGGTAATGTCAAACAACAAGCAAAGAAGCGAAAAACAATATAAAGAAGAGATTGCTGTTGTTCTCGATCGCTTCCACTGTTCCCCTTGACCACCACACTCCATTGTTTCATGACTCGTTCTTTGCGGCTTGTTGCTTCTCGTATTCGATGATCTGCCTGCTCCAGCTAGATTGAGAACCCCCAAATCAGTACGAAATGCTAGCAAATAGGTCGAACTGGTAGAATAGCAAACTAACTATCGGCTCGGGAAGAATCTGCCGGGCTCTGGCATCTTATCACGATGTTCGCGTTCAGCGCTGAGGCTCCACGTCGCTGCAGCGATCCCGATGATGCAAGCGCCCGCAATCACTGTATTCGCTCTCCAGTTCGCAGGTTGGCAATACCAGCCTCCAGCCGGAGACCAAACTTCCTTGGGGTATCTGAGTAGGTTGCAAATCAATTAGCATTCATTGGATCAATGGACAACAGGGAGCGCCGTATTTGACCGGTAGCACATACGGGATCTTGCCACCTCCACCCATCTTGTTAGAAACAAAAGGACACGGAGCTAAACTGGGGTGATTAACAGAAGGGAAGCAATGGATGCTAGAAGGGCGTCGTTCAAGCTGGTTGAGGCCGAAGCGGCAGTATCGACGTCTCTCCATCGATGCGCGGCGGCGCTAGTTCCAAAAGGGGCTTAGCGCAATTCTCACACGACCTGGTCCGAGACTCGTGACTTCCGTCGACATTTTTCTCCAGCGGACTGAAGTTCGTCGCCGCCGATAGACTGGTTCGGTTCATCCCAGGCGCGCTGGCATTCGGAATTGCTCTCTGTCTTCCTCTTTCTTACCCGCCCCTTCCTCACTGCCGAATCTAGGGCTTCTCTACTGTACGGTTGACCAAATGAAAAGACTGCAGCTCCTCCGAAGGAGCAGTTCGGTCCTGTCGCCGCAGGTCCGGACCGGTACTGGGCTACAGAAACATATCTACGCTAGTTTACGGTGGCAGTCGTCCGCCTCGCCTGCTGTTGAAGAACAAGATGACCAATTGACTCAAAAGCAATCGCCTGTTCCACCGCCTCCTTTTCTCAGTCCACGGGAACAGAGACTACGACTTCCGTCTCCGCCTGTTTCGGCCGCACGCGAGTCGGCAAAACTTGCAGCGTTGCATGCTCGACTTTACCTTCCCTCACGATTGCCTCTCGAAACACTCGCAAGAACTCTGGTGGATGCATCCGCGGATAGCAATCCCAATTTCAATAACGAATCTTTGGCCACGCTTGGTCAGGATCTCCTGACCTACTATGCCTCCGAACACCTTATCTGTACATACCCTCGACTGCCCATGACCGTTATATTTGCAGCAATGTATGCGTATGTTGGGCCTAAAACACTAGCGGCAATGACGAGGGAATGGGGCGTGGAACTTGCTGCTACTCCTGGCGGAGAGGTGGACCCGGGCTTCCTTCAGTTCAAAAGAGTTCTCCCCGGTACCGAATTGAACACGGGAGAAGAGGAAGAAGTCAGAACAACGAGGCCTAGTAATTATCAGAGCTCGTGGAGGAAGGGGCTGACCTCTAGAATTGTGTACGACGATGAATTCGGCGAACCTGTCAAGGCCCCTACGAAGCCATCTTCGCCTGCGGACGCCGCGAATACCCCTGGTGTGACTGCTGAACAAGCCAGCGCCACTTTCATTCGGGCTGTTATGGGTGCCATTTATCTCCACGCTGGCCGCCCTGCTGCCAAACGCTTCTTCGAACAACATATTCTTTCCCGGCACCTAAATATCTCGGAACTATTCAACTTCTCCCAGCCCGCTCGTGATCTGAGCCGATTGTGCGCCAGGGAGGGCTTTGAGCGCCCTGTCGCAAAGATAATCAGCGAGACCGGTCGGAAGAGCAGGCACCCTGTCTTTGTTGTTGGTATATACTCTGGTGAGGATAAACTGGGAGAGGGCGCTGGCGCCAGTCTTATGGAGGCTCGAACCAGAGCTGCAGTGGCAGCGCTCAAGGGGTGGTACTTGTACAGCCCACTGACTGTGCGTGTGCCCAGCTCTATGGAGGAGAAAGGTGCAGCACCTTGGAAGCCTGTCTACGTGGATCTGGGCGAGGTGATTGTATGAGAAGAGGCTGGAGCGGAAATGACTCGAGAAAAGATGAACCCCTGTATCATTTGTCCACCACCTTTATTATATTTTCTATTTGGGAACATGTCTGGGCAACAAACGGACCGGACCTATGCCATTATTTGCTTACAAGGGCAAGTGCTGTACAGTATAAAGAATACATTGGATTTGTTTCACCACATGTTGTATCTCTGGTGGTTACTACCTGGCTAGTCTTTTTCTTTTACCAATCTTCCGGCCTGGGAGAGATCATCTGGACTATGTAGAATACTTGAATTCAGGATGGGTGTCTGAAATCTGAGCAACGGCAGCATCCCCTTTCGTAGGCCGCTGTTTCTTTCTGAATAGAATAGTAACACTTAGCACTTCATCAGCAAGCGTAGGCCGCAAAACTTTTGCTAGAGATGCGAAGTGTCTCCAGAACCGAAATAAATCGCCAACAACTCAAAACAAGAGCAAATTAATTGCTGGCAGAAAGAAAGGAACAATACCACCCTGGTATCATGAACGAATCTATCTATCTTCAAAAAAAGGCACATTAAATGAATTGAAAATGATCAAAGATGGAGTGAGGATATTCAAGGACCAAGGAACTCGATTTCCCAGTTCCCTTTACCTTTGCAGTCGTCCTCCTCCCTGTGGTCGTTAAGATACTCACCATATTCCTCCCAGAGCTCCAGCACCCCGACACCGAACAAGCCTACCCAGAAGCTCTCTTGATAACTGCGACCGCTCCCATCCGTATCGTTCTCTCCAGCATCTCCCGTCGTGACCCTTGTTGACTCTCCCACGTATCCCACTCTCAGCAGCCGATCGTTCAACATACCCACCGCACCTACGCCAACGCGAACATCCTCCAACCAAGCCAGAAAATACGCCGTGTGCTGATATCCCTGGTCCCAGTTCTCAGCCCTGTCCTTGGAGGAAGACGGTCGTTTCCAATGCGGTGGAGCTAGACCAGCCTTGAGACGGACAAAGTCGGCAATACCTTCGATTAAACCGCCGGGAGGATGTGGAATGTTGCTGTCCTTCTCGGAGTTCGCAGCATCTGTTTCGTCTCTATCGTCCGCCTCTAGTGCGCGGGGCGACGTGTGTTGGTAGCAATGGACTAGCTCGTGGGTGAGCACGCCAGCTAGCTCGCAAGCGGCGTCTGCGCGCGCCCGGATATAGGACAGTGAGAAGTGTATCTCTTTGTCATAGTCGGTGCCGGTGGTGTATGCGATACCGTCGAAGTCACGGAGGATGAGGGTCACGGAGCGTGTAGGGGGGATTGATGGGGAGAAGGAGGGGATTCTCGGACGGGGAACAGCGGAGGACAGAGCATCGCGGTCAGAATCAGTCGGTGAGGTATAAAGGTGTCGGATGATAGCTTGTAGGGCCGTCTCGAGCGTCAGCAGAGGGTTTGGGACCCGCGAAAGGAATGAGGTGCTTCCTGCATGGCGGAGATCGTCCAGGTGAAGTCGGAATTTGGGCTTCGGGACATGTGCGTGCACGTCTGCGGAGGTTGCCAGCGAGGAGAGAGGGGCCATAATGCGGTGAGGGACGCGATAATAATACTATGGAAAAATAGTACTATGGGGGGAAGTTCTTTAAATAGAAATGTCTACACTGGATACGGAGTAGCGACAGATAATGGTGAGGTCTGAAGTATGTACGATGAGGTTGCCTTGTCTGGCGGGAGGCTGGTCGACGGCCCTGCAGATGAGACTCAACGCACCCCTTGCGGTGACGGCAACCTTCCTGTCTCCGTCGAAGCTTGATTGAAGCTATCCTCGTCTGCCGGCGGCTCCGCCGTGTCTTGACAGAGGCCCGCTTGATTACCAATAAGCTTGTTTCGGTGCTCCACAGTGCTTGGTTGCTGCAGCTAGAAGCACGGAGTGCTTTTCTAGAAGAATTTCGCATGCTCCGTATGCTGTGCTGTCTCTTGTCTCCTGTCCGCTGCAGGCGATCGTGCTGAGGGTCGTCTGCGTACTGTTACTCTGGTAGACCACACGGGTACCTGAATGGATAACCATGGCTCTTTTTGTTTATCTACATGTACTGAATATGATAACTGAAGAGGAAGCAGGTCAATGCAGACGCAAGTCGGCAGCAGTGGATGGCACAGCGGCTTCTTCTGCAGTTGAAACAGGGGGGGAAGGCTTGTTCAATATGAGAATCATGTCCAAAAAATAGTGTCAATGGGATCATATTTCATTGAATCTACAACTACTTCACTTACCATATTCCATCTACACCCTTCTCCATCACCCGCCCCATCGGTGCATAGCGGCTCTGCACGGCCTGCAGCAACCGGTGGGGCACGTGCACTGTCGGAGGGCCCTGGAGGACTAGCCCAAAACAGCTAGTCCGACGGCTGTCAGCACGTTTCTTCCGTATTTGTCTATTTCCCGACACACGCAGCACGTCGTCACTGCATTGCAACACCACAAAACTCTGGTACCAGGCAGCAAGACCCGACAAACACCCTCCTCGATTAGGATATTCTGCTCGAAAGAAGAGTGATCGCCTCCTTCCTACTATAAAGCCAGCCTCACAATTTCTACCGACTTCTCAATCTCTCTTCCTTCCTCTCCCCCTCCTCACCATCGACAACAACAGTACGAACAACCTCCTTCCGTCTGCGTTTTACCAGCGCTCCTCCCTGTTTTCCATCGTTTTTGTCGTTTAGCAACGTCTTAAAACCCTTCTTGCCAAATTTTGGCTAAAATCTGCGAGTTCCCCTTCTGCTCCCTTCAGATCCGCTCCCACCTGCTACTCTCGTCCTCGAGACGCCCGCTTTTTTCTTCGCCTCCTCCTTGTTCCTTCCTCTTCCTCTCTGCTCTCGTACATGAGCAATGCATAAACCATCGTCACTTGTGTCCAAGAGTACAAAGATCTCTGGCACAGCCAACCGAGAGAACGTTCCTCCCTCGAGGTCTTCTCGTGAGAAGAGTGCTCCTTCCTCGGAGGACTACTCCGGTAATGGCCCAACTGTCGAGCCCTTGAATATCAGCTCGGCCCGAGAACTTGATGAGCTAGTTCGTCTTATGCTCCCTGCTTTTGAGGGGCGCGAGTCAGAAACCAACTGGAACGCACGTGAGCGCCATATCAACACTCTTCGGAGACTTACTCAGGGCAATGCCCCATCTTCCTTTCCGACGCATTTTGTCAACACGATCAAGAATATTTTGGATGATATCTTCAAGGTTGTCAATTCTCTTCGTACGACCCTCTGTACAACCGGCTGCATCTTGTTGCAGGAACTCGTCAGGAGGCTCGGCCCTAAAGCTGATCCCTGGATCGACATAATGCTTAATAATCTTCTTAAACTTTGTGCAAACATGAAGAAGCTCAGCTCCCAAGCTGCGAATGAGACCATCATCGTTGTGATTAGCAATGTTTCATACTCCACGCGCCTGTTGACTCACATCGTTAGCGCTGCAACAGACAAGAATGTGCAGGTTAGACTGCACGCAGCGAGCTGGATGAGAGAAGTCATCCTCAAACAAGCACACAACCCTGCTTCTATCGAGCACGGTAATGGCCTTGGTATTTTGAATCAGGCTATCAGGAAGGGACTTTCCGATGCCAACCCCGGCGTCCGCGAGGCTATGCGTAAAGCTTTCTGGACTTTTGCCGAGACGTGGCCCCAAAAGGCTCTTGAGTACGTCTTCTATTTGTCTCCTGTGTTGTGATGATAGAGCTAACAAAGATAAACAGAACTTTGAACGATTTGGACCCTAAGTCCAGGTCACTCTTGGAACGTGACCCCGCCAACCCATCTGCCAGCACCCGACAGACTGCGGCGGCTTCTAACACCGGTGCTGGCATTCGGGCTACAGCGACCCGCAATAAAACCACCGGACGCACCACTAATACTACTACTACTACTACCGGACGTACAACTATGACTCGTCCTGCCACTGCTGCTGGGCACGCCTTGGCTTCCGAGTCTACTGCCTCTACTCGTTCTGCTCCCACTCGCCCTGCTTCCTCTGCGGCTCGTCATGCGATCAGCGCCCCTGATCGCGTTTCAAAGTCTGAGGCTTCGAATTCGAGTCGTTCCGCCAATCTGACCCGCGGTACCGCTGCCCATGGTACCGCCACATCCCGCAGCGTAGTTACTTCTGCAGCTACAGCATCCGGTACAACTAAATCTGTATCCAGCTCCAACCTAAAGACTTCTTCTCTGTCGTCGGCGCCTCTGCGCCCGAAAATCAAGCGCACTGAACAGCCTCATACCGCCCCCAACCACGTGGGACAGAAAACGGCAACTTTGGCTTCTACTATATCTCGCGTTCCTCAGTCTCCTATTTCGAAGCCTTTGCGGATGCCTTCTACTCCTCCTTCTCATATATCTTCTCCTTCGATTTCATCGAAAGTGGGAAGTGCCCGTTCGAAAATACCTGTCTCGCCGCGCATGGCGTCCACAATGAGGGCGACACCTAAGACTGACGTGTCCTCACCGTCTCCTGCTTCAAATAAGGGCCTTTTCCATTCTAAGGTTCCTATTTCACCAGGGATAGCGACTGCTTCGAAGTCGAGAGACGCGAACAACTCTCGTCGTCCTATGAGACCGGCACCCCTTGACATGAGCAAGATAACATCTCCAGCTTCTTCAGTTTCGGCCATCGGAAGCCCATTGGAGCTTCCTTCACCTCTCATATTAGATGCCACTGACGGCGGCTTTCCTCCAAACAATCGACAAGGACATAGCAACATTGTCGAAACTTCTGCATCTCCCCACAAGGGCAACCTTATGTCTCCTCTTCCACTCTCCTCGCCGGCTCTTATTTCTGAACAGGTTGCTGAAGAAGGTGTGCCCTGTGATTTGAATATTGAATCTCTTACTCAATCTTACAACGATGTCGATCCGGAAAATCGTAATCTTCCTTCACAACCGCAATCGCTACCGGCTCCTGTCCCGGGACAGGCTGCCGAAGAGGTTTCCGCTTCGACCGAACCACCGTACTCTGCGTCTGCTGTTTCTTCACCAAAAGGTACAGCTATCTCTCCTAATTCAAAGGCCCCTTCGCCAAACAGCAAGATTCTCATACCCATTGAAAATGCCTCCTCTCCTAATAGCAAGAATTCGTCGCCAACTCTCAAAGCGAACCACGCAATTTCTTCGCCTGACGTAAAGGCTTCTTCTCCTAAGAGCGGTGCCTCTTCTCCCGAGGTTAAAGCTTCTTCTCCTAAGAGCAGCGCCTCTTCTCAAAACAAAGTCTCTCCGAGAACTGAACCATCTGCTTCGCCTAAGTCCGCTTCTACGAAACAGACTTCCGATAAAGTGCCATTGCGCAGAGTCATTGCAGGCAGACTTTCTATGGCACAACTTATATTTACGGACGATACTGCTCATCGTCGATGGGTGAAAATTGAAGCTGCAGCTCATCGACGCGCTATAATGCCGAGAACTAAAGATCCGGAAGAAGCCCGTCAGCTACTTGCCAAGGGCATTACCGGCATTCGCAACCAAACTATCGATATACTTGGCTACAGGCACTTGCAAGGATTGATTGCTGCCCATGACAGATTCTTCAAGGATGAACCACTGTATGACGAGTTGCTGTTTGCTTTGTTTGAAGAACTCGAACGTCCCACGGAAGAAAAGACCGAACCACTTGGACGACCATTCGATATTAAAACTCAGGTCCTGATGACCCTCCGTTTCATGTTTCGTTATGGTCAACTTTACTTCAAGGCCTTTTATCCCCGGGCAATGGCGGCACTTGTGAACACCAGGCGGAATTACGACGATAAGGCCCATATTGTGAGCGGTCTTATTAAAAGCGCTTTCGACATTGCCGAAGTTTGTGATCCTGAGGACGTCGTCGAAAGCGTCCTAGATTTCATCGATTCAGAACGCTGTCATGCAGAGAATCGTATCGATAAATTACTTCAGGATCCTGTTACGAAGACAAAGTGTGATCGGTCAATGCTCTTCGGGATCCAGATCCTCGGCCATCTGCTTTGGAAATACGATAACAAGAAAGTCTCTCCTCCTCAGCAGTTGATTGAACGCATTGGGTGGTTCGCCGGAAAAAAGCTCAATGATGAGCAGTCGCCTGTCCGACAAGCTGCTATCGATCTCTGCTTGCAGCTATACACCCATGTCAGAAACGAGCAGCGTTTCTTTAAGATCCTTGGCAGCCCAAGGGAGACGTACAAGAACCTGCTCACCTACTACATCGCGCGCTTGGAATAAGCGCGGGGTCGGCTTTTTTGGGGTTGTATGTTTTATTGTTTTCTTTTTTTTTTTTTTCATTGTTACTATCATGTATTTCAGCGCTTGCATGATTAGGTGTTGGTTGTCGTTCGTTTTGGGAGGGGATTGGGTTGGCGTTTGGGTTGTTTTTTGGGGTTATTATTATACCACTTTTATTTTTCACGCCCCAGTGATGTATATAACTTGTTTGTTCAACATCACTGCACAATGAATGGTAACTATTATCAACATATTGGCCTTGTCAATGGCTTTGACAGCAACAGCTTTTTTTCAATTTGTATAGTGTATCTAAGATATATTGGAACATGGAAGGTAATAAATTATTCACGGCTCGAATAACCCAATTTACTAGCTTGGTCTATGAGAGCCTGGGCAGTAATTGTTCAGAGGCCCTGAAAAGCCGCGCTCTGCGTTGATGTCGAACCTCATTCGCCAGAGACTCTCGAAGAGCGTTTTCATCCCTCGGGAGACATAACGGAGATCCAGGGCATCGCTAGTGGGAGGGCCGTGATGGTCTCACGAATCTCAAAAGGAAGTCGACTGAATTAGTCAAGTGGACTCTGGGCAAGAACCTGGACCTGTCTCCTTGTAGGCTTCTTCGTCTCTATGATAGACTGCGGCATGTCCTTGGAAGACTGCATGAGCTGCTCCAAGGTTGGGAGATTGCAAGGGTCATAGATACTACCACACGGTTTTCTCGAATCCCGCAAATCAAAAAGACTTGTAGATTTCAGAAGTTAGGTAGTATTTTCTGCCTCGAAAAGGAAGCCAACGAACCTCTTGGCAACGGAGAATACTGCAGAACCCCAAGGAACCGCTCAATATCGAGTTCTCCGAGGCTGGAATGCTCTATGAAGCGGTCCTAACATATCTCATGAAAGAAATACATGTCTACAAGCTCGAGTCCGTGAGGGAGGTCTTGCAGGCCTCGAAAGTCATCGCCCCATCTTGTCCTACTGCGCAGTCTCATCACTGGGCAGCTTGGTATTCTCCAGGGTGTGTGGTGCCAACGCCCACCACCTTTACTGCTCCATCTGGGGAGGGATACACTGAACGGTGTTCAATAGGAGAAGCCAGAGATGAATATCTGTATATGGAGCCCTTAATTGCGCGGTAAGCGCAGTGCCAGTTCTGGCATATTATGCAAGTCGGCAGAGGATGCAGAGAATGAAACATCTAGTCACCTTGTTCCAGGAAGAGCCGTGGAAATCTGGCACATTCAACTCATATCACTTGCCCCGGAAGGAGTATAAGTATAAATCCATAAATCCGAAAATTCTCGGTAAGATCATGGTTATGTCAACGACTCAACGACCTCACCAGTCGAGCAGGCAGACATGGCTCACATCAACTCTATTCTTCTGTCAATTTCTCCATGCATAAGACCATATATCCTCTACCGAGAACTCACTTGAAACCAGATACCGTACGATTTCCCAGTGAATGTGTCCTCAAGAGTGAATACGACCATCGTGAGTATCAGCCTAGCTATATAAACCTCTCAATGGCCACCGAGATCCTCCTCAGACCTTTCTATATCCCGTACTCCTTCTCCATCATCTTCATTTTCGCTTAATACTTTATACCTGGAGAAAAAGCTAGCCTCTTCTCCCTTCTCTGACACCCTCTCGACCCAATTCAGAATGGCACAATCCTGTGCATGTCATGCCGTCTGTGATCGCCGCATACATGTCAACAATGTAATCCCGACTGTGTACCAGGGTAGAGTCATTTCTACTTCCCTGTCGGCAATTTTAGCATCGAGAGGGAGCTATACGTTGAACCAGGGGACAGCAGGTCCACGGGAGTTCCATAAGCTTATCGTTGAGGCTGAGAAGTTTCCACGCAGAGCCGGACAACCTGGAGCAAGAAACTGGTTGTCCTGCTCCGTAATTACATGTCCCGTGTGGAAGATGGTAACCTACTCCCACTGGTTGAACCAAACCAGGAACAAGTACCCCTGTTGCCTTCCCGATTTGGAAACCGTTGAAGACTCGGGGATATATAAAGTCTTCCTGCCTACTCTGGCCTTCTCTCTCTTTCCTTCAAGTCTACCTCAAAACACATACTGTGAGTATAGGCTGATGAGATATGTGCGCACTTGTTGACTTCGACTAACACAGCAGCACCTCTCTCAATGATACACATCAGGTAGTATATCACAGCTTATAAACCCAAGGCCAGACGTACAGAGTTGCGACTAACAGAGAAATAGGCCGCTCACAGAGTCTACATCGCCCACGCAGACCCGATTTTCGGGAGCTAGAGGAGAAAGGCAAGGAAATGGACGTGAAGGAGGAGAAAATCGAGACAAGTTGGGCGAGAGGTGCTCGCATAGGTACCTACAGATACCAGATGCTCGACAGTGAAATAATCCACTATTATCAACGATTTAAAGAAGGAACTTTCGAAGAGGGAAAATAGACGCAGGTTGGGCACAGATCCTTAATAATGACAATAGAGCCAGTAGCAGGCCGTTCCACAGCAGACTGCTCCGTGGAAGACAGAGGTTGTACCCAGATAACCGTAGGAAGAAGAAATTCTGGTTATTTTTATCTTTAGGCGTGTCTCAGTTTTTGCAACTCCACCTCTCCAGGGGACTAACTAGGTTTCCACCCCTGTTCTTCTTCTTCTTGTTCTTGTCCTGCATGCGTTGGCCAGCTTCAGAGCACGACAAATCCAGACTCCCTGCCACTTCATTCTTCTCCGTCTTCTCCCCTCCTTTTCTCCTTTCTCCCTTTTCTTTTCTTCTTCCTCTTCTCTCAGCTCTGCACAGGAAGATCCCGACTGCCGCTGGTCGGAGTCTCTTGTCGCAGCCTGTTTCAACGTTGCTCTCCGAGTCTATCTGAAACGTCTCCTTATGCAGTGAATGCCTCCGGTGCGTCAGCCGTCAACACTTACCTCCCCTCTGGTTTCCTCTCTCCTCCACTCCCTCTTATCAAGGAAAGGTTCCTGGCCCATCGACATCCCGTCCCGACTGTAAACATCCACTGCTCAGACAATCCCACCGGCAGTTATGGTGATTTTCAGCTGACGCCTTTTTTTTAGCATTTTCCCGCTACTTCTAGGCCTCGTCTCACTTAATTTCCCAATCGCGCACCTTCCTATCTTCGCTTGTCCGTCAAAAGATAATAATCCCATTCCTGATATTCTCCTTTTTCCACGTTCTGTTGCGCGATTCGCGAGTCCTACAATCGGATAAATCCGCCAAAATTCTGTGTCGACCCGGTCCCTCCTTGTTCGTTTACGCGCGTCGACGCCGAACATTCTCATAATTCACTGTATACGAGACCACTTCTTTTCCCTAGCTTCTCATGATATACAGCTATATCCTACACTTGCGACATACATTCGTACTCTGCTAGCTTCTTGGAGGTGTCGGTATCTGTTTGGGGGGTGAAGAATTCCACGATGGAGCCTGCAGCACTCTATCCCGAGTCCGCTGCTGCTGAGCAGGAAGATATCCCATTCCCTTGTAAGGGCTGTGGAGAGGTTAGTGTTCCTCGACGGACTGGCTGAAAGATTTCGTATCACAACGCACCGACTGACTGACCGGCTTTGTTCTCTATACTGTAGATCCTTGAGGAGGGAAAGGCCTTTGAACTAGGTGAGTCCTATCCCTTTCTATTCTCATGCACCGTCTTTCTTCCCCATCGCTGACAATCTATGAAGCGGGAAGCCGATGGCATATCAACTGCTTCCGTTGCAGCAGATGTGGCACTCTCCTAGACTCGGACGCCCACCTTTTGTTGCTTGGAGATGGTTCCTTGATCTGCAGCAATTGTACCTACAGCTGTAGTTCCTGTGGTGACAAAATCGAGGATACTGCCATTCTGACCGGTGACAAGGCATACTGCTCGAACTGCTTTCGGTGCCGGAATTGTAAGATGAAAATCGAGAATTTACGCTATGCTCGAACCTCGCAGGGTATCTTTTGCATGGATTGCCATGAGTCGCTGATGCAGCGCCGGAGAAAGAAAAAGGCTGCGGCTGCCGCGGCAAGTAAGAAACAGCCGTCCGGCGTCAAGTTGGACAAGTCTCTACCTTCATTGCCTCCCAGCGCCATCGAATCCGATGCTCGCCCTTCTGCTCGCGATGAGAATGGGCATCCTGGCGCTGTCGCGGAACTGCCGTCGCATGGCAAGCCTGCTGCTAACCAGGGTAAGGGATCCCGGTGATATTTCCTCTTCCCCTTTTTATTTTTGACGAATACAACTGACGCGATCACAACCGCAATAGAAAATATCCTACTTCCTTCGAACTCTCACCGAAGCAACCGGCACTCGTCGATTATCCCGCAGAACAGTGATGCAGATGGTAATGGGGAATTCTTGATACCTGTCGCATTTGATCCCTCCGAGGAACATCGCTTTACTCCGGTCAAGTCGCGCACGGATTCTGACCCTCACCCCCGCGACTACTTTTCCCGGACTAGGCCGACTGGGACTTCTTTGGACCATCACCACGGATTGACGTCGCATTCTTCCGATAACCGATCCCCTCATATTGCCTACCAAGAAAAGGGTCGTGAATGGCCTCAGGATAATGTCGATGGCACGAATGGCGTCGCTGGAAAGACTCAACAATTGGCCGACCTTGTCAAGTCACAGGATAATTTCAAGGCCGGCCGAACTCCGTCCGCTCGGAGTTCGAGATCTGACCTCCGCTCGAGTTTCAGAGAAGACACCACTCCTTTCTCTGCAACAAGCCCGGAGAGCAATAAGTCGACCAGTTCTCAGTTTAAGGATGTCATAACGACCGATTCTCAGAGACCTGGGACTCGAGATGACAATGCGGTGTCTTCTCGTCCGTCGGTGGATTCGGCGCGCTCGCTTCCTTTGCCAAGCTCTAGTATGCAGTATCTTCCAAAACGGGGAGACTGGCTGGAGAGCAGACTGCATCAGCGACTCCAGGGGGGAGATTCCAGTCCACAGAATGCATCATCCCCATCGAATGGCGTCAATGGCCATGCCTCTGTTCCATCCCGAGTACGTGACGATATCCATAATGAGCATCTCAAACGCCGTGCTCGCAACGATTCCCTTAATGCACTTCAGGGGAATGCGGTGCTCCGGAGTGACCTGGGACAGCGATCTTCAATGGATGAAGATACAAGGGTTGTTGGCTCGGATGACTCTTCCGCTGGTCATAACGGCGAATCTCTCCTGCGCCGTGTGTCAAATTCTGTACGCCATTCCCGAAGTCATAGTGACAAGGGGGCGCGTTTCGCAAATGACACCAAATGGCCTCGGTCTCCTATCAACGGCACGCAAGACGTCAGCAGTCCGGTCTCTTCTCCGAAGTCATTTGAAAATCTTCGGGAGGAGATCACCTGGCTTCGTAATGAGCTCCAGAAGGAACGCCAACGCGTCACAGAGCGGGACCAAAGGATCGCTGAACTGCACGGCATGCTCAATGCGTCTGCGGATGTCAAAAAAGCCGACACGGAACTGCGTGAGAAACGATCTACCATGGTCGTTCTCGATGCTCAGAAGGAGATTGTCCTCAGAGAGCTTGGGATCCTAACCGAACATCTCGAGTCAGAGAAACGTAGCAGCGGCAGCACCGGTGCTTTGGACTTGGGGAGGATTACCAACCCCGTTTTGCGAGAGTTTGCTGAGTCGATCCAACGGTTGAAGGAGTCGTATACGCCTCAGATTCAGGAGCTCATTCAGAAACGAAATGACGTTGCGGAGGAACTGGCCAATGTGAACCGGTTGAAGGAAAAGAGTTTCCAGGAGTTCGAGCAATTGTCTTCCAAGAACGCTCAGCTCGCGGAGCTGAATAATCAACTAGTACATCAGATCCAGGAACTGTACAAGGTAAACTCTGGTGCTGGCGCTGGCGGTGCCATCGGTCTCGGAATCTACGGCCACGACAAGGAGAAATCCGTTACATCAATCGACAAGCCCGTACTTAACGACCTTGGGCCTTCGGTTTCGGCCGCGAACATCTCCGAAGATGTCGAGCCAGCCACTATTGTTCCAGGTCCACAGGTAGTCAGCATCCGCAAAGGACAGCCGCGGAAATTTAATTGGAAGCGCGGTGGCCAGAAGGCCAAGGGCGTTACCAAGGGTATCAAAGGTTTCATAACTAGCGAGTCAAAGGATATTCTTCCATATAACTCAACCGCCCCGGCTCAGGAAGGTTTGCCTCGCACGCAAACAGATCCTACTCGGCAAGGTTTTGGTTTTTTCGGCAACCAGAGGAATAAACAAGGCACATCGAAGATGCCTCTGAATGATAACCCAGCGGCCTCGACTGACACTGCCGCTACAAATGGTAAGTTTATCACTTGGTTATTTCGTCATGATCTTGCTTGCTTGTCCCCCCCAGACCGTTAGGGTTGCATCTAATTTATGTTTTTGGTCATATAGGTCTCTTTGGCACAGATTTAGAACAGCGTCTGGAGTTCGAAAAGGGCATTATCCCTGCTATTGTCACTAGGTGTATACAGGAGGTTGAATTACGAGGTATTCCACTTTTTTTTTTTTTTTTTAACTTTTCACAATATACTGACGTTCTCTTCAAGGCATGGATGTTGAAGGGATTTATCGCAAGTCTGGCGCAAGTTCTGTCGTCCAGACCATTCGAGAAGGCTTTGAACAAAATCCCGACGAGTACGACATTTCGGACCCGGATCTCGATATCCACGCAGTCACCTCTGCTCTAAAGCAGTATTTCCGTAAATTACCAATGCCCCTAATTACTTACGCTGTATACGAGAAGATCATCGACAGCGGGGAGGCTCCCTCGGACTCCGCTCGTATCGAGCATCTGCAGAGGAATCTTGAGGAATTGCCTCGCGTCCATCGCGATGTACTTGAATTTTTGATATTCCACCTGAAGCGAGTCGTCGAGCACGAGAAGGAGAACCTGATGAACAGTCAGAATATTGCGGTCGTCTTCGCCCCGACTATCATGAGGCCGGAGAGTCTTGCTCGTGAGATGACTGATGTGCAGAAGAAGAACGAAGTCCTGAAATTCCTCGTGGAGAACTGTCAGGAAGTTTTTATGGGTATGCAGAGCTAACTAGGTGCTTGAGCACATCCCTCCGAGGATGCCTATCTATTTATGCTGCTGATCAGTTCGTCTGGGACGAACGTCTGCACTCGGCTCTATTCGGCATCGAAGTTTCTGCCTTCCATTATTAATACACATCTTGCGGTGTTCTTTAACCACATCGCTTACCTCCGCGGCTTTACTTCACGATGATATCAGTCGATGACCTCTTCACGTCTTATGATGAACTTCTCTCTTGCCGAGTATGCAATGCATTTTACATTGCAGGCATTTTACTTTCTTCGAACCCCATCTACGGTGTATGATACTTGTCGAATTAATTTAGCATCCCGCTTTCTAAGAGCACCCTATGTCGGTCATGAGGCACCCGTCAGTCAGGACCTTGATGGCACGGTTTACATGCATGTTTGGCTCTGCAAGAAATACCCCGGGTTTTCCCTGCTTTTGGATTTGTTCTTCTCTTTGATACGTTAAATTTGCTTTCTTGCCTCCACTTTTCTTCGTGACGTAACAATGTGCTCCACCAGTTCCTCTGGCTTTTTTTTTTTTTCAACAGCGTATTCCGTCTTTTTTGAGCGTATGATGTATGTTTTCCTTTTTATATTTTTTTTTTTTTTTTCCTATTGGCAATGTGCAATGAAATGTCACTACTCATGCTGGTATGGGTTATGTTCTGCTGGCTTTCTTTTGGAGCCTTTTTCCCCCTTTATTTCTTACCGCTGGGCGTATCGCTTTTTAGAGAGGAGTTTTCCATTTGAATTCATTATTTGGCTTCTCCACAATGTGCTCTGTACAGTACAAAATGTGTACGCTGTATGTCTTGTACTATAGCAGCAGGTTATACTATCGAGTCAAGTTTCCATTTCATTTGGATCGTAATGATTGGTGCTACACCAATCTGGCTGGTTGAAATGGTACGGAGTAATAATGCGCTTTATGTGAATCCCACTGACTCAGTTCTCCCTGCGAATACAGACAGACAGGCAAAAGGCACTTCGAAATCAAAAGGTCTCGTCCTCTAATCGTTCAATTCGTCGGATGATACTTGGGCTTTGCTCGTCGATAAAATCGTCCGTAGTGCTCTCTGCGCCGGCGGTGGTGAGTAGATCCGAGACGATTCGTTTAGAGGCCTCTTTGGCTATATAACACCAGAATAATTAGTATTCTTGGCCATCATTTTATCAAAATGGCATACAGATACGCATAACCTGTAAAAAAAAAAAAAAAAAAACTCGTGAATCAACTTGCGCTGTTCGAGACCTACCAGGTGTCTTCATAAGTCGACTTTGCGGGATATGAAATTGCATCGTCTTGGGGGGACTGGGCCCCAAGTCGTCATCATCGTCGAAATCGTCATCGCTATCCCAGACTGGGCGTTTTCCCTTTCCCGTAGTGGTGTTCCTTGCTGGTGTGAGTACACTGACGCCTGGTTGAGGTGTGATACGCGAGGATCCCGTGCTTCCTCGTCGGTTGCGACGGGTTGTGTTGGGTGTTTTCAGGGGCGAGAAGAGTTCAGTGTGCAGTTGAGGCGCCTCGGGTTCCGGACTGGAAATAGGGGAGTCATCAAAGGGATACTTTGACAAAGATGAATTCTTCGGAGTCACGGTGAATTTAGGACGGGAGTTATTGCCGTAGCCCTTTCCGTGAGGAGTCGCCTGGATGCGGTACGTCTTGTCCAGGACATGGTGCATGACCGGATCGGATGGCTTCCGGTGATGGAACTTTTTGGTTGTTGATGACTTTCCATGGGAGACTGGTGGGATGAATGGGGACAAGGTAGGAGTCATCGAAGCGTCCAGGCCGCCCTGGTGTCTGGATGATATCCCCGGTGTTGTCGGTGTTGATGGGGAATCCTGGTAGTCAAAAGGTGATTTTGTCTCCGCAATTTGCTTGCGCAAGTTTTCATACGGCGATGAGTACGCGATAGATGGGCCGGTGAGATCTTCGTTTGCATTCGGCGTTCTTATATGGCGTGACTGGTGGGCGGCGCGAGGCGTGCTGTGAGACGAGAGTGTGAGGGAGGTAAGATCTAGGTCGTCAGGTCTGTGACCGACATCGATATTCTCCGAAGATGGGGTTTCGTATGATGCATCCTCATGCTGTGTGGTGTTGGCGGTGGAATCTCCTTCTGTCACAGTTTGGTCCTGCGTCGTGGTAGTATCTTCCTCGGGGTTCTCTTCATAACCAGACAGTGAGACGTTGGCGCTCGCTTCAAAAAATTGTTTCCAGAACTATAGTTTTCCTCCAATTAGTCCCTGCGTCAAAAGCCATAAACCCTTGTGCGTGTTGAGCGTCACCTTTGCACCCTCCCACACATCTCGCGAATGTTCTGCGTATTGCTCGACCAGAGGGAGAATACTTGTCGTGACAATCCGGTGGGCTTGGCTGAAATTATGATCAATCTCTATACAAATAAAGCAAGGTCAGTAACTCTTTTTTGCTGGACCCTTTATTTACCATTAGCAAGGGGCTTGACATTGACTTTGTTTACCTTGCAGTGTGAGGGTGATGGATTGTTCGAGTTTCTCCAATTCCTCAGTGAGAGTTAGCGGGCGCTGCGAGCGAGATGATGGACGCGACATGTTGTTTTCATTAACAAAATAAGCTACTTTTGAAGAGATAAATCCTGTTGGGAGGCCAGAGCAGACGTGGCTGTCTCCAAAAAGAACTGGATGTTTTGCGTCGACACGAACGTGAGTTAAGCATGCCCAAAGAGGAACTCAGGGCTTTGGATAAGGGCTTCTACTGTAATGTGACTTGGAGCTCTCGCACGTGATAGGGCGGGCGTGCCGGAAGGAATGTTTCTGACTAAACGAGGGGGCTGCTCTGCCTTGCTTGCGCTTCCATCTTCCATTTCCCTCTGTTGCTGGAGTTTGATTCACAAGAAGAAGAATATCACGGTAGGATTAATCTCTTTCAGACACGATGCCTGCCCCCGTTGCAAAAGGTCAGTCAGTCCCCTTTGATCTTTCATCATCGTCTGGCCCCGAGATAAAGGGCCGATATGCTTATCAGTACTCCTCCAACTTCATAAACGTCATGACCTATACGCGTATTACTTAAAGCTGCAAGCCTTATTTCAAATGAAAGAAGTGCTATATGAAAATTTCCACATGTTCTATGCTGATATGTTCTGGGTTCAGGGATTATCGTGACCGCCTCGGTGCTTGTCGCTGCAGGCATAGCCTTGTATCAGTCTCCACAGTTTCAACGATGGGTGAACAACTCTCGTCGAAAAATTGCGTTGGCCCTGTACAACATGGGGGATGAGATATTCCCGCATGATGAAAGATCTCCTCTCAGACAAGATGCCTCCATGACTGAGGAGACTGGGGAAGCTGCTGAGGAACGAAGACGAATAGTTAGGGAGGAGATCCTGCATCGCCGCTCTCTTTTCGAGGAACGCCAAAGAAAGGGAAATAGCCAACCTCTGAACGACTTTGACTCTATTGTTGACAAGGAAGGGAAGCTAAAATCTGATTATCTGGAGAAGTCTCCTGAGGCCTTTGGGAGCTCAACGGCCGTGGACATTTCAAATTCGCAACTGTTCCAGCGAGAAATCAAACAGGATGAATCTGCTCCTACGGAGGACCAGATGCAGCAGCCTAACCTGCTAGACACGGCGGAGAAAAACAAGCTTCATATTGCTCTTCCCTCGGACGTCTCGTCTAACCATCCTTCGGAGTCTTTAGTCGATCTCACTCCTACTTCTGAAGCGCCAGACAGCCATGCTTCCTTGATGCAAGAGAAGCATGATATGTCTTACTCTGGATACTTCTCGGTGACATCTGAGTCAGTGCCATCGGCATCCAGCCATACAGAGCATGAGAGTCCAGGATTCTTCTATGCTCATCCTGACCCTACCACCAATGAGAGTCACCCGGACGTTAGATCACCATTTGCAGATCCTCAAGAACAAGTCCACTCATCTGCTGCATCCACTGTGGGCAATTACAGTCATCTGGATGGGTCCTTTACAGATGCTTCGTCTGACGGCACCCTGAGCGAAATTGGACGGGAAGGGGCTGCTACTCCGGCCAGCTGGTCAGAAGTTGGAAGTGTAATTAGTGATGACTTAGGCCATCATTACTAGAATTGTGTTAGTATGTCAGGAGATTGGCTGTGTATCTGTCGATATTGGGATAGGGTCTCCGGCGCCAGGCGTTTGATATACTTTCGTATTCTACATACAGTCTTCTCAGTTCTTTTTTGTAATTTACTACGTTCTATATTGTCTATGCCAGTAGTGGATTAGGTTTGGAAGGCCGTTGGATTCGTTTTATGAAGCTCGGTTGAGGAAATGAGAATCCCGAGCGGAAATGCCTCGGTTCGTCGGCTCACGTCAAGAACCATCACCGATGGACCAGTTCTCGTTATTTTCCTTCTTTCTCCTTACCATTGTCACTCTTCTCCCAGGAAGACACATTCTCGAGATTCAATTGGTGAGTCGGATGTTACCATTTCTTGTTGGTTTGCAGTGTCCTCAGTCGATTTTCACGGGCAGTTGAAGAGCTTTCTCCGCACGACTTTCCCCGCGGAGTTTATAAATCCGCTGATGGCATATGCTTCTTAAAACCGTCAGATCCTCCTTATTTGCTTTGCATCGTCTTGCTAATATCTACCTCTCTGCGTATTAGTTTGTTCTGCTTCTGACATAGTCGAGAGACTACCCTCACGTATAGTATATATACAATGGCCGCGGAACGGTTGAGTTCACTCCTGAGCCACTTGAGGCCGGGCTCAAGCAGTGGCGTATCAACAATGTCAGTTTACTTTACCCATAATGATGCCGAGGGCTGTAGTCGCTGATTGTTTGTCTTGAAAAAAACAGCACCCAGAAGAATCCCGATGATATCGTTATCACTCTCGCTGTGCGGACACCCTTAGCCAAGGCAGTGAAGGGTGGCTTCAAGGACACAGGCCTTGACTACATTATCTACGCTTTGTTGAAAGAGACGCTGGCAAAGTCCAACATCGACCCGGCTCTTATTGAAGATGTTTGCCTGGGAAATGTTAGTGTCTACGGGGCTATATTTACTTCTACTTTTCTTCTTTTAATCATGGGGGATGGCACTGACGAAAAATCTTCCCCCAGGTCAACAATGGAAAGGCTCCTTATATTCTTCGTGCAGCTTCCCTTGCGGCCGGAATCCCCGATACTGCAGGCGCCTCTTCGGTGAACAGATTCTGCTCGTCAGGTCTGAAGGCCGTCCAGGATATCGCCAACCAGATCCGACTAGGCGCCATCGATATCGGAATCGCAATTGGCGCGGAATCCATGTCATCAGGTGCAGAGCCTATGGAGCCATTCCACGAAGACATTCTCAAGAACCAGCAGTCAGCCGACTGCTTGCAACCCATGGGGCAGACATCCGAGAACGTCGGCGCTGATTTCGGCATTACGCGTGAAATGCAGGATCGGTACGCAGTGGAGTCATTCAGACGCGCAGAAGCTGCACAGAAAGCGGGATGGTTCGATGAAGAGATCGTTCCCATCACGACAAAGGTGAAAGATCCCAAGACTGGAGAGGTAAAGGAGGTCACTTTGACCCGGGATGAAGGGATCCGGTACGGAACCACCTATGAAGCTCTCAGCAAAATCCGACCTGCCTTCCCTCAGTTTGGGAATCGGACAACCGGTGGAAATGCTAGTCAGGTGACAGATGGTGGTGAGTGCTAAAACCCCGAGAAGAACTAGATTATTGGATATGGACCATTGATAGGTATTGCTTTCTCCAGCTGCCGCGGTTCTCCTCATGCGCCGCTCCAAGGCAATTGAACTGAACCAGCCCATTCTCGCTAAATTCTGCGGTGCCACCGTAGCCGGCGTGGCGCCTCGCATCATGGGCATTGGACCTTCCGTGGCGATACCGAAGCTCCTGAAGCAGTTCAACCTGGACAAGAACGACATTGACATCTTCGAGATCAACGAGGCCTTTGCCTCGATGGCGGTCTACTGTCTCAACAAACTGGAACTAGACCATGCCAAGGTCAACCCATGCGGCGGAGCGATTGCGCTAGGCCATCCTCTTGGCGCGACGGGGGCGAGGCAGATCTGTACGATCTTGAGCGAGGCAAAGAGGACGAAGAAAAAGATCCTGGTGACGAGCATGTGCATTGGCTCTGGGCAGGGAATGGCTGGGCTGTTCGTGAATGAGCAGGAGTAAATTAATGGTCTAGCTTGATTATATTATTTGGATAGTACTGCTCTATATATGCATGGCAACGTTTGTATAGCAGAGTGCTGCTCACTGCATACGCTGTAGATCCTGTAGTAAGGCAGGAGTCATGACTAATCAAATATCAGAGGTTAACTATCTCACTGGTCGCGTCAAGCACTTTGCACTGTTTGCAACCTTGACGCACAACCATAATTTGGGATAGGGCACAGGCTAGACCTAATTCGGAAGGATGTCAGATGAGCTCATGGTTTCATCTATCATTCGTACCCTCTGCATGCATGAAATCTATGATAACTACTACTGCCTAGAACAACATAAACTGCATACATCTGGCAAGAAACCTGCCGTGCAGGTCCCAGAGTTTGTAACCAATATGGTTAATCCCGAGTTAAAAGTGCTCTGTTTAACTTGGGTTCAGCAATGATATCATGGAATCATGGTCCTTGGCCATGCAGTTTTTCCAGAATAATAAACCAATTACCTGCGGTTAGGAATCTAGATTTATCATTTGGCTGGTTTCAAATTATTCAGCTTTCTTACAACTTAAGCGAACCTTGTTCTGTTGTTATTATTATTGTATTGTTGCATTGAATGGGATGTCACTGCGCAATGCGCTGGGCATTCATACCATTACCATTTACCAGCCGTGGGTTCCGCTCGCTCCGGTCTCTTGGCATTATTCCTTCGTTCAATTGAGTACTTTCTCTCTCGTTTCCCTTTCCCCTTGTATATTACTACATGTTCTTGTAGGAGGAGATTGTGTGCTTGTTCGTCTTTATTAGCGATGGGTGGCATAGCTGCTTCGTATATTAACATCATAAGGGACGATAAGGTAGAACAACCCCATCTGCTCGCGATGACTTTTGCCAAGCCCGTAGCGAACGCCACAAGGTATGATCCTGGGAAGGATACGAGCCAGACCTTGGACCTCGCCGTATCGGGAAAAATGGCACGTTTGTCGCTGCTCCTCGGGGTTCGGTCATCTGCCGATATTTTTTGTTCCGTCATACCGGTCCCTGGAGCTGTGGTTCAGTCTTGCAGAGAAAAAGGTGGCTATTAGATCACATCCCACCCACATTTCCGCCACGATTCGTATCTTCCTTGAAGGATCTCGTTGTTAAAAGATCCATGATTATTCCATTTTCTCCGGCGAGGTTTGTGCCATCGGCTTCTCCTGCTGTCGGCTCCAGTACTCCGTAGTTCCCACGGATCCCCTTCCATATTATTATTTTTCAATTCCAACTTGTTTATTAGGGCACTTTTCCCCGCCGTCTCCGGCTTTGTTTGCACTTATCATCTCTTTGTCTCATCCGGCTTGGGATATCTCGGCAGATTGGCGGAAATTGACAGGTGCTTAGGGTAAACAGCAGATCGGTATACCCTCGCCTGCTTAACTCTTTGGATTCTTCAGCCTTCCTCGTGTCTCTCTTTTCTTCTCTTATATTTAGGGTGGTCTATAGCGCCGTAGACCCCCCAAATCAACCCAAATCGCAGTCGCACATTCGCGAGACAAGCCAATAGTCCAGGATGCACACAAGGTGAAGGGCTTGCAAGTCGATTTTCAAGAAGCCATATCACACAGGAATCTCGGAGGATGTACATTGGGAGTCTGGTGTTTGCGCTATGGTCAGCTTGGTTATTAGGTTTGGCCTTCGCTGCCCCTTCCAGCACTCCTGCCGATGACCCTTTTCAGACCAAATCCCAGTCCCTAGACAACCGGTCGTCCGATTTTGAGTCCGAAAGCGAGCATGGAAACAAGACCGAACCCGATCTGGGACCGGAATACAAGTATTTCAATGAACCAGGCATGCAGGAGTACTTGGGCCATTATGATGCGCGTTTTTTCAAGGGTGTTGTTTCAGACGATGAGCGCTCTGAGTCGCTGACGCATATGATGAGAGCGTATCTGAATTTCTTCAATGAGGCGGGATTGGACACTTGGATTGCGCATGGGACGTTGCTGGGGTGGTGGTGGAACGGGAAGGTAAGCCTGCGCTGATATTTTTTTTTGCCTCCTCCCAGTTATTCTATGCAAATGCTCATGACGCGCCATAGATTCTCCCCTGGGACTGGGACATCGATACTCAGGTCCCCGTCACCACTTTGACGTACATGGCCACTCACTTCAACCAATCCATTGTCGATTACACTTCGTTCGACCGCACGGTGAAACGGAAATACCTTCTTGATGTCAACCCGTGGGCTCTGCAGAGTGATCGCGGCATCGGTTTGAACGTCATCGACGCGCGCTGGATTGACACCCATAACGGTCTCTACATCGACATCACAGGTCTCAGGAAGCTGTATCCAGACACGGATCCGGATGTCTGGGAGTGTAAAAACTTCCATAAGTACAAAACGAAAGAACTATATCCTTTGCGCACGACGGTCTTCGAAGGTGTTCCGGCCAAAGTACCGTTCAAGTACAGTTCGATTTTGATGGATGAATACTCTATTCGGGCTTTGACAGCAACGAAATTCAACAAGTATGTCTTCTTTTTCTCTTCGCAATACCCTCGGCTCTTGTGAATTATGAGCACGTATGGCTGACTGGATTGCTAGCCATACCTATGACCCCCAGTTGCATGAATGGGTCATGGATAAAGACCTTGAGAGTCAACAGTAAAAAGAGTCACATCAGGGTTTCCCATTAGCCCATATGTGATTATTGACGGCTGACAGCATACTGTAAATAGACGCATGAATTAATTCTGTACAAAGTGATAAATACTGTGTTGAAGCAGCTTTCCTTGTTCTTATCCTTGCATGTTCTAGACCCGGTACAGTCACGTGTCAGATTATCTCCGTGCTGACAAAGCGTAATCGCCGTGGAAGTCGACAGAAAGAGCTTCACCAACTCCAGCTCAACGTATATATATCTCATGGTTCTTTTGCCTCTCGTTCATGATTCCTTATCCATAATATCCATCTCCGTTGGATATGAAATTTTTATCGCATTCATTGTCTGGGCTACCTGTACCACCCGAGAACAACACCGCTGATATGGAGCCATCTCCGACGCAAACCATAGCTCTGACAGTTCACCACGGTGGTACTCCTCACTCTTTCACTCTCATAGAGACTGCAACCCTTCAAGACCTCGCGTCTGCCATCGCCACCTCCCTCAACATCCCAGTCGAGAACCAGAAGTTCCTGATTGCCCCGAAACCAGGGCTGTTGAAACCTCCCTTCCCCGCAACCAGATTAGATAGTCTCATGCAGCTGGACTCTCACAGACTCAAAATTACACTTCTCGGCAGTGCAAGCAAAGAGATCGAGACTCTGAATGCGCAAGGTATCGAAACAAAACGACGAGCTGAGGCCAGAGCCTCTGCGCGGGCATCAGCGGCCGCGATGTCCAGAAAGCCTACTCGCACCACAAGTGGAATCCACACACTCGCCTCCAGCAGCAGCAGCAATAATTACACCTTTCACCGTCTTCTCCCTCTAGATTACCTCCCGAACCCCTCGAGATCCCTCACCTTCTTATCTCGCCTCCGAGATGACCCGGGAATCCGCTCAGCCATGGCTAAACACCGTTTCTCGGTCCCGTTGCTCACGGAAATGGATCCGGTAGAACACACAACCATGTCCTCGCGTACGCTCGGTCTAAATAGGAATAAAGGCGAAGTGATCGAGCTTCGTCTTCGAACGGACGCCTACGATGGATACAGAGATTATCGCACTATCCGCAAGACATTATGCCATGAACTTGCACATTGCGTGCACAGTGAGCACGACAGCAACTTCTGGGCTTTAACAAGGCAGATTGAGAAGGAAGTTGAGGCGGCGGATTATCGGGCACATGGAAGGAGGCTGACTGATCAGGAGTTCTACGATCCAGGGGATTGGGAGAGAGCCAGTCGGGAAGATGATATCGACGAGAAGGGGTGGACCGGGGGAGAGTTTGTTTTGGGAGGACTCAGGAACCGTGATGATGGGGGTGGAGATGGTGTCGAGAGTCGGAGGGAGATCCTTGCTAAAGCTGCAGAGGAGAGGATGCGGAAGGAGAAACAAAATCACTAGCATGGTTTGGTTGCTTGCTCCTTGGGGTTGAGTCCTTTCATTTGCCGTTTTGCGACTCTGCATGGTTTATTATGACGATGATAATGATTATGGCCTATATACATATACTCGAATTAATGATTACGACTACTCCAGTTATATAGATACCCTTCAGATATACCCTGGACAAATTAATGTAGAGATTTCCCCATAATCTCCTTGACACAAAATGGCCAGTATCAACTCCTCGCCCTTGCATATCTTGCATATCCAGATAGATTTTGATCGACAGGTACTCCGCACATGCGGGCCGTTATGTATAGCAAACCGGGGGAATCCCAGTAGCAACCGCATCGCAGATCTATACAATATCTCGGTTCTGTAGTCGGTATTTTTACAACGGACCTCGCATCCCCCGCTGTCGGCCACTGCGTCAATTATGGCACGGTGTGATCCCCCATCAGTTCCATGATCCCTTGTCGTTCGACATAACTGGCTTGTCGGATCATTGCCTGTTCAGGTAATTTTCCTGGGAGCGAAAAGGAAGAAACCAGAGAATCTTACTTGTGGAAAAACATCCACCAGGTGCTGTGTTTTCTGCACCTCATGCAGCTCTTGGCGGGAATATTACCTACTAATATTCATATGCCGATGCCTTGCGCATCCCAGAAAAGCAAAGTTCCGGCGGGAAAAAAGGATTCTGCAGGATGGGCCATGTGTGAGTTCCAGTCGCGACGAGTGTCTTGCAGTTGACTGACCGTGATGGGCCAAAACAAGGGAAGCTATAAGAAGGCCCTCCCTCTCCCCCCTCCAGCTGGGAAGAAGGGAAATCAGTTGAAAGAGACACTCGACTTGAGCGATATTTTCTGTCTCTCGAGAAAATGGCGTCCCTTCGTGCGGTGCTCTTTGGACTTGTTCTGACGGCGACTTATCTGCCAGGTCAGGCGTCTGCTGCCAATCTGACAGTATCGAAATCCGGGGGAAACGCCTCCAGCCCCTTGCTATATGGGATAATGTTTGAGGTTAGAAACCTTTGAGTCCCTCAAATTGGGTTCTGTCTCTGACTGGCTGACTGGATGAGCAGGACATCAACAATTCAGGTATATAGAGTCCACCACAAGGTGCACTTTAGCACTCCGCTATTAACTGAAAGTATCTAGGCGATGGTGGTATCCACGGCCAATTGCTCAAGAACAATGGGTTCCAAGGAGACAATCCCGGTTTGGCAGCTTACAAGGCTGTTGGGGATACTAGTCTCTCACAGGATACATCGAATCCTCTTAGCTCTGCAATTACTTCTTCCCTGAAAGTATCCGCACCGTCAAACGCAACTGGCTCCGTTGGCTTTGCGAATACTGGCTATGCTGGAGTGCCCGTGCTGGCTACCCAATATACCAACTCCTTCTGGATGAAAGGGAAATATTCCGGCACTGTTACCCTTCGTCTGGTTGGAACATCCAGCGGGAATGTTTACGCCTCACATGATATTACAGTGGCTAGCACGGATTCCAAGTTCACCTACTACAATACATCCTTTACGTCCCAGGCCTCACCTGATGGAAACAACGAGTGGCAGTTGCTATTTGACGGATCCAAGGTTGCAGGTAGCTCCTTGAATTTCGCCCTCGTACAATTGTTCCCACCCACATTCCGTTCAAGGTAACACTCCTAGTTTGGTTCACTAATGGACGAAAGCTGGTCTCTCGAGCTAACTAAGGTTTCTATAGACCTAATGGTTTGAGGAATGATGTAGCTAGCTTTGTTGAAGCACTCAAGCCCTCGTTTCTTCGTTTTCCGGGAGGAAACAATCTGTATGATTCCCTTGCGCACGGAGATAAAAGAATTGGTAATTGACTGACACATGGCTTAAGTGAGGAAGAGAGCCCAGGTGCTCGGTGGAAATGGAACGAAACCATAGGCCCCGTCCAGGATCGCCCGGGCCGACAAGGTAAGCTTTCGTCGAGTGTTTTGTTGCATATTTATTTCACTTCTTTCTTTACTTCTGTACGAAGATTTTTGATTTTTTCCTTCTCAGGAGATTGGAGCTACCCTAACACAGATGCACTCGGTAAGTTTATGCCCGCCGTGGAGCTGCCGAGTTGAAATATAGGTTGAAACAACTTCTAATATAAGTCAGGCCTGGACGAGTATTTCTACTGGTGCGAAGATATGGCGATGGAGCCTGTCCTTGCTGTATGGGCAGGACTCTCTCTTAACGGTGGTGGTATTGTCTCTGGATCCGCACTCGATCCCTACGTGGATGATATCTTGAATGAGCTTGAGGTAAGCTTCGTCATAAGACCCAGACTACAATTGGTTAAGCACCATGCTCATCAGCAGGCAGTACGTGCTTGGCGATCAGAGCACGGCTGGTGGTCGTCTTCGTGCAAACAACGGTCGTGTAGATCCCTGGCCTGTCAAATACGTCGAGGTGGGAAACGAGGACAACCTCTCTGGTGGATGCAGCAGTTACGCTTTGCGTTTTACACAGATTTATGATGCTATCCATGCTACTTACCCGGATCTCACAATTATTGCGTCCACTACGGAGGCTTCTTGTCTGCCTTCCAGTTTACCCGAAGGCGTGGTAACTGACATGCACCACTATCTCGAGCCTGACCAGTTTGTCGCTTCCTTCAACGAGTGGGATAACTGGCCTCGAACCCATCCTATACTCGTGGGCGAATACGCGTCTACTAATAATAATGATGGTAGCCAAGTCTATTGGTCGTATGTTCAAGGTAGCTGCAGTGAAGCCGTTTACATGATCGGCATGGAGCGCAACAGCGACATTGTCAAGATGGCTAGCTTTGCACCACTGATGGAGCATTTTGACCTTGCGGAGTGGTCGGTAAGTCTGCCTTCTATCAATTAGCCTGTTCAGGGTCAGTAGCTAATTATCCCCGTCACGTAGCCGGACTTGATGGGCTTGGACTCCAGCCCGGAATCTATCACAGGCTCCACGTCTTACTACGTGCAGAAGATGTTTTCGACAAACCGGGGATCAACCATCCTTCCCGTCGAATCATCAGAAGGCTTCGGGCCCCTATACTGGGTAGCTTCTGCAAGTGACTCGGCGTATTTTGTCAAACTGGCCAACTACGGCGAGTCAACCCAGACCGTTACGATCAATGTCGATGGAACCACGTCGGGGACACTGCAAATGCTTTCGGGTCCCGCAGAGGCAAGCAATCGTCCGCACGCCATGTCAGTCACCACCCAGACTACGAGTGTGTCAGGGGACGGCACTTACACCGTTACGATGCCGGCATGGGCTGTTGCCGTCCTGGCCGTCTCTTAGGTCCTGATCCTGCAGGAGATATGGAAAACAGCAGGGAATGGGCGCCATCACTGCTCTATATTTAATAAATATACATAAGCTATCCTGTACAAATCAGTATACTGAATCGAAAATCTCAATTTGCAAACTTGATTTGATGCCAGTGTGTTGACGAGTGGCTTCTCTCCAGTCCCGCACAACCCTCTCCTCTGGCTCATAAACCGTTTCATCTGCCCATTTGACTGCCGCGATTTTCCCTTCCACCTCGTACTCGAAATACTGGATAATTTTACCGTACCCAGCTAATAACAGCAGCTGGGGCAGCTTGGACGCAACAAAAGTTTATGATACAGGTAGAATCAGTCAATGAGGCTTTCCAATGACTGAAAGGCTGCTAACAACCTTTAGCCAAAATTTCCACACTTTCCTCCGCAAATTGCAGATAGGACTTCTCAAATCTGTGATGTATCAGATCTCCACTTGTGTCATAATTTGCCTGTCTGTGTCGATGCGTCAAATAACCACCTTTCAGCCCCTGGGGTCACTTGGAGATTCAGCCTGAATCGATAGATGAATGCCAATGACACTAGGTTTGTCACGCCAGGATTCCAGCCTTGTAAACATTGGTATTATTGTCTCAGTAAGTATTTTATTATTCCAATTCTGTTCCTCAGCTGTCTTGTATCAGTATCAGCTCTGGGGCAAGCAACGGTCCTGCCATCGTGTTTGGTTGCCGGATACTTCCCCCCCCCTTGGTGCTGAAAATTGCAACGTGGTGAAGGGGGCTTCAACCCGAATACTCTCAGTCTCCCGATTAGGAGCATATGCCCCTTTATGGAATTTTCTTCTCTACTCATGCAGTGTGATGCCATTAAAGATGACCGCTTTATACTCCGCCTATTAATCGTTATTCTGCCCGTCAAACACCCAAGAGGGGAAGGCGATTTTCTTGGGCGGTGGAGTCACTAACAGTTCGTTCTGCGGCTGGACCGAATGCGGACCCTGCTCTGCCTGTATAGACCGCCCACGTGATCAGCGAGGGAGCTACGTCTTTGTCTATCTGCCTGTACCATAGCCTGCTTCAGACGTTAAATAATGCAATCAATCAATCAATCAACCTGTAGCCTGTGTCCAATCCAATTGATATCTGTCTTCTGTACCTGCACCTTGACAATCTGATCTCAATCAGCTTTTTGCTTGCATCACTTTTCTCGTGGAATGTGACTGTCACCGAGCACCGTTCATGAAAGTGGTGGCATCTAGAAGGGGAAAGTCTCTGTGATTCCAGAATAAAAAGTCTGTATATTGACATACCTAGGTAGTCACCATCAATGATACTCAATCCATTACAAGGAACATGTACAACAGCAATGCAAAGAAAGAACATAGATATGTATTGAGAATTGAAGAAAATAGGAAACCTGGCTGGCTTCGTTGTGTTGAATTACACTCCTTATACGTGAACTCAACATATAAAAACTGCATCGTATCCTATCCTCCAGTGAAATCTCCCATAACAAGATGGAATGACAACCAGACTTGGGATACCAGTCTAATCGTATATCTCTAGACATTTCTGTACAGAATGCATATATTTGATGCTAGTGGAAAGGACACAGAACAATTGGAACAGGGCAGCCAAATTCCCAGGGCACGATAAAATACACAATAACCAAACAGGAGACGTGAAATTTTGCAGAATTGAGCTCAGTTCGAACTTGAAACTTGAATATGATTATCTCCGTCGCTTCGGTGGAAATGCCATTCCCTGGCGACATAAAGTGCCGGCGAAAAGCTTAAGCAGAAACGGCGTAGAAGGGTTGGCCGAGTGGCTCGAGAACGTTGTCGGCATATTCACCGTCATAGTTTCCTATTGGCATGTTAATAAAACAAGAGATTGACCGATAAATAGGGAGGATTGGAATATTGTGCGGTGCTTACCAGGCGGGCTGTAGTTGCAGACGGTGAAGGGTAGAGGGGAAGATGAATCAACGTTGCCCAGGCCGTTGCAGATGACGGTTGCGCAGCCAACTTGGGTGGTGCCCTTCCACACGATCTGGGTAAAATGTCCCCATTTGTCGAAATCGGCCATGCTGGGCTGGCTCTGGCCATAGTATGGGCTGAAGTAGCCCTCCTCATTGTTGTACATCAGATTAGTGATCATCTCACCGATGTTGTCTGCGCTGATGCCATATCCAATGTTCTGACCATATCCACCACCGTTGATGCTCCTGTTGCGAGGCATTAGCAAAGAGTTGTTCCCAGACTGTAGGAACGCCAGGTGACTTACGTATCATGTTGATAAACGCATTTCTGCGCAAGCGCCTGGGCGCTTGCCTCGAGGTCAGCGGACCAGGTAAGAGAGTCGACCGAATGGTTGCTACGGTGGATGTTGTGGTTATATAGAATGAGAGATTGGTAACCGCTGGCTAGGGGAGAAGTGGGTGCAGGCGCCGCTGTGGTGGTGGACAGAGTCGTTGCAGGTGCAGGTACAGGTGCAAGCGTCTGTGAAAAGGTTGCTGCTGAGCTAAAAGTCCATGCGGAACTGGAAGCCGACGCAGTCGACGACTGTGTAGTTTCTGAAGAGAACGAGGTCGAGGTCGACGAACTGCTCACGGCCACGGGAGCTGGTTGCTCAGGAGCTGGCTGCTCAGAAGCCACCAACGGCGCAGGAGCAGGAGCAGGAGCCTGCGAGCTAGTTGGAGCAGGGGCCGGGATCTTTTGAACGGGCTCAGAGGTCACAACCACAGAGGTTACCGCAGTCGAAGTCGGAGCCGCAGTTGGCTCATCCGTCACGGTGGTGGTCACAGTAACCACGACAACATCCGTCACGTAGACGCGTTTATCCAAAGGAGAGGCAAGAGCACCGGCGGCGCATAAGAGGCCCAGAAGAACGGAAGACTTCATTTTTACTTCTTTCGGTTGGCAGAATTGCTGGTTGGCCGTATGTCTCTTCACACAGATCAACTGGGAACTTCAATTCGATGAACCAATAAGATAGATAGACCCGACGCAGAACAACTTCCCCAGGAAGTGCGAGCCACAAAACAAAGCAGATCGACTGCTAATTCCCGACTGGTAGCGGACGGTATAGAGAGTTGAGTATATAGTGTGTATGTGGAAGGATATGACGCGAAGTAAAGCAACGAAACGAGCGAATGAACGAACGGCAGCCCTGGAACGCTTTGAAAGAGTGAAAAAGCGAGCACAGGGGGGACGAAAAGAAGGCAGAGAAACGAAAGGAAGGATATTCGAGGGAAGCCTTGGAAGAGAAGGGAAGGGAAGAAAATAAGAAGAAGAGACAGAAGGACGCTCTCCTGAAGAGATGACAGAGCAGCAGAACAGGGCCTGCAGTGGGGCTGGGAGGACGATCTGAGGGATGGCCCGTGGACAGGGGTGATAGACAAATTAAAAGCAAATTACGGCAATCAAAGCCGGTCCAGGGATCCAGGGCATAATAATAATGGTACTGATGGAGATCTAGTGCATGACGACGCTTCCTGAAGGCCCAGGACGGGGCCTGGTTGACGTGGTGAGAATAGGGGCATGGCAGCAGAGTATGGGGTAGCCGGGAGTAAATGCAGCAGGATCAGGCCAGTAGCTAAGTCTCGATGGATGAAATCTCCGAAGGCAATAATATTAATGCTTTAGATGAGCACAGCATCCAGTGTACGCAGCGTGAAGAGACGCGGACAGCCAGGAGAAGAGGTCCATGCACCGTCATATCAGACTGGCCGTTTCAGCTTCCAGGCACCACTGCGCGCCGATTGGCGATCACTGAAATTGGGGGTGAGCTTGGCCTTACTTCGCTTATCCGGTGGCTTCATAACCACCGTATCATCGCTTGTGTCTCTGTGCAATGTGCATCATCCGTGGTTGTGACGGTGGAAGATGGAGTAAGATGATTCCTGCCTGGTAGAAATCCCTTCCACCTGACCGCACATGACCACCCCGTGACTCCCTCTTGATCTTTGGTTCCTTTATTCCATCTAGAGTATCGACAAAGTACTATTATCCTGAAATCCTCTCATCACCACTTCATATCTCAAATCTCAAATCTCAATGCCCGTGTTCCCATATCAAGCTTCTGATCGCGTCTAGAACCGCCTCTCGTACCCGCAGCCCATCTCAGACCATGGATGATCGGGATTTTTCTAATGAAACCGAACTGTCATAATCCTGCCGTTTCATCTCCCCGAAATTATTCCCCTGCAATTACCTTGGTCCCTAAATCACTACTACCGTCTAGAATATTGCACAGAATATCCATCTCGTACAGCGGTACATGTTACGAAATAATAAAAAAATTTTTTTTTCATCCAACGCCAATTACGCATGCAATCCATCCTGACGGGGAGACTCGAAACTAACCTCGAAATTAGGAGAGATACCAAAAATTAAGCCCCAATGCACCCGTTCCGATCGGTCAGAAAAATCTCACGCATCAATCGTCCGACACTGGCCCGCCTCGCAGACAAGGAGATAATTCCTTGCTGGATACGAAGTCCGAAGCTCCTTGTACATCGCGTTTCGCGATCTCAGCCAGAATGAAGGATTCCCCACAAAATCTGCTAAATGGCCCGGTCGAATGTCCACTAGTGCTGCCGCCGCCGTCGACGTCGACGTGGCCAGGCCTGCCTCAGCCCGTACCCTTGCTACCAACTTGTCTCGAGCGGACAGAGGCTCGTCAGGATGACTAACCAAGTCGTCCGACAGCGACGTGGCCGGCCGCGAGACTTCTGTTGTAGCAAAAACTCCCGTGACAGTGCGCACATTCAGTTCCAGCCCGACAATGGCGTCCAGAAGCCCAACAAATAAGAAAGGATGCTGCAGAATCTCTACGGCGAATGACATACACGTCTGTCGTGCGAGTATTCTGTAGCTCTCCTCCTCCAGCAGTGCTGACAGTCGAACTAGGTTACGTGCTATAGTCCCGTTGACGGACGGTGTCGCCGACTCCGTTCCTGTTTTCAAACGGAGAAGAGGCCCTGGAGTACCTGGCGTCATGACGGCCGGTGTGCTGTAATAGCCTGCTGGCGTGGTTCCTGCATATGCGATAAATTGACTATTGAGTTGCTCTATCACAACACCGTCAGTAATTGTTACAAACGTACCCGCAAAGGAAACTTACTCTGCAGCTGCTCCGCAAATTGAAGATAGCTATCGTCGAAAGCCGCCTCGTACATGTTCAACAACCCGCCGATGAGGTACGCGTAATCATCTGCGAAGCCTGGCGTATTCCCCCTGGCCCCATCGCGGTAGATACGCCAAAGCTGACCGCTTGCTGTTTCAAAGAGGTTATCTTTGATGAAATTGATGGCTTTCGCTGCCGCTTCCCTGCACTGCACAGCCTTTGAATGGTCAATCTCGTCAAAGAGAATACTGGCCTTTGCCAATGCACCGATGGCAAGTCCGTTCCACGCCACAATGATCTTGTCGTCAAGGTCAGGACGAATCCGTGTCCGTTCTCGATGCCCACGCAGCTTTTGTTTCGCAGATTTTATGATCCTGACCACCTCCTCTTCACTCAGCCCAAACTCCTTCGCAAGCTTGCTCGGCGTGACCTTCACCGATAGCACATTCTGGTTCATAAATTCGTCGTGCGGGTCGTTCTCGGGGGCAACGTTGCCATCAGGATGGACTCCCCAGTGACGAGCGCACACCCCAGCGTCCCGCTGGCCAAGGACCTGCGTCAACTCCTTCAACGTCCAGACATAAAAGGCTCCCTCTCGCTTCTCTGTGTCGTTCGGGGCGGGAATGCTATCAGCGTCTTCGGACGAGTAGAACCCGCCTGTAGCTGACAGGATAGGAGGGTTAGTCAGATAGGCAACTAGATCGTAGACGGCGCCGAGCAGCTCCGGGTCGTGAGTCAACTTAAAGGCGTCCACGTATACATCCAAGAGTTGAGCATTGTCGTAGAGCATCTTCTCAAAGTGGGGCAGACTCCAGTCGGAAGTCACGCTGTATCTTGCGAAACCATGCCCGATGTGATCTCGGATGCCTCCGCGGGCCATCTTGACAAGCGTCGTAACTGCCATGGCTGTCGCATTTGCGCACTCATCCAGACCAACAATATCCGAGATGGCACTTGGGTAGGACCCCAAACGGAGCAGAAAACTCAAGTTTGCTGGAGTAGGGAATTTAGGTGCTCTGGAAAACGCTCCGTTGTTGGTGTCAAATCGAGAGGCAAAATGGCGATAGGCCTCTTCGAGGAGCTCGATTTCAAGGTCCTCCTCATCTCCCCGCTCCCCATAAGTATGTGTCCCTTCCTCGGCAAATTCTCTCAGTTGCTTTGTTATTTCCTTTGCATCGTCACGGCAGCGCTGCTGCTGCGTCTGCCACACGTCTCTGAGTTTCTCCAGTATTTCGACAAACGAGATCGTGTCATGTCCAGTGAGCGACGTGGCATTGGGGCCGGGCCAGTAGGTGCCACCAAAGACAGGTTCAAGGTCCGGCGTCAGAAACACATTCAATGGCCAACCACCAGAGCCCATGGTTGCCTGCACATAGTTCATGTAAACATCGTCAATGTCAGGGCGTTCTTCCCGGTCGACTTTTATCGGTATAAAGGATTCGTTTAAAAGCGATGCCACTTCAGGAGACATGAACGACTCCTTTTCCATGACATGACACCCTATTTCCATCACAAGTCAGATGTGTCCCTGGTAAGAAGTAAATGCAGATCGCAAGGGAAACGGGTACAGACAGTGACATGCAGAATAACCGATACTGAGGAAGATAAGCCTATTGTGCTCCCGGGCCAAATCGATCGCCTCTGAATCCCATAGCTGCCAAGCTACCGGGTTGTTCATATGTCCTCGAACCTGTTCCCAGTCAGTCTCAAAACGAGCAGCCGGGAGGGATTCTATCTCACATAGGGCGATCTGCTTTGGCGAAGCCGATTGACCAGGTTCAGTTGGTTGTCTGCACCACCCTCATGCGCCTGTGTATGCGTCACCGATGGAGTGGTCATTTTCGCAAAACCATCCAAGTTGGGGCTGCAGGTGAGTTTCTTTGTCGCTACGGCCGTATTCGACTTGAATCCAAATTCAAGAAGGCCCAGAGTACTAGTAATGAGGGGTTGCGCTAGGCAATGCGCAGCTAAACGATTCGCAGATAACGCGGAGATCGCCCACGTATGCAAGATATGCACGAAATAGAAGGGCTGGAATACTGCCTAGAGCAGGTCAACTCAACAAATACCGAGTACGGATGCAGGGTCAGACAGGTTCCTACTCGAGCGTTATTGACTCCGAGAGATCGCCCCGAGTCCCAGCCAGTGCGTCATTGCTTATGTACACGTGACCAGTTTCCACCGAAGAAGCCTCCGTTCCGTTTATATATCTCTGGAAATGTGCCTTGCAGTTGCTTCCGGTATGTCATGGCGTGGTTATTCAAGGTAAATGGAAGGAATCTGCTTATAGCTGCCCAAAACTGGGACACTAGTATAATAAGATATAAAGTGCTAGGTGGTTAACTGTACACTGTACAGGGCGGCTTCATTATTTATGTTTCTTTTTCCCTAATGGGTGTCGCAACATGCTTATAATTCAAGAAGAAAGTCCCCCAGGTCAGTCCTCAGCCATGAGTTCTGCGAGTTCCCGTTCTTCTTCCTCGGTGAGTATTGTTTCAGGGTTAGGCTTCTCTTCATCCTCCTCGACCTTCTCACTCTTGGCCCGATTTACCGCTTGCAGAAGTTCATCTGGCAAGAGTGACCATTGGCGGATGGTTGCATCGATTCCAACACTCACGACCGTCCAACCAATCAATACGAGTCCCGTAACCTCTTCAAAGTGACCAGTAAATGTGTGGTAGAGTTCTCCAGTCTGGAAAGGTCAGCAGGGACTATGCAAGAAATAAGACAGACACCTACAGATCTCTTCCACACGCGAACTTCCTCGTCCCTGCAGGCAGTAACTACCCACCCTCCTTGTTCTTGAACAACAACGTCTCTGACAAAGTCCGGGTGCTGTAATACCAGGTTTGGTTTCCAAGCATCGTCTCTCACAAGACACTTGGCGGTTTTGTCAGCGGAAGCCGTCCACAAATCGGCGTCAGCGTCGAAAAATAGCTTGTAGACACTCGTTTCATGGACGAGGAGGGGTTCCGTATCTGTGCTATCAACATCGCCAGCATCGGGGGATACGTCAAAGAGACGAATTTCCCGGTCACTTCCAGCACTGAATATCTTCAGTTTTGACCCATCAGGAGTAAGAGACAGGGGGTCAATAGCGAGGTCCTGGACTCCTCTTGAGTGACCCCTTAGCACCTGAAGTCGCCGGCCACTGGCAATGTTAAAGACTACAATCTTCGCGTCCGAGCCGCCGGATATAAGAAGATCTTGACCATGCACCCTGGCAGTGACAACCGACCTCACGAAGTCGGTGTGGCCCTCGTATCTTCGCCCAGGCTTCAAGGAAGCCACGTCCCAGCTCCAGATCGTCTTGTCCCAGCATCCCGCAAATAGTAGCTTGCCATCTGGACTAAAGCAGAGGCTTGTCAAAGGAGCAGTTGGTCCTTTGAAAATGGCAGCTGTTTCACCTGTCTGTAGGACGTACCAATAAGAAGTTGTTTTCTGTGGGAAAGTACACCGGCACACATACTTCGAGAACAATTCTCCTCACTGTGCCTCCGCTCTGAGCGACATACACCGAGCCTGCATTCAGAGGGTCTGCCTTGATGGCGAGGATCTTGCTCTGAAGCCTGATTGGGTTTCCATTTCCATTTTGGGACTTAGCGTCTTTGCGCTTCTGTTCCACCAGCGAGGCTCTAGAAGGCGCTTGTTAGTACATTCAGAGTTGGAAATGGGTTTATGGGATCCATTACGGACGTGGTTTGGAAGAAATCGTCGCGATTGGAAGAGGTAGCCATCTTTTCGTATATCACTTGGAAGTTAATATGACTACCCCATACGGACAATTCACTGTTCGTGGAGTTGCGGCTGGAGCTCCTGCCGTCCGCCGTAGCCGCAGTGCCTTTTCCACTTCGAATTTGCTGCAGCTGGTTTTCCTCAACTCTCTCTTCCCTCTCTCCTCCCTCTCTCCCCGTCTCCCACACCTCCCCTAGTAAACAACTCCCCTTCTGCTCTCTGTTTCCTTTCTTTGTGCGCGTGGCCACGCGCTATCTGCCAGCATGGATATGAATCATTTAATAGGGTCAGTTTCTGTGTTCCTGGTCTGATCCAGGGTCTGTGCAGCCAAGCTCAAGTTAACAACTGGCAGTCAACGATTCAACTTGATCTCAAAGAGCGACATTCGGTGCGTTACCCAATATTTCTTTCACACTCAAATTGGCTATTTGCTGACTCTTACTGGAAAGATATGTAGGCACTCTGCATGAAATCAACCCAGAAGCCTCGACTATAGCCCTCGAGAATGTCGTGTCCTTCGGAACCGAAGGTAGACGAGGCAATCCTGCCGAGGAGATTCCTCCGTCCGCCAGCGTCTACGAATACATCGTCTTCCGTGGCAGCGATGTGAAGGATATCAGTGTGGCCGAGGACACAAAGGAGAATGCGCAGCCTGAGCCGCCCCAGGTTCCTGACGATCCTGCCATCTTAGGTGTAAGTGGAGGACTCCTTCAAATCTTACCTCCCCCATTTGAGGATCAGGCCTATCTCTTTTGTGGTTGTAGCTCTTGATCATATGATGAATTATTACGGATGTAAACTCACAGACCTGTTCTGAATGCGCGAAATCCTTGTTGATATTTCCGTTGCCTTCCTTCTGATGATCGGATTATATCTCTATACAACACGTGCCTTGATACACCACGGTTGAACTGGCGGCTTGCTGACATATTTGTTACAGAGTGCATCTCGACCAGGTCCTCCTCAGGGAATCCCCCACTCCCAGCCACCGCCGCAACCTCAAGTTCCTCGTCAGAGTCCTTCAGGCTATCCGCAACCTCAATTCCAAGGTTTCTACCCTCCTTATGGACAGCGCTTTGGTCCCCCTGCCTTCCCATCTGGTCCAGGATTTCCGAATATGCCATATGGAATCCCTCCTGGATGGTTCCCTCCGCCCGGACAAGGCTTTCCTCAAGGTCCAGGGCAGTTCCCTCCCCCACATATGCCTGTCGGATTTGGTCAACAGCAACCACCTCGTCCTGGACCTCCTGGCGTCGGTCCCGCGGTTTCTTCCAAACCTGCAGCCGAACTTCCAATCGGCGAAAAAACATCTAGCAAGCCTGCTAGCCGAAATGTCACCCCTGCGCCTGCTCCAGTGACTCAAAGTGCTCCGCCCCCACCAGTCGAAACTAAGCCGTCTGCACCAGAAGCTGTGCAACCGCCTGCTACTGCAGCAGCCGGTGGCCCCCCGGGAATCAATGTCCCACAGCAGACAGCACCTCCGGCCAACACCGCCGCTACTGCTGCCGCTGCTGCCGCAGTAGTCCCCTCGACGCCGGCTAAAGTGCCGCCTACTGGTCCTAGAAGCGACCGAATCCCTCCAGCTATCCCAATCGCAACCCCAGTGAAGCCTGCAGCTGCGAATAATTCTGTGACTGGCACCCCTAACAACGTTGCTCAGGGAACTGCATCCAATGCTATTACCGAAGCTACCCGTGCAGCCACTGCTGCCGTTGCTGCAGCCATGGCCAAATTACCACAGCCAAGTTCGCAGCAGAAACCTTCTCGCACGGATGCCGCTGTCGAAGTTGCTACCAAGAAATTGAGTGAAATGAAGCCATTTGATAACAACCGTACCCAGCGTGGCGGCTATCAGAATCGTGGCGGCCGTGGTGGTCACCGGAACCAGTACCAAGGTGCCAAGAAGGTCGAAGTTCCGAACACTGATTATGACTTTGAATCCGCAAATGCAAAATTTAACAAGCAGGATCTAGTCAAAGAAGCCATTGCCTCGGGATCACCCATGGCTGAGAACCAGGAGCACGTCCAGCACAAGGTTGAAGCGGCGGCACCTTCTACTAATGGTACTGCGCCTCAGACAACCACCGTGAATAGCTACAACAAAGCTACATCCTTCTTTGACAACATCTCCAGTGAGGCTCGTGATCGAGAAGAGGGTACCGGAGGTCGGCCTGGTGGTCGCGAGTGGCGTGGCGAGGAGGAGAAGAGGAACATTGAGACTTTCGGCCAAGGCAGTGTTGATGGATATCGTAACTACAGAGGCCGGGGCAGGGGAAGGGGCTATGGCGGACCTCGGAGCAGGGGCGGTTATAATCGTGGCTACAATGCGCGAGGCCGTGGTGGTACAAGGGGAGGTCGCAACGCCTCACAATCTACCGGTGCCCCGACTCAGAGCTAGTCGTCTTCACTATTTGACCTCGAACCACTCCAGGAGTACCTACTACGAACGATAATCTCTTTTCACATGGCGATGGTTTTGTTCTTATTTCTTTTTGGCATTTATCCGGTTAAAGGTGGGAATATTCGGTATCAGCTTGCTTAGTTACTGGCGTTTGTTCAACCTCAACGATTCGCATGGGTTGCTTTTAAAGCCTCCGTTTGCAATACTGATGGGTCCTTACGAATTATCGTGCTTGCACGCTTACTTTGCCTCTTTCTTCCTACGCAATCGGACAGGGACGGACGCGACAGTGCGGAAATTCAATCAATACTTGATGAGCCATGGAATGTCTTTGTACTCTATTTTGGCATGACGTGTATTTGACTGCTTTCATGTCGTGCACGCCTACCCCCGCGTTTCTTACAACTGATCTCGCTCTCCTTTCTCGCCATGGCGGATTTCTGATATTTTCGTTTGATATCCTTGAACAATTTGGTTTTCTCATTGATTCACTCTTTGAGAACTCCGTGTCAGGTTAACTAGGTAGTTGGCCATCCCAGCGGTGGGATATGACACCTGGGAACTGACGTTGATGACAAGCAATTTCTGTGTATGATAAAGAGGGAAAAAATTAACAATAAAAAAAAGATGGCCATTTGGTCGATTTGTTTGATGTCTGGTCGTAAGTTCTGTCGGGTATTTCAGTAGCTCTAACATGCTACCAGATAATCCCATCATTCATAGACAGCATATGCAGGATCAATCAGCTTGGTTTTTACTCATGCATTGTTTACATGTTGCTATCTGCCTGTGGATATCTCAGTGACGACAATAACCACCTTCACCTTCATTCCCCAGCCTGTTCTCCCCCCAATCCAATTCTTCTTCTTGCCCACCTTCTCTATCTTCTTGGCCATCCGTTCCAGGACTTCCTTCGTTCTCATCTGATCAGAACTGAGATGTTGCATGGTAAATGTAAGCTCGACCCCGAACTTGTCGCCTTTCTTGCCCAGATCCGTGACCAATCGAGCTGACGCCCAAACGCGCGGTCGAAGAGAATCCATGATACCAGTTGGATAGAGCTTCCCTACTACGAGACCTATTCTGGCCATGTAACTAATCCACCATACTTCTTCGGGAGTCAGCAGGCTTCGCAGCTCCGATTTGACTTTATCCTCTCGCGGCGGCAGTTCGCCATCATATCTATCTTCGAGCAACAGGGCTAATCTGGCACGGTCCTCGTGGGATATTCCATGCGCATAGGCAAGGATTCCTGTGCTGGTACTATACAGGGCTGTGGTGGACGCGAGCTCCTTGGGTAAATAGGCGTGTGCGTACAAGACGTTGGCGAACGACTGGATCAAGTGGACGTTGAGCGTGTTTGGCCAACATCGTTGGCTATCTGGTATGGCGGGGGGGTTGCAGCCAAAAAGAAATGGCCGATTAATCCAGCTGAGGGTTTTCGAAATGAAGACGTTGCAACCTCGAGAGGATCCTGTTGTCGGATCACAGGGGTAAGCTGGCTGTACAGGATTCCCTCGCGGATTCCTCCCTGACAGAAGCGTGCCTCCTTGATTCCGTACGGGACAGATTCAGCTAGGGCGTTCACGAGGAATGCGACGGCGGGTACTTGCTTTCGGCGATGATCGGAGACGCGAAATATTTTATGGGCTGTCCGAGCTACTTCCTTCAACGTCCGTGTGTTTGCGAATTCGTCTCTTCCAGCTCGATACCCATTGATGATTGATATGGGATAATGTCGACCCCGAGTCTGGTGGAGGTAAAGAAGAAGATACCCCCATCCGCGAAAGCCGCCACCGGACATGTACAGCTGAAAGCCTCCTTCCTTCCTGGCCTTGTCAACAAGAGACTCCGGAATCTGAAGTTTCTCATACGCATCAAGGAAAGTCCGCTTCATCTCCTGCTGGAACTTCTTCACGGCACGATCCGCCTCCTTATCCCTCCCCTTCTGCAACTCAGATAGCTTCTTCGAAAGCGCCCCGGCTCCATATGGGAAACTAAGGGATCCCTCCGGGCTCATATGGAGATCACCCGCATGTGAGACGACCCATGTTATCTGCATGCTCCCCCCTCCCAGATCCACAGCGAGCCCTTCAACATCTGAGAAACCACTAGCAATTCCCCAAGCGCCTAGCCTTCCTTCATGGGACTTGTCCAATATCTCGATCCGAAGCGTCGTTGCGTCTTCAATTTCCCTGACCACCCCGTCGGAATTGATAGCAGTACGCATGGCCTCGGTCGCGACAATGCGAATACGTCCTGGTAAAACCCCGAACTGGAAACATGTAACCTGGAACCGCAGGATGGCACCAATGACAGATCGAATGACATACCGACTAATCGGCCTTCGTTCCCCTGTTTTCGGATCGAACTGCGCATTGTATAGCGATATCCCTACCCGGTATGCATGGACTGTGGGGAGAATTCGCCCCGCAGGAGGTGTAAGATCGGATATAGAGAAGCGGATACCATTGCTATGAAGATTAGAAAATGCTGAAAAAGTCAGCAGAGTGTTTTCCAAGAACAGTCGTACTCCTAGTACCGGGCGGATTCAAACACCACATCCGGGGTATAGGTATAATAATACTTGCCTGCCCATGTCAGCCAGAGCATACAAATAGTTATCAGCTACATCCTCTGAAAACTCAAGCCTTCCTTTCGACCTTTGCGGAAATAAAGGACCGCCTCCCATGGCTGAGTCTGGGAAAATAGAAGCGGGGTCCTTCGGGTTTACGTAGACATGCAGATCATGTTGAATTTATATATTATTGAATTGCAAGACGCCTTCTTCAAATGGATTCCGAAGATGAAAAGTTTTGGAGCTCCATGTCTGTTATAAGGCTGATAATAATAGCTGTTCGCTGAGGACCGTATGGGCTATAACCTCATCACTTTTATCCCCCTGGAGCACACAAACTCTAGTCAGTCACAATCAGTTGGTAAATCAAGAAGTTTATATAGTATCGAAACATGATGCAGCAATAATATGCACCCTCGAAGGCCAGAAGAAAAAGCACTAGGTGCATCGACGAGACATGAAGTCGGTAGGGGGGAACGAGTATAAAGAACCAAGACTGGGAAGTCAACTCATTAGCTTATAATGCAGCAGTTCGCTAACAAGATTCTTCGCACCGTGTTTAATATCTTCTTCCTCTGCATCCATAAGAGTCTCCTGGGCCATGACAGGCAGGTCTGTATCATGGACCTAGCAATATCCAGACGCGGCGCCGAGTGAGCAACATGGACCCGAGGAGCAGGTGCCATCACAACCACTGGCCGGTGCCTTGGGACGCATCGAGATTCGCTTGGAGATATAATTAATCCCAATTCAAGAGAAACGTCAAAGCTGCCTGGGATCACACGTGATCCCATACTTGACAATGATGGATGAAGGCTCACTCAGCCCAATTGTCGCCGTAAAGACGGGCTGAATCAGTCTTCATTTGGCTATTTTCAGCAAGACTGCCACCATGGACGAGAAATACTTCAAGCTTGATCCCAAAGACGCTGACCTCCTCATTCTACGAGCAGAGGAAGGAGATGATTCCAGCATGGACACCGAATCCGCTGAAGACAGCAAATCATTGGAGCCAAGCGCGTCGTTCTCTCCTCATAAACATCATCCACCCAGGAATATGGCCTTGTGGACATGGATCTCATATGTCTACAATGTCCCAAATACCCATCTTCCATCATATCACCAGGGCAAGGAGTCAGTTCAGATCTGGGATCTCCCATACCCAAAGCAGTTATCGGTATGTGCTCCTCGCTCTCCTGTAGCAAAACAGCTTTTTACTTTCTTTCTCTCCCCTTTCCGACAATAGTATTAATTTATCTGCGAACAGACGAAATCGAGAAGCAACAACATGACCCCGTCGACTACGTCGTATCATCTCTCTACTCTGCACGGAATTTAAAAAAGAAGGCCCAACCTGCTGCTACGAATGCGACTGTTATGATGCTGGGTTCTTTGGTCAAAGAAATGGACAAACAGCACCTGCTATCTCCCCAGCACTTAAGCTCTGTGGATGTCGTCCAGAGACTTATTTGTCATGGGACAAAGTTCCGCCTAGGGCTGTATTGTACCCTAACCCTAACTACCTTCACCCATATCTACATGCAGTTGACCATGGTTACGTCCATAATTTCCTGCCTCACTTCTTTGCGGTCAATATAATATCTTTCCTATTCTGGTCTCTCCCAAGCTGTCTACCGTTCCTTCATCTCAATATGATAAATAAAAACGGGTCGTTGAGGAACACAGCCGTCGATTTCTGACCCTGCGAGGAGTACTGTTTTTGTTGTCCACCCGAACGCCTGAGAGCCATTTAACAGCGCCGAATTTGGGTTCCATTAATTGAATGCTGTCTCTTCGGCTTGAAAGGTCATAGTCCATGGAGAATAATATATTGGCCAGCTGCAGCTCTGTTATACGTCAGCATCATCCATTCCTTCCCAGGGACACCATGAACAAAATCCAAACCAAGTAATATCTGCCTCGAAATCTCAAACATAATCAGTGTGCTGTGCATTCTCTCGAACAGTCGTCGCTTCACCATCAGACAGCATAACGGGAAGCGCAAGACAAAAAAGGTGTACGCCGTTCGGGCCTAATGCTCAAAATGGTCCGATAACTGCATGATATGAAAAAAAAAAAAAAAAAAAAAAAGATTATCCATATTCATACTCGGAAGTTCATTACTGCTTCATCTACATCATAAAATAGGAGAAAAGGATAATGAACGAATCAGACAAACATGAAACAGTGGAAACACAAGTCCCAGCCCTGAAGTGAAAGAAATGAACAAGCATCCAAACAGATCGTGACCATGACAACATCACATTTCAAAAGCAATCAGATTAAGGAAAGAAGAGTATTACACCAACAGGGAAAAAAATCATAAACATAAGAGACTCATAAAATCGTCAATCATCAATCAGAAGACGTCCTCGGGCCACTCGAAGTTCTCTTTACCAAGATCAGTAGCAACCGATGCTTTCTCCAAGCCAGATTTGGGCTTTTTATTGTAATTTCTCCTATTATTCTCCTTCTCAACCAGTCTGGCCAGGAAACTGTCCCTCTTGGCGTTTTTGGCCGCTTCGATTAACTCTTTTGGTAGTGGAGGGACGGGAGGGATATCATCATCGTATTTCATAAATTCACGTTCGTAATCATATTCGTCATCGATCTCTGCGTTACTGGCATGGTCAAGCTGGTCGTTGGCGAATTGTTGCTGGTGCAGTTCGATTTTCTGCGAAGACGAATTTTTGCGATTTCCAGAGTTGGCGTTCGCAGAGCGAAGATCAGGCATGTCCCCTCTGGTCCGAAGCATGGGGGTATTCCGGTTCCTTAAGCCAGGAGACTGTCGACGCGAAGAAGAGGGGGATCTAGACTGATGCTGTCTGGACTGTTTCCTTTCCACAGAACCGGGGCTATCCTCTGTCCTGTTTTTGGGAAGCTTTGATTTCCGGACCTGATTTGCCCTGGAGTCAGGTGTGGTCGGGATGCAGTTCTGCCCATTTTGGTAGCCCGAAAATGCGGTAGGTGACGTCGGGATCGGCTCAGGATTAGATGATTTCCTTTTGTTGGATGAGGAGGGATGAGGCTTAATAATGTTCTTTGCATCCTCAACGTCCAGGGTCCTGAGAAGATTCCCTGACGTCGACCTAAGAACCTGCCTCTTGACAGGTGGCTGTTTCGGTACCCCCTCTGGGCTCCAGACGATTCGAGGGACACTCGGAATCTCCGCATTGTCACTGTCGCCATCGGACTCGTTCGACCGCAACCCAGAGAACCTATCCGATGAGACGGCAGGCAAACACCCTGGCACGAACCTTCTGTTATAGGACTTGGGAACGTACGGAACAATGGGCTCTGTCGGGAGTTCGTCACCACCTTGGAGGTTGCGGAGCTCTCGACGCGCCTTGTCTAGTTTCTCTTCAAGATTGCTGACTTGCTTCAGAAGTTTGGCTTGTTTCAAGAGGTCCTTGCGAGATTTCTGTTTTCGAACCTGGGTATCAGCAGCGTTGTCACCTTCTTCAATAGAAGTTCTCGGAGCCTGCAACTGAGAAGATGTCCATGCATCCTGGCGTTTGATGGCAGATACACTCGACAAAGCTGACTTGGCCCTGCGGAGATCCGGGACAGATGATCTGAGGGAAGACATCCGGTCGAGCCGTCCAGAGGAGAGCTGCGGATGAGCAATAACCTCCTTGTTCGCCGATGGATATCTCCCAGCCTGGGACTGCGACGGCCCCGAGGAAGTCTGTCTCATATATCCCCCAGGTTGTTTGTTGCTAGCAGTGGCAGTGCTGGTACCGTCATTGTAGTCCATCATGTCCTGTATCGCCTTCCAGGTCTGCTGGGCAATCTTCTCATCCGCATCAGTACTGGCACTGGTGCTGGAACTGGCACCGGCACCGACACTTTGCAAGTACTTCCCCTTCACCGTCCCCTTGTAACCAGATCTCTTCAGCTCCTCGTAGGCCTTTTCCGCACGAAGCTTCAAATCATCCGCCTCCGAGTTGACGTAATTAGTATTGTTATTATTGCCGCCGCTGTTACTATTCTGCTCGGAAGAATTTTTCCATAGATCAGACACGCTCCCCCAAGAGCTGCCAAAGGGGTTAAAGGCAGAGGCAATCGTCTTCCCGAATCGGAAAATCCCAAACTTGTCATCCGCTGACTTCCCAGACCGTCCATGATCACGCATGAAGATACTGGGCGGCTTCCGACTGACGCTATCGCTCATGGTTTCCTCAATGAACCGAGACCGTCGGACCTGGTTATTCCTAGCCTCCGCCGCCCTGCGAGAAGCAGGACGAGGGCTCGGAGACAGTCTGTAGTAATTCTTCCCTGCCTTGCCATTGACAGTAACAAGATAGCGGCTACTATTACTGTGGCGCAGTTGACGACCCTTGCCATTAGCACTTGCCGGAGCATGTGGCGATATCGCTTCTGGTCCCTCACTGCGAGTCAGGGGCCAGTTGTTGTTCGAACGGTGTCGCTTTGCAGAGTGTGTCATGGCGGACGATAAGCATAACGCTTGCTCGTTGCCATGGCCGTTCTGGGGTGTTTGAGACCCGACCTTGTCATGGCTGTTATGGCAGGAAAGCTCGTCATCTGGAACGGTGGACGAAGAACCGCTTCGTGGATGTTTTCGTGCCGCGGAACCAGAACCAGAAAATTGGATGTTTGAGACACTGTCCAGCGTCTGCGGAGTATGAGAGGTCGGTCCGTGGGGATCAAAAACAGAGGGTGTCTGGATTGTGCAGAAGAAGCCATCAGAATAAGAGCAACAACAAGGACAGAACAAGGGTGAAACCATACCTGTGCCCGTTCCTCCGCATCGACTCCGGCTCCTTTCCCCGCCATCTTCACTGCAATACTGTTCTTGAGGGAATACGTTATATTAATTATTAACCGTGCACGGTTGTGGTTGTGGTTGTGGTTGCGGAGAGAAGAGAGACTAGGTCTCAGCGCAAGACAAGCAAAGTAATTACCCCACGAAAGCTAGAAGGAAACAAAACCAAGGAAACCCCCCTGAAAGTGAAACAGAGGAGATGACGGAGAAGAATAATATGATGTAAATAAGTGATGCAAAGAGGGAGAGGAATGGAGACGGGGGTGTGTTATTAGACGGCGCAGAGGAGCGGAGGTTGTTTTTGTTTACATTGGTTTGCACGGCGTTTCCGAGGCACTGCCAGTCAGTCGCTGCAACGCCCTTCCACCAACGCATGCATCTGCATCATCCATCTGGCAAGGCTTGATATGCGACACGTACGCGGGGTAAACTAAGCTATTTACATGGCCAATGGCAAGCACATCCGATCGTGCCGTCCTGCCGGTTTTTTGACGTCGTGCTTTGGTTCTGTCGAGCGATCAGTTGGACGGGTCATTGTTTACCTTCATCTGCCTACGCAACAAGCCATCGGACACGCTTGAAATTGACATGTAAACAAAAAGCGATACTAGCAACGTTGTGGTCGCATTGAATATACAATACACTCGAGACAGCGCAAATCAACGGGTTCCATTACAGCCAGACAGTAGCTGGCAGGACTTTGTATCTCCCAATTAAAAGCACTTACCAACCCTGCTCTCCTGAACCCATCAGATATTCCGGAAAATAAAACAGGAGTATAAACGAAGGATGGAAGAACAGGCTAAAACAAGCAGAAACGAGATCAGCCTAAAAGAAAGAAAGAAAACGCATAAAGAAGGACGAAAAAGTGACTTTATAAGAAAAAGAAATAGTAGTGTAGCCTCCGGGATAACCTATAGATTATTCAAGAATCGAAACCAGCCCAGCTTACCACCCTTTTGAATGTGTTATAGCAGGAAAAGGACTGCTCGTCTGTGGTTGACCGTATAGAATGTCACAAGCACGGTCACGAAAAGAAATATAAATAAAACCCCCGGCCCACTTGTAATGTTTTAATGAATTATAGCCGCCCACGGTAGATAGGAAGAGAACAAGAAAGGGCTCAGTAACAGCGAGGGAAAGTAGTTGAAAGAAGAAACAATAGTAAATCCATTTTTCGAAGGAACAAGAGTAAGTGGTATCCAAGAAAAGCAACAAGACCCGAGTACAAAAGGATGACGAGAAGAGAAAACGAAGAGGAGAAAGTAGTCGGTTGAGGGACATGTAAAAGACATGTGTGGTATCAATGTATCAAGGGAGCTTTAGTATCGTAATAGTCCTGAGCTGGACAGCCAAACAAGCCATGGCAGTGTAAATCGAGACCGAAAACAGGGGAATCAGACAATCCAAACATTCCTAATCGACAAAGCGTATCATCAAGGCCACGACGTGGGTTCCGGAGATCTAGATACCCGCTATGGATTTGGGTGGATTTTCATCGCTATTTTCCCGTTTGCTCGTTTGTATTCCATTTCCGAACGAGTATCCTTGTACCAGGGCGGGTAGCAGGCCCCTGATTGCTTCTGGCGCACACTAGGGTACGTTGTTCCACTGGGACGCATGCCATTCTTGAGAACTTCTTCATCATGACCAAAGAATTCGGTGTGGGAACGCTTAGACAAGACCGACTCCGGATCGTACAGCGGCCGTTTGGTCGGAGTCATGTCGTAAATGGGACTCTGGGGGATGCTGGTCATCGGCTGCGTTTGGCTAACGGGGTAATCGGTAGCCAGGGTCTTGAGAGGCGGAAGGGATGGCATCATGTTTATGGGTGTCTGAGAACGAGAAGCGGGTGACGGGAGTGCGGACTGGTAGGCGTTTGGATCGGAAGAGCGCCGCTCACCGAAGGGTTGCACCTGCATTGGCTTCGGAGGCTCTAGGAGGAGGGGAGGTAGAGCAGTTTTCGGGTAACTTGGTGACTCCTGAGGACGGGACGCGAATGGATAGGCAACCGAAGCGGAATCGAATTCGGACCCGTTTGGATCGTTCCTTGAGTGCATATACGATGGGTGCGACGGGTATGAGATCTGAGGTGCAGCAGATGGAGGAGCCGGTGCTAGCTGGGGACCCGGGTATGGAGGCGGTGCGGAACCAAAGCTAAGGTGTGACTGCTGAGCATGGGACACGGGAGGTGGTGGGCCAGACGGTACAGGAGGCGCATGTCGTCGATAGGGCTGCTGGCAATGGTAACCATATTCGGGGATGGATGGTCGGCGTGAAGCGTCAACGGGATATGGGAACGGATGCTCGACAGGGCCATTGCTTGTCGACCGAGGGCGTTCAATTGGAGTCGCAGCATACGTATCGGGGGTGGTGTATCTGCTGGTTCGACCATACAGCCGTTCTTCCTCATATTCGTAATCGTCAGCTGCTGGCTTGTTATCGCCGCGCCGTCTCATGCGGACATCGCGCCTGATCCGAACACGGCATCCTTGCTCTGCAATAATGCGGCTCAGCGAGGTACTGGTGGCCAGCCCAGGAAACTTCTTAGCACTATAGACGGTGAACGGTTTCGACTTTACATCGAGGCGGAAATTCAAGTACGTCTGCGGAGGCTGTGGTTTGGATGACTTGGTGCACGAGAACGAGGTTTGTGGCGGCAGAGAATCTTTATCGGCATCTTTCGGGTCCTTGGTCTCCTCGTACAGATGGAAGCTCAGTCGATATCGACCCTCGCGGCGAACGGACAGATCGGGGAAGATGAAATAACCAGCCTGGGACGGGCGATCCAGATATGCGACACCGGCCACAGGAACACCAGTCAACACGGGACATGTAGGGATCCCCGAGGTTCTGCCGGGCGCGATAGGGCAAGCGGTCTCCAGCGTAGCATACAGAAAGAAGTTGGCATTGAACGCGAAAGTTACATCTGTCTTGCGCGCATCGTCGTTCGGATCGGATTCGAGAACACGTAGTTCCACAACGGGCGGTGGATCGACTGGACGACGGTCGGCGGATGCTGTTCAAGGTTACTAGTCAGCTTGCATTCTGTCGTCTCCTTATTTGGCCCTTTTTCAGTCTGCAGAACACGTACACTTAGCACCAGCACCGCAGGCTCTTGCGCGCTCTGGTTGCTGCATGACGGTCAACTTATACGTGATCCGCTTCCCTTCGCGAGTAATCCTGCTGGAGGAATGCTCCGTCTCGTTGGCCGGAGGTAACATTGGTGCTCTGGCCGCCATTGTTGATTTTCAATCCAAGCGAAAACGTTTGTGTATATTCTGCAAGTGGAATTGGAAAGATGGTCAGCACACACAGGACGCCAACGCGGATGACCTGCGAAGGAGTGGATGGCAGGCTCCTCGAAGATCGCAAGAGGCCCTCTGCATGATAGCGAGGACGGACAGGCAAGAAATACATAACAGTACCATCAGCAGGCTATGTAAGAGTTCAATGGAGGGGGGATTCTGCGGCGTCTCGACAGAAGCTGGCTGGTTCTACAGTCTAACACGGGGGAAGGAAAGAAAGGAAAGAAACGACACGGAACAGAAAGGTAAAAGGGATGGGAATTTTAGATGGAAGATGAACCCCTGGCAATAATGGAGCCAACGTCGACCCGATCGGGTCACGACTGCAACGGGCGACGCAGAGGGGACCAGAGGGGGACGAGATAAAAGATCAAAGAAGGACGGGAGAAGGAGAAGAAGGCGCAGGAGACGAGCAGGAGAGGGAGGCCCGTGTGAGTGCGACTTCGTACTCTTAGTCTTACTAGTACTAGTGCGCAGACCTCTTGTCCGACCAGGGAAAGACGGAAGGCTTCAGAGCCGAAACGGTGGGTAATGTGCGCCCTGGCGCGTGCTTTGACTGGCAGGGACAAGGGGCTGGTGGGGCCTGTGTGCCGCACCCCGCCAATCACCCCCTGCGCCGCAACCCAGAAGCGAGCTGGTGGAGGTCGGCGGCCTGGAGTGGGGCTCTAGCGGGTCGATCTGGTTGGAGACGGAAAAGAGAACCACGGGCGTTCTGGGCCATTGGGAACCAGCACCGGCCATTTATTGGGTCTGCTGACGGAGAGCTTTCCCGCGTAAGCTTCTACACTAGTCGTTTTGTGGTTAGTCTGTGCAGCTACAAATACCAAAGGTTGTGCCGGGCGGGGCTTGTGCAAAGGCTGTGTCGCAAGTCTACTGGATGCAGTGCTCGGCCTCCGGTCGCGACAGTCCGAGCAGCCCCACTTGGAGCTGACCGGTTCGAGTTGGATCTGGGAAGGGAAAGCGCGTCCTTCCGAGAAAATGGAGATGGCAGGGAGGATATTATACGGAGTACTGATTATCCATTGAATATTGACTTTGTGACAGGTATCCGCAGTCTAACAGGCATCGACAGACGTGCAATCCCAGCTCCTGTTCTGCCGGTACTCGGCCACTACCAGTCCACTGGGCCGGAGTCCGCCCTGGACGACCACGCTGAAACTGCACCACTCCCCGCGCGGCCGAGTCTGCCATTTCAAGTTGCGATGGCTGTGGGGCCACGCTGGCTGAAATGAAAAGATCCCATCCTGATTGTTCCGGAAACATCTTCGATAGCATGATTAATTGTATTAAATATTAAATATTATTGTACTATGATTATTGACAGTCTCCTTTCAGCTATTTATCTAGCGGCTGTGACCATTGCAGAGCTAGCATCCCTGTCATTATAAAGACGTCGCGTCCATTGGCTCCTCCAGTGCAGCATGGACGCTCGTAAAGTCAAACGCAGTAAGATTCACTTCAGCATTTGCAATTGTGATGATAGTCCGGGAGATCAGACATATAGTCTGAATGGCTGTTTCAAGAAACAAAAGAAGATGCTGTAGTATGTCCTACGTACAGTGTACTCCGTTGAAACAGACCATGCGACGCCTTGGCCTCTGTTAACCGAGATGAAATGAACTTCCCATTAAAGCGCACTCCGGAGTCCTATTATTATTCTCGCAAATCCAACCGACTGTTGGAATCGTTCGTCTTCTCTTTCCCCACTGTCATCTGCGCTATAGCCTCAGATATAAAAATGATTATACTCATACGTACTTATTGAGCATCGCCATTTCGCACGAGAAGTGGCAACCGCAGTGGCAATCATCCTGGTCTCATGCGCCGGTGGACAGAGTTCCCGAGGGAACTCTAACTGGGCCTGCCACTCTCCTTTTATCATTATTATCGTCATCATCATCATGATGCTGCATTGACCGACGGGTCTGGAGTCTTCATCAAACACTGTTCAGTGTTTGAGCTCACCCGATGGTCTGAGCGCAGATCCATGGTTCAGCCCGAGTCGATGACTCCCGTTGACTTCCAATGAACAGTAGATCCAAGCATTTGAGCAATGCAATAAACGCACTCCCACGGTTATCAGCCATGTTATAAACCAAACTGTCTCGATCCTCCTTGTATCCCTTCCGGGTCGCCATTCATTCTTGATAGGCCATGTTCCTGGATCCTGTTATACATAATTCTTGATCATGGGCTATTTCTATCATACGACTCTTGCCCTTTGATGTCCTAATGCAAGGTCGTTTGGGTGGAGTGAACACGAACATATTATCGAGGTCTCGTGTGCACCGCAGTACTATTACGATCCTATCAAATTAAATATTCAAATTCAAAAATATACTATCAGACTGGCTCCTTGAAATACACTTGAATGAAGACAGCGACGAAGCATGGAGACTTCGCGAAGGCAACAGTTTGACTTGTCGATTGGAATGTTGCAGGAATTGCCATTTTCGTTATCTCTCCTCATTTGAGAACACGATCTGAAAGCATTCGATTCTCATGAGCTCTGCTAAGGCGATCCTTCATTCTGCGATAGACGGCTGGCTATTCAGTAAATGGCTGAGCCGGCGAGGCCATCTGCACATGGCACAGAGGACGGCAGCGACACTGAATATATATATTGGAAATGCGCTCGCGAATGCTAAGAGGTGGCAATCGATCTGGCTAATCATCCCTCCAAAATCTCCATCATAGCTGTCAGCACTCCTCATGCCAATCCGCAGGTGTAACATAAAAGTCTGTTGGGCTAGTCCTGGACCCTAAACACTGTTCGGGACAAATAGGGCCTTTGGCCCAGCGGTCGTTCGACAAAGTTCAGGACGAGTCTTCCTCGCCCAAGCCCGGAAGCATGAGGTCTTTTTTTTTCGCCGAGACTGGGGCCCTAAGACAATGCACATTGTGCAACATCTCGTCGCTGCATGGTGCGTCGATTTTCAGCTCGGCTACTATCGAGGTAAGGAAGACTGAGGGGTAGGAACTGAAATATGTACGTTCAGGAAGTCCAGGTCCATCACGTACAGCCATTTGACATTAGCAATGAATCTTCCTCGGAGAATCCCTCCGCATCCGGCCCCGGCTTCCCCACATTTCCCCGGATCCTGCTTAGTCACCATGCCATCGGGGGGAGGTCTCCCACTTCGGGACAATGGACAGGCACGTGGAGAATATATTGTACACCCCGACTACGGCAGAGTAGAGTAGAGTAGAATAGAGCAAAATGACCAGGCTGGCATCCCTAAGATAACCCCGAGTACGCAAGATGAGTCAGAAAGCCTTGACCCCAGTGCATTTCTTCTCTCACGGCTCGATGATGATGCTGGGAGAAGAGTCCCAGCCAGCGGACTACTGGAAGAAATGCGGCGATAAGGCACTTGCAAATGGAATCAAGGGTGTCGTTATGATGGTGAGACCGGTGCCCCTTTACGAAGAGTTGCTTGCTTCCTTACTGACTAGAATGCAGGGAGCCCACTGGGGCTGTGTGGGCAACAACAAGATCGAAGTATCAATGAAGCCCAGTGCCTAGAGCTTACCAATATGTGTAATTCGCAGTTTACTATCGGTCAGTGGCCCAGAAAGGTTGCTTCGGCTGCCTGAGTTCTGAATACCAGACTGTTGACTCTTATTTATATAAACCGCTTATGGACACTTCCTATACTATCAAATAAGAATTATATTCTGCGACAATTTCCAAATCAGGATGTTAGCTCACTCAACAGGCCTGGCCCCAGACACGTCCAGCACGCCCTCGCCTTCGACAATCTTAGCCCCGACGATCTCATAGACAGGCAACTCTGCCAGTCTAGATATGACGTGGTGCAGAGTCGGCAGCTGCTCCCAGTCCAAAGGGTCGATTTCAAAGGATGCCTTAGTCGCCGTGTAAGCCCTGCGCGGCTTGGGCCCTGGCTCAACTTCAGAGAACGCATCTAAAACGGTATATTCTTCAGCCGCAGGACCTTTGTTCGCGCAACCGCTCTTAGGCACATATTTATACGAAAGGATCCCTTCATCAGCTTCGCCATCGATGCTACCTCTCGTGTCAGATGCGAGATCAGACTCGACGAGACCCTCCAGGTGAAAACTGCCCCAGGATGCACCCTGCCAGCCTGCTCGAATTCGGTAGGACGTCGCTCGACGATAGACGTCGATGGATGCGTACAGCTTAGGCATGCCCAGCTCTTCACGGTCAGAGATGATCGGATCCGCCAGCGACTCAAACAGGATCGGGAGATATGTCCCTTTAATTACGGAGCCATCCTTTTTGACGTATTCGACTCCGTGCACGTAGAAACCAAGACGGTGGTAACCTGAGCCGCCGAGCCACTCCATCTTGTCCAGCGTCGTCTGTGAGAACGACGCGTAGGCAAACGTGTCCGGAGAGCTGAACCGCCAGCCTTGACGCGATGGTGGAAAGAGATTCTGCAGCAACGTGCGAGATGTCTTCAATTTGATCGATGCTGTTGTGAATGTCGATTTTGTACTGTTCCTGGGAACGCCGAGGTGCGTCTGTCTCGGGCCTGGCATCGGACCAAAAGCAATAGGCATGCGCCAGTATGCATTCGGGATACGCTTCCAGGTCCATTCACGTAGTGCTTGCGTCGAGTTGTCCCATTCGTCGTGGCCGAAATTGTAGTTGGTGAATCCCTGGACTGCGCTGTTGTTAACCTTGACCAAGGACACGAAGAAGAATGGCTTACTCACTGTCCAATGCTTTCTCCTTTATATCCTGGCCGATCAACCTTGAAAACTCCTGGATCCGGCTTGCCCTCTCATGGCGAATTTGATGGTAAAGCAGCAGTCGTTCCGGGATCTCTTTTACAGGAGTCCCCAGTGGAAGCACAACAGCCAAGGAAGCAGCGTCTTCAATGGCCACAGCAGCGCCCTGGCCCTGATGAGGCAGAAAAGGGTGAGCTGCGTCACCCAGCAGAGCCAGATGCTCCGTGTGCCACCTGGGGATTGTTTCCATGTCCAACAGCTTCCACACCTTGACACTTCCTGGGGTTGCTTTCCCCAGCAACTTGAGGATAGCCGGGTCAAAAGAAGAGAAAATCTCCAGCATCCGCTGAAGATTGCCCGTCTGCGTCCAGTCATTGCCCGCCTGGTCTGCGGACTCTGACTCGGGATGGATTACCGCGAAGTTCAGCGTACTGTTGTTGGACGTTGGGTACATGACGATCCGACGGTCCGTGGCATACCATATACAGAACTCCCCCGGCCGTTCGACCATGGGTCTCGTAACGGGATCGTTGAGGGCAGCATCTTTGGGGACGAGGAATCGATACGCACTTTTCCCGCTTGGAAAGGCCTTGACGTCGCCTCCGGGCACGAATTTTCTCGTTACAGAATGAACACCGTCTGCGCCGAGGACAACGTCCCCGTGGAATTCGGTGCCATCTTCTAGCACGATAGTCGCCTTCTTCGGATTGACTTCTCTGACCCGGCTTGCGGTGTTGAGCTGCACGGCCTTCTTCCCATGTGCTGCGGATGTTGCAATGGCCTTCAAATTGTTGTGCAACCCAATGCGATGCGCAAGGAGCCATTGCTGCAAGGAGTCAAGGCATTTCTTTCCGTCAACAGGTAAGGGAATGGGGACTAACATGTTGCCATCTCTTGTTGGGTCCTCTCAGGTCCAACGACCGCAGCTGTTCACCAGCCGCAGAATACTCGGTTATCTGCAAGCCATGGAATTAGATGTATGGTGTCTTCACTGGATACAACAGGGTGGGATGGGTACCCTCTCCATTGGATTGGCTCCAAATTCATCAGCAAAGATCCCCAAACGTCTCAGGATGCCATTTGCATTTGGCGGGATATGGAGAGCAGCGCCTGTTTCGGTGGCCAGCGCGGACTGCTCAAAGACCTGCACATCATGCCCCTGTTCCCGCAGAGCGATTGCTGCCGTCAAGCCCCCGATGCCGGCTCCGACGATGAGGACTTTCAAGGGGCAAAGGCCGTTTCCATTAGGCGGTTGTGATGATCTGTCTGTCTCCGTTTCACTCAAGTGCGCCATGGCTGGAGGGAGAAGGAAGTCAAGCTCAAATGTAGGTACGGTTTGGGGGCTTTTTATCCACACTGGGTCTAGGCTTTTATATTGGAAATCAGCCAAATGAATAAATACAGCCCCCTCTCGGCCGCTGTGCTTACAACGACAACCCTGTAGAATGCATGTTTTATGCCGAGGCGTCGGGATGATCGGGACCACCTCTCTATGGTTGAAGCAGAGGATGCATTGGTGTCGTAGCAGCTACGTACCGAAGAGCCCGCATCTGGCCAGCTGCAACAGGACGCAGAGACTTTCCAATGGATATGCAAAGCCCGTTCTCTTCATTACTTGCCGCAGGTCCCTCGATTGGCACACCGTGCGGTAGGGGACCTAGGGCTCGTGGGGCTGTACAGACAGAACTGAAAGGAGCTTCGCGGTGTTCAGGAACCTCTCCATCCAGCTACAGCTCTGTGTTTGCTAAATACGAGAAGGAGTAGACTCGTAAGCCCTTGCATAAGAATTCCCACTCTGGTCCACCACTGCAGACGCATCAGAGGCCCCTTTGCCGGCCGGAAGGCCTCACATCACCCATACCCTTCCCATAATCCTCTCCAAGGGGGCTGCCATTAAACACCAGAGGCTGTGATTCCTGCAGCGCATACAACATGCGGGCCCAGGAAGTCCTACTCGGCACTCTCCACGCATGGTTCGTCCCCCGCTGAACGGGAACATCGCCATGTTTGAGCAGCCTCGTCTCCCCCGAGTCCAGCAGAAGCTCGACCTCCCCTTCCAACACAACGCCATAATCAAGACTGACTGTTCGATGCATCGGCGAAACACTTCCGGGCGGCATGTTGACGATTCTCAACACGGTGCCGCCGGGTATAGCCAGACCGGGCAAGTCGTTCAAGAAGGACTGGTAGGCGCTCACGTCCCGGTTTGCCGTGAAGTCGACGGGGATTTCGTTCGTCGCATAAGCTAGAGAGAATCGTGCGCCTCCGCCTACTGGCTGCCATTGGAGGGTTTCGGGGATCGCGCCCTGGAATTGCGTCTGGCCTTGGGCGTCGTGGGAGGTGATGTACCGGTTTATGCGGCGGAGTCAGAAATATCCACGCCACACATAGAGCAAGACTATACATCTGTACCGCTGGCATATCTCGGCACCATGCCCTTGTCTCATCCAGCATGCTCCGGGAATTGATCTATAACCCAAGGGACAGCATATGGTTCTTCTCATTGTAGGTTATGTGGAGGTCCCGATTCCCGATGCAACAGCGTCATCCGGGGATAGAACATAGCTATAGCAGTCCAACAAATATTCCTTCGATTCTCTTTTAATCATTTGACCCTCCTAGAGTCTGTCTCGACTGTTTCCTGCCACTGCATGTTTTCTGAGACTGAGTCCGAGAGCAACATGCCGAACACAATCCGAGACATTCGAACAATCGACACCACCCCCTTCCCATACATCTTTGAGCAGAACGTGAGCGTTCCGCTGAAGCTGAAGAATGGCTTAATTTGGTGTAATGTCTATCGGCCCAAGGCAGAAGCAGACGCTCGTTTCCCCGTAATCGTCACATATGGGCCGTATGGCAAAGATATCCATTACGAAGCGTGAGTCTGCCAACGAACGACTGGATTTCTCTCCATTGATTGATTGATTGATTAATCAATGCACAGATTCCATCCTAAGTCATACGCCGAGGTCAATCCCGAACATCACTCGGCGCATTCGGCATGGGAGACGCCAGACCCTGCGTTCTGGACGAAGCACGGCTACGCCGTCGTTCGTGCTGATGAGCTAGATCTGGGGCAATTGCCTGGCGTCTTGGATACCATGTCTCGCAGCACCAGCGAGGCTTTCTTTGATCTCGTTAAGTGGGCAGCCGAGCAGTCCTGGTCGTCGGGGAAGGTTGGCTTGCTGGACATCAGGTATCTTCGGTTTCCCCTGAAAAGAAGAACATGGGAAAGCTGACCTTCCTTCCAGCTACTATGCTGGCAGCCAGTGGCGTGTAGCTGCTCGACAGCCCCGGGACCTGGCAGCCATCATTCCCTGGGAGGGCATGTCAGACTACTACCGCGATCGCTGCAACACGGAGGCATTCTCTCGAACGGATTCATCAAGTTCTGGTGGGACCGACAGGTCATCACGAACCAGTACGGCCGTCCTGACCGTGAAGCCCGGAACTGGGGCCCAAATACCATCGAAGGAAATCTCTCAGAGGAAGAATTGGCCGCGAACCGACAGGACCAGCCAAGGGACAATGCGGCCTACAAATTCCGCGATGAGCCGTACTACGCCTCGAAGGAACACCACATGGGAGACATCCAGGTTCCCCTGCTCAGCGTTGCGAACTGGGGAGGCATCTGTCTCCATGTCCGGGGCAATGTCGAAGGCTGGACCTGGGCTGGTTCTGAGCGTAAGTTTCTGCGCTTCATCACCGGCCGTCATGACCTGCCCTTCTACTACCACGAAGAGGTTGAGGTCCAGAGAAGCCTTCTGGATGCATTTCTCAAGGGTGAAGACCGCGACGGATGGTCTACTGGACAGCTGAATATAATCCTGCCGTCGTCGTGCTGGTGGTTGTGCTGGGCATTTTGGGGGTTGTTGTTTTTGGTCTTGTCCGCTATAAAGGGAATGCTAGAACGGGGAAATGAGAGGTATAATATCAATCCCTGAACCTGTCAAATCGATTTCGGGCAGGCTTTCTTTTGTTTCTTTCTTTTTACCTTCGTTATTTGGCGATCCCACCTCTGCATGCCGAAGACACTGGAGCTCGGAAAGATGGAGGAGCACCCGTATTGCTATCCGGTGGAGGAGTCGACTGTACTTTATTATATCATTAGCACGGTATAGAGTACTTACATGTCTAGGGCTTATGCAATACACCATCTTTTACGTTCATGGAAATCTCGCCATGGCAAATGCCCTGCAAGCCGTCCGCAAAGCCGCAGTCGACGGGATTCTTCACAATGTGATCTGGAGTCAGACTGAGCTGGAAAAAGCTCCATAAAACCCTAGCCAGCGAGGCTGCGGCAATACAACAGGCGATCGCCAGTAACACTGGATGCACAGACACGGAGGCGTTTGTTGAGTATCTCCTTGCGTTGAGTGATCTGGAGGAACACTATCGGTCGCTGGACGCAGAGACAGCCCTCAAAGACGAGTATGCTATTGCGCGTGGAGAAGATTTCGCAGAGAGACAGGACCCGATTGGGATTGCCTACATTGTCCCGACAACGTATACCTTGTTTTATTCTACTATTGTTGCTGTCGGCGCTGCCTTGGCTGCTGGTAACTGCGTCGTGATCGAGGTATACCTAGCAAGCTTGTCAGATCGATGAGGATCTTGCTGACCATGAGTGTCCAAACAAAGCTGCAGAATACCGTTTTAAATAGCTAATACCCATATTCAAACAGTCGGCCCATATCCCCCAGAAAACACACCGATAGATCGTTCAGTCCGATATCCCAGAGACCTCTTCTCGGTACGCCGGCCGCAGTACATTACAACCACTCCTCTATCCCAGCAACTGCACAAAGCACTGCTTATTGGATGCGCTGCTCCCATTGAAGATGCCCTAGCAGCAGCCTCGCATAAGCTAACGCCGCGCCAACACCGGCCGAATAACAGCCAGCTTGGTTTCTTTGAGCAGGAAATCTTGACCGGATTGGGTCTTCTCGCCACTCCCATTCTGATAGCTGTGGATACTCTTGGTTATTACGCGGTGGGATAGTCTCGAAGAGTAAATTGGTGGAAGGTGTTCTATATGCATCTATGTTTTTCAGGATGTGAATGCCGCTGGGGTCTGCCTTGGCGCAATGCGGACGATGCCAAACTTGTATACTACGTTGGACGTTGTCAAACTCATGCATATAATTCATGGTCAAAACCTTCAAAAGAAACTCCTATTACCAAGGAAATAATGATATAGCATACCATTCGATTCTTGACATGGTACCGCTACCTATGGTGGGTTGTTGTTGTTGTTGTTGTTGTTGTTGTTGTTAGGGCTATAGATCACATGATTAATACGTACCCTATGATAGTAGATCACATGCCACTACCAGCCCTTAAGTACCCCAGCTGCGGCTCTTTGAACCGGGAATAATCCATGGTCTAATAATAATTATCCAACTGCTACATGATGATACCAGGCTCTGGTCTCGATTCTCTCACGGGTTCTCTTATGAATCCGTAAGCGCCTTTTCTTCGGAGGATTAAGTCTCAGCCAGATCTCTCGCTCTCCTTTCCGATGAGACCACGCGCTCCTCCAGACACACCCCAGTAGTACGACTCCGCGTCCGCGATTTATGGATCTTCTATCCACCCTCCCCAACTTCCCAACAAAACCGTACGCGCATATCCTCCCTTCTCTCGAGAAGAACAGAATCAGTACCGTTGATCTCGTCACTCTCGATACCCTCGAGATCGCGAAACGCGCACACGTCCCCCCCGCGGATGTCCGTCGACTCTGCGTCCACTTGATCCAGGCACTGCATCAGGACGTTGGATTCGAGAGGAAGCAGTCTACCCCGGAGAGCAACTTGTGCGATGTCGAGCCTAGCTCTAGCATTGATATTGAGGCCACGATCGAACCGGGTCCGTCTACGAAGTTAGATCTTGCGGAATGGGACTCCATCAGCACGCTTGACCCGGCGCTGGATGCGCTCTTGGGCGGTGGAATACTGGCTGAATATGTGACAGAAGTCACTGGAGAGAGGTATGTTTCCATTGATTCATTCAGTATGCAGCTTCGTTGTTCTGACAAGAAGTACCGGGAATCTTTTAGCGGAAGCGGCAAAACGCAATTCCTTCTCAGTCTTCTCCTGTCCGTACAGCTACCTCGACCTCGAGGCCTGGGGAAGAGAGCCATTTACGTCTCGACTGAAGCCCCGCTATCTACACTGCGGCTATCTCAATTACTAGAATGCCATCCGTACCTTTCCTCGCTACCTCCCCGCGGCTCTCGTCCGTCTCTCCAGAACATCCTATCGATCAACGCCATGGACCTCGAGACGCAGGATCACATTCTTAACTACCAGCTTCCCGTGGCCGTCTCGCGCTACAACGTGGGTCTTGTGGTTATAGACTCCATCACGGCAAACTACCGAGCGGAACATTCGTCAGATAATGTTGGCGCCTTGTCCGCGCGATCAGGCGAACTCGCTAGATTGGGTCAGATGCTACGGAATCTGGCCGTGAAGGAACATATTGCGGTTGTAGTTGCGAATCAGGTTTCGGATCGCTTCGACTCTTTTGAGGTTGGTAGTGTCGGTAGCCATATGTTCTCGGGTAATACTTCGACCACCCGTGAGTCAGGTACCGCCTCCCCTTTGCCGAAGGCCGGAGCAGAGGGCGGCGGCGGAGCAGCAGCAGTAAGAGGAGGCACAAGAGTGAACAGCGAAAGCAACGTGGGGTTCTTATCGCCTTCATCAGCACACGCAATGATTCCCTCGTCTTCCCCGGCTGCAGCTTTCCCCTCGTCTCCATACGGTGAGGAGGACCCACAGTTTGACGGCTCCTATCTCGTCGGTAACCCAGTAAGAAACGAGATCCTAAGTCTTCTACGCCAACAACGCTTCTTTACGGGCTGGGGTGATATGCCATCACCGTCACCATGTCTATCTCCGTCTCCGGGTCCGGGTCTACCCCCAATTCACATTCACCAAAGACCTTCGCACAAGACGCCTGCCCTTGGCCTTGTTTGGTCTACGCAGATAGCGTGCCGAATCGCTCTGAAGAAGGAAGAACAAGTTACGTCCACGATGGTCGACATGCCTCGGACATCTGCATCCGTATCTGTGTCTACAGAACGTGCAGGTCAAGCACATCCAGATATAAGAGAAGAAAAAGAAGAGAAGGAAATACCCTCGAACAATAACGGTGACGACAGCGGTGCCAAGGACGACAAGTCCAAACCAGCCATTGAAACCCGAACAAGGAGAAAAATGAAACTGGTCTTTGCGCCATGGACTGCCGGTTTCGAGATCACGGGGGATGGAGTAGACCATGAAGGGTTTGGAGATGAGATCCAGTTTGAGATCTGGAAGGGTGGTGTGAGGAGTGTATAATGAAACGTCAACGGTAGTTCAAGTATGACAAGATCCACGGATACTCTCTATCGCCAGACCAGAAGAAAGGCTTCATTTCAATCCTTTTCTCCTTCCTCCTAAATCTATTTTGATCAAGGAATTATCTGATTCTAATTTATATTCATCTGGTCTATGAAATATTAAGACAGACTAAGAGGAGAGAAAGATGAATAAATCCATATAGATGCACTTTTTACAGCAATCAAATGACAGGGTCTATTCACGCATTAGATCGCTCATGCATATACACATCAACCAAACCTGTAATACTGCCTTTAAGGAACGAGGGCGGGAAAAGAAGGAAACAAGGGGAAAACTTTTTTGTTCGGATCTCGTATCGTGGCTATTTTTTTGTTTCGATCCTGCGAAAACTCCCACGAACTCGTCTTGCCCACATGTGAAATCAAGAGGACTTCTTCGAAAGCTTGGCCGGGGGCACGCCGATACCGTTCGTGTTGCGGTAGAAGAGAACCGATTGGCCTTCTCCCTCGGCTCCCACAGTGGGTTCAACCCACTGGCATGCTCGGGAGCTAGTCCAGAGGGCCTTGAGGAATCCGGTCCAGCCCGTGTGCGCTTCCGAGCGGTAATGCAACCCCATTACCTTCTGGATGGCCTCGCTGGCCTCGTCGGCGTTGTAAAATGGGATGGTGCTGACGTAGTGGTGAAGGACGTGTGTCTCGATAATACCGTGGAAAATGTGACGGCCAATGAATCCGAAGTCGCGGTCAATAGTGGCAGCTGCTCCGCGGGCGAAATTCCAAGCTTCGGGGTTATAGTGAGGAAGAGTGGGGTCGGTGTGTTGAAGGTAGGTGATGGCAACTGCCGAGGGGATTAGTGCGAAAATTCTTTCTTGCTTAAAACGGGTTGGATTAGGACGATTCTTAACTTACCGAGCCAGTGGTTGACCCACAGATAGGGAATCCCGTACCACACCAAAAGATTGAGCCAGCCAAAGTTCTTTCCAGCATAATACAGCACAGAACCCATGATGAAGAGGCCCAGGTCGCTGAGAACAATGAGTTTGGCATCCTTGGCCTCGTAAAGAGGACTGGAGGGGTTGAAATGGTTGACACCGCCAAAGTAGCCGTTCCTCTTGCCCTTGCCACGTCCCTCGCGTTGCGACTCGTGGTTGTCGTGGCCGGTCACGTTGGTGAAAAGATACATGGGCCATCCGAAGAGCTGTTGAAGGAGCAGGTTGAGGGCAGTTAAGAAGGGGGTTTCCTCCAGCAGTTCACTCAGCTCCTCTACAGTCTTGCCGATGCGCGATGCATATTGCTGTCTGGTCTTGGGAACGAAGACCATGTCACGAGCCATGTTACCAGTAGCTTTGTGGTGCTTACCGTGGGAGATCTTCCAGGAGAAATAGGGAACCAGCAGGAACGAATGGCCGATCCAGCCCACGGTGTCGTTAAGGACTTTGGAAGTGGAGAAGGCCTGATGACCGCATTCGTGGGCCAGCACCCAGATGCCGGTACCAAACAGGCCCTGCAGGAAGGTGTATAGGGTCCACAGGGCCACGCGTGCTGGCAGGGAGGGCACGGTTTCCGGGGTCACGTATGTATGGAACAGGTAGAAGATGGCCGCTATCACCGCCGAGTCCCGAGCGAAGTAGGCCAAACTCTTGACTGCCGAACGCTCGAAACAGTGCTGGGGAATGGCGTCACGGATGTCTTTGATTGTGTAGTCGGGGATCTTGAACTCATTGCCGTAGGTGTCCAGGAGTTTGGGCTCGCGCGCTTGTGCATCGGAGGCCAGAGAGGAAAGGGAGGTGCTGGAGGGCGACTGACGGGGGCTTTCGAGGGGAGACGGAGATGCAGAAGCGGCGGCAGAGGAAAGTGAGGAGGCCGTGTCGGGGCTACGGTGCAGCGCAACACGCTTAGGAATTGCAGTGGAAGACATGGTCGCTGGATGAGATCTTGCGACCAAAAATGGAAAAGCTGCAGACAGTATCGCGGTCAGTCATGGCAACTTTTCAACAACATCAATCATCAATTGGGGAGGTATAGCAGGATCTCTGGGAGAGCTCATGCCCGGCGACCACAGAGAAGCAAACTGGGTATACTCACTACCTAGAAAAGGTGCGTCCTCGGTATACTTTGTTGGGGTTTCGCAAGAAGGCCAAGGATCCGGAGGGCTGGAAGATTTCCGTGCAGGCGGAGGGAGGAGTGGGATACGCAGATGCACCACCAAAACCCTTGACCAGAGAAAGTGTGCGACACGGGAGGGGAGGATATTTAAGGGATGCGCAACAGAGACTGGAAAAGATGAAAAAAAGAGAGACGAGAGGGAGAAAAGAGGATGGGGAATGCGAATGCTCAACGGGCGGTAATTTTCGTGTAAAAGGCGCGTTTCGGGCCCTGGTAATTTTGCACACCGCCCTGGGTCTTCTGGCGTTCCAAATTCCTGGTTTTGCCTGATCGGGTCAGATCGCCCCTCTACTTTTAGTACTATTAGTAGTACCTAGGCAATACATCCCCAGCGCATGAACGCCTTTCCACTCTGACCAGTGCCCAGTGTCTACTCCGTATTTGCTTGCTTCATGCATATCTTTTCACATATAAGCAGACGTCGACAAGAGCCTTTTCAGCACGATCGACGGCGTCCATTTGAAGTTTCCGACCGAGATCGGCACCGTGTGGCGGCGGCGATTGGCTGATAAGGGCTGGACGCAGAATATGCTTTGAGTTTTTCCGTAGTTCAATACGAGTAATACTGATATCGTACAGAGTACTTCCTGTGCTCGCAGAATTAGTACAGAAATGCCATCAATTACACCGTTATTATTATTTCATACGGACAAAAATAGGGGAAAAGGAAAGAGAAAAGAAAAATACCCCCTCGGGCACTCTGGTGCGTCTGTCACATCACCTTCCATTATCAGTGCCTCAGGTGTCAACGCATTATCTAATGCGGCGGAATGCCTCATCGGCTGATCTTGGCTTTTCTTGGCTTCGGCGGCCCGAGCTTTCGCCTGTCGGATTTACTGACTAAGCACCACTTGCTGGCCACTGGCACCGTCACATGCTGCGTGTCTGACGCCTGAGGCCACAATAATATGCAAAACTCTGCGTCTGCAACCTGGTCCGACCAGCCGTTGTCGAGCCACTTCCCGCCACGGATTGTTGGGGCGGGTCGCTCATTTTTTGTTGAGGAGCTTCCGGCGTATTCTCGCGTGTTGTTGAATTACAGTACTCGGTACGGGTCAATCATCCCTACGCTACTGCTGCCATACGCCAATGTCATATTGCGCGACATTGGGTTGACAACTGGACTAGTTTCAAGTTACGAGTTGATTTGTTTCCATGCCATCTCGCATCACGTGGAATTGCATGGTTCACGTGACCCAGAGCTAGTACAAATCGGGATGCGCTGCCTTGATCATGTCGGCGCCCTGTCCACAGTTCGTTCGTCGTCAGCCATCACCATCAATCATCAAAGAAACAGACTACTCACCTTTTCTGCTACCATGTAGATGGCGTTCTGGATCCGACAGTCCGGAATCACCGGGAAAACAGACGTGTCGATAACGTGAAGGTTCCGGGTGCAGGTCGACCACACTTTGGTCGATGCTCTTGGACAGCCGACAGGTACATGGTCAGCCAAGCTGCTCCTTGGCACTTCCGTCTTCGCTGTTTATCAGGGCCAAGGGTAGAACTGACGATATCCTGTCTGACATCGTTCCAGGATAGCCCGATGCATTGCCTCGTTAGATCTACACTGCATGAGGAAGGGTACTCCGGTCCAGTGATGCCCTTGAAACTATTTCCGTTCATCAAGATTCTATCAACAAAGCGCACCCCTTGACGGAGCACCACTAGATCCAGTTCATTAGAGAAGTATCTCAGATTGATGTACGGCTGTTGCATGGGGTCCGTCAATTGGATCTTGACCTCGCCGTTTCTGGATAACGGCCGGAGCAGATCGACAATATGGTGAGATATTCACCCTCTGGAGGAACTGGGTAATGCCACTGGAAAGCATCCGCAAGTAATGGCTGGGAAAGTGGAGGTGGTCAGAGAACCATGGAACCTCAATATCCGAAGGGGGATGCTCACAACAAAGTCAATTTCAAAGTGAGGTTGTCCGCTAGGACCAAACGGATCAACGCCCCCATGTTCCTTCTTGTACTTAAGCATAGTGGTCATCTGTCTGTAGCCACTCGTCGATCCGAGAGAACCCGATCAGTTCGAGCAGGGTGCTCGCCAGAGGACCAGTCCGGGTTTTTTGATATTCGACCACGGCACCTTTGTGCTCGTCTCTGCTACCCAGAAGGCTGTTGTCGATCCCGTACCCATCTTGAATCGGTATACGTGTGACAGGATGGGATGATCAAGCAGATTCTGTCCGACATGGGCCGATTTAACTAGCGGTTCAATGTGGTACGCTGCTAACACCTCTGGACTAATCCCCGACAACACCAGGAGGTTCGGTCTCTCGGACCCACCTTGAGATACTATGACCTCTCGTTTTGCTCTATAGGTTACTCGTTGCCATTGTGTATGACGGTGACTCCAGTGGCCGTGTAGCCGTCGAACAAGGTCTTCTTGGATATCGTGAACGGCAGGACTCGCACATTCTCCTTGCCCCGGAGGAAGACCCAGCTCAATGTCCGGATGCCCCTGTGTGGAGTTCACCGCCTTAAACAGGCCATTGACTTCGCCTTCGTAGAGTCGTCGGTGAGTTTCTGGCCCCTACTTACCCACGCCTTAGAGCTTTCCGGAATGCATCAAGTTCCGGCACTGGCTTACCGGGGGAGATATCCAGTGGACAGCCTTTGCCAATCCTGGAGAGCTCCGGAGAAACAACGTTGTCATCATCGTTGAATGTAGCAGGCTGGCGAAGAGCAACACTGGCAATTAGCTCAACTAAACCCAGGGGTCCATTATCTCTCTTCCATTGGAATCTCTGTTTGCTACCTTACCTTGGCGAAGTAACTTCACAGTGCTTCTAATTCTACATTCCACCACCGTATTCTACCCAGTCGTCGTATGTCGCCTTGCTCCCCCTTACCCAGGTATAATAGTGAGTGCAACTGCTTCCGCCCAGCACCTTATTCCGTATATTCGTCCGTGTCAATCAAGGTTGCTTTGTACCGCCAATCATACAAGCTATTGCGCAGCTCGAAAGCACGGCCAGGTGTCATAGTCATGGCCTCATTTTGCGGTGAGCTAGATGAGTTCCTTGTATCAGCGTGATTCATCTCTGCCATGAAGTTGATTTTGGGGCATATATTGTCTTGCAAACGTACTCTGAACCGGCCTCAATCACCAATGTAGAGACGTTTGGGTTTTCTGCTAGCCGGCCTGCTACGACACAGCCCATCCAGACAAAACAAGGGCCAAAAAGAAAATGCATCGGCCAACTGGAATTCCAAGTCGCCGAACCCATCATCAAGACCCGACGCATTGCCATCCTGGTCGCAGACGGATTCGACCTCAACTCGTACAGAGGCATGAAAACCGCATTGGAGAAATAGGGCTCCTTCGTCTTCACCATCGGCCGGCAGCGTCTCGGCGTCGAATCCAGCACAAGCGGAAAGGTCATCCCCGATCACCATTTCCCGGGCATGCGCTCGATGCTGTTCGATGCCACTTTTGTCCCCGGTGGATGTCATCACATCGACACGCTCGCTTCCGAATTGTTCGCTCATCTGAAACCCATCGCTGCGGTAATGAGGCTGTTCCTTTCATCGAGCACCAGATCGGACTTCCCGCTGTCAAGGTTGCTTCTTCTGCCTCTTCTTCATCGTCTGGAGCTGATTCAGATTCGCCCGTTGAAAGCTACGGTATTGTCACGGCCCCATGGTGCGCCGGATGTTGGACGATTTGGTTTCCCGGGTTGCTGCTTAAATCATCATTTCCCTGCTGCTAATTATTGCCCCTGTTCGTTCCAAGTTAAGAGCACTTCCCTACCCAGAATAATAGTTTTGTTTTAATATTATTGTCACACTCCTAAATCGTACAAAAATTTAATATAAATATCATATTCATTCATCACTTCATGATTGATTGTTTTCATCCAAAAAGCTTCAGTGACGTACGACTATATATAATACATGCATACAGCTTCCATCTCGTCAAATCGAATACTGAATATAAAGATCAAAAAAAAAAAAAAAAACTACACCATCTGACCTTGCCTCCTCTCCGAATCAACAAGCCACGATCCCGAACCAGGTTGTCCCCCAGAAGGGGAAAGACTAACCGTCGTCTTCCTCAGATCAGGAATTACCAACAGCGTCTCTCCATGGTTCCGATAATCGACCTCGCATGCAACCGGTCTCCTCTGTAAATGAGACGGTAAACCACCAGGCCCATCAGCGGTACCAGCTGTTGAAGAAGCGAAAGAAGAATCATCCGCATTCTGACTCGTTCCAGACGATGACAATGGTTCAAATACCTTAATTTCCAACCCGGGCACAAGGAGATGTCCGGCCTTTTGAGGAAGGAGCATGACTGAAAAGGTCTTAGTCTCGCCTTCGACGGCGGTGAAGTTGCCCCGTTTTCTCCCACCGATCAGCCACAAGTCTGGATTTGAGTAGATGTCGTACGTAAATTCGAGTGGTTGGTCTGAGGTTTCCTGGGCTTCTTGTGAACCCCATCGACGGGTATGACGGAGATGGAGTTCTGCGGCAATCATTTGCCCGACTGCTGCGTGGGTGGGTTGTGCGGCTAGACCGTGCAGGCGCAGTTCGGCTGTGCAGACGACTTGGATGCTTTGGATATCCAGTGGGATTACGAGGCGTCTTTTGAGGATGGATGGATTTTCAGGAAGGGCAATCGTGTGATTATCCTATGTATATCAGTCCGCCGTCCTCTTTGCCATAGTATAGCAATTCAAAACTTACCTCGTGCCACTTTATTAGCCATTTCCTAATCTCTTCTCTTGGCTCCTCTAAAGAGCCCAGGAGGCTTTCCCACTGAAGACTTTGATAAGGCAGCATTTCAATCTCTCGGACGAGACCAATAACCTCCATATCAGAAGCAGATAGCCGTGTTCTGACCGTCTGCACAATATGGGAGGAAAGTAAAGATGTGTACTGCCGGAACTTACTCTTCTCTATGTCTGACCGAAATTTCCTTTCAATTGCATCCAGGCTCTCGTCGTCCACGCAAGTAAACTCGATGGTAAGCAGCAGAGGGCTCTTGGGCGTTGTTCTCTTTGCTTTCTCTTCCCGCTGTCTGATCTTGTAGACTAAAGAGGCTGGCTGCTTCGGGAACACATCCATTGCTGTCGATTCCGGGATGCTGGGTTGGACTTCAAAGACCTCTGAACTGGGAATGCGGCAGCCTAGTATCCGAAGCGGGGTCATCGTGGCCGGGCTGACTGTGAACCGGGAAAAGAGTGCATCCTCCTTGAAGATGTCCTGCACATTGACACTAATAGGGAGTGCTGAAAGGATGTTGTAGACCGACGAATAGGAGAATCGCCCCTGGGCAGTTTCATACGTCACCTCCAATCTTGCAGAGAGCGTACTGTGATTCTCATCAACCGTATAGGGTATCCTGAACCTGGCAAATGACCTGGGGCCAAATTGGGTAAATTCAATGTTCCCAGACTCGTTGTTGGTATTGACTTTGATATCCCCATCCACCACCTTAGCTTCGGCAACCCTCAGACGGAGACCAGCAGTAGCTGGACGCACTCGAATAGTTCCTGTCTTGATATCGTTGCGTCCGCTGTTAAATTCAACTTCAAGTGTTCGCATATCGTCCAAGTTGATAAGATGAGGAGTGACTATTTTAGCTTGAAGCCCATCTGGTGCAGCATAGCAGTGGATATGCGGTCGATTATCTCCATCGTTGGAATCTACCATATCCCTATAGCCTAAAGCGATTGTAGAAAAATTTCCACCGCTTATTGTGAAGGCAATATTACCTGCTCGCATCTCAATGCGGTCGACAAGATACTTTCCCTGAAGTGTCATCTGCGCACAACAAATCCTAGTCAGAAACGAATGTAACGTGGAACCCGGACACAACTCACCGAGGAGTCTATCAAAATTTTTGTCGAGGAAGGCTTGATGACAAACTTCCTGGAATTTTCCAGCCAGTGTTCATTATTTTGTGAATGAAGAGCATTGACAAGACGAATCTTAATAGAATCAATACTGATCTGTTTTCCCAGCAAATATCGTAAAGCCAACTGCATCTGAAACCCGTCTCTATCCCCGTAATGAATAACAGCCGGATTAATATGCAAATCCGCAAAGAAGTCGGAGAGAGGCACAGAAATTTCCTTGGGAAGGGAATTCGCCGTCTCAAATAGCTCCTCGACGTACTTCGAAACCAATGCTTCTTCGGAAAACGTAGATGATAAACCTAGAGCTTTTGCCCTATTGCTCAGTTTTGCCTGATCGTACGCAGCAAACTTTGCAAGTAGGCGAAGCATAACACGGACGTGTTCCTCGTTCTTTTTCAGTTCCTTCAAACAGCGCGCGTACATCTCCAGCATGGCTCCTTCTAGAACGACCCAGTGGTTGTTGCCGTAGAAAGGTGAGATTTGGTGGAAGTAAGTAGCAGCGGTGGCGTAGTCTGCCTGTCGGAATCTCAAGAAAGCTATATCGGCAACGGCCATCTCAGCTGAATGAGTGCGGTTTGCTGTGACGAAATGACGAAACATTTGGTCGGTTAATTCCTCGTATAAAGAGAAATAGGCCTCCTTCGATTCAAATGTCGCCGTTAAGATAGGTATGTCAATGCAGCTTAAAGGAAAAACCTTCTTGGGTTCCGGCGTCGATGACACGACTTCCTGGGCACCGTCACCACCATCATCCTCCAGGGATACTTCCTTCAAATCACCTTCACTACGATCTTTATCAGCGAAAAGAAGGCCAAGCTCATGCTCATTCCACTTCTCCGTCCAGCCGCATCGTCCGGCAATCTCGTCCAAAAATCGTCGTGCTAAGAAAAATAACTGGCCTCTTCCAGAAGCTAGCTGTTCAGATCCGGTCTTCTGGACCACCGTTGACCATGTCTTGTTCACAGGTTTGTGAAATTCGGCCCCCACAATTTCTTGACTTGTCGGACGAGGGCGGGAGGACGGTGGAGATAGCAGTGAGCTAGAGCGTCTGGGAACATCCGGCCTGGCTTCTGCCATGGCGGCATGCAGGGGAGATGCAGGAATTGTGAGGAGCGGAGTGGCAGTCTGACTGATGATCTGAGAAGTAGCAAGGAATGACCACGAAGATACCAGGTTATTTATCACGTCTGTCTTCGCTGAGTCGTCCACGCCCTCCAAGCCACATTCCAAGTCGTATCTGAGCGTGCGTGCGGCAATAGCAATAAACTCCGTAGCTCGCTCACATACCTCAGAAAGGAGCATCAAATCTTCGGGTTTCTTCTTGTTTCTCTGCGGCCCCTGACTTTCTTCAGTTCCTTTCGGAGCCAACGACGGGGCCCTAGCCGCCCGGAGCAATAGGGTTAGTTGTCGGGAAAAGAGATAGGCGCGGAAGTCGAAGATGGATATATCGTTTGCCAGAATCATATCCCGGTATGGCTTTCTGTCTGAATTGAGAGGGAAATCCTCAGGGTCAAGTACCGGCATTTCAGTGTCTTTTCGTTCCACTTCATCCCTAGGTTTAGGTTTGTCCGAATCAACAGACAAAGACTCCAAAGCCCGTATCGCCTTTTCTCTCCACTCCTTGCTAGACATCAACAATGCACCAGCACGCTGGCCATTCGTCTCAAAAAGCTGTTCCCGGATCGCGGCATCCAAGCCAACAGACAGTTCGTCATACCCTATTAAGGCATCCTCAAAGAGGCCTACATTCTCGAAACCCCTCGCAAGACCCTCCTTCAGAATGAAAAAGGTACAGAAGTTCCAGCCAGGAAGACTCCGCTGGGAATCCTTCTCTTTAATATCCTCCTCGTACTGCGCAACGCGTAGATCAAAGGACGCCAGGATCGCATTTTTCATTTTCTCCACTAGTTCCTCCAGCTGCTCCGCGAACTCTGGCGATCTCTTCACCTCGGGCTTCGGAAGACGTAGTTGCGCGACACGGTCAATGGACGACTTGGACGACGGGTTGAAATCTGCCTTGATCTTCTCAAAGACAGTCGTAGTGTTCCGACCGGGCCATTTCGATGCTGATACGGTCTTCTCCAGGCCATCACCGTCTTGCACGACGTGCAAAACCAGCCACTCAAAGGCATCATGATTTTCCTGGTTGCTAGCTGTTGCAGAGCTGGACTGCGACGTCGGCGCGTTTGTCTTGATCCATTCCCGCAGTGCTTTCCTCGCGGATGCCTTGTAGGTATCATTATCGTCGCAACGGAGGAGGTAGATCTTCAAGTACGGCGTCTGGCGGAGGCCGGGGATCTGGTGTCTGCGGTATGTGACTGGACCCGTCGCAGCATCGCTGGACGGTTTACGTTCGGAGGGTTCATTACCGGTGGCAGGGACGAATCTGATGCGGAGCGACTCGATGGAACGAATTGGGCGGTTCGGGGAATTCCAGTGGAGATTCCGCAATGGTAGCTTAGTTTCGATGATGGGCTGAACTAGCGGGAATAGGCCGGATGGATCGGTGTACTCGACTGTAGGTTTGTGAGCGTCAGTCTAAGCTGACCTGCTTGCTGATGCTCTGTCCAGGGAGCTTGATGCGCACGTACCGGTGACACTGTTCGAGCCCCCCTGCGGTGATGTGTCCATGGTTCCCGGGGTCTACCTGGGATACGACATACCCTGCCTGAGGGGCATTCCGATTATTGCGAAGGATAAACACGGGAGAAGCTAGGAATGGAAGAGTGGGCTGGATGATTACTCGTGCAAGAATGCCACGGGTAAGTTCAGACAGGACGTTCTTTTACAGCCACGCATAAGCCACACCTTGGCATCTCCTTAGAAGGGCTGTTGCCAGCATTAAATGATGATATCTATCTGCGTTATCTAGTAGGCAATTAAATACTGAACATAAACGGTGCCTTTCGAAGAAACAGAAGAAAAAGAAAAGAAGGAAATTGTAGGACAAAACTGCGAGACGGGCCCACACAGTCAGAGTATTGCGCCAGTACAAAAGAAAGCCACATGCCCATTTTATGCGACAAGCACAAAGGAAAACAAAACAATGCTTAGATTCGACGTGCTCATGGCAAGAAATAAGACGCCTCCCCAAATAAAATATAGCGAGAACAAAAAAAAAAAAAAAAAAAAAAAAAAAAAAAGAAGTTGACGTAAAGAACCTTAGACATTGGTATTCACGACCCGCGTTGAATAGCGAGCCTTCACAAACTCATAACCCTCAGAAACCCCATGCCAGATACCCGGGACGAAATTCTTTGCCCAAGCAAAAATAACAAGTAACAGAACAGGAATCTTGGAGCAATGTTAGCAAGAGTTTCGAAATAAAGGCAAATGCGACAGTAGATCCTGTCGCTAGTAGACACAAGAAAGAAACTATAAGGGCTTACCCAAAAGAAGTACAATTTGCGATCGCTGGCAAGTCCTTTCATTCTTCGGGCCTGTTGTTCCCGAAGCTGCTTCTGTTGCTCTTTCGAAATCGATTTCCTGCCGATTGTAATATCCTTGATCTCTTCCCTTGCCCCGACTGTTGTGGATCTCCCTTCTTGAGACTCGAAATACCGATCTAGCGCTGTCTCTGTCGCCGCTCGAACAAGCGACTGCTTCTTCACCTGCGATGCGTTCTTCTCCCTTTCGCCGTGTGGGTAGAGCTCGTCGTAAGATGGAGGCTGAGTATTACTATTCGGCGTGGAATTGCCCGTCAAGAGGTCCCACCAGCCCTCCTTCGTCGACCGGGCAGTGTTAGGTCGATGGGGAACAAGGTTTGTAATCCGGCGCATCATCGGATGAGCCTGGTAGTCGGGCAGAGTGGGCATAGGAGGCAGAGCAGGCATGTTAGGGAAGGCGTTTGCGACACTCTGCTGAAAATGATTGATTTGAGCAGCGAGTTGATTGCGCCACGCAATTATGGCCGCAGGCGGAGAGAAGCCCCGAGCATCGTCTGGTTGCACTGCTTGCTCTGTAGGAGTCGCAGTAGGTTGTACACTTCCCTCCCGAGAATGTGAATACAGTTGTGACGAGCTCAGATCTTGATGGATGCTTGATCTCCGTGATTGTGCATAATAAGCATTAGATCCAGCTTCTGAACTAGAGCCTTCATCCACGTCGTCAGAGTCTTCAGAAGAATAATCCAAAGAACCTGAAATTGAAGAAGCTCCACGCATGGAGCTAAGTGAAGCAGAACTGTGTCTACGTCGCGAGGAAGCCAACGACCCGACGCTGCGCGATCGGTAGCGACGCGATGGGATCAGTGCCGCCTGATGGGCTGGTAGAGTTGTTGCAAGATCAGCAGCCGTGTATCCACGAATGTCACGAGTATTAGCGTCCGCGCCAGCTAGCCGGAGCCTATGAACAATATGTGCATAGCCACTTAAGGCAGCGAGGTGCATGGGCGTATTACCACTGTTGTCTTGTACCTCCGGGTTGGCACCTCTCGCGAGGAGTCCCGCAACGAATCGAGTCAGTCCCAACGAAGAGGCAAAATGCAGGAGGGTATGCCCTGTGGCACAACGTGAATTATATTTCGGCGGACGTGGGTTGTCATCCAGATCGAGGAATTCAAGGTAGGTCAACATCCTGGAGTCCAACTCGCTTAACGTCCCCTGGGAATTTAGACCTGGGACTTGACGCTGATGGCCACCAGAGCCTCCCTGATAATCCTTTTGAAGGCTGAACAGAGAATTGGGATCACTACCCATTATTTGCCGTGCTGTCTGAAAGGCGTCTGCTTGGTTTCCTAGCTTATGCCCGAGAATGCCAAGAGCAAGACGATACATCTGAAGCTCACGGTCATCGACGTAGCGGAAGAACAACTGCTGCTTCGGCATAAGAAGCTGCTGTTGCTGGACCTGCCCAAATGTTGGATGTTCATGCTTGAAGACAACTGGAACTGGACCAGGGTGAAGCGCTGGTGGGGTAAGGCAATTGAGACATTTGTCGCCCCAAAACGTAGTAGTCGTTGCAAGAGTATCGCCAAAGACAACCTCCATTCCGGGATAGAAGCCACTTCCCAGCAGTGTCACTTCTGTTCCCCCAGTGATAGACCCTTCGGCAGGGACTAATTTATGTATAACAGATGGCAATCGGTTTCCAGCATTGGTGAGAGGAGGCCATATATGGCTGGCTGCGCTTGGACCAACAGCCATGTTGAAACTTTGGTCCTGAAAGCTCTTGCGAAGCGATCCTCCCGGGGACCCGGGGCGGCTGTTGTGACCTGAGTTAGGTGTTCCAATCATTTGCTGATTGACAAGACTGTCCAAGGTTTGACGCTGAGCGGCTGTGTTGAAGAAAGAACTGACATCACTGCTGTTTGGAGTGGGCGGGCCGCTCGTGAACTGCCCGGCTACAGGCAGTGATGTCACAAAAGGTCTCTCTGTAGGCGAGCCAAACGTATGGCTAGAGGCAGTGGGCGCACCATTGACGACGGACGAAGCTGACGTAGGCAGGCTAGAAGACTGGCCTGGTTCAAGTTTCGTCATGGTCAATTCCGACGGCAATTTCCCTGAGCCACTGTGCTTGCGCCGCTTGCTGGAAGGCCCTTGGAAATCAGTCGGTGAAGCCTGTCTAGACAGATTCCGCGGTGTGTGGGAAGTTGACGTGCTAGTGGCCGAAGTCTGAGGTACTGCAAAGGGGCTCGGGGTCTGCGGGTATTGGGGGTTAAATCTTTGCTGAAGGCCGTGCAAATCGGTGGTGGAATGCGACGGCCGGTATGAAGTTTGGGTAGAAGAAGTCTTTTGTCCCTTGGAGGCATTAAGGCCCTGTCCTGAAGAGAACACGCCAGCACCGGGCAATTGTGTCCCATCAGGCAGTGCAGGAACCGGAGGGGCCGAGGGAGCATGGGTTTTATGATCGTCGGTGATCATGATAGAATTTGTTATGGCTTGCGCAATAACATTATCCAAATGATCATTGATAGTGAAGATGACCCTAGACGCCAAAGAAAAAAAAAAAAGTAATGTCAGCAGCAGTAATTCCATTTACGGTTGGCTAAGTCTATACGTACTGGAAACCGAGTTTTTCGGCCTGATGCCTGCAATAGCAAGCTATCCGCATAGGCAGTTCCACTTGCATTGCTCCCGCAGGGATCATGGGCATCGTAGTCTCCGCGAAACTGGATACAACGCTCGTAGATGGCTCAATCCATTCTTTGATTTCATTAGTGTTGAAGACGATGACTCTTTTTTCTTCATCTTTTCGAAACAGCTCATCCTCTTCGGGCTTTCTCTGCTTCTTCCGTGATGCTCGCTTCCGCTCCCGTTGTATGCATCCGCTGCAGATCTTTACCTCCCCACCCTCCAAGGGCTTGTCCTCGTCCTCTTCCTGGGAAGCATCCGATGACTTGGGGCTCGAGCTAGAAGAGCGGCCGACAACTTCGCCTCGCGCCCTTGCGAATGCTCTCTTGAGCTTCTCCGGGTCCCGCATCGCACTGGTACATACCAGGCTCGTATGCAACTCGAGAATCTCTGCAGAGCGCTCAACGGGCTCGCGGGTCAAGAACTTTGGCTTAGAAATGGTGTGGCTGGGTAAGCGCAGCTTCTTCACGCCAGCGGGTAATGGGTACAACGTAAGCTTGATAGGAATCTGCGTCTCCACCCTCGATTTGAGGGAGGTAGGATGCACAGTAAGGACATGACGAGGAGAGTTTTCCGATTTAGTGTTGACTTGGGGAGGCGACGGCGCAAAATTCATCCCGAAAGAAAAGGTATTGGGCCCAAAATTAAGATTGGGAGACATGGAGGGATGCAAGGGGGAACTGCCGTTCATATTGATACCACCGAAACTTTCCTCCAAGATCGAGGAGGGAGACTGTCCTTCCCACTTGCTGGGAACCGATTTGACTTGGGCTGAGGAAGTGGGCATGGTAAACAAGGAGCTGGTTGGGAGGCCATGAGGGAAATTTGGCAAACCAGACATAGGAAGCTGCCAAGTGTCAGTAGAATGGCGTGAAACAAGGGGGACAGGCCACGACTCACGGGAGACGTCACCATACGTTCCGCAGACCGCTTCGCAAGGACCGTGGCATTCTTGGATTTTCTGTAGGATTTAGGATTTGTCGGAGCGTCCATTTTCAACGGGCTTGGACTGCTAGCAGCGCTTTCAAAATCGAAGGCAGCATCCATGACTTTGTTGCTCGATTCGATATCGGCGTCTCCGGGAAGCGTGGTGGAATCTAATCCGAAGAGCATATGTTCCCGCATAGACACGAAGTCGGGGTTTACCCATTCCTCGGAATATCCAAACGGAAGCATTGTACTCTCGGTGTTGGCAGCGGAACCTGTTGAAGTCATCGATGGGTTACGGAAATGATTTGGCGGTGATTCCGACGAAGAGCTTCGTGTCGAATTCTCGGGAGAATCGGCGGGTGAGTCTGCGGCGAAGACACGACGATGTCTCAAGGGATCCTGCCCTTGGTAATCCTTGATGCCCGATACCTCCGACGGGGACAAACATGCTGACTCAGAGTCTGCGGAAATGGTTCGTGGAGACGGACCTCCGGAGTAGAAAGTGTCAAGATCACGGCCGGCACGCTCAGATGACATCTGTAGCCTCGATGGGTCGAGAAAATCCATGTCGGTATCCCGGTAGGCATTCTCCATGTCGTCGCCCAAGATGATAGGGTCCAGGACTGGAAAGGCAGGCGACGAGGGAGCCTCCAAGGGCCCCATCTTTCGTTTCCCGGGCAATGAGTGAGGTACTTTTGGGAACGAAGAGCGTAAGTCGAACACTGGCCGGTCTTATAAGGCAAGAAACCACGGTGATTAAGCGGTCACTGGATACAGAAAAGAATCGTCGATAGATATACCGATCGAAGGTCACACGGAGTGGTTGGCAGGTGGTATCTCAAACGACATATATGGACCGTCCTAGACCATAGTCTCTTACATCGACAAGCGCGCAAGGAAATGAATCAAAAAATTTTCAAAACAAAAAACCAAGCACCAAGACCTGGTGATAGGAGGTGTCTCAGATGAGGTTGGAGGAGTACGAGGAGGGGTGGAGGCGGGAAAAGTGCCGGTCGTCGAAGTGTTCGAAGGGTGGGAAAAGGAGGATCAGATCGGCAGCGGCTCGTCTCTGACAGGTTCCCAACGGCTGAAGGAAGGAAGTCGAGGTGAGGATGGTATTGGAATGGACACAAAGCAGGAAAAGCGCAGTCGACCAGGGTGTTGAAGCAGGGCCGGGACGATGCTGCGAAGACGTCCTTCCTGACCGGTCGATTTCGCGGTGAAGAAGTCGAGGTTGTTCAGGCCGGTAGCGCCTGAGCCCGCTAGTCCCGATGCGGAATGGTCGCGGCAGAGCAAACGCTGCAAACGCGATTCCGGTTTTAGCGCTTTCCTGTTCCTGTTCTTGTTGTTAACTTCGGCAGCAGAAGAATAATAATGATGATGATGATGATCGCAACTGTTCAATTATGCTGATCTTGCGAAATCGCAGCGAGAGACATGCAGGGCTCGTGTCAAAGACAAGGACGGGCGATATCAGGGTCGACGAGTAATCCTGCACTCAAATGACGGCCGTGCGCGGGCAAAATGGCACACGGGGAACGACTCCGCATAAGCGTCTACTATCATTGTTGTCTGGCTGGTAATTGCTAGCCATCCAGACTCGATATTAATATTAACTATCATCTTACCGGTGAGACAGTTGCAGTGAACACGGCTAGCCGGCATTAGCGGCATTGTTTTGTATGGCGTCTCCCCCCAGACACCACTTGGCAACCCCAGTGCACCTATCAAGTGTGGGTATGCCCACCTATTAAGGTTGATTTGATTTAATTTATCCCAGCTGCATACAGACATGGACATGTAGATGACATCTGAGATATCTTCTCTCATGTCCTTCATCCCGCTTCAGTGGCAGTGAGTGGGAAGGGTTGTGGCGTATGATTTGTGGGATCGTAGCTTCCCTCTCCCATCTTTCACATCTTGATCGCCGTAGCATTGCTCTTCTCCATCTCTCTCTTCCTGATTTCTGCCATCCGATCATCTCTCTACATACGTCCAAGCTTGTCTTTCTGTGCGCTCTGCATCATTTCTGTCGATCACCATCGCTTCTCTTGTCTCTTCAATCATAATGCCACTAGGAAATCCCCCAAACCCCTCCGACATCCCTCCCAAGGACCGGAGCAAATACCGGTTCATTCAAGACTGTGGCTTTGAAAATTTCCGGGACTTCATGCTCTCATATGGCTTGAGACTCGAGGATGACGATGATGTAAAGGAAGCAAACGCTATTCTCGATAGTCTTTGCACCATTGCCCAAGAGGAATGGGAGGATGAACGTCGGACCTACACCCGGTGATGAGACAGAAGACGTGAAGAAGTGGTCCCAGGATAACAAAGATCATCCATTCATGGTCCATTTACGATCTTCTGCAGTGAGCCTCCTTAGTGGTCATGGCCTTGTTTCTAAACTTAACGTTGATTGCCAGCCTTCTACGAACCCAATGTTCCCATTCTCCGGTTCCTGAGCGAAACTGGCCATTCTTGTGATGAGTTAACTAGCCGATAAGATATTATACCGTCATCCTTTATATGATTTGACTGCGGAGTTGGTGGCTTTCTGCATGTATATGGGGCTTAACAAAGTTCACGTTAATAGACAGCATTGCTAGAGGGAACATGCTATTGTCAGTTTCGGCGAACTCGTCTTGTTTATCCAGACAACTGTCTTTCAAATGATGGCCGATCCCCGGAAATAGCTTATTTAGGATTAATATCCCTAACACCAATCCTGGGATCAAAGCCAGGTGTTCGTCTGAAACACCAATCTCCCCATCCCGGTAAGATCCTGCAAGTCTATGCCAAATATAGCAGACCAACACAGATATTCAGATATGCTTACACTAGCATTTCTGAAAACAGGGACTTATATGGAGCATTATGTAGATCTTACATGTTTCCATGGGTGAAGCTCAGCTATCCGGGGGACACAAAGTATGAGTGCAGCTAGTAAAACCTTCCATTGACAGGGCCAAGGCCGTTACAGCATCTCTACTCACATCCTCCAGAAACAAAACTATTATTCCAAGTTTACGTGCAATGGCCGCTTTATTCTCATGTAAAGCATTGTCCTACCAGCATAAGGACTATCCAGCAAATACAAACTCTGCGACCACGCCTTAGGAGCCTACCTCACTCTGAACTCAGAGTCCTTAGACCAAACTGCTGGATATAGACCTGTTCGCTGCCTACAGACCTACCTATCTATCTGTCACCTCGTCCTACTGAAACGATGCAGCTTTGGCAGGGCTGCAAGTAATTAAGTATTCCTAGTTCGGGAATACTTTCCACGTACATGACAACTCTGCCTCCCTGCCTTGAGTCCTTCGAGGCTCTCTCTGTATTAGGATTCCCCTCGCAGGTAAGTGTCGAAGGACCCGTGGAATTTATTAAATGCTCCTTTTTTTTCCCTTGATGCTAATGGGATCGATCTATCCCCAATACTCCCATCAGACAGAGGTATGCGGTATCACTAGATCCTCTCCAATAATCTTAGGTACAGCATAAAGATAAACTACAACCAAGAACCTTGTTGAAACTACTACTACTATACTAACTGCTAAACAGTAACATGCAGACAATTTTCCCAGAACCGGCATGAATCCAAAGCCATGGCCAATCAGACTTAACAAGCACTATTCGACCATCATCAGTTTTCTTTCTTTTTCCTGGGGATCGACCATTTACATGTCGTTGGTGCAGCTGCCATGGGCCAGTCCCTGCGTGAATCCGACACAATCCATGCACGTTAATATTATTACTTTACTAAATTGAAGCTAGTTGCTGCTTGAGGGCTCTAGCTGCGCCAAAAAACGGCTCGAATGCTTGCGTCATGACTTCTTTTGCCTAATCGGCTAATCAAGCAAGCTACTGTACGGGTTCGGGTTCTAGGGCATCATAGAACAATGTCTTGACGTCAGTATAGCTTGCGTGATATGTGGGATGGCTCCATATCTCTCTGTATGGGGTAGTAACCATGGATGGATCGTTAGCATCGGAGAATGCCAGGGATTAGTATCATGTCGACAGTAGTGCCAATAGATGTTGGGTTCATTCGATAAGTAGATAGGTGAGCTAGCAGGTCCCATTGCTTAGTAGAACAACTACCAGTATCATTGCCATTCTTCTAATTATTATCAGATTGATTCTACTAGAAGCCAAAGAACAATCAGAAAGGACGAGAGAAGAGACTGCCATCTAAAGTAACATACACACATATAACTTGGTTGCATTGAATCGGATCGAGGAACCCATGGTCATCAAGCATACACGCCAGAGTCATGCATGCATCATCTCATTACTTATCTAAAAGGAAAAAGATATCTTTCAAATCACTGCTTCTTTTCTTCTCCCTCGGCCTTCTCTGCAGGAGCAGCCTCGCCCTCAGCAGGTGCATCCTTCATTTCCGTGTCAGCCTGCTTCTTAGCCTCCTCGGCCTTCTTGGCCTCCTCCTCTTTCCGCTTGGCTTCGGCCTCAGCGCGCTTCTTTGCGGCAGCTTCCTCCTGTGCCTTCAGCACGGCCTGGCGCTCGGCCTCGAGGGTGTCCTTGTGACGTTGGACAATCGGACCTGCAATGAAGCGGATCTCGTCGATCTTCGATACGTAGACAGCCTTTGTCGTGTCATCACCTTCCTCGTACAGCCAGTCCTGGGGGAGAATGTTAGTTGCGTCTCAATGGATATGGAAGTATTGGGTAGATGGGAGCAATGTTAGAACATACTTCACTCTGTGCCAGCTTGCTCCTCAATTTCTCCTTCTCCTCCTCGCTGGCGAAATCAGCGTAGACAGTCTCAATCTTGTCGCGAAGCTCGTAGATGAAGGACTCGAGTTCGTTCTTCTTTTCGGCCGTCTCAGCAACGAGCTTGTCCTCGACGTACATCGCATTCTCCTTCTCGAACCAGGCATCCTTAGTAGCCTGGTCCAGAGACGAAGTGCCCGCTGAAATGGGCAGATCTCCCTTGCGAACTTGCTTCTTGACCTTGCGAGTCTTCTTGGGCTGCTCACCATTAGGAGCATCGGTCTCCATAGCCTAATCAACGAACAAGTCAGGAAAAATGAAAGGTGGATCTTGGGTAAATCGGTAAAGGAAACTTACATCTCCATCCTTCTTTTCTCCCTCCTCGGGGACAGGCTCCTCAACTTCCACATCCTCCACGTAGTATCCCGACTCAACGTTCAGGATACCGTGCAAGTTCAGGCGTGCCTTGAGCTTGCAGATCATGAAGTCGTTGTTGGGGTCGGCCTGGACGCCCTTGACAGAGAAACGACCGATCCAGGGGTTGATCTTGCCAGGAAGGGCGTCGGGGTTAGCATAGCGAGCTTCAAGATCAAAGGGATTCTTCCTGTAGAAGGTGAGGATCTTAGTAGATGGCATGACGTTGCCTCTATTGAAAACAGTCAGGCTCGTGTCCTCGTCGGGAATGTCTGTGGACTGCTCCCAGGTGAACTCGATAGGATAGTTCACAATGTCGTGCACGGAGAAGTCACGCACACGGAATGCAGGAGACAGAATGGCACAGCTGAAGGCGCAACCGCGAGCAATAGCCTCGTCCTGGTTAAGGGTGAAAGAAAGAGGCTTTCCGAAGAACTTGCTGATGGCATCCTTGATTGCCGGAACACGAGTGCTGCCACCAACGAGCTCGATGCTATCGATATCTTCGGGCTTGAGTTTGGCCTCGGCCAACATCTGTTCCAGAGGAACGGTTATACGGTCAAGAAGGGGCTTGACCATCGCCTCCAGCTCCTCACGCTTGACAATGGCACGAACATCAACATCTTCCATGAGCGACTCGATGCTCATCGGAGCCACCGGATTAGCGGACAGAACCTTCTTGAGCTTCTCAGCAGCGGCGATTGTGCGAGCCCAGGCCTTGGGATTGGTACGGATGTCGATCTTAAACTTCTCCTTGAACTCATTAGCAAAGTGTTCGGTAAGAGCCTTGTCGAAGTCTCGGCCTCCGAAGTGGCGGTCGTAAGCCGTAGCCTTGACATTGAGTTCTCCCTTCCGGAACTCCACCAATGTGCAGGTGTAGTCGGCGTAACCAATGTCGACGAAGGCCACTCTCCTCGGCTTCTCCTCCGGTCCGGGGAGGTCGAGCTTGGTGATACCATAGCCAAGAGCAGTGGCCGTAGTGTCGTTCATGACTCGGAGCACCTTGAGACCCGCAAGATCACCGGCGTCAAGGATGGCCCTGCGCTGAACATCGGTGAACCATGCGGGAACGCTGATCACGACGTCCGAGACGGGGAGCTTCAACTCGGCAGAGGCGATATCACGGATCTTGCCGAGATACATGCCAACAAGCTGGGTGGCAGAGAATTTCTCCTTCTTCCCAAGATAGTTGACCTCAGCACCAGCCTGGCCATTGACGTCACAGAGAGTAACGGGGGTGAACTGCTGCTCGACCTGGATATCCGGGTCGCTGAAGGAGCGGCCGATGAGGCGCTTGAGATTGCCCACGGTGTTCTTTAGGTTCGAAGTCTCCTGTGTCTTTGCTGCTTCTCCGATAGCTCTGCTTTTAGAATTGAATCCGACAAGAGAACTGTGAAGGAGAAATCAACAGTTAGTTTCTGGGATCTTTTACATCATCTGGGTTGAGAGAAGAGGGGGAACAGAAGGGAAACTAGGCAACAAAAGAGGGACGTCGAGAGATAGTTAACATACGGAGTCGATCTATTAGAGACTTCATTCGTGATCTGGAAGGCGAGAGGAAGACGTGAGTTAGCAAAAGCGACTCATTGAGCCGAATAAGAAAAGGAACATCGGGCGCGGAGGAGGGGCACTCACAATATCAATACCCTTGTTTCGGGCCACACCAACTTTGGTGCTCTGAGCACCGAAATCTATGCCGACAACACTCATTGTAGGCGAATTTTTGGTATGACGAAGGGGGGAAGGTAGAGAAGGAGGGTGATATCAGGACGACGGGGAGTTGTAGAAACGATGGAGTCGGTGGAGGACTGACGAGGGGAGGAATTTGCAAGGAGCCACTATCGAAGGCGGTGATATAAGGCGACAAAGCTTTTCTGCAGGGTTTTTCGACACACTCGTTCTAGGCTAGTACGCCAGCGTCTTGACACTTCCAGCAAAGCCGATGCCAGGCAATATGGTACAGATGCAGTGAAGATGAAAATACTATTGATGAATTAATGGCAGGGTCAACAACGACAACCGTCCTTTTCAGGCTTTTACTCCTGTCTGCTCGTGCAGTGGCAGTTTCGAACCTTCCAGTTCGTTGTCGATACTTCTGGCACTCTCACCGCTCGCCGCTCTTTGTCCGGCAGAATAGTACCCCAGCCACCGCCTTGGTACCAGCCGCCAAGCGCGTCCAAGGCTCGTCCGCATGCGTCGTGGACACTTGTCCTCGTCTCCGTAGTTAACTGTGACTAATAATTTCATATTTGCCATGAAATGAATGACGTGGGCTATTTCCGGCTCTATCCTGACGAAACAAAAGAATGAAAAATACAGAAGCGGGCGGGAACCGCTTGTGATCCCTCAGCCGTCTACCTAGGTATCTTTCTCATCCCTAATCCAACAAGAAAAAGACAAGGACTCTCATATTCCTCCGCCATTCCCAAACCCCAGACTGTTATGGCCTCGATCAGACCAGCTCTCCCGGGTCACTGGTCCTTTTGAAATGCTTCTGGAACTTTCTCCTTAGCGTCTCCCGGGCCCTCCGCTGGCTCGAAAACATTCGAAATGGTCTCTCGGGCGTTCTTATCATTTCTGGTGCGCTCTGCACACTGCGCAACTGGTCCGGACGAAGGTGGATGGCATCAGGATTAGTAACGTTTTCGGTTTGCCCCTTGTTGAGTTCGCAACCCGATCCATGCTCCATTGGCTCTTGGCTGTCATCCTTCTCCAAAAATGGCGCGCGTTCTGCGCTTCCAGTATCGCTGGAGGCATTCGTATGGTCTCCAGAGTTCAGTGTTGTTCCTAGATGGAGAGCAGTGTAGCCCCTCGCCCGATGTTCCTCATTCACAAAGCCCCATTCGTTTGATGGCGTTGAAGTAGAGTTCCAGTCCGTTATCGAAGATTCTACAGAGTAACATGAGTGGAGTGGGAACCGAGTCATCTCGTGGGTGGAAGGCGCCGGCTGGGATAGACTGGTCGCAGAGACGTTTCGATTGATGTACTCGCCATCCTCAAGCTGCTCTGCCGGAGAAAAGCGCCCCTCGACAGTATCGCACGGTTGAACCGGGACGGATTCGCCTCCGTCGGCCCATCCTCTGAATGTGTCGACGTTCACATTGAGCTCGTCACCTTGGGCTCGAGCCTGTTCGACTGCTTCTTCGGGAGTGGTTATTTCATCCGCTTCTGCAGCGTCTGCTCTAGGCCCTCCCCAAGTCCGTTGGCCTGCCGTGAGAACTCCATAGACAGTATAGAGCCAATTGAAGAACGGGTTGAGGATGAACAATAACGGATAAAGCCATGCTTTAAATCGCCGGAGCTTTGCCCCAAAGTAGAACATGAGCAGATAATTCAACCCAAGAGATACAACAATGAATCCCACTGGGAGGTCCTGGATCCTCTTCGACGTAGTGATGATCGAGATTGCTAGGACCAGAAAGAGCAATGCCGTAGCACGAATTGTATCTTGCATGAGCCTAACAAGGCACAAGAGTGGATAGCGCTTCCAGAGCCTGATGTCCGTGAGCATGCAAGCTTCGTTGGTAACGAAGCCAAGGAACCACCGTCGCCGTTGCTTCAGCAGGCCACTGAAGGTCTGTACGGCTTCAGTCTTGCAGAATGCACTTGTGCACATTTGAATCTGGTAAGCTTTTCTGGCCCCGATCATGAACAGGTGTGTAAGCCAACGGTCTTCTCCCAAGTGGCACTTGCCAAAGTCGAAGAGATCTTCACATTGCTCAGCTTTGTCTGCAAAGTAATACTTGGCCATCTTGCGGAAGGCAGAGAACCGGAGAATCGTCAGGGCCCCTGGAAGACAGGTTACAGCTCCACACCCCGATTCAACAGAGCGCTCTAAAAGCTGCCCATGGATGTACTCCATGTCCTGCAAAAGCGTAATCAGGGAATTCTTCTCCGTCGTTGTTGTGATTATACCTGTCATCGCGAGCAAGTTATGCTTGCTGCCTGGTTTGAGTTCCATATCGTACATGAAATTCTGCAGACAGAGCCGGTCGAGGACGCAGTCCGAGTCAATGAATAAGACAAAAAGGTCGTCATGGCGCTTGAGATATTCTGCATACACTCGGTCTATCAGCTGGAACGTCTGCTTTTGACAATATCGTTTCCCTCCGTGCTTGAACCGAGAGACCGTGACTCGGGCACCTTTGTATGCCACGTCGATGCTTTGAGGATAGTTCCTGAGAGATATAGGGACGCCAAGGTGGTGAATAACCTGGAGGTAGGATTCATCTATAAGACCACCGTCGTACGACAAGAAAACGTGGATACAGGAAGTTGGATAGTCGGAATCCACAACGGAGTTGATAGCCCTGACCAGGACAGCAGGCTCTTCCTTGTATACTGGCATGATGATGACTGTCTTGGGAGCCGTGTGCTCATCGAGGGCTTTCTTGATCCGTCTCGTTCTTCCCAGAGAGTTGTTGACCAATCCATAAACACAAATGAGCCATGGTACCGTAAGGAGAATAGCAAAGGTCCAAAACGAAAACCATTGAGGAAGAGAGACAAACAAAGGAGGGAAATGCTGCGTGATCTGTATAGGAAGAGGAAGCGTAACGAGGATAACCGGTAGGAATATTACTCTAAGAGTCTGTTAGCCCCCTCTATGGTCAACAAGCTGCATTTCTAATACTTGCCGCAAGACTATAAAAAGAACCATCATTGTCACGGCCAGGACCTTGATACTGCAGCGATCCGCCTTTTGATAAACCTTCGCCAAACAATAGAGAAACGCAGCAAGCCAGAGTACCCATTCCAAAAAGGCCGCCAGCATCACGGGCCCCAGTATCGACACGTATACTATCTGGATGCAGCAGTCAGACACGGACATCAACTGGAGAACGCAACAAGACCTACATCTTTGGATGGCCATGGGGGAGCAGTTGACGATAGCTGGGCATTTCCATCAGTCATGGCGACAATCTTGTCACGGTCTGATTAGTTGTATGGAGATAGGGGGCATCGGATTCCGGGCAGAGTGGTCTAATTCGTATATGTATCTAGATAGACACTAATGGTATTAGCAAAAGCAAGAAGACATTAAAACAGATTTGAACTGTTCACAGACACTGTGATTCTGTAGCTAATATGTCCTTTAGAACGCAGAAGGAAAGGAGAAAGTAAAGAAAGACAGCTCGTACAACAACACCACGCTGATGTACTCTAGCGACTTGAAAGCAGAAGAGGCTTTTTATCTATACCTACCACAAGCTTGGAGGAGAATAATATACCTTAGCAGTTTGCGTCTATGTTGATGGTTCTTTCCAGAAAGGGGATTTACGCAGAGAATAGGCGAGAGCCACCAAGTCTACATCCTATCCACATTCCGAACTGTCAGATAGGACTGATTTTTGAACCATATTTGATACAGAATATGGTCCAATATTACATTACAAACTTATTCTATTGATCCTTTAATAATAATAATAATAATATTGGTGAAGCATCGAGGAGAATGCTTTAAGACAATTAGGGCAAGCGCTGATCATCCTCTGTGGCTTGACATGTGGCTGCAATTGTGGCTGGAGCTCTCCCCGTTTTTGTTTCGCGCTCAGAAAATTTCCCCCACCCACATAGGAGTAACATTTTTTGCTCTCCACACAGATCTCAGTTCTCCTGTAGGGATTCACTTCAGGAAAGGGTAATTGTGTTTCATTGTGCCTGTGCGATTGTACGCAGAAGATTCCCCCATCCGCCTATCTCTTTGTCCTATAGCCATCCTGAACTGTTAACTCCGACTTTCAATCCCTCCACGCGCGCGGGGCGCCCGATCTCCTTCACCTAGCTATCTAAGGGTTCAAAATTTGCGGTCATGTCTGATGAACAGAAGGGTGCTGCAGCACCTGTCTCCGCCAATGTCGATGCTGAGAAGGATGTGCAGAATGTTTTGGCTGAGCTGAAGGCCGAAGAAGCTGTGAAGTCTTCTGAACAGGAACCGGCTGAGACAAAGGACGAGAAGCCTGCGGAGCAGCCCGTGGAGGATCCCGAGGAAGCTCGAATTGTCGCCGAGGCTGCCAAACTTGGGAAGGAATCGGAGAAGACAGAGACAAAGTCAGCTTCTGAGACGCAACGCGATTCCCGCGGTGGGCGTTCCAACCGTCAAAACAACAGCAAATTTGATCCTTCGACTCTAAAGGAGACAGATGACCCGGTGGAAATCCGCAAGCAGGTAGGGTTGAAACAATCTTGCGCTTCATCATAGCCGGCGCTGTTGGTCTTTATTCTAACCAAGTGCCGCAGGTCGAGTTCTACTTCTCGGATTCCAACCTCCCCATGGACAAGTTCCTTCTGTCCAAGGTGGGAGGTAGTGCTAATAAGCCCGTTCCCCTCTCCCTCCTCCACTCCTTCAAGCGCATGCGCCGCTTCCAGCCATTCAGCGCGATTGTGGAGGCTCTCAAGTCCTCCGATATCTTGGAACTCACCGACAATGACACTGCTGTGCGCCGGAAGGTCCCACTTCCGGAATCGGTGAGCGACGCGCATGATCCGACCGTGGTCAAGGTCTTCGAAGACAAGGCCATGAGCCGCAGCATCTACGCAAAAGGCTTTGGACCCGAGGAGCCAAGCACCCAGTTCGACATCGAGGCTTTCTTCGCTCCTTATGGTCCCACAAATGCCATTCGCCTTCGCCGTGCCGCCGACAAGGTCTTCAAGGGCAGTGTCTTCGTCGAATTTGATTCGGAAGAAACGCAGAAGAAATTTCTAGCCCTGGATCCTAAGCCCAAGTGGAAGGGACAGGATCTGTTGATCAAGAGCAAGAAGGACTACTGCGAAGAAAAGGTCCGCGACATCGAAGCAGGTCGCATCAAGCCCAACCGTGGCCGCGGTGGCTACCGCGGAAGGGGTCGGGGTGGCCGCAGGGATAACCGCGACTGGAAAGAACGTAAGTCGGAGGATCGGAAGAGGGGCTTCGATCGCAAGGACCGTAACGATCGCAACGGTGTTCATCGTGAGGACGCTCCTCGCCGTGAGGTCCAGAAGGATTCTCGGTACGCTGATCTCCTTAACTTCAAATACATCCTAGGGAGTTCCTGCTTCGCTAACATCTCATACAGTGGCGTCCCAGTCGTCCAAAGCACTGTTGATAATAAAGAGACCCCCAAGGAAGCGGATACCGTGGCGGGACAGAAGCGTGCCCGTGAAGATGGCGAACCCAGCGCCAATGGCGATCATCCTGCAAAGAAGGTTGCCGCTTAAAGAATAAGCGGTGGAATTCGGGTGCATTATTTTTTTTTTAACTTTAAGATCAACTGGGCGGTGTTTCAAAAGTGGTTCTTTTTTTCTCTCTTTTTGCTACATTTGTGATATCGGCGTTACAACATCACTGGGTCTGTTTCTGTTCTTTGCATGTATGTATGCGCAGTATTGGATGGTTAGTCCAGAAACCTTAGAATATGACGTGGCATCAGAACACATCAAAACGATCAGAGAGTGATTGTTATATTCATTAAGGTGGACTTTTACTCTTGCTCACCCTGCATGGCACTACAGTCAGAACCTTGTGATAATTCCATACGGTAGATCAAACCATAATAGTATATGCTGTGGTATCGAGAACGAGAAATATTCATGTGCAAGTGACCTGTCTGTCCCTTGCTAATCTTGATCAAATGGATACAACCAAAATAAAACAACTTTTTCCCCACTGTCGGATGCAATGCAACATTATACAGCCATTGAGTTTGAATTAACCAAGCCCCAAGTCAAGTCCTTAGGTGGAAAGAAAGCAGTCATCATGTAGTACGGTACAGTTTCAACCGCCTCATTTCTTTTTCTTCTTCGTCTTATCAACAACGTCCATCCATTGCGTCTTCAGCCCTCGCCGGACCAAGGCCTTCTCTATCGTCTGTCTCTGGTCCCCCTGAACGAGGACCTCCATAATCCCCTTCGGAGCACCAGTTGCCTGAGAGACGCTCGTGCTGCTAGCGCACTTCTTCTGAAGCTCCTCGGCGAGCAGCGCAGGAATGATCCCGAAAACTTCCAGATTCATGACCTTGGTGACGGTCTTGGTGCCTGTGCGGCGTTCGACGGTCACGATGACCTTGGGTGCTGCGCCGGGTTTCGGCTTGACGTCCGCGAGAGTTTGGCCTGATTTGAGAATGGCGTGGTACGGTGCTAGAAGGGTGTGATCCTCCACGAGACGCTTGAGGAGACCATCGCGAGTCACTTTTCCTCGGGCAATGGTCGCCTTGTCTTCCGAAGAAGATGAAGTGAACACGGTATTAGTTAGGAATGGGTTGAGTAAAATTATGCGTCGATTCTCTCGGGAGATGATTGGGGGATCTTGACATGTTAGGTATTCATCCAGGCGTCTAGACACATCGGAGGGTTTGTAGAAGTTTTTGGGGTCGGTGCTGGAAAGAGCTGGAAATAAGGTCGGAGTCAGCTTTCCTGTTGGCCGGTACAGAGTCTGGACAGTCAGTGTTTGGCCAACGGATGGATCGCCATCAATGTCTGGTGTCTTTTTTGAAGACGTGACCGGCTTTCCGGCGTTCTCGACAGCATTCTTTGTTGGAAGTTTGTAGGGAACGAATTGTTCTAGACGCTTGTGGTTGAAGTTCACGTCCATGATAACTGTTTCTTGTCCATTTCGTTCCTTGGACTTAACCAGGCCTTCTTTATCCAGATATTTGATAAACTTCTTGACGTTCTTCCAGCTGGTCTTCTTGACGTTGTAATATTGAGCTTGCTGCGGGGAATAGATCGGAAGTAATGGACTAATAAGACTGGAAATCAAAGCAGATGGTTGGACAGGAAGGGCCAATCCATGATGGGGCGAGGACGGATTGTCCTGTTTATGTTTATAAAGAGCGTATAGAAAAGCCCTTACAAACGCCTCATCGATCTCTGTGAAACCATGGCCGGATCAGCATATACGCCGTACTGTGGCATGAACACAACACCGATAGAAAGCATCTCACTTACCCTTGGTCGTGGGCTCCTTTGCCTCTTCAGCTAAGACATGTTCAGGTTCCGCCTCGGGCACTTCATCCTGAGCATCCTTGCCGTCTTCCACGTCCTGTTCGACTTCGACTTCCTTCTCATCCAGCACCAGATTTTCCATTTTTTCTTCGACATCCTGGATCTCCTCATCCCAGCCCTCGAGATACTCAGGAGCAGGTTGACCGGGTCGAGCCGACGGGCTCCAAGCCCACAACTCATCGCCTTCCCAATGCAGACCTCGGACCGCATGCCCCCTTGTTCCTCCGACGTTCGAAAGAGTTGAAATATCAATCTCGCAGACCCCAACAAACAGCGGCACAGTAGGTCTATCCAAACTAGCCACCGCAGCCACTGCCCCTTTCACTGCCCGTTCAGGGAACGGCGGATCGTTCGCAAGCCCGGGAGTCATGAGATCCGCTCCACCGCGAAGTTTCCGCATCACCAGTTCCCCAGTATAGAGCAGAGGTACTAGTTGGGGATTATGCCATAGTGTGTATATAGTGGGGTACAGGCGTCCGTCGGCACCGGGCCCATGCTCGAATCTAAACCACAAGACTCGCTCTTCTCCCTCGGGATGTGTCCCGACGTAGACGGTGCCTTGGACTTCACGGAGCTCGGGGCCGTGGGTCGTTGTAAAACGAGCAGATAGCGAGCTCTCCGGCAGAAGAGAATTTCGGATGGCAGAGAGGTTTGGCGTGTTCGAGGCGGGGGGTGCAGGGCCTTCAGTGCCAGCTTCTGCTGGCGTGTCTGTCGGAACGCTGACTTTGTAGTCGCTGATGATCTGGTCTGCGATCTTTCTGCGATCAGAAGACCGGAGAGGAGAGATATTTTTAATCTGCGCTTGGTCAATATTGTTGTAATGGCATCCATGGTGGCATGCAGGGCAGCACACGCACAGTAGGCTTTTTCTTGAACATTGTGGGTCGATGGCAGCAATTAGGATGGATAGGAACCCGAGACGTAAAAGTAAAGTAGAGTAGAGCTCTGAAGCCAGCACCAAGGCAATTTGTTTAATATCCCATTATGCTGACGTAGTGTTGGGAGTTGGAGTAGCTAACTAGTTAAGAAAAGGCCGTTGATGTCAGCGGGGATGTTTTGTCTCCGCAACAACAATGGTCCGACTTAAGCAGAAAACTACAACGCCCTCACGAGATGGACGACAAAAATAGACACATACATATATATATGATGAGATATTTCGGTTTCATGCAGCGGCAATCAGAGGTCATATGCAGTTCATTATATATAGCAGATTTTGTACAACAGTCACAACGTTCCTGATTGAGGGATTTCCCACTATTTTAACGAGGACACTCAAGGCCATCAGAGGACCGATGTTTGTAGCGGTCTGCTTCGCGGACTAGTTTCAAAGGATCAGAATGCTTTTGCCCAGACTGGTAAGATGCTGAAAGTGCTCCGATCTGCAAAAGGCCTACCTAGGACCGGAATGGGAATAAGAGAGAGAAAGAGACAGAAATCATAGGTCACATCACACATTTCATAAGTTACATCAGGTCAAGTAGAAACAGAAATAACGGATCTATCATCCCTGGTGCAATTGATAAGGGAATACTTTTCCAGGCAGGAGAACAAAGACAAAAGGGAGGGGAAAGACTGTTCAGTCCAAAACGCCCACTACAAAAACGTAACCATAATCTCCCCCTTAATTTTCGTCTTAAGCAAGAGTTCAACCTCCAGGTTCAAATCGAGCTTGATACTAACTTCCTTCCCCTGGTTAAGAGACGGTTCGCCTGATTGTTGTTGGCCTTGAGCTGGTGTCTGCGTCGGCTGGAAAAAGATGCGTGGTATTCTCGGTTGCTCGGGGGCGGATTGCTGTCCTTGTCCTTGTCCCTGTTCCCGTGGCTCTGAAGATGTAAATGTAGATGGGGATGGCGATGGTTTATCAGATTCAGGTGTATGGATACTCCCGTCTCTTTCAGTGGGTGTGGGCGAACGATTGTCGTCATTTTTCTGCAGTTTTATCCCCACAGGTTTTCCGCCGTTGGGGTCAGCCTGGCGTACGCTGAATGCTCGGATGCCTGTATCGGATGGTTTAGATGTTTTTTGTTTCAGTTCTGGTTGCGGTTCCGGTTCTTGCTCTAGCTCTGGCTCTGGCTGTTTTTGTTTTTGTTGGTCCTCATTTCGATCATGGTTCGCTTGCGGAACAACTCCATTCACGTCCTTGTGTTCTTCGTTTTTGTCATCGTACATTGTAGTTGACCATGATCCCGAATCTGTTCTTGATCTAGACAATGTCTGAGGTGCCTCGTACCGTTTCGCATCTCTTTCCAACGGATGCACGTAGCCGAATAATGCCCTCTCCGCCTCCCATAGTTGCTGGCCCTCCTTTCCCCCCGATGTCTGGTGTCTATTTTTGTGTTCATGGATGTAGTCATGTTCACCCTGTTCACCGGCTAGTTGTTGACCTTCAGCGTCTATCTTGCGTTTGCTTCTATTCTTGCGACCGCCTCTTTTGCCGCGATGGCGACGAGTGGAACTAGGTGAAGTAGATGAGTTTGATGCTGTGTCTAGATCACTCAGCCTGCTGTTTTGTTCCTTGTTCTGGTTCTGAATGTGATTCCCGTTCTGACCGTGGTTCCAGGTGTGAATCGGGGTCTGATTTTTATCCTGGTTATCATTGCGAGCCTGGACCTGTTTCAGTCTGGAACTGGTTCTCCCACTCGACCGGCTCGATTTGATAGTTGACGGCGAGGAAACAGAATTCGACTGGGAACTGAACTGCGAGCGAGGCCAGCGCGGGACATGGGCCATCTGCAGCTGCTGCTGCAGCTGGCGCCTATTCTCTTTCTGACTCTCCTTCTTCCTGGTTCTGTTTCTGCTCTTCTTTGGTTGTGAGGACTCAATTGAGCCCTTCTGTGCAGGTAGCTCCCCCATGGCAATGGCTCTGCCGAGTCTGCTTTGGTGATTGACTTTGTTCTTGGAACTTTGGAGGCTGGGTGATTGCTGCTGTGCCCTTATCAGCACATGGTGATAATAAGCACTCCAAGTTACTATGATCTCACATCTCTCCCTCCATCACAAAAGGCTTCTTCACTCTTGATTGCTGTGATGACTGCGTGATCATCCAGTGACCGGTGGCACGTACCCATCCGGATGTCATGCAGATGTCAAATGAGGCCCACTATGGTGTGGGATCCATTCAAAGTCAAATCATGAAGATCTTCAACATGAGTGCTGTGTATGTCAACTCTTACATAAGTGGCTTTTGATGTGCATAGTTAGTTATGGCAAAATACTTAGCATGTATTTTTTATTCTATCAACATTGAAGGCCTTCCCTTTCTATTTTGGTGCTCACCCTCTGCTGACTGAGTAGAACTGAGCGCTCACCTGAGTGCTGAGTAATATGCAGCCTCAATAAAGGCATCCAGCTCTAGGGTCTTGACCACATCATTCTTCCTGTCTAAACAGAAGACCAGTCAAGTGTTGGGTGTCAGCCATGTTGATCAATTGCATCAGCTCATTTCGACACATCACAGCCTGGACAAAATATGATTGGTGATTATATTCTTTTTTGAGCCACTGTCTTTGTTCATGCATCTACGGGCAGCTTTTGCTCCCCAGTAATCTAGCCAGTCTATCTATCTGTGAGGAACCACCTCTGTACATGTACATAGTAGCCTCACAGCCTGAGGCAGAGAGACAAGAGCCGGGCGACACACCATCTGATGGTGAAGTGCTGAGCCTATCCTTTGCAACATTAGTGCACTCTAGCTATGGGAATTGTTTGCAGGACAACTCACTTCTTATATAGGGTGACATATTGGTGATGTAGCTCCTTTGCTTCATCCAGATAATTATGCTTCCCCCTTACAGCATCTTCCTCTTGGTAAGCCCTCAAAATGTGGTCACTAGCCAGATGACGCTCACCCGTTACACTCTTGCTTTGGAGGGTTTGCCACTTGAGGATCATTTGATTCCCATCAGCTTTTTGTTTGCGTCATTTTTCTCATGGCAAATTGATGGGCATGGGTAATTTGAAAGTGGTTAATCTGGCACTATTGCTGAGCTCCCGCACAAAATAAAGGTGATGGTATCCAGAAGGGGTAGAATAAAAAGTCTATATAATGGCATATATAGGACTACTTCTGCTTGAAAAAAAAAAATCCATATCTACGAAGACTCAAAAACAACGACTTCTTCTACTCAATTTTCACCCAAACAAACCAGGCCTACAAACATACTCTATTCCAAAAACAATAACAATGGCCGGCCTCCTCGGAAACAACAACCCCAACGACCAGAACCAGGGCCAGGGCGGCCTTCTCGGTGGCCTCGGGAACACCTTAGGCCAAACCACCCAGGGACTGGGCCAGGGCGTTGGCGGCACCGTCCAGGGTGTTGGTGCTGGTCTCGGCCAGGCCGTTGACGGTGTCGGCAGCGGCATGAGCAAGACGACGCAGGGCCTTGGGAGTACTGTCGGCGGAGTCACGGACAGTGCTGGCAATCTTGTCGGTAACACTGTGCAGGGGGTGACAGGAGGTCCATCGCAGCAGCAGCAGAGGACTATGCCGTCTCAGGGTACGGTGCAAGGAGCAACGCAGGGTGCTGTTAATGGGATGCAGCCTAGAGCCTTTTGATTTGGTGCTTTGGGTTACTGCTATGCGGTTTTTATTGTTCTGTTTTGTCTTTTATGATAAAAGAATCATTTATCAGTGCTGGAGTATAACAGAAGGATGAATGATCCAAGTCAAATGGATGTATATTGCTATACTTTCCCGAATGCAACTTCGCAATCATCAGCACGGCCCCTCGTCATCCTCCTCGACAGGAGGAATCCTCATCTCCTTGCGCACCAATTCTATCTCTAACACCCTCCGATCCAGCGGAACCTTCTCGCCCAGCCCATCATCATCAACATCGAAATACAACGCCCAATTAGCACTTCCAGGGCCGTCCTCCTCCTCTGCTGCAACCGGCTCCTCCACGACTACAAACCCCTCCCACTCATCAAAGGTTAACCGCTTCTCAATAGGCGTACAGCTGAACGGTCCGAGGAAATGCCCCTCCGACTCCGCACGATTACCATACTTGACCTCATACGTATCCTTGTCGACGTATATCCAGTTCAAGAACGGCGGATTATCTCGAATAGTAGATACGAACCCTTCACCCTTGCGGCCCCATTTAAGCTCGGGATGGGGAAAGAAATAGCCCGCAAAGAGGTGTCCGTTGTGTCCCTGTGTTCTATCGTGAGCGGATGGTGTCGAGACGTAGAGCTGCATAAGTTAGAGCATTTAGTCCATGTTTGTAGCAGGGAGAGAATAACCTTGTTATTCCTGAGAACGATATAGCACCCGTTTACTTCTCTACTTCGCCGCGACGGATCATTACAGGAAACGACCAGATTCGATTTCCGGCCGCGATGTCTGTTTTTGGCGTTTTGGCGCTGGCCTTGGACGACTGTTTCGTTGACGCCGACTATGGCTGGACATGCTGCGACGGCTGTGAGCAGACCGAGGACCATTCTTGGGTACGTATCTTCTGCGTTTCGTTTTCGTTGTTAGACTATAGGGAGATACCATGAGTCCAAAACATTTGGTACAAATGCTTCAATCCATGGATTATGACGTTGGTCCATTGACTTGCTTGTTAATCCTCATCCCGCTTGCCGGGAGGTATCCAAGGGACGACGTCAGGAGGGCCCATGGTACACAGGGCTTATTTGAAACAATGCGGCGGAGTCCTCATTCCGTCATATGCGAGTACAGGCTTCAAAGGTCATGCAAGGTCTACATACGGTGTGATGTATATCTGCCAATCTGCAGCGATGACGGGATCAAAGCAACGTCATCTCGTGCTGTCCTTGCCTACCATAATCGGTATCTCAATGACCATTGCCGCTGCATGTCGATCATCTATATCACCCAGAAGGACGTGATGAAACTAAAAATATTCCAGATCTACCTCGAACAATTCTTGTCCTTGGTCATTGGCGCATGTTCATGGCGAGGATGCGCAGTGTCGACGTCATCTCTTTTTCTCGTGGTTTTAGTTGACAGACAGGGGATCAGAGACAACGATCAAAGGGAGATGATTTAAAGACTCAACGAGATTTCTCGCGGACTTCTATGAATTTGTCTTTCTCAATATCAGTTCTTCATGCAGGGCTTTTCATTTTCTTCCGATAGCATCTGCTGCCTTCGCGAACTTCCCTCTCGTTCGAGAATATTTAAAACAAATATAGTGCAATCCATTGAAAACCGGAATATCTAGAAAGACTGACGGACATCCACAATGTCAGACACGTAAGTCCAATCTACCTGCTACCCTCGCCATCTCAAGCCCATCTAAATCCCCTCAGAGAACAACAGCAAACCAACGGCGTTGTCGACACCGAACCTGAACAACAACGACAAGAAGACCAACCGCAGACAGAAAAAGGCACAATCCAGCACCAACAAAGCCCCCAACACGTCCAACCATGGCAACAGCCCCAGCCACAAGCCGGACCCCCCCTCTACCAAGGCCGCTACGTGGAAAACCCCGGCCCAATCCGACAATCACGCATCAAAGACCGTCCGCAGCCAAAGGAGACGCGCGATAGCAGTCTGAAGGTTAAGATCGAACTCGATCTAGAAGCAGAGGTAGATCTCTACGCCCGGGTGAAAGGTGATGTGACAATCGGGCTAATGTAGTTTTCCTTCTTCCTTGGGTGGGACCTAGGTCGATCTTTATGCTAGGGTTAAGGGTGATGTTACTATTGGATTACTGTGAGGAGTAAGTGTGTTTGGATCTGTGTGGGCAGGTTTAGTAATGTTGTACAGGAGGTAGCGAGGTTGATGTTGGTGTTGATTGTTGTTTCTGGACAGAAGAGTTTGAGCTTTGAGGTCTATTCCGTGCGGGGTGTTTGATATTCAAGGATTTATGGGAAGAAGGGGAACAATCAATGATATTGACAGTGGCAAGAGCGCAAATATATCCAGGTGATACTTCTACAAAATTGCATTGAATTCAGAGAAGAATGTTTGATCTCAATGTATCTCAATATATTAATATATTACAACTAGAATCCGAGGACCTGGACCTGTGAAATTGACGCCGAAAATGACGGCTTTTGACTCCAGAAACGGCCGCCGTAATGGTGTGGGTGGCGAGCGACCGGTAAAAAGACGTAATATTTCGCGCATTGTGTATTGGTTACCGGAATGGATTAATTGTGCGGCTCTTGCCGCGCTAGACCCATACTTGTCTTGGCAATATCAATCTTTCGAATTCCGGACAGTAGAGAATGTCATAAAAGGCTGTTTTTGAACGCAATGAGCCTGTTTGAAAAAGAAAGGAATTCATAGTAGATGATCTGCACTTACTGGAGAGCTGAAAGCTTGCTTCTGCTAGCATAGTTGGCAGGGATCCACCGTAGAATATAAATGAGATCAGATTTCCTGCTTCGTTTGAACTTGTCTCTATATTTTCCTAAGTTCGTCATTCCTTTGCTGCCATTCGTTCTTCCTGACCCTGGCACTGGCACGTCTTAGAAGGTGCCAACAGAGTGAGCAAGTAGGGCACAGGGCTAGGGCTGAGGGCAGGCAGCTGACCTCGCCTCTTTCCTTCTTCTTCTTCTCCTCGTGTACGATATTCCTAGACAGTACGGCCAAATAGCGAGTTGCTTTCCTCTTCTCATCCTATTATAGCTGATCGTCACAATTGATTCTTTTGGCACTTTTTTTCTGGCCTCTCCTTCTGGCGCTCTCTGTATCCTCAGAGTTTCTCAGGTGCTCCTTTGAGGTCTACAGCTGTTCGCCATTGGTTTTCTGATGGTGGGTAGCCCTTCCATTGGACAAGGTATTCCACCTTGTCAAGGTGCGGGCTCACAGGTGGTCAGAAACAGATAGATTAGGTAGTTGATACTCAGGCTAGCTACAGGATCTCTATCTATCAGTTCCAGGTTGCAAGCAGGCTGGTACAGGTGGGCTCGATAGACAAGACGTAGCTCAAAGAGCTACAACAGGATCAAGGCAAGGGGTCAGAGATAACCTCGTTGTGGGCCACGTGGTCGGTCAGTGTAGGCAGAACAGGGCTAGTCACTAACCATTTTCAAAGCCAATCTTGCACTTAGCCCCCATTTCTGGCACAAACATCTCATCAACTGCCCAGTATATCCCAGAACTGATTAGACCCTTTCATTCACCTGATTGCATTGATTCAAAGCAAGGTGAAGTGAAGCAAAGCAAGCAAATCAGAATGGAGAAAGGAACCAAAAAGTAAAACAGGAAATGAGTGCCCACAGCTACTTCATCCGAGCTAAGCCTGCTGATCTCTCCAAGACAAACTAGCGCCCTTGCTGAAGTTTTTAGAGTTTTAACTTTCTTAAAGTGTATCAAAAACCCAACTTAAGACTCTCGGGGTCACTTTCATACTCATCAATCAAAATTTATCAGTTTAACCGAATATGGACAAGGACCAATGAGATCTCCCGCTGGTAGAAGAGAATAACTAGGGGTAGATTGGGGATGACCTAGATTTAATAGATAAGAAATAAATCTATTTAAACAATGGCTAGAGCCACGACCTATGGTCTACAATAATTGTGCAAAGAATATCACAAAATGGACTTTCATCTAATATTCCAGCTGGCCGTGTCAACAACTTTCTAAAAGGCTGCCCTGATGTCCGGCGTTTACAAGATATACATCTACAGCAACAGCCCCATTTCGACCATCTAAAGCAACATTATTTCCTCTGTGAAGATGCCACTCCAGGAAGCTCAATCCAACGTGAACCGATGGAAAAATTCCATGATAATCGGAGTGGCATTGAGGTACGTTCCACTGGGATTGTCACTGTTGGGTTCAGTGCTTGGCCAGGCATGTCCCAACCCGTCAATCCGGTAATGGGTCACAGTACCCAGCTCCTCACCACTACCATATTGGTATTCCTGGACGTTTCCGGAGTACAGAAGCGTCGTCTTGTTATGAAGACCGTATCCGTCACGCTTCGACCACTCCCTGACAAAGTGCGGCACAGTCGGAAGACAGGAACCCCGTCTGGCGCCGCCAGCATACGGAATGGTCTTGTCGGCACTTCCGTGGAACTCGAGGATGGGGATCGGTGTGCGGCCCGGATTGCATTTAATGGGGACAGTGACAGGATTGCAGCCATCCTCGCTGTCGCCCTGGTAGTACGCGCCAGAAACGGGGGCAAAGGCAGCGAAGCGCGTGGAGGCAACGGGGTCGCAAGCTAGGACGTTGGTGAAACCGCCTCCGTTGGACTTTCCGCTGGCGTAGATGCGGGAGGAATCGATGCAATACCTCTCTTCGAGGTGCGTGAGCAAGTCCAGAGTGAAGCTGATGTCGTCGACGCCCGATGATGCAGGATCACCTTGCCATTGGTGCTGTGTGGTATGTCAGACAACTACTTAATCAGAAGACTTAATCAGAGTACTTTGACCACCGTACATCAATTCCATCAGGATAAATGGCAATGGCATCCGGGTTCCATTCCTCGTTGCTGAACTGTGAGAGTTCCTCTTGGTTGGAGGCGTCCTTGGTTCTTCCGTGGAAGGAGAAGATCACGGGAGTTCGCTTGTCGACATCATAGTTCGATGGAACATGGATGATATAGGTCCTGTCGGTGCTGTTTGAGGTTTTGAAGTGCGTCGTGTGGCTCTGTCCAGCTTGGATGGCATGCGGTAACGGCTTGCCGCATCCAGATTCACCGACTGCGCTGGCGATGTTGGTGCCGAGAACGAGAGCACCGAGACCGAACGAGATCTTCATGATGTCCGTACGGGATTCGAGAGAGAAAGATGCATATCCGGCCTCCATCACAGCCAGGTCATGGTCTTATATACATATCCGCAGGGTCTGGCGTCGTGGCTACCCCCCGTCGCTGTGGATTCATTAGGATGCGATGTTGATCTTTTCTCGCACTTGATTTCCGGTTGAGGAAAGGTCCCTGCGGGATGCGATGAGGAGATGGAATCTGCACTGCAGAATGGGGCGAGATTGAAGAAACCCCTGAAAGGATGCAACGGCAAATGAACCTTGGCAGGGCGATTTTACTCCAGTCTCCAGGTCGGGGAGATAGTCTCAAAAGATCTACCCGAAGTGGCCGTCGGCCAACTTTCTGGAATCTGCAAGGAAGATTACCACAGGTTCGATATCAGATAGAGATTCCAGATCGACCTCTGTTTAACTTCCGCAGCTGGTACGGAGATTAAATATCTTTCTCTCATTCCCCAATGCATTGTCTCAATCTTTGGAACACACTGGAGTGAGGTGGCAGCATGGGTAAATAGGTGTTCTTTTCCCCCTGTTGTTTGGTCTTTTTGGTCTTCATCCTCTGGAATATATATGGAACACTGGTAAGAAGGAGAACCTGGACTATCTCGGAGTATTCAGTATATTACATCTATCAGTACCATCTGGTCTGCATCTATTATCATTGAGCTGTTCTACTTTTGGACCAAGGGATGGACACTGTAGAAGAATGTGGTGAGATCACCCTCCGATCAGACCTCTCGGGCCCGCCAGCTTCCGATGTGCAAGATTCATTACGTGCAGCGTATTGTGACCGTAATGATCCTATCAGCGCTTGGGGCTGTGGCTGCAACAGCTGCCGTGCGTGTCGCACCTTGCATCCACGTGACTGTCTCCGGAGCTTCTGTCGGACGAGTAGTAGATATCTTGACTTGTTTAATATTCCGGAAGCAAGATCATTTGATTCCTTCCTTCTACATATTATGGAGTGTTAACTATTAACAGGTACGCTTCTCTGTACGACACTGCAGTGGCATAAACAGGATAGCAGGAACTGAATCCTGATCCCGAATCAACCTAGCGCGGCGGCTGTGGGTCTGTCTGGTTTGTCAGGCACTGCACAGTTTTCTGCCTGAGGCCCCTTAGGCACCGCGTGGGCCCCTGCTTCTGCGCACGCACCTCTCAGCCTTCCCAGCCTGCTGTCAGGCCATTCAGTAGCTGCTTTTCTCTACTCCACCGTGCAGCAAGATCTTAATAATTGTATATATTTCCTTCCAGTATTAGTATTACCTACTTAATACCGCTTGCATTAGCTATTTTCCTGTTGTTGTATCCCAGGTACTTTTACCTGCCTATTCTCACCACGATCTTTCCTCATCATCCTGTTCCTTGCCCCTGGTATCTATCTACGTATTATCATCCCTCGAGTTACTGGAGTCAAATCTCTTTCTCTCCGTCGCTGCAATTCTCCCCGACCTCCATGGGGTCTGTTCGCTTCCAACGCCGGCGATAGGTAATTATCCAACTCGAAAGCATATTACGGGCGGCAGTGCTATTGCGACATCCGGCTCTGCTATCTGCCGCTGTGACTGCTTTGCTACATATTACTTTACTACTATCTCGGGTCCGATCCACTCGCTGAGACGCCTTTCCGCTCCCGTTGACGCAGGATTCGATCAGCAAACCTATCTTCACATCTCGTCCCTCTTTTCAAAACGACCCATAAACCGTTGTCTGTCGAATTCAGTTTCCATCTATTCCTCCCATTTATTCCGCCCTTTGCCTTCATTTTCCCGGACTGCTGGGAAAGCCTTTCCCTTGTCTCCCGTCGATAAGCGGTCGCATTCTTTTCCGACGGCAACTTCCAACCTACGAACGACTAGAGCCTCCTTCCTTCTCTCCTCCCTCCCCCCCTTCCTTCCCTTCACTGTCGCATCCAGTTCTAGACAATCATGGCGGCAGCGCTCGATCAATCCCCATCCCAACCTCCGGTCGAGTCGCTTGCTGGCGGTCCCGCGACCGACGCCGCCCCTACCTCCATCACTCCTCCCCATAGTGCTAACGGCAAGACCGATGCCCCGGATGGCGTTCCGTCAGAGCTGTCCGATCTCGAGCTTGATTCCAAGGCGAATGCGCCTCCAGCTACAGTGTCACTGGAAGAGGAAGAAATTGAACCAGATCATTACTATGGTGGCGGCAAGATCCCTGTCTTTAAACCGGTAAGTGGTTTGTTTTGCGGATGTCGGTTGGATGATACGAAGCATACCTCTATTTTATGTTCTCCTGATGGAATTGACCACTGATCGGTGTGCCGTCTTGTGGTAGACAATGGATCAGTTTCGAGATTTCCAGTATTTCATCCGCAAGACGGAAAAGTACGGCATGCGAGCTGGGATCATAAAGGTCATTCCCCCCAAGGAATGGTGAGTCAATGCATCAAGTCACTACTGAAAAACTTGGTCTGAGCCATATGCTGATTTCTTATTTGTTTCGCACCACTGCTTTCAGGTCCGATGCCCTTCCTCCCCTTGACGAAGCTGTGAAGAAAATCCGTGTGAAGAATCCAATTATGCAGGAATTTCACGGATCACATGGAATCTACACCCAGGCAAACATTGAAAAACAACGGACTTACAACCTCCCCCAGTGGAAAGCGATATGCGAGGGCAGCAGTCACCAGCCTCCGGCCCGGAGAGGAGAGAGACGCCGAAATCAAGAACGAGTTATACGCTCAGCTTCCACTCCCAAACCCCATGCAGCCCGATCCGATTCTCAGAAACGTGGGCCAGGACGTCCGCCGAAACGATCCAACCAATTCAAGGTGAAAGAGGAGCCCCTTCCTGATGACCACAATACCCTTGATCAGGTCAAGCCGGAAGGTCCTCCGACACCAGTTTCTCCCGAATCTAATCCGGTGGAGGCCAAGACGGAGGAATTAAGCGATGGAGAGTCTGTTCACGAGCCGAAGCCGAAAGGGCGACAACCAAGGTCCGTGACATCGAGGAGGAAACACAACCGTGGCGATGCAGTTGATCTCGTGGACGAAGAGTCCTTCAAGGACTTCGACTACCACCTTTGTGACAACGAAGACTATACTGCGGAGAGATGCGAGGAACTGGAGACCGCTTATTGGAAGTCGCTCATGTTCAATAACCCGATGTATGGAGCCGACATGCCTGGTTCGTTATTTGACGACTCGACGACTTCATGGAATGTAGCAAAGTTGCCCAATTTACTGGACGTTCTGGGTCAGAAGGTACCCGGAGTAAACGCAGCCTACCTCTACCTTGGAATGTGGAAAGCCACTTTCGCTTGGCACTTGGAAGATGTGGATCTGTTCAGCATCAACTACATCCACTTTGGTGCGCCAAAGCAGTGGTACAGCATCTCACAAGAAGACGCTCCCCGTTTTGAGCAGGTCATGCGGAGCATTTGGCCCAGTGACGCTAAAAACTGCGACCAGTTCCTCCGCCACAAAACTTACCTCGTCTCTCCCAGCATCCTCAAGTCTCAGTACGGCATCACGGTTAACCGGCTGGTCCACTACGAAGGTGAATTCGTCATCACATACCCGTACGGGTATCATTCTGGGTACAATCTGGGGTACAACTGTGCTGAGTCGGTCAATTTTGCGACGGAGAGATGGCTTGATTACGGACGCATCGCAAAGAAGTGCAATTGTGAAGCGGACAGCGTTTGGATTGACGTCGAGGACATTGAGCGGAAGCTCCGGGGCGAGACAACCCCAGAGTTTGGCTACTTTGAGAGCGATGGCGAGCTCGAAGGCGCGTCAGAACTGCTCACGCCTCCGCGCAGCGTGCCAGAGAAAACGTCGACTCGCGGTCGCAAACGAAAGCACGATGGTAATGAACCGACGGCGAAGCGGCACAAATACCATGCCGAAGCTCACAAGAAAGCGCCCTGCGTATTGTGTCCGAACAGCCTGGACTACGAAGAACTTCTTCCAACGGAAGACGGCAAGTTGCAGGCCCATCGACGGTGCGCACAGTATATCGAGGAAACCACCATTCTCCGTGACGAGTCAGGGAAGGAGGTTGTGTGCGACGTTGACCGGATCCCCAAGGCTCGCATGGGACTAAAATGCCTTTTCTGCCGCGAGGTGCGGGGAGCATGTTTCCAATGCAATTTCGGTAAATGTACGCGGGCGTACCATGCCACATGCGCACTTTTGGCCGGCGTTCAGGTTGAATTTGGTTCTGTCGCTGTGGTTGCAGACGACGGAAGTCAGTACTCTGTGCCGAGTGTCGACCTCAAATGCAAGTTTCACCGCCAGAAGCGGCAGAACTGGATCCCGGGAGAGTCGTCGGACAAGGACAGCAAGCTCACAGAAGCGGCGGGGGGATTGGTAGCAGGCGATCTAGTACAGTTCCAGGCGGACAAAGAGATCAACGGAGCAGTGGTCCTCCAAAACCGCCGGAGAGAACGGACTCTGCTCCTCAAAATACTGCCCCGAGGCGATGTAATCGAGCTGCCGTACCGCTGGATGCTCGTAGTGCGCAAGAGCAACTTCACGCCGCTGGCGCCGGGCATTCAACCACTCCCCGCACACCTGGCGCGTAAGCCCGAGCGACGGAAGGAATTGGAGTCAGCCGTGCCTGTGCCAGGCAGTCCATTTGGCGACGCCAGCTCGCCGTATCAGTGGGCGGAATTCGAGTCGGTCGTGCTGGGTGCGACTCCGGTGGCAGACACGAAGGTCAATCTGCAGCAGGACGGACAGTTGTGGTTTTATCTGGGCAAGACATCGACCGAATGCAGAGCGCAGTACACGCACAACCCCCAGATCGCAGTACACAACCCGCGGGCGAACTTCCTGGACAGCGTGAAGCCGGCGGTGCTGGGCCGCTTCGGGACGTCGCTATCTGCAGCGGCGGGGCTGCATCCCGTGCACCGGCAGAATCCCACCACAACCACTTTCGCCCACCCCTCTCTCCTCCGTCCTTCTCTCCTGCAGCGCCCTCCTCTCTCGCTGGCCCCTCCCCCTCCGCCGCCATTTTCTTCTTCTCCTTCTTCTTCGTCCGCTCCTGCGATGCCGTCGGCCTATCGTTCGCTGCCCGCCAATACCACTGTCCGCCATGCTCCGTACCCGCAGCTGCCCAAACAACACCCCCGCCACCCGTCCCACCTCCGTCATCAGCCGTCACCACAACAGTCCCAACAACCCCTGGCACCACCGCAGCCGACTCCCACGTCACAGAAGCAGCAGCAACAGCCCTCAAAATTCAAAGGCCAGCAACAATCACAACAGAAGTCTCAACAGCCACAGCAGTCTCAGTCCAATGGCCCCTCCCGCACCTTCGCCAATGTCCGTGAACTCGTTTCCCGTCGTCGGATCCTTCAGATCACCGACCATGCCAATATCTTAGCCGGATACACCATTGTCAGCCCGGAGCTGGTTGTCGAGACTCTTCTCGGCCCCATGGGCTCTGTGCCGTCACCGGATGGCGTGGAGAAGCTAGAACTCGCCATGGCTCAGCAGGGAGTGCAGCCCCGAGCTTCCGATGGCACCTTGCTTCCCCCGCAGCCCCTCAATATGCGGTCGGAGGAGGTTACCCGACTCCTCAGTATGCTTCGGTTCGTGGTCCAGCGTGAGCGATTGGACATGATCCAGAAGAAGGAGTCGGAGAACGTCAAGCGGGACGCTGTGGACAAAAGCAATCTGGCCGCCAAGGTGGCTGGAAAGTATGCTTTCCTGGACCAGCAACGTGCGCAGGCACCCAGTGTCTATCAATCCCCTTACAACATGCCGTCGGGATTTTCCGAATATGCACAGAAGACATACAATCTGACTCCGTGCCAGCCTGAGATTCCGCGACCCTCACTGGCCAATGACTACTTTGCCAGTCTCTCACCGGAGGATCAAGAAAAAATCCTCAAGACTTGCGGCAGCTATGTGCAGCGTGCTATAGATCGGTCGGCAAGTCACAGTCGCCAGAACTCAGCGACCAACGTCCGATTAGCTTCTGCACTGGCTCGACAGACGGATAACCCCACCATTGATATTACGCCGGTTGAGAACAGTATGTCCATGTCGTTGCTTGACATGCCTCTTCACGCGGACTCGCCAGGTTCCAGCTTCAGTCGGTCGCACATGCGGTTTCAGTCACCAAGTGGCTTTACCAGCCAGGGCGACCAGGACTCGTCTCGACATTTCCACGATCATCAGGACCTTTTTGGCGACCAGCAGGCGAACACCCGATTCTGGCAGCATGGACCCTGGGCTGCCGGTGACGGAAATACGCCCAGCGAAGAGAACCGACCGTTCTTCGGTCCTCATGGACGGCTCAAGCACGATTATGCCTCATCCGACATCTCTCTGGGACTGGGACCTGGCTCGTTGCATTCTGTAGACATGGCTGCATTTGGGCTAGACAGTACAGACGATATATGCGCCGTTCTGAGCCCATGAACTACGAGGGGCCTGCACCTTGTTTTTCTTTTCTTTTTTCTTTTTTTCTCTCCTATTCCTTTGCTGTTATACCCGCATCTCATGTAACGATTGAACTGGATTGACGACAGCATGACCGGGCGTTATTTTTATTTACCATTCTTACCACAATGTCTTTGCTGCTTTATTGTGTTGTCGACTTTACTTTTTCTTTATTTTTACTTCCATTCACGGTGCAGCTGGCCTACCTGGCTAGCCACGACTCGCGTTGAACGAAACGTGTCATGTGGATAGGATCTGGAGTTATGTGGATAAAAGGGTGACGATGGTATAGAAGAGCCGGCGGTACAGGGATGGGAAGAGCATGAGAAACAGGCCCTCTTCTTTCTTTTCTTTTCTTCCTGTTGCAGTTCCAATGGGGTGTTACTGGCTTTTTTTTGGAGGGAGAGGGGGGGACCTACTGCGCACTGCAGACAATCCACCATCATCGCCATGATCATCAACCAGCGCACCAGTTCTCGACCGTTTCGCTTCTTTCCTTTACGCTCTGTTCACGTATCCAATGCGCCTTTTCTCTTACGAGTCGACATGTCTTTCGGTTCTAGACCCTGCTTTCAGCCGCGGGCACGTCCGTCGCTTGGCTCACGCAATTAGACAAAGAAAAAAAAGGGAAGGGAAAAATTGGAAGAGACATGATGAAGCCTTGATACCCCCGGAAATTCTCCATTCTGTTTTGATTGACATTTTAAAATGTTCTCCCCCTCATGATCTACTGTATTGTTTTTTTTTTTTTTAACCTTTCTTTTCGACTTGTGGGACTTGCCCCTTTTGGCGCTCATCTTTACCCTATGTGACAACCATCATCGCAGTAGAGATGGGGAGAAGCACTGCTTTGATGACTACTGTCCGTAGTGACGGTCTTTATTCCATGTCTATGGACACATGCCGTCGAAGGTAAATAGATGTGGCAGCCGTCACCTTTGCCGTGACCCCTGCGTGTGTTGTACTTTATCTTGACTGAGGCCAAGATGCACTTGGAACGAATGATAGAATTGAGTTCAGATGAGATCTATTATCATTTATGGCTGCGTAGATTATGATTATTATTGTTGTTATCTGTCATGCTTATCATGTTGCAGTGTTGCATTGGAATCAATCAGCATTACCTGATCGCATTACTAGTATAGGATGGTCGCTAACATTATCTTAACGGCTGAGTCGATCACCCGTGATAGAAGGAGTATATATAATAATATACATCCCCACGCCTCCCCTCCGGCATGCTTCAATGTCCCTTCTCTCTTTCATGACTTGTCTCGCAGATTCGAACATGTCGCAACCTTCCACCACTGCCAGTGCCGACGAGGCACTGGCCCGAATGGGCTACAAGAATGAACTCCCTCGGAACCTGAGTATGTTGAGCATCCTGGGTTTGTAGGTCTAGTCGATATCCATATCCATATCCAGATGGCGCTCTAACTCAGCTAATGCCTTTCCCTCAGGTCATTCGCCATCATGGCTGCCCCCTTCGGGCTGAGCACGACCTTCTACATTACCCTCGCCGACGGCCAATCCGTCACCATCCTCTACGGCTGGGTAGCAGTCACCCTGATCTCCATCGCCATCGCTGCATCCCTAGCAGAGATCTGCGCCGTCTACCCAACCGCCGGCGGCGTCTACTACTGGAGCGCCATGCTCTCCACCAAAGAATGGGCCCCCCTCATGTCCTTCATCGACGGCTGGCTGACCCTCGTCGGGAACTGGACTGTGACGCTGAGCATCACCTTCTCCGGCGGCCAGCTCATCCTCAGTGCTATCTCGCTCTGGAACAAGGATTTTGTGGCCAATGAGTGGCAGACGGTGCTGATGTTTTGGGCTGTCATTCTTGTCTGCGCGTTGGTGAATATCTTCTTCTCTAAGTACCTTGATCTTATCAATAAGGTATGTATCTTTTGGACGGCTGCTAGTGTGGTTATTATTCTGGTTACGGTGCTTGTTATGGCCGATCATCGACGGGATGGTGCCTTTGTTTTTGGGCATTATGATGCTTCGTCTAGTGGTTGGTATGTTTAGTTCTTTAGCTCTCGAATCATTTGGCGACCTGTCTTCTGATGGATTTTTGCTAGGCCCGCCGGCTGGGCATTCTTTGTCGGCCTCCTACAAGCTGCTTACACGCTCACCGGGTATGGGATGGTTGCAGCCATGTGTGAGGAGGTCCAGAATCCTGGCCGTGAAGTTCCCAAAGCCATTGTCCTCTCCGTCGTCGCCGCAGGCGTCACGGGCCTATTCTATCTGGTCCCGATCTTGTTCGTCATGCCGTCCGTCAAGGAGATGCTGAAAGTCGCCAGCGGCCAGCCCATCGGGCTCTTATTTGAAACCGCCACCGGCTCACCAGGCGGAGGATTTGGCCTCCTCTTCCTCATCCTCGGTATCATGATGTTTGCCGGCATCGGTGCCCTGACAGCAGCTAGTCGCTGCACCTGGGCTTTTGCTCGTGACGGTGCCATCCCCGGCTACCGACTCTGGCGCAGAGTGAACAAGCGCCTCGATGTCCCCGTGTGGGCCGTCATTCTCTCAGCAGTGGTCGACTGTCTACTCGGATTGATCTACTTCGGGTCCAGTGCCGCCTTCAACTCCTTTACGGGCGTTGCGACCATCTGCCTTTCCACCTCGTACGGTCTGCCGATCCTCATTTCCATTCTGCGCAGACGTGAGGCAGTCAAGAATTCCACCTTCTCTCTCGGCCCGTTTGGCTACGCCATCAACATCGTGACTATCCTCTGGATTATCCTGGCGGTGGTCCTCTTCTGCATGCCCGTGACTCTCCCCGTCACGCCCTCATCCATGAACTATGCCAGCGCCGTGTTTGCTGGATTCGCGGTTATCAGTATTGCATGGTACTTCATCCATGCGCGGAAGGCGTTCAAGGGACCTCCCGTCACGGCGGAGGAGGTTGGCGTGGTAGTGTCTGGAAAGGCTGTTGTCGATCCGGAGAATGCATCAGGAGACGTGCTTAGCAGTACAGTTGAGCCTAAGAAGACCTTGTTCGGGGAGTGATTGTATATAGATCCTACAGCTTATATACCATGTTAATTTCCAATACCTGATAAGATGGTAATTGTGTGTCACTGCCGCGGGAACGGGGCCAGCTGCGATGATCCCTTTAGGAACCTCAGGACTGAGGAACAGAGGTAAGTGATGTGAAGCTGGAGATTGTTCCCTAGAAGACAGGACAGTCAGTCCTAGGCAGGATCTGTGGGTAAATCAGTATGAAAACGCAACACCTGGGGGAGAGGGGGAAGTGGAGAGGGCAGTCCATGTGTCTTCGATCTTGACAACCTCTAGTACAATCTGTTCGTCAATGATGACGAATGCCACTGAATCCATTAACATGCTTCGACGCAGCCGTTCCCTATATTGATTAGCCATCGATGTCAAATTAAACAAAGCATCAATCACAGGCTTGAATTCCCCGGCTTCCCCACGGCCGACTTGCTTACTTAGGACTTTTGGCAGCTCCGAGAGCCGCGGTCCATTCGACATTGACGCAGACACCTCATCTCTCCGTCCATCCATCACGTCCTGATTAATCCCTTGGTCTACTCTCATTATTTCATTATTTTTGGTTATTTCTCTCTCTCTCTATCTCTCTTTTGCTCTCCTCCTCTGGACTCCCAACCCGGATTGGACTTGAGCCCATCGGCGATCTTGGGGAAGCCTGTTTCGCGTCGGTTTCTCTCGGGCGTCACGTTCAGTTTCAGTTCAATTCGATCCCATTCAACCATAATAAACAACTGGATTTCATCTCGCCGAAAATCCGGGGAAGGGGGGTGAAATAAAGCAGTCGGGGCTTCTTCAGTTCTTCTCTCTTCTTACACTACACCACTCGCTTGCGGATCTCATTTTTGACACCATCACCCCCTTACGAATAATCAATAACACCGGACGAACAAGAAATACGAGCGACTCTATTATCTATGTATGAAGATCGCCTGCGCAGCTCATCTGTCTTCTTGTCTACGCAAGTCCCAGTCTCAGCCCTCGTCCTAGTCAAATGTCGTTCGCCGTCGTGAATCCAGATGACGCACGCGCTCGGGCTTACGACCAGGCTCGGGCTTACGACCAGAGCCACGAACCCACACACAGGTATAGAGACCGGTACGATCGTCGTCGGCGAGACAGCAGGACTGCTTTTCATAACGTCATCATGTCGGATTCCGTGGGTATGTTGCACTGTCCCTCCAATGGCTGCGAGTGATTTGCTGATCAAGTTATTTCGGATCTGCTAGATCGAGTCTTCGTTCATGCCCTTAATACCGTCAAGAGGATCCCGCGCGCGGGAACGGTAAGACCCCCCGTGGAGGATAGATTGAAGCTTTACGGGTTGTATAAGCAGAGCATGGGTATGTTGGGTCATATTTCGTATTATGTGGGAGTGTCGCTGATTGATTGTTTCCTGGGGAATGATTAGAGGGCGATGTAGAGGGTATCATGGATAGACCTGTGGGGAATACGGCGGATGTTCATGCTGAATGTGAGAAATGGTAGGTTTTCTTCTGTACTTTTTTTCGTTTGGGATATTGCTAATGTATATGTAACAGGGATGCGTGGTACGCTCAACGGGGCTTGTCCCGTACTGAAGCAAAGCGCCGTTACATCACAACCCTCATCAACACTATGCATCGCTACGCATCTCAAACACCCGAAGCGCTGGAATTGGTCGGTGAGCTCGAGTTCGTCTGGGACCAGGTCAAATCGAACACCGTGCCGTCGTCGCCCGCATCTTCTGTTTCGACGCATCGTAGTGCCGGTGTTCCACCATTTCCCAGTCCACAGCATAGCCACGGAAAGCATAGCCGTGGCAGTTCTCGACGATACTACGGCAGTGGTGGGGGGAACTCGAGACTCCGTGTCCTCAGTCCAGTTAGTCAGCCAGATGCGCCATATCAGCGCAGCATGCGGGAAGAGGACGAAGACGAATACGAGAAAGAAGAAGGAGGAGGAGAAGCGGATTACAATGTCAACGACGATGAAGTAGAAGCCGAACGCGAGGACGAAGACGAGGACGAAGACGAGGACGAAGATGAAGATGAAGAATATGCAGAAGCCCGGGATGGTGCCTACGAATCAGACGCAAGGAACATCTCATCCGACGAAGAAAGTATACACGACTGCAAACAGAAACCGAAACAAAAGCGGAAACGCAAACAGTTAGACTCCCACCACCACGGTAACAACCGCGATAATGACGGCGGCGGCAGCGGTGATAATAATAATTCCCGTCTATGGCGTCGACGAGTCGAGCAAGCCCTGACCAAGATGACGGCCGAAGTCGCCGCTGTCCGCGAGCAGATGGAAGCGCGCACACTCGCGGCCCGTCGACGGAATGGTCTCTGGGCATGGATGAAATGGCTTCTTTGGATCACCCTGAGACAGATCGTTTGGGACGTCGCGATGTTGGGCCTAATTCTGATCTGGATGCGAGCTAGGGGCGACAGACGACTTGAAGAACGACTGAGAAATGGATGGGCCGAGGTGAAGGCCAAGGTGGTTAAATTGGGGATTTTTCGGAAGTTGGCATATCGTCGTTGAGATGGCGTTTCTCTTCTTTCCTTTGCCTTTTCCCCCTCACGTTCACTTTTCTTGAAGAGGCAGTCGGGCTTCTGATTAAACGCTGTTGTATATATGATTATCTTCTGATCATTCGCTGTGTCGGACTCATCTTTTTTATTATTATCACTTTTCATTCGTTGCAGGATATGGCTACATGTACAGTATTAGGGCGTCTGGTTACCTTTTTTTTCTTCTTAATTCCTTTTATGCAACACATACATACATAATTACATACACCGGAAGACAAAAATATGGATACAAATTGGTTTGTTTGGAGTTGTCTGGTGGCTTTTGGCTTACTATATGTGGACATACATGTACAATCAATCCTATTATCCTGGGGTCCAATTCCCAACACGTAAATGCTACAGGGTAATTCGGCGTGTACTCCAGGTCTGTACACACTCAAGAAACAACCATTGAACCATTCCTGATGCTAATATATACACAGACAGTTTCATGACAACACCGGGATCGAACAACAAAAAAAGTAGCAACATGTTAAAATCTAGACTTCTAGTATTGAGGACCAGGGAATTGGGCATAGAGCTGCTTTGGCCGCAGGTGTACGGGAGTCTGGTTCTCCGGTGTACCCGGGATGACCTTTTTAAGTCCCTATGATATGTTCAGTGGATCTTCTTCCAGTGATGATAGATATAATGTGACGAGGGTGTAAAAACTAACCAGCTTCTCAAACACGCAGTTGTTCAATTCCATCTCCGGCTTCCGGCACTCGAAGAAGTGGTGGTTGTTGTTCTCCAAACACTCCCAGTGGGCATTGAACTGTTTCAGGCAGTTGGCATTGATATCCTTGATCCTATTGATTTATCAGTTGTTTAGCGTCCCGATAAACAGCCATATTTTTAAACAAGAAGAGGGAGAACATACACACTGGCAGCGCAACGCGTAACCTTCCGACCCTCCTTCAAACACTCCAGCTCCCCTCGTCCATTAGCGTCAGTCTTGCACTTCATGTAATCATCATTGTAGGCTCTGCATCTGTCCCCGATAAAAAAAGATGCGCTAGCCAACGGCGCAGAAGTAGCCCCTATCTCCTCCACCTTGGGGATGTGATCGGGCATCGGCGTCGTGTCAACGAGGACATGCTGGTTAAACCTGCGGCGGGCCAAAGAGGTTAGTTCGATGCTATCCTCGTTACAATGGTATGGTAAAAGGCTTACTGAGGCTCTCTCCGGGACATCTTGGGCGAATGGCTTGATTTCCGGTTCCTGGGTCAATTGGCGTGCAGCTTGCTTTGCGGGCTGGACGTGGAGAGGAAGACGAAGGTTGGCGGAACTTGCTTTTGCTTGTTGCTGATTCGTCCGTCGCTGGGATGCTTATATAATGGTCTCATCAATAACATAATCAACCCCCGAACCGCGGATTTTTCGGCATGGCCACCACTATTTGAAGTTATTCAGCCACCAACACCATTTAATTAGACTAAATAAATATACGAAATGATAGCTATTTACTAGGGCAATTTCGAATTGTATGTCCCACTGTTCCACAGCCACTGCAGCGCTGCGGAGCTTGTTGGTGAGATATAGGAGTAGATTCCTCAGGTTGCTCATTAAGCTGCGTATCAAGCTGCTGAACGCGATTTTGGCCTTCCTGTACAGAAAGAAGGTGGTCATTACCTAGTTCACCACGCTTTCTTGCCTTTTTCTGACGTTTTTGCTCATTTCCAGCTCATAAAACCTTAATTTCTTGCTGTAAAAGAAGGGTAGTTTGCATCACCATTTGCGCAGCTTTCTCAAGATGTTGAATATGAGCGATTGGACTGCTAGAAAGCTGCTGTTTTTTATTAAGGCTGTTCTGCAGACTTCGGACCTTCTGATCTAACTGGCAAGTATTCTGCGGAGTCTGAAAAGCAGAGGAAATTGAGCCTTCAACTAGTGATGGTGCAGGTATAGGTGTATGTAGTTGGAAAGTAAGCTTTGAAAGAACATGCTCTGGATCAAATGGCTTAAGCCCTGCCCCTGTAAAACTGCTGCAGATATTGGCTGGAGTAAAGACCTTAGCGCATGCGTCTGGATATAGTGATAGAAAGTCTTCTTTATCAATATGGTTATTGCCAGCAATCATACGCTCTTCAAGAAGCTTTCTGTACGCTCTTTTAAGTGGGCTAAAAACACCCACATCAAGCGGTTGAAGAAGATGTAAAGCATGAGCAGACATGCAAAGACATTTTTTAGCCAGAGAAGGCCTATTTCATCAGTTATCCACCCATTCTGACTAATTGCAATCCACCAGTCGCTAGCAAGCTTAGGTTCTTGAAATCAGGTAGCTTGTTGATAGCTTGCTTTTAATATAATGATTTGTTTAACATTATCTATACTCCTGTGCTTGCTTGGATATTTCCACAGCCTGTAGATTAAAGAAGATTGGGGTGGGAGGAGAAGAGACGAGATCATACTGTCACGACCTAACTCCTAGGGTGCATTCTAAGGACTAAACCGCTGCACTACCAGCAAAAGACCAGAATATCAGGTCGTACGATTGGGGATTCGAATCAGACTGAGCGTAAGTGCATTTTCTAGGATTTTTCCTTTAACAATGCCAGCTACCTGAGACTTTTCTAGCTGACAGGGTGCCTTGTGATCCCTGGGGGCTAGATTTATATCCTTGTCAAGATAGCACGTCAGCTCCTCTGTTGCGGTGCTGCTTCCTTAGCTCACATGCTATCTTGACAAGGATATAAATCCCTCAAAATTTGAAGCGTGCGGAGACAATGTCGCCTTGACATCGGGGCTGTCAGAGGGGCCAATGAGCAACGGCAAAGTTGAGTGCCTAAAGCCCCAAAGTAAGATCTTGAGGTCACTGGTAATTTTGATGCTTTACCGCTGTATCCGAGAGACCGAAGGATACTGGGAAGTGGACAAAATAATAAATTTGGGTACCTCACTTTTGGAATTGTTAGCAGCCCATAAGCACTTCCGGAGAGTTGGAAGACTAGTGGATAAATACCTTCGAAGAGTCAGTAGGAACTCTTCCCAGTCCGAGTCATCCCTACCTTACGGTCCAGCTTTCCGTCCTCTTTGCGACGAATGCAGTACGATCATTAGGTCAGATATACGAAAACCAATACCCCTCCGACATGTCAGTCCACAGCGACAATAAGGAATCACCGCACCCACCCAAGGTCGATGAGGCACACGAACAGATTCAGAGAGCTGAACAGCCATATACCATCTTCAGTTCGCGGGAGAAAAAATGGATTATTGCCGCAGTTACCGTGATTGCGTGCTTTTCTCCGCTCGCGAGCAATATTTATTATCCTGCTTTGAATGCCCTGGCAACTGATCTCCATACATCTTTGTCTTTGATGAATCTGACCCTTACCTCGTATATGGTAGGTAAACCCCACACAAGAGAAACTGTATATTGCATTACCGATTAGTGCTAACTCAAAGCTAAAATTATCTAGATCATTCAAGCCATCTCACCTATAATTATCGCAACGTTCTCTGACGTCACTGGCCGACGACCTGCATACTTTATTTGCTTTATAGTATTCATAGCAGCCTTATTACAAAGTGTCCGATAAGCATCCATGGCTGCAACGGCATCTGTAGGTCCAGTCCAGCTCGGCCCTCAACAGACTCCCTGATAACTAGACATGTCAAGGATCAAACTGATTCAGCTTGAGCCTGTAATTTGTCTTTAGGAGCCGCCGCGTCTGGAAACGGCCGCCTCGCCCTCGCCAAATTCAGCGATTCCCTCCCTCACCGCCCTCTCAGTTTCTGCCATGCTTAAGAAATACCTCCTTTCATTTGTAGCAGCCACAACCATCTCCAACCGTATCATCCAGATTCTTCCAACCTTGCTCTCATCCTTCCAGATATGGAATCACATAGTTATCGCGGATCGCACAGTGCCTTTGAAGAGGAGTCTAATGACAAAAGACGCAAGGACCTCCTTACCTCACTGCAGGAGCATATTGGCGAAACTGTTTCACCAACGATTTGGCTATCCTGTGGCTTGCAGATATTGAAAAACTTCAAATCTGGTTAGATGAAGGCCTACAGGAGACGATTACACGTTCGACACGGCTTGCCCTAGATGGTTTTGAGTCAAAATCCAAAGTTATTGCCAAAAGTATAGTCAAAACCCTGCTGTTCCCATGGCTAATAATTTGAAGGGCTGCAAAAAGATCACAGTAACATCACTATGTCCAGGCTAGCTTCTCGCCAACTGTCAGCAGCCTCGTCTTGTCCATCTACACCAGCCTCAAACCCTCTTGAAACGGAAAGCAGATGAACTAAAAATAAAAAGTAGTCCAAAGCGCTCATATGAAGCTCGTAAACTTGTCAGTTCTAGTGCCAGGCTCCCCACACCAACCTTCCAAACTTCCATGATACCTTGAATTGGTTATAACTAACTATCTACGGTGTCGGAAAAGAGATAAGAATCGATGCATCATAACAAAGGATTCCGAACATGATGTTGCCCATATCTACCCCATTTCCTTACGTGGACATCACATCCATGCAGGTTCCAAAGAGACGCCCAACATTTGGATGACTCTAAAATATTTCTGGACAGAGGATCGTGTCAACAGATGGTACGGAACTATATTCCCCCAAGATGAATTTGTTGACGTCTGTCACAAAATGATATGTCTATATCCAAACGCACATCGCTACCATGGGAAAGGATATTTTGCTCTCAAACCTGTTGCAATTTCAGAGGGTAGGAAGTGTCTCACTGTTAAATTTTACTGGCTTCTCAAGGGTCCAAATTCATCTTCTGTCAGACTATGTGGCCATCCTTCACTAGAGGACCGCAATCAAGGCCCTGGTTTAGCTCGCCTCCTCAACCATGAAATGTCAATTGGCCATGAGACGACAGTGTCTGATCTCATTATTCGGTCTGGAGATGAGATACAGCTTACAACTGAGGACCCAAAAAAATTGCCCTTTGCCTCACTGGGAGCTTCTAGAGATGCAGTGGATCTTGAATCGAGTTGTGGCAATGAGTGGTGCTGCTGATGTTAACGATGACTTTGATAGCAATGATGATGATGATGACCACATCTCCTTGAAGGAGGACGAGGACTTTGATATGCTAGATGCTTCTGATTCTGAATTTGAATGGCAATCACCACACACAAGATCTCACCCTATGTCATCTCCTTAGTCTTCACTGGCCCCTTTGTCTATCCGGAAAAAGGCTACACAGACAGTTGGAAATGTTGGCACTGCTACTGAAAGCACTGCAGATAAATTGGGCTATGAAGACTACCAAGGATGAGTCTGGGTATCAAGCGCTCCAGATCGGGCTGTATTGGTTGGAACAGAACATCTGGTTTGCATACTGGTGATGGAGGACAAGTCTATAGATCAACAAAGGTAGTATTCAGTAGGTTAGAGACAAACAGCTTGCTTCTTGATCACAAGGCCCATTGATAGGTCTATATGGAGTTCTCCCCCGTCATGTCTCTTTGGGCCTTCACATTCATGGCGTGGGGAAGGCACGAGGATCCCGTGGCATGGTCATCAGCCTTGTTACTTCATGCCAATCGCCATCTGGTCTTCGCCAAGTCTTCGCATAACCTCAGTGGTCCAGCAGCCTGCTATTACACTGGGAATAAGATGAAAGGAGCATTATCTTACCTGATACCGTTAGTATTTGCTCTGTATTCTGCTAGATACCTTGATATGTAGTTTTATTAGCTAAATCTAATGAATGAAGTATCGTACCCGTTTATAGGATGGAATAGTGTATCAGGGGATACTGTGAGAAGGAGGTTAATGCATGGGCAGGGATACAGATACAAGGAAATATAGTATTTATTCATTTATTATCTTTTACTTTTGTCAGTTTTGTCAGTTTTTTCCATTTAAATGGACTTGGTTCCTACAGTTCTAGAGAGAAGCAAGGTGAATCAAGTTTGTTTCATGAGAATCTTGTATCTGTCGTGGGCTACGCCTAGGCATATGGCAACTCAGGGCCAACGCCTGAGCACACTGCTTGCCCTATTTGTACCATTTGTTCTGTCTGTCTCTTTTGCTTCATTTGTTCTGTTTGTTGCTGGCATGTCGTTGTCTCTTTTCTTACTCCTCCCAAGGAATCCTTCGTGTATCTAGTGCGAAAATGAATTCTATATTCATACCATTACAATCCACAACCATGAAGGCCTCCAACATGTAGTACTTGGAATCAACCAGGCCATAGTCAGCTGAAATGTCGTAGAAATAGCTTTAACCTCATTTGTACCTCTATGTCTATTGGATTCCTGATTAAAAGCGATGGTGATGATGATGCCTGGATTTCCGGCGAAAAATTGGCCACTCGGCGTCCGATTATATTAACTAGTTAACTACCAGAGACAGGTACAAGTTCAATTGCTGTTCCTGGACGAGATAGCAAATGCCATTGTAGTCTGATCAATTGCTCGGAGAATACCTTTGCAGTATTAGTCTGCTTTATATGCTCCTTGTCCATTGCTTGTGTTTCCCCGTTCCATTCAGTGTTGTCGCCGGTTGCTATCTAATGGAGGTGTATTGTTGGTTGGTCACTAGCTAGATAGGCCTACGTGGTGAAAAGGGTCAGCGAGGGCGGACCTATGCGGCAGAATCCCACGTGATCCAACACCCCCCACGCACGAGCTGGCCTAAAGACTAATCTAAAGAATTTAAATACAAAAATCGGCCTCTATTCAGGCCTCCAAATGAGAGAGTAAAAGCAAAATTAAGCAGAGAAGTGAGAGGTTCCGCTTTGGCCAATCAGAAGCCGTAAATCAGAATAGAAAGTATAACCAAAATGGGGGAACAAGCGCCGCTTAATGTATGCCGGTGAGTTCCAGGAAATGATTGAATCGTTCAGTTTGGAGAGGTTTTGTCAGGCCATCTGCTGCCTGTTCTTTGGTAGGGCAGGTCTAAAGTTTAACAATGCCGTCTCGGACCTTCTCCCGAACGTAATGGTAGCGTATGTCAATGTGTTTGGATCTCTTGGTGGTGAGCTCGGCTTCAGCCATGGCGTGGGCACCTTGATTATCGATATGAAGAGATATTGGTGGGCATTCAGTTGGGAGCACATTAAGCTCGTTGATGAGATTCCGGAGCCAGAGGGCATCACGGCTGGCTTCGCTTAGAGCCATATACTCAGCTTCGTTGGAGCTAAGGGCAACGGATGTTTGCTTGCGGCTTTTCCAGGCAATTGGGGCTCCAGCAAGCAGAAAGATGTATCCAGAAACTGACCGGCGGTTGCCTGTCAGTTGGCCACCCCAATCAGAGTCGGTATAACATTTTGGCATGAGGAGGTCAGATGTAATGGACTCCGTGGGTTTATGATAGGTAATTTGCCGATTGATGGAGCCTTTAAGATAGCGTATGGCGTGTATAAGGGCACGCCATGCTTTTTGGGTGGGTTTGGCGTTATATTGGGATAGTATGCCAACCGTCTGGCTAAGATCTGGCCGGGTTTTGGTGGCTAGCCAGGTAAGGCAGCCTACACCACGTTGATATTCTTTGGTGTTGACTGTAGGGTCTGGTTCATCATCAATTATTAGGCTAGGATCCATTGGAATCCTAACAGGATGTGCTTGGGCTTGACCAAAAGAGGCAACAACATCTTCAGTGTAGTCGGCTTGAGATAAAGAAGATGAAGTCTCAGACTGGGAGATGGTCATGCCAAGGTATTTGGTAGAGTTTCCAACTTCTTTTATGTCAAATTTGGCGGAGAGAGTCTCCATAAACCAGATGGCATCATTTTCATGTTTAGCATAGACTTTGAAGTCATCCACATGGGTGGTCACATAGAGTTGGGTCCGGGTAGTGTGGATCCATAGACCAGAGTCATATTCAGAGCATTTGAAGCTGATTTGGCGTAGAAAAGCACCCAGAGTATCATACCAGATGCGGGCAGATGGGACCAATCCATAGAGGGATTGAAGGAGTTCACAGACAAGATCTCCAGAACCTTCTTTGAATCCCTGAACTTGGGTCATAAAGACACGTTTGTCCGTGGGCATTTTCCCATTTAGGAAAGCAAGGGTGGCATCAGCTTTTCGGGTATGCCAGCCAAGCAGGGTGGCCAGTGCCGTGAGGGTTCTGGTAGTATTTTCATTTACCACTGGTGCGTAGGATTCCATGAAGTCTTTATCAAGTAGATTGCCACGAATGACCCAGCGGGCTTTAGCCTGATAATCCTCTGAGATAGGTATGCCGGGGATTTCTTTCTTTTTGTATACCCACCGGCCAGGGATGACTTTGGCCCCTGGTGGTAGGTCAGAACGGCGAATGAGTTGCCAGCAGCCTTTCTCTTTGAGTTGGTTGACTTCCTTTTGCATGGCAGCTTGCCATTTAGCAGCATCAGGATGGGATATGGCCTGCTTATAAGAAGTAGGCGTGTTGTCTTCTGATGAAGGAATGGTTGAAGTGGCAAAGTAAGCTAGGGACATGCCTTTGGCAGGTCGGAGCCATATATCTTGGTCATTGAGAGGTTCATCTTCAACTAATTGAGTTGGGTTTTCTTCGGTAGGGGTGCTGGGACCTTTGGGAGTGGTAGTTGTAGGATCTTTGTAATCCTCATCAAATATAACATCATTGGTGACAAAGACGGTGTCAGTTTTAGGGTCCCAAACACGATATTGATGGCTACTAATTTGGCCAATGAGGAAACAGCAGTGAGAACGTGAATCAAGCTTATTTCCAGGTTTATCTGGTCCATGCCGATGGACCCAGGCTGGACACCCCCAACGGCGATATCCGGGGAGTGAAGAAATGGATGAATTAGTCCACGCTGCCAACGGAGCGCGATAAGGGCTGGGGTGTATGTCCTTGTTGATATTCACCCCCCAGGAATTTGGGAATTGTATAAGATGGTAGATGTAGGGAGCCGATTTGTAAGATCTGTGGCATATTGGAGAGCATCTACCCAAAAGCGTTCTGGTATATATGGGGCATCAAGCATCATAGCTCGGGCCCGTTCAAAAGGATCCGGATGCCACGTTCACTAACGGCATTTTGCCATGGTGAATATGGCGAGCTTGGTTGCCATTCTATGCCTTCCTGACGGTAGGTTTCCATCCATTCAGTGGAGCGGAATTCATTATCAGAGACTAGGTAGGCAGGAGCAGTGAAGCCATGGTTCTTCATATTTTGAAGCCAGTTCTTGAAGGCGGTAATGGCTGCACTTTTTGTCTCAAGGAAGAGGATCCATCGATAATGTGTGGCATCGTCGGTAATAAGTAAGACATATTTTGCCCCAATTCGGCCAGTGACAACATCATTAGGGTTGTCAAAATCAAGAGTTTGTCCACCGCCGGCGATATCTAGATGGACTCGGGCAAGGGGTTTGGTAACTCTGGACCTAGGGACCTTGCTATAATAGCGTGTCTGTCTAGCCTGTATACAGACTTCACAAAATGGGAGTTCTTTAGAGCCTTTGATTTCGATGCAAGACTCAGGATCTCGGGCGAGGCGGAGGAGATCGGCTTGATTGAGATGGCATAGGCGTCGGTGCCAGGCCATGATAGGTAGGGATATCTTAGTAGTTCGCGGCTTCCCTAGAACCGGGGTCTCTTTTGGAGTAGGAGCCTCAGCTGGTGTCTTAATTGTGGGAGCCTTTGCAGGTGGCTCTTCTGGGCAGTTAACTTCTTTGCCAGACCGGGTGGTGACAAAGGCATAGGAATTTTCTTCTTCTCCAGGAGATAGACAGTCTTCAAGGAGGTAAACATTGTTTTTGAACAATTGGGCTTGGAATTCAGCTCCAGATGGTGTGGTAATCAGCTTGACTTCACAATCTAGTGTATATTGAAGCCTAAAGCCTTGTCGTACAAGCATGCCTTCTGAAATGAGGTTGGAAGTAAAGGAAGGAACATGGCGGACGTCTCTTAGGATCAGAGATCCGTAACCAATATCTATAATCACGGTGCCAATGCCTTGAGGCATAGAGATATGGCCTTGAGCACCTTCCATATAATCTGTCTCCACCAGATCATGCTTCTGCAAGGCCTTATAGGTTGCAAAAAGTGAACGGTCAGGTGTAGAATGGAAAGAGGCACAGCTGTCAACAAACCATTGATTGGAAAATGAGAGAGTCTTTGCAGACTTCACAATGGCAGATTTGGCATTGGAGAGTTTCTTATGCAAGACAAGTTCCTGTGAAGCAGGGTGATCCTGGTTTGATTGTGGGTTTGCTTCAGATTGTTGCTGAACACGGAGAGCATTAGCCATAGTAGTATAGAACTTGCGTCTATACTCTGGTGCTTTCTCAGGATGTTTAAAATAGCATATAAGTCCATGGCGATTTCCGCAGTGATCACAGTCTATAAGTGTATGACGAGATCTATCTTGGTTATTGGAACGTTGAGGAATTGTGTATTTGGTTCCAGATGCTTGTTTTGAATAACTGCGGTTCTGGGAGTTCTCTTTCTGTTGGTTTGACCGGTCTTGAGAATGAGTATCACGGAATTTAGTGCCGGTTCGAGTAGATAATTGGGTCTGGATAACCTTAAGATCCAGGTTGGTAACCGGAGCACGGCCAGTAGAGTAGACATCATCTAGTTTACTCTTGATAAAGGCGCGGTTCCAGTCCCGGAGACCTATAAAGAAGAGGTCATGTTTGAGATTTTCAAGAGATTCTTCTCCAATAGCGTGTAGGCGGTCAAAGATTCGATTAAAGGATGACTGGTAGGTGAGATAATCGTTATCCTTTATATAGAGCTCTTTGAGCTCCATGGTAAGGGCCATTCGCTCTTCACCGGTGGATTTGCCAAAAAGTGTGGCAGCTCGGTCCCAAAGACCATGGGCAGAGAGGTCATATACGGTGCCTAGTTTATCGGAAGCAGGGGTTGTCATGGCATTGAGCATACGGGCTCTCATGACAATGGCTTTTCTGTGCCAAACTGCAGCATCAAGTGGAGATGATCCAGCAGGAGGAGAGTCCTGGTGAAGAGTTGTAATAGCATTGAGAATACCAGCTTCTTTTTGTATGGCAGAGCTCCATGCATCGTAATTATCCAGTGTCAAGATGACACGGCATCGGTCAGGCAGTAGCGTATCGACATCGGCTTGGACAAGGGCAATAGCATTGCTGATATTTGTGTCTGAGGCATCACGCAGAGGCGGTTGGATATCCATTGGTGTAGTATCTTGGGTTGTATTTGAAGGCAAGGAAGCTTGTGGAGTATTAGACTGGATGATAGATGCCAGTTTTAGCTCCATTCTAGCTTCACGGTCTCGCATATCTTGTTCCATCTGATTCTGGCGAGCAAGCATTTGTCGCATCATATCAGCAAGATCAGGGGTAAGTTCGTTTGTGGAAGCCATGTTGGCGGTATTGGTAGAGCTCAGATTGGCTCCGGAAGGCGTTGGGGTCTCTATCTCTTCAGAGACAACTGATGAGGAGGTCTCGTCTATATTCGAGGACCTGTTTTGGAGATTTCGGCGACGTGATCGTCGTATAGCAGTAGCGGGAGGCGTAGTAGGTTCTCCTGACATGCTCAGGTTCGGACCGTATCTGGGATCCTGGAATTTTTGGAATCTGGGGTATGGAATTTTGGTTCAGCCAATCAGAGGGCTTAAATTGACCACTTATACGGGCCTAAAATAGCTCATATTTCCGAGCAAGAAACGGGCTCATAACCTAATGGAGGTGTATTGTTGGTTGGTCACTAGCTAGATAGGCCTACGTGGTGAAAAGGGTCAGCGAGGGCGGACCTATGCGGCAGAATCCCACGTGATCCAACACTATCTGTTGGATCACGTGGGATTCTGCCGCATAGGTCCGCCCTCGCTGACCCTTTTCACCACGTAGGCCTATCTAGCTAGTAACCAACCAACAATACACCTCCATTACTATCCAGTTGTCACTCACGTGACTCACCACCGCGGTAGTCGAAAAACAAACCTCCAAATCGTCCAGCTGCAGCTCCAAGCTTGTCTGCAGGGCTGCAATTCCTCGCATTCTGGGCGTGTTTTTATTTCAGCTCCATTTTTGTCTACGCCGATACTATGCGATCCTGACCCTATCACCCATTCAGAAAAAGTTCCGTTGTAGAAGGCACCTCAGCCAGCGTCCTTGATTCTTTTTTTTTTCTCCTTCCTCCAGAGACGGAGACAAAGCAACTCTCGTCGCAGCGACACCTTTGCTCGCTGAACATCTTCTCATTTTTCCTACGAATTCCCTTCTTCTGTACCTACCAACCATGTCTCTCTTCGGGTCTACGAATAAAGCGAGTCCGTTTGGAAGCTTGAACCTGAATACAGGAAATCAACAAGGGGGCGGTCTATTTGGGTCTACGCAGAACCAACAGAGCTCTAGCACAGGAGGAGGGTTGTTTGGTTCCAATGCCACGTCTCAGCCTTCACAGACCGGTAGCATTTTTGGGTCTACGACAGCGACACCAACGTCGAACCAGCCACAGGCCGGTGGTGGTGGGCTATTTGGGTCTTTGAACACTCAGCAGAAGCCGCAGGGTAGTCTATTTGGGGGACTAGGAGGACAACAACAGCAGCAGCAACCGCAACAGCAGACAGGCGGAGGGTTTTTTAGTGGTCTCGGAACAAACACACAGCAGCAACAACAACAGCCCCAGCAACAGACTGGTGGATTGTTCGGTGGTCTCGGTGCCAGTACAACACAGCAACAGCAACCTCAACAGACGGGCTTGTTCGGAGGTTCCCTACTAGGCGGTCAACAGCAGCAGCAGCAGCAGGCGCAACAGCAGCCTCAACTGGGCCAGAGCACGTTGCAACAACAGAATATGGGATCGAGCATATGGTCTCCAGGCCGTGCGATCACAGGAGGTTTGTTCTTTTATGATCCTTACTCCCCCAGAACTCAAGCTTACCGGTTTCTAGTTCATCGGACCGTGCCAATGCAAATGACCATCGTCAAGGAGAAATGGGACCCGACTATCTTTTCTTCCCCCTTTAGAACATATCTTTATAACAACGTCGGCGAGGACTCGGCACCATTCTACCAGCCTGGTTACAACGACGATGAAACGAAATGGGAAGAGGCTTTACGGAAGAGACCTGGTCCAGGACACGTCCCCGTTCTGGTGAGAGGATTCCTTGAGCTCGGAAAACGAGCACAGAGACAAAAGGACTTCCTTGCCGTGATGCAGACCCGACTTCACGAAATCAACAATTGTCTTACCGACCTGCTATCTCGTCATGATTTGAAAATCTCCGTGCGAATTGCCGACGCTCGTCGGAAACATCTCGTGCTAAGCAAACGGTGTCTGTCGCTAGCTGCGAAGACGCAGGTATTGAGGAACAGAGGCTACGCCATGGACGACGTAGAAGAGGAACTCAAGAAGAAGCTCGCTCAACTAGAACGCTCCGTTTTCGACCCGTCCCTGAACGGACGCGCGGAGGAGATCTGGGCCAGGATGCTGGCTATTCGGGAGGGATCGAAGCGTCTGCAAATCGAAGTGGAAAAGGCTGGGCCCAGCGCGGCACTACAGGGTGAGGGAGAAGTGAATGAGGAGGTTCTGAAGAAGGTTAAGAAGGTATGCCTATTCTCATATATGCTAATAGGCTCTGGATGGACTAACTAGCACTATTTCTAGATCCTGGATGACTACAACTCCCAGATTCAATGCTTGCAAAAGGAACTAGAATCAGTCAAGAAGGACCTCGAGGACTCGCTGAAGTCCCCGGATCGTTAGGGCATGAAGTCGGAAGGCTTTACTTGATAGTTACTCCAATTATCTGCTATGTGATATGCTTTTTTCCCCTTGTTCTATTTAATGGGACCGGCCATTTGGTGCTTGACACTGTTTGCATTACGGAGAAAGGGTGTTTTATTTATTTTCTTCTCTTCTTGGAGCTCTAGCAAATAATTTGACCAGAGAACGACATCTTTCGTTTCTTCTGTCGTATTATTATACCCGTGTTAAATGAAAGACTGCCTATAATAATACATGCCATAGCCAAGCCAAAAACGAAGATGCTGACATGACCATGAATAACAGAGAAAAGACCCAAACTTCCCACTCTCCTATGTATATTGACGGTCAAAATATCATCCCCATAATGCAAAATATTCGTTTCCTATTCTATAATATGTTACATGTACATGTCACCCGGTATCACGACACGAAAAAGCAGGAAAACGTAAGAGGATTATTAAAGGAGCTTCTTGATGAAATCGACGGCGAAGGGAGCTGAGAATTTTTTAACAATAATCAGTTTCCGTCATTGCCATTGTCATCAACATCGCCACCATCCGGATGAGGATTGAGAGAATGTTAGAAGGTGGAATGTTGCCCGGGGGAGCTTACAGAGGTAAAGAAGGATGCTGCTTGCGATAGCCATGTGGATAGTCTGTTGGGCTTCGACTTCTCCGGCCTGGATTTATTGTGTTAGATTGCTATCGTCGTCTTTCTTTGTATTGTCGGACAGGTTTGGGTTTGGTTTTGGGCTATAGTTGGAGGTAATGTATTTTGCAAATGGTATATTCACCTTGATCTCCTCCTTGGAGAGCTGCTCGTTACCTATTAAACGATCTTATGTTAGTATTTATTCATACAGTGTACTCCGTAGTCAAACGCGGCGGCAAAAGGGAAAGATGAGTGAACGAAGTTCGGTATGGGATGGAATGCGGCCACCACACTAACCTGGCATGAACATGATGAAGGCTTTTTCTGATATTCACTTTTTGGTCGTTATTTACTGAGGAGAGTGTGAACCAATCTGATGCAGAGACAGAACAAAGACAGGAAGAAGTCGAGTTTCACAGAGAAATCGATAATACTGCCACTTCCGCACGGGCCAATTGCCGCTGCCGCGCGCCAAAGGCGGAATCGAACTTGCGCCGAGTGAATTGAATTCATTCATTCCTTTTGACTTCTTCTCCTCCCTTGCGCGGTGTCGAAATCTGATTCTGTATCTTCTCATCTGACCAGGTTCAATACCTTCTAGTCAGAGACGCTGTGTTCTGCTCACTACTCATCCTTTCCCTCTCTGGTTGCTGGGTGACCGACGGTATCCTGGTCGCCGAGCGGTATCAAAGAAACCTCCGTTCGACTCTCTTTCATCTGTCTAGGTACTCCACTTGTCAACCACACGGACAACTACCATCACCAACACATACTCCTCGCAGACATGTCTGCCTCACCAGAAAACCAGCCCGGCTCACCGGTCGATCACAAGGAAGACATCCTACCTGAAGAGTCCGGAAATGAAGTTGTTAGCACCCCTGCAGCTGGCGGCGAAGCGTATCACAAACAAGTAGACGTCGACAACGTCACTGAAGATCTCGAGAAAGGTCCCAGCAACAGCGACGATGACAATGACAATGATGCTGGTGCTCGTCTTCCAGGGGAAGACGAAGCTGTCGGAGATGCACTCTCCGATGATGAATCTATCCTCTCTGAAGTCGATGAAGCGCAGTTCGAAGATTTCGACCCTGAGAACGTCGCTATCGAAGAACGTCCCACATTGGATATCGATGAGGATAATCTGAAGCTCATTGGTCGTCACAAGCGCAAGAGGATTCAGGATGGAGAGGACGAAGGGCGAACCAGGCGGAGGAAGGAAGGGCGGAGGGAGAAGAAGAATCGTCGTATGAGGGAGCTGGAGGGTGTCGACGCCGAGGGCGAGGCTGAAGGGAAGAGTCGCAGGAAGGATCGGAAGAGGAGGGAGCCGACCCCTGTAGATGAGGAGTCCCTCGATCCTGCTACGCGTATGTTCCCCTCGGTTCGTTGTCACGGTTTTGTGTTCTTTGACTGACTGATGAGGACAGGTCGTCGGAGAGCCCTTGATCGTGCTATGGATGAAGCGCTGAAGAAGCCTACTAAGAGACGACCCCGAAGAGCGGATGGCATTGTATGTTATACTACTCGCTTTGTTATACTGCTCGTTTAGATTCGTTCTGTCTGACTGTGATACTGCTGTCTAGGACCTCGAGCAAATGGCAGATGCGGAAATCGAGGAGATGCGCAGGCGCATGACCAATGCCGCCCAAATGGATGCTGTCAACCGACGCGAGGGCAAGCCTGCTATGCACAAACTCAAGATGCTACCGGAGGTGATTTCGCTCCTTAACCGTAATCAATATGTCAACAGTCTGGTCGATCCGGAAATCAACCTGCTTGAAGCAGTCAAATTCTTCCTTGAGCCGCTCGATGATGGATCTCTTCCGGCTTACAACATCCAGCGCGACCTCATGACAGCGTTGGCTAAACTCCCGATTAACAAGGAGACTCTCATTGCCAGCGGTATTGGGAAAGTTATTGTCTTCTACACCAAGAGCAAGAGGCCGGAACCAGGAATCAAGCGCATGGCGGAACGCCTGCTTGCAGAGTGGACACGGCCAATCTTACAACGAAGCGATGATTACTCGAAGAGGGTATACCAGGAGGTTGAATTTGACCCGACGTATGTACACCCTTTTTGTCCCTTACATACATGAAGGCTAACATGATAACGATGTAAAGCAAACTGCAAACGCGTGCACCGCAATTGTCTGCTGAAGCTACGGCGGCGGAAGCGCGAGAGCGCGAGCTTCTTCCACCTCGTTTGGCCAACCGCGCGCGTGCGGAGATCCGCCACACTAGCTATACGATTGTACCACGGCCGACGGCGATCCAGGAGAGCAAGTTCGCACGACCGCTTGGAGCCAGCGGGGAGGATCGATTCCGGAGGATGCGGGCAAGACAGATTGCTGCTGTGAAGGGAGGTCGGAGGTAGTGTCAGTCCCAAGTCTATTTTCCGTGGACGACCTTTGTACTTCTTTATCTGCTTCCTACTTTTCTTTGATTCATTTCGCGGTTAATATGGGCGTAAGCGGGGATTTGTTAGATACTGGTCGTGCCTATTTTATGATGGGAAAACCATCGTCGCATTAGTCGGGCATACTCTTGAGGCTTCTTTTTCTGTAAATGGAATCCACGTGATCTTGCCGGTTCGATGGTTATTCCAGATTTCAAATCCAATCCCAAAATCGGGATTATTATTATTACATGTTATTGCCAACTTCCCACTCGGATACTGATGCCGAACTCACGGGTTTCTATTTCATCATTTTCATGGCAATACCTAATAATGGTTGGAGAAAAAAGCGCAGAGATTTTCTTCCCCTGTCGATGAGGGGATCGATATTTCTATTCCGGGAATCCTCGTGAGGGGCGTGAGGGGTGAGGGGCATCCATCTACTCTCTACACTCTACACACTACAGTCTACTTACTATGATACTCATTCTAGGCAACAAGGATTGATGAATGAACGCAACGATGTCGAAATGAAGAGCTCACTTCCAATTAACCCAATCATGCAATATTATCCAATCCGGTCAGTTTCAGCAGATCATACGGCAGAGACAGCACGGATCAGTTGTGGGTTCTTAATGACAACCATCACTAAAGTGAAAAAAGAGGATACAGAGATCGAGCCATGTCTTTGTTGGGAACGCCAGAAGCTCCTACCATAGGGACTAGTTATCCACTCTGAGGCAGCCACAGACATCCAGACCAGTCCAACTAGACCCCTGGCGAGGCTCCCTGTCCCAGCAAATCGAGGCCTAAGGCTGAATACGTAGATTCCTCCTGCCAATGAGTGACATCTGCACCTTTATCGGTCAGATTAAAGACTCAACGGCCAAGCATTTTGGCTTTGGAAACTCCACTCTTCGTTCCAAATACGCCAGGCACAATGCTTAGGAGTCTTGGTCTCCACATCATCCCATGTTATATTTGATGCAGAGTACATATATAACTTCTTCCTAGACCGCCAGTTGATCTGCGAAGGACAACTTGGACTCGCATGGCCTGATGCCTGGTAGACTGGAACACGGTTGCCTGGGCTAGGTGCTTGGTAGTTGGTGCCAGTGTAAGTGCCCAGATCCATGTCTCTGCTTTAGGGAGTGTTGGAGGTAATGGTAGTCATTGCACAGTATGGAGACCATGGTTCCTTCAAGTGAATATTCTTCTTTTAAGTAACCAGCTTCAATTCTTATTCCCATCAGCCGTGTTTGTAGACGTTGGCATGTGACTTTCATGAACTCCATACTTCGTTTGCAGTAGCATCGATATCTCACCCTTCTCAACTTCTCAAATACGAGCTACAACTCAAGGACACGAATCTCCCGAGTGGCCGCAATGACTACTCCACTGAGTCCACTCCCTAATTCAAGCCTAACGTGGTAGGGTCAATGCCAAAACAGACGGATCCCTTCGGGCCTTCTGGTTGACATGATACCAGAAGCTCTCACGACGTGCAATACCCGTATGCTCTCTATATTTTTGATTTTACATGGCTAATTGTTTTATTTATTATTTAAATTCTAAAGTGTCTTTTCTCAAACAAACAGAGGTATAGGGGAATTGTCTGGGGTGGTTGAATTGGACAAGAGCGTCTCCGAATACTACCAAGCCGGCGTGTGGCTTCAGTATACTACAAGTGAGGGGCACAAGAACAGGAAGCCCCGGTCATACGTGAGAGGCAAAGGCAAATGCAAATGCATCCAAGGGACTCAATCCATGACGAAATCAACAGCCACCAGCGCCTCTACCCTCTGAAAGCATTGAGTGCATGAGGATATTCATGTCGAAATGGGAATGCGGAGAACCAAGTCCAGTCCCGGGATAGATATTTAGAACGGCGAGTGGAGTTCAGAACAACCTGCTTACGGAAACCTTGACGAGTCTTCAGATGTGGCGAGATCGTGCACGAAATGAAGAAGATGAACTAGGTCAGCCAATGTTCGAGAATGGTTCTGCCTGATAGGGGCAAGGTCTTCCGTCCACCGGGGATCTGGAATCTGAAGACTGAATATCTGCAGCTGAGGCTGGTGAGGGGAAGAATTGTCGGCCGTAAAAAAGAGGATCAACGGGTGGTGTGTGCAGCAGTTGGAGAAACCGAGTTACAGCCGTGTCCTTCCGGTGGGTTATAAAAATCATAATAATCAACAGGACATAAGGCGACGAGGCGCGAAAAGCTTCCGGTCCCAAAAAGTCCCAAAAAGCTCCAGAGCAGATCCCGGACCTGCGCTTCGCCATCCAACGTCAACTGTTTCGGCGTTTGCTGGGTCGATATATAGCTTCCCTGGACACGGCGATCGCCCTGGCTATTATTATTATCACTACCATAATAATTAACTCGGTCTTTGACTTCACGACAGCGTCATTGTCTATCTGTCGCCTTTGCCTCTTATTATCTATCTATCTCCACAGGAATTGAATTGATCTTTCGACTTTCTCTCTGTTTCTTTGCGGAATTCTGGGATAGAGAAAACGACACACACAAAATGAAGCTTTTAACCAAGGAAGAAGAAGACGCTCACTACCGGTATGTTATCCATGTTTTTATTTATTTTTTCTCTGAAAATATTAACACGTATCAGAGCCGTCGTCAAAGGAGGCACCTTCGGTACCATCGTCGGTCTCATCGGCGGCACAGCGGGTGTCCTGGCTGCCTCCCGTCGCTACCAAACAATCCGCTCGCTGACGCTCCCCATGAAATCCTTCCTGGCAACATCCTCCGCGACATTCGTCGGCATTGTCTCCGCGGACCACGCATCGCGCACTTTCGAAATCGAACGCAGTAAGGAGCAGCTATGGCTCGGGGACGTGGAGGAAAGGAGACGCCGAGAGGAGCTGGCCAGGATGAGCACCAAGGACCGCATTTTCGACTTCCTCCACCGCGAGAAGTACAAGATCGTCGGCGTGACCTGGATCGCGAGCATGGTTGGCTCCTTCTGGCTGGTTAGTCGCAACCCGTACCTTTCTGGATCGCAGAAGATCGTGCAGGCGCGTGTGTACGCGCAGGGGTTGACGGTCGCCGTGCTCGTTGCGTCGGCGGGATTCGAGATCGCCGATCAGAAGCGTGGGAAGGGTATTCTTGATGCCGCGAACAAGGCCAAGGAGGCTGCTCGGCAGAAAGGGGAGGCTGTTACGGATTACTCGTCTACGTCTTTGACAACGACTCCGGCCGTCAGGGACGAGAATGCTGATCTGTGGAAGGATATGGTTGCTGCTGAGGAACAGAGACTCAAGTCCAAGCATAAGAGTCTCTATGAGGAACACCATGGACAGTCCAACTCAGAGGACGAGAGGAAGGCTCATCAGCATCAGGACGTTACGGGGCCTGAACAGCCGGAGGAGAAGGGTCATATCAAGTTAGAGAAGGACTTAGTTGCCCAGAAGGCTCAGGAGGAAAAGGAGGGAACTAAGAACAACAAATAAACTGTTCTTCCCTTCCCTTCCCTCCTTGTCTCTTTATTCTTTTTCTCTGCCTACCGGTCAACTCGATTGAAAAAAAAAGGGAACATCGTCAGTCATCGACGATAGGAACGATCCCTAGACACGAATCGTTTCCGCCCTCTTTCTTTTCCTTTGTGTCTTTTTCTTTTCCTACTTGTCTATAATATTGGATGCATGCGGGTCAGCGTTATCATATATGTATGTACGGAGTAGTGTCCTCTTCATGAACGAAAGAAGAATTGTAGATTCGTTTTGCCTACTTTCTACATTCGAGTTGAGTAGCAAGTTGGACGGATTGTGTATATTATCCCAGCGAAAAAAAAAAAAAAAAAAAAAAAAGATCCCTTTGTAATCATAGGGAGAGCACAACTGTATGGAGTATTTCTTCCCTTTCCATAATTCGTTATTCATAATCCACCCAACATGAAAGCCCATCCAGTAACCGTGTAACCATCGTCCATTGTCCGTTGAGTTGGACATGAAGAGCATGGAGAACTCCCTGAACTCCAGTCACAAATAAGACCTGTATCTGTATGCGCCAAGAAAAAGAAAATAATAAAAATAAAAAGATGAATGAAACGGATCCATCCGTCCACTCGTTCATCTTTTTTGCTCAATTACCTCTCAGGATCTTCCTTCCGCATAGAACGACGACGACCAAGATAAGTCGACGCCTCGATATTATTCAGGACATCCTCCTGTTTGTCCAGGTTGTAATTAGTAATGAAGAATAGTACACCGCCTACAAAGGCGAGGACGGTGACGAATCCGTAGTTCCAGATGAGAAGGGGATCAGCTGAAAGGGGCGTCAAGGCTTGTCCGAAAGCGGCTGAGATGGCATTCATGAAGAGGTAAAGGGATTGCACTGTGGAAAAAGTAAATCTTAGTTTCAAAGTTTCTTCGTTTATTATCAAGGTGCCCTGATATGCTCGTTAACAAGGGGAAACCCTACCTAAACTCTTCATGTTCCTGGGCGCCTTGGTAAATGCATACTCATATCCCGTGATGGAGGTGAAGATCTCTGAAAACGCAACCAGCACGTATGGTAGAGCCTGAACCCAGACGCTGATAGGAGTCGGTTTGGGACAATGGCTTGGGTGGTCACCGCACGGGCTCTTCCTATAGATATAATACTGAATCACAGTTGCTGAGGCCATGGAGAGTGTAGCGACCATGAATCCCGTAAAAATCCTCTTGATCGGCGTGAACCTGATTCCCAGTTTGCGGATTCCGGGGTAGATGAAGTAGTCCATGATTGGAATCAAGATCAACAACGCCAACGGGTCAAGGTTCAAGATAATATCATTGGGGATGCCGTCCAGCCGCAGAGTTGCCGCCTGCGAAGTAAGATTGTTGGTCATTTGTCCGTAGGCCAGAACTAGGCTCCAATTGTCAGTGGATATTTTTTCCAGACGAATAGGCAGTTCGATACGAACAGTAGACAGGATACCAGAGGAAGACAGAGCAGGCTTTGAAAGCCCTGCGCACTTCCTCAACCCACTGATCATCAAAGGTCATCCATGGCGGCTTATTCTGGACTCGACTGGGCTTCACTCTTTCCCAGAAGTACGAAGAGCGGCAATTCCGCACTCTGATTGTATCAGCCCACTAGCCCTTTTCCAGTTCTTTGCAACAAGATATATCAAGATACAACTCACAATTCAGCTGGATTCCACGACCAAGCAGCTCCCAGAGCCAAGGCCCAGAGCCTGACGGCATTGCCCACAACAGAGCCCGTTGGAGGCGTTACCTGGTACTTATTCCTGCAGATGAACAGGACGACAGGACAGAACAGGAACATGAGAGTCGGCAGCATATACGCGAACCAGAAACCCATATACTTCTCGGCATAGACCATGGCAATACTGCCGACAAGGGCGCCGACATTGATGACGAAATAGAAGTAGAGAAAGATGCGGGTAATAGTCTGAGCTGGGTCTACGATGACCCGTTCTCCTGTTTTGGGGATCGTTTTGATGAAAAACCGGGTCTCCTTGTACTGTTCAGCAATTAAGGGAGCGATGTTCGATCTGCCAGACTCCGTCAGCTGCCGTCCCATTGCAAAGGGAGACGTGGATACGCACTTGAATCCTCCTACACCAATACCGAAGATAACGAGACCAATGGCGAAGCATGTCAGAGCACCACTGGGATGGGCCATCACCGGGGGTAGAGAAGATATTAGTATAAGGACGTGGCCCACGAGAGCGAAGAAAAGAGACCCCTGGATGGTTTTGAGACGTCCCAGGAATTCATCAGCCACCCAGGCACCCAGAATGGGCATTAAATAGCACCAGAAGGTGTTGACTATATGACGGAGTTAGCAACTGGTTGGGAAGAGGCGATATCCAGGAGATATGAAAAGAGTAACCTACAGGTGGTCAGTCCAGTGGACATTCTCTGTCCCATTCCTAGAGCACCAGATTGTCCCGAGAAACCAGCACCAGTCTTGGAGTGTTCAGGACGAGGCTGCTGGATGAAATTCACAACTAATACTCGAGTTAGCTTGGCCTATACTTATCAGACGCCGCAGGATAGAAAATGGCAAACGTACAAACAACAGTAGTTCCATAGTAGGAGAAACGCTCACACAGCTCAACAAAGGCAATTGTATATGCTGTCCAGGGAACTTGGCCTGAGACGCGTCGAAGGGTATGCATCTCTTGCTCCGTCGGACGTTCATGGTCTGCGCTACTTCTGATAGACCTCGCGGAGATCCTGACTCTTCCCTTGTCAGATGTAGGAGAAGCTGGAGACTTTGGCATCTCGACCAGCTCGGATTCGAAAGAGGTAGTCATAGCGTCGAGAGTTCCTCTTCTCTTCTCTTCTCTGGGCTGGTGGGACAGGAAGCCAAAGAGTTGGAACGAGACGCAGTTTAGAGTTCAATGTAGCGCAGCAGGTGAGAGGATGGGCAAGAATATTTGTGCGTCGAGGGTTAGTATTAGCAGTTGTGGGAGAGTGAATGAGGATAGCCAGCAACCCTGAAGAGACCATGGACAGTCGACAGAATCATCCTTCCCTCGTTTTCTCCGCCACTACAAACCACCAAGGAGGTCGACACCAACAAACGGGATTCCAGTTGGGCGCCAGAGGGGGAAAAGAATAAAGACCCTGCACTACCATTCTATATCTATACCAGTGAGTCTTAATTAACTGTCTCCGATATGCCACGAGGGCCAAGCAAATAATTAACGTCACACTGGCCGCCGCACCAACCGTCGGGCCTATTAATTAACAGATAGATAGGAACTGCAGTGCATGCTACCATACTATCATGGCCCATGCATTTCTTCCACGCGGACATCGGGAGCTAGAAACAACCGTAACGAATGCCATCGTCCCTGGACAGTTTCTAGCGCGCTGCTAGAACCAGCGCGTACCATGGAAATTAGCGTCGCAATCGGCGGTTCTGATCATCGAACGAGAAGCATGTGGATCAGATGATATGCGCGCAAGGACCAGAACAGTCCGTTATCATGGTCCTCTCGAAGGCTCGAAGCACTCCAGAGACTGAAAGGAAGACGTCGTGGGAACGGTGGCCGTTGGAGCTCCGAACTCTTCGCCCCCGCGAATAACCCGTCTGCGAACCGATAGCGGATCGCAAAGAAATACGTCTAATTTCGATGGAACAAGTTGCGGCACTGCCGACGGAGGATCTCCAAGCCATAATCGTCTTTCCCAGGTGCTCTGGCCAATGGCATATCCTGGTTTAAACTTCCTTGGCTTCTCCCCGGCGTCTGCTGGCTTCGTATACGTCAGGATAGCTGGATATTCGTATCTGGAACGTTACCCAGCTAGGAAGGTGCCTTTGCGTTGCTGAGAATCTTGGCTTTCTGGGATGATCCTGGACGAGATTGCTCGTGTGTCTACAACGCTGTATATATCCAGAGAGAAGAAACACCTGCCAATCGGACAGACCATCTCTTTCGTGTTATCATTTGCTTCCTTTCCAATATGATGCAACCGGAGAAAGGCCGGTCTCAGTCTCTCAGAGCAATGCTGACCAAGCCATGTCCGAAGAAGTCTGCAAAGTGGCTGCAGTCGAACACGAGCATCGTTGATAAGGCACCAGGAACTGTCAACCAGAACTGGAAGGTCGAAGGTCGAAGGGTTTGCCCAGGCTCATTGCTGCAGCATGGTCTGAGGCGGTGCAGCGTAGCAGCGTACAGCGTACAAGACCATTGTTTTTTCTTTTTTTCGAAATCCACGCCAAGAATTCGCACAATGCGCTTGGGGCTCAAACTGGAAGCAGCGAGGCCTGAACCCTGGAACAAAGAACGTATCTATTAGGATTATTCTTCGAATCGAAGCCTGTAATTACAAAATATATACCCATCTATCTATAGTCTTAAGTGCATATAGCATATCCCATCGTCACACACAATTTTACTCCGACTGCCACTCCGCAAACAGCTTGGCATCTAAATTGGCCCATCCCTCCACGACTCGCAACCCCCTTCGTCTCTCCTGGTCGATCCTCTCGTAGGTCCATTCATTGGGATCCCACGACTCCGTGTTAGCCTTGGTCTGCTCCGCCAGGGCTTGCGGGTTGGAGAGCTTGTCATCAGTGACTCTGAGCACCTCGCGCACCAGCGATCCGCCATCAACAGCCGTACTCGCCGCGATTCCCTCTCCACTAACCGGCGTCTGACTGACAGATGCATCGGCAGACGAGAAATCCACGGATTCCAACGAAACACCCTCGGGGGGCGGGGGAAGAAACCCGCTGGCCCGAAGAACCCGCTCGGGGGGAACCGTCAGACGGCCCTTCTTGACGACGTACTTGCTCAGCGCGGTAGCGAAGAGAGTTCTCTTCTTATTCTTGCCCGAGGCAGGCCGCAGGAAAAAGGTCATGATATACAACCACTTCTGGTCCCATGCGATGATCTTGCTCTCGATCTCGTACAGCTCGAAGGGCTTAATCTCACGCTTGAAACTGCAATGCACCGAGCCAAGAGCGATGTAGATGGCCTTGTGCGCGTGTGCGGCTTTGCTCGCATCCCCCGTCGCTAGAAGCTCTTTATCCAGCTCCTTGCTGACGATCGACACGCCAGGGCTATACAGACGGGTCGCCAGTGCCGTCCGTGCCACATCTAGGTCGGAGAAATACGTGCTATTGGATTTGTGCAGGTTGTAGTCCGTCTCGAGAAGGGGTGTCCGCGATGTGATTCCGTACGGGGCGAAAATCGGATGCGTCGGTTTCCCCTGAGCATTGACCAGGGCTGTTCCCTTGGGGAAAAACGGGTCATCGATACGCCATCGTATATTGCGGACGAAACAGTAGAATAGACGGACCTGTATTATTATTCAATTCAAATGAGCTGTTTTACTCCAGCAAGCTAAAACAGGGAAACGGGCTTGTCCATACGTGCCACCCTAGGGGGAGGTTCTTGAGATTGACCAATGCCAGAGTCAGTGCTAAGGCCTTCCAGGAGACCAGCGAGGAGAGAAATGACTGTATATCACCCATGGTCTCGGACATGCTTGAGCGATTGCAATTGACTCAGGCATTAACTAGGAGGCCTGAGCGAGAATAGTATTAATGTAGGGTAAAATAAATATAATGAAATAGTAATAATAGTGGAGTGGAAGGACAAAAGGAGAATTTGATAAGCTTATCCACTCCGGGCCGAGGCATTTCTCTCTCATGAACTTCGAACTTGAATATGAATATTAATACTCCGTACAACTGTTTAACCAGAAACTAGAAAATAGCCATGCAATTAGGCGGACTAGACACCCCCTTCGCACAGTTCAGCGGACTACTCGATACAAAAAATGTCCACCGACCCAACAGCTCACACATCTCCGCCAACCCATCCAGATCAAACATCTCCCCAATAGGCACCCCCCACCCAGCGAGGATATGGTGATGTAGATCCCACTCCGGCTGAACTGGCGGGAAGACCTCAAAGCTGACTGCGTCCGACGCAACAGCTGCGAAATGGTTATCCCAAATGAACCGTAGCATGCGCTCGCTTTGCTCGATGCCCGCATGGTTAGGCATGGTCTGGAGACTGTACTCCCGTCTCTGGGCATCAGACATATTCGCCCAGGTCTGCGGGAGACCGACTCGAAGGAAGAAGATATCACCCTTCTGGAACTTGATTCCGCATTCCGCTGCGATGGCCAGCACGTCGTCGAGCGATACCGTGTGTCGGGTTAGTGCGTTGACAGTGATGCCTCTTTTTTTGGCCCAGGAGAGGTAGTCGATGAGGACGCCGCGGCCCGCGATTCCTTTGGTCGCCCAGTGGCCGATGCCGATCCGGGTGGACTTTGGGTCTTGGATCTCCTCTGCTGTTGTGCCGCCGTAGAAGACCCTGCGGTCTGGGTTTTCTGTTGTCGGGGCCGGGGCATTGTGGTGTCGCAATCCGTCCCATTGGGATGATTGCTGTGGGTTGAAGTGGTATTCGTCATCAAAGGCGATGCCCTGGTTGACCCATTTGACGCGGTGTTCAAATGGTTTGCGTCCGAATCCTATGCAAACCAGTGAGTATCAAGAATCATATCCATACTCCGCACAACAACGGGGATAATACCTGGTGGGTTCAGATTTTCCAAGTCCCAATTCAAACAGACCCTCTCGCCGGTGCGGATCTCGGTGCGCGCTGCATTGGCAACGATGTCTGGCGTGAGGATCCGCAGCATCCCTAAACCCTCCTCGACAGAGCCGGGGGGGGCAGGCCAATATCTCTTCTTATCGGGGAGGTCGTCATACTTCTCGGGCAGCGGAGTGGACATTGCGGACGTTTTTTTTTTCTGGTGGCCTGTACTCGGTACGGGTTCAACGATAGACGAGTTCACGAGGACATTGAAGGAAAAGAAGGAAAAGAGAGTCGCACAAGGATTTGGGATAAATAACTGCAACCCCCACGCTTCTCCGACATTTATATTATAATATGGGGAAAAGCGAAACTATCTGCGGAGTAACACCAGGCACATCCCCACCACTAAGAGTATATACAGCAATGCTTCGGACGTTCTCCGTCATCGACATGTCATCGTGGTCGCACATCGAGATGAGATACAGATACACAGTCCCTTGCGACTCGAGCTCCTGGTGTCACTGACGCAACGGACAGAAGCCAAGTTCAACCTTCTCTTTTTCATGCTTACCTTAACTGGGGTAGCGCTGCAACTAGTCATACAATGTAAGAGGGACACAAATCACGGTCTAAGGAAAAAGGGTGAAAGTGGAAATGCTAGCCAACATCAACAGTCGCTTGAATCAATTTTTTCAGAAATCATCGTCGTCCTCATCTGCAGTGTCGTTTCTCTTTCTGAGGTTGCTCATCTCGTACTCCTCCGATCTGGCCCTGGACGGCGGCGACATGGCAATAGCCTGCCTTCCTGTCTCCGAAGATTCGAGAAATTCGCGCAGCCGACGCTTGCCCTCTTCAAGAGCCTGCTGTGATGCTGCGTCGGCCATTTTGAGCATGGGTCCCCATAAATTGAGTTCGTAGGTAACATAGGCGGCAAGCCCACAGAGAAAGAGGAAGATGAAATAAATCGGATTACGGAGGACTAAGCCATAGTAGAGAAAGTTATCAGTCATCCAACGCGATCGGACTGGGAAGAATAAGAGGGGGAGTAAGAAAACATAACTTACCGGCGAGAATCTCGTTCCATCCCAACGCCACCAGCAACGCGTAAAAGTACATTGGAACTTGGGTTATGCCTCCAATGGCGCTACGCTTCGCTTCAACGTAGACTCCATCCGCGGCCTTCTTGAACCGCACCGTAATCTCCTGTTGTTTCGGATCGCTGAGCATGGTCACCTCCTCTTCCAGGCTCTTGCCTTCCTCTTCATCCACTCCACCAATTGGAGTCAAATCCTCCTCATCCGCAGGCGTCGCAGAGGTAGGAGTATGCCCGATCCACCTATCAAGGGGTGGAGGGGCGGACGTCTCTGCCAGGCGGAAACGGGCCAGGAGAGGGATGAGAGTCAAAGTCGATTCGCGAGCACGCGTATAGACACCTTCAATGTCGTCAGTCGGGCGCCAGATCCTGGGCACACCCTCGTCATCGTAGCGGAATTTGTCTTCGAAATTCTCCCGCAGTTTCAAGAGTAAATTGCCCTCCATCATCTCCTCCTCGAGCTTGGCTCGCAAAACAGCCCACGACTTCCTGCGTAACCTCCACAGACCGACGTCGACTTCATCCAGACTAGCATCAAAGCGACTGGACCGGTCCGTAAATCTTTTCTCTGCTTCAAGCACCGTTTCCACAAACAAGCTCCAAATACGGTCCCAGAAATCCTTCTCCGATGGTTTCTCCCCCGATTCAGGAGCACCACCGCCTGCTCTCCCGGACCCAAGAGAATTGAATTGCAACCCAATAGAGTCTCCGAGACGGGACTGAACCCAGCGCTCAACTCGGGTCGCCAAACGTCTCAGCTCATCTCGCCTCAGCCGCCCGCTGACCTCGGCCAACTCCTTTTCATACAGGGACAACTGCTGCTTGTAGTCGCTCCATGCAGTGCCCTCAACTGCAGTCGCGCGAGCAATCTCTTCGAATTTCTGCAACGCAACCTTGACCTCCTTCTTGACAATCTCCGCGAAGTCGTAACTGGCACCTTGCTTCTGGCCCGTTTTAACAGCAGCAGTAACCGCCTCGCTGAAATCTCGGATCCCCAGTTTATGCGCTGCGCTTAACTGGCCGTTAAAAAGAGCCTTGAGACGAGTGTCGACCTTGTTCTCCAGATCCGCTCGCTTTCGCTGATACACGCCCTTGTGGTATCGGCTAGCGTCTACCTCAAATCTCTTGAGGGTCTTCCCACGTGCGGTTCGCATGGCAGAGCCCAATCCTCCGAGCACCTCTGCTGCTCCTACACGGATAGCTGCTGCCTGTTTTTCCTCAAAGGGAACGATCGCTTCATCAAAGCCGATCATCACATCTCTCAAAATCTCATCACAGCGGAATTGCGCAAGCAGTTCCTGCTGAGTGGGCAAATCAAGATCCTTGTTGTTGACGATCTGATCCCAGATACCCTCCGCATATCGAGCAAATCCGTCTGCGGGAATCTGGCGATGGTACTCTGGGAGAAAAACGCCGCCCTCCGAGAATTCACCCTTCAGAGCATCCCTTTTAGGATCTTTAATGCCTTCGCGGAATCTCGTTCCAAGCTTCTGGACCTCTTGTACGAACTTGTCAGGTTGATACCCTTTGTGCGGAAGCCCGTAAAATTGAAAGTCGAAGTAGTCATGGATTGTAGAGGTTTCCAGACCGGATGGTTTGGATATAGATGACCAAAGACGGGACATGTCTTCAAGCAACGTCTTCTGCAGGCTTGCAAGAGGAGTACCACCAACATAATCACGGATAACGAAGAACAGGAGAGAGCGGTGGGTGGTACTGGAAAAGGATCTTAATGAGCGTCTATCGAGTGGGAGTAGGGAAAAAGGAGGGGTACGCACTTTCTGTCCTTCAAGAACAATTGCAGGTTGACCTCAAAAACGGTCTTCAGTAGTCCCATATTCGCACCCTGGTACAGTCCAACCTGGTGCTCCCAGATGTTGACAATGAGAACCTCACTCGTCGCTAGCGCAAAGAGCGCGCTCTTGCGCTCAAAGTCCTGGTCCTCGCCTCTCTCGCGGCCATCCGTACCCTCGACGTCCATGACCAGAATATTATCTGCCATCCGTGTGGTCGTGCCCTCCACACCCAAGCTCTGTTTCTTATTCTTCGACAACCATATCCCCTTGGTAGTCTGACGTCTCTCGGACTCAGACATGACAGAAAACTGGGTGCCAAAAAGGTTATTGAGAAGTGTGGACTTGCCAGTCGACTGGGACCCGAAGACGGAAATCAGATGGTAATTGAAGCCGGCGGGGGACACATCTTCGATAGCTAGGTACTTTGAGAGATTGGGGCTGCATGGAGGAGGTTAAGTTAGCCACAGAGGGTCCTTCTCCCAATTGTCGCCCTGACATGCTAGATAGAAACACAGAAATGGGAGCATACTTGAACTCCTTGTTCTCATCTACCACCTGCACGCCATTAGCGTATGCCGCCTTATCGCTGTGATCGCCAATTGAGGCAAAATGACCGTTCGTTGCCATGGTTGGCTTTGTGCTCAGTGTAGCGCTGATCTGTCACTTCCGCTCCAGAAAAACAGCCAGATTGGCAGAGTTATTGTTTACTGGGATATTGGATGGACGAGTAGGACGAACAGCCGTCTCGAGCACTCCCAGTAGAAGACAGGATAGGGGAAACGGTCGAAACTGAATGTGGAGATGTAAATAACGGTGGCGGGGGAACGGTGACGGGATCATGCGGCGTCGCAGGAAGTCATCCAGCAGAGGTTCGGGAGACGCTATTAAGCGATGAAAGTACAGGGCTCGCTCAAGGACTCGCAATCTGAGGGAGTCGAACGTCGAGTGCTCTCGGGGCTCAGAATTAAATACGGAGTGCGAAACTGTCGACGTGGAGAGAGTCATGGGCTGATCGATGAAGGTCGTCACCGCAACAAAGCCACGGACTGCGCTCGGGCCAACAACGTTGGGGTTGATGCAATGAGCCTAGGCAATTGCTGTCGCTGCTGCTGCTGGGTGTGCCTGTGGTCTACTCAGCTCTGGGGCGCAGCTCCCTGGCTTAGTTATACTCTTCTGGCAAGGCTGTAGCATGATCAGACAGTACCTTGATTTTCCAACCAACACCAACAACACAAGAAGCTTGGACAGTCTCCCGTAATGGAGAAATTGAGTATCGAGTCCAACAACCACCGCTGAATAAAGGAAAATCCCGATATCATGCGATCAATGCAGAGGTATGAGACGGAATGCCCTTCCAACAGAACTGTGTGGATATAAGATGCTGCATGGTGACATGGTCGCACCAACCCGACAGGGGTGAGATCCTTTGGTGCCAGCTCTCAGCATAGACTCCGGATGCAGTGTACGCAGTAGATTTGTAGATTTAATATAGTTCGAGTCTGGATGGCACAGACCGCTTCGAAGCTCACATTTGAAGACGTAATGGGGGCTTTCACAACTCTAGACTGCATATAATTCACTATGTTTCATATCCATTTATTCCAAGAGACAAACTTGACAGGGGATAGAGCGGAGAATGAGGTGATAACACAATTTGGAATATAATAAAATACATGGACAAGAGTCAAAGCTAAAGAGGAAAAAAAAAAACTCCGTTATGAACGACGCCCTGGATATAGATTCCGGTGCTGCACATTAGATTTTCAGTAAACACTCATACAAGTATGTAAAAGGCCCAGCCAGTCGGTCGGTTAATCGAGCAGCACTACGAACTGACAACTTAGTCCGTAAGAACACGGGTGACCAGACCGGTCGCAACGGTACGACCACCCTCACGGATGTTGAAACGTTGGCCAGCCTCGGCAGCGACAGGGTGGTGTGTCTTCAGAATCATCTCGACGTTGTCGCCGGGCTGCACTCTACGGGAGGCATCACCGTCGGGGAAGCTGAGGTCGGCAGCCTCATCTAGTCACAGTTAGCAATCCCCTCTGGCGCCAAAGTGTCCTTCTCGTGCAACTTACCTGCTGTACGGATGAAGACCTGTGGGCGGTAGTTGGCACCGAATCCAGTACGGCGACCACCCTCTGCCTCTGTCAAAACGTACATGGACACCAAGAACTTGTCGTGGGCCTTGGTAGATCCGGCAGCAGCGATAACCATGCCACGACGGACATCCTCACGGCGGACACCACGGAGAAGGAGACCGGAGTTGTCACCAGCACGGGATTCGTCACAGCTCTTCTTGAAAGTCTCGATATCGGTGACCTTAGTCTTGATGGGGTCGAAGGCACCACCAACGATCTCAACCTCGGTATCCTTCTTCAAAATACCACGTTCGACACGACCGGAGGCGACAGTACCACGGCCGGAAATGGAGAACACTTCCTCCACGGACATCAAGAAGGGCTTGTCGAGGTCACGTTGAGGGGTGGGAATCCAGGTGTCGACAGCCTCCATAAGCTTCTCGATCCTCTCAGCGCCAATATCAGGTCTACGGTCCTCAAGAGCACAGAGAGCAGAGCCAAAGATGATAGGAGTCTCTTCACCCTCAAATCCGTAGCTGGTAAGCAGCTCACGCATTTCCAGTTCGACAAGCTCCAACATCTCAGGGTCCTCAACGGCATCAACCTTGTTAACGAAAACGACAATCTTCTGGACTCCGACCTGGCGGGCAAGGAGCAAATGTTCACGGGTCTGGGGCCTATTCAGCTGTAAGCAAACTGCGCGTGCCGTAGTTTTCCGCGGCAAAACCACGAGAAGGCCTACATTTGACCGTCGGAAGCAGCAACGACAACAATGGCACCATCCATGTTAGCAGCACCGGTGATCATGTTTTTGATGTAATCGGCGTGACCAGGGCAGTCGACGTGGGCATAGTGTCTGTCCTGGGTCTGGAACTCGATGTGTGCGGTGGAGATGGTGATACCACGCTTGCGCTCTTCAGGAGCCTTGTCAATAGCACTGTATTCAAGGAAATTGGCAAGACCCTTGGAAGCCTGGTGCTTGGTAATGGCAGCAGTCAAGGTAGTCTAAGACCAACTGTGAGATTCGGGCGTTCGGAAGGGGAGAAGGAAAGTAGATCTGACCTTGCCATGATCGACGTGACCGATGGTACCTTGAGAAAGGCATTCAGCAATCACATTCAGAAGTATATATACCATAGTCATCAGGAATTTCCAAACTACATACCAATGTTGACATGGGGCTTCGACCGCTCGAAAGTGGTAGCCAGCCGGCGAGCAGCAACCCGGTCATTGTTGAAAACATGGTGAACGGGATTGACGGCGCGCGGGCGCAGGAAAGAGGACCTGCTGGTCCGGAACAAGAGATTGGCAGTTCTAGAGATGCTCGACATCCTGGCGACCCTTCAACAACGCGACAAAAGGACAGAATGGACAAGAGAGGAGATGGGATTCGGGCGAAGTCGAGAGAGAACTTGGAGAATCTCCGGACCCGAAATTTTTAGGAAGCCTGCTGAGTCAGCTCGGCCTCCCCAATCACGTCCGGGGCATTCCACCATGTTAATTTATGCATACGACCAGTAAGTATGTTCATCCAAATGCTATTTACAGTAATTCGATGTCTCCGTACAGGAAAATATAGTACATAGTCCGTATTATTATGAGACACTGATCCCATTAATCATCCTTCTTCTTCACTACCATCTGCACACGATGGCCCGGTTCTCCCTCAACCGGCTTGACCAGTATGGCATTCGCCTTCTGTGTCGTCTCCGTCACACTCGTCATAACGTGTTTGATCTCATCCGGAGTCGGAGCTCTCTTTCCCTTCTTCCTCGTCAGGATGATCTCGACCTTCCGTCCTTTCTCCAGAAAGTCCGACAACTGCTTCAAGCGGTGGGCAAGGTCGTGGCTATCAATAGCCCAATTCAATTCGATTTGCTTGGCGGCAGTTTTTGTAGCATGGGCCGCCTTTTCCTTGGAACGAATATATTCACGTACAGCTCGTTTGCTGAAGATTTTGCAGACGGGTGGTTGTCTGGAGGCGCCCGGAGATACTTGTAAGACAAAGTATTGAGAACGGTCTATCGATCCCAGGACGTCCTTCAGTCGCTGGGGGGCGCCGAGTTTTCCGTCGTCTGCGGCAATCTGTACAATCTCTGAACGAATGTCTTCATCCTGTAGCGCTTTTGGCTTCGTCTCCGCAAAGAGGGCTCGGGAGTGTGCGAAAGGTCGGGGACAGCTATTCTGGATGAATCTCGACTGCCTTTGGCTTTGAATCGGTCTGTATCGTAAAGATTGAGGGCGTAAGGTCTCTAGGGGAGTAAGGAAGATGGAACGAAACGCCTGGAGGGTCGAGACCAAGCCTCGAGCATGTTTCATTTTAAATGCGGGAGCCACGGTCGATGACGATTTGCAGTCGTCGTGAGAGTGAGTCGGAATGGGACAGCGAGGGAAGGGAGAAACCTCGCACAAACAGAGCAGAGTAGAAAGGCACTGAGCACCTCGTATGAAGCGATTCAAGATTCAATTTGCATGACCAAGAGCCAGCGCGAATAGGTAGTTATTAGGTATATAATAATAATAGAACGAATCTGATCGTCCCCGGCGGAGTCCAACCGCAGCGGGTTATTATGAGAGACGCGCCACAGCGGCCTTGGCCTGCTCCCCTTTCATCGATTGCCTCTCCATCCTGTTATTAAAGTATTATTTCCCCGTGCTGTCTGGCCTGTCTTCTTGTATTAACACGTCACCTTCTTCGCCGGTTAGGAAGATTTTCAAGGGACCAATGAATCCTTTCAGTTTCGGGCGTTAATCATCCTGCTTTTTCTCTGGTCTCTCCTCTCTCCGTCCCGTTAAAACCCACGGACGACCTTTGTGATCTTGACATACGAAACCCATCGCTTGCCATTTTTTCTCTGCTCGCATGTCGACTGGATTCGACGGTCGACAACGCCAAGGCATTCGGTCTTATTTCCATTTCAACTACTCCGGTACTCGCAAACGCTCCACGTCGCGCGCTGCTGATTTCGCAGCCGCACCGTTTGGTAACTTGGACAAGTCGCCGGACAAGACCTCCCGCGGTCCCTTTTCGCCCGTCATGGCTCAAACACAGCGGACACGATATCTAAAGACAGGCGCCATAGTCGGCCTTCTATTACTGGTGATTTTGTGGCTTTCTCCATCGAAGCCCGGAGTGGGTGGCTTTAAGCAAGGCAAGTCGATTCGCAAGGCTCTCCTTAGGAGCAAGAAACTAACGCATCATGCTACAGAGCAACAACCCTCCGCCATTTCTGGGTCGCAGAAATGCACGAAGCCCTACGATTCGTCGAAACCGTTGATTCAATATGCGCTGATGATTGACGCTGGAAGCACTGGTTCTCGAATCCACGTGTACCGATTTAACAACTGCGGTCCTACTCCGGAGCTCGAGGATGAACAATTCAAGATGACTGAGAAGAAACAAGGCGGCTCCGGGCTAAGCTCCTACAAGGACGACCCGGAGGCGGCAGCTAGGAGTCTTGATCCGCTCATGGAAGTTGCTATGGCACATGTCCCCGATGAGTACAAATCATGCTCTCCAATCGCCGTAAAGGCTACTGCTGGTCTGCGAATGGTCGGTCCTGAGATGAGTGAGAAGATCCTGGAGGCCGTGAGACACCGTCTTGAAACCGAATATCCGTTCCCTGTTGTCTCGAAAGAGAAGGGGGGCGTGGAGATCATGGACGGTGCGCAAGAAGGTGTTTATGCGTGGATTACGACCAACTACCTCCTCGGAAAGATCGGTGGACCCGATGAGACTCCTACTGCTGCTGTCTTTGACTTAGGTGGTGGCTCTACTCAAATTGTCTTCCAGCCAACGTTTGAGAAGAGCAAGGCTGGTGGTATGCCGGAAAAGCTGGCCGAAGGCGATCACAAATACGATCTTGATTTTGGCGGACGTCACTTTGAGCTGTATCAGCACTCCCACCTAGGATATGGTCTTATGGCAGCCCGCGAAGCTATCCATATGACAGTGGTCGAATCCAAGTTGGCACTCAGCCCCATGGACTTGTCTTGGGTAGCACAGCCTATCACGAACCCATGCATTGGCCCTGGAATGGAACGCCAGGTAAATCTAACTTTCCCGGATGGGCACGCGCTAGCTCCGAAAGTCTCCGTTACGATGGTCGGATCAAACGAAGCATCTGCAGCTGTACAATGTCGTGGGCTCGCAGAGAAGATCCTGAAGAAGGACGCTGACTGCAAACTGTCTCCTTGCTCTTTCAATGGTGTTCATCAACCCTCCTTGGAGAAAACCTTCGCAAAGGAGGATGTGTATATCTTCTCCTATTTCTACGACCGGACGCAGCCTCTGGGCATGCCTGATTCTTTTACTGTGGATGAGTTACACAAACTCACAACTACTGTTTGCGGTGGTGAAGAGAGTTGGAAAGTATTTGAGGGGGTTAAAGATGCCCTGAAGGAGCTTCGTGATCGCCCTGAGTGGTGTTTGGATCTTAACTTCATGCTTGGTCTATTGCATACGGGGTATGAGATGCCATTGTCTCGGGAAGTTAAGATTGCGAAGAAGATCAAGGGTAATGAACTGGGCTGGTGTCTTGGTGCAAGGTAAGCCTTTCCCGGAAGTCGTTTGCTTTCCCTTCCGTCTCATGCAACGGATTCAAACTAACTCGTTGCTCTTGATAGCTTGCCTCTTTTGAGCCAGGAGTCCGGTTGGACCTGCCGTGTCAAGGAAGTCTCGTAATGGTGATTGATGTTTTAAAAAATAATGTTTTAATCTGCCGAAGACATGTCTGTTTTTTTATGCATATACTTCGTCTTTTTCTTTCCTCTCTTATTCTTTTCCGCTATAGACTTTTGGGCCATGGACGGCTGGTCTGTATACTTAAATGTTCTTTTCTTTCACTGTTCATTGTCCCCTTACATTCTTGTCCTTTTTCCCTTCTTTCGGTTCTCGTCAACAGACTACCTAGAAGGCCCACTGTGGATGGGCTAAAGCCCCTTAATAATATTGCAAGACGGTCGCAGACTAAACGAGAAAAGAGAGAAAAAGAATATATATATATACCTTTCCACGAAGGTTCTTCATAAGATATGCCATTCTTTATTTGCTGAGAGACCATAACTTGTAGGAAGCTGCTCAGTCTTTGGATGGTGCGGGCACAGCATATGCTTCATTCAGTATAACCCATCTCCGTCGTCATCATCATCGTTAGAGTTGAGTATGGAGGTATTAGAGCATCTAACACCCTGGTCAGATGGCTTTTCCTGGACTGTATATCGTAAATATCCGCATTCCAAATGCATGGCTCCCCTCATTTAATTTGCGGGCCTCTCGTGGAAGCTTTTCATTCTCAGGTGGAGTGCGGCGCATCATGGATCTTGCATACAAATATAGCAAACCGAGTAGGCATGACAATAGGCTTATTCGTACACTTTTCTGTGTGTACAGAGAATATTCAATCAACTATCTCTTCAATAGCAGGTTTGTTCTTCCTCGCCGTCTTATTCCCCATTAGCTTGCCCAGGATATTTGACTCCCGGGGTCTTGGGGGCCTAGATACCGCTGCTGCTGAGTCTTTCGCTTCCTCCTCTTCGCCCTTTACATCCGTATCGGAAGTTGCGTCCTCTTCAGAGGTGTCGGTCTCATTGTCGTCGCGTTTCTCTTCTAAAACTCCTAACCCGAGGTTCTGTTGACAGATTCCATTAGCCACTACGTAGGAACAAATGAAATAAAAATAGAGAGAGATAGAGCGATAGCCCATCGCTTACCATTTCGATATATTGCCCTTCTTCATCCCCGTCCACTTCATCCAACTTCACGTCTTTCGCTCGTCCTGCATCGATTTCCCTCTGCAGAGCTTCATTGGCGCTTCTCAATTTTGGTAAGAAGGACGACACACGGGAAAGAATATCGGAGTCCTGATTCACGCGGTATATTCGTGGCTTTGGTCGTCCTGGCACGTAGGGGATTGGTGTCTCAGCGGATTCGGCGCCGTTGTCTTCATCAGCATCATCATTACCGTCACTTTCTGAGGACGACGAGTCTGATGACGTCTCATCTTCGCCTAAACTAGACGTCTCCTCCTCTTCAGATAGATTGTTTTGGGAAGTTATCGAGGCCGCACTTTTCGCATCATTGCTACCATCAACAGGCAGAGGATCTCTTGAAGGTGGTTTGCGAGAGATATTAATCCGAGATCGTTTCGGAAGTGAGACCTGCGACTGACCTGCATCCAGCGTGCGTCTTTTGTTTGTTTCCATTGAGTTACAGGCGCTATTTAACTTATGCCGTGCTTCTTTTTTGTCGGGAGTTCAGTGAATGAGATTCTGGAGAAGGTTTCAAAGCTGTGGAGATGCAGCATCGACATGCTGGCGCTTGGGCATCTCCGAACTCTTTCCTTGGTACGCAGTTATTCCGCAACACCTCAGTGCCAAACGTCCAGCAATCACGCAAGACTTACTGAAGGTAAACTATTTCCGGTCAGATCAAGTATCGTGACTGCAGTTGCTTCTTCAAGAATGTGATCTGCGTGCTTCTGCCCCGGCTGACCCGATTTCTGCAGAATATCGACAAGGGTCTTGCAGATACTGAAAACGACCATGTCAGACGCCTTCGTGCTATTATTCTCTTTTCCGATATATACTCTTTTATCCTTCGTCTTAAAGACAGGGCGACGGTAGATCGCGTTCGAGATATCATCGCATATTGTGCTCTCCGGTAGCGTATACTTGGTCTTCAGCATTGATTGCATAGCAACTATCGCTTGTCCCGTCTCGAGCATACATCCTTGGACTGGGATCAATTCTGAGTAAGGATAATATGCCACTATATAGGATTTCTATACTACCATCAGGGAAACCTTCCCCTTCTGGATGTCACCACCTTCGAGGGTAGTGAGCATTTCCACATCATGGGTGAGCGCTCACCTGAGCACTCAGGGAACGCCCAGGGCAGCAAAACCCCCTACGCCAGCAAACCTTTCAAGTACAACCATAAAGCTATTAAATAGACAACATGCAGAGGAGTTGATTAGATAGATTCCTAATTAGAAGACTGTTGCTTTTGAGCCATTGAAGATTGGCGCTTCTCAATCAGCAAGGCTGCCGACCTCCAGAAATAGCTCCAGATGATCCATTGAGTCTCTTCAGCCTATTTACTGATGATGAGATATATGAAAAGATTGCTAAGAACATCAACCAATATGCAACAATAAATGGGCTGATATTGTAAAGGGAGGCGTACGTGCGTTGTTCCCTGAGAAAGAAACCTCGTGGTCAAGAGATTTTGGGAATGGATGCACCGAAACGATGTAAGGGGAAAAACAATATAACAAAGGGAAGAATGCAGCGAGGATGGAGCCGCACTCCGTACTACACAACGATAACGACGACGATACTAGTGAAGCAAACTTGAAACGAAAAGTATGCCTGATTCTTGGAAACTACCTAGGAGACTCGCCTTAGTATCCTTCCTCTACGGACTCCACCATACCTAAGCTACACAACGATCTCGGTTGAAGGATCATTCACACAATGCCATGGCCTTTGGTCTTTGTTTATTACGATTAAACCTTTTGCATGTTTTTATACGATTTAACCCATGTTGGCGCAAGCCGAGCAAGCCTTCCTTATTTATTATTCAACTGTCTTCCTACAGTCAGGTTCATTCGAACAGCAGACATGTCTGTCTACCGACTCCGACTCCTTCGTCGACTGAAACTCCTTCTCCGGCTGCGATCGTCTGTAACTCTGCTGTCTCTGGCTCTTTCCATGTTCCCGTCCTTGGAGTCCTTGGAGTCCTTGTCCCTATCCCCGCCTCCCCCGGGTACATACCGATCAATTTCGACGAACCGCGGCCGGTCATCGTGAGACCGGTCTGGGGATCGGATGCGTCGACGCGGCGATCTACTCCGGTTACTCGTTGAGGGGACGTAACGGTCAATATCGAGAACGCTAGGCGAACGATGTCGAGACCGAGATCTGGATCGTCTCCTGGATGTGTGTGAACGAGACGTCTCTCGCCCGTGGTCGCTTCCGTCTTCCTTTTCCCTTTCCTTGTCTCTATCTTTGTCCCTTTTTCTTTGACGAGAGTGTGATCTTGTGCTGCGTGAAGGAGAACGAGAACGAGAAAAGTGACTGTAGTGCCGGCGCCGCCGATAAGAGTCATACTCACGGTCACGGTCCAGGTCTCTGCTCCTATCCCTCACTCTGGTCTGGCTACGGTCCCGAGCGTGACGGTCGTAATCCCTGTCCCGCTCTTTTGAGAGACGGCGATCTCTATCCAGCTCACGCTCTCTGTCCCTGTCTCTATCCCTGTCCCTGGTTCGGCTGCTGTCTCGAGTGCGATAGTCGTAGTCCCTGTCACGCTCTCTTGACCGGCGGCGGTCCCTATCCCGTTCTCGTTCTCTGTCCTTATCTCTAGTCCAGCTACGGTCTCGAGTGTGACTGTCGTAGTTCCTATCTCGCTCTCTCGACCGCCGGCGGTCCCTGTCCAGATCGCGGTCTCTATCGCGGTCACGGATACCAGACCTACTTCTGCTGCGTCGACTGGGTCGGTAGCTTCGATCACCGCGGAAGTCGCGAATCGACAGTCTGTCATCGGTATCCCTATCACGTTGTCGGGGAGATGAGTCACGCGACCGCTCCCGATGTCGTCGAGATCTACCATCGTAAAGAGAGGAACGTCGTCTACGTGAACGGCTGCGACTGTCATCCCTCCTTCGTCCACGTGATCGAACAGATGTCTCGCGTTCACGATGGTTGCCATCTCTTTCTCTAGATGTGTTTGATTTTCTTGTAGCGTTGGCGTCTTTCGATTCAGTGGTACCATCCGGAGCTTTTGTGGATGGTGGTTTGAGACCGTTCTCAATTGCCTCGGCTTCTTCAAAGTCAAACTCTGGTTTCTGGCGGGATTTTGCTGCCAGCTCCTCGCCTTCTTTGAGCAAAAGCTGTAGCGCGGCTTCTTCCAAAGACTTGTCATCCACAGGAGGAGGGGGCGGGGGAGGAGTCAGTTCCTTTGGTGTTGGGGTTCTGTTTCTTCTCGAATCACGATAGCGAGGAGACAGACCACGATCAGACCGACGGGTTAGAGAACGATCGCGATCTCTGTAGTAGTCCCGGTCTCGATCTCGATCTCGGTCTCTGCTTCGCTCGTAATCGCGATATCTCTCTCGTTCTTCTCGCCGTCTTCTTTCATATCTCTCCTGGCGTTCTCGTTCCCTTTGTTCCTCAGCTAATCGGCGCTCCTCGCGTATGCGCTCGATCTCGGCACGTCTTTTTTCCTCGCGCTCTCTTTCTTTAGCTCTCTCTTCTTCTCTTCTTTTACGTTCCTCCTCAGCCTTTTTCCGCGCTTCCGCTTCCTCGACTTCTTTCTGCTTGCGCAATTCTTCTTGATAAGCTCTCTCGCGCTCGTCTCGTTTGGCTTTGACATAGTTTTCGAATTCTTCGTCCGTCTTGTTCCCTGCTTGTTCTTCCTGGGCGGCAACCTCCTCACCGACTTCCTGGCGACGAATTTCTCTGAGAGTATCCACAATAGTCTGTAGGTGTTTTGAAGCTAGCTGTTCGATAGATCGCTCCACGCCCTTATAGACGCCACTACGGTCAACGGCACCTTCGATTAGTGTTGCGGCTTTTCCTCTTTCGCGGGACAGGAATTCCGGTTCCCTATCAATTTCAGACTCGGCCAGCTCTATTAGCGACTTTGTAAACGCCTCCTTGGGCTCCTAATTGAAGGCGCATTCAGCAAACATGGAAATCAAGTCTAACGAACGAGCATCTTACCCCTTCGTTGAATCCAGCCCATATTTGTTTCCGCACGCTATCAAAACCACCTTTCTTTTTAAAGGCGTATAAAAGATTGTCAATAGCCGTACGTTGTGCCGTGGACAAGGGTAGCTCTTCGGCCTTGAATTTCTTCCTCTGAATGCTCTCGATATCCAATGCGGGCCTTTTGACGCCTGCCGGTTGCGTATCTGACGACTCCTCTGGGCCAGCCATTGTGCGAAGTCGGGCGACTAGGAATAATAATTAAGAAATGAGTAAATTGGCATGTTTCGAAGCTGCAGAGCCTGAGCTATGGTGCTTCAGTGACAGCTCTGGAAATTGTTAATGCGGAGGGAATGGTTTCCCTTTCCGGCGTAATGATATTCCGGGATTCCCTCAAGCCGCATCACACCCGGCCCGACCTCATCTCAAGAAGACGTCTCTTGGCCGTATATTCACTCCGCGAATTAATTGACTGTGACAACGCTGGCCGCAGTGTTTTCCTCGTCGAAAATTCAGACTGCCGTTACACGATAAACAGTCCTTTGCAGGTTCCGGTCGTTCCTGAGTCAAACCCGCGCCAGGCCTTATCACAATGGTCCACAAAGTCCTCTTCTGGGGCGGCTTTGGTATGTAGATGAAGACCATTACACAATTGACACATTTCTTTTGCTTTATTGTTTTTCTAGCCAATATGCATTCCAAGATCATATGGTTCCCTCTGCGATGACCAACTTCTGCTAACACAGTAATTACATAGGCATTGCCGTCCGACTTTGGCAACTCGGAATCGAGATGCGCCCTATCTTTGCCAAGGAGGCTCTCTGGGCATATCCCCTCTTTGCAGGCGTCGGTGGAAGCTTTGGTTACTGGCTCCAGGGTGTCGAGGATAGACAGCTTAAGGTTCTCGCTCAACGACGCGAAGCTATTTTGGAGAAGCGGAGGAGACGAGACGAGCGTGAAGGCCTGAGCAAGATCGAGGAAGCCGGCACTTTGGCTGCTACATCATGAGTTATGAGAAGGAAGGCATAAGCCACAGGATCTACGCTAGGCGAAGAGCGCGGGAGGGGTGTTGCAAGACCCAGAAATATGTACAAACAAAACACTCGAGGGGGTCCAGCGGTGGGTGGAACCTTGTGATGAAGGGTCAAAGTCATTCATCAACCTGGTATGATAGGGGCACGAATCATATAATACTTCATACCGGAGGAGAGGCAAGCTTATTTTTTATCCCAATTGCATTTCTTTCAATTGTATCTATGGATTGATCCAAGGGCAAAGGTATCTTTGTGTTTTTTCGCTGTTTGGGAACTTAAAGCAATTTTTGCCCCTCGCAACTCCGTTCATAGAAACGATTGTATCATTGGTTCTCACCTGATATGTTGGCGTTGCATTGGATGTTGAAATGAGGTTCTTATTTGATTGAATTGACAGCAATCAATAGCAGCCAACTTGTCCGCATAAACCCTCATATAGGATTGCCGTTACAGGCTTTTCTCCTCTTCAATCTCCTACCACAGTCTCCTGATCCCATTCTTCTTTGTTGAAGCAGGCATCCTCAAGAATGGCCTTATAGCGAGCAAGCTCCCGACAGTGCACAATCTGGCATGGGTCAAAGATGTCTTCCAGCTTCATCCCATGATGAAAACGCTGCCTGTTTAAACACCTGAGAGCTAGTTTATGCTCATGCTCTGCATAGCACCGTATCTGAATCTCCTTAGGCAAGCCATGCAACCAGATGCGAAACCAACCCCAATTGAGCACGTCGAAAGAAAGACGGCAGCATCCACTGAGACAATTGGTATGGCGCAGGTCTATGAAAAGGTAGTCCAAGCTGAAAGTTTGCCGAACAAAAGTGAGAGTCCGTCCCCAGAGAAACTCCTTCATGTTCGCAATATGACGTCGGTGTCTCTCCTGTCCTTCGGAGGAGCTTCGCGAGGTTATGGATTCTGGTACGGCTGGATCCAAGCCAGGAACATCCAGACGGTCACGCAGCTGCAACAAATTATCAATGACGTTCTCCTTGTAACTAGAATTGTAGACATAGTCGTCGATGAAACCTGCAATCTCCGGTAATTCGTCCACCAGGAACTGCGCCATGTAGATGTAATCGCGGGTGTCGAAGATGAGCTCGACCCTGCGGATCATCTTGAGGTTGTAGGCGACACGCTCAGACTCGGCGCTGGCCGCGGCAAGAAGGTCAACTTGGACAATAGAGAATGTGTTCTCGCTGAGGTACATCGGAATAGCCTCCGCGTATATTTGTTTCGAGGCACACAGGAGGTTGAGGTTGGGAATGCCATATTTTTCAATTCGATCAGCATCAACGAGGTACCCCATGGACATGAAGGGTCGGACGAAGATGCGTTTCTGAACAAGAGCATAACGGTAGATTCTCTGGCGGACAGAGTGAGGGAGGTCAAGGAAAGACACCATCGTTCCCTGGATTGTTTGCACAAACAATGTCTAAGTCGAAGCCACTATCTGATGTGAGGTTAGATGGGATGGATTCAATTGTAAACAGGGAAATGCATATAAATGTAGATACTCGTCATTCAGTGAATGTGATTGTTGTGAAGGGTTGCTACAAAAAAAGGCTCGAGGATATGTAAGGTTCCCTTAACTTCAGTTAGCTACAGGAGAGAGCTATATAGAGAAATTATAGCCAATCAAGATTAATATCATTAATAAATTGCTTAGATATGCACATATCAATTCAAGACCTGTTGAGAGTCAAGACATTAAAGTAACTACACCGTGATATCTGAATCATATCCGCTCAACTGTGAATTGCAACGATACCTCCCATTTCTGACCTCCCGACCCATATCCCCTTCCCAGACGGTTCTTGATCAGGCTCGATATTTTCTCACGCAGTCGTGCGAGGCTTTCCTCCGAGCCAGACACACGTATTTTTAGATTCGCCATACACAGGCCATAGTGGACCTGCCAGAACCTCGCATCGTCGATCGCAAAGACGGAGGGATCTGATTCGATATCTTTGATCACATCACAGACGCCAGGGCCGGAGTATGACATTAAGAGCATTGAGCCGAGAGTCTTAACCAGACGAACCCCAAGGATGCACATCGCAACAGCTATGGTGCCTGACAAGAGCTTGTCGATCCAAGTATATAACTTGACTGATACCAATGGGAGAAGTAAGAGAAGTGTGGAGCAGGAAATGGTAAGGAAATGCGACGGGTTGCTTAAGATAGATGGCAAGGACTCAATGTACGCAAATCGCATTGCTTTGCCAATGCGGGCATGGTTTTTCAGCCCAATTGCAGACACCAGAGTGGAAATGACGGCGAGAACAGCAGCTGTGTCCACACTACCCGAGGAAACGCGGTAGTGAGCATGAGAGTGGTGAGGTTCATGGCCAGAGGATTCGAGGAAATGTTGTAGATTATGAGATATGAGGTCCAATCCCATGAACAGCAGGAGGACGCACATCGCGAAACCAGCAAGCACCTCCGCGCGTTCAAGTCCAAAGGGATGTCGGATACTAGATCTCTTCCATACCTCAAAATTCCCAAGTACGTCCACGGCTACACAGAGCATGGCCCCGAGGGAATCAAACAATATGAGGTGGGATAAGGCTGTCATGGCCAAAGAGCCATGGGCACTCCAAAGCGTATACGCTGCCACGAACATGTGACATACACTCCACCAAAACCGCGTCTTCTGGTCTTTCGACATACTGGCCCGGCATTCTTTGAAGGTCGGTATGGGGAGTGAGTTTGGAAGGGCCAAAGGTGCTCTAGGAGGGGGTTCAAGGAATATCTGATGAGATATACTGCTGTGCTTGTACTTATGCCCGCGCCGTTGTCCAACATTCTGCAAGCCACCCACATTTCAGAAATCTTGTCTCATGCGAAAAAAGCAATCATGGCTTTTATACTTACAGACTTTAGGACAGGCCCCTTTGACATGACCGTGGTTGTGAAATTGAATGGTCCGGAAGAAGCATTATTGTCATTCGAGCCATTCTGTGCTGGTGCTGGTACATCCCACGACGTTCCTCTGAATGATGCATGAGCAGGGCTCAGGAAGCCTCGACTTGCAAAATTATCTGCCAAAGGAGATAGACCTTCGTGGTCATGGTGTTCTTGAGGCTCCTGCGGAGGATCATCGGAGGGCGGAGTAGGGGTGCGCGGGGGACGAGGAATGGTGATATCGGAAGCCATTGCGTTGGTTTGGTGAATCATTCAGTGCAGCGATCATATATACAGCGCTGTAAGAGGATAAGACCAGCTTTTGGAGCCGGCAACTTGGTGATGGGTGGTGTATCTCCAAGGCTCTAGAGGAGGCGGAATTGGGCGAGTCTCTGCCTCAGGCATCTAGACATCATACTCCGCGCCATCTCGATTCCCGCTCTCCCTCGTACATTCTACATAGTACACACTCCCTACATGCAATGCCTCTTAAGGAGACTTGACTCCAATGTCCGCACTCTTTGCAATAATTTATGGATAACCGCGGTTCCCTCGTATTCTTCCTCATCGCGATATATCTTCTCCTCAACACCCAAACCCGTCCTCCGCTGATCGATCAGGATCGAGAACATCAGCTGGAAGTTTCCAGGGAGCGGCAGGCTCTTGGTTTGCTAAATGAATCGAGTTATGGGGATTTCCAGCCATGGTCTGGAAAATGGCTTCCTTTTACAGGATTGAGGAGTAACGATAGCTTTGCGTGGGATGCTCTGCCGGAGGTCCAGAACAGGGCGCGTCACCAACTGCAGTCTGTTCTTCTAAATGCCGGCTTAGAACCACCGGCGGCTCTGGAAGGCTCCAACACCTCCGAACCGTTGAATATTACTCAATACCCTCTCCCTGTCTACCGCAATGTAACAGGACGGCTACGAGGCGACTGGATCCGGCAGGAGGATGTCAGCATTCAGCCTCGGCTCAATATGACGGCCCTCGCCCTGGAGAATGACTATATCACCCATGATTTTAGTCTAAACATTACCGGCGATAGTGGGACTTTCTATCTGGACATGTTTGAAGGTTGCGGCGAAGAGGTTTGGATTGGCGATGGTCACATTCGGGAGATTAAGGGAAGTTTGGCCGTGGAGAGCAACAATGTTCTTGGGAGCACATGGTATCTCTCCTTGTATGGAGTACACTTCCCGGAAACAGGGGGTATTATCCTCACTACGTCGAGCGAGAAATTTGGCGGGCTCTTCTCATTGCCACACCTCGCACTGTCACAAGACAGCTTCGACCTCTCCCATCAGCTCCTCCTCAAATCACTATCAGACGCAATATCTGAGGAAGAGAATATCCCAGAACCTCTTTTCCCCTGGTCATCTATAACTGGATCTGAAATGGCAGAGTTCCCTGCTCCGAAATGCGAGCACATAGTATATCTGCAGCAACACCCGGTCATGGTTGAAACCCATTTGGCGGACAAGATAGTTCTTGAACAGATAGAACAAGAGATCAGGTATCCTACGGGGGCGCCGATACCGTCACCACCTAACATGGTCATGTCAGCAGTCATGTTTTCGCCTGATTGCGGGTATATCCTCGAAACCAAAGGCGCCCCTGATTACCCCCCTTCAGAAGTGCTGTACCTATCCGGCATGAAGAAAGAGCAATTCATCAAATATGCCGTACGGCTGATATTTTTAATTTGCGCCGTATTTTCTGCTCAAATCAGTCTTCTTTTCAGGCAGATGAAAGAAGCCTCTACGCCGTCCACGAAAAGCCGAATCAGCTTTTATACACTTGCTATGATGGCATTTGGAGATGCGTTTATACTCATATTTATTCTCTTGGAATTATATTCCGAAGCTTCCTTCCTAATCCTAGCAGCAACCTCGTTTCTTGCCTTCCTTTCGGTCAGTTACCTGGGGATGAAGTTTATGATGGAAATCTGGGCAGTTCAAGCGCCTGAGAGAAGAGAGCAGGACCGTCAAACTAGCTCGCAAACTTCGGCCGCCCGCCAAAGGACTCTGCCTCTCCCTGCAACTGCAGGAAGAGACACAGGTGCAACGCCAATTATTATTTCCCCTGATCAAGACACTCCGGCTGACGAGGACACACCCGCCAACCGTGATTCTGCGCAAAGAGACCCACGGAGCGATGTTGGAGCTATGTATGCCAGGTTTTACTTTATCCTTTTGGTGTCGATCTTTGTCTCTCTTTGGGCTTTCCTCTGGCCTAACCGGCTAGGAGCGTTGTATGCGCGTACTCTCGGGTTTATCTACCTTTCATTCTGGTTCCCACAGATTTACCGTAACGTCATGCGTAACTGCCGCAAGGCATTGCGGTGGGACTTTGTGGTTGGACAGAGCATTCTTCGTCTGTTCCCTTTCATATACTTCTTCACAATACAAGACAATGTACTATTCATCCGGTCGGACTCGACTACCGCCTACACGATGCTGGGATGGGTCTGGATACAGGTTTGGGTATTAGTCAGCCAGGACATACTCGGACCGCGTTTCTTTGTTCCCAGGGGATGGGCACCACCAGCATACGATTACCACCCGGTTTTGCGAGATACTGCTGAGTCGGATAGAGATCTCGAGTCTGGCGTTTTGTCTATCGGTGCCCTTCGGGCCGATGAACGAGATCCAAGTGAAGTTAAGGATCAGGATAAGCAGCGGTCGAAGGATAGAAAGAGGAAGATCTTTGATTGCGCTATTTGCATGCAGGAGATCGAAGTTCCGGTTCTTGCAGCGCCGGGGGCCGCAGGGGGGAGTAGCATGGCAGATGGTGCTACTAGCATCCTCAGTCGTCGGGCGTATATGGTGACCCCTTGTCGACACATTTTCCACAGCACCTGTCTCGAAAGTTGGATGAGATTGAGACTACAATGCCCGATTTGCCGCGAATCAATACCCCCTGTATGATTTTTTTTCTGCTATGATGTCGTCGCCATTTTCTTCGTGTCAATTTGTTTTAATAGACCGTGATTATTTCATTACCAAGACGCTTTTATAGAAAATCAGTGCTCTCCAGATAACCAAACACTCAAAGACTCTCGAAGGGTGTCGACATGGTTTGGTACATAAATAGACTCCACTGTTGAACGATAATTCAAGCCAACGGCAAGCTTGACACGAGTCCTCAACGTTGAAGTAATGAAAGAGAGAAAAAAAGAGTAAACAAGGTATATCAAACCGACAATACAATAAAGATAAAACTCGTGAATAGACTTCTATTTTCAGTTTCCGCCCCTTTTATTCCTCCTCGTTGAGCTTCTGCTTGTACGCCTCAAGATCCAGCAATCCATCAAGCTCCGCCGGATCCTTGACTTCGATTTCCACGATCCAAGCATCACCCTCAGGGCTCTCATTGATGAACTTGGCCTTGTCTTCCAGAACGGCGTTACCCTGGATTACCGTTCCCGACACGGGAGACAGAACATCGGAAGCTGACTTGACAGACTCAACGGCACCAATGGGTTCGCCGGCAGCGACTTCGAGGTCAGCAGCTGGGAGCTCAACGTAGACTACATCACCGAGGGCATGTGCTGCGTAATCTGTAATGCCGATCTTGGCTATTCCGCGGAGAAGGAAAAAGAAAGAAGAATAATCGTCAGTAGTGGAATGGAATGGAATTGAAGGAGATGCAAATGGCAAGCAGACTATACCTGTCTTTCCATCCTGGGCCAATTCAATCCATTCGTGCGACTCGGTGTACTTCTTCAGTTGCGCTGATGGCAAGTGAGAACGTCAGCAGCCAGGCAAATTCAATTTCTTCATGTATAACAGGACGAGCAAGTCCAATCCCATCTCTGAGGCTACTTGGATTGTGTTTTCTTACTGAATGGGCTCTGGGAAAAGCTCCGGATGCTTCCCCGCGGGAAACGGAAGTTGGGAGTAACTCGGCTGCAGAGTGAAGGCCTCTGAGAGAGCAGCACTCGGGAAGCGAAAGGGCGGAGGGATCTGGCGATGGTCGACATCTTGGACGGCGTTTCCTGTCGGAGAAAAACTGGAGCAGGAGAGAATAGATATGGGAAATAAAGAGAAGAAGGGAAAGAAGAAGCAAGGAAGAAGTATTTAATCGGCGTGAACCCGCGGAGAGGGCAGCTTTCCGGAGCTGCTACGATAACCGGCGGCGCATCATGCCAAGCATCCTGCGATAAGCTGCCAACTTCGTTTTCTCCTCCGGGAAGTCTCCGTTCCAGCCAACGAAAACAGAAAAAAGAATCTCTGGCCCACCACACTGCTCGCAATGTTGTATGAGCTGATTGCGATTGTATGCCTACTAGTTATTCCTTGCTGTTCTCGCATTAGTTCGGGATTAGGATAGCTGCTGATTGATCTCCCTCAGGTTCGTCCGGGCAGTCTTAACGAAGTCCGAGAGTACGTCCATATTCCTCGTTTCCAAAGATGATCTCCCATCTCCTCCTTGTGCAAATACCCTGGTACAACGAGAATAAACTGCGTCTAACATATATCCCAGAATCGCCCGCAATGCAGGCCTCCAGGTCATCCGCTCCGGCGGCGTAATCCGTGGCTATACGAATTGGGGCACTTTCCGCCTACCGAGGCCAACTACGAAACATCAAGCCCGATACACTGAAGGACACCATTTCATCATGCGCTTCGATGCATCGGGACCCGTTCAGAGCGCTGTCCGACGAACACTAGGCCTTGACCCCCGCATGATCCGGTTCTCTGTTGTGAAGCTGGGAGATAAACTCGAGGAGATCAAGGATGTGCAAGGAAAGGTCGAGTGGAACAATGTTCGCAATATTTCTGAGTCTATCTGATTGTTGTTGGGATCCGTCTGTTTCTTTTTGTTTCTTTCTTTGTATTTAGCCGGTGTATTATACATGGGTTTTGGGGAATGACTGTTTGTATTACCCTTCGGCTTCACGGGTGCTTTTATCTACGCCTTGTTGCTTTTGAATGACTGGCCTTGTCTTGTTTGCACGATCTATGGTAACCCCAATAGTGTCGAGCAGCGGGCTGGTGGCTGCGAGTCCATCTAACGATGTCACCCGTCTGCGGGTTCATGTCTTGTATGTCGGTCTTGTTCAGTCAAGGAATGGCCTGCTCTACCGGTTTATATGGTTCCTGTGTATTTGACGAATCGTTCAAATTGTGCTCTTATTATCTCCGATTCTCCGGACATGATCTCGCTTGACTGGATCTGTAATAGCATCCCTCGTTATGTTAAGGAGAAAGGAAAGAGTCCACGGGTAGATGAAGAGGTTGAGGGTGGGTATAGGGAGAGAGGAAGAAACAAATGAATGAAAAAAATAAAATATAGAGTTAGGAATTAAGGGGGACAGGAAACGTGAGTCGAGAGACAACTCCTTGCAACTGTAAGGTGGACAAAAAAATTAAAAAATTAGATCCGCTGGGCTGGAGTCGAACCAGCGACAACCCGGTGAGCTTGATGTTTCACATTACAGCCGGGTGCCATAAACCAACTAGACCACCAGCGGATTTGTTGAAATACGGCAACCTTTATAAACTTAAATACCAATTAATTTAGCAAGGCTCGGTGAAAGAAAAGTAAGCTGCTACCGACGGGCCTAGAGTACAACAGGGGATGACTGCTGCTATGAGAATCAACGATAACAGCACAAACATGTGCCTGATTCTTATTTGGCGTATGTTTAATATTCAGCCTTCAGAGGACCTAGATCTGTAACTTGTCACGGGCAGATTACCGATCGACCTGCCGAGGTTTCGAGTGCGCCGATAAATACATATCTTTATCGGACTCCCCGTATATCCGGGAATTCTTCGATGAAGCTCCCGGCAAATACACAGTTACGCATTGCAAGATAGAGCCCAGCGACACATATCCTAGGCTCACCTGTGCGCGTAGACAGGAGTCTGTCATCGAGTCGTGAATCATCATTTCGAAGAACCACACCGTATAGAAGATAGCAATAATGGATTCTTCCGCGGCCAACTCCAATGGACCCCCCACGCCAGGTGGCAGGATAGAACCCCCCCCTCCTCCGTTGTCATTTGTGAATCTCATGGCTCTTGAACGACTTGATGACCCGAATAACCGGCCAGATGGTGACAATGAAAAGATCGAGAAGTTCCGTTCGCTGGCAACCCCCTATACCCCAGTCACCGGCCCTAGGGTTTTCGGCGGACATATCTATGCCCAGTCGGCCTATGCCGCATCAAAAACCGTCAAAAGAGGGTTTGTCATACATGTAAGTCCTTTCTGAAGCAAGCCCACGGACTTCTGCCATATTGCACATGGAAAGAACCTTGCTGACTGTCTTGGTCAGAATATATCTGGGTCATTTATCCGGCAAGGACGAAACTATACCCCATTTGCGTACACAGTTCGGCACATCCGAGATGGTCGGAATTATTGTGTTCGTGCAGTAGATGCACGGCAAAAAGGCAAGATATGCTTCTCATGCATTTGCTCGTTCAAGCGGGCCGAAAGGCAGACCCCATTTCGTCACCAGCCAGCTCCAGCGCAGGAAACCTACAGGGCAATACTCGACAGAAAACGGCCCGAAGATCATCCTCTTAGCCCATGTATAGACGTGGACTGGTGGATGCAACAAGTCGAAGAAGGGAGCGTTAGCGAACAAATCTTTCCCGGGCTATATGCGAGAAAGGCAGACATGAAAGGGTACAATGAGACCGATGATGTCAAAAAAAACCCCGAAAAGTACCGTCAATTGATGATATACTGTCTCAGGGGATCACCAGACGAGAGCGCAGCAGTCTCAGCAGATAACACTGGACTGAAAGAGAAGGATAAATCCGGAGAATACGACAACCTCTATGCCTGCGCTCACTTGTACGCATCCGATAAAAACTCTCTTTTCCTGGCTGCGCGTGCCTTGGGCCACCAGACCTATTCCGCGATGGCTAGTCTCAGTTTAACAGTGATCTTCCATGAGCACGGCGAAGCACTGCGAATGATTGACTGGGACGCAGAATCACAGCAGAAAGACGAACCTTCGTCCAGGAAGTGGTTTATACAGGAAGCCTGGACGCCTCGATCCGGCGATAATAGGGTGGTCCACGAAAGTCGTCTGTGGAGTCCAGATGGAACATTGCTGGCGACTACACTACAAGACGGTCAACTTCGCCTCCATGAACGTGAAGGGAAGCTGTAACATGTGGATTGTATACATTCCACCTTTAATTTACATAGAAAGCAGCCCTATTTTTGAGCAATTGTTTTGTCTGAATCTACAGGACATTGTGTGTCATGCAGGTATCCAAGTATGGATGGATGCAGTGCTTTAGACATCCTATCATGCACTTAGATAACGCATTTAGATCACTTGCATAGAAATACCAAACAAGAACCCAAAAAGTCATAGCAGTAGCACATAAGTGATATAGAGTGATATCCATCTCCATGAAGCAGGGAGACATCGGGATATATGGCAGTCACGTGGGCTGCTACTGCCAATGACGCAAAGCGTTCATTCATCAGTCCGTCAACTCCCACTGTTTAACAGGAAGATGATTTGCTACGTCAGTTACGCGGCAAATGATGAAGAAGACGCTTCTGCTCGTCTACATTCACGGATTCCAGGTGCGTCCTCAGGCTGGATTTTGGCACGACTGAAGCTTCAGCGAAGCACCCGAGGTTACCAAGCTTAACTAACGGATCTGCTCCTGCAGGGCGGGGACAACACCTTTGGTGACCTCCCAGCCAATTTACAGGCACTGGTCAGCTATGCGCTTCCCGCCGTAAGAGTGGTTACGGAGATATACCCGAAGTATGAGACCCGGGGAGACCTGAGAGAATGCGTGAGCCGATTCCGGGAATGGTGATTCTTTCTCCCCTTCTTCTCTTCATGCATCTTTTCACTCTGCTTCATAGCATGGACGAGAAAAGAAAACATCTGATTTTGGTTACTGACTTTTGCCATGTAGGTTGCAAAACAAAGTCATTGATTTGGAAGTCGAAAACCAAACACCATCCCCTACTGTCGATCCCGCTGTCCATGTCTTTCTGCTCGGGCATTCAATGGGGGGCATAGTGGGTTCAGAAACAATTATTTTGCTGGCAACTGAACAGCCAATTCAGCCATCGTCTTCAGCCACATCGTCAGATCGACCTTCCGGAACCACGGAAGGCCGGCGGCTTGTGGAACCGGGCTCCTTTATGTTCCCCCATATACAAGGCCTGCTTGCATTCGACACACCCTTCCTCGGAATTGCACCAGGAGCCGTGTCATATAGTGCAGAAGGACAATACAAGACAGTCGTAAACACGTTGTCAGATGTAGCCGGTGTGTTCGGGTTTAGACGGGGTAGCAATACCGACTCGCATAACACGGCACAAGCTACCCAGAGTAACAAAAGGGAGACTGTTTCCTTGACTGACTTTGCTGCCCCCTCTACGGATGTCGCTGCTACGCCTTCCTGGCAGCGTTGGGGTCGGTATGCCATGTTCGCTGGGGCTATAGGCGCTGCAGCAGCAGGTGGCGCCGCAGCAATATATCAACAACGCCAGAACATCACAGGAGGATGGAACTGGATATCTTCTCATCTTGAATTTGTTGGGTGCCTTGGACGGCCAAAGGAACAGCTTCAACGCCTGGAGCTCTTGACAAAGATACGCCGAGAACGAGGAATAAGCTGCACAAATTTTTACACATGCTTGGGTGAAGGTGCCCAAGCATTGATGGAAAAGACGAGGACTGGGGAAACGTCATTCAGCGAAGGAATCATACGGTCGAAGAACCGGACGTTCTGTTCACTTCCGCAAGATATCGATGACACCGCTGATGGCCGGGTGAAACCGTCCTCCAAACATAGAGGGCTTTCATGGGTCAAAGCTGTGAATAACAAGGCACCGGATGAAATAAAAGCACACATCACAATGTTCCAGCTGAAACAAAATCCGGGTTTCCATGCCATTATTCATGGAGCTTGCGATGTGATAGCAAATTCCGTTGATAGAAGCTGGTATCTAGCAGCCACGGAACCTATGGAGGGACTTCATAATGAAGGGGCGCACTTCCAACGGGATGTAGACAGCGAGTTCATGGACGATGTCGTGGTTGTCAATTGAGCACAGGTTACACCAACCACCTTCCTGATTACTTACTGTCTTTTCTTCCAGCCCACGAATTTAATCTGGGGTTGGACTTTTGAGGGCTCAGATATGTCGTCCAGGTTCCCAACCGCATGATGTAAGGGCTATGAAACTAGCAACTTTCTTTGCAACCACGATTATTTCCATCTGCTCCAGTACGCACATCACTCGACTATTCTGGAGCTTCTTTTGATGTGATATAATAACCTTTTTGCAGAGCTCGGGCAGCAATGTGAAACGATTGCCTGTCAGCTTATACTCCGCCTTTAACCTTAATTTTTATTCCAATAGCATTTATCCGAGAATGGCCTTGAATATGCAATTATGCATTGCGTAAGACGCGTAAGGCCCAAATATAAAAATGCAGTGCTTCTTAAATTATTTGGATCGCCGCAGGGTATGTGTAAACCTACAGAAAGCTTGAAGATCTACGGCGTAGATTTTTCCTCTGATGGTTTCCCCCTTCCTCCTCTCATCAGTCTCTCCTGCGTACCAACATGGAGTATTACACCCTTCTTGAGGTCCAATTTATCTATAATCGCCGCAACTCAGCATGGGATCCGAATTGACGAATAGATTGCCTACTGTCAATCCGGCAGTTAGCAGACCAGAAGCAGCCAAGGTTCGTCTGCACCCGGTGTTCTACATTGCGTATTCTGCCCTCAATTTAGTTGCCCTCCAGGACCTAGCTAACTCTGCGGAAGTCCATGGATTGCGCTGAGTTCTGCTGTTATTTTGTCTTCAACAACAAATTGGTTCCTCACACTGTAGGCTTCGGTATGTTCACAAGTCCTAGATGTTCGAATTTCAGAATCTTCTTTGTGAAGCGAGAAAACCAAAACTAAAACGTTCCACCCAGGACAATTCTTCGCCACAATCTTCGAACCCGTCAGACTAGTCATGGTCCAACGACTTCTCAGCTCGGCCGAATTCAAAATGGACCCCCTCGTCTCGCTGTACTATTCGTACCCGCATGCGCGGTCATGAACGGAGTCATCACAGCTGTCGTAGAACTCCCGCGAATCACACTGGCCAGCCGTCGCATTTTACTCGTCATCGCATCGATGGTCATCTTCAGGGATCCCGTCACGCCGCTCCAGGCCTTTGGGTACTCGATTGCTCTTGTGGCTCTCATCTATTACAAACTTGGGGGCGATGGAATCGTATCGTTCCTCGCCCAGATGCGCAATTCCCCAGGGAATGAAATAAAGTCCAACTTGTTTGGGTCAAATGAGAGACAAAATGACTAGTTTGGGGTTTAAGGGTGATGTTTTATTTACATAGGACTCTGTTTATTAGTAATAGAATATTGAAAATAAAGAAAGATGAATATCTCAGTTACATGTCATACCTAGGTACTACCTAATTATCTCTGTTTCTCAATGTTGTTGCTGGTATTAGGGTTATCCATAGTCGTTAACTTTGAGTGGAGTTGCTGTAATCTAACAATGCCATACGCTTGTAAATATGATAAATAATAATTGCATACTAGCAGGAGAAAGCTTCATTTTCATTGGGACTCCAGCAAGCACAAACTCAAATGGACGGTGAAGCGTTACAGAGGCGAGGAAACAAAGAGAAAGGAAGCTATAAAAATACTTTTGCATCTACTCCGTATCGTGTCAATTCGAAGCAAAATAAGCGATAATTAGCAGAAAAGGAAAGTGAACAAATCCAATTTCCAGACAAGTATCTTTTCATATGCTCCTCGAAACGCCGTCGCAAGACCAAGTCAGAGAAAGAACATGTACAAAGCGTGAGGACTGCTTGGTATACAAGATCGCTGAAATTTCTACCCCCCCAAAAAAAAAGCCATCAAAAACACAATCATGTAGCCGAAATTATTAGTGTATAAGAGGGAATTAATAGTTGTAAGAAGAGGCACGACGATATATGCTTGGGGCATACTCCGAGGTTGAATCTGGGAAAAGACGTCGATCATCATCTGGGACGAGATCCTTGACTTCCCAAGTGTTAGGCTTGACGCCAACGGAGAATTCAAGGTCTTCCTTGGTGATTGAATCCCAGTACTGAAAAAAGAGTTAGACATGGTACTGATCGAGGGATAACCGTAAAGTAAGAGAATCGAACTCGGCATACCTTGTAGATCATCATAACAGCGAATAGGTTACACAAAGTGGAGAAAAAGAGCCCATCCAGGTAGTGTTGCACGCGATCGCAAATGGTATCGCTCCAACCGTACATAAGAGCCTGTCCAGCCGCGAAAACAGCAACACCGGAAATAATATTACCCAACGGCCAACGATCTTCAAGAGTGTTCAGAACCAATAAAATCTGCATCACTAAATAGATAACAATGCAGATAGGATTCAAGATGTAAAGTACGACAAACAAGCCGACCGTATCGGTAGGCTTGAGTCCACCCCAGTCCTTAAAAGTCAGAAGAGAAACGATGAAGGAGACAGCGAACATGATCGTAGATGTTATTCGTAATAACCAGACCGACAACGCCGTTCCATCTTCGTACAGCTGGAAGCCAACGAAGCCGTTGACGACCAGACAGGTGAACAGAGCATTTGCCAAGCCGTTTTGAACGGCAACGAAATAAGGGAAGGGTCCGCTCCCCGGTGGGACAACGCCCGCATCCAGGAGGAGGGAGCACATGGTCACGAGCATGTAGAGGTAGAAGAAAGTGACCATCTCTCTGCGACCTGAAAAGAAGGAGTGTTAACTTGGACTGTTTCGAAGGCAAAGCTATTTTCGGAGAAAAAGACTCACCGACTGCTGTGAATTTGGATCGGACATGCAAGATCATTATGACTGTGGTGATGAGGGCAATAATATGGATAAATGATGCGGCGCCCTCGAAGATGATCGTGTTGGCAAGTTCGATGTTCCGAGAATAGCAATGCGGTATAATGCCCGTCTCCCCTGAAATCGACGACTGGCTACCCACCAAGGAGCACATTGGAAGTGCTACCTTGTGGCAGATGAAGCCAAAGTCTCCAAACCCCATATCTGCTAGAGATCACCAAAGCGAGGGAAATAGGAAACGCGGATGGGATCCTTGTAGCACAGGCAGGATGGAAAGAATGTCCCCACAAAATGACGGAGACTGGAGGGGGAGTGGGGTAGAGCGCCCAGTGGTCCCTTGGGACGAAGGGAACGACTGTATTGCGAATACCACTGAGATGCGACGGAGCGAGCGTAGTCGACTGAGGGTCAGAAACGAGAGACCAGGACCCCAGCTTGGGCAGCAGGACAAAAGGGATGAAGGCAAAGGAAGAAGATGATGGCAGCAGTTCGCCCGGTGAGATCACCTGACTGCACCAGTCAGGAAGAGGCTGGGGTTATTTCCAGATGCGGACTAGCGCAGCGTCCTGCCACTCTATTGTTAGAGATCACGTGGGTTTTGCCTCGGTTGACCGCCTTCGCTTGCCTGACACACACTAAAATAGTTAGACCAACATAGATAGAGACAATACAAGCAAGTTGATCCAACAGATCCAACGTCTATTATTAGTAATACATGGCAGGTCCCGTGAGTCCCGTGATGAAATGCAGCCCTATCTCCGTGAGCCCTGTGGGCCGGCCCGATTGGGAAAGGCACGACATCGGAACGGAAGCACCGAAGATCCATGATTTTTCCCAAAATTAAATCATGAAACTCCGTCATTCCCAGGAACCTCGGGAATTCCCCATAACCGACCCCTACGGTAACCTTCGGGGTCGCGCGTATTGCGCGACCCTGACAACCACCCGAGCACCCCAGCCACCCGAGCACCGATTTTAGAACTTCGTAGAATTCCAACCCATCAACTTTATCATATAATTCAACCACCACCACCATGCCCAAATTCAATAAAAATTATGAAGATCGAATGCTCAAAGCTATTGACGCGTTAAGCACACAAAATCCCCCAAATATCGCCAAAACTGCACGTGAATATGGAGTTAAACGGCAAACCCTCTCCGCAAGGTGGAAGGGACGGTCCAATCTATGTGAACGACCACCAACCAACACCAGATTATCAGAAGAGCAAGAAAAGGCTCTGTGTCACTATGTTGATACTCTAGAGCAATTAAATATAAAGCCACTTGCACAAATGATCCAATCAAGTGCCAATTCTATTCTGAAATCAACCCATACCAGCCTAGACACCCCTCCACCTACTGTCAGCGAGAAATGGTTAAACCGATGGCTAGGAAGGCATCCTGAATATAAAAGACGTCGCTCTAGAGCTATAGAGCTTGACCGCAAGCGTGCAGAGGATCGTGAGGTTATTCAGGAGTGGTTTCAGAAGCTCCATCAGACCATCCAGAACCATGGGATATTAAAGGAGGATATCTACAATTTTGATGAGACTGGCTTCAATATCGGTGTTGGTCGTGATCAATGGATTATTACCAGGGACTTCAATATTAATAAGCCTCATATTGGGATGAATTCAAACCGTGAATATGTTACTGTGGTTGAAGCAGTCAATGCAGATGGCTGGACCTGCCCACCACTTATTCTCATGAGTGGTAGCTGTATACTTACAAATTGGTTTGAAGCTGCTGATATTCAACAAGACTATTCAATTGGAGTATCAGAAAATGGTTATATGACTGATACAATTGCCTTCCAATGGATTCAGTCATTCTATCGGCATACTAAAAGATATAGGAAGGGTCAATATACCCTTCTTATATGTGATGGATACGGCTCCCATCTAACACATGAATTTGTTGAATTCTGTGAGAAGACCAATATCATCACCTTCTTCTTACCTCCACATACAAGTCATTTCTTGCAGCCATTGGATGTTGGTGTTTTTCATGCATATAAGCACTGGCATTCAGAAGCAGTTGCAGATGCAACCTACTCAGGATGCAGTAAATTTACTAAGGTTGAATTCCTTCATGCCTTAGGGGCAATTCGCAAGAAGACATTCAAAAAGCGTACTATTCAGCATGGATTCCAAAAGACTGGCATCATACCATTCAATCCATCAATTGTACTCAATCAAATGCCTCAACCACATCGTCCATCCTCTTCATCCACCAATACCAATGATGTTGATTCCTGGGGCAGTACGCCAAAAAAAGCTGAACGATTTAGGGAGATTGGTGATAGGATATGGGAGATTCATGATATCAACAAGGATCAATTTAATGAGGGCCTAGAGCTGCTTATTCGTGGTGGTAGTATGCTAGCATCATATTCAGCTGCTATCGAAGCTGAGCTTGACCGGTATATTAAAGCTGCTAGGGACCGCGCAGCTCGATCACAGGCCTCTAGGCGCAGGATTCGCAAGGGAGGCATAGTATCAAGCTCAGAGCTTGAAGCTATAAATCGAAATACTGCGAATATTAATGAGCAGGCTGAAATAAAGAGGTGGAGGACTAAGTATAAGCGTTGCCTACCAGAGCTGCTGGATGTATGCATTCGACGAGGAATTATTATACGAAGGCAACGACATGCTAGGGCCCAAGCTGAAGAGTAGAGCTTTAGTTTAAATATATTTTGAAGTTAAATACTATAGAATTCGTTGAGATATTGAAGCTAGAAGGGGGGTCTAAAATTGGTGCTCGGGTGGCTGGGGTGCTCGGGTGGTTGTCAGGGTCGCGCAATACGCGCGACCCCGAAGGTTACCGTAGGGGTCGGTTACGGAGACATCCATGGAACAATAATAAATAAATCAATACGATGTGGCTGTTGACGATGGCCGTCATTTGACCGCCTGTGATTTGCTGTTGCGTCATCATCAATGAACTTAGGTTCGGACAATGTCCACGAAGTCTCAGGACAACATGATTTGAGCGTCCATTCTTGATAGGCTTTCCGCGCGCCCTTTTTGCGCTCAGAACCCGAAACCACAGTGAGATGTCTAATCGACCGATTGTATCAATGGCCCCGTCCAGAGCCCCCTTGATGACGCTTGTTTAACTTCCGCGTCCCGATCGACACGCCCCGTCCAGGGGTCTGGGCAAAACCTGCTCACGCCCGGATTTCTGAAAAAAAGAACGGCCGACAGTGGGTTAAAAAGCACAAAGCACGGACGCGGTGTTATGACCTCCGGCTCCGGCTTTGGCTCTGAGTTGGGATTGTTTCTGGTTTCCAAGTGTGATCCATGGTACAGCTTTCCCAGCTTACGGCGAACCAAAATAGGGTTCTCGGGAGAAGCTTCGTGGATGATATCGGCTTCCGATGTGTCCCGCAGAGGATGAGGGAATAGATCAGAAATCAGATACGACTACCTGTTACCGCGGACATGGATGGTTCCGCAGCTGCGTCCCTTTGCCGGATGGTTGGATCGATAGCATGGCGCGATGCATGAAGATCCTCGCCTAGCGCCACGTGCCAGTGAAGAGTCTAATGGATAGGCGCATGTATGGTCGTATTACTAGGTAGGCCTGCCTGTGCCGTGAGATAGGTAGCGAGGGCGGTCTAGGACGGCAGAACCTCACGTGTACTAACAGAGTCGATGGAATCTCGATCTCTCGGTATTCACATTTTGAGATATCTCACCCGTTCATGCGACAGTCTTTTAATATAATAATAATGTGCTCCATGCATGCATGCATCATTATTATCGCCCTGCTCCGAATTATGATTGTCCCTTCTCTCCCTTCCCACTGCAAGCGCGATCCACTATTGCGGAACCTCTTGACAGCCGCGGCCTTGCATCCACGTTTACGTTTGGTATCTGCATCCATGCTTCAGGTATGTCCAGTGCAATGCCTGACCCGCTTCTCTGCCACGCAACTCCCTGTAGATCCTCTGCCTGCCGTTGTCATTGCTTCTTATACCATAAGGGATGCTTAGTCTGTCTAACCTCTCCTTAGATATCTCGTGATGGGATTCAGGATGTGACCATATTCGTTACTCAGAAGCCACCTCCTTTCATAGTCCAAAAGAAGAAGAGCATCTCATCCTTTTTAAGAGGGCTATCACCGTCATTCTTAATTGCCTTTTGACACCTATATATATTGTTTCCCCTCCAACATATCCATCTTGTTCTGTCCATTTAGACAGGAGCTAAGTCATTTCCAACCACACTACTTCCTTTAAAGCGTCTGAGATGTGCAACTTCTTCAAAAACTTCTACATCTACAGCTCTTGTCGCGATCCGGGGGCTCACTTCTTCCGTACGGCCTTGGACGGCTCCAAGGAGCATCGATGCCCAAATAGCCCGCATGACAGGTTCATTATCGTCATCGGGAAATGTCGCTTGTGTTCTCGCTGATTCTGCTTGTCTTTTTTGCCTCAACCTCATCGGTCAATTCAATGGCAACCTTTTCAACTTACCCGAATGAAACACGCTGGTATTCGTGATGACGACCTCCGCTTCTCTTTGATTGACCACCGATCCTCTCTACGTCAGCGTCTGCTTCAATTTTTAGCGTTCGATAGACTCAAATTTCTCATCGTCACTACACATTGTTGCGTCCGGGTATCGATCCTTCAGCGCTGCGAATGATTTCTTTTTTGGGTACAATTAGGTTGATTTCTGCGTGGTACAGCATGGCGTTCCAGGGATGATTTTTTTGGGATAGCGTTTGGGCCGCTTGTATAGAACAGGGAGTCAGGTTTCATGTTTGGATTCAGTCTGGGGTTGTTTCGCTGTGTTTTGGTTATGAGCGGATGGGAAAAAGCATAATTAACAGGTTGTACTGACTTCAGCCGAAGCGGAATTTAGTCCGTGCCTTCACATGCTTTTCTGTTTTTGTTTTGCTACCTAAGGGGAAATAGCCTAGATCAGAGGCCAAAAAGGAGCTCTTGCAGCAAATAGGAGTCTTGTTTTTCACGGGAAAACAGTAGAAAAATATTAACAGAGACAAATAAGGACATAGGAAAAATCGACATTGACTCCTTGGTTAATTCCGAATGGCGCTTTGACCTGAAAGTCTATATATCCAAGGCAGAAAATGGCGGCCTATCATCCGGGAAAAAAACAGCGCAAAGGCCCCCTTCGCATTTAATTGACATGGCCATTAATTAAAACGATGGGCAACGGAAGACTTTATATAGGGTGGTCTGAGTGGTTGAAAGTCCGAGCTCGTTTGAATTTGTCCTGCAAGATGAATGATTATTATCTATTTAGTATTTACTCCTCCGTACGCCCTGAGGGCGCATTATTACCGAAGAAGGGAATTTACACCCAACCTATTAGATCTTCCTGATAGACACCCATCAAATATGATATTATCCTTCCCCGGCTATGTAGTATGTACCAAACAGCCAAGAGACAGTTCACATGCAAAGAGCGTTGTACCATCGCTAATGGATATGTACCCTTTTCAAGCTGCCCCCGCCTTGTCTTGTCTTGGGTTCCATTGATACCCGCCATGGCATGTATTTCTATAATTTATAGGAACATTGACCATAGGGGAAGGAGCGGATTAACCGGCTTGGTTCTGTCATTGTCTGGGCCCTTTTGGGCTTTTTTTGGGATGAGTTTATTCCCTGTAATACGTCACTGACGGAGACCCTATTTAAAAGTTAAAAAAAATAACTAAATTAACAAAACAAGAATATCAACCCACCGCTGGGAGTATTATTAATAAATAAACACAGACAAATGTTCAGTACAATAGAGCTGCACATAGGTGATTCTCTGGCAAAGCTCCCCAGATTATTAACCAGAGAGACAGATCATCCTAGCGGATATATCTATAGCTACGGAGTAAGAAGTAGATTTAGGGTTCCTAACTACACCATACGAAGGCATTATATACAGCACCTATGCTCCAGTCATTGTATATGACATGACATATCACATGATAAAAGACAAAAAACATGGAAAGTAAAGGCAAGATCATACAATATAATTAATATGCTGCTGTTTAGTAATGCCATCTCACTACATATGTTAATATAGATGCGTCAATTAGCCTTCTTAGACATCCCAGAAACCATTTCCTTGGATCCACGTAGACGCAACAGATTACAAACCTTAAATGCCATAACCCCTTGTTCTGTTCTCATGATGAGACGTGCAGTAGCGATATTAAATGTGTGACGGGACAGTTGTAGGTCGGATCATACTATGTACCCCGATCCTCCGTATGTCACTCACTGCGACCTTCCGAGCAAATTCCGATCCGTCACATCGTGCAATACTGCAGTATAATCAATGATAATCATAATAAATGTAATAATAGACTGGGATCTTCGCGGGTTCATTCGAGTCGGTCCGGTACCCTTCCGGGAGATCTACAGGACGGACGGGGATGGGATTGTACCCCGAATTACCCCCGATGTATATATTATTTATTCATTGGCGGGTGTATGCGTATTTCGATAACATGATAGCCACGAGTCATGGGTTCCGAGGTTGGAAGGGCATCTGGTACTTTTGATCGCTGGACTCTCTATCCGAAGCATGCAAGAAGACAGGTTCGGTAATGACGGTACCCTACGTCGCTTGCTGCAGAAGCATTCGCCGAGCATTCACAACCGATACCAAAATCTGTCCAGGTTCATACCAGGGGTAAATAAAATCTGTAGAACACTCCCAAGTGATGTACAACTACCGGTAGAAATGTATAGGATTACATCATCCATGTAGTCTAGTTAACTAACTAGTTAAATAGGTGTACGAAAGAGGTGCAGGTAGCAGTGCGTATCATTACCGTGTAATACTGCCATGCCAGCCTTCCGAGCGAATCCCGATATATCTGATAATATACTCCGTGTGCCATGCAATATGAATAGCCTTGTAGTATGCTCCCGGGAGATCTACGGATGGTCGATGCCGGATAGACAATCTAGGGATGGAGAATGAAATTACTCCGATGAGTTTGGCATAGCAGGGGTTTCGGTAATCCGACGATGAAGCTCTATCTTGATTCTTAAAATTCAGTCGTCCAGCCAAGAAGCAACGAATCAGCAAAAATGTCACGATTCATGGCATGATTAGAATGGATTGATTGCGTGTCCAGCCCGGAAATTAAGGCGTCAATTGGAGTCTTGGCCGCTTCAACTCAATCATGTCTTCGTCCGGGGATTGCGAATCATACAGTACAACTGCAAAGTCAGCATATCATCCATAAGCCTCAAGTAGCAACAAGCAAACCATACCATACAAACATCATCACCATCCCTGCACTCCATCACCTTGACCATCTCAAATCCCATCCGCTTATAGATCTCGACATTCGGAACATCCTTCGAACTTTCCAGGTAACACTTCACCCCTTCCCGATCCGCACGATCAGTCACCACCTCAAACAGCTTCCTCCCGACCCCTTTCCCCTGCGCTTCGGGGCTCACAGCAACAATGTTGCAGAAGTAGTACCCGCGTGGATCATCCCAGATCTGTGCCTGGGCTTCCTGCTGCCGGTTCTTCCAGACCCAGTACCGGTGCGCAAGGAGTCCACCCCGGCCCTGGTAGCGGAGGTTCGTCATGAACTGCCGGAAGGAGAGGAGCCAGGACTGCGCCCAGGAGAACCATGATTCTGGTTCTGAGGTGGGGTGAGGCGGAAGCCAGCATGAGACGCCTAGGACTTTAGATGAAGGTGCAGTTGCAGTTGCAGATGGCCCACTTGTGCTTGTTGGAGAATCCTCCTTCGCGACGAAAAATAGAGCATTCTTAATGCCCCACAGACAGCGGGTAGCAAGGGAGTCATAATTCCTTTGCTTATTGAACTATATCGCATAAAGAAAAAAATGTATATTCCTCCAATCTCGATCATGGGTAACCGCAGGTCGGGTTGTTTGGGAGAACAAACGTCGACCGCGTCACGACGAAAGGAGAGGAAAGAAAATGTTAGCTTTTGTTTCTCGTCCCTCATTTCTCATTGTATTTTTTTTTCTATCTGATCATAGGTACCTTGGACCGATCAAAAACCCACAGAAAATATGGATCGCTCTCGAACGCCCGCTGGATCACCTCGATGGCGCCCGGGATATCGGCTTCCGATAGCGGGACGACTTGGATGGCCATGCTGAAGGTCGACTTATCCTGAACGACGGGTGAGAAGTCTCGTTAGTCTTAAAAGGGGGGCTGCAAGAAGCATGGGAAGAGGGAAAAGAGGAGATGACGGATCCAACCTGCTAGAGTAGGACAGGCCGGGTGTAAAGTACGTCTGCGAGATAACAAAGCCGAGAAGAGGCGCTGCGGGGAACGGGATAGAGTAAGCGATAAAGGTTATGCATCATTTATATACTCGAGAGCTACTCCGTAAATTTTTTTTATTGAAATCGCTTATGAAGCACCAAGCGCCATGCTGGCCCTATACCTGCCTATTCCCATCCGCCCGATTTTGCACTGTGAAGAGACAATAAGAAGAGACGATGTCCATCCTTCCAACAATTCAATAGATTGATGCGTGCTTGTCCAAGATATGAAAATAGACAGAAACAGAGGAAAGGAGGAAACCAAAGGAAGAAGACCGAAGTATATACAAGTGGCTCGGTGTCATAGTATACCCCCGCAGATAGAATAAAACATTATCAGCCGTAAGACTCAAAACAGTCCAAATCTATACAATGCCCTTTTGAAAATGTTTTTTTTGTTCTCCCCTATTTTTGTTGACCGTTCACTAATGAACCCCGTGACGGTCCTCATCCCTCATCCAAATATAAGAACTTCGCTTTCGTAACTTCATCAAATCAGATACTGTGAAGGAAGTAGTCTATGCATCCAACCGCACCCAGTCGCGGGGAACATCCATGCTGCGGTTGACACGCCCCCCTGGTGTGAGAGGCACATCAACACGTCCTCGGCCTCGATCGTCGTCTGCATGTTCCTCATAGCTGGACAGCCGCTGGAAGTAGTCCTCAAGAACAGCCTCCCGATCATTATTACCCACGATCGAAGAGTAATCCGGGGGCGGTGTTATCAACGGCGGTGGGGGCGGGACCTCCTCGAAGGCTGGTGGGGCAAACGACGGGAACCGAAGCAGATGTATCGGGCGTTGAATCCGATCAGGAGGATCATCAGCCAGATGAGCTTGAGCAGGGCGAGCTAGTCCTCCAGATCCACTGGTAAAGCTCCGCGACATGTTTGGCTGACTCTGGCGAGAGACGTCAGCGACCGGGGTGGATTGTCCATCTTTCTTGGCTGTCCTCTGACAGCCACATTCACATTCTTGCACCGAAGCCGGTTCACTGTCAGGAGACGTGTACGCCGGGAGGTAGATGTTGGCTTGCGTAGCTTTGCAAGAAAGGAGGTGGAATGGTGAGTCGATCGAGATTTCAAAATGCCTTCGTTTGGTTGGATCTCTCTCATCAACCTTGGATAAACGCAACACAATCTGAAAGAAAATGTCAATACCATTACAACAATACAGAGGGGCCATCCACCCATACCTTGATCCAATGACTTATTTGAATATTCTCATACGTCGTATCGAAATGTAGCCGTTGAGATTCGGGTCTATTCTTCATTTCGTGACAGGTTGGCAACTGTACGCTGAACTCCATCTCCGTCGGCCCTATACCAATATCGCTGGAGAGGTCCCCCAGCAAACTGGTCCGTCTCCGATCAACGATTTCCTCGCCCCTGGCAGCAGCCGCACGGTGGTCCCAGTCGATGCCGCCGCCTGCGGTGACACGGATGGAGCTTCCCGGATACGTGCTGGTACTGGCAGAGTCCGCCCGTTTCTCGAACAACAGCACTTTCTTTGCCGGCTGAAGTCGGTGGACATTCTTGTCCGCCGTCCAGTGCTGGATATTTTCCGTCACGAATACTTTGATTCGATGGCACTCAACCTTTGCGAGGGGCGTTAATTTGAAGGCAATTGGGACCTGGGAACCCAATGGAAATGATTTTCCCGAAATGACAATATCGTAATGAAGCTGATCTTCCCAATTCCGGGATATGGCGATCGGCTCCACTTGTTCCAGTGAACCTTCCGCCGGCGTCCGGATGACAGGAACCTCCATCGTACCCAGGAGGTTTGGTCGAAAAGCCCCAGCTCGTTCCACGATCGCTTCCAGGTCATACCTAACAAATCCCAAATCGGTCTTAATTGTTTCCGGGAGTGACCCGTCAATGGGGAATTCGAAACTGTAGAGATAATCGCCAACCGGGAACATTCTGTAGTTGCGTTGAGGGTGCGATTGTGTTGCGGGTGGCGCCTCATTCTTCCCGAAACTGCGAGACGCATTTGACTGGAGAGAAAGAGCCTTGAGTTCTTTGGTGGTAGTATGACCGCTATGACTGCTATGACCGCTGTGCATAGACGTCGAGGATCCATTCTTGGAGCGCAGCTCACGAGTAGTCGCCGTAACTCCGTCTTTCAAGTTGGCAGTGGACGACTTTGCATACTGGTAGTAGTGCGCGCCATAGTCGTTTTTCATCAGGGCCGTATCGCCATGGTTGAAATAGATGACGCCATGAGTCACCAAGTCCTTTTTATCATGGAAATGTGTCTTTTTTGGTGGAATGCCTAGTTTTGTGGCGAGTTAGCATGAAGATTTCGGGCGAAGGCGTTAAAAAGAAAAATTGCATGTGAGCATTACCATCAGGCCAGTCGGTCTGCGCATGTCCACGGAAGCAGATAGATATCTTCTTGATCTTGACACATTTGGTGATCTTCAAATGCAACTGTCCCCGTAGAATAGCGGACTTCTTCGTGCTCGGATCATTCGGATCATATCCCGCCAGGAAGAGGACAGGCTCTGTGAGGGCAATGCCAACGGAGATGCCACTTCCTGTGGCAACAATCTTCTCGTTCCGAATGACAGGAAACGGAGCTGTAGACGCAGCTGATGAAGCAGTCGGGGATTCCAACACAGACGATGGAACGGGCGAGATCGTTGACGTAGAGCCTGTCCGGGGTCGGCCGGTTCCCGAGCCTGCATTAGATAGCATCTCCGCAAGTTGCGGAGACACGATGATTTCGGACATGGGCCGCGGCCTAGATGTCCGCGGCACTCTGAGGGTTTCCATCGAGTGTGTATTGACTGCAGCCCCCATACGGAGGAACCGCTTTGCGTTATCCCGCGTTCCAGCCAGTTTGGCTAAGACGGACTTTTCTTTAGACGGTGGGCGGAAATGATCTTCAGTCGCGAAGTATGGACCTAAGATGGTAGTAGTCGCGGTGGTGGTGGCGGCGGCAATGGCCGGGGCAACAGCAACTGCAATGGAGGCGGTTGCCGCCCGCGAACGACGTCGACTGGACTTCGAACGTGAGGGAGGTGAGAAGGGTTCAGCAGCAAAGTCGCAGGACGGATGAGATTCCGGGATGGATCTCAGATAACTAGACTGTACGAATGGTATGTGAGCCGTCATTTTGGAAAAGCAATACAGAGGCATTGTTACTGGGAGGGCGGAGGGAGAAACGCGCATGAATGCAGATCGAGCAGAGCGACAGGAGGGGAATATGTATATGTATGCATCATATTGGATGCAGTGAGACCCAGGAGCACAGCATCCAGACAGAACGCTCCTTCTCTTGGTGAAGGGTAAGAAATCAAGGGGAGGAAGGGGTAGATACAAAAATATCTTGCGGAATATGAAACTGAACAAAGGCGGGAAGAAAACAGGGATGGAGAGAGACGCAGAAACAGGGACAAAGCGCATGTTGTACCTTTGATTTCCTTTTGGCGTACCTGTCTCAGGTATCCTTGCCGGTATCTTCTCTGCTTCAGGGATCGAGTATATACTATGCGCGGTCCCGAACCTGATGCTGTGAGACGGCGTTTTCTTTCTTAAGATTCTTTGGTTTTTTGATGGCCGTCTCGCTTCATTAACCTCTTTGTTTCAAGAGAGCGATGCAGATGGACGCCACAAGTTCGGAATAACAATGCAATGTATATGGTGTTCGCATCGCAAGCGACTACCGCAGGGCCCCGACAGCGGAGGGAATCAGCGGTAGGCGCGTTGCAATGGTGGGGGTGAAAAAAAATATAGAAAAGACAGAAGCACGGAGACACCAGATGATGATGATGATATATACGGATGGACAGGATGGATTCCTGGGCAGGTCTGGGCGACTTCAACGGCGGATGGAGTGGAGTGGACTCGTGGCCTGAGGCACCGTCCTATCCGGCCTGTCCGGCCTGCTTTTTTCTCTGTTGTCCTCCAGTTTCCCCCGTGAGACCCGGGAGAAGGGAAGATAATTACGAACAGTAACCAGAAGAAGAATAGGAAAGAAGGAGTTTCAGAAAATCCTTCCTCGAAATCTTAATTATTAGCATCACCCCGAGAGAATGTCCGAGTCGTAATCTCGGACCCATTTGGCGGAGGTAATGATGTATGATCTACATAAAAAGGGCCCAGACAAGGACAAGACATCACCACAAATAGACTTAAGCAGATACGATACGATCCCATCCATCCTCCTATGTCATAGTGCTCCTATATTTACCACCCCACTCCAGAAGACCAAAAAAAAAAAAAAAAAAAAAATCGGCTACTGCCGCGTGACAACGGTGGCTTTCATAACGCTCGAGAGCCCCAACTTATATTATTCCTACGAACATCTGTGCCTGTCTCAACTCTCCAATACTTCGTGGATGATGTAGAAGATTACGCTGGCAGTCATGTTGCCTGCAATGCGTTTCCTGCAGGTGCACACCGTGTGTGCCCAATTGGGTTGAGCTCCATGACTCAGTTCGTTCCCTTTTGCCGGGCGTACCGTTGACTTTGGTACCTTAGGTGTACTAATACTACTAGTATGCCAAATCCTGAGGAACAGCTCATTATTACCGTTGGTAAATAATAATAATAGCTCAATAGGTTGTTCTTCGGGTGCGGTTAAAAATTGCAGCCCTGCTGGAGAGATCGACCGAACAAGAAGAACGACACTACGTCACTCTATCGAAGATAGACGCTCTTCTAGCTGGCACGGCTCGCCAGCAGACCTTCATGAAATACAACGAACGGTATTTTTAATAACACCTAAATGTCGGACACTGTAAATCTTCCCTTTGCAGCAAGATACGAAGCATTGTCCTTGGCTGACCCTCTCATCTATTTTGTGCGGGTAGCTTAACAATGGTGCCAGATTAACCACTTTCAAATTACCCAGGCCCATCCATTTATCCATGAGAAAAATGATGCAATGCAAAAAGCTGATGGGGATCAAATGATTGTAAAGTGGCAAACCCTCCAAAGTGGGATTTACCTGGTAGTAAAAGAAAATGAAGTTATAATTTTCAACAAAGCTATAAGTAAAGACAAACCATAATAATGGACAGGATGAATGCCATACCAGACTGAACATTTTGTCGTTTGGATCGGGGTTGCAGTATTGCAAGGCTCTCTACTGTCTCTACTGTATTCTGAAGAGCATTGATTTGGATGGATGTTCCAGCAACAAGATCTGGGCGTCGTATGGTGATGATAATGGCTCCATGGAAAGCAGGAGGATAATACTGTTCCAGTTTCACTTGAAACTGGTCAGGGCCATTATGGGATAGCTGGTTGCAAACTCGTGTGATGGCCCATGTCAAGTATACGGAATAACAGTGTAATAATGGGTTCCCTTCTTATTGTGTAGGTTGCTGTACCGGTGGTACAGCGCATACCAACTACTTGAGGGTTGAAGGCGTCTCGGCGGATTGCTAGGTTGCTTGTGGATCATCTGTTTTTTCTCAGATACTGAGATACTCGCGTACGGCGGTCTTATTACATTATCTACTTATGTATCTAAGGGGGCTTTCGCCCACATGGATGTTAACTTAATCAAGCATTCCATTCTTCTTGCTTCAGCTTAGTCTTTTTGTGCGTGTTCTTTGGTATGTAAATTCTTTGGGAGTCTATTCTGTTACGGTCTTTGGGACCTGATTGTGTTGGCGACTACCTTGGAGGTTTTCGTCTGATCTTGCATTTGGCCTCAACGTACACGAGTACGTTGGTTCTTGGTTTCCTTCTTCTCTCCCTCTTCCCCTGACCGTTCTCCCTCGATCCCGTCGAACGACCAAGTCCTACGACCAGGACAACGCGTGTACGCCCACCCATACATTGCCGCTAGGTCGCGAAGCCACGGAGTGTTCTTGGTGTCAGATAATCATTGATTTATGTAAGTAATCATCTTCTCATCTGCAAAGGTTTGAGGATCTTGTATACCAAAGATCTGTTTTGCCATAGATAGAAGACTGTCTTTCAGAGTGGTTTCTGAAGTTGCATTCAGCCAGAAGATTGATGTGTAGCTGCCATGGTGGCGCCTTGCATAAGCAATAGAAAGCTGTAACTATCTTGCCAATACCACCTACACCACCAAGAACCAGTCTTTGTTGCTCTGAAGGTTCCCTGTCTTGCAAGAGAACCTTTTCCATTTCCTCTATCTATGAAACACGTCCAACAAAAAGCTTTGAATCAAATAAGGTGCCTGGCCCATATGTATGCCAACCGGTTTTTTAAAACTGAAATCTTCTTTTGGCTTGAAAACTATCATAAACGAACCATTAATGTTTCTCATTGGTATGCATTGCCTACGGCAACTGGCAAGAAAGAGCCAAAAATGGCTCTAATTACTGCTGGACCCTGTATGGCATCAGCGTCGATTGAGGGCAGCCGCTTCAAATGTGCATGCAAAGCAGGCTCCTCAATTACAGCGGGTGTGGGTGACGTGGATTCACTTGCTCAAACTGCGAGCACCTGTTATCTGAGCATGTTAATTATCGTGAGATTACTTCTAATGAAGTATACCAATGTTAAGCACTGCTAACTGTATATAGCACCCCCTCATGCTTCTAAAGCATTGGGCAATGAACCTGCGGCGCCTTCATCAATAAACTCACAACTTAAGTTTGCAAAAGACTACCATGACATGTATCCCCGCCATAGAATAGTGCAGACGCTTGCCTGACTTCTTAAAGAACATGGAGTCATGCATGTATCCCCGCTACCACTCCGCCGATTCTTATCTTGAGCCAAAGAGTGTCTCTTACTGTCGTTCAAACCCCGGGTTTTCCAGATAAATGTCTTTTTACGATCTATCCAATTTTGAAGACATGGTCGATAGATATTGCAACATACGAACTATTGACTTCACTCTTATAAACAATGCATGTTGCTACCTGTATCAGCTGACAAATGGACATGCTGGCATGGTAAATTCAGTCATAACATATGTCCATAATGTGAGCACCTCCTAGTTTGGCTCAATTTGAACGCTAACTGTTTAGCTTCGCCACAACAGCTTGAAGCCTTCTGGAGTATCACAAGTTGGTCTGGCCCAGATCTAAGATACATTGGAAGATAATGGGCAGCTCTTTTATTTCCTTAAAAATCATTATACTGGCAGATAACTGCCTTCAAGGATAATACAAAAAGGGGTCATTGACCCAGAAATTGTCTGTATGCTCCTTATCATACTGCAGGATGGGAATATTTTGTATAACCACAATAATCATAGAATCAGAAAATATTTCAGAAGTGGCTGGGTACATATAGAAGCCAGTGAAGATGACAAGCTAGTTTATGTTTTGCCATTGACTTTCCACGTTAGGTAAGTGTCTTTCAATTAGATCTATATTTACTTATCATCCTAATATGGTTTTAGATTCATTGGATATTACTATGGTCAGTGGAACCATAAGCCTTTTCCCATTATTGAATACCCTGGTGTCATGGAACTCAACTAGACGATGAATAGGATGCTATTCAGCTATCTAGGCAGCTATCGACCAGAACTTCAAGCATGGAGAGGAAGGAAAAAGGGAGAGATCTACGTGAAGCTGGACGACGTACTCCTATCCACGCGCCACGCTAATCCAAGTAAGGAAGCTCACGTGCTCGTCCTGGTCTACATGGTAAGGGCCCTGACAAGAATATCGTACATGAGGAGAAGAAGAAGGAGAGGAAAGAGGGTGAAGACATGGTGGGGAGGAAAATAGGAGGCGAGGGCGGCTGCTTGCCCTCAGCCCTAGCCCTGTGCCCTACTTGTTCAATCCGCTCTGGTATGGTCATCACAATATCACTGGTAGAACTTATCTTAAAAGACAGCTTCTGGAGGCTGTAACTTACCTAATGTTCCCAGTTGTTGTCCAACACAACTCTGGTGTAGCCTTGTGCTTGAGAGCCTTTGTATGATCTTTAAGCACAGTTCTTGAACACCAGGTGTCAGGGCCCTTGCCATGTAGACCAGGACGAGCACGTGAGCTTCCTTACTTGGATTAGCGTGGCGCGTGGATAGGAGTACGTCGTCCAGCTTCACGTAGATCTCTCCCTTTTTCCTTCCTCTCCATGCTTGAAGTTCTGGTCGATAGCTGCCTAGATAGCTGAATAGCATCCTATTCATCGTCTAGTTGAGTTCCGTGACAATTCTTAGACAAGTACAGCCAAATAGCGAGTTGCTTCCTTCTTCTTCTCATCCTATTATAGCTGATCGTCACAGATATTGGAGTGAAGTTGGACTTGGAATTGGAATCTCAAGCCAGTGGACTGCTAGTGAAGAAGGCCATATTAATTTCCATATTCTCAATCCTAGGTGGGGTGTCAAGTTGTCACAAGATGGTGATCATCTTGACAACCATTGCAATCAGTTCTCTAAAGAAGGCCCTGTGCCGGGGGCTCTCCCCTATCTTCTATTTTCCTGTTTTAGATACTGCTGGGCCGCGGCCTCCACCATACTTATGTATGGTGGAGCCCGTGGCCGGAGAGTACTTAAGGAGAGTTTCCTCCCAGATAGTTATGAGGAATCGAGCATACTTTTGGTTTCTAAGTTGCTTCACTAGTATCGTTTTCGTTGTCATCGTCGTATAGGATGGAGCGAGGCTCCATCGTTGTTGTGTTTCTTCTTTCGTTATATCGTTTCCTTACTAGATCATTCAGTGCCGTGTGGTATAGCGGCATCATATTGGTGCATCCATCCCCGAGATCCCTCGATCACAACCCGGTTCCTGTTGCAGGGAACAACGCACGTACGGCCCCCTTTACAGTATCTATTATTTGTGGATTCAGCGTGGAGTTCTTAGGGATCGGGCGATATTAGACTGTAAACATACCTATCCCCGCACAGAATGCAGTCCATTCAAAGCGAACTCCAAGAACGCACCAGCAAAGGGCAAAGGAGAAAGAGGACAAGAAAAAGTGAGTTCTGCCCTCTCCCCAGCTAATACATGGCTTATCACTAATACCTAGTCAGAGGCTGGCGAGCAGAGACTTTAGAGAGTCGTTTTAGACCGTAATAACAAGGGGGTTATTCCAGAATTTCATTTAATAAATGCATGAAGCTGGCATGCTTCCCAGTGAGGATCGCGTTGATAGATGCACTTCTTGATAATACGCATGCTTGACTCCATGTTCTTATTGTATAAAAACTCCAGGATGTGTTAGTATAACTCGAAAGCGAATCCAAATCTGCTTCGATGAATATAGAGGATTCATAAATGAAATTAAGAGGACGTTTATTGGATGGGATAAACCTGCGAGATATGCAATCTCAAGGAATAGCAAAGCCACGGAGGGCTCATAATCTGTGAGAGAGCACGAGTATGGAGATCAACGTAGTAGATTGATACACTCTATGATCTATGATCTCATGTGCATCTGTTCATCCTGCATGTGTGTGACTAGATGTATGCGGGACAATAATGAGAACAGAAACTGTACTTTACAGTTTGAGATGTGATGAATGAACCAGCTGTGGGTAGGTAGGTGGGTAGAAAGAATAATAAATTTAATGCTCAAAGATGACAGCCCGAGTACCAGTTATTAAGGGATCAGAATGAGGGCTTTGAAATACTGGATATACGTGGTCGGACGGGACTTTTACTAAAGGCAACTTTACTACTGTCCCTTGGCTACATAGTGATCATCAAAGCTACAACAAAGGAAAACGAGCGTAATCTCTTAAGGGAAATTGACAACCACTACCGGCTGCACCCTTTGCAATGATCCTCTATTCCAGTTTGTGTTGGAGTGTTCAGGCTGCGCGTTCTATCTTGCTGTCATGGAGAGCCGATGGCCCATATGATGATCCTCAGCTCATCTGGAATCCATGTTCAAAACATCATCTACAAAGACAAAGGCAAAATTTCCTTCTTTGAGAATGAGCAGGAGAAGCTTACAGAGGTCCTTCAATCACATGGGGTGGTGCACTGCGATCATGAGTGGTGCATCATGCTGTGGAATGATAGTTCTCAGTGAGGTTATGGCTGATTTTGAGAACATTTCTTCTAAGGAGCAGCTGCCGCTCCGTTTGACGTCAGGAAATATTATGAAAAGGTCTCACTTCTATAAGCAGAGACATTTATATTACATCACAGTCCCTTCAAAGATATTTTGGGCATGAGATTGTATCTAATTATATTAAGATTATGAAAGATGTCATAGATATCTTTGTCCATAGTAGCATTTATGATATCTCTAGGCATATATTCTTAGCTACCTTCTGGGAGCCATCGAATAAGGGCAATCAGAGAGGGCTGTAGGATATACTTTGTCATTGCAATTCTGGAGTTAGTATTTAGCTATCGTTTTCTCTTGCTGCTGCTGCTGCTAAGGCTGGCCAGGTTTCCGAAGATTCAGTCTCAGCCGACATCACTAATAGGCCTGCCAACTGCCGTCGAACTGAGCTTGTAGACTGGTCATGAGACATGCTGACCTTCACCAGGAGGTCCATCGGTCGTTGAATACCTATACATCATGTCCACTTCTCAAGCCTCCTGGCCAATGAGAAAATCCACTGGCTGTGGATAACATCATTGAATTCTTCCTCATTGTAACAAAGACAAACTTGAGGCGAATCTGGATGGTGGGATTTAACGATGAAGACCTGCTGGTGGACATTGAGATGTTGGGGGATAGTTCCTCTTTCGGAATCATCGGGCCCAGTGGAGGGCTCTATGAGTTATTTGGTGATACCCTCTCACATTGCATATTCCAGCTTGCTATTCCAACGGGTCGACGGAGTGTGTTTTTACCAGAGTGGCATGAAAATCGCACATGGATCTTCCACGTTGAAGCTGATAGTTCCATAGCAGTCATTCTTATTGACGCACACGAAGGCCTTAACAAAATCCCCTTGCGCCGAGACTCGCTTCACCTTATTCCCCTTTCCAACCCTCAGCAGACGAGAAAACGTCGTTTTACCAGAGGAAGGGGTCCCTCTGATGTGAATAAGCTTATGCTCATTTAGGAGTTCAGCTATCTTCTCGACTGTGTTGATCCGCGGGCAAATATCGAATCGTAAAACTATCGACAAACTTCTGGTAGCTGGGAGGAGGCTATTTGGTAACTGGGTTAGCTATAAGATACCAAGGAAAGAGGACGTTCCCCACCATAGTCGTTGTGTAGACACATACGATGACCACACTCTTCGCATGCAGGCCAGTCCTCAAGGCTCTTGGACGTAGTGGTATAGGAGTCTTTCTCACAAGGACAATGAAGGCTAATGGACTTGAACGTATCATGTTCATATACAATAGTGCGTGTATAAGCCCTGCCCATAACCAGCGTGGGGTTTTGGCGTAGTGGCTGCATTTTTGTTTTAACAGGATGTCCGAGAAACAATTATGTTTCTAAACACGAGATGGAGTCGACAAGGAAGGACTAATGATGTATTTTAAGTAGGAAGAAATGCAACGTAGTGAATACTGGACAGAATATACCCCTCAGGTGAACCAACTGTCGTCCAGTTCGCTCATATTCATCAGATGGTCACCTTCAAGTAGGCCCTGGTCGCCCGTGCCACCCCCTTCAAAATTGTCATTGTCCATGAACAGATCATCAAAGCTGGATTCTCCAGGCGCCATCACTTCCTCTGGATTGTTATTAGTCTGTGTGTCAGGCTGTTGTTCTCCCTGTTGATACGGCTGGCCCACACCAGTCTTCGTGTCCGGCAATTCAGAATCTAGACCATTGTTCTCTGCTCCTAAGTTTACAAAGTTATGGCCGGAGAGGAAGTTGTGATGCCCAACATCATCACTGCTGAAATTGAGGTGCAGGTCGAATTCATTCGGACCACCCTCCGGGTTGTTGAGCATGGAGCCGAAATTGATGTCTTCCCCAGTTCCTGGTTGTGATTGTTCCGGGGCTGGGTTTTCGTCTGGCACTGCTTCGGAGTTTTCTATATTACCGAGGAGATTTGGTTGGCGTGCCCCCGCAGCTGTAGGCACCGCAATAGCGCCATCGGTCGTCACTTGGGGTCCGGCTTCTTCTATGTCCTTAGCCGTCCTTCCATCCTCTACAGGCTGTGATGGCACCTTTCCCAGTTCTTCTCTCTCGTCCGCTTCCTTCATCATCACATCTTGCACAGGTTTGATAGATGTTTTTTTGGCTATAACTGCTTTGTAATCCCTCTCTAGAAACGCCTTTGCGATAAACTATATAGTGTGTCAGACTTTTAATCTAGGCGTCTGCATCAGATATATCACTGCAGAGTGATGCGTCCACTGCAGCTGCACATACTATCTCCTCAGAGAGGCTGTCAAGCGCACGTTGGAATTGTTCATGAGCAGCAGGGATTGAACGCTTCAAATGGGCCTTTGATTGCAGGGAACCCGATGATCGGAAAAAGCGTCCTGTCTCGATGAGCTGATGCTGGTTAGCACCGCAAGGGAGGAGGTGCGCCTCGGGACGTTACCGTCTGATTGACCATGGTGGAGAGGACAGCCAAGGGTTCCGGATTGGAGCTGATCGAGGACGCCATGATTGATGCGTTTTGAGGGAGATGCTGGAGAGAGAGAAAGTGAAAGTGTCAAGAGAAGCTGGCCCAAGTGTCAGCCCCTTTGCAGTTTAGCGCGGCCCCACGTGAACCTCCTCTTCTGTCTTTCATCGTTTCTGTTTCTGCTTCTGCCTCCTCTCTCCATCTCTGGCACGCTTCCATCTTCACTTCCCTCTTTTCCTTTCTCATTTCTGTTTTCATCTCCTGCTCCTCTCCATCTCTGTTACTCCCACTTTGTTCGTTTTCTTGTCTCGTGCTTGCTGCGCATCTACTGGAGTCGGGAATTTGTGTGCCTGGGCCTTTTCCTTTGTCCCACTTCCTTGGTCTCTTTCTCCCCTAAGCGCTTACCGAAACCTTCTGGTTGTCTTTACTCTAGCTACGGGGTCCGCCAAGGAAGCTCCCGCCTGAATCTATTTTGCAAAGCTTCCTCCATCTGCAAACTTTAATACACGACCCCCATTCATATCACGTTTTATCTGATCTAGCAACTTTTTTGTTTCGCTTTTTCTTCTCCGTTCATCTTCCTTTTTTGATTGCCTGATCAATCTCGATATTCTGCGAACCTCTGCGTCTGTTTCTAGCTTCATCTGCATCATCCCGTCCACCGCATACGCCACCCTCCTTGAAACTGATTTGGTCCCGGCGCTCTGAACGGTAGTTGACACCTGCATCGATCCGCCAAGTCGATTGATTTTTCTGCCTTTGAATATCCAAAAATGACTGAAAACGCTCCTGCTTCCAACTCAAATCTTCCTGCTTCGCAGCCACCGTCTGGTGTACCGGGTCAGCAACAGTACGATGCGCCTCAGGGTAATGGCCAGACTAACCCCTCCCATATGCCACCACCACCTCGTCCGCCCGTGGTGATCCCACAGAATACCAATCCCATCCCGACGGCTATTACATCCCCGATGTCTGCAAATATGATGTCGCCCACCAGTGCTGGCGGGTATGTGCGTCGAGCTGCACCCGAACCAAATAAAAGGGCCCTCTATGTAGGTGGGCTGGACCCAAGGGTGACGGAAGATATCATGAGACAAATATTTGAGACTACTGGCCATGTTGTCAGTGTCAAGATTATCCCTGACAAAAATGTAAGTCCTTTGCGGTCTATCATTAAATGATAGACTGATCTGCATATGCGCTTTTACGGATAGCCCGCCTTGCTGTCTTCGATATTTTTTTAAAGGCGAACGTTTATTTCTTCGTTACTTCTACCTGTCTATGTACCTCCCCATTTTGCTACCCACCTTTTCACCAAAATATTGTCGATCCCATGCATTTCTTCTGCATAGATTGCTCTTTTATTGACACATACATCAGTTCAACAGCAAAGGATACAACTATGGCTTTGTCGAATTTGACGATCCAGGTGCAGCCGAGAGAGCTATGCAGACCCTCAATGGACGTCGCATCCACCAATCGGTATGGACATGCAGGCTACGACCGCTACGGACTATTTTCTGATTGTTCTCGCAGGAGATACGTGTGAATTGGGCCTATCAGTCCAACAATGCAAACAAGGAAGACACGTCTAGCCACTTCCATATTTTTGTGGGTGATTTGAGCAATGAGGTGAACGACGAAGTTTTGCTCCAAGCCTTCTCCGCCTTTGGATCCGTGTCCGAAGCTCGTGTCATGTGGGATATGAAGACTGGTCGTTCTCGTGGATATGGTTTTGTCGCATTCCGGGAACGTGCGGACGCTGAAAAGGCTCTCAGCTCTATGGACGGTGAATGGCTTGGTTCCCGTGCCATTCGTTGCAACTGGGCCAACCAAAAGGGGCAACCTTCTATTTCACAGCAGCAAGCGATGACCGCGATGGGCATGTCGCCGGCTGGAGCCTTTGGCCATCACCACTTCCCTACTCATGGTGTTCAGAGTTACGACATGGTTGTCCAGCAAACTCCTCAGTGGCAGACCACGTGCTACGTTGGCAATCTCACCCCTTACACCACGCAGAACGACATCGTTCCTCTGTTCCAGAACTTCGGTTATGTCCTCGAAACTCGCCTTCAAGCTGACCGAGGATTTGCGTTTGTCAAGATGGACTCGCATGAAAATGCCGCCATGGCCATTTGTCAACTCAGTGGATACAACGTCAATGGCCGTCCACTGAAGTGCAGTGTACGTCCCCTTCGCCAATGTAACTAGGTAAATTTTACTAACCTTCACAAGTGGGGCAAGGACCGTCCTCCCACAGGTCAATTCGACGGGTACAATCCCCAACAAGGTAATGCTGGCTTCCATTCTAACGCGCCTGCGTACTTCCCTCAATATGGCGGCCCCGGAGGACCTATGACTACTCCGGGTAGGTCCTCTTGCTGCTTTCGCTTTCAGGCCATGGGCTAACTTGCTTGGTTATAGGTCCATCTCCCGCTGGACGAAGCTGGGACCAGCAAGGCAGCAACTTTACTGGTCCTGGCATGCCTGCGCAGGGTTACGGCGTCCCGGCAAGTGCTGCTGGCTATGGCCGTGGACAGGGCGCTCCCAATGCTAACTGGAACCAACAAAACAATGCCAATTTCGGAAACGGCTTTGGGAACTACCAGGCGTAGTTTTGGTCTAACGATCTGCGGTATGAAGCCTATCTTGGATGAAGAAGTTCGAGAGAGTGGCCATTCACGACATCTAAAAGAAAATGAGACGAGCGGCCTTTTCTATTTCCCCCCCTAACATCGGATTTTCATGCCAATTTTGCTGTCAATTTCCTCTCTCTTTCTCTCTTTTCTCTCTCGCATATCCATTTCTCCTTTCAGGTGCTTTTAAATTGACTTTATTAAGTGGATTTTCAGCGAATGTCTCCGATTCTGAAGTGCGTCCTTTTGAAATTTGTGTGTTAACATGCACCCAATACCCCAAATCCACTTCGTTGAATCATCCTTTCTATGCCTATCTCTTTGAATGTGTATTGTGAATGTTTCAGTAAGAGCTTCTTGGATTTGCGGTTCAAGGGTGCTCCCCAACTAATTAAAAGTACCTTTCTTCTCTGCCACCCATCAGACTGTCTTATCTGGCTTTATATCGTACCATCTTGTTTCTGTATGCATGAGCGTCTATTTTGAACAGGCTTGATCTTTTCCATCCCTTCATGAGACTATGTTTTGCTGTTCAATACCCTCTTCTTGACATCCTGGGGCTTCTTTGGACTGTTTCTAACTCTTCTCTGGACAATGTCTTGTTCCTTCTCATTTTCGCGGTCCTGGTACCCTATCTGTGCCCTTTCGAACCATGTATGGATGCCAGCCTCTTGTCTTCTTTAGTTAGCATACTATTATACCCGGCCATATAAGAAGCCAGCCTTATGACGGTTTATAAATTCATGATGGGTGTGTTGACCCTGCTTAGCAAAAGAATATATGGTGATCTTGTTTTAGCTACTTAAAGATTGCTATCACTTGGTTGTTCATAATATCTCACTTCCAGGATGGCCTCTGTCAAGCATCAATACTTAAATGCCCGCCTGCAGATGGGTAGCAGCGCCAGAAGCAGCAAAGCCAACAGTGGCGGGCATATCCAAAGAACTTCTGTGAAGCGCAGTCGCCTATCGCGAATACTCCTTGTCTGTAGATAAGCCGCCAGTTCATCACGGTGTCATGACGCTCAGAGCTAGAAAGAATAGAGAATGCTACTCAGCTATCTAGGTAGCTATGCGACGAGAAGATCAAGCATAAGGAAAGAAAGGACGATCAGCACAACGATCCGTGGAGCTATCTACTTCAGTGTAACACGTGACATAAACGAAATGTCACATGATCGGGGTCGACGGCGTCTGCAGGAATGAAGAAGCTTGAGAAGAAGAATAATAACAATAACTCTTGCCGGGTGTTTTGAGTTCCAGCATGGCGTTTATTAGGCTAGCCAGATTTGCGTCTGTTCAAGTGAAGTATGGTATGAACATCTTCAGCCACTACCTCCCCCTCGTATTAGCATAGGTATAACCATATCTTCATATCTAGCATTTGGTGCTGCAGCAATTCATTCTCCATGCAGGACATTGTAGGCTATTGAAACCATATGCCCCATAGTCGAGATTCTGCCAAGCTTGCGGAACGGGAATGCGGAAGCTAGATGCTTTTCTCTTGGCACCTGTCACTTTCACCTCGCTTCATCTCACTCCCTCCCAGACAAGGGAAGAAAAAAAAAATGCTTCCTGGCGAAGAGGCAAGAGAGAATAGCATCTCCACAACAGATGACAGCAACGTCCATGGCCATGACCTGTATATGCCTCCCCCCGCATCATCGAAATCTACCTCCGACTCCTATTTCCGTCTCCGTCCCTCGTCAAGACAACTCCAGCTTCAGCACCAACACAGAACGCAAGCGACTCATGTCCACTCTCACATGCACACGCATACGCACACCCATGCACATACACATACACACACGCGTCGAACACCTAAATCCCCCCTTGGAACCATGTCGAGCACCCACCATCACCTTCCCACCAGCCCCGGGACGGCCTCCGACATGATGGAAACATGGGACTACTCCGAAACAGAGTGGTGGGGGTGGATCATACTCGTTGTTACCTGGTTGGGATTCGTGATCGGTATGGGCAGCTGTTTCGGTGTCTGGAGCTGGGCATGGGATGTGGGAGAGACGCCTTACGCGCCGCCTGAGCTGGAGGATGATCCGACCCTGCCCATTGTGGGGTACTATCCCGCGTTGATTACGTTGACGGCTGTCATGTCTTGGGTGTGGGTTGTTGTCGCTTGGGTTGGGATGAAGTATTTCAAACATGCTAATATCTCGGGAGATGATACGTGAGACAAGAAATTTTGCAGTATATTGCCCTGGTGGCATATTGCACGTGTAATTATAGTCTAATATTAATTTAACACTTGAGTCGACCATAAATAATCGAAGAAACCCATTAAGCCCTCTCTTCTCAACGCCATATATGACCAACCCAAAACCCGAAAAAGAAAAATGCACGCCTTTGGCGATTTTTTGCGCAAAAGTGAAGCATGCGCTCATTCCTTCGTAATCAAATATAACAGGCTAGCGCCAGAGACATTATCTGCCAGCGAAGACCTAGGTCGTGCTCATTGGCATTCGATCGAGGTATTTTGAGAGTCGATATTGATTGCCGGAGGTGCGCAACGTGCTTCCTCCGGTTGCATGGTGGTTCCTGGTGCGGTGCTGACAAGGCCCTTTGACACGGCGTAGCAGGACGAGCGATCGTGATTCAATCCCTCGTCGTAGAACTCATCAATAATAGGATGCAAGAGAACAGTCTGTTTATGAACAGTGACAACAGAGTTCGTAGGGACAGAAACCCAATTGTCTGCAAGAGCACAGACAGTTAGCAACTATACGAGCCAGACAGGAAAGGTTCTCAACTCACGTCTTTCGAATGTGATGGGCTCACTTGCCACCAGAACAATGTCTGCACCTTTATCATGACGCTCCATCTTGAAATGGCCCTTTGTCTTGCCCTCTTTCCACTTGGTGCCTGAAGAAAAATACAAGCTCGCAGGCTCATCCGTCTTACTGCTGATGTACCGCGTGCAAACCACAGTATGACCGTCGGTAACGGCGAAATTGAGTAGGCTCCGGGTTTCAAGCCCAATGGCAGCATCGCCATGCTTCTTTGGAATGTCTCGAACAAACTCGTTGATCTTCGCAATTGTTCTCATCATCACACGTCGCAAGAGCGCATGGCCAAACCCTTCCGGGCCCGGGTCCGAGCTGGGATCCACGCCCTCCTCCTTCTCCATCAGGTCGAGAAACAGCGCAAATGCCCACTCGCTATCCGTCCCGCCCTTGACTCCCAGGTACCATCGATCCGCCAACGAACTGGCCAGTTCTCGCTTGACGTACTTCCACCCGCCGATACCGCCGTTATGCATCCACATCAGTGTGCCATGTTGGAAAGGATGGCAATTATTCTCCGCGAGCGCACCCTCCGTCGAGGCACGCACATGAGCGAAAATGAGGTTCGAGCACGTCTTCGATGCTAGCCGCTCCAGGTTCTCGCAGTTCCATGCGGGTAAGGTCGATTTGAAAATACACGGTTCCGGGCCTAGTTTTGGGTCTGTGTAGAAGCCCACTCCGAAACCATCACCATTAACAGGGCGTCGATTATCCTGGAATAATTGTATCAGTACACGTACAGCACCGAAGCTGAGGAGAATCATAGAGAACCAACCAGTCTTAGCCGCGAGTCATAGGATTGGGTCAGAATTGAGTGACTCGGCTCAGTTACCAGCTTGCAGAGACGGATCTCGCTGGTCCCCTTGTATATCTAGTGGAAATTAGGGGCTGCGCTGTCAATTCAACATTCCAGAGTGAATCTTACCATGAATCGACACATATTTGGTGCTTAAGAACCTCTATTTCTTAATAACCCAACACAAGGCCTGCTCCCAAAGCAGTTTGGGAATCAAAGAAGGCTAGGAATCTGTCCAGTATATAGTAGCACGATGTAACAACAAAGCTAGGTATTAGTTGCACCTCATACGCAACAAGGAACAAGAGAAAAAAGCTCAATCGGCAAGCAACTCAAGAATACTGGTATTCACAAAGGCAGTGACTGAACAGCAGAAGAGGAGAAAGAAAGAAAGCAATGGCCTCTTCTAGATGGGAATTCTTTCTTTGCTCCGTCACGTCATCGCAGCTCCTTATCACGTGACATGTGTCTCCGGCGACAGCAGGACAGCCACTGGCGCAGGTCACGAGACCCGGCACGTGCAACCCCGGAGTTCGTGTTCGCGAAGTTCCGATCAATGACGGATTGCCTGGACGATGATGGCCGTTTCCATCCTGTCTGTCCTTGGCATCATTCAATCATCGCAATCAACGCTCCTTGTGGCTGGTCTTGCCGCTTGGAAATGACATTCCCTGCTCCTTTTCTCTGATTGTCTATGAGATCAAGGTGGCTATGAGCGGGAGAATTCTCTCCCACCGTCTTGGTCCGCTTTTGCGGAGAGGCCTACTGGCACGCCAGGTTCACAACGTGTCCACGAGGACTGGTGGTCTTCTGCGTTCAGATGGCAGTGCCGCACTGAGAGGCCGTGCATGGCCCGTTGGCGCAAATTCCATTCACAATAATGTGTCTACTGTGCGGGCGATTTCGTTTGCGAGGATACTTCCCAAGCTGGCGCTGAAGCTAGCACGTGTGCCAGCTATGTTTGGGGGAGCTATGATTGCTGGACTAGCTTACATTCAGTATCAGGCAAATCGTAAGTCGCTGAAGGGAGTCAGCAATTTAATGGTGATTAATTGCTCTTTACTGACGGTTTTACAGAGGCAGGAAACTACGCGATAGATATGTTTAAACGGGCCGGAGAGACTGCAAGTGATGCGGCGACAAGTTTAATGCAGGGGATTCACGATGTGGCTGAGCAGACTCACCGAGGATGGCAGAGAACGAAAGAGGACGCCGAGCTGCCCGAGTGGTTGCAGAAGATATTTCGCCAACGTGAGGATTCTGAATCTGGAGATGAAGGTCCTTCAGGGGGAGGAAGGCCGCCCAAGGAGAGTCGGATTGGTACTGCTGCCGCTTTTGGGGGTGCCGCCGGCTCAGTCATGTATGCGGATGAAGATGATACTGTCCTTGGGATGGAGATTGCCGAGCAGGATCAGATGATGCTTCTTACTCGGAAAATGATTGAGATCAGGAACATCCTGCAAGCGGTGGGACAATCAAACACTCTCTCACTCCCGTCAATTGTGGTCATTGGGTCTCAATCTTCGGGCAAGAGCTCCGTTCTTGAGGCCATCGTAGGACATGAATTCTTGCCGAAGGGCTTCAACATGGTTACTCGCCGGCCAATCGAGCTCACCCTTATCAACACCTCCAAGGGCCAGACGGAGTATGGTGAATTCCCTGCGCTCGGTCTTGGCCGGATAACCGATTTTTCTCAGATCCAGCGGACTCTGACAGACCTTAACCTCGCTGTTCCCGAAAGGGACTGCGTCAGCGATGATCCTATCCGACTAAATATTTATTCCCCTAACGTTCCCGATCTCTCTCTAATCGACCTTCCGGGCTATATCCAAGTTGCTGGTCGTGATCAACCTCCGCAGCTGAAACAGAAGATCTCTGACCTGTGCGACAAGTACATTCAAGCGCCAAACATCATCCTGGCTATTTCTGCAGCAGATGTTGATCTTGCCAATTCTACTGCTTTAAGGGCAAGCCGCAGGGTGGACCCGCGAGGCGAGAGGACCATCGGGGTTATTACCAAAATGGATCTCATCGATCCAGAACGCGGTTGCAAAATTCTCTCCGACCAGAAATATCCGCTGCGGTTGGGCTATGTGGGTGTAGTCTCTCGGATTCCCCAAACGACCGCCTTGTTCTCCAGAAGTACCGGCAATATTACCAGTGCCATCCTGAAGAACGAACAGGCATTTTTCTCTGCACATCCTGTGGAATTCGGCCCTGAGTCGGACGTTTCCGTGGGCGTTGCGACGCTCCGGAAGAAACTGATGACCGTTCTCGAGCAGACCATGGCATACAATCTATCAGGGACCAGGGATGCGATTAGTCAAGAACTTGAAGAAGCCACCTACGAGTTCAAAGTTCAGTATAATGACCGCCCACTTAGCGCGGAGTCTTATCTCGCTGAGAGTCTAGACAGCTTCAAACACTCGTTCAAAGCGTTTGCTGAGGATTTTGGTCGGCCACAGGTCCGAGAGATGCTGAAGAATGAACTGGATCAGCGAGTAATGGATATCCTCGCCCAGAGATATTGGAACAAGCCTATCGAAGACTTGACACCTCCTATGCCCGAACCGGATCCGTTGAGCGATCTTCCCAAGGCGGATCCGGAATCTCAATATTGGCATCGCAAGCTTGATGCTTCGACGTCTGCCTTGACAAAACTTGGGATAGGTAGAATGGCAACCACAGTAGTCGCGAATGCTCTTCAGAGCCACGTCGAGCATCTATTGGCCTCTTCTACTTTCGCCTCGCATCCGTATGCTCAAGCACAGATCGTTGACGCGACCAACAGCATTCTGAACGACCGCTTCTTCAGTACTAGCGATCAGGTGGAGAACTGCATCAAACCCTACAAGTATGAAATCGAGGTCGAAGATCCTGAGTGGGCGAAGGCCAGGGACAACATTGGCAAAGTGCTCAAGGACGAACTTCGAGCATGCGAAGGAGCCCTCAAACGCGTCGAAGAAAGCATCGGCAAAAGGAAGCTCAATGACGTTATGTCCTTTATTGAAAAGGTCAGGAAAGGCGAAGTGGTTCTAGAAGGCGACGGTTTAGGTGGTGCAGGTGGATTCAGCGCTGCCTTATTAAAAAGGGGTACGTTTTTCTACTAGATACACTTGATCTTTCTATTCATATTGCTAACATATTATGCAGGCCGAGAAGGTGTTTTCCTCCGCGACCGAGCCGCTATAATCAAAATGCGACTCCTCGCCGTCCGCTCCAAACAATGCTCAAATAAAAAAAACAAATACTACTGCCCCGAAGTCTTCCTCGACGTCGTCGCAGACAAGCTCACATCCACAGCCGTCCTATTCCTGAATGTCGAACTCCTCTCGGAGTTCTACTACAACTTCCCCCGTGAACTAGACATGCGCCTGGGCCGCCACCTTTCCGAAGCCGAAGTCGAAAAGTTCGCCCGCGAAGATCCCCGGATCAGAAGACACCTGGACGTTATAAAGAAGAAGGAATTGCTAGAATTGGCGTTGCAGAAGATCGAGAGTATTCGGCAACTGGACGGCCGCAATTTACATAAGAAGTCGGAGCGTCCTTTAGTTCCCGAGAAGAGGAGTCGTGGTTGGAACATATTTTAAACTATACATACATATAGGGGGGTTCTAGACAGCTTGAAGGCTTTCCCTTTCCGTTTTGGTGCTCACCCCCTGATCACTAAGTACATCTGGGCATGGGGTGAGTAGTAAAATGCACCCTGCTCGAAGGGTCTTGACCACATCGACTTGTTTCACCAGTCAGGCATTGAGCGTCAGCCATGTTGATTAATTATGTCAGCTCATTCTTACACATCACAACCTGTATACTCACCACGTAGGTTACACCTATCAGGGATGGACATATAAGGATGCTTATTCACCATCATGTATCTAGTTTACTCCTTCTCTCTTTGCGCTCAAAACTCGTTACAGATTGGATCTTCACACCATTTTTACTTAATCATATACTTGGGGGTAATCTCTATTCATCAGAACAATCTAACTATGAGGTATATGTAACAAGTAGGCCTTGCTTCTTACATACCTCAATCAAGCAACACCGCCATCGCGGTATACGGTCCTTACGACATTTACCAGACTACGCATGCCAGGCGTCGCACCCACTGGTGGTAACAGTCAACCAGAGACAAAGTCTAATAAGAAACAGATATGAGCGATCCCAAGGTGTAACACCAAGTTTTTGAGTTTTCATAATCACAGATAAACAATTTCAAATTCACAAGGTTGTTAGGAAACGAGTTGGTTTGTCTTTTGCCCACCCTAGGTAATGGGAATGTGCAAAAGCTGTGCTCGAATCTCCTTCCTGCCTTCCACAATCCTTGCATGGGGGAGTTATAATAGGCAGGTAGGTAGGTGTCATATGTGATCCTTCTAAAGGTGGACATATGCATGTTGTTCCAGTTGAGGGAACTTGGTTAGTGGGGCTGTGGAAATGGTGGAGTTCAAGAGGTGAAGGTTCCTTACATGAACAATGATGGTGTTACTCAGCCATCAGGGAAGATTTACCCATGTAGATGGTTCAGAAGACAACAGTCCATGTGTTAATGTTCTACAGTGGAGTGTAGTTATTTGTTTGCTCCCTTATGTCAAAGCGCGGGTTCAGGAATGTCAGACAGCAGGTTACAGGCAGCTCCCTTACGGGTCGTGATACCTTACTGGATCTTCTTTGCTCACCTCCATACATTGTATGTACATAGTTGCCTCGCAGCCTGGGGCAGAGAGATCACAAACAGTGGGGTTCAAAGGTCTTGAACACGCAAAAACATGCTAAATCCACCGCGCAAAATTCTGCCATGCAAAACAACACAAGCATAGCCTGACCTGTAGCCTGCCTGTGTATCCAATCCAATCGGTATCTGTCTTCTGAATCTGTTTCATGACCTTCCCGAACTGCACTTACAGACTGCTGGCTGAGCTCGTTGAGCTCATTGCCCGTCTAAATGGAAGGACGGGAATGTATGTACCCTTTAGGGCTTGGATATAGCGTCGTCCACCCACATTGGGTATTTGTACCCAATAAACATCCATATCCTATGAAGAATTCATACTGTAATGTTATTCTACTCCCCAGTGCTTTTCAGCATAGGGTTATTAAAATTAAAAAAATATATATTAAATAAAAACATGCAACAGCCGGGATTCGCTGGTGGTCACCCACCCAACTACTAACCGGCCGGCGTGTGGCTTAAGTACGGCTGAGCGGACGGGAAGCCCTGTTTTCCACACCCTGTGGTCGCATGTAATAGACATCTTTAAGGGAATAAATTATATAGTATCGAAGGTGGTGATGCTCCGCCGCTCCTCCGGCCTGTTATTCTATTGATATCCGACCCATATGTAGCTTACCTACTCCATGATAACTATATCAATCCTAGCCACTTTGACGAGGATACGGCATCATGGCCACGCGATGCACCTGACTTAGGTGAGGATCCATGCTCCAAAGCAGCCACTGCTCCAATATAGACCAAAGGTACCAGCCCAGCTGAGGGTGAGTCAACCACATGTGGCCAGTTGAGTAAGCCAACCAGTCACCCTCATCCAGAGCACCACCCTTCATTAGCTGTGGTTGCACCGGAATCTTTACGGGACCAAGGAAGACCTATCGGGACAAGCACCAGGGCTGCTGCTGCTGCGTGCAGGAAGTGGCTTTATTCAAGGTGATAGTCACCACAATGACCTAGATCCAGGTCCATTATTTTCTGATACAGAGAGATGGAGCTGGAAGAAGAAGAAACAAAGGCTTACAGTCACGACTCTGTCTCGTCCACTGGGCAATCTGATCCCCTCTTTGTGCCATTGTTTCCATGATGCCAGCAGGATCTGGAGCAGTGCTCTTCTCATGGTCCAATCTGATTTGGGGCTGAAGCCAGCAGATTATTTCACCTTCGTGCCTGATGCTAGTCCAGCAGTCTCTCACTCTAAACCACTGAGATACAAGGATCTTCCTGACGGCGATCTGGCCGATGTTTTGGGAAAACAAAGACCGTACTCATCAGATGAAAATTGCACAGTTGGTCCAGCTGAAAGAAAGAGAGGAACTGCCATGGCCGGAGATTGCTGAACACTTTCCTGGCCAAAATGCATCGTCTCTCCAAGTCCACTATTCGAGAAGATTACGCCGCAAGGTCATCTCTGGAAGACCGCGTCATTATAGTAAGACAAACACACCATTATTACAACCGCCCATCAATGACAATCCAAGCCCCTATGGCAGCGCTTCACCCTTGCATGGCGCTGAAACTACTCAAAGGGTCTAGGCGAGGAAACGCCATACCTAGTTCTATGGGTGAAGCATGCGACGTGAGGGACGAGCAAGAATGGGAAGTGGAGCAAATCATGGCTTCGCGTATCTCAAGAGGCAAGCTGCAATATCAAGCGGAGTGGACGGGGTGTGAGCCGGACCATACCCGGTATCCAGCACATGGTTTTAAGGGTGCTCCATATAAGATCCAAGACTTCCACAGAGCGTTCCCTGACCAACCTGGCCCCCCAAGGAGGCTGGCAGAATGGCTAGCAAGTTGGGAAGCTGGGCAAGAACTTGAGGATACTGCAAATGATGACCTACCAGAGTAGCACATACCATCAAGTACGCTTTCCCCTCTGGCCAGAACGGACACTGTCTCTAGCACAATATTTCACATATCAAGCCTGGACGAGGAAACAAGTAAAACGATGAGGCATGTGTTGACTGCTTCGCCGAAAAGGTACAAGTTCATCTACCCAAGATAAGACCGTACTTGCCAGATAAGCTGCGAAATTGCCTCTTCCAACGCTTCGGCCTTCTAGAAAGGCCTATGTCATTGACTGTCATTGGCTACTTCAGAAAACAGTCTGATGCTTCACATCTTGCACCAAGATCTTTAAGGCCCTCATAAGGCTTAGGGCTCACTGCCAGTCCGGGAATAGTCGTTTATAGAAAGCCATAGAAGCGTTGAGAAAATTACCCCTTGGTTGCCGGCGGATTTGGTCACGCAGAGCAGCTTCCCGCCTGCTGTTCGAGGTCACAATTGAATAATAACTTTGCCGACTTGCTGTCCAGATTCCAGCCTTCGATGAGCCTCACGGTACTCCGCAAGGGGGTACACCTGATCAGAGATAACCTATTCCTTTATCTATGCTCCAAGGGACAATCGATCGATAAAGTGGTGCCGTATTGCTTGCCGCCATCACATAATCAGCGCAATGTAACCTAACTAGTTAATCCGTTGGCATCATGAAGGGGCACGGGAGAAACAACCAATAGGCACTGTACCTCGCAGTTTATTAATAAAACACCTTGGACTTTCTGGGGCAGCGGGCTCCGAGGGTGGGCTCTCCGAGAAAAGACTTTGAGACTAGGCGTAGCATAGGAACGTATGTCATACATACACTGGTGTGCTCCTCTCAACGGACATCCCACTCAACCCGGACATCCCACCTACCTCGGAGAGCCCACTGACTAAATATACTGCTGTGTTTGTCAGCTCGCAAATATTCTACACGTAACAGGCATTGTTCATTACTATGCATTTTGTCGCGCTCGGCCGGTCTTTGCAGAATATAAATTCATGGGCAGAAGGCAGGATTGGGTGGTACCCATCCACTTCCTGTCATTTGAGAACCACCTCCAGCAATACATTCGCTTTCCGTTCGCCATGGCCCCAACTATCCTCATTGCCGGTGCAACCGGGAACACTGGTCGCAGTCTGATCGAAACCCTACCCGGGTTGCTTCAGAAAAGCAACACACTATTCAACCACCGAGTGATCGGTCTGACGCGGTCTTTGGACTCTCCAGTTGCAAAGCAGCTCGCAAAGATCCCTGGTGTCGAGATGATAGAGAAGAATTGGGTTGACATCACCGCCGACTGGCTGAGGGAATACCATGTCGTCAGGGCCTTCATCGCATCGCACAACAACCCAAATCAGTTTGCCGAGGAGAGCGTCTTCCATTTGAACGCCCTTCAAGCTCAGGTCGAGTATGTTGTTCGAATCTCAACTACTGCCGCAAACGTTCGCCCAGACTGTAAGGCGTACTATCCGCGCTCCCATTGGGCAATTGAGGCTCTGCTGAGCTCGCCCGAATTCGAAGCTATAAAGTGGACTTCACTTCAGTCCAATCTCTTTTTTCAGTTTGTCCTCGCTCCCGCGGTTAAATACATTCAAGACTACCGCAAATCTGGTGTGCAGGGGAAATTGAGTTTGATTCTATCGAAAGATGCACCCGTGGGCCTTATTGACCCGAACGACGTTGGGATTTTTGCTGCTCACCTCTTGGCCCAAGACAACCCAGCTGTGCACGACAAAGCTAAATATGTCCTCAATGGACCGGAAGACATTACTGGGGCGCAAATTGTTGAGATGGTTGAGCAGTATACCGGTACTAAAGTCAAGGATGTTGGCTATGAGGAGATGCTCCCATTCACCCAGGCTTATTACGAGCATACCTTTGCGAGGACTGGGGAATCAAAGAACGTTATTATGACTATGAGACATGCTCCGGAGACAGCATGGGATGGAAAATGCACAGCTTCCACGACTAGCAAGGAAGTATTTGAGATTGCCGCACCCAATCGTACACTGGCTGATGTTTTGAAGACTATGCTAGGTGAGGAGTGAAGTGCAATACTAATGTGATACAATACATATACATTTACCGTGTGTTTTGCTTTGGGCAGGTCGGGCAATATTTTTTTCTTTTTCTTTTTTTTTTTTTTTCAATTTGATACAGTGTGACGAGAGATGAGCGAAGGAAGGTCAAGCCCAGACTATGCGTCATCACGCAGGGCAAAAAGAAAGTAACATATAATGAATTCTGTACCTACGCTTGCCGTGGAACTTGCCTTTTGCAGTGTGGGATATACTGAAGCTAGCAAATTTGGGATGAGTGTTATCCAGCTGCCCTGGTTCAGAGACCAGCAATTGAGTTAAACCGCTGGCAATCCAAGGTATCATTGCTATTATGAGGTGTACTTTAGAAACCTACGGGCAGTCAGTCAGTAGAGACAAGGGATGTTCCGCTGCGGGGTCTATCTCTAACTAGTTAACTAACACTGGAGATGAACCCCGCGGCGGAACATCCCTCGTCCCTACCGACAGGCATCCTGGGTTTCTGAAGTATACCTCTTAGTGCATGTGATGCTCCTTCGAGTCTTTGCATTTCATGGGCACTGAAATCATGTCTCCAAAACCATTTATATGTCGCTTTCCACGCTGCGAGGCGAGCTATTGCCGGCAGGAGCATCGGCGTCGCCACGAGGCGCAACATGACCAAGATCGAGCGATCAAGTGTGCAACCTGTGACCAGAAGTTTAGCCGACGGTAAGCACCTTCGTCGTTTGTTGATAGCTGATCATTGTAAATCTAAGACTGGCTTTTCAGTGACACGCTCCGGCGCCATATGCAAAAGGTGCATGGAGTGAAGGAGCCCGCTCGCATGAAATTCGCCTGTACAAGATGTCGAAATCAGAAGGTTCGATGCGAAGAGGGTCCACCCTGTAGCAACTGCCGTCGTCACAGAATACAGTGTTCGTTAAGCAAAAGCGTTGAAGTACAGCAGAGTGGACTCATCACCTGTCCGACCGAATCGTTATCACTAGTGTTGCATCATACTCCCGCACAGTCAAAGAGAAGTCGCTCCGAAAAGCAAAAGCATTTCATTGATCTGTATTTCAAGCTATTCCATCCATACTGGCCATTTATTCACCAAGGGTCGTTTCGCAAGTATGATCAGGCACCCTTACTTGTCCAGTCGGTTGTTGTTATTGGTTTGTGGCTTAGCAATGAGGATAATGCACGACCAAGCGCAATTGCCCTTCATAATGTTCTGAGCTCTGCTATACATGAACAGAAGGTATGTTACACCGAACGTCACAAAGCAGTCTATCTCATTAACACCAACATCGTAGGAACTCTGGGATGTCTCTAATTCGGAGGACGCATGTAGTGCCTGTTTCTGGCCTATCCCAACTTACCAGGCTATCTTGCTCCATATAATTTTCGCTGTACTCTATAAAGGCAGTGGAGCGCTGGGCTTAGACCTTAAGCCTTGTTTGACCCCTGCTGATGCCGACCTACTTGACAGGCTTGTCCAGAGTTGCAAGAAATTGGGCATGATGTACTATCCGAACATGCTTGCGCAATATTACCAGAGCGATCTTCCAGCATATGTTTGCTTAAGCATTGAGGAAGTGAAACGGTTTAACATAACATTATACAGAGTTTGCAAGATGTGCAGCAAGCAGGAAAGTTTGACAGACCATTTAAATTCAACTAGGATGTCGAGCACGGGACTATGCGCAACCGATTTGCAATTCCCATTACCAAGGAACACTTCCTTATGGAAGGCAGTCAATGAAGCAGAATGGGCGTCTGCGGCTACAGAGAATGTCTACCATCACAGGCTGGAGGACACTTTGGAAGGCGAATGGATATCAAGGTCGGCAAATGTCTTGGAGCTACTATGAATAGGGAGTAATGGAATAAAGGGGGTTTGTACCGTGCAGAGCGTGTTCTTGATAAGCATGGCTAGTGCACAAGTTGCTGTAAGGACTGGAAGTCCGCAGGGTTGAACAACCCCAGCGGTAGCCCAACATCCAAGAACTGTGGCATCTGAGTCCGCAGGGCCAAATATTACACGCGGTGGGCTTCAATTTGTCAGAAATTCTACCAAAAGTATGGCATACCGTGGGGTCTGATGCCGTGGGGAAGGATGAATGCACGGCAATCTTGATTTTACAGATTGTAGCTGACTGTACGCATTTGGTGGCTGTGAGGATGGATACGTCGCACGGTAACTTCCTGTTCCTGAACTATGGCATCTCTGTACAATCCGCGCGGCAACTTCCGGTTGCTAAAAACCATGGGTTTAACTAAGAGGTGGGTGAATTCGAAGCCATGGTATTCCCAAACTGTGGGTGAGGGGCCACCACTTTAGAAGCAGTTTTGTCCAGCCAGAGTGGATTCAAAAAAAAAAAATAAAATAAATAAATAAATAAAAAATAAGTGATGATTGGAAGAAAGAGAACACCTAACAATATATGCAAAAAGCCAAATATTGAATTCAGGCAAAGAACATAATGGATATCAGACAATTTGCAGTATGGATAAAAGTCAAGCCACTGTAGTCAGGTGTCCCTGAAGTCTTGGTCCAGATGCCCTAAGTGACAAGAAATTGCGTGGACAAAGACTCTTGGTTGTGGTCTTGCTTGTTCGCCCGGATGCTTTCCAGGAGTTTCTGGATGATGCCTTGGTGGCCCTTGTTGACTGCCAACTGTAATGCACTCTGTCCTTGTTTGTTTTGGTATTCAATATGGTGTCTGATCTCACCAGGAGCAACTCAGCAACTGTCTTGGGCCCATGAGGAGATGCAGCATGCATGAGGATGGTCTTTTCTCAATATAATACATACACATCTGTATGTCCTTCCTCAGCTAAAGGCCACAAGAGATTGTTGGCAGCACTGGCACCATAGAAGCTCCCAAACAAATAATGGTGGGTACATTACTGCGTATGCCATGCGCCTGAGATTGGACATCTTGCTGTTTTTATAGAGGCCTTGAAACGGCTGAGGGGATCAGATCCTCTTGATTGGCTTGTGTCCGACTGTTCTGTGGGACGAACAGTTCCATAATCAGCCGCGGCCACCGCAGCCGCTGAAGTCCATGCCTGGACTGTCTAGACCGCAGCATACTAGGCACCCTGTAGCATATTTCCGCCCCTCTGCCCATCGTTTAAGTGCTGGCACCTTTGATCTCTTTCAGCCCCATCACTCTACCCAATGAACAAAAATAAGTACACTGGTCTCGCTTCATAGACTGCTATCTAAAGAGACAAGATAAGTTCCAAAAGAATAACCCGTGTTAATCCTCCTAGCCTGACAATCTGGGGCGGCAATTAGAAACGAATAATCTCTTATCGAACATAGAATGCGAAACAGTCTGCCACCATGTCTTTCTCTGGGTAGGATCTTGCGAGGGGCTTGTTCATCAGGCTAGCCAATGTACCTAGGCCCTAATTTGAAGACTGCTCTCGATCCAAGTTCGATTATAAATTATGACATACTACGGTCTTTGAGCGGGAACTTGGACGGCTGCGGTGGGCTGCGGCAGGATGAGGTATTGTCAATCTCAGACACTAGGAGTGGTTAATTATCGTCAATTTGATACTAAGAATCTTCAAAACCCACCTTAAAGCATTGAGCTTCTCTTCACACCATGCTGTATGTGAAGGAAGACTGATTTTCAGGTGATGTTTCTTAGGGTCCAGCTATACCCGCTATGTTTCCTGATATGGAAAAGTCACGTGATATAGCGACTTGGCGGTTGGATCACGTGGGATTCTGCCGCATAGGTCCGCCCTCGCTGACCCTTTTCACCACTTCGGCCTATCTAGCTAGTAACCAACCAACGATATACCTCCATTATTGGCTCCTTCTCTGACCCCTGAGAATCCGAGCCCCTGATTATATAGAGAGAGAGATAGATACAAAATGGCATCCGTTCCTTAGGAGGCTACGTACGTGTAGTCGATACAGCTTCATTCTGCCCTTCTTCCCTGAGCTACATGCATATTCCACAACATTTTCTATACAGGATCGATAGATGTATAGCTTTGAAATCGTCCCCTGTCATCTAATTATTAGGGTAGTATGAATCCTAGATGCGTAATGGATCCAGAGACATCCTTGTCCTCGGGTAATCATGGCATCCCCTTTATGGGCTTCTCTTGGAACCCACCGCTGTCCTCCGGGGTTCATCGAGCCTTGCAAGGTTGCATCTAACACCGCACTACGCTCATCTCCATTTCTACCTCCGCTCTTACAAGTTATGTGCGAAGCCGATGAGCCTCCTGTGCATGCCTCCATAGGTGCATTTCATGCTGAAACAACACCTCATCACAAGCGTTGCATTGCGGTCCTGCAAATGCGATGCCCTGAAGTGTCGTTTCATCCCGTTGTGGTCGGAGTATTTCTTGCATTGAAAGCACACCACAGGTCTGGCCGCAGACTCGACGTCGTTTTCCAACTTTGCAGATTCCTCCTCCCATGTAGATATGGTTATCAGCCTCGTTGGTGGACATAGTGATGTGGTGCAATTTTTGAACGCTATATGGGAAAACGTTGCAAATGCTGAATGAAGACTGCCTTCCAGAATCGTCGTGCTGGAGTATCGGCACCCATATTTATATTTTCTGCTGTCCTCACCCTGCCGTCTCTAGGACTCAAATCACTTGGAACTAGGGCCGTTAGAGAGTTCTGTGTCCCCTTCCGCCCTGTTCTGTTCTGTCTCGTTCCGTTCCCTGCTTCCTGTCCACAGGGGTTAAGTCGGCCACATGCAGATCCTTGGGATTCTGACCGGCAGAACTCAAAGACGAATATTCAGTCTTTATTTAGGATACTTATTTAGCACCTCTTAGTTTTTGTTTGGTGCACCCAATATTCTGCGTCCTCTTCCAACTTGGCGGTCAGTAAACAAGTTCTGTGAAGATAAATCACGCTCCTTGTGCTCGCTGTCCACATTCTCTTTCCATCCCTTACTGCTCATTTTTGTGTACCTCATGAGTGACTGGAACTACAATGGACTACAATAAACCTCTTGACCTCCTACACATGGCGGAAGAGACTGTTTGGGTGAAGAAGGTAAATACGGCTCGTGTGGACGGGCGTATTTGCAGCTGGGCTTCTGGTTTCCATCCTGAAAAACTCCCATGTCGGCTAGATGGGGGATTTCTAAACGGGTCTTACAATGTTGGCCAACGGATTGTTTTTGATGATGGAACAACCTGGTTTCTCCGCCTCCCCCGTGCTAGCAGCATCTCTCCAGAACATGCAGATGAAAAGGTGGCCATGGAGGTCGAAGCTCTTTTCCTCATACGAGAGAAGACGTCGATACCCGTCCCTAAAATTCATGCCTGGGGTCTCGCAGGAGAAAATCAGCTTGATCTAGGCCCCTTCATTTTGATGGACTTCATCAACGGCATTTGCCTTCACGACGTATTTGGCGGAGGCGATTCGAGACTCCTTAAGGAAGAAATATCAGAGGCTAACATTGAATACGTCTACAGACAGATGGCGCAATTTATGCTTCAGCTTTTCAAGGTCGACTTCAACCAGATTGGCAGCTTACCGACTCTAAAGACAAGATTCCCTGCTCCTGGTCGCCCGCTCACGTGGAAGGGACATGAGATTCTGAGGGTAGGAGGTGTTAACGCATTTGGTTTGTGCCGTGGACGATCTGAAACATGAACTTGGGCTAATAACATTAGGTGATTGGGCTCACAATCTCCAATCCACCAGGCGATACTTTGAATACATCAACAAGCAAGACTGGCAGCAGCTCTTGCTTCAACCAAATTCAATAGCAGGGCCGCGGAGTGCAAGATCAAGATATGCGGCACTGAACATATTGAAGTCTCTAATTCCCGAATTAACAAATACACCCTATGATCGCGGCCCTTTCAAACTTATATGTGATGATTTCGGCATGGCAAATGTCATCGTTCGAAGTAAGGATGACCTTACAATCACCGGGGTAGTGGATATTGAGTGGGTCTATGCTGGACCAGCTCAATTATTTGGATCTGCTCCCTGGTAGCTTCTCCTCGATCGTCCTGTCAACGACGAGTGGGACTTCGAAGAGGGAGAGGCCCCAAAGGCTACCGATCGCTACTTCAAATGTCTCGAGATCTTTTTACGCGTACTTGAGGAGGAAGAGACAAGGATGACAGAAAGTGGCCGGAGAGAACTCACTGAGTTGGTCAAATGGTCTAGAGACACAGGGGCTATGTGGCTCCATATGCTTCTTTCCAGTGGCTTTTTTGACAATCTGACCTTTCCTTGTATGCAGCTGCGAAAGCACAAGGGCGCGAAGTGGTGGGATGAGCGCATGACGGACCAGGGGGACACAGAAGAGGTCGAAAAATTTGTAGCTGACAAGCTGAAGGACCTGGCAGCATATGATGAGATTAAGGATAAGGTCGAGCACTACAAGACCCTCATGGATAATGAGGAGATGTCCGCAGAGGATTTCATTTCCAGTGTGTCCTCCATTCTCGGCTCTGATTGATAGCTCTGCCCAGGTTCAAAGCGGTTTCGGAGACCCAGGAGCGCTGATAGTGGGGGACTCAAGGAGATTAGATGTCTTCCTCTATGGTGTTTACTCCATAAGTACTCTCCGGCTGCGGGCTCCACCATACATTAGATGTCGGAGACCGCGGCTCTACGGTGTTCTAAGATAGCAAATATTCATCGGCTCACGTAGCCCAGATCCTTACACAGAAGCCCAAAACTGTCTACGGAAATGACTATCTCGCTAACTGTTCCGGCGTGGATGTGTTCAACGCTCTGACGGGCAAACCAGCCGATAACACTCACATTGACTATTTTCAGGGATACAGCCAATTCCACGAGCACGGCCTACCACGACGTCTGCCTATAGAAGAGGAACAAAAGATTGATGCGGATCCGCAGCTGGTCACTAAAGCCACGGAAATCCGCAACGCAGAATCTGACGATGATATCAAACGCCTGAAGCGTGATTACAATATCCTAAAAAGAAAGATCTATGCTATGATGTTCCAGCAGTTTCAAAGTGAATGGGTCCAGAACCAGCGCGATTGGACAATATTGACTAGAGGCCGAGAACGCCCCGATCTCGTGGAGGAAACTGCAGGAAAACAGGCTCTCTGCAAACTCATGCCCGAATAGGGTCGTCTGGCGGCTATCATGTCGTCTAATGTACCTTTTTCATTTGACGAAAAAGCCATTGTTGTGAGAGATCTATACACTCTGTGCCTCCGTGACTTTTGTGACGTGGTTTACCGTCCGGGAGAGGAGCCAGTTGAAGGTCGATGTCCGGTGACAAGTTGTAGCTATTCACTGGAGATGTGAGCCTCGCCTATTGACCTACACATGTTCTCTACTGATGTTCCTGCAGGTTGAAAAAGCCCACGAGAAGCAACCACATCCATACTTGCGTTCGCCAAGAAGTTTCTCGTACCATGGGAATTCCCTTTCAACAGGTCAAGTATTGTTGGAAGTGCTTCACCTTCTTTGATGGAGAGAGCCTGGAATTCGAAAGGCATTGCGCAAGCCATCTCTCAACGATGACTAGCAAGCATTACGAAGTGATGGTGTATCGCCCGCCACACCACGATCAGAGCCGGATACTGTATCGAATGCATGTGGGATGGTAAACTTGCTGCAACCCGCAGAATGAGGGCATTTGAAAGAAGCACGGAGCTAGGAGATCACCTGGAAGAGCATATTGGCTGAAAGTCGTGGCCGTTCGATTGCCCTGACGTGCGTTGTAGCCACATCTCTATCGATGAACTGGATTATCGTCGGCACCTTCACGATTCACACCGTTATAATAAACCTGTTTGCGTAAGACGTGAGAAAACTCACAGGAAACGATCATCCTCCGGGCTTGAGAAGGGGTCTGCTCCGGACGCAAATACACTTGACCAGCAAAAATGCCATTGCAAGCGCCAGAAGCATCCTTCGTCGCCCTCACATACTAGTGCGAAGGAACTGAAGATCCGTTTCTGGAGGCCTCCAACAACCCAACCTGAGGCCATGTTGTCTTTCCCCACAAAAACAAGACAGGAGAGTCAAGAGCCTCTGAAGGAATTGGCCCATCAAACCATAAACTATTGCAACCACACTAGTGAAACACCTTGGACAAACCCGGGTTGCGACAATACTCTTTAGTTTTTACGAAAGTACGATAGGGGAGGGCGAATCAGCTGGACAAATTCTCCATATACTGATTAGTACTGTAACATCTCCAAAAATAGCAATAACTGTGATGGCGACTGTTCAAGATTAGGAGTCTTTGTATTTAACCCACGTTTCCTCCTCCAGTTTAGTTTCTATCCTCACCCTCAACCAAATATCGATGGCTACCGCCGTCACATTACCGTACTATGCGCCCGACATACCTTGCCCGCTACCTACAGATTCGGAAATCGATGAAGCACCCGACATATCCCTGGAGTATGGAGGATGAAGAATCGTTGAGATCGGAGAACATTTGGTGGTGAAGTTTGGGAAAGGTGTAAACCTTGTTGAAGGGGAGAACATGTTGTTTGTTCAGGAAAACACCAGCATATGTGTACCTCGAGTCTTTGCACTTTATTCAAACCCGGCCACGGGCAAAAATTACATCGTCATGGAAAAAGTTCCTGGACAAACTCTTTTGTCCCTGTGGCCATAGCTAAGTCCATCGGAAAAGGAGATCATCGTCGCTACACTTCATAACTACTTCAACCAGCTACGACACTTAGCACCACCAGACTACTACGGTAGCTTAGGCAGAAAATGTCTTCTCGACGAAGTATTTTGGACCCACGACCCTGAACCAACGATCAATGGGCCGTTCACGTCAGAAAATGCCCTTATCGAGGCAATGGCACGGAAATATACCTACGATGGTCGGCCACGCTTCAGAGCTGAGTTCTACCGCCAGTGTCTACCGCGTGTTCCACCGTAGCCATGGTCCAACATTCACTCATGGTGACTTTCAAAGAAAAAATGTGCAGATCCAAAGGGTGATAGACAATAGTGGTGGATATGATATTCCAAAGCCGCAAATTGCCATTCTTGACTGGGAAAAGTCAGGTTGGTATCCTAGCTACTGGGAGTATTCTCTTGCCGTCTGCGCATTACGATGGGATGATGACTGGTGCCTTTGGATTGAGAAAGTCTTGGAACCTTTTGTCTCTGAATCTTCCTGGTTGCAAACAATTCGGCTAGAATTGTGGTCTTAGAGCATGACGGAACCTGGCAGGGAAGGTCCTAGTCCTAAAACAGTGCTTTTATTACAGGTATAATTAAACCAAGCTTTCACGTCCACATAAACCTAAGGATCACCCAAAGCCCACTACGCACTTTAGAATACTGAACCTGAAGATGCCAGAGTGCAATGTCTAATGTGTTTCGCAACATGTAACAAACGTTGATCATCAAGTCTCCGGCCCCCTTATTCTCAATCACCGTTTCTGACTTGGCTCAAGTCGTGAAAAGATAAGTAGAGTAAGAGTAGAGCAATATAAGGAATGGTCACAGCTAGTGTTGATTGTGGAATACAGGACTTGTAATACATTAGAATATAAAAGGGTCCTTTATTCTTGTGAGATAATTAGATAGATGCACTGTGTACATATAGGTAGCACAAGTATTTACCAACTGGATTGATTCCACCAAGACTTCCAATGGCTGCCTCCACCATGCTGTTGCGCAGAAACTAGGTGCACATTTAGGTTTACACAGTTCCGAGCACTTGGTTGATTCGGATTGTGAACCTGATGTGTGCGTGGGGTTGTGCTTGTGGAAGCATGCGTGCCACGCCAATAAGGACAACCTAGTTCAGCGCCCGATTAGACTTCGTTCTGGAGGTTATCTCCACTAAAATGCAAGGGCCGCATTGCAAATAATGAAGAACGAGGCCCGTGACCTGGTGCAAGGGTATCTCTTGGCGTTTCCGAACGCACTGCTTGTTCCGGATACACATCTCTTCCCGGTGCCACCGCCAAGCTTGTTTGGTCTGTTTGACTGGCGACGGCACGGACGCGTGTGATGCACTCGAGCCTTCTTTGGACCTGACTGTGTCTGGCCAACTATCTGAAACAGAATCGTCATCCTGTTGACTATGGCAAACCCTAAATGATGCATATACCGAAATTAGCTTGAGCGATATGAAACGCTTCGAAATTCGAGTATCGACGTGAAGTATTGACGGCGTCTAAAATAAACGTATTTAGCAGCGAAGTTGCATAGGGTAGCTATCACCTACGTCCGCTTTCAGGAGATAGATATCTCATGTCTCACTCCGCCATATATCCTAACCAAAGTATACTCTCCAACAACTTACGTCTTTTAGAAGTAGGAAAAAATAGGGTGTTGGCCGCGCGCGACCTGCAACAAGGCAATGTTGCGGGGTGGAGGGGCATTCTGAGTGTTTTGGTGCCCGAAAGTAATACGTCGTTCCTGTCAGACCACTAGCGCACTTTTCCTCCATCTTTCAGCTATGGCATCATAGGAGTCAATCCTGGACGGTCATCTGATGATAGACTTGGAGTCGAATCCAACGCTTAACCTAGGGAGCCAGAAAAATAGTCTGGGGCAACGCCGTTGACGCCTAGGCCTTCTGGACTTGACTTAGCCTCATGCTGAAGCCCGAGGCTCCTGTACCCTTCGGGTAAAAAGGTCTGCTGGTCTTAAGGGTCTTCGTTTAGGCACGAAGAATGCACCTCGGTTCAGGAACAGTTGGCCAAGAAGGCCAGTAAATGTTTGACTTCATACTCAAAATCTTTAATTGAGAAAGATTTCTGGTAATGGGTGGATTCTTAGTGATTACGATTAATTCTCATCAAGAATCATACACTCTTACTAGTATAAAAATCCAATATGTCAGTATACAGACCTTTTATTCTACCCGCACAAAATAGAGGGGGTGAGCAGTCCAAGGAGAAAGTCAATGTGGCTCTAGAATTTCCAGTTTATATAGTGGCATATATCATGGATATCCATGACATCCATGACATCCAACCAAGGAGATACATGATTACTTTCTGTAATCAACCATCCACATCGAAATAATCGGAATCATTACGAACAGCAGGAAGTTTCTCGTACAACCGTCACATCATATATAAAAAGGTCTCGAGAGAAACAAAAAAAAAAAAAAAAAGAAAGTGGCATCTAACGACGCTAGAGTACACGAGAAAGGGAGAGAAGAAGAGAAGAGAAAAAAGGAGCGAAAATGAGGAGATGATATATCAAGGAAAGAGAAGACAAGGAAAGGAGGCTCCATTCCCCCTCCCCTCTGTTTCCATATTTCCAAATACCATGGGATATTGGTGGTTATACAAAAACCCGCTTTTCGAATATAGGAGGGGTATATCCGCGAAATACGGATTATTGAGAATCATTAAACAAATATCTTTACTCCCGAGACACGTCACGTCCGAACAAAAGGGCCTTGGTCCAGTCGAAAGCGACGAGAACACGGTTCCGAGCTGCAGGATCGCGTCAGACAACGAGAAAGCAACGCAAGGGGGAAGAGTACTTACTGCTAAAGCACATGCTCAGATAGGCGCTACGCCAGAAGAGGTATGTCAAAGTTCCACCGCTTGCAATGTTGCCGGCCCACCAACTGATGTCGGCGACAGCACGCTCTTTTCCAATGTAAGCAAGACTTCCCTGGTGCGAGTACTGGAATGGCCCGATCTGCTTGATTCTGCGCAGCTGTCGCTGGCACTCACGGATCTCACCGAGGGCGGCGTTCCGGTCCTCTTCGCTCTTTGCCTGGGCTTGAACATCAGACAGCCGCTTTAGTTCATTCTCGATCGTCTCGGCCTTGGCCATGCTGTTTAGAAGATGGGCAAGGAAAGTACCCTCCTGGCTGGCAACCTGGGCTGTCGGGGCATAGTTGGCAACGGCACAATCACCGACCGCCCAGATATTCTCGGTTCCATTTACAACCAGGTACTCGTTGACTGCAAGGCCACGGCGGGAGTTCTTCTGGGCCGGAATCTTGCTCATGAGGTCCCGGACAACGGGGCGAACAGCGTTACCGGTGGCCCAGACCAACAATCCATAAGGAATGATTTCTCTTTCCTTAGTCCCATCAGGACGAGTGACCTCGGCCTCGATGTGCTTGTCGGTGACCTTCTTAACCATGGTCTTTGTACGGATGGTAATGGATTCTTCCTTAAAGGTAGACTCGGTGTAGTCGATCAGTTGCTTAGAGAACATGGGTAGAACCTGTGGCAGGAGTCAATTTGCGGAATTCCCTCATTTTTCGTGCACAAGAAAAAGCAATCCAGAGTGACTTTACATTTGGCAAAGCTTCCACGAGAGTCACATGGAAGTTTTCCTTGATGTCCGGAATCCACTTTTTCAGGTCCGCATTGAAAAAGTCCTGCAATTCACCAGCGAATTCAACACCAGTTGGGCCACCGCCAACAACAACTGTGTGCAGAAGTCGTTTGACCTCTTCCGGAGCCTGGTCTTTGAACATAGCTGTCTCGACGCAGTCCATGATACTCTTACGAATCTTCTGGGCATCGTCGACTTCTTTCAGGAAGCAGGAGTTTTCCCTGACACCTTCGATACCTGCACGTGTTGTTAGATGGATACTAAATTCGAAGGGAAAAGAAGTTCCACGTACCGAACGTGGCATTTTCAGCTCCAACGCCAATAACAAGCATGTCAAAAGGCACCTCGGTGTGGGAGATCTCGCCCTTGACCTCCGAGTCATCGCTAATGTACACTACGCGCTTCTCATGATCAATCTTGGTAGCTTCCGCTTCGTAAAACTTTACGGTAGCCTTCTTGTGGCGGAGGATATTACGGATGGGTTCCATGATAGAGCGATGCTCGATCATACCAGTGGTACAGGAGGGGAGTAGGGGGGTGAAAAGGAAGTAGTTTCGGGGGGAGATGACGATGACATTGTAGTTTTCGGTGTCGAGTTTCTTGAGTAGGGAAACGGAGCCCCAACCGGTACCTGAAGTAGGGAATAATGTGTTAGTAAATGCTTGTAAAGCGTTAAGACATAAACAAATGCAAACCCACCGAGAATAACAAGAGTCTTCTTGGATGGATCTGGCTCCATCTGTTCTGCCGGATGTCGCAGATGGAAAATACTATAAGCCAGGACACCGGTGAGACCAACACCGGTTAACCAAGTCAACCGCCAGGTCCATCGCAAGAACCTGAACCTCTTCTTCGGCTTAGGAGCTGGAGTTGCTGACGCGGCATCGTCGGCGTAGGATCTGCGCGCGACGCGTTGGAACGGCGACGACTGCTGACGGGGGATGGCACGACAGCTACTGCGTGTTGAAGAAAGCAGAGGAGAGCGGGCTGAGAACTGTGATCGCGTAGAGAGCGACCTGCGCGACAGCGACGACAGCTGCATTATGGACGGGGAAGGGAGGGCCCGGGAACGGATCGCCAAAGAGCCAGCCGCCATTGTCAGGTTTGACAAGTCCCCAGAATGGGAGAGGAACAGGCGAAGTGAGTGGAGAGGGTTTGACAGGTTGGGGACGAAGAGCCACAGCTTGGAGAAGGGGAAGAAAAAAAGAGCGAAAAACGAGGCTGAGGATTATTATCCTCGATAAGAATCCGAGGTCGCGATTGCCTGTTTCGGGCTGATCGGTGTGCCAGGCTCTTCCCTGCCAGATGGGGTTTAGCCTCCGATAAGCTCTGCTCGGGTCCGCATGACCAGCTGAGTCATCTCTCACGTGCACTGTTCCTGTGGACGCAATGGATGCTCTCGTAAGAAGCACTCTTGTATGCTGTATGCTGTACGCAAATCCCTGACCGACTGCGCTTCAGGAATGAGCGTCCCCTGGATCCGTACCTAAGAGTGCCTGGTTACTTCCCATCCGTTGTCTCCTGTCCGCTTATCCGCATCGGCCTGAAGGCGCTTCCGCATCCGCTGGCCTGTGGGTAAGTGGATGTTCTCCGCAGCTCCGTTCGTCCTCCGCACACTTTCCTCTCGCCCAGCATGGAGGTCACGTGTGGACATTTACAAGTCACCGACCATGACATCATACCGTCTATAGAATTTATGGAATCAGAAGCAATGCCTCGAGCAACCTCATTCATTCTCATCGAGACCATTTCCAGGTCAATCCATATCTGGAAGAACATCTAAACTCCACTATGCAAATGCAGTGACACATGCCCTGGAAACCCCTACTTAACGCCACACCGCGTGTCAACATCGAAAGACAAAAGCCTCCGCAGAAAAGAATGGAAAGCCAAGGAAGATAAATATAAAACCACTCGAAGATACAGCCATCTAAAATGTTAGAACTCCATGATGATGCAAATGCTGTCGTGATAACTCGGGATTCTAATACAAAAGCCAGGAGAAAGAAAAAAAAGAAATATATGCAATGCGCTTTAAGGTCTGAGGCGGTCGTAAGAAGCTAACGTGTTGCTCATAATGTCGGGTTCGGGTGGAAGCACCCCTAGATATGGTGAAAAGCGGGCTGGTTAAACGGGTCCTGGGGCCAGGCTCCATGGTGAAGGTACGGTAGCAGGCCCGTTTTGCTTTCCGCCGCTGGTCGCCCCAGCGGCTGGTAATGCATGTGATCAAATGGGATCGTTCGCCGTGGTTGCAGGGAGGCTGATGGAGGCGGGATGAGCAGCGTATTGACGGCTCGAACAGGCCGATAGGGCGAGTTCCTGTTCGCCAGAATAAAAGACGGCGACAGATTCATCTGAGGCGTATGCACGGAATATGCAGACACTGCTGGTGAGACGGTCGTTGAAGGTACATCGTAGTAGCTCCGATGAGGCCTTACGGGTTCCGGCAATGTCATCGGCGCATTGTATAAACCACTTGTAACTGGTGGCATAGGCGCCGAAGTCGGCAACGGTTGGACCCAGTTGGCGGGAGGGTTATAGATAGTAGGCATAGCGCGACCAGCGGGAGCAGGGAGCTGTGGTGCAACCGGCGGGGGGGTCTGGACCGTACCATTCGATGGAAACGGAGGACACGGCAATCGGGAGGCTACAGAGCCCACCATAGGTGCGTGAGACGGCGGACCAGTGACAGACGCCAATGCAGGAGGGAGCGGTGGAAGAACGGACGATGATGGGAGGGTAGAACCTGGGACGGAGGCTGGATTCGATACTGCAATCCGCTTCACGGGCGGTTCGTCTATGAACTCATCACGGCCGCGTTTGCGGGAGCTGACAGCGACAGGGCCATCGGAAAGGTGTTGTGGAGGAGCAAGGTATTGCTGGTTCCAACCCTGCTGCCCCAGGGGACCAGATAAGGGGGGAGAAGGAAGTCTGGACAGGGGTGAGGCAGTCTGCACTTGAGTCGTCGGTGCTCGACTGGGAGAAGCCTGAGACGCTTGAATGGGAGCTGTTTGACACAGACTGTCCTCGGTGGGAAATTGGGAGGCTTCGTTGAAATAGCCCGCGAACAAACTCAGCTTGAAATGCCAGCTTTCCCACTCTTCCTTGGATACGAAGAGATTGTATCGAATATTGCTGAGGAATTCCACCTCCATAATGTGTATTTCTTGAACAGGGATCCCCGAGACTTCGGCCCAGGTTTTGTTGGTATAGGTGTTATCATCGAGAACTGCATATTGCCATTAGCATCCTGAGGGCATCAACAGCAGCTAGATGGACCATGAGTGTGCTGCACCTACATTTGTTTCCTAGCATCAAAGCAATCGTCAACAGCCTGCATTCACTTCCCTTCTTTCCTTTAACTCCCGAATTGAACTTCTTCATGCGATAAATGAACAGTAGTGCCAACAGGATCACGTTCTGGCTCACTTGCGTTGTGGAAAGCACCGTGGTCGCCCATTTTTGGAAACCAACTGTTGGGATGGCTTCGGGAACGAGGGAATGGTAGGGATTGAGGCCGTCTTCGATGGCTTTCAATATCGCCGTCTTTTCAAACCAGAAGAAACACGTCATCTGTAGGCAGAGTATTTGTCAGGATTCATTTCTTTTTGGCCCCTGATTTTCCTGGTTAAGGAGCTCTTACCTGTGCTGCGAACTCCGCAAGATTCCCCTTGCCGGCCTTGATGGATGAGGGGATCTCCAGAAAGGTGGGAGTGGAGTTCTTGGAGGACTTTATCTGGTCGACCCTCTTGGAGACGGCGGCATCTCTGCTGGATGAGGGTTGGGATTGAGTAGCGTAGGACTTGGGAGCGGAGGAACGGGGGTCGAAGTTGAAATGGGAGCTACTGGGGACCCCAAGGGAAGGATGGAAGGGAACCCCATTCGACTTCCCTCCATAGCCGGCAGGAACGGCATTGTAGGCAACGCCAGTCATGTCGTTTGGAGGAGTGGGTAGACCGTCCCGAAAGGGAGGGGTCCAGGTAGAAGATGTGGCGGAATTGATGCCTAGTAGCAGTTTCTCACGCATAGGAACTTTTCCCCGGGAGCGAGCGAAGAGGGCGGGAGATACGGAATTCGGGAAGGGGAGAGATATCGAAGGCATAGGGACGGACAGGATAGTCGAATTTTTGTTTTGAGGCCCTCAAACGAGCTACAAGCAAGGCAGGATCGGTAGATGAGTATGAATGGGACGAGCTTCACATAGTCCTGGTGATGGAAACAGGTTCAATGGCGAATATCCAATGACGTGGGATACTGGATTGTATAGCAGACTCGGGTGAATGTCGACAAGAGAATGGATGAGAAACGACAGACCCAGTAAAGGTCTGATGTTCCTTGGCAGAAGGAAGGGAAAAAAAGGCGCGGAAGGGTCGAGCCAGCCACGGGCAGATTGTTCATATAGTCGTAAAAAGACGGAAAGCGAAGCCGATATGGATGAGGATTGCAGCCATCAGCGTAACCGCAGGGCCCTCTGGATGGGAAACAGACGGAACGAATGAAGGGACCGGGCAGGGAGATGGCTTGGCATGAAACGAAGAATCGAAGAGAAGGGATGGCAGTAGTAGGAGCAGCAGTGAAGGTAATATAATTAGAAGGGAAGAAGAAGGGTGGTAGAAGGGATAATGAAGGATGAGGTCAAAGACATCATCGCTTGTGCATTGATTGACGAAGGGATTTCTTTTTTTTTTTTTTTTTTTTTTTTTTTTTACATGCCGTACGGCGTACACCGTACAAGAAGCTGGAAAGCCAGGGTCAGGCAGTGGTAACAAGTTAGTTTCTCTTGTCCTTCGTCTCTGTTCCATTCGGAGAGGATGTGTCCGCAGAAGGACAGAGTTTGGACCCAGAGGAGGTTGATCCTCCCTTCTGGACAGTCTGGGACAGTTCCGGTTTGGTTTATTTTAATTTTTGTGAAATTTTTTTTTACTAAAAAAAAGAAAAAAAAATAACGCCTGGTTGACTGCTCCAGTGAGTTCGTTAGTGGACGCGGGTTGGAGGCAAAGAAGGTCAGCAGTGCCAGCAGCAGCAGCAGCACCGTCGACGCCTGGAGGACGCAGGCGGCATGCGAGGCGAGGGAGGCCCAATCATAATGCGGGTTTCCGGTTGTCTCAATGGAACCCTTTTTTGATGATTTCGTCTTTTTATTTTCGCCTTTTAACTTTGGGAAAAGTATCGCTGGTAATTACAGCGTAAGAGCATTACGCATCCCGTGGTTGATCGCCAGAATAGTTGACCGGAAAGGTGGTATGGACGTATTAATACAGGCATTTCTTACAGAGCAGTAACTCTGGGACAACTGGATCACAGATGGGGACAGGGGCAAATTGATTGCCCGATAACACAGACAGTAATCCGGTATGGCCAATGGGGGAGGCATGTCGAACCCATGAAAAGGGGTTGCATTGCGTTGCGTTGTGTTGCGTAGTAATAAATTATAATACCAATATACAGTAATGTTGCCTTCAGGAAGTGCCGGAGTCTTAATAATACTTACTATTCATTCCACTTGGGCAGTCTTCATATTCATCTCCATCCAGCACTGCCTTCCGGAACAAGATTTGTTATTACTCCAATGACGGTTTCAGAATGGACGACGCAGCGACGGTTCACACGAAGGAAACACGCGTCCAGCCTTCTCCTTCTCCATTCCACTCACGCTCCGGCGCTGTAGATCCGCCAATAAATCATCCAGACAGCGACGGTTCACACGAAGGAAACACGCGTCCAGCCTTCTCCTTCTCCATTCCACTCACGCTCCGGCGCTGTAGATCCGCCAATAAATCATCCAGACAGCGACGGAAACAGCAATCATAGTCCCGTACTTGGCTTATCCACCACGGGAAGTGCTCGATGTTGCGTGCAGAGAGGAGAGCCAGAGACATGATTATTCGACTCATCCAAGACCGAGATTTAATTCTTCATTGATTATCCAGTGTCCAGTACGGAACACTGCGCCTAACACCAAATTCTACCCAGACTTCATTTCTGATATCACACCGCAGTAACACCGCAGCCGGCTGTGTGATTGGGTCTTCTGGCACGTCCATGTCCTCCCAAACATCCTCCGAGTAGTCTGTAAGATGTACGATGTGCTAGTTTTCTGGACATAATATTATTGCAACACCAATCGTATCGTCATCATTTATCTGCTCTAACAGCGCCATTCCATGATCCATCCAAACCATCCAGGATTTAATATTCAGCTCTGCTGTAGATCCTATCATACGAGCACTGGCCTTTTTTTTCCCTCTTTCCTATAAAACCGAAACATCCTCTGATTTGACAATAACCCTTGGGATTAATACCAAGGAAGCTGGAACAACACGAGGATGGATCTTAATTAAGTCGGTTAAAAAAATACACTCCACCAGATAACCCCGGTTCTTCTTCTCTGCCTAGGCTGGAGTCCATACAAAGAAAGTGCGCCGGCCAATCGCCCCGTCGGCATGAATAGTCGCCTGCTGCACCACAAGCTCCCCATCCCATCCAAGAATCAGCAGTTACTTGCCGCCTGGACGATCCATCCACTCTCTATTGTTATTGATGTTATTATTATTATTATTACTATTGTAATAATTATTATTATTTATCATCACGGAACAACGCAATAATGAACACAGCGACTGCACGGCTGACCTGACACGGCCGGCGCACGGCTGGAACTTGCGTTGCATGGCTGCGTACACTGTGGATGACGGCATGGAAGACTGTCAGTACTTAGGACACTGTACGACTATTCTTTTTCTATTCAATCACCTATAGAGTACTCCACAAGACTATGCTAAGCAGCAAGTACATTAATTAATGAATAACATGCCCGAAATTAGAATGTCGTATGTAGACGGAGCCCCCGTCTCTTCGCATCTCCCCTACCGTTCCACGGGCGGCTAGTTTAGATGAATAAAAGATGAACGGGCTGAATTTCAAATCAAATCAAATCAAATACACGAGATGAGATGAGAAACCGGGATTGTTCTTTCTCTTCCTTTCCATCGTCGTTTTCGGCGAAATGGTCTGATTCACCATCTATTATTATTCATCCGACCACGGATTATCCTGCATCTACTGCAGCATACCATCCAGTTCAGTTCATCCATCTCGTTCCACTTTTCCTTCGACAAGGTATGTCCCATGTCCTCCGTTACTAGCTACTAGCTACGAGGCCATCCCTACTAGCATCCAGCATCACGCTGTACCGTTTGATTACTTCCGGGACCTGGATCGAATCACAGCCATCCAGTCGGAAATGCAAAATGCAGCATGCTGAGAACGGTAACGTCCGTGACAGGTAGGCAGTGTAGTCCTGTCTTGTGTTGTATTTTCTATCTATCTGTCCATCCATCCTGGATCTGTTGGGTTGCTGGGAGGTTCAACACGGGGTGTCCCGGTTTCTCTCCCTGCTGCAGGATCTCCTTTCGACATTTGACAGTCGATTTCGGCTATTAGTCAATTTTAGTTCCAGCTCACAAGATTCCGTCGTGAATTCTACCGTCTGCGTACAGCGCATGTGTACATGTAGAGTGCTCCAAGTGACCCTGAACAGCAAACACGGGATATTACCGCAAAAGCACATGGAATATGCAGTTTCCGTCTCAGTCCCACGGTATCATCGAGGTATCATCGAGCAATGCACTCCTTACAGCCCGCTCTTCAATCGTTTTACAAAAGAAATCGGCTGAATAGATTGTTCCTTGTACTCTGCGGAGTCCGCACAGAGTAATAGTAGTTATCACTGTACACTCTAGAGGGCCAGGCGGTATCTTACTGCCAATCACGTGAACAACCTCACCGAAGGATCTTTGGTAACATCAAAAAAGACCCGGATCAAGTAGACAAGAACAAATAGCCATCTTCAACGCAACCTACGCAATGCCTCCCCGGCTACTCACGCTGCCAACGCAGCTGCAACAATTCCTCACCAGACCCCTCCAAAATCCCACAACAACCCCCCTATTGTTCCTGCTCCCCCAACTCCAGCAAACCCGCAATGCCCACATCCTAGGCTCCCTCTCCGACACCCCCGGAGCCTACAATAAGCGGATCAGAAGAGGTCGCGGTCCCGCGTCCGGCAAGGGTAAAACCTCCGGAAGGGGTCACAAGGGTCAGAAGCAGCATGGAAAGGTGCCAGCGGGGTTCAATGGTGGACAGACACCTGATATTATTGTGCATGGTGAGCGCGGATTCAAGAATATGTATGTTCTCCTCACACTTTCCATTGCATCTATATATAGAAAGAATTGGCCGGCTGAATGATGATGTTATATAGACTCTCCATCGACCTAGCCCCTGTCAACCTCGACCGAATCCAAGAATGGATTGACCAAGGCCGCATCGACCCAACCCGTCCCATTACGATCCGCGAACTGGCCAAATCCCGCTGTATCCACCAAACGAAAGACGGCGTGAAGCTGCTTGGCCGGGGTGCCAGCGAAGCGGAAGAAGGAGAAAAACAAAACGTCCTCAAACAACCCATTCACGTCGTTGTTTCCCGCGCCTCCGCCAGCGCCATAGCCGCCATCGAAGCAGCGGGTGGCTCGGTGACCACTCGCTTCTACACGCGGGCATCGATTGCGCGTATCATGCGCCGCGAGACACATCCGTTTGTGTCGTCTGCGTGGTCTGCAGAGAGTGCCAGCGAGGCGCTCACGAAGGCTGCCGGTATCGAGGAAGTGAGTGAGTCGAAGATCATGAAGGAGATGGGCTTTAAGTATCGGCTTCCTGATCCCACTAAGAGAAGGGACATTGAGTATTACCGTGATCCGGCTCATAGGGGATATTTGAGTCATTTGCTCAAGCCTATGGAGGGCCCTAGTTTGTTCTTCCGGTCGCCGGCTGAGAGGAAGTCTATGGTTGGTGTTAAGAAGGAGAAGACTCTTCCTGAGAATCGGTTGTGGTAGATTGTTTTTTTTTTTACATGACTGTTCTGCATTGGAAGTGTGATTCTTTGTATAAATACAATTGTATGACTATCAACTGCCCGGCGTGAAGAATTTGAATGGACCAATAATTGTATTTGGCATTCAGCTGTACATGAAATACTATTTCCCAGAAGGCTACACCATCAGTAGAATGAATATAATAGAAATTAGCAATAGCGAAGTTGAAGCTTTTCATTGTCCCAGCCCAAGATGGAGGGGAATAAGTATTCCACGTAGATACACACCAAGAAGTCCAGAGTAGAGCAAGCCAAAACAGTACAGCGTCCGAGATTATAGATACAAACCATCCAAGATCAACCGAGAAACACGAAATCCGAGCACCGAGAAGATAAAACACTGTCTCAAAACGCCTTGCTTGACATCATCCGTAGCACCATTTTAATCGTAACGGAATCCCAATTCATATTATATAATGAACTCCGAGACCAGATGCCCATACCGAAATTGAGATGTCAATAATTGTAAATGCAGCATGCGAAAGAAAAAGAACAAAGAGAAATGGGGTATCAGATGATCAATAATATCGCAAGAGGTCGGCACAAGACCGACAGAGAGGATCAAAGTCCTCGAAATCCAAGATTGGGAAGAATCCCTATGTCACAACGTTAATCACAACCTCCAGGTAGTGTCGGTCAGATTTTCGTCGCTGGTTTCCTGATAACCGCCGAACCATCGCGAAGCCAGAACGTCTCGGATGGTCCAACGTTTGTCAACGTCTAATTCAAGACAGCCTTGGATCAGTTCAAGCGCATCTGCTCGGTTCTGGAATGTTTGCCGATCGTCAATATCGCCCTGCACTGCTTCTCTATTCCAAGATCCATTTATGATGTTCGAGCGAATTCGCGGCATAAACGCGTCACTGAAAGGTCGTGAGCCCACGACGACAGTGAAGACCACGACACCGAATGCCCATATGTCGACGGCAGGATTGATAACACCGTTGGTAGAGAGCAGTAATTCAGGAGAGGCGTATTCCAAGCTCCCGGCAATGCTGGTGCTTGAGTCGGAAGGGCCGATATTCTTGGGCGGAGGGCGGTCCGCTGCAGCTTCGTACGGGTCCGGTGAATTCGTTCCGTTATCTGTACTCATCCATTCGGCCATCCCGAAGTCGCATAATACCAGATTCGACGTTTTCGTACCATCCGGCCACTCAACCGGGTCCAAGAGGCAGTTTTCCAGCTTTATATCCCTGTGTACTACCCGGGCGTCCTCATGTAGGTACCGTAGTGCGCACGCTAGCTGATAAGTATACTTCTTCGCAAGTTTTATATCCAGACCATGGCGATTTTGGCGGACCAAATCGAATAGAGTGCCGCCGATTGCTAATTTCGTAAAGCAGAATGTGGCGTAGTCCGTTTCATATACGGCATCAAGGGTCAAAACGTGTGGGTTATTGAGATAACGCCAAACTCGAACTTCGTGATCGAACTCCGCTTGGACCTGGTCATTTTCGATTTCGTTCTTCCCGGAAACGTGCTTCTTCACAATTTTGATCGCAAGCCGCTTCGTGGAGCCATCTGTTTCCACCTTAAAGGCCTCCTTCACAGTACTAAAGCCCCCGAAGCCGATCTGTTTACCTAGGACATAGTCGGTTCCAACCATTTGACCCTCATCGTCCGGCTGAGGGGCAGGTTCCTCGCGGGAACTCCACATAGAAAGAAATGCGCTAGCTGGAGACTTAGCGCTCGAAGCTGTAGAGCGGCGTGAGCTCCGACGCGTGCCGTTCCGAAAGCTACTATTTCGCTCCAGAGGGAAGCCTCGAGGTTTACTTCCGAAAGTTGTCAGAGAAGCCCCAGACCAGGAACTGCGTTCATCCAGCTGTGGGAATTGTTGTATTGGTGAAGCCACACAAAAAGGCCAGAATCCTTTGGGTTCGGGAGGTGTTCGCAACTCGTCACTGAAGGGAGATGCAGGAGATGCCGAAGTTAGAGAGGAGAGACGATCAAGTTCAGAGCCCGTGGACATGTCATCTTCCGGGCTCGAGATGAGACGAGAGTTTCCGTTATGGAGGGCTCTGCGGCTTTCGATCCTTTTCGGGTCGGAAGCCCAATCCATGCTCTTGGTACTATCAAAGCCATCGTTTTCGTCATGAGATAGGGCATTCCTTAACCCAGAAGGTTTCGCTTGAGACCTGTACGATGGTCGATTCCTTATGTCACCCTTTGCCAACGGTTCTTCAAGTGCATGTTGGCGACCAGAGTCGAGAGTGACATTAGGGCTAAAGCTGATAGACGGACGGCGATTATGAAGGAAATTATCGAGTGGAGACGCCTGTACATCATCAGGTTTGTGTGGGAAACGGATCTCCGTACTCGAGGGCTCATCAGGGCGAGGGACGGAGATGGGCGGTGTTGCCGAATGAAGTTCACTCAATACACTGCTGTCCTGATCAGTACCGCGAGCGCGAGCGCCAGAATCGTGGAATATGTTGGTACGGTCGCCCTCGATACCATCTCTATCCGGCGTCGCCGCTCTAATCCCATCTCGATCAAGCCAGCCGGACCTATGTCTTTCTTGAAAAGACGTCTCAATCTTCAAGCCTGCCAGCGGTGTCTTCTTCTCCGTCTGAGCCATACGACTCCAGACAGCACGATCCAATCCTGTTCTTCGTCGAGAATAGTCGCTAATTTAGACACAAATGTGATTTGTGCACAGTCTTCCTATAAATGCAGTATTTTTCGATGGTTGTGAGGAAGGAACATGAATGTCGATTGAACGGAGGTCGCCGACGTTGCGATGATGATGATATTGTATGATCGACTATCGGGGCGGAGGACTCCGACAGGCGCGGGTACGACTTTCTCTTCCCGCTTGGTGCGCTAAGGCGGTTTATCTCGTTGTTAAGCCGAATTTCAGAAAGTAAAGGGAGGGGGATGCGATGAAATAGAAGATGCGAGATAGTAGAGGATGGAGGGGAGGAAATGGGAGAAAAGAAGTAGAGAATCCCGGGTGATGACGGAGGGAGCAAAAGCAAAAACGAGGGCTAAACCTCTAAGGCAACCCCGCGATCGGACTCCAATCCAGAAACATCTTAGCCTGAACGCAAATTACGGGGCTTCAGCCAATAAACACGCCTGAAACAGCTGCAAACAAGGCGAATTAAAGTTTTCGGCGGCTGAAAGGGCCCATATACCCCATTGCACGTGATAGCGAATAGTGTCTCAGACAGCCGCGCGCTAAACGCGCCTGTGCGGGATTTATATCACATGATATGAATACAGACGCGCCCAGGATTTCCGCTTTGGGCTGGAAGCGGCAGCAACGCCCAGCCTCCAAGAGGCCTGCAGTCCTCTTCTCCCCATGTTGCTCTGGAAGTAGTTTGTTGAACAATCCCTCCCAGTCCTTTTCTGGGACGTATTTGGCGTACTGCCCCCTGCCTTTGTCTGACCCGTTCTCTTCCATTGTTGTGTTTTCTCCCGCGCCAGGATTCCCCCTTATCGTTCCTTGCCTACCGACGTTACTACAGACACGCAACAACATTCATAACCTGGTCTTCGTTTCACCTTCATGAGCCACTCATTCGCAACGCAATTTGCACCAATCTCCATTTCTGCCAATCATACCCTCCCTTAGCTAACGACTGGTCCGCCAAAATGCCGAGGCCTGGAATTATTCGGGCTGGTACGTTCAACGGTTACTTACTGTCTACAATGATCAATAATGCGCCGCTTTTGGTCTATAATCGAATCAATTCCTGCTGACTCAGGGGAACAATTTCCGTAGATACCCTTGATCTTCAGAATCAAGATGCGCCTTCGGCTCAAGATCATTCCAAGCAACCCATACAATCCACCGTCTACCTGGAGAGCGGCCGGCCTGCTCCCCACCAACAAAAATCTCTCCATGAAGCCCAGCAGGAGTCGGAGGCTGAGATGGGCCGGGTTGCCATTGACGAGGACAGACACCTGGACCCCAATGGACAACGCAATGGTATTGAGATCTATGAGGAGCCTGATGAGATGGACAGCGACTCCCAGCAACTTGAACATCATAATTCACAATACGATGGTGACACAACGGGTGGCTCTGAGGAGGGCGATTTTGTTGATGGTGATGATGACTTGATGGATGACGACTTCATGGACAAGATTTCTAGCTCTCCGTCCATCGATGATGGTGGGTGTAATCGATATATAGCCTGTCATGGTCGATTATGAGAAGTCACGGCTTACACGAGGCAGAGGATATTGATTTTGAATTTGTTTATGCGCTCCATAATTTTGTCGCAACTGTCGAGGGGCAGGCAAATGCAGCGAAGGGAGACACCATGGTCCTTCTAGATGACAGCAACAGTTATTGGTGGCTCGTACGAGTTGTGAAAGATGGCAGCATTGGTTGGTCATATCCTGCTGTTGCTATTGCGTTGGTTAACACTTAAGCAGGATACCTTCCCGCTGAACACATCGAAACCCCTACTGAACGACTTGCCAGGCTGAACAAACACAGAAATGTCGACGTAAGTGCAAAATCTAGGCGTCATGATGAACAGCCCTAATATTCGTAGTTGTCTGCAACTATGCTTGGCGATAATCCGGAGAAGTCCAAGAACCCCTTGAAAAAGGCGATGCGTCGAAGAAATGCAAAGACTGTTACCTTCACAGCCCCAACTTTCATCGAAGCCTCTGAAATGGAGTTTTCCAGCGACGAGGAGCTGGATGGTGCAGACTACTTCAATAGTGATGATGAGGCGATTTCCCAGAGGATTGAAGATGATATGCACGACAATGAGGACAGTGATATTGTCATCGAACCTCTTAAACCAAAACCGAAGGAATCCGACGAGCCAGAAAGAGTACAGATGAAACAGGAACCTGAGCGTGTTGATTCCGAAGAACCGAGGTCAAGCGAAGAATCATCCCGGTCACAGCGTAAGAATTTCGGTTTGCGTTGCACCGTGATCATACGTAGCACAGACTTGCTGACTTGTCAGGAGCAGCCGAAACTACTATCAGCAGGTCCCGGAATGGTACTGTGCGCAACACGGATTCGTTCTTCAAAGATGATTCCATTGAAACGAAGAAGATATCCTTGACCCCTAACCTCCTTCGTGACGAGCTCAGCACAAGTACTCTTTCTCCTGAAGCGAAAGAGGTAAGAGCCGTTTCCGTTAGTAAATTACTCACTTCATAATTGCTGATGACGTTTCAACTCCAGACGATTGAATCGAATGACAAAGGCGTCATCTTGAGCGATAAAGGCAAAGACGACAAGAGACGAAAAGACAAGAAGTCCGGAATGCTCAGTGGATGGTTCAAAAGGAAGGATAAGAAAACAAAGGCAGCAGATGATGACGCTGAAGAACCTGAGAAATCATCGGGAGAATTTTCTTCGCTGTCGCCGGAAAACTCCTTTGACGGTCCGTTGTCGCCACAGGAGTCCCAGTTTCCTAAATCTTCAGGGCAGCAACAGTACAGTAAGCCGCAGCCAAGATCATTTGCGGAGGCGGCCTCTGTGAAGTCGGATACACAACTGGAATCTATGTCACCAGACTCTGCCCCCAATAGAAAGGGCGCAGCTCCAGCGGCGAAGGAATCTATCCGACGGGTGTTCTCCCCAACGACTGAAGACTTCCCCGAGTCCACGGAGCCTACGAAACGTCCCGGAGGTTTCCAGGACCCATCATCATCTCCAGTCAGCAGCAGGTCAGGCGGTTCTCAAACTCTTCCCCCCGCTGTTCAACCCAGTTCTCTGGATTCCTCGACATTCCCAGTTGAACGGGCATCTGGCGAATCCAACAGAGTGCTAGCTTCAGTTGATCACCCAGCGGTAACAGTGCGACCTTCTGCATCTCCTCCGGAGCCGCTTCAAACAAGTCTACGCGGTTCAGAGTCTCCGGTCGATGTGTCACCTTTGGACCCTTCTGCACCTCGTCTATCTATGGACAACTCGTCGCCTTCCATTTCTCCCATCTCTTCACGTACGTCCCCGGTTGCCGATGCTACCGGCGACAAAGCCGAAGCGGAAACCCCCATTTCCGCTGGGGTTGCCTCTGTTGAGTCTGTAGCATGGAGTGATTCCAGTTTGCGGACGTATCTGGACGACGGAAGCGATATTCGTGATTTGTTTATCATTGTCCATGACAAATCAAATATCCCTCCTGCTGGCCCGGACCACCCGATCAGTGGAAGCCTTTTCAGAGAAGAGAGCAAGCGGCTTAAAGAGATGGCAAATCAACTCGACGAGATGCTTGTCGATTGGATCTCGAGGAGGGTACGCAACCCACCACTCTGAAAGTCGCGGAGGTCGGACATGGTGAGGGAATTTTTGAACATGTGTACGAAACACGTCTACCAGGAGTCGTAGTGTGCTGGACACATGATAATGACTAAGTTCATTCATTTCGTCGCCGTACGGCCCTGCCCCGCTTGGCGTGTCAGTTAGCCATCAGTGTCCCCATGGCGGGTGCATTCCCTTCGCGTTCAGTCCATTTTATATAACAACACCCAAGTCGAACCCTGAGAGTTAGACTCTGAAACCAGGTAGTTTCTTTGGGGTTTCCCTCTTTTTTCTTTCCCTCACTCGTTTGCCAATCACATTTGCATTATCTTCTATTTCAGGCGGGTTCTGTGAGGCAGAGCCAATGCCGCTCGCTTACCTTCCCTCTTCTTTTCCTCCAGTCTCTTACAGGTTCTCTCCTTTTTGCTCTTTCTTTTTACCATTGCGACTTGCTGTTGCTGGAATACCCGGACCATAGTTTTCGTGTCTTTTTTTTGTTATATCAGCTTGATTTTTACGAGGATATGTTAGTGCCAATTCAAAGTCTAAACTACTGTTCTGGATATTGATAATATGCGTGAAGCGGGCCTCCCTTCCCTTTAGTAATCCAGCAATGCTGTCTGGTATCTGTGCATCTCATAGTGAGCAGGAAACAGAACCAAGGAAATTTCACCGATGAGACTCCCTTAAATTCTACTAAGATGGCAAGGAGGAATTAATTGGTAAGGAGACAAGGAATAAGAAGAGAAAAGAACACCATCATAAGAATGTATGTAAGACGATAAAATAAAAGACATCCCAGCATTATGCATGAGAGAAGGGATAGATTTTCCCGTTTTCCCTTCCATGATTCATATCCTATAAGTATACGCCAATCCAATCAATCAATCATAGTCAAAGAGATAAAAAAATATGAAAAAAAAAAAAACGAAGCATGGGCATCCGCTCTTTCTTTTCCTCTCTCTCCCTTTTGCTTTTCTTTTCTTTTTCCTTTGTTCCCCTTCACCTTAATACCATTTTCTAGGCCTCAGCCATAGGACCAGAATCAATGATCATCTCCACCTCTTTGATGGGATGTAATAGCATTGGAGGAAGACACATCCGGCCTTCACCGGCCAGTTCCTCCTGCTCGCCACCATCATTGTCAACCTTGTAGCCCAGCCAACGTCTCCAGAGATTCGGAGAAAATCCAGCAGAATAGAACCATGTTGTGCCGCGGAAGTTATGTTCACGTTCGCCAAATATGGAAGTTCGAGCACCGCCGGAGGCGCCGTTACGGCCGGCGTTGAAGACTAATTCTAGGTAGCGAGGGGGCCACCGGCGATCAACGTAGACGGAATGCGGGACGTAGACTGCTTTGAAGCCGTGGTGGAGAGCTGTTGTCGCTGGCCACATTTCGGAGAACATGCTGTGTCGTTGGAGACTGGTTTCTCTGTGCATGGTATTGAGAAGTTTGCGTGATAGTCGAGAGGCGGTGATGATGGCTGCGCGCCGAGGGGGGAAACCGTTTTTCTTGTTATATCCCGTGACATCTTCGCGTAGCAACCACGTTGTGCCCTCGGGGTCGTAAAGAGGGTTGAAGACGATGAGGTCAGCGTCCTCACCGACGCCCCATTGGTAGTCGTCTTTTTCCATTGTGGTCGGTGGGATACCCTCTCCCTCCACTTCGAAAACATCCTGTTCATCTGGTCGCTCTGGACCCCAGATAAATTTATCACCTTGTGGCTGTTGAATGCCCCCGTGCTGGTCCTGACCAGGCTTGACGGGGCTCCACATGTTGTTAGGGCTGTTGGTGCCAGATTGGGTGTGCCAGCGGACCATCTGTTTGAATTCCTCCCAGCTCCCATGCACCGAGGGTACGTAGAAGCGAGAGTTTCTCTCCCAGAGGCCCTTGCGAGGCTGCTGTTTAGCCCAATCCGCAACCTTGTCAAAGAGATGGTACCAATGACCCGTGTAACGAACGTCCATTTCCCAGTTCCAAAAGTAATCATACTCTGGATGCTGATGTGCAAAATACTGCATGCACATGAATGTGCTCCGGTACACGCCATGCACAGGTAAATCGCGGGCCCACGTTTCTTCTAGGCCCGGATACATCAGAGCCATCTGGCGCTCCGTCCAGAGAGTTCCCATGCCGTGAAACTCCTCAGGGAGTGAGTTACTGAGAACGCGCTCATAGGTTTCATCGTCTGACCAGATCTGTAGATTCTCATCCTTGACGTGAATGAGAAAGTGAACGACATATTCACCGCCCGACAGAAGAGAAAGCTCAGAGATCAAGGAGCGCAGATACATAATATCTTCCGGGGTATACTGGAAATCATGCCAGGTCCGAATGACAACAGCCGTTCGGGGCAGATGATCTGTTCCGGCTTGGGCCTTCGCATTCGCGTCACTGCCCAGAGGGTTCAAACCATTTGGCTTCGGAGAACCTACGGACATGGAAAGGAACTGATTGATCCTTGGTTCCGGAAGCTCTTTGAAGCGGTGATTGTTGATTGCTACGCATCTGTTTTGGGCCGATGCCCAGTTCACCTTGCGGAAATCGACAGGCGGTATATCTTCCCAGACACGCTCTGCGCCCTCCCGATCTCCTTCCAAGCCCGCGCCACTACCTCCTTTGGGCACTCCATAGCCCAGACCGTAAGGTCCAAGGCGACCAAACCGGTCAAAGCATACGTCGTCCCGAATGCCGATAATCTCATTAGAGCCCATGATTGCGTCTGGGAATCCGCGTGGAACGCCACGGTAATGGCGAACTAGCGGGATACGTACGGTACCGCTGTCATCCAGAAAGCACTCACGTTTCTCTCCGTATTTCTTCACGTACTCCGCGGAATTATAATCGGGATATGGATAGAAGGGGGCACTGGACATCTTAGGAGGCTCGCTCCTTTTGTTGAGACTATTTTTCGCATCGGAATCCGTTTCGGACTCCTTGTCAACTGCCAGAACCAAATCTTCGGGACCCTGGCCAGGATATTCAGGTACATTCTCCTTTCGCGACACCAGCGTTCGAATGCCGCCATGGTAGCGTTTGAGAAAGGGGAAGCTCTCCCATCGCGGCGGTTTGGGAGCAGATTTAGATACCTCGAGCGGAAGCTTTTGGGTGGAAGTGGAGAAGGCAAAGCGGAACAAAGTTAAAACGAAGAGGAGAAGCGCGACAAAAAGCGACAAGCATAGCCATCTCATAATGCGATTCGGAACCCGGTAGAAACCAGCCCTTATTCGACTACGCCGTCTGGATGGCGAACTAGCATTCGACATAGGCTGATAGGAGGCGGCAGCGGGCAAATCATCTCCTTTTTCTAATCCGGAGACGCTGCGGTAGGGACGGGTACTCTGGCGCTTGGGTGGCGGCTGCTTCTCGACATCTATAGAGGTATCATAGGAGCGTGCGAAAGGGGATGGGGCCTTGTATGCGGAGGAATGCCTCCTCGCCTGGACAGTCATGTCTTTAAACGGACGGAAATAAACATCGGCGTCAACATCGACGTATCACTCTGGTGACTGACCGCGATCGGTCAGCGAGATGGCATCAAAGGATTGGGTATGAGTATGCCACCCAATCCCAGAAGGCAAGCTGAAGGAGAACAATGAGAGAGAGTCAGTCGTCAATCTCTGATAAGCAATGAGGCAGTTGTTGCCAAGGCAGCGGACAGGAATGCAGTAGCATGGGGAGGGGACACAAACACACCGTTGTGTCACACAATACCTGTTCTTTGTAACTGGGTATATTATATATATAACTGGCTATTGCAATTGTCACTTGAGAAACAAGGCTAAAGCCTGAGTGTTAAGAGGAAAAGAACAGTCAGCACATTGTTACTATTAATTCCCACAGCTGCAATGAAGCAGGGGTGACAGCAGAACTCACTAAATAGCTGGTGCCACGGCAACCATCAATTGCAGAGACAACCAACTTCTGCGCGGCGTAGGGAGATGGACGATGGAATAATAACGATAGTCAGAGCAGCATGAAGAGAAAAGATGAGTGCTTCGAACAAATCCCCAACACAAATCTCCGCAGAGGGCTGAACACTTAAGGGGTTTCAGTCTGGGCATTGCCTTCCTATTTTCTTGGCGCTGGCAAACGCGTTCTGAACAAGTGTAATGTCCCTCACTGCGACGGGGGTCTAGAACCTAGCATAATTTCCACGAGACGGAGGAAATGTGGGCATCCCCATAATGACACGGCCCATCCATGGTCCCAAAAGGCAGTGGGAATTTGAAAGGAGCGGATTTTTGCTGTTCTGAATTGTCCATGGTTTCTCAGGACGCCATGTGACAAAAAGCCTTTCTGTCTGCAGCGTATAACTACTTTATAGTATATACTACTCTGTCCTGTTCTTCTCTACCATGGAGAAAGGTAGGAAGATCCAAACCGTTTACTCCCTGCTTATCTGTGCTCATTCCACTGTCTCACCATCTTAGCACCAGACGCTTGATCTTCCGCTAAACAACCTGTCGCGGACGATCCCGAATACTCTACGTTATTGAAACGCGTATCTGTGAAGAGATCCTTGGATTAATACAATTGCGCATTGCAGATCAGAAAGCTGGCCTACGAGGCGTGAGAGCATCCCAATGCAATAGGGACCAGGATAAGAGACCAAAACGTCGTAGCAATTTCGTATCCCCCCATATCTCTCTTAACATAGAGCAATACGCCGTTCCTATTCGAAACAGGACCCCTTAGTACTGCCTGGAATTAGCAACATGAATGTCTGTACCGGTCGAGAAGAGATGAGCTCTTGGAAAACAAGAAGGCTGAAACCCCAGCCGAATGCGTTTTAGAAAAGAGGCCGACGAGAAAGACGCGGAGATAAGTCCGTTTTGAGAAAAAGAAACATGGATATTTAAGACAAACTGTAAAGCAAATCAGGTACACAACAAAAGAAAAAGGAGAAAAAAAGAAAAAAAAAAAAAGTTTAAAACACACAGGAGTATTTCGTTGGATCGACGCCAGGATGAGAAAGAGACATAAGGCTAATAGGCATAGAGGAATGAAGAGCCATTCGTGAACACACAGGTGCCAAAAGCTGCAAATACCTTCCCTACGCGTGAAGTGTCATTGCTGGCACTGGCTGCTACTCTCCAGAGTGAAGAAGGGTAGTCACCGTCAATGTCCCGTCGTTCGCAACTCTTCGTCATCTTCCGTATTCTTCCACCACCAACTCCGTAAAATTTCCGCTTCCGTCTAGTCATGGTTGGTCCTCTTGAGGGTATTTGCGAGCCACTCCAGACCTTCGTACAATCCGTCACCAGTGGTGGCGCAAGTGGATTGGATAAACTAGATGAACGAGTATGTCAGTTGATCTGGGGAGACTGAAGATGTAAGGAGATTAGAAACTTACCCAAGCACGGCGGGTGAGACTCTGTAGACCAAGCTGCTGGGTGATCTCGGCAGGGCTCATGGCATTCTAGGAAGAAAACGAAGAGGGTCAGCTTGCGTGAAATGCGGCTCATACGGCAGGAGAGAGCATACAGGTAGATCTTGCTTGTTAGCAAAGACAAGGAGAAGGGCATCGCGGAGTTCGTCTTCGTTCAGCATGCGCTGCAATTCTTCCCGGGCCTCGACAATACGGTCGCGATCGTTGCTGTCGACAACGAAGATGATACCCTGGGTATTCTGGAAATAATGCCTCCAGAGAGGACGGATCTTATCCTGACCACCAACATCCCACACGGTGAACTGGATGTTCCTGTATTCGACAGTCTCGACGTTGAAACCTACGTGACGAGGGGCAGGTGTCAGCTGGCTTGCCGTTCACGAGAGATAAGGAGCATGGAAAGCAAATGAAAGGAGATTAATAGTATGGCGCATAGGTTGAGGGCGGAAAGACTGACCAATGGTAGGGATGGTAGTGACGATTTCACCGAGTTTCAACTTGTACAAGATGGTGGTCTTTCCGGCAGCATCAAGACCAACCATGAGGATTCGCATCTCCTTCTTCCCCCATATCCGATCGAATAGCTTCGAAATGCTAATACCCATTTTGGCTGTGGTGAACCGATATGTCTAGGGAGAAAAAAAACCAAGGCTGTGAGCTCAGAGGAAGAGTGTCAGTTCAGGCAAAGACAACGTGAGCACGCACAACACGTGCTGGATATGAAAGGGCACGTGTACGAGCGAGCGAGAGACGGACGTGGGTAGTGATAAAATGTAGATGGGACTAAATCGATGGAATGGACGATGGCTGAAGAAAGGTCGTCCACGGGGAATGACAGATGGGGAGAACGTAAAGGACACGGAGCAATCAATAGGGGGGTTGTAAGGGAGGTACTGGAGTACCGAGGAGAATTGTCGCCAGAACGAATTCTCGCAGAGGGCAGTGAGATAAGCGAAACAGGGCGACTTACAGGAGATACCGAACAGGAGGGCGGTTAGGGGTCGATGGAAGGGTACGAGGCAGAGACGCAGAGTCGCAGCGATAAAAATAATAGGCAAGACAGGAGTTGGAGATGAGTTGATGGAGGTGCAAATTTCGGGGAGCAGGAGCCAGGTTGAGAAGTGCGGCGGCCGGCGTAGCCCCTGTCACTAAGCAGATCGCGCAACGCAGAACCAGAGGAACGCCTCCTTGCTGTGCCAGATTACTACAGTGGATGCTGTTATTATGAATTTATGATAGGTATTTAGCTACGCATAGTAGGATGCTCTACAGACTGGTATACGTGCAGGTTGCCGTCGAGGCGGTTCCCTTCTGCCTGGAGGCCAAAAGGACACGGTGTTGTCCCGTCGATGCTCTCATACGGAGAAGCATTATACCTAATTTCTTATAATAACCAGAGATTCCAGGTCTGGATCTGAGAAAACACTGCTTTATTTCGCCCTGATAGGCTCCGCGGGGGATTATTAAAGCGTCGCACGTTTCTATTTGCGGTCCACTGCTGCCAAACGCCCGCTCACTGGCCACCGCCACTCGCTATCATTTATTACTTGTCTTCTTCTCCTTGGTTCACCTGTTTTGGATCCTTCGCCTCAGCTCCATGTCCAAATGAATCTGCCTACTTCCAAGGTGCACGTCCCTCCTCGGTCGTAAGGGAATTGCTGCCTTACAAGGCACATCTGCCGCGTTATTCGGTAGTAGAGGGCCTCGATCATTCCTTTTGCCGGCGCGAGAGCCTCTCTTTCGAGGACCGGAAGAATGCCCTAAGCAAGGGCTGGTAGATAGGAGCTCCCTCTACCGTGCCACTGGCATACCCGAAAAGAAGGAGCACCACAATGGACAGGAACATGATCACTCCAAAACTAACCCAGTAGTCATTCTTCGTGTACACGCCTTGGAGATCGTCAATCTGCGTTGAAAAATACGCAGTCATCAAGCTGACTGGTAGAAACAGTATAGTCACTTTTGCTAAGAAAACGGTGATCCGCGTTAGCTTCTCGACGGCCTGCGAATCCTTCAGGGCAATGAGGTTGAAGTTCTGCGTTATTGCTCAGGCTAGTCAGCACCATGTCGATATATCCGCCCAGGTAGAAATGGGACTCACAAGAAATGTGAGCGATTCCTTCTCCACCAGGCACGTCTCGATTTCGCTCAGGCAGTACAGTTTGATGCGATCTACCAGCCTCTCAAAGCGACCCACCGCAGCGGAGCTCAAAGGCACCCCGTTTGGAACATCATACATGCTTATGCCACTGATATTGCTTTGACTTCTGGCGGTTGATCGCTGCAAATCATACTCCATTTCTTCCGGCATACTTTCGAATAAAATCCTACCCCGGTTGGCACGCGTGTTGTCACAAAACAAACGCTGTCTCTGCAGGATGCGCCTCATGATGAGTTCGTAGCTCTGATACAGACGCTTGAGCACCCCGAGTCTTCTACCCAGCCAATGCAACTCGTTGATCAATTCGACTCGGGGATGCTCCAGCATTTGTTTTCTCTGCATTTCCAAGTTCATAAGTCATCCTGACACATCCGCACACAGACCTGGGCAAGGCCTTACCAATCTATCCAGAGAGACGCCATATCTGTGCTCCCGTTTCGCAATTATCCCATAGCTGGACATCCAGTCATCAAAGATATAATAGAAGAGCAAGCTGGGCCCGTCTTCCTGTTTGATACGCGCCTGATTCAGTCCAACATTGGTGACCTGCCGTATACGGATTGTCTCAAGCGATTCGCTTTCAGACAATGGCAAGTGCTGCTTAGAGGCCCCCGCGAAGATCAATCGCACATTTCGCCGGACGACCTCTACCACCACCTTCTGCTCATCCTCATCCGAAAGGTCAAACGCCTTGGGGTATGGGTTATCCTGAATTGAAATTATCGTTCCTTATGAAGTCAGCGCCAATACTGCACATTCGGATAGCGGGAGTTCCTCAGCTATACCATCATCACAGAGTATTAACCACGACCATAGTCGTTTCCCGTCTGGTAAGCCTGGGCCATTTTCGATCTGAATGTTCGGGATCGCGTATAAAGAGTTATACCCAATGCAGGTATCTGGTGCAATGTCAGCAAGGGTACACGATCACCAGCCAATATAATAATGTCTGCGTACACCTCTGTCCATAATCAACGGTGCAGAAATGCCAGAGCTGATCATGGATCTGGGAGAACGTGAGGCTCTTCGGAAACGCAGTTGCATGTTTTTCTTCGGGCGCGGCTAGCTCTTTCAAAATATACGCTCCTTCTAGGTCGTCCTTACGAGAGTGGTCCAGGATGCCATTCAGTCTTGTGTGAACTGGTGGCGGTACTTTAACTTTAGAGGAGCACGGAGTGGGGTCCGTACACATCATTCCCTGCAGTCTCTCTGAGATACCATAGTGGCTCATAATAGTCTTCAAGCTGTCAGTAATGCAGGTATCTCGAGACTGACGGAATGGAGCGGAACCAACCTTGATGGAAGTCTTCTGTTCCTCGGGGGCCCATATATTGCTGACAGTTTCCTCCAACATCAGTCTACAATGCTCGACAGAATATAACGCCAGGATATCGCTTTCTACTCACATCCACCTGGTCCCAAAACATGGATGTTTCTAGAGCTTATATATTAGCATTTAATCAGATACCTAGACTTTGATGAAAATAAGATGGAGGAAACAGCTTACCGGCCTACTGAGCAACTGTTCGATATCATGCTTCTCTAGGTTCACAGCGCACCACGCATCCTTGTCTCCAAAATCCAACACGAAGTTCGTAGTCTCATGCTCTTTCAGCAGCGTCATGTAGTGGGCGAATGTCACGGGGTCATCGACATTGCCAAATTTATTCCCCAGATCCCCGAAACTCGAATAATATTCGGACGCGGATCGTGGACTTCTAACACTTGCACAAGGGGAAGAGTGAGGAGGGGCAGGATGCGTAACGAATCCTTCTGGTTTTTCCATCATGAAAAAAGAATCTTTCTTTTGTATGTCTAGTCTAGTCTGGGGTGATTTGACATTCACTTGGCATACACATCACTGTAGAGAAAAGAATGGTAGGAAGTTAGACACCATGAAGGGGGGAATCAGAGAATGGATGGGCAAGATGCTGGATGCTGCATCATCATCTAATATTAATAGGTGCTTCATTATTATTATCAGAGCATCCCTGTCGGGCAAGTGACATCGTGCACGCGCCCGGCTTGCGCAGCGTAGGGAACCGCGCTTAGTTATTCAACAGCTGACCCCATTAATCAAACACTAATAGGACACTATCCAGTAGGTACTGTCTTGAATATCCTGTACACTGATACGTTAAAAAAGTTAGGAATGGGAAAGAGACCTTGGATATCCGCCGTGGAATGTACTCACTCCATGCAACTCAAAGGATAGGATAACTTGCATTCCATACCTGATTCATACAATCATGGCTCGTCAACTGTTTTTAATACTGAAGATATAATAAAGCATGGTATCCGATGAGTTGGAATAAGCCAATCTCTGCGTAGTCGGCGATGGCCATACTAGAAAGACACTACCAAATATCATCATCCGATAAACCCCCGATGTATTCTGCCGTTCTGGTTTGCTCCTTGAAATATCCAAATGGCCAGCAGCGTCTGTCGCAATCCGTTCGCTGGGTAGTATGCTTGAGAATTGATGCTGACAAGAGTATATGGTCTCTGTACACTACGAAAACCATATACAGAGCTTTGATAAGGCCGATATACTCGCCCATAGACCTCATACCATCCTCTGTAAGCCTTATTCCCTGCGCTGTACGAAGTAGGCATAGTTAGTCCACGATGCAGCTAGTCAACTAACTATATTGGAGGTGTGTCTTCTGTCCTGCTACTATCTAGAGCGCACTTCCTAAACCGGCTGTGCTAGGCCAGGCGAGGGCGGTTTAACCGGGCATAGACCACGTGACCTACAACAGAAAGAGGGAACAGGGGCTTAGGGCAAGCCTAATCCACAAACGGCTAGTGCAACAAGACACCCACAAGCGGAGACGAAATACGGACTTTTCTGCGGCAGCGAAAGCGTTCCCTTTTTTTTTGACGAAAACAGCAACGACATTCAGCGCAGTGCCTCACCATAAGAATCTAATAAGTTCTTTTGGAAGACTACAGCCACCATGTCCAAGATCACAGTCGGTAAGTTTGTCTACGATTCTTGTTTCGTTGATGACGGAATAGGCGGCTGAACCAGAGACTAACTTTTGCGACAGCCGGTGTGCGCCAGAATGTCCAGCAGCTGCTCGACTACTCTCAGAATGAGAAGAAGAGGAACTTCCTCGAGACTGTTGAGCTTCAGATCGGTCTGAAGAACTACGATGTCCAGCGTGACAAGCGTTTCTCGGGCACCATTAAGCTGCCTTCAGTTCCTCGTCCCAACATGAGCATCTGGTGCGTTTTGCCCTAGTCGAATTATCGTGATTTTTTTTACGGGGAGGCCATGGAAGGGAGGAAGAGAGGCGGTTGCGATGCTGTGTGGAAGAAATTCAGGATAATGCAGAAGGGACAGATATTGAAGCAGAGTAATGCCGAGCTGACGACAACCCGTGTTTTTACAGTGTTCTTGGTGACCAGCACGATCTCGACCGTGCCAAGCACCACGGAATCGATGGCATGTCCGCTGAGGACCTCAAGAAGCTGAACAGGAACAAGAAGCTCATCAAGAAGCTTGCCCACAAGTACGATGCTTTCCTCGCTTCCGACGGTCTCATCAAGCAGATCCCCCGTCTTCTCGGACCCGGTCTTTCCAGGGGTACGTTTTCCCAATTTTCACTTTCTGTTTCACGTTGCCAGTGCTAATATTGCCTTTCCCAACAGCTGGTAAATTCCCTACCCCCGTCTCCCACTCCGAGGACCTCGCCAATAAGGTCACCGAGGTCAAGTCCACCATCAAGTTCCAGCTTAAGAAGGTTCTTTGCCTCGGTGTTGCCGTTGGCAACGTCGGCATGGCCCAGGAGGAGCTGGTTGCTAACATCATGTTGGCCATCAACTACCTCGTCTCCCTTCTGAAGAAAGGCTGGCAGAACGTTGGCAGTCTTGTCATCAAGGCTACCATGTCTCCCCCCAAGCGTCTATACTAAACCGGGAGGAGGAAATTCTGTTCATGTCTGTGCCGCGCTGGGAGGTTTCTTATTAGCTTAGAAGTGACAGTGTACACACCTTGAATATGAAAACAAAAAAAACTTCATGACTTAACCCGTTCTTCTTGCATTCGATCACATAAGTGAGCTACTATTTCCCGCTTTGACGGTAAATATTTCTGAGTCACGTTTTGGATTATTATTGGCATACAGTTCCATCTCGGCAAAAGCGACTATATATAGGTATATCTACATCGTAAGAATCGTAGTCTTCAGTAGGTCAACCCAACTTGCCATGGGACTCACTGCATTCCAGGCATCAAATCGGTTTTGTCCAGAATCATACCTCTAATCCCGATGAACTCACGCAGGCTATCCCATTCTTCGCCTTCTTCCTCACCTCTCATCGAAACGTCCTTGAACCCCCAAGCAACAGCGACTTTATCTAGGGCTGCGCGCTCTTCCTCACGAATCCAACGAAGCCGCAACGGAACCCCAGGCATCCAAACAACACGTTCCATCTGATCATTTGCGGTGGCGATGGAGATCATCCCCATCGACGACACGCCCCCGACATATGCCAGGATGGCAGCCAGCGTGATCCCTGTTGCTGTACTGGGATCCATGGTATTCTGGAACGACGACACCCAGGACGCAATGGCGTAACTTGCAGCAGGTGTAGCAGCCAATGCACCTAGCGGAACCGCAGCCTTTTTAAAGAATTTCGCACGGTGGAATGCGGGAGTGCAGAAGGTATTATCGATGATATTCAGAACGAGCGGCAGGTCCTTTTGCTCGATGGCTACGTCGAGGGCCATATTGGCGATATCTGCAGGGACAGCACTATTAACGCCCTTGGGGTTAGGTTTGTGGTATTTGACCGGCGAACTGTTTTCCTCAGGAATGGGCTTGTGGGCGTAGAGACGGAAGATCTCGGGGAAATCGTCGGCGCGTTTCAGCAGGGTTTGGATCTTCGTGTAGGAAGCTAGGGCTTCGGGAGAGATGAAGACTTTCTCGTCCTTCACGATGCCGTTGACTATCTTCGACACGGAATTCGCCAGATGCGATTGGACGCTATTCGTGCCTGGCATTACTGCTTTTAGTTGTCGTTGTCTTTTCGTAGTCGTCGTTCTGTTGCTGCTCTTTTCCTCTTCTAGGTTCAGTAACGATGAGGTCGCATTGCCCTTGTCCTTTGCTGGAAATGACTTTCCTCCATCCTGTTCTCGCAAGACGAGCGCTGAGGCGATTTCTTCACATCTCTGAAGTAATTGGACCACAGATTCGTTGGAGGGGACAGAACCTGAATTGCGGATATGCGACGATTCCTGGCCGACTTGTCGCAAGGCTGCTTCCAAGTCAGCAGTAGAGGCTGCCTTCGCTTTCTTCGAAGCAAATCGTCGGGAGATAGGCTGCGAATATATCAATGGGAGTGATGGAATCCCCTTCGGCCGCAATGCCCCCGGATTTACCCTGCGGTTTGCCCGGCTGACGGGGTTCTGTTGTGCCAGGAAAGGGCTACAATGTGCGGCTGAGAAGGTGGAGAACTGGCAGCAGTAGCAGACCAGCCCTTTGGGGCCTGAACTGCGCTGCGGTCTGAAGGCAATGCTCTTCATGGTCATGGAGGCAGAGTGAAGCCTTCAAAACGCTTCTTCGGGGATTTGTTCTGGTCGAGCATCGAACACCCTTACCGCCTTGGCAATTACTGCCGCCTGGCACTGCCACAGCGTCCGTCACCTCGCCTTCATGTCATACTGCGTGCTTCCCGTACAACTTCAACTTCACTGTCTACTCCTCCAGATACCATCGCCAGACTGCTGTTGATGCCAGATGGTCCACCTCATTGCCCCCGATTGAAGCCCTCATATCGATAATCTCTATCGTTGCAACCGACGTCTTGATCCCGACCACAAAAGTCTTATCGCCTTGGTGTCCATTCGAACACCATGCCTCCTCCTCCTCCCCCTCCTCCTCCGCCTCCCCCAGGTGGGTTGGGAGGCCCTCCTCCTCCCCCTCCGCCCCCAGGCAATTTTCCCGCAAGACCTTCAAATGCGGCAGTGAAAGACCGAGTTAGTCCGATGATCCCACTTTTCCCGTTTCTGGTACCGATATTTCGCTTGTGGAGGTCAGCCGCTAACTGTCATACTAGAGCGCACTACTATCTGATATCACGAAGGGGACCCGTTTGAAAAAGGCAGTGACCAACGATAGATCCGCACCAATAATTTCTAAAGAGGGCAGCAAGACATCCGGTCCTCCAATCGCTGGTGCCCCCCCTGTTCCTGGCATTCCTAAGCCGCCGTCTGGTCTTGCGCCTCCAGTTCCCTCTGCAAACAGACTACGAAGCAATAGTGAGGGACGTTCCGGGCCCGATAATACATCCAGCCTCCCAGCAGCACCACAACTGGGTGGGCTTTTCGCAGGTGGGATGCCCAAGTTGCGCAGCCGTGGGGGTGTTGATACTGGGGCCAGTCGGGATTCTCCATATCTTTCGGATTCTGAGAGTACAAGGCCGAAGCCCCCTGTTGCATCTGCTCCCAGACCACCGGCAGCTCCAAAACCACCTGTGGCGCGCCCTCCTCCACAGCCGCCGTCTACGGAGTCTCCTCCCATTAACCCGTTGGTCGCGAACCTCAGAAAAACACCTCTGAGACCAGTCTCGAGGCCCTCCTCAACTACAACTTCCACAAAAACATTCCCAGATGCGGCACCTCCGCGTCAGCCGCCTCCATTGCCTGGGGCTAAACCTACAGTATCTTCTAGGAAACCGTCAGCTCCATTTCAACCACCTCCACCTCCCCCTCCTTCTACTAGCCCAGCTGCACCCCCTCCTCCTCCTCCACCACCCCCGTCATCTGCTCCCCCGACCGCCACCTCCAATGCGGTCGACCCCTCCTCCGCCTCCACCTCCGCCTCCTGCTCCGGCGACAGCTACATCGCATGCAAATGGAGTTGCAGCTGCTTCAATAGCTGTCCAGGCTGCCAGGAATGCTTTTGGAAACAGTAATCACATTCCCTCTTCTCCCCCTCCACTACCGCCGGCACCACCGGCACCGCCTTCGATGGCTCCGTCAGCACCTCCTCCTCCTCCTCCTGTTGCTCCTCCTGTTCCCCCTCCAAGCGAGCCGCCGTCTCGCCCGTCTTCGTTTGCGACCACAGCGAGTACAATCATGTCCTCCATCAACCACCATACCAGTCACCAGCCAGATCGTCAGCGACTGGATCCAAGCGCTTATACTCTCAGCAATGGCGGGTCATCTGCCTCATCTACTTCTGGATCTCATGGGGTTGTGCGCATTGATGACAACAGGTTCAAGTTTCAGGGCGAATCGCTACTACCAAAGCCTCGACCATTTTCAGGTGGAACCAGAAGATATCGAGCTGGGAGAGGGAGTAGTGTGCCATTGAACCTGAGCGCTTTAGGTGGTTGAACCGACTGCTGCCATTTCGAATGTGGCATCTGTCTTCGCATGTCTATGCATTTCACATTTCACCATGCTGCTTGGTAAGTGCAACATGAAAGGTCTATGCTTTATGATACGATTCTGATATTCTGGTGCAGTGTTATGTCGTGTCGGTATACCCAGTATATGATTCGGGTTGCTAAGCGGATGTACAATCCGCGCTTTGAAGCTTGAATCAGCAGCTTCTTATGTATGGTCACTGGTGTATAGTTGATACCCGATAGAACATATAGAGGTAGCCAACAATCTGAAGTAATGAGTAAATAAATAACCTTCAATCTATAAATATTCTCTAGGCGTCCTCACTAGGCACTCCGTACGTAATCCACCACCGAGCCGCTCATTTTCCCACCGAATCCACCACCCATCAGAATTAATGCTTTTGCAACCACCATCATTAAATTTTATCAAAATGCCTTTATCTCAAGGAAATAATTTGCACATGGCCATATCAGCATATAAAAAGAAACAGTTCAAATCAATTGTTGCTGCTGAGGTTTTTAATGTCTCAAAAGCAACCCTTCGTGATCAGCTTCATAGGGTCAAACCACGTACAGAAACACGTGCAAATGGCCATAAATTATCAGATTTTGAAGAACAGGTCCTTATCAAACGGCTTTTAGAGGCAGATAAATGAGGATTTCCAATTCAGCCAGAGTTCCTGCGAAGAGCACAAATTCTACTCCAAGAATAAAATCCTTCTGCACCTCACCTCCTATTGGTATCAATTGGGCATCTAACTTTGTCAAACGCCATTCTGAAATTCAAACAAGATATAATCGGCAGATTTCATATAAAAGGGCAAAGCAGGAGAATCCAAATATCATAATATCATGGTTGGATACTGTACAAGCAGCTATTCAAGAGTATGGTATCCATGAAGATGATATCTGGAACTTTGATGAGACTAGCTTTGCAATGGGTCTCTGTTCAACTTCTAAAGTTATCACTTTAGTTGAATGCAGTGAGAGACCAAGAACAGTGATTTAAGGGAATAGATAATGGGTCACAATTATTGAGTGTATTGGATCCAGAGGTTATCATATTCCACCATTGATAATCTTAAAAGGGAAGGAGCAACAAGCTGCTTGATATCAAGAATCAGCTCTTTCACAAGAATGGCATATTTCAATAAGTCAGTATGGTTAGACTGCTGATAAATAGGCCTTCACTGGCTTAAAGAGGTGTTTAAACCATATTTAAGACAATATTCAATTGGTGTGAAGTGGCTTCTTATTTTTGATGGCCATAGCAGTCATTTATCTGCAGATGTTGATATCTTCTGCAAGGAGAATGCAATTATCTGTCTTTGCATGCCTACATATACATCTCACCTTCTTCAGCCACTGGATGTTGGCCTCTTTGGGTCTTTAAAGTGTGCATATGGAAAGCTTTTTGAGGTGATGATAATTGCTGGCAACAATCATATTGATAAGGAAGACTCAGAAATAGCCATCTGCATGTGGGCTTCTTGAGAAGGAGGCATTTTATACGAAGAAGGTAAAAAAACGATGCGTTGAAAATGGTAGAATGAAACTGGCGCGGGGAACACAAGAAATTCGCAGCTCGGTGGTTGATTACGTTATCAAATATGAGGGGAAACAACAACCTTTTTTGACCTCTAGTTATCTATGAGGATTTGGCCCCTTTCTGGAACTTCGTAACTATCTAATTAGCATGAGAAGTTGCTCATATGAGCTGCCATAGTAGGGGGCTGCACTGTATATTATGCCCCTCGCCCGTGGAAAACAATTTTGAAAAGACATTGTACTCCGCCCTGATTGCTTCTCTATGCATATACTTGTTAATGGTATGGTCTCAGCCTATTGCCTTACTTGATCCTTACTGGGTATAGAATGAAGAATACCATGACAAACTATGGAACAGGCTACCATATTCTCCATGAAGTCGCCTAATCTGACTAATTTCATTTTCCCCCCATCGTCCTTCTCAACTCCTACATTTACAAATCCTAGTTGCTTGTGCTTCGTACTTTCTGTGACTAAATGTACGGACCAAGACTCAGACCAGCTCCTTCATCCATGTTTTGGGTTCCAGTGCTACTGGAGCCTATTCCCTCTACCTGGACGTGTGCATCCTATTGATCTCTGTGCAACGTGTCTGCAGGCACTGGAAAGCTATAATCAACAACTCCAAAGCTATCCAGCGAGCTCTATTCTTCGAACCTGCAAACCCTCATTCAAAAGGTATACAGGAATCTTTTGAGTACAATCCTCTCTTCCGAGAGTTCTTTTGGCCTACTAGGCCAGATCTCATATACTTCCACGCCCCACGATCGAATGGACCAGTCCAGCTAATCCCTGTACTAGTTTTGGTGCAACGGAAAAGAAATTGTCGAAAACCAATATCACAGTCCATGGCATCCTGACTGATAGTTAAAGATGGAATCTCCAAAGTCCCAGCAGCCTATGGGGAAGGATGATACGGAAGTACGTTATACCATGTGTACTACTTGCTTACTAGTATAGCACCACATTACCGAGACTGATCTGTTTCTGGAGTTCGGAATTGCTGAAGATCGGCTCGCTGAAACCAGCGTGGGCACTATGGAGGAGGATACGATAATGACCACTGACGCGAATTTCCTCACCTTGCTAACAGTCTTGGGTAAGAGAAGCCGGAGATTGGTTTGATCTGTTGCCTATTTGACATTTCGTCTCAAGAGGATACTTAGCTGCACATACATCATTAGCCATGTTGAGCCCAAAAGATGTCATGACACCTAAGAAGCATTCAGTATGTTGCTCAAGTCGATAAGCCAATGCCAAATGCATAAACTGTCCACAGCTATATCAAAGCAAACTTCCTGTCCGCAATGAGCAGCATAGTTGTGGTAATAGAGCTTGGCGTAACCACGTGACTTTTGAATCTGGCATCTCCTCCCGGACGAGCTATTATTATAAAAGAACGTAAGGACTCCAAAAAAAAAGATTTCACAAAGACCCGGCCCAAATCAATTCCTATACGACTAGTTACGGCCTGTTTTCGAACCCTACACCTCGACGGTTCTTGTTTCACTCTGGAACCCTTGCTGCGGTCTGCAAGAGTCTGTTGACAACGTTGGCATTCGCAAACAGTTGAATCCATCAATTAAACCCTCGAGGATTTCTTCTCGATTTCAAGGGAAAGAGAAGTCGAAGCTTTCTTTTTTGCACCTCGGTACAGCTATCGAAACTGGAAAGGGGAAAAACCGCATACGTCGCTAGCTCTTCTAGAGTCCGCACCGCGTTGCGGGGAACAGGAGGCAAAGCGCTCACACAAGCACTTGCTCCGTACGCTGTCAGAAGTCTAGCCGTTAGCGCAAAGCGAGCCGCCCTTCATTATATGCCCTGAGTTGCTTGGTTCCCAAGAGCGACACCATGTCTCTTCATTCCTATGTAAATAGTTGGTAGTCCCTTTGGTCCGCACTTTTATTGTTGACATTGATCCAGCTAACGTATCAACATCATGGATAGAGAAGGTCCTAATCCTGACTGTTGACGGCCGGACTCTTCTCGGCACACTCCTATCGACAGATCAGCTAACGAATCTCGTCCTCACCAATACAATTGAACGTATAATTCGAACTCCGGATGACCCCGAACCGAGCTCCGAGATCGAGCATGGCTTGTACCTGATCCGAGGCGATAACGTGGTGGTATGTGGCGAAGTTGACGAAGCCATTGATAACGATATCGACTGGACCAAGGTGAAAGGCGAAGTGGTCAGAGGCACAAAGAATGTGTGAACGATCTATTTCTTCGTCGAATATCAGAAGATGCCAACGGCATTTGACCAACATGGATCGTGAAGTGGATGTCAAGGGCCCTTTCGACTTTTATGGACCTCGATTTCACGACAGGGGGGGGCAGTGTTTCGAGGATAGCAGTTACGCCTTGTGAGAAAAGAATCGCAGCATGCCGTCATTCAATTGAATTGACTGACTATCCATCCGTTGTGTGCTGAATGTTCTGGGATAATATCACGGATCCCCTGTCAAGTTTCGTGGCGCTTTTTTTGTTACTCCTCACTGGCACATTCTGTCCTGCTCCAGAACACCTACATCCCTCTTGACGGGGGTTTTCTACAGTGCCCCTACCATTGATATATGGAGAAGTCCAACATGAAGATGATATGTCTTTGGATCTAGGAAAAAGAACTTCCCCTTTAACATAATATTGTTTTCTGTCATAGACGAAAATTAAAAATTCATGAGGGTGAGTACTCTGGTGCTATTGGGATACAAGTTAATGGCAAATGTGTATAATCTGTCAGCCATAGTAGAGCAAGCTTCGAATCTACGAGGAACAGGTGCAGGTCCATACACGTATACTGTTCTGGTATAGATCTTTCCTGAGGCCTAGATGATTGAGCATTGGGCTACAGCCTCAATTCTTGAATGATCATGCAATGATTCGTTCTTCACTTACACACGGGAGTTCACCCGCCCATGTCTACCTTGGCCCTTGCTCGCGGCAAAATTAAAAAGGCAGTATCCAACAGATGTAAATGGGGACTGTCATTTACTACTTACCTGCTTATTGGAATTCCCTAGAAAGGAAGATGAACGTAAATCCTCCCAGAAAGCGCCTCCAGTCGAAGTATAAATATCCTGTCTTCCTCTTCATTTCTTTTATTTTCTTTCTCGTCTCTACCCCAATATTTTAACCTTCAGTGCGCTCGAATAAAGGTCCGTCGCAAAAGACCCAAACCGAAATGCCAATCAAGTTTCACTTTCTTGCCCATTGGCTCTTTGGCGGCGAGACCGGGATGCGTTTCAGAATGCCCTAATTTTCTTCAAATTCCGAGTATGAAGTTCCTCAGAATAACATCAGTCACGGCAATAATGCCAACGAGTTATACGTGAATTGACGCAAATGCACCAAGTAACAAGCGCGCTAATATTCTACCGTTTCCACCCTGGTCAGCACGAAACGATTGTCGTCATCGACCTGGGCCCTAAAGACAGGAACCTGGGGTATCTCTGGGATGTAGAGAATATATTTGGGCCTTTACTAGAACAATGGTATAGTACAAATTGGTGAATGATCCGTTGAAGTTGGATCCAATAATAAATATTGCTGAATCGTGGTGTATGGAGTATTTCGTAGACGCTAGGAAAGTCTGGATAAGAGCGGAGATGATTCTACGGGGTGTATTTCCTGCACCAAGTGTGGTTTTCTAGGGATTCATCAGGATCCATTCTCTCTGTAGTCAATTGTACTTGTTACTACATACAGGTAGAGTTCAATACATTTGATAAGAGGCGATCTGCGGTGACCGGTCCCTGCCAAGGTTAGATAAGCTTCACGGCTCCGTCGGCTGCCAACCCTATATTCTGTAGACCTCCTATTGGATGGTACGGCGGCTAGCGCGTGGCTGATGGCGGCTATATGTGGCTTGATGTGGCTGACACGATGGGCCATCCGATCTTATCGTGAATGTGCAATACCGTCATTTACAACCGTTGTCCCGCATCCGGCGTGTCATTTGCCGTCATCTATGTAATCTTCGTAACGCCTGTAATATTAGCACCTTAGTAAGAACAATGCCCTCCTGAATGTCGTCCCTTCCGTCTTCTCTCTCCCGCTTACTTCTCTCCTTCCCTCCTCACCACCACCACGTCATCATCCAATTCCCCTGTTACACGAGCTCCTTCCATCAAAGAAGGCAGGAGAGTTTCTTCTTGGCTGTTCACACCTACTGTATATTCTCAGAAACCTATTTCCAAGTCCGACGACGAGCCAAAGCTCGCGGACGAGGTCGCCGGACGACCCCTCCTCTCGTCAGTCATCTCGAGACGACCTCCAGCCAGACGCTCTACAAGACAGTCGCAGTACGGATTCGTAACTTTATCATTGTCTTCTTGTATACTTGATCTTCTCTGCAGTCATCGTCTGACAATACAGTAAGAGAGAACATCCACCTACTTGGAACAGTGTCTGACTAACCTTGCCTTTCAAAGACCGCGTTGAGCACTTGCTGAAGGTGCCTACTTTCCATCTACACCTTTCAGAAGACATCATCGTTTTTGAATCGTACCTTCTATCCTCAGTGGTCATCATCTCGAGACTGTAAGTGATAAACAAGCCCAGGAAGGAGCGATGAAGACGGGGCTTCTTGGCTGACTGACGAACTCCACTCACTAGACCCTCCCTCGGTGTTACGTCGTTACTTCTTCCTCCGACGTCATCCGGATAACTTTTCGCTTCGCATGCCCTTTCTGGACTCGCTTGCTTACATGAAAACGTGAGTCAAGCAAATCCAACAAACATGACAAATGGCTGACCAATTGTGGCTCAGGTGACTGTTTTCTCTCTCCGGAGCTTCGTTTGGTTGTAATCTCTTGGCACAGTCAGAGAATCGTCTCTATCCAAATTCGACCTTTCCTTCCTACATGCGGATCTGACTTTGTAAGGGAAATTAAAATCTCGAGAATGGAAGGCATTGTCTGGCTAACGCTCTCGTCCTTAGTACTTTCCGTCTCAATCTCGAGAACTCTACATCTCCGCTCCGTCTTTCTTGAGTTGCAAGAAAGACGCTGGCCTTACAGAATAGAATATATATTGTAAGTAATTCATAGTCGGAAGGCGCTTAGCCACCCAACTAAGGCGGTCAGGTGATCAAGTGATCGACAAGTGTCGGTACTTTTGCTCCTTACCGCCTTCGTATCTGCCGAATCTCTCTGCCTTCTCAAAGCAACATGTGGCTCTTTAGAGGTGCTCAGTCTGCTGTTTTCTACTATCTGTCTTGTACTCCATGTATCAATTCCAGCGAGCGTCATAAGCGCAAGAGGGAAGCGTTTCGTTCCCAGAAAGAAAAGGCAAAAGCCAACGCTGTTGTTACCGACCAACCAAGGGCCTTCCTACAACCCACCCCCTTCAGCACCAATCCAGGATGGGCAGAAGAAATATCCCTTGGTCCGGGACCTCCGGCAAGGAAGGGACGTCACAAGGCCGATCGAGAATGTCCCGGGTCCTCTTCCTCGGAGGACGAAGTATCCAACAGGACGGAAAAAGGTGCCCGTGGAGAACGTCGGAATTGGATGCGTTACCAACGTGAAGACGAGCCATTGTGGGGCCAGGGTTTGAAGGGCTCATCTGTTGGTATCTCTGGTCGTGCCAGAGCTGACACGGATACCTCTAACAGTTACTACATCCCCCGGGTGCCTCCGGTCAACGACCTTCACCCTCCTATCGTCAGCGGCCCCAAGAGTCGGGCTGAAGTAAAGTGGATGCTTCAGCCGCCACCCAGTGCCAAGGTTATGGCTGGGAAGGAGAAGTCCACCACTGTCCGGGAACTTCCGCGCCGCAGGACTCTCAATAATCTTCGTTCTGAGGATGGCGAAGACGAACCCAAAATATCTGAGCCGGAAAACGGAAAACTTAGTTGCCGCTTGAACCCTTCACCGCGCAGAAGCGGTGTCTCTCATCTTCCCAGTCCTGCTGTTCGATCGAAGAAGACTGTAATAACATGTCCTGCTACCCTCTCCGACGGGTTGTACGATGATACCACTAGCTCCTCTGAATGTGATCTAAGAATTCCTTGTGAGCCTTCTCCGACTTTTCGTCCTCCATCCAGAAGTTTTTCTTGCGACACCCTTAGAAGCCTCGGCTTCGGATGGGAAACAATCACGTATTCTATGGAATACAGACTGAGATTCGGAAGAAACCCAACTGAATGCTCAAGCATTTACTCTCGTCGGACCAAATCTCCAAAACTCACTGCCAGCGGATCGATTGATTACCGCTCGCCTCCTTCTAACGGTAGCTATCTCCACGCTCCCCAAAGAAGCAACAGCAAAAACGTACAGTTGTGGCATTTGGAAATCAACGACGATGGTTCCCACGATATAGCTGTCGGCCAGCTTGACAGCATACAGCCTGCCCGTTGGAGTATTGACTTTTGAAATCGCTCTCTTTACATAAACTTTTCTTTGAATTATGCAATTATTTTCTTTTCGGCATTCACGAAAGCATTATGGCGGCGCCTGGATTCTGCAGGAATTGCACATAAGATACCAGCATTCTGCTTGGTTTTCTTTTTTGTCCTCATACCTTCTCTGTCAAAACAACAACTACCCACATGATGTTTCTTTTGTTATATTCACTTCTACTAATGTCTTCCTAATACTCCTTTTTTCCTTTGTTTCTGAGCAGGCTCAACCTGGAGGTATTCTGCAGACATGGCGTTTCTATTACGGACGTTTGAATTTCGGGTTTGTTCTTTTCAAACTGGTTTGGCATCGGAGTATGAACCGCTGAAAGCATTTTCTACTGGCATGGCGTTTTTTTGTTCTTTTTTCCGTTTTGGCATTTGGAAAGATTCATGTGGTGCCAACTCATTTGACAACGGTGGAATACGGCCATTGCCAAAAAAAGAATTATATATATATATATATAAAAAAGCAACAAAAATCTTGTCATGGTGCCATGGACATGGCGTTTCTCCAGTCGGGATTCTGATTTGGCGATTTGTTTCAGCGGGCTTTTCTGATTTGGTTTCTTCCTCCCCGAGAAAAGAGGGAAGGGAATTTGCGTTTGGGATTGGGCTTTTCTAGGTAGATGTCACTGTGTGACGAGCTTTCGGGTTCGTTAGATAGATTCCTTTCTTGTCTTGTCTCCTCTTTTATTTTAACCCTTTTTTGGGGGTGATCCTGTTCGGCCTTGTATTATTCTATTGCAACTGGACTGGGTCCATTAGGTAGTTTCGTTTCGGTAGATTGACAATATCTATCCTTAATCATTCTCATTGAGCTATCAACACGCACTCATAATGCATCATTTTGCACCGTGTTCTCCAGCAACAATACTAAATTGCCCATTCTACAGCTTCACTGTCTCCAGTTGACTTCTACCTCTGAGCAGCATACAGCCTAGCAAGCACCATCATTATGGCAAATGCTAGCATCATCAATAATGTCAGATTGATCAAAGATTCCGACTGGAAGACATGGTTCGCCAAGGTCTGCACTGGGGCATCAGCTCTCCAAATCTGGGACATCATCAACCCAGACTATAAGCTATATACACACCAAATTAGGATCCCCCGGACCTATACGGATGTCATACGGTCTCCACAGACATATGCCTGGAAACAAGCCATGGATGACCAACCCCGAAAGACCAGCATGGGATTGATTGAACGACCAACCAATAACGACATCAATATACTCACTGGTAAATCGGTATTCGACGTCAAAACAGATCATGGCAATATTATCACAAAATACCGAGCTAGATGGGTAATCTGCGGCAACCGCAAATCCAGGGTGTTGACCATGAGCATACCTACTCTCCAGTGGCTACCGATACGGCAATCAAGTTGTATTAAGCATTATTGCCATGAAGAAGCTATATTGCGAGCAAATTGACTTCATCCCAGCCTTCCTCAATGCCCAGATAGCCAGTAACAAAATCTATATGCAGCAATCAACTGGATTTGATGATGGTACCGGTATGATGTGCTGTGTTTGCAGGATGTTGAGCTTTTGTGAAAATACTGCCAGCTCCCAAGAATAATCAGCATCATCCTGTGATGAGAGTGGATCCTGGGAGTGACTCAGCACCTTCACAGGAACACTGCTATCCATTAAGAGTTGTCATGGGCTGCTCCTTTCTGGTTCACCACAGGACATATAAGGACATGCCTGTCCTATTCAAACTCCTATTTCTATTCTATTCCTCCTGTGCTCCCTGCACAACCCGAACAGGAGGGCTTTTTGACAGGCAACGGCTTTGGGTGCAAGGAAGGAAATAGGCGAGCTAGCAACAAACAGAACAAATGGAACAAATAGGGCCAACGTCTGAGTTCGCAATATGCCCGGGTGTAGCCCATGACAGCTAAGAGATTCTCCTAGAGCCAAGCCCATAATCTCCACCCTTAGAGAACAGTTGTCATCAATGATTGATGCGGGATTATGACAGAGCGGGTCTTATAGTGCTTCATTCAATAAAATTTCTCTATTGATGCTATTCTGATGATGGCCAGTTGCATGAGTTGCGTGAGTTGCATGTTCAATGAGAAACAAATTGGTGAGATCCCTGTCGTGTATCATTTCCATCCCAATGAAGCCTCAGGCAGCAACAATTACAAGAAATGCGAAATATCTGCATTTAGGTCAAGCCTCTCTGGAGCTGCGTCGACCGGTTGCTGTGCCAGATGCTCTGGTGGACACTAGATCTGCGTGGATACACAAGCCTATCTTTCCAACCATGAGCGTTCAGCTTAGGAAGGCAGAAGTGGCCAAAAAGGGAGTCTACTGGGGTTCAATAGCGAGAGAATAAGGATCACTCTGAGTTGTAAGTTTTCCGCCTCTGCCCTGCAACTCTGCGGTCCTTTTCTCACGCAGACACAGGAAGTAGATGGTGAACCCGATGTCAATGGCAATCTGCTGGGTGAGCATGATTGACCCACGCTTGTCATGCTTGGAAATCTCGGCCAGATACACAGGGGACCTGCGAGCTGGTGACGCCAACCATCACACTATTGATGATGTGGCCGACAAGAAGCATTTGCCAGTTCTGTATGGTAGTTTGGATGACGGTACCGACAAGCAGAAGATACACGAGAACCAGATTGCGTATCGGCGTCCACATTGGTCGGATACGTACCCCGATGCGAAGGAGCCGATGACAGAGCTGGCTGCAAGGGCGGATCCAATTGTCCCCTGGCAGGTGTCGACGGGGTTGTCAAAATAGGTCGGGTGCTGCTCTGTCCTGGCGGCTGCTGACATGGAAGAGATACTGAAGCCGCAGTTAAAATGAGGTGAGATACTACAGTTGTTATGGTGGGAATGAGAGAGGTAGGATGTAAGATGTACAGCATACCGCCCACGGCAGCAATCAAGGCTACAAAGTATACGTTGTAGACCTTAGGTACCTTCAATCCAAACATAATCAAGGTGTGTATGGAGCTGATATCTAGTAAGGATTATGGGGCAGAAAAGGACACTGAATTACACTATGTGCTCGCACGCGAAGAACAAGCCCTAATTTATATGAGAATGACCCCCCATTTTCCACGTTCCCCATCATAATCACTAAGAGCTAGAAATCTGGGCCCCGCAAAGTTTGCTACTTCACAAAGTTTGCAAAGCTCTCCAGTGTTTCTCTTTGTTATATGTTTACCCATAGTAGGCGACGACCAGGCTCTGGTTTTTCGCGGCTCTACGAGTATGGCTTTATAGACTCAATTCGACAGCACTGTACTCTGCATAAGTACGGCCGGGTGGGGTAAGACAAATAGTTGGAGGCAGAAAATTGAATGGGTCTGTTGCATCTAACGTCACGGAAATGCAGGCTCCTGTGGCTACTGTGGCGGCTGCTGAAAGAGACCAAGCTGCGAGAGACTTAGGGCATTCTCAGGCAGCGGACAAGCGGAAAAGGCTGTCCGCATATCCGCACATTGCGCTGACAAGTTGAGGGGAATAGAGGGTCTCTCCACCAGACTATACGGTGAAATGTACGTCAGAGTTTGCTTTCCCAGTTCTGGAGCTGGGAAGGCAGGTTAGCTGGTTGAAATACTAGCACTTCTCTGGCCTTGGCTCCCTGGCTGTCGGCTCTAAAGTCCCCTGAGCACCAAGCCACAGCCTACAGTTCGCATTGATCCAAATAGCGCTGGGTATCCAGCACCCCAGCACCCGATTAAGGTCCACAACGACAGCCACCAATTGATTGCAGTATATCGGCTCCTCTGTATGTGATATTCTGTGGGCCCTTGCGTGGGGCCATCCATGCCAAGAATACTAGCTGAGGCACATAAGGCTTGTTAAAACGTAGATCAGTTCCTCCGTGTACATCATCTTCGGAATAGGCTCAGAGATAGGTCATAGTCGAGACCTATGCTTAGACCATCGACCATTTCTTCTGGTTTGTATATTGTTCATCTCATTATGTAGAAGCCTTCCACATACCTTCATCCATTTATTTACCAGTGGCTGTGGATGTGTGCTTTGCCAATGTAGTTGTTGATGGTGATGGCGCAGATGTCTCATACGCTCAGGCACTCAGCTGTATGTCAAGGTGTCATTTTCTATAACTAGTGGATATTGCAGGGTGCATGCAGGAGGCCCAGCATACAACAATATCTATTTCAGTATAAATAGTCATGCTTATTCATGTTTTCATATTCTGTGCATCAAATGCATCTTGATAGATTGAAATTTATTGCTAATGAATGCAGCACCCCTTAGAGTTATCACAGCCAGTCAAGTTATTTGTATGCATTAGGCCAGCTGGAGGAAGGATATGTACTTGCATTGGGTACTGCTTTCTTAAGGATTTGGACAGTGAGCTGCTGCACTTTAGCTGATTAGTATGCCTTATCTGCCTAGCCTTTAACCTGCATGTTCTGGTCCACTGGGGGAAAGAACAAAAGTCAAAATTAGTTATGGGTCTAAATGCTGGATACTGCCTCTGTGTGCCAATAATTAAAAATATATACATCATTTCATGCAATGCTGTTAGAGAAGTGCCATTGTAAGAGTATCTCTCAAGTTCCTTGCCTTCTATCTAGGGGAAGGTGCTGCTTGTAAACCCTTTGATTATTCTTTCTTTCCACCAGCTGAGGTGGTACACATAACCATTTCATTTATTTTATTCCCCTGAGTCTGACTCCTGTAGGTATACACTTGAATGTCCTTATTTGAGCATCTGGGATTGCTAATTGGCTTGAGAACTTTCCCTTGGTTCTTTGGCCGAGTGTCCTCGCATACGCCTAAATCACGGGTGAACCAAGTCAGTAGATGGTCATCGTCCAGCTCCGTGATTTGTGCAGGTAAATCTCACCAAATGTCTTTCCAGTGATGATGATGTCCTTTTTTTCTCATCCAACTGTCATTGCAGTCAAGCCTCATTTCGGTACCCTTTCCTTATCTCATGCAGTATTAGATTATGCGGGGTGACTGATGTCCTCGTCCTGGATACGCTTCATTAGGATTACAATGCTCGATTAATTTATTCAGTAGCCATTAGTCTACTGGATGATGTGGTTAGGTTTCAGGATTGTAGGGCTGTTTCAGCAGACTCAAGAGTGCAGGAGAGTGGACGAAGCTGAGTCCGTAGTCTCAATGTATTTAATTTGTTTACGATGGCCAGTCGCTTAATAGAGGACTGTTGTTCGTTTCTATTCAACTGCATAAGTAACAAAAGGTAAACGCCCAAATCCAGATGATGAAACCGTAGCTGCGAGGACCGGAATGGGAATAACAAAGGGCTTGGAGGCTGCCGCGGAAGTTGGGGGGAAGGAGATAGATAGGGTTAACACCAGCATTTTCATGTTTCTTTTTCTTCTTTTTTATTTTTCCTTTTTCTCACCTAGTACACTTTCTTCTTCTCATCCACGCTTAGTTGGCCGGGACCCATGTTGATCAAAAGAAGCAAGCCTCCACTGGAGATAAAAGTCAGTTTTGTGGGTCAAGGGTCTCGCATATCAATAATCCATAGGGCTGTGCGGACTTACACAATCGACAAAACCTGGAAGAAATCGTACTTGGCAAAGTCCTTGTGAGGATGATGAGGGTGAAGCTGTATGAGGTTAAATGCCGTTCGGTCAGTAAAATGGCCCATGGTAATTAATATATAAAGAAAAGGTTTTCCGCCGGCATACCGTCCAGAAATTGTTCACAAGCACATTGAAAATGCTCAGCAGAACAACCAAGAGAATAGCGCTCCATTTCGCCTTGAATCCTACAACAACCATAACGCACGCCACGAGCCCGAACAGACTAACCAGCACCCGCCAGAAACTCCACTGGCCCGAAAAGACGAACCCGACGAACAAGAAGATCAGTAGTACTCGGCCCGCAAGCTGAACGTACATCTTGCGATCCCTCTCGTCAATCTGGGGTAGTCCGGCGGGCACGAACCTCTTGCGAACCCACGAGTCTGAAATGACCATGAGAAGCCCACCGACGACGCTCAGGTTGCGTAGGAAGAAATTCAGATCGAAGATGAGACCGTAACCGATGGCCTGGGTGACAACGACTCCGAGGAGACCGGCAACAGCATACTCAGTGTGTTTGCGGACGATGACCAGGAATGAACATGTGGACATAGCGAGGACGTTGGCGATCAGAAAGATGTGTGCGATTCCCCATGGTACTGTAGGAAGTAGAAGCAATGAAACCGTTAGAAACTGGTCCATTCTCTCTTTTGTGTGTGTGTGTGTGTGTGTTTGTGGACGTCCAATAACTAAGAGGACAGCGTGTACAATGCCAGATGCTTACTTTTTTGCCAGTCGCGAAGGTACAGAAGCTGATCGCTCCATTGAGTGACGATGCGTATACTATCCTCAATAAATGTAACCACGATCAAGAAGCGACCAATTCTGGGTAGATGTCTATTCAAGAGCAACCAGTGTCAGTCAACTGCGAATGCTGAATGCCGCCCCTCTTGCCTCCCTTTCCACACCTCCAATGTGGCCCCGGTATGCTACGGACAGAGCAACGTACGGTTTAATGGGATCTGCAATAGTCTCAAGCCAATCCTCGATTTTACTCGTCTGCTCCCGGATTGCATCCAAAGGACTCGGGTCGCTGGTAGCGTCGATGCCGCCGGGTCTGCCGAATGGATTCTGGTGCCCGAGGTTGTAGCCCGCGGTGCCGCGGATTTGAGCCATGATGGGGTGTAGCACAAAAATAAATGGCAAGGGATGGGTTAATGTATATCAAGAGAGAGCCACTAAGGGTAAGAGAAAGGGAGCAAATCGAGAAGAGGGAGGGGGATAGAGGGAAGAAGAGAGGGGAATCTGCAAAAGCGATGATGCTCTTGTTGACAACTATGTATGATCGTTACGAGCGCCGTCATCCGCTGATCGATACGGGTCTTACCATACCGTACGCGCAGCACGTGAAGGAAATCTTTTCCCTCGATTTATTCCTCAGGCATCATTCTACTTTTTCAGTCTTTTAATTTTAACACTCGATAATATTAACACCTCCATGCAGATGCCCTGCATTTATTGCCTACTCATACTGTACATGTGAAAAGAACAGCGCGAAACTGGGTTTCCCGTCTTTGCCAATACCCATTTCCAGATAGAAATAGCCACAGAGAAAGCAAAGCTACATAGAACAGAACTGAAAAAGAGGAAGACTAATAAAACAGTCCACAATAGTTAGCACTCGAATCCAAGGTCTGACGCAGACGCTCGTGCATAACAAAACCGCCGAGAGTCACAGATAATCCATATCCACAGCCCAGATCCGATCTACCAGCCATTGTCCGCCGCTCCTGGTGTACCACTCCGAAGGTTCACACAATCCGCAAAGTCGAAAGGGAGGCGACGAGGAAAAGAAAAGAAAATAAATAAAAGAGAAGAGAAGACAAGAATGGCGCAGACAAATTACATGACCGTAGTCCGTAAGTCGTTAGCCAATATTACATCGGAAGTGCGGTGGCAACTGGGAATCAAATTTTCCACTTTTGATGGCGATGCGAAGACGAAAAGAGAACAGGACATTATGTGAGGTATGGAGAAATCAAGGGCAGACTGATTTTGGTATCGTATTTTGACTGTCACAATAGCCCGGCACGTACGGCGCAGCAGGAAAAGTCACGCTCTTCGTGGGATTTTTTTTATCAGGATCTCAAACTGAAATACCACAGTTATGAACCGTAGATGGTAAAAAGTTAAGAAGTTGAGCTCTCAGGAAGCGGGAAGATGCCGTGGATTCTCTCTCCGAAAACTGAAAAAGATGCAGGTTGGTTTAAGCAACCCAATCGGAGTCCAATGGATGGCCCTTCACTTTAGAGCGAAGAATGTCTGGGATATAGGTCTGCTGGACTGTGACCTTTGGTTCGGCCGGCAAAGGGGCGGACGGGACAGGCAGGCTCTCCGAACCGCTAGCTTCACTGACACTCTCATCACTCTTTCCGCCCTTCTTTTTGGTCTTTTTATTTGAGACAGTAGTCCATTCACTCTCACTGCTCACGCCGAGAATGCGCATCTGTTCCTCCTCAGATGGTATAGATTGATCCCACTTCTTAGAAGCCTGAGAGGCACTGGGAGCATCCTTGTTGGGTTTGGACGCAGGCTCATCGAACGTATCCAGCAATTCCACCTTGGCGGTTTGAGTAACTTTTGGGGTATCGGTTCCGTTGCTTTTCACTTCTTTTGTCGCCCAAGCGTTAGTGGTAGCAACAGGCTTTGTTTTCGCCGCCTCACGACGTTCTGCCTCCCTAGCCGCATGGAGCTGCTTCTCGAGCAACTTACGTCTTTCCTGCTCGGCCTCCTGGACCTGACGCTTGCGCTCCTCATTCTTCAGACGCTGCTGACGCTGTTTCTTTGTTTCCGTAGGCTTGGAGGACTGAGCCTTCTGCTTCGCTGGCTCCGACTCGTAGGATCCCGTAATCCGGAGAACCGATGCGGCCGGCGCCGGAGTTTCAAGCATGTCTGAGACATACCCCGCGCTGGAAACGGTAGCGTTCACCATCGGAGATCCCGCTGGAGAGAGATCATCATCGGCATCGGCACCGGTGGTAGAGGAGGCACGAGTAGAGACACGGGATGCAGAGCGTTCACTGCTACCATCTGCAGTCGGACCAGCAGCGGCCTTCTTATTCTTCTTGTTTTTCTTCTGGGATTTGCCAGTGCTGGTGCTAGAAGGTGCCAAAGCCCCAGTCTTCACAGCAGTGAAGCGCTTTGCGAGTTCTTTCCTGTCAATCTCTTCATCTGGTTGATCAACTTCCTCAACTTTCAACTGAGGCTCGGGCTTCTCGGGCTTTTCCTCCTTTTTCAGGACAGTTGCAGGTTCGGGAGCCTTCTTGTTGTTCTTCCGCTTTTGCTTCTTCGAGCTCTGAGTAGCCTCCGGCTTCTCCGCAATGGGCTTAAGAGGCGCTTTAGTCTTTGACTTGGAACCGCTGTTGTAGTACCAGCCTAAACTCCCGGCCACGGCGACCACAATGGCCCAACTAAGGTAAGGATTCATCATCATTTCAAAACTGCTGAAGAAAAGTCAGCGACATCAAGGTTGAGTATCCGGGTGATGCGGAAGTAAAGGAGGTCGAAAAATACCTTTTCGACTTATTCTCAGCAGATTAAAAGAAACTTATAGTTATGAAGAGGATGCGACGCAGATCTGAAAAAGGTTATCGGTTATATGAGGGCGGAGAAATAGGGTGGAAACGGCGAGGAGAGCACTAATGGAATCGGATCTGAACCGAGTAACTGTGCAATTCAAGAAGCAATCTGCTGTAGAGCCAGATTACTTCAGATCATGGAGATCAGAGGTTCAGAACAGAGGATGAGTTATGGGTGGTTGCTGGTGGGAAGCGTCTGATGTGATGAGGCCAGATAAATCGCCTTGTGGACAGACAGCTGGGCAGTGTGTCCACTCAGTTAACAATGAATCACAGTATCAAGCTCCACAAGCAGCAGATTGGCTTCCAACCCCCTCCTTAGACCTTCAATTATGGTAGTCCAGAGGGAATTGCAGTGGCCTTGACCAAGCCAGCAAACCTGGCAGTCTTAAGGGAACTGAGCGCGCGCAAGAGAGGGAGGGAGAAGACACATTAGTAATGGAAGAGGAATGCGCACTGGGGGGAACAGAAGATGTAAGGGGATTCACAGCTCTGGAACCACTTGCAGGGCTTAAGTGAGATGAGACAACACTGTGCACAGATGTGAAAGAAGGCGAGAGAGGAGGGAAGAAAGAGAAAGGACTTGAGGGAAGTTGAGATGGGAAGGGGAAGCGAAGAGGACACGCGGAGTTGCGTGAATTACTTAAGACGCTTACCGTACTGCGTAATACATGCATGCCCCCAAGCCTGAGCTTTACTCGACCATCCCTCACGGAGCTGTCTCAATTGCCTGCACTGTCGATATTATCGTTGGTTCCTTGGGTCGTATTCTGTCATTCTAGGCATGGCACGTTGGATACGCAAGTAGATGGAGCATCTTGGATCGATCCACCAAGCGCTACGTGCGAGGACGCTCCCACCTACGAACGATGGACAGTCCGTGCTGGCAGCTCGAGCAATCCCAGGCGGATTGGTGATGTATCAGACTATTTTTGTCAGTGTCTGGAAATGTCTTCGGTGTCACTGCTATTGTGCTCTGGGATTTACAATGCCTCCGTGTCCGAGTTTGAACTCTGAATTCATTATCAGATCTCACAGGCTTCTGGAATATGTGATCGTCGAAGAGGCCACCTGGCAATATCATCTAGATCTATTATGTCTACTCTACTCCGTACAACGTGCAGAATCTACAAGGAACGCCCTGGCATGCAGCGACGTCAAGGGGCATGTTACCCTCGCTGGTTCGAGGTCCTATCAAAGGATACCCCTGAATATTATTTAATAATAATGCTCGAATCGAACACGTTACGAGAAAGCCGCACAAGAGCCTTGGATGTTACCATAGTCGGTGATCTATCTCGCACTATTTTGCCCGGACTCCACAGTTTATAGAAACACGGCCTACGCTCCTTCTGGACATGGGCTGCGCCATGGATAAAAATAAATCTCCATACACAACTGCATGTGCCTCATAAGCTTGAAATTATACTAGACAGAGACCTGCATATGAACCGTGATGGGTGATGTGTATTCTTCCTCGACGGCATTTAGTAATGACGATAACTCCGTAAGGCAACATTTTGTGTATCTGCCGCGTGCCCCACATCATCATTGCGGCGGAGATATGATAAAAGAAAAGCACATCTCTCTGTGTTCCATTTTCAACATCTTACACCATTCTCTCAGTACCTGGACTAGGGAAAATCTGACTTGCATACATTTTATACTGTGTCTATCAATTGATTTGCATCATGGCTCCCAAGAAGATCATCATCGATACCGACCCAGTATGTCCATCTCAACCAATTCACCAGCCGCTTCTGCCTCTTAATGCTATTGTATGCTGATGCGAGCGGCCAATTCAGGGTATTGATGATATTCTTGCGATTCTCCTCGCCTTATCAGCCAAAGAGGAAGAGGTCGAGGTGCTGTTGATATCCTTGACTTTTGGAAATATCGAAGTGAGGAGGTGAGCACGCTCGTTCCAGCTACCATTTATTATTGATCAATTAGCTAACATGCCTCTTCTTTCCCCTTGGATTCTACCAGCTGCCTTCGTAATGTCGTCTCCATGTTCCATATCATTGAGCGTGAGATGCAATGGCGCCGACAACGCGGACTGCCTGAGGGATTCGGTGCCTTGCGCGCCCTTCGACCAGTCGTGGCGGTTGGCGCAGAGGATCCCTTGGATGCACAGAAGATGCTGGGTGACTATTTCCGTAAGTACAGGGCTGCATCATGTCTGTATGTTGATCTTTGAGCGCTGACAGTTGACAGACGGGGCGGATGGGCTCGGAGGAATCCATGAGACGGTGTGTTCACAATAAACGGTCCACTAAGACTTCCTGCAGGTGAATCCGCTAACAATGCCAATGCAGCACCCACATTTCACTCCCAGTGAGACTTGGAAACATCTCTTTGACCCGTCGGCCAATCCCCAACACATTGAAACCGTACAAACGGGAGATGAGCGACCGTCTTTCCTTCCATCTACACGTCCTGCACATCAGGAGATACTTCGCCTACTGCGTGAGAATGATCCGGATACAGTGACTCTGGTGGCCGTAGGCCCTCTAACTAACCTGGCACTGGCTGCTGCGGAGGATCCGGAGGCCTTTCTGCGGGTCAAGGAAGTGGTTGTCATGGGAGGAGCTGTGGACGAGCCTGGGAATGTGAGTCTGTTCTCTAGTTGATAGTTGCAGATTTCATTGGGCAGCTAGCTGACAAGCAGATAGGTCACGCCAACAAGCGAATTCAATTCTTATGCCGATGCAATTGCGGCAGCGCGGGTTTTTGCACTGACGTCTCCCTCGCCGGCAAGCACAGTGCCGCCGTCCAGGGGAAAACTCCCATCATATCCCCCCAAACTTAGCAAGCAGCTTACGCTTCGCCTGTTTGCCCTGGACATCACCCTACGACACAATATCACCCGAGGGCTGTTCCGGGAGACAGTCGCACCGCTCATTGAGTCGGGTTCACCGCTGGCGGAATGGGTTTCGGCGTTTATGGCTCATACGTTCAGAACGCTGGAAGCAATGCACCCGGGACACACAGGGGACCAGGCACGGCTCAGCCTGCACGACCCGGTGTGTGTGTGGTACGCATTGACTGCAGAGGACAAGGGCTGGACAGCAAGCGGGGGCTCACCCGAGGATATCAGGATTGAAACCACGGGCCAATGGACGCGGGGGATGTGCGTGGTCGACCGGCGCAATCGACACCGGATTGAGGATGACGTCGAGAGCCCACGGGACCACGGGCTGTGGTTGAGCAGTCGAGCGGGCAACCGTATCTGGCGGATGCAGGGATCCCCAGCAGAAGACACGTTTGGGCAGGTGCTGATGGAGCGGATATTCAGCATTGCGCGTGTATGAGGGAGCGATGCGTCCCACGTGCTGGCATACCTGTCTGGAACGCGATAAGCTGCGTTATCTAAATTATGTTAGACCTTCTTAGTAAGCAACCAAATAGAGGCCGGCCAGGGCGCACGTGTAACCTCCCCAGGGCCAATCAGCGCCCCGGGATCTGCCGCGTGCCCTGCCCAAGCACGCGACACTGAAGATCGCCCTCTCCTCCATTTCTCCCTGCTACTGCTTAGGTTAATATATCAGTGCTATGCATGCCCTCCGTAGTCCAGGCCCTCTGTCCTCCCTGAACTCCCCTCCCGCCGTCGGTGCGACGCTGTCCCACGACTGCAAACTGCCCCAGACTCCCCAAACACCTGTCTTCGTCTTCATTCCCATCCATCCCTTCGTCCATCCCTTCATCTATCAGTCGCATCATGCCATATTCCCGTCTGCCTCCAACGCCTGCCATGTCAGGTGAGCTCTCTGCCAAAGAACGCCCGTTCGCAGAGGGCATGGAGTCTTCCTTCCAGCTCCCCCCAGCGGCTCTCAGTCCTTCCAAGATTCAGAGTCCAAAGAGCTTCGCAGCTTCTATACCCGCCTCCCCAACTTCCCCCAATCTCCATGCTCTGGGGCGTCCTTCCAATTCCACATCCAAAACCGGTATTAAACGGCCCCTCGAAGATCTTGGCCTGCCACCACCACCCACCCGCACACGCAGGATCATCCAGATGAAGCCTAAAACACAGACTGATACAAAGCCCGCTGCAACGACCAGCAAGGCCGCCAGGGATGCTGCTGGTGGGAAGAGCTCCGGCAATGGAGCAGGGCAGTCAAACTCGAAGAAGAAACAGCCTACCGCTAGCAGTGCAGCTGGCAAGAAGGTTGCTAGGAAGACTGCACATAGCTTGATAGAGCGGAGACGGAGGTCGAAGATGAACGAGGAGTTTGCTACGTTGAAGAGTTTGATCCCGGCCTGTCAGGGTCAGGATATGCACAAGCTCTTGATTTTGCAGGTAGGACACATTTTACGTTCGGCCTAGGACCGGGGTTAATGGGGCTCTCTAGGCAAGCATCGAATACCTCAATTATCTGGAGCAGTGCATCAAAGACCTCAAAACCGGGAAAATCAAAAACACATCCATGCAGTCGGATATCCCGCCCGCTCCGCCATCACCAACATCTCCCGATCTACTAGCTTCATCGGCAGACGGCGCGCAATCATCATCAGCGTCACCAGAGCTACTTCCAAGCGGCAGTATCTCGCCTTCACTGTCTCCACGTACTCTGGACCCCTCGACAAATTATCAATCCACTGAACTGGCACCATCTGTGCTTCCTAGCCCGGCTCTGGTTCCCACTCATTCTCCTATCCAGTCGCTACAGCATGTCTGGTCTGTCTCTTTCTCTCCGGGTGGACAGCATCAGCAAAACTTTCCCGCATACCACGACGCCGAAACTGATGTGGACCGTCAGGCTTCTGCCGCGCTGCTTATGCTGAATCGAGATTCCAGGGGTTCAGTAGCCTCAGTCAATGAACTCGCACACACACACCCGGACTCGCGGAATGGCGAGCACCCTGATGACCAAAGCATCCATAAGAGGACGAGTATGAGCGTGAGGGATCTATTGAATTCGTAAGCTGTCGGGGTTTCATGGCATTTTTATTCAAAAAAAGAGCGACGTGTTTTATGGGGCGTCTCGAATTTGGTTTCATGAGTTATGTCGAAAATGTCAATTACGATGATTTTACTTGAGAATACTGGAATATGGACCTGTACCTGCATGGGCGTGCCTATTATATGCCGTACGGTGGACCATACTTTCTGGCACCTGCAACTTAAAAATTGCGGGGTTAGCAGGCATGACGTCGTTTTACAAAAGCTTTCAAGAGTTTCAAATATTATTATTCATCTTCATATTTCAACAAGCAAGCCCGGGTGGTCTAGTGGTATGATTCTCGCTTAGGGTCAACCCTAATGCTCAATATGCGAGAGGTCCCGCGTTCGATCCGCGGCTCGGGCCTTGTTTCTTTTTTTTCTTTTTCACCTTTTTTATATATAACCTTCAATTATTTTTTTTTATTATTAGTTCTTCTTTCTTTCTACCTATCTAGCTAGTCATTTGATTTCATGCAAACAGTAAGTAGTAGATTGATCACTTAATTTTTGTGTCTAGTCTATTTTTATGATATCGATTGATGCGAGTGACTCTTCTGGGTTGTGCTGGTTGGGTAATCCTTTCATTGGAACCTGTGATATACATATATATATATATCGAGCGAGCGGGGTTGGGGCACAATATCAAGAGTGACATCTAAGAAGAAAGCAACAAAATCGCTCGATTGCACAACAACAATAAAAACAACCAAATAATGCCCCCGCTAGAACCGAAAAAGGTCGCTATTATAGGTTGGTTGGTTAACCCTTCCCCCCAATTCAAGTCTGTCATCGATACTGGCAATCTGTTACATCCACTACCACCACACTACCCTGGGTTGTGTCATAATGTCAAGTACACCACTAAAAGCTGCACAGGAGCCGGCGCATCAGGCCTCGTCACTGCCAAAACCCTTCTACGGGATTTCCCTGCAGGGACGTTTTCCCCGACGGTCTTTGAGGCACGGGATGTGGTGGGTGGTCTGTGGCCTGGTGGCCGTACCGCTACCGACCATATAACGACTCATGTTAAACGGGGATCTGGATCTGGGGATACACCAAGTCTGAATCCATCCATGAGGACGAACCTGAGTCGGTTCTCGGTTGCATTCTCGGATTTATCCTGGGAATCTGTCTTCGATGGACATGGGAATGTACCTATGTTCCCGCAGGCATGGCAGGTGGGGATGTATTTGCAAAAATATGTAGATATGTATATCCCTCATACTGTGCTGAGACTGGGACGCAGAGTCATGCGAGTCGTCCGTGGAAGAAACAATAGGCAGAAGAACGCAGGGTGGACTGTCTACTCGGTCACCACGGGAGAAGAAGAAGAAGAAGAAGACTTTGACATTCTTGTCGTTGCTTCTGGATACTTCTCGCGTCCATATATCCCAGATATCCGCGGCCTGTCTGAATCTGGCCTCAAGGACAGGATAATCCACAGCTCCGCGCTCCGAGATACAGACGATTTACTCCCTCTTCTCCGGACTGGTGGCCAGTCCACTGGTACTAAGAAATTGGTGGTTATCGGGGGAAGCATGTCAGGAGTTGAAGCTGCGTCTACGCTTGCTTTGCATTTATCTTCTTCCAGGTTTTCCTCACTGCCATCCGCAGACCTTTGGACAAATTGCGAGGTGCATCATATTTGCCCGCAGCCCGTTTGGACTTTGCCAACCTATCTCCCACAGACCGTGACTAGTCCTGATTCGAGAGGGAAAGGAAGTGTTTCATTTCTCCCGCTTGACCTGGTCATGTATGATCTGTGTCGACGACCGGCAGGGCCCGTGGAATACTCTGTCGGACCTGTCTCTTCACAGCAGGCTGCTAAGGTGACCGAATACCTCCGTTCACTGCTCAGTATGGACAATGCAAGTCTTGGGCATGAGAAGCCCCTTCAGGATAAAGAGACACGAATTCCTAGACCTCCCTGGGTGGCTATAAGTGATGACTACACGGAATTTGTTCGCTCAGGAACGATATCAGTCACCACCGGTCGAGTCAGTGCCGTACGGTATTCCTCATCTGGGCTGGCAAAGATCGAACTCAAACTCCCAGATGGGAAAAACACTATTCTGGACGATGTCGCTGTTATCGTGATGTCCACGGGCTTTTCTCCATTTGATTCCCTTTCGTTTTTGCCCCCTGATATCCTTTCGACGTTGGAGTATTCCGAGCACGACATATTTTGCCCTGTAATCCTCGACAAGGGCGGCAGCATGCATTCCAATATGCCTGATCTGGGATTTGTTGGGTTCTACCGTGGTCCGTACTGGGGTGTAATGGAAATGCAAGCTCGAAGTCTGGGACAGAATTGGGCCCGTGAGGAAGAAGGAACACCTCCTGAGACGGAACTGACAGATAAACGGAAACGAGAGGATGAAAGGGAGCGCTTGCGTGCTCTTCGACAAGCTAACCCTGAACACCAACGCGGTCAGTTCCCAATGGGTGATTATGTAGGGTTGATGGAGTCATTCGGCAGGGACCTGGAAATATCCCGCACGGAGATTTTTGACTGCGATGTTCCCGAACGGAAGGGTCCCGTCATACCTGCCAGGTATCCGTTTCATAAGAATAGTTGTCGAGCTTCTTCATCATCGACTCCCCAGGATATAGACAGAGAGTCTCAGATGGCAACCACTCTCAACTCTCTCCGACTCACGCTGTCTTCTGAACAGAATATATTCGGACCAGCATTACCACGGGCAATCTTCCGGGCTCTTCACGGTACATGGATATTTTCTCGGACAGTATACAGAAGCCAGAACGGCAATAACCCATCCACGTCCGAAAAAGGAAGGAACCGAGTACGGGACATTACTGGCACAGCAACATTCCACCCTTGCTACCCATCATCCGAAATGTACTCAAAAGAATACATTTACGAAGAGCAAGGTGGACATGCCGACCCGACAGCTACTGACACAGAGAAGAAGAATATAAATCCTATCAGATCCATCTACCGCTTTCGAGAAAGCATACCCAGATCCGAGTATGGCAAGAACAACTCCTATATCAGCATCTGGTCAACGAATACGGATAAGAGCAACAGCCCCATATTCTCTCACGCTATAGACTTTACCTCTTCTCTCCAAAGGATGGAACACGGGGAAACTATCCCGGGGGAATACGTAGTTCGAGCTCGTGCAAGAACGACTGCTGTCCAGGGTGATGCTGGATTGGGCAGCGATACCTATCCTGAGAATCATGACTACGACTGCGACTATAAATTTCTGTCTCGGGGAGTGGAGATCACTTCGTGGGAATGTACATTTACCGGGAGTAATGGGGAAAGAGGGCAAGATGGGACATCCAGGAATATGATCCACACGAAGACGTTTTACCGGCGGTAATGGACAAGATCAATTATCTGTTTACACTGAGATGTATGTAGTAGAATCATGCGAGAACAGATAACCAAGGGGATCATTTATTTCATTATTGTATGGAAAGTATCCTCCTAAAAACAGTGTTGTTACTCTATCAGTGGTGCCTGTGGTTTTGAAGATATCACGAACTGCGAGCGTCATACAAACAGACATAGCTGATGTCTGTTGAAAACCGCAGCATACTTGATTCCAAAGCGACGAGAAAGTCTCGCATTTTCTGTAGCAAGGCTCTCTCTTGACTACGAAGGGCCTTGAACTGCTCGTGTTTTGTAACCTAACTTAACTAAGAGCAATCCACTAATAATATTCCTGCAACCATCGACATATCTTATTAGGTAGGACGGTCGACATCCTATCTTGAGCACAGAACAGACAATGGCTAAGCTCAATGGAACTACAGCAGAATGTCATATGCTCCAGGGAGTCGAAGCCCGCATTCTCTATTCGATGACTGTTCCGCACCAAGAAAATCGTGTCATTGGATTGAAAAGCGATTCATGTGTGTGTATGCGGCGGCTCCAAGAGATGGCTGGCTGCTTTGCCCATGGGGTTGATTTGATACCAGTTGTTTTTGAGTTCATCTTGGTTTCCCTGTTCAGTCAGCCAACAGGTACCCGTTGCCAGCACTGCGCAGAAGTGGATGTATCGACCTTGGGTGAATGGAGTAAGACGGTAACGAAGATCTTAATTCTGCTCACTAATACACCTAGAGTTCTATTAGGGACTCATGGATACAGTTTGAAGTTGACCCTCTAAACACTATACTATATCACAATGGTGTAAGCTAGGACATGTCTTCAGTCGATACAAGCACGAGGTACACGGTATCTCTGGGAAGTATTGGCCGTATGAGAAATTGAAAAGAGATTTCTGATCTCGTGGAGTTCATCACTAGGCGCCTCTTCGCGATGGCTCTCTGTGTAGAAGTCTCGGAAGCTCTTTCGCACGCTTGCATTGGGGGCTCGGGGGAGAACCGGGACCATCTTAGCCACGTTGCCTCTGTTTCTGAATCTCAGTGGTTCGAGATCGAACAGATCTTGTATCCTCTTGCGAGGCGCGTTTGCGAGATGCCCGAATTGACTGAACCTGAGTCTAATGCTTGCTAGCCTCGCCACGTCGTCGTCAGTGTCATCGTCGTGTCGACCCTGAATCACATCCTTTCCTTCGACGATCTTGCCAGGCAGGAGTTCCTCTCCGTTGCTATCCAGATTACTAGAAGAAAATCTGTCGTTATTGATATGGTCTCCATCCCTGACCAGAAGTCTTCTCTTTAGTCGTGCACAAAAATTAGGGTTATTACACATCACGTAGAGAACGCCGGTCCCCACTGCTGAAACGGCACATACTGCTATGGCTAGCGTCGTGCGTCGCGTTCCCCATTCAGTATGGAAGTTGTTGCCATGATTTTTATTGCTTGCACTCTCGTTGTGAACATGTTGCGCATCGTGTGTTTTACTAAGCATCCCCTCGTGCTGAAACCGATCGTTGTAGGGAACGGGGTTGGAAGACATCTGCCTCGGGATTTTCTGGCTATTGGTAGAGTCACGGTCGAGGAGAAAGAGCACCAATGCGTCCAATGCGTCCAAGAATCCTGGCTTTCTGTTCTTGATATAATGGATGAGGCCTCTTGGATGGTAGCGATAGAGTAACGCCGAGAGATACCCAAGGAGTCCACGAGTCTTCCTTTCGAGTGACCTGTTATAATCGTACACCGTCCCACCATAGAAAGGCATTGTGTCTCTTCGCCATGAATGACACTCAATTGGTTCGGCATTTTTCTTGAATAGCTTTTGAACGGACTGCTGGAACAATGGCAGCTTTGCGTGCAAAGATCCGGGCTGATATCTCATTGCCATTTTACTACCCAAGAGCTTTCCCACTGTATCCTTGCACCACTGTAGACCCTGCACACTTCCATCGAAGCTCGATAGAGTAAACCTTAGGTTTACTGTCGCCGTTGGATTGAGACCTGTATGGTTTCCCTGGTCTGTCCAGCTGAGAGCCTCCCATTTGAGGCGACACTCCGGTGAGTTATCCAATTTAATCCCGACAGGGTCCCGAGTGCTAGAAAGCACCAGTTCGCCCATTCCATCGAGAGCATTTTTGGAACTGGTGAGAACAGTTGCCGAGTTATTTGACATTGCTTCCGGACTGACCGAGGAAAGATAGTCCCGAGCCTTGTCGCAGGAGAGGCCAAGTGCAGCATAGAGGAGAGCAACAACGCGCGATTGACAATACATCGGAGTCAATATAAGACTTGGTTTGACAGAGAAATGTTATAAAATAGAAGAGTACTTCTATATAGTTTAGGATTTGGAACTGCAGAAGAGTTTCAAGAGAGAGTAATGTGAAGCAGACTGGCTCTGTTAAAGCCTAATAGCTCACTCTTTCCATATCTGCGCTGCTCCCTTGTTATTTTGTATTCACTTACTCTATACACACCACTCTTTCCTTTTGAAACACAAACAGTAACCAAGTCCTGCTGTGAAAAAAAAATCATGCGACAGGACGTAGTCAAGAAGATTGCTGGGAAATTGCATCGAACCCAACAAGGTACAATGGTATTGGAGTATTCCATGGATGGATATGAAATATGATGAATTGTATCGGAATATCAGATAATACATCATTGCAGACGACTGGATCCGGCTGGTACCAAAATATAAGAGACTTGATGATAGAAGTAGAGTGCCTTGCTTTGTCCCAATCAGGTAATATCACAAGTATCACGTGCTATCGCGAATCCGACGCGATTTGCCCGCGGTTGCATTTGAAAGATTACTATAATCGGATTCTCTGTCGATACGCCCTCCTTTCCCACGTATTCAAACTTGGCCATTATCGCGCAAGCACTCATGCCCCGCCCTAAAGTGAAGCAGACGCAGCTCACCTTCGCGCCAGTAGCATCGTCACCAGGCTTTGAGCACAGCCCTGGAGACTCGCCGGATCGCCTGGCCAGAGTCCGATATGGTCGTTCTTCTAAATCTTTCCTTCATCGCAGACCGCCACGGATAGATGACTACCTCACGCGTAGAGAGAATCTCTCTCCCGTTTTGCCTCCAACTACGGGGCCATCTGCTGGCGAAGAACGATCATCCTCTGCAAAACTTGGCCAGTCTTCTCAGATTTCTCTTACGGATAACGAAAGTATGGATGATCAATCTGATCACTATGGATCACATTATTGACTAGTACTGACATTTGCATGGGAAGATAGTCAGCCAAGGATAACTGGAGCCTCAAGCCCTTGTCCTCCTTCTAAGGCGAATCCATATGATACCGGCCACGCATCATCAGACGAGGACGCCATTCTAGTTTCTACTCGAAGACAGCAGAGAAACAAAGCGGGGGCTTCTATCAATGACAGTGACCTTGACCTTGATCATCATGTGAAGGTGAAGGGAAAAAGGAAGTCTTTAAAATCAAAAAGACCCAAGGAACGAGACGGCATCACTATTGAACGGAGAAAAGCTGAAGATGTACTGGAAAACAACGCGTCTAGAAAAACAAGATCGAGTGCTCAACGCAGGTCGGACAAAAACACACCAATCGTTCTGTCCGATTTTGGCTCTCCAGAAACCAGTGATGCAGAGGAGATTGTGACTCGGCCTACCCGAAGATTGCGACGGGGAGTCGCACAAAAGAGGAAGGCCATTGTCGAGGATGAATCAGATGAATCCGAGGAAGAACCAATTGTTTCTCCGACAAAAAGGAGAAAGCGAAATGAGGATATAGAGGAACCCAAAACACCGCGGCAAACGTCAGAACAGGATAGACTCGATCTTGAAGAAGATCTCAAAGACCTTCAAGACTCAGGTATCATATTGTCCTCATGCCTCAAATTACCAACTGCTGACATGTACGTAGTTGTCAAATCAACGCGCACTCGTGGCCACCTGGCGAATTCGGCAAGGAGCAAAAGGCAACAACAGTTGGAGGCTCTGCGTAGAAGACGCGCCGGCGAGAGAGTGAAGAGCATCACGGAGCTGGAACTGGAGCCTAATGAGAAGGGCTTAGAAACTGGCGATTCCGAATCCGAAACCGGTGGACCCCAGTTAGGGTATCAAGATGCAACGGATGAGAGTGATGTCGAACCTGCGATTCCGATCGACGAGGACCTAGATCGCGATGATGATGAGTTTATTTTGGAGGATGATGAAGCCGAATTGGGAGTACCCACGGAAATACCATTTGAATTCACAAGACATGCGTATAAGCAAACAAAGGAGTATTTCCGAGACGTGGTGGAATGGATGGTGCACAACAAACTCAACCCAGCTTTCCCTCGCGCTGACGCGCTCTATGAAGTCGCGTTTCTCAAAGTCGAAGACGAAGTCAAGGGGAGAACCGGCTCGCAGCTTGTCTCTACAGTATGGAACTCCAGTTTTCAGAGGGCGTTGATGGCAAGACCCTATATTCAAGTCACTCCGTATCCCATAGCGGACGAACATTCATGTGATGCCTGCAACAGATCTAGTCATCCAGCATCCTTCGAGATCAAACTCCACGGCAAACCATACTCGTTGGAAACTCTCGAACCTCTTTCTGATGATGACAGTGATGAGGAAGGTAATGAGACCGCGACCATGGATCGAGACAGGAAAGGAAATGTGCTTCCGGATGAAAACACAAGATTCCTCCTAGGAAGGTTGGTTTCTTTTTTCTTTTTGCTTTTCCCCAGGAACCCAGTATACCAAGTGGTTTTGTTTGGAAATGTCCAGGTCGCTTACATCTACCCTCAAAACCGCAGACACTGCAAGGCCAAAGCAACTATGGCCCACGCACTCATCCACTGGCGCGTCGATCTCAATGAATGGGTCATCGGCTATCTTGAACACCAGGGAATTTTGAGTGATAACAAAATCCTCGAACGTAGCCACTGGAGTGTGAAACGACAAACTCGATATGCCAACGAGGTCGTCGACATGATGGTCCAGAGCGGCGAAGTAAAAAAGCTTTGGCGCGACTTCCACATTACCCTGAAAGAAGCAAGAGGAGCGACGATATGATATGGCAATGCAATATTAGAACTGCCCGTTCATGGAGTTAATGATTTTCCCGGTTTATTTTATACGTATGATTTGTTCTTTTTATTTCTGGGTTCTTAAGCAGATATTAGTGCCTTCATTTTTATGATACCCCCGGCAATATACACTGTTTTTTCGATTTGTAATTTCTATTTTATTCGTCTTGGTCATGGGCCTCATCCAAGTTGGTAGTGCCGATAGTCAATCTTATTCTACGACTTGGCAAGACACGACTTTGCAATTACGGCATATCACTTTCAAAGCGTTGATCTTTCGTATGTAGGACTTGGATGGAAGTTCTACGCAACGCGATCGGCTGAGACACCATGGGAGATATTTTAATCCACATCCATATACATTATCCAGTAGATATAATATACCATAGCAGATATATAAGAGATGGCAATCAACCTATCCAATGCTGGATGAGAAGTCAACAGGAAAAAAAAAAAGATATAGTTATAAAAATACAAGCCAGAAGACTCAAGTTGAAGTAAGTCGAAGAGGGTGAAGGTATTCCGTACATGAAAAAAAAAGGAGAAAAAGAAAAGGAGGCAGAAATACTCGAAGGAAGGAGAAACAAGTTTTTTATCGGCCGCCTTTATCGCGTCCATAACCCATGAAGTACAATTGATCTTTGCTGCGCCAGTCCCGAAAAGCCGAAAGATAAATATGAAGAGGCAAACGAGAAACGGGAACCATTTGTACAGAATCGTGTGTTGAAAGTTTCGCCTTTATCGCACTTCCGACCAATTCCAATTCCAATTTATCTGGATATTTGAATGGAACACAACGGAACACTTTGAACAGTTTTGCCGAAAATCTCATTATTTTGCTGGTATGACCTCTCCGTATTCCGAATGGAGAAGAGCAGAATATGAAAGCGCATCCCTGCCTGCAATTCCAGTAAAGAAACTGGCATCACTGGGCTCAGAGGTCGAATTTGAAGCGGTAAATCCTGATAGTTCTTTCCTTCCTCTTTCCCTCTCATACCTCCGCGGTGAATTAATTCAATTCTTTTACAAAGTGGGTTGAGATTCCGGCTTCTCCGCAGCAGGAAGGCCAGGTGTGAGCATCTAATTTAGACTTATGGTCAGTATTCTTGGATCATATAGTACACTTTTTTTTCACAATGGATTAAGAGCAATGATAAATGGAAAACAATTATTAGACGTTCTCTAAACTTACCTCATTAGCTCCCTTGATCATCCCCTGCTCGCGCTCCATCTGTATATACTGCTCTTCTTCTGCATATGCAAGCGCCCACGGGACACCGAGAAGAAAAGCGCTCGTGCTGATAACCCACAGAGCCCTTCCGCTGAATGAAATAGTCGATTTGGTGAAGGAGGTGAGGGCGGAGGCGGAGCTGGCAACACTGCGGCGAGCGGAGGGCGGAATGATATCTTTCAAGGCATAGATACGGTCGTAGAGCGTTTCAGCTTCAATTTCGAAATCGGAATCTGTAGAAATTTCGGATTCTGTAATTGTTTATTTTCCACTTATTAGTTTGCTGTTATTTCAGAAGGGAATTTCTATCTCAATTGAACCCGATCGGATGGGACGGCATATCGCTGAATGCCAGTGTCTACGCGGTCAAGATAATGAACAAGAAAAACACTAACCTGTATCAGTGTAATCCTCATCCTCATCGTCAGAAGCCAGCAATGAGTTATCCTTGGTTGGGACGGGCTTCTCCTTGAAGTGTTCGTCTTCGACCTCGGTAAGCTTGACCATTGTGAAAAAGGGAAAAGAGAAAATCAAAACCAGGAAGGTGTTGCGATAGGATTCAGATGACTGTCTGGATTAGAGTCGAAGACAAAGCACTGGGCGCGTTGTTGTAGGGATGAAGAGAGCAGAGCAGAGCCGATGGACGATGGAGGATGTCGAGTCTTTTCGCCGCTTGCGTCGTTTCAACTTTTTTCCCCGGTCCGCCCGAAAGCGGTAAGCAGCTGGAACATCCATCGTGGCTATCATTGCTGATGGCTTCACTCTTTTCATTTTTTCCAAAACACCTACAGTTACATTGTGATTATCACTAAATTCAATCTATCTAGTACGAGAAAGCACAATCCGATATGCCAGTAGCCATTGTCTATATCACACCTGCTAGTGTACAGTATTTGACGAAGAGAGATAAACTCAAACAGATGAATAGATCCTCTTCATATCACCACCATGTAGGCATTTACCTCCTCCCTAGATTCCATCTTGCAATCCGTTCCTTGATCTCCTCCCACGGAAAAGCGCGGAGCTGGTAGCCCTCCAACTCGCCTTCCTGCAGCACAACGGTCGGCCTCCCAGTACCATTTCCCTTGTTCTGTACGTAACCGCCAAAGACCTGCTTGGCTACCCTTCGCAAGTCTTGCACAGTCAAAGCCTCGATCCTCTCACACATCTCCTTGACGGAGACCTTGTGCCCGTGAACCTGGACCTGACGACCAAGGTCCTCGAGTTCGACCAGACGAGACTCCAGATTCATGAGGAGGGACGAGCGGAGTTGGTTCTTGGCCCGGTTGACCTCGTGAGGCTGTAGGGCCGTGTACCCCGAATCCCGCGTGAGGGCATGAAGCTCCCGACACATGACCTCAAGCATGTCCGTGGTCCGGGTTGGGCTACAAGAGGCGGAGATACCGAAGATACCACTATCCGTGTAGCTGTGGTTGAATGCAAAGCAGCTCTCAACCCAGCCAAACTGGTTCAGAACGTTGGTGTAGAGACGAGAATACATGCCCTTGCCAGGGCCGCCGGCAGAGAAGGAGCCACCGCCTCCCAGCAGGGTCTGGAGAGTTGCCATGGCGTAAATGTCTGGTGATGAAATGGGCACAGCCTCGAAGGCGAGGTGAATATAACTCAATCGAGGAAGCATGGGATTAGCGGGAGGGGGGATAGGAGGAAGGGAGAGAAATCCACCGGTGTAGTGAGAGGGCCGTGTCAGGTCTAACATCGACGGCTGCACTAATGAAGGGTCCAGCGGTGTAACAGATTCGTTCTTGGCATTAGAAGGAGAGAGCTTCTTCAAAAATGGAAGCTTAGAGAGAATTTTCGACTGGCCATGTGGGGAGGTAGCCGTAGTCGTCGTAGTCGATGTCGGCGTGAACTGAGGAAGTGTCGGCACCTGGCCCTCTTTGGTGGCAGACTCGGACTCAGATAAAGTTGTTTCAATCCCAGCACCCGACAAGACCGGACCACTGGTCAGCTTGTTCTGTTTCATGTCCCCAAAATACCGTTCTGCAAGCTTGACGGCTTGATTATGAGGCACTCCGGCGAAGGCAACGACCATTCTGTCTGGATTGAAGAAGATCTCTCTGTATCGATCTACCACGGACTTGTTGATCTCCCCTAGTCTCTCACGTGGGCATAATATCGGGTTTCCCAGAGTGTTGTCCTTGTAGGCGGCCATGTGAACCAGTTCGGGCAGGATGAGGTCTGGTTTGGCCCAAATCTCGTTGATTTCGTACTCCGCCGTCGCCAGTTGTTGCATTACTTCTTCCTCCGTAATCAATGGATCACGAATCGTCTCCGCCAATAGGCCCAGAGTTTCCGGCACGGTCGAGTTGAAGCTGGCGGACTGGTACATCAACGACTCGCGGGACGACGCGCACTGTATGTTTCCTCCCAGCGACTCAAGAAGCTCCAGCATCTCATCTCCAGAGCGCGACTTTGTCGACTTAAATGCTAGCCGATCCATAATGTGGCTGACTCCCCGGAGACTTTCATCCTCGTACCGCGATCCGGCGTCGATGTATACCCCAACGCCCGAGAAGGGTCCTGGGAGCGACTCTGTCGCAACGCGGACTCCATTTGAGAGTGTGGTGATCTGTTCTAATTCCCCTGGATCCTATGGAATCAAAGAAAATAACGAAAAAAATATCAGCTATCAGCTAGGTTATTTCCGACTGTATCGATTTCGAGTTCATCATGCGTACCCTGGTCGTTGTTTCGCTGGCGGCTGTAGCGAAGCCTTTGGACACGGAACGAGGAAACCTGGTGAGTGGCTTCGCAACCTCAACTGTCCGTAGTGCTGAGCGCCTCATCTTTCGTCCACAGATGTACACTAGAAGCTGTACAGAAAGGACCTGTTAATTGCACATTCCCAGGTCCGGCACAGCTGACGCCAACCCGTGAAAAGCTGGCCAACCCGTGAAAAGCTGTGCGGAAGAGGATCGGCCCGGATACGATGATTATCTAATCAGTTGGGGCAATGTTCTTTCAGTTTGCAAGGAAGAATTATCCAGCTCGAATAGAGAGTACTTCGAGTTGATTGAATACGCTATGGGTCTATGTATATGCAGGGAATAGATACTGTTCTATGAAGAACCAGGAAGCGCGATTTCTCAACAGCCTGCAAGGTCCAGGCTTCTAGGTAGACAGCGTAATGGATTCCTATCCGCGGCATCTGCGGAATCAATATTAAAGCAATGTCCCTTTGCAGCAATCATGGATGCTCGGCAGCCCATCTGCGATACCAGTCAAGACAAGAGGCGTTTGCGACACTCGCCCCAATCTTTATGTTCAGCCCGCACAGGATCTGTTTCACGGCACCTTCAACCTTCTTGCCGTTCGAAGTCACCGGAATCTCCGGGCATGCGTCTACGATGCCTGGAACATGTCGTGGGCTGAGCTCCTTGCGGATCGTAGCCTGGATACGTGCGGCGAGGTCGCTCGGCATAGCCACAGGCGGATGACCATCACTGCGGGAGGCCAATTTCACAAACAGGATGACCGTCTCATCTGTATCTACACCTTCTCTTCTCCGGCCGATGCATAGGGAGTCGTCGACCTCTTCTGCAAAGTGTCGCAGGAGGACATTGTATATCTCCGCACTTCCAAATCGGACACCGGCTGGCTTTAGCACCCCATCGCTTCTACCCAACATGAATACACCCCCAGTCCGCGGATTCAGACGGACAAAATCACCGTGATGCCAGATTGACGACCCGAATGTCTCAAAGTAACTTTTCCGGTATTTCTTCGCTCCCTCCGGACCAGGTGGCCAGAACATCACAGGCTGAGCTGGGAAGGGCCTAACACAAACGAGGTCTCCCGCATCGCCGGAGGCGCCGATGTCATTTCCAGTGTAGTCAACCACGGAGACAGCCATCCCCAGACTCCGGCATTGTATCTCACCCTTGTAGACAGGCAGAATGGGACAGCAGCTGCAGAATAGGGACAAGATGTCAGTGCCCCCAGTGATGGATCCGAGCATGATATCCGGATGAATGGAAGAATAGACATATTCGAAGGTTGAAGGGGCTAGTGGGGAGGCAGTGCTGAAAATAGCTCTGAGCGTTTTTAGAGAGGCCGGCCGATGGGGATGCTTTCGCGGATTCAATGATGTCTGCTCCAGGATGGAGAGATATTTCGCAGACGTTCCGAAATGAGTAATCTGCAATTCATCAATAAGGCGTGGCATAGCCATCTCGCCTTTTCCTCCCTCAGGATCCAGCGGCCGGAAGGGCGACCCATCGTAGAGGACAATCGTAGCACCACTGGCTAGACCGGAGACGAGCCAGTGCCACATCATCCATGTCACAGTGGTGAAATAGAACAGACGATCACCAGGTCTGATATTGCAATGGAGGACGTGCTCCTTCTTGTGTTGCAACAGTGTCCCTAGCGCTCCATGTACGATAGGTTTGGGTGCTCCTGTGGTACCCGATGAGTACAGGATATATACTGGATGATCGGCATCCAGGGAGGCAAATTCAAGAGGCGCAGATGGATTGTGGACTGTGCATATAAAATATTCATACGTGAAGGCTTTACCCTGAACAGGCTTCACACCGTCAAGATTGAATCCATGGGAGCTGACGGTGTTAAAGACAACCAAGATTTCCAAAGCCGGTAGGCCGGAAACAACCTCGTGGACCTTGGCCTGCGCTCCATGTACTTTGCCGTTATATAGAGAGGCATTGTCGACGAATAGGACTTTGGGTTCAATCTGCTGGAGACGTTCCAGCACCGCATGTACCCCCGTGTCCGGGGATACCCCGGTCCAGAAAGCGCCAATGGATGCTGCTGCGAGCATTGCAACGAGAGTGTTAACATGGTTTCCCACAAATCCCGCGACCCGATCTCCTGTTTGCAACCCAGCTCCTTTCAGTGCATTGGCGCACTGGCGGACTCGATCCCGTAGTTCTTTCCACGACACAAACTCCCGATCCACCTCTGTGGCCGCAATTACCGCCACAGCATCTTCGTCCGGTGAAGATGCAGGGTAGAGAAGGTTTTCGGCAAAATTAAGTTTACTTCCCTCGAAAAAGCGCGGTCTGGGAAACAGGATCTTGTCCGACTCTAAGACCTGCGAACAAGCGAGATTAGCACATACTGCAATGATAGCATATATGCAGCATTGCACCCCACAGCTACCACCAATTGTGACACGAGCCCAGCAACAGGAACAACTCACTTGGTCAAAAGGCGTGTGAGCTTTGATGGCGGTATAGTTCCAGACCTCCTCCCAGAATTCTACCGGCTTTGAGATGCTCCATTGCCAGAGATCATTGTAATTAGCAAAGGAAAAGCCATGCTTCTGGCTGACTTTGGACCCAAAATCGAATATTTGCGTGGTTTGCGGGGAAGAGGGCCGCCATAGCGGTTCCGAGTCGGCCGATTCTTGCAGCATGGTCTGTGATTATTAGATGGTGCCAATGATAATCGTGAACGTGATTTATTCCGTATATTGCCAACAATAGCTGTGCAGATGAAAAAGAACAGATCCTCCTGCGTATCTCGCTGTATAGAGGGCGTGCATGAACAGTATAACCGCGGGGCGGGAGCCCATCGCCCCAGGGCCCTCGGTTCATGGATCGGATCCTGTCGACAAGATCACCGGCGGTCTGAGACGGAGCATCCGGACCGGTAGATTCATTTCCCATTTAAGCACGGCAGACATATTCTCAATCGGAATGATGCATCGTTGGTCTCAACAACTCATGAAGGCATGTTAATTGCAGATTCTGATCTAGATAACACAGCCAGCGCACTGCGCTGTTCCTCCTGGCCTGATCATTGCATATCAGAGTAGCGGTGACGATGGATAGATACGTAGGAACGCGCGGGTTTGTTCCGGTCAGATGGTCAGGGAAGCAAAGGATCCTCCTCACAGGAATGCAATATTTGCTTGATGGAAAATGTCGCAGTGCTCTGGACGAGAGGAAGCAACAGATAACTAGGAAGTATTAAGAGCATTGGAAAGTTGTGCTCGACGAGAATTACGGAGCGTAAGAATACCGGTCACGCCGTGACGGCTCCCGTGACCAACCGCAGTCTCGTGTTTTCCCAGCGCTTTCTTCCTCGACCCCTTGTCCCATCCCATCCTCTTCCTCAATCCCTCTGTCGTCCCTCGTATCCCGACCTGGTGCCTCACTGCGCATCCATCTCGGCCCTTCTCGCCTCATCCTCATTGACCCTCCTTCCCTAAACATTTCCCCTTCTCCCGTCGGGAGTGGTTGACTGGGTCCGTAGCGTGGCTACATGCTCCTCTCTTCCGGGCCGCCGGATTCTCTCATTTAGGAGAACGAGAGCAAGGAAGCATCCTCGAGATTTCCTCCAAGTGGTGCGTTTCATTTTTGGTGGACTCCTGAAATCTCTCCCCCGTTCGTTTTCTCCAGGCTCCAACATTCCAGGCTGCAACCGTCCACAAAATCTCTTATCTGCTTGGACCACCATCTAGTACTGACGTTAATGACCAATCGTTGCAGATCCTACTGGACTCGTCGCTATTCCATCGTGGAGAGAGTGAGCGAGGGAAAGAAAAGGAAAACGGGACGGGAAATCTAGACCGACCGTTTCCGTCAAAGTCCTAACGGGGATCGGCCAGGCTGTTAGGACTACTTCGTATGCACGTTATTCTGGGATCCTTGAATTGACTTTTTCCTCTGTCGCCGTCTTCTGCGATGCCTCGTCGTCGGTCAGCCAACTCGTCCTCTAACGACTCGCCATCGTTCTCTGCCTCCAAGGCTGGTATCGCCGTGAAGGCTGCCACCAAGCAGAATCGTCTGAGCCAGATATTTTCGACAAACCCAAAGTCCAAGACAGAACAACAGACCTCATCCGCCGTTGTAAACGCGGGTACTGTAGGATACGATTCCAGCACGATTTCTCCACCGATTAGCTCGGCCTCACTGTCCCTACCGACCATTTCTCTATCCACTGCTACAGCAGACAGTTCCAACATGGACACAACTTCCACCACACTCTTTCAGCCCCCCTCGCAAGAGGAAGCACGTCGCTTGGCCAAGCAGCACGCCGAGTTCGGTCCCATTGGCCATCCAAGCCATCGTTATACCAGTCGACACGCTGGCAATGTCTTTCCTGAGCCCGTTATGGACGAACCGCCCTATTTTTACCTTCTAACGACTTACATCAGTTATTTAATCCTAATTGCCTATGGACACGTCCGTGACTTCTTTGGAAAGCGCTTCCGCGAGGCTAATTACCGACATTTGAAGCCTCGCGACGGATATGCCGCACTCAACAGCGACTTTGACAACTTCTACATCCGCCGTCTCCAGCAGCGCATTCGCGACTGCTTCGAGCGACCTGTCAGCGGTGTTCCGGGACGTAACATCACTTTGATCGACCGGGCCTCGGATGATCACAACAAGCACTTTTACTTCACCGGCACTACCACCGACACTCTCAACCTGAGTTCTTACAACTACCTCGGGTTTGCCCAGTCAATAGGGCCTTGCTCAGATGCTGCCGAAGAGGCGATCAAGAAATATGGCATTACCTCCTGCAGCACCCGTTCTGAGGTAGGAACTCAAGACCTCCACTTGGAAGTCGAGGAGCAGGTCGCCCGGTTTGTTGGAAAGGAGGCTGCTATGGTTTTCTCCATGGGTTTCGGTACCAATGCCAACATCTTTCCCGCACTGGTCGGTAAAGGCTGTCTCATCATTTCGGACGAGCTCAATCATGCGTCAATCCGCTTTGGAGCCCGACTTTCGGGAGCATCCATCTGCATGTTCAAACACAATGACATGAAGGCACTTGAGGAGAAACTCCGGGAATCTATCTCTCAGGGTCAGCCGCGCACTCATCGCCCTTGGAAGAAGATCCTGGTAGTTGTGGAAGGTCTTTACTCAATGGAAGGGTCGATGTGTAATCTTCCCGGTTTAATCGCCCTGAAGCGACGCTACAAGTTCCATCTCTTCATCGATGAGGCTCACTCTATCGGCGCTGTTGGTCCCAGGGGCAGGGGTGTTTGCGACTATTTCGGTATCGACACCTCTGAGGTTGATATCCTGATGGGCACTCTTACGAAATCATTCGGCGCAAACGGTGGGTACGTTGCTGCGGACCGAATGATGATTCAGAAACTCCGTGCCACCAATTCCGGTGTCTTTTTTGGGGAGTCACCGTGTCCGGCAGTGCTAATGCAAATAGCCACTGCTCTCCGCATCATCGCCGGCGAACTGGTTCCTGGTCAGGGTGAGGAACGGTTACAGCGTTTGGCCTTCAATTCTAGGTATCTTCGTCTGGGGTTAAAGCGTCTTGGCTTCATAGTTTACGGCCATGACGATTCACCCATTATTCCGATCCTTCTCTTCAATCCCGGCAAAATGCCTGCATTCTCCCATGAGATGCTGAAGCGTAAAATCTCCGTCGTTATTGTCGGCTATCCTGCAACGCCTTTGGTTTCTTCCCGTGCCCGTCTTTGTGTTTCGGCTGCCCATACAAAGGAGGATCTTGACCGCGTTCTGACTGCCTGTGATGAGATCGGTAACAGCTTGCAGCTCAAATTTTCCACTGGCATCGCTGGTGGACTCTATCCTTCTGAAAACACGTTCAATACTCCGGAGAATGAGAAGGATGAGCAACACAAGCGACCCGTCAAGATCACGCCCCCACGCTGGCGGATCGAAGATGTTATCAAGAGAGGTGTCCAGGATGCCAAACTGCCGTTGTTCTAAGCTATATTCTGACGGCCCACGATATTGTCTGATCTTCAATGCCTGTCAATAGTCCTTCGGACTTGTTTCGGAATCACCTTGAGGTACCTGCTCTGGTAACGTGTATATCGCCAGGCCAAGGAGTTTTTCTCATTTGTTCTGTTGGTGGTAATGTCTAAGAGCCCTAGGTTCTGTTTCTTTTATTCGTTTCTCCTTGGTATCTGCGACGTACTGTATTGGTCGTCAACGAAAAAGAAAAATTGACAAAGAAGCCAAAAAAAGAGAAATACATAGAACTTTGCAAGTTCTTCACACACGATTGAATACATCAGTTGAAACGGTCTTGTTCAAGATGAGGCTGTGGGGAATGGATGGAGGTGCTCAGGCGGACACTGGCCTGGCTGGAAGTAATTATTGTCTATAATTAGCTTGGATGTTAATAATATTCTTACTGAATGATGGATTTGCAGGCTTGTGTATGGTAGATGTCATTTATGTGGGAAGGCATGGAGTATAATCATTGAATTCTGCCATTGAGTTTAAAGCTATTTATTGTACCACACTAGGACTCGTACGATGTAGGCAATCTTTGTGCACAGGGACGATTATAAAGATATGTAGGAACTAGCTGCATTATTCCATAGAAGGATGCGTGTAGTCCTGGGTATCTGAATATGCATGCTCTGTAATCTGTAAAGAGAAACAACCACAGTTGATAAAACACATTGACGCCAGTAAACAAGTAAGCAAGCCAGGAAGAAAAACAATAATCAGCAAACGGAATTGAAATAAAATAAATATACTGAACCTCGTCGTTGACCAGAACGCCTCTCACCATAACATGGGGAATGCAATGAATCAAACGAAGAGTGTCATGACCTGTTTCGTCTTGTGTCGTTGGCAACGCAGAAAATCAAAATGAAAACACTTCGTATGTATAAGCGATATAACTCTATCCATGCTTCATAAGTCAAATAGCGCCGTATGCATTGCGCGGACGTTCGTCTGGCAAGAGAGCGGCTTCCTCCTCGGAAGCCTCAGCGATAGATCCTCGGTCTGGGGAGACAGAAGGGATCCACCCTCTCATCCACCCTCTGACGGCCGTCCAATGGCTCGTCTGTTCTCCTTTCCCATCCTCATCACCCACGTCGACCATAATCACAGGCTCGCCCTCACCGTACACAAGGAACTGCACGCCCATGAAAGCGTCTAGCGCCAGAACGCCCGCAGCGCCGAGAAAGAATGGAAGGGTGCGTACGATCCACTCGACACGGGAATTACCGTCGACACTGGCCCACCCTCCGCCACCGTAGGGGGGGAAATCAAACCAGGCGTTGGGGTTTGTGAGGAGTGAGGCCGAGTAGAAAAAATTTCCGCAGAAGGCTGCCATAAAGAGCAAGGGGGACAAGCCAGATGTGCTTTTCCGGCGATAGTTCTTGTAGAGCTGGGGCGGGCGCGAGAAGAGGTACAGGACGGAAGAAATCCAGGAGGCGACACGGCCGATGATCTCGAGGGTGGAGGACTCGGATGCAGCGGTGAACGGTGATGCAGACTGCAAATGAGGCTCTGTCGGGGCTGCATTGGCCAGGACAGCGCAGAGCATTGACGTCAGGAGGACCGTGCGGGTTGAGAGACTGGACCCGTTCCCGGCGACAGTTCTGCGAGAAGCGAAGGAGTGCTTCTTCTCGTTATGGGAATAAGACGGCGATGGGCCGGCTAGGACGTCGACGATCGGCTTCTTCGGGGGATCGACATCCTTGGGGAGTGATCGTGGGGACAGCTCCGAAGGCGATCGAGACGCAGAAGCGCCGTGGTCATCCTCAGGCAGAGAGACGCCTTCCAAGACGCCCGAACCAGGCGGATTCCGACGGGAGTGAGGCGGATGGTCGCGTGCGTACCGTCTCCACTTCCTCTGGCCATGAGTGTACCAGAAGAACTGAGCCACCAGGGTGATATCAACCAGGACATAGTAGGCCGCAACAACGACTTGCCAACCGGCCTGTCGCGTGAGCAGCGAGCCCACCAGGTTCGCCGAATCGCCCAAGCACCATTCAATGAGGAAGAAAGCAGAGAGACCAGCGGTAGACTGGAGCTGGTAGTTCTTATATATCTGGGGGATTTGAGCAAACAGCCATGAGACGATGCTGAGAGTACCCAGGAGGGAGGAGATGAGGGCGAGCGGCGTGGGAAGGCATATGTGGAGGTAGGAGGAGAGGGCGGCTAAGTAGGGCGACGATGGCTCGCAGTGGTCGGGGAGGGCGATTGCAGTGATCTGACGCAAAAGAGGAGGAGGCATGATGGCAGTGATGAAGAAGGAGAGGGAGAGAGAGATGGGAAGAGAGAAGAAGAGGAGGAGAGGGGAGGAGAGAGAGGAAGAAGGGATGATGTCTCTCTTATCACGAGGGCAGTTCGTCACTGCAAGTCACCCCATGGCAGAGATAACATCAAATACTGCGGGGGCCTTATCTTGATATGAAATACGGTCGGTGATAGATCTGGTTTACTAAATTTACTAAATCCAATTGTTAACTCTGAGATCTTGTGTCTTCATCCACCATAATACCCCAACTTGTCCAACATCACATGACCAATGGGTTATGCCACCTTATGAGACTGCTGGTTCAGATGGTTTACGCGTCTAGTCACTGTTTGCAAGAAATGAGCGTCAGCTTGTTATATCCAAGCACTCCAACTACGGAGCATTACCCACTTTCCTTATGAAGCCCCTTGTGCATCACGAAATTGCAACACGAGAGCCCCCTTCTCTGCCCTCTGCACATAGGTAGCATGTCTCTGCAGCAGGGTAACTTCAGTCCTATTCTTGCAGAAATTGTGCACAATATCATGCCCACTGTTCCCTGTTCTGCATTGATGCCCATACCAGTATATATATGCTAGGCGTATTCCGAGTACATTTCTAGTGTAGGCCAGCAAATTCCTACCATATCACTAGACTATCCCCATTCCTAACCTAACTCCTAACTACCACCACTGAGATGTGAGGTACTTAGGCTACATTTGAGTCCGCATAGGCTCTACGGCTGCCTTTACCTACAACGCGTTGGCTTAGTATATGGCCAATTTATCAAGTGTACTTATCCTTACCCTTAGCGGCACGAATTCTGCTGCTGCGACGAGCTGTCTTTGATTCTGCTGGAAATTGGTAGTGCATATGCTTTGCATTTGTTTTCTGATAACTTACTCCTTGAGGTGTTTAGGTCACTGCCACTATTATTGTTGGAGCCATCATCTGGAGGAGATGGTCCACGCTGGACATACAATCAGAACACTGCCAAAATATGCTTGGACCATACTTACCTTGCGCTTGTGGCTGGATGGTCAGGTTGAAGGGATGCGCTGAATAGCTCAGCATATGTCAAACATGTCTCAAACATGAGTACTACTTACCTCACGATGGAAGCGAGTTCCAAATTGACTAGCAAACTTAGGGTCATTCATACTAGTACCATGTCGGGAAACATATGCAATGCATGAATCTGGAATAAGCAGAACTTACGCAATAGTCTCACAGGCAGTTGCACAAGTATCAAGAAGACCTCCAAGGGGACCACAACTGTGCATTAGTTGGACATATGCTAAAATATATATGGCAAATACTCGGTATAAAGCAAACATACCCAGGCTCATGCACATATCTTGCTTTGCGCCATCCTCCTGAAAGCACAAAGCTCTTGATTGCACTAGATAGGTCAGCATATGCTCAGGATCATCGTATATTCCGAATTTACTTTTGCCCGGCAATGATCTCATCAGTTGAAGTATTGTTCATCCGGGGATTGCAGACTAGTATAGATCAGCAAGCACTGAGTATACGTAGGGAATTAACATACCAGCGCCTGGATGCGCATTGCGGAGGTGGCGGCGGAGCTAGAGAACAAATATCGGTAAGCATAGATAAAGTATATGCTAGAAGTACACGTACTGAAGGCTGGTTTGACATGATCATGCATGCCACACATCTGGCCAGAATTCACGTCAATGTTGCAACTGTATGATACTTAGCATATGCTCCACATAGGCGAGTATAGTGTGAGCATATTGTGTACATACACCAAAGTATTGACTGAGGACATTTTGGTCCCAGTTTGGGGTGCCGTCGCATTCTCAGCTGCAGTCACATCAGGCACTGTATAACTTTAGCATATGCTATGTATACATAATGAATGAACCAGTGGTATCCTAACAGCGAAGGTCATTATCACGGGCTGCACGCTGGCGATCTGGCAGCCAGCCAGGATTGGGAATAGGGCCTTTAAGAATGAGCATATGCTTACTCACCATAATGGTGCCCAAATCTAGATGGGTTAGTCGCGTTGCGCACCCCATCATTATCGAAATAATCGCGCACCAGAGGCATTGCGTATACTGGGAATCCGTGAAGGTTAATAAGACCGTATGGAGAGAATAAATCCAGAAGATGCAGTGAGTTGAAAAGGTGAAATTAGGGTCTTCTCAGCATACCCTCAAGGGATGGAAAGCGGTAAGGGGAGAGGATAAGGCTAGGAGGTCTTTGATATATACGTAGCGAGGCCCTGACGGCCTGCTAACCATCACAACGTTAAATGGAGTAGTATCCTATGCTTTCCAAGACATCCTGTAATAGTTACCGTTGTGGAGCATCATTATTTACAGCCGCATAAAGTGTGGTCTTGTAATACAAAGGCCAAGAAGGGCAGATCATAATAAAGATGCGTGGAATATGCTTAATCCGGAGGGAAATACCACCAGCTCGGAGACAATATCATCAGGTATAGTACTCTATGAGTGCCCACCAAACTCAGGTTGACAATCATCCACTTTGTGTCTGCTGTAGCAGCGGCAGAAACTCTCCTGTCACCAAATCCCTGACAGGCCAGGTCGTTCACTTCTCATGCTTCCTGTCTTGCAAAGCCGTCTAGGGCATGCTTCCCAATGTGGGCTAGTGCGTACAGATAACCTGACCTCGCTAGGGAGGGTACTTAACCCGAGGTAAATACATGAACAAGTCATCTTATAGCTAACGAGCTTAAAGGCCTTTCTCAAGTAGCTGGGGAGAGTAGCAATCTCATAGGAAGGTACGGGAGAAACCTGAAGCATCAAACGGCAATAGAACCACCAGTGCTCCTTCCAGAAGCCCGGCTATGCGATATGGAAGCAACGCATGAGGTATTCTCCATCTCCATCTCTGTCCCGTCGACTTGGACTTCTTCCTTTCATGTATACTGACGCTGTTTATTGCATACGTTACCAACCAGTACCATTTGCCATACTTCATTATTCTGCTCCTATCGGAGCTAACACTCTACTCCCAGACTTCACTCGAAATACAATAAACATGCATTCTGGACTCGTTGCCAGTGTCCTCGCTAGCCTGTGTCTATCCGTCGCTGCCCAGAATACTTCGGCTCCCATCGTGTATGATAACCCTCCAAATGTCTACGAGCTCATGCTGCTGGACAAGACCAATACGACCGTGCGGGGATACGTCAGAGCATCGGCACCTTCAAGTGGTGTTGGAGTCAGGATCCATGCCGATTTCTGGGGATTGCCTGATGAGGGCCCTTACCGTATGCCTTTCTATCACCGGCACACCCGGAGGAGACAACAACGTTACATGGCTAACTCTTCTCTGTAGAATACCATATCCACGAGTTCCCCGTGCCCCCAGATGGCAACTGTTACAGCACCCTTGGCCACCTTGACCCTTATCGCCGTGGCGAACAGCCTCCCTGTAATCCCAATCTGCCGGAAACGTGCCAGGTTGGCGACTTGAGCGGGAAACATGGGGTGATTTTTGTTGGCATTGGAGAGCCTTTTGAAACAGAGTACACAGATCTCTTTCTCTCGACGAATCCAGAGGACCCTGCCTTCATTGGGAACAGGTCGATCGTTGTTCATGCGCCAAACAGTGCGAGACTCAACTGCGGTAATTTTGTGAATATCAACACTGAAACCCATGCAAGTGAAACTCGGGATGCTGCATGAAAGACCAGCACTCATCCTACATTCATCCTCTGCTGGCTTTATTATTACTCGCAATGTCATTCAGGTACCCTGTTTGTTATGTGTATAGACTATTGGATGATGGTTCATCCTTTTGTCTTGACTTATATGGGATATTCGGTTGCTGCAGTCCTTCTTTTGCATGAGTTGAATGTCAAGAAATACCATGACTGAGACCATTCACCTGCAGATGTGCCCACAAGACCAGGCTGCTCTTTATCATGTTTATTGTTATAACCTCACATATTCTCTTCTTTGTCGTTTAAGCATTAAATAGCCCATCCGCTACCTCTCAACTTAACTGAGCAACGCATCAATATCCATCCTCTATTTCACATCTTCCCTACAGACAGTCATACAGAACCACCACCTCAAGTAGCAAAGCCACAATATGCCAAAATACCGGCCTGCCATTCCCTCCATGTCCCTGGGCAAACCCCGGCTCCATCCCCTCCCAGACAAGCTCTCACAGGCGTCAATCCACGGCTTCAAGGGCATAGAACTCTTCTACGGCGACTTGGAATCACTGGCCCAAGCCAACTTCAACAACAACCTCCACAAAGCAGCACAATACACTCACGAAAAATGCAAAGAGCTAAACCTTCACATCATCTGTCTCCAACCCTTCACCTTCTACGAAGGCCTCCTCGACCGCAACCAACACAAATGCCTCATATCGGAAAAACTACCCCTCTGGTTTGAACTAGCCAAGATCCTGGATACGGATTTGATCCAGATCCCTGCGAACTTCCTCGGTGCAGATCAGGAAACAGGCACACACAGAACAACGGGGGACAGGGACGTCATCATCGCTGACCTCCAAGAACTAGCAGACAAGGGCCTCCAGGAGACGCCACGAGCTATCCGGTTCGCCTACGAGGCTCTCGCGTGGTCCAACCACATCGATACATGGGAGGAAGCGTGGAGTGTCGTTCGGGCGGTTGACAGGCCCAATTTCGGGATTTGTCTGGATACATTCAACATTGCTGGACGGGTATATGCTGACCCCTCTGTGGCATCGGGGAAGGCCAAGAACGGGGAGATGGAGATGAAGGAGTCCATGGAACGGCTTCGGCGGATGATCGATGTTAAGAAAGTCTTTTACGTACAGGTTGTTGATGGGGAGAGACTTTCTGCGCCGCTGGACGAGCAGCATCCGTTTCATGTTCCTGGGCAGCCGGTGCGGATGTCCTGGTCGCGGAATGCGAGGTTGTTCGCGTTTGAGGAGGAGAGGGGTGGCTATTTACCTGTTCTTGATGTGGTGAGGGCCGTTTTTGATGGGTTGGGCTTTGAAGGATGGGTATCGTTGGAGTTGTTTTCGAGGACTTTGGCGGATCCAGATCCGGACACGCCTGTTGTGCATGCGCGGAGGGGGATGGTGTCTTGGAGGAAGCTTATGAAGGTGCTTGAGGGTTGAGAGGTGGTGAATGGGGGCTTTTGGCAGACTTCATGCTTTCGGTCCGGTGTAATTTCAGTGATGTTAGGGCTAAAAATACTCCGTATGCAGTCCTGCTATTGAATTGATTTACATTGTGCTATAACCACATGTTGGAAACAACTAGCATCTACAAACAACCTGTAACCTTATGTGACTGAAAACAGTAAGAGAGGAAAGGCGCAATATAATAAGGGTATGACCGCCCTCAAAGCCACCAGCTTGATCGGAAAGACGTCAACTGAATCAAGGTATTGAGAAGTCAGAATGGAAATGAAGATAAAACGAAACATAAACGGACCAATAGCGCAGATACTAAGTTAGGCTTCTCTAGAGCTTGGAGACCTTGAAATAGCACCACTATTCCGCTGTGAATCCTGGGATGTTCGTCCCCTAAGACTCAAATTCCCAATCCGCTGCACAAGGTTGCTGCCTACAGCATCTACAGCACCCTTAGGGGCGAGTAATGTCGGCCCCTGTGCTGCCGCCTCCTGGACTTTAAACAGCTTGATACCGGTCCCATTCCAGACTCCCACAGTACCAGGAGTCGCGCCGGAAGCCGAACCGACAACCATTTCACCGGAGAAGATAAAGCCCCATAGCAATGACTCATACCAGCCCATAGATAAAGCAGACCATTCAAAGGTGTGAACAGGGATTGGGGATGGTTCTGAAATCATGCTATGGATGTGTGGTTCATCGGAAAATGATGCGAGATTCGTAATCAATGTACGCGCTTCTGGATTCGAACTAGATTCAAGAGCAGCATCGGGTATGTGTGGAGAAATGGCAGAGATAAGGGTAAGCACAGTGTGCAGAGAGAGTTCTGGCAACCAAGATTCAAGCTAGGAGAGTTGCAGAGGTTAGTTAGTTGGGGCATAAATAAAACCAAGAAGCTGTCTGCACTCACCCAGGCTGCGGTTGGTATAAAATTATTAGAGGACGATAGAAAGAGGGATACACTGCTTTGACTGGCCACACTGTTTTGTCGGGAAAAAGACGGTCGTCCCGCAGGCATCTTGCCTCGCGCTTTTTCGGACATTCCTCGCAGTTGAACTGGCACGCTTTCATCGGCTGAGGATGAAACTGACGGTCTCCTCGAATTCTCCAAGGACGGAGAGGACAGAGATGGTGTAGGCTGCTCGTCTCCCTCCTCGTCTGAATCGTCCCCGCCGATCGCAAAAGGGTTGTTTTCTTCAGGGATACGACTTAACGATGGCCGTGCACCAGAAGGAGTCTGCAAATCGTCTTCAGACTGTGGTCGACGAAGACCAGCGGCCAGGTCATGAGCACTACTCCCGGATTTTTGACTCTCACGTTGACGTTCCAGTTCTTGTTGTCCGCTTTCAAGTGTGAAAGCTCTAACGGCCTCGAACCGTTCCTTGTACTTGAGAATCCCATACACGAGATACGGGTTTTCTAGAGTATATCAGTAATGCAACCTAGTAAGGCAGGTTCGGATTTGTTGCTTACTGGCAAACTGATGCTCCACTATCGTGTTAATAAAGTCTAGTACCAGAGAAAGAAGATTATGATTTGTCTCGTTAGCCAATAGAAAGCTGGGTGCGGACATTGACGCGAAGAGTTGTAATATCCTCGAGCACGTGGAGGCCGACAAGTGCTCTACATATGCAGCTATGTTGTTGATTATTGCCAGAAGGGCCGGATATACAGCATCCAAATGCCCTTTCCTTGTGGACATTAGAGTAATGATGGACTATTTCATCAGCAGGTGTGTCTAGAACATACAGGGCCGCAAGAGACAAACCGTAATCAAATAGTCGGCATAGGAGCCTTTGAAGTTGGATAAACGAATGCTTTGCGGCAAAGTGTCTTGAGCTGCGAATTTCAAGTTTAGGCTCTTCCCAAAATTTGGCTCTACGCTCATTGTCTGTAAGATAAAAATGCACATTCGGACCAGTCCTTGTTTTGCAGGATCAGCTCGGTACTCGGAAGCATAGAAGAGGCAGAGAATGATGAAGTCGTGCGAGCGGCTGGAATCAATAATAAATGACCTGAACCTCTTGTTACATTGCAGGGTCTCCCAGAAAAGCATAAGCATCTCCGGAGCCCATTTGACGGATTTGTGGCTGCCGGGAAGATATGAATTTGTAGCTTCCATCTGTCCGGTAGTACTCGTCAGTAGTCGGGCCAGGGGAGAGAAATAGGAATAAAAAATAACAAATAAGAAAGGAATAGACGTACAGGTTGGTTCAAAATCCGAGTCATGCCGTCCACAAGGAACTGGAAGTCATGCGGCCGATGCAATCGTCCGAAATAATGACGATAGTAATTCTTCGGTGGAGGACCACGGCCGTCCTCTGGAATTGGATATAGAATAAGGACGAGCAGAAGCTGCAGACAGTAGATCACTAGAATCTGCTTCGGATCTTTCCAGACGACGTGATCGTACGGAACTCTCCACGACGCAGGGTTGTATTTGACAGCCTTGATTGAAATAGTGAGCACATAGCTATGCTCACTAGTGAGTATCTTATACATACAGTGTTCAACAGTGAGCAGAGCAACGTTAAGACGGCCTGCTTGTCAGGGCACGTTGTGATATACGTAATAGCCTTCACTCCCTGCACAGGTAACAGGCCTAAATATCTGTCAGCAAAAGCTAGGCTGTATCTGAGGAGCAACCACTTACCAGATGGCATGTACATTGCCTTACCAGTCAACGTGAGCAGCAAACGAAGAATTTCGCATCGATTGTTTTCCATTTCTTTGTTCGACCCCATCGCACTGTTGCAACCGACACCACTCTGCCAAATGGAATATGAAACATTGCCTTTCGCTGTTGCAATTTTTGGTATCGTAAAGTCAATGTAGAACAACAAATCAAGTAGAGTATCTATCAATTCCTCGGCCAGCGGTTTCGCGTCTTTGTAGTCACTCTCCCGAGGCGAGGTCCCATCCAGCTGCTCCTCCGGCTGCGCTTCGTCAAACAGGATTTCGGGAGCGCCCTGCGAACTCTGACTGTCTTTCCGGCGACGGGACCAAAAGAACTTCTCTTCCCAGTCATCCAAATGTTCTACTTCGTAGATGAAGGGGAGCACCCGAGTGAGTATGCGGATACAGTTGAGCGCATGACTGGCCGGAGCCAGCTCTGGGTCCGGAAACGAGGGATGATTTTTTAAAGAGACGAGATGAGAGGTTACAGAAATGATTAACGTCTCAAGGTTCGACAGCGCTTGATCTCGAGTTCGTCGTATATCTGACGGGGTGAATAAACTGAAGACATCTTCCGTTGATTCTGGGAGCTCCCAGAACTTAACAGGAGCGTCAGTATGAATTAGATAAAACTGGAAAATGAAATAAAATGCCAAACGTACTCTAGCCCAATAGGGATCGCCCGCTGGAATGTTCCTCTCTTCTGAGAGGCGGAAGATTCCTTTTTTGAAGACAAGTTTCGACTCTGAGGCTCCCATTGTGACCGCGCCGGACGTCTCACGATACTATCGACCTCATGCAGTATCGTGATTCAAAGATCATCAAATATTTGCAGGAGAACGTAGTTATCAGCGATGTGCAAGACGTGCCAAGGTTGCCAACTGCATGGGATAAGGTGAAGTTGCGGATAGGTGTGTTGTTGCGAATGCGGAATGCATATCGGCGGAGCAGTCGCGGAGATCTCAGATCTTCCACTGGGGTCATCTTGGGGCCAACTCCACAGCAAAACTTTGCAATACTAGTCGCATTGGTTAATTCTTTCATTCTGGTCATCTCTATTTTATTTATGTAGACAGTCGACGCGCAGATTCCTAATCATGGTACCTGGCCATACGACGATTCCTTAAGTACACGATCTACCGAAATACAGTTCTCGATCGATTATTGCTACAGCCAAACCCAGCGCACGTCAAAGAGAAAAAGCGCTGTTGCTTGTGGAGAGCCTTCCGCTTCTCTCATACAGCCACTTATTGGTCACACCTATCCCCGTCCCCCTTCTACCTGTTGGCGAGGGCGTTGGGGGACCCCAGCTAGATAAAGTTGACTCCTTGAACGAGGAGCTCTGGGCGAGTGGCGACGAAGACCAAAAGCTTCCTCGAGCGACCGGCGAAGATCCGAAACTTGGTCTCTGTCCACTTCCCTTGTTTCCATTGGCAATTGCTCTCTGTAATAACGGGCTCGTTGAAGGCGAGAAGGAGGCGCCCGCGGAATACGTGTTGCTAGAGAGACTCGTCCTGGCAGATGCAGGAGATGGACTTGTACTGAATGGACTTGCTGGCCGAGATACAGAAAGACGATATCTCGGTGGGGTTACATAGGCGCTTTCAGGCGTCGGAGGTAGGGCGACCACTGGATCAAGTCCCAAAAGAGCGCGTTGTGTTGGTGTAAGAGGTATGTCGGTCATTTCATCTTTTGGTCGGAATAGAGGGTATAATGCGACAACTATATTCACAGTGAAATAAAGCTGGAGGGCAAAAAAGGCGAGGTCGATCTTTGCGGGGTAGTCTTGGAGAAAGTGTGGCCGGAGTAGTCTGATGATTCGTGAACTATCAGTATTGCGCAAGCAGGGCAGGTGATGAATGAGATCTATTCTGCTCACTGGGTCTTCAGGGTATCTCCAAATAACCATGTTATAATCAATGCAACCCCATTTGACAGAAGCCTCCTCGCGTTATTTGGACCAAATATCGAAGCATTTTGCCGTCTAACAATCTCGTCAAGACGAGGATGCCGCCACTTCCCGGGCGTTTGGGATGCGCCTGATCCAGGGGCGGAAGAAGAAACTGGCTTGGGGGTTGATGGCAGAGACTTGGATGCCATTGAGATATGTGGATGAAAACAAGAGTCGAAATCAAAGTATCAAAAAAAGGGGAAGAGGCAAACAGGAACTGGATAGCATGAATGTGAGCATGTATGAAGACTATTCACGAGTAATAAGTGCCAGTGGGGAGCTTACCTTCAAGGAAAAAGCTTTTTTTCGGGGGACAACAATTGGCCCAACTTACCTATGGCACTTGATATCGTTCTGGTCTGGGCTGGAGAGGAGGATCATGGCTGGGGAATCGTCTGGTGCTGATGTTTGGACTCTTCCACAACAACGGGATTGTTATCACAACCGCCTGGGAGACAGGCGCCCTTGCCGCGATCCTTAGCGCGCGTTTGCCAGACGCCGTTTTCGGCCTTTCCCCGCAATTCCATCACGTGGCTGCACTGCCTCAGATGACGTTTCGCCAAGCTGGACGAGCTGAACGAGCTGAACGTAGAAGCCTCTCTTCTACCGCTCGGTTGTCTGATGTCGATTTCACTTCATACCTTCTCAGTATAAGTGGAGTGGTTGTCTGGTTCCGAAGCACTCAAGATGGCAGAGCCGACACTGGTGGCCAAGATCGACTCCTTGGTAATGGACCTTCTGGCCGACTGGAACACCTACACCACTCTTATTGCGGGTGCCATTGCAGCCTTTGTCTTGTTTTCCATCGTCTCATCAAAAGATCCTGACCTTCATCCGTACTTGCTTGCCCGACAGGCGAGTTCGTCACCCGTACGAAATCCTGGCGAATCTGCCAAATATAGAAGTCTCGAGACGCCTTACGATTTCCCACTCCGATCAGGGTTGAATGTGAAGGATCCGGATACCCCAAAGTGGACAAGTGGTAGAAGAGGAGATCTGCGTGATATTTGGAAGACTGCAGTGCGTGGAACTGTGAGCGAAGACGGCACTCGGAAGCAAGGAAAGATCTATACTGTGCTTGGGAGACATGTCACCGAACGCAGCTTCGAGGATGTTACGGAGGACATCAATGTGATTGGGAAATTCATTGAAAAAACTGCGGCGAAAACTGTAGCTATTTGTCTGACAGACTCGGTTGAGCTACTTGTGGCTATATTCGGTTCGCACTTACCTATCTTTCTACACCATCTCTCTCTTGAAGTAGGACATACACTAACCATGCTTGAATACAGCTGGTGCCTTTTACGGCTTCAAGGTGGCTCTTATTCCCCACAATCTTGCCTCCGAAGTTCTGTCTGCGCATCTACGCAAAGCGCAGGCTGATATTCTAATTGCTGAAGCTGGTGCTCTTGACCTGAGCATTATAGCCAACGATAGCAAGGAGCTGTCCCATGTCATCTGGGTTGCCAAGGATGGAAGCAGGCACATGGCTTGGAACCAGCTACCACCGGGTGTTAGAGCTGACTTGAAGGTTGCTGTTTGGCATGAGCTAGTTGAAGAAAAGAGAGACCTGGGTGGACTCGAGGTTCCTAGCTGGGATCCCAAGACTCCATCTTCTCCATTGTCTACCCTCCAACCGTCATCGGGAGATACCTCAGAGTTCATCGACTACCAGCCAGAGGTAAGCCCGTCCCATGAACTCTCATCTTATCGGAAATGCTGATGGCGGCATTAGAACTTGGCATCTGCCATAGGTGCATTAATCTCTTGCTTGCCTGCTGGCCAACGATTTGGCAGTGGCGATCTCGTTCTCTCAATCGATTCCCTCTCGAGACTGTATCCACTGTGCCAGATATTTGCAGCACTTTATTCAAATGCTTCTATCGCGCTCAATTCCGTTACCGGGGATACTTCCAATTTCGCACTTGCTACGGTCGGTGTATCTCCGACGGTTGTCATTACTTCGTCTCGCACCGTCTCCCAGTATCACAAGAGATTTATGCGTCCTAATACTGGGATTATCTCTAAATTCGCTCGTTGGATCCAAATACGGAGTTTGGATGCCGGAGTTATGTCATCACATAACTTGTTAAGTCAACTTGCCACTGCTGGACCTACAGCCGAGCTATCTCTTAACAAACTCCGCTTACTATGCATTTCCCATCGAGCTGGTGATAGCTCTGAGAACTGTTTAACTTCTGAGCAGTTGACCGACCTGAGGATCTTCACTGGTGCTCGTGTTGTATATGCCTTGACCGCTCCGGGTGTTGCCGGCGCTATCTGCCAGACGAACATTTTTGACTATCGGCGATTCCCAGGGCCCTGCCACTTTGGCCCTCCTCTGAGCAGCGTTGAAGTGCTCTTGACAGACGTTCCAAGGGAAGCAGAGTCTGACAGACCTGTAGAGGGCAAGGTAAGGAGATGGCACTCCGCCCCGAAAACGTACATACCCGCACTGCTACTAACTTTTCCTGACAGATCACTGTAAGTGGTCCTGCAGTTGTCTCCGGTAAAACGACTATACCTATTAGAGGACATTTCCGTGAGGATAACACACTCGAGTTGCTCCCCTAAGTGGAGTTCTTTTCGCTGAGGTAGTACTACCCTCCCTGTCCGGCTAACAAAAACGAGCATCATCTCCTGTCATTGTCAAATCTTAGATTTAGATAACCCGTCCGTATATCTACAACTCTGACTTCTAAATGAATCTGAAAGGAAAAGTTATCTATATCTTTTGAGTAAGCAAAGAATCTCAACAAGAATTTCCAGTTTCGAAGAATTCGCCTAGTTATAATACAATGTAGTCTCGCTTCGTATAAAGGTACTATTTGAACAACAGTTGAGCTTGCTGGTAACCCAGCGTCGGCTTTTCTTTGACCTTCTCGGGCGCCATCTCCATTAGTGCCGCGATTTGTTTCCGTACCTGCTCCAAGTTGGACTCCAAAGACGACTTAACTGACATCTGGAGATCGATTCCATTCACCTCCAACGCGAGCTTCAATCCGTTGAAAATAGGGAGGTTTTCTCGGAGCAGCTCATCAGCCTGGTACCAATCCTTAGAATAGGTAGAGAAGTTTCCACGGTCCCAGCTCGCGGACAGCCGCCGGGCGTAGGCAAGAACGTCTCCGGTTTCATCATTTCCCCCAGACTCGTTGAGCGCACGCGCGGCATTTAGCTCCAGAAATACACCGATAACAAAAGGCTTCCGCTTCGGATCCCATGACATATCATGCTCAATATGCTCTGGCGTCTCCATCAGTTCAACAAACTGCTTCGCAAGCCCGAGCGCCTTGGAAACGGCGGGATCCTTGAACTCAGCCACCTGCGCCATCCGATGAATTTGGAAAAAGAGAGGCTGAACAAGCTCAGTAGTATTGAGCCGGAGGCCCGTTCGCTCCGACTGCTTCGCGCATTCAAGAATTATGCCCAATGCATCAGCCTCTCCGGCTTTCCGAATCAGCCACTGCCACCGACCGGAGCTCAGGGAGCGGTGCGACATCCGTAGTCCGGAAAGGAAGGGAATGATGTTGTTCCAGTCGCTCTTTGTTTTCATCAATGAGACGATGTTCGCGATCTCCTTCGTTTTCGGTCGCTCAAGCAGGTTCATGGGTCGGAGTGTGAACTGCTCGTCATTCTCGCCAATGCTAACCCTCACTGGGTCTTCCTTCAGTCGTCGGGAGTATCTCTGTCTAAACATAAGTTTTCTTTGCTGGACATTCAGACCGAATGGTATGAACAGCTCTTCGCGGAAATGGTTCAGCGCTTGGTCTAGCTCTGGAGAGGAGGTTTGGGAGAAGGTTGGGATTGCTGTACAGTGAGGCCCCAACGAGTCAGCGAAAGATGAATCCTAGGTTTAAAAATTGAATAGTAGAAAACTAAATACCATGCTTTGAGTAGCTGCGCGATTGTGTGAAAGTAACAATGGGTTGACGCAGAGTACTGGTATTTCCGCTGCGGAAGAGCCTGCCAACGGCGTTTTGCGCCATTGTTGATTATGATAAGAGAAGAGGTGCTCGACGCCTTCCTACTATCAGAAGACGATAGTTCACCGAAACTAAACACTCATGAGAGACGAGAATATAGCACGAGTCAAAAAGAAGTTCCCTGACAGGGTCTGAATTGGAGGATCGAATAAAATGGCCCGAAAAGGAAACTTGAGACTTGGCGGAAATTCTGCCGGACCGGATCAGGTCAATCTTCCGCCGAAACGCTTGGATGGATTGACCTTCTCTCCAGGCCCTCTCCTGCAGCGCAAGGCACGCGAATTCTACTACAATGACGACCTTGTCGCCCATTATGCGGCCGCTCGGCTGCTTAAGGTCCTTTGTGAGAACCCAGGCCTGGATGCAGCCACGGATCAGTCGGCGATGCATCTCTACACCATATACTCCGAAGCCAGAGCCAGTCGCACTTCCTGCGAAACTACCCCCACAGTTTTACTCGCAATTACCTGAAAGATTGAGGCCTGATCAAGGTATTTTTGATTATATGTTCTATTGGTCGAATTTCGCAGCCTGATTGCCTAATGCGATATAACCTCTATTGCAGCGCCGAAGAAGCTCAAAGTCTACCCACCACCCCCGTCAACACGAACCGTCTGCAAAGACCCTATTGCAGCAGTCACAGAGTCTCAGCTGCAAGTACTGGACCCAACGGGCGAGCGCAAGGCGCTTTTCGACTACCGGAGAAACCCGCGAAGTGTGAAGCAGGGCGATATCGTCCGGGTGACGTTCAAGAACGGAGACCCGTTTGCAGGTGTTTGCCTGAACATTCGGCTGCGAGGCATTGACACGGCTTTCCTATTACGGAATGAACTTACGAGGGTTGGTGTTGAGATGTGGGTTAAAGTTTTCAGCCCCAATGTCGAAAGCGTGGAGATCGTGCAGAGAACAGAGAAGAGGAAGAGGAGAGCGAGGTTATACTACATGAGGTATGTTCTAAAAAAAGAGGGCAAATATTGTTTCCTGGGCAGGTTGACTGACTTTTGACTTCTTCTTTAGAAAACCCAAGCACGATATGGGAAGCGTGGAAAATATCGTGTCCAACTACCTCCGGCGGAAGTCTATTCTTATGGGTCAAGCTGCATCGAGGCAAAAAGCAAACGCGAAGCGGTGATTCAGTTGATTATGAGTCTGTTCGGTTTCTGTTAAGTTACACTGCTTTTTGATTAAAAACTACCTACCACCTGTATAGTAGTAACGGAATAAACCCTTGACAACATGGTAACCTGCTGTGCCTTCATTCATTCTTCTCCAAAATCCCCAAACAGGATCAAACATCAAACATCAAAAGTCTAATTCATACCTAGATGAGATAGAAGTCTTATTAGATGAATTCCACATATATGTAAGTACTTGTATCCAAAATTTTGAAACACAGCAGTGAGTGCTCTCTCCTTGATTCAATTTGCAGTTTTCCATATCCTTCAAATCATACAGATCGATATGAAACGTCGAACCATCAGACAATTCCTTCGCTGTCATCCACAGGGACTGTATCTTTTTACAATGACCGTGTCTCATCAACAATAATCACAGTGTTTGAGGCGAAAAAGCCCATAGAACTGTACTCAGGGTGTCTTCGACGCAGGAGCGAAGCAAATCCGTGCCAAGGTCCTTACCACTGAAATGCTCCAATGATTCCCAATAGCCAACTAAAAACACGTTTCTTTTGTTCTCAAGACAGTAGTCCCTTAAGAGTAAGACCGTTATTGGGGGCCAGAATCTGACGTTTAGTGACGCGTGCTGGGCGTACCCAGAGTTGCTAACGGAAGATGAACCTTCTGTAAGAGGGTAGTACATCTGGGTGTCCTGGTGCTCCGAAAGAAGACGGCCACATTGTCTGCATCTTACTTCGAGGGTTGAGTCTGTAGCAATCTCGAAAATCCCACGCGTACATGGACATGCGGTCTCCATCATGCCAGCCTTTAGAACTGCTGCACACCTACCTACCGTGTCAATTTGCGAGGAGAAAAGAGAAAGGTACGAGTTTCTCTGTTGATGGTAGTGTGACCTTTGCCTTTGCCGACCACACTCGCATTAGACAGGCCATGTACAGCACTGTAGTGGTCGTCCAGGTAGTTGGCAGAGAAAAAGGCGAACCCGACCCTCGCTCGTACCGTTCAGTCCACTTTAGCTTCATATTATCATCAATTAAGCCATCACCATTTCATAATTTCTATCGATTGCATCGACAAAATTTCAGGATGTGACCCTTGATCTTCATCCAACCTTGATTTTGATAATAGGAGGAAATGTGCCAGCGAGCTAAGTCTCAGTGACGTGCAAAAGGAAGGTAAGCAAGAATCGGTATTGTGTACGGAGAGCAACTAGCCAAACGTATGTGCTGTTGATGGGGGTCGAACTCGCTGCGTTGGCTGTCCTAGCTATGGAGGCCTCAGGCAAACTATCCATGCTATGCTGACTAACAGGAGCTAAGCCCAACTAGTTAGTTAACTAGTTAGGAGGGAGCTGAACCATGAGAGCTACCAACAAAATATTACTGATGGATCAGTATCATTCCTGATCTTATCCATTCTAGCTTATGCAACGCTTTCCATTTTGAAGCTTCTATCCTCATCATGGTCAAGATAATACATGTGCAGCATATGCTTCCTGAGTGTACTGTCCGACTCAAACGAACACCGGCCAAGATACAAAGAAAATAAGCCTTGACGGAAGCGCGAGAGAACAAGAATGGTCGCATCGCATGCAATCATGGACCCCTTCACACAGGACAGTTGGGCGTTTTCGTTAGACAAGGCAGCAATCTCTTGTACTGCCCAACAGGATTTGCCAACACCGCGTATTTTCCGAAAATAGCTAGCGATAAACAAGGACCGACGCGGGTGAGCTGCAGGGGCCCCGCATATCCCTGCAAAGTCAAATAATAGCATCGACACTAAGAGAAACGATCTCTCGCGTGAACGGCTAGGGCTGTGTTTCTGCTCGTTGCCAGGATTTCCGATCTCAAGCATGCGTAATCCATATATTATTACAAGGTCTTTCTCCGCGAGTAAGATCCGGTAGATTCTTCTACCTCTCGCTGTCGACGCTCTTCTTCTTTCCTGTCCTTCCGTCGCCGTCCCCAGAAGCTTCATACCCCATGTCTATGCGTATAGACAGTGTGCGGGTGCTGCTGCCATGTATCTTCTTCTGCGGCAGATCCGGGCGTTGATGGTCAAGAATCTCCTTCTCGTTGTTGTCCGTCCTTGCGTGACGACCCCTCTGAGGGCTTTAATATTGCCTATCGTTTACATAGCTTTCGTGTGAATTATCTCCCTCTCTCTCTTCCCACCCCCTCTCCCTTCTCTCTTTCTTCTCTCGCTCCTTCGTTTGCGTGTTCATTTGTTTGTTCCTCTGTGTAGCCTTGCTGACGGCGATTGAGTACAGAGGTTACGCAAGATTCCTGTTCACGCAGCCATCCGTCTATGGAATCGGCGAGCCAAAACCCCTCCATCCCTTCGTGGATGCCTCCAATGGCAGAGATAAGTTGGTATTTGTCAACAATGGCTTCGTGGGAGGCTATGTCGAACAGGTGATTTCCACCATCGCAGAGCCCGCTAAACTGCGAGGAGACGATGTGCGCATCCTGGCCTCGGAGAGTGATCTGAGAGATATCTGCCGAAGCAATTTGCGCGGTGTCTCTTCTTGCCTGGCTGCTGCTGTCTTCCATTCCTCGCCAAATGAAGGTCTCGGAGGAATATGGAACTACACAATCAGGGCAGATGCAGAGCTGGGCTCACGGCTCGACGTGCATGGGAGCAATACCGACGAGGCAAAATACCTTTTTCCTTTTCAACATTCCATTGACTGGGCCATAGCTCAGGTCAATCGCACAATTGACGCGAGTGCTTTTCCCAGTGAGGTCCGTTACAACTTCCCTGAAGCGACTTCATTGATGTAAAGTTTGCTGAGCACCCAGACAGGTAACGGAATACGCGTTTACATCGTTGACTCAGGAACAACGTGACGATAGGCTTCGAGAAGGCTATATGGATACCATAATCCATATTCTAGGCGTCGCTATCTTCGTTGGGTTGATCGGTGTCACATATCAGCTCACCGGATTGATTGCGATGGAGCGCGAGCTGGGCATGAGCCAGTTGATAGACTGTATGATGCCAAATATCTCACGCTGGCAGCCCCAGGCTGCCCGATTTATCGCTGCCCATTTGGCCCTGGATCTTGTGTATGGCCCTGGATGGGTAATCACGGGTGCGATCCTGAAAGCTGGCGCGTTCAACAAAACACCAGCGGGAATTGTCATCATCAATAATCTCTTAACTGGTCTTGCGCTCTCGTCGTTTTCGATATTCGGGGCGTCCTTCTTCAAGAAAGCGGAGCTCAGCGGTATTTCTGCTGTTATTGCCTGCTTGCTTCTAGGGATCGTAGCACAGCTGGTTCCTGTAACTGCGAACGGTAATGTGATTATCCTTAGCCTCCTCTTTCCCCCGATGAACCACGTCTACTTCACCATCTTCATGGCCAGATGGGAAAGGCATGATCGCCCGACTAACTTGGTAAATTCTGCCCCTGAAAGCCCATGGACCGTCCCGGGAATAGTTCTGTGGTTGTTCCTCGTTGTGCAGATCTTCGTGTATCCTATACTTGGTGCTTTAGTCGAGCGTGCGTTGTATGGGACTGCCTCAAGGGGCCTCATTGCCGCAAGGACAAATGCTCCCTCAGCTGTCACCCTTGACCGTGTCAGCAAGTCGTACCAGCCAAGTTGGTTCTACAGAAAAGTAGCCAGGCTCTTTGGCGAAAATTGCCAGAGCGTTCTAGCAGTCAACGGTCTTTCGCTGGATATCGTGAAGGGACAAATAATGATCCTTCTTGGAGCAAATGGATCGGGCAAATCAACAACGCTGGATGCGATTTCCGGGTTAACCAAGCTCACGTCTGGTGAGATCCGGTTGAACTACGGAAGAAATGGAGGCACTTTCGGTCTCTGTCCGCAGAAGAATGTCCTATGGGACTCTTTGACAGTCAAGGAGCATGTCACCATCTTCAATAGATTGAAATCTGTGGGCAACCCCGATGCTGATAATCAGATATCGAAGCTCATCAAAGATTGTGATTTGGGGAGCAAAGTTAGCACTCGTTCGAAAACACTCTCTGGTGGCCAGAAAAGAAAGCTTCAGTTGGCCATGATGTTTACGGGCGGCTCTTCTATCTGCTGCGTGGATGAGGTATCATCCGGCGTTGACCCAATCTCACGAAGGAAAATCTGGGACATTCTTCTGGCCGAGAGAGGCGCACGAACGATCCTTTTGACCACGCATTTCCTGGACGAAGCCGAATTATTGGCAGATCATATTGCAATACTTTCACGGGGAGTCCTCAAGGTCGAAGGATCAAGCGCCGGACTCAAACATCAGTTTGGGTCAGGGTACCGGATCTACGTGCAGAGGAATCCTGGCTCTGGCGACTTCAGTGTCCCAATGTTTAAACATATCCCTAGGGAGATCCATTTCGACGAGACTGTTTATAAAGCTAAGAATTCCGCCGACACTACGAGGTTTGTCACGATCTTAGAACAGGAGGGTATCACAGACTACCGTGTCTGCGGGCCTTCAATTGAAGATGTGTTTTTGAAAGTTGCAGAAGAGCTGGAGCTTGACAATCAGGAGCCTGGCGGATCCGATGGAGGGAATACCATCGCCATGGACGAGCGGCTGCCAAAGTTTGATGGAGAGAAAAGCTTCCCTGTTGACGATGTCACGTCTCATGCACCTCGACTTATGAGAGGCAGACGCGTTGGAGTGGTGCGTCAAGCCCTGATTTTGTTCGGTAAAAGAGCAACCATATTGCGTCGCAATGCTCTTCTTTGTCTTGCGCCCTTTCTCATTCCCGTCATCGCGGCGGGTTTGGTTACCCTTTTTCTTCCTGGTGTCAGCAGAACTGGATGCTCTGTAGATCAAACCTCCACCTATAATGCTGCCGAATCCCTGGAACGCCATGAAAAGCTCGATTTTGTGCTGGGACCGTCAAGAAAAGTGCAATCTGCAACTCTGAACCGCGTCGTTAGCGTTATTCAATCTGATTTTCCGAGCAGCTTGAATAGCTCAAACAGTTCAAACGACACGAGGGATAATAGAAGTTTACATATGGTGGATAGCTTCGAGGAGTTTAGGAGCTATATCGATCACAATTTTGCCAATGTGATTCCAGGAGGTGTCTATCTCGGCGATTCATCATCGCCACCGACTTTCGCATGGAATGGCGATAGGGGCAGTCTGGTACTTCCAGCCATCACGCAAAATGTCCTTGATATGTTCTTGACAAATGTGTCAATTGGCTTTCAATACCAACCGTTCGACATCCCGCGCATGCCAAACGCCAGCAAGATTCTCCAACTCATCACCTACCTCAATCTTGCAATGGCAGTTTACCCAGCTTTCTTTGCCCTGTATCCTACTGTTGAGAGGTTGAGAAATGTTCGAGCTCTTCACTATAGCAGCGGAGTGAGAAGCCTGGCACTATGGATAGCGTATCTCGGATTCGACTTTTGCATAGTTGCCATCACCAGTGCTTTTGCGGTTATCATCTTCAGAGCCGTCTCGAGTATTTGGTATCATCCAGAGTACCTCTTCGTGGTTTTCTTCCTGTACGGGATATGCTCCACGCTATTATCGTATATTGTTTCTCACTTTGCGAGATCCCAACTTGCCGCATTCGCCCTTGCAGCGGGCGGACAATGTGTTATGTACCTCGTCTACTTAATCGTTTATGTAGCCGCGTTGGTATACTCGCCTGTCGACAAGATTGACCGCTATGTCAACGTTGCTTATTTCACTGTCGCAATAGTCAGTCCTGTCGCCAGTCTGGCGCGGTCCATGTTTGTGTCGTTGAACTTCTTCTCAATTCTTTGTCGAGGTACAGAAACTGCCACGTACCCGGGCGAAATCACCGTCTATGGGGGCCCCATTCTCTATCTGACCCTTCAATCGTTACTGTTCTTGGGAGTGCTTGTATGGCTGGATGCTGGACTTTCATTCTCCTGGCTCAGATCAAGAAACAGAGAGAACAGAATAACGGAAGATGAGGAGTTTACTGGTGCAGATGTTCCCAGTCGCTTCTCAAGAATGATCGATATGACAAACACAAGTGACGGACTCCGTGTCATAAACCTAACAAAGACGTTTGGAAAGTCCGTTGCCATCGAGGATGTTTCGTTCAGCGTGTGCAAGGGTGAAGTGTTCGCTCTACTCGGTCCCAACGGAGCTGGGAAGACGACCACCCTTTCTCTTATCCGCGGTGACATGCATCCATCTCGACATGGAGGTGAAATATTTGTAGAAAATATATCGGTGCGAAAACATCGGGGAACAGCCAGATTGCATCTAGGAGTATGTCCGCAATTTGACGCGATCGACCAGATGACGGTGCTGGAGCATTTGAGATTCTACGCCCGTATCCGCGGAGTGCCAGATGTAGAGCACAATGTCCACGAAATCCTGCGAGCTGTGGGATTGACAGCGTTCAAGGAGCGCATGGCGATGAAGCTATCCGGGGGCAACAAACGCAAGCTGTCCCTTGGCATTGCATTGATGGGTAATCCGACGGTTCTCTTGCTGGACGAACCGTCATCGGGGATGGACGCTGCCGCGAAGCGTGTGATGTGGAAGACACTCGGCTCTATCGTGCCCGGTCGATCGATCGTACTCACGACGCATTCCATGGAGGAGGCAGATGCATTAGCAGGCCGCGCGGGTATCCTGGCCAGACGAATGCTCGCACTGGGAACCACAGAATACCTTCGACAGAAATACGGAAACATGTATCATGTCCACCTGGTCCATGCCCAGGCACCGCACACCCCCGACGAAGACATGCACCGTCTCCGCAACTGGGTCTGGTCAACCTTCCCCGGCGCTATGATCCAGCAAAAGACATACCACGGCCAATTGCGATTCAGCGTCCCTGCAACGTTGTCAGTGGAAGAAACAGCAGCAACAACAACAACGGAAGACACGGCCTCGTCCTGGACCTTCGTCGATGAAACTCAGTCCAGCATGGCACGAGACGGATCGTCTTCCTGCTCTACCACCGCACGGTTGAAGAATAGTAACAGTACTAGCAGTGCCAGCATGCTCTTCTCCTGTCTAGAGCAGAATAAGTCCGTGCTAGGCGTGCAGTATTACTCCATCAGCCAGACATCGTTGGATCAGGTATTTCTTACCATTGTCGGACAGCATGATATTGCGGAGGAAAATTCCGAGTAATCTGTATGATTCTGGCGGGCAAAAGTACGCTGTAAATTGCTGTTTTAACCGGAGAAATGGAGTTGTGGGCAAGTTGTAACCCCTCACTTTCATTCATTTTCTTATAGTGCATTGTAGTGGATATATTGATTGATGCTTGTTTCTAGAACGGAATCAACATAAAACGTGGAATGTAACAATGGTCATGTCGATTCCTGCTGTATGAGACCTATCTCCCAAGGAGGAATTGTTCCTTGACCAGATCAAAGAGGCCCAGTGTATAGACTTTTGAGCTCGTCAACCTGTAACTATGCTATCTCCCTAGGTAGGTATCCTAGGAAGCTGAGGGCGAGCAGGAGAAAGCAACAGCAAGAATAGCGGATCAGACACGGACATGTTAATAATAAGGACTTCCCGAATAGGAAAACCGTGCATGGAATGGGATCTCGGGTAAGCCTATTTCTGCAAGTCCGGGCGCATGCATGTCATCAAGATTCAGTGATAGTTGATCATCATTGCTGTACTACTGAGTAGTATTGTAATATGTTGGGTATATGTTATTCTAGCCATGTATTGTTCAACCGGTAGTCTTGGTCTAGGTATTCATGTCAATGTCCTAATTCTAATTACTCATCCTCGTCATGGTCATCAAAAGGCCAATGACGTGAGACCATCTCCTTCTCAGCCTCCGTCTCAAGATACCCCAGAGCTACATCTTTGATATACCTCGCTTGCGCAACGGCATTTTCATATTCTTTGTGTGACGTCCAGCCGTCCAGCCCGATCCCCAGCATCCCGCGGATCTGATCAAGCTGTGTATCTGTCTCTTCTTGCGATTTCTCAATCCGGAGACACTCTTCTGCCTCGGCAGTGTCGAAGGATATGGGGCAGGGCGGAACGGTCCCGTCTCGTGTCTTGGAGAAATCTCCCCAGAAGCGGGTGATGTGGATCAGATCCGCCTTGAGGGGGATATTGTTTCCCTCCCAAGGATCTCCCGCATGGATGAATGTTTTGCGTTTCAAGAGACGTGTGTCTTCTTGGGCCAGGGCATGGAAATGCGGTTTGTTGAACCTCTTGGTGAAGCCGAGATAGTAGAAATGGAGCTGCCGGCGTCGGAATTGTTCCAGGGAGACAGCGCGTTCTCTTTCGTTCATATTGTCGAGGTTCTCGGGTAATATTGGCGGTACGAACCGTAGCGATTCCTCGTCATGGTAGTTCTGGAGGTGATGTGGGATGCCGGCGGCGAGAAACAGTGGTAGGACCGAAGAATGTTGCCAGTCGATGATGCCGACGATATCGAACTTCTCAGAAACGAAGATGTTGTTAGGCTGAAGGTCAGGGTGGCGGAGGGTCGGTCTGTGGAGGCTGGTATCATCTGGAACGAGATATGGAGCAATTCTCATATACTTTCTGAGAGTCTCTATGTGTTCTTCGGGCATTGATTTCCGATAGTTTGTGTCCTCCCTGTAAGCTCGTTCGAAAGGAAGACGTGGCTGTCCGTAAGATTGTAGCCACGCTAGCTCTTTTCTTGCAATGCTTACAAGAGAGTCCGTAGGGCTTGTATCTGGTATTTAAGTTAGGGATGCCTGACTTAAAACACTCGTCAATGGAAGATTGTACTCACGCGGACCACGGTCGATGGGAAGCAAGCTGCGCTCCTTAGACCACCACTTAAGTGCAGAATCAGGGCCAACGCTGATTTCAGAATGGCTAGAGTCCTGTCGGTGCACCGCAATGCGGCTCATCTCCGGAGGTAAGTCATCAGAATAGTAGATACTACCGTATGCGGGGAGTTCGATAGCAAAGAGCTTTGCCTCAAGCAGCACTAGTCCCAGGACGACCTTGAGCCGCTCGTCTTCGGGCAGATAGTACCATGCGTCTCCAATTGGCTTCCCGGGAAGTTTCTCCATGATGATGTATTCCGCGCCAACAGGGTTTTCAGAGGTCGCTGAATAGCCCAGCACCTTGGGCACAGGGATACCATGGGAGCGAAGTAGGCTCAATGTTGCCGCCTCACTGGCCACCGCTAGCCCCTTCGGCAGGGTGGACGGGTAAGGTACGCGAGCGAGCACTCGCGTGTTGTCATTCATGGTAATCTCAAAGACGCGATTGAAGCCGCCTTCGGCGAGCTTGTGGAAGCTCTTGATGTCAGTTTCATGGCGATCGACTGACTGGGCAGCTATTCTTTTGAGCTCGTGGACATTAAGGGCATGGCGCCGTTCAGACAAACGCAGCGATTCATTGTAACTGAGATTATTAGAGACGTACAGCGTCTCCAGGGTAGGAAAAACTCAAACTTACATCCACCTGCCCGATGTGTATTCGAATATCTCGCGACTGCTGTCGGGTGCTTTGGTGGATAGTCTGGAGACAGGTTGAAGTCTAAAAATAACGCGACGGGCCGCAGGAACGTGACAGCGCAGTGTTCGTGGAATGACTCGACCACCTCTCATGGTGTGCGGCAGTTTTAATATTATCTATCACTTTGGCAGCGAAACAGAGTTCTCTGAAACCCTGGCCTCGTTGTTATGTAATGGGAAGAGCAATACTGGCTCGACTGGCGCGGGCAAACAGACTAGGCTGAAGCTTGGAGCGGCATTGCTTTTTCGGTGTAGGAATGACCAGGAGACTCGGGCAGCTCTATTTCTAACCGCAGTCTCCTCGATGTTGACCAGAAGTGGTGTTCTGGGACTCTGCTTGCGCCTCTCGCCATTTGCTACGCTGGTCGCAGCTGACGCCCAACATGCACGCGATCACTCCATCTGAATCCTCCTCTGTCCCACGTATGCCGCCCGAACGCAACCTGTCTTCCTCGTTCCATTTTCCTTCTTTCATCCATCCCATCTTGAGGATCATCCGATGACACTCCGGGAAATTGGGAACGACCTGCAGACATGTGATTCGATCACGTGAAACAGCAAGTCACGACAGAGACCGAGTACAGGATCAAGAACCGTCAGCTTTTGCGGACCTCCCCCCGTGAGATTGGATCGCGATACTTTATGCTAGCATGCAGATCTGAAGATCTCTGGCATCTCTGGCCGATGGTTGTAGCGGAGTGGGGATGAAGCTTGTAGGCGCATATTTAGGCCCATAATATATGCAGTGCAGATTCCGGAGGGGAGCATTCACGATTTTGCCTTTCTGGGGGTACTCCATACCCCGCTTTTGACCTCATCGCAGGGGGATTGTGAAATGATGACACAAAGGGAAGCAGAAGAACAAGAGAGAGAGCAGCGTACAGACACGTAATTCTAATTACATGGGGGAGTAGAGAGGACACTGTAGTGTGTATTGGAGAGAGAGCAGCGTACAGACACGTAATTCTAATTACATGGGGGAGTAGAGAGGACACTGTAGTGTGTATTGCAGAGAGCAAAAGGAAGAATCTGATGAAGGCTCCATGACATCATCCTGCATTGTATCCATATTACCAGTAATGACAATACCGGGTCTGTCGTTTCAGCAGTCCGCCCAGCGGTCCGCTGCAGGTGTTATATGTATAATACCCAGTTCCTGCAACAAGGCACGGTAATTAATACCGGTAATGACCGTCCGGAGCCGAGTGCACCGGCCCGAGACAACAGCATCATTTTTTTCTTCTTTTTCTGCATCCAGGAGGAATATGGTCACTGTTGGTTGTTGCTGCAAGTAAATAAGAACAAGTGTATATATTCCTAGAAGTCATGGGATACGTCTGCCCATACTCACACTCTCCTGTTCCTTGACTGCCGCTGTTTCTGGCACCTCACCACTCCTCCACCCCCGACCCACTGCCCAAGGGTGTGTGGGCAGACCAGCGTCATCTAACCAACTGCTTCTCCTTCCTCCCTGTCCCTCTCCCGCTTCATCTCGCTCACCCGCTTGCCCCTTATTAAACCCTCTGGTCCTATCGCTGGGACCGTCAGAGTTTAATAATCTTTTCCTTTTCCATCTCCTTGTCACCTCTCCTCCACCTTTCTCTCCCTCTCCACCTACCCTCGCTACAACTCTTCTGAACCTTCATCTCAGAAAGTCAAAAATACAACCTCACCCTAGTATCCACAGGCAAAACACACAATCTGTCGTTCATCAACACCACCATGGCCAAGACAAAGGTTCTCGTGGTCGGTGTCACCGGGGAGACTGGAGGCTCCATCACGAACGGGCTCTTGGACGACGGCCAATTTGTAAGAAAGATCGTCATCGGGTAATCGCAGGAAGATCCTCGCTGACAGAAAGCTTCTTCTTTCCTCTCCAGGAGATATATGCTCTTGTACGGCCCAAGTCGATCCATAAACCTGCCCTTTTGGCCTTCCAAAATCGTGGTGTCGGCATTCGCAAGTGTGATCTGAAAGCGTCCGAGGAGGAATTGATGGATGCTGTCTATGACATCGACGTTATCATCAGCTGCGTTGGCCCTGCTGAGCAGCAGGATCAGATCCCCCTGGCAAAGGCTGCCAAAAGGGCTGGTGTGAAGCGATTTGTCCCCTGCGGTTTCATCACCGTGTGCCCTCCGGGGGGCATCATGTGGTTGCGAGATGAGGTACGTGGGGCTGTGATTTGACGCTGTTTCATGTCTTGACGCTCTTTCTGATGGACTGTGCTTTCTTAACAGAAAGAAACCGTGTATAATCATGTCAAGCAGCTTCACCTTCCTTACACCATCATCGACGTCGGCTGGTGGTATCAAATCTCATATCCTAGGTTGCCTTCGGGAAAGGTCGATTACGCCATGAATACAACAAACGACGAGATCGTCGGCGAAGGCAACACTCTCACAGCCTTGACGGATCTGCGAGATATTGGTCGCTACGTTGCGAAGATCATCGTCGACGATCGAACATTGAATAAGATGGTCTTCGCGTACAATGTCGTCATGACACAGAACGAGATCTACAGCCTCCTGGAGGAAATCAGTGGGGAGAAAATTGAAAGGCATTATGTGAGCGCCATGGGAATCTCTTCCCTCCCCTTTTGACCGATTTCAGCTAACAGGTCGTCTCTCTATCCGTCACAGATTCCCCCGGAGGCCATCTATCACAGAGTGCTCGCGGCCAGGCAGTCGAGCGAAACGTACCCTTTCGACTCAATAAAGTTTATTCCTCGATATATTGCTGAATACCAGCTATCTTGGGGAATCCGCGGCGATAACAACCCCGAGTACGCCAAGTACCTTGGCTACATCACTTGCAAGGAACTTTACCCCGATTTTGAACCCACGGATATTAGAGAATACCTTGAATCCGTCGTCCAAGGTACAGCAAAGGGGATCTACACCGACCGGACGGTCTCGAGGGCTTACCAGCGTTCATTCCCCCGAACCGAATCAAGCGATTCCTTGGCCGGTAGAGGGTGGCATCGGACTCCTTCCAGCGATTCGCTAATGGCCCAAGCCTACCGGCGAACTGAGTCAAGCGACTCTTTGGTGATGAAGGGAAGATAAGTCATCTATGACTGCATTGGCATGAGACGATGCTAGCTTTAACCAGCGAGTTGTCTTCTGGTCATATCAAATTTTATTCCCGGCCTTTTGTGCTTTTTTTTTTTTTTTTGAAGGGGTGTCTCACGGCGTTTTATGTTTGAGATCATGGTCGGAATCCGATTTCAGATCTCTTGCGGCTACTTTTATGTACGGACAGGTTCCGAGAGATTCTAGACTTTCTGTTTTTACCTTTGATATTATTCCCTTTTTCTTTTCTTTTTATGGATACCTTTTTTTGCCTTTCCGCGATCTTCTATCCCGAGCTTTCGCTGCTCAACTTCGTTTGCAATATTATGTTGTTCCACTCAACAGAATGATGTGGAATGGGTTGAAATATTGTCCTTTGTCTGCAATAGATAGAGTCAACTAGATGGTGCATTTTTATTGTCTGATATACCGCATACTCTGATCATCTTTAAAGTACTCCAATTCAGGTAGGCTGTATCATTTGGTTGTTTCCTTCCTCGCTCCATCTCTCTCCGTGTTCCTCCTTCCTATCATCTCGAGTTGTCCAGCTGCTTATGCGTCTAGACAGGAAGCCATCCAGGATATCCAAGAATGCGTTCCGTCTTCTTTCCCAATGCGAAGAATGGACGTACAACTTCCGAGTGTTTTTTTCGCACTTGGCACCTATTTTTTTTTCCCAATCTTCGACGAGCACTGAAAGCCGTGGGAAATGTCCCAGCGTCCCAATCCCGGGCAAGATGTTCAATTGTCAAATGTGTCATCCTCGGGAGACGATAATACCGCCACGTCTTCCAACCATGTCTTCGCCCAGGACGGTCTTCACGCTGACTCTCACTGGGTTTTCACACCGCGTCATGTTACGATGAACAGTCCGTCTTTACTCCATTTCCAGAACCAAATGTCACTAGCTAACAGTACACAGCTATCGGAGGTGCTGTCGGAACTGGTCTGGTGCGGTGTTTCGGTTTATCTCATCTATATACCAGTGGACTCTAACTTAGGTTGCTACAGATGATCGGGACAGGCTACGCACTTTCAAAGTGAGAAATCCCTTCTTGCCTCCTTGACTATGACGATAGATGATGGATGACGCTGATATCTTCACAGGGCTGGAGTAGGTCCTTCCTATGGCTGAACCTCACTGCAATCGGCTCTGACCCTCTATCAGCCCGCAGCTCTCGTTATATCTCACACTGCTGTTGGTTTCATCGTTTTCATGGTTCTATGTGCACTCGGGGAGATGGCAGTTTGGTTGCCAGTCCCCGATACATTTACAGGTCATGCAAGCCGATTCTGTCATCCAGCTCTTGGTTTCACGCTGGGTTGGATGTAAGTTTCTTGGCCCGTATGCTACCTCTTAGTATCGAGGTCATTTTATTTCTGACTGGGAAAGCGAAACTTCTCAGATACTTGTTCAAACATCTAGTTGCTACGCCAAACCAACTGACGGCTGGTGCGTTGGTGATGTCGTATTGGCTCAGCAGTGACCGTGTCAGCCCTGCAGTTTGGATTACGGTATTCCTGGTCATCATTGTCTTTGCAAATTGGTTCGCTGTTCGCTTCCTAGGCGAATTCGAATTCTGGTTGAGTTCGTTTAAGATCGCCGTTATCGCTGGCCTTATGGTACTGTCTCTTGTCCTGGCACTGGGAGGTGGTCCGGATCGTGACCGGAAAGGGTTTCGATATTGGAAACAACCGGGTTCTTTTGCCATTGCTGGAGATGGCAGCAATGGTCACGTCAAAAGGCTGTCAGCAGTGTGGAAGACGCTTCCCTCTACTACATTTGCCTATATTGGAACTGAGCTGATAGGTATGAGAGTCTCCCAATCGGAGAATCCTCCAAAGTTCATCAGACACGCAGTCAGGATCACTTCTTACCGAATTCTGGTTTTCCATATCCTCAGCGCCATCCTGTTGGGCATGATTGTCCCATATAACTGTGAGCGTTTGGCTTTTGCCTCTCACGCAAGCGAATCGGCACCAGCATCTGCTTTCGTCGCGGCAATTGAAATCGCAGGAATAGCCGTTCTCCCTGACCTTCTGAATGCCTGCATACTGGTTTTCGTGTTGGCAGCAGCCAATTCAAGCCTTTTCATGGCTGTTAGAACCATTTATGGGCTTTCGCGGGAAAACCAGGCCCCTGCCCTTTTCTCCCGCACAGATCGAAGGGGGATTCCCATTTATTCCCTAGGTGCATGCTCCTTATTAGCATCGCTAGCGTTTATGAGCACCTCTGAGAACTCCAAGATCGTCTTTGGCTATTTTGTCAACCTGGTAACAATTCTCGGTCTGCTCATATGGATTTCGGTTCTAATAACCCACATATCGTTCATCCGTGCACGCAAAGCACAGAAAGTCCCTGATGAGGCACTGGCCTTCAAAGCACCATTGGGGTCTTGTGGGTCATGGGCTGCTCTGATTTCTTGTGTAACCATATCATTGACAAAGAGCGTCGACCTATTTAACGGCAATGAATTTCCGGGAGGGTTTGACTATGTAGGCTTCATCACGTCGTACCTCGGCATTCCCCTCTACCTGGGATTGTTAATTGGGTACAAGATGGCTACGAAGTGCAAGCGAGTCCGCTCTGTAGAAGTCGATCTATCAACCGGCAAATACGAGTTCGACATTCGCGAAGCAGACAACCCTGAGAACGTGGAAGCAAGAGGACATCCGCAGGATGGACCATCCAGTTGGCTAGACAGAATCGTCAAGTATGTCAAATGAATCTTGTCGAACCCCTGTTGCAGTCTTTCAATGGTTGCCTCGTGTGGTCCAGTGCACATTACATGGCTTCACTGAGTTAGTTATGGCCTTAGGCTATATAACAGTTGCATCGTTTCACGAGCCAAGAACATACCTAGTACTAGACATCTTCAATGTTGTTTTCACTGGCCATATGAGGTTGCGTTGACTTTGTACCTGCACACGCAGCTTTCACTTCCTCTGCTGGCATTTCTCTCCATCCTTTCCTTCAATATAACTTATCAAGGTTTTCACTGGCTGACGGTCTGAATAACTGGGATTAATAAGTGATTGTCGTATATGTGATGATCCATGCATCCATAACTATCAAGTGGGGTATAGAGATGCCCGGAGGAACACCCTGGACTCTCCCACCTCAGAAAAGATACGTGCAGAAACCATATGTGTTCTGCAATGCATCACTTGTCAACCCTGCAAGCGGCCAAGTACACTCCAACATGTCCGTGACAACCCGAGGAGGCCGAATTGAGGGGTAATAACCAGCTCCCCGCCCATCGCCCATCCTCGTGAATACAAACACTAAAAATGTCATAGAGAACGACCCACAAGTTTATGTCAACGCGTAGGCATGCTAAAGATTCCGACCGGCCAGATTCAATTACAAAAATGCGGCAGCGACTCATTATCTGGTCTGATCATCAGATCAGGCTCTTTTCGAAGCCCAAGTACGGACCTTGGGCAAAGGTCGTGGCTGTGGTTTTTTTTTTTTCACGTTTCCAATAATGGTTAACCAAGTTCATTCATGGAGGGAAGGAATAGGTTGTTGATGATGAACAGACACATCAGAGCCAGGATCGGCTTATTCGATCCGTCGTAATCCGCAGACTGCCACGTAGTTTCATGATGAGCGCCATGTGCGGATTCGGTAGAGCCAGAGGTGGATTGACATGCCCAATGCCGTTTTGCGAGGTGGATGAGGCATCTTGAATATGCATCGTCTGCAAAAGCGGCCATTTCCACAATTACAAGAGACTGCCTGGATCAGTCTCTATTTGTTGAAGATGGCTTCGCCCCGAACTCCAAATAAGAGTGGGGAAGAGCTGCGAAAAATAATCGACACTCTTAACCAGTTCGGGCTGGATCTGCCCAATCCGCGCATCTACTCTCCGTGGCTTCATTACGGCGGAAAGGAAACGAACTGGAACTTTTATTTTGCTATTCAGCGACTTTACTACAGTCCCGATGTTGATGTGAATGTTGTTATTAACGGTTTTGAGGAATGGGTCATTGCTAGGTCTGATGAGTCGGAATTTGGCGATCTGCGAGTGAGATCGAGACCGTTGGGAAGGGGGAGGTCAAATAGATCCGTCCATGCGCATGGCCGCATGTCCATGCCTGTGTCCCTCTCCTCTGAGGAAGTGGAGCAGCGTCTGAATTACCTTATGAAGCTCATTGACGATGAGATATATCTGTTAAACGGGGGTCGGTATTCCCCGTACGCTGCTCAGTCGAAAGCTCAAGGGCCTCGGGATCTTAGAGAAGTTTTGACGCAGTCCAGGCCCTCTAGGAGGTTCTTAGACGATGAAGAGGAGGAAGGCGAGTTCCATACTGCTCCTAACTCACCCACAAAGGATCCGGACTTGCCACGATCCACCAAGATCCAGGTGGATGATCACCGTGATTTGGCTCTGAATAAACCTCCTTGGGACGGAATCAATCTCAAACCCACCGCAGACAACGTTGACGACGCGGATAACGACCCATTCAAGTCGTCTCAGCGACCAGCAGTGACAGAGGCTACTTCTGACAGTAGTGGACGAGGGAACTTTGTTCCCAGCGGGCCGAGAACTAGCTTCGCGACGTCGGCGACATCCTATATAACCAACTTCGGTAGTTCTCGATTGGACTCTTTCAAGACGCATGCCACAGACGACACAGAGCAGACGGACTCAGAGTCGATGTACGGCTTTTCGATAGCGACACACTTGACCAGTCCGGAGATGAAAGTGAGCCTGGAGGCGCAGGAGGAACTGGAGTATAGATATCTTTCTGAAAGGAAATCTGGACCTGCCCAAGAAGATATCGTTAATGAACTTTGCCAGAGTGGACCATTCTCCGTGGAGCACCCATTCAAGAACTCCATACCTCTACGGTTCCGGTACGAACTGGAGAGAATAGGAAGAGCATGGGAGGTCCCTCTGGACCAGATGCTCGCTGGTAACAGCATTCCATTCAAGACATATGACGAATTCTGGCAATGGATTGTCAAGCACAGCCAGCGCGGGGAGAACCCGCTTCCAGAGAGGTCCGCTCTCAGGGCTTGGGATTCGGCGGTTGGTGATTTTAAGACGGAAAGGCATTCAGAAGCGGTAGTGCTGACGGGAGACTTACACTGGTGCAGCGAAGCAGAGCCCGGTATCTTGAAACTGAACTTGAATCCACTGAGAATCCAAAGGACGTGTCGATTCTACAGGCGTTTCGGGTCTGATAGATTTCTGAGCCTAACTATTCCAGCACCATCGCGGCCGCCTGATCACCTTCGCCACAACTTCCAGCCGGCATTCTTGCGTGAGTGCATGGCAATGTGGCTAACGCAGAACGAGCATCGACTACTAGGAAGAGTGTGGCGACCGTTCTATGTGGAAGAGGACAAGGGAAAACGCAAGGCCGCGGAACCCAGGTTCAAAGTTGAGTTCTTCGCGGTTGACGGCGTGGATTTTAACCATGGCCTTCAGCCAATACCGGTCGTGGCTCCTGCGAGACAACAGAGCGATAACCATACTCCGATGTCCCTTGAGGCGTTCATTAATTGGCACATGCCTCCCGAGGCAAATGCCGAACAAAGCAATTGCAAGCTCTTCCAGAGGCTTCATTTGGGCCTGTCAAAAACCTTTGCTACCGTGAAGCTGAATCCAGCTCAGGTCCTCCCCCTTAGGCATATCCCCGGTCGTCCCGTCATGAACGACGGCTGTGCATTGATGTCAAGGAGCCTGGCAAATGCGATTTGTGGCTCTTTGGGTATTTCCGGGAACACGCCTAGCTGCTTCCAAGGTCGGATTGCGGGGGCAAAGGGACTGTGGATGGTAGATAGACACGAATCGCTCGTCTCTGGCGACGACGGTGATTACTGGATACAAATCTCGGACTCACAGCTTAAGATCAAACCGCATCCGCGGCTCTGGAAAGAACCAGTTGACGATGACCAGCTGACCTTTGAGGTTGTGAACTGGTCGAAGCCATTGCGCCCTGCTGGGTTGAATGTGCAACTTCTAGCCATTCTAGAACATGGAGGGCAGGTGAAGGAGTACATTGGTGAGCTCACACGTGCCGGCATACAGGCATTAGGACAGGATTTCATGGAAGTGCTGGAAAATAACAGCAACATCCTCTGTAGGAGCCTGGTCCAGAAGCATCGACCCATGCCAGGGATAAGCTCAACCAAAACGATCAAGAGTAGGTGCTTGGAGCACTGGGTGATTGACAATGCGGAATGTATAACCCGCTTCTCGGAGGCTGGATTCCTGCCACGAGACTTCTTCCCACTTCGTACGCGGCTGCGAAAGCTCCTGATGGACCTGCTGGACCGATATGTCGATAAGCTCCACATTGAAGTGCCCCTTTCAACATATGCATACTGCATCGCAGATCCATACGGGGTGTTGGAAGAGGACGAGGTCCACTTCGGCTTCTCCAGTCAATGGCGAGATCCACGAGGTCAGTTTGAAGACAATTTACTGGACGGCATGGATATCCTGGTTGGCCGTTTGCCTGCACATTTTCCTTCCGATATCCAACGCCGTAGAGCCGTGTGGAAGCCAGAACTGCGCCATTTCAAGGATGTTATTGTATTCTCAAGCAAGGGCAACGTCCCCCTGGCGCACATGCTATCTGGCGGTGATTACGATGGGGACACGCCGTGGATCTGCTGGGACCAGAACATTGCCGCCAACTTCAAGAATTCACAGCTCCCTGAGAACCTGTTCTCCGAAGATCACTTCGGCCTGACGAAGCATTCGATACCCATGCGTGAGGTCCAGTCAACGGACGACTTCTTGCACGGCGCGTTCTTGCTCAACCTGGCATTGTCCAATCTTGGACGATGCACCTTAGAACATGAGAAGGTGGTGTACGACGAATCCATACACTCGGACCACGCGATAGAACTGGCCTGTCTACTGAGCCATCTTGTGGATGGTCACAAGGCTGGTGTTCATCTATCCGAACGAGCCTGGCAGCTGTATCGGAAGACGATCAGTCCCGTGCAGCGACAACGACCGGCATACAAGGACAAGTATCCGGAGCGGAAATACAAAAGATCAAACATAACGGACTACTTGAAGTTCGAAGTGGCTAGGAAGGAGAGAGGGGCTGTCTTGGAACAGCTGGAGCGCACGTTCCCGGAGAGCAGCGCTAATGGCAAAGATGAAGACCTTATTCGGCCGTGGACGAAGGTGTGGAAGCTGGTAGAAGCAGACAAGGGCGCGAGCGGCGACTCTCTCCATACAGCCTTGGTCAAAATTGAACGCCTAATCGACGAATTCAAAACAAAATGGGAACGGGACTGGGCTTTAAATAACAAGGCCTACGGGCCCATAGCACAAGAAGCCGTCAGTGGTATCCAGTCCCTCAGTGTTCCAACTAATGGCGATCATCCCATTCTACAAACCTGGAGAAACAGCCCAGACGAATGGCAAAAGGCGCTTGCCTCATGCACGTACAGGAAGTACCCGTTCTCGAGCTTCGTGCTGCACGCTTTTGGCGAAACGCTCTGCCGGATCAAGGCGAACTGCCACCCGTCTCGAATTGTGACAAACGACATCCTGGCTTGCTACAAAGTGGGACGGAAGCTCGTGCAGCAGATCACTGCTCGAACATTAACTGGAGAGGAGCTGCTCGAAGGGGCAGAAGAAGCGGCAGACGTCGGCGATGACGAACCAGGTGAATTTGGATATGAGTACGACAACCAGGAAGCTGCGGAGACATTTAGTCTCGAGGAAATGGCTATTCCAGGGAGCTATGGCTATTATGATTTTGACGATGACGATATTCGAATATCGGCGTACGGGGACGTGCATATTCCCGTTTCAACTGCTGGGGCATTGGAGCCAGGCAATGTGCGTTGAAAGCGTTGACGATGCATTGATAACAGCCGTGCTAGACTTGCATTTTGGATGATAGTATTCTGTTCATATGTTGAATTTTGGATGTATGTACCTACGTAGATAGAACGAGCCTTCTATATAGATTGCGCTGCTCCAGGCATATTCCAGATCGGGTATGGTATATATACACGTGACTACTATACCCTAAGCGGAAATCCATTCTGTAACCGACGTCACATGCATGACCAGCCCCATATACAACTTTCTTATTGGTCAATTGGCGCGAGGCGGAATGCCGCGTGGAAGAACAATGCAAATAGTGCAAATGCCGCCGATAAATAAGAATATCATGACTGCCATGACCATTTAATCATGTCAGGAATTAAGATATTGTGGATGCATCACAGCATCCAGCAAACAGCCCGCATCTCACGCCGCGGGCAATGTATAAACCCGCGTCCCTTCCACCTCAGACGCAGACGTGCATCTCACGTTTCACATGTCAACCCGGACTGTCCAGCCCCGTCCTCGCTCGCTTTCACGTGAAAACCAGACACAGCTGAGGCGATACGGTCAAATCATAGCATACTCCGTCAGGCCCGTTGCTTGGGCTGCCGCATCATCCTTGTTCTGTCGCTCTTCCTGTCCGGGTTAAGCGATGGAGGAGGCCCGTCTAGAGCCGGGCAGACGAATCATTCCTCCGCGATTGCCTACCCAGTCGCTTTCACATTCGCGAACCCAAGTCGGAGCGCCTCCGCCGTCAGAAGCCTCTGCTCGTCTTCCTTCTCTTCCTGTTACCGCTGCTTTCCCCTCTCGAGACGCCACAGCGGCTGCTTTACCTCATATTTCTGTCCTAGCGCCCTTCCAGCATGCCCCAGTTGCAGTCTCCGTGATGGATATCGACAGCGTCGTGGACGATCGTTCTCGTCGGGCCACCAGCGTTCTGTCCATGGATGACATCGAAGCCGCTCAGACCCTCGAAGGTCTGCGTTCGGGTGAGCTTCTATCGAATTTCTCAAGTGGCCTGTGATCGAGACTAATGCTTCCCGGTTCTCAACAGAATACGGCCAGTCCCCCCGAGCGTCGTCCCAGCGATCGGTCATGCCCATGAGTACTACTTCTTCTCCCGATGTGAAGCCGGAACCGGAGCCTCTTCTATCGCTACTTACTTCTACCCACCCTCTCATTTCCTCCGCCATTAATGGTTCCATGTCCGCATATACTTCCTCCAAGTCCTATTCCCCACGGTTCAAATCCGGCGCGGAGTTTCTCGAGCGTAATATCGCGCCCGTCGCAAACAAGGTCGGCACAGTGGGCCGGAAGACAGGCGTTGAAAGCGGCCTTCGTTGGGCACTTGAACGACGCGGATCTGCTTCGGCAGATTCTAGCCGTGCCAAGCGTCGCAAGGTGGGCGGGGAGAACAACCAGTCTAGTGACAGCGTTGACGTGAACGTAGATGTTCAAAAACGACAGGAAGGCCATGCGTCGCTGCACCGCGCGCGCAGCTCCTCAGACATATCATGTTCCGAGTCACTTCCTCCGTATGATGATCTGAGAAGCCCCAGTTACGATGAAGTCAGTGCAACGGCGATTCCCTCTTCCAGCAAGGGCAGAGCGCGGTCAACGACTTGGCAGAGTCGATTGATGATATCAACTTCCGGTCTTGGGGTTGCGATGAGCGAGGAATCGCTTCGTAGCTTACAATACTGTTTGACCTGGTTGCGCTGGGCGAATGAGCGGTTGGGAAAAGCCATACTGGCATTGAAACATACGCTAAAGGAATGGGAGGATGTGAAGCTACGGGAAGATCAGGATAATCCGGACAGTGCTCTTTCCAGGCGTATCGATGCCGTCAAGGAAGATGTGCTCGCTACTCTGAAACGAGTGGTTGGGATCGTTTCGAAATACGCTGGCGGTGCCCTGCCCGAGAACGCACGTAACCTCGTTCGCCGACATCTCACATCCCTGCCACGGCGATTTCAGATAGCATCGTCGGCCAAGTTGACACCAGCGGACTCGTCGGTGCAGGCCTTCGATGCCACTATTGCTGGCGCCAACAGAGCCTTAGTCCTGGCCCAGGAGGGTCTGGATATTATGGCACAGGTAACTTGTGTCGTCAACGATACTCTTGTTAGCGCGGAACACTGGTGCGATCGACTGGGCAAGAAGCGTCCGGATTACAGAACCAGGACTGACACGCCAAAGCAGCAGCAGGAGCCGCAGAGTGAGTCTGTGGCTAGTGATATAAAGGAACCTGTGGTGTCGAGCGAACCTCGTAACGCCGACACAAAGGAGCTCATCGTGTCGCTGGGACGTGACACGCAAATGTCGGGCACAGAGAAGGCGTAGTGATGAATCATGCGCTTCCTCTCTGTTGGCCTCCTCACTCCGGAGCTCGTGATCACTTTGGATTGTGGCTGACAATAGCTTGGGCTTCCAAAGCCGAACTCCCTTGGCCATCCCCACTAATGCAGTGAGTACTCGACGCAGTGGGGTTTCTCTGTCTTATCCCGCGGTCCGTGTGACCCTGCAATGCCTTTGCTGAAGCTTTTCCTTGGTCATAACTTTGAGACTATTATTCACCGTCGTGGAAAAAGAAAAAAGAAAAAAACAACAAAGATATTTGGGGCCGGCTCCTGTCTGTATCGTATTTGTTTTCGCCATTTGGTTTTCCTTGCGACGGGGTTGAGGTCAAGTCTGTCATTTATTATTATTGTTTCTTTTTTGAAAGATGTTCTTAGCATTTTTGTTTTTTTCTTTTCTTTTTCTTGGTGAATCTCCATATTGCCTATGTATGTTCTAAAATCTTATGAAGGATGTTTCTCCGTGGAAAGGTTACCCCTCGTATTTCCGTCAGTATCCAAATGGACTTGCATTATAAATGCGAGCCAAGGACCAAAGATTGTCTGGTATTCTATTATTAGAGGACTATTCAGAGAATCCCCCCAACAATTAATGTATGCATCAACCTTCCATGGTATGTCATCTAGCGTCATATCATTCGTGTATGTATTGTACTCGTCCTGTGTGTCCAAGAAAATATAACATTAAAAAAATCCTTCCCAGAATGCAAAATTAAAAGCAAATGTATGGTTTCGGTTCGTTTCGGTTCGTTTCTTTTTTTCTTTTCTTTTCTTTTTTTCCCCATCAGGCATCAAGAAAACAACCCTCTTTCCCGTCTATTACCACCCAAGAAAAAGGACGTAAATTAAGGCGTTTAGTTTTTAAGCCTAGGGGAGGGAGTAACCGCCGTCAACCACAATGTCAGCACCAGTAGTGTAGCTGGCGGCATCGGAGGCAAGGTAGAGATAGGCACCCTTGAGCTCCTGGGGGAGACCCTCGCGGCCCATAGGGATCTTGTCCTTCCAGATATCCTTCGTCTCCTTGGGGACGAAGTTGGAGAGCTCCGTGGCGATGTAGCCGGGGGAGATGGTGTTGGCACGGGCGAATCTAACCCACTCGACGGCAAGGGATTTACCTTTTCACCGTTAGTTAGACATCAACAATTGGAATAGTATAATGTAAGGGTGAGCTTACAGAGATGCCTGCAGCCTGCCTTGGCAGCGTTGTAGGCGGCCTGCATCTGGGGGAAGTTGACAATGTGTCCGCTCATGGACGAGGTAGCGACGAAGCTGCCATAGGTGAAGTTGGTGAGCTTGTTGCCATTGATGTCGGTGCCCTCCTCCTTCTGTCTTCTCCAGTGGGCAGCGGCCGCGCGGGCGCAGTAGAAGACGCCATCCAAGTCGACCTGGACGACTTCGTTGTAGTGGTCGATGGAGGCGTCCACCATGGGACCCTTAACCCACGCGACACCCGCGTTGGCAATCACGACATCCAGACGGCCGTTGAACTCCTTGACGATCTGGTTGATGGTGTCCTCGACAGCCTTGGCATCTCTGACATCGAGCTGGTAGGCCTTGCCTAGATAAACAGAATCGGAAAGTCGGTCAATCTGCTTCCTTGGAACAAGAGAATTTTAAGGTGAACTCACTCTGCACGCCATATTTCTGGGCGATCTCAGCAGCGCGCTCGGGAGTCTTGGTGTTGGTGTGATAGGTAATGGCGACGTTTGCACCAGCTTCCGCGAGACCGTTGGCTACCTGGAAGCCGATACCAGCACCGGCACCAGTGACGATGGCAGTCTTGCCCTTGAGGGAGAAGAGGCTAAACAAGCTGGAGTCCTCAGGGGGGGTAGAGTTGTTGTGGATGAAGAGTCCATTGGCGACAGGATTGGCAGCCATTGTGAAGCGATGTGGGAGAGACAGGGAGGATGGAGAGAGAACGACAGTGATGAAGAGGAGGCTGGAGAAAAGCAGCTGAGGGGGAGGAGTAGCAAAAGGGACAAGCGAAGCGTGTCTGTCTTTATACCTGGGGATGTGGAGAGCAGGAAGAGGGCATGTCTGCGGGCAGCACCACAGGACCTGGTGGGCCCTAAGGCCACATTCCCCAGAGCCGGAATGCATCCACGACTCCCTGAAACTCCCTGAAATTCACACGCTAGATCGTCGGGCATGATATCAAGCATCCCATTGTCAGCGCCCACAAACACTGGCTGTCTGACCGCCTATTACATCCATCCGAGAGCCTGTCCCATCAACCAAGGAGGGGTACATGCATACACGTCTGATTCGCCTTCATCCCTCGCCTCCTGTCGGGCGATTTCTGGATGCTAGGCTCTTATTTGAATGAAGCGCCGATGGCAGTTCCAGAGTTGACAAATAAGGTTACCGAAGTCCTTGTTCCAGACCCAGAGTATCCTATTGGATTGGTGATGCGCCGTTGTCTTGGAATCCGTCGATATCCCCTTCGCGACGGGTTATAGAATCAGACACGGTAGTATACACTTTCGGCCCGCAAGGTGCGCGACGATTGACGCGGCGTCCTAGTGCTCCGATCTAGACGTGGTCCGAACCTGAAGTGGCTTCCGAGGAATGTGAGAAAAGGGTGGAGGAAAAGAAAGGCTTTTGTTCTGTATTTCTGGAAAGGGTTCAGTAGTCAGTGCTATCTCCGATTAGTAAACTTAGCACCAAGTAGTTAGTTAGTTAACTAGTTAGTGACCTTGTTTTGTCAGGTAATGAACTAGGAAATATAAGGAATTATAAGCACATGTCTCCTAACCTTGTCCATAGAACAGAGTATGTTTGCACCCAATAGAATATTCCATTCCAGATGCAGCCTATTCTTGCCCTCTCTGGCTCTCATCTGCCCCTAGCATTCTCCATGGCTGCTGACTGCGGGTGGCTTGGCTGCCAGAGACAGGCTGAACACTTGAGCTGCTGTGTCACTTTGCAGGTGTTAGGTTCTTATCAGTCACGTGTGTATCTTGTGTACCTTCCTTGTATAAAACGGATCTTTCTGAGAAGAGAATCAACTTCCCTCTTCACCTCCCTGTCTTCATCCTATCTGCCATCCAGGATAAAAATATCAGAATTAGGAGAAAATGATATCCCTCTTTGCCATAGGGACAAGGAGATCTTCCTGTGGCACTTCCTGGAGCTCTCCCTGCCATGACCCCTGCAATGTTAACCATCCTCTTTCACTGAGATCCTCACGGAGTCAGTTGAGTTGAGTGTTTGCTTTTCACCTGCTGCCTGATCGCATCGTCCATCCAGTGTGGAGACTAACATGGGAAGTAGATGTTCTTGGAGTCATGCCTACTCAGGAGGCCACCTCATTGGGCCTCCCTGCCCCTCGAGGGAATAATTCACCCTGTCTTATTCCTCAGGCAGCATGCCCACTGTCCCATGTCCTGCTTCTGCGGACTTGTTTCTAGCAGGCCTGGTTGTCTCTATGCTTCCATCTCCACCCAATTGAGCTTTCACTGCTGCTCTTCCTTCTTCTCTTGAGACTTGGGAGCTATTTGGACTCGTCTTCTCACCCAGGGCAACGCTCCAAATTGGCTCCCTAGTTCTCCCCAGCCAGACAGAGAAGCAACGCGATTGCAGAACCAATTCCTGCGTCTTGTTTCTCAGCAGTCGTTGTTGCTACGTCTTCAGTTCTCTTTTTCTTTCTCCAGTTGCCCGCGTCTCCTTTGTTCTTCAGTTTTCCAAGTCAAAACACGAGGGAACAACGCCACTATGCTTCCTTTCCAGGTCATCGTTGTCCTTGTTGCGATTGGCGCCTGCCTCCTTTTCGTGGCTCTTACAGCTGCGATATATTTCTTCCCGAGGCGCAGGCATACCAGAGATATGCCGACTACAGACCACGATAGAGAGCCACGCGTCTCCTTCCATCGTGAGATATCGCGCAACGGCGATGGAGAGAGCTCGTGGCATCAAGACGGTTATGGGGAGCGTTCAGATGCAAGTGCAGAAATTCCGGCCTTGTTTTCCTCACAAGAGAATCTGGTTCAGTCGTTCGGAGACGTGGACTCGGAAGCGTTATCCCAGCCGCCAAAGAAAACATGGTCGACGTCTTTTGCCTGGACAAGATCTTTACGAAAAGCCATTGCGAGATTTAAAACCCATCGCGGTAATGTTCTGCAGAGGCCTCTCCATTTGAGTTCTCTAGAAGCCCTGACTGAGCCTACCGATGCTTCGTCAGATGCCCAGAGTTCACACTCCCTTCCTCGTCTGAGAGAAGAGTGTGTCACCGCTAGCATACTGACGAGCATCTTGCAGGCTCCAATTCAGAGAGAGACAGGCTCGAGACCGGTTTCCGTCAGAGAGATATTTCGTACGCGTTTCAATTCGAGAACGCACCGTCCGATATCAGCTCCTTTGCCACTGGCATCATCTCGAGTAGAGCATTGGGACTCGCAACTCAGCGCACTCAATCCGCCCCTCTTACGTACCCCAATAACGAACCAGACAGCGGGAGCCGTTCCAACGCTGCCAATACCTCCCCCTCCGCCTGTTCCCACTCGCTATCGTCTTCCCGATTCAGATACGGGGCTATCATCTATCAACCCAGCAATACTGGATGATGGCATCGGGTTGACTTCATCTCCTAGCGAGCATGATTTCGCGTATCCGTTGGGCTGCCCTGGCCCTACTTTGGGGTTTGATGGCGATGATGATGATACGGACGCGGACGATAGGTACCAAGTGAACTCTGTTCCTTTCACTGCTCTACTACCACCGCCTCCTGTCTTAACTAGACAAGGTGGCGCCGTGCAGTTCAGCGGACGGCCGGACCCATTTCTGTCATATACGAATACCAATTCTGGTGAAGCCTCCGCCAAGCCACAGTACCATCCCCTAAGGCTCAATCCGATCCATCCGCATTATCCTAAACATGAGAACCTGCACACGGCTGGCGAGGAGGGTCATTCCGACCCAGAAACAGTGCCTGGTGGTCTTGGAAGCGGAAATGGCAGTGGAACAAGTAACGAGAGAACGATCAGCAGTAGCGTCGGTATGTCGTCTCTGCTAACTTCGAGAAACATGGGACAGGCAGGACCATCGGTCCCTTCGTCTCCCAACAACCTGTTCCGCAAAGGTCACAAGCGACAGTACTCTGTACGCTTACCAACGATCCCGTCCGATATTTTCGGGGGTGCTTCCTCTCGTCCTGGTAACGAGGCTCACGAACTGGATGAACTTGACTCTCAGGGTTCAAAGAAAGGGAAACAGAAACAGCGTGCTGAGAACCAAAATCCCGAACGGGAAGACATCTACGCCACTTACAGACCTAGAAAACGTCTGGCTGAAGCGTTACATCAGGGAAAGGTACAGCAGTGGAAGTTCCCTAGCATGGAATCTGTGGACAACAGGATCGCCAACGGCCAGGAACGACAGGAAAATCAATACCAGTATGAGCGTCGTCGAAATCCAGAAAGTGGCCCAAAGTCGTCGCCCTGCAATAAGAATGTGGGTATGTCTCGTCGCTCCGTACATAGCCTCAAAGGTACCAGTATGATGACCATCTGGGAAGAAGACAAGGATGGCAAGATGTCCCAGCTTGGTTCTGACGTGCAAGGTTCCTCTAACGGTCATGGTATGGTAAAGGAAGCGCTGTTCGCGCACGATGTCCAGGGAGAAACGCTGGCGGAAACCCCAAGTGTCCGCATTGTGCAAGATTCAGAGGTCGAGACTCCTTTTGGTAGAAACGTTGGGCTGAGACTAAGTGCGAGCGCAGAAGAGAAGACGCCTGGAAGTCTCTATGACCAAGACGGGTTTTTCAGAGAGTACTAAGAGTATTGTATGGCCATTTTGCATTGTATTCACGGAAATATACTGTGCAAATTACCTCGATACTCTTTACTTATGTGACTTGCTCGACTTGGAGAGAATTCTTGGTGGTTGTCTTATTTGTGCTGTTGGCTTTTGGTTATGGCTTTTCTTTTTTCCGAGTCTCATCAATTGCCCTCAGTCTCCGTTCTGTTCTGCCATTCTGGCACAAGCTATCATATAGTCATGGTCTGTATCACTTTGCTTTTTTGCTTTCGAGTTCGCCGGGAGTAACTGGGTGGTTGGAATCAAGCGCAAGTACTGGTTACTGTCGCTGGCATTTGCATCTGCTCTTTTACAGCCTACAGAGCTTGTATCTTCTAACACAATGACTGCTTTTTTTTGCTTTATTTTTGTCGTTTTGGTTTCCATATGGATCTCTGCTGGATTGAGAATCTAGGAAACTAAATAGTTCATTCGAATGGCGGAACTTTTTTCTTTCCCCAATACCTGGTACCGCAGGACTTGCACCCATTAATTAGGCACCGTAACAAGTAAAAGAAAATAACCTACCCCGGTATTTGCTGGTATTAATCGGTCCTCCTCCATTTCGTTTCTTCCCCGTCTGCGCCTTCCTGGTCATCCTCTTCTTGCTCCCTCGACCTCACACTCCCAGCCCCAGGACCCAGGGGAGAAAGCAAAGACGGCGCCTCACCCCCAGCAATCCAGTTCCCTTCTTCATCAAAATACTCATGCATATTCTCCGCAGTGATCCACCCCGAGCTGCCATCAACGGGAGGTGGCAGCCCTCCATCCGCAGAACCAGGAACAGCAAAGCCAGACTGGAACAAGGCATTCTGATCATCATCTTCCTCACCGGGCTGGGGCGGATCGGGATGGAGATTCGAACATGCCGAGACAGCCGCATACAGCATCTGTGTCGGAGTCTCGTCGGGCTTATCGCTGAAATCCTCCTGCATGACGCGCTCGGCAGACGTGGCCGTCGTGGTCTCTGCGGTGGATGTGTTGAGCATTTCCGGTCCCGTGGGCGGGACGAGGGTTAATGTTATACAGCTTTCATCTTCTTCTTCCTCTCCGTAGGCGGGTTGTTGGTCCGTTGCAATCTGCATGTATAGTCCTTGGACTTCTTCGCTGTTCGGCGCGTCTGGTACTTGAAGTCTCTGGATAGCGTGCAAGGAGATAGATGGGTAGGGGATAGAGACACCTGTCGAGGTAGCGGGGACATAGAGGAGGAACTTGCTATCATGTTTTTGAAGTGTTAGCAAGGTGATCTATCATCGTGGAAGTTTTCGTAATACGTACTCGGAAGTAACCCATACGTCCACCCCATCGATAACGACATTTTTCTCTTCCTCCTCCTCTCCCCCAAATTCTTCGCCTCCTTCAGTGGTAGCATTATTACCAGCCCTAGAACCATTTACGGTAGCCGACGCAGAAGTTCCGCGCATGGAATTGAGAGCTGGGGAGGCGCGCAAATCGCGCTCGAGAATGACCACTTTGCATCGCTTGCTGTGGTAGTGCAGTACTGGCGGTCCGGAGTAGAACGACGCAGGTGTGCGCGCCTGGTGCTCCGCCAGAAGTACGAATGAAGAAGACTCTGGAGCGGCGTGGAGGACTTCCATTGCTTGAAGATGCTGGGCACGGTTGAGATGGAGGGGTTGAGGCAGGAATCTTATTTACCGGAGTTTACCTAGTAAGCTACAGCTCCATACGGAGTAATACACGTGCGTATCTCCGGGAGACAACCCACAGCATCTCTTCTTATACACGTCAATCGAGGTGGAGTGGAGGGAACACTATTTATCTAGCTCGTGAAGATTATCTACAAACACAAGTCGAGAAAGCAAATTCTCACGTCCTATCAATCGAGTACAGTATTCCTTGCTGTACTCCGCAAGGCATTCACATTCTGCTATATGAAGGTCATTTCATAGTGCCGTAGTGAACAAAAAGATCCATAGATGAACCACATCAAAAGCTCATGGATCTCAAAAATGCTATCCCCAACAACCGGCAAAGTCAATACGAATGTTGGCAGGGTATACATAATATCTCTGCAGTTCTTGGAGCGCCTGTGCCAGATCGGTAAACGCATCCAGAGTCCAGCAGCAGCGCCAGGCTTGTTTACAGTCTTTCAGCCAACAATCTGAAGGGATAATTTGGCGGTTGCCCGTATGCTCCGTGGAATACGGAGAAATGGCCCCCTGCTTCATCCTGCACCTAGTGCACGAAGAATGCTTTGTGATACATTGATTCATGAAAGAAAGCCGATTCTGGTTTCTTTGCAAGATCATATATACCAGCAAGATCGAACGTCAGCGGTAGACGAAAACGATATTCGAGTTTATTTTACGTTCAGTCCACCAAACGCCCTATCTAGCTCTTCGCCTTCGTTGCGTGGCACTATCGACGGGGTGTTGTAAGCGCTCTGGTCTGCAGATAAAGTGTCCAGCAAGCTTGGTTCTTTTTGCTGCTCCATCCTTTGCCCATGAGGCGAAGCGAGTTTGCTTGGCTGTAGCAGTTTCTCTTCTCGATCCAGCCAACCAGGGGCGACGCGTCGTTTCTCGGCAAGATCTCGCTGTTTGATCGATTCTTCCCAGTCCCGGATAGTGACTGTTGCGTCATCGCGAGCTTTCTTCAGGTGGTTTTCAAGAGCCTGGCATGATGCCAGTATCTCTTCTGGGAGCGCAGCGTGCTCGCCACTGGGCGACACAATGTAGCGGGCTTTTACATCGGGATTGCTTGGATCGACGGTCACGGAGGGAGGAAGAGTCGACGGGACGGATTTGAATGTGTAGGGAAGAGTGACGGATGTAGGAAGGTTGATGAAAGGGGAGACTGTTAACGGAACTTGGGCGAGGAGGTGATGGGGTCCTAAAGTGAAATCATCAGTTAGTTAGCTTCTGGGAAGAAGAAGAGACGGGCAAGCTTGCTTACTATACGACTCATACATGATGGTGGTGACGCTGGAGAGCGTGGAGTGGAAGAGAGTAATAATAGCAGCAAAGGGGATTGCAGAGGGGCAACCAAAGTTCTTCTCGTGTTCTGCGCCACTGCTATTAATATGGATATGAATGCCAATGTTCCGTACGGAGTATTTAATATTAACATTACATATGAAGCTGAATCCTCGAGGGGCTCTTGATAACCGGCCCTTCTAACTTCCCCTCCTTTCTTAAGCTCTATCGACTGCCGAGTCTAGTCCAAGACTTGCGTTCTCATTCTGTTCCACTCTTTTTCTCCATCTTTCATCTCCAGATCTATTCGCCTTCGAGACGCTCTCGTCTGGCTTCCCTGTTCTGTCTCGATCTGGTCCGCCCAATAATAATAGTTGAGACTGCTCGGTGAACCGACCTTATTCTGCGTTGATCCTGCTGCTGCGCCCCGTTCCTCGTTTTACAATCCGTTCACCACAGCCTCGTTTAACCCGTTGTCCCTGAATTCAGTCTGAACACTGCCGCTTGCGATCTCCGAAACCCACCCCGCAAGCACTCTTGTTCCTCGCAAGATGGATCGCAAATTGGCGCGAGCGGTGACGCACAAGAAGCCGGTCCCGGAGATAGACTTTACTCTGCATACTATGGAAGATGGCTCTCAAGTGTCTACGCTGGAAAGAGTAATCAAAGGTTAGCCTTCTTTTTTTAATTTTTTTTTTTTTTACAAGAGCACTGTTGGCTGATTCTGTTCCTTCTGTGAATCACCAGAGGTGCAGGCACCTGCGTTAAATATCCCGTCCGACGACGTCTTTTGGTCCCCTGAGGATCCTTCGAAACCCAATCTCCAGTTCCTCAAACAGCATTTCTACCGGGAAGGCCGTCTCACGGAGGAGCAAGCACTATGGATTATACACGCTGGTACAGAGATCCTCAGGTTGGAGCCAAACCTATTGGAGATGGACGCTCCCATTACTGTGTGCGGCGACGTTCATGGCCAATATTATGATCTGATGAAGCTGTTCGAGGTCGGCGGCGACCCTTCCGAGACAAGATATCTGTTCTTGGGCGACTATGTCGACAGAGGGTATTTCAGCATCGAGGTGCGCTGGCCCCCTGTTTTTGCCTGCTTCTGCTTACCTCGACTAACCCTTTCCAGTGCGTTCTCTACCTTTGGGCCTTGAAGATCTGGTACCCCAATTCGCTCTGGCTTCTGCGCGGTAATCACGAGTGTAGGCACCTCACAGATTACTTTACGTTCAAACTGGAATGCAAGCACAAGTATAGCGAGCGCATCTACGAGGCTTGCCTCGAATCATTTTGTGCGCTACCACTGGCGGCTGTTATGAACAAACAGTTTCTTTGCATTCACGGGGGTCTCAGCCCAGAGCTGCATACCTTGGAAGATATCAAGACGGTAGGTCGACTTATTATACATCCCGACATCTGACTGTGTTCTAAACCTGGAGAATAGATTGATCGCTTCCGTGAGCCCCCTACTCATGGTCTCATGTGCGATATCCTGTGGGCCGATCCTCTGGAGGAATTTGGGCAGGAGAAAACTGCAGACTATTTCGTCCACAACAGTGTTAGAGGTTGCTCGTACTTCTTCTCCTATCCTGCCGCGTGCGCGTTCCTCGAAAAGAATAACCTCCTTTCCATCATTCGAGCACATGAGGCCCAGGATGCCGGATATCGCATGTATCGTAAGACTAGGACGACCGGGTTTCCCAGTGTGATGACGATTTTCAGCGCTCCGAATTATCTCGACGTTTACAACAACAAGGCCGCTGTTCTGAAATATGAGAATAATGTCATGAACATCCGGCAGTTCAACTGCACCCCCCATCCTTACTGGTTGCCGAATTTCATGGATGTTTTTACGTGGTCCCTTCCCTTCGTTGGTGAGAAGATCACGGATATGCTTATTGCTATTCTGAATACCTGCTCTAAGGAAGAACTGGAAGAGGATACCCCAACATCCGAAAGTGCGCCCCAGGATCAATTCTCCCCGGCGACTCCTATGGATTCCGAGATGAGCGAGTTCAAAAGACGCGCAATCAAAAACAAAATTCTTGCCATTGGTCGTATCTCACGTGTGTTCCAGGTGCTTCGTGAAGAGTCGGAGAGAGTCACCGAACTCAAAACGGCAGCCGGTGGTCGTCTTCCGACAGGAACTCTCATGCTTGGAGCAGAAGGGATCAAACAGGCCATCCACAACTTTGAAGATGCACGCAAGGTTGACATACAGAACGAACGCCTTCCCCCGAGCCAGGAGGAGGTCATCCGGAAAAGCGAAGAAGAGAGGCGGGCAGCTTTGGTGCGGGCCCAACATGAGGCAGAAAATGACACAGGCTTAGCGACTGTGGCCAGGCGCATCAGCATGTGAGTATCACACTAAAACCCCTGTGATGAAACTGCCGGTATTCTAATCCATTTTTAAGGTCTGGGGGTTCGGGCAGAAGTCGTCGGCAGGCAAAGGAGGCTAAAGAGGCCCAAGAGGCCAAAGATGCCAGGCAAGTCAAGGAAGTCTGAGGATCCATCCAGTTTCGTGGTTATGTCACTCTTTCAAATATTGCCACTTCAGCATGCTCCTCGCTGCACGATACCCTGTTGAATCTGTCATTGAAAGCTATTTGTCTACATGTATAAAGTTTCGTGAGCCTAAACCGTCGAGGCGGCATCTATCAGTTTCACGGTCTCTGTCCCAGGATTCATATTTACTCCGAGGTCGACTTGAGGAAGGAGATTGTCGGTGGCTGAATTCTGGGATATGGGGGGACGCGGAGAACGTGGTTCTGGACAGTGATATTCTGGATCACAATGAGATGATGAACACATATTCCTATGCACTTTGTTATACACTCTTCTATTCTGTGCTGCGTCCTTCATTTATATCTGTACTTCGTTGTACCTTGGAATGTAATCTCTACAAAATACTACATTTCGTCCTAGTTCACTAGGGGGTGCTCTGGACGGACAGTATGCTATGCATGGTGCATTAGCTGATAACCATGAGAAGGAATTGCCTAACAGATAATGGATGAGCATCTTTTCCTTTCTCCAGCTAGGAGGATAGTGTAGTATGTTGCTCAGGTCAAGAGCAGGATTACCGAGTGGGCATCTATGGCTATTCCGCAGCTCCGCCAAGCCTGGACAAAAGCCGGAAACTCTTCCAGGTCCGAACAGTTCTCGACGCTGCACTGCAACTTCTGTTTCTCTCCCCAACTACCATCGTTGGTCAATGCCTCCAAGAATTCGCGGCGCGCTCTCCACGAGCCTGTCGCATGTGGCCGACAGTGGAGGAGGGTTCTTTTACTGTCCATCTTGCGCGACCTGGCGACGGACGCTGTCAACGCGTCCCAGCGCCCTTCAACCGCGGCGAGGCCATCGGCTACATCATTCCCCCATCTGGAACTCCAATCAACGTCGGCTGGCGACATCGTCTGTCCTCAATGCAGGGAGAAATGTGCCTGACAGGTTTCGAGAGTTGTACGAGGCCCTGGATAAGGTTAAAAATACAGCCCCGGAACAGTTCAGTCTGAGTCGATTACAACTGGCACTGCGGGGATTGGAGTCCGAGACGCCTCTTATTCGCGTTGCTGGTAGGTGGAGAGAGTGTTATCTACTTGGAGTCCTTTGACTCTGCAAACTGACAGTGGCTAATTTCTCTGTCTTGTGTACAGTCTTGGGATTAAACGATGCAACCGCTGCGCGCAAACTCATCCGTCTGCTTCTTGCTGACCCATTGAATCCGAAAGAAGATTGGGAAGATATCTTGGATTCCTACGATGAAGACACCTCACGCGGCTTGCTTATTCGGTACTGAATTCATCTGTCGGGGATTATGCCTATATTATGCTGTATGGTTAACAATTCCGCAGATATGGCGAGGTATCCGAAACGATTCACAATGACCTGCTCCCTACCATCTCTATACCCTCGTCGGTTCTGAAGAAAGGAAATATGGAGATCCTAGTAAGCGCCTTTGGTGCTGACGCGGTGCCTCCGGGTGCCCAAGTAGCCCCGAAGACCTTTCTCGTACCGACCGTCCCGATTCGCACGTCTCACTCCGGTCGGCAGAATTTCATTCGATACCCTGTACACAGAGCCCTTGTGTGTGGGAGTGGGGTGGATGGTCTACTTGCGTACAGCGGTCTGGTCGCTCGGTCTGCTCTTAATAAGGATGAAAAATCCGTTTTCGGGGCCATTGACCTACCGATCATGGATAAAGAGAAGCACAATGGTCGCATAGCCTTTGTGGATATCGGAGCAGCCGGTAAAGCACTGGATAAATTCCGCGAATCCGTCCAGAATGCATCGGAGTATGAACGTGGTTGGAACTACAGTGGCGTGCAGAGAGTCCTGGACTGGCTCTCGTCTCCGCCGTCAAATGGACATTTGGATCCCGCTCTGGAGAGATTGATAGGCTCATTGCTTGACAGTGCAGAGGAAGGCGTGCGCGTCCAGGAGGCCAGGCAGATTGCACAACAGGAAGCACTATCTGTTTCTGACCAGGTACGGGAAGATCTTGATCAATCGATATCCGCCTGGGCGGAGAGAGCGCATACAGAACTCCGCCACTCCCTAGAAAAAGGATTCTCCAGTCAAAATTGGAGAGAACTTGCATGGTGGAAGCTCTTCTGGCATGTTGACGATGTTGGGATGATTACCTCGGAGATCCTCGAAAAGAGGTACCTCTGTCAGGCTGAGAAGGAGCTGATCTGGACGTCAGGCAGACTCCAGCAGGCGGGCCTGCTTAACGAAATTCCGGATAGCAGTAATGTCGGCGATGCTGCTGCTGCTGCCACTTCTCAAGCTGGAGAAGTGAACGAGAATGACGAACAGACGGTAGTGGAGACCGCACCCTCTCAACCCTCTCAAGAGGCGTGGCCAGCGCAGATCCCTACGAGTCGCTCTAAACTTCTGAACGTTACTGTTCCTTCCCTGCAAGCACTGGCGCAGAAACTGGTGCTGTTCAGCGTCTCCACGACTACGCTCACATCCGCCCTTTCGGCGCTGACATACATCTCCTTCCCTACCGCATCTATCTATGAGTCATGCAGTATAGCAGCGGTGGGTCTCGTATACTCTCTACGACGGCAGCAGAAGAGATGGGACTCGGCGCGGACTTTCTGGGAGAATGAAGTACGGGAAGATGGTCGGACATCTTTGAGGGAGACGGAGCGTGACCTTCGGGCTATCGTCCGAGAAGGAGGGAGACCGGCCGAGGACGTTTCGGAAAATGCTGCAAGAGACGCCATTGAAAAGGCACGGAGGGCACTTGAAGCTACGAAGTAATCAGTATCGGCTGTCATTTAGATACATAGAAAAACATAGGATGGCAAAGTGTATATGAATTATTTAGCGATGGCTGTAGAAGTACAATTTTTTTATTCCCAGGAATTGACTTTCATGTAATCTCAATACTCCCCTCAGGCACGCCCTGATGACTCCTCAACCGCCTCGCAAAGAACTGCATGACAGGTAACATCTCATCCCTATTGCGAGGCATACCGTCCCCCTTCCTCGCATACCGATGAACCTCGACAAACTCAAAGACGCCCTTCGTCCTCCGCACTGCCTCATCGGAAACAACCAGCGAATCCCTCCCAGCAAGAATCAAAACAGGCGATCGGCATTTAGCACCTCCTCTCCGACCGGACAAGGGAAACGGTGCCCCGATCGAAATAACACCGGCCAGGGAGCCTGTTTCGTTTGAGCCAGCAGCAGAAGATGATTCCAACTCCCTCGCAACCACCAACCCAAGCATCCCACCCTGACCCAGCCCCAAAACCATGACCTCACGCAGCTGATACCCGCATTTCCGCAGCAGGACGCCGCGAATGACCTCGTCAATGAGCAGCTTCAGACTCCGCTGGAAGCCGGCGTCCATGTCCAGGGCGCCGGTGGAGGAGTCGAAGGCGACATCGTCGCCCCAGTGGAAGCCGTGGAGGTCGAAGGGGAGGGAGGTCGGGGCTTGGATGGTCAGGATGGTTGTTTCGGGGAGATTGAGGGCGCGGGCGAGAGATGTGAATGCGGGTGCGGAGTCGCCTAGGCCGTGAAGGAGGAGGAGGATGTTTGGGGGTGAGTTTGAGTTGGAGCTGGAGATTGTTGGTGGTGGTGGAGTGATAGTTAGAGTGAGGTTGGAGGGAAAGTCAGTGAGGGAGGGGGGTTTGGCAGGCATGTTCTTTGTGCTTTGTGAGTGCTATTGTTAGTCCATTGGTGATGCTTAACTCTTTTCTGGTGATGTTCAATGTGCTATGGATGCCTTAGGTAGGCACCTTACCGTACAGTATGGTACGGTAAGAGCGGTTCTGTCAGTACGTAATCAAATTTACACCGCCACCTGAGGCGGTGTAGTCCCACTACCCCACTTCTGCACGGACCAATAAGACAAATCAGATAGGAATGAAGTCTATTCTTAGAACTGGGCTGTGACTAAGCTTTGATGGCCCGTGGTGCCCAGATTGCTTGTGCATGCAGGTCTTTGCTTCTCCTGTATAGACGCCTGTCGGTGTTGCTGGCGTGTTCCATAGCATAATACCATACCCTCTGAAACACTTTGCTGTCAAATGGGAGAGATATCTGCCGCCTCCCGGTCTCAACTCTGTGGATGCCGAATGCGCTGTAGGGCTTTGATTGGGTCCCAGACAACCGTCTCCATTTCACCTGAAAAATGCGTTGTACTTTACTCCATATGGTTTCGCCAGATACATACATAATAATAGATTATAGGCGGGCGCCACGGTGGCTGCGCGGTTCAGCTGGAATTGGGCGCAGTGCTTCCCCTCGGATGGTGGGGCAGGGGGGAGATGAGACGATGAGGGGCTGCGAAGACGAATATGGATTACGGCCAGGTAGACGTTGCTAACGCCTGCTTGGATGGGCATATAAGACGCTCTTGTTCCCCGTTGGTCTTCCCTTTCTCTTCTTCTCTTCCATAGTCACGAATCCATATTTACATCTCTTCAACCGTACAACTCCTCTATATATACACACTTAGCAACCATGGCTTGGGGCTGGGGTATGTTTCTCTCTTTTCCTTCAAATAATATCTCCTATTGCACTATCCATACTACCATCATCCTTTATGAATCCATCACTAACATATGTATGTACGCTGCTAGACGAATCCGCTGACGCTCACGACCGTGTCTACAACGACAAGCATGAGGGCCACCTCTCCCATGAACTGATCGGAGGTGCTGCCTCCTTCGCCGCCTTCAAGGCATACGAGGACAAGAGGAAGGACGAGGGTACGTGAAGGAATAACCATACCAAACACTAAAACCTAGCAAGCAAGCATCGCTGACTGATAATCCCATTTGCGAACAGGCCAAGAGGTCGACCATGCCTTCGCCAAGGAAGTCCTTGCTGGCCTTGCCGGTGCCGAGGTCGACAAGCTCTTCGAGACCAAGGGCCTTGACGAGATCGACAAGATCCGCGCCCACGAGCATGCCAAACAGAACGCTGAGCGTATCTACGACGAGCGCTATGGTAACAACAACTACTAGATTCTGTGAGAAGGGGCCTGCTCTTGTGTTATTGAATGGCTATATACGTGCATTATCGCTAGGATACCTCTGATTCGAATGAATTATGGATTGAATGAAATAATTTTTGTAAACCTGGAAACAGTATACTCTTATATGCCTGTACTACTGTGATGGGGCTCTGTTTAAATCCCGCATACGGAAGCGGGATTACTGTCTGCCCTTAGATTCCCGAGCTGCGTCTTCAACCTCACCGAGGCGACAGAATGATATAAGCTTCCTAGATAATAACTGTGGGTAGATTGACCGAGATATGTTATTCACAATGCCCAGACTGAGCGTCCCGTCAGAGCACGTGCCTCCGCCAGGCTCTGTAAGGCTGCACGGCAGCCAATGGCTGCTGCAGCCCAGCCCAGACTCTCTCCAGTTGATATGATGTCTTCTTGGCTGCAGTCCCTTTGAACGTCGCGTTTCCTTTTTTTTTTTTTTTTTTTTTTTTTTTTTTTTTCCTTCCGTTTCTCCCTTATTCTTTGCTTATTTTCTGCAGTATATGGAGACTCCCATCGGTCAATTGGCTCTTCCCTTCAGTCGCTTCTGATCTACGTCTCCTGGTTTCATCGGCGACCTGATCATGTCAGAATTGCTCTGTCGCCAGGATGAAATTTGCGAAGTCCGTTCACCCAATTCATTACTATATCTTTTTCGTGCTACAGCTGACCAGAATAATACTTCAGGGAGCTAGAACAGGAGTTGGTTCCGGAATGGCGTGCTAAGTACCTGAACTACAAGGCAAGTCAAAATACTACTTGGGCTCCGTGTGCTTCTCCTAACCATCTCCTAGACAGGGAAAAAGAAACTAAAAGCCATTTCTCGGGCCCTCCAAAGGGAGTCTCGGAGTAATTACCAGCCTCTCACCTTCCGTCGCGCCGCCACTGGGCTAGGGGACCAACCGTTTTCCTACCCTCGAAGTCCCTTCCGCTCGTCCACGGTAAGGTCTAACCCGAATCTTCCATCGATATCACAGTCGAGTCCCACCGGAAAAGCAGAGCGGCAGCCCTTGAAGTCACCGAGAACACGATTCCCAGGATCACACGGGAGCTATGGCAGCATCGGTCCTACACCGCCGTCTGACAATCCTCAGGCGTCGGATCTCGCCTCCTTGAAATTGCCTGATCCGGCTATAGATCCCAGTGAAGCTCCTGTTTTGGCAGGACAGAATTTTCTCCTGGAAAGGGATAGAAAAGGCCATTCTCCTGTTATCTTCAGACAGGACGCTGTGGATACTGGTAGCGGTAGTCCAGCTAACCAGAGGTCTTCTACTTGGAGCATCGGCAGCTCTGCTGCCTCAAGGCATGGCACCGTGCAGGGAACACCCAGTCTTAGGAGGAGGCCCTCGTTTCTCAAGAGGGTCTTCTCTATCCCGGAGTGCGAGTCCCCGGGGAGAAATTCTCAAGGCGAGCAGCTGTCCGAGGTTGAACAGCGGCAGGATGAGTTCTTTGCTTTCTTGGATAGCGAGCTATCTAAGATTGAATCTTTTTACAAGACCAAGGAAACTGAAGCCACAGACCGCTTGAAGACTCTCCGGCAACAGCTGCACATTATGGGAGATCAAAGAATCCAGGAAGTTCTGGCAGCCAAGAATGCGTTCGCTGCCAATGGTAAAGGCAAAAATCAGGCAAATGGCTCTGGTGGAGGAGATAATGGCACAATATTGAAAAATCCTATCAAGGGGCGAGGACACATTGGGAAGAATTCAGAAGCCTTACCGCACCTGGCGTCACCTGCAGCTCTCCAGCCACATGATGCGGAATCTGTCACTCTTCGAAGGGACTTTATGCGACGACCAGAACCGGCGCAGACCAACGAGGTCCCTTACCGCACGGCTAAGAGAAAACTGAAGCTGGCCCTACAAGAATTTTATCGTGGCCTGGAACTCTTGAAATCCTATGCCTACCTGAACCGGACTGCTTTTCGAAAGATCAATAAGAAATACGACAAGGTTACGAACTCCCGCCCTACTATGCGGTATATGTCCGAGAAGGTCAACAAGGCTTGGTTTGTCCAGAGTGACATCGTCGATAGCCTCATGGTCACCGTAGAAGACCTATATACTCGTTATTTTGAGCGTGGAAACCATAAGATTGCTGTTTCGAAACTCCGCCACACGGGGCTCAAGCCCGGAGACTATTCTCCCAACACATTTCGTGTTGGTCTTCTACTGATGGGGGGTATACTTTTTGGTATTCAGGCCCTGGTCTACGCGGCACAGCACTTGCGTCATCCAGATCCTGCGGTCAAGAGCAAAACAAGTTATTTACTTCAGGTCAGTGGTCCAACTTGCAATTCCAAGGGACCTTCAACAATGCTAATGCGTGGAAATAGATCTACGGTGGCTTCTTTCTTGTGATATTTCACTTTCTACTCTTTTGTCTTGATTGCATGATATGGACAAGATCTAAAATTAATTACGTTTTTGTTTTTGAGTTTGACACAAGGCACGCGTTAGATTGGCGTCAATTATTGGAGGTAAGTTCTTCTCTCTCTGTCCCCTCCCTTGCTACCATACGGTTCCTCACACTATATTAGATACCATCGATTTTCTTCTTTCTATTAGGATTATTTATGTGGCTCAATTTTTCTTGGATTAATAAGATGTATATCTACTGGCCAGTTGTACTTGTGGCAGAATACCTTATCATTATGTTTCTTCCAGTGAGGGTGTTCTATCACCGGAGTCGACAATGGTGGCTGTACTCTAATGTGAGTTGGCCTCTTGTCCAACTGCATTTTGTTTCCTGATTCCGCTAACCCTGCAAATCAGTGGCGTCTTCTGTTAGCAGGGCTCTATCCAGTTGAGTTCCGTGACTTCTTCTTGGGGGACATGTACTGCTCTCAAACATATTCTATGGGGGTGAGCTACCTGAATTAGCCTATCTACAGATCAAAATATTACTAACACTTCCCAGAATATCGCTCTCTTCTTCTGTCTCTACGCAAAACACTGGGGATTTCCAGAGCAATGCAATTCATCCCATTCCAGGCTGCTGGGATTCTTCACCTGCCTTCCATCTATTTGGCGAGCATTTCAATGTCTCCGTCGATTCGCAGATACGAAGAGCGCGTTCCCTCACCTTCTCAACTTTGTGAAGTACATCTGCGGTGTTTTGTACTATCTCACTCTGAGCCTGTATCGCATCGACAAGGTGCCACGATATTTAGCTGTGTTCATTATATTTGCACTGCTAAATGCCATATATACATCCATCTGGGATCTTGTTATGGATTGGAGTTTGTGCAATCCCTACGCCAAACGACGGTTCCTACGCGAGATGCTGGCTTTTCGCAACTGGTGGGTGTACTACGTGGCCATGGTCTTGGATGTCATCATACGTTTCAACTGGATTTTCTATGCTATATTCACTAGAGAGGTACAACATTCCGCCATCCTCAGCTTCTTTGTCTCGTTCTCTGAGGTCTGTCGGAGAGGTATGTGGTCAATATTCCGGGTAGAGAACGAACATTGCACGAACGTCCTTCTTTACCGAGCGTCGCGGGATTTGCCCCTGCCATATGAAATTCCGTCTCAGGCACCTCATACCACTCCTTCCCAAAATGGTCTCCAGTCGCAAGATGTACAACTCGAGAGTCAGCCAGCGGCATCACCGTTTGTTGCTTCAGGTGAGCTTGAGCAAGGACCGCCTTCATCCGGGAGACAAACTACTCGAGCTCGACGCCCATCGTTGGCAGAAGGCATGTCACGTGTTGGAACAATGATGGCTACTGCCCATGCTCAAGATTTCCAGCGCAGAAAGAACCCGGATCCTGTATCCGGTGGCAGTCCCTTGCAACAGGAACAGGGTGATGATTCCCATGACGACTCCAGTGACGGGTAAAGGTCAAAACCGGCCATGTTGGATGCTCCTTGCTTGCGTTCGGTAACGCAAGGGACCGGAATTCCCCATCAACTTGGAAATGGCCGTCGAGTCAACAGCTGAGGAACTGCCAAAAATCTCTTCTCTATCTCCCCCCTTGACTTGCTTCCCCAGGTACTTGACAAGTTCATCGGGCCGCTCCCGTTTCACATCATCCTCGAACACCCAAGGCGACCATTTTTCGTCACCGATGAGCAACTGATGGAGTTTGGCATCGAAATCGTTCATGGAGTTACCGATCTTTACATATGTCTAGATAGAATTAGGAGTATGGTTAGCAGGTATAACTCACATGGCTAACTAGAAGCATGCTTTACTTACAGTTTGATTACGAAAGCGAGTCACTCTAAGGTTCGAATCCAGCCTATTTCCCAAGAATATACTGCCCATGTACGCCTGAAGTTGCTTTTTTGTGGCCGTACGCAGGTCGGCAGCTGTCCCCGTGAAGTTGAATTGCATCTTGCGGATGAGTGGATGCGTTGGGAATTTTTTAAACCCAGCTGCCGCAACTTTACGAAAGTAATGATGCACCTTTTCTGTTGGGTCATCAGGACGCGGACAACTCGGCACAAAAAAATCGGGGCAGTCAGCCTTGCCGTAGCGACGTATCTCAAATCTAAGCTCCTCCCACATGGTCGCAATTGAAGCCAATTGAGTTGGCATTGATGGAGACTGGCTGGAGGAGAGCCTTTAGAGGGTTGATAATGGGGATTGTTGTGGGAATGGAGATGGTATTGCATTCTGGGGGACTTGAAAATATTTATATCCAGGGGATAATAATAGAATATGGAGGACTCCATGAAGTGTAGAGAACTCCATGAAGAGTGTGGAAAACACCATTATAGAAGGTCCTCACAGGCATTCATGGAGAATCCCATTAGGGGTGAAGAGAGCCCTTTAACCCTTTTATCTTTTATAGGGCTCTTAAAGCTTGTAAGGATGAAATATACTGTCAAGTTAGTGTGAAGCTGGGTATCCAGGGTAAGAATTTACTGTGAATGGAAATTATTGTATTTATTCCTGCTGTCTTCTATTATGACAGGGAATGCAACTTGACCTTCTTCCAACTCATTGGTACAAGATTTACCTTGCAAGCACAAGTGCACAAGTTACCCTGAATTGACAAGAGGTTGCCAGTTTGGACAACTCCTGAGCAAGACACGTACGAAGTATGGAAATACTAATTCTCAACTCTTCTATAGTCCCAGAAATCAAATGCTGGTTACAATGTGCGTCTATTGTGAGAACTGACAGCGTCCAACATGGAGAGTCATCCCTGTAACTAGCCCTAATCCATCAACCCCACCGGAATGTAACCGGAATGTAACTTGAATGACTTGCCCTCAAGGCCCATCATCCGCAGGACAGGAAAGCGAAATAGGCAGGAGATTGTAAATAACACTGAACATCCTCAAAATATGAGGAGTGAACCACTCCCTATACACCAGAAATTCTGGAAGATGTTTGGCAATACAATTTTTTTCGTAACAGGCCACGATCGCACCCACGTACACAACCACACAAGCAGTCCAAATGCCGAGTCCCAGGAGCTTTGACTTGATAACGTTGCTGGATAGTATGATTATTAGGGAAATTACCATCACCAGATCCGTGTAGAGCCATGTATGCTTTGTCTGGGTGGTAGAGAAATACGTCAATAGACAGGATATACACATACGCGAATACACAGAACCCCCGACGTGGGAATTGAATGGGCAGGCATGGTAGGCAGACACTGATTTCTGAAGAAATATCACATACTACAGCATATTTTGAATAAAGCTGCAATTCGCGATACAGACATTTTGCGATTGTCTCATCATCGCCGACGTAAATTTTGAGATCTTCAATGTCACCTTGGTATAACTTGCGAGCCGTGGTGCCGCATACTCTGTGTTCCCCGTTTCTGGTAGAACGATCCTTGACAAAGATGCACAGGAACTCTTTAACCTGTTCTTCCTCCCAGTCCAGTTCCGGGTACGAGGAACGCTGGCCGGAGGTTTGGGGTAGGGGGGGCGTGTGGTGGAACGGGAGAATTGTGCGGGTCATCGTTTCAATGATGAAGTGATGTATGATTGTCAATAAAAGGAAAGATACATCCTTTCAGGACCTAAAGCCTTCTTATGTCTGGAGGACTCGGTGGCCATGGAGCTTTCCACCTAATTGACATGGAACATGTCGTGCATACGGAGAATACCCGATAGAACCAAGCCAATCCCAAAAATAATCAAGTACTATCTTTTCATATGAGCCTTACAACTCCCAGAAATTGTGACTCGGTATACTGTTTGCTCTAATTACCAGAAGATCCTCCGGGTCAACCCGGGAGTTAGGGCTTGGGAAGAGCGCACTACGAGAGACAGCAATCTTATTATTCGCAACTACACAGGTCACAGGTTTATAATTGAGGATGGAACAAAGAATTTTATAGTGTATTTCAGTTTGCTACTAATGATTCAAGTACCAAAGCACACCAGGTCAAAGGAAAGCAAAGCAGAACACATCCCTGAAAACATCCTGAAAAACATCGCAGGGATATCCCCAAAACTACTAAGCAAACCGTGTCCCTGTATAGTGTATATGATGTACACACACTATCCATCCCTTTAAATAGATGCCTGAAGCTATGGAAGTGGACTCCTCCGGTAGTTGTAGATGCATCGCTGATGGCTATGCTCAGCCTGACAGCATCCCGTTTCCGCGGCTCCACATGACTGCGCCACGTGATGTTCCACGACGTCACATGCCGCTTCTCGATTCCACGCCTCGAATCGACTACTGTCTTCTCCTTCTCTTGTCCTCCATCATCAACCACCTCTCGGAATCTATCGATATCTGCACTCTCGCAAGGAGAAACCACTTATAGGTTAATCCTCTGTGCTACACCATGGCTGCAAACGCCAGATACGAGCCAGCCCCTCAACGAGACTCATTCGAGGAACGAGCATTTACTCAACCGCCACCATCTTATCAGGCAACAGACGACAATGCACCGCGCGCTGAAGGAGACAATATCCCTGATGATTTCAAGGTACTCCATAGTTTTCCTAGACATGGGACTGCCAACATGATGGTTGTCGAGGATGGAGACCGTAACAGATGCTAACTACGTACAGTTCGGTGGTTCAGTTGCGGAGGCGACTCTTCCCATCCGCATGCAGTTTGTCCGCAAGGTCTATTCTATCTTGTAAGTCTAGCGATTTGTTCTCTGGGAGAGGGGGAGAGGGACAGAGTCTAAGTAATACTTTTAGGACCGTACAGATTCTCCTCACGGCTGTCATGAGCTCAATCTCGTTCGTTAGCGACAGCTACCGCTATTGGATTCAGTCTAACCCCTGGATGATGCTGGTGTCTGTTTTTGGCGCTCTCGGCTTCATGCTCATAACCTACTGGAAGCGCAAGAGCTACCCATCCAACTTGCTATTCTTGACTGCCTTCACACTTCTCGAGGCCTACGCCGTCAGCGTAGTTACGTCGTTCTATGATGCCAGCATCGTCGTTCAAGCCCTCGTCCTCACTCTTGGTATTTTCATAGCGCTAACGCTTTTCGCATGCCAAACCAAGTATGACTTCACCAACTGGATTCCTTACCTATTCGGAGCTCTGTGGTTCCTGATTCTGTTTGGATTCATGGCTGCTTTCTTCCCCATGGGCAGCACTGCCGAGCTCGTCTACGGCGCCCTCGGTGCTTTGATCTTCTCTGGATATATCTTGGTCGATACTCAGTTGGTCATGCGTCATTATCATGTCGAAGAGGAGATCGCTGCTTCTATCTCCCTCTATCTGGATGTTCTGAACTTGTTCCTCTCCATCCTGCGTATCCTCAACCAACAGAACAACAACTAAGCGGGTGGCTTGTCTCTTGACCCTGCAACTGGAGAGAAACAAATGCAACAGAGATAGCATTAACTCTATATGGGTCATTGCTCAGTTGGGAATGAAGCTATACAGCTTATCGCGAATTTGGGTTAGGTATCCGGTGGAGGATATATTTCAGAGTTAAATATCCTATTCGCAGCAGGGAACTTTTATATTCGTTCATGACCGAGAATGTGATGGTCTTTTGGACTCGCATTTTCCCTCATTCTGGCGTTTTCCCCCTAATTAAATACGAGACAAAGGCTTGCATATACATATCACTGTAATTCTACTTTCTGTTTTTTGTTGCGTCGATGCTACATCAATAATTAAATTGGAAACCCCATACTATCTATAGTCTTTCTGTATCTTCCAAGTCAGGTTGAATAGTCCATAAAATTCGCAGCAGAACCCACCCGTTTTCTACCTATCCCTGTATAGTTAAGAATTCGGTGTAATATGTCATACGTCGTCAGTTCTTAAAGTCATGTATCAAAACAAATAAATCAAGAAGCCAATCCGAATACAATTCCCAAGAATAACAAGAACATCAATTATAACAAATAGCTGCGTTTTATGTACCCTGAACCATAGAAGGATAATATATCACTCGTATTCTCAACAATACGACATCAGTTTTCTGGGCGTTAATTGCTTGAAGCTTGAACTATGACACGAACATTTTGAAGCAGAGCAGAGCAGATATTGGAGCAACACGACAATCAAATACTCCGAACACCGGTCGCGATGAACATCTAAGGGAAAGAAGAGGATAGCCGAAAAAAAAAAAAACTCAGTGAGAAGCAATAAAAAAAGTATTCGTAATCAAACACACAACCATGACTACGGCGCCGTACACTGCGAGAGCCAGACTTAGCTTACGCAGTAGGACTCTGCGCCAATGACGTGTAGCGCGATAGAGGATGCCGCTGTCTGTGAGAGGTCGTCTATCACCGTCGTTATTCTCATCATTTTCATCACTAGATGGAATGTCGTCATCTATCGCTTCGTCATCTTCTTTCATTAGTCGCTGGTGAAGAAGCGAGTCCGGAGAAGAAATCTTGTAGTAGAACAATCCCGGAAGGATAAAACTGATGCTCGTGCTTCCCGTACTGCCGACATATGCAAGCACGGCTTCAAGAGAGGACACTGTCATAGCGACGATGTAACTCAAGATAAGAATTGTCGTAGTGATGATGGAAAAGCGCGTCTCGCTCATCGCTTCCACCGGGCGGTTTCCACGCGGGCCTAGAAGAGGATGGCGATGAGGCGAGCCCTCTCGGCTGCTGTTAGATGAAGACTTAAGCCTCCATTTCAGCACTGCATCGACGGAGGCCCGGCACGGATGACACTGAAGAGGGTACGAGAACATAACGAGTATAACGATCGCAGCCCGGCCAATGGTGGCATATAACCCTGGTGGGTACATGCTGACAATGTTTCCGCCAACTTTATCTCCGAACGAGAGGTATCCAGTAATAGCAACGATTATGTAGGTAGCAGCCGAACTTCCGATACTTGCGAAAACAACGCCCGTAGTTCGAAAGTGGCTGTTATTGGCGATTTCGTTTAGCACCGAGAACATCTAGTTGCATGGTCAGTTTGCGATTAACAAACGGTGAACGGCCCAAAAATTCATACATTTTGGTGGCATGTAAAAGCGAAGACAATCACCGGGAGACTGCTCAAAGCCGGAATAGGACCTGCCCAGCGAAGAATGCGAACCTCGCCTCGATCGGCCATGGTGTCACCCTTGATGAAGTGATATACAACCAGGACCGCCAAGTAACCCATAGAAATCAACGCAGCAATACTGGTATACTTAAGAGAATCGAGACGTCGAAGATAAGACAGAGGAATCACGATCAGCCTGGCCGATGTGTCAGTGATCCCTTTCTTCAGAGCGGCACAGATATACGCACATGAAGGCAGTGACCCAAAAATGCCTGTCCATCAGGAAATCATAGGCCGGTGAGTCACCCACAAAGCCTTGAACTACTCCTGGCATCAGATCTCCTATAATGATCAGATAGCTCACACCAACTCCGAAACACTTTATAGCGATAGCGGCGTCGAAGATGACGGCGGCATTCGGATAGGTGATTTGCGAAAGGGCAAAGAACGAGGCGGTACCCCTGTCGAGATACTGTGCACATCGCGACTGAAGGTAAAGACCGAACCCCGATGTAATCCCTGACCATAGTATCACGCAAACTCCGAGAACGATTCCCATATGGGCCATGGCAAGGGGCATAGCTAGGACACCGGCTCCGATAACTGATGACAGCAAGAACGATTAGAATCGCTCTGGGAGAACGGTCGACGATCGATGATATTCTGACTTACTTGTATTAACAAGGTTGATGACGCTGCTCGTCCAGCTAGCCTCTCCAGCGAACCCAACATTTCGCTTCAGTCTCGCACTGCGCCTAGGAGAGATGATTCAGTAAGATTCGGTTCGGTGGCGGATTGAAGGTGTGTCTGGAAGAGGTGCCTGGAGAACAGGAAAAGGGAAAGATAATGAATGTGTAGGTACCTTCTTGATGGATTTCGGGATCCCCCAAGGGTACCAACGCCCACAGATGCTTCGTCGTCCAGCATGGTGGAGATAGCGACGGGGTGCCGTGGTGGAGATAACGGCGACACAGAGATTACGTGTTCTGTTAAGGAATGGCCAACACTAGAGAGACGGTTATGACACTCATAATAGCGGACAGAAGTAGATAGACAAGACAGAGAGAGGGGCAGTTGAAGAAAAACGATTTCTGCAGAGGGAAAGAGGAAGAAGAAAGAAGATTATAATTCGGAGACGATGTTGACAGTCCAAGCCCGGCTTACGACAGTCCGCCATTTAGTGATCATCGCTATCTAGTATCTACAGCCAGTATCTACAGCTTCGACATCCCCCATCCTCTCTGCGACAAGATCCCCACCACTTCTTCATCGATCACTCTCGTGTCTGACGCCGTGTTTCCTGCCCGTTTCCCTGGTCCTGGGTCATTGAATGCAGTGACTTCCCGCACCGTCTTCGATACCTCCAGGATGCTTCCTCCCTGCACTCGGAACGAGCGTCCCTGTCCGCTCTTATCGCCAATCTTCTCGCTGACCTCGTCTTGCTGAATGAGAGCCAGCATGACCTCTGATACCTCCTCCGGAGTCACCCACTCGTCGGATTTCTCGTCGATGATCTTGAGCTTATCCGGATTGTCTGTCCACAGAGGCGTCTTGATTACACCCGGTGCCACAGCAGTGACACGAATTCCGAATTTGGTATCCAACTGGGCCAACGATCGCACCAGGCCATTGATGCCGTGTTTTGTGGCGACGTATATCGGATGGGCGAAAGCAGGATTCTGTCCGGCAATGCTGGAGATGTGGATAATGTGCTTGCGTGCCTTGCCTTTGCCTGCTCCATGACGAAGGAAATGAGCAATTGCCATCTGACTGGTACGGATCGGGTGGACAAAATTGATGTCTATCACGGCATATCTATCCCCAGTCTGCGCGTCGCGGCTCTGCGGAGTCCCTGGGGGACGCCAGAAGTTCGACCAGTTCTGTTGCCCCGACAGTCGTTTATCAGCGAACAGCCTAGCTACCGCGACGTTTATAGATATTGTCCCTCGACTCTCGATGTTGGAGAAGGGAAACAAACATACCGGTTCGTAGATGCCAGCTCCTGGGCAGACAATATCGAGCTCCCCGAATTCCTTTTCTGCAACCTCAAACATTCTCTCCAGCTGCTTCCAATCCCTGACATCGGTCTTTTGGAAGACAGCCCGCGGAGCTCCTGCAGAGTGTTTGTCGACAAGCACCTGTGCCTCTGGACGAAGACCAATGTCCGCAATGAGGACATTGCATCCATTGTCAAGTAGCAGTTTCGCGAAGCTCAGGTTGATTCCTGTCGGGTTTCGAATTAGCAGGATCTCTATATCTACCGTATAGACATATAGACGAGTGGCCGTTACCTGAGCCGGCACCAGTGACCAGGGCAGACCTTCCCTTGACTGATAGAGTCATTTCCAAGGATCAACAGCAGTTATCTACTAACAGCGAAAAGCCAGAGACTCAACGGGGAAGGGAATCCCCTCTCCCTCTTGTGGAGCCTATATATACACTCCTGTCACGACTACTACTGCTGCTGCTCTCTACGATTTAGGCAAAATATGAGGGGAACTGGAATCCATTGCGGGGTTGGTTTACCCCGAGGGATCACTATGTATTGCGGAATTCAACCGAGCATCCGCATGTCTACGTAGGTGGTACAATGGTGTCTGCGATGGTGTATTACTGTATCTGTGGTGGAGGTTCTGATCCTGCTAGGATTGAACAAGCCCACGTTGGTCAATGTCACTGTCGACTCTCATGGCGAACACCACAATAGAGTCACTCGCGTCTTGGCCCAAGCAATATCCATTGAACTTAGAACCAAAAACCGAAGAAGGCCGCAATCCAATCTCACTGAATTACCCGAGCAGCCATGCCGTGTTCCTTTCTCGGTAGATTCGCTGTGGACCATCGGCGCTTAATATCGACCCATGACTCTCTCAAGTTTCTTCCACATCAGTCGTGAGCGCTGTTACTTCATCAAAGCCACCTCCACAGATATCTCGGTGTCTCCCAGTCTGAGAGTTCCCAGCTGGCTGTAACTTGAGATCTGAGCGCGTATCGCGTATTGCCGACGGGGTTGGTTGTGGAAACTCCACGAATGTATTTGAACCGAACAGATCCTGACAGGAAATTGCTTTGTCATATTTCAGGCTGATCGCCGTGTAAAATCTGCTTGGGTGTAGAGTTCTGGTAGCTAATCGCTTTGTAGAGCGTAGCTGAAAGTGGGAAGATGTCGTAAGAAGCTAAAAAAGCTAGACCACCGCCTACGCATCAACGCCATGATACTTTAATAACATCCCAAGAACAGCTATCGCCTCCCCGTTTCCCCCTCAAATGCCCGTGCTAGAGCCAAGGTAATAATGCGGCTACAGGCGGCGCTCCTTCTGCTCGCCGCGTGTGTTTCTTCTACGTGGGCTATCTACCCCGATGAAGTCGACCAGATCGACTTCCACCATGCACTGCTAGGTGTCCCTTCAACCCATTCAACCTTCTTCCACCGGCCTTCTGCATCCAGTGCCTCCCTTCTCTACACTCTATCCGAGAAACTTATTTTAGGTGCTGTCAATCCGAAAGATGGGTCGATTGTCTGGAGACAAAATCTCACAAAGCTATCGCTCCCTGGACAGGGTGCGGAGGGTTTCCTGCGTGCGAGCGATGGGTCTGATGCCGTCGTGAGTGCGGCGGGTGGATACGTATCTTCTTGGAGTGGATTGGATGGTAAATTGGTTTGGGAGAACCGGTTTACGGATGGTCCTGTCGCGGATCTTGAATTGTTGGAGCTGGATGACCCCAGCGCGGCACCGACGACCAGAGATGCCATTGTGCTTTTCGGTGATAATGCCGGTTCTGGTAGTGTCAGGAGGCTCGACGGCAGCTCTGGAGGTGTAAAATGGGAGTTTAAGGATGACAGGTTTGACTTTCTCTCGTTGGAAGTGTAGCTTGTGTGGTGCTTTCTGTTTGCTAACTGTTTACTGCTGTCGAAAGTGACGATATCCCCTTCCAGGTGTCATCTTCCCCCACGGAAATATTCTACATCTCGCTACAATCGTCTTTATTGAAAGGATACAAGATCAAGGTGACATCCTTGGATGTACTGACGGGTCGACAGACCCAACAGCATATCCTGAGCTCTGATAGCGATGTCGCTGGTCCCGAGTCTATCCTCTTCACTGGCGCTAATACTGCCTCCCCTCTGATAGTCTGGTCGGACAAATCTCGCAAAACGCTGAAGATAAATGTGCTTGGCTCCAAACGGGTGAACTCGGTCACCATTGGCAACGACAGTGGAGAGGAGATTCGGTCCATTATGGTCCATGCTCCCCGTCAGCTTAACTCACTGCCTCATTTCCTTGTTCATTACGAAACGGATTCGAGCTCCTGGGCGGAGGTTTTCCATGTCGATCTGAAGGCGGCTACAGTGTCGATGGCTTATCAGCTGCCCCGGGTGCAGGAGAAGTCTGCTTTCGCTACGAGCAACAAAGATGCGAATGTGTATTTCACTCGTATCACGGAATCTGAGACTGTGGTCGTGTCTTCTGCTTCCCACGGTATACTCGGACGCTGGAACCACCAATCGCCCCTGTCTGGTCGTGCGTTGCACACCGTGTCAGAAGTAGTAACTAAAGGAGATGCTGTGGCTGTACGGTCGGCTTCTGTTTTGGCTTCTGGCGATTGGCAACTGATCCGAAACGGCCAGACAGGGTGGATCAGACACGAAGCCTTGGCTGGAGCGTTGGCTGCGACCTGGGCAGAGTCCGCTGATCGAGAAGAGCTTGTTCATGAACTCGAGGTGGAAGGCCATGGAAGTCTATATGGTGCCTACATTCATCGCGTCAAGCGCCATATCAAGGATCTTCAATATCTCCCAGATTGGCTACGTGAATTACCGAAACGTATCATCACGAGTTTCATTACTGATGAAGTATCTAACCTCAACAACTTTGGGGTTTTCAAGTCCATCATTGTCGCCACGGAGAATGGACGGGTATTTTCCATTGACAGTGGAAAGCATGGCGCAGTTTCCTGGAGTGTGAAGGCCGTGGAGACGGACAAGTGGAATGTGAAGTCCATTGTTGCTCAGCCAGGCACAGCAACCGTCTACGCGGATGATGGAAGCTCGGTAACTCTGAACGTTACTTCTGGGGATATTGTTGCACGTGATGCACCATCTATGAAGCTCAATTCTATCGCCGTCATCGACCAAGAATCTACGCCAGTTGTCATTGGTGTCAAGGAAGATGGCACTCCCATGAAGCCGTTGGATGGACCTGGGTTTCTTATCACACTGAGTACGGACGGCCGCGTTGTTGGTTGGAGAGCAGATAACAACCAGTCTCCTGTTTGGGAGTTTGTACCATCCCAGGGTCAAAAGGTTATCCGTGCCACTGCCCGGCCCTCGCATGATCCTGTCGCCTCAATCGGAAAGGTACTAGGTGACCGGTCGGTCCTGTACAAATATTTGAACCCCAATCTTGCTCTTATCACAGCAGTAGGCGATAGCTCTGCTACTTTTTACCTTCTGGATGCCATCTCTGGGAAGATTCTCTATGCCAGCACCCAAACCGGTGTCGACACTAGCCAGCCGATCGCCTCCGTAATATCGGAGAACTGGTTCGCTTATTCATTCTGGAGCGATGTGTCTGATACATCAGATGCGAAAGGCTACCAACTTGTCATTTCCGAGCTCTACGAATCCCCGGTTCCTAATGACCGCGGGCCCTTGGGATCCTCCTTGAATTATTCCAGCATCTATGGCGTCGATATGCTACCGGAGCCACACGTAATTTCCCAAGCGTACATCATCCCCGAACCCATCTCCCACATGGCCGTCAGCCAAACTCGGCAGGGAATCGCCACTCGTCTGCTCCTCTGCACACTTCCAGAGTCGAATGCTATTATCGGCATTCCTCGACCCGTCCTAGACCCCCGAAGACCAGTCGGACGAGACCCCATCCCTGCAGAGGCAGAAGAGGGCCTCTTCAAGTATAGTCCTTTCCTCGAATTTGACGGAAGGTGGTTCATCACACATGCCCGAGACGTGACTGGTATCAAGACCGTCCTGTCTAGCCCGACACTTCTGGAAAGTACGAGCCTGATCTTTGCATTTGGCGGAGATATCTTTGCCACAAGAGTGACTCCTAGTCAGGCATTCGATGTCCTGGGTAAGGGGTTCTCGAAACTCCAACTACTAGTTACGGTGGTGGCATCGGGCGTTTGTGTGGTGATTTTGGCGCCGATGGTAAGCTTTTCCTTCTGCTGAAAAGATATTTTCCCCTGAGATCAACCTTGATGACTGACTTCCTATACAGGTCCGGAGGAAGCAAGTCAATGCACTGTGGAAGGCGTAAATGGCCGCGTTAGTTGTTTAGTTGTATTATCATTGAAATACGGAAGAATTGTTATATCTTGCCAAAGACATGTTTCGATAATCGACACCGAAATCATAGACAATGTGTCTATTCCCTGTTGCACTATATTTAGCCGATATGCTGATTCTCAAGACGAGCGAGATCATGTAATCTAATCCACATTCTCCAGCCACGCTTGATCCTCCATCCCGAACAACGGAGTCTGGGAGTCGAATCCAAGATGTTGAACGACATCCTGCAGCTCAAGTCCCATACTGGAATCCGCGCTGAATGAAAACCCCTCCTGGGTAGACGGATAGTGAATATCAACGACCCTCTGCCACATCATCTAAAAACTATTCAGACATCGCCCGACAGACGGACTGAGATGCCCGTGTGCGCTGAGTACGGATACGGCCATGTTCCATGACTCCAGAACCACAGTCGCGAAGACGTCAGGTCTCAGCATGGCCGTTATTAAATGCTGCATGGCCACGTAGAGGTAGAAAAATACGATACCACCACGGTCCTAGTATGAGTCCGACTCCCATCCTACTGTCTGATCGCGAGCACTCCTAGATCAGGGCGATGAGCTTCTGTGCGTTTTCGACGCAGAGTGTGGCGCATGTTTGTATGATACGGTCGCTTAGGCCCTTTTCGGTTGACGGGAAAGCTTCTTTCTGCGTTTGTAGATGCGATAGGCGAAGCAAGCCATCATGGGTCTGAGGAGTAGGATGCGTGTATGCGCGAGACTGAGAAAGAAAGCGAAGGCTTCAGTTTAGCTTGTGTCCTGGTAACGAGAACTACTGCGGTCAAGCAGGCAGACTCACCGGCGATGAAGAAGCGATCGTCTGTCGAAGAGATGGGCAGTTTCATAACCAGCAGCATTGAATGATGGGATGGCAGGAAGGCTGCTCACCAACGCAGTCAGATATTCATCGATTCGCATAACAGCGCTGGGCTCGACGTGTGTTGTTGGCCCTATCAAGCCCAGACGCTCTGGCAAACTGCTGCTGGCGGGCACTTGAGAAAGACTGATATAACCGGCGATTTTGGTCAACACGTGCATTTTCTCTGAGACTCGCGCGACGGTCTCACCGTCCAAGTCTGGTGGATTTCTGTCGTTTCGAAGCGAGTCCAACGAAGGCAAGGGTGTGATAGGTATCGTGGAAGGCCGTCCAAGCGACCAGGAAAGATTTCTGTGCTAGGATTAGCCTGACGAGAGGCCTACGAATGCAAGAATTTCTCTCTATACCTGTCCATGGAGACGCACTGCTGCCACACGTCCCGCGTCAACCGGTCCCCATCCCAGTCAAGGCCAATCCTCAGGGCAATCCGGACCGCTGAACCAAGTGTCATCCACGTCTGCTGCAGATTCGTGGTGCACTGAAGATATCTGGTTATAAGAAGCAGGCATTGAACAACCTCCACCGAGCCAGCTTGCCAGAGGACGATGTCCGGACGCAGCAGACGCCAGGCTCGCTCGAATAAAGTTCTGCTGGCACCATCTCGCTGGTCCGAAGGAATCGACTCCTGTAGTTGAGTGGGCAAAGCAAATACAAGATTGAGCGTGCACGGGAAGATCTGCTCATCGCACTCCATCTCTGTGCCCGAATAGTGCTTGGTAGGCGGCACAGAAGGATGTCCGGTCAAACAGCGGTTCCAGAGGTTCCAGACATCGCCAGTACAGGCTGGCCAGTTCGTTCGCATGCTTGCGCGAGGGAAGCACATTCTCCGCAGGATTTACGCCGCCGCCATTGACAGCATCCGGGAGAGAGAACGAGCCAAATAACGGTGCATCCGTCAGAGGAATAGGACAGCGTTTCTTCGAGGACGGTAGCCCCAGTCTGGCATCAACGGCAGCCTTGACTTCGGAAGCGAATCCTCCTTCATCATCGGGGTCGTGAGCTCCTGGGATGTCGACGGCATTGGGTTGCTCCGAATATATCTGGGCCGGTACAGCAGAAGTCGGTAGTTGTGGAGTGCTATTGCGGGCAGACGCAGGGATGTAGGTGTATGTCTCTCGAAGCGCTCTTTTGGCTTGACATCTTCCACACGCTGAAACCCCATTCATCAGCTTTTACTTCGAGGCTACGGGTGAGAAGACATGGAAGCACCTGGACGGAGACCGTCGCATTTGAGCTTGCACCGACGACAGGTCGTGCAGGCAAGGACGGCCTTGTATTTTCTGCGTCGCAGGACGCCATGCGCTAGTGACGCCGAGGATATCTCCAAAAGTTCGGCAAGATGGAATTAGTAGACAGTTGAAGATGGAGTTTTCCTGTACTGTCTCATTTTTGCTCTCTGCCAGGATTACTGTGACAGCCAATCGTTCGCCTTCCGAGCTGTGACTGTCCATCCCGAGCTGCAGGACAAAATCAACATCATATCGGCTTGCTGGATGCTTGCTGTAGGCTTCCGGTTAGCGGGAACGGTCTTGGTCCTTTGTGATTTGCCCTGTTGCTGTCTCTTGCATGGAACGACATGCCCTAGTATCCTCTCCGAACCACCGAGCAATTTACCCCTGGCAGAGAGACTGGACCTTCATAACGACGATGATGGGCAGCAATGCCAGAAAACCCCCTACACCCATGGCAACCGCATCACAATGCCGCCTCGAACCTGTCGATCTGTCCGATGCAGGCCAATTCGCCGAGATCCAAAGACAACGCCTCATATGTGGCTGGAACTATGACCCGCAAACCCTCCAGAAATGGAAGGCCAAACAACAAGAGGGCCTCAAGAACCTCTTCTGGATCACCATCCCCAACTCTTCCAGCAATGAGGAGAACAGCATCATCCGCACCGGCCACATCTCCCTCGACGCATACACTGATCCGCCGGAGCCCGATCTAGCCCGCGCAGACAAGTCCGTGCTCACCGTCAGTTCGTTCTTCATCCTGCCCGAGTATCGCTCTTACGGGCTGGGACGGCGCGCGATGGGCCTTGTCGAGGAACTAGCCGTCACGGAACCGTATGGTAGTCCGCGCTGTCGTTTTGTTACGCTCACGGGGCTCAGTAAGCGGTATGTATATGACGAAGGGCCGGAATGGAGGGGTATGTGGGCGAGGATTGGCATGACGCCGCCGTCGTTCAGTGTTCAGGAGTGGTATGAGCAGTTGGGGTATGTCAGTTGGAAGTCGGAGCCGCTGTACGAGGAGAAGGCTTTGAATGGGGAGGTGATTAAGCTGTGGGAGGCGTTTATGAGGAAGGAGATGGCTGTTAAGAATATGGAGTAATCTGATGGAACACCGAGAACTCATCGACTCTCGTGTCGTGGAGTAGTACTCGCAAAGCTAATGAGATCTGCCATCAATCCTAATTAAGGCTGAAGCTGAAGCTGATCACAGGAACAAATGCTCATCAACCAGGTCTGGACATATCCGAATTCAAACTTCTAGCCTGCAACCGTGTGTACATACACAATCTATTATACTTGATTAACACATGCAAATACAGATATATGGTACGCAGATGAACATCTAATGCAATACAGGATGGTAGAAAGGAAGACAAAAAACAATATTAAATCAGCGCTATGCTTGGTTTGCTTCAAGTGAAGGGGGAAGAACCAGAGGAATAATGAAGAAGTAAAAGAAAATATCAGCAGTCTATTGCCCATTCATGATACTGTCGTAGTGGTCTCGCTGTTGATGACCTCCGTCTCTTTCTCAAGCGGGGACTTGATAGCCGATTCATCCTCACCAGAGACAGCGGTAATGGAGGACTCAATGCTGTCATTTGCTTCGGCCTTGCGTTGTTCAGTCGTCGTCTCCTGTCCTAGTTGTTTCTCCAGCTGGGCAGGGGTATCCTTTGTCTCCACAGGAGCGGGCTCGGCAGCCTTGGATTCTTCCTTCTGTTCGGAAGGATTCTGCTCCTCCTTTTGAGGAACAGGGATAGTCTCTCGCCTGCTTTTTCCGTCGACAGTACCTAGGACCTCAATCTCCTTGCCCTTAAACAGGACCGGTCCCTTGATGAACCCGGGCTTAGTCTCTCCTTCGGCCGGGGCAGTCTCTAATGCACCGACCAGTTCTCGTGCGGGTTCATCCAGGTTCGGCATGTCGCCCCATTTCCAGTCTAGTTCACCGCCGTATTGCTTGGGGATGCTGGATGGGTCCATGAAAGAGGTCAGGGTGGGAGTGACTTCTGAGGCGGAGAGGATGAAGATCTTTGAGGTGGTGACTGGGTCGAACCAGCGTTTAATCCAGCCCCAGACTGTTGGGAAGAAGGAGGGTGCGCCGATGATCTTGGTTATATCAGTATCAGAACTAAGGATCGGAATAAGTAAAGGGGGCCTTACGAAGATACGATCCAACGTCTCTGGATAATGTGCCGTAGCCAACACACTCGCATCCTGCATGTGTCCCTTCAGATTCCAAAACTGCTTCAGGCCAACGCCGCTGACATCAACAATGTTATTTGACGAGACGATAGGGGTTTCAGGGTTCGGACGAGGCAACGCCGAGCACAGCGGCATTACGAATCGGAGGAGGTTCTCGTACAACGCGAAAAGACGAAGAAGCCGCCCGGGCACGGTGGAGGACTTGTGCGTCTCCGACGTCATCGTACTGGAGATGCTGGCATTATAAGCAGCCATGTTTTCCCTGTTTAGATCTTTGATTTCGAAAACGTAGACGGGGATACCACGGCGATCACGGCGGCCGGTCCATTGGGGATACTAGATAATATGCGTTAGCAAGAATATCCCCTTGCCCCTTCGATGTTGTTCGGACAAGAGAGACGCACCTTTCTTCTCGACAGCTCGTACGACTCGACATCGATATTCTCATACAGCGTCTCGATAGCATTATCCTTCCGCCAGTCCTCGGTATCCTTAAACTGACCCCAGGCACCATCAACATCGAACTTGCGAGCACGAAGAAATCTCCTAACTCAGAAATATTAACGTTAGCGACAACAACTGAAAGAAGAACGTTGGGAAGAGAAAACATACAACATAGTTGCATCATCATGACTCGGGCCCCCCTCCTCACAAGAAGGCTTATAGTATCCCCTCTCCTCACAAACCTTCTTAAACTCGACAAACTTCTGTTCCTGCTCCTCCGTCAGGTGGTTTAGGTGTCCCGCAAGCCATGCCTCGCTGGCAGCATGAGAAGCGGCCGCGACGGGGTCGTTCTTCTTCATATCCTGCTCGTGCGCGAGATCTTCATCCTCGTGGCTGTGGTGCGACTTGTGGGTTTTTGATTTGAAGAGGGAGAACATTGTTGCTTTTGCTTCTTTTGCGCTGATTTGTGTCCTCTCTTGCCTCGCGCGTGCAGTGGTTTCGTTCTGCCTTCGCCGTTAGGGGGTAATTTTTTAAGAAGGATCTATCTGTTCGAAGGAAGGATAGAGTGGCTTTAATCTGGTTCTTGGCGGTGCTGAGCTCCGCAAGCCCGCCACAGAGTTGGTATGCTTGGGAGAGGTAGATGGATGAAATAAATGATGGATGGATGGGGGATAAATTAAAATAGAAATAGCAATGAGATTAAATTAGACTCGTGTCGGGAATTTGTCCACGGGAATTCGTCCGCAGGGCTGAATCAATGAATCAAGATCCCCGTCTCCGATGCAAATAATATGACATAGTGATGCATAATATATATACATACTTACATTATTACTTACTTAAGACTTTGCATTCAGTTATTAATTAACGAGAATATTGTTCTTTCCATTTCTCGCTTTGATTTAAATTACTTTTGTTTCCCTTTTTTGTTTTTTGCAGTACCCTTATGAACAGCGGTGAAGATGAGGGCGAGGGCCATTAATAGAAGAAACAAGTACAATAAATGAGTAGACAAACGAAAAAGAAACATGGTGGGAAATCTCAAATATCCAGTGCCTGTACAAATACAGAGAACCCTCCGGATAGGGCCCTAGTGAAAGAAGCATTTGAAATGGAGGTAGTACACCATCAGTCTAGTCCTCCGTCAAATCCCCATACTCCCACATGCCCTTTCTCTCCTGCTTAGCCTCTTCCTCGAGGGTCCGCAAGTGCGCTAGGGTATCCTTGGCGGAACGTTCCCACGCCTTCAGCTTCCTGGGCACCATGGCGAGACCCTCGCGGGCGACATCGGCGTTAATACTTTGGTCCAAGTTCTTCGACACGGACGGGTCCAGCAGGGTGATGTGCAGAGTGCCTTCAGGAGAAATATAGTCCACGTTCGCCACGAGTTGGCGGTCATAGGTCTGCTCTTCAATGAACCGGACGGCGTCGGCTAGATAGTCGCCAGAAGCAGGGAACTGCAAGAACGAAAGCACGGCGTCCACCGCCTGCGGCCGGAGTTTCTGGGTGGAGAACTGCGGCTGCGTAAGAGGACGGAGGTCAGACCAAGGTAGGGTCTCAGCATTGCCGAAGTCAATGTACACCACTTCTGCTTGCTTCTTCTCGCGGTCGTTGCGTCGGATCCTGGCTCGGTACCATTCATTGTCTTCTGTGAATCGGGCCGCGACGAGATCACCGGCCTTGGGAGCACCGGGGAGTGGAGTAGCATTGGCCTTATTGAGGTGGAACTTCCGGAATTCGCTCATCAGCTCAGTCAGAGCAGACGTACCGGAGCCGATTTGCTGCACCTTGAGACGTGCACTGGTGGGGTCGACGAAGGTGAGCATGACGTCGCGGTAATCTTTGCGGCGTTGAGGAGCCTGGCCGTTGCCCGTCTCCGCCGACGCCTCTTCGTCTGCTTCATCCTCCTTGTTAGGATCGTAATGGCGCCATAGACCCTTGCGTGCAGCCTGAGCTCTCTTTTCCGCAGCGAAATACTCCGACGCATGACCGGATTGCTCAGCGGAGTACTCATGGACAGAAGCCAATCCTTCTTCTAGAAGAGCTTTTGCAAAATTCTGTCCGTTCACATAGAGAGTACCGATGAAGCCGCCAACCTTGTCTAGGGTCTCAACGTCAATCTCAACGTCACGCTGCATGCACCTTCTATTCGCAAAATCGTGAGCTTCTTGGCCAAAGGGCTCCGATTTTTCTTCGGGGTTACGAGCGGATCGGGGAGTATAAATCCCAGAAAGAACAAGAGTCAACTTGGCATTTTCCCTGGGAATAAGTAAACTGAATCGAGATCCAGACTTAACGTAATCGACGATGGCAGGAACTCGCTTCCGGCGTTGGAGAACGGAAATCTCCATCTTGGCTGTTCGCAGACTCTCCGAGTAATCCCGGTACTGCTGCGCCTTGGGTGGTTTAGATGACCACATTCCTTTGCCTTCGTTCTGGGCAGTCAGTTCTACAGCCAGCAGTGCGTCGTAGTCGGGGGACCGATCCTCGTCGTCAGCACGATGACGGATCACAGATGCATAGCCAGCTTCAACGAGCGCCAGGGCGATGTTGGTGTTTCCAAGGATAACTGTAGCGACCTCCCTCTCCTCGTATCCCTCTGTTGCCGGCTTCTTGCCGTTGATAGTAACCTTGACGTGCTTCCCAATGAGCCTCTTGCGCACGAACTCCTTCGCGTCAGCTCCGAACGGTGCCTGACTGGGGTCTGACGGCTTGGGCTGTCTGATGCTACTGAGGCTGATCCTCTTCTCATTACCGCCCTTTTCTCTAATGAGGATGGTGTCTGCAGACACTACACGGCTCACAACGTAATCTGTCTCGGTTGCCCCAGCAGCAGGGCCTTTCGGAGCACCAAGCCCCGCGAACACACCCTTCCTAGCATCCCTTGCGGTTCTTTCTGCCTGTCGGAAAGTGGCCATGTTGGGGCCGAGCAAGGTAGAATGAAGGTCATTGCAGCGAGCCAATCCGGCTTCCAGAACGAACTTGGCGATGTTGCCCATCGGATGGAGGACCGTGGCGATAAATTGGCCTTGAGGCGTGACACCTAGCAGGGACACCTGCACCTTCCGCTGAAGCAATCTTTCTTCCACGTACTGCTGGGCCTCCTCTCCAAACGGCTCCGCAGGTTGCTCTGTGCCATCAGCAGCATTCACGCGCTTGGTCGCCGGGGCCCTGACACCCGCTACCGCAACGACAGTCTGGAGATGCTCATGCGGCGAGAGAAGCAAGCGAAGAAGCAGTCTGTCACCAGTCAAGACTTTCTCAACGATACCGTAGAGGGTCTTGCCCTTCCACTCCTTCACCAGGGCCTGCGGGTCCGACGTCTGATGAACAGTCTCGGTGCGACCACCTTCCGTAGCACCCCAGATACCCCGTTCTTCACCTCTAGCTATTTCTTCAAGCGCGCGGAGGTCGTCAATGAAGGCTATTATGTCGCTGGACTCATCGGCCCGCTTCCCTGCCTCGTCGCGGACACGGACCCAGCCTTCCTGGACGCATATTGCGGGCAAGGAGGCGTTGGAGCCAGGAAGAGTGATGGTACCGTATTCGCGCTTTGCGCCAGTTGAGACGGTGTATAGTATTTCGAAACGAACAACCTTGCCGACGAGGATCTCTCTGAGGAATTCGCGCGAGTGGAATCCAAATGGCTGCAAGTGAGGAGCAAGTCAGAGTAGCTCTAGCCAAATATATGTGCAGTGGATAAGACAAGACAAAAAGAAAACAAAGAGGCAAGAAAGTAAGACAAAGAATGCCCACCTCATCACCCTCCTTCCGTAGTCTCGGCGCTGACACATAAGCCAAGCTGAGAGTGCGTTCTTGTGAGGGATTGTGGATGTTCGACAGCAGCACCGTGTCGCCTGAAAGGGCGGATTTGACGCGAGCTTCTAAAACCATGCTTGTTTCCTACGCGCAAGGATAACGGAACGCAGAAAGAAAAAAAAAGGAATGAAAAGGATGAAAAGGTAAAAGGAAGGACAGGAAAGGATACAGAGAAGAGAAGCAATTGAGGTTACCAGGAGCAGACAGGAGGACTGGATCATGACACCTGGAGCTAAGCACTGTCCAGCACGTGAGACTGTGGGGGAGCCAAAGGCGGTCTGTGGACTTAACATATTCAGACTACATTTTACAACAGGAAACAGGAAACAGGAACGGATTAATTGCAGTCAAATTGCGCAGATTATTCGTGTCTAGTTATGCGAGAGATAGCATCATATCCAATTTTGCCATTCGCTACTTTTGTCCATGGGGCAACTCTCTCCACACATTATCCTGGACACCAGAGTGTTGCTGGCAGCGTATCTATGCAGCAATGCCGATGACACCTGTCGAGAATGATCAATATCAGCTTGTCTTTGTTTCGGTGCTTGTTAGACTTACCGCAAGCAGGACGGGGACCGGCGTTACCGGTCTTCTTGGACTCCTCGTTGCCGCCACGGCCGAGGTCGTCAGTACCAGCATGAACGACGAGGGTACGCTAGGGTAGAGTCAGTATAGCACGTCCATTCTTATGCACTCGGCTCTACTTACACCCAGGACGCTCTCAGCACCAATCAGCTTGATCAGCTTATCCTGCTTGCTGCCAACGGAGTTGCCCTCAGCATCGGTGGTGAAGTTACCGAGATCACCGACATGGCGATCCGCATCATCAGGAGCACCGTGGGTCTTGCCGTGGGGGTTGACTGAAGACATTAATCAGCAGGGGTAAACTTATTTCTCTTTCTCGGGTAAGGCAACGTACAGTGAGGACCAGCGGAGGTGCAGCCGTTAGTGTTGTCACCGAACTGGTGGACGTGGAAGGCGCGTTGAGCGTTGGCATCGTGGCCCTTGATGTTCCAGGAGACGGTGGTGGGCGCCGACTCACTGGCCTGCTCGAAGGTGACGGTGCCGGTGATCTTGGAGTCACCCCGGAGAACAGCAACTGGAGGAACTAGTCAGCCCTACGGACAGTACTAAATCATATGGATGGATGCCAGCAGGAATGGAATGCAGGGACAAGGCCAGGACAGCAGGATGATAGGCCCGGAAGAGACCCCAAGGTGCTCAAATCTGCTCATACAAGGTCCTCTGCCACGGTCGGCCGATGAAACCAGAGCAGACAAAATACAAATAAAAATACACATACCAGCCTTGACCATTTTGGACGTGATTCGGATAATATTCTAAGAAATATAAGGGAAATAAGGACTTTTTTGCAATTCAGCGAGGATGCTTCGAGACGGGAGAGGGGAGAATAAAAGAAGAGGGGAACTGACGGAATTGACGGGGGATTCGACGGCTTTCTCTGCTCTAGCTTGTTGGTGCTCCTCCCAGCAGTGTAATAACCCATAATAATAACAAATGCCCCTCATCGCTCACCATGACGTCTTTCCCCTCGCGTCTCAGTCGTGCGCTGCTGCGTATTCCTGGGCATGCCGATTGATAAGCACCGCGGCCTGGATTGCACCATCTACGCTATTATTACTATTAATGAACTAGAATGTCTTATTTCTGTAGTTTTCGTGCATCCTCGTCCAAATCATAACCCCAATTTACCAGACTAATGTACACTTGTCTATGCTTGGATCTTCGCCTTCAGCAGCTCCTTCAGAGTCACCGCGTCCTTGGCGAACTTGGAGATACCCTCCCGCAGCTTGTCCACCGCCATTGGGTCCTCGTTGAAGTCAAAGCGGAATGCAGACTCGTCGTTTAGGTAGCTAACCTTGGGAATGTCCAGGCTGGTCGCGCCCGAGGGGTCCAGCTTCTTGGGCACGGGAGCGGTCGAGTTGTACAGCTCCTCCAGGAGAGTCGGCTAGGAACCGGTTTTGATTAGCACGAATCAGGCAGAGTGCATAGAACATGTAAGGGGGAGGGGGGAATACATACCGAGATGGTCAAGTAATCGCATCCAGCCAACTCGGTGATTTCACCAGTGTTCCGGAAAGAGGCACCCATGACAATGGTCTTATACCCGTGCTTCTTGTAGTAGTTGTAGATGTTCTGCACCGACTTGACACCGGGATCCTCCGCAGCAGTGTATTCCTTCTTGTGGTTGGCCTTGTACCAGTCGAGGATACGGCCGACGAAGGGAGAAATCAGATAAGCACCAGCTTCAGCACCGGCGATGGCCTGCACCTGCGAGAACATGAGAGTCAAGTTGACATTGATTCCATGCTTGGACTGAAGGATATGTGCGGCCTGGATACCCTCCCAGGTCGAGGCGATCTTGATCAGGATGCGGTCCGGCGAAACACCAACCTCTTTATAGAGCTGTTTGTTGTTAGCGGTCGTAACAATCTAGCCATCATAAAATCAGAGACGAAGGTACCTTGATGATGTGCAACGCCTTATCAACCGAGGCCTTGGTATCGAAGGAGAACCGAGCATCGACCTCAGTGGAGACCTTGCCAGGGATGATCTTGAGGATTTCCTTTCCGAACTCAACGAGAAGACGGTCGAGGGTGGCATCGACCTGCTCGTCAAGGTTCTTGCCCTGTACAGTTGTTAGCAGGTTACAAAGAAGGGGGCAAAAAGTTACGAACAGTCTTCTTGCCATATTCAACAGCAGTATCGATGAGACTCGCGTATTCGGGCTTCTTTGAAGCCGCCAGGATCAAGGAAGGGTTGGTCGTAGCATCTTGGGGCTTGTATTTGCCGATAGCTATAGTTTTGACTGGTCAGAAAGCGCATCCTGTCGTGCTATGTGGCAGGTTGGTGTTATTAGAACATACTAGCAAAGTCACCTGCAATCGATTGAAACGGTAGTCAGCACGCCATGTACAAGCCGTAAAGTGCACGCCTCTACTATCGGAAACTCGAAACTCACCAGAGTCGCAGACGACGACCTAGACGCCCAGCGACGGTCAGCAAAAAAACATTCCCCAAGGTAGCGGGGTAGATAGAGTAGGTGGGAAAAGTTCTTACAGTGCCGGTTTGCTTGAGCTGATCGAGAGAGGAAGTCATTTTCGTTGAATGTGAGGCGAACACGGATGAACTTCAAGACAGACAGATGGGAGAGAGATGGATGCAATTGCAATTGAAGCTGGGGAGAAAGAAGAAGATGGCGGAGGAGACGGAACAAAGGTAGCTTAAGAGTGCTTGAGAGTGGCGACGATGCGGGAGGTCTGAGTGGGATATAGGTGGGGCACTATGACGCACTGGTATTCTGTTACATCTTTACAGACTATACCGCCGAAGGTACATACATTTCCATCTCCTCAGTATGCATGCATATAGCCAGCAGCTGGGCGCATTCGATGCACTAGAACCGCCTGCAATTCCGTGTCACCTACAGCTCCCATAATGACAATATTCGCTGAGTTCTTACACCGGTAAGTAATGCCCGGGGCAGAGTGCTCCGTCTGCGGTAATTTCCAAACCCTAATGCCAAGATACGGGGATCAACCCTCAAGGTCTGAACGCTTATTATTACTCCATCCAGCGTGTTCACAAGGCAACAAAGGCACGGTGGTCTGGATGCTTCCGTTTCTCTATGTTAAGCACGATAGTGTTGAACTACAGAAGTCGACGTAATCGAAAATTCATTGTACGAGAGCTGAATGTCGTCAGTAACTTCTGCAACTACACTGTACATTTGCTTTACGTGAGCATCAGTCATGGTTCTATAAGCCTTCTTTTCTAATAAAACCAAAGAAAAGACACGAAAAGAAAAGTGAAATTTTGTCCGCAAGCCCATGATAATTTATACGCCAAAAGCAAACTGCTCATATGTCTTCGTTAAAACTTTTATAATTCCCAAAAAAAGAAAAGAAAAGGAAAAGAAAAGGAAAAGAAAAGGAAAAGAAAAGGAAAAGAAAGCTGTACCAATGGCTGGCCGTTGGCTGGATAAAGAATTCTCTATAGGACATCTCAAGGGCGTGGGATGCAACTCCACTCGTACTGAGACGAAGAAAGGGTTTCGTTAGCAACATGGCTATATAAATACCACGAAACTGAAGAAAGAACTCACCACCCTGCCCATCTCGTCTCCCGTGTAAACGACGTTCGGAAGCGCCAGCACACAGCTGATCCCTGCGGAGATGTTCACACCATCGTCGCGGTTGCTGTCGACATGATGAAGTTGCCGGACAAGGTCTAATTCGAATCTCCCGCTGCGAATGGTCTTGCTCCATATGTTAACAACGCCTCTCCTGTGACCCGTGAAGAGAAGATCGCGCTCCAGCCATTCATCATTCACCCCTTCGTAAAACATGCACGTCAAAATCGGGTCGTCGGGCGCTTCATACACCGTCTCCTCTGCCAGCAGTTCCCCATTTAAGGTATAGAGACTGATGCGATTGCCACGGCAGACCATGATGTCCCCTGTCACGTCACTGATTCGGGCACACTGAACAGTGGTCAGTGGGAAGTGTCCATAAAAGCATGTTTGGGGGAAATGCTCACCTCCACAGTTCCGTTCGCTGGAAGTTCCCGGACGAAGCAGTGTTGGTTGAGGTCCCAGAGTATTATCTGGCCATCCACCGATGCTGACAGCAGAGTACTAAATGACCGTGAAACTGCAAGTACAGTGACTGGAGATCGATGTCCGAATAGAGAACATACGGGTTGCAGATCTACCGACTTCGCGCTTAAGGTAAATGTCCAGATGCAAATTGTACAGTCCGTGCCCGATGTGATGAGGGTTCGAGAGTCCGCAAAAACTGCGCAAGATAGTTGGCCGATATGCAAATGCTCAAAATGTCCAAGGAGCTACGGTAATCAGCCCTCGTGCTCTTAAACTTCTGGATGTAGAATTGATAAAACATACCTTCCGGCTTTCCGAAGAATAGAATCTGACGCTCCCATCAAAAAAACCCCACTCCATATACCTGTCGTAAAGAGGCGGGATGTTCAGTCGAAGAGCAGCAGTGCAGAGAAGACGATCTTGCTTCATTGAAAGCGACGACACTCTCTCCTCAATGTCAAGCAGGGCAACTGGAAGTTGCGTAAGTGACTCGGCAAGGTGGTCCAGCCGCGCAGCTCTGTGGTGCTTATCTTCTCTCGGAGGATGGGGTCGACTGAAGATCTGATGTGGTGTCTGCCCGAAGTTGTGGATAATACCAATAGTAGCCAACCGCTCCACGGGGTCGTTGATATTGTCGATGTCCTTGGAACCTTGGTAGGATAAATGGTGGAAAACGTTGACTGCTTCCTCTGCCGCTTCACCTTTCTGTTTGCACCCAAAGACCAAGTCGATCCATTGGTGTAGGTTTTGCGTCACGTAGGGGCTCTCGAGCGCTTCCCGGTGCTTTGCAATAAAGATCTTCGGATCGCCCTTAGCCCAAGGTGGTAGTTCCACTGAATCAATAGCTGTATTGTTCTGAAGAAGGCCAAAGTCGTATTTATTCAGGTTCATGAGGAACTCGGGCAGATAGAAGAACTCGGGGATAAGCTCTCTGACATCCGACATGTTTCCCCTTGAAGCCGACTCCCACGCCTTGCCCACAGAATAGAAGAGACGATCGGCGTGGTCGAACGTTCCACCCTGAAGAAGTAGATACGACTTCACAAATGGCTGCAGTCGAATGAGGTATGAGCTGACAATCATTGCAGAAGAATAGTGGGTCCCATAATGGAATGGCGGGGAATTGTCATCCCCCATTTCTGCAAACGCTCTGTAGCGTTCTCTGAAGTCGGCTTCACGTTCCAACGTTTGGCAACCCATCGGTTTTGACAAATCACGGAAAGTCCTGGGGTTTGTCAAATCCAGTTCCTCGCTCGTGTAATCGGCAAGAACCCATGGAAAGACAGGATACTGTGTCAGATCGTTAAAAGTTCTTCCCGCAAGTGTGTTCAACAGCATCAGATAATGGAAGTTCGATATTTCGCCCTTGATCCATTTACGTGTCACCGGATGTGCCGGCGAATGACCAAAGACGCTGGCAAACTTCGATCCGAGGGTCTGCGGTGCATCCTCCTGGCTTCGTAGAGTCTCGAATCTCCACGCATCTTCCGGTCGCAAGTGGCCAATGCTTCCGGTTATTTGAGGAGCCTTGGCTGCTAGTTGGGCATATAGATCATCTCGAATGCGCGAGGAGATGAAGGTTATCAAGTAGCTGCCCCCATCTGTGAAAAATATCTCGAGTGCCACATCGCGGAACAAGAAACGTCTTTTAGACACGCTGACCACGTCTGACCATTTCCAATTTCTTGTTTCATGGTCTTGCGATTTGCGTTCCACTGACTCCCTACCAGCAATCATGCGAACATATGGGTCTCGCTCCTCCGAGGGAGCTTGCCAAACGTTGACAATCTCCCCATCTGCTCTCTGAAAGAAGTTGTCTAGGATGTAAATTCTATCCTTGCCCAGGATCAAGAGACCTTCGCATGCTTCCAAGCCAATAACGCGAGACATATTGCAAACATTTTGGACTTGGTCGCCGCGATATAGGCTTCTCATGACTTTTCGATTTCTGTCCTCATAGTCTTCCACGTCCGGACTTGGATCATCAATCATCTCGAAGCTTTCCTCGAGAACTTCCTTATTATCCGAGTCAATAGCCTGTGGATGCCCATCCGCAGGTTCTGATGCCAGAACTGTTGAAGTAAGCGCCAATGTGTCACCATTAGACACGGAACGCACACGCATATCTATCTTGGGAACTGGGGGCTCCGAAGCCTTTCTCTTCGGCTGGTAATCTTGCCTCTCCCCTGAGTCATCTGGCACCACTCGTAGTCGCATCCGACTACGTCCTTCAGTGTGGTCGAGTCGCCACTTCTTCTCTTTCCGTTCAGCAAGGACACCCCCAAAACGCCGCAAGTCCATCGACAAATGTGAGAATGCAGACCACATGAATGCCGAATCGTCTTGTTGGTCTTGTAAGATCCTCTGATACTTCAAAAATTCGGATGCAGATATGTTTGATACCCAGCGGTTGAATGTAACCTCCTGCTTGCGGATCAACTCGTCACTGAATTTCTCGGCTTGCATCCACTGTTTCAATTTCTCCCTGCGTTTAGAAATTCTACTTCGCGCGGATTCTTCAGTACTGGAATTTTCTCCCTGCACGAAAGATTCCCAGGTCTTAGAGAATACACCAAAGAACAGGGCATCAAGATCGTCTCGTTGCTCATCAACCCATTCAAGGAAGGCAGCATCATCCAGACCAACGAGGGTCTCAAGACCGCCCGACAATCGCTTTCGCAGAGAAACCGTTGCTTGGCTCAGTATTGTAGACATCTCAGTAGGCTTCTGAACCAGAATCACACGCCATAGATTGGCCGCGCCCAGGCGAACGTCGTCATTGTCACTAATTAATTTTGTGTACAGCAAGTAGCATAGCAACTGTAAATTCTCTGACTGGGTCTCACCCGCTGATAAGAGCACCGCTTGCCAGTATATCAAACGACGGAGAACAGAAACACTCTCCGAATCATCAGATTCTGATAACTTCAGAAGGACAACGCGGAACAGGGTCGAGACGATCGTCGTAACAGCTTGGCTGCAGAGCCGGATGCTCTTTGAACGTGCCACGTCGGGCTGTTGAAGATACTCCAGAATAGACCCTGCAAAATCAAGCGTAGCTATTGCTCCATCTACAAACCAACCTTCATACACTGCTTCCCTTACCTGCGACACAAGCCGCCCTAAATTGTTCAGTGTTCGTGGTTCCCACAACAGCTCATTGTGCGAAAGTAAAGCGTCCTTCAGAGTTGAAAGCAGGTTTTGAAGCAACCAGGAAACAAAGTAAGCGTGGTCGTCAGGAAATGCAGGAGGCGCTTGAGCATAGAATCCCAAACCAGTAAAATCTTTACGCTCGAATAGGTGATCCGAGAAGACGGCTAGCACCAGCGACAACACACCCTTGACAATAGGATGGTCGCATATCGTCCCCTTCTGATCGATGTTAGGAGTAATCACATGGCGTAAGCGTGCAGAGGACGGTAGGTATTTTGCTTTATTTGAAGACACAAGGATGAAAGACGATCCACGTTTCAGAGGACCACCGTTTTCATCGCGTGGGCCTGACTCTTCGACTCTAGTTGTTCGCAATTCAGTTGCCGTATTTGAACGGGGACGAATGACGAGGCTATTCTCATCAAAGCCGAGCTCGCCGTCGCAAGAATTCAATTCAACTTCCGCGCTGGGTATATCTGACCCAACAACCACTGGAAACAGGATGAAAAGCAACTTTTCAACATAAATCGACTGAGCAGCGAAGTCGCGGAAATGCCGTGACTTTACATGAAGCTCAGCAAGAAATTCAACGACCGTTGTCAGGATTAGGATTTCTTCGGGCGTCTTGTTTGGTGGAATATTGCCTGCAGCAACTCGTGTAAGCCATTTGATGATGCGAAGGAAGAATCGTCAGGTATAACGTTTCTGAGTGTAAGAAGAAGAAAACGGAAGGTAAGGAGCCTTACCGACGGGGCCGAAGGAAGACATGGACGGCCTGGCCAACCGGTTCAGGCGTTCCTGTAAAGAACTTCGATCTACTTCATCTGTCTTTGGGATTTCACTCGCTAAGACTGCCTTTTTCAACCCGCTCTGCATCATTTCCGCAATGACAGAGAGCATCTCAGGAAACATGATCTTAGGTTCGCCTCTCAAGGAAAGTATGTGCAGTAGCTCAAAGCGGTCGAAGGGTCTGTCAATCTTCAAAAGCGCAACGTCTATTCCAAAGAGAATAGCGAAGCATACAGGCCATAAAGCAGGGATATTCCACCATCGCTTGAGGCGATATTGCATTATGCGATAACCTCCTGTTTTCTCGGCGAACTTTTTGCTATAGCTGCTACCATGAACGACAATCAAGCGAGCCATGATCTTAGTCGCAAGAAACACAATTTCAGGTTCGTCTTCGCACATAAGATATAGGAGCCACTACAAAGTGTCAGGATAGACTCAAAAAGAAATTTGTCCTCATCAATAAACAAACCTTGTTTGTAACAGCTCTGGCGAATTTCTTCAGCGGCATGGGATCGTCGGGGTTGCAGAGGAGAGAACAGTACATTCGAAGTATTTCAACCGCCAGCGTAGGGCTTGAAACATACTTCACAGGGTTTGAAGAAGGAAGCACTGATTGATCGGGTCTTGAGGCGAATCGAAGGCTTCGTTTCTTCTGCAGCTTTGCAGATGGTTTAGGCTTGTGAATGGCGTATGTTATGAACAGAGCCAGAGATCGGAGCAAATCTCCGGACAAGGAACTATCCAAAAGCGACCTAAAGGCAGATACGAAAAGAGGCAACGCATCCTGGGTAAATCCGTCTCCTTTCAAGGATTCTAGAAGCTTTTTGTTGACACCTGCAGTGAGTTAGCACAACGGAGCCAGCCACGAACATTCGGATGGGAGCCCATACGCATGCGAGCTAAGCGCTTTGCGTTGAAACGACGAAATTGGCTTTCAGCGGCAAAGGTAGTAAACTGAGAATAGTATAGTTGGAGGACAGGAAGATCGCCAAATCGCCATATGTCCAAATCCACAAGCAAGACCCTGTACGCAAGCGGATTTATGATAATGGAACAGTCAGGGCGTTGAAGGTCATAACCAACGAACTTGAGCGTTAGACGTAGCAGCTCGAGAGCCAAAGCAGACCGTTCTTCGCTGCTGGAACAAACAATGGACGATTTGGATGGCGTGGCAGAATTTCCCAAGGTAAATCCCAGTTTTTCTGGGAGCAGAGCCGCAAGAATTCCGTACCCATTATCTCGTTCCATTGCCTCGCTATTCCTCCAGTTGTCCTGCACTGCTTCGTAGAGCGTTTCAACTGCTAAGAGCATACATTCCGCGCTGTTGGCTGCTTGGACTAAACTCAAATGCACAGATGCACATCCGCCGATGCGCCAGCTCACGTCATCCAAAGACTGCGGTACTGAAACCACAGGGTCGCCCGTTAAAATCCCAATACCATGTGGCTGAGTTAAAGCATCGTTGATGGCGGGCGTCACACCATTTACAGCTATGGGGTTGCCACCAGCCTTTGTCAAATGGTGCAGGTTCTTCGCTGCCTGTTTAGACAAAGATTTAACAAGTTGAGACTCGTCGACATTGTTGGTGTCGTCATCGTCAAGAACACTTGTCGGTGAAATGTTGATCAAAATAGAATCTTCGCGAACAAGAGAGCTTGCTTTGCGACGGATAGCCGTGACAATATCAGAGCTGTCTTCTTTTCCAGCGTGTAGTTGCTCGTTTCTCAGGTTCAAGACCGCGGAAGCCTTATACGTTTGAAAAGAGCCTAAGCAATCCTGGAAGTTTCCATAGTAGCGAGGTCCAAGATTGTAGAAAACAGCAATAAGATCATCGCTGTAGGATTCATCAAATAGGATCGCATTTGCCAATGACCATCGCGAAGTTGAAACTCCCCGTCCAAGTCTCACTGCTAAATCTTGGGGAGTTCCAAAGAATGCCTGAACGCGCCGTGATTTGTCTATCCCGGCAGGCGCACATGGGTATTCTATTTTCTGCTGTTCAACGAATCTCCCGTCAATAAACAGAGCCGCTCGAGATGAGGAAGTGGGCCTGGGTCTCTTGTGTACCACGCAAATGTGGTACCACCGACGTGGTTCAAAAGCAAATGACTTGAAACGGACACTTGGACGAGGACCCCTAATCGAAGTTTGCAGGATGAAATGTCGAGTATCCTTTTCAAGGTACGCAAGCACAAAACAGGTCTGGCTGGCATCAAATGCCCCAAAGATAGTAGTATGTGTGCTTGAATCAAATTGTTCAAAGCGGGCCCATACTGCCAGTGTATAACCGGACGAAGCCGTCGACGGAAATAGCCGTCCTAGCGTTGAAAACTCCACTGAACAGTACCCGTGGAGAGACATATCAAAATGTATAGAAGGGGGTTCTTTCGAACATTTAATAGAATCGAGGAGAAATCGTAGAACATCGGAAGAATCACACGCCTTTCGATAGAGATCAACAGCATCATTCAGATTGCTCATACCCTGGACACAAAGCAATTGTGCAAGTTTATTGTAGAGAGACTTTTCATTCTCCGGGCGGTCATTGGTAAATAGAATGGGCAAGATTGAGGTTAGCATTCCGGTAGCATGTAAGGCTATGGTATTTCTTAAAGACTGTGAAGCAAGCTGATAAAGGCATGCAGGTAGTGCCAGTCTCAGCACTTCATTTTTAGAGGACGAAGACTGAATCAACCATAATCGCAGGAAGGGACCCAAAAATTCAGGTGCTTCGATTATCTCTGTAGTTCCCAAGCGCTTACCCACGGCCGTGAGGACGTCCTTCAAAGGCACTTGTCCTGCATTCCGTTGGAAGACAGCGGCCAATGTTGTAAACAGATCCGCAACTGTTTCCTGGCATAGCGCTGCAGCAAGGATGCACCCATAAAGTTGCTCTGTGTCACCCTCGGTATTATCTATTTTTTTGACAAGGGTAGCAAGTGCAGCCTCCAATACAGCAGTTCCTCCACCCGCAATCCTTTTGGCGAAGTACCGCTTATTCCCGAAATGGTCTCTCAAGCTCTCAGCCAAGACTTCCAAGACATCCTTGTAAAGGATCAGAAAGTCTTTCCTTTCTTCCCTCGACAGACAATTTATATCATAAACATCCGAAACCTTCCCGGCGAAGTCCAGTAGTGTCTGGAAACCATATAAATGTCGGAATGCGTCTTTCGCCTCTCGAGGACGATCTGTATCGATGAAGGTATGACGTAAACGGAGTAAGCTCTCAGTTGCCGCAAGAGCACTCTGCAGTGATGTACCATCTCCATCGCAAATTTCTCTTAGATTTGCGATAACTGAGGCTATCTCCGCGGTGAGTTGCTCAGAGACAGGAGACAACGGGCGGAGGGGGGAGGTCGCCTGGTCCATCGCGCCACTAATTGTTATCCCAGGTTATCTTTCGGGTGACCAGCGAGCACTAGACACCATGAACCTGTAGGGTATAGTGAAGAAGAAATTGCACATTGGTATGTCTTCTGTGACCAAGCCTAAACCACAGAAGGCGATTGGGGATCGAGAGGGACTACCGGTTAGAGATCGATGTTGAGTGTGCCATAATTCAGAAGGTGAGGTCGCCGGAGCGATTGAGTTAAGTGAGGAAAGCCTGGCCCACTGCAAGGCGGAAATGACAAACTGGATGGCTATTCCGTATGGAGCACTGCTTAGAGGTAACAGCCAACGAAGTCCGGCGATATGCTGATGCTCTTCCAATTGCCCATCCTCAACTCAACTGCGGCAGGCCCGGCGTCAGCTGCGGAACATCGGTATCAATCATGTGATCTGCAATATTGGTCAAGGCCTTCTGCGCCACAGTGCGCTTTGCTCTCGCAGTGACCAGGGCTGCCATTGGGCCGATAGGCAGCGTGATAAGGAGATAAGGACAGTGGGAGTCATCCATCACGGCGAATAGTTGCAGCGTGACAAGTCACAATACGGACGCGGTACGGAGCTGCGGTCCGCCTAGCTGAGACAGTATTTAAAACTAGGTAGTGATCACCGTGGTACAACATAAGACCCCCTCTGGTAACAAAAACTTATCAAAAAGGGAAAGAGGAAGGAATCAAGGATTGGAAATAAAATAAGGGAGAAAAAAAAATTGGAATGGGAAAAAGGGCAAAAAATAAAAAAAACAAAAAAAATTGACCTACGCAGGATTCGAACCTGCAATCTCTCGATCCGTAGTCGAGCGCCTTACCATTGGGCCAGCAGGCCTTGTTGAAGAGCAAGGGTCTCTTTAGCTATAAAAGACAAATCACCTTCCGGCCAGCCACAGCTCTAGGCAACTCCCCAAGCGCCCGTACCTCCGATATCAGCAATTCCCCACAAGCGCTATCGGGATCGACACCTGCGCCAATCAGTCCATCCGCTCAGCGTAAGTTACCGTATCCCGCTTGCATCATCGCCTCCTCGCCTTGCTTTAGTGCTCCCGTGCCAGCTCGATAGTCCATTACTCATTGCCTCAGCCGACCTCCTCCCATCTCCCATCTCCTTCCTCCTTCATCCTCCTTCATCCTTCTTTCATCCTCCTTCTCTTCCTTGTCCATCCTTTCCTCCAGTTCTGTTCGTCCATCCATACCGTCAGCCTATCTCATTTATATATCCCTCGTAGTCCCGTCTCCTCATCATGAAGGTCCTGGGCCTTACCCTCGCCTTCCTCCCCTTGCTCACGGCTGCGTCACCTGTAGCTGTCAGCTCCATTCACAACGGGGCAGCCCCTATTCTCTCGTCAGCGAATGCAAAGGAAATTCCTGACTCCTATCTCGTTGTCTTCAAGAAGCATGTGACCTCCGAGGCAGCTGCTGAACACCAAAGCTGGGTGCAGGACATCCACGAGACCTCGCAGCTGTCAAGGAAGCGTTCCTGGTTCGGGGAAGACGTCTATCGTGGCCTGAAGCACACCTTCAACGTGGGTGGCTCGTTTCTCGGCTACTCTGGACATTTCTCCGAGGATGTTATCGAACAAGTCCGGAGGAACCCCGATGTGAGTACCCAGTGATGCCCATGGCCCTCAAGTGACTTTGATTGACGTCAATTTCAGGTCGACTACATCGAAAGGGATTCGGTGGTCCATATGATGGAGGCCCCTGCGATAGAGAACGGCGCTCCTTGGGGTCTCGCCCGTATCTCTCACAGGGACAGTCTCACCTTCGGTACCTTCAACAAGTATCTCTATGCAAATGACAGTGGGGAGGGCGTTGATGTCTATGTTATTGACACTGGCACCAACATTGAGCACGTGGACTTTGAGGGTCGTGCCTCCTGGGGACAGACTATTCCCGAGAATGACGATGACATTGATGGCAACGGTCATGGAACTCACTGTTCCGGTACCATTGCTGGCAAGAAGTTTGGTGTGGCCAAGAAGGCAAACATCTACGCTGTCAAGGTCCTCAGATCTAACGGTTCTGGCACCATGAACGACGTCATTCTCGGAGTGCAGTGGGCCGCTCAGAGTCATACCAAGAAGGTCAAGGCTGCCAAGCAGGGCAAGGCTAAGGGCTTCAAGGGTAGTGTCGCCAACATGAGTCTTGGAGGTGGCAAGTCTAGGGCTCTTGACCAGATGGTCAATGCTGCTGTTGAAGCTGGTGTTCACTTCGCTGTTGCTGCCGGTAATGACAACGCCGATGCTTGCAGCTACTCCCCTGCTGCGGCTGAGAAGGCCGTCACTGTCGGCGCCTCTACCCTGGGTGATGAGCGGGCTTACTTCTCCAACTATGGAAAGTGCACTGACATTTTCGCTCCCGGTCTCAACATTGTCTCTACCTGGGTCGGCAGCAAGCACGCTATTAACACCATCTCCGGAACTTCGATGGCCTCCCCTCACATTGCCGGTCTCTTGGCCTACTATCTCTCTCTTCAGCCTTCCAAGGATTCTGCATTTGCTGTCCCCGAAATCACACCGGAGAAGCTGAAGAAGGCTCTCATCTCCATTGCCACTAAGGGTGCCCTCACTGACATCCCATCCGATACTCCTAACGTAAGTTCCTCAACAGAGACGCATAAAATACTGAATACTGACTGGGATTTGCAGCTTCTTGCCTGGAACGGTGGTGGCTCTTCTAACTTCACCGACATCGTTTCTAAGGGCGGATACAAGGTTGATGATTCCGAGGACGTCTTTGACAACGTCGTCTCCAAGGCTCAGGAATACCTGTCGGAGAGACTTGGTGCTATTTACAGCGAGATTCAGGATGCCATTGTGGAGTAATTGGCCATCGATTTTCAGTTTCTCTGTTCCGGGCAGGGTCCGGGGGGGGACACTTAGGATTGGCACCTTGGCGCAGGGCTGTTCACGTTTTATTTCCTTGGCCTTCCTTTGGAGATCGGGACTTCAATAGTATTAGTTTTATGTTTTACGCGTGTTTACTTGCTGCTTTTTGGTGTTTATTGTTAGCAATTGTACCCATGCTCATAACCATACATTTGGGATGCGGATTTAGAGAATGTGCTTGTTTTTTTTTTAAGATTGCTTTGACAGAATGCCAAATTGAAAGCACCCAGTTTTGTTCCAGAGTAAGAAGCCGCGATCCTTCTAGGTAGGTAGTAGTTGTCGGTACCGATGTCCAATTTATTTCTGGTACTTCCTGAATTAAGCTTAATCTGTGATAATTCTGACCGGAATCTCTAGTGCTACAAAGGGCGACAGGCTGAAGGTGACCACTACGAAGCAAGGGATGTGTCTTGTATATATATTAGATATAAATATATACGCGAGAAGTAGACTCAAATGTCAAATGATCCTGAGATAGTACAGGTACTTTGCAACGAGATTTACTTAAAAATTCCGTACACGTATTTAATAAATACTGTTTATCCGCTGTAGAGATAAAAGTCTTTCGCGAAAAGAAATCCCGTTGGAGTAACAAAAGATATAGTGAGATAAAGAGGAAAAAAATCCACGCTAATATTCCCAGCCTAGCCCTTGCCTTGCCATGAGACGCCATGTCGCTATGCCGTGAACCAAGAACACCATAGAAAAAGAGATCTTCCCCGTCATCGAATGGAAACTGACCGATCCCAGTCCGTAAACGTATTGGACGGTTAACGGAAGAGTTCTATTTCGTTTCCTCCTTCTCTTCATCCTCCTCTTCTTCAGTTCCAGTATCCTGATCAAAATCCATATCCCCATCCGAATCGCTCCCCCCAAACACATCATCGCCATCAACGTCGCTGTCAACCCAGAAGTCCTCATCATCGAACTTCTCGACGGGCTTCCGCATGGTCGATTCATGCGTGGGCATGACAAAGCCCTCGGGGATATCGCTTCTCGACCGCTCCACGCACTGCCGGACGATTTGTTTGTAGTTTTCTGGGTTCTTGCGGAGCATGACGGAGGCGTCGACGTTGGCGGGTGATGAGATTTCTGCATCGTCGAGCAGGGAGAGGATGGAGATGAGGACGGACTCGACGCGCTGGGCGGGGGACCAGCGTTCTGAGGCTAGTTCACCGGACATTTCGTCCTCGCCCGGTGCGTGGAGGATGGAGATGCAGATCTTGCCGTCCTCGTAGATGTTTGGGTGGTATAATGGGCGGGCGAAGCGGAATTCTACAGGGAAGAAAAGGGTTGTTAGTGGTTGCTTGTGCGTGGGATGTACGCTTCCGTATAACGGGGCTCTGGCCTTACCAGGCGGGGAGTAGGGGTAGTTTTTGGGAAATGTCATGATGGCTCTGAAATAGCCGCCGTAGTAGAGAGAATCAGGGTTCAGCACGATGAGCCCGATGGTCCAGTTGAAGACGTCGTCATTATTGAGCTGTGTGTAGCGTTAGCATGGAGCGGTCTTCTTTTTAGAATACAGTTCTAAACCGACATCGATATGAACCCAGTCTTCTTTTACCAGGGATTTGTACTCGTTCATCAATATGCGTTCTGCCATAGTGAGGTAGTGATCAGGTAGCAATAGCAGATAATATGAGAATTTCGTGGAAGGCACTGGCTCTGAGATCAAGCGCTAAGAGAAGAACAGGGATCAGGAAGATCATGTAAGGGAGGTGCGGCCTAGAAAGGAGAGAGGTGGATGATGACAGCAGCACAAACCATCCAGGGAACAGCGCGATAGTGGATGCTATAGTTAGGCACACGCCAACAGGGATGCCTTGGGAAAAAGTTATTCATTCACTTCTCAGACATGAAAGTGGCAATGGAAGAGCCCAAAGTGGCGTCTTCGCTTTTTATCTATCATCCATCATTTCTTATATAATTCTCATGGATACGTTGCGTCGGCTAGCGGGGCGCTGGAAACGGCCCTCATTGAACCGCCTACCGCCGTGGGTATAGCGGGACAGCGCCTACCTGTTTGGGAATAACGCTTCATAGAAGTGCTAGACAAACACCCGTATCCTGTGGTTTGATTCGGATAGACGAATATGGAATTGAATTTATATTAGATGCAGAGGGCCGATAGTACGTCTACTTGGACCTGGGAGACTGGTTACATTGGTTCCTGCAGCTTTCCATGTCTTTTGACCCTCGCCTTTGGTGGAAGAGGGTGAGATGACATAGGACATGTCAAAAAAAGGAGGTCCGGGATGTCTGAGCATGTCGTATTTTGCACTGCCAAAATCTGTGTTCAAGATAGTGTCCAGTGACCGTTAGGTCGCTAGTTGATGATCAGATGGTGATTTTCTGGAAACGGACCGCGGCGGCCGAGACAGCTCATCCACAATTGTTCGTGAGTCCGGCTCGGCGGTAGGGCATGCTTCGCTCTGACCGTAGCCAGTCCGCTCATACAGCAGCACAGATGCCTCATTCTTGAGATGTCGACACGCCGCGCTCCATTCTAGCGCGCTGCTGGTGATCCCTGTAAGAACCACCACAAGCGGAGCGCCGGGCTGCCGAGGAATACCTCGCAATGCGTAGCTCAAGGAGTGGGTTCCGATGTGGGCGGTATGTTGGAAGTGTTCCATGGTAGCAAGCAAAGGTTGGGGGAGACGGGAAAGGAAACTCGGAGGAGAGAGGGGAGAGGATGTCTTATATGACGAAAGTTTCCAAGTAATTAGTTGACTAGAGTAGTGGGGAAGCTCAAGGCAGCCTGGTCGGCACAGGCAGGTCGAGGCATGAGAGAGAGCTAGGGACAGAGTCGGAGACAAGGTCAAACAATACACTAGCAGCGAAGCTGTCGTGACAGCGCCTAGTCTGAATCGCACAGTAATCACACAGCTCGTGCTCTCATGGCAGCGGGAGGCCTATCTAGCTAGTAACCAAGGAACGATACTGTTGGATCAACTTGCTTGTATTGTCTCTATCTAGGTTGGTCTAGCTATTTTAGTGTGTCAGGCCAAGCGAGGGCGGTCTAATATGGCAGAATACACATGACCTCTAACAGTGTTGGATCACGTGGGATTCTGCCGCATAGGTCCGCCCGCGCTGACCCTTTTCACCACGTAGGCCTATCTAGCTAGTTACCAACCAACAATACACCTCCATTAGATATGCTGCCTAACCACGTGAGGTTTCCCAGATTTCCCAGATTCCCCAAATTTTCCAGGTATAGACCCATGAACAGGAATAGTATGGAGGAGATACGGTCATTACTGGAGCAGAGAGGGGGATGAGAGCTTCCCAAGTAACAGTAATAAATATGATCATGGCCGTAGCATTTGCAATGGGCATGATACTGACCTCGAAGTCTAGTAATTCTACAGATCCACTGTCTCAAACTTTGTTGTCCGTTCCTGCTCATTCAATATAAGGACGCAATTTTTCCCTCAGGCCTCTCTCTTTGGATATCATTCATTCCAATCTTCAATTCATCATAGCAACCTGTTGTTGGTATATGGCTCGTTTTAACTTGCTTTTGCCTCACAAGATAAAAGCATTCCTTTCCAAACTCCAAGACTCAAATAGAGAGCGTCGTTACTCCGACACATTCTCGTGGGGTGAAGATATCGAACTCCAAGATCCATCTCCTGCCCTACTCCAGGGCACGCGTGAGCACTGGAACACAAACAGAGAGGCTAGTGTATTAGAGTGTCGATATCCCAAGATTATATCGACATCTCTTAGCACTCACCCAAGCGAAGAGATCATCGTACTGCCGTATTCAGGCACATCATATAATACGACACCTCCCCTCCCTCAACTCCGACGGAAGGGTAGACAATTGCAATATTGGACTCACTTTGGGATCATTTTCTCCATCTCTTTCATATCTTCTAACCATGTCTAACGAAATGAACACTCTTGAGCTTGTAGGCCGTCCTGGCGATGACATTCCTACCAGTTCCATTGAGCTTTGGTGTGTACATGGGGATTGTGACTACCACTGGCTAATCACCTATATTCATCGTTCCGGGAACACGACAAGTGTGAGCCGGGAGAAGAACATCCCAATGAAGTGGATTCAAGACATTCCACGTGAGAAAGCTATTACCACCATCATATTCCTGGTCATGTATAAGTGCCCGGGCCTCAGAAGTCTTGCGTCTCACATATGGGTTTCATTCCAAGATTGTGACTACAGGTGTACCGATTTCGTGTAAGTTCAAACCAGGACTCTCGTACGTAACACCGGCTCTAACATACCATAGGTTTTTGTTGCTCTGGGACTACAAGCGCCGGGGATTTATCGATGATACAGAAGACCAAGTGCAAAATCTCCTGTGTCGAATGGCTGCAGTGCAGGAAGAACTGTCGGCTATACCTCGAACAATTCCGCGGCCCCCTTTCTAAAGCACAGTCTGACTTGAAAGTTGGCGTCCTCATCTTTTCACCTCTGAAGGATCGTGTGCTTCTCGTCAAGAGGTCGGAGAGAGTCAGCCACAGAAACATCTGGGAATGTCCTGGTGGGGCCGTAGAGCAGAGCGACAAGTCTAATGTGCATGTTGCTGTTCATGGGTGTCGTGAGAAGACCCAACTTCATATTTCTGCTTTTCTTGACGCCATGCAGGACAAGTGGCCAAAAGGAAACCGGCAAGTGCGCAAAAGTGATTTGAGAATAATCTCTTAGAGCCGCTAGCAATAAGAGAGACCTTTTGTGTTGTTCTGTAATATATGTAGATCAGTTTATGTAGTTATTTTGGCAGACTTTCTTGCCTCAAGGACATGCAGTCCATCGCATTCTGGGGGCAGCAGCAGTAAAAGATTATCTTCTTTGCGAAGACTGCAGATTCGCCAACAGAAGCTCGAGAATATCCAATCGAGCAGTAGGATTGACTCTTAAGGGGATGAAGTTCGGTCAATATGAAGCCACGTATTAGGATCGTCTCGAGGATAAGATCACAAGATTTCTTGCCGAGTGGAGGCCAAACAGCACGACTCAATTCCGATTGACTAACGAGCAATACATCTCAAATAGGTTCCTGGCGGGGTGGAAAACGATCTGCTCTTATCCAGGTAGCCTTTCACAATGGTCTATTCAAACGTGTTCACGGTCTTTTATTTTTCTCTTCATATAAAGTTTTGCCCATAGAAACATACGGAAGAATACTCAACCGTGCGAATAAGTAGCCCCAAGGTCAGCATACGTACACACCAATACTCATTGGTGCGGTCGGTTAGGTCTTCTAATTGCACATGTCGAGGCTTAGGCTCACGTGAACCCGAACACCCTAAATTTGGACTACACATATGGCATAATCATTCCTGATTCAACAAAACTTCAGGCGCAGTGAATGAATGGAAGACCCTCAAAAAAGTGTGATGGTTTAGTCAATCAGCATCTCGCCCAACCTGAACCCTCATGGCAACACTTCCATAGCGGTCTGTAAGTCCTTGCTATGGAGTTGTTAATTCCGATGGATTTTTTCTCTAAGATCAGCAGGTGAATTGGTGATTCACCTTGCAATAGTAACCTGGCATGCACCAACCCAGGCTTCCATCACTTGTACATTTTCCCTTGTATCCCAAGCGATACTCCACGTCAGTTTCGGCCACTGGAGAGGATAAAACTGCAACAGAGTCGTCGCACATGTAATAAATACATGAAAGTGCATTTTGGCCAATGAATACTTGACAGGACTTTGAAGACAGAAAATATATAAGCGTACTGTAATATTACTCTCTGATGACTTTCCATCAGAGACAAGCAAGGGAAGGAATGACAGATATTTATCATTCTCAAAATCAACCTGGTAATATGTTATCCTATTATTCCCTTTCTCTTTCCGTCCATCAACAATAGAAGGCGTGACGCTTAGCAGTGTAAACCAAAGCTGGGGATATTGATATACCATCTGAAAAGTGCGGGTTAAAAAGAAATAAGGATAGATCAAGCCTATTTGCCCCCTCACATTAGCGAATCTTTTGCTCAACAAGGCCTCCATGAGCACGTAAGCATGCTTCAAACGGCCAAATCAACTAACTTCTATTGGCTTTTAGGATGAGAAGATGGGCAGCATAAAATGGCAAATATCCTCATCCTTCCAGGCTTTATCAAAGCCAGGCGTTAGATGCCCCCCATGGCCATCCAGGATGAGTAGATGATGCACCAACCGTACGACTAGTTGTCGCAAATATGAAGACTTCTGAAGACACTAGAGGCCTATCCCATCTATCCTTCATTCATTTCGACTGACTCCCATTCTCCAAGCGGACGGTAGATTGTGATCTTGACACCATCTTTCCATATGGACCTTCGACTTGAAATCTATGCAAGGAAGCACTTGACCAGTTGTATTGATGTATTTAATTGCTGTAGCCCCTTCACAACTACCTGGCTGAATTTGATGAGGCTTCCCAGGCATAGAACTCAAAGAATCAGATGGAATAGCCCCGACTTATGGTGTTTCGACACAGCTCATTTTAATTGTTGCATTTGTCAGTGTTGTGGAATATGCATGTAACTCAGGGAAGAAGGGCAGAACGAAGCTGTATCGACTACACGTACGTAGCCTACTAAGGAACGGATACCATTCAGTTCTATGTCTCTCTGTCTATCATCAGGGGCTCGGATTCTCAAGGGTCAGAGAGGGAGCCAAGCCGCCATACCACGTGACTTTTTCCATATCAATGAGAATAATCATTTAGTAGGCCCTGCTGTTTTAGTAAATGAAGAATTAGTATGTTGTCCAGTGCCATTATTCTTCTTTGAATCCCAGCACGTCATCTTCAGTATCACTATTTTCTTCCTCCCCTATCCAAGGCTGAAAAGCGTGTTATCATTGAGAGAAGGTGTCCCTGTCACCTCTGTGGTCTGTGTTCACTGTTCAGTAGGCTAGACAGTTTGTCTCCAGCCACTCATGCATTGCAGATATGATGTTAACTGGCTTCTAAAGTGCTTGTATTGGCGCACCTGCTCTTTGCGCGGTAGATGCGCCGGGCGTTTTGGAATAAGGTGTGACGGCGGGTGGTCAAGCCGAGCTTTTGCTGACTAGTAGTTTGCATGGTTTGACCCACAACCACCATATCATTCCTGTGTTCGCTATAGAGTTCGATACAAGACATTTTAAGCTGAGATATGCAAACGTGACAAGTTCTTCGGAGTCTGCAAGCATCTCCACCCAGGGGGCACTGCTCACCTACTAGAACGAGGCGGGCAACGGTCTTGGCGTCCATGGATTTATTGCCCGGTAGTGTTGAAGATGGAGTATGTTGGTTAGACATGGTAGCGTACAAGCTTCAAAGTAATAATACAACGGGATACCACGCAGGCGGGAATTGTTTCTTGTTCCTTATTGCTATTAGACATTCTTGCCGCCGTTAATAAGGCATGCAGCATGCTGTTTCGGTCTGCGCATTCCTACGCCGAGAGTATAACAATCTATTTCTGCTGTCTTAGGCCCCAAAGGATGCCTAGACAGTCACACAGATGTTCCTTTCCAGGATCCTGCTCTCTACACGACTGGTCTGCATCGTGATATCCTGGGACGAAGATGAATCCTTGATTTGCTGATCGGCTAAATAAACCGTCAGTCTGATTCTTTGACATGTCCACGCTGGTTCCTCTTCTTGAAGCAGCAGTACGGTACTCATAGTACATAGTACATACACCGCGCTCCAACCCCGCCTGCAACACAGGGTGGACTCCGTTTTCGCTATCTATAATATTAAACTCTCGCGGAGGGATTCCGTCCTTTTTATTAAATTGTTTACTGCATAGAGGCATGATATCTGGCGGCCATCATTCGCTGTTCCGCTGGGTAGTCGGTACGCCGTCGCCATATGTTGCACGCCGTAGTAAAATTATTATTACTGACCTTCAACGGCCACTTTGAGAATTTCTCGGACTTGGTCGCCACAGCTACTTCCTCCCGCTCCTCCCGTCTGTCCCGTTTCCCTGTCGTCACGCAGCTCTCTCTTCCCTCGCGTCGTCGCACCCTTTTGCCCCTCGCCTTTCCCATGCAATGACGGAACTGGCCCTGCTCGTCATCTGTGCAAGGCAGCCCGCATCGCGAGAATAGTTGAGCTTTCTTCAGCTCTGTTGAAATCCGTCAATGAGAGGCGAAAGATCCTGCAACGCCCTTCTCCTTCTCCCTGACCCTTGCGACTCCTTTGCTATTTTCCCCTCCCGCGGATAATGCTACCGCATTGTCACGGCCCTATTTGGGCAGTCGATGACGTCTCTCGCTGCTTTCAGCGCACGTATGTTCCCGCCTACCCAAAGAAATACCCCCCTGATGGCTAGAAGACGAACCGCACAGCTGACTCTCCTGGCGGGTTAGTTATCTTCAAGTGACCTTCCCTCTTGGAGCTTGCGCACTCTCACTCTTGGTGATCCTACTCCATGTTGCATATACCTACGCAGTGTCCCGCAAGAGCATCGCCTACAAACTTTTACCCGATGATGTATTCGAAGACCAACCTCGCAGAGGGCCACAGGAAGAGGAGAATATACAGGAGACAGTGCAAGCGCACCATTCTCAGTTCGAGGTCAATCGCCCTCGGGGCCAATTTGTCTTCATAGCGGTCGAGGTATTGGCGCTGCTGGGAGAAATCGCCGTTTTCACTGCGGTTCTGGTCACTCATGGCTGGGGAAACCGTGGATCGCTTCCTGCAGTGGCCGGATTGATATCCTGGGGTTATATTCTGTTCTTGGTGCTGGTCAGATTGTTGCTTTCCGCCAGGGATCTCCATTCGTTCCCCAGGCTGTGGAACCACACAGCCATCCTGTACGGCCTGCAGTGGTTGTTCTCCGTGTTTTCTTTCCGCTCTGCCATTATCCATCCTGCGTCGAAACGCGCTCTTTTATACAGTACTCTTGAATTCTGCCTATGTACGCTACTGCTACTTATCGCTCTTACCAGTCGCAGAGGGAATAAGCCAGTCTTGGTCCAGCACGAGGATGACTTGGAGCCTCCACGCCACCCGACCGCCAGCTTGCTGTCTCTGGCGACTTTCTCTTGGTTCGACCCCCTTATTTTCAAGGGCTATAGACAGGCCCTCGAGCTTGAGGATGTCTGGAATCTAACCTTGTCCCAACAAGCGGCCAATGTTCTGGACGACTTCCGACGGAAGCAGACAAAGGGCACTCTTGTATGGAAGCTAGCGCGTTATTTCTACGGCACCATCCTGTTGCAAGGAGCGTGGACCGTGTTCTCAAACCTGTTCACCTTCCTGCCCACCCTCCTTCTCAAGGCAATCCTGGAATACGTTGAAGACCCAAGGTCGACGACGCCCAATGCTGCCTGGCTCTATGCTATACTGCTGTTCTGCTGTGGAGTCGTTCAGGGTACTTGTGATGGGCAAGCTCTTTGGATGGGGCGGAAATTGGGGGTGAAACTCCGTGCTATCATTATAGGCGAGATCTACGCCAAGGCCCTGAGACGCAGGGCTGGGGCCTCCATTGATTCTTCCCGGGGTGCGACAGAGGAACCGCCGAAGAAGCAAGGGAATAAAAGGAGGATTCTCTCATTTTATCGCAAGAAGAAGGCGGCGCTCAGATCGGAGACAGATCTCGGAAACAAGAAGGACCCGGAGACTGACGCAACTTCTGCCCAGGCCAATATAGGAACCATTGTTAACTTGATGGCCATAGATTCATTCAAAGTCAGCGAAGTAGGCGCGTATCTCCACTTCCTATGGGCGAGTGTGCCCGTCCAGGTCATCATGGCCGTCACCTTGCTGTATCGGATCTTGGGATTTAGCTCATTCGCTGGTATTGCACTGATGGCGCTCATGCTCCCAGTGAATCTTCTCATTGCCAGGCAATTTAGGAAGATACAGAACCAGATCCTGGCAAGCACTGATGCTCGGATCCACGCCACGAATGAAGTCCTTCAAAATATCCGAATCATTAAATATTTCGCCTGGGAACGACGGTTCGCGGATATTGTGAATGAGAAACGTGATGCGGAATTGAAAGCCTTGCGCTTCCGCTACATTCTCTGGTCCACCGCAGCGACGGTGTGGTATGGAACACCCATCCTCATCACTTTCACCTCGTTCTTTCTGTACACGGTTGTTGAGAAGAAGAGCCTGACCCCGTCCATTGCCTTTCCCGCTTTGTCAATGTTCTCCCTACTTCGTGTTCCTTTGGATCAGTTGGCGGACATGGTTGCACATGTCCAGGAATCAAAGGTCTCTTTGGATCGAGTAGACAAATATTTGAACGAGGATGAAACGGAGAAATACGCCCAGCTGCGTGATAGCAATATCTCCGGGGAGCCTCCCAGGATTGGACTGGAAAGAGCCACTCTCAGCTGGGGCGCCTCCAAACGGCTCTACCAGGATAGCCTGGCGTTTGATGCCAACAATGCTTTCCGTCTGATCGATGTAGACGTGTTGTTCCATATTGGAAAGCTGAATATCATCGCAGGTCCGACTGGTTCAGGCAAGACGTCTCTTCTGATGGCCCTCTTGGGTGAGATGAGTCTCCTGGAAGGAAGCGTCTACTTGCCAGGGGGAGCGATAGACAGAGCAGACCTCCCAGTTGATCCCGCAACGGGGCTTATGGAGAGCGTCGCCTACTGCGCACAGGAAGCATGGCTAGTCAATGATACTATCAAGGAAAACATTGTGTTCGCTTCTCCCTTCGACCAAAGACGCTACGATGCAGTGGTACGAGCATGTGCATTGGAGCGTGATTTTGCCATCCTCGACGCCGGTGACCAGACCATGGTTGGGGAGAAGGGCATTAGTCTTTCGGGTGGTCAGAAACAACGGATATCCCTTGCTCGTGCTATTTATAGCAGAGCCCGGCATCTTCTTCTCGACGACTGCCTTAGTGCAGTAGACTCCCACACAGCTAAACATATCTTCAGGGAAGCACTTACGGGCCCGCTGATGCTTGATCGCACCTGTATCCTGGTTACTCATAACGTTGCTTTGGCAGTACCCCAAGCTGATCTTGTTGTCGTGCTTGACAATGGAAAGGTTGTGGCCCAGGGTTCTCCAGACGACGTTGCGGCTTCTGGTGCCTTGGGGGAAGAACTCCTGAAATCACAACCGACTTCCAGAGCCGGATCCCGCCACCTCTCTCGCGTGCCCTCAGATCTGGATGAGCACCAGCCAGCGGACCGATCCCCTGCAGATGGTAGACCGAACGAGACAGCGGAAGCTGGCTCTACCCCCAATGGACAGCAGAAGAAGAGCCCCCAACCTCAGTTAGTTGAGTCGAAGGCGATTGGGAGCATTAAATGGTCGACGGTCCTGATGTACCTCCATTCTATGGGCTCCTGGTACTACTGGATTGCAGCCGTTCTCGTCTTTTGCTTGCAGCAGGTGGGTTCAGTGTCCACAAACGTCTGGATCAGACAGTGGGCAAACGCCTATGGTACGGAAGAGACCGGCGCGACAGATGATGGAGCCGCGGATGCTGGTACCTATGCCGCCGTTGCGAATTTCAAGTTCCCATCCTTCAATGTTGCAGGTGTACCGCGGACGACAACTTGGACAGCTACCCAGCTCAACACACAACCTCCTGCTGCTGCTGACACGAACGTTAACGTTGCCTACTATCTCGGAGTCTATGCTCTTCTCGGGCTTGCCTACGTGATTATTTCACTGTCAAGGGAGGGCGTGCTCTTCTGGGGCTCGCTGCACGCCTCCCGGAAGATCCATACGCGGTTGCTGAATGCCATTCTTCACGCAAAATTCAAATTTTTCGATTCGACTCCATTGGGCCAGATGATGAATCGGTTCTCAAAGGATGTCGAGGCCGTTGACCAGGAAGTCGCCCCGGTAGCGATCGGCATGCTTCATAGCTTGGCGTCGGTTATCATGATCGTGGTTCTCATCTCGGTGATCACGCCAGGATTTTTGATTGCGGGAATCTTCATTACCCTGTTATACTCCGCGCTTGGCGCAGTCTACATAAACTCCTCACGAGATTTGAAGAGACTGGAGTCTGTTCAGCGGAGCCCACTGTATCAGCAATTCGGCGAGACACTGAATGGTATTGTAACTATCCGCGCGTATGGCGATAGGTCGCGGTTCGCCACGGACAATCATCGGCGGATCAATTCGTACAACCGGCCACACATATATCTCTGGGCCAGCAACCGATGGCTTGCATTCCGTGTCGATATGACTGGTGCCATGGTCAGCTTCTTCTCGGCTGCCTTTGTGCTTTTGAATATCGGCAAAGTTGATGCTGGTGCTGCTGGGCTTTCACTGACTTATGCCGTTACTTTCACGGAGAATATATTGTGGCTTGTTCGACTCTATGCCGATGTGCAACAAAACATGAACTCAGTTGAGCGAGTGAACGAGTATCTTGAGGTCGAGCAGGAGGCGAACCCGGTCATCCCTGATTCAAGACCACCGGCTGATTGGCCTAGCCAAGGCGCGGTGAAATTTGTCGACTATACCACTCGCTACCGGCCCGATCTAGATCCTGTCCTAAAGGGAATCTCTTTTACAGTGCAGCCTGGAGAGAGAGTTGGCATTGTCGGTCGCACTGGCGCGGGTAAGAGCTCTCTTGCACTTGCGCTTTTCCGTGGCCTCGAAGCAGAAAAGGGACAGATCATCATCGACGGCATAGACATCAGCACCATCGGACTCCGGGACCTGCGAGAAGCCATTACGATAGTCCCCCAGGATCCCACACTTTTCACAGGTACCATCCGCAGCAACCTGGACCCCTTTGAATTGTTCACGGACGAAGAGATCTTTACAGCCCTCCGTCGTGTCCACTTAATCGGTTCTGGTACTTCTGGGACGACGACCCCGGCAACTCCGAGTACGCTGACTGTTGTGGATCCCATCCCGGTTACGAATGGCGTTAATGGCAACACGATTGTGATATCGGACAACAAGAACGTCTTTCACAATCTGCAGACTCCAGTCTCCGAGTCTGGCTCGAATCTTTCGCAGGGTCAACGACAACTTCTTTGCCTCGCGCGGGCTCTCCTTAAGAATCCTCGAGTTCTCATGATGGACGAGGCTACCGCATCGATCGATTATGCTACCGACAGTAAGATCCAGGATACTCTCCGCGAATTGAAGGAGAGTACCATCATCACGATTGCACACCGGCTGCAAACTATTATCGACTACGATAAGGTGCTGGTGCTGGATCATGGCAAGGTCATCGAGTTTGACCATCCCTGGACATTGATACAGAAGGAGGGCGGTGTCTTCCAGAGCATGTGTGAGAACAGTGGTAACATGGAGACTCTGCTTGATGGCGCCAAGAAGGCATGGGAACAGAAGCAGCTTGTTGATGTTTCCTAGATCCCCATGGATGCCTTCCAGGGGAGGGAAAGAAAAGGAAAAGAAAGACATATAGAGAAAAAGAAAGGTAAAACCAAAATATGATTGCTTTCTACGTAACCATAGCTGGCGGTTAATTGGTTTATTATTTTGTACCTAGCATCGGTTATCATTATAGTTCTTCTACCAGACTCTGTCTGGCTTGTTTATAGTCATCCCATTGAATTACAGCTAATTTATCAATGGAATCCTGAACTCAGGGACATTCTTTATTCTGAATTCACTGCTTCTAGCACCATAATGTCCGCATATAGCATAATTTCGATTTGCGGACGCCTGCCGTTTTTGGCTCCCTGTCCGCCGCGCCGCCCGTTCCGGTATAGCGTCCACCGTTCACGGTTTAGCCGGATCCGGATTGGGTTTGGCGTCTAACTCTAGCCGTCCTGGGACCTGCCATCCCGCACTGCCCGAGCCGACCACCGCCATCTATATAAATCTCGGTGCGTCGCTCTACAACCCTTCTCTCTTGTTTCCCACATTCCTGCCCTCGATTGTCACCTCCCTTTGAGCAGATGTCAGGCAGCATTCCTGGACCAGCTGACGTGGCCCCTTGCTGGCTGAAACCTTTTGAATCCGCGACGCAGCCCCCTTCTCCACTCATAAAAGTGGATAGACCGGCGTTGTGAAGGACATTGGATATTGCACATCAGATATGGGACACAGATCACTTTGCTTCCTTGTTCAGTATGATTCAGCAAACTTTTGCAGACTTAGTTGATCCTTCCTTTCCCATTGTAATTTGTGAAAGAGTGGTCATTTCTCTCCCTTTCAGTCTTTATTGCTGGACTGGCCAGCCAGAGTGAGTACTGGACTACAGTGCTGAATGTTCTATTTGCCCTCAGGTCTATATTCTTTGCCTATCCTTCAGCCTGCATCCTCATCAAATGTTCTGTGCACAGAAAATGACAGGAAAAGGGGAAGGTAGTGGGAACGTTGCTGGTTATGTGGTCACCATTGCAACTGACTCTCAGCTGAATGTGTGTGTTTACTGGATAAGCTTCTCACTGGATCTGCTTTTGAATTTAATAACCATCAGCTGAGGTGTCTGGAAGGCTGCAGCGTTGCATATTCAAGGAATAAAGACCCTGAAGATGGGTAAAACCAATCCAAGGCCTCTTTTCACTGAAACAATTCAGCCATTTGCTGGACATGCCCCCAGACTCACAACTGATACAGGTGCAGATCAGAATTGATGATGTAAAGGGGGGCGTACGTGCGTTGGTCGTGGTCAAGGAATCTTGGGAATGAATGCACCGAGACGATGCCGGGGATTAGTGAGATGTAAGGCTTTGAAGAGAGGAGATCTTGCAGCAATGGTTTCATCGTAGCAGGTGGCATGTTGGAGCCGATTGAACTTCCTAAACACCGCGACAAGACCTGAGGTTAGGGATTCGAGAGTTGCCATTGTGTGCCTGGATAGCCTGGAGGTTCACCATTGCTGCTTCAACGACTGTCGACTGGGTAGAATGTCAGATGCACACAAATGGAATCTAGGATTCCTTATTGCGAAGAATACTCAGTAAGAATACTCAGTGCAGAGATGGACTGGAAAAGCAGGAAACAATGTCTGGCAAGATGAACCATCCAATTGCTAGCAGCATTTGGGGAAGTGAAATAAGGTCCAGCAACAAGAAAGTGTGTGGGTCGGTGGAGTCCCTGTACTATCTATTGCCATGGGCCACCCCACACTAAGATGGTATGGGTCAGCTATAAATGCTTCTGTAAACCTATAGATATCCATACCACCATAGTATAACATCTGGATCTTTTGCACGTGCTCCCTGAAGCTCTTTACTCAATCGGGCTGTCTTCTGGGAATCTGGATTCTGCCTCATGAAGCAGTCGACCCAGTTTCGTGATAGCATTGGGGGTGGTTCTGCTGGATCAGAATTATGCTGGAGAATTGACTCTGCTGCTACTTGGGCCAACACAGGGAAGGGGGTAAGGGCGGGTTCCAATATGGTCCTACAAGTCAATACGATCAAAAAGTACCCCATATTGCACGTCCTCTTAGGCGTAGATTGACGCATTTTTGGGTGCTTCGCGAGTCGCTTCCTTGGAAACAATGATAGGACCAATAGATGCACATGAAACACCATTGTTATTGACCCTGAGATCCTAGATTTATCCCCCTTAAGACAAGTCAGCAGCAATTCTGACAAGTGAGGTGTGTGTCAACTGTCAATGTTGCTGCCTGAAGTGGGTTGTGTTTGTGGTGATATTTCCAATTCATCCCAGTCGCCTTGTACAGACGGCTGGCGATTGGTGTATATTGGTTCAAAGGGATTTTAGGTGGCCCATGGCAATGAGTAGTCTTTGTGATCTCTGTGACTGGCAGGGTGTGACAGACCGGTCCTTGTTGGATCACGTGGGATTCTGCCGCATAGGTCCGCCCTCGCTGACCCTTTCCACCACGTAGGCCTATCTAGCTAGTAAGCAACGGTATACCTCCATTACTATATAGCTCGCGTCAGGCCAGGGCGTCTTCTTTTTCTTCTTTCTCTTTCCTCCCTCCACGTTCGAAGTTCTTATCAAACAGCTGCCTAGTTAGTTAAATAGCATCCTATTTGATCCTAGTTTTGAGCTCTGTGACACAGGGATGAGCAGACTCCATACTGAGTACTCTGCCAACCTTCTAGCCAAAACTGTTGAAGCCCGCCTGTGCAGCTGCCCGGGTTAAATGCAGCAAGGTAGGCAAACTAAGACACTTTCACTTGATGTGGACAGCTGACAAGACATATGAGGTCCCTGAGGTGAGCCACCAGTCAGTGGCAGGCAATAGGGATATTTGGGTGACACTAACCAAAAACAGGTTGTGAAAGAAAAACAGCTTCAGTCAGCCAGAGTTGAGAGCGCAGGAAACCTGTGGCCACACTCTAAGCAATATGCTGCTTTATCTAACAATGAAAACTCCCCTGTGCGGTCCTCTGCTCCTGGCAGTTGGCAGTGACACCACACCCCAACAACCTGTGTTCTACCCTTCCAGCTTCAGTACTACCTTCTATGCTACAGTCCATACTTTCTGATTGACGCGTATTGGCGATATCGGACAAGTACACCCGCAAAGATGAGTGCGGCGGGCAAGTTCGGGCCCAATGGCGACTGAGAGCTTGAAAGTGCGGAGGACAGCATCTCCAGCCTAGAGACGAGGGAAGCAGAGGCCCAATATTGTGGAGTCATGGAGAGACCGGGTAATGTGTTGACTCTGGATCCAGTGGTGGGGCAAGAATCCTGCAGGAGTCAAGTCAGAGTGACAGTGATCTGTAGCGTGCACTTCCTGACAGACCTGCATACACCTGGACAATACGCATGAGTGTCCATTCGATTTCTGCGCCCCACGGGGCGCCTCCGGTCGAACGCTCATTCTTGAAAGAGAGAGTCAATTCAACTAAGACACCCAGGCTAGGTGCAAGACTGATCTATATAGAGAGAGTCAACTATGAAAACAAGTATTCTTAAGGTCCAGCGACTTCCGACTGGGGATTTGAGAGATTACTTAACACTAAGGTAACCCAATGGAGTCAATGAAGGCCAGCCCCCAGAGCTGAGAAAAAATTACAGACGCACTTCATTTTAAAGGCCTAAAATCATCATATTAGACACTCCTTTCAATCTCTCAATTAAAATGATTGGAAAGGGCCTGAAGCAAGACGTATCGAACCGAATGCTTCGGGCGCTATACATCAAGCACTATATCAAGAGTGGATCAGTCGTCTCAGCCAAAGGCCACGGCGAGTCCGGTCAAGGACGACATACCATGCATTCTTTTCATGGTTCTGTTGTTGTCTTCCCCCAACCATAGAAAAGAGCGTGACTCAAAAGTCACAGGCTACCAGGAATATCTAAGATTTGTTCTGAACATTCTTGCTCATGGCTCGGACCTTGTGGCCGTACTTGTACAGCACATACGGCACTGGCGCCATAACAGCGGCGACAACGGCCACGATTGTCAAAGCCAGATGCGGGCCCAGGTTCTCGTACATCTTGATCGAGGCCGGACTCAGCGCACCGGAGATGATGTAGCGGGAGAAGGTCATGAAGCCCAGAGCAGAGGCCGCGTACTGAAGGTACACGAAGATGATGTACATGTAGGTCGTAGTGAAGATGCAGACAAGCGCGTAGCCGAAAACCCCCGAGGCCACGATGGGCGACCAGATGCTGATGTCTCTCTGGAACAGAACGGTGTTATTGCAGAATCTTAGAATAAGGGTCTGGAGGACAACTTACATAGCAGGTCCATGCCATCCAGAACAGGGAGACTGGCATCAGTATGGAAGCACCAGCCATGGCCCAGTACAGGGACACCTCGGGCTGCAGAGGCTTCCCCGCGGCCATGGCCTTTGCGGCCGTCTTCTTGGTAAGATGATAGATGCAAGGGACCATGACCAGGGCGACAGCGACACCCGGCATCATGGCAACCCAGATGGCGAAGGTTAGGCTCATGGAGATGCCATACGTCTTGGTGAAAATGTAGGGGTAGCCATTCAGGAAGGTGAAGAGCACAAAGTACAGCAGGACGAGATAAAAGCTGAAGACCAAGATGATGGGCTCGGTCCAGATCATGATAAAAGGCCTGTACACATTGGCCAGCAGCCGGGAGCCGAGGGAGCTGGCCGACGCATGCTCCGCCTGGTACCGGTCGTCGCCCGTCAATTCACGCAGGTGCTTGGCACGCCATTCCAGCAACAAGGGACTGTAAGTCTCGGGCTGGGCGAGCAGCACGAAGACCAGGACGGCGCCGATGATGATCATGGAAATCCAGTCGGCCCATTCGAAGCCGATCTCGGGTGTATAAGCACCGATCACAGGCCCCAGGATTGGGCCGGAGTAGGCACAGATAGTGACCAAGGGCAGGCCGAAGGGGATCTGCATGGGAGTCCAGATGTCGCCAATGGTGCCACCTGCCACGGTCATTGGGGTTGCCGCGAACAGGGCACACAGAAAGCGGAAAGCAAGAGCGGCACCGTAGTTGGGCGCCAGAGCCTTGGCCATGATGAACAGCATGGCCACGACCATTGAAACAAAGTAGACGGTATTGCGGCCGAAGGTTTCGGAGAAGGGGCCAGAGAACAGCGAGCCCACACCGATACCAATCAGGAAGATGCCTGCATTTGTTCCAATGTTAGGCTTGGTTCTGATATTTATTCGCGGAGAAAATTGAGGTCGCCCTCACCGGTAGCCATAGATCCAGCCATGGGACTGGTGCCAAAACGAGCGTTGAAAGCGTCTTGCGTGGGACCCTCGACGGAGGCTGGGATTGTAAAGGCAATACCGAGGCAGCAGCAGGTCAGCATGACCATCCATTTTTTGGCCAAGCTCCAAGCCTGCGGGCTGCTAGGATCGTTGTCCTTCCAGCCGACCACATAGACGGTGCTGCCATCGCCCTCGTCCGGGCGCGACACAGTGACGCCAGGCACCAGGGCTGGGTCAATGGTCGCTGGCTTCTCTGTTGCCCCTGTTCCAGGCTCTTTGCCGTCGCTGAACGCCTCGGGCTCGGATGTAGAGGTCCTCGCCAGGGAACTGGAGGGCAGCTTGGCTTGCCAGGCACGTGCCAGGTCCTCTTGCACCTCCTGCCGCAGACGGCGGTACTGTCGTAGTGACTGCATGGTTGATGAATTGCAAAGCCAAATTGATTATTCCCAAGCCGGCGGCCACGCGGAGAGGGGCGGACTGCTAAGAGTTGGGAGCGAAAGGATAGGCAAGAGAGTCCCCAGCCTACGCCGCAGAAAAGAAAAAGACATGGTATATAGCTAGCTGGGCGACAAGTTATTAAGCCACGTCGGAAACATTTGCCAGTCGGGCAGATTAGCAGCAGGTCGGAAACATTCACGCCAACTCGGACACTTTATCTGTAAAGGCGGGCTAACTGAAGACCGATGCAAGGGCCCGATCTTTATCCTCGGTACAGCTGCACAGCCTATTGGTTCCAATGGGTTCATAGGAAGGAGGTGGCTGCTTCCCTGCCCTAGTTCAATGCGCGGCATGAGGGTATAGTGCCCCGGCTTCTTATCAAATATATCTTGGAATTCATCTGGTTTGTCTGGAATCAGAAGACAGGCGACCTGGTGTTCCTTGCGAAGTTCGCGTTCACCTGCTTTGCGGGTGGTGACCCTCGTGGTTTCCTGGTATGCCCATGTCTTTTCAGTTGGGGCCTGGATTGACCTCCATAAGCCATGGATACCTAGTATCATGTCGTACCCAGCCGGGTCAACCGCATCAAGATTGTGGCGGGATTCACGGGTAAGGCCATTCCTATCAGTTGCTCCAACGATGAGCTTGTGTTGCCCATAGGAATAAACATCATAGCCATCAATTGCTCAGATCCCGCGTGGTGGCGCCGAGGCAGGTCCAGGAGGTTTTCTTTTAGCCGGCGTTGACTTGCGAAGTTTGCTTCTGCTTGTGACGGGCTAGGCCCGATATAGGGCTTGATAGCCTCAGCCAGCATTAACAGTGAGCACGGTCTACAAACTTCATTCTGTCACCATTCACCGCCCTACTCATCATCATATGACCACGGACCCATGTTATTCCGCCCCGAGCTCCCTAGGTAAACAGACCAGGAGCCACACCACCTCTTTCCCTTCCCTTCTTCAAGATTTAATGTACTCGTAGAGTGGCCTAGCTAGTTGAGTAAACTACCTCGAGACCGTTACTGTGACGACTATACCTGAGGTATGACCGTCAGCATGTGACCCTGGCACGTCTTAGAAGGTGCCAACAGAGTGAGCAAGTAGGGCACAGGGCTAGGGCTGAGGGCAGGCAGCTGCCCTCGCCTCTTTCCTTCTTCTTCTTCTCCTCGTGTACGATATTCCTAGACAGTACGGCCAAATAGCGAGTTGCTTTCCTCTTCTCATCCTATTATAGCTGATTGTCAGGGCCCTTGCCATGTAGACCAGGACGAGCACGTGAGCTTCCTTACTTGGATTAGCGTGGCGCGTGGATAGGAGTACGTCGTCCAGCTTCACGTAGACCTCTTCCTTTTTCCTTCCTCTTCATGCTTGAAGTTCTCGTCGATAGCTGCCTAGATAGTCGAATAGCATCCTATTCATCGTCTAGTTGAGCTCCGTGACACTGATCGTCACAGAGCCATTGTACAGCCAGTGGGTGTTTAAATAGTTGCCTCAGTGGATAAGGCAAGGGCACTGTGAGCTTTATGGTCTAGGCCCAGTGCAACAGCAGCACATAGCACGGGTCCAGTCGGTTTTTTGAGTTGGGGCCTTTATCAGTCTTCTCAGTAGTTTGCTGATCTGCTCTTAAGACTAGGATGTAGAGCCTCCAGCTCTACACTGCTCTCTCATATATATATAAGGCAGGACAGGACAGGCACCGTAACTGTAAGCGGTAGTGTGCGACAGTGTGCTAAGATAGCTAGATACGGTCTTGTACGAAGGAGAGGTAATAGAGGGAAAACGTAGGTATCTTCGTCGCTGATGATCGTACGGAGGTGCGCGATCCTGGGGAAGATATTCTAGATACACGTGATTAATATGCCTGAGGCGGCTAACTTAGCATGCCTGTAAGGTCTGTTGGCGATGTCCTGGAAGATAGAGTCAATCTTCAGCTGGATTATCTTGCTGAGCCATTCCATGAGTGGGCTAGACGGCAAATAGACCCAGCATATGATGACTGGAAGAATAACAAAGATATGGCTTTAGAATTCAGCTACCAGCTTTATGTCGAGATGAAGAAAGGAGTCCAGCTTCCACCACCAGGAACACAGAATATCACGCATTTTAAAAGGCCGATAGAAGAGTGCGGACATTGAACATCTCATTTGATTTGGCATGAAAAGCAGTTTGCTGTTATCTCTTGTAGTTACAGTCGGAGTCGAAAACAGATTCCACATATACTCACGAATTATTTCCCGAGCCCTAACTTGAAGCACCCTAGTCTGAATTTGGATACTTCTTCTGCAACCCGTGCTTAGCTGTATTGTGCTATTTTCGGTTATGAAACGTGTTGTGAAATACCGTAGGCATCCATTGAATGTTCTTTGTACAGTAAGTAGCCCAAACGAAGTGGAAGAGCCTAGCAATGAGGATACAATTAGAACATTGATTTATCCTATTGTGGCGGATCCACCCATGAAGGTCGACTTTGGCGATGTCCTGCCATTAAGATCAACGAAATCCTTAATGTACCGGCCGCGGCCTCCGGCATACTTATGTATGGTGGAGCCCGTGGCGGAAGGGGTAGGTAGTTTCGAGAATTGAGCATACTTTTGGTTTCTAAGTTACTTCACTAGCATCATTTTCGTCGTCGTGTTTCTTCTTTTATTATATCGTTTCCTTACTAGATCGTCCAGTGTGTCCATCCCTGAGATCCCTCGATCATAACCCGGTTCCTGTCGCAGGGAACAACGCACGTACGCCCCCCTTTACAATGTCACTGTTGCTGTAGTTGAGAGAGATACCCAAGATAGCTATGCAAAGAACCAAAACCGTCCTATCCACATGTAGAAGGCAAAAACTACCAGAGGCCAGGATTCAAGCAGTGTGAATACCGAAAGTAGAATTATGTATGTACATATAAATAAAAAGAGGGGTATCATACCATACTAAACCAGTCAAGTCAATCATCAGATCCATGCCTTCTTTCTTCTCTCTTTTATGCGTGGCAGCAAAACTTTCATTTTGAATCAATCAATCAACCTTCATATCCTCCCTCTCCTTTCTATCCACCACAAATGCAGTCAAGTAGATCATGAACTCGAAAGGGTTAACTTAATCCCCGCACTATCCCTATGATGATGAATATCAAGAAGGCGAGGAGGAGTAGTTGTCCGGAAACGAGTGACGGGGTGTCATGATAATACTCTTCGTCTTCTTCGTCTTCTTCATCTTCGGGTAGGCTATCTTGTTCTTGTTCCTTGTAGTCGGGTAGGTTTTTGCTAGCTCTTTTGTGGGTTGTTGTTCGTGATGATTGTTTTGGATTGGAGAGGATCAAGTCGATATCGATATCGATATCGTTGCTGGTTGGATCTCCATTCCCACCAAAGTCACTGTCGCCATCATGTTCTTCAGCAATCATTAAACGGACAGCATTCGCTCCTTCAAACCTCCTCTTTTCGAATACTGACCCCCTGAATGCATCATGGGCTATTGTTGCTGTCGTTGTAGCGGCTGGTCTTATCTCTGGTGGTACCGCCGCCGCAGTAACAGTGACGGGGTGGATACCAGTGAAAACGACTAGGGGTACGAGGAGGAGCATGATTCTGATAGATAAATTCAATAGTTAGTTGTTTTTGCCAATTAGAAAAGAAAGCATACTCACAATGATAATGATAACCACTGCTTGTTGGATTTAGATTTGGGTAGGATGGAGTGAGGATCGGTGTTTATCAGTTCCCGTTCGTATTACTATCATCTCCAATTAACTTTCCATGAACCTAGATAGATACTTTATAAGATACAAGAGTGGCACCACAGAATAAGACTCGGTTATATCTGATAACAGTCAATGGACTTAATGACAATTTCCGTCTTGGCCTGCGACTATCATGGCTTATCAATCATCACTAATATGTTATTCAGTCCAGCTTCATCAAGAGCGTGGCAGGTGCCACTGCACTGCACTGCGGGGGTGGATGCTTATCCCAGGCGATCGAGGTAATCCCCGGCATATACGTCACCAACGTTGGCATCCACCTGCGAAGGCGCAGCAGCAGCAGCCGTGGTGCTACTACCAGGCATGGTCTCGCTCTCCATGCTGCTGTGGTCTTCGAGCAAGTCAGTGAGTGCCATCCTGTCCAGACCCTCCTGTAACTGTCCTCTTGCTTTAGCGAGAAGAAGAAAATCCTGTTTCCTGGCGCCGCCGTTTGCAAAGTCCTGGTAGCTCTTTGCTAGGGCTCGTCGTTCTTCTTCTGCTGTCATCTCTTCATTGTCGGTGGCTCCAAAGCCAAACGACAAGTTGGAAGCCGCAATTTGGTTGCCGGCCGCACATTTGCAGTTGCAGATGTGGCCATTTGAGCAAGGTTGCATACATTTATGTCCGCAAGGATTCTTCTTCCCACAGATTTCGCTGCAACTGACTCGATCGTGTGTGAAGCTAAAAAAGAGAAAACACCATCTTTAGTCACATATACGTATAATAGTAATAATAACAATAAAAGCTTCAATTGATCATCATACCTGTGGCATCGAAGGCTGCACTTGTGGCCGCAAGAGAGATTCTCATTACACACGATTCGACATCCTCCATTTATACCGGTCCACTGAGTCGGCTCTGTAGTAGAATATGTCCTATTAGCGAAACCCTCCAGATTGGTTAAGAATGAATCAGGCCACAAACCGCGAATAAAAGTTTTGTTCTTATGCCTGGAGCATTGCAAAGGTAAATGGAACCCTAGTCGTCTTTTCTCTGCTTCATCATTGCCCATCATATGAATAATCTCCCACCACAGTCGATCCGCCGATGCCAGCGATCTTGCATTTCCAAATATGAAGAGGCCACGTTTGGCACGGGAGAGAGCAACGCAGACTCTGTTCTCCACGGAAAGGAATCCAATGCGGTCGTGCGAGCTGCTCCTGACCAGTGAGAGGATGATGACCTCGTTCTCTTCACCCTGATATGAATCGACCGTCACCACTTTCACGTAGGTCCCTTGGAGATACGGATGGTTCTTGAGTAGTCTCAAAAGCCTTTTCCTCTGCCCATTGTAAAACGTCAAGACGGTTATATCCGTCACTGCGACTCCGTTCAGCACTAGGTGGAGGAAAAACCCTACTATCATATTCGCCTCCATCTCATTGAACTTTGATGCCAGACTGTCCGTACTTTCTAGCCACTTATGGCTGAAAAAGAAACATGCAATATCCCCCATTCCGGGGACGCCTGGCCGATTCTCCACAGAAGGGTGGTCTTGCAGTTCATCACCATAGATTGGTGTGAGTAATCGCCGTATTTCGGGTGCCATACGTCTTTGCCTCGTCAAGGTCATGTAAGAAATCCCATTATTCACAAGCCGTTCGAACATGGACATGTCGAGAAAGAACGGATCTCCTGCGAGTTCTTGTACCGTACAATGCCCCCTGAGCTGCTTGTGGTCGCCCACAAGGATGAGATGTTGAAGTGATTCAACACAGGAAGTAGCAACTGGAGCCTCGATCACCTCAGCTGCTTCTTCAATCATGATGATCTTCGGCCTGAGGCTCGAGACAAGAGCCCGGTACTTCGTCAAACCTGTCGTCGTCATCCCAACGACCTTTGCACCTCGGAGAATAGTATAGTCGCGCTCCCACTTTCCGATTTGAAGATCTCTGCAGTTGAGATTGTAAAGTTCTACAAGCCTGCGGAAGTCATGGAGAATTTCCACCTTCGCTAGCTGTCGAAGCTTGTTGTAAACTGCTCCACGAACCTTGGACGGTATCTTCCACATATCACGGCGTCTCAGGTACTCTGAAATAGCTTTCTCGGAGCAAGAAATCGCATTCCGCCCACGGAATCCTTCTTTGAGGCCCATGTATTGGCCCTTGAGCGCTTCCTGATCATCATCGTCGAGCCCTTGTTCCGCTTCAAATTCCTTGAGTTGCTCATATTCCAGATCGACCTCATCCTCCACGAAGCCAAAGTTCTCTGTTGTATAATTAACTTCATACTTCACCACTTCATCGCCAAGCCAGGCAATTAGTGGGTCAACTTCTTCGTCACAGCCTGGGCGTCGCCAGCTTTTTGAGCCGCTTTCGAGGGAATCATACTGAGTTTGTGTCAGGAGTCCGTGATCCAGAAAGAACGAAGCCGGAAGTGGCGCGTCGCCATTAGCCTTACTGAAAGCTTTCAGGTGGCGTACAATGGACGCAACGATGCGCCCAAATGATTTCCTTGCCGGGCTAAAAAGCCCCCCGTGAAGGTTCTCGACGGGTTCCCTTTGCCTGACGGCAAACAGAGTGCGCTTTCTGATCTCGACGTCAGTACTGCGAGCACCCAGACGGATGTAATTCTTCTCAAAGGATGAGACGTGAGTCAACAGTTGGTCAAGAGCATGATTTGTCTGAGCCGCAATGATAATCGGGGGATCGTCGGGTTGTGCGTTGCTGAGCATGATTTTCAACGCAATCACAGAGACGTGAGTTTTGCCCGTTCCTGGAGGGCCCTGGATGATGGCCAGTTTCTTAGTGAGTATGCACTCCAAAGCGGACCACTGAGAAGCGTCGAGATGGTCGCTCAGTGGCCGTTTGGGCCACGATTTCAGCAAGTTAATCTTGCCATTGTCCAAGTTTCCGAAGGCTGGCCGGATATCAACAACGGGGTTCTCCTTGATGTATTCCGGGGCATCGATTGTGGGATCTAGGTGACAGATATGATTTTGAAGAGGAAACCTGGTAGATACTTAGCATCTGTTGCCAATAGCAAGACCGCAATGTAGGAGCGCTCCTCCTTACTCTTCCCTCGCCATCCTTTGAAGCGCGGTCATCGTATGCCTTGCCGACTCGTAGTAGCCAGAGCGTGACTCCACCATAACCCACTCTTGCTGGGGGTCAAAATGGACATCTTCGGATCGAGAAAAATAAAGATCCACCTCTGCAGGCTGCATTTTCACGCCTTCCAAAGGCCTCGCTGCGACGACAGCAACGATGCACTCTCTGCGGAAATAGTCTTGGACCGGGGATAGAGCGACGATGGTACCGCTCATCAGGCGTTTGGAGTATTCCCATACAATGTTCTTCCCAGAGCGGTTGGTGGAGAACTGGATGCGGAAAGCCAGTCCTTTTTGAGCAAAAGTGATGCCGACGATATGAACCTGGGTTGAGCTGGAGTCAATCACTGGGGGCAGAAGAAGGTCCTAGGAAGGAAGGACAGGACAGTACCTTCTCATAAATGGCGACAGTCTGGGAATCCATCATCTGCGGATCCTCCCTGACATAGGCAACGGCATCTCTCAAGGGTGCAACGGCATCCTCTCTGAGCAGCTCGTAATGGGATTTGAGATACAGATCTTTTGACAGCCAGGGACCAGTAACCTTGTTTGGAGCCAATTCGACACAGTCGTCATCCGAAGATTCTGCACCGATGATCTCCTCTGAGGAGGGAATCTCGGGCCTGGAGAGCCAGTCACCTTCATCTGCGGACTGTTCGGCTTGGGAGAAGTACTTCTTGATTGCTGGGTTGGCGATGTTAACGAGGACGGAGTCGCGAATATCAAAGGTCTGGTTGTCTCGACGAGTAGTGGGATCCATGACTGCAGGGGCAGCCAGCGTTGGCCTGGGTCTGGGAGTGTCGAACTGGGAGTGGTAGGAAGGAGAAGGCAAGTCCAGGAAGGAAATTGGATGAGAAGTCTGGCTTCTTATAGGGAAGCGTGACGGACAGTGCAGGCCTGAAGTTATTCACTGCAGGGTCCAGCCTGCAGAAGAGGTGAAGACAGCTGCTTTGAGGGTCAATTCCTGGAGGCAACTTCGATTCACCATCACTGGAAGAGAACAGAACCTCTTCCTCTGGGAGATGCCAGAGATGCTCTGGTCGAGCATTGTATCTTGAGACTGAGAAGCCATCTGGGATGTTGTTTGCAGTCAATCTAAGCTGTTTGAATTCCTGTTGTTCTGTTTGCATTGAGAGCAGTGTACACTATATTAATGCAGATAAAGTATAGTATGTTGGAGGTCACGTGGGTTATGCCCCATGTTAATGGAGGTATATCGTTGGTTGGTTACTAGCTAGATAGGCCTACGTGGAAAGGGTCAGCGAGGGCGGACCTATGCGGCAGAATCCCACGTGATCCAATACATGTAGACCGTCCTTGACTGGCCTAGCACAGCCGGTTTAAGCACCTGGCTAGATACTAACTACTAGCAAGCATCCAGTTCCTTCATAATGTAATAATCTCTGTGCAGATCATCCTTATCTAATAATCATTATCAAATCTCCGTATCCACTCCTATCTTTAAACCCCTGAACAGTAAAGTTGCAAGCTTGCCATTTTGTGCAGCAATCGCGCCATCCGCGCGGGATGTGATTATGCACAGTATATAATAAGAATATTCTGTAAGTATAAAGTAAGCATGACCCCGTGCTGCAGGATTCTCGACGCAGATCTGCAGTATCTTAATTATTCTTAATATTCTTAATTTCCTAGCAGACAACTATGTCCCATCCTGACAAAAAAGACGGCTATGTCGACGCCCTCGATGCCGTCGACGCCGAAAGCGCCAGTTCCCCCGACATCTTGGCTGCTCTGGTTGCCGAGGGTGAGTGCTCTACGGCATTTATTTAATAGTAAAGTCCATGCTGACATGATCTTGTTCGTTCTTTAGATCACCAACATGATATCAAGCTACGCACCATGTCGTGGCACAAGGCGGCCTGGTTGCTCGCAGGAGATCAGGTCTGTCTTGCCATCATGGCCCAGTCATGGTCTCTCTCGTAAGTTGCTCTCGTCGATGCTCAATCCCAATAATCGCCTTCACGCTAGACTGATAGTTGGTCTCTTGCAGCGTTTTGGGCTGGGTTCCAGGAATCATCACGATGGTGGTTGCGGCTATCTTCTTTTGGATCACCTCCATTACTATGCACAAGTACATCATGAAGCACCCCCAAATTATGGATATCTGTAGGTTCTCTTCTTTTCTTTCTCTTTTTTGGTCTTCTCCAGCTCAACCCTTCAATAGGTGATTTTGGATACTACGCCTTTGGAGAGAGCAAAATTGCCTACATCTTTTCCGGATTCATGTTGCTCGCCAACAACATCATTCTTATCGGCTTCCACATCCTTACCGGTGCCAAGGTCATAAACACTCTGTCCGATCACTCGCAGTGTACTGTCGTCTTTTCGGTGATTGTCATGTTGATGGGTATCGTGCTGTCCATCCCAAGGACACTGGCCCATGTCTCGTTCATGTCCATGTTCTCAGGTGAGTACCACTTTAGCCCTACATTCTTGAACTGTCGTTCTGACCTCACAGCCTTCTGCATGGGAATGGCCATCCTCCTCTTCCTCATCTTCGCCGGTATCGAGAAAGCCCCTCTGGTCGGATACAATGGAAACTACCCCTCCGACGGCCCAGTGAGAACCTACGCCTTTCCTCTCCCCGGCACCACTTGGGTCGCATGCTTGAACGCCGTCTTGAATATTACTTTCCTCTGGGTTCCTCAGATCTTATTCCCGAGCTTCATCGCCGAGATGGAAAAGCCACAGGACTTCCCTAAATCTCTCGCCATCCTCACCGTCATCTCTATCATCCTATTCATCGTGCCCCCGGCCATTGGATTTAGGTATCTGGGCCAATATTCCACCGCCCCTGCATTCGGCAGTCTGGGCGTCGTCAAATACAAGAAGGCGTCCTTTGCATTCGTCATTGTCCCCACCCTTATTATCGGCGTCATCTACGCCAACGTCACTGCCAAATTCATCTACACCAGGATCATGCGCAAGTCGAGGCACGCACACAGCAACACCGTCGTTGGATGGGCCGTCTGGTTCCTCGTGATGGGCGCCATCTGGGCTGTTGCTTTCATCTTCTCCGAGGTCGTCCCGAGCATGGGAGACTTCCTCTCTCTTCTCGGTGCGGCTTTTGACTCCTTCTTTGGCTTTATCTTCTTCGCTGTTGCCTATTGGCAGCTCTTCAGGGGGAATCTGTTTACCGGTCTCGGCAGGACGGTTATGACTTTGATCCATTTTGTTGTTCTGCTTAGCGGGTTGTTTCTGCCTGGCCCGGGACTTTATGCGGCTGTTGAAGCCATCATTGCTGATTACACGGCCGGCGTTTCGCCGGCTTTTAGCTGTGCCAATTTAGCCATCTAGACTTGGGCTTGTTGAGTCAATTTGAGGTGTGTATATATAGCCCTTCATGAAGATTTATGTTCAGAACAATCTAGTATCTCTTGTCTACAAATAGGCTTGGTTAAGGAGTGTATTAAACATATGTCCTCCGTTTAAGCAACTATCGCCTGCCACGCTCCTGCACATTTTGCCCACACATCACCCATACAATCCTCAGGCAGCATCATGGCTTTCATCATCTGCAACACCATTTACTTTCTATTAAGTTTCACAAGGGCACGGAAAATGGCCTCCTCAGCACCCCACCAGCTGATGGCTAGCTGGCATCTAGCCACCATGGTTGAAAGCCCAGTCACTCCCAACGCCCCACTCAATCTTTGTTTCTGTTACGGTGCCTGTCCTGTCCTGTCCTGCCTTGGATATATATGAGAGAGCAGTGTAGGGCCGGAGGCTCTATATCCTAGTCTGCCAGTGCAGCGGTTAAGCTTCTGAATGCTCCCGGAGGTCGCACCGTGACAGTTTCCATCCAGTTGGCACCCAAGTCATCAGGATCAGCTCTTCCTTCATTTGTTACTGCTCTTTTCTATTTTGCCGGAGTCTGTCACTACCCCAAACCTCTCAATAGCTTTGCCCTACAGTCAGCATAAGTCTTTAGCCACACCTTGTCAAAGACAGCGGTATGCCAGCAACAAACAGAGCAAATGAAGCAAAAGAGACAGATAGGGTACTCAGGCGTTGGACCTGAGTTGCCATATGCCTGGGCGTAGCCCATGACAATACATTCGGACACATTGACTATCCGCCTGAATTAGCCGTCTTCTTTAAATTCCCAACTGCAATAATAATAATAACAATACATACTGCACCAGTCGTTGGCTCTTATCTACAATAATAGTTCGTCATGCATGGCATATTGGGCCCGGGAATGGGGGAGGAAATAGGAGGCGAGGGCAGCTGCCTGCCCTCAGCCCTAGCCCTGTGCCCTACTTGCTCAATCTGCTGGCACCTTCTAAGACGTGCCAGGGTCACATGCTGACGGTCATACCTCAGGTATGGTCGTCACAATGACATCCTGGCTCATGCTCTCTCAAATGTGATGAAGAGAGTGAATGCATATTCTGTGTCTGGCAATAAGAAAGTCTGCTTTGGAAAAGCTTCCAAAAAGCCTGCTTCCAGGGAGTTCTGCACATGGTGTTTTGTGGGTTTATCAGCTAACAGCTGTTAACATTCATTTGGCTTAGGGAGGGATTCGGATTCAGATTTATACACCGTCCCAATCAGTCACTATCCATGGCTGGTGCCCCCCAGCAGTAGAGATAGTGTCTGAGCTACATCTGCATCACTCCGAGCTTATCCCAACCCAGCCAATTCCCCCGAGGGATAACAAAGTTATGCGGACCACGTCAGGTTACATAAAGCGAGGGCGCTTGTTCCATTATATGTTATTGGCTGGGTACTCAGATTCCCTATTTGCGGCTGAACCAGTTAGTTAATCCGGTAGTACGGAGTATCTCCTCGGCCCTACATGCTGACTAGCGAAAGATAGCAGGGCCATCATCTAATAGAAAAGGAATTTCATCTGCAATCATCCCAATCATCCCGAAACTCCACCTGCTGCATGGTTCGTTGGGTTCTCGTTTTCTTTATTCCTCCTGATCCTCTCTTATCAGTACCTAGCTGGCGTCCTGGTCACAACAGAAGAGTGCTATTTCCAAAGACATGGTTAAACATGCTAACCTTTCTACAGGGATGATGTCCCTTTCATGTTCAGGGGCTGTGTTAAGTCATTACTATCCGGAATATTATGGAGGAAGCAGCTCAGTTGATCTTGAGACCGCCTCCTCATCTTACTCAGGTAAATGGTACAACCTGTGCCTCCCTGTCAAGTGAGACTGTCTCACTGCAATCTCTCCAAGAATGGCCCACCTTCGAACAGGATGTCCTGCAAGCTTGCTCTGGTCTTGATCTGAGTCTGCCAGTTCCCCTGACTGATGATCAAAGTGAGAATTTCATTGTTGGCAGCGAACTTGGATTGACTGGTCGGTTTTCCAAGCATATCTGCGATGCAGTTACAAAGGCACTCCCAGCCACCAATCTGTCAAACCTGAAGTGTGGAGATTGCCAGGTGCTAGAACCAACTGATGAGAAGAAAAGATCCCTGATATTGTCATAGTCAATTCAACAGACTCCATGGCAGTGGCAGTGGGAGAACTAAAGCCCTTTTGGACTGTCCAACTTGAACAATCTCCAATCAGTGAAGGGCTCTTTCTTTGGTACCAATTCAGGCTCACCTGGATAAATCATTTGCTATCTATGCTTGAAAATCAGTTTAACACTTCCAAAATCCCTCCACAGGCCAATTGACAAGGTTGCTGGATTGCGTGTAGCGTAAAAGCTGTTGAACAAAAGCAGTATCGACGGCCAAACTGGTCAGAACATATTGAGCTACCTTTTTCGGTTGTCATCTCGGCTTTCCCCTCTCTTGCCTATACGTATAGCAGGACCGTTCCAATAAATGCCGTATCAACCTGAATCTACTTTCTCTAGGGCATCAGGACAACTGAGCGAATGGAGAGCGCAGAGGAGCCATTCCGGCGGCGTACCTGTCGTCTTGTAGGATACTTCATTTCTTTTTATACTGGGTAACTCTTGCTTTGGATGATTTGCCACCTGAGCTTCATTTGGTCCCCATCAGCGTTTTGCATGCATCATTTTTCTCATGGGTAAACCGACGGGTCTGGGTAATTTGAGGATGGGTAATCAGGCTACCTGCACAAAATGCAGGGGGCAGCTCATGGCGGCACACAACCTATCACTCAGCAGACTGAGAAGACCCTGAGTACTCACCTGTGATGTGAGATGCTCACTGATCATCACCCTGAGTGCCCTCACGAAGGTGGTGGCATCCAGAAGGGGAAAGTCTGTATAGTGGCATAGTTAGATCTAGCTATATCTTAGATAAGGTTTTCCGCCTAAGGCATCAATGTTTATCCATTTCCTCGAAATAAAATAACAAATACCCTTAACACAGCAATCACCATCGCAATCTCAATACCACACCAACAGTGTTCCACACACACCCACAAGAAAAAAAAAAAGACAAAAAAGAAATGACGTCCCACCGCGCAGATGCAAGCACCCTCCTCGACAACCGCGGCTACGCCGGCCCCCTAATCCGCGGCGTGAACCCAGCCACCCTCTTCGAAAAAGCCGTCCGCGACCGCATCACAGATTCCTATTACTGGAAGGAACAATGCTTCGGGTTAAATGCAGCGACGCTGTGCGATCGTGCCGTCGAACTCACCTACATTGGCGGCACGTACGGGGTGTCGGAGAAGCCGTCGCCGTTTCTCTGTCTTGCGTTTAAGATGTTGCAGCTTGGGCCGGAACGGGATATTGTGCTTGAGTATTTGAATTTTACCGATCATGATCTGCATTCTGGGGGTGATGACGACGATGGGGATGGGGGAGAGGATGATAATGTCGTCAAGACAAAAGGCGACTTCAAATACCTCCGCGCCCTGGCCGCGTTCTACGTACGCTTAACCTTTGACCCGGCGGACGTGTACAAAACGCTAGAACCATTGTTGCTTGACTACCGGAAGCTGAAACGACGGTTACGCGATTCGTTTACGCTGACGCATATGGATCAGTTCGTGGATGATTTGCTCACGAAGGATCGGGTTTGCGGGACAAGTTTGTGGAAGTTGCCACCGCGGCAGTTGCTGGAGGATTTGGATCTGTTGGAGGAACGGGTTAGTCCGTTGGCTGCCGAGTTGGAGGAGCTTGATGAGGAGCGGGAGGAGGAGAATGAGAAGGCTGGAAGTCAACGTGCGGAAGACGAGGATTGAGTTTGGTCGGACCTCGTGCAGCGTTTATAAGGCATTCTTTCATTTTGCCTCGCTTTTAAAAAAGGGAGACTGTTGCACTTCTCTGGACTACGGTTTACGAGAGAAATGCTATCTTCTATTAAGCGGATGGAGATTGCCACCCCCCTTTCGAAAGGCAGATGCGCGGTCCTGGCTTGACGTCCTCGTGATGAACGCTCTAGACTACAGATGCTGAGAGCTTAGCCGGTCGAAGCTGAAAAGAACTGTGAGATGGGCTCTAAGATGCCTGAGTGGTCACGTCTACGAGGGTTCAAAGCTCCATGGTCGTTCCGGAGACGTACGAAGGCACGAGCACAACATGGGACGCTTCAGCTAAAGAAAGACAAGGTTATCCAGACCTTGGAACTCAGTTCTAACTAAGCTCTAACCATTTAAGACCATCCAGTTCGTTAGAATTGAGAATCGAATACAAAAGTCCGCATACAATGCTGGACACCCCCAATAGGACTTCATTGTTCATGTGTAGATTGCTATATCCAGGAGAAAGCTAGCTCCCCTCTATCATTGTAAAAAGCACGGCCCAAACCCAGCAGGTGGTACCCAAAGGGGCCAATATGAAGAACAAAAAAATAAATGCAAGGAACACATCTAAAACCCCTGTTGGCGATGCCATTTTTCCTCCCAATTTTTAAACCACGGACTTTCCTCCAGCGTGGACACCTCCCAGTTCTCGGGGACGAGTCCATTTTCTTCTTGCTCCTTAGCCCATTCTTCCAGCTTCGGCAAGACAACATGTTCCACGTGCCAGGTATTCTTGTACTTCATTAAGTTCTTCTTTCCCTCCTTCAGGATCTTTGCAACAAGAGCCGGTACGCCTGGTTCGTCCCGGAACTCGGTGACGGGCGTGAAGAGAGCCTTGAAGTTGAATACGATTCCGCCGGATAGAGGGAGACGGCGGAGGGTTTGCCAGTCTACGCGCAGATAACAGTCTGAGAGCGGCAGGTTGGGGTTCTGAGATAGTCGGTGTAGTTCGTGAGGGTCGCCACTGGGCATGTAAAGGGGTTGTCCGACCTCGAGACCCCAAGAGCCTCGTTGGATAGGCTTGTCTGTTGGCATCTTGGAGAAGAAACTGCTCGTTTGTAAGATATAGTCCAATAAGCAGAAGAGAGGAGAGGCACCTACCGATCCATTGAGAACTGCATCTTTTCCTTGTAATCCGGGATCGGGGCATGGATTTCATGAAGCTGAAGCCCAATCTTGGTCGAGACATTCCAGCCCAATGAGGAGCAGATGACACCAGCTCGGAAGAAGTAATAGCCAGTCGCATCGTCCCGCATGGTAATCCCATAGTCTTCGGGGACATGGTCCAGCAGGATCTCCAAGGGATGCTTAGACCTGATATCCTGTTCCACGCCGAGGATTCTATTCTGAAGAATGTGGTTGTCCACCAAGGAGAAGTACTGCGGATATCGGCTACAGATGAACTGCAACACCATTTCCATAAGCTCCTTGCAGGCCAGTTCAGATCCAGGAAGATAGTCAAGCACGGCTTTACCGTGCTTAGCGTACAGCTCCTTGCGCTGAGCAACCCGGAACTTGTATGTGTTCTCAAGCTCAACCCACCAGTCCGTTTCCAATTTGGTCAATGCTGTGGCAACGCAAAACGATTGTTTGGCTAGGTCAGAACCCCAATCATGATTGGATATCCAGGATGGTTGATGGACGTACACATTGTCTGATGATAAACCCATCGAAACGGACGATAGGGTCTGGGAAGTGCCTTGTCGATGTCAAACTCACGGTAGGGTCGTGGCAGAGGCACCCCACTAAGTCCTGCATAGTCTGGGAAGTCACCCAATGCTTTCACCTCCTTTACTGAAATCCCCGTTGGCGTGTATTTCCCGTCTGGACTACTTCTGTAGTCTGCAGACATGGGCAGAATATGCTTCTTCACCTCCTCCTCATCGACTGCATGATCCTTCAGATCTGGCAGTGCTTGCCGACGTTGGGGTGGAAAGGCATCAGAATAGCTGGACGGCGACGTAGGACTAGCAGCAGGTTTCTTCTCGGGCGATAGTGAACGTGGGGGAGTTCTAGCAGTTGACGCCTTTCGGCCATGAAGCCTTACTCCAGCCCAGAGGGACTTTCCAAGCGCTCTCTCCAGAGCAAAACAGAGCCCGGTCAGTGAGATGGCAACAAGGCCAAAGAACCAAACACTGTCCGAAGCCTTGAGCACGTCCATTGGGAGCTTTAGTCCATCCGGATTGGGATGATATTATTCGTAGGGAAAGAAACAAAAGAGAGAAACGGAGTTCTCAAGCAGTAAATAGAGCGAGCGACCTTGAAAGCACAGAAGAAATCAAAGAGACCCCTCAAAATGGAAGAGACGACATTATTAGATATAAGAGTCCAGCGCCAAGCGGGCCATCCATCATTGCCAGCAGCAGCCCAGGGACAAATACACCCAAAGCGACATGGGGGGGGGATGGGATGCCTTTGATGCATCAACACCCATGCTCCGGTATTCCGTACAGGGACAGGAATTGGAGCGGGGACAACTTCCAATCTGAGGAGCCGAAGTCGAGCAAGCATTATCAAGTAGCAATATGATTCGGCAGCCAGCGTCAACTGAGGCAGAATTCGAGTGCTTTTACTGAGTTTGGAGAGAATATGCAGATAAGGAGATAAGGATGACTTGCATCCAGAGCCTGGGGCGAAAGATCAACGGCGTATCAACTGTGGTTATTGACCTGCTTGGCCGGAGGTCCTGGATTGTAGGATTGTGCCTCCTGGGCTTGACTTCGCGGCAGCGTCGTCCTCGTAACGCGTCCAGCAAGGAAGAGAGAGGCAGCTGTCTGTCCAGCATCGACGTTGAATTACTTTCACTGCCGGAGTAGTGTGTCCTCAGGGCGGACTTGACGTAATCCGTCTTCTTTGTTATCTGTAATCGGGACAGAATACTGTCTGCCTGCATGCGTCGAAAAGGAACACCGCAGCGATAGACAGAAGGGAAGAAAACGCGTTGGAGGACCGACTGTACCAAAACGGAAAGGCGCCGTCTGGGGGTGTCTCTTCCCAATGCGGTAAAAGTATCCCTGCTCTTCACTTCAAAGATATTGGGATTATCTACTCCGTATTTCCCGGAATCAATCTATCCATCCTAGGGACAAGGGGGGAAGAAAAGTAAACACACCATGCCGTCGCGAGACAGCACAAACAGCTCCATACTATGCCATCCTATCATTATTCAGTAGTTTATTCTAAGTAATCGCACATCAATCCTCTAGCAATTGCGCATCATACAACCCGATTCGGACAAACCGCGTACCTCGCAAACCATACACGCCGTTGAAGCTCGCCGATTGCGATGGTCGTCCACCGACGCTCCACGAGAACAACGAAGGAAAATAGACTAGGTACAGGGGCAAGACGCAAAGCAAGGGGAAAACAGCAGTGAAACATAAAGATACGCAACGGAACAGCCGCGCCGCATGGATACAATTGCCCCCAGCGAATATGCTTTCAATGCGTATGGAAAGCCATAGCCTGATCAAAGTGCATCGAATCGACCTAGGTCGAATTGGCCTCTTCTGTCTTATGATTTATCGTGACTCGTTGTCATGATGGCGTCGGCCCTTCTCAGGGAGAATGTAGGATGTAGATGGTCTTCGGTTTCAATCCCGTAATGATTTTGACCAGGATTGATGTGGTCTGACTCGCAGGCCGTATTGGCCAAATATGGTGTGCAAGGGGTCGATCCGAGTCCATTTCTCTCCTCGTTCAAAATGCGATGCAAGAAAAGACAAAAGAAGGCAAAAAGGACAAAAGAAAAGTAAAACTCCAGTTAGGAAAAGATGATAACAAGCAAATAATTATGTATGCTGTTGAGGTATCACTGGACCGCTATTTCGCTTTTAATCACCAAAGTGTGCAATTAGAATCGAGAGGAGGAATAAGCCGAACTAGAAGGGCGAAAGGAAATGGTGGAAAGATTATCTTATCTCCGTTAATTAATCGGGATTCGTCAACTAATGAGATCAGCATGTCAGTCCAATATCCCGGAAGCCTGGTCCGACGGGAAAAGCCTTACGCGTAGGACGGGACGAGAATAGTCCTCGTTATCTTGTAATGATACACTGCTATCTCGGCGACCGTTGGGGAACAGAATCGTGTCCGTCTTCAAACGATTATCGGTGAACGTTGGCATTCGCATAGTGGTACTCGAGGATCCTGCTAAGGAAAACATGTGAGCATGATGTCCCTGAAGTTGGCCGGTATATTATGTTGTTGGAGATTCCTCACTTTGTCGTCCGTCCGGTAACATGTTCTGTACACTTCCAGCATATGAAGTATCCCGCGAGCGAGAGCGACGTTTTGCGATGTAGAATCCCACGGCAGCAAGAATTAGGGCCACACCACCAACGCAGCCAATGACAACACCAGCAATGCCTCCGCCACTCAGGCCAGAGCTTTTGTGGTCTGGATGAACAGTCGGTTGAGATGTTGGCGTGGCGTGGATCGTAATTGGTACTATCTGGCCCACACTTTCGGATGACGTTGTCTCGGCTGGCGCTGAGGTAGTGGTGATCTGGAGTGATATGTTAGTTCTCAAGACGCCCCAAATGGAAAGCAAAATAGCACGGGGAAAACCGAGCGATGGCTTCCAAGTAGATTGATACTAACCGTGGATGAGGATGAGGATGATGAGGAGGAGGATGTGGATGAATGGGATGTAGATGATGTAGATGTCGTCGAGGTCGTTCCTCCAATTGTGGTCGATGGTGCATGGAGAGACATTTCAATATAGGCGAAAAGGTTATCGGACAAACTCCCACAGGGGTCGTTAGGATAACCCGGACATCCGGTATTGCAATCGGAGACATCGGTCGTATCCCCGGGAGCATCGTTTGAGCACCAGCAGTAGAATTTCTGGAGAATGCCAAAGGCGTACTCAGCATTGCATACGTCCTGGCAATTGCCAACCGACTGAAACGTGCTGTAGTCTTTGAGATCGGGTCAGCACGCAGCAGCTCAAATACAGAGGACAGACGATATCGACATACTCGCTTTGAAAGAGGATCCGGTATTCTGTTTCGAGCAATAAGTGGCGTCCGTAGCGAGGATTGGGCGCGCGAGAAACGCAAAGAGCGGCAAAAGTACCGTCGACCGCATGATGAAAGAGGGCGAGGGCGCAGATCAGTGCCGAGTGTTGTAAAATGGGTCTATTCTTTCGACGATCTCCAGAACGGTGACAATCCCCGTGTTTTCCCTTTTCGTTCCACCGATGCCTCCCAGTCGGATTTTGAAGAGAATCGGACGACGGTGGAGAAGGAATCACCGCTTACGGATTGATCGGTTTCTGCAGTGTCTAGCACAGCAGAGAATGAATCGGGAAGGATTAAATGTTGAAGATGACACAAACGGGGATTCTGCAACGAGTGGAACAGAACTCCAGTCAGGAGAGGTTGTGGAGGTCGCTTTCCTTCGTGTAGTTGAGAAGAAACGAGTCTAAACGGACTCCATCAGCCATGGCGTTTGGCAGGGGGGAAAGAGACTGGACAAACCTCGACCTTACCCCAGGACGGAGTGTGGTTTCTTTTCTTGATTCTTTGTCTTCCCAGACCAGGACTGCCCGCCGTGCCTTCACCTTTGGTTAGGTGCAAGAACAGGCATGGGTGCAGGAAGAATGAACAGCCGTATGGATGTCAGAGGATGAAAGACATCGTCGGGCTCGACGATGGAGCAGCGTGACCAATTGAGGAGAAACGAATGGCAAAGCAGCGTCGGTCAAGCGACCGTCGAGAGAGAGTCAAAGGAGGGGGACGACGCAAGCAGGCGATGGACGATCAGTCGGGGGAATGTCGACCCTTTCGTTCTGATCGTTCTGATTGTTCTGCAAGCTAGTGCAGATGCAGAGGAGATGGAAGAGGGATAGAGAGCGTTGGAGAGCGGGGTGGAACAAGAAGGAAGATGGCAGTTAATAGAAAGCGAAGGAGAAGATTTGACCAGTACGGAGGAGCATGTATGTATGTATGTATGGTATGGGTGTACCTACTTAGTGTTATGGCGGGCACGGAACGTACGACGGAGAAGACAGCCCGTACGGGTAATACCGGTACAGCCTGTAAGTTAACGGAATATTAGTGCTATTGCCACGGGATCGACCAATAGTGACGACAGCTGGTCCAGGGGACCGAATCACATCCGGCACTGCCGCTGCGTGGATGAAAGGGCCGCCTTGGCAAGATCCTCTTCCTAGGTACCGTCCTTCTACGTGCTCTGATGGATTCTTTCCTGTAGCAGTAGACTCTTGCTACTCCGCAGGATACGTCCAGCAGGAGTGTCCGTCCAAGTCGCCAGCCGTTTCAACTTCCAACAAGCCTCTCCCACGGCGATCGGGGCATCTGCCTAGCTTTCGGACTGTCGTGCGCACCATTATTAGTTTTGGATTATGTGGCTTGCTTCTAGACTGCGAGCTATGCGAGCTAAAATATCAATTCTCTGTGGCGCCACCCACTCACAAGCCCTTGTAACATGCAACCATAGACATGCATGACGACGACCTGATAAAGGACTCCCATAAATATCCAAGGCAGCTTCGTCCGCCCAAATATTCAAATATCAACCCTCCAGATCACATGCCCGGCTATGGGTCGGTGTCGTCGCCTGGATGTAGCGGACATAGCCAATGTGCAACATGGCACTGCATCCTGGCCCTTCCTTCCTACGGATACGGCGTATATATTTCCTATCCAGTCCACGAGGAGATCCTTCAACTGGGAAGGAGAAAATACCAGTATCTACGAGGACGCGATCCAATCACGTCTAGGGCGTTCCACCACCTTTGTATCGCCCTTCCTTGTCCTGCCCCAATTCTGAGACAAGTCATGGCAGATCGCCGGCCGACTAATGAATAAACTCGGCGCTGTTGGGCACGTACGGAGTGTATATAGTCGGTTTGCCCTGCATCGTTATTTATTCTTCTACCGAGTGCCACTTCTAGGTCCGGTCCTCGCGGCAGAAATATGATACTCACCCAAACCTGCGCCGCGCCTGATAGGTCGCGATAGAGACGCATATCATATCTTGTCCAGCGAAGATCCCGCTTATTATGATCATATTATCCCGCTGTCTGTGGGAGTGTATCCATGGATACAGACACAAGCTTTGCCTCCTTCACCTGGAAGCCGGCGGTCCTGCAATTAATTAATCGCAAGCTGCCATGACGTGGGTGGCCTGTGTCTGATAATATACATTAATGCTCAGTTACATACAGCATCCTGTGTATGCATACATACATGAATCCCTGCGTACGGCCACAATACCTACGGCCATGGTGATACGTAATTACAATATGATGATGGTGATGATGATGATTATTTCCGGCATCGACACCTCCCAGACCACGGATCAGTTATCATCCTCTGCGGAGTAGCTAAGAATAACAACTTGGAAGGCTCGGTTTATACGTACGTGATATCCCCCTTTCCAAGAATAGCAAATCCCTCCATCCCTCCATCGTCCATCATCCATCATCCATCCATCACCCATCCATCAAGCAAGCCAGCTTCGCGAAAGCAACGTTCTACCGGCCGTTTCTGTTGCATGATACCTGCCTATCGAGGATTTTTGGGGCTCCTCCCGCTGTAGTATCTAGTAGTACATGCATTCTACAGTGGACCATATGCAAGACAGCCATCCCGGTCATTGCGTCTTGGCCAATAATCTACAATCCACGGCTGCTGGTCACGTACATATATATACCTCTGCAGGGCACATGCTCACTGAACGAGACAAGGGCCAAGTCTAATTGAGAATGGTTGCAGAATACGCATGTTGACGACGACAGTTGCATTTTTATTTTCATTTTCTTTTCTTTTTTTTTTTTTTTTTTTTTTTTTTTTTTCACGCATGCAGGGAATTCAGCATTTCTAAGCGAGACTGGATTGCTGCCGCGTACAGAATACGGATACCTAACATACCGACTTACCCGTCTGGGAAGCAGCGCAATAGCCTAAACGAGGTATACACAGCCACGGGCGAAGTACTCTGAACCTTTCTGGGCTGAACCTTGGAAGACAGTCGCAGTAGATTCAGAGTAGGTCGGGCCGTACTTGAGTTATGATCACCTCCGCTCTGGCCTTTCAGCTACCGTAAGCTGACATAGCTGTACCTGAATCCAAATCTCCATCCAAAGTGGACTCTGGAAGGGGTAATTACCGACGGGTCCACAGCAACCAGAAAATGCGAAATTTTGGATCCCGATCTGTAGAAAAACCACCTCTTTGCTCTCCGTATAACAGCTGAATTCGCGGTTATCAATCTTTTACAAATCATTGTGTGGATGCGCTGGTATACTGTATTGTATAGTATATGCTCTTCCATCGCTGCAAGGGACGCTATTCCCGCCGTCCCTGACTCGGAGTGCATCGATGGAAACGTTAAATTAAAGGCCCTGCCTCCATATTGCTGAAACCTTGGAACCGGCGTACGCGGATGAAGTCTTATTCGAGTCCAATTCACAACGCGGATCGAGATCGAGATCGAATCCAATTCGAATGACAGTGCATGATTAAGATTGAGATCCATCCTTCCGACAATGTGGACGACGGCCATTCGACGAGATACATTCTGTGCCTGGCCTTTTTGATTATTCTTCCAGGATGAAACGACTAGGCGCGCCTCCTTAGGTATCATGCTGCAATACATACTTGCGGTTTCTTCCCCCCCTTCCATTAATACCAGCCTGTAGGATTCGATCTGATCTAGCGGTGAAATAATAATAAATAAATACATAGTAAGATCCAGATCTTTCCGTTGCGCCTGGTTTTACTAAAATTTTTGTTAGCATTGACGCCGGTGCTCGGCTGCCAGCACCGAGATTATATCACTGTGGCGGTGGCACAGTCGATGAAATAAATCCTTCCCATCTAGGATTGCCTATGCCGGCAGCTGTGCAGCTGTACATGCTGAGAAGGGCAAATATGTATGCCATTATATAACATAGGATCTCTAGACAACCACCCTTACCCTCCCCTACAGGCGGAATACGTGGACACCATCTCTGCCCCCATGCCCGGCCCATGCTCCGGGCATGCTCAGGTCTACTCGGGGAGCAAAAGGTGCCAGCACCGGAGCACTCAAACCGAAAGGGAAGGCCTTCAACGATAGAAAAAAGGTGCTGTGTCGTCGTAGCAATATACCTACCGAGTACACTGTATGGCTATGGATATAAGCGTTCCCTTTTCTCCCTATTCCCTATTCCGAGCTATGCCTTGGCAGCCCTGCAGGATACCTAAGCTGCTGCCAACGACATCTTCAAACGCCAAACATAAATCCATCTTCTCTACTGAGGACACCTGCCAGGCTTCGGTTCATTTGTTCCTTCAGCTCATCGTTTGAGCGTTCCTATTTGGCACGCCAAGAGAAGCGAACCAAGCAAGCACTAGGAAGTTTCGGTTGAAACAAAACCACCTTCAATGGTATGGTATGGTATGAGCGGGAAAGGAAAGAGCAAAGAGAATAAAAAAAGGGGGATACGTTTTATTTTCATTGAAACAAGACATGAAACATGAAGACGTTGACCAAATCCTTTCGGACGGTTAGCCTCCTCTCACCTGGAATCTAGAGCGTCGATGAAAGACAACGAGGCACTCATCGCATCCAAACTGGACCTCGTCAAGAAATCAGGATCAGGATCCTGGCCAGTGGCTAGCTCAATTGAAGTTCGACGGAATGGGTCTAAACTCGACAAACCCATAACCGCCTTGCTCAGAAACCAAAAAATCAGGCCCAACCCCCACATCCTCGGCGAGATTATTAAAAGGGAACATGGACATCGGCACCGTCGATGCCGGGAAGCAATGCTCGCACGGATGATACTGATCTAGATGGTCCATCGCTCCTCCCTGCGAAAACAGACCCTCAGCCGACGCATCATGATCCAGGTGCTGCAGTTGGTGAATCCTTTCATCAGGTCCTGATTATCCGCCGAATGGGCAGTGTCTGTGTTGGTGTTCGTCCGTTCTCCGACTGCTGCTCCTGTGCCTGAGTCCTGCCCTGAACAGGCCTTTAGAGCACGCTCGAGGAAATGTCGTGTCCAGATAACGTGCGGCCAGGATTGCTGGAATCGTTCCAAGATATGCGTCGCCAGTCGGACGCGGTTTTCGCAGAGGATGCTGATGTGGGAGCCTTCTTTGCGCATTTGGATGATATGGATGAGTATCGAAGCGAATATTGCAGGGAATCTTCGGACGCTGTTAGACGTGATACCGAAAGAACAAGAACGAGGGGACCCCTTGCATGTGGACGGGCGCGCGGTACAGCTCGTCCGAGCCCAGTACGCCCTCAATCAAACGAGAGATTTTGCTGGCTAACGTCAACAGGAGGTCGTTGTCGACCAAGAGGCTAACGTTCGATTCATCCCCAGAGATTGAGCCAGCCCGGCAGCAATGCCCAGTCAGTGTCACGCATCCTTGTGCTCCATGGGCCCGTCGATCCAGTGGGACAAGAGAATGGCAGCCTGCACGGTCGCAATGCTGTCTCTCGTCGAGTTTGTATTAATCAGTGGGGGAGACGGATGACTGGGCGGAGGCGCGGACGGCGTTGTTGTCTGCGGGCTGCTGCTGTGTCGAGTGGCTGCGGCACGAGAGGCAAACGCATCTGTCTGCTGTCGTCCATTCTGAGATCTCCGATGCCTGGATTGCGAAGTTCATTAGTTCCCTCGAACACCCGGTCGTGAAGCGGCATGACCCATGCTTTCCACGCTGTGACACGATCAGTTCACAGTCCGTGTTGGTGAGTCGACAGTTCGAGCAGGGAGCTCCAGATTCGGAACGATCACATCGCACCCGGCGCGCATTGCAAAGCCTGCAGGCAACTTTTGCTCCGGCAGTGGGCTGGGACATGCTACAGGCTGGATGTAACCCGGAACTAATGAGTGTGCGTGAGCTGTCAAAGAACCCGGACCTCCCACCTGACATGGACGACTCCGCTGTGTAAAGACAAGGAAGAGGACCTCGAGTGGAGTCCATCCACAGCGCAGGTCAATGAGAAAAGCCCGTGGAAAGCTTAGAGAAGAAAAGGCACAGACAGAGGCGCTGATGACGCTGCAGTTAATTAATTAGCCCGGCATCTTATTATCTGTGGAGGGAGCGCGGTGCGCTGGGTTGACCGGCATTTACGGGTAATCTCAGTGCCCTATCGACTATCACCCGCCCAGAATACATACTATAATATAGCATATCACTGCAATACGCTCATGCGGATCAATAGCGTCCTCTATGATTAATCTCAAGAGCCCGTAGTGGTAGATACAGCACCGCCGAACAGGCAGTCCCCAATTCCCACGCCAAATCCCCAACATGAGCAGCAATAGGCCGATGTACCAGACACTCGACATGGAGGGAACAGGGAGATGCTGTACATGTCCCGATGGCAGTGCCGAATATGCTGAGCCTGTTTGTTCCCAAAGGCAATGAGCTTCTGCTGTCCATTCTTGAACCGAGCGTGCATACTTCCGGCAGGATAGACAAAAAGGGCCCCCGGAACAGAGTCATGATGTTGTAGTACTTGGTATGCGTCCGGTCTCCGGCGAGACTGGTTCCAGCCCTCGCAGCTCGACTCGGGCCTCATGAGCTTCTGGAGGAAGCCCTTGAGGGTAGAGGGAGCTGCATAGTCCTCGACGATGCCTTCTTCGGGCAAGGGCTCAGCGTTTGGGCTCATCTTCATGTCGCCGACTTGATAAACCCTATCTCGGCCTCACAGGACCAAGCTCGCCGACTTAACCAAGACGCGACAGGAGGCATGAAGCCAACTGCGATAGGAGAGCAGAGAGCCTGTGAAGGGACATGGTGTCGAGGCATTTATAGGTCGATAGGCATTCATGGGACTGCCTGCAACCTGTCATTGCTCAACATCGTGTTCATCGGGATAGCAATGCACTGGGCTCTGCCTGCGCTGGAAGCATGTCTGCCGCCGGAGCTTTTTGCAAAGATCCCAACTATCCAAGTTGATTCAGTCGAAGGGGCAAAAGGTCAGCTGGACTCTTACCACGATGGGGAAAAGACGGAGAAGGTTCATGCTCACTTGAATTAGGCCAGGACCGCTTCAGGTTCCTCGACCTGGAAACGGGAACGGACAGATACAATGTCCCAATGGAGAATTACTATTGTCTTAACCGGAGAAAGTTCCGTGGCCTGCTCAGCATCGACATCGACGTTAACTGGGCAAGAAATACACCAGCTTCGACATCAACGACGACGGAACCCACGTTGATTGCTAGGAGTGGTCCAAAGGCTGTTTTATAGATACTCTTCCCCCCCCCCTATCTAACGGGCTAGTCGGAGCAAAGGCATAGAAGAATATTTATTAGATAGATTGTTTCTTATCCGTTATTATGCATATACTCTATTGGGTCCCCGCGCAATATTGCTCGCTGATGACAAGAACTCTCTACATCCTCACGCCCTCGGCACAGGGGTCTCCCGGTAGGCCGGGGGCAAGACACCCTCCAGCTCAGCCTTGATCTGCAGGGCTAGGGTCTTCGAATGCCACCGGTGTTGCTGTGTAAAGCCGCCGGCAACCCAATAATTGTCAAGCCGCAAATGGCGCTTCCACATGCCGCGGATTTCTCCCTCCGCATCAATGCCCCAGGTAGCATCAAGCCGGGCAGCGATCTCCGAGGGGCCGAGAAGACGAGCATTCTTGTCATCGTTGGCAGCAGCAGATCCGCCGCCCAGGATCTCGGCCGCCGTGGAGCGGACGTCCTTGTCGGCGAACCCAGTGCACCAGATGATGACGTCCGCGTCGAGGGTGCTGCCGTCGGAGAAGCGCAGGCCTGTTTCTGTGTACGCGACGGGCTCGACGAGGGCCTTCACGCCTGCCTTCCCCTCTTCGAACAGCTTGGTGGCGCCTGTGTCCACGTAGTGCCCGCCGGCACGCTCGAGGAGGTTATGCATCAGGGCCGAGTCCGGATGGCTGCTGTCGACGACGGGGAAGCCGGCCGCTTCCAGGGCCGCGTAGCGGTCGGGCTCCTTGGAAGCAAGTAGCCGGAAAAGGTCGCGGGCCAGTTGGCCGTCCACGGCTAATGGGAGTGTCAGGAAGAGTCTATCGGCCGCCTCGACGCCAAAGTCGTAGGCGCCTAGACTGTGCTGGTTGCAGACGTATTCGAGTGGGACGATGTAAGTCGGCGTCCGGACAACCATGGTCGTCTGCAGACCGGCCGAGTGGCAGTCTTCGAGCACGTCGAATGCTGTATTGGCCGACCCGATCACCAGGGCAGTCTGGAAGTCGGTCAATCAGCATGTTGGGATTGATCGGACTTGCTACGCTCGACGGCACACACGGCTCTTACCTTGGCTCCTTGGTCCGTGAACTCTTTGGCATTCCGATACTGTGCCGAATGCACCCGGGTGCCCTTGTACAGACCCTCGTCTTTCATCGGCGGAAGGTAGGGCTTCTGCGATCCCAGGCCCGTGGCCTGGACGAGGTGCCTAGAGACCGCTGTACGCTGGCCCGCCGGAGTCTGGAACTTGACAGTCCACCGCTGGGACAGCTGATCGTACTGCGTCGACAGGATCTGTGCCGAGGTGATGATGTTGAGGTTGAAGGCTGCTACATATCGCCGAACCTGCGCAGCCAAGTCATCCTTGGTGAGGAGGTGAGGAGTCTGCAGCTCCTTGTCGTAGCCTGCGCCGTCTCAGCATCAGCATTCAGCTCACGAGGGCCATGTTACGACGGCACCTACGCATATACGGCAATTCGCAGAAGGATGTTGGGATGTGAAAGCGCATTTTGTCGTAGCGGAGCGCCCAATTGTCGCCAGGACGGGGGTTTCGCTCGGCCATGACGCTGTCAACACCTAGGGCTTTCAGTCGGGCAGCAAGGGCGACGGCCCTGCAACAAACCAGGGAGATTAGAGGCCAGCCATGCTTTGAATTGTGCAGAAACTGCAAGCATGAAGAGGATTTCTCTATCCGTCATAGGACATGTCATATCATGTTCCAAGCGGGCTCGACTAGAACAGCCTCAGTCTTTTATTTTTATTTTTATTTTATTTATTTTTTTTTTCTACTTTTTAGGGCTCCGGCGCAGATTCCGTTCGGCACGGCACGCATGGATTGGCACAAAGACAGCAATTCGCTGTCGAGCAGTTAGCTGCGAAGGGCCGAGCTATTAAAAAGGGCTTTCTTCACGTCTTCGAATCCACTCCTCTCCGTGACTCGACTTGACATGGCTATGCCACCGGCATCTCTCGACGAGCTGCTCGCGGCCCCGGCTCTCGCGCCTCCAGAAGGCGTGACACCCCAGTTCGACAATCCCCCGAACCGAAATAGCCTTGCCTGGGGTGTGACGACGGCCTGTATGGTCATTGCCACCATATGTCTCCTGCTTCGTCTCTACGCTCGTCTGTGGAGGGAGAAAAAGATCCATATTGAGGAAGGTAGGTCAACCGGGCCCCTTGAGCTTCACGAAGCACCCCAAGCACTGACAGTCCTGTCTTCCTTTTAGTCCTGGTTGTTTGTGCATATGTTCGTCCTCTCCCTGTGCCGTTCTGCCCGCTTGCTCACCCTCGACTGTCTCTAGGGAGCCTACTGGGGCACAGCATACGCGGCATACGCGTTGATCTGGACGCCTGGATATTATGTCCATACGTGGAATCTTCGCAATAGGGACCTGATCCACCCGCTCTATGTGCGTTTACCTCCTCCTGGCACTCCCACCGCACGTAGCTGACGAGCAGCAGCTCATCCTCGTCTACGGCTGCTGCTACTCAGCCGTCCTCCCCCTGATCAAGACAGCCATCTTGCTGGACTGGTGTCGGATGCTCGTGCCTGCTGACCGGCTCAGAAACCCCTTCTGGTGGGGCTGCATGGTCGTGGCTACTGTCCAGTGTGTCTGGGGGCTCTGCTGCATTATCCTGTTGAATGAGCAATGCGACCCCCACAGGGCCATCTGGGAGTTTTACCCCCCTAGCAAATGCTACTCCCTGCCCAAGGTGATGCTGGCGTCGGCGAGTGTCCAGGTCATCACCGATATCACGATGGTCTTGCTGCCGCAGAGGGTCATCTGGAGCCTACACATGAACTGGCAAAAGAAGCTGGGTGTCTCGGTCATCTTCGGGGTTGGTGTGATGTAAGTATCATTTGCTGCCGCCGCCGCTGCTGCTGCTGCTGCTACTATTGCTAACGATCAACCAGAGCCTGCATTGCAGCATGCTTCCGCCTGGGACACACCGTCACATTCTTCAAGGAGGCAGACACCATGTTCTCCATCGGACCCCTGTTGTTCTGGGCCTGCGCCGAGATGACCTGCGGCTTCTTCGTCCTCAGCGTCCCCTGTCTCCCCAAGCTCATTTCCGAGTCCAGCCTCTCCCGAAGAGTCAAACAGTACCTCGGCATCAGTGCGAGGTCCTCGGGCGACAATTCCTACGGCCCGCGTTCAGGCTCGCACCAACTGTCCAGGTCGAAGAGGGCCTCGGACTCCTACAATCGGATCGACGGCAGCAGCACCGGCACGCGCATGTCCGACTTTGACAGGTCCGAGTCCCAGGAGCACTTGCACCAGGATTATCTGCAGGATGGCAAGAATGGCGTGCAGGTGACGCGGATGACGGATATCACTGTTACCTCTAGTCCTCATTCCAGTAGTGAGCTGGGACATATTATCCCGTGGATTAAATGAATACTCTGGCCCCGTGCGTACAGCATCCTGTCGAGGTGAATGCTTTCATGTATTTTGGATTGCTATATCTTATGTAAGGAATACAAATCGAGCAAAAGAAAAGGAAAAGGAAACTCGCATAGACACGTACATGCAGTGCAACGTTAGGGTTAGGATATCCTCGATGTTCTACTGACGTGATATACATGCTGGATTTGATACAACACAAGAGTATCATCAACGTATACTTCCACCATCAACGATCATGAACATGACTCCCCTGGATGCGAAACGAGAAATTCCGGTCCAGGTCAATGTGCGCGACGGCAGTGAGCACCGCCGTGTAAAAATACCGTTGTCGACAGCTTCGATTTCGTCTCGAGAGCATGCACCGGCGCTGTGATCGTGAGCCGGAGGCAGTCTTCCACCATCGCTCTACCTTTGATGATGTCTCCATTGACGAAGCTCAGACATGGCGGCGCTGTGAACATACAGGAGCTGATTCGGTAGCGTCGATGGGACTATCCCATTTCTCGAGGAGCTTTGGTGGCTCGAATCGTTTGCATTCCGCGTACTTGATCCCTCGAGCGTGGAAGATGTCTTGTTTCCGAAGCCCGACGACAAAACCGCCGGGTAAGTCTACCTGAGCTCGTCCGTGTGCCATTTTGGTGATTGGAATTAGGTATAAAAACGGCGCTGAACTACTCGTCTTCAACCGTCGTGCGTGCAAGTTTCAACTTTCCGTGCAAAGTTGCAGGCTAAGAGGGGAACATAGCTCTGAGTTCCCTCCCTCCCTCTTATCAGAAATGCTTCGGATTCACTTCATGAGCGCTTGAATAGGCTTTCTCCGCATTGTTTAATAGCTCTTTTATTGGCTGAGAATAAAACGACTGTACAAGTTCGCCAATATAAGCTTCGCCGACATGGTCGGCTATACGAGTACAGAGCTTGGCACTGATGTTTGAACCATGGCTCTCTTGACAATGGCCGTAAATGCTATCTCAACTTGTTCTCTTGAAATCCGCTATCGAATGCTAATCCGGAGGCATTGTAGCTGAGCTGCCTGGAGAATCAGCGAGGGCAGAATAACCGGTAACCCTAACCAAGAGGTTTACAAAGCTCTGTTCAGTCTGTGTTTACTGAGTAGAGGATTGGGTAGCCGTTGGCATGATCTTCTTAGACATAATACCTCTTGTAACGTCTATTCTTACCAGCAGCTGTCATAAAATCACGTCGACTACAGCCTTTTCATGTGGGAAACACCTGCTGTCTCAAAGCCGAACTCGACCAGGCCCGTCCTCAAATATCAACTCACGCTCTGTGATCCTCTCCCCCGGATGACGGCGAAAAGAACGAAGCTCGTACAGCAAAAAAGATGACGGTTTCGCTGCCGTCCGATCCCGTAACATGGCGCGTTGGTGATGCATTCCATGAGTCCGTTCATGACGTTCGCGGCGAATATCACTGGAGAGATGAACCAGAGCAGCTAAATCACCCTGTTGCACGAGAGAAAAAAATCAGCATCCGGACTGGCGGATCTAGGAAAAGGAGCGAAGAGAGAGTAATCTCCTTACATGGTGGAGAAATGCAGATATGCAGTAAAAACCTCGCGTTTCCTCGTATCCATATCCTGCCTGTTCAATCGCTTTCCTCGAAACAAGACGCTTCGTTACTGCAGTCCAGAGTTTGTCTCGTCTATTATGGTCGACTCCGATGTATCGATGAGCAGCAACGCGGCTATGATTGTCCCCACTGGAGCTGGACTCATCTTCAGACGACGACGAAGACGAAGGCTTATTCTTTTTTGAAATAAACCGAAACTTTCGAGATCCGCCAGATCTGTGCCAGCTGATCCCTTGGCTAGCGCCTCCAATTTCGTCCATAGTTACTCGTTTGATCCCTAGGGGCATGTCGACTATGGCCCAGTCTGTGGTCGCTCCACTGTATGCTTCCCCTACGTAGGACCTGTCGCCATGACGAGCCGCGTAACAGTCTGCTTCTTCCTGCATATCGCGTTTGTTGAGGGCGTCTTTGCTGCTACCACTTGACCAAGAATCCGGGCTGGATACACGACGGGGGCAAATCGTTTCATAATCTGGAAGACATCCATAAAGTTAGCAAATCCTTAACTTAGTAACCCATACTGCGATTAAAAGCTCTAGAAAGTGCTCTTGCCATGCGTGTGATGAGAAACGACATCCTGACGCAACGACGGTACACGAATGAGCGAGCGTCTTCTGGGAACTTGCATCTTAGGAGACGACGACTGCCCATGCTTCTCTTGAAAAATTACCGCTTTCCAATCATCATCGCTTTGTCTGTCAGTCCCTTTTCTCTCGTCTCTCAGGAGCGGAGATCGCAAGCGTGAGCTTCTCGGACTGCGCCTCTCATAGTAAGTTCTTCTGGAATATCGAAGAATACAGTCATCGCACTCATCGTCTGCACTTGGGGGACTCCTAGCTCCTCCCCTTCGATCCCTTTGTACGATAATCTCTTCACTGTCACGGTGCCTTGGCACTGAACGGTCTCTCCTGTGTATCCTTATATCCTCACCGTCACCACTACGCTCGAGATATCTCTCTCTGTGCCGCTCGTCCCGCCTATCTTCTTCGACGTGAGTCCTTCCTCGAGAGGGTCGAGGCAGGTAACATTCTTCCTCGTCGTTGTCTTCTTCTTCTTCTTCTTCTTCTTCTTCTTCTTCTTCTTCTTCTTCTTCTTCTTCTTCTTCTTCTTCTTCTTCTTCTTCTTCTTCTTCTTCTTCTTCTTCCCACTCTCTCGCTCGCGGAGACGCATGTCTTCTAGGCCTTCGGTGATTTGAGCCTGAGCCAGTCCTGCCGCGGATGAAATCCGGCGTCTCGACATCATCATGGATCCGGACCCGTTCTAGTTTCCCAATTGGAGGGCTAGGTTTGTGATGTCGGTATTCGATGTCGGCTCCAATAGCTAGCTCATATCTCGCCCCATCGGAGTAGCGATGGCGGTAGATCTCCAGCGTGTCATCGTGATAGTAATTGCGGGGATCTCTTCGGCGATCCATGGCGTCTTAGCGGAGGCGAGAATGAAGCATCAGCGGGATTTAGACGGTAGACGTATCAATAAACGCATATTACGGCATCAACAACCGCTCAATTGAGATATCACAGAAAACCGGAGCTGGAAGAGCTGTATATGCCGAATTTATTGCTGTTGGTTTTGTAGCCTGCTTGACGCCAAAACATGGAACTGAAACCATACAAGTTGGCCATTAAAGAAGACAAAGGAGGGTTATTATAAGAAATGCAGATAACTGAAGGACAGGCATGGTATCAAGTGATGATTGACATTTGAAACGGCAAACAAAGGATGTCTATTGATCTGTGATGTCAGACAGAATGGCAGATGGTTCAGACAAGTAATGATCATCAAGCATGCATGCATTCGTGTGTCTGCTGTTAGAGCTATGGCTTGAGTTCTAGACGCGAATGCAGTGGGTTCCATTCTCATTGTGCCCTGGTAGATGTCACTTGTTTGGGATGGCAGTATGGTTTCAGTTGCAAGAGCAACACTACATGTACATACGGCTGGCCCATACCCAGATCCTAGAAGTAAACCATCATCGGCTGGTTTGTATTTCAGGGCATCTTATCCAAAGTTAAGCCGCATTTGTCCTTTCTCAGATCTGCCGCGGCCGTTGCGACTGGTTTTACCTGAATTGCCGCTCCGACCATGAGATTTCCCTGGACCATCGGGCCAGCGTGGAATCTGTGGAGATGATTCTGTTGCTTCCCTTTGTTGCTTCTCCAGGTCCATTGCAAAATGCCAGTCGTCATGCTCAACCCTTTGCAATTCAAGAAATGAATCGCCGCATCGATCGCAGAGGAAAAGCCCGACGTTGATATCGTCTGATGCAACGCCTTCCAGAGAGGCGTAGTAGATGTCTCTGTCATTTGGCCGTTCTGTCGGAGGTACAGGGTCTGAATTGCATGACTGTTCTACTGCATGCCGTGTTTCTCCCAATGAAGCCTTCCCCAAAGTACCAGTGTCTTTGGTAAAGAAACGATGTATGCCTCTATCCTCTAGTTTTCTCTTCATCGGGACTGATGACCGTTCTGCTGGGGTATCCATTCCTTTCATCTGCTTGCTTAGAGATCTTGCCTGTTCTCCCCGAACAAGAAACCCGTCTATTGCTTTATTGTTAGCCACGCCCTCTTCGAACCCGCCAACGCTCAGCGATAGATTCGAACAAGGCCAAACGCCTGCATCACCGACAACCTGCCGAAGTAAGACCTTCGCATGTTCAAACAGCATCAGCTCATCAATTGGCTTCGAAGCGGGAATAGACGCCTGGCGAGATCGAAGCTGAGAACCCTGCCTGTGATGTAACGCGATTATTCTCGGACGGCGTCTATTTTCAAGCATGCCGTCTTCAACAAGACGACCGTAGATATCTGCCGCAAAGATTCGCAGCCATTTGTCTGCTTGGTTAATAGAGCTGATGCTTGGTCGAAACGACTTGGCCGACAGCATGGACTTGATCTGGGTTCTGAGATTGACTTCACTTTTATCATCTCCCCGGATAATCCCGTACAGCCAGACAGCCGTTTCGTCATCAAAGTTTGCCCTGAATCGCTCCAGCGAAACCTTCAGAAGCTCACTGACCTGGTCAGTTCCGAAGATGGAGGCAACTTGATCACCCAACTTGCCTCCAAGCATCCTTATCTTTGTGAACTTGAAACCGCCTAGAAACTTTTGCACTGCACGATTTCGAACAACAGTCTGCTTGTTCGGCTTATTGCAGGCGCTACCCAGTTTTGCCATCATCTTGTTTCTCGCGATACCTGCAGAGCACGTGTAACTCAGCTTTCCCCAAACCGCTGTACGCAAAGATCTGACGATATCAGAGCCTATAAGCATTGCAACATCATCCCAGTCTGGATTGTCCATCTCGGACTCGTTCTTGTCCAGGTCCACCAGGTTCTCTTCGGCATCCCATTCCAGCGCAGTCGTCGGAGGCGGAGGTAACATGGCTGCATTGCCATCACCACCAGCACCCTGGCGTAATTCCGGATATTTTCTTAATAGGGAACCAAAAACCAATGGAGACAAATCAATAAAGACCTCGTCGATACTGGCTTTTTCAAGAGGAGCATCTGGTATCTGCAACTCTGGTGTCTCACCACTACCCCCGACGAGATCCTCTCGCCATCCTGACAGTTCTTCTCTGATCACTTTCAAGATCTTCCGTGACTCCCTCCGATACGGATCCAGCGACACCTTATCTGTACTGTATCGTTTAGAGGCGTCATCCCTGTACGCCCACTTCCCACCTTCACCCTCCCTAAATGTAGCAACATGCTGCAGAACTATACCCGGGCAAAGTTTCTTGGCTTCGATCGCGCTGATCATCCGAGTTATACCAAATTCCCGTGCTGGGTAATTTATCGCGATGAGCGAGTCCCACTGTTGAACGGCTAGAGGCGTGGTGCGCGGCGTCTCAAGCCTCACCATCTCACATTGCGCGTAGAATGCATCGAGGTCAATATGCGCAACCACTCGAAGTGGGGTAGAAGTCGAAGCCTGACGGAGCAGCTGTAGCTGACGATATGTGTATTGCGAAGAACGCCTAGTCAGAGATCCGGTCGGCGATGACGCGCTGAAGGGTTCCGGGGAAGATGACATTTCGCGCCCAGGAGAATAGCAGTCATGGCTGGTTCAGGTGGAGGATGGTCATACGCGTATATAGGGTTTAAGATAGTACACGCACTCTAGCCAGCTCGTCTCATCCATCTCAAAACAGTGCTGCGACGTTGCGCCTAGAGAACGCGTGCGAGAACGAGTTCGGCGTCTGTCGGCATATTGCCGAAGTTGGTTAGCCTGATTCTAGTTTCAGGTTTAGGGCTGACACTCAGGTCTTGTCGGTCATGTGACATGTTGCGAAATGTAGTCGCTATAGAAAGGTCTGGAGGGAAAACTATAGTTTACGATTACTGCATTAAGAAAGGTAGAAGAAATATAGACGGATGAGAGCGGATCTTCCAGTAACGAGCCTGGCTGGCTGTTGCGCCGAGTAATACGTGCAAAATTGGGCGAAACTTAGAAGGCATGGGTTGGCACACTCATGCCGTGCAAACAGACGGGAATTGAAGCGGCTTGGGGTTTCCTTCGATTCAAGCGTGAGGCGCGCCATGGGAGGTAATAAGATTCTCCAATGTAGGACAAGGCACCAGCCTATCGACCATCCTATCCTGTCGGGCTCCAGCTGGTCCTGGCGGACACGGAGCGACCAAAGACTAGACATGCGGTCAGTTGGGCAACCAGACGAGTAGAGAGTCAACATCCAATGCAGCCCGTCAATTTCACAATGGTAATTGTGCTCTTCCTTAAGAAGTTCGAAGCTGGGACGTTGAAGATATTGCTGTGATTCTCAACCGGGAAGGTGTATAATGACTAAGCAATTACCGCCAGGCGACAAGTCGCCGCCCAGTTCATGCCCAACGAGCACCACGCATTCGTGCCCAACGCATATGCGTTCGGTATTATTCGATATGACAGTAATCATCGTTATTATTGATTAATACAGCGTGGCAACTTGCTACTCGCGATTCGTCATGCGCCGTCTGCAGGTCGAGGCCCGAGTTACCAGACCGGCGGCCTGGCTGTCGCTTCACACCGCAATAACAAGAATTCAGAGCTCGCGATCAATCTGAAAAGTGAAGCTTTGAGTGGGGACCAGGCGCGAGTAGACATCGAATCCCTGCCTGCTCTGCAAGAAATCTAGCTGACCAGGGCTCCTAGTCCAAGAGTATGCAAGTACTCCGGTATCTCGATTTCTCTGATGCCGTTACACGAACTGCGCGTCGCAAGTCATTATTCCGGTTTAACTTATGAGCCTCGCATAGAATGAGGACTGCGAAGCTGGTGGAATTTGACGAAGAGACGTTGCTGATCGATGCAAAGCATCGGTTCCACAGGCGCAACCGACCGGCACTGGACCAGCTCTGGAACAGAGTCCTGCCTATATTCAGTCGGAGAAATCTGTCCGTCCTACGCGAGACGCATGCAGCAGCGTTTATACAGCAGCATATGACCGTCATGATGAGTAGATCCAAACGATCCGTTGCCACTATGGTAACAGAGATGACATCGACTACTCCGTAAATACCGGCGGCAAATTAAGAGAGGAAAGAACAAAAGAGAAAAATCAGGAGAAAATCTTATATTATTATTTATTATTATATTACTGCCGGGGTGCGACGCTGCCAATGACGGGGGTGGAGTCGTGGCACCAACAGGCCACAGCCCGAAAAAAGCGAAAGAGACGGCCCAACTGTCCTCCCTCTTATCTGTTGATCCTCTTCCCGGCTCTTTCTCTCTCCCCTTCCTCTCATCCTTCCTTCTGACCTTCTGCCTACTCCTCTCCCTCCTCTCTCTTCTTCCCTTTTCCTCCTTCCTCGTCCATTTCCATACTGGCATTGCCAGCCTGTCTTGCACCAAACATCGCGCAATTCTCTCAACCCGTGCGCGCGTGGTTGCTCGTCTGCCCAGGATCCTTGGAGAAAAGAAAATACCCCGGAGGAAAGAAAGGATAGCCCGTCGGCCACTGCAGCGACAGATAGTGTTAATTCAGTCCCTGACCGGAAGTGGTTCTTCATTCTCTTTCTTAATCATCTCTTTCTCTACTGTATCGACTATTTTCCCACGTGTTCAGTACTCCCACGTTTCAACCATCCGCTGGACAAGGGGCCCGTTGAGGAAGTCAATCCGCTCCTTTACTTGACTACCGTCGTGGATATTAGCCAGAGTGAAGTTCGTTGCTTGAAAGAAAGCAATATTACTGCCAAGATCCGGGTCGGAACCTGTTTCACATACACACGCATTGATTGAGTCCGTGTGTGTCTGCTGCCTGCTGGAGTCGAAATTGGACTAGTCTGGAACGTTAGCCCTTGGAATCCCTTGGACGTCTCTTCCTGTTGGAGTTGTATTGTTTCTGCCTCCCGGAGAGTAAAACACCACCCCTAGGAGACCCGGTCACAATACCTTACTTCGCTCCCTGGATTAGTTTCGGCTGCTCTTGCTCTCCCTGGAAGTTCTTGTGGCCACTGTGATCCCGTGGACTTGATATTATTTCTGTTATTGTTCTTATTAATATCTTCCGCCAACTGGTGACTTCTTCTCTGGATACCATGTCGGGACGTCATCCATATGAGGAACGGCGCCCGGAGCGTCAAAATGAATACTTCATTAATGGAGATGGGATCAGTCGTGAGGTCATTCAAGCGGATATCTGTCGCTACCTTGGAAATGATGCACTCGTAAGACCGGGAACACATAATGTTCGCCTTCCGACCTTGAGATGATCTCCTGACTTGTTGAGAACGATGACTGATTCGGGAACAGGGTCAAACTGGCTATTTCATTCGGGCCTATCGCAATCTTACATCTGTGAGTTAGAATTATCGATCTTCCAAGTCCTCCTTCGAAGTGGAACTAACTGGCCGCGAACGTATAGGAGATGATTGCCGACCTGAAAGCCGACTCAGCTCGCTGGGAAGCCGAGGTCTCGCGTAGCAGGTACGACAGGGGTAGCTATTCTCACAAGCCTAATGTGCCGCATGCCCCCAGCATTCCTCCAGCAAGCTATGCAGTTGACGTGCGGCCTCATCCGGGCCCGTCTCCTCCTGCCTTCAGTGTTGCTCCATCTTACGTGGATCCATATGCGAGTTCGTATGGCGGCCCACCACCGGCAGTGCCGTATACAAGTCCGCCGACTTACTCCGGCAACCATTCGCCTTATGGATCAGGCCAAACTCCTTACGTTCCTCCTTACACCGGCTCCACTCAACCTGCTGTGACTGTTGCCGATGTCTCGGCATATACGTACACTACCAACCCACCTTATGGATACGAAAATAATGAACGGTACAACGCTCCTAGGTATACAGGGTCAGGCTCCGCCTACGAGAATGACCCTGATTATTCCCCTGTGACATCAGCCATGTCATACTCTGGTACCACTGTCCCAGATCCACGGGTAGGAATTGATCCAAGATATACTCCGGAGTCGGCGTACTCCGAACGCAGCTCTAGGACGCAGTCGGCAAGAGACCGAGAACCCCGTCGTCCTCGGTAGTCAGTTAATATATCAGTTGATACCTTGGAGAACCGTTATCTTCAAACTGTTCCTGTATCTTTTTTTCTTTTTTTTTTTTTTTTCCCCACGGATATCCTAAGATTGCGGGAATGCCTTGGAATTGTCTGCGTGGCTGCGCTTCTGGATTAAGCCTACCATTTAACCTGGATGCCGTACCGGAGAAAGAAAAAAAGAAGAAAAAGAAAATCAATATTTTGTGGCCCCATCAACCCTAGATGCAGCTTAGTGAGTCATCTGAGGGGAGTATTTGGTGAAATCATTCGACCGTGGATTCTATACGGTTTTACCGTTTGATGTTTTCGGGGATTTACTGGATCGTTGGGATATTCCTACTGTGGCATACTTTTAGAGCACTGGATGTTGTTGCCTTTCGTGACTAAAGACTGCTCCAGCTTTAATGATGTCTATTGCCCGGCTAGGAACTTATGCGTGAGGGTTACGAAAAGGCGGCATTTTGACTTGGATGTTTTTTGATAACCTTTCCGGATAGGATGTTTTTTATCTGTCATCTGGGTACCTTCTGGCTATTCAATTCCTCGCGTTTGGTTCGTGATATGCTTTGGAATGGCCGGCAAATATGTTGAGACCCTGCGGGAGTGCGTGTTGCGCGTGTACTGGATATCCATTTCTTTTTCGGTTTATTATGATGTTAGGGGGCTGATACCTGTACAGCGATGTTGGTCATGAGGTATATGTGTAGATAATGAGCATTCTGCGGCGTTCTCTGGTCCTGGTTGTGTTCTGTTTTGTTTCCCCTTTGGTTTTTTATATTATTGGCCTCGTCACGGTCGTTTTGTCGCCGGTCTCTTTTTCAAGTTAAGCTGAACTGAACCGAAATGCATCGCCTTTCTTGGGTTGATTAATCTGCTTTATGCAGGCGTGCCATTTCATTTCCGTGTGTAAAAATATTTATTAGGTATCAAGGCACTTAGCCATTTCCATTATACTACTGTCCAGGAAAAAGAATTCGTTGTATATTCTTTTGTTCCTGACAGATGACGTGCATCTGGCCATGTCCCATTCATCATTCATTGCTACCCTTTTTCAAATCATCAGAAGGCAGATTCAATTGTGTGTTCAGTCAGTATTTCCAGGTGAATTTTGTAAAGATGGCAAGGCAAAGCCTATCACTATCATTCATTGTAAGACTGCCCTCTCCGTCCACGGAGAATATTCTCTACTGGCAAATCTGCTGGGTCTGCACCTTGGATAGATATATATAACATGGTATTTACCTTATATGAACATTAGTGAGTATACCTAATCGACCTGCATTCCATACCAGTAATTGCCTGATTGACTGCTGTGACCTAATAACATGCAGTATAAAAAAAAAAAAAAAAAAAAAAAAAAAAAAAAAAAAGAACAAGAAGAAGAACAGAGTATAATATGAGACAAAGAGAGGGAGAAAAAAGAAACAGAGATGTTGTTATGCAATGGGTATGTAGGAAATGGGTAGGTGGACGGTTTGGTTTGATGGTCGACGACGCCCGCTCCAAGGGAGAAGGAGCACAACGTCGCAAAAAAAAAAAAAAAAAAAAAAAAAAAAGAAAGAAAAAGAAAAGAAAAGAAAAGATATAGGAGCATTCGAGATAGAAGGGAGAAAAAATAAACAAGGCCGCCGGACTTTCAACTTCGATCAACAAAGTTATTTATAAGATCACACAAGGACCTCTGCGTCTGGATGCCCGTTTCTTATCCCTCCTTTTATCATTGCGGTAAGTGGGCACTTCCCGCTTTCGTACTAATTCGTTGCTCTTGGAATTCCCTTGCATGTCTTTTCTGATGATCTGCCGGCACAGATCAATAAAGACCTCATTGACGTTTGCTTTCCTCCGAGCAGAGGTCTCGTAATACGGGGCGTTATCCCAGCTTTGCGAGAGGGCAAAAGCTCGAGCGCGCGGTACATCACGATCCTCTTCGAGGTCGGATTTGTTTCCCACGATGACAATGGGCACGCTTTCGTCGTCTTTGATACGAATAATTTGTTCCCGTAGTTCGGATAGTTCGTTGAGCGAGGACATACTCGTTATGGAAAACACGAGTAAGAACCCTTGACCTTGTTTCATGTATAGTTCTCTTGAGAGTGGACAACTCTCGTTAGCACATGCAAGATATACAGAGGGCCTAGATGTAGAAATGAGCGGGGAAGAGAAAGTTACCTCATGGCCGCTGGCACAAATTGTTAGTATTTATAACAAGGACTGCGGGGACTTGTAATGCTTACTGAACTGCTCTGTTCCCGCAGTGTCAAGTCTGCAGAGAATCAATCCAATCAGTGCCCCTTCTTGCTTGGTAGGAGCATTCAACCCCATATTTGAAATGACCACGCATCGTCATGGGGAATCGCACATACATTTCCAGCATACATTGTCGACCCTAAAGAGAAATGGCAGATAAGCTAAATGCCTACACTTCAAACGGGGAACCCGGGTTCGACTTACATCTACCTCTATCTGCTTACGGTACGAGTCCTCAATCGTAGGGTCATAGCTCTCAATCCAAACATTCTGGACGAACTGGGCTGCACGACGATCAGCGTTTGATCAATGGAATGCCACAGGATCCTTGTGTATACCGGTAAGGCAACTTTTCCCAACGCCTCCTATAGGGCAGGTCACGAGACCGAGTTTATCAGCAGGATGTGGGAGATGCGCAGGGTGAGGAACCTATGCCTACCAGCACCCAGCACGACAATATGATATTCCCGCCTGCAATGGGAGAAGGCAATTGTTAGCATTGAGCGCGAACAATGAGAAGATGATTATTGCCAGTCAATTGAACACTCACTGTGGCCGCATTGGGGATAGTCCAAGAAAATGTATGAACCCGACGGTCGTGTTATTCCAGGAAGAGGAGAGATAAGGAAAGAAAAGCCGTGTAACACTCCAGCAGCGCAATCAATTCCAAAAATATACTTCTGTAGCTCAAGCTGATAGTAAGTGCAGTGTGGGTTGTGTTCCCTGGATTTTTCGAGCTCAGAGTACCCTCAAGTCGTAGCTATCCCAGCAATACCAAGCCGTCATGGAACGACACAGACCAAGTGACACTCCTCCGTCGAAGTTATTGTTCCCTTCTCTGCGCAAATATCCGATGGATGTGTGGATGTTAGGTTCTCTTCGAGATAGCTGCAGGTAAAGGCCACGGGGGCTCGATCACATCGGACTACAGTCACGTAGTATTGTCCGGAGCGGGAACCGGGGACGTCGTTCCGAGATTCAAGGAAAATGAGATGCTAGCGAACACACAATGCAAACGGCAAAAAAAGGACAAAGGAAAGACCAATTGGTAAAACGAGAAGCTTGAATTCGGGGGGAGGGGGTTGAACCCAGACTCCGATTCGACTCGGGGGGCGGGAGGAGTGTGGAGAGAATACAAGGGATGGATGGTTGGGGAGCTAGCTAGCTGCCGGCCAGCAATTGACGAGCGAAAAGGGCGATGTTGATGATGTCGCGGAGAGAAGTAGACGATGGTAGAGGCTGGAATGGGAGAGAGAAAACGAAGCCAGTCTAGTCACCAGCAAAATTAAGGCAGAAAAAAAAAGTCAAAAAAGGCCAAAAAAAAAAGGTTAAGATGCAGCAACACAGCAACCTCAACGTGCTCAAACTAACTAATTAATTACTAGACACTTCCGAGGAATTATATTCCCGCGTCCCGAAAACCTTAATGGTTTAATGATCAATGAAATTCTGCGTTTCAAAGGGAGTTTTTCAGTTGACGTTGACGACAGCTGCTGCAGAACAAGATCTCGCACGCTGATATTCTGTTTTTGGAGAGAACCGAACCTGCATTTATATATCATTTATATCATTTATATACTCATGCTATACATCTTCCGTCCGCCCATTATAGGATTCGCGTGATTGATCCACGTTCGGCACAACAGGCCCCCTTGTCCTGCTCTGTTCTTGCAGTTATTATTCCGAGGTGATTGATATAGGCCGTCCCTACGGTTACCTATGCCTGACAGCAAGAGCGTGCATGGCATCTCACCCACCGAAGGGATAGAGGAGAAAAAGAGAGACTGGAGACGAGACGCATGGACAATTCATATGCCATTCCTGTGCTCACTCGGGTCTGTCCAGGCATTGCCAGTCCATCATTGGATGTGTGCACTGCATCACGACCGTCCGAGGCTCATCCAGTCGGTGGTGATCGGATGCTGAATGTGTTTTAATTTTATTTTTTTTTTTTTCACTTCTGTCTGCTCAGACTGCTCTCTGTGTGGACCGTCTTCTGATTAAAAATCCGGACGTAGACCCGGCCGGCTGAGCCTGAGCAACCTGGCCAGTACGTGACACTGCAGGTTTCAATCACCTTTTTTTGTTTTTCTCTCCTTTCTCCCATTTTTGCGGCATCGCCCGTGATATTTATAAGTTTACGCTAATGCAGATCTGACAGGGGGAAACGTCAGCCCAATAACCAAGGCCCCGAAACATGCCGGGAAACTTGATCTTTGCCCATTGTCATGTATATGGGACAAGTACACTTCAGCAACCCATCCAATTTACCACAGATCCCAGCTTTCTGGGAATATGACAGCAGAGCTTGCCAACCCAGCCGAGATATTGGTTTTCGAGTCTGCGTTTGCATCAATGGCCACTTCTCCGGTCGTGCCTTAATCCCGACGATCCCCGGGCTATCGAACAGGAAAATTATTTTTTGACGTGTTTAACGATTACTCGCAACCGGCCACCGATGCCACCGATGTTGCTGAGGAAATCGACAACAGTTGCGTAGGTTCCGAGTTGTCATCTACCTCGGGGGAAAGACTCTCATATATCTTCTACGAGGACTGATGCGTATTAGAACGGAATATTGGACCACAAAAATATTTACAAAAATCTAACTATGCAGGTTGAGGATTAGGGTTGGTACGCTGTCTAGTCTTCGTTGGCACATGATCCTTGGTTGTCTCCCAATGGCCGACACGGTTGGAACAGGTAATATCCAAGGCGACGTTCGAAAATAGCCTCTGGAGCTGTGCAATACAAACTTGAGCTAGAAGAAAATCAAGGCATCCAGGGTGTGACCATGCCTGGGTAGCTCTCGTTACTAGGCTAAGATATAGCCGGTAAGTTGTGTTGGACGACTAGGTTCATGAGTTATCGAGACTGCACGGAGAAGCAGCGGTGGAAATAAGAGCAAGGTTGATAAATGAAAGCCACGTGCCGGAGGAGCTGAGATGGAAGTCGTAATTTCCGGTAGTTATCGTATATCTTATAATATAGGCACGGATAGGTATAAAGAAAAAAGCTCCTCCCTAGAGGCTTCTGGGGATTGCAACTTTCCGTGCTTTGTGGTGAGAAAATTTAACAGTGAATAGGTCCTTGATATTTGCGTTTCCATAATGATCTAGGAATCGAACCGTTGGCTTGTCCCCGCGCTCCATATTCGAGATCCGTACCTTCCACGCTGATCTCGGAACTAGACGCAGTCCCATTTCGACTCTTCATAACTGCGCTATGGTCGTAATGTTCGAGGGCTTCGAAAATATGCCCAAACACGAGTTCGTCCACATCAGTCGCCCATAGGAAGTCAAGGTGCTCATACTTTGGAATACATTTGGCCACAGTACCTCGAGGGAGTCGTTCCAACATGACATCGATGCTGACAAGACTATCGCTGCCACCATAGATGAGGACGATTGGCGTCCTGATGTTTCTGGTTGGGTATTTGGCAGGCTTGTAGAAACGCTCGCTCGCTCCAATACCAAAGGGCAAAGGCACGTGGATCTCGTCATCGAAAAACTGGAAGTTCTTGTTTCGGATAATTTGAAACCAATGGACGACCGACTTAGTGCTAGTGAATGAATACAAGTGCGGATATGCCGCAAGCTTCTGAAAGTGGCTAATGTTCTCGCACTTCCAGTTGAAGAGAATAGACAATGCTGTATCGATTATGCGAGCGTAGATAGGCGGGTAGAGAAGAGACTGCCACATGACAGTGGAGCCGAGAATGGTCCGTCGGCCAAAGAGGAGAAACAGGAAGTTGGGAGACGCTTTCATCAGAGAATCCACGGTGGGATTCGAGAGACTCGTAGGAGCCATTGCAGGCGCAAGAGCCACGAAAACATCGACCTTCTGATTCAGATACGGGTGGATCGAGAGAGTTGCAAACGCCTGAGCGGTGCCTTGGGAAAACCCAATATACGACAGAGAAGGCTCACCCGTCACCTCCAGGATATACTCTATGCTGTCTGGGATATCGTAAAGAGCAAACTCATCGATCGAAAAGCTCCAAAACTCATTGGTCACCGGAGAATGTTTGACGGACTTCTTCGAGTATTTATTGCCCCGATTATTCCCCAGCCACACGTCGTACCCTTTCTCAACGAGTTGGAAGGGCAAGCATCGTCGCTCGTCCGTCATACACACCCACACCTCACTGCTCATGAGCAGGCCATGGTGGAGGTAAACGACTTTCTTCCTGATGCTTCCCTCGCCCTGGTTTACCAGCAAATGCTCTTCCCCTTTCCGAGAGGGCAGACGGTGGAGGCCCAGGAGGTAACCGTCGCTGGTTTGGACAATGTGTTCCTCAGTTGCATAGCCAAACAATGCACATATATCTGTGAAGTCCGATGCTTCAGCTATTGACGAGGCGAACCCTGTTCGTTTATCACGCTTATCCTGTCTTTCGCCGGGTAACAAGAAGTTGAACAGCGCCTTGGATTGGTTGTAACAGACATTTATTATCGACTCCGCTGCTCGAAGTTAGCTTACTTGGTACGGGGTGAGTTCCAGTGGCCGCGCGTATGACACTCACGCAGGCAAGAGGTGATAAACTCAACGACGCGTTCCAGCACAACGAAGACTAGGGAACCAAAGAGCGAAAGATATTCGTACCTGGGCGAGATCAGCAGGTATGAGTTTACATTCTGAATGGCTTGTCAAACGTGGGGGAGTAGAATCGAGAAGCTCACCAGAAGAGCATCGGCGGCATAACGGGCAGATTGAACACAGTCGCTGAGAGACTGAGCTTCTTTGGCCGGAAACATATGCCATGTAGGATGCAAATCTACCACGTACTGTCGCAGGATCAATTGGGATATATATAGTGTGCGGTGCGCTGGTCGTTGACTTCACAGCGAGAAGATAACCCAGCTGCCCTCCAAGCCACAAACGCTGTTTATGTAAGCCACAATTTGTGTCACCGGTTTGTACCAGTTATGTATGTACGCCGTGTTACGATAATACATAGCGGCTATGCAATCTTCACTAGCGGTGTTAGGCAGAATCGGTAATCGAATTACCAAAACGGTACGAGCTGTGGCCTCGATGCTGCCATCACCCCCCATGACGATCCAAAGGCAGATAAGCTGTCACCGAAACACCGCCAGACGCATAGACGTTCGACTCTGCTGAAGTGGGATTCTCGTTTTTCCCTTTGATCAAGCACGTTGGATCCCCCCGAATCAAGATGCCCAGTTCGTGCAAGGATATCAGTACGTTTTCTCCTTCTCTCCCTTCCATTCAACCGTGATTCCTGAGACTGCATGAGGGAGTCAATTTGGGACGAACAACGAAAGTCAAATTAACACACCGCGATATACAGGACAGGCATTGGCGCAATGCCTCCAGGAATCCGACTGCATCATGGTCCAACGCCACACCCCCCGTGAATGTCTAAGTTCTCCACTCCTCGAGGAACTGCCTACGAGATGTCAACAGCTACGGAAAGGCTTCAGCGAGTGCAAGTGAGTTAGCTGAATTGGGTTTTCTTGGGGCCTAAGGCATTTTTCAATTACTTTAAATTGACGACTGGGATGTTGTTTTTTTGTTTACAGGCGCGGGTTAATCGATATGCGCAAACGCTTCCGCGGAAACCAACCCGTCTCGTTAGGGAAGGAGTTCGATAAGGGTGATCGTCACCAGCTCTATGCGGGTAAATCTGCTTTCCCGACTGTGAAGGAGACAAGCGGGAATGAGGCCCAGATGGATCCGGAGAAGACGAGAGGCTTGTAAATAATGGAGGATTCGAAGAATGCTGGGCCTCCGATGGCGTTGGTATGCCCTGGTGGGCATCTTGCCGCAGCTTGAAGCGTGTGCAGCATCTCTTGTTCCCAGATTACTGCTGGGTTGGAGTGGCGCTCTTCTGTGCACTGGAGTTTCTTTTCAGGATGTTCGGTTTTCATTTGCCAAATACGATATGGATTTACGTCAATGTGTACGATACTGAGTTGTGCTGGGCTTGTATATATATTAAAAAAAAGGTTTTCTTTCATTTCGAGTCTTGCCCTCCCTGGCCAGGGCAACTTCTGAATTCCTGACCCTAAGAAACGCCGGAAACCTGTACTTACATGGCCCTGGTTTTGATTATAGGAAGTAAGCGAAATAAAGAGAGCAAATTAAACCAAATTCCGTAGCCAGAGACAATCCACACGACTTCCTTCCCGGGGAACTCCTGGACAGATAACGAAGAAAAGAACACGAGGCCGGACCGGACCAGACTCCTTAGAATTTCGAGCAGTCAAACGCCATTGTTCAGCAAAATAAGCTGCTCAGGTAAGTTCAACGCGTCATATCCCCTTTGAGAGTTTCCCACAAATAAACCAAGGACAAGCCATCTAAACATAAAAGCAACGGGAGGGAATAGAAAACGCAAGATGGATTAGTAGAAAAGTGAGCAGAGCGAGAATGCCGCAAATTTCGCAAGTATGGAAACGATGAATTAAGGCCGTGGCGTGTCTAGATATGAAAAAGATTCAGCAAGTGAATCAACCGAGAATCCGAAAGCCGTAAGACGTTAATGCCTTTGTGTTTCTTTTATCGTGATGGTCGAAATATAACAAAACAAGACGCTGCTATCCGTATTGGAGGTTGGGACGCTAATGTACTGTATGTCCATATGTTGCGCAGAGAGATGGGCGGGGATATGGAGGATTCTCACCAGAAGAATGCCAGAGAATACTCGATCCAAAGTAAATGAAGGAACCAGAAGGCCGACAGCTGGCAAGTGATGGTTGTGGGAGAGGGATTTTTCTAAGAAGATTTTACCTCTCTCCAAATTTCCCATATTCTTGCTGCCATTTGAGAAGGTGACGTGTGAGGACATCCATCATCTCGATACTGCTTAGATCTTTGAAGTCCTTCTCTTTTGATACTTGTTCGGTCACGCCATCTGTAGCTGGCGTAGACTCCTTGACATCGTTGGCTATTGATGGGGCACCATTTTCGAGATGATCGGCCACAGCTTTGGGAAGGCTCCCGTTTGGCTTATCGCCATTGCTGATGGGGGTAGACGAACTCTCACCCGCTGTAGCCATCTCGACTTGCATTCGCGAAATAAATTCAAGGATAGCAGCAACACGTCTCTTCATCTCGTTCATAGTGGTACGCTGTGGGTTCATATACCGTGGCCTGCTGGGTCTGCCGAATTCCCCACCGTTCACGTGTCCATTCGTCCCATGCGCACCGACTCTGGGAGAATCTGCGCCGATATCGTGAGAATACCCGCGGCGTGGAGAGTTGTTCGAATCTGTACCGTTCAGGTTGAGATCCCGGTCCCTGGTATATTGATTGCGTCCGCGGCCTCCTTGCCGGGTTGGTGGGCGCCCAGATTTGCGCGTTGATGAACGAGAATTGGTTGGCTCTTGGACAGGGACAGAAGGGTCGGGACTTGGCTGGGCAGGTTCAGCCGCCAGTTCGTTCACGACAGCTTTTACTGGCGATCCAACATCATGATCGGACTCGGCTGATTGGCAGGCAGTTAGCTACTTGAATATCAAGGATGGGTAGGGCTCGCGAACTTACCTTCGCCGCGTCGTCGGTCTGATCTCGCTTTCCTGCGATTACCAGAAGACTCGGGACGCTCTTGTTCCACTTCTTCGGTGTCCTTGCTATCTTTTTCACGCTGGTTACGTGACGGCAGTCTCTGCTTTTTGACACCATTTGCAGCTCCTCTTGTTTTGGCTTCGTCTTCTGACGCAGGCTGAGAAATAGAATTCGCCTGTTTTGAAGCAGCTGGTGGTGACGCTGAACCAGTACGTTGCCTTTTGGCAACTTGCTTGTTCCTAGACTCCGAAGTCAGCGCAAATGCAATCGGCGGGTTGAAATTACAAAGTGAAAACCCCAGGGCAGAGACTGCTCAATGCAGCAACTAGCATCACGTACGTTTCACTATCGCTTCGGCTTCTCTTGCTTCGTCTTGAGGAAGCTTCTTCTGCGGTAGCCTGGGTGTCTTCCTTGCTCTCTTCGATAGCACGTCGCAGCTGTTCCTCTTCATCATAGGCAGCCTCACGGCTGTTGTTCGTGGAACGACGTTTTGTGACGGTAGGTATTCCATTCTGCCGGGACTTGGAGTCTTTTGGGCGCCTGGAGCTATCTCTGGTCGACTCTCGGGAGGATGGGGCTGGAGAAGACACCGGGGCCACGGGAAGGTACTGCGACGAGTATTGTCTGCAAGATCGTAAGCGGGAGTCCCACATATTGGATGTTCTTTGCATGTAAAGTGCAACCAAAAACAGCGACTTTGAGGATCTAGCCTGGAGTGAGGATGGGGAGACCCTGGTAGGTTCCTCGCACTCGACCAAAAGAGGGCGCTGCAAGTAAATTTCGAAAGCAGACTTAGGTGGATAAAGGCGCTTCTGCAACAGAAGAAAGCAGACAAAACGGGAGAATCCATTATTGACGAACTTACCCATTTGACTCAGCCCTGATTTTGTGGAGGTCCTTTCGACATTCTTCGCAAAAATATTCATCGGGGCTCATCGCCTCGTCCATGATGCCGACACAGCCACCATGTTGCCAAACCTTGCAAGTATCACATTGAATGAACATACTGCCAAGTTCATCAGGCATCAAGTCGGATAAGTCTGTTGGCAGACCTAGCACGCTCTCATCCTTTAGGCCGGAAGCCATGCGGCCACGCTCCAGAGCTTCTCGACGAGAAGGAGGAAGGCCAGGATAGTCCTGTTGCCTACAAATACATCTGGTAATCTCGTCCTCTTCTTCACCTTCCTCATACTCCTCATCTTGTGTAGTTCTTTGCCTGTTGTCATGGTCTTCGTCCTCTCGGGTGCGCTGGCGCTGGCGCGTCTGCGGGAAGTCGTTTTTCCAGTTGGCTTCAGCATCGTCGATGGATTGAGACCGTTGAGTTGAAGACCTATGAGGAGACTGGGCCTTATGATTCGATCTGGTATTCCTCTCTCCTCGAGAATGGGAGCTTGACGAGCTAGAGGAATTGGTATGTTGAAGGACCGAGGGCGGAGGCTGGGTTGTGCGGGCGCGAGAGGAGCGGCGAGGAGTCATGGCTGCGACTGCTGTTGAGTCGGGAGAATCTTTGCGGAGAAGCATGTAACCGGAAGCAAAGGTGTCTCGACAGGATAATTATGGTAAATGGTAACGAATGGCCGCTAGGATAAGGGATAGGCCGAAAAGAGCGCTGCGCTGCGTCTGCGAAGCTGCTGCAACGCTGAGGAAAAGCTGGAATTAGCTCAACCGTAGGCGTTCGGGGGACAAGCCGGCCAAGGACATGAGAAACGCAATTGAGAACAAAAACCAGGGTAACAAGGACAGCATTTGAAGACCGGATGCGAGGCTAAAGCGAGCTGCCTACATGGTCCGACGCAAAGAGGTGTGGGCGAGGGAGGAGAATGGGAATGGAGGAACGGGAGGAATTATTATCATAACCACGGAGCGGGGAATTCAAAATTGCCGGCAACAGTTTGCCTTCTCTGGCAATGTGTTCGGGAGGTTCTGGCGCGCTTCGATGCAGCAACAGCCGTTTTATCTTCTGGAGGAGAAATATGTATGTATGTGTGTGAGAATACGCATAAATCCATTTCTTCCCTGGCCTTCGCCCTGCTGTTCCGATTCAACGCCTGCAGCTCGACTGCCGCAATGACGCAGCCGCCCTCGCTCGAGTCCCTTCTCACGCCGTCTTCCTGGCAACGGTATGCATGACCCATTCTTCTTCTCCTTCCTCTCAGTTATAAGCGTCCAATTCGTTCCCTTCAGATCCCGCTTCTCAGCGCTCTCCGACAAGCATGTCTTCGCGTCCTTTCTCCCCTTACTGTCCAGACACCCGCCGTTGAACGCGTCGCCTCCCCGTTTCGCTTCCTCTCTGCCTTGACGAATTCCCAATTTATCATGCCCATGCAGATTCACCGCTGATTGTTCTTCGCTCTTGATAAACGTTTCGTCCCTTTCCACGTCCGGGAATAAGGGGTTATGGGTTCCGTGCGAGCGTGGTTCCGCTCAGACTACGCGGACCGTTCGGAGGAAGCTTTAACAGGATGGTAATGTGAAGCTTTGAGGCTCAATGATATGGTGATGTCTACTGTATCTGAGTGGTTCCTTGGAGCAGAAGAGGGTCTCTGCTTCGCTTTGGTACTATTCCTCCTTACGAAGCCCCGATGCTCCTGACTCTGGCGTCTTGGGAATAACGACGGGCGATGAAGACAAGGTGCAGGAAGAAGACCCCCGCTGGCGTAGATAACGTATAACTGCAGGATGATCTTGCTCGCGACGACCGAGTACGCTGTTGCTGATATCGTCCTCAGAAGAGCCGGGCAGCACCTGGTAATAGCGTTGTGCCACTCCCCCCGAGTAGACATGACAGTGGTATGCAGTGCATGTCAAAAGAAGACCCTGTAGGATCTACCATAGAGAATCTTGTTCTCTCCACCCCAGAAGCAGTGTTCTTTGGCACCTGCAATGGAGGGGCTATCGGCGGCCGTTCGGCGGGCGTTCCAAAAGCGGTATAGCAGCTCCAGCTTGCCGAGTGGCAGCCCCGTCCGCTCTGTTGGAGAATTATCCGGCTTCATCGTCTCCAAAGCTCCAGAACCGTTATTCAACCTCCGCCTTCCTTGACCTCTCCTGCATGCTTTCTCTCGTTAGCCCTTCATTAGTTGCAAACCGGTCCTTTATCACCGTGCGTAATTTGCCCGCACCTTTCTTCGCAACTGGCTCGAATCCCGTGGCTTTTCGTGGCTGATTAATTGCCATTCTGTGGGTAACCTGTCTCCTATTTCTCCAAAAAGGGCTCATCACTACGGGCTTCCGTGGTGTCTTTTCGGACTACGGGGAAGAGGGAATTCTCGTTATTGGTCGTTGCTTTCGTCCGATGTCTATCCCTCTCGTTTTCATTAGATTTGGCCTCATTACCCATTGCTGACCTTGTGGCCTTGACTCACTAGGATCGTCCGGGTGATTTCCCTATCTCAACACTCCCTTTGTACTGTTAAAACGGAATTTCGAATCGAGGGGGCAGCGTGGAGGTTAGGTCTTGAAAGACTGGGTTGTTGGATAAGAACGGTGAAGGCCGCTGAAGGCGATAACTCGGCATGATGTCTGCTACGTTGAGTATGTGTTCGCAGAAAGAACATTTCCGCTCGTCTGGCGGATGTCATTGCCCCTGGTGCAGGATCACAGGCATCTCTGGGGGCTCCAGAGAGCAATCTGCTGGTCGTTCAGCTACTGACCGATCTGTCAACCTGCAGATGGGACATATAACTCGGCCCCGGATACACCGTCTCCCGTCTATCCAGACAGATTGATTCGACCACTTCCAAAACGTACCATTCGCTCCCGTCTATCTTTAGAGGCTGCCGATTCCATTCTATATCCCTTATCTCCGCCGAGCACGCGGGTTTTTTACGGCTCGTCTGTAGAGGGTGGCGATTCGGGCAACGATTCCAAAGTCTACGTGCAGCAGGACATTGATAGTGAGACTCAGGATCATAGTCCCGAGCGTGACCACCATCACCCCTACGAAAATGGAGTTGACTTTGAAAGCGGTGACGAGGATGGACCCGTAGTTGTGCGTCGAAGTGCAGGATTTCGTGGATCTTCTCTGTCCCCTGCTGCCTCAGGCACTTACACAGCAAAGTACTCAGATACCATCGATAGACCTGAGACCAAGTTGCTGGTGGGGCCAGACGGTTATGACGCCTTTGAAAATACAAACAACAAGAAGAAACGCAAAATCCCCACCCCTGCCAACTTGAGCAGCCATCACTCTACTTTGTCCCATGACTTTGCCAATATGGGGCTTTCCATCTCCAAATCAACGCCTCCCGCGACGGCTAGTGATGGAAACACCACTGGTACGTACCATGGCACTGGAAGTCCCGCGTCTCCTGCAGGCAGTGGAATTTCGGGGTCTGGACGTGGCCGCCTTGCACGCAACATCGCGCGCCATCTCAGTGGAAGAAGTCCATTATCAGTCCATACTCAGAACAACTTGGTTAATGGTCGTACGACGGGCTGTCGTGACCAGTTGATATCTCCACCAGAGTCAACAGGTATCTCTCCTCTAGTTCTATGGCGTCTTGCATTCTCCTCCTTTTTCTTTTCGATTTTAACTCACAAGGATCGTAGGCCTCGAGTCGCCTGGCAAGTCCGACCAAGGTATCATCTCAGCCGCTATAGCAAACGCCGCCGTACATTCCTCTCCCAGTTCAGGCAACGGTAGCTTGCTTGAGCAGCAGAATACGACCCCAACCAAGACACAATTTACCTTCACGTGTGAGTCTGATTCCTCGAAAGGGATGGCACTGCAAGGGCAAAGTCCCTATGCAGTCCAACGACAGCTGCAACCGCATCGACCTGCGGTAACTTCTTCGACGACAGCCCAACCTCGACGAGCGGTTTCCACGCAGGCCACGCAGACAAGCCCCAACATGACGACCCATGCACAGGCTGGTTCACAACAGCAGCAACCGCAACAGCAACAACCCCAAGGTGCTGAAGCAGGTGGCACTGGCAGAAAAAAGAAGAGGTCTCCAGGAAGCATATACGCGTTGGCCGCGCGTCAGCGAAAGATCCAACAGCAATATACGAACCTGCATCGTCCACCTGCCCCCGAAGACATATGGATATGTGAATTCTGCGAGTATGAGAGTATATTTGGCCGCCCACCTGAAGCGCTGATCCGACAATACGAGATCAAAGACCGCAAGGAGCGGAAGCGACTGGCGGAGAAAAGAAGGCTGTTGGAGAAAGCAAAGATGAAAGGACGCAAGGGCAAAAAGGCGACTAAAAAAGCTGCAGCACAGCAGGCTGCTCATCACCATCATCACCAGGGATGCGACCGGGCGTCTGGGGACCATTCATCTGCCGATGCCTACGGCTGCATGCATGAAGATGACTACTTGGCCAACGAATACGACGAGGAACCTATACCAATCTCTGCGCCCGCTCCATCGCTCTCTTCCTTGAAGTTATCCACCTCCCCTGGAAACCAACCAAAAGCAACGACGCCCGCTGGTGGAGTCAACGGTGTAGCAGGCGGAGGAACTAGTTTACCATCCTGATGACTGGGTTGGCCGGCTCATACATTACGTGGTCTGTGCCGCGGTTCGACCGTTGGCATGGGTCTGGCAGCTCTTTTAGAGCAATTCTGAAACAGTCCCTACTGGCGCTAGACCAGTTGATTGGGCCGGCAGGGTCTCCAGCCCGACCTATTGTCTTCTTTATCTTTCTTTATTTCGTCGGTCTTTGTTGTTCTTCTTTCTGATCACAGCCTGGTGCGGGGCGTGTTGTTGTTCAAGTTATTATTTTTTCTTTAACTTCTCTTTCAGGATGCTTCTTGCATCGATGAGATAAATCCCCACTCATATGCATACGCCGAATATTAAAACTAGCAGATCCGCAGACTTTGAAACGTTGGCAAAGCGGCATCGTTTGAACATGAATTGTCATGCTGAAATGTCCATGGATGGTAACAGCGAAGGAATATGTATGCTTTGTCGGTGTTAATCTTCTTTCTTTTCTCTTGTCTATTTATTTTCTCTTTCTATTTCTCTCATCCCGTTTCCTTATTACTACATGTATGAAGTAACCCTCAAGGGAGAAACTATGTTGAACTTAGGAAGTACTCGACAGAAAAAAGACAAAAAAAGCCATTGATAGGAATAAACTAGTTATTATTAACATAAACGAGTATGAATTGAAACAGTCCAAGAAGACCATAGTAGTCGCTCTAGAGCAATGAGACCCAGTAATTCGTGGTAATCAATCTCACGGCGCTACATGAAGCTGCTGTAGTTTCTTATGGTTATGGATTTAGGGCTCTGTCAATCCGCTGACTTTTCAACTTTTCATTTCTGGCATATTTTTAGAAAACAATACTCTGAGAATCAATCTCATCAAATCATTCCTAGTAAATCCTATTTCTGAAACGGAGCTTATGAGCTACGTATTACTTACTCACTAGGTAGGCGATATTCACGTTTGTTAATTGTGGATAATTGCGATTAAGCGCGCGCGAAAAGAACACCCCTAATTATTGCCATTCCTGCTACTCTCATGCTTCCTCCAATAAAGGGAAATAAATGATGTGATTTGACTACTGTGAATCCTCGGCATGCAATCCCGCAGGAACATGAAACAAGTACACTGCCTTATGGGTCGGGAGTCAATGGTATTATTTTGGTGAGTGATGTAGCTAGCTAGCTGGCTGTGAGACTGCAATTGAAGGTACATAAAGGCAATGGAATTCTGCCCTTATCTTTCCTTCTTTATTTTCTTCATTGTCTAAGAATTGAGCAGTTTAAAATATTTACATTGTTTTGGTCTGTTTTCTTTTTCTCTTCCTTTTCTTTTCTTCCATTTCATTCCTTCTTCGTCCTTTGTGGTGCCGGTCATCCATAAAGGAGTGTGAGTGAGAAGAGAAAGGCTGAAGAGTATATACGATCTCTTGCTGCTGCTGCTGCTGTCTTTCATTTATTCAGGATCCAGAAACATCCTGGTTGATATATCTACGCCATACTGCGCCTACTCGGTGATTCTTCTTTCCTTGCATCTTCTACAGTCGTTGCAGTTTCCTATTCCCGAGCAAGAGATCTATAGTAACGTCTCTCTCTCTCTCTCTCTTTCTTTCTTTCTTTCATCTACCATCCTATCTATTCCTCATGTACTTTGCCATCTTCAGACTCCTCCGCGCGATAGCAAAGAAACGCAAAGAAAAGAAAGCCCAAGCCCAAGCACAAGCTGCAGGATTCCAAGTCGACCCCCAATTCCAATTCAACCACCCGAACCAGAACAAATCCAAAACCAGCATCCAAATGAGTGTCCTCTCCGCCTACAAAACCGGCTCCGGAACCGGTAGTACCTCCCCAGATGCTGCAGCAAGACACCCGATCAAGGTCCTGGTCGAGACAATCCTGCGCTTCTTCCAGTTCGTCCTCGGCGTAACAGTCATAGGCCTCTACGGGCAAGACGTCAAGCACGACACTGACACGATCCACGATAAATGCGTCTTCGCTGTGATCACGGGCTCGCTGGCCTCCATCACGGCGGTGGTTTATTTACTCCTTCCGTTCGTGTTGAAGGATCGGCCGCTCTCGGTGCGGACGGGTCTGCATCTCCCCTTTTTAGTGTGGGAGGGCGTGCTTGTCATTCTTTGGTTGGTGATGTTTGGGATGTTCGGGAAGATGTATATTGGGAACTATTCGGGTGTTGATGGGGCGCGGGTTGCGAGGATGAGGCATGCTGTTTGGGTGGATTTGACGGAGTTGCTTTTGTGGGCTGGGACTGCCGGGTGGTCATTTTTGCGATGGTGGAAGGGTAGGACTGCTGGTGAGAAGGGTGGTGATCTCGAGAAGGAGGGTTCCTTGGAGAGTTGAGTGAGGGTTGACTCTTGTGTTGATGCCGATGCATTGGAGTTGATATCGTTGCGTCCATGACACCATGGGCATGGAGGCTCTCTCTTGCTTTCCCGAACTCTTCGTGCTCCTTTCATTGTGCTTGTCTTATGCTCCATGGATATTTCTGCATTCGATCTTGTGGATGATCGAGTATGTCTGGGAGGTCTGCATACCCTGGACCCTCATACCATGGATAATCTGTATCTAATATTTAGCATCCCTGGATTTATGTTTTAGCTGGCTGCCATGCACTAATGGAAAATTCATGTTACTTGCATTTGTATCATGAACAAGGATGAGGACATCTTCCCTAGTCTCCTTGGATCAAGTCCTTCCAGGCACAAAGAATAAGATGTAACCTATGAATCCTTGAATTTATTCCTTTCTTCATGAAGTGTCTATTAGCAGTAAAAGCAGGAAACTATCTACTAGTACCAATATTAATCCACCTGTCTACCTCCCAAGAAAAGGAAAACCAAAACCAAAAACTGCTACTACCCGCGAAACTTTAGACGCAGGGTTCATGGAAAATTCACTTCACTTCACGGTCCTCGATGCTACGGCTCATCAGGTTCTTGCTTCGGCTCTGCTCAATGAGATGACTCAGCTGGCTGCGAGGTCGGGACGTATATGTAGATGTAGGAAAAGGCAATGACCCGGGGAAGGTTTGTGTAGACGGTGGTAGGAGATCGGGATCAAGACCGCCTACCGGTGGGGATACGTGGGGAGATTGGGAGACCGGAGCCGTCGAAGGGAAAGGGGGAGCTTTGCAAGAGCCTGCACGTGGTCCACCGTCAAAGCCACACGATTCAGCAGAGAGAATGCTTCTCCGATAGGTATTGTTGTTGGTTGTAAACTCGACCGGATTTCCGTCAATTGCAGAATTGAAATTCTCCGACGATACTCCCACAGGACGTTGCGCTTGCAATCTCCTTTCTGCAAAACGTGATCGGAAACCCTTGTCAACAAGCGACGTCGAATGTAGTTGCTCTTGTTGCTGAAAGGTGTTCCGGCCCTGTTGTTCCAAAGATGACGAAATCGGTGCAGGGGCATGACTGTGGATGCTACTAGCGGCGAACCCTCTTGTGGGGGACAGCGGAGGTGATTTGGGGCTTGCTGGTCGTTCTTCTATGGCCATGAGTATTTTTTGAGCCGAGAGAGAGGCAGATAATGTCTGCTTGGATTCTTCATCATCGAGAGATTCGGGTGATAGCATTGCAGGGTCTGGCACATGGCTATTAGGGCTGCATTGAGTCATTTCTTCCAAAAGTACTTACCCCTCAATAACTGCGGCTTCGATACACAGAACTTCTCATCTGGATGGACCGGAGAGGGGTCCGCGGTGAGTCCGGATAGAGACACTGGGGAAATGGGAGATATCTGGGGAGAGCGGATTTCCGTTCCGGAAGCAGACGTCGGGTGTGACGACTTGCGTCGCACAGTGACGGGCTTGCGTTTCGGATTCCCTCCCTTGCCGACCACAAAATAGCTTCTCTTCTGCCCCTGGCGGTTCACCAGCTCGCCCGCGGGGGTAGGAGGGTTGGACGGCTTGCGGGTAACACTCCGGCCTCCGGGCGATGTAATGAGCAGTCGCGTTGTCTTGTGGCGCTCTCCCTGGGATCCGGTAGCGGATTGCGACTTCTTTAGAATAGGAGGAAGAGGCGCCGGTCTTCGAGGCTGATTCCGGGTGCGGTCCTGGAGTTGTCGCTGCTGCGGATGTTCTCTGCTCTGATCTTTAGGAGACAATAACGGCCCTTTCTGCGGACCCCGCAAAGAACGCGAAGATGGTTCCTACACCGTAGAGCAAGATAATGGTCAGTTAAGGAAGGGACAATTCCCGAGGATGAATGCGAATGTTAGATCGCGCACATTCCCATGGTTATTCCCCACCTGCTTCGGTTGCTGAACCGGAATGCCAGGCAAAGGGCTGGTTTGAGATATCTTCAGAAATAACTTTGCGACAGTCGAACCACGCAGAGTGTCATGCCTGCGTCTACTGCCCCATATTCTCCAGAACAGATTCTCCAGCCTGCGCCCAACATGACCGCTCTGTGCGGATGCGATGGCATTGTAGACTATCAGCGAGAAGATAAGCTGGTCGGAACAAATCGCGGGAAAGAATAGAAAGCCACAAATGGGTAGGAAATACCTCTCCATAACCGTGCGATGTCGTTCATATCGACACCATCGTCCTTGAGCTCCGACGACAGGACCCTTCCGGATACTGTAACCAGGCCTTCAGGAACACTGGCGGGCATTGTTCCGGTAGGAATATTGAAAAACCAGAAGCAAAGATTATTTTTTTGTTAAAAAAAGAAAAAAAAGAGGAAGTAAAAGAGCAGATCAAGATGAAGGAGTAACTCTCAAAAAGCCAAGGGTTCTTAGAGGGAAAAGCAGTCGTTCCAGAGAGCTACATGGTCGAAGGACAAGAAAGCGAGAGGACTCGAGCTCTCAGAAGAGGGGCAATCCAGTTCGCATCGACTGCAAAGATAAAAAAAGAAGAGATGTGGTTGTCATGCTGCAGCAGTTAATAAGTGTGATGGATTGGACTGGCCTATCTCACAGTGACAACAGACTGGAGGAGCACATTCATTCATAAGAAATAGGACCGGGCAGCAAACAGCAGTGACAGACAAAAGAAGGAGGGAAAGAAAGAGGGAAGTCCCAAAAATCCTGCTGGTTGCGGAGTCCAAAGGTAAGACTATTGAATAAACCTCAATCCGGAATTTGGGATGGGCCGGTGTTCACTGGGAAACAGGGAAAAATGAGCGAGCTGTGGCGGAGATGGATGGGGCACACAACACAGGGAAAGAAGGAGATACTCATAGGAAGGACAAATTCCTTTCCCTGAGATTGATCGATGAAATGAAATATAGAGATGACACTGCAGGCACAAACAAAGCAGAGAACTCCGCCTTTCCAGCCTGACAGGCGTAAGAGGGGGGAGCGGAAAAAGAGACACGGCCAAGGAAACACGAGCTTGAGCCGCTCATCAGGCCGGTAGGCAGCATTATTGTTTCTTCTCTGCTTCTTCTTATTCTCCTTCTTCAACGCCTTCGTTTGCAACGCGCGTTCCACAAAGAATCACAGGTCAAGCTGAAGTCACAGCAGCGCTCCGTCATAACATGTCATCGATAGGTCAAAACTTGCTGGATCTCGGATCGGTCCGGCGTTGACAGCATTTTCCTTTTTTCACTGGACTTAGAGATTCCAGAAGGCATGAATTGATCAACTTATCTCGATGAAGTGTCTTGATTATCCTGATGGATTGATTATTTTATGATCCGCAGGAAGCGATCGATGCACTTTCTACAATAATGCGGGGATCATCGAGCGCAGACGTCGACAAACAACGCGCATCAGAGACATCTGATTGGATTCAACCACCGAGGGATTCCTCTCTGAGTACAGACTCCGGAGGATGCGGAGTACATAGAGTACACGAAGACGGCACACACCGCATCTAATGAAGGAATGGTGCATGGGGAATCGACTGGCTGTATTTGGTCAGTGTCAATGTCTGCGCAACCTTCGGCTGTCTGCTGAGCATGGAGTGTCCTGGAAATGGGAACAGTCGTGCCGACCGTTTCATTGCCAAGGATATTATCCCCTTCGGAGTAGTCTAGCGTCAAGTCTATTCCAAATATGTCCCTGGTACGCAGAGATACATCTAGGTAGTGGGCACAGATCCCACCTCAAAAACCTCTCTTGTATTGCAGATACCTTCTAGAGATCCAAAGAGAAAAGATAGGTTAAAATGATGACAAGTGCTGTCCAATGTCCTTGTCCTCCCAGCCCGCACCGAATTCCCAGGAGACCTGCCTTCACCCCATGCCTGGAGTATTAAACGCATAGAAGCCATTTTCACCCGCTTATAAAGGAGACATAACAAAAAGAAAGAGAATTATGGGCTGTCTAGGAATCTTGGCCGCATAAAAAGTAAACCGTGTAGAAAACCGAAGAACCGGGAAAAAAGCAGTCTTCAAAAAGGTGAAGGCCGCATGACCGCAATCTATCGCAAGTTTCTTAGGTCACAGTGTAGCCACCGTCAACGCGAAGCTCTGCGCCGGTAACGTACTTGGACGCGTCGCTGAGCAGGAAAGTCACGGCGCCGGAGAGATCTTCGGGCGTTCCCATCTTTCCAGAAGGAATGAGAGACACCCACTTCTCCTTCAATTCGGGGTTCTCGTCGAGGATCTTGCGGGTCCTGGGGTCCGCATCAGTAACCGCATTCGGCTAGTGCCCGTGCTGTGGGGATCATCTATGAACTTACAGGGCAGTCAGCATGTATCCGGGGCTGATGCAGTTCACGCGAATGTTGTATTTGGCCCATTCAACGGCAAAACTCGAGGCAAGGTGGCGCACAGCGGCCTTGGATGCGTTGTAGGGAGCTTGGGGCTGGGGAATATTGACGATGGCGCCAGACATGCTGCCGATCAAGACAATGCTGCCGGGGGCCTTGCGCTCGATCAGATGCTTGGCAATACCGGTGGCAAAGAAGTAGGATCCGTCGACGTTGACGCCCCAAAGCTTCCTCATCCGATCAACAGGGTAGGAAACGGCGTCGAAGTTCTCCGTGAAACCGGCCGAATTGACCAGGTTGTCGATCTTGCCATGCTGCTGGATGATTTCCTCGAGGGCTGCATTCACGGAGTCAGGATCCGCAATATCGCAGTAGTGGGCAGTGATCTTGGGCAGATCTTCTCTGTGAAGGGAGTAAACATACGTCATCAGCAAAATGACATGAATGGACGTCGAATATTGTTGGCCGCACTTACTCCTCCAGTCCGGGGTTTTCTTCCTGGAAATGCTTCAGGAGCTCCTTTGACTGTAGTTCAGCATCGGGCTCTTTTTGGCGAGTTAGCACGAAGACAGCTGCTGCTAGCCGCTCAACGGGGGCTTACTGTTGAGATCAACAATGGCAACATCCGACCCGGACGTAACTAGGGCCTGTGCCAGGACCAGTCCCAAACCGCGAGCTCCACCAGTAACGACGCTGACCTTGTTCTCCAGCGTGAACTCGGGCAGAGTACGCTTGAAGTGGATTCCTCCACGACCGCGCACGATGGGGGTAGGAGGGATTCCGGTCTCATCGGGGTACTCGATCTTGACGTTCTCGTCGGTACGAGCGTACTTGCCATCGTGGGGGCCGACGGCGCCCTCTGGGGCTTTGGTAGTGACGTTGATCAAGGGATCCTTCTTCTTGCCAGAAGCATCATTGGCACGCAAGACTGACGACGAGAAGGGACGCGAAACCGAGGCAGCAACACGGCGGACGGGTCTGATGGCCCTGGTCGCATTGCGCGCGACGGAGGAGCTGAACATGATTGCTGATCAGCAGGACCAACGAAGGATATGAGAAGAAGAAAGAGCCGCTACTACGAGCAACGCGTATTTAGTAAGGGAAGGGGAAGAGAAAAGAACGGGGAGAAAAGAGGTGAGAGGGTGGACCGGTGGGAGCTGGGGAAATATACTCCACGTCGTTGCGAGGAAAGGGGGTAAAGCCCTACGACACGACTTTCCAGGGTGCGCAAGGTGCACAGTCAAATATGCCTCTGTGACGGGGAAACAGAGGCCAGATATAGGACAGCTCGCAGGTACCTGGACAAGCAGCGCAATGAGGAGCGGTGAAAGGAGCAGCTTGCCATGACCCCGACTGTTATTTTTGTCTTTATTTTTATATACTTTTACAGAAAACGAAAGGATCACCGAACAACCAGAAACGGTCCGGTTTACAAGCCGCCAATGGCAGAGCAACAGCACCAGAAGCTGGACAGGTCAATGGCGAGCAGCACCGCAGTGATGTCACGGCCGGGAGAGAAGGCGACGCTGCAGAAGCTCCCCGGAAGCCGGTGATAGTCGGCCATAAACACTCGTCGCTTTCTCCCCGAAGGATCTGTTGCTTTTGTGCTTGTCCCGCGTGATCGAGTAACTGTGCAGTGTACAGTGTGCGATGTCGCAGCTGCTAATATTAGCTTTTCTTTTCTTTTTCTCAGTTCCGTGACAGCCAGGAAGGGACTATTATTGATTTCTCTGGTCTTACGATATTATTAACTAATATCAATTAGATAGAGCTTGGTTGATCAGCAGTTTCTGGAACGCACGTCGGCACCACGAAATGCCTCAGTTTCCCCGCGACGCATACGGTCCCGTGATCAGTCAGGGCACATGACCATCTTCGCTGATTCTAGTCGTTGCTTTTGCAGCTGTACTTCCGCTACTTGCTGCGTATACGAGTCGACTCGATAACCATTGGTATCCGTCTTCCTCCCCTAATATTATGGCTGATATCGCTGTCTATCTCCGTACGGATTGAATGGTGCGTGCATTTCCGCTTCCCCTCTTCACGGTCCAGACTCCACAATCTCCATCTGGTATCCATATCCAAAGTAACATCCCCACCACTTTGTTGCTCCTGCCTAATGAGACATGACCTTCGGATCCCTGGATTCTCGCCTTGACCGACTCGTTCGGCCTACGGAGAGTTTTCCCCGACGAATTCCACTAGCGGCGTTCCGCTTTTGCACTGGTCCTGCAAGGTACGTGTTGCATGTTAGCTATCTGGGCCTCTTCCAGGGATCTTTTTTAAACAGTGGGGATCTCCAAGTCCAAAAGGAACTGGTCGGAAGCTCGGGATCGAGGGCCCGTGCGCTTCACGGCCCAGAGATACGATCTCGGGAAAAGTCACGCGGGTTTCTTCATTCACGGAATCAACTTACCCCTGCCCGATGTATTACTCGAGAAATGACGCCCCGATGCGGGCTGCGGATGACTGTCTCCATCTTCATACTCTCAATCACCACCAGCGGCTGGTCCTTCTCCACCGACGCCCCCTCTGCAACCTCCACCCGCAAGATTTTGCACGGCATCGGTGCCAGCACACTGTTGGCCACATCCTTCGTCCCCAGCGCCTTATCCATCCATTTCGCTCGCGGTAGTATCAGTCGATATTGACTCCCTCGCTGAAATGCAGTGATCGAGTCTTCGTCCCGGATCACGGTAGTGTCCAGCCGGGTGTGCGGGAAGAATGAGGTGACCACCTGCGAAATAGGATCCATGTGGCTGATCACGTGTTCAAAGACCTGCTCTCCAACTGTCACGTTGAACATGTTCGTTCCGATTTCCTGAAGCTCGACATCGAACACTGTTCCGTCCTCTTCCGGATTTTTGGAACTGGAAAAGGTGAATCGCCGCTGCTGGTACCCTGGACTGAATCCAACAGGGGCTCCTGCCGGTCTTGTGGCATTTGTGCGGTTGTGCGACTCTAAAGCAGCGCCATTGCCATCGGAGCCATGCAGACATGCGAGGGCAACTTGCGCAAGAACCTCCTTTTCGATTGGTGGTTTCGCGAACAATTCTAAGTGGTGATTTTCGATGTATCCCGTCTCGACCTTGCCGTCTACGAAGTCGCGACTCTTGCAAAGGGTCTTTAAGAACTCGATGTTGGTGATCGGGCCTGCGATTTCATACTTCTCCAGTGCAGCTGCTAATTTGCGGATCGCTTCTTGCCTGGTAGCACCCCTGACGATAAGTTTCGAGATCATAGGATCATAGTGCGCAGAGACATCGTCTCCGACGGTGAAGCCTGCGTCTATCCTGGTGTCGCTGGTGACCTCTGGCGTACGAACATGCACCAGACGGCCGGAGTCAGGTATGAAGCCCTGTTCTGGGTTCTCTGCGTATATCCTGGCCTCTATGGCATGCCCGCCGGCACCTATTCTGGCCTCAACCTCTTCCTGCGTTAATGGGAGTGCTGCACCTTCTGCCACGAGGATCTGCCAATGAACTAGATCCTGGCCAGTAACCATCTCCGTCACCGGGTGCTCAACTTGTAATCTGGTGTTCATCTCCATGAAGAAAAACTCCCCAGTGTCGTTGTCAAAAATAAACTCAACCGTGCCAGCACCTTCGTAGCCCACAGCCAATGCAGCCGCCCGAGCCTTTTCCCAGAGGTCTTTCCTCTTCGTAACTGCAAGATCAGGAGCCGGGGATTCTTCCAGGATCTTCTGATGTCGCCGTTGTATACTGCAATCCCGCTCTCCCAGCGCAACACAATTCCCGTGCTTGTCTGCAAACACTTGTACTTCGATGTGTCGTGGTGTGGTGATGTACTTCTCCACCAATACGTGGTCGTCACCAAATGAGTTCATCGCTTCCGATTTTGCGGACCGTAACTGGTCTTGAAATTCGGCCTTTGAACCGGCTATGCGCATCCCCTTCCCGCCGCCTCCTTTGATTGCCTTGATCAGTACTGGGTATCCTATCTTGTCCGCCTCTTTCTCCAGGAGGTTGGCATCCTGGTTGGCCCCATGATATCCTGGAACGCAAGGAACGCCTGCGGCTGTCATGATCTCTTTCGAACGGCTTCGAATCTCTCAGCAAGTTGACACCTGGTTTTCAATCGTATTATTGAAAAGAATGGCCTACCTCTTGTCACCCATATCCTCAATGGCTTTCCATGGAGGCCCGATGAAGACTAACCCAGCTTCCGTACATTTACGTGCAAATTCCGGGTTCTCACTTAACTATACGGATATAAACCTCAAACTATTAGCCACGCAACCAGCATCCAAGAAGATGGGAACCAACAAATCCATAGCCTGGGTGTATTCCTTGACAGCCCTCTCGTTTAGCAATGTCTATTATACGGTCTCCATCGAGATACGCAGAAACAGCGCCGAGGTTAAACGCAAATGGCGAACTTAGGGCATGTTGGGCTTGGCTATCAGGGTCTGTATAAAGTGTTGTTACCCGGATGCCATGTTGAGCAGCAGTCCTCCCGACTCGTCTATACAGAAGTCAAGAGTGAGTAGATATGTCCTCCGTACAGGTCAACGTCCACAACAGGGCTTTCAATAAACGCACAAGGCAATCTCTCCTCTATTGGCAATGAGGATGGAATTCAAGGAAGCCTGACATCTTGCGGCATTTGAAACTGTGGAAGTGGCTCTGCGTGTTACAATCGGCGTCAAGCGGGGGCTGATGCGGAGAAAGGAGGAAAGCGGCATTGCGGTCAGAGAAAGCCAGTAATCAACGGATCTGGCTTGAGGGAACAAGTAAATGAAAAAGAAGATATTAGGTCAGGTAACATATCCTGGAGAGAAAGGGTTGGAGGCAGAAGCAGCCATGATTGCCCCGGACAGTCCTGGACAATAGATATAGAGATGGATTGCCCGGGGAAAGCCACCGTTTAGCCGACGCAAAGCGAACTTGCGGGGAAGTCTGCACGTGACGTGCCATTGCCGAAAAAGGTCGAGCAACACAAAAACTAGTGCAGGCAAACTCCCGCGGCATAAGGCTGTCATTATATGCAGCACCTGTGAGATCCAGCATTCCCCCTTGTGGCTGATGCTTTATCTCTGACGACATTCATTGTCCTGTACTTCATATTGTTCTTTCCCATCCTATCTGAGAGACTCCTTCTGGCCACAACACGGTTCTTCCTTCGTGCGGATATCGTCCTGTTCCTGCAACGCATTCTCTTGCAAACGATAGACGTCATCTGTCCCACTAGGCTGCTGCAGGTCCCTTTGTCGAATGTTTTGGGCTTCAGATACTTAAGAAGTCGTTTCAGCCTACTCTAGCCCGTGCCCCCGTCTTATAAAGATTGCGCTTTCCATACGTACTGCGCACTATGGCCCTCTACCTGTCCGACGACGAAGATTATTACGAAGATTACGAAGACTACGATGACTTTGATGATAGCCTCGTTGTTAGTCTCTCACCTGGAGTGCCGTATCCATTTTGTTGTCCCTCACTGACTCATTGATACACATGTAGGATCAACTAGCCGGAGCCACAAGCCACGATATTGTCACCGTTGATGATCCATCTCTTGAGACGGGTGAATATTTCAGCGACTGGGATGAGCAGTCGGATGACTACTACGATGAGGAACCTACAGCCGTGCGGAGACGTCGAGTTCTTGGGAATAATAAATCGATCGGAAATCGTTCCAATGTCATACCCACCGGGATCCCTTCAGAGAAGCGAAAACAGAAGCTGGGCAACACCTCCAATATAGAGAAACAATCAGTAAAAATGGATACTTCGTCGTTCAGAGCTGTTGTGTGGAAGAAACCTAACCATGAAGATGACAATATTGTCCAGCTCTATGAGCCAGGAAATGGGGAAAAGGTCGCGCTGTTGAAGAACTGGAGGGAGGTTTTTAAGAATGCTCATCCTTCCAATGATCGCTTCTGGATACGAAAGAGGGCATTCAGTTCCACGAGATCCGATTCCGTTACTCATACTGTTCCAGTCGATGGATCCTCGGAGTATGCAAAGGAGAAACAGATCCCATCAGTAGCTGTTGAACCGGTCGAGGAAGTCCCCGTTGCTAGCCCAATGGATTATTGCAATAAGCAGCCCAGCGATGTCTCCGACTCCGCAACACCCTCATCGGATATACCCTCTACAACCCAGACGCAGATATCATCCGTCACAAGCGATACCAGTCTGGATGAACTGCCCGCACCAGCCGTGACTGTTCTGCCTACGAAGAGTAGGAAGCGCAAGGCGTCAATTTCCGTTGATACCGGACCTGAGCGCGACGTTACCGGTGGTGAGGATAGAAATCCTAAGTCAAGAAAGATCGCATCCAAGGGAAAGGCAGCGAATGATCACCACAGAGGTCAGACACGGCCACCACCAAGCGAAGTGCAGAGGTCAACACGGGTAAAGAAGGATTTCAAATGAATTATCTCTATTAGGTCAACACGGGTAAAGAAGGATTTCAAATGAATTATCTCTATTCCCTCACGGACTGCATAGTGGAATGCTTCGAACAATCGCAGCATATATAATCAATCTATTCGCTCAAGACTCACTTCGACGTGCGTAAGAGCGCAGCTACGTTCGTTTTATATATACTTAGATAGATCAGCAGTGATACCAATACTAATGTTCCCTTAACTGCTGCGGATCTCTAAACAACAAGAGAAAAAGGCTATTCAAACCTTCGTACCAAAATCAAGAATACTCCTTATTGAAAGCCCTCCCAATGACCATACGTCGGATTTCGCTTGTTCCCGCACCGATCTCATACAACTTCGCATCTCGCAGTAACCGTCCCGCAGGAATCTCATTGATATAACCATTTCCACCCATAAGCTGGATAGCGTCCAGTGCGCATTCAGTGGCCCGCTCAGCTGCATAGAGGATCGTCCCTGCACAATCCTGTGTGCGAATCTGCAGATCCCCCGGTGCAACGGCGGCGTTGTCAATCTGCCGCGCTGTTGAATAGGTGTAGGCTCGTGAGACGGAGAGCTTGGTGTACATGTCTGCCAGTTTGCCTTGGATGAGCTGGTTGTGGGCTATGGGGGTGTTGAATTGTTTGCGGACATGGGTGTATGGGAGGACGAGATCTAGGGTGGCTTGCATGATGCTGTTTGTTGTTAGTCCTATAATGTTTATAAATATATATATATGTTTGTGTGTGTGTGCATGTCTCACCCCAGTGGTCCAGCGCTCAGGACAAGTCGCTCCAGATCCAAACCCTCCATTAGGACTTTGACTCCCCGGTTTAATTCGCCCAAAACGTTTTCCTTGGGTACAAATACATTATCGAAGATGAGCTCGCCGGTATTTGAACCGCGCATGCCCAGCTTATCTAGTTTTCTGGCGCAGGAGAAGCCCTCGAAGGTCTTCTCTACCACGAAAGCGGTGATTCCTTTGGATCCCTTTTCGGGTTCTGTTTTGGCGTATACCACGATATAGTCCGCATCCGGTCCCTGAGTAAGATACGTAATTAGTTTTCGTGTCTCTCTATCTCTCTCTAGAAGCAAAAGGGGGAGATTGATTATGCTCACATTTGTAATCCACATCTTGGTCCCATTCAACAGCCATCCCCCATCGATGGCTTTGGCTGTCGTCTTCATGCTGACAACGTCTGAACCAGCCGAGTGTTCTGACATAGCCAATGCGCCCACTTTCTCACCAGAAAGGAGACCCGGGAGAAAGCGGGATTTTTGTTCTGGCGTTCCATTCAGAGAGATCTGGTTCACGCAGAGCTGGGAGTGAGCGGCATAGGATAGTCCAATGCTTCCTTGGATTTGTTAGAACATGATGAAGGGATCCTCTGAACGTAAAATAGACAAGTATAAACATACCTGAAGCTCTGCTGATTTCTTCCATGACTATACAATGCGCCTGGTATCCCATTCCAAGTCCCCCGTACTCCTCATTAGCGGTAACACCGAGTAAACTATATCGCATTTAGAGAATGGCGCAACGGTAAATGATGGACCAAGATAATAACACCAACCCTGCGTCTCCGAGTTTCTTCCACATCTCTGGAGGGAACTCATTTTGCTGGTCCGTCCTCGCGGCTACTTCTTCGGGTATTTCTCTCCCTGTATTGATGCAGGTAATTTGTTAGAAAATGCAGGTTATATGCTAGACAATTGAGCAAAATCTTAGTCTGCACTAACTGGTAAACTCCTGAACTCGCTCCCGGAGTTCTAGCAAGTCCTCGTCTGTGGGCGGCTCGAAGCCCTTGGGATGTTTTGTTGACAGGGTCCGTAATGCGGGGATTGGGGCAAAGGGCTTGTGTATCCTGCCGAGCGCTCTGGTAGAGCTCCGCAACAGAAGAGAGAGAGTTGGCATGGCCATGATGAGAGGATTCTTGCAGTGTGGGAGTTGCATATGCAGGGAGAAGCAGTTGTTGTTATTCTTCCCTCTGAGACCGTCAGAATCTATGGAGGCGGGGAGAGCGGGTATCGTCGGCAATGATCGCTCTCCGCGTTTTCTCTCCGCAACTTCAAAGACAGAAAGATGCTACTGTCTGTGACTCTGGACTTCATGAAAATCTGGAGATCATTTGAATCTTTATTATTATATTCTCTTTCTTCTTCTCTTTCCCGTGCAATCATCACATCACTACATTTCTTTTGGCCAGTGTGCAGCGGAAGAGGCTTTCTTCCCCAGATCCGCTTCCCCGCAATACAATGCGCGTTCCATCCCCACTCCTCCGGGCGTTGAGCTCGAACGCAGTAACCAGGCCTCTCACGTCCCAACGCTGCTTGCCATCGACATACTACCTGGCACTCTGCTCATCGTCAAGGTCAATTGCCAGCTACACGCACCCACATCATGCCTCGGCCATTTCTATTCTTTCCACGACCGTGGACACATCGTCACCGGAATTCCAGGGCAATGCAAGACAGATGCAGCAACTCCTGGACGGCATGACAAATCTCCATACTACCATTGCTCGAGGAGGGCCACAGAAAGCTAGAGACAAGCATATAGCCAGGGGCAAAATGCTCCCGCGGGACCGGGTCACGTCCCTGATCGACCCGGGGACCTCCTTTCTGGAGCTCTCCGCGCTCGCAGGCCACGATGTGTATCCTGGGGAATCTGTACCAGCAGGGGGCATTATAACAGGCATAGGGACTGTGGAAGGCGTTACTTGTATGATTGTGGCCAATGACAGCACGGTCAAGGGAGGCACATACTACCCCATTACAGTGAAGAAGCACCTTCGCGCGCAAGCAATCGCGCAGGAGAATAAGCTGCCTTGCATTTATCTCGTTGATTCTGGCGGTGCAAATCTACCATACCAGGCAGATGTGTTTCCGGACAAGGAGCATTTCGGACGCATCTTCTTCAACCAAGCTCGAATGAGCTCGTTGGGCATTCCTCAGATCTCCGTGGTGATGGGTCCCTGTACGGCTGGAGGCGCATACGTTCCAGCAATGAGCGATGAGACCATTATCGTTGAGAACCAGGGCACGATCTTCCTCGCTGGCCCTCCGTTGGTGAAGGCTGCGACGGGTGAAATTGTGTCCGCTGAGGATCTCGGCGGTGGCCAACTACACAGTACGATTTCCGGCGTGACTGACTACCTAGCGGTAGACGATGCGCATGCCATTGTCCTGGCGCGCAGGTCCATTGCAAACCTGAACTACCCCAAGACGACTTTCCCGTTACATATCCCCTCGGGAGAATCGTCGCCGACGATCAAGGAGCCTCTGTACGATGCTAATGAGCTGAACGGCATTGTCGGTACCAACCTTCGCCGACAGATCCCCGTCCATGAAGTCATCGCACGCATTGTCGACGGCAGCGAGTTCGCTGAGTTCAAACGCGATTACGGCAATACCTTGGTTACGGGTTTCGCACGCATCTACGGAACACAGGTCGGCATCGTCGCCAACAATGGCATCCTCTTTTCCGAATCATCACTCAAAGGAGCCCATTTCATTCAGCTCTGCAGTCAGCGCAATATCCCCCTCGTCTTCCTACAGAACATTTCCGGCTTCATGGTCGGAGCCGATGCAGAGAAGGGCGGCATCGCCAAGAACGGCGCCAAACTGGTCACCGCGGTTGCATGTGCAGACGTGCCCAAGTTCACTGTCGTTTTCGGCTCGAGTGCTGGCGCAGGGAACTATGGTATGTGGTAAGTCTCCCACTTGAGCATCCCGGAACTTCTCGTTGAAATGCTAATCTGTGCAGTGGCCGTGCCTATTCTCCCCGTTTTCTGTTCATGTGGCCCAATGCCAAAATAGGCGTCATGGGCTCCGAGCAGCTCTCCGCCGTCATGGAGGCTGTCGGCCGCACGGCAGATCCGGAACTGAAAGCGCGCATTGATCGTGAATCAGAGGCTATCTTTTCTTCTGCCCGTCTCTGGGATGACGGGGTCATCCCGCCAGCGCAGACGAGACATGTACTGGGCTTGAGTTTGGCAGCTGCTCTTGGTGGGAAGGCAGAGGATGTAGGAACGCGATTTGGCGTGTTCAGGATGTGAAGTTCCTATAGAGATTTAAATACCTTTCTTGGATTTGAAAGAAGTAATGCTGTAATGATCAGATTCACTGTATATACATAATCTACTGGCTTTCTAGAACCATTCGGGCTTATCTCTAGATACTGTGTAGGATCTTAGATGGTTGATCCTGACGATGTATATTCCAGGTAATTAAAAACAGCCAGGTAGATGGAAAAGATGCCCATAGTGAAGATTCCCACGCCTGGGGTTTACCCTGCATATATCCGCGTGACGGCCGTGCAGACTTCACCAATAGCAAAAAGAACAGCCGTAGCCAGAAACACGGGCTTCCTCGTATGGATCTCAGAAATGGGTGATAGCACCATCGGCCCCAAGGCAAACCCAGCAGTGAAAGTGGTGATGCCAATAGAAGCTGCAACAACACTGACCTTCCACTCAGCCGTCAATTGCCGCACAGCAGGGCCGTATGAACCCACGGCAGAACTGGACAGCATGGGACATGTGCATAAGATGGCCGTTACAAGGACTTTGCGGTAGATTGGCCAGTTGTATGGGGAGCCATACTTCTTCAGGTTCGGCGGCCGCAGGTCTGCAGCTGGGCTGCCATCAGCGGTGCCCAGAAAATAAGAAGAAGAAGACTAAGGAAGCTCCGTATCGAATCCCAAGGGCAGATATGTTATTTGGTCGTTTTCGGTGGATTCTGTGCTGTCTTCACGGCTTTCGCTGGCGGCTGAGGTCTCGTATTGGGGACCAGCTTGGGAAGTATGCGGCGGAATATGGAGAATGGCATACTGTCGTATGTCTTGGATTGATGAAGGATAAAAATGCCCGATTATTCTGAACTTTGAGATATGTTCGTTACAATGAGCTCGGGGACTGTCGTAAACTCCATCGGCAGCGCGTCTCGGGCGTTGAAGTCAGATCATGGCAGTCCCCGAGCCGCGTTTCACGTCTAAATGATACTTCCCTCTCAGATGGTTAACTTTATTCCTCATTCTGTTGTCCTCCTCAAGGGTATCGGAGATGTTTTCCGCGTTGTCCAGCAGAGAAGTGTAAGATCTAGGACAGATACATGAAAGAACAGGCCCAATTGACGGTATTTTCGTAGATTTCTCTGTACATATAACACACCATAGCACAGCTTGCCCCCTCTAGAACTCAACAGGAAATCCGCAGGGCAGTGATACAGCACCGAGTCAAGAAAGTAGACAACAGTATTCGTTGACGCATAATGCGAATTTTCATGTTGCATATTATCGCCCAAGCCCGACGAGACGGCACGTCTAATTCCCAGTATTGATAATTTTGGATATAGCGCTTCCACAACTCAAAAGACACTCGAAGTATGCAACCTCTAATGCATCCCCCCGCAGGAAACGTTCATTTATTCGTCATCGAAGCCTTGAGGGATTACTCGCGGGCCCTTCGGAACTAGATTCCCCATTGACGCATTGATAAGCATGCATAAACCTAGCAAGAGACACACAGATGCGCAAAGAAAAAGAGAGAGAAAAGAACAAAAATCCTTACTGGGATATGTCAATGGAATCGGCTCTGGGTCAACATCGCCGAAATACCGTCTGACCGGAGGCAGAACTGCAAGCGAGACGGGACCCATAGAACCGATGATGATGGAGTAGAAGATGGCAGGCTTCTCGCGAGACGCCCAGCGGAGGTAGCGGAGGGGAGTCGACCAGAACTGAGGGGACGACATTGTCATGGATCCTTGCGGGGGAGCTGTCGGGAAAAGCGAGTCGGTTCAATTGAGTAGATCCGAGATGTGACGGTCTTCCCTGGAAATTGGGATGATCCGGCGAGAGAAAGGAGGTCGAAGGGGAGGAAGGGAAGTGTTATCGCCGGAGGAAGAGAGCAGGAAGGTTGAAAGTGACGATTGCAGCTCCGTCCGGACTGCGGTTTCTTGGCATTCTCCGTCCAAACACGTTGCAGTCACCAAGTCCCTCTAGCTCCTGCTCGCTTCCTGTCTTCTCAATTAACCGTCTCATCGCTCCGTCGTGCGGGATCTTCTTCCAAGATGCGATGGTTCCTTTCGTTTCTCTTCCTGGGTTTTCTCGCAAGCGTAAATGCGTTGAGCAGCTCGGGAAATCGCCTCTTGGTTGTCCTGGAGGATGCCGCAGAGAAGGGCCTATACTCGACATTCTGGGGTGATCTGACAGGTGGCTATCCCTCAACCTTTGCTTCGTGGGAAACTGGTGTAACTCGGGGAGACTGACGGCATCTACAGCTCGAGGATACGATCTCGTTTTCGAGTCTCCCAAGAATGACAAGTTGTCCTTGTTCCATCTTGGAGAGAGAGCTTACGACCACTTGCTCATTCTCCCACCCAAGTCGAAAGGTTAGATGACCTTCCAACCAGTCTAGGTCCTGGCGTATCGATTAACATGTATGGAACACAGGGCTTGGACCTTCTCTGTCCCCCAAGAATATCCTCGAATTTATGAACAAGGAGGGCAACGTCCTGCTCGCCCTCTCCGGCAAGTCCTCAACACCTAGCGCCATCAACATTCTACTAGACCAGCTCGACATCCACCTGTCGCCTGACCGCTCGGCTGTTGTCGTTGACCATTTCAACTATGACACGCAATCCGCGACCGAGAAACACGATGTCCTTCTTCTCCCCCGACCGGGGCCCCTCAGGAACGATACCAAAGCTTACTTCTCCGGTGATGGCCTTTTGGCCATCCCGCGCGCCGCCCCCCAGACTCTGGGAGCCGATAGTTCACTTGTTGCACCTGTCCTGCGAGCGCCCCCCACGGCCTACAGTTACAATCCCAAGGACGAATCGGGTTCTGTCGAGGATGTCATAGCCACGGGCTCTCAGCTGGCTCTTGTCTCAACTATGCAGGCGAGGAACTCGGCCCGTTTTACCGTTCTAGGATCTGTGGAGAGCTTGCAGGACAAATGGTTCTCCGCGACAGTCAAGAAGCCCGACGACGAGAAGGGGACAAGCACCGTCAACCGCGAGTTTGCGAAACAGTTGACCTCCTGGACATTCAAGGAATCTGGTGTCCTGAAAGTCGGCAAGATCGAGCATTATCTGGCTGAATACCCGGAAGAAGTGAACCCAAAGATCTACCGTATCAAGACCGACATTGTATGTGGAATTCCTCTCTTCTTATTTCCCATGAAAGGCAATGAAGCCTAAACCCTAACTAACCCCGGCAACCATCGTTCAAACAGGTCTTCAACATTGAAATTTCCGAATATGACCAGGATCATTACATCCCCTTTGAGGTGCCCGCCCTGGATGCCCTCCAGCTCGAATTCACCATGCTCTCCCCCTTCTACCGCCTGAACCTGCAGCCCACACAGAGAACAGAGAACAGCACTATCTACAGCACCCAATTCACCGTCCCCGATCAACACGGTATCTTCTCCTTCCGCATCAACTACAATCGTCCATTCCTCAGCAACATCGAAGAAAAGCACGAGATCACAATCCGCCATTTCGCTCACAACGAATACCCGCGCAGTTGGGCCATCAGTGGCGCCTGGGTCTGGATCGCTGGGCTTTGGTCTGTCATTGGGGGTTTCCTTGCATTTGTCGTCGCCTGGCTTTACTCTGAGCCGTCTTCTGGTGCATTGAAGGTTAAGAAAACACAGTGAGGTCTCTTATGTTTATATTTAGGGTTTCACCTCGGATTTTTATCTTAAAAAGGATATTTGTTATGAAATGGATTCGCGTAGGGATCATGTGGGATATCAATTAAAAGGCATATAGAAAGAATGAGTATTCATTGATTGACTTCTGGTCAGCAATCATCTCTCCTGTTCATGAAATGTTAGATCACGTGGGATTCTGCCGCTTACGTCCGCCCTCGCTGCCCTTTTAATGGAGGTATATCGTTGGTTAGTCACTAGCTAGATAGGCCTACGTGGTGCAAAGGGTCAGCGAGGGCGGACCTATGCGGCAGAATACCACGTGATCTAACACCTTTTTGTTATAGTCACGTGAGTTATGCCATAGTAGACCGCCCTCGCTTGGCCTGACACTAAAATAGCTAGACCAACCTAGATAGAGACAATACAAGCAAGTTGATCCAACACTTTTCCACCACGTCGGCCTATCTATTGATTGATTGATTGATTCCTGGTATTATTTAACGTCTGAAAAGAAGGCACGTGACTAGGTGCCTAAGATTAACGGAACATAAGACGGCCGAAGCTGACTGGGCTGGCTATGGTAGTTTAGATACAAAAGAGCGCCAGCACGTCGGCCTATCTAGCTAGTTACCAACATATGCCTCCATTATGAAATGTATACAAACACGTGACTTCAAACTCCTGATTTCTCCGCTTGACTTTCTCTGAACACCCCAACTCTCCTCACATAAAATTACCTCCTCTGCGTGTTTTCGTCTACAATCATTCTCCAAAGCGTGCCACGGTAGAAGAAAAATGTCCGGGTGGAGCAATTACTCATATGTTGGCCCTGCTGCCCTGCAGTCATGCTCTGCGATCACCAAAGTCCACTCCGAGAACCAGGATCTGCCAATTAGTGGGTACCAAACGCTGTTTTAACCCAATTTCTAATTAGAGCGCAGTCGATCGACTCCTTGAGCCGCAGACCATCGTGCATTTCCTCGAATTCTGCATGCACGGCCTCCTTCCAAATGGCAAGAAAACATCGCTCGAACATCTAACCGAAGAGGAAGCGCAACTCGCCAACACGAGCCCCGAAACCGACGATGACAATCGCGGCATTTCCGAGCGCGTCGCCGACAGAATTGGGTCATTCACCGATTCAGATCGCTTATGCCTGGTCGGGAAAAATATCCAATCCATCAAGACCCGCCTATGGGAGGGGCTCATCCCGCTCTCCGATCAGCGATGGAAGGAGAAGGGCCTCCATCTGCCGCAAAACTTCGACATCGCATGCCAGCAGCTCTCCGCTGTAATTGCAACGTTCGAGTACCTCAACCAGCCGACTGTGGCAAAGCACCTCCGCGACACGTTTAATCTGATTTGGGAGCATTGGGACGAGATGGACAAGATGCTGAATATGCGGCGGACGCGCGATCAGCTGCCGCTTGTGAGTGTTACGAAGCTGTGGACCGAGTACATGGCTGCGCACTTCCAAGTGATGACGGAGCGCGCGCACCGCTGGGTCATTGTGCATGTGGATGAGTTGCGGACGCCGCTGATGCGGGATCTTGCAACGCATCGCCCCATAGACCTAGACGTCGTGGACCCGTTGCAGTGGAAGTTGATGGATCGGCTGCACGTCCTGGCAGAGATCGCTGCGGGCGCTGACTATAAGATTATGATCCCTATGAATGGGTACAGGGGGCATACGCCGCCTCCGGTGCCGTCGAATATCATCCCTGGCTTGCGGTCACCGGATCTGAAAGAACGAGGCATGGCGTACGGGCTGCGATTAAAAGCTCTCAGTCGCCAGACGCAGTATTGGTCGATTATGGAGAGCATGACACATCGCGTGGAGCGTCACGTTGCAGAACCGGAATCACTTCACCAGACAGTTCTTGACCAGATCAACAGTCAGAGTCTGGTACGTCAGGAAGTATGCGGTGATCCGATCGAGCCGCTGCCTAAAGAGCCGTGGATCCTGCGAGACGCCTGGCCCATCGAAAAATTTGGGAGGGAGATCCAAAGTTACGGGCTCACCATCTACCGACTAAGTTACCAGCAGAGTGAAGCTGAATGGGCAGCATTCAGGGAGAAACTTGAAGCACATATAGCAGACTGGGGCCAAGGACAGACGGGGAGCGAGTCTCTGAAGCCATATCTGAAGTTGCATTGGCGCGATGGGAAGGCTTTAGGGATTCCTGAGGGAGACATTGAGGCAGCCAATAAGTAAGTCGTCTCGGCTGGCACCGCACCAAGGCAAAAATAATTAACTAACCCTGTGCAGGCATTACGTTGAACACTATGAACCAGAGGAATTCCCTTACTACTTGCAGGATCAGGTGAACGAGCGCGTCTTCCTGGTCGTCGACCAGCCCAGCATTGATTCTTACACCACCTCTTCCTACACAGCAGCCACCGACCTTGTCCTCCCCGGCGACTTCGCCGGCTTCGTCCTCGCCGTCGAACCAGGGTATGATCCGGAGATAGGGCCCCACCGACCCGACGAATGTCCCGGTTACCAGGGCCACATGCGCATCCTCGGCAGTCTGGTCTGGGGCGATCTTTTCGCGATGCTCTCATCCCAAGCCGCTGTCACCATTCAAGACCTCTGGCCTCTTGCCCTGGACCACCAGAACCAGGTCTACGTTGGGCCAACTGTGCCGGTGCAGATCCATAATTGGCGGATGCAGAATAGGATTCGCAATACCCTTGTGCACGAAATTTTTGGCCTGGCAAACTCCAAGGTCAATGGGACGCCGTGGCCAACTCAACAACCACCAAATCTAAATCCAAGCGCAGCTACGAGTACGACAGAAGCCTTGACTGGAAGCACGCCATCACCTTTTGCAACCCAATTAGACCCATTATCCAGCGAGCTGCGGACGATCCAGCTACGAGGATTTGCGCGCTGGCTCCATCAGAGAGGACAACACCGCGAGGCGATTGCCCCGGAAGAGATGCTGCGCACGCCGAATGGCCAGGAGCCTGATATGGAGAGGATCATACGACGACTTCGGCGTTTCGATGCCGGGGAAGACTGGGCTGCTGATCCGGATCGGGTCGACTTGGGTGATGATTCTTGCTCTATGCAGTAGTTTCGTTACGGGTACAGTTCAATTCATGACCTGGGTTGGGTTACAGTTGGAAGTATCCTCGAGAGTAATAACCTGGTTAACCTTCAAGTTTGTATTTATAGGTTTATATTATTATCGTCATCATCGTCATTTCCTGCTGTCTGTGAATTTTTTATATATATGCATATGCATACCGCGAAAGAATGACATGCTCATTTGCTCATGAGAGCCGGAGCATTATATATGGTTGCATTGCAGCTGTACCTTTGTTGTTCCGCAAGGGATCTGGGGCATTCCAACCGACCAGGTCATTGCTCGACCAACGTGGTCAATCGCCATGGCGAAGACCCTGATCTCAGGGCCGAGTGTGAGTTAACTATAGGTAAGCTTCGCCGAGATGCTTGGCCTTCCCAACATTGGAGACACTTCAGCGGCTCGGCCCGTTCTACTATCGCTAAAACACTCTGAAATGGCCCGGCGACGATTAGCTGTGGCAAACCCACGCTACGATATAACCCCCGGTGATCAGTTTGTCAGGTGGGAGTGATATAGGCTGTGCAAATCGGAGCTGAAATTATTTCGGGGGCCTCAGTTCGATTATATGTACCGATTGGAGTTGGCGTTCGGCTACGCTAGTAATATGCATGGCCAGTGAGACAGGACGTGTTGGATCCAGGCGAGGTAGGAGACATCCTTAATGTAGTTGTGTTGGTAGTTGGTTAATTGAGGAAGCAGAAAGCTCCACAGTGGAACGCTTTTATGCGTCGCAGCTCAATCCCAGTGAGGTCCCTGGATTGCAACGCCTGGTGATTGGGGTGAACCAATGAAGGTGATCTTGGTGGAGAGGTGGGCAGACAGGGTAGATTTGGTGCATGGGCAGGCTGGGGACTCGATGCTATTCCATGGGTCGCCAATGCATATGGTCCATCCAAACTTGTACCAACTGGCGCGGTTGGCGAGCTGGGTCACTGCTTTCTTACAAAATCCGCCATGGCCCCCCCAGAGTGCCTGACAGGACACCCAAGATGGACTCAATCAACGGGTGTCTCGCACTGGTGACCCCATCTGCAACGGAGAGGATGGATCCATTTATCTTGTTGGCGATTGCTGCGTGCATCAGAAGTCCAGGAGTCCGGATGCTGTCCTCAGCATAACCATGACAGGACGGAACGACGCTATTGCCGGAATCGAGGAGGTTATTGCGCCTCTAGAGCGTACTGGATGGGGAAACATTGCCAGCTTGGCAACGTGCATTGGAGAGCTGCAAGAGAAGTGACATTTATGCATTAAAAGACAATTTTGTACGGGGATACATACCCCGATCACGCCAGTCGATTGAAAGTATACTAAGGCCATTTATCTAGGTAATAGGATGGTGTGTTTATGCAGGCCCGTGGTTAAAGCTTCGTTGCTGTACAGGTTGGAAAAGCACGGGTCTTAAAGATGCAGATATTGTTGGCGAGTCGGCCCAAAGGAAATGCCAGGGCATTATTATTAGCCTTCAGCCCGCACTGCGCTTATGGACCGTCAACCTTTACTATATATACTGCATCCACGCGTCCGTCAGTTCTTCTTTCCCCTTTCCCCTTTTCTTCCAGTCTACGCATGGCCTGAACACACAAGACTAGATAGTCAGGGGATGAATTAGTTTATATAGAACTGGGATTTAGTTTTCAAGATTTCAATATATCCAACATCTGATGCATTCATTGATAGTCCATCGTGTCAGGTTACAAAGGAAAGTACAAAGGAAAAGAAAAAGAACAATAACAACAATATATAGACATCCTCCAAAGCATCCATTCTTCAAGGTCAAAACACGTTTTTGCATCAGCATCTACAAACATAGAACGGAAAAACTACGGAAGTAGATAGCCGATGATGTAAGCGACGAGACGGGCCGGGTGTGGGTCCGGGGAACGGCATTTACAGTCTGGAACCATGGATGACCTTGAAGTCAACAACCAGCTCACGGCCACCATCGTTGATGACGAGCGCACGGACACTGCCGCGGCCTTCGGAGAAGGCATTGCGGATCCTCTTGAAGAGGTTGCCCTGGGTGATGACGGAGAGACCCTGCTTGACATCACCGGTCTCGGTCATGGCGACGATCTTGCCATCGTCACGGAGGTCCAGGATGCGGTAGGTCTTGTAGACGGGACCCAGCATGGTCTGGACAACAACCGAGGGCGACGGGTTGGATACGAAGCTAGACTCCTCCTGCAGCTGGCGGGTGAAGAGGTCAACACCGAGGTAGCGGTGCTGGCCAGTCTGGGGAGAGACGGAGATACGGATCACCTGACAGGGACGGCCCTGGAGGATGAGGATGTCACCAATGCGGATGAAGTGGCAGGGGATGGGGACGGTCTCGGCGTTGCTGCCACCACGGGGCTCAACAATGCGGACATCCTCGCGGAGTCCATCCCGGTAGCGGGCAGGGCCTCCCTCGGAGACGACGATCTCCTCTTCCTCGTGGGGGTGGACGATGCTCTTGGCAACACGCTCCACGCCACGGCGGAAGGAGTGGTAGTGACCCTCGTCGTCGTAGTAACCCATCTTGCGAGCAGGGGCTTCTTCCTTCACGGTAGACTGGACGGTAGTAGTCTGGGAGGCAGGGGAAGGGTAGTAGGTGTTCCTAGGGGCGCTGGTGGTGACGGTGTCGATCTCCTTGCGGGCGTAAGAAGTCGGGCGGTAAGACTCGACGGCAGGCAGGGGCTTGTAGGAGCGGTCGTAGGTGTAGGTGTTGGTGTTATCCCTGTACTCGTCTTCTGTCTGGGACTGAAAGCCGCGAGAATAGGAGACGTCAAGAGTGCGGGACTTGTAGTCGTCGAAGGAGTCGTCGACGGTGGACTGGTAGCGGGAGTCGTGAGAGACGTTGACGTCGTAGGTCGGGTTGGTGCGACGACGGTACTCTCTCTCGGTGATGTCGAGTTGGTTGGACAGAGCCTGGTCGTAAACGGCGGGAGCTTCCTCGCGGGCAACAGCAGTGTTGGATTGGCGGTAACTGGAGAAGGCGTCAGCCCCATAATATAAACACGCCACGGACACCGCTCATTGGGTGACTTTTGTTTATGTTTTGATTTGGAGGACACGTAAGAAAAGGGGAGGCTAGCGGCAATAGTAAGACGCGGCCCCTAGCTTAGGAGTGTCTCAGCAGCGCCAAAGCGGTGCATGGTGCCACGCAGCCCGCGATATGCAGATGTGGGGAGGCCCGTCTCCACTCTCGTAATACATAACCAGCCTCATGAAAGGGGGGAAAACGGAACAAAACACATGAAAAAACAGATATGTACACACGCACCTTTCGCGGGCGAGATCTACCTCCGGATAACGCTTCTCGCTGAAACGCTCGTAGGACGACGGAGCTTGAACCTGAGCCTGAGCCTGGTTGTAGGTGTTGGCAGCAGCGGGTCGATAGCGAATATCGACTTCCTCCTTTCCGTAGACTTGAGAGTCCGGGAGAGAAGTAGTGATTCGAGTATCTTCCCGTTCGACGCGCGAAGTGCGGTCAAATTTGGCTTCTCCCTCTACTCTCTCGGTCAGAGTAGTAGTCTCAGAGACAGCGTCACTCCGGTACGACGACGGGAAGACACTGAATGGGATGGGAACTCGCGCGTCAAAGTCCAGATTGACTGTCCTCTGGGCGTCTTTCCTCGAATGCCTTTCGAACTGTTGCGAAACAACTCGAAAGGCGAGACAAGAAAAGACTTAACGTGGGAGAAGTCTTCTCAACGGGCGGGAGGGGGAGCTGGAAATGGGGAACGGAAGGTGAGAACCGCCTTGACGTTCCTATTTCTTGCTCTGGAAAGGATATTCCGCTTCAGAGAAGGGCGACAGGTTCGATGATGCAGAGATACGAGGGAGGAGAGGGATGGAGAAGGAAGAGGGGAGGAGGAGCAGACAGGATGTTTATTATGTCGTCGTACGTATGTATACGCTGCAGCGGCAGTGAGCTGCAGTACCCGGGTAGTACTACAGCGTACCGGAAGTAAACAAACAACAGCCAGTCACCCCTGTGGCATTACCACAGCAGACTCCTCAGAAAGGATACGACCCTACCCTCTCCATATTCATTCACAATTATTGTTATTAACCCACCAGATCCGAGGTTAGCTGCGTCTGCAGCTGCTTATGACACCGAAAGACCCATTGCCAGTTGGAATGGGTATGGATGCCAGTGGACTCTGTTGTCCGCTGCTTAAGGAACAAGCTCCTGAAGGAACAGAGGTACCTGCCAAGCTGTCCAAAGCCACCTGGTAATATACCATACCATACTAGACCCATACCGTCCCGTACACCGATCTTACCATACCACGCGTCCATGGCCAGAACCTCGGCAAACCGTATAAGAGCCACCAACAACATCAACAATCATCATTAAGCTCTCTCCAACAACACCATACTAACATGACATTAAAAATAACAACCGCCACTCCGTCAACACCCTCAGTTCACATGCTGCAGCTGGACGGATATCATATCATCATTGTCCACTGGCCTCCCCCAGCCAACACTAGTCTCCTTCATGCAGCGCCAGATGAGACACATCGCCTCCAATGAACACATCCCACGATGATTATCCCCAGCCACCCCTTATGCAATCCTCGATACGACAATCAGTAGATACTAGACACTGAGCGATGTATGCGGCCAAGCCGTTCCAGATCGGCTATCGGCCGGCCCATCCCCGATTCGTCCCGCGGAAACGAGCACCCCAATGGTTGCTGGGGCAAAGCAGCAGGAAGGATCGTCTTTTTAACTTTGCGTCTCGGAGAGCAGATGAGTCGGGTTCAGCTGGGCTGAGCTGAACTGAAGCTTGGATATGCTCGATAGGAAAGAGGTTGGGCCTCTCCCTGAGTTGTTTGGGCCTCCGTTCGAATCATAATAGATTATTGTTATTACTGGGTATAATCCGTGGACTCCAATAGCATAATGGGTCCGGCACCATAATGCTCAGTAGTACACGAGCTGTGGCTGTTGATGCTCATTTCCGTGGCAATTCCTGCCGACGATCCCTCTTATTATCCGGCTGGGATTATTATGCTAGCATAATTAATTAGGATAGATTCGAATCATCTCGTACATAGTAGTATCGGCATTGTAGAAAGGCAAAGCGAATGGGTATCAAAGATTGTTAAACCAAACCAGCCCCCTCCCTTTCCTTCCAGGACATGGCAAGTTCTGTAGCTGCGTAGTATATGCCGGCTTACACTCATTTGTTTCCTTCTCTTCTCCAAATATAATAGTAATAACATCATTACCGCTATCTCGGCAGTCTTCGAATAGATTAGACAATATATTGAAGAGGAAAAAAAAAAAAAAAAAGAAAAAAAAAGGGAGAAAGTCGCCTCTCCATAGAAAAAGCGTCAGAAATAATTAGATATAATTAAATATTAAGACAAGAGGGAAGAGACTAAGAAAATCAGACATCCCAAATATCAGAAAGATCAACGGAAGTAAAGCGAGTGAACTAGGATCGTAGGCCGAATGCCTTTCGTAGTGTAGAGAAGCGCTTCTTTCGTGGCGATGGAGGAGCGATAACAACATCCAGTGCTTCTCCGCTATAACCGTTGCGACTTGGGACTGTATCGTCTGCAGTCCGGGGTCGCTCAGGCTCTCCATTCGACGAGTGGTTGGGCGGCCAGGTATCACTATCAGATTTCTTCTGCATTCTCCGTGACGAGAAGGCACCGGCCTGGTTATGTTCCAGCTGGGGATGATCCAAATGCGCATGCGATGATGTGGTCCCGTCGTTGCCAGTTCTGGGCATCTTCTCATCCGCATTCTTGGACTTCTTGAAACGACGGAGAAGGCGGCCAGACTTCCGCTGAGGAGGTCGGTTGAGGAATTCTTCCAACTGCTCCACGGTCATACCACGGGACTTGGCCAGAGCTTCCAGCGCAGAACTCTCGGGGTTCTTTGCAACCGCCGGCGGGGGAGGTCGTCCATCCTCCGAGCTGTCCTCTAATTCCGTGGAGTCCCCATCGCGCTCGCCTTCACGACGTGGAATACCTCGAACCTGAGAGGGCGACCTGGTGCTCACAACAGGGCCCTCATCGTCACTGGAGTCATCAAACCGACTGCGGTAATGCGGTGCGAGACTGGAACCGCCTTCGTCATCGGAGTCACCGCCGAAGCGCGATGAAAAATGAAGGCCCATTGCTGATTTCGAATTCTTTGATTTGAGCCCCTTACCGGGACCCGAAAAGAGTGAGGGTTTCGGGCCCGCGCCATTAGGGCTTCGCAATGTACGGGCCATTGTACTTGATGAAGTCTCACCAACAGGAAATGTCGGACTTCTGGGCGAGGACCGCGTCTGTGGACTTTCAACGGACCCTCTAAGTGTTCGTTTCATGCTAATATGGTCAGCCTTTGCAGAGGATGCTCTGGATCTTTTGAAGCTACTGGACGAATCACTGCCGTTTGACACCGTTCTGAGTGGGAAAGCGGCAATATTCGCGGACTGAGAACGAGCATGGCCGACACTTTTGCCAGTTGCGAAACCGTCTCTCACTTCACCGCCAGCAAAAGTCTTTCTCTTCGTTTTCCGTCTATCATCGACGTTCGGTCGTGAACCAGAAGAATACTTTGCGGGACCATCCGTTAGGGGGCCTCGGGGCTGATCAGTAGTGCGCTGCTCCTGTCGACTGTCCTCGTAAACATCCACAAATATAGGTCGCTTCGCCTTTTTTGTAGTTCTTTCTGGCCGGGCCTCTGCTTCATTCTTCGTTTCACCCGGACTTGGGTGCGACGAGGGTATTAGGACCGAGCCGCCATACGAAAGATCGCGTGAGCTAGTAGTTGGCTCATCTGCAGAGTCTGAAGTCGATTCTGCCACCTTTGGCGGCTTTGCTGGCTGGGAGCTGGCACTTGATGATACCTGGCCAGTGGGTGTCGCTGATCCGGACGTCACCGCAGTATTAGCAGACTCTGAGACCTGTCCATTTCGAGCTCGTAGAGCAGCGAGTGCTGCTTCGGTTGGTAGCTTGCGGCTACCCACAATGGCATTGATCGAACCAAACCCATTTCCTTTAGGCAGACTTTCAGCAGCATCACTGTAGACACTCACGTAAGAATCTTCACTAGACTGTTCACTATCGTCAACGCCTTCTGTTTTCATGGGGCTTGGTCCGCTGGTCTCCTCTGTGGGCGGCTGTTCTGTGCTCGATTTGCCCGGAGTCGGGACCTCGGAAGACGAAGGAGGAAAGTCTCCCGGCATCCTGTACCGTTCCGAGCTAGGTCTCTCTTTCTCCCATCCACTCGCCCCTTTATTCTCGGGTCTCTGCAACTTCGGTTGTACAGCAGTAGCCGTTTCGGTAAACCCTGAATTGGCACCAAGGTTCGGACTGCCGGATCCATCCATAGCAAACTCGTTAACAGTTGTTGCTTTGGGGGGCAAATTGGATGGTGTATCATCAAATGGAGCACTTGGTAGACCAGAGGAATTTGCAGTCGAAACCGCATCGGGAGTGGCTACTCGCTTGGAACTCCCAACAGGTTTATAATCCCAGTCGGTCTGTCCGTCTGGAACTTCAGCACGGCTTTGAATACCCTCAGGCGAAACATTGATCGTTGGACTGCCAGCCGCCTGGCGGTGGAAAAAAGGCCCGTCGTCATCTGGATCAGAGTTTGAGGTGGTTGATTCATTGTCGCTCATGTCTTCTCCAACGGTATGGCACTTGCTTGAATCTTTGGCAACTCGAACGCTGCCGAAAGAAGGAAGAGCAGGCCGCGGCTTGAGCATTCGCTCAAATTCATCGCCACTAATATTGTCCATTTGAGCACGTTTCCTCTTACCCACGCCAAACCAGTTTGTTTTGGACTTTTTCTCTGGAGCAGAAACCGGGAATACTGGATCTTCCGGAGACGTTGGTGGACTGCTGGCAACGCCCACGACTTCCGCCTCGTCGTCGAAACTCACTTTTACCTGCCGTTTTCTGAAGCCCATCCTAACACCGTCATCCGAAGCAATTGACGTTCCATCCGACATCTCACTTGGGGAATGAACTGGCCTTGCATCCGGTGAAAGAGAATCTCTTGGAGAGTGCTTCAACGCAGACTTAACCGGTGACATTGACCTCGGAGGTGGAGTGTGCAAACGTCCAACAGCATCGGCCACAGACAGTTGGTTTGAAAAGTGCGCCGATCTGCCAGGACTAGTAGACTGCCGTACGTGAGAATTTTCCGCGACAGGTGCCAGTTCACGGTCGTAGATATCCGATGAAGCAACTGATGGCTCGTCTTTATCATCCGGTATCGGCAGCTCTTGGACCATTGAAGGCTGCTCCGGAGAGGCAAGTCCGTGGTCTTCTACAAAAAGTTGCTCATTTTCTCGGAACTGATGATTCGAAGTTCGATTAGGAGAACGGGCTGAGTGCGCATGTCCCTCTGTGGCTTCGGTCTCCACGGTCTCTTCTTCATGATGAGTAGCCTTCCGTACAGCTGACGGCCGCTTGTTCAGAGCCAGATGAGTTGATGGCTTTCGTTGGACTACATCGACACTCCTCCTGTCGGTTGGAGTGCCCAGGGAACCTGACAATCCAGTACCGACCGGCGAAGCCGCCCCATCCTTCCGCAAACTGGCTGCCTGCGCTGCCGCAACAGCAGTCCCGACTGGATGCTTACCAGCGGGGCGGGTCCCCCCTGGATTTCCTTGCGTAAATATCCTTGAGTTCTTCCTGACCGGAGTCCCGTCAGCGTGTGGTTCGGAAGGGCCCGATGAGGGCCCTGTGTCAAGGTGGGTCGGTGACGTATGAACAGCTTCCGTATCAGAGATATCTCCGCCTCCAAGCTCGTGCACTGTGCTCAGACGGTGGCCACGGTTCAGAAAATTGGGAGGAGAACGAGCCCTGACCCTGTCAGCGCTGAAGGCACGCGTAGACCGGTGGCTTCCCGGCAGCGAATTTGTTCGTCTTGGGGCATCTAGGCTAACAGAGCGGCGATTGAACGACTTGGATCTTCCAAGACCAAACGAATGATGCGAGGAATGGTGCGCAGAGTCAGGAAGAGTCAAACCAGGTCCTGGCGATGGGTCCCGAAACGTTCTGGAACTCATCGAACTCGAGCTACCTGACCGACGAAGACTACCCCTGCTAGCGGCTGGCATACTCGCGGAACGGCCATTATGCGACGTAAGAGACGACTGCCGCTTCAGCATTCGTTTTGTCTGGACATCCTCGACGGCGGTCGGGGTGGAAGCGGCCATCCGCAGCGCAGCTGCTGCTGCGGCGGAAGAGAGGTTACTTGACGAAGACCGAGAATTGAGGAAGGCATGGGAGGCGGCGCTCTGTGCAGAGAGCGATTCGGTCGCATTTAGAGGGGGCTGTATATGAAGAAGCGTAGAAAGTTAGCTGCCGTACAAAAGGTCGTACAACAGAATTTCTGGAATCTGGAAGAGATGGGATCTCCAGAACCCAGGACAAACAAACAGTACCTGTAGATAAGACGAACTCCTCCGCCGACGAAACATGTTCGGCCAGGGTAAGTCGGGCAGGACCCAGGATATCGCTGTCGGCGCGCAAGGAGGACAGACAAGACCCGCCCGACGCTACAGTTCCCCGTAGAGCGCGGATAGCTCTGATTTCAAAGAGCACAGGGGGAAGAGATGGGGCTGAGGTTAGGCAAGTGTAACAGAAGAGCAACAAGCTCTCTCGGTCAGAATTCTGATGCAGGGTTCTGAACGGGCTGCGAAACCAACGAGCAGATCTGTCGCCAACCCACTGGACAACGCAGAGACAAGGGTCTCGAGGGTCAACGAAAGGGCCCCTGTTCGTCTTATTCCCTTTCTCTTCCTTCTCCTTGACCCTGTCTGAATCGAGTCACAGTCCAACCCGTTGGAATGAATGGTGAAGGAGGGAGACCGTCGGGGAGGCCGGCGTGGCTAATTGACTATTGGATGATCGCACTTCACGAAGGGCAGTCGCGATTGACAGTCAACGGGAATGCTGGACGCGATGGATGCAGAATACCAGCAGCGGAGAGGGAGGAGAGCAAGAGAAGAGGGGAATGAGGATGATGAGGATGGACGGGATTGAGTTGGACCCAGACAACCAGGCGATTTGCGTCATGGACTTCGTGGTCCGCCACACGGTTCCTGCACGTCTGCATCCGGAGGTTTCATCCTGCTGTCCTGTGGCTGATTCCTCGCCCATTTACTCACTTGCTTGTTGCAGATTGGAGATTGCGCTTGCTCGTGCTTTGTCTCTTGTTTACTACGCTGCTATTTGATGATTTAATGGTACGCGCTGACGTAGGTCCCCACTGCTCCAGACTCGAGGGCAGCAGCAACATCGCCGAGTACATCCCCCCATGTTCACACAGTCGAGTAGGCGTACTCGGTGACTCCAAGGTGGAAGTCCATGATCGCAATCAGGTTCCATCACTTGTGTTGAAAGCTACTAATCTATGGCCGAGCAGAATAATCTATCAAACACGGGGTATTTAAATTCATAGCTACACTCATTCACACTACATGTGCTTCATAAGCGCAGATTCACAAGCGCAGAGAAAAAAAAAAAAAAAAAAAAAAAAAAGGAAACAATGAGGGAGAGGACAAAAAAAGAATAGGTATCTAAATCACAAACCCGAAAAGCCCTACTACAAGTAACGGCACAGCCGAAAGGACGCTCTGCTTCGTAACTCGTAGCGGCCTAGTCGCACCCGAAAGAGAAGATGTCGTGAAGATAGTGTCAAAGGATATATCTGACGAGTTAAAGCAATTATCCCTCGTCACTTCGTCCACGTCTTCCGGTTCGGCGAATTCGATGTCCACACACTGAAGTATCCAGAGAATCAGAACTCGCGTTCGTGAAAAGACGGAAAAGACAAGAAAAAGGAACATCCAGCGTACATTGTAAAGAGCAGCCCCACTCTTTGAAGCTTCAACAACCTGGATTGTCGCATGGTCGCCCACATTCACAGACACACCGGATGGCAACGGTACTTGAGGGAGACAAAAGGTGCCTGGGTAAGGCTCGTTCGTCGGGCCGATGATCTGGAAGACAGGCACCATTGGAAGGCTCATGTTCGGAGGATCCGTCCCCAATCCCATGTTGATGTAGAAGAATGCTTTCGAGTGCCCTTGGAACCAGCCAGGTTGAACGGAAACAGCCCCCCCCTTCACGGGCCACTTGGTCCGATTCGTTGTCGTTGGCATACCACCGCCTAATACATAATAAAACGATGAGGAAATCCGTTAGATGCTTGCACGGTCTGAAGGACTAGAACTTTCTTCCCACGAAGGAATCCTCTTACATGGATACATCCATTGCATTCCGTAGGGGTAGAGGTACGAGTTATTCTCCCAAGCAGAACCCAATCCGTTTGTCTGCTCAACAGTACCGTTGGAGTGAAGATTGTTTCCTCGATAGCCTGGATAGACGATGACTGTGTGGGCGTGCACCATTCCGGCGCAAAGCAGCGCAACGACGATAATCGGCCGCCATATTGATTCCAGGAAACCCATGATGAGAAACAGGCTTTTCTGTAGCCGTATCCTGCACAGATGCAGCGGCCTTCCCTCTCCAGTACACGGATCTCGCCGGTTAACGAGGACGAGCCAAGGTGGGAATATTCCAATGCCCGGAGAAGAGCACTGGGCTGGCACAGTCAGACCTTTTGAGGGAAACCCATCACTGCGACAGTCGGACCACCCACAGTCCTGGCGGGGGAGGGATCAGCCTGGACGAGTGAGGATAAAGCACAGAGTGTGACAAAACCCACTGTCTGTGGTCAGCTCGCGCATCATATTTTCCACCTGCCGACAGGATAGCCGATTCGATGGCTGGAAGCTGCATTGGTTCATTAGGCGCCGGCGAAAAGTTAACCGTTCAGGTTGTATGCAGAGCAGGCAAATTGCTGCAGCAGTTCTGTGACGAGCTGCAAGTCTTGTCACTTCATCACTGCAGAAAGGCCGTCTCAGTGCTGCGATTCGCAGACAGGCTGTGTTGTCGGCGCTTACGACCTTGCCGGGAGTATGGCTGTCAGCATTGATCTCAAGTATCCGGGATCTGGTATCTCACAAAGGCATCAAGTAGCTGTCCAAATATTAATATTTACATCAAAGCAGCCGTCAAAGAGGCAGATTATTGTTAGATGGTTGACACTCCGAGAACACTGAGAGCCCTTTCTGGCCTTCTCCACCAGTTCTTTTCTTAATCTCCGCTTCACCTCTTCCCTTCTCCCTCAACCAACCCAGAACAGACTCTACGCAATGACGATGGATTAATATCCCTTCCATGCTGGTGAGAATGTGAAGGCAGCTTATATTTGTTTATTCATATACATTTCCTTCCATCTCAGCCAGAGCCTGCAGCAAGGGGTGAAAAAAAGAGAGAACAATGCCCCACACCCCGCAGTCCCGGAAGAAAAAGGGAATCAAATCGCAGAAGCGCATCGCAGTCACCGACAACGATGGCTGGACTCATGTCACAACGGGCGGAAACCTCAAGAGAACCCTATGGAAGGCTGCCGCCGCCGCAACTCGTGACAACGACGACGAACAATCACCGGCGCAGTTGCTGCCCGCGGAAGCTCCGAGAGGCTTAACCATCGACGAATTGAAGAACCAATACCTAACCTTCCGGGAGAAATGGGAAAGCTCGACATCTTGGCATGCCGTGAGAGATTCATTGAGGGCCATTGCTAGTGCTTCCGCTGCTGCTTCTGCGTTATCGTCGCCGTCCGTACGACCCGATGTGATCACGACCACGACCACGATCAATATCATATGTCTCGGTCTTGGGAGCCCCAGCGGCTTTCTTCGCGGCGGATGGGTGGATCGAAGAAACGTATCGATGTACCAACTTGCTGCGCTGACGAGTATACTGAACTTTTTCGATTCTCATTCTGGTTCGTATCTGGGAAACAAAAAACATTAAATAACCCCCGAAGCTGTCAAAAACTAAAACCAAATCTTCCCCATAGAGGTCATCCCCAGAGTCTACGCCCAGGACCCCGTCTTCAACACCCTGGACAAGTCGCTCCTTGACTCCCTCGGAATCACGGTAATCGAGCACCCCACGGCCTTCGATATGGTCAGAGACCAGCGCGAGAACGAGAACGAACGCGTCTTCCTCTTCTGTCCTGGAGCGGAGAGAATACATATTGAGAAGCTATTGTCTTTATCTCGGTTGTCCTCATGGCCCTCCGGGCCGGATGTGCTGTTTGGAGGTCCCTTGGAAGAGCACGATGATTCGGAGCTCTTGACCACGTTCTTGGATACGAGGGACTCAGCTCGGATCCCTGTTTTTGAGCCGTGTGAGCATGCATTTTGGAATATGCGGCTTTATTGGATAAGGGATTTGTAATCCTGAGTACTTTTTTGGCTGAAGTCATTTCAGAATTGGAGTATATATGCCCCGGGCTTCTTCCCAAACCCATAACATAATAAAACTAATCTACATAACTTGTATAGGAAACTGATGGGGGAAAATACAAGTGAATTGCAATAAAGATATAAAGACAATATAATATGCATAACCCATCATGAAAATAAAAACAAGTTCCAACTCCAACTGAAATGAATTACATGTCCAACAACGCAAGCAATAATTAACCAACAAAAAAAAAAAAGGAAATGAAAAGAAAAGCAAAGAAACAAACATGGCAGCTTTGAGACAGCAACAATTCTTCCAAAGAGAGCCCAAAGATTCCATACATGCAGTTCATCATGAACCCCTATCCCCTATGGATAGACAAGTGTTGAAACACCCATTCATTCACGCATGAGATGTTGTTGATAAATAAAAACAAGTGACTTAGTAAAAGGCAATGCTCAAAAACAGCAGACACAGAAAAAGGAAACGAGTTGCATCGGAGAATGTGCTGATGTGCTGCATACAAATATACCCGGCAGTGTTAGAACTTTGGAGGCGAGGTGTTTCTTCATTCGGCATAAGGCGTGAAGCGCAGCGTACTGGAAGCATTAGATGATTAGACAACATCGCTGGTGTCAATATGAGCCCAGAGTCGGGAGAAAAAGAATGACACTGAAGGTCATATTAGGACGCGGTCTTGCCACCGCAGTCTGGAATCTTGACACCGGGCTTCAACTTGCGAGCCGAGTCCATAAGACCCCATTTATCTTCCCATTCTTTTCCGGGGGTATTGTATATGACCTTCCACGGCTCATCAAAGGCCTCGAACCTATCGTTCTCGTTAGGATGAGCAGCGACAAGAATAGCAACAAGTCAAAAACTTGACGTACCAAAAATAATCTGTCCCGTTCTCTAGAGCTTGACAGACCCACTCAGACATGAACTGGTTCAACTCGTCGATGCCCGCCACTGAGCCTGCAGTTGGGTTTGGACAATCGTTGTTAGAGCCGCAGTCATTGCCACCACCAGTGGGCCATCCGACCTCGGAAATGACCTGCTTCTTAGTCGTGCCTTGGGTCAAGGAAACATCATGTTGCTGCCAAAAGTCCCACGTCCAGTTGGCGGCGATATCGACCGTCACGCCAGCGAAGAAAGGATGGACATTTGACATGACGAAGTCTGTGACCTGCACGAGTTCTGAATTCCAGTTGTCTCCCAGGTCAGATGTTGCAACTGGCAGGTCAAGGTTCCTCTGGGTGAAGTTTGCTCTGACGCTCTTCATGTAGGCGATCAGGTTCTTCTCCGCGGTAGCAATGTCAGGACCAGCACGGTAAAGTGCTTCATTCCCGATAATGGCACCATTGAAGATGGAGGTATCTTTCGTATTGTCGATTACCTTGTACAGCTGCTCCAATTGCCTTTCGTTGGTTGTCGTGTTCGTATCGAGCCATACTCCTAGCCAGAGCTTCATATCAGTAAGTTCGAGCCGGTCGATAGCATGAAGCACCATCTCTGTTTGATTACAATCGGTGCCGTAGAGTCGCACATTGTTGGTCAGCTGCGATAGGACAGCCATGTCGCGGGTGACGTTATTTTGGGAGGGAGGGTACTTGAGGCACAGCGGATACTGCACACCCCAGGGCGTATAGTCCACCCCAGGGAACACTTTATGGAGGTTCGTGTTGTTCATCAGCGCTTTGATTTCGGGAGAGTTCTTGTCCAGGTCACCGTTTGAACCATTGCCGTCATCAGAACCGTCATCAGAGCCAGTATCAGAGCTGCCTGAACTTGATGTTGAGCCCGAAGAATTGACAGACGTGCGATCCTTGTTCCCTCTGTCTCCAACGACACCTCCAACCACACCCCCGACGATTGCCCCCACGATGACCAAGGCAAGGAAGATGCCCACGAACAATCCCATCCTTCTGTTTCGTTTTCCTTCGTTATAAGGATACTGTTTCTTCCCCCCCGGAACTGGGTCGTAAGCAAGCTCCGACGCGTTGGCTGACTTCTGGCCCCTCATAAATGCCCCAATTGAGCGTCGCAGGCCACCAGCACCGGCGCCAGCAGCAGCGGAATGGGTAAAGCCATCATCGCCGTCGTCGGCAATATCGTCAGGATTAATGATGTCGAGAGAATCTCCTCCGGGGTTGTAGAAAGAATTCCTTTGGTACGGTCCGTCTTGAGAAACTGCGGGACTCTGGTAGGGAATGCTTCTGGATGGGGTGGATGGAGCGAATCGAGGGGAGGATCCTGGAGCCAGTTGTCCGCTGAATGAACCGGCGCCTAGAGGAACATTCGAACCGTAGGAATCCCTGGGTCTCAAGGTATCTGAGCTTTCCGCTCCCGGAGCAGAAGGGATGTAGGGGTTATCCGAGCCAGTAGTATGGAAATCTCGTTCTGCTGGTGCATCAAAACCAGTGTTTCCCGCGCTTGTGTTCGTGACTGCCTCGATTCCGCTTTCGCGACTATGGGTGTTTGCGACGCCAAGAGCAATGCCGCTGATGCCACCTCCGACAGCAGAAGAACCTAGATCGTCCATTCCTGGGGTGACTGTCGAGTTTGCGCGTACTGAATCTGCGTGTTGCGCCATGTCCTCGTGAGCACTATCAAAGCCGAGTGCCCTATGGGCACCAGTCATTTTTTGTATGGGGCAACTGAGGGCGTCGGCACGATGCGGGTAGTTGTGTATTATGCGCACTGGACAAGCTGGAACTGGGTGGATGCGATGTCACGAATTAGGAGACACATTTGACAAAGACTGGTACTGATGACAGTGTGGGAGGATGGGACAGTGGGGAAGTCTGTAGTGCAAGTGAATACTGACAGGTTCAGTAGTAGATGCTAGTAGGTGTGAATATGAATGTAAATAGATGCTTAGAGAAAGACCAGAAAACACCTGTCACGAGATTCCCACGAGGGTCAACTTAATCCAGGCATGTTTGAAACAAGGCAAATGGAAGGTTGGAGGCTGCTGTCAGGACAGCGCAGTAAGAATGGTGATGTTTTTTTTTTTTTTTTCCCTTCCTTTTTCACTTTTCACTTTTCACTTTTTCTCAAATGAGGACAAAGCAGTTATCGATCAGCCGTCAACAGTGGCTTCCTACAAGAGACAATACTAAACGGCCAGTGGGAAAGATGCTTGACCGTGTCCCCGACAACCAGGAACAGGGACCAGACAGGAACCATAATAATTACAATCATAATCATCATCAATGCTCGGTGGAAACCGTGGAAACCCCAGCACCGAGGCAGATCATTGCCCTTTTACTCTCCTGCGAACGGCCTGTTCCCAGCAATTGCAGACTGTGAACTGTCACCGTCGAACGCCACGTCTATTAATAGTGTTCATGATCATAACATCATTCTGTATTACGGCGTATCCGGATTCTGTACAGCATACGAAGTCAGGGAGCTGCATGGCCAAGACTGGCTGGGCTGTGCCCTATGCCCTACTGCATGTGATTACCCGGACCCTGATTTGCTTGTTTTGCAACGTTGCCAACTCTGACGTACGCTGGAACTCTTGTCTCCTGCGCAGCGCAGGCATGCTTGCGCTGTCGTCCGCTGCAACTACGGATACACCTCACTTAAAAGAGGGCCGGGGGACAGCCCTCTTGCCTTGAGACCTTTCTCTCATTCATTCTGGTCCATACGCATGTCCCTGAAAGTTCTGCTACCGTTTATGATCCCCTGCAAATGGCCCGCCGCGGAGATGCACGCGCGAATCTGGCTGTTGCGCGAGTCCTCCCTCCCATAATCATCGGGATTATCGCATACATCTGCTACGATATCACAAAACAAGTAGGCAGTGAGTACTGATTTTCAACCGTGGTCGCGGTCTGTCGAGCTTCCTTCTGACTGTAGTGGCTCCCTGGGTAGTTGACTATCTAATACATCCTTCGGGTCGCTATCGCCGACGACCTCGAGTTGGGTCCGGTATAGCCATAATTGTAATATTCTACGTTCTTTTAATCTTCTTCCTCTCGACATACCTTCGACTCTGGCAGAAAGTGAACCTGGACCCGGGCTATCTCCCGCGCGGCGCACAGTGGATACAAAAACAAGAAGAAGCTGGAAGGACAAGCCGCCGTCACAGGAGACGCTATGGACGAAAGCATTCGCGAACAAGCAGAGAAGGGGCTGAGAAGACAGATCAGCCAGAAGTAGACCTGGAGAGTCGTCTGGATTACAATGCTCCGGGGAAGGCCTTTCCCTTAGACACAGCTGGACTGGAGAGTTTCTATACAAAAGACATCTTCATTTGCCAGGATGATGGAAGACCTCCATACTGCTCCAAGTGCTTTCAATTCAAGACGGATCGGGCGCATCATTGCCGTGAGGTCGACCGATGCGTGAGGAAGATGGACCATTTCTGCCCTTGGTACTTCACCTGTTGCAGTTCCGATGGTATGCGCTGTGGGCTAACGTGAGATCTGCACTACAGGGTAGGAGGAGTGGTTTCCGAAACATCCTTCAAGTTTTTTATCCAGTTTGTTTTTTACACCGCCCTCCTTTGCATATTTGTTCTCATTGTGTTTGTTGTATTCACGGCAGAACTTCGACGAGAGGTAAGTTCGAGCCTACAGGACATAAGGCCAGGTGTGTTGTTGCCTTTCTGATATATTCGTTCTGCTGCAGGCTCACCGTGTTAATGCCCATTGGATTGTCGGAATTGCATTGTAAGTACCTCACCAAGATAGCTCTTTGGTATTCCTCTCGTCTATTGCCCTTGTACCCTTTGTCTAACGGGCCACAGAAGCGCTCTTTTCGGAATTTTTTCTTTCGCAATGACAGTCAGCTCGCTTCAGCTTGCAATGAAAAACCTTACGACTATTGAGAATATCAACCATCGCTCCAAAGTTTGGACAATAGCAATACGGATTCCAGACTCGCTCGTACCCCAAACAAACCCGGGCATGCCATTGGCCTTGCCATACCAAACAATTACCTATCCTCAGCCAGACATGTCTCCTCCTTCCCTTGAGTCTGAGGGTTTCCAACGGCCGACAACGGGTGAACGCCATGTGTTCGCAATCCTGCGAACGCAGCCGGGAGAGAATCCCTTTGATCTCGGCAGCATGGTGGAGAACCTTCAGCAAATTCTTGGCCATTCTATAGCAGATTGGTTTCTCCCATTCAAGCAGAGCCCTTGTGCCGATCACAGCGGTTCTCAAGGCGCATTCGCCTTTGGACCAGTCGTCACGAGATTAAAAAGGGAGTCCGGGCTAGAACCTCGGACAGCGGGAAGTTTGAATCGAAGTTCTAACGACCAGAGGACGGTTTAATTTGCAGTAATGGTGATTATTTTAAAAGATAGAACGGTTATAATATTATTCCCTTTATTTCTTCGAGCGGACTCATCTAGCCTGTGCGAATAAACTATAAACTATAACTATACACGTTAAACGTATATACATAAGACTGGGTGAGGCATTGCCATGGCTACATCATAAGTATCAAATTACGGCGGATGCCATGAATTATTCCCTTACTCCAAACCCGGACACTAAATATGTATGGAAGCATGTACAGCGTGGAGCACCATGAGATTTGGGATAATAGGACAGCCTATTTGTATTAAAGCAATTCTAAATAGTATACGAGTAGAAAACTAATAAATAAGAACAAGATATGAATGGTAAAGGGGCAAAATAGAATACAGAATATAGAACAAAATATATGAAGGGAGAGAAAAAAAAAAAAAGAAGAATGACAATGTAGAATACAAGAAAAAATTTCCACAGAAACCACAAAAAGACTAGAAAAGAAAAGAAAGAAACGGACCCTATAAAACCCAACTTCCAAACTCTCCAAGAATCCATCCATCCATCCATCCATCCATAGTCAACCACCAACCTCAATGATCCACACAGTAGAGATCACATTTCCAATGACCGCAAATCGTGCACACCCCCGCCGTTAGACCTGGATTGTTGTCATTCCCGCACTTGCAACACTGCCACCAGCCTTGCATGGAGTAGCTGGGTGTTGAAAGGGGTGGATGGTTCTGGCTTCCAGTATCCATATTCTTGTGGTGACGAGGGTATATTTGTTGCCGGTTGCTTGTCATTGTTCTTGTATCTATTGCTGCTCTCATGCTCATGTTCATGCTTGTTCTTGTGACGGCTCGTCCTCGTCCTTGTCCCCTTGGGCGTGCCATTGGTATCGAGTCTTCCATTGTGGAATAGCAATGGTAATGGTGGATGTCCACGTTAATATCCTCTCGGTGCATCTGGGGAGGGACCGAATTGGTACCCACTGACGTTGATATCATGGCAATGGAAGATGACATCTCGATCGAATTGGACTGTATCGAGGAGGCAGAGACGGTAAGTCAACCTGAAAGTTGGGTTTCGATAGACCTAATATAGAATAATTCAATGACAACTGGACTGATTGTATTGTCATCCGCAGCTTGACCAGGAAGAACGGAGACTTGAAGTAAACGCAGTGGGCGACTTGAACCACAAGAGGAAAAGAGAAAAAAGAGCTGCCTTAGCTTGTGTTTATACCTTCTCCTTCTTCTTTCTCTTCCAGAAATAAACCCGGGTAAATGGTAGACCAAGGAACAACCAAGTCATGAATATGTTGAACATAATGACGACCAGAAGAAGCCCAGGGCATCCTCATCCTCATCCATCAACTGACCATCGCCTGCCATAGCACTGCATATTACTGCCTGAGGAAAGCGAAGCTTCAAGCACAGCTTTACCATTCAAAGCCTCGATCCCTGCAATTGGCAAGATCATGGCTGCCTGACGCAGACGTCAACATCAGTGAAGCGACAAACCAGATCGAAAGAACCCAGCAATGAACCATATTAAGGAACGAAACCAAGGGGAAGATGCGGGCGTGAGGGTCACGAGTAATTTGCCTTAGGGAAGAAACACAAAAAGTTCTTTCATCAGACAAGACACGTTGGCTGCGCAAGCTTCACTCTGAAACTCCATTTCGGCCTTTCCACCCAAGGGAACGGTACAGACAGGCGTGTAATGGTGTGCCCTTGGGCGGGTGAAAGCTTTTTTAATCATGCTGCAGCATATCAGCACCTAGAAAGGACGGTTTAACTGCTAGACCCAAGCTGAATATCGGATTGACTGCCGAAGTTAAACCGCAGATGGCCAAGAGAGGAAGAGACAGGCACCAATTACCGAGGTGCTGGGATATCATATGGACAGGTTTGCCTTGGATTGGTTGATCTAGGTTCGAGCTTTTCTTTGCCTGCCTGCATTATCATTAGAGTAAGATCTATCCCCAATCCACCGCGATCTCGAAACAAACAGGACAAGACTGAATCCGGGCGATGCAGCGGGCAATCAATCACAAGGGGAGGGCGAAAAAGAAAGCAAGAAAAAAAAAGCCTCAGTCTGCCCGTCCAGACCTGCTGGGCAAATGGCAGACCGGTGTGTACCTAATTCCCCTTTTTGCCCTTAAACTCGGTTCAGTCCAGGCTCTCAGGTTCCACCTTGCTAGCACTGTTCGAACAGTGGCAGTGCACGTATGCATATCATATCATAGCATGATAGTGGAGAACAGGTTGACAGTGACAGTGACAGTGACAGAATGGATCCATCCCATGAGCCGCAATTCTGTCTGTCCGTTATCATCAACGACAAATGCGCCTAGGGAATAATTGTTACTGCGTATACATCAGAGGTCTCCGAGCCGAATGATTCACATGAGCAGCGATTTCTGGAGAGATCCCCATGTACTTCAGCCTTGAATCTGTGAAGGAGTCTTGTGCCAGTTGGGTTTTGTTTGCCCTGGTGGATACTGTACAGTATGTCTTGCTGTGGACCTGCAGGCCCAGGGCTTCAGGCAGCAAGGAATGAATACCGAGTCAGCCTGGGGGTTCGAGCACACCGCACATTGGGATGAAGGGAAGTCATAAGGAGAGAGAGAGAAACAGGAGGGAGGTTGTAGGAAGATGCGGTGTGGGACAAGGCTCTGGAGTCTGGAGGATGAAGATGACTCACGGGCTTAGGTCTGCTTGCTTACTGATGCCTCTGTACGACTCTCTGTACGACTTCCAAGGTTGCATGTCTAATATAATATAATATAATATAATAAAGCGCAGACAGAAAATCGACAATAATTGCTGGTAATAATAAAGACAGACAGACAGAGGTATCACAGATCATCAATAGCAACATCAGTAAAGACAGTATAACACAGAGGTATCACTGAAACAAAGAAAACAGAGAATACTAAATTGAAAAATAAATGCCAAAGATCATCGCCAAGGAGAAATAGAAATGGAATCCCGTGCAATCAACACATACAAACCGTTGCTTTGTTTTGAACCCATTAGTATACCATATCCCAACTCCTGTACAGGAGCAATGCGTATTCTAAATGCCACTCTCCATAGCCAGTAGTATCTGTCCCATTTTCCTTTCCTTTGCGTACCGTAAAAAAAAAAAAGACATGAATTGAACAAAATAAAAAGTGAAATCAACAATCCGTCTGAAGTACCAGCTTCCTAGACGTGGCCATGGACCGCTTGGTTTTATCCTTCAACCTCCTCCGCACTGCGCTTGGAAGCAGACAAGGTGCTCACGCTGCTGGCAGTACTCGCACCCGGGACATGAATCCCATTGTTGCTTCGCCCGCGTCGTTCGAGCCACCGCCGCTTTCCAATGCGCGTTTCGAAATGCTGGGGGATAGACGAAGGGTCGTGGCCGGCGGCTAACGCCGTGCTACGCATTTTGTTGCGGTAGGCATCGACTGTTTTCATGCGTAACCAAAGTCAGCTGGAATCTGATTCTGATTGTGCCGCGATTGTCAGGCAAAGGGGGCGAGAGGGATGGACGTACGGGATCGCTGCAGAAATAGCATCCTCCCCGCAAAGACCCGGCTCTGGCTCCAACTCATTCTGTAGCCCAGGTCATTCAGTAGGATGTCCTTCTTCCTCTTATTTCTGGATAACTTTGGCACGGCAATGTCGCTCTCGCCGTCTACCGACGGAGCGGGGACAAATGTCCGCCCAACTGTCGCGATGCTCTCGTCATCGCTGCCCGTATGCGTACCGTTACTGTCCTCAATCTCAGTGTCATTCTTGAAGTATCTCTTCCCCGGTACCACCCGGCCCGGAGACTCCTTCATCTGCACGGGAAAGTATGTCCGGGGATACACTGAATTCGCCATGCGGTAGGAATCTGGGATCTCATTCATATCCACCTGATCAAGGGTAACCCTAACACGAACGCGGTTTCCACGCTGCGTGTCGTCCACCAGAATAAACTTTCGGCGTTTGCCATCGGGAAGGTCTCCGAATAATGCGTCTTTGTCGGGGTTACGTTCATCGCCATCCTCTTCCTCTTCGTCCGGCTTCGTGGAAGTTGCAACCGTCGGGTGACGGCTGATAGGGGCGACGCCGCTGTCCCGAAGCGGAGGAGGCATGGACGGCCCGGAAGATACACTTGCAACTGGCGGAAATGATGGGTAGCCATGAAAGACCTGTGCGGTGCGGATATCTGCAGGTTGTGTGGGTTGTGGTAGGTGGCCGCTTGCGATCGATGGGAGATGTGCACTGTTCACATACTCGACGCTCCCTATATTATGGATATTTCCGGGTGTTGGAATTAGCCTACACTGCAATGCGTGTAGGTGAACTGCAATAGAAGATATCAAGCACACAGACAGAAGAACACTGGGGGTACAATAAACGAACGAATAAATCTCAAAATGCACGAGGCAAAAATACAAGTATTAGTGTAGAGATACAGCCATAGAGAGGAGAGGACAAGCAGACATAGATAGACAAGTACAGGCACCGGCATAAGCCCACCTTCACTTCCTCCCCCCTTTCCAATTATATATAACCGAACAAAAACAAAATTATTAATCCTAAGCATGCACGGTGTAAAATAGCCTGGGTATTTCGCAGTCACAAGGAACCAAACAAAAAACAAAAAAACAAAAAAAAAAAAAAAAAACAAAAACAAAAACAAGAAAAACATTACGCGTGGTAGAACGTACCGCTAACTTCCTCATTGCCGGGATTTCCTTCAGGGGGATGGTGGTGGTGTATCGAATGGCCCAAGGGCAAAGGAGCGACACCAGAACGCGGGCCAGACGCTGCCAGGCTTGGTGCTGAAATCCCAGAGGGAATCGGGGCAGCAACGGCGGCGGCGGTAGCAGAAGCCACCTGGGGAGGGTTCTGGGCCTGTCGCCTATTCAACTTGGCCATCCTACGCACTCGCCTGCTCCGGAGTCGAGGATCCTGATTGCTATTTCTCCAGCTGTCCACGGCTCGTTGGATCAGACCTCGCTTCCCCCTCAGCGTAGGGTTGAGCTCAGCCAACGCCCAACCGACGGCATTGCATTCGGTTTCGTACACCAGTCGGTTGCCCCTGTATTGATCCTTGCTGCAACAGGCTCGGGGATAGACGCAGTTTTCGTTCTTGAAGTCCTGGCTGAGTTTGTCCACGTTCACGGATTCAACGTCGCAGCGGATCGTGTACTCCATCTTTATGCGGTCCCGGGAATACTCGAAAGCAATCCACTGCACCCCATTACTGTCTTGTCTGACAACCAGGGGTGTTGTGGCTGGGATCGGTCCTGGGGCCGCGCTCGAACTTGTCCCGACGGGGGTGCTCTGGTGAACGTTATTTACCGTCCCCTGAGGACCCGTGCTTGCAGGATGCGCGGGGTTAAACACCGCTGGCTGTGGTGCTGGCTGCGGCGTTGCCGCGTCTAATTTCAGATTGGGACTGCCGTTTACAGCCTGCGACGGCGACGGGTGATGGGGCACTGGCGTTGCAGTTGTCTGATGCGGTACGATCATCGGCGACGAGGTAAGATGGTGCTGCTGGGGTGGTGCATGCTGCGTGTATTGCGATGGCTGCACCGAGTTCATGGGCGAGTAGGATGCATAGCCGTAGATGTGAGGTGCCATATTCGGAGAGGGTGCATATATATTCCTGGAATGTTGGTCTTGGGTGGGCGCAGCTACCGGTGCTGGGGCGTTTGACTGAGACGTGTGGTACATGGGAGGATACTGTCTCTGCATGTGGGCTGTGGCCGCCATGAGACTCGATGGTCCTAAGGTAAAGATCAGCTTCATGCGAGCGGGAGGATAGCAAAGCGTGCTAGCAACCCACCACTCGAAGGATATTGCCCCTGGCTCCCAGCTGGAGTATAAGGACTCGGATGGGGTGGGTAATATGGAGGTTCCTGCGAGCGCTGCGCATACGGTTGTTGCTGTTGCTGCTGCTGCTGCTGCTGTTGCTGTTGATGCTGCAGGATGGTGGTTCCCAGTCCGTGGGAAGTAGCATATGTAACTGAAGGGACAGAGGACGGCGATTGACGAGGAGAGGGAGGCCGCTGCTTCAGCTGCTGGAGGACAGCAGTCGACCTCGAATGTTGGAGACTGTGGTGGGGATGTGCGGGAGTAGGACGGGGGAGCTGAAGAAAGACACGGGTGTCAGCAGCCACGCATCGTTTTGATGCGAATACGTGGGGGTTATTGAAGAGAAGTGAAATATTTGAAAAAAAAATAAAAATAAAAAAAATAAATGAAATAAAATACAGAAGCAACAGATCAATCAATCATGCTAGGCCACAGAGTTGGGAACCAGCGGAGTGGACGAGGCCCATGGATCTCGACAAAGACGATGCTCTGCTGCAACGACAAGTCTCTCCATCACCACGGACAACCAGCAATCTGCGCCGCGAGCTGGATAAAGGCTCCGGTCGACTTATCTCGTCTCCCAGACCCTTTGTCTGTTGGCCAGAGAGAGTCCGTCGAGCCCATATATCGGAGTGGAAGCAGGAAGATACGCAGAGCACAGTGAAACGGGGACAACAAAGACCCGGGGAGCACTCAGTACATTGGAAGACAGACGCATTCGGCCCAGGGACGAACTCAGATCGAAGCAAGGCCATGGTGATTGGACAAGTGAAGGAGCTCGACCTTTTGCTCAGCGCTTATGGGAGTGTTCGCGGGTGACAGGTCGAAACGAAAGAAACGGAGGTACATGCGGGCAACGGCCAGTACCAAAGGAAAGCCACAGCAATGAGAGAGTCAAGTTGCGCTGATTGCTGGAGCCGGTGACAAATCCAAGAAACCAGTCTTATTGACAGCAGGATAAAGGAGAAGAGCACAAAGGCCGTGTGGGCAGCGGTGTCGACGATTGATGCGTCCAGGCGTCTCTCGGAACTCCAGGCTGAAAGAACACAAAAAGAATGTTCCACTTACAGAATCGCCGTCAGGATCTTCCTTGTACTTTGGGCCGGTCGAAGGAACACTTAGGTCAGTCTGAACCATGCTGGTCATGGTTAACCCGTTTCTCTCACGGACTGCAGTCCGGTTTGCTTTGTGGTTTTCTTTTCTTTTCTCGGCACTTTCTTCCTTTCAGTCCAATACCGACCGTCTTCGCCTTGGGTTTGTTCGAAGAAAACCGAAGATGATATCTGAGATAGTATGATGAGGAGGATGAAGATGAAGACGACGAAGACGAAGAAGAAAGAAAAAAATTCAAAATCAAAACAAAACAGCACCAAGCAACAATGCGTCGTTGCTTGTTATTTTCTTTTAATTTCTTTATCGCCGATAAGTATAAATTAGGTTCCTTCCAGGTTTAGGGGTAATGATTTGCGTGAAGGAGTTCAGCTGGCTGGTTGGACGGCGACGGCGCAGCGGCAGCGGCGCGGCCGGTGGAGGTAACGAGAACAAGGCGTGTGTCAATAGGCAAAGCAGAGAAGAAGACAAGAAGCGGATCCCAGATCCCCAGAGCCGCGGATCAGAAGGGGGGGGAAGATCAGGATCAGGGCACAGGATGAATGGCTGCGGGCCTTGTCGGACTGGGGGCGGGAGACGGGGGGGGGTGACGAGATTTGGAATTCAACAGAATAGTAAGAATAATAATAATAATACTGGCAAGCAAGATTGGGTACAATGCGGATGACAAGAATACATAATAATCTTGAAGGAATGAGGGTCCAGGGTGGTTATTATTATGCTTTAGCGGCAGACCGGGGGAGTTCCATCCTATGTACTCGTCGTACTTACATGTGGAAGCAGAAACAATAATAACAATAATAACAATAATATTAAGCAAATATTAATATTATTAATATTAGCACAGCAGCGAAAAAGAAAAAAAAAAAGAACAAGCACAACGAAGAGGGTACGACACCAAGCCCAGAGCTACCGACCAAGCCGTTGCATATCCCTCCCACCTCCAGGCATCTGCCGGTGAAGGAGGGCGAGGATAATAATAGCAGAAGCAGTGTAATCTGGGCCAGGGTTGATGCAGGACGCAGCAGCGACCAGACGCAGCAGCGACCAGACGCAATTGCGCAACGCAACCAGCGCGAGGACTCGATGGGATTGGGGCCCGGGCTCTGACGGAAAGCGAGAGATGGCACAGCGATGGTGTGCAGCGGAAACAAAGGATAGGAAGGGGATTGGATGCACTGGTGCATGTAGCAGCAATAATGCGCCGTGGGTGGTTGGAGCAAGGCGAATGGATGCTCATCGAGATGCTCATCGAGATACCCATCAGATACCCATCAGATACACATCAGACACCCATCAGGCTCTGGAGAATCTGTTCCGGATGGATGTGATGGCCTCGAGCTCAACGGCATTAAGCCTTCGCTATTTTGATCTTTACTTTTTCCCCTTTAATTTGGTTTCACCGTTCCCCGACGCCATGCAGCACCGATGATTGCAAAGCAAATACGATGAACGGTGACAAATAACAACGAGCCTTTGCGGGCCTACACCGAGTCATTTCCAATGTGTTTACTGCTGCCGGTGCTGCCACTCCTAGACTCGACCATCCAATGTACGACGACGCACACGACCGGATCAGCAGCCGGTCGTGCCCTGACAGCATCTCCGCTTGATGTGCGTGCAAGTGGGCCGCGGGACCTGTGCTTCTCCCGCGGTATCCATCGCCCAGCAGATAATATAGATGATGATCTTCGTGGAAGCGGGACTGCTCAGCCGGACTAAGCTCAGAGTCCCCTTTCTCTCACTGCGCGTTGATCCTCGTGGATGCTCGTTAACCGCGTGTTCCAGGACCGTCTGCTATCTCTGGCCGCGCTGTCACTGGTCTGCCGGAAAGCCAAACCTGCGTCTGAAATGCGTTTCGAAACAGCTAGCGGAGGCTCGTCTGATTACCGTAAACTCTCTTTATATTAGCGTTATTAGGAGACGTACTTTTGTCGTGTAACCGATGCTGCAGCTGATGAATCAGAACGGGAATCGCGCTCTCCTCTGCTCTGCTCTGCGGCAGTGCTGCTGCTATCCGCCAGTTGGCCTGGAGGAGACAAGACGCTTCCAGAACCAGGCGAGATGAACAGGGGATCCTTTCTCTCATGGCTTTGCTGTCCGGGTCGTCTCTAGCTCCCGCCGCCATTCTCGGGACGTTCCCACGGACAACGGCTATTGGGCTGCAGACGTTGGCATTCCTCCATGGTGATTGCATTACGGCTTCAGCGCTTCGTATCTCCGGACAGCCAGGCAGCTTCATTTCCCTTCTTTCTTCTCACATGCACAACACATCGCTGGTGCCTGAAGTCCAGGCAGCAGGACCCTGTCCCATCGAATAATAATAATACCAACAATACTCCGGAGTAACCACGTGATACCCGCAGAACTTGTCGATCATCGCCAGGCAAAGCACGATAATCGCGAAACGACACGACCCTGATTGACCCCTGCGCGGATCACTCATGTCCGATCGTTCCGTTTAGATTATGGATATTCCTGTGGGTTGTCAATACGAGATGTTGGTGATCTCGGTGATTTTCCCTGTGAACTGGGTAGCTCTCGGGTCTTTTGTCGGCTCTCCGTTCATGAATAATGCCTCAAGCTGCCCAGTATCTATGCATATCTTGTTTATCATCAATGTCATATGCATTGGCTCTGCATCTGCGAGGCAATCTGCAGTCAGACTCGCCGTTGAATCAGGATCCAAGCTCGCTGACCGTCGTGTCAAAGCTCACAGTGTAATATTGTTACAATGAAACGAAAGCCGCTGCTATGACTATAGGTCTAGCCCTAGCCAACAACCCATACAGTGTGCCGTGTACAGTGTACAGTAGACAGCATACAGCGGATACCCGCATCAGAACACCCAGACCTACAGCACGGCCTTGAAATCCATCGAATCCCTCGTATCAGCAGCTGGCAGTGTCGGCTCAGGGAGACCCAGTTGTCGTATCGCCTCCCGACCAGCCCAGTACCCCGTCACAAAGGCCAGAGCAAGACCGCCCGCATACCCAAGATGGCTGAACCCTCCCGCATCAGCTCCTGCTACCAGTAGTCCTGGGATTATTGTCTTGTCGGCGGTAAGTGCATGGCTGTTGGTATCTATTGCGATCCCGCCATAGGTGAATGTGATGCTTGATGGTTTGTTAACTGGCTTGTCATTCTTATCCATTGGAAAGGTGGAGATCAGAGAGACGTACGAAGGCTGAGCTTCCATGGCCAATGACTTTTTTTCAGCTTGCTCTAGTTTGGTGCTTGGGGATGGAGGCCCCGGGGGGAAATACCTAAATAGCAGAAATCCTCGTCGTTTCTCCTGTTTGGCCAGGCACTGATTGACAATCTCATCGCCCATCGTTTCATCTGCGAATCTGCGTCCGGCTTCGTTGATGAGTAGGAAGTATTTACTTTCTATTCCCCCTCCAGGTCAGCGTCTGGATGAGATAACCACGAACAAGGTGAACAGAGAGGAGAGGGGAACACACGATACTGAGCAAGCCCCAAATAATCCCTCGGATCAACCTGATCCACCCTCAAGGGAGCAGGAAGAAGATGGCCATAATACGTATCTAACCCTCTACTCAACCCAGCACCAACGGAGACTGCCAGATCAAGCCCATCACCCACGGAACCGCGATTCGAGCGGACGAAAATGCTGCCCCCACCGGGCCCCAAGTGCGAAGACGTTAATCGAGGGGATCCCTGGAAGCCGCCTGTGGCTAGGATGACTGACTTTGCATTGACGTAGTAGTACTTGACTGCGGCATTGGCATCGTCTGGACTGTCGGAGGCGCCACCGCTGCGACGAATAATAGCGCCAACTACTCTGGATCCTGGTATGCGGCACGGTTCTGAAAGAAATACCGCTCATGAGGCGGTAGTTCTTGGATCAGTCTTACCACGGACGTGTTCGTGAAGATGTCCGAGCCTGTTCTGCTGGCTTTCAATCTGTCCTGGCAGGATCTATGAAAGTGGTGGATGTCGATTGGGAAGCCGATTCCTTAACCTGGTCAGTTTGCATTCGGTTTCTCTCCTTTTATATTGATATTTTGGATTACCGATAGTCATAACGCCCTCAAACCGACCCGAAACAGCCACACCACTCTCCCTCACCCATTGCACAGCACGAAGGTAATCATCCAACCACGCCCGTTGCAGAGCTGCATTGCCTTCTGGAATCCACGATCTCAATAGATCGAAGTTCTTGGGGCCCCAGCTGAAGAACACCATATTATCAGCACAGCTTCTGGTCACCGGCAGGCATGTTTATAACATAACGCACCTAAGCTAAGCAGAAGGAGGGCTGGCTGGCTACATACAACATCCCAGCAGAGTAACTCGACGACCCCCCAACCGTCGACAGTTTCTCGACGACGAGAACCTTCGCTCCGGCTTCTGTGGCGAATACGGCGCTGGATAGTCCAGACATGCCTCCTCCGCATATCAGGATGTCGACGTTAATTGTTTCCATTGTGGGTTATTGTATTAGAGCGTGGTAAGGTAATAGATAGCGGTTTTTATCTGAAGGAGGGAAAGTACAGGGAAGTGGTGTTTATGTCTGAAACTGTGTCTCTTTTCTAGATATCTTTCTTCACGGAACTAGATAGATAGATAGATAGATATATATATATATATACATTCATATATGTTTCATGATTTAAAATTTTTTATATATTTTTATTTCTTTGTTTCCTCAAGATAACGCCAGAGTTGCCGCAGCCGACGGTCATTATTGAATGAAGAAATACGACTGGTGTTCAGACCTAAAGCCAAATAAAAGATCTAACAAGGTTAAGATACTGCATACCTTGTTTCATGCTACTTATACTATGCTGGATGTTTCGCCGAGCTTGATCATGTCAAAGAACCAAGCCATGGATGGATGCTCAATTATAGGTCTGACAGGACACCGACACCTCCGCTCGTACAAACATCCCCCTGAGTCATAAACATAAGATGTAAAATCCCTGAAACGCCTAGATAACATGTATCTGCCTTACTTAGCCCTGGCAGGCTCGCCCTCCGGCTGATTTGGTGCTCTGGAACGCGCACGAGACGACGACTGTTCCTTCTCCAACTCTGGAGGCGCTTCGATGGCAAGTGGAGTCCTGTCATCGCCGTCATCTTCATCGTCGCTCGAGAACTCCTCGTCCTTAAGACCATGACGTTGTGCTGCTTCTCTTTGTCTCCGCTTCTCCCGAAGATATTGTCCATAACGCTCATCTATCATTTTCATTATTTCCAGGTCAGCGACTGTTCCTTGAACGGCTTGCACGCGGCAAAGAAATGGAAAATCTCACCTCGTATCTCTTGCGTTTTCACCGCATATGCCTGAACTTCCTCCTTGGTCAATACCCGCAGGACAATAACAAAGTCGGGCCGTTCTTCAAACCGCTCTTTTCCAGCTTCCAACGCGGCAGGATTGACGAGCTTTCGGTCGATTTTGGTCCATCGTGCTCCCGGAGGGATTCCTTTCTTGTGAGCGTCCTTGGCAGGCGCAACTCCCTCCCGCACCGGGTTGGGCTCTTCCGGAAACTTGTCCCGAGGAGGCTTCAGGATGCCCTTTGGAGGCGCCTCCGGTTCCTTCGGAGGCACGGGATCGACGGCGATGGGCTTTTTGGGCCTCTCGGGACTCTCAGAAGAGCGTTCCTCTTTCGCCGAAGAACCGTCATCCACGCGATGCCGTGACCGGGATGATCTGCGACGGCGTCGGTCCTCAACCTTCAGGCGTCGTGAGGACTGGTTCTCATCACCGGAGCGACCTTCGGAGTCAGTTGTGCGCCTAGGACGAGACGGCCGTCTGTGTCTGCGACTCCGACGCTCACGGTCCGACGAGTAACTTTCGGTGTCACTTTCATCATGCCAGTCCAAGGGCCGCCTCGACAGGCTACGATAGCTTCTATGATGGTGCCTTCTGTCTTTCGGGGCGAGAACCTCGCCGGGGCGATCGCGGGTGCCGGACTCCCTCCGGTCGTATTCACGCCCTGGATCACGAGAACGCCCCCGGGGGTGTCTTGTGAAGCGGTCATAGTCATTGTCCGAATACCCACTGGCCAGGACAGCCGTCGCCAGCCCCGTCCCTGACCCGGGCACAAGCGGATCCCCGTTGTATTGGGTCAAAGTCAAAGCAGCGCGGTCGTCGCGGTGCGGTCGGCCACTGACGTCATCGCCATGGCGCGCGCGGCGGCGGTGGTGATGATGCTCTTCCCGCCAGGGTGAATGTCCATCATCGCTGTCTTGAACCGGCCGTCGAGACCGGTCATCCCTCTCGTCTTGCGGTGCCGCTCTGCCGGACGATGAGTGGGCTCCCGGCCGCTCTCGCAGCGACAGCGACTGAGCATAGTCCTCCAGTCCGGTCATGCTGACAGGTCTTCGGTTTCTATCGCCACCCCGGCGGCGGTTCAACATCGCGACATAGTCTTGCGACTCTCTCTCGAACTGCTCCGAGGGAGTTGTATAGGAGTACGCGTTATATGCGTCGATATCCTCGTCTTTCCCGAAGCGCCTTTCCCTCGTATGTGGCCGATGGTGACTGGACCCATGTTCCGGGTGTCTAGCGTATACGGTTCGCACTTTTGCGGGATTCCGACCCTGATGCAAGCGGCCCGAGTCGCTCGCATAGTCCGTGTAATAGGTCCGATGACGATGGCGGCCACGGTGCGACGAGGACGGCGATAGATAACGGCCTGAACTTTCCTGCGTATGTGGCGGTCGTGATGAGTATAGGGTTGGAGGAGCAGTGTAACTCGACGAGACGACCACAGGAGACTGCCGTGCCGCCGACGAGTGTACCGCGGTCCGCAACGGATTCAGATAGCCATCTGTCGCAGAGGCAATCGTACTGCTCCTTTGTCTTGGACGGACGGCGTACTCCCTTCTCGTTGTGACCGCCTGGCCTGGATCGCGATAGACGTGGGACGAGATCGGATGGGCTTTAAGGTGTGGTTCAATGACGTTGGGACGAGAATGGTAGACGCCTCCGTAGCCTGCATCGGCCGGGTAGCCGGTGTAGCTGTGGAGGCCAGCGGAAGAATCGTAGGAAGAACTCAACGGCACTGTTCCGGTAGACGCTCGCATGGGTTCAATAAGGATGCGCTTGCCCCCTGGAGAAGAGGGCCGATGGCGGGCTGAATGGCTCATTCCGTGGTGACTCAGACCGAAACCGACTGAAGCGAGGACAGTTGACGCCGAATAACAGGGGGTAGAGAGACAGACAGAGATACTGATACGAGCAAGGAGAAAACCGCGTGGAAGAGCAAAGAGCAAAGAGCAAAGAGCGAAGAGCGAAGAGCCGCACGATGCTCTCCAGCGAACAGCGCGAGGGGAGGAGGGGTAGATAACAAATTGGAACTGCCTCCAACGTACGGAGAAGCTTCGACTGCCCTTGGCAGCGATCCACGGGCAATTCAGCTGGAAACGAGCCGGCGTAAGCCCTGCCGGAGAAATGGCCGTTTGGGATTCCCCGAACGAGCATAAGTGACGCAAAACGGCGGGGAGAGCAAGAACTTGACACGCCCGGCGATCTGCAGGATCCAAAATCCTCCACCGTGACGTTGCAGCAGCAAGATAGTACTGTAATTACTGGATCCCCAACGTCCAGAGAAGAGCTCTCGGGTCTTTGCCTGGGCTTCCAGGCACTATTTACTTATTATTGTCTCTGCGCAACCCACCTTCCTATCTAGGCATCTTCTGCCTCCCCTGCACCGCCGGCATATGGATATCGTGGATATCGGCGCTGTCAAACAGCCCGGAATACCGTTACGGTAATTGCTACGTCTGCTAGGGATTGAAGGAGGCTCAGGTTGACTGTCAATTGGCGTGAGCCATGGCAGACGATTTCCGAAGCGTCGTGGCCGACAATGGGTCTTCGATCGTTCTCGGGAACAAATATATATGAACATATACACAATGCATACCAGGAAGCCAGCCTTTGCACAGCAAGTACTGGTTCCCCGTTTCACCGTAATACAGTGGGAAGAAAGGGGATGCTGCTCGCAACCTCGGAGGGCACCTTCTGTGCCACCATACCGGCTTTCCTCCTGACGAGGAAGCCCCATGGCATCGATGTATTTGCGAGTCACAAAACTACCCGGGCTCCTATACCTGGAGACTCTTTCCGGGTATGATTGTGACCCATGGCCGGGCACGCTTGCTATGCAAACGGCCAATGCCAGTTCGAGATCCAAACGTGGATGGATCAGAACTGGAACTGAGCCTCCAATTGCATGTTCCACTGGGACAAATAGGCAGAGATGGAGCCGTGCCGTGGACGGCTGGGCTTCCTTTCGTGGAGAATAGTCCCGAAGAGCCGCATAGGACTCCTCCCATCATTGCCAAATTTGACGCCTGTTAGGCTGTATAGTGCTTCGAACATGGCCACTTGGGAGCAAGAAGACGGTCCCAAGCAGAAGCGTTGCTGTTGCTATCCCTATTCGTGCATTTAGACGAGCCGTCCGAGCTAGTAGCCTTGTTCACTAGGCGGAATGTTTGGATTTGTCTATCTGTCAATCTAAGCCCTAGAATGCAGCAGATATTCCCGGGAGGCGTAGTGTCGACGAGGATGAGTATAGGGCAAAGGCGAACCGACCAAGTCGATGCATTGCCGTTGATCGCATTGCTATTGAAAGTAGGACTGAGTTGCCATGCAGTCCATGCACAATCAAGAATGAATAGCTTTCCATGTAATGTTTTGGGGATTGCTCACCCATGGTTCTCATTTCCATGGATCCCAGCCGCGTCGTCCAACAACGCTCTCTCCACCTCACCAATAAGCTACCAGTAGCTACACAATGGAGGCTCGAGAGTCCATCGAAGATTCAATATGGATTCAAGAAAAAAAAACGCTTTCCGCCCTCGTGATGATTAAAATCCAGGCTGGCCAACCCCGCACAGCGAGAAGGGGTGCTCTACGTCCGGTCGATTCCAAATCTTATATCTGCCCTAGACCACCATATCCGAGGCTCATTTCCCCGGTGAGGACGGACGCCAATTTTGATTGTGAGAGCCCCATACCCGCATGAGGCTCAAGGTTGAACGGCTGTTGGTTCGATACGGAGGGTAGGGCTGTCCACTTCTGACTCGTGTCGCATTCCCAGGCCATCCATCAGATGATATGATTGTTATGACTGGCCTACGGGCAGATTCTGGGGGTCAGATGGCGTATTCGGTATATCCCAAACGCCTCCTATATAAGGCTCGCTGATTCCCTCATTTTTGTCCGCGAGGTGGTGAGGACGGCTGCTCTCGAGCTGCTCAGGAAACGTCCAAGACATCCTGAGGTATGCCACCATGTCGGCATCAACCCATATCTTGTCTAGCTACTGCTTTGAATGGTTACCTATGTCGCCTGTTAATGCAGTATACATCTGGTTTACCGACAATGTCTCGATGGACTTCTTCCAGCCCGTGACCCTATGGATTGGACATTGAACCTGGCTCTAGCCATGGAGAACAGGAAGACGCATTTCACATTCATACTACGATGCAGCACACGGAGCGTCCACCAGATCATAAAGATGACTGGCCGCAATACCCGGACCATCGGCTCTTGACTGCTAAGTACTTCTGTCCTGGCACCGGGACTCCGATGCCTGCTAGGGACCACCTCTGGCCCAAGCGTTGCCGTCAGCTCTTCCAGTGCCCTGAAAGCTTCTATGATTCCAGCATACGAGGATATTCGAGCACTCGGAACGATGAGTTATCCCGTGTTTCTCGCGTGGTCTCAGATCGTCCGAGCCGTTCTCGACAGGCTATAACGCTTCTTCCACGATCTTCCCCAAAGCACAGGACCCTGCATTGCTTATTTGAGATTATTGGAAAGGTTTCTATATTTTGATTTTGATTTTATCTATTTTTTTTTCTTTATTTTTTTGTTTATTTGATTTATCTATTTATTTTTTCGTTCTCGTTGATTTCTAATCACTTGTTTAGTTGTCGGGTAGTGGGAGCACATGTGCTGACTCTATACAGGTTGCCACGAGGAGTCAAGAGGGTAATAAAAAAGAGTGAAGAAGCCAAGCAATGAACCTCTTTGTTTTAATTTCTTTTGTTTGTTTCTAAAAGAAAATGAAGGGGAACGAAGGGGGAAATGGAGGGAAAAGAGGGTGAACGGGCGGAACTCCTTCATCCTCTCTCCCCCCAGGGCGAGAAAACGACACTTACGACACTTGAGTCAACCTTGCTGTTCGATTCCGTCTCTGACCCATCTGTGGTTATTTTTATTTTTTATTTCGCTTTCAATTTATTTTTCGTTTTCGTGCTCTGGTTTTCACCTCTACTTGGAGGGGCATGTCGTCATGGAGAGCTAGGCAACAGACTGCCTTGGAGGTTGCCTGAAATCAGAGGCCGTTGACTGGACGCGCTGTTTATGAACAGTTCTTTGCAACCCATACAGACATCCACTCTGTTGCTCATTGATGACTCGAAAAATAAAAAAGAAAAGAAAAAGAGGAAACGAAATGAAGCGAACCCGGGCGCCAGACGGGCGTGACCGTCCAAGCCTTCCTCGAACTGCCTCGATTCGCCCTGGGTGAACCGCCCCAGGCAGCGCGTGCGCTGCTTTGACTCAATTACCCCGGCAAATCTAGGGTGATTCAGAGTCGTCATGGCTGGCTCGCTGCCCCTGCGCGAATGAGATCCTCAGGACACCAGGCGAAACTGCAAGGCCAAACCGCGGTGGGCCATGGAGCTAGTGCTCGCAATGAGATACGGGTCGGGGGATCTCTGATCTACCAATCTGACGGGATGATCCCACGGGCAAACCATCCCGGTTCAGGGCTTACGGTAATGGCATTCAAGGCCAACTACGAGTCCGCTATTTGCCCTGCGGCATGGCTTGCAGAATGGATGTCTTGGGTAAACTAGCATATAAACCAGCCCATCTTCCTCTTGCAAATGCTTCCTATTCCTCATCGACAGAAAACGCCCACTGAGTCTTCCCTATCGCTCGTCTTGACTCGTCTCTAGTCTCTTCTTTTCCATCCCTCCCCAGACGTCCATTATGGCTATCTTTTGGTACTGCTGCCAATGCGGCTTTGGCCCGTACAACGTTGCTCTCTACTCTGCCTGCATTAACTGCAACAGCATTTCCTGCAAATACTGCCGCCGAGAAAAACATGACGACCAGCTGGACCCTATTCCCTGCAGCACGATGGCGCCGTACCCTACCCCGGCTCTTTCTCCTGCGTCTTCGCCTTCCCTCGTTCTCACACTCGATAATCTGGCGTATTCTGACCAGTCAACATTACCGCTGCCTTCCTCCAGCAGTGTGATGCCGACACACACCGGGAGGCTACTGCAGGATGACACCGCAGTTTCCCTACGATCAACGAGCGGTATCAGGATGCATGGCCCTACCTACTATTTTATCTGCTGTAACTGCGGGGACGGACCGAAGGTCTACAACCATCAGGCACGGTGTGTTATATGCCACCATGTGGCCTGTGAAAACTGCACGCATCTGAAGCCCTGAGCGTGATTTTTTAATTTCCCTTGAGGCGGAGGAGAGGTAAGCAACTTGGCTGGTTCCTTTTGTTCTTGTCCTCTTTCTACCGGATCCGTAGCTGACAGCTTTCGGGCTTGATTGAAGCAGTGGTAGTGCAGAACGTATCCGCTTGCATCGACGTTTTGCCCGGCCAACCAGGCGGAATTCCGAGTCTCGGCACCTGTTCTATACATTTTATTTTTGTTGTTATTATATATCTTCGTGAACGACTTATGAGACGGCATAGCATTCCGAGCGTGATGATTGGATTTCTTCTTGTTGATTTGTTCGGACACTGGGAAATGTTCAGCATAGATGGCATTGGCTTCTGCGGGAGCATGGAGTAGGGCTGCCCCCCATCCGGGGGGTTATCTTTTTTTTTTTTTTTTGTCTTTTGAGCTTTATTTTCCTAGAGACAGTCCGGGATTCACTTCATCCGTCATTGTAATATAAGATGCAGTTTCCAATTGGCTTCGGTTCTTCATTTCGCGTCATGTCATGTTTTGTGTTGTACCTCACGTCAGATGAGATCAGACCGGGTGAAAGTGATTAATTGAGTCATGAAGAATGTGAGTCATGCAGACCGCAAGAAAGAAAAGAGAGTAATAAAGTATGCACGCAGCCTTCAAGGGCTGGATCAACAGGCGCATTTGCTGGTAGGTAGTAAGTAGTAAGTAGTCAGTAGTCAGTAGTCAGCAGTCTATACGGAATTATTCCGCCAAGGTAAGTATCCCATTGGAACGGAGCCGATTCGCATTCTGATTCAGCCTACTTATCTCACTCCACAGAAACCATATAAAATAGATATAAATAAATCAATCAAATAAAATAAATGAAAACCCTCCACCGTCTCTTGCTATCCCTAGTGCACCTCCCCGCCAATCAGTGCCCAGGAAGTAGCGGTCGTCGCCTATTGCCCTCGCCTCGTCTTCTCTCTACTATTCCAATCATTCGTTCTATCCAGTTCCAGCCTTAGGAATATCGGTCAGATTTTCAGAAGTCTTTCTTTCTTCCTGGTCTATCTCGGATGCTCTAGGCTTCTTTTCTGTTTCTGTTGTTGACGTTGGCATCGGAGTAACGTCACGAGGCTGTGCTGTGCCCTTGGAGCCCGTCGGGCCAACCTACTACCTACAATGTTCGGTAGGATGAAATTAAACCGCAATACTCTGGCCTTCTTGCAGTAAATACTGCATTCTTTTCCCCCTTCTTTTTTCCTATGTTCGCTTACCTGCATGCATGCTAACCCGGGCTCTTCGGATCGTCTTACCGTTTCTACGGGTTGTATCTGCTGCACTTTGGAATTTATCTGGGACTGGGATCTGCGTGTAATGTGATGCACTTCTTCCTAGTAAGAATGACATTGACATTGACTGCGCCCCAGCCCTTGGCCGGGCAAGATTGCGCAGCCTGATGGTCTTCGTCTATGTAATATGTATGATACGTATTATATATGGGCTTGCTTGGATAGTGTCTCATTTTCATTTCTACGCCGGTTTTCCAAGTATGGACATTTCAGCTGGGGGTTATGAACCTACGTGCTGTTCAGAACTCAATCAAGAATTGAAGTTATATTGACAATATCAGTATACTTCTATAATACGTGTCATACTCGTACGGCCGACTTTTCGGCTCTGACGCATCCCCGAGGCCGAACATGCATGAGTCATGCTTCGCGGCCATGGACCTGGGATAGGTCTCAAATTCGTCTGTCCGGGGGGAACGATTGGCCTCTTATGCCTCTTTTCCTTTTTTTTTTTCCCACCCTCCTTTCTTTAGGCTCACTGCTCCACGCGTGTCCGTCATTGTGCCTTTCCAACTTCAAAGTCGATAGAAAGAATCATGCCCGCTTCGGGGGCCCAAGTATACGGCGAACTGATGGTAAATGGACGAGGTATATGAAAAGAGGAAGAGAAGGAAAGAAAGAAAACGCCGTGCTTGCTATGTAGGAGACACAGGGAAGATGGGTGAGTCCCTTCCGAGAACCCAAAGGGCAAAAAGCGGGAATGGAAAAGATACGAGGGAAGCGTTAAGGCTGTGTGTCCATAATGAGGATCAAACTAAGTGACGTTCTTCGCGCCCTTTTTAATGTTCACCTGGTGCTGGGCCAGGCGAAACTTTGGCCCGCTGCGTCGGATGAATATATCAGCAGCAAGCTCACCTTGACAATATCTGGAAATCGAATTCGCTGGTTGGGAACAACAGTTACAATGGCAAAATGCGCGAGGGATCTTGGAGGAAGCGTCTACGGTATGCGGCAATCTCTGCCGCCACAGTGCTGAAATCCTTCACCTGGTCGCGTCGCATGTCATTGATGATCTGTTTCAGACCAGCCAGATAGTTGTCTTTTTCTTCCTGGGTCTTGCCTTCTCTGAGGGAGCCCATCTGAACCAAGATTTTGTCATCTGTCAACATAAACCACGCTGTGGTCAGTATTTGAGCAATGCAGTTATTCGCGAAATGAAACTCGGGGTGGAGGGGGGAATTGGCCACAGGAACATGTGGAACATATGGGTCTGTGGGTGGAGGAAGGTTTTATCAACAAGGGGAGGGGGGAAGTGGTATATATATTTGCTTTCATGTCTGTCGACGCACCGCTGAGAGTCATATCACGGAAATGCTGGAATTCGCAAGAGCGGTCATTGCAGACGCCTCCCGCTACCTCGAAAGGGCATACGTATACCATAGGGTCAATATCATGACTGTATGTTAGGGAACGATAGCCGCCTGAGACATTGTCAACGAAGTTGGGGTGATAGCGATAGGCCCTGAAAAATCTCAAAGGGCTATGATACGGCGAAAATCCGAACCCCGGCATCTCTTTCTGAGCATGCTATAATAAAAGTGTCAGTAGGCAGTCAAAGCCATCCTATCGCAATATGGTTCATCCTACATCGAGGTTCCCAACTTCAGGCGTCTGGCTCACATCCGAAACCAGCACTGTCCCTGTTAGTGGTTTGTCAGCTTGTGGTTGGCCAACAGTGTGAGCAGAAACGTCCGGCAATTCTCCACGGCCCGACGAAGGACTAAAAGAGGGTGTATAAAGTTCGTCAGCAGAATCGGCACTTGTGTCTGGTTCTGGAGGCTCATATGCCTCAGACGCCTCAGACTCAGCAGAAGATTCACGGGAGTTGCGAACGTCAACCTGACCATCGTCATCACCCGCGTTGGGCAATTCAGCCGCAGCGTCAGTAAACCGAGGGCGCTCGGGAAGAGAATCATGGCTATTTTCCATTAGAATTGAACCAGTCTCGCTTATGTCGACCGATTCGGAGGTCCCAGAACCGTCAGGTGGAGTAGCGCTTGCTGCAGCCGTTTGTTCCAGCGCCGGCTCCTGAACAGGCTCGGAGAGAGCGCTGTCAATCGATTCGTCCATTGCAGACCCTCCCGACTCCGATAGGGAGGGTGCCGGTGGAGCTTCTCCAAGATCGTCAGTTACATGGGCAGAAAACACCGTTTGATGCTCGGCTGTATCTAGGGGTTCAGAAGCGGAAGCAGGCTCAAGGTCTGTGGCGGCACCAGTATCACGGCTAAGACTGGCAGAGCGTGACCCTTCTGAATCGCCAGTCTGAAGGGCTAGTGCATCTGGCACAGCCAGGTCGCCATCGACTGTATCATTTGGCATGGGAGTAGCTAGACAATCATTGTAAACAGAATGAGCGTTGGATCTAAGGCACATTGCTGCTGCAGATGCTTCAGCATACAGAGCGAAACTTACCTTCCTCTGTATTTTTTGGCGGCTCCTTATTTTCAAGAAGGCGCTGCGTCGTTTCGACTTCGTCGAGGGAGTGGCTGTTAGCCTCTGATTGAAGATGCTGTAGTTCTTCAACGAGTTGCTGTCTTCCATGCTTTCCTTTTGCAATTTCAGCCAGTAACCTTTCCATCTCCTCTTTGACTTCTGCGAGTCGTGTTTCTGACCTAAGTATTTCTGCATCCAGGACGGGAAGACCAGATTCTATCTCCTTCTTTCTCAGCAATTTAAACCGTAGATTCTCCAGTTCCCCTGATTCAGAAGAGACGGGCTTCTTGGAAATAGTACCATGAGTACCATTGCTGATGATCGTACTCTCAGCCGTTTCCTTTTCGATAGATGGCATAGCTGCTGCGGGAGGACATTGCAAAAGGCCAACTTCTGGTATGGCATTTTCGGCTTGCGACAGACGCGAAGGGCTTAATGTCCCAGGAGGCCGAGCAAGATCTGAAGCTGACTTTGATTTCTTTTTTTCTTCCATCTCTGCAATTCGTCGGCGCATAGCTTGGATTTCCAAGTCCACCTGCCGAAGATCCTGACGATCGTTGTTTCTGAAGGGTGACTGTGGAGTAGATGAGGCCGATATCTTCGTGTTAAATGAACCATTATTCCTTTGGCCGACAGATCCTGTCGAAGAAGGATAGCCCTCGAGCCGAGGAATCTTGGCTCCTCTTAGGGCCTTTGAGCGAGCGTCTTGTAAAATTTGATCAGCTGAGGAGTCAATATCCATATCATCGGTATCAGCCTCTCCATAAAAGACTTCATCGTCACTAATATCAATTATGAGTCTATCATCTGGCGCCCCGCCATTCTGGATATGGCCAAAAGATGATTTTGATGTGACGACCGGTTCATTAAAATCAGACGCTCTCGGGCGCTTTCGGTGAGTGACACGAGGCTGTGATGCTGAGACAGTGACAGCTCCTCCGTCAGCTTTAATATTAGGTTCGTGATGCGAGCTCTGTTCAGTCATAAACAGACCAGGAATACGAGCAGATGGTGCAGGATCAGGTGCCGGAGGACGGTTGGGCAGAGGGTGCCGGATTGCTGGGCTGGATGCTGGAGGTGTTGAAACCTGGACAGCGTCGTTGTTTTGCTGCAATGTGTTTTGTGAAATAGAACCCGCTCGTGGCTTTGATTGGGTCCTGGTCAATCCTTGCTTTTTAAGGAGCTCGATTCGCTGTCTCGCCAACTCCGTCTGAGCCTTGTTCTTTTCTCGAACACGAATTTCCTTCTCACTTTCAGTCGCTTCGCTCGAAGGAAGTGTCAATGTCTCCGTAGCTGGTACAGAAGGAGCTGTAGTAACCGTACTTTCATTTTCAGCATCCGGCTTCGAGAGTTGAGGTGTCCCGGAAGTTTTAGCAGCCCTAGCAGCAAGCATGCGAGCGATGACCTCCTTTCTTTCCAAAGGCTTTCCACCGTCAGGCTGGGGAGTGGAAGACAGAACGGGAGGGGTGAGAGCTTTGTTTGCAGCTTCCACTTCTGATATTTTCCTTTGCTGAGGAGCCTCTTGATCCGTCAATTCTTTGGCGGTCCGTTTAACCACTGGTAGGTCGGCGGTCGCATTAGCCTCATGTCCTGAGGCAACAAGCTTAACGGGGACCGAAGGGACAGATGTACCAGGCTGAGATGTCGCGATTTTGATTCCAACTTCTTCATAGAGTTGCTTTAGTACCATGGGGTTAATTCCCTCCCCAACAAGCTCGCTGTAGCGAATATTATGAGGCGCTAAGCTAAGCAAAGCCCCCTGAGCCTGGATGCGTAACTGTGAAGGAGACTTGGTGCTTAATTGAAACTGAGCTTCCTTTGGAATAGACATGGGTGGACTCTTGGGGCGCATAGCAGAAGAATTCGGCGCTTCCGACTCTGATCCATGTGGTACTTCAGCTATTGAGATTGGGGGGTTATATGCTGCATAATATTAGCATCACACATAATGTTAGAAACTGAGAGGTAATGGGAATAATACGTGATTCACTGTCCCTAGAACAAGGGTGGAGCTCAGACGGAGCTTCATCTGTACCCTGATTAGTCTTCCCAGACACTTCGCGTGGTATAGCAGCAAAATTTCCAGGGTCCTTTATACCGAGGTGTTGAGTCCTGTTTCTAGGAAACCCTGAATTTAATGCGGAGTCACATATCCCACCTGACACATCCTGATGCCGATTTAAAGTAATCGATCTTTCAGATCCAGCCTCTTTTGCCTGCGACGGAATCTGGCCTTCCATGTCACTGACCTCACCTTCCTCTCTATCGGAATCTTGCCTAGAACTTGATTCGGTCGTGGCCTGTGAATCAAGCGTGTGTACAGCCCCGTCGTTTGCGAACGTCCGCGCAGCAGCAACAGAGCGGCCATCGGGCTGCGGACCGTTGGCCAGAGGCACTGGCGGGAATGTTACAGAGGATAGCGGAAATGATGGGAACGGAGGTGGAGGTAACCCCATGAACGGGAGGGGAGGTGGAAGCGTGCCAGTGGCGCCAAATGCCCCTAGACCCGCGATATTTGAATTCTGGTGGAAACTGTTCGCATTACTATGGGATATGGATGCAGTATAATCTCCATTAGAGGGGAAGGTGTGTGGAGGTAAAGAAGGCAGTGAGTTTGGAGTTGACGCGTGAGGCCATTGTGGGACGTAGGCGAAAGGCCCGCCAAATGGCGGCGCTGAAGGATAATTCGACATCGGCAGCAGGAAAAGTCTGTTGGATAATACGCGTAGACGGAGCAGTGTGAAAAATCTAATGGACAAAGGAGCTGTTCGTAAGAAGCAGAATGGCGCGTTCAGGCATCGTTTAACATCAAATCCAAGGAAGGAGATGCGTCGAAGGACTAACGGACGGATAGAGTCCTATATCCCTAGAATAAGCTGTGAGCAAAGTTAAAATCCGTTGTAGACATCAAATGATGCATACAAAGCCAGTATCTCCAAGGATAATGGAGTAATCACTGGATAAAGGCAGACAACCACTGAGTCTTGGAAGGAAACAGAGCGAAAAGAGAGAACGGAAGAGCTGCGAGTTTCTGCTCCGTGATGGTCAGGTGACTTTTTGTACGAATACGGACTAGCGCAGTGCACAGACCATATGCTTGCCCGTTTCCAAAAGAGGAAGGATGATATAATGTAAACAAACAGCTGTCGAGGACTTCTAAATACCGGCAGCAGCTGCGATGATGACATCCATTCTCGACATTCCCCGGTAGCTGGCCTCCTCTCGGCTTCAGATAACCTTCTGCCTTCTTGTCTATATTGTCTATGCCGTTGTTCACAGCGTTTCTTTTTAGGATTTCATTTCACATCGTTTGAGACCTTCCTGTTCGGCTGGACCTTCGTACTTCGCTCAATTGTCGCCCTCTGTACCTGCCCGATCGTTTGCCCAGAGCAACTGACATGATCTAAAATTTTCTTTATTAGATGAGCTTCCATTGAATTGCCGTTATGCTTCCCTCTCAATTAAATGGCTCGCCAAGGCGTGCCAATCCATTCAGTCGAGCTTCTTTATCTCCCTCCCCATCACCCCAACCGAAGCATACAAGACCGAAGTCCGCCATCATAAGCTCGCCCAGCGTTTATGAAGAGCCTCGCGGCCGCTTTCGAAATAGCTCAGTCTCCCAATTATCTCAAACAGGACTTAAATCTTCCCTCCGCGAACGACCCAGTTCAGCGAAGAACAATGTGTCGTCTGGAACTTTTGCACCAGAGTTTATTAAGACAGAAGAATTGCGGAGAGGGGCTGATCAAATTAGAGGCCTGGAAGGCGACAACGACTTCTCGGGTAATAAATACGTATGGCTGAAGGACCCAGACAAGGCGTTCGTGCGTGGGTTGGTCCTGGAGGAGCAAGACGATGGAAGGCTGTTAGTACAATGTGATAATGGGGAGGTAGGTACCATGGCCTCTTCTGGTTAACTTTTTCACTGGCTTACATACTATGCAGCAGCGAGAAGTTTACGCAGATCAAGTCGACAAAGTGAACCCGGCAAAGTTCGACAAGACAGATGATATGGCTGAACTCACCCATTTGAATGAACCCTCCGTCATTCATAACCTGCAGACTCGGTATCAATCAGACTTGATATATGTACGTGTTATGCCCGAGGTCTTACGATCTTCTACTCTATCAGACTAACATCTTCGCAGACATATTCTGGCTTGTTCTTGGTCACGGTTAATCCATACTGCCCTTTGCCCATCTACACCACTGAATATGTGAAAATGTATAAGAACCGGAGCAAGGAGGAAACTAGGCCTCACGTTTTTGCCATGGCCGACCAGGCATTCCGCAATCTAGTTGAGGAGGGGGAGAATCAAAGTATTCTTGTGACGTAAGCTTTGCTTCGCAACAGACACGGGATATCCCCATGCTGACTTGCGTACAATAGCGGAGAGTCGGGAGCAGGAAAAACAGAGAATACGAAAAAGGTCATCCAGTACCTTGCAGCGGTTGCAACACAGGATACCCCCTACGCTCGGTCTGAAACAAAGCAGTTTTCAGCTCTCTCACAACAGATATTGAGAGCAAACCCAATTTTGGAAGCTTTTGGCAACGCCCAGACGGTTCGGAATAATAACTCATCTCGCTTTGGAAAGTTCATTCGAATTGAGTTCTCCCGCTCAGGACAAATCCTTGGTGCCTCCATAGACTGGTACCTTTTGGAGAAATCTCGAGTAGTGAAGCCTAACCGCCACGAGAGGAATTATCATATTTTTTATCAGCTTCTTCAGGGTGCAAGTCAGGCAGTACGGGATAATCTCCTATTATCCAATTTCCAACTCGAGGACTTCGCATATACGAGAGATGGAAATGATACCATTGCTGGTGTATCAGATATCGAGGAGTGGAATTCACTACTTGAAGCATTTCACATAATGGACTTTTCTCCAGAAGACCAACTATGCATCCTCCGGACAATCGCTGCTGTCCTGCACTTGGGCAATGTCAATATCGTTAAAGAAAGTCTGCGCGGAGACCAAGCGGCGTTAGGGCCTGATGCGCACAATAGCGTAGAACGGGCATGCCACCTCCTAGGAATCGCTCCGGAACCTTTCATTAAAGGGCTGCTTCACCCGAGGGTAAGGGCTGGACGAGAATTGGTTGAGAAAGTCCAGACTCCCGAACAAGTCCGCCTAGCACTCGACGCTTTGGCAAAGGGAATTTATGAACGTGGCTTCGGTGACCTTGTCTCTCGGATTAATAGCAAGCTTGACCGCAGCACTATAGCGGGCGATGATAGCTATTTCATTGGTGTTCTTGATATTGCTGGCTTTGAGATATTCGAGAATAACAGTTTCGAGCAGCTCTGCATCAACTACACCAATGAGAAGCTCCAGCAATTCTTTAATCACCACATGTTCGTCCTTGAACAAGAAGAATATGCAAGGGAAAAGATTGAATGGCAGTTTATTGATTTTGGGAAAGATTTACAGCCAACAATTGATCTGATTGAGTTGACCAACCCGATTGGTATATTCTCTTGTCTTGACGAAGATTGTGTGATGCCCAAGGCCACGGATGTGTCTTTTACTGATAAACTTCATTCTCTGTGGCATCGGAAGTCTCCGAAGTATCGCGCATCCCGTCTCAGCCAAGGATTTGTTCTCACCCATTATGCCGCCGAAGTGGAGTATACGACCGAAGGCTGGCTAGAAAAGAACAAAGACCCTTTAAACGACAATATTACACGCCTACTGGCCGCATCGAGTGACCCCCATATTTCCAATCTTTTCTCAGATTGCGGTGACCTTGACGAAGATGGAACAGGACATCCAAGGAGCCGGATCAAGAAGGGTCTGTTTCGAACGGTGGCACAGAGACATAAGGAACAGCTCTCTACTCTCATGAGTCAATTGCATTGCACCCATCCTCATTTCGTGCGTTGTATAATACCGAATCATAAAAAGAGACCCAAATTGTTTAACGCTCCCTTGGTGTTGGATCAGCTGCGTTGCAATGGTGTTCTTGAGGGTATAAGAATCGCTCGGACAGGGTTCCCCAACCGCCTGCCCTTCGCGGAGTTTCGACAACGCTATGAAGTTCTCTGCCACAACATGCCAAAAGGATATATGGAGGGCCATAAAGCCGCTCATATAATGTTGGAGAAGCTAGGTTTGGATCGAGCGTTGTATCGTGTTGGCCGTACGAAAGTGTTCTTCAGAGCCGGCGTCTTGGCTGAGTTAGAAGATAGAAGAGACCATCTTATCCGTGATATAATGACCCGTTTCCAGTCATTGGCACGAGGATATGTTCAACGTCGAATCTCCAACAAAAAACTATATCGTGCCGAGGCAACCCGCATAATCCAACATAACTTCCATGCTTATCTCGACATGAAAGCAAACCCTTGGTGGCGGTTATTCTCAAAGATGAAACCTCTTCTTGGAGAGACCAGAAGCGCAAATGAATTTAAGAAAAGGGACGAGAAGATTCAACAACTGGAAGCGAAAATGAAACAGGACTTACTGGAACGTCAGAAGCTCGATGAAGAACGGCGTCGTACAGAGATAGAAATCCAGCGCATTCAACAAACGCTGGAGAGCGAACGTGCCCTGGCCCTTGATAAAGAGGAAATCTTCAAGAGACTTCAGGTCCGCGAAGTCGAGCTCTCAGAGAAACTTGCCGGAGCGATCGCGGACCAAGAAGCTCTTGAAGACCAGCTTGACGAGCTGATAGCAGCTAAGAAAAAGGCCGATGAGAATTTGGATCATCGGCTAACTCAGCTTGAGCAAGCCGGAGAAATCATCCAGCGGTTGGAGGCCGAAAAACAAGAGCTTCAAAGGCGTATCGCAGAACTCGACGTTGAAGTGGAAGGCGCGCAAAAAAGCTTTCAAGAGAAAGATAACCAGATTCAAGACCTAAGTCATGAAATTCGAATGCTTCAAAGCCACCTCGGTTTGAAGGACCGCAAGCTGCAGGATTTAGAAGCCAAGCTATTGAAAACTGATCAGGATCTTGATATAAAGCTTGCTAATACATCGAAGGATCTGGATAAGTCGAGAAAGCAGATTAAGGAGCTGTTTGATGAGAATCGGTCAATTCGACAGCAAATTTCGGACCTCTCCGCGACTTCAACTGGGTACGAGGAAATGCTCAGGAAGAAGCAAAGCGAAGTAGCCGTTTTACGAAACGACGCGAGACGATACGAGGAAGAGAGAAAACAATTCGAATCCGAGAAAACTTCTCTATCAACCCGCCATGACAATATGCAAAATCGTCTCCGGGAAGTCCAGGCATCTATGGATGCAATGAAATCGGAGAAAGCTCAACTTGAACGAGAGATAGCGGATGTTAAAAGGGTCTTGGAGGATAAATTATCCGAGGATGCGGAAGCTGGTCAGAGCAGGAGGATCCTTGAGCAACAGGTCCAAGACCTGAAAACCCAGCTCTTTCAGGTCCAGGCCGATCTCAGTCGAGTGACGCAGTCAAGAGACGACGTCCAAATGCTTGCGAAGCACAGTCTCGCGGAGCTGGAGGAGAAGTACAATTCTTTGAATGAATCGAAGATCATAATCGAGAAGGAAATGTATATCCAACAAGATACTCTCCGTCGAGCTACCGAGGGTCGAGCAGCTGCCGACCAGGCTCGGAAAGACCTCCAAACAGAGCTCATCAAGCTGCGAGAGCGATTCACCAAAGTTGAGAATGCGCGCTTGGATGCAGAAGCCGAGATTGAGCAAAAAATTAGGATACAGGCTGACGAGAGGTTGGAAAGTCTTCGAAAGGATTTGGAGACCAAATCAAAGAGACTAGATGAAGCTGAGGCGGACAGGTCACGTCTTTCCAAGGAAGTGCAGAGGCTTACGCATGCCATTGCAGAGTCTGACAATTTCCGTATCCGTCATGATCAGCATAAGGAGCGTCTCGATAGAGAACTTATAACGCTCAAAGGCCGGCTCACAGCATCTGAGAATGATAATAGAGCCCTGTTGACTAAGATTCAACAGAAGAATCTTGATATTGCCAGATCAACTTCCAGAGCCAGCGACAATCAACGCCTTCGCATAACAAATCTTCAAAAGGAAAAGTCGAAGTTGGACGAAGAAAACAAGAACTTGACGCGCCAGCTAGGAGATGCACAGTTGTCTATCACCTCCTTGGAGAAGCAAAAGGAAAAACTGTCTCTAAACCTAGAGGACTTGAACCATGAGATCTCCAGGGAACGTAAAAACAGTCGTAACGCCGAGAAAGCCGCCTCCACTGCGTCCCTTCAGCTTGCTGAAGCAAATAGGAGCCTTGAAACCGAAAGACAGCTACGCAGTCAAGCCCAAGCGAACACTCGGAAGCTTCAAACCGCACTCGACACTGCTAACAAAGAGATTGATGGTTTGCACCGCCAGCTTATACTCTTAAACAAAGTTTTCACGCCCGATGCCGATGAGTCTCCCAGGTCATGGGAAACTGTTCAACCAGAGCTATCGAAGAAAGTTGATTTGGCACAGGTCCTGGAGACCGTGCAGAACAAACTTCAGGTTGCTGAGGAGAAGTATGCCAGGGCAGAGAACCAGCTTTCTGAAATGCGCCGACGACATGGCGATGAGATGAAGGAGCTTGATGCTCGCTATTCTTCATCGAAACGTGCTTTGCTTGAGGAGATCGACAACAACCAGGTGGCTGCCAATCGTACTCCGACACACATAAGGAAGAACTCTGAAAATGCTGCAAAGAGGTTTTCCGCTCCCACTACGCCTAACCGCAGACACAATTTCAATGAAGCCATTAATGATTCAGCTCGGTCTGATAAGACCGTGGATACCGTCACTTTTCAACGACGTATGGACTTGGAGACCGAGATAGAGGAGCTTCAGAACAAGCTTCAAGTGTCTGAAATGCAAAACAAACATTTGCAGACCCAGCTTGAACGAGCGCTTCCTCAGAAGGATACATGGCAGGACGAAAGTCCTTCAATTAGGCGGATGCAGCTCCTGGAGCGGGCAAACGATCGCCTTCATGAGCAGCTTGATGATTCTACGAAGAAGGTGTCGGCACTTGAACGGAGTATCCGCTCAGGAGAGCTATCATTACATGATGTCCAAGCTAAATCACATGAAGAACTCTATGACTTAATCAGTTCCCAGGAACAATCTAGGAGGTTATTGCTCCAGGTTCATAATGAGGCCATGGCCGAATTAACCGAGGCAAAATCCCACTTCGAGAAGCTTAAGCACTCCAAGGCGGCCCTGGAGGTTGATATTCGTGACGCACGGTCGGAACTTCAAGAGTTGCAGCTTGCAAGAGAGCAGGACGCCGTTAGCAGAAATCAACTGCTGCAGGAGTTTTCGGATCTGCAGATACGCTTGGACGCGGAGGAATCTAAATGTGCTGACCTCGCCTCCAGTTTGAGCTTATACAAAAGCCGTGCAGATGAATATTTCAGCAAGCTCGAGCAGGCGGAGATCGCGGTTCTCAAGGCTTCTCGAGCCGAGCAGTTCTCTAAGTCTCAAGCCAAAGAAGCCGAGGAGACATGTGCCCAAATTTTGGCAGAGCGCAAACAGACTGATTCTCTTGTTGAAGATTTGCAACGGCAAATGCAATCGCTGGAGGCACGAATGGAGGACCAGGCTGCTGAGCTCCAAGGTGCACTTCAGGCTAAACAGCGTCTCCAGAATGAGTTGGAGGATTATAGAAATCAGCGCGCTATTGATCTTGAGGACAAAGAAATGTCAATGGAGCAGACCAGACAAAAGTATCAACGTGAATTCTCGACTCTGCACAACGATCTGGAGGTGGAACGCGAAAACGTACTCAACGCTCGTGAAGAGAATGCTCGCCTAAGAGAAGAACTTGAAGATCTTCGGAGCAAGTGGGATAACGAAGTGCTGAATAGTTCTACGTGGGCCAAGGAGAAGGCCCGAATGGAGATGACCCTGCAAGACGTAACAACCTCGCGGGAAGAAGCGGTAAATGCCCACAATGAAGCCCAAAGTCGGGTTGTGTCACTCCTGTCACAAGTAAGGAGTCTGCGGACATCCGTCGACGATGTAACAGCCGAAAGAGATAATCTGGCCAAAGAAAAGAAGGTGCTGGAGGCACGGCTGGCTGAGGCTGGGGAGCGACTTGATGAGCTTGCTAGGGGACAAAGTCCCTCTATGCGCAATGCTGCTAGTATGGAACGTGAACTACTGGAGCTCAAGTCACAACTTGCGCAGCAAGAAGACGTCTCGGCCGCAGCAGTGGGCAAAATGAGGCGAGCAGAGGCTTTGGTAACTGAAATACAGAAGGAAATCACGGGTGAGCGAGAATCGAAAAATCGGCTTTTCAAAGAAAAGGCGGCACTGGAGAAACAGCTCAAGGAAGCGCAGTTGAGATGCGTCGACCTCGAGACTAAGAGCTACTCATCTGCCAGTCAGGATGTTAAGTTCCTGCACAAGCGTATTAAGGAAGTAAGAAGCCCCGTCACTACTCAGGGAAAAAAGAAGAAAACCATTATGCTGACGGTAAACAAAAACCAGCTTGAAACGCACCTCGAGGAGCAAGAAACCAAGCACAGTGCTGAGCAACGCTCTCTCCGTAATGTTGACCGTACTGTCAAAGACCTTCAGTCGCAAATCGAACGGCGCGACAAGATGAACGCTCAACTCAGCGAGGATATCAACAAATCCCGTGACAAGATTGAGCGTCTTCTGAAGAATATCGAAGAACTCCAGCAGAGCGACTCGGAAAATCAACTCCAGGCACGCCGGGCGGAACGAGAACTCCGAGAAGAACGAGAGAAGGCCTTGAGATTGGAACGCGAGCTGGAAGGGTGGAAGGCTCTTCGGGTTGAGAGAGGGAGCGTCGTGGGACGAACTGTTGGCGCGTTCAGTGACGTTGGGAGCCGAAGAGGCAGCGGTGCTTTCCCCAGTGATCTCCAAAGACAGCCCAGTAACACCAAGGGGTTCCTGTAACCCTTCTGACAGCAGGGGACGGATTCACCATATCATCTTCTGGTCCGAAGAAATCCATCAAGGTTGAGTGAAAGAACTCTGGTTATGACTCTAGTATGATGTTGCTGCCAGCAGGCTTTTCCAGATATGGGTGAGACTGGTGCATACGATTATATGCTTAATGTCTGTGATGAGTTTGTGGCTCCTATTTTTATGGTTTCTGTTTGTTGATCAAGCATTTTATCTATATGGTATATGGGCATTGGTCATTTGTTTGCGTTAGCAATTCATGCATCAGTTTTCGATCTACTCCTAGGACATTATGAGATAGTAGCATTATCCACCGATCCCGATCCAGAGCAACATTTGGGATTGGTATGCCTGCATCCCCTTCATGCTGCTACTCCGACAACCTCTCCAATCCCCAGCTTTCTTGCTTCCAGCACCTCTATAGTCTGCTCAAAAACCTTTTTTGTGCTCTTTTCCCCATATCGGTAAGAATCCACGATTCCACATCCTGATTCTTCCCATCGGTCATGTACTCCCCATGGGAACTGGGCGCAGCAGACGCAGCAAGCACGAAGGTCCTACTACCTACTTCTGTCTCGTGTTCGGTAATCGAGCGTATGTTCCGGGCCACTAGGCTGGCCTTGGGACTGTTACAGCTGATCTCAGACTTGCAGAGGCCAGGGTTCGCAAGATCTATTACCACTGGCGACGTAACTAACTTTGTACTATTGAGGCGTAAAACAAGTTCGCGAACGAAGAGCACGCCCATGAGCTTGCTGACTTCGTGCCTGTTTGCTCGTAGCAAGGCAAAGTTAGAAAGCCCTTTCAAAATTTTAGACTACACACTGGAGAAGTTTGGAGAACTCACATATACTGTCCATTGTAGTCTTTCCCGCTATTCAGCTCTCGGTAGATATCCGGAGCATTGATCTCTTTGAACTTGGACAATCGATGAGCATCTGAACTCAATGGGCCAAGGAATCTGGGAAATGGCCTTTGGTCTGGGATGACTTCGGCAGGAGAGGTAGAGCGAGCAACAGTGTATTGATAGTGTTGACTTGAATAGTCTGCTCGAATCCCTCCAACACGGTGAACGTAGGGGAGCTCAGTCCGGCATTCTCGACCAGCACGTCGAGATGAGGGAGCTCTTTCTTGACACGGCCCGCAAAGGAGAGAGTAGATTCCGTGCTGGAGAGGTCTAATTGTCAGACTTCAATGGTTTGGGTATTGTGGTATGGCGAAGATCTGGGAGTGCAAGAAGGATAGGAAATCTCGGAAGACTTTAGGGCTGATAGTGAATTCTTCCTTGTTTGTGGACGATATCTTCACGAAGGTGATATAAGGATCCACGAGAACTAATCGATTGTAGACCAAAAGAATGAAAACCTTTATCATGTTTCTGTGGTAGATATATACAAGTACAGATGACCTATGTTGCTCTATTTATTCGCATCGATTTAGGGCTCTGAGACAGGTCGTTACTGAATCTCAGGGACCATTTAGTGGCCCTAATTCACTACTATGAGCAGTTTCATGAGATTACTGTGCAGACAACATTGGCTCTCATGTTGACAACAGTAGTTAATACTAGTTATTCCATGGCCTTCACAGGTGGCACAACGCTTGGGCTGCGGGCGAATAATTGGGCCGCGAGTGACTGAAAATAATTACCTACTGACCAGCTCTCTGACAGAAGTAGGTTCAAAGGATTTTATAAGATTGGCCATGTAATTCATGTTCAATAATGTCAATGGTATCACTTAAAGCAAAGAAACTTGATATTTCCGGAATACATATGCCTCAGGGCTGTTTCTTCGATAGCATTCCCAGTGGTGGATTTGACCCCCAGCACAGTTTCACTGCAAAATGAATTTTACATGTTGGAATATTCAGAATGATGGTCTTACAATAATACAATTTAGAAAATAATAAATAAATAGACTAGACAATAGCTGTGATGAAGAATCCAATTTTCCAGCTTCATTATGGATAGCCGCGCGGTAAAATCTTGACGCCTTAGGCGCTATCTGCACCAAAGCGGTAATGGGAGTTCTTCATCTGCTGCTCTCCCTCTCTTCGCTGGGCTGCTCTGATTTCGCTAGAGCATCGCGCCCACCTGCTCGGGTTTCTTTTGCTCTTCATTTAGTAGGATTCTTGGCAAATTTTCCTCATCATGGTAAGCTGCATCCCAGGCAATCGCACATTTGTTGCACTTCAGCAATTGGAGATACTAATCATGATAAATTCACAGGCGCGAAACAGCGAGAAGGCACAGTCGATGCTCTTCCGTTTCCGAGCCCAACAGGCGGCGGATCTCGGAATCATTGATATCGGACGCACGCGTCGTCCCAAAGCGATCACCACTGTCGATACGATCCCCATGTGCGAGAAATGGCGGGGCCAAGTTCTCAAGGAGATCTCGCGCAAGGTAACGCGCATTCAAGACCCGAGCCTGAGCGACTACCAGATCAGAGACCTGAACGATGAAATCAACAAACTCATGCGAGAGAAGTGGTCGTGGGAGATGCAGATCCGGAATCTGGGCGGGCCAAACTACATGCGCGGCTCCGGGAGGGTATACGATGATGAAGGACGCGAAATACCTGGCGGAGGGAAAGGGTATCGGTACTTCGGTCGTGCCCGGGAACTTCCGGGTGTGAAGGAGATGTTTGAAGCTGCTGCTCGACGGGGGCGGAGGCCTGCCGAGGAGGAAGATGAAGAGTCCGTTAGGGGCAGGGGAGGGGATATTGCGACCAAGAAGGTGGATGCTACGTATTTCGGTTACGGGCTGGAGGAGGAAGATGGATCGCTGCTAGCATATGAGAGATCAAAGGAGAAGGAGGCCACGGAGAATCTGCGCCGGCAGGGCGATGGAGACACTGAGGATGGCTGGGAACCGTTGCCCGGTGATGCAGGTGATGGTTTGGAATGGAGGCTCCCAACTCTCGACGAAGTGCAAGAGGAACTTGTGGATAGGAGGCGGAGGAGGCTGTTGGACAAGATTTCTTAACCTCTATTCTTTTTTGAATTTGCTGGTGGATAGAGGTTACATGTTTGCAGGTTGTCTTTCTGTCTCTCCGGCGTTTCGAGTGCTGTCTTGTCTCCATCTTTTTCATCATAGGCATCTTCCGATTTTCGTTTTTTGATTTACGTGGAACAATCTCGGGAGAAGATAACAAGTTACGGTGATACCAACATGGAGTTCTTTTAATTACATTTTATATCTATGAATTATATATAAGCAAGACACTATTCTATAACTTACTCCTGGCCTCTTTCGCGCGACGCTTCCTGGCCATTCGTTCTGCTTTGAGCGCCTGAGAGACACTTATACTGGCTGTGTCCATTGTCTCTTCCCGGAGTCGGCGCGCTTCCTCTTCCAGATCATCAAGTATGAATCTTCCCAGATCACCAGCCCTCCACTTCTGGATGAGATGAAGAGCCGCGGCATCGACGTTAGCTATGCCCCCCTTCGAGAGATGACCGGTCTGTCGCGCGAACCGGTCAGTAAGCAACATGATGTCATTCGTTGGCTCCGACCAGCGCTGGTAAGCCAGGGAATCGTGCAAATTGACCTGATACAACAGGTAATCGGCCAATGTGACGGGCGGAATAACAGCATCCTTGACGCACCCGCAGAGAGCGAGTTTGAGCATTTTCTCCGCATCCGGTACGAAAGGCATGAAAACGCCAGGAGTGTCGAGCACGTAGACATGGGATCCATTTTCCCTCTCTATGATCTTGATAGGCGTTCCTATCTTTCTAGTTATACCCGGCTGACCGCCGGTTTGCACGGCTTTTGCTTTCCCCACGCCTTGATTGCGCAGGTTGTTGATCAAAGTCGACTTCCCGACATTCGGCATCCCCACAACCATCACACGACATCCGACGAGCTTATCCGGTCCGTGTGCATCGGTTTGCAGATGTTTGATAATCGGTCTCGTATCCTGTCGCGAGGATGAGCTGACAAAAAACACGGCGCTATCGTTATCGAAGTCTCGGATCTTTTTCTCGGTCTGCGATACGAAGTCGGTCAAATAAGTTTTTGCATCGATACGAAAATGTTCATATGGAGGCAGATCCACTAGACCTACCTGTTGCCGCGCAGACAAATCGGGACCGTTGCCCAGATCTCTCTTTGTATAAACAATCAACCGTCTTTTCTCTCCAAGTGCCTCCTCGAACATTGGATTAATGGACGTAAAAGGTGCGCGATAATCCCGACATTCAACAACGTAGTCAATGTGAGACAGCATAGATTTCATCTTTTGCAAACCGGCTCGGTGATGGCCTAAGAAGTAAGACCTGGGGATGGTGGCATAGTGCGGGAAGATCCGGCGCGGGATGAAATTGGCGGCCATCGTGAGGCGAGCGCGAAGGAATTAGAATGCAAGGTTTCCACTGATGGGCGATAGAGTCATCTTAATGGGCCCATTGCTCACTCACTGTCTTTCGATGCGTCTTCTCAACTTGTCTTGTTGATGTTGAGAGAAAATCAGCGGTCCATTAAAGGCGGTGTCAGAGGCGGTGAAGCACGTGACCTCAATGACGTCGTAATCGGCTGGTATTAGCTTCATCATCACCGCATATTTTGCTAAGTTAGAGTTAATTGTTGGGTACAATTAGCACGTCGCTTGGCTACGATGCCGCGCCTGCGCTTGCAACCAGAGGTGTCAGCTGTCCATCTTCTCTAAGCCACAGAGAACACTGGAATCCATCAGGTCACCGCTTCATGTCCCCATTAATCTCGGCTTTTCGACCACCGTCTACTCGAGGCTTGTCCCTCCGCCATAGGTCTCGTTACAGACAAAAGAAGCAGCAGAGACGCGAGCAGTCGGACACAGAGTCGGATAATCATGATGTGGATGCTCACTCCATTATCACCCCGTCTAAGCACACCCCGAAAGCCATTCGAGCACTGCGGGGTTCTGTCTCTGCTGGCGGTCCTCTGCGCCCGTTTCGCCTGGTGAAGCAGGATATTGTCAACCTTCGCCGGCGATATATCTCTGACTGGAAAGTCTTTAATCAATTGATTTTTGCCAGTGCCGTATATGTTTTTTTCACGAATTTGTTGCCTGGGATCACATTTGCCAGTGATCTATATGTCCTGACGGGCAAGAACTGGGGGACCATTGAGGTTGTTTTCAGTACAGGGCTTTGTGGGTTTATCTTTTCCTTGTAAGCCTCTGTTGATTTGACATTTATGTTACACTGTTTCTGTATATATGTATACATCTTCCTAAACCGAGTCTGACACCATAGACAGAGTCTCCATTCAACCATTGACGATTTTGGGAGTTACTGGACCTTTCTCGGTTCTGGCAGAGAATATATACAGCTTGTGCCATGATTCGTTCAACGTGAGACTGGGAACTCCTAGCTTCGTGCTTCGCTTATGTTGACTCTCGACAGATTCCCTTCCTGCCATTTATGGCCTGGTCGTTGATCCATGCTGCTTGGATGCACTACATATTGGCCATCATCAACGCTCATGACTGGACAATGCGCTATGTGACCACGTTTGCTACTGAGATCTTCTCTCTTCTGAACAGTATTATCTATTTTCATAAGGCGATCCAAGAGCTTCAGAGAGCACACGAAGATCTCTCGTTTGCAGCGTTTCTCTACGCTGTCATCGGTGCCGTGGGGACCATGCTTCTTGCTATCTTCCTTTCAACAGCTGAAAGTTGGCGACCTCTGTTCCACCGTTACATCCGACTTGGCTTGACAGAGTACGCTGCTGCAATATCTATCATAATCTTCATCGGCTTGCCTTACGTTGGTGAACTCTCCCACCTTGACAAGATGACCCTTCCAGTAAGCACGTCCTTTAAGCCAACATCACCAGATCGTGATACCTTTTTTGTTCGATTCTGGGAACTGCCTGTCGCATGGATATTTGGGGCTATGATCCCTGGGATTATCATTACCATGCTTTTCTTCTTTGACCACGAAGTCAGTTCTATTATCTGTACAATTGACCGGTATGGAACGAAGAAGCCTGGTGGATTTGCGTGGGATATCGTTCTGCTAGGCACTACGACAGCCGTATGTGGGATTCTCGGGATACCGCCAGCGAACGGATTGTTACCACAAGCTCCTTTGCATTCCGAGTCGCTGATGCACAACGAGCAGGAACAGGTTACCGTTTTCGTGGACGGAGAGGAAAAGGTAGAAACTCGTGAAGTCAGACGTGTCTATGAGCAAAGGTGGTCGGCCTTTCTTCATTCCGGAGCTATTTTACTGTTCGTCAGTCCCCCTTTCATGAAGGTCCTTGGCTTGACTCCCACGAGTGTTCTTGCCGGGTTGTTCCTCTTCATGGGCGAGCAAAGCTTATCAGTAAAGTGGGTGAATTTCCACAGCAACGAGTAGTATATCATGAATGATCAACTGACTGACAATTAACCAAAGCCCTATTTTATATCGAACGTTCTACCTTCTCACTCCACCGTCCGAACTCCCACCTCTACCCCCATCCCTCTACAATGGAGATCCTGCAGACACGTCCACGGAAAACAATACGTCATCACGAAAGAAACCCTTATATCTCCCCATCCACTTCTACACCCTTCTGCAGATAGTTCTCACGATAGCTATTTTCATCCTAACCCTAACCAAAGGTGCACCGGCATTCCCAGTTCTGATCATTGCCCTGGTACCATTTCGACTATTACTCATGAAACGCTGGTGGCCCCGTGAGGTCCTCAGATTCGTTGACGCCTGGGCTTGTCGCGAGGGTACTCCGGAAGATGACGAGGATGCCAGATCAGGAGTGGCTGAGGAGACCAGGGAAGCAGGTGCCAACGCTAATCATGGTCGGAGAAGCGATGATAGCGCCTTCTGTCCCAATTTGGATGGAATTGTTGATAAGTCTGGTGTTGTTGTTCATGGAGAATCGTCTAGAGTGACAAGACGTGATGAGATATGGCCTGTGGATGAAACGGATTGGATCGAACTCGAAGTTCTCGAGAATGTAGATGAGGAATTTGGAAGGAGGGGTGTCAATAGCAGGGCTTCATGAGTAGTAGCTCAGCCGTGAATAATATTGTCTCTTTCTTCTATATATACTAATATATAGAGCATCGAGTCCATATATATCAATCAACACGAAGAGTTCCCTGAGGGGTATCATTCAAATAAGTTGATGCCCTTTGCGCCTGATCACATAAAACTCCTATTCCCTCCAGATATGATGAACCCAAGGCAGAACACATATCGTTCTTAATAAATTACCCAAGACAGAAAAATCCCTAAAACACTGCATTTTCCAACACTTCCCCAGCCTATGCCCTCCATCCCTGCACAAACTCATGAAGACGGTCGATAACAACCCCAAAAATAGCATTCACGCTATCACTGATGAGCTGCTCAAAATGCCTTATAGCCTCTTCTTCATTCATCTCTAGATGGAAGCGCTCTTTCACTTTCAGAACCGCCTTGTCAGGCTCAACCCGGATGTCAGGGATATTGGCATCCACCATGAGGCTGAACAGGTTGAGAATAAGATTTGCACTCTTGCGTAGGGTGGTGTACGCGGTGAAACAATACTGCTTGAACTGCAGGTAGTGGGAAGATGTCGTGCCACCCATGCCCTCAACCATTTCCTTGCAGAGTTTCATCATAGGCGCGAAGGGCTTCGGGTCGCGACCCAGAATGAATCCGAAATCGGCGTGGAAGAAATGGCCATCTGGTGCGAGGAGGAGGTTCTCCAGATGGCGGTCACCGACACCAAGGAGGTACGTGATGACGCAATAGCCGGCGCAAGATTTGATGTAGGTGTCCATTGCCTCTTTACGGACGCCCAATGGTTCGTTCTCATCCGGGTTGTTGGCTTTGAGGTAGGCAAGGACGGATTTGTATTTTGCAGACGCAGCAGATAGGGATGTGGAGGGGATGAATTGTACAGCACCAGCCGTGGAGCTGGTGGCGATAATCCTATAGGGGGTGAGCTTGAGGTCGAGATTCTCCTTCTGGAGGAGCCGGTCCATCAAGATGATGATCTGAATCACGAGTTGGTCTTGGCGGAGGTCGTCGCCGACTTTGAAAAGAATTGGATATTTCCGGCCCTCGGATGTTTTGAAAGTAATGTGTAGCGGGGATAGTGAAGATTTAAAGACATTGGACTCGTCGGGGAAGCAACCGGTAATTGATACCTCTGGGTCCAAAGGGAGAGGCAAGGGAGGATCAATATTGATAAGCTCATTCTTGGGGTCTTTCAGACACCTCTTTAGCTTCTCAATCTTGTGTATCCGGTTCTCTCGAGAGAAGCGGATGTCCTTCGCAATTTTTGTGAGCACCGTTACCAATTCACCTTGGCGCAACAAGGTCTTCCTGTGTTCTGCGTGAATTCGCTCTAGTTCGGCCATGAAATAAAATTCCACCCGAGCGAAAAGCCGCCGCTGGGCAGATAATGTTCCAGGGGTATCATCACATTCAACAATAAGATACCAATGTAGATAACTCCCAAGTTTGAAATTGTTGGCAGCGCGGGACACCAAAAAACTTGCCAAAGACGAATCATAGCCTGCGTCCTCGGTGTTCTCAGCAGGACTGTTTTCGTACTTCAATGCTTGGACTAGTTGTAGCAGATAAAGAAGAAGCTCTTCGTCGTCTGCCTTTCGGAGTCTGTCAACAGCATATGACCGGACCGCAGCATTGTCGAAAGTAGGACCCAAAAGTTCCAAAGCATCGTCAACGTCGATTTCCGTCCACTTAGGGAGGATATCCACAGCTTGGCGAGCTTCACCTACATCATGCCAGTTGACAGACTTGACAAACTTTGTTAGCGCTCTCTTCTCACGAGTAAGATAGTACCTGAATCTCCAGACGAGATCCTTTTCTTCGGCACTTAGATCTTGTGTGGGTTCGTAAGACAGTATATTATTGAGCTCATCACGGTTTTTGGGATTCGGTTTCAGATCACGGTCCATTATGCCAGTACGATGACTGCGGATCAATCTTCTGTGCTTGTCCTCACATGGATTTCCTGTCTGGCCGACCTCAGGATCGTAGATCCTAATAACACTGTCCCCGTTACCACCTTCGATTCCAGGTCCAAAACGAACTTCCGGAATAGGCTTCAGTGCCGAATTTGGATTTCTAGGTGCATTTTGAGGATGTGATGAGACGGGGGTGGGAGGATAGTCATGATCGGCCCAGACGATTGGGTGGTCGAACCGTGGGAACTCGACATAGAGAACGAAGTTTTCATTGTCTAAGCTTTCCCTGTCTGGCTGCTCTTCGTCAGAACCATCGCTATGCGCAGGTTTTTGTTTCAACCGGATTGCACGCTTCCTTGCGGCATCTTCAGCGGCTAGCTTGAGTTTTTCCAACTGACGGAAAACCATCTGGTCTAACCAATCAATTCGTGGAATTTCTCCCATCTCATGTTTTTTAATGAGTACTTCCACTCTTTCCAATTCCAGTTCTTCTGCGGAAGGGCCTAGTGGGTCAGGAATATCGTCTTTGCGTCGCTTCGTGGGTGAGGTTGAAGGCGTAGTTGTAGAAGAAAAGCCATCTGCAGCTTTCCCACGGTATACTTTGCATTTCTGCCTTCCCGTCCTCAGCTTTCCTTCCGCATCAAATAATGAAATTGTTGTGCCACCAAACGGAATGTAATGGCCATGCGCCCCTTTGCCAGCGAAGGGGGACAGATCCCAGATAGTAATGGCCAGTTGACATTTCAACGGGGCATCTTTAATGGACATAGGCAACTGTAACCACTCATTCCACGTCCGCGAGGTCTTGAACGCTTTGTATGATGTCTGTACGGGCACACCCAGTGGCTTGCAGTCAGACCACAGCTGTACTGTTATCAACAGATCGGAAAGGGGATTCTGAGAGGAGCCAATATGCCGCAGTTCTGGATGCTTTAGGAGGACTGAAAATGGGTACTGTTTCTGTTTTCCTTCTAGGGCTCCACTGTGAACGTGTCAGTGCGAAGTCCCGAAGTCCCTTCCTCTGGGACGTCAGAAAGGCACACGTACATTTTGATATGGATTGGGAAGTTCGCTTGAGTGGACACTGCAAAAGTAAATGCCTCCATAATCCAGGCATTAGCTGCACAGTCTTTTTGAATAAGCCAGTTGCCTGTGCAAGTGAAGGAGAGGTGCAATAGGGACGTCCCATGGAAGACGTTTGGAGTAGCTGTCCAGAGCAGTATCTCGATTTGAGCTTCTTATTGGCCAGGTATGCATGGTGGGGCTGACAGTTACGTTTGTCACGTGGACAGTCGCGTCAGGCGCATTTCCACAAGCGCGAAGCGCGACTTTCCCCTTTCAGCATGGAAGGATTCCAGGCATATCTCTCTTTTCTACTAATTGTGTTCTGTTCCTCGTATTTGCTGTCGCATTTACGTCGCTTTGCTAAGTCATTTGCTTTGCATTCAATAGAATAGCTGTCGTTTTCTTCAGTCTATGCATTCGCTCTAACACGGCGCATGCGACCTCTTTGTTCGCGGTATCATTAAAAATTGCCCACCATTAGACGACCGACATGCCAAGCACCCAGCCTCTCCGCCATGAGAATAGTACCCCGGTCTATAGAGAAAGCGAGGAACCTTCGAGCATACCTTCATCAGCCAATTCCGTCTCCGATAAAGAAAACCATCTAGCAGATTCTGTTCGCGCCAGGAAGAGCATTCAAACTCAGGCTATATCCTCTTCGGGAGCGCACATGTCATCATCAAACTCATCGGGAAACAAGCGGCAAAGATTAATGAATAGAGGATCAAATATTCGGGATATTTCACAATCTACACCCCGTGGATCACAACGAATGAATGAGAAAGATGTCTATGATCCAGACCAGGATACCGAAGAGCGGAGAAGAGTCCGCAAAGGACTCAGAGATCTTACAAGAGAGCTATATGGTATGGGCTTTCTTCTCACCCAGACGGCTGGGATATATTATTTTCTAACTCGGCGTGTGTAGACTCCCGCAGTGAGTATTTGCAGGCCGGGAACAATGGCTTATACAGGACCGTCAGAAAGGCAAATGAGTACTTCAACTTTGTCAAGCAGACTTCAGATGCAACTATCGATTCACGCCTCTTGGTCAACGCAGCCGATATGTCCTACAAGAAAACCGCGCAATTGGCTCTCGGTGATTCCGCCGCGGGAATTGACGTGGATGAGTTTGTCTCTAAGTGTATATCGTACATGAGGCGTGGAGTGGAAGACCCACAAGCGTTACCGGTAATGGGTACCCAACATCATCGCCGGAGTACTAATTTGATCCCTACATCGCATGAGAACGCCGAAGATAGCGACGAGGATGCGGGCGATGCGATGAATTGGGATTGGCTCGGTCGTACAGCTTGTTTCCGTCACAATTCTCGTCCATCAGTTTCTGGCTTCCTCTTAGGGCCATTGTCAGTACAAAAGCGCAGCCGTCAGCAGTCGCAGCGGCGAGCAAGAGAACGCATCGACCCTTCTCGAGCAGTTGCTCCACAGGAATTGGAGGAGAAAGATCTTGATCGGCAAGAGACCTCAAACCTTACTAGCATGTGCTCAAGTATAAACAAACTTTTGGCAAGAACGCAACGTGTGGCCGAGGAGAGAGTGAACGAGGAACTCTCCGGAATACCACAAGAGGATATAACCGACGAGTTGTTGCACGAGGTGATGGATAAATACCGTATCGCTGATGATGGCGGTGTGCCTCTTTTCCATTTCTGCATCAATCCAAGGTCTTTCGGACAGAGCGTGGAGAATCTGTTCTATATCAGTTTCTTGGTCAGAGATGGCACTGTTGGAATCTCCACTGACAGTAAAGAGTTGCCGACGTTGCGTAAGTTCTCTTTCACTTCTCCATATTGGTTACAACGCCAGGCTAATGGTGGTGGTGACGATGGTTAGATGCAGCCAAGCCCTATGCGCCAAGCGAAGCCCGGAGAAAAGGGATACAAAAACACCAAGCGGTTTTTAGCCTGGACTTCGACACTTGGAGGGATTTGATTGAAATATACGGCATCAAGGAGTCTATAATCCCCCACCGTGAAGAGCAACCGCAAATAAACAGGGCGCAGGGCTGGTACAGTTGATTCTTTGCGCAAGTAGTTGCCTTGCATATCAGGTTATAATGTCCAATGTTCCTTTCTGTTTGGTGAGCGACTTTCTCTTACGATAATTGTGGTTTTGGTTGATACCCTGCTATTATGGAATGTTCTTGCTTTTAGGATGTGTTTTGCTGGATAGCTTCTCCTTTTTCATAGGCATTCTGGAATATGTCTTAATACATGAGCATTTTAATGTTATACAGACATGCGCTGTACAAAATTGTTCATCACAAGATTATTAATAATGATCTATCTTGTTCAAGATCTAGGCCGAAGATTCTTAGATAATCATGTCGAAATGCGACGTCATCGCCTGCTTACCAGAAGCTCTCCAATTCTATGCGTCGCTGATCAGTTGATGGCTATCCAGAGCAGTGGAGACGCTTCAGGGGCTCCTCTAACATAAATAGGCAGATTTATTCATGGTTCAGCTCTCTGGAATTCCCTGTTCTCATCCTCATTGCACAACTCGTTCTCTAAATTGAAGCGCGACCCGGGAGAAACAGTTCCCTGGCGGTTTACCAAGGGCTCAGTGCTCTCTTCTTTGCTTGACAGACGGAAAAACTCCAAAATGCCTCCGCTCTTCCCATCAAACCCATCAGAAGTGATGGTGATCCGCTATATCACTCCCGATATTGTCACGTTGAGCTTACCATTCTCGCGATTCGGGTTTATCAAATTCGGTGGACGAGGAACTTTAGGTAGGGTTGTCGCCCATTTCTACTATTCACATGGGCAACATGAAATGTCATGCTAATTCTGGCACTTGTGGAATAGTTAAATTGACGTCAGGGTCGCTCGCTGTATTCTCCCCTGTCACTCTAACACCAGAGGTCCGGGATACCATTAGTTCTCTCGGCGGCAATGTCAAATACATCGCCGCTCCGGATATGACACACCATCTTAACCTGACATCGTGGAAGAAAGCATTCCCCGATGCCCACATCATAGCACCCGAAGGCCTTTGGGAGAAGCGTCAATCGAACCCCGAGTTCAAAGATACACCTTTTCGCCATATCTTCACCAAAAAGCAATACGGCCAGCAAAAAGTCTCGGACGAGTTCGACTCGGATTTTGAGACCGAGTATGTCTATGGGCATAGCTCACGGGAACTGGTTTTCTTCCACAAGCCGTCTCGCACTGTCATCGAGGCGGATCTCCTGTTTAACCTCCCCGCAAAAGAACAGTATTCGAGAACCTCGGAAGCTGCCTCAGGGATCTTTGATAGAATTTTTGCTCCCTTGATGTCGGCCGCACCACCTGCTACCTGGCAAAAGCGGTTCTCGTGGTATCTCCTTTCCGGCGCGGATCGGAAAGCGTTTGGGGAGTCGATGAGGAGGATCGATAAGTGGGATTTCGATCGGATTATTCCATGTCATGGAGATGTAATCGAGACGGGAGCCAAGGGTGTTTTCAGGAATATTATGGGTTGGTTCTTGGACGATACTAAGAAAGGGGTATAAGCATCGATATATGCGGCAGTTGGTGCCGGCGTTGGTTTCTGGACGCTTTCTGTTCTTTTACTAATTATTTACTCTGAATATTGGAGATGTTTTATTATGTGTCTACAACTTTCCCGATGAATCCCTCAGGCTCTATATTAATATAGATTTCCCAGCAAGCCATGTCAAAGAGCGACTTCGAATGCACGAGCTCCTAGTAGTTCTGGTCTATCATACAACTGCCACAATGCAACGACATAAAACCCTTTCAGAAAATTAAAAGGGACACGATGAACACATATCTTCAGACCGATATGTTGTCGTCCTCGTCAAAATAGTCTTTGACAGAAGTCACTATCTCCTCCCTTTTCACAACGAGGAAATCGCGCAGAACGCTTTCATATCTGATTCGATTGTGACACAGGAAAGCTGCCTGGATAAGATTACACGGAGCCAGTTCGGCATTTTGTTTCGCGGCACGACGATTGTATTGCCTAGGTGTTGATGAGACGAGGCAACCGGGTTTGGTTTGTCACAATGCAATCTCAACATCAACCTGCCCGCGCAAAGTGTCGCTGCATGTAATTTGTAATAACTAGATTTTGCCATTCTCACAGGGGCGGAATTGTGACACGAAGAAATATTCCATTCAATCTCATACAATATAGGCTTCAAACATCCTACACTATCATAGAGCCTCCTGTACAGCCTGCTATAATAGACTACTGGATGACTAGTACTACGAATAGATGAAGAAGAAGCAACATATGCTATTCAGTACTATTTAAGCGAATACCAGACATGGGAGAAGAAAGGAAAAGGAAGGACTGATGGACGCGGGAATGCAGTATGTGTTGGTGGTTCCCATGGCTCAGCTCCTTCCTAGTAAGCATAGTGTAGATAACTAGCTAGAACACCAAATTCAGCAAGTTCAACCGCCATCAACATCCCATAATGGCGCCCAGGTCCAGCTAGATCACATCCAGGGCACATGACACTGCTTGTTTAAATACTGCATCTACGCGCTTCAGTCCTTCTTCCTTTCGCTTTTCTCCTCTCATGTCTGGTATCGTTGAAAATAGCACCGAATAGCATATGTTGCTTCTTCTTCATCTATCCGTAGTACTGGTCATCACACCATATATATTATCTATAACTGCTGGGAGGCTATGCTACAATTACAGTGTTCCTTCTCCCAAATGGGGCCTGCATTACCAAGCTTGCCTTCCTCAGCGCTGCTCGCAGTGAAGACCTTGCCATCTTCCAAGAATTTCTCAACTATGGCTGGGATATCAACTCAACTGAGTTTGGAGAGCCAGCACTAAGGTATCGATTCTTGCCATGCTGTCCCCTGATTTTAGTTCCTGACGCTATTTTTGATAGACTTATAGTAGGTAATGAGACCTGCGTCGTTGGTTCTTGGAGCATGGTGCCGATCCCAACCAACCACATGATAGAGGTTCTACCCCTCTTGCTACTGCATCACTTGAACCATCCATCACCACTCTAGAGCGTTATTGAATGCCACCAGCCGTCGTGTAATGGTGGAGTTCCGGTCATGAGATACCTGGTTGATCAGGGCATAGATATTAGCGCACATTTGGGGCCAGGCGTAGCTTCTATTGTTTTGCAGTCAAATTTCTCTTCTCTTTGCTTTCTACTTCTTTTCATCCCTCCCTCACGCAGCTCACCTCTACACTGTGCTGCTTCTGTGGCAGATCCGGATCGAGTCTAACCTCTGTTAGACAAGGGGGCAGACAGTCAATTAGAAATCTCCTGGGTCAAACGCCAGCTGATTTTGTAAAATCGAGAATGAAAGTTTATGAGATGCTTTCAGAACAGCCCTATTGTTCATGCTCCGTAATGGCATGGGATGGACCAGTGGACAAGGCAGAGATCATACTCTCTTAAGAGTGTGGGCCTGTATGCACAGCTGGGAGGGGAGAGGAGATGGCACGCTACGTTACGGAACATAGACTCTACGAAGGAACATTCATTGAGACGAATTCAAGCTACATTCTTTGGGCTCTACAATTGAGCTACATACAGGGCATGAGACCCTACGTTTCATCTTCTTCTCTTGCTTGCTCAGTAACCCCCCATATTGGCCTCTGGTAACAGGGTAACTTCATGCCACGTTGTTGTTGCCTGCAGCCCTGGGATCCCTGAATTGTCATCCTGAAATCCAGTGCTCGTGCTGTTGGAGGAAATTTATAAAATTTATACGAATTTGAATTTCTCCTTTGGGCCTCTAACTGGACTTACGTATATACGAAACATGCAGTGTTCTCCCGAGATGCAGCATATCCCTTGGAGGATTACCTGTCTAGGCAGGTATCAACAGTTCCTTTTGACCTTTCGACAACGTTTCTACATTCTATCTTCTATCAGAGGCAGCATAGTATTGGAGATGGGTGGCTGGTAGCCCTCGTGCAGTCGCCAGCATTTTATAAAGGCCACACTTGCTCAGGCTGTGCGAGCAAAAGGAATCAAGGGCTTAGCACTAAAACACGTAAAAGACAGCACTGCCTCGAGAAAATCCGAAACGAGAGGAACTATGGAAGCACCGCATCCAGCAAAGCTCAGCTGTCCTACCATGACGTGGTAACCGGAACAGCGTGTCAAGAGATTTCGAAAAAGACTATGTTTGTACGAGCGTACTACCCATTTGAATCTCGACTGGCGATTGATCGGGCATTCCTGGAACCTCGGCATCAGACTTATTGCTGCTTATGAGGTCACAGTTGGGGTCTCATGCCGTTGTTTGCCTTAGTTCTCGTTATTTCCCCTCCCATCTTCTTTGTTTCGGGAGAGAGTCTCTCTCCCTCTCTCTGCATGTGTGGCAGAGCCGCACAAGGTGATCGATCGTCTGACATTCGTGCAACATGAAAACAATGACTTCATCAGGAAATATAGGAAGGCTATGAGAAACTGCTCTTGGACGGAGCTGGTTCCGGAGGGTTCTGCCTTTTTAAGAACTAGCCTATGTATCCCTTACCCGACTCCTCAGTCTCGATTTCTCCCTTACTAGAGCAATTGCACTCTAATAAATCGGTCTCGACAATGCCACCCCTCGCACACCTCTTGTCTGCTTTCCTCCGCATTGCGGAGATCTCGTTCGCTGCTGTATGTTGTATATAATATAGGGAGGAGAGAAAGAAGACCCGCTCAACTAACCACCTCCAGATCGTCGCTGGAATAATCGGCAATTTCCTGTATGAATTCGAACTTTTCTCAGGCGATTGGATCGATGCACGCTGGATCTATACGGAGGTAATCGCGGGCATATCCATCGTGCTGGGTCTGATATTGGTGATACCTTTTGCGACGAGCTTCTTTGCGTGGCCTCGTATGTTTTCCCATGAGCCGCCGTTAAAGAGTTATTTTATATATTGACGTTCATTCCCTGGGGCATAGTCGACATCCTCATAGCCCTCTCCTGGTTCGCTGCCTTTGGGATCCTCGTCGACGGTGCCGAGAGACTCGATTGCGACGGGAATCCGTACTGGGTGATCTTCCTGGGAGACTCGTTTTGCGATGAATGGAAGGCTGCTGAGGCCTTTTGCTTCTTGTCTGGAGTTGCTTGGATAGTTTCCGGTTTTGTGGTGAGTGCTCATAGTTGTCTCTGCCGTTCGACTCGATTCGCTACTTGAATCCCTATTTACTAGTAGTTCATACAGGGGGTTTGGTACACCTACCTTCTCCATGAAGCCGTCGCTGCAAGAGGGTATGTAATGCCAATCTATCACACGACTCGTTGCCTCAGTTGTTCCGTATGTTTTTAAATCCATGCTAATAAAACTTATTGAATTTAGGTCTCGTCGCCGCTGGGCCAGTCGATCACTGGTCTAGTGGTCTCGGACAAAATATGACAGTATCCTCGTATCTGGGGACTTCACCACGGCAGGGAAGTTATGTTTACGGCCTGCTGATGTAGCTTTCGTCTAATATATCTATCTTGCATGGCTTTCTATATATGTGACTATGCAGCACAGTTGGTTGGGCTTTACCAACAGCTCTGGATATTATGTGAAACCAGCAATGCAGAAAATCAATGCTTGAAGGAAGCAGTGAAGCATCTAGAGAGCTCCAATACGCGACTCCGGGAGGAGAATTATCAGATGGCACGCGCCAATGCCAACCAGGGGGTGCTCTTGCGCTACTCTATAGAGGGCATTTCAGCATATCCGGGATGGAATTTTGGAGATTTTCAAACACCTGAAGAACTCTCGGCAGAAGGGATCAAATACCACATCAGTGGGCAGATTAGTTGTGGAGCAGAAGGATGACAGTGCATGAAATTGAAGTAGTCAAACGTGTATTGTATTACTCTATCATGTTGCCAGGTTGAATATCTATAGGTCAAATCAGTCCAATTGAACGAGAGCAGGCATACTATATTGGATTAGACTGCTCTTAAATGTTCCAGTTGATATGTAGCTGCTTCTTGTAATTGAGAACTAGATCTAGCTGCTGCCATATATGGTTTCAGGGTCGGTTTCCACGGCCTATGTGCCAGATAAATATTAGTTAATAAAGAATTACCAAACCAGCCTTTAAGCATCATATAGTCAATAACATAAGTGACCACATGGATGCCACTTTGAGGATTCTCATTGTCAGTTGTCTTTAAAAGAAAGGGGGTATCAGATAGTTACACTGGCTTCCATTCTTACTCTCACCTTCTTTCTTTCAGTCATATCCATTTTTTAAATACGTTGTTAATGCATGGATTCTTTTGCGCTGTGTCAATATTTGCCAAAGGATGATACCTCACAATCACCTTACACAGGATGATCCAATAAAAACTACACAGAAAAAGTTCTTAGGATGTATGGTTGGGCAAGTTTACTGGGAACTTATTCACATGTGTTTCTCATTCAGTTGGACATAGGGAGTCTCTGTTGGTGAATAATAGGTACTGTATTGACCAGAATAGAGCACTGCAGAAGATCAGAACTTCTATTACAACTATGCACCACATACATTACATCAACATTTTAAGTTGCCATAGAGACCAACAGCGCAGTAAATGATGAGCAATATCACAATGTGCCCCTTTACCAGTACATCTTTGTTCCAGGATACCAATGAGGAGGCGGATTGAGTTATCTAGATAGAGTTCTAGTCCAGATATTGGTAGAATGAGAGCAAAAGGGACCAGGAAACGAATTTAGCGGAGAAAAGATGAAGTTAGAAGAAAACTGCGGTTTATCAGTCCTGAAATCAAAATTGGTGGTCCAGCCAAGCAGGTAAGTATGCTCCTAGGTGGACAGGCCAAGGAAATAGCAGGTTGCATCTTGTTGATACTGCAAGATTGAGGAAACTAGAGGCTTGTAAGTCAGATCACTCTCCTCCACAGGCATTGCTGTGAAACTATGTCTCTGTGAAGATTCTGTGTGACCCAATCATGGTGGAATGCTCTGACACCCGGCAGCTTTGATAGAATAGCATAAACAACCACCAAGTTGTATTCCTTACTCTATCGATGTTTATCTTCAGGTCCATCAACATCGAATGAGTCAAGCAATGATCTGACAATGACCTGGATGTTTATGTGAGGCTCCTTCCATGCGTCTGCATATGTTGAGCTCGTCATCCAGTTTCTGCCCCAGTAATGCAGACTTGACGAAGCTCTTGAGGGTGACATAACGACAGCAGCTGCACTTTCAGTTGGTGGATGAGTAGAGTCAAGATAACCATAAACACGGATTTCATGGGCGTCTCACTCCATATCCAGTGCAAGCCACGCAGTTGAGCTAGCTCCAAATCCTGGCTTCCCCATAATTTGATATCGGTTCTTAGGGATTTCTCCTATCTGAGCAGGGTAGTACGGAGCTGAAACATAACCTGGGATGGGTCTCCTCTTCAAATGCCTGGCTTGCAGGTATCCGGACGAAGTTCGGATTCGAGAAATTAAGTGGCGTCCACCTTCGTCTGAACAGGGGTAAGGACCGTAAAAAAGATGCCAACATCTCTGAGATGAGGGGAAGCAGGTTTATTGCAGAGGGCTATGGAAAAACTTCAGAGTGTGGATGCTGGGAATATTGAGACAACAATAGATGGTGGAGGGGCATGTAGAGAGAGACGGAGACCAGCAGATCAGGTGATTAATATTCACGAACGCAGATTTTTATTTTCAACCTTTGACGAAATGGCTAGGATATAACAAGGAATTATTCCCGCGACTTTGGTTGGAGCCGTTGAGCGCTATGAGGGGAATGGTGCCGTCAGGGTATATCTTCCATGGGCTTTTTAAGTAGGCTGTCACTAATTATTTCTCAGAAAGTCGGGCCAATTGAGTCTATCAAAATCTTGTAAATACTGAAGTATGTTTTCTCTCCCATTTTGAATACCCTGCTTACGAATGATTCCTAATAGGCATCGCCACGATGGCTCTAGCCCTGTACACCAATCTTATTTTAACCGCAACGACAAGGCGTTGATCATCAGCGCTCGAATTACCCCAGCTGCGGTAGTGAAACTCGCACCCATCACATTTATATAGATGGTACGAGTACCATCAAGAAGGGAGATACTCGCGAGTATTCAACGTCTTCCACGTGGAGGGCTTGATCAGACCCTATGTCCGATTTTTCGCATGTCTCATGAGTCTGCCTCTTGGGACATGCTTAGATTTGCTGGCATGAAGAGAGAAACATGCGAACTACAAATCCTGAGCAATATATTGGCGTACTATTGAGTGACAGTGTGATGCTATGGTATGACCCAATAGTCATTATCATGACTCAAACATATATTGTATTTTTGTTCATCTTTCGTGTGACCTGTGAAGACACAAAGTTCTGCCATCTTAGTGCCTGGACAAATCGTAAATTTGAGCAGTCTCACTTCTTTCAATTCTTCTTCAGCCGTAGTTTCTTTAATGCCAATTAGTCTGCATTTCATCGCCTTCAAATTAAGTTACCCAACTATAGTCCCAAGAATTATTAGCTTCTCCCAGAGACCATTCAGAAACAGCTCCTACATCTCCCAAGGTCTGATTCTCCAATTCCAGGAGCCCTTGTGTCTCGTAGGTTGAATCGGAAGAGTGCTCGATGTTGCCTGTATTGAAAGAACTGGTAGTTTCGTAACCTCATATTTTCATGTTCAATTAATTCACATCCAGTCCTTTAGTTCTCGAACTCCGCAAGCCCTTTCATAGGATGAGTGAGAGGTCACGACTTGTATATTTTGGGCATAGTCTTGCAGACCACGAGAATGTACAGATGAGAAGACGGGCGACGTAAGGCATGGAGGAACCTCATTTCATCAGGTTTGTCAATTTCGGCTTCATTGACGATATGTGTGAAATGCCTATTTGAAGTCTTATTCGGGCGCTATACCAGTTCTATCTATAACCATGTATCATTTGGCTTGTTTTGTCTTTCCAAATTTGGAGAATAGAAGGACATGACATCAATACTCTTTCTTTGCCTTCATTAAAGGACAATATCATAACTATTACATGCTTGACAATGTGAAAAGCTAGTGGACAGGACTTTGGATGCCTTTTTTCTTCTGAATAACTGGGCAAAAAATAGCCAAGGTTGTAAACGTGCAAACAGTCGTTAAAATAAACCCAATGCGCCAAGCATTTCTTAAATGGCGCCAGTCCTGATTAATTAATAAGCGCTACTCGTGCCGTTCGCTTGGCGCTCCGGCTACAACGGCGGTTAACGCCGGGTAATGGTCAATTAGAAACACCACGTACAAATTACGCGCCAACCCCATGCTCCTTCGTGTTGTGGAATATGCATGTAACTCAGGGAAGAAGGGCAGAATGAAGCTGTATCGACTACACGTACGTAGCCTACTAAGGAACGGATGCCATTCAGATCTTGTCTCTTTATCTTTTCTTGCTCTCTGTACATACAATCAGGGGCTCGGATTCTCAGGGGTTGGAGAGGGAGCCAAGCCGCCATACCACGTGGCCTTTTCCATATCACATATAGTTGTAGTACACCTACAGGAAAAAGTACTGGTGTTGCCGCACGGGTTACCGTGGTTGATCACCTGACACCCAAATCCAACCACATACAAATGATATTATATAGAATTCCTTTAGTGTTTTGATATTGGGGCTCTAACAAAGCTATATATGTATTTTATCTACCAGCCTCCGATATTCTGATATACCCTTCACCCCTGATGATAACTTAAAACCCCTAACTGTATAGAGCCAGTGTTATGTTCCATCCGTAGTCTGTTCATATAGCACCATTCTATTGTTGACTATCAAACTCGCTCTTCAGATTAATATTTAACAGATAATGTCTATTCTGGTGACTATTGTTGTTACTGGCACATGGCTATTGTCATATTTTGGAGATTTCTGGGGAACCAAGAAGAATAAACAGACCCCCGTTCAGTAACCACACCAATTGTCCAATACTCTATTATTAGTTACTGGTGAATGCTCATTATACATGCATATAATTAACACAATGTCCCACACGGGAGTAATACGCTGTACTGAAGATGTACCATATAAACAATCACTATTGCAGCTGAAGGGTAAAATCCGGAAACTCAACGTCGAACAGATTGCCAAAACCAGCCAGCACTTCCCCACCCACGGGAGCTGGAAATTCCGGAACTGGATAGAGGAGGTTTTGTTCAATAATTCGATTGGGATCGTTTACAAGGCTGCCATTGTGGTTTATTGGATTTGGATTTCCATTTGGTACTTGGCTGGTTTGCTATTGATGCTGTTAGCTGAAATAGCCATGAAGTAGTTCATTCAAGTCCGGTAGGAAGCTTACAGTCATTTGCCCGGAAAGGTAACCATGCTCTTGGGAGTTCCCAGCCGAAGGAAGGTACTGGCCTTGATCCACGTTTTGCCTTGCGTTGTTATTATCCCTCGTATGAACTGTGTGATCTGTACCGTAACCCTGGTCTCTTTTATGTAGCTCGTCTCGCACGAAATGGTGCGCAAGGTGGGCAAAATCAGAGAGAATAGAGCAGGGTAAGGAACCTCTCGTTGCATAATCAAGACGACTGAAGTGGCCAACCGCGACGCCCAGAAGCGCCAAGTTGGTACTGGTTTCAGGATGGAAAGGATTATGAATGACAAAGTCGAATAAGATAAACAATGCAGATAGTGGAATGATGCCTAACATCCTATTTCCCAGCAGAGAAAATAAAAGATACTTAGTTGTCAATGCACCCTTCAGGTAGTCCAAAAGCGAATCTTACCATACAGAAGTATATGGCTCCGCGTCGACATATCTCGTTAGATCAATCACCACACGCGCGCTATTCATAAGTCGGACTTTCGCTTCCTCGAGTCGCTGGGTGGATGTGTCGGCGCCGACGTGTAGTGTCAGGCGACACAAAGACATCAGTATGCCGTAGTAAAAGTAATGCCATTTAAGCGTCGTTAGCATATGGTACATGCAAGAGAAGGTCTGGGGTCGAAATGGCTCTCCCGGACGAAATTCCTTGGGGAATGTCTTTCTCCAAGTTTCTAGGTCATCATTGATTTCGTCAATTGCTGCATAGTACTCCTTAGTGGAGTTCATTGTTGCGGTGACAGAAAAGAGCATATCGTATGCCTTGGAGACCAGACGGCTGAATCGGGCGGTTAAGAGAAACCAGTCAATGCCTCCTACACCCGGCGATGGTGTCTCTGGGATGGGGCATCCAATGTCCAAATCGAGAAAGGCCTTTGCAGTCTCTATCAGAAAAATAGGCCGGTTTTAGAAACCAAACTGTTGTAGAGTATCACGTACGGAACCTTTCCCGATAAAGAAGCTTGAGATCTTTTCCAATGAGTAGACGACCCAGAATGTTCTCTGACAAGCAATCTCACTTTCCCCTGCGTAGAGAGCTTTATGATAGCCAAGAGATTGCACCATTCTGGCTGCCTCCGCTGTTAATGTCTCTCCGATCTGGATACAAGACAGATTTAAGGCAAAGATAGACTGGCCATGGATGGTCAGTCACCATGACTGCGCTATTTAATTTGCCAGAGTCTTCGGACTCACCATAGCAGTGATGGCCTGGTTATTGTAAGTGATATAAGTTCCGCAAACAACCATGACGCTCGAGACGTCAAACTTACTTGCACGGTAGTCAAAGTCTCCCTGGGCACAAGAAGATCTAAGAATAGGCCTAAGGAGACCTGGAACAGCTTCCACGCTTCCCCGTCCCCGGGGTCGAAAGAACCCCCTTCGGTGTATTGGCATCCTAGTGCCAAGACGGTATGATAAAGAGCTGAAAAGGGAGGACACGCCTCCAGGTATTGGGGCAAATCGGGTCTGGATGCTTTACATTCAAAATCATTTCGATCAAGGAACGGGTATGTCGGATGAACTTGGTCAAAGTATGCTGGAAAGGGATTCCCCAGTATCAGCGCAAAAGACCTGGTGTAATAGGGAGGGAAGGAAAAGCTAGCAAATCACCTCCGATGTAAGACGCCGTAGCTTCCTTTGATACCTGGATGGGAGAAGACGGCCCCCTAAACTGAATGATCCAGCTCGACGATTTGTTACTGGGATTCATACGTGCGTTTATGTACTCGTCAATCCTTTCGACGACCTCCCGCAGCTTGTCATTCCCAAGACGTATTGACAGAGAGCGAATTCTACTTTCCGAAAAAAAGGCAATATTCGAACTTGCCACTGAAGAAAGCATTAGACAATACGCCACATCAAGACAGGCACTACCTACTAGGTGTATGCGAAGAAGTGCCAATACATACCGTACTTTTCATTGGCCTAGGGTTCGTAAGGGATCAGTCTTATGGTTCTCCAACCAAAACATTAACGTTTGGCAGCAGCACCCTACCTTGAAGAGAGAACCCGCCTGATTTGCCCTTCCCTCAACCCGTGGATCTTCTAGAAGACGATCCACGTAGAGTTTCCGATGCCTGCGATCCGATGCACTGGAATCCCCAGGCCTGAAATCTGTAGGTGGCGTTGAAGAAATGCCAGGCACGGAAGAGGCATCTTCCACAGCAGGTGAGCCACAGGAACTGAGTGCATGGCATACTACATATGTAACGTACCATGCCCTGGAATCATACTTGGCTCCAAGTATTTCAGTTTGCGTCTGGTTTGGCTAAAATGGCATTGGGTGTTGCGTCTCTGACAACAGGAAGTCGTAGTCAATGACAAGACTCCAGAGTAACAATGACCTGCCGATTAAAAACAAAACAAAAGCACAGATCACGTACGACACAATTCCTACAGCTTTGTGAATTGGGTTCGCCAGCTAGATCAAGTAGTAGGTCAGCGGATATGCAGAGCATGAGCAAAGGCCATCCATCTACGTAGCACGTACAGACACAGCGGACTTTGCGTGCCTTGCATTGGTCACAGGACTTGGAGATCCGCGGACGTAGTAGAGCTGTCGAAGGCTGGACCATGGCCAGAATATCAACCGGGATTGCTATTAATATTGCCTGATGGAGACAGAGATCAAGAAGCTGCAGGAAGGAGAGAGGGAGAGCCGAGACGCGAAGTTGCGAGACACAGCATGACTCACGTGCACCGAGGCCCGATCCCAAGGCTCGGGGCTCGGGGCTCGGGGGTCGCATGTTGCCTTGCGCCACGTGCGGAACCGAACTCAGGTGACACAAGGAACGGCGTACAGCGGATGGAGAAAACGGAGAACGGCATCCTTTTCCTACTTCCGGCGACAGACCCGACTCGAATACTCCAGCTCGCCCTGATCGGGTCGTCCCCGGGATCCATGACTTCATCCATTCCATGACCAGGGCTCTGCTGGTAGATACAGTGTACCACACAATGCATGCAGAATCTGCCGAGGGTGATTCGAAGGACAAATAAATGTTGCAATTGGATGCCATGCACGGATTCCCGCTCTGACAATAATGTCTGGGCTGTCGATCGAGATATAATAATAACCCATCCCATCTGGACGCCGAAAGATATACTCTATTAGTAGGACAGCCGAAGACCGAGGAGAACGGCCCGATGCAGATAGTCCCTGTTGCATGGCATTCCGCATAATATATGAGCCTTCCCCTGGCCCTTGTTTCTCCCGATAACTTTTTCTCTCTCCAACCTAAATACCCAATTTTTGACTATGGGAATCGATCGATCCTATGCCCCGAACTGACACTCTGTCATTACTGACACCTGCATTGCAGTGTTTCCCACCGTCGAAGTGCCCATTATTTCGCGTCTCTGAATCTGAGGAACCGATACAGTCGTCTTGAACAGTATAGGTAATGCCGGATTCGCCAGATGAAAAGGCGGCACGGCCTCTAACGCCGAAGACCGTCTGGTCGGCACAGGAGCGAGACCAATTGACCAGGATCGCTACCGATCACTCCTTACGGTACCGGAAATCTCGCGATGTCGATACTGAGTCCAATGCGTCCAATCTGGACCCTACCAGCAGTAGCTTTGACCTTGACCAGTGGATGCGCTACCAGGTCCGGAAGTTCCATGAAGGTGGATATACCCCAAGCAAGACCGGTGTTATCTTCAAAGATCTGTCCGTGCATGGCTCGGGATCGGCCGTCCAGATCCAACAGACTGTCGACTCGGTCATGACGGCTCCTTTCCGCCTGAAAAGTCTCGTATCTAGCAGCAAGACACACAAGACCATCTTGCACAACTTCACCGGGTGTGTAAAGCGCGGTGAAATGCTGCTGGTGTTGGGACGTCCCGGTGCAGGGTGCTCGACATTTCTCAAGTCGATCTCTGCCGACACGCGCGGGTTGACGGTCGACAAATCATCTGAGATCCATTACGATGGGATTCCACAGAAGACCATGGCACGAGAATTCAAGGGTGAAATTTTGTACAACCAGGAGGTTGAGAAGCATTTCCCCCATTTGACCGTCGGGGAGACACTCGGCTTTGCAGCTGCCGCTCGAGCACCACGAAGCCGTGTCGATGGGCAGACGCGCCAGGAGTACATTGACCACGTTCGTAATGTTGTAATGGCCGTGTTTGGACTTTCACATACCGTCAATACAAAGGTCGGTTCGGACTTCGTGCGGGGCGTTAGTGGAGGAGAGCGGAAAAGAGTCTCAATCGCAGAAATGGCCCTGGCCGGTTCTCCTCTTTGCTGTTGGGACAATGCAACGCGTGGATTGGATTCAGCGTCCTCGCTTGACTTCGCGAAAGCCTTGCAGATGAGTTCTCGGATATTTGAATCGACCCATCTTGTTGCTCTCTATCAAGCTTCTCAGAGCATCTACGATCTTTTCGATAAAGTGATAGTGCTATATGAAGGTCGCGAAATATTCTTCGGTTCGACTTTGCGGGCAAAAGCATATTTTGAAGAGATGGGGTGGCATTGTCCGTCTAGGCAGACCACAGGGGACTTCCTGACAAGTCTGACAAACCCTAGTGAACGACAGGCGAAACCAGGTTTCGAAAAGATGGTACCACGTACGGCTGAGGAATTTGAGAAGTACTGGAGGAACAGCCCTGATTTCGAGCAGCTCATGAGCGATATCAGCCAAGTGGAAAAAACGCTGGCGACCAGCAGCAAGACTGAGGAGGTATTCTTTCGAGGTCATCGCGAACGCCAGGCCAAACATACCCGTCCACACAGTGCATATGTGATCAGTGTCCCCATGCAGGTGAGGATCTGTACTGTGAGAGCCTATCAGCGGATTTGGAACGACAGATCTTCCTCTGTGACATTGATCGGAGGCCAAATTGTCATGTCATTGATCATCGCTTCGCTTTTCTATGGTTCGCCCTTTGGGACACAGTCATTCTTTGCCAAGAGCTCAGTGTTGTTCTTCGCTATCCTGCTCAACTCTCTCATTACTGTGACGGAAATCAACACCCTTTACTTTAAACGGCCCATTATTGAGAAGCACGCTTCGTACAGGTTTTACCATCCTTTCTCCGAAGCTCTTGCTGGTGTCGTGAGCGATATACCCATAAAACTCATCTCCGGTGTCATTTTCAATACCACACTCTACTTCCTTGGAGGGCTGCGGTATGAGCCAGGGCCGTTTTTCGTGTTCTTCCTTTTCACATTCATGGCTGTCCTCTGCATGAGCCAAATATTCAGAGCAATCGCGGCGGCTTCAAGGACAATCTCCCAAGCTCTTGCTGTGGCAGGAGTCGTCCTTCTTGCTGTGGTCATTTACACTGGATTCGTGATTCCTAGACCAAATATGCATCCTTGGTTTGGATGGATTTTCTGGATCAATCCTCTGGCATACGCTTATGAGAGTTTGATCGTGAACGAATTCCATGGCCGAGAATTTCCCTGTTCAAATGTGATCCCGAGGTATCCTGTATTCAAAAATGGATCCTACCCCATGTTCATTTGCGGCGAGAAAGGCGCTATAGCAGGGGAGCTGTTTGTAAATGGAGACAGATATTTAAATGACAGCTTCCACTACCAGTTCGAACACATGTGGCGAAATTTCGGTATCCTCTGCGGCTTTCTTGTATTCTTCCTCGGCCTTTACCTGTTGATGTCCGAAATAAACTCATCCAGTGGATCAAGCGCGGAGGCTTTGGTTTACCGTTTTGGTCACGTACCCAAATCTGTTCTGAACGCGATCCGAGAGGGTCGCACGGGGAAATTGACCAAGACTGAAACAGCGCAGGGACCAGATCCTTCGCAAGAACAAGAGGCCGTCTTGCCTGCACAGCACAGCATCTTCTCCTGGCGAAATGTCTGCTTTGACATCGAAATCAAGGGTGAACCTAGACGATTGCTGGATGAGGTCAGCGGATGGGTTCGGCCTGGAACCCTGACAGCTCTGATGGGCGTTTCTGGGGCTGGTAAGACGACTCTCTTAAATGTTCTCGCACAGCGAGCAGATTTCGGTGTGGTTACTGGCGAGATGCTAGTAAACGGCTCGCCCTTAGATCCTAGCTTCCAACGAAAGACTGGCTATGTGCAACAGCAAGATCTCCATCTACATACATCCACGGTTCGGGAGGCCTTGCGTTTCTCTGCGTTACTTCGACAGCCCAAGTCTGTCCCTGTCAAGGAGAAGTACGAATTTGTTGAAAAAGGTATGTTGCGAAGAGCCACAACCAAAACTAGGTAGACAGAACCTCGCTGACATACTTTGTCCAAGTCATTGGTATGCTTAATATGGAGGATTTTGCCGAGGCTGTGGTTGGCATCCCCGGTGAAGGTCTGAACGTTGAACAGCGCAAGCTGTTGACAATTGGCGTTGAACTGGCCGCAAAGCCTGCTCTTCTTTTGTTCCTTGACGAACCAACTTCTGGCCTTGATAGTCAGTCATCGTGGACGATTGTCTCTTTCCTGCGCAGATTAGCGGACAACGGCCAGGCGGTACTGGCGACGATTCATCAGCCCTCAGCAATGCTTTTTCAGCAATTCGACCGTTTGCTATTCCTCGCTAAGGGTGGGAAAACCGTATATTTTGGAGAAATCGGCGAGAATTCTCGTACGCTCCTCGACTACTTTGAGAGGCAGGGGGCCCGGAAATGTGAATCCAACGAGAATCCGGCTGAATATATGCTTGAGCTCGCAGGTGCCGGAGCATCTGGACAGTCAACCATGGACTGGCATGAGCTGTGGAAGAAAAGCCGAGAGGCAAAAGAGATAGACGAGGAGCTGGAACATCTCGTTGAAGCAGGGAGACAAAATAGTTTAACCTCGAATGAGGCAACAGCCCCTGAGAGACCCTCTGAATTTGCAATGCCTTTCTGGCGACAACTTCTCGCTGTGACGATCCGAGTTTTTCAACAGTATTGGCGCACTCCCACCTATATTTATGGGAAGTTTATCCTGGGAGTGGCATCTGCACGTAAGTCATTTTCCCGAAAAGACGAGGTGTTCCATTCGCCTGAGTGTAAATGCTAATTTCTACACTAGTCTTCGTTGGATTCTCATTTTATATCCCTGGGACTTCAATGCAAGGGCTGCAATCCATTATTTTTGCCATATTCATGATCAGCGCCGTTTTCTCTGTGTTGTTTCAACAGATCATGCCACAATTTATCTTCCAACGCGAGCTCTATGAAGTGCGCGAGCGTCCGTCTAAGACATACCATTGGGCTGCATTCATGATTGCCAACATCCTCGTGGAAATCCCCTACCAGATGCTCTTGGGAATCATGGTGTTCGGTGCCTTCACTTATCCTGTGTTTGGCATCATCTCGTCGGAAAATCAAGGTGTGATCCTATTGATTTTCATGCAGTTCTTCGTCTGGGGTTCCACATTCGCCCACGCCGTAGTGGCCGCACTGCCGGACGCGGAAACAGCCAGCCAGATCGCCACACTCATCTTCTACTTGACCCTCGTGTTCAACGGTGTATTGGTCCCGCGTGATTCCCTTCCTGGTTTCTGGAACTTTATGTACCGCGTATCGCCCATGACGTATATCATCAACGCCATCGCTGCCGCCGGTGCCGGTGGTCGACCAGTCCACTGCGCCAAGAACGAGTTGAACATCTTCCAACCCTACCCCAATTTGACCTGCGCTCAATACATGGAGCCTTATTTCAAGGGAGCTGGTCCTCTTGGCGGACAACTGTTAAACCCTGACGATCACCACAACTGCTCGTATTGCCAGCTTCGCGAGACGGACCAATTCCTGGGCATGCGTAGTATCAAGTCTGACGAGCGCTGGCGCAATTTCGGGTTGGTATTTGTTTATATCGGCTTTGATATTTTCTTCGCCGTCCTAGTTTATTATCTTTTCAGAGTTAAGAGATGGAGGAAGCATTGAGACTGATGGAGTCGTGTTTGGGTTAATAGATCATACTTAAATCATTAAATCACCTGATAAAAACAAACAATATAAACAAGCCAATCCTGCCAAGACACTAGCCAGCGTGATGTGTCTTGGCGTCTTGGTATTTAGCGCGCGCTAAATTTAACTAAACTCAAGGGGTCCACCGACGGAAGCGTCGGCTGTTCGCTGCAACATCCTCGATCTCCTTGCTCCCTTTGACTATCTCCAGTTATCCTCATTATTACATTGCATGTAGGTGCAATATGCCGCCCCACGCGGATGAGGATATCCCCTATGAAGGGACCGAGGGTCATCTATTAGGGTTTCTGCCGCACGAAGAAGCTTCTGGGAGCAACGATAACTTTATCTCCATGGAGGCTGACTCACAGGGGAGCTTTGAAGAATACCACGATGACGATGATCTGCAAGGTACACACAAGACTCCATTGTTGCCAATAAGGGAGTTATCAGGAACGTCTTTGCCTCGAGTGACAAGCCTGCACGAGAAACGACGGGCGTATGGCATTCTCTCCTGTGTCGTATCATGGATCCAAGGTCCACCGCAACCACACAAATATAAGATTACTCCCTTGTTGGAGCGATGGCAGACTGCTCCCAGCCGTCTCATTGATACTTATCTTCCCAGCACTAAACGGAAGCTGTTTTTGCTCTTGACGGTTATTGGGATTTGGGGAGTTGTGTTTCTTTCTGTGTTACATGCATCTGTTAGCAATGACTCTGTTGTTAGACTGTCTTGTTATTCTTCGCTATGGTAAGGCATCTAGGACCCGACAAATAATGTCGTCTTATCCGAATTATGCATTACTCTATGCTGATAATATGTCTAGGCCAGATACTACCGTCTGCGGTGTTGACGGAGATTCCTGTCGACCATTTGATGAAAAGGGTTTCGCCTTTCGCTGCCCCGCTGGCTGCGCAGATACAATTCTTCTGGAGCCGTACGCTGTAGGAGGCCAAATGGTAAACTACAGAGGCCTGGTTATCGGCGGTGGTGACAGTGGCATCTACCGCAGTGACTCTCGTATCTGTCCTGCAGGCATTCATGCGGGGTTGATATCTCAGCGAAAAGGTGGCTGCGGATTTCTTCGTCGAACAGGCGAACAGAGCAACTATACATCTGTCCAACGGAACGGGATTACCAGCATTGAGTTCCCCTCGAATTTCCCGTCGTCTTATACGTTTGACGAAGGAGAGCATGGGTCCTTGAAGGGTCTCAAATGCAGTGATACTCGATGGCCCCTTTTCACTTTCTCCTTGATCGTGACCGCATTGTTGTCCATCTGCATTGCGTCTCCAGCAGTATTTTACACCTCCATCTTTTTTATCGTGTATTTCCAAGTCGCTCTGGTTTCCGACGCCCCTTATTTCCCAGATTACGATGAGGTAGTCTCGATAGCACTGGGTCGATTCCTTCCCACGGCGTTCGTCGGGTTTGCTATGTACTATTTCTGCGTCAGCAAGACACTGACCTCCATGGATGCTCACTGGGACAAGACGGTCCTATGGCTAGGAGGCCTCTGGGTTGCGGCCCTGAATACTGACACATTCGACAAGATCCCCCTTTCCCGTCTCACCCCGCATGATATCCAACAGCAACCTGGAGCACTCTTATCGCTGATCATCATCGTATCTGCACTGATCCTCATTGCAATTACCCAAACAGTCGCCTTCCGGAACGAAGGCCGACTCCCTACGCTCCTCCGGATCTATGGTATTATGGCACTTGGCATCTTAGCCCTCCTGACAGTTCCGCACATGATGCTTCGTCTCCATCACTACATCCTGGGCCTGATTTTCCTGCCTGGAACAACCCTCCAGACTAGGCCGAGTCTCCTCTATCAGGGCTTATGCGTGGGTCTCTTTATCAACGGCGTCGCTAGATGGGACTATGACAGCATTCTCGAGACGCCTGCTTCGTTACTAGAAGGCGCCAAGATGGGGACGATTATCCCCGACCTCGCAGCTCCATTGATGCTGTCAGCCCAGTCCCTTTTTTTCAATTTCACCGGTCAGATCGACTCCCACGCTGATGGAATTAGCGTGCTTGTCAATGACGTCCTGCGGTTCCGGAGTTTCAAATCCTTAGGGGCAGATGCGGTTGCACAGGTTGAGTCATTCAACTGGACGAGACATAGGGAGAACGAGCCAGAATACTTCCGCTTCGCATATGTGAAGTCCAATCCTTTGGGAGGCATCAAGTATTACGATTTTACGGACCCAGCTGTTTGGGAGGCTGATGGGGAATGGAGATGGAATGCAAGCGTTGAATCCACTTCATAACCTGGAGTGCAGAATGAGAAATGAGAGATATTATTACTTGACGTCTTAAGATGCCCTGTTTAACTGAACAGATACCAGCATGGCAATGTGAATGTTACCCTGTTCTATTTTAATTGAACCCCCAACGGGAGTCTATGGTCGTCAAATTATTTCTGCTGTTTTTCGAGCATTATTATTTGTATTTTAGATTGCTGGACCATATTGCTGACTGACTACATTGCTTACTCTATACAAACCACTGACATGGCACTCAGAACAGGCGAAGGATCGTCGCTGTTCTTCGTCAGATACATTGTCCAGGAACTTTGCTGGCCTCAATTGCATGATTGTCCTGTAGAACACGATGGCCAACATTACTTGTGTACACGATTACGGTCTCTACCAACTTCAAAGACCTCGATTCTCCGGAATTTCAAGGCCGCCCATCTGCTGTTTCCCATGCAAATGCTGCTCTGTGCAGAGGCGTCTTCCTTGGCAATGCATGCCTAGCTATCTCACTCATCTTGTCCACGGATCGTAAGTCGGAAACTTTGATAGCACAGACAATTTATATCTATTTTTACTCCTACTCCATAGGGAGTACTTTTCTCCATAACTTACCCTATAAATACAGGTTGACCGCCGCTGTTGAACTCGTTGGACAAGCCAGTTCTAAGACAGCAGCCAAAGTCTACCATTTTCTCTCTCTATTTTCCTCTGGAGATATAAAAAAAAACATCCCAATTGTTCTAAGATGTTTGCCTTCCTTTCCGTGGGCCTTCTTTGCTCTGCTGTGTTGAGTGCTGCTGCTCCCCAGGGCCTCTATGCCAGACAGTCACAAGCCTTCGTGTTGGAAGATGTCGCTTCATCTCTGCTCGACAATGAGTACTCCATCGACTTCACCTTCATGGATCCCAATACCGGAACCGAAACGTCCTGCCAGACTTCATGGTATGTCTTCTATGCTTTGCTTTGCTTTTGCATGTACTAAACTAACCTACTTTCCCAGGTCCTCGAGCAGTCCCGCCCCCAGCGATGTCATTTTCTGCAGCGACACCTCATTCAATTTCCAGCTGAACCCATTCATTGACACCAACAACTTCACTCTTTATGTCTCTCACTCCACCGACAGCCTTTATGGCTTCACGTATCTGTATGGCAGTGCCCCATGGGAGCCGTCTAGTGGGCCCCTTGACTGTGTCGTCCCGGAACCTGGTGAGAGTGTATGTCAGGCTACATCGGTTTCGGTCCCGATTTTCTAGGGCAAGACCTGTGGAGGTAGAAATTGGAGTTCATGATCCTAGTGCAGAAGGCAAGGGTGTTTTAGATTGATAGGGTTTCAATAATAGTGAAGGAAGGGTTGGATATGACAATATTATCAGATATATCGATCATTTTCCCTTCTTGCCTTTTCTTGTAATTCTCTTCTCAGAGCGGTTCTACGTTTCCAATTCCATGTAAACACGAATCACCTCTTCCTACGAGATTCAGGACTACACTATGACCATAGACTGCAGACTACAGCCGCAGAGACCAGGCTCCGTGGCTTGAAAGTAAGCAAATAATAACAGTGTCAGCAGTCTAATTTGATCGATTCCATATTTAGCAGGACAGTCAGCAGCAGTGCTTTGTAATAGTAATAATTAATTAACTATTTAGTTACTGCCTACACATTCCTTGCGGGATCTGTTGAATCTCTCATAGTTCTGGATGTCAAAGGTGAGGCCGGTGTAACAAAACCGACCCTCCATGGCTTCATGGAAGCGGCTCATCCTCCAGCTACACTGATAGAAGTAAACGAACATGTCTATTGTAGAACTTATAGAACTCGAATAGCTTAACCTCTTACCATTTATCTTTTTCCGTCACTATTCCTATTTTTATTTTCTTTCGATGTAATTGTGCCCACCACCCTACCTACCCGCCGAAGTTCAACACGATATTTTTAACCTACTCAATAAAATTCAATTATCTCAACAAAAAAGCAAATTAATGGTTAAATAGTCAAACCCAGAAGCTCCCAATGTTGGAAAAAACTCGTCATACAACTTCATTCGCTGACTTGGTCCTGAGTACAAGTCAAGCAGGAGCCAATGGATCCTAAATGCCTTGTTGCTGAGGATATTGATATTATAGAGACCTAGTGTTACGGTACGGTGTCTGTCCTGTCCTGTCCTGCCTGATATGTATATGAGAGAGCAGTGTAGTCTTTTGCTTAGTGCAGCGGTTAGGTTTTAAATGTTCCCGGACGTCGCACCGTGACAAGCTGCCCAACATCAACATAACATTACGCAGCTACTCCAGGCCAACCAACGCCGTGCAAGGAAGAAAACGAGATAATCCATACAAAGAGGGGATGTTTTAGCAGTGAAGGACGTTAATAGCCCATGTTGAAGCTAGTGCGTTGGAGAAAATGCAAAAAGATGTCACGTGGCTTCAACAAGACTAGAAGATATTGGAAAAGGAAAAGAGCGATTAAGCAGCCAACGACCACTAAATATTGGTGCAGATTAAGATATAGCATCTTCGGCCCTAGGTGAAGATGGCCAACCACTTTTTTTTTGTATATACTACTGGTTGTCAGGTGTAACTAGTAGTTGAATTCAAAAAATATCGTGTTGAACTTGGGCGCACCTACACGGGAACACGGGTAGTTAGGGTGTGGGCACGTGCAATTACATTGAAAGAAAATAAAAATAGGAATAGTGACAGAAAAAGATAATAATAACAAGAGAACAGTATTATACCGCCAGAAAAAGACTCGAGGGTGCGCATGAGCGCTTCCAAGCAAAAGGGTAAAAGAAAGAAGAAAAAAAAAAAAAAAAAAAAAAAAAAAAAAAAAAAAAGAAAAAAAAAAAAGGAGATAATTTCTTCAAACAGAACGGAATGAGAAAAGCAAAAGCATGCCACACTCAACCCCCGACGAAGACAAAAAGAGAAAAGGAACGGGGGCTGCGTAGTCTAAAAAGATATCCAGGTGAAAATCGAGAAACGGCAAGGGGTGACAAGAAGAGTAATAACGATAATAGATCATGGCTATTTATTCATAACATCCACTGCTGTCAAATCACATTCGCGCTCCTAGTTCTGCGGTTTGTTCCAGAAATCCAAACTGGCTACCACGTCGCCACCTGCCTCGTCCTCATATGCATATAATATCTAAACGGGTCGACGTTAGTTCGGTCCAAGCAACAAAGTCAGACAGTCTGCAGATGTAGGGCATACCTCTCTCGTCGACGAATGAAGCATTCGAATATTTTTCCCGGTCATGACGTGAATCAACTCGCTCGTTTCAATGTGCCGAATCTCCACGAAGTTCGGCTCAAAGGCAAGTATGTATGGGTACGAGAGGGCAAATGCATTGGGGTTACCTTCCCAGCAGATCTTCCAATCTGGACGAGCCCGCCAACCGTTACGGTTGACAAAGAAAGAGAAATCACTATAGTTAAGAAGAAATTCCCCGTTCAATCGCTCAATGTGAATGGGCTTGACGTTTTCTCTTCGAGCAACAAAGTCAAGTGACGTATCGGCTTGGTCCAGCAGCGATTGCGTCTCGGTCGTCTCAAGACTAACCACCTCGAAACCACGAGAACAACCAACACAGAGAGTTGAGCGAAGGAAATGGATCGAGGACGATTCTGCGGGAATGTAGTATTCCTACAAAAAAAGAAGCACGTTAGCAGCCTCCACTTGGATAACAGGCCAAAAGCCTGGGCGGAATGACTACATACCTTAAACGGCTTAAGGGCCTCCTGGCCGCTTTGGAACATCTTACTAACAGCGGACTTCTTTTTGCCTTTAGCCAAGTGATCCATCGGTTCGAAAACTTTGATGGTTGTCGACATGGTAGAAGTCTTCACTGAGCACACCAGGTGACGACCGAGTCCAATGCCGGCCTTGAAGAAATTTGCATGACCTTGAATTTTCTTGGGTTTCTTTGCTTGCGAGGTCTGTCCCTCTGACAGTTCCAGGGCCTCCATTGGATAAGAAGAGAGTGTCTTGTTCGATAGGACCAGGAGTAATTGGTACTCCTCTAGCGTGTCTATCTGAGTAACTTGGCTAACATCGAGAACCCTCCTTGGCTTTGCGGACTTATCCTTGGGCCACCTATCTGAGACGTAAATGCCGCTATCCGTGCCGTACACTAACTTTCTGCCGCCGTCTTACAGTAAAGTAAGCCTAAGAACCGTAGAGCAAGTTCATAAAGAAATAACTTACCGATCGGAACAAGGCAGTTGACCCGATTGACTGCCGTGAAGAAGTTCTGGCAGAGAAGTGTCTTGTTGTAGAAATTGCTATTCCGCTCTCTCAGTTTACTCTGTTGTTCCTCCACTAGTTCGATGAACTTCTTCCTCTGCGTGGATGACGTGGCATAAAGAGTCTGTTCATAACCGCCCTTACCAAGATGTTTAAATGTAATTGGCGTCTCTTTCGTATTAGGGTTGTTCCCAGGAAGAAGGCTCGTTGAAGGTCTCTTAGGAAGCCCAAGCCTACCAATCACCTCGTCCATCTGCGTTATAACGAGTAGTTCTAGAGGAATAGGTTTCTTGTACACCCGGTACTCCTCTCGTTTATTAACCACTTTGATTCTGACGAGAAGCACAGCGTGATCAAAGAGATAGGCAGCAACCTCGGAGCTATCGGTTGGGGTTTTCTTAAAGGCCATCTTTGTGAGCATCTGTCGGTTCTCCTCCGTCAGTTTAAGGTCGACATAGTCTCCGGGGGCGAATTTCAGAGCGCCATTCAGCTGAACGAGGTTAAAATGATTCTCAGCCTTTCCACTCTCAGCATTCACTCGTGATAAGAAATCCTTGATCAGCGCAATAGCTTTGGGGATATCTTCCTTATCCGGGTTGTCGTCCTTTGTATATTTCAAGACTTGACCGAGTAGAAGCGGATATCTCGCCAGACGAGTAGTGGGTTTAGTCAGGTATCCATTCAGCTCCAGCTTTCGCGATTCCTTCAGACGCTCTGTTTCTTCCACAAATCTTGCAAAGGCTGGGTTCGACGCCTTCTCTTTTTCAAACTCATATCTCCCATAAAGCTGGTTGGCACCGTATTTAATAAACGGATCAAAGCGTGGTGCATGTTGCAAGAAAATATCGCCAATTCTTACTACAACGTGGCTCTCCTTCTGCCTTGAATTCAGGGCCTCACACAAACCACTATTAACTTTCAAGACCTCCAGGCAGTTACCAAACACTGTTCGGATAAATTTCTCTCGCCGGTGTTCCGGAATTGGCGATCCGGTCGTATTTCCAGCAGATCGTAAGGGCCTCATCCAGAAGTCGCGCAAATATTCCAAATCCTTCACAAAATCGCGCTCGGTGTACATAATCTCGAATATAATTTCCTGGCGTTTTTTTTCTCGATCGTCAACACCATCGGAAATCTCCTTCGGGACCATGTTAATCCATAACTTTTGGTTGTCATCGTCATCATCTGCGTGTAGACTGCCTTTCGAGGCAGAAGAACGTAACCCTGGCTGAGGTTTGAGATTCAGCCTCGCCTGCTGTTCAAGTCTCCTAGGGCAAGCAATCGAATAACACAGATTATCACGTGTGCAAGTTGGCGAATAGCATTCAGTTAGAAGAGTGAATACCCCGTTAACTTCAGAGCTCGGCCCTTCTTCTCCCATGGTCTCTTTAAATTGATAAATCTCCCCTGGAGCGTCTCGCAAGCGATGATCATAGGTGACATCATGGAAAAACTTCTGGGCATCCAGTGCACGACCTAACAAAAGAGCAAGATTGCGATCAGTCGTCTTGATGATAAGAGTAATCAGGTCAACAGCCTCAGCGCCGGTAAATGCATTCTGGTATGATAGCCCGTTTTTCTGTCGCTCTCCAACTTGTATCCGTTCCCGGAAAACATCCGCAACGCGTGAAAGCAAAGCAGGGTACACTATCGGACCCCTGCTGCGGCGTGAGCTGTGACCGGCGACTGATTTGTGGCCGCTTGATGTGACAGTTGAGTGGCTTTGCATGCTCATAGAAGAATCGGGCACTATCGTTGACGCCATGGACATTGTCCGAGAATTCGTTGAACCGTCACTTGGTGGTCGTGGTCTTGCTATTCCGTTGGGCATGTAGGCTTGGTCGATGTCCTGCTTCTCCGAAATGGGATGTTCGGAACCTGACGGTGGTTTTCTGCTTGGAATGACTCTTCCCCTGCTCGTAGTGTGAGAATAGTCTCGATGCCCAGAGTACGCAGTCATGGACATGGACCGCTCATTTCCATGCTTTTCTGGCACCACTCGCCCTAGCATCGTCCTTGGAGCCCCAGAACCGTATTGCTGGTGACGGAAAGCAGTCGCAGATGTATGATTGTAGGCACTTGGCGGAGGTTGAAATGGTGGTGGTGCACCCATTCTTGCCATGGACCTTGACCTGGATGCGTCTGAATTCAAGGCAGGGGCGGCTGGCCGCATGTAGCCGTTCGGATCCGGATAATGGGGTGTCGGGGTTGGCCTAGAATCTAATCGCTGGGGTTGGGGATATACGGAGCGTTGGTACGGCCTCAATGGAACCTGCTGAGGGTGTTGGGAAGACATGGTCGCAGATCCTGGATATGGCTGATATTGTCCATTAGGCGGTCCCGTAGCATATCCATTCTGCATCGGACGTGGAGGGGGCGGGCCCCTTTGCATTTGGGGAAACGGCACATTCGACATCGTATGAGCCCTGTCGTACGAGAATGGAGGAGTTTGAGAGGTCATAGTCTGAGAACGTCCTGGGGGTGGTGATTCATCGAAGATGGCTGAGAAGGCGGCATCTCGTTGAAACGAGGACGCATGTCCGTATGGACTTGGCCGATAGTTGCGGCCATGGTGGCCCCCCAAATCTGCCATGCTTTATCGGTGAAATGTGGGACAAGTGGTTGAAAGAGTGCTGTAAACCGAGATCAGAAATGAGTATTATGCTCTGATGCTACAAAGGTATTGTGGTTGTCGTTAAGGAGCGTGCAGGGCGTCGATGGGCAGTCGTTTCGAGATCGTGGAGAAAAAGGAGACGGCGATAACTCCGGAACAGCACCTGAATGTCGACGTGGCGGAAGAGGAATAAAAATGATACCAGGAACAAAACAAACCCTGCAGAAATATTCTTCACTGGATCGCAGTATTAAAGTCAGAAGGAGGAATAGAAAACCGCGTTGCTGCTTCTGCTTCAACGACCGGCGTGCGCAATGAGCCTCGAGCGCAACCGCAAACCAGGGCCCGTGCAAGTCATAACCTCAGCATCCCCCCTGGGCCTGTCGGAATAATTGGATAAGAGTATCCAACTATGCTAAGCGAAGGATAGCAATCAGCCAGGGTAGAACAGGGGGAAGGATGGTGTTGAGCTGAGGCGAATGAAAATAGCCTGGTTTGTTTCGGCAGAGTCCGTGGTCTGAAAGAGTGGAAGTTTGTTGGGTACGGCGGACCGGAGAGCCCTTTAGACCACCGTCGACGGCAAGCTCTCCGGACATCCACCATTAGTGAGTGTTATTGCCTGCAGTCTCTCCTCTAACCTCCTCTGTTCGCGACAGAAAGCCGTTAGTCCCTCTATCTAGGCCTTGCAGAATTCCCTCAAGGCAGTGTTCGTATCATCTTGGACGCCTGAAAACGCGAGGCAGCTGTCGCCTCCTTCGTTCCTCATAAGCTGAACTTCCAAGGGACGGACAGACAAGAAGATATCATTAGAATTCCACCCCTTATAATCCTTCAGGATGGCGGAAAGCGAGCTCGCACCCAAGTTTGCGCCATTCTTTTCCTTCGTGAGTAACAGAAAAAACTGATCCTTGGGTTGGTTCATGTTTACTGACTACGAACCGCAGGCTGGTATTGCCGCAGCAGTGAGTTTCCTGGACCATGACTCCTTTTTTATTCGATAGCTCGCGCTGACACCCTGGAGATGATCTTTGGGTGTATGTTTTATTCCTAGCCATCATAGTTCCTGAGCGATCAACATGTTCAACTCACACCACGGCAGCATTGGGAGCAGCGTATGGGACGGCGAAGTCCGGGATAGGTATTGCAGGTGTTGGGACTTTTAGACCAGATTTGATAATGAAGGCATGATACCCGATACACTTCTGGCTACGCGTTGTTGTTCGACAGTGTGACTAACTGGGATAGTCACTAATCCCCGTGGTCATGTCCGGTATCATCGCTGTTTATGGTCTCGTTATTGCTGTCCTTATAGCCGGTGATGTGTCTCCCACACAGACCATGGATTTGTATTCGTACGTCCCTATGGAACAAGACTGCCCCAGGCCCCGTGTATCTGACATTACTGACTCCACAAAGAGGCTTCATGCATCTCGCAGCAGGGTTGTCCGTGGGTCTTGCAGGCGTGGCAGCTGGATATGCTATTGGGATTGTAGGCGATGCGGTGAGCAATATTGGATACGGCTCTACTCGGTTCTACTCTTCTGATCGTAGTAAAGGGTGTGCGCTCTTATATGCAACAATCGCGTGTCTACGTCGGAATGATCCTCATTCTGATTTTCGGGGAAGTCCTAGGTCTTTACGGGTATGATCGCAGTCGAAATGCAAAGGATAATGTCTTGTGCTAACATATATGACAGTCTAATTGTTGGTCTGATCCTCAACTCCAAGACCTAAGCCTCAGGTCTTGTTCGTCTGCTTTGCCACAACTATCTGGCTATATGCTATGCACGGGATGTGATACTCTATAGCTTTCTGTTTCTATATCAATTCGTTATCTCGATGCTATTCAGAACACGCGGGAAGCAAGCCAACCCTTTCCAGCGCCTTCTGTTAAGCGCTCTTGTATATTTCTATTGGTTTTCATGCAACTCAACTGAGTTCATGGGGTATATGGATGAGTCGGCGGCGGCCTAGGGAGCTACAGAAACGTGTCGGTCCATGGCAGCATAGAATAAGCTGAAACGAAAAAGAACAATAACAATTGCAAGCCCTTGACAGATATCCACAATTTGCACGTAAGCCCTCATCAAGCTATCTTCGTTCGATCGGCTGTACGGAATACGAGCAAGACCTGAAATTCATCGAGGGGACAAAAAAGTTTAAAAAACCTCCTCGCCCCGCAATCATCCGCAGCCGTCTTCAGTTCATCATTCTTTTTAGGAGTTGTTGGTTAAATTTCATGCTGCTTGGATTCGCTTCTTGAAAGTATCATAACCAGTTCATATTCTATCCTGTTTCCCAGGCGTCCTTTGCTGCGCCTTTTCCCCCGCGTTCCTGAGAAATGCTATCTTGCCTTCCCAATGGCTACAGAGACCGTCCAGCATTTAATACATGATGAACTACCAGACTCTGCCGTCCCACAAAACGAATCTGTCGACACAGGAAATAATAGTAATGACAAGCAAAGCCGGAATCTAACTTCTGTACGGCCAATCCGTCAGCAATCTACGAATCCGTTTCTTATTACTCCGGACACATCGGAGGACAAGGATCTAGGGCCCTCATCGCGCAAATGGCAGATTGGTGACTTCCAACTTGTTAGGACGCTTGGAACTGGTAAGCATGCATTGATACAGACATTCTGTTAAAGTTATTGGGATCTGACGGTTCTTTTCCTATGCATCTAGGTACTTTCGCGCGAGTATGGCTGGCGAAGCCGCGAAGGCGAAGCGAGCGGAAAGACCAGGTTTATGCATTGAAAATACTCCGTAAAGCTGATGGTGAGGGAGACGGGGAAATTCTGCATCATTTCTCCATGGTGCTAACATGAGACTTCTGTGTGCTAGTGGTAAAACTGAAGCAAGTCGAGCACGTTCGCAATGAGCGAAAGACGCTTGCGGCTGTCTCCGGACACCCTTTCATGATGTCCATGGTAGCATCATTCGCTGATGACCAATGTTTATATCTACTGGTACGGGATCCTGTCATCGTTTGCTGTTCTTGACAAACGTGAAAAGAAAGAGAATCTGCCGGATTCCATGCATTGCGAGATTCGTACATATCGTTTACTGCCGCGTGGTTTCGGGGATAATTCTAACAACCTCGTAGCTGGATTACTGCCCTGGAGGCGAAGTATTCAGCTATTTACGCCGCGCGAGACGGTTCAACGAGGCTACCACGAAGTTCTACGTTGCGGAGATCACACTCGCGATTGAATATCTACACGACGTCCATGGAATTGCCTATCGCGACCTCAAGCCGGAAAACATCCTTTTAGACGCCGAGGGCCATATCAAATTAGTCGATTTCGGTTTTGCTAAGCAATTGGGTCATCCCGGGCTCAGCTTCACTCTATGCGGCACCCCGGAGTACCTTGCTCCAGAAGTGATTCAGAACAGTGGCCACGGCCTCGCGGTAGACTGGTGGGCACTGGGAATCCTCATCTACGAGTTCCTGGTTGGTCAGCCGCCATTCTGGGACCAGAATCCGATGCGCATCTACGAACAAATTGTCCAAGGCCGCCTTCGTTTCCACCCCATCATGTCCTATGCAGCACGGAATATTGTATCGGCGCTCTGTAAGACTAATCCGACAGAGCGATTGGGGTACATATGCGGCGGCTCTGCTCGTATTAAAATACATCCGTTCTTCGAAGGAATCAATTGGGACGACATCTATCACCGGCGCTCAAAGGGTCCCATCATTCCAAGAGTTGATCACCCTGCAGATACCGGTAACTTCGAACAATATCCTGATCCTCCGGATCCGAGAACTTTGGAATCGTATACCAGTGAAATGAAACAGAAGTATGAAAGTTTGTTCAGTGACTTCTAAGTCTGCAGCATTTTGGACCCCAGCCCTCAGAAACAGTTAACTATATATATGATTCTACACATGAGATTTACGAACTTTATACCATTGCTCATCAAGCTACACTAGGATCGCAGTCATGCCGCATGCTCTTTCTTTCTGTCCATCTATCTCCTCTGTTTCGGGGTTTCAGACTGCAAGTCCATTACCATTGCTTAAACTCACTTTCCCAATATGATCCAATTCCTTACTTGAATGTGGACCGCAAAAAAAAAAAAAAAAAAAAAAAAGAGAGAGAAAGAAAAACTATCTGGAATGCAGACAATGCCTGCATAAGTGTTCCTGGGGTGTTTAATTATATCCTGTTCCAAGACCACTATGTTACATAATTATATCCAACGCCTTCTTTTTTTTTTTTTTTTTTTTTTTTTTATCACCTGTGCACTTAGATCGTTTGTTTTATTTATCTTTATGGGCTTCATGTGGACATAGGTATACACTTGATCTTCAGTGTAGTATCATCCCATACACACTTTGCCCCTGTACAATGTACAGTGCAAGATAAAGATTAACCTTCATCCATCCTCGCTAAATCATCTATTTGCGCTTCTTGGATATCTGTTTATAGACAAAATGAGTAAAATAACTCGTGGATACCAAATTGTACAAATCCTCTTAGCATATACAGATCCCCTCCCACTCTACATCTTCCCTCATCGCGACTTCACCCTGCATGGTTACTGCATGTAACCATGTACTTAAGTTTCTCTTACTATGTTATACCATCTTCCTCTGCCATCTCCAGCGCCTTTCGAGCTCTTTCATCGTCGTTATCATTTGCATTTGCTCTCGATTCCACTTTACCGCCCACATGACCCTGAGCTACAGAAGAGGGAAGTTGCATTAATGGCAGCCATCTCCAGTGATTCCTGCTACCAATGTTATCATCGCAAGGTCTAACCCAGTCCCCTTTCTTCCATTTTGACGAAACAGGTTTGTGCTTCATGAATTGCATCTTCCCAATGAATAGAAACTGAGACTGAAATTATACTACACTATCTAGGTGTCACGTCCTTCATGTCCTGCCTTGTAGCTTTTCATCGCGCATGATATGGTATATGGAAAACAGAATGGAATAGTTACTAGCCCTTGATCTTTGAAATCATCAAAAAGAAAAAAAAAGCGAAGCAAATAAAGGAAGAACAAAACGTTGCGTCGTTAAAAAACGGCGTAGCCCGGAAAGCATTCATGATAACAATAATGACGAACCCGGCAATTCTCATCACGCCCTGGTTCTAATCTGATGTAAATCAATCTAATAACCGTCCAAGGACTCCTCTTGCATACCACCGAAGAGAGAAAAGAAAGCGCTCAGATAATAGACGTCTCCAAGGAATACCACTAGACGCGCGCAGCACACAACGCCGTTCATATGCGCAAATAAAACGATGAGTAAAAGAAAATAGGGACGAAACAAAAGGATGAGAAGGATACAGGGAATAAAATAGATTATGGTCGGGGAGTTCAGCAGATAGTATTTCGAGTGGCAGAATTATCGCTTTAAGACGGCGGGCAAAACTACCTGCCATTTAATTACCACATTACAGCGATGGATCTGTCTTCCATGTGCCTGGAGAAGTCAAATTCCGTCAGTCTGTGACGCGTTTCAGGAAATAGAGAATGGATAAAGATTTACCTCCAAAGTTATGCTTCACAAATGCCATAGGGTCATCAACATCTCCCGCTCCCATTTGGTGCACGCCGGGACTGAAACTGGTAATGGGCAGGACAACCACATCACCGACCTTTTTATGCTCCACCTGATTTGTAAAACTCTCGTAGGTGATATTTCCCGTAGCTCCAGCTTCGATTTTGAAGTAGTCCGGATTGTTGAAATATCTGAATAGGGCGTCTGTCCAAGCGCCAGGCCCCGTAAACTCGACGACAGTTTTGTCCATCTTTCCCGAAGTGAGGTGTCCAAGCTTCTTCATTTTTAGAGCCTCTTCGGTGATATTAGCGACAATATCTCGCAAAACCGGGTGCCCTGGTTTCGCTTGGATGGTCCACTGACAGAACTGGATTCTCCGCGAATACCAGTCGTGCCAATCTGGACGGTCCGGGTCGGCCTCAATGCCAACCACTAATCCGACAGTTGACTGATCAAGCTCGCGGGGGAGCCAATCCACGGCTGGCTGTAACGCTGACGTATCGATATCGCTGTAGATTCCACCACGCGCTAGAAGAATGAGGTATCTGAAAAAGTCCGCCTTGAGAACGGCTAAGGGTAAGGCCTCGAACGCCTCGTACACGTCGGGTACGGCAGCATACAGATACTTGATGAGACTGGGCAATGTATCATCCGGGACGACCTCGTGGACAAAGTCCGGGTGTAGCTCGGTCCAACTCGCTTCGAAGGGGCGTAATTCCGCGTCAAACCATGCGGATCCTGGCGCATACTTCCATGTTTGCCAGATGTACGCGGGAAACTTGGATTCGAGGTCGTACGGAAACTGGTAACGCAATCGGTCGCGAAGGGGAGCGTTCGCAGGAGGGGCGAGCAATCGTTGCCGTTGCTGTTGCCGTTCTTCTTGCCGCGGTACGGCGTCCTTCTTCTGTTCTGGCGTGTCTGCTTGTGCTACCTGGCCTTCACGGTTGGCAGATTTCACAGCAACGGATGGCGCGACAGAGGAACTCGAGTGCGATGAACGTAGGAGGAAGATGAAGAAGACGAGGAAAAGGGCCGCGAACAAAGATTTCCTGAAGGTAAGCATGGTTGCCGGTAAATTCAGGAGGAGGCAGTGCTGTCGATAGGTCCAGGAAACGCCGAGTATGTTCTGGTCAGTGTTGGCCAGCGCAGAATTGACAAAAAAAAGCACAGGGCCATGAAACAGGGGGTTATTTGGAACTCATTCCCGACGGCGAATACAAGAGGACATGGCGAGTGTGCAAGCAATGAAGGGCGAGGGGATGAAGAAGCAATTATCTATCGGGTGAAACCAAGATGTCGTTTGCTGTGGCATGTAAATTGATGTTGCAATGGCGGCGACCGGCGGAAGCTTAAACCGGAAGGCGAAACAGGCTGTCCGGCGATAGCAACGAGGAAAATGAAGTGAATGAAAAGAAGTATAGAGAGGGGGAAAGAAACACATCCGCGCTTTCACGTCTACGTAAGCCCCGGGTAAAGCCAGCCTCAACGCGTGGCAGCAACAGGGCTCGGAATGGCTCGAAGTAATATATTAATAGCTGCTGTGCTGTAGAGAAGAATCAAAAGAAGCCCGATGCTTCCACTGCAGCTCCAGACTAACGGTGAACCCTCGAAGCTTATCCGAGAAGCTTGGTGGGTTGTGATCCATCACATCTTCAATGCTGTCGAAATATGATAGTGACAATCCGAATTCAACGAGGAATACTCCATAGAGATCTGGAATCCCATCCATGATCCAGCACAATCAGCCAGCCAGCTTTCTTCCTGTAGAAAGCCATGAGCTGGATTACCAAGCACGGTTGCTGACAGCGTTTCAGGAAGCGCGGGACATCCCCGCAGGTTCATGAGAAATGATTCAATACTTCGTGATCTGGTTTATTTGTTGACGGACTGCATATACCATTTCTATACATTATAATTATTGCTTATCCTGACCCGGAGCTTTCTCCGAAGGGCGGCAGAGTCGCCATTTCTTCGTTTCCTGAGCCCTAACCATATCAGCCAGCCATTCGGCTAGATCCCTGACATCGTACGCACCCAGCAGCAGCCCGTTGGATTCCTTCTCTCTTCCAATCCGGTTGCCCTTCTCACTTGGACTGGCGAGAAGTTCCTTGCCTGGTCAGAAGTCCAATCAAGCCTAGACACCGTCTTAACCTTTGTGACTCTCTACTGGCTCACAGATACCCTTCCCTACAGTATTTACCCTTACCGGGGGCTTCTCCCCCCAGTGACGAGGTTCCTTCACAGGGAAATCTATTTTGGCGCATTCCAGACCGCACCGTTTGGATTCTCCAGGTTCCTGGGGAGATCCGGCCAGTTCCGAAAGCATGGGTTGAGAAGACGGGGAAGCTGGCGTTCTGGAAGGACCATGATCTCGGTGGACATTTTGCTGCACTGGAGAGGCCTCGGGTCATACTTGATATTTGGAGGAATTTACTAAGTCTATCTAAGCTCAACTAGAGTTAAAATGAAATAGAACAAAACGATGATCGTATGGAATGAACTCAGCTATCGAGATGACAAAATGTCCTTTGGAAAAATTTGTCACAATCCCAAATCCGTTCAAGTACATCGTAGTGCATGCTACGCTCGTACAAGGATGATTATCAATCAATCGACAAGCAACCCACAGCCCGTATATTTGTGCATTCGTCGCTCGGACACCGCGACTATAGGAAGCCGACTATCGTCGTCAATCCGGTTTGGATTGCAAATTGCGCTGGACATGGATGTTTGGATGGATATGATCTCCATGTCGGCCCTCAGCCATTACAAATCAAGCTGCCTCCTCTCCCTCGTCATCTTTGGGGAGGCAGAGAGATAGACAATATATATAGAATGGCTGTGTCTTATTTCCCCGGAATATGTAGACGCTCTGAAGTGTAACTTCTCCCACTTCAAGTTCTTTATTTTTCTTCTTCACTCGCAAAAATGTCCAAGCAGACTATCGTCGTCTTCGGTGCCACTGGTAACCAGGGAGGCTCAGTAATCAATAGCATCCTGGCCGATAGTAAAGCGTCTAGCCGATTCCACCTCAAGGGCGTCACTCGCGATCCTACCAAGGAGAGCTCTAAGGCGTTGGCATCCAAGGGCGTGGAAGTCGTCAAAGTATGCACCAGCCCGCCGTTCTCTTCCTATGTTCAGGAAATAAGGGAGAGATCGGGTTTTTTTTTTTTTTGATAGCTGACAGACAGAATGTTTCTAACAGGCCGATCTGAACGACCGCCGTTCCCTTCACAATGTCATTAAGGGCGCCTACGGGGTGTTCGCTGTCACCAATTTCTGGGAGACCTTCAGTGTAGAGACTGAGATTGCCCAGGGCAAGAACATTGCCGATGTCAGTAAGGAAGAAGGTGTTCAGCACTTAGTCTGGAGCAGTCTGTTGAACATTACAAAATGTAAGCCAGAGCTCCTTTATATTCTGCGTTACTTAAATCCTCCCACCATGTTGGACAACTGGACTGAGCCGACCCGTACGTTCTGGTTCTGGCAGTGAGCAAGGGAATCCTACCCGGAGTCTACCACTTTGACGGCAAAGCGGAAGTGGAAGAATATATCCGCTCTCTGGGTATCCCAGCCACCTTCTTCCTTGCAGGCTTCTTCATGTCCAACCTGCCTGGTGGGGGTCTGCGTGAGAACAATGGCAAATGGAGCCTTGCTCTCCCCATGCCCGATAATGCACCGATCCCACTCCTTGCAGCTGAATATGACACCGGTAAGTTTGTCAAGGCTGTCTTCCTCAAAAAGGAAGCCACACTGGGTAAGCAAATCTACGGGGCACATGCCTATGTGACTCCCGCCAAGATCCTCCAGGATTTCAAGGAGGCGTATCTTAGTGCTGGCAAGGATGCTACATACACTGAACTGCCCCATGAGGTGTTCAAGGGCATTGTGGCATCAACCGGTGCTCCTGAGATTGTGCAGGAAGAGTTGCTGCAGAACATGCGCCTCATCCCGGAATTTGGATACTATGGCGGTGCCTCTCTCGAGCCTAGTATTGCAGTCAGTGTTCTTTTCCCCCAACATCTTGTGAGCTAGGCCTCATAGCTGACGTTTTGGAATCCAGATTGTCGACGAACCTCTGACCACTTGGAAGGAATATATGAAGTTGGCGCCTGCTTTTGCCAGCTTGAAATGAGGTCTTCACCACTACCAGAAGACTCAGTTTAATATAATTCCTGCGTTATTCTATTTGTAGTTAATTGTAGCTCCCACTTGAGTCAGCATTCATGTCCAGGGTACTATACTGGGTAGTATGGCAAAGTTATTGCAAAGGGACGTGATGCTCTTCGGGGAGCAAAGAACTAAGAAATGCCATGCAAATAGTACTCGGAATAACAATGCGAGATTGCTGAAGTCTTAAGGTAGTTACGGAGTGAAAAGACAGCAAAGTGACAATCAGTCATATGGAACTCAACTACTACCGAGGTTGGCTGCTACTTACACTCCCCGTTTTATTTACTTATTGAAGACCTCCCCAACTCATTGCTGTTAACTCGCAGGTATTCACAATTACTCAAAATGCCTTCCTGCACCCTCCATCTCCTTGCCCTTGACCCCGTCTCTAGTCTGGAATTCTTTCTTGCTGATCTCCATAGCAGTCGCAATGTCATCTTTGCCTCCCGTCCGCGACACACTATCATCCCGCCGACTTCTCTCGATAAAGACCGTCTCATAAAATCGAAGTGGGACCTACTTGTCCTGATCCAGACAGCACCAGACACTACAGCACTTCCAATTCCAGAGCCACTTCAAAACAAAGTGAAAGATGAATACCGAGTACACGTCGGGATCCCTTCGAAGCTCGTCTCAACTTACACAGCCCGACACGACGCGCTGAAAAAGGCCGCGCTATCTGTACCGCTTACTGGATCCCTTTCCACTCTCCTCTCCAACAAGTCCTCTACTGAGGACGGCGAGGTTCCTCCGGAACTCCTCTCGTTCATGGAAACACTCATGCGCACGCATCCCGGCCCAGTGACGATGTTCAACCTGCTACACTTCCATCAACCTGACGGGAAAAAGAGCTACTATAAGTACGGACAAGCATTTGTCCCAGTGGCAGCGAAAAGGGGCGGCCAGGTGAAGCTGGTGGGAAATGTGATCGGGCCATGGCCATCCTCAGATCGGGAGCAGTGGGATGAAATCAGTATCGTGCACTATCCGTCTATTAGACATTTCTGTGATATGCTCGCAGGCGATGATTATCAGGAAATCAACAAGAAACATCGATTATCGGTACGTATATTCTCCTTTTCTTTCGGCTACTCTGGGGTGTGCGCGGTGTATTGACTAGTCAATATAGGCACTGAAGGACACATTTCTGCTCTGTACTACCGAATTTGATGTAGACGCTTCGTCTACGTCTTCCAGGTTGTAAATAGGTCATAATCCTTAGTATCAGACATAAAAGGAATGCCAGTTCTAGTTTCCGTATCTGCGAGTCCATAGCATACGCGGGCCACAGGACCAACCCTATTACTTACCTATATTTGAGTAAGTAGGCCGGAACGCCGATTTGATTCTCTGAAAAGTTCAAAGTTCGTATTTGCGCTCCATGTATCAATCGTGATGATATCTCTGGCACAAGTTTACTTACACCAAGTCTGCTTCGTCTTGCATGCTGGCCATGGATTTTGAAATGGATTTGGCATGAAAAGAACATACGCTGAGTGCTATGCCTGGATAAATGAACGCATTTTGATGACTAGTTATCTGCAACAACGGGGCAAAGCTTAAGCCCCAATGGAGCAAACTGACTGATGTGATCTCCAAAAGTGCTTGGCTCTTGGATATTTTTATCAAAATATGCCCTGCCTATTGATTCTTGCCCTTCAATATTGAATTTTCTCTTGCGCCACTGTTAAATAGTAACTGCCGCCATGGCACAAGTTGACGTCCCACGTCTTTGTTGCCTCTCCTTTCTCTTACTCTGGTCGATAAGGCTGCAAAGTATCCCACTGATCCCCGGATAGTTCTATCTGCCTTTCATATTTGCTATCTGTGTTTAGACCTTTTGGTTGCCATGTAACACATTAGAGCTCTGTGTCTTCTGCGATTCCTGGAAATATTACCCCTCTCCCAGTTTGCTGTGTTTCGAAGAGAGATGAAGAATAAACTATGGCCAATTCGTCTAAAAAGCGCTGAATCCGACCCTCCATCTTCTGTCGCTGTCACACCAGTCGAAAATGATGACAGTGATGGCACTCTCCGGATACAGGGGCCATCCGAATCCAAACACACGAGACATAGACGTCCAGCGAGGCCATGGAGAAAAATATCCCTCTTTATAGCAGCCGGTCTCCTTGGACTGGCTATTATCGTCATCGTCATCACCCTTCCTATCGTTCTACGAATCGACCTCATCATGACCAGTCAAGTTACTACCAAATAAAGAACAAGCCGGTTCTCGCCCTTCAGGATTTCCCCGATCCGGGGCTGATTCATTTCAATGGCACATGGTTTGCCTATGGTACCGATGCGAGGGTAAACAATACACGAGTTCCTCACGTTCCCGTCGCTACGTCTCGGGATTTTGTCAATTGGACTCTAGTACAGGGTTACGCTACGCTGCCTATCCTGGCGCATTGGGAGGCAGGAGTCAATCATTGGGCTCCAGACGTGATCCAGAGAGTATGTACAATGCACTGCTTGGTCTTTTTTTTTTTTTTTTTTTTTTTAAAAAAAAAAAGATACTAAAAACGGTACCGTAGGGCGATGGATGCTTCGTGCTATATTACTCCGCAGGATTGGAAGATTGGATGCCCCATCACTGCGTAGGCGTTGCAGTCTCGAACGACACAAACCCACTGGGCCCTTACCACCTCGACCCTACCCCACTGGCCTGCCCATGCGAATTCGGCGGCGCCATCGACCCGTCTCCCTTCCGAGACATCAATGGAAAATTATACGTCACCTACAAGGCCGACGGCAACAGTGTCGGACGCGGCGGCAACTGCGGTAATGGCAAGAAACCACTCGTCTCGGTCCCGATCATGCTCCAGGAACTAGAAAGCGATGGAGTCACACGAGTCGGTGATCCCGGTGAAGATTCTCGATATCACTAAAAGCGATGGGCCCCTCGTCGGGGCTCCCAATATCATCCGGACTGACCAGGGCATCTACTACCTGTTTTTCTCCTCGCACTGCTACACATCGCCTCAGTATAATGTCAAATATGCCCATGCGAAGTCTTTAAGGGGTTCGTATTTTAGGGCCTCCAGGCCATTGCTGCGAACGGGTGATTTCGGCTTGCTTTCCCCCCGGGGGCGCAACGGTGTCTGTGGATGGGAAGAAGATGGTGTTCCATGCGAAATGTCCTTATAAGCGATGCATGTTTGCGACTGCCGTTGAGATCCACCAAAATTTTACAATCACTTTGACCAGTCTTGTTTCTGACGTTTGAACCTGGTTAGTTATTTTGATCGCTTATCACGCGGTATAAGACATTTATGAGTCTTTTACTGAAATGTAGATTAATCATAATTAGAGAAAAGCAGGGAGCCATGGCATTTTGATAGACATTCTTGATTAATCTCCTGCTACAATTTGATAGTGACTATGGGAGCGTCTTTGACAGTGAAACATGTTATTCTTTAATTATAATTCTCTTATATAGTCAAATTCTCTCTTCTTACCTCTTCACTTGCCCTCAGATTAGCTCTCAAGTTCTCATCGGTTTCCAGACGGAATGTGCTTGTAATGTAATCCATTACTTCGTCGGATACCATACAACTTTGGCTTTTGGTCTCTTTAAATCATCACTGGGCTGGGGATGGCAATGAAGAGAACAAATGATAACTTGATATGCGTCACTACTGTAGACGGTAATAGTTGAAAGAGAAGAAATAGGTTCATTGATAGCGTTCAGGCCGATTGCCGTATTGTAGATACACCTGGATTTTATTGATCTATGAGGACAGTATTAGCGATAGTTCAGAAAAGCCCGTTTTCAAAATATGACGACTGACAAGATGAGTGAGACATTGCACTGTCTAACTCGAATGTAGCAAACAAGTAACATTGATCAAAGAAGTAGAGGAAAAGCCGAAAGCGCAACGCCTGATATGTCAGATTGAAAACTACCTAAAGTGTCGCTCGTCATTGGAATGACGCACGTCGTTAACCTGTGATGGAAACAGACGGATCATGTCTTATTGCCTCAGACTCTGCGACAGTGTCTGTCATCATATAATCAGGACCTCGACTGATGCGATTCGGACTCATGAAAGAGGAACAGATAAAGAGAAAGAGAACACATACATCACCTTTGGTTATAAGCAGACAAGATTAACCGAACATCCACCCAATATAATATCAAGGTTAGCTAATCTGCTGGAGACAATCTTGGTGGATTCTTCCATCAAAGGCAACGAACGCCTCAAATCCGTAACCAAGTCCAGCGAAGACCAGAGATAACGTATAGCGGGGAAATGCCGCACAAAACAACTTCCTAGCCTCTAAGATCTCTGTTCTAGCCCAATCATCCACAGGCAAGCAAATGTCTTCTTCCGCTCGTGCGCATTGTACGCGAGGGATGAAGTCCATCGTTGCTCAGGTACTCTCCAGTCGAGGGTTCGTGTCATGAGCTCTAGTGTGGTTTATCATCATGGAGGCTAACATACAAGACTTGTGCTAAATATGCAAAGTAGTAGTCAGTTACTAATGTGCAGAGCAAGGTACGAATGGCAAGTTCAAGCATACCTTTTGTGTTGTTGTGCTGGAAGGAACATGGCAGAAGTGTCATGTTGGTGTTTTTAGTGCGCTCACCGCCTTCACACATCACGTGAAGATATGGCAGCCCTCGGCGTCAAAGCAGGAATTATGAAATTTAAAATCCCAGTCCTTCAGCAGTCTTGCCTGCTTCAAATCTGTCTTCGTCGACTTGCAAAATGGTCGACAAAGGCTTTGTTATCAAATACTCGTCCTCAAAACTTTACTAATTCTCCTTATCTGACAACTTGGGCAAACCGTTGCGATTCCGACTGCCCTAGAAGAAACTAGCTCGCTCTGAACTAGAAACCCGAAAAGAGACAGGAATACCCCACACGAGATACAAAGAATAAACCGCAGAAATGCCTCATTGGATTCAACATCACGTCAATTCCTTCGAGGCACAGCTTGCCGCGACGGCGCTGCTGTCAGGCATTGCGGTAGCAAGCGCTATACTGGGATACCAAAATACAAAGCGGAAGGAAGCTGTGGAAGATCTCAAGTCTTCCATCCCGGAGATTGATGAACGCCATTATGCAGAGAAAGTAAGTCGATTGGCAGCTTTCTTTTCCACCCGTCAATCGAAACTCGGCCTGTTACGGAGACTGACAGTGGATTGATAAAGCTTACAGCCTTTGGCCTTCCAGCTCCTGTCACACCGCATCTCAACAAGGAAGACGAGCGCAGCGCTGCCCTAGCTCGCAGGGCGCAGCAGGGCGATTATGATGATGGTAAATCATATTGGCTAGCTTTAGTTTTCTTAGACGCTGATTCACTAACGGACGCTTTGTGGTTGCCATACAGAGCTGATCCTCGAGCAACTAGCCCGTAACCGCGCTTTCCTTACGGATGAAGGTCTCTCAAAGCTTCGATCGTCATTTATAATTGTCGTTGGTTGTGGAGGTGTTGGGTCCCATGCTGTCGCTGCGCTTGCGCGATCAGGCGTCTCCAAAATCCGTCTCATAGACTTCGACCAAGTCACATTGTCATCTCTGAACAGACACGCTGTTGCCACATTAACAGATGTGGGCACGCCAAAGGTGCACTGTATTCGGAGGAGGTTGGAACAAATCACCCCTTGGGTCTTCTTTGATTGCCGAAACGAGCTCTTTGGGAAGTCCGCCGCCGATGACCTTTTGAGTCCGTGGAGCCTGACGAGCGATGGCCAAGGACAAAAGCCCGATTTTGTAATCGACTGTATCGACAACATCTCATCCAAAGTCGAGTTGCTACATTATTGCCACTCAAGCTCTATCCCCGTGATCTCATCCATGGGGGCAGGGTGTAAATCAGATCCCACGCGTGTTGTAGTCGGTGACATCTCAGCTACGACCGATGACCCACTCTCACGCAGCACTCGACGGCGACTAAAATTACTCGGAGTGAACTCTGGAATAACAGCAGTATTCTCGACCGAGAAGCCGGGTCCCGGAAAAGCAAGCCTTCTCCCCTTACCGGAAGAAGAGTTCTCCAAAGGTGAAGTAGGAGAGCTGGGAGTCCTCCCAGACTTCCGCGTCCGCATTCTTCCCGTTCTGGGAACCATGCCCGCCGTATTCGGGTACACGGTTGCGAACCACGTCATCTGTTCCATTGCAGGCTACCCACAAGATTATACGACAGGCGCCAAGGGCAGAGACAAGTTGTACGACAGCGCCTTGACAGCTCTGCAAAACATGCTTGAGCGGCTGGCCCGGTCGGAGGTCGGCCAGGATTTTGTCGGGCTTCGCGTTCCCATCAGCAAGGATGATGCCGGATTCCTCATTGAGGAAATCTTCAGAGGGAAGAGTGGGATCAGCGGTCTTCCGAACCGCTTGGTTCTTGTGCCTTGGGGACGGCCTGCTCAAGGATTCGGGCCGGATCCGAAATGGGCTAAGGAAGGGCAGAAATTTCTCCCATTGGATTTGAAAGATCTCGTCTGTATGACTAAGGAAGAGGCTGCTGTGCACGAGAAGGAAGTTCTGAAGGGCGGGAAGAAACCAGAGAATGTCTACAACGAGGAGACGGTGCAGAAGGTGAAGCAACGGATGAAGGAGGCAGAATACTACGACAAGTACAGGTAGACGCTGCATTTAATGCGTACAGAGTTTTTGATCTAAAAGGGAATAGAGGAAGTGTCGCTGAAGATGTCATTGATCAACTTGTCTTGCATAGGGTCATATCTTTGGGCAGGACGTCAACATGGTCTTTAGCTGGAGCCCAGAAGCCGAGGTAGATCCGTTTCTCATAATTCCGAATGAGTAACTAAATCATAATGTTGCCGAAGATGAGCTGTGCTGTGCTGAGTTCGTCTCATATCGCAGATTGGCTGCGAAGCTTGGAGGCAGGGGAGATTAGGTCAGTGGACCACAGAAAAGACAGAAACAGAACTATACGTGAATGCAGCCTACCTGATGGAAATGGACCTTGACGCATATTGAGTTCAGATAGGTATCATTGATATAACAGAGGCAAAACGCAACGAGAAGTTTGTTCAGGAGTGGTCCAGTGACGATTGACAATGATTAAAAAGGATGCTATCTCTGGCCCGGGCATAACAACACGGGCATTGAAAAGGAAACGAAAAAAAAGAAGGATCTTTTGCAGGAATAAAAAGAATACAGGTAAGAAATAAGGCAAACATGAGAGGAAGCCGAGACAGACAGCCAGCTCTATCCCATCTTATCTACTCCCTCTCTACAGACAGGGAGGATAGGTGTCGGCCATCGAAGATCGAGCGTTGCATTTCTCCCTTCTCCTTTTGAATACTATTAATGTGAGAATTATTGGACGAAAAAGTATTTCCCACCTGGCCAATTTCTCCCTTGGCGCTGCAATTTCCATAATGTTAGCAAAACAGACTCAAACCGCATCTCGCACTCCGAGAGCCGGCTCTTGAACAGGGTATCTCTAAGCGTCGCCGTTGGCTGCGCGTTCGCTCGCCATGCGAGCCTCAATCTCCCGGAGTTGGCTCTCACGAGCGAGCAACTCCTGTCGCTTCTCAGCAATCTCGCGTTGCACTTTGAGCTCAATCTCTTTGAGTTTCTCCTCTTCGCGACGGAGTTGCTCCTCCTTCAGGCGGACCGACTGGCTTGCTAGGTCTTCGGGGTTCATTGAAGAATCATAACCACTATTGGAGTCAGTTAGAATCCACCGTACGATCGTATAAAAATGCACAGGTAAACATACGCAGCACCGTCGACACCCTTGGAAAGCTTTTCAGTACGATAGTTCTCATAGAGGAAGTCATGGGTAATCTCCTTAAGATCTGCAAGATGGCTGTGGAGAAGAGCACTTCGGATGGCCAGAAAGTCTGAGTGACGAGGGTTTTCCACCTCTACAATACCCCAAGGATATTGTCTGGCTCTTACTTTCCGTCCGTTGATCTCCACGAAGTCCTCGGAACCAACAATAGCGAACGGCATCAGTCCACGCAATTCTGCATTCTCTTCCACTGTGTCTTCATCGTCTTCTTCGATATCATAAGGGAAGTTGTAGACGGGAATACGGTAGTGTTCAATATCCTCCATGATTAGTTTCTTGGACTCGGCAAGTTCAGCAGGGGTGAGAGAGTCGGCTTTCCCAATAACCGGAATGACGTTAACACGAGGTGACAGGCGCTTCATCAGTTCGATATCGAGCTCGCGCAATCCGTGGCCAGTGGGAGTGATGAAATACAGAAGAGCATGCACACGGTTGTCCCTGAATCTGGGGTTTCGCTTGATTCGAGATTCCTCTGCAAGAATATCATCGTATTGGCGCTCAAGGAAACCGACGATTTCGGAGAAGCTTTCAAGACGTCAGCATTAAGGAAGGAATGGGCATGAGGCATTCGTGTGGCTACATGCCTTGCTTCATTATCAATCTGGTCGCCAAAACCGGGGGTGTCAACGATAGTCAAGGAAATTCTGGTGCCTTCTTCATCCAACTCTAGTTCTTCACTCTCCGATTAGCGCTTCACGGTGCAGGTGTTTTAGGCGCAACCTGACTCACCGACTGTGACAGGCTTGATGCGGACACCCTCCTCGATGTGAGCATTGGCAGCGTCATCTGCATCCTTGCCTTCGAGAACTTTCTTGCCGCATAGTGTGTTGACAAACGTTGTGCGTCCTGTTCGAGGGAGATATCACCGTCAGCGAAGAATGACAGGAAGAGAATGCAAATGTCTACCGGGTATAGATATACATACCAGTTCCACTGGCACCACACACCATCAGGCAAAACTGTATGCCTTTCTTGACATTTTTCTTGCGACGAATCTAACGAGGGAAGAGCATGAGTTAGAATGCAACAAAATCCAAGATAAAAGCCGAGCTGGAGATACGAAACGTGCGAAGGGAAAGGGAGTGATGTGTTGCCCCTTGCAAGTGAAGCTCCGGAAGGAGAAAGGGGGAGGCACAAACGTACCGCGTTCAACGCCATTGACATTGTAGAATGAGAGAGAAAGAGAAGGGGGAAAAGAAGTGAATAAGAAGAGAGAACGGGGAGCAGAAGCGAGCGGCAGGGAAAGACAACAAAACAGAGGGATGTAGGTAAAGAGAGAAAGGCGTGGAGGATGCTCTCTCCTGAAACGAGGTGATATGAGGGTCTGCTCTGGGTTTAGCCTGGAGCGAACGGGTTAGGCTAGTTTAGGGGGGAGGAAGCAGCAGTTGGGGTCAAGGTGTCCACTACGCAGAGTCGCTGTGATCACCTCGATCTTCCCCTTTTATTAGTTACTCTTCTGATCAAACAATGATAATAATAATATCAATAATAATAATATTGACAGCAATAACAATAACAATGATTGCCTTGTGTTGGTTGTCTAGAACATGGGATGTGAGCCAGCGCATACACGATCAATTCCACCGGGTTCTTCCTACAAACTATCGAAGAAATTAAAGACCGTTAGTGCATGGCATCTTTAAATAACCTTCAGCGTAATAATAACAATAAAACCAGTTCATCCAGCGGTCATGGTAAGCTTGGATTCCGACAGGTTTTCAGGGGTCCTAGGCATGTACTACTGGTTGATATGCCTAACCGTAGTCAGTATTACAGTACGATACCACTAATGCCACTCTATTCAGTGCTACCTGGCTACACGCATAGTAAATTACAGTAATGAAATCATACTTGCCTAGATAGGCATACTCATGCCTTATCTGCATTTTATGCCTGAGGCATACTATAATTGAGCTTCCATGAGAATGTTCTCATCTGTGGCGGAGTGTTGCTCACATAAAGCCATCCCCGGATGCCTTCTCATACCAGTTTCACTGCCCTTCCGCATCTCACTATAAGAGACCTAATATTCAATATTCATCCTAGTCATCGGAGTAGGCCAGTCAGAGTCTCTGGTACTTAGGTACATCTGTACCAGCCGCATCGGATCAGCACTCTGCCTGTTTCCAGGGAACGCTGCTTGTCCATTTTGTAATGGCGATCTCGCCCGTCCGGCATAATGAACACTAGACAGGTTATCGATGAGTCGGTTGGCCCATATTCGCTATCAACCACTTTCAACAATGACAGCTCCTGTTTCTCTGTCGGGTTGGAGACTGGATTCTGCGGTAAGCAAGCTGCAAGCATATTTATTGAACTGATCCATCCCCATGCCGTGACTAACAGACTTCATAGTTTTCAACTCCGATCCATGTGAGCTAAAGGTATCCAGGGGTATGTAATATTTCCCGCCTTTCTACTCTTACTCTGATCTCTTTCATGGTTCAAATGTCTGAATGGACCGATAGATTTCAATGCCGGTATTGGCGTAGTGGAGATGTTAGGACAGTCGAATTATCTTGCCATCGTCGGTGGAGGAAGACAGCCCAAGTTCGCCCAGAACAAGGTATGCTCATCGAGACAACTTGCGGTTACATGGAGCAATACTCATTTGTCCCTCAAAGCTGGTCATCTGGGATGATGCAAAGCAAAAGGCCGTCATTACACTCGAATTCCGCACCTCTGTTCTTGGAGTTCGCTTGTCAAAATCGCGCATCGTGGTTGTCTTACTTAACAGCATTCACATATTCGCATTCTCAGTCCCTCCACAGAAACAGTCGGTTTTCGAAACCACTGATAATCTCCTGGGACTTGCTTGTTTAGGGAAAAAGCTCCTTGCTTTCCCAGGCCGGTCTCCTGGGCAAGTTCAGTTAGTGGAGCTTGAGACTGGTAATGTTAGCATCATTCCAGCTCACAGTACTCCCTTGCGAGCTATGGCGCTGAGTCCTGATGGAGAGATACTGGCTACTGCGAGTGAATCGGTAAAAACTTCCCGGCGCACGTTTGGATGATACCAAAAGCTTACGCTGGTCACCTTAGGGCACTTTAATACGAGTATTTTCTACCAGCAATTGTACGAAAATAGAAGAACTAAGACGGGGAGTGGATCACGCTGTTATATTCTCACTGGGAATTTCGCCTTCCAACAACCTGTTAGCCGTGACCTCTGACAAGTCAACCCTCCATATATTCGATCTCCCTCACCCGCGCAACTTAGCACGACGTAGCCAGTCACCATCTTCGCCGCCAGAAGAAATAACTAACCAGAAATGGGGTATCCTGGGAAGGATACCATTGCTCCCAAGAGTATTCTCAGACGTCTATTCCTTTGCAAGTGCTCCCTTCGAGATTGGAGATGAAGCGCCCCCCGGCTCCCTTTACATGCCATCAATCGGAACGGCATTCGGACGCCCACAGAAGGGCGTAATAGGATGGACAGATGATCAGACCATCCTTGTCATTGGTTCGGGGAGGGACGGGCGTTGGGAGAAGTTCGTTATCCGCGAAGGCAATGATGGAAAGAGATACTGTTTTAGAGACGGCTGGAAACGGTATTTGGGTGCCGGCTGAAATTACAGCCGTTCCTGAAAACCATTGATATTGAAAACGCCTATACAAGCAGTGTGAAGATCGTACTATGGTCTTTGCCGCACAAGAAGTGACCTTGTTCGGCATCACCGACCAACACAGGGAGAGTCCCTCCTAACAGCTTTGGTCGCGCAATTGATAGGCCGAGACAGGTCAGACAGCAAACTGCTTAGGCCCTTTGGCGTTGGTAGAACTGGCCCAGATACCGGGTTTTCGCCGAGATCCTAATTCACGCCTTCCTTGGTGAAAAGAGTGCGCAGTAGAAGTTAGATTTTCCAGAGAACTATTATAGAAATTGAGGGCATTGCAACGGTGTAAAGATCATCGTCGGCGATCAGATCTGTCTCCTTGTTGTCGTGCATGAGGAGACCGTGATCTCCTTGGCGATCTCTCTCTGTAGGACCTTTCCCTTGATGGTGATTTGTCTCTGTAAGACCTCTCATCCCTTGAAGTCAACTTATTTTCCCGATGACTCCTCTCCCGAGAGCGCGACCGGTGTTCGCGATGCCTCCTATGACGGTGATGACGGTGATATCGACTAGATCTGTCCCGGCTGTCATCCCGTCGTCGAGACTTCTTTTCCTCGCTTTTCCATTTTTCCAGAGCCCGACTGACTTCCTCCTTCTTTTCTTCGATGAGAAACTCCTTCATCGGGTCTTCCTCGTCATGGTCTCGTATCAACTTCTCCAGCTCTATCTCCTCTTTCAACAAAGGTCGCCTCCGCTCTTCTGCCGCGTCGCCATCCCCTCTTCTCCGCTTTTGCCTTTCACCATCTGCCCCCCTATCGCTCGCATGCTCTACTGCGGTTTCCCCAAGTAATTTTGCAATATTATCTTCTTCTCCTTCATCCTCCCGTCTTTTGTATCTCACATGATCCACGCGAAGTATCCTCCCGAGAACTGTGGCGCCGCCCAGATTATCGACAGCTAAGTCAGTGCTACGCTGGTCTTCATATTTCAAAAAGGCGAAACCTCGACTCTTTCCTGTTTCCTTATCGCGGACAAGATTGACGTGGACTGGTTCGCCGAACTGTGAGAAGATAGTCACGACATCTCCTTCGGATAGATCGTAAGGGAGGCCGCCGATGTATATGTAGGCTGTATCACGGTAATCTGCGTGCCATGAAGCTTCAGGTGGTCTGTATAGAGACAGTGCATGTTAGCAAAAGGTTACCCTGCAGACGGAAATTCAACGTACACGGCATTTTCAAGTTCGCGCTTATTGAGCGATTGAATCTGGCGAATTGTGTTCATGGTCGATTTTTTAATCAGGGTTCCTTTAAACAGATATACCCCTTGGAGTAGCTATAATAATAATACCACAAGCTGCATTATCCTCCGATCTGTGAGTGGTAAAAGTTGTTGGGAGAAGAAGATGCGCGTAATGGAAGTATCACGGGCTCCGCTTCACTCCCGCCAGCGCGGTCAAAGGTTTCGGGTGTTGACAAACGGCTTTGCTTTCAACAACCAACTTTGGCTGCAACGAACTGCTGGAGATCACCTAGCTGACATACCGAGAAGCTGTGGTTTTCACTGTATTATATTTCAAAAAAAAAAAAAAATCTATCAGCTGCGCTTTAATTCCGAGAACTCGTTCCCGACACGGACTGCTTTCCATAATTCCCCTGATCCTGCTCCGCTAGCTGTTATTCCACAGTTAAATTGACCTCCACGTCTATACCCTTTTCCCAAAATCCAAACGCGTTGGGCATACCAGCAGTCCCAAAGAAGAAGCTTACGGCTGGGCAAGACGTGGAAAAGGAAAGGAAAATCTATTTGCCTTGGGAATGGTCGACGCAGGCTGAATCTGGTGGAAATCGGACCAAGCAATGTCGACTTCAAACCACACCTTCTCCAAATCCACAGTCGGGAGCAATAACAGTCGACCATCGAGCAAAGATGGAGCAAAGAAAAACAACATATGGTCTTCCATGTTGGATAGTGTCGCGAATGGGAAGCGATTACCCGAGAAGAATCTATTGATATTAGGTCCGTGACAGTGGTTTCTACTTTGAATGTCGTCGTATCTTCTTTTGCTTTATTTGGAGAGCACTGGTCTTGTTTGCACAAAATATCACCTGTGTATGCTATTTTCCTGACCCGTCGAATTCTCTAGGAGGCACGCCCGAGAGCCAGAGGGAATTCCTGGAAACACTTTCTGCGGATTCATCAGCTCCTAGCCTACCACATGAAAGGAGGAAGGGGAAGATACCTCCCATCGCCAATCAATTTGCGCTAGGATATACATATCAAGACGTGCTGGATGCGGACCACGATGGTAACCCATTTCTCTGGGCCTGCATGGCAGCTCCATTCTTTGTTCTCTGGTGGGCTTCTTAGACTAACACTCTGTGTGCCTTCTCAAGATATCCTGGCTCGTCTCTCCGCATATTTGCTTTCGGAACCTTCGCTGTCTTTTGCGCCTCTCCTCAAACCGCTATTGACACCTCAATCTATTCCTGAAACATTGGTCGTAATTCTGCTTGACTGGTCAGACCCCTGGACATGGGTCCGGCGGGTAAGGGAATGGGTCCGGTTCTTAAGAAGCGTGCTCATTTCACTTGACGATGAGACAAAGATAGTGATGGAGGATACCATGATCGAATGGCGAGATCGAAGGCGAGGTCAGGATCCCAGCCCCGCTGGAGGGCTGGCTGGTGCAGGAGGACCGGCCACAATTCCATTGGGTCCTGGAGAGTGGGATGAAGGACTAGGGGTTCCCCTGTGTGTGGTCTGTCAGGGGGTATGAGCATACACACTACTACCTTTGCCTCGAAGCTTCAGCTAATTTGGTTCGTTCTTGACTCCAGGCCGACAAAATGGAGAAACTGGAGAGAGATCACGGCTGGCGTGAAGGTGACTTTGATTTTATACTTCAATCCATGAGGACAATCCTTCTTAAACGTATGAACACCAAGATGTTGCTCTGACCGGCGCAGGAACTGCTGCTAACTGATTACAGATGGTGCATCACTTATCTATACCTCCCCTTATCTATCGAACTCGTTACAAAGCTTGGTTCACTCTTCTCTGGGGATACATTCGCTGTTAAAGAGGCAGTCATTTAAGCCTAATATTATTGACAGAGACAAGATCCTAGTGCCATCGAATTGGGACTCGTGGGGTAAAATTCGAATCCTTACGGAAGGGTTCGACCTGGAAGGCATGTCAACAGCCTGGTCGATTGAGATTCAAGATCCTCCGGAGCCACTTTTCAACGGTTCAATCGATGAAGAGTCGCGTCCTGGGACGGCTGAGGACGGAACTAGCGCAGTGGTGATATATGAACAAACGATCAGAGATCCCAAGCGAGACAGCACAATTCCTCACCCTGGAAGCCAACAAAATGGAGACAAGGTCGAAGTTGAAACGTCAGACATGCAAGTCTTCCTTACGGAGCAACTGGAGATTCTGGAGCAACTCAAGATAGATGACGAGAAGGATCGAGCAGCCAGCTCAGTGCCGAAGTTAGAAATGTCTCCTTTAGATGACAATGGCAAGGTCAATGAGCATATCGGACCAGTACAATTTAACATGGGTGGTATCCAAGTGGATGCAGATGATATGCTGAGAAAGCTTAAGGTTAGCCGAGAGATCTATTCCACAAAGGCCCTATTAGCTTTCATTTTCCCCTCTAATATCAATGGGTTTCACAGGAGAGCCAAGCTGCCAGTCGTGCACACAGGAAAGAGACTATATCGACATCTGCCGGGGACGAAAAGGCGCATAACCAAGCCCTTGCCAACTTCTTTGCGGGCCTAGTAAGGAAACCGACTGGGAACACCCCCCGTGGAAGCCCTTCATCATAGCCTTTCATTCTGTGTCTACTCGCTTCTTTTTTTCGACATTCTCATCTTTATCCCACACTGCGTTCTCTGGCATAATTAGGATGATACCTACGCTTTTCAATTGCATTTTATTGTATTCCTTTCTTTTTGATCGTCGTACATACATATATCCCTTGAATTGAGGAATGCAGGTCAACTCGGATGATCGTGTCGTTAGCTTTTCTTGTCTTTTCTTTTTTTTTTTTTTTTCGCTATGGGTCGGATCTTTTGGGGTCTATTGGGAGTCAAAGGGAGGTGGCGATGGACAGCCTACAAATTTCCCTCTTTTCATACCTTTTCTGTTATCGTGATACTCTTTTTGCGAGTTAACAGGACATCTGGTTTAGAGCAGCTCCAGAAAGAATTCACTTGGAACGTTTTATCTTTGCTTCTCGTATGCGTGAATGGGCTGGACTGCTTCGATTCATTGACTTCTGGATATGAAAAAAGGATGCGAAGCCGGTAATAGCAATAACCAGGAAGATGCATACAATAAGTAACACACAATAGAAATAGATAACCAAAAAAGCAAACATACAATATAATATAGTCTCACACCTTATGAAAACTCCATCCCATCTACATCTACATCTCACTATCTTCACCAGTACGTCCATATATGCTGCGGCAAGACAGTCCTCATAATGTTCCAGTGCGCAATTGCACTCCGATCCCGGTGATGCGCGAGGCCTTCAATCCTCTTAGCGGGAAGAACAGGTAGGCCCTTCTCTGGGATCTTCTGGAACTGGTGCGCATCGATCTCGTGCTTGGGCACGAGATGCGTCTCACGGATGCCGCTGCCGAAGAAATCCGCGTCGGTGGGCTCGCGGAATCTAAGCGGGGTAGCTGTGCTCTTCTTGCAGAAGACGACCATATTCGTGAAGTTGGGGTTTTCTTGGGTCGCGATGTCTTCGCGGAAGATGCGGCATGTTGGGAATACGGCTTGGATGGTACGGACGATTAGTGCAGCTGGGTAAAGGGAGATGTCTCCGGCATAGTTCTGTGGTGGGTTGTTAATTTGGTGGACTGGTGGATCTCTGTCGTTTATTTCTTTGCAGGTTATATATGTGCATAGGGAAGGAGGAGACTCACAATGGCGATAACTCCGTCATGTTTGAGAAGCGAGTCAAGGTCCCTGAAAAATTCAACGGTGAAGAGTTCAATGGGCTCTGCCCCGCCGGTAAACACGTCGTGGATGATATAGTCATATTGGACGGTATTATAAGACTTGTGGCGCCGCACGAACTTGGTAGCATCTTCAATGACCGCGATATGATTCGATGGGAGGTGGAAGTACTCAGTTGCGAACCGATGGACGACAGGGTCAATCTCGACAATTGTCGTTTGGATTCCATGGTTAATCAATGCAGCAGGAGTAGTACCGGCTCCAAGGCCACTAGAGATCTGTTAGTTGGCTGTTGCCACTTCCAGAAAAAAAAAGACCTTACATGACGAGCGCTGAGCTGCCAGCATCCGGACGAGCTTGACCCTGGTCATTCTCAACAAGTCGAACGGCCTCCATCATAGTAAACACAGCGTAGACAGGATCCTTTACAGAATGATGCTCGTTCGGAAGCCCGATCCATTGACCTCCGAGAAGACTGTGGTCACACCTCATGACTCGGTATTTCTCTTCCAGATTATCCAACACGGAAATGTACCCTGTTACCGAATCCTGTCGAGCCAGCAAGACGAAGCCCTCGTCTTGGATAGCGGAATTCAACGACGAAAGAGAATGGCTAAAAGGAATATGCACATTGAAACTGAGGGAAAACAGAAGAGATGGGATAGCCAGGACCAGCAATTTGGACGGGAGCGCCACCGAGTACAAAATACCAATGAGGAGTTGCAGGCCCGTCCTGGAGAAAAGGACTGCGGATCCAAGGAAATGGGAGATAAAGAAGTTCGCAATCCTTTCGCCCATGGAGTACACGGCATACAGTCCAAGGAAAGGAGCATGGTCGCTCACCAGCTCACCATACCGTTCGAGTTTGAGCGCTGACTGGATCAACTCCCGGACGCAACCCGCCGTCAGAACAATCAACGGGTATAAAACGAACAGATCAGTAATGAGAGGGCCAACTGGGTTTCCAAAAACCGAAGCTCCCTGGAGGAAAAAGTATTGGGCGGTAGGAATCCAACATGCTATCACTGGAAGCAGATAGGCGGCTCGTCGGATGGATGTCCTTGAAAATCGGACTCTTAGGAAGTAACCGCAAATTGCTGCAAGTCCCGCTCCGTAGTTGTGGAATATATGCGGTGGAAGAGCACCATAGACCGGTGCCAGATTCAACAAAAACACAAGCGAAGAGAAACCAGCCAGGACCAGCAACGTTACGGCTATAGAGAGCTGTCTGATGTTGGCCTGCTCAAGGAGCCCTCCGGACGGCGGGGGGCCATATTGTACACGCGGGGGTACATTCATGGCTTTGAAATGAAGGAGTATACCTAGCTAGGTATAACTCGCCCAGGGATAATAACTAGGAAACATTGTCACTAATTCGATTCGATTCATCCTGAGCTTCGCTTTCGATATACAAGCTTTTTGCTCTTCGGTTTTCACGGTGGGGGAAAGAAGTGGCATCGAATTGCGGTGGAAGCAAGCCTCCCAAAAGAAGCTCTTTTCAAACGGATGGTATGGGACTTACATTTCTTCAGTGGACGGTGGTCTCTAGCTGGAGGCCATGCTCTATGATCTGGATGTGAAGTTGAATCCTTTCGGAGCGGCGTTGCTGTCCGCCCGTCAACAGCTTTTGCCCCCACTTTGCTCCGAGCTTCTCCAGAACGTTCCCAGCTGCAACTCTCTACTCTAATATCACTCCAACATGCCCTTCTTAGCAATGGCCCACGACATGGAATCTGATCCAGATGTTCAGATGGATATGACGGCTGAGGCGACGGGAATAGAATCCCTCTCAGTTCTCGTGAAGAATCGCCGCAAGCGTTATCTTGACATGCATCCAGAGTACTTCTCTGCTGATCTCGAGCTAGCTGGTCCGCTTGCTCTTATCCTTTGTCGCTGATGGCTGATTGCGATCTTTTGTCTCAGTCATTTGCTTACAATGTCTAAACATTGCTAATGTGCAGTCCTGCAGACCCATTGTCGTACGATCGCCTGATCCGCCGATTTCAGACACCTGCGGAAAGGGAATCTGAAGGCCGAGCAAAGGGCTTCTCTGGTATCCTCCAGGCGGATCTCGCTCGATCGGAGGCCAAATTGGATGCTCTTGCTAATCCTGACCCTAATGCGATGTTCAGCTACTCCCGCGGCCCCAACGGGGAGATCCTCGCGGAGGACAGGGACGAAATACCAGCCAACAAGGAGGAAGGCGAGAAACGGTGGCGATGGGAAATGGAGATGCGATTTTTACACGGGTTTGACACGGACTTTGACTATAGAGCCGTCGATGAGAATGACGAGTATGATGACTGGAATGAAGAACAAGAGCGCTACTTCGAAGATGAAGAACCGGAATGGATCTTGGAGGGAGAAGGCGACATACAGTCTAGACTACAGGGAGAGACAGGGATCCAGGACTTCTGATATTGGACTGGCATCTACTTTTGTTTTACTCTACTGCTGTCTTCCAGCACGGCGTGGACGAGGTCGTCTTCTTTGGTATACGTGAGTGACTGATGGCAAAAGTTGCCACCTTCCTGTCGACAAGGCCAGTCGGCTGTGTTTCATCGAAGACTAGCCGCTTCTTGCAGAGCGTTTTCCCGGCCGGCTTGCCACAACCCAAGCCGTGGACGTGGTACGCTGGCAGCACCACCGAATGTGCAACGCCGTTGGGGATGTGCCGGTAGCCAGTACTCCCTGGGATATCTGGGCGGTTACAGATTCGGGGCACGTGGGACATGTGAATGCCATCTTTCGTCCTCAGTCAGTCAACTCAACTAAGACTCCATGCTTGGCTAATGAAGTCCCGCGTGCCGTGGCCTTCACTGGTACAAGACAGCCATGGGAAGAAATACTGGCGCCTCCACACTATCCTAATAACAGCTACAAGCGTTTCCTGATGGCTCTTGGAGTTTACATGTACGTATGGCTATTAACATGGGTTCTCAAACCGAGTCCCGCGTCCCTCTCGACCTTTTTCTTATTCGAAGACACTGTGCCTGGTTTACTATGTGACGCTAGATAGAACATGCACATTCAGAAATATTCTGCTTCGAGAGCTTCCTTCTTGCCTACTTTCTGCACCCTGGGTTCCAGTATCGGATGGCTACAGTAGCACACTAGCCACGAGCAAGCTCCAGGCCTTTCAGCTGGCCAAGTCGCGATATTTTTGCCAAGATGCAGATGGCCGGAACGCCTTGGCATGTCAGTGTCTGCAGACTCTGGATGCATTCCGCCGGCGCACTGTTTTCTTGGCAGAAACCGGCTGTTGTACAGGATGGGATATACGCGCTTGATATCCTTCTCATTTCAGAATGCCAGTCGTCAAAATCCCCAGACGAGTCCAACTGACCTCGCCGTACTCCACGCGGCGTAAGGCTGCCAAGAGCGTTACCACGGTCTCCCTCCGCCATTCCATGGGTTGTCCTCCCCGTCCGGCGTGTGGAGAGACAAAGACAGTATACAAAGAGCTGCGCATCATCATTATTAGGCCTTCTCCCACGTCTGGAGCTGGCTCTTTTTTTAGAATGAAAAGATGGCCAGCCTGTACAGCCCATGACGTACGTATTGTGATAATTCATCGCCATCATCAGGCTGCAGTGTAGTTGATTTTCTGAGTCACATACTTTATGTGCCTGTTCCTGTCCCTGTCCCCATCGTCTTCTCCCTTGCCATGGTCTTTCATCTGTCCTCCATCCCACTCACATCCTTCTTTCATCGCACTTTCTACATCATCCTATTTGCTACTGCTTCTCGGTCTATTCTTTCAGCACAAGCTATCGGCTTCTCTCATCTCGTGGGACAGTATCAAGGTCGTGCTTTTCTACATTGAAAACGACCAGTCTCTCGATTAAGCCGGCCATACTCAATTTCACTGGCCCGTCTACTCCAAGATCCTCTTTTGTATCTGATTAAGATCGACAAGTATTTACACGGAATCCAACTACGTTCGCTCTTCCAGCAGCTCAAGTTCAGATCTAAAATCCGTATCTGGAAAGAGCTTCTCGGGGGAGCTCAGTTGCACGAGGAACCTCAACCACTGTTGTGACTCTGTCAACAACATTTCGAAGCTTTCATCAAAGTCACTCATTCTTTTAGAACTTCGCTATGACTCAAACTCCGACTATGTCTTCGTTGAGCAAAACCCAAAATAAGGACAGCCACGATCTGAATACAAAACTGTCGAAGGACGACATTCATACCATAGATGCATCCACCAACAAGTCAGTGAAGTCGCTATCGCCCGACTGGAGTAAGCTTGAGTTTTTCCGTGATTCACAAGATGCTGAAGGGGATTTGCGGTTGACGGTCCCAGAGTTCAAGACACTGACCTTGGAGCCTTTGACTCTGGATACCCCTTCTCCAACTTCGTCGCATTCATCACCGACTATACTTCCGTACACGCCACCACGCTTTGCGGCTTTGCGCGCGGCCTCCGATTCCGTTCGGTCTTTCTTTCGCCGTCCTAGCCCCAATGCTTTGGGGAAGCGCCCAGTCCGTTCAGTTTTAGAATTATTTCCCACGGCAACTAGCTCCAACAGCGAAGGCGTCTCCTCGTCGCATCTGACACATCTGTCTTCTGTTTTTACGAACACCACGCAGCCTAATTCGGATCTTCGCTGGCCTCCGACGCCAATGTCACCGAGCACGAGTTTCACTGAGTCTGGATCCTCTGGGTCCTCGGCGGGCTCCCGGTTCAAAATGCAAGCTGCGTCTGCGCCAGGTTTCTGCTTGAAGGAAAGTCCTAGGAGATTCCTTATCCCTCATCCCCATCGCAAGTCTCTGAGCTTGAGCAATATCGGAGATTATTCAGAACGACCAGGACTTTCTATCCCTACCGTGCGCCAAATGAGCTCTAGCCTTTTGGGCGACCTGGAAGCCGATAGCTGCAAACTCAGTGATGAGTTTGTTACTGCTAGCATGTTCCCTGGGATAAAGGGGAAAGAGATTGGAAAGGGCAGCACAGCGATCGTCCGGATTATTTACCAAAAAGGATCGTCCAAGCCGTACGCAGTCAAGGAGTTCCGAAAGCAAGGCCGAAATGAAACCCAAGAAGAATACGAAAAGAAGGTTAAGTCAGAGTTCAGCATTGCTAATAGCCTTCATCATCCAAACATTGTGAAAACTATCCGTCTCTGCACCCACGCAGGCCGCTGGAACCACGTTATGGAATACTGCAGCCAAGGTGAACTGTTTTCCCTGGTGCAGAAAAACTACCTCAGGATGGATGACAACATGTGCCTCTTCAAGCAGCTCCTCCGTGGAGTTGCCTACTTGCACAGGAATGGAGTTGCTCATCGTGATATCAAGTTAGAGAATCTGCTTCTGTCTGAAGATGGTCATTTGAAGATCTCCGATTTTGGCGTTTCAGTAGTGTTCAGGGGTCGCCACCCTGGTTCGCGCTATGCATATGTTGCGCATGGAGAAGTCCGCAGATGTGCCCCGGGGATCTGTGGTAGTCGACCTTATATTGCGCCGGAGGTTCTGGCAATGGATGGTATGCGACTGTTCTCTTCCCCTCCCCTCCTCCCATACGACCATTATGAACCCCTCTGACACATTCAATCTCTAAGGCGAATATGACCCACGACCCCTTGACATCTGGTCGTGCGCAATTGTTTGTCTCTCACTTTGCTTCCGCGGTGCGCCTTGGAAAGCCGCTGAGCCCGAAGATCCAAACTATGCCGAATTTACTCGCGGATGGAAGAGCTTCATGGAAAACAATCCCGGTGGGCTCGTTACCGGTAATGATTATCCTTCGTGTGGAAAAATATTCGACGCGCTCCCGAAGGCTCCTCTTCGACGCTTGCTCTTACGCATGCTTCACCCTGACCCGATTATACGGATTACGATCGAGGAGGCACTGAATTGCCGGTTTGTAAAGGCAATTGATTGCTGCTGCCCTGATGAGAAAGAACTATCCAGGGTTACTAGTGGAATTGATGCGTCGGAAATCGAAAGCTGTAAGCTTGCAGGGAAAATAATGCGGATAAAGCATAACCACTATCTGCCAGAGAAGAATGGCAAGTCCAATCACCAACATTAAGGTCAAAAAAAAAACGCGCATGCTTTATTGGCATGAAGTCCCCGTGGATTTTCGAGGCCCTTTTCAATAATCTGTGATTGAAATCTGTTTTCTTTCAACAAATTTGTCCGAAGCACGGTTTATTATAACGCATATGGTTGTTGGGTCGGATGATTGCTCAGATGGCAGTATGGTTTGGGTGGTTTTATATTTGTAAGTCAAGGTCTACATGGCCGGCGTATCGGCATATATCGTTTTGGTGGTTTTCTTTTCTTCTGGTGGTTACTTTGTTACTGTTTGAATAATTGTCGGGGATTTAGACTTGGGTTTGGATAGAAATATTGGCGTCGTCATTATAGGAGGAGTTTCACTCGCAATGGGCATTCTTCTAGGGGAGATGCTATACCAATGGGCCTTGCTGATTTTATTGTTTCTCACAACGGCGCAGGATAAGGAAGGGAATTTGGATTCAAATTTTGCGAACGTGCTAGACTGACAAAGTCAAGTGCTTCCTGCCTGCATTCCAACAATAGACACTGTCTGTAAATGAATACATTTTGATGTTCTTATGGACAGTACGCTATTCCTGTGTAGACATCTCCAGCCACAAGCGTATAACAACGAACCCTTCACGGAATGGATAGAGGATCGCTACCATCTTTGAGTAGTTTAATTGCCGTCTTCTCTAGCTTGAATTTTTGAATCTTTCCACTTGCAGTCTTGGGAAATAAGCTCGAATCTGAAAGGAAGAAAACGTATTTGGGGACTGAAAGCAGATGGACAGATAGTCAGCCCTTACCTCAAACAATGCCACAAAGATTAACGGACAAAAAAATAACAAATCAAACGGCCTACCAAGATGATTGCTCAATTTCTCCCTCACCCATTCCCTGATTTGCTGTGCCGTGATTGCGGTTCTGTGTTTTCCCTCCTCTCCTCCATGATGCAGCGCAGCGTCAAGGGGCACCACGAAAGCAGCGACGGCTTCACCGTATCGTTCATCTGGGACACCGACAACGGATACTTCTGATACCTCTGGGTGGGATAGGAGGCAATTCTCGATCTCCAGGGGATGGATATTCTCGCCGCCCCGGATGATGAGGTCTTTGATTCGACCGGTTATCGAGATGTAGCCGTCTGGGGACATGGAGGCTTCGTCGCCTGTCTATGTGTTGCCCAAGAGTTAGCTATTAAAGTAATTGAACAATTGCATAAACAAAAAGGCAGGGGGCGGCTAAGCTCACATGCATCCAGATCTTCCCATCTTCATCTGCTAGCATCACCTCCGCTGTCCTTTCAGGATCGTCCCAGTAGCTCTTCATAAGCAAGTATCCCGTAACAGCCAGCTCTCCCGGTGTGTTGACCGGTAAGATTTCACTGCGTTTATGCGGATTGACAATCTTAGCCTCAACATGCGGCATGAGCCGTCCAACTGTGTTGACCCGTTTATCCATCGGGTCATCCGTCGTCGTCATAGCGGACACGGGGCTAGTCTCTGTCATACCGTAGCAGATAGTCAATTCCGTCAGGTTGAGTGTATGATGCAGTTTCTTCATCAGCTCCGCTGGGATACTACTCCCCGCCGCGATGCCGGTACGGAGATACTGGAATCCATCATTCGATACATCGCCGTTCTGGAGTAAGTTGAGCTCTTCGATAAACATGGTGGGCACGCCGTAGAGGGCGGTGCATTTCTCCTCCTGGACGGCTTTCAATGCTGCGATGGCGTTGAATGACTCCGATGGAAACACAATTGATGAGCCGTGAGTCGCTGTCGCCATGTACCCCAGGATACAACCGAAGCAGTGGAAGAGCGGCGGAGGACAGCAGATGATGTCCTCTGGTGTGAGATGCATGCGGTCACCTATCTGGGCGCCGTTGTTGAGGATGGAACGGTGGCTGAGACAGGCTGCTTTCGGCATGGCTGTTGTGCCGGATGTGAATTGGATGTTTACGATTTCGTCTGGCGAGAGGTTTCTCGGGGGCAGTGGGCGAGTGTCTTCGGAATGGTCATGTTCGGATATGATGGATGAGTACGGCGTTAGGGTTCTGAATGAATCGGTGTTGACGCGGCCTTGCGAGTTATCAACGAGGATTATACTCCTCAGCGTCGGTACAACTTCGGATTCTAGTTTCGATCCTGACAGATCCTGTACAAGGTGACTAAGGAGGGTGATATTGCTTCTGGGGGCTTTTCGTGGGAGGTTTGATTCGGCGCTCAGAATGAGATGGCTGGCTCCTAGATGGCTGAGGCCCGCGGCGACTTGAGTTGCGTTAAAGGACGGGTTAAGGGGGACCTGCACTCATGATCAGTACTGTCCTTTAGAGGTTTTAATTAAAAAAGAATAGCATACGAGTATAGCCCCCAGTTTGAACAATGCGTAGGTCAACTGTTCCGTTGCAACCATAAGCCAAAACATCTCTACGCAGGAGGAACAAACCCAAACACCCGTACAATTGCATATTCAATAGAATTCCCAAGCATAACTCCCACTCTATCTTCCTTGTGGACCCCCACAGACTCCAGCCCTCTTGCCAGCGCGTTGCTCCTGGCGTCTAGCAAGGCGTATGTGAGCCTTTGATTCTGATGCGTGGAGACGACACTAGAAGGACCCAGATGATAACAACAATCAGCAATCGATAACCTAAAAGCAAGAAATATCGCAACGTGAGGAGATCTGAGGAGGAAAATATACGCTGTCCTATCGCCGTATTGCTGGACAATGTGGGCAAAGTGCTCTCCGACAGTGGATTCAATGAGTGGGGGCTGGATACATGTTCAATTCCCCTCAAGAAAGATGGGTTAGATATAGTCCATAAATAAAATATAATCGCATAAAAAGGATCACGCATGCATTGTTCGAAAATGCTCACCTCTGACGGCCCCCGGGTGTAACTCTGAGTCAACAGACCTCGTTTTTGGCATGTTGAATGCGCTGATAGGAAGAGGGATGATAGACTCCACAATTGATGCGGCCTTCTCAACTTCCTGGGTTGCTTTGAAAGGATTGTTCCAAAGGAGGATCTGTATTTGTGCATTTCTATTTTCTTGTCTATGAGGAGTTGGCCTGTTTCTTAGGGTCTCGTTTCGTGTATATATATGGAGAGGACAGAATGACCCGAAGGGTGTCGAAAGCAAATATTTAAAAGCAACAGTAGCCCGGTAGACAAACTAATGCATCTACTCATAACCCCTGCTTTCAGGAGGATTGCCAATATATACTACGGACGCGGACAAGGAACCCCGCAGAATATGAACAGTAATGTGCGGGGTTGATGATCCCCCGGCTCCTTTCCAGAAGCCGCTTATGACGTGGGAGCCGGGGTTAACTCCGAACACTACTTACAGTGTATTCAATAATATTGAGATATCAATCAATTGATGATTCAATAGGCAGGACACATATACCTGTATGCATTCATACATTCATCTATGTGAACTCACCCCGGCAGAAGCAGCTAGGTGCTGGACATCGGCACTTTCGGCTTTCACTCCAATAACCCTCACCATAATATATAGAGTTCCTCAAATATATCAATTCACGAACTCTTCGCGTTGAGTACACGGGAGGACTTAATCCAGATATGCTTCAAAGGTTAAAGATATTCTCATCAATATGTAGCTGCCAGCGTTTTTTGAATTTTGGCTTCTCCAACCCGCCATCTTGCATGAGCTTATAATTATGAGGGCTCCTGCTTCCATGTGGCGGCTTCCTCTCAGTTCTCAATGCTTCAAGAAGCTCTGGTAACTGGGCATGCCTGTGACAGCAGAGGGTCCCCGCCATTCGAGCCTCCGCACGTACGCAAATATATAACGACCGTGGCGATTCCTGTCAATTGTTTCCAAAAGTCCCATTTAGCACTTCCCCTTCTTCTGTCTCGCATGCAATCGAAAAGCCTGTGAGTGAGCACATAGAGCAAACATCCTCCAACCAGATTCCGAATAAATCGTACAACGAATGGGGGTTCCTGGTTGTTCAGATTGGTCGGCATAATTGGATTGTTCTGGTTAAAAGCCTCGGCCGCAGCCTGGCTCACAAGATGAGCTGCTTTGTTGCATTACAACCTGTACCAGACTGCATCAGAATGTTCCGAAGCTTCTTTAAAAATCCTTCGAAAGATACAAACACAATTAATGTCAAGGTATATTGCCGCCATAATGTCCGAGATTTTCGCCTTTCGTTGGCGGTCCCGTCTAACCTGTTCAGCACTCGGTCCGCCGGGTTTAATAGGCCGCGACATTGCTTTTGCTTGTCGGGATGAGGAAGTTCCAACTATATCAAATGAAAAAAATAGGTTCAAAAGCGGATAGTTTCGCTTGTTATAGAGATCTTGTTGTACAGCCCAAAATCTTTTTTCCTTTTCTTTTGTGCGGAATCATAAATCAATGTTAGATAGTAAAGACGGAGACTGTCCATGAAGGGGACTTGGGCTCAATTTCACCCGGCAGTCCATCATTGTCCTTGTAAACTTCCAGGAGATCAAACTTGTGAATAGCATATCTTCTGGCTACAATGTCCTTTGCTGAAGTAACATTGGAATTGGCCATGAAGATGTAAAATCACCAAATAACGATGAAAAAGACATTTAAAATATGCGAGAAAGCGACCTTATAGAGATCCTTGACCATTACACATTTTGTCATGGACAGTCAAAGAGAAGGAGAGAATGCGTTGTTGAAGTATCAAACGGGCTTGGCAGACGATGTCATGTGGCGGGGAAGCTCACCAAAAACGCCCGTAATTCCTGCAGACGGAGCAGAGCGTCGCGCCGATCTCCCCAGAGTATATCATCGTCTCACGAGGAACCCGTTAAGGCTTCATTATTACGCGTCTAGGCTATTATTGCAGCCAGCTCTCGTCCGCACCGTTTCCATCGTTCTCCGCGCGGAGAAGCGGAGAGGTTGCCCGCGATGATGGCCTCAGAACCGACGGAGGAAGCTATCGTCAACTTCATCAGCTTCACAAGTACTAGCCGCGAGCAGGCCATCAGGTTCCTGAAAGTCAGTGAAAACTTTGCTTCTACGTCTTATTGCTCTGCACAGCTGACTGCGATTCTTCTCTAGGCGAATAACTCGAATTCGCAGAAGGCCATCAACGCTTACTTCGAAGATCCAATGGGTCTGCAGACAGAGGTGATATATCGAATAGTCTCGTGGTGTGCTCGGATTATTGAGGATAGATGCTGATAAAAAGGATTGGAATATCTTCTGGGCCGCAGGAAAGCACCTATTACAGTCCTCGAGATGTTCCCAGTAAGCTCTTTCATTCTGACGACTGACCATTGGGCAATTGATCTCTGACAAGTTTATTTTTATCAGCATTCGATACAGAGTACAACAGCTCCAGGCAGGATCCTTCCGCCTTTGCTGCACCTATGTCACGCCCTCCTTCTAGAATGAACATGCGTGGATCAGCCTCTGCAACCAAGTTCGAGGGGGTACCGGCGCCTGCAACAAACGGTGAGGCCAACCTGAAGGGGAATTAAACCGCACCCACTAATATATATGCGATTCTCAATGCAGCGGATACTGGGAAGCCACTTACCTTGGCTGAACGTGAGGAGCGCGAACTTCAGCAGGCAATGGCAATGTCGTTAAACCAAGACATTGGACAGCAGGAGACTGGAATAACAACTACAAGCCAGTCGAATTTTAACAGGGCTACGCGTGATGATTATGATGATAATGAGTGGGCGATGACCCTATTCAATGCAAGCTCTCGCGAGATCATCATCAGTCCAGACCCAGAAGATCGCAGAAGGGGGGCGGGAGAGCCTGCATTCCTCCGCCCATCCCAGGATGGTCTGTACTTAGGAGGGCTATTAACGATTTTGCATTCAATTCCTCTTGCCAGAGAGGCTCTATTGCTAAGAGATCATCTTCTCCCTAATTACGGACACGATCAGCAGTGGTGGAATGGGCAGCCTATTCAACTGCCTAAGATCACCACAATTCACGATACTCACAATCTCGACAGCGAGTTAGAGGATACTATTCATGAAAGTCAACGATTAATGGCATTTTTAGACTCTACAGAACGTGCTTTCGGCAGTGTTGATTCTTTGGCGAGCTTCAACTCTATCACTTCATACGACTCAGAAGGGAGCGTTGGCAGGTTCCTGGAAAATTGGCAAGAAGCCGCTTCCAAGGTAGCTCCTGGCAATCAGCTGACGACCATATTCTCGTCGATTGCGTTCAAACGACCGCTTTCGGTATACGACACACCGATCGATAAGGAGTTCTTTACCCTTGATCCGTTTGTAGATCCGGATCCTGGTCAAACGCTCTATGACGTATTGGACCGCACAATGTGGGCAGATAGACTGGGGGAAGAGCTTGATGATGTGTGGTTGGAACACATTGCCGACGTCCTCACCATCAAGCTGGAGGCCTCTGAACCGTCTTCAAAGTCTGTTGGCGTGAAGGTTCCTACCATTTTCTATGCGGACCGGTATATGAGAAGCTGTAGAGATATCTCTCGTGAATTTCGCACTCGACGACTACAAATATACGAGGACGTCTCCAACCTAGAAATCCTTATGGGTCGATTCGCCTTAGCAAGGGGTATAACTCAGGGAGGGCTCACGCCAAGAGAAGCTCTGGAGAAGGCTGCTGATACTGTTCCTCTTGCTTCCCGTAAAAACATCGCTAATGGCGCAGGCGACACCCTTATCACCCCGGAAATTGCGGATAAGGGTGCTCAATGGCTGGTCAACGAGCTCAGAACCACATCTGTCAAAATCGAAAAGAAGTTGAAAGGTGATATCCCTATATTGGTATCTCCTCTGTCTGTCCGCTAACCAAAAGGCTGCAAATAGAGTTGGAGCTTAGGAAGTCCAGAGCTTTGGAAAGCCTGCAGGGCTATGCCAAATTCCTCACTGAGCCATCTCCGTCTCCAGATGAGACACCTCGTTACCGATATACCCTACGAGGTGTCTGTACAGAGCCGCATGTGACCTATGTCCTAAGACGACGAGCTTCTGATGACCCCGAAGGTGTGATGGATTCCGACTCTAAAGTATGTGATGGTTGGCAGTGGTGGAGAATCAGTTTCTCTACAGACGATGCAAAGCAAAAGAGAGCAGAGAAGACTGCCAGCAATTCAGACTATCCCCCCCAGAGTGCGGATGTTGTCGGTTATACTACGCGTAAAGTCCAGGAAACGGAAGTCCTTCAGGCCGCTGGTGAAGGGTCCAGAACTGCTTTACTTGTATATGCCAATAGCAATGCATTGAGCATTCTAGAGCAACCGCTTCCGCCCCCGCTTCAGGTAAGACAATCCGGACTGTCTCTTACCCGATTCTTTGTACCCTAACAAGCGCCTAGGAATTTATGCGATTGGACAACCAGTCCTTTGAGGCAGAGTTCCGAGGACCAGATAACGATAAGCACAGTGAGCAGATCGGAGAGCAGGAGCTGAATCCAAATACATCCAATGGTCCTGGTGAATCTCCAGCTGATTCGACTGTATACTTTGATGCGCAACCGACACCATCGCATGCATGGGAGCAGCAGAAAGGACTGGGCAAGAGCGGATCCACGCAACCGGATGTAGACGTTTTTGACTATGAAGTCTCTTCCTTAGACGAGGAGAACGGTCCACGGCAAGAAATGCAAGAACGGGACGGAGCGAGTCTGCTGAGCCATGCTACCGCGACCAAGATAGTTGACCCCCCGGCGTATAGTCCTCCCAAATGGGATGAAATGGACGAGGGCGGTCATAGCCATGCTGAGTAGAAGCAGTGATGGGCTCTCTATGTCCGCTAAGAGATGCAGTTGTCAAGGGACACGTGAAGTCACATAGGATCCCAAGATCTCTGAGCCCTTTAATGATTCATATTTTAGCTTATTTTCTGTGTATATGACTTCTTTTTGTATTTATGTATGTAGCTCACTGTGATCTAGGGGAATTGACCCTTGTTGGATCACGTGGTATTCTGCCGCATAGGTCCGCCCTCGCTGACCCTTTTCACCACGTAACCGACCCCTACGGTAACCTTCGGGGTCGCGCGTATTGCGCGACCCTGACAACCACCCGAGCACCCCAGCCACCCGAGCACCAATTTTAGACCCCCCCCCTTCTAGCTTCAATATCTCAACGAATTCTATAGTATTTAACTTCAAAATATATTTAAACTAAAGCTCTACTCTTCAGCTTGGGCCCTAGCATGTCGTTGCCTTCATATAATAATTCCTCGTCGAATGCACACATCCAGCAGCTCTGGTAGGCAATGCTTATACTTAGTCCTCCACCTCTTTATTTCAGCCTGCTCATTAATATTCGCAGTATTTCAATTTATAGCTTCAAGCTCTGAGCTTGATACTATGCCTCCCTTGCGAATCCTGCGCCTAGAGGCCTGTGATCAAGCTGCGTGGTCCCTAGCAGCTTTAATATACTGGTCAAGCTCAGCTTCGATAGCAGCTGAATATGATGCTAGCATACTACCACCATGAATAAGCAGCTCTAGGCCCTCATTAAATTGATCCTTGTTGATATCATGAATCTCCCATATCCTATCACCAATCTCCCTAAATTGTTCAGCTTTTTTTGGCGTACTGCCCCAGGAATCAACATCATTGGTATTGGTGGATGAAGAGGATGGACGATATGGTTGAGGCATTTGATTGAGTATAATTGATGGATTGAATGATATGATGCCAGTCTTTTGGAATCCATGCTGAATAGTATGCTTTTTGAATATCTTCTTGCAAATTGCCCCTAAGGCATGAAGGAATTCAACCTTAGTAAATTTACTGCATCCTGAGTAGGTTGCATCTGCAACTGCTTCTGAATGCCAGTGCTTATATGCATGAAAAACACCAACATCCAATAGCTGCAAGAAATGACTTATATATGGAGGTAAGAAGAAGGTGATGATATTGGTCTTCTCACAGAATTCAACAAATTCATGTGTTAGATGGGAGCCGTATCCATCACATATAAGAAGGGTATATTGACCCTTCCTATATCTTTTAATATGCTGATAGAATGACTGAATCCATTGGAAGGCAATTATATCAGTCATATAGCCATTTTCTGATACTCCAATTGAATAGTCTTGTTGAATATCAGCAGCTTTAAACCAATTTGTAAGTATACAGCTACCACTCATGAGAATAAGTAGTGGGCAGGTCCAGCTATCTGCATTGACTGCTTCAACCACAGTAACATATTCACAGTTTGAATTTATCCCAATATGAGGCTTATTAATATTGAAGTCCCTGGTAATAATCCATTGATCATGACCAACACTGATATTGAAGCCAGTCTCATCAAAATTGTAGATATCCTCCTTTAATATCCCATGTTTCTGGATGGTCTGATGGAGCTTCTGAAACCACTCCTGAATAACCTCACAATCCTTTGCACGCTTGCGGTCAAGCTCTATAGCTCTAGAGCGACATCTTTTATATTTAAGATGCCTTCCTAGCCATCAGTTTAACCATTTCTCGCTGACAGTAGGTGGAGGGGTGTCTAGGCTGGTATGGGTTGATTTCAGAATAGAATTGGCACTTGATTGGATCATTTATGTAAGTGGCTTTATATTTAATTGCTCTAGAGTATCAACATAGTGACACAGAGCCTTTTCTTGCTCTTCTGATAATCTGGTGTTGGTTGGTGGTCGTTCACATAGATTGGACCGTCCCTTCCACCTTGCAGAGAGGGTTTGCCATTTAACTCCATATTCACATGCAGTTTTGGCGATATTTAGGGGATTTTGTGTGTTTAACACGTCAATAGCTTTGAGCATTCGATCTTCATAATTTTTATTGAATTTGGGCATGGTGGTGGTGGTTGAATTATATGATAAAGTTGATGGGTTGGAATTCTACGAAGTTCTAAAATCGGTGCTCGGGTGGTTGTCAGGGTCGCGCAATACGCGCGACCCCGAAGGTTACCGTAGGGGTCGGTTAGGCCTTATCTAGCTAGTTACCAACCAACGATACACCTCCATTAACCCTAGTATGAATTCACGTGACCAAAGATCAACAACCATATTGTATGGAGTAGCTCCTACGCCTTTCAACACAGCCCATAGGAATACTTAACCACCGTCACGTCTTTTCTGTTCTACCATGGCTGCTGAAGGTGATGCGATAGCAAGTGCAACAGTCGAACTCCTCGAAGAACGGCTCCGCCGTCTTACCTATCTGGTGACAGGAGAGACCAACTGGGCGGGCGTTCCCACCTCACCCCCGAAACCGCATAGCATAGACGACACGATCTCTCGCCGCCTAGCACGTTTAGAAAGTGGACTTGAGAAGCTGAGCAAGAATGTACCTGTTGTACAGGAAGTTCTACAACTTCGTGAGTAGATTTCTACGCCTGTGATGACGCTAACCGTCCTTTTGAAAACTGACGCCTTTTGACTGAAAAAAAGACGACCGTCACCCTGAAATCTTCGCTTCCCGCCAGAATCCAGAACCAATCCCCGAAGACCTGACGACGGAAAACCTTGCTTCGATCGTATTATCCTATGCGTCCGCATTCCCAGAGACATCGTCCCGGCTTACGTCATTGAACGATCTTCCCATCCCAGATGCTCGGACGTCGGCGTCGCTGATTGAGCTCCAGCCGCGACTGGATCGGTTAGCGCAGAAACAGGATGAGCAGACGAGAGCTATTTCAGAGCTTAGGGTGCGAACAGCGAGGGTGCTACAGCGGTGGTACGAGGTTGGGCTGGTTGGGGACGGGGAGTGTTGGGCAGAGTGGGAGGGGAGGCTGGAGGACGTGGAGAGGGAGGTTAGGAGGGAGGAGGTAGCGCGGGAAAGACGGCGAAATGAAATTTGAATTTCCAATTGGTGTTGGGCTGAGGGGTGCATTAGACGGCGTTGATCGTTTTGTGTTATCCATAACTTATTACGGGTTGATTCCAGGGAGGGCTTTCACGGAGTACCCTTATTAATTCTTTTAATTGTCGCTATACTGGGTTCCAGGAGGACAAGGACGGCCCAGGGCCCGGATAAGCTAAGTGAATGTGCGGTAGTTAATATCCAGAGTCCGTGGGAACCCCGGCAAGCCACCTGGTGTCAGTACCAGCCACAGAACCATGCAGTTGACAGGCACAAACCAGCCGCGAAGAGAAGAAAGAGCACGGTACGGAGTAATAATTATGGGCCTATTTGAGCATAGGACACTGGAGGATACTGATACATCACTGTTTTAGGTTTCTTTCTTTGTCGAGGGATCTATCCATTTTGCGTTACAGACCACCACCCCCTTTCAGGGACAATCGGCGACAAGGCCTCGACTGCGACGGTTGACGCAGTGGGCACTGGGCTTCAGGTTGCGCTATCAAATAGGCAGAGGCCGCGAAATGAAGTGCCGTCCAGGGGCAGTGCGTGGTGTCCGGATTGAGGTGGAGCGCGCCTCCGTTCTATTATTATTACGACTATTCTTCCTACATTACGGAGTACGACGTAGAATAATTATAATAAGAAAAGTGGGCTGGGCGTTGGCCCGACCAGAATCGTCCGGAGTAATTCTTTCTTACAAGTCATCGTCGCGCTTCTCTCCCTTCATCCCTTCGCTTTCAATCGACCCTCGTCCATTCATTTTTCGTCCTGGATTTCCCCTTCAGTCCACGTTTCACCCCCCTCCTCCACTCGATCGCTCAACCCCAGCCTGGTGCTGTGTTCGCGTGTCTTACAGGGGGCATCCCGGGTCTCACCCTCTCTAATCCGCCGTCTCTCGTTTTCTTTGCGGGTTCTTCGAAACAGTCGTTTTATCATCCATTGCGCCAAAAAGAAAACATCTATTTAGAATCATACGGTTCACGCCTCTCACTCTTTCACTCACTCTCTCTCTCTCTCTCTCTCTCTCTCTCCCCGTACACTTCACCCATCTTGTTCAGGGTCTCATTGGCACGGTGCTGTAACGCATTCTTGCCCGAAGACGACTCGATCTATATTCCTGAAAAGGCCCGACTCTACCCCTTCCGACTGCCAGTTATTCTCCACAGGAATATCTTATCGACAAACGAGCCGCAGATTCATTTAGATACAGACAACAGGCTGTCAATAGTTCGAGGCGTACAGACCAGTATAAGGACGGACTAAACCCGCTCGATAACAACACCACACCAACACACCCTCCATAGTTCTTTTGCTGCATTCATGGTGGCATATTCTGCAGAGACCTCCCCATCCTTTCGCAAGCCAGCTCAATTTCCAGATTCGTCTCCAAAAATGGTGAGATTTCGACTTAGCAATATATTCGGCGATCCATTCGCGCTCTCCACCATCTCCATCTCCATAGTATGTTCTCTCCCCATGCGCCTTTGCGTCCTGTCTTCTTGTGGGATAACTAGCTAATAATTGTCTATTTCTTCTGTTAGCTTGCCTGGTTAATCGCACTCATCTCATCGATTGTTGCGGACATCGACGGTCTCTACCCCTCCCTATCGTGGTGGACAATAGCCTACTCATTCTGTCTGATTGTGGGTGTTACTGTCGTCTTTGCATCTGACACCGGCCATATCTACAGTGTCGCGGTAATTCTGCCTTCAAGAGTATATCCCCTTTCGCAGTTCCACGGTGCTAACGGCGGGAATAGACTGTGGGATTCTCAGCAGTAGGCTTGGGGTACACTACTACAAGCATAAACACATTGGTCTACTCGCCGCAAGGTTCCAAACAAGCTGGTGCAGCCGGGCTTATTCTCCTATCGATAGTTATCGTAAGTGTTCTTGCTTCCCACCTGGAAAGCAGTCGAGTTGTACTAACCAAACTGCCTAGGCCATATGGATTTTTTATTTCGGCTCTACTTCGCAATCATCTCACCGTGGTTTTATCGACTCGTTCGCCCTTCAAAAGGAATATCCCGGTGCATATAGAAATGGCAGGGTGACATCAGGTGCCTTTGGTTCTCGCCAGGAGACGACCAGCCATGCACCCCAGATGTATACTTCTGCGCAGCTCAGTGGCTTTGAGACCTCGTCTCCAGTCTCTGCGTTTCCAGGTGGGGCTCCTGGATCCGATCGGCGCAATTCTTCCCAGCCACGCTTTGGCCCAGATGGCAACTCTACATCTGCACAGGACGAAGTCCCTCAACCCACAGAGTACCCGTACCGAGCAAAGGCCATTTATTCCTACGATGCCAATCCCGAAGACGCCAACGAGATTAGCTTCTCTAAGCACGAGATCCTAGAAGTGTCCGATGTGAGCGGGAGATGGTGGCAGGCCAGGAAAGCAACAGGAGAAACGGGCATTGCTCCATCGAACTACCTTATTTTATTATAGTTCGGACAGGAGCAAGACACAGTCGGTTTTTGTTTTCTTTTCCCTTTGGTCTTGTCGCTTTTTTCTTTTTCTTTTTTCGAAAGTGCTTTTTGATACCCTTGGAATACTATCTCGATATGATTCTGTTTACAAAATTCATGTCACGTTTTGATGGCTCTCTCTGGAACTCTGTTCGGGCTTTTTTTTTTTTTTTTTTTTTCTTTACAACTTCTACCAGCAAAGGAGCATGCTGATTATTTTTGCTTATCTCGAATTCCAAATGGGATCCTACCCGCCATCTCTATGCTTCAGTCTATTATGTCCAAATAGTGCTTACTCTCAGTGATCACTTGATGTTTGTTTTGAACTTTTTTGTCCTTGTGAAAATGAATGGGAAGGTTTCCGAATCTGTCTTTTCACGCCCTTTAAGGCGTTTGTTATGTGGGAAGGTTGGTCTTATGTGCATGATTTGTCTTTCTTAAAGATGTCTGTATAGGCCTTCCCTGTAGAGTGATCTCGTCTTCATCTTGAAATTTACCTGCCAGTTGGCTTCAACTACCCTCTTCCGAAGATGGCCATAACTTCTGATACATCTGGTCCCCTCCATGTACACATAGACATGCTGTAGGATTTCCAGAGAATATACCTGGGCATTATACCCCTATATATCATTTTCTTGGTTCTTTACCCTTTGGTTCTACTGCAGAACCACCAGCCAGTTGGATCACGTGAAGCCGAAGCCCTATTCCCTTACAGCCACAATATCCTCTCAGGAGAAGCCGCTGGGGGCTGATTTCTCACTAATGAGTTCACCTGTAGCGTATACCATAAAAGTTGGGACTTTAAATCTAGAGAATATGGCTCCAACTTCTTATGGCAGTTCAGGGAGCCACTCGCATGTTGATTGGAAGCTCATTTTGCGGCAATGGAGCAGTTCCTTAAATCAAGGGGATTTGAGAATGTTCGCTCGGAGGAACGTTTCTTTGTATTAAACTAAAAGATTGGCTCTCGCTTCAAATGTGCAGGCAAAATGCTTCTAGCAGGCTATCATGTTTCTCTGTTGAGGATGACTACTGCCTATTTCAACGGCATCTTCGAATCGTGTTTCCTGTTTGGGTGCGCCAGACATACTCGATTACCTTCCTTCATCTTTCTCTCTCATCAGGAAGGAAAAATACGAAATGATTGTTGTCACCGGAGTCTCAATCCGAGAAATGATCTCCCCCATACTTCGGGGAGTCTCTCCGAGCTCAAGCTTTGGCTAAATAAAGAGTGTACAGCAAGCAGTACAAAGAGGAGATGGCAAATCTTGCAGCTGCATACATTGATAGATATTATCTGGTCATCACTCGAGATCTGGATATTATTATTTTCGAATAATCATGACAAGCATTGGCTTGAATAATTGTAATTACTAGTCTAATCAACGCGCCAAGACCGTTTTCTCCTCCGACATTCCTGTTTGAGAAGGGTTCCTCAATGCCAAAACCTTTACCGATCTAAACGTACAATCTATCGATAATTCCTACAAAATCTGCGTTGAAGATCCTTTTGGTTCTACCAATGAAGAACTGGGTCAATCGGGATGAGTTGCTGGAGCTTTGCTTTGGTCATGGTGACGGGAGGCTGAAGTATGTGCAGCGAGATCCATGAACGATGGAAAAAAAGGAAAAAGGTGCTCTACAGAATGCAATTGGATATGTTTGGTTTTTCTTTTCCGTTCCTCATCTTCCTCTTCTTTTCCTGGGTTCTATATATATAGGAAGTTCAAGAATAAGAATAAATATTGAACTGCGGAGGATCCCCGATGCGACTGACGTTATAGCGTTGTAGCTTCCTAATTCGGCCGTGACATACATTTTTCTGTCGCCTCTGCAACTTTAAAATATTCATTATTCTCATTATTCTTCTGCCTACTTCTTTTCTTCATTAATTTGGCTTCGGTTGACCTGCATCTCATTGAATACTGTTCTTCATATTTTACTTTATTCTTCTCTGCATGATTCATCCACAGCTATGAGCGACGGAAACATCACCACGGCCTCCAATGTGCTGGGCACGATCGGGACCGTCCTGTGGTGTATTCAACTGATCCCGCAGATCTGGTATAACTGGAGGCGAAAGAAGACGGATGGACTGCCGCCGGCTATGATGTTTCTATGGGCTAGTTGTATGTTTTTTGTTTCTTTCAACCGGATTGGTGTTAGGAAAACTCATGTACTGATGGACTGACTGCAAGGCTCGGTGCCAATGGGGGTATATCTAATATTGCAAGTAAGCGGCCTAATACGCGTGCTGGCTTCGATTTCCATCAGTTACTAATGCTCCTGATAGCAAGTCAATCTCGCGCTTCAAATACAGCCGCAGATATTCGGGTTCTTTTCACTTGTCAGTTGGGGCCAGGTTCTGTATTACAATTAGTATGTGGACCTCGATATGGATCTTTCCCGCGGTGCATCTTCATGTATCTGATTGATGGCGTCGGACAGCAACTACAGCAAAATCAAAGCAACCTCGTTGGTCCTCGGCACGGCAGCGTTATTCGGCGGACTGGAAGCACTGCTGATTCTCACGTTGAGAGTATGTTTTCTTATCTTGCTTCTCCTGCCAGACTCGCTCGAAACTGACCTGGAGATAGATCCCGTACAACAAGGGAGTCCACTGGCCAGACCTGGTGGTTGGGATCATTGCGGCTATTCTTCTAGCAGCAGGGCTGCTGCCGCCATACTTTGAATTATGGAAGCGAGATGGTCGTGTAATTGGAATAAGTGAGTGGTTATGACAGTGCGTCTGGAAGGATGCACTGGTTAGAGAGAGCATTCGGGCCGGAATACACTGACTGACATCCGGGCAGACTGGATTTTCTTGTGTGTTGACACTTCAGGCGGCTTGTTCTCTCTTTTCTCGTTGGGTATGCTCCGATAGCATAAGATGGGTTACCTATCTGTTTGACCGGCTAACCGTGATAAAGTTGCGCAGGGTTCATTCGACATTCTCGCCGGGATCATGTACATTCTCGTGTAAGTGCCCGGTCAGTGTAGACCCCAAGTGGCCGAAAATACTGACGCTGCTCTTTCTGGGCCAGCATTGTCCTCGAGGGTGGGATATACATGAGCCACATCATCTGGCGTATTCGGTACCGGAAGCTGCGGAAAGAAGCGAAGTCATCGGGGAAGAGCATCGACGATATGCTCGACAGCATGCAGGGAGACAGCCAGGAACAGGATCTGAGTGAGGTCAGCAAGGGCAGCGTTGCTAGTGGTAAACCGGATGATGTGGAGAGCCAGATGCCCAAGGCAGACGCAGGCCTGCCAGAGAAAGCTTGAACAGGATACTCGAGAGTGAGCATTATTCTGTACATATACGAGATAGACACACATACTGTACATAAAAATAGAGCGAGCGAGGGTCATGCAACGGCGAACGATGATGCATGCGGCTGTGTGCTCCAGCAACGGTTCTTCCCTCCCGGGGAATCTGGCGGCTGATCATGCCATATTATAATTGCAGTTTGGAGGTGTGTATTCCAATGGCTGTCTCCGCAGATGGGGCAACAAGAAGAACGAGCTGCAGCTTGTCTCAAAAGTGCATGGGCACTTGTACTACTACTACTACTACTACTATTACTGCTGCAGCAGCAACAATCTTGTTCCACTTCTCTCCCAACATTCCCCTCTTCCGTCTCTCCATCTCCATCTCCCCCGGCTAGACCCCCTCCGTCGCAGCTCGCCCCGTTGGCCACTGCAAACTTAAATTCCCTCCCGATGCGCTCTTCTTGGACGGTTCCCTTCACGGTTCGCTGTTCTTCGACGGGCGGAGAGAGGCAGAGTCGGGTGTCCGGCCAAGGTCCAGCCAACACAGACGCTCCTTGTGGAAGGGTTTAAATCCCAGAAGAAAAGACAAGAAAAGAAAAAAAATTTTAATAAATTCATGTTTCTCTAATTGTACTGACTGCTGTATCGACCTCTGTTCTTCTCACTTAGATGGTCTTGCATCGTGACTCTCGACTCGACTAGATCCGTCCGAGTGCAGGATGAAGTGGATAGCCAGTCTGCTTCACAAAGACTCGGTTAGCCTGCTGTTTACTGCCTGCTTTCTATCGTCCTCCTTTGCTGCCCACCATGCCAGAGCATCGCCTGTCTCGACTGCTCAAAACGACGCTTCTGCGGCGAGCCTCGACGCCTTCCGTCTCGCAGTCCCACAAGGCGGATGACAGAGCGGAGGATCCGATCGTTCCAGTTCCAAGCCTGCCGTCCGGGCCTGCTCCGCAGCTCTTCGCTCCCGTCGACTCCTTCTTCAAACCTCGCTCGCGCAGCGTTGTATCCTCCCTGCCTATCCCTAGTCCATCCTTCGTTGACGAACCCCCTCCTCCTGTCTCCGGTTCCAACCCCGATCCTGACTTCTTCCAGGGTCAGGGGGCCGACAGTTCGCCAGCACCGCCAGCCGTGCCGCCGCGGAATAAACACCGCCACCACGACCCATCGTTATCTCAACACGCTCCGAATCCCCCAGGAACAGCAACGGATACGCCTTCGGACGATCCCCAGCGACAGCAGCAGCCGGAGGAAGAACGCTCAAAGGGCCGTCTCCAGAGTGTCTCATCGACTAGTTCCGGCTCCAGACCTGCCAATTCCCCTCCGCAGACCACTCCTCTCACCGAAGGTCCCTCCACCGCGGCAACCACCCCAGGTGCTGCGTCGAGTCGTCCCAGTCATCCTTCTGCCAAGCTACCGCATGCTAACGAGACCGAAGTCGCCAAGGTTGCTACTTCGGACCCCCCACGCCCTGCCTCGATCAAGACAGCAGATGAACGACTTGTGATCGATCCCCAATCGCCGTATTTCGCTAACCCAACGGTGCCCAAACGTCCTACTCTTGCGGTTCGTCGGCAGTCGCTTCTCCCATCCTCTCAGCAGCACCTGATTGACGGTCTGTTGGATCCGAAGCACCTGTTTCCCCACGGTGACTTGGATACTGGCAAGCTTACCGTCAGCACGGAAATGGCTTCACAGCGCAAGATATGGGTCAGAAGGCCTGGGGGATCGGCTACGTTGGTTCCAAGTATGGAGGATTGGGTGGTAGATGAGCTACGTGACCAGATCCTCCGGAAGTATGGCAATTCTATCGGCAGAAGTTTTGATTCCCCCGATATCGTCATCAAGGTTCTGCCGCGGGAAGGCTGCAACAAGAAGGCAACTCCAGAGCGGGTCTTGAATCCAGAAGAACTGCTCTCCTCGGTAATAGGTGCATACTACCCCGGGGGGCAAACCGTCGATGAGGCCTTAGTGGTTGAAGTTCCTCAGCGCCGGACTCCCAAACCATCCCCGCGTCATCAGAGCTACTACCACCATCCCGAAGCTGGAGAGCATGGGGACTACTTCACCCTTGTACCTGCTACCGGTGGGCAAAACCAGAATGTACACACTGCCTCTTCCGCATCGCACCAGCCTCATTCGATGTCAATTCTCACTACCGGTGTCGCACCGCCGTTGCCTTCTCCTGGCAGTATCTCTGGGCGACATCCGCGCCGGCCTCCGCTGACTAGGCATACAACAAATTCCCCGACCATGCTTGGGTCAGCCTTAAATGTAAAGGGTATGTGATTTTTCGTCCTTCGGTTTGATTTCTCCTTTTGTGTTGTTTCTTTTCTGGCTTGGAATGAAGGCCTTCTGACCAGGATGTAGATACCGCTGTCCCAGGGAATAACCAGCATTCTGGCCAAACACCACCAGTCCCAGCTCCGCCAGTCCCACCACCGGAGCCCACTCCAAAGCAACCGTATACGCCTCCAGCGCGTGTCGCATCTCCCCATCCAAACCGAAAAACGAAGGTAGCCGGGAATAACATGTCATCGGCCTTCGGCGGTCTTATCGAGGGTACAGTTCCCCCGATTAACGTCCTAATTGTCGAAGACAACATCATCAATCAAAAGCTACTGGAAGCATTTATGAAACGTCTCAGTGTGCGTTGGAAATGTGCCGCCAACGGTGAAGAAGCTGTCAGGAAATGGCGTCAGGGAGGGTTTCATCTTGTATTGATGGATATTCAGCTTCCGGTCATGAATGGCCTGGATGCCACAAAGGAAATCAGAAGGCTGGAACGTCTGAATGGGATAGGTGTATTTCCCAAGACAGCTTCTGGACGATCAAGCGCTTCGAGTGCCAATGCAACTTCGCCTTCGGAGAAGAATTCTCTTACCCCCCGGTCTCCTTCTATCAAAGAGGAGGATACACTACACGATCTTTCATTGTTCAAGAGTCCCGTCATTATCGTTGCATTGACAGCTAGCAGCCTGCAAAGTGACCGTCACGAAGCACTGGCCGCTGGATGCAACGACTTTTTAACCAAGGTATGCCTGGGCTTTTACCATCTACCTTAAGTCTTCTTATCACTTCCTTCCAATCATTACCATCGCTTTACTGATGTTTCATTTCTCTTGTCTTCTAGCCTGTTGGCTTCCCCTGGTTAGAGCAGAAAGTCACAGAATGGGGCTGTATGCAAGCTCTGATCGACTTCGAGGGCTGGCGAAAGTGGCGTGGTTTTGCAGATCCTCCCCTGCCATATCCTTTGATCGATCACGGTAGCCCCATGCAAGCAGGCGATGGCAGCAAAGGCCTCCGAGTGCGAGAGAGAAGCTCATCTCCCGTGTCTCCTCGCGGTTCGATCAGCCACCACCGGCGGAAATCTAGTGGACACAACCGGAAAGCAAGCAATCATTCCAAGTCACTACGAAGCGTTGCATCCAGGAATCTCCTCCAGGAGTCGTCGGAGAGTACAAGCGGGGGTGGAGAGACCTCATCCGATTCCCCGGCTAGTATCGTCACAACGGTGAAAATAAAGGGAGGCGCACTAAAAAACGGCGAACCTTGAAATAACATGAGATGAATTGAAATGATGGGTATGGTCTGTTTTGTTTGGTGGCAGTCGTTTTTTGTTAGATTGTTCTGGTTTTCGAGCTTCCATTTCCAGTTTTCATATTCGTTTCTTCTGCCATATATTACTACTCTATTATTGTTCTTTTTCTTTTTCTTTTTTTAGACTACGTCTGTCTATCTCTTTAAGGATACCCAGAATAGCATTTGTCGTTCTTTCCTTTCTGGCTTTTTCTCCTTTCTCCAGGACACATTCACTCTCGCTTTCTTTCTCTTACTTTCTACCGGTGTTTTGCAGTTTCCTTTTAATATGGCACTTCAAATCATTGTAGGAGGATTCTTTAGAAAATTATATCTTGAAGCACTGAGCAAAATTCATGATAAGATAGCACACCGACTACAATTCTATATACAGTAGTAAACGAAGCCTTGGCTGTTTCCACTAGGATACCAATGGTGTTGGTACATTGATTTGATGTTAACATGGCTATAATACAATATTCATATGAGAAGCTGCCAACATCTTCAGGTATATATCTACAGGTACATCCAGCTTTGTAAAAGAATAAAAAGAGAAATGGTTGAAAACGGAAACCAAATCAAACCTCAACCTTGGTGGGAATCTTGACCTGTCCCTTCTTCCGATCGTAGTTCGGCACACCGTACCTACGGCCAACACCTCTCGGGCCCCGGCCATCAGCACCCGTCGTCTGCTGACTAACGGTGACATCGGTGATGCGGAATTCGAACCGGGACGACTCAGGCTGGATTCTGGTGGTGCGCTTCTCTTCGCGCTCCTTTGCGAGTCTCTTGGCCTCCTGGTCCGCTTCTTCTTGCGATTTAAGAAGTGTCTCGTAGCGTTTCTCCCGGAGTCGCTGCTCGTTGGGATATGTGATGCGGTCGCGTTCATACATGACCAGTTGGGGGTGAGGGATACGAACGTCAGCGGGTTGGAGGACCTGCATCTCTTCGTCGCCTTTGCCGACGCGTTCGATAGATCTGGGGTCTCGTTTGATGCGGTTCGCGGCCTTCACAGGGTCAATCAAATCCTCCGTTGAAGATTCAGTGTGTTCGAGGGCAGGTGCGGCTGAGAAGACACGTCCGGCGTCGATACGGGTGAATTGGCGTGATTCGGATACAGGGTGGAATATTTGAGGATCTGTCAGACGGTGAACGGGAAGGTCATTGATTGACTCGTGAGCTATTTGTGGCCGGTTTCCTTTAACAAGGGGTGTGGTAGGGACCATTTCATGTACTGCGCGAGCGTACGGAAGAGCCAAGGGTTTTCCCTATTTAGGAGTTTGTCAGTAAGACAGAAAAAACATCACTGACAGGAACTGTTGTTTTGGTGAAAAAGAATTGGCTTTTTGCATCAGATAAAAAGGGCAGTCTAAGCATTCCCAAGCTGGTTGCTTGGGTCTTCAAGACTAATCGAAATGTTTTTGTTTTCTCATCATAATAAAAGGTGGAACAAGAAAAAGATAGCGAGAAAAAGAAAAACATACCTCATTCCTCCACCTCTTTTCCATTTCAACCAACCTCACCACAGCTGCGACCCTCCTCATATCCACCCCCATCTCAACACTAACCTCCCGAACAGTCTTCTTCCGAACTGCAACCCGCTCATAGATCTCATTGCGCAAATCCTCACTTAGTATCTTTTCGCTCACGAAGTGCGGGTTCAGCGGGAACGGCTTCGGGGAACGAGACGTCTCTGTATCATCCCCAGAACTACGTAGTTTCAAGTCTGTGAGATAATTCGTTGACCCGGGAATGTGATATTTCAGAGCAGCCCCAGGGCCATTTAGCCATTCGAACATTCGGGCTCGGTGCCTTGTGTTCTGGGCCATTGTTGAGGAGAATGGACGGGATTGTGGCGAACTGCATGGGATTATGTGTACGGGAACGGACGAAGCGGATGAGGAGGTGTTCGAAGATGAAGAAGAGAGATAGGGGAGGAGAGAGCTCGATGCCCGCCGGCTTTGTATTCGTGGGGGCATCTTGGTGGTAAGGAATGGGAAGTTCAATTGGTATTTAGGGAGTTCTGGAGCCTAGATCTCGGAATTGTGATACAAATTCTGTAAAATAGGGTTTGCAAAGAAAAATTGGAATATCTAGGCAATTCTGTATACCATCGACAGAGAGTTGGGGTGGATTGAAAGAAGTGAAAGAGTTGGATCGAGGTACAGAAAGAACAGCAGAATTCTCTGTCGGTTCCGGAGGTGGCCCGTGATCATCACGTGAGAACTCCAGATACATCCGGTAATATCAAAGTTGACCTATGCAGGTTCATCATCAGACCTGAGACCTCGTTTCTTGCATTTGTATTATCTGGATCTGCTAAATCCTAATAAGATTCGATGGTGTCTTATCTTATTCTATTGCCATTGCTACTTATTTAATGGCCTAAAAGGCATGCAGAATGACATTTCAGGCTATTATAGAAACACAAGGTAGAGGAATTACCAAACAGACATGATATGTCTGTCCATTGTCAAGACTCTAGGTGGTGAATTATTGACCTGGGTAACATACTCGGGAACTACTAGATACCAATTGAATTCCTTTTTGATAAAGACAGGTATGGATATTTGAAGCAAAATGGCACATCCATAGAAGGTTCTTCTGCAGACTATCCAACTTGTTTATTGAGGTCCAAGCTCAGCTTACAGTTAAGGACATCATCCCAGCAAACAGCCATTTCAATTCTTCACAAAGCAATTCTCTAAGAATGACAAGAGAAAAAAGAATATACCGATCCGTAAACGTAAACAAGTCCCTTTTCCAGTCTTCCGTCCCAGTCCCTTAGAAAGAAGGCAAAATGTGATCGACTCGCAATAATATAAGCCAGCGCAGCTCAACTCAAGCAAGGCCGTTTCGCACATGAAACAATGCGAACAAGGCAGGTTAACTTAAAATCAATGAGCAAAGCACCACAATCCAGCGAAGTCCACCATAAGCTCATTTCCTCCGCCTAGCATAACAAGATGAAGATTCCCAGAACATATATCATTGTACCCGTGTAGAGTAAACGCCTTCCACAGCATGTGTTGCGTTTGATCCATAGCAACATGAATTGCATAGCTCATGACAATTTCGGGGTGAAAGACTGAAGGAATGAAATCAACAAGAAAGAAACATTATTAGAAACAGAGCATGAAAAAAATAAGATTGGCTCAGTATTATAGCAAGGCGCAAAGAGAGATGCTTGAAGCATCCAGAGTATAGGAAGATCGATGACCACAGCGAAGTTGCAGGGGGGGATCAAAAGGTGAAGGGGAAAAAAAGGGAGGGGGAAGAGAAAAGAAGAGGAAAGGAAACGATTCCAGCCATGCGTCATAATACTCCGGCAATCGCCGGTTGAGAGACGGATGAATGCCAATGGGGAATCACTTGAAGTAGGAAAGGTAAAGATGAAAATAGAAAACATAAACAAGGCTCTCAAACAACGCAGACAGGAAAGCAAGGGGTATGAAGGTACAAACCACAGCTCTGATCCGGGTAACTAGTCAAAGCAGAAAGAGAATCGGCATCGAATCGAAATCTAGAACAGGATGAGAAGGGGATAAAAGAAACAGACAATTCAGGGAGAAACAAAAGAAGAAGTGAGCAATGCAATCATCATCCCCTTCGCCCCAAGGGTAGCCATAGAAAGTAACAGCAAATAGCGCCCATAGTCCCATGCTGTGCGAATGAACAATGTAGAAAAAGAACCAAAGCAAGAAGAAAGAAAAACCCCGAGAGCCGTAATCATGAAAAAAAAAAAAAAAAAGAAGAAGAAAAAAAATCCTAGGAGTGGAGCCCCCAAATGCTTATCTAGCTGGTGAAAAAGAGGAATTCCCAAATGCGCCAGACAACCCAGTTGTCATCAAACATGCCGGACATTATTGAAGGTGTGAAATATGTCTACCGACCCATCATGTAGTCTGGATAATACGTGTTGAAGGACCCCAGGTTGGGCGGTGTAGTAGTGCCACCGACGCCTCCAGCGAGCGGAGGGGATGACATTAACATCGCGTTCATGCCATTACTTCTCATGGTCAATCCAGCATTCGGATTGAACGCGCCATTAGCCATGGAAACGTGCGGATTTGCCGATGGATGAAGACCGCCATTCCTCAAGGCTACAGGCATGGACAAGCCAGGAGGCACTGCGAGCCCCGGAGGTGGTCCACTTACCGTCGAGAACATGTGGTGCGGCAGACCACCAAGAGTATTGGACAGAGATCCTTGCGAGGCCAAAGGATTCGCCGAATTCATGCTTCCAGGCTGGCCGGAGCGGACCCCCAGAGGGTTTTTCGAGAAACTCAAACGAATGCCAGTTTTGACACTGTTGGAAAGCTTGTACCCGTAGAGCTCGTTGAGGGCCTTGCTGGCCATTGCCACCTCGTCGAATTCCACGAAACACATCGGTCCATTTTGCTTGTTCCGGAAGCATAGTCGCTTGTATCCGCGTTGCTTGGAGAACAAGGCTTTGAGTTCTTCCTCGGAGGTGTCAGGAGGCAAATTCCCCACATACAGTGTGTTGCATGGGGGGTTTAGATCGTTCGGGTTTGCGGCAGGGAGACTGTGTCGTTGCGTATGCTGAGGGCCATAGTGAAATCCATGGCTCCCGCTTATCCCGTTGCTATTGACGGCCTGAGAGTAAGCCGAGGCGGGCGCCGGTACCATACGCCCCGGCCCGCCAGTCACGTAGTTCTGCGCCAAAGGTGGCGACGACACGTTGGCTGCCAGAGACAGGCCGGCCAAGCGGCTGGTAGGAATCTGAGGGTTCGTAGATCGTCGAGGGACCGAGATGGACGAGGAATGACCATTCTCTGCATAGCCAACAGGGTCCTTGAGAAGTTCGCCAGTCTCTTCATCCGGATCCTGGTCGATCATGGACTTGCCACTGACGCGGGGTAGATCGCTGGCACCATTCCCGATCGGCGATTGAGGAGAGAAGAGGCTGTGGAGTCTCGAGCCAGATTCGGATCCGGGTAGAGTATCGTTACTAGACTGCACAGACTGGTTCGGAGCAGTGAGCCTCTCGAGACTCTGGAAAGTGCCGTTGAATCGTGACGACTGGCGGGATACGGGCCCGTTTGTTGAGACGGTGCCCAGCAGGCTGCGAGTGGCAGTGTGGTCGACCGTATTACGCCTGGCACCCAGGGTTGATCCGGCTAGGCCATTCAAAACCTCGACGATCATATTTGCGTCGTTTTTTGAATTGGGCTTGCCATCGAGCAGCGCCCTCGCTTCCTCGGCGGCCGCAAGGGTATCGAAGCGGGCGATGGCAGTCAGAAAACCGCTGTCCTCCGGTAGCTCTGTGGGCACGAAGTCAGCATCGACAAAGTCCTTGGCGAAGAGCAGCATGCTACGGAGAGCCTCGCGACTAGTGTTCCTGGGAAGCTTTCGCATCAAGATCACGCCACCGTTTCCGAACCTTGAAAACCCGCTGAGGCTCTGGGTTGAAAGGTCCGAGTCGCCCAGAAACATGGTGCTCTGAGAAAGGCTGTCGAGCGGGATTGAAGGACCGAGAGAGGAGAAAGGATAGGAGAAGGAGCCTAATGGCTGCGATGAAGTTGCAGGGATATACACGTCAGTCGACATCGCATTCTGGGCCGCGGAGGCTGCCTGGGATGAAGAGAGGGAGTGATGAGGAGGCGAGGCGGACGACACCGACGCGGTGCGTTGAGCGGTGCCGTAGGAAGCTGGGCTCTCGCGAGTAGACTGGCTGGAGCTACTGCTACTCATCCCTCACCAAATGGCCACACCGACGCAGGATATTCGATGGGGAATGAAGGACGGAATGGGAAGAATCGCGGTTGAGGTGTGCCTCTCGAGTCCCGTCGAGGGGAAAGGCGCCCTCTCAAAAGTCGCAAAGCGGAAAACCACCCTGGTTGTAGAGAAGAGACGGGGAGAGAGATGGATAGAGAAAGAAAGGATCGAATCTGGCAAGAGAGGGAAGCAAGGAAATGATGTTACGCGACAGGACAAGTCACGAAAGTGGAACAGACGCTCACGACGACGATAGATAGTCGTTCTCTGATTGAGCGCGTCAGGCCAGGATCATCGGATGGAATCGTATAGATAATCAGGGGAGAGAAGGGGATTTTGCGCGGACGAAGCTCCCTGGAGAGTTAGGTGAAGGAGGCGATGCGACACGCCCACAGCGTGCAATGCGCGATTGATAAGCGAAGACGGTGAAATTTCGGGGGTGACAGAAATGTAGGCGTAGAACGGGGATCGAGTAAAGGAAAATAAGGATAGCTCGAAAACAAAATAAAAAAGGATAAAAAAAGGGTGTAAGAACGGAAAGGGAATGGCAGAGATGGATGGAATGCGAGGCGCGAGCTGGGGGTGGATACGGGAGATGGAAAGGACGCAGAGAACTGGAACGATAAGACGAGAGAAGGTAAGGTGTTGGGGGGAGAAAGCGAAAGTTGACATTCCAAGGAGACCCGGCATGCATTCCTGCATCCGCATTGGACGGGGAAGCCTGGCGGGGCCCGCAGCAGTCGAGGGCGCCTGCAGCGCGCTGGTTGGTCCGTGGTGGAGATCCACTACCTGATCCGGATAAGCGCGCTACGCACAGTATGAACGGTACGTACGTAACGGTACACGCGGTATTTACGATGCGGTTGGTCCCGTACGGTATAGTACGCCTGGTAAGAAACGAGCAAGAATCATCGATGATGCCTCCATAGCTCAACTAAGAGTACATAGCAAGTACTACTTACGACAGAGTAGAGTTCTGCTAAGGACGATAATAGAAGAATATGTCAACAGTCACACCCGCCATGCAGCCTCCTCGATGGCTGTCCAAGTCCACCAAGGCCTAGGCCTCGCCAGCCCAAAGGACACGGCAAATAACAGCGCGCAATCCAGGAGTCAGGAGCGAGGCGGGCCACAGTGGCCGTCAAGCAGTGCACGGCAGGATTGGCCCGTCGATCCCAGGATACACAGCACCGGGATCGGACCAGACGGACGACCTGCTCTTCGCATACTTGGCCTTACCAGGAACAGCCGGTTTCCCAGCTGCAATCCTTGCTGCGATGCACAACTGCCAAGCGTCCTGCGTGTTCATAGTGCGTGTATAAAAACAGCCATCGATCGAATACCATCTGGATCAGGTAGATAGGTAATAATAACAACCCCCTTTCTTCATTCATTCATTCATTCATTCATATATTCCTCCGAGGGACCGTGCGGAGCCCATCCAAAGATCTACTGAGTTAATTGGATCAGCATGATAAAAGTAATTATACTGAACAGGCAGTCAAGTACGTTAGGCATACTCTTCGAGTCTTCGAGTCTTCATGATCTAAATTTTAAATGGGGTCTGTCATCCTGAACTCTGGTTCACCCTTCACACTGCCACCTGCTGACTATCCCATCCAAAGTTCAAGAGTCAACCCTCTTCAGAATAGCGTCATTACTTCTCAACCCCCCCTTTGTCGACTCTTTGTGTCTGCCTGCTGATCAATGAAGGCCAAGTGGCAATAAGCAGAACCATGGATCTGCCCAAGAAATAACGCGGTAATAACCGTTGACTTCTTCACTGTTTAGCCCCTCAGTTCTTCACCGTCTGGACGCTATGGTAGTGGCCGGGGAAGTATGATACGATATTATCGAGTATCTATGATTGATGCCATCGATCCATGAAAAATGCATATCCGATACATGGGACGTTCTCGATCAATGAACGCTAGGCGTCGATCTCGTGGCGCACTGCAACGCTCAGATCACCCTTCTATCATTTAACATTATTACTCTGTATTCTATTCCTGCCATACGTACTGTTCATGTACGCATAATACTGATGTTTGTTTATTATTATTACTTTATTGAATTGGGGGGAGTCGTTGTTCCCATGGATGGGATGCCATAACATTTCTGCAAATGTGATCGACTCAAATGTAAATCGACCCTGCATGCCTTACACTGTAAATGTAGGCACAACAATGACATCCAGCATGTATATCTACTAATATCATCCATCCATGATCAACTTGGAGACAGCATTATCTCCTTTGAACTACACCGTAATACTAGGTCATACGCATTCCCATCCTGTACTCCGTACGCCGTACTGCAGGGGTAATCCGGTCTCTCGGTTGTATTGCATGGCGTGTGGTTTGAAAGCGCCATGGAGAATGCCCCTTAAGCTTAATTCGCTGCAACAGCGTTTCATTTGCATTCCAATCAGCAAGCCACCGTCGACTAGGTACCCTTGCTTTATCTCAGACAGGCTTGGGGCCATTCTCAAGTTTCAACTGTCAACGATGGCATGAGTCAATTCGCACAAATCTTGCCAATAATAATAATAACGGAAGAGAAATTTAAATACGTTAGATGAAAGTAGTAATAAAACATGTGTATATAAGAGCCCGACTTCCTTTTCTTGTTGCTGGCTCTTATCCAAACCCGAATAACATTCCAGAATAGACAAACTCTCAATGAACGCCAGGGGAAAATGTCGTCAGAATACAGTGCTATACAGATAGAGGAATCACCTCAACCGTAGAAAGTAGGCTATTGTAGTTCGCTCCCTTTTCATCCGGCGTCGATCAAGGGTATTCGACAAGATCAAGCATCGATCGAAGTAGATGGGAACCATAACACGAGCTCGAAGGGATCATTCACTTTCGTGGAAGTTTGGAGACATCACCCCAAGTGACAAAGGTGCAATTCAACTAGGTTTGTTTCTTGTGTTTCGGTTCAATGAGTCCAGCCTGTACAGAACAATCAGCGACGAGCCGCCACATTTCCGCGCATGGATAAATTGTTCCGGTGCGAACATCGACCGCAGGACAACTCCAACGTAAAAAGGAAAGGACCCTACTAACCATACTCAATAAACGCCAAACAGACTCACTTGGCTGCGCACCAACACCAAGCCAGTACTTCGCCCTTGACCGATCCAAAGCAATTTCCTTGTATGCCTTCGCTGTCCGGGCTTCCTCTTCCGACAGGTTCGTGGGTCGCTGAGGGACGGGGTTGTAGGTACCGATGACCTCGAGAGGTTTCGAATCACGAGCCGATCTGGAAGCATCGAAGAGAAAAGTCAATTAGCAAACAGGTCTATTGATTTATCTATTCTCGACGAGGAAATGAAACGTGACTATGAAGGGATCAAAAAAAAAGGAAATACCGCGCTTGAGAAACAATAATGTTGAAGAATGGTTGGTGCTTATTGCCAAAGCGAGACAGACGGATCCGGACAACCATATTGACTGATTTGCGAAAATGCAACGAGTTCAAATGGTGTCTTGGGACGAATTGGTTCCTTTCGAGGGCACTGATGCCGTCTAGTCTACTTCGTGAGAATATCGGATATATCGGAGTATTGGTTGATCCGGGAGGAAGATAGACTAGTCTTGATTCGGCATAGTGTGACAGCTAGCCGGTTGAGTCTATGATGATGTAATGGACAAAACATCCGATACTTATCCTTGATATAAAGAATGCCTCGAGGCTATAGCTGGCATGGATCTAGGGACATCCTTGTGCAGGTTTGTTATATAAATACAGTCGTACATACATACATACTGCTTTAGCAACTGATATTGCGTTGAATGTTCCGTCCAGCATTCCTGAATCAATTGACGCGGCGTAAGCTACCTCTCGCAACCGTTCGACACTACAGTAGAACAGTCAGGATGTCTATGAAGGTGTGTCCCTCTATAATTAGCTATTTGAGGAGGTTAAATGCTCAAAGGAACTTCTTTTTAGGCAATTTCTTCCAAAGATGCTGCGGCCCTGGACAAGGACCTCATGGAAATTGGGGGATTTTCCTTGGATCAACTGATGGAACTTGCCGGACTGTCAGTTTCACAAGCTGGTAAGTAGAGCTAGGGTATTAGAGCTACCAATATCCCCTTCTTAATACGGTCTATTTACTTGCATTGTTATGGAAATCCACTGATACAAGGTCAGTGTATCGCGTCCATCCCCCAAGCGCAGGGAAGAACATCCTTGTTGTCTGCGGCCCAGGAAACAACGGTATGACATGGCAGTGGATTATTATCAACTCAATGCAATTGACAAAGTTTTCATCTTCTAATAACCTTAACAGGAGGCGACGGCCTCGTCGCGGCCCGCCATCTTGCCCAATATGGTTACTACCCTTCCATCTACTACCCCAAAGAAGGCAAAAAGGAGCTCTACCAGCGCCTCAAAACTCAACTCCACAATCTCTCCGTCCCCTTTGTACCGGACTTCACCGAAGCTCTTAAGTCAGCCGATCTTGTCGTCGACGCCATATTCGGGTTTTCCTTCGGCGGTCCACTCCGCGAGCCATTCCCATCCATCATTTTGCAGATGGAGTCAACATCTGTTCCGATTCTGAGTGTTGATGCACCGAGTTCTTGGGATATTCAGGCAGGTCCCCCCAAGGAAGGACCTGGGGCTAAGTTCATGCCTCAGACGCTGATCAGTTTGACTGCGCCGAAGCCCTGCGTGAAGTATTTCACGGGCAGGCATTTCCTTGGTGGGAGATTCCTGACCAAGAGCATTCTGGAGAAGTATGGGTTGGACTGTCCACAGTACCCGGGAGTCGATCAGATTGTGGAGCTGGGTGTTGATGCAGAGGGACGGCTGTGAAGATATCCTTAAAACAAGATGATAGTCTGGGCCTCTATTAATGGAATAAATACATAACTGCATTTTCTCGTGGGAAATCTGCTATTTTGAATATGATGCTTCCCATTGCTACTATCTGATGCAACGCGGACTAGAATATCCAGGGGGCTGCCCTTGATCATTGGTAAACAACACGAGGTCCAAACTAGGCTAAGATTAGACCTCGCACTGTTGATCCTCATATGGGAAGCTCTTATAATAGTCTTCCTGGGTACTCCCGCGATCTGCAACTCTTGCTAGTTAGTGGCTTCCCGTGCAAGTAACAAGTGCGAGATCCGATATTAAGATTCTACTAAACCTACTAAGCATCCAGTATGTAGATTGATATATCGGCTCCCGAATCCTACATCACAGACAGCGTAGTAAATTGACAAGTCTTCATTTATATATAAATATGCATAATGGCCGCAGTCTCTCCTACAGCAACACTCCCCCGGTGACAACCATCCAGCCCTAACATCAGCATCAGCATCAACAATAACAACATGCATACAGCAGCTCTTCTTACATCAGGTCTTGCTCTCGTCGGGTCCGCACTCGCTAATACCGCTTACCAGGTCCTCTGGGATAATGGCGAGTGGGCCGACCCTTCCATCTTCCACGACGTCAATGGCAATGGTTACTACTACATCTACGCGACGGGAGCCAGTGGACCCAACGTCCGGATGGCCAGGTCAGTGGATAACGCCAAATCATTCCAGGACATCACGGCGGATATTAGCAAAGATCCTCTCCCGAAGCTTGGAGGATGGGCTACGTCTCCGCCAACAACGGCGCAGGTTTGGGCGCCGGATGTTATTAGACTGGTATGTTCATAGCCAATTCTTGCTGCAAAAAAAAGGAAGAGAAAGAAGAAGAGGAGCAAAGCTTGATCTAATGTATACATATATATATATTCAGCCAAGCGGCAAGTATGTAATGTACTACAGCGCCATCTCCGAGTCCGCGACAACGTTCCCCGTCCGACACTGCGTGGGTGCCGCAACAAGCGACTCCCCTGAGGGCCCATTTACACCGATCGAGCAAGCGCTAGCCTGTCCCCTGGAAGATGGGGGCGCGATCGACCCGAACGGCTTCATCGACACGGACGGCTCGATCTACGTGATATACCAAGTCTGCGGCAACGCCATGGGCAAGGGCGGGACATGGATCATGGCGCAGAAACTATTATCGGACGGAGTGACACTGGACCCATCATCGGGTCCAGTGAAGCTCTTTGAGAGCGCGGAAATTGACGGGAACAATGTCGAGGCGCCGAGTGTCACGAAGAGGGGAGACACGTACTTCTGTGGCTTCTCGTCAAACAACTGGAACTCGAGCTTTTATGATACTTCATATGCTGTCTCACATGCGATCCAGAGTACATATACGAAGCAGGGCCCGCCGATCGCGCCGCTGTTAACCAGTAATACGAAGGATGGGAACTCGGGCAAGGACCTGTACGGACCCGGCGGTGCGGATTTCTTGGATGGAGAAGACCTTATGGTGTTTCATGCTTGGGCTGGTACTCCGGGCGATGGCTACCGTCACGTTTGGATTGCAAATGTCAGCTTTGATCCGGATCAAGAATCGATCACCTTGCTGTAAGGGGTTTAGGACCGTCTTCTATACATATGTCTTGCTGTTGTCATCTTAACAGCTCTCACTGTGCTACCATTCTCTATATATCTCTATTATTATTACAATATAATTTTTAAAGCACTATTCATAGTTGGCATCGCTGATATGGATTGTATTGTCATTATGCTTATTGGCTTTGCTATCTAGCTTTAGTCAACAAGACTTTCGACAGTCATAAGGGAGATCATAAAAATAGTTCATCTAGTTCCTAAGGCAATGCCTCCCGGATTTCCCCTATGACGCTCTTAATTCTCGGTTCCCTTCCAAGACCGGCACCTGAAATCCTGCTGAGTATTTGCCCTACATCGTAAACATCCTTCGCGGCACTTTTCACCTCCTCTCCAAGAACCTTAACCAGGGTCCCTAGAGCAACGAGACCTCGGTAAATAGCTTCTGAGTCTTTTTCGGAAGAGAGGATCTTGGTCAGTTGGTCCAGTAGCGCTAGAGCCCGTTCTGAAGACTCGGGAGTGGTCTCTCTCCCACCAGACGTCGAAAAGACTGCATAATTTATGTAAAGTGTCATCGAAGCAATAGTCAGGTTCCCATTCGGGGCACTAGCAGCATTAGCTAGCGCGGAGCTGACACCGGAAATGACTTTGTCGAATTGGCTCACTGCCAGATGACGACCAGCTTCTGTCTCGAATAGATTTGCGAACATTCGAATTGTCAGCATTGCGTTATTCACGTTAAGAGGCGCCCCGAAGACGCCGCTCAAAATAATACCGGAGATAAGATCCTGGCCACTGTAATCCGACGTAGCTGTTAGGGGGGTTGCAGCGGCAAGAAGGCGTAGAAGATCCAATCCAGGTAACCGGTTGGAAGGAGGCCACTGCGTCGCAACCCTGAATAACAGGCCAACACCGGCTTCAACTACTGGAGAACCTTTCAGTCGTTGAGAAGATTCTAGTTGACTGCACAAGGAGACAATGGTCGTCATATCAGAAGGACTAAGTGACACATCTTTCGACCCTGCGGTTATAAGCTGTGCGTTCAGCTCTTGTAACTTCTTAGAAATGACTTTGAGATTCGCGGTCTTGATCGAGAGGTAGGACTTCTGAGGAAGTACTTTTGGGTGCATGTCAGGGACAGCAGGCTGTGATGGAGGCGGAATAGCCGCATCTCCCGGGCGATAACGTCTTTCTTGGCCCCAAGGGTCAGCGCCTGTTGGAGTCTCATGAGCTGTCTGGCCAATAGTTGCGCCCTGCGTATTCTGGACGATGAAGTTTGCAACTTGATCCAGATATCCCATTGGCAGCTCATTATCTTGAATGAACTTGGTCGCAGCTTCGTAGGGGTTCTGAGAGATATTGTAGGGCAGTTTCAAAGGAGGCTTTCCATCTTCGATGTCCACGTCGAAGACATAATCATAGTCTTGACCAAGATACTCCATCTTTCTACCACTGCTCCCTGCGGAGTCAACGACCGTACCCACGGCTATCCATTCCCGGGTCGCTATCGACCATGTGTGTGCGGTCACACTACCATCCGCTTCTCGGATCATTTGCACTTGACCTTCCTTCGTACCAGATCTCTGTTTAAGAAATTCGGGACCGGGGAGTTTCTCCTTGTTGATTTTCCCCACTTGCTGTTCTGGAATCGCAGATTCCTTGACGGCCTCTTCAAACTGCTTCGCAACTTCTACAGCAGCCTGACGCTCTGGCGCTCTGCTGAAGATCCGAGTGACGCGGTCGCTAGCACCCGTAACAATATCACCATTATCCTTGCAGGCGGCAACACTCCACACGGAGATTGCAGGATGAGTGATGGTCTGTATGCACTGGGTCCCGTTCCACACCCTTACTGTTCGGTCCTCGCCGGAACTAACAAGTTCGCCCGATGGTAAGGAGGCCAGGGAATAAATGAAGCTCTCATGGCCATGAAGTTCAGCAATAACCGTACCCTGGAGGCTAAAAAGCCGGATTACACCATCGTTACTCGCCGAGGCAAAATCCGCACCAGTCGGATTGGATGAGGGGACCTTGCATAGGGCTCTAATGACATCGCGAGAATCCTTGATAGTTCGCAGAAGAGCCCCAGAGGTGTTCCACACCCGTATCAGCTTATCGGCACATCCTATAATAATGTAAGCATGTATGGATAGAGCCAGTAGTCCTGCATTAAGAGCGGCACCTACCAGTAATGACAGTATCCTTATCATACGCCAACACTGTCCACACGCTGCCCTGATGGCCTTCGAGTACAGTTTCAGCTTCCCATTTTCCAACCTTCCATATTCTTGCAGTAGCATCCCAACTGCCGCTTACGACCCAGTCCCCTTCAGGCGACACATCAATTGAGCACACATTATGCGCATGGCCCAGAAGCATAGCGTCTGCATTGTCAGTAGCCACGTTACTCGGCTGTCTTGCTTCAATGATAGAATCTTGTCCCCCAGATAAGATAAGGCCCTCAGGGAATGCAGGTGTTGGCGGGAAGTATGCTAAGGAGTTGATGAATGCTGAACCGTGAGAGGTGATAGTATAGTCGTACGTTGGAGGCGGGGTAGAAACAAGCTTCCAGAGTCGAACGGTCGCATCTCGAGAAGCTGAAAGTACGACATTGGGACTAGGAAAGGCTACGGCACGGACCTAATAGAAAACTTCAGCAAGAATCAATGGTTAAGAGGAGCAATTCGTTGAACTGTTGAGTCCGCTGTCTGTCCCTGGTGGGAGGTCCGTACTTACATCATCGCCATGGCCCTCCAGAGCAGCGGAGATCTTGAAGTCAGACATACATACAACCGTTATCCTTGAATACAAGATATGAGCTTTAACAGACTTATTAAAGATATGTAGCAGTTCAGGATCAAAGATAACCTCAACAAACACAAGTCAGTGCAGCTTGTCTGCACAGGATAGATAGCTCCAGGTGCCAGCTGTTGTTACTAATCGCGGAACAACCCCGGAGAACAAGCTGGAATCATGTCGCGTCACGTGGGCGGGACGGTGTATCTACTAATAATAGTGAAGACAAGAAAGAAAGAACGGGTTTCGTGCAGGAATAAGAGGTCTTTTATAGCTCTTGTATTTGAGAACATTTCCTTTTAACTCGTGAATCCAGAGTTCCTTCTAAGTCACATGCCCCATCACAGATTGTCTTGGGAAGAAGCGGCTTGAACTACGGCACTGTACAGTCAGCACAGTAACTTGAGGAACTAAAGGAACTATAGCAACAGTACTCCAATGCCTGAAGCCAATTGAGTGAAACTGGTCCCTACACATCCAGGTAGATGCCAAGAGATCTTCAGCATGGCAGCGCATCCGTAATCAACATGGCTCCGTTGATTCCTTCAAGCTTGGTCCAAGCCATGCTTGATGTCTCAGTAGGCGTCTCACGTGCTATCCGCCTAGTCCAAGCCTGGATTAGTGCGCTGCCCGGATATTTTTGGGCGTCAGAAGTAGGCCAGCGATAACCTCAAAGACTCGAAGACTGCAATCGTCCCTCCACGGCGAACTTCAGGGAGCTGCCAGGCTTCTTCACGCGCTCTCTACACGCAGTTCTCTGCAGCCCTCTCCTTGACTCGTTTGCATTCGATTTCCCCCGCTTTGTCCATTCACTCTTTTTTTTTTCTGGAGGGCAACCCCGCCTGTGTTGATGACTTTGACGAAGTAGACGACTTTCTTTTATGTACTTCTACGTCTCTGCTAATTTCCAGGTTTGCTCTTTTGTTTGATATTCTGGACGACTGATTACCTTTTACCTGAATCGCCAGGTCCAAAGGTGTTGATTGTCCCTTCTGCCGCCCTATTGGCTTGAAACTTCTGTCGTTTGGGTGGAGTCTCAAACGATTTAATAAATTTTAACCATCTGGTAATTCAAATGGCTTTAGGTATGTTTGACTGAATTATATCAATATATTGAGACCTGAGGATATAGCCGATACTAATGGATTTGAAGATACCTCTAAAGTCGTCCCTCTAACGTGTCACGGACACTCTCGTCCAGTGCCACACTTGAGCTTCTCTTCATCAGTGGAAGATGATCAGTACTATCTCATATCAGCATGTAAAGGTACTTTAATATTTATGGCTCTTGTTATTTTCATCAGATATGGATGAATTAGAGAATGACTGGAAATTGCGCTTCAGATAACAATCCTATGCTTCGCGATGGCATCACTGGTGATTGGTCTGTCCATTCCATATTCATCTTGTTGTTGTTGATTACGTTCAGCTAACATCACTCCCCAGGATTGGTACTTTTCTAGGCCACAAGGGCGCAGTATGGCAAGCCAGACTTTCGACAGATGCAAATATAGCAGCAACCGCAGCTGCAGACTTCTCCGCGTGAGTTTCGAATCAACCAAAAACGAAAAAAGGGTGATATCTATATACCTTGTTATTGACACTCAAAACTTCCACAGGAAGGTTTGGGATACACATACTGGCGAGTGCCTCCATACACTTCAGCACTCCCACATCGTCCGAGCAGTTGCCTTCCCTATCCAGCCATCCCCTCAAGTCGTAGCGACAGGAGGCGCGGAAAAGAAACTCCGAATTTTCGATCTCACCCGCTCCGAAGGGAGCAACGGGTCATCGCCCGCATCCGCATCGGTGGGCGCGAATGGAGCCAGCTCTTCCGACTCAGTAACAAGCTACGAGATCGGACCAGGCGTCCACGGAGGCACTATCAAATCCATCGTCTGGAACCAAGACTACAATATCCTCACTACAGCGGCTGAAGATAGGAAGGTCAGATGGTGGGACCTGCGCTCGCGTCATCCCGTCCTGGAGTATACCGTTGAAGGCGTGATTGGCAGCTGCGAACTCAACACCCTCGCTATACGACCCAGTGACCCCGGTATCCTCAGCGTAGCAGCTGGGAAGAGCGTATATCTCTTCGATGGCATAACGCCGGGACGACTCCTCAAAAGGGTCGACTTTCCATACGAGGTTGCTAGCGCCGCTGTTAACAATGACTCTGGTCGCCTAGTTACCGGTGGTGCAGAGAATACTTGGGCACGGGTATATGACCTTCACACTGATGAAGAGCTAGGTAAGCCCTCTCCAAGTATGTTCAATGAAGGAGCGGAACTAGTGCTGATATCATTTTGTTCAGAGGTGCAAAAAGGTCACCATGGCCCCATTTGGTCCATCAGCTTCTCCCCAGATGGTAAACTCTACGGTACCGGAAGTGAAGATGGAACCATCAAATTGTGGAAGGCATGCAGAGAACCCTATGGCTTGTGGCGATAGGGAAAGGATACAGTTAAAAAAAAAAAAAAGACAGTTCAAAAAACAAGAAGCATAAAAGCCTTAAAAATCACCTACCTGGTGAGAGGTTCGTATTAATATTGCTACAAAATGTCCCTATCTCACTCCATTCAACAGCCAAAAAGAAAATTGAGGGCAAGGAAAGAAGATAAGAATGGAGGGAGAGAAACTTATAGCCATGTTTTATGTAGCTAAAGAAAACAGTCAGTTCTCAATAGTTAATATACCCTTGAAATCCTGAAGGGTCATAACTAAAATGAAAACAATTGACAGTTACAAAAATTGACAGTTAATCAAGTCATATCTGAGTGGCATACTGGGCTTAAGACTGTTTGCACAAAGTGAAAGTGGTATAATTCCTATACATTGTTCAGTCGGAGCCACTAAGGTCCTAAAGAACAAGCTGCTTTTTGCCTTTCCTAGCATTGCCTATAATAAAATTATGTATTTTTCGAGCCATACCGAATCCCGATAATCCAAAGATGAGAGTGGAGAGCAGTTGACCATAGATCCCTGTCCACTATAGAAGGACTGATATCTTGAAAAGGATTCCAAAAGAACCGTAGGCGTGAGTGAGAGAGGTACTAATAATTGAGGGTGTCTCTTTCCTGCCTCACTCAATCATATCCACATCATCATCTCCAGCGGCGGCCGTGGTTGCTGGGGGTTCATCTCCGGCCACCTGTTTGGCAGCAGCAGCCGTTTCGGCTCCAATGTTCGTGTTTCCCCAGTAATCATCCATTTCCTGATCAAGCTCTTCTTGCGTCTTTCGTGGTCTGCCATTGACTGTAGGATGACCATCTGTTGCCCTGTTCCTCCTGTCACGTCGCTCGCCCTGTCGTCGTCCTCTGCGAGCCGGGGATCGTTGTCCTGGAGTGTACCGATCGATATGTTCTGGAGCAGGTTTGGAAACGTCACTGCGTCGCCCACCGCGTTGGCCTCGACGACGTCTTCCATTAGGGTCGTCACTTCCTGGACTAAGGCTACGGGAATCCCTATCACGCGGGCGCTCGATACGGTCGAAGAGGCTCCCCTTCGGTTTCTCCACGTTGTCGAATGGATTTCGGTCTCGTCTTGCATTTCCCGACGGAACAAGAGAGAGATGAATAGGCTGTCCCTTTGCATTGGCACCGTCGAATTCCCGAATGGCAGTTCTTGCATCACTTAGCCGATCATAGGTGACAAAGGCAATACCCTCAGAACGTCCAGCCCGATCGTAGCGCAAAGACAATGTAGAAATGGGTCCGATTCTGGTAAACAAATCCTATAAAATGCCCATTAGAAAAAACAAACGCGGAATGATCTTCTAAGTTCTAGGCTCATTGTACCTCAAGGTCACCCTCCGTAATATCATAGTGCAGATTCTCTACGCGAAGTTTGGCTCCAGTAGGCGCGCTGCTATCATATCAGCACCAGATATTCTAACAAGAGACAAGACATCGACCATACTGGTTGGGCGAAGGAGAGTACCGATCACCACGGGTGCCATGCCGTTGAGAGCGGGATGGACGCGCTGAGAAACAACTGTCAAAAAGGGGGGAAACGAAATGCGGAATGGTTCGTAAGTTAACGCACTATCTCTGTCGTCTTCAAATTTGTCATGGACCCAGTCACTATTACTAGAGTGTCAGCATAACTGATCCATCGTCCCTGAAAATGCCTTGAAAAAGGAAAAAAGATATTACAGATCCAAATCGACACGCTCTTCCCTATAAGGCTGTTGTGAAAGCAAATAGAAGAGGCACATGTCAGCTCCAAGTCAATCCAGGTTATCATGCAAATGCCCCATATGTGTTTATTTTGTTCATGTTCTGCTGCCTTCCAGAAGACGGACTACTGGACCAGCGACTTTTGGCTGTCATGATACGGCAGGAGGGCTCGAAAGGAGAACGGGAGGAAGGACCTAGAACAATAACCAGAAAAAATAAGAGTCAGATCAAATTTAATGAAAATAAAAATAAATCAATATAGAGGATGTGCAACAGATGGGACGTGAGCAATGGTGTCATAATGTACCGCATGGGCAATACATACCTTTTTCACGCCATCACGGCGACGGCCTTGAGTGCGGCGACCACGATTCTGTCTCTGTTAAATAGCCCCATCATTAGCAAGTCTATATCTACTTCTCAGATTGAAAAGAGACTCCTGTTATGATAATTCCATCTGGGGCAATTCGTTTGGAAGGAAATGTTGGCCTTACAGGGCGCTCAGCAATGATCTCATCCAGACTGCGGTCCATCTTGGATTTGTCGAATCACTCGAGGGACAAAAAGATATATTGTAAACAGGTAGCGTTGGATGGCTTTAACTGATGATCTCACACACGGGATACGTGAAGGCCAAGGAGGGATGGATTGTTGGAATTTGAATGAAGGAATGCTGGGGAAGGCTGAGACAGCTGGAGTATTTGTTATTATCACGTGACTAAAACTTGGAGATCATCGATATTCCTTGACGGCCCATCGACTACATCCAGCGCTTTGGTGATTGAAATAATTTACACTAGTTGATGCAATGATACTATCATTTATCAATAATACCAATAGTTCTATCCAGATCTCAATTACTACTTCCCTCAACTCCCTGCCCTATGCCAGCTAGTCAAGGGTATGTGGAAGTTGCGTACAAGAAGAAACAGCCCCGACATAGCGACACACAAGATGGGCAAGAAGACAATGCAAAGTGTGAGAGAGAAAATGCAGTGTAGCAGAAGTGCCTAACAAGAAACCATGAAAAGCATGTGGTATGCCGGCTTAACAAACTCCCCCAATAGCTCCATCGAACACCAATAGTATCAGCGCCTAAAGGAAAGTTTTATTTCGTGAATGAGGGCGTTCAATGCTCTCCGTTAGCAGATTCTGAGTCATTGCTCTGATCCATCATTTTCTCCATGAAACTAATGTAATCATATTTGGGAAGATCCCGGTCCTCAAGCAAATCGGGTCCTTCGTGCCGTGGCATGGTTTCAACAAGATGGTCAATAACCTCGTCGGGAATGAGGGAATGTCTGAGATCAAGTTCCGTAACGTAAGGCTGCAGAAATGTAAGAAATAGAGGAAGTTGAAGGGATGTCCATCGCGATATTCAAGGGTACTACATACCTTTCCATCCGCAACCTCACGGAAGCTCTGGAAGACCTGCTCGGCAGTATTCTGATCCTCGGTCACGCTGACCATGAAGCGGATGAATTGCTCGAAACTCACACCAGCATTTTGTGCTAGCCTGGCTGGGCCACATGTCTCAACGAAAACTTCGTGCATCTCGTCCTCATCATATACAAGGCCGAGACTTGCCAGTGCGGCGGAGAATTCTAGTTCGTGGAGAGTGTTGGAGGAATCGCGATCGAAATGTCTGAAAACCGACTCGAACTCTTCCAGCTGAATTGGGGTCAGGTTGGTCATGTTGCGTGCCACTAGCTGATTTTCAAGGAATGCAAGCTTCTTGGAAATACTGGACTTCACAAGGCTCAGCTCGTATGATAGTTCATCGAGAGTATACGTCGTGAAGTCATTCTCCTCAATATTTGCCTCTACACACTGCTCGTCCACTTCAGCAATGGTGTCCAGGAATGCATCAAGCGGCGGAAGATTATCATTGAGTTTCTGAACATGCTCCATCTGATCTTCCACATCGCCGTCGAGACCGGATATGGCGAGAGACAGTGTTTTGAGGGTCAGTGCAAAATCATTTGCTTTATCCGCAAAGGAACGTCGAAGATTATTCTTGATGTCGCGAATTGTCTCATTAATGAGTCTGCTATGTTCGTGTTCCTCTTTGGTCAGCAGCTCCCACTCCTGGTCGCAAACGTCTGGGCTCAGTTCGGCCGGTGGCTCGTAGGCACGCAGTCGGTAGGTGCTGAGTTTCGTCTTAATATTGCCTAGCAGCGCAGCCAGGTCCGACTTCTCAGCGACCCATTGTCTCTTCTCGTTTCTCTTGTACATTGAAAATCGATGGGCTTGTTCCTTAGCGTCTTTGTAAGTTCCCTCAAAGGAGGCGTTTTTCCAAGCTTCGCGTTGAGCCCTTATAAGACGAAGTAGCTCTTTCATCCTGCGCTCGTACGAATTCTGCATTTCCCAAGCACCCTGCATGTTGTTGACGAACTTCTCCACCCGTCGCCCTGCATTTTCCACCCGCTCTAGCTGAGAGAATGCATGGAACCAGTAGGCGATGTATGTCATAAGCGACCGTTCATCGGGTTTCGCGACATCACAAACATCGTCCACGTCAAGGAGATCAGGAATACCAATTTCGTTGCTAGCAATGTCGAAGGCCAGTTGCATATTTCCGCGATGGTCCTTCTTGTCGAGTGAATCAAAGTCGATTAAATCGGGCCGATGGATATCGAGAAGCGCACAGAAAGCCAAACCGTCGTTCCAGCTGGTCGAGAAATCCCGGACTTCCACCCCTTCATAACAAGCCGTCTTCCTCTGACACCAGAGCAAAAGCCCTTCTTTAGCAGTCATGCCCTCGGCATTGATATCGCTGATGGTGAACCTCAAGATGAGAGTCCATATCAAACCCAGGATAATCTTCCGATTCCCATCCACGATATCTTCCGCACCGATATTGGTCATCTGTATCCCCCTCCCCTTGATGAAATCGAGACTTTTATTAACATTTTCGAACTTCTGAACCCGCAGCTTTGGTTTCGAGGCATATCGACCGAGGGACTCGCCGCCGAGGATTTCGAGGAGATGAATGAGGATAACCTAGACAAACCGACAACCCGGATCAGTAACTGAGGGGCGTTCGGAGTCATGCGGGTTAACTTACGCCATCGCTCAGATCGATGACAAGGTCGTCGATAAAAATATTACGAACTTTCAATTTATCGTTGAGCCTGTTTTGAATAAAGTTCGGATGTCTTGGAGTCAGTCAAGTTGCTGGCGAAACAAAAGCAGTAGAAAGGACGGGGGTATCGTTCCATGGATAGATAAAAGCAATCCGAACTGACCATTTCGTAAAAGTCTTCTGCTGTACATTAATCCACTGCTTCTCAACGGTCAACATGATGAATACCGCAGTCGCGCATCAGCGCTTTGACGAGAGTGGCGTAGCAAGGATCCCAGTATGCATTCAATAAACGCTTATCGGCAGATCCCTGGTTATATCTGAGGGAAACAAGTCGAACGAGAGTTGTATCAGAGGATCAGGCAATTAAAAAGCAGATTTTGCATGGGCGAGTTTGTCCATCCATGTAGGGCGGATCAGGCGTGGTGGATTGGGAGTTGGCCCTTTCTCGTTTGGCAGACAGAGCGACAGCTGCTAATGTACGGTAAGAATAAAAGTGGGCGGGAATGGCCCACAGCAACAACAGCCCCTCTGTTTGTTTTCTACGGCTCTGTCAGGCCAACCCTCAGCCTCGATTTCCTTGCTGTTCATTCAGCTCTTCACTTCCTTGTTTTCGAGAAAATTCAGATGCCGAAGCAACGGTCTACTTTGCAATTGTACGGGCAGAGACACGTTCGTTCCCTGACAGGTCCGCCGCTAGAATAGCTGCAGAAATAGCGCCCGAATAGGTTGACAGGAATCCAGTATCTACGCTGCACGCTGTACACTGACAAGGTCTAATATTTCAACTGGTCGAGATTCTAGAAAAATAATAATAACAATAATAAATAAACAAAATCAAATAAGGAGTTGTAGGAGTATAGGACCAGTCGACAATGTATCCACAACCCTACCACGGTTAGGACATTGCCATCCTGACCATTGTATCCATGTATCCTATCCAGAATTCCAGATACTTTTCGACGGTTGATGCCAGTTAAATAATACCTATGAAGTCGCCCTGAGTATAATGTGCCAGTGTTGATACATCAAGTGCCACGGACTCTTACAAAACATCACATCAGATCCTGTAAGTCCATATGAATCCGAACCCATCAATGTTTACGAAATAATAGATATCTTCTCATTACTATGGCCTATGCTCACCGGTCTGTCTGTTCCATAGGAAGGTAAACTTGCATTGCGTGCCCAGATATACGATGATATCATTTCACCGGGTTCCAGAGCGGGGCAATTGGAGGAACAGAAAAGCAGTAACCACCTCACTCGAAAACTTCGACCCATGAATCCCTGGTCTCTTTTCGCCTGAAAAAAAAAGACCCCCTATTCCCAAACCACCATGTCGTCTAACTACTCCATCGCAGACCTTTTACCCCTTCCGAACTCGAATGTCCGAATCCCACGCCTTGGGTTTGGCGTCTACCGTTCCCCTACAAATCAGTGCGTACAGTCCTGCTTGAATGCTCTGAAGGCGGGATATCGACACATCGACACGGCTCAGTTGTACGGGAACGAGAAAGAGGTCGGAGAGGCGATTCAAAAGTCCGGTATTCCCCGCAGCGAGATCTTCGTCACCACCAAGATCCTCAGTCCCGGAGGTTCGCCCGAAGCTACGTATAACAAACTACTTGCCAGTGTTGAGAAAATCGCGGGGAAAGACGGATACGTCGATCTGTTTCTAATCCATAGTTCTAAGTCCGGGCCGGCTGGTCGCAAGGAGCTCTGGCAGGCATTGGAGAAATTGTTGGCTGAAGGCAAGACAAAGAGCATCGGAGTTAGCAATTATGGCGTACAGCATATTGAAGAGATGAAGGAGTATGCCAAGGTTTGGCCGCCACATGTAAACCAACTGGAGGTCAGTGTGTTGCATTGCTCCCAATGCTCTTGGCTCTCTCGTTTATCATCTACTATTTCCATGCAACTCTTAGCTCACATTGAATTTGTATATGCAGCTTCACGCATTCAGTCAGCAGCGGGTAATAGACGCGTACTGCAAGAAGCATGGAATTGTTGTCGAAGCTTATTCGCCCATTGTGCGAAACTATAAGGCCAATAACCCGACGTTGGTTGAACTAGGGAAGAAATATGGAAAATCGACCCAACAGATACTGATCCGCTATGCGTTGCAAAAAGAATGGGTACCACTCCCCAAGTCCGACGACCCATCACGAATTGTATCCAATGCCAATGTTTTTGATTTCAACATCAGCGAGGAAGACATGGCCGTATTGAATGCCCTTGATCAGGGAAGCGCAGGAGCTATCGTGGAAGCTGTTCAGAATGAGTGAAGGGTCCGCTTCTATTCCAGGATATATGGTCATCGCAACTTCTAAAAGCCTTTAGTAGTCCGGCCGCTGCATGAGGAACGCATTGACCGATTGAAGTGTGGATCGGGATGGATTCACGTCATGTTTTGATGACACAATCCAAGCAAGCCGTTGTCGGATGAATTGCTTGTTGATAGTATTTTCTATTTGAGGAGTAATGAAATCTCCTGGAACGTCATTAGCAGGAACCCCTAATAAAGTATAAATGATGCAAATAAAAATACCCTCTTCGTTATAATACAGACAGAGTATTGCCAATATCGCTCCAGCGGAGAGATCTTTACCAGATTCGCATGTCACAAGTAATGATCGCGATGGATCAGTTAGCAACTGAGAGTTGATAAAATACTGAACTTTGTCCAAAGATTTTCGTAGATCGCGGCTTCCCAGCTTTGACGAGCCGCAACCGAGATTCAATCGCTTCGGGTCCGCTTCTGAAGCTGCCGGTGTCCCATTGCAGTCGATAACGAGATCGTAGATGCCAGAGTCAGTCAAGCTGGGGTCATTTCGACCAATGAAGATGTTTCTTGTCGGCTTAATGAGAGAGGCTTGTTGGTTAGGGCCCTCTTTACCTTGCTGCTCCATCAGTTTCTCAATGAACCCTGGTAAATCCTCTTCCGACGTGTTCAAGAGGGCGTGCTTATTCGCCCAGAACACCGGGGGAGTTAGACCGTGTGCCCAGCTCTCGCTGTCATCTCCGGCCCCTTGGATGTATCCTCCCTCCGACATTTCGGCACCATGGACCCGTTTAGAAGCCGAACAGAGAACGAGTAGATTATAGCCCTCGCCCTTATACAGATCTTCCGGATAAAGGTAAGATCGGTTTGCCCATGCTATCCGAATGGGCTTCCCCAGCTGTTCCCTGAGTTGATCCAAATCAAGTTTCAGATCCTACATTTCACGTTGGTCAGCAAAACAGCCTTTTTTTTTTTTTCAAAATGTCGGACACAGACAAGCGACAAACCTGGAGAGATTTCACAAAACTGCCAATCCTTTGTTCGATTTGCGATTCCTCCGATGCACCTAGATAATCTGGCGGAAACTGCACGGCATGATAGGCAGTGTCGGAAGGAAATAGCGCTCGGTTCATAACAGCGCACCATATTGGGACGGTTTTGGACAAGGCATCTGGCATGACTGTCTCGATCCAGTCAACACAATCCAGTCAACGCAAGTTTCCCATTTTGGTAGCTATAGCATCACTGCACGACTCCTTTGACTTGAGATGGACACAAGGAGAGCAGAAAAGATCAACTGAAATGGCAAATCAACGTTAAAGATGTACCCACGTTTTCCTCTGCGCGTCGAATCCACGATAATACACCTGCAGCATGGTTAGCCTCGGACAGGGAAACAACACAGAGAAAGGGTTTCGGTAGATAGGATATTTACCCTCCATGCTCGCGAGCAACCGGAAGGAGTTGAAGATTTAGCCTGCGAAAGCTGAAGTCCCATTGGCCCGTGTGGCCATCGGTGCTCTTGAAGTAGACGCTGCCAGCTTTCAGTTCCGATGGAATATACCAACTTCCACATCTCTCGTTGGCAACAAGAGGGAGATCGTAGTGATCAGAGATCTCTTGGACGAAGAGAGCATCTGTCTCGATGGAAGAAAGCCTATTGGCGACGGAGAGGGCTGAGCGCCGCAAGGACGAGAGAATCTGAGAGACGGATTGCTCGGCGGAGGGAAAATGAAGGGACGATAAGGACACGGGATAGGCGTCGGAACCCATGTTCTATGTGTTAGATAGCAGTCAACCTTGGCTGTTTATGCTTACAGAGGAAATATACGCTGTAGACTGGATGTTCAACGGCCTGAAGCGACAGTCAAAATTCTACGGTTGAAGAGCCAATCAAAGCACGGAATCTGATTGCAGACATCTATATGATCTATCCATGTACAGCTTATACTTCAATGCTGCGGATTCTCGAAAGCAGGCATGTATTTAATCCTACAGAGCATTCTGTAGATGCAGCTATTAATGAAATCCCTGCAAGTTACAGTTGCCCGTACCAGCTAGTAAGAAGAGGATGCTATTCTAGGAGATATGGTCTGTCCTTCGATCACCCAACAGGCCTGCCCCTGGTTTTGATGGACTGTCCATGGGATGAATCGTCCAGTTGCAGTTCAGCGAAGGTGATATGACTGACCATGTGGTCTCTTGGTCCTGTAGCACCGTCACATCGTACTCCTAGGGGGTGTTGTTACTCCCGCCGTCTCTCACAGACGATTCCAGTTATCCTGAGCAGTCATCCACCGTAATAGATTCTGACAGCCTATTAGATCCGCATAGAATGGCTTCGAAGGCCTTGGCTTACTCCGCAGACGACGGGCGGAAAGCCGGAGGACTGACGGCCGCCAGGAGAAAGAGGGGTGCATAACGTCACGGTATGACGTAGTAGATGCTCTGTCGCAGCGATCCGTCGTCATTATTGCTTGGCTCCCAGTAATATTCGCTTTGGCATCGTGGTTACTTACGGCGTACGGAAGGCCTGCGTGCTATTATTTAAGAATTGCGGCTGCCCCTTCCTCCCCCTCATTCACTCTCTGCCTCTCCACAGTCCCTTCCCCAACTCGTCGTTTCCTCCCTTCAGATTCCCCCTCGTCTCTGTTCTCCTTCATTCCACCCTCACCTCTCAATCACCATCACCATCCCAATTGCACCTCCCACAGTCTACATCATCCATTGCCTTCATATTTCGCTCCTGTTGAACCCTAAAGATACCCCTCCGTGTCGTTTAGATCCTCCCCGTCACCATGACTAAGGTATAACTGCTCACCGTCCCAGGGCATTGCTGGCCGGTCTCACTGACAACTGATTCCCTACAGATCACCCAAATCTTCTTTGACTGCGACAACACCCTCGTCCTCTCGGAAGAGTTGGCGTTCGAGGCGTGTGCAGACCTTGCCAACGAAATCCTGGCCAGCCGTAACATCCCCGATCGTTACACCGGTTCCCAGCTCATCCAGGACTTTGTGGGTCAGAACTTCCGTGGCATGATGGTTTCTCTTCAGGCCAAGTACAAGTTCGAGATCCCCAGTGACGAACTCGAGCGCTACGTCAAGGAGGAAGAAAACAGGGTCATTGCTAAGCTGGAGGAAAGGGCCCAGCCATGCCCTGGCGCCAATGCTGAACTGGAAAGGGTCCACAAAGCTGGGAAGTACGGGCTCGCGGTGGTCTCTTCTTCGGCCCTGCGTCGCGTTCTGGCTTCAATCAAGAAGGTTGGCCAGGACAAGTACTTTGATCCGAAATTTGTCTTCAGCGCTGCGAGTTCCCTTCCCAAGCCCACCTCCAAGCCTGACCCTGCCATCTACCAGTACGCTCTCGAGATTGTTCGCAGGAAGCCCGAGGAAGCTGTCGCCATCGAGGACAGCAAGAGCGGTGCTCTTAGCGCTATTCGTGCCGGTATCCCGGTGATCGGCTATGTCGGCCCTTACGAAGGCGAGACAAAGAAGATGGAGATGGCGAAGTTGCTCACTGATCTTGGTGCCAAGGTTATCATGAGGGATTGGGCCGAGTTTCAGACCTGTCTTTCGCAGATCGAGGCCGCTGAGTAAGTGGATCGCTGATCCTAACACTTGGACTCTTTCATACCTTTCTATTCTTCATTTCTCTTCAACGAGATAGACGCGAGGCTGGGGGTAAGTGTTCTACGTGGCATGCAAGTGAAGCAAGATATCTCAGACTAACCACAATATAGTGGAGTTTAATGTTACGTCTGACTAATTACACGATCTACGGTAGCACCAAGGAAAATGATCATGGAAAGCAGGGTGCTTCCGCTTTCCACACGAAGTTATGATTTCGAGCGCGGTGGCCGTTATGGAGTCTTCGTTTTCTTGCAATTTCTCTCGTGGACTTTCGGGATGATCGTTTCGGTATTCAATTCGAAGCTCTAAGGCTTTATTATGCGTTGTTAAGAAGACAGGTTTTTCGAACAGCATCTTCAAACGGCTGTATTACTAGCATAGACAGGTTAAGATTAACGGAGAGACTCCTAGTCGCTAGGGTCAATGGCCTGCGGTAATACAATGCATGAGAGTACCAATAGGGCAACTTTTCTTCGTTGGAAGACTACATCAACTTGTAGCATATAGGCAATGGGCATTGCTATCAACAGCGTACTCTATACTGTCCCCGTTCAGCCGCTGGCGTGCCAGGAAATACGGGATCTGGGGAAGCCCCACGTGCATAGTCCTGAGCAAGTACTCGGCTCTCACTGCCACCTCCGTACTACCATAGTGCATTATGCAGTACATGGTTGTATACCTGCAGGAAGTATATGACATTCCGTGAAATTTTACATGCGAATAGTGAGATCTTCAAAATGCTCCAAAGATGACGCTGCAAGCATGTGGGAGAGAAAATAGACACGTGATCTCTCCCATTGATTGCTGATTAGATTAGGGCTAGCCCCGCTGAGGGGTTCTGCGGATTGCCCAACGTCCGGAGCAGTTGGAACTACCAACACCGAGCTCCATACAGCATTGCAGTGTGAGAATATTTAGCCGTGCGCGTATTTAAGATTTTCAATTAATCTATTCCTGGCTGGTATCCCTGCACAATTCTTTGTCCGTCCCTGTAATCTAATACACCCCTCATGCTCGATCCAAAGTACGCCAAGTCCGAATTCATATCTCGGGGACCTTTGGTATGGACATTGATAACGAATCCTTTGTTTGTTACTTGAGTCCTCTATCCTTATGTTTCGGTTATATACCTGCAATTTGCTTTGTTTACCAACAGATGACAATGGACATTTTGACTAACTACCTCAGGACCCGGCCGAAGCAAAATGGGCAAGACTAGTCAAGACAACATACCGCGATCCTCTGGGCGTCGAGAGGACCTGGGAGTCTGGTGAGCGTCAGGTAGGATTATGATCCACTCGGTCCCTTGCTCCAGACAGATGCCTAGGTAGACATGCTTAACTTAAGCTAACAAACAAAATAAACAGACCAGACCTGCAAACTGTCCCATCGATGGCGTCGGAATCGTGACTATCCTCAACAAATCTACCGGTCCAGAACTTCTCCTGCAGAAACAATATCGGCCCCCGATTGATATGGTTGTCATTGAAGTCCCTGCCGGTCTCATAGATGCGAATGAGACACCGGAGATTTGCGCGGTGAGGGAACTCAAGGAGGAAACGGGCTACGTGGGTGTAGCGGAGACGACGAGTCCGGTTATGTATAATGGTATGTTTGGCTTCTTTTTGTTTGAGATGAATATGACCCTTTGTTCTTTGTCATGTGCACTAACAAAGAAATCACTCCCTTTTTTCATCCCAATTTTACATCCTTTGTTACTGATTTTTTTTTTTTTTTCTAGATCCCGGGTTTTGTAATACGAATCTCAACATGGTCCATGTCCATGTGGACATGTCTCTGCCAGAAAACCAGAATCCGAAGCCGCAGCTCGAAGATAATGAGTTCATCGAGTGCTTTACCCTTCCGCTGGCCTCGTTGTTTGAGGAACTGAAGAAGCTTGAGGCGGAGGGCTATGCGATTGATGCGCGTGTGGGGACAATAGCGGAGGGCATCGAGCTCGCCAAGAAGTGGCATCTTTAAGTTATGGATGTAAAGAGATTGGGGTCTCTTTAGTTCTTTATACGTGCATGTATATAGGCATTGTATATGTGTATGTATGTATATGTATGTATGGTATCATCTTGTCTATCTTCTTAAATAATATTTCATTCGTTATTTACTAAATCTTCCCTTCTTGTTTCAACCCATTATACAGAGCCCAGGCAGCGAGGGTCTTCCCATCGCGCAACCCCTCCTTCCACAAATCCTCCAACGGCACAACCTTCAATGTAATTTTCTCCCCCTCCTGCCGCAACCCGGTCAATCGACCCTGTAATCCCTCGATATCCTTGCGGGCCAGCCGCTTTTGGCAGAGGAACAAGGGAATGAATTCATCGCTTCCACCGGGAGACGGGTAGACGGCTTTCTGTAACGACTCGTTGTCGTCGCCGCGGGGTTCGAAGACACGCTGCAGCGCGAGAGATGACATATCGATGAGTTCGTCCTGCGGGATCACGAGACCCGTTTCTTCGTGGATCTCCTTTGCAGCACTGCCGGCGAATGTTCCGCTGTCGTCGAGCATACCTGCGGGGATCTCGGGGAAGGCGAGGGATCCAGCGGGGATGCGCGGCTGAACAGTTAGGATGGCGCGTTTCCCTTCTTCTGTTAATGGAGGTGCATCGTCCGGTTGGAGAATGAGCTAATAGTTTGAGATTGGGTTAGCGTTGAGTTCTTTTTACTAAGTATTCCCCCCAGTGGTATTACGTACCAGCATGCCAACGCTGCCTCCTCTTAGAAATACGCTACCCGGAAGAGTTTCGCCCTTACCATTGGACACGTCCGCCTTCAGTTTGACGAAGCCCAGACGACCGCCTTTGAAAAAGTCCGCGGCTTGGATGTTGATCTGACGTAGGACATAGGGGTCTTTATGGAACTCGTGCGATGGTCGCTGCTGGAGGGACAACGAGTGTTGCAGTGTCGAGAGCCAGATGTTGAACGCTGGAAATCGTAGTAGCTGGTCCTTGGAGAGGTCTGATGTGGAGTGGACTGGGAGAGCGGGTGCGTAGTCCGAGACGCGGTCGGGGATTGTGAAGCTGGTCATTGTAGCTCTGCACAGTACCACGGGCGGCAAGCTTGGCTTGAGTCGTAGAAGATGCAGGACTTGGCGCGCAGATAGGCCCATGGATTAAACCACCTCGTTTAATTTAGGGGGTTTCTGTAATCCTCCCAGAGCTGTCTCAAGGCATTTCAGTGACGACAGAGCGAGGCCGAGGCCGGCGACGGATGACGTCGTCGACGGTTGCGGGTGCAGATGCCGATCAGGGAATATAGCTAGGAGCCGTCGAGATGTTGATAAATACAGAAACAAGGTCGCATCCCGGCCGTCTGTGTCCAGACGGGTTAAAACTCAATAACGGAGATGTCTTATCGTGGTCTCACTTGATTATTTCGTCTCAGCCTGTTGTTGAAACTAGCGACCGGTCTCTCCCGACGCTCTTCCTGCCCAAAGCACTGCGCCACCTGCTAACTGGGCGTGGATTGATCTGATGCCGTCTGATGGGGGACAACAACCGCGAGAATAATCCCTGTTTGTGCGTGTATTGTGCGCGAATGAACTGATATATGCTTGGTTGGTCGGCGCAAAACGTTGTTTGGACGTCAGCTTGCTGGGCCGGGTCTCCTTCGTCTGGCTCCGTCCAGACTTCACACCGAACACGTTGCATTCCTCTCGGATTGCCTGTCCTCGTCCATATTATTATTCCCAGGATCCCACTCTTCTTTCTTCTCTATCTGATCTCTGCGATCCAACGCGCGCATCTTGAGCAGCAAACACTGCTGGACAGGTCTTGTTGCTCCCGCATCCTTCTAGTCTCCGAGACCGTCGGGCTCGACATCGCAGCGTCAAGGGTGCCCTTTTGCCCATCTAGGATGGACACGATTTGGTGATATGCAATAGTACTCGCAAGAAGACTGTCTGCTCTGTCTCACGGTCTCCTCTGTCTACGTCTTGTTTCCATAGGCCAGGCCATGCTGACGTGGATTCCCCCGTTAGAGCATATCGGAGGTTCCCAGCTACATTCACTTGTCTACTATTGTCCACGCCCTAGAGACTCACTTCTTTGTCGAACCCTCCTGGGTCCCGGTGTCTCTCATCAATGACATTCCAACCGGAATTCTACGACCGTGTATATCGAATACTGCAGGAATCGGGGTCTGTTGTCTCCTATATAAGAAATGCCCAACCCCCACATGCTCTTCTCTGCATTTCCCCTCTCATTGCTTTCTACTTCCTTCCTCCAACTCATTCACTGCGGATCATTCACTCTGAGGGATAATTACTCATTTGCTCGAATCTTAGTTGTCCAGACCATCCGAGCGTCCGGAACTTCTTGAGCCCGGTCGATTGGCTGGCTGCGGCCAATTTACTACAAATTACAACGTTACCTTGATCATTTCTTAGATCTTGCTTGCCTACTACTATCTCTACCAGTCCGACTTCCGATCGCTGATCCTACACTCGAACCCCCATCTTCTCCTCCAGAGTTCACATCCACACTTCCAAGGAAAAGGATTTCATTGCGATAGTATTGAGGTAGTACGGGACCAGATCCAGCCCAGTCGCTGTGTATTGACGAAGTATTCTTATCACTCTGCGAATCCTTAGAGGGAGGTCACTCGAATCTTTCACCCTTTTTCTTGGATATCGAATTTACGGACAACATGGATGCAGCTGGTTCGGTACGCCCGGTTAATGCGGACTCTGGTATATCCTCCTCAGCGGGACAATTGAACCTACAGAATAATGTCAATCAATATTCTGCTGTAAGCTCAGGAACGCCCATTCAGCCTGGCCCAGGTGCCCAAGGTGAAACCCAGTATGGAAATTCTAACTCGACCACGACATCGAGCAGTCAAGGTATGTCTTCAAAACCCCCTTGGGTCCAATGACACGACGACTGAGTCGGCTGCTTCGAAAGAGCCAATCGTAAATTCATATAGACTTGACTTCCCAGTGCCTGGGATAAATGTCCGGGTGCCAGGCACTGCACCTCAGTCTTTCGGGCCTAACACTGGCAACCCCGTCGAGCCAAGCAGCAATAACGAAACGCTTGCGACCCCGCGCAACATCTTCGAGGGAGGCAACGCTCTTCACTACGGCCAAGACCGTCCTAGTGGATTCGAAAACAATTGGCAGGACTACTCCCTGGGTGAACTTCACAGGCGCTCCATGGCTCCCATTCACACAGCGCCACATCTGGTGCCTCCGAATTCATTCTACGTTAGCCGGCCGCCTACGCATATTTATCCGCATCCTGCACCCCTTTTGCAGCCTGTGACTGCACCCCCGACAATGGCGCCTCCTTCATATCAGTTTATCAATCCAGCACCGGTAAACATGCCGGTTCAGGTAGAAACGCAGCCCATGTTGAGCAAGGAAGCAGAGTCTAACTTATCACAGGCACTCCCTCGTCCTGGTCGCTACATGCATTTCCCGCAGTCTGGGGCTTCTCCGGTAGTCAACCAACACAGGAGGCATAACCGCACGCAGAGTCTAAATTCGAATACGATGTCTAGTGTCAATCAAAACGCGTCTCACGCCCAGATTCATAATAGCCGCCGCCGCACTAGAAATACAGGTGAAGAAGAATTACATAGCCCACGTAGTAGGATGTCACCTCCACAGCTTCAGCCACCACCAGCTGCGTTGGCACTGTCACCTACAGGGGAATATCACCCAGCCTTGACTCGGCAGCAGCGTGCAGATATCGCACGGAGGTTCCACCTGGGCGGGCTGCTGCACAGCATGCAGACAAACGAGACGAGGGCTTTGCAAGCTTACGAGGGTAGCCTTGGAGGCCATGGAGTGTATCTCCGGGAATCAGAGGAGAGCGAGTCTTCATCACCATCCCCCGCGAAAGGTCTTGATAACCAAGATGATGGAAGGCCGGAGCCGAAAGAGGCAGAGGAGTTGACTGTCAATCTCGAATGCAAGGTATGCATGAGCCAACTTGTGGACACGGCGATGCTTCCTTGTGGACACGCGGTATTATGCCGGTGGTGCGCAGAGCAGCACATACCCTCGAGCCGGAGAGATAAGACACGGCCCCGGGGGAAGAATGCGACATGCCCAATGTGTCGTGCCCCGGTTAGGCAGAAGGTACGGATCTTTTTTTGACGGCTTTCGGGTACGATATTTCGAAGGGCTCATGATATCTTTAGGTTCAGATTTACTTGTCATGAGAAGCCTATGAGTCGATGCTGCTGATGTTTCATTCACTGACGTATATCACACGTTTGATGGCCTTGTTCTATTGCTCTTTTTCTCTCCAGTTGTTTACGATATCATATGTGCTGATATCTGGGTCCGAGTGTTTTCTTTTTTCTTTTCTTTTTTTTAAATAAAAAAAAGGGGGGTGGTTGGGGTTCTTCTTTGTCTATCGCATAGCATGGCGTTGCCGCGGCTGGGAATTTGTACCGCTCTGAGTTGATAATCTGTGATCTTTGACTCCTTTGTTTGCTTTGCTGTGCCAATTGTGTCTAGATAGTTGAATGGCATATGCCCCGTTAATCATTCCTGCCTTGTTGTCAAACGTATTTATGTTCACGCAGTGATCCAGTCAGAGAGTAAGCGTAATGTAAGCACAGCCCTACTCTCAACCTCATAAATACATTTCTATTCATTAACAGCCAATAACCCCGCCATGCACAGAGGCAGTGCAGGCGTATGTCCCTATATCGCTCCGCTGATCTGAATGAGCCATAAAGCTATTCCACAGGCTCTGGCTAGAAGGGTTACAGCGCGGCTGTGCTATATAGATCCTCTGATAATGCCTGAACCCTGCCCCGTTTTCAGTCCTCGTTGCACAGGTTGCACCAATGATTCCAGCATCACGGGTTCCGTTGGAATTCCAACACGTTTCAATTCCCGCCGTCGGAAGCCGCCACCAGGAAGTTCGTGGATCGGAATTCCGGATTTGATTACGTGCATCTGATAATATTTAAACAGACTTCTGGAAAATTTACCAACAGCCCTGTAGCCTTGTTTTGAGTATTTCGTATGTTGGGTTTCCCTCCCAGCCAGCATGAAATCAAGGATTGAGTTGGATGTTCAGGCCGAAGTTCAGCCTCAAGTCAAAAGGGGAATGAAGCCGGTGACCTTGAAGAAGCAGGTGTGCCTTTTTGTCATGATCCACTATTAAATTGAGGGATGGTGGAACTGCCAAGCATTATCCTTATTGGGGGACATGTGGATTTCACCCGGGTGAATAGCATGCAAGGATCATCACAATTTTAGTCTAGATTCTTTTTTGGTTCTGGACACCAACTCGGGTAGAGCCGTTATTGCGCTGCTGGCTATAAGGCCTCCAAGCTTAGGTTTCCGCCGAGGCTGAAGGGTGAATACGTATAATTAGAGGGCTGTTCCGCAGCTGGTAGAAATCTCTTTCCTGCATTCCAGAGCGAAGAGTATTCTGCATCCACTGTATTTGCAACTGAGGCCCTGTCATCTGTCGGATGGCGCGATTCCCCTGCCCGAGGACGTACAATGAGTAACTCCCCATGGCCCTCTATCCAACGCGAAATAAATACCCCCCTCCCTGCCCCCAGTCTCCTGATGAGTAAGTAAGATGTCTATATCTGATACTCGGTCCAACAAATGATTGATTTCCATCTTATTTGCTGGCAGATCTATCTCGGAACCCCCCTTGGAAGAGTACGCTGTGTCGGATTCTTTCACCGCCAACCGCTCCCATCTGTCAGCCACTTCATCTCTTCTGCATCGGCGATCGCCCTCTGGAAAGGGTCTGTCGCGTAACGATGCTAATTCCGACAGGCCCAATTCCTCAAGGAGCTCTGTGCGGAAAAGCTCACTGAGGTGTCGACAGCAGAGGCGGCCGTCAGTCACCGGCCGCCGATCTGCTCGACATTCCTACGGGTCTCCAAAGATCAGGATCGATCGCAATGACGATGCTCTGGCATACAACTCTGCCGATTCTGCTAGCAATTCACAGCCAGAATCGGATCATGTGTTCTTCCAGCCGCCTCCGAGAATCTCCCACCGCACTTCCACTCCGCCACCAAAGACCATGAGGTATGATTCTCAATCGCATATGTTTCTCCACAAGCAGCCGCATGTTGGGGGATCGTCTGAGGATACTACATGCGCCATGCTTCGGGAGCCAGAGACTCATCCCATCACGGCGGAGCAGCTAGCCACTGAGTCCAAGGGCATCTATTCTGGCTTGGTCATGGTGGAGAAGAAATGTATTGACATCCATAAGCAACAGTCGCAGTCTGGGATTCAATTCACTAAGCTCCAGTGGCAAGCACTGACTGCGATACATCGAACACTGCTGCATGAGCACCATGATTTCTTCTTAGCCTCCCAGCATCCTTCAGCGAGTCCATATCTGAAAGGCTTGGCAGAGAGTTTCGTCATGCCAGCTCGGATGTGGCGATATGGGATCCATTCCTACCTTGAACTGCTGCGGAATAGATTGCCGGACTCCTATGAACACATGCTTACTTTCATCTACCTGGCCTACTCCATGATGACCTTGTTGCTGGAGAGCGTGCCAAAATTTGAAGAGATCTGGATCGAATGCCTGGGTGATCTGGCAAGATACCGCATGGCAGTAGAAGGGCAGGATATGCAGGGCCGTGAGACCTGGGCTGGAGTTGCCCGGTACTGGTATAATAAGGTTGCTGATAGGAATCCCCAAAATGGCAGGATCCAGCATCACCTTGGCGTGCTTGCACGGCCGGACGATATCCAGCAGCTCTTCTACTACACCAAGTCCCTTGTCAGTGTTGAGCCTTTCATAAACACCAAGGATAGCATCTGCCTCCTGTTCAACCCTCTGTTAGAAAGGCTGGAAGCGCAGGGGAATTACGATCAATGTCAAGCACCATCTGCATTCATTGGCACTCATGGCATTCTCTTCACTAAAGGTTGTACAGGTGAATTCAAAATTTTGGGCAATTGTTTCTTGTCACAGTTTGATGCTTACATTGGCCATGTTGGTTCCTCATTCCGGCTGCAGGGTGCCTACATCATGTCATGCAATTTTGCTGCTATTCTTGAGTATGGCCATGCAAATGCTCTTCTACCCGCGGAGTTCAATTCAAAGGCGCTACGTGACATCCCTTTCCAGGAGACCTATAAATCTGCCACGGAGTATTGGCGCTCTTCTCAACCAGCTGTGGATCCTTCATTTGACTCCCACTTCCAGTTCATCTCCTATGCCTCTTATTTTGCATTCCTGTCGTTATCTACAATCCTTCTTCGAGGTCATGATGCGAATATTTTTCCTGCCGTTGATTTGTCTCTGTCATTTATCTGGTGCTCAGCGCTTAACTGCTGCAGCAAAATGAGGTATATTGAAGATGCAGTACCGTGGAACAGACTGGCTTCTTTCCTCAACTCATTACTCCGGCATGCAAAACTAGGGAAGATGGACCTTATTGAGTGTGAAGTCTTCCCTATTTTTAACGAAGGGGCTATTCAGCAGCTTCCGGAGGACTTTATCATACGTGGACAGGCATGGGCCCATCCGTACTTCCCTACGGGTTTCTTCGATAAAATGGAGGAAGATACACGAACTATTGAATTCCCATACTTTACTCAGGCACGAGTGATGAGGTGCATATGGCTTGGAGGGAGGATTGCAAGCGTATGTTATCTTTCAAGAATGTTATATGCATGCATATACTATTTTTAACGCTGGAGACTTATGCTGATTACAAAATGACAGTTCAATCGCTGGTTGAGTTATGATTTCCTATCCGGAAGCTTTACGGTTACCCCCTACGCCCTGCAGCTTGAAAAACTAGCAAAGCAAAACAATCCTTTCAGGGTTTCCTTTGCGTAGATCAATCCTTTGACCTTGGGGTATTGAGATTGGGGACTGGGGTGTATTAACTATCTAAGATCCAGTTTACGTCGTGGTAGACATAATATATTGTACGTAGAAGATGGATCGTGAATAACAATGGTACGAATTTCGATATTAGTTTATGTTCTATCTGCGAATGACAAAACCACTCTGAACCTCGAAGCAAAAACGAGCCCATTGTCATCATTGGCAAGGACAATTAATTATAATAATGAACGGGCCGCGAGTCCGAGTCCCGCAGGAACCATCCATAGATCGATCCGCCAAAAGGACAGGCTGTTCTCCAATCTGCAAAACGGCCATGCTGAGGCATCGTCACGACCTTCGATAATAACAATTAACATAGCTTGAATGCTGGTTCCAATTACTAGTACCTACCAGATGGGAACCGAATGAATCTAATCTCGCCCAGACGCGCATGGCTGGCCAGGTGATATTAACATTTAGCATCTTGGGCTATTGAGCTCTCTCTCCCTTATTTACTCCGCGAAAAATCCTTCAATTGACTACCTAAACCATTCGAACTACTTTGAATCATGACGCCGACTTGGAGCGACATCTGTGTTTCTTGCACGGAGCTCCTTGTCAATATCCCCGTTCACATCTTCCTCATCACCTTTCTGGCGAGCTTTCTGGGTCTTGTACTACTGGTACGTGTTTCGCTTTATTTCTGTCGTCTTCGCATTCGATTGAACTGACGAATCTCCTGGGGTCTTTCGCGTAGACGTACATCTTCCTCTCCCTTGTCGCGCCCATACCGCGGAAACCTCTACCGGAGGAAAAGAAATACAGAACAATATCCAAGGATGGCCTGATTACGGAACCACAACAGTTGCCCTGTTGGCAGGATGCGCTGGGACCCAAGAGACCCGAATCTGACCATGTCTCCATGGAGAAGGCAGACCTATTCATGTCCGTCGTCGTACCGGCTTATAATGAAGAGGCACGTTTGGGGGGTATGTTGGAGGAAGCGGTGGATTACCTGGAACATGCGTATGGGACGCTGGCAGAAGAGAGGGGGAAGAAGCCTTCTTCTACTCGGAAGCGGAAGAAGGTCGATGTCAATGGCGATAGTGACAATAATGATAATAAAGGCTGGGAGATCATAATCGTGTCAGATGGATCTAATGATAGGACGGAGGAGGTGGCTTTCAGCTTTGCCCGGGATCATCAGCTATCATTACATCCTAGGGGGTGTGTTGGTCCGTGGACGCCTGAATCCCATGAGGGTGTGCATATCCCCCCGGGCACAATCCGTGTGGTATCCCTGGCCAAGAACAGGGGGAAGGGCGGTGCGGTCACGCATGGCATGAGGCATGTTCGGGGTCAGTATGTTGTGTTTGCCGATGCGGATGGGGCTAGCAAGTTCGACGATCTGGGGAAGCTTGTCGTGGCCTGCCGGGATATCGAGGATTCTAATGGAAGGGGAGTAGCTGTTGGCTCGCGGGCGCATATGGTGGGCAGTGAGGCCGTTGTGAATGTATGATCTTATTCTCCTGGTTTGTTTGGCATGGACTAACGCGAAACAGAGATCGAAAATACGCAACTTCCTGATGCATTCGTTCCATCTGATCCTATGGCTCATGACGCCGCGTAAGACGGCGACTATCAAAGATACCCAATGCGGGTTCAAGCTCTTTTCGCGAGCGTCTCTACCCTACATCATCCCCTACATGCATTCCGAAGGCTGGATCTTCGACGTCGAGATGCTCATGCTTGCTGAGTTCGAGGGCATCCCCGTGGCCGAGGTCCCTGTTACCTGGAGGGAAGTCAAGGGGAGCAAGCTGAATGTGATCCGGGACAGTATCGGTATGGCTTGGGGACTGGCGATTCTTCGAGCGGCGTGGTCGTTTAGGGTTTATAGGAGGACTTCTTGAGCTGGACAGCATTTATTCCTGGGCATACTAGCGCTGTATTATGTATTAATCTTATAGATATTTACCCCCGGTTTATTGATTCTCTCATTTTGAAGAAGAAAAATAAAATCAAATCTAGTAGTCAAAAGCCCCTGAAGAGTACACACCACCGTAAAAGGAGGGAAACAGAAAGCGACAGTCGGAGTGCCGATTTTAGGAGGAAAAAGGCGAGAACGCAAGGAGGCGACGCCAGCCAACAGAACTCAACAGTTTGACAAGAAGACATACGTGTCTGCCGTTGGCACCGACTGATTCTGGCTGTTCCCTGCGCTGGCCAGATCGCCACTGCGTGGACCAGACCACAGTGGTATGATTTGATTATCATTTGTCCCTGCGTGGATGGACTCATGCTCTCTGGAATCGGAACTTTTCATGTTTCATTTTTCTTTTCATCTGCAAACTTTGTCGACTGCTCCAGTATAAATAGATAGGGTGACGTATTTATATGAGGATTGGACTCAGCAATGATTAATATATTGAAGATCTAGGGACTTACTTCCACTGTAATCCTTAATGAGATCCGTTTCTCTTTGCCATTTCGCATTATTGGCTCCCTTGTCTCCTCTTCGCCCGTTGTCCCCGCCCTTCCGCTGCGGGTTCGGATAGCTTCATCTATACTATAGAGCTGGAATTCAGAGAAAGAGAAGAAGTTTGATGATGCCACATATCATCGAAACAACAACAGCAACACCAGAAGGAAAACAACCCATCAAAACATCCAATCTGCTCAGACTCCCAGCCGAACTCCGTCTCAAAATCTACGAGTTCGCCCTCGACGCCCCCAATGAATACATCGATAGCCCCCTGATCGTGGTCAATGACCGCGGGAACTGCTTCACAGCAAGAGGCCGCTACCGCGCCCTCTCCATGTGTCCCAGCTGGGCCAACAACGACGGCACAGCCCGCAAACTCCTCTCGCTGAACAGACAGATCCACGACGAGGCAGAGGACTTCCTCTACTCGCACAACACGCTGTTCTTCACCAACTCTTTCGACCTCGACCGCATCGGCGACTTCCTCGATACCATGAGCGCCACCGCGTGCTCGCGCATCCGCAGCATCGGCTTCGAGGTCTTCTTCTTCGTCCACTCGCAAACGGGCGTCCCCAAGCGTTCCCTGAAACAGTATCAGCAGGCTGGGCGGTTGCTGATGCAGAAACTGCCCCGTTGGGAGACCATCGTCTTCTATCTCGATCCTAGGTTTTACTTTCCCACCGCTACCGTGGGCGGGAGGGAGCTCTCCGCCCGGGGCGTGTTGTATCTTGCGACTGTTTTTGGGAATATGGGTAAGGAGGTAGTGTTTCATCCTACGCCTTTTGTGAATCGGAATGCGCTTGATGAGGCGCAGAGGTTGTTAAAGAGGCAGAAGGCTTCTCAGGATCGGTCTTCTTCTCTTTGACTTTTTTTTTTTTCAAAAGTCTACATTGCCTGGGATTGTTGTTACATATTGTAATGGTTAATTTCTTGACTCTGGGCCGGCCTGGAAGCTGCGCGTTGATATTTTAGCGATTTGTTTATTTCGAGTCCGGTTTACTCATGGCGTTTTCTTTTCATTGTTTTATGGTTTATGATATGTATATACCCCATGCTCCGGGCGAATGGGTTGGGTAAATCGTTCCCTGCTCGACCATGCAGCGGCTGGCGTTTGGGTTTTCTCTTTCTCTTCTCTCTAACGATATACAATTCTACTACTGCTAATAGATGTGGTTTATCTATAAGTCAAATCCAGGCATGAACACCAATTTGCTACTCCATGAAGTATGGACAGTCTCGTGACTGAGTTCCTCGAAGAAACAGAGTTCTAACGGTCGTCTTCAGACTTCAGCCCATCAACAATCATCAATCCACTGCCTCCTGCTGATCGCCTCCAGTACAACTCTCGTTTCCACCCTTGGCGGGCCGTGATCTCGTCGCCTGATTGCACCTGGTTACTAAATTTATTGCCGCATCTGACTGCGAGAGAGCGGAGAAGACGCACCCCAGACCAGGCTCTTGCAACTTGCAACTCCTCAGTGCTTGCAGGGTGGTTTTATCCAGAGCAGAAAACTGCCAACCGTCCACTATCATCGTGAAACCACAGCCATCTCACTTTTGTCGTACTGGCCCCGCCGGCAAATCGCCAAGCCAAAACCCGCTCGATATCTAAACAGATTCGGCCCGCTGCAGACGATCGATCCCACGGAGATTACGCTGCGTCTACCCCCCTCAACTCGTCATACCCCATGCGTGTCCCCCTCGCGAGAACCGTGGACTAGATAATACCTCCGCTTTTCTTGTCCACTGGTCCTTGAACGCGTGGTCTTATTTATATTTTACCGGGAAGATCCAATGTGGTGTGAGTTGGAACTGGAAAAGGTGTGAAAACTGTCTATTACCCACAGCTGCGACACCATTATTCGAGCTGTACGGCGGAACTAGGAGCGTGCATATGCATGCTTGATCTGTCCTCCGGGTACGTGGTTCCTGTCCGGCATCGTCGACCAGCTTTCTCCTTTTTCTTCTTCCCCCTCTCGCTTCGGTTTGTTTGGCCGGACATTATTTGTTCGCTGGCCAATGTGCTGAACAACTCCCATGTCGGTGTAGAAATACCACTTTCATTGAATGAATTAATTTCTTCGGCTGCTTTATCCTGCCGACTCCGGTTGCAACTGTGCCTTCTTGAATACCACTAGACACTGCTCTGCTTACAGGAACCATCCTTTACAATTCAATATGAAATCAGCGCAAGCGAAAACGCCGAACCGCCGTACCAGTGTCTACAAAGAGGTTCGGTTTTCACCAACTGCGACGCTACGCCGCACGAGATCGATGTCGGGAGGTAGTCCTCCCTTCAAGCAGCGAATTGTTGGCACGAAAGCTCCCACAGATGATACATTTTCCATCCTAAGTACCTATGTGGAACAATCACAATCTCTTCTAGAAAGCCAGAGGGCGCTCTTCGCGCAAGAGAGGCAGCTCTGGCAGAAAGAACGGGCGTTACTGAGGTCAAGGATCGCAGAACTAGAGGCGTTGCTGAAGAATCAGAGCGACGAAGACATTACACCCTGTTCCAATCCATTTTCATCAAAGTTTCTTGCTTCCTACAATCTGCCGCAGAACTCGTCTGAAAGCGGCAATGGCGAGAGCAGCCATCATCCCGTGTGGGAAGGCTCCAGCTCGCTAGGTAAACCTACGAGGGTGTTCGAGGCACCCGAGAAAGCAGATAGCAACAATCGTCTGTCTCCATTTCAAGGGTTGAATTCAAACCCACCACCTTCCCTTGATGCTGCTCTTTCTCCCCGGTCCCGTCCCGTTGATCAACCTGCGAATCTCCCTCCTGCCATACCTATCGAAAGGCTCGATAGCAAGCTCGATGGAATTTCCCTCAAGACAACTGCGTTGCCCCCTGAGGTGGCCTCTCGTGCAGTTAACTCGTCATCACCATCCCCGGAATCGTCCAATGCAATTTCAGCCAAACCGCTGTCACCTTTGCCAAGCCCAAGCATGAGGCGGAAAAGCAGCCTTAAGCTGAAGCTAGAGGATTTAGCGAAGCCAGATGAGAACCTAGTTAGGGACGCTGAACACACCCCGATGGTGGTCGTCGACGGTGAGGCAGATACGAATCCGGCGTCAGACAACGAGGGGAATGCTGCTCATGACGAAAGCTCCCCCTCTCCGTCACAAGCGACGACGGATATCCCGCAGCCGGCAGAAAATTCAAACAGCTACTTCCCGGACCTACCAGAGGCACCACCTAATGATCCGGCCTTAAAGGGACCGCTTTCGCTGCTGAATGATGAGGAGCACGACAGAGGTTTTCTCAAGGAGCTTCATGAGAAACTCCTTAATCAGACAAGGGAGAGAGAGCTTGGCTCGATCAATTCTTCCCAAGGCCCGTTTAACTTCCACATTGAAGAGCAGACGGATGAGCAGCTGACCAGTGAGGAACAGGTGCCGGCACTGAGATTCAAGAAGACGACTAATTTTGGCACCGCATTTGGCATACCCGTTTACCAGTTGAAATCTTAATGAATAGCCATACTCGCTTTTGGCTTTGTTTCTCTCGGATGGGTTGTATTTCTTCATGTGATATGATTTGGATGTTATCCACATCTCTCTTTGGGATGAGATGGAGATGAGATGAGATGAGTGCACTATGTTCAATGTTGATATGAGCATTTACATTCTTTGTCTTTCTGACTTTTTTTGATATCATTCTGGTTTTCATTATTTTGTCTTGCTTTCTTCTTGCATACTTTATTTTTGGGTCTGTTGTTGCGATGAATGAAATGAATGAGTGCATGAATATTATTTTATTTTGGATACCAAGGCGTGACATTTATAGGATATTTTGACTTGACGTCAGTCTTTGCACCTGCTTCTTCCTTTCTTTCTCAGCTGGGAAGTGTCATAGGATGAATCCCTATGTCTTTGAAGATTGCCAAGTTGTTTCAGGCTGCTGTTGGATCATAGGTCTCATTCCTTATTCTTTCAAGTGCTGCATCTGTCACTATAATTCTCAATTCCTATGTCCTAAGGTAACCATGTATCATTTCTAGAAAACAAGCATAAAAGGATGATATCTGGATTGATTATGGTTCCTATGAATATGAATATGCTAATACTGACACGCCAATCAAGAGCAGTAGTATGAGATGAACGGAGGGAAAAAAAAAAAAAGGAAAGGCTAGAAACGGCTAAAGTACTAACTTCCCAAGTAAACATATCATATCGTGATAAAGGAAGAAAACCACCCGCTGAAAAAAAAAAGTTAATCCAATTAAACACCCATAGTAAAGTCATGTTCGATACCAGGCGTGACGCTGGCAATGAACTTCAAAAAAACGACTAGATACTGATCGACGCGAATTGCAGGGGCCTGTTCGTCCTCATCTGCCTGGAGTACTTCCCATTCGTCCCCGCTAGACTGACCCTGGTTGTTGTTGCTGGATAGAGAGAGTCCCTTGGTGTCGTCGATTAGACCTTCCAGACCGCTGTCGGGGGCGGCAGCATCTGACTGCGCCTGTTGTCTCTTCAGCTTCTCTCGACGGATTTTCAGGGCCGCGTCGGCGCGGTCGAGGAGGGTCTTCATGACGCTTGCGTGGCGGCATGGGTGGACGGTGGCCATCTTCACGCTTCCGTCGAACCAGGGGAAGTCTTCCAGGGTGACTGTTTTGTCCTTGTAGTCACCGACGATGTCCTCCATCATGAGGTGTGGGGGGAGCGGTTCAGAAGGGGAGAGGTAGCCCGATAGATAGAGGCGGGGGGTACGGTAGAAATTGGAGTAGGTGATATAGAGGGTGTATGTACGGAGGGGTCTGAAGTAATACCAATGTTAGTAAGAGCACAGCAATGCTAAATTCATCTGGTATGAGTAAACTCACTGAGTCGTCGCCTTGCCCATAGGTTCCCTGATGATAGCCTCTTCATCATCATCATCATCCTCCATATCAGGAATCTCATCCTCCTCATCTCCTTCATCCCTCTCCCCCAGGTTTCCCGAGTCATCCACTGTCCTCACATCACGTATCTTGTCGCCCTGAGTATCGGCCACTTCCCTGCCTCCGCCAGTGCGCAACCAGCCGTCCTCATCGTCTCCTGCACCTCCTACACCACACCCGTCGCCGGACAGCATGTCTTGGACGATCTCATCCTCGTGACCCGCATCGCCGGCGAAGTTGTCATTCAGCCGTCGGTGACACGGCACGCCACGCGTAACCAGGAACTGCTTGCCGGGGGGTAGGTATGAGACACGTTTCGCGGGAGAGGATGCATCGGCCCAGGACCATGTTGGAAACTTGTAGACTAGGTAGTCGCCTGCGAGGACGAATTCTTCGGGCGTGATCTGGCCGGTGGTTCGAAAGGTGGAGGTGCGCGAGACGGGTGCTAAGCGATCCCGCCAGGTTGAGAGGGTCGAGTGGAGGATGTTCATGGTGATATCGTTTGCAAGTAGAATTGTTCTTTGATATGTGGAGATCTCCTTTGAGATGATCGCAATAAGATTTAATGAGATCAAGTGAGATTGAGTATGGAAGTGTCACTCGGAGTGACCTGCAGGGCGGGGCAAGTTGTTTAGGAGACGGAGATAAGAGTGGCGGGACAGTGGGCTCTTATACTCTACCATGGTTGACATCTTCTGGCACAGGTCGTCATCATTCTGATCATTCACTTGAGTAAGTCATTATTCATTGCTTGCTTTCTCTTCATTTCTCTTCCAGTCTGATCCATTAGTCAGGCTCTACGGATTATTGAATATCAGATAATCCACCTGAGAGTACTACTGTCCCATGGCCACAGGAGAATGCATCACCTGTTATGGACCAGGGCTTCTTATCCTAGTACATATAGCTATACATGAATAATCATTTTGCTCTGCTCCCCGGTAGCGTAAAGCATTTATAAACACTGTATCTCAGACAGAGTGAGTTACAATTGAGATGCACCTACTGTATTTCGGATGTTGCGATGGAAAGGCATCGCGCGTCTTTCGACAAATGCTCCAAGAGACCTGGAACTTCCATGGACATCACCCTTCAACTTTGATGCTTCTCACGAGGTTCTTCGGACACGTCATCAGGGTACTTTTCATAGGCATTTTAGCCAGTAGTGAATCTCTTGGGGAGAGAGATATCAGGAACTCCCCGAACGCATTCCCGCGAGACGTGAGTAGCCGCGCAGCTCTGGACCATCAATCTTCATCTTCACTCACCCTCCTCTAGCATTCTTCTCCTTTCGATTTCTGCCTCCACCTCATCCACCACCAGGGGGATGGGACGTGACTTCCATTTCTCCTTTTCCGCTACTGCAAAACCCTCCATGCTTCTCATCGCAACGACCAAGAAGCCAAGTTCTTCGCGGTCCACATCGAAGACCTCCCACCATTCCCCGTCCACCAGCTTGGCCCCTACCTCTCGGGCTGAAAGGTAGATAGCGGCGACGGCCAGCGCGTTTGGCTGATGGGTGATGTAGAGAAGCTGAGGTGACAGAAGAGCTGCATTCAGATGTTCAAATACCCTCTGTGCCACAGCGGGAGTAGTTGCACCCAGAGTCTCGAGGTATGTGAGCGCTATGGTATGCGGTAATGCCACGTGTGTATTGAATCCTAAAGTCCGCAATACGACAGATTCTATCCGGAAGAGGACGGATCGCTCGGTCTGATAGCCTCCTTCCGAAAGGTAATATGTTTCCGGGGAGGGTTTATGCGGACAACCTTTGGCGTTGACGAACCAAAGTGGCGATGCATCTTTCGAAAGGAGGAATGCATAGACGTTCAAAACGGAACGGGGAGATGTTGGTTGGAACGATAATTTTGCAGTCAGGTAGAGTGCTGCGGCAGAGACATCCTGTTCGACGGAAAAGAAAAAAAAGAGCAAAAGGAAGAGTGGGAAGAGGAATCAGCAACCGGTTCCATGCAAGACAGGTGGAATTGGCGCATCTTATAACCTTGACAGAGTAAATTCTCAGACTCCCTCCTTCAGGACCAGCCCAGAATCGAGTGAAAGTCACGATCGCCTGCGCGATGATATCCTGCGACAAGCGCAGCAGGATGCCAGCTGCTTGGGTGAGTTGGGCCCCGGCGAATCGAGTGGACGCCTCGAGGTCGGGGGCAACGCCGTCGATGAACGAGGATGAGCTCGAGAGCTGTTCAGGAGTGGCGAGGGGATTGGAGAGGTTCTCCAACTCGGACGTGGGAGGTGCCATGACGGCTGAATGTCTTTTTGACAACGCGCAGGAAGAGGAGAAAACACGAGGAAATGCGACAGGTAGGGCGGGACAGTTGGAGCTCGGAGCCAAACCGACAGCAAAACCGTGGGTCGCGATGGAGGAAGAATGTTAAAAGTTCGAATTCAGACCCTTACTTTGTTATCTTATCGACGATGATGAAGCTGAGACCGAGATTGGGAAATTGGATATTCTATTCTTGTTTCAGATGCGTGGAGGGACAGGGCATGGATCAACCACTGGAGCCCTGCAGGCAGACGGTTTATTTGCCTGTTTCTGCAAGCCACAAATCGTATTGAAGCTCTTCCACAGATCTTCAGCGCATCAAGTCTGCCTCGAGTCATCGACAATCCCAGCCACTGCGTGTTTCACTGCTGCTGCAGCTTTCTATTCCAGGACCCCAGCCTCGCGATATCTCCCCGGCTGCAGCCAAGACTCGTCCACCCCTCGATCGCTCGATCAATTCCAGCTGCTTTTTTCCTTTCTGTTTTTATCTGCCTGCATCTCCTTTCTGTCTCTCCTTTCTGTTTCCTACATTGGATCGCCTTCGTTTTCCTGTTCTTGTTCTCGCTTGCGTCCATCGTTCGCAACGTCTGGCCCGTGCTTCTCTAGCTGCCGTCTGCGTTTTGACCGTTCTTCCCCCTTATCCGTCGGGCTTGGCGGTTTCTCCTTCGTTATTCATCTCCCTTCTCTTTCGTTGTCTTTCTTTGTCCTGCGCTTGACGGAAAGAGGCAATCTGGTTTACCCAAGAATTCAGTTCTCGATATTGCTTACCCCCTGATTGACGCATACACGGTTCAAGGCCCGTGTCCACTCGTGTGGTGTCTGTTTATCGACGTGATTAGAAGCTAGCTATACGACGTGGCATTCCAAGGATCGTCTACGTGCACCTTGCGTCAGCCCAATCGTCCAACCTTACACGCCTCATTGTCACCTGGTTAGACCATGTCTGAAGGTCTTCAGCAGCCTTCAATTACTGCCCCTCCTCCCGTTCTGCACAGCCCAAGTTCTCATCCAGTCCACCCGACCATCCAGACGGAGGAAGCTGGGAATTCCCCTGAACCACTTAATGACTCCCAACTACCTTCTCCCACTTCATCCATGACGCAAAGCCCCGATCCACCTGCAGTGTCCCAGAAGAACCTTGCGCCATTCCTCCCTTCACACCGACGAGCGAATACTGAAATCATCCAACGCCAAGTTCCTTTGTTGCCCAACCAGGCAAGAGCCCTAGACGACCTAGGAGATACGGGCAGATTCTCGCGTCTGTCAAGTGAAAATACTACTAAAAGGAGGTTCGGAGAAAGCGCAAGGTTCCTGGCAGATTGGTTTCATGGAAAGTCGGAACCGGTGAACTTGTCAGCCTTTCGTGGTGCGAGAGAAACGGATGAAATGCAAGAATACAGTACCACAGACAGGCGGCGTGAGAAGTCCTTGCCGCCGATTCCCTCTGAGTCGTCCATGCGTGCACAAAGGCGCGCGCCTCCACCGTCGCCGTTGAAGCAGGTTACCACGCCAAGCCGGTTTTCGTTCTTCGGGCTGAGACGACAGGATGGGAATAAGTCGGAGCTCCCAGAGCCTGCTGACGACGAGTTTCTGAATCTGGATATCGCCGCGGTCTTGTCACCGCCAGGGTTGGCGGACCTGCTTCCAGAGGACGCATTGGATGCCATCCAGAAGAACGCAGAGAATGTCCTCAAACGGCTGCAGGCAGCGTACAAACAAAGGACATTCGCCTTGCATGAAATCCTGGCAGAGAAAAATGAAAAACAAGAAGAGCTGGAGGAAGCGCGGGTACAGAGCGGAAACCTCAAGTCCCAGCTAGATGGAATGGCCGATAAGGTATTTGAACAGGAGAAGGCGATAAAAGCCATGGCCGAGGAACTCGAACGAGAAAGGCAAGCGCGCCGAAAAGAGGATGAGGCCCATAGACGTAGTGTCGCTTCCCTTGCGAAACCAGCGGATTGCGATAGCATTTCCGACCTCGGGGCTGATCTTCAGACGTCGAAGAGAAGTTTCAAGCGCGCTAGCAATTGCACTTTTACGAGCGACTCGGGCTTTGAATCTGGGGATGAAAGCATCGCTGAAAGTGTATTCTCCAGACGAGATGGTATTGAATCGCCTGTTTCCTTGACACTGCCATCACCAAATATGTCTCAAATTGCTCTGGCTTCCCCGGGACAAATGATGCAAAAAGAAGCCAAGGCTCCTGTGCGCCCGGCACGTCAGTCAGCGTACGACAGGGTTATCAAAGGACTTGCGTCTTCGAGCCTCGCAAACTCACTCATGGGTCACTCATCGAAGTGTAACATTTGTCACGGTGTACCTGCCTCTGAAGCCTGGACTGTTCTGGGTATCCTGAAGGAGGAAAATCATGGCCTGAAGGAGCGATTGGTCGAACTTGAGAATGCAGTTGATGACTGTCTATGTCTTGTTGGGCCTTGAAGCCAGGGCCACTGAGATGTTTCTTGACCTTTGAGAGCTCGATGCTAAAGCGTATGTGACTGTATGAACTGGATCTCTCTCTTTTTTTCCCCCGCAAGCTACTGTGACTTTCCCCTCCTGGATGGCGTTGCTTTAATGAGGGCATTTCTGGCTTTGTTTAATGAGTCCTTTCCATCATGGGCCAGCACTCAGGAAGCATTCGCACATCAATATCCCTAGAACAAATTTCCAAGACTGTACATTATCAAATTAGGATTGATTCCTTTTCCTTTGCTACTTTGCTTCCAGAACACAATTAATATTATAGCTATGGGGCTATGTCAAGCTCATTGATCCTCGACAGGATGAAGGCACTCCGCAAGATGTCGATTTAGTTTAGGCTGACGCATGTTCCAAATAGTAATATTAATATTGGCGTACATCAGGATGGAAGAAAATTAATGTTCACTGGAGTCGGTCTACAAACCATGCATGAATGACGGGAAAGCTTACGGGATCTCGACTCGACTTGGGTCTTCATCATCATGATTCATTCCTCGTGGAACTTCACAGCTACTTATTTGGTAATTATTGCTATCCATCCTTTATCATTCAAATTGGGGGATATGGATGCCCTATACAACCGACAGGCGGATGCCGTGTGCAGCTGGGTAATACAGGTGGTCTGACCAGAGTTGCGCTCCTAGTAGCTATCAGTGAAGCAAGCCAGGAGGTTCTATTTGAGAAGTGGGACTATGGGAATAATACTGCAGAATGTGTACAGCAGGCTACAGTTGACTACAGAAACGAGAGAGCCCCAGATGGCCTCATAACTATCCCATTCCGATGCTTTGGAACGAAGTCCCTCAACTTCCAGATATCACATCGGAGTTGGGAATTTCGTTTTCAGCACATGACCTGGCGTGTATTGTGTGTGAAAGAAGCCGAGTAGTTAAGGTAAATGGATGTTGTTAGGCAGGCAGTGGATATGAGAAGAGGAGTAGACTTGTAGCAGTGATGATAGCACTACTATGGAGTAGATAGTGCAATTGCCAGGGTGTCCTCAACACGGTTTAGCGCGCCGAGCCCGAAGTGGACAGCAAGACAAGACTCACTTTTCTTCCGCATCTGCTCTCTCCCCTGCGTTGCTTTCGATCCCTTCTCTTCCCTTTCATTTCTCTACTTTCCTTCGCTCCTTGAGCTGGTCTACAATACCAGCCTTTTCTTTCCTCCCCCTTTTCTTCCCTTGTCCCGATTTTCTCCCTCCCGGGAGGCGAATTGTCGCAATGAGTGGACGTAAGAGAGCCCCCCTTGCCGACATGCGATTTCGCGACATTCGCGACCACCATTGACCATTCCTGCTCAATTGGTTGTCGAAAGCTAATGCGAGGGGATAGTTCGCTTTCTTGATTTGATTAAGCCCTTTACGCCCCTCCTCCCAGAGGTGGCAGCTCCCGAAACGAAGGTGCCCTTTAACCAGAAGTTGATGTGGACGGGCGTACGTCTTCTCCAGTTCGGTTCCTGTCACGATAAAAGGCTAACGATATTTGCAAAAGTTGACCTTGCTGATCTTCTTGGTTATGAGTCAAATGCCCCTCTATGGCATTGTCTCCTCCGACACCTCGGATCCGCTCTACTGGCTGCGTATGATGCTGGCTAGTAACCGTGGAACCCTGATGGAGTTGGGTATTACTCCTATCATCTCCTCTGGAATGGTCTTCCAGGTACGTGTTACCATTGTGCCAAGTTTACTCATGTTTTGTGTGAGATTTAACTTGAATTTTTCTTTTTATTAGCTCCTCGCTGGTACCCACCTGATCGACGTCAACCTGGACCTTAAGACCGACCGTGAATTGTACCAAACTGCCCAGAAGCTCTTCGCTATTATCCTCTCCTTTGGCCAGGCTTGTGTCTACGTTCTCACTGGTCTGTACGGTCAGCCCAGCGATCTCGGTGCCGGTATCTGTGTTCTCCTGATTGTGCAGCTCGTGGTTGCGGGATTGGTGGTTATCCTTCTCGACGAGCTTCTTCAGAAGGGATACGGCCTTGGAAGCGGTATCTCGCTCTTCATTGCTACCAATATCTGCGAGTCGATTGTCTGGAAGGCCTTTTCACCGACTACCATCAACACTGGCCGTGGTCCTGAGTTTGAGGGAGCCATTATCGCTTTATTCCACTTGCTGCTGACCTGGCCTGACAAGCAGCGTGCCTTGCGCGAAGCTTTCTACCGCCAGAACCTCCCGAACGTCATGAACCTCCTGGCTACTCTCCTTGTTTTCGCCACTGTCATCTACCTCCAGGGCTTCCGCGTTGAAATCCCCGTCAAGTCTTCCCGCCAGCGTGGCATGCGTGGGTCGTATCCTGTGCGTCTCTTCTATACCTCAAACATGCCCATCATGCTCCAGTCTGCTCTCTGCTCCAACATTTTCCTTATCAGCCAGATGTTATATTCCCGGTTCTCCGATAACATTCTCGTCAGACTCCTTGGCGTCTGGGAGCCTCGTGAGGGCTCAGCTCAGCTCTATGCTGCATCTGGCATTGCTTACTACATGTCCCCACCCCTTAACTTCAAGGAGGCACTCGTTGACCCGATTCACACTGCTGTGTACATCGCCTTTATGCTGGTTGCTTGTGCCTTGTTCTCCAAGACCTGGATTGAAGTCTCTGGCTCTGCCCCTCGGGATGTCGCAAAACAATTGAAGGATCAGGGTCTCGTTATGGCTGGTCACCGTGAACAGAGCATGTATAAGGAGCTGAAGAGGATCATTCCCACTGCCGCTGCTTTTGGTGGTGCTTGCATCGGTGCTCTCTCTGTGGCGTCTGACCTTCTCGGTGCACTGGGTAGTGGTACCGGTATCCTCCTGGCCGTCACGTATGTTTAGTCTTATTTTGTTTTCTCTCCCCTGTTTGTACCTCATTCTTGCTGACTCTGGTCGCTTTAATTAGTATTATATACGGATATTTCGAAATAGCCGCGCGTGAAGGCGATTTCGGTGCAGGTCTTAAGGGCCTTGTCCCTAGCAACTAAAAAAAGGGACAGTTTCTCTTTATGGATTTGCATGAGAAGGGACTAGTGTCTCTTCGTTTTTATTTCTTCTCTAGCCTCCAGGTCGGCGTCCTGTGGTGATTACGGCAGTTGGAATTGTAGCCTCGGATGGGTTTTACTGCGATAGCAAATCGTCAGGTTTCCTGCTTTGGACAAAAAAGCTTGGAATAATGGAGGATTCCTAGGAGAATGGATGGCGAATATCGGCCTTGTTTGTGTGCCAGCAGTATTTTCAGCCTGGTTGAAGTGAAAACCACTGCGCGCACAGTGTTCCGCCTGGTTTTTGTATCTATATTTCGATAAAATGGGAAAATGTATCTTGTTGATTTCTCATTTCGGTTCTTCTTTTTGCCCTTGAAGATGAAGAGTACAATATAGAAACAGGGAGGTAGGAAAATGCAATCCTAATTCATCAAGCTTAGCGTATAGTATGGGTACTGGAATTTTATCAACATACAATCAATCGATCAATCTACATATAGACTTCACTAAAAAGAAAAAGAAAAAAAGAAAGAAACTTAGGTCCTATAATCCCCATTGATAGTCACATACTCATGACTGAAATCGCAGAACCAATACACTGCCTCCTCACCACCGAGACCCTTCTCACCCCTTTCCCCACCGCCGAGATCCACAACAATCTCAAGATCTTCATCCTGCAAGATCGCACTGGCACGATCCTCGTCCACTTGCTCCGGCTCCCCGTTCACCAGCAGCTTCAGCTCGGGACTTCCGTCAACGGGCTTAAAGCTAACGCTTGTGCGCTCGGGGACCACTGTCCCCGGAGCAACGCCTTGGGTGTATCCAATAGCGCAGAGGATACGGCCCCAGTTGGCATCACCGCCGTATAGGGCCGTCTTGACCAGCGGGGAACGGGCGATGGTGGATGCGATGAGCCGGGCAGAGTTGTAATCTGGGGAATTCAGGATGCGGACAGTGACAAATTTTGTGGCGCCTTCGCCGTCGCGGACTACGAGCTGGGAGAGTGATTGGGCGAAGCCTGTGAGGATGTTCTGCATGGCTGTGTAGTCGTCTGAGGAAGGGGAGGAGATGGGCGTGCCACCTGCGGCGCCATTGGCAAGGAGCGCTATGGTGTCGTTGGTGCTCGTGTCGCCGTCGATGGAAATGGAGTTGAAGGATCTCGAGACTGCGTGGGTGAGCAAGGGGTGCAGGATGGTGGGTGCGATTGGTGCGTCTGTACAAAGGACACCAAGCAGGGTGGCCATGTTAGGGTGGATCATGCCTGCTCCCTTGGTCATTCCGGCGAGGCTGTATTGCCGGTCTGGGGATGAGGGGAGGGTGAATGTCGTCGAGAGGAGCTTGGGGAAGGTGTCTGTTGTGCAGATGGCGCGAGCGGTAGTGAGCCAGGCATCATGGGTGGAGGCAAGGGTGGAATAAGCTGTTGGGATTTTGTCCAGGATCTTGGAGATAGGGAGCCTGTCTCATTTTCATATTGCCGTTAATGATCCAGTGGGTTTGGTTTGGTTTGAACGTTGGAGAGCTTTTTTCTGCTTCCTGGACCAGATACAGAAACATACCTCTGTCCGATAACCCCTGTGCTCATGACAATTGTACTCTCCTCTTTCAGCCCATTGCACTCGTCCACCTTCTTTCCCATATTCGCAGCGTCCTCCAACCCGGCCCTCCCAGTGACAGCATTCGCACAACCGGAATTGATCACCACAGACCTGATTCCCTGCCCATGTCTCTTCCTCAGAGTCTCCCTGCTTACCTGCACGGGCGCTGCCTGAAACTTGTTCGTCGTGAACACCGCAGCAGCCGAGCAGGGAACCTCGGACAAGATCAAAGCCAAATCCGGAAATTTGGTGTTAGACGCTTTCACGCCGACGTGTGTTCCCGAGACGAGGAACCCCTTGGGGTATGTGCCAGACGATGGGATGTATTTCTTTTTCGACGGGGGAATGGCCATTTCCAGGGGAGCCGAGTAGTAGCGGACTTGGTACTGGCTCTTTGTGACCTTGGTGAAAATGGCCATTGTGGCCCTGGTTTGGGGGTGCAAGGACGGCATCGTTGCGAGCATCGTTCCTCACTGCGGTTTATCTGTTAGATCTTGGGGTATTTCATGTACTTATATATCCTAAACAATATGACTCACGATGATCCGAGAAGATCCCCAAAAAATGAGACGCTGCGAGAAGTGCCTCAAAGCCTTTTTTTGACTCAGAAGGTCAATGGGCGCTCCTTTATCGCGCAAACACCATCCAATTGACCCGACTGCCTGCGCAAAATAATGCGCTCAATGCCGTCCGGTGAAACAGATACCAGGGTGAGCAGTTCACGGCAGGTCGAATGTGAATTCTTCTGGAGATTTTGTTTGACTATTGAACTTGTCTAATCGGGAAATCCTCCGATATCGCGGTGTCGGAGAAATCTGTCGGCGCATGGAAGCTTTCGACTCCAGCAAGGTTTCATGAGACGCATCGAGAGCCACGCGAATAAGCCGCCAAGTCATCCCAGAAGTCATTTAACGATTAATATCTCCTACTATTCAACAGTTTCGGTCGTGTTTAATGTCTTTCTAGCTCCCATTGCCTTCGAAACATGCCCAGCGAAACCAAGCGTAAGCAACCAGATTCAGGCCTCGATGACGGGCATTCCATCTCAACTCCCAAGAAGCAAAGAACGAGGCAGGCCAATGGCACGGCAAACGGGCATGATGTGTCCGAATTATCACCCTTGAAGCGGACGCACACTACCCCCAGAAAATCAGATCATGCAACATCTCCAACGAGCTTGAAACCATCCGGCCTAAAAACCCCTACCCACAGGCACAAGGCAAAGTCACTGTTTTCCACGCCTACTAAAGTTGCGACTGTTTCTACGCCGTCTCGAATACGGAATGCAGACCGGTCCGCGAAGAAGAAGAGTGCACGGGTCCTACTTGAACAAGACGAAGACGATGTTTGGGACGGGGCTGATCGGCTGGCAGAGGAGATCCTGGAAGAGGAGGGAGAGGAGCAAGGGGTAAGAACGGCAAACAAAGATCAAGGTGTGGTAGCATCGGTCGAGCTGGAGCCTGGGGCAGCAAGTCTAGAAAAGGCAGCACCAGCGCCAAAGCGACGCGCAGGACGACCCAAGGGCGCAAAGAACAAACGCTCACCCACCCCTGAAGGAGAACTACCGCCTCATGAGCGGTATTTCTTTCAGAACCGTGCCGTTGCGGCACCGACTTCCAACAACACGCTGAGTAGAGTATCACTCTTGACACACGAGGAGTATTTCGAGAAATTGTCACAGTATGTGGACCCCTGCAAGAAGGAGAAGGATTTTCTCCTCAAACTACACAGTCAGTCGTTTCCACAGTGGTATTTTGAGCTTCATGAAGGTTTCAACATCTGTCTATACGGATATGGTTCGAAACGCAGACTGGTACATCAATTCGCCGATTGGCTCTATCACAGGCACGACACTACTCCTCCCACTATTGTTATCGTTAATGGGCATACTCCAAGTATCTCTATCCGGTCAATCTTCGCTACAATCGTTACAGCCGTACTCGGTGATGATGCCCCGTCCAAACTCGGTACTCAACCAACGGAGGTTCTGGAACTGTTGCAGTCCGCTCTGAAATCTCGATCTTCTCAGAACCCAGTCACTCTTCTGATCAATTCCATCGACGCTCCTCCACTGCGCCGGGCGATAAATCAATCTCTTCTCGCGCGACTAGCGGCAACCCCCCTAATCCACGTCCTGGCCACTGCAGACACACCGAATTTCTCCCTGATGTGGGACATCAGTCTGCGTGAGCAGTTCAATTTTGTATTCCACGACTGTACCACTTTTGTGCCACACGACACTGAGTTTGACGTTGTCGAGGAAGTCCATAACCTTCTTGGCCGTCGCGGCGGCCGTGTTGGAGGTAAAGACGGCGTGGGCTTCGTCCTCAAAAGTCTTCCTGAGAACGCGCGGAATCTGTACCGGCTGCTTCTCACCGAGCTAATCTCCCTTATTGACGACGGACATATATCCGACGACGACATGGATGCTGGTGGCCATCGCGGTGCAAATTTAAGAGGTGGCGGCGGCCCAGGTGACGAGACGGGTATCGAGTTCCGCACTCTATATCAGAAAGCATCGGAGGAGTTCATTGCATCATCAGAGATGATGTTTCGGACATTACTGAAAGAATTCCATGATCATCAAATGATCACGTCGAGGCTGGATTCGAGCGGATCTGAGATTCTGGGCGTTCCGCTATCTCGGGAGGAAATGGAGGGAGTTTTGGAGGATCTTGTGTTGGCATGATAGCAGTGCAGCGTTCTGATCCCTTTTTATGCATGGCATGGATGATATGTGATACCCCCTGTATAAACGTTACGTGGCGATTATTGAATAGAAAATTATGGGGGAGTTTCCAGTTGGAGGTAATCGCATAAGCCTCAAGATATTTATATACAATAGTCGACATTATTGTTCTTAGTGACCGATGAAATAGCCACAAAGCATACCTTTTGTTTCTGCTGTTAAATTATAGTATGACAATATCGGTATATATGAGAATAGGGCAGCAGCAAATGTATGTTGTCCTCAGTTACTCACGAAACCGCGCAAACGCCGCAAGAGCCATAGTCACGCCAAAACTGACTTTAAGAGGCATCTGATCCAACACGGCCCTTTGCACATCGACACTCGAGACGGACTGCTGGATCCAGTTTAACGGGAGAAGATTATATCCCTTGGATGCGGCCCACTAGAATAACGTTAGCAGGTTGGAGGGAAAAAGCGAAAGGTAAGAAAGAAAGAAAATACCTCAACCAGTACTACCCCCATCCCCAAAACAACAGCCAGAGTCCTCGAGAACGCCCTCAATCCCACACCGGCAACCAGACCAAGTACACTACCCAGACTGATCTGTCTCATTCGTCTAGGGGTCAACCATCTCGAGGATTTAGGAGAAGTTTGTCCCTGTTTGCGCAGCATGGGGTCATTCCGGTCCACCGTCCAGCCTGTCTCGGGTGATACCTGCGTATCCAGTCTGTAATACGGAGCTGTATATTGGCATTGAATGGGAGAAGAAGCAGAGCGAAAGGGGGACGCTGGATACAGGGAGAGAGAGAGGGAGAGGCCGAGGCCTACACCGAGAACGGTAGAGGTGCGAGGGAGGAGGAAGGCGGCCATGTTGGAATTTATTGTGAGTGAGTGAGTGAGTGATTTATTGATTGATTAATACAGCCAGGCGACGGACTTTTTATATGCTTGTCTGCATGTCTTGGTGCTCAAGCAAGCAAGACCGCATAATACATATACAGCTTGAGCTTGCGGAGTAGGACGTGCGGTGACGTCAGAAGGCGGTCAATGACCACAACCTCTCTCTGCCTTGATGCCTGAGCTATATTATTAAGCAAATCCAAAGGTCAAGCAAGGTCGTGTTAAGCAACAACCAAGACCAGCAAAGATCCAATCCAACCTTCCGCTCACGACTGTTGTTACCTCTTTATTCTCTGTAGGTCGATTGAACACGGTTCAAGCTACTGAATGCAGCGGACCTGGAAATGTTCTATGTGCCCTAAGTCCATGTAGCCCTAAGCCCTAAATATCCCTAATCGGTGAGGTGGTTGCCAAAGGTCTTATTTTTCAAGGTCCTCCGAGGCAGAAGTTCAAAACGCGAAATTTTCTAGGTCCGCCGACCTTTTTCCTGGTCACCGAGCTATGACCCGGCGCAGAGGGTTGCAAAACCCGGAATTTCCGTCCACGGGTAGGCAATGCATGCTTTCTGGCTATTCCAGAGACTAGTTAGTCCCAGAACGGATACCTGCGCGAGCAGAAATGCTGGCGGAAGCTTGTCCCCGTGGCAGGGAGATGAAGCTTTCGCCGATCTTGCGGGAGCACGGCATAGCTTTTATTGATGTCCAGTACGTGCGATACCTACATGCATGGTCCTGTATTAACCGAGTAGATGGTAGGCCCATAGCCGCAGGCTTCCTAACAGGCAAACTCATCAATAAGAAGCAAGAGTGCACCTGCTTCTCAGACGAGAACCCACTAGGCAAAATGATTGCAAAAAGTCTTTGGGGGAGATGACCTAGCCCAGGCCATATAAAAAAGTCCGATGCCGAAGTTAGAGAGCACGGGTTGACGTCCCTGGGGGTTGTGATACGGTGGGCCGCGCATCATTCGGTCTTGACGGACAACGATAGCATTATTATCAGGACTGGCAAGTTCACTCCGGTCCCTGATACAGTCGCACTGATTGAGAAGCCGCCATTGCCGAGGGATGTATTGGTGTTGACGGATGCGCTATGGGAGGCTGCCTGCCGATACGGCGGCATCGATTAAGAGTGTCCTGCTTTTTGGGGAACCAATGTATGACATCTATTCGCCACCAGGAACACTAAAGTCCGTCCAAAGCTAACTCGGTACCTAGATGACAACCGTGGCGTCCCAAACGTCGACTTGTCCAAAGTCTTTACGGCCTGTCATGTAGGCAACTATACCTGCATCAACGGTGATGTGATCCTCCCGGCACATCTGACGTATGCTTTGAATGTGAGCGCGGCTGTTGATTTTGCAGTTGGGTCAGAGCAAGCAAGCAAAGCATAATAACAAGTCTTGGTCTTAATCCAATGTCAGATAAATAAATTGAATAGCTACTGGCGCCTCGCTTCTCTGAATCTGATCTAGATATTATCGTGCATTATTGGAAATATAACAATAGGATTTGGAAAATATCCCTTTCAGAGACGAGACCATCTGCAACTCACTGACGCGCAAACTCGTCCGCGTCGGTTTCAGTAGAATGGAACATGGGGTACATACCGCAATGATGACCTGCAGATGGGCTATATAGTCTGCAGGTAACAACGTTCCTGGATTTCTTTCAGCAGAATACCTTGCATAGGTAGAATATCCTGCAGGACAACACAAATAGTCAACTAATACAGCGCTGTAATGTGTCATACGAGTCCTGCAGACTCGCACGTGATCTGGCATGATCGATAAGACCACGTACATACGGTACTGTGGTATCCACTGTACTGTATCCGTACTGTATCAGACGCCGGGGCTCTGCACAACTCGGCGTATCACGCGGTATCCGCCATCTGTATTTCTAGTTCCTGGCCAATTAGACGCTGTTCGGAGGGCGTCCCGACAGCCAATTGGACGAGGGCCATCGCCGCGGCAAGCCGTTTTCGGAACCTTTCTGAAAATTTTCGGCGGGGGAGGGGAGCATCCATAGCAGAAGACTACTAGTATTCTTAAATGGATTCCCTGACTCACTCCTCTTCTCGTCCTCTTCGTCTCCTATATACCCTTCTGATATTAATTATCCGTCAAGTTGCTACCTGAGCTCTTCTCATTATCCACCTCCACCATGGCATCTCAACAGAATGGCACCAATGGGGCTGCTGCCTCCAACGATTTCACCGTCAAGGCCGGTCTGGCCCAGATGTTGAAGGGCGGGGTCATCATGGACGTTGTCAATGCCGAACAGGTATAAGCTCCCACCCCCTCCCAATTGAAGGTGTAAGTGTACCCCTCTAACCTGTCATGACACGTAGGCTCGCATTGCTGAAGAAGCCGGTGCTGCTGCCGTCATGGCCCTCGAACGAGTCCCCGCCGATATTAGAGCGCAAGGTGGAGTGGCCCGCATGTCGGACCCGGGCATGATCAAGGATATCATGAATGCTGTCACCATCCCCGTCATGGCCAAGGCCCGTATCGGCCACTTTGTTGAGTGCCAGGTAATTTCACTGCCTCCCTGCTCACAAGACCAGGGTGAATCGCTCAAAAAGATATATGGGCGTATCTGACCCGTGTTTCTTTTGTTTGCCTATAGATCCTCGAAGCCATTGGTGTTGACTACATCGATGAGTCTGAAGTCCTCACCCCGGCCGATAACCTCTACCATGTCACAAAGTCCAACTTCAAGGTCCCCTTTGTCTGTGGCTGCCGGAACCTGGGGGAGGCCCTCCGCCGTATCTCCGAAGGTGCTGCCATGATCCGGACCAAGGGTGAAGCCGGTACCGGAGACGTTGTAGAGGCTGTCAAGCACATGCGGACGGTCAACGCAGAAATTGCTCGTGCCCGCGCCATCCTTCAGTCCTCAGCAGACCCCGAACCTGAGCTGCGCGCCTACGCCCGTGAATTGGGCGCTTCTTATGAACTCCTCCGTGAGACCGCTGAGAAGGGTCGTCTACCCGTGGTGAACTTCGCTGCAGGTGGCGTAGCTACTCCAGCGGATGCGGCACTGATGATGCAGCTCGGCTGCGACGGTGTGTTTGTCGGTTCCGGTATTTTCAAGTCTGGCAACGCCAAGGACCGTGCCCGTGCCATCGTCCAGGCCGTGACTCACTACAAGGACCCCCAGGTCCTGGCTAAGGTTAGCGAGGGACTGGGCGAAGCCATGGTGGGCATCAACGTCTCGCGCATGGATGAAGCTGATAAGCTTGCAAAGCGGGGGTGGTAGATAACATGCCCTTTCTCATTTCTTTCAACCCGTCAGTCTGTACCCTTTTTCATTTTTATTTTATTTTTTTTTTGGCAACCTGTAGATTTGCTTATGCGTTCCCTGGTCATTTCGAACACCGTCAGCCAGAAGCGCAAAAAGTGATCTTGTTTGTGTATTATGATGCCATGAACAGATGAAACGAGCATAATCAGCGCATTTGATGTTGCATGGAGGGGATATAATTGAATTTACACCATGCTCCAAGCTTGTCATATTTGGCCGATATTCTGATGAAGTGACATGGTTATCCAGGAGTTCCAGCGTAGATAATAGATGACTTGGCGCCTTTAATGACTGCTATTTTTAGAGCACCGTATGGAGTACAACAGCTCCAGCCTCTCTCCTTTTCAGCTCATTTCCACCACAGCCAGCTCGGCTGTGCTTGGTGTGGAATTGTGTGGCTAGTTGGATCTCATTGAAAAGAAGCCACCAGGATTATTATCTCGAGCAAAGGTAGAATGGTTTGTTGAAATAGGAAGACATCGCCTCCTTTGAACTGATCTCAGATGAAGCTGCTTACCATGATATAAATAATAAGAACACCTTTATTCTTCCAATTGCTTGACTCCCAACACATAATAATGCCCCATTTCGCAAATACCCCCGAGGCAATCCTCCCGCGTACCGACTCGCTTGACCCAGCAAGCACATGCAGAGGAATCACGTCGACCGGCAGGCCTTGTCGGCGCGCGCTTGCCCCACGATCTTCAAAGACTGACCCACAGTCGCTATACTGCTGGCAGCACAAAGACCAAGCACAGAATGGCAGTAATACCACTAATAATAATGGGGGAACACCAGGAAAGGATAACAGGACGAGCATCGATTCGATGATGGGACGATTGGGTCTGGAGGATGGCAATAAGCCATCAGCAGCGGTTCAGGGGGAACAGCTTCCTTCTTTACCTCCGCAACGACGACGACGGCGCGTCCGGAAGACGTACTGCTGCTGTTTCGAGGTCTGGGAGGATGGTGATTACCTGCCTCCCGTGAGGCCGTCGCAGAGACCACAGCAGCATCAAGGGGGAAGGGTTAGCTTCAACAGACCGAGCCAGAATCAAAACCAACAACCACCTTCATCTACACAAGCGATGCAAGATGAGAAGAAGAAGAAGAACAGGGAAAAGTCCTGGATCCCTCCTACCATCCCCACCGAAACAGCATCCCTTCTCCGCTCCGAGATGGAAAAACCTCTATCCCACAAGGACGAACCAGGATACATCTATATCTTCTGGCTGACACCCAAGGAGACGTCGACTCGAGCCCCTCCCCCCGTGGAGCTTCTTTCAACGATCACGACTGATGAAGAAGCGGGGGATTCCTTGACGCGCTCCCCCACAACTCGCTCATTAAGTGAAGCCATTCGCTCAGCGCAAGATCTCAATGCCTTCACCTCCAAACCCACGAATACGGACCCTGGCACGATCCGATTGAAAATCGGCCGTGCGAGTAATGTTCAGCGAAGACTGAATGAGTGGACCAGACAGTGTTCGTACAATCTCACGCTGATCAGGTATTATCCGTATATCTCGCATAGTGGCGGTTCATCACCGGGGGTTGCAGCTGCTGGTGCAGGTGCAGGGAGGAAAGTTCCCTACGCTCATCGCGTGGAGCATTTGATTCATACCGAGTTAAGCGATAGGAGAGTCCGGGATCTAGGGAAGTGTCCGGAGTGTGGTAGGGAGCATAAGGAGTGGTTTGAGATTAAGGCCGAGAAGGAGGAGCTGAGGAGAGTGGATGAATGTATTAGACGGTGGGTTGCGTGGGCTGAGAGCATGGAGAGTTCAAGTTCTCAGTCGTAGCATGCACAACGATATATAATTAAGATCTTTCATCGATTCTGCCTGACTGTAGAATTGAATTGTTCTCCATCTTGCGTGGTTTATTGACCATCAGAAATCATGGCTCCAGAGTAGCAGAGAGACTTTACAGGCACGTCAACAATTGCATCCATTCCATGGCTGCTCAATTCTATAATATCATCGTCACGAAAGGGAAGAAGCGCAATTAAACCGCTATGGTAATAACCCGTTTTCTTATCCTCATCTCTCAATAGCCTCCTCCGCAAAAGACTCCTTTTTAAATCCCGAATGATACTCTGGCGTATTCTGCTTCTTCACCCTCTCCTTATCATTCTTCTCCCCCCCAGTCGGGAGCGGAGCACGAGAAATAAAATAAAACCCGCGCACAGTATCCCACGCATACCAAACAGCCCACGACCACCCCCAGAGGCACACACCCAAGAACCCCGTAAGCATCAACACAGGACCCAGAACCAGCAACGCGAAGAACGTAATCACCCCCGCCGCAAAGGTAGTAAGGATAGCCAACCCGACCAGGAAGACTGCAACGGGCGGTCCCGAAACGAGGAGCTGTGAGATCACGAACGACCAAAGGTGCGGGTGGGCGTGGAAGTTCCTCCGCAACACGTCCAGGATGGACTGGGTTGTTTCTTCGGCAGTCTTGGCGTATTCACGGCGGAATTTCGGGGGCAGGAAGTAATTGGGGATGCTGGCGAGGCCGGTTTGGGGCTGTTGGACTGATTCGTCGGTGGCGCTGGGTTTGGATTCTTGGGCGTTGGTGGTTTGTTTGAATTTCGGGGGTTGGGGGATGTTGGCTTCAGCTTTGGGTTGTTCTTTGGGGTTTAGTCCGGGCATTGTTGTCTTTTCTTGTTTTCTTTTTGTGCTTGTTGATGCTGGCGTTTGAACTTCGCGCTGTTGGTGGTTTGTCCATTCCATGCTCTTAACTTCTTAAGTCAGTGCAACGGCATAGCGTCATAGCTCCGAGCTGTCCGTCCATGCACACTATATCATCATTTAGTTATTTACATCTGTATGTGATTATATGACCTGCAGAATCCACATGGCATTGTACTCATAGCTAGGTCTGCTAATTACGCTCCCTTGGATTTCACTCGTTTGATCCTTGCCATCACCCGGCTGAGTGCCTGCCTGCCCTTCTATAAATCCGCTGCTCTACCGCTAATCTATCCAAGATAATCAAAACCAGTGCCACGGCATTTGACCCAAAACGTATGCGCCAATTGGATTGTCTGTGACTTCGCCCCTCTAGCAGCAATCACGGATGCAAGAAAGCGTTCTCTTTCCACCACCGGCGGAATAGGATGCTGGTTTTGGTTGGAACCCTCAGCTTCTAAGGCCGCAAGCGTAGCTGCAAGATGCGGCCGAGCTGAACCTTGGTGTTTGAATATGACTTTCCTGAGAACTTCACAGAGATACTCAAGATCTGACCTTGCACATCGGCCAGCAATCTGCGTAATCAGAACGCGGCAGAGTGCTGGAAGGAAGTCTTTAAGGGCGTTTTGAACAGGATCCGGTTCATGGGGACTAGCACCGATTGGAAGACCCAATACGCTGGCCCAGAACTGAGATGCCGAGCGAAGAGGAAGTGGCTCCTGGCCCTGCAGTGAAAGCAGCGTGAAGTTCAAGATCGCCTGTAAAATTGGCGGCCGAGGAGGGGCGCCCCTGTCGGCGCTGGGATCACCTTGAACGAATCCTGGCGGCGCTGATGTCAACGTGAACAGAATTGGATGGTACTTTGGAAGTAAACGTGTGAGGAAATCAATGCCGCTGTTCGCAACCTCCGGGTCGTAATACTGCGGCGTCTCATGCATCCAGCAGAAGGTATTGTATATATGGACAATCAGCGAGACAGTTCCATCGCGGATGCGCTGCGGATGACCGCTATGAGATGCGAGGAATGCGGAAGCCGTCCCCATGACCATATCCGTACCAGGACTGCCTGGGGGGATGCTTTTCACGAAGTTGACTGTAACAATCGGTGGAAAGACGAATGGGCCCGCCTTCTCAGTGTATCCAGCCTTTAGTATATCACATGCAGCTTCCACGATGATGATATCAAAAGGAAAATCTTTGATCAGAAGTTCCATGCATTGCATAATTATGCTTTGCGAGACAGCCCCGTTTCCCGTATTCCAAAATGTAGGCGGATATGGATCTTCGTCACCGCCACCATTGGGTTCAATGACGATTTCACCATCGGTCCGAAGACCCTTTCCGATGCATGCGAGACACCGCAGAACAAATTGACCTCGTCCCCGAGCTGGTTCTATCAGGCCATTTGCAGCTTCTTCCCGTGCCAGCTGTGCCTGTTCTTGGAAGAAAACCAGGATTCTCTCAAGGAACTGGGCCTTCTCCTCATCCGTAGGCAAAGTCTGTATGATAGCAGCAATTCCTTCCAAGACTTTCTCCATAGTCAGCGTTGTGGCTGTAGGCTTAAATCGAAAGCTTTCAAATTGATTTATGAAGGCCGGCAGTTCGAGAGTGAGAGCATTGCGGCACGACCTGCAAAGGTAAGATATGGACCGTGATGCTGTCAGAGCGCACGATGCAATGTCGAGAGATACGAACAAGAACGTCAAGACCCGAGGAAGCAAAGAATGAGTGCGTTCGAAGTATGATTGATACTTCCCGAACATGTCGACAAGTGTCTGCCGAGCTCTATCTGTAATCGCCATCTCACCGTCACAGAGACGGGCGAACCCATCGTAGAAGAAGATGGCATTCAGACATTCGTCGGCATGCTGATTCTCATCAACAGCTTCGGAAAGCTGCGCAATGCAAAAGATTGCCGCTTCGAATGTTTGCCAGTCTTGACTTGCCAACGACGATTTCGCACGCTCCTGGAATACTTGAATCAACTCAACTCCAAGAATTGGGTAAACGGCAAGCAGAAAATCACAAGCATCGCGGCGGAAAGATCCGAATTCGCTGCGGTCATCACTACTCCACTCTTGCAACTCCTCTGGATTCGGGTACATAATTCTCCCAAAGCAATCCAAAGCTGCGCGGGCCAGATTCCGTTTTGCAGATTCAAGACCAGTTTGGTTTGTTGACTCCACGTAAATCTCTTGTAAGTCGTCAGCAACTTCCGTCCACCATTCGAGGGCCAAGGGAGCTGCCAAATCCTCCACGGCCGCATATCCAGGCGCTTTGAATAACGTATGTATTAAAGCAAGGGCCTTTTCATGTTCAGGAGTTAACTGCCCTGCAAAGAGCTCTCTCTGTTTAAACGTTGAATATGCTAGTAGAAGCTCCAGGTATGTCATATTTTCAGGGTCGAAGTCACCGTCTAGCAGTGAAGCAATATGAGAAGTGCCAAAATCACTGATAAGGTACTCCAAAATAGATCGAATGTGATCTGGTGTGAACATACTGTCACCCCAATCCATCTCGATTAAATTTTGAGCCGTCGTTGTCGACAGCTTTGGCATGTTTAGGGTCTGAATGAAATAATTTGTAGTTGATTCCAACCGGGAAGTTTCCACCGAATCGTGGAGCTGGGCTGACCCACGAACGCATGCCCAATGCTTTTTCATATACAATCCAAGTCAGTCTTGGTGGAAACGGAGCAGAAGAAAAGGGCGTGACCGAGTATACTCACGTAGTAGCACTCCACAGCTTCGTATCCAAGAGCCTGGTTTGACAATGGCCTACCAGAAATTTCCTGATGAAAGATATTGTGCAGGACATATTCAACTAGGACAAAAGCATCCTCGGTGTTCTCAGCCACACGATGCGTATCTGTGCTATTGGGAGTTTAGCCTTCAAAGGTAGATTTATATTTGAAAAAAAAAAAAAAAAAAAGAGATGATAGAGAACAACCTTCGTGGGAACTCTGGCCTCGATCTATCGATTTCCTCCGCGAGAATGTGGGAGAAATAGAGCAATGCAACAACCTGCGCCTCGGTCATGGCTGGAAGGACAGCCGTCCCAAAATCAACCGATTTGCATTCTTCTTCCGAGACGTATTTTCCGTTTACCAAAGATGCGCCCACATTTAGGATAGCGCGAGTCCAGATAGACGTTGGTTTAAGGAAGATGGTCACCAAGCTTGAAGCGAGCTTCCTCAGAACCAGGGAGCGTTCCCCTCCATTAACCAATAGCACATAATGGTCAATTAAACGACCAAGAAGTTCCCCAGTCTCATCCGCGCTCAACCGAGACCTGACATTGAAATTAGCTCTCTTTCCAGTTCTGGAACCCTGCAGAGCAACCCACCAGTCATGGTTTATCTTAACTGTAAACGTCAAAGCCCCAAAAAATCGCAAGTCTGAATTGTCACAGTTGAGAAGGTCATTCGCAATCAACCATGCATGAGGGCCTTTCTGCAGAGCCTGCAAGTGTTCCTGGATAAGTTTGATCTTGGCAGGGTTGCCTGTATTTGCAGGATCGTAGAGTTGAGACACAAGCTGGAGACGCACAGCCGTTAGCGAATTGCTCTGGGACAGCACTGTAGGTCCACACTAACATCCCTAGCCTCACTTATGAGAGCCTGTACGTCTGCAGTTTGTCCTGGAAGATCCGCAGACATGGCAGGACAGCTTTGGCAGCGTTTTCTGAAGTTGACTGTGTACCTAATATATGCCGACTGCGAGGACAATGAATAGTCACGTGATTCTCTAAAACACTTATCATAAGATAAGAGGAGGGGAAGGAGAGAAGAAGCGACAGCTCGAAGAATGAAAGCAGCTGAGTTAGCAAAGAAAGTGGGAATTAGAAAGATGCATGCAGGAACCAGAAATAAAGATAATCATAGTCGTCCGCGTGATATCTGAAGAAAGGATAGAGAAAAGGCTCGTCGTCGCCCACACGTGACAAGAAGTTTGAATCCAACTGCTTGTGTCCTGGTCGCTGCTGTCGAGAATCTGCGGTTTCAGCTGTCTGCCATTTCTCCCTGTGTCATCCTGTTTGGTTGCAGGTGTATTGCTATACAAGAACAGGGGCTGCAGTCGCAGACGTCCACTTAGAGAACTTCCGAGCTGCGATGGACGGCGGAGGACGTGTGCTGGTCACGGGACTGCTGGTGTAGTTGTCCTCTGCCTCTCCCCACCACGAACTGCGAAGCTCTCTTGACAAGTCAGACCGTTGCATGCCCCTGCAGCTTCGTGCCCGCGCCAACTCATCTCGTCTCATTTGGATGTTGTGCCTTTTGTTGTTACTGCAGACTAGCCCTCTCGAACACTACGTGGGCAAAATCGTACCTGAACCACCGGGTTTCTTCGAACTCACCCCTCCAGCGCTGGTCAGGTCTTGCGACAGCACTTGCTCCCTACCTGTGCTACACGTCCGATAAGAGTCTCTGTTGATCGTACGCGCAAGATTTGCAGAGTGTCTTCCCCTTGGACGACTACCTTCTTTTCGCTCCAATCGATGCTCTTTTCCCGACTTCCATTTCTACCTTCCTGGGGACCAGCTCTCAGATCCACTCGTCAGCTCCCATATCGGACAAGGCCCTTTTCTGTTTCTGCTTCCCGTTACGCCGTCGACATGGGAACCGTGAATACCTCGGACCGCCTGGCTCGGCTGAGACAGCTGATGCAGGAGCGCAAGGTTGATGTATATAGTATGACATCAGATAGCCCATTTCCCAATACCTCTTTCTCGTTCTCTTGCCAAATGAGATCATGTTCTTATTATTGTCAAAAGTTATCCCATCCGAAGATAGCCATCAATCCGAATACATTGCACCTTGTGATGCCCGTCGAGGTCAGCACTTGCCCTTCAGCTTTGGAAATCCCCTACGCGGCTAACCCCGGCTACACTTGTATGCCAGTTATATAGAATTCATTTCTGGCTTTTCCGGATCTGCTGGCATTGCCATTGTTTCTATGACAAAGGCAGCGCTTTCCACCGACGGGCGATACTTCAACCAGGCCGAGAAGCAGCTGGACAGCAATTGGCAGCTACTAAAGCGCGGAATTGAGAATGTCCCAACATGGCAGGAATGGTAGACTACCTTCTGCAATCTTCTAGCCAGGATGCTGAAGTTTATATCTAGGACCATGGAGCAAGCCGAAGGCGGGAAGGTCGTGGGTGTTGACCCTGCTCTCATTACCGCCGGTAAGTGCGAACACCACGCTATACACCCTCCAGTTTGGGCGTAGTAGCTTAAATGAATATAGCAAGTGCACGGGAACTCTCAGAAACCCTAAGGAAAAACGGCTCGTCCCTCGTTGGTGTCCAGGATAATCTAGTTGATTTGGTCTGGGGCAAGGACCGACCCGAGCGTCCAAATGAACCAGTTAAAGTTCACCCGGACAAGTTCGCAGGAAAGTCTTTCCAAGAAAAAATCAGCGACTTGCGCAAGGAACTAGAGACTAAGAAGAAGGCCGGCTTTGTGATACGTATGTTAACTTGGCTGTTCTCTCTGCGCAGTTATGTTCAGGCGAGAGCTAACAGGGACGGCAGCTTTGCTCGACGAAATTGCTTGGCTGTTTAATCTCAGGGGGAGCGAGTGAGTCCATGAAGCTACGGGATCTTGTGAGTACTTGAATTGCTAACCATTTGTAGTATCCCATACAACCCAGTATTCTTCTCATATGCGATTATTACACCCACCACCGCCGAGCTTTACATTGATGAGACCAAGCTGACTCCCGAAGCGAAAGCTCACCTTGGTCAAGACGTCGTCATCAAGCCCTATGAAGCTATCTTCGTAGACGCCAAGGCACTGAGTGCAGCCGGGAGGGAAGCTGGCGATATGTCTTTGAAATTCTGGCTATCAAACCGAGCCTCGTGGGCCCTCAGTGAGAGCCTTGGAGGCGAGGAGCAGGTCGAAGAGGTCCGTGGCCCCATTGCAACCGCGAAAGCCATCAAGAACGACGCAGAGCTTAAGGGCATGAGAGCCTGTCATATCCGTGATGGTGCAGCCCTGACGGAGTATTTTGCTTGGCTCGAAAATGAATTGATTAACAAGAAAACAACACTCGACGAGGTAGACGCTGCAGACAAACTGGAAGAAATCCGGTCGAAACACGATCTCTTTGTCGGTTTGTCCTTCGACACCATTTCTTCCACTGGCCCCAACGGAGCTGTCATCCATTACAAACCTGAGAAAGGAAACTGCTCTATAATTGACCCAACCGCAATCTATCTCTGCGACTCCGGCGCTCAGTACCTAGATGGAACCACTGACGTCACCCGGACGTTCCACTTCGGGCAGCCTACCGAATTTGAAAAAAAGGCTTTCACTTTAGTGCTGAAGGGTTTTATTGGGATCGACACAGCTGTATTTCCCAAAGGCACAACCGGCTATGCGCTAGACGTTCTGGCAAGACAAGCGCTTTGGAAAGAAGGTCTCGACTATCTCCACGGAACGGGCCATGGAGTTGGCTCCTACCTGGTAAGAAAGATAACTAGTACCGCTCTTGCTATGCGTCCGTCTAATTTTCCTTTAGAATGTTCACGAAGGACCTATGGGTATTGGCACCCGAGTCCAGTATACCGAAGTTCCCATCGTCGCTGGCCATGTCATCTCGGATGGTATACCATCTTGCCCCTTCCGGATCTCAACCGATTGCTAACAAGTACAGAACCTGGCTATTACGAAGATGGCCAGTTTGGTATCCGCATTGAAAGTAGGCATTTTCCTTGAAATGATTCCGCATGTACTATCGAGTATCGCATAGGACTGATGGTCATTCTCTAGATGTCGTAGCCGCACGCGAAGTGCAGACAGCACACCAGTTCGGCGACAAGTCATGGCTTGGTTTTGAGCATCTCACCATGACGCCTATAGGACATAATTTGATCGAGCCGTCTCTGCTGAGCGACGCAGAGATAAAATGGTTGAATGAGTACCATGCCGAGGTGTGGGAGAAAACCCATCACTACTTTGAAAACGATGAGCTGGCCCGCAACTGGCTCAAGCGCGAGACATCACCCATCTCTAAATAAGTCAGAAGTAGGGGGGATTCAAGATATGATGCGTGCTCTGGGCGAGCAGCTTTTAGTATACGTCAAGTGTTAATAGACAGAGCATACTGCTGGTGTTGCATATAGACAAACTTTCGCACGCAGCTTTAATGAAGTACTCTCTAGTTATACAAAAACCCATATAAGTGATATGTATATCCATAGGGCGTTCGTTCGTATACACGAGGAATGCTGCTTTTGGGGCCTGGCGACAGGGGAAACGGAGTGCTGCTACTCGCTGGTCCGGCCGCTTATTATTATATTACCTTACGGCCAGCAGCTCGAATAGGCTCCATACCTCTTCTCCCCCTTGAATGACCGCCCCCCCTTCGATATCGAACTATACGTGATAGTGATAGCCCTTTGAACAGTTTCTCGAGCACGACCATATCCAGTTACTGAACGAGAATGCTGGTTTTCAGCTCCCGCCCGACTTAGCACCAGTTTCAAGACCAGCAATCTGGAACCCATCCTACCGCTCACCTTTCTCCCGCCCTCCTTTCTAACGAAGACTAGAGCCAAGAATTCGAGCTTGATTTGATTTCCATTCTATCCCTTCTTCCCTGCGGGACCTGTTATTTGGTATGAACGGGCGCAGTGGCTATTCCAATGGATATTCCGACGCCGGCCGATACGACCGCAATGACGGCGGACACGATAATAACAGCGGTTTAGGGGCAGATACATACGGTGGAAGCAGAGGAAGAGAACATCGTCCAGGAGGTTACGGAGGCTTTCAGTTTGAGGACACACAGCTGCTACCCTCGGCGACGTCTCGGTCGCCTGCGCGAGGCCATGACCAAGGATATCGAGACCGCCAACCATCCAAGTCGCGATCGCGCACAAGAGATGCTGGATCACGGACGAGAGATGTAGAATCCGCGACAAGACGGCAAAAGCTACGGGATGTTTCACCTAGGGAGGAATACACGTCCAGTAGGGCCCGGGAGGTGAATCGTTTGGATACAACGATCGGTGATGGCAGCAATGGCAATGCCGGAGGAACACAGGCAATTGAAGGTTCATATTTACTCTATCCTGCGGTTTTATTTGGAGGACCAGAACTACTTTGCTTTTATAGAACGGTTATGGCTAACCGTTAATGGATTGGCGAGTCACAGATTTATTGCAATCGATTCAACGGGATTGGGACTTCATGGCATCCGACGACTGTGTACCAGTTCAAGTGGCTTTACAGTTGATGGATACAAGCACCCTAGGCAAAGCCGATCGTGAATCAGATTTCCTGCGTATGCGTGAGCAGATTCAGAAGACTCTGAAGTCTATCGTCAATGGTGGGTAGTCGACTGATCACAACCGCAACGCTAGCAAACGCCTATACTGAAACATCTTTCAAGAGCACCACCAGGGGTTTAATAGTTCCATTGGTACATACCACAAAATTCAGTCCAGCATACAGAGTTCTCAGGCCAGGGTGCGCAACTTGAGGAATTCGCTCGACCAAGCGAAAGCAGGACTACTTTTGACTAAGCCGGAATTGAATGGCCTCGCTACTTCGTCTCGGAAATACGATGAGGTCCTACAGCTATTCAGTCAGATTGAGGAACTTCAATCACTGCCTGAGAAGCTGGAATCCCAAATATCCGACAAACGATTCCTCTCTGCGATCGATGTTCTTCATGATGCGTTTCGGCTACTACGGCGTTCAGAGCTCGAAAATATCGGCTCCCTTGCTGATCTTCGTGCTTATTTCAATAACCAAGAAACGTCACTTACTGATATCCTAGTTGAAGAGTTACACGATCATCTATATCTCAAGTCTCCCTACTGCTCTGATAGATGGAAGCCCCCAGTCCCAGAGGGGGAGAACGACAGCGATCCCGCGCCTGGATGGATGGGCACGGTGTCTTGGGAAAGACCTGTTTACAGCTTTCTAGCGAAGTTGGATGCATCTACACCAATGATGGACGATGCCTCTCGAAACCCTGAAGCCGATACCTTTTACTATATCCAACTGCTTATTGAAGCACTGAACAAGATGGGTCACCTTGATGTTGCAGTTGATCGTATAGAACAACGGCTTCCAGTTGAACTGTTTGCCGTGGTTGATAAGACCAATACGGAGGTTGATTCCCGTTATCCTACGTTAACACGCAGCCTTGGCTCTCAAGACAGCAAAGCAAACTTGCCTACGGAAATCATTAAAAGTAGAGGTCATGTTTTAACTGAATATCTATGGGCTCTATATTCAAAGTTTGAAGCTATTGCAGAGGGTCACCGTGTGGTGCACGATGTGATTACCGCAATTGTGGATCGCGAGGGACTTGCCAAAGGCAGTACACTTACTGGAGGCTTTAAAGAGCTGTGGAAGCTCTACCAGAGCGAGGTCAGATAGAATCCCACTTCTTCTTTCTTCTAAATGGATAGTTTATTAACCCCAACATGTATCAGATTCGGTCCCTGCTACATGACTATCTAGCAACAGACGGTGACTACTCTTTCCGACTGGGAGGCGAAGAGACCAATCCAAGGAACGGTCTCATCATGGGCCAAAGGGACAAGAACAAGGTAGCTAAAAGGACATCTTTGCTTGACATGAGATCTGTGCTAACCTCAATGCAGAAAATGTTCAAACTCTCTGAGATGGAACAAAACACCGAAATGAAAACCGAGAGAGACGAACTGGATGAACTGCTGAGGACTTCTGTTCCTGGGCTGGTTTCTAAATCACGACAGAAAGCCACTACAACAGAGACCTCACGAACAAGACAGGGAAACTCAGGTACTGGCCACAAAATCTTAATCGAACCGAGTGTATTCAACATCAGTCTTTTGCTTCCACCCTCACTCTCCTTCATCCAGCGGTTAAAGGATATAGTCCCTGTCGATACGGACATTGCTACGAGCACCTTAACCTCCTTCCTGGACGACTTTTTGGTGAATGTCTTCCTCCCTCAGTTGGATGATACCGTCACAGATCTTTGCACCTTCAATCTTATAGCAGCGGATGCATTTATAGAAGACCCTCAGTGGGCTAAAGTTTCTCCCCGGCCAGTTTTCAAGGCAAGTAAAACTCATTCGACGCCATTTTAAGGGCCTTCTAACAAGTTTATTCATCAGGGCACCGTCAAGTTCATGTCGATTATTAGCGAATTCAGTAGAATGCTGGACAGCATTCCGCCCGATCCGTCTTTTACGCAGCTCCTCATAAGCCAAGTTGTGGCATATTATGACAAATGCTGTGGATGGTACAAAGGTGAAGAAGCATCCATGTGCTTTTGAACACAACATCCGTGTCTAACCATCTATTATCAAATTAGCAATCGTAACCAAAGTTTCCCCCCGAGGAGCTGGGCAACGGCTCAAAGCCGCCGCTGCGTTTGCTGAATCAGGAGAAGTCTACGATGTAGTTGCAGAGCTGCGAGGAGCAACTGGAGAGAGGAAGCGAGAGCTTATAGACAAGGTAAACTCTCACGCTGCGTAGTCACTTCTCTCAACGGAAGACAGTGCTTTGCTAACGAATTCAGGGAATTGATCTTCTCCTTAAGAGCACAGACGAAACACCCCTCGAGCCATACGATATCGTATCTGACCCAAAGACGGTCGTTGCACTGTCATTGTTGCATAATAGCATGGTGTGTTTACATGTTTCATTTCTGTGTAGACCTCCTACTGATCCATAAAAGCAATGGCTCGCAAGCCACCTTGCAAAGTTACGTCAGAATCCATCGACTTCCGAGTCATCGCGTCCTCCATCGCAGTCTGAAAGCATGCATCATGGGCCTCGGTCCCGGCGTTGGACATTAATCACCGCGATGAGACCTCAACGCGATAGTTTCAGCCAACCAGTGTACCTCCCTCTAAACAATGTCACAGCCAATGCTCTCGATACGACTCTCCAATCGCTACGCAAACTTGCCACCACTGCGCTCTTCGCCTTACATATTGATATCCGCTGCGGAATTATTCATATGCTGACAAAAACGATGGCTGGTCCCGAACCCCAGGCCATTCGTACATCCGTGCCCGCTACACCTTCCCCCAATCTTAACGTAAACTGGTGGCATATCCTCCTAAACCAACCGACAGCTGCCTCGTCCACTGTGCTTCAGCTAAACAGCGACCTGATCGCCTTTGATACCAGCATCTCGTCATACCTGGGCCCCGAAGACCGCTGGTTTATGACCTCCGGTCTTGCTCGATTTGTCGACCGAGTGTTTGTCGCGTGTTCCCGGTACATCGGCGCAATGAATGACAATGGAGCTTTACGACTTCAGCTGGACGTTCTTGTTCTACAACAGAATCTTAAAAACATCATTATCGACCCAACAGCTGAGGAGCCCGAAGTCGTCGCCCTTCCCCGCAGCGCCAAGTTCCTCGAGTGGTTCCTCGAAGGCGCCGACAAGGCCCTGGATTATGCCAAGGAAGAGAAAGAAATATATACAAAGAACAGCCAAGAGGCATTGGCCCTTGGAATCGACGAGCCTTTCACATATGATGAGCTGAAGGAGCTCGTGGAACTTTGTTTCTCGGAAATCCTGAGAGGGCCTCGCGGCGCGGAGAACAGAGAGGACTTTATGGCTGCGAAGAAAGCTAGCGCTGATGCGATGTTGAGGTTGAACGAGATTATGTGGGATTCGAAGTAGTGTAGTTAACCTGTGTGGGCTTTAATTTAGTGCGATGTATTTTATGTTCTTGTATCCTTTTTTTTTTTTTTTTTTTCGTTGTTTTCTTTGCCCTTCTATACATACTCCTTCTGACATACTTCCGGGTAGTTCACTATATCATATTTCTCTCTTTTTATTCCACTAGGATAAACCAGTGAGTGTAGTATACTAAATAAGCCTGGTGATGTAGGAGATTATCCATACTTCGCAGGCCTCAATAAATGAAGATGTCCAATAGTTGGAACTGAAAATCTTGAAAGACAAGCCCGTCAAGTAATAAATAATATTTTGAAAACAATGACAGGAGAACTAGTTACCATGGAAAGTTTTCAGAAAAATGAATAGAAAAAAGAATATCGCAAGTAAAATTCATTCCGACTACGCCGCGACATCGCAGGCTCCATGGCCTCCCGAGTCATCAACCCTGCCTCAGATTCGCCGTTCCATCCGTGTGAAAGACAAACTACGAAGAAAAACCACCATCAACAAGCCAGAACAGAGAAAGATGGCTCATGACAACAGAAGAATTGAAAGACGAAAAGATGTCACTCAAGCTCCGCAACGAGTAAGCACACTAGGTGTACAGTTGGGTAGGGGGAAGAGAAGCCTGAGACTAGAAGGTGTCAATAAACAGTAGAACTAGGTTCGAAAGGGAGAGGTAAAATCGATCTATGAGGGGCGAAAAGGGAAAAAAAGTGAAAAGGCGGTCCGAAGGGAACAATCGTAGCACGTGACCATGAAGATACACCGCGCAGGAAGAGAAAGGAAAGGGAGAAAGGAACCAACTCGCCACCATTCATGCAGGGGAAACTCGGAGACGCTAGCATGTTAAACTTGGCCCTGGCCTTGGTCGACATCGAGAGGCTTTAATTCATCTGCATCGCCATAGTCGTCAAAGTCGAGGCCGGCATCACGACAACGTTGCAGCCATTTCAATGCAATGTCGCCACGATGATTTACTTCCATTTTCAATTTGGAGTTTTGCGCGCTGATCTCATTGATGGCGTGGCTGGTCGTCATATTGCTTTGCTCCCATCTCTCGGTCATATTCTTTTTCTCTTCATGCAATTGGCAAATATAATCAATGGCACGCTGAAGGATAGCACCCTTATTCTTGTCACAGTTGGGGACAAGACGGGCGATCTCGTTGATGCCTTCATTGATCGCTTCACGACGGCGACGTTCCACTAGACAACCAGATTGTCAGCCGCGAGATCATCGTGATATAAATAGGTTTCCTTACCTTCTTTGTGATTATTCTTGCGAATCTGATGCCATTCCGGCGAGCCTACTGTAGGCTTCTGATTCATACTCTGGGCCTCGCGTGCAGCATATACTGCGGCAGCTGTCGAGTTGTGACCATGATTATGACCCATAGGCGCTTGGCCCATTTCATCGCCGAAGGGTAGACCGTGGGTTAGACCGCTTGTAGCATCAAAAGAGGTATCCGGTGGCGGTGGGTATTTCTGTTGAGGGTTGTGAGCAGCCAAGGCAGCCTTGGCAGTGAGAGCATTCTCATCAGAGATGCCATTCTGACCGACGTGCTGAAGAATCTGCTGGTCGATGTTAAGCTCTGCCGAACCCGCAAGCCCGTGGGCATCATAGTTGCCAAGCGCACTGTGGGCGAAATTGGTCTGAGTGTCCGGTCCTGGGATGCTGCCATTGCTGCTGCTGTTGCGGTTCAGACGCTGAGAATCGGGACCAGCACTGTCAGTGCCTTCACGCTTTCGCTTGTTTCCAGTAGCGACACCACCATCAGTGGCACCCAGGGATGGTTCTGACATGGCGAGCTGCAAACAATCAGTCATGTTCATAGCAGAGATGAATGGCAGACTCGGGTAAATTAGCAAATTAAGCATACCTGCTGATGTAGAGAAAAGGTCAGTCAGAAAAAGTTTGCTGCCCTACTTCTAGAAGTGGTAGCGGATGAACCTATTGACCAAAGGCTCCCTGTGACACAAAATGTTCCTTGTCAGTGATCATGCGATAATTTGCAGTGAGGAAGTGAAATGGGCAAGACATGGATTGTTCGATAGTATATGCACAGGCAGCTCTATATGGATGCAGCAAAAAAAGGATAAGTTTATTCATTATCAGTCATGCCACTGAACTGGACCCGGTGAATTAAAACGCGTGAATCCAGCAGCACATTTCTCCCAACACACAGGGCATGGGTATTGAAACAAACTCTGGCATTACCAGGGAATGCACAATAGCAGGAGGAGCTTGTTAAAATGATGAAAAGCCTGGCAGAGGCGATGGGGTGGGATCAAGATGACATTTCGACAACCAAAACGCGTCATGACGGCTGCGACCGAGGCAGAAGAGGAGAAAAGCGTCACGAAGACGGCCGCCCCTCGCTGACTCAACCCGAGCAGCATCAACGTGTTCCCAGGCAGGGAAATGATGAGGCTGCTGGCGGGACTCGAGATGCATAGAGGGCGGAGATTAAAAGGGAGGCACTGTACCTTGGATAGTCTATCTATCACCTGACGAGAAGTCACCTGCCACGGGCAACAACAGAAGAAGGACGCGGGTTGGACCGCGAAAGTTGGAAACGTGAAATCGGAACACAAAGATTTTGGAGACAGGCAAAATCGTCGAATTCGCGGATCGAGAGGAACCCCGCAGAAAATGAGCAAAAGAAGCGGACGAAGCTGCAGCAAGACGAGATGTTCTGGGAGAAATAGAGGATCGAAGTAGACGGGGCGCTCACGTGGCGAGGGAAAGACGAGAGGAAGAGGAGCTGTGCGGGCGGCGGCACGGACCACAAGCGCAGAGCTGTCACCTGACACGCGTCACTCTACGCGCTGCACCTCGACGGAGACAGTCAAACAGCCTCTTCACACTGCCGGACGGCCGGTAAAAATACCCTCCTGCGCATCACTCACAACTGCTAATTTAGTACTTCATATTATTATCATATTACCAACCCTCCACACCAACTTGACTGAATCTGCCGTCCTTCGCTCCTGTCCGGCAGCCGTCATGTGCCGCGATCCCGTGCCCCCCTCCTCATGTGCTCCATGAGCTCGCTGATTGGCTACCGACTCTCCCCTCCGGACGAGTTTCCCCCGGAATCACGTGCAGCACATGAGCCCTTGCGCCCTAATTGGCAGGAAATATTCCCCAGACATCGATGGATGCCTTCCCACCCTTCTCTGGCTCGTCGATCAAGCGTCTTGAGATGTTGATATCGAGGATTCGCGGCTGAATGCGCACTTTCTTTGAGCAACTGTGCTGCCATCCCCCGTCGGCCCGGCCCTCCTCGCAGCGCCATCTATGCAGATACTATGTACGACGCAAATCCTCCACCTTAAAACGCCCTGGCTTGAATGATCACTCGCCTCACTTTTGTTTGTCTCTTTTTTTAATACCATGGCAGAATGCCGAAACTCCATTCTATCAGTCTATTTATCATTTCTTCTCAGATCCTTGACCGAAAAGTGTACCGGGAAGAAGATCCGAAATGACATCTTCAGATTCAGTATATCCCGACGATGCCTGGACTTGACAGACAACATCCCGTAAGAGGATTGCAAAAAAAGCTATTTACGTATTGTATCTGCCATACCCCAAACCCAAAGTGGCACATGCCCATTCGCTACATATCCCGAAATTTCATCTTCAGCCACAAATGTCTACTCCCTAACGGCATACTATTCTACTGCTTATAGTACTGGATAATTTCAAGTGCAATGAGGTGCAGGGGCTTCTGCTATGGTTGGCTATGTCTTACTCTTTACTTGTCTTTGCATGTTCTGCACACTGTCAATCATTGGTCATGAGGGCCAGGCTCTGGGGGGTGAGAAGAGACTAAGATTGATGCCATTCTTACAGAAAGTCTAATTCCGCCGATGAATGTACTTTCTGCTCTTTCTTGCCACTCTCCTTCCTCACCTGCTAAGTCTATCTTTGCTGATTTTTTGACTTAGTTGCACAGAGTGCGAAGCTGAGAGACACAGATTGGGACTATACTTTGAAGTTGATTAGAGGATGTCACTCACATGTCCTTTTGGCTCGCAGTGTCTTGCATTGAGAGAAAAGTCAGCTGAACTGTTTATGAAGTCCTAGGCACTGTTTTATCGAGACTGTAGAAGTTGATAGTCTATACTTGTTTCTATATACATATATCAAGCATATGGACAAAATTCTTCCTGCCTGATTTCCAGGGCATCGGGGGTCCCCCAAATTAATCAGACTCATCTCCTGATCCTTCTCTTTTAACGACTCCAAAAACTAATTTCGGTTCAGTTGTTGTATCCGCAAAGCAGATTCCCTCCTCTGTCGCACCTATGATGTCCCAGCATAAGATCTTCACGTCGAAAGGCGCATCGCATTCTGTTTCCCCGCCTACATCTGTCGATTTTTGCCAGGGAAGAGACCGCTGAGTAACCGCTACCACTGCACTGGTTCCCGCATACCGCGCTGTAGGCTTGTCATCTGCTCCTTCTTCCTCACCGGCTCTATTGGCGAAGACTATGATGACTCTCCTCGTTGTAGGAACACCCCCATTGTCATCATTGACATCGACGTCAGCGTTGTGATTCATTTTCTTCTGAAGCAGAGGCCAGAACCGCCGGATCCAGTACTGAAAGGTATCCATCTCTGGCTTATTAGCTAGATTGTCGAGTTCTTCACGGCTTAGCAAGCTCAACCATGCCATGGAGATGATGACGAGCTGAGATTTCGACTCGAGCACTCGATTAGCAAGCTCCCATGCTGTGAAGGGGGCCTCAAATCGGTACGGGTTGATATCCATGCAAATTCCAAAGGAAGTAGCCACTTGTTTCTTCTTGTTCTCCGTTGGAGAATATATAGCCGGTTTGTTAATATTTGACGATTCTTGGGCCGATTGCTTCAGTGGGGAGTCAAATGTGAGTGTGCAGAAACCTCGCTCTGGTCTCCCTTCCGACGCCCAAGTTTCATCCGTATAATATAGAAAGGCCTTACGATAGTTCAGGAGAAGTTCCCCATTTTCATCGACCACGAGGAGAGAGTTGTAGTATTTTTCTTTCCCTTCAGATGCAGACTCCATTTCCTTCTCAATCTCTGGGTATCCAATACAAACTTTGCACTGTAAACTTTTGGCTGTTTCCCGGGCCCATTTGGCCGTCGGGCCTTCGCCAACGGGCTCAAGGTAGGGCCTGATGGATTCCAGCGAAGGGAAATTATAACCTAGCAAAGAAATGTCACCAAAACCATCTTCTAGGTAAATGGGAATTCATCAAGAATGACGTGTTTCCCCCAACTTCCCTCTGGTAGGGTATTCAATGTCTTACTACCACCACAAGAGTGTACTCTATTAGATATCTAGTAGTCAGTACTTACCAGTCAGTGCCAACTCAGGTAACACCAATACATCTGGTTTTAAGCTCTCTATTCCATGCCAAACCCCGCTCTCCCTCTTTCCCCTCTTTAGCAACTCATTGGCCTTCTTGATATTCCCTTCCACATCGCCAAGTGTTGGGGCCAATTGTAGCGTGGCAATCCTCATGTCTCTTCGCGACGGGGGCAAAGAGGGGAAGGAATTGAAAGAGTAATACCTCACAAAAGCCTGTGCGACAAATACAAGCTGGGATCTATATTGGCAGCACCACCGCACTCTCGTGAATTTACTTTCGTGGATTGAGAGCCCTCTAATGACGGGCGAAAAAGTTGAAGCCAGTGTTGAGAATCGCTGGAGGATATCCAGAAGACTATGATCTTCAGGGTAATGGATGAAAGTATTCTGCAGGCTATGGAAACGACGACTTCTGCTCTGTTTGATGTTGGAATGAGCTTAAAAGTCCGGGAGAAACTAATGGAGGTATATCGTTGGTTGGTTACTAGCTAGATAGGCCTACGTGGAAAGGGTCAGCGAGGGCGGACCTATGCGGCAGAATCCCACGTGATCCAACAGAAACGCCTTTTCTGATCCTGCAACACGTAACTCACCATTGCTAACTACTCTGTACGCTGTACAAAGTCAGCTAGGTAAGCGGCTCTAAGAATGTTACTCACCGCCTCAAAAAGCGGGCTGATGAAATGCCCAAGGCTACAGAGGCAATCAAGCCATTCACAATTAGAACCCCACCACAGCCTGAGAAATGTTGATGGGGGTCGAACTCGCTGAGTTGTTCTAGCTAGGGAGGCCCGGAGTCGGGCAAACTATCTACACTAAGCTAACTAAATAGCGCTAATCCTAACGAGGAAAGGGCTGAATCATCGGAACCACCAACACATGCTGCATTCTCGCGTCCATCTGTCCTTCTTCCTTTCTCCCTTTCTTCTCCCATGTCTGGTATTCGCTGGAATTCTTGTAAAGCAACACTGTACAATATGGTACACAGAGATCAAGACTTCTTGGCCTTACATGGTAGGACTAGATAATTCTATGAGATTGGAGTAATGGGATCTATATACTTTCCTCACACCCGAACCGATGCCTTGCTGTAACCTGCTTGAATGATGAGTTATTGTGGATTTCAAGCAAGTATCCTTCTCAATTTATATTCAACTGAGCTGCTCACGGTCATCTTGACAGCTACGGTGGACCAGGCGATCTCAGATCTAGCACGTGGAAGGAACAGCAACTTAGGTATGTTCCATTGCCAATCTCCACTCCTACTCCACCCAAGCCTCTCCTACCCAACACCGTTCTAGCATGTCGCGGAGTGCATGCATGTCAAACGGGACCGTGAAATCTTTCATCTCATCCTTTTTGCCATGGAGCCAATCGAAGGGCACTGGATTCTGAACGGCTGGCATCACCTATTCTTGCCGGGGGCGAGGATAGGGGTTCATGACGCGGGTGATTGGGATGGGCATTTTGCAAAGTCCTCCTGCATGATTGGACTGCCAGTTGGCATTGTCGGACTTGTGCTAGCTGGTTGGATGCTTGTCGCATCCACCATTCTTCATCTTAATGATCTGTGGGCTTGGGAACCGAAAGAGGAATCTGATGCGGGGAAGTAATGGTGATCCGGCTTGATTGCAAGGGCTAGCACCTTTTGCTTAACATTATCTATACTCCTGTGCTTGCTTGGATATTTCCACAGTCTGTAGATTAAAGAAGATTGGGGTGGGAGGAGAAGAGATGAGATCATACTGTCACGACCTAACTCCTAGGGTGCATTCTAAGGACTAAACCGCTGCACTACCAGCAAAAGACCAGAATATCAGGTCATACGATTGGGGATTCGAATCAGACTGAGCGTAAGTGCATTTTCTAGGATTTTTCCTTTAAGAATGCCAGCTACCTGAGACCTTTCTAGCTGACAGGGTGCCTTTGTGATCCCTGGGGGCTAGCTTATGTAATACTTACCGAGGCGCTTATGGACTATGGACTCTGGCAGCGGCCCATGGGCAAGGTGCTGAGGGACCAGCACCTGGGTGAGGCAGGGGTGATGTGACGGCGTGGAAAACAAGTACCATATAAGTGAGTGCAGTATCAGGTCTTACGACCTGATATCCTGGTCTTTTGCCGGTAGTGCAGCGGCTTAGTCCTTAGAATGCACCCTAGGAGCTAGGTCGTGACAATCAGCAATGCTCTGTATGCGTCAAGGGTTCCTCTTTGAAACACTTAAAAAAAAAAAAAAGAGAAGGAAGAGACCTTTGAAATAGTACTGTATTGCTTCACAAATATTGTGGGCTTGGCCCAGTGGTGTGCTTTTATTTAGCGTTATTTCAACCTCAGCAATGATGCCGTCTCCTAGGTAGTTGGCGTCATCGACTTATAAGAATCAATGACAGGAGAAAACCACCAAGCAAGGTACAATATTTTCTTCAACACATGGACTGGTACTGCGCACCAGTCAGCCTGGTAATGGTGGAAAGTGTGGTACGGGCCCAGTCATATATAATGTAGAGCGACAGGAGTGTCGCTCCTAGGGGATCTAGATAGCAAATACCAACTTGATGCCTGATCAAAGGGAAGAGGAGAGAACATAAATTGAAATAGACATCCATCTTGCAATCTGCAAGCCATCAGAATCTTGCAGAAAAGCCAACTAAATACAGGGAGGCTTCCTTGGACCCTTGAACTAAAGCCTGTATTTGTGGACTTTTGAATCTGAAGTAATATAGGCTCCAGTCAGCAACAGCCAGCCAGGGATTTCATATACAGAGCTTGTTTCTCTCAATTAGCCAGGTAATCCATTGTCCAAATGATCACTGTATACAAAAGGTCCAAGGCAGAATCTATGAGGGAGGTGATCAAAGCAAGTGAGTGCATCAATAGTACTGCAATTATCTTTGCTACCAAAAGAAAGATATTTGCCACCATGTGCCATGGAGCTCAATCAAGATAGAATAGAGAATGCTATTTGGCTATCATGGCAGCTATCGACGAGAACTTCAAGCATGGACAGGAAGGCAAAAGGGAAGAGATCTACGTGAAGCTGGACGACGTACTCCTATCCACGCGCCACGCTAATCCAAATAAGGAAGCTCACGTGCTCGTCCTGGTCTACTAATGGAGGTGTATTGTTGGTTGGTCACTAGCTAGATAGGCCTACGTGGTGAAAAGGGTCAGCGAGGGCGGACCTATGCGGCAGAATCCCACGTGATCCAACATCTACATGGCAAGGGCCCTGACACCATGTTGATCTGGAATATATGTGTCAACTAGGCATGATGACTGGGAAAGCAAGCTCATGTTCAAAGCTCTCTTTGCTGCCCGATTGCTCTTGGCGCATTTCTCTTACTCTTCAGGTGGCAGAAAGGCCTCTATGTTATATCCCATAAGATGAAGTAGTATATCTCTGTCAAAAATTCTGTTGCAGTTTGCATCTAGGTTGGTGCTATCAACCATGTCATCAGCTAAGGAGCAGATGAGGCTATCAACTTCAGCCCAATTGTTCAGTTTGCAATTTTGCATTTTGTAAAAAACTTAAACATGCTTCTTCTTAATCAAATTCAACTCCTCTTGTGTCTTTTGATACCGCTTAACATTCAAATTTCTAACACTAGTGAGGATTCTAGATTTGAGTTCCCAGTGTCTGTTCTCAGCCTCAGCGGTTACAGGATCGTCCTTGAACCCAGGTCCCCTTACAAGACAAGGTTGTCTTTGGGGGTTGGTGTTGCAATTGCCCAATATATCCTGACCAGTAGGGCCGGTCACCGCGCTGGATTGCCTGACCATGTTGCACGGGCACGCCTGTAAAAATGACCAAGAGTTGAAGTCGAAAGGTGTATTTCGTCCGTAATTTGGTCAAGAATAGGAAGAAGCACTTTTAGGTCAGAGCAGTCATCAACACAATTGATGGCTTCCATCGTTGACATTGGAGAAAAGAGTCTGATAGACGTCATACTACTCCACAGCTAAGTTGGCCACGCAATCAGAACTATTATCTTCTCTCTGAATCATATTATACCAGTCTCCCGTTCTGACATAGACTCAGCCAGTGCTATACCGACTCAAAATACAGAGACAGCAAGTATTGTCACTATCGACTCCGCCTGGACCGTTTCTGTCGGTCTTCCCGGCTATCACGGAAGCCGGGCACTGTCGAATACTGGGATTGAGAAACCATCGCATTTGACTGAGAACAATGGTTTATTGCTTCTTCCCTCATCTCAATCGCTTCTTCAATGCAAGGGATTGATTGATTGATTGTATTATTTAACGTCTGAAAAGAAGGTACGTGCTAGTCACGTGCCTAAGATTCCGGAACAGAACATAAGACGGCCGAAGCTAACTCGGCTGGCTAGGGTAGAATAAAAAGTCTGTATAGGTATATTGCAAGCATATGTCAATCCACCAACACCATGCAATGAAAGTACATGCGACCCTAAACCAGAGCCGAGAAATAACCCGCTATTGAGAGACCAGACGCCATGATAAATGCGATCTTCCCTCTCAATTAAGTGATTTCCGTCCAGTGTGGCCCATTTTAACCAAAATTATGAGCGATGCTATATCCGAAAGTAGAAAATCCCGTACGGCTATTTATATTCCTCCGTTTTGCGATATTTCTCGGGCGTGAAATTAAGCGGCTTGTACGCCAGTCCTCTACCCCCTGTGCGTCTAATCCTTTGCTCTGTTCGGGACAACGAACGGCCAAGACCCAGATCGGTTTCTGGAGCGAAAGCAACATCATACCCATTGACATTGGTCTGAAGCGGGGACTGGCTTCGGGAATGTTGTTGAGAGGAAGGAAGACTGCTACTATGGCCGAGAGACGAACGCAGAGACGAGCGCAGAGAATTAGGTTCAGGGGGCATAATGTCAAAGATCTTCGGACCGCTTCTCAAAGTTTCAGCAGCTATCCTAGCAGCAGACAAAAGAAGCTCATCTTGATCGATCAGAGAAGGGGCCTTTGGTTGGGGCTCCAATCTGGCTGCGGGCTTCGCAGCGAGCAGTTGCTCGGTCTTCTCCAGAACAGGAAGTGTTGGAAGGGACTTGATGGAATAGAGAGCCAATGACGATCTGCATGGAGGAGATACCTCCGTTTCCACTACTTTCTGCGCTTTTGAGACAATTTCGGCCGATTCTTGTTCTTGGTTCTCGTCTAGTGCCCTTTTGCGCGTCGCAATGTGTTCCTGCTGCCGCCGCCTTTCAGCGACATCCTTCAGGGCCTGTATCCAGGAACGACGGCGTTCACGCCGACTCATACCTACATAGGCTCCAAATCAGTTACATGCGTTCTGGAGATAATAATAACAACAGCAGCAGCAACGAAGAAATAAAGAAGAGTGCTTACACGCTAAGGGATCTTCGACCTCATCCACTCTTTTATTAGTGGCAGACTCCAGAGAATCAGTTGTTGGCGTAGCTTCAATAGGCGGTGCTGGTACAGTAGATGCGACCCGGTCCTCCAGCGAAGCCGCTTCATTTTCATGTTGTTTCAAGGATTCCGCTGCACCGACAGAAGTTTGTTTGTTCTCGACGCTAGTTTGGGTCTCCGTATACATCGTACTGGTCTTTGGCTCCGGAGATGTAGGCTTCGAGATTGTGGCAACAGGCTCTGCTGCGGGGGGTGTAAATATTACAGCTTGGGAAAAAGTTAGCATTCATAAGAAGCATGCATGGTTGTAAAAATCGCACCATTTTTCTCTGTGACCAGCCCATTGTCTTCCAAAGGCGATGATGCTTGAACGGGCCCTTCACTAGTAATAGGGGACGTTCCAATATCGAGTTCTTTTGACGAGACGTTTGGACACGTAAAGTTGAACATGGAACCAGTAGGAGTCCCAAAAGCTCCAGAGAACGTGGGCTTTTTTATGGAATTAAACAAACTGACAGAATCATGATCATTGGTCCGCCTAGTAGCCTGGTCAGATCTTGTACTCAGAGAGCTCGCGATAAGATTGAACGGAGACTCTGGTGCTTTTGCCGAGCCTTGAGGGGCGGATGATGGTTTCACTTGAAATGCGGGAGGAATAGTAGTCGTGGTGATATTATCTTTCTGCTCTTTTGACGTGAAGGGGGTTGGCTCCAGAGAAAACGCGAAGGGTGACTTCTGTGCACCGGGAGGGACACTCTCATTTGTCTGCGACGCCTCGGAAGATGGAAATGAAGATGAGAACGCAAAGGAGCTAGGGATCGGGGAGGATGAGAGCACTGTACCACCCATCTTTTCTGGAGCGAATAAGGATGAAAAGGTCTTGGTAGAGTCAGACGGCTGGAAAAGACTCGGATTGGAACAGCTGTCGGGGACACCTTGCTGTGTGGCTGCTGGTTCATTGTCGGGAATTGGTTGCGAAAGTTCTTCGAAAGATTTGTCAAGACTGGAAGGAGACGTGGACGTGAGTATCTCAGGTATTCCATTTTGTTGGGGCGGTAGGACTTCGGGCTCGTTGTCATCGCCGCTGACAAAAAGAGCATCGTCATCCGTAGATGTCCCAAGCTCAAGGGTTGACAAGGGGTAGATGCGTTGTGACAAGAGAGATCTGTCAATCATTCCCAAACTTGCCGCTTCCTTGACATTCAACCCGAGAATTAAAGCAACTAGCGTCCTCCCGGCACGTTTCGATTCGACATATTTCTCTGAAAACGTTTGTTCTGAAGATGGTTGGAAGGCTACAAATTGTGTTAGTCAGAGAACACGCGAGACGAGACCGAATGCCCATGGACAAGGCATAGTCTGCTTGCCATTTTCAATGGAGCAGGAAACCGAGATAACAGAAAACGGAAGGCATCAGGTTCTGGTATGTGGGTTCGCAGTCGAAAAGGTAACGTACCAACAGAATCGACAGGACGGTTGCCCCAGTTCAGACATAATTCACCGTTAGTATTCTCTTTGAGTTCCAAATCCTGTTGTTGGCAAAACTTCATTGTCTGGTCATTGTTGTCAAAGTATAGTGCTGTAGTCAACTCGTCAATTGTCCACTCCTCATTCCTATGCTGTTGGGAAAGCGGAGAACGACAGTATGCCTTCCAGATGGACCGGATGGCGGTTTGGCGCATATGATTAAAATAAATCTCGGCGACACAGGCCGTCAGATACGATACAGTTGGGGAATCGACCAAACTAAAGAAGCGTGTGTAGAAGCCCTGAGCAATTGCATTCGGTCTCTTCGCGTCCAGCGTACCCTGGTATTCCCATGTATTCCCAGCGGCAGCAAACATTTCCAGTGCCGCCTGCACGCGGGGAGACCTGCGCAGCTCAGAAGGCCATTTCTGGACACGAGATTCCAAGTCAGGTCTTTGGTCGTGAATGGAAAAAATGATGTAATAAGCGCGGAATTCATCTTCATTTGGGAACGAAATGCGACCGCGGTTGTCGTCATAATAGTACATGAGAGACAGCATGGTATTGTTAAGTTGTTCACGTTCCTGGTGGTGATCAAATGGTTCCTCATTTGCGGGGCTGGAGAGCAGGTGAAGAGATAGAATATGGAAACGAGCGATTCTCTCAAGACAGGTTACAGCCATCCTGACATGGTTCTCCTGCGTCAGTTGTTGAACTGATAAATCGTTACGAATAGACCTGGTACGGTCCCACGCAAATTTGTGAATGAGTCCAAGAGGTTCGTCTCCACCGATGACATGCCGAATAAGATAATTGGTGGTCTGAAGAAGCGTCTGAGGAGTTCGAATATCAGAAGGGAGTTGTTCGTCGTAGCCAGCGGCAGATCTTCTGAAACGCTTCAGCATCTTCGTCTCCATATTCTGGAGCTTGCCAGTAGACGGATGAAGAAACTAGATAATAAATGTGTCAGTTCATGTAACCCATAGTGTAGATGCCAAAATTTTGCAAGATACCTTTTCGCTTTTGTCGACCATCTTTTGAACAATTCGTTCAACTCGTTCATACTCTGGACACATGCTGGTGCAAGTACCAACTGGCGTAATGGCTTGGTTCAAATAGGTAGGTTGGTTAGGATCTGCCATTAGTCCTTCTTTAATGGCTCTCTCCCTTTGGTTGGCCCTATCAATTTTGAGCTGCAGACCCTGTCAGAAAGCCGACTTGAAGATGATTCCTTTTGGTGTGTTTGACACGAAAGTACCGACCTCCTCATAGCGTTCATGATATCGGTTCAGAACAGCATCGTCTTCCACGGGAATAGAGAAACCATCTTTGTGATCGGGAGGGTGTTGTAACGCTCCGCGTCGAGGATCCCTATTCGAATCGACCATGGTTCCGTCCATTTTTGAAGGCATCCCGAACGTTCCACCTCTTTGTTGGAAAGTCTGCCCGCAAAACATGGAAGAAAATGGCTTGTTCTCCTTCAGTCCAGAGAAAGGAGAGAAAGCGGACGACGCAGCTGGTAGCTTCTGCTCCTCGCGTGGCACGTTGGTTGCCGAACCAGTGGGCTTTGCTCCCCTACCACGACCCTGCCTGCCTGCTGGAGAATCTCCTCGTCCTCGGCCGCGGCCTCTGGAATCGCGTGATCCGCTTGAGCCCCTAGACCGAGACGATGCTGCTCGTCCAGAAAATCCACGGCCGCGGACTGTCGAGCTCTCCGCTCCATCCTTCCTCCCAGAACTGAACGGTCCGGCCATTCTGCCAGGGCCAGGAGTGGCAGGCTAGCTCCTTCCCCTTCAGTCTCCAAACTGCAGTCTTGTTTCCTTCCACTTTTTCTGTTCTTGTTGCGTAGGTACTATTCGATATTTCAAGAACAGGCGGGGGAGAGGTCGCGACAAACAAGGTCGAAGTTTCCTAGAAAAGCTATTCACCAGTGACCATACACAAAGGCAAAGACAAAGAGTCAGCAACATACTAATAAACAAAAACACACAATCAAAACCAAACATTTCCACGGGGTATTCGCGGCTAGGATGAACAGAGAAATAGAGCACTGGTGGACGAGGCAAAGTGAGGTGCGAATAACGGCGGTACCTTTCGCGTGGGACTGGAGGGCAGCCTGAACGACATGGGAAAATGCGCCAGCGCCACAAAAAGAAAGACAGCAGCAAACTTAGATGGTTAATAATAGAACGACTTTCCGCACTTTTTTCGTTGCAAATTAAGATGATGAAGGAAGAGTTGCGAAGGACGGCTCGGGAGAGGTCTGACCAGGTACGAGCGGCGGCAGCTCCCAAGATAAACATAGATAACCGAATGCCGCTGGAGTCTCTGCTGATCGCATTCACCACTGCAAGGTAAAGCCCGCCAGTCAGCAATCTACAGTTTTGAATGCTCCCGATATTGCATTTTAGACAATAGGTGGTGACCCGATTGAATCTATCAGTCTTTCTGACTCGAAATCATGGTACCATGTGGAAAGGGTATGGGATCCCATCCCGGTCACTTCGTCTCTTCGAACTCCCTTTTGGGTCGACCAACTCTATTATGATAAAGTGCAGTGAATCCATCTTTTCATATTCTCTGCCAGACATTCTCGGAAATTCCAACGACATATAAATATGTAAAATGAAGTCTGGCAGCTTGCCAATGCGGAATTTGTGCTGTGATTCTTACTAGCGCAGAATACATCTTCACTGTCTCTTACAGATATACAACCACCTACGGCACCAGATTGTAAATCCTATTTCATGAAAATCGCTAAATCACGGAATATAGGCTGAAGAACGGCTGGCATTATCTTCGAGTATCGATGGCACTTCTAGTACAGTATGGCTCGAAATGAAAATCATGGCAGTGCCCGTCCCAGCTGTCATTTCCCTTGCATCCGTCGAATGCGTTCCTCAGCAGCTCTTGCCCGGCGCTCTCTTTCCAGCCTCATTCTCATCTCGGGAGTCATTCCCCGCATCTCTTCCTCTCTCTTATCCGCGGCAGTCTTCTCAATAGCTCCTAGAGTTCGCCCACCGGTCTTCTGGGGCTGGGCGCAAGCTGCCCTCTCGGCTTCTTCCCTCCTTAGGCGTTCCATTTCGGCCTTACGCCTGTTTGCCTCTTCCTCTTGAGCTACCTTCCGTTCTCTCTCCATTCTGCTGTCCACGTCCTCCTTGGAAAGCGCCGACGGGATGTGTGATGCATCCCAGTTCCAACTCGACTCACCGAGTTCGTGGCGGGCAATGCGAAAAGCATTGCGAGTAGCTCGATCTCCAGCGAGCTCAAAGGGCGTCTTCCCTTCATCATTAACTGCCGTCGGATCAAAGCCAGCCTTTGTAAGAAGGGCTAGAACAACGGACGAGGAATTAGTGTTCGCCGCAAAATGGAGCGGTGTAGGACAACGGAAATTCTGTGGAGAATCGGAGGGCCTGAATCTAAAGGATGCGGGTATCGAGTTCTTAGAAATATAAGACATCAGTGCGGGTATCTTCGAGCGACGGATCAGGGCTTGGATTTGAGTGGTGTGTAACATTGTGGCTTCATCTTCCTTTGTGATCTTTGGCTTCTGCTGGCGAGGTACTGGTGTTGGCGGCTTCGAGACTGCTTCCCGCTGCTTGGCTTCCGCTGCAAGGGCGGCTTCGTCAACCCGGCTCACTTTTACCCTTGTAAGTTCCTTGAAGCACCTCATGAGCTCGGCTTGCGTAGCTCGTCTGGTACTGAAAGGAAAGCCTCTCAGCCTCGGATCATTCTGCTTCAAGAATTGCCCTTCATAGGCGCCAAACAGAATTCTTCTGTTTGTACTCCCAGTAGCCCGGATGAACAGTAGCTCTGCTTTATCAATCATCTGTCTCCATTCGCCCAATAATTCTCTAATCTCCTTTTCAAGCGCAGCTTCATTATAGCGTCTCAAACTAGAGCCTGCTGAGTGTGCGGCTCCTTTAGCAGAATCGTTGGCAGCCTGCGAGCCACCCTGTTTTCGTCGAGTGGTATATCTATGGAAAGTCTTATGTGCAATAACTCGAGCTTGCCTCTCCTCAACACCTCCCTGACGACGGTGGATCTCTGGAGCCAGAGAAACCAACATCGCCGCAAAATGACCGCCGCCTATCATGCATAAGAAGACATGCGGCGCAGGTGGAGGGGGGTTTTCTGGAACAGAACTATTGTTTCGTTGTGGATATATGGGCGACAGCTGTTTTTTCCGTAATGAATCGACAAGGTGCCCAGGTTCATCCTGTTCGACTCTCGTGAAAAGAGCTCTGTAGATGCCCAGAGAGACGTTAGAAGGCAGCAACGAGCTTGATAACCAGAATAAAGGGCTTCTTCCAGTCGAAGCATTCTTAGGCGCTTGTTCATCGTCTCCATTCGCTTCGGATATCCTAGCCTGCTTTTTCAGCAAGGCCCCAAGAGTCGCGTCTGCGGATTGCAGCTCGCCTTGCTCATCGTCCTCGTCCTCCGAAGACTCCGAGCCGGATATTGATTCATCCAATTCCCCGATCGCCTTGTTAAATTCGACCTCGTTAAGCGTACGGTTCCCTCGCAGCTGCGCCTTCACATTATATCTATGATGGTCTGACCTGACATGGTCTCTGTGCTCTTGGACGCCCAGGAAGGATATGCTGCAAAGACCACAAGATGTCGATTTAGATACTAAATGATTTTCGATTTCGGAATCAACATTCTTTCGAACGTCCTCAGTGTTCGTCTCGAGAGAAGTGACCTGTTCACCGGCTTTTGTAGTTAGAGTCCCAAGGAGCTCCTGTGGAAGATTATAAACTTGAAAGAAAGACAGGAAGTTAATGGTTTGACGGTCTCAAGACAGGTTTGTAGAGCAACAGTAAATCTCACCATATAATGACCTCTTTAACAAATCCTCTACCCCAGAAGCGTCTGCAGCCATCATGCGTTGGAGACAAAACCGCGTATTAGTAGTCCTTTAGTGATGAAGACGGAACAATTTCAGGCACGCCACGGACCCTACCGCCTTTTTATGCCGTGGGGTGTCGGACAGGGTGGCGATAAAGAGCAATAAATACTCTGCAGTAATCTGACATGTTTTCCGCTAAGAATGAAAAGCCATGGTGCAGCTGTGGAAAGAATCACTCTGAGTCACTCTTCGTGTCTACTGGTACTCATATGCCTGGAGGGTAAACCCTTGTTGCTGACAGTATCGTCTGCAGTAACTACCGGCCTCCGTGCTATCAGCGGGAACTCGAAGGGGTAATAATAAATATCCACAGCGCATGGAGTAATAGAGGCTGCTGGCTTATCGATGCGATTACGTAGCTCCCGTATTATATGCATCACGTGACAGACCATGTCGGGCCTCGAGAGCGAAGCGCATTTTGTTTCAGTAAGATTCTCATATCGAACCTGGGTGGTGAGTTGATGCGACTGTCGTAGGAACGCAATGTACTAAGTCTTCCTTCAGAAGGGTTTTCATCACTTCTCTCGTGCTTCGTCACTTATCTCCTCATCCACGCGGAAGCCTTCGCCGACCTTCGATAAATTATAAATTAGCCTATATAACTACAGGAGTTAGTTAACTAGTTAGTTAGCTCGCCGCTTTAGTCAGCAGTTTGTCCGGAAATCTCGCCTTTGAACTCGCATTCTCCCAAAGACTCTGCCAATTCTCGATCGAAGCGTTTACTTCCCGGTTCGAAATTCGTGTTGTTTTGGGACGGGAAGGAAGATGCTCGATGGCAATTCTCAGTCCTTCCTAGGGAAGTCCCAACCGGGATCACCATGGATGGGACCAAGCTCCGAATCCCCCCAGCGTCAGCCTTTCTGCAGTGATATTGAAGGTTGGGGACCCCTAAGCCCTTTCAGGTACGACCTGACACCGTGTTTCTTGGATCTGTGGGTGTCCTTGGTTGCAGCATGGGGTCTCTTCGTGGGTGCAGGTGCCATATGGTTCCTGTTCAAGAAGAGGTCACCGCAGCCTGTATCGAAGAACTGGCATTTTTATGCCAAGCTGGTCAGTACCATATCCCTCAACATCATTTTGTAGAATTGTCATCGTGCAGCCTTGTGCGGACGATATCTAACGGCGACTAGATTGTCCTGTCCGCTTTAATCCTGGTAACGGCCCTGCAGTCCTCCCTTGAGATCGAGTCTCACCCCAAGACCTGGCTAGTCGACCTTCGCTTCTGGAGCTCGATAATCACGTTGGCTTCACTGGGTGTTATATTTGCGGTCCAGTACTACGAGCACTGGCGCAGTAGACAGCCTAACGGGGTCGTGCTATTCTATTGGGTTTTCTTCATTATCGCTTATGCGGTTAAGCTACGCTCTCTCATCATTAGGAAAATCCACGGGATATCACTTCCGTATTTCGTTACATTCAATGTCAGCCTGGGGCTTGCAGTGTTGGAATTTGCGCTGGAGTATATGGTTCCGAAGAAACAGAGCGCTTACGACGCATTGGGTGACGAGGATGAATGTCCTTACGAATACGCAGATATCTTCTCTGTTCTCACATTTAGCTGGATGACCCCGTTGATGAAATTTGGATATAAGAATTTCCTAACTCAAGATGATCTGTGGAATCTCCGTCGACGAGACACGACTCGTGCTACTGCTGACGCTTTTTCACACGCGTGGGAACACGAGTTGCAAAAGGAAAAACCTTCTCTATGGGTCGCACTTTTCAGAGCATTTGGCGGATCATATTTTCGGGCTGCAGTGGTCAAGTCGGGGAGTGACATTCTTGCCTTCGTTCAACCCCAGCTTCTACGTCTCCTCATCAACTTCATTGACTCGTATCGAAGCGATAATCCCCAACCGGTTATCAGAGGAGTAGCCATAGCTATTGCAATGTTTCTAGTTTCTGTCTCACAGACCATGTGTCTGCATCAGTATTTCCAGCGAGCTTTTGATACTGGTATGCGTGTCAAATCATCGTTGACTGCAGTGATATATTCAAAAGCTCTGAGATTGTCCAGTGAGGGCCGCTCCGCGAAGACGACTGGTGATATTGTCAACCATATGGCGGTGGATCAGCAGCGTCTCTCGGATCTGACGCAATTTGGCTTGCAACTCTTTTCTGCTCCGTTTCAGATCACATTGTGCATGCTGTCACTTTATCAATTGGTTGGGCCAAGCATGTTTGCTGGTATTGGGGTTATGATACTCATGGTGCCATTGAATGGTGCAATTGCTCGAATAATGAAAACCCTTCAGGTTACACAGATGCGCAACAAGGATGCTCGAACTAGGCTTATGACCGAGATACTGAATAGCATGAAGAGTATCAAACTGTATGCCTGGAACACGGCCTTCATGAACAAGCTCAACCATATTCGGAATGACCTGGAATTGAATACTCTTCGCAAGATCGGTGCAACGCAGTCTATTGCCAATTTTACATGGCAATCGACTCCATTCCTTGTCTCATGTTCTACATTCACCGTTTTCGTCCTGACAAGGGACCGTCCTCTGACAACGGAAATCGTCTTCCCAGCTCTGACGCTTTTCAACCTCCTCACATTTCCACTTTCTATCTTGCCAATGGTCATTACCTCGATCATAGAGGCATCGGTTGCTGTCAAACGATTGACTGATTACTTCACCGCTGAGGAATTACAGAGTGACGCTGTCGTCTATGAAGAGCCTGTCGCCCATGTTGGCGACGAATCTGTAGTGATCCGCGAGGCATCATTCACGTGGAACAGATACCGTCAGAGTCGCGTCCTCGAGAACATCAACTTCAGCGCTCGCAAAGGTGAACTGAGTTGTATTGTGGGCCGTGTTGGGGCTGGGAAGTCTTCATTACTCCAGGCAATACTTGGTGACCTTTGGAAACTACAGGGAGAGGTGGCTGTTCGCGGTCGTATTGCATATGTTGCACAACAACCATGGGTCATGAATGCCAGCGTTCGAGAGAATATTGTGTTTGGGCACCGATGGGATCCTCACTTTTACGAGCAGACGATTGATGCTTGCGCCTTGCGGCATGATTTCAAAAACTTACCAGACGGTGATCAAACTGAAGTTGGAGAAAGGGGTATCTCGCTTTCAGGAGGGCAAAAGGCCCGGTTGACTCTCGCTCGGGCGGTATACGCTCGCGCAGACATTTACCTCCTAGATGATGTTCTGTCCGCAGTTGACCAGCACGTCGGTCGGCATCTGATCAACAAAGTACTAGGGCCGAACGGGATCCTGAATGGCAAGACCAGAATTCTGGCAACAAATGCGATCACGGTTTTGAAAGAAGCCGATTTCATTGGATTGTTGAAAGAAAGAACATTGGTTGAGAAAGGCACCTATGAGCAGTTGCTGGCCATGAAAGGCGAGATCGCTAATCTCATCCGCACTGCTACCAACGAGTCTGATGACGATGAGAGCTCTCTTACTGACACGGACGACAGTCCTGGCCTAACTAGCCCTGGTGATTCGCCGACCACGGCCGAGATCGACAACCCGGAATCTGAAATTTCAGACACGGAAGCGGAGGAAGCAGAAATCGGTTCACTTGTCCCTATCAGGTCTGCCACGGATGCTCAGAGAAGATCTAGCACTATAACTCTACGTCGTGCTAGCACGGCAAGCTGGAATGGTCCCAGGCGCAAGCTTGCGGACGAGGAGAATTTAAAGACCAAGCAGACTCAAGAGGTTTCACAGCAAGGTAAAGTAAAATGGAGCGTCTATGGTGAATACGCCAAGAACAGCAATCTCGTTGCTGTCAGTATCTATCTGCTTGCGCTTTTGGCAGGTCAGACAGCCCAAGTTGCCGGCAATTTCTGGTTGAAGAATTGGTCTGAGGCCAACGAGGTTGCTGGATCGAACCCTAACGTAGGTAAATTTATCGGTATCTACTTGGCCTTTGGGTTAGGAGCGTCAGCGTTGGTCGTCGTTCAGAATCTCATCTTATGGATCTTTTGCTCGATTGAGGTATGTTCTGGGATTCAATCATCGTACCCCTTCATTCTCTTCTGATAACTCTCGCCCAGGCCTCTCGGAAACTACACGAGCGCATGGCATTTGCCATCTTCCGCTCTCCCATGAGCTTCTTTGAGACTACGCCGTCTGGTCGCATTCTCAACCGGTTTTCAAGGTGCGTCTTCTTAGTGGCAGATAACGAATGTAGGGGCTGACAAAAAATGGTACCTAGTGACATATACCGCGTGGATGAGGTCATAGCTCGCACCTTCAATATGGTTAGTATTTCAAGGAATCCCGAGAAGATCGGGGGATAAAGGCTAACTATTATAACTAGCTGTTCGCCAACTCTGCTCGCGCACTATTCACAATGATAGTCATTGCGATCTCCACTCCTGGGTTCCTTCTACTTATCATCCCCCTAGGCTATATTTATTTCAGTTATCAAAAATACTACTTGAGAACTTCCCGTGAACTAAAGCGGCTTGACAGCGTTACTCGAAGCCCAATATATGCGCATTTTCAGGAGTCCCTAGGAGGCGTGTCGACCATTCGTGCTTACAGACAGGGCAACCGATTCTCCCTTGAGAACGAATGGCGTATGGACGCCAATCTTCGGGCATACTTCCCATCTATTTGTGCAAACAGATGGCTGGCAGTTCGCCTTGAGTTTATTGGCTCGATTATAATCTTCTCATCCGCAGGCCTTGCTATCGCTTCAGTTGCTACTGGCAGCGGACTGTCGGCCGGTATGGTCGGTCTCGCTATGTCCTACGCTCTCCAAATCACGCAGTCCCTGAACTGGATTGTCCGGCAAACGGTCGAGGTCGAAACAAACATCGTATCGGTCGAAAGAGTGCTAGAATACGCAAACCTCCCCAGTGAAGCGCCGGATGTGATCTTCAAGAAACGGCCCAATATCGGCTGGCCGGCGCAAGGGGGTGTTTCGTTCCATCATTACAGCACGCGGTACCGTCCTGGGCTCGATCTTGTGCTGAAGGACATCAATTTGGACATTAAGCCTCGAGAGAAGATTGGAGTAGTTGGTCGTACGGGTGCAGGGAAGAGTTCACTAACCCTAGCGTTGTTCCGGATCATCGAGCCGGTTAGCGGCAGCATTAGGTGGGAGTGTTCGAATAGGCTCTCCTTGGGTTCCAGATGGCTAATATCCCTACAGTATTGATGGGCTGAATATATCTACGATTGGTCTGTTTGACCTGCGAAGCCGTCTTGCAATCATTCCACAGGACCCAGCTTTGTTTGAAGGCACCGTACGAGACAATCTAGATCCTCGTCATGTTCACGACGATACAGAACTTTGGAGTGTGCTAGGTTCGTATAGTCCGATATCGGCTCCTGGCTCGACTTGAGTAACGTACTGACTACATCGCCCTCTCTATAGACCACGCTAGGCTGAAAGACCATGTCGCCAGCATGGATGGACAATTGGATGCCATGATTGCAGAAGGAGGTAAGCGATAGCCTTATCTTCGCGGCTCTCATAACCCAAACAGAAACTGACACGCGGGATCATGGACAGGGAGCAACCTTAGTCAAGGCCAACGCCAGTTGGTTTCTCTTGCACGAGCCTTGATGACTCCCAGCAACATCCTTGTACTAGATGAGGCGACGGTAAGTTGTTTTTCCGGTTTCTCCCGCTTTCTTTTGTTCTTTGCCTTGCCACGAACAAAAGTAAGGTTAATTGGTTACACAGGCTGCCGTAGACGTGGAAACGGACGCGCTCCTACAACGCACACTTCGCAGCAGTGACTTCCGAGACCGCACAATTATTACAATTGCGCACCGTATTAACACGATCATCGACTCTGATCGGATCATCGTCTTGGACAAAGGGCGCGTGGTAGAGTTCGACACTCCGGCAGAGCTGATCAAGCGCGGGGGGATGTTCTACGAACTGGTCAAGGAAGCGGATTTGCTTGATGCCGATGGCGTTTCGCCTCTGAAGTGATCTAATTGGGGGGGAAGGCCGGCCACGCTATAAGAGCCCGTTGATATCAGACAAAGGTTAATTTGGATGCGAACGGCTTTCTGTTGGATAGGGGAACCGGAAGACTCGGGCCGGTCCTGTCTATTTGGAATAGTGCAACTATTGGAGGGGAGATTGGCAGCAGGATTAAGCGAGAAGGAGGGGAAGGAAAAAAAAAGGCAAAGGGTGAGTGAGACAAGCAAAAGAATGAAGCCTTCAGGGAGGGTTCATCCCGGAGCTGTTGCATCACGTGTGGCCTGTGCATGGCGGGAAGGATGACAGTTTGCCGACGAGGAGAAGCAGTCACTGGCTGCCGTTGATCGAAGGAATGCTGATGCAGGGAGGTTCAAAAGTTGGTTTGTAGTGCTTTTGCAAATGCGGGGGTTGTAAAGAGTCAATATCAATAAGAAATATATATGGATACATGCCATAGAATTAATCAAACTGTAAAGACTATGGATCCAGCCAATTTCCAGGCTCGCTACCTGAGTGGCTCGGACATGGAAGGGAAAACGGGACGGAAGAGATTGCAAATGCAAATCCGGTCATGCACGAAGCCAGACCTGGAAATGCCGTAGCTCGACTCTAATCAATAACATAAAACGAAGTCTGCGGCGTCAACAAGTGACAGCGTCAGCCACGCGCTTAATTAAATTCTCTGGCATCAGCGTTTAGCATTATTGCTTATGGCCTGGAGAATTAAGTAGCAAATAGAAAGTGTATTTTATTTACTTGGAGTTTTGTTGAAAGGTACAAGAAATACGACAAAGTATGATGGTAACGGCTTGGAGCTAACATCTACATGTGCAAGCGCCCAGGTGGGATCGGGGTACAGTACCTATCATAGTACTATGTGCTAGTGCATATATCTTTCCCCATATTCAAGATAACTTAGCAATTTAATTGATTCAAAAGTACTGTGCATCTGTAGCTGTAGCTGTAGCTGTATCTGTACAAAGGTGCTTCCGACATACATAGGCAACCTTTGCAGAGACCTCGTATACATACACACAGCAGTCAAAGGACGCTTAAGAGAAATAAAGTAGATTTAAAAAAAGCATGAAACATCCCTCTCTGTCTGAACTTTGTCCCTAGAGGAATAGTATAATAATCATAATAATTGTAGGAGAAAATGGGATTTGGAATTGGAAACGGTCTTGGCGGGTAGAATACCCGGGTATGGAAATCATAATTAAGGTTGATAACGCGTCGATATTAGTGAACTCAAAGGATGGACTGCGGATGCATTGATGATCGGATTTTATTACCGCAATGGGCCGTGACAATACGTTGCAATTGTAGACTAATAGGGAGCAATAGAGCCACGTCACGTGACCAGAGGAAAAATGTCGTATTATGTAGTACTAACAGCATAGATACACTTCGCAATGTCCATATGTTGTGCCTGGAATACGGACAGCCTGTCAAACTGACTGACGGATCTTCAACAGTGTAAGCAGCACCATATCCTGATTCTGGCGCGCTAATGCTGACATGCATACCCGCGAGGAAAGAAATAAGGAAATAAATAGCACGGCAATCAACGTGGGAGAAAAGAAAAAACCTGATCATGACGCTGACGGATCAAGGCAGAGGAGAAACAGGTACAGACATGACTCGCAGGAGGCGGGAAGGAAGATCTGATTGGGACGGAAATGAGGGCCTTTTTAAAATTGAGAAGGATTGATATTAATAGTACAGAGTATGTATTGTAGAGGAGATAAGACGGATGTGGCTGGCTGGTTATGGCGGTGCAGAAAATCGCCACATATAAATGTAAACAAAAAAGTCCATCAATGTTGTCTGTCATTCGTCCATTTCACTAACTAATCGATTATTAATTCTAATTAATGTTGTCTTCTGGAATCTGCCGTGAACAGTCTTCAATAGCGCCTAGCCCTGCAGTTCTGCAGACAGGGAAGTGCCCTATCAAGGCGCGGAGGGTTTGTTTCCCGTTTGCAGGCTCCACCGGTTTATTGCCCCACCGAGACGAAGGATGTGCATGGGCTTCACTGCATTGGGGGTCTGCAGCAGCTCGAAACAATAGTAATTCTTGGGACTGAGATCAGATCAGATATTTCGTCTCATGCATTACATCATTGAAGATTAAGTATTGGGACTTACTATGCAGTACCTACTGTCTGCCCCTCGCTGGTTACATGGCATTGCATGAACACCCTCCTTACTTCTTCTTCAGCATTGCTGCTAATTACTACTAGCTTCTAGGTTCATACATCTTACTAAGCACCTAGTTAAGTACGAATGTACTTGCCTAATAGAGTATCTATCCCAACCACGCAGTGTCTGCATACGCAAGGAGCCGTTGGATGCATGGGCTGATCTGATCAGACCTCATGAATGACGTAGCAGGTCAGTGGTGCTTTGATTCTCTTCTTGAATAGTCAAATTCGGAAAGATAGACAGACAATACTAATAGTGCGGCTTAGTTGGGTTACTATATGCCATACGAACTCACTAGGTTTGTTGTCCATTCTTCCCAGCAGTCTGGTCGCGTGCGGATAAAATTCGGTTGTCCTGTGGATCCTTCAAGTATGCACTCACATGTAGCACTACGTAGGTAGTGTACTAAGTGTACAACACGTGGCATTCTTCAATGCTAGTTTAGTATCTGTATTGAGAAAATGTGGTGGCACAGCTGCATCCCAAACCATACTAATTAATCCAATTGCCGCTGTAGAATGGTTTGATTCCAATGCTTTGGTTGCACTGGTTGGCCACCATCCACGTGGCTGGTGTCTCAGGAACGCATGGACCTCAGTGATTGGCGGTTTCAAATTGATTGTCCCATCCCACTAGCAACAGTTCAGCCTATAGCCATGATGTATGGAAACTCCACTTTTGATCTGGTCTTCGGGCCGTCCCCGCAGACCCACCGTCCCATTCAAAAAAATATATATTCTGATACACTCATGACCTTGAAGAATATGATATAACATGCAATTGCAATGCCCATGCAGCAGTCTGGGCTATCGCTTACTTTACATAGAGTATTATGTAGCCCTAGGAGGGCAGCACGAGAGATCACCACTGCATGGAATGTCCAGAAGGGCCTCGTGAGTGATCAGTCTGTCGTGAAGAATGCCTAACGATAATATTATAAGGAGGCGTTTTCCTATTCAGACCGTTGCGTTACTCTCACTTAATTTCCTGATTAGGCATATGTGTGGCTGTGGCGGTGATATTCGTCAACACAGCATTCCCTACCTAGACAAACCCCCACAAGGGAGTGATAAAATAAAATAGTCCGAGATAGAAAGGTCCAATTAAACGTTCTATCTTTCCCTGAAGAATCGATCGAGTCCCTGTACGTGCGGAGAGTTTCTCCTCGGGTACGCGCCACATGTGTGCTTTTATTTAGACTTTGTTTTATCTGTCTATCTGTTAAGTGAGATGGCAAAAAATGAAAAGTATAGCCCTGTACCTCTCGATTTTACAACATTCAATAGTTATGTGCTAGCGGCCAGATCCCATTAATTGAGAAGGTGTTGGTATCTTAACCGTCCCTTGCTGTTCTTACGTAGTATCGCTGTGGCCAAAAAACATTATGCTGTAACCATTGAGCTTTATCTGTGTAGGGCAGTTGGGAGGAGAGGAATGCAACGTCAGCCTACATTGCGTTTCGTTTCTTTTCGTTTTATTTGAGCCTACGTTTACCTCTTTCGGGAATTGAAGACGTCTACTTTAGCTTTCATTTTTTGGGGGGGCGATGTTGTTGTTGACGGTCCGGAGCGCCAGCGCAATGTTATTATCATATCCCTGGGAAATTGAAGAGGCGATAGAGCGAGAGAAAAACAAGATATTGGGAAGTGTCAGCTACCGTGACACTGCGCCATTCTATGAATGTCTGTAGTTCCCTTCTAGATTTCTACAGCCCAGCTACCCAAAGAACACGCCATTGACGTCTGGATCTTCCGAGCAGGGACCTATCGGATGGTCTGGATGCCATAATCCTACTACCTACTACTAATAAAAAAAAATCCGGATGTGCTGTATGTAATGTGCCTCATAATTTTATTATTATTACTATTATTATTTAGTTCGCCTTATACGCACGTACATATGGGAAATCGTGCACGGAGCGCATCTTGGTTTCTGTTGATGATCTCTGGAGCCTTTATTTCCTACCTCGACGGCCTGCATAACAGCTAGCCAATCGCGGTCGCCCTCCCCGCGACTGCAATTTCTCTCCCCTATCAATGAATCAGTAATCCAACAGGAATTACTGCCTTGATCATAGTCGGGATGACCGAGCATAAAAGCAAGGAAAAGGAAATTACCACATCCGTTCCCCCCCGGGCTTTAGCTTCGAGGATCGATATTCGATAGTTCTGTGATGTTCAGATCCTCATTGACGAGTCGATTGACGTCTGACAGCTGGTGAGGTCGACTGGAACCGGATCAGACTGGCCAAATTTCTGGGCAGTAGGAACGTAGCAGGGAAGAAACAGTTGGGACCTGAACGTTCTGGATAAGCCGTTTGAAGTCGGAGACAGACAATAACGGATAAATGAATGCCATGTACTTCCCAGGTATAGCACTGCTCAGTACGTCCACGTACATGAAAAGGACATAACTATTGGAATCGACTGCTGCGTGCGCTGGAAAATGGAAGGCCAGGGTTTGTTGGGAACTCCGCGTGGCGATTGCACACGAAAGTACGTTCCTGGGAAGGTACCTTCCAAAAGTAAGGTACTGTAATGTTACCGTACACAATGATGGAGTGGCTAGATAGAGGTTAGATCCCGCCAATAAGGGTTTAGGGTTGGGACACGGACGGGCCACACCTATTGGGGAACGTGCAGATCCCAGCCAATCGCGGAAGCGGAAGCGGAGGTGGGTTCAGCGCTTGTCCCATCTGGGCGAAAATCAGGGTTCGCGGCACACGGCTGCAATTGGATTTGAGGCACGGCGAGAGGTACAGAGTCAAGACTTCAGCGAGCTACGCATGGTTTGCATACAGATATTGCTGAGGCTGGCTGTGCAGAGTTCGTTCACTGTGAGACACACATCAGACACCCCCGACGATGATGAAACTTCCCCAAAGGGAAAGTGAAGGAACACGCGGCAAAATCAGCCACGACGAACAGATGGATAGATATGATACAATCGGTATGGGCATGGATGTCTATAGTCTAACGGCGCAGCAGATCCACAGACTCTGCATCTGCGCGCTAATCGAATGGTGCGCTTCCTCCTGTCACCCGTCCATCCCGCTTAACTCGTGAGTTTGCGTTGCGCTTCCAGGATCATCCATGATCGTGCCAAGCACCAGAAAGGGCCTTGCCGATGCGGCACCGTCGAGAGACGCACGGAATTTCCTCCCCGTATACCTGCTTGGATCCGATAGCGTCGGATTTTAAGTTAATTGCCTTTGCTGCGTTCGATACGAAAATCAAATCAAATCAGCTGGGGGGTCTGGAGAACGAGATCGTCGCCCCAGGAAAAATAAAATAAAATAATAACAATAATGATATAATAATAATCAGAAATAATAATTATTATTATTATTATTTTTTTTTTAAAAAAAAACCTGAACCTGCAACCTGCCTTGTTCTCGACTCCATAATGCACGGGATTTCTTTGTCCTCCCCGTTTTCCCTTATCGAAGCAAAGCCCGTCTCCTAATTGACTACTTAATGCTCGTGTTGCTCCCCCAATTCCTGCTGGCCCTCCCTCTCCATCCTTGTTCGACTACGACCTGCTAGCTCCCAAGAGAGAACGGTTCAAGAGAACGTTAAGAGCCCAGACCTTTTCTGTTGTTCTCAATTGACTCCATCCCTTCTTCGTTCTGTTTCAGATCATATCTATATCGGCTCTATATCGACTCGTGGGTGTTCTTGCAAGCTAGCTTTCTAGCCCTAGCTACCCGCAAACCACCCGTGCTTGATTGCACGTTCTTTCTGTATGCTTCCATATTTATCACTTCCGTTTGCTCTTATCCTATATATGCCCCTTTCTTTCCATACAAGGATCAACAGCTGATTGTTACCAATAGATACTTTGACAGCTTCGTGTCTGCCTAGCAATGGTTCTCCACGTTTCTTCCTCCGTTGCTCCGCCCGTCAAGGGCCTCCCGCAGACCACACTCGCAAATGACTGCTCTGGTTGGGATACTCCTGTGGGTAACCTATTAACTCCTTGTTAACCATGTCTATCTCCATACTGATGCGCCCTTCCAGCCCATGCTCGGAAACTTCCAGCCATCTCTACAATTGCCCTATCAACATTACGCATTGATCTACCTGGACAATACGGGCAAGCTCAGAGTTCAGGAGTCTAGGTCCATCCAGGAACAGAATGATACCGTGTTCTCTCCAGATGCGCAGCAGAGATTCCTCGAGATCTTGGGGCCAAAAATCGGCTACCATAGACCCATGGTCATCAGTGAGTGCAACTTGCTTCGGGACACATCGCTCGCCCTGTGCTAACAGTATCGCTTCTCAAGGACAAGGCAGCACCAAATGGCGGCATCGTGATGACTATCACTCCTGGCCACCAAGCCGTCTCATGAAACGTTGCAGAAGCGTTTCTCACAGTTCTTTCCATGATTCCTTCTCAGATTCTGTGGAAGAGCTTCCGCCGTACTCCCCAACGGACATGATCGAACTGGAAATTGGCGACACCGAGAAGGTCATAGCGTACTACGAAAACGCATTAAAGCGTTTCCAGCAGCTCAACTGCCGCAATATCGCCAAAGCATTCATCAAGGCAATCGAGCCCCGGAAGCAAGTGAGGTATCCTTACAATGGAGGACGCACCGGAAACCCGGAGTTGACCAAGCCTGCCTGGTGGCCCCCGGGTGTTATCCACAAGGAACCCGACCACCTTAAGATGGAGTGTAAGTTGTCTCGCACATGAATTTTTTTTTTTTTTTTTTTTTTTTTTTTTTTTTTTTTTTCAGGGGCGAAGATAGAGGGGACCAAAATAAGCTAATTGTGTATAGACCGCATTCCTCTACTCATGCATATCCTACGCAACCTTGGGGAATATGGCGTTACTTCGGATAAGCTGAGAGAAGTTGCACACGATTCCAAGAAAACGCTTCAAGAAGGTGGTATTGAGATCTTGGATGAAGTCTTTAGAGTAAGGAAGCTTGAAGAACGGTATGAGCGTAACGAAGTCGGTATGTACTTTCTCAGCTTTCTTTCCAGCATAAGTTGATATACTGACACTAGGACCTAGATGCCTCTACCAAGGTCTACGTGTTCAACTACAACTCAAACAGCTCTAAACGCCGCAAGGCCTCGCGCCCGGTCAGTGAGCTGGACCATGACGATGATGTCGCAGACACTTGTGGATTTTTGACACCGTCATCCTCGGTGGACCACGCACCTGGCCCGATGACGACGTCAATGGACAACATGGCGATGGTTGCACACAGTCGACCGATGCAGCTGCAAAGTGATAGGGACCAGCTGTTCCAAATGCCAGGCACCCTTGGCTTCGATGGACAGACCAGACAGGATCATCGCCCATATTATCCCGCCTCGACCGAGTACTCCGACTTTCCCGCCTCGACCGCGGCCACTGGGGTCATCAACCAAACCGAGCCAGTTGGCTTGGATTATCTGACCCAAGCAACGTTCCCTACTCCAGGCTCCGAGGCCCCGATCTCCCCTCAGAGCCGCCATGCATCGATGCCAATGCAGTCGCCGCCAAACCAATTTCAACAGTGGAACGTCCGACCAAGTGTTTTCGGCTCAATGGACTTCGCCTCGACTCCTGGCCAGACTATCCACCAACCGACTATGCCGTACCAGATCCCCGTCTCTGGCGCTATCAGCCACGTTCAAATGTCCCACAGTCTTCCTCAGCTCCCGCGAGGCAACGCCCACCCGGGCTCTCTTTCGATGAGAAACCCTCCTTTCCGCACGGGATCTTTCAGCCATCCCCACACGATTCAGCAACCTCTTCACAGTGAATCCCTCCGGGTGGATTCAGCTAACACGACCTCCACGTCAAAGGACTCCTAAAATGGAGTTGACTCACGCCTGGCACCGATGCTAACGGAAAGATATGAGTGAACGGAAAACTGTATTCTTAGTCATTATATCCCCTCATCCGCTACGGGTTGTACCATTTACTTCATATTTATCGTTTGCTACGTGTCTCGGGGCAAGCGCCCTACTGCAATGGTTGATATTTTGTCAGTTGGGTTTTATATATACCTGGTGATTACTTCTTGTGCTCTACTTTTCCTTCTCATTTCTTTTGGACAGGTGCTCTTGTTTTCTTGGTTCATGTGTTTTATTTATTTTTTTTTCTTCTGGATTCAGTCGCTTATCATTTATTGTTGGCGTTCATTTTCATGATGCTGCTGGCTTTCACATCCTCCGGGATGTAACGAAGGACGATATGGTTCTAATGAAACTTTTTAATTATGCGATACCACCATGCGTCAGCAAACCAGGAAACGGAAACGGAAAATCTGGAGCAAATAATTGTCTGTCTGTTGGCTGGAGTTGGAGAACTGGACTCGGTTGGGGAATTAATCAACTGGTTTCAACCGGCTTGGGGGGCTAAAGGGGAAGGGCAAATATGCTATTTTTATTTTCTTTTGTCTGTTCAAAGCTTTCTTTTTTTATTTTCTGTACTGTCTATGTCTATTCTGTATAGAGAGTGTGTATGTGTCTTATTTATTGCTTTTTACGATTTTATCTTTCTTCGTTTTCTTTTGCTATGGGTTTTGCAGCTTTAATTACCTGGTATCATAATTGACTGTTTGAGGCAGCGAATATCAGCTGAAGCAGATTATTTCTGAGAATTTTTTATTTCAATGGTCTGAACTGCAGAGACTAATAAGACATGAATGAGGATTAAGGGAAAGCAAGAAGATATGTCACAACGTGGACATGCTCTCTCGAGGCTGTTTTGGGAATACTCCCCCAGACCAGGACTGCCAGCTACTAGTTCTTCTCTCCCTCACCCTCCCTCACTCACTGGTCGACTATCTGCCATCTAAGTTAATCAATTGACTGACACTATGAATCAACATATGACCAGATGAGATGAACGTTTGGATCTACAATCTCATCCAATACCAATTATTCAATGCTAGATATCATGGACTCACGCACATATCCATACCTACCCTGCACTGGGACCAAGACAGCATCATCCTCTCCACATTCTTATTCTTATTCTCCTTCCCCTTCATCATCTCCCGTTGGAACTTTATCTACCTGGGACCCCGAAACGGGGATCTCTACACACCCATTGAAGATCTACAGTGATGAGGAAGTCTTCGTTGGTCGTGATGGGAAGAGATGGTATGTATACATTCATTGCCTTTTCTTCTTCTCTGCCACTCCAGATTTGATGCAACTTCTGCGTCCGCTTGTACCTTTTTTATTTTTATTTTTTTGAAAAAGCAAAAGCAAACTGACTGTAAACCTAGTCAATACGCCATAAATAACCCCTTCATCTCCAATAAACATTTAAGAATCTACACCATCCTTTTCGACAGGGAGAACCCCTCCGACGTCGCCCCGCTGGTGTACGCGCAGGATCTCTCCCTGAACGGGACATTATGGAATGATATTCCCATGGGGAAAGGGAATGGTAGTTTCCTCTTGAGTGATGGGGACACGCTGAGGTTATCGCCGGGGATTATTTTAAGGTTTCAACAATGCCCTGATAATACTGGCAATGCTACTGCTGAGGGGTGTTTTGATGCATTGCAGCGAGCTGAGATGAAGGTTTGTTTGTCTGTACCATTATTGTTCTGTATTCGATATCTTATTATGCAACAACAGATCTTCAAGGATCAGTACGCTATCACACCTCGCAAGCTGGGTTCGGGTGCATACGGGCGGGTCCATATGGCGATTGACAAGGAGGGGGGCCGTCAGCTTGCATGCAAAATTGTCGATCTGCGGATGATTAGACGGAGGATTGAGAAATTGGAGGAGCTGAAGCAGAAGTCGTCGAGGATTTTCCAGAATGCTGATGGACATGGAGGGCCTTCTATTAAGATCAGCAAAGGCGGTACCGCAAAGCTAGTTGCTGTTCGCCAGATGGGACGATCTGCGTCCAGGGGCATCCGGGAGAAGCTGAAAGTGTACGACCGAGAGGCTAGGGTTTTGGAGAGGCTCTGCCATGTGAGTTTTGCTTTAGGTCAATGGGGTTGGTCATAATGGAAGCTGAAACTTTTCGTCTAGCCAAATATCATCGGCGTGGAAAAGGTGATTAAGTCTGAAAATACCATGTAAGTTGAAATTGGGAGGATTTCGCCGTCTTGATCTTCCTTTGTTGATGAAAGCAGTTATCTCTTCCAAGACCTAGTGACGGCTGGAGATCTGTTCTCTTTCATTGAATACAAGGGAGGGAAGGTAGGTGGGATAGAGGCAGCAGTGATAATCAGACAGGTTCTCATGGCATTGGATTACCTACACGATCGGAATATCGTCCACCGAGACTTGAAGCCTGATAACATCCTCATGACCTCGCTCGCCGACGGGTGCCGAGTCGTGTTGACAGACTTTGGCTGCGCCAGGCGGGTGAAACCTGATATCGAGCGAATGTCGACAGTGATCGGGACATTCGAATACAGCGCGCCGTAAGCATCCCTGGTTTTACTATGTTCTCTGGGAAAGACTAATCAAGTATCACTCGCGTTTTAGAGAAGTGCTCAAGCAAAGCAGACAAGGCTACACCAAGGCTGTTGACCTCTGGTCACTGGGCTGCATTACTGTCGTCCTCCTTACAGGAGGTTCCCCATTTCTAGATCCGGCAACAGGCGCGTATTCCGACGAGTTGGCCCAGAAATGCGATCTCAAGAGACTCGAAGCCGACCTGGAATGGCACAAGGCCGGAAAGCGGGCGAAGGACTTCGTTCACCGGTTACTCGTACTCGATGAGACAAAGCGGATGAAGGTAAAGCAGGCGCTGAGTCACTGCTGGTTCACAAACCCGATCTACAAGAGGGAGCTGGAGGAGCTGTATGACCGGTCGGTTAGAGACTGGAAGCCACGTCCCCACAGGGGCTCTTTGATCGTCGAACTTGGCAAGTTCTCCGGGGTTGACCGTAGCCAGGAAGATCCATTCTCAGACACAGCTTCAGATTCGTCTTTACCTGAAGATTCGTCGATCCATTCCAGGGACAGGGAGGGTTGTGATCCGTATGACGGTTGCTCTACGACGCTCTCAGATCCTGAGTTACCGGCATTCCACCGTAAGGGTAAGATGGAGGAGAAATTTCAGCTCCCACAAGAGAGAAAGAGTCAATTCTCACCCGTAGGGCGTCTCCCATTCAGCTCCGATGCATGGATGAAGAGGAATGGGGCCAATCACAGCGCGCTGGGGAAGCATAAGGGCCAGGACGGTCCCAGCATGATGGCTGGCAGTGAAACAAGGATGACTCCTACGCTGGGAATGCCAAACATAGAATCGACCGACAGACGCGAGAATCCGCCACAGTTGCTACCCATCGATATGGAAATACTCTCCACAATAAACAGTGGCGATCCAAGGATGACTGGCAAGAAGAGTCGTGCAGGCAGCAATGACCCGCATTGTCATGACAGTGACTTTGAGGACCAGGTGTATGAGGAGGTGGATAACCTGATCACTGGAGAGCGACAACGAGTCATCTACGGGATGACTACACCGGCAGAGGCAAGGATGTGGTAAATGGCGCAAGGGAATCAACCTGCTAAAACTGAGAGAGAGGTAGAGAGGAGACGTGATGATTCAGTGTCGGACGAGATGTGTACGAAGTAGGAGTTAGGTATGTGGATGTTGACAAAGACGAAGCATATGATTATGACGTGCCAGATCTTGCATTCCTCCAGTCGCATTATTTCCCTTCAGCCATGGCGACTCCTTGGCCATGCAAGACCCTCACGGTGGTCTCTACTTCCTGATGCTGCGGTAAGACGCGTCCCGGTTGGCCCACGCGCGCTCTACGCGAATTGGACGCGTTCCAGCATGGACGATTATCGTACCACGCGTGTCCTTCGATGTCTTGAAATGAAAGAGGCAGTATTTTGTGGCCTGGAAAGACGCTACAGGAAATGACGGGGTGGGAGCATGTCGCAGCCATCTGGAGCGAGAATCCAACGTGAGGATGCATGCATGCATGATATGATGACTTGCGTTAGGGATCGTCGCAGTGACAGCCGTTGAGCCGGAACACAGCGAAGACGTGCAGAACCCCGCAAGACACTGTCGAGACAACGTCTTGCGTCCTGCCAGCTGCTCCCGTTGCTGTCTTTGCGTTCTCTCTTCCTTCGCCTTAGGCGGACGGCGTAGGGGCCTCAACTTTCAAGCCACGTCTCGCTTACCTTTGTAGACCCTTTTTTGTACAGAACGCACGGAAATCGATGCATGCGGGCCGTATCCACAACACGCAGCATCTTCCCATCGTGCGCAAGATATAAGACCCATACATAGCTCCAGTCGAGGATGACTCGCCCGGCCTGGTCTGTTCACTTTGACTGCCTGGCGAGCAAGACAAAGACCGGGGTAGTGGTATGATCGATGCATCAGCTCCCTCCTGACCTTCTCTGAGAACTTCGTATCTCTTTTTTTCTTTCTCCTTTCCTTCTGTCCCTGTGAAACCGCAGGCTGTGGTTCATCCAGTCAGTTCTTCGTTCACTCGCTCGTTAGTGCTGGAAATTCTCCGCGAAGCGAGACAGAAAGAACTGGCCGACAACTCCCTGGGAGGCTGGGCTATTATTGAGCATCTATTATTTATTTGTTTATTCATTGATGGGTATTGGAGCCATTTCCTTGTTATTATTTCGTTGTTGCACGCTATTGTTGCTGCCGAGATTAATAACCTTTGACTGTGCGGGCTCTTTTTTGGGTTCTTCCTCGCCGCATCCCTGAAGAGTTCTTCTGCTCTCCCACTTCGACACCTGCAACTCCCTTCCTTACGCCGCGTCGCATCCTTTCGGAATTTCTGCATGCAAGAGCGCATACACGTTCGGTTTGTTTCCATCGACTTTGATCCTTCCGATCCGCCCTGCACTCCTCGACATCATCTCCGGCGCAAAGCGACCAACCAGGCCGGTGTCTGTCAACGGCCCCCAAACCAGTCTTGCTTCCTTCTTTCTTCCTCGTCGCAACTCATTAATCTCTTTAATTGATCTATTCGCACCATCGAGCAAAATCAAAACAACATTCTCTTGAAACCATGCTCCTCCCATCCGCATTGTCCTGCGATATGCGACGATCCTCGCCCTTCGCGACCGGTCGTCTCTTCTCCCCCCACCCCCTCCGCGGATGATGGTCTCTTCGGGACGTGTCGCGCATTACAATCGCTTCTGAATGGATCTCCTGCATCGTCACCGCGACATGCGAAACCAAAGCGACTCCAGAGTCCTCTCCAGGTGAGGACCGGGCCATCCGCTCGCTCGTCGCGGAAAGTTGCCGAGCAACGGCAACCAACACCACAACAAACACAGACGCATAAACAGCGACATGACCTGTCAACAGCGACGATAGCAACGCGCAACTCTCCTCGCAGAGTCAATAAGAGACGCCGTGATGTCTACGAGGATAGCGATAGTGATTCTGACCTGATGAATAAGGACGAGGACCGCCACAATATACAGACATCGACGTCAACAAACAAACGCCATCGCTTCTCGACTCCCACCCCAAAACGGCGTAGACGTGTCCCTTTCGATCTCCCCCTAGGTCTATCAGAAGACGACTTTTATTCCCTTCACACACCTGCGCCAATCGCGTATGGGCAAAAGCACGATGGCGATCACCATGGATCGAACTCGGTAGTAGTCCGTGCGCAACAATCCTTGTCTCCTCTCATAAATCCCGACTCAGTCCTTCCATCAATAGAAGAAGGACAAGGAGAAGACAATGACAACTCTACAGACGACTTCAGCATCCCCTCTCCTCTCTCAGCGTCAAATCAGGACCATCTACAGCCGGAATGGACCTCAGAAGATGACGAGACCCTCGTCGCGCTCGAGCTGGAGAAATTCCAACTCTCCCGACAGGACTGGGGGGACTGCGCTCAGCGTACGATGGGCAAAGACGACCTCAGCACCGCGCGACGACGATGGGAGATACTGAGCGGGGAGGGGAATGGGAATGTTACATTGCGACGGATAATGGGATTTGAATAGTTCTTTTTTTCGTCTCTCTTTCCTTATGGGACTGGCGTTCTTCTGCTTTTTATTCTCAGGGGGTTTACAGTACCCATGAGAAGGGGAAAAAATTCCTTATTGGGGGTTTTTTTTACTCGTTCTGTCTAATATTTACCTATTCCCCTGCCCTGCACATTCCTTTGTTCATACGTACTAGTTACTATTTCCTTTGTTGTTTTTTTTTTTTTTTTTGTCTTTTCTTTTTCTTTTATTTTACATATTCCCCACCCGCTCTTTTCGGTGTTTTTCTTTTATTCCCTGTTTCGATGGGCTGGTTGAGACATTGCTCTATACTGCATACTGCACTGCACATTGTTAACAACTGTACATAGACATACATCCATACTTTGGACCTCAGCATCTGGGATATATTGTATAATACATTACATTGTACCATATTCATATTCATTCTGGTATCATTGCCAATGATCATATCATCCTAATTGGTAAATTGATCATTCCGTACGGTTGCATGGGTGGGCGAGTAAGTCTTATGCGTTGGAACTGTCTATTTAAAGCCCGCTTAAAGTATACAATACATGCTTCCTTCACGCGCCCGAATCCAAGGTATGGTACTAGGTATGGTATATATATTCTACATCCGTATGACTTGATTCCTCAAATGGAAAGGAAAAAAAAAACACCCGGAACACCCGACGAAACCTTAACGCCAGATACGGAGGCTGTTTTGTGATGGAAAGAAAAAGATAACCCCCGGGGGAAAGAGAAAAATAGTGCAGGATAAAACGATGCTCAGAACCTGTAGGTAATGCCATCTGTCAGTAAATCAATCCTATACATGGATATAGATAAAACGGAGATACGCACCGAATTTCATAACTCCCAGCCCGAGTCATATACCGCACCCATTTGACACTGCTGTAATTATTCTTCTCAAAAACCTTGAGATAGCGCACCAGTAACCCGCTCGATGTGAACATGAGCAGACTAAACGAGAGACTGAGTGGCGGGCGACTCCATGCCTTCTGATGCGTCATGCTAGTCAGCGTCGCCTCGGCCGTCAACACGTACTCACTCTGGCCGGAGAAGCGGGCGATCTTCCATACGATATTGTTGTGTTCGGGCTCGTACTTGGCGCGACCCTGCGAGGTGCGCTCCGTCGTCTTGGCCGTGTTTAGCGGTGTGGGGATGCGCACAACGACGTTGGTCGCGAACAGCTTCGACGAGTAGTTCGCCTTGATGGCCACGCTGTATTCGACCTTGGTCGTGCCAACTTCCCGCACGATCGGATGGACTTTGAACGGGAGGTTGACGTTTTCCGTGGCCCGGTAGCGCATCAGTTCGAACTCCCCGTCCGGAGGTACGAAGGAGATAATCCGGTCCGCATCGAACCGTCCTAGCTTCACGCACTGGTGGAACTGACAGTCCTCGAGTGTGACGGATCCCGCCGCCGCCCGCGCGGCCTTCATCGTCCCGCTGCCGCGATCCCGGTAGAATCCTGCGTCCGGAGACGTCGTGGATGACGACCCATCACCGTCTAGGAGGAGCCGGTCGTTCAACCCGAACTTGCACTCCGGGGTGCCGGAGAGGTAGGCACGCATGATGATCTGGCCGTTGACGTCGGCGCGAAGCACGGTGCCCGTGGCCGACATGAGGAGGTTGACGTCTTCGATCACGTCCACAAACGCTTCGTTCTTGCGGTATTTGACACCTGCTCGCCGCCAGGAGAGCGCGCCCGTCGCTTGCATCGTAATCCGGCTCGAATCAGATGGGGAATTGGCGATCGCCGACTTGACTCCTTCCGTGGTGATGTACATTTTGAGGGTGTCCGTTTCGGTGTTTTGGGGGTATCCGAAATCGAGTATTTCTGTCCTCATCAGTATGTCGACAAAGTATATATATATATATATATATATGATATATAACCCTCACCATCCAGCAACTCATAAACCAAGACGAAATTGTTCTTGATAGCCTCCTCGTCAAACTTCCCAAAATACCCCTTCCCCAGGATAATCAAGCGGTACAGAAACTCGAAGATCAGAGCTGCATTGGCGTTACTCTTCGTCACGGCCACCAGGTAGATGTTCTCATGTTTCACATGGCTGAAGGTCGTCGAGCCGAGTGTGAGGATGGGTGAGCGGACCTGCGGGTTGGAGATGACCTGGATGCGGAAGATGTCAGCGAGACGGGGGCGGCATTCGGAGCGAAAGGCGCGAAAGATGAGATTTTCGCCTTTTTGGTTGAAGATGAGGATGCCGGAGAGCATGGTTAGCAGATGGATGGATGGTGTTTGAGGGGTAGACTAGGCGTTCATCTCGAGGATGATTGTTGGCAGTTCGGAGGTTCTTCTTGGCGGAGAAGCGTAACCGTAACCGTAATGGCCGTGGGGCGATATATCACGGTGGAAAGGGGGACTGTACACCTTCTACAGAAGAAGAAACAGAAACAGAAGAAAAAGAAAAGATAATGACTTTCCAGATTCTTGGATCAATTTTACTCTATCGATGAAAGATGAAATGTCCATAACGTCTACACCCATCATCTCGTTCCGCAGCCATTCACTAACATTCATTCTCTAGGATACTGCAACCATCCATGACGAATCCCTCATTACAGAATTAGAGGGCTCCAGGAGATATAATAGCCCTACATCTGCTCGTTTATACAAGGAAAAGCGGCAAAGTTCACACGATAGAGGTAACTCTTGATTGGCGTGGCTGGGAGACAACGTATAAAGGAAATCAGCATCGATCTCAAATCAGCTGGGATCCAATCTCTTAAAGAGAATTCAATCTATCTCCTCGACCAAGAATGAGAAATATGAACAGTGCGCAGTGGATCGGGTCGCCAAACTTGAGCATACCTCTCAGCTTGCAACGGCAGAACATGGGATAATGTTTGGGGATGATTGTCCTTCAAAGCCAACATACCTCCACCTTATTCTCTCCAAGACTTGTGTTTCGGTCTAGTAGCCGAATATAGGCAACCCAGTCCAGATGCGGACACTTGCAGGGCTTGCTATGGTATTATCAAACAACACAGCTGCTGTCGGTTTGTCGTAAGTGCGGCACATTCGTTCCATGCAAGCTTCATGTTGGATATTCTGCAGCTTGTGCGTTTCTGATGCAGTTGAAATCTTCATGGATACGTTGCAGCCTTGCTTGTGTCCCGTCCAAGGCTCAGATTGACCCAGGAATGAATAGACCGTGCTGCTGTGAGGCTGCTACCGGGCGGATTCGCGTTGATCTGCGTCGTACATAGTTTGCCTCATTCTTTGGATGGACTGGAATCATTCCGTGTTGGTTCGTTAATACCCATAACCGTTAATTCTGTAGTCTTGTAAATAGGCCAAATAATTAATGTTGGTCGATCCAATATATAATTGTATATCCGCCAGTGGATAAGCAAAGCCAAACCATGGAACACGGTGTTCATGCGCTCAGATGGGTTCTCCATGTCAGACAATCCACAGGGAGAAACCGGAGAACATCCACTCGCAAGCATCATAAAGATTATAGTAATAAAGATTATAACCACAATCATAACCATAGAATAAAATAAAGGATCGGCCGAAACTGCAGGCGTCATGTGACGTGGCCGTTTTGTAGACTTCAAAGTTCAGCAAAACAACTCAGCGCTGTCCATCAACGATCCTGCGAGGCTCGTTGTATGACAGAACATTATACCTGCACGTACGACGGAGCACGGAGAACGGTGTCAATGTCGAATGGACGTATTTGACAGACGGTACTGCTCCACAGCATAGCACGGACCGCCAGACTCAATATTCATTCATTCTATTCAGTGCAATGCAATTCGATTTCCTCTCGAGCCTTGAAAATCTAGACTCCTGCCAGTCTCCAGAGTCCAGAGGGAGATCATCGTCCGAGGAGACGGGCTCTGGGAACTTGGTAAGTCTTGATTCTTGATTCTTGAAACCGGACACGAGGAAAACACAATTAATTTCTCCGCTGCAGGGGCTGGATATTATTATCATCTGCAAGGTACTAGCGTCGCCAAAGAGCCCATTGATATTGATACATTCTGTCCAGGAGATCGCTACTCTATACGGATACGGCACGCCCCGTACACATGGGCAGCCGCAGTCGTCATTTTCTCTCTCTGCAGCATCAATATGAAAGAAATATCGCTGGGATGAATCCGTCGACCTAACCTCTCGCGGATATGGGTTCCTGAACTTTAATGCACTGCGAATCTTTATCATGCAATGGATTTTGGGAATAGTATGCGAAAGGGAGGACGTGCGTAGGTTTGTGCTGTGTTTGATGGCGTTACTCTGTATTCCCCATGTACACCCGGCCAGCTCACCCTTGAAACAGGGAAAAATGTGAGTCCAATCCAGGGGATAGATGGAAATGGCTTATCTCGTGGACAACAAACATCTTCGGAAGATTAACAGCACTGACCCTTTTGGCATCGCCAAGATATTGATACATCTTCGGAGCAGGTGCCGCATCTACGGGGTAGGGAGATCTGGCAGCCTTGCATGGGTATCATATATCAGAAATCAGAATACGAGTCCATCTGGAGACTCTTTGGATCTCATCCTCGTGCTTAGCTATCATGCCATTGCTCCAATTTCTTCCCCACGCCATGCAAGCTGTGCTGGCTGTAGGAGGATGTACATGCATAAGCACCTCCCTCTGTTACCCAGCGGCATGGGTTGCCGCATGCACATCACAAATCCAAATTAAATGTAGACTATTGGTTGCGGAAGCGAAAGAAACTTTTTTGGATAAGGGGCGAGCTTGGAGCATCCAAGGTTGCGCTGGGACTGGGAGCATCCTTAATTAATCGTTCCCCGGAGATGGAGCAGCACCACATGGGCCCAGACTTGCATTTTTCTGTTCTTTTCTGAGGATTATTATTATTCTTCTTCTCTCTGAGCATTCCATAATAAATAATATAAACTTTCGGCCACGCATTACGTGACATTCAGCCCACAGGCGTGGCATCACTCTCCCCTATCGCTGCGACTCTGCCCTCCTCTACGCCTGTAATCCCGCGTAATGATAATCCTGAATCATACTATATAATTATAATAATAATTATTATCCAGTCTCCATCTGCTACAGTCTATTGCAGCTGCTGCATCGCCTTGCCAGCGAGCTAAACCTGATGTGGCGATTGCCGACGCCTGCGAACAACAGAGGCAACTTCTGCATTTCGCCTCCGTCCTTTCTCCCTGCATGCGTCTCTTCGTCCAACAAGTCAACGTCGACTGGGGAATGATAAATTCTTCTTCCAGTTTCATCTTCTCCTCCTCCCCTCCCTCTCCCCTCCGCCGTCCCGTGCGCTTCCCTTCGCCTCCCCGCTGTCACTATGGGCATCTTCAAGCGCAAGGATTCCAGGAACTCCATCCACAGCGACAAGGACGAGCACGACTCCTTCGTCTCCATGAGCAGTGCGCGAATCTCCAGTGCGTCGCTGAGATCCCCCGGCTTCAGAGGGAGCACAGGCCGTCCCGCTTCCATCCCTGAACTGCCCATCTCAAGACCGCCCGACCCGGCGCTGGACCCCGCAGCGTACCTGCGCAGCATCCATGCCGTTCGTGAACGGTCCGGGATTGTCCTGGACAAGGCCAAGAAGAATCAACTGAACCACTTCGATGTGGACATGTCCAAATTCAAGGACACCGCATCCTACGTGGTGTCCATCATTAAGGTACGACGCTTCCCCGCATCCTTTCGTCGGTCCCGCTGCGGTGCGCCGAACCTTGCTAATCCTTCTCCTTTTGCATGAGTAGAGAGACTATGCCCCCGACTACGAATCCATCCCCCCTCATGGGCGATGGCAGCATTTCGATGTGGGCGGTCGCCCGCGCATTGATCAATTGCTTCACTCCTGGCCGAGCACAATCGACGCTCAAGAACGTACCCGACGTCTCATCGATCTGTTCCTCGTTTCTGTCTTGCTAGATGCCGGCGCTGGAAACAAGTGGACCTACCGGTCCAAGGAGTCCAACAAGTACTTTTCGAGGAGCGAGGGGCTCGCCGTCGCCAGCTTGGAGATGTTCAAGAGCGGCTATTTCAGCAGCGATCCGATTGAGCCCTGCCAGGTCGATGGTGCTGGCCTCAAAACGATCACAGTGGAGAAGCTAGCCAGGGGGCTGCAGCATTCCGATGAGAACCCGCTAGAGGGTCTGGAAGGGCGCGCAGGCCTGTTGGCAAGACTTTCAGAGGCTTTGAACAACCAGGAATTTTTCGGTGTAGATGCCAGGCCTGGCAACATGCTCGGTGAGGAAGCTCCTGATCCCATTCGATTCAGACTCTCCGGACGAGGCGTGCTAATTAGGAACTGACTACAGACTACCTCCTCTCGCACCCGGCAACGCTTGCCTCGTCCGTTCCCATTGTCCCTATAACCACGCTGTGGTCTGTTCTGTCGGATGGATTATCCTCAATCTGGCCGCCTTCTAGGACACAGATTGACGGAACATCACTTGGAGATGCCTGGGTCTGCTCTGACTTACCCAAATCGCCCCCGGCGCAAGAATGGGAGAGCATTATCCCATTCCACAAGCTCACCCAGTGGTTGTGCTACTCAATAATGGTCCCAATGTCGAGATTGATGCATATATACTTCTCGGGTAGTGAGCTGATGACAGGTCTCCCCGAATACCGGAACGGTGGCCTGCTCATCGACATGGGATTGTTGACTCTCAAGGAACCCGAGATGCAGCGCGGCATAGAAGCATACAAGCAAAACTCCCAAATCAAAGGGCAACCAAGCGTGGAGGTGGTCCCGCTCTTTTCGGTTGACGATGACGTGATTATCGAGTGGAGAGCCGTGACGGTTGGGTTCTTGGACGATCTTCTCGAGGAGGTCAATTTTCAACTGGGATTAAAACCCGATGAGCAACTGACTCTTGCGCAAATGCTAGAAGCTGGTACATGGAAGGTTTGTCATGTCCTTTCACAAGCGAGGCCTCCCCACACACCTTTTATATGTTCTAACACACTATTTAGGGCGGTCGTGAGTTGGCAGCTGTTTCAAGGCCAAATACCAAGGAACCCCCGATTATGATACGCTCTGATGGCACGGTCTTTTAATGTTGCATCTACTGGCAATGTTTGATTAGCAGAATTCACAGGCTTCAAGCTCTTTATACTCTATTTCGGCTGGCGCTGGTCTTTATGACGTGTTGACGACTATTCGATTTCTATACCTCCTTTCTTCTAACATTCCTTTCCTCAGTCAGTTTAATTATATGTACTTTGCCATGTACAACATATTCATGCTGCCACTTTCTCACTGCATCTCTCAAGAGAAGAGAAGACTGGGATAGGGAAAAGGAATGTTGACGGTGTTGTGTAATAGGATAAGATAACCAAGGATAAGAAATACACCAGCCATTAATCTTTATCAAAGTACTAGCATACACATTCTCACAGGAGTAATTGACATCTGGCTGAGCACAATTAGCACAGTTCACTGCCTGGCTCTATGCTTTGCAGTGAAGGTGAAGACAGATCACATGACCCAGCTGAGTGCCCGGACCATCATCGTCCGCGGACAATCAACCTCCCTTCACGGCATCCCCCGCCTGGCCTCTGGCGTACAAGCTGTAGATACATCGAATGGCTTGAATCTGGGTGCCAACGTTTTCATTTCAGATCCGATCCAGGAATCACTACCCTTCTATCCCAGCATCTCTATCAGTAATCTGCTATTGTTGACCCAACAGCCGCGCTGTCCAGAGCCCTGCACAGCGGACCGATAACATGGACGTCCGCAAGAAGAAGCGAAAGGTCCTCCTCATGGGGAAGAGTGGCTCTGGAAAATCGTCTATGCGATCGATTATTTTCAGCAACTACGTCGCTAAAGATGTACGCCGCCTGGGAGCTACCATTGATGTGGAGCATAGTCATGTCAAGTTCATGGGCAACCTCACGCTCAATCTCTGGGACTGTGGAGGGTGAGTATCTATGCCAGATTCTTATATTGTTGGATTCAACTAATCTGATATGTCTGGAATTGTACAGACAAGATGCATTCATGGAGACATACCTCGCATCGCAGCGGGGCAACATCTTCTCTGACGTGGCGGTGTTGATATACGTCTTCGATATCGAATCCCGCGAACTGGAGCGCGATCTGGACACGTACGATGCGATCATCAAAGCTCTGAAGGAATTCAGTCCCAATGCTTACGTCTTCTGCCTGGTCCACAAGCTCGACCTCATCCAAGCCGAACACCGTCAGAAGATCTACGAGGAACGATCCGCTCTGATCAGGAGCCGCTCGGAACATTTCGATATAGATACCTTCGGGAGCAGTATATGGGATCAATCATTATACAAAGCATGGGCAGGGATTGTCCACAAACTCATCCCGAACCTATCGGTGATCGAACGGTTTCTGACCGCGTTCGCCGCCAAGATTGATGCGGAAGAGGTGATCCTCTTCGAGCGCTCGACTTTCCTTACGGTAACATCTGTTTCTTCGGAAACCGGTAACCTAAACCCGATATACGACCGACACGAACGCCTGTCGAATATCATGAAGGCCTTCAAGCATTGCGCCGCTAGGAACACGCACACGACGCCCGCGTCCGCTGGCTTCCTCGTCATGCACATGAAGACTCCTCAGTTCAATATCTTCCTTGGCCGGTTCACTGACAACACGTATATCTTCGTCGTTACACCCCCCGGTGAGGCTGCTTTTAATTGCGCTGTTCTCAACACCCTGTTGGCGAGAGAAGCATTCTCCAAGACCGCTTCGGCAGGCCAGGGGGATGGCTTTCCACTTCCGCCGGCGGAGCACGATGGCTCTTTGATGGTAAATGGATTGGATAAGTCAAAATCGGCCATTTCGTGATATGGAATTTGATCTTGGATATCTTTTTGGGGGGGGTTTCCCTCTCCGTAGGTTTCGCGAATGGGCATGCTGCTCTGTTCGTCATACAGTTGCCTTTGTTTTCTTCTACACGAATTTAGGTTCTCCCCCCACCGGTTTACCTTCCCTCATTTTTCTCTTGTTTCTTTCTTTTACGTGATCTGCGATGAATGGCGTTTTGGGTTAAACAATGTGTACATGATACCCGTGCATAGCATTCGTGGTTCCTCGCCCCTTTTCTTTCTTTCTGCCTTCTTCCCTGCTATTATTCATTGCAGAGTGAGGAACGGTCTTATTCTATCGGATTAGTCGTGGACATATTACTTTCTTCTTTCTCTTTCTCTTTTTCTTTTTTTGATTTGAAAAGGTTGGGATTGGTGAGCCGGCATGCTATGTGTAGGCAATTAAGCTTTGTATTATTATTATTTCTTATTGTTCAGAAATACATGGGATTTAAACCGACCAGACCAAGTCTAGAATCATCATACATATATATTCAAGAAAAAGTGTACCTATACAGTCGTCGGATGCACCGTACGTGGATAGATGCCGTCGATACTTGAAGCCTAAGTGGAAAAGTGGGAAAACCCCATGGCTATCGTATACATCTCACGAGAAACATATTCATAACTTGTATGCCTATGTATGTACCACACGGCGTATCTAACGAGCATTCCTTATGTCATTCGCTTGTGCATCTGGCATGCGAACAGCAATGTCACCGGATTGCGTGATGTATCGAACCCATGGAAGGGAGGGGTATTGAAGCTGTAGACGGGAAAGAGATGAGTTAGTTTTTTTTTTTTTTTTTTTTGTTTTTTTCTTGATGAGTGCGAGGATAAAAAGGAGAAACATACCTTTGGTTCAGTGATTTTCAGGTATCGCACTTGGATTCCACTTGTAGTGAAGTAGGGGATTTCAAACTTGACGTTGATGGGACGCTTAGCCTTCCCTTGTCCTGTTCCTCCCATGCTACCTCCAAAACCACCTGTCATGCCGCCACCATGCTCATCATCACCTTTGACGGAAGGTAGACCGAGTTCAGCCCGCATGAGGAACTCTTTTCCACCGCCGAATTGCTTGATCTTCCAGATAATAGCGGACTTTTCCGGTGCGTAGTGGACAGTTCCGATGTTCGTCCGGAAGCGTGGTGAGTCCGCATCCTCTGGTACCGGAATTAAGATTTCGACATTATTGGCCGTACTCCGGCGCTTGAATTGCGCTTTGGCCTAGGAGTTCAACAGTCAGTAACACCACTGAACTAACAAGAGAAAGCCAACAGGAAATTTGGTTATGTTTCTCACCTTTAGCATATACTCAATCCGCGAACCTGAGTGCGATTCCACGAGACACTCAACCCATATCAAAGGCTTCACCGTTGTATTTAATCGGTAGCTCATAAGCTCAAACTCTCCATCAGGGGGTATAAAGCTGATTGTTCTGTCATTCTCAAATCTTGAAAGTCGCACGCATTGATGGAACTTGACATCCTCCATCTCGACAGCCTTGCCTCTCGTGGCGCGACCTGTCGTTTCGAACATGACTTTGTCGTTCAAACCCAAACGAAGCTCCGGCATGCCACTTAGATAGCACTTCATCTTGATTGCGCCCAGGATCTCAGATCGCAGCACATTCCCGTTTGCAGAAACGAGGAGGTTCAAAGATTCGATGACATCAAGGAAGACCTCGTTCTTCCGATAGCGGATGCCCTCACTTCGCCAGGACACCGCATTGGTAACTGCGATAGGCGGTCGCGCTTGAATCTCAAGCTTGTGTGACTCTTGCGTGATGTACCTTTTGTTTGAAACAGAAGTAAGCATCGTAAGAAATAGCCCGCACTCTGGGTTCCAGGCGGCTGCTCACTCTTGGAGAATCTTGCTTTCCGTTGTTTGGGGATAGCCAAAATCCATCATTTCGTCCAGCAATTCGTAGATAATGACAAAGTTATCCCGGATACTTTCCTCCTCCAAGACCTTGAAATATTCGGTGAACACCTCCACGATCTTGTGGAGGAACAGGAGGATTTCGGTAGCATTTGTGTTTCTCTTGGTCAACGCGAGGATATAGAGATTGCTATGACGAATATAGAGGTACTAAGACGCGCGATAGTTCTCAGTAAGCTGGAAGAAAACCAGGCAAACGGTGACTTCGAGTCAAGGGATAGGGGGTAATCAGGTTGGTTGGTTGCGGAGGACGCAAATTGCGGGGGATCGTAGGAGGACAGGACATACATTAATTCCTTCATGAGAAAAGCATGGCGGTACAGCAGAGCTCTCTTCCTCTGCTTCGCTAAGAAGGATGGGGAATTGTTCGACCGCAGACATAGGAATGTCCCCGCGATAATTGCGGGCCAGAAGGGTCTGTATAGCGAGGACAACGTAGCTGTTGTCAGTTTCAGACCAACACAATGATGAACTCATATAGCAACACAGTCGAGCAGGACAGTAAACTGTGACTCACCTTGCCCTTCAAATCCAAAAAGAACACCGCGGAGGCCATGTCGCAGAGCAGTACGGAGTAGCTGTAGTGAGATCAGGTCGTGAGATGTCTGGGTTCAGCTTCGGGAAGACACAGCCGACATTCTGCGTCTACGGGCACATTTCCATCCAGGTCCAATGGCCCGAGTGAGTCAAGAGAGCGCAGAAGACACAGACTGGGGTGATGGTAGATGATAGTTGGAGCGTCCCTGTCCTTGACTTCGATCTGGCCGTTTTGGGAGAGAATGCACCAGTCCTGATGCGGACTAGCGCTGGTGACTGTTCCACTTTAAATTTCTCCTTTCTTTTTCTTTTTCTTTTCTTTTTCTTTTTCTCTTCTCTTCATCTACAACGCTCCCAATAGACAGTGCAAGGCAGTAACTTTCTTGCCGCGGCTAGACTGGCTTTCTGTCACTAGCTGTCCGGTTTGTCCATTATTGACTTGCGATACAGAGGTGCGAAGACTGTGAATCGGTAACGAGGGTCTCATAAGAGCTGGCCGTGTATTTTTCTCATGTTACTCGGGCGGTGTCAGAGAGATCGCAAATAACTTTTTCTTTGCTATACGAATTCATTTATCTTTTATCTTTCTGCATATCTTTCTGTATGAATTTTTTTTCTTTTCTTTATAGACGAGACCACAGCGCGTAAGGAAAAGACTAGCCCATGGTGGTATTCGCAACAAGATTTGACCAGACATCAAGAGTAATACATATACAGTGGATGAAAATAGTCCCCGGCAAAGTGTAACACATCCAAGAACAGAAGGAAAGCGAAAAAAGAAAATAGCTAACGCCCGGAAAATGCTCCAAACCAAAACCCATCTCACGAAACTATTTTCACTCCCAAGGGTTCCAATATTCGCTTGCGCGCTATCTTGTTGGCAACGACTCCGCCCTGTTCAAGAGCAATAGCACCTACAATTGCGTACAAGGTATGGGCTTGGACGAGCTCGAGTCCGGAGAAGTGGAGATCTTCGGGCTATAATTAAGCATCATGGTCAGCATGGAATAACAACATAAACCTCCTTTCAACAGAATGATGTTGTCTCTACTCACATTTCTTGGGGACCATCTCAAAACCTTCTGTAGCTCGTACTTATCCGCAAGCTCAGCAAGCTTCAACTTGCTGGTGAGGAAGTTCTTCTTGTCGGAGGAGAGATTGGTCAAGCCATCCAGTGCCGGGTGGGAGAAAGGCGTCCGCCCAAAGGGGTCCTCCGTGGTCGGAGTCTTCTTCGCACTTTGTGCTAGGACCATAGAAGCCTGTAACTGCACAATCCGTTTTCCTAAAGCGCGTCTTAATACCTTTGTCTTCGGCAACGCGGTGGAATCCGACTGGGTCTGTGCCTACCTAGGAATGCCAAACGATCATTAAATCCTCTTCGCCCCTGGTCGAAGCTCTTGTGCGTAACAGCAAGCCATTTGACCTCCTCCGAAAGAACCTTATCGCCGCCATCTCCAAGCAACCGAATGTAGAATTCGTCGAGGACTTTGGGATCTGAGTTGACCGGGAATTCGGGTCTCTTCGAGTTCAAACGCAAACTGAAGGGGGCCTTTGCCAGAGGTGGCGTATACGACCATCGTGGCTTCTGGCCACCGACGTCTGCTGCTTCAGCCGGAGCAGATGTAGACGTGGACTGTCCGCGGCGTGAGAAAGCTGCTACGGACGCAATTGAACCGGGACTGGGACGGGCAAAAGAGCGGCAATTAGGGCAGACGGCAGCCCTAAGACTGCGGATAGAAATATTCGAAGCCATGATCGCAATGGCCTCTGTCTGGAGGAACCGAAAGGAGAAGCGCCGGTTGCAGATATGCCGGTTGTTCTTCGCGGTCGAGGAAGAATTTCGGGCATTTGACGCTAGTCCTGATGCGGACTGAGCACTATGATGTGGATTAAAGTATCTCCGTAGCAGCCCTAAACGGGTAATCGCTCCGAAGACGTCGACGTCGATATCCCAGACAACGTCACAACCAAGACACCAAAGAATCCGTCTGACGGGTCGTTCAATGAATACGCACTAAAGGTACTACTTTCGAAATAATGTGCTATATATGTCACTATATGTACTTTTTATTCTATCACCACAGAGACTTTCCCCTTTTGAATGCCACCACTTTCATGAGGATATTCAGGATGATGATCAGTATTTCATATCACAGTAAGTGTAAGTCACATGACCTCGTAATTTTTGTGTATTATGTTGGTGGCCCAGGTTCAGCTCCTTTCCACTTTCGGTTTAGGGCGGCTTAGTCAGATAGAGTAGATAGCCAGTAGCGAGACGCATAAGGCGTACTCGTCGTTAGGAACAACGCTCGCCAACATTAGACGTTCCTGGAAACTGTTAGTACACGTGAGGTTCTGCCGTCCTAGACCGCCCTCGCTACCTATCTCACGGCACAGGCAGGCCTACCTAGTAATACAACCATACATGCGCCTATCCATTACATTATCGTCTTTTATTCGGTTCCCGCAGTGCCGTTGCTCCCTCGTAGTGCTTTCACCCTGCTTACTTGTTCTTCTCGTCTGCCGTATTTGGTTGGTCCATAACACGCAGCTTGAAGCGCCTTATGCATGACCGCAAACGTTAAAAAGCCCGTCCAAGAGAATGGTCAAGGCTAAGCCATCCAGAAAGATCGTGTGAAAATAGTGGTCAATCTGAAAGCTCGAGCCAGTGCTATCTGCCACGTAGCGTCCCCTGCTTCAGAGAATGTGCTTGTCTACTGAATATGAAGCAGTCTTTGTAGTTGATTCCTAAATGCACACTTGCGCCTTTTGACTAGGAGCAATTTACCTGCTCCACACAATCTGCCATAGAGCCCACCTGCTATCGGGCAAACTACACATCATGGTATATTTTGCCACAGAGCCTGTTTGCTCCATGGCAACCCTGTGTTGGAGCAATTATCATAATAGAGCATACTTTCTTTGCAGCTGCTTCTACTCTGTAGCAAATCTGGCCCAGCAGCTCTCCTGCTTCGCTGTGAATCCTGCGTCAGGGCGCATCTGCCTTGTGGACACCCTGCCCTATAGCAGAGCCGCCATAGAGAGTATCTACAATGAAGAATGTTAGATGCCATGGCATGCTTTGCCATAGATTTTGTCAGCTCATAGCAACCCTTGCACCATCACTAATCCCACAACCGCTCTTGCTCTTTACAAGGACCCAGCAAACTTTGAAATTGGGCAACTTTGAAGGCTAGTCCATTTAAAAAAGACTAGCCTGTGTGAAACTAGTTGTTATTCTGAGAGCCAGCCAGGATTGCAGTATCCCTTATGGTTTGGATAGTCCTGCTATCTCAGTATGAGGGCGTTGATATCAGCCAATGACAAGAAGGGATTATTTAATTGGATATAGCGAGCAGCTGGTATATTTCCACAGTGTAGAAATTGTGAGTACATCTGACACTGGTGTACGTCATCTCAACCGTAGTAATAATAACGGCATGGCCTGCCGTTTCACACGAACATCGACCCGTCGACTACAGATCCAATATTGTTTTGGGTAGAAGTGGAACCCACAAAAACGGGTGACTATGTGAGCTGTTGGCAATTGCCAATTCCGGTGCTCTCCGGTTTGGGGTTCGGTGTCGATTTGAACCAGGGCATCTTTGGAGTAATGTTTGGTATAAGAGAATGCTGTGGCATTGGACTCCAACATTGAATACAAAGGAAATAAAATAATGACAGTATAAACAGTGGATCTCCACGCATTTCTCCAAACACGTAGGCCCATATACCTGTCCCCGATTACCACTTTCGAGGATTGCGCTATAGCAAATACAGGGTGATAATTGTACGTGTCATTTGTCGGTTTCCGAGGACTTTGTAATTTGAAATAAAACAGACCAGAAAAACAAAACCTCACGGCCATAAATAGAAATTTAAATGAAAGCCAGGTACAGAGCGCTAACAACGCTCAGACCCACTACCGCCCAGCCGCTCTTGATAACCTGCTTGTTGGTGATGCCCCTTCCGAGATCCCACACCAGATGGCGAACTCCATTCAGAGTGTGGAAAGTGAAAGGAAGCGCTACGGTCGCCTTCAGAAGGATCTTGGCGACGAGAGGGAGAGTAGCAAATGCAGCGGCCAGAGAGGCCGACTCGAGATGCCAGCCCAGAGCAGGAGCAGCGAGGTAGGCAATCGAGAAGAGATACAACGGACCCGAAAGGATGAGACCGGTGTTACGGTGCAGAGCACTGAGAATCCAGGTGACCTGAGGACGGTAGATGGTGAGGTGAGGAGAAACGGGGCGGTGAAGACGCTGCTGGGCGAGGAGCTTGGTTGGATCAGAGGCCTTCGAAGTAACTTGCCTAGCACCAAATTATCCTATCAGCCTGACTGCAAAGATACCAGCGAACACTTGGATGAAAGTCGCATGACGTAGGAGTCCTTCGGTTCATTTCTCGTGCACGCAGACATCACCAAACGGGCGTGTTTGACTCGAGTAACTAACCTCATCTGCATCGTCGTCCGGCCCGTCGCAACCGCAGCAGGGGTCATCGAGTTCATCAGCGACCATCGCACGGCATATGGCTGCTGGACGGCAACTGCGGAGGGAAGTCAGTGAGATTCAGTGATCCGAGCATTTCGGGAGTCAGAACGTACGCCGTCGCAGGGATTGTTGCGCAACCTTCTGGGAGATCATGTTGAAACGATGGGCATCTAATGGGACTCAGCGATGACAATGCTGTAGGAGGACGATGGATAACAGATGAAGAACTGCAGCGAAGTCGATTCCAAGAGCAACTTTCCGCATGTCGGAATCCCGGACAACCTCGGGCTAGCGCATGTTCACGTGACGACCATTCCGGCCCGCCGTCCAGCCAATAATCAGTGATGGATTACCCACACAGGAATATTACTCTTCCGCCCCGACAATCCCGTGAATTTGAATTTTCGAAGTTGTGCGGCACTTCTTTCTCTTTTTCTCCCAAGAGTCTCTGCTCGCGTCGTCTTCGCCATGGTTTTACCCTTCGGCATGATTTTGACGCGCTTAGCAATGCCTCATTGGTCACGGCTTTCTGTCGCAACCGCAGAGGTCCTCCACGGCTCTGAGATAAGACTGTCCCGTCGTTAATCGCCCATTCTTCTCTTCCCATGAGACGAAAGGGTTTCATATCAGGGTTACATATCCACGTTTCTGGATTTATTAGATGGATTCCTTCGCCAGCGTATTCTACCGGATGCCAGTTTTACTCTTTTCGAGGTCGTAAATGTAGTCAAAACGAGCTCCCATGCGTATGGCCCGTGGTACGCCAGAGCTATCAGATAATGACATCCGTATTGTACCCATGGACGACATGGAAATGAGAGGACATCTACTTCTCAGTCAACCATCCCGGCCAGCGCTTCGGTAACCTCATGTCTTGAGTTCAGAAACCCAGCCAGCTTCAGAAAATCCCCGATGTGAGCTTCACGTGCAATGGGCCAGGCATTCTCAACGAAGCATTGCCAGGAACTCGCAGACAATAAGAGCCATATCGCCTGCGTCCTCTAAACAGGGGACGGTAATTTCATCTTCCTACGGAGCAAATATGAAACCGATTGATTATTACCTCTGCATTTTTGAAACTTGATAGAGTAATCCCTTCAAGGAATCCTTGAACCTCGGCATCTTCCCCGCGCGGTGCGACGTACGCACCGTTCATGATAGCTCTCATACCCCGGTTCCCCGACTCCTTTCCTTTAAAATAGAAGACGTTTCTTGTTATAAGTTGTGCTTGGTTTCTTTGCAATCGGTAGAATTCCAGCGGTGAATTTCAAGTCACATACACACCATATCTACAGAGTATAAAACTCCAAAATGCCCTTTAATACAGCCTTAACCCGGAAGCTGGGCATCACGGGTAATTACTTCCCCGGAGTTATACAGGGAGACAATTACTGAGCTTTTGGTTTAATAGTCCCCGTTGTTCAGGGAGGAATGCAATGGGTTGGATACGCAGAACTCGCATGCGCCGTCAGCAACGCTGGTGGACTCGGAATTGTACGTGGCATTCTTCTGAGAAGAAACAGACAGTCTTGGACTGAACTGAAATGTTAACTAACTAACCCTCCTTCAAGCTTACAGCCCTCACCCAACCAACCCCGGAGGATCTTCGAAAGGAAATCCGCAAATGCCGTACCATGACCAATAAACCCTTCGGGGTAAACCTGACCATTCTCCCTGCCCTCGTTCCTCCAGACTACGCCGCCTACGCGCGAGTTATCATAGAGGAAGGCATAAAAATCGTCGAGACGGCGGGAAATAACCCGGCGCCCATCATCACACAGCTGAAGAAGGCCAATGTGACCATCCTGCACAAGTGCACGACTATCCGACACGCCAAATCCGCAGCAAAACTAGGCGTGGACTTCTTATCTATCGACGGGTTCGAATGCGCAGGCCATGTCGGAGAAACTGATATTACAAATTTCATCCTCTTAAGTCGCGCCAGACAGGAGCTGAAAATACCCTTTATTGCATCTGGTGGGTTCGCAGATGGGTACGGCCTGGCAGCCGCGTTGGCCCTGGGCGCGGAGGGTATCAACATGGGGACTCGGTTCATGTGTACCGTTGAAGCACCCGTTCATCAGAAAGTGAAGCAGACGATCGTCGATTCTCAGGAGACTGATACCGCGCTGGTTCTCAGGAGATGGAAGAATACCACCCGACTCTACAAGAACAAGGCGGCTACGGATGCCCTGAAAGTGGAAAAGGAGTCCACAAGCGGCGAGTTCAAAGAAATAGCGCCCTTTGTCAGCGGCCAAAGGGGTAGGCAGGTGTTTTTAAATGGCGATATTAACTTTGGGGTAAGTTATATTCCGTGTCCTCTTTCTTCTTTTCTAGGGTATCTAACCAATATATACAGGTCTGGACAGCGGGACAGGTCATCGGATTGATCCATGATATTCCGACTTGCGCAGATTTGCTTCACCGGATAGAAAAGGAGGCTCTGGAGACGATGAACAGGACTAAATCTTTGTATACAGAGGATGCGGTGCAAAGCAAGCTGTAATGAGTTAGGCATAGACTGTTTCCTTGTCTGTATGAGTTAATTTTGCTTAGTTATAGTTAGTTAACTAGTTACCATTTCCATTTCGAGTTAGTCAACTCCTAGCTAGAACAATCAACTCAGTGGGCTCAACCTGCATTCGCGCGTCCATCAGTTCTCCGTCTTTTCTCCTTTCTTCCTTCATGTCTGGTATTCGTTGAAATAGTACTGAATAGCATATGTTGTATCTCCTACATCTATTCATAGTACTAGTCATCACAGTAGGCTTGATGCCAGTGAGAAATAATTGTGTTTTCTCCCTGACAAATGTATACTATTCATTAATTGAGCATAGACAGGCACTCATGACAATATCTAATACACTCAACACCAATCCTAGAATTACGTAGGTAGCCATCTATCAGGGAGAGCAGATTTACACTTATGTTCAGCACTTCTTGGCACTGTCATCGTAATCTCCAACATGTAGTGTCTCTTCCCCAAGCAAGTGGCCCTGTAAAAAGACCCTTCAGAGCCTAGGAAATGCATCGATCAACACTCGATGTTCTAGCAAGGTTTTTTGTGATAAGAAAAGATGTCTATAATGTTCTGCAGCACTGACACAAAGAGTAACAGTCATTTGATATCTGTGTTCAAGTCTTGGACACTTCTGTATGAAATAAATTGATTCCCATACTATCCCCCAGGAAAAGCAGGAAGGCCCGGGTCCCTATAGGTGATGTTTATATGGCCTACACTTATTATTAGCTCACTCTTGGCCATCATCCTAGCTGCGAACAACATTGCCATGTATGATTTGGCCTAGGAATAACACATATATGGGGCAAATGGTGGAGGAATGCACTTTAATATTGCGGCCTTTGAAACACGCATGAAACTTAAAGCATAAACCACGACTCACTTTGATAGTCATTCCATGCTAAGATGTACTCAGTGAGCAGGCGGTGAGTATCAACATGGAAAGGGAAAGCCTTCAACCTGTCTAGAATAAAAAGTACATATGCAGGGCTTACGGCGTATACTTCGCACAATACACGCTAGTCCCGATATGTACTAGCTCCATGGCGGAGATGATTCGCGGTCGAAGGCGATTCCATCACGATCCTTCCTTCAACTCCACAGACACTCCTCCGACAATGCGTCGTAGAGGGCGTTGCTGACACAACTACGAGAATCGCCTTTTGTGAATTTATGCCTTTTCATTGCTATCTCGTTTTCCTGAGCGAAGCAGAGCTAATCCAGGATGACCGCGGATCCGGAAAGTCGGCCTAGCAGCTCTGAAGGAGCACCTGGATTTCCGCTGCACGAGAAAGAGACGGAAAAGGAACCTATTAAGGTCGAAAAGGAGGAGAATCTGGAAGACAACAAGAATAATGGAGAGAGCAGGGAGGAATTGGTGAAGGCAACACCGGAATCTGGCGAAGATGGGCTTGAGGAAGGTGAAACGTCTTCTGCGCCACCACTACCAGATGAGGTCCCACCACCGCTTCCGAACGAGGCACTACCGGATCAAGCAGAGGACGATGGATGGGAGCCAGTCTGGGATGCCGACACCCAAGCGTATTATTTCTACAACCGCTTTACTGGTGTTTCGCAGTGGGAGAACCCTCGCGTGCCGTCAGCCACGGCAGCGCCCAATGGGGATACTGGCGGTGAAGCAAATGCAGAGGTACCGCACAAGAAGTCTCCCGTGGTAGGCGGCTATAACCCCGCAATCCACGGCGATTATGATCCTACAGCCCCGTACGCGCAGCAGTATGAACAGCAGCATCAAGACGCGTACGGGGCCAGTGCCCCTGGAGTAGACCCTGCAGCTGCGTATGCAGCCACTGGTGCATTCAACCGGTTCACTGGCAAATGGCAGGCGGGATATCTCACACCGGAGAACTACAACGACGAGAATAAGGCGCGACGACAGATGCGGGCATTCTTTGATGTCGACGCCGCCGCAAATAGCCACGATGGGAGGAGTCTCAAAGCAGAGCGCAGCGCCAAAAAACTTAGCAGGAAAGAATTGAAGTTGTTTAAAGAAAAAAGGCGGGAGAAAAAGGAAGAGAAACGGCGGGCATGGTTGCGCGATTAAACTTGGGTGTTTGTGGGCGGATGGTTGGTTGCTTTTGCTGCATAATGGGACCACTTGAGATACCTTTTTTCTTTCCATTTACCTTCCCGCTGTTATGATTTCCTCCGGATTGGCGTTTCTTTGTACATGGAATGAATTGCATTGAAATAGAAAGCAGTAACTACTTTGATTCCTGAGGCCTTTATTTTGCATCTCGAGCTATGTAATATTACAGTACAGTACGATTCCACATCACAAACACGTGACTCGCCCGAAGTTTCTTTGGAGCAACTCAATTGTCGAAAGCGCCAGTCGTCGCATCAAAGATCCAGGCAGGAAGATCGCTGGAAACAGTGCATACTAGATAGAGGCTGTCTTGGAAACTGAGACTGCTTGAGGTGAGTACGGTTATTTTTTATTATCCCTGTTTCCCCGTAAACCAAGCAAAAAGTTTTAGGTCTTGTTTGCATGAAACATCTTTATTTTATTTTATTTTTTTATTTATTTATTTATTTTTTTTTCACATTTTTTTTCTGCTACAAGACAATGTAAACTGTTCAATTATATATATCATAATAACGAGACAGAGAACAGCATGGTGCTTTTGACTTTTGTTTGGGTCGTCGTTATATCTTTTCGGCTACAGGAGAACCACTTGCTAACGGTGTATAGATTCAATATCTCAATCTGATTTGGGCAATACCAATTGAATTGGTACTGTTGATATACAACAAACATTATTTCCAGCTGGACAATAGACAACCAGTGAACTGCATTGTCAAACGACGTGGATCAAACTTGTCTTCCACCCGAGACAACCAACGTCTAAAGGAGGACAAACAAAGAAAAAGAAAGGCGTGAAGAACAAAAGAAGAAAAAAAAAAAACATGTCATCTACACAAACTACACAAGTCCCAATCAAACTCTCCTTCGAGTCAATCGACGACCTCATCTACGATGCCCGCTCGGGCGATCTCGACGCACTGAAGACCGACATCGCCAGTCTAAGCAAGCAACATGACTGCTCGGAATCCCTGATTGTGGCCTCGGCCATCGACATGGAACCTGAATCCGAGGGAGGCACGGGGAGTTGTCTGTTGCATTTTCCGGCCGCGAATGGGAATCTTGGTATGTCCTAGCCTTTTTTTAAAAAAGATACTTCTATGGCACAGCTAACAGCCAAGAAAAGAAATCCTATCCTACCTTCTCCAAATTCTCTATTCAAGTTCTGAATTCTCCGCCAAAAAAAGCATCGTCAACCACGGGAATCATTCCGGGAATACTCCGCTCCACTGGGCGGCGCTGAACACGCACTTGGAATGCGTGAAGGCGCTTGTTGCCGCGGGGGCAGATATATCCATCAAGAATGACGCGGGCCATGATGCTGTTTTTCTCGCGGAGAGGACGGCTTGGACTGCTGAGGGTGAGGGTGATGAGACACAGGAGCAGAAAGAGCAAGATGAAAGTGAAGGAGGAGAAGAAGACAAAGGTAAGATCTCTCCCGGTCGCGCTGTTGTGGAGTGGTTGCTTGGGTGTGAGAAGGGAGATAGTCTGGAGACTTCTGCTAGGGACGGATCTGAATCTGCTTCTGCTTTTGGTAATGCATCCGGGGAAGCGATGGATGGAGTGGAGGAAACTAAATAAGCAAGAGTTTTATGTGCATATGCATGTGGATGGGAATTCTACACGATCGGGCATGATGAAATTGAGAATGATAGAATAAATGAACTAGAGTCACTGGCTGATCCAAAACATACTGTAATAACCCTAGCCAGTGCTTTTGCAGCTAATTGTTATCACAAACAACCTGGAGCCTCTGATCCCTATTAATAGTTCGAGTCACTTAGCTGCGCACGTAGTATATATGAGAGTTGTCCAAGGATGCTACTTACATTAGTCCTAAGACTAGCATATTATTCTTGCTTGATAGGGTATATTGTGGTATATATGCAGCTATATCATGAAGCATGCCGCTGGTGCACAGAGTAGGGATAATATTCAATCCTGTCTGGCTTTATACTCAGTAGTTCGTGGACTCCGACTCCGACCATCTATTACCAGACCAACACGACCATTCTGAGAGGCCTCTACAGGGACCGACAACTTCGATCCATCCGTGAACGGACGTCCAGATTCAATCTCCCGAACTTTGGCATCAAACCCGACCTTAAACCGTCGATCTCGCCACGCAACAGTGACGCCCCCGTAGACGGCGCAGACCCAAATAGGAAGAGCCAGTATCTCGCGTCCTAACCAAGCAGCGAACCAATGCAGGAAAGGACGTCTCGTTATCCGGCCTTGCCGGATAGGTCGGGCGAATACGGGCGTGTCCTCGTCGACCTCAATGGATCTGGCTGAATGAAGCATGATGTACAGGGTCCAGTCGACTAGGATCCAGACGAAGATGCTGAGGGAGAAGAACCAAAAGAAGGCTTTCCATGTCGTCAACGACTCGGCAAATGAGAAACCATACCGTCGAAAAAGGTCAGCAAGAGCCGTTATAAGAGCCCAGGCGCCGTAGAGAGAACACACAATCGACTCTGTGCCTGGTTCCACGAGCGTGGCGAGGAGAACGGTGAACTTCCGCACGCGTAACCATCGAATCCGCCGTGCGATATACGACTGAACACTCATGTTTGCGGTGGGTTGGATGGCCAGGTCTCCGAAGACCATGGCATGTTTGCCCAGATCCTTGCCCGACTCTTTCTCTTCTGCTGTTCGCTTTCGCCATAATAGATCACCTATGAGATGGTCCTCGCAGATGTTGTCGGAGAAGTAATCAATCCCGGGATTACGGGCTCGAGGGTCTGAGGGAGACGGGATAGTCAAGGAGTCCAGATGGGAACGACGGAACATGTTCGATTTACCCACGATGCACGGTGCGATCAACACCGTGTTGATAGCAGTGTACATCTTGGCGTGGGCCGAGGAGAGAAATAGCTCCTCGAGGCGACCTCCACCAGTCGCTAGGATGCCAACGTCTTTTTCACCCTGTTGTCTGGGAACCACCGAGGGATCATTCCGTAGCCGGTCAATTGCACCGCTGGTGTACATATCCAGAAGAGCCTGCTTCTCCTGTTTCGACCAGAACTCTCCATCCACGTCCACCACGATGGGGAGATGATGCACGAATTTATACCTCCTGCTGCTTCCTGAACCAAAACCGCACAATCTGTCCACCATCCGTCCGCACACCCCCTTGCCGACCCAGACATTGCAATCAATGATCCAGACGATATCCCCCTTTGCCTCCCGGTATGCGCGACTCATGTTCCTGATCTTGGGGTTCGGTCCCATGGGATAATCTGTCACACCATTCTCATTCTTCTGCAGCAACGGATCCTCCTCCTCGACGTAGACTCGCGCATCCACATGGGGGAAATCGGAAACCACTTTCTGCAGTATTGGAAACGCGGGATCGTCCTTCGTAGATACGCAAAGGTAGATTGTCAACTTGTCCCGCGGATAATCCTGACGAAAAGTCGACGCCAGACAATCGTACAGGTGCGGCTCAAGTCCCTTGACAGGCCTTATGGCGGTGACACGGGGGGCTTGCTGGGAATTGCTCGAGGAATAGGATTTCCGACGTTTTTGTATGAAATAATACTCCCATCTGCCAGAGTTACCGTTTCAAATCCTGTTAGCCCTTTTCCCCTTGGTCTGAAGGTACCGTGGCCCAAGGAAACGAGAAAGGGGAAGTGAGTTACATCTGGTAATACCCCAGGCCGCAAACGGCCACCACAGCAATGTACCAAATCAAACATATCCATCCTGTCGCGACTGATAGAGAGAATCCGCCATGACTTGTGGCTGGTCCGAGATTGACGGCGTCGGAGTTCAACGTCTGTTTTAGCATGGGCGGATGTGACAGGACACGGAGAGCTGCGAGACGATGAACACGCTCAACGAGGAGCACATTCTAGGAAAAGGGGAACTCTGAGGGCAACGAAGAAGCAGTCTTCGTATGGTTCAACAGGAGAATGTTTTAATTTAAGGGTAATAACCCGCTCGGATGCGCGGGAATGAATGGCTGAGTGCGTTTCGAAGGTGTGGAATAATAGTAGTTCTCGGCATTTTTTCTTCTCTGGGATTATTTACATGATAGCACACGCACAACTCACATGTGTCCATCGCGACGGCTCTACACATTTACGAAGTTGCTGGTAGCGAGGTGGAAAAGGTCATTATTATCGAGTAATTCTAGTGGGCTCTGTCCTAACCGCAAAAATCCCAACACGTTTGCCAAACATCCACTCCGAAACTCCATCGAGAAATATCCAACGCCTGCTATGTTTTCTTCTTCTTCCTAATCAATCCCCCGCTAAGCACATTGACGCTTGGTTCCGGGGCAGAAACAGCTTCCGGGTTGTCTTCTCCGGTAGACTTTCTCTCTTCAGCGATAGCAGCTGCACTTCCAGGCTCTACTTCCGCGGGCTTCTTTCGTTTTCGAGCCAGACCAGTGTCCAGAAGGTTGTTCTGTGTCTCCGCAGGTTTGACGGCATTCTCTGATACCGTGTTCTTTCCCACAACGAGCTCGCCAAACCACAGCTCGTCCGCGAGAGAAGCCACCTTGTCAACCCACGCCTTTGTACTGGTAGTTGCGACGTCGAAACCCCCAAACTCTTGTTGTAGGAGGAATTCAATTGCTGTCTTGTAATCTGACTCGCTTAGAACCACGTGCCCTCGTCCGGCTTCTGGCCATGAGAATGGATTTTCTTGAAGGGTTGAAGAGGTCTCCTGTAATGAATATGTTAGCAACAGAAATACGTTTTAAAGTATTATAGATCAGTCATACCTGCTGTGTAGTGGGAGACGTCTCCCCGCCAAGAGACCTCGCTTCCATGCTCGTAGAATTCACAAGTCCCGGTGGATTAACTACTAACCATAGGAACCCGACAAGCCGTCCAGCAGAGCACTCCTGTCGAAAGGTCATCATCTCCCAGAACTGATCCAAAGATTTGACGCTTCTCCACTGGCCCAGATTCTGAAGACCGCTCGCAGCATCCGTCTCTTGTCCAGATACCTCGTCATCTAGATCAATAAGAAAACGCGTCTTGGGATCATCAGGGAAACGAGGAACCAAGCATCGTGGAGGCGCCTTGGGATTCCCGCACAGCTGCCATAGAGGATAATCATTAACCCATCTGGGATGATCTTTACCATCCGATTTGGCCGTACTCGGAAAGAATCCTCGGGTCTCAAATTTATCGCATCCCGGAACAATAAGAAAGGCTGTTGCAGAGCTCTTGGAGGATTCTTTGCTCTCCTCCAGCGACCCCTTGTCCTGCGACTTTGACTCTGGTTCGCGCTCGCGCAGAATAGGATCGACCACGCGACACCACCACTTGATCAATCCCCGATCATCCAGCACATGTTTCCCCGTATTCTCAATACTCCCGGGAAACAAATACTGATTCTGAGCCCGCGCAAACAGCGACAGAACAAGCCGCACACCAGGGCGCTGGCGAGTCTCAACAAGGTACGAGAGAAACACAGTAGAAATTTGCCAGAGAAGCGACACCTTCGGCGCAGTCTTCAGCAGATGCAGATAACCCGTTGAATCGGCCTTGCTCACGAAGACCGTCGTAAGGTGAGCGGTGCTGTAGACAAGTACTTCGACTCCGAAGACGATGACCTCCCGTTCCCGTTCCTGGACCTGTTCCTCTCCACAGTCTCCTCCACGGCATTCAACTGATACCGCCAGGAAATGATTTTCACAGTACGTCGCCTCTGGAGCCTCACCGGGCGGCGCTGCGAAGAGAGCCGCGCATGGCGTCGGTGTGGAGGAGATATGTCGCACAGTGACCTTCACATTGGTCGGGAGCACCTTGGCTAGCAAGTTACCGAAATCAGACTGGGACATCTGACCTTGGCAAATGGCGTTGCATTCCACACACGATCCTATTATTGCTTCTAGAATAATGATATGCAGTACGATTATTGAGAACCGCGCGTTGAGGGCATATTTTTCCACGTCTTCGATCCGTCTCATGGAACGCGTCCCAGAAAGCTAGCTAAGATCACGTGATATCGATTTCAGTGAGCCACAGAATGCAGTTGGCACTGTCACTACAATCTACATTTAAAGAACAATATGCTCTTGGAGACTATAATGCACATCACAAGTACATGTGTTGCAGGAGGGGAAAAAGTTTTCCGTGAGGTTGGGATTGCCCTGATTCTATGACCTACTTTGTCGCTGTAGAGAAACATAACAGGAAAGACAAATGAAAAAAGAAAATAAAAGCCCAACAGTATTAAATAGACTTACATCGACATATCCAGGAACTCCCAACTCAAGTCGTTGAAGACAAATATCTATAAAATGAATGTCAAGCCGCCAAATATCCCTATTCCCCAGACCTGGTTTCTAGAAGTCTTTCTTTCCCTTGCAGATCATGGTAACGGGCTCGAGGGATAATATGTTGAAACCCTCACAGAGGAGTCCAAGGCAATTAGTGCGTGAGTATGGTAATAGCCCTGCTACTAGCGGATGATCAAACAGACTCCAGGCGTGGACAAGGTCGTCGTTTCAACATACACGCGTTGATTTTAACTGCGTATAGGGAGCTGGCTTCAAGCTTCCTGCGCCCATCGTCGCTCCCGCAACGGCATCATATCGCCAGATCGCGACCGGCTGCCATCAATTTCGCGTCGCCAAGCGAAGTACTCGCCAAGGCGAATTTCGGCGTACGAGGCATAGTCGAAATCGATCTGCGAGATCTGAGCTTGGATGAGAGCCCAGACACCCCTGCAATTAAACACTTGTCAGTTTCTCCTGCTCTGCAAAAAGAAAGAGCGAAAGGGATTCCTCACCAGTAAAAGCCCGGTATTCCGCGAAAACGGTCAACGTCCTCGAAGAGTTTATCCACAACAGCCTGAGAAGAATTTTCGGGGAGTTTATCATGTTTGCTGTAACTGCTAACATACTCGGACAAGAATGCTCGTCGAACCGCGCGTGTAGGCAGCATATTGTAGTCGCAGTCGAAGCCGCCCCATTCGGCAAAGTGATTGGCAATGTCAAATGCCGCTGGCGCCGGCGTTGCATACTCATAATCGATGAAATTCACAACCTTGGCTTCATCCCCAGGCGTGGAGGACGCATCAGACTCTGGCGCAACGATCACGTTGCCGCTCAAAAGGTCACAGTGGGCAAAGACCAGCTAAAGAATTAATTAGCCCAGCAATGGCGAAGAGAGCAAGAATTGTACGTACGCCTTCCTCACCAACGCCTTGGCCGTCATCCAGCTCACGCACAACCCATTCTAGTTCCTTCTGTAGGTTCAACCTTCTAGTACGCTGGTCCTCCGTAGCCACGGGTAGAGCAAGGATCCATTTCTGGATAACAGTCCACAGGTTAGGTCCAGACCGTCTTGGCTTTACCGGAGAGAGGTCATCCGTAGGCTTGGCTTTGTTCTCCGTATCAATATCGATCTGACAGGCGATGGTCGTGCCCTTTGTAGGCATCGATTCAACCGCCGCACCAATGGGGAGAACCGCGTGCCATTCTCCTAGCCTCCGCGCAACTCCACGCCATATGGGAGCCGTCACCAAATCCGAAGGAGTTGTGACTGAACCACGGATAAACTTGTAAAGCAAGCCATTCTGGAAGCGCGCAAGGAGCGGGGGTGCAAGGCCTCGACTTGCAAGAAGCGCATGGGATCTCGTTTCTCCTATAATTTTATCACGGAAAATCTACTCAGCCAGAGTCGCGATGGGCACAAGAGAGGGTTGTTTGCATATCCAGGTGGCGTCTTACTTTCACGATCTATAAGGATCTCGGTGTGGTTACCGTAGGCTCTCATGAGCACTGCCTCGTTATCTATTTGTTCGTCCGTCCAGCCAAGTTTGCGGTTAACGATTTTGAGAAGCTACAGCAATAATGTTAGCCCCTGTTGCTCGGTTATTTTTGTTTTCATCCCCTCCAGCTTTGAGTAGCTGGGGTGTAGGCAACCTAGAAACACACAGTATTGGTGATACCATCGGTGAATCGAACGAATTCGATCTTGTTATCGGGTCCCTCCCAGTGAGGATTCAGGGTCAGGACCAGCCTCAGCGCTGAGGTTTGCGAATCGGCATGGTTGTACGATAACGGAATGTATCTAAGAGGCGTGATCTCGCATGGGGCGCCCATCATGGGAAAGGGGGGTTATGAGGCTGCCTAATGGAAGGTGGACGACAAGACAACGGGATCCGGAGGAGAGAACTAGATATTCAAGACGAATGTCAGTCGACTGAACGCGCTTAAAATGATTTTAGCCAGACATAGAAACTGTCGAGGACGTAACAAAGAAAGTCACACATACTCCAGTTACCAAGTGTCGGTGGATTGGGCTGTTCGACGCCGCTCACGAGTCATATAAAACAGACAGATTCCCTGACTGCGTGCTTTATGAAGAAAAATGGAGCCACAAACGCAGAGTAAGATAGGTGAGGGCCTGAAAACACGATAACAAAGAACTGGCAGCAATTGAAGCCCTCACCGTTGCGAGAGGCGAAAAGTAGTTTCTTGGTTCCCCTTTTCGGGCGGGTGGTCTCGTGCCTTGGCCGTGGTTGCACGTAATCTATTTTACGTACGCATACGCTGTACCGTACGCTGGAAGCCCCGCAGCACGTGCCACGGTTTTCTGTCATTTTCACATCGTTGCTTATTATTCTTACTCCTGGATTGAAGCAGGATTTATACTTCAGTGCGTGCGTATACTCCATAGCTAACAGATAATCAAAGGCCTATAGATCTGATTTCTGCCCGGCGACTTGCAGCAAGGATCTCAACCCCTATGTGCTTTCCACGCTGTATTGGCCTTTTTTATCAACCAAAATCCCCAAGATTCTTATTTCAGATCCTGAGCCGTAGGCATCTTGAAGCTTTAATTTTCGACCGCAGTATTGCGCAGTATCTCCGAGGAAATGCAAGAGAACTAGGGTCAAAAGGTTCAACATCTCCAACATTCTCTCTGGGATCTTCTCGAATATTGCACGGATACGCCAAATTAGATCGAACGACTACATAAAGAAACGTAGAACAGGGTTGTAGAATAAACAAAGCTTATATAGATATCCCTATTCTTAAGCAAGACATGACAGTCATGGAAGAACGCTAAGAAACATAAAAAGTGCAATTAAGTACAGTAGTTCAGTATGTCCAGTTTTAATGAAAGGTGCCAAGACCCTAGAGCCTTGGCACATTTCATTAAAACGTGACATAACAACCCTAGCCCTAGCGAAAATAGTCATGTGACACACACTAGCGCAGCCCCACAGCGCCTACAAAAACTTCGTCGCGCCTCATCCGCTTTCCATTTTCTTTCTCTTCTTTTCTTTCCTCATCATCAGTAGCGGTTTACATTGACCATATGTAAATCAACACCGGAGCTCCGTCAAAGTACGGCTTGCTGAGGGTTATTCTTGTTGGTTTCTTACACAATGGGTTTCCTTCCGTTCCCGGCTTCGGAGAGTTACCTTCGTCCTCCTTTTTCCCTTACAATATATGGCTGGGCTAGGGCTTTTCTTGTTGAAGAGCTCCATGCGCCATAGCTGTGGAGGGGGCGTGATATACCTTTTTATTTTACGTGCACTTGATGTTGGTGTGCTTGTGAGAACTTTTTTGACTTGGACATACTCAATTGTCTTTGTGTGGAAGTGGTAGTCTACATGAAAACTCGATAGTCAAGGAAGAATAGAGATCTAATGCAAAAATCACACCGTTTTATAATGCGCCTACTGAACTCCCATCTCTTCTGCGTCCTTTTGGAATTAAAAACGTCTTCACCATACACCGAGAGAAACCAAAAAACCTACCGGTGGTACAGATATTATCTTTATCATCAAGCCTTGCATGCATAACTTAAATAATCAGACCGCTCTCGCGGCCTGGCCTATTTGGATTCTCTCGCCGCTCCATTTATCATCACTTCGCAAAACTGGCCAACTTGTTCCATCCGCCTTAGCCAGTGTTAATTCTAGCTTCGTCCCAAGCACTCGGAACTGAGATTTCTCAGGATCAATAGCCGCGAAAAGACTGTAGGTGTCCTTGAACCGCTTGTTATCCGTGGTGGGGAGATCAAAGGCAATCGACTTCGACGAGAATTCGACCCTTGCGTTTTCTTTATCGATCTTCTTCAGATAAAGAGAGACGTTGACAGACGCTGCCGTTTGGTAAAAGTCATTCCTGCAGTAGTAGAAAAGACAGTCAGAACAAACCATTGGTATCTATAGAAGCAATCTAACTCACCTTACGGACTCAACCTTCTCCTCCCCAGCTGGATTGGCCTTGCCAACAAAAAGATGTCTCTTCTTTTCCTTGCATCCTGGGATTTTCAGGAATTCGTCAAATTCCAATACGCGCCGCTTACAGCATGACCAGCCCTTGCTGCCCTCATGGAAAATCGGCTGTCCAGGATGATGAACGCAGATCTCCTCATCCCTGAGCTTCGATGGATCATATGTCGTATTGCAACCCCGTCGGCGGCATGTAGTGTTCTGCGGGATTTCAAGGGATGGATCATCGTCCTCGGACTCTTCGACTACAGGGGCAGCCGGAGCTGGGGGAGGGGCAGTGGCAGTGGGTTGTACAGGGCGTGGTGCTGGTGCCGGTGCTGGCGCAGGAACAGATGCGACATCTGCAGCAGGCTTCTTGGGCTCAACCGGGGTATCATCGACTGTGGAGTGTTTGCCCGTAGTGCATGGGGGGATCGCAAGGAATTCGTCAAAGGTTAGGACGCGGGGTTTGCAGCATTTCCATCCTGGAAAATTTCACGAGAAGAGGAGCGTAGACCATTAGTATGTGCGCTCTTGGAAGTTTAAAAACAAGTAGAAAACCACCAGGGTCCCTACCTTTCTGTCCTTCATGGAACACCGGTGGTCCAGGATGATAGATGCATGGCTCCTCCGGATCGGTGAACTCTTTCCCACAACCCTTGTGGACACACTTGGATGCCATTTTGTTCTAGCCCGAGCCTTTTAAGGTGATTTTCAGAAGAATGTATATCCAACGCCCTCTAGAAGCAACAGAGTAAGGAGTGAGACAGAATGGCCGAAAACCGCGAGCAGGCCTTCTCTTATGCTCTGCCATCCAAATTGCGGGCATCGGCGAAGCAATCCCGATCCGGATTAGCGTGGGAAACTCGAAGGTTCTATCGAGTCGATTGCAAACGGCAATATATTCCACGCCCCTTTTGGGATAATAATTACTATTCGGATTCTTGTCGTGTTCATTGATATTCAGGTCATCTACTAGTTTCCCTTCCTATCACTGATTACTGGCCATGTTTCCTACGAGAGCTCTTTTCAGCACCACCGTTCGCGTAACGCTCTTCACGCGGGCCAATTGCGGGTTGTGTGTCACCGCGAAGAACACCGTGGCTCAATTGAATAAGCGAAAGCCTTTTGATTATCATGAAGTAGATATCATGGTCCCTGGAAACGAAGCATGGAAGAACGTCTACGAGTTTGATGTCCCGGTTCTGCATATCCAAGCTCCTCGGACTGGGACGGAGCTATCCGACCCGAAGAAGTTGTTCCACAGGTTTACAGAGGAAGCAGTTGAGGATCTGGTCGACCAGGTTGAAAAAGAGGCTCATTAATTCGTTTGATATGTCCTAATCATGAATGGGATATACAAAGTAAAGCCCGTCAACGATCTACCACTCTATTTGGACGGATAATTCGAGCACGTGCTTAGTATGTTGGAACAGCAGCATCCGCCTTGGACCCCTTTGCGGTCTCCAATGCGTCAGAAAGGAATGTAGGGAGGGCGACGGCATCCGCAACAACGGATATCTGAAGGAGAGAGAATGTGATTTAGCAAAAAGAACTTCATACTTCGCAACTTCATGTCCGACAAGCCTCACATACCATGTGGAAACCTTGTGCCGCATACTTCTTTGCTGGTGCACCGCCCACGCAGTAAATACCAGCCTTTTTGCCATTGTCAACGGCTGCTTTGCGTATGCGCTCGATTGCAGCGTTTAGGTCGTCGTGGAATTCATCCATGACAGGGCGGCCGATATTATTTCCTAGATCCCAAGGCCCGACGAACAGCACGTCAATTCCGGGAACTTTTGCAATCTCCTCCACCTGTTTTTAAGAGTGTCAGCAGTTACGTTGTGGCCGCTGGATAGCTGTGCCAAGATTATATTGCATGTAAGAGCCTGACGTACATTCTCTAGGGCCTCTTTGGTTTCGATCTGGACAATAGTCAGGAGAGCATCGTTTGACTGCTGCAGATACTCGAGGGAAGATATGACCCCTGTCGAGCCCATTGCGAAGGGACTCCCGAAACCCCTGCGGCCAACAGGCGGGAACTTGGCCGACTCAACGAGCTTTCTAGCGTCGTCTGCTGTGTAGAGTAGAGGGACAACAATTCCATGGGCACCCGAATCCAATGCACCTTCATACTGAAGTCAGCGTTCTGGCCAAATCTCTCTGCGTTATTACCCCGTATCTTTGGAAAAACTTACGCTTTACCATCCAGCCTTCGTTGGCAGCTATCCGCACAATTGGACTAACACCTGTTGCAGAAATTGCAGCAACGGCTTCATGCATTTGCCAGTCTTTTTTATTTTTAAAGAGAGAGAATGCTTAGCATTTACTGGAGAAAGAGAGACTGGAAGCTAGCCTACCCGCAATATTTCCGTGCTCAGTATCGACACAAATCCAGTCATAGCCAGACCTAGCCATCATGCGCGCATGGTTGGCGCCTGGAAGCATCTGCCACGCCCCAAAGGACAGCCCGGATTCAGTGAGTAAGGCATTCCGTAGTCGATTCACAGCTTGCATTTTGGTCAATTCGGCCATTTGTTGTCTCCTTCAACTATGTGGGAGGGCTTTGACGGGATCCGGGGAAAAGAACCACAGTGACTTTAGACTGCAAGACAGGGTAGGGGGGAGACTGAAGAAAAAAACAAAAAGGAGGGCTCCTGCTGGCATAATAACCGCCTTTCTCGCTGAACGATACCCCGAGGGCTCTCCTCCGCATTGTGCGGGGTCTCCACCCGGGAGAATACCGACTTTCGGCTTGTGATCTGCTGCGTAAACGGAGAAACTCCGTATTGATATTCGGGATAAAACTCTTGGGATTGGCTCTGCACTTTGGCTAATTTAAAGAGTCGCATATAGGAGGTTGTGGCCAGGTTTGGCCGAACCCTTTCGGCCCCTTCGGTACAGTTGACCTGTAGATAACGGGGAATGGAAGTCAACGAGTTCATCAGGTCGGCGGGAACTTGTCTATAGTATGAATTTGACAGTCACAGGCCTCTATTAATGGTGGGCATGAAAACGCTTTCGAAGAGATGATCTTTAGTAGTAGATTCATCTGGCCTTGTTCAGTGGGTTTCCCACAAGTCCTGGCGTAATCCAAGAAAGGTGATGGGAATACCGAATTTCATCACGGAGTAATCCCGTTTGATACTGTTTAGATAGGCTCTTATTCACGGGGGTGTGCCAAAATTAGCTCTGGCATTGTTGATTCGAATAAGCCGAACGGCCCTGATCGAAAGATGCAGAGACCATCTTGCGGCAGCACAGGTTGATAAGTTCCTGCGGCCTCCATCGATGCAAGAGTACTTGAGCCAGCATAGAACGGTATGAAATTTCCCAGAAACAGGATGTTCTCAGGCCTGGTGCATAGATGGCGAAGGGCTGAATCGGAGAATTGAAGTGAAGGAGCCTCAGTTAACCGTTAAGTCTTCACGTAAACAGGAGGCACGGGCCACATCGCGGGTCTCGATCATCCCCGACGCGGAGGCTCAACGCCCTTCATTTCATGCCTCAAACATCCTCGCCTTCCACCATTTGGGATCTAGACAACCTTTAAATCGTCTATGTTGCCTGGCACTGTCATATTTTATCTCACAGATTTTCCTTAAAATGCGCTGCGTGATTTAAGCTCGTGTGAGCAGGTTTGGCGCCCTCTAGCAGTTCGCGTCGACTTCCTGTGCATCGCTCAACTAAACTATGCACTGTGTTCAAAATTAAGCTGTGGGCTTTTATGCTGTTAGAAATACTAGGGAATATCCTTTGCTTGCTCTGTTGTTCTGTGTTGTCCTCCGGGTTCTGTTCCTTCTTTGATCTGAGTTCGGATCATCGAACCGTGAAACCTGAATTGGAGACAGAGTCGATGGTGACATCTTCATTCCAGGTGTCAGAACTCATTTTGGCAGCATGGAATTTTCGGCAATAAAGCATATTAGTTTCAAAGAAGACGAAGTGTCTCAGCCACGGCTGAGGAACAATTCGATAACCTTCAAAATGACGACTCCAGATCATCCTTGCAATATGTGCAGACTTAAAAAGAGAGGTTGTAATAGGACGCAGCCAGGTATGTATGGACACTCAATCTGTGCCTTGAAGTGGATGAATGATATATAGGAAACCGACGCAATTGTGCTGATGCTTTACAGTTTGCGGAACCTGTACAAAGGCAGGCATCGCTGACCGCTGTTCCTACAGAGCTGAGGATATGCCACCACCACGATCATTGTAAATTCTCTACTCAAGCATTTGGGGGAATGAATTCTGACTTCCTGCGCAGTGGGAAACGTCGAGAGAAGTCAGATGACGATTATCCACCGTCTCTGGCCATTGGTTCTGATTCGCGTGCCACGAAAATACGAAGAACTTTGTCTATCCTTAATAGCGGCATAGCCGATAAAAGCCAAGGGGGCTGGCAAGCTCCAAATCTCAGCTATTCTCGGACTGGACCAGCAACTCATGCAGGAACCCCTAGGATTGAAATCAACGGCTCCCGTCGGACTCCTGAATCTTCCGACTCTATGGAATCTGGTGTTGACCCTTTAATGCCACGAGTTCGTAATGGCACCAGAGCAGATGCCACTGCACGGTTGAATAGTGAACGACGGGATTTGCTTTCTCCCCTCGTTAGACTGCAAAGGATCGTGTCTAGGAGGACAAATATTGTCAAGCAAGAAGAGGATGTGCCCAATAACCAGCGCTCAGGGCTAATTGGTTGGGTAATCCCTCAATTTCGCGGTGGCCATGATGTCTTGGGAAGCCGTATTTCCCTTTCAAAGGGACTATCTGATCGCCTAGTTACCACATATCTTACTCTAGAGTATGTGAACCTACCAATCTTCGATATGTCAGGTTTTAAATCCGCCTATGAGGCGGTTTGCAGCAGTGGAGATCTCAACAACGGATCAACCCTTTTTTACGGCGCATTGAACGTCATATTTGGGATTTCCTGTTTGGCCACGAGAGATATGGACGAAGTTCAAGCGTCCGCCTTCTACGACCATGGCCAGAAACTTGCCGGTTCGTTTGATAGCAATGACAGGTCTCTGCTCATTCAATTTTATATTCTACAAAGCCAGTATCTTAACGCAATAGGCAATCCAAGACTTGCATGGGTAGTCATTGGGTTCGCTATCCGCTACGCGCAGTCGTTTGGCCTTCCTTTCGGGACTGGGATTGGAGGAGATAGAGGAACCAAGGAAGTCAGTCGGAAGATCTGGCACAGTGCGATGGTCCTGGAAAGGATGCTTGCCCTGCAACTTGGACTCTTGCCGCAAACCTCAAATCCTTTCCAAATTCCGCTCCCCACGCATCTGGATTCAGACTATATCGACACAATCTCGGGCAGAAAGCCATCTGCAAGAGAACGTCCTTCTACAGTTGAATTCCTGGCGGCTTCTGCAAGACTCTATGGCCACGTCGAGGACATTATGGCCTTAGAGAAAGAGTACAAAATTGGCCATGGCGGCTGCGCAGCGAAGAAGGTTCTCGCTTTGGATTTGACGTCTTTTCTGAAAGTAGACAACCTTCTGCATGACTGGAACTTGTCCTTACCACTATTTCTCCAGCCGGAAGAGCCAGTTGATTCTTCTGATGACCCCATTGTTCTCCGGCAGCGCAATATCCTTCGCATTCGCTATCTATATGTTCGACTACGACTGTACAGGCCGCTTTTCATCCTCGCATTAATCCTCTCCACCAAATGCAACTGCGACCCAGAAGGCGCAGCGCATCTCACTGAGAAAGACTTTTCTTCCCCGGATTCACCCATCTGTTGGAGCTTCGTTCGTGATTCTGCGCTCAAATGCATATCCGCAGCCATGGAGCTGGTGAAGATCGTCAGCGCGAATGATAATCAGCGCAGACCATTTCGAAACAACAACAACAACAACAAAAATGTAGAAGACTCTCATATCAATCCTGTCCCTGCATATTGGGAAAATGTGGATTACATATATGCCAGTGGAACGATCCTCATCGCCTCAGGCCTGTGCCCCTTTATCAGTTCCAATGAGACCGACCAGGTCAACAGATGGAAGATCGAGAAAAGCTGGTCGAAGGCCCTCCATCTACTAGAAGCTTACGAGGAGATCCGTCAGCAAAGCAAGTCATTGAAAAACGTCGCACAGATCTGTCTGAAAACACTGAAGAGCTTCCCCAGTGCAGCGGAGGGGTTATTGGAGGCCCTCATCATGAATGTAGGTCTTGATGAGAGAGCAAGAAATGGAAGCATCCCCCGGAAAGTTAGCGGGGCATCGCGTCTCTCCAATGAAACTACTACGGGCTCGAATGCTTCCCCATCCTGCTCTGATCAGACAACAGTGCAAAGACTCTTTGGCTGGATAGAAAGTCTACCTGCTGACTTGGATGGGTGATGGTATTCAAACGATTCTTTACTTTCGGATTTCGTTTGGCTAAATTTGCCAATCTATAACTCTTTGTCTTGGACCCAAGACTTATGAAGGGTACCGCTCATGATGACTTCCCCATATAAGATCGAGTGGGATAGTCATACCATCTTTTACTCGATGGCTGAATTGCAAATCTGCTCTGGCCCGTTTATTGTTTGGGCTGGCGGGCTCTAGACATATGGAGATGGGAGCATTCATCAGGCCCATGTCCACTGGGTTTCTCACAACATTCTCTGCAACAAGATAGCATAATCGATAACAACATATACATACCCCTTATATGATATCTAGCTGCAGCAATTGAGGCTGCTCAGTAACAATGGGCATTTAGGATTTCTCCCCCCCCCTTCCACTACGGTCTAGATGCCTGGGGTGGTTGAAATTTGAATCACTGGAGCCAGAAGAGCTGGTTAATTTGCACGAGGGAGAATAGTAAAGCGAGACAAACCAACAAGACCCAAGAACAAGATCATAGATTGTGATCATTAAACAATGCCTCTCAGGAGAGCCCCATGCCAAAATCCAACGAACAAGCCACACCATCCACCAGGGTGTCATCCTATGATTGAGCCCCAGTTTATATTCACCATTAAATGGTTTCCTGAAAAGCCTCTCATTAGGAATATATCCGATCTATGTCCAATCAGTCTGAACAACCACTCGGGGACTGATATGTCTTCGAAGCTTACCCTCATCGACAGACTCATGCAGGAAGAAGAGAAAGAGAGAGAGAACTAGGTAGGATTCGATTCACTTTGCTTCACTCAATTCACTGGGTAGAACGAGCCCTAGACTGCTATTCAGGCGTAAAAGCCCTTGGGAGAGAAAATAAGTCATCGATCCACAAGTTCTCCAGTGCAATTATCATAGTACAAATAAAGCTTTATCTCCCCGTAAACCTCCTCTCCAGCCATCTAACTGGAACAAACCCAATGCCCGAAAAGGCACCGCTGAAGATCCAACCCAGCTCAGCAGGAGGATGGATTGCTCTCGAGACGACGCCAACATACCACGTCTGATTCATAGAAAGGACAGCGCCGACGAACCCCATGCCGATAGCAAAGACCCCGGCAATCCCATAGGGCATGACGTCCATGTTGTTCCAGTCATCGAGCGGATACTGGCCTCCTCGGAAGATGTAATGTTCGCAAACGAGAACAACAACAAAGGGCGTCCCGTAGTAACCGATAACACTCAGAAAGGATTCCATAACGTCGATGAAAGTATTAGCAGCGGCAATGGAGATTGCAATCACAGCAGCTGTTCCGAGGATGGTCCAGACAAAACGGGGGACCTTGATCAGAGCCGGATGGAAGTTCTGGCACATGAACGCAAGGGAATAGTTGCTGATCAGGTTGCAGCCGACGATGCTCAGGGTCAGAAGCACAAGGAGGAACTTTCCAAATCCCCCCAGTGGTTTCAGGGCTTGTCCCATCAGACCACCGACTCCGCGGTTGTCGTATGCATCTGCGAAGGCTTGGTCTTTGGCAACAGCTGTCATGAATGCTGCTCCCAGGACCTCCGGGATAGTGGTTCCAAAGAAGTTGCCTGCCCAAGTAGCTAGCACGAGCTTGGTCCTGTTGGTATTGACTGGCATTCGCACATTATAATCAGGAGCTGCACTGGCCCAGCCGATAACAAAGCCATAGATGCTGGCGATGAAGGACATGGCACCGGATGCCTCCTTGCCCCCAGATCCCATGGGAAGGGCAGATGCATCAAAATGCTTGGCTCCGTACCCAGCAACAAAGATAAAAGAGAACAGCTGTGCTATCCAGCAGTATTTCTCAAATGTATGCACGACGTAGTAGCCAAAGAAGCATATGACACCAGTGCACACGCCAATGATCAGGTTGCCTGCCCATAAAGGACAGTTACCATCAGACAGTTCATTCAGAACCTGAGCACCGGCAATGGCATTAACTGACGACCATCCAATTGCACCGCACAGGTTCAATATCACAAGGACTCGGAGGCCCCAGATGCCAAATGAGAAGCGACTGATGGACATTGCACGCAAGCCCGTCTGCGGACCAAGGAGGCCAAACCAGGAGATTATCCAGGAGAATGTAAAGTTTATGATAACTATTATGGCAAATGAATCCCAGAATCCGAGTCCGAATACTGGCCCCAGGAGACCTGTTGCGAAGGTGGAAGGGCTGGAAGCAGGCGGATTAGCGAACTGCAGATGGACAGAAGAGAGTTCTCACACATACGTGAAGTTGGCCGATGCCCACATGGTGAATCCAGTTAGGACGCTCTGGTTATACCGATCTTCCTCCCTGACCCGCTCAATGCCTCGTTCTTCAATACGAAGGTACCGGGTATACCGCACAAGGCTGCCAAACCAGCCCTGCGACGCCTGGACGTCGGAAAGGTCGTTGGCATATTGATTGACGTGATGCTGCTTCTCACTCAGGGTATCACTGGCAGTAACAATTCCGTTCTCGATGTCTGTGTCTTGGGCAACCGATGGATACTTTTCCATGTTCTTGTCGTTTCCCATGATGATTGAGCAGCAACTAGGGTTTCAAATCTCTCCAAAACAAGGACGGCTATCCTCGAAAGATAGCAAGATGAAAAAGGATATATATCCGTCTTTCCCCTTGTATCACAATCATGATGAAGACCTGTGTGTGGTTATTGATAAAGGTGTTGAAAGCAGGGACATAAACCCCGACATGGATGGATATCTCAACACAACACAACTCTAACCAGAGCCAATCTAAAGAAAGCTGTGCATAGCTTATCGTCCTATCCCACAGATTAAAAGTCTAATAAGCTGATATCAGATCTAGCGTGGGGGTTGAGGCAGGTTGATATCAGCACCATGTCGATACCTATTAGGGCCTTGCGGGCTACTAGACCTACCATAATCATCCATAGCCCCAAAGGATATAGGCGAAGTGCTATTCAACGGTCTCCACACGGACTGTTCCGACTATCACAGCAGGAATTGCAGCTTCTCAGGCGGAGGTGTCCGACAGAGTCAGATGATGACAGGATCGAGATCAAGATCCTTCATCAGGGCTACCCGCGAATCTAGCATTTTCAAGATTGGTCAATTGCAGTCTTGCCACGGACATCTTCAAACCGGTCATTAATATGGCTGTGAATGCAGAGAGAAGCTTGTGGACTTGATACGTAGACAGAGTCGATGAGCTGCTATTAACGCATTGCACTGCAACACCAGGTCATACGTAGGGCTTTGCTGCAATCCATGCCCAGCATACAGATACCAGACAGCCATGGCCATGCAGACAGCAAGTCAAACCCTCCAGGATCGTGGAGCCGTGGTCAGAGCTTCCTTATCTTGGTCGTTCTTCGGGGTCGGATGCCCACCGATTGGTGAAACAACGGCAGCTGCTGATGACGATGAAGCCAGATAGATTGCAGTCTCGCGAAGAGCTTCCATCGATAATAGAACAGCCCCCACGCCAAGAGGGAATCCTTCTGTGTTTTCGTGGTGGTTTCGCTTCAATCGGAGCGCTGCTAGAAATATGAGTGCATGCCCTGATGAGAAACAGATCCAGCCACCATCAATCCCACAATCAATTGACCTGTGAAAGAGAAAAAGAAAAATCCAACAACATGCCAGCAGACGACTTTTTCATCGATGGCGGCGTCGCTCCCATGATCCCCGAATTCTTCGTCCTGGACTTCAAAACCTCCTACAAATTCTGGACCGAGATCCTAGACTTCAAAGTCGTCTTCGAGCGTGAAGGCTACGCCTACCTACGCCGCGGCACCGTCGAATTCATGATCGCCCAAGCCCACCGTCACTGGGCGACGGGTCCTTTTGACCTCCCTCTGGGCCGGGGCATCAACTTCCAGATCTTTGTCGACGACCCGGATGCGCTGGCCAAGAAGCTTGTCGAATCCGGCTACCCGCTGTTCGACGACGTCAAGGAAACCTGGCCCACCTCCGGAGGTGTAGCGCGCGGATACCGACAGTTCCTAGTCCAGGGACCGGAGGGATACTTGCTGCGGTTCGCGAAGAAACTGGGCGTCCGGCCTGCTGAGAAGGATACGGCGCCGCCGCCGGCTTCTGAGGATGTTACTGTGCCGGATAAAGTGTGAGCATGAAATAAAAACAACCTCGATTTCTCTCGTATCAATTCCTGCATTTGGGTACGGGGTTTGGGGGGTTCTCTCGGCTGGGGCATGGTACGTGTCTGCATGCGATGCGCTTCGTCCTGGATAAAACGGGGTACTTGTACATAGACGAATGGACTCTTTTGTGGCAATTGGAACTTGTATTGCGAATTATGAAATTCGTAACTCCATATCCAGGTGCAAACATTATCGACTAGCCAATAGGCTTAGTATTTGCAGTATGCTACTCGGGCCAACAGTGCTTCGATGTCGAGTTGGTTTCTAGACAAGGTAGGCCTATGCAGTCAATGTCGATGCAGGTAGCAGAACACCAAGGCAATATTCTTCTGGCTAAGAACTGTTATGCTCAGAATATCTTTCTTCCTCTCGCAGAACCCAGTGATGCGGCACACATACTCGGATTTCGTTTCAATGTCGTCCGTAGATGGAGTCCCAGCTAACGCGAAGGATTTCCCAGACTCTGCCAAGTTTCTCACTGCATCAGACACATCGGTGTCTCGAATGTGCAAATCAGGATGAACTGCTTTTTCTTCAGCTTGCTTCCCGAGTGCATTTTCTGAATGTGATGAATCGACTTTCCAATCAGTTGTGGCCTGCGCCACAAGCTCCTCATCTCCAGGAAACCAAAGATTCCCTTCTCTCATGCCTTCAGTCACTCTCACTAGCCGTGTCTTATCTATACCCTCATCCTTGGGCAGCATCCAGAAATCTGCAAACAGTCGGAAATGATAGAGTCTGTACCGCATGCCTCCTGCGGTGCGTATTCTGGGGCCGAACTCCTAACACCGGAGGCCTCGTTCGAAGGTGCACGTCTATGGTTATCCTCCTATACAAAGCATCGAAGTTTCGCTCGCGAGAATGTCTCTTCCGTTGCTGCTTGGGGGCACACTGTCCATGTTAACCATGCTCCATAGCCAGCTGGACAGCTTCTAGCCATAAGTGTATATAGCAGTCGGTATAGGTGCCATGGACACATCAAGACGAGCGGGTGTCCTTACTAATGCCGCAACACCAATCTGGGCAGCCCATCGTATTGCCACCAAGGAGTTGATGAATGGAGAGATCGAGAAGGTAAGTACAATTAATAGGAAGATTAGTCGGGTGAGAAGAGGAGGAGGAGGAGGGGGGGAGGAAGTGGGTTACTTATTTTCGTAGTTGGGAATACTGGCAGCATTCACCTGACCTTCTATTCACCCATAACCTACTTGGCATTACAGCAATGCATCATTGTCATTGCCATCATGCAGAAAGAGAGAACTGGTGTGATATTCTTGCTGCAGTCTCTCTGTTGGGGAATATTGCGGATGCATTCTGCACTGCATGGTAGAGACAAAGACTATAGCCCTAGAACGATACTCAGGGTTACCCATATCAAATAAAACGTATTGGTCAACTTCTTTGGGCATCAGGAACCATAGAATCATAATTGAACTGGCGCATCCGCATCGTGCCGGAAGGATCTTACAGCCCAGTTTGATATGCAGGTAATCAGACACAAGCAAGAGTCGCGGTCCTTGGGGGAACAGCTAATCTACCAGTTCGGTAATTGAGGACGGAAGAATGCTTCGGATTCGGGTTGATATACTCCTCGATATGCATCGATAACCGTCGGTCTCCGTCGTACACACATACATAAATAGACAGTAATCGCAAAGCCCAGCAGAGAAGAAACATATATTCCACACCATCGTCGAAATGGCTCAAACCAAATACACCCAAATCGAACTCCTCAGCGCAAAAGGCCCCGTCTACCGACGGGTCTCTACGGCCCCCCCACGCACTCCCACAGAGGATGAAATTCCGATCATCGATCTAAGCCCCATCGATGGGACCCTGGAAATGCAAAAGGAGCTCGCGTCGAGGATCCGCGCCGCGGCGAAGAATACCGGTTTCTTCTACATCACGAATCACGGTATACCGGAAGAGCTGATCCAGAAGGCACTTGCCCAGGCGAAGGCGTTCTTCGGGCAGTCTGAGGAGGAGAAGCAGAGGGTCTCGAATCGAGAGGCTGGGCGTGCGGGTGGGTTTCAGGGCGTGGGGAGTACGCAGGTGAATAAGACGGAGACGAGAGGTATATCAGATATTATCTACCCTTTTCATCGGAGAGAAAAAGAACCCTAACATCTAAGATGGACAGACCACAAAGAAACATTCTCAATCCGATATAACCCCGTCAATGACCCGACCATCTCTGATCCTCAGAGTCTTCTCCTTTCCGGGAACCCTAATAATGCGTACGGAAAGCCAGACGTCATCTGGAAAGGAACCAGCCATCTCCAGGGCTTCCGTGAAGTCACCATCGAATTCTGGCAGAAACGCCTCGAACTCGCGCGGAAGATGGTCAGGCTCTTTGCCCTTGCCTTGGATCTTCCGCGGGATCATTTTGATAGTGTCATCACCCACCCTGGGGCAGATGGGGTTTATATCCACTACCCCGGTACACCGGATATCGACACCACCAACCGCAACAAGGATAAAGGAATAGACGTCGGTATCGGTTCTCACACCGATATCCAGTGTGTCACCCTGCTGTGGCAGGATATGTCCGGTGGCCTGCAGGTACTCTCTGCCGATGACGAATGGCTCGATGCCAGACCCATAGAGGGAACATTGGTTGTGAACATTGGGGACTTTCTGCAACGACTGTCGAACAATACGTTCAAATCTACCGTTCATCGTGTCTATAACAGGAAGAGCACCTCACGGTATGCGATGCCGTTCTTCCTTGGCTTTAATCCGGAGTCGGTCTGTGAGGTTGTGCCGACGTGCATTGATCAGGAGCATCCTGCTTTATACGAGCCTATTTCATGTGGGGAGGTATGTACTCTTTCCCTCTGCCTTGGAATCTATAGCGCTGACTCTGGTTCAGTGGCATCATAGACGACTTGCACTGGCGGAAAAGAATGCTGCGGCTGCCTGAGCACTTATAAACCTGCTAGCCATCAATGGATGGACCAGTCTGATCCAGATTTGTATGTAGTCACCGTATGAAGGAACAGTTCTGCGAAACACTAATATATCGATTGATATCAGCGTCAATCCTGTCCATGTTATAGGACGCCAAGCACTGGATGATGGTGCGTAACTCCGTAGCTTTGACACTAGGTAACCATCGAAAACGAGAGCAAGAAAAAAAAAATAACGAGACTCCAATCCGTAAATGCAACGTATATGCTAATAGTCAAATATGCAACGGCTCCCTAACCCGCATCAGTCATATGCCACGGCATGAAAATCATAACGATTCGACCCAGCTAGCTAGCTCCAGTCGACTGAGAATATAAGCAGCTATAGAACCGGGGCCTCCCAGAATTCACGCTTGATTTTCATCACAGCGGCTTGCTTATGCGGAAAGCTAACCTCGCCTTTCTTGTAGAAGCCTGCTTTTTGGAGGTAGTCGATGATCCTATCATGTGTTAGTCAATCTCTCTCTCGGAATATCTATGGACTGCATACTTTTCATTATCTACTCGGGGCTCCAGATACACTGCCTGTGTCCGGAGATCCGAAAGGAAGCAATGATGCACCAATGCACTTATCCAGATGGCTACTCGATGTGGGCCTCTGAATTCCTGCTCTCCTACGAGCACATGGATTCCCCGGTCGTAATCGTCGACTTTCCCTCCCAGATATCGCCCCAGTTTGTCTTCTTTCACCCAGTAGATCTCAAAGTACCCAAACGGACGACCGTTCCAGCACCCGATGGCCGGAAAGCTGTGGCGACTGGTAAGGTTCTGGCGCAGAAACTCTTCTTGCTTGGACAGTGGACCTGCTTCGCCCCAAGCGGCATCCACGCGGGGATCGTTCATCCACTTATGCAATAGTTCCAGATCCGACGGCATGTTGGCAAAGAGTCGTTCTTGTAAACTTGCAATGGACGCGCTATGGGCGTGCGAGGAGACCGATCCCGCTGGGTTGGATTTCGGAGACGGCAGAAACGGTACGCGGAATGAAATGTACTGGTCCACGCTGGGTACGTACCGGATGTAGAACACCTGACCCTGCCGAGGGGGCTTCGGACGGATCGGATGCCGGACTCCGTCTGTGAAGGTGTATTGAGGCGGTGCGGGTGGAAAGTAGGTCGGAAGATGGCTGCCAGAGGTGAAAGGACCGGTTGCTGCATGGTACAAGATGCACTCACCCAGGGTCATGGTCGTCGACTCCCGCAAAGTGGGAGACGATCGTCCTGACGACAGCAACTGGGAGAACTGGGCAGAGTTGGGAGACAGGGTGAACAGGAAAATGCGCGGATCAAGCTGCCAGAAACTCCGCCGACTCGCAAACATCGTGGACCAGTCCGAGGCCTCAGAAACGGGATCCAGCCCGACAGAGGAATCCTCGCTGGCGATCAGGCCCATCCGTTCCAGTTTCTGCATCAGATTCCGCCCCTTGAATATCCCCTCCCGTTTGATGTTGATGCGCCAGTCTCCCTTGGGCTTTCCCGACAGCGGTGTCTTCGACGAGGCATCTGTCCGCAGGTGGCGATCAGGCTCTGGTTCGTGAAAGTACCACCACAGGGTGGCCCAGAGCATCATGGCTATCTGACGGGACGGCGAGCTGGGAGGCTTGAAGTCGGTGCTAGGCGGATTGACAATGTAGGATATGTAGAGACAGTCATCCTGCAAAGTCGGTCGCGTGTAACGCGTCACCTCCCAGGGCTCCTGGTGATCGCCAAGGTTGCCTGATTGCTTGTGCTCCGCCGTCGACGCCGCATTGTTCGCATCCGGTTGACTGTTTTCGCTGGCGGATTGATGAGTGTAGATGACGATGGTCCAGCCGGGAGGGAAGGCCGAATGGTGCAGGTTCATATCGTTCGATTTGAAGGTAACCCCGCCAAAGACGGGGGCCACAGTGAAGGTCTGGCCATTGGGAAGATGGCAGGTTGTGGATGGCATCGTGGACGATGCAGAGATTGACGGAGAAAGGACAGAAAGAAGCAAAAGAGGGGAGATACGACACAGGAAAAAAGATGGAGCGGTCTGCTAAATAGTTAGTATATGCCCCTTGTCGCAGAATCGCCTTTCGTTGGCCACTCTCATGCAGAATGCCAGAATCGCAGGAAAAGAACACATCGATCAACCCCATCAGGCCATCTTCAGCATCGCAATCCCTCGCGTTCGATGCTTGTTCTTGGTGGCTCTCCGGATGACATCAAGCAATATCAAGCCGGCTTTCCTTCGGCGACGTCCCGCCACGGTCCACGGTCCACGGTACCACCGTCGATAAACGCCCAGAATCTTGGCGACGGCTCTCATATCCCTTGGAGGCCAGTGCTGGAAGCTTGGACGGAGTCTGTTCTCGCAAAACGCATCTAATTAGAAGTCGGTTGATGGAGAGAGCTTCCTGCATGGTCATCTCAGCTTACAGCGTCCTGAATGGAAGTCGACTCCAGGATCTCCCAGTTTTCCATCAGATGAGATCCACGTTCAATTTATTTTGCCAAAACGAATGGCCTGGTCCACAGAGAGACTTCGGAGGCATATAGGGAACGCAGGCAGATGCAGTGCATTGCAGCGTACAGACGGCACGATGCATACCCAAACCCCTATAGGAATCTCCTCCGGTCTTTCCTGTCAAACAGATACTTGGCAGTGGATGGATTCTGTTTGTTGCTGACATTGAGCCAGTTTTCTTCTTTTCTCACAGCTTAGACTTCGGGTTATATATTGAAGACCTTGGCTGGACATCTACGGCAAATCGTACTCGGTTATTCGCCCAGAGCAGTGCACTTTTGAAGGCGGATTCTCAGAATTATTGGCGCTACGTTATGTTTAAAAGAATTATACATTGCCTGGCTGCATCCTGTTTATTCCTCCGTGCACCTTCGATTTCCTGAACGTACTGCACTTAACGTCTTAATATACGCCCTTCCCCCCTTGATAGGGCTGCTATATGGCATCTTCTATCCACCATGGTTTACTCCGTATCCCCACATAGGTCTTATGCGTAAGGACCATCGGAACCATGATGGTTATACCCCGAACCATTTGGTCGCCAGATCACTAAGAACGTGAATTGGATGAAGGGCATGATTCGTGATGAATTTCATCGGGAGAAAACGCAATAGCGGTGGGACTGTTGGTTTCTTATACCAAATTGCTACTATCCAGCATTACTCCTCTTTTTTAAAAAAAAGGGTACGAAGGTCATATTCCTTTTACGAACTTCTATCCAGCGTACGTGCTGAAGCATATTCTAACTTCTAATCGCAAATAACTCGATAGGACGGCTTAGCGATCTACAGCGATATACAATTGTTTTCAGTGACGGCGACTGCAAAAAGACCGACACTAGATAGCGGTACTTATTCATGAAATCGGCGAGTACGAGTCATCTAGGAGAGCAAGAGAAATACCGACAAGTCTTGGTGTAGTATGAATGCTGATTCTGGTCTGCAATAGAAAAGACGCACAGGACCGGCATTCAACTACCCAGTCCCTAGCTGTCGACTTTAAAAGGCAGAGGGGATAGACAATCTGTTCGATCAATTCGAACCGAGGAGAAAAAAAAAACACAAGTCAAGTACGCAAGCTTCCTGGAAGTCCGGTGTGTCGCGAAGACTGGGATAGATGCCTTTCCACCGCCTGCTACTGTGATGACTTGGACATGACTTCTTCCTGGGATGTCATCGACATGCGCTACGAATATGCTAGAACATGCTTTTCCTTCCATGAACTATACGCTGTACCAACCTCGTCCATGAACCCAGTCAATTCAAGAATCACGGCCAGCTAAGAATGAAACAACGCTCTACTAGTCATACAGACGCGTTAGAAATCAATTTCCTTCTCCCTAAAAGTCTGCAATTAGAGTCCCAACCCCCCTCTGTCCTGCAAGTGCCACCAAACCTCCCCCGGCGACCACGTCCATCAACCCCAAACCGACGCTTTTGTAGATTACATTCCCCTTCTGAATCCACTTCAGCAGATTCTTCTCTTCCCTCCCTCTGGGCGTGTCAGGATCATCCGTAGTCGGATCACCACGCTGTGCATCCCGGACCATCATCAACTCGCCCAGCTCGACGACCTGGTGCGGTTTAATGTCCGCCTGGATGATCTCACCGGCCTCCTTCATCGCTGCCCCCAAACTATCCACGACCACGACACCCGAGGGTGTGGTATGGTGATGGAAGTGCCTATGTGGAGGCGGCACCGTCACCTCATCCTTAAGAATCTCCGGATGCAATTCGGCCATGTGCGGTTTGTAGGAGCCGACGGCACTGATGAAACGGCCTTTCCGGCGACCCTCTTTGGACGTCAACAGTTCATGCGGAAACAAGGGCTCGATGGATGGTGTGCAACAAAAGATAGCGTCAGATTTGCGGACAGCTTGCGTAAGGATACGTTGGTACTCGATAAAATCGTTGCTGAGAGCCGTGAATTTAACGTCACCTCTCCAGCTGCTGTTTTCTGGTGAGTAGATATCTCTAAGCAAGGCCACCGCCCGCTCGAAGGACCGGTTAAAAATGTAGACCCGTTTGATGTCCGAGCCCCGCAAAATCAAAGCAAGTCGGATGTGCCAGTATGCCTGCCTCCCGGCGCCGAAGACAGTGATAGTACGGACGCGATTGCGCTTTCTGAAAAGGAGTAGTGCGGCCAATGCGGTGCGAAATGCCGTCAATTCTTGGGCGTTGATCAACCCAAACGGTAGTCCCTCTGTGTCCAAAAGCATTACGCTGCCCTTCGGGGAGGTGTCTCGGGATCCTGCACTCGGCCACGCCCCCATCGTCTCAGATAGACCCCGGTCATTTACCGAGGCCGATGGAAGAAACGAGGAGCGGTCATTCGATTCATCTATCGAAGTGGAAGATTCATCGCTCTGAGATGATGATAAGGATGTCGTTGAATCCCTCGGACCCGATCGAGCACGGTGTCCGTCTACGGCGCCAGCCATCTCGGATGAGTCAAGCCCAGATTCCACAGCACTCCCGGCGGCATCTCCATCCTCCAGCGAAATCATCTTGATTCCCAATGTCTGGCCGGTGGTGGCCGGCATGAAGAGTGTGGTGCAGCCATTCTGCCGTGTGATAGCCGTCCGACGAGGCTGGTACGAGGCTGAGCAACCCTGATCTTGGCTGCCAGTGGAGTATTCGCGCAGAGCTTCCGCTATATTCTGCTGTATCGAAACAATTTCATCGGCAGTCAACGACAGTAGCAGCGAGTGGAGCTGAGAGTGGGAGAGGACGGTGAGGGGCATTGTCGGCGAGGGGCAATGAAGGAACGGTCGTAGTAGGAGTAGAGTAGTGGCGTAACAATACAATGCTGTCTGTAGGAAATAGATACGATTCAGGCAAAGAATAATTAATGAAACCAAAATGAATTGAGGAAAAGGAAGAGAAGTTGGAGACACACAGTACAAAGAAGTAGGACTGCGGCGGACGTTGTCGGTTTAAAAGACGTCAGACGACGCACAGAGAGAAGGAGCGCTCCAAGTAACGAGATGGGGATCAGAGATAGCCAGGACGCAACGCCCAGAGATAATAATTAAACGGGGATCGAGGTTCAGATTGCGAGTCTCTGGACAAGACCATCACAGTTGGGGGGGTGAAGTCTTGTCCCTGACGAGTTCGGCCTGTGGCAGAACTTGGTACTTCTCGACTTCGCACCGACTGGAACTCGCGAGGCCTGAAGGCAATCGGGCCTCTCGCCAGTCTCGTTTGCTACACGCGGCATGGAGGAGCATGGATGCTTTGCTGCAGTCGGCTGCGATGCAGCGCGCATTACGCGGAGTTTAGAAGGCGAGGCGATCGGGCCTCCGAGGATTACGTAGGTGTCATCAAGAGACGAGAAGCAATCCTTTTGGTTCAATCTGACTGCCAGAGAGGGAGAGAGACTACCATTCAACGGGTTTCATTGCGGAATCATTATCATAAGGCTGCACAAATACACCAAACTCCGTAAAGTCCATCATCACAGTCATTATCGATCAATAATACACATTAATATTCCCACATCTCACTGTCTTCCTTCACGAGGTCGTCTTCATTCAAGACCTTCAACCTGACTCCCTTGTCCTCCTTCTTTCGTTGCTTTTTTGTCACAATCCGACTGGGGGTAATGGGCGTCACGGGGGTGAAGGGTATGTACGGACTGTACGGTACAGGAATGCCAGTTCGTGGCCCGGCTACGAGGGTTGGCCGTTCCAGGATAGTTGTTTTCGTAGCCGGAGCACTCGGCGGGGGGTACACTTGACGAAAAGGCAAGGTGGACGTGGTGCTCCCATTATTACCTGTGTACACGTTCAACGGAGCAGGGACAGGACCTCTTTTGGTCTTTCCATGGCTAGCCTGTACTTGAGGTGCCGCCGGAAGAGCACGGGGTGTGTCACATCCCCGCAGAGTCAGCGGTATAGGTTCCTCATTATATTTCGAAGATGGCAATGGAGGCGAGATGGACAGCTCCTGGGCAGAGAGCTGTGGAGGAGGGCGAATCCCGTCGGACTCCACCGACGAGCGTGAAGTTGGACTGAAAAGGGAGAGAGGAGAGGACATCCCCTGCTTTTGATTATGCATGGAGAATGGGCCCCCTCGTTGAGATACTGGGGTATCGAAGGGGTTAGAAGGCTGGCTGCTGGGGTATTTGAACCCGTCAACGGAATCACCAATGCCAGCGGCTCTCTTCGTATCGTGTTCCATCACGGCAGCGTAGAGTTCCGCCATCTGCTCCTGAGCCCTTTTGCGATCGGCTGCGACGACCGAGTCATCGACGGTCACCTCGCTGACATTTGAAATGCGAGACTTGGATCCTTTGAAGCTACTCCAGGACCAGATGAGACTTCTGGGTGTTTCTGGAGACGATACCGTGCTATCGAGGCCACCAGCGGACTTCGACAACTTCATCATCGAGGTATAGTCGGACGAATTGATTCTTCTTCTTCGGAGACACCTTCCAACACTGAGAAGAAGAGCCAGGAGAACGGAGACGAAGAAAACGTATCCGCCTACAATGGCCCCAATCTGAGCGGCGAGAAGCGACCGGTCCACCGAATTATGCACAGGATCGCTTTCAGCGTTGACAGTAACAGTGAAAATGACGCAGAGGAGATAAAAGGAAATAAGGAAAGGAGATTGGAATAATGAGGGGTGGGTCGTCATAGTTCACAGAGGCCGGACAGCAGAGAGGACCCGGAGTTAAATAGGCGCAATCCTCAGCATTTGGGATGCCATACTGCCTCAAGCGAAGCAACTCTAAGCAGAAAAATGGAGTGTGCCTTCCCCTAGGGGCGGTAGTGCAGTGAATATAAGCAATCACAGACTATGGAGATGTGACCGAGGAGTGGAGATGAGTTTCGAATCGAATGACAGCACGGGTGATTGTGACATTGTGAGATATCAAGCAGAAGAATATTAAAACTGGTGGATGGCTGGCAACGTGCATTCTGCAAGCCCCGAGGAACCTCGTGGTCAGCGATGCCGTTGGTTGTTTAAGCGCCCGTCTTGCAGGATGAGGCACATCTCTCGGGTTGACTCGTCCAGTAAAGGTCTGCACACGTCACATTTTCTTGACGATTGACACTCTCACAGCCAATAATTTGGTTTTGTCGCGAACGCTCCGTGGTTAACTGGCTTTGAGTTGCGTCCAGCGTATGTCAGATCAAAGATGCCATGCGATGCAGTGTTCCCGCGCAGTGATACTCGTGGGGCACTTATTTTGAGGTCAAGGTGTCAAGGAACCGTTGCTCTTGCCGCTATTCTTTCATCAGAGATGTCTTGCCACCTTTGTTCTGCGGAAGGATGGAGGGATGGAAGGATGGATGGGTGTAAGTGTGCAGCACAGTAGTTGCGGCAGGCTTCTCTGCCTTAATGTCCACCATCGCGGCTCATCAAACCCGAACATTGTCCCTCGCTGAATCCAAAGTCTCTAGTATATCATTTATTTCGTCTCAACAATTCTTTAAACCCCCCCTCTCACAGACGGGACCTGTAATGGGCAACAAAATTTCTGCTATCAACGGTGTCCGCTCTCCTAACTACTTCAAGCCTGGGAACGCCATCAACGAGATCTGGCTGGGGAATTTGGAAGTCGTCTCCCGTTTACCCTTCGGTGACTCCGATATGGCGCAGGCCGGATGGCCAGCGGGCGAATGGCCGAAGATACCGTGGCATCAGTTCATCATCCCTTTGAAACGGAGGAGCATTGAGGAATCCACATCAATAACGGATGCGCATAAGCACGAGCTGCTGAATAGCACGGCGCATGCAGAACGGGAATTTCATATTCAGAATCCGGGATTAAGCCTGGGCAATCCTTTCACTGGTCTTTCGACCCGTGCTTCGCTTGCCGCGGTAGTGTTCTTCCTATTCGCTGCATTCTGGGCATACGTAGTCTCTGCGGCGGCGAGAGACCGGTCACAGCGATACCTTCAGTCGATAGCCGAGTCCCGGGAAAAGCCTGTGTCTTGCATAGAGAGGAATGAGTTGAAGGGCAGGCTGAACAGTTGGTACAGGATCCACATGCGCATCGCCATCTATTCCTTTCTTACGGCACTGTTAGCCATCGTGCTGGATACCAGCGCCATAATTGTCCTTATACGCAATTTGGAGAGGAATCATCGAAGCCCCTGCCTAAAACTTTCGTCCTTCGTGCTCGTGTGGATCTGGGCGATTTGGATAGCGCAACTTTTCTGTTCTTCTACTCAGGCTGTCGCTTCCGTATGGCTCAATTGGAGAAAGGCAACGAGGAGTTGTGACAGCGATGAAGAATCCGCGATCTGAACGTCCTTGGGCGCCCTGGGGCGCTCCGGGGCTGGATCTGCAATTCCCCTTATTCCATATCTATGCCGCTGAATAGACATACCACCAGCGTCACAAATAACCTCTTGCGGCCAGCTATCATGTCGTACCAAAGAGAGAAGCAGGAATACACGGTGTTTTCAATCGGCATCTGGTATTGTTATCCATATTTGCAGTTTGTTCCAGACGCTCGTTAGATACCCTCTCCATGGGCATGGGTTCTAGGTCTAATGTTATATCTTTTAGCGCAGGCTAGGAAAAGGCTTGTCTTTTAGTTAGTGATGAATACAGATCATTCTGGCAAATAATTGGAGGCCAAAATAGAAAACCGTAGAGACGAATCCAGTTTTCTGGGTCAAATCGTATGCCAGTAACACATTACATCACCTAATTCTTATTATCTCGCCTGCGAGTCATCCTTCCTCGAAAATAAATCTCTCCAGAATTCCTTAAACCCATATGACTTAGACTTATCTTCGTCATAAACTCGCGCCGTCCCTGCCATGCCGAAGGTATTCAACAACCCCGGCGATCGCGGCTGTATAGTTGACACCGGACTTCGTGCTCGTTCTGTAGCCCTCCGTTTGATCTCATCTGCCAGAGACGGCGCCACGTCTGCGTAGCAGGATGCCAGTTCTCGGTCCAGACTGAGGTATGGTTTCTGGGCGACTTGAGGGGCTTGGAGATTGTACGAGCGGGTAAGGGAGTTGAGCTCTTTGATTGCTAGCTCATGGTAGGAGCGTTCTGTGGATATATAATCTGGGTCCCGAAGAGGTGGGAGGTAAGGGATGGAGTCAGATGCGGATTGCATCTCGGACTGTGTCTCTTGCGGCCCATGAACGAGACGATCTTCATCATTCAACTGGGTCGCGGATTGAGGTTCCGCCACCATATCAGAGTCGCCTTGAAACGACGCTTCGGTCTTTGCCCTCTCTGCTAGTCTTGCTTCAGCAGCGGCATGGCCACGAGCCCGTCTCATCTGCGTCTCCAATGACCCTCCCTTGCTAGCGATAAGTCTCGCTGCGTGCCGTCGCCAATCACTCCGCAGTCTTTGTCGGAATCTCTCGACTTCCCTGCTAAGCTCCTGCTGCTTTTCAATCCATGGTGGCATGATATCCTGTCTCTTAATCATTTTATTCATAAGATACTCGGTTGTATCGATAAAAGCATTATTTGCATTGTGATCGGCCTCGACATTCACACCTTTCCCTCTTGGAATGCCTTTGAAGTGACCGCTCGCAATGGCATCCTCGATCCGTTCATTGGCAAGTGATGCCAGACCCTGTATCGACATTGGCATCGCTCTGAACCCAGGCGTAAAGCGGTCTTGCATCTCCCGCCGCAACGCATTTCGTTCTTCCTCAGAAATTCCGGAATTCTGGCTCTGGGTATAGACTGATGTTTTCTCTTTGGCCCTCGCGATACGGAGTCCAGGTGATTTGGGGGGTTTCGGGGATAACTGGAACTTGACGGGGAGGGTAGGGGGCTGGGGAATCTTGTACGGCGCGCGAAGAGGCTTGCTGCTGTCGTTAAGCATACGTAGAGCCGAATCATGGAGACTTTCTGTGCCTGTCCATGCGGTGGCGGCTGCCGTATCTCGAGTACCCTGTCCTGCGCTTGACTACGTTCAAGGATCAAGAGTCAATTAACAGCTTGGTGCGAGTCCACGATTGCGTTTGGCATACCGGCATGTTGACAATAGAGTGAGCGGCTGCATATTCACTTTTAAAAGAGCTTGTTATGATTCTTTCCTCGAGTTGCTTTTTTAACTCTTCTGAGAAGCCTATATGTTCCAAGTTTCGCCGCGTAGATCGTCCTCCTCCCAGCAAGGACTGTTCGGTCATTTCAGACAGTCGCCGCGACATTGCGCCCTCCTCCTCTGGCTCTCGTGTCGAGTCCGGTGATCTTGACCCATCGTCATTGTCGGTATTTGGCACTGCAGTTGCCAAGCTCTGTCTCTCTGTAGAAAAGTGCCTAGAGGTAGCATGGTGAGAAGTTATCACTACCGGCACCGAGGCCGCATGTCGAGAATAAATGCTCAAATTAACAAGTCGCGCGTGCTTCCCGCACATAACTGCCGTTCAAAATACTGTAGAACACGATTCTGTCAATGACACTAGAGTCAGGCCAAGGTCTTTCTTGATGACTTGAAGATATAGCTAACTAGTTAGTTAACTAGGTTTGGTATACTTATGTCAGCCACTTCCGCGGAGTTTTCGGTCGAAGTCTTGGCATCTCCGGACTGCATTCGCCTGGGCTGCTTTTTCCTCCTGGACTCAGCACGGTTTGAACAGACGAAGATACTCAGCCACATTCTGAAGAGTTGAGACAAATTCTGCGAGCTACTGCTGCACCCGTCACCATGCCTGCCAAAGGAGCCCCAACCCGTCTCAACCCTATCCGTCTACAAACTATCCCTCATCTCCGAGTTCGTCGCCCAAATGTACAAGAGAGGAATCCGTGCGTGGTGGTTATGTCTTCGGTTCTGAGTAAGTAATTTACAATTAAGAAGAAAAAATCGATTTTTGGGTGGATTGGGTTTCTAATTCGTTGATAACCGTCTAGGTTGTTGGGCTTCTTCCGGGTACACTGCGGAGGGGTGTGCAGCTCTTGAGCAGCAATTGAGACAATGCATGGACGCACCGGTACGATATTATTTATTTCTCTCTGGCTGATTCAATGTGTTTATTTCTGTTTTTGTCATTCTTCAGTTCCAACCAGCTAATGAATTGCCTTTCTTTGAAATACAGAAACCGAAGACTACCAAGAAGAACACCATCAATTACCATCTCATGAGAATGTTCCCGAAGGTCGTCGGTCCCCAGAAGAGAGAAGGTCGTCTTGGCTAGATGCTTCGACTTTGTATCCTTTTCTTCTTCTCTTGCGTCGTTCTAGTTCATCGAATTCGCCAATCGGTGGCCCTCCCCTCTTGGGCGCCCTTCATTAGCGGCTAGCCCTGTCGTTACGGGCTAGATAATTATAGCTGGAGTTTACGGACAATGGACTCTTCTTATGAAAAAGCTGGAGGCAGCGAAACTCGAACTTTTCCTTTTTTCTCATTCCAGGAGGGAAACGTGGGAGTTCACACTTATCGTCACCATCATGTACATTACTATGTTTCTTGCACGGATAACCCATCGATCTGATATACAGTGAACATTTTCCATTTAAGTGTTGCTGTATATTCTATATTTCCTCATTCTATCAATGTTTTTAGATGAGTATTTTATATACAAACTGCACCGGTTCCTATTGAACGGCTTCGAACCTGAGGATCAATTTCTCTCCCCTCGGCTTCACTGTATAAGCATCGATAGCCTCCATATTCTCATCATCAACAATGGAAGTAGTAAAATTGGTATACACAGCCGCAACTACGAGTTTCATTTCTGCAGCGAATCGCTCTTAGTAAACAGAACTCGAAAGGGGGTATTGATATAGATAAAATCATACCTTGTAGTGCTAGATTGCTTCCTACACACATCCTCCCACCGCTCCCAAAGGCCCAGAACCAACGCCGCATTTCTTCTAGATTGGAACTGGTATTTTCATTGCCATCCTTGAGCCATCGCTTCGGTTGCCAGGTTAATGGCTCGGGAAAGACCTCAGGGTTCCGGTGCAAGGAGTATGCCTGCGCATTCACCCTTGTATTGGGAGGTATGTCTGTATATCCCACCAAAGTACAGGATGGATACGGGGTTACTCGAGGTTGTATGCCGGGGATCGGGGCATGAAGGCGCAAAGTCTCTGTTACAATTGCTTCAAGCAGGGGTAACCTGTCAATAGACTTGGGTGTTGGTAGTTCGTGAGGCGTCGATGGGCCAGAGTAGATAAGTGGGGGGTCTAAAATCATCAGTTCCTTACGAAGTTCCCTCTGCAGCTCGGTATGTTTCGAAAGCTCCCAGAACAGATACGTTAGGGCGACGGCGCTGGTCTCGTGGCCAGCGGTGAGGTGATCGTACATCTCGCAAGCAATATCAAGTCTCTGTTGCTCGAGAGCATTTGCGTCGGACTCTGGATCATTGCCTTCTGCTGTGGACCTTTTCGAAATGCTTTGCTTCAACTGCTTATACACAACTGGTTCCACGCCGGGTTGTGTAGACGTAACGGACTGCTCCGCTTTGTCGCACAGCTCCAGGCCCCAAGTGTCAAGCACTGAATTTGCAAAATCACACCATTTCGGGATCAATCGAATCCCCACGGCCCTTGCCCATGAAAGCAGTTTCGGGACTTCCTGGTGGTAAAACTCAAACGGTTTTCTGCACTGATAGAGCTGAAGCATCCTGCGCCGGAAGTCATTATCCTGTAGGAAGTTGGTTCCATTCGCCAGGCCAAAAAGATAAGCGGAGACGAAGTCCATGGTTAGACCTTGGTCTAGATCATGGATATCAATCGACGATTTCGAGGACGCCGCTTTCTGGATGATTGGGAGAAAACGGTCGAATACGACGGTACGCGATATCTCTCGTAAATGCGGCGATGATTGCAATACAGACTTGGAGTATATATTCGACAGCAGACGCTTGCGGGACGCGTGGGCTTTACTCCCAGTCATTGTGAACATACTAACCGTCCTGTATGAAAGACAGAATTGTATCGAGGTCAGCCATTGGAGTTGTGCCTCAGCTGGAAAAGGTGTTGAATGCCTCACTCACCCAAATGACCCAAACACCCGCGGATACCATTCATGCTTTTCGAATCCACCTGTGTATATGGTCTTGATTCCTCCATTGATGCAATTGATAGAGATCTCCGATGGTGCAAGTCGAATGATGGGGCCAAGTCTCTCATGAGCTGCGTGTATCGTTCTGTTATTTCGGCCTCTGAATCGCACCCAGAGAATCCATGCAGGACAAATAGGCACCGTCCAATGTGCATTTGGGATTTTGGCAAGAGGGGACAAAAATGCCGGATATATAATGGCTTTGTAGACAACAAAAAGAACGAGAGAAACGATGGGTAACGTCGTGAGGAAAGAGAGCGCCATTCTGAAATCATGAGGATGAGATCCGGCTAGAGAAGAAGGCAATTGATCATCTCTCTCGACAGAACCGGAGAAAATGGGATCTTTCAACGCAAGAATCGAGATGAGATGACTCTGGCCAAGAACCCCGCGGTTTGTAGATAAAGCCCGATGACATAATTCTTGATATTGATATGATTATTTTGTCGCCGCCGCAAATCATCGATCCTTCATCTTCCAAGCATCGAGGACACAAATCGCAATCCTAGCTGTTCTCCAGGATGTCGATTGCTTAGAGCTACAGCAGAGATCTGCGAATCAATATGGCCCTTCGCCAGAACGGATATTCATTTCAGTGCTGCTTTGAATCCTCCATGTGGATTTCAGTGGCCACAGAGACAGGACTGCGACGTGGACAGGTTAATAGTAAGAACTTGCTGTCGTGTCTGGTTTCTTTTATCTTTAGCTGCGGATTTGCGTGATGGTGTTTTTGAGGCTGCGGACTGACTATCTTCTATCTTAGCTTAGCAGAATACTCGTGTACATAAATGCACTGATACATTTTCAAGAAGCCAACCAAGATGATTTCCCAATTGCCTTCAGAGATCATATATCATATTGCAGCATACCTGCCAGCTCTGAGTACTTTGCTTTCGCTTGCACGAACCTGCCGCCGCCTTTATAAGATTATACTCGTCGAGGACTCGCATGTGTTTCGGCACTTTGTGAAGAACAACTTTCCATCTATTGAAACCCCAGCCTATTGGAAAGATGCGGCGGTGGCTCTCACCTCACGCTCTCGAGCCTTGGATAGGCATGCGTTGATTGGACGGTTCGTCGTTCCACCTCGAGATGCAGCTAAGGTTGGATCACATCAATCCACCAGGCGTGACAATCCTACCATTGGATATCGCCCGGCGATAGATTCATACGAAGTCTGGAATGGTGAGAAATGGGCAGATCGAAAAGAAGTACTTGCCTGGGGTGCTGGTGATGAAGTAATGATGCGGATCAAGCAGCTCGGTTCGCGCAAGCAGGAAAAGTGGCTCGTCTTCAACGATCTGGATCATATCAGTAGTTATGATGACATCTGCGGACTTCGCCTACTCAGGCCTGAGCAACACGGCAAAGAAGCTGATCGGGAGCATTTAATATTTGGCCGCATTCGCGGTGATCTTGTTCATATTGTGATTTCACCGGATGAGGCAACGTACGAATATAAGCAGAAGTTCGCGACCCACGGATTCAGCATCGATCGCATGGATCTCAGCCGGGGTTCGGAACCGGTACTCGCTGCTCATCTTGATAGTGACTCCATTGCATTGTATCACACGGCCTCGGAAGAGACGGAGGTGCAACCGTTTGTCCATATTCCCGTTGTCACAGCGGGGGCAACGCGCGCCAAATACTCTGGCTTTCTGTCATCTCACCGGCTAGCAGTGGGCACGGGAGGCTTGGGTAATTCCCTATCTGTCTTTACCATTCTTCCAGAAAGAGTGTCCATATGTCGTGAGATTGGAGTAGATGAGTTGGATATCGAAAACCGAAACGGTATCGCTCAGAAAGCCCATGTCACCGCAATCGCTCCTCTCAAAATGCAAGGTGTTGAGGAATCTTCGGGGGATGTATTTCTCGCAGGTTGGGGTGATCGCGAAGTCAGGTATGATCTGGATAATAAACTACTATTTCCCAAAGCGAGCAGTACCTGTTGACCATACTTCTGTTATAGACTCCATGATCTCCGCTCGAACAGGCCATACGAATCAACATACAGAGACTCAACGGATGACAACCCGGTATACAGCATCCAGCCATTCAGCCAGGACCGCTTCCTTGTCGGGGTTGGAGCAGACGCAGTGCTAAAGATATTCGACCTCCGAATGCAAAGCAATTACAGTTACCTAAATGCAAAGATTCCTCATGCTCGAAATAGCACCAAACCCGATGCCAACAGATACGACTCAACTGCTCCCTCAACCTATCTCCGTAAGGATTTCTCCCTCTTCCTTTCGCACCGACCCCCAAAAGTCGTCAGCAATGGCCGTCGACATTTCAACTCAACCCGTTCCTACCGCGGCGCAATATACGCCCTATCAACACCATCCCCATCATCTCCGACTGTCTACGCGGGGATTTCGGACGGTGTCTTCCGTCTCGACTTCGCATCTACAGATGATTTAACCGGATCTTGTCGCAGCTGGTTTGACGAGATTCTTTCGTTGGATATCAACATGGACGGCAAGTCTAGAGATAGGGTCCTTGAAATGTCGGGGTATGAAAGACCGGATCCCGATGATTTCACGACCGTCTCGAGGTTGAGGACCCAGAGGCCATTCTGGTCCCTGGCGCTTGATGAGGAGGAATATAAATATGAACAGAGGACTGGTTGGGATAGGAGATGGATGTGACTGGACAAGAGACAATAATGCTAAATCGTCCATGATGCAGAATGGTCGGAATATCCGTAAGTAGATATCTAATATACTCCAGACCTAGGTGGCTAGTCTTGGGTATAGTTACGGAGTACATATAGATAGAATAATCACAACCTGCATTTACATACTGTTGGACCAGATAGACTGGATATAACTCCGTTCATTACTTTAATTGTGAAAAAGTGGAAAAGTTTTAAGAACTTTTAAAAAGAATGTATAATCTACTTTGACCAATAGCATAAGAAAGACACAGCAGCAAAACACAGGCAAAAGCAGCAATAAAAGAATATATTAAATCCCCATACTTTCTCCATCAGCGCCTTGCTTGTAAAGAAGAAGAATAACAGACGAGATCTAGCAACAAGTCTAGAATATTTTTAGACCTTGTAAGGTAATTCGAATAGACAACTGCGTGCAAAAAAAGCAGAATTGCACGCTTCAAAGCAAAATACAATTCTTTCTAATCGGCAAGGAGAGGCAATTAACGACTGGTCGCTTCTAATCTTCGAATTTAAAGGACTTTCCACCAGAGATATCAATGGGACCACCACGGTATGAGCCACGCTTCTTTTTGTTCTTCTCCTTGGTGAAGCCCTTACCACGAGTAACAGATAAGTCCTTGTACGCGCGTTCTGCATAGGCATAAGGTATGTAGGCGTTTGAAAAGTGATCGTGTGGCTGCTCGCTCAGAAGCGCTAGAGGCGTAGGGCGTGCACCAGTGTGCTTCTTGTTCGAGCCATTGCTCTTTCCAGGAGCTGGGCTGGCGCTTGATGACGGTGTTGCTTCTTTCTTTTGAGAAACAGACTTGCTGTTAGTCTCCTGCTGCGCATCAGAGTCAGAGGACTGAAGGGTGGCAGTTGTCTCGCTCGAGGACTTGCGGGAGATTGAGGGGCCGGATTTCTTCTCGTCTTCGGAAGAGCTGGACTCATCGGAAGAGCTGGATTCATCGGAAGACGAAGAGTCGGAAGATGAGTCGTCATCGCTAGAGCCAGAGCCAGAGTCTGATCCAGATGCAGATGAAGAGTCGGAGGATGAGGAGCCATCGTCGCTGTCGGAAGAAGAACCCGAGTCCGACTCCGAGTCAGAATCAGAGTCGGATTCGGAAGAATCGGAAGAAGACGACTGCTTGGACTTCGAGGAAATCCTTGCCTTCTTTGCCTTAGGAGCCTCATCTTCAGAATCGGACGATGATTCGGAGGAAGAAGAGCTAGATTCAGCCTTTCTCTTCACACCAGCTGTCTTACTGGCCGGTGCAGGCTCCTTCGGCTCGTCTTCGGCCTCATCGTCTGCATCGCTATCGGAGCTTGAACTTGAGGAAGATGACGACGGGGACGACTGCCTTGAGGTCCTCTTGTTCTTGGACGGTGACTTGGGGGCATCAGCCATTTCCGCATCGGACTCGCTGGATTCGTCAGAGCTGCTGCTGCTGCTGCTATCCGAGCTGCTGCTACTATCCGAGCTGCTGCTACTATCCGAGCTGCTGGAGCTCGCAGCCCGTTTTGTCTTCGAGGACGCCTTCTGACTCTCCCATGCCCGGAAAATGTCAAGCAAAGACGGAGCATTCTTCGTGTCTGGTTTGCTGGCCTGCTCTTCGATGAACACCTTGCTGGTAGCGGCGAAGCCATATTCAGACAGAAAGGTAGCAATTGAGGCGATAAGAGGAGAGGGAATAGATGCTGCGGGGCTTGTCTTGGGACTTGTCTGTTGGATAGGAAAACCGTCAGTGAGCGAATTGTCGACGACTAAAGCATTTATACTTTACCTTCTTCGCATCTCGAGATGAAGCAGTGGCACTCTTCACCTCAGTGGGTGACTTCTTAGATTTCTTCACAGCCATGATAATTGGTGATAGTCTTACTGCACGGCTCACAAAGGGACTTCTTCTCTTTGGAAGCTGGAGAAACGCAAAGGAAATTTTTTTTTTTTTTTTTCAAAAAAAGCGGAACGACGACACAAGGCGGTGTACCAGGTTTGTTCTCTTATTGGACAGGTCTATTCAGTATGTGTTGACCACGTGATATGTGCTTTAACGCTATCCGAAATAGGTATAAAGTACAGGCCTACCTTATGTTGGATCACGTGTGATTCTGCTGCGTAGGTCCGCCATCGCTGACCTTTTCCACCACGGCCCGGCCTAACTAGCTAGTAACCAACCAACATATGCCTCCATTGCCTTAAAGATGCAATCACATGACACTATAGTATGTGGGCCGTATGTACTCTGTATTCGCTGCCTAACAAGCTACTACGACTGTTACTCAGGTCAACAGCTCTTGATCCAAGTACTGCTATGACAAATCCAATCCTCTGGCTACTAACTAACTATATCTTAGGTATAGAGAAACACAATCCTCCAACCAAAGCTCACTCTTTTCCCTCTTGAATTCGAACAAATTCAAACCGACAGGCAACACATGTAGACTAAGCCAACTCTCACTCGTTAGCTCCTCTTATGACAGGCTAATTTAGTACTCCATATAAACGAAGCTTGAAGGTTCCTCAGAGTAGGTATACACATGTATGCCAGGACACATGAAGGTGAATAAGCTGCTCGCCAGGCTATACCGCATCAGGCAACTCGCCGCCGTCCATCGGGGCTCCCGTCGGCGGCCGATGAGCTAATTCGCTCCATCAACTCTCCTCACATCCCTTGCCGGCTTCAACTCTGCGACGTATCAGAATATATTTTCTCTATAAAGATCCTGTTTACGGTGCGCAAATATTCCCATTATTCGTGGCCGTTTTCGGTTCCCGACAATGTTCCAGTCGTCCCCTGGCCTCCTGAATTGAGTTACCTCCCCCCAAAATACCATCACCATCGACGGTCGTTGAACGTCAGGTAGCTTGTCTGCCAATATGCCGCTTCACGGGGAATCGCGCCGCGGTGGAGATATCCGTGATGGCTCGTTCGCAAGTGGTGGAGGTGGTCATATGTCGAGGGCTGAAAGGTTCGAGGACGAGAAGAGGAGGATTATGCGCAGCTGCTTTTCGAAGATGGATGGCGATGGCGTCGGTACGTACGCATTCATTTGCTACATATGCGTCCTTACAAGCCCAACCGACCCTCACTCCTGAGTTCCATTCAGCGTGTGTGCATCAATGACGGCCACACAAGTCTTTCTAGCGAGTCATGAGCAAGATTAGAATGCTTCCTGCCAGTTGTGGGTCGGATATCAAGAGCAAGAACCCGCTGACTTTTGCTCGTCATGTAGCAGTCGAGTCCTATATCACACATGTACGCGTCACTGAGGATGCTGCATTTCCGTCCTCTCCTCCTCCGCCCAACTCGCCGCCTGAAAACAAAAAACGTCGTGTTATTATGATTGCTGTAAGAAGGACGGGCAGGGTGCGCATGCACAAAGCTAGGGAGAACGGCGATGGAACATTTTCCATTGGGAAAACTTGGGTGCTTGACGACTTGACCGCAATCCAAGCGTATGACGCCTTCGTCCCACGGTCGCAAGCGGAACAGCAACATAAAGAATGGGCCTCGAATGTCGGGTTTATAGTTACCCTTGGGAAGTCTTACTACTGGCAAACATCCACTGCCAAGGAGAAAAACTTCTTTATTTCTAGTCTCGTGAGAGTCTACAAGAAATACACCGGCGGCAAGGTCCCGACATTGATAGGCTTGGATGATCGTGAATTGCAGCAAGTAACTGGATATGGCCGCCCAGGTCAAGTGGACGCCCCGCAAATTCCCCCGCGTGCCCCAGTCTCGCAACCGTCTCGACTTCCCCATCGGCCTCAATCTCCATCTGCAAACCGTATGCCTAGTCAGGATGCTCTGCGAGAAACAAGAAGACGACCGCCGGAGGATCCGGCTTTACGGTTTCAAAGAAGTCGGGACCAAATACAACGGCCTTCTACCGGTCAGTCGGCAAAGGCAGTTCCTCCTCCGTTTGGGTCTCAGCAAACTCCGCCGACTCCTCCCCTGGATACGCGAGCTTCGCCACAGTCTCGTCCAAGTGAGCGTCTTGGAGAAAACAGAGGGCCTAAGATTCCGTCAATGCCATTTGAGTCAAAAACTTCCAACCCAACCGGGGCTCCTGGTCCAATACAAAAGCAGAGGCTTTATGGTGACCTTGGAAATGATAGCCAATCTAGTTTCAGGTCCTTCTCTTCACGGGATGGAAGGAGCGTGCCGGAGTCACGTTCTGCTGTCCGGGGCCAAGACCTAGCCCCAAGTTCTCCGGAGCTTCAGCGTAGTAAGGATGGCCTTCGACCAAGTACTCCTGGGTCGAATTCCGTTGAAAATCAGCAAATTGTACCGAGTCCGGTGGCTAGCTTGGGACAGAAGTCTCTTAATGAGAGTGCTGAGAAATTATCTATCTCCGAATCCCTAGGAAAATCTCGAGATGGTGATACATTGAACGGCTCAGCTAACGGGGACTCTGTCATCCTGCCCCCTGCCCTCCGGCCGGGTCCTTCAAAAAGTATCATTCGTCCAGTTCCATTGCCTGCCTCGGAGACACCTGAAGACGTGAGACCGTCCACACCCAATCTTGACAAATCTGCTGCTGAAGCTCCAATGACCTCCCCACCGGCCAGCTCACCCTCGGCCCCACCATCAGAGCCTGCAGAAGAGGACAAAGATGCCCATCGTCCTGGTCTCGGGCCAATGGTGAAGAAAAAATCAGGTAAAGATATCGCGGGTGCTTTCCGGAAAGCTGCTACTGCATATGGGGCGTTTAAACCAAGACCAGGAGGCGCTGGGGAGAGGCTACTAGCAGCAGCGGCTAAAGCAAAAATCAACACAGACGAACCGGACGGAATCACTGGTGTCGTGCCTGCGCCATCTCTTCGCGCGATGAATGAGCCAAGGAGCCCGTTTCCGGAAACACCAATCAATGACAAACCATTCCATTTCCCAAGCTCAGTAAAAGAACCACCAACCCTCGAAATCACACAGGCTCCTACTGAAGATGGCGCTGTTGATGCTGCTGGGGTGCAGGTTAATGAAGAAGCAAAAACAACCCCGAACGGTGTTCCAGATGACAGATCAGCAAGGTCACGATCCGTGTCGCCATCTGCTAGTGGAGCTCGGCGCAGGCGCCGGGAAGATGACACGGCGAAATATTGCGAGGCACTTGGAATTGATCCCGGGATCCTTGACGGGCGTGGTGTTGACTTCGATGATACGTTGACGAGCCTCGGCTGGAATGGGCGATTAGATGATGACAAAAGAATCGAAGACCTCGAGGCAGACGTCCGCCGAGAGATTGGCCGAGTGGAAGCTACCAGCTGGTTAGGAAACCTTGAGCAGCAGGAAGGAAAGGTCGATCACCTTGCAAGATTGATTGATAAGACAATTGAAGAATGTGAGGAGCTAGATGGCCTTCTAACTCTATACTCACACGAACTCAATGTAGGCTTTCGACGGATTTGGATTTGTAAGTGGAATCAGCTTGCTAATGTGTGTACAGACGCTCCATGATGATGTAGCTTTCATTGAAGCTCAGTCGCAGGGTCTACAAGTGCAGACTGCCAACCAGAAGCTCCTTCATAATGAGCTCCAAAATCTGCTGAACACACTATCGATCTCCCCATCCTACCTACAGCCATTAAGGGAAGCCTCACTCAGCAACTGTGATGGGCTGAAAGAGACTGAAGCTGTGTTGTCAACGTTGTACAAAGCAATGTTGATGATTGACTCTGACATCTGGCAAAATAAGAAACGGCTAGTCGATGCCGCCGGGGAACACTCCAGTGTGGGTGTGTATGCTGACACCGAAATTGGACAGATGCGCGCAATCAAGGAGAAAAAAGAAGAGTATCGTTCTGAAGCTCGGCTGTTCTTGCAGCGGCTGAAGCAGTTTATGGTTGTTGCGTTCAAAATTGCAGAACAGAAAATGCTCGATGCTGTAGCCAATAGCAAGAAGGATCCCATGAAGCTCGACTCTGCAACTCGCAACTTCTACCGTCAGGAGTTATGGATGTATAATCCCTTGATGTTGTTTGCCCGCGAAGTCAGCATGACCGAATGGCATGGCCTCATCAGTTTATATGAACAGCAAGCGCGAAGACCTTACCAAAATGACTTCCGTGAGAATAACTTTGCGTGGAGAAGAGCGGCGAGGCAGCACACCAGTGACGAACATGAAATCTTATTTACCCACCCAGAGAAAGAGAAGGAAAGTGAGAGCATTGCCATGGCAGCCCGTAAACTAACGGTGAGACGTGGCAAGACTGTCAAGGCCACAGCACCTCTACGACTCGCATCTAGCGAGACGCGCAGTGGAAAACTAGAACCTTTTGAAGCATTCGCGGGGACCTTGGAACAAACTCTGAATATGATATCCGACGAGCAGGATTTCGTTATTCAATTTTTCCACTTGAACTCTGTCTCCAACGCCGACTTTCCCGATCTCGTGGCAGCTGCCACACCTGAGGACCGTATACGTCCGGATTTCTCGCTTAAAGAATCTCATGATCCTGATCGAGCGATGGCGAAGAAAGTAGAGGCCGTTATGGATGAGCTCTATTCATTTTGGTCGACCGATATGGAAAATCTCGTGGATTGGGCTACGAAAACTGATCCACTGTAAGTCCAGATAGTCAAACCTCCGATATGCTGTAGAGCTTCGGGCGCTAACTTTGTCACAGGCAAGCTGTTGGTATCTTATACGCCATTGAAAAGGCCATTTCGGATTTCGAGGAAACAAACCAAGACTTCATCATCCATTCACTCCAGAAACTCCACTCGCGCCTGGTAGGCATCTTCAATCGGTTTATTGATGAACAGATCCGTGGAATCGAAGAGACCAAGGTGAAGGTCAACAAGAGGAGGGGAGTCATTTCATTTATGCGCGTGTTTCCTCATTTCTCTGCGGCTGTGGAGAGCATGATTTCTCATTCTTCCGACGACTATTTCGATGTCCGACTTAGTGTCAATGGGGCGTACAACAGAATTAATCGGGCCATGTGGGAATCGCTAAAGTTCATAGCCAAGGAGGCTCCCGGTCAGCACTCCAGTGCTGCTACGGCGGGTGGCGATCCAGAGGATAAGGAAATATTGAACTACCACATCCTCATTATCGAGAATATGAATCATTACTTGGAAGAGGTGGACATCAAGGACAACCCTGTGCTGGAAAAGTGGCGGGACCGGGCACTGCAGGACCTGCAGGAGCACATGAAACTATATCTTGATGCAGTGATCCACCGACCGTTGGGCAAACTGCTGGACTTTATTGACTCAACGGAATCTCTGCTGACGAACGTGGCCGCGCCGGGTGACGTTTCTCACCGTGCTAGTCACTCGCGGTCCGTAGCCAAGAAAGTCCTGGCATCGTACGACGCGAAAGAAGTGCGACAGGGTGCACATCTACTGAAGAAACGCGTTGAGAAGCATTTCGGAGACGCTGATGATCCGGCGCTCAGCCGGAATTTGGTGGTGAAGGTACTGCAGGAGTGCGAAGCTCGCTACGAGGACGCTTACAACCGCACGCGGCGAATCATTGACACTGTCTATGAGGGCCAGTTGGAGCTGGAGTGGCGCCTGGAGGACGCTATCATGATGCTCAGAAGATGAGCAGTGTTGTGTTAGAAGCTGTGTTTTCAAGGACCTTTCTCCTATTTCCTGGTGCTGTCGAGTTTATCTAGGTCATCCATCTGGGGGCGCATACGGTGCATTTGAGTATTTAATTTGCATTTTGATATCAACCGGGCCTGCACACGCTGCAAAGTAGTTCAACTGTATGTAATTCACTGGATTACCGTATTGGGCAATCTGCGTAATTACGGGACCAACCGTAGTTCACACTCGATTTCAGGGGTCAAATTTAAAAATCGCAGCGGCTCGATCGCCGCCAAATCACCCCCGGAATTCTATGCAGATGTTATGCTGACAGCAGATAGAACAGTCAGGTTGCACATCCAGCTGTCAGTAGAGCATTCGCTGGTCCTAAGAGCACCGTAACCGTGTGCGCTGGCCAGATCGCCGTGGCCGAGGAGACTCGAGCGTCATGGAGCATTAGTTGTGTGACGAACTCCGGGGGACTCGAGCTGTTAATATAATTTCTTCCGGAGGAGACAATTATTTCCATTGTCCAGTTCCCATTCCATCGCTGAGCATACTCCCCTCAATCCTCCTGGGTCGGGCCCTGTCCCTCTCTCAGTCCCCTCATTACGAGCTCCAGACTTATACTTTTTCCATCCTGTTCGACCCCTGAATCCGTGCCCCATCAAGGTGTGTATCTCCAATTATATCTATCTTAGTTAAACCACGGTTCTCCATCCCCAGCGGGCCCCTGGTTGTCGACATGTTCGTCCGGCTATCCCCTTCTAGGGGTTCCTCGAGAGTCAATTCATCGCCATTCTGCTATCCCTGGATAGCGTCCTTGTTGCCAGTGCTTCTTCTTGATAAGGAAATGCGAGTTCAAGATGAACTTTGCTGACTGATTGCCCTCATGCATATGCTAGGTCTTTAATCCTTCCGACACAGCTGCTTTCCTCCCGAACTTGCTCCGTCGCATGCTCCTTCTCCTGTTCACCTCTTCTTCCCATTACGATCTCCTACTGCATGTAGCCCGAAAAAAAGAACCGAATTGCGCAGCCTTCCTTCGTTATTTTTCTCCCTGTCCCGCTCGCGTCCCCAAGTTCCTCGCGGGCCGTGAACGAGACTCGGGAGGCTCCTTGATAAAAAGAGAGAACACCCCCTAAAAGTTAATTAAGGGAAAGAAAAAAAAAAGCAGACATGCCCTGGCGGCCTCTGCCTCGAATTGCATTTGCTGTTGCTATATACCCTTTTCAGCCTTCCTCTGCGGCGGATCTACCTTTGGAGCTTGGAGATGAATTGTACATAATCGAGCAGGGAGGGGTTAATGGAGAATGGTGTCGGGGTTACCTCGTCGCTCCGCCGTCACTCCTAGCGGGGTTAACGAGTACCAAGGGTCAGACGCTCGAGGCTAGGGTCTTCTCGGGCATCTTCCCGCGTAATTGTGTCGAAATCCGGGAAGTATTGGGTGATGGGGACAATCAGCCAAATGGCCAGAAGCCATTGACAAATGGAGAACGCAGAAGCATCATTTCTGTGACCACGGCTGCTACCGATAGCACCGTTGCTACTGCTACCAGGGCAAATGGTGTTGAGGAGGATCGGAGAAGCAGCGCAGCCATCTCACAGACGGAGTGTGAGGTGTCGGACGTCGTGATTGCAAGGAAAGGGAAGCCCTCGCAGATATTTATTCACAAACCAGACAGTGATACCGGGAAAGCATCACCTATGTCTATTACGCCAGCTACGCCAGTTACCGCAATAGCTACTCGGGATCCTAGCGCTCCCAAGCCCCCGGCTCCTGTCCCAATGCTCAAGATCGGTGACGACACACCGACCTCCCTGTCCGAGCCGCTGGTAGATGAGATTGCATCCTGTCTGCGGGAATGGCACTCCACAAACCTTCACGAACTGCTGTTGAGTCGTCAATATAACGTGCTAGAGGACTTGTCCCATATTGTCCAGGAATTGGATCTGGCCAGAAGGCAACTCCTGCACGATGTGCTCACTGCGCGGGAAAAGGATCAGCTTCGTGATGAAGCAGTCTGGAAGCTTGTTCGGGCGAACAAGATGCTCAGTGGAGAGGTCATTGTGAGAGACCCCATGCAACGGGGTCGCCTGTTAACAGGGGATGATTCGGCTATTCATCTTACCAAGCTTCAATCAGAAATGAGCATGTTAGACAGCCAGCCAACACCGCAATCAGACACATCGTCTCTTCATCATCTTTTGTTAGAAGTCAATGCTGTCTCTGGTTATACCTCTGGCCCAGTCACGCTTGCGATTCATTTGTGCACTAAATCGGATAGCGGTCATCTTATACCTTTGTCAGAGACTTACATCCTCGACATTCCGTCCCCGGAGAAATTTGCAAATCTGGGACAAAGCAGCAAATTGAAAACCCTCTTCACTGACTTTAACGCGAAGGATATCGGAGCCAGCTCCTCAGGTGACGCACAAATCTACCTTGTGGTCACGGTCCGGGCTCCCGAGACTATCTCTGCCAACGTGCGCCCTCGTTCGAGGTCATCGACGGCAAGCTCATCTGCTAGCAAGCCAGGTCCGAATTCACACCAGCCTGCGAAAGGAAGTTTAAAAACTCGACGCAGCGTCCTATGGGGCCCGAAATCCCGCGGCCAGCAGAGTTTTGAGAAGACCCATGTCAATTCCAGGAGTCCACCAAAATCATCAGGCAGCTCTTTTAACAGTGAGGGTCCGACGGACAGCCAACCACCAAAGGTCATAAGCTTGATCCGATCCGTAGGAGTCGGTATCCTGGAGGTCTCGCAGATCCTCAGGCAAAATAAGGATACTGAACAAGTGGTCAATCTATGGGCTCCAGCACAGGCGGGTGAAGAAGGAGACAGTACTGTCGATGGCTTCCAACCGTTGATCCACACGCTGCTTCCCAGCCCTGATGGCAAATACGTAAGGTCACACCAAGCGAGTCGATTGCATCTTCACCTATATCCGTTTATCTCTAGCGACTCGGATACTCTAGTCAGGGATAATCCTACGATTTTACACCATGTCGTTAAAACTAGGAGGATTGGATTTGCGGAAGCTCCAACTAAACCCCGTTCTGATATCTACGTCACGCTCTCTCAAGCGCTTTTTCCCCCTGGTGCTCTGCTTTCCCATCCGCACACCGGTCAGGTTCCAGTGCCAATGACACTGGGACTTCAGAATTTGCAGCTGACCCTCGAGGTGCGCACGGCAGCCGGGACACGAATAGATAATTGTATCTTCCCGTCTTCCGACAACATTGCACACACAGCATGGCGGACAACAGTTGCCGAAAGAGGGACGCCTTGGAAGGAGACCATTCGCCTTCAAATAGACAGGGATTTAGTACCACTGTCCCACTTGGTAATGAGTGTGGCAGACGCCCCCGAATTTCCTTTTGCCATTGCGTGGATGCCATTATGGGACCAACATGCATTCATGAGAGACGGCACTCATTCGCTTATGCTGCATGCCTATGACAAACACACATCAAGCATCGAAAACGGAAAGGGCGCTTACCTATCCCTGCCCTGGAGTGCTCTTGGGAAGAATGAATTTGCAAAAGACGAGGCAGTGACTGGGCCTATGGCTTCTCTTCGCTTGGAAACGTATCTTTGCAGCACCGAATACTCTCAAGATCAAGTGATCCTAAGCCTCCTAAATTGGAAAGAGAGGCCTGCAGGCGAGGTTATTGAGACTCTCAAGCGAATAGTATTCGTGCCCGAGATTGAGATCGTGAAGCAGCTTAGTGGAGTCTTTGATGCATTATTCGGGATCTTGGTTGACAATGCCGGTAACGAGGAACATGAGGATTTGATTTTCAACGATTTGGTTACCGTTCTCGGTATTGTGCACGATCGACGGTTCAACCTTGGCCCACTAGTCGACCACTATGCGGAGAAACAGTTCTATTTTCCCTTCGTGACGCCGTGTCTGATTCGGAGCTATCTACGTCTTCTCCAGGCCGCCACCGATATCCGACAGGCCCGGAATCTTCGCGCAGCCTTCAAGGTGGGACGACATCTTTTGAAGTTCATCATCAATGGCAGGCAACAGCAAAAGGCTAAGGAGGAGGGCATCGGGATCACAAAGGTCCAGTCTACTTTCAACGGTGATCTTCATACCATGTTCAAGTCTCTCCAGACGCTCATGAGAGACCCATCGCCAGCCTTGGTGGGCAGTAAAACTCTTGTCGTCCAGCATTTCCACACATGGCTTCCCGAACTGTCAAAGGCCCTTAGCAAGGATGAAGTTGTCATGATTGCTCTTAGTTTCATAGACTCCTGCAAAGATGTGAAGGGGATGCTGATACTCTACACGATGGTCCTGATTCAACACTACACTCAGCTCGATATTTTCGCAACGGGCTCCGAAAGACGGGGTCTGATCTCCAGCTGCGTCGGTTGGCTGGCTCCCTATTGGGGAGCGACGGGGAGCGTGTCCGATCAGTACCGCGACCAAGTTCGGTTGTGTTCCGCAATCGTGTCACAACTCCTTGAAGAGCCAGATCCGCTATTGTACGAATTCATGCCCAAGATCGTCTCATCGTATTGTTCGATTGTGACGGAAGGCGTAGAGGATACCGAATACCTCTCCCTGCTCTTTAGTAAATCTTTCCCGTTTCAGGTGAAGGCGTCAAAGACCAAGCAAAAGTTTGACGAGGCACTCGTGGAACTGTCAGCCATCATGGCAGCGATCAGCAAGATTCCCAACACGAAGGTCCCTGTAATGAAGGAATTGGATCTTGCCACGTTCATTTTTCAGGCGCTCGAGGCACATAATTCTATTCTCAACTGTGAAGCTTATCCTCAAGGCTGGCTAAGTCTGCATATCTACAATCACCGTGCGACCCTGAAGAGCCTCGAGCGCCTCTCTTCAGTCCTTGTCGACAGGTTTCTTCCGTCGCCAGACGATGCGGACAGCTTTGATACCAAGTTATGGGAAATGTTTTTCATGACGCTACTCAAGGTTGTATCAAGTGACACGCTCGCTCTCGAAACGTTCCCGGAACAGAAGAGACGGGCTGTCTGGAAAATAGGTGGCGACGTGCGCGAGCAAGGTGCAGATCTGCTCCGTTCTACTTGGGAAGCGATAGGTTGGGAGACTTCGGAAGAACAATTCCTTCAATACGGTGTGAAGAAGCTCGGTGGTTATCAGGTGCAATATGTTCCTGCCCTGGTGGCTCCTATCATTGAACTCTGTCTCAGCGTCCATGAGGGCTTGCGGCATGTTGCCGTCGAGGTCTTGCGGACCATGATTCTGAGCGAATGGGACCTCAACCAGGATCTATCAATAATCGAGACGGAGCTCATATCCAGCCTTGACAATCTGTTCAAAACCAAGCATGTGAACGATAGCGTTATTCAGAAGCTTTTCATTACCGAGCTGCTTGATCATTCTGAGGGCTACTCCGAGGTTGATGGAGAATTATATGATGCCGTGAAGTCCCTCGTAGCGACAATTGATGAGCTGCTTGACCTTCTAGTGGCTTCACACAGCGGTTCAATGACCGATAGCGTGCACACCATGAGGCTAATGCAGTATATGAAGGATATGGGCAGACAAGATATCTTTATTCGTTACGTTCATGAACTGGCTGAGGTGCAGGCAGCAGCTGGCAATCTCACGGAAGCAGGTCTCGCTCTCCAATTCCATGCTGACCTCTACGACTGGGATATCACGAAACTGGTTCCTCTGCTTCTTAACCCATCATTCCCGGAACAAAACTCCTTCGAAAGGAAGGAATCCCTGTACTTTGCAATTATTCAACACTTCGAGAACGGCAAGGCATGGGCTCATGCCCTTGCTTGTTACAAGGAGCTTGCTGAACACTACGAGAACACCTCGATGGACTTCTCTAAGCTCGCTCGGACACAAAGCTCAATGGCCAAAATTTACGAATCGATAGTGAAGGAGGAGAAGGAGTTCCCGCGATACTTCCGCGTTGTATATAAAGGACTCGGGTTCCCTGCTACTTTGCAGGATAAGCAGTTTATCTTCGAAGGCGCTCCGCATGAACGCATGGCGACGTTTATCGATCGTATGCAACGAATACACCCTGCGGCTCAAATTATGTCCTCTGGAGAAATCCAAGATTTTGAGGGGCAATTCCTGCAGATCAGTGCGGTCAATGTGCATCGCGATATAAGCCATCCTGTATACCAAAGGTCAAAAATCCCACACTCTGTCCGAGAGCATCTCTTACTCTCCAATCCTTGTCTGTTTTCAGTAACATCGAAGAGGCACAAGGGAGGGGCAGATGTGAACGAGCTATACGTGGAGAAGACTGTGTTCAGAACTGCGGAGGCCTTCCCAAATATCCTCCGCAGGAGCGAGATAGTCGCGGTCAACGAGGTTGCTTTGTCTCCTCTGCAGTCAGCTGTTGAACGAATCTGGCGAAAGACGCAGGAACTGGTACATCAAGAGAAACGTACGGTGGCTGGTGAAGACCCCGGTCTGAAGTCATTGACAGAAATGCTGGAACAGCTGCTGGAACGCAGGGCTTCGTTATTCGGCTGCATGGCTGTGTATCGTCAATTTCTTGAGGATACACCGGTCGAGAAAGCCATCGACAGGGAAACGGATGAAAAGCAAGATGAGGAGGGAGAAGCAGATCAGGAAGTCCAGGAACCCATGGACCCTATGAAGAACGCCCTGGCCGTAGCACTGATCGATCACGCTTTGGCGATAAAGCATGCTCTATCTTTGTCGTTATATCATCGGCCAGCATATCAAGCCACGCAATCCGAGCTGATGCGGCATTTTGAAGAGATCTTTGCGCTCGAACTCAAATCGATCGCACCGGTCAATCAGGGCTTTTCTCATACGTTCCAGCATCAGACTATGAACTCCCTGGACACGCGCCAAACGTACTCTGCACCACGATCCGTGAGCCCGGAGCAAGAACTGATGCGACGCTCATCTCGGGTATCAAGCGCAATGGACAAAGCTGGCAAGCGTTCTGTCGGCCAACGCATCAGCATCATGAATCCTTTCAAACGGTCGAATCATGCGACACAAGGCTCGACAAATACGATCCAAGCGCTGCCCGGGATAGCCAGACTGCAAGGGTCTGAAAGGTTAAACGGCAATACAACACCAGCGGAACGCGTCCATATGACATCCACTGCTTCCAAGATCGAAGACAATGGATCCGTTCGTGAAGAAGATGATATCGCCACTGTCCACAGCCGGACGACGAATCATTCACGAACAGACACCCATTCGAAACGTAGGAGTTGGTTCGGAGATAGATCTCACAAGGCTAGTTCTTCGATCTCGCTCGCGGCAGCTGCTACCACTGCCTCTACGGAAGACCCCCATGCAGTCACACATAAGACACGTCCGTCCAGGAGTGACTCTCGCCAGACACAGACCAAGTCAGATGGTCGCAGCCGCTCCGAATCTCAGCGGGCTAGTGCCGCAGGACGGGATGGTGATACGAAAAATAGCTGTAACCACAATGAGCTTAAACCGTCCGGCGCGAGTCTCCACGGTGGGTGGTCGGCGATTCCTTCGGTGAAGGACTACCCCCGCCCCTCGACGGCGCTGAGTACGACGGCGGCATCCTTGAAAGGACCGCTGTCCGTGTCGGGTGCCAGCATTTATGGAGACCATCATGCACCGGTTCCCTCGCCGCTTCATACCCCTTTCACGCCGCCGGCCGTCACGAATCCTAGTCATTCGAAGAGGGAGTCTGTACTCAAGCGATTCAGCCTTCTCAAGGGCGTCGGACGCAAGGGCAGCCGTCTTGATTTTAGGGGCGGTATGACGGTTCATGAAGAGTGAGATATGCATGCGTGCATGTCTATTTTTATTTGGAGCCTTTCTTTTTCCACGTTTCTCTTACTTTTTTCATTATCCATCTACCTGGATCTATTACCGCATTACCCTATTTTCTATGTATTTCCCTACTCATAATGTCTGGACATTATTATTTATTTATTATCTTCTTTCCTTTCCCTGGCAGGTCTGTTTCTTGCTTGGCTGCATTGCATCCATGGCTATATTTGTATTTATCACCGTGAAGACCTCATTCTATTCCTCATGCTGTAATTTCCCATTTCTTAATTGCACATGTGTTGTCGGCGGCAGAATGACAACATTCATTATCTGACCACTGAGGCTTCCTGCATATCTTCAATTAAGCTACGACAGTTGAATCCGTAGAATAGAATCAAACAAGCACTTGCCTTTGATGCAGTCCAAGACGGTATTCAAACGCTGGCATGGAAGACGGCGCTCCCGATAGTTAGAAGTCACCTCCGATGCCGGGACAAAAGCTCCAAAAACCAAACCGTAATAGGACCGGACCGAGATATTATTCTTCTGAATTAATAGAAAATATTCGGCCTGGGCAGCCGAATGGTCGAGCCGGAGAAAAAAACGAGATGCGTGTGGGACTGGAGAGAAGCAAGGAAGGTCCACACAGAAGACAAAGGCTTAAGCTATAAAGTTAAGATACCATGATCATTCCACCGCAAAGACAAGCTCAGATCAAAGAACAAATTGATAGTGCAATTGTGGAGATTTATGAGGAGAGTACGGAGTACGGAATAATAATAGCTGTTCTGCATGGTTTTATTCATTGATGTTTCTTTTTTTTTTTTTTTCCTTTCTCCGCTGTCAGTGGCGCTAGAGCTAGGGCTGGTTCGACAGGGCTTTTTTTATATTACTATTACTATTACTCCGTGCTATTATTACTATTATTCTTATTCTACTGATTACTGTCGCTATTACATGTTTAAACTGCCAAAACATCCTCTTTCTCTCAATCACGACATCGGGGTGGGCCAGCTTGCAATCGCTGGAATAAGGCGAGATGGTGCTTCTCATAAGAAGCGTCGCCGCCATGGCCTCGTCTTCTCTTGTTGAGATTCACTTCTATCGACATCTATATCTATAGACTTGCTGCAATATGGGCGGCCTCTTCGGAACCCTGCACCGCTGGTATCGCGGGACCCTGTACCAGGCCATCGTGTTGGGGTTGGTCAGTTTCACCCAGCCTGGTATCTGGGATGCATTGGGCAGTAAGTACCATAGTATCCAATATTGCATGCTCAAGGAAAGCAAATGTTGACACGGTATAGGTCTCGGAGCTGGTGGTCTCGCAACACCGTACTTCGTCAATGCATCGAATGTCATCACCTACGTGATCATGATCGTCATGGCTCCCCTTTTCGCCATTGTCGGGAATCGCTTCAGTCTCAAGTGGCTGCTCGTCTCTGGCACGATTGGTTACGCGCCGTATTTCGCTGCTTTGTACTGCAACAGCGTCTACGGCACGCAGTGGTTTCTGCTGTTTGGAGCCGTGACGTGCGGTTTCTCTGCTGCTGCGCTGTGGGTTTCGGAGGCGGCTATTGCGGTTGGGTATCCTGAGATCGAGAACAGGGGGACGTACAGTAAGCATTGAGGAGCATCAGTCCTGTCTTGCCTTTTAACGTGGTCTGAAACTGACTGAACAGTCGCCATCTGGATGGCCCTGAACAAACTCGGCTCGATCATCGGCAACTCCATCCAACTCGCGCTGAACATCAACAACTCCTCCAAGGGCAGCATCAGCCCGAAAACTTACCTGGTCATGATCGGCCTCTGCTGCGGCGGCCTCCCGCTGGCATTGACGCTCTCCCCGGCCCACAAACTGATCCGCAAAGACGGCACAAAACCAACCTTCAGCTCGCAGCGACACGTCTCGCTGAAACAGGGCCTCAAGAGTCTCTGGTACGCCTCGAAACAGAAACATATGCTCCTCTTACTGCCCATCTTCATGACGGTCCGCTGGAGCTCGACGTACCAGGGTAACTACCTGACCGAGTACTTCACCGTGCGCGGTCGGACGCTGGCGGCCTTCATCTCCACCATCGCGGGGACGGTGGCGACGCTCGTCTGGGGCTGGTTGCTGGATTCTCAGCGCATCTTCAAATCGAGGCGCAATCTGGCTATTGTGGGCTGGTTGACGATGTTGGCTGTGTATATTCCGCAGTGGGTGTTGAATTTTATCATGCAGACTCAGTTGCAAGGTCAGCATCCGACGCCATCGTTGGATATTTATGATCCGGGGTATGGGAAGGCTATTACGGCTTACTGTCTATTTGGGTAGGCTCTCCCTTTCTGCCTGTGAAAAAAAGAAGCAGCTTCTCTTCGTTTTCATCGAAAAAGCCATGCAACTAACAAGAGTAGTGTTGGATCCCAAGCCGCCACCGTCTGGACATACTGGATCCTAGGAACCTACGACGTCCACGTCGACATCCTCGCATACACAACGGGCATTCTGCGATCGTCCGAAAGTCTGGGCTTCGCCATTGCGTACGGTATCGGAGCCAGCAAGCATGCCTCGCTCATGGCGAATTTGATCGTTGCCTTTGTCGTCTTCTGGGTCAGCGTGCCGTTTACCACGTACGCTTCGTTTTTGGTGAAAGAACCGAGTGAGATCACCGGGGAGGGGGTCAGTATGCCTCCTGACGAGGAGGCGACGGAGTATCCAAAGGATGCGTTGGAGCATGAGTCTGAGGGCGTATCTTCTGGGACTGCGGAGATACATCCATAAAAATATACCGGATGAGTTTTGTTCATAATGTTCTTCTTATGTTGTTTTATTTGGAGAGTACTGGATACCCTCACCATTGCAATATCATGACTATTACTCTGATCTAAGACATAACACAACAGTGTACAATAAAACAGACAGATCACTCCCCTAGATTCCTCCCTCTTCCTCCCCCACTGGCAGCAGGTAAATCCAAATCCACAACCCACGGCGCATTCGTAGCCCGATACGCCACCGTCACTACACTAGCATTCACAAACAGCGTCTCTTCCCCATGAACCAGCTTCCTCGCATTCGACGACGGCTTCAGATTGCTCCACGCATCCGCAACAGACCCCCCACTAGCATTGTAATAGGCGCACCTCTGCTCCAGCCTCTCCTCAGGATCAGACCGGATCTCATCCAATGCATTCGAGGCCCAGTTCATCCGGCCCGCCCCGTAGCCCTCGTGGATATGTCCAAAGACGTGCAGACGGGGTTTTGCACGCTTCACGGCCCGGAGAAGGTGAGGGCAACCTACATGCTCGCCGGACGGGGAGACTTCGTCGAAGATCCCCTGTGGCGGGCCGTGGGTTAGGAGAATGTCCACGTCGGGAAAGTCGGGGATCGGGTTTGAGGGATGTTGCTGTCCTTGCTGTTCATTGGGGTTGAATCGGTCTTCTTTTGCCGGATCGTAGGCAAAGGCCCATTGGCAGAATTCCGGCGTGTAAGGGGATGCATAGAGCGTGAAGGAGGCGCCGTTGGAGAGGGAGAAGGTCTTGAGACATTCGTCTAGGTAGACGATTCCGGCTCCCTGGGCGTCGGGGGATGTGTATAGTTGTCTGATTTCTTGGGGGTTTTCTCTCCATTTATCGTCTGTTTCTCCTATTTATTTCTATTAGTATCATACTATCATATATGGAAATGCTTACTTGTAAACTCACCACCACCCGGATACAGCTCGAAATCAGTCCCGGGCCGTCGATGTCGAAGATAGCCCACCCTATTGTAGTACTCCTCGTCATGCGTGATGTCGTGGTTTCCTGCAATGACAATCTTCAGCTCTGCAGGTGCCTCCTTGAGCATGGAGAGCATCTGCTCGTGCTCGCTTTTGCGGCCGACTCGGGTGATGTCACCCGCATGGAGGAGAATGTCGGCTTTGGGGAATGGGTAACGGTAGGGGTTCGAGGTGCATTGAGGGCCGCTGGGGGCATTGGTGTGCGTGTCTGAGATCAGACAGATGCGGGTTCTGACTGTCTGTTCGGTGGGGGGGTTCATGGTGTTCTGTTGTTACTGGGTTGAAGATGAAGTGTCACCGGGAAGAGAACGCCGGGAGGATGTCTCTGTTGACATATCGTCATTATGCACTTGGTACTTACAGCGGTACTACGTCCCCGCGACTTCTACCCCAGGATAACCAAAGTACAGCATAAGAGGATCATTTCCCATTGAATCTGATAGCTCAGAGCTCTACAGACATTGCACCCATGGATGCCCAGATCATAAAAGTTTTCTGGTTAAAAGTAACGTGCTGAAAAAAACTCCGATTACCACCCTTGTACAACAACCCTGATAATATTTTTTACTTCCTAATAGCACGCTGGTAGAAAGCAAGCTCCTCGCCCTCCAGAATGTATCCATCAACGCGACCGCTCTGGCCAGGGCGAGAGGCAACGACGGCGTACAGACGACCAGACTCAAACTGTCTCTCGATGGCGGACTCGACCTTGCCGTGGTCGGCGAAGCGAGCAGCCTGCTTCTTCACAACGCTGTTGCTCTTCTTCTCCTCGGTGGTCTCGGTCTTGGCCTGGCGTCTCCGGCCGATGGGCTGACCGTAGTGGGCCTCATACCATTGTCTGAAAGGAGCGGCGTCAATCTGGACGACGGCCGACTTGGTGAGGGTGTTTGTGCGGACCAGTTCGTTGTTAGACGGGTGGTAGGCCACAACGATGACACGGGTCTTGCGGGACACTCCCTCAGATCCCCATGAGAAGTTACCCGAGTCGAGACGGAGGGCACGGAACTTGCGGTTACCACCGCGGGTGCGGACCAGGTGAATTCTCTTGGTGCCAATACGGGTGTTGGCGGGCTGGCGACCCTTCTCGAAGGCCCTGTATGCAGAAAACAAATCCAGTAAGACACAACTCCCTCACGGCTTCTTGAAAGAAATGCGTAGTTCTCGTCATACCTCTTCTTACGGTAGAAGGCCCTCTTCGCACCGGTTGCTGAACGCTTGTGGCGGGAGTCGCGTGAAATACCCATGTTTGCGGTTGATGGAGGGGACTGTAGATTGCGATTCGTAATGGGTTAGTTTTTTTTTTTTCTGGATCGGGTTGGTAGATATGAATTCGTAGCATTGGGTTGAAGCCAGTATTCTCTCCCTGTCATCCTCGGTCCTCCTCTTATTCTCGTCTGTACTCAAATTCGTCGAATGGAGCATGCATCAAAGATTGGTGGTTCCCCGTCCGATCTTCGCATCCAACAGCTGAACTCCACGGCAACCGAACCCATCCTCGACAGGGAGAGAAATTGCAGGGAAACATCGTAGGGCAGACAACAGGAAAGGGTACTCACCTCGAATCCTGCAGCCCTTCACCAGAAACGCAGCGGACAAGGGTCGTTGGGTGGTCGTGGAGGTTGAGTGCTTGTCGTCGGCCGGCGTGGAATTTCGCGGTTGTGGCTCGCTAAAGAATGTTGCCCTACTTCCTGTGCGCGCTAGCCTCTTCGGGTTAGATGCACGTGATGACCAATTCTCCATATGGTATTTACTTTCTACTCTCAAACACTCGAAGTAGTTATTATTATAATACTACACACATACTTTATTTGCTATTAATTATTATTATTATTATTATCATTACTCCGGCTATATTGCTCGTCAAATGGGTATACCCTATCAGCCTCATCCCGATGCAGCTCTCCATCGTGCAGTTCCCTTCCCCTTCCAGCTTGCTCCTTTGATGACCCAATCCAGTGCGAGTAGAACCCCTTATTTTATTCCCTGGCCGCTTCCCATCATTCATTGGATCCGATGAGACGTTGAACATGACCTGGAGTAATACCCTCAGCTTCACCTTGGCGAGAAATATGTATTTCATTGGCTGTAGGGGCATGCGAGAGAAGGCTGTATCCATAAGGGCAGATGCGTACTCGGTCATATCACTCTCTGTATTCGGAAGGTTAGCCAAATCAAAAGACCAAACTAGATATCGCAGTATGAGACCAGTGAGCGCAAATACACGCCTCTAACGGATAATATAATCTCTACTCACGGTACGCAATTGTAGCCACCTCCGAGTTAGTGTCAGCCTGGGAGCACCAAGTGTAAGAAGCAACGATCAGGGTTCAGACCGGCGATGACACCGTAGGCATCATTTCTGGCCGGCATGACGGTGGGGAACGCGCTAGAGAACGTCCAAAGCAAGGGACGTTGAAATGGGTTCTCACGCCAAAAGGACCGCGATGACAGCGATGAGAGCTTGGTAGGATAGATGCAATCCTACAAGGTATCCGGCCACGCATGATGCCTCACTGTGGACCAGCCATTCGAGAAAGTACATTAAGGCTAGTAGATATAACAATGACAAGGACTATCTACTCCCCCTTAACCTTCTCCCTCTCCTCCCTCACAATCCGATTAAACCGCACAAACGACCCAAACCCCTCGATAACCGCCGACGCAAACCACACCACCCACAACCCCGACAAAAACGGCACCTGATGACGCCTCAACTTCTTGACCGCAAGCACCGTCGCCTCGAGAAAATGCACCGCAAGCATCGGCCAGAATAGCAACGGCTGGATATCATAGCAGAACCGTGTAAACGACGGAACAGTCCCCAGACCCAACGAGTCATGGATGATTGAACCGGGCAGGAAATTCTCGCGGCGCGAAAATCCAATAAAAGTAAACGCGCACGCGATGAATATCACGGCTGCGAAGCCGTGTGGAGCTCTGTATTCCTTCACGACGATGTCGGATAGGCCCAGTTCATGGAGGCAGTGTTTCTGCATGGCTACGGCGCGGGTGCGGAATTCCATTAACGACTTCATGGGCGGGTCGATGGGGACTGTGTAGCGTGTTCCCTTCGCTGTTAGCACGAGGTCCGAGAGACTGATGTCCTCTAGCTGGGCGTGTTTGGCTTGTCGCGTCGGTACGCGGTTGTACACGCGGAGGTACAGGGCCAGGGCGTCTTGGTGGTTCTTGTTCATGTGTTGGATGGCGAAGACCTTGGCGTCTGCGGCCTTTGCTGCTGGTGCTTCTGTTGCCATGATTGATATTGATAGAGATTGTAGTTGTCGAGTTCCTCTTTCTCCGGAGGGTTGACTGATGTCGGTGAGTTTCCCGACTGATTCGATGGATAGCGGGAGCGTTGCAGGTGGAGTATCAAGATCGCGTCCGTCTTGTAGTCTTTACCTCTGTTAGGCAGCAGTCAATTAGCATGTTTAAATGCAGAAGAACATGTGAAACGTCTATTTATTTTCTCTGTTCTACCCCGCCGGCTATTCAACTTCGGCTGTGATGGCGGGTTCTTTCGGAAAGATGCTTCTTAAACATTGAAATGAACCACTGTGCAGATGCAAAGTCTATCTTCCTAGAAGCAAAAAAGAAAAGAAGAAACACTATCTACTATCTCCAGAACCAAGAACCTCATATCTCCAGTTGAGTAGAAATCCCGTCACACAAGACAGAGGCAACCACCAACACCGAAAGAAAAGCCCTATGTTTATAGTCCAGCGACATACATCAACCCATATCCAACAGTGACAATGACACCAAAGCACATCAAACTCGATGGAATGCCTCGGGTAAGGAAGTGGCGGACAGTAAGGTACCGCTGACCCGTTAATGGGACTTCGGTCATGATGGCAGCTGAAAAGTTGCAAAGTCAGTGTGAAGAAAAAGACAAGAGTACTCGTATTCAGACGCAACTTACTCATATTTGGAAATCCACTGGTCGGCAACCCCATAGCCACCGAACACATCAATGCGCTCGCCATAACAAGCAAATTGGGATGCGGATCATCCATACTGACACCGATCTGCTGGACCAGAGGAAGGATGATGAGCGCCGCAACAGTGTGCGATATGAAAGTAGCAATGACAAGTATCAAGGCAGAGAATACGATTAATACACCATAGAGACTGAGATGTTCAACTCGCTCCGTGATGGCCTTGGCGATGGCATGGAGGAGGCCAGAGGATGTGACGGCCTTGCCGAGACAGAGGCCACCGGCTGCGAGAATGATGATGGTCCACAGGAAATTGTTGAAGTCCTCCTTGGTGAGGATGCCCGTTCCAAAGAAAAGGACCAGCGGGATAATCGCTATCACGCCCATGTCACCAAACGTATGCTCGAGCTGGTGACTGACGCACCAGAGTCCGATGGTGGCCAGGGTTACGATGGTGATAAAGTACTGAACCCCGGAAAATTTGTCTTTACCATATCGCACGGATACAATCGTCGTTCCCCGGCTGGGGTTAAATGTAACCAATAACAAAACCCAGATTAACAGAATGGAAATGATGCAGACTGGAAGCGAAATGAAGAACCACGTGCCCCAGCTGATACTGGGATACATATTCTGGAGCGCAATGATGTTCTGCGGCGATGCAATGGGCGACGCGGCACCCCCGACATTAGCAGCGAGTGCAATCCCCAATACAAGGGCTTTGGAGAAGTTCGAGTCGGCAGGGAGATTACGGAGCAGGGGCTGTGGTTAGATGGAAGGTCAGACAAATGATCGACAATTCAAGTGAGAGAGAGGAAAGGGCATACAAACCTGAATAATTGAATAGCAAAGAACTGGGGAAGCCACATTGCTGATCCACATACTCAAGAACATGCTAACAAACATATTCGTAAGTAGGACAACCTGTGGCTTGGTCCCAGCCTTGCTTAAAACAAACGTGGCCATCCGCCTAGCGATATCATACTTCGACAATGCGGCAGCGATAGTAAACCCACCCAGAAGGAGCATAATAACAGGAGTCCACATTGCCGCGAAGACGACGCCAGAAGCCTCCTTTGGGTCCAGCCGCTTATAAGGCTTCTCCGGGGACCTCATGATGCCAAGCACAACGACGAGAAAAGGAATAAGAAGCGAAGTGACAAAAAGCGGTATGACTTCAGTCGCCCATAACAAGCTCACCAAGACCAGCATGGCCAGACAGTTCTGTTGCTCTGGTTTATTCAAGATGGGGACTGAGAGTAATATGGAGAAGATTGTTAGAATGGCAAGTAGCGCTCCAAAGCTCAGACTGAATATCCACTTGGGGAGATGATATCGTCCTAGGGGAGTTACGAGCTCCTTCGTCTGGGACTCAGCCTCGTCTCCTTGTCGTTGCGCCGCTGCAGGGTCCTCGGGTCCTCCAAGGAGAGTATTGCGGATGCCGACGTTGGCTGCCTGGGCCTTCCTCTCGATGCCAATCATCTCTCTCCATACGGTGTTCCGCTCCCAGACAACATGCTCCCTCAAATGCAGTCGAAGCTCGCGTTTTGCAAGTTGAACATCTCCTTTGGTGACAATGCTTGCGTAGACCTTTTCGATCTCATGTATGTTTTCCTGCAATCGCTTCATAGTTGTGTCAGTAAAAGGGTAGGCTTCAGAGACCGTTGTGTTCATGTAGTCCCGTCTTAAATTCCGGTCCAGGATCTTGTCATATTTTTTTAATGCCTTTGTGAATCCGGTCCTATTGAGCTGGATGTACGATTTGAGCTCACAGAGCGAGACGTAAGCCCCAATTGCCCGTTTCTTTAATGAAACCCCAGAGTTATATAGATCCAAAAACTCCGGATCCCTGAAGCGATCGCCATGAGGGCCACGACGGCTACCAGCGAGGCTAGCAGTCCCTAGCACCGCCGAGTCTTCGAGAAATGGAGCATCGCCCATTTCCCCGTCATCGCCGCCGGAATCAGCACCATGAGAGCGACGCCTCCTGCGAGCGACGGATAGAGACTGGACCTCTTCATCATCGCTATCCGCGTCATCGTCATCTTGAAGCGACTCACTAATTGCGCTTGGACGTCGACCACCTCGATCCCTAAACCCAAAATTCCGGGAAACGCTCCCAAGCCGCGGTCTATTACCAGAACTCATCCTGCGCGCCTTGACAACAGTCTCACTTACGGGGTCCATATCGACGCCGCGCGTGTCCGAGGCGTACGATTGCTCATCTTTGATCACTTCACCGACTTCGCCAAAGATCTCCAATTCCTTGATCTGGTAAAAAGAGGATATTTTCTCCAGTTCACCGTCTAGCGCACGTCTGAATATAGCATCCTCGTCCACAGTAGAATTCAAAAGAGGCGCAGACTCGACATCTCCAGAGGCGTGGTCGCGAGCATCAGATCTGTGGGCGCGTTGTTCTAGCGAATATATCCTTAAGAGCAACAATGTGAGCTAACAAACAACGATCGTATGGCTAGCGATAGAACCCCCAGAAAACAGGTTCACGTCCGTCCACTGTGTAATGTCACACCCGATCGGGGCAGTACTATAGCATAAAGCAGCGGGGGAAGGGGAGAAAGGCACGTACATTTTTTTCAAATTGCTATAAGCAATGTAATGCGCGCTCCATTCCGGCACAGCATTAAACTGAATACTATGAGCGAACTTCATCTTGCTCTGCCTATTATCCCTATTATTATGCCCTTCTTCAGCGCTGCGGCGATTCTCTATATAAACCCGAACGGCTTCAGACCAGAATCTCACTCGTCTCGAGGAAGAATCGGGACTCCTCCTGCCCCTCTTTCTTCTTTTGTGGGTTAGACCGCGCTGCTCCTCTTCGTCGTCGCTATTCCGACCGTGACGTCGCCAGTCTCCAGAGTATCGCCGACGACCATGCCGCTGGGGCCCAAGTGCCCCGAAAGGATCCCGAACAGGACCAGTTCGTGAAGAGGAGGTAGAACGACGGCGACGCGGACCAAGTGTGACAGAGTCGAAATCGAGGAGTTCAATGCTCTGTGCCGATGAGGGAGCCACGGTCACGTCGTATGGAGTGACGGAAGCGGCCAGTGCCACGTTTCGTCTTGACGCATTCGACGGCAAACGGGGATTCGTATTATGGTGAGAGCAGATCCGAGCGAAGGACGCACCAGATAATATCGAGTCGTAGTACCAGAGGCGCCCGGTGGGCTGCAGATGCTCCAGTCAGCAAGCAGGAATTCCGTTGCCACTGGGACTAGTTTGTAGGTTGTTCCACTGCAGGCGCAATAATAATAATAATGCTAGATAGCTGTTTTCCCACTCAGATACACGGTGAACGTGGTGATAAGCTTGGATTTGATTGATCAAAATGCAGCTGGGGATGGAGCAATGAAAGGTCTAGGAGTTGTGAAGCAGCATATTCAGCTATGACAGGAGATGCTGGACAGCTGATGGTTAACTCTGGTTTCAGGTGCAGAACACTGTGAAGATAGTCATCTACACTACGCATGCCAAGAATATACAGCAAGGCAGCCATCAGCACAGAATGTTATAGTTTATGAACAGCAGGACCAGAAATCTATGTCAAAAAGAAAATAAATGGATTGCCAAAATTCACCACCCTATGGGAATAACTATTTATAGTGTACACATACATGATAATGCCGAGCCAAAACAGATCTTGAAGACATCGAAAGAGGAAACGCAGAGCAGTCCTCTATCTACGAGCAAACACTCCGAGATTCGAGCGACCTGCGACACCAATCTTGTGCACGTGCTCCCTTTTCTCCCACACGCCACTACGGCCTTCAGCGACGGCAATCAGCTCGTTCGCGACCCTCAGGGCGAATTTGCTATCACGGCGCTTATCCGAAGCATCAATGATCCATCGGATTGCGGTCCTGCGACGCTGTCTTTGGAACAGTGGAACTGGGATCTGCAAAGCAGCACCACCGCCAGCAATACCTTTCTGTTGTCGGATCTTGATCAGAGGTGCGACAGAGTCTACAATCAGAGAGAGATAGAGGACTGGGTTCAGAGGCAATTGGGGAGCCGGCGGACCGGGAAGAAGACGACGTTTGGGGTTGATTGAAGGCGGCGAGGCGGTTCGCAAATGATCCAGGATAAATGACATATCCTAGACAAAATCATGGTATTAGACTGTTTCTTCCCCTATCGTAACCCAAATGATAACCGGTCAAGCCAAAAAAAAAATACCTTTTGCGCCTTACTCAGCTTCCCATCACGCATGAGCAGTTTGGTAAACTGCTCCAACAATGAATCGTATCGTGTCCGGAAGTTTTCCGTCTTGGGCAAAGGGTGTTGGGGCATATGGAACTTGATACCTGGCTCCTGTAGCTCTTCGGCTTTCTCCTCGATAGCCTTGGAAATCATATTGGCGACCACGGCAGCCGAGACATCGTCAGGAGATGGCTGGTTCCCCTGCAATTCTTGTTTTCGGGACTGTGAAGATGTGGAAAAAGAGCGAGAACCCTTGGGTCCTTGCATCTGATCTTGCATCACCTTGGGAGCGTACTGTTTCGCCTTCTCGTCTCGCTTAAGGACCTACCATGGCAAAATCGGGTGTCAATTCGTTTCCATGGACGAAAATATTAAACAACATATATGTTAAAAAAAATAGAAACAAAAAACAAACCTCCGAAATAGGGGATCCTTGCTCTTGTTCCGGAGATCCAGGAGTCCCCTCCGATTTCTTGATTCCCTCCTCGATCTCCGCTCCCTCCTCCGGTGTAAGATGATGTACCGTCTCCTTCTGTTCTGGCTGGTTTCCTGGGTCCGAGTTTGACGAATTCAGTCTCCGCTGCTGTTTGTCCAAAGATCCAAGAACGCTAAAGCCGGGGTTGAGTCTCCCGGCGTTGAGAGTCGTAGTCATCATACTCCGACGCGATGTAGTCGAACCATTGCTACCGGAAATGGAGAGAGATGTTGATATCGATGATGGCTGGCGAATAGTGAGCAGGGCCTTCCTGGCCGCCAGGGGATTGAGCCTTGGGGGCATCTCGAATTGCTTGCGGTCGTGCTGAGTGACTGCACTGCGTCGACGGTATCGCCAGGCATATTATTCTTTTGGATGAGGACGAACGATTTTCCTCTCCGCTGATTAGTCATCACACCGTCCAAACCATGTCGATGCTGGAACAGGAACAGTCACAATTATTAAAAGAGGATGTTATTATAATCATCCCCTCAAATGATCTCAAGAACAGAAACCAGAGCTTGAAGTGCTAGAGTTACAGACTAATGGACCTTTTCAACCAGCACTTGAGCAGCATATGGGCAGAATAGACCTAGTTTCTAGGAGATAGAGACAGTGAAAGTCAAAGAGCGAAAGTAATTTATCCCCACCATATAACCATCGCCCCAGATATAATAACATCCTTTTAACCCATCCAGACAAGATAGACAAGAGTATCCGTAGCCTGTACGGAGCACAATACCGCCCTCACCCATGATTCTCCACAAGGTCCGGAAAAAGTACACAAGGAAATGGTATCAATTGACATTAAAAAGAGTAGCGACGTTCCTGAGCCGATAGTAAAAGAAATGAAAAGAATTTCAGACAGGTACCCCTGAAAACTTTCCAGGGAGCTGTTGCAAAACCAAATACATGAAAGGCAGAGTAACTGCTGTGAATATCAAACAGTCACGATAAGTGCAGACAATAGGATGTCTGGGAGTTTATGTGTCTGCACTGCAAGAATGTAGTCCACATGAGAATTCACCTGCCCGAAAGAGTGCTGAAAATGCCACCGATAGTGGGCTCATCGGGGTAGACGTAGAATGCAATCGCCAGTATCATGTACCTAAAAGAAGTCAGCACGAATAAATCAAAGAGCAGGGTAGATGAGTATAGACAGGTAACGCACATTCCCAGGCACAGACCACCCTCGAGATAGTTGGACTTCCCATCTTGGATGAGGTATGTGACAACCAGGCCAGCAATGAAGAAGGTAACGGTTTCGAAAGTATGGAAGTCCAGAGTCATAGGAACGTCCACGATCCAACCAAGAATGACTAGGAAAGGTGTGACGAAAAGAGCAATCTGCAAGCTGCTTCCAACAGCAACACCAATCGCAAGATCCATCTTGTCCTTCCAGGCAACGACGACGGCCGTAACATGTTCCGCAGCGTTGCCAACGATGGGAATAAGCACGAGACCAATGAACGTCTTGCTCATTCCAGTCTTCTGAACAATACTATCGATGCTCCCTACAAGGTAATCTGCACAGATTGCCACGAGAAGCGTAACAATAACCAAAACGATGGTGGCAGCCCAAGGTCCAAGTAGGTGCTCTTCCTCCTCAATATTCTCACCCTGGACTTCCACGTCTTCTGCGTCACTCGGGGTCTCCTCAAAGAGCTGGGAGTGTGACTTCAGCTGAAAGTAGAGGTACATAACATAGACGCCTAGCAGGATAATTGACGTTCCATGCGACAGGAGCAGAACTTCGGGGCTGGGACCATCTCCTGGCTCAGGATGGGACATCGACTTGAGCGTCGCGGAGAGAGCGGCAGGGATAATCAGCGAGGCAGACGCGATAGTCAGAAGAGACGACATGGTCGATGCGACAGTGGTGTTAAATGACTGTTCAGAATATCGAAGCCCACCAACAAAGAAACAGCAACCGAGAACAAGCAAAATATTTGAGAGAATGCTCCCGAGCATACTGGCCTGGGTAACACGGACTTGGTTGTCCTTGAGCGCGATGATGCTAACCTATAAAGCGGCGCAATCTCTGTGAGCTATGCGCCTTGTTCACAACAATAAAAACAGAAGAGAATAGCAACATACGATCAGCTCCACAGCATTCCCAAAGGTCGCATTCATCAACCCGCCAAGTGCCTGGCCAGTAGAGGCCGCTAGTTCCTCGGTGGCAAAGCTCAGCAGGGAAGCTAGCGGGATAATAGCGAAGAAATTAAGCACGAAGATGGCTGAAGCATCCCAATGAAGCGCACCAGAGACGATTCCAAGAGGAACGAAGAAGAGGAAAATGTTGACGTAGTCCCGCACAACAGTCGACCAAGTCAAATGAGCAACCTTCATCGGCCACTGAGTCCAGCGGTTATCATTCTTATGATGAGAATCATTCGCCAGGTAACCATTCGCATCTGTTCGTTCTTCGGCATTCAGCAACGCAGAACGCTCCGTAGGCCCGGTAGAACCGTTTACTGAAGGGCCTGTCATTGTCCTTTTCGCGCCCAAACTATGCCTCCGGAACGAGGTAAGAAAATTCCTGGAAGCAGCTGCAGGGGTATAATCCCAAAGGTAGTCAGAAGTTAGCCAATTTCAGTGCTTAAATTTTCATTCGGTGGATTGGACTTCAATGCGCTACGGCTCGTGACGGATGCCCTTCTCGGATTGTCGGAGAGATGGAAGTGAGTGAAAGTGCAGGTAAAGAAGCGGCAGTCCACGCAAGGTAGCAATTTGATACGAATGCAAGGAACTATGAAGTTGTCCGTAGTAGGTAGGAAAAGGATGAAAGGATGACAGTTGGGGATGGCACGTACACATCTGGACGGGGTCGAGACGAGATTGAAACGAGGGCGAGTAGGTAATAGTAATACAAAAAAACAATAATAATAATAATAATAATAATATGGAGTCAATGCTTTTGTATCGAGGGGCTAGCCACACAGTTCTCTCGGCAGGAGACGTAGACGAATTCCAGAATTACCACGCAACCTCGTGTCCGTGGGTTGGGGTTGTGTCAAGCAAGACGGTAATCCCTGGTTGACAGATGGGACTGGGACTCCGGATTAAGCAGCAATCCAATGACCAATGGAGCTTTTCCCGGGTTCCAAGGTCGCTGTACCAACGAATACAGGAGAGAAAGTGCACCGCCTGGATAAGCTGGTTATTGATCCTCTGGATCATACAGGAAAGTGTCGCAAAGGGAGGGCCGGAAGCTTTGGGAGAGTTTGATGAACGAAACCGGCGTGATGAGTGTGACAATGCACAGCCTCAACAGAAAATAATACCGAGTTCGTTTGGACGGGAATCGAGACGGAAAGAGAGATCTGCGAGATTTTATGGCAATTAAGCAGATCAGCACTGGACGGGAATTGGACGGGACAAGGTGAGCGTTCTGCAGGACGACGCTGATATGTCGTCAACTGAAGGAAAATCCCAGCCACTTTCATTCTATCTTGACGGCAGGGAAGCATTGAACTAAACTTTGATCAGTCAACAAGAGATCCATCGGATGCTCTAGGCATGCCAAGGCTGCACTGCCACCGCCAAGCAATGGATCTGAAGGAGCAAATATGATCAATGAAAGAAGGCCTCAAGCGAAGAGTAGACGGAATCCTCGGATTTGCTTTTTGACTATTTGCGAAGTGGTCCGAATCTGACAGAGATTGGGTCAAGTAACGCGTGCAGCCACGCGTTCTTTCAGGCTCGTCTGAGCTGTATATCCGGACATCAGCAAAGGATGAGCTGGCAGTATGATACAGCAGGGAGAGAAAGTAATCGGACGTTTGAGTGCTGACTTCTGTACCGTGTAGGCACGGTGGGGAAATTAGCTGGACCCTGATCAGCATTTCTCAAAGACCCAGTGGGGTATGGAACTGACAGGAGTAGGTACTGCGTGCTATGTACTCCGTAGAGACAGCAAATATCATATCATATGCATTGCTCCCGTATGTGCTGTCAGTTTAATTAAGGGAGGATTGGCAAGATCAGTCCCTTTTCAGCCACTGCCAAGTCTTGATGTACGTTTGTAGAGCACATGCCAGCAAGCCCCTTGCTTAGATGAGGTATGGAACCAAAAATACGGAGAATACGGCGTATATTCATAGCTCATGCATGGGTCTGTTTGTCCCTCCAAGAAAACATTCCAGCCTACCAAATGTGAAATAGACAATCCAAATCGATACAGAAAGAAAAAGACCAAAAGTACCAGTCATAATAAACATAAACAAGCTGCACTTGTGTGTTGCCAGCCACACGCATATATATTTCGCTCAGAAACCTCCTCGTCCACGGGCTTGTGTTGTAGAGATATATCAAGCCTCTCTTATAATGGAGCACCACCAAGTCCTACAAGACGGAGTCAGCCATGTCCGACGAATATCTACCGTGAGGTTGCTGCTGCAACTTACCTGCCGCGAAGGCAAGGTACCAGGTTCGCGTCGCTCCTTGGTCAAGGAGACCATAGTCAAAATTCGGCTGTGCAAAGAAATTCCACGAGGCCACAGGGTCAATGATGGCAAGATTGGCATATAGCACTCCTCTCCATCCTGATGCTACCTTGTCGACAGGCAGGGTGGAGTTGGGTCCGAAGAGAGCGTTCCATTCCTCCGTCACGAATTTCCTGTTCCGTGTATATGTGGAAGAAGGGAGCAGTGGCAACATATGAATTCTGTTTCCCATCAGCATATGAGCTTACAAGCTTTGAACGTGCCATTGAGAAGTCAAGTAAGTCATGTTGAGCCTACCCGTGTATATATTCTAGGTTGTTGCCAAAATACGTGGTATGGTCGACTTTGTTATCGAAAAGCTGTGCCCAAGTTGAGTAATGTGTCAGCCTTTTGCCATTCTATCTGATAACTTCAGCTGCAAAAAGGGTACAGCGATGAACTTACAATTCCAGTGACTTTATTGGCAATAAAATCGGGCGGCTGATTCTTGTTGTTGCTCTCCATCAAGAAGTAATTTTGGAGGCTCCGGCGAAGGATCCCCAGCATCAGGTTCCCCCGTGCTTCCATGCTGGCATCTCCGATGGTCTTCCCCCACATCTTCACGGCGTAGGCAAACATGACATCCTCAGACGTCGACTCCTGGTCCTTCCCATCTGCGGACTCGAACAGCCCCTTCGCCCATGAATGCCCATTGTACCAGTCGAAAGACCGTGAGAATGGGAACAGAGGGTCATTCGTAACCGGATTTCCCGCATCACGAACAAGCATATTCACCCAATCCTTGTTGGTGGGGAGCCAACTTGGGTCAAGAGATCCCATAATCGCTGCCGCGTGGATGAAGTACCCGTAGTGAAAATGGTGGTCGTTGTAGTATGTGTTACCAAAATCGGCGCCAAGATCCCCTCCATAGCTGGCTGAAGATACAACGCCCTTCCAGATGTTATCGTAGACGAGAGGCACCTTTTGTTGGTTGTTGACAAATCGTGCGAATGCCGACTTCAGAGTCTCCAGGGCCGAGGCTGCGAGTGATGGATTGGAGCCCAATTTGCTCACAGTATATACCAAAGTAGCAAATTTGCTGAATGCCTTGCCGCTGAAGTACATACTGTCCAGATCCGACTGACCATGTATGTCCTGCCCTAATTCTGCTGGAGCCACGCTCTGAATAACGTGTTTGGCCGTGCGAGAGAGTGACAAGATACTGCCATTCGAAGGGGACCAAGGAGCAAAGCCCATGTTATTTGGAAGGCCAGGCTCTACCATTGTCCAATACTCTCCAATCACGGCCGTGGCCATGCCCTTCGTGGTCGTTCGCAGCTGAAGGCTGGTCCGTCGGCCGCTTGTCTCGCCGTCAAACGACTGGACATGATGAGGAAGAGAGAACATCAGAAGTGGGGTGTTGCTGACATCCTTGCCTGCCTTGGTCCAAGTGATCCTATATGTGCCAACATTGCTAGATACTGAACCAGAGATAGTGGCGTCGACTGCATATACACCGGCAGAATTGTCGTAGAACTTCTCTCCTGAGGCACCCGCCGGGTTCTTCGCTACTTGGAAGAAGCCAGAGAACCCGGGAGGACCGCGCAGAGTAGTATTCGATATCAATTGAAGATTAGGGTCGGTTTCATTCGCTGGAATAGCATATATAAGCCAAGTCTCTCCGTTTTCAAGGATGGCACGGTATTTGAAGACTCCCGCTCGTGGAGAACCTGCGCGATCAACAGACCTAAACATGATACTGCTCTGCACCATGGGCTGGAGGTTGGAGTAGACCCCGGTGACGAGCCCCATGCCTTGAAAAATCGGGAACGTGATGCTCTGGCTGGATCCATTGAATGGACGCAAGACCATATGTACTGAAAACGCCGTTGGTTTTTCTGTAATATAAACAGTGGAGTTGCCCAGCTCAGCTGCAGATAATATCACAGACTGGATGCCAATTGGATTGATGTAATACGATATTGGATTGCCAGGGATGCTAGGGTTGGTTGGACCAGTTGCCAGCATATTAGATTCGATATGCGTGACGGCCATACCGTAGCTCACAGCATTTCCACCACCCTTGCACCACGCCACCGTGTAAGGGTGTGTGAAACCGGCATTTGTTTGGCTTCCCAGAAAATAGCCGGCGTAGAACTTGTTTGTGGGGATAGGACCGGTAGCGTTCTGTTGCTATTAGTATCGGCCTTAGGTAGGAGTATTGAAAACTTACAATCCACGATTTCGGAACAGGGTGGTCATTCCTCGATTGTATGTTTGCAGGAATTGGCCCAGTTGATACTGGTAAAAATACATCTTGGCCGGACATGGTGAAAGACCTGTCACGCAAAGGATATGAGTATATAAGCACTGTATTGAGGAGCCATGTCAGTATGACTGAGAGACCGAATATCCCTCTTTCCGCCATCCCAGAGCAGGAAAAAAAATGGGAGGGAAAGATATAGCAATATAACGGTATAACCAATGAAGATAGTGAAAATCAAGGAAAGCTAGACAGAAATGACTCTGGGGAAAGGAACAAGATAGCTTTCACAGAAAGCCCTAAGGCCTATATTTCAACAGAAAGGAAGGGCAACAGGCCAAAATAGCGAACATACAAAAAGAGAGAAGAGAAGAAAACATCCAAATAGACTGGAAACAACTGCCCCCCAGAATGACCTCTGAATGAACAGATGGATAATGAACGTCGAATTTTCGCCAGCAAGAACAGGAACAGCAACTCAACAAGAGAGAAGAAAGGCATGACTGACCAGACGGTATAAATACCTATCTCTTTCTCTAGGGACAGGCAGGACTTGATCTGCGGCTGGGATATCTCCAGCAAACGAGTGTCAGATGGGAAACTTCTCCGTAGATGACCTCTGCAGTATTCGAAACGAGACCTGCAGAATTATATTGACTTCCTTGGATCGATCCACAACAATACTCAAAGGCTTCAGCAGAAAGAAATGGCCCTACGTAGTGTTAGTGCTGTAGCCCGACCCACATTTGGACACACAAAACGTGGCTGAAGCAAGTGACAAAATCCCCCGATTGAGATCTCAGAAACAGCTGCCTGATAAGCTTTAGCGTTCGAGCAGAGTTCGAACTGTGGAAAAGGAACCGTGAAGAACTCGATGACAGATCACAGCCAGAGATGCGATAGAGAACGCCGGAAGACTGCCGCGTGTCGGAGGCAGCACGAGGGGTCCACGTTGAGACACCACAGAAAGGTCCACGAGGAGGCTGGTCAGCAGCTATTACTCCGTGGCCTCTGTTTAGATCTGTTCAGATGGAGAGTGTTGGTGGAAAGCATGCTAGGATTCGTTCTGAGATCTGAGGTCCACAGAATTATCGATGTGGGACGGGGTTCACGGTGGCTGGTTATTAATAGTCGCCGTGATATGTGGAGATGGACCCTCGACTGCCCTCACGGCCATCGAACCACCGACACCATCGAAGGGTAAGTTCGACGATGGGTCAGCAGGGAGAGTGGAGCTTCAGTGATGGTTCTTCTGGTGCAACTCCAAGCGATGCATCCATGCGCCTGATCAGATCATCGTCGAAGGCTACGCTCAACTCATTCATTTGCAAACGCTTGCAGCCGGTGAGAACGGCTAAGGATGCACAGCTCCTGGGGATAATTACAGTATGCAAGGGGCACATGAACAATACACTCTATTTTCCGGAACCTATCAATATATGTACTACGGCTTCGATGCGACTGTGACAGGTCGAACCAACTGTCAGCCTGACGGTGCAGTTCGAACAGCACGCACAGGACCCCATCATCTTCTAGATCATAGGCTTTTGCATGGGCTTGATGATGCCCTGTTTGATCATCACGCGGGGCTTGGTTGCGTTCTGGAAGGTCTCCTTCGTAGACCATTCCGGGCCGATAGGAAGGCGCAGGGACCTTTCGTATTGCTGTTTTGACTCGAATGGATGAGGCAGCTGAGTTGCAAGGTACTTTTTGTTCTGTGACGTGGGGAGTAGAGTCAGCCTGTGCACTTCTGCTGGACGGAAAACATGGCAGGGCTCTCTTACCTTTTGGATCCGCTTCTCGTTGATTATGACTCGGGACAGCTTCGCGTCTTTTCGGTCTTCGGGGTTTACTCCCTCGACGGTAGTAAGGAACCGCTTCTGACGCTTCTGCTGTTTCTTACTGATCCCCTGACCGGTCCAGCTGCCCCATCCCGGGAGGGTGTTGTCGATGACTTGATCGCCTTCCTCCTCAATGGTGTCAAGCTTCTCCTGTTCGAAATTCTGGACGACCTCATCTCCAGCGAACGCCCTCTTCACGAGGTCGTGATTCTTGAGAAGAACCGGGACCTTGCTCTCTTCATCGCTTTCATCGTCATCTTCGACAGAACGCGACTGCTTTGGAGTTGGTTGCTTCACCTTTTGATCCCTGGAACTATCCTTGGGATCAACACGGTCAACTCGAGAGCTGGACTCGCTTAACGTGATATCCACGTCTTCGTGAGAATTATCTGCTGTCCGTCGACGATTGGTTCTATTTGTCTGGACAAGCCATGGATTCTCTTCTTCCCCGGCATCTTGGTCCCTTTTACTCGAGGGGCCACGCGTAGATTGTGTTGCAGATTTTGCAACCGGGCCAGCAGATTTCTGGTTGTTGGGGCGATCAAGCACAATATCAATATCCTGCTCAGAGTCTTCATCTTCTGACTCCGCAGCCTCCTCAAACTCGTTCTTGGGAAGGGGCTTGGACTTTTGCGGGGGCTTCTCATTCCCAGAATGACCGAATTTCCGGCGACCAACTTCAGGTTCTGCTTCGGCTTGTGGTTCATCGCCATTGAGATCTCGCTTGAGCCGCCTGAGTTCTATATCGTTTTGCTCTTTGCGTGCGGCTTCAGCATTTTGCATGAATTTCATAGATAAAAGCTTGGCGTGAGGTCCCTTGATATCCTCCGCAGGTTCACCTTCTGCCGTGATTGCGCTCAGCTTTTGACTGATTTTACGTTTCTCCACATCGGAGGCATCCTCCCGCCATGGATCCTCATCTTCGGACTCCGAACTCGAAGAATCCAAATAGTCATCATCATCAGCACGAGAGACGCGTTTACCCTCAATTCGCTTCCGTAGCTCCTCCTCTCTTTGTGCCAAGTCTGCAGCTCCCTGTCGGGCTTCTGCGTCCCAAGCCGTACGACCGGTCTGCTTCAGACTTTTAGCCCATTTGCTATCCCGGTGTTTTGCACCCATCCTGGCCTCAGCTCTCCGTCGTTCATTCAATTCTCTCTCTTCTTCTTCTAAGTCCACACCTGCTTCAATTAGAGCTTGCCTTTCCTGCTGCTCCATTTTCTCCCGTTCCTTGCGATGGACACGACGATAGGCTTTGCTCTTGATTTTTTTGATACGTTTCGCGCGCACTTCTTCCCGGAATAGCAGATCGCGGTGCTTTCGCAATTCCGCTCTACGCGCACGTAGTTCCTCGAGAGGGATTTTCCTTGCTTGTAGCTCCTCAAACTCTTTGACCTGATCTTCCGCCGACTTCCCATCTGGTTGTACCAAGCCGCTTTCGACAAGAATGTTCTGGATTGTGTTCTCAAGGTCAGTGTGCGGTTTCACAGCGCCCAGTCTGTGGCTCTGCTGAGCATCAGGGTCGGGCAGGGGAAACGAAAGGTGCTCGGCTCTGCGATTGGCTTTGACAGTCTCAATCCATCGATCGAGGGTCTCTTTGCTCTTCTCGTAAGCGGCTGCCCGGTCCAGTCGATCCTGCTGGCGTTTTGGAGGAGGCGCCTCAAGCTTTCCTGGAATACCCACTGATTGCGGCTTCTGTGAGGTAGCGGAATCAATGTGCTTGAGTGAACTCTTTAAACGAGAATCCGTGATGGAGGGCAGAAGGTCAGCCACTGTCAATTTTCGTGTAGAAGTCAACCCGTATTCTGTGGGGTTTCCTTGCTCCTGCCCGGTACCGGCTACTTTCTTGGGTTTGCTAGTAACATCTGTCTCCATGGAATTGACGAAGCTTTGTAGCTTAGAGAGCGCACGTTCGTCTGCAGCGTCTGCCTCGTCATCTGAGAGCGATAATCCAGACTCATCGTCGCTGGACTCGTCACTATAATCCCCTTCGGATCCCGAATCAGGTTCATCAGGCTGTTCTGAGAAGTCCGCTCTCGTAGGTTTATTTGTTTTCGTTGGTGCCTTCTCGTCATCTTCCTCTGCCGCATTCATATCCCAGGCAGTAGTGAGATCGACAGCATCCTCGCCTAAATCATCGTCTTCCTCCCAATCCTCCTCACCTGACCCGTCAACGTTTTCGGAGAGATCAATATCGTGGCGTCGTTTCTTTCCGCCAACGTCTCCCCGCTTCTGCTTGGATGCAGTCGTGGAGCTTCCTCGAAATTTGAACCCTTCAAATCTCTCCTCATCACTCGAGCCCATAGCCTCGTCACTATCCAGCTCACTGTCGTTATCGCTGTCAACCTCCCCTAGTTTCCATCTATGACCTTCTCCATCACTTCCACTATTATTAGAGTCCGACATGTCGTCAGTTCGACGACGCTTGCTATCTGGGCCATCTGAATCGTCTTTATTCCGACCGGAATCCCGTTTGCGTTTGGAAAAGTCGTCATCGTCACCTAGGCGGTTACGTCTAACTCCAAGCTTATCAGGATACTGACTCTCAGCGATAGAAAGAACATCCAGGTTTCGTCCGAGCTTTCGCTTCTGCTTTGGCTTCTTCGAAGTGGTATCTTTGGGGCCGCGCAAATTGGCCTGCCGGCGAGGCATTTTGCTGTCCTTTATATGTACGAACTTTAAAAGTTCCTTTCGAGAATTAAAACCTGTTTCTGAATTGATAGAGCTGCAGTTGAGAAAGTATGTGCAGGTCTGCTGAACTTTTTTGATTTTTTTTACCGCACATCAGTATCAAGGGCGGAGATAAGAAGAGGAAAAAAAGTTGTCGGAAGCTTACCACTAGCGCCGCCCGGATTTCTGCTCAGGTCTCACGCACCGCTTTATACGAAGCACTTATTGACCGCCACAGACAGGGACTATTTCCTTCACTTTCTTGTCTGCGGGATTAGATTTCATGGTTTATAAAAATGTTTAAGCCTTCCCAACCCATGATGGCGCGCTTGCGCTTGACCACGAAGCAAGTCAATGGCGGTTACTACAAGGGAAACCGGACTGGCTCCATGGGACACTGGGGGAAAAATGGCTCTACCTATATCATTGACTGGAACAAAGTCCGCACTTATGTTGTCCCCGATAGCCTCAGTGAATTTAAGGTAGGTTTATTACTCGATTCTTATACAGGAGCCCTAGACGGCTCCATGAAGATGTCTCTTGGCTAACCCTTTTGGAAGCTCACACCGTTCGTAACGAACAAGATGCCTCCGACGAAGAGCAAGTACACGAAAGAGGAAAATAAGAACGGTAGAAATATTGTATACCAGCGGGCTCTGGAAGGCGAGGACTATCTCCAGGTATGGGCATTGGAGAACGCACGGGAATCCATAGCGCTCGAGGAAAACTCGGAGTTGCTGGGGCAGAAAAGGACCACCGGTGATGAAACCAAATAATGGAGATTGACATTATGGGTCTGGAAACTGGTAATATTTCCCATTGATTGCAGTCCTGATCTCGAGGCAATTCTAATCTTCGGGGGTAACTACACAGACAGCGAAACACCTCTCTCCCCTCCGGACCGTCGTCCTCCCAAAAAGACCTCCAACGACAGTACACTGCGCAAGAGTTCCTTTTTATTTTATTCTGTTTGTATTATATTTGCGGGTGCGGAACTTGGTACATTGGACTAGGATTCATAATGCTGTTCTACCTCAAGCGGCGCCGGTGGGTTGGATTTTCAGAACAACAGGGGCCGAATCTGTTGAAATACAGATCTTCATGGTCTACACTAAATCTGGTATACTTACGAATGTAAAATCTTCTATTCAAATCCATCAATCGCCCGTTCGTCCTTCCCTGTAGCTGTAGACGAGTGGCGTGTGTTAGTAGTGGCAATAATTAAATCGGTGCGTGCTTATATTATTTCAGTCTTGCTTCGGGACGGAAGGCGTGCGTGTGCATACCACCGAACGACAGCTCATCAGCTAGCAGCCGTATGTCATTCCTCCATCCAACAGGTCGCAGTCATCCCATCCAACGGCTCCGGATAGTCAATACCAGCTGTCGCCCGTGTTTTCCTTATTGCACATCCTATGTCTTAACTTACAGCGACTCCGATCATCTTTCATCCCGTGGCCTGAGTTTTATAAACGCTCCGACACTGCTCCGTATCTAATCAAACCATCAGGGAACGATGTTCCAGTCATTCACAGGCAACGCCCGCCGCCCGCGACAGGTCAATCTCGGAGGACGCAATACAAATCCGTTTGCTGCATACCCTTCTGGGAGGCAGCATCCTCGTGGGCCTGGACCTCAGAATACCCTCGCTATCGCGCAGCAGGAAAGACTATTGAGACAGCAAGAAAGGGAACGTTTAGGAGCGGGTCGGACTATACAGAGGATTTGGCGGGGTTATCGGAGTAGGAAGCATACTCACAATGCCTGGAGAGAGGAATGGGATGTTGCTGAAGAGAGAAGGACCGAGGTATTGCCGTCGTTTGGAGATCCAGCAGGATACTCGAACCTCCTTCACGGACATCCTGTCCCATATAAGACGGTGGAAGAGTGTTTGTCTCAGCTAAGGCTTTTGGTTCAGTTTTTGGAGACGACAAATGTCAGCGATGTTTCTCGTCTCGTATATTTCTCAAATGTCTTTCAGAAGACTTTGCACGAAGCCTCTACTATCGCAACGGAAGGAGAATGGACGTTGCTCTTGGGGCGCCTTGCTAAAGCAACGCTGGGAGTTTTACGCTCAGCTCAGTCTTTGACAACGCTAACCTTTGCAGTCAATCCTCTTCTCGGATTGCTCGTATTCCTTACTGGCCTAATACCCAAGCAAATGGCGCGAATATCACAGGAGTATTATTCTGTTATGGCCATCCTGACGAAGAATATAGAGTTTTTTTCCCAAGTGGCCAGTCTATCTCAAGATAACCTCATTCAAAGTGTACTTGCTCTACTTCGACCTATCACATCTGAGACTCTCACTGCGTATGAATGGTTTGCGAGAAGCTACCTTGCTATCCCGGATCTGCCAGCATATCTAGGAACACTCGACGGGTTAGCAAATAATACCAATTACAAGCTGCTGACCTCGTCCCTGGAAACTCTGAGCCTTGAAACAAATGAAACTGTTCCCGGTACAGAAGACGTGGAATCCCATCTTTGGCTCCTTTCATATTTTATCTTCTTCCATCGAAGCGCCTTCGGGGGGCAGGTCGTTCATCAAGTACCAGAACCTGGGTTTGTGAAGGTTGTGTCTCAGCTTCTTAATTCAACCGCCCTACATATCTCGCGCCGTCTCGAGCTGGAGGAGGTTACAGAGGATGGCTCATCTCAGGAAACTCCACTTCCTCCCTTTGTCAAGGAGCAGATTGTCAGTCTGGTCAATCAAAGCAGTATCACGGGCCTGCTCTCCTATCATAACTCGACCGGTCTTTCTCGGGGGGAATTGGCAGATGTCCGGTCGAATACGTCGCAAGAAGCCAAAATTCTCGCCACATATGCCCTGACTCTCTTGAGGGTGTTCCCCCGTAGGGGGGATGATATTCGTATGTGGCTGTATTTGGGCTCGGCTGCTTCAAGCGAGCAGGCGACTGGTCAGCCAGGCGCAAGGATACCGGCGATCAAATTTTTCTGGCAAGCCTCTAGGTCCAGTCAGATATTCCGGTTAATCAGTGAAGATTCCAATAACGTACTCCCTCTACTAAAGCCAGCTGATGCGTCAAAGTCTTCCGGGCTTTCAGGAATGGCTGAAACTGATAGAGGACAAGAATGGACAATCATACTCCTTTTCCTAGAGCTGTATACGTTTGTTCTGAAGGTTATGGATGATGAGGAGTTTTTCTCCAGCAGCTCTTCGTTTACTGCCTCCACGAATGCAAGGATCTCGTGGACCAGAGAAAGCGCATTGCCATTAAAAGAGGTCAAGGATATGACGATCTTCCTGAAAAACCTGGCCTTCACGTTATACTGGAATGCTGCGGATCTAAACGAAAATGAACCCGTCCAGGATACCGGTGGAATCCGAAATTATTTTAGCTCTTTGGCTCCATCTCCAGATTCTCTCATGAGCGTTAGAGATCTTGAGATGCGGAACAGAGGGCTGCCAGGAGTCACAGGAATACCGCTTGACTACTTTAAGGGGCTAGTGACAGGCTTACTACGAATGATTCATGAGCGTGATTCGAGGCGCAAATTTCTCCCCGATGGGCATTGGTTGATGACTAGTCGCTTTGACATGGAAGGTTTCATCCCAGCTGTGGTGGCAGAAGAGGAAAACAGACACCAACTCCAAGATGAGGAAGATGAAGAAGATAATCAAGAAGATTTTACAACCGATGAGTACAACGAGCCTTCCCTCAGTCTGGTAGGTACTGGTCGTGTCCAACAAATACGCCGTATCGAGGCTCTAAGGCGGCGCCAACAACAAGCTGCCCGCAGAAGGCAACTTCAGGCAGTCGCTCCTAGGCTTGAAATACTGAGAAACATGCCTTTCTTTATTCCTTTTGCGACAAGAGTACAGATATTCCGAGAATTTATCTACCGAGACCAGATGCGCAGAAGACGTGGCTACGTTGACCCAGATGCCTGGCGTATGTCTGTGGCGCAGGCCTCTATGGGACGAATGATCGACGGTCACCCTGCGGTTCATGATATTCTCAGTAAACACCATGCAGATATCCGACGTGAAAGTGTATTCGAGGATGCTTTCGACCAATTTTACGGGCTGGGTGAAGGTCTCAAGGAACCGATTCAGATCAGCTTCATTGACAGATTCGGCACAGTGGAAGCCGGCATCGATGGAGGTGGTGTAACTAAAGAATTCCTGACCAGCGTCACAAGCGAAGCCTTCAAATCTTCTTCTGATGAAGCGAAACTATTTGAAGAGAACGACCAGCATCTCCTGTACCCAAATCCGGCCGCCGTTGAACATCGTAAGGAGCTTCTACGACAACAAGGCTTTGTTGCAAGCAGCCCGGATTGGAACGAGCATGTTCGCGATCTGCTTAGGCGATATGAGTTCCTGGGACGCATTATAGGGAAGTGCCTATACGAAGGGATATTGGTAGACGTCAACTTCGCTCCTTTCTTCCTACTAAAGTGGGCCTTGACTGGTGGCACTGGTTCTGCACAGAAGGAATCGGCCTACCGAGCCAATTTGAATGACCTGAAAGATCTTGACGAAGGTCTCTATCAAGGCCTGGTATGCCTTTTTTCCCTTTCCTTTCTTTCCCTTCCCAGTGGGCAGGGTGCTGACCGTCTCTCTTCTAGCTGCAACTGAAGAATTATCCTGGAGATGTCGAAGACTTTTCTTTGAATTTTACTGTCACAGATACCATTCCCCTTTCGAACTCACGCAACAAGACCATCACCAGGGACCTGAAACCCGATGGCTCAAACACACCTGTCACGAATCAGAATCGACTTGTTTACATTTCCTACATTGCACGCTATCGTCTCCAAGTGCAACCATCGATGCAAACAAACGCTTTCCTCCAAGGTCTTGGGCAGATAATCCAGCCCTCCTGGCTATCCATGTTCAATCAGGCAGAATTGCAGACACTTGTCAGCGGTGATTCGGGTGACATTGACGTGGCCGATCTGAGACGGAACACTCTGTATGGAGGGATTTATACTATCGGCGACGATAAGGAAGAGCATCCCACTGTGAAATTATTCTGGGAGGTCATGGAGAGCATGACAAATGAGGAGCGCCAAAAGGTGTTGAAGTTTGTAACCTCGACGCCTCGCGCTCCTCTACTAGGCTTCAGCCACCTCAATCCCCGATTCAGTATCCGTGACTCGAGCGAGGACCAAGATCGGCTGCCCAGCACGAGTACTTGCGTTAATCTTTTGAAGTTGCCACGGTACTCTAATGCAAGAACGCTCAAGGAAAAGCTGCTCTACGCAGTCAACTCGGGCGCGGGTTTTGATCTTAGCTAGAACAGGGCGGCAAATTTAATCAGGAGACTGAGGAGAGTGTGGGGAGCAAGATATGAGATTTTTTTAGTGTTCATTTTGTCTATACAACTAGCGAGGAATGCATAGGGATTAGATTAGGTTCGAGATAGGGTCTGTTTTCTCCATGTTCACGAGTACCATATCAATGCTGTCTGTATCGAAGATAGATCCTCAATGCATCCATGACTCCTACAATCCACCCAGGCATCGAAGGGATCTTATGTGCTTTAAAATAAATCCACGAAGCTCCCATCCCTCTCGAGGCCTTCCACATGCAGAGAACAGCCTCGAGCGCCAGGCCTTGAATATTACCACACGAGACAAAGTGTCAGAATATTATCGATGAAGTCTCTTAAATAAAAGATATTATCTAAGCGAACATAGTCCCACGAACGCTACAGCGTAGAAATACTGTATTAAAAGAGGCGAATTTCGCCGCACAGAAAAGCCCTGAAGCGCATCAGGGCATCTCGGCCCAATCGGGACTAGCGCGGGTCTTTGACAAAATTCCGTTTTGGGAACAGAGAAAAGATTCTCTTTCTCTTCTTTCCTCCTTCTCTCCTCCATCCCTCCCTCCGCTGCCCTCAGCTTTATTTCTCCCTTCTAGGCTTTTCTTCCTTTTATTTTCGAAAATAATCGAAGAAAAAAAATCTCAAAAAAAACCCGGAAAACTTATAAAAAATTTCCTTTCTCTTTTCTTACGTCCACTTGTGCGGTGTGGGAAAGATAACTTTTTTTTAACCCTTCGCCTCTGCCCACTCTCGTCTCCCCGTGATCGCGTCAGTTCGCATCGCTCTCCTCGCCTCTCCCTGTTTTCTTCTGTTTGATTTCCTGTCTGGGAAATTAAATTAGGCCGTACGTTTGGTCGTCAGGAGCCCTCGTTTGATCGCCTTTCTTATCTCTGACGGCATAGGTTGTCTTTAGTGCGACTCTGAACTCAAAACGTCTGTTGCTACAGGTCATTCAATGTACGTGTCCCGTGGGCACATCCCCTTTCACGTTCTTCTGTGCATGGATTTGGATTTCAATTTTTCATACGATCTCTTTGGAATGAGCACCTTTCATTGGCTGACATGGATGTCTCGAGAAAAGAAACAGAAATCAAAATGTCTGCCGACGTTACCACCGCTCCTGTCACCGACAACGCCGTCAACGGCTCCCCGGATGCCAATGGCACTGCTGCCAACAAGACAGCTGCTGAGGTTCCTGCTGTTGAAACCACTGCATCCCCCGGCCCTACTACCACTCAGCCTCAATCTGCATCGCTCTATGTCGGTGAACTCGACCCCTCTGTGACCGAGGCTATGCTCTACGAGCTGTTCTCCTCCATCGGCCAGGTTGCCTCCATCCGCGTCTGCCGCGACGCTGTCACCAGACGTTCTCTGGGCTATGCCTATGTCAACTACAACAACACCGCCGACGGTGAGCGCGCCCTCGAGGATCTCAACTACACTCTCATCAAGGGAAAGCCTTGCCGTATCATGTGGTCTCAGCGTGATCCTGCTCTGCGCAAGACCGGTCAGGGCAACGTTTTCATCAAGAATCTGGACAGTGCAATTGACAACAAGGCCCTGCACGACACCTTTGCTGCCTTCGGAAACATCCTCAGCTGCAAGGTAGCCCAGGATGAGTTCGGTAATTCCAAGGGATATGGTTTCGTCCACTACGAGACTGCTGAGGCTGCCAACAACGCCATCAAGCATGTTAACGGGATGTTGCTCAACGACAAGAAGGTCTTCGTCGGACATCACATCTCCAAGAAGGATCGGATGAGCAAATTCGAGGAGATGAAGGCCAACTTCACCAACATCTACATTAAGAACCTCGACCAGGAAATTACTGAGGAGGAATTCCGCAAGATGTTCGAGAAATTCGGCGAGATCACCTCCGCCACCCTGAGCCGTGATCAGGAAGGCAAGAGCCGTGGCTTCGGTTTTGTCAACTATTCCACTCATGACAGCGCGCAGGCCGCCGTTGATGAGATGAATGACAAGGAAGTCAAGAGCCAGAAGCTCTACGTCGGCCGTGCTCAGAAGAAGCATGAGCGCGAAGAGGAATTGCGCAAGCAGTACGAAGCTGCTCGCTTGGAGAAGGCATCCAAGTACCAGGGTGTTAACCTCTACGTGAAGAACCTCACTGATGATGTTGATGATGAGAAGCTGCGCGAGCTCTTCAGCCCCTATGGCACGATCACTTCTGCCAAGGTGATGCGCGATGCCTCCAACATCGAACGTCTCCAGACCCCGGATTCCGAGAAGGAGAAGGAGACCAACAAGGAAAATGAGCAAGCCGAGGGCGAAAAGGCCGAAAAGCCCCAAGAAGAAGCCAAGGAGGCTGAGGAAAGCAAAGAGGCTAAGAAGGCCGATAAGAAGCCCCTAGGCAAGAGCAAGGGCTTCGGCTTCGTCTGCTTCAGCAGCCCTGACGAGGCTTCTAAGGCTGTTACCGAGATGAACCAGCGCATGGTCAACGGTAAGCCTCTCTATGTCGCCCTTGCTCAGCGCAAGGATGTTCGCCGGAGCCAGCTCGAGGCCAGCATTCAGGCCCGTAACACCATCAGACAGCAGCAGGCTGCCGCTGCTGCTGGAATGCCACAACCGGTATTTCTTCTCCAATACAACTATACATGTGCAGGAAAATCTAACTAGTCTATAGTACATGCAGCCCGCTGTCTTCTACGGGCCTGGTCAGCAAGGTTTCATCCCAGCTGCTGGACAGCGTGGTGGACTGGCCTTCCCTCCTCAACCTGGTATGGTGATGGGTATCCCAGGAGGACGTCCTGGTCAATACCCTGCTCCTTTCCCGGGTCAGCAGGGTGGACGTGGCGTCGGTGCCAACCAGCAGGTTCCTCCGAACTTTGCTCAGGGTATCCCCATGGGAGCCATGCAGGGCCCTGGAGGCATTCCTAACGGCATGGGATACCCTCAAGCTATGGCCCAGGTGCAGGCATTTGGACGCGGTGCTGGTGGCCGTGGTCAGGTTCCTGGCATGCCGCCCAACATGGGCGTCCGTGGTCCTGGATATGGACAGGGCCGTGGAGGCGTTCCCGTCCAGGGCCAGTTGGGTAGACCTGGTCAGGGTCGTGGACAGAATGCCGCTGCTGGAGGCCGCGAAGAGGTTGCTGCCGGTGGTCTCACCATCCAGGCTTTGTCTAACGCCCCACCTGCTCAACAGAAGCAGATGCTCGGCGAGGCTCTGTATCCCAAGATTCAGGCTCAGAAGCCCGAGTTGGCAGGAAAGATCACCGGCATGCTTCTGGAGATGGACAACGCTGAGCTGATTAGCCTGTAAGTCATACAGATGTTTTGTATGTCTATCTTGCCGGAACTGTTTGCTGACATTCTTCCTCTAGGCTTGAGGATGATGAGGCTTTGCGCGCAAAGGTTGACGAGGCGCTCAGCGTCTATGACGAGTACATGAAGAACAAGGGTGCTGAGGGCGAGGCCGCTGCTGAACCTGCTAAACCGAAGGAGGCCGCTAAGGAGACCACTACGGAAGGAAACCAGTCGTAGATCAAGTGTGTCGATTCCTGGTGTGTAGCGGATATGACTGGAATCTTTTTCGGCCTTTTCAGCCTACCAGCTTGTGGATGACGATTCATGTTACTTTTGTTATGACCCTTCTATCCTTCCTATCCTTATTCCCCGTTTGACCCGGGTAGGGAACCTTTTCTTTCTTCTCCCCCTTGCTATTTCTACTTTCCCTTTTCTTTGTCAATTTGTTTCCCCTGATCCTGATATCCCTCGGTTTCCAAAAGTTCATTGGTAGCGATGCCACCTCGTGTGTCTAGGTAACGACATGACATTCGGCTTATCAGATCCCATAGCGCAACGCCCCTTGTTTCTTCTCTGTCATATACTGGTAGTCGTCTATTCACTTTGTTTCCCTGGCGGTATCGCGTATGCGGTGGCAAGAGGGTCTTAGGGGTCAGAAAAGTGTTCGGGCGCAAGTGTTTTTTTTCTTTCCATGGTGGATCGTCTGTTGGGGGAGTTGTTCTGTTGGTTTTTACTTTCTTCCATGATGTCCCCTGTCCCTAGGCCTTCGTATCTACTGTTGTGTGTAACATAGAGGATTCCATGATGTGATTTGTGTCGGAATTCATGCATCTATTCATTATTCTATGACAAAGTGTGGGGCATTTCCATGGTCTGACAATATGCAGGGATGTAACTATCCATTCATTATTATATATACAAGGCTCCTACACGACAGTGCGCACCACGTCGTCGATGGCTTTAGCCACATACCCAACATTTTTATGGTTCACTGGAATCCAATTAGACACGGTCAAGTATGAACAATGGGAAGAGAACTTACGGCCGCACATGGATATTCGTCCTGATTTGAGCATGTAGATGTGATGTCTGCTTCGGATGGCAAGAACTTGCTCCTCAGACAGTCCGGTGTACGAGAACATGCCGATCTATATAATAATCCAGTCAGCCTTCGCGCGAGTTCAGTTTGTTATGTCAAGAACGAAGCGCAAACCCACCTGAGACAGGATATGATCCCAAGTTCCTGGCGTAGACAGGCGGATGAGTTCATCATACAAAGCCTGCCGCATCGCCTTGATCCTCCCACTCATGTGGCGCAGATCATCGTACCAGTTCTCGCGAAGCTCCCGAGAGGCGAGGACTGTCTTCACAATATCAGAACCAGCCCTGGGCGGCAGAGAATATTCACCACGGACGAGGTTGCACAGGTTGGACAGCACGATCCTGGAGACGGGATCGGTCTCGGAGGTGGTTCTCGACACGACGTGCAACGCGCCAGTGCGCTGGCCGTAGAGTCCGAAGTTCTTGGAGAAGGACTGCGCAACGCAGAACTCGAGCTGCGGACGGACGTTCAGGAAATGCTTGATGACCCATGCGTCCTCGTCGATGCTCCCTGACGCGAAACCCTGGTAGGCGAGGTCGAAGATCGGGATCAGGCCCTTGCTGTGGCATAATTCCGCGAGCTTCGCCCACTGGTCCTTGGAGGGATCAGCACCGGTGGGATTGTGGGCGCATGCGTGGAAGACAACGACGTCACCGGGTTGAGCGAGAGTGCTGAGCGTCTCTGTCGTCCCTGCATGGTTGAAGCATTTCCCCTCGAAATCATAGTACGGGTACGTCCGTCTCCCTACGCCCGCATACGCCCAGATGGCATGATGGTTCGACCATGTCGGCTCGGGGATCCAGACCGTCCGCGGATGCGCAGCACGCGCGAGAAAGTCAGCGCCTACTCGATTGGCACCCGTGCCTGAGACGGTCTGCACGGATGCGATTCTGTTCCGCTGCTGGACGAGATACGACTCGGGCTGTCCGTCGTGGAATCCAAATGCCAGATCCCGAGCTAGTGCGAGGAACTCGACGTCTCCCTGGATCGTCAGGTATTCATGTCGGGATGGGTTCTTCTCCTGCTGCTTCTGTCTCTCGACTTCCTCCACTACGGGCAACGGCCAGGGGTCTCCGTCCTCCGTGCGGTAGACGCCTATTCCCAGATTTACCTTGTCGGAGTCGGAATCTTTGAAGTATGCTGCGTTCAGGGCAAACGGTTCGTCCAGAGGGTATTCCGAGAGAGAAGAGAACCGAGAAGGACTCTCAGTTGAGATGCTTTTGACGGGGACGGGGGAAGAGGTGAGTATGTCGTTATCTATTCGTGATGGAGCCATGTCTGATCAGCCTTTTTTGTTTGTCCTTCTTTTGATGTTATTATTACAACCGGTCTTCGTGAGTCGAAGGATGTACTCCGTATTCGGTGTTATATCTACTACAATCGTCTACGGATGCACCATCTGGAAGACGGCCCCGAGTACTTATAATCCCAGACATACGGCAAGAGTCCCGAGACAGAAATTGCAGTGGAGATGCCTGTCGAAGCCCTCGAATGGAAAAGAAGAAGATATCGCAACTGGTATTCGACAAGGCCTGGCGAGAAAATAAAATTGAAAATCGGTGTGAGAAGACTGCGGTTACCATCGGCAACTCGCCGTGTCTCTGTGGATACTCTGAGAGTCTGCACAGAGTACCGCTATTGTATTGAGGATCACACAACAGCCTCACCACCATCAGCGTCTAGATTCTGCTTTTTCGAGTAATAATGGGCGCTTTCGCGGTTGGAGACGGGTATTCTCGTCCTGCCGGACATTCCCCGGAAAGCTTCAATTGATCATGCATTGAAAACACGGTGCTGACGGAGTATTGCAGGCAATACACAAATATATCTAATTTTGGTTTTCTATATACTGGACTGATGCCACGCATTAGACTGGCAAAGATGCCATAATGCTGCTGTAAATACGGATACATATACCAAATCACTCAACCTCTCCCACTTTCTTCTCCAGCCGGACCAGGGACAGCCCAGAAGCCAACTTACTTATCTCCAAGGGATCGTGTCCCAATTCGGCATAAATGGCATCCAGATCCGTCCCGATGCCAGTCTCCGCGGCGGTGTTAAGACTGCGCCTATCAATGAATGGCGCTATGGAAGGCCACACGCTCTGCACGTTATCGAAGAAGATGTCAACAGCCAGATCCCCGAATCCTCTGAATTCCTTGACGAGAGCTCTAACTCTAGATCGGTCATAATTGGCTTTTTTCAGGAGGTTGTTCAGGTCTCCATCTATGATTCTCGTCAGTCTATGATCCCGCAGCAATAAGACGACGACAACAAGAACAACAATCCACCTCAGAAATAGAAATAGAAAAGAACATACCATACTCCTCACAAACAACCTTCGCAAGATCGCCCAGATTCGTAGCCCCCTGCTCCCTATACCGGTTATACCCGCCATCCTTCAAGACCATCGTCCTCTCCTCCCACGAACTCTCCCGTAATCGTTCAATATCATGATATCCTGCCCCGAGAATCGTCTTCACAGCTTTCTGAGACAGATTATGTGAGATGGGATGCGACTTGAGCATGGCGTCGATCAGCATCGCCAGCACCGTGGAGGGTGTTGCTTCCAGTGTACCATGATTATTATCCTCCACCGGTGTGCCGGCTAATGGAGTCGTGCCGAACTCGTTGACGACTCGATGCACCCTTGAGGCTAAAATATTTTCGCTCATTTTGTTTCTCTGGTATTTAATCCATGTCCTGAATACTCCACGGTTCCAGTTTTGACTCCAGTTCTTTTCAAGGGTTGTTGGGTATATGATGTCACATAGTGTCATGCGAGATAAGAGGATTATGTAGTTCAATTCGGGTAATGACTGTTTTGATGGTTGGAATTAGATGCTTTCTTGATTGATGGCTAAGACGGGATAACAATGAGCTTGGCTTCTGGGCACATCCATGATACAGCTGTGCGGTGGTTATCATTCTTATTTTGTAGGGCATCATTTACAATTGTTTAGCGACCAGCTTCAGTATTATAAATTTAGAAAACAATATTTCTATCACAACATCCGGTATGGTGTAGTGGCTAACATCGCCGTCTCTCACACGGCAGCCGGGGGTTCGATTCCCCCTACCGGAGAAGCGCATTTACATTTTTTGCTTTCATTCTTTTTTACTCTCCTTCCCCCCATTCTTTTTTTTTTGATTTGCTGTTTAGATGAACGTTCCTCCGGTATATTGTAAACCATATTTTTATACTTTGAATGACCTGCCGGCAGGTTGGTGAAAATACTTTCTAGGTACGGAGTTGCTGTGTACCCTGTAGTCTCTTTGTTGCACGCGACTTGACTTTATTCCTCTTGTCCCTACAGCCATCCTTTGGCTTTTGAGATTTCCGTTGGCATCGGAACTAGATCCGCCGACCCTGGGTCTATCTTTCTAGGCCATTATGAGCCATGCTCGGTCATCTCGCTGCCATCCCTGTTTCAAGAGAGGTGCGGTAAGAAGACACTGGTGCCGAAAATCGCCCCTTTCAAATACGAGCTTCGTTACATGCAACAGGAGCCTTCAATTCATTCCGTTCTGGAAGCTTGCAGGTTTCCACTTGCTCCAGGGCTTATGGGCCAGTCTATGAGAAAACAGAAGGTAGGATCATCTGGTTTTTAAATGGAAGAAATCCCAATAGAATATCCGGGTATTGAGGATTTGGAAAATTGCTGGGAGACTATCCGCAAACTGCATAGTATTGGGATCATACACGGCGATGTCAATAGATACACTTTACTCCTGACACAAAATAGGACTGCGAAAATAATTGATTTCGAAGCATCAACGACGAAATTTAACGAGGAGTCGGTTTCAAGGAACTGGAATCTCAAAAAATGACTGGAAGACGATTCAGGTATGGGTAGGAAAATGGCCTTTACTAGGGTGAGCTCCAATCTATGCATCGCATCTGTAGTGAGAGTATACCGTATAATAGTAGATCTGCTGCCTGGACCTCATAGGCAAATAATGATCTAGGTGTATCTAGATGTTCACAAGGACAAGGATCATTAATGGTATAGATAGTTGAAGCACCAGTGCTGATACACTCTACTGCCACTGTCACAGGACTCGGAGAAAGCATTTCACACTCTTTCCAGTGCTCGGTCCTTACTATGTCTATCCCAAGTGAGATGCCGTACATATGTACAAAAGTTGCATGCTCTTTTATATACCTATGCAATCTATTTGGGAACGACACTGATATGGCAATCCAGTCATCTGTAAAGCAGATCTTTCACCATCTCCCCTATAGCCAACGAGCTCGTTAAACCAGGACTCTCAATGCCCAGTAAATTAACAAGTCCCGGGAAGCCTTCCTCCTTCTGAATGACAAAGTCCTGGAATCCGGAACCAGCCGGACCCAACTTCGGCCGGATCCCGCAGTAATCGAGGTCAATCGCACTCGGATCGATGTTGGGAAGGTAAGCTCTTATCTCGGGGATGGCCTGCTCCAGACGCGTGCCCTTGGGCTTGAGGTCATTCGGGTCGTTGACCCATTCAACATCCGGGCCAAAGCGGACGCGTCCGCTCAGATCCAGGGTAAGATGTGTGCCCAGGCCACCGTGTCCCGGTTTGGTTACCGGATAGACGAGGACAGAGGGCTTCGGATATGAGGCGGAGTAGGAGAAGTAAGTGCCCTTGGCGAAGTACGGGGTACGATGCCGTGCTGGTGGGAGGACCATATTGTTGATGATGCATGCCGAGTTTCCGGCACTGTTAATCAGGGTCTCTGCAGTGATATCTGATTCCGTGCCATCTGCTGATTTGGCAAAGATCCTGTAACCACCCGTCCCATTGATACCCAGGGGCTCGATTCGAGTGACAGAGGTCAGGAAAGCGGAATCTCCGCCTTGATTCTCGAATTCGCCTAACAGGTACGTCATGAGGGAATGACTGTCCACGATTCCTGTGGATTCGCTTTCGAGAATACCTCTCCTGGCTCTGACCTCTGGTTCTCGTCTCTGGGCCTCCTCGGGATTAACCAGCCGCGTTGGCACGTTGAGCGACTTTGCGCGTTCGTGAATCCCAAGACAAGACTCCCATTCCTCGTCATCCTGTGCCACGATCCATTTCTTGGTGTTGTGGTGAGGGATTCCCTGTTTCGAGCAGAGATCGTACATCATTTCCCGTCCCTTGATGCATAGTTTTGTCTTTAGGGAGTCTTTCGGGTAGTATAGACCGGCGTGAATGACCTGTTACGAAGACAATCCGTTAGCCATCATGCGTCCATTGAAAATCTCTATCCATCCCAGGGGATAAGAAAACCTAGATGTAAAATACCTCCGAGTTCCGACTGCTCGTCTCTGTTCCTGGAGCATCATGTCGTTCTAGCAGAATGGTGGACGTGCCTTCTCTTGAAGCCAATTGGCGCGCGATCGCAAGGCCTACGACTCCGGCACCGATAATCTAAGGCAGATAAATCCATTAGTATCTAATCTCTTGTTTTTGGATGGATTCTGGACAGAAGGAGCAGTGGGACTCAGGGAAGTGTTACCGCATGTGTGAAGTCAGCGCGGGACGCGGGGGTGCTTGAGAAGCTGCGGCGGAATCGGAGGGAGCTCCGTGGGAGACACACGCGAGCAGCCATGACAGGGCTGGATGAGAAAGAAGCGACAGTGGTAAAGAAGTGAGACTCCCGGCTGGAGCCAGGATTATTGCTAAGTTGAGGTCCAGCCTGAGCTATCGATGGATGGACCTTCGCCTTATCGTGCTGCGTTATCATTTCGGTGTTGCTCCGTACGCTCCGCAGCTTTATCAAATGGACTAATTCCGATCTAGATGGTTGTAATAACTTAGAAGGGGGGAGGCAATTGGAATCTATATATAATATAGAATATATCACATTGCAGTTTGCCGAAGGGTTGGTCTAATTACTACATATGTAGGGCAGCGTCATGGAGATAGTACCACGATTCATCAAAATATATATATATCTTGTCATTGAAATTGATTCCCTCCTGACACAAATCATATTCACAACTGTAGTAGGTAGATTGTGGCCTAGATGCTCTGCATCAAGACATAAGGTGGATAGTCTTTCAATACCATGCAAAAATAAACACCTCCACCGGCGCTTCCATTGCGTCGGACCCAAGCCGTTCAGCCACGTCTCCCAGAATTCTTAAGCATCTCATCAAGGTGCTGGGAGAAATTAGTAATGGAGGCTGCTAGACAATTGGAAATTGTGAGGACTTGCCTGTTTTTGCTCTGCTGCTAACTTCCCTTGAGTATCCTATTCACAAGTCAGCGAGGATGAATACATCCGAACACATGCAGTTGACGAGTAAGACATACGCTGATTATAGTTAATATCAAAGAATAATTGTTAAATAGAAACCTTTCCCTATGTTTGGCATCCCCACCGCACCTGCTCAGCTTGGTCAACAGCGCGTCAAACTCCGCCGTTAACCGTGTCAGACTATGAGACACAGGTTCGTCATCACCGGCCTCGCTGCTGAGCACTAGGATGCCATGTAGAAGCTGGCCGAATCTCTGCGTGAGAAAGTGCGGTGCCGACGACCGACTCGCGTCATCTCCTCCTGCCAGAGATAATGCCGACATGGCACCCCGACCGGTTTGCGATGCTACCTTCTTGAGGGACTCGCACTGGATGTCCATGATTACCTGGAATCTAGGCCAGAGCTGCATATTGACACCATTGATGTACGAGTCAGCCGCAGGAATTTTACGCCGCTGTAGCTCGAATGCTGCTTGCTGGTTCAGCCGTACACAAATCAAGACGCCAAGTAAATCGGTACTATTCTCAATCAGCTGTTTCGTCAAGCCGTGGCCGAGTGAGAAAACCGGATCAAAAATCTCGATGGCCTTGCGAGAAATTTGATGCAAGGACATGGTAGAAAACATCTCTGTCATAAACGAATATTCGGCGGAGACATTGTCCACCAGGGCAAGGTGGAAGTTTCTGAATGGAATCTCAATCCCGTGAAAAGAGTGGTCTTCCTCCGCCACATAGGACGATATCGCCGCATGATTGCTGGTTCTGAGGATGTCAACCCTCCTACCCAGCGAAAACGGATCATGAGCAGCAGCACCGGATCGACTGCCAGGGATAATATGAGCTGCTCTCTGAGCTGATGGATCACCACCCAAAACCTCGTTTCGGTCACTAGGCCAGAGTCTGATCCTTTCAAGTGCCTGAAGATAACGTGTGAAGTTGGACAAATAATACCATCGCATAGTGTTGATATATGCCTGAGTAATCTCCTCCGCAAGGGTACGATGGGCCCTCCAAAGGTAGCTATAAAGATCCTTGAACCTGACCATACGTTGTTGCTGGAGGATCTGCGCGTTGATGTTCGGCGACCGTAGCGATCTTATCTGGGAGACTAGATAATCACGGATTCTTTCAACGGCCTTTTGTAATGTCTCAGTTTTAAGTTCAATTCACAATCTATAGCTGCATAACGCTTACCTTGTTCTTAATGTCCGTCAGAAGCGGACGCACATCTTCAATTGCTTTGGCGCTGGTAGAAGCCGAGATTTTCGATTCTATACTCGCAGATCGAGTCTCAATATCGTTCAATGCTCGCAACCAGTTCTCATCAATTGGCCCTTCTGCGATCAACCGGACAGCTCTTGGGGAAATGCTAATTTCCTCCACAGCTGGCCCCAGAAGCCGCTCCAAATTCCGCCTATTCTCCAGCATTGCATTCAGTTGCACAGATCGAGCTTGCAGGGTTTCGATTTCAGCAGACACAGCCCCCAGTTCGCGCTGGAAATCGTTCAGGTATAGTTCAACCGATTTCGACACGTCGTCGCATCCCGTAATTGCCGTATGAAGTTCCTGAAATTTGTCCCTTTCCTTCTCGAATTGCTGAACTGACTGGGAGCCGACATCGCTCCTGGATGTTTTCCACCAATCGCTCTCATCTGCGACGAACTCCTGCAGACTAAGGCCCTCAAAGGGAATGTCTTCCATCAACTGAGAGGGTTTGGATTCGGGAACAGAAGTCGAAACCGGCACATCTGCATCTGAAGTCTCTCCTTTCTTTCCCCCGATTATTCTGTTCAACACCTCTAAGGGATCGGCGACATCGGGGGGACGAGGCCTTGTGGCACTCTGCCTCAGCACTGACCCTTCATGGAGGCCACGCACGAGACCGGGAAGCGATGTAGTTGAGCCATTCGGAGTGGGCGAAATGGATAATGGCGACGACTGAGGGCCAGCCCCAGGGCGATTGCTGTGCGGACCAGGAGACAGATAGGAGGAAGATCTTCGAGGGATCGGAGAAGCGCGACTATGGAGCGGAGCTCCCAAAGGGTTCGAATGGCCTGAGATGCGGTCAAGCCACATCCTGGGCGGCCAGCACAGGGGAGGGAGAAGTTATCAGGGTACTGGCAAGCCTCATCGAAGGAGGGCCTGCTAGTTCTATAGTTAAAGAGCACTTGTTGTCCCGGCCAGAAGCTCCGTCTACAGCGGACCAACAATGCGTCTGCCGGATTGGGTTTAGCGCTGCTGACAGAGCAGCCCTGCAGTACGGAGTACTAAGTAGGTACCAGTAGTGTACGGAGGACATCCGGATGCGATCTCGTACAATCGAGCTATTGTTTTTCCTGAATATCCCGAGCATAATTATTACCAATGCATTCTCAGTGAGATATGTAGCATCCTTTATCACTGCCTGAGGCTACTATGTACAGTCTGCCTAGGTAACTTAGAATACTGCTGCTCACGTGCTGGCATATCGAAGCATTACCATTGGCTGGAGCTCTGCTTACGTCATCAAATGAGGGGCGCGAGGTTTACACTGCGCTAAACTGGATTGGGACCTAGCGACCCGAGACCCCGCCACAACAAAACTGCCAATTTTCGCTCGCGATTCATGCCTTTCTTCCCCGTCTCTCCTCCGTCCCCTCCCAGCAAGTTTTTTTTCTGCGTCTTCCGCCTCCTGCCTCCTCTGTCATTCTCTTCTTCCCTCCTTAGACTCCTCTAGTCGTCGCTTTTTGTCCATATACAGCCACCATGTCTGACGAGCAGGTATGTTCTGACTTGCATTTTCTCGATGCTTGCCTCTGTTTGCCTACGATTCCCCCCCTTTCCATTGCTGGGTTTTTATCGAGCCCCGCACCCTAATCTCCTCGAACCTATGCGCAAAGGGGGTGCACTTTTTTGCCTTTCAATCGTATCCTCAACATGAGGAATACGTACAGGACCGGATGCTGACTATTTTGCGCTTATCTGCAGCATGAACACACCTTCGAGTCCGCCGACGCTGGCGCGTCCGCGACCTTCCCCATGCAGTGCTCTGCTCTGAGGAAGAACGGACACGTTGTCATCAAGGGTCGCCCCTGCAAGATCGTCGAAATGTCGACCTCCAAGACTGGAAAGCACGGTCACGCCAAGGTCCACATTGTTGCCATTGATATCTTCACTGGCAAGAAGCTCGAAGATCTGTCTCCTTCCACTCACAACATGGACGTTCCCAACGTCAACCGCAAGGACTACCAGCTTGTAAGTTTTATATAGATCATTATGTCGATGTTCATTTTCTAACTCTGTTCCTTCAGCTCGATATCTCCGACGATGGCTTCCTTTCCCTCATGGACGAGAACGGTGACACCAAGGATGATGTTAAGGCCCCTGAGGGTGAACTCGGTGAAAGGATCAACCGCATGTTCCGTGATGAAGAGAAGGACCTGAGTACGTGCCCAATATAACCCTCGACCGGGAAAAAATTTCCCAACCGCTGACCAAATTTCTCCAGATGTTACCATCCTGACCTCTATGGGTGAGGAGGCTGCCATTGATGCCAAGGAGGCCCCCAGGGGTTAAAAAGTTTCATGAATTAACATGTGATTGGGCCTTTTCCTTTGTTTCGCGCTGTCACTTTTTGCTTCCAAAGGTCTTAAATCTAAATTTTATGTCCTTGACTCCGGGAATGATATGACGTTTTGAACGGATCATGGCGTACTTGTTTCTAGACCAATCATCCATGCCCATGACCGTAGGCTTGGATGTACTCCGAGTCGGCGGGAGACTTTGAATGGCGATATCAAGGCGCCAGAACAATGGCTCGGGCGTGAAGCTGACACTTTCACGATAGTTTGACGAATTAAGTAAATTCAAAGAGCAAGCGCGAGCCTTATACAAGCTTTTATCTCGACAGTAAGAATCTTATGCTTACAGATGGCGTAGAAAAAAAGAAAGAATAAAGTGGTGGCAATAATCCGATACTTGGCAGTCCTGGATGAGGACCGGATAGTTGCCCCGTAGAAAACTCTATCAATAATCCCGTCCATAAACCCGCAATAGCAAGCCCCAGCATGCAGAAACAACCGTGCCCTGTATGGAATACACTACGCGAGGGGTCTGTGGACAAGAAGGATGTCGCGAGACACGATACTATCTCGACAACGGCCTCTGGTTTTGTAGACGGGGGCATCAGCAAGAGGTACGGAGAAGCAGAATATCCCACCATCCATACCGCAAAGCGCGGAAGTTCAGCCAAACAAACAACAGCTCTATTCATTTTACTTATGAATGAATATGTCCTGTAGGGTCGACAAGTCGAAGAGGACCCCGAAGATTTCGGGACTCAAGGAAAGGTAAATCGCTTGAAGAAGGATGCAACGGAGAAGGGCACCAAGCGTGAGCCTACCCCCGTCAGACTACATAGACAAGAAGACTATAATCCCACTAACGGTGCATGGTATTGCAGGATATCGTGGTCAACGAGCATATCGCCTTTTTCTGCAGGTATATCAATTGATTCTGTGGAAGCAGTGCTACGCTTTGATTCATGAACGAGGCTTCCCGTCACAAACCGAGGTGAGTATTTTGCTCAACTCCCAGCTGTTTCCCTTAAGCAGGTATCATTTACTAAACCGAACTGGCACTCAAAAGGAGGTAGTTCGTGATCTCTGGGCTCTTCGTCTCGATACCTTCTCAGAGAAGCTCGCCGGGCCGGCTGAGAGCACTGGGGATGAGCCAGAAGTCTTCAGTTCCCAGCCATCGGCGCCTGAGACGGAAGATGATGAAGCATTTAAATTGAGCCATAGACGAACTACATGGCCTAGGTTGATTGATTCTGTTGGACTCTGCTATTTAGGCGCTTTGTTGTTGAGGCTTCCTGTTACTATTGCAGATATGCATCGGTGCGCTTGTCCATGTGGAATTGGCCATAGGAAGTCCTGTCTGACTGACCTTGTTGTATTCCAGAATGATCATGCGGGAGGAAATACCATTTATCAGAATAATCAAGTCGATTCCTCGAGAGATGAGGGATAAGCTACCGCAGACATATCTTTCAATTCTTGAGACCAAAGTACGGTTTCCCCCCAGTGTGCTATATCTAACAGGAAACGTCCCTTACTGACCGTTGACTTGGGGAAAGACAATAACGAAGGCTGAGCAGCTGCACCATGCCGTTAGGGAATTGGTGTTTCTCTATGACCGCGAATTCGGAGTGGTATTCCCTCCTTTGAACGCACCACTTATACTTTTCAAATACATAAAGTATCTTGCACTTCCTGGTACGCTATACCCGAAGTTTAAAGATCTAAGTTTTGGGATATTTTGAACCAACCATTTGTCTAGTTGAGGTATATCCTGCGGTGAAAAGGCTACAGGGCCTTCTGGGCTTTACATATACTTTCCCGACGAATGGCAAAGTCAAACGGAGATGCCTCCATTTACCAGAGGTTCAGATGATTTCCGTTATTGTCGTCGCCACAAAATTGTATTTTCCTTTCGACAATGTGAAGAGATATCCTACCTCAGCGAAGGAGCCGGCAGCTCAAGTCATCGACTGGAAGGTTTGGGGACAGGCTCAGAGGCAGTTTGACAATAGAGAGACTGCTGGTGGACGGATAGGCAAGGGGAATGAAATCATGGTTAATGAAAAGGACGTGTTGAACATGACCGAGAACCAATTGGACGAATATATGGACTGGTATGAGAACAGTTGGCTCGACAGCAACAATGGTATGAGATTGAGAATCTAAATTTCCATCAAAGATCATACAATTCACTAACATGTAATAAACAGCGCAAAATCAACTAGCAGAAATGTTCCCGCTTGGCCGAACGGGATTGGAAAGTCAACCTTCAGCTATTTCCCAGCCTGACATAGATGATGACGAGGCGACTGCTGCAAAGTTGGAGACAGTAATGAGCCAGATGAAGCCTAGGAGAGCTATCTCGGAAGAAGATGCTTTGAAGCTTCCGGGTGAAGTCCCTCGACCTGGTTCCTCATACCAACGTTACCGCAGAGAATCGGATCTTCCAGAGACCGCGAGAATGTTTTACGAAGCAGCAGCGAAGGTGGCTGGAATATCTTTGCCAAATCTTATTAGAGCCGTGCATCAGACAGAACTGAAGTTAGAGCGGTGGCAGGAAAGCAAGAGAAGAATGGAATATTACGGGGGACTTCAAGATGAGGAGTTTACAAAAGGCGCAGACGATGAGATGGAGGTGGACGAGCAAGGCGTGCAGGATTTCTAGGGTGGTTGATCCCTAGCAGATGATGCTGCTCCGAAATATCTGGGCGAGGAAATTCCCTCTAGCAATGAACCATGAATATTTCTATAGATTCAGGCTCCTCAGAGCCAGAGTTAACTTTATTGTTGTAAAACGAACTCCGTAATAGTTCTTGACGGCTGGGGATGGAAGATTAGGTAGACAAAAGCGGAAATTAGGGCTTAGGGTACAGGCATGTCTCGTCCACCTTTGCTAAGCGAGAAATCCCCAAACTGAAGACGCCTCCGCTCCGACGTACCGTCCAGCGAGATCGTCAGCCAACATCCACGACTATCGCAATCAGTACGTTTGAAAACCATTGAATAGCGTGTCTATGTGCAAGATGAACGAGCTAACGAGTGACTCGCGGTTCTTACAGTGCAGATGTATGTCGAAGAAAACCCCCTTTAACCTGCACGATCGTTCGATGGAAATGGCCGGAACAAGATGAACAAAAACCAGAATAGCAAAACTGACATGGATAATTTTCGTTTCGCAGCTTCGTGAAGACCCTGACGGGTAAGACTATTACCCTCGACGTCGAGTCGAGCGACACCATCGACAACGTCAAGACAAAGATCCAGGACAAGGAGGGCATCCCCCCGGACCAGCAGCGTCTTATCTTTGCTGGTAAGCAGCTCGAGGATGGCCGTACTCTGAGCGACTACAACATCCAGAAGGTATGACATGCCGTCTTTCCCCCTTGTTGCATATTCGATTTGAGATCAGTTTTCTGGAGGGGTTGTGATCGTGCCAGGGACTTTCGGATCCGATCAAACCAGAGAACTGGTCTATATCGAATTGGAAGTTTCAACGACTGGGATATGTTTTACTGACGGTTTTTTTTTTCTTTTGAAATTATAGGAATCTACCCTTCACCTTGTCCTCCGTCTCCGTGGTGGTATCATTGAGCCCTCTCTGAAGGCTCTTGCTTCCAAGTACAACTGCGAGAAGTCCATCTGCCGCAAGTGCTATGTACGTTCCCTCATCTCTCATCCCATAACGTTTGGTCCCGCGAGAGAAGAACAAGAACACTGAATTCGTTCCTCTTCGAGTACGATGCTGATTGAATGCGACATAGGCTCGTCTCCCCCCTCGTGCCACCAACTGCCGTAAGAGGAAGTGTGGCCACACCAACCAGCTGCGCCCCAAGAAGAAGCTGAAATAAGCGATTACTATTTTCTTACGTTTCTGTGCAAGGTGGTACAGCCATGGGGCGTGTAGTTAGATTGCGGCACTTCAAGTTAAAAGGCGTTGAAATAATGAAAGCATATGGCCCAAGTCAAGTACTCTTTTTTTCTTGCTTGCTTTTGTAACTGGTTTCTTATGAAGAAAGTTGCAATCAACGCCCTAAGATTCAGATTCAAGATTCACCGTTTTTCTTCACTCGGGTAAATACACAATGGACAAGACCCCGAACACAGGTAAGGGTACAACGGACTGGTGGCCAGTACGAAATAATAAAGTCCCCAAACAAATTAAATCCTCCATCGACCGATAATGAAGTCCTGCAAGTTTTGACGATGAGGGTCTGGCTGGTTAATGAAAAACAGAATTGAATTGCGCTTCACATTCTGAACATCCGCCGCTTATCGTCATCATGGTCATCGTGGTCGTCATCATCGTCGTCGTCATGGCCCTTGTGTTTGTTCTTTTTGGAGGCAGGACTTCCATGTCTGTCAATATATTAGCAAGAGAAATGAGAAGTAAACGTAGATACTCACGCAAAGAAGAGGAAGTTGATAGCAATGGCAAGACCGGCGTGAAGCACAACGACCAGAATTAAGAGAATCTTGCTAGCCCTCGCTTCCGTAGAGTTCAGAACAGGGTACAAGTTCCTCAGGAGGAAGAATACGGTCCAGCCGAATCCCACACCGACAAGCGCCCAGTTGAGCGCCGTCAACGGACTCCAACTAACCAAAGCCACGCCGATCCAGGCCAAATTCGCATACCCATACAAAGCCCAGCATTCGATCAAGTCCGCGGTAGAACTCCCAAACCACTTCAGCGCAGCCCACAATCCAACAGGAAGCACGAATGTATACCCGTAGATCAAACCAGCCGCACCGGAAAGAAGAGTGAAATCGTACTCGAAATGGTCATCGTGTCTATTAGACAGCCACTGCGAGATCGTACCTGTCAGGAACAGGATGACGACGACGGTCGTGGCGATCCAGAACGGGCCGTAGAGATCCGGGTTGCCTTCTAAGACGTCTAGGAAGTTGGTACGAGGGTACAGGGCTGCGACGCATCGTCGGAGCACTTCGTTCGTGTCGACGTCGAAGTACTGTGAGTAATAATGGATTGACCACCAGCGGTGCTTGGACGGTGAACCGCCGGGGGATCGGTCACGACCGCGACTGCGTGAGGATCCTCCGCTGCCGAGGAAAGGTGTGCTGTCTGAGTGCGCTTTGGCGCTTTGAGGGCCATTTTCGAAATCTATTTGCGGAGAATCGAACAAGAGAGGCATTTAGTGAGAGTGCTTCCCATGGAAGGTTGTAGGTTGGATCAATTCGAAAACGATTCAATTCATCATTTCACATACTGGACGGATGGAATTCAAGATCCTCTTGGAGGTCGGTATGTCCGAGGTCGCCCTGGGTTGGGATTCAGGTTAGAATAACGGAGGTACATGGAAGAAGAGTAGAGCGGCATCGTCAGAAATACCTCTGTATCCACGTCTACAACAACATCGTAGCCTTGTTTCGCCATGTTGGGGATGTAATCTGGGGACTTGCGTGTCTCAAGAGGTTGATGGACGTCAAGAGGTCCAGCAAGGTTCACTGAGTCCACATAAGCATCTGCGACAGCCGCATCAGCCACAACCTGATTGTGTCCCATACTACAACAACAACACTTCCATGCAGCGTTCGTTTTTCATTTATTGTCTAATGTGACATTATCTAGATGCTCGCATCATTCCAGTTTTGTTTATTTTCATCTGACACTGTTTTTTGGCTAATAGTATAGCAAACAAGAACCCGCAAAGCCAAGGTTTCATCCCCAGAAGTAGTTGAGACCAACAATCACAGCCTTAGATTGGCGGAGATAATCCCAGATTGGGACGTCGAGTCCCTTCTTCCTGATCCGGAAGGAAATAGCGGCAATGAGAATGGCAACCCCCACAGATCCGATGGTCCTTCTGTGCTTCCGCATGCGACTCAAGCTCTTGTCTCTCAGCTCTTCGTACCGTAGTTGTCGTGTCTGCCTCTCAAACAGTTTTATTGCTTCTTCCGTGGTATATTCTCGGAAAGGGTCCCTGGAGGTTTTGAGTACACTGCATGAGTAAATCTTCTTCCAAGCACTGGACGGTAAAGATTCCGGTGGATGGTTCCTGAACAGCTCCAAGGTCCGTGAGATCAAGTATTCGAGGTCGAGAGGCGCCGGGAGTTTGGAAAGGGTAAAATGCAGCATGTCTGGCTCATCAATGGGGATCTCCAGCAGTTCCTTCTTGCGTGAGATGATAATGGCCGCAAAAAGATAGACGGAAACAACCGGCTCATGGGCCAAGAGAAAATCGAACAGACGCGCTATGTCGCTGTACTCTTCGATATTGTGAGCATATAACGTAAGAGTAGATCCAAGTGCGAAGAAAGGTTGTATGCCGGCGAGATGTCGGCCTAGCCCTGGGTCCGCTCTTCCAATGATTGCTGGAATGAGTAAAAGATGTTTTAGCGCTGGTGAAAGGGAAGGGAGCATATAGTCTCTTATCCGAAAGAGAGACACCTGCGCTACAGCCGAGGCAGCCTGGTCTGCACCTAGCACTAAGAGAAGAACTTGCACAATATCATGATACCCCTGAAAGTAGCAGAGCATGGGATACTTGCGCAACACCCGGGTAATCAGCGTTGACAACTCCTTTTTCCTAACAGAAAGTTCCTCGTCGGTACCTAAACATACGAGTTCAGTAGTCGGACACTGAATCGAGTGGTCCTAGGGTTCTGACCGCGCGGATAGTATACAAAGGACCGGTCAACGTCAAGTTGGACCTGATCTTCATCTTCATGCCGTGGCCAGTCTTTCCAACCGGTCAATTCATGGCTTCCGTTCTCTCGATCGCACTGCAGGAGGATGGGCCCTAGTTCATCACACCATTATTATGACTGCCGGCCACCGAATGGCGGAAGGAAACTTACAAGCAAGTTGTCGGAGCTCATCTTGAAGCAAGCCACCTTGCGAAGTGGCATGCGAGACCAGAGTATTAAGGTCGCGCAAGTTGCATGCACGGCGAATAGCATTTGCTTTTTCTGACGTCTCGCTTGAGGACTTCCCTGCCTGTGACTCCAGCGGCGTGGAAATATTTTCATCAAGAAGAGTCGACGGCTGTGGTTCTTCTATTGGCCCACAGCCTGTTACTTCTGGTGTGCCTGAGGAATAGATCGTATCCTGTTGCTGGCCCACTGCGGACTGGTCCATTGAAGGTGCGGTACAAGCGTTTCTGCCACGACTTTTGGGGACGTAGCAGAGAGATACGATTCCAGAGGTTGAATCAAGAGTATAGGATATTTCTGCCTATAGAAAAGGGAGTACTCCGTAGCAATAAAGGAACCAGTGAGGTCTTCTCGTCAGGAATGTCTAACTATACAGCTGCTGCAAGTGATGAAAGTACTCTGCACACTCTATAACATGAATAATCAACATGAAGAAATGAGAAGTATAGCAAAGAGGATGATACCTTGCAGAGTGCAGTGTGTAGTGTGTATGCAGCAACTATTCATTATTACAGAGAGCGGAATAGGCTGTGGTGCCGTGCTGCCTGAGGCAGAAAAACCATAAAATCCGTGACCCGACGGTATCCTGAGTACCGTAATTATGCATTCTGTAATCTATCACCTGTGCGTCATTTGCAATATATTAACTAACAAAAAGGTCCCAAGCCTCCTTAGGATAATAACAACATTGAACGACGGCGAGTCAACGCCATCCTTCTACCATAACTCCCTATTTCCTCGGGATCCGATTGGCATGTCCTCTCTATTTTTAGGGGATATTCGTTTTGGGTTCTGCAGCTTGCTTCACACTGTTCTTGCAAGTCAGGTTTTATCCGACCAACCATATAGTCGCGCTACATCCAGCGTCCTCAACCAAATGTTCTGCAATTTCGACAAATAGGACCATAAAGACCTTTGTTATCCTCAAATTCTGGAACAACATGACATTGTATGGTTGAATACGTGCTTGCTGCATGGCAGTACGTGCATCCGACGGGCGCGAAACTCGACCTGATCCCTGTAAGCATGCTGTTGCTCGCTTTGACCTGCCCCTCCATTAATTATGGCACTTCTTTCGGGCTCCTCATTAAGTTCTCTGATAACAGGCAGTCTACAAGAAACATTTTCCGAGAGGTTTGATAGTAAAGCCTATCTTGGGAAAATACAATTGCATGGTCATCAATCTCATCCTAGTCCCTTCCTCTATTATTCTTGCCGTGATGGGGAAACGTCTTGATGGCCTAGAAGATTGGTTAGAAGAAACTGCATGATTTGGCTCACTCTAGCTGGTTCTCTTGCCAGTCGACCCTGGGGTTTCCTGTCCTTCGAACCTTTCTAGACTCTGCCACATGTGCCAGCTTCTTCTTGTCCAATGGTGACTGAGTGCCATTGAATCGAAATCCTTCCTTCGGGATAGTTTGGGAACGATCAGTCATCGATTTTTATTCCATTAAGCTTTATCTATTTTGGTTTGATCTTCTATTCCTTCGTCATGGCCACTCCCGTTACTTATCTCGAAGAAGCCGACGTTTGGAGCGCCTTTTCAAGACAGTCTCAACCCAGGCGCGTCGAATCCACGCAAAGGCTGAATGCCACAAGACGTCCTCTAGTTGGGCTTCTGTCGCAGACCGTGGTGTCCAGTCCAACGGTTCAATTTGTTTTACCCGCGCGCCTCAGAAGTAAGGATCATAACGATGTTGTCTTTGTGGGTGAGCGACGCCTACAGGTCAAGGAAGTTGTTCCTGGCTTTCGCTTGGAAGATGTCGCTGTCAAATCCGACTTTGATGCGAATATAATGGCCGCGAAGGCCGTCAATGTATGCACCAGATTAGCCTGGGAGACGCAGATGAGACTTGGAGGAGGAAACTCCACTGCAACAGCCGATACCACGATTCACGAGACATTAATACCTCCTCAGATCATGATGCTCACTCTTTCATCAAGGGAATTGGTGTTCCTCTACCATGCAGTCACAGACCACGGTAGCTTTGTTCAGTCCCGTAGACCGTTGCCGTCGCATATCAAGTCTTCCGAGAGCTTCGGCCGACATATCGCAGTTGATCCAAGGTAGGTATCTCTCCGCAGAACTCCATAAAGAGGGTAATCTCAGAATCTTCGCAGGTCGCGCGCTGTAGCAGTTGCAGCGTTCAGTGATTACTTCGGGATCTTCATGTTAAAACCATTGCCAGTTCTCCAGTCGCAAATGGCCAAAAAGCAACTGGACCCAATATCAGAGGTAAGGCGTGAACGCGTTCCATCTTGCTGTGGATATAGCTCAAGTCCCATTTATTTTCCCACAGGAGCGTTTCTGTCGTGTTGATGGGGACATTTTATTCATGGAGTTCCTCTATCCGAAACATGAAGATGGTGACAAATTGGTCCTTCTTCTTTTAGTCTCCAAAGAGCAGAATACCTATGCCGTGTGCTACGAATGGGACGCGAATCAGAAGCTAAGGGAAGTGACTCCAAGATTGACTAGGAGACAGCTGCCTTTGGAATACAGGTTACCATCCATACTGGTCCCATTAACTAAGGCATCATCCTTCCTTGTTGTTTCGACTACCTCGATGGCTATATACGACATGGTGGGCCACACGAAGCAACCTAGCAGATATCCGATCCCTGTCCAAGATTATGAAGCTCAGCGTACGCCCCTGTGGGCTCGGTGGGCAAGGCCGACGCGCGACTGGCTGTATAAGCAAGCCCATGACGACATTTATTTATGCAGGGAGGACGGCAGAGTCTTCTACTTGGCGATCGGGAGCGAAGGAGAGATTGAGCATCGAAGTTATCTGGGGGCTCTTGGCTGTGATGTCGACTCTGCGTTCGATATCATTGACGTCGGCCATGAGGGTGGTGACCTTATTTTGGCAGCTGGAAACATGGGGGACGGTGGGCTATTCGTCCAGAATGCTAGAGACTGCCCCAGATGTGTCCAGAGGTTCCTAAATTGGGGTCCGATTACAGATGCAGTGGCTGTTACGCCTACATCTCGAAGTTCCTTGATCTCAGATACCGATGGTGACCGCTTGTTTGCCTGCTCTGCATCTACCGTTGGACACGGATCTGTGGTTGAATTCCGACATGGAATCGAGGCCCAAATTGGTCTGCTTATCGCACAGGATGAGTTATCCAGCACACGAGACATATGGGCGATGACGGATAGCATAAATGGGGTCTATATTTTGACCTCTGATCCTGTATCGTCTTTACTCATTTATCTCCCTCATGACTTCGGGGATGAGATATGCGCTGTTAGTGAAACAGAGTCAGGACTTGACTTTGCAACACAGACACTAGCGGTAGGCTGTACCCAGTCTGGCATCATTATCCAAGTGACGAAAAAAGCAATCCATCTTGGAGCACCTCATGACCCATCATTGAGGTTTTGCTTTGATTATAACGCCAATGAAGACGTCATCGGTGCCGCGGTCAATCAACCTGCATCTCTCATAACCACGGCAGTCAGAAGTCATTCCGAGATATATCTCCGTCTGGCAAAGGTTGATTCATATGACGGACAGGTTCGGCTATCCGATGTTGGTGAGCTCCTCAAGATTGACTATGAGCCCGTCTGTCTCTCCATTGAGGATTTTGGTTTCGCCTCGTTTATTATTGTCGGCACGAGCGATGGGAAGGTAGCGATATATCGCATTGAAGAAAACGCATTCACTTTTTTGTCGGACTATGCTGTCGACGTTGGAGATTCGGATGATATATCGAGGGCTGTTGAGACAGTTGCGAGAATTAGTACAGAAACAGATGACTCCTTGAGAAGGTCAACTCTCTTTTGCGGCCTACGGAGCGGTATTTTGGTTCCATTTGAAATCGAATTCGATGCTGATAATTTTGCGATGGGTATGTTCATTTCATCGAATCCAAATTAGAGAAGATTCTGGCTAATATACCCCTCCTATCCCTACAGAACTGAAGCAGAGGACACCACGACGGCTTGGACAGACCTCAATCAGGTTGCTCGGAAGAAAAGAATTCGCTATGTTGACTTGTGGCCAAGGCTTTTGGCGCGTGTCCCATACCCCGGACCGTGAGCTCTCTGAGTATGATATTGAAAAAGTCTGGATAACAGACCAAAACAATGTAAGTCCCAATGGCCTTCTGACAGAAATTTTTCAGTTTTTTGACCTTGTCACTTGCAAGCCCGCCTACAACCAAAAGAGCATTGACGTCTTTACACTTCTCAACATGCCACCGGCTTCGAATCTAGACGGCATTTGTGGATCGCTTTTCTGCGTCACAGAAGGACAGCTTTTGATCTGCGCTCTAGATCACAAAGCTAAAACGGTTCCAAGGCGAATCAGCTTGCCAGGCAGCGCGAGCAAGCTCACATACTCAAGCCATCTCCAAAGCCTAATAGTTGCATATAGTACCACTGTGCTTGACACGAGTGTGGATCCTATTAGGCGTTACACTCGGTCATATATTGACTTCGTGGACCCCGACTTGCAATGCCCCGGAATCGGACCACCTAGCCCTTTCACCGAAGAAGGGGAAGAATCCAGCCTCTGGAGGCCCCACACGGTAGCGGGCGAGAAGATAACATGCATCTTGGACTGGATGCCGGAAAGAGGTGATGAGAAGTACCACTGGGTTGTCATCGGGACTGCGCGGAAACACCAGCGAGATAAGGGCCGTGTCATCTTCCTACGTGCAGCCCGCAATCCGACGAACCAATCGCGCATAGAGTGTATCACTAAACATGTCCACCATTTCGAGGGACCTGTCTATGCAATTGCGCCGTATGGTGGATTCACCCTGATGGTTGCTACTGGATATGACATTGTTCCATTGGTGCCGAAATTCTCAGAAACAAGATGGGAACAAGCGCGATTTAGCCTCCTATCTCCTGCTGTTTCAATCACTGCGCACGAGCCGTATTTGTATTTGTCCACGGCAAGGGAGTCTCTAGTTGTACTTAAAGTCTCAGACAACAAATTGGCGCTTCATGCACATGACCGCGCTAAACGCGAAGGCCTATCACATTTTCATATGCACGGGGAGCCCAACCTAACCGTCTCATCCAGCAGAGGCGGGACGGTAAGCATACTTACAGAGGTCGGAGTCGCAGGAAATGACAGGCTGATGCCGGCAGCCCTCGCCGAAGCTCATCTCCCACTATCAGCGACGAAACTGCTGCGCGTGTCGGGCACACTATACGGGACTACCCTAGATGGCGCAATATACCGTTTCGCGAAGCTGGGGGAGAAAGAATGGCACCTGCTGCGGTTTTTGCAGATACTGAGCACGAGGGATCCTGCTATCTGTCCATTTGCTTCCAAGCGAAAAAGACGATTGAACCCTACGGATATCGAAATGCTGGTACCTGGGAAGAAGCCTTCTCACATGCATATCGACGGCGACATCCTTGGTCGTTTAGTAATACGCGGTACAGATCATCTCCGGCAGATGCTGGCCGCAGATAATAATGGCTCACAGGAGACATTCCAGGAGGTGTCTCCTTCAGAGACCGGAAGAATTCTAGAGCGATTCTCAGAACTGTCCGAGGCGCTACTTGGGACGTCGACAGACCCTGTTAGAGATGTGATGGGCTGGCTGAGGAATTTACTGCATAAGGGGCTCTCAGTTTAGAAATGCATGGATCCCTTTTTTGACATGAAATCCTGGAGTAGTTTCCATGGTTTCGTGTCAATATAGTTAGTGCTGGCATTCTTGGAAGTAGTAGCTTGCATTTAATCTGAAGCTTTGATGATACCTACAATATGATATGTCTTATTGACAGAACCAGCCTGTACCTTAAATCCAGGTGGCAATAAGAATAATATTATGGAGAGTGCCTGTTGTTCGGGTGAGGTTTGTGCAGGTGAAGTCACTGACGGGCCGCTTAATTCTCAATTCCCCGCTGGCAGGACAGTCCCCAAAATTCTCACTGACTTCTTCTCTCCAACCCCTTTCAAAGGCACACCCACCAGGGAGGAGAAACATCATATCCATCCCTTGCCTTTCCCTCCTTGTCATCTTCTATTTAAGAAGACCTGTCATTGCCAAAAAGGTCAGCATATTTTCCTCTTTGCCACTCTGCCCCCATCCTTTTTTCTCTTTTCTTTTTGTCAGACCACCTTTACCAAACCCACATTGGCTCACCAGTGACAGCAGAAAGGGCAGACAGAGACTTATATGTCTGTTTGTGAAACATTTTCTTTTAATTCTACACTACATGCTGTACTGTGAAAATTTTAACTGACCCAAGTTCTTTTTAATAGGCCTCCCTTTGATTCACCTGAAACTTAAACAGTTCTCAGTAAATAGCTGAACACAAGAAGGGATCTCACCAAACTGATTTAATAAAAAATGGCGCCTAAGAAGAAGGGAAACAAGAGGCAGGAAGAAGACTGGGAAGCAGAACTTGGTGAAACAGTTCCTGCGGCAAATGGTGCAACTGAGGAAGAGCCCGCCGCAACACCTGCCGAGGAAGATGAAGGAGCGGGTGGCGGTCTACTAGCAGCGCTACGGAAAAACAAGAGCAAAAAGGCAAAGAAAGGGAAGCAAGCGAATGATTTCGTCGAGGGTGAGGAACCGATGCAGGAGGCTGTCACAGACCTTGCCAGCAAAGCGCCCGAGGAAGGTACATTTGACGACGATGATGTTTTCGCTGGGAAGAAGGCCCAGAAAACTGCCAAGACTGTTGCAGCCGCAGCAAAGCAACAGCAAGCTGCCCCGAACGAGCCCGCAGACGGAGAGTTCCGCGTGAAAACCAAGAAGGAGAAGGAAAAGGAGAAGAAGGAAAGGGAGAAGCAGCGAAAGAGGGAACAGGTACGTGATGTATTTTCGTAGGCCCCGGAAAGCGAAGGAAAAGGGGTCTTCGCTATTTGACATAAGTATTGATACTGACGATCACCTACCTCGATTTAGGCCGCTAAGAAAAAGGGCGCTGCTCCTGAGCCACCCAAACCCGCTGCCGCCGCGGCAGAGAAAGAACCCACACCTGCTGCTGCTCCTATACCGGCAGCACCGGAGCCAGCTGGCAAGAAGAAGAAGCTTCCTGCTCACCTCGCTGCAATCCAGAGACAGCAAGAGTTGCTGCGGAAACAACGTGAGGAAGAGGAAAAGCGCCTAGCTGCTGAAAAGGCCGCTGAAGAGGAAAGACGACGACTCGAGGAGGAGGAAGAGAGGAAAAAAGAAGAGGCACGCCAACGGAGGAAAGAGAAAGAGCGGGAGAAGAAGGAGCAACTTAGAAGGGAAGGAAAGCTGCTTACCAAGGCCCAGAAAGAGGCTAAGGAACGCAATGAGTTGCGTATGAGGCAGATGCTTGCTGCAGGTGTTGGTAGGGTTGCTGGTCTAGAGGAGGGCACAACCGAAAAGAAGAAACCTGTATATGAAAATCGGAAGAAGAAAGGACCCAAGAAGCAAGAAGAAGACCTCGAAGCTGCTGCAGCTCGCGCTCAGGCTCAGCGCCAAGCTGAAGAAGAGAGACGAAAGAAGGAGGAAGAGGCGAAGGCCAAGGCTGAGGCTGAAGCAGCTGCGGCCGCTGCTGCAGATGAAGAGAGTGAACTTGATGACTGGGAAAAGGCCGCTGACGCTGCTGAAGGTGTTAAAGATAGCTGGGATGCACCCTCGGATGAGGAAGAAGAGGTTACCGCTAAGCAGCCTGTTACAAATGGCACAGCAGCAGCAGCCGCTCAGGAAGAGGCCGAAGAAGAATCTTCCGAAGAGTCCGAATCGGAGGAGGAAGAGCAATCAGCTACGCAGAGGGCCATTGCCCAAAAGAAGGCCGAGGCTGCTGAGAGGAGGAAGAAGCAGCACGAAGAAGCCATGGCCGCTCGATCGAAGGATAACTTGCGTTCACCAATCTGCTGCATTCTTGGGCACGTCGATACTGGAAAGACCAAACTTTTGGACAAAATTCGTCAAACAAACGTCCAAGAAGGAGAAGCTGGTGGTATCACACAGCAGATTGGTGCCACATACTTCCCAGTTGATGCTTTGCGCCAGAAGACTGCTGTGGTGAATAAGGATGGCAAATTCGAATTCAAGGTCCCTGGTTTGCTAGTTATCGACACTCCTGGCCACGAGTCCTTCTCCAACCTACGGTCCAGAGGCTCGTCTCTCTGCAACATTGCTATCTTGGTCGTGGATATCATGCACGGTCTCGAGCCACAGACACTTGAATCCATGAGGTTGTTGCGAGATCGGAAGACACCCTTCATTGTCGCGTTGAACAAAATCGACCGTCTGTATGGATGGAAGAAGATTGACAACAACGGTTTCCGGGAAAGTTTGGCAATGCAAAATAAGGGTGTTCAGAACGAGTTCCGCACTCGACTCGAGAAGACTAAGCTGGCCTTTGCCGAGCAAGGTTTCAACTCGGAGCTGTATTACGAGAACAAATCTATGTCCCGCAATGTCTCACTTGTGCCAACATCAGCTCACACCGGCGAGGGTATCCCAGATATGCTGAAGTTGCTGGTGACATTGACGCAGGAGCGTATGACTAGTGCTCTGATGTATTTGTCTGAGGTCGAGTGTACTGTTCTTGAAGTCAAGGTTATTGAAGGTCTTGGTACTACTATCGACGTCGTCTTGTCGAACGGTGTCCTTCGCGAAGGTGATCGGATTGTGTTATGTGGTCTAAATGGTCCTATAACGACGAATATCCGAGCGTTATTAACACCTGCACCACTCAAGGAACTTCGCCTGAAGTCGCAATACGTCCATAACAAGGAGGTAAAGGCGGCTCTCGGTGTTAAGATTGCCGCAAACGATCTCGAGCAGGCAATCGCCGGTTCCCGCCTTCTCGTTGTTGGCCCTGAAGATGATGAGGAGGACCTTGAGGAGGAAGTCATGTCTGACTTGGAGAGTCTGCTGAGCAAGGTCGCCAAGGACCAGCGTGGTGTCAGCGTGCAGGCATCAACTCTTGGTTCCTTGGAGGCATTGCTTGAGTTCCTTAAAGTCTCCAAGATTCCCGTCGCAAACATCTCCATTGGCCCTGTCTACAAGCGCGACGTGATGATGGCTGGAACAATGCTGGACAAGGCCAAGGAATATGCGGTCATGCTATGTTTCGACGTCAAGGTAGATAAAGAAGCACAGGCCTACGCTGATGAAGTTGGTGTCAAGATCTTTACGGCAGATATTATCTATCACCTATTCGACGACTTCACCAAGCACAGGGCGGAGATCCTTGAGCAGAAGAAGGAGGAAAGCAAGCTTCTTGCTGTGTTCCCCTGTGTGCTTAAGGTGGTCGCCGTGTTCAACAAGAAGGACCCTATCGTCGTCGGTGTTGATGTGTTGGAAGGAAGCTTGCGCGTGAATACACCGATTTCAGTCGTCAGGAGCAACGCCGTGACGGGAACCAAAGAGATCATCGAACTAGGCAGAGTGTAAGCGACTTTCTCTACTCGTGCATTCATTTTCTATGCTTATAGTACTGACGCTTTTTCTTCACCAGGTCGTCCATTGAGCGTGATCACAAGCCCATTGCCGTCTGCAAGAGGGGCCAACCTTCAGTTGCTGTCAAGATTGAAGGTGCAGACCAACCTATGTATGGTCGTCAGATCGAACAGAAGGATGCGCTGTACTCGCATATCTCTCGCGCAAGCATCGACACGCTCAAAGAATTCTATCGGCCTGATGTGTCAATGGAAGAATGGGCTCTTATCAAAAAGCTCAAACCCGTGTTCGACATTCCTTGAATAGAGTTGCTTCATCAAGGTGTCCTCTGCAAGCCACTGGGGACTATCAGGTCGATCATTCGAGCTCAGCCTGGTATCGCTTAATTAGGCTCTGGGCCGAGGGTTGGACCTGAGACTGGAGTTGGAGAGTCCTTCCAGGTTCTTCGGGCAAGGAACAATGCAAAATTTGGGTAGAATACTTTTGTTTTTCCCAAGCAGAAGGTGGCCGTATATGAAACGGTCACTGACACCCCTTTTGTACCATGCTCAATGATGGCTTCCATGTATTAAACCGCAGGCACAAGAGAAAAGTTCTGTATTATGCCGTGACATACCCAGAGAATGACCATTGCTGGCAATTCCATAAAAATTGCAAGCTGTTGATGTTGACGCTGAGATTGCGTGTTGCAACTCAAAAATATCATTTTAGTTTATGTTCAACGGTTTGTCTGTTCCATATTGATAGCTGCATATCCTCCAAGTGCAATGACGAAGCTTCATTCTTTCAAACAGAAGTAAAGCCACGTAGCAGTGTTCCTTCAGTAAATCTACATTTGGACAATTGCAATATCATCATTCCCGAGAAGTTAATCTGATGGAGGCCTCATCTTAAAGCTGCGACAATACACAGGCCATGCAGCAAAGATATTTCACACCACGACAGACAGAAACAGACACGACTGGCATCTAAGTATCAATCCTCATAATGCCCAATCTATTCAACTCAGTGCTCACCCTCCCATTTCTCCACCGGACCCCCCTTAGCCGCCCAATCCAACCAACTTCCCTCATAAACCCCAAGCCTCGCAGGATCATATCCAGCCTGCGCGGCCAGCTGCGCGGCAGTCTTAGCCCTCACGCCGGCCTTGCAATAGAACACAATCGGCTGTTCCTGTGCCTTATCCGCACCTAGAACAGGCTCGACACCGGGCTTGGGGAACCCGAATCTCGTCTCGAATTCCTCGGGCGATAGGAAGAGCGCGTCGGGCTGGGATCCGAGCGGGACTGAGACGGCTCCGGGGATGATACCTGTTGAGGAGAGTTCGGCGGGTTCGCGGACATCGATTAGGACGGGGGTTTGGATTTGGGGTTTGTGGGATGGGGATGTTGGGGAGGTGCTGGGGAGGGAGGATGTTATCTGTTTGTTATTTTTTCTCGAGTCAGTATATAATCTATCTCCTATGCTCACGGGTATATATGGTACTATCTATGTAATACTTCTAGAGATGGATGGTACTTACATCCTCGAATTTCCACTGTTTCAGCGTAGGCAATTCCGATTCCGATCCCTTGCCGCTGCTGCTTTGGTGTCGTACTTGCAGAAATAGATATTGGTATCCATGTCGTCCTCGTCCATAGCCGTGTCTATTTTCGGTATAAGAATGCCCGGACCTGGATGAGGTCGCGCTCCTGTTCAGACTCAGAGTAGCGACCGGCCTGGTGGAAGCAGAAACGACGCCGCTTCGCGGGAGACCATTTCTGCGCGCTGTCTTAACAGTGCGAGATGCAAGAGTAATCAAAGATCTATGGTGGAATTGGAGGGGAATTTTCATTTTTCCGCAGTTAATTAGAAACGATAGATTTAATTGATATTAATGATCGGTGCTGGTGCTGGTGCTGTAAATTGTATCGTGGAGGAGTGATGTCAGTTGCGGCTTACCGCCTGTCGTATTGGGCGTTCGTTCTATGTACATGTCTACTTCCATATTGTTACAAATTCCAGTGCTCTTTAAGAGTCTTGGACATGCTCAGGACGGAGTGAAGAATCATGCAGATGATCATGATGCGATAGGCTGAACCTGCCATCCGCTACATATACTGAGAAGAATGCAATGCTTGCAGAGATGCAGGATATCTCGACCCAAGCATCCTCAGCATCACCAAGATGAAACCTGCTAAAAAGGCAAAAGGAGGCAAACAAAACCGCAATTATTATTATAATAAGCATATGTAGCATCTTAAAACATGCCTCCAAACGTATCCACCGAACCGGACTTGACCAGCTCAAAAAGGCGCAACTTGGCATTCATGCACTGTTCAATCATTGAGTATATCGACAAGGTGTTGATATAAATCACTGATGCAAACGGGTCCAAGTGTCGCATCTATCATAAAGCCCATACAAGGATCTCTGTAGAAGAAAAAAAGAAAGAAGAACCGAAGAAAGAAGGCTCTGTGCAACCTCCGGGGTAGATTTGATGAATGGTGGCCGAAAAAATTATTTATCCATTTCTCACGCACCAATTCAAACAAATACATTGTAGAGCCATCGATATTTTGGACAGACTCGTATCGCACAGCAGCTTACGTGCGCGGGCGGAATGAAAGATAGCAATCGTCCTGTTAACAAAGGTCAGTAAGCGAATCCAGATCAGAGGAAGAATCGCCATACCTGAGGGAAGATAGTAGCGAACACCTTGATTTCTTCCGACTTAGGCGTCGGCTTGTGCTCCCAAGTCAATTCCATACTAGCCTTGCCGATCATGGCCATCAAGTTAAGTATGGCGTAGTGCTGGCCCAAGCAGTAATGGGGCCCAGTGCCGAAGACAAGCCAGTTTTTGGATTGCTGCTCGGCGGTGCCGGTAACCCAGCGGTCCGGGTCGAAAGAGTCAGCATTGGGGTAGGCCTCCTCATCGTGAGTGGCAGGCCAAACAGACGGGACAACCATGGATCCCTTGGTCAGGGTGATCTTATCGGTGACAGGGAAGTCCTTTTTGACCAGGTAGGGAACCATGATGACGGGAGGGCGATAGCGGAGGGTTTCCTTGACAACAGCGCGAGTGTAGGTCAAGCTATCGAGCAGGTCCATAGACAGGGGCACTCTCGGGTCGCCATTCCGAAGGCGGAGGTTCTCCTCACGTAGCTTGTCTAGAATATCTGGGCGGTCGGCCATGAGCTGGAATAACCATGTGCAGGCTGAGCTGGTTGCGTCTTGGGACGCGAACAGGAACGTGAAGACGGTCTGGGAGATCTCGTAGTCGGTGAATTCGCGCAAGACCTGAGCAGGCTTCTCGGAGGCATCGACCGGAACACCCTTGGCGATCTTCTCGCGGTAATTGGCAGAATCTAGCTGGGCCTTAACCCAAGCATCCATGATGCAAGTAATATCTCCGCCAGTAGCCATGCGCGCCTTGCTCTTGGCGGCGCACTTGGAAAATTCCTCCAATACCATATCCGCTGCCTTCTTTCCATACCAGGTCTTCGTGAATGGAAGAATGATTGGGAAGTTAACCAATTCCATAGCAGCAGTGATGTTGTAGTAGTCGTCCGAGATCTTCTTGATAGTCTCCTCAGCCATATAGTGGCCGACAAAGGTACGGCAGGAGACTGCACACATGAGCTCGCGGAATTCATGCATCCATGGAACAGGCTCGTAATTGTGGGCCGCAGACTTGGTTTTGAAGCTCTCAAAATAGGAATTGTAGACCTCTTCCATGCGGGGAAGGTAGCACGAGAGAGCAGACCGTGTGAAAAGGCCATTTAGCCCCTTGCGGAAGTCGACGTGCTCCTTACCATCCAAGAACACCCAGTTGGTTTTGCCGAGAAGCTTATGAGCAGCATCCACGACGCAGGGCTTAACGTAGGTAGGTGAATTGAAGATCTTCCGGGACATGTCGCGAGTAGAGGCGATGACTACGAACCTGGACAGATGGCGCGAATAGTCAGAGAATCGACCTAACCCATTCACCAGTGACGAGAAAGTTGGCGCAGCATGCTATGTCTACTTACTTATGGAAGACGGAAACACAGCTCAGCTCTCCACTGTCCCATTTTGCCTTGTACTCGTGGAACTTGGGATTGACGGATTGAAGGAACGGACCCATGAAAGGGATTTTCCATGCCGGGCCAACGATAGAGCCTTTGAGATAGAAGTACTTCACTGCAACAGCATTAGCAATTGGCTCGTATACGCAACTAATGGGATAACAGAGATTTCTTAGGATTTGCGTCCAATGGGGTTGGAAAACAATGGAAAAAAGAGGGGGGGAGAGCGGAAGCTACTTACGCTGATCGTAGATGACTGCTGCGACGAACAGAGTCACAAACAGCTTCCAGAAGGTAAGTCCATCGAGGAGGGATGTGACGAATCCGGTGGGCTCGAACAATTGGGGAACCAGAGTGGCGTCGGCGGAGGGGGAGACGAAACCCCCGGTGACGTTGACCATGGTGGGCAGACGCAGGGAGGAAAGTCAATTGCCAATGCCGGTGCTGGAGGGAGCCAGGGGACAAGGAGGGGAGAGAAGGGACGAAGAAAGAAGACAAAGAAGCGACCAAAAGGAGACGTTGTACGGCAGCACACAGAGCGCGGGAGCGCAGGCCTATCGCAAGAAACGCAGGAAACTCACTCCAGTCTTACGACTCTGGATAGTTAGTTATGGATCTTGATATTATTAATGCGCCGTTACATGCTGTTCTTCGATTTAAATTAAGAAGCCCTCGGATGCCGAATTTCCCGTACAAATAATAGTAGGTCTTTTTTTTATTACCGAGTCTTATTATGGAGTGTTGGTCCCAGCGTCTCCAGGCTCCCCTTCAACAGTGCCACATTGGCCAAGATTGTCACCGACGATAATTCCAGATAACCTTATAATGGGCAAAAGCGAATGGAATCGTTGACCTGGAGGGACCTGGAGTCTATGTTCCGTCGATGGATGCACAACATGCTGGGACAACACTGGAGCGGTGAGGCTATTGAGCATTAACAGAGATGCTCTACAAATCAGGCCACATCTGTTGGGACCATTATCATTTGCTCTACTGTGTAATAAAATTACTCCATGGAGTCGGGAAGAGGCAAGAATAGCAGCATGCCTGTGGCAATGGCCGACCCGACATGTGGATACAGACAACACAGTACTCCCTTCAGCCATTGCCCGACCCCAAAACGGGCCTGCGCATGTATTCTGCTGCCTGCTGTTCTAGCCAGCCCCGGTTCCTATACACACGACATGCCCGCATCAGCCCATCGATGGAGACTCCGCATGCATGTACAATACCCAGCCACAGACCGATATCGAAAACGCCCGTTTCACCGCCCAAAACCGAACCAACCACGGCGGCCACCTTTCTTCTCTTCCGTCGGTTTCTCGGGCGTACCACGCGGTTCACCTGCGCGGGGATAGTCGATGTAGTTCCACGCTACATCGAGGAACAGAGGCTTAACTGGGATCGGCTTCATTTGAGGAGGGTATGGGACCAGGCTCCCCAAGTCCAATCTATCTCCCGAGAACTCGTGCAACCGCTCGATAAATGAGGACTGATTTGTTGCTTTCGCTGCCTCTTCCGCGGAGAGCATCTCCAGAGTGACCAAGCCTTGATATGTTGCAACTAATCCCTGAAGGACATTTTCCAGAGTCTGGACTTGTTGGCGCGAGACCTCCAGCTTCAGTGGACCCTCCACATCGGCCGATGAACGGACAGAGGCTGCCGCAAGTTCTAATGCCCGAGAGTAGAGTGCAAGGGCGTTCTTAGACTTGCCAAGGATACCATGGGACCGTCCAATAGCAAGGCATCTGCGAATGATTCAGGTTAGAACAAGTAGGATCATCTTCTGGAGAGCTTTAGCACACTATACCTCAAAGCTCTGAAGTAGCTGCGCTTTCCTTCAAGCTCCTGAACAAAGCTGGTGTCCCCTGCCACTCCAGGAAGCTCCAGGATAAGCTCCACACTCTGTAAGGTCGAGTCATACAATGCGACCTTCTCACGCAGTCTGGTCAGCTTCTTCCCGTTGGGCTCACCGCGCTTAGTCACTTTCGTCCGCTCTTCTTCAAAGTAAACACCATCTTGGTCGCCGCAGAGAATCCGATTACGCCCTACTCTCCATCCCACCAGAGTGTAGTGGACCGCCGTGCGAGTGACCTGCAGAGATTGCATCCGTTTATCCCCGGAGTCTACTCCCTCACCAACAAGGTCGTCGATGGCTGATTTAGTAGCATCCACGGCATCCTGGCTGGCACTAATGACGCTATCATAAGCTGCTGCTTTATCTTTCGCCGAAGCTGATTTCCCTGCAGGTTCCGCGAGCCACGATGCAAGGTGAGATTCTGCGGTTGACGTAGAGGCAATCGCCACTGCAATCGAGGCATCTTCCAAAGGAACCGTTCGTGACCTCCAGGTAACGGTCTCGGGAACTTGGCCGTCGACAGTCCTGTTAGCTCCAGACGCTTCCTCCACGAGACAACCAGGACAGACACTTTCAATTTTAGAACGAAGCTCAGCATCCGATGGGAAATATTCGACAGCCAGAGCAGGAAGAGCTTTCGAACGAGGAAGTTTTAGCTGATAGGCCGCATACCGTAGACTGGGGTCTACGGTGCCGGAGAGAAGCTCCCTAAAAGTATCTGTCTTAATCTTGTGACCCAACACTGTGTATACCACTCTTGCGACCGAATAGTCCTGGAGGCACTCCTCCCACCTCCGCTTTTCCAGCCACAAAGCCCCAGAGAGGGACGCAAGATATGCGCGCGCTTCGAGGAGGTCGGTGTCGCTAGCGCCAGAAGTCGACTGGTCTTGTAGGGTATCAAGAAGCTGTCTTGCATAACCAATGGCTTTATTCAGGCGTGAGATAATATGACGCCTGGCAGAACCGACAATTCCCTTTGCTGAGGGGTCTGCCGCGTGAGTCGACTTCATGTGCATTGCGTGCGCCCATGCTCTCTCTGAGCAAAGAAGCAGGAGGTGTGCGAACCTTGACAATGCATAAATTAGTATCACAACAATTAAATTCCTTGAATTTACAAAGGGCATGAGGTACATACCCAGCATTGCTTGCAATATCTTCTGCGCTCACGGGTGACTTGGCTGCATATTTGCGACCCTTGGGTGTGGTCTGCCCGAGTTTCCGGCGGAGTTTGAGCAGCCTCCGGGAAGCGTGTGCGCGGTAGGCGTTGTAGTCTCCGACGAGAAGAACCTCCTCTCTCTGGGAGAAGATGAACTCCGTTATGTCCATGGCCCTTGGATGAGATCGATCGACTGCTGTCTGCGGAGTGTTGGCGGGACATCCAAATTCCAGCAAGTGGCCAGTTCTCGGCTAAACGAAAGCCCGATCTGCAAAGCCGTCCTAGCTTGCTGCCAAAGTTTCCTGCTCTTTTTTCTCTCCCGGCAGCAACGTTCCATTACAGGCCATTCGTTTGGCTTCAGATTCTGTACTGTGCAGGATTGGGATCTAAGTCTCATCTCTGCCGTTTGGGGATTTGTCAGGGATCACTCTGCAAAATTCCCACTGGCGCGGCTTTTCGGGTTATCTTGTCAATACGTACGCTCCTCCGTACCTGCGACTGCAAATAAGCTTGCATTCTATTCTACTGCAGCATGAATCTAACAGCTATCTGGCTATAGCACGGCATAGGACTGTCGAAACGGTATGCGTGCGCCGTGGATATTTTTTGGCAACATCAGGGCTCGCATTGAAACGACTGGGGGTGATGCTTGAACGGGCTGCCGGGTATCTTGAGAACGCAGGTCGGCGTTTCTTCCGGGACCCCAATGGCCTCGCTCGAAGACGAGGATCCCCGTCTCCCTTTACTTTCAGTTACCATGGTGCAGACCTCGACTCCCACCATTGGCTTCTTGTCCTCCTAGAGACGTCAGATCAGCGAAGATCGCATGCCTTGAGCCCTACTTCAAGCGCCAGGAGAGCCGCTAAAGACCCGCATACTCCATTCCTTGATTTTCTATACCCTCCGCCGACCCAGCAGTTTGTAGCATCATGCGTGCTACGTCAGTCGAGGAGGCTTGTTGCAAGACGACGGAAGAGGTCTATTCCGAGCCTGAAGAGGTCTTACACATCCGACACGACTAGCGCGTGTCAGGTATTTAGGGGAAATGAGTTTGAGCCGAACCTGCTCGCGGGTTCACATACAGAGGAAAGTCGAGAACATGCCAGGATCGACCTCGTTACACTGCTTGGCGAAGGGGAGGAGGGAGAATACAATAGAGCCTGGGATCTCTTTGCAGCGGCGGGCCATCCGCCTGATATGAATTCAGCGCTTCTTGCATACTTATGCACTTCCCGTGACCCAGTTAATTGGAGGCGAGTCAATCGTTTATTCGACGGAATCTCTGAGGAAAACCGCCGTGCAGAAGACTACTTCCATTTAGCGAAATCTCGATTATTTGCTGGCTCTCTGCTCGAAGCAAAATCGATATGCCTAGATGCTCTAGCAAAGGGCATTGGGGTTCCATGTTGGACTTGGATGTTTGCACATTTTATGGATAACGAGCAGTATGATTTAGCTATAAATATGTGGACCGTGAGACCTCAAGATGCGAAGGCCAATACGTTGCTTTCTTGTGTGGATACCTCGTCTCTGGTGAGACAGGCTGCAGCTCTAGCGGCATACTTACAAGACCATCGTGATCTTTTTTTTGGGATTGAATTGGCGCGCTTTCTGCTCGACCACATAATTGCCTCTCCCGAAGTCATTGACACTACTCCCACGGAGGCAATCCTTAATATATTGCGGAAATATAATGCCCTGGGTCTTGTCAGAGCAAATGACTACTATACACTTATCGAGACTTTCGGATCGTCCAACGTTCGGTCATCTTTCGTCAGGTCTATCCTTGTCTACCGCAATTTCCGCTGGCAAATGGCAGACGAAATTCCTCCGGCGAAGATTTTAACTCTTCTATTAACGCGTCTTGCCTCATTTGAAATCACAAGCGGCATCCGATATCTCTTAGACGAGTTCTCTCATTTCTATACTAAGCCATCGATAGAAGCTTACAAATATGCTCTTATTGCCTTTTCAAGAGCCGGAGAGGTGGAAAATATCAAAAGCATATTTGAAAAGTTCGTGGCAGATCACGGGAAACCGTTGAGTCGGAGGCTTGTCAATCCTCTTCTATATGTTCACGCGAGGCTAGGTGACGTGGAAGGTACCCGGCAACAATTCAGGAGGATCAATGATGAATTCGGTCTTGAGCCGAACACGGCCTCTTGGAATATCTTGCTTACGGCGCACACAAGGGCAGACGATTTTTCCGGGGCTTTCTCAACGTTCAAGCAAATGTTGGAGACGGGCGTGCAGCCTGATACGCATACCTTTGGTACAATGATGGGGCTCTGCGCTAATAGGGGTGATATCGAAAGCGTTCGTTCTCTGCTAGTTGTAGCAAGCCAGCGACGGATTACCATCACAACGCCTCTACTTGACACCATTGTGGAGGCCTATTGCAACAATAGAAGACTAGATTTGGCCGAAAGCATGGCCGAGGCATGTCTCAGCTTGAACGTCAAGGGGTCTCTGGTGAGGATGTGGAATGTCCTTCTTTGGAATTACGCGTTCAGATTGGACTTGGAATCCATTTCTAGAATCCGATCACGCATGGATGCTGCCGGAGTACAACCCGACGGCATGACCTACGCTGCTCTTATGCTCGCGCTGGCGCTCGTTGGACAACCTGATTCGGCACGTCGTATTCTTAGAACGCTTCACAGGAGTCGCCGCGTTCATGCGACAGACTTTCATTATGCCATAGTCTTGTATGGCTACGTGAAAACCCGAAATCGAGATATGGTTCACATTATCTATCGGGAAATCAAGGAGCGTTTTAATCGACCCGGGTTAGGCGCAAGACTACTGGTTCTTAGGAGCCAAATCCGACGGGACTTGGACCACTTCAGGGATACTCGAAGTGACATCAACTCTGTCAACGCACGTCTCCAAAACGCCGAACGGCTTCTTGCCGAAGCCATTGCTGATTTTGAACCCTCGATGCTGGCATCAAAAGAACCTACACCTGGCATCGGTAGACAGTCGCTTAGCCGAGCTTTCCCCGATATCTACTACGAGTATCTTATTAAAGCGTATGGCGCCGTGGGCGCATCGGCGAAGGTCGAGGAACTATTCGACCAATATATAAACGGCAAGCAGCCACGGTATCCAGTTGATAATCCCTATGAACTTGCACCGCTTCGCCTACTTTCTGCTTTGATGCTTGCTCACCTGAGGTCTGAGCAGTACGACAAGGTCGAAGAATTTTGGAAAATAGCATTTCCACGTGCTATTAAGATGGCCAGCCGTCCAGACCTCAAGGAATGGCTATCTTCGGCTCCAGTCGGTCAGCCGGCATCTCATCCATCTTTGGCCGTTTCTGGGAAGAAGAATAGCGAACTCCCATTAAGCTCCGACATGCCTAATCCGGAAGAAAAGGTGTCTATTTTACCATCATACCGATTTATGCTGTCTTGGCCCCTCTCCATGTATCTGCGGGCGTTGGCCTACCAGGACAAACCTTGGAGACTATCCCAAGTGATGAAGGAAGTTGAGCATGCGGGATTTTCCCTAACAACTTTCAACTGGTCCACGTACGTGCAAATGCTTGCCCAGTCAGACAGGCCATCGGATCAGTTGGAAGCATTCACTGTCTACGAGGAGAAATTCATGCCCAACTTTCCTGGATGGAATAACCTTCGCCGAGGAGTTGGAGTGAGACCTCCCAGTGCTCCAGATACCGTTGATCTCATAGAAAATCCTAGGCGCCGGAAACGCGGTTACCTGGGTAAAGTTGGTCGCAGGTATTGGAGCAAAATTCAACCTGATTTTATGCAACCGACTTATATCTCCATGGTCTATCTTGCATCTGCTTTGCTCTCATTCCGGGAGAGGAGTATTATTGATGGCGGCGCAGAAGTGAGGGCTCTCTACGAAGCCGCTCCCAATACAGTCCAGGCGGTTGCTGGGATTCCCTACCTCCGAGATAAATTCCAGGGTGTCATTCTTCGTCATCGTCAGCAGCGGGGTGTGGACCCTAAAAGTACGAAGCCATACGAGCCTTTCGTATGGACAGGTGGTATCCTTGGTGTTGGTGGGGAGTCACGGCCTCGTGACACACGCCGTCCGAAGCAGCAGCCCGATGAGCAGTGGCTAGAGCCGGGCGAGTCATTGCGGGATATCAGACCTGAGCAACAGGCTTCTGAAGATCAGATAGGGACAGAGACCACCGCTGAAGCCCAGGTGGAGCTACCGGAGAGCACGCTTGATCACCAAGATGAATACGACATCGAAGCCGAAACAATCTTGGAACGAAGACGACGGGCCAATGCGACGGAAGACTATGAATTAGACAATGAGGAGCATGCAAGAGAAGAGGCTAGGAAGGCTCAAATAGAAAGAGTCGAGGAAGAAGAGGACGAAATGAATGAAGCGGAAGCGGAAATGGAAGGGAAAGAACAAGAGGAGAATCAAGAAGAGGATGAAGAGGGAGAAAACGAAGATGAAGAAGAGAAAGACGAAGACGAAGAAGAGGGGGAGAAAGAGGAAGAGGAAGAAGAAGACGATGATGAAAGTGAAGGCTTTGGAAAAGGTCCCAGAAGACGTCGCAGACGCAGGCGCTGAATAAAGGGAAACAACCAGCTCGACGAATCTGATGATTATGTGCATTTGCACCGAGTTGGGATTCGAATATAGTTTGTAGATGTATCATATTCATGGCCACAAAAGAATCTTGTGTATATGTTGCTACATAAACTTTTTTGTTCTATTTCATCATGTTGTCAGCTCAGCGCTTAGAGCCTCGCCAGCTATTGGCTGCCGTGACATTCTTTTCATTCTTCTACTAACATGGGGAAAGGATCTTTCTCGTGAGGTCAAGATGCCCAGATGAAATGCTGCGTATCACGGTGCTAGCAGGCACTGTTCTGCCTGTACAGACTTACCACGTGACCCACGAGGAAGGTTCATTCCTAGTTAGGATTAGTGCTTCTTAGTTGTATTCTAGTTGCGCTAGTGTGTATGATGAGTAAAGAGTCATGAGTAAGCATATAACGCGTGGAGGAGACGCGTCTAGAACGAGAGACGCGTTTCAATTATACCCGATTGGGAGGTCGCGTCGACTTGGAGAAAAAGAAGTCCCTCCGCAAGCTGCAAGATTCGACGAAATTGTCGTCTATCCCTACTTCAATCAACGTGCATACATTGCCTCTCTTTTCTTCTCGTTACAATCTCAAACAAGGCTTTTCACTCGACATTGAACATTTTTAATCCACTTATTTCACGATACCTACGACACAACCCACGCCATGGACGGCGTCCAGCTTCGCGATGAGGCAGCTCAAGATCGGATCCGAGCGGCAGTTGAGTTCCTCGATCCCAGTAAGTACTTTTTGAAAAGCGCTATCATATCTGACAGTTGCTGATTGCGCTTCTCCCAGGCGATGCCAGAGCACGCAGGTCCGTCGACGCCTAGCGAGAAATCTTCCGTCTTTCTTATTCTCGCTCCAACACGATTCTGACTTTTGTCTCCAATAGTTACCGGGCAGATATTGTTTTGATGCTAAATCGGGGGCTGCGACGTCTAACGGTATGCTATTGGATTTGCTATTGACCTGGCTTCTCTAGGGATTTGAAGCTAAGTTCTTGCACAGGTCAGCATCGATGAGATCAGAGCACATAGCCGCGAACTCGCAGATGGGTAAGCAATACTGTATCGGGCACTCAAGACACAGTTTTGTTAACTCTTCGCAGTCTGCTCACTTCCCCATTCGACTATTCGCAAGCCTTCGACAAGGCCCTGAAGGAGGTTATCAAAACACTTCCAAACCGGCCGTCCCGAGAAACGGCAGACGATGCAGTATGTTATCCGAATACTGTAAAAAATTTATTTTCCAACTACTTATAACCTCTATAGGTCTACTACTGTGCTTACATCGGTGCCTTCGGAGAGTACTCTTGCAATCCTCGCACTGTGAGTTCCTCGCACTTGAATCGCATGATATCTCTCGAAGGTATCGTTACAAAATGCTCGCTGGTTCGGCCCAAGGTGATACAAAGTGTGCATTGGAATGAAAAGAAAAAGAAATTTCTTGCAAGGAAGTATAGAGACCAGACCATGACAGCTAGCGGGGTGACAAACCTCAACGTCTATCCTCAAGAAGACGATGAAAAAAACCCAGTAAGTAAAGGTATGTTCCAGTAATTCTGTAGTCTTATTGCTGACTACTCTCCCACAATAGCTCATTACAGAGTACGGTTACTCTACATATATGGATCATCAGACCATATCCATCCAGGAAATGCCAGAACGAGCACCCGCGGGACAGCTCCCTAGAAGCGTCGATGTGATACTGGACGATGATCTAGTAGACCGTGCTAAACCTGGTGACAGAATCCAGCTTGTTGGTATATACCGCTCTCTAGGAAACCGGAATGCCGGCGCTGGGTCCTCGGTATTTCGCACAGTCGTCATGGCGAACAATATTATTCAGTTGTCCTCTAAGTCTGGTGGAGGCATTGCGCAGGCAACCATTACAGACACAGATGTTCGGCATATTAACAAAATCGCCAAGAAAAAGAATGTTTTTGACTTGCTCTCCCAATCTCTCGCTCCTAGCATCTATGGTCACGAGAAGATCAAACAGGCCCTCTTGCTCATGCTACTAGGAGGCATGGAAAAGAACCTTGACAACGGCACCCATCTTCGTGGCGACATTAACATTCTCATGGTCGGTGACCCATCGACAGCCAAGTCCCAGCTTCTTCGCTTCGTTTTGAACACCGCTCCACTCGCAATTGCCACCACAGGTCGAGGCTCCTCTGGAGTCGGTCTTACGGCAGCAGTTACATCCGATAAGGAGACGGGTGAGCGTAGATTGGAAGCCGGTGCAATGGTTCTTGGAGATCGTGGGGTGGTCTGCATTGACGAGTTTGACAAGATGAGTGACGTGGATAGAGTTGCTATTCACGAAGTTATGGAGCAGCAGACCGTTACAATCGCGAAAGCTGGTATCCACACAAGCTTGAATGCAAGATGCAGTGTCCTAGCGGCTGCTAACCCGATATATGGGCAATACGATCCCCACAAGGACCCTCATAAGAACATTGCTCTGCCAGACTCACTTCTGTCTCGTTTCGATTTACTTTTCGTTGTCACCGATGATATCAATGATGCTAAAGACAGGCAGATTTCGGAACACGTCATGCGCATGCATCGCTACCGTCAACCAGGCACAGAGGAAGGAGCCCCCGTTCGGGAACAGCCTAACCAAACACTGGGCGTTGGTCTAGAGGATAACCAGGCTTCGAATGGGACGGCAGAAGTGTTCGAAAAGTTCAATGTTATGCTCCATGCTGGTATTGCTCACTCGGGTCGTAATGGAAAAAAACAGGATGCGGAAATTCTGAGCATTCCTTTCATCAAAAAGTACATTCAATACGCTAAGTCGAGAATTAAGCCCATCCTGACCAAGGGGGCAGCGGATCATGTTATTGAGACATACTCTGCTCTGCGGAACGATGAGCTGTCTCGTAACGAACGCAGAACGTCTCCGATCACCGCGCGTACACTAGAAACCTTGATCCGTCTGGCGACTGCTCACGCAAAAGCACGACTTTCCAGCAGAGTTGAGGAGCGTGATGCCAAGGTTGCAGAGGCAATTCTGCGCTATGCGTTGTTCAAGGAAGTTGTCGAGGATGATCGCCGCAAGAAGAGAAGGACGACCACATTTGATGACGATGATGACTCAAGCGACTCTAATTCGGATTCCGATGATGAAACATCCAGAAATACATCGACGGTCACTCCACGGTCCACTCGGAGAGGTGGAACGCTCACTACACGCGCAGCAGCGAATCGTGCGAACACGAATGAAGCAGATCACATGTTCGAGGATGGCGACGGTCTATACGATGCCAGCCCCCGTGGACAGCGGTCCCAAAGCCAGACACAGGCAGAGAGCCAGTCGCAAATGTCGATGGCCTCCTCTCGGCCAGCATCGCAACTTGTCCAGTCCCAAACGGACGACTCGCAGTCACAGCAGAACTCCGCCTCTGTTAGTCAACGAATCCATCCATCACGATTGGCAACTTTCCGCCAGGCTCTTGGACCGCTGATGGGCACGAGTCTGTTTGCCAATGAAGACTCAGCGGATGTAGAAGACCTCATCGGAGCCGTGAACAGAGCCATCCGCAATGCGCCGTCACTCGGCGAAGGCCATGTATTCCAGCGAACCGAGGCTATCCTGGCCCTGAGGGCTATGGAAGAAAGAAACGAGTTGATGTGAGTATTATCTATCTATCTAGGTCTAAACGATATTTTGTTGCACTGATCTGACTAATTTCTCTCTCTGCCGCAGGTACCTTGAAAATGAGGAGACGGTTTATAGGGTTTAATGCATTTTTTTATTGCTGATTAAGAGGGATTATGACTGCAGCTGTAAATCGGATATGGGATCTTTCTTTTTAATTGTATTAGACAGTGTTCTCTGATATATGGAGTACATGGAGTCTGTCTTGTTGGCGTCTGGAATTTCTCTGTGAATGGACTTATCTAGCTGTCCCTTTTTAAACAACAGCTTACAGAATATACACACATCATGTGTGGTCCTGTGGACTCACAGACTAGGTATTATTCTTCAACAACTGCAGAACAGAAATTTGTACTATTCGACTAGAACCTCAACTTTTTGAAGTCCTACAAAAACAAAGTATATTAAGACAACCTAAAACAGACTACATAAGCTGGTTCCAGAGAGGGGGTATAATAAAATAAATCAGGTTCAATTCACGATGACAAGATCAAACGCTCTTTCATTTCCTCTTCATGACGTCCTCTCTTCTCCTGATACAGAGAAGGAATCGAGTGACGGAAGAGGCTGCAGGCCTTCTCTGATCTGTGCCTGGGTCAGAGGGGACAGGCCCTGAGGGAGTGCCCTGGTACCTCGCTTACTGCGTGCTCGTTGGCCATGTTCCGCTGCTGAGGCGGGCGATAGAGTCGCGCTGCCTCGACGAGTGCGTCCCCCGCGAGACGGTGGACGCTCGTCACTCGCCCAACCGCCATCGGCGGGGGTACTACTGCGCGACGAAGTACGGGATTGCGATTGCGAGTCGGAGCGTACATTGCGACGCGAGGAAGGTTTCAGGTCATGGCCAAGCTTGGAGACGCTTGAGCGGCGACGGTTTCGATTGGGGTGCGACTTTTCGCTGGTAGCTGTAGGCCTTCGCTGGCGTGGTGATTTCCAGCCTAGTTCGAACCACCAGAACCAACCGCCCTCTCGTCTAGCTAGTTGACGCTCCCGCTCGCGCAATTTCTCCCGGAGCTGGGCCCGTCGCTCATTCTCCTTCTCCCAAAAACTAGTACGGTACTCGTCCCAATTCTCGCGGAACTCGGGCGAAAACGACTTAGGGAGTAGGAGAAGTCGTATATAGTCACCTCCAGGGCTAAGGTCCTCCTCGACTAGGTCGGGTTCACTATCATTGTCGAAGTGATGGTGGTGAGAGTGGTGTGGCCGACCACCACGCTTCTCAGCCAGTTGACGTTCGACGTGGTGAAAATTCCCCGCGGGTGAGGGGAAGAAAGGGAAGATGAAGGATAGATAAGACATCAATTCCTGCCACCACGGGCCACGGATCACGACGATCTTGGTGTTCATGTTGCGAAGGCCGCGGTTGGTGACGGCCAGCCAACGCCGCGGCCAGCGAATTCCCCGTTCCCATTGCCCAGTGCCCCAGACCAGGAGCGCAGTAACAACGGCGCCCATCAATGCAACTTTTTCGCCTGTTTCAACCATCCAGTAGATCGAGCCCCCGACTCCGCTGCCATCCTCACGTGGACGGAGAAAGAGCGCATATGAGAAATAGGTGATCCAGGCTGCGAGGAGAAGGAGGAAAAAGGTGTTTTGACGTCGTCGCTCGCGCAAACAGAGATATTGAGCCCGAAGAGAGGCTTCGAGAATGAGGAGATTAAGGTAGATCTGGGAGGGGGAGGAAGGGAGGGTCGACAGCGGATCTGGGGGTGGGGTAGGCGGACGGAGCTGGGCAGTGTAATTGGGAGAAGATTGGAGTAATGACTGAGCAGGCGCAGGATCGGACGATGGCAATGAAGAGGAGAGATGCGAATTGGGAGCTGGGGCGCCCTTGACGAGCTGGTCGAGGCTTTGGGGCATGGCGGCCGGCGTTGAGAACAATCGGTGAGGGGAGTGGGGAGAGAGCAGATCGCTCTTTTCGAGGCAGAGGAGAAGGAAGACGAGAGCAGCAGCTGTGGATAACGAGGACGAGGACAGGAATAATGGCCTTTGCGGCCCAGACGAGACGCTATCTCATGGCATCGAGGGTGCAGCGAGAAGAAGACGGTGAGGGCCGTTAGTGTTGGTGTTGTGGGCGACAAGATGGACTGACGCTCGCTTCTCCCTCTTCTCTTCCCCTCTTCTCTTCTTCCTCTTCTTCTTCATCGCCAACTCCCCCATCCCATCCCTCATCAACGGCTTGTATCAGGCCAATTCACTTCCCTTTCCTATCCCTCTCCCTCCCTCGTCCGTCGTGTCTCGCAATCCCTCGCGTTTCTTTGCCTCCGCCGCAGCTCAACCGGGGTTATCGCGGACCTTGCGCTTCTATCTCCGCCACTCGATTACATATTCCAAACTCTCCTAACCGACCCCTACGGTAACCTTCGGGGTCGGTTAATACGTTTCTTCCTTCTCCTGCCTGAGTGACAGAAGGGCTGTGGTTATCCTTCTGTTGCTCGCTCTTGCTGCTGCAAGCTGTATCCCGCGCGACTCAGCCAGCTGTCCTCTTCCCTTTATGTCCCTCGATCGTGGACCTGCTCTCCTCTGGATGCGGCTTGGTCCATTTCATCATCGTCGTCACGGTCATCATCACCATCATCAACTGCCCTCTTTGTAGTACCGTCATCTCGGCATAGCTCCTCAATGGCGTCCGAATCGCTACAGTCGCCGCCGCCAGAGAGCGACCGGGGCCGCACGACTTCCCGGCACCATCATGATCCGTTGGCACATAAAAGAGAAACTACCCCCCATGCTGTCCGTGCAGGCAATATGCTCACTGCCACTCCGAAGTGGTTCCCGTTAGGATACAGGGAAGGGTTTGCTCAATGGGTAGGTTATCTGAACAGTGCGTACAGCCCTTAGGTTGATACAGAGTTCACTGAGAACTGGTTTGCAGTGGGCTGGTGTTTCACCCGCAGCGGCGGAGCATAAGGTGCTCTCCTTCCTGCCCTATCTCCAGCATGAGCCTCCCACCCAGCAGCAGACAGGGCACGAACCCGATATTCCTACCGACACAAGAGACGGTCTCGCTTCCGTGGACCCCAGCCAACCAGGCGAGGTAACGGCCAACTCCGTCGGGGACCCGTATGGACCTCGTCGATGGCGTTCCAGCATGGTTCAGCTCAGCGGTAAGAATCGTGCTCTGAACGAGCTGTCGGTGGAGAGAGTTGGAGAGGATGCCGACCAGCACTTGGTGATGCTCCACGGCTACGGGGCCGGCTTGGGGTTTTTCTACAAAAACTTTGAGCCTCTAAGCCGACCCAAGGGCTGGCATGTATATGCGCTAGACATGCTCGGGATGGGCCGCAGTACGCGTCCCCCTTTCCGGATCAAAGCTAAAAGAAGAGAAGATGCCATCAAGGAAGCGGAGGATTGGTTTGTCGATGCTTTGGAAGAATGGCGCGTGAAACGCAAGATCGATCGTTTCACTCTACTCGGCCATAGTCTCGGGGGATACATGGCCGTAGCTTACGCGCTCAAATACCCTGGTCGTCTGAACAAACTCCTCCTTGCTTCTCCCGTGGGTATCCCAGAGGACCCGTACGCAGTCAGAGAGGATATGCCGGAACCATCCGCGTCTACTATGGTCAACGAGTTTACCCAGGATCAACAACGTGTATTCGAAGATGGAGACTCACAGAGGTCCGATGCAACGGGTAGCAGTCCTCGCGCTATGAGCAAGCTTGGGAACATATCATCAAACTCTCCACCGCGTCGCACTCTTCCAAAATGGTTCGCCTATCTGTGGGACGCCAATATCTCTCCCTTCACCTTTGTACGATGGGCTGGACCATTCGGGCCACGCCTAGTATCTGGCTGGACGTCTCGACGGTTTTCCCACCTACCAGAGGAAGAGGCCAAGGCTTTACATACCTACGCGTATAGCATATTCCGCCTCCGAGGCAGTGGCGAGTACGCTCTATCATACGTGCTCGCACCGGGTGCTTTCGCCCGTAACCCTCTCATCCGGCGCATCCACCAGGTCGGTCGACAGATGATTCAGCCTGTTCCCGAAGACTCCCCTTCACAATCAGACGCCTCTCTGGGTGCATCTCCTGGACCGAGTCCCTCCCCGCCCCCTGATTTTCTCAACTCGAGTGAATCCTCAGTAGCGGCGGCTGCGGGTGGGATAGCAGCGCAACCTAGACGTGAACATGGCATCCCCATTGTCTTCTTGTACGGCGATCATGACTGGATGGATGTCGCAGGCGGGTTCGCTGCAAAGGAGAAGATAGATGAAGAAAGAGAGCGGACACTCCGCGATGCCACCCCGGAGGAACGTCAAGCGGACAGAGGATCGGCCAAGGTAGTAATAATCAAGAGAGCTGGCCATCACCTCTACCTAGACGGATGGGAAGAGTTCAATAAGGTCATCCTAGAAGAAATGGAGGATGTGAGGCGCCAAGAAAGAGAAAGAGGAAGAGCTACGCCGCCATCTTAGACTAACTTTAAACAAGTGAGACGTGGCCTTGTTCCCGGTTATTTGGAAGCGTGGGAGTCTATAGGGTCCTCCGTCTAACTTCTTTCTTTTTCTCATCTCTTCTATTTTCTCGATACTTAGACTTGATTTTCTTTCGTTTACAAGAAGTTCATCATGTTTTCGTCTGAAGTCTCTGTGCGCACTAAGACTATATAGACATCCTGTTCTTCAACAGAATAGCTCCCTTTGGGAGTAGCTGGAGCTTCTTGCTGTACCACTTCACACTCATCGACGTCGACGTCATGCCATCTCTTTTTCGCTCCGGATGAAGTGTCCTCGGGCCACAGAAAAGATGACTGGATTCTCTTGGAACCCATGGCCTACGAGAAAGAGAGGGCTAAGGATAACTAGCTAACGGACTACATGCCGGTGCAGTCGACATGGGCTCTTGTCGGAGCCCTGTGTACATGTCTACAAAAATAGACTTGTTTTATCAGGAAGACCAATTGAAAGACAGTTGCATATCAGCTTCAATCATCTAATGGACACTGGATGGTGAGCCTTGTATTAACCGAAATAATAATAACAGGTAACCATGTTCAAAGTATTATAGCAAGCTCATTTTCAGACCTGGAAACACTCATTTCGATCACATTTCCTTGGTCATTGATCATCATTACAAGATACATCGAAAAAGATTTCATAGCAAATTGCCAGGGAATACCAGTCCTTGCTCACCCTTTCTTACGACGAATATGTAATCGCATTAAAGATAAAAAGTTACAAATGAATTAAACCTTACTTCCCAATTTGACCGACGTCTCAGGCTCAGATTCGGGAAACTCCGCATTTGATGCCTGACGCTATCAGAATCGCGATATGAAGCTCTCACAGGGTCATTGTTGCTATTAGCAGCGGGAGTAGAGAGAAATCCCATATGATTCTCTGCGAGAGCGGGCGATTGTGGAGTTGAGGATCCGCTCGTATCGCGCTGCCTTGCGACTGGTAATAGCCATGTGTCTGAGAGATGAGAGCTTATTGTTGTTTGTGGTGGGCCGGTAGCTGTAGGGAAGTTAACTTAGTATGTGGTGATGATGACATCATGGAAGACGTACCATCAGGCGCGGAACGACCGACCAGCCGGCTTGGACTGGAGATTGGTAGCCAGGAACCGGTGCTGAACCAGTTGCCCACGTCGAATGATGACTCGGAGAAGCGCGAAGGAACGTGGACGTGGTAACGGCACGCTTATGGTTGGGGTTAGGGATGATTGTGGTACAACTAGATGGACCGTTTCCCCACATCTTTGACTCAGAAACCCCAACCCCATCGCTGCTGTTGGCAGTAGTAATGTAGTCCTTCTGGAAAAAAGAAGTAGTAGGAGGCGAGGGAAGCTCTAGACGATTATTGATCGACAGCCAAGCCCTTTCATCGGCATCATCATCCGGATCATTTTGATTACCAGACGAAGCAGATGATGTGGAACCGGAAGCAGTACCCCATTGTCCCCCAGATATCACAGACATAGGCCCAGCCCCAGCTCCATAACAGCGCCAGCCGCCCAGGCCTTCAAAATCACGATCTTCATCGCCACTGACCAGACCTAGGAATGCTGCGCTTTTGGAACGACCTAAACCCGGACGGCCGATCGGGGCTAGTTTTGGTGTCGACACTGATGATGGCAGTGATGTTACAGGAGCCGCATCATGTTCACACTCCGAGGACCGTCTATTCGGCGTTGGTGTACTGGGGGAGGTTGGTTCCGACGGCGTAAAAGGCAGCAGGGACAGATTGGAAGGAGTAGGCATGACAAAGTAACTGGTGATGAGGGCGTAGCAGAATTCAGTGTAGAATATGAATACGCGAAAAGACAAGGCCAGCACGGAGAAACAGGAGGTGATGTAAGCTGATATTAGGAGGGGGATTGAGATGAGTATGAGGACAGGGAGGACGAACAGGGTGGTCAGGTTGGCCAACAGCATGGAGGGCTAAGTCGACAGGTCAACTGGGTATTTGCATGCAGTTACATTCTGCAGGGAAGGATGCAGAGTGCCCTTGAAGAAAGGGGGCAGACATCACGGATGGAAGTGAAGGATTGAAAGAGAGATTGGATCGAGTTGATTTCCAAGAAAGGAAATCTTGGAATATGCGGGGAAACACCTGATTTTATGCCTGATAATCAAGGCAGAAGTGTCGGCCACATGACATCACCCAGAGCAGCTTCAACACAGACAATTAAATATTATTGCTACACGCAACAACCAACTCAAATAACAGGCATGGGAAGCGAACATCAAAATGCATCCACGGACTCCCAGTTCCCATGGGAACTGGGCATATTCGACGCCCACTGCCACCCTACAGACACCATGAATTCCATCCCGGAAATCGCAAAGATGAAAGCGACGACGCTCACGATAATGGCAACTCGCGGCGAGGACCAGGACCTGGTATTCGAGACTGCCACATCCCTGCTGCCAACAGAGAATAAAAATGGAGGAGAAGAGCCGAATCAGAAACAACCACAGCGCATTGTCCCATGCTTCGGGTGGCATCCATGGTTTTCATACCAGCTCCTCGACGATATAAAAGAGGCAAAGGGAGAAGATACCACTACCAACACCACTAGTATACTACCAACAGTTCTCAAAGCATCACACTATAGACAAGTCCTCACCCCTTCCCCCACCGACCCAGATTTCCTCTCCACCCTACCGCCCCCGAAACCCCTCTCCCAATTCATAGACGAGACGAGAAAACGCCTCCTCACCTTCCCACATGCTTTAGTCGGCGAGATAGGCTTAGATCGTTCCTTCCGACTCCCGACTCCCTGGTCAGGCTCGGAGATGGAGAACAGGGACGCCCAGGTCACACCGGGCTCGAGAGAAGGGAGACCACTCTCCCCATATAAGGTACAATTGGCGCACCAGAAGATGGTGTTAAAAGCCCAGCTCCGGTTAGCGGGGGAACTTCACCGGGCTGTCTCCGTGCATAGCGTACAGGCACACGGGGCGGTTCTGGAGGTCCTCAAGGAATTATGGGCGGGACATGAACGGAGGATTATGTCGAAGAGGGAGCGGAAGAGAGAAGAGGAACAGGCGGCTCATCTGGGTCATATTATTGATGAGGGAGAAGGAAAGACATCATTATCATCATCATTCGGTTCCCACGTGCAGCAGAAATCGGCTCCTCTTCCCTTCCCTCCGCGAATATGCATGCACTCGTACTCCGGTCCTGTGGAGCAATTGAGATTATTCCTAGATCCTTCCGTGCCCGCAGATATCTACTTTTCCTTCTCCAGCGTGATTAATCTGCGTGGACCGTCGTCGCGTAAAGTTCTTGATGTGATCAAGGCTTTGCCGGAAGATAGGCTGCTGATAGAGAGTGACCTGCACACGGCGGGAGGTCAAATGGACGAGTTACTCGAGGATATCGCGAGGACTGTCTGTGATGTACGTGGATGGGCGTTGGAGCAGGGAGTTCGACAACTTGCTGAGAACTGGAAGAGGTTTGTCTTTGGTTGATTGGCAATACGTATATAAATCTGAAAGGATCAACCTAGCAGATCTTGGCAGGATCTACTCAGTAGATCGGAACTCTGCACACATGCATACGTACTTTTTATTCTACAAACGTTGAAGGCTTTCCCTTTCCGTTTTGCTGCTCACCCCCTGCTCACTGAGTACATTTGAATATGCCCTGAGCATGGGTGAGCGCTGACCTGAGTGGTGATATGTAGCCTCAATAAAATGCACCCAGCTCAAGGGGCCTTGACCACGTTATTGTTTCAATTCCTGCATCTATGAGCATTTTTTGGTCCTGAGTAGTCTAAGCCAGTCTATCTATCTTCACTGTTCAACACCTGAGGGCTGTTACTGTTTTATCTGAATAATCCTCTCGGATTGGGAACAGCACAATCTGTGCAATGGCTTTCCCTAGTAATCCAAGGAATCAACCAAGCAAGAGTGCGTCTAACTAAAGAGGTGTACTACTCTTACTAAGCAAGCTAGGGTGTGGCCTCATCAGATGCATGCGGTGGTCAGTATCATATACCTCTACTTAAGAAGTATCAGCCGCTCATTGAGGTGGTTATAGGCAACACTTTTCCATGGATACAACCATATCATTACCTGCACCTTCTGGCCATGTCTCTCTCCCGGCTCTGCTGCCCACAGCTGGGTTGGAAGGTCAACCATAGAGAATGATGCCGGGCCCTGAGTCCAAAACTCCTGCAAATACCACCCTGACACACTGAATAGACTTTCTCCGCTCCTTACTCATAGGCAATGGGAAATACAGTTACCACAGACAGGGTTTCATTAAATGAGTTAAAGAGCCGCAGTGTAAGAGGGCCAACCTGGTGAATCTTTGGTTCTGAGACTGCTGACAGGACAGACCAGAATAGTGTGTATTTGTCAGATGCCTGGAACCCATCCAGCTTCTCCAGTGTCTCCTAGACTAGAAATGATTACTCTTGAGCTTGCTAATTTACTATAGGCCTAGTAGTGATGGAAAACATACCTTATACCAGGAGCATTGTGTTATTACCAGAGTCCTGGCACTCTCAAATTGGTCCCCACCAAGAATAGTAATGGCCGGATATCCACAGCGCAGGGAGAAAAAATCCAATCCATTTGTCATCATTTGGATTCTCTGTCATGGGAAGTACAAATTCAATCCACAGAATAACATTCACTGTCTCATAAAGACGTGTTGGTAACGGCTGCCTTCTAGTGGCCTACATGGTGGATAAGGTCATGCTGTGAATTTTTCCAACGATAGGAGAGCTGTGCGGATCTTAAATACTCATTTTGAGTCTACTTGATCTAACACTCTGGTCCTGTTTCCCCATCTGAAGTGGGGTGAATGGAGACGGTGGAATAGAGAGTTCTTGCCAAGCCATCAGTACATCAATTATGGGTCTGGGGAATGCACACTCTGTAAACGCCCAGCATTGAACATGCTCCCTGTACCATGGTCTGTATATGGGATGTGCGGTTCATCATTGACTATTCCATTGGCCAATTCTTCATCTGTTTCATGTCCCAGTGGTTTCTTCGTCTGTCCCTGCTTACAATGTAGGTTACGTACAAGATAGAACACATTCTTGGGGGATGAAAGTTGATAAATGCTGACAATGGTAAATAGAAGGTACTCCGTGCCTACTCCGTACCAAACACGGTCACTGCTACAGCCATCACCTGGAATTTAGAGACCATTTTAGAGGACATGAAGGCTGAATTTGGAAGCTCATTATTATAGGGGATGCTGTCCATGCAATGCTTCCATACATGTCACAAGGTTAGCCAATAATCTACAGCTGGCAGATCCTATACCTCACGTCACGCACGCCAGGATGCGCGATGGCACCAGAAGATCAAGGCATTCCTTTCAGTCACAGTGCAAGCCAGTGGAGTGCCCCAGCACTGAGATGGGCTGCTATGGATATGAGGCGGAGAAGGAAATTGATGATGTTTGGAAAAGGTAGACGAACGCTAACAGAACTGGGAAAGTAAATGTGGTTCCAGAAATTCCATTTTATATAGTGACATAAAAATTTCAATTCCAGCAAATATCCAACAGAAATAGAAGTCAATGAAACCCAAGCGCGTCCCAACCCAATCCTTTTTCTCTCTTTGGATATGTATTTATAGGTATAATGTAGAACTCCAACAAGAACAGAGAACAAAATAGAAGAGACCAGACACAAGAATAAAAGGCATATTCCCTAATTCCCAGCATTTTCCAGAAAGTGAAAACCAAAAAGAATCCCTAATCCCAGAACACTGACTGTATACCTCCCTAGCAACTTTCTACATAACATCCCAGTAGTTCCCGCTGATAACGTCCCCGGATAAAAAAAAAGAACATTAAAAAAAGCTCATAACATATTGATGATCTCACATATGCATGCAATATGTAGCATGTGGATATGTATATATATATATGAGGAAAATAGTTCATATATACTTTGCGTATGCCCGGAGTAGCTAGGGCTCATTTGATCGTAAAGGCTGCATGGAGTATTTCTCTCTCCTTACATTCCTTTTTGGAAGGGGCGAGGTAGGGCTGGCTTTTTCTGGTTCCCCCTCTCCCTTGACTCGACATTCATAACAAAGCATTGGCAATGAAGTCTTGACATCATCATGGATCGTTGAATGCATACCAGTCCATATTCAGATGTATAGAATATCTCACAGTACCCTGTGAGGTCTGAAAGAGATATACAATAACCCTTATTTCATGGTGGCATCCAAAAAGAATAAAAAACCCCAGAAAGAGTAACCGCTTGGTCGAGACATCTAGCTAGGTATGCATCCATCCTCCTTCCTGGAGTAGATCTGTCATTGGAGTCTCGTGCAAATATATCTGGCGCCATTCATCTTCCAAGTATGGAAGAGCCTCCATTGGGATCGGAAGAGGCTGGTCGAGATCCGAAAAGGAGAAAAGCTGACGCCAGTCTTGATATTCCCTCGGATGGTCGACAGCGTCCATGGATGCCGACACGCTCGGGAGCCCATCGGTTCTCGGAACCGGGGAAGGATTCAGTCGTAGATGAGCCGGGATCCAGCTGTCTAGGAAATGGTTCTGCTGTGGTGCTAGAATAGCGGTATCTTGCATCTGGGAAGATTCGGGAGTGGGGATCTCGTAAGTGACTTGTTGTTCCGCTTTAGGTACTGGATGGACAGTGCTAGGGGCAGAAGTAGCATCGGAAGAGCTGCGCGTGTGTTGCTGATTGCTTGTCGGCTCCTCGGCGCCACTGAACTTCCTCGGTCTTTCGCTGGGTGCCATCCGTAGATCCTCCTGGAGGCGTTTCGAGTTTTCAAAGATCCGCAATATGGTGCCAGCATGGGACCAATATTCAGCCAATTCACGGAGGGAGTATGACGATGAATCAAAGCGCCGTAGGGCATTGATTGCAAGGACCGGGTTCGAGAAACGGAGTTCCACGCGGACTTGGATCATAGCAGTGAAGAGTGTGTGAACTCCAGCGTACCAGAGGAACTTTAGGCGATTATTCAAGCGAAGTTCTTCAAAGATGGATGCAATGACGCCGGCCGCTGCACTGCAAATCTCCGCGTCATGCGGACCGTAGTCATCTGAATAGGCGGATGCCCTGGGGTGCGGCCGATGAAGAAGAATGAGGAAGTTGTTATATGTAAGATGAAGCGTCGCAGACCAAGGATCCACGTCCGATGCGCGGAGCCGTAGGGTGTCGGGAAGCCTAAGAGACCAACTTGCCAGTGCCTCGTCGGCTTCACCGAGAACCGTCTTCCGGCGCTCAGTACTGACTCGCAGACCGAACCGTTCACGCATAATGTACGAAATCATGATGCAGAGTTCTGTCAAATGGATCATGAAGTCAATCTGAACTAGGGGTCCGCAGCCCTCAAAATCGGAAGGAACCAGCGGGGAAACGTCAGAATCGTCGAGATTTCTAGGATGGATTCTCCAGTTAGCTTTGCAAGACGATCGAACTGGAACACAGATGAAAAAAAGGCAGTTGCGTACATAGACTGTGGTCGGCCATATGACAAGGATACCATCACGTCAAATTGAACCAATATGTACCACAATCTCCTCCACATCCGTCTGTCACGATCTGCGAACCTACTCGAGACCGTGTTACGATGCATCCCGATGCCTGTCGCAATCCTGGCCGCCATTCCGACCCAGTAATGCGCGTTTGCCGATACATCATCGTCAGCATCATCAGAATACCAAGTCATTAGCAGAGCCGCCTGAACGAGGATGTCTCGGTTTCGCTCGACGCGGCTATCAAAGAGCCACTTGCAGCGGCGGAAGAAGATGTCTTTCAGAGCATCGCGTTCGACCTTTGGCCGTGTCACGTGCGATCCGACTAGAAGGATAGCTTGCAGCAGTAGGATAGGTGGTGGATCAGATGGATCACGATTTCGGTACTGCGTCATGAAGAGGTCCTCATCGACCACGGGATAACCGGGGTTCACCTCTGCGAAGTAGGCCTCGACCAGTTCGTCGGCCAGGGCTGGTTCAGGCAAAGTAAGGGCATCCATGAGTAGCTGATCGTGGCCCGTCTGTAACTGACGTCGTGGAAGATCCTGGCCCGCAAAGTGATACACATCATCATCTTTCTGCCGCTGCTGGCGGATCAGGAAGGACATGTTGGAGACATCATGACCGACGTAGATAGCACGCACGCCTCTCTGGATCTCTCGACTCTCGGAATCCTCCTCGTCTAAGAGATTCACCAGCCGTTTCTCGTAGTCGGCATGCACATCCTTGTCGTTGGATGTGGATGGCGGGTCTGAGCCGGGCCCGGAAGGCTGGTATGCTTGAGACGAGCTCGAGACGGATTGGGATGCAGAATGGTTGGATACATTACCGTTGGTCTGGATACCATTGGTTTGAATAGGGGTGGAGTTAGGGGCTACAGGCGGACTAGCATGGAGAGCGGTAGGAGTGGCCAGGGGAATGCTGGCCGTGTGAGCGGGAGAGATATCGGACAGGGGCTTCGAAGGAGAGATATTGGTAGCGGGAAGGGGACGACAACGGATGGGAACTGGATCGAGGATGGAGCGTACGGCAAGACGCTTCTTCTTCTCGTGGATGCGACAGTCGGGTTTCCCGGAGGAGCGACAGTTGGAGCAGGGGAGACCAACGAGGCGAGCATCGCAGCGGACCTTGCGTCTGTGACAGTGGACACAGGCCGCGGAACCTGAGCAAAGACGATGAAAATCACAATAAGCTTTGTCCCGTCGGAAGTCAAAGGGGAATAAACTCGAAAACAAGCACCAGGGGGAATCTCCGTCTGGGGGAGAGAGGGGGCAAATGGAGGATTAGTAACATGGGGCAAAGAATGGAACAGTCCATACCAGGCTTCCGCTTGGTTACACCGTCGCCTGCTGGCGGGCAGCTGTTCTGCACTGCGGACGACATGGCCGAGCTGGACAGAGCATCGACATCACTTGACGGCTGAGCATGATCTTGTTTCTGGCGCCACCGGAGGAGGGAGAGGACGAAGGGGGGTGGAGGGGTGGAAGAGGGGATAAAAGAAGAGGAGAAGGGGAGAGGAATGGATGTCTAGGCCAGCGACATCACGTTTCGCGCCAGCAGAATGATGGAGTTGATGCTTGCTCCCCGTATTATTTGGGCTATTATATTCGATATTATTATTATTATAATAATAAGCTGCTAACTCTGATGGCTTCTTATCTTGCTGGGGGCCAAAAGCCTCACGTGGGTGCGGAGAGCTTCCGTTCTTTGCTTGCTCTACTATGAATATGAATATGTTCGAACTACTATGCCATCGAGAGACCAGCAATAGCTTCCATTTGTTTCTCTACAGTGACCTTTCCGGAATGCCGCAGCTCTTATGCCGTATGCTGTATGCTGTGCTGACTGCGTCCGATGTAGTCCGTCCTCCGTACTCCATCTATACGTCCATCGTAGGTATACTACCTATACTCCGCGGATAGCCATCCTAGACCAGCTTATCAAGACAAAAGGGTCTGTACGAAAATCCCAGAAAGCATATTATAATTATCATTCCTCCTCCAGCAGCTCCTGAGGTGGTTGATTCGCGGACGCCCTGGCGAGGATTATGGCGAGCCTAATGGCGGTGAGCACCTGGCTTCTCCACCAGGAAGAAATAACATACGAGGATTTACTTATGACTATCATCCTCGATCCATCCACTTACGGAATACTTGTTATTTCTTCTCTCAGTTCATTACAGAGGAATAATGCGAGGAATTAGGATTCCGCATGACAGCCTTCCCTGCATCCCAGCACCATCAAATCACCGTCCACACACGCCGTGCTTCATGCATGCCAACCCCTCCCCTCCCGCCATCCTTCATGGCCATCTGTCCTTGTCCTTCGCTTCCTCCAGCCCAAGGCCGAATCTGGGCCGAACTCGACAGCAAGCCTACACTCGGGGAACTCCGTGATCAAATTATCTTGTCCTGCTTTTAATTAACCGAGGTTAGCTACATGCTACAGCGGACAATGGTACATGCTTGGGATGCATGCATATCTCCCAACTCGGTCAAAGGGTGTGTGGTCCCCCCCATGCACCCTGCCATCATGCTCCTGGTAAGAAGCTGCAAGGAGTGCTTCTGGAGCCATCCAAGTCATTATCTGTCGTCTGAGAAGCATACAAGCTTGCCGGAGAATGTTTCCTCTGTTGCTCCCGCTGAGCTGAACTGAGCTGAGCTCTCCTCCTCCCTTACATCTGCCCCAGAATGATTTGCACTTTTTCGCCTACCTAGTGATATATTAACCGCCAGTGATGATCCTTGTGGTCCAATCATTTCATAAGAACCGTTCCTGCTCGAGAGATGATCTATTTTAGTTCATGGTTGGGCAGATACGATTGTGGTCCAGAATCAGATCTCCCTCGCTGTAGAGGGCTATGCCCCTCTTCATCGCCCCTCTCTGATGTACGATGCATCCCGTATTAGGCAAAATAATGGACAGCAAAAAATAATTTCTTTTTTTAAGCAAAAAATAAATAAAAAGTATATGAAAAATAAATAGTAATAAAAATAAAACGCCAACCACTCCACCCATCTGTTGTATTCTTCTCACATCCCTTCCCTTTCTGGTCACGTACATCCGCCGGCCACTTCGGACACGGTACAGCATCTGCCTCACAGAGCGGGAATATGCGCGTAGGCTAAATCTAACCCCGAGGCCCGTAGATAAACATGTTGTGAATTGTGCCCTCAAGGGTTACGTCCGCGAGAATGAAAAAGAAATGTGGAGACCTGTCACTAGCTGCTTGCCTTGTTAGGGAGAATGACCCCTCTGCCAAGCGTTTGTCCTGAAGATCTAGGGTCTGTCGGTAAGAAAACAGAACTTAGACACGAGTCCTTCTGTACAGCAGGTCCAACTAATAAGATTCGCCACCTGCACCATTGTGGCCTTGGCCGACCATGGGCGGGTAGCCGTACGCAGACGTGTCTTGTTCTGTGGGATCCAAGCCTGGGTTGATGAGGTTGCTGCCAGTGTCCGCTGCTTCTGCAAACCCACCGGATGTGTTTGGCACACCTACTCGCGCAGCTTGTGCTGCGCCAACGGGACCACCGACAGTCCCGCCAGAGCTGTAGCTACTCGTAGGCCGATTCTGGTTTTCTCCCCTTGCCGACTGAGTCTCGCGATACTTGGAGAGATAAATCTTGAGCGCCTCTGCGTAGTTCTCAAAGCCTAGAGATGTCATCGCAAACAGGATGTCCTCTCCGTTGACAGTCTTCCTCTTCTCCTGCTGGCATTTCTCGGATGCTACAGATATCAGCCTTTCAACGCAGATAAGCCCATCGAGAGAGTGCGCTACCAACCTTCACTGGTAATGAATGAAATGAATTCGCTCACGCATTCCTGCATACACTCTTTTGCTTCCTTTGCGATCTTTGCATTCTCTGGCAAAGCCAGTTTCATAATGCGTGCCACTAAATAGCAATGCATATAACGTTAGCGCCATCAGATACCAATTGCGAAGAGTCCAGAATCCTAATTGTATTCAATGAATTGTCTCCACGACGACAACAAGAAGGGCTGAAAGGGCCTTTTGGAAGGGAAAAGGGGGGTCGGTGTAGAAATGCAGAGTGGCTACCGGCCAGCGAATGTAAGGTACGCGCAAATCACAAGTAGAACGCACACGCAATAACCATGCCACTAACCATTTGCAATTGGTAGCCAACGGTCCTGCTCCTTCACCTCAAACTCGCCCTGGCCTTGCGCCTGCGTTTCTTGGTGTTCCCTTTCCATGTGTTCCTGATCTTCTCCGGATAGTTGCTCAGTTTCCGCTTCGGGTTCCTTGGAGGGAGATGTCGATGACATGATTTAAGCTATTTAGAAAGCGCGCGCGCTAGATGTTAAAGTTGAATGTCGTGTCCGGCTGCTCTGCTGGCAGGAGACCACGTCAGAGTCGCCTGAGCACCTTGCTATAGTAATTAACTATGGAGCTTTCTGCGCCAGGGAATCCTCGGAACGAGTCGCTATTCGCTTCGCGGCAAGCTGAACCTGAGGTAGAGACTGCCAACTGTGTGGACTGACAAATTATCTGGACAGCTAGCGGTGTGGACAAAGCTCCGGCGCTGGCCTTTCGAACGACGATCGTGCAAATCGGTGTCCCTGCCGGTAGGATGGAGAAAGGCTCGACTACTGGCGAGACAGATAGGCCAGGATCGCGGAAAAGTTTTGGGGGTGTAGACCTGCAGCCTGTAATGTTAAGCCAACCAGCTACGCTTGAGGATCTGGGGAAGCTCGGTCGAGCTGAACGGATGTTACGCGCGCGCAACGCGGGTGCAACAATGTGGACAATGCGGGAGTGGGACGACCAACCGTGCTAAGGTGGCGCGATGTAGACTAATGAGGACCACAGGTAGAGTTCGTAGGTACTGAGTTTATTATTTTGGGTTGCGACAGCGACGACAGTTGGAGCGTACGAGTTGTTTTTGAAAGCAGCCAGTTGGGAGCAGAGCCAATAATGGTGCGATGCGCTGGGAGCGTCATTCTGTCCTCACGTGAACGGCCTGATCTTCCCTTTTCGGCATACACAGTAATAATCCACATGTGCACCGTACTTTTACCCCAGTTCTACTCTACGGGGATCATCACGATGGTATTCAACTCTTGATGCCCTGGCCATCACGGTATATTTGCTATCGCGCAAAGTGTCCGGCATGGGTGTAATCCCTACAGTCGCCTAGCAGCCCAACATGATGTATATGCTGAGTTAAAGCGTACTCGGCAGGATGGATTAACACATGCAGACTACATCCATCATTTTCTATGACAATTTTTTCTAAGTATATCACTTCAGCTTCCATATTTGAACTGATTGCCCGTAGAAATGCCCAACTCTTAATACATATCCCCGAACCTTCCAGCAGAGACAGGACGCTCAGGGACAAACCAACCACCCACGGGGATGCCAAGATATTAAGATTTAGAAGAGGCAAACACCGTTCATAAGTCATTGAAGGTCCTGGATATGTGCTTTTCCTATTCCCGCTCCTGTAACGCCGATACATCATGTGTTCCCTTTTACAACTCCCACTTCGCAAGGAGAGGGCCGAAATACGTCCGAATCAGGTTGAAGACACATCCCAGAAAAGGGAAACTGCTATCATAAAAAAATATATTCATGGTTGTACGACCTGTACATTATTCTTTTTCTATAGAAGTCCGTTAGTTCCGTGTCCAGTCCACACCACGCTCCAGAGAAGGAAGGGGGCAAATCGAAAAGGGGAAAAATTACCTTCCAGCTATCCAACTCGTTCTGCTTGGACTTATACTGTTTGAGCATTTCCTCAAGGACTTGTTTCAGGCCGTCGGAATTCGTTTTCAGGGCAGGAAGGATATCTTCGATTGTTCGTTCGACGAGAACCCCATTTACCATGCGAAAGCACTTCCGATCCTTGGGGAGAGGGTCAAGGGTTTCGATGACCAGCCTAGCAAGTCACACATGTTCACACATCAGTAATTAATCCTTCCCCTTGTAAAGAACAGGAAGGGAGGGGTCTGCCCTTTTCAGAGAGCATACGCATGCTGACTGTGGGCAACATGTAAGGAGGCAGGGCACCGACTCACTTGTGTTCTTCAGCTTCCTGTTCAATATCACCAATCTTTTGCGCCAGCTGTTGCAGCGTGTTTTTGTAGTTCGTGTACTGGAGTTGGAGCTCTGTTGAGACGATGGCCCATCGTTAGCCTTATTTGTTGACTCGTTCAGAATAGACGGAAAAGGTCATCTTCAAGTACCCTGCTGTCTCTTAGGGTCTATTTGTTGCTGGCTGGTCATGGTGAATCCACAAAATGCTCGACATTAAACAGCTACAAGCTGGAATTCTGATTTGCGGGGCACTTGGGCGATATCAGAACCAGAAGTGGGTGAAGCGAGATATTGGAAGTCGACTGCCACTAGGATGATTAAGACAGTATATTCTTCAACAACACATTGGCAATGATATTTGACTGTCTCTTGTAATCAAACTAAACCGACAAAGTTCCTCTGCCTTATGTCCTTGTGTTTTTGACAGTAAGTAATACTAGGAGTCAGCCAAAGGTACAGTCACGTGAAGATAGTCGCCTATTTGCATTGTTTGCAACATGCAGCCTATCACTACACTACTCTATGTTTCTTGATCCATCTTTGCCTTCAAAACAGTAATCCAGGTCTTTCTGGAGAAGCAGTCCACACGCCACTAGTACACTCTTCTCCCTTCCTTCGGGCGGTTTTATATATTCTTCCCTTATCTTTTATATTACCCTCATACCGTCATGGCTGGGGATGAATTGCCTCCGGCCAAAAGGCTGAAGAGTTCCCATCTCCCGCCACAGCTCCGGGACGCGAAGCGCAAAGACATCGATAATTGGGAAACAAATCGAATGCTAACGTCGGGAGTTGCCCAAAGGCGAGATTTTGACGACGATTTCATGCCCGAGGATGAAGAAGGTACCCGTGTTCACCTGCTTGTCCATGATCTTCGACCACCTTTTCTCGACGGCCGCACCATTTTTACGAAGCAGCTGGAGCCTGTCTCAGCTGTGCGTGATCCCCAAAGTGACATGGCCGTGTTTAGTCGGAAGGGCAGCAAGGTAGTAAGAGAGCGACGTCAGCAGCGCGAGCGGCAAAAGCAAGCACAAGAGGCAACAACCATGGCTGGTACGGCATTGGGTAATCTGATAGGGATTCGGGAAGATGAGGGTGATAGCGCTGTCGCCGCACCAGTCGAGGATGCCTACAAAGGCGGGAATAAGTTTGCCCAACATCTAAAGAAGGATGAAGGGGGGGCGAGCGCGTTCAGCAAGAGCAAAACACTCCGCGAGCAGAGAGAATTTCTTCCTGCATTCGCCGTCAGAGAAGATCTATTACGAGTGATCCGAGATAACCAAGTTGTTGTTGTCATTGGCGAAACAGGGTCTGGAAAGACAACTCAGTTGACACAGTTTCTATACGAAGATGGGTATGGAAAGTTTGGTTTGATCGGATGCACGCAGCCGCGAAGAGTAGCTGCAATGAGTGTCGCTAAGCGTGTGAGTGAAGAGATGGAGGTTGATCTGGGTGGCCTCGTCGGCTACGCTATCCGCTTCGAGGACTGTACTACCGACCAGACAGTTATCAAATGTGAGCGTTTTATGCCCGAAACATTCCTTGTCCTTAACTATTTAACTGACTCTATGCCACTCTCTAGATATGACGGATGGTGTTCTCCTACGAGAGTCGCTAGTTCAGCAAGACCTGGACAAGTACTCATGCATTATCATGGACGAGGCTCACGAACGAGCCTTGAATACCGATGTTTTAATGGGTCTTCTCAAGAAAATCCTAGCACGAAGGAGAGACCTCAAGCTAATAGTCACATCCGCTACTATGAATTCAGAACGCTTCTCCAGATTTTTCGGGGGAGCGCCAGAATTTGTGATTCCTGGAAGAACATTTCCCGTTGATGTCCACTTCTCTCGTACACCTTGTGAAGATTATGTTGACAGTGCTGTTAAGCAGGTCTTAGCTATTCATGTCTCACAAGGTCCTGGGGATATTCTTGTTTTCATGACTGGACAAGAAGACATTGAAGCGACGTGTGAACTGGTTGATGAGAGGTTGAAGTTGCTAAATGATCCACCAAAGCTCAGGATATTGCCCATATACAGTCAAATGCCGGCAGAACAACAGGCGAAGATATTTGAGAGGGCACCACCAGGCGTGCGCAAGGTTGTGGTTGCAACAAATATTGCTGAGACCAGCTTGACTGTTGATGGTGTCATGTACGTTGTGGATTCGGGATTTTCTAAGCTGAAAGTGTATAACCCGCGCATGGGCATGGACACCCTCCAAATCACACCTATCTCGCAAGCCAACGCCAACCAGCGCTCCGGAAGGGCAGGCCGTACAGGACCTGGCAAGGCGTATCGGCTTTACACTGAAATGGCCTATAAGAACGAGTTCTATTTGCAAACCATTCCCGAGATTCAGCGGACCAGCCTTTCCAACACAGTACTTCTTCTCAAATCCCTTGGGGTGAAGGATCTCCTAGATTTTGATTTTATGGACCCTCCACCACAGGAAACCATCACGACATCCCTTTTTGAGCTCTGGTCTCTGGGTGCTTTGGACAATCTAGGAAATCTGACACTGCTGGGTCGCCGCATGACCCCCTTCCCAATGGACCCGCCTCTAGCCAAGCTTATCATCACAGCGGCAGAAGAATACGGTTGCAGCGAGGAGATCTTAACCATTGTATCCATGTTATCAGTACCGAACGTCTTTTATCGTCCTAAAGAACGACAGGAGGAATCGGATGCGGCGCGTGAGAAATTCTTTGTCCCGGAATCAGACCACCTCACACTTCTCCATGTGTACACACAGTGGAAGTCTAACGGGTACTCCGATGCATGGTGCAGCAGACACTTCCTCCAGGCAAAGGCTCTGCGCCGCGCAAAAGAAGTTCGCGAACAGCTTCAGGACATCATGACCGTGCAGAAGATGCCGCTGATTAGCTGCGGTACTGACTGGGATGTCATCCGCAAATGCATCTGCTCCGGTTTCTACCACCAGGCTGCTCGGGTCAAGGGAATCGGCGAGTTTATCAATCTCCGTACTTCCGTGAGCATGCAGCTCCACCCTACCAGCGCCCTGTACGGGCTTGGCTACGTTCCTGAGTACGTGGTCTACCACGAATTAATCTTGACAAGTAAAGAATACATGTCTACAGTGACAGCGGTCGACCCACATGTAAGTTCCCCAACCCCGCAAGTCGAATGAGGAATTACTCCGTACTACCGTTACCTTTCGCGGCTAACATATGTTCGTCATTATTAGTGGCTCGCTGAATTAGGCGGCGTCTTCTATTCCGTCAAAGAAAAAGGCTACTCGCAACGTGAACGCCGCGTCACAGAACAGGAATTTAACCGCCGCATGGAAATTGAAGCCCAGATGGCAGCGGACCGGGAACGTGCTGCTACCGAGGAACAAAAGGAAAAGGAACGTAACGACCCTTCAAGACGGAGGAGGGAAATCGAAGTCGGTGGTGGTCCGCCACGTTCATTAGCATCAAGGTCCGTCGTGAGACGGCCCGCTGTGGCTGCTTCTAGGAGGATGGGGGGTGTCATGGTGTCGTCTTCTTCATCCAAAAATGCCAATGCCAATGGTAATGGCAAAAATAACGGCTCCTCTTCGGGAGGTAGTGTTGTTAAGAAGCCACAGGTACCTAGGAAACCCGGGCGAGTATTCTGATTTATTTCTTGCGGCTACAACCCCTTTCTATGCACCGTTAGGTCTACTATTTCATGATTCTTGTTTCTAGGAGTATTTGGATCGAATAGATTCCGGGACGGATTAGCATGTTTGTATTGGCATTTGGCGTTCATTGGAGGATATTTACAGAGCCATTCAATCACTTTTTTTTTTATAGATACCACTGCAATCGAATAGAGGCCTTATGGATACCCTCACTTATTCTTGTAGTTCTGTTCCATTTTTGAGTTGAAGACAGGATCGACCTACTGGCCTTCGTCACTCAAGATACTTCACTAGATTGATCCTTGTGCTTCCGGATCTATATGTCCTGTCGGGATATTGCTGCCATAAACCATAACAGTAACAGATAAGTATGCCTTTTATATGGAATGGCTTTTGTACACCTGGCCCTTTTTTATCAAATAGACCAGCAAATCGAAAGGCCTCGGATGGTTAACCACAACCCACACACAGAAAAGAAAGAGCCCAGCCGCAAGCAGCATAGCATGACTTTGACATCTCAGTTAATAAAATTGACACAGAAAAAGTGTAAAATCAAGCTCCCGAAGATATAATCCGCAAATGCTCTATGTCGAGTCAGCCATATGATTTCCACAACACGTGCGTCAGATCACGCAGAGAGTTTGCATTATGCATATGGATATATATAACCCAGAACTCACCTCTCATGAGAAACCCCCTTACCCTCCGATTGTCCAGATTTACCAGCAGAAGAACCCTTCCCCTTCGGACCAGAACCAGTCTCTGCAGGGGCAGAGGTCTGCATGCGCAAACTGGCTGTAAGAACAAATTGGCCGACGGCAGCAGAGAAGCCACTTAGGAAAGCGTTGAATGGCTATGGTATATCCAAGGAGATCCAATTAGCAACAATATCAACATAAGAAAGAGAATTGAAACAAACAAATAAATGAAATAAAGACTCACGTAGTTTCCAACAAGAACACAATAAACAAACTGTATCCCACCGACCAGCACTAAAAACGCCATAAACGCATCTAGAAGGAGTGTCCGCTGCGGCGTCGATGCCAGGTACTGGTGCCAGACATGCTGGGCGATTTCGGCTGCGGATGAGTTATTTTTCAGGACTGGAGGGCCTGATGATAATTTTGCAGAGGAAGTTGTTGTCGATGGTGCTGTGGTTGTGGTTGAGGGAGTAGGGGTGTCTGTTGAGGCTGCGTGTCGTTTTGGGGGCATTGTCTGCTTCTTTTGGTTGGAACTCGCGTTGAGGATGATTCGATTCTACGGTATTGTGGTGGGTGGGAGAGGGAGATGGAGGGATAAAAATCCTCGAATTGGATTGAATGGATGTTATGGGAGTTGAGGAGAATGAATTGAGATGGGCTTTGGAAGTAAATAGATGGAGGTGTCGGGTTCAAGCTGTCACTTGGGGAACGTCATGTGATTCCGATGGTTTGCCCTACTCCGCAGAAATCATTTAATTGATTGACCAAGTACTCTACACTGGACCCTGGCATTGCATATCCCATTCAGTTCATTCATTTCACAGTGATTATACTTTTATTTATCTAAATCAGAGTGGGGAATAAGTATGATAATAATAATACACAGGGTCAAGGGTCCCTTGACTGACTCGGCCCACGAAGACAACCATGTAAAGAGTGCAGATTTCCCATATGAAGTTCCCATAAATCGCAGTAAAAAATTTTTTTTTTCAGTTCATTTCTTGCTGATATATTTACTATCACGTCGTATCGTGCTTTCAAGTTCCCAGATTACCCCATCAAAGAAGCCATTCGGACAGGTTGTTTAATTCGTAATAGCTCGTCAGATCACTCTCAGCGTCTATTTGAAATTCGCGCATAACTCGGTTCCATGCTTCCCAACCGGGGTCAAACCCAAGAGGCGAGCCTTGAGAAGTATCCATGGCATCGGTTTCACTTTTGAAAGTATCAGCGGCGGTAGTGGCGCTGGAAGGATGAGGAGGCGCAGACGCTCGGTTAACCGTAGCAGTGACCGGGTTTGAATTGGCGAACCGATATCTGCTTGGGAAGAGGTCACTTGTCGCATTGTAATGAATGTCATAGAAATCAGGACTATTGCCGAGCGTGGTGGCTTGCTCAGTTTGCATCATGTCTTCCGGGTTACCGATAGCTGGAGTCGTAGGAATGGATATTTCAGGAAACACACATATAGAAGCAGCTTCTAATAGATTACCCTGCGCAGGCGGAATCGATCCTCCGCCAGCCTTGGTCCGAAGCTCCTCCTGCTGTTTGGCTCGGAAGGTAGCAGCTCGATCCATCAGGCGTCGAATGGGTCGCCACATCATCCCTTTCATTCGTTTCGCGTTCTTTTCCCAATCCTTAAACAACGTACTCACTGCTCTCCAAGCCCGTTCGGTGAGCGGCGATATTGGCCGTACACAAAGCTCCGACAAAATGAACACAATGGCGGGGGATTGAGTGCCTATCTGACACATCCAAGCCCATTTCGCAGTGACTTCCTGGCTGCACAGGAGAACAAAGGCCTCGATGCTCTCGACAGAAGTTACCAACAGGCTGTCTCGGGACACATGTGACAGGGGGGTCTCACGGTTGCTCCGGGTCAGGGGATGATGAATCAACAACCAGAATCTTGCCAATATTATACGGATGACCGTCACACAGACCCAATGCATCGGGATTTTGGGATCACAGTACTTGATATATCTTTCTTCCAGATGGTTGCGGATGGCCTGCACCAGCTTTTCACTGCGTTCAGTGATGCAAAATTTGCCGCAGTTCGACACCCGACGGAGGAAAGTTATGATTTCGAAGCGAGAAAGGGCGAACGTCATCTCGGTATAGCCAACCCGTTCTGGCGGAGCTTCTTGCATTTCCGGGTTCATATCATCGATGTTGATATTCAACGGAAGCCGGACATCAAACATTCTCTCGTGGATAACAGATTCCGCCCCGTGTTCATCGGCCGATCGAAATTCCAGCAAGCAGATATGCCACCAGAGACGCCGACGAATCTCCGTCTCGAAAGGCGACAGCCCAAAGTTGGTGCCGTCCCTATGTAACCCTAATCCCTGGGCTAGGCGGACTACGACGGCGGACATGGACCACACAAACTTGGTATCATCCTGAGGGTGTACGCAGTACAGAAACAGGACAATTGCCTGTAAGAGCATCAAGCTTTGGGTATTCAGAAAATCCGCCTTTGCTAGCGCTTGCTCGACAGCAAAGCGATAGCGTGCCACAGCGGCGTTCCGGTCCTCCCCCAATTGAAGAAGGCATGTTTCTGGAGACATACTGACAATAGCTGCAAAGTATATAGTAAGAACAAATGCCTCGGAGATCTTGTCGAGAGAATCAGTATTTATCCACGCTTCTCTGACCAGTTTCTTGGTCGTCGGCGGGTAATTGATCGGGATTAATGGAAAAACGTTCCCTTCATACGTATTCCATAGAGTTTGGACCTGATCAGGAGAGGGATGATATACGCGCAACGAGTGAGCAAGGGAGTAGTGGCCAAAGAAAAAGGCATTACTGTTGTTGAGGGATGTCGGGGTCGAGTCAGGGGATGGATAGTCAGCTTCCTCGTCAGACGACGGATCCAGAAGGTCCTGTAATTCCTCAATCTAGTCAAATTAGCAAAATAGCAACTCCAGGTTTCTTTCCTCAAGACTATACCTACTTCATCCCCTAGGCTCTCCCAGAGCTTGTGGCTTACATATCGACTCCGCCCCTGGTCAATGACCAACCTACCGACCTCAGCCCCCAAATTCCGTAGTTCGAGATTCCTGAAATCCCGACCCATCACGCCCTGAAGGCATCCTGCTTTTTCTGTCTGCGATTCCCGGCTAGAGGTTGCATCTTTCAGCGCTGACGGTTGCGGTTGCAGTAAGGCGGGAACGATAGTTGGGGACTTCTTCGTCGCGGGTATGCCAGCAACTGCGTCCACGTTCACACTCGGATGACGACCGTTCTCGCCACGGAGTTGATCAATCACGCCCTCCAGACGTTTCAGCCGATCAAGCAGCTGCGTCTCTGACGGCCGTTTCGACTTGCGAGGTGCCCTTCCGGGAGCAGGAAACACACATTCAACTCCAACCTTGATGCAGTTCGCGCAGGGAATCGTCTTGTCACAGCGAACCTTCCTGCGACGACACGTAACGCAGCTGCGGGGGTTAAGCTGTACTTGTCCATGTCCTGGTCCATGGAGCGATCGCGACGAATCGACAACTCGGTTGGAGGTGGGAGAAGTTGACGATGACGCCGTAGCGAATTCATGACGAGATGGATTTGCGAAGTAAGGTAAGGATGAAGGGGGTTCAGCGCAGTTGTCAAGATCATGATCATTATTACTCGTTTCCATATTATTATTATAGCTGTCAGCAGACGGGAAATAAGCTGAGGGAGCAGCGGTGGGAATAGACACCATCACCGACGAACCACGACGAACAACCATCCACCGGCGCGAGAGACGTTATTATTAGAAAATGCAGGACGGTTTGAAAGAAAGAGAACTACTGAAGAAATATGTAGAGCTACCTTTGGGTTCCTCGGGGCGTTTCTGATGACATCCGTGGATAATCCATGGGGCATCCAGGCCAAAAAAGACCCCATCATAATTCCCATGGACGATGCAGCGTGCAGCAACCATCTTCACTTCTCCTACATCTCCCGCGCCGCAAAGAAGTGAAATAAGTGAACTGCAGTCTTGTCTGACCAGATTACCAATCCTGGCGGACACGGACCTAAGCTGGAAGACTCCGACAGGCGCAATGACGTCGGACGTCGGTGGTCGGCGCCTACATTCCCAATCACCGTTGCGGCGATTTGGATGGAATACGACCCCTGCCTTAGTGACTCATTCTTCCAGATTGCTGTCAGCTTGGATACGTTTGTGCCCGTTTGCTGCCGGAGGACGAAGTTTGCAAGGAATAAATACTAGAATATCTGGCGGTAGAAAAGCAGAAACTATCCGGGACCTTCTCCGAAAGCGAACCGGCAATAATAATATAATATAATATAATATAATCTAGAAGAATTATAAGAACCAAAATAGATATATATACAGGAAGATGCACGTCTCGGACCTGAAGGATACTCCAGTCTAGAATCAAAAACCCCGGTATATGCAAAAGGTATTCCAGCCGATTGCCGGCGGAATCGTGTCGTTACGGTGAACATGGCCGTAGAAAGCAACCGTACCCGGTTGCTATATAATATACGCTGATCGAGGGTAGCGTTCGCAAGAAGGTCATTTCTTGGGCAAAGACATTTCCGGCTCACTGACTCGGCGGGGGGGTTCTCCCCATACTGCAGCCCTAAGTAAATGGCGAAAAAGACTGTGAATAGAAGGTGGTGTGCTCACCCTAACTTGCGATGTTTTACTCGCTCCCAGAGCTTCGTTCCTTCATTGAACCGAAAACTGCATGAAAGTGTCAGCACAAATCCCATCATGCCACAGCCAAACGACAATGTGTTCGTACTTTCCGAATTTAGTATTCGTCATGGATCCAGCGCCATATTCTTCCCGCAGGAGCTTGGTATATTCATATGGGATCTTGACGGGGATGTTTTCGAAGCGACTATCACGGAGAGGGAAGATATCATTTTCCTTCAAAGATCAGCCTGTCAGCGTCGTGATTATCGACCGCCATGGGCCAAATCTTAGATACCCAAGTAGCATACATCGTATCGGTGGCCATCCTTGCACATCAGGGCGCCCGGGTTGCCTTCATTTCTCTTCTCGTCATCCTTGCGCACGGCCGTGATGTCGATGAACAATCCGGACGAGGTGTCGATCCATCGCGCATCGATCATATTATTTGTATCCTCGGTAGAGCGAATGACATAGTGCGGGTTGATTTCTAATAGGTATGTGCGGCCGCCCGGTACTCCGGGGAGTTTGAAATGGTGTTCCGTCATGTTATAGTATTCGGCAAGAAAATGAATGGTAGCTTCCGAGACTTGGACGTCCAAGTCGCTGTCCCATGGGAAGATCTGTCGAAACCAGTCAGTTGGAACTTGGGACATCCTTGGATGGTGAGTCCGTGGGACCTGACCTTCTGGTTCCACCACCATGCTAGGAGCGTCCCGTGCATAATCCAGGTTTCGGCACCGATATCTTGCATGGTCGATAGGTACGTCTGTATGAGAGCAGTCAAGTAGGGGTGTGTCTCCGATTGGGGGAGGGTTTTCGAGGCAAATCTGTGTTCATTGAAATCAGGGATGTCCCTGCGTAAGCGTCTTTTGGAGAAGAGAAGCCTTACCGCCCATCGTAGTGGTAATGGAATCTGACAAGGTTGATCAACAACTAAGTTCCCTACATTGAACATGGTGATTTGGGGGAGTCGGAACATACGTGGATTCATCTAGACTCGGACATTAGTTAGGATCGTGCATTGTTCGGGAGACCCGATCGACGGATCGGCAGTGTCTGTATGGTTCTTTCAAAAGGGATGATGGAAAGGGAACTCACGAAAATACTTCTCGGCTGGATCACCTCCCTTGCCACTGTAGTCCTTTGCTAGGCCGGTTCTCACGCTCATAAAATCTGCATCGCCATTGACACTCCCTGCTACGATGGCCAGGAGCGCACATAGCGGCAGAAGGGAGAAGAATTTCATATCGCACCAAGTGCCCAGCTCAAGACCTGCAGCAACCAACACACATATCAGATCGCAGATGTGAAATGCACGATAGTAAGAATGGCCCAGTCACAAAGAAGCTCAGTAGCTTATGCCACGGGTGACGGAGAAAGAGCAGGGCGAGCAGGAAAGGGGCGTGATGAAAGGCTGTCCCAGGGATGCGGAATGCAGGACACAAAGACACACGAAAATAGGGCGCTGGCACTTAAAAGGCCGATAAGGGACTCTCGGGAGGCAGAGAAGCGGGTCCCGAAGAATAAAAATATATGTATTTATATAGAGGTCTCGCCAGCAGTTTGACCGGACGGGGACCGGGACAATGAGGCCAGCGCAGCGCAGCAGACAGTGAATCCAGAAGATACAGACGGTTAAGAGACGAGAAGAACAGAAACAAGCTGTCGCGTGCCTGTTATGTATCTCCGGAGGCCCTTGGCTTGGCAGAGCGCCACCGCCGAGATTGAGATTTCGAGAGGTGTGTTGGAACTTGGCTGCTATCTTTACAGGATCCAGTCAACCTCCCTAGGTTCAAACTGACAATGTGACAGCCATCACCGGGATGCAACTGGACCATTCACTGTATAGAAGTTGTGGCTGTGTGCTCCCACAGTTCCTGGTCAGCTCGCCTTGCCAAGACGTCCAACTTCGCAAGCCTTGTTGCAGAAAACCATCGTGATTACGCTTGGGTGTACGTAGACGCGTTCGACACACGGACAAGACATTAGACGGGCCTATGGAGCCTGTCGCATGCCTCTGCAGCTGTCCCGTTGCATTTCCGGCGGGTATTATTATCCGACATTGACCATGAAGTTGTGTGCAATTGCGGTAATTAATCACCAGCTATATAGCTATATAGTCGTAAATAGTGGTGTCTGCAATGGTTCTAGAGCTGTCTATAATAGTCCAGTGTACTTTAGGACTAGGACTTACAGCAAACGCATGCTCATGCTTTTATAGTCACATGACTATAACCATCGATTACTTCTCCATGGTGTTTCCGCTCTTTTATGACTGTGAAGGGACACACACCTTCAGTGTAATGGTGCTTCCCAGTTAAAAGAAACGAATGCTAGGATTATGGGATTCCTAGGAATAATCCTGGAAAGTAACAAGGCAATTATCAAGCACAAAGCCATCAAAACAAAGCACATCCCCATTAAGAGACACAGGCTTTTTATTCTACCATGGAATTTCATTTTGCTGTTTCGCTGCCATTTTTGGCTGCACATGAGGCTGAAAACAGCAGCGTTTCGGCAATTATCATTTGCCACGCTCCTGTACTTTTCACCCACACACCACCAACACACAATCCTCAGGCAGCATCATGGCTTTTATCATCTGCAACACCATTTGCTTCCTTTCAAGTTTCACAAGGGCACTGAAAATGGCCTCCTCAGCACCCCACCAGCTGAGGGCTAGCTTGCACCTAACCGCCATGGTTAAAAGCCCAGTGTCATGGGCTACGCCCAGACATATGGCGACTCAGCGCCAACGCCCAAGTACTCTGCTTACCCTATTTGTACCACTTGTTCTGTCTGTCTTTTTTGCTTCATTTGTCCTGTTTGTTGCTTCCAGTTCACATACTCCCTTCCTTGGCACAATGCCGTTTTCTTTCTTTTTCCTCCTCCCAAGGAATCCTCCATGTACCTAACACATAAATTTCATATTCAACCCCCTACAGGAACCCTGTGCTAGCGGGAATACCGTTGCAGTTGGCATGAGGGAGTAGATGGGCTGCGTGGCTGTGGGAAGTTTGGACCAGCCAAGACTGGTAGCAATAGCATACGACATGGTTGTTGTAGGCAAGGGAGCACCCATTCCTTCATAGCTAGGATAAGTGGTCATGCTTGGCTAGAGCTTAAGGCTATGGATCTACCTAGATAATGTTTATTGATTGATTGATTGACTGTTTTAATTATCTAACATCTGTGGTGGACAATGTTGTGCACGATCGGATTCGGATTCGGATCTATTCATACGCCGCCTCAGCCAATCACTATCCATGGCTATGCGGGTTGTGCGGTTGTCCCCAAGGGCTGCCACGGTTACTGTCCGGTTATTTACAGCTTTGTTTTGCCTTACTCAGGGCCCTGACTCCACTCAGGCCGTGGGCACTAGGTGAATGTCTTTATTACATTACATAAGCATATAATTACATAAGCTGCATGCATGCACATGACTTAGCTCCCTGCATGATCAGAAACAGACCACCATGGGTTCCCTTTCTAACAGACAGGCCTTCTGTCTGAGGTTTGACTTCGATCTGGCCGATTACTCGTCTTCTGTGTTGCGTCTCTATATACCTATATTTCTTTGCCAATCCCTTCTTCTCATTCTGTGCCAATGGTAGTTTCCGCCCCACCCAAGGATGTTCGGTGATACCCCATTCTCCGTGTGTCGTAAGGTCGGGAATTTGGAAGTTTCGCTTGGGCATGACTCTATATGCTTAATTCAGGAAGGAGATTACTGTTTGTGAAAATAAGCCTTGGCTTAGGCTTGGGATCTTGAACTGTCCTACGCTTTACAGACCATTCTACCACGGAACAGGCGCATGGAGAACCAGTCCGCGACAATGTCGGGGGCCACCCCATCCGCTTTTTCCGATAACCAGCAACCTACTCCCATTCAGCAATTGAACCGGTCTTGCGAATCTTGTAGAAGCCTCAAAGTGCGCTGTTTACCAGATCCAAACACACCGAATCAGTGCCAGAGGTGCGCAAAGGCCAAGCGAGCATGCGTTTTCGTCGCTCCGCAAAGGCGCCGGCCGCGCAAACGGACAGATTCTCGCGTCGCGCAGCTGGAAAAGGAGATGAAACTGATGCAGTCTCTCCTCAAAGGCCGGTTGCAGATGGATGACAATAGCCCCGAAGGTGGGAATAGTGAGAATGAGGATGTACACAAAGTTGATTTCGTTGCCGACACGAAGGAGATAACGCCGACAATTCCAGATGCTGCTAGTAGCGTTTCTGGATATTCTTCAAGACAGGTGGAGTCCTCCTCGAGTTTTATTTTTCCCCATAGCAACAACGGTACTGTCGACAGTAGCTCCATATCAACATCCTCTGTCGGCACTGTTCCCGCCGACTTCTCCCCAGACTTGCGCCAAGGAGAGGATGTGATCGATCGCGGTATTGTCTCCCTGGAGGCGGCTAATGATCTAGTCTCACTCTTTATGAACGAGCTTGTCCAATTCTTCCCCGTGGTAATTCTGCCTCCGAACACCACTGCCTTGCAGCTCCGTCGGACCAAACCTGTGCTGTTTTTGTCTGTGATTGCAGCCGCGGCTATTGCGGTAGATGTGAATCTAGCAACCATTCTCAACCGTGAGATGGTCAGACTGTATGCCACTCGATTCTTCATAGAGAGCGAAAAGTCCCTGGAGCTAGTCCAAGCGTTGCTCCTCATGATAGTGTTTTACTTTCCACCGGATTCTCCCTTGAAGCTGCAGATTTACCAATATACTCACATTGCTGCCACCATGGCTTTGGAAATCGGCCTAGCTTCAAAGCGAAAAGCACCAAAAAGACCGAATCAAAAGAAGAACACGTATGATGAGCACATGGCCGAACAAGCGAGGGCAATTCTAGGGTGTTATCATTTTGCGGCGACGTGAGTAACAGGGCTTATTGGAAGACTGAATAGCCTGCTGACTGGACGCAGTGTCGCAATGAAAACTCGCAGACCTAATCTGCTGCTATTCAACGATTGGATGAGCGAATGCGTAAAACACTTGGGGCGCTCACCTCACTCTCTAGATAGACATCTGGCCAAGTGGTTTGAGCTTCAGAGAATAACCGACGAGGCTATGGCTTCCTTCGGACTTGATGACACGAGTTCCGCGACTCCACTCACAGAATCGCGCATTCAGGCCGTCTTGCGATGGTTTGGAAATCGAATGCAGTCCTGGAAGGACAATATTCCGCCAGATATGCTCACAGGTAAGACGAATCGATTAATTTCCGATGCATTGGTAATGATGAAGGCGGGCCTACTCACGTAATTAATTCTGTCAGTGCCCATGATATTAGAGTACCATTATACTCTCCTCGCCGTGTACGAGCTCGCAGTCGGTGAAGGGTATCGAGATCCCGATGCGATCAAACAAAAGTATTACACGCTTCCACCACCCGATGATGATAGAGATATACAAGAGCCTGGCCCCCCTTTGAGTGCCGTTAGGGTAGACATCACCATGAAATGGTTGAATGCAGCTCATGAGATCCTCGACTCTTTTCTCAGCTGTGATGTGGAAACCATGCGAAAGATACCGAATATCATGTACTCCCGCGTTGGTGTGGGCTTAATGTCTCTTCAGAAAATATACTATTCGGTCAGGTCCGAAGCTCTCGGGGAAGTCATTGCGCCTCAAACTGTCAATGTTGATATGTATCTTGACGCGATGAGCAAGAAACTCGCCGAAGCGAGTGGAGGAAGAAAGTACAAGATACCCGATCAATGGTCCTATGTCGTTGGCGTCAAGGCTCGAGATTGGTACAATCGGTTCCAACAACGACAAGCTCAAAAGGAAATTGGCGCATTCTCTCAAGCGGAAGTGAACGCCCCCAGAATTCAATGCACCGTGTCTATACATAATAATCAGCCACTTATTGCGCCAAGCGACCTGTCACGAATGGGCTCTTTCGACATGGCCGGCATGGCTGGCATAACCCCGTTATCCTCGTACGATAACATGAGAGGCGCCTATGCAGTCCCAACGGGCATGGCCACTCCATGGCCTTCAGATCCAAATGTTATGGGCGTTAACCAGGTCGCTAGCTATGCAACGCCGGTTGTTCCATCACAATTTCCTTATAATGCGCAACAGGGATTCCCTTCAACGGATGGCCGAAATGACTTCCCGATTCCTCCTGGCACAGGTATGGAACTCGACGGCTGGATACCTGACGGAAGTATATTTGGGTTGCCACCTTTACCCAGATTTTAGCGCTGAGGTTCTTAAGCCGACAAAATCACCTCGCCAGTGTCAATAGTGCTCCTCAAAGTTTTATGAAAAGGGATGCATCCAACGGCTCGCTATATGCGTGTTTTTTTTTCGCCGGTGGAAATAATTATCTGCTCCATACATGGCTTGCAGCGTGTCGCTTTGGGTGACAGCTAAAAGGGTGCCATTTCGAACACGCCGTCTTGCTCCATTTGAGGTGATGAAATCCAGACCTAAGATCATGGCTGGAGTCATGCGAGCGAATCCATGTGAGCTTCGCCTGGAGTGCGGGTCACTTCCAAGAAATTCGGAAAAGTCCTAGGCTATTTAACCAAGGACAACTTAGCAATCTGAAACTGAACGCGGGTTTTCCGTGGTCCTTTCAAGGATGGATCAGTTGTACATTGTGCAATAGTACTGTCACCGTCATCTGTTTGCAAATGTGTAGGGGCCTCCATACTGTCAGCAGCAACACCACCACCAATACAACAGGTGGGAAAAGAAGAAAAGACGGAGGAACGCTGGATCTGCGCAGATATAGGGTATATTAAATATATTCAACCGATATTAAATTTCATGGCAATAGATGCAGACCCTGGGACGTAATTGTCTTCAGGGTGGTCGGAGTGTCGGTGGACTCGGAACATCCGACTGCATAATACAATCCGATCGACTTTGCGATGGAGTGAAACCGACTGCATCAAACATCCACAGGCGAAACGTCAAAGTGGATTGAACTCAGGGCTTTCCTATGCTTCGCAATTTCTCCTGAACCGACCGCGCCTCCAATTCGCTTGCTGGTTTGCTGCTTGAACTAGGTCACTGCCGTTCGCCTGTATCGAGAACCGAGGACCCTACCTAGGTACTCCGTCCACTGTATATATATGTAACCAGTAGATACATAATGTGATCTACAATTTTACTAACTTGATTACTTGCAAACGGGAGCTGCAAAGCAAATGCGATTCTAATAGCGGTGTACAAGTAAGCGTCAAGGATGTTCGACAGACGCTGTAGATATTGTATGGACTGACATCTGACCGTATGCAAATGCATGCAATAGTGATACGATGCTATTTGCCCCGATAGTATTGATGATATTAAAAATCAATTAACCAGGGCCCTGGTTCCTGTCTTGCGCAAGAATCCATCTGGAGCTGCTCCGAGGAACATGAACGTATGAGTGTATTCATCACGTGATCCATAATGACACTCCTACAACTGATCTCATTCTGATCTGTCACATCGATAGAATGGATTGGAGGGTCTTCATCTCTTAATCCATCCCAGTCCACGTCTCCTGCACGCTGCGTGTTAATTTGCTTGCCATATGTAACTCCTGACGAAAAGGTATGTCCCTCCACTTCCAACCTCCGCTTAGGGGGTGTTCGCCCTGACCAACCACCTAGGACAAGGGCTCGGCGGACTTTCGGCTTCACTGCGATTAATGTCAGGCTTGCAAAGGACAGGTATCCATCCATCTGTCCTGTTTCTGTTGCCCCTCTCCCTCTCTTTTTAATTTCGATACGTCGATCACGGATATTCCTACGACTCCATTTCTCCCTTCCCCTTCCCAACGCTTCCACATCTCGGATTACGTTCGAAGCCGCTATCGGCCCCCCCGGACCGACAATTGCACGTCTGCAGGTCCCCATGACCAGACAAACGGTCTGGGATCAATAATTGGTTCCTTGACTGTGGAGGAAATTCATTTTGCTGGACGGGGCGCAATAATCTGGTCAATTCCGCTGGCGCGAATGGGTGTCCTGGGAGAAGACCAGGCCGAGTACGAGAACGAGAACAATTTATGTAGAAAATCCCACAAGGTTGGAAAGAGGGAAAGGGAATATAAAAGAAAAAGGACACTCGTTTCGAACCTATGAATAATGACCTCAGCTTCGACTGTTATGCCCGATCGTCCTACCGACCAGTTTCCTACCTCTTGCGGAGAGCCTTCTCTGTCGTACACACAACCGTCTACACCTGTTGTCTCTGGAACAAACACTGCAACTGAAAAGGAGGATGTAATACATCATGGAGGTGAGTTAAGGGCTGCGGGTAACGGCGACGCGGGCCAGCAGACAGAGGAACTCGACGACTTTGGTCTTCCGATTCGATTACACCCTCGACACTTGCGGCAGGAAAGTTATGCCTCTGGTGATACGGAAGTTTTCCACGATGTCCCGGAGGAAATTTCGGCGAATGGCAATGGGGATGGCTACAAAGAAGGACCAAATAAGCAAGAAGGGCCACATACCGATTTAAACGGAGAGGAACAGAGGTTGCAAGAGCATCCGGTTCCAAATCAGACACAGATTACAGGGAATGGAAACGGGAGAGAAGAAAAGGCAGAAGACACACGGCAGGAAGCATCAGCTGTTCCCTCTGCAGCGGTTGCGTCGCATGACAATGAGCATTCTTCCTCGAGAGATGCAGTTGCTTCGATGACTCACGAAGAGCCTAGTAGTACGGTTAAGGAACTTCAAGATCTATATGGTCGAGATCCAACAGAACAACCGGACACAAATGCCCATCATCACGCGACCGAAAATCACTCGTCCCACACCAAGGATAAACATCTCAGAGCCTCCGAATACTCTCACCAACGGCTTACCGAGCCCCATTATCCAGATTCTGAAGATGAAGATGAAGAAAGTGATGATGGATGGCGGGATATGCCTGCACTAGGCGAGCTTGATGTTTACGATGATTTCGGGCATTTGGTTGCTAAAGGGTCTAAGGAGGAGGAGGATGAAGAAGCAGTATATAGAGGACTAGGGGGCGCAGGAAACGGGTATACTCGGGTTCAATTGGATGAAGATGCCAAATCGTCGACAAGTCTGGATGAAGACACAAGCTATCTTTTCAAGGAAGCGCAGAGCAACTCGATCGGGTTAGAAGAAGAGCTTCGTGATGCGACCAGTCAGCTCCAGGCCACCAAAAACCTTCTCACCGAGAGCCAACGGATAGCGTATGTTGGTATGGTCAGGCTAACTATATTTCGAATGGCATATGAACTGGAAAGGATGCCGTCGACAAAGGGTTCGCTCAAAACGGTTCAAAAGGCCGTGGATGCTATTAAAAAATGGGGTCAAATGGTGATGGCGAGAATCTACGTTCATATGGATATAAACCCTGCTGAACAGATAATGATTGAGCAGTTGGCTGAACACGGTGTGGATCCGGCAGATCTCGTTCGACCGCTAATGCAGAACGCTCGAGTCAAAAATCCTTTAGCGAAGGACATCAGCACGCCTCGGGAATCCATCTCTTCAGTCAATTCTCCCAACCCGAGCGCCAACCGAAGCAGTCTATCCACCGAGGCAGACCAGGCGTCTGAGCCAGCGTCTCCTCCGCCTTACGAAGCTCATGAAAGTGGGTATGTCCCGGAAGTTCATACCCAGGATCATCTACCAACTTCGAAGAACATCGATATCGACCTTAGATGGACTGTACTCTGCGATCTTTTCCTTGTCCTCATTGCTGATTCAGCGTATGATTCTCGTTCACGAACCTTGCTTACAAGAATCGGTGAGATCATGGAAGTCTCACGGTTGCAAATTTGCCGTTTCGAGAAGCGAGTTATGGATGCTCTTGAGATGCAGGAAGCTACATCTACAGAAACGTGGGATGAATCTGAGCATATGGAGAAGCGTCGTAAGATGGCGCTGAAGAAAAGGTGCATGATCATGGGCCTTGCCACAGTCGGTGGTGGTGTAGTTATTGGGCTTTCAGCTGGACTACTTGCACCGGTCATAGGGGCTGGGCTTGCGGCTGGTTTCACCACCATTGGTATTTCGGGAACCGGCGCTTTTCTGGGAGGAGCTGGGGGCACGGCTCTGATTGCCTCTGGTGCCACCTTGACAGGCGGTACAATCGGGCTGAGAGCTTCAAACAGGCGTACGGGCGCAGTGCGGACTTTTGAGTATCGCCCTTTACACAATAACAAGAGGTTCAACCTTATTATCACTGTGTCCGGCTGGATGGCAGGCGGTGTTGATGACGTTCGATTACCATTCAGCACAGTAGACCCCGTCGTGGGCGATATCTACTCGATTTTGTGGGAACCGGAGATGCTCCAGAGCATGGGTGATACAATTAATATTCTCGCTACCGAAGTAAGTATACATAAGTTGACTCCCTATGTGTTGTGAACGGGCCTTCGCTTTTCTTACTATGATCATCTAACGGATGATTTAGGCTTTAACTCAAGGACTGCAGCAAGTTCTGGGGAGCACAGTTCTAGTGGCACTGATGGCATCTTTGCAACTGCCCTTGATCCTTACGAAACTCTCTTACTTGATTGATAACCCTTGGAACGTATCTCTAACCCGTGCAAATGCGGCCGGGCTTATTCTTGCCGACTCTTTGATGGATCATAATCTTGGAAAAAGGCCCGTCACGTTGCTTGGTTTCTCCCTTGGTTCGAGATTGATTTTCTCTTGCCTAAAAGAGCTTGCGGATAAGCGCGCCTTTGGCCTTGTTGAGAATGTCTATCTTTTTGGATCTCCAATAGTGGCCAATAAAGACGAATATATGAAGGCTCGCAGTGTGGTCTCTGGCACCTTCGTGAACGGTTATGCTACGAATGACTGGATTCTTGGTTACCTTTTCCGCGCGACGAGCGGTGGCATTATGCGCGTGGCAGGTCTCGCGCCAGTAGAAGGGATCCCCCGTTTGGAAAACATTGATTGCACCAATCTTGTTGATGGCCACATGGATTACCGTGCAGCAATGCCTCGACTGCTTAGGGAAGCAGGCTGGGAGGTACTAAGCGATGAGTTTGAAGAAATCCAAGACCCGGATCCGGATAACCATGGAGAGCGGCAAAGAGAACTGATCCGCGAGATCGATGCCGCTCGTAAGGAAGCAGAACTCAAGCCAGAAAAGAAGCGCTTCGGCTTATTCAAACGAGGCAAATTGGCAGAGAAGCAGGGCTGGGAAACGTACGATGTTAATAGCGAACTCAGCAACAAGCGCCATCGTGACTCGAGCGATAGTAACAACACGCCTGGGACTGTTCTTTTCGATATCGACGCTATCAGGGCTGAGCTCGCTTCGGAGAAGATAGAGATTAAGCAGTTGGAATCGACCCTTCCTCCCATGAAATTGGACTTGGACGCAACCCCGAACCGGTTCCCTGCTGAGCCTTCGCCCTCCAGCGCTAAACAGCAGAAGAACACCGAGGTAGTCTCACCAACGGGTAAGACAACCGAGCCCTTGGGGAACCGGTCTCTCTACGATACACCCGCATCAGCAGCTGGAGATGAAGGAATCCGGATGTCCTTCGATACTCCCGTTGAACCCCCACAGCGTTCATACTCATCGTCATGGTTGCAGCGAACACCAGATCCATTTTCCGACCCCGAGCCGCTACGGCCAGCCCTTCTATCCTCGCTATCGACCTCGTCCACCGTGGGAGGGAGAACTGTTACGGCGAGCCCGTTAGGCGGTATGGATTTAGAGCGCAATGCCTGGGCGGACGAAGGCAAGGAGGATGATATCAAAATGACTTTTGAATGATGATGCATTGTTTGGTTTATTGTTCATTCATCATGGAATGGTGTTTGTATGCTTGGGGAGGGGTAAGAAACAAAGCTTGCATACGCCTTACGACTCATTCTTATCCACCTATATATGTACACCTTGGAGATGGGGGTTCTCGTCCTTATTAATACGATAATAAAGAGCTATGCAGATGTCCTGTTTCCCTCCTTTTGATTATATTCTTCTTTGTATGTATATATTAGTTGGGGTTGAACTCTGGTTAGGGCACGGTTTCTTGAAGCATCTCAACGGTCGTCATCCCAGTACGTGAGGACAGGGAATAAGGACTAGGTCATAGTCATTTTGCAGTATTAAAATAAGCATTCAATGAAGAAGGATGCTCAGTCTGATTGAGACTCGTCTCGGAAGATGCTGATAATATTACGGAGGACTCCGTACTGTTTAGACGACAGGTATAGACTGCGCACTAACCCTGACGTGTCACGCGTCGCTCCTCTCGCTCCCCTCCGCTCCTTGGCCCGTCCTACATGCAACCTGCTAGCGCCAGCTTCGATCCTGTACAATCAGTCTACTGCTGCTTTAATGATTCCCTCACTTCATTCTTTTCGGTTTCTTTTTGTTTGGAGTCCATACCCCCCCCCGTCATTCGGTGCGTTCAACGACTTGACTGGGCTAATTGATTCTACCGATTGAGTTGACGAAGAAGCTCCCCAGTCGAGTCGAACCCATTGCGGACGGCGCTTAATATCTAGCAAGCTTCAATGCGAATACCACTGATTGTCGCCGTGGAGATAGGATTTTATTTGAATACGCTGGTATTCTTTGCGCCGTTCTGATCCCGCGAACGTTATTCGTATACACATACGCGCTGCACCTTGCCGGTATCTGGAATATGGAATTACAAGCGAAACCGGACTCGAGTCACGCATCGATACGCCTTACAAGAAAAAATGGCCCGAGGAAATCCCTTTTGAGTACATTTCGCAACAAGAACAAGAATGAACCCAGCGAAACTGTGAAGCGCGACAGCACGAGAAGGAAAGACAGCACAAGGAAGAAAGCTCCCGAACCTGGAGTATATGATGCACCTGTGAGTTCTAGCGAAGAGAATGAAACGGGCGACGACGATGTGAGTCTGCCGGAGGACACGATGGAGAACGTGAAGCGGTTCAAGCCTGCAAGGAAGACTTTGGAGGAGAAACTCGTGGAGGATAATAATAACGCGGATGGTACAGCTGAGCAGAAGGGGGAGGAGCCCAATTCCCTTTCACGTCGAGGGAAGCGGAGGATAAAGTCGGAACAGGAGAGTTCGAGTCCTCCTAAGCGGCAGCAGGGACCCCTGAAGAAGACGCTCTCTGGCTTGTACGGGGGTAGTGATGACGAAGAGACGCTCCTCTTTTCTTCACAAAGCCCCTTGAGGCCGTCGAAGACTTACGGCTCTTCTGGGATGGGGAAATTCCGAAGAGGTCATCCTGGGGACAAGGGACCTCGCAAGAATGCTCCTTCTTCAGCGGAATCTTCCAGGTTGAATAAGAACAGGAAAAACAGTAGCAAGGAGGGGAAGGAGGAGGAAGGCGAGGAGTCTGGCTTTAAGGTTCCAATGGAGATTGATATTGGGAGTCCAGTATCAAAAGCACAACCTGGCACTTCGCCCAATCCCGAATTCAAGCAACCCCCTTCCTGGCCTAACGATACCATCTCCAGCTCCTCCCTGGCCACTTCATCCACGAAAGATCACCAGCTTTTCGACATTAATTACAATTCATCCTCGTCTTCTCTCAGCAGTCCACCCAGCTCCATCCCGTCCATCCAACTTGACCTAACGCAGGAAGAGGAGATGCTTGTAAATACAGAAGAATCCCCAACAGATCCCACTGAATCCCTGTGCCCCATGTGCAAGCAAAAAGTCGACCCAGACCTCCTACGAGCGTTCATGTCCCAACCAAGACGTCGAGTCCGTGATCAGCAGCGATTCTGTGAATCGCACAAGCGACAATCCGCCCAGCTGGAGTGGAAGGATAAAGCATACCCGACGATCGACTGGGAGGCATTTGACGATCGAATAGATCGTCATATGGCAGATCTCGAGAAGCTTCTGGTCCCCGATAGTTCTTCTTACTATCGAAACATTCTTGATAGTGCGATGAAATCCGGGAAGGCGAGGAATTTCCGACTCAGTCTGTCTGGAGACGGACTGGAAACTATTTCTTGTGGTTATTATGGCTCTCGAGGGGCTAGTAAAATGTATTTTTTATCCCTACCTCTCCCAGGATGCTCTGGCTAACCCGTATCGGATCTAAAGGTTACACGCTGTGACTGTGCGCTTCTCACACAAACTCCGCCGTCTAGCAATAGCGGACAACATCGTCAAGACAGCCGGCGTCGCAGGCTACGCACAGTCTGTTCTTGTCCCGGAATTGGCGATGCGCCTTGTGAAAGAGGATATGGGCGTCAGCGATGAATCGGCACGACAGATCTTGAGGGATAGCATAGCTTTGGGGGAGAAGATGAATCCCGCTCTCAATGATGTCGTCCCGGTTCTTGATGAAAGTGCTAATTAGTTGATCGATTGTACATTGAACAGTTTAAGGACCTGGGACTAGACTACTGCATCTATCTATAGCATTATGGAGCGCTGGTGTTTATGATTTATATATTATTGACTTTATGTTGATGAGTGGATGGCATAAATTATTTTCTATGTTCCTTCCTCGGCGGGCGTTTAGGTCAATCGTCAATTAAATTCGCTTGCACCTGTACATTAGTACCATACAGAGTCCAGACTCTTTCCAGGAGTGGAGAAACACGGCTAGATAGATAACTAACTATCTTCAACTGGTTAGGTAAATGATTCCAGCTCATGATGTTTAATACAGGAGTATGCACACACGTGATCTCATAGGCCCTGAAGGAGAGAGCAGTATAAATATTACATTGTTGGGTCGAAATAAGTTCGTTATTATTTTATATTAATCTCCATTCTAATTTTGCATTTTTTATCCTCGGCCAGGAGGATATGCACATACATGCCATATCATCATGCCATAAACTTCATAAATATCATATCATGTCTGTATCAACCCAACCCCCTGTATCATGCATGAATATACGACAGGAGAGGTAACTTCTTCTTCCCCTCTTCAGATCTATCAGTTTCTTCCCGGATATATATCGAGAAGTACATTGAATGTATCAATCATACCATATCATGTGGACCGCGAACCGCTAGATTCAGAAGTCGCACCCGTAGCGCCGTAGGTACCAACAAAGTGTTTCCGGCATCCGTCGTATTGAGATTCATCATCATCATCATCGTCGTCGTCGTCATCATCTTCATTACCTTCGTTGTCTTCATCACCTAATCCATCTCCCTCCACAATCCAGAAGACAGGCAAGGCACTCAAAACCGCAATCCCCGTCAGCGTCCACCAAGGAACAACCAAAAACCCAATCTTAATCCCGAACGAAAAAGTAGTACCTAGAACAGCCGGTCCGACGGCCCTCCCTACCGCACTAATACTGGTCGCGACACCGTTCAACGTGCCCAGGACGGACCGGCTGGTCGCGGAATTCGTGAGCAAAATAATACAACAGGGGAAGCAGAAGATGCCGGCAGCCAGTCTGGAGAGGATGAGGAAAGAGATGGTTATGTTACGCAGGGCATGGGGGACTAGGACGGTGAAGGGGACTATGGCGTAGATTATAGGGAAGAGGATGGATACGGTGCGGAGGCAGGGGAGCACGCCGTAGCGTTTTGCTGCCCAGGGGAAGAAGAGGAATTGGATGAACATTCCCATTGTGCCGATTAGGGTGTAGAAGATGCCGATTGTTTGGGCATCTGACCTGTACCATTAGTGATTGTATACATGTATTAACTATGTATTTATTTCCGGGGGAAAGGACATACCAACGCCAAATCCACCAGCAAATTTAAAAGGGAGTTTCACATCGGGGTTGCTGTGGATCTCTTGCACAGGGTAATGCATGAGGACCGGGAACTGTGAGTCGAACGCCATGGTGTGCGTCGCTAACATGGTGTACGCCAGCAGGACGAGGTTGGACTGCGGAGAAAAAACCTGGCTCCAACTCGGCCGTTCCGTTGGTGCCTCCTTGCGGCTCTGCTGGGGTTGACTTTCTCTGTTTCCAAGCAGAGCAGCCGTCTCGTCATTTTCCGTCTTGGAGGAATGGAATCTGCTCTTTCTTTTTCTCCTGCGCGACGTGCATGGACTCGTAAGAATTTCACCCAGTACCAGGCCATAATCGCGATGGCCTTTTTTGGATTCCAATGTTTCCTGTACGATGTAAGCAAAAGAGGTAACCTGATCCAAGGGGGAAAACATGCATGCAAAAACAAAAACCCCGTAACAATCCCTACAACAAAAAGCGCTGCAGCAGCCAAATTCGGCAGCGCGAACGGATACTTCTTGAAAAACTCATAACGCCCAAACAGCTCCGGATGTTTCTCGGCCGGACGCGCCAGGGCGCCCCCAAAAGCCGGACCGAAGATACTCCCCACAGTCCACACGAGAGGCATGACGCTGAACGCGCGCGGCTGCAGTTCCCGCTCGGGAACGAGTTCCGCAACCATGGTTCGCAGGATACCGACGTTGCCGTTCATGAAGCCCTGCATGGCGCGGGCGACGATCAACATGCCCAGCGACTGGGAGAAGCCAAAGATCAGGGAGAAGATCATGGTGAAGGAAAGACCGAGCAGGATGATGGGTTTGCGGCCGGCAGTGTCGGAGATCGTGCCCCAGACTACGGCCATGGAGGCTTGGCAGCCCGACGTGACGGCGGAGATGATGCCGACCCATTTGGCGACCTCGTTTTTGGGGACGCCCAGGTATTCGATCATTTCAGGCTGTTGCCATCAGTTCAGATCGAGAAAGAACAAATTAATAGATGAAACACATACAAGATACGGTAGAACGGCCGTCAGAACGACTGCATGGATTTTAAAAGGGCCAGTTAATCTCAACATATCCTCATGTCTTCGGAATGGGGGATTCTTCTATATGATCCAGATTCCGGACGAAAGGGAAGTTCTTCATTTACCAGGCTCTGCAAATCGGCATATTGCTGACAGGAAATCAGTAAATATAGCCAATACGCGTCGAGATAGCTTACAAAGAATCAGAAGCTGCCGGACTGGCAGCTTGGGCTTTTTCTCCAGCATATATATATATAGGTAGCTATTACTGTACTATGCAATAGCTGGACGTGCCGGTCTAGGGGGGAAGCAGGAAGGAAGAGAGGAGTCGACAGGAAGAAAGTAAGAAAGAAAGAAAGAGAGGAAGAAGAACAGCAATTGCGACATAAAAGACTTCCGGCGGGAAAGCCGAAAGCGGTCAGATGAGAAGAGAAATGCTTTTGATGCTTAGCTGCATGCGCGCGCCTGTTATTGGCCCGCTGGACAGCTACTGCCGATGATTGGCCAGCATAGTTCAGTCTGATTGGTGGGCGTATGATGTTTCACGCGATACCAGCAATTTGATTGGCATAAACCGATCCATAGATACCAGGTACAGGTACTTCCATCCTCACTTTACATGGGTGCATCTATAGGTACAGGTACCTCCCCTCGATGCATCTACACTCACAGATGATACCGCTCAGCCCTGTCAGCATGTATCCCCAGCCTCCGCCAGAACTGGTCTATCCGCAACTCATCCTCGCTGCTGGTCATCCGTCAGTTCTGTGAGTGACAGTAAAAACAAGAGGATAATGCTCACTCATGTTGTTCCGTATATCTCGGTTCCTTCTGCCCTCCCGCCACATCCGGATTAAAGAATTTAATACTTCGCCTTAACCCCAGGGTAAGATGAATGCCAGATGGCTGCGGTCGGTACTCCTCCGTCGGCTGCTTCCCTTCGATCAGAGCCTTGATGTTCTTCGCCACGACCGCTCCCTGTGCAGCACCCCATCTGGCGGCCTTTCGCGCCCCTGTATCGGCGATGTCGCCAACTGCGAACACATTAGGATACCTCTCATCGAGGAGCTGCATGGTAGGTTTGACACGGATGAATCCGTTGTCCGGGTTGATCAGCGAGTCTGGTCGAGAGGGCGGTAAGTCATTGAGGAGGCCGTTATTCGGTGTCTGGCCCGTGGCCAGGATGACGAATTGTGTCGATACTTCCGTGCCATTCGTGAGCTGGACGTTGAATATGCTGCCGTCATTGCGGAATCCACTTGGTGGTATAACGATGCGAGAGCCAGTTATGAGTCTGTCATCGATTAGTCTTGCTTCAATTATCTAGCCACAGTAGCCCATTATGTTTAAAACGAGGAAGAAGAAGTAAAAAAAAAAAAAAAAAAAAAAAAAAAAAGACTAACCGAACCCCAAGTTCATCGAACCGCTTCTTGACAATATCATGCAGCCTCTCATGAAACTGCGGCATCACCCGCGGCTGAGACTGCACAACCGTCACCTCCTTCTCCGGATAAAATTCCTTCAGATCCGTCGCCATCTGCACGCCCACCGCCCCACCACCAACAATCAGAATAGACTGGGACCGCTTGACGTCCGCTTGGTGTTTCCGCAGATACGCTACAGAAGACACCTTATCGTCATCTCTCATGCCGGCTGGTTCAGCGAGACGCGTCCCCGTCGCGACGGCGAGGTACTCGAATGGAATGCGGGTTGAGCCCTGCCATTCTCTGTCGAGTTTGACGTATGATGGTTGTATGGAGAGTACGCGGGCCTGAGCGACGGCGTGGGAGGCGGAATTGGGTACGGAGGAAAATATGTTGCTATAGGGGATGAATGCTTTGTGTTCTTGACCGGGGACGATGGCGAAGCGGGGCTATTTTCTGTTAACAAGAGGATAAAGGGAGAAAGTTTTGGATAAATGCTATTATACTTACGAAGAAGAACATATGGTGGAAATGGCTATGTGGCTCGATCAAGAGAACCTAGTACCTGGTTAGGGTGTTGAATGAACTATACCAGAGAAAACATAAAGTGACTGTACCCTGTACGCAGGAGGGATGACGCTTGCCAGCTCCTTTGCAGAGCTCTATATTCAGTCAGCCCTGCTGCCCCTAGGTCAACACTACTTAGAAGTTTAGCAGTAGTAGTGTAACTCACGTGCCCAACATAGGAGCCCCCGACAACAACAATATTCTTAAGCGCAGTCGCCATTCTGTACGCTTTTGATTCTGTTGAATACACATCATCATTAATGCCAAGGGACACTGGCTTTTATACCCATCCAGTTGCTGTTCTGCCTTGCCCTCGGCCATCTGATGCGGCAAAGGGGGGTTTGACTCCGAGGCTGGGCGGTTTATCTGATCTCTACTTTCAATTCCATTGGCCATAGACAGACTCCACTGAGGAGATCTTGGCTATCTCCGAAGCGGCTTTTCGGACTTTCCGGGAAAAGGCATTTACTGTATATCCGAGCCGGATCGCATGATTTTTGGCTTCTTCAAAAGGGTAAAGGCCCGAGGCTCACTCATCAGTTGCATATGTACTTTTTATTCTAGACAGGTTCAAGGCTTTCCCTTTCATGAAAGCAGTGGCATCCAGAAGAGGGATGTCTTTGTGATTTTAGCATAAAAAGTCTGTATAGTGACATATATCACTCCAAATCATCTATCTAATATCCAGTCGTCATCTCATGTATATAGCGTATAGCCAAAATCTCCAAAACAATTCCATTACACTCTCACTGCCAAACTGTGAGGTCATGCACTATTGAAGAAGCTCAATAGCATCACCAATCCGCTCCTGGATGATAGTGCTCCATTTCTATAAAGCAAACAGCGTTAGCTTAACAATCTCGGGGAGCGAAGAGACATAATTTGAATTGACAGTGCACTTGCCTCTGCATTAACCTGATCTCCCACCTGAAAGCTCTCGACTAAGCCAGGATAGGTCGCGCCCGCGTATCCCGTCCACAGACCAGGTGCGAACACAACGTGCTTGAACCACGGCCGTCCGTCAAGTCCAGGCTGGTACAGGAACTGGCGTTCAATAGCCTTGTACTTGGCATTGACCTCCCGGACCTGCAGCAGCAGCTTGATCTTCTTCCACCAGAGGTACCAGGGAAGATCCTCCTCCAGTTGCGAGCTCAGCTCTGCAGCATAGGAGTCGAACTCTTCCGCAGCGACGCGGAACCGAGCAATGGAGAACTCCAGCACCGAAAAATCAAAGCCATCTGGCAAGTTCTCTGCTACGGGCTTGATGCGGTCCAGATACTCGCCCAGACCCGCGGCGTAGTCAGCTGCACTGAAGGCGAGCACTGGCGTTTCGACCAGTTTGGCTGCCGTCAAGGCCCAGAGCTTGGTCGTTGCCACATGGTAAAGCCATCCAGGGTCACCAAACCGGTCCATCCAATCGAAGCTGTCGTAATTCGAGTGGTAGTGGTACACGGCATCTTTAGGTCCCCTGCCAAAGCCAAAGTCCAAGCTGGCCACGCCTGCGAAATCCTGGAATGCAGTAAAGTCGCTACCACTGCCCATGGTTCTAATTTTGCCGTCCCAAAGGTCCCGGACGGTCTGTCCCTTGACGGTCTGGTTCGGTGACTGGACCAGTTCAGCAGCTTCATAGATGACCTTGTTCAGGAGGGGGCTCGCACTGGGAGAGAACTGCGTTCCCACCGCGGCCACATCCACATTGAGGTATGCGATATTAGCCTTGGAGAGCCAGGGGAGCTTGTCCTCGACCCACTCGGTAGAGCCGAGCAGTCCGTATTCCTCTCCGTCCCAGCTGGCAAAGACGATGGTGCGGAGTGGCTTCCACCCGGCCTTGAGAGCCTCGCCAAAGCCGCGAATAACCTCGTTCAGCACGGCCGATCCGCTGTTTGGATCTCCCGCACCGCCAGCAACCCAGGCATCGCGGTGGTTACCCAGAATGACAACCTCGTCAGGGATATGTCCCTTGATCACACCAATGACATTCCACAATGGTGTCGTGGTATATTCCTGCAGATTATAAAGGTTGATAACCACGTCATCTGGAGAGGGGCCGATGTTGTATTCAACTCCCTTGTCCCCAAGTTTACCGCCTTGCCAACTGTCGCCGAATTCGGATGCCTTGGGACCATGACCGTTGAGGGCCTTCAAGAAAGGCAAGATCTCCTGGTACGATACTGGAAGGGATGGAATCGATGGGATCGAGCCATGAGGATCTTGCCTGGGGACTCCAGGCTTGGACGCATATCCAGGCGTTGTCGGATCTCCAGGGGCTATGCCTTTTCATAGGTCAGCTTGACGAATCTGCAATATCCCATGTAAAGGCGGGGACTTACTCAAGAACTGCGTGCTACCTCTCTGCACAGAGCTTGGGTTCCTCGCGGGACCCTCAGGATAAGGCTTGTAACCATTCTCCTCGATAATCTCCCCGTCTTCCTCGGGGTCAGTGTAGATAATAACACCTACGGCGCCCAGCTCTTGCGCGCGCTTCACCTTCAACCCACGGAAGACACCACCGTATTTGACAATCACAATCTTCCCCTCGACACTAATATTGGCATTTATGAGGGCATCGTAATCCGCGTACGTGCCGAAATTGGCAAAAACGAACGGCGCCGTAACATTCCCACTGGCCGAATAACCATGGAACACCGGAACCCGATCAGGCAGACCACTCGTGTGGTCCTCATCGAGCACGTCTTCCTCCAGAGTCGCCTCAAAAGTGACCGTGGTCGTAGTCACCCCAGTCGACTTTTCGGTCTGCTGCTTCAGGAGCGCTAGCCTGTGATCCAGTGGGTAGTTTAGGTAAATATCGTACGCGACGATCTCGGTATCCTTGATGCCGAATTCCTGCCACTTTTGCTGAGTCCAGAGCGCTTGGCTGAAGTTCTTACCAGCGAGATGAGGCCCAGCTGTGTAGTAACCGCTGAAGTCACGGATGGAATCTGCAGAGGGTGTGTCGTGCAGAATACCCTGGAGTTCCTTATATGAGATACCGATGCTCTGCGGCCACAACTCGTGAGGGAGGACATTGGCTCCGGGGAAAAAAGACCAGATTGAACCAGTTTCTCGCGGCAGGAAACCATAAGGGGCCAGAAAATGAAGCAGAGAGAGAACAGAAAGTGCGCCGAGAGCAAAATGGCTGGCTCGACGCAGCGCCGGACGGCGACTCCGATGCCGCTGCGGAGCGGCATGCGGGATCAGTAGAGGGTTGTGTTTGGAAGAGCCCGTAGGCAGGATTCTTTCCGTGAAGGACTTCTTCTCGTCCATTTTGGGGGATCCAAAGCTGGAGAGGAGAAGGAGATTGAAAGGAAGAGAAGAGAGGAGAGGGAGGAGTGAGGTTGCATTCATTTCGTGCGGAGTCGATGATAGCACGACATTCGCTGCTATCTCCGACGCATCAGGCACCAGGAACGGAGTCAGCCCGAACTAGATATTTTTATTGATTGATACTTCAGATACTTAATCTGTGCGCTCTGTAATTATGGTCAATTTTCATAAATAATTAATAGATTACTACTTCTGTGGATAATAATAAACATCCATATTGTGTACCTGCTACATGGAGCTGGAGCTGGAGCTGGAGCTCCCCGCACGGTCTCCGCCTTGACTAGGCTCATTAATAATACATTCCAATGAAGTCATGAAGCTGAACTCCTATATTCCCCATCCACTATTCTCATTCAATTGCCATAATCTCCTCTGATCCTGACTCAATTCAATCTATCAATATCCTTCCCTGCTGAGTACCTTTAATCACAAGGAAAACTCATACACCAGTCGTTGAACTACTAAACCTCGAGTCCACCCCGCAAAGTTCAAACAAATACACAATGGTCCGTAAGCACAAAAAAACCTCATCAAGATAACAATAAACACATCTACTAACTAACTCAAACAGACCTCGACAACGACAACCTCCGCCGCCATCCTATCTATCCTCACCTCCATCGGCGGCATCACCGGCTACGCCCGTAAAGGATCCATCCCCTCCCTCGCGGCCGGCTTATCCGTCGGAGCGCTCTACCTGCTCAGTTTCCTACGGCTGAAGGATGAAAAACCCCATGGGGAGGAATTGGGGCTTCTTGCGTCCCTGGTGTTGGCGGGTGGTGCGGTGCCGAGGGTGATTAAGACTAAGGGGAAGCCGGTTCCTTTGGCTTTGTTGTCGGTTGCGGTGTATGGGGGGTTGATTTATGGGCTGGCTGTTTGGGAGAAGAGAGGGCTCTAGTTTATTCATTCATTCGTTCATTGTTGATGGGGTGTGTTGTATAATCTATGCTGGAGTTTGTCTACGGTCTATTTATCAATCCGGTTGATGTTATGGATTGGTGGATGAGTTCAGTGATGTATGTAGTCTTGTTCTTGTTTCATTACTCTGTGCAGTCACCTTATTTATCCAAGAATCATAGAGGAGCATATCCGATTTCTAATTCGAAAACGCCTACCTTGCAATCGCCATAAGAAACTTACATCAACAATGTCGACAACGACAACCATCCAGGACTCCGTCAACGGAGGTCAGAACAAGGCCTCGGTCAGGCTTGGTAGGACGGGATTCTTCGAAGGCCGTCTAAGACTAAGAAAGAAATTTTTGGGAGGGAGGGCCCTTTTTTTCTTCTCCATCAGACCAGCAAGCAAATCATCAGTTTCCTCCAGAAACACAGCTCGACTCACCAACGCTGATTGCCGTGCTTGACATGCTTTTGCGTTTCGTTGAAGTCGTCCATCACCCGAGATGGCCGAAGACACGACCACGACAAGCGAAGAGCGCGGAAGTAGGTCACCAATTCTGGAACATATCTTTTTTCTTGCTGATTTGTCACTTTCGCCAAGCTACTGATCTGATCAGGGTACGAAGACAAATAAAAAGAGTAGGTAAAAAGGAAACAAATGTGGAACAAAGAGAGAGAGAGAGAGAGAGAAAAAAAAAAAAAAAAAAAAGAGAGATCAAATATAGCTAGAATTTGACATGCGTCGAACTTAGCTGGAGTCCGCTGTTTGTTTTGTCCCTCGTAGACGGGCCATTCGAGTCCATCCTCGTTATGAGATCGTTAACTAGCCCATGAAAATTCGTGTCGAGAACTGATGCGACGGACCCTTTCATCCCCTCTAAACCAAATCCCATACCTTCTTATATTTGAAAAGGTTCGACGGGATTAATAATGCGTCGGATCGACCACTTTATCAGTTTCCCTGACAGTTCCCGTGACTGCGATAGCAGGGCCTTCCCCAAGAACTGTTTCCTGTTTGCGATCGGGAACAAATGCGTACCTGGGCAATTTGGCCATCTTCTCCTCCGGGCTGGTTTCATTATCAGAATACACCAATCTCGCTGGTTTTGACTTGTCCTTTTTGGACGGTTTCTCTTCGGTAGGCTCCGCAGGCTTCTGAGAGGTAGCAGCCACTGCCGCCGCTTCATCTGCCTGTTTAGCAGCACCAGAGATGAGACTGTTCATAGAAGTGGAAACCGGAGTCTGGTCCCCATTTACCAGCCCAGGCTGACCATATGTATTGTGTGCGACTCCCGACGGAATCGAATTCCCCAGATGCATTTGCTGCATCTGTTGAGCGTTTACTTGTGGAGCACCAACAACAGGTCGTTGCGGGAGACTAGGAGCAGCTGGTAAACTGCCATGTCGAGGTGGAAATGCGGAGGATGTCTGTGGAGGTGTGTGAGCAGCTGGGGGATGTTGTTGCGCTTGTGCGAACGGTGTCTGTCCATTAGAATATGCGGGGATTGCTGGCGATGCCGCAATTCCAGCCTGGAACGGTTGTGGAGAGTATCCGGATGGAGTATACGTGGCAGGTGTAATCGGTTGTTGCGTGCCTGGTGAGTAGTTCTGATAGACAGGGCTTGTAGTCTGTGGATAAGGAGAAGTAGCTGTCGCGGCAGCAGCGCCGTACGGCTGAGGATAAGCATACGGTTGGGTAGAAGCTGGAACACCGAAGGGAGAAGCCGTTGCTAGAGTTTGAGGCGACTGACCCTACACGGCACAGTTCAGCATAATCGCATGAAAAATAACTTCATATAAAGCAGAGATCACACTTACATATTCACCAGGGGTCTGCAAAGACTGTCCCGCACCAACAGGTGTTGCCTCCCCGCTGCTCCCTCCAGCACGCATTTCCGCCTTTTTGGCTTTATGTTCAGCCAACCGCTTCTTCAGATCCGCCGCACTTTCAAGCTTCGGTTTCTTCGCCGGCTGCTGTCCACCTGACGTAGTCCCCGGAGGAGGGTTCCCGGTAACAGCTTGTCGCTCCACCTCTGCCTGCTGAAACTGCGTTATGACTCGCTGATTGTGCCCTTGGATGATATCTTCCGGCACACCTTCCATGCCAAAAATCTCAACGTCCAGACTAGACCGATTTGGAAGCGCATTTTCCACGGCTGTGAGTTGCTCCTTGTGTACTTGACTCATGTGCACCGACAGTCCTGGGAAGAGGTTACATATAGCAGTCAGCGGTATGGAACTCGAGAGAGCATGCGTAACGAAACAAAAAAGACAAGAAAAGAAAAGTACCAAAAGACATACCTCCTGCAGTATTAAGCCTCCTTCCACATCTTTCACATTTGAAATGTTTTGCTTTCTGGTGCGATATAAGGATTTTAAGGTCGTCGAAGTCGCGCTCGCAATAATAGCACCAGGGGCGAGCCAAAAGCTCTTCGAGGGTGGGACCGCGCTTCTTCTTTCCCATAGTGACACAGATCTTAACAGATATATGGCCTCAATGTCTCTCCCCAAGTAGTCTCACTCCGTATATCGTTTGAAATGACGATTGCCAGGTTGGGACGAAAGGGATCATGTCATGAAGGCGGAGCGCGGTCCCATCATCGAACTGAGGCGAATACGTCACGTGTGTTATTCACGTGACGTCGAGTAGCAAGTGTATTCCGTAGTCTATGCGGTACAGTAGGAGGGAAATAGCTGGATAGAATGCAATTGCTAAGAGGCACTTTGATAATCTATATTCAAGAATTTTCTCCATCTAATAGTCACAGTCCGTAGGATTAAAGCCCGAATCATGTACATTATTCTTTTCAACTGTAGTTACTACACACCAGATTAAACCAGAAGAACATGAAATAATACATGTTAAATTAAAAAAAAGGAGGAAAATAAAGCAGGAAAATATCACGGCCGCCCATCGTTGCTTAAATCATGGCCTTGGGTGACCGTGTGGATTGCCTGGCCGAGGCAACGACGGGCGGCCGTAATGCAGGTAATACTCCGGGTATGGAGGATAAACTGTCTGGTAATGTGGTTGATGCGGCGGATGAGGAAGTGGGTGGGTTGGGGGAAAAGGCGGGCCATGTAGGCCGCTGGGTCGTGCCGGATCATAAGGAGGACGTCCAACGACCCGTGGGTCGATAGGTGCGTATGGCGACAGTGACGGGGGAAGAGAACTAGGCGTATGATGCGGGAATAAGTGGACAGGCTGAGGAGCTAAATGGCGAGCAGGGTGAATTGGACCTGCTGCCTGGAGATGCGGTGGCTGAACAGGAGCAGGTTGAACAGGCGCAGGCTGAGCGTGAGTGCTCTGAGCGAATGTATGCTGTACAGTCGATGTCTGAGCGTGAGTCTGGGAGTGCGCAGGCTGCACAGGTGGAAGTGGGTTGCGATGGCTCGGGGCCAGATGAGTCTGGGAGTGAGAACCCTGCACATGGGAAGGGTGAGTAGGAGGTGCTTGAGGGCCGGTGGGAGTCGCTTGTATGGGAGCATGTGGAGCGCTGGCATGAGAAGCCCCAAATATGTCCGCGTGGCTTTGAACAGTTTGAACAGGGGTTTGTTGGGCGGAAGTAGTCAGGGAATGACTGGGCTGAAGTGTCACTGCCGGGACGGTGGCTGGTTCAACTCCAGTAGTCAGAGCAGGCGCGAGCTGTACGGCCGGCGCAACAGCTGTCTCCATCTTGTGTTTCTTAGCGGCTTCCGTTGCAGCGCTTTTCCGTTTTCTCCCTCCAACCTTTGGGCCTTCAGCAGCCTTCCTAGCTGCTTCATCTGCACGAGCAGCCTCAATCTCTTCCTTGCTACGTTTCGGGTTCCGGATGCGTCCCGCAGCGATGAATCTTTCCCAATGATTTAGCATAGCCTCAGTGCGTTTGGGATTTTTAGAATTCGCAATCTTCTGGCGTCTTATTAATTCTGCAGGGTCCAGCGATTCATTAGGAGCAGTAGACATAAGAACAGTACTGGAGCCCGATCCCTGTCCCTGTGTATTATTAGAAGGCGCGGGAGCGATAGGAGCAGGTTGGGAACCCGTACAGGTAGCAGTGGCTGGACGTGCTTGAATCGGCGGCGGGGTGTTCGTAGTTCCGGGCAGAGTAGAAGTGCGTCCTTGACCACGGCCACGCGTAGATGTTGTCGGCGTATCAGGTGCTGTGGCAGGGGTATCTTGAGCACCGTCTGTTTGAGGTAAAGTTCGTGGCAATGCTCTCAATGCTCCCCGACCACGTTGCCCGCGTCCTGCGCGCCCTCCGCGCCCTCCACGTCCACGAGTGGAACCACGGAAAGGTGTAGATGAAGGGCCGGGGGTGGAACCAGGAGTTCCAGGAGTGGTGTCTGCCTCTGCAGAAGCAGTAGTATTATCTGAAGTTGGGGCTTCTGCGGTTGCTCCCTGTCTCCCGCCACGAGTGCGTTGTCTTTTGGGTGGTGGTCCCTGATGAGCATAGAGGTCCTGTTGTGTATCAACCGTTGTTATTGAGGGGTTAGGAGTAGCCCGGGATGCAGCCTCGGCCGCTCTGGCCGCCTCCAATTCAGCTGCCTTGCGTTTACGCGTGTTTTTGCTGACAGACTCCTCCTCTTTGGGCGGGTTCTGGAATTTAGGAATACAGTCGACTCCGAACCTGGAGAGAACAGTCCACCCGTCAGGATTGGGGTCGCCACGGTTGACCTTCTCATCCATCTTTCTCTGTTGGGCTGGAGTAGCTTTGAAGCCACCTTGAATAAACGGGTCCTGATTGTTGATTTTCTCCTGCTTGGGGTCATATTTGTATCCGTAAAGAATGGATTCCTTTTTATCTTCAAAGACCGCTGGCTGCTCTGGTTTTCTTGGATTGACAGTCTGCTTGGAGGCGCTCCGCGTGGCCAATTTGGTGAGTTTGTCAATAGCCATGTATTCGGCCTGCCAAACCTTGAGAGTATGTGCCACATTAGCAGTGATTGCATACAACTCGTCGTGAGATCGCAACTCGGGATCTCGAAGCTGGGCCAAGATGTCTGTGACAGGCGTGATCTCCAGAAATTCGCCCCTTGCGACTTTCGTTTTCTTGTAAGGTGTGGGACGATCGCCAAATTCATCAGAACCTCGCTTCTTGAGAGGGTTGCTGCCACTGTGCATAAGACCCCAGAGCTCATCAAGATCCTTGGTTTCATCTTCGTAGCCTGAGGAGAAACGTTGCACGTCATGGAGATTCCAATATTGGTGGGCGCGCTGCTCTACTAAAGCAATAATCTGCTCCGCAGGAGTTCCGTGGATACTGATGAAGGGAGCAGAAAGGTGATGTCTATAGCTCTCAACTTCCGCTTCGGTCTCTCTATGGCTTTCAGCATGTCCTTGGTTGGCAAGACGAGCTTCGCCATTGTCTTCCGCACCGATATCAGGGGTTCCTTCGACATTTTTGGCTTCAGCATCCTTAGCTGCCACCGATTCAGACTCATGGGCTTCGCCGTTCTTAGCTCCGTCAGCAGCAGGATCGTCTAAGGAGGACTTCGCAATATGCGGATGAACAGCCGCGATGTGCTCCTTCAGAGCCGCACGGAGAGATTCTTCGTCCCCGTTGGCAGTCTCAAAAAATTCTCCGCACGATTCACACTTGGACTTGTGCATGGAGGGTGCCGGAGACTGCGAAGTACGATCAGAATTAGGCGTTGGCTGCGCCGACTCGGATGTAGATCCTCGACGATCTTCAGTGCTGGACGTATGGGCGTCGGCCACAATATCGTTGCGAGTGACGGGAGCCATTTTTAGATGATAGTGATACTTTTAAGGTAAATTAATGTACGCTTCGTAGAATGCAGTGTTGAGGTAATTGCGGTAAGACAGCTCCCAAAGATGAGGATGGAGACCATATAGATCTATAGAGTTGTTAGTGGTCGCTAGCCTCGCTTGCAGTGCCAAGACACCAGTAGTAATGACTGCGTAGTCTTAAGAACCACGGAAAAGGGAAACGAAGAGAAAAGGGACGGGCAAAGTAATAATAGGCGGATAAGAGAAAATAAAAGCATAAAAATAACGAAATAGACAGGATAATAGTAGAAGACACGAAAGAAAACAGTTGTAAGTTCAAAAACTAGAACGCTGGTAGCAACTGTGCGGCCCAAGATCTGACAACCCAGACCCAAAAACTGTGACGCGAGCAACGTACCTTGAAGATATCGGATGAACGTGGTAGTTAAGGTGGCTAGAGCCTTTGACAATGTCCAACTTTCAATGTAAAAGGCCAAATGACGGTTTTGATCAACAAAACCAGCCAGACATTAAACCGATGTGTGTGGTGTTGTTGAGAAGTACAAGAGAAAGCAGTACAAGCAGTCTGTAGTAAGATCTGTCGAAAAGACAAGTCCAGAAAGTCGAGTTTAATGAAAGAAAGGAATCGAGGCAATGAGTCAGGAAGAACAAGGTCAAGGGACGACAAGGACTAGTTAAACGCCTCTCGCTGACAGTAAGCCCCTACGTGATAGTTCGTAGGAGCGTGGCGCGAAAAGACAGACAGCAAGCAGCACTGCGGAGAAATCCGACGGCACACAGAAATGGAGGTAAAGGAAGTCAGAGAATAAGATAATAGAGGGTATGATATTTGAAGGGATAGAGTTCAACGAGACAGAGAAGAGTGGTTTAGCACGAATTCAGAAGAATCGAGCAGAGTAAGATAGGCAGATGTTAGCTAGACGTGGGTGTGGTGAGGGAGAGGGAGCACGGAGGATGGAACAGGGGAAATTTGTAGACACTCGAGGCAAGAGAAGGCTGTCGAGCAGCAGCAGTGACAGAACACTCCATTCACCAGCGTCAGGCGAGTTGCAGCCGTGAAGCGCAAGAGATGGCGAATTAGTAGTAGGGATGGATGGATGTTCTGGCAGCATAGATTTACTTTCCATGTAATTTTGCGCTGGATCTGCTGTGAATCCTCCGTAACTCCCGGGAAAATACGGGCCCACTCTGTGCCCAAAGGCCAACCAGCAGCCCGTATTTCATACAAGCTCCTGACGGCCCAGAGCACTTCAACCACTTCAGATACGCTGCCAGACACCCCGAGAGCATGCGTTTGCTGTTCGTGTACGAAGAGGGAGCATATATAATGTTCTGTAGTCCAAGATACTCGAAGTAGCTTGCTCGATTCTGCGTGGAAACCCGCAAAGTGCAGTCTGCTGGCAGCAATAGTTAGAGCACGTTGTGGTCCGCTGTCTGATTGGCCTAGCTTAAATACAGCTTTCCACTGTTCTTCAACAACAAAACAACAACAATACATGACAATACCAACCTGACATCATCCATCTCCTGGAGGTACCTACCTCTAGGTGCCTAGGTAGGGGATGTTTTCATACTTTCTCTATATTCATACTCAGATCATTCAATATTGCAAGTCACTGGGGATATTCCCTCGCCATTGTTACCGGGGCTCAATCCGGTATGCCGAAGCGGCCAGGTACCTCCTACAGATTCAAATTGTGACACATTCACGTCTATTCTCTCCCTACTTGTCCAATTGGCTGTCTACCTAGGTGCCCTTCAAATTCAGACGATCCGCAGCATTGAATACCAGAAGATACTAGAGAGTCACTGCCTATTCTTCTCACCAACGTCCAGCGCAACAAGGAAACGGCTAACGCAATTATACGCCGCCGCAGTCGCCGTAATCTCCACTACCTCTCTCTCATTGAACTCCTCCCTGAGTGCTTGGAATACCCCGTCAGGAACAGATACTGTTCTCGTCATCGCATCTGTATACTTCAACACCACGCCCTGCGCCTGACTCAACACCTTCTCATCCACTTTCTTTGGGATATCGGCCTGCGCATCCTGAACCACACCCAATGCCTCCTCACTCAACCCGGCCTCCGTCAGTAATGGCGCATGATGCTCCCATTCAAACCATGCTCCATTTATCGCGGCTACCCGACAGATGATGAGTTCGCGGATGTCAGCAGGCAAACTTGTCCGGGTTCTGATGGCCCCGAGGAATGAGTTCCAGCCGTCCGCGACGGGGAATGAATGGAGAAGAGCGCGGTCCAGGGGAATCAATCCGCGTGGACCGCGTCGAGCTTGTACTCGGGCCAGAATATCTGCTTCCTCGCCGGTGCTCGTTGGTGGTGGGTCAGAGACGTATGGGATGCGCATGGTGAGAAGTGTCCCAGAGAAAGTAGATGTATGTCTATGTCATCGTGAGCCATGGATACATGTAAATTCAATTTGTTCCGTTGGTAATTCGGGGCTTGCTGAGTGGCGCACCTACGTACTTGGGTGTAGCGGCAGGCTTTAATTAATAAAGTCCAACTGCAACCTCGAAATGCAGCATCTAATGCAGGATAAGCCTGTTTATCATTGTAGACGAATCTCCCTGTGCCGACGGCTGTTGGTACCCCGCCCCGGGAAATCCACCTTGCATACGGTGCATACTACACACAGCCGGAATGTACGCTATATGCAGCATTGAGAAGACGTTGCTGTCACCGGAATTCCCAAAGTAACTTGGCTTGGAACTACTGTCGTTCGTGTCTATGGAAGATGTCGCATCTACCCATCTTGGGAAAGTTACTAACTTCGGACCAGGTAAACCAAGGGTCTACTTCGCCGTACAGTATGTCACTATAAGACGATGGTAGAAGATAATCCAGTCATTTTCAATTCAGTGTTTGCTCAGCGACCAACCTGCCGTCCAACCCACAGCTAATTTATTCCTAGTCGTACTGAGAACTGGCGCAATCCTGTTCCTTGGAGTGTAAGTTTAATAGATTACACGAGTGTATCGCATGAACTGCGTTTAGATCACTCAATATGTCGCATTGCTTCAGCTGGGTATGGTCCATCTCGTTTGGTAGTACCATTCCAGTATGTACAAACTGCCTGTACATTAATTTAGAGCTCTGGTCTGAAGATAATGACAGACAGCGAGCAAGACGTGGATGTTCAAGACGGTTCACACGTAACTAACTTAGAGGTGGACACTTATCTAAGCTTCTTGGCGTAGATCATCGCCTGGTTGCGTGTCACGGGGATTGCCAAACGGGCTCAACTAACTCTCCTACAGTACTTAAAGCCCAAAACAAACTCTGTATCTTTCCATATCATTTCTCACAAAGACTATCCACTGCTGTCTTTCAAGCCATGCGTTCTAAAGACTCAAAGCCGACTAGCGACGAGCTCCTGGCTCAGTTCGACAATCTCGGGATCGAAACCACAGATGAACCCACCGTGAAGCCCAGTACACCGGCTACTGCTCAGTCGGAGCAGGATCTCCTGGCTGAGCTTGATAACCTAGCCTCCCAGCGTCCAGTATCGACAGACTCCAGACCACCTTCCAGATCGCCCAAGCCCGCGCCGGCAGGGACCCCGTCAACAGGCCTATCCAGCGAAGAGAAGCCGCCCGCTCGGAGGTCCGAGGAGAGTGGCCGATCATCTCGCACGGGACATAGAACAGGACTTGTGCAGCCATCTGTACCTGAGGAGAAAGCTATACCGACTGGGAAAGAGACCAGTAATGCAGCTGGTGGTGGATGGTGGGGCGGTCTCTTCGCGACAGCTAGCGCTGCCATGAAGCATGCTGAAACTGCTGTGAGGGAAATCCAGAAGAATGAAGAGGCACAGAAATGGGCGCAGCAGGTTAAGGGGAATGTTGGAGCACTGAAAGAGCTTGGTATATATTCTTATTTCTCCCCCATCGTCTTCTCTGAGCATGATATTCTAATGGCAAGCCGCTTGCGACTACAGGTGGCGAGCTTCGAAACAGAGCCCTTCCCACATTTACTTCCATCATCCACACTCTCGCCCCTCCGATTTCCTCTCATGAGCGTCTGCAGATTCATGTTACGCACGACCTTTCAGGCTATCCCAGCATCGACCCCCTGATCTACTCTGTCTTCTCCCGTGTCATGTCCCAGGTCGAAGGTGGAGACCTCATAGTCATCCAACGCGGACAGGAGTCTGCGCCGAAACGAGGATTAGGCATCGGGGCTTTCGACGCCGGCTGGCATGATGGCCCTTGGTGGCGGACGGTCACCCCTAGCAACCCCCGCAACATCTCCGCTGTGCGCGGTTTGGTCGAGGCCACCAAGCTTGCTCGGGCAAGCGCGGAGTCATACGCCAATGAGTATTTTGCATCTAGAGGCGGAGTCGAGGAAGCGGCGAAGCAAGCCACTGAAGTCCTGAGTGAGACAAACCCTGTCCGAAACAGTGACATCTTCCTGGCCATCCAGGCCGTCAGCCAGGCTGCATCGACCGACCTCTTTCAGGCGGGCCCAACTGCAGACAAGACGATTCCTCCGGGAGTTGTGGATGTCGCAGACTCCAAGGACGAAGAGGTTTCCTTTGCGATCTACCTCCACGATCCTGTTCACGGCATTGCATTCCACACCATCTCGCAACCAATCCCCCAGAAATGGATTGATTGGCTCGATGCTCCAGCACCTGCTCCTAGGGACCCAGAAGGTGAGGACGCACACGTGCCTCTTTCCACGATGCCAGAAGCCATTTCAGAGATAGTTGAGAGTGGTGGCATCGACCCTCGTGAATGGGTCGCAGAATGGGTCGAGGATTCCCTTACCTTGGCCACAGGGGTCGTGGCGCAACGGTACGTGGCTCGCAGGATGGGAGTCGGCGAAGGAGGTATAGGCAAGGGCAAGATGCGGGCTGAGACGGCAGCGTCCAGTGCGGAAAGTGGTGCGGGAGAGGCGGCAAGGGCGCTTTAAAATATTTTGAATTCGATCTTTGTTGATGATGAGTTTGATGTTCGGACAATGTCTGTTGGTTACTGTATTTTCCTTCCAGTTATTTTGCACATGAGGGTTATTGAATGATCTCTACAGTAATGGCCACCTAATACCAACGTGTTCTCAACTTAATCCTCTTTTGACCTAAGCCAAAAGTATCAAGACTGGAGACACCGATAGAAGTATTATATTAGTTATGCGTGAATATCTAGGTACCTAATCTACGCGAAATAGGAGGGAGTATCATTCGCTCAAGAAAGCAGCTGACAAACAGAACAGAAGGGAACAAATAAACCAGAACATAGAGAATGGCGGGTATATTTCATTCTTCTTCTCTTCTCCTTTAAATCTCAAGATCCAGCTTCAACTCTCCATCCAGGCCAGATGCATGGGAGACTTGCGCCAGTAAGGGCGTAATGCTGAACGCAGTCAATAATTGAACCCTTATTATATAAGGTAACATGGATAGGGGAACACTCACCTCGTACACCCATTCAAGACAGTATGAGCATCCGTTCCCTCTGGACTCGCCTGCAACCCCTTCTTCATATCAGCCAGATCGGGCGAGAAAGCGAAAACACGTTCTTTAGTAGTAGTGCTTGTCTTCTTCACCCCATTCCCATTGCAATGATGGTCACCATTACTCTCACTCTCAACCTCCGCATACAAACACCCCCTAGACCAATAATTTCTAAACGCCCTCGTATACATCACCGGCCGCCCCTCGACATCCACCCGCATCGGCACATTAAGATTGTAAACCTCCACCCTCTCATCCCACGACCGATACAGATGCTCGATAACCCTAACGGCCAATCTAGCCGCGGCCGTGATAACCTCAGCAGGCTGCTCGTCCTTACTGCCGAAGGAGAGCGCAATCGCGCGCTTCTGACAGGTGGCTGCTTCCAGGGCCCCGCCAACTGTGCCCGAGGATAGGTTGTAGATGGATGATGCGTTGCGGCCATGGTTGGGTCCCGATACGACTAGGTCCACGGGAGGTCTGTCGGGGAAGAGGTTGAAGAGGCCTAGTTGGACGCAGCTGGCTGGGGTGCCGTTTGTGATAATGGCCCAGGGCCATTTATTTTCTGTTGTTCCGTTTTGTAATTGGGAGGATGATGATGGTTCTGGTTCATTGCTATTGTCGCTATTGTTGTCCTCCCAGGTACCGTCTTCACGGAACGAGTCCGAGGAAACGTAGTTCGCTTTTAGGACCGATTCTCTTATGTGCGCCTTGCTGATCCATGATCGGGATGAGGCTGGGATTGCGACGGAGACAAGATGGCCTGCAGACTGGAGGGTATTGACGAATGGGCGGATGTACGGAGACAGCGACTTCGATGGCGGGCCGTCATCATTTACTACCTGGGAGTTGAGCCAATGAGTATTAAAAATAAAAAAGTAAAAAAGAAATAAAATACCATGGATATTGTTGGGGGAAATAAATGCAACTAGAAAACTTACCAGAATATGCATCTTTATGTAAACCGATGTAAACTCAGCCCTGAGATCAGACGGGAATATCTACAGCGTACTCTCAGAAATTCTTCAGACAACAGGACAGTGCCAATATTTAATAGCCATCCAGAAAATCCTATTATTAACAGGATCTACCCCCAGGAGCCATTTGACCATTTGATTCCCCATACTAGCAACAGGAACTAGCCGAGCAAAAGCCGGGGTGAAAGAAAGCAGGCAACGGTGAGCCTTGCCGAAGATTACTATTGCGGAGTGAAGGAATTGCCTACTCCGGAACCCCAGGGTTATAACCTAGTAGGCACGGGGTCTAGAAGAAAAAGGAAAGAAAAAGGGAACACCACACAAAAGACGATCCCTTGGAACTGCTAAGAATCTCGAGATATGTACAATGCATAACCCAATGAATAGTTGCCCAGACGGAACATCGTCCCCAAAGCAGGCTGCGGTGAAGCTCTGCGCATCATGTAATGGATGGCAATGCACTCCGGACGGATCTGCCAGGAAGAGTACTATGAAGACAGCAAATCGTACATAAAATCAGTCCATCGTCACATCCATGCACGCGTCATTGTTCTGCAAGGGGAAATAACCAGGCACGTCTCCTTGCACACCATTATCTGATATTTATGGCCGCTCCTGGACCCTGGACCATTCTGGTTGTCTGATGGTGGAGCGAACCATGGTCTTACTGGAGCATTTCCGGTTCCACCATTGTGGGAAAAAGGGACCATAATCATAATCATAAAGATTTTTAGAAAAAAAAAAAAAAACAAATAGATAGAACTAAGCAAAAGGAGAAGGGAAAAGAAAAGAAATGCATCGGTTGGAGCGGTAAAGCCATGACAGCAATGGACGCAATCCCTCAGGGGAAAGATACTTCGATCCTTCGTTTCTCCGGCGGGATGGCATCATCGATTCAGCAAGAGAGAAATTAGAATAAGCATCGAACATCATATGCATTATTATTTATCAATATCTCTGCCTGTCAGGCCATCCGTGATGGGCCTGATGGCCCCCTGTACTCCGTACCAACCAGGGATATGGGATGGCATGTAACTATACGCTATACGATTGACTCGTAGATGGCACTGTAGATTGCTTTTTTTAACCTCGATTGCATCTGCTGCTGCCGTGCACTTCTGCTTCAGATGTGCCAGGACAGCTTACAACGCAATATCTCCGTGCAGTCCGAAGGCATCAGCTGATGCTGCTGGGGCTGGATAGGCTGACTGAGGAACTGAAGGACTGGAAATGGGACGGTGATGGATCCCTGGGACAGCAGATGGATGTATCGAGACAATGTAGCTACACATTTTGACAAGATCATATGTCGATGACGGTCGCCGTCGCAGAACTGTAAAAGCGGCTTTTGCAGGGAATTGGGGAATCGCGCGACTGCCGAGAGCGGCTTAGCGGCGTAAGATAAAGCGGCAGCGCGTGCTGTGATTGTTGGGGGACCATGTGACCGGCGCCCGTCGAATGCAAAGAACAAAAAAGAAAACGTGAAAAATTGCCCGTTGCAAAAGGCCATCATCGCGAGTCTCTGCTCCGCTTAAGAAATTCTCCTCCTCCCTCCTAACCATCGTCGCTCGTTGTCTTCTCTGACTCTGAATCACCCCTCCAAGCCTGTCTGCTTTCCTCCCATCGAAATCACAAGTTTCACCACCCCTGTCCCCCCCCTCCTCCTTATACCTTCTTGATAAGGAGCGTTCCTGGACGAACGGAAGCACCAGTCCCATTCTGTCCCCTCTGTATGGACTGCGGGAGTGCCGGAACCGTGTCGGGCGTCGACCCTAAGTTTCTCAGCGATTGGCAAGCAGACACATCTGCATTCGCTTTTCCTCCATGGGATAACCCTTCGGAATGGGATACCAGCCAGGAGTCGAGTCCTGACGCTGACTTTCCTGACCCCGCTTCTCTGACTGGGTCCCTGAACGGGGATCGTCCCGACATCAACCTGCTTGATCGAGCGAGCGACTTCTTGTCGACCAATTTCAGGTTCGCTTTTGTTTTGCCCTTTTCACCTGCTGTGATACCGTCATAGCTGATAAATTGGGGGTCCCCCCTTTTCCTAGCAGCCAAGACACGTCACCCGAGAGATTCGGCTTGGCCGAAGCTCCCATCGAGACCAAAGGCAGCTGCGACGTTAGTCCCAGGACTCTGTCTTCGACAACCGACGAGAATATCGAGACATGGCAGCAATTTCGACTTCTCCCCTCTCTACCGGCGGGAATGCCGCCAGAGGCCCAATACCTCTATCCCTACTCTAAAGGACGCCGCAGTCCTACGAACCCCGTCGTCGTGGAAGATGTCGGGGAACTCGCCCAATCTCAGGGAATCCCCGACGCCCAGCCCATCATGCCCTTTCAGAGCATCCCCCAGACCTTTCCCATCGTGTCTGGCCCCTGGTCGAACGCAGCGCAGCCGACAACTGCTGAGAATATGGCTCTGGCTCCCGAGTCCGTTCCGCTTTCCGTGGAACCGGAGATGGAAGCCAAGGACGGCCAGAACCTGGATGGTTTCCAGGATGCTCTGCGTTCGCTAGATTGGCGTTGGTTTTCGAACCCCGATGCACGACTTTCCGCCAACCCTGGTGCCATTTCGTTCTCTACCCTCCCACAAGATCTCGCGTTTCAACAAGACGGCCAAAGTGGATCGTCAGATTCGCCCCAGCATACGTCAAAGAGCTCATCTATTGCAGGGGACGTGCCAGGGATCTACGATTTCCCATACTTGACCACGGGTGTTGATATGACGGCATTCCCCGAGCAGCAGCAGCTGTCGGACGAGAGCGATTCGCAGGACGTGAAATGGAAGAATACACCTCAAATCGATAGCTTACCCGACGTGTCGCACCCACGTTCTTCTACTAATGCACCAACATTCATTAACGAAACACCGTCGGAATCTCTAATACGCTGCTTTCCTTCCCGACCCGGCACCGCGTCATCAGCGGCCAAACGAGCAGCTGTCGACCGGATTCCATTGAGCTTACACTCCGTGATTACAGCTAGGAAGCGCAGGCAACGAAACTCGACAAGCTCCTTAGAGCTCCCCCAGCAACCCAAACCATTGCAGATCGTCCAGGAAGATGGACAAGGCGGGTCCATCGCATCTGCTGATTTCGTGTCTCCGCCGCGGGGAGCCCGTAGAAAGGGACCGCTCAGTACGATCGGAAGGGCCAATGCTGGATTGCGAAGGAAGAATAAGGATACATGCGTCCAATGCCGTTTGAACAAGCGCAAGGTACGTCCCTGGGATGTTTATGTGGAGACATACAGATGCTCATGCCACCAATCAGTGTGATGGACATTCCCCCTGTGATGCTTGCCGTCCGACACTTCATGAGCAACCGTGCGCCCGGGCGTGTTTCGCGAATATCGTCGAATACGGAACATGCAACTATATCTGTATGCAGCTTTGCCGCCTATTTATTTACTCAGCGAGCCAAGCTAACTAATCTCAGCCCAACGAGCTATCAACCACCCTACGATCGATGGCTCTGGCAGAGTTCGGATTGAGATTCCATCATCGTTCGACTTGAATGACCTCTTGTCATTCCTTAGCGAACGGCAAGGACGTTTCAACATCCGCGCCACGCAGGCCTGGGGATCGCTCTATGTTCTTGATCTGGGAGAGACGTACAGGTTCCTAAAAAGCTTGAGTGAATACAATGGCAACAGCCGGTCGAGTTTTCTCGAATTCATTGATCGACGGCTTGTGGAATCGAAGGACAAGTCAAAGAACTGGCTGAGCTGCCTGAGAGACTGTGATCCGATGAATCATGTTTACGTAGGTTTGCCTGCATGGTTTTCATTTTCCGTTCTAAGTCACTGATAGTCCTTCTAGGCCTTGCTTTCCCAGTGGAATAACATGCCCAGTCGTGCTAAGTATAGCTTCGTCCCGTTGCGGCCAGGAGCCGAGGAACAACCCATGGATACTAGCAACCCGGAGCATAAGCGCGAAATTCTCTTGGCGGCTCAGCTGTCACGGATTTTCTGTCGCATGCTGGAAGTTGAAGGATTCCGAAAACTAGAACGCGACTTCTACAACATCAAATGGAAACAGATCTCTCATGACACGCACGTGCGGTTCCTGAGTGAACTGGGTCACATCCTTCTGTCACTCCGTTGGCGAGTCTCGTGGTGGAAGCGTCTGGGCGATGGCGGCAAGGAGCCAGATCCTAGCAAGCAGCATTACGTGGACCGTGTCGAGCTGCTGTGCCGGATTCTCTACGTCTACTATACGTGCGTGCTTGCGAAGCTGCCCTCATGGTCCATATCGGATGTGCCCAAGGGCATATGGTCTACGTATGCGGATACTGAAAAAGCCATTTGGGACGATTATCCGTTGGACCCTACAGATGCGGGATTCCAAAACTGGATGGCAAGAGGGAGGGAAATAATCGAGGAAGCAGGAATTGTCAAACGTTTTGCGAAGAATTAACTGGATAAACAAAAGGAATAATAACTAGACGGATATAGAAGGATATCTGGGCTGATCGGATTGGGCGGAAGAAATGGTTTAAAGATGAGATACCCGTTTCTTTTCTTTTCTTTCTTTTTTTTTTTTCTCGTACATACTTTGGTACCTACACATACATGCGTTTAGAGCTGGATTGGTTGGATTGGATTGGATTGTGTCCATTATGAATGATGATTCCACTTACATATTACAGATAAATTTTATTCGGGGGCTCTTAGTCTATAGAGTACTATATGAAAATCTACTACTCAGTTAAATTGATGTTCAAGAAATCAATAATAGCAAATTTAGAAAACAGAGGTATCAATATCACAAACTCAAGTCTCAGCAATGCATATGACAGAAAAGAAAAAGACAGAATCAGCCCCTCTTCATTTTTTTTTCTCTTTCTCCTTTTCTTTCTTCTCCTTCTTCCCCCCAGCAAGCATCTCAAGATGACCGGCTCTCTGCGCCAGATTGCGCTCCGTCTTGGCAATCAAGCCGGCTGTGAGTTTCTACAGAAGTATGGGTCAATGGAAGTCACAGGGAAAGAAGAAGTAGAAGAGAATACAAACCTTTGTCATCTTCTGCTGCTTAACCAGATTCGCTTTCTTGGGCGCTATCACTCTGCTGCCTCTTTTTGGGCCGAGGGATTGGGGACTTATCGTCATCGTTAGAATATCAGACGTGACCATATAAAACAAGCAAGGCGGAAGAAGGAAAGAGTGGAAGCTTTAAAACGATGAAATAAATGTAGAACCGAACAATCTTGTTGGTGTACACCAGGCTTGACAAAGTCAATGATGATCAACAGTGTCTATGATACGTACCGTTTTGATGTCGTCCCCGGCTTGGACTTTTTCAAGAGTCCTTGGGCCATCTTGTCTTCTTATTATTACAGACAGAGAAGTGAGGATGGATGGATGCAGTTTATACGTACTGCCCGCAGCACATGGTTCTTCTCTTGTCGAGTGAAAAATGAAGAGATCAAGTTTGTTATCGATATTATCACGTGATTGATTTTTCCTAATAAGACTGTCTACAGTGTATGGGGGTTCATGTTTGATTCATGACGATCAAAGAATATTATTACTGGACTTGGATCACAGGATCAACATGTACATGGCTGGCCTGGTAATTAAGATAGGGGTTATGTGTGGAGTCCACAGCATAGTAGATGTGATATGGTGTCTCATAACTAGTTAGCGGAGTTAAAGGATTGTATAACCTACTACGGTTTAAGCCCGGCAGATTCAACAAACTAGAGCATTGAAGAGCATAAAATCATGAAGCCCCAGTACAATGAATATGTCTATACTGAAGAAGAAAGCCTGGGCGACGATCGAAAAAGCCTCAAAATTCAGGGTGCGGGACCGAGGTCGATCTCTGTAGGGCTGTCTCACAGTGCACAAGATAACACTTTACGAGCAGAGGACCCCATACAGAGTAATTGCAATAATAATATGGGCAGGTCTAAGTAGCTGAATACAGTTCTATTCCTTTGTTCGGACGCTTCAGGATCAGAATGATGTGCCGGCTATGGCATATCATGAAGATTATATGGAGCATTATTAAATATGAAATAAATCCAGCCTCAACCACTAACAGTAACAGGGACAATGCAGGCTTACAGGAGGTGAAAGTGAAAATGCTTGCTGTAACTTCATTGGGTGACGTCTGGCTGGAGAGAGAGATCCGGAGTCCACTCGAAGTGGCCGGAGTTGGGGATGCCGTCGGCCAGCGTCTGGATGGGGACGACGTTGCTGCTGGGACCGCGCAGGAGGACCAGAGCAACCGTGCCTGGGGTCGTCGGCTGCCAGGTGATGGTGTATGGCTTTCCAGCAGGGACTTGTTCGTTCAGACCGGGCAGAGCAATGGGATTGCCGCTGGGAGGCTGGTTGTAGTCGGGGGGGGTGTAGGCGGAAGCCAGGGCCACGAGGGCAGCGGAGAAGATGGAGATGAAGCGCATTTCTTCTTTATTTTATATCGAAAGAGTGACTAGGTGAGGATATCGTTGGGGTCTTGAAAAGAGCGACTACCAGTGAGACTGGAAAGGAGTGGCAGAGGTGACTTTACGACAGAACAAAAGACACAGGGAAAACACAGGGAAAACACAGAGAAAAGACAGGGAGCAAATCACATTATATTAGCCTCTTCAAACTAGTTGAGCCTCAGGGGCTCATCATTATTGACCGATGGCAGCGTTGCAGAAGTGAGACCAATAAGCCCTAATTCATCAAATCCATCGCAATCCACTGCAACTCCACCTGTCACGACTGGTCTGCCCGCACAAGCGACATTGAGCGCCACCCATATTGTGGAGACCTTTCTTTCTTACGAGTCTTAGCGCTGAGGGCCTCCTCGTATTGTTGCAATTTCCGGGAAATTTTCTGTCAACGCGTTGAGGATCACGAACCCTGGAAAGCCAATAAGTCCGTGGGTTGATAAGCCTAAAGTGAGCCCTAATGCCTTGGCATATTATGGCAATTTCAGGACATCAATTAGTTCACATCCATATTACTACGCTGTACACTGTAGCCTGCTGCTGCCTGAACTCTACACACTCCCAGGCCCACGGTGGCTCACTCCACCCATGTTACCGTCTTGGTCTGGAGGAACTCGTCGTACGCGCTGGATCCCCCGAATCGCCCGAACCCACTGCTCTTCCATCCCCCGTGCGGCATTGTTGGCTCGTCGTGGATGGTCGCTGAATTGATATGGACGGCGCTATTCTCGTTAGAACTTACTCCGTAAATATCTAGATGCTCAATCCCACTCACCCCGCCTCGATCCTCTTGGACATCCGCAGGCCGCGAACCAGGTTCTCTGTAAATATCGCAGCAGTCAGGCCGTACGGACAGTCATTCGCCACTGTGACAGCCTCTGCATCGTCCTCGACCTCCATCACCGACACCGTTGGCCCGAACGACTCCGTCTCGTAAAGGTCCATGCCCTTGGTCACCCCATCGACAATGACCGGTCGCATGGCCGCGCAGCACTCCTCATTGGCATCAGGGTCCCCAAAGAGAACGCTGGCCCCCTTGGACACTGCATCCCGAACGAGCTGCTGGTTCTTCTCGACCCCAGACGGCGCAACGAGCACCGGCGCTGCCGAGTTCTTCCCGTAGACCTTCTCCGCGGTCTGCGAGAGAAGACGGCGGAATCCCTGCGCGACGGACCGCTGCACGATGACTCGTTCGGTGGACATGCAGACCTGTCCGGACTATTTGTTTCAATTTTGCTTATTAGTACACGGGACATGCAGGGGTGGTGACTCCAAACGGACATCCGCGACTCACATGGAGAAACGCCCCGACCGTGCATGCCATCGCTGCCTTTTCCAGGTCTGCATCGTCCAGGACGATGGCTGCGGCTTTTCCTCCCAGCTCCAGGAGGACTGGCTTGGTATGCTTCGCTGCCATGCCTGCAATGATTGATCCGACTGTCGTACTGCCAGTGTATGTGATCTTGCGGATGGCAGGATGCGCAATCAGCGTGCTAGTCACCTCTGCTGCATCCGACTGCCGATGATAGATGACATTGAGACACCCCGCTGGCAAACCAGCCTGCCGAAATACATCCCCGATGGCCCAGAAGCATTTCGGTGACAGTTCCGATCCTTTGAGGACCACCGTGTTTCCTGCTGCCAGGGGGGTGACGACTGTGCGAACGCCCAGGATATATGGGGCATTCCTAGCAGCGTACCGAGCAAGCTGTTAGCAGTGGAAAGGAGCAACGGCAACAAGCAGGGTTGTATAGGTATATACCACGGCGCAATCCCCAGAACAACACCATACGGCTGTTTCAAAATCATCGCGCCCTCCCCTTCCTGCGTCACAGCCGGCACAACGCCCTCGATGCACGGGATCCTGCATGCGAAATCCCTCAGAAAGCTCACACCCAGCAGGAACGTCTTCTCAGCAAACACTCGCCCCGCTCCCGTTTCCTCGCATTGGTACCTGATCAACTCTTCCTTCCGCGAGAGCATGATATCCGCCGCCTTCACGAGGATGTCCCGCCGTGCGTACGGCCTCGTGTCGCGCCATCTCGGGAATGCGTCTTTGGCGGTGATGGCTGCTTCATGGGCTTCCTTGGGTGAGGCGCCTGTGCAACGGTGGAGGATGCGCTCGGTCGCGGGGTTTTTGATTTCGAAGATGGTGCTTGTTGTCACGGATTTGTTGTTGATCAGAAGGGGGATTGTCGTTGTCGTGGCGGACATATTGGCGTCTGTTCGTTTTTCTCAGAGGTGTTCCTTCGGCGAATTAATTAACTGTTCTATCCAAGTTGATTGAGTCTTGGGGCCACGGGGATTTATTCTTTTTCTTCTCTCTCCTTTATTTCTTTGCAGATCTTCTTTATTCACTTGCAGATGACAAATACTCGTTTCATCATAGCAAACAATAGTGGACTTGCTGGAACTGTGTTCGCGTTGGTTTGTCCAGATCAACATTATTGAACAGGGTTAAGCCATGATTGTCCTGATTGTTGTCTTCTGCATGCAGTCAGAAGTGGAACTTCATACTTCCATCCGTCACTCATCTCATCGTCTCATCGCCAAGTCGTCACTCCATGGATCAGATCTGACTCTAATTAGGCGCCTGCACGCCTAGCATGAGACTCTTCTTTGTCCATTACTGCAATGCAATCACGTCAAGGTTGTGGTTACCTTCAAGCATGCCTTGTATGTCTACAAGACTCTTCTCTATTCCCTGTTCATTTCAATCCACGATCTCTGTTCAAAGGGGGAAGATTAACACGATGTCTTTCGTTCTATGATAGAGACGGGAAATAGTGGCAACGATCCCATCGAGCACCTTTCATGACATCGAGAGCCTAAAGGCCTGCATACATCTGCGCTCAGGCGACAGTTCAGTTTATGAGGCTCAAGAAGGCAAAGGCACTCCTGCCGCGAAGCAGGATCGTCTTTAAGAATTTGCAGTGTCCTGACCGATACATTCGAGAGTCGTTGAAAATTCCCTTCGCTCGGTGCGGATGAGCTATGATTATGACTCTAGCTAGGGACCTTGTCGCCAAGCTCATGCCTGATGTGAGGCATAACACCCCTCCCGCGCTTCTCCTTCTCATCCTTTATATACTGGCGAAACCCATGGACATGGGCCTCGATATGTGGAGACTCTACCAAATGGCTACGGCCATATATAAAGCTGCGAAGTCAGCGAAGGAGGCTGAGCAGGTCCTGGCCCTGTTCTGAACCTCAACCCCATAAGCGTCTTCAATATCCTCCTGTAGGATCCTCCTCTGGTTCTTGAGCACGTCAAGCTCCTTCACAACCGGCTCGTAGTTGTTATCCATGTTTTCCATCTTATTGTTATACTTATCCTGAGTAGGTTCTTGCGGCATCCAGTGCTTCCCAGAGACCTTCCTGGTAAGTTGTTGTACAGTTCAATTTCGCCTCACGTGTCTTGATTTTCCAGACAGCTTGAGACCTTCCCTTTCCCTTTCCGTTTTGGTACTCATCCCTTGATCACGGAGTACATCCAGGCATGCTCTGAGCATGGGGTGAGTAGTAGAATGCACACAGCTACATCATTGTTCCAGTTCCTGCCTGAATGAAAGACTAGTCAGGCATTGCCTGTGTGATCAATTGCATCAACTCTTCTCCACACATCCCAACCTGGGCAAAATGTAGGGGTTGGTGAGTTGGTTGCAAACGAGCATCATGGCACAAGTTGCACGAGCAGTTCCCAGTACACTGGTAGAGAATGAATTCGGTGATAAGTGACGGTTTGGAGTATGTAGGTTGACCTTTGACTTTCATCGCCAACACTCCAGGCTTTTGCAAGAGAGCAAGATTGTTTGTTTTGTCTTAGATCTTGTCAACACCACGGGATCATTCCAAGCACTTCGATAGTGGAATACAGATGGGATCCGCGAGAAGAAGAAACAATCCAGAGCAATAGAGGCACCAGGAGATCAACGCCACTTTTTTTTTTCCTTATGCAGACTGGGGCTTCATAGCTTCACATGGATCCCCTTCATGCCTAGTCGGCGTGGGCGGAATTATCGAAAGCCTACCGGAACCTTGCGCCGGAATTGTGCTTTCGTCCAAGCCTTTGCAGAGGGGAGGCGGATGCAGAAGAAGAGTTATATAGACTCGATATTATCACAATAGCCAGTGTGTTCGATTCCTAGTCTCTGATCGGGTTCATCAGCATGGCTCATCATGTCCGACACATCCACCTTCAACACCAAAACACGACGATGGGAAAACGTCAACTTATCGAAAGCTGTGAGGTACAGACAGGACGTGATCAAAAACAACCTACGATCGAAGAGATATGGTTTTCTTTGTGAGTGGGCTACGCTCGTTGATGCCAGGAATAAATCGAAGGACAAGACTGACAGGCCAGCATTTTAAATCCAGGCCAATGCAATCGGGATCCCGAGGGATGAGCTGCACTTTCTGCACGAGTTGCACCCCAACTTCTCGACTTCCCCTACATTTTCGTGCAACCTCGCCTTTAAGAGAAAAGAAAAAAGAACCAGGACGTTTATGATTTCTTCAAAGGAGGCCAGCGAAGCGCCCGTTCCGGGTATTCCACCGCTTGATCCGCAGAGAAGCGTCGACGGTGAACGAGGCATCGAGATCATCAATCCCATTCCCACGAGTAGCGAGGATTTTGATCTAGAAATCCACCCGGAAATCGTGGGAGTCCATGAAAAGGGTAGGTCGATATGATACTTACATGTTGCAATGTTATGGGTGCAGCTCACCTCGAAAGGGAACAACCTGATCCTTGAGTCAAAACAGGCATTGATCGACGCTGCTACAGGCAAACAATACGCCCGTCTTACAAACAAGGCAGTTGGCATGTGACAGGGAGGATATAACGGCTCCCAAGGCCCTGTTGAGCCTCCAGCTCCTCAAACCCCCAATCGGGCACCCGATGCTGTGCATCAATTCCAGACCACGTCTGAAGTGGCCCTTTCGTATTGCCTCTGTGGTGACTACAGCCCTCTCCATGCTGATGATAGCTTTAGTAAACGGGCAGGGTTCAAGGGCCATATCCTGCAGGGGCTGGGGAAGTGGAATATCGCTACCCATGGTGTGTTGAGGGAGTTGGCTGGTGGTAAGCCAGAGAACTTTGTCCGATTCAAAGCGCGGTTCAAGGCGGTTGTATATCCTTGGGGATTTCCTTGAAACTCGTATGCGGAAGACTGGAAGAAAGGATGGAGATGTGGATGAGATTGTTTTTGAAGCGTGGGCAACGTCGCCGGGTGAGAAAGCACGCATTGTACTGAGCAGGAGAGTCGCTGTGGCATCAAGACTATAAAGGATAGAAGTCATTTGTAAATTTTACTTGGAGCATATTTGGAGTCATTGACTCCGCTACGTAACGATAATAATAATAATACTAACAATACTAATACAAGGGTTCGAGTCTCGAGCAACGAAGAATATAGTAGACGAAAACACGACAGTGGAAGAAGCCCTATAGCCATATCAAGAGAAGTACTGTCCAACCATTTGCTCTGCCCTTCTTCTTTCTTCGCACTGTATAGTCAGATGAAGCTTGTGCTCAACGGTGGGTTTAGCCGCTCAGATGACCAGATATACAAGTCGGCAGTGAGAGCTCCCACGAGATGGACCATGGTTAGACGATGTCATTCAGTAAAGATGTCTGCCAACAAGCCATCAATTTTTCCCGTATTCCCTGTTGACTGAGGTTTCAAGGTGCGAGTGTTTCCCTGGAACGACCTTCCTTGTTGATCTTAATGAGGAAAACTACTTGTGTTGCCATGGGATCCTCGCAGAGAGTGTCTTGCGTCGTCATAGAATTCAACGATGGTTTCACTAAAGTCGACTTCGACTCGATTATGGGCTTGAGCGTTCTGGGGTTTTGTAGGGCAGCGTCTGGCACTTTGACATGAATGGCATTGTTGTCCAGAAGTCTTACGCCTGCTTTCCTGATTAGCACATCTTTCCAGATTCTCTAGCTAGACAATACCTGCCTTCTTCGGCCGTCCTACAGTATGTCATTCAGCAAGGTATTTGTACATATTGAGTGGACCATTGGATTTCGGCTGTAACGGTCTCGAGGTAGTTTATTCAACTAGCTAGGCCACTCTACGAGTACATTAAATCTTGAAGAAAGGAAAGGAAAGAGGTGGTGTGGCTCCTGGTGATCTGTTTACTTAGGGAGCTCGGGGCGGAATAACATGGGTCCATGGTCATGTGATGATGATTGGGACGGTGAATGGTGGCAGAATGAAGTTTGTAGACTGCTCGCTGTTGATGCTGGCTGAGGCTATCCGAAGCCCTATATCGGGCCTAGCCCGTCACATGGGCTTTCAATATAAGCGTATCGGTAGTCCCATTATACTCGGAATTCACGATGGCACTCTTTTTAGAACTCACTAACATACTAAAAGGTATTATGGTTGTCATTTTGGTCGGAATGGAAGAAGGTACGACTACCCCTTGTTGCTTCCTGCATTTGGAAAGGAGAGGAAAGAAAAGAACCATAGATATGTCACTGTAGGGCGTCTAGAAATGAGAATGAAACTACAACAAGGATCTAGAGAGTCCTCAGACTAGTAATTGATGCCAGTTCTTAGGTGTCCTACTATCGTGTCTGGTTTGGCATAGTTCGCTCCTCCTCTCTCAATTTCTGCTGTATAGTCGTGCATAGCAACCTTCTCTTCTATAGAAAGCCGCTGTAATAGATCATCAAGATTGCCATCACCAAAGAATCTTTTGTCAATTTGAGACCAGTACATGATGGCAAATACCCAGCTTCATCCTGCAGCATAGTTAGCCCAGAAGTGAGGAATATCAATAAGTGAACTTCATAGTGGCTTGTCCAGTCACCAAGCCCATATGACCTTTTAAATTTGTTCCGTGATGACCTTCACCCAGCCAATCTTCTTTTAAATGCAGGGTTTAAAATCACAGGCACTATTAATTGGGAATTCACCTATGCAGCACCTGTTGGGGTTGTATATAGGCCTCATTCTGGCTTCTCCTTAAACTCCCTGAATATAGGGCCACTGTGCTCTTGCAAAGTTTGCCCTCCTCTGTCGAAAAGAGTTATTCATCCAAGGGTTGAATGCATTGTCACCTGCATCCCACACAAGATCATCACGGTCCATATAGTTTCCAATTGTACCGTCATTCTGCAGCATCTTTTCTTGGGTGAGGTATTGCGATCAAAATGTTTTGCACATGGGACAAGGACTGCAGAGTGTTGATATTGTGTTCAGTTACAGGTGGAAGTGCAGCTGTAAATGGTCTCAGGAGCAGTTACTTTCAATGTTTGTCCTCACATTCTGTATAATTTGATTTTCCATAAATGATCATTATTATAATTGGAACAGGCCCAGGATAAAAATAGTAAATAGGCTTATTGGTTGGAATGTGCATATAACAAATAAACATACTTCCCATTCAAGCCAACAGAGAACTAACTCCCTTGGAATTAAGGGATACCAAAGAAAAAAAATAAAATAAAATAAAGCCAGAGAAACAAGAAATTTATATGAAATATGAAATATAGGTATCAAAGAGAAAAACGAAAAATAAAAATGTCCCGTTGTCCATACGCCAATGACGATGCTAACCAACCATGTCGTGCCGGTTATGGATTTCCCAATATAACGTAGTTTCGTCGCGATCTATCATCCAAAGTGTGATCAAGAAAGAGGTTCAAAGTTCGTCGATCCAACAATCCTTTTACGCAGTAAACGAAGGCGGAAATGAAAGAAATCACTGGGACCATATTTTCGTCTCGACAACCGGCTTCGCTGCATCTGCGAAGGGGCACGCAGAATGTACCGAGGGGTTGGTGCTGTTTATGCTCGACCGATCATCTTCGCTGGAACTTCTTCCGGTGCTGCTTCCGTCACCCAGGACGCGTTTTCCGTTCACGTAGCCCTCGCGTTCGACGTTGACGTCGGACATCTCGTCGGCGAACTCTTCGCCGTCCCGGACGTACCACTTGGCGAACAGGTCGTTCTGGATCCAGATGATCTTTCCGATGGCTCGGACAAGAGCCACCTTGCGCTGCAGAGAAAGGTGGGGGTGGGACATCAGGGCTTCGATGAAGATGTCGTGAATAAAGCCGAGACAGACGCCGAGGTGGATGAATTCGATGTTTAGTGAGTACATTCTTGCTTGGCCGCAGTGCATCATTCTACGTTTGTTAGTTTTTCCTTTCTCTTTTTTTTTTTTTTTTTAAAAAAAAAGAGTAACTCACCCAACTTTGTTGAGATATCTCCAGAATTCCATCTGGGTGGGATCGGAACACATCTTGGTCAAATACCAGCGGAGGAACATCTTACGGCGCTTGATCTGGGGGCTGTCTTCGTCCAAGTACTCTTCGACCGGTCTCTCATCGGCAGTGTTTCTCGTGTGGAAGGCGCGGGCGGTGATGTCGGTTTCGAGGAGTTTCTTGTAGACGATATTGACGACGGCGGGGATGAGAGCTTTGATGTACTTGGAACCGGAGGTGAGGGCCTCGACGTCATCTGGATTCTGTAAGTTTTGGGGCCTGTCCACGGAGGACGATTGATGACATACTGGAATTGAAGTCCAGGAAGTCATGGAGGTATCTGACACGGGTCTCCAGGTTGGTATACAGATCCTTACGGCTAACATGCTTCATAGGGCGTTCCTTTGCGGTGGGATCCATCTTGAGGGGTATGGGATGGGATGGAGTAGAGGAGATGGTTCTTTAGATGGGAGATGGGGCAATGGAGAAAGAAAGAGAGACGAATGAATTCCTGAAAAGTCAGGCGAAGAGGCAGCAGAAGGCGTAATATAGAGCAGAGAAGAGGAAGAGGAAAAGGGAAAGGAAAGAGATATCTCGCCACGGACCAACGGTAAACGGGGTAATAATAAATAAAGCGGACGCAGATTAGGATTGCGGCTAACCAGCCACTACGGAGGCCCGGCAAAAAATATCTCAACCTTCCGAAACCTGGCGATAAAACCCCTCCCGGAGGCCGTTATGTGGTCTGATTCCGCCACTCCCTGGCTCGAATTCACCCGCATCACGATCGTCCCTGTATGCTCGACCCTGCTTCTGTCGGGGGAGAATCTTCGAAATATTCGAAACACGTGGCCCCGGCCCGGTAGGGGAGGAATTGGCCTGAGACACATTGCTTCAAGTTTCTCTGTTGTACGCTGGTTGAGTAGACGCAATAATAATAGATAACTGTCCTACATACTACAGAGTGTGCGCTGTCCGTACAACTCCGCCGCGGATACGGGGGCTAATACATAGTGTCGACGGCGTAGATCTCGATTCGACTGCCGTGCCCAACGTTCTGTGTGCGCATCTTTCTTTGTCTCTTTCTTAGGTCAGGCATCAGGCTGCGTGACGGACTTGATCTGACTGCATTCTAATCTAATAATGACACAGTCAGGACTCCATGAACCGTCCTTCATTTCGGAAGCGACTCTCCACGTGGAAAACTCTCCCTTTCCCGCATGCTTCGCCCGAGCAAGGAAATTGCCACTCGATGGGAACAGTTCCAGTTCTGGTTTAGAAGACAGAGCAAGCTAGGGGACGATCGCAGGATTCGACTGTCTCACGGCCGAACGCACCGTTGTAGGCTTTTAATTTCTCCTCTGCAATGTGCCGGATGCACTACAGTACGACAGGACTGCAGGAATGCTGTCTACTGGCTGACGTCGCCGTTTTATCGCGAGTCGTGACTTGCATGATCCAGTCAGACGCGCATGGGCCAGGAGACTGGATTTGATCGCATAGTCTCTCCCATTGCCGAATCCTGTGCGTCCGCTGCCAATGGCCTGATGTGGGCACGCGAATTGCAAGTGCCGATCTGGCCGCCCCCAGCAATAGTGTTGCTAGTTAATACAGCAAGGGGCACCAGGACAGAGATCATTCTGATATTCATAAAACAATTAATTGTCCTCAGTGAAATTAAAAAAGGGCCTGTCTCCATTCTCCGCTGAAAACTCCCGCATGCGCCGGTCAGCTGACTCTGAATTTCCACGTCACGTGTTACCTCTGCCTGTTTTTGTCCATCGGCCTCAATCCGCATCGATGATCGATCTCTGGTACGGAGTAAGCATCGTCAAAGTATAATAAAGATAGGGATACCCTGAACTCAAAGGGGCGTTCATCCAATCTTCCGGGCAGCCTATCCGACGTTAGACGTGAGACCCAAACTGGACCATCGGACATCAATCTATGAGAGCAACCCCCGAAAAATCAATAAAGTTGTTGTTGATTATTATTCTGTCTACGCCGAATACGACGGTTCATATCGCCATCCTTGTCAATGCGTTCTGTTAAGCCAACCATGCTGCGTTGAAAGGCAGTAGATTGTGCGGTCTGGAGAATGTCCGCCAAGATACGACCATCACCGCCGATCGACTCGCCTGGCCAATTTTATGCACGTCGATCACTCATCGCCGTCTCCCTTATATCAAGTTGGTCCCTGATGATGCTAACGGACCCGCTTGTTGACGGATAACTTGGTTTGCAACGCTAGATGAGCGCCATGAGGCTGCTACCATCCATGGTTGACAACGCTCGAGGACGCTTTGCGGCTAGTTGACTCTTATCAAGGGAATTTACGGTGTACTCGGGGAGCTTACTCAAAGCGCTAACTAGTCCATTGCCCATGAGACGTCAGCCCGGAGATCACTGTCTTTTGCAGGACTAGGTACGGAGTAGTAGGTATGGTATATAGGAAGTGGGGACGAATTCGCTGTTTTATATCTTTGTCCGCTTTTTAGGCTGCATTACTGCCGGGATGCACGGCATAGGGACTCGGGGCTATAGTATCTGCTGCAAGCTTCTCTTCCTTCCAGCTTCCCCTACCCGGCTAATGCTGGTGCAGGATGATTAGCCGTGGATGGCTTAATTGGCAATATAACTCTGGAGTAACTATTAGCAATTATACATAAGTATGTCAGCATTCTTGGGGTCTATGACACATTGACACTGACAGGCATTGATTCATCACGCCAAGACTCATTAATAGACTAATACTCAGCCTGATAGTACTCTTTACCAGCTTCCTAATAATAATTAACATGTACAATTCGCATTTACGAAGGGGTGGCCGTTTTCGGCAACTCCCCTGTTCCGGTTTAGCGCCCGTCCCGCGGCTGCCCCATGCGGTTTGGCGTCGACCCGGTCGGGTTTAGCCTCTCGCGCTATACCGTACAGGATTCTGCCACCCGTGCCCGCCTTCACCTTGGTCCCTGAACTATATAAGCTGGTCGCTCGACGACCACCTCCTCTCACTTCCGTTACTTCCCTCACGACGCCATCTCTCAGCCCCCCCTGCCATCTCATCACGCGCACACCAGCCTGCTCTGGCCCCCCACCCTTCAGAGATGACCGTTCCCCAACAAGGACCGCTCAGCCTCCGTCTGCCCACCGTCGACCTGCAGCTGTGAAACCGCCGGGCCACCATGGACCGCTTCTGCAGCTCAATTATCTGCTCTTACTGGAGGGCTCAACATGGGCTCCTTGGTCTTCGCAGTGTGACCTGGAAGAACGCCTCGGGGGAGACCCATCAGGCGGCCATCGTCATGTCCAGCTTGTCGATGATGCTTCCCTCTGGGCCATCCAGCCCCGACAATCGCTAGCTCCGCGAACTCGGCGGGATTCTGAACACCAATGGCAAAAATGCCGCGCTGGTGTTGCCTCCCCTCGCTTGCAATCGGACTTAGGGGAATTCCGGCCGTGTACGCCGATCAGCGCCTGGAACTGATCGGTCGTTGGCTGTGCTTTTTTGATTGCCTTGGGCGAACCGACTGATACGTCTGTTTAAGGAGAAATGACGTGGTAACATTAAGGGCGTGTTGGGACGAGCGATCCTATCGTAACCTGGTGTGAAGTCTATTCGTAAAGCACCAGTCTCTGCCAGGCTGACTTTCAAAGGCAACGATGTGACCGGCGAGTCCTATGTTCCTTGATTACGTGGCACCTTCCTCGTTGGAACTCTCACCTACCGATTGGATTGCGCTGATGCTGAACCTGTGACTGTGCGAAGCGCCAAGACACTATAATTTCCACCCTCGATCTGGCTACGATGGATTACGGATCTGAGCAGGATCAGACTAATCAACTTCCGGGCCTACCGAGTTTGCGGACCATGGGAAGTGCTCTATATGTCTGACCTATTTCGTAAAAGGTGTGCTTTCGGGTATAAAAGCCCTTACATCACCCGGAAATCCGAGCGTCGACAGCCGTTGCCTTCCCATCTCTGCCCATTCTTTCTTTCGTCGTCTCGTCTCCTCGTCTTCACTGGAATCTCCCAATACTAGTTCAAACGATGCCCATCAGCCTGGATAACATCAACTTCTGCTACCAATACCCTCCGCCTAAACCGATTACTACCTCTCGTTGGAAGCCGTATCAAGTCCCCCCAACTCCAGCACACCTTCCACATGAAACCTGCCTCCTTCCATCTAAGGCAGGTGTCTCGGCGTCGACCGCCCCTGGTTGGAGCGGTGCTCGAGATGCCTCCCAAGGTCCGAGTATCTCATCGGATGGAAGCACGACGGGGGTCCGCAGTGAATCTGACACCGGGATAGAAGGTATGGCTCCGGAAGAACTCAGTTCGAAGGTGTCAGAGAAGGGTCCAGAGACGCACCAGGCTTGTGACTTCTTCGATAAGACAGCCACTGATATATCCTGGAGCCTGAGCGCCCCTTCAGCACGTGGTATGTGCGATATGCGGTGGATTTGTTTCGAAGCCTTACTAACTTTGAACGCTTCTAAGTTGCCGCGTTAGAGCCGACACAAATCCAGATAAGCGATGGTGATAGCCGCACAACCGTGCATCACGATCCAGTTGCTGTGGAGGATGTCTCGCAAAAGCAGTCGGACGAGCAGTCGTCATTCTCAATGCAACCTCCGACTTCTTCAGACTGTGGACCGGATGAATCTGAGCAGGAAGTTCCAGGTAAGCGTGATTTCCGGAGACAGGTTATATGATCGATTTGCCAAGGACTAGAACTCTGGGCCCGCCTGAAGAGAGTATTGAAGTTTCACAGATTCCACGCCAGAGCAGTGCACGGTCGACGCAACCAATTTGTGACAATCTAAATGCGCGTACCTTTCGGTCACCTTCGATAGGTACCCTGGACGCACACGTTTAACACGGAAAGGGAGCCTCGAACTGAAAATATTGAAGAAAGGACCGTTGGAGAATCTCAGGGCCAGGAAGCCGCAAACTATGGAGCCGAGTATGCTGGGACTAAAGCAGTTTGCACGGAGAGCTTCAGATACGGGACCCTTGGGGCCGAAGACCAAAGCGCAGGTACAGGCGGGAGAGATGATAGGAGCGCTGCTGCCTCCGGTCCCGTTCAAGCCCGGCTTAACAGACCACCTGTCGGACAAAGTTGCCGTGTCTCCTATCATCCGCAGGCGAATATTGGAGGGCCAAAGCAATTGACATCCGTTGTCGAGAACTCACCGCTCCGTCAGCCAGACCGCCAGACAATCATGATGACCGAGAACATTTCATCCCGAACACACTATGATTGTGAAAACTCCACCGACGATTGGGACAGCGAGAACGGTCAAGTAGCGGATGGCCTGATTAAAGGTTACCCGAAATTGACATCCAGACCTATTCACGAACCAAACGAACGCCTGGCGAAGAGATGTAGGCATCTGCCCGTAGTTGAGACAGCGGCAGGATGTACTTCGGCGTTGGCTGGTGACGCCACGAGAGAACATCTAGGTCCACCTCAGAGGCTGCCGGACGGCAGCTTCCCGCCTACCTCTAGTGAAGCGCAGGAGGTCTTTGGTCGAGGAATTTTGCGCATCCAACCCCATGGGCATCGGAATGTATATGTCATCACATTTCTGCCGGATGTTGTTCAACCGGCATCTATGTCATCGACGTCCGAAATCTCGTGCGAAAAGTCGTCCCACTTCACCGGCAATTTACCGGTGAATCCGTCAAATGCCCCAGTGGCTGGCAGTGTGTTAGGTGCACAAACGGACCTTCCTATCGACCCCTTGATCCTCGCCGATGAAGGGCCGTGTGATGAGGAAGGCCTTCGTCGGTCCTTCTCCCTGGGTGACGATCCTAGGCCTTCGGAGACGACATATCCATATCCAGACCCTCCGCCCGTTTTCTCCAGTGCACCTGATCAGCAAGATTCCGTCGTGTTATGGCAGGGCAAAGATGCTCCTTTTATCAGTTCCCCTCATGACCGTCACAGCGTTGTGGCCGGCAATCCTTCCTCCAGCAACCATCTGGGCCCCGCGCACGGTGGTAGACAGTCTAAATCCCTCAAGCGAAAGCCACATCGACTGGATGGACAGCGGCCCAAACGGGCTCGAGACCCTCAAACGTCTACTGCGGAAGGGAATTCGCTTGCGGCGCTTCACACTCACTTCCTGTCTCTACCGCTTGACAAGCGTTTGCAATTCCTTCCTCGGCTGTTGGAAGGTGCCCTGCCACATCACATGCCTATGCCTGATCTGCTGACAACTGGGAACGGAGATGCGCGGTCACCAAGGCGCCTGACTCAACCGTCCGATGGTAGTGAGCCCCATAGGAGCTTCAGAAAGGGCATGCCGTGGTCATTGGAAGAAACAGAGCTCCTACTGCGGCTGAGGAGGGACGAGCAACGGCCTTGGTCGGAGGTGACAATGTTGTTTTCAGACCAGTTTCCAGGCCGGAGCCCTGGTTCTATTCAAATATATTGGAGCACGACCCTCAAGAAGAGAGCATATTTAGATTGCCTCTCCACCTCTTGATGCTTTTTTCACCCTGTATCCGAACCTACATAGTGCGACATATAGTTGTAGAACAATAATTCTGAAGTCATGGATGTTGCCAACCGCTATGCTCTGCGTGGCACGACTGGGTGAACAGCAAGCTGGTGAACAATAGGGACATCGAGTTGTTGCCTCTGCGGGACGAACCAGGGAATCCTGAAGTATTCGTCGACTCCAGGACAGGGAACTTCCCACGGCTCAGGATGACTTCTACAACCGAACTGAAGGACATTTCTAAGTTTTTGTTCTATTCTATGAATCCCTCCGTGCTCGGAAAAGATGCATTAGTCTAAGGATACAAATCACGAGACAAAGGGCAGACTTGGAAAGCTTAGCTGCGAGGGACTACCCAGGGGTCGTTCACGCGACTGTCTGATTTCTTTACCACCACTGAAGTCATAGTGTCCAATGAGCAACCAAATGCTATTCGTATGTGCCCGGTTTAAGATCAATGGAACTTCGGGTTTAGCGTGAAATTTCAAGAATTTATTCTGAGCTGAGGGGTGTGGTCCCTATGTCCCGTCCCTGAAAGGCAAGGATGGAAGAATATTAATCCTTCCGCCTGGCGTAGTTATATCCCTTGACTAAATCAGAACTTCATCTTCTTTATCCGAGGCCTTGGGAAGGTCGGCAACATTCAGACCCAGTGTCTTTCTTTTCACACCTTCGAACGGACATAATACTCTCCCTACGATGGGGGACTCAACACAACAGATCCGTGACCATATTATGCGCCAGATTTCAGAGATTCTGCCTGAATTTCTGCGAAATGTTGATTCAAGCGCGATACGAATACTTGGTGATACCCCGAATAGTATTCTTGATCCTGAAGATTATTTAGGATCTATAAGTCCGTTTGCCTTAAAGGTCCAGGATTGCCTCCATGAGTTTGATGAAGATAATAGGACTTGCTTCGTCGCGGTAAATATTTACCGTGGAAAGCACTCCTACTTCGTGATCGACCTCAATAATACCGCCTATAACTATCAAACTGCTCATCAATGCAAGACGCCAATACCCATCTACGTCCTTCGCCTATCGAAAAGAAATCCCAAGATTTACAGAAAACAAGAACTGGATGAACCAATCGCTGAGGCCCTTAGAGTCATGCACAATGGCCATGGCCAGGACCCTCTACCTTTGTTTGACAATTATTATGACGAGAATATCCAATACCGGAACCCACGCAGCCTCCAGAATTGACCTTCGCGTTTACACTTATGCACCTGTCGATGCGATTGCTATACTTCTTGTTATTATCTGTCATCCCCTAGAGCCAAGATTACCCCATTGGCTTAGGAGATTAGGCAAGAGGTCGGCAAGGGAATGTAGCTAACTACCGACGCCGTCTCGGATATCTGTACCCAAATATGCCAGTACTTTTGGATTCAGCAGTAGTCTATATCACTTCGTATCGAGGCAACGCTGGTCATCCAATCATTCGAGGACTCTTGCAGCCTTTTTGGTTCCTCACTTCGTCGGCCCTCTTTTATTCTCCCCAGGCAACCAAGGTATGACACATTCATCACATCGTTGCGACTCTTCCAGCCACTTGAAGGTAGAGCGGATATGTCTAATTGAAAATCTATATTAGCGCGTTTGGGCCTCAGCCATTATTTATATAAGGACATAACCTTCCTCTTCCTCAGTCCTTCATCCTCACCTTGGTACACTCCACTGTTTTTGTCTTGAGAAATTTCGAACAGCACGAACCTAACAAAGTCTGATTATACTCCTATTAATCAACATTGAATACATACTAATACCGTGACAGATGTGCCGTTGGAAGCAGACGCTTTACCAACTTTGTGGATGCATGAGTATTCCGGAGAAGCTTGGACCTGCGAGGGGTTGTACCGGAGGTTGTGATATCAACACACAAAGTCCCAGGCAGGAAACCACCGTGGATACGAACCCAGGACGATGCCCCATCCATACTCACCAACCGACACCATCGAGCAGCGAAGGGTCCTTTACTTAAAGCGGGTCCATGGGTGCAGGGTACGTTATCATGATTATTTCGAAAGCTTTGACCTCGAAGTTCTAATGTTCCCTTGGTGTAGATGATGAAAGGACCTGCTTGTGGACAATGATACGCTATAACGGTCGTTGTCATATGGTGCGCTTTGTCTGGGCATATTTGTACTCAAGACATTCAAAAGCTACCTCTATCTTCCTGCCCCTTCCTCTCTAGAGGTGTTGGAATGAAGGTGGTGGTAATTGGGGTAGCAATGGAGTACTGGCCGTATAGGCAAGACATTGACACCTTGACACTATCCCTGAGACTTAATGCCGTAGCGGCTGTTGTTTCTACAAAGAAAAAGATTCCTCACTCTAGTCGCGATTGAAATCTGGGAATAATAATTGATATAGCAAGGATATGTAGGTGTAGGGATGAAGATCATGGCTCTACAGCCAACCGGAACTATCGACCAGCTCCGATCGAGGCGGTAAAAATCCCAAGTGTTTCAGTCTCAGCCGGATCAAAGATAATTACTGTAAACCGTGCCTTGTGTTGACTCGAAGGTTCGCGATATGGACATCAAGCCGCCAGCCTCATCTCGACCCCATGGTGGGCAGGGGTGAATTGGGAGTGGAAGCCAAAAGTGAGTCTCCTATTGGCCAGCTTCTCTGTATTAGGGTACTTCAATTGCCGCTGAGTATGTGGCAATGATCACAGTCACTATCTCACGGACCCTGTTGTGACTTTCCGATTTGACCAACAAAAAAGTGCTTTCAATAAATCGATAAAATAGAATATCAACCCAGTCATTCAAGCGACAGTTTATTAGACAGCGTATTGCCGAGATGTCTGACGTGGAGTCGCTGTCTGCCCCGAGATGGAAGTACGACGGCTGAACTCCTGAACCGCTTTGTATTTGGAAAAGTGAAATTAGTCAAGCCACATGAAATTTCTGCTGGGCGAATTGAGCGGGGAAGCCTGCCTAAAGGCGAAAGTGCCGCGATGAATGAAGTTCCAGAGCATGAAGGGCTTATGCATTAGGATAAACCCGTTCTGCGGCGGTGTTGAAGATGGTGGAAAGACTGCTTACCCAGATGGAACAAGCGTCTGGCGAATCATGCATGTTGGTGTCGCGCGTTGGACTAAAACAGTGGAGGTCGAGGTGGGTGGTGGTAGCGGACGAGGTCGTGGTGAGATGTAGAGGTCACGTGTTACCAAATCGCTGCCGAAAAAGGCGTCGTTCGACGCCGAAAATGGCAGCCATTCGGTAAATCCAAATTGTTATGGTGCAAATACGGTTATACCCGTCCGGATGCTCTACGCTCAACAATTATACATGCTGGGATAGGGCATAGAACCCTAGGTACCATCAATGATGCTGTAGAATCCCCGCAAGCCCAGAAATAAACTCAGGTGGGCGGGACTCGAAACTACAGTGGTCGTCGTCAGGCTTATACCCGAGGTTCTTAGGCATATCCATGTGCAATGGATGTCTATGAGAATGGCTTCGATGACGTCCAGGCACTACCGCCTTGCACTCTGCGGATGCTACATTCATTTCAACAGGATCTTCGACGACGTGCATGCATGCCAGCGGGTATGTAGCCCAGATCTCGAGTGGTCTGAGACAAACTAAGCTGTTCCAGGCTGTCACCGTTCTATCTCATTCTGGAGTCTCATATCTGACGCCCCCCATCTGGGTGAACTCGCGACTTGACTTTTCCGTTCGATACTACCTGATCTATGTCATAGTAGCAGTATCTGTCCATCTGACAATGCATTTCATTCCCCTCATCCAAGATCTTTGTCTGAGCGCGCCCTGCTGACGGCTGCTTTCCCCGCCCGATAACCCGCATGCACAGGCTTGGGAGCCAACAGACAGTAGAGATCCCATCCATAGCTGGGGGATCGACCAGACCAGCCGTTTTTAAGTGGCGCTATGCAATTGACGTGCCGTGTTTACCACATGCGCGGATCGTCATTCCTCGGGCTGTCGCGTCGTCGGGCAAAGTCTTTTATTTATTAAGACCATTACCCCAGACTGGTTCTCCAGACTGGGGTCAGTCTACCGCTACTCTTGGTTTGCAAGTGTATCTCCGGAACTGACAAAAGGCATCCAAGATGTTTCACAGTACATTGCGAAAAGCGCTTCTTGCGTTTCCTCTCCTTGCTCTAGGGCATGCTATACCCTTGAATCTGTAAGTGAGGTTGCAGTGTACCTCACGTAACGCTCAGCAGCTCACAATTCCTGCTAGACGCTTGGAATCTCGAGATCTTACATTTGACTACAACAACCAAAAGGTTCGCGGTGTCAACCTTGGCGGCTGGTTCGTTCTTGAACCATGGATTACGCCTTCTATCTTTGACTCGGCTGGAGACTCCGCCGTAGACGAGTATACCCTCAGCGCCAACCTTGGTGGCTCGGCACAATCTGTGCTGTCGAATCACTGGAACACTTTCATCACCGAGGATGATTTCTACAAGATCGCTCAGGCAGGTTTGAACCACGTCAGAATCCCTGTTGGTTACTGGGCTGTCACTCCGCTATCTGGAGAGCCATACGTCCAGGGTCAGTTAGAGGTTCTTGATAAAGCGATCAATTGGGCGCGGAATGCCGGTATCAAGGTTCTGGTTGACTTACATGGAGGTAGGTATGCCACTGCAGGAACTAGAATGAACTAATGCTTTTCTTGGCCTCTGGGAGAAATCTTGGTGCTAATGATGTATATATATGTAAACATCAGCTCCTGGGTCTCAGAATGGATTCGACAACAGCGGACGCAGAGGGTCCATTAACTGGCAGCAGGGAGATACCGTCCAGCAGACGCGCGAAGCGATTTACAGCCTGGCACAACGATACGCACCACACACCGACGTGGTAGCCGCGATCGAGGCAATCAACGAGCCCTTCACGCCCGGCGGAATAAATCTCGACGAATTGAAACAGTACTACTATGACGTCTGGGGTGAAGTCCGAGAAGTGAGCAACGACACAACCGTCGTCCTACACGACGGCTTCCAACCCGTTGACTCCTGGAACGGCTTCATGAACGTAGCATCCGGCAAATGGTACGTGATGATGGATACTCACCACTACGAGGTCTTCGAAAACGACCTCCTCGCCCAAGACATCAACGGGCATGTCTCCACTGCCTGCCAATTTGGGTCCCAGCACCTCCAGAACGTAGACAAGTGGACCGTTGTCGGTGAATGGAGCGGCGCTGTTACCGATTGTGCCAAATACCTCAATGGCAAGGGGATCGGGGCTCGTTACGACGGCACGTACGAGGGAAGCTCGTATATCGGCGATTGTGCTGGGAAGGCAACGGGGTCGGTGGACGGTCTCTCGGATGTAGAGAAGGCGGATACCCGTCGTTTCATTGAGGCGCAGTTGGATGCATATGAGAGGGTGACGGGCTGGCTGTTCTGGACTTGGAAGACTGAGGGCGCTCCCGGGTGGGACTTGCAGGAGCTTATTGACAGAGGCATTTTTCCTCAGCCTGTAACGTCGAGACAGTATCCAAACCAATGCGGTTGATGAGGACAAGTATGAATAGTATGCTACTGAGATGACAAGTAGTTACAGCGCAGGCATAGATTGTAGCTACCTAGGTAGATAGGAGACCCATCAGGTCTACTACTATCATGTGACACTATCGCAACAAGACCAACGAAAATAACATCCGTAGTGAGGCAAAAGAAAAGAGAGTAAGAAAGAAAACAGCAAAAAGAAAAAAGAAAGACATGCATGGCCCGAACCGCGATTTGAACGCGGGACCTCCTCGAGATAGAGTTATTACACATTACGAAAGTAACATGACCCCGAACGAGGAATCATACCACTAGACCATCCGGGCAAACTTTAAAATTAAGATCCTTAATTTTAATTACTTAATACGGAGAAAATTGAGGCCTCGGAATCGATGACAGCTACTGAATCAGGTTTTAACTGTCAAAGTTTTGACATTCAATTTTAACCCCATTTCATAGACCGCCTGAAATAATTATAATCTCACTCCGACTCCTCACCCCTAAAGAATACAGTCGGCCCTAACTTGACTCAATCAATCCTCTTTTGTCTCAACTCCCGAGTATTCAAACTACGGTCATCACCAGGACGCTGCTCAGATGCAATCCGTATCTTGTCCTCTGGACCACCACCTCCTTCGAAATCCTTCGCGTGCGACATTCTAAATAGAGAAGATAGAGTAAGTACCAGACGTATTTCTGGAAAATAGAGCTTGGAAGTGATGGTGAAGAGTACTCACCTCCCACGATCATCACGTACTCCACCCTCGTCTTCCGGGATGGGTTTCCGGTTGCTCCCCGTTGCGGCAGCAGCTTCTCGACCGTACCGGATACTGCCGCCTTGGGGGAATTTGTTTTCTGCTCTTTGATCGACGCCGGATTCGAGGGCTATGATAGATTATTAGTATATATATCTCAATCAAAGTAAAGTATCGGTGGGGAGCTTGGGTAGTTCAGGTGATCATAGGAACAAACAAATAAGCAAAGAGACAGACGTACTCGAGTCACTCTGCGTTCCTGGCCTTTGTTTAGCTCTGTAGCTATTTAGGTCCTGCTGGGCGCGAGCGGCCAGGCCAAGATTTTCGTCATATTCGGTCATTTTGAATATATTAAAGAGTGTCCAGAGACGTTGTGGTGGCTATACTGTTTTGTATATGAAAGAGGACTGAAGCAGTACTATACAAAGCATGAGGCAGTCTACACTGCAAGATAGTAGTCTTAAATGTAGGACCCTCGTCCATGAACCCTACCCTACATCAGGGACAGCTTTGCGTTTGCATCATGCTACATCATCTGTATGTCACAGCTCAAGAGCCATCATACCCAACAAGGACGCAGATTTGAAGGGGATCAAAGTGGAGAAGGATCCCAGAACACTAAGAACCACAGTAGAGTATTCATGCTATTGGGATATGGTCCCACATACTCTGGAGAAGTGATCATCATGTATGGGGGCATTCGAACTACCATCTAGACCACATGTCTCCAACAATGACAATGACCTCATTGTTGCAGAATCCAATGATTGCAAAGCCCTAAGCAATGCTAGGGTCCTGCCCTAGGGTAGAGTTGGGAAGGAATAACATTCTTCCCCGCCTGCCGTTCGCAGTTATCTGCGCGGACCAGCTTTCTGAAGTAGTCTCGTTTGCAGTCGGGCTTCCCTGATTTCCCTCAGAACACCCTGTGCCAGGTCCAATATCTATGCTGGGTTGGATTGGACTGGATATGCTATTTGGTACTGCATGGCACCTTCTTGTTCGTTCCCTTTAACCCAACGCGCGCGTCATCAAAGTTCTATGGAAATCAGTATCAGTCAATCAGTACTCTATAATTGAACTTTATTGACGGGAGAAAGATCGACTGCTTTATTCCGATATTATCAGTATCTGCCATCAAAGCAGATCAATATGGCTCACGTCGTTGAGCTTCCTGCAGAGGCCAATCCTCTGACCCTGCAAAACGTCCTCAATGCTTTGTTGTTGGCTGCTAGTTCGACAACGCAGCAGGTACAGACGGGGTCCAAGCAGCTTGTGAATTGGGAGAAGAAAGAGCTCTATCATTCCTTGCTTCAGGTAGTCTCCTGCCCATTTTTTTTCTCTTTTCACTTATTTTTCTTGACAGGTCACTAATTTTTCTAGGACGTTTTTCTAGATTATTCCGTGCCCGTAGAGATCAGATACCTCGCGATTATCCAGTTAAAGAACGGGATCGATAAATACTGGCGGAAGACGGCTACGAAGTGCGTACTGTTATGCGGCCTACTTTAAAATATGAATCCTATGCTTGAACTACGGAAAACTAATGGAAGGGAACAAGTGCTATTAAGAAAGATGAAAAGGAACGGATAAAGTCCAGGGCCCTGCAGGCTGGTATTGTCGAGCCGGCACCGCTTCTGGCACTGCACAATGCATTGATGATTTCTAAGATTATGCGTTATGAGTTTCCTCATGATTGGTATGTTATTTTCTGCTGGTTGCAAAGTCTTTGGGCACTCAGATCAAGCTCTGACATCTTCTCTACAAAGGCCCGATGCTATTACCTCTCTCATTTCTTCGCTCCGCGCCTCTGTTCAGCCCGATGCCAATCCGATTCAATTACCACGGACCCTCCTCATTTTCTTACAGATAATCAAAGAGCTGTCCACCGCCCGCTTGCAGAGAACACGGCATAGCCTCATGTCTGTTTCTCCTGAAATATTCCATTTGCTGGCGAGTATATACGTTGAAAAAGTAAATTACTGGGGTGTGCTTTTGGAACAAGGAAGTGCAGGAGAGGCAGCGCCACTGCAGGTCATGGAACAAAGCTTAATTTGTCTGAAAGTTCTTCGACGTCTTATCATATCCGGCTTCGAACACCCCAACCGCGAGGAACAGGCCAGACAGTTCTGGCTACTCACGCACTCTCACTTCAGTAAATTCTTCTCTTTTGTGGATGGCTGTGGCACCTTGTCACCCGAAATCTCGAAACTGATCGAGAAGCACCTTCTGCAGCTATCTAAACTTCACGTTGATATGGCTACATCTCATCCCGCCGACTTCGCTCTGCTCCCAGACAGCTTTCTTCTTGTAAAGTCATACTGGACGCTGGTGGTTAAGCTTGGGGAGACGTATGACAAGCTAGGAGATGATGGCGATTCAGACGGGAAGTTTCTGATGGAGAGATGTGGACTTAGAGCTCTCCTTTTGATTAGGGCATGCGCGAAGATGGCTTTTAATCCCGCACAAACATTCAAGTACCAAACTCCCCAGGACAAGGAAGAGAAGAGGCAGTCCATTGAGCTTGTCAAGTTGCAGCTGTTCACGCCCGACTTTGTCGTCAATGTCATGGAGCTTCTAGTCACAAAGTTCTTCAAGTTCAGGCAAAACGATTTCCAAGAATGGGAAGAGGACCCAGAAGAGTGGGAAAAGCGAGAAGAGGAGGTTTCTGACGCCTGGGAATTCTCCATTCGATACTGCTCGGAAAAGCTCTTCCTAGATCTTGTCATTCATTTCAAAGACCTGCTTATTCCCAGGCTGCTGAACGTATTCTATTCTTTCGCAAGTAAGTTCTACCTACCCCGCTTTAGCTCCTGCGGATTCTGATGGGATTTTTATCGATAGCACCGGAGAATCACGATGTTCTTTTGAAAGACTCTTTGTACTCAGCAATTGGGCTGGCCGCCGCAAGCCTAGAGCAGCACTTGGACTTCAATGCTTTCTTGCAATCAACGCTCGTGGCGGAAGTTCAGATTCAGGAACATGGTTATAATGTCCTGAGGAGGAGGATCGCTATTTTACTTGGCCAGTGGGTTCCAGTCAAGCCGGGCGAGCTTGACAGGGACGCCATTTATCAGATCTTCCAGCATCTACTCAACAACCAGGATTCTTTGAACGATCTTGTCGTTCGGCTTACCGCAGGAAGGCAGCTGAGGAATGTGCTTGAACCATTTGAATTTTCTCCCACTGGATTCATGCCGTATGCGCCTGCTATTTTCCAGGGCCTGATGGACCTCATCCAGGTGACTAATCTCCCCGAGACTAAGATGGGCCTACTGGAGACTATTCGAATGGCAGTTGTAAAGATGGAGGATCACGTATGGTTTGCCTTCACCACAGATGTTTGGCTGCAACGCTAACGATTTACAGATTGCACCATTCTCGGACCAGATTCTATCTCTATTGCCCCCCTTATGGGAACAGGCCGGAGAGGAGCATTTGATGAAACAGGCCATCCTCACTTTGCTTTCGGCGCTAATAAACTCGTTGAAACAAGAGTCAGCGAGATATCAGCCGCTTATTCTTCCGCTGATTCGAAGTTCAGTGGAACCAGGCTCTGTACGCCATTCTCACCTTTTTTTGTGTCAAGGCCAATATGAGCTGACCGTGCATTGATATATTTCAGGAGAGCCTCATTTACCTTTTGGACGAAGCATTGGACCTTTGGTCTGCTATTATCACGCAGACTCCGGCACCAGCATCGCCCGATATTCTCTCACTTCTTCCATCTCTGCTCCCTATTTTCGAAGATGCGACAGACAATGTTCCTCAGGCAGTGCAGATCGCGGAATCCTACATTCTACTTGCTCCGCAAGAAATCCTCAGTGACCGTATTCGATTTCCCCTACTGACTGCATGCGAGTCTCTTCTACACTCCACAACTCGTCAGAGTCTCGGTATTGTGCCGCGTCTTGTGGAGATGATAATCCGCTGCGCAGAAGTTGTCGATGGTGGAAGCGAAGCCTCGTACGGTGTCATCTCGCAAACACTTCTGGACAGCTCGTTCCTCTCCTCGCTTTTGAAAGGCATCCATTCCGCGCACGAAGCTAGCGAAACAACAGGACCCAATAGGAAAACCAGCCCTGTCTATGGAGTAGTCGAGACGGATTACCTCTCCGTGCTCGCGCGGCTGGCATTTGGCAACCCCCGGATTTTCATATCAGCAGTCTCCGCCGCGACGGGCACATCTGATGAGCAGGCCCTCAGCTGGATCCTAAAGGAGTGGTTTTTCCACTACGACAATATCGGCAGCGCCACGCAGAAGAAGCTCCACGCCCTTGCACTCACGCAACTACTTGCACTCAACGCACCGGATCTTCCTCCACCAGAGTACATTCTCAAGCATCTTCAATCATACCTGACCGTGTGGACGGACATTATCACCGAACTCGCAGACGGTGATGATGGGGAAGATCCTAATAGCGGCAAGGACTACCTTGTATACTGGAATGATAAGAAACAAGGTTCTCAGAATGACGATGATATCGCCGCGTCCTCCTTCGCCGAACCACCAGAGGTCAGGCGTCGACGGAATTGGGACGACTCTGACGTTGTTTATAAGATCAATATTCGAGATCTCATACGAGAGAGATTGCAGTCTCTTATTGTGAGATGTGGTGGGGGACAACAGTTTCAGGAGGACTGGCTGAACCATGTTGACAGGGAGGTTGTCAGTGGATTTGGGGCAATGGGGATTCTTTGAGTATTTGATATGATTAAGTTGGATTGGGCTCTTTGATTTGATATCCAGTAGATCATTAGTTGCAAATGGGAAAGGGAGTTCCAGCTTGCATGAAAATGCATGGATAGTGTCCACACTAATCTATGCAGTGCATTGTTTTACTCATTCTACTCACATTTTCACATTTCTCTGGCTTTCATTCACTGCTGAGCAGTAGTACTCCTCAGACATTAGACAAGTAAATAGATAGAGTGGATAGAAGTAAGCAACCATTTGAACCAAATATTCTATTCAACCAAAGCATCAATTTAGAGATTATCAATAAATATCAGCTGGTACATCGGAGTAACACAGTAACACATTAGAACGGCCCCATGGTCAAGTGAATCACCTATATACAGTGCAGTAGAAACGTATATACCGTCGGACGAAAAAGGGAAGTTTTGGCATATACCAGTCATGAAGGATGAATGGAACTTCGATCGGATCGAGGAAGGCTGGGTTAGGAGGCTAGGCTTGAATTGAATCTAAGCGTGCCAGGAGAGGGGAATGCGTCCCGGTTGCCACCAAGACCACCATGGTTCTAGAAGAAAAAGAATTGAGTTAGTCGAGTCAGTTTTAGCAGATGAGGGAAAACTCTGGGGAAGTGGATGGAACGGTGAGGCTGCTTGTATTCGTTATTGTGTAATTTTGATAAAAACACAAGGGGAAGAAGTGGAAGGGACATCGCGAGTCATTCATTTGACAAGTTCTGGCAGTAAAAACAGAAGAAATAAAAAGAAAGGACATCGCGAGTCGTTTGGTCGTAACTCATGAATGAAGGCATTGGGATGAGAAGATAATTCTCCGACAAAAATTCAAGGAAAAAGGGTGAGTGCGGTGGTTAGGGCAAAGGCGGAGATGGAAAGGGTAATAAGGGGTCCAATTGCGAGGATAACGGATGATGCAGCGGACTTATCTGGGGTAGAACTGTCCAGAGTAGGCGAATGAGTATAACTAGTAGTAGGAGCCGTGTATTTACCTTGGTCCCTGGTTGCGGTAACCTCGGTGTTGTAGTTGTTCTTCGCGTCATAGGGGAAGGGGCTGGTGTAGTTGTAGGTTGGCTGACGGCCAGCGTAGGTCTTCCGGACGGTTTCAAGGATGCCGAAACCAGCAGAGCAGCTGCCTTCTGTCAATGGGACGGGCCAGACGGGAGAGTACTTGCTGTAGGTGTTGTCAGACAGCGGGCCGGGATAGGTTTCATTGAGACGAAGATTGGTAATGTCGACTTCGTAGTTCACGTAGCCGGTCCTGTTGGCGACAATCTCGAAGATGTTGGCACCACAGTCCCAGCGGCCCAGGGAGGGAAGACCCCAGTTTGCAGAGACGGTAGCAATGGTAGAGTAGTGGGTGTAGAATGTGTCATCAGTGGTACCCTTAAGATGATCCGGGATAGCACCACCAAGGAGAACACTGAAAAGACGGTTAGTCTTGCCATAAGTGTGATCCTCATCAAAGGTCAACAAGACGAGGGTGTTCGCCATGAAGTATGGGTTGTTGAGCAGTTTTCCAATCCAGCCACGCTCCCACTTAGCAGCGAAGGTGATGTCAGTGTCGTGGGCATCGTTGGTCATGTTAGGAGTGATGAAAGCCCACTGGGGGAGCCTGAAGTGCTTCAGATCATTGTCGAAGCTGGTAAAGTTCTTGATCTGCCTCAGGCGGGTGGGATTATTTGTAACAGTGTCATAGAGAACCAGGGGATTGTGCTTGCGCACATAATCGTTGGCAAAGGTCTCCTGGTTGGAATAGTTGAAGCCCTGGAAGCCAGGGTAAGGCAGGTGTTCCTGATACTCGCTCCAAGAGATGCCCCTGGTGTCCAGCAGATCCACCACGGTTGACACGTTGGACGGGATTTGATGGAAATCATCATTGTCCATGCCAAAAGTATCTCCTCCAGCTGCGGCGCAGTAGTTTGGTTCGGATGGATGGGTAACTCCGTAGTAGTTCGTTAGAAGAATACCCTGAGAGGCCAGCCACTGCTGATTCTCATCTGCGGCAGCGTCTTCGTAGTCCTGGGAGATACCTGATTAGTATGAAGAAGCACAGCGTACGAGTAAGACAGGCAAGACATACAATATTCTCCAACCACACCTGGTAGAAACGGTCGAAAGCCCGACCAGGGACGAAGGAAACAGGAGAATAGGGCTGGATAGTCGCAGCAGCCTCCCTAATCTCAGCCAAGGAAGGCTCAGACTCGTGAGCCGTCTGAGCAGAAGCCCAAGCCACGGAGGCCAGGAGGAGGGCAACGGAGGACTTCATGCTGATATGGAGCTCAGCTGGATCCAATTCGACTCAATTGATGCAAGCCTGATTTGACAGAGAGAAGAGGATGAAGAAGAAATAGAAAATGCAGGCAGGAGAGCTAGGAGAGGCAGGCTTATATGCAGGAGAATGGGGCGCCATGGGAAGCAGTGAGGGCAGACATGGCATGCAAGGCGCCAAGACACGCCAAGACCTGCCAGGGTTGCAGTGGAGATGCAGCGAATACAGCGGAAGGTGTTTCCATAGGGGTTCCATAGATCTTGCTAGGAAACTACTAGGAATGGCAATGGACAAACAATGAGATCTGATGCACGCTGCGTAGTGCCGGCCTCTCATTGGCTGTCTGGTCGAAAGCTTAAAATGTTCCGATGAGGCACGTGCCGCAGCCACTGGCCACCAGGAACCCTGCTACTAGCCAATCAGTGGTCGCTGATTACCCACGGAGCAACCCGAAAGCTTGTCGTGTTTTTCTGGAAATGCTAGATCAATCCTGCAAATAGTGCAAACATACAAAAAACGCAAACATTCACGTGACACCGTTGGCCATGATCACGTGCAATATAACCTCGGCATTCAGTCATCTCTACGGAGTACAGACACCCTGACGCCATCTCCTCTTCCTCCTTCTACTACCACTACTATACTACTATCACTGCGTCTACACCATGATGCCACCATGAGCTCGACAAATTTCGCCGCTGCTCAGGAGCGTGTTCTGGAGCGACGCCGTCTCCGCGATGCTGAAGCTTACTCCAGGTTTGCGGGTCAGAAGCGATCACCCTACAATAGCTCAGCCACCTTCCAGAGACTCCCCTATCCCGTGAAACGTCTGACCGGTTCTGGACAAGTGCTGTGGGATTCAGTCAAGAGTCGCGAAGGGACCCGACCCGCCTTCCGTGTTGGCCAGGTCGATGCGGAATTACTGGATGAGGAGCTCTTGCACTTGCTTAAGGGACAAGTTGGCGAGGCGTTGAAATATTTCGGGGTAAGCCCGGCACCTGGGAGCTTTCAATATAAGCGCACTAACACTCGTGTCTCTTTCGTCCCTTTAGCCTCAAGCGCGTGAAGACTGGTCTCATGAGATCCAGCTGGCACTGCGCGCGATTCTTTTTAAACTTTCCATATGGGACCACAATGCCTCCTACGGTGCAGCCCTGCAGAATCTGAGGTACACAGATAGCCGCAGCAAGGGACCTGTCTACTCTCCACCTACCAAATGGCAAAAGTCACTTTATGGGTTAATTACCGTCGGCGGTCGATACGTCTGGGATAAATGGGAGAGCTGGCTGATTAGCCAAGAAAGTGGCTATGAAGAGGTAAAGTGAAATATACTTGGCCAATTATCTTATAAGATATTAATTAGTATGTTTACTGGTTGCAGCCCTCGCAGGATGTACGGGTCATGGCATGGATGACGGATATGGTTTCGTCGGCGCACTCGATTGCAGCCTTTATCTCCTTTCTGGTCTTCCTGGTGAATGGCCGGTATCGAACGCTAATCGACCGCATCCTCCGCATCCGTCTCACTCCTCCAACTTCCCAGGCGAGTCGCGAGGTCTCTTTTGAATATCTCAATCGCCAACTCGTTTGGCACGCATTCACCGAATTTCTCCTCTTCCTCCTTCCCCTTGTTGGCATCAGCCGTTGGCGGAGATGGCTGTCTAGAGCGTGGCGCAAGACGGTTTCCGCTCTCAAACCCAGTGATGAAGACGAGGTCGATGCGCGGGCAGAGAAACAGGGGGAACTGGCTTTCCTCCCTGAGCGCACCTGTGCGATATGCTACCAGGAACAGAACCCTGCTTCTTTCACCGAGAAGGAAGTCATGGCCACCTCCGCGTCGGGAGGCATAGTCGGTTCCGCTCAGACGGACATCACAAACCCTTATGAGACGATTCCTTGCGGCTGTGTTTACTGTTTTGTCTGTATTGTGCAGAAGCTGGAAGGGGAGGAGGGTGAAGGTTGGGTCTGTCTCCGTTGCGGCGAGCTCGTCACCAAGTGCAAGCCGTGGGACGGTGACGTACTGGAAGATACTCGCATGTCGTCAAATACGGGCAAGGTTGTCGGGTTTGCCGTCGACGAAGAGCATGCTGCGGATGCAGATACGGCTGAACCTGAAAAGACATCGGATACTGCAGCGGAAAGCCCTAGTCCGCTGGAGGAAATCACCAAAGACGAATCTCTATACCACTCGAGTGAGTGGTCTAACATGCAGAGGGAATCAGACGATGAATCTGGTTGATACGGTACCTTCGAGCATCTCCGACCGTTTTAAACCATTCATTAATGATACCCATGTAGTTTTTCTTCTTGTGAACGCCGCGATCCATGTATAGTACAACAATCACGTATTATTATGCAGCTCTTAGGGCAGACTTAGATTCGAAATGTCCCAGGCGAACCAACATCCATAACATCAATCCAAAGAACCGACGAACTAAACCACAAAAGCCGCATAGAACCCCAGAATAGAACCAACAAGCGGCCCCAAAGCCCTCACATAATTCATCCTCCCCCAAGTCTTCAACAACCGCACTAAATCACCCTCAGGAACAGGCTTTTCACTGCCCTCCGCATATCCCGCAATGGCCCGATTAACCCGCGACATAACTGCAAGGGTATATGGCACAATCCCCATCGTGGACCAGATAGCAGGAAGGTAGTACCAAGTCGCCTTGGTGTCGACGCGGGCTAGATACCCGTACGCCAGGGCGGCGGAGAGCGCAATGCTCGGCATGACCTTTTTGCCCTTGTTGTAGAGTTGGAGCCATTGTTTTGCGATGAGTTTGGGGGATGCTGCCGTGGCTGTTTTTGTTGTTGCTTGCGAGGTGATTTCGGGGCCGAGGGGGAGGAGAAGGTTGGGGATTGAGAAGGTGGATATGGCGAAGATTCCGCCTGTTCATGGATAATTGTTAGCATGTTCCTCCCTTGATGGTAAACTAGGTGATGTGTACATACCCGCTGCAAAGGCAGAGCTTATTATCCCCACTGCTTGGGCGATTCTGATTCCATTGCCGGTGTCGAGGGACATGATGCTGTTGAAGTTATACTGCGACCACGTTATCCGTGTAGTAACTGGTGTAAAAGGATTGAGAAGCAGCATCCATGATCTTCCATGGCAGGTATTTGTATTTCCTGGAAGGCTTCAGCATTATGTCATGGCTGTTTCTCTCGGGTTTTGGACAAGGTCCGTCTCGGCCGTTCGCTGGGCGAATGTCCGACGGACAAACAGAGCAAACCACTTTCCTAGGGCTTGGGTTAGGGCTGATAGGGTCTTCTACTACCTACCTAGGTGCTATCGCAATCCTTCTTTATACACTCTACGTCTACACATCTATCTCCTACATAGCAGAGAGTACTAGTGTCTCCGGACCAAGGGTATCGCACTGTCATACTAGTGATACTATTGAACCCGCAGTTTCCCCGCAGTGGATTGACCGAGGAATGGAGCAACTCCGATGTCTTCGTATAAAATCTGGACTTTATGACTGCGAGTACTCTCTTCCATTGCACCCTCTTCATCCCGGAAAACCCCCACCATGGCATCATCTAATACAGAAGCAACTCAATATACCTCTTCCACCCCTTCGACAGAAGCCAAGTACATCAATTTTCCATCGCTCCACCTGACGCGAAACATGAGGATGGTTCGCCCGCTTTAAACAGATACTCTGCCACTCTGACGAGGGGCCATGACTTTCCCGGCTCTCAGGTTATTTAATACCTGTCATGCTATGACGGTCTTCTTTTGCTAATTCGCACTAGGCAATGCCCTTTGCTGCAGGAATACCGGATCGGGATACCCTGACCAAGAGTCTGCAGGTCGGCATTGCCTCGGTTTGGTGGGAAGGAAATCCATGCAATATGCATTTTCTGGATCTGGGAAAGACAGTGAAAAAGGCTATTGCGGATAGGGGCATGATCGGGTGGCAGTATAATACCATTGGTGTGTCGGATGGGATTACCATGGGTACCGAGGGTATGCGCTGAGGTATCCTGATTTGATTGATCATTGGGAGTTTGACATTGCTAGGAATGCGGTTCTCCCTGCAAACTCGCGAGTTATGCCGATAGTATCGAGACTGTGACCTGCGCCTAGCACCATGATGCTTGCATTGCCATCCCCGGTTGCGATAAGAACATGCCTGGCGTCGTCATGGGCATGGCCAGACATAATAGGCCCTCCATTATGTTCTACGGTGGAACCATCCAAGTTGGATATTCGGAATACCTACGCAAACCGATCAGTGTTGGTAGTTGCTTCGAGGCGGCGGGTGCATATGCGTACCATACTCTTCATCAACCGGATGATGGCGGGGATACTAGCAAGACGAAAGACGAGATCATCGATGAGCTCGAGAGACATGCCTGTCCCGGTGCTGGTGCATGCGGAGGCATGTTCACGGCCAACACCATGGCTTCTGCCATAGAGAGCATGGGTCTGAGTCTTCCAGGTTCGTCATCAACCCCCGCCACATCTCCTTCGAAGATGCGTGAGTGTGTCAAGGCAGCGGAGGTCATCAAAGTGTGCATGGAGAAGGATATCCGGCCGCGGGATCTGCTGACGAAGCGGTCCTTTGAAAACGCGCTCGTGATCACCATGGCCTTGGGAGGAAGCACGAACGGAGTTCTCCATTTCTTGGCCATGGCGAGAACAGCCGAGGTAGATCTGGCTCTGGATGATATCCAGCGAGTCAGCAATAAGATCCCATTCATCGCGAACCTGGCCCCGAGCGGGAAGTACTACATGGCCGATCTGTACGAGATCGGAGGTATTCCATCTGTACAGAAACTCCTCATTGCTGCTGGGTTGCTGGACGGTGATATCCCCACTGTCACAGGGAAGACACTAGCACAGAATGTCGAATCATTTCCATCCCTCCCCCAAGACCAAGCCATCATCCGGCCCCTCAACAACCCAATCAAAGCAACAGGTCACCTTCAGATCCTCCGAGGAAATCTCGCTCCAGGTGGAGCCGTCGCCAAGATAACAGGCAAAGAAGGAACCCGGTTCACAGGCAAAGCACACGTCTTCAACAAGGAGTTCGAAGTCAACGATGCCCTAACCCACAGCCAGATCCCGCGGGACGAGAACCTGGTCATCATCGTCCATTATGAAGGTCCCAAGGGCAGACCAGGAATGCCGGAACAACTCAAAGCGAGCGCCGCCCTAATAGGTGTGAGGCTGACAAATGTCGCCCTCCTAACCGATGGTAGGTACTCTGGTGCTAGCACGGGTTCATCGTGGGCCATATCTTCCCTGAAGCCGCAGTGGGCGGTCCCATAGCTGTGGTCCGAGACGGTGATATGATCACTATCGATGCCGAAAGAAATGAAATCACCATGGACCTCTCGGATGAGGAGATTCAGCGACGATTGCGGGAGTGGAAGCCGCCCACGCTGAATGTCACGCGTGATGTATTGGCTAAATATGCCCGCTTAGTTGGGGATGCGTCTCATGGAGCGGTTACGGATTTGTTTTGGGTATATATATACATATGAAAGTATATGAAGTGAAAAAAAAAGTGAGTTCTTTTTCTTCATGAGATCTTTATCTATATACATAGAATATGCTGCACTCTGTACTCCCGAAGAGATCAAGTCTGCATGGCTTGCACAGTGACAACCCTAATGCCTCTGCGGGAATTCTTTCCCTTAGACCCCAGTTTTATCTTGTCGTTTTCTTGCTGTATTTAGACACACTTCATCTACAGATATCTGATTAATCCCTCTTTCCAGGTATTCCCTGCAGGGTTTTTTGGTGTTTGTCATGCATTCAGCCGAGACGATTACGCGTCTGTGGACATCTGCAGGCAGATCCTTGCTTCCCGGAGGTCTCGTTTGGCTTACAATTAATTACAAGTCTATGAAGATCTATAGCTGGGAGATGAGGATATATGAGGCTGGACCCCCATTTGGCTAGTTGAGAGCATACCGTCCATTGTTTTTCTTTACTTTATATTATATTATATTATATATATATATTTTCCCGAATATCCCTCTCTATATATATTCATGGATGAGACGACGATGAAAAGGAATGAGAAACGGTTCTCTGATCAAACAACCTTACTCGTTTCGTTTATTATCGCTCCTCGCAGCATATTTTATATTCATTTCTATAATTACAGATTACCTTCTTGCACCTTGGGTGACATCCTCAAAAGTTCCCCCGGTGACCAGTTCGCGGAATACACTAAACTGCCGCCTATTGACTCTGAGAGAACACTATAACTGGGACTTCCCAAGCGTGCTGAGGTTCTTATTATTATGTCTCCGAAGAGAGAATGCGAGGAATATTCTTGGAAGACCACGATTTCGTCAGGAGTACATACATGTCCGCTTGAGCTGGGTCCTAAGGAGATGTATATACAAGATGGTCTCGAATTCCGCAGAGACCCAACAGTCTGTATGGAACGACAGCGCACTGCATACTTCACAATATGTTTTGTGCTCCACACGTCCCATATATCTTCTGCACCGTGATGGGACAGCGTCTACATTACGTGGTGTGCTAGAAAGGATCGTAGCGATCGGGGACGGCAAGGATCAAAAAAGACTACATTCAGACCACATTCGTCGTCCTTGAATCGCTCCTCCATTCGTGTTTCTCGGCTTCTTCCGGAAAACCGTAGACAGTGAATGGCGAGAGTCTGCGAAACAGTCGAACTCCCGGTATAAAATTTCTATGATTGGCCTTTTGATGTCCTACTATTCTGTAAGTCTATCGATCTACGCTGTTTGACATCGAGCTGATTACATCTATCAGATTTCAACCTTGAGTCCATCATTTGCGTTCAAGGACTTATTCTACCTAGAGCCCTCAAACGCATGCTATTACCGGTATCAAAATGCACTATAGCTGCCAATATTATCGTCTAAAGGAACACTATTTAACTATTCATCACGTCTACACAGAGACGCCAGGATGAAACCTGTCGAGCATGAGAAGCTCTTCCAACCGAACTGAGACACACTGATGATATAGTCAGATTCCGCACTGCCCTTATGATGGTTGTATCATTGTTGTTGTGCATGTTGAATCCTATAAATGCTATGGCACAAGTGGCCAACAAGTTTGGGTGCAGAAATCAAGGCGACAATTTCGAAACATTTATGTCCAGGGGCCAATGGACCATTATTTAATCGAAGTCAAATTTATATTTATCCCTGGGACGGACTTGCTCATGCTGTTCAATATTTGTTTTGTTTCACTCACAATATAACGTCGACGCACTTCAATGCTTTTACCGACTGAGTGCTTCACAAGCCCAACACTGCCGGGGAAGGGATACGAAGTTCAGTCGAAGTGAAAAGGAGGCAGCAGCGTGATGCTGAGAGAAAATAAGGGTTCCAACGGAGTGCAGGAAGTCTGGGGAGATGTCTCTGTGGATCAAGAACAGAGATGAAAGGGGGTAATCTCCGAAAGTATTATTGTATCGTACTCAGTGAGTTGCATCTTCTTCTAACCCACCATTTATCTACCTAATTGATGAAGTCGAAGTCCATTATTTATCTCCCAAAACGCAAACGGGACCTATATCATCATACTCATGCCATGGCCTTGATATCAATGCCTCGGATGAAGAAAGAAAATGAAGCAAGCAGACCATTTCTACTCCCTATTTTCAGGATGTCGTGAAAGGGCCTGCTAGATACGAAGTTTGTAGGAGAGGGTTGTCATCATCTTCGATGCGGTTTTGAAAACGAAAGATAGGTCGAAGGGATCCAGACAATTTCCTTCTGAACCTGGCTCTTTGCAATGGGCCCTGTTGGCGGTTTAATTGGGTCATGGCCTTTTTTTTATGGACAGATGGCTTTTCATTTACTCCATCCTGTCATGGGGAATGAGGATTGGCAGGTTGCCAAACTATGCCTTCAGTGGTCTACAGTGTATGCCATTCGCCAGAGCTGAATTCATTATCAGATATGATGAAAGCTGGTGCGTTGAAACCCATATTTTTGACGAGGCGTAGCCAGCTTTTAAAGGCTTCAATTGCGTATGTTCAAGATATCATGATACATGCCGTGCTTTATATAGACACATGGATGCATAGGTCGCAGGTCTTCTCATCTGCTATCAAATAAATTTGAAAGTGAGCTTGAGGTTGTTTCTATCAGACATATTTGTTTCGGGAGAAAAGTCAGAGGCCGAGGAAGGGTACCAGCAAAGGGCGGGTGTGATGGAAATAAAAGGTCAAGAGTATTTAAGTCATATGAAATTTTTTTCTTTTACCCTTACTGGAGAACAAAAAAGTAGGGGTTTCATCAAATAACGCCATTCGAGTAATGCATTTGATTGAATTGATATCATCCGATTTTGGCTCCGTTCAGGGAAATGGAAATTGGTGTTATTTCTTTCCCCCCACATCTCAGTTGGCCCTCTCTCTGACATAACTCTCTCACTCTCGCGCTCTCTCTCTCCCTCACTTTTTACCTTGCCGGGGGAGGATGCCCTGCGCATAGCAGCACCCCGTCTGGTCGTCATCATGGAGAAACCCATCACCCCGTCCACTCCCAGCTAATTGTTTGTACCGACTGAAAACCCAAAACCATCATTAAACGGGAAAAAGAGACGCAGAAGAAGAAAATTAATCGAAGAGGGATGAAGAAATAAACAAAACGGGGTAAGAAGCCGTTTTTTTATTTACTCCTCATCCTCTTCCTCCTCTTCCACGGTGGTCTTGGCGATACGGTCAAGATCCCGCTGGCCGCTCTGGGTGATGCGGCGGCCACCCTTGTCCTCATCGGTCTCGAGGACACCAATCTTCTCGAGGGCCTGGACAACCTTGCGGTCGACAGCGCCGGAGGCGTCGACGTGGTGCTGAGGGCGAGAACCGCGGTTCTTGGGGGAACCGTGGACCTTGCGGAGGCGGCCGACACCGACGGTCTTGCGGAGGTAGATGTGACGAGCAACAGCAGCGGCGCGAACGTAGAACCTAATCGCGCATGTTAGATGGTGGTTCGGGAAGAGTCAGAAAGTAGGAGATATCGCACCAGTCAGCGTCCTGGGGAGGGAGCTCGTTGGAGTTGGAGGTCTTGACAGTGTCAACCCAGCCTGTAATTCCAACACGATCAGTTCTCTGTCGATATGAACAAGAGGAAACCGAGTTTCAAAACGAACCTGGAATAGGGAGCTTTCCCTGGCGCTTCAAGAACGCAGAGTAGGCTGCAATGAACTTCTGAGCCTGTAGTCAAGAAAAATTCCCAATCAGTAAATATGTCCCTCTTCAAAGCTCTTCGTCGATTGTGTGCCGCGATCTTCCATATGCTATCCTTGTCTCATGTCCTCTGTAGATTGAATCGAATCGCCTCGGAATCCGATCCCAATCCCAATGTCTCCGTGAACTGCAGAACCGTTGGCTTGATCTCAAGAAACCGAGTGAATTGTGGCCTCTCCGTCCATATCGTAAACATTTCCTCCTTCTCAGCAAGAGATTCCTCAAGTGACAATGACATGAAAGCCATGCACCGCACCAGCCGACGTAATGCGTAACGATTGATCGAATATCCATCCATCCCGTCCAGTCGAACCCATCATCATCTGCACTGCAAACTGAATCCGTGAAATCCATCTCGATAAATATCCCTCGAATATCTCCGCCTCTTATCCATTCCCCCATCGCGACACACACGTCGAGGAAGAAGAACCCAATTATATAAAACGAAGCAAGAAAGAGCAAGTAGCGAAACTTACATCCACATCGCGAACGGTGACACCACCCATGATTGCGACTTTTTTTTTTCTTTTAAAACCTCGTTAACGGGATTAAAAAGAGGGGAAAGCAAGAAGAAGCACGCCGGAGGGACGAGGTGCAAAAAAAGCGGGAATGGGGGCTTGTCGTCGGGTCGTCGAAAGTCGAAATTTCGCAACGCACAATGAACGGGGACGGCCGTCCTGCTCTTTTCGGTGGTCTTGTGGGTGGTGGCTCGCTTAGCCTGTTCGGGACTAGCCGTACCCTAAGCGGTGTTCTGTTGTCGCCTTAGGCAGCAGCCTCTCTTGTCACTGACAATGGAATGCTCTTTAACATTAGGTTTCTCTAAGCCTATTATTACAACTGCATATGGATATCATCAATCGTCGGTTTAACGAATCACAAAATGCCAAATAAACACGAAATGGTACATGCTAAATAATGAAACACCACTCATCTACCCCAACGCCATAATCAATCTATCCGTATACAGAGTACACATCCCTCATAGCGGCGCCTTGAGCCCAACGCAATACCGCACAAACAGGGTATCAATAAAATGCCTATGTCTGATTCCCGGGGATCGCTTCCTCTTAAATTCCTCAAGGGCATCTTGGACACTGAATCCCTTTCGCTCGATGAGATAACACACGATCAGGAAACCAGTCCGGTTGTATCCGTAATGACAATGGACACCAACCAAGGGGCGTAGAAGATTGCTATCGCCCGATCTCTCCATCTTCTCAGTGATATCGTTCTCTATCCGATCCACCAGAGCGATGAAGTCTCTTACTTCATCTTGTGTTGGGGGAATCTTCGATACCGTCGGGTGTTTGAAGTATCGGATCCCATTCTTCTCCAACTGGGCCGGATTGTACACTGGATTCTCGTGGCTGATATCAATGACAGCGTGAATCTTGCCCCTGTACTTCTGTGCAAACAGCACGGGGTTATGCTCCTCGTCCACCTCTCGGAGAACTTTCATAGCCGCAAAGGTGTCTGCGATCGGCTGCGAAACAGGAACGACTTTCTTCCATTTGACTAGGTTCTTGACATCCCACTTTCCAGAGGTGTTCAAATACCGCAACTGCCACCCAAGGTTCAAGCGGATGTCAACATGCTGAAGAAGAAAGTCCTGGATAATTCCTGCCAACGTGTGGTACGTTGCTCGATCGTAGAGAAGGGCATGAGAAGCTGGAGGTGGAAGAATAGCCGTCTTGACGACGCGCCCTCGCTTCTTGTATGTCTTTTCCAAGTTCTTTTCATCCTCCTCAAGCTGACCAGACGAGATATGGAGGGCATCGGCATCCTCAGCTAGAACTCGGTCATGAATGCTAGACGCGTCAGGGATAACGCTACCGCCGCAAACATCCAGTTCTGTGTTAGTCTTTAACTCGCCGAAAAACCCCAGGAGCTTCTGCACTTCCTCCGGTCTTGTGATAGCATCGGCTTCTCCCGCCACAGCCAAGACGGCCGTCTTCACGCCAGCCCAAACATTCTTGCCAGGAATACCCCCGACCGGCTCGGCATTATTGTACACAGGAAGGGTCCCCCAGGCCATCCTTCTCCAGACGGGAGTTTTGCTCTGCTTGTTATAACGGACTTGCAGTTCTCTTGTGTACGGATCTGCATCGGCACCCACAAACCTGGCGACGCTCGCACTATGTGGGCCGCCACGTCGATCCCAATAGCGCCAGATATCAAATATGGGGCCAGGGACGCGGAGGAGACGGCGGAAGAGCGTTGTTTCTCTAGCGGAGGGAGGCGACGCACGAGGGCATACAGCGATAAGACCAAGGATATGCTTTTTCAAATTATCCTCCTTTATTGGTGACGTTGAAGATGCTATCAAAGCTGACAGGGAGCAGCCCAAGCTGTGACCAATCAAGACCACACCCTGGCCTGCCTCCTTATTGCGGTACTTTTCAATGGCTGTCACCAGTAGTTCAGCCAACGCCTCGATGGTATATGCGTCCCAAGAGGTGGGCGCAAAGGAAGATAAACCGCAGCCAGGAAGGTCAATCCCAAAGCACGGCCCGACATTACACAGGCTCGTAAGGACATGTTGAAACTGTGCCAGTGATCCACCCAAGCCATGTACGAACACAAGCAATGGAATGGGAGCTGGCGTCGACGGGAGCTTGTCCATGTGCGGATGAGGGTAGTAAAACGTTCTGATTGACGGATACGTAGCGACTGATGTGCTGTAAGAAACGTACGAGGAATGCTTGCGGAGCAGACCTGGATCTGTACTGAAAGCTGTTAAGAGTGTCAGTGACTACTGAGACATGGCGATACATGATAGGCTCGAAGTGAACGGTACAAACCTTCGTCGGCCAATTCATCACTTTGACGTCTCAGGTTGTCGAACCCCTTCTCGGGGGGTTCTTCATCTGACGCATCGTTCTCATAGGTCTCGTCCTCCGAAGAGGTCACTGTACCCGAGGAAACTGGGGAACGAGAATTGGAGAGGAGGCGACGACGACCACGGTCGAAACGGGAGGGCTGCCTGGAAGGCCGGCGGCGAAAGAGAGGAGATAGTATTCCGCAACCAACCATTGCTGCCAAACAGGTTACCAGTAAAATTGCCTTCCCCCAGCTCACAGTATCATGCCCAGCAGCTCTGTAGGGGAATCCGACAAAGGAGGCGAGGTGTCTGTTATCGGACAATGTAGCACGGATTAGATCGCAGAATCGCGAGGCAGTGTCTGCAGCAGATGACCTCAACCAGCGAGAAGAGGATGAGAGAGAGGAGTAGAGGGAAGCAGATGGCAAGGCATCGTCAGAGACCATTTCGGGGGTTCGCGATGGGAGCAGGGGTAGTTAAATAGGCCGTATCACGGCGAGCGCATCTGATGCGATAGGCAGGATCTCCGCCGCAGAATCGGCTTCCGCTCTCCGTCTCTCTCCAAGTCCCAAGCCAATTGGCACGAGATGGTGCGCAGGATCCTCGTTGGCCGACCCGCGGAAACGCAGGAAATAGGGATGTGTATGCGGCGACGAGGAATCCGCCTGGGAATTGGGAGGGATCAGCCTGGATCTGGGCTGCGAAGGAAGAATGCGGCGACAGCAACGGCGACAATGACGGTCTCTGCTGGGATACCGGACCAATCAGCACGGACAGCCGTGCACGTTGGATATCGTGTGGAATCGGATGTGTTTTATTTTCCCCTTCTTGCGTCGATTCTGCAGGGATCGCGAGACTCTGAAAAATGAGGCTCGGAGAATATGTACACTGTACAGATGCTGTGTCAAAAAATCTTGAGTATCTGGCAATCGAGAGAGGACAAAACTTGATTCGCACAAAAACACCAGAGACAGCTACCGACTAGACTTCTAGGATTGTTGATAGAGCAGGGAAAGACTGTCTTGCTGAGAAACCTGATCCGGCAGACGGACTGTGGTAGCGCGACGTCCGAGAAAATAGATCTATATGGGAGTAGAGTCGGTGCGAAGAGGTCTTGTGAGTAGGAAGCAATTGTTCTATGATCTCTTACTGTGTCGAGTATATGGAATGCGCCACTCAACCCCGCGGTAAATGCAGAAGATGGATGGGATACATTTGCGCGACTGAGTCATCGATTTCTAGGAAAGAGGAATTATTTAATTACCTATGGAGTAGCGGAAAACCTGATGAGCGGAAGAGCTTGGCTTAGCCACAATCATCCCGACCTTGCTTTTAACTTTCTTATGTATCTCTTTCTTCTCCGAGGAGAGAGAACGGAAATTGCCGCAGCTAATAAAAAGAGAGAGAGGAAAAAAAAAAAAAAAAAAAGAAACAGTTCTGGCGAGAGTCGAACTTGTGACTTTGCATTGCATTACATTACATTAATGTCAATGACTAATGTAAGGGTTTGTGAATAATTATGCTGTCTAATGCAGCAGACTTCAGAGTCCAAAGTAGTAATAGGTGACTCCTCAGCTATGTCCTGTCATGGTAGCGTCTTAGACACCTAGTATTAACTCTTCCATCTTTCCTCCTTTTTCCTGTATCCTCCAGAGGTGTGCAACCAGATACAGCGTGGCGCGCCCTGCCTATCCAAGACAAGCCAGCACACGGATTCATCCGTGGAGTGCAAAATCAGCAGATGGAATTACGAGGTGATCGTCACTGACTTGAACAATCATCTCACTTTTTACTATTTAGGTCCTTTACCCCACATTCAATGTGATGATTGTTAATGGAACTGATTGATAAGATCTTAGCGATCACCATTACCTGAAAGATCCCTGCACGAAGTCCGGGTTCGTTCCAGAATACAGAGTCTAGAGTCCAGAATAGGACGAGTGTGCTGCTGAATCCTTAGGTACCTCTCCCGGCCTGAAGATCGGTCAGTGAGCCAATCGGCAAGATGAACGGCATACTGTCTGGAGACCTGGACAGATTGGGTGGTGGCAGGTATCAGACAGGTGACGGTAGGGTTTGCCTCCAGATAGGCAATTAGTCTCGTTACCAGGAAGAAAAACCTTTATACAGTTGTAATGCGGCGGGCTATCCCAGTGAATTCGGGCTGTTGGTCGAATCCCGCTGGGCAGCCCCAGACCCACTAACAGGCCAAGCCGAAGTACGGAGTATATATTATTATTATTAGTATTAGTATTAGGAAGTCTGTGATAATAATAAAATGATGTCCATATAATAACGCATCCTCGCCTCTTTCTTGCGTTCTTTCTTCTGCCCGACACGCACCTTCCATGTCTGCGAACTGCTCTCCAACTTTCAACCTTCCTTTCTCGCGCCAGTTCAACGACATCTGGTTCATGTCAAGGCATCACTAATTACTATCGATCAAAAGAGAGGATATTCATATACCCATATACCTTCTCTACCGCTGTGGAACCAGCTTCAACTGAGTCACAATACAAAGTAAGTATTCTCCCAATGTCTGACCTTCCTTCTGCTCCCTAACCTGTAGACAGTTTATTCCCTCCATATCTCCTCCAAATCACGCAAAATGGCCATCGTCACGCGCACGATTTCCATGCTCAACTTCATCATCACCTCTTCCGCCCTCACCTTCCAAGTCACTGTCTTGTACCCATGGCACAAGCAACTCGACGACAGCTTCGAGGCCCTGAAGAAGGAACACGTCTCCCTGCTACAGAAGCTCGACCGGTTTCGGGCTCACGAGGCCAAGGGAATCAAGGACCAGGTCGGGAATATGATGAAGGAGGAGATGTGAATATGGATGTGCTTTGAATGGATTTGATGCTTTTCTTTTCTAAGTCGGCTCTTTCTTTCTCCTTCTTTCTGTCTCTCTTTCTGTTTTCATTTCATGTCTTTACAAGTATAGAAGCGATGCATAGAACATGTTAATTTCCATTGACCGTGAAAATTTTCCTGCGAAACCCGCGCGTAGTATTCTTCTTTCTTCTTCCAGTTGCCGCTTATAGTTGTACAGTTACTAGAACGGTAATGGTGTGGGTACCTGACCGAGGTTATTCCCGCCATGTGTTGACAGTCTCCACTCTGTCGGCTCCGACTTTGGACCGACCCGATGCTCTTGGCCGATTTTCGCTACTTAGGGCTGTACAGTCTGACTGTAGAGTATCTCTATAAAGGCTTCAAAGTTCAAGGCCATCTATCCTAACAATTTCTCCGTGAGTCCGTATTGTCAACAATTCATTGGACGACCGATGAGTCTGTGCGATAGGATGAATAGACTGTGAACCGGCATCCTGTCAGATGTTTTAGTTATACTCTGCTATTTATGCAGAGCCGGAAAATTGGTCTTGACTGTCTCAACGATGCCTGCGCTATACATTTACATTTAATCGCGCATACTATTACTGAGTGATAATGACATGAATCTGAGATTCCAGTCTCCAAGATAAACATAACAAACACGGACGACTCGCCTCCATTGATAAGATGTCATGAATTATTATTAATAATATATGAAGCCAGACCTCGGATAATACTAGGGCCGTGCCCTAGAAAAGACCCGGAGAAACGTGCGCTCTCCGGATCCGCCCGGCGCGGCGTTCTGGCCAATCGCCGGCCCACGGGTGACAACCGCCTGCTATCTTTGGCATCGGCCGCCGCCTACAACCACCACAACGCTAAGTCCTGAGTCGCGCCTGAGGCCGCGCTGCGACTCTCCTTCCTCCCCTCCCTTCTCTTTTCTCCCCCTCCTCTTCTGCATGGGTGTCTTCTTGATGGTTTGAAGGTAAGAAAGAAGTGATCTATTTCTTCTCTTCGTCTTTTCGACGGACTCCCTCTGCTGCTCAGGCAACTCGTGTGTTGCTCTCTATATCTGTCTACCAACCCCAGCCCTCGCTCGTCGCATAGCCCTATCGGTCGCTCGCCACCGTCTTCTTTCAACTGTTGCCCCACTGTGTGACGTGAGTTCCTCCTCCAGGTCTGCTCTTTCATATGTTTCATCCTAGTCCTGTTGCTTCTCTACGGACTCCTTTTTCGTTATATCCACGTTGGGGACTGGTTGCAGGTCAACTGACTCATCAGATAACAGATCACCGCACGGCCACAATCACCCCAACTCCCAGCAATCATGGCTCCCCAGACTGGCACTTCTAGCATCGCTATGGCTCTTGCCGGCAAGACCGCTTCTGTAGATATCCCCAAGCCTCGTGCTGGCTTTGTTTCTCGGAGAATCCGGCGTCCCTCGCATTCGGGACAGTCTGCGATGCTGCCAACACCCCCTAACTCCATCTCCCCAGTTCTTTCGCCCCAGGCGTTTAAGCAGCACAGCGCCAATCTCGCCATGTCCCCCAACTCGGCCTCCATGGACTCGGATATCGACCTGCGGGAAGCTGATGGCGCTGCTGACGGTCGAGACCAGCCGCACCAGTCTTATCACGACCCAGACAGTGTCGGTGCGATCACGCCTTCCATGCTTGCGAAGTATCATCTGCCGGAGATCTTGCTGCAGCAAGGCCCCCTGGCGATTCGCAATATCATGGGCTGCTTGACAACTTCGGTGCCCGGTTTCGCCATGATCCCACCCGCCAAAGCTCGGAGAGTAGTCGTTGCGGCCCTGGAAGGTCGTGGAAATGGAGCTGAGGACGCCGGCCTCGGCGAGGACGTCATATTTGAGAAAATCGGCTGGGGCCGTTGGGATGCTCGTCGTCGCGGCGAGCCTCTGCGGGATCGTCGGGTGGTGAATGCGACCCCGCCTTCTAGTGTTCCCAGCTCCTTCCAGCATCAGGGCTTAAAGATACCCGTTAACCCTTGGCAGAGAAGGGACAACATAGGTGCTTATGGTACTACCAGTACTGCTGGTGATTCGGCGTTCTTCTCGCATTCTGAAAAGGACTACGGCGGACTGGAGGATATCAGCATGCTTGAACACGAGGCAGACAAGATGTCTCTCGACGGCGATGCGCCCGGCTGCTGTTCCTCTTCGGAGGCACCCGACGACGTGCAGGATGAGGATTGGGATGAAGGTGATATCACAGACGAGGAGGATTGGGCAGCGATCGGAGCTGCAGGACTTAGGGCACGGTCGTTGAACAGTGGAGGTGGTCTTATGCATACCAACTTCGGCCCACACGCAAAACTGCAGCCGAAGCTGCATGGTGGTGGTCCGGCTACCTCTTCGCTGGCTAAGTCCGCGCCGCGCAATATTCCTTTTCAACAAAACGGATTTTCTCTTCCAGACGGCGTCGTTGGTGATATAGAAGAGCGCGCCGCGATCGAGGCGCTTTTACGACTTGGCTCTATGTGATGTACTTGCGTGTTCATCGGCGGGCGTTTTTAGGCAACTTGGTTTTCTTGTTCGCTTCAGACATTCAACATTTTGCGGTCATCTCGGCTGGACCCGGACCGGAACAGGGCGGCGTTCAAGTCCAAGTGTATACCGGTTTATCAGACGTTCTTTTCGTTCATTCGACTGGGTCGAATAACTGGCATTGAAATTTGAGAATTGGGCTTGGTTGGGGTTTTAGAAAGATTCCCCTTATGGCGTTTCGTTTGGCTTGGAATTCAATTACTTGCAGGGAGTCTGTTTAGGCCATAGCGGCCGGCCACGCCTGTGGTATTATTTCGATACCTTTGAATATCCTCCTCTACCTGGGTCATACGGTCTTGTTTATTATGGTCACCCTTCCTCCATGGCCTTGGACTGAGGAAGTTTTGTGCCAGTGACGACTTTTATCTTGCAGGTTTATCTTCTCTTTACTTTTTTTTTTCTTCGGGGAGCATTCATGCTACTGTCTCATGGGCAACGTGAAGGGGTCAGACATCCATTTGGCATTCTCTAACCGGCGATATTTCATGCATGGGAGGACAGTGGTTGGTCGTCTTCAGTGTACAGTACTGGCCGTGTTCTGCAGCTTTTCGTTGTGAGCTCTCGTCTTGCCCCGGTCATCTTAATTGATTGCACTGGGTTTAGTTCTGCCAATATTAATACCCCGGGCTTTCCTATACAGCGTTTCTAGCCTAGAAGATATGAATAGATATATATCGAACCAAGAAAAGCCAGCGACTGGCGTTCGTCTTGCCTATTCTTCGTGACCTCCGTCATATGCCAATTAAGGAGCATGCTTCAAGGGCCCCCCTTGTTCTTGGCTGTACATTGTAAGGTGGGAGATACACGGAGTATGACACTGCGCTCCGTATTTTATATCCAGCATGGTACACTGGATGTGCGAATTATCCCTTGTTCTTTAAGTTCTGTGCACTATTGTTATTATCTCTGTAAAGGGTGACACCAAGATCTTGGCGTCACTGACATCCTGATTTAGCCGGATTTCGATCTCCCTTCGGTCGACGTCTTCCAGCAGTCAACAAACAGACAACTGCCAACGCTGCACCTCATCTCATCTCATTCGCAACGCCTGACTTGTGAACGTGCAGATCCAGTGTGCGGCATTAAACCAATCCAATCATGGTTGCATCAACTAGACATCCATAGATAAGACCCCCGGGGAGGCGTCGGACATGCGAGACGACACTGGACAGAGATAGCGAAGCCAACCCGTCGTATGGCGTGCTGCGTAATAACGCAGCTATCGAAGCCATCGAAGCCATCTCCCGGTGTTAAAAATAACGATGATGATCCTTGAGATGAAGAAATGAAGACTGCTTCGAGAAGGTTCCGTGTGCCATAGCTCTGACTATCCAGATATGTGAAGCAAATCGAAAAGGGAACAGAATGGCGAGAACGATACTATTCAGGTAGACCTGCCAGGATCTGTCTATCTACAACCTACAGTTCGCTAGTGCGCACTGTACAGATCGATATTCAGCGCATCAACTGACTTCTACGCGGCCCTTGGCTGCTCTCTTGGCTGCTACCTCAAGTCCTTGAAGTCGTGTGTCTTGATTCTAGTTTCTCTTGTCCCATTTAGATTTACCTTGGTACCTTTTACCTTTTGCAGGATCAATTTATATTCCCAGGAGGGGGAGGAGAAGATATTATCATTGTCTTTTGTGTGGACATCTTACTCCGCGCTCATGGCACTATAGTTGTGATTCTTTTCTAAAGCAATTTTAACTGGGCAATGTCTTTGTTTTGGATTCTGGAATATTGCTGTTTTGACAGGTATATTCCTCCAGATTGGGTGATTGGCATCGGGGTCATCTTCCTGCGCATATACCATACACCATATATGCGCCCTGTTCCACAGCATAGACCATCATTGCATGGCATCGACGGAAATCCTTCCCTCATAAGTTTACTGCCTTCATTAGGCAATCGTTCTGATAATTCGAAGGGTCGTCTTGGGTTGCATTCCCTTGTGCCTACAAAGGCTCAATTGCAAGGAGGCCTGGTCTTGTACCGACTTGGCATGCCACTACGCTGTATGCTGTTCAAAAGGCCTCCCGTTCTTGGGATTACCCTTGATGGCATGTTCTGGAGGATATGGCCACTCATATGCGCACAAGGCTGGTTTGCTAGGGCTCTCTCCTCTTTGGACGGAGATCTGCGATATTATTTAAAAAGCCCTGCAGCTCCTCCTTCCTCTCCCCCGCTCTCTCTGTTTGAGTTTTCTATCTCGTCCATTCTCTTATACATTTGATGCGTGCCTTTTTTTTTACTTACAAGTATCCCTGTCTATATGCAAGGTTGGATAGCGGTCTCCTGAGGGATAGGTTCCAGGAACACGTCTTGTTGCGACCATGGGTCTCTTGAATCTCAAATCGGATACCGAGAAAACGGGTTCTTCTGAAGAAAGCCATGATGTTTCTGCTGGCCAGTATACGGAGGATAACGAGAATGTCGAGGAGGCGCAGGGTCATGCCCTGAAGAAGGATCTTCAAGGCCGCCATATGCAGATGATTGCCATCGTGAGTTACCGTGGTTATGGCGTTCAAAGCAACACCCGCTAATTATGTTCACTTATCCCAGGGAGGAGCTATTGGCGCCGGTCTGTTCGTCGGCTCAGGCAGTGCATTGTCTTCAGGTGGCCCGGGATCCGTGTTGGTTGGATACCTCATTGTCAGTGTCTTGATTTTCACAACCGTTCTATCTCTGGGAGAGCTGGCTATCATGTATCCTGTGAATGGTGCCTTCTTCGAATACAGTGTCCGGTTCATTGACCCTTCATGGTCAGTATTCTTTCCCATCAATACTTGGACTATATTCATGCGCTCATTCATTACCAGGGGTTTTGCAATGGGATGGATCTACACTATCAGTTGGCTGATTACACTGTGAGCAAATCTGTTATCTCTTAAGAGAACAGACGTGTGCTAACCTGACTAAAAGTCCCTACGAGTTGAGTGCCTCAGCGTTGACTATTGGCTTTTGGCATACTACGGTGAATATCGGCGTGTTTATTACTGTGTTCTTGGTTGTCTTAATAGGCATTCAATTCTTTGGGGTTCGGGGATATGGAGAAGGTTAGAGAACTTTTTTCTTGTCTCAATCGAACAACGAGAATCTAGGTCTGACATCTGGTCTTCTTCTGCCGAAGTGGAGTTCTTGCTTGCGGTGATTAAGATCCTTGCGTGCATCGGGTTGATTATACTCGGTATCATCATCAACTGCGGAGGTGTACCAACTGACAACCGAGGGTATATTGGGGGGAGGTACTGGAGGGATCCAGGAGCCTTTCGACATGGCTTCAAGGGATTCTGCGCTGTTTTTGTGAATGCGGTATGTGAATCTAGTCTCACTTTAGCTTCTCTTTGCTGACAACATCACGAAGATCTTCTCATTCAATGGTACGGAAATGGTCGGTCTCGCAGCTGCAGAGGCTGCCGACCCTCGTAAATCACTCCCGAAAGCCGTCAAGCAGGTATTTTGGCGTATCACCATCTTCTACATCGTCAATCTCCTCATCGTCGGTTTGAACATTCCGAGCGACGACTCACGACTTTTGAATGCCTCCAACGTAAACGTCTCGGCCAGTCCCTTCGTCCTTGCGATCCAAGAAGCCGGCATCCCAGCACTCCCATCCATTATCAACGCAGTCGTCCTCATCTCCGTCATCAGCGTTGCCAATTCATCCGCGTACGGATCCACGCGCACTCTACAGGCCCTGGCCCTAACGGGTCGCGCGCCCCGTTTCTTTGCATACGTAGACAAAAAGGGTCGTCCAATCGCCGCGGTCATCCTCCAGGTCCTCTTCGGATTTCTGGCATACATCAACTGCGATGAGTCCTCGGGAGACAAGGTATTTACCTGGCTCATGGCCCTGGGCACCTTATCCTCCATCTTCGTCTTCACCTCCGTCAATGTGGCTCATTTCCGCTTCCGTCGCGCAATGAAGCTCCAGGGCCGCAGCTTCTCTGAAATCCCCTGGAAGTCACCCGTAGGCACCATTGGTAGCTTTATCGGTTCTTTCCTGGGCTGTTTGTGTCTGGTCGCTGTGTTCTATTCTGCTTTATATGTACGTTCCCTCTTTCTCCTTGTATTACCGCCCAGCATAACAATGGCTAAGTATATTGTCAAACAAACAGCAACCACGCGGCGTCCCCCCCGACGCGGAAACATTCTTCGAAAACTACCTCTCCGCACCGATCGTCATCGCCCTCTTCGTCGGCTGGAAAATCTACAAGCGTGAATGGTCCCTTGGCGTTAATCTGCGCGAGGTGGATCTCGACTATGGCCGGCGGTATACAGGCACGGAACATCTTGAGGAGACTTCGGAGCCGCATCGTCCTATTTGGAAGAGGGTGTTGAATATGGTGTTTTAGTGGGGTGTGGGTGTCCATTCAATAGTTTGCAGATTATATCTCTCTCGTGAGTTTGTTTTGTATCAGAGCAATGTAGGAGTATGCATATAGCTTGGAATTTCTAGATCCCTCGATCACAACCCGGTTCCTGTCGCAGGGAACAACGCATGTACGCCCCCCTTCACACTGGTATTCGCATTTACATCATTGAGTTGGTTGCCAAATGCACGACAAAGGTAACCCCAACCAAACATAAAAACATCTTCCCATGCAGTTCCAGACACCAGAGCCACTGCACCACCCCAATCATCTGCGCCGCCTCCCATGCTTGTAGTGGTCCTTGCTTGACCACTGAAAAGACCTCCCCCACCTGTCTGCCCGCTGCTACTGTCTTGGCGGTGTAAAAATCAGCGTCTCACAGGTGCGCGGTAGAAGACTGACATAGACTAGGATTAACACCATATAGGATGGAAGGAGGCGAAACAGCTGGGCAGAAAGTATGATCCCAGATATCAAGATGTCTGATCTCACAATGTGTGACAGTTGTGCTATTGTGACTTCCTTGTCTGGTGGTAGGGTGAGGCCATTGTTGAGTAGAGCTGGTACATACACACACCATCACCATTCCAGCTGTAGCGTAGGCCAGAGTGGGAAGCATCAAGGCTTTCCCATTGTTGGCAATTGTGGGACTTAGGTACAAAGCACGGCTGATCACATGGTAGGATGGTATGTGCAGTCCAGAAGAAGTGGATCTCAGCAAGCAGGACTGATGCAACAATATATGCAGCTGGACTGGGAAGTAGGATAGTCAATAATTTTACCACCAAGGAGTGCATCACCCAGTAGGTACAGGCAGAACCAATGCCATTCAGGAGAAGACAGAGACCCCCTTTGTGGTAGAGGATGGCACTGGTTTGGAGCAGTTGACGACTGGAAGGAGCTGGCTTCTTGTCCCTAAGCTCAGAAGTATTGGCCTGTTTGTCTCCAGCCTCAAGGATTAAGATAGACATGAAGACATGGCCAATAATATATTGGATCTGTAACTCCATTAGTCTCTGCAGGGAATAGGGATTCTTTGCCAGTTGCATACAAGGAGGTCAAGGATAAGTCTTAGAACAATTGGTACTAATAAGAAAATGTTATTGGTTTGGGCAGGTTCCTTTTGTAAAATCCCATGAGCTCATGCAAGTAGTGGATAATCCCCGGCAGAAAGAATGAAGGTACTGAAGAGTTCGCGAACGAGGGTTACCAACAAATATGCCATCATGTACTGTAGACAGTGAGCATGAGCAGGAAGTCAAAGTTGTTTGCTTTGTTTCAGTTGACAGGCTGGTAAGATGATAGACATTATATTCTCTCTGGATTCAGTAGAGTCCACTAGGGGCTCCATCAACCTATCCCAAAAATCATGCATCTCTGGATGAAGGATCAAGCTATACTGCCAAACTAGTGCCACAGTGAGACCAAGCCCGTTAGCCCTGAGACTATAATGGTTGATCTGCAGATGGGTACACGATAAAACCATGCCTGAATTAGGAAGAAGTGAAAAGCCCCAATATTGTAAGAAAAAAAAGCCGGTCCTCAGTGCGCTACATATGCTGAGTCTGGGTCTTATCCGCGTCAGCGGATAATGCTGGTCTTTTTGGCCCTGGCTGGGGAGCGCAGGCGTCCCAGCTATCACCAATTGACCTAGTGGTAGTTAGTGGAAATAGTTCCACACTGAGATTCTTTTGTGACAGGACAAATTCTGCTCAAATTGCTGTTTCCAACTTCTGAGACATACATACTGGATCACTTAGTCTTCTCCACAGAAATACCTCCACCAAAGAGCGAACTTTGATGGCCTTGAAAATTGACCAAGACCAACATCACATGTTGCAAGCAGCAGGCAAGCACTCAATGGCTTGGGTAAGAGGATTTTGTACTCTCCAGAGCATTATAAATTGAGCCAAATTCTCCCACTGGGCATGCACGACAGAAAGCCATTGTCCAATCAGTCTCCAGCTCAGATCTTCTCAACTCCCCTTTCTCTCTTCTCTTCCCATTTCTGTGTCCCCTCCAACAGCAATGAGAACTTCATCATTTTATCTCCTGGCTGGGATGCTGCTTGGACAGACTGCCTACAGCCAGCAGCTCAGCTATAATGACAGTATCCAAGCGTTGGCCTATGGCAACATTGCCACCTCTGTGGAATCCAGCGGCAATGTTTGGCTCAATATCACTGGTTTCGCCGAGAACGAACTCCCACACATTCAGGTAGATATGGGGATCCATTCCCTGGACAACGCGCGCGAGCTGCAGGTAATCGCGAATCTGGCACAAAGTGCCGCAAGTCAGGCACTCTGAGGAGATCTCGTGTTCCTGTATAACGTCTTCTCAATGAATGCCTACCCCGCGTACGCCAATGTAACGAGCATGCAAATGCAGGCCGGCCTACTGGAGGCAGTGTGCGGCAAGGGCGCTATGGGCAATGTGCCAGACGAGTGCCTGATCGGGCTCTACGCCAGCACGTCGAGCGTCCCAATCCTGGAGGCGGCATACCGCGCTCACCCCGCCCAGTACAATGTCTGCAGCAGCAGCTGGGGGCGTCAGCTGCAAGGACCACAACGTCAGCCTGCAGGGTACCATTGCCAACCAGTGCTTGAATAACCGACCGAACGGATGCTCTCAAGGGAGCCGTATGGTTCTTTTGTGGAACAGGGGAATGAGGGAGTAGGTCGGGCCATGGTGGCAAGTGTGAAGGGTTAAAGTTGATTCAATGTAACTAGGCCAGATACAATCTACCAAAAGCTTAGAGACTCGCGACTTGGGTCGCGCGTGAAAAAGGGCTCTGGCCTGTTACAGTAGGACAGTGGAAGGGGTAGTAAGTTGTTGAGGGTCGAACTCTGTTAAGGTGCAGGTTCAGGAAACAGATTCAGGAGACAAATATCGATTAGTTAGACACACAGGCAGGCTACAAGTCAGGCTATAGTACAGGCAGATAGACAAGACGTAGCTCGAGGAGCTACAACAGGATCAGAACAGAAGTCGGAGATATCTTGTTGGTCAGCTCCTTCTCCTTTGGGCCTAGTTCCCATTAGTCAGCCAGCGAAGCAGGGTTTTCTATTGGTGTAACTTGTGTTGGATCCCTATCTAGGTGCCAGAACCAGCTCTTCTAGGCCATGCGAGGGCGGTCTATCTGGGCAGAACCCACATGACCTCTAGCATTCTATTGGAGGCATGTCAATTAAGAGATGAGGATATGCTAACGTTATTTCGGACAGGTGGATTATCTAATAATACGGTCCCGGGATACGGAGTATATATGTTCCGGGAGGAAAGATGACCATACCCGAGTATCCCGAATCCTGTATATAGAAGCAAGCAAGCGATGAAGCGTATCAATTAGAGCTTCACGATGTACTAGGATGACAGTATATCGGTATAGAGCGTTCACCGCGGTCCCTACGAATCCTACGGTATCCTTTTAGTATTTGATATCCAGACGCCGCACCCCTGATCCACATCATGCTCTACGCTTGGGCTAAGATACATTCATACTAGACACATACATATATGACTATAGACATTCTTTCTCATCAAGAGTATACCATTCCGAATGGAACAAAAACTACGACTTCCAATCCTTAAACGTCCTCAACCACTTCTCCACCGTCCTAATCTCCCACAAATGCGCATTCCGAATAAACTGCGGCTCAGCATCAACATCCAAAATCCCATACGAGTCCCAATGATGACCCGCCCCGCTAATCAAAAGTTCAGGATGCAAATCCGACGACAACCGCGGCGGGGCCTCGTTGGAATGGTAGCATAGATCGAGCCAGACGTCCTGATCGCCGTCGATAAAAGCAAGTCGGTCCGCGCTGAAGTCCAGGTCGCCGAAGTGGTTGTACCACCATAGGTTCGGGCCAGTTGGGGGCACAGAGTTGTATTGGCCCTTGGGGAAGGCCCAGGTGCACCACTGTTGGGTGTAGTCGAGTTGAAGGACGCGGGAGATTAACGAGGGTCCGAATACGGGGGCAACTTGGTAGGCGCCTTGTTCGGTGCAGGTGGAGTAGAGGTAGGAGCGAGTTGCTGTGTTGGTTGTATCGGCCCAGTATGTTTCTATTTGGAAGTGAGTATTGCGACTAGACGTAAGTATTGCGGCTAGAGGAAGAGGCTTCTTACCATTCTGCGTGTTGAAACATTCGCTGTTCCCATAGTCACCGCTGGGACAGTACCCAAGTACAACTTCCTTCACGTAGTTGGCATAGTTACCCAGGTTGGTCCACGGTTCCCCGTTGGTATAGTTGGCCAGTACATAGTCCACTTTGGTGATTTCCTCCGGAGCGTACAGGTTAGTGACGTTGTTGCAGAAGTTCCAGAAATCATCAGATCCAAAGGACGAGTTCCACCCGAGCTCCTGCCAGGTGTTGGTGGGATAGTTCATGGGCCCGCCGAGTGGGAAGGCAATTGTCATGGCAAAGTCCCGGTCATCCGTCAGGCTCTCCAGACCAAAGAGTGACTTGAAGGTATTGATGGCATCGCGCTGGCCCTCCAGTACCAGCGTGTCGAACTTGTCGATGATGTGGTTGATGCTGGCTACGCAGTCTTGCGGCGCATATTTCTGAATCGGCGCGTACCACTCCGGGTAGCCGTGGACAGCGTGGATGACGCCGCTGCTGGCGATGCCGCCAAATAGAATATCGCTATACTGCTTGACCGAGAAGGCTGTCTGTGCACCGGCCAAGCTGCCACCGTACAGAATCCAAGGTGTACCTGGTGCTGTGAGATCGGCATCGACACCGGGGAACACAGCGTGTGTGGCGAAGTAGGCATTATCAGCAATGGTCTGCTCAGTCGTCAGGTAGGCCAGGTTGTCCGTGGTGCTTTCGTCGAAGGGATAGCTCTCTCCGTAGTATCGGTTCTCAAGGATGACGCCAAGACCATTGAACTCCTGCATCAAGATCTGAATAATCCCGGTCTCCAGGTTGGAGAAGCGGCTCGGCCCTGATGTCTCTCCACCGATGTAGAGAAACACGGGTCCTCCGGGCTTGTAGTATGACGAGTCGAAGAAGTACCGCTGCTTGAACGTGGCATTGGTGTGTGGGAGGTACCGATCGCTGTCGGGGAAGTGATCAATGGGTTGATCAATGGTGTGCGCTGGGTACTTGTCATCTTGTCTAGGCTGCAGACGCGACCCTGTTGGGTCGATGGCAAGTGCTGAAGTGCAGGAGACAGCACCGAGAAGCGCTGTAAACAACATAGAAAGTATCATTGCGCCTTACTCAGTAGCGATATCGCTCGCGCATTTGTGAGACAGCAGGGATTCCAGCTGGGGAATTGCTCCCAAATAAAAGGTAACACAAGATCGGACCACCGCGCATGCTGACGCGATTCATAAGCAATCGTTGTGGAAACCAGGAGATGATACAGTAGGATCCTTGCAATATGATTGAGTTCGGAATGGATCTAGCGTTGACGATGTTACATAGCTTCATCTTTATCAGCCTGCGCGCTGCCAGCCCATCCTATTGGCCGCGGTTATGAGCCCCTGCAGATAGCTGCGAAGATGTGATTAATCGGCGCGAGTAATGCTACTTCGATATCACTCAATCGACGGACGTTTCACGGCTCGTGGGCCTCGTTGACTCTCCTCCAGAACTCAGCTTCCAGTTCTACAATCTTCTCACCAGCAGTCCTCATCCAGGACTTGGCAACACTCCAGAATCCCGGTTGCTCCGAATACTCGTCTTCTTGTTCAACCGCGCCTCTCTGATTGTACCCGTATCCATATCCATACCCATAAGCGTCGCCATACTGTTCGTACGTAGGAGGATAATAAGAGTAGGGAGCAGCAGGACCGGGCTCTGTTTCAACCCCAGGTGCAGGCGCAGACGCAAGCCCTTGACTGTATCCACTAGAGAACATTGTAGGAGGCACGGAAGATGCGCCGTAACCCTGTGCCTGACTCGGATTTTGATACTGGCTCTGACTCGAAGGAGTTGGGAAATACTTTCCTGGCTCTGCAGTAACACTTCCGCTTACATTTGCGGCCCCTGCAATGGTGTCAGCAAACCCATCAAGTAATCCATAAACTAAATACGGCGAAGGTAGAATACTGATTAACGTAGTCGCAGTTACTGGACGTTCTTGGACCGGCACAAGTGTGTCTGGACCCGCATGTCTATGCTCATAGGGTTCCGCCTCTGCAGGCGTTGAATCTACTGTTGAATCTTCTGTTATTGCCCCCCGAGAAATACGCTGTCCCCCTGATTGAGGTTGTTCTGGCGCAAGACTATCATTGCCTTGGTCGCCTGCTGGGACGGCTGGAGTCGCATCTAGCGACGCTGGCGATCCTGGAGCTTTTCTGACTTCTGGCAGCGTGACCTGAGAAACTGCCGCCATCGCTGTTAAAGATGGAGTCGGCGATCGTATCGGGGCATCGTTTGAAGTCGACATGGCGATGAAGTGTTGCAGGTTGTGGCGACGCAGACATCACGGAGGGCGAAACTACGGTGATAAGCTGACGCGATATCACGTGTCTGGAGCTTGGCGGAAAACTCAAAAAAAATCCGTGGAAGGCATCTAGTCGTATAAAGACATGAAAATATAATTCAATTTGCGTGCCATAAAGGAAATACAACTCTAGGAAATGAAAAGCTTGCTGGCAGTAAAGTACAACAGGTGTAAAGGGAAAATAGTGACACTCTTGTATGCTTCAAGAAAAATGTGTCCCTCCTTGATGCATACCTCTATCTTTTGATTAGAAACAAAACCTTCCACGGCTACACCTCAACACCCAGCAGTTATGCTAGGCATTATCCAGCCCCCCTTTCCCCGATAAATTTGTTATGGTTGACAAATCTCGCATGGGGCGATTTGTCTATTTGTACTTCTTGCCGAAGAGCAGGAGCTGGACCTGGTCATAGATGGACAGGACACCAGCACCAGCGACACCACGAAGGATGTTAGCACCAGCACCCTTGAAGAGGGACTTGACACCCTCAGCGGCGACAATCTGGCGGGCGCAGTCGAAGGAAGAGGCGTACTTGACGGCCTGTGGTTACGCACATTAGCGCGACGGTCTGGATCGGATTCAGGGAATATTCAAAGAGACACAACATACCTCACCAGAGGTCATCATCATACGACGACGGATGGTGTCAAGAGGATAAGAAGCAATACCAGCACCAGTAGTGACAGTCCAGCCGAGCAAGAAAGAAGCAAGGAAGTTACCCTCAAGAGGACCAACAAGGACGAGAGGCTTGACGGAGTCGTAGACACCGAAGTACAGACCACGGTAGACGACGATACCAAGAACAGAAGGACCGAAACCACGGTAGAGACCGGCAATACCATCGGAAGCAAGGGTCTTCTTGTAGACGTCGACGAGACCGTTGAACTGGCGGTCACCACCGCCCTTGGCAGACTTGGCGTCGTTGGCAAGACGGGTACGAGCGTAGTCGAGAGAGTAGACGAAGAGAAGGGAAGTGGCACCAGCAGCCTTTGCAAGAATTAGCTATTATTTCAAATGGCTCAATAGGAGTTCCGAGAATACATACACCACCGGAGGCGAGGTTACCGAACATCCACTTGGCGTAGCCATCGCGGTCTCTCTTGTAGGCGAACATGGACTTGAAGGTGTCACGGAAGGCGAAGTTCAGGGCCTGGGTGGGGAAGTAACGGATGACGTTGGCAGTGTTACCTCTCCACAGGGAAACAACACCCTCGGAGGCGGCGGTACGCTTGAAGCAGTCAACGATACCGGTGTACTTGCGGTCGAGACGACCGGCCTTGATCATCTCATCCTATAGATGCATTTTGATTAGTCGTTCGGTGCTATAAGCGATACACGCGGATCATCCGGCGAGGGCCGAGAAGGGTGGAAAATTTTTTTCTCTTCGCAAGTGTGAAGAGAGGTAAAAACGTCTTCCAATCGATTGAGGACTGGGCCCTTTGAACGGTTGGATCGACCGGAGTCCGCGTTTTGGCGATCGAAGGGGGAATACCAACCTGGTTCTGGATCAGGAGCTTGACACGCTCAATGGGGGCAGCAGCGGTCTTGGAGACAGCGGCAGAAACACCACCCACTAGATGGTTTCGTCAGTATCATGGAAAACTGATTTCAATCCGCACGATATCGTGATGAACGTATGGACTTGATTGTAGATGAAACGTACTGAGGAAGTCGACAACGAATCCCTGTGAAGACACTTGTCAGTTTTTTTTTTTTTTTTTTTTTTTTTTATGGTAAAAAGCCCGAAAACAAGGACATCATAGAGCGATTCTCGATGCGATATCGATGGATATAGCCATCGGAAAGCATCGCGAAGACCGAGCAAGCGAATTTGAGATGACAGCGTAAGCACAGCAGGGGACAGCTACGTACCGGCATTCCGAAGACGGTCTTGTCCGCCTGGTTAACCTCACCCTTGGCCATCTTGACAAGTGTGATGGAAACAAGCTGAAGAAAGAAAAATGAATGAAAGGAAGAGGGGAGATTCAAACAACTTTTGGTTGAGTGTCAAGGAGAGCTTGGGGACACTTCAAGGGGGATGGAGGAAAGGAGAAAAGAAGAAGAAGAAGAAGAAGGGAGAGGCAGCGGGAGAAAAAGGGAAGAGAAAAAAGGGAAAAAAGAGGAAAAGCGCGGGCGGCGGAGACGCTCCATGGAAGGGGGGCCGTTGGCCGCGCTGATTGGTATGAAAACCTTGCGCCGCCGCTAGTCCTGATCGGGTGGGCGAGTGCCGACATCTCCCGAACTCGCGGCTTTCCATAACACTGTATATTATACTTACTAACATACTACAGAGTAACTATGCTGTTAACCGCGATAGTAATACATAATATTAATTATCAATGTCAATGAATTAATGAGAATGAGAAGAGGGAAGAGAAGATAATAAGTAATAGAACTCCGTATTGCTCCTCTCCGATACATCGGTACGATACCGTACGGTTACCTGGGATACACGGGTCGATCCGACCAGAATAATACCAAACAACTTCATTTCTTCCGACGATCCGGCGACATATCGACCGCAAATCTTTCCCTGCTGCTTGTACGTACGCACTCGGACTGCTCTACAGATTATATCCAATTGTAGCTGTTTCTGTATAATTTCAATGGCAAGTACTTCTTTTGGTCTCTGTCTTCCGTATACTATCAGAACCGCATAAAATAAGACGTATCTCCACCAGACCCGCCAAGTCCCAAATACCCGATCACGTGCCCACTTACCACGGCTGTTCGGGTTATGCTTCTTCAAATTTCACACTGCACAGTCCTCATCCTGGACTGCTTGACGTCCAGCTATTATTATTACATCCTGAACCCATGGAATGCAGATCTCTGGCCGGATTGCCATTGGCTGTCTTGTTCAGAACGAGGCATTTATCGTCCTTCCTGTTGTCCGTGCTATTGCGCCTGTTAAGCTTAATCTCCGTCACTCCCGAGGTCCAATGCTGTACATACACCATCTACGGAGTAGTATATCTAGTATCTACACAGAGTACAGAGAAAATATATCCCTTGATCTCGATAGTCCGGATTATCCCCATCATGGGTCTTGACTCTTGGGTACAGCATTGGCGTCTGAAAATTATATAAAATCCAAGCCAATAAGACACAATAGAAATGGACACAGAAGGGGCGAGAAAGCCTGATTGGTAAAACCTTATATATGAATTCTGGCGCTCGGAGTATTTACAATAGCCCTATTCCTGGCTGTCAGAAGAGTCAAAGCTGTAGACAATATATATCACAGACTTTTTATGCCACCACTTCCATGAGGCTGTTGGATCACGTGGGATTCTGCCTCATAGGTCCGCCCTCGCTGACCCTTTTCACCACGTAGGCCTATCTAGCTAGTAACTGTCAGGGCCCTTGCCATGTAGACCAGGACGAGCACGTGAGTTTCCTTATTTGGATTAGCGTGGTGCGTGGATAGGAATACGTCGTCCAGCTTCACGTAGATCTCTTCCTTTTTCCCTCCTCTCCATGCTTGAAGTTCTCGTCGATAGCTGCCTAGATAGTTGAATAGCATCCCATTCATCGTCTAGTTGAGTTCCGTGACAGTAACCAACTAACGATACACCTCCATTAGGATAGTGGTCAGTCACGTGCCACAATGAGCTGCCCACCACTATTTTGTGCAGGTAGCTTAACCACTTTCAAATTACCCATGGCCGTCAATTTGCCCATGAGAAGAATGACACATAAAAAAGGCTAATAGAGATCAAATATTCCTCGTGTCACGACCTAGCTCCTAGGGTGCATTCTAAGGACTAAACCGCTGCACTACTGGCAAAAGACCTGATACTGCACTCACTTATATAGTACTTGTTTTTCCATGCCGTCACATCAGTGTGACGACCATACCTGAGGTATGACCGTCAGCATATGACCCTGGCACTGGCACGTCTTAGAAGGTGCCAGCAGATTGAGCAAGTAGGGCACAGGGCTAGGGCTGAGGGCAGGCAGCTGCCCTCGCCTCCTATTTCCTCCCCACCATGTCTTTCACCTTTTTTCCTTTCCTTCTTCTTCTCCTCGTGTACGATATTCCTAGACAGTACGGCCAAATAGCGAGTTGCTTCCCTCTTCTCATCCTATTATAGCTGATCGTCACAAAGCACAGCACTCATGCTTTCAGTTGAGAATTTACAGCATGAGGTATCGAGATTCCTTGTCACTCAAGGGGCCTCTTTGAAAGCAAAGAATCATGATGATATACACCACTTCATATAGCCAACATCATGGGTGATAAAGAGATGATTGAGTTGCTGATTGAGAGTGGTGCAGACAGTGAGGTGTGAACTTCAGATAAACCCTTCTCACAAGTGTCTAGCATGGCTTATATTGGAACATGCAATGTTATGCAATTTGGAACTTTCACTTAGGTAGAGAGAGGTATATAGCATTCATCATGAAATTATACTACTATTACTACAGGCAGATAGATGAGACGTAGCTCGAAGAGCTACAACAGGATCAAAACAGAAGTTGAAGATATCTTCTGTTGGAGGCTCCCATGGTCAAGCTCCTTCCTAGTTAACGTTAACTAGTTAAGTTAGTGTGCTGGGGGCACTCCCCTATCTTCTATTTTCCTGTTTTAGATGCTGCTGGGCGGCGACCTCCGGCATACTTATGTATGGTGCAGCCCGTGGCCGAAGGGGCACTTAAGGCGAGCCTCTTCCCTAGATAGTTTCGAGAATTGAGCATACTTTTGGTTTCTAAGTTGCTTCACTAGTATCATCGTCGTTGTGTTTCTTCTTTTGTTATATCGTTTCCTTACTAGATCATTCAGCGCCGCATGGAATAGTGGCATCACTTGGTGTATCCATCCCGAGATCCCTCGATCATAACCCGGTTCCTGTCGTAGGGAACAACGCATGTATGCCCCCCTTTACACCAGTAAATGCTTAACAGCTTCTTTTTAAATGTAGTAATTGTGGTCAAACCGGCCATAACTGCAATTATGTCATTTTAAAGGGGGCGGACGTGCGTTGTTCCCTGCGAAAGGAACCGGGGGATACTGGGTATGAATGTACTGAAACGATGCCGCGATACAACACGGAGCAGGACGACTTAGCAAAGGGAATGAACAAAATAACAAAAGAAAGAATGCAACTATGATGGAGCCTAGCTCCCTATTACTCAACGATGATGATAACGAAACTAGTGAAGCAACTTGAAGACGAAAAGTATGCCTGATTCTGTGAATCTAGGAGGCTCGCCTTAAAGTATCCTTCCGTTGCGGACTCCACTTGACCGGCCAACTTGGTACAGTAGCTCAGGATAAGAAATAGGAAAAAGAAGGGACCTATCTATGGATCCATTGTGCCCCTGTCACATTTGGCTTCACATGTGGCCAAAAACAGCAGCGGAATAGCAAAATGAAATTCTATCGTAGAATAAAAAGCATATATGTATGGCATTAGAAATGCAAACAGTCACATTACAGGTTGTCTATACAAGAACACTTTACAGGCACATCACTAGCAAAGAAAATCAACCATTCAGTGCTTCTTGGACCGCTTTCTCTTCTTCCTCTTCGGCTCTCCTTCCCGGATATCAACCTTGGTCTCAGTCTCATCGCCGCGCTCCGTTGCAGAGCGCTTCTCGCCCCAAGAGAAATCTGGTGCATCCTCTCTTCCAAAGGTGTCTTGGCGCCATTTCCGGAGTCGCGCTTTCTTGCCCAATTTCTTCTGATCGCGCCGTTTCTTCTCAGGGTCACGGAACGATGCCAACTTCTTCAATCCAGCAAACTGGTTGAGCTGTGAATCGTCCGCCATGAGAATGTCCCGCGCCGTGAGACCGAAGCTCTGCGGCGACGTCTCACGGTAGCGGAACTGCGTTGAATTCTTCTTTGTCGCGCCCGGGAGGAGGTGGATGTCAAGGTCAAGGTTGCGATCGACCGCTTCTTCAATGCGAAGTCGTTCTTTGCGAGCCTCACGCTTTTGATCCCTCTTCTCTTGACCCTTGCTCTTCTTCTTCGCCTTGGACCCAGCCGTAGCATCATCACCATCTGCCTCTTCTTCCTTGTCCACTTCATCGTCAGACAGGCTAATCTCGGGCTTCTCCTCCTCATCAAAGTCGGGAACTAAATCCGTGATGTCGATGTCATCGTCCCATTTGGGTTTTTTGGGCCGTTTACGTTTGCCCTCGCCTTCATCACCGCTCTCACCGACCTCTTCTTCTGCATAGTACTCCTCGCCAAAGCGTTTCTGCATCTCCGCTTCCCATTTTTGGTCGTCCCACGCGTCGTCAAGGAATTGAGCCCAGTCCTCGTCCGTGAACGAGGATGCCCGAAGACCAGCAACTTCTTTGATCTGTTTGACTTTATCTTGTAATTCTTCGACCTTCAGTTTACGAAGGCGATTCTTCTCAAGCTCTCGCTGTTTCTTTTCTTCTTCCTTCCTCAAGCGCTCCGCCTCTCTCTGTTTCTTTCTGCTACTCATCTCCTCTCGGCGCACGGAGAATTTGTTGGTGGCGTCACGGGAGTGGGTTACCAGCTTCTCATTGACCTTGTTAGGATCTTCGAAGCGGAAATTGTAAGCCTCCTCAAAAGCTTCTGCCCTCTCCTCTTCCTCCTCGTCATCAGATTCGAAAGGTCGGAGATCACTCCGCTCTGAAATGACCCATGCCCTCGACGACATGAAATTTGAAAGAAAATTTTCAGGATCTTTATCAGCGTTCTCAACATCCAATTTGACGTCGGCCTTTGGTCCTGGGGCCGGTTCTGTCGTAGATTTGCGGATAAGGAACCCATCGTCATCATCCTCATCTTCATCTGCCGCAGCATGCATGGCACTAACAACATTCTTCTTTAGATTCTCCTGTTCCTCGGCGAAAGTCTTAGGAGCTTGCTGGGCATCCTCCTCTGCCGGATCGACACCCTTCAGTAGGTTCTCACGGTGGTAGTCCCGCAAAAACATAGGCTTTTCTTTCTTCTTATCATCCCCTATTTCTGCATCCTCATCGAACTTTGAGTAGAACGTTGTATTTTGGTCGTATACACGGGGGTCTTTGGAGCGGATTGCTTGTAAAGTAGCTTGAATTTCCGCATCAAGTGCTTCAGTAACAAGTTCCCCATTTTCGTCCTCATCCTCATCAGAGGATGACTCATCTGAGCTGCCAGTCTCCTCGTCTTCGCCGTCGCGCGTGCGTCGCTTTCCTAAAGAATGTTTCCCTAGCTTCGCCTCCACTGTAATGCAAAAAATCAATAAGCAATCAACCATGAACATACGCTTAGGAATAGCACGTACACTGCTGCTTTTCTTCTCGTTTCTTGTTGTATTCGAAACGACGAGCGTACTCCTCGTTGATTTTAAAGCCGGTGTCGATATCCTTGTTGCCAATGGGCACTCCACCGGCCTCACTCTCCGAATCGCTGGAGCTGTCTTCATCCAGCAACTTTCGCGGTTTTTTCGCTGGGGGTTCCATGTTGAGATTCTTAATATGTGCTGGATACAAAGAGTGCTCCTGCAGTCACACAACCAGGCCTAGAAAAAAGTTGGGACGGCAGAAAAAAAAGACAAGCCTCACCGCCTGGAAATGGGGGCCTGATGCCTGACTTACGAATCAGGCTGGCAAAACCTGTCTCTGACGTACTGTCGCCTCCGGAGAGACCACTGTTAACAGCCCAGGATGGCCTGCAGATCATTTTGAGAACCGAGCGCGTTGCATCATTATTATTACCTGTCTCCTTACCTTTCTTGTCAACTGTATTCTTTATCTTTTACACCTTCGGAGCCGATCGTACTGCATTTGCTGTTCATCCCATTTCCATTAACGCCGGTGCATGGCTTGAGATAGATGTCGACTCAGCCAGAAGATCCGGCTCCCCAGATCGGGAAGCTCGTCAGTGTCGTGTAAGTTGGCCACTTTTCACAGACCGCCTGCGTCCCATGGAAACTGATTGTTCTGTTTTCTTGCTCTTTTTCGCTTTCGATGAAATAGTCCTGTTGGGTTGAAAGAGGCTGCTCTCGATTCGCCGACGTTCCGTGCTACGACACTCCATTACACCGAACAGATCGACGCCCTTGAGAAATGGCTCGAAGGTTACTCCAAGGCTGCCACAAAGCTCATGGCGGAGTTCTCGCCGCTGGAGAGTGCAATGGCCAACTACATGTCCTTCGCGGCGGTGACCCCTCCCATATCCGAAGCTGTGGTCGATCATGATTACGCACTGTTAGCACTGAAGAAATGCGGTGACACCACTAGGGATCTATGGAGTGCGACAGTCAGCGCAATGCGGAAGCTAGATGCGCATATTACGGAACCCATCAAAAATTTCATTAATATTGATCTGAGGAATTTCAAGGTAGACATCGATTCTCGTCCTACTTTCGTGACCCTAGTCTGAATGGATAATCCCTAAACTCGCTCCCAGGAAACGAGACGCACTCTTGAGCAAGCGCAGAAGCAATACGATTATTTGCTATCTAGATATCTATCCCAGTCCAAATCCAAAGAGCCTTCGTCTCTGAGAGAAGACGCCTTCCAGCTTCACGAGGCACGCAAAGCTTATCTCAAGGCATCCTTGGATTTCTCCGTACAAGCTCCGCAACTCCGAAATTCTCTAAACAGGCTTCTCGTACGAGTGTCGGCTGATCAATGGCGCGAGTTCAAAATATTACATGAAAATAACGGCGCAATGTTCCTGAAGTGGATGCAGGACATGGATCGCATCAAAGGCTGGATTCACGAAATGGATGGCACGGAAAGATCTTCAAAGCGGCAGTTGATGAGTGCAAGGAGGCAGATTGAAGAGTCAGCAGAGACTGCCGTCCGGCCATCCCGCGAGCTCGATGATTATTCTGTATCCACTGTCCCATACCTTGGCTCTCGCCCTCCGCCAACACTTGACACGAAAGATATCCGGCCGGAGAAGCAGGGATGGCTAAATCTACGGACGTTATCGGGTAAACCCAGTCGGACCGTTTGGATAAGGCGCTGGGCTTTTGTGAAAAACGGCATATTCGGATGCCTCGTACTGGGTTCTCGAACAGGCGGCGTTGAGGAAACTGACAGGATTGGTGTCCTGCTCTGCAGCGTTCGACCGGCCTTCCAGGAAGATCGGAGATTTTGCTTCGAAGTGAAGACCAAGAGCGACAGCATAATGCTTCAAGCAGAAACCCAGAAGGAACTGATGGATTGGATTGGGACATTTGAAGCCGCCAAACAAAAAGCGCTAGACAACCCCGCGAGTACCGATCTCTCAATCTCAGGGAAATTCAAAGTTCGCGACCCGGCCTTTTCTGTATCCCAGCCTCCAGCCCCCGAATTCGCTGCTAGCCCTTCCGACTCTCTCATTCACGCGAATGACGAACAAGCACCCTCAGAGCGCAACGGGAACCTTGCTCTTCCAGACCGGGATGTAACTCCTTCTAGAATCAGCAGCGATCTTGGCAGCGCCAGGCGGTATACTGGAACGGACTCAGAACACTCCGCGCGTGAGCACACATCTCGAATTATCCAGAAGTTGGATCTCCACCGCAGGTCCAATGTTCAAGCACAGCCAGGCCCTCGCCCGCAGAGCCCTAGTGGTGGTTTAGCAAATCTTATTTCCGCCAGCCATAGTATAATTCTTCCTCCACCAACCACTGGGGTCGATGAATTTAATAGAGGCCGCGCGGTTAACTGGGATGGGCCTGCAACAAGTCTTGCACCTCCCACCTTGGTCATCCCGCCCGCCCCCACTAACCTGAGCACTGCTGCTGTCTTTGTGAGTAATGAGAGAAGAATTGGCCTAGGGAGTGATGGCAAAGGAGGGATGCCCAGTGGCATGATGGCGAATGTGTGGGGTAGCTCAAACTGGAGCTTAGTCAATAAGCTAGAGCGAGACGACTCGGTACCCCTTGCAGCTACACCTGATAGGGGGCTTTCTCAAACTAGAAGGTCTTCTTCTCCATTACGAGACTCATCATCTACACGTCGGCCGCCGACTGCCGGGTCCCGCCACCGGCAGACTTTCAGCGTGGATGCAGATGCGGATGGGACGCAGTGGACCAACATGGGTGCTTCATACGAGTACCCAAGCTACTATCCTCAACAGCTCCGGGCGCAGGATGCACAGTTCCGGTTACTCTTCCCTGATATCAAGAGAGAAGAGCCTTTAGTTATGGTCTTCAGAACAACTTGGAACCCGAATGACCAACAAGAGTTCCCTGGGAGAGCTTACATCACAACTAAAAATATTCATTTTTACAGTCACTATCTCGGGTTAGTTTTGACTGGCGTAATCCCGCTAAACACCATTACGGATGTAACTGCTGCTCAGGGAAGAGACTGTGACTTCCTCTTCCTGCATACATACCCTGTCCGGGGAAGCGACACTCCGGGCAGACTTACTCTGAAGACATTCCTTGAACCACTGAAGCTCTTGCAAAGGCGGGTCGCATTTCTAGTTCAAGAGTCGACAAGCTCTGAACCCTTGTCATTGGAGGCCCTTCTTAAAGCCTTGACCAAAATGGAAACGGACGCACCGACCAGAACCCCTAGTTCGGATAGCTGGGAAGACCTCTCTTTGCAGCCTACCCTGGATGGCGAGGTTCCTGGTAACGGAACTGGGCGTCAACGGTCTGGAACGGATATTCGAGTACCTATTTACATCGAGAAGGACTTGGATATCGGCAAAGCTGGCCGTCGGAAATTCAGGTTGCCCAATCAACCTGTTCAGTATGTTCCGGAAGGGGGTCTTCATGTTGCTGCGGAGAAGGTGCTGGATATTAGCGCCAAAGCATTGTTTCACGTTCTCTTTGGAGACAAAAGTGCTGTCTGGCAGCGTCTCTTATATGAACGAAGAGCTGAAGGTAAACACTTCCGGCCACGAGTGATGATTCGCATCGATATAGTATCGCTGACTGAAACGTAAGGAATCAAACAAGGGCCGTGGGCTCCTACGGAATCTCGGCGTCTTAGACGGGATATTCAATATCAGATCGAGACATCGGATTGGTTGGGTATGCTCTTTTGTTTTCCTTGACTTTGGTGGATTCTTTGAACCCATTGACTAACTGAAAACAGGACGGTCCCAATTGATCACGATTTCAGATTATCAAATCATAGATGTTTTCAATGACCATCTATGCTACGTAGTGACTGACAAGCGATCGCCATGGCATCTTCCTTTCAGACGCTCCTTCATGCTGGTCAGCAAGGTCGTGATCACCTTCGTCTCCAAATCAAGAAGCAAGCTTGCCGTGTATACGAATGTTGAGTGGCTACGATATCCTCCTCGCGCTCTCACAAGTATGTGTTATCTCTTCCCCCGCAGTCACTGGACGCCTATCGCTGACGTTCTACAGGTATCATTGACAAGCAAGCGATGAAGGATCTGGAGCAAGATGCCTTGGATCTGGTAGACCTTGTTAGCGATCAGGTGAGAAGACTGGGAGCGCATAGTCGAACCAAGAAGGCCATTTCCATCTTTGGCCATGTGGGACGGCAGAACCACGTCACCGAATTTACAGGCCTAGGGATGAATGCGAAGCTCGAACCTCGCAAGCCTCGCACCCAGAGAACTCTGGTCCAGCTCCTATTGGAGATTACCATCTCATTCATGGAGACTGCCATTTCAGCGGTAATGTTATGGACATTCGTCGTCCTTCGCTGGATCTGGAAGACTGCCAGTGCCAATAAAGTTATATTATTTCTACTATTGTCGAGCGCGATCTTGAATGCCTTCTACTCAACCCGCGATGCGCGCGATTGGTGGCAAGAACGAAACGCCCGCAATTTTATGGCCCGCCTAGGAGTCAACGCGGACCATGTGATGAGTAAAGCCATTTACATGAAAGATATCGATGAGGCTCTCGCCAATTCAACGGTGTGGCCAGTGGATGATAGCAACTCGAGTGATTGTTTCTCTACATTCCACGATCAGATCATCCAGCAGAACAACGAACTTGCCCCTCATCCAGCATCAAGTCTGAAAGATACGGTATCAAGAATGTCTGTCCAGCGGTTCCAACGCACGCGTGAGCGACTTGGCATATACCGACATGATCTTATCGTGGCACTTCGTGTGGTCAATAGTATTGAGAGGGAGCTCGTCCAGAACGAATGGGAGCGTTGGCTTCGACAAGAACTTCGACGCTGTCGACAGGTTGAGACTCTCCTTCAAGAGGACCATGGCGAAGAAGATACGGTCAAAAGCCGGCCGACGCAGGGCGTGTTTGCAGAGCATACGGATGATGTAAAGGGCTGGTATGACGTTTATTGTACCAGTTGTCAACAGGAACAGGAGCAAGTTGACCTGGGTCATACTGGTCATGGAACAGCACAGCCCTTGATCCTGTACACAGAGTGAGTCTCATGCGTTTGGCAACGCCATTCCCTCACACCCCCAACTTTTTCTCGTCCCTCCTTTGGATTTTTCCTTTGTATTTCCCATTGTCACTCAGCAAGCCGTCCCAAGTCTCTTTGTTCTTTCTCTCCAACGATACCCAGTTGCAGGTGATCGATCTGTCTATATTTATTTCCTCGCAAGTTTGGACGGCAGAAGGAACCATTTCGGCGTCTTTCTATAGCATATATAGCTTTGACAAGCATAATTGGATATTCAACGAAAAAATATCTCTCCCTGACGGAGACTTGTTCGGTCTCTGCTGTTTCCGCATGCCGTAGTAAAATCGGTTGAGCCCGTTCGAATTCTTCAAGCCGAAGTCGTCGACGAAAAGGGATGGGGAAGAGAAAAAGGGCGATTCAATTCTGCCTAGGCTTCACATCGCCCTCCTGAACAACATAGTATACCACTGTCCCATCACCACCCATCCCTTTATCCACCATAGCCAGCAACAATCTCTTCCCTCCCCATTCTTTAGTACGAAGTGCCTCACCTCTGCGCTCGTAATACTCAGCCAATCTCCTTTCCTTCTCTTTCTCCGGGGAAGAAGCAGCCTCGTTATCACCGTCTTTATCACCCCGCATCTGCGGCTGAGGCGCATCTTTCCCCTCATTTCCTTCGGGGATAGTGGGGGTGGGAAGCGCATCAAAAACAGCTGCCATCCGCCGTAAACTCCACGGCTGACCCTGCGCAACTGGGAGAACAAACAGACGCTCAGCAGCGACGTCATCCTCGCGCAGGCCCTTTTCGAGTAGGAACAGCTGCTCGTCTGGGTGCGTATAGACGCGATTCGGGGGAATTCCGGAGATCAGGAACATGGGAGTGGGCAGAGCATTTTGCTGTGGCGATGGTGTTGCGAGCTCGTGTGTTTGTAGCGAGGTCCAGAGGTGTTGGTGTTGGAGGTTATGGAGGATTTGGGTGGTTATTGCTGAGGAGGGCGTTTGGGAGGTGGAGAGGAGGGTTGTGAGAGATGAGAGGGGTGGAGGTTGCATGTTTGATGTATCTGAACCGATTCTTCAGAGGGAAAATAAATTGATGAAGAGGATCTTCTTGTTTGAAGTTGGAATGTTTCCGCAGATCGACTGTTGCAGGAATACGAAAAAAAATTAAGCTTCGGAGATAGCGGTGGTTAGGGATGGATAAGAACAGCATGGCATCATTGGCGGTTGTTCATCTATGATTGTCTCTTTTTCCCTTCGTTTCATGTTTCTTCGAGTTCTCTTTTGGATTCACAAGATTTGTCCCCGCTTAATCTAATTGAATCAAGTCTCGAATATAGATATCTGTGATCCAGTCTGTATGGCGCGTCAGAAACAGACAAAGCCCTCACAGAGGGTCACCTCCTCTGAACTGGTACATATTCCCACAGAAGAAGCAGATCTTGATCAGACACAGTTGAATGGAACTGCAGCAAATGCAAACAGTGCTTCTGCATGTGAATCCTCCCTGGACAGTCCAGGGTTGATCCAGCTCACTGTCTGTGTCCTCGGGATATACGCATCTTTGTATGTTGCCTATACTGCCACTATCCTTTGATGGAATTGCAACACCTTCAGCTAACAGATATATTCATTCCAATAGTCTCTCCTGGGGTATCCTCCAAGAAGCGATCACCACGACGTCGTACCCCGTCCGTCCCCCAACGGCAGAAGAACCTGAACCCCCAACAGAGCGATTCACGTACTCGATCGTGTTGAATTCCATCCAGTCATGCTTTGCAGCTATTACGGGTTTCATATACCTCTATTTCTCGACCCCGAGAGGCCAGAAGGTCCCCTCTGTTTTCCCCAATAAGCAAATTCTCGTCCCTCTGCTCCTTGTGAGCATCTCCTCGTCGCTCGCATCGCCGTTCGGCTACGCCAGTCTCTCGCATATCGACTATTTGACGTTCATCCTCGCTAAGTCCTGTAAACTACTGCCGGTCATGTTTCTCCATCTCACTATCTTCCGGAAACGATACCCCCTGTATAAGTACGCTGTGGTCCTCCTGGTCACCCTGGGCGTGGCGACGTTCACCCTGCATCACCCAGGAACCAGCAAGAAAGCAGCAGCCAAATCAACACAATCCGGGTCATCTCTCTACGGAATCTCCCTTCTGTCCGTCAACCTCCTCCTGGACGGTCTCACGAATACAACGCAGGACCATATCTTCGGTTCACCACACCTCTACACACGCTTCACCGGTCCACAGCTGATGGTGGCCCAGAACCTAATCTCTACCATTCTGACGACCGTCTATCTTCTGCTCATCCCCCATCTCTCTTCCAACAGCACTGTCCTCGCGTTCCTACCGCTCCCCATCACTCCATCCACGGGGACGGAGCTGTCGTCCGCTGTCTCCTTCATGGCGCGCCATCCGGAGGCCTTGAATAATGTCCTCGGATTCGCAGCTTGCGGGGCAGTGGGACAGGTATTCATCTTTTACACGCTCTCAAGATTTTCGTCGCTGCTTCTAGTAACTGTTACCGTGACGAGGAAGATGCTTACCATGCTCCTCAGTGTGTTCTGGTTTGGCCATTCGTTGCATCCGGGGCAATGGGTGGGAGTGGCTTTAGTGTTTGGGGGGATTGGGGCTGAGGCCGTCGTGCAGAAGAGAGAGAAAGAGAAGAAGGCTAAAACCAAAGCTAATGCCAGGATTAAGAAAAAAGAGGCATAGACTCATGAGATTCCTTTATTGTATTTTAGTTATAGTGTATTATCAATATAAATTTTGTTTTCCAGAATTGAGTCTGGTTGAGTATACGTGATATAATAGTGTTAGGACATGTTCCTATACGTGCCAGAATTTGAGGGTTCTCAGGGCTTGCTCGTTCCATATTGAAGATCAGAGCTCTTACGAAAGCATGATTTCGTCGTGATATGGTTCCATGTTCTGAGCAGGAGCAACCAGAGGAATCCATTTTCGAACAATCTTATCCACCCAGTCGTGAGCGGTACCTTTGCCAAGCGCATCTTGGATGGCAACATTAATCCCGAGGATATATTCCGGGTTGGGGGTAGTATTCTCGCCTCGGACTCGAAGCTCATCAAGGTAGACGACTGCCTCTACACTCTCTTTCTTTCTTTGACCACTGTCGTTGGACATTCCACCGTCGAGTGATCGCCTCTGAGGGCAGCTTAGAGACGGTTCTGTTATCGACAAGCCATTTCATGACAAGTCGCATTTTCGACGTGCTTCCCGTATGCGCTGTCCCTGTTTCCAACCGAAGAGAGCCATCGCAGGAATACACCTTTGGAAAATCCCCCCCTTGTAATAAACGGGCTCGCTATCTTCATCAATACCCTCATAGAGGTCTAGAGTCCGCTCAAAGGCGGGTGGGAGGTAATATAGCAATCCGTATGAGCCTCGTCTTTCGTATTTCGTGGAACCACATTGGCGTAGCCTTGCTCGTTGATGATCCAGTCATAACCATCAAGATAGGCGACGGCAACTGCTATCCATGGCGTGAGAGTATCGATTTTGTGATATATCCTGCGTCGACTTGGGGGTACAAGTCAGCGTCTCATTTGCATCGAGGACAGGGTTGACTCGTAGGCAAAGTAGCATGTGCCTTGTCCGGGAGCACTGGGCCGGTTATTCAGTAGTGACATTATAGACGCGTTTTCCAGTTTAATTCGGAGAGTGGAAGTAGACAAGCTGATCAATATATGATCAAAATCCTGGAGTCACGCGTGATGTAGAAAGATGTAAAGTTCAAGAGCTGAGCTACCTAGTCAACAACGCCAAGCATACTCTCCACCATCAATACCATGGATGAGCAACGGCGTCTAGCAGCTTACGAGGGCTACTGTTATAAGGAGACGGAATGTGAGATTGAGCTCCTGGCTGGATATGATCGGATGGAAACTGATCTTTACTATCGTGATATATTTAAAGCGACATTCAGTACTCAAGTAGGGAGAATTTCCTAATTTGGGTGTGGGAGACCTTTGGTCTTATAGGCGGCGGGGATCCTTCCAGTGCACCTACTGTGATGGCACAAACTACTTGTTCTGTCCGGCTCGCCAAGTACCTGGTAGAGGAGCATAGGAAAGTGTGCGCGAAAGAGGGGGCACGGTGTAACAGTCCTACAAGCTGCTGTTAGGCACGATTCTACCGAGGCCGCGGAGCTGACAAAATACCTGTTTTTTGCTGGAGCCGATCCTAATTCACAGTCCACGTTCAAAGCGGAAAGTATCAGAAGAGAAAAGGGCTCAAGGGATTTCCAAGTGACTAGGGGTGACCTTTGAGGAACAGGCGACACAAGCAAAAGATGAACAGAGAAGACGGCGTGAAGCTGAAGCTGAAGAAGAGCAGCCTCAGTCGGTCTTCATGAGAAGTGACTAGCCTAATATAGTAATATCACGTGAGAGCGCACACTTCTTTGTATTGAACTACCTCCTGGCAACAGTTTGCGGCGCAAATTATGGCAAATCAAGGCTAGTCCCTTATCCCGGAGCCTCCCAATGCTGCCGGGCCACTTCACTTGGATCGGGGTAGAGCAGAAATCGAACATGGACTTATCACCGAAAGGGGGCACACCGATGAAGCTCAAAAGCGCGCCATAATTATCAATGGAATTCTATATTGGTGTTCCATTGAGACGCCAGCGGCAGTGTGTATTGACAGAAACTAGGTATGTTTCCACCTACCACTCCAAAACAAGTATCGCATTGCCTAGTAACCGGATCTGGAGAGGAACATTGGGCGTTGGAAACACAGTTTTTATTGTCTGACTGTACGCCACCTCTGGCAGTTGGCGAACGGGATATCAGTCTCCTGATTCTGCATCGGTGACAGCTCATGAGAAAAAGAGGCCAGGGAATCGGAGAAAGCACTGAAGGTCAAAGAACCTTCCACTAGTTGAGGTCAAACAACAACCATGATCAAGCAAACCTGTGAACTGCAACCATCCAAAAGATAAAAGATGAAGCATACTGGCGTGACCACGCCATCATCAGCAGTCTCCTATCATTGATGCAATGCACTGCGGGAAAATGGCATAGGAAAGAACACATGAAGATTTCCACTAGGTCAGCCGACATATCAGCGATTCCGTAAAGACCAGGGGATTATATAGATATGTTGGGGCAGCAGGCGAGCGGTACTATTCCTAAACCTGGTAGATACGAGATTCCTTTAGGCGACAGGTGGACTAACGTGGCTGGGTGCTAAGCAAAGGGAGCCGTTTCCGGTGCCCTGCTTGCCATCTGTCAGAATACTAATATAATATTACTTCCTCCCTTCTACCATAATAATATGATACCCAAACCCCGTCTTGACCTCTGCATACTTGGGATTCGCCGTCGTGCTAGGTTCCAGCTCATATGCAACTTTTTCAAAGTCACCATGTAAACTCCCACGGACTTTCCACCCAAGTGATCCTCCTGTTTAACAGGGTTAGGTTCATTGTGAGGCTAACCTTGGCATTTCATATATGCTTGGAACTCCCGAAAGGCAGTCAGACTTACCCTGTCTAGCCTTATCCTCCGAATATTCGCGGGCGACATCGTCGAATTTTGCGCCATTGCGAAGCTTTTCGAGGGCTTCTTCTTTTTTGGAGTGTTTTTCGCACTGGTTGAGTATTAGCATGCTCTTGTTCTGGCATATATATAGATATAATACAATAATCGGTCCTTCCAGATGAAATCCAATTCAAAGCAGAATATAAACATACAAGAATATGTCGAACATTAATCGAATTTGCCGCCTTTAATCCTCCCTTTCCGCCTCCTTTCCCCTTCTCTTTCTCCCCGGATTGGTCCTTGGATTTGCTGCCCTTTGCGGGCTTTTTGTCGCCACCTTTGCCCATGGTAGAAGTGGTATGGGATAGTAGGAATGGGTGTGAAAATAAGAAGAAAAAAGAGAAAGAAAGTGTCTATAAAATAAAGTAGTCACTGCAGGAGATATTATTATTGAATCTTGTTTTCTTGCACAGCGGAGGATATCAGATAAATAATTAGTATGCGGGGTGGAGCAAGGTTTGGTTCGATTGTGGCCTGAGGAAGAAATATCATGTGATGATGATGGTGTTAAACCGAACTTCCACTTCAAAACAAGTAGTTCGTTCAGAGTTGCTATCCTGGTTGAGATTCAAGCTGTGAATGTGTTATATCGAAGCCACATCATTATTATCATCATCAACCTGCAGAGAAGCAGCTCAGACAAGTTGATGGCCTTAGGCATACTTCGATGACGTCAAGCCCGCTCCGTACCTGAGCTACTACTAATAGTCAACCAGTCAACCCACGCATACTATACTGTCCATTGGAGATGCCAGATGAAATGAGTTTCAACCTTGAGGCAGCACGGATCAAATCCATACCAGACGACGCGTTCTATATCCCTGATTTTATCACCGAGGATGAGGAGAGGTATCTAGTGCAGAAGGTAGGTAGATACAAACCAGCTTGTGTACACTTCCACTGCTCTCAGAGGAACATCACTGACTCATCTAATATAGATAACCTCCGCCCCCATCCCACGCTGGACACATCTCTCCCATCGCCGTCTCCAAACCTGGCCGTCAGCACTCACAAAATCCAACGCTCTTATCTCCTCCCCGCTCCCGTTGTGGCTGGTATCCCCGATCATCACGCGGTTTGATGAGCTGGGTATCTTTGCTGATGCACCGCATGGCCGCCCGAATCATGTTCTCATAAACGAGTATACGCCCGGCCGGGGGATTATGCCGCATGAGGATGGCGCGGCGTATTATCCGCTTGTTGCTACGGTGAGTCTAGGAGGGTCGATTGTGTTGGACATTTATCCTAAGCGTGATTATCGTGAAGATGGTAATGAGGATAAGGGCAATGATAAGGGCGAGGGAAAGCCTAGACTACAACCGCAATTTAGGATTCTGCAGGAGAGAAGGAGCTTGCTTGTTACCCGGAAGAATATGTATACAGATTTCCTACATGGAATTGCGGATACAGAAAAGGATGAGAAGCTGGGTCCCGAGGGGATATGCAATTGGGATCTGTTGCGGGAGAGGAACTCGTATGCGTCTGGCTGCTACCAGAGGGAGACGAGAACTAGCTTGACGTATCGGGATGTTCTCAAGGTGGTTAAGTTGGGGAATACGATGAAGTTTCTTGCTGGACGATGATGCTTCTTCGACCCATTTTCTACGACAGGGCGATTAATCTAGTTATCAAACGGCTTCCTGGTCCCCATTTTTATAATTCCGCAGCGAGACAAGGAGAATCAGAACACGCCAGGAATCATCATCCATCTTCCCCGTACAGCCTCCTCGCCGAATTTCCGCATATACCAACGCTTCGTAGTTGCAGCAGTGACGCCCAGATTAACAGCTACAAACATGGCACAGCAGAGAAGTGTTTTGTTAATAAACTCGCCTCGAGGAGCAGCCAACAGTGCCAGTGACAGGTATATCACGCATTCGGCCGTATAGTGCGGGCACACGACCCGGCGAAAAAGCGGATGGGTAGGAAGGGAGTATTTCTTCAGGGAGAAGAGATGCTGGTGGCAGTCGTGTTGGAGACCCGATGCAAAGAGGAAAAGAGGGAGGCAGAGGAAGGTTCGCAGGGACGGAGGGTTTGTGATCCTGAAATGGAGAAGTGCCATCTTCTCCGACGCCAAGCTGCCTAAGAATCGAAACACTGGTCAATTGTGAAGCCAAAGAAATGTCCTTCAATGTTGCATACCTGTTCCTTCAATCCAAATTGCAACGCCCACTGCAATGTAAAATACGATTCCCAGCAGCCAGTGAACAAACCACATCTGAGAAGATGAGGGCTTGGAAAAGGCGAGCGACTCGTAGAGGCGTCTAGATCCCTGGATCATCAACAACGCCCAGCAAAGCATGACTTGGTTCAGCGACATGGACTTCTGCACATGTCTCTCATCCACCCGGATAGCCACTGCCCAAAACGCTGGCCCAAGGGTAACAAGCTGCGTGGCCCAGGTGATTGACGACAAGACGGATGCGACGTAGAACTGCGTGAAGTAGCTGTGGGGAACCCTGAAGGAGGAGACATAGTCCAGGAAGCGGATAAATGCATGTGGCTGGCGAGTCGGTTTTACCTTGGGCTCAGACGACGTCGAAGTCGCACGGGCACCATAGTTGACGAACCGGGAACTGAATGAGGACGGTAGGCTGACGGACAGGATCTGAAGAAAAGCCAAAATAATTTATCTTCAATTTTTGCCTCAATTGATATAGATATGGGCAGTCGAATAATGGGTTTGGTTGTAATTTTTTGCCATCATCACTTGTTGCCGGATGTAGGTTCAGGACATACCGTGCAAGCTGCGAGGATGAATAAAGCTCGAAGGGCGTCCACAGCATCCATATGGGTGGCGGACAGAAAGTCATCCACGGAGTAGACGGGGAGCATCTTGATTAGATCCGTCTCCCTTGGCTGCTTTTCTCCGCTCGAATGCAACCAGCGGATGCAATGGGGAAGTTAGTGACAATGGTGATGACGATAGCGATCATGCAAAGGATGAAACATCGACGATCGACGGGGAAGGAGAAGAAGTTGGTTGGAAGGTTTCGAGGATCGACGGCGTTCAGCCACTGAAAAGCCGAAGGACGCCACGATGTTACAGATTGGCAGCGCTATGCATATCCGTAATGGTGCCCTTTTTTAATTCTTTTTTCTTTTCTCTGCAGAATGAGACAGGATCATGCCATGAATATTAATCATGAAGAATGAAGCAGAGCAAACCTGTATACCTACCTAACTGTGTTCTGTAAGTATGCTGTACTTACCTACTGTGCTCCGTAAGAACTATAGATTACCTACGATACACTAGCGCCAGCAGACGCCGAGGGGCAAGAATCGATAGATAAGAAACAGCCCCGACGCTGCCTTCCGTCTTTGGAATTGCCAGTGGCGATCTCTCCACGCTCACGTGCGGAGCTAGCCGCATTTGGTGCTTAATCATCATTATAAGACATGCGCCAATGGCAACATTGAGCTAGTACCATACAAGAATGTGGATCCCTATCAACCGCATATAATTGGCGGATTATGGCTGATCACGTTCTTCCGCTTTCCTCGCCTCTCTCAAGGTTTCCTCCCATCGCATCTCTTTAATTTAATACTTATTAATCTGTTTGCGGTAATAATAATACTAACACAATACAATGAGAATCGTATTAAACACGCAGATAGAATAATCGCTATAATAATAACAATAATAATCGTATGGTGGCCTTCTCAGCCTCTTCCTCTTGGTTTGCGTTTTATTTTTGGACTTGCCCAAGCCGGCTTCCCATACGCAGGCAAATCCGCCGTCCAAACAATCCGGTTACTCCAGTCAGATTCGACCCACTGCGTAGTTAACTAAGGCTCTCCTTAACTTCTCTTCCCTCTCTTCCCTCTCTTCCTTTTCTCTTCTCTCCAATATTTATTTTTCTCCATCTCTACCTAATTCTACCCACCCGCTCTTATTTACCGCCCCCTTCCCTTCTCCCTTGGGCTCCTTTGCATCCCCCCATCCCTGTCGACTTTCCTATTATTACTCTTCCACATAATTAATCCCTTACTCACGCTCTCCCATCCGTAGTGCTCATCCTGTGTGATCTATCATCCTGTTCTCCCACGCAGAACCATACACCGGTGTTCTCACAACTCGCGATCCCTCCTCCCGCCACGGCCTCTGAAAATGTCGATCAGGACCTCCACACTTCTGATGCTACCGCTATGAGTGATGTCGACACCGTTCCCTCCCTGCCAGCTGTCTTGGATGTTGGGAAAAGAGTTCTTGTTGCAGAAGTAAATGACCACAAGAAACTATCTGGCTCGCGTTCCCCACGGGCGCCTTCTCCGCAATTTCCTGCTGGGAGGGAGGATGTTCTGAACAAGGTTGATCTTGATGGCCACGCCAACCAGCCTCCCAGTCCCAAGGCCGACTCAGAGGCTGAGACCATAATCCAGTCCGGTCGGGAGTCGTTGTCTCCGGAGAAGAGACGGAAGTACATACGGCACGAAACGGAGCTGCACCATGCTAGGAACGATCACGCTAAAAACGCGGACCCTTCGAACGACTCGCTTGCTAGGAAGAGAAAGTGGGTGGAAGATGAAACTCACAGCAATAGGGCACGCGACCTCCGTTCTGGTAGCCCCACCAACACGGTAGTTAAGATGGAAAAACTCGACGCGTCGCACCCCGGCTCTAATCAACACTGTATTTCACATTCAGGCACTTCTGGACCCAAGTCTGAAGGAGACCATGCTTCCAGGAAGCGGAGCTTTAGCGAAGCTGTTGAGAGCGACGTGACTAGATCGCGTCGAGGGTCTCCACAACGTTCGTCGGTTGCCCCTGGTGACAGGACTCGAGGAGACCATAGCAGTGCATCGCCTGTTCGCCCCGCGTCAAACGACCGCTCTGTATCTCCGGCGCATCCGTCCCACAAACGAACTGCTTCTGGTCCCCCGCATACTGCAGGTGACCTGCGCAAGAAGAAGAAGAGAGCTCCTCCCCCATTTACGACTGACCTTCAAAGGCAGAGTTCGGAGGACAGGCAGTCGGTTTCTTCATCTGCTAGCTGTTCGCCGTTGCCCAGTGCTCGACTGCGGAGGCTAGGGGCTACTGATAACGCGACGGCCTCTCCTGCCAAACATATGGGCCACAAGAAGCAACGCGATCAAAATGGTCGGACGCGTCTTGCGCGAGCCTGCGCCGCCCAGGAACTGGAGGCGGCAATGGCCAGGCATGCGGAGCGCCCCGAAGATTTGAATGTGGCCGACAATGCAGGTAACACGCCTCTCCAGATTGCTGCTCTAGAGGGTTGTGCTCCAATTGTGAGATTCCTCGTCGATGCTGGCTGTGAGGTCAACACCAAGAATATTGACAAGGACACTCCGTTAATTGACGCGGTCGAAAACGGGCACTTGGAGGTAGTCAAGATTCTGCTAGAGGCTGGCGCCAATCCCCGTATCGTGAATGCAGAAGGTGATGAACCCTACGAACTTGTTCCATCTGATGCGGACGACTATGAGGAGATCCGACGGGTTTTAGCTGAAGCGAAGGCAAATCCAAAGTCGAAACGACGCTCGGAGGAACGCTCTGGCCAAAGGGACTCTTCGTCATCTCGACGGGCTTCTGCTGCCAGTCCCCGCGAGTCACCTCCAGCTCACGGAACTCGCAGTTCGTCTGCCTTCGGTTCAGTGACTAGACGAAAGACGGTCAGAAGCGAAGCGACAAGGAATGACCTGCTATGGACCAAAGCTACTCCGGAGAATCTTAGAGAATTTGCTGCCAAGGGTGACATAGCTGGGGTTGCAAACATCCTTAATGTCGGGCAGAAGGCCGATCCCGAATCTTTGATAGCTGCTGCTAAGGGAGGTCACGATGAAGTACTCTCCCTTTTACTTGGAATGGGTGATGCAGATCCCGACCCGAACCCCGTTCAGGGAGGTGTTCAAAAGGCTGGTTACAATACTCCGATGCTAGCTGCAATTGGACGAGGGAATTTGGAAGTGATTAAGCTTTTGTTAGCCCAACCAGGATTCAACCCTACCCGACGACTATACCATGATCGCACATACTTCGAGTTATCCCGAGAGCGCAAAGGGGAGGACTGGGAGGAAGAGTACGATCTTCTACATGATGCTTACATAAATTACATTAAATCCAAGAAGACTCGAAAAACGGAACTCTCGTCGCCTCGTCGATCCCGTGACAAGGAGAAGGAAAAGGTTAGTAAGCGCTCAGGGCGCAGGACATCCCTTTCACCCGCATCTCGCCCAAGAAAGGCAGCTGAAAGTCCGAGCGGGAGCCATCGCCGGAGTACCTCTTCGAAGGACCAAGATCTTAAGGAAAGACGACGTGATGGGACACACCGTTCTAAGGAGATATCTGTTTCAAACCGTTCCCGGTCCAGAATTTCGGATAAAGAAACCAGTCCTGAGGTGACGCGCCTAGAGTCTCCCAGACGAAAAGCAAGGGATGGTGAAATTAATGTCACGGCTCGCAATGATGAAGTTCCTAGAAGAAGACGTCTAATAGCCGGACGACCACCCCAGGATCGTGACAAGAGGAGACCGAGTCTGATATCCTCTGATTCTCTATCAGGAAAGGAAGAAGTCGCCAGGAAACATGCCGATAATGCATCCGATACTGTTTCAGCTAAGCTGCCGTTGAAACGCGTTCGGGTTAGTGTGTCTCCTGAAACATCTCACCATCGCTGGTCTGAGCCTGAACGGCACTCTGATGAACAACACAAGAAGCGACGACGTGTATTATCCGAGGATGCTGAGCATACAATCACTAACGGTCCGAGGAAGAGCCAGAGCCTGTCTGCCGATGATTTGAAGCAAAATTCTCCCAAGAAAGAGCATAGTTCTCCAGATTCTGAACAAATCAACCCACGGTCGGACCAGGATAGGGTTAATGATGCTCCTGTAAAGGAAGAACGGGAAAAGCATGAATCTCACGACCTGGATGACATCCCTATGGAAGATGCGGACAAGCTCAAGAAAGCAGAAACTGATTCAGAAGCGCGCAAGCGGGAGGAAGCCAAAAAATTCGAGGAGGACCGCATCGCGGAGAAGCGGCTTGCTGCAGATGCAGAACGGGCAAGAATCGTCAAGGAGGAGACAGAGCGGGCTGCTCGTCTTGCTCGCGAAAGGGCTGATGAGGAAGAACGCAGACGCAAGGAGGCAGAACAGAGACGAGTTAAGCAAGCCGAAGATGAGCGTCAGAAAAGACTCGACCAAGAACGTCATCGGTTGGCAAGGCAGCGCAGGGAGCAGGAGGAACAAGAACAGCGACGCAGAGATGCTCTCCCTGATCGGCTTCGCGTTGCAGCAAATCTTGTGGGCTCCAACGACCCTAGAGCTAGGAGCCATGCGTGGCTTAAAAAATTTATGCCGCTTGTCACCGCGCAGACAAAACAACTCGATCCTTCCTGCGGCCCGGAGTTGGCGGACGAGAAATGGGTTCCCAACTATTTAGTTGCTCCCTTACTGGCTACCAATGATCTACAACTACGACAATGTGAGTAAATATTTTTGTTCCTTAGGAATCTGCTCCGTGTTTCTGACCGCATACATACAGATGCCAGCTGGGAGAAACGCAAAGCGACGGCCACTCAGCGTATGAATCTTTGGCGTGTGACTCGCAGGATCCTGGTTCAAGCGGACGACGCGGAATTTCTCGTATCGTCCTTCGGAGAGATCATGAAAAAGGACTTTGAAACGCGACCTAAGTATTTCGAGATGGAACATGTGTTCTGGGTTAAGGTAGGCTACCTGTGAATAGGTCCCATGGACGTACTACGCTAGATACTAATTCGCAACTAGCTTTCTGATTTCATGGATATTGTCCCGCATGTGCCACACCTTCATGGCTTAAATATCCAGTTTTTGAGGATGCACATTGACGCCGAACCTTCTGCCTCGTCTTCTTTCTCCCTACCTCAACCCAATGGGCATTTTTTTGGTGGTCCCATGTATCTCGAGGATAACGACCTCTCTGCGAAACCGAATGGCCTAGCTAATGGCTATGGTCACCCACGGCCTAGTACATATGTTTGAAACGTGTGCGGCGTCTTATGGGGAATTACCCAATGAATGAATCTGGACGACCGTTGGCATAGCATTGTTACATGGCGTTGTGTGTATGTGTGTGGTGTATGGAAGGATTATCTTCTTGACTGTATGATTATGATACCTCTTGCTGTTCGAGGATTGCGATTGATTCTTAAAACTCGCCAGCTTGGATAAGTGAATAGAGTAGCAATAACAAGCCTCTGGCTCTTGACTTCTGTCCTTGGCGGTTTGTAGCAGTATAGACTGGAGTTTGCACTCTGTTATCACGTGGTATAAATCCCGTATTACATAATAAAATAGGGCACACACGGTATGCGGTTAGGGCTACGAAAATCCCCATAATTCCAGCAAAAGACCGCAATCCTCCCGTAACGATTTCCGATAGACACCATCTACGAAACTCTTTGAGGATCATCCGACATTTGATATCAAGTCCAAGAACGACAAATAACGAGTCAAAATGGTACGGATTGCCCATTTTCCTTTTACTACGTGTGAATTGGATTCGATTGCAAGGTCTTGAAAAGGGAGCATACCACAGAAACGGTTAAAAAAACAAAGAAAAAAAGAAAAAGAGCAGTTGATAAGATCAAGACCAGGACCTTGCAAGTCCAATTCATATATAGAGTGAATGGCGGAAGCGAAACGAATGAAAAGAGACAAGAATACCTAGCTAACATGTTTAAACGAAACAGTCGGACGGAGAAGAGACCGCTTCCAACCCCCCCGTCGCCGTCGCCGATGAAGTCGAAGTTTCCGCCGAAGCTGGCGCGGGTGGCCAGATGTCCGTCCTGGACGCACTGAAGGGCGTTCTCCGCATCTCTCTCATCCACGACGGCCTTGCCCGTGGTCTCCGCGAGGCAGCCAAGACCCTCGACCGCCGCCAGGCTCACATGTGCGTGCTGAACGAGGGCTGCGAGGAGGAAGCGTACAAGAAGCTTGTTGTTGCGCTTTGCTCTGAGCATAAGATTCCTCTGATCAAGGTTCCTGATGGCAAGATGCTCGGCGAGTGGGTTGGTCTTTGTATGTTACCCTAGTGTTTCAACATATTTTTCTTGGAGGGGAAAAATGCTAATGTTAACTTCAACAGGCCAGCTCGACCGTGAAGGTAATGCCCGCAAGGTCGTTAACTGCTCCTGCGTCGTCGTCAAGGACTGGGGTGAGGAGTCCCAGGAGCGTTCCGTGCTCCTGAACTACTTCCAGACTGAGCAGTAGATCAACTTCCTGTGAAGGTCCTTTCGTCTGTCCATTTCCCATTTATGTCTTCTGGATAGAGTCAAAAATGTGTGAGATGAGGAACAACGGGATTCGAAAACTGCGTCAGGATGAAGAACGGAAAGGAAATGAATGTAAAATCGAAATTGAAAATGGAATGAATATCTACCATTTCAATCGAAATGATTTTATGCCTCCAGTTTTTGCTCTTTTTTGCCTTTCAACTAGACATGAAGGATCGATTTTCTTCAAGTTCGTATCGTATAGTCGCAAATGGGCCGGAGTAAGCGACAAGATAAACAGAACCTGATCTACAACCCCAGAAAGCACAGAAAAATAGCAGAAAATAGTGAACGCCGAGATATGCTTGTTAGATTATGTAGAGAGTATCTGAGAAAGAAAAAAGACAATACGCATCATCAGAAACCTCATTTTTAAGAGACTTCCCTGTATGCCAGACTGAGGGCAATCAGGGGACGGCCTTCTATACTAGAGGAGACATCAGATGGTCTAACTGGTTTAGATTGAAAATTTTAGATGCAAGAGAAAGGAAATCCATTTTCAACAGATCAGGATCATCGCATCGCGTCCGTCAAATGGCCAGATTTAAAAGACGCATCCATTGTTTTTGGATTCCGCAGGTGATTGTCGGTGAAACCGCACAGCGGCCTACCGAAACTTGTAAGACGGGCATACCATCTTTGGAGTCTGAGGATCCAGTGATAGCTGCTGATACGGCGAGCTGCCAGGATCATAATAGAGACCATCGATGTGGCCATTGTCCCGGTTGAGACAGATGTAATAAAACCCGGAGATTGTGAGGATCTGGCGAGACTGGGAGTCTCTCGGTGGCGTGACGAAGCATTTTTCTGGAGGGGCACCGTTAGCAAAATGTCAACAACGACGAAAGAAAATGAAAACAGCCTGCATACCTTTCCAGCGCATGAGGAGCCACCGCTTGGACAATTCTTCTGCGATCCACCTTTTACTCACCAGACTCTTAACAATTTCGTCGTCCGTCAGGTCCCTGAAAGGCTGAAGCTCTCGCCAATAAGTGCTGTCCGTCTCGGCATCGGCCCGGAACTTGCCAGTCTCCAGTGTGAATCTGTTAAAATCGATTATTTCGCCCTCGAGGAACGTAATGATATGAGTGCCTGGAGTAGACGATGTCTTATCGGGGATGTTGCACGCCTCCATTGTCCCGGAAAGAGTCATGTCATCGTAGTTGACACTGTGAATGGTGACCTTGACCGGCCAATTTTCTTCCTTGTTATCTCCAAGACGGTAAAGATTCTGCGGTAAGTGTCGGCGTCCAGGAGAGATACGTACTTGTACTCGACCCGTCTCGCCGCCATTGACAATCACTGGTTCGTTGGAAGAGGGTGGACGATGCAAATACATCGGATGCCCGCTGCGAGCTGCGCGTTGCGACCCGGAAAACACTATCCCAGGCCGGAGCCAGGAACATTCAGTGGGAGGCGCTATCGAGGCCGTATCCAGAACGAAATCATCCTGATTGCAAGCAAGATAATCCAATTGAATAAATCCACTGGTGGCCGCCGTGAGGCTCTCTTCGTATGTAGTCGAATAGCGCAGGCGCTCGAGGTATTTGATCGTCTCCTTTAGACGTGGGCTTGGGGGATGATCGAGGAAGGATCGTCGATGGGCGTTTATCCGGGACCTCAGATCACTGTGACTGGAGACGCGAGATTCACTTCGGCTAGCCGGCAGATATCGATATGCCCTCGAAGTTGCCGCTGCAGGACGGTCTCTGTCCTCAGATTCCCTGTCCCGTTCCCGATCCCGTTCAAGGAGGTAGTTGTGGAGCGTGCGCGTTCTGGAGAATCTCACGGGACGCCTCATAGACTGCAGTAAGATTTCGTTTGGGATAAAACCGTCGTTCATGCGGTGGCTATAGCTGTCATCTGTAGGCCGCTGTTGGGAAATTCGATTGCTAGCATCGCGTCTAGCATCACGTCGTAGAGTCCCACTGCGCGTAGATTCCGTGTCGCTCCTAAACCATTCCTGGAGAAGCTCAACTGCCAGGTCATCGTCGCCAGGTGAAGGTGCCCAGCCGTAGAGAGACGATAAATCAGGAAGACGGCCTTCGTAATTCGGTAAGCTGCTCAACTCGTCCCGCTGGCGATTGACCCAGTGAATACGGCTACTCGTCCCGGTAGTCATGCCCATTCCCCAGGGATCGTCCAAATCCATGCGATCGTCTTCATTGTTTGCCAGAGATCTCTGTGGTCGGTAACTCTGTCGGCCCAAAGAGGAGTCACGAGGCGAGCGTACATTAGTCCGCAGGAAATTCACATTGGCGTCGTGGACGTCTCCATCTTCTGCGCGACTGGGACGAACTGCTGCTGAATTTGGAACGGGTGAGCCCAGCTGGTGGACGGACGCAGGCGCCTAGATTGCAAGCAGGATGTCAGCCACGGTATTATCGCGAAGGCATGAGGATAAAGAGACGAGGCAAGCCAGACAAGACAAATAGTCGCACGTCGCAACAGAACATACAGTATTATTGTGCGATCTGGGCGGGGGCATAGTACAGAACTGGCTCAGATAACCTCGGAAGCTTTTCCTAATGTCTAGCAAGCCCTTACGGCATACGTCTTGAGGCAGAGTTTCCAATATTCTACCCTGGCGGTGGCGGGTCTGCGGCAGATGAATCCACTGACGGTGGGACGATCGCGAGTCTATCTCCACTCGACAGATGGAGAGATCGAGGGAACGAGCAGACCAGCAACGACAGGGATAAGAACGATGAACCCAGGCGAGCGCCGTCCAGATGGCGATGGTGGATGTCGTCGAGATAATGGATTGTCTGAAGGGTAGAGGCGAGAGACGGAGACAGGGAAAGTGACTTGAGGATTCACGAGAGGAAGAAATCGCTCATCCCGAAGCGGTCTTCACGGTAGCGCCATCCCTGTGCTTCTCATCCACCTTGTCCATGTCTTGATGTCTTGTCCTGTCTTCTCGTCTCTACAGCACTGTTATCTGGTCTCGTCGATTTGACTCGCCATGCCGATCGCCGACCCTTCTACGTGTTCGAAGCTTCTTCCCCCGCTTTTCCCGCCCCCCGCTGAGTCTCCTCACACACACGTACAGGGAATAACAGCAAAAAAATGGCAAAGATCAAGAGCATCGAGTACTTCCGGGTTCTTCCCCGCTGGCTATTCGTCAAGATTGTCGATGAAGATGGCCATTACGGCTGGGGAGAGAGCACCCTCGAAGGGCACACCCAGGCCATTGAAGGGACCCTCAACGAGCTAATCGAGAGATTCACGGGATACGAAGCCGAGTATGTCTTGAGAGTCATCGCCCTTATTACTGATTATTTGTTTTCGTGGGCTTAAAACGAGGCTGCTAATTACTCCCAGTGACATTGAACAGATCTGGCAAACAGTATGGCGTCTCGGATTCTATCGCGGTGGCCCAGTATTCATGTCCGCCATATCAGGCATTGATATTGCGCTCTGGGATCTCAAGGGTCGTCGTTTAGGTGTTCCCATCCATCAATTGATAGGAGGCAAGGTCCGCAGCAAGATCTCTGTTTACGCATGGATAGGCGGTGATCGCCCTGCAGACGTGGAAGCGGCGGGCAAAGCCCGGCTTGCACAGGGTTTCAAAGCTGTCAAGATGAATGCCACCGAGGATATGAACTGGCTTGACTCTCCCAGTGTGCTGGAGTCTAGTGTCCAGCGTCTCCAGCTGGTGAAAGCGCTGGGCTTGGATGTTGCCTTGGATTTCCACGGCCGTCTACACAAACCCATGGCGAAACAGCTGGCAAAAGCCGTAGAGCCCCATAATCCTCTGTTCATCGAGGAGCCGCTTCTGTCAGAGCACCCGGAAGGCATCAAGCAGGTGTCCAGCCTGGTAACGTGCCCCATTGCCCTGGGTGAGCGCCTCTACAGTCGCTGGGATGTGAAGCGGTTCCTCGAGGACGGCAGCGTTGACATCCTTCAACCCGACATCAGTCATTGTGGTGGGATTTCGGAAATGCGTCGTATCGCCTCCATGGCAGAGACGTACGATGTTGCCATCGCGCCTCATTGTCCTCTCGGCCCCATCGCCTTAGCTGCTTGCATGCAGGTCGATCTCGCTACGCCCAATTTCGTCATCCAGGAGATGAGCCTGGGCATTCACTATAACGTTGAGGCGGGCGAGTATGATATCACCAGCTACGTGAAGGATCCTAAAGTCTTTGACGTGCAGGATGGCTTTGTTAAAGCTTTGAATGCTCCCGGATTAGGGGTTGAGGTCGACGAGGAGACTGTACGTCGAGTCGCTCAGATTACGAAGCCTTGGGAATGTAGGGGATTTTATGGTCCCGACGGAGCAATCCGGGAGTGGTAGATCTTTTTCATTTCGATGTTCCTTTTTCGGATTGATATAATAGATAGATAGTTTCCTTATGTTCTGCATGGTCCTGGATGTGGCCAGGATAGACCATGGAAAATAAAAGTTATCTAGCTGCCGTAATCTTCCTGGGAATAATAAGAGTGTTTGGGATAATAGAAGAAAAAGGAAAAGAAAAGAGATTCTTACTCTTATCCTGTCTAGTATGGAATAGTATCTTTTGCAACAAATATCGTAGGATTAAATGACTATGAGCAAGCAGTTTAATATGTCCAACCAGATCTACTCTATATGCTCTCAATATATCCAAATCTAAAATCCCACAAATATATGCGAACGAGTCCCCGCTATCCACATAGACTCTTCCATCACGCATCCCGAGCAGCGTTGCAATCATCTGCCAGCTGGATACAATCAATGATCATGTTCCAGAAGCCATCCACATCGACTCCCCTAGGGATAGCCACACCTTCTCCCTCCCCAGGCGTAACGATGGTACGGCCCAATTGGCCGGTAACTGATACGTCTGTACCATGGTGTCCCTGAGTGACGACAACGACATTGAATCGCTCTCCTCCTTTGTCGTCAAATTGGATGGCCGTTGTAGGATGCTTCTTCGCGTAGGAAGGATTTAGATTCGATAGAAGCACAGCGACCGCTAGGGGGTCATGCAGTGGCGGTCCAGTTTCCAAGCCGAAGACGGTCTCATAGGTTGTTGCAAAGAAGTTAAGCAGAGCATGCAGAATACGTCGGAGAGTAGTTGGGGGTGCAGAAGGGTCCGCTTTCCCGTGTAGGATACGGGACTGAACGCTGCTCGAGGCAAGAACCTGGTGAGTGAGATCGAGGGCGATCATGGTGGTCTTCGAAGCGACAACGGGGTTGGAGAAAATGGATTGAGAAGCTTCGGGATCAATCTGTTTTCCTCCACGGCATACGGGTTAGTGAAATAAGACTTTTGTTTTTCTCCCTACTTCAGTGTCCATCTGTGTCTTGTCGAGAAACTCACGTAAACATTGAACTCCGCAAAGGGGGTGATATTTCCGATTCTAGACTGCTCCCCGGGAAGTCTGCTCATAGGGGCATCGGTAAATTTATTACCAACAGCACCGCCCATGATAGTGAGACCCCCAATATGCTCCGCGACTTCCGGGAAGGTCGCAAAAAGCAGAGCAACGTTGGTCAGCCCCCCTGTAGCGACAACCCACGGGGTACCTTTGGGCTGGGCGAGAAGCGCATCCCTCATTGCCAGAATGGGGTTCTTGTCCGTAATAGGCGGCCTTGTTGCTTTGGGAAGGAGGTCCGTCCCGTCAAGCCCGGAGTCACCTGGCAACATGGGCACTGTCGTCAGATATACCAGCATGTATCAGCAATAGATAAACATACCGTGAATATCTGGTGCGTGAACAGCAGGTCTGCAAAAGGGCTTCCTATTTCCAGGATACACAGGAATGTCTGGCTTGCCAATTGCTTCTAGGATACTTCCTGCGTTGGCTGTTGTATTTTCCAAGGAAGCATTCCCATGAACAGTAGTGATGCCCAAGAGATTCAGAGCGGGGTGATGGGCTGCGATCAGAATTGCGAATGCATCCTAAAGCAAATAATTCTCCTACAGTGAACACTCTTTCTCGAACAACGAGTGGGGTTATACTGGATATTCAGAACTCACATCGTGGCCTGCGGGAGCATGTCAGTCAAGAGTGCTGGAGTGGAGAGGTATGGGTCTTACGGACCAGGATCACAGTCCAGCCATAAAGGGACGGTTTCTTGTTCATCTGAGCGAGTCATTATAGCTTATAAAACTAGGGACTTTCCTATAAATCCTGAATAACTAAACAAAGCAGCAATTGACCTGACTTGGCCTGCGTGTTGCAGTTGCGGTCATGAGGGGAAGAAGCCGGGAGCCGCGATAAGAACCCATATCTGAGCCCTAAGCCCTACATGCCTGATTGGGCGACCAACGGCATCATTGCCCTCCGCACGTCTTCCGTTCGCGTCGACAACGAACGCAACTCGACAATTGGCACCTCTGCGGTCAATGACGGCGTTTGAATATACAAGAAGCCTGTTGTGTTTTTGTCCTGGCTTTCGAATCATACGAAGATACCTTCGCATTGAGATGAGATGACCAGTGACCCTGTTCGCCCCGGTCTCTATCCGCTTTCCCAAGTCAAAGCTGCACCGACAGTCTCCGGCCCATCTTTGGCTCCACTGGCCATTCCCTCAAATGCACAGTTGCCGTCTCGATCTCCATCGCGTCCTCGTCACAAGAAGACTCCCAGTCGTGATGAAAAGGTCGCTGACCCAACGACAGACAAGGTTACTGTCGCCCTTATCCGCCGGGTTCTTTGTCCCGGAACTGGTGGTTACGGTGCATCATCGTCAGCTCCGCAGTCTCTCGAGGAACTGCTGCCTCCTCTTACAAGTTCCAACGAGGTTGATTTTCAACTTTATGCCCTTCTTGCAATAATCATCAAGGAGTTCGTGTATTCGTGGTATTCAAAGATCACCCCGGATCATCTCCTCGTCAACGAGATCATCCAAGTGGTTGCTCATTGCACTCGGGCACTTGAACAGAGGCTGCGACAAACAAATGTTACGCAGTTAATATTGGATGAGCTTCCAGCCCTTGTTCAATCTCATATAGTCTGTGAGGCTTGGAGACCTACTGACCATCTAAACATATCCCCCCCCGTTCGTATACTGACGATGTTATCCTCAAATCTTAGCTTACAGATTGGCTCAGCAGCAGTCTAAACTGTCCGGATTACCTACCTCTTTACGCAAGGTCTACCATGCGCTGAATCCCCACCCAGGTCTCTCTCCTGTTCCTGATCCCTCGGACAGTCAGGCCATCGCCCAGCAACAGGAAAATGAGGCTATATACCGTCAATTGTTAGCCCGCGGTGTATTAACCGTGCTCCTTCCTACAGAGGATCTTGAAAATACTGGTCTCCGGACGTTTGTCGGTGACATTCTGGCCGATCTGATTCTTGGGAATGAAGTCAGTGGAAGGGCATGCGAAGGATGGTTCCTGTGGGAATCAGCTACCAAACTAATTGATATTGGCACACAGTGCAATTCATCTGATCAGGGCTCAAATATGGCGCAAGAGGCACCGCAAAGCCGGTTGGAAAAGTTTGGACTGCTTGCAGTCGAGAAACCTCAGAATCAACACTCATTACCAGAGACTCAGTCGCGAGTTACCGTTTGGATTTGGAAGCTTCTGCAACTTGTCTATTTGGGATATCTCGCTCTGCGGTTCATCACAACAGGGTTGTTGCGTGTTGCATCGACTCCGGCCGTGAGCGTCTCACCAACGGCTACCAGTCCAACCAATGACTATCCCACCAAGACGATCCCGTCAACTGACCGCGCCACAGGGAGGCGCCCGGTTCTCGGCTACAGTTTCTACGGCATGCTCTCACAACTGTTGGATGTTCCAAAGAGGATGCCATGGCTCGGGGGACTACTAGAGCTCTGCCAGTATCTAGCGTTGGAGGGCCCCTGCAGGCTAGGCGACACAGATAGTGTTCTTGATAGGTGAGTTTACGCTTCACTTGAGTTTTGTATTATGCCCCCATCCCACCCCATCCCCTGCAGGTCACGGACGCCATGATCGAACCCTGGTTGCATGCTCGGAGAAGCTATTTCCTGCCTTCATGATGTGGAGAAGCGGCGGACTGGCCTTCTAAGCCACGGTCAGCTCGCTGTCTTCAAGGCCGTCAGTGGCAGCGATTGGAGACGGGAAATACGAAGTGGAATTGCTCGCATAGCGTCCTCCGCTCTTATCGGAGCTGTCTCATTCGGGCAATACTCCGCTGGTAACAGAACGTGATCAGCATGTACGGTCATCTTACCGCTCTCGTATGCCGCGTACCGTAACTCTCAAACCCTGGTACCGCATGTATTTACCGCTTCCGATACGATACGCAGTCCGCTCGCCGTCGACCCGCAGCCTTGCACGGCTGATTCATATTGGCCGCTGCCCTGTTGCTACTGAAGCTACTTCTGCATTCTTTTCTTCACCCCGCGCATCGACTGTCGACTGCTGGCTGCGGCCGAGCTCGGATAACGGGTGTGCGTTCCGCTGCACAACCCAAACCAGGCTTGGGCAAGAGGCGTCCTAAGCTATCAGCCGGTCTAGCAGCAGTACAATTTTTCTCCAGTTCTGGACCGGCCCTTTCCGTTCCGTCTTCTGACTGCCTCGACAATCCGGATATTAACTCGCTGCGCCCATCATACCCGGAAACGGCAACACTTCCATTACTATGAAAATGGTAAGTGCGGCAAATCTCCCTCGAGAAACACGAGGTTAGGGCAATTCGACGATCGTCTGCACGGATCAATACCCAATAGAAATTCGTACCTGTCCATGTCCAATAAGCAAAACTCCCAGCCAGAAAAAAAAGATTTGGAGTTTGAGTTCTGGCCGGAAGTGCAAGCATTCGGTCAGGCATAGAGAGGCTGTGCTATGGGTTTGCGTCCTATTTTGGTGCCCCTATCTAGTATTATCGGTTTCCGATGAGGAAGAATGCACTTTATGGGGTTTGTTGGGCCCCTTTGGCTTTTGCACGCAACCGCTCGAATCAGTGTTGGCACGTGCTCTACATCTTCGATCTTCGCTCTTGACCGCATCTTCTTGCGCATGCATTGCCCACCCCCGCGTTGATAATGGTCGATTGGGGCGACGGGCCGTGAAACGATCTCAATCGCCGCTTCTCCACTGGCCTTTTGTCTTTTTTTTTTACCTAGTTCCGCAGAATAAGGCCGCCAACTACTGACGAAAAAATTCAACTCCACCAGGTTCCTCCATGAGACGATTCAGGACTACGTATTGACACCCACCTTGCTGCCCAAACTCCTCGTGGCAACCAGAACCGTGCTATTCCCGCAATATACGCGCCCGCCTCAAGCCTCAGCGAAAGCTTCCAACGATGTAACTGCTCGTGCTAGCGCCGTCAGCGACAACCATACAAATAATATTAACACACCAGCCGCCACTCCCGCAGCACCAACCATCTCTCCCTTTTTGCCGCCCTCGCCTTCTGGATTCCAGGATCATAGGCCCTCTTCAGCAGAAATTGCGGTTATAAGGCGGCAATGCGCGACTAAAATTCTGTCGCTGGTCCCGCGAAAAGTCGCGCGGATATTTTTCGGGCTTCCACCGGCCATTTCATCACCAGTTATCGGCCCGAGGCTGCAGGAAGCGCCGGCTGACGTCGACATTGACACTGATCGTTCGACAGTCCTTGAGACAACGGGAGCTGCAGAAAATGACGATGAGGGAACATCCCTTCTTCTAACAGCCATCGAGGACCTCCTTGACCTCTTCGCCGATGAATATTGCAATAAGCATTTAATCTATTCCATGCTCGAGACCTTTTTGGCGAGACTCCTTCCGGAGCTATCGGAGCGCTCTGTGGCCGAGTTGATGGAGGACAGGGGATTAAGCTGATGCTGAACTCTTTACGATGTCTTGCTTTTTTCTTTGATGGTCCAATGATTCGATACCAGTAGTAGTATAGTAATTCAGCCCAGACGATAATATATACTGTATCAGTATATGATATGATGCCTTGTGATCCTGAAGAATATCCGAGCCTAAATGAAAGGCTCGTGCCATACATACAATCGGGAAGATCTATGCGTAAACCGTATGATGCTCCAGCTCCACTCAACTCTGCTTCCTCTTCTACCGGCAACAACGATTCCTGCAGGATGGTTGCCGTACCATATCCTTCCAATCCTTCCCATTGCCTAGTTTAATTTTTTAGTTTTACTTACCCCCATTTTTGTCGTTAACTAATTGTAATTCGCTCGTATTAGTTGCAATTCCTGGCTAGTTACGGAGTACCAAACTCATCGTATTCATACTACCAATCGAGTACTCCATACAATAAGTAAATAATACCTCGGTAGACAATATATATTATTGTAAATACTAAATGCAGCTGTATTACTATTATGCTTTAAACGTATTAGATTGTCCAAACTCCGAACCAACTAACAAAAAAAAAAGAGCTTACATTGAACAAACAACTCGAGAGCTCTCGTTAAGTCTTCTCTTCCTCTTTAATCAATTTATTATCTTCTTTCTTTCCCCTTAATTACTCTCTCTCCTGCCTTTCCCATTAAAACATGTCCAATGCAACATAGAATGTTTCTGTTCATCCACAAGTATTTGCTAGCTTAGCTAACTTGCATGGTTAGGTAGTATAACAGGGGGTACATGATAGGTGCACAAAATACTAAGTAAATGGCCGTGAAATAAAACAATGTCAAAAGGGAAGGGATAGAAGGCGTACGTGACTGATTATCAAGTACAGTATTCAATTCAACCCAGAATTGGAGGGATGCGCTGTCGTATAGTCAACCCAATGGTGCAAGTACTCGGAACAAATTCCCCGTATGTATAGCACAGAAAGCAAATATTGAAAAAAAAAAAAAAAAAAAAAAGGGGGAATGAATTTTGCAAAGCCCAATGTTAAGAGGTTGCCCTCATATCGCTGTATCATGTAATCTTCCCTACGCGGAACTTGCGGGTTGCAGATCTGTTTTGGTGAAGAAAAGCCGGGAAATAAATAACAATAGCCAGGAGATTAATGGGTAATATAAAAACGGAAGAAGCAAAATCAAGCTGCCAGTGTCAGCCATGGGGAGGAAATTATAATAAATAAAAAAAAAAAAAATCCCAAAGAGACACCCAAGATACCGAAAGGGGAATAAAACATGCAAAAGTAACAACCAAGACCAAACCTAAGGATCGAAAACAAACGTCCCGAAAGAATAAAAATAATGCGTTCAGATATGTTTGCAAGTGACTCGATGTGAAGGCAATTAGTCGCGTTGAGGCGAAGATCCTCATCCACATCAGCTGAGGGTATGAATGCTTCTTTTCTTGTTCAGCTGAGGAGAACCGTGCTGTTCTTCGATAGAGGAAAGACCTCCTGGAAGAAGATGGGGGTGATTCTTGACTATCTCCAGTCTCTGCATGAGCTTGCTAATGGTCATATAATCTTGCGCTCCGAGTCCGGATGGTTGATGTTGGAAGTAATTCATTACCAACTCCAGGGCCTGTCGTGCTTCATACTGGGTGGGTGAACCAGGAGAGCTGACCGGTGAAAAGGCGTTCGTCTGCAGAACCGGAGGTGAGAAGGACTGGGGGTTGCCTTCGAGATCACTCTTATTGCACTCGAACGTGACTGATGTATTCAGGTTAATATTTCGCCTGTCTCCTTCCTCAAATGGCGGTTGAAGCCCAGCCACCGACAATGACCGCTGTTGAGAGGCCTTAGGTGAGATTTGGTTAAAGGCTGGATCTGCAGCGATGAAACTTGGGTCAACTGCAAATGGAAATGTCTGGCTCCGTGGTCGCTGGGAATCACTGCCCATCAAAGGGATGCTTGACTGACTGGTAGGGGTGAAGGGACTGTCGGACACCATGGTCGATGGGCTGGTAACACCGCTAGAGAAATTGGATGAGTTGTCAAGGGGATTGGAGCCGTTCAGGAGATCATTATCATCAGCGGATGGCAGCCCAGGTGCCGTTTCCTTCTGGAGACCTTCCTGAATCTGCGTTGGAGTCAGGGGTGGTGCGCATGGGGACGCGGGAGAAACCGTAGTGGGGGTATGCACAGTGGAAGAATCCCCCGAAGAACTGTTCTTATTATTGGTGGGGCTTTGTGGCTGGCTTTTGGCGTCCAGAGAGTCCTTGCGGGATGGGATACCGGTAATGTTATACTTTCTCTTGAACTTCGGTAGCCAGCTGGGGCTCATCACCTTTTCCTTTTCGATGTTGCCGCAAGTACTCGCGAATCGAAGGGCCTTCTCCCTGATTGACCCATCTGTCAATGGAGCTCCCTGTTGCTGACGTTTGACGACCCAGTTATATACGGCCTTTTCGATATCCGGAACCTTCCCCTTTGGCTTTTTGGCTGGTGACGGGGGTCCATTTTTGAGGTTGAGATATTTCTCCTTCTGGCGCAAGACTTTCGAAACGGTACTTCAAATAAGCGATAATGCTGATGTTAGACGGAACACGCTCACACAGGAAACAACAACTCATAGGATGAATTGACTATGTACCTTCTTTCCACTCCAAATATCGCTGTTCGACATCAGTCTCATTCTTACTGGGAAAGAGAAAAAGGGGGGAAGCGGTTATTACCTCCAATATCAGTCTGCTTAGCAGACTTATTCTCTTCATGGTAAAGACACATGCGGCGACGATCCTCATCCGTAAGAGTTCTCCTCGGGGTTGAAGAGCCAGACAACGACTTCCGGATCGAAGGGACGGACTGGGGTATAGGAACGGATGTAGATGTCTGTGCCTGTGGTGGTGGTGGCGGTAGTGGTGGTGATAGCGGCGGAATGGTTGGATCCAAAAAATGAGGCTGAGTAGCTAGCATACTGGGCCAAGGCTGCGACGGCAAGGCCAGAGGGAGTGAGGTGTATGGTGGTGGTATCGACACACTATACGAAGGGTCCATCCGCATGATAGGTGATGGGCCGTAGCCAAAGCCTTGGTAGGATGGGACCTGGTTTACCGGGAACTGTTGTTGCGAAGAGCCATAGACTGCCCAGAGCGGCTGTTGGAAGTCGTTGCTTTGCATATGATGTCCTTCTGTCTCCATGACGGAGGGTAATATCCACGGGATAGCAACAGACAAAAGCAGATGAACGAAGGAAGCGCCTGACACAGCGCTTGATCTCCTTGGGTATGAGGAAGGACCACCTGCAGCAGCGCAGGGCACAATTATATCTGGTTGGAAGGGGATATATCGGGTGGAACAAAGAAGGACGCAGGGTGATACAGATCAGATCCAGGAACAGCGGCAGGGTCTAGATTAACAGATCCAAGAGACAATTGCATGTTCAATTGCAGAAGGTAGAGAGGCCCGCATGCAACTAGACAAATTGATATTGGATTGATTGGGTTCACGAAGAGTGGATGACAAAGATCGCTCTCAGCAGCTGGACCAGAGCCACCAAGAGGTTATCACGATGCGCATACAATAAGTATTTAAGGTAAAGAGGACGGGGGGAAGCGGCGGGAGTGAGATGCACTGCATGCTAGAACGGCATGGACCGAGTTAAAAAAGATCAAGGCTGAGAATGCAGCGCAGGCACCGGGAGGATCATCGATTATGGTGCATTCGTCCTCGACCGAACCAGCGGCCAGAGACTCAACGGCACAAAGACCATGCCGGCAGACAGATGGCCAGCAGCTGTGAAAGTGCGGTGCGATTGGGCACACAGGAGGGAATAACGGGAGTGAAAACGGCGGCTGGTTGGCCACTGACAGATATTAGTTGAGCACGGTGAGCAAGACCGGGGTATTTTTCTTTTATTATTTCTTATAAAAAATATAAAAGAAAAATATGCACACTGACCTGTAAAGTCCGGTATAACTCTGTCACCCCGTATGGTATCAACCAAGATAGTGTATGGCTAACGCGGTTAGAAATTCGAGGACAAGATATATCATAACCTTCGGCACAGAAACTTACCTGGATTGGGTTGTTCAATAGAGCCTTTGGCGTAGGTCTGGAGACAGGAATGGAGCTGGCAGACAGACAAGTAGGCGTAGGATAGGCAAGAAGGGCTTGCTTTGGGCACCCAACAGCCTGAGAGCAAATGATCAACCACAAGCTATTGTCCTTTTGAGAAAAATAATATTAATTGAGGGACCAAAAAAGAGTGGTCCGTAAAGAGGCAGCATATGCTATCAAAACGTATCAATGTAATAATCATACCGCATCGAGAAAGCGAGGGTCACGGGCGCAGGCGAGCGGCTGGCTGAAATCCAATGGTGGATAGACGCAATAAAATAATGAATCATCATTATTGGTATTTTTTTTTTTTTTTTTACAGCGTAGAAGATCGAACCCCCACTCGCAAGGGCAGGTTGTTCCATCGGCCTAGGATTCTTTCACAACGATAGGAGACGAGAGCCCGTTGGATTTCAGTGGACATTTTTTCCCTTTCCCTCAGGGGTAGTTGAGCTGCAAATCGGAGATGGAAGAAGCGGGAGCTCATCAGCGATGTGAAGCCTTATTTCCCAGCGAGTGAGCAAATCAGTCGTCATAGACGGGAGATTGTATCCTGGCTATCAAGCTGGACTGCATTGTAAGGGCTTTTTCTGCTCACTTCGAGCATGCACGGTCCACCGTTGTGTATACAGAGTATACTGTCCACTGTACACTACTATCCGTACAGCGTATAGGTTTTCATAATAACCATCCGTCCATGTATCCTTTTTCCTGGGTCTGTGATCGGTCAGATTCTAGGACAAAGACCACCCTTGCAACTTATATTATATATTATACCGTTAGCGAGAAGCAACACGGGATATGTAATTGGCAATCTAGAGTGAGGGACTCAACCCACGCGAACAAGAGCGCAGTCAACGACCGCCGTAACTGCAACGGTAGGAGGAGCCACTCCGGGCCGGCAAATCCTGAAATAAACGAGCAGCTGGCCAGTGAGAGCATGAAGATCCTGCAAATCATAGTTTGAGCAGCGAGAGGCCAATGGGGGAGAGATGGAGGTTGAGCTACCATATACGCCGTACGTCGTACGCGGCATACATCATAATACGTACCAGGGATACATACCGTACGTGCGTTACAGTACGGCACTCGCCTGCCTAGACGGGCTAGGTACTTACGTCCATTACCTATATACCCTCCATTGCATACCGTTATTGTTTATCTCAAAACCGTTGGAACGTGCATAATTGGACGTATCCGTTCCAAAGTCCAAATATGACAGGAGAAAGCTTTCCTTTCCTTTTTTCCTCTCGTCGAACTCAACATACAAGTCAGTCATCAACACGAGGAATACAGCCGGACCTGCAATACGGCAGATCTCCCGTATCCCTTCCTCCTTTCGATTCCACACTGGACCGCCTCCATTCGCAGCGAATGGGATATCTTCCCGGTCGGTAGTCTACCTGCCATCTCCAATTAAGGCCGGCACTCATCTAGGTATCCATGTTACCTATAAGAGTATGGCATAATATGGTCATGCTCTTATTCTTATCGGGAACAAGCGGCAGAGCGAAAGTACGTGGGCCGAGCGTGGTTATGGATTGCAGTAGCATGACGCAGGAATATTAATAAAATAAAACGGAGAATTATTAATCAGGTGTACTTTCAATGGCTGACTATATCCATCGTATATGCACTCCGGACCGTACAACAATAGTGAGGTGTTGCATCTGTCAGGTACGGCATTCCGTGCAACGGACAATGGATGCATACAGTACGATCCTGGTCAATCTATACAGACTGCGGAGTAAGTCGACGATGATGGTGGTGAGATCTCGCCGTAAAGATATATTAAATGTACATGTACGCCCGACAAAGTAGTAATCCGCCGGCATATATGCCCCAGCATACCGTACAATGCCTGTACACCTCCTCCACTAACTGCTGTGGATGTATGCATGTTGAATAAAATCCATGTCCATACATTATACCCTTGCCCTGCAAAGGCATGCAGTACACTGCTCCACTCCCAATGCATTCCCCACCCAGTCCTGTGAGTAACCGATTTTGTCCTTCAGCGAACCTCATCTACGGGTCTCTGCCGATCACCTGATAGCCACTTAGAATTCCTAGTAACATCATACATAATATACGTATTCATCGAGTTGTCGCTCTCTGGAGCTGTCATATCCAGCCGCAGTAACAATGTTCTCCGCTTCGTACCCCCTGTACATTGGGACTTGCGTATGTCTAGTCCAGTTCAGTTGAGTTCCCATTGAACAGGGTGATGTGTGCCGAATATGCAGGGGAGAGAGTGAGAGTATACTAAGTAGACAAAGGCATACATGCCTGCCTACCTACCAGTAGCTACACTGATCCGCGCGGCATACGGAAATGCGCCACAATTGGCAGAGGAATCACGGCACGGCTCGCGGGGACGGCTGTCAATCGACAAGATCAACTGCAAGTAGTAATGGCATCTAATGCCAGTCTGCGAGCTGTTAGGAGCTTAATCCATCCAGATACCACCATGCATTGGAAGTACCAGTGTTATCTTCCCCATTCCAGTATGTATAATACTACCCTTATTGCTATGGGCATGATGGTGAAATATCTATCTTACTGTCATGAGCATCCCTTTTGAATGCGATTAGTTCTTTCCCTTCAATCGACGGATTCCAGGGATCACTGCGCAACCAGATAGGGCAGGGTGCAGCACGCATAGATTCCCTTTCTTTGTTGGACGAACAAAGATTGTCATGGGAACGACAATTGCGGCAAAGACATGAATTTCGCGCAGATCAAATCTAGAACTCCTCGTATTTCTATTCTGCTGGGGCTATCTCACTCTGGGAAAGAACAGGATATATTCGTCAGTCTAGTTAAAGTTTCACTCGTAATGACGAGTTCCCTTATCGGACCTTTCTGTTCATCTTGGTCAGCAACCCAGCTGGTCGGGACCGAAGGTTGGCTTGGACGATAGGTAAGTGTTTGTACGCATTTCATAATCATGGCCTCTATCCATCCAAGAGACGTCAACGAGATCGTATCTGGTGCGCATGTCAACCAAACGCCACTTCTCCCCCTCAAACTTAATGTAGCATCTCACAAAGATCTATCACATAAGACAAGAGCGGAGCGCTGTAGACCACCAATAGCGGAGGGGATACTGTCAGTAGGTACAGACCGCATACCGTTTCCCTCATGTTCGATAGTAGGTCCTTCCTTGCCCGCGTTCATTTTCCACTCGAACTTCATGGGGGCGTGCGAGCCAAAAAGGGCAGTTAATGCGGCTTTACCGCTTGATAATCGTCACTGGAGACCAACTGTTAGTTGAAAGAAAATTGAGACTTGTCACGATGAAGGGACCACTGACCAATATCTTCATCCGCGAGTTCATGAGAGAGGCCCACCCTTTGAGGTTGGTGCTTTACCGAGCGGCCATAGACAATGGCATGTTTGAACTGATCTTTAATCGTCCTGTGGATGGCATTGCACTGGTGACACCATTAGCATTGTCCTCTTTCGTTTGCAAGGTTTCCGGGAATTCTCTATCGAGAGGGGCCTTCCTACAAAATCTTCGACTGTGCAAGCATGGGCTCTGAGCACAACAGGAGCCGTGTAGTCCGGAGCCTTCCCCTTGGGCTTGGTGTATACTCTTCGCAGATTAAGCCTTTCCCACATCAATTCCAAGAGTTCATCAATGTTCCAGCCATGCTCCGAGCTGATGGGGCATGCATTTGGAATCCGGTACAGAAGGTCCAATTCCTCGATGGAGATCGAATCTATCTTGTTCAGAACGTAAATGACGGGGATGTAGCTCCGACTCTTCGCCTCAAGAACGTCGATGAGATCATCAATGGTAGCATCACATCTGATGGAGATATCCGCTGACGAGATCCGGTATTCGTTCATCACAGCTTTTATTTCCTGGACACATAGTCAGCAACGCATTCCGTGTGCACAAACATAGGCCGGGGAACCCACGTCTTGGTCAATATGTGTCAGTGGAACGGTGCTGGTGATGGAAATGCCACCCTTGTCTTTTTTCTTGAAAACAATGTTGGGGGGCTGCTTGTTGATTCTGATACCAAAGCCTTCCAATTCCCGTTCAATAACTCTCTTGTCGGACAGAGGCTTATTCACATCAAGCACTATGAAGATGAGATGGCACGTCTTGGAAACGGCAATAACCTGCCGTCCGCGTCCTTTGCCATCCTTGGCACCTTCAATGATACCCGGAAGGTCAAGTATCTGAAGCTTGGCGCCATTGTACATCACTTGTCCAGGAACAGTCGTCAAGGTGGTGAATTCATACGCGGCAGCTACAGCAAGAGTTAGTATCCCATTCAAACACTGACCGATGCCATCATTATTTCTGTGCAAACCTTCAGAATGCTGGCCCGTCAGCCTGCTCATCAAAGTACTCTTGCCGACGGAGGGAAATCCGATAAAGCCACTGCTCAGAATAAGCAATCATGCACTATCGTGGAACGTTCATTTCCGAAGGGGGACGTACATGCTAGCAACACCGGTCCGGGCAACATCGAAACCAACTAAGGAATCATGATTGTAAGTAAAAACATGCCGCATGTCTTTTCATCCAAAGGAAAAGGCACTTACCACCTCCGCCACCTCCACCACCACTCGGGGTCAATAGTTCTCGTTTTAGCTTTGCAAGCTTCGCCTTCAACTGTCCTGCACCAGTTTGTCAATAATTGTCCAAAGCACATTCCAACGGGATTTTCAATCCAAGCATACCCAAGTGAAACGAGGTTGCCTTGTTCTTTTGAGTTCGGGCCATCTGAAAGGATCAGAGTCAGAAGCACGCTCTCAGGAAGAGATTCTCGGAAAACTCAGCACAAACCTCGGCCTCGATCTCTTTGATCTAGATGACATGTCAGAGATGTTAGTAAAATTGATTCTGTCGAAGACGAAAAAGAAAAAAAAAAGAATGCGCCCATGACGTGCGACATACCTTGTCCATTGTAGTCGCCATGTCGACAGTTGTGAAACGAGCACTTGCTCCTGCAACAGATGCAGATAAATATCTCTCTTTAAATTCTCCGGCGAGTAATGGGTATTTTACAGGGTGATAATGTGAAGAAGTTGATGCAACAACAGTGCCTTAAAGGTTTGCGGAGACAATCTTTTTGTGGACGGAGATAGAGTTTAGTCGGCGGGGTGGCGGCCTCAGGCATAGAGTTGCCGCCTGAGGCCAGAATCCTATGTACCTGACGCTTATTAGCGGAGGTGGCGGCAAACTGAGACGAGAAACAGAACTGAATGACTTCAATCAGCATCCCTACTATTATTATTATCTACGAGAAATCCGGTTGTGTCACACGGCCTGTTTGGTGTTCCGACGGACGTCCTGCTTTATCAGAGACAGCATGTTCCGACGGACGTCCTGCTTTATCAGAGACAGCATGTTATAAACTGTCGTCTCCCGCTGTCTTTGTCGTTCAGTTTCAGGTACTTTCCGATAAGGGCAATCAAGATAAGATACGTCAAGTTTGGCCTTGCCCGAGTCGCCGATTCGGTATCTGCTACTACATACACAGCTCTGTATCCTCATCATCATTTAAATCGGCACTATTAGCCAGTCTATCATTCTCTCATCGCAATTGACTCGCAGTTGATCCGCGACACCATGCCGTTCCTCAAAAACAGATCCGACTCGCCATCCTTTGCATCCTCGTCCTCCGAACCCGAACCCGCCCCAGACGCCTTCCAGAAACTCGTCGAGGACCTCAGCGCAGCTTTGGGCCCGAGCTCGGGTCTCGACTCGGACGATGTCGATCCTGCCGACATCCAGCGCCTGATGGAAGCCTACGTCTCCAATTCGGAGGAGTGGTCAAGATACGCGCTGGGAGATGGAAGCAGGACATACACGAGGAATTTGGTCGACGAGGGAAATGGGAAAAGCAATCTTGTAAGGATTAATTTTTCCCATGTCTGCATGTGGATAATAGTTCAGCATCTTACTATCTATAGCTTATCCTGGTATGGAGCCCGGGAAGAGGCAGTGCCATCCATGACCATGCCAATGCACACTGTGTCATGAAGGTAAGGGTTATTGCCGAGTTCTTGAAAATGAACTGCTTTGCTCATTTACCTTGTCAACAATCAATAGATCCTCAAGGGTTCTCTCCAGGAAACCCTCTACTCATGGCCTGACCAGGAGAAGATCAAGAGCGGACAGTACTCACCTCCGCAGGTCACCAGACAGTCAGTGTATGGCGAGAACGAGGTTACATACATGTCCGACAAGGTTCGTATTCTGGTCTGGAAGCAAGGAAATGGACAGCACCTCACAGTTCACACAGTTGGGCCTCCATAGAATCTCCAACCCGGATCCTAACAACTTTGCTGTCTCGTTACATCGTGAGTGCTATTTTCCTTTGCACAAACTACTGCTGACACTTTATAGTCTACACCCCTCCCCATGCTGCTACATATGGCTTCTGCCTCTACGACGAATGCACCGGAAAGGCAAAACATATCAAGCAAGCCAATTTCTACTCTCGCAAGGGTCAACGGGTCAATTGTGAACAGTTCTACAACTAAGTCGCCTATTCTATGTCGATGATACTCCTGTTGGTCCGGTGTTGGGTTCTTTTGGAGTTCTCTGGTGTTATTCTATCTTTTCACTCCTTCCTAGTCAAAGTTGGCAAGTTCTTGCTCTATTAATACTTTCTGTCAGGCACAGACCATTCATTTTTACTGCCGGCTCCTTATTCTCTCCTTTGGTATTGGTATTGCTGATCACTTATAAATTATGTCGCAACTCGTGAAAGAATGAGAAGTTGAATTCAAGATCTTAGTTGTTTCTATTAGACCGACCTGATGATTCGAGTTAATAACTGAACCAGGTAGAATTCTAAATACCAGAGATAGTGACATAAACAGGTCGCAACGATTAGCCATTACAGCATAATATGTATAAAATGCTAATGCTAGTATGTATGCCATCAAATAAATGCCATGCATGCCATTCGAAGGAGATAAAATGAAAGAAATTGCTCGACTCGATTAAAGATTGTGCACGCCTGAAATGAAATATGGAAGGGGGTAACTTGCTCGAGAGGAGAGGCGAATAAAAACAGATATGAGGAAACCAAACATGACCATAAATCAAAACCAAAAAAAAAAAACTATGACAACTTCCTAATCCTCTCAAAAAGTATATTTGGATTTTCCAAAACTTCGATCTGTCGACGACGGAGCTCCTCGAGACGCTCCAGAGGATTCTGTGAATTTCCAATATAAGTACGTTGCTTGCAGGAGGCGCAGAAATACATCAACCGTGACACCCACCCAGTCCTCCTGATTCGGCACTCCCTCAGCGAGGGAGAGAGAGGGTCTGGTAGAGGTTGTTGAAGAGGAGGATGTGTCATCTCGCCGGTCCCAGATTGAGGGGCGCCGGATCGGCACTGGGGTTACGGGGAGGCTTGGACGGTCTATTTCGCATGGGAAGTCGGTTAGTAGGACGCTGCCGCCTCGACTGCCACTGTCACTCCTTTCTCGTGTTTTGGTTTTGGGTGCGGCTTCAGCTTCGGTTTCACGGCCGGTTGTTTTTTGCATCGTGCCGCTTTGCTGTTGGATGGTTTGGGTTTTGACCCTTCGCGGTCGCTGAATGGATTGAATGTATTTTCTTATCTCGGGAACTTCATCCCAGGCGTTTAGTTTTGAGTAGTTCTGCCACGAGTCTGTTGTTGATTCCTCCCATGATGTCACAGATTCCTGCGATAGACCCGATTCATCTCCGGTGGAAGAGATGGATGGCTGTTTGCTGTGCGATTTGACGCTTGGCTCGTCATCCAGGAATACGCGGGTTGGTCGAGGTGCATGGCTCTCCCAGGGGAAGAGTTGGGCGAGCTTCTTCGGCTCCGGTTTGGTTGTGGGAACTTCGTAGTACATGTTCTTTGGTGCGTCCGGGTAGGATTCAGGAGGCTGGAAGAGCTCTGTATCTTCCGACATGGCGTAGGTTTTGTTCTGTAAGTTAATAGCTTCCGGTTTTGAGTTCACAGGTGGGGGCTCCCTGCGGTCTTATGAGCTAAGAAATCTCGAATGCAAGTTTTTATGTGACCTACCTAGACGCATCCCATTCCGCTTTCGGGGGTTCTGGGGGTTGGTCCTCGGGCTTTGGTGATGATGGCCTTGGGCTGTGTTCGTATATGTCAGAGACGGCTGCAGGTTGAACATGTTGCATATAGCTCTCATCGTGCGAAGGACCCGGAGCAATTGGCGGTGCAAAGACTGCCGGCTCCCAGGACGTTTGGTCCGTATGTGGGGGAGCCGGGGGTTGGTAAGGATGGTGTTGTAGGTATACGGAGGCTTGTTCCTCTCCACGTACATACTGCGGGACTGTGCTTAAGATTGCTGGTTGAGGTTGCTCGGGTGCTTTGTATGTCTGTGCAGACGGAGCTCTACCTTCATCTGCATGGTATAACGGCTGGTGCACTAGCTGCGGCATCAGTTGTCCTGTTTGCTGTCCTGATAACGTCACTGGCTGGGGACCTGGATGCGGCATAGATTCCGGTGCTGCATGTCGTGATACGGGCAGCTGTTCAATCTGTAGCACAGTGTGCGCAAATGTAGTTGGCTGTGGCCCTGATTGCTGTGCCGACGGTACAGATTGTAATGCTGAGTGGTATGCCGGCTGTAGTACCGTCTGAGGCTGATGAGAACTCTCCGAGACATGTACTCCTGCAGTGAAAGGGGAACCTTGATTCTGTGGTGCCGTTAAAATGGCCCCTGAAGGGTCGTTTTGGGAACGATGAGATGGCGCGGTGACACTGCTGACTGTCGGACGATAATGTCTATCATAAACAGTCCACCACTTTCCCAGCAACCGACTATACGGCGACTCAGCCAGGTACAAATCCCTGGACAAGTGCCAGGGCTTCTGAGAACCGATAAAATGGACCAGGCTGATAGAATGCTGAAAATGTTTATAGGCCGGGATATACTGGTAGTTTGCACTCGGGGTACAGTTATACGTGAAGCTTAACCGATGCCAGTTCTTGAAATGCAAATTCAGCAACCCTTGGTCGGCACCATCGAAGCTGATGCCGTTATCAGCCAACGCGCGAAGGGCATGGTAATCCTGCATGTTCGGTTTGAGGACCATAACACCGCTGTTGAAGCAATCCGGCCAACCCACATCTGGCGCAGCGGCGAAATCCACGTTCAGCGAGAGAAGCTCGTCTGGGGCTCGGAGGGCCACGACATCGCTGTCCAAGTAGACTATCCGCTTGAACTGTGTCTGACGCCATAATTCAAGCTTGGTAAAGGTGGATATTAAGTCGGGCCGGTTCATCAGCCAGAGATTTGCAGGAGAGCCATTGAAAAGCGGATGAACGGAAATGACTTCATCGTATACGGTCTCGGGACGTGACTGTCAGTAACAGCCGCGGCACAGACATCTACATGTAAAAGAAAAGGGAAAGAAGAAAGATGAATGCAGAAATACCTTTAGCTCGTCGATAGTCGCAGGCCGTAAGCTTTCCGGTGTAAAAAGAGCAACGAGCTTCGCGCTGGTCCCACTGTCACGGAGAGAGTGGGCAAGCACCACGGCGCCTGTCAACGTATAGAACGCACGCGATTAGGGCATTGAAACTCAAGAAGATATGGACTATGAACCAGGATGCATCGGATGCTTTCTCACCTGGGAGATAATGGTCACTTAATAAGAGCTGCAGCGGAAATTAGCCTTCGCAGACCTTCGACGGGACGCGGGGGAGACTGGGGAAATGAATGGGGAAGATAGTCAACTCACTGTGCAGTAAACCGCATCTTCTCCCACAGGAACCATGATCCTAGTCATATATAGCTGTAGATATATCTACTCTTTCTTGAAAATAACAGAAGAGGTAAAAATAAACAAGACGTTGAAACCCTCTCTCCCCTTTACGTTCTTCGAGACGCGACAAGACACGCTCCCCGCAAAGCAATAGATACGTCCAAAGAGAGAAGAGAAAAAATAACAAATAAATAAATAATAAAAAAAAAAAAGAAAGAGAGAAAATAGGGAAGAACCAAAACAAAACTCCCCCCAAAAGGGAAAAGAAGAATATAGAAAAGAAAGAAAAATAATAATGGGGGGAAATCTGGGATAAAAGGAATGAGAGAAGAGAGTGAACGAGTCAGTATTTATTTATGCCTGTTTCTGTTCGGAAATTACCTATGAAAGGTCCAGATGACGGTCTAGATGCACCACAGGCATTCTTCCCCACGTTGACTGGGAAAATAATCAATAATTAATACTTCAGTGTCTTCGTTGCACTGAGGATTCCCCTTTATTTATCTCATGGCAGTTGAAGAGGAAGAAGAAGTGGCAAGAGGATCTGCAGCAGGGGAAGCTCCAAAGCGAAAGGAAAGCGGGGAAAGCATCAGTTGGGTTAATATTCAACAGTTCAATAAATAACATAAAATAAAAATACCTACGACAACAGCACAATCTTGTGTCCATGTCGGTATGGAATGGAGGACATGGATCTCCAGCACGACAGGGGAGGTCCGGGTTACGGCTACAGCTACACCTTGTCCGTGCTACTCGAATGGTCAAGATGCCACTGACGAACAGACCGCGGTTTTGTTGAGATGCGTTTAGATACACAGTCCTTGCGCTGTCTTAACCATAATCAACACTGAATGTGGCCCAAGACGCCACAGCTGTCGTATGACATGCGATGCGCTGCGAGTCCAATCGGCATTGTTGATAGTTATACCTCCCGTCCCTATTACATCATTGAGAGAAGCTGCATGATATTGTGATAATAATGTCCCCCGGAGGAGGGAGATGAGGAGATATTCAATATCCTATCCTAACCCAGTCGTTCATCGCCGAACAGTAACCACTGCTTTTGGATAGCAGTTCCCAATAACAGCACCAATGTCCTCCTTCTCACCCTTGACGGCCCACTCGACGACCTTTTCCAGTGCCAGTTGACTTTCCGGCTCCATGGGCGTAAAATGTCCGGATCGAGGCAGCTCCACCACCTGGCTGTTGTAGACCAAGTAATCTGAGATCCCATCGAGGCACAAATGCGGTTCCAATGCGATATCATCCCGACCCCAAATGATGGTGGAATGCGCCTTTAAAAATCCCTCGGGACCCCCGTCGAACAGCTCCGCCCCGCTACTCGTCCGCCGGAAATCAACACCGCGACTGAGGCTGTGAAGATATGCAATGGTCTCGAGGGATTTCTCCCATCGAGAGAACGCGGCTCCCTGCCTGTAATAACATGCCATCTGCGGAAAGGAGGAGGTACGGTTTTTCTTGACCGACTCCGGATACTCATCGCCGTCGGACGTTGCCGTGTTGCACTCCTCGACAGAAGGGCCCAGGCTGCTTGCCATGCATTCGGCAGCATCCCGAGGCGTGAATTCGGCATTTCCACACGATCCTCTGTGAGCTGCTTTTAGGAAGGAATGGTTGCCTCCGTGGCCCAAGTATTCAACAAGCACCATGGGCAGCTGCATGGCAAAGATGTAGCCGGAAAGGATCAGCTGTCGGAACACAGGAATCAAGGTCTTAGCTGCCTTCAGAAGCGTTGAACGGGAACGAATCGGGGTACGTCCTGATGTCTTGATCATCTTCCACGATGAAGACAATAGACGACGTATATTGGCCGCAGCTAAACGGGGCTGAAGTAGGAGGGTTGTCAGTCAGCTAGCGACAAGAGGTCACATAAAACGCAGTAAGCCGTACCAAGGGTCCATTAGTGAGGATAAACCTATCCCCTAACTGGGGAGCATCCGCTGCCAGCCGCATCGCAAGAACACAGCCCCAGTCATGCCCAACGATCACCACTCGCCTCTGGTTCGTCTCGGTCTCCGTATCAATCCCGTACTGAGCGCGGATTGCAATGATAAACTCAGCTAGGCTCTCCAACACATTTGTCGCTGTATACTCATCCATAGTACCACTGCCCCCGTACCCGGGTAAATCGACAGCAACCACGACGGCCTCCTTCTGGAGCGAATGAGAGCAGATAATGTGGCGCCATATCGCCCAGCTATCAGGGAATCCATGAATGAAGACGACTAGCGGCTTGTCGGCGCTGCGACCGGGAGCATAGTTGCTCACGTAGTGGAACTTGAAGCCGTTGCGTAGAGTCAGGAAGTGATGTGAGAGGCCGGAGCAGTCCTTTGAGAGGTTCCAGAAACGGTCTCGAGCTGTTTTGCAGGTTGGCAATTGCTTGTTAGGACTTGCTGCATGGATGGGAGCTCCAGGGCAGGGATCGCAAGGGAGAAAGCTCACCGATACGTAGCTCCAACTTCTCTTTCTCGGTCGGCCGCTTGAAAAAGGTCCCTTTCTGTATAGATATCAAAGCATACAGAAACAGCGTAAACAGACCATAGCCATAGAAGAGAACGGATCTCAACAACTCAAACAGCCTGCTTCTCGCCATGGCGCTGTATACCGACGATTACGAAGAGGAAAATCCAGTATTGATCAATGACGATAAACTTGTTGCAGCACGGGTCTCAGACCAGCCGGAAAGGGTAATTAGCCCCGCCGCGGTTCACAAGAGCTGACGACGGGTACAGTACGGTACAGTACGGTACTGTATGTCCTGTTTAGGGTTTGCAGCAGTTGAGAATCGGTACGAGCTTGGATTGGAGAAGAAAAAGCCGGAAGAAAAAGGGCGACTCGAGTCTGTTTTGAAACAAGAACGGTGGAGAGAGAGATGAAGCTGACAGACCTGAAACGATCTCTTATAGACCATACTATGGGTTTATCAGTTATGTCACAGGCCTCAGAAGTACATCGATGGGCCAGCTTGCTTATTTGGAGCAATCATAATCAAGAAACGTTCATTTGCGTTGCATCTCCAGCCAAGGAAAAGGCGGTCTTCATCTCAAGAAGTTCATTGGAGAGGATAGGGTCTATGAGGATTCTACAGTATTAATGAATTAGAAGTCCAAAGAAAGAGAAATGGTAGTGAATACGAACTCAATCAGACCAGTAAATACCTAATCGATCATGCAACTCGAGCAGAGCCGGCATGAAAAGTGTCTCGCATCGAACGTGAGATTGTGGTACCGAAGATGTCTAGTACGAAAATACGAATATCACGTCACGAAAATATCTATTCCTGCGCCCGGTAAACAAACCCAAAGGAAGGTGATATCGTGATTACCTGTCTGGAAAGTCACGAATTTTGATTTGGGTGTGCATTGGATCTAGATGAAGGTTGTGCTTTGCTCACCTCCTCTGGTTCGAGGATTGAAATCGCTTGAGGGTAGTAAAAGGATGTAAGAATGACAAGATTTGCTGATACAATCCCTACGCCAAAATAACGCTGGCTATGGACTGAGCTTATGCAGGAATATAAAGTCAACAGAAACATGTACAATATATTCTATATGTGAAGTACAATGTGTGCATGCAGTGGTCACTCGTGCATCTCTTCCTCTCAAGCCAGGACCTTCTTTAGCAGCAACCAGCAAACCACAACATTAAGCACGGATCCTATCAAGGTTTCAAGGATATAGGCCCTTGTATAACCAACATGGGAGTAGACAGCTGTGCAGAACGCAGCAACAAATGAAACATGCCCAACGTAGAACCCCCATTTCGTAGTCTTGGGACCTCTCCACATCCACGAACCACGTTTCTGTCCACCAGACGGCCGAGTAAAGATCAAGATGGAGACTGCCGAACATAGAGCCACGATCCCCCACTGCACATCTGGATCACGGACTCGCTTAGCCAGTAACGTCCCGAACTCGGGATGGCTGGATTGAAAGAAGAACGAAAGGTACAACCCGGCATGGCCCAGGAGTAGTGGCGAGAGGACAATCCGGCCATACAGTCGGTGATATGGTGTTAGGGTCTGTTGGGGGATTGAAGTCAGAAGGGACAAGAGAGAGGGTAAAGTTGGTTTGGTTGATAGATAGAAGACTGGCGCCATCAGTGTCTGAAAGGGGAGTTGGGATATGGCAATATGGCCCAGGGCCTTGGTGAGATGGAGATAATCTGTTACAGACGTTAGATGTCTTGACTCTGTATAGCTATTATATAATTCTAAAGGAATCCGACATAATTCGCATACCATATCCAGCTCCCCAAACTGACAGGCCCAATAACCATCCTAGCCAAAGAAGTGTAACCATATACTGTTTGCGAGTCTCTCTCCAGCCCTGACAGGGAGGCATATCCCACCATGACTTCGGCCGTGGAAATGGACGTCTTTCGCTGTTGCCATTACCGGACTCTCTGGGTAGCAGTATGCAGCTTCGATAAACCCGAACTAACAGGACAATGGCAATAGCAGACAATTGTGCATAGTAACCCCGGAGATCTAGAAGCTCACGACGGTGCTGGATCTCAGCTGGTGAGAGGGCCAAGAAACGATACGGCCATGACGGTGGCATCTTTGGTCATCCTGTTACACAGGGTGTTGATAAGATAAAATTTCAAAGATTTGGTGAACTGGATGGTCTTCTATCATCAGCTATGACCACCGTGTCATCAGCAAGTGAAGTACATTGCATCTTATCCGAATGTTTTTTTGAGGCTGCGGGTATAGAATTAGTAATGCTGCTCTAGCGAGTGGCAAATTAGACACGCAAGTACGAGTATACAGGCTGAGGGCAAGGCTGCCAGGTGGAAGGCATTCTCCAACGAAGCGCACACAGAACCTAATCCTCTATTCTAATCCTTCATTCGAACGTCTCGCATTATTGATTTGCATTGAGATTCTACATTCAAACGCCGCGGAGCATTCCATTTGTCAAATGCTGCCGTTTATCTAAATCAACATGATGAGCCAGGTGCAACGTTTGCAGGAGCATCGCACAATTCAGATCATAAGAGCTCCATCTACAGTGTAAATGAAGCACGGTTCCATCAGAAATATATCTTTTCAATAGCCTACGGCGACGTCTGCATAACCTCAGCATGGCCAGCTGCGGCGGTTGTGGCAAAATATCGAACATCAACGTCTTCATCTTCCTGCAACTTCTCCAGAATGGGCAGGATCCTCTGCTGGATGATTTCCTGGCCACGTGGCGACGGCGTAACGGCTTCACCTGACTTCTCTATATCAGAAAGAGTCTTGTCTGCCGGAATGCGCCGTAGCGTGTCAATGAGCACCGCGTAAGACTTGGCGACATTGAACCGAATGTTAGGGATCTCGTCTGTGACGAGTCTGTCCAAAATCGGTAGAATCGAAGTCTCGATGACATCTAGAGTGACGACAGGCGCCAGGGTCTTAAAGAGAGAATTAGTCGAAAATCACGATCAGACACCCGCAATTGCACTTACAGAAATAGCAAAGCATGTTGTCATCCTGTAGAGGTAATTCGGGTGTTGTCCCATTGCCATAACCTTCGGAATAATGGAGTCCTTGGCCCAGTTTACCCCGAACACCTCAGTTAGCTTCCTCAAGTTCTGCGTGGCTGCCTCTCGGATAGAGAAAACTGTATCACCAAGCCATCCCATGCAGAGATCACTGAGCTGTTCATCAAAGAATTTGACACCCAACTGACTGGCGAGGAGAGGAATATATTCAATAATAGCTAGGCGGACACGCCACTGCTTATCTTCTGCCAACTGTACAATAGCGGGAAGCAGTGATTGGGAGAGTAACTCAATACCGATCACTACATAGAAAGAAAAATATGAAAATGTCAGAGCGCGGTGGTTTTTCTTAGAATGTCTTGTCTTCTTACCCTTGTTGACAGACTCCAGCTTGGAAATGATGTGCAGGCGAACGTCAGGAAATTCATCCTTGAGCATCTGAAGAAACATAGGGAGAAGATGGGCGATAGTCCTAAGAATGGAGGTGAGTATTCTGCGGTCCGAGGCATGCAGAACTTCAACATACTGTTCTTTTCCAAGGATAGGTGCAAGGCCGCTTATCTGAGTGCCCAGAGCAGCACGGACATGCTGGGAAGGGTCTGAAACGAGATCCTCAATGGTAGTCATAACTTCGTTAAGAAGGGTGTCTCGGTCGATCAAGCTGCAAAAGCCTAGTTTGGGGTCTGTCAGCGTCTTTTAACTAAGATACACGCGTTACATAAAATACCTGGTATCTGCCCAGCGATGGCTGTGCGAACCTCTGCTTCTGTGTCCTTTAAAAGCTTAACAAAAGCGGGCACCATGTCGCGAGTAACTACCTCTTCATGCACAGCTTTCGCGATCTGCAATGGTGTCAGTGCGGGCAGAATGGTATAGTCGAGAGGGAAATAAAACCAACCTTCTCGAATCTGTCGGCAACCATATATCTGACTCTCCAGCTTTTATCTTCGAATAGACTCCGCAAAGATGTCAGCAAAACACCGTGGCTGGGCTGTTGATCCTTGGGTATTTTCTCCGCAATTGAAATAAGGATATCAACCGTAAGTAGGCGTACACTATCCTGGTCATCGCCTGCCAAATATTGAAATAGCGGTATCATCTCGTCAATGATAACGGGTGAATCCATCTCCTTGACAAACTTTGCAAGGTTGTTTGCCGCTTGCCTTCTCACCATCGGCGTCTCGTCATGCACCAATCCCCCAAAATTTTGCCGAAGACTTTGTCGCAGTGCTGGAGTACCTTTCGCATACGGGGCAGCATGAAGACCAGTTGCGGAAACTTTCGAAGTAAACCAGTCTGCTTTCGAAAGGCGGAACACCATAGGAACGAAATAGTCTTCAATTTGTTTCTCTGAGAGCTCGTTGCAGATCTTATTGAGAGACTCAACGGCCTGCATCCGTTTAGCTTGGTCCTCAAAGGAATATATGACTTTCTAGACCCTACCTTGTCCCGAACCAATGGTTCTTCGATGGCGGCCAGATTCTCCAGCGGAGAAAGTAGCACGTGCCCATACTCCGGACCACCAACGTATTCTATGAAGTTACCCAGCTCTTCGCTTAGTGCGGTCAAGACCTCATCTTCATCTTCGACGGAATCTGATTGAGAGTAAGCCAGGAGTCAGGCGTGCGCTAGCCGTCTTGTTTTTGTTTCCTAGGACTGACCATCAAGGAAGGGAATGAGCTCGTCCCGCGTTCTTTCTGGCCCCAAGGCCAACGCAATAGTGGAGAGGCGATGTATGGCATTCAGACGAAGAACAACATCATCGTGCTGTGGGAGAAGAAGAGTTAGAGAATGGAACTTTTTTTAAAACAGGCGACCAAACCTCGGTAGCCGGGAGTGGCACCACCGTACCTTCAACTCATCAATGAGAACGGCAATAGGGAAGAGCTCATCATTTTCAGTCTGACCCTCCATTGCGGAAACTTTGCAAATATGCTACCGGAATCCGAGAAGCGACCAGGGAGGCAAGGATGTGGCAGGTCCAAGTCCCTAGGAAAGCTGATACCAGGCCACTGTACAACCTGATACCGAGCGAACAGCAAGGAATTTCGACAAAATTAGGAATATGAGACCTTCATGGACGTGATATCGACTCAGAACCTACTCCAACTGCTTGTCAGACTTGCGTTGTCAGCCAAGACTGTTAAGGTGGTGTGTAAGGCGAGAACCCCGGAGCGAGGTTTCGTGGGGTCTGGCGCCGCAGGACAACTGAACAGTTTAGTACCTCGACAATTCACCCGGCGATAGGACTCAGGGGCTGCGGGACCGGGCGGGATCTCCCTGAGAAGCAAAGGGTGACAGAACACTTGGCAGGATGCAAATGGCGAATTGGTAAATATAAATGATATTAACTCTGAGCAGGGACGAGGGAAAAGGGTTGTCAAGGCTGGCGATGGATTCGCACCTGTTGAGATGAGCTGTGGCTGGTGAAAGGGGTGGTGACCCGCGCTTAATGCTGTTTGCTGCGTTTGTCTGTGGTGTGGCCGTGGTGTGGCTTGACACGCGAGGGGAGAATATCTTTGTGACTCTTCGCCTTCGCAGCTTCACTCTGCGACCAACGCTGCCAGCTTCTGCTCAGAGAAACGCTCTCCGCGGCTGTCTCGGCCCTTTTCTTGGTGCAGACGGAGTTTACGTACTTCCACTGTTATTTTCCCCTCTGCTTCTCGCTGTTCAGGCTCGCCCTGGGAACCCCTCACCATGCCCACCATCTCCGTCGACAAGGCTGCGCTCTTCAAGGAGCTTGGGCGCGAGTATGCTTGGCCAACCTCTTGTCATTCTATCCTAGTGCTTTAGGCTGATATCTTGCAACTTCAGTTATACCACGGAGGAATTTGACGAATTGTGTTTCGAATTCGGTACATCGGACCTCGAATTATCTTGCGGGGCTTGCGCTGACTACTTCAAATAGGCATTGAGCTCGATGAAGACGTAATGTTCCCCCTAGCGATTGCAGTTCCAACATCGACCAAATTTACTAAGATCAGATCATCTTAGACGTCAAATTCGGAACGGCCTGTTGTTAATGGAAAGCAAGAGCCACCTCAGCTCAAGATCGAAATTCCAGCAAACCGGTATGTGCGCCGGTTACTTAGTTTGCCTTTTGCTTTCGTTTTCCCAATTCGATAACAGCAATGCTTATCTCTGTGCTGTACAGATATGATCTTTTATGTTTCGAGGGTCTCGCCCTTATGCTCAACGTGTTCCTCGGCCGGAAGCCGTTCCCCAACTACAGACTGGTTAAGCCGCCCAGCGGGGAGGTCCAGACTATTATCGTCAAGAAGGATGTGAGTAGGGTCATCATAACGCACCAACTATTATATTCTAATTGAGCGTCACAGACCGCGAGAATCAGGCCGTACGTGTCGGGTGCGATCTTGCGAAATGTCAAATTCGACCAAGCTCGTTACGAATCCTTCATCGCTCTACAAGACAAACTCCACCAGAATTTGGCAAGACAGAGGACACTCGTGTCGATCGGGACTCATGATTTGGATACTATCCAGGGACCGTTCACCTATGAAGCTCTACCTCCGAAAGAGATCAACTTCGTACCGCTGAACCAAACCAAAAAGATGAACGGGGAGGAGCTGATGGAATTTTACGAGGTAAGCCGTTGTGTTTTCTATCATGTTATATAAATCTGGCAAATTCTTATGCATCCGAACAGAAAGACAAGCACCTCGGCAAATACCTCCACATCATTCGGGACTCTCCTGTTTACCCTGTCATTTATGACGCGAACAGAGTCGTCTGTTCATTGCCACCTATAATCAATGGAGATCACTCAAAAATCACTCTAGACACTAAAAATGTTTTCATCGAGATCACTGCGCTTGACAGGACAAAGCTTGAGGTTGTCAACAAGATCATGGTCACCATGTTCTCCCTATATGCTGCTGAACCTTTCACGTGAGTACACCAAGTTGCCTTTTTTGGAACAATGGGTGACTGATTTACTTGTAGAGTTGAACCCGTTAAGATCGTCTCCGAACACAATAACGAGACTAGAGTAGTCCCCGATATCAGCCCCCGCAAAACACAGGCAGAGGTCTCCTATCTTAACCAGTGTTGCGGTCTGGATCTTAGCCCCGAACAGATCTGTGACCTCCTGAAGAAGATGGCCTATAGCGCAAAACCTTCGGAGACTTCCCCAGATCTGATCGACGTGGATGTTCCGGCAACGCGTGCCGACGTTCTTCACCAAGCAGATATAATGGAGGATGTCGCCGTTGCATATGGCTTTAATTCACTTCCTCGAACCTTTCCAGGAAAGTCCGGTACCATTGCTCAACCTCTACCTATCAACAAGCTCTCTGACATTGTCAGAATGGAAGCTGCCATGGCCGGTTGGAGTGAGGTTCTGCCGCTTATCTTGTGTTCACATGATGAAAACTTTGCTTGGCTAAACCGTAAAGACGATGGCAACACTGCGGTCAAGCTTGCCAACCCCAAGTCTTTGGAGTTCCAAGTTGTTCGCACAAGCCTTCTACCTGGTCTCCTGAAGACAATCAGAGAAAACAAGCATCATGCCGTTCCTATTAAGATCTTCGAAGTCAGCGACGTAGCATTCAAGGACCTAACATTGGAGCGAAAGAGCCGCAATGAAAGACACTTTGCGGTGGCCTGGTACGGCAAAACCAGCGGTTTTGAGATTGTCCACGGCCTCCTAGATCGTGTGATGGCCATGCTTAAGAGCGCCTTCATCACGGGCGAAGAAACTCTAACAAATCCGGCTGTTGCTGACTCTCACTATTGGATTGAGGAGCTTGATGGTAAGCAGCGTCTCACTATGCCCACTTAAAGTTTCCTTTCGCTAACACTCTTTCGTGAAATAGACCCAACCTACTTCGCGGGCCACGGGGCTTCTGTTCACCTGCGCCTTGCCGGGAAGGACCACGTCATTGGTTCTTTCGGTATCCTCCATCCTACAGTGCTGGAAAATTATGACTTGAAATACCCCGTCAGCGCCCTGGAGATCAATATTGAACCATTCCTGTGAGTGATGGGGTTGCTATTTTGACATATGCGATTGGCGTGTCTAGCGAACTAGAATCTGGCGCCCAAATCAACTGTTCTATTTTTTTTATTAGATAGATGATGGTATGAGCAAGAGTCTACGAGTCTCTAAAGGAGCATAAAAACCCTACAATATATAGATGTGACGAAGTGTTTCCCCAACTTTGCAATGCTTGTAGTGCGTCGAATACACTTGAACAGCCCAGGAGATTTGGGACAATCGTGGCGTTCAGACTTACAGCGTAGATGGTCGAATCCACTAAGCAATTGTAAACTCACGACTTCTCAAGGACATTGTGAGGGGCTTCATAAATCATTTCTAGGTTACTCATTTGCGGGCATCGAGCCACGTTCCTTACAGGTGCTATGAGCATTCGGTTCCCTTCGCTTTCATAGGACGTATACAGGTTATGTGCATCGAATGGAAGGGAATATAAAATTATTCCCCAATAGCGTCCCAATTTTTCATTTTTCCATTTCGCTTTTGTCTGTAGTAAGAGAACAGAGGATCATTCATGATGCATTTTATTGGCGTGAGGTTTTGAGGAAATAGGTTATCACGGACAGATAGGGAAAAAGAAAAAGGAAAAATTAGAAGACGTTAGGAGAACCGAAAAGGCAAGCAGGGGCTAAAAGAAACTCTCGAGATCACTCTTGGACAAAGGTCTCGGGTGCAGCACCTTCCTGTGTTTCCGCAGCCTGCTGCTCGGCGAGTCTCTGCTGCTCAGCGAGTTGCTGAGCGGCGAGAGCCTTGGCACCGTAGTCCTGGCTCATGGGCTGCAGGACGGGCTGCTCCTCCTTGGGCTCGATGATGGTGACGGAGTCAGGGAGGGTCTTCTGAGGACCAGCCTTGCCCTCGGGGTCGGAGCCGCGCATAATCTTGACCTTGATACCGAGGACACCCTGGCGGAGAAGGACGTGGCGAGTAGCTGTGTCGATGAAGTCCTTGGCGGGTTGACCGGAGTGGATCATGAAACCATCCTATAACAAAACCATCCTCGGTCAGTTCTCATGCTTCTTTTCTCCCCTTCCAATCCTCATATCAACCGTCATGCTGAAGTTAAGACGTACAGTGAACTTCATGGACTTGGCACGGGCAGCCCTCAGCTTTCCGGAAACGACAACCTCGCAACCCTTGGCACCGCTCTCCATGATGAAACGCAGAACACCGTAGCAGGCCCTGCGGACAGCGAGACCGTTCAGCAGCTTGTAGCGGAGGGACTCGCACTGAGCGACGGCGGACAGACCGCGGTTCTGGACCTTAGCGGCATAGAGGGAAACCGAGTTCTCGGGGAACTTGAAGCGCTTCTGGATGAGCGAGGTGAGCTCGCGAATACGACGGCCCTGCTCTCCGAGAACCTCCTGGGTGTGGGTGGCACGGATGACTGGAAAAAAAGACACCCATTAGCATCTCCTGTTTCTTCCTCCTTAAATTTCGCGCGTTTCCTAGCATTATTTTTCCTTCTTCCATATCGTATTTCCCCTTCGTGTGCAATCAAATCACCCGCAAAACACATTGAATAGAAACATTGAATAGCAAAATTGGAGAAAAAAAAAAAAACACATAGACCGGGCGAAAGACGTACTGATATCGGTGACGGTAGGAGTGACACGGACTTCAACGCCAGAGTAGCCCTCCTCAGCCAGCTCGCGCTGGAAGAACTCGTTCAGCTCGGCATAGAAGACACCGTCGGCGACGAACTTGCGGCGCTTCGAAAGAGCTCCCTGGATAGCAGCCATGATTGTGCGTTTCCGCTGGGCTTTAGAATGGGATTGTCGAAGAAAGGGAGGGGAGGTTGCCGAGGACGAAGTTGTGGGAGTCGTTCGAGGATCGAAGATCTCGAATTGTGCTGAGAGAATTCCGCTTTCGTGGGGCTTGCTCGGAGTAGGGCTTGCGTTGCCGTTTTGGGATAGGGCTTGCGCCTCGCTTGCTCCCCGGCGCCTTACCGCGTTCGGACATGTCACATGACGTACAGCTACAGTGATGTGATACCTTATAAGTCTATACAGACAAGAAGACGCCTCTCATTCATTTCGTGTACATAAATCGTGAAAAGTTACGCCCCAGCCACAGTCTACTGCATTTACTGCATCTCAACTTCCATCTCGCTTAGCCTCCGTGCCTGTTCGGTATTCTCCTTGCTTTTGGGAAAGGCCATGTTCGAGATTCCCGTAGTCACAGCGGCCATGCCGGCCGAGGCAGCGTTAGGTATGGATTTTCCCGGCGTTCCACTGCCAGTAGAATGATGTGCAGTTTCAATTCCCGTAAGAACGGGCGTTCGTCTTGCAGGGCTGTCACGGCCTGCAGATGTCCCAAACGGACGGGGCCCATTCATCTCCGCGTCGCTTCGGCCAAATAGCTCGCTCCACCATCTGACTTCGTTGAGCCGTGGGAAGATGAGCCTCTCCTTGCCCCGCGTACTGTCATCCACTTCAGGGTCATATTGGGGATTGATAAACTGATCCCGCCTGGCAAGGAAGTAATCCCACACGCTCCGGGTTCGCTCCTTGGCTTTCATTTCCATCCGTTCTCTCTCACTGTTATAGAGGAACGTACCGTATTGACATGAATAAAGATGATAGAGAAGTCGGCGTAGGAAGCGTTCATTGAACTCAAAGCGCGTCGGATACTGGTACAACAGCTGGTATGTGGCATCGAGGAATTGATGGAAGACCGGACTGGTTTCTTTGACCTTTGTTACTTCCTTTTCTGAAACCACGGTCCTCGACACGGTGCTCGGTTTTCTCGAACCTGTAGTGTCAGAATCGTAGTTCTGTGCATCCATGTCGGACTCTGCAAGAGAATCGCGACTGGTATTCTCTCGATTAAAGAAGCCCTTCGCGCTGAGAAATGCATTCTCAATAGCCTTTCCTGCCCCGCCGCCATCACCAAATGGACGATTAGGATCGCCTCCGATTCGCTCATGCTCTACCTGAAACCACTTCTCACTGTTCAAGAGACCAGCTCTATGACGGAACATGTGTCCGAAAGAAAGCCAATCCTTCTCAACGAGTACCATATAGCCTTCTAGCGTCCGGTAGTAAGGGTCGAGGCACAACTGGCTCAATGCGCTCAGTTGGCTAGTACGATCCCATCCGTCTGAACAATGGATCAGAACATGTGAATGTTGGAGGCCAACTTGGCGAGCTATCAAGCCAGCACCGTCCAGAATAGCAGATATGTGCTTCAGCCATCCGCTTTTCGCAAGCTGGTCCCGGTTAGGTCCCAAGGGCATGAGGTCTGAGTCTTTCAGCGCGTCAATCACTTTGTTCAGCGAATCCCTCATGACGTGAATATTGTCTATTCCTAAATACGCCTTTGTCGCGAACTTGTAGTGGTCCATGTTTTCGGAGCCCAGTCCGACAGCCTGCATTGCGAAGGCATTCACGGTAGGACGTGCGTCAACGATCAAGTTGTGTTGCTGGGCACCGTAGACAACTGGCACTTCCTCGGCGTCGATTTGGGCGGTATCCAACATGTCATCTTCCACCTCCTCAATGTTCGAACCGTCAGATTCTGCTTGATCGGTCTGCGAACCTTCTTTTCCCCCTAGACGCGGTAGCGTACCCTCCCTGCGTGGAGGCGTAACACCAGCCAGCGGTCGATCTGCACGGGATGTTGAGAATATCGCTGCCAGCAGTTTCTCATCCTGGATGCTTCGATTCTGACGCACACCCACCAGCGGTTGAGAGCTCCTCGTGATTGAGCAATTATTCACCGGATGAAGATATGTCAAAACGGGAACTCTTGCTCGTGAGCGGTACCGTCCTGCATAGTTGAGCGTATTATCGGATATGGTGGAAGGGACTGGTAGGAGAGCAGGATAGGTTGGAGAAAACTGATGCATCGGAGTCAGCAAGGCTTATCGAGAAGAATACATGCCGCCCTAAAAAAAGAAAGAAGCCAGCCTTACCCCATAGTCCATATTTATCCGAGATATTCGCCAGCCATGCCCGTTTTGTTCCACACCCAGACGAGCCCATTCTTTGAGCGGGTCATATAACTCCCAACCATTCAATGCTCGCTCCGGAGACGGAGGTTGGTATGTGAAAGCGTAGAGTCTATCAACCCGGCCAATCCTGCACGTCCACTGTTTGATACTTTCGAAGACATCGCGAGCCTTACTCTCGTTCGCGAAATAAAAGCATACAAATGTGAAATCGCGGCATCGCAGACGAATCGAAGACAGCTGGCGTGACGATGCAGGGACCGGGCGGAAGGTGCAGAACGAGATAATCGGATAGGTTATCCAGAGCTCCCTAGGTCTAATAGTCGCGCCCTGGGCTGGCGCATTGTCCGATGGAGGAGGGATGTGTGAAAAGATAAGATGGTGAGGCGTAAGATGGAGAGTGCCAGCAACATGTTCACCTCGTCGCGCTAAGGTCACATTTTCAACCTGGAATGTCGAAAGAAAGAATCATCAGAGATACATTCTTCGGTTTGTCTTTCATCTCTTTTATTGACCAGGGGTTATTCTTGTACAAACCTTGGCTATCCGTGTCCTGTCCATTTCTCGTTGCGGTTCAATGTCCAGGAATGATTTTCATGGCGCACAACAATTGGAATCATGAATTTAACAGAGTATGATGCCTTGCAGCCAGAGTAGCCGATGGCTGCAGATAGTCCCTGCGATTGACGAGAGAGAGAGAAACTGGGACCGTCGCCGAAGACTTTGCGGCAAACAACTCGGTGAGTCGAAGAAGCTTTCTGCTGAGACTCGAAGTCCGCCGGAACCCCTCGCTACGTCAGTTTGCCCAGCCCTGGCTGCGTAAGTAGGACAGCGAGGTGTCCATGCAGCAGAATGGCCAGCTGAAATTTGAAGCAGTTATTTATCTGAACAGTCTGCTATCCCGACTTTCTTTTCTGTACAACAAAGAACATTGCTCGTTTCGAGTGTCCTGGGGTACTGGTACCATATAGCCCAGTGTCCAGTCACTACTCCATGAGAAACAGCATATTCGGTCTTTCTGAATATCTCGTTGTTGGTTGTGTATCCACAAGGAAGCCCAAATAACCCAGTCAGGTCCAATCTGTGCTTCACTACAGCTGAAGTCATTATGGACCCAACGCCTCCTACAGTCCAGGACATCTTCCGCTATCGCTACCAGCATGGAACGAATCTCGGGGCCACCTTTGTCCTGGAAAGATGGCTTCGTGGCAGTATGTACAGCCATGGCACTGTCGGATCCAGTGAGTTGGCAGCTGTAAAGCGGTTAGTAGCCCAGCCCAGTCCAAGATGAATTCATTTCATGGGCACATATAGTTCAAGGGCACTCTTGATTTGCAATTAACGTACCCGAAACGAGAGGGATCAGATCCATACAAGTCTCAGGACTCGATCAAACCAGAATTAAATGGGAAACCCATTGGCTCACGGCTCTCAATGAGGATGATTTCCGCTGGCTCAGAGACGTCGCGCGGTGCAATTCGATTCGCTTGCCCATAGGATTCTTCACGCTTGGTCCCATATTCTGCGTGGGAACTGTGTTTGAAGGCGAACCCGCTCAGGTATATGTCAACGCCTGGAATGCAGTAAAGAATCTCATCGAAGACTGCGGCCGCCACGGTATTGGGGTCTTGATCGATCTTCATGCCGCCCCGGGGGGCGCGAATCGCGACAGCCATAGTGGGACGGATTCAGGAAAGGCTGAGTTATGGGAATCGAAGCATAATAGAGCCTTGGCTAGGGGCTGCATCACCTATATTGTCCGAGAAGTGACCTATCATGGCATGGCTAATGTAATTGGCGTTGAGGTCTGCAATGAGGCCATCTGGAATGCACCAGGGATGTACGAATGGTACGACGAGATCCTCGAAGCCACCGGTGCTTTAGACGCGACTCTGCCCATCTACATCAGCGACGGCTGGAACCTTTCTTGCGCAGTGCAGTATGCAATGTCTAAGAACACAATCACTTCAGCAAATCCCCTTTTGAACAACCCTATGATCGTGGATACTCACAAGTACTACACCTTCACAGAAAAGGACAGGTCCATGAGCCCCCAAGCCATCATCGAACGGGTGAAGGGTGTCCTCTCCGAACTCCCCCGGGGCAGCGTCTTCGACCGGAAAGGCGCCGTAGCAGTCTACATCGGCGAATACAGCTGTACCATGGACGGTCAGACCTGGAGCCACGTTGACCCTTCGCAACGACCTCAATTAACCCAAGTCTTTGGCCAAACACAGACTATGAAATGGGTATCAAAAACATCTGGTTCAGCATTCTGGACTCTGAAAATGGACTGGATGGATGGCGGTGATTGGGGATTTAAAAAGCAGGTCAATACGGGGGCGATTCCGGCCCCTTCTTGGTTGACGATTCCACTGTCAGAAATCGAGGGCAAGGTTGAGGAAGCGGAGACCCAGAGAAACCAGCTCTGCGACAAGGCTTTCTCGGATCATGTCAGATATTGGGATTCGAAGACCAAAAATTCTTCATGGGATCATTCCCGATTCGCTCGCGGTTGGGAACTTGGATTTGCTGACGCCAAGTGTTTCTTCTGTGCTGGTACTCATGGTATTATCTCTGGTCACGGTGATATTGGGGGGGATAGAATTGGGGCTATCGATCTCTGGGTCAGAAAGCGTATTGTCGAGACAGGCCAAGTCAAGGAAGGTCTGGGTTGGGAATGGGAGCATGGCTTTAGGAAAGGGATGGCCGATTTCTATGCTCTTTTTGACGTATGAGAAGAGTTTGGTCTTTTTTTTTTTTTGTTCTGACTTAGATGAAATCGCGAGATCTACCTTTCTTGCATCCCAACCTGTCCTTATTTTACTCCAAGTATCGCCCTTGGTGATTTTGCTTTCAATGAATATATACAAAAGGCCATGATATAGATACAGTCCATGTGAACATTGCAATACCGCGTATTCCTTCAGCTTGACAACGTCTTACCCGGCTTTGTCTACCTCCAACGCCAGCCGGTAAGCTGTTCTGCAAAACGAATCGAACTCTGCTCTGAGAGTATCCTCAAGCGGACCGTCTTCCCCTGCTAATGCCGATGCAGGCTCGGGCGAGTCTGTGGATGTGGTAGGCTGAGCACCACCAACATCAGGCAAATCCATGCTAAGGAAAAGGTCTGTACCCCGTTCCGGAAGGAATGGCCCAGTTTCGTAATGACGGTAACTGAGCCGTTCGCCATAGAAGTCATAGTGATCAATACGTGAGTCTCGCAGGTCTTTAAACAGCGGGATTATATATTCAACCAAAACGACATCATTGTCGTCTTTCTCCTCATGTGGCACTTCCTTTTGCGGCCTAAAAAGCGATCTGGGGACTGGGATACGACAGAAGGCTGGCATCCCTTCTGTACCCGAGCCCTCGTACTTAGAGAAAAGATCCTGCAAACAGCTGTTGACGGCAGCCATGAAAGTGTCGGCACCCTTGGATGTGGAAAAATTATTATTATTTGTGCTTATTAGATCCCGATACACATTCCGGGTGAAGCGAAGATCAAGGCCACATTCCGGGAGCAAATAATAAATATTTCTCCCGCCGAAGATGGCTTTTGCGCTACGCAACTTCACATCAGCGCTCGACCCGGCAAGACTCTTGGTTCGTGTGACCGTGACTTCGAACTCGAGACGTGGGAGACTGGTGATATAGGCAGACGATGGGACCAGTTGAATGAGATGAGACTGCTCGAACGCCCGAGACGGGAAGGGACTCAATAAGCGCAGAAAGGGCGTAATTCGAGGGATATCAGTCGTGAAGGTTTTTCCTTTTATGATTTCCTCCAGCTCGGAGATTTTGAAGGACGTCTTGTTGGATGGCCCACGCACGAAGAGACATCTCCCAACTGCCGCTGTCAAATTTTCTTGCAGGTCAAAGCTACCCTTTGATGAGGCACTCCTGATCTTGAGGAAATTCCAAAGGTCACCAGAATGGCGTGACTGTTGGCTCTCAAAAAAGTGGGTATCTCCGGTCTGTTGGGCGGGCATTGCCCAGCGAAACCACTGGTCTTTCCGACCCAACCATGAGATGCCGTCACCTGCATCAACCTTGTAGACATCAAGGGCCTTTGAAAAGGGCATATGAGTGAATAACCGTATTCGCTTAGCTAGTCTTTCATTGATGGCAAGGTTCAGCGTCCTCCGAGCGTCCTCCGCTTGTCTCTGGTCTTCAGCGAAATAATAGATCTTCATTGGCGCATGCAGATGCTCGTGTGTCACGAAAACGCCATAAGTTTGATTGACCCAATCCACAAGTCCCCTGCCTATATCGCGACGGAGGTTTTGTGAAGGTGTAACCCCAGGCGGGAGCAATGTGATATCTTCTTCTCGTATTCTGCCCCTAGTATCTTCAATAACCTCTCGAATAGACTCACATGAATGTTCTGTTCCGGTAATTCGAATAAGTTTCAAGTTCCGTGAAATGTCAATCTTCGCACCATGCAGATTGGCCAGATCCTCAAGGTAAAAGCTCTTGGAAATAAACAGCGATATTAAAGGTTCAGGTAGAACCATGTCCAGTTGGCCAATCTCATTGGCGACTCCAAGCTGCCAGCAGTCTCGGAGTACCGCTTCCACAAGCACTTGTTTCTTTTTGAGACCTTGCATTACCGCTACTCTGTTGGCAAGATGCGCACTGGATCGAGAGCCTATTTCTAGAAATGCCGACTTTCCAGGATACCATACTCCGGTATCCGCACTGAAGATCGACTCCTTCGGTGCATGCTCTGAAACATAATCCGACAGCTGCTGATATGTGAAAGCCATCTCAATTCTAGACCGAAGATCTTCCCAACCGGCAGCATTCAGCTTGTCGCCTGGAAGATGAGGCGACCGAAAGCCTTCCATCTTTTCGTCAATATCCGGATCATTTAGCCATTCTTCCTCCGCCTCTAATTCTTCAACAAAAACAGGAAGCAATGTGTCATCGTTGACAGCTTCCGAGATTTCTGTTTTTTTCGGTGCGTTATTCTGGCGCCGCCGACGTTTGCTATCTGGTACAAGGACAATTTCGCCCGGTTTTCCAAGAGAATCCACATCAAGCGTCACCGTCTTACGCTTATCCCTCCATCTCCTATCAACGACATACGAACGAAAAGAGTCGTCCGATCGAAGCAACTTTTGTCTGTATTGGGGCAGACTGGATTCTGGATCGTCGGCAGGATCTCTCGAGGTGCTGTTGAACCGAGCAAGGACATCGCGCCGCGGTAAATAGAAGAACCCCCTTCTCCTATATCCAGAAGAGAACCGGAAGCGTAGAAGCCTCCCCGTCCCCTCTGAAGACCATACAGACATATGGAAGGAAAGAAGTGAAAATTGGCCGAGCTTTGTCGCTGGCCAAACTGCAGAGAAAATGATTACTGCCGTTTTAGAAGGCGGCGAAACTCCCCAGCCGCTAGTCCTAAGGAGTAAGGCGGAAGGAAGTTGCCGCCTGAGGCTCGTCATCAAGTTGAATGTTGCTTCAAATTGCTTATAATAGATATTAAGATTATTTCATTTCCATAAGACTAGAACCTGAGAGAAATTATGGCGCTGTTCATACACAATATAGTCACTGCCTCGGGGAGATCTCCCAGCTTCTCAGGTCTTCACGCACGTCAAACTCGGAAACTTCATGACTAGGACCACTTCTTCTCTCGCCCTTTCCTTTGGCACTATCAATTAGTTTTTGCTCGATACTTTTTGTCTTTTTAGCATGGCCGGGTGAAGAACTCAGTTCTGCCTCTTTACCCAGAAGGCGAGACTGATGACTTGATGAACTTCTCGGTCGTTTTTCAAGGCCAGGAGATGGCTTGGTCCCTGATAGAAACTGTCTCGAATCCATGTCGATGTTCGGAAAGAGCCCTAAAGCATCCTCGTTCTCTTCAGACTTCCTAGAATGGCTCCCCTTGTTCCAACCAGAGCCCCCAGCAAACAATTCCTCGATTAACTTATCGGCAGGTATCTCGTTCACCGGAGAATTCCACGAGGCGATCAATGTTCGGCGATACATGTCCTGCATATCGGAGACTTCTCTGCTCTTGGTATTTAGTGAGGGAAATCGGCCAAGACTATCAGCTGGGTCCCCTTGTTCTGAAAAGACAACGCCTGTGATTCCGCTGATCCCACTAAAGACCATAGGCGATTTAAGAGGAGGTCTGATTCTTAACGTTAGCGGCCACAGTTGCTCAGACATGTTGAAATGTTGCAGACATACATAGTGTAGTTTTTATCCCCCTCGATCTGGCGCATTATTACCGTGACCTTGAGAGTGCTGTTGATTTTACTATCCTGCATCAGATATCTCCGCGTAATCCCCTCTTCTTCGTCGGATTTGTCCACATATTCGGCAAGATTGAGACGTATCCTGCCCAATAGATTTTTGTCCCCTCGCCCGCCAGAGCCGAATTCCTGAACAACATCGAAAACAAGGTCACATTGGTGAAGGGACTGGTTTCTGTCAATGGTGAGTTTGACCAAGAGGAGTTTTTCATAGCTCCAATAGGCTCTATGGTCTATAATGATTGCCTTATCCGTGACTCCGCGATGCTCAGTAGCAGCAGACGAGGGAAGACTCCATTTGACATACGCCGTTCCCGAGGAGAGAGGGACATTGTTGAGGTCAAGAATCTAAGCAATTTGGAAAAGTCAGCAACCAAAATAACAATACCGCGCAATGTCATTCAGTGCTTACTCTTACGACAAGCTCAAACCTTGGCTGAAGCCAGAATTCAGCAATCCTGAATAATCTTAACTAATACAAAGGTATGCCTTACCCTTCTATTCTTCGGGACTAGAGGTATTTTTTCATCAGCATGTCAGAAAGGAAAAGGCCAAGCAAATACCGTGGAATCTAAACCGGCCGTCAGGAGACGCAGGAAAGGGTCAAAACCTACCGAAGGCCTGCATGGTTAATCGGGATTAGCAAATTTCGAAAGATTGAACAATCACATTGGTATATAATCATCCCGTAAGTAGTATTTCCTGCAAATAAATCTCGGGCATTTTCAATTCCTCAGAATCCTGCTGCCAGATAGATGTGATGCAATCGAGCTTTTCTCCGCGGAGGTCAAGCCGGAGGCGGTGAGTGAAGACTTGGCAGAAAACTACCGCCTATTGTACTTCACAAATCCAACTCTGTAGCGAAATTCGGCCATAGTTCACGCCTACAATCCTCATTAAGCGTACATTCGGGAGTTATTCTCTATTCATCCTACTTCTTGCGATTCTCCTACGTGGAAAGATTAGAATCATGTCCGAAGTTGACAAAACTCTTTCTCTGTCCTCAAAGCCAAGCGCGTCAGCGCAGCCGGTTCCTCTTAACTCTTCAATCCGCACAACTCCGATCCATCCGCTTCTTCCGGATGTTCGCGTTCCTGGAGAATCACTGCCAGTCTACAAATACCACCCAGTGACCTGTACACCAATAGATTCAGATGAAGTGCGTTCCCAGCTGGAGCAATTGCGAAAAGAATATCCGACAGAAGCAGCAGCTCTGAAAGCGCAGGAACAGACCGCGAAAGAATTGAAGAAGAAGATGGAGGATGCTGAAGAAAAGCGAGAAAAGTTCAAGCGGGAAATGGACAAGAAACAAAAGGAAAGGGATACGGAACTGAAAGTCTTGTCGAAATATCAGCAGGTGAAAGCGTCTGATATTCCGTCTTGAAGCTGGACGTGGCTGCAAATCACCCCATACAAGTTTTCTTTTATCCACCGAGGGTTCTGGCTCCTCTTAGCCTATTTCTCATACAGATTTATTCGGCTTGTGCGAAGCGAGCTTGGAGAACGACTGTTTCGGTACTGAGATTTCAGTATGGATTGTGCACAAAGGTTGAGTGCTTCGGAGAACCCCAAGACTATCAACACGGTTGCAGATACCGTTTCTGGGAAGCGATATGTTGTGCTTTGGTACTGTTATCTCCACTGCCACCATTTAATTGAGGGCTCCATCGGCCGGTGGTATGTGAGCACCTGTAACTACGGCTTGGGAACTTCCTGTTGGACCAACATTAGGATCGCATTACCTGAGTCAATTCACACAGATGCGATTGACTAACTTGGCAGCCTTGTTGGAATCGTCAAGAACTACCAGGTCGTCATAACGGGTATTTTCTAGCATGTGAATGATTCAGAAACAGCTGTACCCGCGGTTATATGTTACGAAATCAGGGATCAGGTTTCGAGTTTCTGAGGTGATAAGTCAATGTTATCGTCATAACATGCGTCGTATTGGGTCAGTGTATAAAATATGAAGACTAGGAAAGGAACAGTTTTGACTGCGCGTTTCGTCCAACTCCGGCTTCCGTTATACTATCAGCGTTCCGGCCCATGCAAAGAAATATAGAGGGTAAATCAGCCAGTCCACTTGATATGGTGCCTGAAACCCGAGAGATAATGCACTGAAATTGCTTTGTCGGGCTATCCTTTTTTATCTCATCATCACTGTAGTATGGAGCACTGTACCTCTATCGCTTAAGGTTTAAGCCCTAATCTAAACTACCTTCACCAGCCGCATACCACTCAACATCAGTATTGATTTCGGTTCGACATCTCCGACTTCTGGAAAAGTGCGTTTTTGTGGCGTTATCCTGAAGCAGATAAGAACGGAATTTCAAGAGTAATTACTCGAGGTCATTCACTTCTTCGTCCCAAATAGGAAATGCCCTTGACAACGCGCCCTGCTTCTGCCTTGGGAATGAGTCATACTTGTAATCTGGTAACTAGTCCCGAGCTTACCGGAGAAGGGGAATGCCATCCATACTTAGTAGATGGCAATGGCTATAGTAGAAACCGAATGCCAAGATATCAAAATTCCCAAATAAAGTTATTGTCTACTTTTAGTGCCCGAGACTCAAAGCTCACGACGTCACACAAAAATAGTAAGCATTTATTAAATTTGCTGAATTAATTTAGATTAATACGTGGCTCTCTGAGCCAAGTTGGTCTTATACATGAGAAATGAATATGCATTTTTAGAATCATGCTTTAGGATTGCTGATATCAAAACTGCCCTTTGCAAAACCAAAGAATTCGGAGTCTTAGTTTCCCAATCGGTTAGTATAGTCATAATCCAGCGTAAAACTATAATCAACACAATCATCATGTAAGAACAATTCAAGAAAATCACGCCGGTGTCATCAAGGATGTTGTCGATAGTCGTGGGGGACATACAGCACCGTATGGTACGTAATCCATATCCCATGGTCCCAGAGGACCTGGTAATCTTGGACGAAAGTTGTCCTTGTGGTTCGAATTCCAAACTGTTGGAATCCTGCCATAGCTGTTAGCGCCTGGAGAAACTTATGGACTACCATTCACGCTAGTTTCATCAATTGTAGCGAGAACACCACTTCCTCGTAAGTCCTTCTAGTACTTCCCGTTGTTGGATTCGTGCTTTTTCAAAAGTAGCCAGGTTCTGCAACTGATCTGTTTCCAAGTCGTAAAGATAGTTCTGGAACTCTGGTCGCTCCAGGATCAGGCGCGCCTCTTGTATCTGTTGCTCGAGACCATATCTGGAAGCATCGAGCCCTTGAGGGGCGGTAATTAATTCGTGGGCAACTATTCTAAAAGGAGAAACTGCACCTTGGTAACCTTGGGTACAGACTTCATTGCATGGCTTTAAACCTCTGGAAGCCACGGTAGCTCTGTTTGCTACATCATCCCACTCGTCCTGATCTTGCGGCAAGTTGAATCGAGCGGTCTATGAGACCATTTCTGAGTTTTTCAGTCAAGCAGATATGTCTGTTTTGACTGTGAGCTTTCGGGAAAGATAGAAGAGGGTTGTTGGGAAAGACTCTCAAACTCATAGGGAGTGAAGTGCAGAAGGGAGAGGACACGGTTTTATACTCCACATCTCTCGCTAAAGTTACTAAAAACTGCCTAGCCTGGTGCAAAAAGTAGACCCAGGAAGAATTCACTGCTCTGCTGATGATGGTTCCTTGCAAGGTCGCGTCGAACGGGATATGCCGTTGCAGTTAGCATCACCAACGCGCCAGGGAGGAAGTCAATTAATTTACTCTTCCTTCTTACTTCTCACTCCGTCTTATTACCCTCCAGATTGTTGAAATAAACAGCCACTGCACCAAAAACAATGCCGGTTATAGACAGGGCTTGCACGCGAATTATAATCCCAACGCAGATCACTCCATATCTTCGAAGATGCCAAAAAATAAGGCACGCGATAGGGTCAATTTCCTATCGACCACAAAATCAGCATCTCGAACGAGGCAGCCAAGAGAGTAAAATACCCGACGAAGCATCGGGTCAATATAACATCCTTCCGCGTCCATTGAGAATAGATGATGAGCATATCAGCCTCGACCAAGACCCTCTTTTTCTCTTCTTGCCACTCCCTCTTCAGACGCTGGTATATCACCCCATAGACTGGAGGCGGATTGAGGAGTCTCCTTCTAGAATGAAATTCCCGGTATGGAAACCCGCACTTAGCTGTCAGGCTGGTCATTTGGGGCTGTATCAGCTTGATATTTTCGCCTGGCTGCATACAACGCGAACTGTTGCTTATTGTAAGTTTAATATGGTTGGTATCACCTTAAGAGGGATTCGTATAGGTGAACTAGGATATAACTGCAGGGCTCCTATTGTATGAGGAGTTAAGCGTAAAGAATGGAGACCCTTGCCCTAGCCTCTCACAACCTCGAGGATGTACGTCTTGCTGGTACACTCAAACCCTCTACATTGGCACTCTGTTGAGAACCTGTTGAGCAGCATAGAATCCCTAACTTCCTCTGCCCTCTCCAGCGGCTCTTGCGCATCCCGATTAGCCCAAACAAACTTGCCTTTAAGGAATCTGGCCTCGGAGGATGCAAGCCACACGTAAAACTAGGCAGGGAGTTCAACTACAGAGCACTTAACGCTTGCTTTCAATTACTGGAGCATCCATGGGATATATACTTACCGACATCCTGCGCCTGCTTCTGATGTCCATTCATATCAGTATGCGCCCAGCGCGGCTGCAGGTGAACACCGTGCAGCTGAGAGTTCGCAGCGAAATAGTCCATCAACTTCAGACAGGCAGCTTTACTGACCGTGTACCCACTGATGTCCGCTGCTGGCGCAATGTTCTCCAGGCAAGTAGACATATGAAGCAGAACAGGTTCAGGCCCTGCGAGCAGCAGAAATGTCTGGACTTCATTGAAGGGAGGACTGAGCACGTTACCTTGGAATCCCTACAGTAGATCCTCCCCGCCGTAGCTCGCGAGAGGCCTGGGCGGGCAGGTTCCCGGTGTTCGAAATGAAGACATTGGTCGTGCCGACCCTGTCAACAATTGCCTTCAGCGCTGTGTCTACTTGGTTCCGGCCCAGGAAGTCAGCAGTCTCGTAAAGAACAGTGGTGTGGTGCTGCTGGCCTTCTTGGCTGCAAGAGAGATCTTCTCCGCACCAGCCCTGAGCTGCTCGAGTCGACAACCCAGAATAGAGACGGACTCGGCGCCTGCTTGCGCGGAGTCGATCGTGGTGGCATTGCTGATTCCCGTGCTGCCGCCTGTGATGACCACGTTTCTGCCTGCGGCGGATAGCTCAGGGCGTAACGGCGAGATGAATGGGTTCGGCTTGGGGTGCCAGGTCTTGGTGAAAGAGATTGGCTGAGGGAAAGACGTTTCGTGTGACGCTTGTAATACGATAGCGATTAAGAAGTCTTCTTAAGTTCCTCGATCTGAAGATGATGGTTCTGAGTCCTGCTCCTCCACATTTCACTTGGAATTCACAGGCTTTAGATGTCCCGCTGGCCCATATCTCTCTCGTGGCGCATTATTTTGATTTCGAAGGGAGGATGAGATAGAAACTCTTCTGAATCTTCCTCTGAATATCATCGACATACCTGCAGCATCTCTCAAGATGCGTCAGCAGATACATCCTGGCGAATGAGTTGAGCTTCTATACGACGAGAGGAATGGCGAGGTGCCGCCCAAGTGTCTTCGTTAAGGTTACTTGTATTGAATACGACAGAAGGCATAGCGATAATAGTATGTCTCATTTCTTAAGAGGAATGTTGCTACGGCAAGTAATTCCTGTTAGGGATTAATATACAAAATACTAGCTCTTATACAATTTGGCCTAGATTACCTGTCGAGGGATTCGTTGGCTATTGAGATATTTAATATTTAATATCTTGATATTTTCTGTGGAACTTGAGTGTTGCCAGACTTTTGAATTTCAAGTTCACAACCTGGCTGTGTGAAGCGGTGCTTGGGAATGTCATCTACATCGCAAGTTGGAGATGTCTACTTAAGGAGAAACTCAATATAAAACAGTGTCGGATTTAAAGTCGTCAAAAGAATCGAACAGGTCCAGCCTCAGCGATTGCAAAAAAAAAAAAAGCTAGATAGAAATAAAACAAAGCGAAAACAGAATAAATCCAGCATCTGATTCCCGTTCCATTCCCACCATTCTCTTTCTCATCCCGTCGTGGGAAGAGAAAGGAGAATGGGACGGGAAGGGCCCAGGAATTTCAATGAGAAACATTCCAGCCTGGACGATAGGTGATGAATCCCATCATACTTGTCCCACAATCATACCTATATCGGCAGGGAGGTATATAAGAATAGAAGCATTCAGGGGGAGAAGAAAAAGAACAGATCGGTGTCTCTGAGAGGACAGGAAAAGAAAAGAAGGGAAGAAGATGGTCACAGACCAGTTGTTTTCCTCCCCATTTTTGTCTTTTCCTCTGACCTATCTCGACCGGAGGTCCCGTCACGGACTGGGATGTTGCTCGAGTTTTCCCTTCCCCTGTTTGCGCTCTATCTTCCCATGCCTCTGCAGACTGTGACAACCGAATGAAAAAAAAAAAAAAAAAAAAAAGCAGAGTGAGGGTGATACAAAACATCCCGGATATAATGTAGTTCCCCAACTGCACTGTCGCATGTCGCCTTTCATCGATCCGAATCAACCGAACCGCCAGCCTAGTACACAGTACTGGGAAGAAAGGGCGCCCAACGGAAATGGCAGGGTTGAGAAGAGGCCAAGGGAAATCAAACGACGCTGGTTCCGGACGCAGCGACGTCATCCTCATTTCCTTCCTCTTAATTCCACAAGGCTTATACCCGCCGGACAGCAACAGAAGAATTGAACTTCAAATGATGAGACATGCCTGCATCCAAAATCATAATCCATCCCAGCCGTGAGGCAACCAGGTCTTCATGACATATATACGGGATCTAACAAAAGAAAAGCATAACCAGATAGCCGACCCGCCGCTTCTTGATGCAAATGCGAAAACGTAAACAGACAAGGCAAGACGCTGACGCTGAGCATAACATAACACCATACCACACGAATACAGTAACAATGCAAACAGTAACGAGAGGGAGTATCACATATTGTCGCAAATCAAGTCGGAAAAAATGACAGAAGAAAAGAGAACGCCCCGAAAGATGCCATGTATTGATGCCTGCATGCAGCATTTGTTGGTGCCATTGACGGAAGGAGGGCGATGAGCAGAGTACCTAGACGGAGTTCGAAGGGTCCGAATTAGCCCTTGAAAATCAAGAGAAGACGCTCGATGGGTGCGTAGCTATCCTGTAAGGAACGATCACATAATCGTCCCATATGGCAATGCAAAGCCCTGGTACCGATCACCCCAGCCAAACCCAGTCATGCTGGCGGCAGTACTGCAAGGTTGTACAAGCATGTGCTGCAGTGGAAGAGGGGCGATGGCTGCGGATGCCACGACTGTACTGTAGTACTGTGGAGGACTGTAGTGGGATGTCGTCGTGGTTGGACAGGGTTGAGTGTAGGACGGCGTCGGGGAAGGAGACGGCTCTTCATTCAGGATACCATGGCTGGCCCACATGTTAGGATAAGAATCGCCAGTGCTTCCTGTTGGCGGACTGGATGGGAGTACCTTCCACGACTCAATGGGTGCAGGATTCTGGACCAGACCGTACAACCACGTCTCTGGGAGAGACGAACTGGGTAGCAAAGGAGCGGCCGTCGGACGCAGCACATCCACCACCCGCGGTGGGGGCGGCGGAGGGGGAGGAAGCAAGGGCACGAAGAGATTCATGACGGCAGCCTTTGCCTCCTCGCTTCGACCCCCGAGAAGCTCTCCGGCGCCATCCTCCTCCAGCCCTTCGAGAGCACGGACATCTGTGCGGTAGATGAACTTGTTTGCTGCGTGGACAAAGGCCTCCTGCAACTTCTTCAACTGCGCTTTCTTCTCCGTCCACTCCCAGGTGTTGGCGGCGGTATCCACGGAATAGACATCATGGTGGAAGTCAACCAATGCTTCAATGGTCTCGGGGGTCAGCTTGAAGGCTACTTCGTTCTGGGAGACCATGTCGACATGCACGACGTAGGCTTCAATGTGAATCATCTGATGGTTGAATAGGGCTTCGACAAGAGGGTTCTCATCCCTCTTGAGTTCCGTATCAGGGGCCTTGGGGAACATCAGGGAACACAGGGTCCAGATGGCATTGGGCGATGACAGTGTCTCCGTCAAACATCTTGTATGCTGCGTGACGTTGTTCAAGGGTCGCTTGACTCGGTTGACTCTCTTCAGAGTGGCCGTCAACCAGGGCTCAACTTTGCGACTCAGCACGACATTTGGCGAAGATCGTGGAGCAAAGGCAGCAGCCAATGCGGGAAGTAGCACTGTTGGCATTATTCTTTCTATTTCTTCTTATTTTTTTTTTTTTTTTTTTGTATTTCTATTGTAGTCCGGTTGATTTGCGAAATAGTGATATCAAACGCTCGACGTTTGCTGGTATTAGAGAGTTGGTATGGCAGGAAATCAAGGTCATCAAGGCAAGATTCGCCCACGCAGGTCGATTTCCCTCGTGAAAGAGAGCAATGAGAATGTGCTGGAGGGGAAGTACAAGCACGATGTGCGATGTCGTGGCGGTGACGAAGGACCTCGATATTAGGCCGATGCCAGGCACCAAATAATAGATAAAAGGCGGTATTTTTTTCAAAAAGACGGAATAATCGAAAGGAACGGCAGATGCAAATAAAAATAAAATAAAAAATAAAAAACAAAAAACAACAGAACAAGAAGAGGGGATGAAGCCAGAAGGGAAAAACGAGGGAAGTTGGCGGGGAAGAAAAGCGACAGTCGAAGGGGGCGAGACACAAAGAAGGATCAGGTTATATGACGATGATTATTATTCCTTTTTCTTGCCTGCATTAGAGAGATGACTATTATGATATTATCGCCTTCATCATCATTAATACTGTTATGATTATCCACTCTTACGCGCCATCCACTTCTTGTCAACTTCGATATTAAATCCCCCTCGAGCTGCGTCAAACAACGCCTATCTCAGGAGTCAACCAAGTCAACTACGTACGCTCATGCAGGGTTTTTACGAGAAGAGAAGAGGAGACTCTGGTACAGTACTGTTACGAGGCATCATTCATGCTGGAGTAAGACCTGCAGACTGCAGCTGCAGCTGCAACTCTGCTAAGCCTCAATCGCCTTATTTTTTTCTCATTGGAGTACGGCGGACTCCGTGAAATCCTATTTATTAACTGTGATTAGAAAGAACTGAGGAAAATTATAAAAATAAAAATAGATAATTGGATCGGTTTGGAGCCGATCAATATCTATAATAACTACATATTCTTCACTGTTCAGCAACCCTCGACGTGCTGAATTGCTATATTAACAATAACTGCGGTGGCGACTGTCGCGGACACGCAAGAAGAGAAAGAGTAGATCTTGAACCGACACAAGCCGCACTCTTCTGTGTCCGTTCCCGATGGCCGTTGCACCCCAAGATCTTTCGCGATGGGAGAGGATGTACTGTATAGGGGAAATGCCATCCTCCATTAGGGAAAGGAGTCAACTCTCCTATCTACACATGTCGGCCAGTAGTAGCATAGCAGTCGACTAGGTGAAAAACTGTATCTAGACACCGTCGTGTTGAACCATCCCTCTGCGTATTTCGTGCAGACGCTTCTTGATTGGACGAGCCAAATGAAGATCAACGGCGGAGACATTCAAGAGTTAGTTCTGCTCTCCCCTTCATACTGGCCCACCATCTCCCGGTTTGGCTCGGTGCAGTAGGTCGGTATCTACTGGTATGATATCCCGCTATGACAGACATCAAGCGCCGTCTTGCAACATATTGTGTGTCATGGACCGGGGCCTAGAAACCGACCATGCCATGTCCTATCAGTCCAGACTCCAGAGAGAGGCCCAAAGTAAGCTCGGAATACGCGCCAACGGTCAGCCCTCTTAAGGCGTTTGATCGCCTGCTGGAAACATGTATCAAATAGAGCCGGTTTACCAAGGATCGCATAGAATTCGGATGCCTGGATGAACGACGGACTGGCTGGGCCCGTGGCCCGTATCTATCCATGTACTGAGTGGATAGGACCCCCTCGCAACAGGCAAATGAACCGCAGTACCACATTTGCAAATGGGGATGATTACCCTTCCACTCGGACCTCTCAGGGATCGAGTCTCACCTGATGGAGGGTCAAGTCTCGCAGGCGTAGTTGGTCCTTTTGCCATCTGACGCGTCGGATTCGCTGGAGGAGAAAGGGTCCGGTGAAAAAGGGCGAGAGCCGAAAATCCCTGCTATGACCTGTCATTGGACTGTGCTCTGACAGCCGAACTTGGACTTTCTGGAACCCGAATACCACAAGCAGTATTACGAGTGCTCGTCCGGAGTCAGGTAGTATCGTAATTGCGCGTACTGAATCGTACCCTCCCTTTTCTTTCGACAGGTGGGGATGCCCAGAGAGTCCAGCTGGGAAACTCTCTTTTCCAAGACTTCCCTATTCCGGACAATGATCAGTGCTCTCGCGACTGCTACGCTGCACCATGAGCTTCTACCTCCGGAAAAGCTCGGATGTCCAAGGATCTCATTCCACGAGACGCTGCGCACGAAACTCCTGGGCGGCAACATGATTGCCGAACGGAGATCGACCCAGGACAGTCGGCGCATAGAATGGTCACAGACAGCGAACAGGGCAGCGCATGCCTTTGTGGTATCCTTTCAGAGCTAATAGGGCAGTCCTCTGCTGAGAATGATGACAGGATTTTGCAGTTCTCGGGGAATTTCCATCGTCTGTCTGAACAGTGGCGGCAGCTGAATGGTGAGGCGGTGCAAGCCTTGCAGCGGACGGTGGACACTTTTGGCTCGTGAAAATCCTCAGCAGATCACGTTACTGAATTGTTATGCGGGGCAAGCAGAAGCAGGGCCGGAGGGTGCGGTAATTGGGCGACAAGGAGCATAGAGTTGTCTGAATCTTGATCCTCCTGCATATTCATTATTTTCTTGCGCTGTTGGTTTTTTTCAGCCGGCGCTGGCTGCCGCGCCACACTGGACCCGCGCCACGATAAGCTCCAGCCACACCCGTGACTAGCGGAGTCATTCTCGCTATGACGTAGTCTTTTTACTTTGCAGATATTGTGTCGTGGCAGTTAAAGATAGAAACAGGTTCAGCCATGTTCTATGCTATTGCAAGGCCACGGGTATGCCCGACGTGGTGCGACACAGCTGATTGTTTAGCATACGAGTCGAACCATTGAAGTCATCCTTCATGCGTACCTGAATCACAACCAGTGCCAGTCTTCTGCCCAGCCTGAACCAGCGCATGTATGCTATGTCCATGATGCATAAAGTACAGAAGACATTTCGTTTCTCCCCCCATCTCCCATTGCCATCAGCAGAACGGTAGATTAGTCATAGAAAGCTGCTATTAACCAACGCAGCCTGTTTTGAAACCAGCCTGCATACATTGGGCCGCGACGCGAAGTCACAGGAGTACGAGCACAGATATCACGTCCCTGTTTTCAATTATATGTGCAGCTACATACATCCTGCTTTTGGGCTTCTACTGTTCATAGGAGCATGGTCATGCGTGGTGATACGTTATGACTGTCGAATATATATATTTCATGGATGTTGTAAATGAGACGTATCAATGTCTTTGACTTCAATCATTGCCATGCACTTTATGGAAGTCAAAGACTGGACCCGGTGGATCACGACATTCGTTGAGATTTATGAATGCACCTGGTGCTTTTCTCAGAATCCGAGACCCCGCCATTGCAGAGCTGCTTCTATTACGAATCCATCTAGCATATCGAATCAGGATTGTACGTGGAAATGCGTATCCAGTTATCATTCTCGCCTGCGGATATGTTGGTTTCCATTTTGTGTGGCTGTAGATTGTAACAATACGTAAAGAGGGGTATAATCCTGCTGGAGACCAGACATTGCACTCCTGTCATGAACTCCCAAATAAACGACATGGGGCCCTTGCAACAAATACGAACGATAACCAGGACAGGGGTATATCATAGTAACGCCCATCTCCCTCTAACTCCGCTCCTCAAAACCTCATCACTTCTAGCGCGCTGAGATGATCTTCACTTCTAAATGACAAATTCGTAGAAGGCTTTCTGATAAGAGATCAGAGTCCATCTACTGATGCTAAGCTGAGCATCATTGGATAACCAGAGAGTCGTCGATCAGCAGTTTGGCGACATTTCTAGACATGATATCTCGTTAAGCGATGATCATCGCAGCTTACTGTCAGATGATGTCGAATTCTAATCCCATGTAAGGCCATGACCAAGAATCTTTCCTGGCCCTACCGGGTTCCAACCGAGCGCGCTGCTTCGCATGCAAGTATGGGCGTGGCACAGAAACTCTGACCCGGATGGAGGTGTGGTCAAAGCGGTTATTGGCACATTATTCTTGAGTCTGAAATGAAATGAGCAGATCTGTTAGCCATAGTTTCTGAAAAAAAAAAAGAGAGAAAAAAGAGAAAAAAGAAACAATCTAAGACCTACCTCTGGTGGATTTCCTGCACCCCTCACCATCTTCTCAATCATCGCCGCCCGCACCTTCTCCTTAGACTCACCCATTCCAACAGCCATATATGACAAAAGCGGAGGATGTCCGACGTATGAGGAGTAACTGTCACGTACGATATTGGATACCCACTCGTACTTGGTTGTATCGGCGTGACCCGTACCAACATAACGGGCCTGCAGGGCCTCGAGATTTTGAAGTGTGCGAAGTTTATCAGCCATTTTGATAAGTTTTCAGTAGTGTTGGTTGATCCGATCCTGAAAAGTCGGTAGTTGTAGAAGAGAGAAATCCAACTTTGGAAGATTTCCGTATTTCACTCGGTTCTATCACGTGACTCTTCTAGACATCGTCTCCATCAGAGCCAATTACCAACATCAGGTATGCCCATATCTATCTCACTGTCAAGCTGACGATTCTATGATGCTGGGTGGCCTCGTGGGAGAGAATAGGCTCTGTATAAATGGAAGAACACGGACAGATTCCACCGTTACAGTCCCGTATAGCATCCCTGGTCCATGCTCACTTCGATGCCTTGCCAGCACACAGCAAGCCTATCATTCATCCTGACGGTTGGAGGGAATGGATTCCCATGACTGGGATTGTGATTGTTAAAGGTAAGGATTTTTATTTTCATTTTTATCAGAGTGGACGTCGATTGTTCGGGCTGTCTATCTCGCATAAAACTGTCTACACACCTACCTCATATATGAACTGCTCTCATTTATACTGTCCTTTAATTATTCAACTAATAGGACTCCAATTGTCCATATGAAAAGGAGAAAACACTTGTTCGGAAACATTAACCTGTGTTGCTGTTACGTACGTCCCTAATCCTTTGTTATCATGAATACGTGCGCTGCATTACTACCTATTGTCAGCATTCTCTGACTCTGCATAGGACCGGAGCAAAATGCCTGTCTGCTTCACAAGTCCCTCGGTGTCGTGGATTAGTGCTGCATGATTGTCATGCGGAGATACTCGCCATACGAGCCTTCAATTACTGGCTATTAAACGAATGCAGTGGTGTTCTGGCTCGAGAGAGAAATCTTGACTCGTATTCCAATGAGACACAATCGCCAGCGGCAAAAAGAAATATTAACGGAGAAGCAACAGCATCCCCATTTGTCCGGAGAAGAAGGCTTAACACGGAACTACCTTCTCTATCATCGCCATCATGGCCGCCCTTCGAGCTACAGCCAGACATCAAAATCTATATGTATTGTACATGTGCTCCTTGTGGCGACGCAAGCATGGAGCTCTGCATGGCTGCCCAGGAAGACGCAACGCCATGGGAAATAACAAGGAAGGCCCCGAGTAGCGGTGGTAGCGATACGGACGCCTCAGAACAAGCAGGAAGCAGTAGTAGCAGCGCTGTCCCAATTCTCCTGGATGGCCGTGCTCATTTCTCTCTTCTCGGCGTTGTCCGTCGCAAACCAGCCCGTGCCGACGCGGAATCCACACGCAGCAAGTCATGTTCGGATAAACTCGCACTACGACAAGTGTCCTCCTTGCTCTCATACGAGACCAGTCTTCTCGTCGCACCAACCGAGAATGCATACCTGGAAGGACTGATTCTTCCCGAAGCAGAAATAAGTCGTGGAGCCTGCGAGAGATCTTTCGGTGGAACAGGTCGCATGAAGGGACTTGAAGGTCGATTCTGGCCACAACAGAGCCAGGTAGACGATGGAGAGGAAAGAAAAATAACCGGATACAGATTCCGACCTTTCAAAGTCCTCTCAGTTCTAACTGAACAGGTCGAGACACTCTGGCCATTTGGGAAACCAAAGAGTGACACCATTCCCGTTGTATCACCATCACCGCAGACCTCCGTGGTCCATGTACATGCACTCCAGGGACCCCCACCATCGAACAATAAACCAGCAGTCAAGAAAAGCAGACCGGGAAACGCTTCAGCCATTTGGGTCCTTGCACCATCATTCTCCTCCACCCTTCCCTGTGATAAGGATAAGGGAGCCAAGTCACTGCCGACGCTTTGTAAATCAAAGACGGGTCTATATGAAACCATCATCAATGGGGTGAAGCAGGGAAGTCGCGCAACTGTACCCTCGGCAAAGGGCGCTTCTTCTCTTTCACGGGCGAAGTTATGGGGTGTTTTCCGTGACGTTGTACAATCTTTTTCAAGTTCTTCGATATCGCTTGACGAACTTAAGTTTAACAGAGGTAATGGAGCTGACACCTTAAGGGAGCGCGGGCAACATGGTGAGCTTTTGCGACTAGTCGAAGCTCCTACGTATAAGGATTTCAAGAGAACTTCTGGGATATCGATTGATTCCGTTTCGATACGACAACAAGCTATAGAAGATGCTAGGGATATTTTGAAGGGATGGGTACCCAACGCTGGTGATGAACATTGGGGGCTTGATGTTTTGATTGATCATAAAAAAAGACATGGTTAACTCGATATTAGAACTACATATTGTATCAATCCCTCCTATAGCTGTTCTATCAGCCGCACCCGCACAAGGTTTATTTTATTCATTGCAGTAAAGTTCCCTTGACATCTTGGAGGAAACTGTCATGGGAGATGCACTTGAAAGCCAAAACCTTTTAATGATGAAATTGACAATCGTCATCGAATAGCTTCCATCTAGCAACTCATGCAATAAATGATGTCCTCTGTCTGTGTCTAGTAAACGCCTGGGATGATACGACTGCGAACCAGAGACGTGTAGCGATTCCAATCAGCGCCGTACTTCCTCTTGCATTTTTCTTCATCGCGTTGCTCACGGTGAACAAGCAAAACGCCAAAATACACCAAATAAAAGTATGTGAAAATGAGGCCCCAGCCGCGCAGCTCTGGTGTCTGGACAGCCCGTCTCTGAATTTCGCCGGTAGCCGGGCTCAGGCTCTCAATGATGGCATAGCCCGCAAAGCCCGTTGGAAGGCAATACCCCCATGACATGATCCAATCGCCCAAGTAGTTGATATGGCGTGCATAGCCCCACCAGCCGGATATCATCAACTTCGAGCCACTGGCTGTCTCAATGTACTTGATGTGTTTCACACGCGGGTCGTTCGGATTGGTACGGAAGCGGTTCTTTTGGTTGTTGGCACCGCGGAAGGTGAAATATCCCACAGCCGTAACTCCCAGAACGAGGGAAACGCCTTTAAACCCGAGTTCAAGGGGGAAGACAGCGAGATACCTGGACTGGACACTGTACAGGAACGGAACCCAGACGATGTCCCCAAAGGCAAGCATGAAACCAAATCCATCCATAATGACATCCATCGTGGTCATTATTGCTGGCTCCATGTACAGCGAGTCCAGAACATAGAAGCCTTGAAACACAGCAACCAAGGCGATCGAATCAGTGACGTAGCCATAGGTCCTGTACTGGCGAGCAACATTCGACAGATTCAAGATCAACCAGCCTAGCAGGCCTGGTCGCAGTTCGAACCAGACTTTAATGTCTATTGTTCGCGACGTGTCGCTGACAAAGGGGATAGGTAGTCGAACGCGAGGGTTCAGCTCCCGGCCGATGAAGAAATCATAAAGGGCGTTACCAGTGTGGCCGCCAGGAGCCAGTTCTCGTGATTCCGGATTAATCTGGCCGGGTTTTGGAACAGAAAAGCTCCTCACATAGACAAAAGTCGAAATGGCAAAGGAAATTAGAAGGTTGGCTGTTATGATCTGCAGGTAGTTGTCCCAGAGAAAAGTCCACACCACAAAATCCGCTCCATACAGAGAGGTACCCAGCACTAAACCCGACAGAATCAATACGGCAGATGGAAATGCTATAATAAAGATGTCAGTGTCAAATAGGGGCAGTTAACGTCGACGGGATTTGAGTACCATTGAACTTGTATTTATGTCTCCCACCACAAGCCAACCCCATTCCCTCCGCTTCCTGGCCAGGGAGGAAGATCTGAAGAAAGAGACTGAGAAAATAATATCCCAGAACCCAAAGAGTAACCTGGGTATCATATAATGCAGCAATCCCCTGTTCCGGCCATCCAATCTCAGTTTTCAACTTGTCGAGCGTCAGGGTCGAGGGATGGAGAAGCGAAGGCGCAGGGCAGCCGGAGATGTCGTTGCAGAAAAAGGCAAAGCTGTATATCAATATCGGAAGGCCAAAAACAATCCCAAAGGCACCTAATCTAGGGAGAAAGTCAATCTTGTTTGTTCTCATGTTATTGACAATTGTAGATAACCTTACGGTCCACCGAATTCATAGCCCCGCTTCTCTGGAACAGGTTGGACAAGAATCTGGGATTTGGCAGTTTTCTTCGGAGCCATGCTGAAAGAGCACGACTAACGCTGTGGAACAGAAGATTCTCCCCGTAGGCACCCCGTGCAATACAGTAGAGAGGGGAGGAGTAAGTGGGAGGCGTTAGCACGAGCACCAGCACATTTAGAGGATTAGGCAGAACAATTCTCCCTCTATGAGAATGGAGAGAAATGGAAGCCGGGGCAGATGATGAGAAGAGACAGTAATAGATGAATGAAAGAACAATCCCAACTGAAACTGAATACGGCGCTGTGTTGTCGCAGCAAACAGGTTTCGAGAGGCGGATGGTTGTGCTACTTGTCTTCTCCACAGTCTCCGCCGACGCTGCAGCACGATCCGTCCTTCAACTACCTTCGCTTCCTTCCCCCCTGGCCATCGTACCTCCTGGCCTTATCTTCGGCGACATTCTTTCTATTACTATCATTGCGAGCGTCTTTGTATCAACAGCGCTACCGTTTTAATCTCTATCCCAGCTGTCGACCAGCCCCTGCCAGCGGGAAATACCTCCGAGTCATGAAGCTGCTTACCAGCTTCTTCCTACATTCTGTCCTTCTTTTATCTTACCTTTCCCCGATCAGAGCCGCCTCGGACCCCACGAATCCCAAGGAGACGCTCTCTCCGTGCGTCGCGCGTTCTCCGACTACTGGCCTGTACTTCGATCTTAATGGAATCTCTTTATCCCCTCCGGAACTGAAGGACGGCGAGAAGGCCCGCAAACATGCTCGCAAGGACAGTTGGCATGCCAGAGGCCATGACTATGGTGCGAACTTCACCATTAACTTTTGCGCTCCAGTTTTGGAGAACCTTAAAGATGTAGTGGGTGTTGAGAAAGCGAGGTGGAAGGATGTCGGTGCATTCTATGTGAAGGATGAGAAGACGTATTCCTTAGGGTACGTGGGCAGTCTGTCAGAAGATCGCCGCTTGCGATTCCTGAGTTCGTTCAATAATGGCTAGCAGCTAACAGGTTCTGAACAGACAACAAGCTTCCGATCCCTTCTTCCGCGGCCGGAAACTGGTTTTGAATTACACAAACGGTTCACCCTGCCCTAGCGACGGTGATTCCCGTACCAAATCTACGATTATGTCTTTCCTTTGCGACCGCGACACTCTTGCCTCCCAGACTGCTGTATCTTTCGTTGGAACAATGGATTCCTGCACATATTTCTTCGAAGTCCGCAGCTCCGCGGCCTGCGGCATTGCCTCTAGCCCCAATGGTCAGGGCCTGGGACCCGCCGGCGTGTTCGGGGTGATGTGAGTACAACTTGATTACTTTAACTACTAGCAATTCGTACTAATGCCATGTTCCTAGTGCATTGATTGCTGTCGCCGCATACCTGATTGGTGGTTGCGCATACCAGCGGACTGTCATGCACCAACGGGGATGGAGGCAATGCCCGAACTACAGTCTCTGGGCTGGGATGTTTGGCTTTTTAAAAGTAAGTATACTAGCATTAATCCCATTTCGAAAGTCTTTATGCTCCTTGTGGAATGGCGTAACCCATCACAAGGAGTCTAGGATTGCGAAATTGCCCACTTCGAGGATGGATTGATGCTTGAAATTCCCTGTTTTGGCTGGACCAAGGCACGTTATATTGGGCGATCTTTTTTACACTCGTTCATCTTAATTTTCTGCCTGTTGATTCTTTCATATAAACCTGCTAGACCGAGTGTACGCTGTATGTGCCGCATGCTATCTAATCCCTTGAGGGTATTTTTTTATATTGAGGGGTCGCTATCTGCTTGGCCTAGATCCCCATGCGCTAAGTACAGATGGTTGGAAGATTGTGCATCAGAATAGATTTCTTCATGTTTCCTTCTCGTCATTTCAATCCGTCACTCTATTCACGTGAAGAGGAGCATACCATTACATGTGAAATGAAACCTTGCTAACACGGCATCGCCCTTCCACTTGGAAACTTAACAGGACATGGCTATCATCCTCTTCTCCTCGCTTGGCCGCCTATTTCGTCTGAAACATGTTTCACGCGGCGGCCCTGTCCGTGTGGATGACCCGGGAGAAGCAGACGGGCAACATAGCAGCTTTATCAATGCGATCGGCGGGCGACGCGCAAGGGACGGCGCCCGCGCGGATGTGGATGCGGAGAACCAGCTAATAGATCAATTGGACGAGGAATGGGACGATTGACGGGACTTGGATTTTTTTCTATTATTTAGTGTATCGTTGGGTTCAATATTGATCCCTTGGATCTGTTCACGTATTATCTAGGTTGGTAGACCGGAGGTAGGTCGTACGGAGTTATGATCGCGATCTGATATCACATTGTTCGTCATCTCATCTCCAATTTACTGTCATTGGCGGCTTACGGTCAAACATTAATTTATTTTAAGGCCAGCCAACCAAGGAGGCCGAGGCTATTGGCCAGTTAAAATAGTATGACCCACTTATGGTTTCCTACAATGATTGGGAGGGAATCACAAACTCCGAATAAATGGTCAGAAGGGAACATGATACAAATAGAATAGTTAGACACATTTTATCGATTTCCCTATTGGTAGCTAGAGCCAATTACATTTTATTCTACGTGTTTGGTAACTGTGGTCCACCGTACTTTTCCCTGGTTCTTCGTCTCCTTTAATGTAAGGACCTTGTCTTTGTTTTTGTTCTATTCGTATCCAGCATTTCTCAGCATCTCAGCGTCTCACGATTTTACAGCGCATCATATCTAAAGGAAAATTCCGAGAAAACCGAGGTTAGAATCCTAAAAGGATGCGATCATTTCGTTTACCAAGCAGGGACGAGCTCCGCTGTATATGCGATAGGTTCAAATGTTATTTGTAAGGTCAAAACTTGGTGCGATGGCATGGAACTGGAAAGCGAAACCTTGGCTTTTCTTACCGCGAAATTTCCACACATTCCAATCCCGGAGGTCGTTCATTCATGGCTGGACCGGAAATTCAATCGGACCTTTCTTCTTTTGAAACGGATCAATGCGCAAACGTTAGACGACGCCTGGCCATCTCTCTCCTCCAAACAGCATCACATTGCTACTACTGTCGCCCAGTACTTGCGCGATCTCGCAACATTGCAATCTCCGTCATTTCAAAGTGCAACAGAGCGGGGGATCCTTGAGCCATTCTTAACAGTCTAGGCGGAAGACTCCATCCGTCGTGGAAGCCTCAGCTATTAGGACCATTTTCGCTGCCTATTTTTAAGAGATATCTTCAAAGAATCAGATGTGTGGCATGGTCATTTCCAAACAGCCTGTTTATGCATATTCCCAGCATATTCTCAACTTGTACTTGCTGATATTGTTTTTTGCAGTTCTGACACTGTAAAGGGGGGTGTACGTGCATTGCTCCCTGTGACAGGAACCAGGTTGTGATTGAGGGATCTCAGGGATGGATATACCAAGACAATGACACTATACCACACAGCACCGAACAATCTTAGCAAGACAACAATATAATGATAAAAGGAAACACAACGACGAAGGAGCCTCGCTCCGTTCTATACAATGATAGCGATACTAGTGAAGCAACCTAGAAACCAAAAGAATGCTCAATTTCTCGTAACTATCTGGGAGGGAATCCTCCATTAAGTACTCTCCGGCCGCGGGCTCCACCATACATTAGTATGTCGGAGACCGCGGCTCTACGGTGTTCTAAGATAGGAAATATGGGAGATCCGGGGTTTCGCAGTGCCCCCGGCACAACTTCATTTAATCAGAGTCATTATCCACATCCCACTGGATTTGCTTGCCCTGCTAAGCAGGCTCACAGAGTTATGAGAGCACAACTAAGTCTTTGGTGACCTGGATCTGTCATGTAAGCAACTTATCCTCATCAAAGTCCTCCGCTTCAGGACTGTAGAAATTTTCCATAAGCCATGTGTCAGGGCCCTTGCCATGTAGACCAGGACGAGCACGTGAGTTTCCTTATTTGGATTAGCGTGGTGCGTGGATAGGAATACGCCGTCCAGCTTCACGTAGATCTCTTCCTTTTTCCCTCCTCTCCATGCTTGAAGTTCTCGTCGATGGCTGCCTAGATAGTTGAATAGCATCCTATTCATCGTCTAGTTGAGTTCCCGTGCTAATGCTCTAATAACCTTATATATATATATATATATATATGTTAGTTAGCTGCGCTAATATAACAATTAGCACCAGTGGTCTAGTGGTAGAATTCATCGTTGCCATCGATGAGGCCCGCGTTCGATTCGCGGCTGGTGCACATCTGTTTTCTTTTTTTTTCTTTTCCCTTCTTCTATTTCTTCTACCTACGCTATAACATCCATCAATCATGGTCTCTTTTCTTTCCTCTCTTCTTTTCTGTTTTACATTGGATTCAGTATGTCTGGGAGCATACATCCTACCAGAGCCATACCTACGCCTCCCAGCATATAGTATTTTATCTATCAAGGTTGAAGGCTTTCCCTTTCCATTTTATTGCTTACTCCCTACCCATGGGGTGAGCACTGACCTGGTGAACCCTGCTGCATCATTCTTTCAGTCCCGGCCTGGACGAAGGACCAGTCAGGCATTGGCCGTTGGCCATACATCACAACCTGGACATTAAAGCTGTCTTTGTTCATTGAATCTACGGGCTTTTTTTGGTCGCATGTAATGCCGGTCTATCTTCACATCCAACTCCCAAGGTCTTGTTACCATTTATTCAATCCTCTGAGAGCAATACAATCTGTTAGGGATGCACTACTCGGATACAGCTAATTGGGAAGCTAGTTAAGGTGACATTTTCCTACCCATTTATGCCCAGCTTGCAGTTGATGAGTGACTTCATTGTATGGCAATCTTGCCGATAGATTGCCTGTCACATGGGCGTCAACTTCTTTCTCAGGAACAGACTTGCTCCTAGGGTACTTGGGCATCCCAGGATGGCCTGGAGGCTAGCTGGTGCTTCGATTTGGACATTGTTGTATTATTTTGGAATGACTGTTTTCCTTCCGTTGCACCAGGGATGATACAACTATATGTATATATAGTACTACTATAAGGATAATGAAGTCAGCTTGCTGCTGACATGTCAGAGTTTGGGCCTCGAGCAAAGTGATACATATATGTATATTGCTTGTGCCCTTAAGATGGGATTTTGCCCAGGAGCTAGAAAAATCCCTTGCTCCAGTTGCTATCGTTGCCTTCACGGCGTTGCTCAACATCCTACCTCTCACGTCGATGGATTCATTCCTCATTCTGTTAAACGACCAAGTTCCGTTTCAGAGCACGATCAAAAGCACCCTGAAAACAATATCCACTGTCCAACCCAGTTTCTGGACATACCCGTTCAGCTGGAGACTCCTTGTTCGATGCGACGATCACAGACGCTACTGCGAGAAGAATAAAGCCGCGCTAGCATGTACCGCGGATAATGATCCCATATTCAACCTTCCCGGACTTCTGTAAACCGTACTTTGAGATCAGTACCCTGAAATTTGCCATGCAGTATGGCAATCAACCAGACTTAGGCATCGGTTGGTCTGGTGACATGAAAAACTACGAACCCAATCAAGGTGTGTCTCTGTCCCTTTCTCATCCTCACACTTTGTTTTTCCGACTATTGAGATAGCCCTGACATAGCTCCATGAGATCACACATGTCTCTTGGGTATCCGGCTCTAACCCGCGAGTGTACGACATTTACGTGAAGTGGGGAGACAAGAAACCGCTAGCGGCCTACGGCCCCCTTGCTCATCAAGGCCCTCGCGCGGTACGGCGACCTGGCGGGCTACTGGACGTCCGCAAATGCGGAAATCTACGCGCTCTACTCTCTGATGCGCTATGCGTGCAATGCCATCGGCACCTATCCCCATTTTCCGCTCGCTCCAATGCCCCACCCCTGGAAGACGCTTGAGTGTCGGCGATCTGTTTACCATATTCGATAACGGGACCGTGGTTGTCAAGAACGCCACGGTGTTGGCCTCTCAGGCTCAGGACTCCTACGATCATTCAGATGATTCGGGCTTCTTGTACTTGAACATCACCAGTAGCCTGCAGTTTGCCAATTCGACCCACTACCCAGCCAGCTATATCAGCGATTACCTCTCCTGGGCTACCGTACCGCATAGAACATGCGCGCATCTGACGGGCATCAGGTCAGATCTTCTTCTTCTCTTGTTACCTATTATATATACATTATGCTTCTATCTCCAGGGACATCTCCAGATCTACTCGACATATATGGAATTAAACTCCGCTCCTTTTTTCTCTTGTTGCCTGTTGTATATAGACTATGCTTTATCTCCAAGGACATCCCAGATTTACTCGATGTATATGGAACTAAACCACCATGTAACTTCCACAAAATAGTGCAAGTGGAACAATCGCATGATAGTCATTCATTACCTTTAACTGAGACCGCTATCTATGATAGGCAATATAGTCGGAATACAATTTCCGTGCAGCACGCTGTCCATGCTCAACATTCCGTGAGATCGAAACTCCCATCCGGCCTTCATATCCAGACACGTAGAATAATCTCGGATCAAGCAGTTGGACTTTGCCATCAGGTTTCCCTAGAGATGTTGCGCTGTCGAGAACAGGCAAAGCATTCAGCCAAAACTGTCGATGAATCCACCGGACAGTAGGATCTTGCACACGCCCCAAATTTCGCATGGACCATTCTTCATCATGCACTTCCTGATTCTCCCAGTTTACTTGCTTGCCTCTGACCTCCTTGTGCAAGGTTAATGTCTCATAGCATGACTGGTCCGGAAAGGTGACAGCTTTTCGTGAGAAACCGGTTTTGTTGAAGAGGACCGTAATATCATCATCTGAGAAAGGTATGTATGATAGGACTCTGTAGAGATTTTCCTCGGAAACTACACAGCCATGTAGGTATGGTGAGTGGGTTCGGGTGAGGGTAAGGATGGCCGGGATGGAGGGGTTGGATTCTCGATTGGACTGGTTATGAATGTTCCAGATTACATCAGGAACTGTATCATTTTGGGAGAGGTTGAATGTTGTCGGATCTACCGTATGACGATCACTATAATACTTGCTGACGCTGTGAATACGGCCTCCTAGACAATTTTCTTGTTCAAATGGTCACTTGCAGTGAATACGAGTCACATTCATCGTCTGTGAGCTCGTGCGCTGCGGAGATGCCAGCAATCCCTCCTTCAACAAAATATCAGCACCTAGTAGTACTCTGCGCGTGTTCCATCTGAATCCTCTAGATGCATCTGAATGCTCACCGATAATGGCAATTTTCTTCGCATGGTAAACCTTCACTGTAGGGTCTGCACTGGCATAGAGCGGTTCCTGGTAGTGGTGGGTGTCGTGGTTTTATGAGAGACCATAGTCCGGTTCATCGTCAGGTACTCGCAAACCATGGTGTTTGTCACTAAGGGTGCTTTTGCTGGACGCGGTGGAGGATTCCTCATGTGATATATAACAACATGCCAACCTGCCCTAAACTCAATTTGAGATATACCCGAAGAGCATCATCCCACAATAACGAGGCAGCACCATAATTACTTTACTGGAGGACCGTGAGTTGAAAATATGGTGGATACACAGTGCTGGCACCATATCCACATAAAGTAAGGTGGTGTGATACTGTGACTAACTGAATTTACTGTGTATCTACGGGCTGAAAATGAGCGGAAAACAAAAAAGAAGGGAAGGAGGTATGCTGTACTAGGAAATAATATTACTTTATCTGTACAGGAAGGCCTAGATCGCATTCAGCAGCTTGATATGCAGGTTGAGGAGCAGGCATCTAGGCCTCGCCAGCGTGCTCCACCACGCTGCAGTGGCTGCGGGATTGTTGGACATACAATTAAGAAGTTGTCCAAGTAAATAGCTATTCATTTCATCTTTAACATGTGACAACTAGTACTACGAATAGATCCAAGGGAAAGCAACATGTGCCATGCAGTACTATTTTCAGCGAATACCGTATGTGAGAGGAGGAAGGAGAAAAGAAGGACTGGATATCGCGTAGACGCAGTATGTAAATAATGGAGGTATATCGTTGGTTACTAGCTAGATAGGCCTACGTGGTGAAAAGGGTCAGCGAGGGCGGACCTATGCGGCAGAATCCCACGTGATACAACAAAACAGGTGACGTCACGTACTATACACGTGACGAAGCTAACCCGGAGTTAGACCAGGCGGCCATTATGGGACGGGTTGTCACAAAAGCACAGGCATCCAGAAGGGGAAAGTCAATGTGGTTCTAGAAATTCCATATATGCCGGATATATATATCCGCTTCGTTCTACACTTCTACAGTCAATATCCGGCATACCCACCTGTCTGCAGCGCTGCGTCTGGCATGTCCTGTCTGGCTTATAACTGGACCTCCGACCCACGTGCACTCTAAAGTGCTTGTCCGTCGCTTCTCCGATAATCTTTTCATCGCCAACGAACCCTCGAGTATCCCGATGCCACCTCGTTCAAGTACGGCCGGGAAGCCCGTCGCCTTCGCGCATTTGCAACGTGGTGGGAATGTTACGAGCTATTGGCCCCAGGAGCGTCCATAATGGGGGTTCCTGGAGTTTCCTGCTGACGCCTGAGTCTGGTAATATGTATATATATAATATCAAGGGAAGTTATTGCTAGCTGCTGAATATGACCCTATCACTTTCCTTCTCCATGCTGCAACTGGAAACATGATGAGCATGGTGGGTTCTATCGCTCTCCTCTCAGCTCTCCCTGTGCTCATCAAAAGCACGCTGGCCAGCGTGGACTATCCACCCCTGCCAGAGGACCTGACGACTCCCTACCAGCAGAGACTGGCGATCTACGGCCCCAATGGTGAGTTTCTCAGATACTTCCTGCACTATTAGTAGTAGATCTAGCAGCTAATTCCTGCTCCCAGCTGTCTCTGTGGGGTGGAATACATATGGCACACTGGACCAGAGCTGCGTGAAATACGGCACAGGGCCTGAAGCACTGAACTTGCAAGCCTGCTCATCCCAGTCCATGACCTACGGGACTTCACGGACGTTTTCTCATACTGTCATCTTGACTGACATGATCCCGGCCACTACCTACTACTACAAGATCGTCTCGACGAACTCCAGCGTGGAAAATTTCCTCAGTCCGCGTACTCCGGGAGACCAGACACCCTTCAATCTCGATGTTGTCATTGACCTGGGAGTCTATGGGGCTGATGGCTTCACTCGTTCTGCGTCCAAGGCGAAGAGGGAGACGATCCCGTGTATTGATCCAGATTTGAACCACACCACAATCGGGCGCCTGGCGGAGACAGTCAATGACTACGAATTTATCATCCATCCGGGTGATTTTGGGTACGCAGACGACTGGTATCTGAAACCGAAGAACTTGTTAGACGGCAAGGACGCCTACCAGGCCATTTTGGAGCAGTTCTACGACCAGCTCGCCCCCATTGCGGGCAGTAAGGCCTACATGGCTGGTCCCGGAAACCACGAAGCGGACTGCACCGAGATTCCCTTCACGGCGGGACTGTGCCCAGAAGGACAGCGCAACTTCACCGATTACATGCATCGCTTTGGCCAGACGATGCCCACGGCTTTCCCCTCCCGCTCATCCAACCAGACAGCACAGGCCCTTGCCAGCAAGGCACGCAGCCTAGCAAACCCGCCTTTCTGGTATTCATTCGAGTACGGCATGGTTCATATCACGATGATCAACACCGAGACGGACTTCCCCTCTGCACCCGATGGCCAGGGCGGGTCAGCCGACCTGGAAAGCGGCAACTTCGGCCGGCCCAATCAGCAAGTTGACTTTGTCGAGGCCGACCTGGCCAGTGTCGACCGCACGGTGACACCCTGGGTTATTGTTGCTGGACATCGTCCATGGTACACGACGGGATCGGACGGTTGCAAACCCTGCCAGGCCGCCTTCGAGAACCTTCTCTACCGCTATGGGGTTGATCTCGGCGTCTTCGGTCACGAACATAACTCACAACGCTTTCTTCCCGTCATCAATGGCACTGCTGACCCCAAGGGGATGACAGACCCCCAGGCCCCCATGTATATCGTCTCTGGAGGAGCGGGAAACATTGAAGGTCTCAGCTCTGTGGGAAGTAAACCTTCGTATACCCAATTCGCCTACGCGGATGACTATAGTTACAGCACGCTCCGAGTGTTAGACCGGAATCGTCTGCAGGTGGATTTTATCCGTTCCTCGACTGGGGAGATCCTGGACTCGAGCACATTGTATAAGAGCCATGACGTTCCATTTGTGGTGCAATAGGGGGTAGCCCGAAGCTATAAAAGTATGGATATTTTGATCGGGTAAAGAGGAAGATAATAATGATAATCAGATAATGCTGCTAGATAGTTCAAGTTTCCGATCAAATCGCCCAACAGAAGTGGAGAAACATCGAAGCATACATCCTCGAGGACAGAAAGTCAACATGGAATCACTTGCGGGTATTGACAGCAGAGATGTTATTGTAGAGCATATCAATGCTACTCTTAAAGAAGAAGAAATCAAAAAAAGTCATAAACAGGCGCCACAAGGGGTTACCTTCTAAATTTGACCCATTTCTCTGCTGTGTAGTATGTGGGACGCCAATTCCGCTGCACGATGCAGCAGATGCGCGGAGAAAACGAGAAGTCTGTGGCAAAAACTAGCTAAGAGAAAGAGAAGCTGTCTCATCTCCCTCCCCATCGACAGAGCTGGAACAGACAGATTTCAAAAGATGTCCCTTCATGTGGTCAAAGACAACAGCCAATGCACTGCTACAGCCATATAAATGTAAACCACATCTGTACTGCCGTCAGAAGCCAGGCAGCGTAACTCCTCATGCTCCCTAAGAATACGATCAATTCGCTCAGCTTGGCCCGAAGCATGCAAGATCCTGGCAAGGGCAGAGTGAGTATCGAGAAGGCTGGGATGCGGAAGCTCATCGCCAGAAGACGAAACAAATCGGACAACTCATGTTCATCAGGCGGAGGTAAAGATGACATGAATATTGTACCTTTGAACTTTGGGAAGACTTCAATTCCATACTCACCTTCAACATCCTGGCTATATTAGCACCCTGATGCTTAGTAGGGTTGTTTCTCTATACCTTTCTCTCCTCCAACCTTTATCGATCCAGCTGCACCGACCAGCTCAAGTTGTTCCTCCTGTTCACAGTGAGAGTGAGGACATAGCTGAGTAACAATACAGGAAAAATTGATGGGGCTGGGCAATTTGACAGCGGTTAATCTGGCACCAACCATTGTCAGGCTACCTGCACAAAATAAATATGGGAGGCACATAGTGGTGATGGCATGAAGAGGCAATCAATATGAACTGCAAAGTGCAATGGTAAAGGGAATGTAAGGGTCACTTTGTGATCTTCGTACGATGCTAAGTATACGTGATCTCGTCTGACGGCTGGTTGGCAGCCTGATCCTTTAGGCTGCGGTGTTCGCGGCCTCAGGACAACTAAAGCAATGGATATACCTCATATGATAGATATGCCTGCGCCATTCCTATTGACCTAATTGAACACGACAGGCTATCTACCAGATGCACATCTGTGTATGGAATTCTCGCAATCAACTGAAGGGTGGCTAGGGAATGCCTGGGCTGCGAGCCATGGAGACAGACAGTTGTACTATGGCTCTTCCAGTCCGACCCAGTGCAGAGATACTATCGTGAGTAAACCAGCCTGCTTGGAATTCTACAGAATGTACTAGTTTTGCCATATAGGTGATGAGGCAGTCTTGGTGCAGAGCGCTCTTCAGCATTTCTCGAACAAGTTGAAGCAAATACAGCTACTACGCCAAAACAAACGCTGTTTAGGGACTGATTTTCCGTAATGTATACAATATAATCCCAGTTTATGTATTTCCTTAATCGTACAATAAAAGCATTAAAATGACCACAAGAATTCAGAGCCAATAGTGTTGGAAGTTTATCTCAGGGTTTTAGACCTGCATCCAACCCAGATCTATATAAAAGCGGAGTATTTGCAACCACTGGGCTGAATGCCAGTATATAGAATATGAATGAAGAATATCCAGCTTTCCAATATGTCATAGCACAAAAGTATCATGCATCTCATCCCTTCTGAATCACACCATATCGCCAGGGGTGCCCAGATCAAGTCCGGTTCCCCCAGCCGGGTCCAGGTTAAAAGGCAAGAACCATGCGCTGGGCTGGTAGAGATCGCCTGCTCCAGACGGGACTGTGGGATCGAATTGATCTGCCTCTGTCCAAAGGGAGAAGGATTCTCCCGCATTACTGACGGGCTGCATGGAAGGGTCGGTAAGGTTGTCGTTCATTGCTGCGTCGAGCGCGGCAAAGTCAAGACCGGTAAATGCTTCGTCGTAGACAAATTGGCGGTCTAGCTGGGGCAGCTGGTCTGGAATGGTGAAATTGAAATTGAGCTGGTCGAGTTGAAAGGGTTCAGGATGAGCAGGGTTGTTCTGAGAGGACAACGTCGACGTTGTGGCCCGAGGGAATTCAGATGTGGTTGTTACCATCGCTCCACCTGGTGTATTTGCCGTTGTCGCTCGCGGTGATGGATAAACATAGCCGGCTTGGGTTGAGCCTCTGGCGGATCCGGGAGAAGCTATGCTGTTATGTCTTCGGGAGTGCGACTGTCGATGCGTTGTACTGTATGTCTTTTGGGGACTATCCACGCTAGGTGAGGAGAGACTGGCAAAAAAATCCTCCACGCTCTGAAGATCGGGCTTTTGACCCATTACCGCTTCCTCAGCTGCAGTCTCCTTGTCTTTTCTTTCGGGGTCTTCCCAATGCAGTCTCGACACGCCGTGAGGATATCGGTCGAACCAGTCTCCATACTGGAACATTGGCGTGACTTGGCCATCACAGCTTGTAGTTGATCTCCTCAGAGCTGCGTCTGCAAAGTTTCGATATCGATCCTTAGAGCTTTGCACCATGTAATGGAACATACCCCAGTACCTTTTCATTTTATTCAGATACCGATATGTATGCCGAAGATTCTCCTTCGACCATGCCTCCAGCTGTATATTTTTGGAGAAAATGCCCCAGATGTGCACCGTGCTCGCCGAGTAAGCACAGTAACCTGCAAACGGAGCAGTAAGATTGTGAGATGAAGCATAGTTGATGAGGACAGAAATATGATGGGCAGCTTCAACGGCCGCTCGGCCGGCGTCGCTGAGGAAGTTCTTTGGCATATTCTTTGGCGGCCTGACCCCAGGTGAAAGAGGGATAGCAAATTGATTCAAAAAGAGTATGTTCTGATGAGCGATTATATGGAGAAATAGGAACTGATTCGCAGTCTTCTCCGCAGCATGTACCTGGAGGTTCTCATACGTGAATGACAGAGAACTAGGAAGCGATGCGGAAAACTCTTCGCCTTGTGTCTTAAGGCGTGCATAGCCAGACTCTGGTGACCACAATGGATAGGGGTCATTTTGCATCCCACCAAGATTAAGATAGTCTACTATGCGGCCCCAGATGGCTGTGGCACGGATGATATAGGCCGAGACACCCATGTTCTCCCTCGCATTAGGCGACTGGCCTACATCGTCGGGAACCGGATTCGGGACGTTTCCGTGAAGATCTTCGGTTGGTCCAGGAATTTCCATCTGGAAGCGGGACTCCTTAATGGGAAGCTGGATTTGCATAAAGGTCTCGTTTCCCATGGGTGGACGTTGACTGCCAGAAGAGTTGAAACGGTCCATGAGAAAGCAACCCCACATAATGCGTCTTCGAATCTCGCGGTCTGTGAAACTGAGTTGCGAACCATTTCCATTTCTCTGGGTAAGTAGAGGGTCATAATCGAGTTCCTTGTGAAGTTGTAACGCGTAGGCCATTCTCAATGCCTGACCCCCAAAAGACCAACTTCTCCCACCGTGGCAGGTCCCAAACTCATGTAAGCCAAGAAGCAAAAAGACAGTTAGGATGGTGATATTCGGCTCGTCATGCCGGCTTAGAGCTATGGATGCTGCGGGCTCGGCCCACTCCTGACCGCGCAGGAAAGGGGGTTCAGAATTAATCTGTGGATGCGTGGAGAACCGAGCAGAAATAGCACAAACAGCCAGAATCAGCACCGGTGGAACAATACCAGCTTTCAGTCTTCTCATAAAGCTGGGTTTATGTAGAACCATATAGGACTGCCCATATACACAGTCGAAGAAGACCTCTGCGAGGTGTTCCTGGATCTCCATCGAGGGTAGAAATTCGGAACCCGCTTTCAGAAGACTGGTCCCATCGCCAATCCTGTTCTGATTAGGCACAGGGACATTATTATTGGCTGTCGCACTGCCTTCATTCCCTGCCAATTGTCCTATTTCCGATTCAAAGGCTTCCGCGGCTGACCGTTTCTTTTGGGAAGTGGGCCGTACCACAGCCCTACCAATAGCTGCCATGTCTCTTGTTTCATCCTTGAGAATAGTCTTGATGACTCTTTCCTCCATCCTCCTCAGCCGTTTGTCTAACATCGCCATGTAATCCGTCCGAGGTGCTGCTTTCCTTGTGGTGACCTTGTAGACACAAGGTATTCGAGATCGAGAACAATGTTTGCAAGCTGGCTTCTCACCCGAACATCGAATTTTCTTTCTTCTGCATGCAATACATGCCAGCGGCAGACGCTTCCTCTCCTTCCCGGCCTTCGTTTTCATTTCGCTCCATGGCGGCTTTCCCTCCTCCGACTGGGCGTTCTGGCTCATTTCTCCGTTTTCATCGTGCTGCGAATTTTCCAGCGCACTCTCGACTGCCGCGGAAGGTTTGCCAGCTGCCGGAGCACCCTCCGGACCGCGAGGACTGACATTAATAATAGTGTCGTCGGTGTTTTTTGGAGTAGTATCATGCCGCTCCGGGGCTGCAGTGGTCGTAACCGACGGTGTACCATCGGCCTCCGAAAGGATCATGACGGGATGAATACCCTGAGAACAAGGTCCGAGGCATCGTTCGTGGGAGTCATGGAGGAGTCCGGACTATGTGGGGGAGAATGGGGAGAAAGTCGGGGTAAAACTCTAAACTGCAGATTGTGTTGGATCATGTGGGATTCTGCCGCATAGGTCCGCCCTCGCTGACCCTTTTCACCACGTAGGCCTATCTAGCTAGTCACCAACAAAACAATACACCTCCATTAGATTGTGTTAGAGGTCACGTGTATTCTGCCATATTAGACCGCCCTCGCTTGGCCTGACACACTAAAATAGCTAGACCAACCTAGATAGATACAATACAAGCAAGTTGATCCAACAGATTGTGACGTCCTGTGCGGAGAGATGCATTTGTAAGCAGCTAGGTTCGGTAGATAGTTAGTCCTCCACTCGGCAGACAATAATAATAATAAGGGAGTCAAGCTGTTACTACTCCAGTGCTAAGTTCAGTCGGTTTTTTTTTTTATCTAAAAGCAAGGTCGAAGGTCGAAGTGCGTAGTGGTGGAGCATTCAGAGGTAGAGAGAGGTACATGAGAATACTAAAGCGGATGGAACAAGTACCAGTTAACGGACAAATGCAGCCTTGTATACGCTATCCAAACAATTTCACTGTCGAACCTTAAAACTTTCAGAACATACAGTCCCTTGCTTAGACGCTGAGTTCAAAGCTTGCATCCTCTCGTGTCCAATATCCTCGCGGCGCACTCCCTTGTCAAGACACGAAGAGTTCTGAACAAAATCCCCAAAAACCTACTACATTATTGCAGTTTCCGAACTTTTCAGAATCTCTGCGCCAAGGATGTATATGTTATAGCTTGGGAAGAGAAGGAATAAGCCGCTGCCGCTCGCTTGTCAGTGGGATACCCCAAACAAGAACTATGCCATAGCAGCTAGAGATCAAAAGGTATAAGGTGCGGGGAACTCACTTAGGTACAGCCCACAGTAGGATTAAGGAAGAAATTTCGGTATGTCGGATATTCTGAAATCCGGAGAAAATTTCATTTAACCCTAGGACCAATTAGTAGAGAGTCAAGCGGAGATAGGTCGCGAGGACGAACTCACAGTAAAGAGTCGTCTTGCTAACAGTCACCACGGAAACACTGTATCCAACAAGCAGCGCAATAGCACCCTCACGCCCAGAGACTACCTTTTCCGATTTCAATAACCACCGAAGACCCTCGACGCCTTTCTTAGATCCGCGACCAGAGTCTGTGGTTGACACCCCGTACACATACACAGTATACAGGTAGAAAATGTATCCTGCTGTCTCCACTAGATTCATGACTGTCTGTGCGATGGTAAAGCCATTTCTGGCGTTGAATGCTGGCCAACCGTAACTATAATCAATGGTACCATAAAGCACATATGGTGTCCAAACAGGCGAATGAAGCTTGTCATGGGCCATGCTATGTGGGCCTAGCAGAATACAACCTGCATCCCAGAGAACGAGCGGTACGGAGATCAAGAGCCATATAGTCATCACGACAGATGGCGTGTGAACCCATCTCCGGACAGTACCCCTACCTGACGGGGAGGTTGAGGGTCTTTCTGCCTTCGTAGAGGGAAATTCCTGGGGATGCTGACGCGTGGAGACCATAATTTCACGTTATAGTCCAAGAATTCCAAGTTAACAAATATGCGTACGCATGTGTCGTAGATATCAGTAGGGAATAAACCAGTTATGGCAGTTTCATAGCCTACATTTTGAAGACAAGACACCCCAAGGAAATAGACAACCAAAAGAGATATGGAATGCCAAAGAAGAGCAGTGACGTCGTTAAGACAACATTTCATTCGGCGGGGAGCAGTTCCATCTCAAGTGCCATTCCATTGCATTATGATTGAATAATCGTTGGAATACATCCAAATGACGCGCATACTTCTTTAGACAGTGTTAACAAGATCTCTTGTCTGTATTGACATTGGCTGCGGAGGAAAGGAAGAGAGGAATGTAATGGAGGTATGTCATGTGTTGTATTGGTCATCTATCTAGGTGCCAGAACTAATGGAGGTGTATCGTTGGTTGGTAACTAGCTAGATAGGTGAAAAGGGTCAGCGAGGGCGGACCTATGCGGCAGAATCCCACGTGATCCAACATGTTTCTAATGGATAGGCGCATGTATGGTCATATTACTAGGTAGGCCTGCCTGTGCCGTGAGATAGGTAGCGAGGGCGGTCTAGGACGGCAGTACCTCACGTGTACTAACACCCCCCCACGCACGAGCAGCCTACAAACTATGGAATCAATTTAAATACAGAAATCGGCCTCTATTCGGGCCTTCAAATGAGTGAATATATGCAAAAATAAACAGAGGAATGAAGGTTCTGCTTTAGCCAATCGAATGCCGTATATCAAAATAGAAAATATATCCAAAATGGGGGAGATATACGCGGCTTAGTTTATGCCAGTGAGTTGTAGGAAATGATCAAATTGTTCAGTTTGGAGAGGTTTGGTCAGGCCGTCTGCTGCTTGTTCTTTGGTAGGGCAGGCCTGGAGTTTAACAATACCGTCTTGGATCTTCTCCCGAACGTAATGGTAACGTATATCAATGTGTTTGGATCTCTTGGTGGTGAGCTCAGCTTCAGCCATGGCGTGTGCACCTTGATTGTCGATATAGAGAGTAATTGGCGGGCATTCAGTAGGGAGCACGTTGAGCTCGTTGATGAGGTTCCAGAGCCAAAGGGCATCTTGGCTGGCTTCACTTAGAGCCATATACTCAGCTTCGTTGGAGCTAAGTGCAACGGACGTTTGCTTGTGGCTTTTCCAGGCAATTGGGGCCCCGGCAAGCAGAAATATATATCCAGATACTGACCGGCGATTGCCTGTCAGTTGACCACCCCAATCAGAATCAGTATAACATCTAGGCATGAGGAGGTCAGATGTAATGGGTTCCGTGGCCTTATGGTAGGTAATTTGTCGGTTAATGGAGCCTTTAAGGTAGCGTATAGCGTGTATAAGGGCACGCCATGCCTTTTGGGTAGGTTTGGCGTGATATTGGGATAGTACGCCAACTGTCCAGCTAAGATCAGGTTGGGTTTTGGTGGCTAGCCAAGTAAGGCAGCCTACACCACGTTGATATTCTTTGATGTTCACTGTAGGGTCTGGGTCATCATCAATTATTAAACTAGGATCCATGGGGATCCCAACAGGGTGTGCTTGTGCTTGGCCAAAAGAGGCAACAACGTCTTCAGCATAATTGGCCTGGGAGAGAGTATATGTGGTCTTGGATTGAGAGGTGGCCATGCCAAGGTATTTGGTAGAGTTTCCAACTTCTTTTATGTCAAATTTAGCAGAAAGGGACTCCATAAACCAAGTGGCATCATTCTCATGCTTAGCATAGACTTTGAAGTCATCCACATGGGTAGTCACATAGAGTTGGGTCCAGGTGGTATGGATCCAGAGACCAGAGTCATATTTGGAGCTTTTGAAGCTGATTTGTCGTAAGAAAGCATTTAGTGTATCATACCAGATACGGGCAGATGGGATCAGTCCATAGAGGGACTGGCGGAGTTCACAAACCAGGTCTCCAGAGCCTTCTTTGAATCCCTGAACTTGGGTCATAAAGACACGTTTATCTGTGGGCATTTTTCCATTTAGGAAAGCAAGGATGGCATCTGCCTTTTGAGTATGCCAGCCAAGTAGAGTGGCCAGTGCCGTAAGGGTTCTAGTGATATTTTCATCTACCACTGGGGCGTATGATTCCATGAAGTCCTTGTCAAGTAGATTTCCACAGATCACCCAGCGAGCTTTAGCTTGGTAGTCCCTTGTAATAGGGGTACCAGGGATTTCTTTCTTTTTGTATACCCACTGGCCAGGGATGACCTTGGTCCCTGGTGGTAGATCAGAGTGGCGGATAAGTTGCCAGCAGCCTTTTTCTTTGAGTTGGTTGACTTCTTTTTGCATGGCTGCTTGCCACTTGGTGGCATCAGGATGAGATATAGCCTGCTTATAGGAAGTAGGCGTGTCATCTTCAGATGAAGGAGTAGTTGAAGTGGTGAGATAGGCTAGGGACATGCCTTTGGTGGGTTGAAGCCATATTTCCTGGTCTTCATCTTCAACAGGTTGGTTTGTATCTTCTTTATTAGGAGTACTTGGATCTTCAGGAACAGTAGCTTGTGGAGGTGTAGTTGTGGGATCCTCATATTCTTCATCAAATATAGTGTCATTGGTTGAAAAAATGGCGTCTGTTTTAGGGTCCCACACTCTATATTGTTGGCTACTGATTTGGCTGATCATGAAGCAGCATTTAGAATGGGAATTGAACTTGTTTATAGGCTTATCTGAGCTATGTCAATGAACCCAGACAGGGCAGCCCCAACGTCAGTATTTGTTGATACTAGTTGGTGAGTTGGTCCAGGCAGCCAGAGGCGATTTATATGGGCTTGGGCTGATTTTGGTGTTGATATTGATCCCCCCAGGGATAGGTGAATTGAATAGGACTGTGGATGTTGGGAGGTGGTTTGTTATATCTAATGCATATTTTAAAGCATCAACCCAAAATTGCTGTGGTATATGGGGAGCATCAAGCATTAATGTCTGGGCACAGTCAAAGAGTATGCATATGCTGCGCTCACTGACACTGTTTTGCCAAGGGGAATATGGAGAACTTGGTTGCCATTCAATGCCTTCCTGATGGTAGGTTTTCTGCCATTCAGCTGAACAGAATTCATTGTCAGAGACAATATAGGCTGGGGCAGGGAAATGGTGATTCTTCATCTGTTGTAGCCAACCCTGAAATGCATCAATTGCAGCAGATCTTTCAGTTAGGTAGTGGATCCAACAGTAACGTGTAGTGTCATCAGTAATAAGCATCACATATTTGGCTCCTGTACGTGAAGGTAGAGGCATATCTAGCTTCTCTATATCTAGTGTTCAGCCACCACCAGCAAGGTCTATGTGGACTTGGGCTAGTGGTGCAGTCATACAGGATCTTGGTGTTTTGCTGTATTGGCAAGTTTGCTTGCCCTGGATGCAGGCTTCACAAAGTGGTAGTTCTTTGAAACCTTTAATTTCAATGTCTGATGTAGGATCTGCGGCAAGGCGTAAAAGATCCTGCTGGTTTAAATGGCATAGACAGCAATGCCATGTCATAATTGGTAGAGCTGTTTTGGAGCTCTTACTCTTTGGGGATGTTGTAGGTTTCTTTCTGGGAGGGTCCCCTGGTCAGTTGGCCTCTTTGCCAGACCAGGTGGTGACAAAGGCATAGGAGCTCCCGTCGGGAGAAATGCAATCTAATAGGATGAATACATTGTTGGTATTCAAAATGGCTTCAAATTCTGCACCAGAAGAGGTTGTGATTTGTGCTACTTGAGAGCTGGAAGGGAATTTGATATGAAAACCTTGTTTGAGAAGCATTCCCATGGAGATTAAGTTGGAATTGAAGGATGGAACATGTCATACATCCCTAAGGATCAAGGATCCAGTTCCAATATCAATGACAACGGTGCCAATACCATGAGGTTTGGAAATCTTCCCTTGAGCATCTTCAATATAATCTGCTGGAGTAAGGTCCTCCTTTCTCAATGTTTTATAGGACGTGAAGAAAGCTTGATGGGGTGTAACATGGAATGAAGCACAGCTATCAAGATACCATGAAGCTTGGAGAGATTGGGCTGATTTAGCAATGGCTGTTTTTGCAGCTGAAGAAGTCCATAGTACCAGTTCATTGGTTTCTGCTTCAGAGAATGAAGCAGTGGAAGATTCTTTAGCAGTGTGTAAAGCATGAATAGCTTCAATAGTATTTTTATTGGCTTGGCACCAATGCTCAGAGGCTTTCTCAGGGTTCTTGTAGAGGCAAGGCATTGGGTGGAAATGACCACACCAATCACAACAGGTCTTTGGTTTGCATGAGTCCTGGTCCTAAGGTTTATATTTAGTGTTGGAACTTGAGGCGGAAGAGCTAGCAATGGGGTTAGATGCTTGTTTGGAATAGCTTCGTCCGGATAGATTCTCTCGTTGTCCTCCATGTTGGGAGCGGGATTCACGGGCTTGGGTGCCCATACGGATAGAGAGTTGAGCTTGAATGGTAGGTAGGTCCAGATTGATGACAGGGCCTTGTCCAGTTGAGTATACTTCATCAAGTTTACTCTTAATGAATGCTTTGTTCCATTCACGGAGGCCTATAAAAAATAGGTCATGAATAAGGTTGTCAAATGAAGCTTCTTTTATAGCATGAAGGCGGTCTACTATCCTAGTAAATGCAGATTGGTAGGATAGGTAGTCATTATCTTTTATATAGAGCTCCTTGAGCTCTTTTATAAGAAGCATTTGTTCTTCACCAGTAGAACGTCTGAAAAAGGTAGCAGTTCAGTCCCATAAACCATGGGCTGATAGGTCATATGTGTTGCCCAATTTGTCAATGGCTTGGGCAGTCATAGCATGAAGCATTTGGGCTCTCATGACAGTGGCTTTGCAATGCCATACTTCAGCATCATAAGCTGAGTATCCTGCTGGAGGTATATCCTGATGCAAGACTGTACTAGCGTTCAGGACATTGGCTTCTCTTTGAATGGCTGAACTCCAGGGGTCGTAATTATCATGAGACAGTGTGATTCGGCATTGGTCTGGTAGGAGCGCTTTAACTTGAGCTTGTACATGATCAAAAGGATCTTTTTGTACTGGATTTGAGGCTGGAATAGCTGTATTATTTTGAATATGATTGTAGGGAGTAGCGTTATGCTGGACTGTAGGAGTGGAGGATTGGGATTGATGGCGTTCAAGGGCATTAAAACAAGTCATGAACTGGTCCATCTGCTTCTGCATTTGCTCCTGCATCTGCTTCTGCATTTGTTCCTGCATCTGCTTCTGCATTTGTTCCTGCATCTGTTCCTGCATCTGCTGGAACAGAGCTGTGATGTCTGGTGTGGATGCCATGGTGTTGGCTGTAGTAGAGCTTTGAGCTCTAGGGGCAGTTGGGGTGTCCATTTCTTCAGAGATTACTGAGGAGGCGGAGGAGCCTATATCTGATGAAGGATCTGTGGATTCTGGCTGACGACGGTGACGTCTAGCGGTGGTAGGGGGCGTTCGAGGCACCACCATTTTGGATGGGATCGATCGAAGGATCCTGGGGTTCAGGGGCCGATTGTTGGCGGTCCTGGTGTTCAGAGTCGCTTAGAAGCGCTCGATTTCTGGTTTGACCAATGAGAGGTCACAATTTAGCCTATCTGAAAGGCTTTTTTAAGCTCAATATCGTAGAGCTAAAACGGGCTCATAACCTAATGGATAGGCGCATGTATGGTCGTATTACTAGGTAGGCCTGCCTGTGCCGTGAGATAGGTAGCGAGGGCGGTCTAGGACGGCAGAACCTCACGTGTACTAACATAAACCAAGACAAAACACGTGATCAAATAATTACCCAATTGGGATCGTAATAGCCGCGGAGCGCGTCCAGCTTGACGCGCGCGAATGTACTAGAAAAGGTATCGAGAGAGCCGTAGAAATTCAAGACATCTCTTTATCATCATACCATATATGCTCGACAGCTAACGAAGCCCAAAATGTCTCTTCTGGTTGATAAGCTACGACCACGATCACTCGATACACTCTCATACCATCGTGACCTTTCTGCACGCTTGAAATCACTGGTAGGAGAAGCATCGAATTCACGCTGCCCATTCCATGAGACAGACGAAATAACATTCTTGTTTACATCAGGCTCAAAGTGGCGATTTCCCCCATCTCCTTGTCTACGGCCCTTCCGGAGCGGGCAAGAAAACGCGTATTATAGCAACACTAAGAGAACTATATGGTCCGGGTGTTGAAAAGATCAAGATCGACGCGCGGGTCTTCCAGACGACCAGTAACCGCAAACTAGAATTCAACATTGTCTCCTCAGTCTACCATCTCGAAATCACACCGTCGGATGTCGGAAACTATGATCGTGTTGTTGTTCAAGAATTGCTCAAGGAAGTCGCGCAGACGCAGCAGGTCGATCTGTCAGCGAAGCAGAGATTCAAGGTGGTCGTGATCAATGAAGCAGATCATCTTACTCGGGATGCACAGGCGGCATTACGACGAACTATGGAGAAATATAGTCCTAATCTACGATTGATTTTGTTGGCAAACAGCACTTCGAATATCATTGCACCGATTCGTTCACGGACTCTGCTGGTCAGGGTTGCTGCACCCACGGAAGACGAAATTTGTTCAGTTCTTAGGGTGGCAGGGAAGAAAGAGGGGTGGACACAGGCTGATGGCCTTAATAAGAGGATCGCCAAGGAGAGTGGGCGGAATCTGCGACGGGCACTGCTTATGTTCGAAGCCATCTATGCTCAAAAGTGGGTTTTTTTGGTCTTCGCTTTTGTTAACCTATATTCTGCTTTGTGCTTACCGAACATGCTTTCTATATCCACAGTGAGAAAGTTACGGATAAAACTCCCATTCCACCGCCCGATTGGGAAGCTCTTATTTCTTTGACGGCTGAAGAGATCTTGGCCGAGCGATCGCCAGCCAGTATATTACGCGTTCGAGCACGTTTATATGACCTCTTAACCCATTGTATACCGCCGACCACAATTCTCAGGGTATTGGATTCCCCCACTGGAACCAGCAGATACAGCTGAGCTGGATGAGCCTCTCCCAGGCTAACTTTACTCTCTTCCAGACTTTGACCTTTAAATTAATCGCCAAGGTTGACGATGCTCTCAAGCCAGACGTAATAAAATGGTCTGCTTTCTACGAACATAGAATAAAAATGGGCACTGTAAGTGGTTCCCTACTGCTGTGTCCTGGAGATGCAGGCCTTGGCGATTATCTCTAACTTGAGATGATCCGCGTAATATAGAAAGTGATCTTTCACCTCGAAGCCTTCGTTGCGAAATTTATGCGCATATACGAGAGGTTCGTTTGTCTCGACGTGCCCTTATATAAACTACAATTGTTTTTGCTGACCTTGTCGAATAGTTACTTGATGGGCATGGATTTCTAGGATCCGACTGGTTTGCTGCTAACAACAATGGATCAACTGTACTTTATGAAATCTGATATCATAATAACATGAACTGAACGAATCGCGACTTCCCATCACAAACTCAGATTCTAATAGAGACTGGGACGACAAAGCTACGTCATAGCACAGCTGTCCTATAGAAATTCGGCCGCTTTGATATTAACTAAATCAGTAATGCTCTTTTTATGCTATACGTACCCCCCGAGGCTCGTAAAAATATTGCCCAGCATAGCTTCCACGGGATATAGAAACCCTTTCATAATGCCCAATTCAAAGCTTCTCGACACTGAACTAGGTGGTAAAAGCACACAGTACGAATCCATTCGGACATTTACAGAACCGCCTGCTAAGCAATCGGGTCAATTGGGAGGTATGCATATGTAATCTTGACTGATTTTCCCTCGGACGTATATGTCAGACTTGGGAAGCTTGAGCTAACATGGATCGAACTTGGATTAGCCGGTGTTCAGCAGACGGTTAGCGGCGAGAGTGATTTATTCGGCGACAGCTACAGAGAACCGAATGACAATAGGGCATCGGAGGCTGATGATAAGCTTGCAAGGGAACAGTGCTTTGGGGGTATGACAGGGAATATTCAGGGTGAAGTGGATAAAGGTAAGGATTTCTGCTGTTCTTTGGGTTTGTTTATTATGCTGCTATTTCTTTTCATTCTTTCTGGCTTTTCATTCTCCTTTGTTTCACCTGGGTGAATAAATGAACAAACCAGCCATACCATGACAGAAGTGAAGGAAATAAGCTGACTGACTGTATGAGTGCAAAAGATTTGAAGCCAGGATCCCAGAAAGATGGTGCCACGACAGTAAAAACTAGGAGACAGCTGGGGTATGGGCCTGGTTCCGGCATCGGGGCTTAAGATGCGGGATGGAAATGGTGTAGTTTGGAAACATAAAGGAATAGGGACAAATAAGGAGCAATTTAACATCGTGAGGGGCTAATGTACAGCGTAAAGGGGCTTATTTATTGAGAGGCAGATAGATCCGACGAGTCGGTTTTTGGAAGCGGATTAAGCTTCTCTGCACCGAGAGGCGGATTTCTGCGTGCACGCTTCAGGCTCTCCAAAGTGACACCGTTACCAAGTTTTGTCAGGCCAACAACGGGAGGATCATCCTTTTTCACAAACTCCCAAAGGCCTGATCCATATGAATCTTAGTTAGCATCAAGAAATGCAAATTCAGATACCAACATAAAGAGATAGCGGTGGAAACGAACCAGGTAACTTATGACCCGCCAATCTAAATGCCTCCCTCGCAATTTTCTCGTGTAGGTCACCTTTAAGCTCGAAGACGATCCTGCTCACGGGCACCCTTGCGGTCCAGTAGTCGAATTTTCCCTTTCCTTTACCCATACGCTGTTCATTACCCTTGGTATAGACGCCAATATTTGCACTGACGCGCGGGTACAGCTTATATCTCATGCCCCTTAATCGTCTCCTAATTGTTTCTTCCGCGATCTTGAGGGATGCTGCCGACAATCGGCGGTCATGGTCTTTCATGCGCAAACCATAGTCACCCCAGACAACGGTCGTGCCCCGCGAGGAACCGCCCGTTGCGACATGTGGACGACCCTTCGGTGACTTTGATTTTTCAGGATATTTCGGCGTCAGCCAGTCAAGGGCCGGGGAGGATGTAGAGAAGTACCGTGAGATCGGCAGGCCAGCGAAATACGCCGGAGACCCTAGGGCAGAGAGAGCGTCAGTGTTATCCTTCCTCTCTGGAAGCGTGGGGATTCTTACCGAATGGCCTTAAAAAGGCCAATTGGGACCCCCGAAACATCCGCGATTGTAAATTCATTGTAATTTGCGGGATGTCGAGTCCTCTTGAAGGGGAAAGTCAAGGCAAATGGCACCCGATGCGGACCTCGAATCTTCAATTGATCGATGGAGGACAGTGCCGCCGGCCCTAGTCCCAAAATGGAAGAAGTGCCTACACGTGACATCATTAGCGGGTTCCTGCCGAAGCACTCCAGGCGCGCGTCATTAGAACTGAAGCTCTGCCTTCACCACATCGCGTTCCCTTCCAAGTTTCTCCTTCAAAGAGCATGCCATTTCTTGGATGAGGTATTTATAATGCCCGCTGATATCAGGAGCTTTTTTGGTGGCAAGCCTAGTCAGGCAGCCGCAAAACCGCCGGATAAAAAAGAGGTACAGTGATGGAGCTGCTGTCATGTTGAATTATTACATCTTCCTTATTTTATTTTATTTTTTGGATTTTGGATTTAATTTATTCATAACTTTGATTTTGCCCCCCCATGTTTTCACTATGAATATTATGCTAATAATGGACGATTACCGTAGGACCCGTCCAATGCAAGGAGAAAGCGTACGCCTCGACCACTCATTCTGTCCTTTCCTTTCCCATCTAACTAGTATCTAGGTAGCAGAAAAGTTATAGATGACAGCGATGAAGAAGAAGAAGAAGTTCAGGAAGTCAAGCCTTCGGCAGTAAAGCCCAAAGCCCCAAGCAAACCGTACGTTTCCCTCTCACTAGGGATTACATCCATTAATTTTCAGCGCTGATGAACGTACGTTGAAGGAAGCCCGAACAATCTAAAGGAGAGCCAACAACAACATCAGATTACTTTGCGTCTAGCAAAAAGAAAGCGAAGCCTTCAAAGTCCTTCGATACTGCGTCAGTCAATGAAGCCCCGGCCAATAGCAGTAAATCCCAATCGCCTTCAAAGCCCAAAAACACCACGCATGTGGTAATTTCAGAGTCTCCTGCTTCGAAAATATCACCCTCGAAGAAATCTGCACGAGAGCCCGCTCGTTCGGTTACAACTCTTCCTGATGAAGATGATCTTGGTGGCGATGATATCTTTGCAACAGAATTTCGGAAGTCGGGTAGGGGCGACGATGATTACGTTGAGGAAGATGGTAGCGACAGCGATCTGGTAGAACTGGCTGTGAAACCGGCTACTGCAGCACGCAGGAACCAGGCGCCTGTGTCTCGTTTTGACGACAATGTGGACATGGCTGATGATCTCAAACCGCCCAAGTCTTCAGCGCAAAGCCGAAAACGCAAATCTTATTCCCTTGATAACGATGAACATGAAGAATCGCACCGAGATACCAAAAAGGATTCTAGGCGCTCAAAGGCAGCTTCGTCACCGTCGGCTAAGAGACAGAAGGCACCTGCGAAGCAGGATAGACCAGAAAGTAAAGAAATCCAAGACATTTTTGACAGTATCCCAACAATTCGGCCACCTTCACCTCCACCACCGTCCGACCAACCGAAGAAGCCCAATTTCTATGCGGCCCAGGCAGCGCGGTCACGGACTCCACCCGCAGCTGGTAGTGCAGAGATCCCTGTAGGTGCTGAGAATTGTCTCGCGGGGTTATCATTTGTCTTTACTGGCGTCCTCGATGTACTCGGGCGAGAAGAAGGTCAGTCATTAGTAAAAAGATATGGTGGCAAGGTCACTTCCGCACCTAGCTCGAAAACAAGCTATGTTGTGTTAGGGCATGATGCTGGCCCCAAGAAACTCCAGACCATCAAAACGCACAAACTCAAGACTATTAACGAACAAGGTCTTTTTGAACTGATCCGGCGGCTCCCGCCTAACGGCGGCGATGGGAAAGCAGCCGAGAAATACCAAGCAAAGAAGAAGGCTGACGAGGAGAAAATAAAAGCTATGGCTGCTGAGATCGATAGGGAAGAGAAAATGAGAAAGAAAGCTGCTGCAGCTACTCCAGGAGGTGGTGCACCCACAGGTTCCCAAACGACGGCTGCCAAATTTGACGATCGTCTTTGGACTACTAAATATGCACCAACATCGCTAAACATGATTTGCGGAAACAAGGGTGCTGTGGAAAAGCTCCAGGCCTGGTTGCGGGACTGGCACAAAAATGCTAAGGCAAACTTCTCGAGACCTGGAAAAGACGGATCTGGAGTTTATCGTGCCATCATGATTCATGGACCTCCAGGGATTGGTAAGACTACGGCAGCGCATTTGGTCGCAAAGCTTGAAGGATACGATGTCGTTGAGACAAACGCAAGTGACACCAGGAGCAAGAAACTTGTGGAAACTGGCCTCCTTGGCGTCTTAGATACAACATCGTTGCAAGGCTATTTTGCAAGCGCTGGACACAAAGTGGAGAGTGAGAAGAGAAACCTGGTACTTGTTATGGACGAGGTAGATGGAATGTCTGCTGGAGATCGAGGTGGTGTTGGGGCTCTAGCCTCGATTGCAAAAAAGACGCATGTCCCGCTCATCCTCATTTGCAATGATCGGAGACTTCCGAAGATGAAACCGTTTGATCATGTCGTGTATGAGCTTCCCTTCAGACGACCAACAGCAGAACAGATCAGAGCAAGGCTATCTACTATCTGTTTCAGGGAGGGACTGAAGATACCACCGCAGGTCCTGGATGGATTGATTGAGGGGACAAATGCCGATATTCGGCAGGTCATTAACATGCTTTCTACTATAAAATTGGATCAGCAGAGTCTCAGTTATGATAAGGGAAAAGAGATGTCTAAGGCATGGGAGAAACATGTCATTCTCAAGCCGTGGGACATCGTCGGAAAGATTCTTAGCGCACAAATCTTTTCGCCCAGCTCCAAGTCTACTCTGAACGACAAGATAGAGCTTTACTTCAACGATCATGAGTTTAGCTATCTGATGCTTCAGGAGAATTATCTCAAAACGAACCCAACCCTGGCTGGCAACTACCAGGGCAAAGAAAGGTCGCTAAAGCTGTTGGAGCTCTGTGATAATGCAGCTTCCAGCATTAGCGATGGTGATCTTGTGGATAGGATGATCCATGGCACCCAACAGCAATGGAGCTTGATGCCAACCCACGCGGCCTTTAGCTTCGTCCGTCCGGCAAGCTTTGTCTACGGGAATATGAGGGACCGGCCTGCATTCACGAGCTGGTTGGGCCAGAATAGCAAACAAGGTACGGAGTTATCCAGATTGGTGATGGTCCACAGCTTATGCTTACATGCTTTTTACAGGGAAACTTTGGCGTTATATGAAGGAGATCCAGGGCCACATGCGCCTCCGGGCCTCCGCAAACCGCGATGAGATCAGGCAACAGTATCTACCGGCTGTCTGGGACAAACTGATCCGTAGGTTGATGAAAGACGGCAAGGAGAGTGTGGGAGAGGTTATCGACTTCATGGATAGCTACTTCCTGACTAGAGACGACTGGGATGCTTTGGTTGAACTCGGCCTTGGCCCTATGGGCGAGGAGCATGTCAAGCTGGATACCCAGACGAAAGCCACATTCACACGCCTCTACAACCAACGCTCACACCCTCTTCCATTCATGAAGGCGAGTGATGTCATTGCGCCAAAGAGAATGCCCAAGGAAAGACCCGATATTGAAGATGCGATCGAGGAATCGGATGAAGAGGAAGTCATTGAAGATGATTCTAGAGAAGAAGAAGAAGAACTAGACTTGAAGAAGGATAAATATGTCAGTGTGCCGAAGAAATCAGCAGCCCAGAAGGGGAAGAGGGCAAAGAAGGCTTCCACGGCGGATGACGAGGAAAAGCCCGCGAAGAAAGGCAGAGGCCGGAAGCCAAAGACTTGAAATGAAATGGCCTAGTAGTGAAGTTAGAGTTGGGCATTGGGGTTTCTTGGAGCTTGTTGGCGGTCTCCTTGTACACTCAGTCTATTTTTTGTATTATTTCATGAATATCACTGTATTGGAATATTGGAATCATAATAAGATCTTGGCTTTGGAGATACTCCGTAGATGCGGAGATAACGCTGCACCGCCACAGTGCTCCATCTCGCTTTCGCTGTCGTCGCAACCATCCGCTGCAACTCAACAGGCCTTCCTCGAGGGCGTTTGCTTTCCTTGTGCTGCATAACCTTTGTTGCATTGTTGCATTCTTTTCCCACCAGGCTGGTCCTGTCGAGCTAGACTCATATACACCGACGCATGAGGCACACTCCCTCATTATCTTACAAGGCTGAATCCGGCGCATCCTTTCTTACGCTGCAGGCCGCTAGGAACAGTGCTATGCGTGCTAGGATCTGAGGTTGCAAGAAGGTCTTCTGTCTCTTGACCGGTTCTGGGTGATTCTAAGATGTCTCTACTTCACAATGAAGAGTATGTCTAGTCTCAAACCACCCTTGACCCGCTGCCCCTCTTTATCTGAAGAATTCCTTTGGACAAAGTTAACCGGTGGTTACAACTGGGAAATAGCTTCACGGTCTGGCAGTTACGCACATCTTACTTGTCTGTGATCAAGGATGGCATAGGTGACCGCCTCATCAACGTTAACAACTCCGTTCTCAACACCCCCGGTTTCCGTGGAGCGGGTTGGTCTTCGGGCTATACGAACTCGCAAAACGTCGCGGCCAGCGTCAAGCGCACGTACTCACCGCCAATCCCGACGACCGCTGCAGTGTCTTCAGAATACTACCGGCTTGCGAATGGATCAGCTGATGATTCTAGGGGATTCAACCCTGGCTTTGGGGATGAGGGTGAGGATGAGGAAGGTGGGATGGTTACTGGTAAAAGCACCTCGGATGTATTTGGGATGCGGTATCACGCTCGAGGTGGGAAGAGAGCTCGTCGGAGAGATCGCCACCAGCAGGATCAGAGGCAGGGGGATGCCGAGGATGACGATAGCAGTGATCTGAGTGATGAAAGCGACGATGATGGAGATTTGACCCAGAGGTTCGTTGCAGAATCATCCTTTCTCTCCTCTCTAAATACATTCTGGCGCTCTGACACCATCTAGAGCTTCTCAGCAGATCAAGTTTTCAAAGGTACCGATACGGACGCGAGCAGGATCTTCTCCAATACGCTCCGCAGACCGCACCGCTGGGCCGGAAGTCTTGGTAACTTCTCCCTCGCAACCAACAGTAGGAAATCGCTATCGTACGGGATCTCTAGGGACAGCCGTGGGACCTAGAGAGCGTGTGCGACGAGATACTGTTACTAGTAGCGACATATCCTCAGACTACGAACTGGATTCTTCCGCTTTCAAACGCCGGCAAATCCGCTTTTCTGGTCAGCCTCAGGTGATGGAGGCATCTAAGGAAGAACACGATGGCGCCGATAGAAAGGAAATCGAAACCTTAACCGTTGGGGAGCTGAATGAGCATGCCGCCGAGGATTCAGGTGCAGAGTCGGTAGGATCTGCAACTTCTTCTGATTTTGACGCCACAGCTGGCTCTGGGTCACTACTTGAAGATGTCGGTATTACCGGCGGTCTAAATTCTTCCTCGCCTATGGTGTTGATGCATAGGTTGCAAAATGGAACCGTGCCCCAGCATGCATCGCCTAAGAAGCCGAAGACTCCAGCTCCTGATCTACAGGATCTACCTCCTCCTCGACCCATCAGCACGGTGCAGCCCATCAGCTTGTTGTCTAAGGAACTCAAGGCACGAAAGCGTGCCCCATCGAACCCCGTTGAGCAATTTGCAGTACTATCTGGCAAGGGGTTAACAGAAGCGCTGAATTTGAAAATATACCTCCCCTTCTCTTCGGACCCCGATCAACCTTTGGAGATGCCTCTCGCTCGAGAATCCAAGCTATCGGAGCAACCTGGCCCCGTTACTGTAGCGGAAGCTATTGGATTGGCTATTTGGCAGTACTCAGAGACAGGTCGTCAACCACCTATTGAGCGAAGAAAGTTGACAGTGAATCGGTGGACGTTGAGAATGGTGGATGACGGCGAGGTGGAATATGACTTTCCACCGTTGGCACGAACCTCTCCAATGGTTGATTTCACCTCAAACAACAACAGAGCACATGCTGCGCGGGGAAGATCGAGAGGCAAGGTGTATGATGAATTTGCCCTAGTGGAGGCCTCCCAGAGTGAGTTTGAGGAGAATGAGCGCCTATATCCGAAATTCAGCCAAAATGTGATTTCCGAAGAAAGCGGCGACCAGCCTTCGACCCTCGCAGTCCCAGCAAACCCTGCAATCCCGCAAAACAAATCCCAACCAGCTCGTCCGAATCCTATCCTTGGTCAACCTTTCTCATCAGCACTGAATGACAGTACGCTGACGCCGGCCGATCGGCCAGCCGTGCCGACAACTCATGCTACGCCGCGCATGGGAGTTTCCAAGACAGTGAAGATCCGGTACACAAATTTTGACACGGAAGTCCATATAATGACAATGAACACCTCCACTGACAGCTATATTGCGGAGCTCCTGGACTCTGTGTGCAAGCGATGGGGCCTGGACAAGGGCAACTATATCCTCAAAGTTATGGGATCGAATACCATCGCGCCCTTGGACCGGACTGTTGAAGCTCTTGGCAATATCACAGATCTTGATCTCGTCCGTCGACGCTTTGGCACAGCTCCTCTCACCCTGACAGGGTCCCCCGGAAGCTCTTCTCCGAACGCGCCTGTGCTGGTTGACAACAATGGTACGACGGTCAAGAAGGGTAAGAAATCAGGGCAGCGGATGCTACAAACGATCGCGCAGAAACAAGACATTATTGGGGGTTATTACCGTCGCTACCACGTGTTTAGGAAACAGCCCATGTCTTTCACAACGTCTAATTACCGCATCCTGATTTTCGACAATGACTATATGCACATCATGCCGGGAGATACGGGGAAGACCGTTTCTGGCACCAAAACGCGGTCTATTAGCTTCAATGACGTTGTCGGATGCAAAGTGAGCCGCCGACATCCCAAGAGCTTTCGGGTGGTTGTCCTGAGAGGCAACGATGCTAGCGAACAAAAACGATATGACTTTGAGGCGCGAAATGCACTCGAGGCAGTGGAGATTGTGGATGAGATTAAGAAGAATATGGCACACTATCGGATTTAGGAGCATGGCATCTGTCGTTCTTGCTACCCCTGATTCTTTATCTTCATCTATAACTTCCCCCCTGATCCCTTCTGGTCCATTCTCTCTTTCTTCCTATTCATCTGATTATTACTGGCTGCATTTTCTATTTCACTTGTCTGCGGAAGACATACTGGACGGATGGACTGTTAGGTTTTGTTACGGAGTAGACTGGCATCTGGTCATACTTGCAGTGTACAGATTCGACTGGTCGGATTGCAATTCAATTCCATTTTTCATTGATGATTCTGTCTATGTAGTGATTTGATTGCTGCGCTCAGCACAGCGGGAGTCCGCTGTAGATATACGGCCCTCTGCGCTCCGCGTACGGACGAAGCAGTCATTTCCCCGGCGAGTGTGATAATAATAAACATACTCCATATAGGATCTTGGATTCGCCAGTTTTGATCAGGATCAGAGTGTAGATGGCATGATAGCGTGTGTGATGACTCCTGCATGGTCGTCTGTTAGTCTCGCCATACTATTTTGTATGGCGACGGTCATCGGTCGCTGACCCCGCCTCGTCGCACGGAGACTCGGCCAAAAAACAGGGAAAAGGGCATTTCCCCTTCACAGCATTCACCAGACTTGGCAAGGGACTTATACTCGGCACGGCGCAGCGTCTTCTTGTGCTTCTCGTTGGCTTGACATCACCAGCCTCGAGGCAATTGAGCCACTGCGTCGTCGAGGGCTTTTTGTGGCTTGCGAGCCCGGATTTATCCGCCTTCCACTCCCCCTCTTCTCCCCTCCTCCGTCACAAAGAGCACGCCCTCTTCGAATCTGTGCAGCTTGTTTTCATCACCATTGTGGGACTCAATCTTCGATGCCGACTCTAGGAGGTCTCCTGAAGAGAAGGCGGACCAGGGATTCGCAGACCCTCTCCAAAGAGCTGTCATCGACTTCGTCACCCGTCGCTGAAACACAAACGTCACCCGCAATTTCCGCCACCAAGGAGGCCAAGGACAAGAACAAGAACAGCTCTGGCACCAGCAACACCTCGTCCACTCCAAATTCCCAGAGCCATACCTCGTCCTCGTCTGCGGCTCACCAAAGTCGGTCTTCGGATGCCAACAACAAGGGCCACCACGAACAGTCAGCTATTCCAATGGCGTCCGCTGTACAGCAGCCGCAACCTCATCCGCCGCAGAACCAGGACCATAATGCGTCCGCCATACACAGCTTCTTGAGTTCGCATCGGGGGGACCACCATGGGTCCCAACCCCATCAGGAATTCCGCACCGAGGTTCGAACAACAAAGGGGAAGTACTCCTTGGACGACTTCAGCCTTCAGAGGACACTGGGAACCGGCAGCTTCGGCCGTGTTCATCTCGTGCAGTCGAGACATAATCACCGATACTATGCTATCAAGGTGCTGAAGAAGGCGCAGGTGGTCAAGATGAAGCAGATCGAGCACACGAACGACGAGCGGCGGATGTTGAGCCGAGTTCGACATCCGTTCCTGGTTACCTTGTGGGGTACTTTTCAAGATTCGAAGAATCTGTACATGGTAATGGACTTTGTAGAGGGAGGAGAACTGTTCAGCCTGCTTCGCAAGTCTCAGGTGAGTATTATTTTGTCGCCTTCTCCTTTGTCCTGTCCCTGCAAACTGACGTGACGATCTCCTATTTATTGTGTACGTCTAGCGATTCCCAAATCCAGTTGCAAAGTTCTATGCTGCCGAGGTAACTCTCGCGCTGGAATATCTCCATGCGAATCAAATCATCTACCGGGATCTAAAACCCGAGAATCTGCTCCTCGACCGACACGGCCACCTGAAGATCACCGATTTCGGTTTCGCGAAGGAAGTGCCGGATATCACTTGGACACTATGTGGGACGCCTGATTATCTAGCCCCTGAAGTTGTATCGTCTAAGGGTTACAACAAATCCGTTGATTGGTAAGGGCCTACAGTGGACAAGCACTGCAGCGATTATGTTGACTGACCCGAAATGGAACTGAAAAGGTGGTCGCTGGGAATCCTCATTTTCGAAATGCTTTGTGGGTTTACGCCCTTCTGGGACAGTGGTTCACCGGTTAAGATCTACGAAAATATCCTCAGGGGAAGGATAAAGTATCCGCCGTATCTTCATCCAGACGTCGTCGACCTGCTATCACAGCTCATCACGGCTGACCTGACGAAACGCCTGGGAAATCTTCACGGAGGTTCAGAGGATGTCAAGAAACATCCGTGGTTTGCAGAGGTGACCTGGGATCGACTTGCCAGGAAGGATATTGATGCTCCCTACGTACCGCCCGTCCGGGGAGGACAGGGCGATGCCAGCCAGTATGACAGGTATCCTGAAGATACTGAGGCCTATGGTTCTATGGGGGATGATCCGTATGTGCTTCTTTTTCTTTTTTTAAACATTATAGATAATTTTCTGACGCAGTTTTTCACGGACAGGCATGGCCATCTCTTCCCCGATTTTTAGCGACCGTTGTATGATCTTTTATGATGAAATGAGCGCTGGTGCAGCCATAAAAAGCATGGGAGCAGCGAGCATACAATAAATGTAGTGTGAAGCAAGCGCCTAGAACACCGACAAGGGTTTCTTGAATCCGAATGATTGTCAGCGATGTGGTTCAGAGCTGGCCATTTCTGAGATATGGCCATTCTTACATTTGGTTCCGGTTGCTAGCCGACCTCGTACCTGCATGCATTCTCTGGACATCTATGAAGGGATCTCCATCTGTTGATGTCTATAGGGCTGGTTGCCTGTCCTTTGAGGGATTCTTTTTGGGTAGCTGGTTGGTTGGCCGTCTGGGTTCCTTCAGTTTGAGGGTTAACTTAAATTTCTCTAATTAGTTTTTGATCTTTCCTTTCTCTCTTCATGTTTATGCGGGTCGTTCGGATTTGATTTGGATGTGTATGTATGTATGTATGTATGAATTAGCATTTGACTCGAGCTATTTCTTTTCCTTCCCTACTCTACCGGCTCTATCATTCTGAAACTGTTTATAGAGGCTAGATCCCTTGGTTGAATATTTGTCGAACGATGGTTTTCTTTTGTTTTCTTGAACGATATACATACAATTTGCGCTTATTGAGGCGAAGTAAAGAGATATTCCTTTTATTCTTCTTCTTTGACGCCTCTCTGATCCCCAAACAACAGAACCCGCCATGATCTACCCAGTAATTATAGTACAAGTACATATGATATCATCACATAGCACCAGGGTTACACAGAACAGGACGTTCACGTACTCAAACTGGAGCAAGAGCACAGTCAGCCATGGCCGTAGCACTGGATGCTGTCTAATAATTGGCTTCCTAGAGACATGAAAAGACATGCATCTAACCGGCCAGGGTGCTTCCTCCTTCAGACGACCCGGATGCGAAAGATCCCAACTGGACCGCGTTCTGGACACCCATCTTCTTGCTCTCACGCGACACTCGCGACGTGTAGGTCCGGCTAGCGGCGTCCCACAGGGAAATGTACTTTTCCATGCAGGTTGAAATGCAGGTTTCTTCCTTGGAGGATAGGGAGGTACCAGGGGCAGTGATGCAGGCATCGAAGCAGTGCTCGTTAACTTTCTGTTATTTTTTATGAATGATGAAATTAGAAAATTGTAATTTGAGCCATTGAAGGTACCAATGGTAGCTAGCTGCTAGGTACATACACTGATTAAAGATCGAGCATTGTTCAATGCGGCCTCTTGTTGCAGGGTGCGGATGATCGTGGACTTGACCTGTTCGGAGTCGGCGGGGGCCGGAGCGCTGCTGGAACCAAAGATGGCCATTTTGGAGAGGATAGGGAGGATGATGGATGAGAAACAGATGATTAGGAGGAATAATCAATACAGAGTAGATGGATCGAAGAGGATTCTTTGTGACGAAGCGGGTGTGGCTGGTGTCAAAGAGCTTGCCTCTTCTCCGCTGCTGCGCCACAGAACCGTCCGCAACCGTCATCATATCTGGCATCTTTGAAATTCGAATTGATTGCTCTTCCAAGGACTCCAGTCCAACTTCAACGCCTCCTTGCTCTTCTCCACGCTCCCTTTATTATCTGTTATTCTTTTCTTTATTGATCTTATCCTCCTCCCTAGGTCCCTTCTTAGGGAAGCTATGTCTTTGAGCTGCTTGATGTCCCGGTGACACTAGTTAGCTGCGTACAGAATACAACAACACAGGCAGTTGGCATCTACTTTACGCCTTGCACGCCGACTACGTCCGGTTCTGTCATTCCTTGATTGCTCTACTATTTGTCTTTGCATTCATTCAACGCTATCGCCCTTGTTTTCCTTTCCAGCCTTCAGGGAAAATGTTATTCCCTGGCTTCCTCTCGTCTCTCTGGTTCGCCAGTCTAGCAATTCTCCAGGTCGTCTGCGCTTATGACGGCGATTCGAATGTAAAAAGCATTTTGGTATGAAATGAATTCTAATTAAGTGTAGAATTGCCGTCCAGAGGGAGTTGTTTGCTGACTTTGGATTTACCGGACTTGTAGCTTCGAACCCACAGTCTCTCTCCGGTTGGTTTGATATAGCAAAGCATACGCTACTGCCTTCCATAGAAGACACAATTGACAGTGTAATAGCCTTATTTGGATTCCGACTTTCAAAGTCGCTGGTTCGATTTCGGTGGACATACGATAGTACGGGCGGACAAGTGCGTGCTCCTGTCTGTTCTCCGTAAGGCGCAATGGACTATATGCTGATTCTATGTGATAATCGATAGATACATTCGCCTTACTGCCGATCGACAGTCGCAGCGGGGATGGATCTTCTCTCGTGTACCTCTTACGGCGACAAATTGGGAAGTTAGTACTATTATAATTTTTTCTGCTTTCTGTTCGCGCTGTTTTGGTATCTAACTGTATGTCCAGATTGAACTTGAATTTAAGATCCACGGATCTGGCAATCTACACGGGGATGGATTCGCCTTGTGGCTCACAAAGCAGCGTGCTACTCAGGGCCCCGTTTTTGGCTCCACGGACAACTTTGAGGGCCTCGGCATCTTCTTTGATACTTACAAGAATAACCGACCTGGAGTGGCCTTTCCCTACGTAATGGCCATGATGGGTGATGGCCAAACTAGCTACGACAAGGATCATGATGGAAAGGCGAACGAGCTGGCTGGTTGTTCCGTAAGTCTTTCTTTCCTTCTATCTACCACGGTACATACAGATATTGTTCTAACTAATGCGTATTACCTATAAGGCGCGTGGTCTCCGTCATGCCTCTGTTCCCACTAAAGCCCGCCTGACCTACTTCCAAGACAAGTCTTTGACACTTGACTTGCAGTACAAGGCTGAGGACTCATGGATCAACTGTTTCACTCTGACGGCTCCAGAGACCAACATAGCAATCCCCTCCGTCGCGTATCTGGGTCTCTCCGCAGAAACTGGTGAACTGAGTGATAACCACGACATAATCTCCCTCAAGACCCAGAACCTGTACAGCGTTGGTGGAGGTGACGCTGGTAGGCGCCCACAAACAACTGGGTCTGGTAACCGCAGACAGCCTGCACGTCAGAAGGAAAAGGAGAGTGGTGGCTGGGCTTGGTTCCTGTTCAAGACGATCTTCTTCTTTGCCGCTGTTTATGGGGGTTATATCGGGTGGAAGACCTACAAGGCCAAGCAAAGATATTCGAGATTCTGAGTGGGTTCAAGTAAAAAGCAGATTCTCTCCTTATATTAAGTGCATGTCCACTTCCTGTCCTTTTGTTGCAGTTTTCCAAGCATGTACTACATTGTGTCTCATCTGCCTTATTTCTGAAACATGTGGAACAGTTATCAAACAACTTCTTAGGAGCTAGTAGCAATGACGACTTATGATATGAAATGGGCAGTTGAATATGTGATACCAGTTTAGTTTTCCTTTCACTCGATGTACTTTTCTTCCTGCTTTCGTTGCTGCTATGTTCAATTGCCTTGGATTATGCAGCATTGGCCTACTGTTGAAAGGGCAGCTCTATATAATGGATATAAGGAGGGCAAAGGCGATTACCCAATCCGGTATAGTCTGTTGCGCACATGACGGAGACTTAACATGATCGTTTTCTCTCTCCTCCATCTGCATGGAGCTCACACGGCATGGATGGCGGTGGTGTCCCGTTTGGCATATGCTAACCGCGGCTGCGAAGCTTTGTTGGAGATCTCCATGGCCCCTGACTCGATTCGGCTCAACGCTCTCAGCTGCCAATTCGGCATCAGCACATCCAGTCTCTCCCACCGCGATTACTCTTCGGGATTACCAGGAAGAATGCATTCAAGCGGTGGTGCACTATTTGTATCAGGGCCATAGGCGATTAGGAATTTCTTTGGCTACTGGGTCTGGGAAGACGGTTAGTCTTAGAGCTCTTACATTTGGTGTCATTAAACCTTTGAAAACCATTGTGGTTAGGATGGCGGTTTGCTGACAGCGCATGCATCCATTCGTAGGTCATTTTTACACAGCTTATTGGACGAATTCCTCCGCGTTCTGATGGTGCTGATCAGACTCTGATCATCGTTCATCGGAGAGAGCTTGTCGACCAGGCCGCGTGGCACTGCCGTCTTGCCTACCCGGACCGAACCGTCGAGATTGAAATGGGCAATAGTAAAGCGTCAGGGACAGCGGATATTACCATCGCATCCATAAAGAGCCTGACATCCAAATATCGAATCCTAAAATTCAATCCGGACCGATTCAAGCTTGTTTTGGTCGATGAGGCGCATCACATTGTAGCGCCATCCTATCGTGAGGCTCTGGAATATTTCGGACTGAACAAATTATCAGAAGTTTCGCCGGTCCTCGTAGGTGTTTCGGCTACCTTCTCCCGCTTCGATGGACTTAAACTGGGTGCCGCAATCGACCATATCGTCTACCACAAAGATTACGTTGACATGATCGACGAGAAATGGTTGGCGAATGCAGTTTTCACAACTGTGAAATCAGAGGCAGATTTATCTCGTGTCAAGAAGGATAAATTTGGAGACTTTGCGACAGGCTCCCTGTCTCGGGCCGTGAACACGGCAAAGACGAATAATATTACCGTACGAGCGTGGCTCGCTAATGCGGCTGACCGCAAGTCGACATTGGTATTCTGCGTGGATGTTGAGCATGCTAAGCAACTTACTGCGATATTTCGCGAATTTGGCGTGGATGCGCGCTATATAACTGCTTCTACGGCGAAAGAAATTCGCGCGAAGCAGCTCCACGCATTCAAGAACCGGGAATATCCCGTATTGCTGAACTGTGGCCTGTTTACGGAAGGTACGGATATTCCAAATATCGACTGTATATTGCTCGCCAGGCCGACCAGGTCGAAGAACCTTCTTATCCAGATGATCGGACGAGGGCTACGTTTGTTCCCAGGCAAGAAAGATTGTCATATCATCGACATGGTTGCCACGCTGCAAACGGGTGTGCTCTCAACGCCTACACTATTTGGCCTTCACCCGGACGAAGTCCTGAATAGAACAACCGCTGAATATCTGGGGCAGAACAAAAAGCTAAAAGAGAACAGTGATGGCACTGCTATAGCAGAGACAAGAGAAGTCAATTTCTCTGAAGAAGATGATGTGGAAATTACATTCACCAAATATGACAGCATATTTGATTTAATCCAAGACACGAAACCAGAGCGGTACATTCGCTCACTAAGCCCTAATGCATGGATCAGACTGGACGAGAACCGGTACATCCTATCTGATATTTCTGGTTGGCTCACCATCGAAAAGAAAGACAGCGACAAAAATAACAAGAGCTTCACTGTCAAACACGTTATCAAATTTAAATCAACCACCGAAAGTGCTACTCCCATCTTCACACGCCCGCGTCTGGTTGCGACGGCCCCCGACCTCGAAACAGCCGTCCATGCCGCAGACACATATGCCAAAGAGAAATTCGAGACCCGATACATTTCCACCCGACAGGCATGGAGGAGAAACCCGGCGACTCCATCTCAACTAGATATGCTCAACAAAGCCAAGATACGGGATACAAGGATCTTCTCCGGGGAACTGACGCGGGGCCAGGCAACAGATATGATTACCAAACTGAGGTTCGGAGGGAAGAAACGATTTGCGGATCTAGGAGTGAAACGGAGGGCCGTGGAGCGGGCGGAGACTAAGAAGAGGGAATTTGAGGAGTTGGTGAGAAGAAGTGAGGTTAGGGTTGGGCCTGTGGAGGTGTAGATCTATATATATCATGGCACTTCTACACTTGTATACTTGTCTATGGTAGTCTTTATTCCAAGGATTCTCTTGGAGATCCGGTTGATTGATAAGATGAGATGAGATTAGATAGGCATGAGTGATCAGCTACATTGTACATGCACAACTTACAAGTCCTAGACATTAATGTATTCAGCCTTGATCGATCTATCCCACTACCCAACCCAATTCAGAGGTCAGATTCGGACATGCATCCGATGAAATAAAAAACATAGTGAAAAGAAAAGGGATCAAATCGAACAAACTCGAAACCGTCAGGTTCTATCCGCCTATATAGCGTAGATCTCCTACTCGTAGACATATATTCTATCTAGAATCGACATGGAAGGAAGAAGAAGAAGAAGAAGAAGAATGGACAGGAACAAATACAGATACAAATACAAGTACAAATGTAAATAAAAAGAAGAAAAAAGGTCAAGGCGCCAGGCCAGGCACAACCGCTCTCAAATAGATAAACAGTGGAATGAAACAAAAGTAATAAAGGACGAAGAAATAAATAAAAAATGAAAACCTCCAAGGGGACCGGTTTATATAGGTGAAGGAAGAATAAAGATAAAAGTAACAGAAGGGGCAAAAAAAAAAAGCTAACAACAGAAGACACGATTAAAATTTCATAAAATCTATGGCTTTTTCTTGATATGGCTTCCTTCCTCTTCCGTGTGGCAGAAGTCATCCCCTTCCAAGATGCGCCACAGTTTTCGGACGGGGATCCCGTTACTGAAGAAATATATGCAAACCAACCAGGCAGCAAAGATGTTGGCCAGGTGGTGAAGGAGGTATGCGTACGAAACGCCATAGATGGCCGAGTAGGTGGCAATCGCGAAAAGAAGGAGAGACGTGACGTGCTTTAATCTATTATTTGGGGTCAGAAAGGGATGAATCGATTGGCATAAAGTTGTATGCTTGTTTGCATAACATACCGTGTAGGCACTCTAGGAATCATAGTTCCACTTGTCATCGTTTCAACAAGCAGAATAAAGGGCATTATGGATAAGACATTATGGTGTGACGAGAACGGCATGTACCAGTGAACAACGAGGTTGTGCGCCCACACTAAAAGTACAAGAGCGTTGATCGGCAGAATCCAAAGCATCAAGATGAGAATCGAGTATGCGTAATTAGCAAAGCTGGCATGCGCAGCGCTTTTCTAAATTCAGATGAAAAGTTAGTCCTTGGCAAACATTGTACTGTAGAACAAAAGGGAGAAGACTTACGGTTTCTTTGGCATGGCGGTATGCCCGTACACATGTCGCCAATTGGACCACGCAGCTGACCATATAAGCGAATTGATATGGAATTATAGTCGACACGAGAATCAGAAGAATGGTGGCACTGATCAGCCTTCGCCTCGGGGTTGCCGGAGAGAATATCGGTAGATTCCTGCAAGGAAGAGGTCGTTAGTGGTGATGTGCAAGAAACTATCCAGGCACTCAAAGGAACAAAACTCACCCTTTATCATCACGTCTGAAGGGACCGGGTATGCTGTTTGAAAGGCCATAGAGGAATGAGAAAAAGGATAGAATCGCAAGTGCCAAGTAATTGACAATTACGCATACTCCGACAGCAATTAACCCAAACACGGGAACCAAAAACCAGAAAAACGCATCATCTGACCCCAGAAGGAGGTCGTTTTTCGTGAAGTCGATAGGTGTCTCGGTTGAATTTGTTCGCCAGTGAAACGGATCGTCGGTCGGGGGCAGTTTCTTAGACGTAGCGAGAGATGACGCGAACAGGGACATAGCGGCGAGTAAGACCGGCAAGGATGATCGCAGAGTACTATCCAGGCCCTCCGCGAATGTAATGAAGTAGCCCGTTTTATCGTATATCTTGAACTGTTTGCGTATGACAAGCGCAACAACAAGAAGGGGGAAGGCAGCAAACACCGTCCTATAGCGCATCACAAGCTCTCCAAGGCTTCCCGCAATGTCGACCTTCAACGAAATGTCAACCGAAGCGCCACTGGTCGGATCAGTCCAAAGCTGGAACGACACGCCTCCTAGCATCGCTTGCTCACGAAGAGGCGGAGGAATAAAGGGCGCTAACCCATGAAGGTTAACCTCGACCTCATTTACATTGACAAAGAACTTGGTCTCGTGTGGATCGGGCAGCGACTGCCTTAGGAGCGGAGCAAAGAGCTCCTTCTTCCCATCGAGACCTCGACGGACAATCTTGAGTCTGTAGTCCAGTAGGCTTGAATACAGCGCCGGTATTTTCACTTCCGTAACCATGGGTCGGGACGCTGGAAGCCGCATGTTCAAGCCAGCACTAAGCAGACCTCCTAGGCCTACTCGAGCCCTGATGACTGAGTCCGAACTGTCCGAAAATTCCGCTACGACCCAGCCCTGCGTCGGGGAGTTGGCCTTGTCCACTACGGCGACAAACTGGTGCTCCGCAAGATCTTCCAGGTCATATTGGAGGTATGAAAAGGGAGGAACTCGGTCGAAAGCGTACTTGGACAAGCGAGTCGAAGCTGGAAGATGGATAGTATCATCGGCCGCGTTCTTGCAAGCCAAGCGTGTCGAGCCGACATTATCCCCCGAGAAGTCCATGTTCATGGAGAACAAGTCCGCAAAATGACCATTTTGAAGCGGGAACAGACTGCAAAAGAGAATCTCGAGATTGCTCCCATCACCACGCTCGTCTAATCGCTGATCTGTAAGGAGTGTAAACTTCTTCCCCGACACTCCCTGAGGAGGGATGGGTAACAGGTGTACATCACGGGCCTGGCGATATCCCAGTTCGCGAAGAACAAGTCGTTGCCCCTGGGATAGGATCGTATTGGTATTATCTTCGAGGTTTAATAGAGTGTTTGGCGCTACTAGAACGTCAGCAATGCCATGATAATTCCAGAAATGTCTAGATATTAGGCTCGCACCTTGTTGTGGAAGTGTCCTTTCTGCAACAGACTCTAGCCCCGTGAGATACCACTTTTTCAGAATCCGCATTCTTTCAGCCCGTGGCTTCGTCTGACCAGCTCTTCTAACATCAACAATGTCAAAAAGCGATCCGACAATTGCTTTGCGAAACTGGTCACACCATGTAATAGACAGATGGTCCATTCCGATCCAGACGTCTGGAATCGTCGAAGTAAATACGGTGAAACCATGTGTATCGGGAACGAGAGACGATATACTGGCATAATCGGAAGGAACAACTGTATCTCTGGAGCCACCCGCTATGGATATGAGGGTTACGTGCCACAGGGGATTATTATTGGCCCAAGTTTGGGAGTACGCCTCCCGCCAGTAATCGTTAATCTGCTTGTAGGTGTTCACAACGTCCGAGTCGAACGACACAGGCGGTTTGGCGTGCGGTGCAGACATGGTGATTATGGTGTTGACAGAATTGGTCATATGGTTCGACATGGTCAATGCCGTACGAGCCACAATGCCACCCATGGAGTGTCCAATGATTATCACCGCACTGGGATCGGGCAGCGCCGGGTCCCTCCTCGATCGCTTAGGATCATGGTAGAGCGAGAGTATATAAGCCACTGCCTCATTGACATATTCCGCCTGGTCTAGCAACGTCTGTCCGTGGAATGCCGCCATATCCTCGTTGAAATCCACCATGAAGAAATCCAAGCTCCGAGTACCCTTCTTCAAACGGTCCTGATCATGGACGATGTTGCCGTAATATTGTCTCGACGCCTCTGCGGCCAAGGAGCGCACTTGCCTATAGCTTCCCGCGTTCCCGGGGAGGAAAAGCACGGGAGCCCCATTCAGCTGATAAGAAGACAAATGGTCAGCGGTTAGTAAACACAGCGTAAACAAGACGTACATACCCCAATATTTTCATGGCTGTATGGATCAACACCTTCTTCGCGGTAGAGGTAAAGATTGTATTTACTGGCGAAACGCGTGTGTTCCGTATCGAACCCAACCATGCGAATGAACGTGGGGCTCATCATGGGGACACCGCAGCCATCGGCACCGGCACTGCGCGCGGCAAACGAGCGAAGAATGGAAAATAGGAAGACCAGAGCAAGGAAGGTAGTAAAGACCGTCAGAACCGAGCACATCCAGGGACTCCGGAGACGCGATTGTCGAAGACGCTGCCCTTCCGGAGAGGAATCGGTGTAGAGACGCGGGGAGACCAACGGCGCCATCGTTGAGGGCTTTGCATCATTGGAAGCCGAATGCACAGAGAGGGTCCTCCACATGCCGGAATTCCTGGGACGAGGCGTTACGGTGTCGCTGTCCTGCCGAAGGTCGAAGCTGGTACTTCTCCTGGCTACCTGGGGTCGAGACCTGTCTGGTGCTTCGTGGACATTGGCCGCGTGCGGGTCTTCGGTGAGATTTAGAGAGACTGACTGAGAATAATACTCTTCAGTATCGTTCTCGACGGGCGAGCCAGACGAGCGTCTGTGCATTGGAGGAGGCGGAGAGAGAACTCATCCACCTCGGCAGATCGAAGGGTTTCTCAATGGAGCCGCAAGGGGGAAGGGGAGGGGAAGGCAAGCAAGGGAGCGACGGAGGACGCGCGGCTGTTCCAAGGGACGGTTCGACAATGGTAGAAACCGCGAGACAGGATTAACAAAGAGGCGAAAGGAGGACAACGTGAAGACTCGCAGGGGTCGATTGGAAGATCATGCGTTTCCGTCTTCAAATTGGGGAGGGAAAGAAAAGCGACCGGGGTTGACGAGAACCGGGGGAAGGATGCGGAGACCCGCCTGCAAGCAAACGGGAAAGAGAGCAAGGAGAAGGGAAAAAGGAAAGAAAAGGACCGAAAGGGATCAAGATGAAGCCGAATTGAGAGGGAGTTGAGCAAGACGTTCTGGCCGCCGCGAAGAGATTCTCGCGGCTCTTGGCACGCAGCCAGGTCAATGCTTGACCCTCATACGAGTCAGTCAGATTATTTACTGTAATAAATGTATCTTCGGAAGGGCGGAAACACCAGAGGACCACGTCTACACAAGAGGACGCCTGACAACCCCTTCCCAAGTTTGGGATCGATGAAAGACGAGGAACCCTCTCCAGTTTTCCCTTGCGCTTTATATAGCGACAGTCGTACATATATTCGATGTTATTTTGGAACGGTGATCTCGGTGTGAGACATCGGGGAGATGATGCTTGGAGATTCACCGCCAAAGTGGGGAAAGGAATAACAATAGAATGCCAAAGTCACGAGTAGTATTAGTAATCTCACCACATTGATGTTGGATCAACTTGCTTGTATTGTATCTATCTAGGTTGGTCTAGCTATTTTAGTGTGTCAAGGCCAAGCGAGGGCGGTCTAATATGGCAGAATACACGTGACCTCTAACACCTCGTCTTGTTTTGATATGGGCATCTCCGAACCTACCCTGAATAGCTGCTATTGCTCCCCGCGCCCTGCCAGTCAGGACGTTGTTTCGGGCCTGATCGACCACGACAAGAAGCTTCGCACAGTATACCCGCAGCGGTAGAATTTACTTTATGGGTCCTCATCATTCCCGAGCTCGGACACGATGCATCCAGAAGCGAAGGGGCAGAAGGTATACGGCTTTTAATGGAGTATACCACGAATTCTTGCAATCTATCTATTCTTTAAGAATTCGGCCGACTTGCTCGCGTACGTGAGAACCAGCGCAAAAGCCGCTCTCGCAAGCAAGAGTACGTCCGGGAGCTAGAGCAACGATTATGATCCCTTTCGTGACAGAGCGACTGTATCGGTTGCTCCTAATCAAATGAGTGGGATACGCCCTCGTTCGCTTTCCCAGCCGATGTTCTGCTAATGAGTCAAATGATGTAGGGGATGAGGAAATGGAGTCCATTTTGGAAGATGCGTATGTTTTTTTTGCAGGGCCGTTCGGATACGCCAGCCTACAGGGTCATCTAATGTCAGAAGGTCGTGGAGGTTTTACCAGTGACATACAAGGTAGTCTCGTCTGTTCAAGGAGATCCAGCATGTCGGTGATCCAAGAAGGGCTGGTATCTTCGTATACTAACTCGGTGTGAATAAGCCTCCAGATTCCCTTGCTTCTAAAGTCTTCTGAATAAGATAGAATCGCAGGCCGACTGATTGCCAAAGGTGAATCTTGGATGACGGATCACCTGGAAGGTCAGAAAGATGGAAGTGTTGTAAGTCATTGTGGTGGGATATTGAGACGATCGAGGGGAATCTCGAACCTGAAGGTTCTTAAAAGCGATACCACTGTGAATTGCGGCCAAATGAAGGCCAGATGGGGGAGAGACAAACAGAGGTGCGTAGTAGGACTGAGGTTGTGTGAAGCTCGAGGACATTCGGGCCACATACCACAGGAAGTTGCCTTCGGGCAGTCTAAGTTTCCAACTGATATTAGACAGGTTGATGAAGCTTCACAGAGAACATTAAAATCAGATGCATTTGCAGCCCGCTGAATTCAGAGCAAAGACTGGCTTTGATCAGGGACGGACACTACCATACGTCATTGATCACTCAAGTGGTTGAATTGCTTTTGTGCCTGCTGCAAGTCTATCAAAAAAAAAGACTTTCTCTGGAGAAAATTATCGGGCTCTCTTTACATCATGCTGAATACCCTGTACACTGACTTAGCTCTGAGCAGTATTAATTTCCATTCATATATGCTCATACAAACATAAACGATAGTTCATCTGTGTCAAGTCATACATCGCAATGAAAATGCAATTTTGTGAGATAGATACAGGACAGAAAAAAGTAAAAGGTCAATCACGTCGACCTAACAGTCATATGCTTCTCATGATGCAATGTTTTCAGCCTGCTGCGAAGTAATGCCCTTTTCAATGTCACTTTCCCGTGGTTCATCGAGGCTCTGGTGACCGGCAACCTCCAGCATGTCCGAGTCATGCTCGATATCGAATTCCTGACCTAGCTTCTCGGGCCCGATGAGTGTTATCAGAATCGTATATCCGAATACACATCCCATGAATATGCAGATAACCTTGCCGTAATTGTAGCGATCGGTGATCTTAGTGTCCGGAAGAGGGAAGCGCTCCCCTATTCTCGACTCGATGGTTGAACTCGCGGATGAGGCAAGATTGCCAAGCTGATAGGCTGTGCCGACGACGAAAGTACGGATCGAGCCCGGTGAGAGCTCCATCAGGTGGATGGGGATGACGCCCCACGCACCTTGTACGCAGAACTGCTCGAAGAAGGCCGCTGCCATGACAGCCTTGGATGTCACGAAAGAGTATGGATAGAGAAGAGCTCCACCCACAATGCTCATGAAAATAATAGAGAATCGGCGGCCGAAAATCTGGCTGGCCCAGCCACATAATGTGCCGCCCAGCATTGCTCCAAGGTTGGCAAGCACCTGGGTCACAGTTACGGCGTCGGCAGAGAAATTGAATTGGTTCTTCAGCATAGTAGGGTAAAGATCTTGGGAACCGTGAGACTAAAAGAGAAGAGAAGAGCTACGTTAGTGGAACTGCGGAGAACCAAGGCTGTGTATTGGCAACGCACCATAAAGTTAAATCCACTCATGAGCAGCACCAAGTAGATCAGAATAAGCCAATGCCGCCTTAAAGCCACTTTGCCCTCAGTAAGGAAGGTAGCGGTTATGTTGTCTCGGACCTCTTGTCGAGTTGCCTGACGCTCTCTGAACGCTTTTGTTTCAGGGAGACAGAGACGGAAAAGAATAATAAGTACAGGAGGGCAGGCACCAAACCAGTACAATGGCCTCCAGCCATGTGAGGTGGTATCGACAAGAGCACGAGAGAAGGCCGTTGCCAGCAAATATCCGAAAGCGTAGCCCTGTTGCAAGAGCCCTGAGACGAACCCGCGAGCTTCGAAGGGGCAGTCCTCCAATGCTGTTGCAGCAGCATTTCCGTATAGACCGCCCATGGCAATGCCAAAGAGAGCTCGACAGGCCAGGAATTGTTTGTAAGTGTTGCAGAATCCTGTTCCCAGCTCCAGAACGATAAACAGGATATTATTGACGATAAACGGCCATTTACGGCCCCAACGATCAGCAGCAATACCAAAGAGAACAGAACCAACTGATCGTAGCATGAGCACGAGAGTGATGCCCCATGTAATATCCGTCACAGACTTGTCGAAGGTTTTGGCTAGCTCGGTGGTCGTTAAGGAGACGGTGAAGAAATCGAACGCGTCCCAAGTCCAGCCACAGAAAGCGACCTAGAATGGAGTATTAGCCTTTCTCCCCACTCTCCCTTATCTTCTTTTTCTTGAGTGACAAACATACCAAAAAGAATAACCATTGCTGCCTGTTGAGAAGAGCGAGCATCTTGATAGGATTAGGCGCTGGATTCATTGGCGGCACCAACGTCGGCAGCCGCGTGATAATATATCGGCTAATTGACGCAGGGTTTATGCTCTCATTCTCTGATTGTATAGAAGTGTTCCTCCCAGTCTCCTGAGATGTCTCATTATGAGAGACGCCCACCATGTTGCGGATTGTGCACTGCCCTTGGGAATACGAGATTAAAATGCGACCAACGACTACCTCGCGAAGGGCAAAGACCTAGAAACCAAGTTGAGCAGACCTCGGTAGGAACGAGAACACGCAAGGATGAAACAGGTCAGACAAGAGGGCAGTAAGAGTATGAGATAAGCAAAGAAAACCTCTAGAGACAGTGAGAGGCGGGGGGTCTCCATGTTCAAATACTCTGTATGCAGCAAGGGTTCCAACGCGCTCGTGTCTCGGTTTCCAGATAAAGCCCCGCTCGGGAGGCAAGGAAGCCTCCATGTCCGATAGCTGACCATGAAAGTGAATTCCGCAAGCGGCAAACCTGACGCCGAGTAGAGCTGGCCAAGGATTGTCAGGTTGCCGCTTTAGGCCCGTGACTCCGTACTGCATGGTCGGAGAGCGTACCGGCCAGAACCCGTTAGACGATCCATGGTGCCTCTGCGATGGGAAGGTCTCTGATAGGACCATAAGATGTCATTAGCAATGCAACTGGCACTCAGACTGGGGAACGCGGGATGTACCTAGGCATCTGGGGATGGTGGAGGGAAAGAAAGTTCCGCCGGCGAGTAGAGGCGACAGGAAATGCATCCGCTAATGCGATGATCGCAGCGGCTTCGAAGGTTTGATTGGCAGGGTATTGCTGCGGGATTCATCCTTCGGCGCCAGGCATTTCCTATCGAAAGACTTCCTGGCTGTTTTGCGAGGGCAGATGACGCTCCGCATGAGCTGACAGTGGATGGGCCTATGTGAAGCAGAAAAATGGTGGACAGTGCTGTTGCACGTGGGAAATCCCCGTATCAACCTATGCGAGTCCCTTCAGCGTTCCAACACGCTTCACGCTTCCCATAGAAACCTTCCACAGCACAGATGAGCCAAGCTTGTGCCATGCAAGCTTACCACCGGTGCCAGTCTGCCAAGAGGAGAAATGCTACCTTAAATTACCCAGTGTGGGATGATATTCCCCTATCAAGCCCTGATTCTATCCGCATCATGTCCACTTGTTAATGGAACCGAGGAAGTCTCTGTTTGTTTTCGGTGATGACATTCTTGTACCTCGGAGATTGACCGGCCGAAGGGATGTTTAATCACGAACATAATTTGTCATAGTAATATAATAATAAGCCAAGGCCTGGATGAATTGCTGCGTTCACTGTTTACTGAGTACTGTTGACGTTGTTCCAGGAAAATTGCTGTTTGCGGGGTACCCCAAGTCATCTGACTTGAGATAACGTTAATTGTCTATAATTCATGCCTAACCCCATGTCTACCCATGCTCTGTATGTGTGCCTGAGAGCGATAGGCAGTCTGAAAAGGCAATATCTCCCTACCGAGACCTGTATCGTAGATACCTGCGTATTTCATTACTGCTATTAAATTGCTGCGTTCTGTGCAATGTGGACAGTTATGGGTCACGTGACTTCAACGTCACCACCGCATTTACCCCTGCGTCGACTCCTCCATCCCTGTAAATCCGAGAAACAGACGCCTTTCTGCATATTATTGCTCGTTAGAAGTGTGAAAAGACGCAGCTACAACCCCCTATATTGAAATACGTGAGCTCGGGCAAGAGCTCGGAATAATCCGATGGTGTCCGGAGAGTCTAATCAGCTTGCCAGTAAAGGTCCGAGCCCGCTTCAGTTCTTAACCGTCCAACGTAATAATGATTGATTATGATTATTAATGCATCGCTTTCAGATTGCCGTGTCTGCAATAGAAGACGGATCCGGTGCGATCGCACGGTGCCGTCGTGCCTCAAATGTGCTACCAAGGGTGTTGCATGTCCCGGGTATGGACCTCGATATCGCTGGGCGAATGCTGCCGCCATCCGCGGCAAATTCAAGGGTCTTGGAACTCCCGACAGTTTCCAGGCAGCTGGATCGCCGGAAAATAATAAAGATGGCATCGTCTTTCCTCAACGGACTCCGGAAGAGCCGTTGCTGGTGCAAAGTAATCAATCTAAATCTAGTCTTGATACGCTGGCCCCATCTCTGCCCGAACACATTGCGAAGCGACTACTAGACCATTATGCCACCTCCATTGCCCCGATAATGGTCTGGCTTGACTCGGATAAGAATGCATACAGACGCTTGGTTATCCCGTTGGCAGAAAAACATCCCTCACTGCGTCTCTCACTCCTCGCCATCTCCGCGGCACATATGCATCATGAATTGGAACTTGACGCTACCTTTTCACAGTCTGCCGGGCAGACTGCCATCCTGATGATTACAGAGAGAGTCCGACAGATGATTGAAACCCCCAATGGTCAGCAGAATGAACAGCAGGAGAAGGACAACAGAGAGATCGAAGCATTACTCGCTGCCATGCTTACGCTGTCGAACCATTCACTGCTTGGATCCGAACTGTCTCATGCCCAGTCTCACAGGCAAGCTGCGCGGATCCTAATTAACACATTGACCCTCAGAGGACCCTCCGATGACGAGCTTATAGTCTTCCTCAAGAATCAGCTAGCCACCTACGACATTCTAGCATGCACGACCCTGTTTAGTCATCACCACATTCAACATGCAATTATGCCTCCAGTCGAACAGAATGTTCTTTTTGGGAATTTCCTCATCATCCTACATCGGATAACAACTTGGTCCTTGCAAGAGGTGCCCGACTCACTAGCCCCCAATTATCCTTCTCTTTCGGAACTCGAGGAGGAATTTGAACTTGCCCGTGGCTTGACATTACTAGCGGCGGGCCCGCTGATGACCACATCATCCAGTCAATGCTCTCAACTGGAGTTCGTCCGACTGGTCCAGATGTATCACCATGCCGGGATGCTCTACGCTTGCAAGCGTCTTCGCGTGTCTAACCTGGTCGCCTTCGACCAAGTTGAAAAAGCTCACTCCGCTAAGCTCTTCAGGTTGCTCGAACATTTTAAACATGCCGATGCTCCGTGGCACAACTTGCCATGGCCCATTTTTATTGCAGGTATCTCCAGCGGCGGAGATCAAGGTCGAAAATGCACCGTCACGGACCTCTGTCAGATGCTATCCGCGAGTACTCGTTTTGAGCACTATACCGACCTTTCGGCTTTTCTCCAGGAGCTGTGGCAAAGCTCGCATGGGGACTGGTGTCTTCTTGCACGAGAATGGGAGAGAAGAGGGAATCCAATCATCGCCATCTGACATTGCAATCCGAAACCATCACATATTACTTCTAAGGGGTAAGAGATCTATTTGCTTACAAATATCAAAGTAATTATTCAAAAGGTGGAATTATCTTCACCATCTCTACTCTTCATCCGTTAACCCTAGCCTGTACTCGGGCGTTGCCTCGGCATTCCCCCCGAACAACACCGGGCCAGCACCCCTCATATAATGTTTCCTCGCCGTCCAAAACCACGACACACTAGCCAGGATGACCACGCCACCCAGAATGGCAATGGCCCAATTCATATCGGATATTTCGCCGACGACAGGCAGGTATTGAGGAAAGACATAGAACAGAACGACGACAACGCTCCAGGCGAGACTAAGCAAGTTTACCACATATCCCCAGAAGTTACCAAGGTCGAACTGCCGACCTTCTCGTAGGACCTTGCTGCGTCCTCTCAGCACCACGCAGAGGATCGGGATACAGTACGAAACTTGGAGGGCGATGCCGCCGCCAGAGAGGATAGCGTTGAAGGCGAGATCGGACCCGAGCACGATGAGTCCTATGAGGACATTGATGATGAAGAAAGCCACCAGACCGCGAATGGGAATGTTGAAGTACGGAGAGATATGGGAAAGGTAATCAGAGCGGGGAAATGCGCGATCACGAGCCATTTTCCAGATGAGCCGAGCGCTTGCTGTGGATTGATTCAGGACAATCAACATCTGGCTTAGTTAGTGCGGACAGTCAAAGAATGAATTGAGCGGAAAACAAACGTTCAATCCCATCATGATAATAGCACAGAAGACTCCACCGCCGTAGATGGACCGTGTCGCATCCATGAACCAGGACAAGTAACTCGATAGCATTTCCAGCCGGGACTCCCAGTTTGTCCCAACGGTATAACACATGATGACAGCCGAGACCCAAGCCGTAACACCAGCCCAAACCATCGACCAGATCATAACCCGAGGACCATCTCGGGAGGGATTCTTCATTTCTTCCGACACTGATATCATTATTTAACAGTTATATTAACAATGTTTGAGTTGACAGGGGGGAAATAACTTACAATGCATAACCCCATCCGACCCATAAAGCCCATAAATAGGCACATAAAGACTCAAAATAAAAACCCACCCATCACTCGTCCAACCGCTCGTATTGATAAACTCTGTAAAGATAAACCTGGCACTCGCCTTGTGCGCCATGGCGAGGAAAACAATGGCCCAGGTAAGCCCGCACATGATATTAAACGCTGCACCGAACATCTGCAGAGCTGGCTGATATCTGGCGCCAGCGAACACACCCATCAGGAATGGGAGGAATAGAAAGCCGCAGTACAGGAGGAAGGTCATGTAGGGCTAGAATATACATATACATATACATCAATCAGGAAGATGCTCAAAAGATACAGGTGATATGCAAGTCCGGAAACATGAACATGCCTTCCAACTTAGATGAGGATGTACGATCTGCACAAAGGTACCAACAATATTGGCACTGTTCAGGGCACATCCTGCGGCAACAGAGACTTCGCCGAGCAGGATACACCAGCCGACGGTGTAGGAGAGGAAATAGCGATATCTCTCCGGTGCAACCATCTACTGTCGTCAGTTTCTGTTATGGTGAATATTAAAGCAGTAGGAACTACCGTCTGGGTATACTGACCTGAGTATAAAATTGCTGGCCACCAGCACTCGGCCAGAGCGAATAGTATTCAGCCAAGGAAGCCATGACGAGAAGCTGCCCGATGGTAACGAGGACACTTTGTACATTTAGCCAGACTATTCGTTTACCTATTTCGACGCAGAAAAATAGAGTAAAAATACTGACGTTCCCCATACAAGCGCCGCCGGTCCACCCAGCGTAAAGATCTCATAGTAAAGAGTGATATTGCAACTCCACGAGCAGAGAATGGTGGTTTGATATGCCATCGCTGACGAGTTGTTAGGCTAGGTTACCGATTCCACTTGTATACGGCGTACAAGCATTCTTCTGCAAGGCTAGATCCTAATCCAGGAACTGTAGGATAATAAACTTACAGCTCCAGAATGTATGTGTCCGTTTCAGGCTCGTCTTGCTGCCCGTCGGGGACGTATTGGGCGCAGGTGCAGGCGCAAGCTCGGCTCCATATTGGAGATAACTTGAATCTATCCGACTATTAGAGCTACCAGAGGTGCGATATAGCTCTTTTATCGACTTAGACATCTTCTATTCTCTAAGAGAAAAGCCAGCCGGGGTTATGCTCTTTCCGAGCGATGAGGCGCGATGGGTGATTTTGAGCAATGGTGCTGGTTAGAGAGGCTGATTCTTTCAAAGGAAAGGGGAGAATTCTTCTAAGAGATTAATTAACTCCGTACTCCTAAAGCTTCGTCAACTGGTTCCAATTTCTGCAGATCGACGGTGCATTGCATATTGCATAGAATTACTCATCCGGAAATCATGATGCTTTACGATAAGCCTCTGCCAATCGCAGCGCCGCGATATCTGTAGCTGATACCAGATATGGACGTCACACTAGACCTGTCTCGGTTTAGCTCTCCAAAAGATATCCTGATTAAGCAAGTAATTGTGGATCCGAGGGTGCACTGTTCCACGCTTAAACCTAGGCATTTCCTCATTAGGCCACTGCACTAGCTCAAGAATGGATAATAAGAGGAGACCCAGATACGATCCACCTGAATCCATGTTGACAGAGATGCGATTGGGACTGAGAGCTCTCCTGCCTTCAATTATACCAGAGTATGTATACTTTTCCATGAGGATGGAATCACTGGCATTTGTAAGATTGCGAAAAGCTCTCCCAGTCTGAGCATGGTGGAGAATGAATGTGAGAGACATGGGTGATCAGAAACTGGATGGGTTGCTCAGATCCAAGGGAATGCCCATAAGACATGGCGATTGAGAGATCGATCGAAGAGGCTGGCTCAAAGTCATTCTCCTCTGCGATGCCCTGTTGATCGAGGTCGTAAAAGCGGTATGGGAGACCTCGAATCCTAGCTTCTTGAAAGTGTATTGTGTCTGGTGAAGGACATCCAGGTTTGAAATTCCCTTGAACGGAATTGGATCGCATGCGGTGACTTGGAAGCTTGGTGGGATCATAGTGAACGAAGTCCAGGTTATTAAGGACTCAGAGCACAATTCGCTAGGACCACAAAGACATCTTGCATGCAGGGCTCCATCTGACATATTAAGACTATCTCCCAATGAGGCAACAACAAGAGAACGGACATGACAACCCTGTCAGAGATCTAATTACCCTGGATTGGTTGATTTATCTGACGTATTACGAAGCCAGCGGCCGTGATGGGCCCTTTGACTTCACCGACACTTTGCAGGGTTGTGTCTTCACAGCCAACCCCAGTGTTGTATAGAACGTATAGTTATATCTCTGTGGCATCGAAAGCAAGAATCCAATTGATATTATTAAGGTATAACATGGCATTTTCTTAGCAATCAGATTCTGTCAGAAAAGCGTCAGCTCGCCAATCATGTTAGGGTCTCATTTTGCCGGATATCCAAAACTAATACGGATTCGGATATAAATGGGAGAATTCCACGGGCGAAAAGATCCAGTATGAGAATGGCTACAATTGACGAGACACGTTTATTCCTTACTCCGTAGCTCGATGGTATATAATATATATCCTTCATGAGCTGAGGGACAGCTCATGCTTTGCGGAGTGATTTACCTCTCAGCTTAGAACCTCATCATGCCTTCAACCACACATGAAGAACTGCATCAGTCTCTCTATCCGCGCAAGCATAAGGGAATATTCTCCTCTCTGTCTCAAACTGTAAATAGACCAGAGTACGAGGAAAAGATTGCCCAGCGTCTCTCTGAAGCCGTCAAGATCCCGACTGTAGTCGGCGATGGAATGGGCCATATGGGAGAGGATCCGGAATGGGAGATTTTTTATAGCTTCTCACAGTGGCTCAAGAACACATTTGCACTTATGTAAGCATCCAGTTTAATCAGGTCTATTTCATCTACTAATTTTGGGGGTTATTTTATAATAGTTATGAGCATTTAACTCACACGACTGTCAATGAACATGCTCACCTCTTCACATGGCAGGGAACGGACCAGAGTCTCAAGCCGCTACTCTTGATGGCTCATACCGATGTCGTTCCCGTGTCAGGCTCTTGTACAGATACATGGACATACGAGCCATTTTCTGGACACTATGATGGGAAGTATATCTGGGGACGCGGTTCGGAAGACGATAAATCCAACGTCGTGGTCATCCTGTCAGTCATTGAGCTTCTGTTGGGGATTGATTTCAAACCGGCCAGGACGATCATAGTGGCACTCGGCTTTGATGAGGAGGGAGGAGCTGAGAAGAGCTATGGCGCTAGATGTCTAGCTGAAATTATTCTGCAGCGGTATGGTAGAAATGGGGTCGAGTTGATTGTCAGTCTACTTACTGCCTTTTATCTACAACCAGCAACCGCTAATGAGTCATTTTCTCCTCAGTTTGATGAAGGAATGCCTGGCTTGGAAACTAGGTTCGGTAGAGAATTTGCATTGCCCGCGAATTCCGAGAAAGGATACCTAGATGTTATCATGAGAATTAATACTCCTGGTGGTCACTCCCAGGAGCCACCGGCACACACGGGAAGTAAGTAGCATCTTCAGCGACAATCTGGGTATATGACTGACGTTAGGAAAGTCGGTCTTCTTGCTCAGGCTATACATATCATCGAGGACAACCCTTTGCCTCCCAAGGTCTCAGCTGATAGCCCGGCGGTTGCTTGGCTTCGCGATGCTGCTTTATATGACAAAGCATTCCCGGACACTTTGCGATCTGCCTTCAAAGAAAACATAGACTCCAGTGAGATTCTTTCCTGTATAACGACGCAGTTTAAAGAGCTGCGAGGCTTAATCCAGACAACCACGGCCGTGACGATCGTGCATGGAGGAGACAAAGGTAATGAAAGTCGTGCTTGATTACAAAATGACTCGTAGCTAACCATGCAAAGTAAACTCACTACCGGAATCCGCATATGCCATGGTAAACCACCGGATCGCGCCCCACGACTCCGTACGTATCCTCAAGGATCACTATATCTCCCTCCTGGCCCCATGGGCAAAAAAGCACCAGCTTGCTGTTCACGCATTCGGAGAGAATATCTCCCAGCCGGAGTCTGCTTTGGGCACGTTGACACTCACGTCTGACTATGACCTCGATCCCTCTCCGATTTCAGATCCCACGGACCCTCGTTTTGAGCTTCTCGCTGGTACCATCCGGGGGATTTTCGGGGACCATATCGTCGTCAGCCCGACAATCTTGCTGGGTAATACCGACACCAGGTATTACTGGGATCTAGCTACGCAGATCTACAGGATGAGTCCTTGGAGGGCGAGTCATGACCCACGAGGTACTAGGATGCATACCGTCGATGAGAGAATGCCTATTGATGGGTTGATGGAAGGGGTGAGGTTTTATCTTGCATTTATTCTGAATATTGACGAATATAGATAGCACGGCTGATGATCGCATTGGAATATCTTGTACATAGTTGAGCTACTCTCCCAGCAGGTAGTCTAACACTTTGAAAGGCCACCGACAACCTCAAAACCTCAATTCCCTTCTCTGAGTCCCCATCCCGTTTATTCTCCTCTTAGAATTTTCCGCGGAAGCCTCTATGACCATGGATACATTCAAACCAGCCAGCCAGATCAACAGGCCTATGCTTCGACACAACATACTGTACAGGTACCGCTCGGGTATTAGAATTAGAACCAAAAGCTCTGCCCACAGAACTCTTTCGTATTGTCGCAGCATCCCATTTCCCTTTCCCTTTCCCCTTCCAAAGTCCCAAAGACCGCTTCACTCCTTCTGAACTCGCCGACAAAAGTCACAACCTTTGTGAAACAGGGTCATGTCTGGAGGCTTAACGTAGCGAGTCTGTGTAGACATCATACTAGAAGGCATCGTAGGGTTTTTTGTAGGCGTCTGGGGAACATATTTGCCTTGTTTTGGATCGAAGATGGGTAAGTCCGGGGTGAAGGGGACGGAATGGTCCTTTTCGATGATTTTTGTTTTGGGGCCCATTTCTTTTTGATGCTTGTGAAGTCCATGAGCTGTCCACGTTAGATTATTATCATTCCCTGGGATTCGTATATAGGCGTACAGGTATACTCTTGGGGTTGTCTCCAGCAGGTCAAATGAATGTCAGGTCATATTGATCAGTATTGAAATAGGCAAGATCTCGATTAAATGGTAGTCTAGGACACTTGACCGGAAAGGTAGAGAGAGAGAGAGAGACTAGATTACAATGAAGCAGCAGCAGGCAGAGAAGCAAGTGAATTCCATCTTGACCTGAACGTGTTCTGGGTGACGTCTATCATAGTATGCTGTAGCTTTATACCTGTTCCCAATGTGGAAGTATGAGGTGAATAGCTGGGTGCTGCCATTAGATCAGAGAAACACAGGATTGAAGGAGGATGCCGGATTGAAATCATTGTATAGTACATAGGACATAACAGAAACATCTGCAGGAGCATCCATGCAAATACCTTAAATAATGGAGTTGTCAAGTATGGAGTGCCCGACTTGATTTGCACTTAGTATATAGGGTAGAATGGACACAGCAAAATGACCAACTTCACGTTATGAACGTCGACTTGTTGGTTTCTCTAAAATACCAAGTCTCCCAATTGAGGATGAGCGTCTTATGGGATAAATTATAAAGAGGGAAATGCCAAGCAAGTCACACCGTACTTGGCAGACAGAAAACGCCTTTTCTTGGCATCTTGTTTTTGGCCAAGCGATGCAGCTGAGAATGCACATCGTCATATACCAGGTATCTAGCAATTAATCCAGTAACCATAGCATGGATGACTCTGTCAAGGGGGCTATTTTTATTTTCTTTGCAACCTCAGCTGAGCTCGATCTGACAACAGTCAAAAACCCTTGACCAACCCGAAACGAACCCCACCGTGTCATCGTCAATTCTGGCTTGCTCCGCCCCAATGTGCCCCGTAGTCCTTTCCTCAGCTTCGGCCGTCCTCATACCATGCCCACTATTTAACCCCTCCTAGTCCTTCGACGCCTTTCTCTTATACGGCTATTGTCATTCTTAATCTTTCAATCTATTCGTTTACGGCATATTGAGCTTCTCGGTATCCCTCACCATGTCTGATCAATACGGATACAGCCAGTACGGACAGTCCGGCCAATACGGCGGTGGCTACTACGGAGGTCAACAAGGATATCCTCAAGGACAAGGCCAGTATGGAGGCCAGTACGGAGGCCAATACGGATCATCACAGGACGGATACTACCCGCCTGCAGTAAGCATATTGACCCTCGTTGCATTCTTTACATTGTCTCCAGCCATGAACATCATTCCTGCGCAAACTTGTATCCAGACCGCTAACTAATAGTCTGTTGCTGTATTTCTAGCAACAGTACCAGCCTCACGGCAACCCTCCTCCCTACGACCAGCAAGGCTATCAACCGTCCTACAACAGTCACCCCCAAGGTGGACCATACCCGGGTGGTCAGGATTACGGGCAAGGTGCACAAGCTGGTTACTACCAGGGCCATAATAACTCCTTTTATCCCTCAGGACAGGGTGCGAACTCTTCCTACTACGATTCTGGGGCCGATAAGCAAGCGCCACAGAGTCAGTACCCGCAGCAGGGACAACATCCAGGACCTGCGGGCCAAGAGGGTGAAAGAGGCCTCGGGACGGCGATACTCGGTGGTGTAGGCGGTGGAATTCTAGGCCACAAGCTGGGTGGCGGGGCGTTGGCCACCGCGGGGGGAGTGTTGGCGGGGAGTATCGGGGCTAATGTGGCGAAGCATAAGTATGGCTTTTCTTTCCGGTTCCGTTTCCAAGAATTACGAGTCCATGCTGACCATTTACTTTGTGTTACAGGATTAAAGAGCACAGGAAGGACAAACATCACAAACACAAGCACGGCCACCACAAACGCAAGTCTAGTTCCAGCTCCTCGAGTTCGTCGTCGAGTTCGTCGAGTTCGTCCAGCAGCGATTAAACTGCACTCGTTGGGTTTTCTAATGAGATTTGTTGATGGTGGTGGTTATGTCTTTCGGTTGGCATTGGGTTTATGGACCCTTGTTTACTTCTGGTTTACTTTTGTTCATCATCCTATATCCTAAGTTGTCTTGCCGCCGTATTGTGGCGTAGTTCGTGTAGCGTGCCCGTATTGATATGAGCATGGTTATGAATGCATTGAATTTCCATGGAGATAATTTCCACTACCAAAAAGCCTTTTATATGAACGACTCCATCCAGAGCTCCATACCCGGAGCTGCCCATCTAATAGGAATGCGAATAGAAAAAAGGCCAGGCCTACCATTGACCCTCACAGCTACAAACAGGGCAGAGGCCGACCCGGCATTATGGATCATCATAATGGACTGTATGTTCGATGATGATCGATATTATGGATTTCCCGTACAGAGTACGGCGTACAGAAAAAGTCCCATGGCGAACACGAGAGAAACAAAGTGGCGATATTAAGGGATTGAACCGCCATGCATAAGTGAGCGAACTAGGGCTGAGGACCCACGGAAGGCAGCCACCAGGCCTTAGGCTTCAATAAGCATAAAATAAGGTATTGCTACGGAGAAACCCGCACTCTATCCTACCTAAGGAATCCTGATCCTTAGCCCGATAGATGCGCATATTATTGCTGTGAGACTGAGACATATAGGCGTGGAAAAATCTCGCACAGAGTTCGGATCCCACAATGTCCGACGTAGCATTTATTTTAATTAATTTATTATTATTATTATTTGCTAGGCATCATGATTATTAAATTTGCAGGCCGAGAATCAAATCAAATCAAACGAAATAAATAAAAGGGAAGGTGGAAGGAAGGAGAAACGGTGAGGCGAATTCTCCCCGGTCCGGTTGGGGATGGGAGATGTGATATGATACTATTTGATTCGATCTATTTGCTTATTGGGATTATCATCGTCTGGAACAATTTAAAAAAGTAATAAAAAGAAATGGACAAACCAAAAATAAAACCCTTTCATCCTGCTATCTTCCATTTCCAAGGATACAGGGCCAACCAAGATCCGGAGACTGCGCCACCAGACGAGCAATGGTAAGTTCGCAGTGGCGAGGAAGGAAATAACTTAATAATAATAATAATGGATGATTGACATGTTGAGGGTTGATTATTAGCGCTCCCCAGATTCACCCTGTCAGGGATTAGAGAAAGTAAGATAGCGATATGCTGTATGTACGCCGTCTGGGCAGATATGACAGAGAAGGTATGCTACAAAGAACAGGAACGTACATCCATACATACTAAAAACCTAGACTAGACGTAGAAGTACTGTAAGCGTACAGAATACCTACCTGGTAATAATAATAAAAAGAATGCCTAATAACCACACGATCCTGAGCACGTTGTCGAGTGAAAAATACCAGTAAAATAACAACCAACGAGTCTGCAGAGCACCCCTCCATTACGAATGCTGAGGCCGTAATCTGCCCGCGCTAGTGCCTGACCGCCTTGCTATCCGGCCAACCATGGCCGCCGGAATTTGTCGATGTTGGCGGCGTCCAGACTATTCCTGATATGGACTAGCGTCGGGGCCGAAGAAAAAATTTTTTTTTGCAGTTTTTTGGGCGGCAAAAAGGCCAACGCGACTAACAGCGATAAATATCTTTCTTCCCCTCGCTTCTGCTCCTCTCTTTCTTTCCTCCTCCCATCTCTGCTCATCTTCTTTTCCTCCTTTTTTCCCCTCTTTTTTCTTTTCCTTTCTCTTTTCCTTCTGGGAAAAAGATCATAAAAAAAAAAAGAGGTCCTGCCCTCTTATCATCTCCCTGTCTAGAACATAGACGAGTTCGCTCTCGGTGGCTTAGAGCGTTATCTTTTTTCTTCAGCCCACCGTTTGTGGACTTTTCCTCATCAAGATACCCTAATAGAACTCCTTCCGTATCGTTTTCTTTCTTCCAGCATTTCTTCACCTTCAGTTTCTACATCCGTCAAAATCTCGTCCAAAATGCCTGCCGTCGACGTCGCCTCTGTCCCCGCCGTCTCGGCCAAGGAGACCGCTCAGGCCGTCTCTGTTCTCGAGGACCTTGTCCAGAAACTCAACATCTCTTCCTCCCAGGATGAGACCAACGCTGCTGCTGATAACATCGCCCACTTCTTCAGCGGCCCCATCCCCGAGCAGGTTCTGCCTCTCAAGGCCGTTGAGATCTTCAAGAAGCAGCTCGCAAACAAGAAGGATGCCGGTGCCCGTCAACGGGCTCTCGACGCTATCCGCGCCGTTGCCGCTCACCCCACCATCGACGCTGGCGTTGAACCTCACCTCGTCACTCTCTTGGGTCCTGTTCTCGCCGCTGTCGGTGATAAGATGATCCCCGTCAAGAACGCCGCCCAGGCCGCCGCTCTCGCCATCGTCCAGGCCGTCAACGGTAACGCCATCAAGGCCATCCTTCCCCCCATCATCAACTCCCTTGCCAACGCCCAGAAGTGGCAAGAGAAGATGACTGCTCTTGACTGCATCAGCACTCTCGTCGAGTCTGCTCCCGCTCCTCTGGCTTACCGCGTCCCTGACCTGATCCCCGTCGTCTCTGAGGCCATGTGGGACACCAAGAGTGAAATCAAGAAGGCCGCCTACAAGACTATGGAGAAGATCTGCGGCCTCATCGTAAACAAGGATATCGAGCGCTTCATTCCCGAGCTCATCAAGTGTATCGCCAAGCCTGAGAATGTTCCCGAGACCGTCCACCTTTTGGGTGCTACCACTTTCGTCTCCGACGTCACTGGTCCTACCCTGGCTATCATGGTTCCTCTGCTTGACCGTGGTCTCGTTGAGCGTGAGACTGCCATCAAGCGTAAGTCTGCTGTCATCGTCGACAACATGTGCAAGCTCGTCGAGGACCCCCAGATTGTCGCTCCTTTCTTGCCCAAGTTGATGCCCGCCCTTCAGAAGAACTATGAGACTCTTGCCGACCCCGAGGCTCGTGAGAAGACCAAGCAGGCCTTGGACACCCTCGTCCGTGTCGGTGACGTCAAGGATGGCAAGATCCCCGAGATCTCCACTGCCGGTGACATCTCCACCGTTGTTGCTATCCTGAAGGAGATCCTCCTTCCCAAGTACAAGGCTCAGGTTGAGAAGTCCGATGCTGTCATCGAGTATATTGCCGCTATTGCCGGTCAGCTCGTTGACGAGAAGGAGGGCGAGCAGGCTATCTGGACCGAGAACACTGTCTCCTACCTCATCGCCATTGTCGGTGAGGAGTCTGCCAAGCCCACCGCAGAGACTCTCCGCAAGCGTGCCTCCCCTGGAGCTGCCGAGGAGAACGAGGTTCCCTCCGACGAGGAGGAAGGTGAAGATCTTTGCAACTGCACCTTCAGCTTGGCCTATGGTGCCAAGATCCTTCTTAACCAGACTCACCTGCGCTTGAAGCGTGGCCAGCGCTACGGTCTCCTTGGTCCTAACGGTTCCGGAAAGACCACCCTCATGCGTGCCATTAACAACGAGCAGCTCGAGGGCTTCCCCAAGAAGAACGAAGTCAAGACCGTGTACGTCGAGCACGATCTGGATTCTGCCGATACTGAACAGACTGTTATCGGCTGGACCATGAAGAAGCTTGCCGATGTTGGCCTTGATCTCACCCGTGAGACTGTCGAGGCTAAGCTCGAGGAATTCGGTTTCCTCAAGGAACAGTTTGACAACCCTATCACCTCTCTCTCCGGTGGTTGGAAGATGAAGCTTGCTCTTGCCCGTGCTGTGTTCGAGTCTCCCGATATTCTCCTGCTCGACGAGCCAACCAACCACTTGGATGTCAAGAACGTCGCTTGGTTGGAGAACTACCTCTGCAACTCTCCTTGCACTTCCATCATTGTCTCCCACGACAGCAAGTTCTTGGACCACGTCATCCAGCACGTTATCCACTACGAGCGCTTCAAGCTTAAGCGCTACCGCGGTACTCTTAGCGAGTTCGTCAAGAAGGTTCCCGCCGCTCGCTCCTACTACGAGCTTGGTGCTTCTGAGATGGAGTTCAAGTTCCCCGAGCCCGGTTTCCTCGAGGGTGTCAAGACCAAGGCCAAGGCCATTGTCCGTGTCTCCAACATGTCCTTCCAGTACCCCGGAACTCCCAAGCCTCAACTTACGGATATCACCTTCCAAGTCTCTCTTGGCTCTCGTATTGCCGTCATCGGTCCTAACGGTGCTGGTAAATCCACCCTGGTCAACGTTCTGACTGGTGAATTGATCCCTACTTCCGGTGATGTTTACCAGCACGAGAACATCCGTATCGCCTACATCAAGCAGCACGCTTTCGCCCACATTGATAACCACCTTGACAAGACTCCCTCCGAGTACATTCAATGGCGTTTCCAGACCGGTGAGGACCGTGAGACCATGGACCGCGCCAACAAGATCGTCACCGAGGAGGACGAGAAGGCTATGGACAAGATCTACAAGATTGAAGGCACCCTGCGTCGTGTCATCGGCATCCATGCTCGTCGCAAGTTCAAGAACACTTATGAGTACGAATGTTCGTTCGCCCTTGGTGAGAACGTCGGCATGAAGAGCGAGAGGTGGACCCCGATGATGAGCAACGACAACGGCTGGATTCCCCGTAACGAGATCATCCAGTCCCACGCTAAGATGGTTGCCGAGGTTGACCAGAAGGAGGCCCTCGCTAGCGGTCAGTTCCGTCCTCTGGTCCGTAAGGAGATTGAAGCTCACTGCGCCAACTTCGGTCTCGATGCTGAGTTGGTCAGCCACTCTCGCATGCGTGGTCTGTCTGGTGGTCAGCGTGTCAAGGTCGTCCTTGCTGCTTGCTCGTGGCAGCGTCCTCACGTCATCGTTCTTGATGAGCCTACTAACTACCTTGACCGTGACTCCCTCGGTGCTTTGTCCAAGGCTATCAAGACCTTCGAGGGTGGTGTTGTCATCATCACCCACTCTGCCGAGTTCACTGAAAACCTGACTGAGGAAGTCTGGGCCGTCATGGATGGTAAGATGACTCCTTCCGGCCACAACTGGGTTCAGGGCCAGGGTAGCGGTCCCCGCCTCCAGGAGAAGCAGGGCGATGAAGAGATCGTCGACGCCATGGGTAACAAGACTGTCGTCGAGAAGAAGAAGAAGCTTACCTCCGCTGAATTACGTAAGAAGAAGAAGGAAAGGATGGCTAGGCGCAAGAGGGGAGAGGAGGTCTTTTCTGATGAGGATGATTTCTGAAAAGTTTGAAGCAGGGAAGAATGGTTCGAATGGGTTGGGTTTAATTTTGTTGCTCTACTACCGAGTTCCTGTAATTACTTGATAGAAGGTTATGATTCTTATGAATTTAGGTGTTTACGGACCACAGCATGCAATTTCTTTATTGTAGACTTTTTGTAGAGCATGGAATGGAAGAGCACAGGTGATTCCAAAACGGGTATATTTGTGGCTAAAGTTTGCAGTGATCCTAAAGATGATGAGGATATACTTAAACGTATCCGGTAAGCGAGCGGCCACCTCTCCGCGTTTTGACCGTGGTCAAAAACCTCACTGATTTCAACCACCAATCATGCGCTCCAAAAGCGCGTCAAATTTCAAAAGATTTAATTGAGCAGGAGGGAAGGGTCCTACTTGCTATATCTGCTTTAAAAAAGCAAGAAATCTGCAGTATTGCAGAAGCAGCACATGTTTACAATATTCTATGTACAACACTTCAAAGACGACTAAATAGCCACATTTTTCGAGCAGAAAAATGCGCCAACCATAAGATGACTCAAAATGAAGAGAAATCACTTATACAATGGATTATTTCACTAGATCGACGTGGACCACCTCCCTGACCTTTGCATGTACAAGAAATGGCCAATATTCTACTTGCTGTCAGGGCCCTTGCCATGTAGATGTTAGTACACGTGAGGTACTGCCGTCCTAGACCGCCCTCGCTACCTATCTCACGGCACAGGCAGGCCTACCTAGTAATACGACGATACATGCGCCTATCCATTAGTAGACCAGGACGAGCACGTGAGTTTCCTTATTTGGATTAGCGTGGTGCGTGGATAGGAATACGTCGTCCAGCTTCACGTAGATCTCTTCCTTTTTCCCTCCTCTCCATGCTTGAAGTTCTCGTCGATAGCTGCCTAGATAGTCGAATAGCATCCTATTCATCGTCTAGTTGAGTTCCGTGACAACTGGAGACATTCTGAAAGCTATAACATCTGGACTTTAGGCAGATGGACTTAACAAGGACACTATTGTGAAGGTGGATAATATGAGCTATTGATTCTGTTTCTCAGAAGTGGTGATGGAGGGCTTTAGCTAACCGTCTGTAGATAGTGACTATTGTTGTGCAAGAGAAGGGCCTAAAATGAAATCAGAAGCCCAAGTCAACCATATACATTGAAGATGTGGCCAAGTTCACAATGCTCTTTGTGACCACAGAGATGACATTCACCTGTAGCTAGCTCCAGATCCAATTGATGCTGTTTTGCTAGCTGATCCCCATCACAGGAAGTGGGGTTTAGTGTTGTGATGCTGATTGAATGGCTACTGAGCATTGTTGGATCAAGCAATGGTCATCCTGTATTGTACTGGACTGAACAACAAAGAAGTCACACCAATGTTGAACTTCAGAAAGGACACTGCCAACTTCCTTCAAAGCTTCCAGTTGCTGATGGGGTGTGTCTGTACTACATCTCTATTATTATTTGTAGCTAAGTAGCTAGATACAGTTTCTGGCTAATGTCACGACCTAGCTCCTAGGGTGCATCCTAAGGACTAAACCGCTGCACTACCGGCAAAAGACCTGATACTGCACTCACTTATATAGTACTTGTTGCCACACCACCACAGCTAAAGCATTGATGAACTCTATTCCATATGGCTCAGTAGACTGTTTATTATTATCTGGTATTTTCGGTTTCCAAACGTTATTCATATTACAGACACTGTTCAAAAGGCAAGACTTTTCCGGCTTTCCCATCCCAATAACTCATGCCTTCGCTTGAAAAGAAAAAATGAAAATGAAAAGGAACATTAAACACTGTCCATTCTGATAATATTGTGAGGAACAGATCTCTTTTTTTATTTTATATATATATATATATATATATATTGGATATATGTGAGAAATAGGCTTCTCCTCCACTTTTTTACAACTCCATTCAATGCCAGAGACAGAATGTGATTAGGGCTTCACCTCACATGACCAACAGACAGTAATTTATGTTGGCGGGGTCAAACTCCTGAGTTGGTTGATCTAGCTAGGAGTTAACTAGTTGTCTATGATATGCTAACTAGGAAGGAGCTGAACCATGGGAACCACCGACAATTTACTTTACACCCAAGCATTTGATGTATTTGATATTGATGCGATTCAAGCTATCTGATCCGTTCACTTTCTTCCTGGCTATCCTGAATTTTCAACCACATTATGAACTGTCCTCCTAGCTAGGCGTAAGTTATAAAATATGGTCGTCGGCCCTAATCTTTCCAGCTTAAGCGCTTTGCCACAGATCTCACAGCGTAGACAAGCCCCAACAGCACCGGAACCTCAATCAATGGCCCCACTGTGGATGCAAGAGCCTGGTTGCTATCCGCCCCAAATGTCGCAACGGCAACAGCGATAGCCAACTCAAAGTTGTTGCTAGCTGCAGTAAAACTCTGTGTCACAGCCAACTTGTACCCAAATCCCGTCTTATACGTGATGACGAGAGTAGTGAAGAATATGACGGTGAAATAAACAATGAGAGGCGCCGCAACCCGGATAACAGAGACAATTTGATGCACCACTTGGCGTCCTTGAGAAGCAAAAAGCACCAGTATTGTAAACAAGAGCCCGATCAATGACCACGGGCTGGCCCATTTCAGAAAGACTTCATCATACCATCGCGCGCTTGCAACCCATCGGAGGGTGAAGCGCGTGAGGATTGCGGCGCCTAGGGGGATCCCGAGGAACACAGCGACACTTTTAGCAGCAGTAGAGTATTCAAATGTGACGGAATCGCCGCTGATCACCTGAAGAAAGAAGACCCCTAGCGGGGCGAATAGCACCATTTGGAGGATTGAGTTGATAGCAACGAGGATGGCGCAGTATTCACCGTCACCTCCTGCTAGTCCAGTCCAGATTAAGACCTAGTGATAATATGAGTACCAAAAGGCATATTGATACCTGCATTGTCATGGATCGCTCGAAGCTACCTACCATAGCGATACATCGAGCCAGCCCAACGAGAATCAGCCCCTGTCGCAGCTCTGGCTCGTCAGGCAGGAACGCCCAAGCCAATGCCAACTAGGTACGTTCTACATAAGTCAAGTCTCTATGAGCGACACGATCCAGGATCAACCTACCATAAAGAATGGGGCTATAATCCAATTGACAAATATGCTGAAGGCAACCTGTATCCAAATCTGACGTGTCCGGAAAACATGATGCAGACTCTCATATCGAACCTTGCAAAGGATGGGGTACATCATGACAAGAAGACCAATAGCTGTCGAGGCAGAATTAGTATGTTGAAGGTCACTCACTATCTGTCGCCAACAGTACTCACCAATTGGGACGGACACCCCCACAAATTTCCCCTTTTGCAACGCCGGTCCAGTGTTGGGAACGAAATTGCCTAAAATAATGCCAATTGCCATGGCAAGGAAAATCCACAATGCGAGAAACCGGTCAAGTATCCCGAGATTCTTGAACGCAGATTGCTTTCCTTCGGGACTGTCTGATAACTCCACATCGCCCTGGTTTTCCACGTCCCAAGCTTGTACCGGGAATGCGCCAGCAGAATCGGATATATGTTCCGGATGTGCTTGAGACATTGTGAGCTGTCGCTGTAGAATTCTCGTTTGGATCGAAAAAGGATGAAAGCGGGTGTGCGCCAGATGACAAGCGAGGAAAAGGGTCGTATGGATGTATTTGTAGATATGCGGCAAGGCAATCTAGCCTCTACCGGGCAAGAAATGCTGCTGGATTCTCGACAGGAAAATCGAAGATATTGTCTTTTTGGTTATCAAATGCCGGAAGGTCCCACTTGGATGTCACTGGGAAATGTTGATTGGATGTGGCTTGGCACAAGGGCATCGGCTAGTAAAACGGTGGATCGACTCCGTACAATGCTACTCCACACATGTACCCGGATTGTCTGTGCTCCACTGAGCCAAGGCTTGATCTGCATCTGTTAATATTTTGAGTTTAGGATTTTGAACTGCGCATAGCCAATCAAAGTGCGGGAGTGACATGCAGAACTATAAACTCTTACATCAAGCTCAAAATAGCACGATTCATTACAATCATTGGACAGGCTCTTTGCGGTGAACTTCGGCCTCACAAACAGTATCTAGTACAGTTTTCATGGCTTTCCCGACACATAACGAGCTCTCCATAACTACCTCGATTCTCCACTAGCTGACATATCAACATGGGTCTCGACCATCTGATCATCTGATTCTTAATGCAAAAATGTACGCCATGCCCCCTTTCTACTCTTCAAACTCCATTCTCTCCTACACGACAAAGACGGGAGTATCGAATACCGGCAGTGAGGCGCAGCCTCGCTTCTAGCAATATCACCACTGACCTGGACGGCCTTAGTAGCTACTGACGAGCTGCTCAACCATCAACCAATCGTGAAACGGACACCATGACCGACAAGCCCAGCGTCTTGTTTGTCTGCATTCATAACGCCGGCCGTTCTCAAATAGCCGCTGGCTACCTCACCTACCTCGCAGGCGATGCTGTTGAGGTCCGCTCCGCTGGCTCAGCGCCTGCCGACTCCATCAACCCCGTCGTGGTCGAAGCCATGCGTGAAGAAGGCATCGACATCACTGACCAAAAACCGAAGATTCTAAGCGCCGATGCTGTCCAGGCCAGCGACATCGTCATCACCATGGGCTGCGGCGACGCCTGCCCCTTCTTTCCGGGCAAACGCTACCTCAACTGGGAACTTGACGACCCTGCAGGGCAAAGCCTTGATGTTATACGCCCTATCTGTGATGAAATCCGTCGCCGTATCGAAAATCTTATCACCGAGATCCTACCGTCCCACTGAACCCCTTACAGTCGCCATCACACCGACGTGTGATGGCATACCGGAATGCTCGCCATGAATGCTGCAAGGTAGCATCGCTGTTACCAACAGTATGACCAAGGGCTTGTCCAGGATATCCCTTTAGCTCTCGCATCCAAACCGAATGTACTTGAATCCACTTTGGAGTCAACTTCTCCGTATCTTCTAGCAGCATTTCATCCTTCAATGTATGGCTGTCTCTTATGTGGACTTTTACGAGAGTCAGCTTATGAACGCTAATATGTACCTTGCCATAGATAGAGGCATCTTCATAGCTCCTGCGTATAAAAAACACTGATTGCGGAGGTGCTACAGGACACACAATGTGGATGAACGGAGTAAATCCTCAGTTAAGACTGGAGGTACCTCTATAATACCATGCTTGCCAGGTACAGCTGGCGACTGATAATCCCCACTGTCAAGCTCGCATTGGTTCATCGAGTAGACCAGTGTAACTTTCGAAACAGTACCTCTACTGGCCAGATCAAGAGACATTGAAGACCAAGAACAGCACGCTCAGTCTACCATTTGACTATGCGGGTCAAGCATTGCGTCCAGATGGTCGACACTGAGTTTCAAGAGTGAGCTGGCCCTAATCATTATTCAATCGCAGGAAGCCAATGACACAGGGAATCATCTTCATGAGAATGGCATGAATTCTGAATCTACAGCATTGATCCAATGACCTCATGTGACTGACTACTATGGTAGGGGAGGATCGCATAGATGTTACAACCCGGTTCTAGATTGAATCTCATATTGACGACGGTTGAATATTGGATAGTTCGCAGTGGCGCAAGATCAGGAAACAGAGACTTCAACCATGTAGGAATGTGTTGCATCATTGCGATGGTCATGTCTCCGTTCCCACCCCCCCAGAAAAGGACAGCCTTATGCTCATGCTGTTCAACGCCGGCCAGTACGTAATGTACTACCTCTATTTTATGTAGGCCGAGATATATTCCTTTTTGCTTCAGCCAGTCTTTTTTCCTCTCGTTCACTGAATCGGTCGCCAAAAAGAGACATGTGGGGCCGCATCAAGATCGTATATTTGACAAATTCCTCCATGCAATCCACCAGACGGTCCCGGTTACTACTGGGGATGAGCCTTTGGTCTCCCGGCTGTCCTTCTGCTGGAAAGTGTGTATATGCCTTGGGAATCGAGGACTGATTAGGGATAGTAAACATCCGCATCCAGCGACCAAGAATACGCAAGGAGTTGACCGCATTGAATGATTGTGATCCACCACACACCTGGGCAATCGCAAGCGTTCGGCCCTGAGTCGGACGGACGCTTCCGCTACTCAGAGGAATCCAATCAATCTGATTCTTGAAGACTGCCGTCTAACATCACCAGATGACAAAAACAGACGTAAGTAGATTACTGTGTGAGGTGGTGATAGGATCAAGGAAAAGGGGCAACTAACCAGATTGCCGTGCTGTTCAGGCGTGACCCAGATATGCCCATCGCTCCATTTACTGAGCTCACGGAGCTCCTGGACCTTGGGATGACCATGGTCGGTGTCGTTCTTCACTGGCAGTCCCTCAGGATCGAACACACGCACATCACAGCCCAGCCGGAAGAGGATCCGGCAAGCTTCAAATGCCACAAGCCTCGAGTATGACCTTCGGCGCAGGCTTCCATACAGTACCAAGACCTTCAGTCTGTCATTTGTATTCCGCAAATCATTCTCAGCCATATCCAGGACGCTTGTCAATTCTAAGATACTGATCCAGTCGTCCGCTGTATCGTCGCTGAGAATGAATGGGCGGTACTTTCGGCGAATGGCAGCATCATCTTCACTCGGCGACAGAGCCAAGGATTTAGTTTTGATTGTCTGCAATTCTGCACGAGTTGTATCACCCCCATGCGCGTCATTTGCTGCTGGCTGACGGACAACAGGATGTGCCATAATTGTAGATGCGTGGCGCCAAAGCGTTAGCCTGGACCAAATCTCTGGGCTATGATGGAATTTCAATGGTATTCTAAAAAGAGGACTCATCTGAAAACGACACATTATTTGATGTAAAATACTTGAGCATGCGCAAGCAACGAAATCTATGTATAGTCTGGCAGGGAGGCAATGCCAAGATCTTAGATACATGAGTCTGTCACTTCCAAAATATGATTGGACCATTGGCTTAAGCCTGCCCCTAGCTGTTACAGCCGGATTAAGATAGTTCCGAATGATCCATATTCTTCAGAACTCGAGGTGTTCCACCTGCCTGCAGGGTATTGCCCAGTTCACAAAGCGATTTTAGGATCCTAGTACGCCTTGAAGGGGCGCCTAGTGTATTAACTATAGCACTAACATGATTCGCTTCGTCCCCCGCTCATGACTAATATGGGGACCAAAATCACACAAAGCCCAAAGACTAATGCAAACGTTAAGTCTCCACACTAAAATACAGCATTAGATAGAGTCTCGGCTGACTTATAATATTTCAGGTTGATTCTATCACATCCCGCGCACGAATTCGTGATAACCAGCGCCGTTCTCGCGCACGGCGCAAAGAATACATACACGATCTTGAGCAACGGTTGCGCAGGTTCGAGAGCCTCGGTGTAGAGGCAACGCTTGAAGTACAAGCAGCAGGAAGGAAGGTTGCTGCGGAGAACGCCCTCCTCCGGTCACTGCTGAGGCAGCATGGAGTTTCTGAAGAACAAATTCAAGACTACTTGGAATCACACACAGCGAATGATAGTCCGTTCAATCCCCCATTGACAAAGGTCCCACGACTGGTAATCTCGCCCTTGCCGGGAACTCAAAGCGATCAACTAGGGCGACACAGTGTTTTACGACCATCTTCTTGTCTCCCTCAGATGGACAATTCTTTGCGCGAGACAAGCATTAGGAGAATCGGCTCGTTGGTGTCAGATTCAGTTGCCAACAGAGATGGAAATGTTCCCCATGAGCATACCTCCAATGCAGAGCAACCTACCACCGACGGCTTTGTTAGTCCTGGTGCTTTCAAATTACAGCAGCCTAGGGGGAGGCAATACACGGGTCATTCTACACCATGTGAGACTGCAGCCAGAATTATTACGACCATGCGAGGCTGCCAAGATACCCATGACGTGCGAGCTGAGCTGGGGTGCCATTCGCAATCCAATTGCATGGTGAGAAACATGGACATTTTCGAGATATTGGACAAATAATTGTCTAGATCATGCAAACTTGGAATCGTTTCTGCATGCATGGCGCATGAGAGAGTATTAGGGTAGACTCCTATGGACGCACCCTTCAGCAACGCTTGTCTCTGGTGTCCAGGGCTGAAACCGAAGCCGTTCAAATAGTCCTCTATGTCGAAAGGGATAATGTCGAATGTTGGGGCTCCTCTCGATGTTAACTCCTCAGTTGCAAAACCTACATGTCGGAAATGACCTTTGGCACTTTGCTCCCTTGTACCTGCAGTGTCGAGGCACTATTCAAGGGAAAGTCAAAATTCTGACCGGGTCTTCCTTAAACCCAAAATCAACCTACCCAATCTGCTATAGCAGACTCGTACACCTCTTAACGCACAACCGATTTTCAACGTGGTCCTTATACATCTGAGAGTCTGATTGCTGCCAGTCACTATACTCCCTCACTGTTTTGCCAGGGGGAAGATCTGGAATCATAAGGGCATCAACAGGGCCGGGACTTGAATACAGCAACAAGGGTGGGGAACCAGCTGGCGTAGTCATCGCAGAGCTGAGGAGGCTGAGGAGATGGTGTTGGTAGAAAATTGATATTGATTGGTGGACAAGTTGATTCAGTCGGGAGATATTTAGGAGTCTTTCATTGCCGTTCAAGCCACTGTTGGTTCTCTGCATAAAGCTGTTCTCAGATCTCATTAGGAATATCATCATGAGTCCCAAGTTCAAGGCCTTTTTTGACGAGCAGTGAGTGTTCAGCTGAAGTTACCTGGGGTGGGGGCGGCATATAGCGTGGTTCTATCCCATAGATCAAGAAGTTGAGATTGCGAAGGATTATCTGCATGGCAGGGGCTGTAGCTCATTGGCCTCGAAATAATAAGTGCCGAGAAACCTAGTATTAGTACCCTCGTATGTTAGTTCTCTCATCCAATAAGCCATCTTGCATGGGGAGGCTGCAGCTGACAGGCTGAATAGAATGATAAGCAGGGGCATGAGTTTCGTGGTTCTCCAGCCAGTACTCCCTTCCAAGTCTGAATTAAAGCTAGGGTCCTTTTCATGATTTATCCGAGAGCTCTGAGACATGATGGCGTAGGGCCAGCCATGTAGAAAATCAAAGTATACTAGGTGTAATCAAATGTGTATCTAAGACTGGCTATACATACGGATAGGCGTTCCCAGATGGACAGCCAAAACAAACAAGGAAAACCTTACATGAATATCCAAATCTAAGAGTTCCAATGAATACTGTATGTAATGGAATTGCAAACCCAGTGTAATGAAGAATCTCTCTTACACCATCATCAGGATTGTAATCTCTTTGACTGACACGGCGGAGGCTTTGTGATGAGGGTTTTCGATCTTCCTGGTCGCTGTTTCGAGCGCACCAGTTGATGTACCAGTTTGGAATTTGCTGCTGTAAGCGCCGGCACAGCCAAGTCCCATAGTGGCGGTGCTATACAGGATTCCTCAGTGCGTACTTAAGCAGGGTCTGGTCCTATCCGCTGAGCGCAGATAGTGCTGGTCTTTTGGGCCTTGTTGGTGAGCGTAGGTGATCCAGCTACATCCCTTACACCCTATCCATAGTACTAGTCGTCACAAAACCACGCAGGGATCGATTTAAGATTGGGAAGAGGCACGTTGAGGTGAATTGAGGATTGGAGGGTGTGAGGACACCAAGGGAAATGGGGGGGGAGGTGGCACTTTGCATGTGATCGACGAGGCAAAGCAAAAAAGGAGAAGAACTGGATTTGGCTGCAGAGGGGAGCCATTTTTGGTGTCATTTTGGTCACGAGTAACTCGTTGAAGTTGAATGTGTTGGATCAACTTGCTTGTATTGTATCTATCTAGGTTGGTCTAGCTATTTTAGTGTGTCAGACCAAGCGAGGGCGGTCTAATATGGTAGACTGCACGTGACCTCTAACATTCGGAGGGTGACTGAAAATTCTTGGCAGGTGCAGAATAGTAATGCTACCGCTGGATCTTATGGGCGAAAAGGCGGCCGTTTCTGGCCTCGGTAGTGGTCATTTTCAGCGTCATTTTCACACGTCCTCATATTTCTATCTGTAAACCCAGTCCTTGACCAGTGTTTTTGGTGTAGTTGCTATATTTGCTTCAGCAAAAGAAGAAGGCAGGTCTAGACGTTCCTGAGTTGTGTGGGGATGTTAGCGAACCGAAGCCGTCCTCTCCTTGAGAGCCTCCCTTTCCTGAAGCCCCTCCACGACCTGTTTAACAAACAACGGTCAGATGGATTTAAATAATACCAATAACCAGTGTAGGGAGTGGCAGCAATATATACCTTCCTGCGCTCTTCGGCCACAGCCGCCTCGATGGTCCTGCTTTTCCTAGTCCCCCGCGATGACCTTGTATCAATGTTGTTACTGCCTCTGCCGCCGCTGCTGGCGTTGGGGCTTTTCGATTGTGGTGGTGATAGTAATGGCAATGCTATTGCCCCTTTCTTCCTCGTCGGTTTAGTCTAACTTGTTTCAAAACAACGATATCTTCGCCATAGGGTCGTTGGTGCTGATGCTGCTGCTGCTACCAAAGAAGAAGAGGAAAGAAGTCTCACGGGAGTGTGCTTACCTAGAATGGAATAGGCAAGTGGTTATAAAGTCCATGGGTGGTTACTAAGAAAGGCCTTAAAAGGAACAGGTTTGAGAGCGTATTCAGATTCTCTTCCACAATTAAATAGGCAGTAAAGATGAAGACTACATCAGACACGCCAGATCTGTCCTTGGGTATCCACAGACAAGTAATCAAGACAAAACGCCAAAAATGCTAGAACGTGACAGGGTCGTCTCTCATGAGCCGTAAGATAGGGTTCTGGGGGAAGGTAGGGGCCCTACCAATCCTGACCCCGATCTCTCATGAGAATCTCAATTGCCTCATCCTCGGGAACCGGGTTGTCGTTAAGCTCCTTGACACACTGCGTCAATCCCTCTGCGGCTTCATCAACCTGCTCAGCAGTCCAGCCGGTACAGGCCATGACCATACGCCGGTAGTTCTGGCCCAAGACCACATTCTTGGATCGAAGGCGCTCCACTTCCGCCAGTATCTCGTCATTAAACTCCTGATAGCAACGGAGACGCTGCGTCAGCACTTCCGTCGACGACAACGACTTGAGATACGCAGCTTGTTGTTCGGAGAAGCCAGAGGAAGCTGGATCGAAAGACTCGGGAAACAACGTCTCAAATTCCGTGACGTCGACTCCCGAGTCCTTGTCGGCTTCGCCCATTGCAACGGACTCCGACGGAGAAAACGATTCACCGTGCATGTCTTTCAGGATGGCCAGTAGGTCTTCGGAAGATCGTTGCAGGTTTCTAATGCGTCGGTCCACCTCGACCCGTTCGGAGGATCGGCGTTTCAACTCATCGAGTTCCTTTTGTTCGATCTGGCGGGCCTTCGCACTTTCGCGGATTCTCCCATGCCAGAGGTCAAATTTCTCTTGTTTCTGAACCAGAGCAGAAGCTAATTCCCTGTCGATTCCCCCCAGTGCATCTTCGACGAGCGTGCTGATCTGGCTGAGGGCCGCTAGATTCATGGGTTAGCATCCCTGCAAAAGAAAATAATCCTGCTCGTGCCTGTACCTTGAAGTATTTCTTTCTTCGATTTGACCAGTTGGCCAATGAATGAACCCTCCGGATTCACGTTTTGTTGGGACTGGGAATTGCCGTTTACCATATCAACACCTACGCCGTAGTCCGCAGGTCGTAGGCCAGTATGGTTGGGGATATGAGGGTCTGCACCCACCTCCAGCAATTGAGGTACGAGAACTGAACGTGCACGTCCTGCCAGATTGAGTGCAGTGTCTCCTTGATCGTCTCGAAGATTGACAATCTCCGAGATGAAGCGACCGAGAGTGATGATCTCGCCACCGTGCTCGTCACTGGTGCCACCATGGCGGACAATGAATTCTAGTAAAGCCTCCAAGTAATGCTTTGCCGACACATGCCCTCCACCACCTGTAGCTGCCATCACGGCGATATGGTGTAGAACGGTGCGCCCACTGTAATCAACCATATCGATGGTCGGTGCAAGAACTTGTAGCAAGCGCGGGAAACTTCGGTAGTCGAGATTGTTTCTTGTCCCGACTGCCTTTTGGAGCGCAGTCTCCCCGGCGCCGTTCAAGCGAAATATACTAACGCCTTTCTCAACAAGGGCATTAACGAGGGGCAAGCGAGCAAGCATAGCAGCCCAATGTAGTGCATTATTTCGATACTCATCCAGCGGGATTTCCAGATCATCACTTGACAGCTGCATTAGAGCAGGATGGCCTGAAAAGTCTTTGGTCCGCTTATCGAGGAATAGAGTCATAATAAGCTTCATTTTCTGGAACCTCTCTGGTGTCGTAGCTGGTGCAAGAGCTTCGAGACCAGATCTATGTCCGTCAAGAACAGCAGCCGAACCGTCCATCTCCATGTCCTGATAGAAAGACTCATTCGGTTCCGTCGGAGTCGGGTCGATCGCTGACAAGTTTGACTGCTCACGGTGCAAGTCGAACGACTGTGCGCGATTCGAAGACGATCTGACGCGCTTGCGCGGAGGTTCTACGGTATCCTCCATATCATGACCTGCGCCATCAATAGCGTGGTATCGCGCGCCATGCTGTTGACTGCTCCCAAACCCACTATCAGACGTCACGCTGTACATGCTCTGCTGGCTACTGAAAGGCTGCGACTCTTGGCTACCCATCAGATGTGATGTCTTCCGCATTAGGCTGGACCGTCTACTATCACCACTGCGGGCTGCGGGAGACTCGAAACGGGCCTTGCTAATGGCATTAACGGCGGTAGCAGCTGTGCGAGAGATGTTCTGGAAAAAAGTACCCTGCTGCGGCTGACTCGCGCCACGATTGTCCATGCCATTATAAAGCCGCTTTCTCTGGGCAGCCATCGCCTGCTCCTTGGTGGGTGTGTCCAATGTATTCTGTCCCGGACCGGTTCCATCGGGGCCCATATCATATTCAAGGAGCGGCCGCAGCAACTCCTCCACATGGTACTCCCGGCAGAGTTCAACGCCCCTCTGGTAGTTCACCCAGGTACCTTGGTACTTTCCGTAGCCTCCCTGGACCTTTTCATGCTCACCAGCCGCTATTTCCTTCTCGAGGGTCTTTGTCCTTTTCGCCTTCACCACACCAGCAACCTTGAGAATCTGCGTAGCATTCAGCCACGAATCGGAACGGCGCTTCATAACCGCAACCCCATTGACCTCCATCTCGTAAACAGAAACGTTGGAATAGACAGCCTGGAAAGAACAGAACGAGTAAATAAGGAATGTAATCAGCTCTCTATATTGCGACCGTGCATACCCTGTAAATCTGAGGAGCATATCCCTCGTGATACGGCACCATTGCCCCGAAACCGCTTGTCCCGTCATAGCCGGTATAACCACCACTTCTCGGAGTCGGTTGCGACAAGTTATTTGCAGTAAAGCTGAACGACATGGCAGACTGCGATGCCTTGGAAGGCGATGTGGCTCGAGGCGTAGACGTCATGGATTGAGAAGCGTTAAAGGTGCCGACGGGAGGCTGCGACAATGATAGACCATTATTAGATCCGACACTGGGCTGAGAAAACGACATGGATATGTCTGAACGCGATGCATGATGTTGGTTCGAAGCCATGGTTCTGGCCTCCGGTCCTCGCGCAGTCGGACAGAACCGCCTCGGAACACTTTTGTAATATGTATTGAGTTTGCAAATCAGTGGCTGGGAAGCGTCAGCATGATTCACCCGAAGAAGAAGAAGGACAACAGAGGCAGTAGTACTATTTTGTCAGTCCGAAGCAGCCAGGATGAAGCGGAAGAACGCACATGCCCTTCGCGCGAAGAAGCGGACCACGGCGCGTGACTAGCGCGAAACGGAGGCAAGGGAGGATTTGCAGCCCTGCCAGAAACTGGACGATTATATGCACGATGCAGGAAGCAGAGGAATGAAATGCCTGATAGGTCCGGCAACAGTATGATTTGCAGCGGAGAGAGAAGATAATTATTGAGAAAGTCGCCGGGTTTTCGTGTTCGCGTTTCCCCTTTGGGTTTTCTTGGCGTTTTTCGCGTCGCTCTCGAACTTTAATGAACAGAAAGTGTCTTAATATTATTGAGGGTATACAACAGCTTCAATGCCATGACCCGCGTCTCTCCAGAACAATGGCGGCACCTTCTGCGGGCTTTACTCCGCGAATGCTCGTATCTCCCAGACCCTGTTGCCAAGGTCTACATGCACTCGCACACCGTCCAACGCTTCAGACGCTACAGGGATGACCCCGACCCAACCTACAAAAATGACATCCTGTGGCAGTCTCGTATTCGGAGATCGGCCCTGCAGAAGTTATCACTCCTTCGACGTGCAAATGAGGGATACTCCAGACCACTCCAGCGGGTTCTCCTCATGTCCTACGGACGGACGGGGAAGCGACGACGCGAATTACTGGCCACTTTCATCACTCCCGAAGTACCTACGGACACGCAAGCTGTGACGGAACTGATCAAGCAACCCGTGATGTTTGAAGAGGGCTGGGAACCGCCGTCCATAGTGGTAGAACTTCTCCGGTCCCAGCTGAAGAATCCATACCTCAGACAACTAGACGTTCGACCACTAGTGAAGACGTTGAAACCAATGATACCAGAAGAGAATAGTTGGGGGAGACCAGTTCCCGATTGTCGGCAGCGGAATATCAGGAAGAGATGGTATCACGCTGCGTTGGAAAGTCTGTATCCCCCGCTACCTGACCAGGACTTGAGCATCCTGCAGGGTCTACTGTCGGGCTCTATTCCCTGGGCGCCTGTGAAGCGGAGAGTGCCAGTTGGTGGTCGCCACAAATCCCCCTCGACATATCTGGATGTGAGGTTCTTGGTGGAAGGGCCTGCAAAGGGACACACTTTCCGGCCACTTGTCAACGGACGTCCCCATAACATCACGAGACGGTTTATGAAGAGACTATGGCAACGAATCTCATGTTTAGTCCCTCGGATGATGTGGGATGAAACCGCCAAGATGCACCGTTTTGAATGGGACTCACCCAAGCCAGGGGCCGGAATGGCCCTCCCTCTGGTGGAGGATAGAGCAGAGGACATCTTCCGCGGCGTTGATGCTCAGGGGAAGCTTATCAAATTGCAACATTGATACCCTGGCTTGCCATATATATTCGGTGACAATATGGTCTAAATTAAGAATTAACCTAATCATCCAGTGTACGAGCAGAGTAAAAGCACCTGCTAAGGCACCATGAGCAGACGCAATATAACTACCATCTTTGAACACTGTTCACTCGCGACTAGATATTAAACAATTGAGCACAAACCAATATTTTCCTGGTTACTATCTGTTTGGACGTCCTAATGCTCGAGGCATGCAACGAATGAGCCCCGGAAACATCTAAATTCATAAGAATCATAACCTTCTACCAAGTTATTACAGGAACTCGGTAGTAGAGCAACAAAATTAAACCCAACCCATTCGAACCATTCTCCCTGCCTCGAATTTTTCAGAAATCCTCCTCACCACTGAACTCCCCATGCTTTCTATTGACTCTTTGACCAAATTGATTGACTGCTTAGGAGTCTGTTAAACTAGGCAGTGCGTATTGATAAGATAAGCCATATCTTATTCACACGCACTCATCCCCGCCTCGGAAAAATTTCTGGATTTCTGGCGATGCCTTCATCTATCGCTCAATCTTGCTGCGTGCAAGGCGTTCTCTGGATACCCTCGCTGTGCATATCGCCGTCCTTGCCCATATACAGCTGCTGTCTGGGTGGGAAGATAGAAGCGGGCAGTGCCTAGTAATGGAAACTGAGAATTGACTAGAATTCTGCAAGGGAACATCGAATTTCTAAGCAGAACATTTGATTTTAGGACATACGTTTTCGACTTTCTTTTTAGAACCCTTTGCATTTCTTTGGTTTACCCCTCGAAGATTAATTGCATTGCAAAATGGCACAGGTCTCGACTACTTCTCTCCCCTCAACTTTAAATACGCTCTTCGAGGACTCGAAACTCAAGGACCGGTATGATGCCGTCAGTCTCACTTCCGCTGAGGCCCTCTCAACACTGCAACTCCCGCTAGCACAAGCTGTATTTGGACACGGCAAGCTCTCTGCTGATGATGAGGATGCTCTCACCCGCGTATCCAGCGGCGAGATATCCTACACAAACTACGTGGCAAAGAGGGCAAGATCTGTCCTCGAGCAGCAGGAAAATCAGCATGATGATGGCTTAACACCTTCTCAGCGGCAGTCTCAACTGCTCCATATCGGTATTGCTGCACTTTTCAGTTTTCTGCAGTCAAATGTCACGGGTCCGCCCTTAGACTTCAATCCAGCTGAGGTTGTTCTTTCTGTTATTCTCAAAGAAGAGAATAACGCGACGAGTCTCAAGGCTGTTCGAGATAAGATTATTCGTGATCTCTCTGTTGATGGGGAGGCAGCTTACCAATTAACACCGAACGTGGAGCTTTTCGCTGTTGCCAAGGCCCTCCTTGTGGATGTTGATGTGCCTGCATTTGTCGAGGGAAAGAATGGCCCCGGGGAGCTAGTGGCGAGGCTGGAGAAGATGCGTGTCAACTTTTTGCACCAGAAAATGTTGTCAGAGGTTACTGGGTCTTTGCAGGACGCTATTTATGCTGACCTTGAGGATTTGGGGAAGAGGCTACTCGATGATAGCAGCTCAACCGAGGATCAGGGGAGATTCTTGGTTGAAAGGGCGAATATTCATACGCATCATGGTTTTGACGCCAAGGCTCGAGCGGATCTCGAGCGAGCGGCAGCGGTACGCGGATTTGAGTTTGCCTTGACAGGGAAACTGGGCAAGAGGACCAAGTTCCAAGATCGCGATATCAGCCAGCTTGTGGTTTTGGCGAAAAGTGCCGATAATACCGCAGATTCAACAGCCTCTGATAAACAATCCGGACCCAAGACGGTCGATCTGAATGATGATACCCTTTTGGAAACGATATCGTTTGCTAAAGGGGATGTGCAGCAACCACTGGAAGGGAAGTCGGGAGCTGTTCAGGACGAGTCTTCACTACCAGCAGCTCTGGCATTGCTGGATCCGGGCAATCAACCCCTTCTCGATCCTGTCGATTCGACTATACTCCTGGCTTTGGCGTCAGCTATTACCAACACCGCTCCCGAGAACGGGTTGACCCGCGAGGAGACCCTACCCTATGCAACCCGTGTCCTTGATGGCGGAAGCTCCAACTGGCAGATCTATACGCAAGCGTTGCTGGTTCGAAGTCGCATTGAAGGATACAAATCAAGGACTGTAGAAAGAAGTGTCTTGCAAATGCAAGCTCTTGTTGACCAAGTCATCGCTGATACTGCTGCAGTTGGCACAGCAGCAGGTAATTCTGCGGAAGCACCTACGACTTTCCTTCCACGGCCAGAAAAGTCGGAGTCGGCCTCAGCTTCTGAGCGACTAGAGTATATTTGGCTCATGGACTTTTCGACACGATGGGATCTCGAGGCCGAGTTGGCCTCTCGCTGGGTGAAACTTGGAGGCTTGCGCACTGCTCTTGAGATTTACGAGCGGCTACAGATGTGGGCCGAGGCTGCGCTCTGCTATGCTGCTACTGATCGGGAGGAGAAGGCTAGGGTTATAGTCCGCAGACAGCTGTACGAACCTATGAACAAAGTTGCCGGAGAAGACGAGGAAAATGAAAAATTCCAAGGTCCAGAGCGGTCTCCCCTTCCCGCGAACGCTCCCCGACTGTTCTGTATTCTGGGTGATATCGACACGGATCCATCCATGTATGAACGGGCCTGGGAGGTGTCGAACAAGAGATATGCTCGTGCCCAGCGCTCTCTTGCTCGTCACTACCTCACATTGAAGCCCCCAGCACTGGAAAAGGCTGAGGAGGCATATCGCAAGAGTCTACAGATCAATGGCCTCAACCATGGTGCCTGGTTTGCTTTGGGATGCGTACAGCTCGAACTGGAGAAGTGGGGGGATGCCATCGAATCCTTCACACGGACCGTCCAGCTCGAAGAGGCCGATGCTGAAGCATGGAGCAACCTCGCTGCGGCCATTCTTCACGCTCCACCATCCAAACCGATCAGCCTCACATCCGAACCCGTCGACACCGAGACCGAGGAGCCCTCGACAGCAGACACAAAGCCAGTAGATCCCTACAAGCAGAAACGAGAAGCCCTCGCTGCACTCCACCGCGCCGCGCAACTCAAACACACTGACCACCGCATCTGGGATAACGTCCTCACAGTAGCGTCCTCGATCCCACCGCCCGCAACTCCCTTTCGAGATGTCATCCTCGCCCAGAGAAGACTCATCGAACTTCTCGGTCCAAAGAAGGGCGAGAAATGCATCGATCTCCCCATCCTCGGCATGCTAGTGGACTTCCTAGTCAACAACTTCGAGTACGAGGATCTCCTTATCCCCGCGAATAGTCCCGATAATACCACGCAGGAAAAGATACTCCGCAGCGGCAGTATGCCTGGCCAAATCATCTCGTTACTTGACGACTGCGTCGTGCCTCTAATCACGCACTCAGCACCACTATGGCTGCTCGTTGCACGGGTCGAACGGTTCCGCAACAAACCATCCAAGGCGTTTGAGGCGCACGAGAAAGCGTGGCGCGCTACCATTACATCCTGCACGCAGGGCGCGTTCCAGATGGGCGATGAGAAGAGATGGAATGAGGTTGTCCAGGCCACGGAGCGGCTTGTCAGAGACGGATATGCGCGGTTTGGGCCGATGGAGAAGGAGAAGGAGAGGGAGAAAGAGGCGGGTGAAAAAGAAGATGGAGATGGAGATAGGGAGTCTGAGCTTGTCGCTAACGATTGGAGGTTCAAAGCCCGCAGTGCTGTTCGTGGGATTATGGGGAAGGGAAAGGAGTACTGGGAGGATACGGAGGGATGGAACCGGTTAAAGGAGTTGCAGTCTGAACTTACTGGAGGGGCGTGAAGAATATAAATAAGATGAAATGCATATGGTATTGTGTTATGATGGTTTACAAAAATCGAAATGAGTGGAAGATGTGTCCAGGGATGAGTGCTTGCATTGACATAAGAGTTTGACTCGACTCGCCTTGATAGATAATGTTTTGCGATTCATGCTCAAAAGCACCGGTACATGATAGAATGCGATTTCTGCACATTCAGCTCGATTTTGAGGTATCTGACTTGGTTTAATATTGTGTTTACCTCCCCTCAAGCTTCCTCTTCAACATCCCACAGAAGCTCTCAAACAACACGGTATCTGTCCCCTTGAGCCATCTCAATTGCATCTGGACCTTCTTATTCTCTCCAGCAATATCAAGTCTCAGCTGAACCTTGAATCCCAGTGCCGCTTGGTCCTCATCCACTTCGGCGCTGTTAGCTGCTGCTGAAGTCGAATCATTTCCAGTTCCGCGCATCTTCCTGCGAGCCTGACGGGACCATACGTTCTCCTTTGCGAATCCCACGCCTGCAGTGAGACCCTTATTCCAATGCCAGCGGAGAGGAAGTGCAGAGAGTTCTGAATCGACTTTGTCACCGACTACATCTATGGAGATGTTGGAAATATCGAATGTAAATTCCGATGGGAAGGGGAGGAGGTGTTTTGGAAATCCAGGAATGCCTCGAGCTACACTCTATTCATTCGATCCTGGTCAGCTAAGAAATTCACAACCACGTAAGACTGTTTGCCCTATCTGGAGTGTCGTCCATACCATGGCAGGTCGCATATCCCCCCATGACCATGCAACGGCCCATCGTTTCGTTTTCGACCCCTGGACAAACTCCGTAACGGCATAATTGTGGTTTCCGTGTTCGATCAACTTCTCAACAATCACAGATACGCTGCTCAGTTTCCCGAGCATCGAAGTGTACCAGATAACACGCTCACGGAGGCGGAGACTTTCATCTATCATCCGAGTTACGAAGGCGATTTCGCCGCCCGGTGTGACCATCTCCACTTCCGCACCGGTACAGGCCTGTGTGGTGCATTCATATTTCTGAGTAACCGGGTTCATCAGATAAATCGCTGGGTTTACCAAGAACGACTCACCGAGAATGGTGGTCTCTCTTTTGCCTCTGCGGATGCAATCATTTCGTCACGCGAAGCATAGAACGGAGGGTTACACATGGTGAAATCAAGACTGGTTGCTTTATTATTTCCTGGCTGGTCAAAATACTCAGGGGGCTCGTACTTACCCTTCAATTGCAGTTGTTTCATCGATTGGAATCAGCTTGTCCGTGGGACTCGTTTTCTTTACCTGGATTCGAAATTCCAGCTTGTTCGCAGTTACGGTCTTCTTAGACAGTCGAATATTTTCATCGTCAATATCTAGGGCCATCAGTCAAGCCCGGAAGCACAACATTCAGGAGTAAATGAAATCCCAAGCTCTCACCTGTAGCGATGAATTTCCAACGCGGGCGCAGTGAACACCCTAGAAGCGGGTAAATACTGCAGCATCCTGTTCCACTGCACGAGTCAGCTCGTATGTTTTGATTTCAGTGGGAGCATAGTCGGTAATATATACATGTCCAACCCCAAGACGTCTCTATCTGGGTCGTAGTCGTCGCGATATTCATCGCCCGTGGTGTCTAGGAGCTCTTGGATCCATGCGATATAGTTCAGTCTGCTGGACGTCAATTGAAGGCCGTACTAAAAAGAGCTGTACTTCCAGGTATAATACCTATTCGGTATCTATAGATATTATTGTCAATCAGTCAAACTTTCTGTAGAGCCCGAGGATAAAAAGTGAAGTTCATACATACAGGCGGGCATAGCCTATTGTCGGGCAAGTCAACTTCCAAGCCAAAGTCCCGCTGCAACAAGCTCTTGGACAATTGTCTGGTACCGGTATTCCCAAATGTCAACTCTCGCTAATTAACCCGGGGCGTCTGAAACCTTACCGGACAGATGCCGGGTCGCTGAAGTCCAATTGTCCGTTTGGTTTCAAGCTGGTCGACCATCAGAATGACGTTTCATATGTAGCTGGAGAACAGATGATCACAGGAGGCATGATTTGTAAACTTACTACTTGGCGAATCCGGAAGACCGCAATGCAAGAGCCGAGAAGTCAACATCGTCCTTGTAGATATTTCTGGCGGACTTCATTGTTGCTGGACCGTTGAACAGCCAGTCTGCGTACAGCATAGATCATCAGCGCAATCCACCTTCTGATGCTGTGTAGAATTATGAAGAGCATGCGACGGTGGGCAGAGAATACCAATTTGTGAACATGAAGCTGCTTTAATTAGATGCCTTTTATCTTTTTGGGTTTCCGTGGACCCTACCCGTCCCGGACGCTGACGAAAGGATTCTTCACCTGCCAATGTGCTCGGATAAAGAGACTTCACTGACAAAGACCATGAACGATCATCACCCTCCGCCTCCTTTTGTCAGTGAAAAGATCGAATGCTGAGACAATCGCAGACGTGTTTGGTGTAATGGATGCGGGAGAAAGATTTGAAGACAGGCGATTCGTTCCTGAAAAGGCAAAATGATGTCACGGGGGCGTGTTGAAGCGCTTGCACATTTTCCCCATCTGCTTTCTTCTGGCAAATGAATCTATCAATTGTCCATCATTACAATGTGCTCTGCTCTACTTTTTATTTGTTGGTTTTGGATGATTCCACCGTGGGAAAGGAACTGCTGGTCTATCTAGAATCGTCGTTTATGGGTCCGCTCATCCAGCAAAATGCAGCTAGGACACAAGGCCAAAGGCAAAGTAGAGCGCGAAATCGGTCATCTGGAGGATTCTCTAAGACGCCTTAGGCGCTTTTGTCCTTCCTTGTATCGAACCAAAGCTCACATTGTTAATACGAAGAACAAAGTAGGAAAATTGGGCAATCTCTTCAATCCGAACCATCGCCACGACGAGGCCCATGAGCTCATGACAGACCACAAAAGAACGGATATTGCGCAGTCCCATCGATTCAGCTCCTTTGCGCCGGTCCGTGAGGGTAACAAGATCAAGTGGTACGTCGATGCTCGAGACTACTTCTGGGCTGTTTCCGAGGCTCTTGAGAAGGCCAAAGAGTCGATATACCTGGCAGACTGGTGGATTTCTCCGGAATTATTCTTGCGAAGACCGCCATATGGCAATCAATACTGGCGGCTTGATCAGATCCTGAAACGTCGGGCAGAAGCTGGGGTCAAAATCTATGTTATTATATATAAGGAGGTTGGTTGAGCAGAGATGTGTCGACACGGTTGGAGTATACAATAAGAACAACGGCTTGCTAATTCTGCGTTCTCTGGTGTCCTCAGATGAGTCAAGCAATCACCTGCAATTCAGCCCACACGAAGGATGTTTTCAATCATCTTTGTCCAAGGGGCACTCCGGGCTTTGGGAACATCCACGTTCTGCGCCATCCAGATCACTTTGTTTTTGAAAATGCTGCCGACATGACCTTCTACTGGGTAAGGGGAAGGAGAGACTTGTACATAATATGGGAGCATCTTACTTCGGGCTGACCAACTTCCCACAATGGGAATTACACAGGCACATCACGAAAAATTCATTGTCATTGATCACACACTCGCCTTCATCGGTGGCCTTGATCTCTGCTGGGGTAGATGGGACACCAATCAACATTCCTTGGCTGACGTTTATCGAAATCCGCTCCTCGAAATGTTTCCCGGGCAAGACTACAATAATAACCGTATCATGGATTTCCAGTCTGTGCAGCAGTGGGAAACGAATGCGTTGAACAAGTCCGAATACGCCCGAATGCCTTGGCATGATGTTGCGATGGGTCTAATTGGAGATTGCGTGTACGACATAGCAGAGCATTTCATTCTCCGGTGGAATATGGTCAAGCGTGACAAATACAAGCGGGATCAGAATGTCGACTGGATTATTCTTGAAGGCCGCACGGGCAGGGATGAAGACCTTATCTCTGTTCAGCATCCAAAGTACCCCTGTGGTGATTATATTCTACATCCTTTTTCTCCACTAAAATTGAGACCCCGGGGGGTGCAAGGCACAGTCCGTGCACAGGTAGTGCGCAGTAGCGGCGACTGGAGCAGTGGGATCCTGGTAGAGCACAGCATTCAGAATGCCTACGCGGAGATCATCCGCAATGCCGAGCATTTCGTCTACATTGAAAACCAGTTCTTCAGTTAGCATGCAAACTCCACTCTGAAACGGGTTACTGAACCAGTAGATGGACTTGGCAGCTGATGATAAACTCTCTCTCGCAGTCACTACCACCGAGCATGGGCAAACACCTATATACAACACAGTCGGGCAGGCAATCGTAGACGCCTGTGTCCGAGCAGGCAAAGAAGGGAGGAAGTTCAGGGTGATCATTGTGATCCCAGCTATACCTGGATTCCCTGGCGACCTTAGGAGTTCTGGTGCAACCGGCACCCGGGCTATTATGGACTACCAGTTCAAATCCATCAACCGTGGTGAGCATTCGGTAATGGGCCGAATTGCTGCACAGGGGGTCGATCCTAACCGTAAGTCGTGTCCCTCCCCCCCCCAATGCCTATCTTCTAATTTACCGAAAGGTAACAAAGTTGGGAGGCGACAGAGCATATTTTTGTATTCAACATGCGTTCATATGACCGTATAAATTACCCCCCGAAACAATTAGAGCGGGATCAGCGCGCCGGCATGGATAGCATTTCTATCCAGCTTGAACTAGCAGATGCGCTCATGGGTGAGGGCGCCTTCCCGGACGATGATAATAAAGGCCATCGCCATCATGGGAAGAGAAAGAGCAGGCGTGCTATGGAGAAATACCAACGGAAATTTGAGTACATACGAGAGTCCACGTCGCGACTCGAGGAGGATAAAGCAGACCGTAGAATCCGAGGCAAGGACTCTGTTGCAGAAATTGCCATGGCCAACGGTGGGAAAATGTCAGACGAGCAATGGGAAGGGGATCCAGAGCGCGAGAAGAAGCATTTTGTCCAAGAACAGCTGTATATTCATGGCAAACTATGCATTGTGGATGACCGGGTTGTCATATGCGGCAGCGTCAATATAAACGACAGGGTAATAAAGACTGTTTCTTCGTTTGTCTAGCACAGAACTAACGTGAATTTGACCAGTCCCAACTAGGCGACCGTGACAGCGAACTCGCCATAGTCATGGAAGACCAAGACCTCATCGACAGCACGATGGACGGCAAGCCCTACAAAGCAGCCCGTCAAGCAGCTACTCTCCGCCAACACCTCTGGAAGGAACATCTCGGCCTGCTACCAGCCCAGAAACCAGAAGCACAGGACGACCCCAACGCCCAACCCCCAGACGTCTGCATGAACCAAGTCATCGAGGGCCCGGAAAACGAGCTCGTCCAGGATCCCCTCGGCGATAAGCTCTGGAAGACGTGGACGGAGACGGCGACGCTGAACACCGAGATCTACCGATATCTCTTCCACGCGGACCCGGATGATTGCATCCGGACATTCGAGGATTATGACCATTTCAGACCCCCGGGACGGTACAAGGAGGGCCATCTCTTTGATTCCAAGTTACCTGCGGCCGAGGTGAGGCGGAAATTGGACCAGATCCGGGGTCATGTAGTCTGGATGCCTTTGGAGTTCTTGAGGGACGCAGAGATGGCAGAACCAGGATTAACTGTAAATAGAATTACAGAGGTAGGTCCGGTTTCTTTTCAGATGTCTTGCTCGTGGCAGGATACAGCTAACAAGTTCAACAGAGTATATACACATAGACTAGATAATCCCAGTTAGTAGCTGAATACAGCGAATCTATTCACAGAACAAATGTTCAAGGTAAGCAACTGGAAGCAACTGGGAGCAACTGGTCTCACAGCCCCATTTACATATTGACATTTGAGAAAGAAAGAGAAATACACCGCATATGCTGTACACGTTTGCTATGGTATGCCCATGCACAGCGTAAATGTTCAGGTAAGACAGCCGCAGGGCGATAACTAACCCAATTAACTATGCCCCGATCTATCCAGGTAAACCCGGAATTATCACGACCTCATTGGTGCCTTTGCGTAAAAGTAATTCAGATGATGTACCGATACAACAGGCTGCGTATGCTGGTGATTTTCCACTACCAGAGGATGATGATGCTGCATGTAGATCTCCCGCAGAATGACAAACAGAAGGACCTTGTTGGAACATGGTGAGTTCAACTGTGGTTTTAGGTCTACATGTAGGATGGGCATATGCCTGTCTATATTTTACGGAGTACGCGTGCATGTACTCTGGACTGCAATTACCAAAGACACTCATTATTGGCTAGGTAGTAGTCTAGGAGCTGCAGCAAGATGAATAGCGAATGATAAAAGGAAAATAAAAAAAAGAAACCCCATTCATGCCCGAATTAACTTTTGGTAGCAACGTAACATCCGAAAAACAATAATGCAAAGGAATGGGCTGAAAAAAAGGGCAAAAAAAAGAAAAAGCGAAGGATGTCTATGGCTGGCATCATTTCAAATCAGGAACTACTTTCAAAGACAAAAAATAAAGGAAAATCGTTAAATATGCAAGCATATGCGGACCGCAAATTCCGCAGAGACCGAAATACCCAGCACGATGCCCAATCGGAAGTCGAACGAGGCTTCCGGATGGGTATCCAAGTCCACATTATGCAGTGAATAGCTGATCCAGCTGAAGGGAACCCAGAAATAGTAGGATGATAGTTCGGGGCACACCGCAGGCGTACCCCAAATAGAGGACCAACAAACAATGGAAGAACAATGAAGGAGCTCGGGAAATGCGAAAGGGGGGGAAGACAAAGAAAGTAAGAAAAAAGGAGAAAAGTCAATCCACCGCCAAAAGAGGCAGCCGGAAAGAACAAGGGGAACGCCTCCATACTAATTAATAACAATTAGTAAGGCCCGTTCGGCGATGCTGCAGGGACCATTGTACATTTTTGGCTGCAGCTGAACCAATCCGGAGGTAATGATTGGCCTGGAACAGCCAGGCGGTCGATCCAGATCGTGTCCCACACGGTGTCAAGAAGCGAATTCCGTAGACAGATAAATGTCTGAGAAAGATACATCTACCTTTGTAGACTGACGGACTGATCATCAGAGAACAAAGCAAAAACACCACAGAAAAGGCTGTTCCCGCACTAACCTTGTTGCTTCGCGATTCTCCGCAGAATACGCCCACGGCAGTATACCCGACCCTTCACCCGGAGCCTACGGGCCAGTTGTCTAACCCTTGACATTGTGGCATGTATGGCATCGGCAATGTCCACAGATTTTGCAGCGCCATATCGCCACGAACGGTCCCGAGTTGCAGTCGGAGCAGCGCCATGTGAGGATATTGCCGTTGGTGGCCTGAACAATCGCGAAGACGTGTCCGGAGCACTGGTTGGCCATGCTGATTGACAGTCTTGGTCTTCCTGGTTTGGACGTATACCGGCAACTAATCTATTTACCGCAAGCACCATATTAGCAAAAGTCTAGGCCTCTTAAGGTTTGGGGGCCAAACAAGACGCAGGTGCACTTACATGGGCAGGGGCTGGTCCTTGCGTAGAATGATTATTATTACCCCAACTTCGGCGATCAACCGTCAATCAACGTAGCCTCTTTTTTTTTTTTCTCTTTCCTCGTGGGCAGGCCCAATAATATCGGCAGAGTCCAATAGACCAGGGCAGAACCAAAGAACAGACAGATTTATGGAAATTGGAGGAAGGGACAGGACGAGAGATGGTGAGCTTCGTCGATGATTGCAACAGTGAATAGATGCAGGTGAAGTAGAAGGAATGTCCAAACAAACACAGAAGATGCGAAGGACAGACGTGGTCAAGACCAAGAAAGCGACTGAGGGCGAGAGAGTCTTCATCGACGAGCTTCACCAGACGACATTCCAGCAATATATGTCTCCTGCTGGCTTGCTGCTCTATTTGCTCCAGGAGAAAAAAAAATATATATATAAAAATAAAAATCGAATCAAATAAATAGTAATGTGCTCAAAATGCAAGCTGAAGGATGGGGAAGTATGATGGCATTGTTTCGGAGAAGTGCTTCTGCAGGAGATACGTAGAACAGGAGTCATGCAGTCAAGCTTGCGTCCCGCAAACTGAGAGTCCAGGTCCGTCGGAGCATATATCCCTGTCAATTTAGAGAAGATGCACGTAGCCGAAGATAAGGGGAACAGTAGAAAGAAAGGAATAGTAATCGAGCAGAATTAAAAAAAATGAACTCAGATGCTGCCGAAAACGGAAAGGGGGGGATCCTCGCTACGAGCTGCAAAATGCTCCTCAATAATCAAAATACATGCTGCTACTCCATAGATATTGTCACGTCCTATTTTCTAATCAATTGGTTTGACTTTTCTCGATATGTACCCGCGAAACGGTTTGCATATCACATTTGCCCCGTGTCGATGTGATATTATTATTCTTAGTGCAACTGGCAGTCTTGTCATATTCCCGCCGGTCCCTCGGCCGCTGCAACACGAACAAGGATGCACGAGGAAGTCCGGACGCGGTAGATCTCGGTGGATCGCAGATGTCCCATTGGAGTTCGACCGTTGACGTATGCAGGTGTACACTGTCCAGGACTTCAGGACCGAAATGCTCAAGGAAGACAGGTCTGCCGCTGTGTGGATACTGGCGCCGACAAAGTAGTCCGTTCTTCTCTTAGCTCGTCACCGAACCAGAACTCCCCAACGGCCAAACAGGGTAACAGAAGCAGGCATCTGATACACGTCTTCTCCTTACAACGTGCACGTGTGCTGTTGCTGTTGCTGTATATCCACAGCGACTTCTTGTTTTCCGAATGGCCCCTCCCGGCCCCGAAGTTTCCATATCCACATGGCATGCATGGTAATAACCGCAGGGGTGACCGTGGCTTGAGATGCAGCATGCGTCGTCGCCTGCTAGTCGGATTGTTTGTCAACTCGACCGCCCACTGACTGATTGTCCCCGAGTGATATGGCCCATAACCCCAGCAGGATTATGATCCCCCGGACCGCCTTGACGCCGTCTTCATCCCTCTGATTGGGCTTGGGGTTCCGACGGTGAGGTTTTTGGCTACCACCGCGCGACCTCTGTTCTGGTGGAGTTTGTAGATCAGTTGTGCTTATCACTGCTAGGTTGATTCCAGGCCTCTTTTTTTATACCGGAGCTCAGACCCAGCGTCAACGGATGCACACTCTCAATCTTAATAATTAAGAAAGTAGGCGTGATCCATTTGAGCTTGATGATGGGTCTCCTTTCCCAGTGCTGGTGGAACCGGTCAAAGTCCAGGCCCTCTGAGATGAACATTAAGCATGGCAAGGGATATCTGGATAAGCAGTCGCTGCAGGTCTCATCACATCCATCACATCTCACAGCCAACTCAAACCGTGCCGTTGGCCAGGAGGAAGCTATTCGAACTTGAATTTACTGGTTTGGTTGCTATTCCTGTCGCCAGTCTTCAGTTCCAGAAGATCATCGCCGGATAGACTTGGATACGGTTGAAAGCCCCAGCAGAAATCGTACCGGTCTTAATTCCAAATTCTACAATGGCCAAAAAAATTCCAACGAATTTTGATATTGATGTTCTATCAAGAAATGTCCGAGATGTTCTCTTGCACCAATTCCACCGGTCAAACGCCGCGAAATCTAGCCTGTCACCAGGCATAGACTCTAAAATTGATGCCTTCATTCCTCGTCAAGGATCCCGCCGTTCATCGTCAACCCAACTTCCCATTTCCCCAAAGGAGCAAGCGAAGAGGATAGAAGAGAACAAACAGGACCCGTCTGCTCTGCCAACGCTCCGTTAAGAACAGTCAGTGTAGTCGCTATTCCAGAGAAGAGAGCCTCCCCCTTCCTAGCATGACGTTCTTGCAGTACCCAAAGTGGACTGCATCGTTGGGTTTGTAAATGATACGAAAAAGAAAAACGTCTTCTCCGAAACTCACTCATCGTGAGCATGGTCGCTAGGCACACGCCGAAAACATCTGCAGCAGGCCATAGCATTGACGGCTGTCTTCTAGACAAGAATTGTCAGGGAAAAAACGTGCCCTGGTCGACACTGGCGACCGGACGGTTCCGTGTCATTTCTTTGACCACTACATGGCAGTCACTTCGGAAATGTAAGTGGGCTTTCCAAAACGGATGGGGGGAAACGAAACAATGCAGCAAAACACGCCAGGAGGGTTGAAAAAAGGCCGCTCACACAAATAAACAGCTAACACAATATGAGTACGTCATGAGTCTTTGTCATTACTTTCCTTAAAATATAATCAAATTCCATATACCATTGCTTATCGAAAGCTCAAGTTCAAGCACCTGGCTCCTTGATTAATCATTAAGATGGAACAATGCCGAGACGCTGTGGAGAAAATTAGCTAAATGATCTCAACAGGCCAGTCTAGATTGCTAAACGAACCTTTCACCGTAGTGATGACGTCTCATGCTTTCTGCAACGAGGCTTGATATATCAATGATAATCAACTTCTTTGACCTCTTCATCTTTTCAGGAGAGATGGGAAAGGTATTAGTTACGACGATGTAGTCAATAGATTCGCATGCTTCCATTTGATCGAGGGAGTCGTTCCCAAAGAGGCCATGGGTAGCAATGCAGTAGACTTTGTTGGCACCGCCTCTCTTTACAACTGTCTCTGCAGCAGCGATCCACGATCCGGACTTGTCGATCATATCATCGACGATGAAAACGGTCCTGTCCCGGACCTCTCCTACCAGAGTAATCATCTTCTCCTGCTCAACATTATACCCGTTATGCGATTCGTCATCAGAGTCAGCCGCATCTCCAGAGCCACCCAAGGCATGTTCGGGCTGAACGGATGAAGTAGTTGAAATGAACGAGTTTACCATAGTATCCGGAACGGATTCGGAATTGTTACTGTAGACACCGACCACAGTAGTCACGCTTTCTGACATAATCTCTGAGGTGGTCGCCAGAGGATAATCGTCATCGACAATACGTCCCTGCACGAAACGCCCAGTGATCACGTCCTTCGCACGCACATCCGTATATGGATGTTCCATTTCAGAAGGACGGCGAGCACCCTGCGGTGTCTCCGGTCGCAGCACATTTTCTGACTCGAATGATGACTCTGCATTGTTCTCTGTTAGTCTACTCTGTGTATCATCACAGATAGAAAACCGAGGTTGGTCACCATGTTCTTCGCAATGTGACGACGTAGATTCCTCCTGGTCTCTGGACGGACCGCGGGTTTCGCTCTCAACAGAATCGAAAAAGATGGCGCTATCAGACGTAGTTAGATGATGATGGGCCTTAGGCCGTCGCTTGTCAGTTGTAACGATGCCGAAGTTGAGTTTCAGAGTGTCGGCCAAGGAGGTGACACGCTTGGTGCCACCGGCATTCTTGCTAACCACTACAGCATCCTTCCAGTATGGAACATTCAACCGGATCCAACGGGCAATGAAGGGCTCAGCAAATAGGTTATCTACCGGCTTGCCAAAGAATCCTTGCATCTGGGATGCCTGTACAACCGCTCACATCAGAACCACATCCTTCCGAACACCTGATGGGACGGACATTCTGCAAGGGGTCTAGTGGGAACGTACATGTAGATCTAGAGTGATGACATGATCCACTCCGGCCACAGTGAGGAGATTGGCAAGCATTCGGGCGGTTATAGCGCCACGATGGCTTTTCTGCTTGGATTGGCGGGAATATGGAAAGTACCTCGTCGGTGTCAGCAATCAATTGCGCGGTATTCAGACAAAATAGGCACCATACGGCATGACCGCTGCACAGGGAAGAAGAGTCAGTCAGACCTTAGACCTGGACAGTAATATGAAGATAAGAGAGCATACCTGTGATTGACTTGGCGGAACCGCCTCTGCAGGCAGAGATCATGATCAGAAGCTCCATCACACTGTCATTGATCTTCGGACTGCCACTCTGAACGATATAGACATCCTGGTTCCGAACGGAGACGCCAATGTCTACTCTGGTCTCTCCGTTGGCGAACTTGCCGAGATTTGCTTTCGCCGGAACTGTGCCCAGACGCTCGCAGATCATGTCGGCCAGGACGGGGTGCGAGGTCCCCGAAAAAATTTGCACTCCACGCATATTGATTTAATTAAAAATAGATACTCCCCAGATACTGCTAAGAAGGACGAGACATGAACCGGATGGGAAAGGGTCTCCAGAGCATTTTAAATGCAGTGGCGATTGTTAAGGAGAGGAAACCGGGAAGAGAGGTAAAAAGAGAAAAAAAAAAGTTTCGGGGGGGGGAAGCAGAACACGTCCGTGTGGCTTCCCGTACTGCCGAGATTGGCCCATCTGTCCGTCGACGGACAATCGACTGATCTGATCGTCTGCGCTCTGAGCAGCCACGATACGCGCAGAATGCCTCGGGAATTCCCTGAAATACAGTCCGCAGGCTCTCTTATCGTCGCCTGGCAGGTTAAAAACAAGAATGTCCTAGTTGTTGGCGGAGGGGAGGTAAGTCGCACATACTGCCCAGTGCTCTCACCAACTAACGTACCCCGGATTAGGTGGCAGCTGGTCGTATCGTCCATGCTCTCAATGCAGATGCAACGGTCACCGTCGTCTGTCCGGCATCTGGTCTGAACAGCGAAGTGGCCTATCGCGTATCCCAGCAACAGGTGTCTCACATCGCTCGCAACTTCGAGCCCCGGGATCTAGATGGCGCGGACATGGTCCTATGCGCTATCGACGATCCCACAGCTTCGACCCAGATCTGGCAGCTCTGCAAGGAGAGGCGTATTCCTGTCAATATCGCAGATGTGCCGTCCGAGTGTGACTTTTACTTCGGCAGTGTCCATCGCGACGGGCCGCTGCAGGTCATGGTAAGCACAAATGGGAACGGACCCAAACTGGCTAGTATCATTCGGAAGAAAATTGCAGAGACTCTGCCGGACAATACGGGCGCAGCGATAGAGAATGTTGGGAAGCTCCGGAAAAAGCTAAGAGACATCGCTCCTGATCCGGCCCAAGGTCCAAAGAGGATGAAATGGTAAGTAGAGAGTCGGATTTGTCTTTTAACAAATCTTGCAAAATCGATCTAACTTCTGCGAAAGGATGTCCAACATCTGTGAGGCCTGGAGCTTGGATGAGCTTGTGCGAATGAACGATCAAGATAGAGATTCTCTTCTTTCTTGCTATAAATCCGGCAAGATTCCGACTTATGAAGAGATCCGGAGCAGCGCTGGGTGAGTGTCTCGTTAAACCGGTCAGATATTTTGGTATATTGATCTTCACATATTTACTTTTCATGGATACCCTTGCTCTCAGCGACAATGTGGAGAGGTCGTAGATGCATGTGGTATAACTAAGCAAACTCTGAGCTTCGTCGCTGTGTGCCCAAATCATACATATGACACTATATAGATATTTTTATTCTATCATCACAGTGACTTTCCCCTTCTGGATGCCATCACCTTCATAAGGGTAGTGATCAGTTATGTGCCACTATGAGCTGCTTACCTCTATTTTGTATGAGTAGCTTGACAGTGGTGCCAGGTTAATCATTCTCAAATTACCTAGGCCTGTGCATTTTATTGAGGCTATGTATTACTCACCCCAAGCTCAGGGTAACTATGCTCAGATATACTTAGTGAGCATAGGATGAGCGAGCACCAAAATGGAAAGGGCAGGCCTCAGATACATGTAGGAAATCAAGTGCATATGTAGAAACGCCCTGTAAAGTATACATATAGAAAAACGCACAAAAGCAAAAAATACAACAAGGAAGAAAAGAAAAAAGAAAACCGAGCATGGCTAACTTTACCGCCTGCCCATCCGCAGCAAGCATGAGGAAGAGAAATGTCATGCGGAGAACTCGATGAGGATATCCAAAATAAAGCTCGGGAAGACCTGACTATCGTGTCCGATCTGCGAAGCAAATAGGTCAACAACCTCCTTCAACGGCTTCGATTGTCACTGTTGGATCCGTCAACGAATTGCTCGGAGACAACAGAGCTTCTTCGGCTGCCGGATGCTTCTGAAGGCGCCTGCACGCCTAGTCTTGTTCTGCCGACTCTCCGGAGCAGGGACCGAAGCGCAAGGCGGATATCAGGACTGAGATCGCGGCCCAGGAGATCCACTCCAAGCGTGTAGAATGTCTCGACATATTTATCGAATCCCTCGGGAGGGAAGTTCGTGTAACCTTCGATTACGTCGACAACTACAGGTCGCCAGGCGACGATGTTTCGATGTTGTGTATCTTCGTCGAGCCGAATAAAGCTCCGAATGATATCCGCACAAAGACTGGGGGGAAATAAAAAAATAACGATCAGTAAAAGAACCTGTGACGCTATGTGCTGTCATAACTACTTACGGAATAAGAGCAGCCTCAGTCTCTGCCCGGCTATTCTTCCTCTCATCTCTCTCGTCATGATACATGCGGAAGAGAATGTGGACGTATGTAGCCGCACTGCCACTTTCTTGCTTGAGCAGGTTGGGCGGCTGCTTCATAAAGCCCTGGCGCCAAAGCTGCATCCGCAGTTCCTTGTCCTCATTGAATTTCTTCGCAAACTGATAACTCTTCTTTAAAAGCCCCATTAGCCGCAGGAGCTCGTGACTTGGAATCTGTGCATAGACATTTTCGTTCGAGAAGAGCTCATGGACTGTCTCAATCATGAGCAACTGGAGGACGCAATTGGTGATAATACGGTTGAAAAAACGGCGTCGCGCCACGGTCACTGCAGCTGGGGGCTGTTGCATATCTGCCTGAGGCCGATAATCTTCCAGGTCTGGGTTCGAAGTTGCAGGTTGTTCAGCAGGGGCGGCTGGCACATCTCCGTCTTCATGCTCGGATGTCAAACTTTGCGATCCATTAGACTTGGAAGAGTCCATAGCATTCTTGCTTTCTTCAGCAGCAATGTTCTTCTTGGCTGCCTTTCCATTAGAAGATTTTGTCCCCGCTTGCTTCGGGGATATGGTAGCTGCAGCCGTGAATAGCTCGTATGCGGTGGTCCTGGAGAAGAGCTCGACGAAGGCACCCACAATCTTATCCCAATGCTCCTGCCTGAATTTCATAACGTTTTGAAGTATCAGCTGCTGCAGACAGTTGCTACCAATTCGAGCAATAGTATCGTTCTCCTGGCAAATGCACAAAGTCAAAAGTTCGAGGAACCGATCAAGCATGTATTCAAGAGAGCTGAAGTAATGCGTGAAGAGGGTAATCATGTTCCTCAAGGCCTGTATCATCGTCGTTGACAACCACACAGAGAGCTCCTCATGATTGGGTACTTTGGACATTTCTGACTTCGACTGTAATACCACGAAGATAGGATAGAGAAGTTGCCTCCAGAGAACATCCCAAAATCCAGGAGGAAAGTCACCTCCATAGCGAATCATTGTTTCGAAAAGATAGGTAAGCGCCCTGGTATTGGTATTAGTTTGTCTGCCTATTCCATTCAAGCGAATTGTTTGCTGTCCTTACCGTGACCGAACTTCAAGGTCATCACCCGTCATAAGCACATCCTGGAATGCAATTAAAACAGGGTACCAAAATTGCTCCTCTTTAGATTGTCTGCTGAGTTGATTGGAAAGATTAGATGGAGTCTCCTCAGTAGTGCCGGCATGACGATGGGAGAGCGGGCATTCAGGAGTCTTGAGCATCTTCGTAACAGTCGATTTTAGTGTCTCAATGGCTTGCAGTGATTTCTTCTGGAATCTAATGTTCTTAGAAAACTCTGTGAGGCAAACGATGAGATCGGCAAAAGCTCCTTGGGTTATCACAACCCCAAAACGAGTGTTGTAGATTTGTGTCACATGTTCAAAAGCCATATTGACAATACTCTCTGCCGCAGTGTCAGCAGAATAGTTAAATGAAAACATATAGATGAAGTTTCTTACCATAAGGCTCTCGAGCAGCAACCGTGAAGACACCAAACATCGTCTTCCAGCCCGAACGAATGTTGTCCCCGCGTGCTTGGATCATTTGGATAAGACACCGAAGAATCATATCCTTCACAGCCACAGAGTTACTATTCGCCATGATATGCTCGAACGGCTTGAGAAAATCTTTTTGGAACTTAAATCCCGGAAGCTCCTCAATCTCCATAAAACGCATCGAGAGTTGCCGAAGCGAGTCCAATGCGAAGAAGACGACTGTTGTGTTATAGTGACAGCCAACTTGGTTGAAGTGCTGCCCAAGGATTTCCCAAATCTTCGACCACTCTATCCTAACTCTTGTCATGTTGTAGTAGCTTATCTCTACAACTTTCTGCAAGCTGTACATCCTGGGAGAAGAGCTTTCTCCGGAGGACTGGATCTCCTGCCAGCTCACCTCGCTAAGTGCTCGAACAAAATCGACTATGGCTTCATGTGAGAGATTTGCGGTGTTTGTGAAGATCCTGTCAACTCCTCGAACCATTTCTGCTGACCGGCTTTCCATCGCGATCTCCACGCGGAAACTCGGGGCCGCATGGATCGACCGAGGGCGAGGGCGCCTTGTCGATTGCATGGATTTGCGATGCTCTGGGTTTGGCTGGGGCAGGATGCGCGCCCTTGAGACATCCGGCAATGTACCTTCATCCACACCATCACTCAATAGTTGAAGTCTGTCAAGTTGGCTAACGCAGGTGAGAATATCCCTCCAGGAACTTTTGAGATGGTTCCCCTCTAAGAGAGCTACATCCAGGATTGCTTTCAACGCTTCAACATTCTTTGGCACCATCTCACTCACGTTTCCTAAATTCGTAAACTTGGCCAAGGCAGTCACGAACGCAATTCGAGGGGTTTCCAAATCGAATGCGCAACTGATGCGGATCGCCAACTTGACACCGTCCATGCAGAGCCTGATAGTCTCTAGATTCTGTGTGTCTCGAACGGGGGCAGACAGGCCAGAAAGGAAGGACATCCAGGTAACGTTGAACATTGAGCCAGCGTGTAATGCGGATGTTGCAGGAATAAACCGAGAAAGAGCCTCTCTGACAGCCGCTTTCCTTTGCGCCCGGATCAAGCTCCGGTAGAGTTGCTCGGTCTTGTTCGCCATCTCTTCAGAAGCCTGTGCATATCTTTCACCTTGGATATCCCTTCCCACAGTCGCAAAGACTTGCCCAGCCCGGGATGCTAAGCCAGCAGGAGGAGACGTAGGGAGACCAACATTTGCAGCATGCTCCCTTTCAGTATTGAGGACAATCTCGTTGGTTGCAATCTCTTCAAAGATAGAACCAAGATACTCATCGGGCAAGTCCTGATTGTCGTTAATTCCTCTATTGTTTTTTATGAAATCCTCCTTGGTCATACGGCGTCCCTTGAGTTTGGAGCTATGCTGATCTGTATTGAGCATGATGACTGAATAAGCAAGGACGTACGCCGTGTCTGCGTTAGCAAAGGCATTAGGGTTCTGGGTTACGTAGCGTTCTGCAAATTTGAGCATGAAACGATCGATTTTCTGAGCCTCTCCGGGCAACCGGAAATGCTGCAGGAACTGGCGCAGAGCATCGACAAAGCGTCGTTTCGAGAAGTCCATCAAATCCACAAATGCATGCATGATTGCAATGTTTTCTGTATCACCTTCCCCAAGATATTCTCCTATCATGGCTTTGTCTAGACGATCGTTGCGTATCAAGAATGCAGCAATGTCCTCCGGAGAACTAGATCGTATAAAACCCTCCTGAATAAGAAGCTTGACTCCTCGCTTAGGCTTGAAGTTGAACTGTTGGATTGCATTCATCAACGCAATTTTCTTTTGCTTCACTTTCTCTATCTGGCTCGGGTCATCTTCGGCCACAATTCCGCCCTCAACACCTTCAGCCTTTGGTGAGGGTAAAATGCTCGTATCAATCGACTCCCTAGGATTATCGAATGACTTTTGAATGGACGCTTTGGAAGAGGGATCACTATGGTCCATTAGGCCTTGTGATCCCCAATTATCCAACGAGCGTAGAAGGCTCACTAAGGACTCGAGAGCCTGGTGTTTCAATACGTATTCTGGAGGGATTTGCTGAGCATTAGGGTGTGGGGGACTCAAAATGCTTGCGGACGAGAGCGAAGGAGGAAGAGTGCCACGTTGGTGCCATTCGGAACCAATACTAGAAGCCTTGACATGACTCTCCTGGTATTGCTGCTCTTGAGTCGGAGTCACGGCTACTGGGGAACTCGAATATCGAGACAGTTGTTCAATAACGCTGCTAAAGTCAGTACGCGGAGAACATACCATGGTCCCGATTTATCAAAAAGATAAGACATACTTCTGATAAATATTCTCCAGAGCTGTTCGATCGCAATCGTAGTTGAGATAGATCTCCACTAAAGCACGGGGATCGCCCGACAGCCTCTCTAGCAGCTCCATGAAATATTGCTTCTGGAAAGCAGGTGCATTGCGCTTCTCGAGGATCGCCAGGTAGATTTCCTTCAAGAACACCTCAAGTTCTTTCTGCACGAAGTCAGTACCAATGTTAAGGATGTCCTAGCTATGCCACTGGCCTTCATGACGACTCTCATATTCTTGAGCATAACCCAGAATATTTCACAGCAGACTTCGAAGACCCGTTGTACGGAACTTGAGCCATTGCGGCTGAGACTTAGACAGAGATGTGGTCGCACAGCCTTCAGGAGTGTTGTTGTAGCATCAGAATTGTTGGAGTTATTTTTTATCGTTGCAAGCGGAGACATGAACACCTCGATGTGATTATTGATAATATAATGAATGAGATGGAGGGACAGCAGTTTTGATCTCATATTTTGAGATTTTATGTCTTGTTGTTGATCATGGCTGAGAACCTTATGGCTCAGCTTGCATAATGCCCTAAAGACCAAGAAGGCATCCTTAACGTATATCTCGTCCACGTCGTCATCAGTAGGGCCCTCACCCTCTTCCTTTTCCCCCGAAGTACCAGAAATGGATCGCAAAGTAGCTCGGCCAGTCCTGGCCCGCGTGACCATAGTCGGAGCGTTCTCATGGACGGAAGGATCCTCTTTCGGGGATTCAAAACTCTGAAGTGTAAGCTTTTCAACGGGCTCCTTCGCAACAGGTTGGTCAGGCGTTGCTACAGAAGGTGCATCCGACATGCCATCTTGCTCGTTAGACTGAGCCGACTCTCCTGCATCTACAGTTGCAGTGTCTGAAGAGCTTCCTAGAGCCTTGTCGCCCTCTCGCAATCGCAGATCCTTCAATTCAAGCCTCATGCGCACCCTTTCATAAACGGTGCTGAGCATTTGCGTTAGGGATCCTTGAGCGACTTGTTGATTCTGACTTGATTTAGAGTATATGAATATATTGTAGATCTGGCGGACAGCCTTCAATAAACCAGCTCCATGGACAACTATCTTGTCATTTAGAACAGCCGCGAGAAGTGACTTTATGATCTGCTGCTGGATCTCCACCGGTGTGGCCTCATTCTCAAAACAATCGCAAATCGCATCAATTGCGCGCTCGATCAGAGGTGGTTGTTCTTGTGTTGTCTGCTGTGCTGCGGTGGCGGCAGCACCGGGTGAGGGGAATGCAAAATATGAGTAGGTTATCAATTTGCCAATACAATCTAGCGCAGTAACTTGCAGGGGTATGCTGAAACTCTTGGTTGCGAGGTGGAGAGGATGAAAGATAACTTCTGGGTCGATTGGAGTCTGATCCGATTGTTTGACGTTTGCAAGAGCGGTCTTCACGGCAGCCTCGAGCGCCTTGTCTCTCCGCACTTCTCTGGAAGAACCGATCGTGTCAAGCGCGGTGACGATAAATACCGTCGAGCTGACAATTCCCGACCTCTGAGTAGCAAATGTAGCAGCTGTGGATCTCGAATCTGAGCGCATTCTTGTATCTGGCTCCGGTTCATCGGTTACGGATATCGAAGGGGGTACGTGATGCTGCCCGTGAAATTCCTTGTCATCCTGGGCCATTTGAACCTCAACTGCACCGTCCAAAGAATCGCCTTTTGGTTCTGTTTCCGGAGCTGGCTCGTTTTCAGTCTCTGCGGGTTCGACAACAACGTCGTGGGGGGAACTGGAAGCATCCTCTGCGGGCAACAAATCTTCCGCAGGCTGCGTTTCCTGGTTCAACGAATTGGACCTTTCCGTGTTATCAGCATTGACATCCTGTAACTCCGATTCATATTGGAAATCAGGACTGTCAAGGTTCAGCGAGTCTGGAGATTGGGAATGCGCTGACGCATCAGCCCCGTTAATGTCAATCTCATCTGGCTGGGACGCGGAGGCCGCAATCTGGGCCGGTTGGCTCGGAGAGCCATTCTCAACTTCCGCCATTTATGCAGACCGCGACCGGGGCATTTGAGAAGGCGGCATCGAATGAAGGAAGAGGAAGGGGGGAGGGAGAAGGGGACGGGGCGGAATCAGCGTGCGCATCTGCAGCGTACGGGGCCGTTACTGATGCGTGTCTTGTAGTCTGGGAACCTCAGGGATCCGGTACGGCAGCCGTTGCGCCCTGAAAACGCAATGGCTTAGTAATCGGCACGCCGTTCCGATATGCTCACCGGGGAAGAACTCAACAGAAAAGCTGCTGCAGCTGGCGCTTTTCCCCAACCTCGATACCTGCCATCTGCCAGCATCTCCTCTCCTCTATCCGTCGCTCGCGTTCTCCCTTCTTTTTAGGTTTTGTGAACTGGGGTTTCGATTCACTCGGGCATATCGTGCACCATGGTCGCCTGTGCCGTCAGGATGCGCACTCCCAGCGCCATGTTTCTGTCCAAGGGTTTCCCCAGGCCCCGGAGCGTTTACAGGCTGAAAGATGCCGTGAAGTATGATGCCCTCCTCTCGTTTCCGACTCAGCCCAGTTGGTATACATCGAATAATGCTGATTGATTGTTCATCTACAGGCCCCAGTTGCCTGCCCTATCCGCTCTTTCCCGTTTCTATGCATCGAAATGTATGTCGCGGTTCCATCAACTTCGCGGGAGACTATCAAGCACGAGGCCCCTGACATGTTGAAAATCACAGCGTTCCCCCCACACACCCTCATCAGCATGCCTGCATTGTCTCCGACAATGTCCGCTGGAAACATCGGTGCATGGCAGAAGAAGGCTGGTGACAGTCTCAACCCCGGTGATGTCCTGGTGGAGATCGAGACCGACAAGGCACAGATGGACTTCGAATTCCAGGAGGAGGCTACTCTGGCCAAGATCCTGAAGGAAACTGGCGAGAAGGACGTCCCTGTTGGAGCTGTAAGTACCTTGCTTCTGACATGAGTATTGTGATGGTATCCTGTCGTTTGCTGACCGATCACACAAATCAGCCTATTGCTGTCATGGTGGAACAAGGAGCGGACACTGCTCCATTTGAGTCATTTACCCTGGAGGATGCAGGTGTCGAAAAGCCTGCACCAAAGACGGAAGAGCCGTCGCAGCCTAAGGAGGCTACTGAAGCCGCAGCTCCGGCAGAGCCCGCACCCGCTGTTGAGGAACCTTCGACCGGGGATGAGAAACTTCAGCCCAGTCTCGACCGGGAGCCTAATATCAGCGCCGCTGCCAAGCTACTGGCTTTGGAGAAGGGTGTTCCAGTTAAGGCTATCAAGGGCACTGGACGCAATGGCCAGATTACCAAGGAGGATGTTGAGAAGTACAAGCCCAGCGCCCCTGCTGCTGGACCAGCATACGAAGACATTCCCCTCACATCGATGCGCAAGACGATTGCGTCCCGCCTCCAGCAATCTACCCGGGAGAACCCCCACTACTTCGTTTCAGCCACACTGTCAGTGAGCAAGCTCCTGAAACTCCGCCAAGCCCTTAACGCATCTGCCGAGGGCAAGTATAAACTGTCTGTCAACGACTTCCTCGTCAAGGCTTGTGCTGCTGCTCTTTTGAAGGTCCCTGCAGTCAACTCCAGCTGGCGTGAGGAGAACGGCCAGGTTGTCATCCGTCAGCACAAAACCGTTGATATCAGCGTCGCTGTTGCTACCCCCGTTGGTCTCATCACCCCTATCGTCAAGAATGTGCAGAACCTTGGCCTAGCCAGCATTTCGAACACAATCAAGGACCTTGGTAAGCGTGCCCGCGACAACAAGCTCAAGCCCGAGGAGTACACTGGCGGTACCTTTACTATCAGCAACATGGGAATGAACCCTGCTGTTGAACGATTTACTGCTGTCATCAACCCTCCTCAGGCTGGTATTCTGGCTGTTGGCACTGTCCGCAAGGTTGCGGTTCCCGTTGAGACAGAGGAGGGTACATCTGTTGAGTGGGAGGACCAGATCGTTGTCACTGGCAGCTTTGACCACAAGGTTGTTGACGGAGCTGTCGGAGCTGAATGGCTCAAGGAGCTTAAGAAAATCGTCGAGAACCCCTTGGAGCTTCTACTATGAGCTCGTTCGTAGCTTAGTTCTGCCAATGCTGACAACCTCGATGGCGCCGGCCCTACTGTATTTATGAACGGTGTTGATCTTTTTTAGCCTTGTCTAATGTGTATTAAACTCATCTTCCTTTTTTTATACAATGTGACATTCAGCATTCCTTTGTTCCTTGCCTCTTGTCTCGGTGGTTGTAGACTAGACTGTTGATTTACGGTAGACACATACTACACATGCTACTAGAGAGTAATTCACTGGCCAAGCCAACGATAATAATAAAAGCGAAATCAATGGATAGGACATCCTCCACTATGCATCCGTCTTCAGGCATCGAGATCGACAGTGGAATGGAGTGGCTCGACCCCGTTCCGTCACAGTCTCTGGGCACGCGACGGTCATGATGTCATCAATCCGGTCCTGAGAAACGATTATAAGAACGCTTGGGATGTTCATCTGTTGAGTTAATATCAATATCTTCTGGAACATTGATTAAACCCCATTCTAGTTCTGTAAGTGTTATTCCTGTATTCTTGTTCTTTGGTTTGCAAGGGGGATGGATATAAAAGGACTGGGCAATTGGCATGCCTTGCCTCTCTGTGCAACAGTGGTCGGCCGACCAACTAACCGTCGTCTGATAGATATACATAACTTATTGTCCTTTTTAATTTATTAGCTTCTATATTTATCGGTTTCTTGGTCTCTCTGTCTTCCATGACAATGTCTTACGCCGACGCCGCTGCCAAGGGCCCTAAGCAAAGTCCAGATCAGGTTGGTTCATAAGACAAGCCATTCTTCTCTCGCTATGTGGTATGGCGCAGAAAGCTAATGTCGATTTCTTTTTCTCCTTATCACAGGCGTAAGTGAGATGCCGTATTCAGTATCCCTCGACTTTCGAATAGCAGTATTAATGATTTCAATTACAGTCGCGCCCCGGAACCACCTCAGATTCAGGAAAAAGAGTCCGCGAGCACGGCCTCCCTGGTTGACATCGATGCTCCACACGTCACAACCGTGGAGTCAGATTTCAAAGAGAAGGATATCAAGACGACCACGCAAGCTGAGAGGTTAGAGCGCGAAGAGGAAAGAAGGAAGGCAGAAGATCGGAAGAAGAAATCCAAGACCAAGGACAAATGCGGTGTCCTCCTCCGCAACAAGAGTAACCCTGTTGTTGTCGTGAATGCTCTTCTGGCCGCTTTGGCGGGTGGAGCTTTGGGATGCGGCGCATACAGGAAACATCTCGAAGGCAAGGTCTCATGGCAGCTTGTCGGTTTATGGTCGGGAGCTATTGGTGCTTTGGGCGTGGTGGACTACTATGTTAGCAAGTAAGTATCTTTTCTTTTTCCTCTTTCCCCCCTTCTCTCTGTATTCCGAATGGCTTTCTCTGCCTGCGGTAGTGTGTTGAAGTATGCTGATTATAAGTGGTTGCACTCAGATGGTTTGTCCAGAACAAATACCCCCTCAAGGAATAAATCAATTGTGGGATTGAGATGGCTTCCGGAGGAAAGAACTCGGCCTGGTTTATTTGTGCTTCAGTTCCTGCTGTATTATACCATTCCCAGCTCTTCGATTTCATGTTGTATTCTTTGGAGTCGGAAGCAGATGCCGGTCTTGCCTGATTCCCTGTCCAGGTGTAAGCTGTATTTGATGATGGTCTGTCGATGCCATGCAATTTCAACAGAAGTAGTTGGATAATGATCTGGTTCGAGTATGCTGTTAAGATATTATCACAAGCATTGAGTACTAGGAGTAGAGAGTAGAGGCGGTGAACAGCGTCAGAATCATGCCGCGGCAAGACATGTGGCCTCAATATAATCTCAATCCTTTTTGCTATTGCCAAGTATCAATCTCTCTGGGTGCTACTCAGCTCGTTTCGGGTTGATATTGACCTGTCGTACTATCTTCCATTTCCTACAACGGGAGCACCTTAGCCTGCGGAAACATAGTCGTCTGTCCCCGTACCACCGTTGGAAAAGCAACTGGCGGTATTCTGTCCCCGTCATTAAAATGGTGCGTCTTCTTTGAATTTCAATCAAGGACGACCCGACTAACTTTCTTCCCTTCGTTTCAATATCCAGAATTCCCTCTTTAATTCTGCCCTCAAGCAGTCGTCCGCAATCCGTCGCGACCTCGATACATTCTCACAATCCCCCGCGACTACATCTGCAGCGTTGCAAGGTTCGACTCGACTATCATCCTAAATTTGCCAGACCGCTTGAGAACATATGGTACCTATACCATGCGCATGGGTCTGGCAATACCTAGTTTACAGCAAGAAGCTGACCCGAGGATTCACGAGTGACTAGGCCAGTTAGCAGCGTCCCTAGCGTCTTTGTCAAGAACCGTCGATGACTACTCGGCACTGTCGAAGAAGGAATTGATTCCCGAGAAACAGGAGAAGGCATTTGGCAGAGTCAAGACGTTCCGGTCGGAACTGGTAGATTACAGACAACAGTTTGACCGGCTGAAGAAGGAGAGAGAGGAAGCTGTGGGTTCCCCTTTTGCCCCCTTCATTATTGTGTTGTTTACGCTGATGGGGTATCTTGAAGCAATCTGTGACCAATCGTAACGAACTCCTTGGTCGACGCCCTCATCATACATCTACACCCGAGAACCCATATGCCCAGCCTGCATATGCACACCCGTCCCCATTTGCAAGTGCGGCTTCTACGTCCAGATCGGGGCTTAGTTTCGGTGCATCACCGGCAGACTACGGTCGCGGAGAACATGCTCTGAGGGAACAGTCGTTCTTCTCCAATACAAATACCCAGATTGACCAGTTTATCGAACGGGGACGAGCCGTGCTAGCGGATCTGGGACAACAGCGAGAAATGTTGAAGGGCACGCAACGCCGGTTGTACAGTGTCGCCAATACGTTGGGTATCAGCGGAGACACGATTCGAAAGGTCGAACGGCGCGCGAAGCAGGACAAGTGGATCTTTTGGATTGGGGTAGTGGTGTTCTTCTTGTTTTGTTGGGCCGTCCTGCATTTTCTTAGATGAGGTGTGAAAGGTTCAAACATTAGGATCTTGTGCTTCTTTACACTGTGGTCTTTTGGTTTTTCTCTCTTGTTTTGCACGGCAAGCGTCGGCGTTATGGGTATATTTTGATTCTTTTTGGAATGTGCTTATCTGCATGGAAGTCAACATATTCCTCCAGCTTTGCAGGAGTGAAGAAAAAATTAATCAGGATGGAGGAATGGCCGGCAACATCTGCACAGATCAACTACCAACTACGTTTGTTCATCGGCATTTGGAATGCGAGTGACAATTGCCGAAACCTTTCATCCTAGCTCCTTTGTGACGTCACTAGGCAAACACAGCCCGGGGATCTGATGATGCTGTCGTATCCACCAGAGCTGATGGCATGGGCCAATGGATCAATGGGTCAATGGAGAGCATGCCTCTTATCTTGAATGTCTATTTGAAGATGTGTGAAAGCAACCGAGTGGAACCAGGCCCTGTATCACCAGGAAGGACAAGCTTTCACATGCTGGGAAGAGCAAGAACCTCCGCAGCTGGAAAAATTGGAACTAAGCAAGTCCTCAAGGGAGAAGAGACAGCAAGTGTTATAATCTATGAATCCCCGGGTGGTCGGAAACAGGCAACTGAGCTGTCCGCTGCAGCCGGCGTTGATCTTTGGTTTTCGGCGATGCGGACGGAAAGGAAGCCTCCATAGCTCTGTGTGTTTTAAGTTATTTTCCGGGTGGATTATTATTACTGTGCTCTACACAGTGTCTTCAACGTCGTCAGCGACAACAGCACGAACAGCATCAAGCACAACAGACTACGCAGGACAGATGTATCAATGTCAGTTATAGAGGAATTGACTTCAATGAAGACTGCAATGGAAATATAACAATAATAACCCGCAATGGCATCAAGACTGCAGTTGCGGTGGAGAGAAGGAGAATGTAATAATAACAGTCGGCCGGGCAATCGGAAGACGGCGCCAGCGGCGCAACCGCCCTAACAGAACAACTTCTTCCTCTTCCTCTCTTCTTCTCTTTTCTTCCTTCCTTCCATCTTCTCCCCTCACATCTCCCATCCCCAATTGCGGTCTTGTTTCATCGCTCCCTTCTCCCCTCTGCCGTCTGCTTTCTCTCTTCTTCATCCCATCTTCCTTGCACATCACATCATGTTCGCCGCACGCGCTGCACGCCAGACCTTTGGTCTTTTCCAGAAGCGGGCTTTCTCCGCCTCTTCCAGCCAGGTAGGTGGCGTTCTTCAGCCCTGCGATGGCGGTTCTTGCTAATTACCTCCGTCGTTGCGGTGTGCAGCTCTCCAAGGTTGCCGTCCTTGGTGCCGCTGGTGGCATTGGCCAGCCTCTCTCTCTGCTTCTCAAGCTCAACCCCCATGTCACTGAGCTCGCTCTCTACGACATCCGCGGCGGACCCGGTAAGTTTGCGGTGATTCCGGTGATGAGAACCTTGCTGGCCGCAAACGCATACTGATATAATATGTCTTCTGCTCGACGGCAGGTGTCGCTGCTGACTTGAGCCACATCAACACCAACAGCACTGTCACTGGCTACGAGCCCACTCCCACCGGCCTCAGCGAGGCCCTCAAGGGCTCTGAGATCGTCCTCATCCCTGCCGGTGTCCCCCGTAAGCCTGGCATGACTCGTGACGGTACGATGGGCTTTTCGCACTTGGATTTGAAAACGTTCACTTTAGCGCTGATCACGAGCAACAGACCTTTTCAACACCAACGCCTCTATTGTCCGTGACCTCGCCAAGGCTGTCGCTGACGCCTCCCCCGAGGCTAAGATCCTCGTTATCTCCAACCCAGTATGTTATTGCGGAAGAGCTGCTATATATATACGTATATTCAATTCGATATTAATTCCCCGAACAGGTCAACTCCACCGTCCCCATTGTTTCCGAGGTCTTCAAGTCCAAGGGTGTCTACAACCCTAAGCGTCTCTTCGGGGTCACCACCCTCGATGTTGTCCGTGCTTCCCGCTTCATCTCCCAGGTCAAGGGCACCGACCCTGCCAATGAGGCCGTTCCTGTCGTTGGTGGTCACTCTGGCGTGACCATTGTTCCTCTGCTCTCCCAGTCTAACCACCCCAGCCTCGACGGTGAGGCCCGTGACAAGCTGGTCCACCGCATCCAGTTCGGTGGTGATGAGGTCGTCAAGGCCAAGGATGGCGCTGGTTCCGCCACTCTCTCCATGGCCTTCGCCGGTGCTCGCTTTGCCGAGTCCCTGCTCAAGGCTGCCAAGGGCGAGAAGGGCGTTGTCGAACCCACTTTCGTTGACAGCCCTCTCTACAAGGACCAGGGTGTTGAGTTCTTCGCCTCCCGTGTTGAGCTTGGCCCCAACGGTGTTGAGAAGATCCTCGACGTTGGCAAGCTCCCCGAGTACGAGGAGAAGCTCCTCGAGGCCTCTCTTGATGGCCTGAAGAAGAACATCCAGAAGGGTACGTCTGCGTTCTTGTTTACCCCCATGGGTTTGGTGCAGCCACTAACATGTCTTCCATCTCAACAGGTATCGACTTCGTCAAGGCCAACCCTTAAATTTCCACTTCGAGCGGTTCTGTAGCTAGACCCTTTGTATAGAATTGCAGGGTCGTCCTATGCTTGTTCTTTCCACTTTCAATCCCGTCAATGGATGGAGCATGCAAGTCATGATGGTGATGGGAGACATGTATTTTTTATAAATCGAACGAAATTTCACTTCGTACTTGGGACATAATATCAGTAGCCAGCCTAGACCTATATTCCGAGCCTAGCGAGCAGTAGCAGTAAGCACTTAATGCAAGAGCTGCTAGGGTAAAAGGACGTCGTTATCATCGTTCTCGCCTACCTACAAAGCACACGCGATCGTCCATAACGTATCAATCAAAAGCCATCCCGAAATGGAAGCCAACCTTTCATTGAAAGAAGAAAAGAAGTGAAAAGCGAAAAAGCGAAAATAAACCAGCCCATCAAAATCACAAAAAATATCCACGCCGTAGATTCCCGTTTCAATTTCCATGGACTGAATTTTAACTCTCATTGCTAAGTCTCAAGTATAGCTTCTCATAGCGTCGAGGTAGCCGGTACCACCGCGAAGATCTCGGTCGAAAGTCTCGGCAACCTCTAGGACGCGCTTGATCTGTTCCATTGACAGTGGTTTCTTTTCATTTATGGCGAGGGCTTGGGCGGCGCGGACGGAATTCTTGATCTATTATATGTTAAATGGCGTTAGTGAAGATATCCAGATGGTATTAATAATATACAATCAAGGAAAGAAAGGGGGAAAACAACTCACCTGACGACCGTTCAGATTATGACGAGCCAATGACTCAAAGTCCTTCTCTGTGAATCTCAGTGTCTCTAGTCCTTCCAGCGCCTGGACTCGCTCGAGGAACATCTTCCACACGCTCCGCTTGGCTTTAATGCCGAGGTCGCCGTAGCGCAGGGCAACATGGATGCGGGACTGGAAGGCGTCGTCAAAGGTCTCGACGCGGTTCGTGGTTAGGAAGATGATACCCTGGAAGTATTCCAGGAGACGCAGGAAGACGCTGACGAGGGCGTTGCGGTTGATATCGTGGATGCTGCGCTTCTCGAGGAAGACGTCAGCTTCGTCAAGCAGGAGGAGCGCGCCCCACGAGTGTGCAATGTCTAGGATCTTGTTAAGTTCGAATTCCAACGTGCGCGAATCGATCCCCAGTTCCCCCGCGCTGACCATATACAGGGGCCGTCGGAGGAGCTCTGCGATGCTCTCCGCTGTGAGTGTCTTGCCGGTTCCCGGCGGTCCATGTAGAACAGCGACAAGACCCCGACCCTTTCCTTGGATCACGTCGTCGACGTTCTGTGCCGGGTTGAAAGTGTGAGACTCGACGAGGGCTTTGACGATAGATTTTTGGTTGTCAGGGAGAACGAGCGAGTCGAAGGCAGAGTCGTTCCATTCGATCTCCCTGATGCCAGAGACGGTGAATTCCAACCAGAGCTTCTCGCTGAAGGCAAAGCCCAGGACAACAGGGCTGGCGATGAGCAGCTCCTCCTCGGTGAAGGTCCGTTCTGATGGTTCTGTCGCGGCCTGCAACTCCTCCTCGTCAACTGAGGTTGCCTTTCCCTTCTCCACAATAGGGTTTCCATCATCGTCTATCTTTACAAAATGAGCTCTGCCGCCCTTGTCCACGATAGTTTTGTATTTTGGGCGTCTGGTAAACTCGGATTCCTGGCCACGTGCAGTGTAAGCATGAGCTGCCTCGGTGTCCGACACTCCATCACAGCAAGAACAGTACCGGTCATCGCTGAAGCCATTATCCTCTGACAGACTGTCCTCCAAGTGTGAACGAACCGTACTTACATGGTAGTTTGGATTCATACGATGGTGGATGGCCGGATCGACCATCACACGGCCATTGACGTTGACTTTGATTATGGCCTGCTTTTTCTGGTAGAAGGCCATGCCCTGGTGAAACCGATAGTTCATGCCCTTCAGTGACACGTATTTCTTACCCCGTTCGATGAGGGCTTCTTTCAACTTGTCCGCCTCACGATGGTACTGGAGGGGGTAACACGCAAGACTAGTAATCTTGCGAACGCCCTTGAACGCCGGCAGTTCTGTAAATATTGTTCCCATACCGAATGACTTGCCATCATAATCCAAGCAGCGACCTTCGACGTTGTACGAGTGGCCCTTCATGATATTCGACACTTTGGTGACATATTCGATCTTGAAGGCGCGCGGTTCATCCGAGACGCCGTACGTAGGGGCATACGCGATGGTGTTAGGCTTGAATAAAGCCCAGAGAAGGTCGAACGTGATCATATTGGCTTTCAGCAATGGATAGAGAGTATCTTTAGTCTCCGCATAATCCGTATCCAAGTATTTGACAAGAACCTTGAGGTGAGCAGCTTTCGTACGAGCGACCTTACGAGCCTTCTTTTTGGTTTCGGTCTTGGATAGATTCTTCAGATCCTTCAAACACTGATGGATCTCCTCCAGGTATAGGAAAAGCATGTTCGGATCGACAATGGCGGTTTCTTGCACCAGACTAATTCCCTTGACGCCATCCATAATCGTGGCCAGCGCATTGCGAAGGTATTTGCTCTTTATGTTCACCATTGTCTCCACGTACTTGTTTTGCCAGTCGAACCTACGGCGGACGGTAAAGATGTATTGATCCCATTCATCCGTGCTAGGATCATCAATGGTCTCTGTAAGCCTGTACTTGTGGATATTGTTATCCCATACTATGAAAGGAAGGTTAGCATCTTCATGTTCAGACTGAGAATGTCAATATGAAAAGGAAAGTTCGGTTATATCAGAATGCTTACGTTGATCTACCCGTTTAAATTCCACTTTAGTCGCCTTCTTCGTCTTCTTCTTTTCTTTGGACTTCAACTCAGGGAGATCAAACCCGTTGTCAGTCGCTTGGCCATTAGTAGGACTCGCGTGGTGCGCATTGGGTTTTTTGGAGCCTGGATTCCCATTCACTGCGTCGGCATTTCCCGTTCCAGTTACACTGGCTATAGCCAGCAAACGTGCCAGGATATCAGCCTGTTGCTGAAGGTTCTCATTGGTTGCCTCTTTAGGCGCGATAGTGGCAGTATGTCTGGCAAGAACCTTGGTTAGAACCCTCTCCAGCTTCTTTTCGTCGATGGGACTGTCGGATTCATATTCAGCAGAGGTATCTGAATTTGAATCAGTTACCACCCTGTGAGAATCGAGGCTCTTCTTCTTTTTCAAGGTCTTTTTCAAGGTCTTTTTCAATTTCGCTTTAGTCTTTTGATTCCTCTTTGTCGCCTTACTCCCATTGACAGCATCACTGTCGCCATCCGACTCCGACTCCGAAAAGGAGGGCTCTGTGGGGTCAAACTCGGAAGCATCGCCATTGGTGCTGATGAGTGTAGATAGCGAGGAAATAGAGGAGCTGTCATCGGTATCCGACGATTCTGATACGATCCGACTCAATTTATGAGTGACTTTTCTCTTTTTCTTCTTTGAATCGCGTTTCCGTGAGTTCAAATGCGGCACCTTGCAAGTGCAGTTCCCGCTGGTAGCACCGTTGGAAGGGGAGCTGTTGCTGCTGCTAGCTTCAGCGGGCACAGTGGCATGGTGTGTAACGGCAGGTGTTCCGACCTCGAGCTTGGATTCGGTAGCGATAGCAGAAGTGGATGTGGCAGCTGTCGCTGCAGTAGAATTGGCTATCTGGATGGGGGCTCCGCTGTTCTGGCTATTATTAGAAGCGCTGATAGAGGCGCGTTCTGGAGCTTCAGAGGCGGACGGTGCGAAGTCCGGGGCAGCGCTTGGGTCTCTGGCGGTGATGTCGGACGCGGACATGCTGGGTAGAAGACAGTATCAGTTATGGAGAACAGAGAGAATACATAAAAAAGAAAAGGGTCTAGGGAGTTATATATCTACTTCTGGCAATGAAAAGCGCCTTACTTCGGTGTCTGGGGTTGATTGGATTCAAAGGAACGATGCAGCAGAGATGAGCTGTACAGTTAAGCGCAGCTGAGCTGGCAAGCTGCTTAAGGCTTTCTCCTGTTAAGCGCCGCAAAGAAGTCCGTTTGGCAATAGAGCCAGTCAGGGTGAAGAAATAACACAGTGCAGGATGATTGGAGAGAGTGATTCAAGTTAAGATGTGGCTCTCGTGATGGTTTTATGATGAAAGATCTCTGGTGAATCCCTGCAGGCAGATGAGGGGGAAGAGGGAGGAACAGAGAGATGAGGCTAGCTGTGATGCCTGTCTCGTTGCTTTTCAGCCTAGCCACGCTGCCTGCTGCTGTCGGTTTCAATTAATATCCAGACCACCGCAGTGAAAAGTTACCATTGTGAGGAAGACACAAGCATCCTAGGGATTTTGTCTACAATGTCTTATCTCCAGGGAGACGGCCTCAAATGCCTTCAGCGGAGTCCTCCAGGAGCCCTTCAAGGCATCTCACTGTCATATCGGAATTCACCAGCTCAAGTCGACTCTGGTTGCTGCGTCTATTCACCGGGGCCTCCATCACTCTCTCTACTTGCTGGCAGCGTATATAGTCTGCGATGCTGTTCCCCTTCGACTTCTTCCTCTTCCTCTTTCTCTTCCTCACCGTCGCTCTTCTCTCACTCTCTCTCCTCTCCTCTCCTGCAATCATCTCTGACATACTGAATACTGTCGATACCAGCCCCTGAAGATACATGACCTTCACTGCCATTAATACCATGGAGATCATCAAGTCCGGCCCGGAACAGGCGGTTGGTTGGAGATGTATTCATGCCTACTATCAAGCTAATACCATATAAATAGGAAGCCAGTCAGTCTCAGACGACCACTCCTCGCAGGCGTGGACACAAGATCGTTATCAAAGACGAAGGTGATGCCGACGGGAATGATGACACCTCCCCTTCAAAGAAGGCCAAAACTACCAAAGGCTCGCCAAAGAAAGCGGCTGTCATTCCCATCCCGACATCTCTCGAGGCGGCCGGCCCAGAGGACCGCATGCTTCTTCGCATGAAAGAGGAAGAAGGATGCAGCTGGAAAGAGATTGCAGCAGCGTGGGAATCCATGGCTGGAAACAAGGTCCCTACTGCCTCTCTGTCTACTCGCTATATCCGTATCAAGGCGAACTTGGCTGTTTTCCCGGGTGAGGACGTAAGTACTGATTTTCTGTTTTCTCCCCTATATCCTTGAGCTGTGGTTCTTTTCGGTGGATAGATGGTGAAGTTGAACAGTGACGTGACTGACAAAGTAATTGTGAACGTATAGGAGGAGAACCTTATCAGGGCAAAGAAGGAGATCGAGGAGAAGTTCGAGGTGGAGAAGTGGCACAAAATTGCTGAAGCAATCAATAGCATCAGTGGAAATAAATATTCCACTACGACTCTTCAGAAGAAATTCAAGGAAATCACCAAGAAAGGTCAGGTTGCCAACAGTACCTCCGTCAAAGAGGAGTGAATTCACTGCGCAGCGATGGTCTTAGGGTTCTGGTCTTGTGTGTATGGTCGGCGGGAGTGTGAAAGCCTGAGAATTGTCTTGTAGATTGACGGTGATACGTTGGGTTGATCAAGCTAGGATAATGCAATCATGTCCAGGTTGAGTATCAAAACCAATCTAGAGCTCATCTCGTAGACTAGTAGGAAGTACTCGAGGACAGAGGAAATGCGGGCATCTCTCCAAGATGGACCGATATTATTATCGGCTTCAATTGTAGCCGATCGATGGACATGTTCCGCAACCAGTAACTTTGCTGTATTGGAATCTGTTCACGTAAATGTCCAGTGTACGAATCGATCTCAGCTACTGCTGTAGTGTGTCTATCTCTGCGGTTCTGTCGTGGTGCATGACTCAGTACACTATATGAACGCATGCCGACTGAGGGTATATGTGCGTATATATGAGAAGCGCCATGTGGGAGTACATATCACTTAAAAGATACGACAGAAAAAAGAGAGACACGAATGAAATAAACCCCAAACAATTAAGCAAAGTAGTGCTTGTGCTTGTATATATATATTATCAATAGGAAATTTCAAAAAGAAAGTCTCCCCGACTGGGAGTCGAACCCAGGTCTCCCGCGCTTGATCTTTTTACAGATGACAAGCGGAAATCATAGCCGTTAGACCATCGAGGACTTGTTGAAAGATTTTTAACTAACCGGAATATATGTGAGATTTCACGAACAAAATCCTTTCCCGAGAATCAGGACCTGTTACGGAGAATAATAAGAATAATAATAACTCCCCAAGAGAAAAGCATGTATATACTTCGGCAGATAGCAATAAACGGTCAATGGCCTTCCTGCATTTATGCTTTTTTTTTTCAATTATATTTTTAAATTTATTTATTTATTTAAAAATCAACAATCATCCATATCATTTCAATCAATTGCACAGATACTCATGAAACACTAATTTCCGGGCTCCCATTTTGTACATCATTCCAGCCCTTGACGCCGTCAGACCCTGTATTGCCATTGCCATGTATATTCCTGTCCCTGCTAGAGATAGTACCCGATCGCTCGCTAGCGGCGTCGAGGTCCCCCCTAGCACTAGATGCTGGAAGTCGGATTTTTGCTCCCACGAACCCTCTTCGATCGCGACCCGTCCGTGCCCGGCCGAGCCAGTTATGTTTGAGTGCCTTGCTCAGTAGTTCGATCTTCTCCTGCGCTTCGTCGCCCGTTTGGACGCTTGCCAGAACACTGACACATTGCAGCATACGTCCTACCGTCTCCGTGATGAGGTGCGACGAATCCGGCGTCTGTCCACCCCGATGGATAATTGTCGGTCGTTGTGCGGATGGAGAGACGGATTGGAAAAGTAACTGATCTGGATTCGATGATGTGTTGGATGCAGCTCGGCTACGGGTATCGCTGGGCGAATCGGACGAGTAGCTCCCTACTCCCATGTTGAAGAGGGTAGATGATTGGGAACTGAAGCTACTGGCTCCAGCATCGAGAGAGGCGGCCGTTCCTGGTCGGCCGCCGCTGGCGTTGCTGCTGCTGCTCTTCGTTGTCACACTAGCACTGTTGAGGCTCGCGTTGATACTATCGAGACTCAGACGAGAGAAGGTTGCCTTCAGACTTTCAAAGCGAGTCAGGATAACTGTGTCACGGAAAGCAATGAGGACAATCTCCCGGACATCCAGCGGTGGACTAGACTCCTGTAACGCGCTCCAGAATTCATGTGCTTCCCGGACGCTCATGACTGACCCGCAGCCCTTGAATTCGAGGTCCAACGGCAAGAACACAACCTGTATGAATGGCAGAATCGTGCCAAAAACAAGCATCCATATCTGCACTAGATGTGGAACCAGCTTGTCATCCGGAATTCCATTCAGAGCATGATCCAGAGACGAGAACCCCGTCACTAACAGTTCACGCAGATCATCGACAATAGCGATTGGTGCATGTCTCTGGACACAGAGTTGTATATGTATAGACACAAGTTTGTTAAGATCTTCAATCGCAATGCGCACATCCTCCCCGTCAAAAATAACTAAAAGCTTCGCCTTAAGAAAGTCCCACACGTCCTCCGGCGTCATGTTATTCAGCCCGAACCCCTGAAGGGTTTCTTTCAAGACGGCATCCGCAAGGATCCCTCCGGAGGTACCCAACGATGATGGTGCATAAAATCCAGCCGGCGCGCTAGCGTTACCCCCCGAATTAGCCAGCCATTCAAGCTGTTCCGATTCGGCCAGCGCCTTTTCCTCTTTCTTCTTTTCTCGTAGGCCGTGGAGGAGATCTAGGCCGCTGACCGACCTCCCAAAAGCGGTCGACGCCGTAACAGGGGAAGAAGGGGTAAATGAATAGAGGGACTGAGGCGCATTGGGATCTGCCGGCCGGGAATTGCTGGACGCAGACGACAGCGGCAGGTTGTAATGGTCATCGCTCTTGAGCTTGAGATTCAATTTCTGTCGCGACAGGAAATGATGCTTATGGGCTTTGTCCTTATCCTTTTCCTTCTCGCCGGTAGTCTGCCTATCAGCAGCGATTACCGTGTTGGAGGATGCATTGGATAGATTATACATGGATGATGAATTGTTCGACGGAGGAGTGTCCGCCAGACTCGTCGCCGACGAGCTAACCATCCGTGATAGACCGCTTCCCATCTTATTCGGGGACGGGAGTGCCTTGTCCTTCAAATCCTTGTCCCGGCTGATTCCAATGTGCCTTGGTTTTGAGAACAGCTTCATTTTGGACTTTTCGCCTTTGGGCTTATGTTCTCGTTCTGCAGGTACATGATGGTGATGCTGTGGATGTTGATGGTGCACCTCCGTATTAGACATTCCAGGATGCTGTAGACCAGGACTTCTAGGAAAAGCCGCATTGGCAGCAGTTGTAGCCACCAGACTGTGCCCTCCTACGAAGCCACTATTACCCGAATGCGGTTGTTGCCCCGGGACATTACTACCCAAGATTGGCGATGTGACTACCTGATTCCGAGGAGGAGACGGGGAACCGGTGCTGCCTTTCCTGCCCTTCGATGCGTCTTCCTGACTATATGGAATGATATGGGGAGGTCGTTTCTGCTGCTGCTGCATTGCAGTGGAAGACGACGACGACGACTGCTGATGCTGCATGGCTGTCTGAGCAGCAATCCGGGAGGCCGAAAGCGTGTTCACGGCGGACAGGGTCTTATCAGAATACGAGGCCGTTGGGAGCGATGGCTCAAAGAAACCCTGCGAGTGATGCCGACTGCGATGCTTGTGCAGATCCGGCTGGCCAGGTCGCCCCGACACCAGCCTGATGGACGGCGGGTCATTCTGCGGCATGGAGGGAGCGGCAGGCCGCACGGCGCTGGCCGTGGCAGCTGTGCTGCTGATAGTATTAGAGACAGCGAAGGATGAGGTTCGTGGCGGCGGTTGAGGATATGGTCGAGACTTGGCCGGAGACTGAGGGCGATGCTGCGGTTGAGGATGACGGCTATGAGGGGACGTCGAACCCGAACCCGAACCACGACGTGGATGAGAGTGGTCGTCAGCAGGGATCTGAAAGGCAGAGATGGCGGTTACATTGGACGTAACAGAAGAGGCATCACTTCCAGAGGAGCCTAGATCGTCGTCTCCGTCTGCGTCTTCTTCGAAAGAATGAGGATGTGTATGGGAGGTTGGTGATACGGTGAAAGACAGCTCTGCTGACAATGCAGCGGTGCTCAGTCCATCGCGGCGCGTCTGCAGAGGGTCCATAGCCGCAGCGAACAGGAGATTCAGAGGCGTCTATTGGCAGGAGGGGCACAGTCGAGCGCTCATCGTAAGCCGTAAGACAGGGATGATGCTGCAGTGGGACAGGATAAACAGGCTTGAAATCCGCCGCTCTGTTTCAGTTGGATGAATGCGCGGTGTCAACCTCAGAGGAGAGTCATGTCAATAGAATCGGGATAGCAGCAGCTGGAGCTTGTCGATGCTTGTTTGCTGCGTGTCTTCGAACTCCTGGCAGGAAAGATGATGCCGTCGTGTTGAAGTCTGTCGTCTTTCTGTCTTCCTGTCGACCGCCTGGCGTTCGCCACTTTTTCCGTCTCTGGAGTTATTACTATCGCTTCCCTCTGCTATCCTTCTACGCAAACACTCTGCTACACCAACACAGTCGCGCAGATCAAAAAAAAGAGAAGAGAAAAGTGACGATTAAATCTCTTTCACCATGTCTTCCCAAAAGCTGCACCACTCCGCCTCCCTTCATGCCGTCTACACTTCCCCGCGTCCGACCACACACCTCTTCCAGCATCAGCTCTCTTCTCCCCTGCCGTCTGAAAGCAACGATGTGAAAGCAAAAACAGCCTATCTATCTGAGCTTAAAAACCTCATAACGACACTACAAGGAGAGATCAACACGTTTCTGACGGAGCGCATGGAGGAGGACAAAAAGTCTGCAGAAGCGCAAGGGAAGAAAGTTTCGGAGCAGGAAGCCAAGGAAGAGGAGAATTATGGAGAAGAAGTGGTCGAGGATGATGCTTAATTGAGAGGGAATGGCAGAGACTGTTCTTTTTTGCATCTATATCTTTGAGGAACCATCCACCGACCTCAGAACTCCTGTCTGGACTACTCCATACGCCAGCGTATTTACTCGCTGGTCGCTTTAAAACTTCGAATTCTTCCGCATTGATGTCGCTATCTGGGGTATATCAAATCTCAGAGAAAACACCCGCCACTCCATGCCGACTGCTCGCAAATGAAAAGAAAAAGAAGAGAAACAGAAAAGAGAAAAGCAACCTGCTACAAAAAATATGCCAAGAATAAATAGCGGACCATCCCTAAAACGACCGATATCATGCAATGACAGAGAATATACCATATCACAAAGTAGTGCTGGTAACTCTATTTGCACAGCCAAGATGCACAACCTCGTTACTATTGGAAATACGCAGATGATGGTCAGCAGAACTACGACCAAGGTTAGAAAAAGAAAGGAAATATAAAAAGCCAACTTACTCCGGAAAAACATTTATCACACTTCCTCCAAGTCGTTTATGGCAGATACCACAAATTCTCTCTTCCGTGATCGTGACATGTCTTGCCCTCGTGCTCTTCCCATCGGACCCCTCACCGGCCACCAGGTGCGCTTGCGTCTTGATATTCCGCACCTTCTGAAGATTGGCCACGATCCGGGTTTCATTCAAAATAGAGCTGGCTGCCCGTATCCGGCTTTTGAAGTAGAACTCCAGCTCCTTGACGGGAAGAGACTCGGGGATCAAGTCAAGAGCAGAGTTTGCCGGCAGGCGAGATCCGTGCCTGGCAAGAAGATCAAGCGCTGGCCCATACCGAGGCTTGTAGCCATGCGGCGGTGTAAGATATAGGGATAGTAATGTCAAGTAGATAGATGGTTGGTCTTCCTCCGAATCAGTCGGGGCCACGCGCCGCGACGGGGCGACCTCTTTGGCGACTGCGTACTCGGTTAGGTGGACATGGTTACAGTATCTGTGCATACCATTAGTTGCTGCTATTCGGGAAATGGAAACAGGACAACTCGAACATACTCTTCCGCTTTGTGATAGTCTTCGAGTCTAAAGACGTAGATCTCCAATGCTTGCTTATGCTGGCCCATCTTACTGAACACTATAGCCCTTGCCTCGAAGAATTCCGGGTCTTAAAACATTGCAATGACCGCGAGGTTAGACATGCATTCAATTACGCAGACCAGGAACCAAACTCACCATCACGATCAAGACGATCAAGCATCTTAGCAGGAGAATACTGCGAGCTTGATTTCAGCATCTCCAAAAACTTATCCCACCACTCGTCCTTCTCTTCTTCGGTAGCGAATTCAAACTCCTTGGATTTGTGTTTCTGCAGACGCTCTAGATAGAGCAGAAGAAGCCTCTGGTGCAGGTCAGGAGTCATATCATTCAACTCCCTGATGACATGCTCCAGATACTTCACAGCAAGGATGGGGTCAATACCGTCTAAGAACTCTAGAACACGGGAACGTGGTAATGTCTCAGCGTTTTCGGTATCAGCCAAGAACACTTCCATGCCCAATGCAGGGTCAGTCCGCAGGGGCCACTCCGCGAATTCCAGAATAAGATCGATCTTGTCCGGGGGTAGATGCTGTAGATACCCGACAGTTCGCTTGGGACCGTGGAGCTGTGGGGGGATCTTCTCTTCGTCTGGCTCGGCCTGCCCAAACTTCCGCAGGAGCTCAAGAGCTTGGCGGTGCAATCGCTTTCCATACAGGAAATCAATGAGGTCATTGTAGCGGCCAGTCTCCTCTAGCCTTTCCACTACCACATCCGGATCGCAGAAGTTGGCAATTCGGAAGAGCGAGCCAGCGAGCGACGGAGTTGCAAACATATGGGCGCGGAAAAGGGTCGTGTCAACGAGTCGGGCTTTTTCCCAAAGCTGTTCGTGAAATTCCTCGTCCGAATCATCTTTAGAGAGTCCTAGAAGCTTTGTGACGGAATCGGTAAACTCGTCAGCCACTCCGCTAGTGAGTGGGTGCTCGATTTTCAATGACCCGCTAGTGTTCAGAAATCGCTGAAATCTCCGACGGACATCGGCCAAATACCCCTGAAGCTCGCGGACCGCAACTTTGAGATCTTTCCCTTCTACTCAACGTCAGTTGTCTGGGTAGAAAAGAAGGGGCAAAGTAGAAAGAAAAGAAAGGAACTCACGAAGAGGTTTATCATCCTCTACAGCCTTCCCACGAACGCTACCCGAGTCACTACTCTCATCGGCCTTCGTTCGGAGAAGAGATCTAACAGAGGAAGCATACACCGGCTGTTTGGAACCAGTTGCTTCTTCAGATGAAGGGGCCGTATCAACCTGCGCCTGAGAGCCATTTGACTTTTGCTGGCTATCTGTGGCGCTGTCTTCCGAATCCTCACTGTCCTCAACAATCGACGAGAGTTCCCCAGCAATAATCTTAGGGTACAGTCGGATTACTATCTCAGGAGGGGCGGATACCTCTGTAAAAAGATCCATGGAATCTCGGTATTTCCGCATGCCGAAAAGGCTCTGTGCCTTTTCGAGCTTAATCGAGCGCAGCCTGCCAGGCTTGTCCTTTAAGAGCGCATCTTCGAGCATATTGATCAAGCTAATCGCCTCATCGAGATAGCCCTTTTGCACAAGAGCGTCAATTTGAGAATCGTAGTTCAGAGCCTCCATCCTCCAAATTACCCGATCGCTCGCAACTAGGAACCCCTTTCCGGCATGAGCCAAACTAATGGTGGGTTGTGGAATGTGCAGAATACTAGCATGTGGCAGCGAAATAGACTGGAGCAGCGACTGGGTTTCCGGGTTCCTGATTTCCAACACTCCCCTTGACGAGTCATGCAAAGCTAACAGAAAAGGGTATGAATATCCGATGTGCGAAGGTGCATGGCTCCAGGGAATCTGTCTTCGTCCGAGTGAGTTGCCATCAATATCAATGAAATGAGTGTTGATATCCTTAGCCAGTAATATATGCCCCTCACTGAGTCTCGTCGCAAGTGGTTTGGGGACCATACTACTCATCCCGATATAGCTCATGCTCGCAACACCGACACCCGCAAAACGCCCTGTCTCCTGCCCCCCAAGACCGCCAATGCTCCCAGGTCCCACCAAATCGGTGACAGCTCCGGCTTCTATATCCACCAGCACAAAGTTCGAGCTGAGACCAGCCACAATCTTCGTCCCCGAGACCCATGTGAGCGTCTTCACACCACTGACCAGCGTTAGCTCCGCAGTGTTACTCTCAAGCTCCATATCTCGCCATGTCCACAGTAGAATCTTTCTCTTCACGGCAACAGCCAGACGGGAAACAATAGAAGGAACACCAGTCTCAGGTTCATTAATAATATTTGATGTCACAGCGAAAGTGGTAGCTCCTTTCGTTTTGGAAAGTTGCTCCTGTAGCGAGTAGGTCTGCAGATCGTGAATGGAGACGTAACCACCAGACAACGAGACGAGGACGTTGGCCTCCTTAATCCGAACCAGCTGTTCGATCTTGTATCGCGAGAACTTTTCCAGTTCGCGCAGAAGTTCAGTCCGCTTCGGCTTCGGGTATCGTTCGTCTAGTGAGTTCGCGGTTGTTCCGTTGTCCACGGGCGTCTTCTTGCCTGTTGTCGTGTTCCCATTCTCCCCACCGTCGCCATTTCCCTCGTGATGTGCCGGCTGAGGTTCGTCATCGGGTACCTCATTGATTCGGTATATTCGAAGGCTGCCATTGTTTAATCCAGCCAGCAGCCTGTCGCCGTAGGCAAGAACGGATTCGATCTTGGACTTATCGCGCGGTTTGAGCTCGACTAGGGGCCGAGCCGTGAAGGCGGATAGCATGACTCGGCGACAAGCTCTTTTGGTCGCAGCTCTTCACCTTCAGAACAACAAGGCAGAATCATGTCTATATAGGTTATACAGATGAGATGCGCAGCTGATCCATGCTGCTGTTGGGCCCTGGTTGCTGTCGAAGCGACGTTACACCCCTGCTTTACCCTTCCGGTAGCGGAGTCGTGACATTGCGGCAAGTATCGGGGAGCTTAGTCATTTATTAGTCACCCAACAGGGAATTGTTAACTACTAGGTAGAGATGTCGCCAGATTCACATCATATTCATATTCATACTAGCCTATTGCTGTTTACTAACAATGAACAAGGCAAGACTTGGGGAATCAAAAGTGAAACAGTCGTTAATCCCTGAAAACTCCTCCAAAGAAGTCACTGTCCCAACTGAGCACCAGTTTTCATGCATACATTGATGACAATGGGACGAGTAGAGAACTCTAGAGAGGCACTGAGCCTGCTCTAAGATGGAAAATTTCTTCACAGGCTGTACAAGAGTTGTTGTCATAGACCGCAGGGCGTACAGAAAACAGAACCATTTCAGCCCACAGCTGAATCAGTGATCGTAAGATGCATATGCGTATGTGAGAGATTGAGCTGGCTGATATTAAACGCTAACCTTGGCCAATCCGTAATAATAAGACTGACTTATTCCGAATGAAGAATCGGAAGATGTACCATGAAGGGAATAGAGACTGGGCGGATCAGCCCCAAAACGTCAGCCACTGAGGATCGTACATGGCAAGGGGTCTTCACAAGAAAAGATACAAGGCAACTGGCAGGGGTGGGTATTCATGCACGAGCGTTAGGATTAAAAGAGAGGTTATGAACTAGAGTCATGTAGCAGTCGGTGGCCAATTGCCCGCCGTACGACGTCGTGTTTGAAAAAGTCGCTAAATGGGCTAGGTTACAACCGTCGCCATTCCATTATTTCAGACCTGCGGGATACTCCTGATGCTTTGCAGACGTACCCTTAGCACGCCAGGTAGATACTGCTGGGATATTCGCCTTGTATCGCTGCTCTTCAGTACCATAGGCGCGAGGCGTAAGTTTCATGAGCGTATGGAGGGGCACTTGCATCCACGGGCTCTGGTCCTGGGGAAGATTGAGGAAATATGCATAAATGCAGCGCAAGACGGCTTGATGCGTGACAATGATTACGTTTTCGCTGCGTTCCAATTCCATAATAATGGGCTCGAGGCGGATAACGACATCGCGGTAAGACTCCCCCCCACGATAGCGGTAATTGTACTTGTCTTCATCGCGGGCAGCAAAGTCCTCAGGGTATCTCTCCGCAATTTGCTCGTAGGTCAATGAGTCACAGACGCCAGAATCGAGCTCGTCAAGAGCCTTCCACTCAAGCTTCTCGTAACCTGTTTCGGCAGCCAAATGACGAGCGGTCTGAATCGTGCGCTTGAGCGTGGAAGTCCAGATTGTGATCTTGGCATTCTTAGGGATACCAGATTGCTTGAGAAGTGCAGGAAGAGCACGAGCATAAGCTTCACCACGGGGTGAAAGGTTCGAGTCACCTCCTATCTTGCCCGTTAGGTTAAATTCGGACTCCCCATGCTAGGAAACAAAGGTCAGTATGGACTGTTTGGTAATATTAACTGAGATGATAATTACTCACCCGAGAGAGCCATATCGAACGGGGTTTGATGTGAAGATTCTGAAGATAGTATACTAGTCTGCTCGACAAGTAGTCCTTGATCTGGTTGATAATGACGGTAGAGCTGACATTGATAAGCTTGACATATGTGTACTGCTTCTCATCTTCATCGATGGTCTCATAGACCTTTTCATAGTTGCGAATACGATTGCGGAAATCTTGTGCAGCGACCTCAGGGTCTAGTCCTACATAGTCGGGTGAGGTGGTTTTCACCTCAAGAATATTGTGCATAATGATTTCCTCGTTGTCGCAAACCGATTCGACAAATAAAGTGTCAATGCCTGCATTTTTGCAAGTTTCGTAGATCCAGCGTCGCCGCGCCTTGGTGGAGTTGGTGGCATCAAGTATAGCGACAGTGCCATTTTTCTCCTTAAACCAGCGAAGCATATCGGACACCGCCGCCTCCGCTGCAGCCCTTCTTGCTTTCTCGCCCTCTTTGTTGGCAGGGTCAAAGAAGGCAGCGTTCGGATGAGGAGTGTCTTGACGACGATAAGTGCCTACGTTGAATACCCGGGCAGGAATGCCAACCCATGCCAAATACCGCATTGCTAGCAAACGATGAGTTAGCCTTAGTCTCTACCGCACAGTCCGGATATGCGCCAGTGTTGTCCACGTACCCTTTCCGGAAATGAGGCTCTTGCCCCGGGCGGGCAGACCAACCATGACGACACATATTCTTGAATCATCGGACTATGCAACCACTTTGTTAGAATTCTGGGCTGAATGGTTACAGAAACAGGCGGAATGCAGTACAAAAGATCAACGAGAAAGGCAATAAACTGGTCTAGAAATCAAGAAAAAAAAAGACTGGGTAGATGGAAAATAGGACAGTCAGGGTTGAGCTTGCACAGGAAGGAAAGAATGGGGAAGGCTCATTACTGGAATGCTTAACCGCATTTTGATCCCCATTGGTGCTATGAGCTTCTATTCAGAGGACGATAATCCCAGTGAAGACGACAGGGTATCCTGGGAAGGATATAGTAACGATCACTAGGACGACAGCGCCACTTAGTCGTTGTTGTTATTTGACTATCCAATAGAATAGCGCCTTCCGAGGGGGGGGACAATAACGGCACGGATCCAGTGTTTTGCAAGAGTACGAAGGAGCAATGGGCACAAAAGAGACGCCAGTTCAGCCAGAGGAAACCAGTTCTGATATTGGGCCACGGAATTGTTGGATACAGAAGAGAGCATAGGCAAGCGAGGTAGGAAATGACCGGGATGTCCAGGGTTAAATGTATTCGCAGTGACGAGGCAAATCATTATGCGGAGATTTAGAAGCCGAATGAAAGCCGGAAGATGGAAGCAACGTAAGAAGAAGATCCGGAACCCCAGGCCTAATTTTGGCCAGGTCAATTGTCCCCGCTGTGGCCCCGCAAACGTGCTCGGTTTCCCCGAAAGAGGCTTATACGGGGGTGCGTGACTGTGTTTGGGGTTTTCATTTTTTGGGCGGGCAAGTCTCGAACGAGAACAGCAAGACGATCGTTGACGGAACGAATGGAGCCGCAAGCACCAGACTGCGGTGGCCGGAGGGGATGTTCGCTGGGGATTCTCGCTGTGCTTCTTCGTCACTATCCCGTCGATCCCGGTCGATACCAGATCTGAATGCCCACACCGCTTTCATGGCCTGATCCATGTGCAACACAAATATGGATTGGTTATCGCGACGCTCCGGATACAATCGAGCTAACAACAGTGCGTTATTATTGCTGAATAAGGCCGAGGCAGCCCTGAGATCGGGTGTGCTGACGATTCCCATGACAGAAATATAATATCGCGAGGGTCCACTGCCGGTCCTCGTGAGTTGCGGATCGTTGAGCGAAAAAAGGGAAACGAAGCGTCTGGCCTCGGAAATTCGCAGGGTGGCAATACCGCAATGCTGCAATACCAAATCTCCTTGCGACGCGTAGACCGAAAATAGACTCGTCTCCCCGTCCGTGCCAAAAGCCAAATTACTCAACCTTGCTGAGGGTCATCTGGACGGTGATCGCGACCCTTTCGTGGGGAGGTTCCGGCTGGGACAGGCCACCATCGAGCACTACTGCAGGGGCTGCCTTGATAACAACCTTGAAGGAGCCACGAGTGTAGATACCCTTTTGTAGTGGGTGCCATAAGAATAGAACCAACGGAGATTGGCCCCCAAAATAGTACTTCATCACCGAGAACAAATAATAAAACAAAGGTATTTAGAGAGGAAGAAAAAGCATGGCACAAAAGACAGGAGGGACAAGGCAAAGCTCCCACAAAACAGAAACAGACCAGCGACGGTACAGGCGCACGAGACAAAGCACAGAATCACACAGAGAAAAAGGAAATGATAAAAGCAAACCTTACACTGGCAAAGTAGTTCTTATTGCCCGATTCTGATCGAACGAGGCTACCGGAAATCATGGTGGCCCAGCTGTCTCTATCGAGGAATGAAGGAAAGAATGGACGAAAACGAGAGGACAGTGTTACTCCAGACTGACGAAAGAGAAACCAAAATCGAGCCGAGCAGATCCAGATTCCAGGGAATCAGCGCAATGACCGTGAAGACAGCGCCGGGAAGTAAAAGATACTCGTCGTGTGTGGCAATGGGGAGAAGAGAAGCAAAGGCAGGAAACGTCATGGCGCGGGGCAATCAGCGCTTCCGCTGCAGAACTTGGAGCAGCTTCAACGCTCTCTCCTGCAGCTACAGCTCTTGCTATGCTCTACAGTCAATCCACGCAAAATTCAGGGTATATATTATTTTCTGGCTTTCATTCTATTTGACTTGCTTTCCTTACCCCCCTCCCTTTTTTTTCCCCGACCGTTGTATTATTAACTCCAACTCGAGCGGATGCATCCCTTGGGTAGAAACAAAATGGCAGAGCGCTAGACAGCAACCGGCTTACACGCCAGCAGCGACCTCAGTTGCAACCGGAGCCGTGGTAGTCCTGGCAGCTTCCCACTTGTTCCTCTCGTCAGACTTCCAAGTCTCCCCTCGGGCCCTTTGCACCCGGATAACACCACCCCAAGGACCTTCCAGACCGTTCATAGTATTCAGGGCAGTCTGCGCATCCTCGACGCTGGCGAAATCTACAAAGAGGTAGTAGTGATCACCGGGCTCGAATCGCTTTGCAGGATGCGGCGTGAATAGCTTGCTGACGTGTTCACTGAGAGCGGAATGTTAGTTGATTTTACCAAAAATGAATGGCCAGAGGAAGACATACACATTGAGTCCCTTAAAGAAGTTGGTGATATTGCTGTTGATCGTCTCGGGGTCCGATAATCTTGGGAGTCCACCAACATATACGCGACGACTCTGGTCACTGTCCCCCTTGGAGGGACTAGGAGCAGTATTTCGCTGCCAGCGGTCGAAAGTGGCTGGAGATGTCTTGTCGCTACGAGGGGAGGACTCTGTTCGTTGGGACCGCTCGCCCGAAGATTTGACCAGGCCAGGCTTGACTCTGACAGGACGGCCGAGGAGATCACGACCATTTAGTTGTGCCATGGCCTGATCCGCCTGTTCTTTTGTCTCCAGCTCGACAAAGCAGTACGAAGGATTACGCCCCGTAAAGGGGTCTATGGCAATGTCGACACGCTCGCTGTGAAGAACGGGGTTTGATCGTCAGCGTCATCACACTGGGGAGTCTCGACGAGACAAGTGATATGTTCCATACATCTTGTATCCTTCCGCAGTGAATAGTGCTTGTACATCCTCCAACTTGGCTGTGTAAGGCATATTTCCCACGTACAGGCGTCTCCCTTCAGAGATGGCCTGGGGGACATGGGAGCTTGGTCTGCTGAAGGCGAATCTCGATGTGCTTATTTTCATGCTGGGTGACCCGGGGCTCTGTGCACTCGTGTCCGGGCTTTGCTCTGACTTCACACGCCAGTTAGGTGAGTTGAAAGCACGCCCGGTCGTTCTGACTCCATTTTGGAAAGGAGACCTCGGAGCTATGGACCCGATCAGTGATTTAGACCAGCCCTGGATGAAGAATGAATAGCCCAAAGGCCTTTCCCTACACACTTTGTTCCTGTGGTCTGGGGCTGTCGGGTGCGTCAGACATAGTGTTTTTGGAGTTGTGGTGAGTTAATCTGTTATTGAAATGGTCCCGTACGCGAATTTGAATCGGACTATATAGATCGATAGATATGAGAAGGCGGCCTAGACATCTTCGTAGTAAGAGATTCGTACCTTTCAAGAGATATGGAGGCGGGATCCTTGGATATGGCGAATGCTCTCGATTTAAAAAAGACGATAGAGAGAGAATAAGAGGCTGTCAATCTTTTAGAAAGTAGAAAAATGCAATCCAGAGATATATGCTGGAACAATCTGCGCCCTTCTTTCTTTTCTTCAATCTAAAACGCCTTTTTTTTTTTTTTTTTTTCTCCGGGCGGTGAGCAGAATCCAAACTTAGCAAACATGCAAAGGCTGCAAAGTATTCCCAAAGAGGTAATAAATGCATTTATTGACAGCTTTTCTCTCTCTCTTTCTCTCTTCATTCATTCATTTATTGATAGATGCCTCTATTTTTATTGAAAGTTTTAATTCGCCTCACCAAACCTCCTTTGAGCAGTGGGCTGTATTTCTGTGTCTGTTTTCAGTATGTTCGAGATGAACTAGGGCCAGGTTAATTCAATGATCATATTGAGGATGATGCGGCATTACTCTTCGAAGAGTCTTGGTATCGTTTAAATATTACCTCGATATCATATTTGTACATGATTATTTCCAGTTCTAAGAAATATCATGTAGAATCTGCATACTGTCGATAATGAGTTTCGCAGCCGATTTAGGGCCGGTTGCGGTAGCGTTCCGACCCAGGGCCTCGTCCATACTGATAATACCGCATGAAGCGTAGTTGAGGAATAACTTATTGCATAGAAGACAGGCATACCATCCTAAGAGGGTCGAAAGTAGGAACAATTTGGTGTTGATGAAGGTGGGAATTGCCCTTATATTTGACCGTCTAAATGATATACATTATGAAACCATGAAGCCCCAAGTTCTCCGGAGAATCGTCCCAAAACGACTCCGAAAACTCACAACCCAGGTCCTGGCCCCAGCCAAGGGAGGCTATTCAGAGCATCTGGTTGTATAGTCTGTCTCGCCGACTGAAGTCTAGACGGTTGCGAAGAGCGGTTAATCGTCTGACGACGACGATGATGATGCTGGACTTATTGAACTTGAGTATGAGCCTGCTGTTACCCGTATATGCGCCAGGTTCCTATAAAATCATAAAGCATACTGGCGCCCATACGGCTCCTTGCGCGGAATGTGGGTTCCTGGCTTTGCAGTTCTGTGTCGCTCTCCCCGCCCCGCCATAATAGTTTGATAACGTTCACCATTCATTTCAGAGATCAGACTCGCTGCTGTAGATTGAGGGGCACTGGACTGAACAGCGGTGGGTGGCGAAAGAGGCGGAGTTGTACAGTATATGCCCCATGTTGCTACCTAAGGGTGAGAGCATTGTAGCATAGCTGGAATGAATAACGCGGAAGATGACAAGAGCAGCGGGGAGAATAATCTGCAGCTGCAGATGAGGCATATAATAGTTCTTTATGCGCTGCCTTGTGGGAAATGACTGTGCTGATCATGAAGCGGCCGTTGCGTAGGCTCGGAGAACTCCGTTCCTGCGTTGCTCGCTTTGCGTTGTCTCCACGAAGTACATGCACTGAAAGTACAGCTTTGCGGAGTGAAGGCGAAGAAGGTTGTTGAATCAGAGTCCCTTGCCAAGGCTTTCTTGTAGTAGATCGAAGATTTCCTCCACTGTGTCCATTCTCATGAAAATGCCTCTGCGGAAGGAGGATGGATAGGGGTTCGTTCTCCAACAGGGTACGAAACGCACGATAGCTGCATTCTTGGTTAGATTATGCTGTAGTTCCAAAGGGGCTTTTGTCGTAATATCCGCTTTGCGCAACTGGGCAACCATGTCATCCATGAGCGAGGCAAGCGGTAGGAGACCCTGGTCCATTGTAAGGCTGGCGTCCGGTCCATTCAGTTAGCATAAATACTCTGATCTAGGAGGAAGGAGAAAAGAGAGAGAGAGTAAGAGGACCTGAATCTCTGCAGCGCCTTGCGAATTGTCCAGCAACGGTAACATTGGACGATATTTTTCTAAAGAAGCTGGTTGAAACAATGCCAACGCCGTTAGTAAACCCATCCAACTAATCCCAAGCAGACAGGCAATTCATCTTACATGGCGATTAATTGATTCGCCTGGTCAATAGTCAACGTCACATCGCCAATTGTGTACACTTCACCAACATCGTGAGGTTCTTCGCGGCTCGCAATGTGCCCATGTTCACTGGGGGTCTCGATTCGCGACACATGCCTGGGCGATAATTCAGATCCATCGTGCAGTTGATATTCAGTCTCATGCATCGTGCGCAATGAAATGTTCGCATTCCACAGCAGCTCTTGTTCTATCGGCATGGCGTGCAGGCGAAGCGGGCGCGTCTTGGGTGTTCCATGATGAGGTTAAAGCCCAGCTCAGGCACGGTAGAATCGAAGATTCTGTGCAGCTATAACTGTAGCTATCAGGTCAATGCAAAGTATCGTTTGAGAATGTTCACGCCCAGAAAGACTTTGGAGTTGACTGACTGATGACGCGGGACGGCCAGTTCTACCGAAACCAGCATCTACGCATGTTCTTCAACGCTGTCTGCTCGATATCCTCTTCTCCCACCATCTACATGCACAGTGCTGTATGTGGATTATGGATGGCAAATGGCAAAGCACAATGGCATGGGATACGCCAGTATCAACAGATGGAAACATGGATATCGCAGTGGCTCGGGCAACATCTGCGAAATGACATCACGTACGGGACAGCTAAAATGGAAACGAAACCCACAGGATCGATCTGAGAGACAGCATCTCTTGTGCCGGAACTGAAGCTTATAATTGATGGTATCGTCGCTGTTGAAATGACAACCACAAGCTGGAACAGAAATAAGATGAGACTCTTCCTAATCCGTCACGCAGAATGCCAACAGAACGTCGGACAAGCAGCGTATGCATATACTTTCATGCTGTATATATGTACAAATATTCCTAGGATCAAAGCTAACCACATCTTCCCTATAAACGGGGTAAGCCTCTTACCAGAGCCACCGACGAAAGCAACTCAGGCCTCACAGAAACCGGGAAAACCCAAGTCCAACACCTAGCCCGCTACTTTCGGGACAATCTCGTGCAATTCTCGCACATCTTCTCCTCGGATCTCGACAGAGCCACTGATACAGCGCAGACTATATGTAAGTACCAGCTTGGTGCGGGCGCCGCACGACTGGCCCCCATCCAGACGCACCTGCTGCGCGAGCAGCAGATTGCATCCCCTGGTTCCCTGGAAGGGACGAGATGGAAATCCGGTGCGCCTGCATCAAGTACTGGTTCCCCCGATGGGCTGGCGGGTGGGGAGCCCGGTTACACTGGAGAGGAGAGTTTGGGACAGATGAAGGCGCGGGCATCCTCTTTTCTGAGAGATTTTGTCCTTCCGTTGCTTGATGGGCCGCCGTCTAGGGGAAATAACAAAGAAGAGGTCGTTGCTGTCATCGCTCACGGCATGATCCTCCAAGTCCTCTGGATCTGTCTGGCTGATTTCTTCGATCCGGGCGACATCCATTTCGGACCAGGAGTGTCGCAGGCTGATTTCGCGGATCAGGTTGCCCCCATCTGGTCGAATACGGGGGTCATGGAGTTGGATATCAAGCCTGGGAGAGGTGGTGTTGCTAACACCACAACTGCAGCTGGTGCTATTACCGCTTCAAACACGCAGCAACAACGACTACTCCCTCTGTTCTCACCGGGTCCATACAGAGAGCCGTGGGGACAGGGACTGGCCCCACCATTTGCGGGTTGGTCAATGACCATTCTGGCTGTGGACAGCACGACGCATCTGTCTACTACCCAGATTGGACGGACTGGGGGGACGGTGCGGAATACTGTACATGGGTCGCGACAGGGGCCTATGGATGAATTCTATGGAATAACAGGGGCTGCATAGCTGAAAGTAAATAGACTGGATAGACTTGATTAAAATGAATAGATTGATGATTCAGAGTGCTGGCGATAGCCATACACATTGCTTCCTGAGAGGTGTCACTGAACACAACCAGAAACGCTCAATCGTAATTGTATGATACATCTATATATATGAAATAAAATAAACGAAAAACTTGAAAACAAGTCGGTGAATTCATGCTTCATTAAACCCAACATCGTTCGCACCCGGCCACACCTCTTCCCTCTCATACAAGATTTCCGGCTCCACGTCCTGCCACAAGATATACCGACGAACGAAGTAGGGAATCTGCCGTAATCCGTACTGAGCATGGAACCAAGAAGGCACGGAGAAGACCTGATCGAGTTCCTCGAGCGTCTTGCCCTTCGTTTCCGGCATGAAGAGCAAGACAAGCCACCAGCCGACCACATTCCAGGCAGCGTACCACCCCAAGCCACCCTGGGGTTTGAAAGCGTTTTCCATCGACGGCCAAGTGATGGCGAGGAGGGCGTTGAAGAACCACGTCGTGGCCGTGGCTAGGGCCATGCCGTATGAACGGACGTAGAGCGGGTACGCTTCGGCTGAGTAGGTGTACGGGACGGGTCCTTCGCCGGGTGAGTATACGACGCCGAATAGGTAGATACCGAGTATGACGCAGGCTTTGCGGGCGGCGCTGTTTTCGGCGATCCAGAAACTGAAGCCCGTGAAGAGCATGGTCACGGACATGAGTGGGAAGGTAGTCAGGAGGAGATTGCGGCGACCGAAGGTATCGATCGTGTAGATGGCTGGGATGGCGAAGAGCCAGTTGATCACCCCGAAACCGAGAGAGCAGGCCAGCGCCCCGGCGAATTCAGAGTAGTCTTCAGTCGATCCGGACTGGCCTGACCTGAGGAATATCCCGGACGAATAATACGCGAGGACGTTGACGCCGCAGAACTGTTTCTGTTAGAATGGGGGTTATAGCCTTGGAGAGCTGCGGGTCCTCACCTGCTGCATGAACATGACTATCTCACTCGCAATCATCGCGCGGCGGTTACGAGGAACAGTAACCAGTTCCAACAATTTACTCTGTCCCAGTGTCATGCCCTTTTCCGCCTCCAAAAGGGTGTACATGTAGTAGAGATCTCGCGCAGCCTGGATCTTATGCCGGCGTAGACTGCACATGGACCGGTACGCCTTGTTGTACTGTTTCTTACTCATATACCAACGGGGAGACTCCGGGCAGTAGAAGACAAAGCAACAGACCACGACGGCGGGAAACATAGCGGAGCCCATCATGAGGCGCCAGTTGAGACCAACAATGCCCGTCAGGTCCTCGACCTTGTAGAAGGCAAGGTCCGCGGCATAGCCGAACATGATCCCAAACGCCGTCCACATCTGCCACTGCAGGACCAAGGCACCTCGAATGGCCGGAGGCGCGGTTTCAGCAGCATAGATGGGGACAGTCGCCGACTTTGGGCCGATTCCGAAACCCAGCATGAAACGGGCAACGAACATGTGCCACCAGGAGTTGACGAATCCTTGCCAGAAACAGGTGATTGCAGAGAAGCAACAGGTGAGGAAGATGGTCCCTCGACGGCCAAACCAGTGATTGAATGGGACAGTCAGCCAGCAGCCGATGAAGGCGCAGCATATGTACGGGGCCGAGTTCACGAGTCCAACGAGCCAGCTGGATCTAGAACCTCCTTTTCCTTCTTCGGTGGAGATACCGAACTGGATTTTGTAGAGTTCTTGGGCACCGTTGACGACGCTTTCATCTAAACATGGCATGTTTAGCTTTCCCCTTCTGTCTTCTTCATAAATAGCAAGTCAACCGACTTACCCATTCCTTGGACAGCTGCCGAGAGAGAGCAGAGCATGATGACCACGTACATTAAGATGGGCTGAGACCACCGATTGGTAAATTCATCTCTCAGAATCTCACGCTCCTCTGGCGTCAAGGCCTGGACACGATCAAACTTCTCTGGTGCCTGGGCCAGCACAGCGCCCAATTCAAAGGCGCGCACATCCTCTGCGCCATCACCCACGAGATTGGTAGCCACGAAGTCATAGCCTTGTCTCCGTAGCTCTTCATTGGAATAGCCAGCGAGAGGATTGGCAAGTTTGGCGTTTAGATTACGCCGTGCACGCTCCGCCACAGTCCCGAGGGTAGGGGGGCAGAAGGCGCGTCTCTCCTCGGCAATATCCTCGATATTGACCGCATGCTGCTCAAAGGCAGGATCCTCCAGCAGTCCGTCTTCTTTTCTTGCAGGCATTTTTGCGTTCTTGCTCTCTCTCCCCGCCTTACCAAGCCGCTGTGTTGGAAGCATGAATAATGCCTTCGAGAACAATAGAAAGAGCGAACGAGGAATGAGAAGAAAGAACGACAAAGGATTTCAAATCAGGAGGGCGAATTCACGAGCAGAGGGCATCGCAATTTCAGCTGTCAGCAGCTCCGGTTCAAGCTGCATAGGCGTCTGAGCGTCCTTCGAGGCAAAGTCAAGGACAACAAAGAGCGGCAGGGTCGAAATGTTTCAGCGAAGCCAGGTCCTGCGACACAAGCGCCCCGAGTGTTCTTCCATAAATAGTAGTAGATAGGACAGAGTCATTAATAAAAAAGAGATAGAGAATGATATATATAATCTTATAATAAATAGACCGAGGCCGGGCGTGCTGGGGCTCTGTCGGTTAACGCCCGACAAGTCAAGAAACACGCGACCCCACCCAAGAGAACAGAACCTGGGAAGTTTATAATATGTAATGGAACGACTCAGAGATCGACAGACGGCGAGAAAGAGGAAAATTCGATCGGAAAAACGGAGCAGGCGATGGAATCATTCGTGGAGAGCAGTGAGGCAGCGTTGATCCCTGAAGGAATCCCGCGTCGACCACGCCAGTGGTGATGATTTGGCCTAGTTGGCCTCTTGCAGGCATCGACGGTGTCAGACGGACTGGATTGCTTTTAATTTTAGCGTTGCAAAGCCAGCTGCTTGCGGGATTATCCAACCTGTACTCTTGCCGTTAGCAGAAGGCTGAGTCTGTGACTCTGTGCAGATACTAGGCAGAAAGACCTGGGGAAATCCGGGGAAGTTCATACTTAGTATTGTTATAATGAGCCTTACACGTCTCCACCACAATCTCTCGTTAACCCCGCAGAAATGCTTCCTTGGCGATATGATATCATGTGTCTACATCTAGGGAGGTCTGTGGGAACTAAAATTCTAATAAAAAAATTATCCGAGTCGGTGGATTGTTTTGATTCTTCTCCAAGGTGGTCTACATACACGCACGCAGCACATCCAGCATAATCCAGAAAGCGAAATAACCTGTAAAGTTTGAAGAACTAGCCTGAAATAAGTGCAGGGGTATCCATTGTGATCGTAATTTGTCAGAATCGTAGTCTGTCATATTCAAGGAGGACTTATAACTTGCAATCTCACCCTCGTTCACCAACCCCAAATGCACATAAGATCCCCACCACGCGCAGTCCAATATTCCTCAACTGGTTTGTCCAACAATTCATCCCTCGCGAATCTGGGAACCTTGCTCAGTCGCAGCATGACTGGCTGGATGTACTGAGTTTTGCAACGGTTCAGCGAGGTGATATAGGATTCCGAGTTCGAGACACATTCGTTGAGCAATTTCTGCAGCTTGATCACACAAGAATGCATTGCCTTGAATGCAGGATTGACATCGCCCGTGTCTCCGTTGTTGGCACCTATCCAACCGACATAGACGTTCGCATAGGGTTCGAAGACATAGACTTCGTACAGCTTCAGAAGCTTCTTCACGAACATACTCTCCACGATAGGAGGCTTGCGGAGGTTCCGTGCCGCTATTTTCACCATTCGCTCATAGAGAAGGGCCGGGTCCGCCATGCTGGCCTTGCTGAGGTTACGAAGCATCAATTCAGTGTTCTCGGCGGCCAGAGTATCGTTCTTGGCACGCTCGTGGATATCGACAATCCGCTTTTCAATCTTGCTTGCCATCCTGGAGACATCGGTAGCCCGATCTATGCCCTCGAGGCTGTTCGTTTCAGGAAAGTACTCACGCAAATAGCTCAGGGCATGGTTGACTCTAAGAACCATGTTGATCATAAATCGAAAGTGGTCACAAATGGCCGAGTCGATACCCGGGTGCCAGGTCAGGGTCTGTATATCGTTTAGGACGTATGTCTCCGCGTTGCCAGAGCTCCTGTTGCTAAATTCACTGGGGTAGGAGACATCCAGTTCAGAGTCAGTCTCGAGCATGAATTTTGTGGCCGCTTCAGAGACCTTTGGCATAGCAAAATTGTATGACGCCTCAACCTGACGATCGATATTCTGGGTGCTCTCACAGTTCTCATAGTAGCCAGGAAAAGGCTCAGTTTCAGAGTCATCCTCGAGGTCAAGGTCAGATTTCGAGACGACTACGACCATGTCATCGTCGCTGCCGCTCTGTCCCTTGTCCATCTGGCAGTTGTCGTCCGGGATGTCGACAGCATCGATGATTTCAAAGCCGTTGCTCCTATCACTGCCAGCTGGAAGAGAAGTTGCCTCCTGGGTTTGTCCAGAGATACTCATCATGTAACTCCAAATAATAGAGGCCATTGTTAAAAAGGAACTGTGCTAATATAAAGCTACTTTTCTGTGGATGGCAAGCAAGAACTGGGTGGTAAAGAGTAATCAATGTAATTTGATGCAGGATGCTGTCTTTGACAGTTAAGAAGAGGATAAAAAAGTATGTAGAGAGATATGAGGAGAAGAGAGACCAGCCCAAATAAGATGAGGTGCAACAGCGTTAATGTAGTAACAATCCTGGAGCAATCCGTGGAGAGTCCCATTCACTTTGTAGAAATCTCCCAAAGGAGACCCCCAAAGGAGGCTTCCATTGCCAACAATATAGCCATTTGTGACTCTTTGTCTGTGAGGCTTCTTTCGGGTCAATCCATTCTGTCTCTCTGACTTTCGAACAGCTTCACCCCAACCAATACATGCTAGCTTGTGTGTTATAGCCAGCAATATGAAGGTATAGGGGATGCAGTACCGGTCTTGCAGACCTGGCCGTCTTCAAATCAAGTCGGTTGTTGACATTTGGAAAGTTGGCAGTGTAGGAAAACTGTCAGATTGACAGATGTATACTGAACATTTCGGTCGCCACCAAAGAACTCAGAGGACAATGGTCTTTCAGCAGAGCTCTGCATTGTCCTGGGCATCTGGACAGGTAGGGCCTAACAATGAAGATTAGTACAGCCATTCCAAGCAGTTGAATTCTGGCCGGGCAACATACAGTGCTTGAGCCCTACTGCGGTGAACAAAAATCTATAATCCTACTTCTTCACAAGTTCCAAATCCAAGTAGAACCATGAAATATATTCTGTCAGATTGATCTAGATTCAATACCAAAACTCCATAGGGAGGAATAATATATACGTTGCATGAATGTATGTACCGCCATTCAATCCAAAAACGCCCAAGATGCACTGAAGCGCTCCATACCGATCGAATCAGATTATACGGCCTGACCTCCCCCCCAGACACGTTTGATTAATGAAGCAAGGACAATGAAGGAAAGAAACAAAACGTTGCAATCTAATCGTCCTGCTTCTCAAACGATGAGATCCAGGGGTTAATAGAGGACAATAGCGTTCTTCGCACATTGACTGATTGACACCTCATTGGCAGGAGTGTGACAACTCAAAGTTGTGCGATGGAGTGATGTAACAAAATCATAATGACTGGAAGGACATAGGGAAAAAGCAGAGAGAATAGTTGGATTCGAGCTAGCCATGCACTGGACAAATATCAGTTGTTCTTCTTAGACCGTTCTTTGTCTTCAGCAGGCACGGCATATTCATCGTCATCATCATCTGCCAAAGGAACGTCCATGACACGTTCCCCAGCTTTTACCAAGGTACTTCGACTCCAGGCCCTCACGGCTTTGTAAACAGTCTATGAAAGTCAGTAGTGGGAACAACACATCGACGAGAGGCCACCTACCACAAGGAAGTGCCCAACGCCAATCAGAACAACTATCCAGCTAAATGAGGCGACCCGGCTCCTGCCAGTCACTCCGCCTCTGCGGACGAAGCCTGAGCCACGTAGGTTCCATAGATTCCACACTGATGCTGCAAGCGTAGCCTTCAAAAAGGACAAGACACCTAGAGTTGCAAGTCCTTTAACAAAGTGCTCTAGCCAAGTGCCCCTCTTATCAGCTGGAACAGCCCCGGCCCAATTGTTCTGCTCCCAGAACTCAGTGTAGTAAATGGTCTCCAAAGGATCCACGTAGAGATTGATAAGCGGGTCAGCAATGAATCCTAGTAGAAACACACTGAACCACAAGATGCTGATAGTCAAGCCGAGTTGTAGCCAAGAGCTGCTAATCCAGCGGGCCCATCTCAAACGTTCTAACCGGTATTGGAACCTGCATGTTGGACACTGCCAATAATTTCTGCTGCCATGCGACTCCTGTCGCCAGAGTCTGAGACAGCCCTCGTGGACATATCGCGAAGACCCTTTGCATTTGCAGGGACGCAACAGTCGACCAAGCTCACGATCTGAAGATTCATACACTACTCGTGGTCTTGGTTGAAGGAATTTTGGCAAGTTGTCAGAGGGAGGGAGGAAAGTTGGGTCAACACTTTCAAGACAAATGCGGCATGTCCGAGGGGGGTAATATCTCTCATGGGTTCCCGACAGGGCTCCCGAGCCAGGCGCCTCATGAGCGACCCCAGAATTGGAATTTGTTCCCAAACCCCCGGTGGCAGAGGATGATCCCGACGACTCTCCAGACGAGCCAGGAACAGACATACCGACAACAGTCAACAGTCAACAGAACAAGAAAATCAGCGGCAAGGCGTCATCAACAGTATTCGTACGCTGGACATATCTAAAGCTGTCCGCTCGAGACAAACCGCATACGGCATCGAGCAGGGACAGGACATGGAGGAAGCTACAGGAGAAGAAAGCAGGGGGGGAAAAGAACGGAAGAGAAGGAATTCTTTTGTGGATGGAAGAGCTCCACGTGGACCATACCCGAAAGGGAGGTTCTCTCTCACCGCCCAGACAGGCTTGGCATCATATCGTCAACACGTTCTATTACGGAAGCGCTCCCAGGAAGCTCCAGCTTCACTTCCCTTTCCCAGCTCTTCTCCCATCCTCGCCCGCGTTTAGAACTCCGTGTAACAAGTTTAAAGCTATGGCGGACCGTTATTCTTTCTCCCTGACTACTTTCTCCCCCAGGTACGAATGGAGCTGCCCATCAGTTGCTGTGGGATGACACTGCTAACAACAGCTCACAGTGGAAAGCTGGTTCAGATTGGTAACTATAGCTTGAGCTATTGGTTGTCGTCCTATGTTGCTGATTATCCCAGAATATGCCTTGAATGCGGTTAACAGCGGGGTAACTGCCCTGGGAATCAAAGGTACTACTCTCCGCCATCGTTTCCCGTTAGTAGCTTTGGAGAGCACTAGCTGAGGTTAATCACTGTATTTCTTTTATAGCTACGAATGGAATCGTTCTTGCTACTGAGAAGAAGTCATCGTCACCACTCGTTGATGCGAATTCACTTTCCAAGATTTCCCTCATTACCCCAGATATCGGTATGGTCTATGCCGGCATGAGTCCCGACTACCGCGTGCTTGTCGATAAAGCACGGAAGGTCTCACACACTGGCTACAAGCGTATCTATAATGAATACCCACCGACTCGGATACTAGTGCAGGATGTTGCGCGTGTTGTGCAGGAGGCGACACAGTCCGGTGGTGTTAGACCTTACGGTGTCAGCCTACTAGTCGCTGGCTGGGACGACGGCGTTGAGCCCGCGACTGGAGAAGCTCAGAAAGGAGATGAAGGGGAAGAGCCGAAAAAGGCTCCGGGGAAGACTGGTGGTATTCTGAAAGGCGGTCCCAGTTTGTACCAGGTCGACCCCAACGGCAGTTATTACCCTTGGAAGGCCACTGCCATTGGGAAACATGCAACAAGTGCAAAGACATTTCTTGAGAAGCGTTACACGGAGGGGCTAGAGCTCGAAGATGCCATTCACATTGCTCTACTTACTCTGAAGGAGACTATTGAGGGTGAAATGAATGGGGACACAATAGAGATTGGTAAGCCCAGTTTCATTCGTTGACACTGGACGTTTAAATGGCGAGAGACGATGTGCTAATAGTTGACTATGGGCAGGCATTGTTGGCCCGCCTGCTGATCATCTGCTGGGCTTCCAAGGTGTGGCGGGAGCCAGGGGACCTAGATTCAGGAAGCTGAGCAAGGAGGAGATCGAAGACTACCTTACCAGTCTATGATTTAATCACGTCAGTATGGGTGTTTGGATTTTATCGGGCCTAGTGATATAGTAGACCTTTGAAATCTTCTGATGAGACTCCCTCGTCTTCCCAACGGAGGCAGCTCCCTCTTGTCCAGGGACCATCCATCTAAGTAATGCGACTAAAATAAAACACCTTTCTTGAGAAAATAGTTCCTATTTGTAATGACTAGTTTTGGTCACAATCTCAATGTCTCTTTATCTCGCTATTCATGTATTCCCTCTCATCCCATGTCTCAACCCTCATATGGAAACATTGAAAATGTTTTGAGTATGAGTAAATGAGGAGAGCAAAGAAGAATGCAAGGAGGGAACAAACCGAACAAGAGCATCAATGCCTATGACATCCTAAGGCATTATCATCATCTGAAAGTGAAATGAATGCCTAGGTATTAATATGGACAACCTTTGCACGATCCAAGAACCCCGCAACATCCCGCACAGGAGAAAATCGGAATTTCTGGACATCATCACGCCGGGTGAGATATGAGAAGAGCTATTCTTCCTCTTCCTTCGCAAAAAGGTCCGTCTATCATGGCATCGGCGATATCCGCAACGAATCATGATGGATATTGACCCCTTTTCGCTGTCCAAATTGGCCGAAGGCGTGGATGCGCGCTGATGCCCGAACGTGCTTTCATCAAGGGATCATTCCATGCATTAATTAGTAGGCATTATTCTCCTATGGCGTTCTTGCCGGGTGTCCCCGCTTGCATTTCATTGCATTCTATCTCTTTATTAAAAATTTTTTCTTGTTGCCCATTTATACAGATTGATAATCGGGCGTTCTCGACGTGGCCCCAGTGGCTCTTTTCCCCCCAATTCTTCCTTCTGTCCTGGTCCAGAACCGACAATTTTTGTTTTCTTCTTTATTTTCGTCTCTTTCTCTCTTGCTTTGCTTTTTCTTCAATAATAAACGGCGTCAAGAAAGTGGGAATGAAGTCTAAATATTGTGGATGCTGAAAAGTATGTCAACCCGATTCTAGGAGACCACCCTGTCGTGGCGATTCTCTTTCATTATTGTCTCTCAAATTTTCCTGAAGAATAAGGTATATATCGTTGAATGGCTGTCTTGAATTTCTATACCCATTTTGGGTTGATCGTTCATATAGAGGCGTCCGCTTTGTACTGACGCATCTGCAGTAGATACTCGATGCATTCTCAACCGCCTCGTAGGCCAAGAATGAGCAGGCAAGGTTCTTTGAGAGGTTCTTCGAATCAGATCACACCCGGGAGTGTACCTTCCAGCAGCAGCCAACTATCTCGGGACTTAAGTATAGCTAGTCTCGGTCAGTCGCAAAGGAAGCACGAAGGCTACGGCACAAAGAAGCACATCACAGTCATCACGGGAAGGGTGCACTCCACGGATGATGTCCCGTCGCTGTATATAGGCTCTCTCACGTCATCACCGACGGTTACAACACTGGATACAAAGATAATGGCCTCAGAACCCGCTGGCAACAATACTGTCCTCGAGGAAGACGAGACGGGAGCTCTTATCGTTTCACGAAATGCTTCCCCAGCCCACCACCCTGGGTACATGTGTCTTTTCCACATTCTCAACTGCTATGAGACGTTTGACAACGCTGAGCAATGGAAGACTCACATTCTCAGTCACTTTCGTACCCATCCGCCGCCCAAGTCGGCCCGGTGTCCACTGTGCCCGGATAAGAAGTTCACGACCAATTCATCTTCAACTCTCCACAGCAGTGCCTGGGATCTCATGCTGGACCACATCATCACAGTACACTACCACCGGGGTCAGACCCTTGCAGGAAGCCGCCCCGATTTCGAGTTGATGCAATACCTCTACCGTTTGCGGATCATCAGTGATGCACAGTTCAAGACGATACAGCTTGCGCCATCTTCGTCGAGTCCTGCTTATCATCGGTCTCAGGACTCGGTGAGGGAGAGCATTGGCTCGACGGACGAGCCATACTATGCTCCATATAGCCGTCGGAGGGAGAAGAGGCTGCGTAGTCACAGTCGGGGAATTAGTGTTGCATGAGAGATATATCATTTGCGGAAGTATTTGTTATGGCATTTTCTGGGTTATCAAGCGTGGGCATGGCATATAGACTTGCTATTTTTTTTAAAAAAAAAATTTATTTATTTTTTTGCATAAGAGTTCACAGAATTCAGGAGGACTCATGGAAATAGGCCATTCAATACTAGATGAGGCATGAAGTGATGTATTCCAGAAGAAGCTCCATGATGTACCTATTTATCTGCATGGAGCGACAACAAACAGAGCAAACACGGGACACCGGTGTCTTCCCTTTCCCATCCAAGTCGAATCAATCAATGGCGCGAGTACAGAGTATTTTCTGCAATTGATATCATCCTTCCCTTCGTATTATACATGCAGTTCCACATTTCATCACAGAATGATAGCGTCGTTGGCACAACCGCACACCTGAAATAGCGATCGATAACCTTGCAATTTTGACGAAAATCCGACACCTCACGTTCCCCCCCGCAGACCCCTCCAGCGGCACAATGGAACGACTCTCGATTAATGACAATCACGTTGGACCCCAGCATGGAAATGCGCTGCAGGGCTCTAGCAATAATCCTCAGGGTGTCATGGGTCCGCCTCTAGGGCCCTCGATGCCTCCTCAGGGACCCCCGCAATTACCGCCCCAGATGTTTACTACTGCTGCGCAGTTGTTGGATTTAACAGATAGTCAGTTTTTCATATATATATATATATATATATATACACCTCTCTATCCTCTTCCATGGCAGATTTTCCAGGAATCCCTCTTATCTATTTGCTTTCTGTGTATTGTTCCGTTCAGAAAAGACTTGGAGTGTCCATGAGACTGACCCTGCCATATATAGAGAAACTAGTTCTCGTACTCCGCGATGGAAGGAAATTGATTGGGGTTTTGAGAAGCTGGGATCAGTTCGGTATGCGCAGCGTCGTTTCGTTTGCTTTTCTTTTTGAAGTCGAGGAGCCTAACGCGGCCGGAATTTCTCAGCGAACCTTGTTCTTCAAGATACGATTGAAAGGCTATACGCCGGAAACCTTTACGCCGATATTCCTAGGGGTATCTTCGTGGTTCGGGGAGAGAACGTTCTGTTACTTGGAGAAATTGTATGGGTTTCAAGTCCGGGGAATCGTCCCTCTTTCCAGTGCCTCCAATCCATTTTTTATTAACCACACTCTACGCACGCGCTTTTAGGATCTTGACAAAGAAGACGATATTCCCCCATCGATACAAAAGGCGCCGTTCCAGGAAGTCTTCGAGCTGAAGAAGAAAGAGGACAGCGAGCGGAAACGCAACGATAAGAAGACGCACAGTAAGCTTCACGAACTCGGGTTCGAGGCTGAGCATAGCGGCCAGATTCTATTCTAAGCTTTATTCGGGGGTCGACTCTTACCAATGCAATGAAGAATCTTTTCTGTGTTGTCTGTACGACTCGAGTATATTTTCTGCCACCCGTTCCCTGCAGGGAAGGGCAGTGGCCGGGACATCTCGAACATCATTGATTGAGTCGAGCTTATGGAGTATCTCTCTATTTAGCCGTCACATGGGCGATGTCGTATGATTATTGCCCTTGGGGTTTGCTAAGAGTTTCAAGATGCAGACAATGAAAGACCATATGGGTCGTAGCCTTCTGGGGCCATGAGCTACTGGCGCTCCAAGCTCCCTCGAAGTGTATGAAATTACCGAAGCGCCATCTTCGAAGAGATTCAATGTCATATGTGTGTCTACAGCACCTCTATCTGGTTGATGGTTTCGTGGGCCCTGGATGGCCGTGGAAAATTTTGGGCGATGGCCAGTTCTCAACCCAGTGCTGTACAAGGTAGCAGGTTCTGCAAAAGAATTCTGGATATCGTTACTAGTTTATTTCTTGTTTTCAACCTGTCATTAGGACTGCTGTATGTACTCAATGGAACATTATCTCGAGACTTGAAGCAAGGCGAAGCTGCTTTTGGTCATGTGACTTGGCGGTGAGGCTATCGATATCGCGCTCCAAAAAAAAAAGTCCATCTGCATCTCCCGAAGTGCAAAAACCACACAGACAGAGAAATCTAGAGGCATCCCCTTTGCCTTGGTCTGTCATTCATCATGGCGACCCTGGCAGAGAAGCTCGAGAAAATTAAGTCTCCCAGACTCCAGAATCAGCACCATGTAAGCCTCCAATGCCTTTGAGACGCTCCCGTTTCACAAGCTGATCCCTTCCTGCCGATAACTTAGACTGCAGTGGTGCTCTCCGCAGTGGAAGATACCCTCCGCGACCAAAAAGCAGATTTTTCTCCTACCGCTTATTTTGCGGCGCTTCTTGCGCTGTTGACACAGTCGCTGTCTTCTTCCCAAGGCATCGTCAATAAGGACTTGGCTACTTCCGTCGTCTATCTTCTGGACATCACCGCGGCCTATGTGCCCGCCCCTCTTCTACGTTCCAAATTCTCCCAGATCCTCACCAGTCTCGCTCCCGCCCTTACATTGCCGGATGTTGAAGCACCGTTGTTGAGACCGTCTGTCGGCTGTCTTGAGTCACTGCTCATCGCTCAGGACTCTGCAGCATGGAATTTCCCGCACAGTCAGGTTGGGCCGCGTCGGGCCATTGCTGGGTTATTGGGTTTGGCGGTCGATCACCGTCCCAAAGTGCGCAAAAGGGTGCAGGAGGCATTGATCAAAATTCTCAAGAATCCCCCACCCAGTCCCTCTCTTGACCATCCAGCGGCCGACATGTGTGCCGAGACGTCTCTGCGGACGTTGAGCGACAGCATTGCTGCGGCGTCGAAGCAGAGGAAGGGCGGCCGTCATGGTAGGGAAAATAACGAGCCTTTAGTGGTCCACTCATTGCAGTTGGTGAAGACGGTCGCCGTGGCATCTGGAGGCTGGCCGAGTAGGAAGATCGAACCGCTCTGCGAATTGCTCATGAATGCATCAAGATCAAGCAACGAGTACATCACAATGGGTGCGTTTGAGGTCTTTGAGGTCATCTTTGAGAGTGTAGCGGACGAGTTTTCCTCCTCAAAGCTCCCTCGTCTCCTGGATGCCATATCGGAGCTGAAACCCGCGCAGAACGACTCCCAGCTTCTCCCACCGTGGATTGCGGTGCTATCGCGTGGCTACGAGGTGGCCGCCCATGTCAACCCGGAAGATACGTTCGAGAAACTTCCAGAGTTGTTTAACTTGGTATCTACCTTTCTCGCGTCTCCCTCGCACAATGTCCGGATTTCGGCGTCTGAATGCCTCATCTCGTTCTTGGCCAATTGCGTCCCAGGCAGTGTTATCGTTGAACCGTCAGTGTACGACGAGAAAACTCTCGAAAAGCTGGCCTACGCAGCGACAGACTTGCTTTCCATCAAATACCAAGCGGCGTGGGCTGAAGTGTTCAATGTTTGCTCAGCTATGTTTGACAGCTTCAAATGGCGCTCCAGCCCGTTTCTGGTAGATATTGTCAAGACGATAGGGGATCTGCGCAGCAATGAATCCTTCCATGGGAAAAAGCAGGCGGATGCTGTTCTAGGAAGCGCCGTGCATGCGATGGGTCCCGCGGCAGTCTTGGAGATCTTGCCATTGAACATTGCTCAGCAGAAGGCCGGACAACCTGGTCGAGTCTGGCTGCTGCCTATCATTCGAGATAATGTATCTAACACAAATCTCGGCCACTTCCGCTCTGAGCTTGTTCCTCTGAGTGAATTCCTCTATAAAAAGGTTGCCGAGTACGGGAGCGCTGAAAAGACCGTCGAGGTGAAGATCTTCGAAACGCTCATCCAGCAAACTTGGGCTACTCTTCCAGGCTATTGCGAATTACCCTTGGATTTGGTCGAAGCCTTTGATCAAAGCTTTGCCGAACTTCTTTCCAATGTTCTGTACAGCCAGACGGAGCTGCGGGTCGATATCTGCCGAGGATTGCAGAACCTGGTGGAGTCCAACCAAGCAATTCTGTCCGTGGAGGCTGACAAAGATGATCTGATTCTTCAGAGGAGGATTACAAAGGATGCTGCAATGAAAAACATTGCTCATCTGGCTGGCTTTGCTAGTAACCTCCTGGCTGTCCTGTTTAACGTGTATAGTCAAACACTTCCACACTACAGGGGCTACATCCTTCAATGTATCAATGCCTATTTGAGCATCACCCCTGAAAATGTCAGTGGACGATTCTTCCCTCTCAACTCTTAATATATGCGTTCATTACTGACATACACGGTGTAGGAGCTAAATGACACAATTGTCCGGGTGACTTCGATGCTTGAGTCGTCTCTAAAATCTGAGCAGGAGGCGGCCAAGCAAGGCAACCAGCAGACTGGTTCTGCAGACAAGATGCCACCTACATCGCATACGCTTATGGACCTGGTCATCACTATGTCCATCTATCTGCCGCGCTCAAGCTTTGCGGGCCTCTTTTCACTAGCTTCTGTCATTCTCAATGGCGAGGAATCGGACCAACAGCTGGTTAAAAAGGCTTACAAGTTGATCCCTCGATTAGCAACAACAGAGACAGGGAGAGACGCACTCCTTGAGAGGAGCGGTGAGCTCCAGAGTCTCATCCTTGCGACGGCCGATAAGACTCCGTCCTCTGCCCGTCGGGATCGTCTGCTAGCTATTCACGAGGTTGTCACATACCTGCCAACGTCGGATCTACATTTTATTCCAGCTATTCTTTCTGAGGCCGTCCTCGGCTGCAAGGAGAGCAATGAGAAGGCCAGAACAGCTGCGTTCGAGTTGCTCATTCATCTTGCAAAGAGGACGATCGACCCTGAGCGGAACCCCCCAGGCACCAAGATTCGGAATTCTCTGGTGCCGCATATGCCCAACGATGCACCGGACGCTCCAGCGACACTTGAGGAGTTCTTTACCATGGTATCGGCTGGTCTAGCTGGTAGCTCGCCACACATGGTTGCTGCGTCTGTGGCGGCGCTCTCACGCCTGTTTTTTGATTTCCACACTCAGCTACAGTCGGCGATGCTCGCTGACCTTGTTCAGACAGTCGAACTGTTCCTTACCAGCAACAACCGAGAGATCGTAAGGTCTGTCTTGGGCTTTGTCAAGGTTGCAGTTGTTGTACTCCCGGAGGATACGCTTCGTCCTCGTCTCAATTCGTTAGTCCCAAACCTGATGGTGTGGAGCAAGGAACACAAGGGACGTCTCCGCAGCAAGGTCAAAGGTATCCTCGATCGACTAATGCGCAGATTCGGCGCTCCCCTCCTGGAAGAACTAGTCGGCGAATCCGACCGGAAGCTGGTGGTGAACATCCGCAAGCAGCGCGAGAGACGCAAGCGAGCGAAGAAAGAAGGCGAAGCCGGCGAGGATGAGGAAGAAGAAAACCAAGGCACTGGCCAGCAGAAGAACCGCGGCAGCGGCGGTAAATCGTTTACCAACGCCTTCGACAGTACCGTCTACGGCTCCGACTACTCGGATGATTCCGATGCGGATGATGATGACGCAAGCCAAATCGACATTGACGAAGAAGGCAACACGCAGAGCAAACGATCTTCCAAAGCAAATCGAAAGACATCCAAGCAAGGCGAGCAATACATTCGCGAACTATCACCAGAGGATAACCCTCTTGACCTGCTAGCGCCCGAAGCCCTGGCCAACATTTCCACAACCAAGCCAAGTGTTAGGTTCCTCGACACGGGCCCGGGATCGAAGAAGAAGAACCGACCGGCCAAATTTGGCCCTGATGGCCGCCTCATCATCATCGATGATGACGACGTTGAAATGAGCGGCGGTCTCCCTGCCGATGGTGCCGAGGAGCAAGCAGGAGAAAGTAGCGTCAACGCATATCTCGCTGCGGTGAGCGGACCTGACGCTATTCGCCGCGGCCAGAAGGGCAAACTGAAAATATCACAAGCCCAGAAACGGAAGAAGGACCGTGATGCGGACGGTATGGACCTTGACGACGACGACAATGATGACAATCAAAAAAATGCTTCTGCTAAGGGATCCAATCCCAACGGCCGTCGTGGACTAGGAATTCCCAAAACTCATGGACCCAGTGGAAGCGGTCGTGTAATGAAGAGGAACCCGAATAAGAACAGGAGCGGGCGGAACTTTAGAGTCGGGAAGAGGAGGTGATTGAAAGAAAACGAAAAAGAAAAGGGAAAGAAAAGGAAATGATGGCCACAATTGTGATTTTCTACAGCTGATGCCCTATTTTTAGGATTATACTATATGTTTATGCTTGGAGATGCTACTAGATTTCTCTTCATTTCATTTCACCTTTCAACATGGAAGGTAGTTATGTTTCTTTTCCTCCTTTGCCTTATGAATGAACTTTTTTTTTTCCAAAGTACATACCCTGTTGGTAGCTTCTAAGTATATGATATGATATGGTACGGAAGAAAAACAGGGTATCATTTGCTTTCATTCCAGAGTAGTCCGAACTCCATGGTCTAATATTAATTACAGCTGGAATGATCATGTCTGTTTTTATTTTCTTTTTTCTTTAGTTGAATTTCCCTTTCCTCACTTCCCAGCCAGGGAAATAATAGTATCAGAGAATTGAAAAGTAGATGCAGGGATGAAGAAAAAGAATATTAACAAGGTAAAGAGAAGAAAAGAAAGCCTGTCCTGTTTACGCCGAGGCAGTTCAGTTCTAGACACAAGACACAAACAAACAAATAAAACAAAACAAACAGCCCGGATCCGGATAATAATTCGACCGCATAGGTATCATATACACAATATTACTCCGCAGAAAGAACCTCTTAAAACCAACAAACGCCAGACAGGTCACGGATTCGTCATGTTCCTTCCCAAAAAGAAAGAGAAACAGTCATTACTGAGGACGCTTTCTAGCTTTACGCAACCATTTCACCCACCAGTTACTAACACCCAGCACCGCGGCACGGCCGTCGTCTTTCTCCCGCTCGGCGCTGTCTGGTTCCGGGTTGCCCAAGATCATGGCGAAGAGCCAGAAGAACGCTGCTGTCCACGCAGTGAGGACGAGTCCGATGGATAGGAAAGAAGAGAGGGAGAGGACAAGAATCAACCAGGGTATCGAGTAGTACTTGCTCGACCCTGAGGGTATGGATTCATTGGAGTTATCGTTGATCCGCTGCGTGGATGATCGGCGACTGGGCGGTATTTGCGCGCAGACTAAGCGCTCGTGGACATGTAATACCGGTGCTAACAGGTCACAGAGCTGTGCGCTGAAGGATGTGGATTTGAAGCACGAAGTGAGAGAGCAGATGCGAAGGGGAGAGACAAGGAGGACGAAGAAGAGGGACATGATCGTATAGAGGCAGGAGACTAGAGAAAAGAGGGGGACAGGGATCGATAATCGAAACTAGGAAAAGGGAAGAGTTAGTTTGCTACGGGAACAAAGTTCGAGCTTATGACGTGAAGTGGGGAAGGCTACTTACGAGCAAGAGAAGCGCACTTTGACTGCCATGACTGGATCGTTCGTCCATGCGCAACGCACTATGAGAGACGCTATCTTCAGGCATATATGACGACCTGGCGGGCCGACTATTCTGGATGCGCGCTTCCTTACGTGGAGCTCCACTGCTGCTCGATGTTGGTGTTAATATCGAACCGTTCTTCGGCTCGTTCGGCGCTAAGTCCGGTTCTATCCTAGGAAGCCCGACCGACCAATGCTGACGACTAGCTGTCCTCGAGGAATCTGAAATACGGGGCTTTGGTTCTTCGGAGGGAATAGTGGACTCCAATTGGAGATCGCGGTGACCGTAATGGTTGGAGCTATACAATGGGGGCAGGATATATGCGGCGGGCGGAGTCACAAGCGTAAAGCCGGAGGGATCTGGTACGAAGTGTTGACCATTGTCCTGAGACAGCATCTCCTGCTGCTGCAGCGGCGCATAGATAGGTCACCGGAGGATATGACGGCTCCCTAGGCGGATCGCTGGAAGGATAGATTATATGGCACGGCTTCCACCGGTGGAAGGGGCACAAACGTTGTACAACCCGTATACAGACAGGAACAGTCTTAGAGTGTCACTGCATAGCGTAAAGACGGCGACAGGGCGAGCATCTGGTATGCGTGGAGAAGAGAGGTAATCCGGGGGGAGGCGTAAGTGCTATGGCGAGGGAACGAGGCGGAGAGGGAAAGGCGTGGGCCTTTTATGTCGCAGGAAGGCCAGCGGAGGGGAGCAGGAGACAGCAGGAGGACAAGACTCCAGACCAGCGGAAACAGGGAAGAATTTGATGAACGGAGAGGGGGGATGGTAGCGGAGGGAGAAGGAGGTGGCTTCGCCAAGACGCCCAGAAGCCCAGCGCTTGGCGTTAGGACAGAAGTGCGTAACGCGGAATCGAGGCATGGAGGTGTACAACGTAGGAGGAATCCAACAGGGTTGTGATAGAGGGATTGCGCGGTGCCGTGGAGCAGTAGAGTGGGCGAAGGAGCAGGCGTCGCAGTGGAATTGAAGCCTTTGGCAGAGCGCACGGCGATGCTGCGATGGGCATTTCGTGGTGTTGCTGCCTCTACCGTACGCGGTTACCGTCCTGATGTGTATGATACCGTACGGTACTTTATCTAGATGCCAAGACGCCAAGCTGACCCATTAGTCACTTGGGTATTTCCCGTGCTTTGGTTGGATGGATGTGCCGCCATATCCGCCCTCGGCAGCAAACTGGCGGCTTGGCAGCAGTAATAGTATTACTGATACACGGCGTGACCGGATTACCGCTCTCCAGCAGGCCTCAGCATCTCGAGCATTTCTCAGTCTCTTTCTCGTCTCTTCTCTCTCTTGTTAATTCAGCTGAAACTCCAAGAATCACACACTCACCGTATTCCCTTGGCTCTTAGCCCTCTTGGCCTGCACCAGTGACGGGCAGAGCATCCCGAGTCGATTTTCTCGGCATCCACGCAGCCCTCGACTCCTTACATCTGATTTCCTTGGCTCTGACAGCTACCCAGGCTTGGAGATGAGGTCTTCATTCTTTCATCGCTGATCTGGGAAAGTCGATGAACGAATTATTATCTCCCCCTTTTTTCATATATATAAATCATAGTAAGGATGTCACATCAAGCTGACTTCATGACCTGCTTCTGTTTCTGTTTCTGCTTCCTCTTGGTTCCGCAGCATGTCTTTTCCATGGTTGGTGGCCTTGATACATGAAGGATGAGATGATGCGTGGGATATGTCGTCAATCATGCGATTGAATTATACGGCATATGTTTGCTGATTTATAATACGCTGTATAAAGGACAAGCTTGCACGGCTGTCAGTGTACGACTTGATGCTGTTTATCAACACATGCCAAAGCAGTACTTGTACATAGTACCGTGATTCCTACCTGAATACCAAGGCATGATAAATATCTCACTATGCACAATTTCTATTGTGCTTTCTTCATTTACCATTTATGGAAAATGTACGATGACAGCGCTGATACGGAGTAGTGCTGTTGGTTAACATGAGACTATTACAAGGGGGCGTTGATGGCGCCGGCATACGGCGGATTATTATCCTTGATGACTGAGGCAGACTGTCTAACTGTAGAAGGAAGTGTTCCAGAACATCGGCGGTGGACTGCTTATTAATTGGGGTGTTCTTCAGATAACTAACTAGATAATAATATTTTTAAGAGGGTAGGCTTATGCTTAAATAATATTGCTGTTAACTTGTTGTCCAAGTCCCGTCTGCCCATCCCGTGTGGGATTCATTGCCGGCCCATTCTGTCTGTGCCCAGGAGTGGTGTGAGGGCCACGTAGTCTGTGACAGGTCAGTGTCTCCCGAGTCTACGGAGCAAATGAGATCCTGTTGTCGTGAATCGGGAGTTATGCATGTTGCTCTAGATTAGGTCAAAGACTCGAAAGTACTCCACGTTATCAGGCTGCCTTGTGAGTCGTATGGAGTTCACGAAGCCTCTAGTCTGCCATGATAGTGTATCCAGTTCGCCGTACTGGCTGACAGGAACATGTGGCAAGGGGAAACTTGTCAACAGCAAAATGCTACGTACTCTGATCAGTACACAGCTTACCAAATACTACCTAGTAGTAAGAGCGGATGTAGTGGAACGGCGATGAGTGGAGAAGAGTGAGTTCTGGCGCCCCACGGGTGATGTATCAAAAGAGATCACCAGGATCAGGAATCACAGCTTTGATTTGATTTGAGTTCCATCTAATAACGATAAATGAAAATCCCTACATATTAGTATTACCTAGGTAAATTGGAAATACTTAATATAAAAATCGATGGGACAGCCCCATCAAGGGGGTGCTATGACGGCTTTTATATTTATTTATTTTTTTTCGCCTCCTCCGTCATTGCTCTTCCATGGTTTTCTGCTGCGGAGTTATTCTTCCCGGCTCCAGCACCTCCTGAGCGCGCATTATGTAAGCGCACCATGCATGTCGATATGCACTCCAGTCCCAATGTGTACTAGAGCTGTCCGACGTGCATGTGGGTCCTGCTGCCGGCTGCCACACTGTCAGTCACCAGCCACACGCAAGCCCGTATGTGTATGCAACGCACTCAATCCTTGCTGTCGGGAAAGTGGAGTCACAGGCTCGCACCTTTCCATTTGCGGGTTAGCGGCTTCTAGACCAGGGGCCGTTCCGAACTAGAGCCGAGCATACGCACGGACCTGACAGTTGGGAATTTTGGGGAGACATGGGCACCCTTGCTGGTATGGAGATAGGCTGAGTCTTTTTATTCTATGGTCTTATCATTAATACATTAACTTATTATTGATGGTTATGATTATTTCTGATGATGGCGGTTGAGACGGTGAGCGGGGCGGTAAGTGTCTCGTATTATGCAGGCATCGGCCGTACCCCATGTTGCAAAGCAAGCTCGGGCTTGGGCCCTATAGTGGGGCTCCCTCGTGTGCCACCTAACATAATTATAATAATAATATTTAGTATTATACAGTTTAGCGAGTGGCTGTCAGCGGCCCCCGAGCCATGACTAGCCCCCGGGAGCTTAGGCGTGAGCTTATGGCCATGGCCCTAGCAAGACCTTGGTCTCCCTGCATACGTACGTATCTGGGCATACGTATCCAGCACGCAAGTCACACATATATTGACAAGCGATATTTGGGATGATTATAAAAAAAAGAATTATAATATAATTATACGAGAAAAAGAAATAAATTCAGACAGTACTTGCAGATCCAACGCTACTGACAGAAATCGATCTGCATATAGATAGACGGGTATACCTGCAGGTTCTTTCACATCGCCTAATGCAGGAATCTCGTGACCAACAGAAAAAAAAAATATCAAAGAATAAAAAATTAAAAATTAGAAATTAAAAATTAAAAAAGTTAAACGGCACAAAAACTAGCAGCGCTTATGATCTAATTCGGGTGCTGCCCCACCAACTAAGCCGTTCCTGGATGGGAGGGCGCCGGCCAGCCGCAGGCCCACGGTGGCCCGCCTGACGCTCAGTCTTTCCGACCTTCGGGGCTTTGCTTGTCCTCCTCCGGAGCTGCACAACCACTAGCGCAGCTTGGCACAACTCGCCCCCGAATTCCTCTTCTCTTCTCTTCTTCTTCCTGCCCGCTACCTCCCCTGCGTCCTGCTAGTAGCCCTTCTGCCTCCCGGTTTGCCCTGCTCGCCGTTTTCCTCTTTCTTCCGCCCTGTCCCTCCACCTGTCATCTTCCCTTCTTGCGTCTTGTCTTTCGTCATCTGCCTCTGCCTTGATTATATACCTCCTTATTGACCGCGCGCTGTCTGGTAACCAAAGCAAGCTCTGCGCACTCTGCTACCCTGAGTGCGGCCCCTTCTTTGGGCATCCTTTTGTCTTTTTTCTTATCCTTAAAAGGCCATCTACTTTTTCTTTTTTTCTTCCCTGTTTATTATTCATTCATCTATTTCACCCGACTTCCTAGTCTGCTAGACCGTTGCCTGGCGCGCACCACCAACGGCCTTGTCGCGTGTCCTCAGCCGGAGAAATTGCTCCAACAACTCGTACTACCACTGCCGTGTGAACTGTCAGTCCGTGAAACCTCGCAGAGGATTCACGTTGCACGACGCCTTGCGCTTGGGATTGACATCACTGTCGCAACCCGTTTCGCACTCCGCTTCTGCAGTGTCCTGTCGGGGTTTACACTTTCGAGTCGCAACCCCAACAGACCCTCCAAACAGCCATGTCGCATACCCAACCGTCACCCACAGCCGTCGTGGCCCACCATGGCCACCTCGCTGCCCATCCCCAGGTCAACGGCCATCTGCCTTTGCAGCCTCAAGCCCAGAAGGCACCCGTTCTGACCACTGCCCAAAAAATTGCTGCGCTCAACGAACAAGTCTGGCTCCAGATCGGTATGTGGCTTCATTTTTTATATTTATTCTTTTGATTTTTATTTAATTTTATTTTTTTCTTGTCCTTCTCACGTCTAGATGCTGACCTCCATAGGGAGTCTGACCGAATTGATGGGCGATCTCGACGGTGCTATGAATGCTTATGAGCAAGCTCTGAGACACAACCAATGGTCTATTCCCGCAATGAATGCTATATCTTGCATTTTGCGCACCAAGGAGCAGTTTCCAAAGGCTGTTGAATATCTCCAAAATATCGTGAAACTGGATCCGACCAGCGGAGAAACATGGGGCAGTTTGGGTATGTAGCCGTTTTGCTCTCTTTCGTAATAATAACCAACTGACCATTTACCTTGCAGGTCATTGCTATCTTATGATGGATAACCTGCAAGAAGCATACACTTCCTATCAACAGGCGCTGTACCACCTGCGTGATCCTAAGGTAGTCACATGCCGTCCAGCTGGCATACTCCGCTTGATCGCTAACCTGGTTCTAGGAACCAAAACTGTGGTATGGTATTGGTATCTTGTATGATCGCTATGGCTCCCTTGACCATGCCGAGGAAGCTTTCTCCCAGGTCATGCGGATGGCCCCGGACTTTGAGAAGGCAAATGAAATTTACTTCCGCCTGGGAATCATCTACAAACAACAGCAGAAGTTCACCCAGAGCTTAGAGGTGCGTTTAGCTGCATAAGCATGCGTCTGCCGTCTACAGAAGCTGACACCTTGCAAAGTGCTTCAAGTATATCGTGACCGATCCCCCCCGGCCCTTGACTGAAGAGGACATCTGGTTCCAGATTGGTCATGTTCATGAACAACAGAAGGATGTGAGTTTGGTCCCCCCCTCTCTCGGCAGGGATTATACCGAGGCTGACCGTCATATGCAGTTCGAGTCTGCACAAGCTGCCTACCGGCGAGTCCTGGATCGAGACCCCAACCACGCAAAAGTACTGCAGCAACTCGGATGGCTATTCCATCAACAGAGCAACAGCTACGCCAGTCAGGAAAAAGCAATTGAGTATCTCGAGAAGTCCGTCAGTGCTGGTAAGATATTCATGGATCAAAGCTACTGCCAGGAGTGTATATTGACCATCCTTGTTCCCTTTAGATAATAGCGACGCCCAAAGCTGGTACCTTCTTGGACGCTGCTACATGTCACAGGCCAAATATCCCAAGGCGTATGAAGCCTACCAACAGGCAGTCTACCGCGATGGCCGTAATCCCACGTTCTGGTGCTCCATTGGTGTACTCTACTACCAGATCAATCAGTACCGTGACGCACTTGATGCGTACTCCCGTGCAATCCGTCTGAACCCCTACATCTCGGAAGTGTGGTATGACTTGGGGACTCTGGTAAGTCGAACGTGTCGGAGATGGGGGAAGATTCCGAACCAAAAAGTTAAACGAAAGTTGAACAAGACGGACACTAATGATCCTTCTTTTTTAAGTATGAATCTTGTAATAACCAAATCGCTGATGCCCTTGACGCATACTCGCGTGCTGCTGATCTGGATCCCAACAACGTCCACATCAAAGCGCGCCTGCAGCTTCTCCAAAGTCAGCTTGCAGGTTCAAGCCAGAACAACGCTCCGGCCCCTCAGCCCCAGGACATCCACCCCCAGGCTTACCAAGCTCCAGGAGTTGGTGCGCCCCCAGCGCCGCAGTGGGGCACTCCGGCGCCTACCGGAGGCCCCCCTCCGCAAGCCCCTGCCCCTCCAAGGCAGGTAACGGACTGGAATCGTGGTATCAACGAGATTCCAGCTCAACATCAGCCGCATGTACTGAACGGTCTTGACCATCGTGATGGCGGCCGGACGCTGGTGTCTGCCCAGCAGCCAAGCCCACGGCAGGAGCAAGTACGGGCTTTTCCTGAACCTGTTCGCGTGCCCCCAGCGCCTCGTTCGCCTAAGGCCGCTCTGACTGTTACGACTGCCAGCTACCCACCCTCTCACGCTATGCCACAATTGGCAAGCACGCAGGGTCCTCCCCTCGATAGAATCCCCGCCACCTCTGCTGCCTTTGCCTCTTCAGCCAGAGGTCCTCTGCCCGCTGCGCCCGTTTCGACTGCCGCCAGCGTCCCTAACGGTGTCCCAGTGACTGCTGCTGCAACTCTACCTCCTTACCATCGCCCTTTCACGCCGCCGACTGAGATTAGACCGATCCGTGATGAACGCGTGTCATCTCCGGGCTCCACTTATCCGCACCAGCAATTCCATCATGGTCCAAGTGCACCTACCCCAGTGACCCACGCTGGCATCGCTGGAGGTGCCCCTCCACCTGCCGCTGCGATCACGGCTGCCGAAGCGGCTGCTCGGGAGCGTGAAGACCGCCCTACGCCCGCAATGAAGCGTACCAGAGAATGGGAGGCTGAGCCGGGTCCTTCAAAAAAGATTGCCAATGAAGAGAGCCGCGCTCGCCTTGATGAGCGTCTCCCTCGCCGCGCAACCCCACCAGCTAATGGACCAGCGTCCGGAGAGATACCACGTCCTGGTGCCCCGGAAGCTCGACATGAGGAGCAGGGCCGCGGAGGCGAGAACTATCACCCATCGGAGGCTGCACACCATCCACCAACACTGCCATCTATCCAACATATGCCACCGCATTCCTCCACCAGCCTTCCTCCGATTGACAGTTCTATTCCTACTTCCAATGGTGTTGCTTCCGGACCACCATCAGCTCACTCACAACCGAAGGAAGAACCTGTTCGTAGCGAGCAACAGCTTCTTCATGAGCCAGCGGCGCGGAAGATGGACGTGGATGAAAACTATGACGATGAAGGCGACGATGAGAAGAAGGCAGGCATTGTGTCTAAAGGCAGCCCGCATGGTAGTGGCACGGGCAATACCACTGGTGGCGCTCAGGGTTCGCAGGCCAAATCGGAGCCTGCAGTGTAGGAATACGCCTTGTCAATCGTTTCTTCTTTCTTTTTGTGTGCGCGTGCGTGTGTGTTTGTGTTTGGTATATATTGATTAGCGGGGTGGGTTTAGTGAAGGCTTCTACTTCAATGTACGGAAGAATGGGGGAGATACCTGAGAACGGGCAGTATAACCTGGACTGGCGATTTGGCACAGGATTGTAGGGCTGTGTTTATTTTCTATTTTAGCAATAGAAGTATTACCAGGTCTTCTTATGTGATGGTAGACGTGCATTTTGCAGTCCTGCATGGAGACGTTGATGATCAGGAAATTGGACGCATCACCTGATAAGATTGAGATGAAAGGAGGGGCAGATGGGGACCCTAATGAGTAGCAGAATAGATTCATGAATAATGCAGATTCTAAGCTTGGTCTGCTCTTCGAAGGTTAATTCTGAACGACATATACCTGTACAGCACCTGAACCCTACCCAACTCCTTCGACTGTGCCTGTTTCCACTCCTGGTTAATACCCTTATAATCCTTAATGGTATATCCCGTGAAGACATCCTGGAATACAGTCGACTTGCGTCTAGGATTAACACCCAGATCTGTCAATTTAGCCTGTTCGCATACGGAATCACATTAAAAACAAAGTCGGGATACCATAAGGAAAAGCCACACGGATACCGGCGCCTCCCAAAACCGACTGCCCAGAGCCGTCTCTCGATATACATATAACACATCATGGCGATCATCGGTTGGTATTCGAAGCTTGTGATTATTGAGATAGGCGTACGTTCATAAAGCCTGGTTCTCGGAAATGATCATATTGCTGGTACTATGCACTATTTTCATGTACACAAGAGATCTATCCCCGCGTGCTGTCAGAGACGGTGGTGCGATCCCGCCGTACAACCGGAAAGACTGACGCCTTGTCTTTAGGGGGTGACTCTGTTGACAGGAGGATGATAATGGCGCAGATAGGGGAATTGGGCCGGATATCTGCTCGTTTGAGTCGTGGTCCAGGTGTTCCCAGAAGGACGCTTGGTCAGCGCTGAGATTGTCACTGGGGTTTCCGAAGGTTGCGTCGACGCTGTCGGGTTTGTATTTGATGGTGGGTGCTACGCTCCAAGCCGGATACTGTGATGAGGGCGCCTGTCTGCTTGTTTGTTCCGTCAATGAAGTGTATGATTCCCCATCTGGATAGGTGGTCGATGTCTTTGCGGGTCACGGTAGTCGTAGATGTCGGAGGTGTAGTCTAGGATGCCTACGCAGGCAGCCCAGAATATACTGTCAACGTTAGCCTTCAAAGCATCTAGATATACAAGAGAAGAGGAAGATACCTTTATTAGCTCTAGATGCTTCAATACCCCCTCTCTGCGATAGCCATTGGCATTGATCACATCCATCCGTATCTTCTCCCAGAAGTTATGCACGAGGAATTGTCACAGCTTGGTCCCATGCAACAGCTTCCGGACTCAGCCTACCTATCTAATACACCCTAAGATACACGGACTGAACCAAGAACAGAAGCGCATCGTGGCCAGTGGGAAGACCCAGGGCGAGCACATCCACAGTGCACCTCCGGATTCCCAAATGGTCCATTCCACCTTTTTTATGCAAGGTCATATCCGATCTTGCAAGTGCTGATAATCGTCACTGACTTGGCCGTGGGATCTTGCGCGAGTTTATTTGCCTGATCTCTGAGTTGGGAGTGGTTGAGTATCGGCCGTCCAAAGTCCTCTTGTCCCTTGATCGAGATTGGACGGGGATTCGTGGCTAACCTCGTGCTGACTATGAACTTTTTACAGTAATAGGCCATCGTCATCGACTGCGATGCTTGTTCGAGATCCGTAATTTGCGCTGTGATCCGCCAATCCTGACCTCTGATCCTGATCGTGAACAAGCTTTTCCACCCCGAGAACCCGCGTGTTGAACCGGATACAGCGCCGGAGGTCAAGAGGGTCGGCAAAGTCGTTGAAGTATATGTGAAGGACGGAGCCAGGGACATGTGTATTGTCCTTGACGTCGTACTTGGCGTCCATGGGGAAACCGGAGAACTCGTACGTGCCGTGCCGTAGAGGCTATTGGTTCAGGTTAGTTCTTGAACTGGTTTATTTCACAGGCAGATATATAGATATATTATTCCTAACTTCTCGAGTAATGAGAGATCCGCCTGCTGAGACAATTCCAGATAGGTTTTGGCCGCAGCCAGACCACCAACTCTTGAGCTGCTCCCTGACAATGGGGTGAGTGCCGGAGTGAGCAGCGGGTAAGATGTAGCCATATTTGCCAAATATAGTCAAACTTCACTTGACTTCTGTGGTCATGATAGACATGCTTCATGTATTATTCAGGCACAGGCCACTGGTCCATAGCAACACGCTTTGGCTGTTGCTTTCAAATTCAACTGCCTTCTCACCCTTCAATCCCCAGGCAGCCATCACCCCTTCTCCTATATTATACTTCCACTCAGTGTTAATCTCCAGCCTGGTTTGCCATGTTGTCAAATCCCTCTTGAAATCCAAGTATTCAAAATTTCCATGATCACAATCTGGATCAAGAATTGCGATTTTCAATCTGCGTAAGCGTGGCGTTTTGTGTGCGGCGTGCGGCGTGCGGCGTGTCCTGATGCCTCGTATAGCTTGTCAAGTTCATGACTCTGGATGAGGCCACATTTGCCATAGTAGTCACTGGAATATTCCTATCCTTCAGTGGAGCTTTCTTCTAGGGCGCGTCCCCAGTCATCTGTGGAGTCATTGTCAAAGATTCATTTTCTTAGTCCATATTAAGTTAAAAGGAACAAAAGGACAGACCACAGAAATAGGTGACTGGGTTAAAGTAATATAGTCAACATACCCTCGAATGTATAGGGGTGATCTCTAGGATCTTCATGATTTCTAGATCTTGCCAGTGTTGTAAAGGGCGCGTATGTGCGTTGTTCCCTGCGAAAGGAACCGGGTCGTGGTCAAGAGATCTTGGGAATGGATACGCTGAAACGATGTAAGGGAAAAAACAATATAACAAAGGGAAGAATGCAACGAGGATGGAGCTGAACTCCGTACTATACGACGATGATGATGGCGATAACAATACCAATGAAGCAACTTGAAAACGAAAAGTATGCTGGTTCTTCGAAACTACCTAAGATGAGGAGCCTCACCTTAAGTACTCTTCCATCACGGACTCCACCATACCTAAGTATAAGAAATAGGAGAAAGGAAGGAGGGTTCTGTCTATGCATTTGTAGTGCCCCCGGCACAGTGTAAAGCTGTCTTGTCAATGTCCTCCTCTGCCCCTAGCCAGAAAATGCACTTCTTGAAGTTGCATGTTGATTGTCTAAAAAGCAATAGAAGATTCATCCAGTCCATTAGGTGAGGGATCGTTAGCTGCATTACTGGCTGGGTTGAGAGTCAGTTCCTGGTGACATGCAATTGAATATCTGAATAGTTCCACTGATTTTGGTACCAGTGCAAGATGATCAGTAACCACTGTAACATGACATTAACACTTTGAAGTGATCAGCAGAGGATGTAATTAATAGAGGCCGTCTTTTCTCTGTCCAGACAGAGACTGTAGAGAATATTGTGGGATATACATATTCTCCCTAAAAGAGACATGCTTGACACATAGGAAGCAGTTGAGCAGGCAAAAGAAAGATGATGGTTACACTGTGCTTGTTTCATAATCATGTCATTGGAATGACTCCACACATGGCACCATTGGCATATTTTGGAAATCATGGGCAGTGGGATCCAGCAGATAATGCATTCGAGCCATTTTCCACAGCTGGGAAATTGACAAGGTTGCCATCTTGTCTGGTGTAATGTCAGGACTGACATAACCATTATCACATGACCAGAGAGACTGAGATAATCAGACGGTTGATCCTTCCATGAATATGTAATGGTTTGAATATAGAATTCATTTGGTACTAGATAGACGAAGAATTCCTTGGGAGAAGGAAGAGAAGAGGCAACGGCACTGTGTACAAGGAAGGAGATAGGCGAGCCAGCAACAAACAGAACAAATGGAACAAATAGAGCAGGTAGGTACTCAGGCGTTGGCCCTGAGTTTGCAATATGCCTAGGCGTGGCCCATGACAGAATCAAGCAGCTGCAGCATCCTGCATATAGCAAATCAGGAAGTTCTTGCAATACCAGTCTGGTAGAATCTGCACATAGATCTTATCATCCCTGTGGACCTTCATAAGATCACACCAGTCCCAGCTTACCCACCAGAGAATGTGCTGAATATCGCCAACCCTTGCGTGTCGATAAGGATCATCAGGCATGAACTGTTGCTGTTTCTCGACTGAATTTATACGGATTCGTCGCCAAATTATTCGCTCCACAATTGCTTGCCATTGACGCGAAATAATTGTGTACTGGGCAAGTTTGGGGTGGGGGGTCGCTTCTTTCGAGTGCTACGACGAGGTTAAGTTTCATATTAAGTTATGGACGAAATAGGTGACTATGAGATGGGTCACCTCAAATTATAAAGTTGCCATCTTTTCTATCCTCTGCCGTGATTATAATGGAGGGTGTGAAATGGGAGAAAAGTTGCATTTAGAGCATATATAGATACCTACTCTCTACTTTGAAGTTTGTAGTGCATCGATATGTGGGTCGGCTGTCCCAAAACGGAATCGCCAAGACTCGCTTAAGTAAGCGCACAATCGGCGCGAAATAATTGCAGCCTCGACAATTTCAGAAGAGAACACTCCCACCACCTCGACGACTAACGACAACAGGGTCAAGATGTAAGTTTTGTCTCCATGATGATTTGTTTGCATGTAACAGTATACTGATTTCGATTCTCTCTGCAGGAGTCACCGGAAGTACGAAGCGCCTCGGCACGGTTCGTAGCCCTCTTCATCCCAGCGATTTCTTGGACATCAATGTGCGATTTGGTTGCTGATACAATTCCCAGGCTCTCTTGCCTACCTTCCGCGCAAGCGCGCCGCCAGACACCGTGGAAAGGTTAAGAGGTTAGTCCGGATTGACAAATTGGTTTTTCCCTTCGCTTCTGAGGAGCCATGTACTAAAATTCGACAGCTTCCCCAAGGATGACCCCAAGAAGCCCGTCCACCTGACGGCCTCTATGGGCTACAAGGCCGGCATGACCACCGTCGTCCGTGACCTTGACCGTCCTGGTGCCAAGATGCACAAGAAGGAGATTGTTGAGGCTGCCACCGTTATTGAGACTCCTCCTGTAAGTAACAGCTGTTGGAGAACAAGAGGAATAGAAAAGGCTGACTTTCTAGCTTGTTGCTGTCGGTGTTGTCGGTTACATTGAAACCCCCCGTGGTCTCCGCTCGCTCACCACTGTCTGGGCTGAGCACTTGAGCGACGAGGTCAAGAGGCGCTTCTACAAGAACTGGTACAAGAGCAAGAAGAAGGCCTTCACCAGCTACGCCAAGCAGCACGCCGAGAACAGCGGTGCTTCTATCACACGCGAGCTTGAGCGCATCAAGAAGTACTGCACCGTCGTCCGTCTTCTCGCCCACACCCAGATCCGCAAGACCCCCATCAAGCAGAAGAAGGCCCACCTTATGGAGATCCAGATCAACGGTGGCTCCGTCCCCGAGAAGGTTGACTTCGCCCGCAACCTGTTCGAGAAGACCATTGACATCGACACCATCTTCGAGAAGGACGAGATGATCGATGTCATTGCCGTCACCAAGGGTCACGGTTTCCAGGGTGTCACCAGCCGTTGGGGTACCACCAAGCTTCCCCGTAAGACTCACAAGGGTCTGCGTAAGGTTGCTTGTATCGGTGCCTGGCATCCTAGCCACGTCCAGTGGACTGTTGCCCGTGCTGGTCAGATGGGTTACCACCACCGTACCTCTTGCAACCATAAGGTCTTCCGTGTCGGCAAGGGTTCCGACGAGGGCAACGCCTCTACCGACCACGATATCTCCAAGAAGCAGATCACACCGTAAGTAGTCACTGAGCATTCACATTAAAAACACGCAAAAAAAAAAACATGCTAACGATATACAGCATGGGTGGCTTCGTCCGCTACGGTGAGGTGAAGAACGACTTCCTCCTCATCAAGGGTTCCGTCCCTGGTGTCAAGAAGCGCGTCATGACCCTGCGCAAGTCCCTGTACCCCCAGACCAGCCGGAGGGCCACCGAGAAGGTTGAGCTCAAGTGGATCGACACCTCTTCCAAGTTCGGCCACGGTGCCTTCCAAACAGCAGAGGAGAAGCGTTCCGTCTTGGGTACTCTCAAGAAGGATCTGGTTACCACTGCTTAAGGTGTTTTTTCTCTTTTTCTGGTGGATGGGTTGGTGTAGCGCGACACGTATTATTTATCTTTCAATAAAAAGCGGAATACCTAGTTCTACACCTTTGCTGGTTGAGGGATTGTTTTTTACGTAGTTCAATGGATGATCTTATGCCAGTATTCTGTCTAGTATCAGGATTCAGTAGATTGGGGAGAATTGCTTGTATGAATTATTCCTGGAGGTTCCAGCGGTGGGTCATTATTTGTTGACCTGTCCAAGTTCATGAAGACTGTCCAAGTTCTCATCCCTATCTGATCTGAAGCCTTATTATCATCCCTCTACGCGTACAATGCGGAGAATTCATTGCGTCATTACCCACCTGCGCCCAGCGAGAAGAAACATAAATATAAATACCCATTGCCAATACCACCCCGGCAGGACGTCGATATGGCTATTTCGCACCCATCCAACACCGATATCAGCAGCTATCAAGAGACAACCACCGCCACAACAAAGAATGTCATCGGACGACGCATACACATCCTTCCTCGAAAAGGCCAACGCAGACCTTCAAGCTGGTCGACAGCAGGAACAGCAGGCAACAATGGGAATCCGAACCGAAACGGTCGATGTCGACGAACACATCCCCGCACCGTTAGATAGAGTCGGGGAGACGTTTTATGTCTCTGATACGGATGAGCCCTTTGAGGCAGTTGTTTTGAGGTGGGAGGGGGCTAGGAAGGGAGTTTGGCCTGATTATTGTATTTTCTTTCCCTTTTCCTTTCCTTTTATTTTACTTTCTTATCATTGTCTTGCATCTGTGCATTTCCTCTGGCGATACAGTACAATACTAATGCTGATGGATGATAAAAGCACAATTCTCCTCCCTCGTTTCCACATCTCCCCACGCAAACCTGTCTGTGACGACGATATCCTCCCAATCCTTTGATCCGAGGAATCACTACGCTGGTATTCTCGGTGCTGTTCGAGAGGCTATTTCGGCAGGTGAACCCGGTTCTGTTGAGATAAAAGTATACCGTGTCGAGAGTTCCGGGGCAAGAGTCGAGTATTGGGTTCTCGGTCTTGACGGGGATAATGGGAGGGTTGTTGGTGTGAGGGCTAAGGCTGTTGAGAGTTGATTTTTTTTTTTTTATTTGATCGTTGCTACAGCTTGCTCCAGCAAAATGAATGAATACAATGCCCGAGATAGCTTGAGAATAAGTAATGAAAACTACCGTCTCCGAAATCTAGGCGAACCAGACGACCCAGAAGCAGAAACAACGGACGTCTTCCGTCTCCGCGCACGATCAGGCGTCGTCGATGCAGATGCTGACGCTGACACTGAAGCTGATTTCCTCCCCTGCCCCCTTTCAACATCAACATCATCTAAATGGAAATACCACCCCGAATCATCCGTCTCATGGACATCAACGATATCCCTCTGCACTGAAACAAATGTGGCCGTAGTCGTAGTGGTTTGAACTGGGCTTGCACCTGTACTTCCACTTGCATTTCCAGTGATAGCAGCAGCTACATCGGAACTATCACTTCTTCTCCGTTTCTCATTAACAGTACCCAGGGAACCAGTGATGGGGATGGTGAATCTGTCATCTCTAACAGCTGCAGCTGAGGTAGCACTCAAAGTTGAACCAGAACCCAGGTTTAGGTTGGAATCGGGGAGCATAAATTTTGTCGTGAAGCGGCGGCGGGTTTGGGGGAGACTCTTATTTCTCGTCAACGCCAGAAACAATACCAGAAACCGAACAATATTAATGAACTATATATAATTATAATAAACATACCTCCTGCCCCACCAGAGCACGCGTCATGAGCGCTTCCCGGTCAAGGAGAACGGAGAGGGCGGCGTGGCGCGCAAGATCTGCTTCTCTGTCTTGAGGGGATTCGTACAGATATTGGCTTCGGAAGTGATCTTTTCGGCGTTCCATTCTGATATTGCTGATATTGCTGATATTATTACCATGTGGGAAGTAGGGACATGGTAAGTTCATCGGAAGTCAAGAAAGTCCCAAGGTTTAACTAACTGAACAAAACACTAAACAATAAATCTATGCCTATCATCTATCGTTTTCAGCTTCCCCAACCAACTCCAAAAAAGACGCAGCACAAGCAATAGATCCTATTGAATCAAATAGCAAAATAAGAAGGTAATAGACGGCAGAACCGTCTGGGATATCAAAAATAGCAAAAATAACAATATATAAATAAATGCAGACGGCCACGTCAAAGAAAAATGATACATCAGCATACCAAAACCGCCACATAAAATGCTGCTCAAAACGACTCATGACAGCCCAAATAGCCAAGAATCATATAAAGGTAGATAATAAGGGTTCAAAGCCTGGACACCGCTGCATACATGCAACGGCCATCTGACTGATCGAATGGAAGATATGCCAAAAGGAAGGGCTGGCCTCCAACACCCAATATGAATGCAGAAAATGGCTCAAAAAAGAAAGATTCTTCAACGTTTGGAAGAAGTGTAAATGCTCTTACGAGCACCCGTGGACGAACGAATTCTTCGGCCAGTCATACCCGGCATCAGCCCTATAAAAGAAACCCAGTTAGTTATTATTACAGAGATAACAGAGTAAGGTGTTCCCGATATACCATGATGTAACATTGATATTCGTGTAGGCCGTCTCATGCTTCTTGATATATTCCGTTGTCTCCCTGCCCGGAGGATCACAGGTCACCGTGTGGTTATCGTTGTCCGGGTCCTGGTAGATCCGGATGTAGTCGAAACGCATGTAAGCGGGCATCAGTTCGTGGATGGTCTTATTGATCGGTGCAAAGCTCTGTCCCATGCCCAAATTCATGATGATCGACATCGGTTCGACTGGGATCACGCGCTGGCCGACATTACCGTTCGGCCTCACAGCCCTGGCATCCAGAGTCCACGTCTTGTCTTCACCGACGAACCAAGTCACCGCCCCTTGCGGGCCTGGTTCGTACTCAAACGCGTAGATTTGGTACGCCTTGCCATCGTACCAGTCGTTGTTTAGATTGCTAAGACCAGACATCGATTGCTGATAAGGTCCACCGCGCCACTCGTTGACGTGTGTGATCTTGTCATTATACACCGCAGCAAAATCTGTATTTGTTCAGTGGTTAGCAACTCGCATACGTTTAATGACAGTTTCGCACTTACCAAGGTCAGGCATGTAGAAAATGTCATAAGGTGCGATCTGCAAACTCTGCGACACGATACCGATGACGGCGTCATCATTGTTATTCAAGGCACCAACACTAGCTTCGATGACATCGATCTCAGGCGCGCTGCGTGATTTGCCCGGGTTCGGATGGTCTTCATTCTTGCATGTACAGGCAGGCAAGCGCATTCCCGGAAGCCAATTGATCCCATCGGTTTGGCTCTGGTTTGCCGTGATTCCCGGGTCGCATTCGTCGTGATAGCTGTAAGGCCATAATCCTTCCGTCGTTGCTGCATACCCTGGCCGACCCAGGTTGCCCATGGCCCAAAATCCTGGCCAGAAACCGGACACATCCCCTTTTCCGGGAAGGGATATGCTTGCCTCGAGACGGCCGCCCGAGAAGCAGAGTTTGTTCCAGGACTGCAGCATGCCCGAACGGTAGTCGAGATCATGGTTGACAAACGCGTCGAATCTGATCTGCAACTTCCCATCCTTGGTCGTGATCGCATCGGGATCGTACCACTGAAAGCCTGTCAGTCCGATCCCTTTCTATGGAGAAATTGTAAAAAAGAATTGACAAACCTCTAGATCCTGTGTTACTCCGTACCACAAATCAACGGCTTGGAAAAATGGGTCGTCCTCATCGTAAAAGGTCCTTCCGTCCGTGTTGAATTCGTCCGAAAACTGTGGCAAAAGCATTAGTTTGAAGAGAATAATATCCACCAACTCTCCCCATACTGACCACCAAATTCCATATCTTGCCATCTGCAGCTACCTTCGTCTTGGCGGATTCGGGGGTATCTGGATCGATAAGTCCAGTCCGGATATTCTTGAGTAACGGCCGTGGCCCCACGTCCAAGCACAGTGTATCACCAGGATCGCAATTGCTTTCGTTGGTATCCGACAACTCTTTCGGCCCGAGGAATTGTCTGTCAAGGAAAGTTAGCAAGTCAGTCAACATTTCTGGGGACCCGAAACGGGAGAAAAGGAGCAGTACGTACAGGATGGGCCAGCCAATAAACACCATCAAAAGGCCCAGGGCAAAAATGATTAGGAAAAGCAAGTTGAAGCCACGCAGATTGAACAGATCACAGGCTCTGTCTTTCTCCTGCAGCAAATCCGGGTTGTGCAGATCGTCATCCTTCTCCACATCTTCAGGAAATAAAATCAGGCCGTCGGTGGGCACGATATTGTATTTCTGCGACACGGTTTGGGTGTTGAGATCTTCATCATCACTGCCCGCTCGGGAAACAGCTCGTGAGTCATCAAATGGGTTGTGGACAAAAGGTCTATTTTCGCTGGCACCAACGTCCGAACTCCAACTCGTGCGGCGCGACGAGAAGGCCGATTGATCTGGGGATTGTGCAAAATTATAGTTATCCCTGGAGGGGAGCGCTGCCTGGGGAGGCACTAGGTAGTCCGACGACTCAGTAGGAGTGTTCGCACTCCCGTATGCATAGTTTCCAACATGGTTGAAGCCGACGGGCGGAGTCAATGAACGCGAAACAGGCGAAACAGGAGATTGCGCATGGCCTCCGGGAGAGACCTCGTTGGAATCGTTAAATGGATTGTAGCTCGGCGAGGAGTCCACGTGGATATGAGGGGGTCCTTGAGGGGGGGCGTCGGAGGGATAATAGGACATTATGGGATGAATAGAACGAAGGACGGGATACCGAAAAGCTTCCAGGGGCGCGCGCACTCAGAGACGGGCGGGATTGCGCACGATCGGGCCCGTATTTCTTTGTGGATGATCGATCCCGATGAGCCGAAAATGGTTCACACAGGACGCTTCAATATAGGCGAAGAAAATAAGGAAATCAAGCTGTCGTATGTCGTGTGAAGATGATGTTTGTGAAAACCCCGGTGGGTAAAGTAATAATACAACGAAGAACAACCAAAGGGTCACACTCCAAGGTGGGACAGACTTTCTAGAAAACCGCACCAGGCGTTGCAACGGCCGGGCTTCAAGAAGCTGAAAGGAAAAAAAAAAAATACAAAAGGAGGAATGATAGCTCGTGCAACGGTAAAAGACAGGTCGGCGAGGGGGCGTCTCTCTGCGATGAGGGAGAACAAAGAACGGACGGGCCAGTAGAACAGTTGGCCCTGGAAGAAGCTTGCTGAAACGAAGGATGAAACAATAATAGAAGAAGATTCAATTCAAAGAGAACTAGGCGAGACGAGCAGAAAATGAAGGAAAAGATCGTCGTCCAGGGGGAGGCAGAAGCAGAAGCTGATGGACTGGGACTCTGGGCAGGGATGAAAGAGTGGCGTCGAGCAGGGAAAAGCTTAAGGAGCGTAAAGTAATAATATAATAATAATAATAATATATACGATGATAGCAGCCAGAAATAAAATGAAGAAATGAAATGAAAGCGAACCACGGTTGCAGCCAGGCACAGGCGGTTGTCGATGCGAGAGCAAAGAGAGAGAAGCGAAGTTCTAGATGCTTTCGGACGCGCGTCCAGCAGCAAACAGACACTGCTTATTTCGCTTCCTGCACGCTTCACTGGATTGCTGGAAATTGCAACGGTGCTGCTTTTTATAGTCTGCACCACTCACTGTGATACATCTATTAACGATCTTACCTACGTACTCTATTGAGTCTCTACCATGGACGCATGCAGGCTGCAGAGAGGACACGACACTGCAGCCGCACCGTCACTGTTCGCAGATCAACCATGGATTCGTCACCAAGTATCGCCCCCTGTCCTCGCCACAGCCGACCGCCCGTTTCTCGTTCCAGTGGTTCGAACCAACTTGGAGTCTTGGATAGAGAACGATGAGTTCTCTGTTGGTATGAAGTAGATCACGTTTGATCTTCTGTTGGATCTCGGGCAATCGACATGGTTCGCACTGATCGACATGAGCTTAACCCGTGCTTTATTTACTCTGCGAGAAGAGACAGTTCATAACCATAACAGATTGCGCAGACTGCTGTACAGGGTTCTGCATTTGCTAACAATATAACATCGCCATTCATGACCATCCCTGCAAATAACCCATCAACCCATCCATCCGATCATCAAAATATTTGTACAGAGAAGATAAGAAGAGAAGAAAAGATCACTACATCCAATTCACCAGTTATCCCTTCCCTTTTTTCGAAATTGCCCCAGAGGAATAAGGCTTTTTTCATTATTCAAACAAACGCTCGTTTCCTTTGCAGACAGCATGCCATAATGAAACAAGAAAGGAAAAGGGAAAGAAAAGGGTATCATCATAAAGGTGTTTTGAAAAGCACTCTGCTTTTCCCAGCTAAGGAGCGTTATATCGAGTTGAGTTATTTTAGACAAATGTCGGACTAGGCAGCTGCCCGTTCCATCTATCGCTCTGCGTTCATCAGGCTCGCCACATCTCCAACTTGCTTACGTTCAGAAACTTCCCTGTTGAGCATTCGTGTGCGGAGCGCTTGGACATTCATAGGCGTCAATCCTTGGATTGGCTTGGGGTCCGGTTCAAAGTAGAATGGGTGGAGCCGGTGGGAAGTAGAGAACCGAACACGGCCGTTCCTCATGACTGGTGATTGTCATTGCAGGGGTTCCGAACTCGATGAGAGTCGGTTGAGGTGGAGGTAGACATCGGTGCCGTATCTAAAGAGCATTGCATTAGTTTCAATCTGACCAAGGGGGGGAAGAAAAACAAAGCCATACCCTTCCATGCTGATCAATTTCAGATCGCCACCGAAATACCGAGCGTAGAGTCTACTGATCGGCAGCCCATATCCAAATCCTGCCATGGGGGCCTTGAAGTCACTCTTGTCAAAGGATGGGTCCAAGCTTGGTGTCTGCTCCATCGTGGTGTACATATACGTCCACACAAGAGGAATTGCAGAACGTGGAATGCCACCGCCCTCGTCCGAGATTTTGATCGTGATGTCCTCTTTGCCTTCGGCCACGATGACCTTTGTGACCGGGAAGTGCTCCGATTCGACTCCGTACCGTTCCACCACCGCACGGAGGGAATTCTTCAAGGTCTCGAAGAGCATGTGTGCGAGATGCCCCGGAACGTACATGAAGTTCAAATCATCGTTGCATATCAGCTGCACCTTGGGGGCCTCAAAAAGGCCATAGTGGTCTTCGCAGACGAAGCGGGCATTGTCAATGGCCTCAAGGGCTACGTCCCGGACATTTGTCTTGGTGCAGATTATACCGACATAATTTGGGTGGCGGATGTGCGATTGTTCAGTCAAAGCAATATGTTGGCCAATCATCATGCGTATACCAATCCGAGACATGTAGAAGCGATCGAGGAAGGACTGGATCGTCGAGTCGATCTGGAGACGCTGGCGCTTCCGCTTCCACTCCAGAATACCCTGAGCCACGCTCGTTACAACGCCATCGTGCCGTCGCTTGATATGTTGGAGCGTCTTGGAAAAGCGTTGATTGTAGTCGTTCAGTTCCGGAGGCCAGCCCCCATGTTCGTCAGACGGAACGAAGTATCTTCTCACGGCGACAGCCTTGCCATTTCCATTGTGCTTTCCGTCGTTATGGAGTGGGGATGATCGGTATTGTCCTTGCCGGATACTGGGGTTTTGCGTTGCTCCAGGGAGGACTTTAGTATGGCCGCCGTTGATCTTAGCCGGTCGCAATAGGCGTTCCTTGACCTCTTGACTGAGTTTTGGCCGAGGTAGCTCGATAATTTCCTTTCCGAGAAGTAGTGAGTGTGGGTCCGGTCCTCGGAAAGGCACGAGACAAGAAACGGGGAGAAATGAGTCATACCTCGAACGACTGCGCGTACCAATCCTGCACTTTTTTGATGGAAGGCATTTGACTGAGCCCATCAGGGAGATCCCCAAGATCCTGCACACGATGGGCTAAGCGGATAGGAAGTTCCTCCGAGAGAAATTGAGACGCACGGAAGAGAGTGCCTGTAGCAGGTCAGTCAGAGACTCTCTGTCCGGTCGGACGATGAAGACTGCGTGTAGCATACCTGTTGATGGTCTGTCTCCAAACTGGACCATCTGTCTTAAAGAGACGCCTGTGGCGGGGAAGCTGGCATAGTGTCTGATGGTGTCCATCAGCCTCTCTGACGGCTTCCACATGGTAACGAGAGCAATCCAGGCCTAGTGGCCTGGTGTTTTCGAGATTGCGGGGGTTCCAGGAGTGCGAAGGGGGATTGAGTCTGCCAGAGCAAAAGGATGAAATAGAGAAGGAGGAAAGATGGAGAGGTATTATGGGGAAACGGGTCGTGTGTTCCCCGAGGGCGGACAACCGAGGTTAAAGCTGGGGAATGGAGGCAACGAGGACAGCCCGGAAGAGCTTGGAGACGACGGACGCCTTCCTTGCGTCCGCGTGTGCGTAGCACGAGGGCAGTTCTGGTGGAATAGGAGCCGGAGAGGTGTAAGCAGACAGCAGAAGTGAGACACAGTGCTATATAAGCCTGATGGTGTTGAGCTAGAGCAATGGTGTGCAGTGAACAACGACGGAGACAGACGAGAGACTGCGGAGCGGCGAGATGCTTTCTGCGGAGAGATAGGTCACGTGCCGCTGCAGCAGCGGCCGAAGAGCAGCAAGATGCGCGCGGCGATAGGTCGATTCTCCCGATTCTGCTTCTTCAAGCTTCAGTCTGCTGCGTATCGTCCGTGCCGACCGTCCAAGCAGAGATGGGCTGCGTCGAGCAGGGATGCTCAAGGCCATTCGCTGGACAACATCGTCCAGCGTCTGCCTTTGCAGGACCCCTTCGCCCGAACACTGCGCCTCCGACCTCGCGTGATTCGCACTCCCATCCCCACTCGATCGTTCAATGAGGTTTTTTGTTCATAATGATCATGGCCTGGGCTATGTGCTTGTGTCGGATTAATAGCCCCAAATGTCTGTGGCCACTGGGTTCTGCACGGCTATCTCCGTGCGGTGGGAAGGATCACACAGGAAGGAATGTCTTAAGAGCAGAATCTACGCTGTATAGATACACACTGTGGACACTGGACAGACAGCGTGCGCCTGGTCAGTGAAGCGAGGACTCTGTACTTCCTGCGGAATTGAATTGCGGGCACCATGAGCTGTCAACAAGCGATAGAACCAATGCAATGCAGCAGCAACGACAACATCCGGTATTATCTCTTATCCTGACTGTTTCAGACAGACCAGACCATGCTCTCAAGTATCAACAGACCGGCTGTGCTCTAGAAGAACAGGAATGGAACCCGTATATTGGTCTCTGGGGGGACAGAAGAGCGACAGGCCGGTCGACCTCCCGCCGCTCGGAGACAAGATCTTTAAGGGCATCCTGCGCGCACGGAAAGATCCTGGAAGTACACCATCATATCTTAATTAATATGAATTAATCCCGCCGGCTTTCGCGATCGTTTCCCGCCCGAAACTTTCTTTGTAGTGGGGACCTCCTAGGGCGTTTGACACATGGAACATGGAGATCAGCAGCATTCATATGCACGACTTTGCGGTTCTTTTATATTTTTTTTTTTTTTCTTCTAGCACGAAACGCATTTTGTCTTTTATCGAGAAATCTTCCGTTACCGGCGGTTTGATAGCTGGAGCGGAAGCTCGTCGTCCTTTGAGCGTGCTTCTCACTATGGATCTCTGATCAATAAGTGGCCTCAGTCTCTGACATGACGCTTGGACTCTGACAGAGTGGTTCGTTTAATGCGTCAGCGAATGAATGAATCTGTATTATCTGTAGGTGGACTTTTTTTTTGCAATTCCCTATTTTTCGACGTTGTTCTCTTGCTGTTTCGCCCATTTTTCGTTTTGTCTTTGGGCCTCTCCGACTGAGGGGAGACAGACCGGAGGAAAACTCGTTCGATGCGTTCTTGTCTATTGTATCGCTATCAGTCGGAGTCAGAGTCATCTGAAATCTATCTTGGATGCCCAATCTGTCTTGCTGCCATCTCTCTTTTATGGTATCCTATGTAAAGGCAGCATCCACTAAAGCAGAGAAGAGAGAATGATATTAATAGGCTGGATGGGAGTGCCTTCCACTGATAGATGAGGGAGTCCAGCGCTGTCCCCTCACTAATTAAATAGTGGACTTCCTGTTTTCATTCCTTCATTCCTTCACTTCTTCCTTTGTCCATTCACACTCTCCTCTCCTTGCCCTCTGTCTCCCAATCTCACTTTTTGACGTCTTGTTCTCGCGTTTCTCCCCGTCTGTCTTCCTAGTTCCCTCTTTGTCTTGCATCAATCAGCAAGGAGCCATACTCCAATAAGCAAGTTGAAATAACAGAAACCACAAAAAAGATTCACAAAGGAGAGAAAAAAAAAATAACAAAGAACTACAGAAAGAGCACCATGTCTCGCCGCCATGCTACCCACGGTGGATCGGCCATCGCGGAGTCTCTACCGAACGAAGCCGAAGCGTATCCTTTTTCCAACACACAGCACAATTCGCCAACCCAGCATCGAGGCCCGATTGAAGGTCCGGGTGGACGGAAGCTCGTTCGCAGGCTTACCTGGCGCTCCACGAGCTATAAGTTTGTGGCCTTTCTCTGGGTTCTGGGGGTGTTTTATCTTGTCTGGCTGATTCGGGATATGTTCTGCTTCCCCTCTTTCTTCTCATCTGCTTCGTCCATTGTCTCTCATCTGGACGAGTGAGTTGTTTTTTTCTCATCTTTTTATTTCAGCTTGAAGTCTGTTTATGTTGTGGGGAAAAGATAGCTCATCAAATGCACTGCCGTTAACTAGTTCCTTTGTACAATACAAGGACTATCGTGAATATGGCATCTCATCTAAATCTCTATACAGTCCTGAGAATGCCAATGGACATGCTTCAGGTCAGTCGTATTGTCAGATGTGTGCTTCACTGCTGGATGCAATCAGCAATGGTGGGAGAATTGGTTTCGACGTTTCCTATATCTCACGAGGTAAACAGTTCTCACTTTCAATCATAAGTCCCCAAACTGACAGTGATGGCCAAACAGACTGTTCCCATAATCGGTACACCACTGCCCAAATCTGTAGCATCCTGGAGAAGTTCGACAGGACCATCTTCATCGGCGACAAATCCACATCCAAAATGTACGCCGGCTTCAACCTCCTCCTGAGACAGAACCTGGCGTATAGTTCCCTGGAACACTTGGATATGACCGAGAAGCAAATCTGGATTGCAGCTGTGAATTGCAGTTCTCCATGGGTGCCTGCTTGCCTTATCGGATCGGCTCAAGCACAGACGCGACCTTTGTTGTCGAGGACGACACCGCGAGAATCTCAAGCCGCTACGCGTGTTCCAATAGTGAGTTTTATTTTATTTCTGCAAGTCTAGGTAGATAGTTTTTCGTCACTAAACAATAATTCCAGGTCCACCCCACGCTCATCTCGCAGTTGACGGACCCCCGCAGCAGCAGCATCGACTAGTCCGAGCAAGAAGCCCATCCCCATAATCCACGTCTTATCACATTCAACCTCATTTTCAGTGCAGAAAGCCAAATACAGCATGACGAATGGTACTCTATTACCACACCCAGTGGCCAAATCACCCCATTCCTCTGGGTCGGACTTACGGCTCCTGAACAGCAGAAATAAGGTACAACTGAACCTAGCGATAATGCCGTTTGGCAGTATCGCCTGGATACCGCTTAAGCTGCTCACACATTGAATATGGATGCTCTGGGCATGTACAATGCAACTTTGCAGGCGGAGAGCTTTAATGGGGAAAGGGTTTCTCTGCTGCAGGCGGTGATGGTAAGTTGATTTCTCTCTCTCTCTCTCTCCCTATCTTTCTATATTCAATATTTGCTAACAAGAGCTTCTCTTCTAAGATCATCAACTGGTTACCCACCCTCTAGTTGCTTATGAAAACCTCCCGACAGTCCTGCACGACTGCTTTTACCCATCCTTTCCATTATTCATGAATGAACGACCATCGGCCTTATGAGAACTTTTCATGAGAATGACTGCATTGCTTAAAGCAAGGAGTGAAGGTTAAAAAAAATACCAGGAACTAGAATAGGAATAAAAAGATATTAGGATGCTTTTCCTCCATTTCTTTCCTAGAGACATCAATGAACTTTGCTTGTTACAGTTTCTCTTCTTTTTTCTTCCTCTTTTCTCTGAGAATAGTATTGGTGAAGGAATAATGCAGCAGCAAATGCAACATGCAATGATTTGTCCAAGCATTTCGCAATAGAGCAGACCAGTCTGATTTTCTTATTATGATTCTCCTGCTCAACATTATGGTTTATATACTGATTATTGGTCGGGTTTTTTTAAACGCATCTAGCTGTGTGGTGTACAACAACCTTTTATTCTCTCCGCCATTCGCAGGATAACATAATCCACAGACAACTTCAAAGCACTGCTAGGCAACCGCTCAGAGTCCAATGAATTACTCTAAGAATGATGCATCTGCTAATTAGACGTGGAGATCAGCGGCCACGGCAGTGAGAAGGTGCTTCTCGTATGGCTTGAGAGCATTCTTGACTTCAGTGGAGGTAAACTTTTCAACCTGCTGAGGAGCACGGCCGACAAAGGTGCTGGGATCAAGAAGAGCGTCGAGCTCGCCCAGGATTGGCGCGAAGAAAGCAGTGCGACGGATCCGCTCAATCAGGTCATTGCTTTTACCCTGTTTCTTGACGCTGTCTGCCGCTTGGTGAGAGAGAACGCCTGCGAAACCCGTTAATATTGGTGACATCCTAATTCAAGTTGAAATTGAGGCACCTACGAATTTCCTCATGAGCATCCTGGCGGGAAAGTCCCTTCTTCACGCAAGCCATAATAACCTATACTAGTCAGTTTTGAGATACCAGACTCCAACTACTCTGAAACTCACATTCTCACTAGACATGGAGCATCATTTATTAGCGGCAGTCCTATACCCAGAATCATTCTTTTGTTGTTTCCCGGGAATGAAACTTACGTGGCCATGAAAGGAAGCTCGTCGTTCACGCGTCTCTTGATAACTTCGGGATAAACGACGAATCCAGAAGTAATGTTGTCTAAATGACGTTAGCTTGCCGTGTTAGCTTCAGTTGAAGGGTCATATGCACTTACTTAAAAGAATAAGGCAGGCATCAGCAGAGAGGTACAACTCCGGAAGGCTGATACGGCGAATGGCGCTGTCATCCTAGTCCTAGTTAATACCGACCGTGCATGCTTTGGGCAAAAGTCGACGAGAGTGGCCTTACCAGAGAACGCTCAAACCACTGAGCAGAATAGGTATCCAGAGCATCTTTGGGGAGATTCTGAAGGTGTCTTCCGAGAGAGCACAGACGCTCAGACCGCATGGGGTTGCGCTTATAGGCCTGTTCAAGAAAAATCACGTCAACTGATTGTAATAGGAAACAAGTTACCAATGGCTACTGACCATTGCGCTGCTTCCAATCTGATCCTTTTCGAAAGGCTCCTCAACTTCCTTCAGCATTGCCAGGTGTCTGATGTCAATGCCAATACGCTCGCAAGTCGACCCAAAAGAGCCGAGGGCGTTAGCTACGTCAACGTCGATCTTTCGAGAGTATGTCTGACTAGAAATGATGAATGCAGACTCAAACCCAGCTTTCTCGGTAACAAGTTCATCCAGCTTCTCAACCTTGCCGTGGTCCCCGTCGAAGATTTGAAGGAAGGAAGCCTGAGTACCAGTGGTGCCTTTAACTCCGCGGAATCGCAGGTCGTTGCGGGCCCGCTCGAGATTCCTCAGATCCATCAAAAGGTCCTGGATCCACAAGCATGCACGTTTGCCAACAGTCACCAGCTGAGCGGGCTGTCCGTGGGTGAATCCAAGGCAGGGCATGTCCTTGTATTCCTTAGCGAAAGCAGCAAGCTTGTCAATCACAACGGCGAGCTTAGGGATTAAGATATCAAGCCCATCACGAAGCAAAATGAGATCCGCATTGTCCGTGCAATAGCATGAGGTAGCGCCCCAATGGATGATTCCTGCTGCGGCCGGTGCAACCTGTCCGTAGGCATGGACATGGGCCATGACATCGTGTCTCCTCCGCTTCTCTTCCTCAGCCGCAACCTTGAACTCATCATCCTGGATGATAATATGCGCCTTCAACTGCTCGATCGCTTCGTCGGAAATGGGGAGTCCAAGCTCTGTGCCCGTCAGCGAACAGTCTTGTGCGGTTGAATAGTTCGACTGCCACAGTTAAATGTCAAATCAGTAAAACCATACCCTTCTCAGACTCTGCAAGCCATAGCCATAATTGTCTCCATGTCGAAAATCGCTTTCTTGGAGAAAAAAGGTATTTCATCTCGGTGCCTGTTCATTGAACGCTGTTAGCCGTTGATCGGAATGACAGATCGAAGGTTCTCAGGTAGCCTTACTCGCATATCGCGAGTTGAGAGGAGTCTGGTAGACATCATTGTTGGTAGACATCTTGACAAGAGCAGTCTCAAGGAATCCCGGAGCGAATTGGGCGACTGCAAGGCAAAAGAAAACAGACGGGGAAAAGAGGGGCATCCGCGCGGAGGGAAATTTTCGGGGACGCTTATCAGTCACGTTATCGCCGAGACCGGCACGTGGCCAGAAAATACAAAAGTGAGAGTACACATTATGATTATGGTGGTCTAGTTATTAGAGATTGAATGCCAAAGTAGATAGGAACTCCTATAAACAGCCCATGTCTCCTGCGTGGTCTCCAGTTTCAGACCAAGACAGGCCATCAAAAAGCCTGAAGGCGAAAGCAAAAAGCCGGATATCAGGAGTACTCAATTGCAGCTGCAAATTTCCTCCCTTAGAAATCGGCATTTTCACGATTATCTAACCAAGATGGATGGGTTCTTACCTGTGATGGCAAGACAGCAATTTGAAGGCGGCAGAGACAAAGACTTCCCATGGTGATGAGTTGTGAGTACGTTCCGACATCATGCCAGTGCTGCCAATTGTGCTGCAAGGCTTCCCTTGTCGTACTTAGCATACTTGCCTCTTCCCTTGTCGATCTCGTGGTAGCGATCCCAAAAGCGCGCGTACAGCGGCTCAATAATGGCCTGCACTTCCCGGGCAAGAACACCACGTACTTCCCGCTCCATATACAGAGATTTATGCCGCGCAATAAGTTCGTCGAAGGTCGCATTAAACGATTTAAATTTGTCCTTGATTGCATCCTTGTCCTTGGACGACAGAGACTTGACTATTTGAGTAGAATCAACTGGACCTCTGGAAGCTGGCCGCGTCGACCCGCTGGAGGTCCGAGACGTATATTGCACATCGAGGAGAAAGTGAGACGTCTCCCTCCAGGCCTCTAGGTATGTGGCAGTAGCACGCTTGCGGAAAGCATCAATCCGCGCAATGCTTTCCGGCGTGCCGAGGTAACGGGACAGTGCAGGACTGTGACGGATGGAGCGATCAATGACGCAAAAGACGTTCGACAAGAAAACACCAAGCGTAGCCTTGGATCGGTGAAATGCTCGGCCGCGGGCTTCGAGCCCATTAGCCAATGTCTCAATCATATCGAGGATAAAATGTGAAAGCAGGGCCGAACTGTCTGGGCTGACATCTAAGGGGGCATTAGCTGATGTGCTAGACGTAGAGCGCCAGTTTCCATCGCCTAACGATGTTAGAATAGATGCGAGCGGTCCGGAGTAACCTGTCAGGGTCACAAGCGAGTTCATTACTTCGTCCACCAGCGGTACGGGGGCTCCATCAGCAGGGAGGGTTGTGATGCTTGCTGTCTTGCGCTTCGTCTCCCCCAGGAGTTCCGAGAGTGAGGTCTTTGCAGTGTCCCGGACAGGTCTGAGAGCTTCCACGAACATACTCTTCAGCTCTCCCGTCTTCGCTTCTATTCTGTACGACATAGACGTCACAATGTCGATTATCTCAAAGGCAAGGAAGCAATCAGTCATGAGATTGGCTCGGATATATTGATTGAGTTCACGTATGGTCTTGGAATACTCTGCAAGGGCAGAACGGCATGTAGCCTGTAAGGCTAGTCCCTGCTGACCACCCTTGAATATCTGCGTGAGAATGTCGTATTCGGTGGATACAAAGTCTTCCAAGGATTTCGAATAGATCCCAATACCATTGGTGCCCTCCTTATAAGGACCGTCCGAAGGTTTTCGTTTGACGGTGTTCAGGGATGCCATAGCAAGAGTTTGAAGACTCGAAGCGATATATGGTCCACGAAGTTCCGCATATATCATAACGGCAGGGCTCTCCACCTCTCCACGTTGTGATGCTCGAGCGGCAGAAGAGTTGATCACAGCACATATAGGCTCCAGTTCGGCAATGGTCTCTTCGGGGATCGAGGGAAATGGAAGGTCTAACAGGAAGCGAGTAAGTCACAGTCCCTCAAAGACCTATATCAGAATTCCTCACCCTTTGTCACATAATGTAATGGTTCAATGGCATGCGTATGCGGGTCTAACTCCTTGCGCAACAAGTCCTGAAGCTTCGTATTCCCGGTGCCGAGAAGGGAATTGAATTCGGATATCGCTTTCTGGTTTGATCGTAAATTGGTAGCGTTCAGGTCTTTCAGCGCTCTTTCAACACGCTTCATTGCATCTAAATATTGAGATAATCCGGCGCTCTCCGGCCTTTATCATGGTCAGTCAACATTCAGGATAGGCAGCAGAACCGTGGAGGGAGTGTAGTACCCAGCTCTAATTATGCCCTCCTCCCGTCCCTTTGCATCAAGGGGTTTCCGTAGCCGTTCAACAGCTTCATTGACCTTATCGATATTGCTGTTGGTTATCTGGAGAGATTGTGTATTACTGTAAATAGGCCCTATTGCTGCCTTGACGACATTTCCACTGGTCTCCAGGCGAGCAAGTGAGCTTTGGATTTTTTTGGTGAGCAAATCAAGCTTTCCAAGATTCGCATATAGCACTTCCACCTCTGCGCTCTCTTCCGCATACGCGGTATTCCTTGCCGCGACCATGGCTATGGCTGTCCGACGGAGTACTATTAGTCGTAGCGGTGCAGACGGTAAAACCAGGGACGTCAGAAACGAACAAGAGCATCTGGATCAGGACTTATAAAAATGCAGTCCATAATATCATCTCGTTCAATAATAATATATTAAAAATAAATGGCAGTTCGTAATTAAGAGGCTCCTGGCCTCAGGGGTGCAAGAAAAGACCAACTCGGTCAAGCTTCAAAATGCGCCGGTTTAGGAAGCTCTTAGTCACGTGCTGGAACTTCCCCCATGCTCCCGCCGCTAAACCCGAAACGGATTATTCCACATGTGACATCATGTTTGTCGGGACATCGAGACCTGTTTCGACTATCATCATACAATAACACTGCATGATGCAGATGTCGAATGGTCCATCCACCCTGCTGCGAGAATGCATATAATCTCCGGATGCAAAGCCCTCCGCTGCGCCCACTCTTTTCCAGAGCTCATGCCAGAATGGGCAATGCGAAGGCATTGCAATTCCGCCGGACCCTACCTCCCGCCGCTCTGATCATACTGGGTGTTGGTGGGTTAACCTATGTCAATGGCGAATATAGTAGGAGGTCACGGCTTCTTGGCCAAGGGGCTTATTATTCCAGTGCGACAAATCGGCCTGCTACCTCTGAAGACCCGGAGAAGAGCAACCCCGCCGAGTTAGGTCGCAATGAAACCACGCGCACGACGCGTAAATCCGACGAACTCGGACCAATTTGGGCTAAGATTCTGTGCAAACTTGAAGAAGTCAAGGGCTCTGTGAGCCCACCGGAATGGTACGAAATTGGGAGTATCAAGGATTATATAATACCGGATTGGACCCGACTGCTCCCGGTAAGGGCGCAGAAACTCCAACGGGAGCTCTCAATGGCACCTGGCTCCCTTGCGGATGAAATTTGGAAAGAATCTCGCGATGTGGATGCCAACCCGGAGATACTATGGGAAGCGACGGTGCGTGTTGGGGACACTCTATGTGATGAGGAGTTGAAATTTAGACACAAAAGACAAAGGCAAACAGTTAAAGCACTTGCGTCATATTTGAACATTAAGGAGAAAGAAATCCATCCAGATGATGTTCCAATCATTGCAATGTGCGGTTCTGGAGGAGGCCTACGAGCTCTTGTTGCGGGAACGGGATCATACCTCGCCGCGCGTGAAGCTGGCCTGTGGGACTGTGTCACATATACAGCTGGGGTTAGTGGCAGTTGTTGGCTACAAGCTCTGTATCATTCATCCTTTACGGATCACAACTTCGACAAATTGATCAATCACCTCAAGAATCGGCTGGGCGTGCACCTGGCTTTTCCACCCAAGGCTCTCAGTTTGTTGACGAACGCTCCTACGAACAAATACCTTTTGCGCGGATTGGTTGAGAAGCTGAAGGGCGACCCGCTTGCTGAATTTGGCCTGGTGGACATATATGGGGTCTTGTTAGCTGCGAGACTGCTCGTACCGCGTGGGGAACTCTGGGTATCAGACGATGATCTCAAATTGTCAAACCAGAAGTACAATCTCGACACTGGTCAGCATCCGCTCCCTATTTACACCGCCGTCCGCCATGAGATACCTGTGGTCAAAAGGCAAGACCATCATGACTCTCAACCGCTCCCGATGACTGAGAAATTTCTCAGAGAATCTAGAAGCGAGGCATGGTTCCAGTGGTTTGAATTCACCCCTTACGAGTTTTTTTGCGAGGAACTCAATGCAGGGATACCAACCTGGGCTTTGGGAAGGCATTTCAATGAGGGCAGAAGTACTGTCTCTCCTGGACAGTTACCACTTCCGGAGCTGCGACTACCAACACTGATGGGAATCTGGGGAAGTGCGTTTTGTGCTACGCTTTCCCATTACTATAAGGAGATTCGACCCCTTTTGAAGGGAATTGCTGGCTTTAGTGGTATCGATTCTCTGATCGAGGGAAGGACCAAGGATCTGATCCGAGTGCACCCCATTGATCCCGCAGCCATACCAAACTATGTCATGGGAATGAAAGACAAACTGCCTCCCTCGTGTCCTGAATCAATTTTTAAGAACGATCATCTACGGCTCATGGATTCAGGAATGAGCAACAATTTACCTATATACCCGCTTCTCCGGCCGGGACGAGGTGTCGACATCATCGTCACTTTCGACGCTTCTGCCGACATCAAACGCGAGAACTGGCTCTCCGTGGTAGACGGATATGCGCGACAACGGGGCATCAAAGGATGGCCCATTGGCGCCGGTTGGCCAAGGGAGGATACCAAAACCGAAGAGACCGAGCAAGCCTTGCGGGAAACGCAGGATATCTCCAATAAAGACCTAAGCGAGAAAATCACAACTGCCCAGAAGAAGAGCCCGCATGATCAAGGTCGTACTCTAGCTATGTCCAAGACAACAGAGGCCAATCAAAAACCCCTGACAGCAGGAGAGCGAGCTGCTCCCCAGGATACTGATCTGACCTACTGTAATGTATGGGTTGGCACAAAGCAGGAGAGAATATCCGGGGACGAACCACCACCGTCAAAGCGTTTATTCCATCCCCAACATGCGGACCACTCAAATTCGGATTTCCTCCTCATGCGGCCCGATGCAGGCATCGCCGTGGTGTACTTCCCATTACTTCCCAATCCAGCTGCTCCAGACCTCCCTCAAACCTCATCCTTGTCCAAACATTCAACACCATCTCGACAATCCGAGTCAACTTCCTCTGCTAATGTGTCAGATCCTATACGGCCCCTCTCGCCCTATCCTAGTTCCATTGACCCAGACGTTGACGATTTTCTGTCAACGTGGAACTTCGTCTACACGCCCGAGCAGATCGATGCTGTGGTCGGACTTGCCAAAGCCAATTTTGCCCAGGGTGAAGAGCAGGTGAAACGTGTGGTACGTGCAGTTTATGAGCGTAAGAAACGAGATCGACTGCGCCGAGAGATGGGAATTGAGCAGAGAAGCAGAAGGTTATAGGGCTCGATTGTAAAAACCTTCCATATCAAACTGGTGTAGTGAGCACTCACGTCAGGGAAGTAATTATAGTCTAAGAGCTGACCCTTGGACCCTTGCCTTCGCAGCCGCGGTGCTATTAGCCTACTCCATACGTACCTCTTCATGGTTGTCTGTAGCCTCCTCAGTTCTAAGACAACCTTGGAAGACAAGTAGTCTTGTTCACTGCCGATGGTCATCGCAGAATCAAAAGATGTGCTCGATTTCTATCATTTGCAACAACACTTTGATATCTTTATCATACAAATTCTTGCAGGGGGTCATTATGCATGATACCTACATTCTTCAACATGATAGATACTTCCTGACTGTAACGTTTGTTGAGATTATATTTCGTGTGTAAGCCCTACCCATCGCGTGTGCCCCAAAACAACTGCCGGAGGATGCGTTTCTCAGAGATGGCGATATATGTGGTATATCGGGTGGGTCATTACAATGTTCTGTCAAAGTGGCATTATACCGACAAAGCGACCGCAGATCCTAGAAACTGTTGAAATAAAAATGTAACCACTACACCAAAAACCAAAGTTGGCGTCATTGAATGGTCTGTCATGTTGGTAAGATTTTTCTATCGAGTCTTTAATGCCTAGCCGCGGTGAAGGAGTAATCCCTGCTGTCTTGGTACTGACAACCTTCATTAGTGAGAGGTGTGCCAGCCTGAATGATATCCCCAGCAAAGCGAAGTTTACCATCTGATGGAATGTACTTGGCCAGCTGGCAGGCTCGTGTTGACCTGAGTAACATGCCAGACACCATCTACATATGAAGATGTCATCTTTCTAGTCCAACAACTTGGGTGATTGACTTGCCCATGGAGTAGGGCTGATGCTCTTGCTCATTTGCTCGCTTTCTCTCCTCTCGATTCTCAAGTATATAGTCAACGAGAAACTCGAGGTCCGCTTGGATGAAAACTATTCTCCGTGTCAGGTTGGTTCAGACTTTGCCTATACTGAACAATTAATCATGTGTATGCCTATAGGGGAAACTTGAGGATCACGTACTTGCCCGAGTGTCTTCTTTGCGATGCATGGCAGATATCGGGTGGTGACTAGAACCACAGGCCCAGAATTCGTCCCTATCTTGTTGCTTCATTGAAATTTGCAGAGCAAGGGGATTCTTGAGAGGACGCTTGAAAGCCAACTTATGACCAGGAAGCAATCTTTGGGAGGAAACTTGAAGGAAGACTGTCGCAATCAGGTGACCTCCTGTATTCACAGAGCTCTAAGGTATAACTATTATCGCTGAGTATACTCCACATACAGAGTGGCAGGCTGAACTGGCAGCAGTGCATGGTTTGTAATAAATTGGGTTATTGCAAATTGACCACTATAGACTTCTGTCTTCATCTGTCATTTTGCTTGACTTTGGCTTGATGCGCCCACTCCCCCATTTCCATCATTCCCAAAATAAGACTGTACACCTTCGTGGTCTCCGTTTGCGCTCTGGTTATTATCATTAGTATTATTGTCATTGGTATTATTATCAGCATTTTCTTTCTCTCCCCCCTTCTCAATCGCGCTTGGATCGGAGTGTTGTTGCAAGTCATCGGCGCTATTGGCAAGGCTAACATCGTTGCTCTCGAAAGCCTGCTTCCGTAACACCAGATCCCTTTCAACTGATCGTAGCAAATTTGCCGTTGTCGATGCGGCGGATGCTGCGGCCGTACTGAGGCCCGTGAGATATGAATGTTCAGATCCAGCAGTGAGTCCGGTATCCTCGGGGGCATCGACCTGAAGGTAAGGATGGTGGGCTGTTTCTGTAAGAGCCCGACTGGGAATAGAGGTGTCTCCCCCCTCATTCGTAGATGGCTCTGCACCCTTCGCGTTGCCTTTGTCATTGTCACTGCAAATCCCATCATCAAAACCAGTATACACTGGGTCCTGACCGCGCCAATTCGCTGCCCGTGTTTCCGGAATGGGCTCCCCTGGTTTCGGCTCCGCTAGGACTTGTCCGTATCCTGGTTCTTCCTTTCGCTCTGCCTTCATTTCCTCCGGGGTTTCTGGGGGTGGAGATGGCGGGTACCGCCATACTACTTTCAGACGCTCCAATGCTTTGATCCCCTTTTGACTAGTACCCTTGATACCATCCATGCAATCCCAGTTGGTTTCGAAGACGCCTGAGTCGTGCTTGTCGCCGCCCTCGAAGTAGGCATTGAACCAGACATGGGCGATGGACGTTACAAATGTCCAGCCCGTGTGCGGCGCTTTACTGCGGCGTTCGAAATCAATGTTCACGTCTGAGGAAGGAAGAATGAGCGGGTTGCTAGGTCGGAGGAGGACAGCTGAGATGCCAGTTTCCGCGGATGAAGGAGTCTCTGTCGTAGACGGTGAGGTGACTGTGACGGGGTTCAAGGGGGTGGAAGTCGTTGTCAAACTGGGAGAAGGCTTCGTTGCACCCTTGTCGTTCGTTCTATTACTGTTTTTGTCATCGTCACTGTTCTTATTATGATTCTTGCCATTCTTCTTCTGCTTCTTTTTCTCCGAGGAAACCGTCGGCTTCTTCCCATCATCAACGACCATCCACTCACTTCTGTGAAACAGATGGAAGCACTTGATCTTTTTGCCCTGATCAATGAATCCTTCCACAGCAACCTTGACCCCATCCCTGAGGCCCCAAACATGTAGCTCTAATATCTCCACCGGCCGCTCAATGTATCGCTTGCCCATCTCGTTGGTCCAGCGATCGACGTATTTGACCCATCGCAGTTGACTCGGGATACTCACACCGGCACCAAAGCCTGTTCTCATCCTTCTCTTCGTAAACTGTTTCAGCGCATCCTCCATCTCCCACCCTTCCTCGCTGATAAGGTAGCTGCACACAACCGTCCCACTGCGCCCTTTGCCCGCTTTGCAATGCACGACGGCAACCCTCTTCCCTTTGCCGCTGTCATTATCACCCTGGTTACCGTCAAGTCTTCGAAGCCAATTCCGCATACTCCCCATGATGGCAGGAATGAGGGCAAACGGTGGCGGATGATGATCCGGCCATGGAAAGTGATGGATCCGCCCACAGACCTCTGAATCAGGATATCCAGTCCCTTCGGCGCGAAATTCCCAAATGCACCAGTCCTGGCCATGCTTGGAGTCTAGAAAGTTCACGAGCGCGTCAAGAGGGTTGCGGTAAGCGCGTTGGGGGTAGGCCGCCGAGGGCCCTGAGGTCGCTATGACTATAATAGCATGATTGTGTTAGATGTTTCACAGAAGAGGAGATCGGAAGTGTATAAAGACGGGGGGGAAATCCCACTATTGTCAGTCACGTAGCAAAGGTCCAACCCAGCCTCTGGATGCTGCAATCTAGGTCCTGCAACGATCTGCCGGAGAAAGGACGCCTAAATGAAGCAAACACAAAAAGAGAAACGCAATCGTTAGAGCCCAATTGAGAAAGATGTTGGACGTAGGACGCGTACCATTGCACAGGTTACCAGAGAAGCTCTTGTTCTCGGACAAACATGAGCAATCGGACGAGATGGCTTCGAAAAAAGGGTCAGTTCTTCTTGGCATGTACAACTAATCCGATTTCTGAAAACTTGTATTAAAAAGTGAAAAAAGAAACTCAATAGTAATGGAGATCAATAGTAGGAAAAGAAGATATGGAGTAGAGAGTTTGGGATGATGTCAACGGCGTCGCAGAATAATTAATTAGTAGCTTACAAGTTACAAGTCACCAGGGACATGGAGATCGATGAAATCATCTAATGTTGATAGTAGAGTAAGTAAATGTATTAATCTATATTCTTTCAATTGCCCATTGCAGACAAGACATTATTAGGTACCACCTAGACAGGCGGCCATCGTACACTGTACAAATGGGTATTACTTTTCATCACAGAAGTCATGAGAAAAAGGAGCATAGAGAACCCCAGAAGCCAATTTTCCCCAAACAGAATAAAGAACTGATATTGGTCATCCATCCGTCGACTCGATCCGTACGGTGTCAGTGTCGACGTCGATATTATGAGGCGAGGATAGATCGATATGCATCTGATCGTAAATTAAGCAAATAAAGCTCTTCAAGCAACCCCATATTGCTGAGTGACGCGGATCGTGAAATCCGTTGTCCCGGAAGTAATATTCGCCTGGCCAATAGCCCAGTACTCAGCGTCTTCCGGAGTGACCCAGTTATGGAGGACAGTGACATTCCAGGGACCTAGCAGTGGGCGGAGGGTCGATTTCACAGTGGGATCTGCGCAGGAATGGTTTTCTTCTTGTAGATCTGTGCCGGAGCATGTCGTGTTGAAACCAGGAGTATTCGAGGTGGCTGGGGAGAAGATGTTGAAGTGATAGGTGCAGCCAGCAGGGGAGCAGCCGGTGCTGAAGTTGGAGACGTGCCAGATCGTTGGATCAGCATTCCGACGGACAGCTGCAGCACGAGAGTAAGGGATGCTTGCAGCGATGACTGTTGTAGCTGAGATGCTGAAGGTGAAGATGAGGGAAAGGATGGATGTGAGCTGCATGGTGGTGGCTGACTGGCAGATAGAATGGATCGACTAGATTATTTGATTCTTGGAGCTATCGTGATATCGTGAATTGATTGATTAATTGACTGGAGCAGAGCATACAGGGCAGAAGCCATCTTTAAATAAGTCCACTGCCAGAGGGAGGCTGGGGTGTTGACCATCAGAACTGGGATCGCCAGGAGAGGATCCTGCGCCATCACTCCACCGCACAGAACAGAACACCAGAGCAGGATTTAAATTTAGTGACGTAGGCAGGAATGCCTGCAAGTACCCGCAGGATGCTGATGAATCTGAGACAAGCGGCTTGAGCGATTGGCAATCCGAGTCCAACAGGATCCAACCCAGGAGCAAACCAAAGCAGTACAACGCTGATCGAGGATGTCTCTGACGTTGAGAAGTGGCTCCTGTTTCTGGTAGAGTTCTCTTTTTACCATTGAATCGAATCCATAGATGATCGTCAACATGGCACAGAATAATATGCAGTGGCCAATTAAATTAATTAGCCGATCCATGTATCATCGCCGCTATTTATAGAATCCTCCTCTGGCTTCAATCGGTTTGCACGGAGACGGAGTGCCGATCTACACGTACAGCGAGAGGTTCCCATGGGAGATGGATCGTATGCATGCTGTACGGAGGGTCTGAGAGATCTAATCATCATAATCATACCGCGGTGTGCTGTGCAGCCTCTTTGCCAGCTCGCGCTCCCTCCGAGTCCTCAGAATCGCCTCTCGGCTCATCAGGAATAAGACCGCCAGCCTCCCAGTTCATCCAGCCTTCTTCCTCCATGGCTCGCTTGTTCGCCAGCCTTTTCCTCCTCCTCTTCTGGCGTTCTCTTCTTCCTGCCCCTCGTGCGGGCCTCGACTGCCCCCCCTCTTCTTGACCAGATTCCACCTCATCTTCATCCTCATCCTCGTCATTGAAACTCCTGTCGGGCACCGGCTCTTCCTCGATGAGAGGGTGCGATCTCAGTTGGACAGCGTAGACATCATCCGATCCAGCAGATAGGTCGCGGATCTCCATCCGGCCATCCTCACTAAGAAAGCAGCCCCGTTCTAGCATGTCCTGAAAGTACATGTACGCGGATCGATAATCCTTGACATCCAGGCACACCAAGATTATATACTCAAACGTCGTACTGTCTGGCACCACTCCAAGTGAAGCCATCTCTTTAATCACGAACATAACCGCTTGGTGGCTGCGGCCTCTACGGCACATGCGTATAAGAGTATTATACGTCGACACATCAGCGCCATTCGGGCATAGAGTATATAGCTCCTCATACAGGGCTATCCCGTCATCCATGGCAGATGGGTCGTGAAGTGCATTATGCTCACAGAGATCGATGAGAACCTTAGCGCAGTGAATGGGGATTTCACATCTCAACGCTTTCAGTCTCTTAAGCATGGCCCACGCGTCTAGTGGGTCAGTTTCATTCTGGATCATGTACTTCAAGACGGAGCGCGTAGATCTCTCCTCCAGCGGAATGCCTGCTTTCTGCGTGTTACAGAGAACATAGAATGCAGTATAGAGGTCTCCAGACATGACATGGGCTTCGGCAAGCCTCTCGTAATCTCGCAAATCCGGAGGAGTTCCCGTCTCTGTGAAGTAATGGAAAACCGATGCTGCCAGATCAGTATCACCCGTACGAGACGCAACAGTAAGAACGTTACTGCAGACCCGGTAGGGCGGGTGAAGGTACCCTAGTCCCACCTGTTGGTTCCAAACGTAGGAAGTTGTTTCATGATGCAGAGCGGTGCTGGCCGCGTCCAACACGTACATCCATAGCTTCTTCGTGATGTGGTTATGCCTGTCGCGAGAGCACATTAGATTCAATACCTCCTCGAATTCGTCAACGTCACAAAGATTGTAAACGAGTAAGCTGTGTAGCCAGCTTTCTATAGGAATGCCCTTTGTCTCCATTGCGGCAACATGGTCCAGGGCAAGTTCTAATTGACGCTCTCTGACAAGGCCAGCAATAACGAAATGCCAACCGGCAGGACTAAGAGGAAGCCATCGATCCCGCAGGGTATCGAGAATTTGTTGACGAAGAACGTAATCCGGGTGTACTGCGAGTACCTTAAAGAAAAAAAGATTGTCAGTATGTTCATATAGAAACGCAGAAGATCAAAAACTCAAGACACAAAGCAAATGTGCTAATCAATTGAAATGCTCACGTACCTGCAATGCAGCATGCAGAGTACCCGAGTCTGTGGGAATGCGATTCTCCTCCATCTCTGAAAGCAATTTGCGAACTACTTTGGGCGAGCCACGCTCTGCGTCCGTATTGGCAAGTATCAAGGCTCTGTAGTGGCGGACTTCAGGACGGACATGGCGATCCCGAATTAGGCAGCGGAGTATTTGCGTCGCACTTAGGATACTGGGCGATTTGACCATCAGATCCTGAAGCATGTTCTCGAGATTCTCAGTTGACCTTCTCTCCAGGTCTCTGGGCACGCCCATAGCCTTTTTCGGTGCCCGTCTTATGGTCTGTTGCACGATGTCGGCTGCGAGTTGGGTGTTCGCATTCCAATGGGATTGAACCACACTGTGATTTTCATACAGAGATTCGCCATCCCATCCACCTTTATGCCAGAAATTCTTATCGACTCCAACGATAGAATGGTTGTTGCTGCTGCGGTAGCATCTTCGCGGTGGTGTCGACGCAAGCCTCGATGCCCGTTTCACCGATTGCAATAGGCATCTTGCGCGGTATAGTGAAGCCGGACTATATGACGGGCAAAGACAATACCAAAGCCCATCGAGAACAAGAGTCTCTGGTGGCATTTCGAAGCGTGGAAGAATCGGAGAGCTCCTTCGAACCTCCGCAGTTTAGTCACTGATGTTTACACGTGATCCCGCAGCGGTCGCAAAGAGCAGCAGCAGTTAGTAAGAATCCAATGCTCAGTACTTGTTGGTCGTAGCAATTCCAGGGACAAATGGCTAAATTCCCATTCATGGACATAAGAATAAAATACAGAGCCAGATGCGCCAAGGCGATGCCCAACACCAAGTCGTCGTCAAGCCAGACCTCGTAGTGGAACCACACTGGCATCCACGGCACACTCTACTAGAACTATCCTCCCAAGGGGGTATCTCTTTCTAGCCCTCTTTCACGCGCAGATAGACCTGATATCCCTAGCTACCACCTCTCCCTCTAACCCGGCCGCGTCCCCCACGCCCCCCGCCGCGGCCCCTGTCGCCTCGTCCGCCTTCTCGCTGTTGATGGCCGCCACGTCCGCGATTCGGTTGGTGCTGCTGTTGCTCCTTGATGAGGTCGATAATTTCTTCTGGTACTCGTAGATATTTGATCTGAAATGGTAATTAGTGTGCCAGCTCAATCAAAGTGATGAAAATGAAAATAGCGTACGTTGTTCCCTCTTACGTAGACCTCTGGTACCCTGAAGAAGCGGTCACCCTCTGGGCTGGTCTGAACAACCTCCTTCAAGATCAAATTCATCCAATTGTCGCAGTTGACAAGATGTCCGTTTAGAGTCTCTCCATTTTTGAGCTCAACAAGCATTGGGTGGCCTTGCGCCGCTGTGAGGAGGCCTAGCGGTAACTGTTATGACCACGGACATGTCAGCGCCAATAAAACGACAATAATATCAATCAAAGATAGTCCGAATGCGCACCATTTCAGGAGATGTGATGGATTATTCGGAATGTAACTGATGGGGACGTCGAGTGAGTAGTAAGAGCGAAATCAAGGTTGGCTCCGCTAAATCCAGGTTCTTCGGATGGGGGAAAGGAAAAAGGAATGGGAGATAACCCGACAGCGCTCAAAGATGCTGTATTTGAATAATTAGACTATAGGCATATGAAGCCGAACGTATATCAAAGCTCCTGCAAGACGAGCTTCCTTGCGCCTTCAATGACTCCATCGGCGGCCGGGAAAAAGAGACGGGCCGAGATCGCGAGATGCATCCTCCCATCTTCGAGGCTGCGCAGGAAGAATAACCAACATCTCATCCACTATTCCCATGTGCTGTATCAGACCGCATTGCCTTGCTCATTGCAGTGCAACTGATCTGCTTCCTGCGAGAGCCGATTCGGCCAGATGACCGCATGTGTGCTGCTCCAACATGCCAAGCCCTTTCAAGGCAACTGTGCTCTTCCCACTCTCACTGGTAGCCCTCTTGTCCCTGCCGATTCTTTTGACGAGAGGGGCATGTGCTGCTGCTAATCCTCTGGACCCTGTGGGAAACTCCTATGTCCCATCTCTGCAAAGTTAGTGCAATCTCCCAATGGTCGCTCTTCTATTCTGGCAGTATCTAAAGTCTTTAAGTACAGGCAATAAAGACACCACTGTGAGTTTCCAAGTTCCATACTGGAAATGCGATGATGGGAGTGATCTCGAATTGGTAAGATCATTTTACCTGTGATATATTCTCATGCTCCGCCTGACGGAGTTGCTAGTCTTTCGAACTTAATATCCGCGGAGCGAGCCAGACTTGCGCAGGCTGGGGCATGTTCCTCAATGGGGTGGAGTTGTCCTACGATGGGAAAGGACCCTTTGCTTCGGGATCTGATACAATCTATTCATACCTAGATGGCACTGAATTGAGGGTCAATTGGCAAAATACCTGCGTATCTGCTCCCCCGGATGCTTCACACGAGCGCGCAGCTCAGATCCTAACTGTCAATATTAATCGCGTTGGCGAAGTACCTACCGAGGATGATTTTGGCTTTACCTTGTCCTTTACTCGACTCAGGAGACCAGAAATACTCCGGTTTAGCAAGACCCCTATAAATCTATCTGACGATGATTTGGATATTGATTGTTGGCTGAAACCGGGGGACACTGATCGCTTAGAGAACTGGCCTGTGACAGGTATCATAGAAAACGGTCCACCCCTGGAGAAAACTGAATTCCGCGGAAAAGGACTTCAGGGGTTGGGAGCTCAAGTTCTTGACTTACACCGCCAGACAGCTGGGAAGGAACACCAAATTCACATCCCACTGCAGCATAGCTCTCCACGTGAGGACGAGCAAGCTAATCCATTGAAATCCTTTGCCCGGAGAGCAGAGGCCTCAATGGAAGAGGATTCGCATACTGAATCGACGTGGGATGATCGCTTCAAGGATCATGCGGTCCCTCCTCCACGTATGGGGATCACTTTATCAAACGAAGTCAAAGCGTTCTTCAGAAATGGTGCTGTCATCCTCCTCATCGTTGCTATAGGAGCTCTTTTGTTCAGGATCTTTCGCAACACTACCCAGTGCCAGCGACGGCGAGCAGAGCTAGCCACCAAGCGTGAAGAAAGAAGGAAACGGCGCGCCTACAAATTTGCTGCACGCCGTCTCAGGTGGAAACGATGGTGGGAAGGGCGTTCCCGCCATGAATCTAGATCTAATGGCTCTGCCTACGATCTCGAGGAACTAGGATATGCGGAACAGCCCCGACAGCCTGATACGGAATCCGATGGGAACTCTGAGCAGGAGACTATGCCATCTGAGATTCCTGAGATACTGGGCTTGAGACGAGCACTTGAGTTTGTGGGCGAGCTTGTTCGGAACGGGGATTGTGGTGCAGAGAGATCTCCCGGTTCTCAAAGATATCCTCTTCCCACTCGAGATGCATCAGCACACTCTGCGCCATCATCGGTGGTAGGACTTACGACAGTATACTCATCAAGAGCCAGCAGTTTAAGCAGCCTTGACACGACCTCTTCCCTTACACTGGATACGTTGGAAACTGCAGAAACTCAACCACCTCCACCTTACCAGGCTTAATTGCTTTCCTGGGCGCTGTACCGAGCACTATGTGATTCGGAACACTGCATAGCCGTTTCAGGAACCTGTCAATGGGCGGCTCTTCGGAAGAATTGAAGCAACCATTCCCTGCTTTGAGTAAAGTTCATCATACCCATGGACTTCGGTTGAAGGCTTGTCATTGATCTTGAGGACTCTAACCGTTCGGATATCGCGCACTGCCAATCAACTAGTATGATGAATTCTATCGGAAGGAATTTTAAAGTCCTCTTTATCCTGTCGCCACAGCGCTGTGCCTCGTTGGTAGGGAAAAATAGCGCGAAAAAGGGAAGAGACCGTGTCTCAGGACATGGTCAGGCATACATACGCTCCATTCTCTCTCGACTCTCTTCTCTACAAAATCGCGTATTTTCTCCCTTTTTCAGTTACTAATTGACCATATTGGCTGGGCGCGTACAGTTATACAGAATTTAACCTTCCCCTTCTGGCTTCTAATCGGAATTACAAGCTTTAATATTGCTATTTCTAGGGTTGAATATATAATTATATTAGTATAGACAAAAGAAAGTAAGAAATATATGGAAAATCAAGGCAATAATAAAAGTAGCCCCATAAATTGTTTTTGTGAATTCTAAACAATAATACTAGTCTCAAAACAAAGAAAGTAACCATTTTCCCTAGTCCCAAGTTTGCTAAAAATGAAGAAGAAAATAAATAAATAAAAATAAAAGAAAAAAGCGGCTAGGAATGTGGTGCCTCCATCTACACCTTCGGCCGTTTAGAAGCTTCTCCTTCCGTCTCTTCCTCGTCGTCATCATCTGCGACTGTGAACTTGCGCTTTACCCGTTGATCTCTACCAAGGGTGCCATTAGGAGCTTCGCTCGCCTCGTCCAAAACAGCAGCCGACTGCGACCTTTTCCGCTCCTTCTCATCCGTTATCTCCGCTATCAGGCTTTCTTGACGAGCAGAGAAGGCCTTCAATAGGACTTCGTAACCCTCCTCGACATTCGTCACGGTCTCTTCGAGTTTCTGGATACGGTCACTGGGGTCGAGTTGGATCAGGATATCGCGGGAGCGTTTGTAGAGGCGCTGCTTGACAAGCATCCGCCACCAGTAGTAGCGGCGTTCATTAGGGTCCTCGGCACGATACTTCTTGATCAGGAGACGGGACATATTTGCGCCACCGGCCTGGCGGTTCTCAAAGGGGATGCGGCTCAGAAGGAACAATTCCAGGATATGAGAGAATTGGGTCGGGGAAATCTTATAGGATGTGCGGATGTCATGGAGTAGTTTTACGGGAATAAGATCGGCTGTGGGAACACGACGCGGTCGCTGGTTCCGGGAATGCGCTTCGTAGGGATCAGGGTTGATGTTGACCTTGTGCTTTGCGAATTCGGGGAGCAGGATATGGTAATCTGCGGTATCACGGAGGGCATCAAAGGCTTCGTTGGGGTCTTCCACTGTCAATTCCACGATTGTCGGGTCCTCGAAGCATTTTGTGTGGATGGTAGTGTACAAATGAGTTCCATGGCCGGAGCCTTGGTGGGGAGGGAGGATGAGGAACTGCGCTATGCGGAGCCGGGCTGGAAGGTCAGAAACCGCGACGTCAGGTAGTGGGAATGAGACATCTTTGCTAATCGCAGAGGATTCCAGGGGACCCCTATTATAGTACCACCAGCGATAGGTCGTCGCGTAGCCGACTATCGAATACTGTGAGGCGGTTGGCGTGGGAGGATCGACTTTCTCATATCTACATACGCGGATAAGTCACCGCGGCCGTTTCTTCCGGAGACAAGTTGGGAACTTACACAAAGTAGACTGTCCACCTTTCGAGAGTCCACTCTGGGTCATCTGTGGCCAGCGGGGTGCCGGCTTCAATGAAGAGAGAGACAAAGACTTGAGCTCGTTCTAACACATGTCGTACCCGGGGATCAGCAAGTGACCCGGCCCAGATCTCATAGTTCCTTTGTCTAGAAGTGTAGCTGTGGACGGGCTTGCCCGGGGGCACAAAATCCTTTGCCGTTTCATCGTCTTGAACCGCTTTCTCAAACTCGGGCAGGGTGGTGAATGCTTCTATACCATTCAAGCCACCTGTCAGTTAAAAACGAACTTGAATTGAGCCACATATGCCATAATACCCACAGACCTTCTGGGATCCATAGTTTCAGCGTCTCGTTCAAATCCACCGCTGCTGTGTCGTCGACAGTCTTGAATTTCTCGTCGTAGGAGATGTGGACGTGTGGGCGAAGATCATGAGCGGCAAAGCGCAAGCGAATTATCAAGCCCTTGTAGCCGAATATGCGCTCCTCATCGCCAAAGATCGGATAGGTGAACTGAGGGTGGAAGTTGGAGAGGGTCTTGGGCTTCGTTTCTCCTGGTTGGACCACGGTGATATGAACCGCGTCATTGGCGTCGCAGGACCCTACAGAGCAACCGCATTAGCGGACAAGGAAAGAGATGGGGTGGCTAGGATCATGGCTTACAGTCGTCTCCAGCGTCCATGGTGTGACCTTGTTCAGACAGCGAACCCAGGCAGAGGAGAAGAGTTAGTTGATGGTGGTAGTCGGGAAGGAAGTTCCTCAACGCGATCTGACGCGCTTCGAAGGGCTGCTTAATACTGCTTATATCCGAGAGCTTAATTCTATCATTCATTCACTCTACTCATCACAACAATTTCCACTACTTTTCTTCCCTCTGGCGAGACTGATACTGATGCCACTGATTGTACTGGACTCAAAAGGAATAAATGATAATAAAAGAAAGGGTGCAAGGGAAGAGTAGATGAGTCCGCAAGAGGACGTCGTCAACCCCTTTGATTGCTTGATTCAGCTACTGATGGCCTTGTTGCTGCATTCTTCCCAATCTGCATGAATCTTTCCTGAAAGAACTGCAAGAGGATAGGTCTCGCCATTAAGTCAAAATACTTTTCTTATACCGTACTCTCAAGTCCAGCACCCTCTGGTGACTGCCAGGAAAGTCATGAAGCGACTTGATTTCTTCTGTTCTTCAGCATTGTTTTGCCTTCCGAATATTCACCATGCTCAGTGCAGACACTCTTACTATCCCAAGCGATGATAATAACTCATCTTTTGCGGCTACCATATACCATGACATTCCTTGCTATACGATAAAAAAAGGCCAGGAAAAAAAAAACGTCAGTGTGAATCATTCTCTCGATGTTCCAAAGGCGACGATGGGTTCCACGGTTAGGCATCGCGATGAGACAGATGTACCATACCAGAGAGTGGCTGTCCGGGGATTCGGGTAAAAACCAGAGCCAGTACGTTCTATTCTTTTCTCTGTTTTTATAAAAGTGGCCACAGGGGAAATTTCAGGGGTTTTTGGCCTCTGTCCTGCCTGGATGTTTCGTAGACTTCCTCACTTCTTAGCGTCCCAGTTCGCCTGTGTACGGCTGTACCGTAGTAGAACGTGCTATAGACTGGCGCTTAGACTTGTAGTCGTCTCCCTTGTCTGTTTCAGAGAATAACTGTGGGCTGTGTTCTGGGAGAGTGAGGAATTTGATTGCTTATTCTTCTTATTCTTCTTCCTGCACCTGACCAGCGGTCACGACATCGCGCGATCCCGATTCTTCCTCTTCTGCTTCTCTCGATCTTCCCAACTCAGTTCAATTTCAATCTCCACCGTCTTACTGTCCTCCAGCCTTCTCCCCGTCCTCTGCTTGGACTCTGGTTCTCCTCTCTTTCTTGCAATCTGACCGGTCGACCGCATCTCACTCCTGCAGCTCTTCCCGATCCCGCATTCCGAGCGCTCCTTCCACTCCTGCTCCCTATTGACGGACTCTCTGCAAGCCGTCTCCATCCTTTGAACCCAACTAGCTTCCTGTGCCTCGACGTATTCCGTCACCGCTATAATATATCATAGTCGTTCTGTCTAGGCGCATCTGCACTCTCCAGTTCGCCCCTCGACTCCTCTCTCTTCCCTCTCTCTCTCTCTCTCCTCGAGTCCTCTTCTCCTTCCCCGACTTCTTACTCCTCTCTATGCATGCGGCTGTTCCCCGTCCAACTGTTTCCGCCAGTTGCTGTCGATAATCTTCAAAGGTCATTGGGTGGAGGATTCCCAGTCGTTACTTAAAGTTCTAAGGTATACATACACATCGCATCGCTCGTCTACGATTCACCTCTACATCTTGCCGTTGGAGTGTCGGAATGACTACGCACAGCGTGCCCGAGCAGTTGACCGCTGCGTATTCCCCTTCGCTAGCAGGCAGGGATTCGATCTCGGTATCCAGTTTTTCGAACCGGCGCTCGGCGCCTCTGATGTTCCATCGGAACAATGATCACGACAGTGACGACGGCCGTAGTAATAACACCAGGAACGGTAGATCTATCGCTCGAATACCACCGAACTTGCTGCATTCCGCTCCGGCCTCCCCTCCTACCCCGGCTCCTAGTCCCACTCCTCACCAGAAAGCCCCGAATTGGCCGTCTGCCGATGACGAGGATGATGATGCTTTCCTGGCCAATGTCGGGGTTCGTTTCAACTCCCTATCCAATGCGACAAAGCAGAGGTTCCTGGCCGGCATCCTCAACCTGTGCGATATGCAGCAGCTGAGCTTTGTTTCTGGTTACGTCGGTCCACGCCTTAGGAAGGATCCTTTCTTGGCCTTTCCGACGGAATTATGTTTAAGGGTGAGGCAGTTATCTCCCTCTTCCTGTTCGTATGTAATGATTGAATCAGTCAGAACATCGCTAACTTATGCCGTTGTTGCCCAGGTACTTTCCTTCATTGACGATCCGCAGACGCTGGCGAGAGCAGCTCAGGTATCAAGACGCTGGCGCGAACTCTTAAATGATGACATTACGTGGAAGAATCTTTGCGACAAGCATGCATATGTTTATCGGAGGATGTCGGAGGATGGCCGTGACTTCGTCGACCCCTTTCACCCCGATTCCTCCACAGATATTTCTTCGGGTAAACCGCAGAGGAAACCCAGTGGACTACAGCGGAAACCAAGTGGGCTCCAGAGGAGGTCAAATGCGGCTGGCCATCAGTCATTGGATCGCTTTCCGGAGCCGTCTACCTCTTTGTCGGCGGAATCTCACTCGTTGCGTAAGAATCGAACACGGGTTTTATCTTACAGGTCGCATTTCAAGCGGAAGTACCTAATCGAGTCCGCTTGGAATAAGGGTGGCCGGTGCACTCAGCGACATACTGCACCTGACGAGGGCGTTGTCACGAGCTTGCATCTCACCTCTAAATACATCGTGTTTGCTTTAGATAATGCGAAGATCCATGTTTACGATAGAGACGGGAACAACCAGAAGACCCTGGAGGGACACGTTATGGGTGTTTGGGCTATGGTTCCATGGGACGATATTCTTGTGAGCGGTGGTTGTGACCGGGAAGTTAGAGTGTGGAACATGGCTACTGGGTAAGCTTATTTTGGGAATCCGTCCTACCTGATAATAGCCCCGGGTATGAACAAACGAGCACACGCTAATGGATTACATCGGGCAGGGCTGGAATTTACCTGCTGCGCGGGCATACGTCAACCGTGCGTTGTTTGAAGATGTCCGATAAAAACACGGCTATCTCTGGGTCGAGGGATGCCACTCTTCGTGTATGGGACCTGGTAACTGGCACCTGCAGAAGTGTGCTGGTTGGACATCAAGCCAGTGTTAGGTGTCTTGCGGTCCACGGAGACCTTATTGTTTCCGGGAGCTACGATACTACCGCACGCATTTGGAGCATCTCTGAGGGCCGTTGTCTACGTACGCTGTCCGGCCATTTCAGCCACATCTATGCTGTTGCTTTTGATGGGAAACGAATCGCGACAGGTAGTCTTGATACGAGTGTACGGATCTGGGATCCGTGTACAGGTCAGTGCCATGCTATTTTACAAGGCCATACATCGCTTGTGGGACAATTACAGATGCGCGGCGACACACTTGTGACCGGGGGCTCGGACGGTTCCGTTAGAGTCTGGTCGTTGGCTAGAATGGCGCCTATACACCGACTAGCTGCTCACGATAATAGTGTGACAAGCCTCCAATTTGACAGTACTCGCATCGTCAGTGGCGGTAGTGATGGCCGTGTCAAAGTCTGGAGTCTCCAAAGTGGTCAACTTCTCCGGGAGCTATCCACACCGGCGAAGGACGTCTGGAGTGTGGCATTTGAGGAGGAGAAAGCTGTGATCATGGCGAGCAGGTCTGGTTGTACCGTCATGGAGGTAGGCTTCATTCTCTATCTGGCGCTTCCTGTCGTATCAGTAGAGGTCGTTCTGCATCAATTTCCAGGGGAATTCTAACGCTTTCTTCTCCAGGTCTGGTCTTTCTCCCCGCCGCCGGATGATAGTACGGATGATTCGGTGGTTGTTGAAAGTGCTTCTAGCACTCCAGCTCTCGGCCCGGCGAAGGGGGTCGAAAATGATTTCCCAGTGCATCGCAGAGAACACTTTTCAGAGCCGCCTCCGACTATACCACGAAGCGACGACGATGACCAGTTGATGCAGGATGCGCCTTTGTCTTGATGCTTCGTGTGCTATGCGAGGCTGTTGAGACGTGCGCTCAAGTGTTCCTTGCCGAGGCTGGTCCTGCATCCGCGATTTGGTAATATATACTTTTCCTTTTGGCTGTTTGCCGCATGAATTGGCCATTGGAGTTACTTCGGAGTACGGCTAGAACTCTATCTAATCTTGATTACGCAGTCAGCTGTAGAAACTTTTGCATATTTGGTATTGGATTATTATTCATGTCATCGCAGCCATATCCACCACAAGGGTTGAATGGCACTACGGAGTTGCAATTAGAGATGGCAACTGCTGGGAGTTTATATATTGAGTTTGGTGTTTTGAGGGTTTAGATGATACCCGCATGGGGAGGTGACGGCTGGATATATGATCATTATATGGTTTCCTTCTACCTCTTACTACTTTTTGTCACACGTTTCTTTTGGCCTTTAGGTATTTTTCTTTTTTATAAAGGCAAGAGGAGCGACCCAGCGGCTTTGGAGAGTCACATCTTCTCTCTTATCGTCATAATGACAGTTGCAGGTTTTGCTTGCACCGTATCCCTTCATGCTGAATCTTCTAAATGCCTCATTTCATCATCGAGTAACTGGGATCATCGTGAGACGTAAAAGCTACGACTGCCGATGGATTCCCGGAACCGAGACTCGAGTTGGATGATTCAAAGCCAAATCTATCAAGTTGACCTCTATCACGTCCCGCTGTCAGCAATCTACACCAATGTCCACACGGAATTAGATTTTATCGAGGCCAATTACGAGACATTTACCACAGGAGGGTGCAGTATATTGCGGCCATGCGTGTCTCTGACACGGATTTTGAGCAATTTGATAGAGAACACAAGTTTCTTCGTCTCCGTTTCATGACAATTCGCTTTTCAGGGCAAGATATCATGATGCGAAATTCAAGCATACCCTCCACTTCACTGGGGGCGAGATCCTCCTAGAACAATTCCTTTGAAAATGTCACGGGCTTGGAACAAAGAAACATGCTCAGACCCCAGGTCTTATCTGGTGGGCTGAAGATAGAACCAGACAGGCCTTTCCTTCCTCGTCCCACCGGACACGTTAACGGCTATCCATCCTTTGTCGTTGGAGTTGGAGATGTGAATCCTCTCTGCAACTTACAAACACATGCGTGTTTGTGGTTGGATAATACCCATGGCTTGACAAGAGTTGTCCTCATATTAGCCATCAGTGAATCAAGCCCGGATATATCTTTTGATAGATAGAAATATCGGGACGCCATAGAATGAGTGCATCGGTCTCAGTTAACTATAGAGCCGAAAGAAGTATCATAGATGCACCCATGACTTTCCCATTAAGACTCATTTTGATCAAGTAGCTTTGGCGCAGACTACACTTACCTAGTGCAGTGTATATATTCTTTCACATTTCCCACTCCAAACTTTCCCCTATCCTAATTTCTTGAGTAGATTGACTCATCTAACTCAAAGGAAAAACAACTAAGCTTTGTGTTCACCTCAATTGGTATAACACTTCCTTATTCTGGTAGAGTTGCCTCATCCTAGAAATTCCGGTCTGTATAGGCACATATTTAGGATCTTTCTGGCCCACAGTAATATGAACAGGACTTTAAAGCCTCTGAACACGAGTATAAGACCTCTCAGATGTTCTCTCACAATAACCATATTCCATCCTGAACCGTGGAGCTTCGTGAATTGTGGCAGCACTGCACGATCACCTGATCAGGATTGGCATCCATATATTCTGCGGAACCGACGATTCTCGCTTCCTTGCATTCCCCGTACAGGTCTGAGGCCTCCAAGTCTTTATCCTTGAGATAAAGGTGAAGAGGAAATAAACTGAAAGAGCTGACATTTTACCACCAAGTACTCTGGAGTACTGCTCTTCGATTCCGAGGTTCGGCAATAACCATGCATAGGTCATGATCTTTCTCGACATCCTGTGACGACATCCTGAGCCCGGCTGGATGACTGAAAAAACGGAGGACAAACGAAAAGGAAAAAGGAAACGGAAACCGACAGAGTGATAGTGCTCTGGGTCGTGTTCAACCATGGTCTACGGTGGAAAACCGAGCACGGGATGCCACTTGTGTCGCAAGCGGAAGGTTAAGGTACTACTCTCTATGCATATACTGTCTTTTAAAATTTCCCACCTGCCTTTTTTCTTTAGATTCGGCTTTGTTTGTGTCTGTCGAGGCTAAGTTGTTTTTCCGAGTGCGATGAATCAAGGCCTGCTTGTCGCAATTGCGAGCGATACGGAAGACCGTGCCCGGGGTATCGCGATGACGGTTTCTTTCGAGATGAGACTCGCAAGATCGAGAAAATGATGAATAGAGTCCTTCCTAGTCGAAATTACCATTCTTCTCCATGTCATGATAGTCGGGGTACAACGACATTGGCGGCGGCAGACATAGCATGGCATACAGATGATAATTTTGAAAATCGTCGTCAGGATAGAACTACTATGGCTTCTTCTGCTATCGCTGTTCGCTCACCCAAATCGTCATGGGATTCGCCATCATATATATCTAGTCCAGCTCCTACAGCAGTTACTTCTGCTCCAGTAATACCACCGTTTGTCGACGATTCAACATGGCAGGAGCGCGCGGTTTGCTTCTTCTTCGACCAGTTTACGGAAACTGGCAGGCCTGACGGTTTTTCTGGCCATATGGAGTATCTACCGGGACTATATGCTCGTTGTCAAGATGATGAAGGGAGCATTTTCGCTGAAAGATGTTCCGCAGCCTCATGTTTGCGATGGGCGGTCAATGCGACATCGCTCATTGCTCTAGGTAATCGGAAAGGATCGAAGGAGCTGTGCCTCCAGGCAAAGAATCAATATGGACTTGTGCTTCGAGGGTTGCGGCAAGCGTTGACGTCGCAGGTTGAGGCGATGAAAGATGAGACCTTTGCGACAGTCGTCCTGCTTCTTTTGTTTGAAGAAATTGCAGGGGAGCGTATTGGACTTTCGAGCTCGCATACCGCCGGTCTGGAAGCTTTGATGGAGCTGCGGGGGAGAAGCCAATTTGGTCGTGAGGAGGGCCGGGCTTTATTTCAATTGGCCTATACTCATAAGGTATGTCTGCACCGTAGTTGTCAGATCGCTTACGATGGATGAACTGACAAACGCCTTAGCATGTGGCAATTTTGGTCCTTGGGGATAAACCCCGATTTAATATGGAATGGGCTCTAGGGTTATTGGACGATTCTGATCCAGTTCACCGGCTGCTGTCGACCGCGTTCAAGGTCAGTCGAATTGTGCTACAGATCTCTTCGCTGGAGCCAGCTGAAGGTGATGGCTCTATATTTACCAGTACTATCGCCGCGGAAATATCGGAATGGGTAGAATCATGTAAACTGCTAGATTGGCAACTCGATCAATGGACCCAGCATCTGCCGGACGACTGGCTGCCTTCCATCGTCTACTCTCAGGACGGGTCGCCGTTAATCACCAACCGGTACGTCTGGATGACAGGCATCTGGGACTATTACCGGTCCTTCCGGGTCCTTCTGCAGAGGCTGCTCATCGCCCTGTACAGGAAACTGGCATGTCTCGATCCGCGACATGCCTACGGCTGTGCCCTTGCTTGTTTAAATTTCCAGAAAGTGACCCAGGATATGATCGGTGATATTTGCCGCAGCATACCCTTCCTAATGGGGGATGTTGACATGCTCGGGAGGCCGATCACTGGGCTTTCATTTTGTTACTCATCTAACGGGAAACCCGGCGTCCGCACATTGCACGCCCACAGCATACTATGGCCTCTGTGGCATATTTTTTCCTCCGGACTCGCCACGCCGAAGCAGGCGCAACAGATCCGATCCGTTTTGGTGCGGATGGGGTCAACGCTCGGCATCAAATTGGCGTTGGCCTTAGCGGATGAATGGAATGGCTATCAGGGATCTGTCCTTCTTCGGATCTGAGCGTGATGTTATCTGTGCCGCTGCTCCCGTCCTTAGCATAAACTGGCCAAACGCTGTTAATACAATGCTGTACAGCGTAATCAGGACCGCGCGGAAGTGATGATGTCACTGAGACTTCCGGGGGTCCGTGCAGTTGGTGCTGAGCTGGGTTTCATCTCTTCTTGTTTTGCAGCTTATCGTACCTGGCTGGTAATCTTCTCCCCTCTACTCTCTCGCTCCTTGGGCTTTCTTCAGCAGTGCAGCAGTGCAGCATTGTATAATCCAGCGATTGTTCTCTTTAAGGCGTTGGAATCTTCTATTCCCTACCTAGCTCGCTGATCCCGCTTCCCCTGTACATCCGGATCTACCGGCCCGACATTGGCAGAATGGCATTGTCGCAGGAACGAAAGCTCCCCTTTGGGAAGATTGAACCCCATTCCATGAAGTACTTCGCCAGCTGCACGCTAGGCGGCATTGTTGGTGTGTTCCCCGTTCTCCACTGACAAGAATGAATGGCGAACTGTCGCCTCTGGGGTCCGTTGACTATAGCACTGCTAACAGAATCGATGTTGCGAACGAATAGCATGTGGTAAGTCTCGGAGTCTTGTCTTTTTCATGATTTAAGCTGTCGCAAACTGACATCACACAAGGACCTACCCATACCCTCGTGACTCCGCTCGACCTTGTAAAATGCCGTCGCCAGGTCGACCCCAAGATCTACAGCTCAAACATGCAGGCATGGCGCTCGATATTCTCGAAAGAAGGACTGCGCGGTGTGTTTTTCGGGTGGTCCCCGACAGCCGTGGGCTATTCCTTTCAGGGTGCAGGCAAATACGGGTTATATGAGTACTTCAAGTACCTGTATGGGGAGCGCTTGTTCCCCAATGTGAACACTACCGTGCTCTACCTGGGTGCGAGCGCGTCAGCTGAATTCTTTGCTGATATTGCGCTGTGTCCATGGGAGGCTATAAAGGTTCGCATGCAGACGACCCTGCCGCCGTATGCGCACAACTTGCGCGAGGGTTGGAGTAAGATCGTGACCAAGGAAGGAATCGCAGGCTTGTATAAGGGCTTGTATCCGCTGTGGGCGCGTCAGATCCCGTACACCATGACCAAGTTCGCAACGTTTGAAGAGACGGTCTCAATGATTTATCGGACTCTCGGAAAGCCCAAGGAGAGCTACAACATCCTGCAGCAGACCGGGGTCAGCTTCCTGGGAGGCTACATTGCGGGTATCTTCTGTGCTATTGTCAGCCATCCTGCTGATGTCATGGTTAGCAAGTTGAATGCGGATCGTCAAGGTAGGCTATCTGCTTCTCTCTTCAGAGCATGACTTCAAATACGAATTCACTCGCTAATTTTTGCGTCTCAGCTGGTGAATCTGCCGGGCATGCTGTATCCCGAATCTACAAGAACATTGGATTTGCAGGCCTGTGGAACGGTCTTCCAGTCAGAATTGCCATGCTGGGAACATTGACAGGTTTCCAGTGGCTCATGTAAATGCCCCTGTCCTTCTCGATCTGGTCGACTGCAGCTGCTGACATTTGGCCTGATAGTTACGATTCCTTCAAGGTGTTCCTTGGTCTTCCCACCACTGGCGGCCACTAGAGCCGTTTCTTTTCCTTGCTTCGATGTTTGTTTGATAGATGTGATTGATGTATGTAGAATGCATATAGAATCGATGTCTTTGTATGAATGTATGAACGAGTAGATGGTCTGAGTAGAGTAGTCCAAGGCGGTGAGGCTGCACGCATCTCCGGATTGTCTTTTGGACTCGCAGCAAAGAACGACGTCAAGCATCGAATTCCCTCTCCTTCAACCATCCATATCCTTCTTCTGCTGGTCATCTCGCATGTACTCGGGTCAGCGACAATCTTTGGTCCTCTGCTTGTCAACCATTCGCGGATTTGCCCATCTTCCCAGTCATCTTGTTGGGATCTGGTCTCTGTCCTGCGACCAGCTGCTTCTGAAGAGCACGAATTAGACGCCCTCGTTTCTTTTATTATTATTATTATTATTATTAAATCGAAAAAAAAAAATTATATTAAAAGCATCTTCGCCGTCGCAAGTCTATATTATTTGATTCCATCGAATCCCGAATCTCCATCCATCAATTCCACCCATCGCAAATCTGTATTCGCAGGCCTCACTCTTGCAAGAACCGAATAACAACAGAATCGGTACACGAGCATCATGGACCCTCCTCCAACTGCAGCATCGAAATCACTCCCCTCTACCAACCCCCCAAGCATCGAGGCAGCCTATAAGCGGAAATGTATCGCTCTCAAGAAGCGCCTCAACGAGGTCGAGGCCGAAAATGAGATCGTGCGCCTTCGAAACCGACGCGGGTGGCAATATATCCAGAAGATGCGGCTGGAGTCGTGCATTTTACTTGAGCGCCTTGCCAAGGTTACAGGGATGACGGAGGAAGCGGTCGCCCAGGCTCAAGTCCAAGGTCAAGCAGTTCACGGTCATGGTGAACTTGGACAGGGTCTTTATGCTAATCCCGAGTTGAGGGCAAGAGCTGCAGCTATTATGTCTAACGCGGCACTTCTGAATAACACCACGGCAGCTGTAACGGGAAATGCGAATGGTGCCAGGTACCTCGATGATGAGACGGAGGGCAGTTCTGATGAGCAGCCTCCTACGGTCTGTATCCCTTCTCTTTCTCCTTGCATTAGCTATTCGTATTTTCGATGCCCCTGTGCCTTTTCATGCTATTCATGATGTATACTAATATTCGTCCAAGCCCCAAGAACGGCCCCTCCGCGTAAAACGATCAAAGAAATCAAACGTCCATCCTGACGACGACGACATCACACATCATGATCACCACGATGACCACGATCACAACGATAACAGCCACAGTCACAATAACAATAATAACAATGACCATCTAGCAGAACCAACGACTAGCAGCGGTAGTCGTCGCGCGTCTTCTTCCTCTGCATTACCACGGCTCGCTCCCGCACCGTCTCAGGAGGAATTGACATCCTCCTTCCGAATCCAGACTAATAATGGCCATAATTCTTACAATGGCGGTTCTGTTAGCGAACAAGATCGTCGTCATAGCCATCATTCCCACAGTAGCCACCGCACCGAACCGGAGTCGGGGTTTGGATTGGGGCCAGGACATATGAGTGAATCTTCTTTTGCAGGCATGGGGGCTATGGATGTAGATTACAAGGTGAAGGAGGAGAGCTAGGTTTCTTGCTTTCCTTTTTTCCCTTCTTTTCATGGTAGATTTTTAAGATTTGTATTTTGCCTCGGTTTTTAACGTCTGGGATATTATATTAGCATGGGGAATTGTGGGGGATCATTGGCATTTTTCTTTCTTGCCGTCTCTCTCACTGTCTGGTTTTCTATTTCATTTCATTTCATTCCTAAATGGAGGTACCTAGGCAGACGGTTAATGGGAGGTGTCCATAATCCATACGATTGAGAAGGAACCCTAGCAATCGTCATCGTATCGTAGCTTGTATAAGCTGGATATGAAGAGATATATATTCGGGAATATTCTAATAACATATCTATGTTTTGCATCTCAATTCAACTTAATGTATATAATACAACCGAGATTTCACAGTTGTCTGAGTATCGAGGCCGTTGTCAACGCAGGGAAAAATAATTATAATTACAGCACCAGTCCGGACAGTCAGAGGAAAGAAAAATATAGCCGAAAGATCCCTAGAAAATAGCTCTTCAGGGAGTGCTATTGTTATTGTCTATTCTTAATGGTCGGCGTGGTATGTGGCAATGGGAATGCAGATTGGGATGTAGAGAAAGGCTTGATAGAGGTACAGATGTTGCAATTGCAGTCACGAAAAGAAGATGCCCAAGATGGAGTCCGCTCGAATGTTAGAGTAAAAAGAACGAAGAACGATAGAGAATGGGTAGACATATTAGATTAATCAATACCGGCATACAAATCAACGACAATGTTGATTGCTGCGACAACAATCTCAGCAGCAATGAGAATGATGACTGTATCCTCTGTGAGCAGAAACATCACTCTATTGACTAGGAAGGAATAACTCACCTATCCATTCAAGGTACTCACCATGACGGTGAGCTAACTGGTCCTTGAGTACTGCGAGAAGATCCGCGATGACATCCAACCGCTCAGTCATAAGCCCTACTCGCTGGTCCATTTCAAGATAGCTCCTCACAGCCTGGTACACAGGATCAAGCTGCGGTTCGGCCCACATAAGTTCCGGGCTATCAAGCACAGATCCCTGTAAGTGGATGTTGATTCGCAAGATAAATAATTGTCCGATTTCCATGTTGATTTGCCGCCGTGTAAGATTAACACTGCCTGTCTGTGCGATCTGGGCTGGTAGCGGCGCGGTTTGGGCGATCGTCTCCGATAAAACGTCTTCGAAAAGGGATGTTTTAACTGATTGTGAGAGTGCATGAGAGATTGCTAGCTTGATCATGTGGTTATGCGGGTCGCGTAGGGAGATGAAATCATTGTATATTCGAGCTTGGTACTCGCGGGCATAGTAGAAATTGAAATTCTCCACCTGTGCATCTTCGGGACTCAATGTCGATATAGCGAACTTGGACACTTCAGATAGAAACCGTGACTCCTGTGCAGGGGACATGCCCCATATCACGACAGTCCCGTAATCGAAGAGGAACACCTCGGGAGTGTGTATCGTGGTGTCAAAATCTGGAGTCTGATCTGATCGTGAAGTTGTCGCGGCACTTTCCAAACCGCTTCCCTCCTCTTCATGATGAGCTTCTGGTTCGTCAAAGATAATTAGGTCCTCCCTCCTGTGTTTCGTATTCCCCTCAACCTCGACCGCACTGTCGGAGAACCTGCGTTCCTTGGGTCGCCTTTCGGGTTGCGCATCCTCCGCCCCCAACCCGTCGCTCGGTTCAATTACAGATTCACTGTGCTTCTTCTCCTCATACTGGTAATCATATGGAGAGTATACGCATTCATCGTACAGCTTCGGGTTGGTCCCGCGGGTTGGGGCCCGCGACTTCAAAAACTTGATCACTCCATCCAGCTGATATGAATTGGCTGTACAATATGCGGTAACTCGAGGTAATCGGTCCCGGTCTGCCTTTCCTAGCCTTGCGGCGTGACTTCGTGCAGTGGGTTCCTTGATGCGAGTGATTTGCGAATAGACATCCGGTGGTAGATATTCGTCGAAAACTTCCTCGTTCTCTTCCGGAGCGACCGGATCCGGTAGGAGTTTCAGCTTCTGTGCATTTTTTGTCGTCCTCTGAGGTCCAATCTTGGCCACTGAAGGCAGAGGAGAGGTAGTGTATGGAGCCTGATAGCTATTCCGACGCCGGAGTTTGCTGTTCAAAGCAGCCAAACCAGTTGGCCGTTGCTGCCTTGCTTGGGCATTCTGCGCAGGTGAGCCTGTATGCAGAGGTCTGTAGGACTCTGCTATACCAGTTCCACCGTACGTGCTGATGGTGGTGAGAGGGTTGAATTTGACTGTCCGTCGGCTGCCTCGTGGTGACGTATTGGAGGATTCCGAGCGATACTGGGGGAGGAGCGCGGAGGTCTCTGAATTAGAAGTCATGGCAGGTTGTGGAAGATGCAGAATAGGGCCAGTCTAGACAGTTGCATCCATTGAACAATCAAGAATCAAGGGCAGCCGGCCGCAGCCTTGACAAGAAGGTTTGACGTAGCGGCGAAGGTGAAGCTGAGAAAAAGAACGGCCAGAGCTCTGCACGTGCCCTCGCGACTCGTGATTTTTCTCTTGCTACGAACAGCTTCACATTTCACATCTACCAGGTCTATTCTTCTTTCTAGATATGCTAGTTACATTCCACTTTCAAACAGAAGCTGTTTTCTACTCCTTCCGCACCCAGTCTGCGGTTTGTTCCCGCCTCAAAGACGTGTCTCACCTTCATGCAGCTTCAGATCGATGACAACAGCCCAAGCTGCATGCCCGATGCAGTCGTGCGTAAATTAAATTCCCCGCACATTCTCTCAAGCCACACATGTCTTAATAAGTAGGCTCAAGTACAGCGGTTGAGCATTGCTTTCAAATATAGTCCACTGGAGTTAGCCAACCGTTCTGCTCTGGGGAGGATGAACATCCGTTATTGCAGCGGTGTCTAGTCATGCTACACAAGCAGAAACTCGTCTTCAATGTGTATGGAGAGCATAGTGTCACTGATTTAGGTTCGAAGTAGCGTCCAATTCCTCACTTAGTTACCCACAATGGGTATTTAGTTAAAAGGAGGGGGGTATCATGTCGGGACGATTTTCTGTAGAGCGACAGCAAGGTTTAGCTGCGCACAAAGCCAGAAGGCCCACCAGCAGTCCTTCTCAGGCCATTAACACGTGCGGTGCAGCGATCTCTCTTGAGCCAATTCTCTCTCAAATTCCGACCACCTTTGGATGCTTTTGGGGCCAAGGAGGCTTTGGATTTCTTCTGAACAGAGTTCTCATTTAAGACCCGAATAGTCATATCGCCCATTTTGACATCCTTAGGAGGCTTCTCCATTTGATCGAGAAACCGTAGCTTGTTGGGCTTTTTCTGACCGGATCGAGGCTCAACTGCTGGCAGTGTAGGAGAGCGCTCGGTGGGCGCGGCGTTCAAAATCTCGTCGGGAAGTAGAGCTGGGAGTACATGTCGCCGTTTATATTGTGTCGTCGAGCCTTGAAGAGTAGCCGTGCTCTCCGAAAGGAGGTCATCTGGAGTAGCAGCGGGCTTGAGAGTCGCGCCAAAGACGTCTTTCTTGTCTGATCCTGACTTCGCTTGCAGTTTGTGGAATTCGTCCAACTGCCTCCTCTTTTCCCTTTTCAATTGCATCTCCCTAACATATAGTAAGCATTAAACTGTAAGAAAACATAGGTTGAAGGTGAGTCCACTAACATTTGCTTAGCTCGCTCCCGTTTCTTCGCTTCCGCTTTGATACTGGACAGTTGAGTAGAGTTGTCAACAGCCTCGGGAGCCTCATCATCACTGCTATCTTCTCCATCCTCCCGATTATCAGGTTGCACTGTTTCTGATGTTTCCTCCGCAGGCGTATCAAGTGGTATTGCCGGCTCTTCGCTGCCAAATCTGAAGTGTTTCTTTGCTGCACCATTTACATCTTGCGTATGCTCTTCATGTGGTCTTCCATTTACAATCCCATGACCGTTTTCCTCGCCAACTCCCTTTCTCCGTTTATTGTTTTGACCCTCCGCATTTCCCGCACCCGTGAGTTGAGTCTTCCGTTTTCCAGTTATCACAACAGCGATATTACTGGAGTTTGAATTTATTCTTGTGCTGCCTTCAGCCATAGTATCTGCCTTTCCCTTATCCGTTACCGCTGGTGACTGTGAAGGAGTTGTGCGATTCGATGAGGCTGTGTTTGATGCGGGTTCCGCAGTCTCCTGCCCCGGGAATAGACCCTTTGCTGCCGTGAGAAGGTGAGAAAACATAAGATATGCAGACAGCGATATCAAAGCAGCGGTTAAAAGAAATAAGTAATCCGTAATCCGAGACAGGTGGATAAAAGTTAATACTCACAGGAATTTACAGTGGAGTCTGCACGCATTGGCTGCCTTCTTTTTTCACCTTCGGTCGGAGGAATATATCGCCGACGGAGAAAACCCTATCTGGCTGTCGTTGAATCATCGATGCAGCTTATCAATACTGAAAAAAAAGACGATCTGGATGGGGAAATGGAAACAAATATGAAGTCTTGATATGCCGTGCATGGTATCTTCGATATGCAAAATTCCAAACATAGAGACTCCGAACAATATGTAGGCACCAAAACAAAACACGCCGACTTTTCCCAACTCGCAAACTCCGTACAATGCCTCAAAGCAATACCGAACCAGCAGTTGCATCAAAGGCTTGTAGACAAATGTGCTAGACTCAGACACTCTTCTTATCATTGCGCAGCCGCCATCTGTGTGCGCTCCACGAACTCCTCCTCCGCATCCAAGAAGTCATCTTCACCCGTATCGCTGACTTCGTCCCAGAACCTCGAGTGCTCATAGTCATCGTCCCCACTGACTGTCCACATACTTTCTCGTAAACGCTTATTCCGTTCGCGGTCTTCTTCAATCCTTTGCTCAATTTGCCTCTTGTCCACGCGTAGCCCATTCGCCCTGGCCGCTCGCGGTGTTCCGTCCTTCGTTTTCCCGCCCTCTCCCCCTTGTTCGGGTTCCAAATCAAGATGTGCTGCATGCGTCTCGCGTTCTTTAAGACTTGAATCAATTTCCGTCACGGTCTCGGCGGAGAGGATGGATTTGCTCTGAAGGCCGTTCAGCACTCGACGAACGTGCTTGATGTTTGCTGCTCCTGAGCCATCAGGTGGTGCGACAGCATCTACAACGCGGAGTATATCCCTTTGAATCATGCGGACGTATGGGAGGTGGTTTTCCTTAGTGGCCATTTCGCAGAAGTGCTCGATGAAATACATGATGTTGGCTCTGTTGTTCATGTTATTCTGCGGATAGCAAGAATCAGTTAGAGAAGGTATAGAAGAGAATATCAATACCCAGAATTGCAGGGAAATCCTACTTACTCTTTCAAGTTGCTCTAGGATGCAGGAATGGAGATCCTCATCCATATCCCGGTATTTGAGCGCATAGAGAGCAGCTCGTTGCGACGAGGCAACGGAGGCACTTAGATGTTGCAACTGCGTTATAAAACGCATGCGAACCTCAAACGGATCAGCCATCATGATGAAGCTGTAAGACCTTATATAAATATGAAAAAAAAAAAATCGAGGCGTTTGAAGCTGGAGCGATGACAGCAACGGAGGACTTTCCGGAGGGCGGTGAACTTCTATCCGGACCGGCAGAAAATGCGGGGAATAATTCAGAGGGAAAAAAGAAGGGAACTGAGAGCACTTTTTAAATTGGAATTGATTCTTCGAGCAGGTGCCAATTTCTGCACTCGGCAAGATTTTGAGGAGTTTCATTCACGAAGTGTTTTGGAATCATGTCTACATTAATGTCCACCGATGGCTCCAAGCGGGAGATGACTCTGACTGTGCTGGGTTGCGGTACGGCGAACTGCTGGGCATTTGAAATACTCAACATTATTCACTGACAACTGGACTATTAGGTACATTGGGTATCGCGATCCTGTCTGGTATTCTGGCCTCTCTGTCTGATACCAAAGGTGCATCTGCGTCCTCGAATGAGGATACGCCGTCCCTGACCCCGACCAAATTCATTGCGTGCGTTCGACGACCGCAATCTGCAAAGCGCATTCACGATGCTGTTAGCGCATATCAAAACTTCCCGGTAAAGGTCCTTCAGAACGACAATATAAACGGTGTCAAACAGGCAGATGTGGTCATCCTGGGCTGCAAACCTTATATGCTGAAGGATGTATTGGATGTGCCGGGAATGCGCGAAGCTCTGAATGGCAAGCTCCTGATCAGTATTCTGGCCGGAGTCCCTGCTGAGCAGATCGAGAACACACTATATCCGGATAATAGCTCAGTCGCGGAGCAAGATAGGTGTCGAATTATTCGTGCCATGCCGAACACGGCTGCTATAGTCAGGGAATCAATGACCGTGATTAGCACGGCAGTTCCGCTCCCGGCAGAATTAAACAAACTGGTGACCTGGATTTTTACCAGGATCGGACAGGTCGCCCATCTTCCTCCTGCTAGCATGGATGTCAGCACGGCTCTGGCTGGCTCTGGACCCGGTTTTATGGCGTTGGTTCTTGAGGGTATGGCTGATGGAGCTGTCGCCATGGGAATGCCCCGCGCTGAGGCGCAACTCATGGCCGCTCAGGTTATGCGTGGCACGGCAGCTATGGTATTAAATGGAGAACACCCGAGCCTGCTCAGAGAGAAGGTTTCTACGCCCGGTGGATGCACAATCGGAGGCTTGCTTGTACTTGAGGAGAACGGCGTCAAGGGTAGCCTCGCTCGCTCAGTTCGAGAGGCAACTGTTGTCGCAAGTCAGCTTGGCCAAGGAGTTAAGAATGTCAATGGTACAAGATTCTGAACGCCGTGCGATAGATTAACATCAGCATTTCGATAAGTCTGCTTAAGAGCTTCAGATACCAGAAGCCTTTACCCTAGAGAATGCAGTATAAACACATAACCATCCCTATATCCATATTATTGAAATAAAAAGGGGAGTCATTGTTCCTATTCTAGAGAAGATCATGACCATCTTAGCGTACCTCTAACAGCAAATATTCAAACAAATCAAAGAAAGCAAATAGCCACAGGGAACGGATACGCTTTCCACATCACAACGAGGATCGTCTTTCCAGAGAACTAGCAAGACTGTTCCCGTCATCGCTCTCGAGTAGACCCACTTCTTCCCCTGCATGAGCTTCTCTGAAGACGTCCTGGTCAAGACCTTTCCCTTTGTGATTTTCCACTCCATTAAGAATTAGCCAGACATCTTTCTTCGTAAGCAATCCCTGAAGGATACCCTTATTGGCAAATAGGACGTAACGCAAACCGAGTCTTTGAAACATTCTCAGAACTATCAGGAAGCTGGTATGGCTGTTGAGCGTGATAGGAGTTTGGTCCATCCAAGGCCGTAGGTCTAGTGTCTCCGAAGTATCCGCGAAAGGCTGGTGCACAAAATGCACCTGTGTTTCTCCAGAAAGGTTCCCATTTGCGTGAGACGCCGAGTGTCCCAGTGCAAAGGAGAGCTCATTCCGGGAGATGTAGCCTAGTAGGATGGGATTTGAGGTATCAGTGACCACGGGGAAGCCGCGGTATGGTGAAGTCATAAGAAGATTGCGAAGAGAATCAACTGTGTGGCCAACGCCAGGTATAACTGTCATATCGTCGACGACGGTCATAACCTTGTGAGCTGGTACGTCAGGTGGGGTTGTATCATCGCGGTGATCAAGGAAGGGATATTCGTTCAAATAAATCCACGACTCGTAAATGCCGCGTTTTCCAAATATGTCGCCACACCATTTGGCCAGCATAACTGCAATCATAATAGGGATCACATAGGCTAAGGCCCCCGTGAGTTCGAACATGATGACAACGATCGATGCAGTCATCCTGGTAGCTCCGCCAAGGGCAGAAGCAGCCCCAATGATGGCATACGTTCCTGGTGTTACACATGGAATATCAGGCTCACAGCTGCTGAATAGAAAAAGATTGGGATAAGCGTGTTGCCACATCCTAACCGCCATTCCCAGAGCGCGGCCGTAAAGGGCACCGATGGCAACTGAAGGAAGTATGATACCGGCAGGTATGTCCAGTCCAAATGTAATTGAAGACAGGAAGAACCCGAGGACCGCAGCAACGAGCAGAAGAACAATTACCCCAGCCGACTTCGTACCGATTTCACAAAGACCGAACTGGTCGTCCGATGAAGTACCACACTCAGCGAATAGTGAATACACCAACTCCGAGTTCTGCTGTCTCATAAATATATTCGGATAATTTATTAGTGCAGTGAGGAGGGCCACACCGGTCACTTCTAAGATTGGAAGATATGTCTTTCGGGACCGCCTCCATTTCGCAACCCTCATATTGAGGCGGATGAGAAAAGCGCCATACAGGCCACCAAGGATTCCAAGAAGGAAGAACGGTAGGAGTTCAAAGCGATGCCACACCCGAGTGTATGTGACTTGATAGAGAACAATCTTGCCTGTGCGAAATGGATTCAATGCCTGTAGGGTGATCGCTGCAAATATCGCGCACACTACACTGTGCCACATGGTTTTATCTGGGAAGTAATATGACAGTTGCTGAATATAGTCAGATTGGATCTCATCCGGGATTCCTATGGCAGCAGTTATCGTACCTCTAGACTAAACAGCACACCCCCGATCGGAGCTCCGAATGCGACGGAGATCCCCGCAGCTGCAGCTGCAGAAAGAGCTTCACGTTTTCTCGCTGCATCCCAATATTAGCGTGTGCAGACTCCAGGCTTGAGCCATCTGAACATACCTTCGTTATTATTCAGACTATCGAACGGCTTCATCAACAAATTGGCGCAACAGCATGCCACATGAACGAGTGGGCCTTCTTTCCCTAGCCACAAGCCGGAGGCAACAGAAAGACACTTTAATGGGTAAGCGAATGGCATGGAAGTGCCTAAAGATGGAGTGAAATTCTTACCAGCCCCAGAGACTTGATTACTAGGGTCCAACCCCCCATGAAATGTTTCATGACAAAGCCACCAAGTACTGTCTTGATTTCAGGAATTCCACTGTGTCTCGCATAGATGGCATAATTTCTGACAAGATAACATGCGCAGACGGCAAAAATCACCTGTCCTGTCCGTCAGTACACCCCTTGATGCAAGTGGAAAGAGGCATACTCACAGAGTAAAAAACATAGAAGATATATTCCACAGCATAGCCTCCACCAGCAGAATTGACTCCAAGAGCTTTCCTCCACGGGGTCCAGTCCAAACATTGAGACGGGTCTGAACGCAAACAAAACAGTCAACAAGTTATACCGGTCTTCGGTGATAACACAGGGCTCACCATCATAACCCCAGCAGCAGAAGCTCCTATTAAGATAGAACATTCCACCTCCTTTCCCGCTTTTGCAGTAACCGCTCTTGATATCTCCCAGCCAATTTGTTGCAACATCGATCGCGGCCGCAATAATGCCTACGCCAATGCCCGTACCAATCAACACAAACCACAAGTGGCTGCCATCAAGGAGCTGGCGGACATGCCCTAGTACTCCCTGCCCCTTTGTAAAAAGTAATCTTTTCCTTTGACGTTCTTTCGTATACTCAAATATCCAATCGATGGCAGTGAGATCGTCGTAGCCCACACGACGGCCCGGTCCTTCCACATACCAGTCCAAAGAAAATCCATCCTTGGAGACGCCTAAATTTTCATTGCCCCCCGTCTCACCATAAGGTCGCAGAGGTGATGCTTCTTCAGCGGGCTCTTCTCCCCAGAGTTTGGAAGCGCTGTTGGAGAAGAAGCTGGAGATACTATTGAAACGCGAATGTTGCTTCTGTTTCCGCTTAAAGGTTATTCTGTGTACCACCAACCCCTGTCAGCGACGGCACTACCAGAGATGAACTCCAGTAAATGATATTTCCCTACTGTTCAGTTAATCCGTTTACTTGCGGCGCGCTGGCCTCGCCTGAGTATTGCGAAATGTCGCCGTCCGAGCTTTCTCCAAGTCCGTTCCTGAGTGATTGTGCAGGGTCGAATTCGCCCTGAGCATCCAGGCCTCGACCTGACATCGACATGATTCCTCAAGCATGCGCATTTGTATAGGCATAGGAAAACAACACCATCCTTGCACCCAAGTGCGATATAGCTGGAGTAACAATTATGCGGCAGCCTTGTTCCTGGAGGAGATGCTGATTAGATAAGGCATAGGTGTAAAGGCGGTGAGAGCTATCTTCCGGCAGAAAAGAAAAAAAAAAGATTGAAGAAAGCAGAAGTGAGGTTGCTTTCATCACTAAGTCAACCAGGGAGCTCCTCTTGCGGCAGGACACAAGATGGATGGCAGGCCTGCCTACGAGAGGATTCTCACTGAGTCACAAATCCTTGAGCGACTACCAAATGAAATCGCGGAACTCATTCGCAATGCTTCCGGGCTTCAGTATCTCAATGCGCTTGCATTGGGCGCGTTGAAGCCAGGATTCACAGAGGAACTATTTCTTTTATACGAGCCTATTTTTGTCGATTTGGCATCGCGATGGATTACACCTGATTCTTTTAATCAGGTTGAAGTTCTTTCCGCCTTTTCACGAATCCTACCGTTTGCGCCGTACCTACGATCGTTCGCCAGCCAATATGCCTTGTCTCAGGCTGGTCCTTTGTCGGCTTTGGCTGTATCCAAGGAGCTCACGCTTCTGCAGATAGACGATTCTACACTTATAACCATACTCCTTGCGTTTTTCAGGTTGCTTTCGTTCGACCTAGAAACCTTTTCAAAGGCCGTCTCGCCTCTCCAACTCCAGTCCCTTCTCCGACATCACGACCGGACAGTTAAATACTTGGCGGTTAGATGTTTTGCCTTATACATGCATGCAGCGGATGCTGCGACGGAGAAGATGATCGAGACACACCTTGGGTGTGATCCCATTGAAGGGCGTTGGGAAGACATAACCATCGACTACCGGTTGCTTGGTCTGTGGGAAGAGCAGCGCTGGGAGGCTCTGGCAAGGCGACACCAGCGCACGAGGTCGTCCCGGTCAGATCTAGATTGCTTTTTGCAAGCAGAGAAACTCAGTGAATATTTCACTCGTCGTACGGCTGAGATTTGCGGGGTTCTTTTACCAAGGCTCAAGGATGCAGGCGCAACACCCATCTCGTCTTCTATCATTAGAACTCCCACTTCCACGAGGAATTTGCGAAGAATTGCGCAAGCATTACTTGGGCCAAAACCTGTTCTGTTGATAGGTCTGTCCAACTCTGGAAAGACGTCTCTAATAAACGACGTCGCCGCAACCATGGGACAAGCAGAATCCATGGTTACGCTCCATTTAAACGAGCAAACAGACGCAAAAAGCCTGCTGGGGATGTATGCGACGTCTCCCGTAACCGGATCCTTTACGTGGCAACCTGGTGTATTAGCCAAGGCCGCAAGGGAAGGCCGATGGATTCTGATTGAGGACTTAGATCGTGCTCCATCTGAAGTTATCGGGCTTATTCTTCCTATAATTGAAAAGGGAGAATTGACTATAGCGAGCAGGAAAGAGACGATAAAATGTGCCGATGGCTTCAAGATTATTGCGACAATGAAGTCGTCATATAATATCGCGGGAGAGGAAGTGGCCCCAGGAACCACCATGCTTGGGGGCAGACTATGGCAAAGAGTCCAGGTGGACTCCCTTTCCGGAGATGAAATTCAGGAAGTGATTATGCAAAAGTTCCCTCTGCTAGAGTCCAGGGTACCGGTTATCATGGACGTCTACCAGAGACTCTGCTCGTCTTTCCCTGGGAGTCTTGCGATGAAGAGCTCTCATGGAAGAACGCCGGGATTTCGTGATCTAGTCAAACTTTGTGCCCGGTTGCACAGGCGTCTCAAGCGGCTTGGCGCAAAGACTGGGTACGAAGCTACGCCAGAAGCCACCGAGGATGAGATATTCCTCGACATCGTCGATATCTTTCTTAAGTACCTCCCTGAGACCTCCCTGCAGAACTCGTTTGCTGCAATAGTTGCAGAGGCTCTCAATATATCACCCCAGCGGGCACAGTATTGTCTCCGTGAACGGACCCCTGTATACGCTGATCAGGGAAGCACTCTGATGGTCGGGAGGGAGGTCTGTCAAAAGGTTAAGGTGCCTAACAGATCCGTGCCAAAGTTTGCAGCGGCTGCTTCTTCTCGGTTTGCTTCAACAAGGTCTGCCTTGAAACTTATGGAGCAAACCGCAGCTGCAGTCCAAATGGCCGAGCCTGTTCTGCTGGTTGGTGAAACAGGAGTAGGAAAGACGACTGTGGTTCAACAGCTTGCGACATTAATGCGACAGAAGCTCACAGTGGTTAACTTGTCACAGCAGAGTGAGAGTACTGATCTGCTGGGCGGTTTCAAACCTATTAATATTCGTACTATGGCCATTCCCATGTTGGATGAATTCAACCAACTGTTTGAATTGACTTTCTCTGCAAGGAAAAATCAAAAATTTCTAACCTCTGTCACTAAGAGCGCTGCAGCGGGTAACTGGCCGCGCCTGGTTAATCTCTGGCATGAGGCTGTTCGCCTGGCCCACAGTGTTTTGAACCCATCTTCCAAATCTTCCGGTGCCGGTGAAGAACAGCCTACGAAGAAAAGAAAGTTGGATTCCATGAAATATCAGCATCTGCACAAGAGATGGGAGTCCTTTGCTTTACAGCTTACAGACTTTGAGGCGCAGGTGGCACAAGGCGACAGCAAGTTCTCTTTTGCGTTCGTGCAGGGAAAGATTGTTCGAGCTCTGAGGAACGGCGAGTGGGTTCTGCTGGATGAGATTAACTTAGCTTCTCCAGACACATTGGAGAACATCGCTGGCCTTCTTCATCATGGGAGCGAGGGGTCACCTTCTGTGTTGCTTTCCGAAGCAGGTGAGGTGGAAAGGGTGTTTGGACATCCAGACTTTCGTATATTTGGGGCCATGAATCCTGCCACTGACGCCGGGAAAAGAGATTTACCCCCGGGACTCCGTTCTCGATTCACAGAGCTCTACGTGCACTCTCCAGATAATGAGTTCGATGACCTACTGGCATTGATTCAGAAATATCTCGGAGACTTGACCATAAGTGACTTACGGGCTGTCTCGGATCTCGCACAACTCTACATGGAAACGAAAAAGCTAAGTATCGAGAACAGACTAACGGATGGCGCCGGGCAACGGCCGCACTTTAGCATACGTACACTTGTTCGAGCGTTAATCTATGTCATCGATCACGCACACCTGTATGGATTGCGCAGGGCAATTTATGAGGGGTTTTATATGAGTTTCTTGACAGCCCTAAGTCAGGACTCAGAACAGGTGATATTACCTCTTTTGGAAAAGTATATTTTTGGGAATGCGAAGAACTCAAGGGCGCTCCTTGGGCAAACACCTAAACCTCCGGATGATGGCAACGATTATGTGCGATTCAAGCACTACTGGATGAGGCGAGGACCCTTGGTTCCGGAAGAGCAACCACATTATATCATCACCCCCTTCATAGAGAAGAACTTGAAGAATCTGGTCCGAGCAAGTTCCACTCGCCGTTTCCCGGTCCTGCTTCAGGGCCCGACTTCTGCTGGAAAGACTAGCATGATTGAATATCTTGCAAAGGTCTCGGGAAACAAATTCGTTCGTATCAACAATCATGAACATACCGACCTTCAAGAGTATCTCGGGACCTATGTGTCCGCGGATGATGGCACCTTGCGCTATCAGGAGGGCGTCATGGTCGAGGCGCTCCGAAATGGGTACTGGATTGTTCTTGACGAGCTCAACTTGGCCCCATCGGACGTTCTGGAGGCATTGAATCGACTTCTGGATGATAATCGCGAACTGTTTATACCAGAAACCCAAGAAGTTGTTCATCCTCATCCAAATTTCATGCTATTCGCAACCCAGAATCCTGCTGGTCTCTATGGTGGGCGAAAAGTCCTCTCTCGTGCTTTTCGGAACCGGTTTCTGGAGTTGCATTTCGACGACATTCCAGAGAGCGAACTGGAGTTTATTTTGAAGGAAAGGTCGCAAATTGCGCCTTCGTTCTGCACGAGAATTGTATCAGTCTATCGGAAATTGTCCTTATTGCGCCAGACAAACCGACTCTTCGAACAAAAGCATAGTTTTGCTACTTTACGTGATCTCTTCCGTTGGGCTCTCCGACCTGCCGATGATCGCGAGCAGCTAGCAATCAACGGATTCATGTTACTTGCGGAACGAGTGCGTAACCCACAAGAAAGAGCAGCGGTGAAATCCGTCATCGAAGAGGTCATGAAAGTCCGCATTGATGAAGACACAATCTACAGCTCCTCGCAATTTGAGAAGTCCGCTCCTCAGTTGAAACAGCTCTCAACCGGTGTTGTCTGGACGAAGGCAATGAGGCGTCTCTTCATATTGGTGACAAAGGCTATCGAAAACAATGAACCGGTCCTGCTCGTTGGAGAAACTGGGTGTGGTAAGACACAACTTTGCCAGGCTGTTGCAGACGTCTTGGGCAAGGAACTCCTCATTCTAAATGCCCATGTGAACTTGGAGACGGGCGATCTTATAGGGTCCCAGCGGCCCATAAGAAACAGGGCTGCGATTGAAAAAAATCTGCTTTCTGATCTCCGAGTCGTCTTCGATGAAGATACGACGGAAGAAAGAACACTTGAGAATCTGAAGAGTGCATTTGGTGCCCTGAGCTCTGAACAATTACAACGAATCGATCCAGATTTGGTACAAAGGGTTAAGAGGAACATTGCCCGATCCAATGCTCTCTTTGAATGGTCCGACGGTAGCCTCATATCCGCCATGAAAACAGGACAGTTCTTTCTTTTGGACGAAATATCTCTCGCAGATGATTCTGTTCTTGAAAGGCTCAATAGTGTGCTGGAACCTAGTCGGTCAATCCTCCTAGCTGAAAAAGGCCCCGTCGACTCCACTGTGGTGGCCGATAAAGGCTTTCAATTCCTGTCAACAATGAACCCTGGAGGTGATTACGGAAAGCGAGAACTCTCTGCTGCACTTAGAAACCGAATGACAGAGATTTGGGCACCTCAGCTGTCGGAGGATGAGGACATTCTGCCGATTCTCCAAACAAAGCTTGATTTGAAACTGGAGACTGTCCCTAGAGCTATGTTGAAGTTTGCAAAGTGGTTCAAGATGACTTTCCAAAACTCATCGGCCACTTCTCTTTCTCTCCGCGACCTTCTTACCTGGGTAGACTTCGTGAACAAGTGCCAAACTCCAGACCCTGTATTTGCCATCGTTCACGGTGCTGCAATGGTGTTCATAGACACCTTGGGCGCGAATCCCGCAGCCATGCTTACATCGAATCTTCACAACCTGGAAGAAAATCGCAGACTATGCCTCGACAAGCTTGGTGAATTATTCGATGTTGATGCTTCGGGTATTTATTTGCAAAGGTCGACCGTTTCCATCGAAAATGGTCATTTGCGCGTGGGCCCCTTCTCTCTTGCTATTAATGGAGATTCAAAGCCAGATCCCCAGTTCATAATGGATTCACCGACCACAATTGCCAATGCAGTGAGAATCGCTCGCGGACTGCAGTCGTGGAAGCCGATCCTACTGGAGGGCAGCCCTGGGGTTGGGAAGACAACACTTATTACCGCTCTTGCTAGAGCTCTTGGGAAACCTCTCACCCGAATTAATCTCTCCGAGCAGACTGACCTTACAGATCTATTCGGTTCTGATGTTCCAGTGGAAGGCGGGGATGTTGGTCAGTTTACTTGGCGTGATGCGCCATTTTTGCTGGCTATGCAGCGTGGAGGCTGGGTTTTGTTGGATGAAATGAATTTGGCTTCTCAGTCTGTCCTTGAAGGGTTGAATTCCTGTCTTGACCATCGTCAACAAGTTTACGTCGCGGAGCTCGACCAGATCTTTAACCGACATCCGAACTTTGTTCTGTTTGCTACGCAGAACCCACATCACCAAGGAGGAGGACGAAAAGGTCTTCCTGCTTCATTTGTAAATCGTTTCAATGTCGTATATGCCGACAGCTTCACTGGTGTTGACTTGAAGACAATATGCGCAAGGCTCTTCCCTGGGAGTCCGTCAACCCAAACCGAAGGCCTGGTCAATTTCGTTTCACTGCTGAATCAGGCTGTTCAGGATCGACGACTAGGAACTATTGGTGGGCCGTGGGAGATTAATTTGCGTGATATACAAAGATGGCTTCATCTGGCAGATCGAGAGAGCTTACAGATACCCGCAAAACAGTTCCTGGATGTCATTATCAGCCAAAGGTTCAGGAGCGAAGAAGATAGGGCGTTGGTATCCAGACTGTACGAGCAAGTTTTCGGTGGTGTTGCGTTTGGTCCCAAAAGCTATTATCATAATCTTACCCCTGAGTATCTACAGATTGGGGTTGGAATTATGCATCGCGATCCTACTCTTCGACTATCACTGGAACCATCCATGAAGATACTCCCGAAGGACCTGCCTATTCTTGAGTCGCTCATTCTGTGCATAGAACGGTCATGGCCAAGCATTTTAGTTGGATCTGCTGGCTGTGGCAAGACCACTTTGATTCGAAAGCTGGCGGCACTCAGCGGTTCTAAGTTGGTTGAACTTGCTCTGAGTGCAGACACCGATGCCATGGACCTGATCGGCGGGTTTGAGCAGATTGACTATAGAAGAGAAGTCTCATCGCTTATGCAGGACATCATGTTTTTCTTTCAACATCAAATAATTTCTGCTCATTCTCTGGGAGAGGTGTCCGGAGTCGTTACTAGCTTTCTTCAGCTTCACGAAAGATTTCAGAACTCGGATATATCGCTCGATAACATATGCTCGTCCATATCGGCGTTGTGTCAGTCGTATTCGCACCCAGCTCTCGAAGGTTTCTTCGTCCGTGCTCAGGATTTATTGAAAACTTCAACACGTCCAGACAAAATGAAGGTTGGTTTCGAATGGGCTGAAGGAGTTCTGACTCAGGCTGTCCAAAATGGCCATTGGATTGTCCTTGACAACGCCAACTTGTGCAATCCATCTGTTCTCGACAGACTGAACTCCCTTGCAGAGCCAAATGGAATTCTCATCCTTAATGAGCAACGGACAGAGGATGGCTATGCGCGGATTATAAGGCCACATCCTAATTTTAGGCTATTTCTGACAATGGATCCTCGTCATGGAGAGTTGTCCCGTGCTATGCGAAACAGATGCGTTGAGATATGCTTTTTATCACAGGAGACCAGCGAATTCGGTAACCAAGGTGGGCTATCTTATACGTGCGATTCTTTACTATATCGCTTAAGATCTGTCTGGAACTTGGAGCCGCAGGGTGACTCCGAAAACGCGTTCAGGAATTCATTAGAAGTGCGACTCGACCACCTCTCTGCCAGAGATCTTTCCTATATCCAGCCTACTTTGGAAATGTCCATGTCTCGTTACCCGAATGCCACCTTGCGCGGAGCTTTGTCGTCTACGTTTCACCGTTATATTTCCATTGCTCAGGAGAATCCAAACTGGAAGCCACTGAACTTCTCTCCAAAGGAGATCATTTTGAATAATACCTTGTTAGGAGTTGAAGGGGCTCTGCAGCCACTTCATCCCCTTGTTAATGAGCCTTTGGTTTTAATTTTGAGCGAGGAGCTACGTGGGTCGTTACTTGTAGCCTTGGCCTATTTGCAGAGGTTCAGGCTCGAGTTATGTCGCTTGAAACAGGGATTGGCAATGGCTGACGGGTCCGGAAAATTGCTCAAACCAAGTGAGATGACTCGGTTAGAGAGGTCCCTGGCGTCAGGCCGCATACCCTCTTTGATGAAGGACTCAACACAACCAGTTGGCCCCTTCTTGTTCGAATGTGGAGAAGTTTTACACGGATTCATCCAGAATCTAGAAGAGAGTGCTCTCCATGTTCCTGAGATTATTCCTGCTCTCCGTGCTGTCGTCAGCTTTTGCTGGGACATCTTTAGGGCTACAGAAGTTAAACAGGTCGATGAAGGCGAATTCCAGATATATCTTCAAGTCGGTCGGAACCTGTGTACTTCGTTGGTCCGCTCTTGGCCATCATTGGCTCAGTTGGGTCATTCATTATCTCGTTCTCTTGATCGGTTCAAAGCAGGGTGGGCTTTGACTACGGGCCTTAGCATGGAAAGGCTATGGGACTCATGGAGGCCGGCGACACCTGTCACTCAGGCAGAATTGCAGTCACTCTTAGATCTGGAAGCTGCTGCCTCAAAATTCACGGATCTCGCCGTTAAGTCTCGTCTTGAATTGACTAGGCTCGCTCAAGTGAGAGAATCCTTGATTGACGCACAGCGATCAATTCTTATGGGTGGCGCTGTTGGGAAAGCTCTGGTGGAAGAGATTAATCAGACAATCATGGAATTGGCAGAAGCTGTACAACGTTCAGGTTCAACTCAGTGCCCTTACTTCTCAAGCGAGTTCGAAGCCCTCTGCCAATATCATGATTTATCCTCTTTTTGGACGGCAAAAAATGGAAATGACCAAGTCATCCGAACCAACCTCCCACTGTTAGCCGGCCGCATAGCACGGCCGTCTGGTATATCAAAACTTCAGAATATAGTTCCGGATATCCTCCATAGGCTGTCATCTTTCTCCGGATCTGGACATTCCTCAGGCAGTCCGTTTGCCTTGAGTGGTGTTCTTTCTCTTTCCCTATTAGGGAAGCTGGCATTTATCGATAGTTCAACTTTGGGCCAGATGGACATGCTAGAGATCGAGAAGAAAACGCTCTCGAAGGCTGTTTCTACGAGCAGTCGCGCAATTGCTGCAGACCAGTTCAGCGTCCTTAGGCGGATGTTATCGAGGCTCGCTACCGAGTTGATTTTATGTCACAAGGAATTTTTGGCCCCAGAATACTTAGAGCACATTACGACGACACTACAGACCATCGAAAAACACGGCCTGTATGAAGGCCAGGCATCTTTCGAGGCCCGTCTGGCCGACGACTTGCCAGAAAATCATTACTTCAAAACCCTCGCGGAGCAAGCTCTTCCGAATCTCATTTGCTCCTTAACAACTGTTCCAACAGGCTTAGACGAAACCCTTCAAAGTCTTGGATTGTGCACTATTCAACTTGCGACAATTTTGTTGCGTCTTTTTGTGCCAGATAAACCTTTTGACCCTTCCCTCGGGCTAGTTGTCGAAAGGAAACGACATACCCAGCGGGTATCAGAAGTCAGCACCATGTCAGAAGCCCTCTCATCATTCGAAGTCAGCTTTTCTGGCCAATTTTCGAATATGCGTCGTGAACTCCTGCAAGACGAATTGCGAGAATTGGGATCAGCGCCGCCTCCATCATCTGTTACTCGACCTGCGGCCTCAGAAATCAGCCTTCTACAAGGAGAATTTTCCAACCTAATAAGCTCAGTCCTAAATAGGAACCCTGAGGAAGTGGCAGCGGCATTGAATAGCAGTGCGGTCGAGTCGAAACAGACTTTGAGGCTCCTCCGTGACAACATCAGGCAGTTGATTCATCGTCTGAGTACGAATTATAGGTCTTATGACGATATCACTGTTCCTGTCGTTCGGTTTCTTCAAATCTTGGACTTGGGTCTTTTCCTTGTTTCGAATCAGCATCAAGAATCTGTTGACCTGCAGATTCTCCGCGTAATTAGTGATGTGACGCCCTTGCTTGGTGGTATAGTTCATCCCGTCTCAAAAACCGCAAACCACATGCTGCCATTGAGCACCAGGTATGCCGTCGAATTGCGGTTTCACAAGCTATCTGCTTTGAAAGTTGCTAGCTGCGCAGACCCGAAAATACTCCAAGGACGTGACGCACGTAATGCTCTTCGCGATCTACTTGAAGATTTCCATGAATTATGGAAGGCTAAACTTCGAGAAGACCAGGAAAAGGAAGCCCAGAAATCCGAATTGTACCGTTACAAAGGGTCATGGGAAGATAGTGAGGATCTAGATGAAAAAGAGCTACATCAGCTATTTCCCACTTATGAAGAGGACTTGATAGATGAAAGTGTCGACCCGACTCGTATTGATCCGAGAAGCTTTTCAATCCGTCTCTCCTCGATCCACGCGGAGCTCTTTGGATCCAAAGATCCTGAGGCAACTCTAACAGCCTTTGTCAAGGAATCTTCTCGCCTCCTAGGATCGATTTGGGCAAATGGGGGTGCTTCCATGTCACAGATACAACCCCCGAATCATCTTTCTGGTGTCCTCCTGAGTCTCGAAGACGTTATAAAGGGAGAGACGCGCAATTCTGGAAACACGTACAACTTTTACACGGATGCCAACTTTGCTGAAGCCAGGAAACTTGTGTCGTTGACGCTTTCGATACAATCACGGTTTCTTCAGCTTCTAACCGCTTGGCCCGAACATGCAGTCCTTCATGATGTTATTACTTGCTGCAAAGAGATTCTTCAATTTAAACATGCCGAGCCAGTAGCGAAGTTCCTTACTAAAGTGGAAAAGCTTCACGCTCACGTACATGAATGGCAGCTTGTGGCGAGCAGAGAATATTCGGCAGCCTCTCTTTACGATGAGATTACGAGTCTGATCATAAGCTGGCGCCGTCTTGAGCTATCAACCTGGGCAAAGCTTCTCGACATAGAGAAGGAGAAGTGTGACAAAGATGTTAGCGCTTGGTGGTTCGTTGCGTATGAGGCGATCATTGCGGCCCCGATTCAAATGGCCGAGTCCGGGCAAGGGGATATGGACGCCCATATTCAAGAAGTCGTTACCACGCTGGAGCAATTTTTCCTCTCGACTACTTTGGGCCAGTACAGTCAGCGCCTGAAACTTGTTGAGAACTTCCGGTCTTTGCTATCGCTCTACGTGCAAGATTACCCTCCATTGAGGCGGCTTGCCTCTGCACTGGATAACTTCCTTCAGCATTATATGCCTTTTGAAACCGTTGTACACAAGCTTGTTGCGGATAAAAGGTTGGCTCTGGAGAAGGACATCAAAGAGCAGGTCCAACTGGCTAGTTGGAGGGATATCAATATCGTTGCTCTGAGGGAGAGCGCACGGCGAACGCATTATAAGTTGTTCAAGCTGATTCGGAAGTATCGAGAAGTTCTTGCCCAGCCTGCCCAACCAGTTCTAGAACAAGGCCTGCCCGATATTAATGAGACCAGCTCCATCCCTGCAGAAGAGCCTGCTCTAGCATCCGCCGTTTTCCCAGACGCTCTTGTAACGTGTCAAAGGGATACCGAAATTTGGCTCAACAGAGCACCTAGATTCAGGAATCCAGAAGGCACGGCGAGCAACATGATGCATTTGTATTCATCCATTCCAGCCGAGTTCGACATTGCAGAAGAGCTTGATGAATTTGTGAGATATGTCATTGAAAGCATTCACGAATTCAGGTCCCAGACTCCCAAAATATTGTCCGAGGAGAACAAGGACGATGTTCAGCACCTCAAAACTCAGAAACGCCGTTTCTATGCAGACACCTTGAGACGGCTATTGGAGCTGGGAGTAAAGCGCAACGTTGGTACAAGCTTAGTGGAAAAACAGGCGTCAGTAGCGCAAGTCCTTACAACGAGCGCCGCTTTCGATATGAGCGCTATGACTTCGAATTTAGTAAAAAGTGCAGATACCTACTTCCACAGGTTCTTGGATGTCATTCCGCGCGCTCGACTAGCAGCTAGGAATTACTCCGAAGAACTCAGCAACGTTGAAATCTCAAGGAGTTTGGGGTCTGTTGAACACTTCTTGTTCTTGGCCAGGAAACAGAGAGATGTGCTCTCCTCGTCCTACTCTGACCTCGCATTATTCGAGTCGGTGCTCAAGAAAATGTCGAAGCTTTGGACTTCCGCGCCGGTATTTCTTTCCAAGGCGGATACGATGGCTTTCGACGTGAAACAGGAGTTGTCGCAAGTTGTTTCTTGGCTGACGCCTATTCTCGGTTTGGCCATAAAAATCGTGGAAGTGCACTCCTCATTTTCCGGGACAGATTCTTCCAATATCTGCGAGGGTATACGTGGCTGGAAAAATGTGTTTGACCGCTTAAGGAACTCCATCGGTAATCTCAGTGAGCTCCCATCTGGCGTTACTTCCCAGCTGCATGAGCGTGTCGTGGTAGAGACGAAGGCTTCTCTTGGACAGATGAACGTCGACTTGACCAAGTGGATCGTAGATCGCCCTGATCTGTCCTTCGTGTTGTGTCAAATAACTCCATGGTTAAAGATGAAGGCAACTTGTCAGCTAGAAAGACATTCCCGGAATACTCTATCTCTACAGGATTTTGACTCGAATCTTCTTGCAGCTGTCGACAAAATGCTCGTTGGCCTTCAAAAGCTCAAGGAGACGTCTTCTTCGATTGAGGCTAGTGGCTTGCTCTCCAGAAGTGATGAGTTTTTCACCAGAACGATGAAGGCCATCCATCTCTCTAATGTCAAAGAGTCTCTAGAGTCTGTCCTCGAAACCATCCAGGACCTTCAAACTCACGCCGAAGCCGGTCTTCCTTTTGCAGCTGCGTTGATCGCTAGCGTTCTGCCTATGACGAACAGATATTACAATATCTGCAAAGACCTTGTTGATCGATTTACTGCAGTACATCGAGAGACGTGCAAAATGGCTTACATTCTTGCGAAGTCATTTACACAAATCGCATCTGAAGGTTTTTGCAGCCCACCTGAGGCATCTACAGAAGATGACAATTCTGGGAAATTAGAAAGCGGAACGGGTCTTGGTGAAGGACAAGGCGCCGAGGATATCAGCAAGGACATAGGGGATGACGAGGACTTGTCAGAACTTGCCCAGCAGGAGAAAAACGAAGAAGCCTCGGAGGAAATGGACGATTGTGCAGATGCTGTAAACATGGACCAGGAAGAACTACAGGCAGATACAACGGAGCAGAAGGATGGAGAGGAGCAGGAAGATGATGAAAGCGGCTCTGAAGGAGAAGATGATATCGATGAAGAAGTAGGCAGCGTCAACGACCTTGATCCCTCAGCAGTCGATGAAAAGCTTTGGGATGGTGCCCGTGACGAACAACAGAAAGAGACCGAAAACGAAGAGGGCAAAGGCGCTTCTGAATCTGACCAGCAGGCTGCAGCCCAGGAGCAAGAGAAGGACAAAAAACAGCAGCAGGCTGAGGGTGAAGAGGATGGAGAAGAGGAAAATGAGGAAGATGAGGATGCTCCTGATGACGAAGGTGAGGCTGTGGGACGCGAAGAAATGGATGTGACAGATCCACATACAAAAGAAGAAGAAGCTCTTGACCTTCCAGAAGAGATGCAACTAGACGGTGACGAAAAGGAGGATGAAAATTCCGAAGACGACGATGGGATGGATGGCATGTCTGATATGGACCCTGGACTTGAGGATAATCAACATGAAGAACATGGAGAGAATACCGGCGATGACAATGTGGAAGAGTCAGCGATGGACCAGGACAATATTGACGAGGATGTGCCCGAGCGGGCTGATGTGAATGAAGCTCAAGAAGACGAAGAGCAAAATGCATCTGGAGAAGAAGAAAGAGAAGAAGAGGAACAACGAGACGACTTCCTGACACAGCGCGATGAGAATGATGCTGGTGATGACAATGCAGACTCGAGCGAAGCTGCCGCTGCAGGACTTGGTGCTGACCAAGATCCAAATAAAGACAAAGGCACATCGGGTGATGCCCAGCAAGAAAGTGGCTCGACGGAACAGTCCGCAGAGACAGAACAGCAGACCGGTGCAGCGAAAGATGGCGAAGACAGCAAACGTAGCAGGGACGCAGGTGGTGCAGATGATATGAGTCCAAATGATCCTGAGTTGCAGGCTTTCAAGCGGCTTGGTGATATACTTGAGCAGTGGCATCGACAACAGAAGGAGATACTGAATGCTTCGAAGCAGGACGACGATTCTCAAGCTTTGCCTCCAGACACCGACATGGCTGACGCTGATTTCGAACACCTTGCAGATCAAGACGACGTTGGCGATACTCAAGCTCTTGGTCAAGCCAGCGAAGAGCAGGCAAAGGCTCTGGACCAGAACAAAGGCGTTGAGTCTGATGTCAAGCCAGGGGATAACGAGCTGCTATCGAATCAACCTGATGAGCCAGAGGACGTGCCTGGCAATATAATAGAAGACGAGATGCAACTAGACCAAGACACAGTTCCGGCAGATAAGGAGGGAGCAGGAGCATTCATCCCTGGAAACTACAAGGATTACGATCGAGATGACCCGAATGCGCAGCAACAGGCAAATGAAGAGTTGGATGAAGTCGATGAGTATTTGGCGGCAATTCACCTATCTTCCTCCCGTCAACCACTCACTTCTCCGGACGAGGCTCGGCGACTCTGGTCACACTATGAATCCGTTACCAACGATCTCTCGCTGTCACTAACGGAACAGCTACGTCTCATTCTCGCACCGACTCTCGCAACTAAGCTACGAGGCGATTTCCGCACGGGAAAGCGCCTAAATATCAAACGCATCATCCCCTATATCGCTTCTCAGTACAAGCGCGACAAGATCTGGATGCGCCGCTCTATCCCGTCGAAACGAAACTACCAGATTATGCTGGCTGTCGATGATAGTAAGTCAATGCTCGAAAGCGGAAGCGGCCAGCTCGCCTTCGAAACGCTCGCCCTCGTTGCCAAAAGTCTCAGCATGCTTGAAGCTGGAGACCTCTGTGTCCTCGGCTTTGGTGATGAAAACCACGTCAGGGTAGCGCACGAGTTCGGCAAACCATTCTCTTCCGAGGCAGGAACCCAGGTCTTCCAACATTTCAGCTTCCAGCAGACTGGTACGAATGTGCGGAAGCTTATTGCCGACTCGATTGCATTATTCCGTGAAGCCCGTCTCAAGCACTCGCCGGCCGGTGGCAATGCGGATCTCTGGCAATTGGAGCTTATCATCTCGGACGGTATCTGCGAAGACCACGAAACCATTCGACGCCTTGTGAGGCAGGCATTGGAAGAACGGATCATGATCGTCTTCATCATCGTTGACGCTGTTAAGGGAAACTCGATACTGGATCTCACCCAGGCGAGTTTCGAGCCTGATATAAATGGGGAGATGAAGTTGTCTATGAAGAGGTATTTGGAGGGATTTCCGTTTCCTTATTATCTGGTTGTTAGAGACGTCAGGGAGTTACCGGCGGTATTGGCTACGGCGTTGAAACAGTGGTTTGCTGAGGTTGTCGATGTGTCTTAAAGGTTCAAGTTGGCTGAGATATAAAAAAGTGCATGGTTTATTTTGATTTTTATTTTATTTTTGTTAATAGCATCTGTTTTGATAAGACCCTGTATATAGAAGTCTGTGTGTACATGAATCTGTCCTAATGCACATTACTATCTTATATGGGAAATGAACGTACGGCGCTGTATATCAAAAGGCCATGACCGAACAGGAAAGAAAATCTCCATCAATTCGAGCGATGCAAGGGGTATCATATTCCATAATCGCAAACACCTAATGCGCCTGGCCCATCTAGACAAGTAATCAATAGCATGGATGAAGCAGAAATGGCCCAAATTGCTCTAATACTACTACCGCCGCTTCTCCCTCTCCTCATTCCACATCCGATCGATGATTTGAAAAACCTCAGTAACGCTGCGTATGACGGCATCATCAATTCCAAGAGCTCCATAGCGATGTTGGATCTTATCTGGATGCCAGCGGATGCGTTCAGTTTTGAGAACAGCCAGAAGTCCTCTTAGGGGATCATCTTCTGCCTGTTCCCGAGCTCTATCGCGAGGAGCATGGCGGAGAAATTCCTCAACTGCCTCCGGCGAGACGTCTTTTCGGTTTCCTGACTCAACGGGCCAAAAAATAAAATTTTGAAAACCTTTGGCACCGTTTTCCTTTCCTTCTCCTTCACCACCCTGGCCTGGTACAACCAGCCGGTCCAGTTTCTCCCAGCTCCGCTGGTACTCAATCCATGTTGAATTCCAGGCCTTGGCTCTCCGTCTTTCCCGACCACGCCGCAGACTCTCTTCCATCGCACGATCAAACTGCGTTCTCTCATGGGTTTCTCGTTCCCATTTCTGCTGCTGTTCTTTCTGCTTTGCCTTCTCCGCGCGCAAGCGCTCACGCTCTTCCATTATACCTTCGTGCGTTTTCTCCCACATACGCGCTCGAACGTACGCTGCGTACTCATCATCTGACATCTGCTCCAACTCACCATTAGGACCCTTGGGCACAGAAGGTATGGAATATGTATGGATCGGTTGTCCGTAGACTGATTCCCAATACGCAGCACCTTCGTCGTCAGCCAGCGCATCGAATAGAGATTCCCGAAACGCGGCATCTGCAGAAGGATGCGAGTTGTATTCTGGTGACATTGAAGGCGCCCGGCCATGTCTAGTTTTGCGACGTTTAGCGGAGGAATCATCATCTCCGTGGTGATGGCGGCGATGCTTGTGTCGATGACTGCGGTGGTGATCATCTTCCCTGGATCTGGATTTCGACTTAAAGCAAAATTTCCCGTTTTTTGAATAGGAATATTCAGTTTGGGAATTGTGCGAGTGCTTCTTGTCGGCTTCTTCTGCAGTGGGACCAGAAGAGCCAGCTGCGGCGTCCGTCGAATCCATGATGAACTGGATACGGATGCAGTTTTTTTTTTCCCACAGGAAGGCGGTAAGTTGGTACACTCTAGTTCGCCCGTTTTGTAGCCCTACCAGAAGATGCAGCTCTACCAGAAGATGCAGCTATACCATCTTTTTGCACTGGAGAGCAGTGTTTCCAAAATGCTGAAAGAGAACGTTGTGCTGAGGAAGTCTGGCAGCCAACTGAAAGTTTCAGATTAGTCATTTGATCTTATCTGATCTGATCTATGTCATGTGCTCTGTACTGTAATTGTCACGTATTCAGATTACCGCTCATGTTATTTTTCCCGAATACGGGAATCTGCTATCGCATTGTACAGCGCATAGGAATGAGCAAAGTCAAAAGTCCATTTCAACAACAAAACGAGTTTTACAGACGCGTTTACCTTGGGATACTGTCTCATCCAAATTTCAAAAAAACTGCACTTTAATTCGACAGATTGTCCGTGCGAGTTCCCGTGGCGAATTGGCCCACCGCAGAACGAACTTCGCGATAAACCACCTCAGGTCCTTCGTCATCATCGCAGGTACAGAATTTCATCCACCATGGCACTCGTGTCCTATTCAGATTCCGAGTCGGATACAGAAAACGTTCCTATGCAGGTCCCGGAAAAGAAACCTGTCGCCGCACTTCCCTCCAAACATCCCGCTACTGGGAACTTTCAAGCTATCGTCGACCGGTCCAACTCCCGCAAGATTCGAGTTGCTCTCCCAGAAATCAAACCCGAGAATCCTGCAGATGAGGAAGATGGTCCGGTGCGGAAGAAGGCCAGGGTAGGAGGAGGTGGTGCATTTTCTGGATTTAATGCACTGCTACCTGCTCCGAAGCGGAATAATGAGGCGAATACGGGCGCGAAGATTACGACTTCTTCATCGACACGAAAAGTTTTCAGTTTGAAGACTGGGGCGACGCCGGGATTTGATCGTGAGGCTGATACTGAGATGCGGAGAGATTACCAGGCTCAAGCTTCTGGTGGAGGAAGTCACGAAGAGACTGGGTCCACATCTGGAGCTGTTCAAGGAGAGGAGCAGCCAGTGAAGAAAGAACCCAAGTTGGTTGGAAATGCAATGATGTTCAAGCCATTATCCGTCGGCCGAAATCAGAAGAAGAAACCAAAATCGGCAGCGGTGGTATCCAATGTTGAAGTAGAGAAGGGGCGAGCACAACCGCCAGAAAAACGTCACTCTGCTTCTGAATCTCCGTCCGCAGCAGCACCGGCTCCACCACTGCAGATTGCCCAGAAGCCCAAAGTCAGCCTATTCTCCTTGTCGACAACTGAGGACAAGACCGGCCTAAGCCCAGAGACCCAGACACAACTGACAGCCTATAAGCCGCTGGTGTACTGCTCAGAAACTGCAGGGTCCTCGGCGGAAGCCGAGCCAGGCACGCAAGCACCTTCGTCAACTGCTCCCACAGAATGCATTCGGTCGGAACCTCAAGTACAGACCTTGGAGAATATCGCCGATGACCTCAACCTCTCGCGCTCCCAACGCCGGCATCTCTTCGGCCGACAGCCGGCCTCATCTAAATCCCAGGTTCTTACATTCAATACGGACAAGGAATACGCTGCGAATCAAGCCTTGTCTCGCGAGACAGATCTTGCCGCCGCGCAACACAATCCCGTTCGGCCCATTGCTCCTGGAAAACATACATTGCAGCAATTGGTTAATGTGGCTAGCAACCAACGGGATGCATTGGAAGAGAGCTTTGCGACGGGACGGAGGAATAAGAAGGAGGCTGGGTCGAAGTATGGGTGGTAGTTCTTGTCGGGAGAGTATTTGGGAACCTTTTCTTTTTCGAGATACCTATTGGAAATCATGTACGGAAGAACGTGCGAATGGAATATTACTTGTACATATTAGTTCGACTGTTTCTGCTCTTTGAGATTGTATGATGTATGCCCCTATATAGGCTTTTTATACTACCATCACAGAGACTTTCCCCTTCGGGATGCCACCATCCTCACCTGGCCTAGCACAGCTGGTTCAGGAAGTACGCGCCCAGATAGAACATAACACAAGACACACCTCCAATAGAGTGCTCACCCATGATGAGAAATACGCCCTGAGCACCACCCTCATGAAAGTGGTGGCATCCTGAAAGGGAAAGTCTCCGTGAAGATAGAATAAAAAGCTTAGACGGGATGTAAATGGATCTGATAACGTGGAGATGTACAAACATTGCAAACATATTTTTTGCCTGAACTCGAAATTCTTCATTCTTTCTCGACATCAAATCAACCAAACCAGTCAACGTGTCCCAACGGACATTGTCTGGATATTTTAATGAATTGCCATATATGATATCCATAATCGCCCAGGACAATCATCGGTGTAATGTTCTTGTTCTCTCTTAGACGCCTTAGCCTCCCGATGCGATGCACGCTTGAACCTCCAAACACCTGACAATGAGCAGTTCAAGCCTCTACGAACCCGATGAAGACGAAGAAGCGTCCTATTCTGATTTCCAATATGAATACTCCAAATCGAGAACCCCCGTATCGCGACCGTCCTCGCAGATTCAGCACTCGAGACTCTCTTCCCTTCCCCCATCAGAACGGGGCTACGGCGATGCCCGAATCCCCAGAGAAGGGCGGTTCGAGGTCATCGAGTATCTAAATGGGAAGCTGTCGAGTAATTCCATAGAAGCGTACACTAAGACTCTCGATGAGATTATCAGTGATGGCACACCGAGCGCTGCGTCTCTGGGTGAAGCCAGTTATAGGAGCACCCAGAACGGTGTTGTTACGTGGACAGCCCGGGAGAAGGAGATACTCTTCAGCGTCCTAGATCGAAAGGGGAAGAATGGAATTAGGGAAATTACGGATGCAATCGGGTCAAAGTCAGAGCTGGAAGTGCTGGATTATCTAAAGCTCTTACACAGGGGCATGGAACGTCAGCATTTGCTGAATCGTCATAGCGGAGCAATCGTCCTGGGTGACATGCCAGCCGCAGCGGAGATCAGCAAAGAGTGCTGCGAGGCACTGAATGAATATGCCGCCTTACTGCGTCTCCAAGAACAGGTCTCCATAGATGTCAGTGGAAGGAAAAAGCACAAGGATTTCTGGCTCATAAATGCACAGAAAGCGAGAGAGATAGAGGAACAAGTTCAGAAGCACGATGATCCAGGTGAACTACACTATTCGAGTACCTTCCTCTCTGCTAGTTTATTCAAGCTACCTGCATGGATTCACCTCTCAGAACGGTTTTTTATGAACGCTGGGGGTTCACGGTTTGAAGATAACTGGGTAAATATTGCCTTTGAAGATGAGTCCCCATCTATCACTGCTGATGCATTTGCCGATTTCTACGCCCTTACCATTAGCATCACGCGACGCTTGATCCAATCTTCACTTTTCATGGCCATGTCGAGAATCCACAATATGCGGGAGAGCGGCCACTCTAGGGCCCAGGTTATCAAGAGATGTGACGTTAAGACAGCTCTAGACGTGCTAAATATGAAGCACGACCATACTGACTTCTGGCCTGGTCTACCAAGAAGATACAGCCTCGATATTATAGATGTTCGCCATCGAAAGGGCTTCAAGTCTAGGCGCCTAAGTATTAGTGAAGCCGAGGATATGCTCTCGTCTAAAACAAAGCACAGAAGACAAAGGAGCCTTTCCAGATTACCCTCTGAGAGTGGGTCGGAGGACGACGCAGACTACAACGACAACGACAACGACAACGACCATAATGAGGAATACATAGGGGATGATGGTGACAGCCAGTCAGAATATGCTGCGTCATCAATTGCTACAGATGATCCTGCGTCGGATTCAGAGAAGCAGTCAGATTTCGAAGTTGAACACGCTGACAGTGTTGACCAAAGAACCAGTTTCGTGGAAGAACAGCGGCTCTGGGACTTGATGGAGCGGCCAGGGCCGCCTTCCTTCCAACCAGTCGTTAAGGAAGAAGACGACAACGATGACAGCAAGACGTTACGCAAACCAATCAGTGAACGTAAGACGAAACAGGACCTGCTTGACTGGCGGGACATCATGTTATACCGAAGCGAATGGGAAACCTACGGACACGAAATCCTCAAAGTAAATGAGGAGATTGCTGAGAACAGACGTAAGAGGAGACGCCTCGATTCACAGTCTAATGCTTCAGTAAGCGCTGGGGTGGGAGCGAGTTCCGATTCTCGTGGGAACGAGAGTGATGCCGGTGCTGAAACTGAAGCAAACGAGTCTCGTCCTTTATCTGCTCCTGGTGGCCATTCTGAGAGGGCTAATGGCGAAGATGCCAACTCCTTTGACAACGAGAATGACGACGATGGCATGAATCTGGATGAATCTGAACCCGGACCTCAGCCTGAGCCCGAGTTGCTTGACCATGATAGCCAAAATTTAAAGTCCGAGGACGCGGTCCAATACTGCCGGACGGATGATGAAATGAAAAAGGAGGAAGAATATTCTGGCTCTGGTGAGGAATATCTCTGAGCATGGATCTGTGTAGGTCGTTCAGTAAAGTGCTGTATGGGTGCATCTACTCATCGACACTTGGGAATCCTGATACATCATTGAAAGGCCCTCTATCCTAGGAACAGAAACAGAAATCATAAAACAGAAATTTTAAAAAGAATTTTCCATATCATTTCCAAATAAACAGGTAACCTTTCACTCCATGTAAAGATAAGCGCCTCCTAGCTAGATGGACAAAATTAGGAACTAATCCATAATGACGAAAGGATAAAAGAATAAGAAAAGCAGGGGAAAAAAAATATGCATCTACCAAGAGGAAACAGTCATATACCTTTGGACTGTCCTCCTAGACCTCTTCTGACCGAGTCTGCATCTGCACATTGTATAGTGTTACATATCCACTGAAGAAAAAAACATAATAAACCAACCTTACCTCACTCTCCTCCAGGAATTCCGAGACATGGGAGGAATAAGGGATGAAAGTAATATCGTTTAAGGGGGGAAATAAGAAACAGTCATTCTCTTTATCTCTACAAATCAAGCGTCTTGAAGTCAGCACCTGCCTCTGCACTCCATGGCTGCGTGCCTGTCCTCAAATCAGCTCCTGCTGGCTGGAAGCTGAAACGGTTGCCAATTCCAGACGTGGACGTCACCGAAAGCAAAGCGTCTGTCTCCTCGCTGGGTCCCTTCTGGCTGACGGTCTGTAGGGCATCCTGTACTTCCTTTACCCTTCTCTTGAAAGCCATGCGGTCAAGGAAGAGCTGCTGGCGAGCCTGTTCGAGTTCCCGACGTTCCGCCTCAATAATCTCCTCCATCTCGTTGAACTGTTGGAGCTTGATCTCAAATTTCTGGAGGGTGACATTGACCGCAGATGAGACGAGGCGGGTCATCTCTCGCTCTTCGTGTGAGGCCAGAGCCCCGGCACGCGCAGCCGATGCTGCAAGAGCAACTGTTGGAAGCGACGCTTTTGGTTGCTTATCGGTCCTATCTGCAGTATCTGTCTCACGTACTGTGTCCACCTCCATGGAATCTTCCGACTTCATGGTCTCGCCCTCTTTCTCTTTGCCCTTGTCTTGTGGCTTCTCCTCTGCAGGGGCCTTTTCAAGTTGTTTCCTCAGTTCCTTGCGGATCTCTTCCACACTTCGACCAGCGGCAGCAGCCGCCACGGCAGGGTCTGCCATCTGTGCTAGGAATGCGACTACGGACAAAACTGGGTTCTCAAGTGGACTGATCGGTTCTCTTCCCTGAGGTGCACGCATATCGGGCAAATCTTCCATATACTTATCCTCGATCTCAAGTTGAAGGAACTTCATCACACATTCCTCCTTTGTTCTTGTGCCCACGTGGTTGGCAATCTGTTCCCAGTTGTCATCGAAATTCTCCAGACCCTCAAGGAGCAACACCAGTTCAGAGTCTGTCCATGGTGCGTCTTTATCTGGTATGTTTGTATAGCCCTTTTCCTCAAGCTTAACAAAGTCCGAAGCATTGTGGCTAGAAGGCATCCTCCCTTGAAGGAAGCAGTTCGGACAGAGGTCGTACTTGTTATCCGGAACAGCAGCGGCGGTTGCCGGTGTGGATTTTGCGTAGTGGAATCGAAGGCGAGTGCAGTCAATACCGCATGAGAAGCAGTGGAATTTTCTTCTAGGCTCCCGAGCTGCATTCTCCATGGCCTTGGTTGCTCCCTCACCTGACGTGCCATTAGTCGCTGTTGGACCCTCGCCATTAGTTTGCTTTTCTTTTTCCTCAGCTGGTGTGATTTCTTTCCCTTTGTCATCGTAGACATTACGACGGATTTCAAGGTTGAGTTCGGCTTTGGAAGCTGGGGTAGCAGAAGCTGCGCGCTCTGTCGCAGGGAGAGGCTTCCCTGGCGCGACAAAGTGATTAGGGCCCGGTTGGAACGGTTGCAGGCCGCGGGGTGTATCAGCAATGACCCTGAAATGACCGGTGAATGGAGGGCCAATGTTTGACGGTCGTGTTTGAGGGTCAACCTAGGTGAGAAAGAAGGAATGTTAAGATTACAGTGTTCAGCGGATTCTCCGGAGATACATCGCCATTAACCTACCTGGTAATTGATCAAACCCCATTGTTCGAGGAAAGAGTGAATGCGCATTATTGCACAGACATCTCCCGCAAGGTTTCGACGGCAAGCAGTCACAGTCAGGTACTCAATGGGATTGAGTCGGTATGTATTGATCATAAAGTCTCTGTAATCTTTATAAACGGCAGGAGTCTTGCTTCGATTCCGACCATTGAAGAACTCTGCCAGTGCCTTTTTCTCTATGGGATGAATCGTGTGCATGTCGAACCATGTGGAATAGCTGGGGAGAATGATGGAATGTGTTTGCGCGATGAGATGTGAGCGCGCCGATGCCTCAATAGATGACTTGCTTGATTGAGCGGGCTGCTCCTCCGCCGGCGTCTCTGCAGGTTGTTGAGGAGCGGTATTTTCGATATTCTCTTCATTCTCGCCGGCTTCTTTTTTCGGAACTGTTTCGGTGCCACCCATCTCCTCGTCCTCGGGTTGGTTCTGCGGCTTAGGAGACGTGGGACCGTCTACTGGTTTGTCTGTTGGTGGAAAGAGTCAGTTTCAGCTTACAAGCAGTTTCTCTCATGACTGCGATCACAACTGCACGACCGATGCGCTGAAGATCTGGTCGCGATCCAGGGTCTCTCCAAGAAGGGCGAAACATGGCAGGACATACCAGGAACCTGGCTGGTGTTCTCGACCGGATTCTCCTGAGTCGCGGTCTGGGCATTATCAGAAAATGTGCCTGCGATAACGGGATTCTCGTCCATGCTGTCTGTCCTGGCAGTATGATGGTAGATGCGAAGAGGGTAGTCCGCAGCTCGCCTGTTGGCTTGGGGTTGACACGGCCTGGGACGAGGTGGTTGTATTGACACAGGCCTTGCAGGGAGGATATAAGCACTAACCCAGATGGGTCAGTCAGATCAGAAATGAAGGGCAAAGAGATGGATGAAGTTGGGAGGAGATGCGTGCAGATGGCAGTTCGCGACACGCTCTTGCGTTGTCGCCAAAATCTCGCGGAAGTCGCCAAGACTTATTGCCGCTAACCGTTTTAAGTTAGTGTATATACATACCACTGAGAGAGAGAGAGCATTAGGCACATATAAATACTACAGCTACACGAGGACAACAAACACAGTTTACACTGCTCTAGGCGTCATGGACATTATCTTATCAATTTGGATTCCGGGTTTTATATGGGAGCGATACAATTGACAATGTCTGAATCCCCCCTCAAGCCAGCAACGCACCACTATTTCTTCGCAGTGGCCTCCTCCCTTGCCTTCAGAGCTTTGGCCACGGCAGGCCTTGCCTTGATTCGGTTCAGCCAGGCGTTAAGATTGGGGAAGTCCTTTTCCAGGTCGATAGCGTTGCCGGTAATGCGTGGGATGATTCCAAACCAGGGGATAAAAGCGAAATCGGCATAGCTGTACTTCCCATCAACGAGGTATTCGCGGCCTTCCAGCACCCTATCCAGCACCCCTGACACGCGGCGGATTTCGTTTACGTAGCGATCGATGGCACTCTGGATCTTCTCGGTATGGTACACGGAGAACCACACGGCTTGGCCAAAGTACGGACCTTGGCCAGACATCTGAAAGTGAAGCCACTGCTTGGCATGGAAGTATTCGGGTGTGCCGGCGGCGAAACTAATGGTCTTCTGCTTATCGTAGGTTTCGACGAGGTACTCCAGAATCGCTCCAGATTCCCATAGGGTGATTCCCGTATTCGGGTCCTCGATGGCGGGCACGCGGCCGTTCGGATTGATCTTCTCGAAGGGAGGTTGTTTCATTTGGGGAAACTCGAGGATCTTGTATTCGTAGGGCACATTGAGCTCTTCCAGAGCAATCACCACCTTCCACGGGTTGGGGCCGCCACCGTGGCCGTAGATGATGATGGGCTTGAGAGACGTCATTTTGCTGGGTTGTAGTGAGGTGTTTCAGGAAAGACGCAGCTTCGAATTGTCCGTGGAAAGGCGACAGCTCTTCTTTATTAGACGTACAAGCGAGCATCAGCAACACTAATCCGCGAGTCTCACCGTGAGACGTATGAATAATAGTGACAAACGCTGACAAATCCAAAGGTGGGAAATGTCTGGAGACAACTGTGGGTAATATCATCGTTCAGAATCCAAGAGAATGAAGCAATAGGGCATTTGAAAGTCGCTGCTTTCGTTGAAAATAAGCATAAGCAGCATTACAGCCCGTTGTCTCCAGTAGAGATGGAGCAGAAAGCTGTCTCTGCGGAGTTTGGATGAGGCCTGGCAGTATCCATCATCATCGTCATTGCCAATGTTAAGCTTCGTCTTTCCGTTGCTAAACATCTGCAACATCGATGATGGTGTACAATTCAAGGCACAGTGAGAAGTAGTTCCTTGGATTGATTTGAAATGCTTCCCAGTCCGAGTATGGATTGCTGTGTTGGTGAGGAGTGTTCGTGTACATGACATCCATCACCACATCCCTTACCCCATTTGGCATCTTTTCCCCAATTCTCTGCTGCTGCCTAGCACAGTTTCCTGCACTTCCAAGAGTCATTTGAGGGAAATAAAACCCAGAAAGTCCAGATCTCACGCGCGTGAGACAGCATCCTTGGCATTGAACATCTGACGCGGATGACAAGGGGGAATCTCTCCAATTGAACGGGATCTTCCAAGGACCTTGTTGTCCTTTGACTCATTATTCTTCTCTAGAAACGGAATAAACGTTATTTTGCCTTGCTCAGACGAATGAACAATACTTGACGCCGTCACTATTGTGCTCATGGGCACGCCTACAAAACCTTTTTTGCTGGATTAACCATTGTCTGCTTGCGCAGATATAGCATCCTGGAGCGTCAGCAAGGGCGTACATCCGTAATCACAGGCAACTATCTCTTCTGACAGCATTATCTTGCACCAGGTCCAGGATGATGAGGTACATAAGGCAAAGAGATTCCTCGTTCGACCATTTCAGGACTCATCAATCGACGTCAGGAAGAAAAATAAAAGAAAAACCCTCGAATAATTTTATTTGAGATATCTCTAACTCTTGACTCTATACTGCGTACCATCTGGAAATTTATTCCATGTCACCATATATGAAGCACTTCTCCCCTAAATCAATGATGTCTACCAAACCCCCGAAGAAGCAGGAAACCTCCTCATCCCCCCGTCGCAGCAATGATAGTGACAGAACCGTCATCTTCAAGTCGAATACAACCTCCAGTGGCGCCGCATCAGTGTTCAGCGTCTCCTCAAAGGCGACGACGTTGAAGGATACCACCTCACGGTCCAAGGAAGACGCCCGACGAGACGAAGCCTTCCGCAAGCGAATGAAACTACACCGTGAAGCTACTTTGACTTACATGGCCATGAAATGAACCGGACTCTGGCTTCTTGAAGGTTATTGAAACATTGAAAGGGATGGACTCGTACGAATACGAATCATGCGCTATTCCGCATCTACCTCTGATACCACCCTCACTCGGCTACAGAAAGCCACACCGACATGGATCAAAAAAAGGCCAATTCTAGATTCCCAATGGATACGTTTGACTCACTCCAACATGAGCCTGTGGGTTTGTGTTGGTGAGTCACCGTCTCTCGAGTTTCCAGCCTAGAGTTTAGGGCTGTGCAAGTGCATGTGGATCTGCAGTCCGGTTCGAATACGAGGAGGGGGAGTTAAAACGAAAGAAAAGATAAAAATAAAGTGATAATTGCCAAGAAAAGGACTTCTGTTAGCTCTTCTGCCTTGATTACTTTTGCGGATCTCTCGCATCGGTTGCCGTTCTTGATATCCATTGTATCCATTGCTTGCTTATGCGTCTGCTGCTACAGTCTAGCAATATGCTACTTTTGACTTTCTTTGAGTCATTTATGTCTCCTTGTATCTAGTCTTCATCTCTGTTTCGATCGACAAGAATTACTGGGGAGGCAGCTATCAAAGCTGGGTAGACCATACTTGGCATAATCCAGAACATACCTAACACCATTTGACTCATTCATGAGATTAAACAGAATAGAATCATACCGCTAATTAACTTGATGCATATTCTATACTATATGCCTTCATAGAATGCCTCACCATAAGCCACCGTCTGCAGATATTATAATCGAAATCACAAGCCAGCCAAGAACTCGCTCATGGAAATTGGCTTGCGAACAGCGTTCGAAAATCCCTCATGGAATGAAACGTACACCTTTCTCGTACCTTCATTCACTTTCTGCCTTTCATCCGAACCTGATGCCTGCAACTCCGTTTCCTTGATTACTCGGCCAAAGAAATCACGCTTGATATTCGTCGCAGCCGCCTTAGCAGAAATGGGGTCTACCTCATCCTGGTCTGGTCCTTTCGTAGATCTCTGCCTAGATTTGGAGTCCGACGACGTCAATCCAGACCGTTTCCGTTTGATTTCCGCCCGGTATTCATTGTCAAGGACTTGACGGATTGCGTACCGCACCGGTGGGGAGCTACCGGCGCATGCCAGTGAGGTTCCTTTCACTTTTGAAAAGCTCACAAGAATGTCCAAGGGTCTATTTGTTCATTGTTAGCTGCTGCTAGTGCAATCCGTTTCTCATTTTCAAGAAACCAAGCAACTCACGGCTCCATTCTGTAAGCCCATCCGCCATAAGCGCCACCTTCGTTTTCGACTCGGACTTTCTCAAACGTTACGCCCAACCCAACCATCACCCGTACAGCCAACCGTACGAGCACTCGTTCACTTTCTTTGCGGACACTAGCCACGCTTCTTTGCTCGCCACTACCGCGAATCACCACTGGTTTGACATCGGGCGATAATATCCGCATGAGGTTGGGTATCAGGTCGATCACAACACTGTCGACTGATCGGAACAGCCGTATCAATGGAGCTGAAAAGGAAGACTGGAAGCTAATCAGAATAGCACGGTTTTGTTTCTGAGATTCGAATGCCGCATAATCTGCTTTCGGCCCTGAGAATGGGTGCTCCTCTTCCTCTTCCTCATCATCGGCATTCTTGGTTATACTACTTTTGCCGCTGGGTGAAGCAAAAAGATAATGAAAAGCTAGCACCGACTGACTGAGATACGCGCTAAGCTCCCAGTCCTGAGCGGAGAAGACTTTGGATGATAAAGTATCGTGGAATTGCAGCCAGTCGTAAGCTGCATTTGGTTTTGAAAGGAACGTATCATCCTGATACTCTTGGACAGGATACGCACCGAAGCACTCAGTGATGCATCGGTCGTGTTCACCACTGGAGTCGATCATCTCGCGCAGCCTGTTCATTGCATGGCGCTTTTTAATGTCTGCCACCCCGAGAGGCACCTTGGCGTCGTCACCATACAAGGGATCATGAAAGGAGTCGATTCCAACAGGAGCATCAGCAAATCCGGCGCCTTCTGTAAAGACCCGATCCACGATCTCCCGTACGCCTCCGCGACTCAGACCCTTGAATGATGAACCACCCTGCGCAGAGTTGCTGAAGACCTTTTGCTCCAACCAATTCCTTGTCAGTTTCGCATGAGGGCCTTCACTTCTAAGCTTATGTGCTACCCATTCGGCATCTACAAGGACACTTCGTATGTCTCCCTCGCCGGTTCCCTTGCGTTTCGAGCCGCCCTGCTTTCTGCTAGCAAGGCCCCAAGAGGCTTCACAGAGCTTTCTGACTCCGTCATTGTCGCATATAATGCCCTCTCTGTTGAAGATATGCTTTACGCGTTGCACGACATTCTCCAAGGGCGCCTGGCGGACATGGACCATCTCAGCCACAGACGAAGCTCTCAGCGGCCGAAGACTTGGATGATACACATCATTGCAGACTAGAATCAGCGGCCGCAGTAACCGAAAGTTGTCGCCCTTCTTCTTCCTCCCGCTCTTTGTCTGCTGCCCGGGCATATACGCTGCATTTTTCTCATCGAGATGGACAAGGTCGATCAATGCCTTCATGAAACCACCCTCGCCGCTGCCAGCAGATCCGCTGACCACTCCGTCGACCTCGTCGATGACAACGCACACGGGTCGCCCAGCCTTGCGCACTTTGTTATCACCAACTTCAACATTCATCCCTTTCACATTTTCAGTCCCAAGAGCATCCCTGATTCTGCCCTTGACCACATCTTTACTTCGTTCATCACTTGCGTTGATCTCTAATACTTCGTAACCGGCCTGTCTGGCACAAACATGGGCTAAGGTAGTCTTCCCAAGTCCGGGAGGGCCACATAACAGTAGAACCTTCCGATGAGGCCGTTCCTCGTCGTCCACTCCAGGCTTCTTCGAACGTAATTTTGCCAAATTTGGGAATACAATAGGATCCCATCCCTTTAACCACCGTAAGACCGACCTATGTGTACGTTCATCGCCAATGAGATCGGTAAATTTACGAGCGCGGTACTTTTCAGTCCACATGGTCGTTGCAGATTTCTTGATGTTTGGCTTCGTCTCAGAGAATTCAATAGACGGCCGTATTGAGATAGACTCTGCCTGCCGAGCATCATTGGACTGCCTGACATCCCTCGCAGCTTCATCTAGCAATTTATGAATTTCAACGCCGTAATAGCTCTTCTTCGCTCGTCCAAGAGCAGCTGTAGAACGACCAGCAACGAGACGTTCGTATGAAATACGCTCTTTAGCCACCCTTACCGGGATATGGTGTACTTTCCCCGAGCACGTTTTGATGTTGATCCCCCGGTGCGGTGTTCTTGAAGACCCGAAAGAATCGGTCGATGAAGCATTTAAGATGGAGGTCGAATTAGGAAAGTCAGCAGTATCTGGTTTCAGGGAGCTTTGTGTCGATTCTAGGACCAGCGGCACCTGACCGTCGGGCCGGTCTTGAAACTCGAATTGACTCCCCAAATGCGCATCATCAAACGTGGCTAGCTCATCAGCATCAGCGTCGTCATCATCTTCTTCCTCCAAAAATCCTCCGACTATCTTCTGCCGCTTAGGTTCGGCATCTTGTGATACTCCTTCGTCAATTTTCCTTTTCTGCTGTTCCGTAGGCGAATGGGCCCTGGGCGGAAGCACACCGGGGGATGACATGAACTGCATATTATTTATGATTGGCGGCGAAGAGGGAAGAACGGGAGAATCAACGTTCGTTCTAGCAGAAGGAGTGCGCCGTCTAGTATATGATTTCGTCGGAGTGTCTGTTACAGACAGCGTCAGCTTTTGGCTATCCCGAAACGGAACGGAACTAGTTTGGGGTTTCTTTCTCTAACTGACATGGTCTTATATCTTCATCACTGCGGAAGACGTCTGATAGGTTCCAAGCGCGATGTCGAATAACAACCTTATTGTGAGCCTGCTCCAAACGGTGAAGATGTAATGCTTCGACGTCGTCTGAGAAGGATTCTGGTATCGGCGGGTCCTCTTGCAACGCGGTATGGGAGACTTCAGAGTGGAGGTGGATGGCGGGATCGAAGGAAGTGGGTAGTGCTGATGGAGAAGAAGGGATCATTGAAAGATGGCAAATGTCAAGGGCTTGTTTATGCCATTAATGTCCTTCCAATTGACGCTCGTCTGTGTTTGGGATGTGTAGAGGAGGACGCGGGAGCAACGCGTAAAGTGTCTACGCGCTAGTTTCCGTACATTCTCCGTGCATTGTAGTACATAAATAGCACCGTTCATATAACAACTCGTAATGAAGCCCTAATACATGCTGGAGGAAGAAATGCCTCAAGCTGTCTCTACTAGATATTGCTGGCTGATCCCCTTCGTGCTAGCATCGACCTTCATGATATAGCAATTTTTATCACTCGTGGTATACAGTTTGGCATGAATCTTTCCAATTAATAACTAAGGAGAAGCGCAACAGATCATGACCGACACCAATCAGGAAACCACTATACAAGAAGAAAAGAGCCAGCAGCAAGACGAAATAACCAAGAACAATAACAAATGGCTTTAGACTATGTCTGGTTCTTCAACTTCTCGGTCAACTCGGGCACCTTTTCGAACAGGTCACCAACCAATCCCACATCAGCAACCTGGAATATCGGTGCATCGGGGTCCTTGTTGATGGCTGCAATGACCTTGCTATCCTTCATACCCGCCAAATGCTGAATGGCACCGGAAATTCCGGCAGCCAGGTAAAGCTGCGGAGCGACGTTCTTGCCAGTCTGTCCAACCTGGAGACTGTTGTCAGCGAATCCGCTGTCGACGGCAGCACGGGATGCACCGATGGCGGCTCCCAGAACGTCCGCCAGCGGGGTGATAATTCTGTCGAAGTCCTCCTTCGACTTCAATCCACGGCCACCGGACACAACGCGGGATGCGGAGCCTAGGTCGGGGCGTTCGGACTTGGCCAGGTCTTCAGAAACCCATTCAGTTGGACTGGGGACGTTGGGGTCTGTTCCATCAACGATTTCAGCGGATCCTCCCTCCGTCTCGGTGCCCTGGAATGCGGTGCCTCGCACGGTGAGAACCTTGATCGGATCGGTTGACTGGACAGTAAGGATTGCATTTCCGGCGTATATTGGGCGGACAAAAGCTGTAGATAGATAGCCCGTCAGTGTCCTCTCATTTCCAATGACTCATCTGCGGCCCAATATGCACATACTATCCTCGCTCTGGATCTCAGTAACGTCAGAAAGCTGTTGCACGTCCAACAAAGCAGCTACACGAGGCAACAGTCCCTTTCCAAAGGCAGAGTGTGCGGCGATGACATGCGTATATCCGCCGTTTTTGATGTTCTCCACGAGAAGGGGAGCATAGTTCTCCGGCAAGCCCTATAGACGATTTCACACCCCTTTCAATCAGTCTTTCCATCCATTCATATTCTTCTCGCAATCATCCAGAACAGACAGCCAATTGAATTTCCAGCATACCTTTTCGTAGGCATCATTATCCACAGCGACAACCTTGTCAAGACCCTTAACTTTCGCCGCCTCCGCAGCAGAAGTGCCCTTAACACCGCTTCCCGCCACGAAAGCCGCAACGGGACCCCCTAGTTTCTGAGCTGCCGCAATAGCAGCGAGCGATGAATGCTGGAGCTTCCCATCTCGTTGTTCGAGAACGGCCAGAGTCGAGAGGAGGCGCGACAGTGCAGAAAGCGGGGACTGATTGAGCTGCCGTGACGGGTAGAGCCGTGATCGGGAGGCCCTTAGGACGGAGTGTCTGGCAATCGGAATCATGTTGGTGTATTTCTGCTCAGAGAGGTATCTGCACTGCGGCCTGTTTTGTCTTCCTTTTTCTCTCTCGAGACTGCCAGCAGGCGGATAGATGCAACGTAATGATTGTAGCTGAGGCTGAAGCTGGCAGCCGAGGTTTTTTACGATGACTTTAAGCGGCCGCGGGACGGACTGGTTACCGTCGGATAAGACTCCGATGTTCGGGTTCTCGGCTAACTTGGATTCTTATTTACCCCGGGTTGAGACTTGGAGACATTGTTCATGATTGATGCTCTACAACTTGAACTAATATTTATATATAAAAACACTGCAGACTAACTTTTGTTGCTCCTTCTATGGGGTATCAGAGACGGGCTCTGCGTTGGAGTCGGAAAACGGTCACACGCATATTAAATTGATACGCCGCTAACATAGAACCCATACATGCAGTAGAAGAATGTAGACAAAACCCGTAAGACACCTGGAACGACCGTTTAAGAGAGCGACTTTTTCTTCTTTTTCCCAGAGCTAGAACCCGCTTTTGAAGCCACGGCAGCTACCTTAATGGTGGAGTCATTACCATCTTCCAAAGCCTTGGCCTTCTGCCGCTGCAGCTTCTCTTTCCTGGCAGCGATTAATGCAGCATCGTCATCGTCATCATCGGCTGTTTTTGTCTTCTTAGACTTCTTGCTTCCTTCCAGCAGTCTCTCATCATCCCCAGTTGGCTTGCGCTTCTTATCACCCTCTGCACCTTTAATGGCCTTCGTCTCGTCTTCAGCAGCATCCTCCACGATATCATTCTCATCCACCCACAATTCACTTGCTAGCCAAATTGGCAATGCCATGGTGTTTGCGCCTTTAATGTGGATGGCCTTGATGTTCCTCCACCCCTTGGTAACAAACTTATCCGTCAGGCCTGTGACTACAGCCGTGACATTCTCCGCTAGCTGTTCGGGGGAGAAGTTGGCAGAGCCTACCCGGATGGCGGCAGTGGTGGCCGGCGCAAGCTGAACGGGAGCGCAGTTTAACGTCCTTTCGATCTCCTTCGCAACAATCGACGGAGACGCAACGGAGGCCACGGCCTCCGTCTTATCGGATTTCTTCTTTGGGTCTTTCTTAACCTTTTTGCCGTCTACCTTCTCAATACCGCCGATGCGAATTGGAATTGGACGCTTGCTAGATTGGTAGAACGTCTTCCCGAGCGTACTTACCAGTCGCATGATGATGCGATCGTCCGCCAAGAAGACATCATGTTCAGCAAGTAGCTGTCGCCGGCTCTCAAAGCTCTGGTACTTGGCCTTCAATTTCGAGTAGCCGATGATCTTGTTGATGCGGGAGGAGAGGCTTTGGGGGAAAGAAGGGTCTGCGACAACGTCTTTAACCGCGCGCTGCGGATCAGCAGTGATGAGACAGATTCTCAGCGAAGGTGATGAGTTCAAGGAGTGAGGGACGCTGATTTTTCCGGGCTTCAGGCGGTTCTTATCAACAACGTGCTTCTTGGTGGTGAGAATCAACCAGACCGGTTCGTTGTGAATTGGAGCATCTCCTGCATCTGAGTCGTCATCGTTATCTCCTATAAGAGTCTTCTTTGCTGCGGTCTTTTCCTTCTCCTCCTGCTTTGTAGTGATATGCCGTAACAATGCTGAAGAAGCCTTCAAGACCTTTAAAAAAAAGATAATTAGTTTTTGCATTGGAATGACTTGCGCAATCAGCGATGGAAAGTTCACCCACCTGGTTATTATCAAGCTGATACGGTGAGCCAGAGGCCACCTTGGTAGTGAGAGCAGTCGAAGACCCCATCTTTGCGAGGGCAACTGTGGACTGGAGTGTTCGACCGTCCCGAGAATGATTTCGCAGCTTAATCGAAATCAAAAAAATTCACGGAAGGCGGTGGGCAAATTTGTCCGATCTTGGCGGAAGTGCTTCGGTCACGTGTCATATCTATTCTCATGCTCAGCCTTACAATCAGCGGAGGCGAACATAGTCATACAGCGTGGAATCTATGTTCTATTCAATCCTGATCTATTTCAAAGTCGGCTTACGGGTTGTTGTTGTGAAATTTGTCTGGAATATTCGCACTACAGATTTCGCCGAGTTTGCAACTGCTTTGCGGGAGAATGAATTGAACCCCTGATATCTCTGGCTTCCCACCACCAATCTGGCGATGATCGAAGGGAGTCTGAAATGGATCGAGCGACCAGCGGGATTAAGGAGATAAGGGATAGGTGACAGCCTGCGCCGTCTGATCGCGAAAGGTTCTTCCTGTACGACATCTGAATAATGGGTGATAGATAGGCTTAGTATAGTGCAGGATCAGCATTGCAAGTAGGACGTGGGAATTTCTTATAGGAGTATCTACGGCGTAAAAAGCGCGGTCTCCTGTTTGTAGGCCTTAACTAAGGCCCGAAGTGATTAGTACACTCCTGTACAGAAATTTCCGTAGTGTCGTTAACTTGAAACGACACGACTAGCGCTTTGCAGCGTTGTATTCGTATTCGGGGGTCCGTTACATATTCAAAGCAAAGCCGCACAAACTGCCGGGGGAACACTGTATTCTCCGTTGCATTCTCTAGACTCTGAAGTCTAGAGGCCTGGACCTTGTGTATCAAGATCCATGCAGCGCCGCTATGCTTGGAGGCAGCTAAATTAGGTAGCAGGATTATTGGCGGCTCAAACGTTGGGACATGCATTATCCATGTTAGCAGCAGTATCCACATATGGTAAGTTCTAGGAGAAGCGGACAATAATAGTCGGGTTCGGAGAGTTCACGGCTAAAAGATATAAAAAGGAGACAACAGAGAAGTTGTATTGCAGTAATAATGACAATATACTCGGCAGCATCAATAATTTGTTTCCGGATAAATGCGGATGAGCCTGTGTAAGAAAAGTGCACATTGCAGCGGATGGTTCTGATGCCTCACATCAATCAAATACACAGCAATTTCCCATGATTACTTACTGTGATTATTATTATTGTGATGACAGACAGGGACCAGCACCAGCACAACCGAAAGCAGCAAGGCAGATCTCGGCGATCATTGGTTTGCGGGGCGGAGTACGTGGCTTGCGGTTGGCAAAGAAGAGACGGCGATGATTAGTGTTCCTGACTTAGGACCGTGGGCTGAGTCGACGATCCAAGACGGTTTGCTCGGGAGGCACCATGTGTTTCAGGAACAGGAACGGAGTGAGGAGTGAGTTGGGCTGGCTTGCAAGTTGGGAGTCATGTATGTACGTGCCATGTAGTATCTGGGAGATGGGAGTAGTTTATTTGCCCGTATGGGGATGGACGCGTCGGCCAGCAGCATGAAGAAAAGAGGATCAGATACTGGATCAATCATCAAACTGGAGGAGAACTCAAGCGCTCTCATTTCATTATAATATTTCATTCATTTCATCTCATTTCAACACGGGAAATGAAGTTGACTCCGTAGTCCGTGCTCGTAGTGGTCTAATATTGCTGGTCGGACTACGCACACGCACTCCCCCCACTCCGGCTGGCTCTGGCTGGCAGTGGCACGGCATCTTGCATTGCCACTCACCCCAAAGCCACGGCACACGCCTCTCGCCCCTGAAACTACTAGCAAGTAGTATGGAGTAATACTACCCAATAATTCAGATTCTTCTTCCCCCTCCCCTTTCTCTCGTAATTCTTCTTCTCCCCCGGCTCGCCCTCTCCGTCCTTCGTTCCCACTGTTGTCTGTCTGCTCCTCCTTGAGATTTCCTCATCCGACCAGAGAAGCGTCGATTCGTTTTCTCTACTCACGCTCTTTTGTGGAAGCCTCTGCTGTCCCTCTCTCTTTCTTCACGCTCTTTACACTTTGCACACCGGTTTGCGATCGACTGCCACGGTCCATCTCCTCGGCCCTTTTCCTAACTGTACAGAAATCCCCTATATTTGTCTTGCCGGCTTGCAATTGGCCTCCCTGAATATGTACGTATCCGACGTTTGCATTTCCCTCATCCACCTGAAGCTGGCAACACTGCAACTTCTTCGACGATGTTCTAATCCAAATCGCAATTGTGAACGCTGGACTGACCTGTAATACGACCACTTTCCAGATACATCACAATCCAGGAGATTCTGCACTGGTGCTAGCGCAATGAAGTTCAACTCGGTTGCCTTTACCCTGGCGACCGCGGGCTCACTCGTGGCTGCCCAGCACAATCACAATCACCATCACCACAGGCGTGCGCCTGATGGCACCAATTCCGCCGCCGAACCTGGCGCTACCGCCTATGCCTACGTTCTGAACGGCGAGGCCGTCTCCCAGGATATCGTCTGCAAGGGCATTGCCGATGGCACCTTGGCTTTCGCCGAAGGTGCTGTTCCGGCCGGCGTCTGCCAGGAAGCCAGCTCTTCATCTGCCTCTGTCGCCGCGCCTTCCACTTCGGCTCCCGCTCAAACCTCCTCTTCTGCCAGCCCCGCTGGCTTTTTCGAGGCCTCCTTCAGCTTCTCCAGCTCTATCGCTGCTTCTTCCACTCTTTCCGTATCGGTTCCTTCGGCGAGCGCCACTAGCTCTTCCTCTTCCAGCGGCGCCAAGGGTCTGGACGCGGACTTCCCCGATGGTGAAATTGACTGCGACACTTTCCCATCCGATTACGGCGCCGTTCCTCTCGAATACCTTGGGTTGCAGGGTTGGTCTGGTATCCAGTATGTCAGCATCATCGGTGAGCTTGTCTCCGACATCGTCACTGCTATCACTGGTGACAAGTGCACGGATGGTGCTATGTGCTCCTACGCTTGCCCTGCCGGCTATCAGAAGTCTCAGTGGCCTTCTACCCAGGGCGCTACCGGCCAGTCTGTTGGAGGTCTTCAGTGCAGGGGCGGCAAGCTGTACCTCACAAACCCTAGCTTTTCTAAGAAGCTTTGCGTTCCTGGCGTTGGTGGTGTCAATGTAAAGAACACCCTTGGTGACAGCGTCGCTGTTTGCCGCACCGACTACCCTGGTGAGTTCCGCTGAAATTTCCCCTCTTATGTCATGGACTTCCCCTGATTGGGATCCTTCGCAGGCACCGAATCCGAGACAATCCCTCTTAACGCCGTCAATGGAGAAGTCATTCCCCTGACCTGCCCAGACGGTGAGACCTACTTCAAGTGGCAGGGCAAGACCACCTCCGCTCAGTACTACGTCAACCCCAAGGGTTACTCCACCGAGGAGGCCTGCCAGTGGGGCACCTCCGGCATCCCCATCGGCAACTGGGCTCCTCTCAACCTTGGCGTTGGCCAGAACAATGGCAAGTGGCTTTCGCTGTTCCAGAACAGCCCCACCACCCAGGTCAAGCTGGATTTCAACGTCAAGATTGAGGGTGACGATCTCAGCGGAAGCTGCAAGTACGAGAACGGTGTTTTCATCGACGAAGCCGGAAGCAATGAGTCTGGTTGCACTGTAAGTCCTGGTCCATTGGAACCTTGGAAACAGCCCACTGACCCATGCACAAAAAACATACAGGTCGAAGTCCTTTCCGGCAGCGCCACCTATGTTTTCTACTAGAGTGAAGCCAGTATCTATACCCCGGACGCATAGCCAATGTGGAAGCTTGACCACAATCAAGTGTCCCAATCTGTCCGCTATGAACCTTGCCGCTTGGAGACCATATATAACCAAATGCCTTATCCCCCGTCTATTTTCATGATCTATTTCCTGGTGCTTACCTTTCTTGTGCTTTGTATGCTAGTATTTATTTCTGTATAAACCGAAATTGCAAACTAGAACATATGCCGATCCTCTCTGTGATCAGCGTCCCGTTCATCTTGCCGTTGTAGGAATGATGCTAGTGGTTCCAGGGAGCAGGAGACCTTTTCTCAAGAACCAGTGATATCTTCTCTGGAGCCTGGAGACTCCTGTGATCTAAGTGTGTGGTTCCCAAGAAAGTGCTAGTCCTACTGGCATTGATGGGTAGCTGGGAACAATCCAGCTGCCAACTAAGAAGGGAATTTTGAGTGTCTGCGGCTCATGCGATCATCATAGATAGACTTGAGTTTGGTGATTACGACGACAAGAACAAACAACGAGACAGCTTCACGGCTACCATGGAGCCATAACTGAGCTTCTCGAACAAGCGCGCTCTCACGTTCACTGAATCCTGTTTCAAAACAACCAGTGGGAACTCTGGCTCCTTTTTGCGGTAGACCGGGAGCCCTGGAAAGTCGAAGCCATCAAACTCTAGTTGTCCTCTCTAAGCAACCTTCTTCGCGACCGCATCTGGTTCTCAGAAGGAAACAAGTTGCCTTTTCGCATCGTATTTCCAATATACAGAATGATATCTTTCCAACTGGCGAACTTTTCAGCGCTCGAATATCGAACGAGGCATGTCGACCTCGACCCAATCGTCCAGAATCTCGGTCCATCGGGGCCGGCACGGATTCTCTAGGTCTCTCAGGGCCTGTGCCGCATTGAGGGCGTTTAATGCGTGCTTCACCTTCACGGATCCATTGCATGTTATATCTGCCATTATATCACCAGATTTTTATGTCGGCTGGTCCGTTGACGGGATCGATGCCATAGTCGATTTATTCCATATCTTGGACCGTCGGGGCTTGGCAACAGTCTGTCGCGACAGTTAATTTCCGACGGATGATGGGCCGGTCCTCATTGATGGCCACGAAGGGCTCGCCGCTATGCCCGTCGGAATTGGATCGGAATGAATCTGGAAGATATCAAGATTAGCTTGATGGGTAAAAAGGGGAGATGCTTTAGGGTGATGATCCTATGTTGCCTGCAGACAACAATGTCTACAGGTGGATATAACTTCCCACAGCCGGCGACAAACCTAGCCTGTTCGGATCGAACAAGGCATCACGAGGGATATCGATTGGAGGAAGATAGGAATATGGCAAAACTCAGCGCGAAATTTCAAGATTGATATCCATTTTCAATGACGTGATCAAAATATCACCTAACACACTCTTAACAAATCCCTTGCGACAAAAACCGACGCCTCTGTTCTTAGCAGTGTCCAGGATAACGGCCGCAGACGAATATACGGATGCTTCGAGCAGTTGGAAGGGCAAAAGAGGATGTGATGATCGTGCTGGAACACCGTTATACCGCAGGGTGAGGGCTTGCGAGTTGGCCGGGCGATATCTGCGACTGTTAAGTCACTCTACAAACGGCTAACAACATTAAGTCGAAAAGAAGATCCTACGAATGAATATTTCCATGCGATCGGACGCGAGAGTCGAGCATTTGGCGATTGCCGTCTCGTCTCACTTCTTCAGCCTTTCCAGGCGGAGAAGGCACGCTTGGGCTGCAGCTGCCTGTTGTTACGCATTGCAACTTCCTACGAAATGCCTAGTTATAGTGTCTATATTATTGCTAGCTAGAAATAGGTACCTAAGGTAGTTGGAGTGATTCTCGGGCATGTTATACCGCAGGCAAATCACCAGCACCCGGTGTACGGCAAGCGAACCAATTCCAATCGATTTGATGATTATACGTGGGGACATCTAGAATCTAGAATCTAAACCTACAGTGCATTAATACTTCTACTAGTAGAATGAATACAGATCAGTGGAGAAGATCTGCTTACATGACAAACTTTAAAGTTAACTAGTTAACGTTTTCAACGGGTGAGTGGTCCACACGGACGAGTGGTCCATTTTTCCCGCATATAGATAAGAATTAGATCTTTTCAACCACCAACGCCATTAAAATTGACTAAATAAATATATGAAAATATAGCTATTTATTAGGGCAATTTCGAATTGTATGTCCAACTGTCCCACAACCACTACAGCGTTGCAGAGCTCGTTGGTGAGCCACTGGAGTAGATTCCTCAGGTTGCTCATTAAGCTGCGTATCAAGCTGCTGAACATGATTTTGACCTTCCTACACATTAAGAAGGTGGTCATTACCTATTTCAGCACGCTTTTTTGCCTTTTTCTGATGTTTTTGTCCATTTTCAGTCTGTAGAGCCTTGATTTCTTTAAAATCAGCTTGGTTTGCATCACCATTTGCGCTGCTTTTTCAAGATGTTGAATATGAGCAATAGGACTGCTAGAAAGCTGCCATTTTTATTGACGCTATTATACAGGCTTTGGATCTTTTGATTTAACTGGTGAGTATTCTACAGAGTTTGAAAAGCAGAGGAAACTGAGCCTTCAACTAGTGGTGGTGTAGATGTACGTAGTTGGAAGGTAAACTTAGAGAGAGCATACTCTGGATTGAGCAGCCTAAGCCCTGTTCCTCTGAAACTGCTGCAGATATTGTAAAGGGGGGCGTACGTGCGTTGTTCCCTGCGACAGGAACCGGGTTGTGATCAAGGGATCTCAGGGACGATGCCGCTATACCACGCGGCACCGAACGATCTTAGCAAGAAAACGATATAACGATAAAAGGAAACACAACGACGAAGGAGCCTCGCTCCGCTCTGTACAATGACAACGATACTAGTGAAGCAACCTAGAAACCAAAAGAATGCTCAATTTCTCGTAACTATCTGGGAGGGAACCCTCCATTAAGTACTCCGGCCGTGGGCTCCACCATACATTAGTATGTCGGAGTCCGCGGTTCTACGGTGTTCCGAGATAGGAAATATGGGAGATCCGGGGTTTCGCAGTGCCCCCGGCACAATGGTAACAGACTTTGGGAGTTGGACAGTGATGATAAACTGGCTTAGATTACTTGTGACAAAAAGATGCTTGTTGATCCATGAACAAAGACAGGTGTTGAATGCCCAGTTCAAAAAAGAAGGCAATCATCAGTCATGGTTTGCCCAGGTTGTGACGTGTGAGCTGACATAATTGATCAACATGGCCAATGTTCAACGCCTGACTGGTCTTTTTTCAGGAGGGAACTGAAACAATGATGTGGTCAAGACCCTTGAGCTGGGTTCATTTTATTGAGGTTCCATATTACTCACTACTCAGGTCAGCACTCACCCCATGACATCCTAATCTAAGTATTAATTAATACTGTATGTAGTATTGATAGGTCTAATTTATATGATCCTTCTTTCTTTTTTTCGGTATCTTTTTTCATTGGACCGTTCATTCGAGATATCTCATGTTCGAAAAAAGTACCTGATACCTCATATCTTGGGGGTATTTATTACGCGGTACTGTTCTATACTTTTCTCAGTATGTTCGCACCGAATGGAGGACTTCAAAGTTCATATGCATGCACAGTGGTCCATGTATGTATTTGCAGTTCTATTGAACTTGTCATATGGGGAAAGGGTCTGATTGATCGCTTGTCGTCGAGAGATGTTTAATTTAATCGACATAGCAACGCTAGCACGTGTCGTGTCCACTGTCCACACTGTTCCTGCCTGGCAGTCAGGAGCAGCAACAGCTGGATGGTTCTAAAGGCTGGCAGAATCATTCTGTCAAAGGTGAAGCCGCAAGCTGCAGGCTCCAAGCTTGCGACCTGGTAACAGGTAACTTCTTGTCCAAGAAGGCTAATTAGGCTGCGCGTAGGTGATGTCATTGCCACGTGAGCCCACAAATCACGGGATCTCGAGTCTGCGCGCCTGACACGTGATTCGGCGACGCGGGGAGACGCGTTCTTTTGCTTCAAGTTGCAAGACAAAAGACGGTAATTATCAAGAGACAGCGAAATTACCTGCGTTCAGTCCTGCAGCATGGCCAAGGGGTAGGCCAATCCATTGCCCCCCTGCAGCCGTCTTACTCGGCCACTGAGCCAGATTCAGCTTCCCTTACATGCTTCCAGACGCACCTTCAAGTCTGCGCGACAGCCGCGGTGGAGCTCGTGCGTCCGAGTCGGCGCCTATCGAACGCGTCTTGGGGGGGCTGCAGCGTGCAATTTCCGCGCTTTACAGTAAAAGGACGAGACGCTCCGCTCCGGCGGACTCGCTCACACCAGCCTCTTCTCTCCCTTTTTTTTCTTCAATGCGTCTTGCTTGCTATTCCACTTTTTTTTTTTTTTTTCACCTCTCCCAGTTTTCAATTCCCTCTTCTAGGACCCCTGGTATTTTCCCATCGGGGGCTTCTTTTTTTTCTACTCGTTCCTCTTCTGCCTTTCTGACCTGAGTTCTAATTCCTCATTCCCATGTTCTACTTGTCTTGTTTTACGTGCTGCCTCGCGTCTTTTCTTCGTAAAGGGTTAGATTACTGTCTGTGCAACGACCTCGAGGCGAGGCGTTGTCCTCTATAACGCTCTCGTGAGGCCTGGAAATAGCAGTTGGTTTCTCCTTTGTACTCGACGTGTGTGGCCATTGCTCACGGCTCCTTTTCATTCTAGTATACCACAACATGGAATCGTCTTCTCCCCCCAGAAACAGCTCTGCTGTTTCTGTGGCAGGCATGAAGCGTCCCGCAACTTTGCTCCCTGCATTCGAACCATTGAGTTCTTCTCCATCTCTTCCACGACCGCAAAAGCGCGTAGCACGCGACTCGGGCGCCAGCATCTCGACTTATCCCACTCCCGTGCCTACATCGTCAACCCATATCATGTCCTCTTCCCCACCTCGTATGGCCTTCTCCCGACCTGCTATACGCCGTGCATTTCCTTCAATGTCCTCTGAGCGGACTCCGCTCTCTACGGTTCCCACACTGACGCTCCCGGAGAATGGCGAGACTATTCTGATGGGTAGATCTAGTGCCTCATGCCATCATCAGCTGTCTTCCAACCGCATGATCTCCAGAATTCACGCTGAGGCCGCATTCAAACCAGCACCCAATCCTTTCGATCGGGACAGGGTGGAAATTCGATGCGTGGGGTGGAACGGGGTCAAATTGCATTGCCAGGGTAAAACGTACGACTTGGCCAAGGGCAAGACTTTTACTTCGGACATTAAGGATGCCGATATCATGATCGATGTACATGATGCACGTGTTCTGATTCAGTGGCCACGCAATGAACGGAAGGAGCGTGCTGGTTCGACTGCTTCTGACCGAACCTGGGATGAAGATCCTCCAGTGCATGACCATCACGGTCTACACGATGGTATACATACCGACCGCCAAAGGCTGGCTTCTCCCGTCTCGCCAACCCCCGCAGGGCAGTTGCGAATCCCGCCATCATCGCCTTTGCTTCCCGCAAAGGACCGGCATGACTCTGTAGTGGTATACGAGGACGAGCCATCTCCTTCCCGCCGCAATAGTTCGGATCCTGCTTCGGAATCCCTATCAAGCCAAGAGCGAGTAGCAAGACTCCTCAGCAGCTCGCAATCGAGCGATCTAAGCGACCTAAGCAAACCCGATGATCTATCAGACCATGACGAAGAGAATGATCCCATCGTTCATTCCTTTGGCCCATTTGGCGAGAATCTCCTTCCCAGAATGGCTTCGTTCACTGCCTATGAATCACCCGCACGTTCTGCCCGTCCTTCTAGCGAGCTTGTCCCCGGGTTGTCTGAGCAGAAGAATGACAAGAAGCTGGGAAAGCCTGAGCCACTTACCGAGGAGGGCGAACGAATTCAAAACCACGCCATTAATCAATTAGCCTTTTCCCGACTGTCTTCGACTCCGTTCTCAACCATCTTGAACAACCTACCTCCCAGCGTGTGGAAGAGGGATGACCGCTCCAAGGGCCCTTCCAGAGAGGAAATCCGGTCTATTATCGATAGCACAAAATGCATCGGAAAGGTTGCTCGTGAGGGTAAGGATGCAGCTGGCAAGCCTCTTGAGAGCGAATACTACTACGTCGCCGACTATGATACGGACGAGATGCGACGAGATGCTGTTCTGTATGACCTCAGAAAGCCTGGCCTTCGCTCTTGCAGGAAGCAACATAAGGTATGATCGTTCCCCGTTGATTTATGTCATCAGAGGTGCTGACGGATTATATAGCAATACTTTTGGCGCAAGCCCAAATAGGTGATTGATCGCTTCGGGTATTTTGGTTGCCAACCATTTTCTTTATGATGTCTCTTATTCCCTGCGCCCAATTCTCAGATTCCGCGTTGCATGATTTTGATTCTCAGTACATAGTTTTCCCAATGTTGTATTTTTACCCTGATGTTAAGGGACTTCGCATAGCGTGGCGTGGGCATACCCTGTTTGATTACGTATTTCCTTTGTTGCATAAAGATGTACGATGAATGGTGGCTCTACTGTTTGTTTACCCCTTCTTCTCTTCTAATTCTTATGCTTCAGATCCGCGCCAGAGAGTGTCATGCTTTCTTGGTTTTTGTTCGATTTGTCCCCTTATGCTTGATTGCACGAAACCGCTAATTCCCCAGTTCCCCATAACTCTCCGAAAAAGAAAGACAAAAAACAAAAAAGAAAAAAGAAATATAAAAAAAAAAGAAAAAAAGAAAAAAACAACGCACCCACAAACCTCATTCAATGACCCTCATCTCGATATCATACTCGGGAGCTGTCTCTGTTCTCTGAAATGAGTTGCTCTTCTCACTGCGCTACATCATATGGTTTTAAATTCTGCTTTCCATTTGGTGTTTCTATCCCACCCTTGCCCTTACCTTAGTTGCTGGTATGCGTGCTAGGATCTCGTTGCACGTTGACCAATTTGGACAAATGACTACGCCTGTACGTATATTGAAAAGTTAGAAATTACAAGCCTTTCACTGGTGTAAAGTAGTGTTGACGAAAGCAAAGTTGACTTCGTTTGATTTCATGCCAAGCAATGACCAACTCAGAGAGCAGGCGATATACAGTCTGTATCAAGCCGGTTCTGTAGATGAGAATAGCGGTACATGGCAGTCCATTAGAACCAAACAGACAGCCCAACTCAACTCAACTGAACTTAGTATAATAACAACCGTCCGATCCAACACTTGAGTTCGAGAATTGAGAACCACGCCGTTCCATACAATACACCCGGCCATCAAAACGATCCTCCCAGTTCACTCCGATGTATAAGATCACCTTAGATCATCAACCTCTCAACATTATTCTTAACAGCCCTAATCTGGGCCGTCAAGTCACTGGCCTCATTGGTAGTGATACTACAAGCGATAACAGGACGGCTAACACCGCACGCTCTCCCCAAAGCCATCTTGCTGGGGACGTAGACGTACGGCACGTTCTTGTCCTCCGCGAGCAGAGGGAGATGGAGAAGGATAGCCAGCGGGGAAGTATCGGCTGCGAGAATGACGATTTCCGAGGTTCCACGGTTAAGCGTCTTGGTGGCTTCGTTAGCACCCTTCTTCAGCTGGCGGTAGTGGGAGGCCTGCTGGACGAGGTCGAGGAGGGATTGGGTTAGGGCTTCGTCGGCGAGGGGCCAGGCTTTGCGAAAAGAACAAAAAGTTAGTGAACTTCGTTTCATGGTAAAATGCTTCCGGAGGATTGGATGTAGTTAGCCTACCGGCATTAGTCTGGTCGGACATGGTGAATTGAAATAAAAGACTGTGATATGTCTTTTATTTTAATGATAAAACAAGTATTGGAATAGCTCAAGGGTTCACGGCCTCTTGACGAGAATGAACTTTCGGCTCGCCCTTTGCGCGGTGATGCTGGATTGATCGATAGATGGACTCGACTGGATACTGTAGAAAGGGAAAAAAAAAGATCTCGAATTGTTTCGGTCCGTCCTTGTTCCGATATTGTGATTATATAATCCAAATGACTTGGGGTTTCTCTGGTCACGGGAATGGATTTCCCTGTCCGTACAACTTCCCGGTTTGGTATCTTTTCTACCCTGTCAAGAAAAAGATCAAGATTATTAGAAGCCCTGCCTACAACTGGATAAGATGCCATATTCAGTCTGTCTACCTTGAGTGCAGGTCAATATGGCGTTAGGTACAGTACATCAGCAGAGTACAACCTATCCTGCTGCTATTCGTTACAGGACGAACAATGCTGTGACTCAGTGTCTGGAGCGGCGTTCCGGCCCTGTCGAATTTGGGAACAAGCTTATCGTTTCCTATTTTCTTGTGCAGCTGTGATGTTTTCCATCTCAGGAGAACTGCAGCGTCGGACTCGCGGAGGAAGACGACAGTAGCAAGGGTGATGAGTCCAACCTAAGGTTACTTGTTAGACCTGACAACTCTACATATAGGCCTTTATCAACACCATAACTTACTGAAATCAAGATGGGCCGAACGGCCCAACGCCAGCCGAGATATTCTAATACAAAACCGCCGATGATGGGACCAATAAACTACATCACTTGGTCAACACAGATGGCTATCCTCAGTGGGACTCCAAGAAAATGACGTACAGGTCCGACGAGAAGCCCCATGGCGAATGAGACATGGCCTTTCCTCGTACCTCTAGAGGATACAGATCGGAAATATAATCACCCTCGATGCTCATGGTGCCTGATGCAGCACGGCCACCAATCAATCGGAAAGCGAGAAACACACCGACATTGGTGCTGAAGGCACAGCCAAAGATGAATCTAATGAAGAAGAAGATGTGGCGGAAGGAATAGATAATAAGGCGACCGTACAGCTCATACAGGGGTGCAAGGAAAACAGGGCCTATGGCAAAGCCCAGCACACAGAGGCTGACCATCAGCTCCATCACTATGGTGCTAGTAGTGTGGGAATCTTGAGCTAATTCGTCTGTGCCAGGGGCATACATGGTTGCCGCCAAGTTCCTGAAACTAAAACACATGAGTTAAGCGATTTAATCGGCGTGAGTGAACAGACTCGCGGTTGCCACATGGATCGTCTTGTTCGCGCTGAACCAGTTTCGACGGTTCTCGGGATCGTCTGGACGGTCACGGTCGACTACATTGGGATCCCTCTTTAGCTCATTCAGCTGCTGCTTGCTGATTTTTGTGGCTTCTACCCCCAACTCTGAAAATGTAGCATCTTACTTTGACATTGTGATCGGTCCTAGAGATGTTTTTATTGTACTGCCGATTTTCTGACTGTAAAGTGTTTGCTCTCAACGGCTTTATCTGAGTAGGATGAAGAGAACAGCTGGATGGAGGTGCTAGATATAGCTCTTGAAACAGACTCGGAAGATTTTCCCAGCCCTGGACGCTCATCTCAGCATCATGACGCCTCTGCAAGTACACTCTGTCTCCGATGCTCCGAAATATGTGCACCCAATGGACGATATATTTTGAGTCGACGAGTCTACTGACCCATGAATATTACCTACGCTCTTCTTAAACCACATAGAATCCAACCAAGTGTAGTCTACGAATGCTAGTTTTAATATTATTTAAATACAAATCAGAATACCTTATGGTATAGTCTCCTAGTAACCACATAGGCATTTGTCAAGCCTTTGCCGTTCTGCCCTAAACCAGCCGCCATATATGTAATTAGGTAGGATTCTAGGGATGGTCTTTTAGCCCAGTGGCACACTCTGTACGTAAGTACTTGTTTAATGTCAATTACCAAAAAGGGACACGTATACTTATTACTTTGAGGATATATGAATTAAAACCTCATGGGACTACTACGCCATGGTCCATCGGAGGATCGGAACGGAGGATCGGAGCAAAGTATCTTCACTTGACGCCGCCACGACAGAGTACCAACCTGCACAACTCTTTATTTTCTTTGTTATTCATAATGTATCTTGAATATGGCTCAGAACGATACCAGAACCCCATCCCCGTGGAATGGGGACCCGGCAAAACTCCACAGGGCAGGTCGAGACAAGACGCAGCAGTCTTGCAACCTTTGCAGGCAACAAAAATGAGTAGCATTTCCTGCATCCAGAGAGATGCTGCCATAATAGAAAATTGAGACTCATCAGAGATACAAACTGGACGGCGGAATTCAAACATCTGCCACCATGTCAGCTGAGCAGGATCTCCAGCTTCAGATATCCGGCGACAGTCTGCGAGAGAAGGTCGTACAATGCCTCATCCTGGGGATTACGTCAAAGGAGGCCCATATGTTATCGAGACTCTTATGCTATACCTAGCCGTGGAGCTCATTTGCAAAAATGATACAGAGATCGGCATTTGGATCCTTTCAGGCGCCATAATATAGCTAGCTGTGCGTATGGGCTACCATAGAGACCCTAAACACTCCAAGGGCATGACACGTTTGCAAGCGAGATGTGGCGACGCGTCTGGGCTACAATCGTTGAAGTTGATATCGCAATCTCGGCCTAGATGGGTCTCCCACAGCTGATCAAACCGTCTCAAACAGACACGATGGAACATTTGAATCTTCAGGGCCACGGCTTTAACACGCCTGCTACAGAGATATTGCCGCCACGGCTCCAGGTAGATCAGACGTAGATTATTTTCGCCTAGGAAAGGCCCGATTGTCCAAGGTTATTAGATCTATATGGGACTTGACGACCGATAATAGACTATACACCCATGCCGAGGTGACGGAGACGGATGTACAGCTTAGGAATGCGTATAAGTCTATCTCTGAATGCCTCAAGTGGCACTCAATAGCCCAATACATTGCAAACTCCCCTAGAGCTGTCGTGCAGAAGGCACTGCTTCAGGTCATATATCACAGGGTAAGGATAGTGCTGCATTAGAGGTACCTGAGTTCCTCATCCGGCGGCATTCAGTATAATCATTCACAGCACGAATGCCTGGATGCAGCGCTCAAACTACTCGAATATCAACATCTGCTCCAAGAAAAGACTGAGTCATTTGGTCAGTTGTGGAGACTATACTCCCTTGTAAATCACGACTTTCTTCTGGCAGCCAGCATTCTCTGCTTCTATCTACGCGGGTTCAATATGAGCTCCATGAAAACATCAGAGCGCCTATGGTAGAAACAGTTCGGGTGTCCCTGAGGGAATTACAAGAAATATGGCTTCGCTCGAGTAGCTAGAGACCAGATGGCTGCCAAAGCCTCGAGCAAAGTTCTTGGAAACCACGAGGGTTCTGACAACACGGATACCATTTTCGACTTGAACTCTCTATCCAGGGCGTCATTGTCACTGCCAACCAGCAGTGACTTCGTTAGCAGTTACCGTCAAGGTGAGTGCTAACGTGTCCTTCGTCTCAAGGTTCTATTTCATGGCTTTGAATATAATACCGACAATGAAATCATATGACTTGACTGGCTTTACTGTTAACTTACCTATATTTGACACGACTTTGTACACAATGGAACCGACGATGCCCTTCCCATCTTCCATACCTACCGCTGCTACCAGCGATAGGTCGCAGCTAATGGATGGTGAGGACCCGATCCTTCTTGCAACTCCAGCGTTAATATCATGGTAGCAGCAACGAATGCAATTGATTCCCAGCAACGGCCCTGGAACTGTTGCTTTTCTCTCTGTGATGTCTCTGTACTATGTACTATCATCTATGTAGTATGTAGGGAGTCAAGAAACCTGCCATGCCATGTGACTTTACTGGGGTAATTCAAGATAGTATTAGTGCATTAATTAGCGTTCATTACCTGAGGCCGCCATGCATTAAGCTGCAATAAATGTATGATGTATGCCCAGCATGCGTGCTGCCCACAAGGTCTAGCCAACGAACGCCAGGGATCTGCTTGAATCAGTTGATATACCACCTGGAGTTCAGAGAAGAGGAAAGTCTATTTTATTAACGGAAGACTACTCGCTGTGTACGACATGAGGTCCTGGAGACGTCCACCTATTTCCCGGCTCTCTTGCCACAAGCTCCCTCTTCAGCATCAGTCAAGACTCATCTAGCATTTTGAATAGCATCATCTGCTATACGAGCTGGAGTATATACATTCTTCCTTCCTCGTATTTTGCATCAACTTGTTGTTAAATCAACGCACTGCATCTTGTTGGGGGGTAAGTGTTCCAAACAGACATACACGTGGATAGACATGGATTCCATCCCTCCAGGACGAAACCTAACAGTACTATCTTCCATAGATAAGAACATGGTCTCTACAGGACACAAAGGCGCATTTTCCGAAACCAAGCCCGGTGAGCATACGATCTTGCTTCCGGCAGACAAGAACCTGAGCCCCAAAAAATCAACGTCTCCGGAAGCGCATCAAGACCCCAGGAAGGATTCTACTTCGGAGGAGGTCTGGAAGCCAAATTTCAACCGCCGTCAATCATGGAGTCGGGAAGACCAAAAGCATGAGATGCAGAGAGACCTGATGGGCCCTGAGAAACGCAGGTATTCAGGGTACTCGGAGACGTTGCATAAGAGTTCTTAAATGGGGAGCAGTTTCATATTAGGGATTACAAATCCATTCCTTATAATTTTCCTTGGTGGCACTTCGCTCTGTTCAGTTGACGTGCTGTTCAGTTGACGTGCTGTCCTTGTTTTTCTTTCCTGCTGTTGACGTTTTCAGTCCTGGGTTTGTTGCCAACTTCCTTGTATTACATGAACCAGTTTCTGTATCCTCAGTATATCTAAGGATGTGAAAGATGTCTAACTACTGTTGTTTAAGCTCCGCAAAGATCCTTTGAACCCACCAGTGTGCTAATGCTCCAGGACATTGTTGAGGAAAGGCAGGAATGTAGGTGCAACATTGTCAGTTGATGGGACGATTCTTCTCGGTTCCAAGCATGAGTAACATCCTATTATCAGCAATATGGAAAATAAAGTGAAGCCACTTCGAAATGCATTTTCATGAGAATATTTGGAGGTCTAAGATGCAATACTTTCAACGGACTACTTGACCCGTCACGTGTAGTATCTAGGTACTGTATTGATCTGTAAAACAATTACCCTCCGCCTTCCCTTTCTGCTGCGCCGAGTCTCTCCAGCTTTTCTTCACAGCAAGACCTTGCCATCATCCACACCAAGCAAGAGGGAAAAGAGAGAAGCTGAATGGAATAGAGGGAAGTGAGCTGCTGCCTCAGAACTGACAGCTTTCATTCACGTGCAACGCAACACCCCTGCTTTGCTCCCCCAATGTGGCGTTCAATTCTCATATGCTTTCCTTCCGGACTCTCTAAAGGGACCCCACGACGACTGAATCTACCCCGATAATTTCACTGCGCTCCAGCTGCGGGCAAACCTACATTGGCACGATATGGATCGCCAAAGAAAGCGTATGTCGTGTCATAAATATCGTCGCTGTATCTATCATACTTGTTCTTATTTCTGACTGTCAATCTTCTAGGGGAGCTCCGCACGTTGAACGAGAGCGCGTGGACTGGCGAGAGTGGTAGGAACCCTCGTATTCCTCCCATGCTGGCTGTAACCATTTTAATACCATTTTTTTTAACTAGATGTCTTCCCCGTAAGCAAGTCTCTCGACTCCGCCTTGAAGAAGAATACCGCCTTTATCAAGCGTCTCCGGACGGGGATTACGGCTTCCGCTCTACAGACCTTCCTCACCGATATCCGCACTCTTTCGCTGCACAAGTACCTTTCAGAAATTATCTCCGCATGCTACGAAGGTCTCTGCAAGCTTAAATCTCCCGGTGAGATAGCTGCAGGAGTCGAGGTTGTCAGCGCATTGCATCAGCGATTTGGACCGGCTGAATTTTCAAGGCGAATCGGATGGCTTCTCGGTAGGGGACTCAGTGTCCCAGATAAGGCACAGTTGAAGGCTCTCAGTCAAGAGTTGCGGGAACGGGAAGAGAAGGACCGTCTCTCCAGACATCGAGTCTTGCTCAGAGTCGTGACGGAGCTCTGGCTTGTTGGAGTTCTAAGGACCTTGGATGATATCGATCGACCAGATGATGTTGGTGTTAAAAGCAAAGATAGCGCTGTCAGTTTGGGTGTGAAACCCTCCGACGGTCCTTCTAAAGCCAAGGCACCTTCATTGGCCGGAAGGGAGCAGGACAAGGAGGCAGAACCGTTTCCTCTGGAAGTTCTAAAGGACCTTCTCCGCCATGACCGCGATCATACTAACCTGTCTCTGGCCGTCCTTTTTGCGAAAAGCTTTTCCTGGGATATTCTCGGGGTCAAACCAGCCGAGGAGGGCAGAAAGACAGTCGAAGCTGATGGGGCCATGACGACATCAACTACAGCGGAAATTACCGGTGCAGAGGGAACTTCAGATGCAACTGCTCAGAATGATCCTCCGCTCACCTCAGAAACGTTACAGAGTCGTTTTAGGAACGTCTTAACGCGATATCTGGAAGATGTCAAGGCGCATGTTATCCGGGACCAGAAAGCTTTAGCAAACCAGAGCCGCCGGAATGCTGAAGCTTATGTTAAGAGCGGTGAAATATTTGAGGACCGACAAGCAAACTTTGAGAAACAGTCCAAGGCATTGGAGAGACTTGTTTCAAATACACAGGTCTTGTGTGATATTCTAGGAGTTGATATGCCGAACCTAGTCGAGAATGAGACGGCAGATGCTGCATCGGGTGGTGGTATTGGTCTGGTGAAAACTGCCGAATACCTGCGGGGCCAGGGAGAGGGTCCAGGAATCTGGGAAGATGAGGAGGAAAGGCGCTTCTACGAAAACCTTGTTGATCTCAAGGGGAAAGTTCCTGCGGTCTTACTCGAAGACAGCAAGAAGAAGAAGGCCGAATCTGACGATGCAGCAAAGAAGAAAGCAGATGGTGAAACCGCGTTCGAGTCCGCTCTAGATCAGCCACAACCTTCCGAGGAGAAAACGCCTACCGAAGCAGATGATCAGTCCATAACTATAGCAAGCAAGACTGTCGGTGCTCAAGTCGACGCACTACTTACTAAGCTTCCCGAGTTGCAAATGAAAGACCAGGTCGATCAGCTGGCTCTTGACTTTTGCTTTCTCAACTCGAAGGCATCAAGAAATAGATTAATCAAGGCTGTTTCGGATATCCCCAAGGGTCGATCTGATCTTCTACCACTGTACTCACGTTTGGTCGCGACACTCGGGCAATACATGCCTGACATCCCCCAAGGATTGATCTCATACCTTGATGAGGAGTTCCGGAGCCTCCAACGGCGAAAGTCAAAGGAGTTCCTTGGTCAAGTTCGAATGAGCAATATTCGGTATCTCGCGGAATTGACCAAGTTTGGTGTTGTTCCCGAACATATCATTTTCCACTGCTTCAAAGTTTCTCTTGACGAATTCTCACGCATGAACATTGAAATCATTGGTCATTTGCTGGAGAACTGTGGGCGTTACTTACTCCGGAATCCAGAGACGTCTCCGAGAATGGTCTCGTTCCTTGAGACATTGAGCAGGAAGAAGACCGTCCAGCATTTGGGCCAACAAGAGCGAATGATAATCGAGAATGCGATATACTACGTTGACCCTCCCCCCCGTCCAGCAATTCAACAAAAGGAACGCACGCCCGTGGAACTATACATCCGGGGATTGATCTATTTAGATATGAATAAACGCAATTATACGAAGGTCTTGAAGTCAATCAGAAAACTCCATTGGGAAGAACCGGAGGTAACACTGTCTACTTTTTCTTGCGCTTGAAACGCTGGCTGACATTGCTCATTCCTGAAAGGTGATCGAGATCCTAGAGCGTATCTTCAGCAAGCCTGTGAAGGTTAAATACGGGAATATTCATCTTCTCGCGATCATCGTTAGCGCGCTGTATAGATATCACCAAGACTTCGTCATCGGCATTGTAGACGACGTCCTCGAACATATTACGTTGGGCCTCGAGCAGAACGATTTCAAGTTTAACCAGAAACGCATCGCTGAAGTCAAGTATCTTGGGGAACTATACAACTACAAAATGGTCGATTCGCCTGTGATATTTGACACTTTGTATCGGATAGTCACTTTCGGCCACCGTGAGTCCATCTCCTATCAGGCAATGACTCAAGAGAGACTTAACTAACGGCAATCATAGAGGGCGGGACTCCCGTTCCCGGCAAGATAAACCCGTTGGACTTGCCAGACGATTTCTTCCGAATCCGCTTAGTTTGCACTCTTTTGGACACATGTGGTCACTGTTTCGATCGTGGATCTGCAAAGAAGAAGCTAGATTTCTTCTTGACATTTTTCCAGGTAGCTACGGCAATCACCCATCCAGTTAAGGTTCCATGGCTGACCTATCCAAGTACTACATGTATACGAAGGAACCGTTGCCGATGGATATAGATTTCCTCGTCCACGATACGTACTCCATGGTTCGGCCTCAGTGGAAACTTGCTGCAGATTTAGAAGAGGCTGCTCGCTTGTTCGGCGAAGCGATTGCTCAAAACTACAAGCTTCAAGATTCTGAGAGGGCAGGCGAACCCGAAGACGATGATGCAGAAAGCGTGTCTTCAGATGATGGTCTTGAAGAGGACGGAATACCTGAGATAGAAGAGGAACAATATTCCAGTGATGAGACTGATGTGAGTTTTATCTTTCACTTTGAGTTTTATCTTTCACTTCTTTTCACGAGACATCCTCCACACTAACCTACATCAGACGGTTGATCCGAATATCGAACAGCATGGTGATGATGAATCCGAGGAAGATGATCGGATCTTCGTTAAACGCCAGGAAGAGGAACGTGATCCGGAAGCAGAAGCCGAGTTCGACCGCGAGTTCGAAAAGATGATGGCAGAGAGTCTTGAATCGCGAAGATTCGAACGGAAGGCAGTATTTGACGTGCCTCTGCCCATGAAGCGACCTGGTCGTGATGCGGTTCCTGGCGAGAAAGCTGTTGAAGGTTCTCAAACACCTATTAGCACGATGGCATTCTCCCTGATGACCAAGAAAGGAAACAAGCAACAGGTTTGACTACCTTTCTGCTTTTAAGGGAATCGTGGCTTGATGCTGACTATCTCTAGACTCGTACCATTGATCTGCCGTCGGATTCTAGCTTTGCTGTTGCCATGAGGACTCAGCAACAAGCTGACAGGGAGGAACAACAGCGGATCAAAAACTTGGTTTTGAACTACGAGCTGTCTAATGAACAAGAGAGTAATGATGGTGAGGGGTGACCCACGACATATATCCACAGAGAATCCAGTTTTAATCAAAGGAAATTAGGTCTGGAGAAGCGCAACACTCCCAGTCGCGATTCAAGAATTGACAAGTCAAATGCGAAAGCAACTGGCTTCCGCGCAAGGAAACTTCAGCTCAGTGATGTTGATTGGTGAACGCATGCACTCAGAAATCGGCCACCTTGTTTCCACATGAAAAATCTCGCTGGGTGATCAGAACATCTTTGCCATCGGGTTGTGAATGATGCCGTAATTGAGACAGCCATGCATCAATTTGTGGTCTAGCAACGCATCGCATACCACCTATTTCATGGATATTCTTAGAGCAGCGTCTTGACAAATAATGTCCGGGTGTTGAGCCGTCCGCTTTCGTCTCATCTTGCGGCAGCTTGGAGATAGCTATGCTGGCGTATCTTATGGACTCGAACCCAGAAAGCCTACCTTTCACAGGTAAGCTAGTATAATTGTTCGGATACAGATCAGCAGAAGTTCGATCTTCGCTATCATGACCATGAATGACCACTCAAAAAGGAGCAGAGATGCGGCTGTGAGTAGTTGCGTCATGTACGGCGATTCAGAGCAAGGCGTCGATTCGATTCCAAAGACTTTTGCTGTTTATTATTAGGAGATATATGCGTAGCAATGGCATAGTCTACTATCTACAACAGAACAATGATGTCCCAAGTTTGATGGGCGCTAATAGCCAGAATACAATTTCGTTTTATCATGCGAAGCTAGACGGGGCGGACGAAGAATGAAGTCCGAAAAGATGCTCCCTTGAGAAGACGCATGTTACTCCAGTCTGCAGACGTTATGTATTCCACCTAGGCGTAGACATTCTTCTTAGTACTTCGTATGTAGCACGGCTTTCTTCATCGCCTCGAGCGTCTTTACTAGAGATGTGCCAGCATTCAATTCTATTTCTTTTTCTCGCTTGCTCGAATCCGCAATCAAAGCACATACAAGAACAAAATACATACATGTACACATGTATACATGGAAAGGGTACACAAGGAACAAGCCCAAGATCCATGAAGGAAAGCCAAATAGAAAGAAAGAACAAAAAGGAAGCTTTTTTTTTTAAAAAAAAAAAAAAAAAAAAGGGAGGGTAAAGTGAAAATTGCGAGAGAAAAGGGAATGGGTATATATAATACAACAATTCCACTTCCCAATCCATGTTCCCCCCAGAGCAGAGTTCTGTTTTATATCTCACATAAAAACAACATTAATGCATGAGTACCCTCTCTTTTGTCTTCCTTTTTTCTTGTCCTTCATTCTTTTCGCCTTCTATTAGAAAAATGAAAAATGGGGGGAAATAACAGGAAGAAATTCAGGTAGAGATCAGGTCAGAGCGGGGTTCATTTCTCCGTCTTCTCGGCTGTGCTCTTGTCTTCTGCGCTGTGATGTGCCTTTGGAACGAGCTCTTCGCTCTCGGCATGGTCACCCTTCTCAGCCTTTAGCTGGTCGTGAGCCTCCTTTGCTCGTGCATGAGCATCATTAGCGGGGGAAGAAGGCTCTGTTTGCTCGGCGGGTTCGGCGGCGCTAGGAGCAGGTTCGCCTTCAGCAGGCTCTGGTTCATCGTCTTCAAGTTCCGCACCGTAAACATCGGGGTATTGTCGGAAGCAATCTTGCATGCCCCTGTTTCCGGTCAGCAAACGAAAAGCAAAAGTTCAAGGGAGGAAGCAGACTTGAACTTCTCAATGCAGTCAATTCCCTTTGGCTCCTCATTAGAGTACACAAAGCAGCTGAAGGCAGCCTTGAACTCTTCTCCACAAGGCCCATGAGCCATTCCACCTAGACACGGACAGTCCCAATTGATCTCGCCAGTTTCCGGGTTGAAGGCTGCTTCCTGGCTGGCCTCACTCTCTAGCTCCTCAGCAGAGGCCAAACCGCCCTCAGAGACTTGGACATCCTTGGAAGCAGCTGCAGTATTTACGTCTGCGAGATCATCAGGTTGGGTCGCGGTCGCGGCTGCGGCTGCGACTTCGGACTGGGAAGGCTCTTCTGGTTTCGCGCGGACCTTTGGCTTTATGGTATCGAGCGTAGGAAGGGAAGACTCGTCAATAACATCGGCCTGAGGCTGGGGTCTAAAGGAGACTGTAATTGAATTATTAGCTATTAGGTCCTTAAGAGAAAACTTGGAGGGGGGAGAAAAAGAACACAACACGTACAGGACGGCTCCTGTGCAAACACACTGCTTGTGTTATAATAGTACACAGCACCAATGGCCAGACCCAAGCGTGCAGCAGTGCTCTTCCAGCTTCGCGACTTCTCCTGGGGCTGAGCAGTGCTTATAAATCGTCTGGTAACGGGGCCTCGGACAGCGAAGGCTGGAGCGCGGAGAAGGGCTCTGGAGGCGGGTCGGAACATGGCGACTCGGGAGGGGAGAGAAAGCAAAACAAAAGCGAAAGAAGAAAAGTGCGCGCTATAAGGACAATGAGCGATACATAAATTGACGGATTCGAGTGGCAGAAGGCCGGGATGGAGAGGGAGAAGCAGAGGGAAGAAACCGGCCAGACCGGAGATATTCGTTGATAATCTTTGGAGTTGGAGATTGCGGCCTGAGGCTCTCATACGTCAGTTCTCTCTCTCCCGAGACAACCTCATCTTCTGAACACCAGCTACCATCAGATTATCATCATGGAGTGGCATCCCACTCGTTTCTTCCATCATTCCAACAAATCGCCCTATGCTCTCATCATCCTCAACCAGCCCATCAACGAGAATGCGTTCGTCATCCTGAGGAAGCATGGTCAGTCCAACGATCTCCCCTCTTCATACAATATTACACCTTGGCTAATAATATGTATTCCTGTCAAACAGCCAGCCTCGTCGTCTGTGCAGATGGAGGTGCTAATCGGTACTACGATCTGATGAAAGCCCACGGAAGGGAATCTATTGATGTAAGGCAAGCAAGCATACAATAAATATCCCCCATTCGCTCGTTCAATTCGTTCCTCGTTACACCGGCAGAAATGAACGAATGGAGAGAGGGAAAAATTAAAAATTAGAGCTAGGACCAGGCCGAATTAGGATCTGATCCGAAAAAATGATACATAGCTCCCGGATGCCGTGATCGGTGATCTGGACTCCATCAAATCCACGACTCGAAGCCATTACGAGCGGCTGCGTGTCCCTGTCATCCAGGATCCGGATCAATATTCGACGGATTTCACCAAGTGTCTCAAGCATCTCCGGGATTGGTATTATCATGGTGGCCTTAATGGCGACGACAGCGCCAGCATCGATATCAAAGATGGCAGTGGTGATAAATATAATAATAGGACACTGGAAATCCTCATTCTGGGAGGTCTGGGGGGACGAGTGGACCAGGCCTTCTCCCAGATCCATCATCTCACAACATTCAGCATGAAATGGAGCGGAATACACACGAGCACGACCATCGAATCAGAATCAGCACCCAAGACGGACGCGAACGATAATAATAATGGTAATGGTAATAACACCGATCTGAAACTAAACCTCTACCTCATCTCAGAAGAGAGCATCACTTTCATCCTCCACCCGGGAAAGAATATCATCCATACACCAGGAACCAATAGACCCTTGGAAGAAGAAGAGAGGAAGAAGAACAAAAACAACAACAACAACCAAGAATACTTCCTCGAAGAGAACGTCGGGATCATCCCCTATCTCGGTCCGACGAGGATCACGACTCACGGTTTCGAATGGGATGTCACTCACTGGCCGACGCAGATAGGTGGACAGATCAGTACGAGCAATCATATTCGGGCTGATGTGGTCGAGGTCGACTGTGAGGCTTCTGTGCTTTTTACTCTGGAATTGGCTACGAGGTTTAAGTTCTGGGGAAATGGGCGGTGATTTCTTCCTCCCCTAACATATATAGGCGTGGCAACGCGTTGATGACATTGATAGATAATATATACAAATGAAATGACAGCTACGAGACCAAGACGTGATATCATCATATCTCATTCAATGCTACAAGACAATAAAGCCCAGCAACCAGATTTCACAGCCAGTGCCGCATATTCCCGATGAAAAACTTTTTCAGAAAAGGGAAGAAATAATAATTCGAGAGCATTGCAAAACAGAAGACATCAATCCCAACATCCGACGCGCGGGCCTATATAAATAAAAGAGAAGAAAGGTCATCAATGGTAAACAACCAAGCCCCAACGATCATTGCAGAACCCAGTCCAAAAACACGGCTATATGAAAAAAATACCCAGGTAAGGATATTAAGTAAAAAATCAAACCCAAAGCCCTATCCCTTTCATAAGTAACTTTGTAGCGTTCATCATTCCTGATGTGAGAAAAGACAACACAAGACGGAAAGATATATAAAACCTTGTATTTCTTTGCACCTAGAATTGCCTCCGCAGAACAGCTTGATACAACGTCTCGACAGCACCGATAGATGCAGCAATAAGCATACCAACCCATCTTCCTGGATACGCAGCATTCACCTTCGAAATTGCAGACCTGCTTAAGAGGCCTGCCACGGAGACCTTGTTGCCGTATATAATATACCCAATGAGTCCCCTGGCAATACAGAAAGATAGGTAATCGATGTTGGACTCCTCACTCGCAGCAACGCTGACGCTGCGCGTGGAATAGACGCGATTGTGATTGCGCAAGATTGTCGCTTTGCTGACGTTACAGAAGAATGCGAACGTCAGTGGCACCAGGACGTTGGTCAGCAACCAGAGTGAGAAAGGCGCCCAGACCGAGCTACTGGCCAAATGAAAAAAATCGGGCCAGGAGGCCGATCCTCGCACCGGCAAGAGGTGGATGGCGACCCAAATAGCTTCCATCACAACGATCAGCACCTGGATCACCTTGAAGTCACTTAGCCACTCCCGCAATATACTGATCCAGTGGACTGGCCTGGAGTCGCTCAGCGCATCGTAAATGCGCTTGCGCGTCCATCTTGTCGGGCGATCCGTGGTCCGAGGGCCAGTCGCCAGCGACGTCGGTATGGCGACTTGCGGGAGCAGAGACTGACGAGCGGGAGTTTCCGCTGCATCGGAAGGTGTGGGGGACTCCGCATTTGAAGGCGCCTCCTCTCTAAAAGGCGGGGAGGGGGGGGGGGTACACAAGTTAACTCGGGACCGTCATATGGCAGGGGAATAGATTGCAACATGGGCAGATCTCAAGCTCTGAGTACCATGCGCACCAAAAACATAACGATAAATAATAATGAATGATATCTGGAACATACGAGTCATTGCTAGTTAACCTGGCCGGCCTGCGGCGACGGCGCGTAGACATCCGTAGGCCCCTGTCTGGAGTCGCCGAGGGATCTGGTTTGATTTCCCTCCTGGGCGTCGAGCGCGGAGGCAGCGAGAGGCGCTTATAGTAGTCTATAAAGTTCGGATTCTGGTCGAAATCATCCTGATGCTGGCGGAGGTGTTTGTCTAATGCTATGACAAGGTCGGGCTTATTGAGATCCTCGTATCTAGAAGTTCGTTGTCGCATTCGCGTTAGCACGTCCGGTGCTTTCAAAGCGTAGCCTCACGGGGACCATCGTACTCTGATAGGTTCGTGTCTACTGCGAGCTGGACTAGTCTGTCCTTGCGCAGTTTTTGTAAATAAGGCAGTGTGTTCGAGGCCATGATGACGGATGAATCTCGCAAGCTGGTGCGACCATACGACGGCGGACAGATGCGCAGATTCCAATAACACAGGCTGCTGGTAAGGAAAACTAGACGGAATAGACCCGAGAATTAAGCTGAAAGCGGATAAACTGTAATGGAGTAGTACAATGGTATGTAGGTGAGGTGGAGGAAGAAGAGGGAGAGATGGTTGTTGTTGACGATGAAGATAGGCTTGCGGGCGGATTTGCTGTTTACATCGATTGCCCCATCAACACGAGTCGTGCAATAACACAACACATAACACAACACAATATATTATATGCCCAACCTCCCATCAAGCCATGTTTCTCTGCTTTAATATAGCAAACATCCATTGTATCAAGTCATATATATTCTACATTGCCAATTCAAATGAGATCTCTATGTCTAAGCAGATGGACAGGCGTTTGTATGTATGCATACCACGGCCAAGCTCAACACGAGCTCCCAATCCAGGACCACTGCATGCCAGAAAAGGTAAAGAGAACAAGAATATCAGAGGATGAAGAAAACGAGAAGAAAGAAAGGAAGGCCGGAACGCCGACACCGCAAACGCTTCCAACATGCCAAACCCTTGTCGATATTGCCATGCAGGCCAAATCACACTCTATAGAACAAACCTCATAGAGGCTCAACTTCGGCTCTATTCTGGTAGGCCTCCAACTTTCTTAGTAGATATTGATAGAGAACCAACATCGTCCCACTTTGGATGCTAGTCCACACGCCACGCGGTCCCACTCCGCGGAACCATCCGGCGATGCCTTCCGCTTGGTAGAGCAGCTTCAACCCGGTAAACACGGACGAGGTGTCCAGACGAGGGGTTCCGGGTGGCCGCACAGACGTTGAAGGCGAAGAAGTAGAGATGGGCCGTGCGTGTGTGCGGACATTTGAGGGGGAGGTAGAAGAAGGATTATGATGTTGTCTTGGATTTTGATTCTCGCCACCCAACGTATGCTCCCCCTTGCCTATGGACGGCACGGAAGGAGATGTAGAAGGCGAGCTTGAGGCAACCGGATTCTGCTGGGTCTGGATTCGCGTTTTGACAACATCCAATGGGCAAGAGATCACGCCCGCCAGTCCACCGGCTGTCGCTGCGGTGAAGATCTCTAATCCAAGCCCTATGTCTCTGTGGCCGACCCATTTCCTTGCTAGGGCATGCTCCTGCTCGTAGAAGGCGAACTGCATCGCGGAAAAGGGAAGATCCCGGAAGAGAGTGGCCTTGTAGCCATAGAAGAGAGCCGAGAATCCCTCCTGTCGAACGATCTGGCGGAACGCATCGGATGTGGAGCGATAATTATATCCGGAATTGAAGTATGGGTTGTTGTACCGTCCCTGGAGCTGTAGTCGTGTTTTCAACACCTCTGAGGGGACATAGATGATCGAGGCAGCGAGGTCGGCAAGGAAGCCTACACGAAAGCAAGTTTTTATTGATATATGCACACAAAACGCAGACCACAGGATAATGCACATATGGCTTACCACCAGACAAATATGCCACACTCGGATTGACGCCCCTATCCAGCATTTGGCGCTTGGTAAATTCGTAGACACCAAAGAAGATAACGGTTCCAGGAAAAGAGCCTATGAGAGCCGGGGTCACGCCGCCATAAAGACCACGCAAAATTCCCTCTTGTCGATAGATAGTCGCATAAGACGCTGTCATAGAGGTGTACTTGGGGGGGAAATGTGGATCTCCCTGCTGCCGCGTCTTGACCGTGTCGAGGGAATGCATCAGCATATCACCACAGGTCCCTCCAGTACCGCCGGCAATCATTGCCTGTGATAATTCGAAACCATCCAAACGGTCAGCCAACATGACGAAAGTAAAACGGCGGCGATGTCGATCTTATCGACCCCGACATTTGAAGGCGCCGAGGGAGCATAGAGACAAGGAAAAATAAATAGAACACACATGTAAATATGGAGGACGGAACTCCTCTTCCTCCACCAGTCCTTGCTCAGAGCCATTGGGATGTACACGGGCGCCATCGCCGGTAACGTGTCCCGTTATCGTGCTAGGAGAGTGTAGGTCACTGCCACTGCGAGGTTTCTGCGGGAAAGAAGAATCGGAAGCAGGGGTATCTGGTGTCGCTGTCGTCGAAAACAGGTTCAAGACTCGCGAGGTCAAATTCATTTCAGGAACGCCGCAACCCCGATGGTGGAGCGGGCCAGACCTCGGGGTTGGGATGCGGCGGAGAGCTGTTCAGGGAGGGGGACTTCACCCCGCTTGTAGGCTTGAGAATAGAGAGAGGGGGGCGGAGAGGAGGAAAGGAAGAGAGAGGAATTCGCCCAGAAGCAAAGACGGAGATAAAAAGAGAGAGAAGAGAAATGCTAGTTAGCAAAACGGGTTGGAAGCATTGCCCGTTCTCGTCTGAGACGGTACAAGTACGGGTTCCGATGGCAATGCTCTCCCGCTGTCTTCGAGAGTTGTTGTTCTTATTATATTCTTCGTGAAGAAAGAATATAAATATCAATCGGCGTTGTTAGATCGGCCTGCGTTTTCTCCGCCGTCCGAACGCTGCCTGAGGCTCGCAAGGCTACGGATAACTTCATTTGTCTATCGCTGCTCTCCCTCGGGTCCATTAGGAGCAGCATCGGGAGTTCAGAATCACTCGGAAAAACACCAGAATCCATTATCTTTCCAATTCTTCTCCGGCTATAGCACCAGACTAGGAGATGCACAGTGACCAGAGGTTGATACATGGGTAACAGGGCAATTGAAACAACTCGCCTTCGAAAGAAAAGGAAAGGAAAAGAAAAGAAAGCACCAACAACAGAGAATTTTAAGACAGTAATAAAACAGAACAAGTCATTGAGCAGCATTGGGCATAGATGACCCCTTCTCCTTAAAGGCGATGAGTTGGGAATCCCAGACTCCGAAACCATAATGTCAAGCCGTGGGTCTATAACTATTCTCTTCGTCCTTTCCCCACAGCCGTATTTCACGAGCGCAGCGGTAGCTGCGCTAGAGTTGCGTAACCTATCGACCGGCGTTTCCAGGACAGCCGACTGCCATTTATTGGGGCTTTTTAGCAGCATTCTTAGGCTGATAACGGGCCGCATCAGAGCTTTGGTATGCCTGACGTACAAGGTTCTTGAACGTCTCCCATCCCTGACGCACCGGTGGGGGAGTACTCTGATGGGCAACAAGGGTATCAATCCGAGCAGTAAAGTGGCGGACGGCCTGCTGAACGAACTGACTCTGAGAGTATCTTGCACGGAAGAAAGAAAGATACGCCAACAGAAGAACCCAGCTTCCCTTGGAAAAGGTCAGAGCGGAGAGCACCAGACGAAACACGAGCAGGATTTCCAGGCTAGCGACGAGACCCATGCTGGTATCGTAATACTGCTTGATAAACCGACCGATAGAATCAGCCAGCGGGGACCTTGGAGCGACAGGCTTAGGAGAACCAGACGGGCCAGGAGAGCTAGGCCCATCGTCCTCAGCAGGCTGGAAGGTAGGAATCAGGTACGATCTAGTGTAAGTCGCAACATGGAAGACAGAGTACACAGTGAATGGAAGAAGCGCCAATGGGATTTGGCGAGAGTAGAGCCACACAAGGGCCATCCCTGAACAAACGTGTCGTCAGCTACCATCGAGCCTCTGGACCGGAACAGCTCCCCCGGGTCAACTCACCGAGATACTGAACATTTTCATCGGTAGCCAGCCGGGGTAGGATGATACGAGGGCCACCCTGAGGGATTCCTCGTGCAATATACTGTTTATACACCACGATTCCGTATGTGGCCGCGGCTGCGACGAACGCGAGACGGTAGGCGAATTGTGCGGTCGTCGAGTAATATCTGAAGCTGACATAGGAAAGGAAATAGCGCGTCACGGAAAGGAGAAGAGTTAGATGTCTATACAGAGGTCAGGAGGTTTTCCGTAACAAAAAGGGCTGTCTATAGCGCGAATGCAAAGGGGTTTGACAGGCACGCGACTCGTGGACAAGAGATATAACGTACCCAGCGAACCAGGCAAACCTGCAGGATTACCCGATGTTAGCCATTGAATAGCACAAACCGAATTATGAGAACATACTGCAGCGACTGAGCCAGAATTCGAAGTCGCTCGCCCAACGGCAAGCTGGGTGAAGGTGGGGGAGCCATTGGGGATCGACCGGTCGACAAGGACAAGTAAACGGAGAGGAAGGCTGAGACGAAGTCAATACACGTGGCAGGAGACGGGGGGAGAAGAGGAGGGCATAGACTGACAAAGTCGAGAAGAGAAGAGTCCCAAGAGATGGGAAGCGATGGAGGATCGCTGTGCTTAATTCTGCAGGGGAGGGAGTTGGAGAGGGAGAGGGAGAGAGAGTAGCACTGCGTCGTGGACTCGGGGAGGCGTGCTCTTATTGCACTTTCAAGCCACCGTGAGGCTGCAGCTGAACCGGCCGTGATTCTGTTAGTACACGTGAGGTTCTGCCGTCCTAGACCGCCCTCGCTACCTATCTCACGGCACAGGCAGGCCTACCTAGTAATACGACCATACATGCGCCTATCCATTAGGTTATGAGCCCGTTTTAGCTCTACGATATTGAGCTTAAAAAAGCCTTTCAGATAGGCTAAATTGTGACCTCTCATTGGTCAAACCAGAAATCGAGCGCTTCTAAGCGACTCTGAACACCAGGACCGCCAACAATCGGCCCCTGAACCCCAGGATCCTTCGATCGATCCCATCCAAAATGGTGGTGCCTCGAACGCCCCCTACCACCGCTAGACGTCACCGTCGTCAGCCAGAATCCACAGATCCTTCATCAGATATAGGCTCCTCCGCCTCCTCAGTAATCTCTGAAGAAATGGACACCCCAACTGCCCCTAGAGCTCAAAGCTCTACTACAGCCAACACCATGGCATCCACACCAGACATCACAGCTCTGTTCCAGCAGATGCAGGAACAAATGCAGGAACAAATGCAGAAGCAGATGGACCAGTTCATGACTCGTTTTAATGCCCTTGAACACCATCAATCCCAATCCTCCACTCCTACAGTCCGGCATAACGCTACTCCCTACAATCATATTCAAAATAATACGGCTATTCCAGCCTCAAATCCAGTACAAAAAGATCCTTTTGATCATGTACAAGCTCAAGTTAAAGCGCTCCTACCAGACCGATGCCGAATCACACTGTCTCATGATAATTACGACCTCTGGAGTTCAGCCATTCAAAGAGAAGCCAATGTCCTGAACGCTAGTACAGTCTTGCATCAGGATATACCTCCAGTAGGATACTCAGCTTATGATGCTGAAGTATGGCATTGCAAAGCCACTGTCATGAGAGCCCGAATGCTTCATGCTATGACTGCCCAAGCCATTGACAAATTGGGCAACACATATGACCTATCAGCCCATGGTTTATGGGACCGAACTGCTACCTTTTTCGGACGTTCTACTGGTGAAGAACGAATGCTTCTCATAAAAGAGCTCAAGGAGCTCTATATAAAAGACAATGACTACCTATCCTACCAATCTGCGTTTACTAGGATAGTAGACCGCCTTCATGCTATAAAAGAAGCATCATTTGACAACCTTATTCACGACCTATTTTTTATAGGCCTCCGCGAATGGAACAAAGCATTCATTAAGAGTAAACTTGATGAAGTATACTCAACTGGACAAGGCCCTGTCATCAATCTGGACCTACCTACCATTCAAGCTCAACTCTCTATCCGTATGGGCACCCAAGCCCGTGAATCCCGCTCCCAACACGGAGGACGACGAGAGAATCTATCCGGACGAAGCTATTCCAAACAAGCATCTAACCCCATTGCTAGCTCTTCCGCCTCAAGTTCCAACACTAAATATAAACCTCAGGACCAGGACTCACGCAAACCAAAGACCCGTTGTGATTGGTGTGGTCATTTCCACCCAATGCCTTGCCTCTACAAGAACCCTGAGAAAGCCTCTGAGCATTGGCGCCGAGCCAATAAAAATACTATTGAAGCTATTCGTGCTTTACACACTGCTAAAGAATCTTCCACTGCTTCATTCTCTGAAGCAGAAACCAATGAACTGGTACCATGGACTTCTTCAGCTGCAAAAACAGCCATTGCTAAATCAGCCCAATCTCTCCAAGCTTCATGGTATCTTGATAGCTGTGCTTCATTCCATGTTACACCCCATCAAGCTTTCTTCACGTCCTATAAAACATTGAGAAAGGAGGACCTTACTCCAGCGGATTATATTGAAGATGCTCAAGGGAAGATTTCCAAACCTCATGGTATTGGCACCGTCGTCATTGATATTGGAACCGGATCCTTGATCCTTAGGGATGTACGACATGTTCCATCCTTCAATTCCAACTTAATCTCCATGGGAATGCTTCTCAAACAAGGTTTTCGTATCGAATTCCCTTCCAGCTCTCAAGTAGCACAAATCACAACCTCTTCTGGTGCAGAATTTGAAGCCATTTTGAATACCAACAATGTATTCATCCTATCAGATTGCATTTCTCCCGACGAGAGCTCCTATGCCTTTGTCACCACCCGGTCTGGCAAAGAGGCCAACCGACCAGGGGACCCTCCCAGAAAGAAACCTACAACATCCCCAAAGACTAAGAGCTCCAAAACAGCTCTACCAATTATGACATGGCATCGCCGTCTATGCCATTTAAACCAGCAGGATCTTTTACGCCTTGCCGCAGATCCTACATCAGACATTGAAATCAAAGGTTCCAAAGAACTACCACTTTGTGAAGCCTGCATCCAGGGCAAGCAAACTCGCCAATACAGCAAAACACCAAGATCCCGTATGACTGCACCACTAGCCCGAGTCCACATAGACCTTGCTGGTGGCGGCCGAACACTAGATATAGAGAAGCTAGATATGCCTCTACCTTCACGTACAGGAGCCAAATATGTGATGCTTATTACTGATGACGCTACACGTTACCGTTGGGTCCACTACCTAACTGAAAGATCTGCTGCAATTGATGCATTTCGGGGTTGGCTACAACAGATGAAGAATCACCATTTCCCTGCCCCAGCCTATATTGTCTCTGACAATGAATTCTGTTCAGCTGAATGGCAGAAAACCTACCGTCAGGAAGGCATTGAATGGCAACCAAGTTCTCCATATTCCCCTTGGCAAAACGGTGTCAGTGAGCGCAGCATACGCATACTCTTTGACCGTGCTCGGACATTAATGCTTGACGCTCCCCATATACCACAGCGATTTTGGGTTGATGCTTTAAAATATGCATCAGATATAACAAACCGCCTCCCAACATCCACAATCCTATTCAATTCACCTATCCCTGGGGGGGTCAATACCAACACAAAAATCAGCCCAAGCCCATATAAATCGCCTCTGGCTGCCTGGACCAACTCACCAACTAGTATCAACAAATACCGACGTTGGGGCTGCCCTGTCTGGGTTCATCGACATGGCTCAGATAAGCCTATAAACAAGTTCGATTCCCATTCTAAATGCTGCTTCATGATCGGCCAAATCAGTAGCCAACAATACAGAGTGTGGGACCCTAAAACAGACGCCATTTTTTTCAACCAATGACACTATATTTGATGAAGAATATGAGGATCCCACAACTACACCTCCACAAGCTACTGTTCCTGAAGATCCAAGTACTCCTAATAAAGAAGATACAAACCAACCCGTTGAAGATGAAGACCAGGAAATATGGCTTCGACCCGCCAAAGGCATGTCCCTAGCCTATCTCACCGCTTCAACCACTCCTTCATCTGAAGATGACACGCCTACTTCCTATAAGCAGGCTATATCTCATCCTGATGCCACCAAGTGGCAAGCAGCCATGCAAAAAGAAGTCAACCAACTCAAAGAAAAAGGCTGCTGGCAACTTATCCGCCGCTCTGACCTACCACCAGGGACCAAGGTCATCCCTGGCCGGTGGGTATACAAAAAGAAAGAAATCCCTGGTACCCCTATTACAAGGGACTACCAAGCTAAAGCTCGCTGGGTGATCCGTGGAAATCTACTTGACAAGGACTTCATGGAATCATACGCCCCAGTGGTAGATGAAAATACCACTAGAACCCTTACAGCACTGGCCACTCTACTTGGCTGGCATACTCGAAAGGCAGATGCCATCCTTGCTTTCCTAAATGGAAAAATGCCCACAGATAAACGTGTCTTTATGACCCAAGTTCAGGGATTCAAAGAAGGCTCTGGAGACCTGGTTTGTGAACTCCGCCAGTCCCTCTATGGACTAATCCCATCTGCCCGTATCTGGTATGATACACTAAATGCTTTCTTACGACAAATTGGCTTCAAAAGCTCCGAATACGACTCTGGTCTCTGGATCCATACCACCCAGACCCAACTCTATGTGACTACCCATGTGGATGACTTCAAAGTCTATGCTAAGCATGAGAACGATGCCACTTGGTTTATGGAGTCTCTTTCTGCTAAATTTGACATAAAAGAAGTTGGAAACTCTACCAAATACCTTGGCATGGCCACCTCTCAATCCAAGACCACATATACTCTCTCCCAGGCCAATTATGCTGAAGACGTGGTTGCCTCTTTTGGCCAAGCACAAGCACCCCTGTTGGGATCCCCATGGATCCTAGTTTAATAATTGATGATGACCCAGACCCTACAGTGAACATCAAAGAATATCAACGTGGTGTAGGCTGCCTTACTTGGCTAGCCACCAAAACCCGACCTGATCTTAGCCGGACAGTTGGCGTACTATCCCAATATCACGCCAAACCTACCCAAAAGGCATGGCGTGCCCTTATACACGCTATACGCTACCTTAAAGGCTCCATTAACCGACAAATTACCTACCATAAGGCCACGGAACCCATTACATCTGACCTCCTCATGCCCAGATGTTATACTGATTCTGATTGGGGTGGTCAACTGACAGGCAATCGCCGGTCAGTATCTGGATATATATTTCTGCTTGCCGGGGCCCCAATTGCCTGGAAAAGCCGCAAGCAAACGTCCGTTGCACTTAGCTCCAACGAAGCTGAGTATATGGCTCTAAGTGAAGCCAGCCGAGATGCCCTTTGGCTCCGGAACCTCATCAACGAGCTCAACGTGCTCCCTACTGAATGCCCGCCAATTACTCTCTATATCGATAATCAAGGTGCACACGCCATGGCTGAAGCTGAGCTCACCACCAAGAGATCCAAACACATCGATATACGTTACCATTACGTTCGGGAGAAGATCCAAGACGGTATTGTTAAACTCCAGGCCTGCCCTACCAAAGAACAAGCAGCAGACGGCCTGACCAAACCTCTCCGAACTGAACAATTTGATCATTTCCTACAACTCACTGGCATAAGCTAAGCCGCGTATATCTCCCCCATTTTGGATATATTTTCTATTTTGATATACGGCATTCGATTGGCTAAAGCAGAACCTTCATTCCTCTGTTTATTTTTGCATATATTCACTCATTTGAAGGCCCGAATAGAGGCCGATTTCTGTATTTAGATTGATTCCATAGTTTGTAGGCTGCTCGTGCGTGGGGGGGTGTTAGTACACGTGAGGTTCTGCCGTCCTAGACCGCCCTCGCTACCTATCTCACGGCACAGGCAGGCCTACCTAGTAATACGACCATACATGCGCCTATCCATTAGATTCGCCCCGCAACAGCCCCGTGCAGCGCGATGATGCAACTACTCCTCCGTTTTCAGCTTCATCTACGGAGCATGGATTCTTAGATAGTTAATATCTAGATACTATACTTCCTTGCATCCGGAGCAATCCGGCATTTTGAGTGTCCGGACGCTGTTACATTATTGTCAGGCATCGGATCTACTGGCAACTAGGAACATGAGAGAAGATATCTGGTATCCGTCAGGCACAAAAGGGCATAATGGGTCTCTTTAGGTAGATAATTCTGCGATTAGACAATTAAGAAAAGAAAAACGCACACAGGAAGGAAAACCGCGACAAAGACAGTCGGAATAGGAGGGTTCACTAAAAAGTATAGTCAAAAAATAAAAAATAGGAAGAATACCCCCAAGCACGGAACGGGAAGAATGAAGGTGTAGACTAGGCAAAAGTATACATGAACGAGAAGTGAAAGATGGGCTCAGGAGATTTGAACGTGAGAAGTATTGCCATCCTCGGCCGCCGTATCGCTTTGCAGCGATGGCAAAGAAACCCAGAGCAACATGTCTGAGAGCACAATCGAAGCAGAGCAGCCGCTCTCCTTGCGCTCCAATCCATCTCCTGCTTCAGGCCCATCACGCAGTAATCTTGCTAAAAAACTTCTTTTTCTTCAGTCCCACCCAATTAAAGATACGAGTCGTTACCAGAAGCACATACGAGAAAACGACACGAAAAGAGCGTTGGAGGTAAGCGACCAACAAACACAAGAGATATGGAGAAAAAAGAAGAGGGGTTCAGTTAGAGAGCGCTCGGGTCAATTCAAGGTCGTGGAAAATAAGCATAGAACCGACGGTGTCTTCTCAAAGACAGCATAAATGTGCATCTGGGATCCGATCAGCTCATTCGCACCAGAGCAGCTTCTGGCGTCCGAATTATTCAGTTCTAACGAAGAGAAAATCCCTTCCTCCTGGCCTTCTCTTCGATCGACCTGCCGCTTTCGAGACGGGCCTTCTTGTCTTCCAGCTCTTGGCGTTGCCGCTCCAGTTGGTCTTTCATCTCGCGATGCCGAGCGTACAGTTCGTCTTCGCTGAGCTTCAGCTTGCTCTCCTTCTCTGATACTTTCTGCTGGAAGACCATCTTCATCTCGACCTCCATCTTTGCCAACTTCTGCTCGTGCAGCGCGCGCTCCTCCTCCTGTTTAACTGCAGGGTTGACCTCCTTGAACACGCTTGGATCCTGAGCGACGCCCATCTGGGTAAGCTTATCGGATCGGTAGTTCTCGTACAAGAAGTTGTTGGTGTGTTCCTTGAGCTCTTCCATGTGAGTGCGGATAAGCATCTGACGCAGCTTGACAAAGTCACAGTGCTCTTCATTGTCGACCTCAATAATACCCCAAGGATAATGACGGCCGCGGACTTTACGGCCATCGGCTGTTGTGACCTCGGTATTGGCACCAACAACGGCAAAAGGAACCTTTGACATGATTTCCTGGTTCTCCGCAATCGTCTCCTCATCATCGAGTTCATAACGAGGGCCCTCGAAGATCTGGATGGAGTGGTGCTGGATGTCGGCGAGAATCTAAAAGGAACAATAGGTCAGTATAGTGTTTGCGAATCCGTAGTATATTCGGGTCTCATACTCGCTGCTTGAAGAGGGCGACCTCCTCATCCGTGAGAGTATCGGCCTTGGCAATTACTGGGATCAGGTTGACCTTGGTGTGCAACCTGCGCATGACCTCAATATCAAGCGGCTTCAGGGAATGGCCTGTGGGCTGGATGAAGTAGACACAAGCATGTATACGGTTGTCGACAATGTTTGTGCGGTTGACTTTATTCTCTGCCTCCAAATAGGCATCAAATCTCTGCTCGATATTCTCCACGATTGGACGCCACGAGTCGTCATTGTTGACGAAATCTCCAAATCCGGGGGTATCAACCACAGTCAAACGAAGACGCACGCCATTCTCCTCAATATTGGCGCTGATAGATTGGATCGAAACAGTCTTAGGGATGATGTCGTGGCTGGGGCCAGTACGCTCCTTGGGGGGATAGAGAGACGTGTTGAACAAAGTGTTCACGAGTGTCGACTTTCCGAGTCCGGATTCACCTGAAAATACCAGTCAACAACTTGTATCCCACGCTTTCGTACCCGTTTCCGATGTAGCTCAAGGGATGCTTACCGACAACCATTACATTGAAGTTGAACCCTTTGCGAACACTCTTGCGGTGCCATTGGTTAGGCAGATTGGCAAATCCGACGTAGCCAGTCAACTTCCGGCGGACGACGTTCTTCATATCCGTAGCGGCCAGGGCCACTGCCTTGGGATCCTTGGAGCTCACGGTCTGGGCACCGCCACCCATTGGGTTGCTGAGTTCAACCAAAGGAGAACTGGGCTTGCTGCTGGGCGCAGGAGAAGCGGCCGGAGAAGCGGCCGGGGGAGCGGCCGGGGGAGCGGCGGACGGTAGAGGTGGGGGACCAGTGGTAGTCGTAGTAGCTGCTATAATATCCGAACCAGAGTCAGTGTTGTTCTCAATGCTGTATTCCTCGCTTTCGAGTGACACATGTCCCAGCGTTGGGGAATAGGACGAATGGCTATCGGGTCTGGAGAGTCTGGATGAGGAGATAGACGGGGCCAAATTGCCAAGCTCCGCATGCAAGCGGACGTCTCCCATTCGATGTGTAGGATGTGACATGATGCCTTCTATCACCATCTGGTCCAAGCACGAAGGCGCCGGAGGGAAAGAGAGGGGTAAGAAGTAGACGGCCGGGGCTGATACAAGGAGTAGAAGATGGCAAAGTCACAGCGACAGGCTTACCCATTCTGAAGACAGATAGTGTAGTATATGTCCGGGAAAGCGAGCGTGGGAGGAAGGCGAGGTAGCGAATGCGCGAGGAGCAACTTCCCCTGAACGGATGGCCCTTGCCTCGTTAGCAACTTTCCGTGACGGAGGCCGAAGAAGGAAAAGAGGAGCAGAACGAAAGAAGGAGAAGAAGAATAGGAAGGGGGGGAAATATAGAAGGCGCGAAAAGGAAGACAGAAGAAAGAGAAGAAGGGATGGAAGCAAGGAAGTGTTGCTGCAGGTCAGAGTTCCAGGTGTCATTTTATTTACCTTAATTACTTTTTTTGACAGGGAGAAAAAGGGTGAGTTCCGGTCGGTCGGTCACGAGCGAGGGGATAACTGGAACCACAAACTCAAGCACAGCTTGGGATAAGAGGGCGTGTGGAAGAGAAGAGAATCAAAGAATAATGATTGAGGAGGTCAAAAGAGAGGAAACGAACGGGGGAGTAGGACCAGGACAAGGGGGGCCTGCGGAGTGAGACTGTTGGAAGCCAGAACTCGAAGGCCGCTGGAAAGGGGGGAACTACGGAGAACTAACGCACAGAACAGCATGCAGTTGGGCGTTTAATAATTATAATTTATCACTACCCTCCCGCTGCTGCTAGCCTCGTGTAATAATAGTACTAGGGCTGATCTTGTTGTATTGGTGTAGTGTTCTCTGCCGGACAAAAGCAGAGGGAATTCATCCATGGAATGGGTTTTGTCGACATAGCATCATGATTATATATATGATTTCCCCGTTGCAGAGACACAACGCCTATCCACACAAACCAGCAATCACCGTCATGTCTGACATGTCAACCCGGCTATATTTGGCATGATACTGCAGCTAAGACGCAGCCGAGGTGCAGTCCGATTATATGATATGGTCCGACTATTCGCTCGGATATCGCAGTCAGTCGAGGGTCCATCTGCATAGCGAACTTGACTTCCATTGTTATCCAAGGTTATCACTGTTTTCCCGATTCCTTGCATCGTTAAGTGAACTCTGCTGAGGCTTAATCGGAAACTGCCAAGTCGAGATAGAAATATAGTGCTTAGTAAGGAGCCAGGGGTAACTCGGTAGTTAAACTAAACAGCGGTTTGAAACAGAACTTATGACGATCACCGAGCAAATAGGAGAAGCTTCACCGTCCAGCTCTCCCTGAGAATATCCTATAATATTGATAGAACAAAGCGCAGGGACAGAGCAGAGCAAGGATAAAAAGACGTCGCAAGGGAATTTTTATTGGCAAAGCTTATTCCTCCTGGTCATTGCTCAGGCTTCTTCAATTCCACGATATCTCCAAGAAGTATTATGGAAACATATATCATGATTTATTTTGGCAAGGACTCGTATTAATACAAATGGCCGCGTTCTCCTCGTAGAATATAGAAGACTACTTCCCAACCTTCGATTTCTTCTTGGGCCGCTCCTCTTCCTCAGAAGCTTCTTCTTCCTCTTCCGAAGCGTCCTCCATCTCGTCGTCACTTCCTCCACTGCTCTCATGTGCAGAGTCGTATTCTTCCGCAACTTCCGATTCTGATTCCGCTTCAAAGTCCTCGTCAACAGATTCTTCATCTTCGTCTGCGGAACCGCGATCAGCTCGTCCGCCGTCCTCGTCGCTGGTGTCCATATCGTCGTTATCCAGTGCGGCCGCGATAAGGGCAGATGCCTAGTACAGCAGGTCAGCTCGATATCAACTCGCACACATAGCTCGTGAAAACTTGAAGCGGGACGTACGTCATCTGCCATCTCGTTCTTGAACCGGATATTCTTGGCCTTGAAGAACTCCTCCAGAGGTTGTTGCTCCTCACTGCGAGCAAGTTAGCTACCTTCCGTGTCAGATAAAACGAGAGAAAGACATCTTTACCGGTTGATATTACTAAACTGGTGCTCTCCCATGCCGCCTTTTAGAGTCACCGTGATATCGAACGTTCTGCTAGCTGAGACGGCACCACCAACACGAGACATCGTGATGACGGAAATATTCTCGATTTGAACGTAGGTCGCAGGCTTGGGAACAAAAATCAAGCTCTTGTCCAGGAAGTACAAGAGACCTTCGTTTGCTTTGATGGAGCACTTGACGCCGCTATGGCCGTGGTGGCTGTAGGAATGAAGTTAGCTCGTTTCGCTTTAGCAGCCACAAACCGTGAAACCAGAAATCCATCAACCGACCTGACAAAATCTTTAGATGGCATAATGACTTTCTTCCCTGACAATCCGCGGAAAATCTTGGTGATAACCTGGTGGATAGGCTCTTCATAACGGGGCTCTAGTTTGTCCTTATACCGGGTCTCCAATAACTCTCTAGACAGGAAACGATAGTCAGTTGACCATCACTATAATTGGTACCTCTAGAAACTAACTCGGTCATGTTGAGCTCCAGGCTAATTTCCTCGTCCAACTTCAGCTGCATGACAAGGAAAGGATATCTCGTCTGACCCTGTCGAAGAGGAGGATCCAGACCCAGAACAATAAGCGTATGTGTATCGTCATTCTTAGGGAGCAGGAAGAACTTCTTAATCGAAGCGTATTGAATCTTGTAGTCGTACGTCTTTCCTCGTAGCCGGAAGGAAGATTCGTACATGTCGATATCGAAACGACCTCTTGAGAACAAGTTAGTATATTCCCGAAAAGAGGTATTTCTTTAACAAAGACTTCATACCTAGGTGTGAGATGGAGGACATCCAAAAATGTAGCGAATGTGTCGCCAGCAACATATCCAATCTCGGCTTTATCCATAAGCGTCTCATAGAAAAGATTTGCTGCATTCTGTTCCTCTCCTTCCTCTTCTTCTTCGTTTTCATCCTCCGCGCCCTTTTCTTTCTTCATAACCGTCCCTGGAATGTAGAACCTCATTTCAACCAGCTCATCAGGGCCAGCAGCAGCCTTCCTGCCACGATTTTTGGTGCTGCCAGCTGGCTGTTTAGCATTCAAGCCATCCGCGGTGAGTGCAAACTCAACCGCAACTTCATTCTTTCCCGCGAGATTTGTATTCGAAACTTCGGAGTAAGGGATCTCGAACGCCGGCCGGTTTTGGACATTGAAGGCAAGTTCTGCTTTCGTGAACTCTGCCTTGCCCCAGTTCCAGCCACGAAGGGCATGCTCTTTGTTCTCCACATTTATGCCATACCAGATTTTAAAGGCTTTACTCAGCCGGTCGAAATCCTGCAGTTGAACCGTCATGTCAATAGACCACTCCTATCAACCACCACCTGAGCTCGCGGGCACATACCTCTTGATCGAAGCCATCCAGTTGAATGACACCCGAAGAGCGCGATAGAATTTTCAATTCATACCCTTTCGCTGCCCTGCTCCACTGGGCTGCGCCCACATTGCTGCTATCGAGTGTAAAGGTATCGCCTCCCCCAGCAGGTCGCCAGCCTAACCCACTTTCGGCGATCTTGCATTTTCCGGGTTGTCTCGAAAGATCGAGGTATATATTATCAAAGCTCTCCCTGCGGAACGAAAGGGTAATTCAATCAGCCTAGGTCCATATGAAGCAATGTTGAGAGGCAGCGCACATTTTGCAGGAGGCTTTGGAAGAAGCTGTAGAATAAAAATCAGGCGCAGATTTGGTTGAGTAGAGCCGATACTAAAGGTAAAAGCGATCACAGCAGCCGAGTGTATGGAGGTAAATACAAGTTCTTTGAGAGATTGACGGACAAGTAGATACTGGAGCTTGAACTTCCAAAGTTTCGCGTTTGCGCGCGGCTGTGGTCTCAGCGCGGCAGTGAAGCTAATCTATTCTTGATATGGCTTAGCGTCTGCCTCATACTATTTGATCACGTGTTAAGGTGAGAGTTACATAATACATACAGCGAAGTTAAAGGAGGGACTATTACGCGGTAATACGCTGTAGATCTCTGGCATTGTTTCAAAAGAATGCTGGAGACAGCATGGAGGAGTTTCAAACTTGGCTGAAGGCCGTATATGCTGGTCCTGGTTGGATAAATTAAATAGACCGAGTGACGTTTCATAGAACTGAGCTTATAGCGAAATCGATAGTAATAACACAGAAGCCAAGGATCATCTATGACCGTTGACTTCATTATTTTTAGGGCCTTATGTATGCAGCACTTTATACGAAAATAAATAAATAAAGATTGGTATAGCAGCCCAATTTTCTGGAAATTCAACCTCGAGCTATGGTAAACAGGCAGAGTGATGTTTTGTTGCCAGTTTCACTGTTGGGGGAGAGCTCCCACGCAAACAGACGACAGAACGAGGAGATTCAACAGCATCTTGAGAACAGGCACGGTTAGCAAACGTAAGATTTAGATTGAGTTGTTCTGGTGTTCTATCATTTTCTCAAGGGGTTGTTGGTAGATATGTCTCGTGTAGAGTTCTAGACAACCCGAGTATGGTACTATGGTGCGCGGGGACCTCTCGATTTCTTCGAGGATGGGAACTCGACATACGATAGATACTATTGATATGCAGCTACCCATGGATTGTCTCGGATAAGCGAACGTGATTTGTCTGTGGTGTTGGCGTTCCTGACACCAACAGCGAGCGTTGGACTTTGGGCACAGATAGGCCGGTGCCAGTCAGATTGTACATGAACAGTCAACAAATCGCGATAGTAATTGTCGTATAGCTGTACAGCATCAGAATCACCGTGCCGACGAGGCTGGCCCAGGATGACGCGGATCGGAGCTGCCACACAAACACAGCCCGGCGATCAGGTGCTGTCGGGACGGAACAACACTTCCCCATCAAGGTTAGCGGCGTGCTAGCAAAGGCCGTCCGCAGCGTCATTTTATTATTGGCACTGATCCTTCGCGCAGCCAAAGGGGCTGAACTTCTCTCCTGCGAGCCCCTGCCATGTCACTCTCTCGCCATTCAGACATAATCCTCTCTTCGGCCATCCTACCATAGTCGCTCCTTATTCTTCTTTTCATGTCATCCTGTGGGCTCTGACACCTACATCCCATCTTCCGCTCATTCCAGTTGCTGTTTATTGTTGTCTGCCTTCTATCCCACGTTCTTTAGCTACTCGTCTCTTTTCTCCCCCCATTGGTACATACATATCTGCCTCCTTCTGTATATGGATCATCGCTATTTTCTGCTTTATCTTCGTTCGACTCATCCCATTGCTTCAGGGTGTTAATAATAATCATAATCTCAGTAATATCGGTTGGTGTGGGAAACAGAGTGTCCAGGCTTGCTGTTGGCCTCCTGAGCAATGAGGACTTCCTCAATGTTTAGACATGCTGCGGCTGGCTTCTCGACCGTCCCCTGGATCTGGCCCCTTCTACCGGTAGCGAACGCACTTTCATTCACCTCTGTCTCGCAACCCGATCTCGACCTCTCCTCGCTAGGACGAGTTACGATCGTCGGAAACTTCGATACCGCGTCGCTCTATTCGTATACAGAACAATCCGGGGCGTATACTGTCAACAATGGTTCTCAATCGCTTTTGACTCCTCTTCCGAATGGATATATCGCGGATATCTCTGCTGCAGATTCGCGTATTGTCACGCTATGCTCTTTGGCAGGAGACAACGGAACGAACCCTGACATCTTTGTTGGTGGAAGCTTTACAAGTCTAGGTGGCGTTGAGTCTCGGGGCATTGCGCAATTCAATCCGAATTCTGGAAAGGTGACCGCGATACCGGGGCTTAATGGTTCCGTGTCGGTTCTGTTGTGCGACCAGGATACAAACAGTGTCTACGTCGGTGGTGACTTCAAGCAAGGCAGTTCCTCAAATGCGATTGTATGGAATGCGGATCAGGGCTGGTCAAATCTGCCATTTGACGGTTTCAATGGGCCAGTAGCCTCGATTTTGAAGGAAACTAGCAGCCATATTATTTTCGGAGGTTCTTTTGATGGCCTGGGTAATTCCACTTCGTCACGAGAGAAGAGCCAACAGATTATAAACCTTCAGAATGCCACCATCTCTTCTGACGCGAATTCGGCGTTGAGTGGCTACCAGGACCCTCATAACATCATATGCCAAACTACAGGCGAGGATGGTCCGGGAAAGACGTGGCTTCTCAACGACTACTCTCCCGGATATTGGCGAGCGGAAACACGATTTGGCTTCCGGCCAACAAAGCTCCGTTTGTACAATACTCACTTGGATGGGAGGGGCACCAAGTCATTTCTGCTCAGAGCACTGCCAGATAATGGAATTATGAACCTTACCTATTCGGACCCCAGCTCCGGCAAAGACGTTTTTTGCGATGCCATATGCCCTCTTTCCGACAACTCGAGCGAAATCTATCGCGACTTCAAATTTGTCAATAATATCGGAATGGGTGGTATTCAAATTGAGATATCAGACTGGTACGGAACTGGCGCCGGCCTTGATGGAATAGAACTTTTTGAAGACGGTGAGTACCAATACTAAAAGGGCTTACGGGAATGAGGATTTACTGATTGTTCCAGAAATTATGACATACGCAATCAACGGCTTCAACGAACCGGCCTGTGCTGGTATCGACTATCGCTCTGCAGCCACTCAGCAGGGCTCGTGGACCGTGACCACAGTTCCGCAGGGCCAGTCTGATTACCTGACTGCTCAAGTCACTGACTCCAATGCGGCTAGTACTTCTGTCACTTTCGAACCTAACATCAAACAGTCGGGTAACTACTCGGTCATTCTATATACACCTGGCTGCATTCAGGATGGAACCTGCAATATGCGTGGCATCGTCAATGTGACAGGGACATTCTCCAACTCCGAATCTGCGAAACCTATCCAGGCCGATATCTATCAAACTAACTACTACGACAAATATGATACAATATACACTGGCCACGTCGATGCCAGTAGCAGCTCCTTTCGCCCCCGCGTGACCTTGAAAAGATTAGCCGGACAGGGAGACATTTCTATCGTCGCTTCTGTGGTTAGGTTTGACTTCATATCTGCAACAGGCGGCCTGAATGGCTTGTACGATTACAATCCTTCTGCCGTGGACAATAACAGCAGCGATTTTATTCGGTCACCGGTTGACAGGGCAGGGACTCAACTTCGTGCCGGGGCCTCGATACTAAAATTAGTGCAGAATGATGGCGTTTTATACGCTGGTGGAAACTTCTCGGGTTCAAATATCCATAATATAATGTCCTTCAGCGGCGGAAATGCCACAGCGTTGCCTCAAGGGGGCTTGAATTCTGAAGTGAATTCAATGTTGGTCTCTGACAATCTTCTGTATGTCGGAGGAAGCTTTACTGATACGGCCGACGGTGGGAACGACGATATGAAACACATCGCAGCCTATTCCTTTACTTCTAGATCCTGGTCGCCACTGGGAGGAGGTGTCAATGGTCCTGTCAATTCAATCCTTTCATTCCCTTTGAACGTCTCGTCAGAGATCAATGAGACTACCATTGCAGTGAGCGGTGATTTCGATCAGATTCTTGCCTTTGGTAATAATACTTTCGCTTCTGTCTCGGGGTTTGCCATCTGGGTCCCATCACAAAAGAATTGGTTACAGAATCTGAATGTCAGTCAGTCAGGATTTGTCGGGCAGTTGACCGCGATGCTCAGTATGAATGATACGAATATCCTGGCCGGTAATCTTAGCTCGGATGGCCTGGTTAGCAATGGTGCTGTGTCTCTACTCTACTCGAATGGTCTGAGCTTGAGCCCATTTTCGACAGGGTCTGATAAAATCAAGGAAGGAGGTGAAATATTTACTGGTATTGTTGACGAAAGCTCTGGATGCAATTCAACTATCCTTGGCGGTCACTTCACTGCATCAGCTCTTAATGGGTCCACTGTCGAGAACCTTCTTATACTCAACGGGAAAGACGCCTCTGCTACTGGACTGGGGACGGAAGTCAACAGCAATTCTACCTTTTTGGCTCTTGCAGTGGCGAACAACACCCTCTTTGCCGGTGGAGTTGTCACAGGTTCCGTGGGCGAGTCAGCGTTGAATGGATTTGTTCTGTACGATCTTAGCAGTGGCCAGCTTGTTGAAAACCAGCCTCCTTCTTTTCACGGTGACAATGTTTATGTCAACTCCATTGCTGTTCGTCCAGGCTCCACAGAAGTTTATTTTGGTGGTAGCTTCGATGCCGCCGGAGCTCTCCCATGTCCTGGTGTTTGCTTCTATGACATGTCTTCAGGGCAATGGAACGGACCTGGTGTGGAGCTAACTGGTACAGTCTTGTCGCTCGAGTGGGCAAGCAATAAGGAGTTGGTCGCCGTTGGTAACCTTACTGTTTCGAACAACCAAACGGCCGTGGCGACTTACAACACAAAGTCTCAAACTTGGTCCTCTTTTGATGGTGCCTCGTCAGCTAATATTCCGGGTACCGTGACTGCATTTACACCTGCGAGAGAAGATGTGTCAAATTTCTGGCTTGCAGGCCAGTCCTCTAATGGCTCAAGCTTCCTCGTTAACTATGATGGGTTCAGGTTCCAGTCTCCCGGTAATCTTTTCGAAGATGGGACAACCATCCGTGGTCTGGAAGTTCTCACCACTTCGAAAAGCCATGGCAGTACACCTTTCCTTGACGACAACCTTGTTCTGCTTGTAGCTGGTCAGCTGGTTATACCAAATTTTGGTAATGCCTCTGCTGCTCTGTTCAATGGCTCAACCCTCTCTCCTTTCATCCTTACGGCGTCTTCCAATGGGGAGCCAGGCAGCATAGCTCGGGTGATCACAGAGCAGAAAAACACATACCACGAGGGCAAACATCACCACTCAAATGGTATCGTTGTTTTGGTATCTTTCTGTCTCGCCCTTGGCTGCGTCTTCCTCATCGTCGTTGCCGGAGTTATCTTGAACAAGATCCAGCGTCGTCGCCAAGGCTACATGCGTGCCCCACAAAGTTATGGAACAGATCGACGTCCCTCGGCCATGAATCGCCTACCCCCAGAGTATCTTTTCAATTCTTTACAGCAAGCCCACCCAGGTGCTCCGGCCTTATGAAACGAACGTCTTATTTGACCACTGTCTGTTTAATCGGGTGGGAATGCGATCTACGACTCCTTTCCGTTTTCTTTCGAGCCATCTTGACGTGTTGAGAACCGTCTTTTTTGATGGAGCAGTACATACTATACCCGATTTTAATGCTCTTCATACGTTTATTTGCGTTGTTTTATGCTCCTTTTTTATCCATCGTCGTGGCCACATTTCTAGCTTCTGCAGCGGCTTTTTGCTTCCCCTATCGAAGGCAAATATTCTCTTTGCACTACTCTTAAAGTCGGACGGGTTACTGTATCATATCCTGCGATCTGAACGGCTCTATCATTTGTACATCACCTTATGGAGTGAAAATGTAAATAGCCGTGCGATTTTCGGCGATGAAGCATGATGCATTGTCGATAATTTACTACACAATCTTTCGTGTTCTCGTTTAGACTGTAGCAAGCAGGCGGCTAGATGCTTAAGTATTGCTTCACCTTCAAGTAATTATAAGATAGACTTCGGATTTACTTCTAGTCGTCGATATTTCATAGAGCGAAAGCCTCCCGAAAGATTGTTATTAGCAAGCACATATATAATGTAAGCAGGTCGGGACTCTTGTTATCTATACGCAAAGACAACCAAAAGCTGTGTAAGGACATTAAAGCAATATATCAAGTAGCAATGCGGCATTCACATTTTCCGGAGCCTTTTGGATGTCCTTCTCGTCGTGATGGTCTGCGGGGATCGAATGGTGACATCGCCCTTCCTCTTCCCCTTCTTTTCCCTCTCTCCATTCTCATAGGCGTCTCTCTCATCCTCATTTAACTGTTCGTTCACGGTAACAGCAGTATTCACTGCCTCTGTATGAATATGGACCTCCTTCTCTTCTTCCTTGACAACCATGTCGACCTCCTCGACTTTGGTTTTCTTTTTGGAAGTACCAGTAACGAGTCTGTCCGAAAAAGCTCTCAGATCCGCCGTGAAAAGCACGCTGTGAGCCCAGCCGGCTTCTTTGCCCCATAGTTTGCGAAAATGGTTGCCGACAGCGTTGTAGGTAGCTTTGGTTAGGGACTTATGGGTTCCTTTGCCGAATTTGTAGTCTCTTTGGGCGATCTGCCATACTTTCCATGTAACGCACGGATGTTAGTTTTCGTCCGCTCATGTATATGTTACATAGTAATGGACCTCTCGGGCTGTGCCACAATGGAAAAAAGGAAGATCGCTCACCATGCGTGTCAACGGGAACCGCCTCCCCCCAGCCCAAACCCATCAAACAAACACAGTCTGCAACTTTGGGGCCGACCCCCTGTAGCTCAAGCAGCTTCTCATGAGCTTCGCGGTAGCCCTCTCTTCCCTCAATTTTTATTTTACCTCCCGGTACCGGATTGGTACCGAAAACCGGACACTCGGGATTTCGCAAGCTATCAAGCCAGCCTTCCTCTCGTTCTCTGGCCACAATCAGGGCAGTTTGGTAAATATATTTAGCACGATATCCAAATCCTAGATTCCGCAGGCTCATCTCGACGCCCTCGCTAGTTAAGGACTCGGGGGACGGGAAATCGTGATAGACACGGCCATCCATAGTCCCGATGAAAGGCCCATAATTGACGCATAGCTTCTCCACCATCTGTGAGATGCGTGAAATGTTATTGTTACTGCTGCAGATAAAAGATACAAGCGCTTCCCAGGCATCTTGGCGTAGGATTCGGATGCCAGTAAACTGGGGCGCTTTCTTCCTGAAGTTTGGGTCCTGGGAAGACCATTGAGAATAAAGATCGGTGAGGTTTGAAGACAAGTTGAAATAGTGCTTTATTAGAGAAAGTGTATCGTCATTGGTATCGTTGGCATCACCGTTGTCTGGCGACTGCTCCTGAGACTTGCTGCCTGCTCGCGGAGGGGCATGCGAGGCCAGAGGTGTTAGGAGAGGGAGATTAGATGGGCGATAAGATCTATAGTAAAGATAGCTTGAGTCCTGCTTCAAGGATACTATGCGACCATGTAACACACATCTCCATTCATCGGTGCCGGGAACGTTGTGCCATCTGGTGCTTGTTAGAATTGACTCGAGATTACAACGGATGTCCTTGAGAACAGAGCCGAACTCACCGGAATGATTGGCCACAACGCAAGGTGGTGTTAATGCACAATTCGCCCAGACTTACTGGTAGCTTTTGCCATTCCGAAAATACCCCAATGGACATTATACGAGGTACGTAATGGGCAAAATGGAGAGACGAAACTGAAGCTATTCCCAGCTTCTGCGGCGATTGTTACAATAATTCTGCCGACAATATCGAAGGCGGTGGACTCTCCGCAGCCCAACAAGCGCGCTAACCACTTCCAGATTAGCCGCAGCCGCCTTTGAGCTCAGCTTCTTCGCCGATTCGGGGCTTCTTCACCTGCGATCTTGTTCAACCGTTTTCCCCAAGCCAATTTATCCTGCACCGTGTGAACGGCTTTCTTTCTATTATTTTACTTGTTAGCTCTACTTGTTAAGGCTGCTCTGTCTGTGCATTTACAATCTGGGGATTCCACGCTTCTGAGGTTGTACGCGACTGTTTTATTTGCCACGGGGAAAAAGTTAGTTGGAAGTTCAGTATGAACGGAGATATTTACACTGCCAGAGGTAAGCAGTTTAATGACACGAGTTATTCTTATTATAAATGGCTAATTGATTCTTGACTGCAGAGTCTGGCCGCTCCAGAGACTACTACGTGAGTGGTTCATTACGCGCATCGTTACTTTTGTGAAGCTATTTCCCTTGCGAACTGACACAATGCTCGATAAATTTTAGCGAGAAGAACGTCGAGAGCGCGCAGAAGCTCGCGAAAGAGGAGATCGCAGACGATCGAGGTCGCCCCACCGCAGCTCTAGATCTTCCCGCCGCGAGCATGAAGTAGACTCATACTCATCAAGTCGCGACTACCGCGCGAGAGAACGGGAGGATCGTTACTCTGGTCGGAGGGATGAACGGGAATGGGATCGAGACAGAGGCGATCGTCGACGAAGGGAGCATGAAAGGGATAGGGGTGATCGGCCATCTCGGCGGGACAGAGACTTGTTCGACGAGAGGCCTAGGCGGGATGGCAGAGATCGTGATCGAGGTGACCGCGAACGCGAGCGCGACCGTGATAGGCGAGAACGAAAGAGGAGTCTGAGTCCCAGTTCGCGGAAGAGAGAGCCTACTCCGGATTTGTCCGACGTGGTGTCGGTTCTGAATCGCAAACGACGCTTGACACAGTGGGATATTAAGCCTCCTGGTTACGAGAATGTCACGGCAGAACAGGCTAAGCTTTCAGGTAAGCCTAAGAGATTTCATTCTCTTCTTTAAGTATAAGTGTCTAACTCGCCTCCTACTGCAGGCATGTTCCCTCTTCCCGGAGCACCTCGACAGCAGCCTATAGACCCTACCCGTCTCCAGGCGTTCATGAACCAACCAGGAGGTTCAGCTGACAACTCTGTCCTCAAGCCGTCAAATTCTCGTCAGGCGAAACGTCTTTTTGTGTACAATGTTCCGAAGGATGTAACGGGGGAGAAGCTCCTGGCATTCTTCAATCTTCAGCTCAATGGCTTGAATGTCGTGACAAGTGTCGATCCTTGTATTTCGGCGCAGATATCCGACGACAAATATTTTGCCTTGCTGGAATTCAAGTCACCTAATGATGCTACTGTTGCCTTGGCATTTGACGGTATCACCATGGAGGAGCATGAAGCTGCTGGTAATGGAGATACAGAGAATGCACCCAAGGGTTTAGAAGTGCGACGACCCAAGGACTATATTGTCCCAAGCTCCACAGACCAACCTTATCAGGAGGGTGTGCTACTGAATGAAGTCCCGGACTCCCCCAATAAGATCTGCGTGTCGAACATCCCTCACTACATCCCGGAAGAACCCGTTACAATGCTACTCAAGTCGTTCGGTGAACTGAAGTCATTTGTTTTGGTTAAAGATAATGCAACTGAAGAGTCTAGGGTGAGTGCTTTCCCTAAATGAGAACCATACACCCCTCCAATGGACTTCTGACAAAAACAACAGGGCATTGCGTTCTGTGAATACGCAGATCCTTCGGCTACCAGCATTGCTGTTGAGGGGCTCAACGGCATGGAACTGGGTGATAGACATCTTAAAGTTACTCGTGCCAGTATTGGAATCACCCAGGCAACTGGCTTGGATATGGGAGTCAATGCCATGTCGATGTTCGCAAAGACAACTTCCCAGGATCTCGAAACTAGCCGGGTATTGCAGTTATTGAATATGGTGACTCCCGAAGAGCTCATGGATAACGACGATTACGAAGGTGAGAAGCGCCCGTTGAATATGTACCCTTTCACTTTCTTCTTACCAGCTGCGGGATTCTAACGAGGCTCCTTTATAACAGAGATCATGGATGATGTTCGTGATGAGTGCTCGAAATACGGCACCATCCTTGAATTGAAGATCCCACGTCCAACAACTGGCGGCAGACAGTCTCCCGGCGTGGGCAAAATCTATGTCAAATTTGACAGCGTGAAATCGGCTACAGAAGCGTTGAAGGCACTAGCAGGGCGGAAGTTTTCTGACCGAACTGTTGTGACTACGTACTTCTCTGAGGTAAGTCTTCTCCTAATGGACCTTTGATTTGAGCCAACCGCATGGAACACATTCTGATTTGGCCATATCTGCAGGAAAACTTCGACGTGAATGCTTGGTAGAAGTAGTTGGTGGTGGTCCACTGGGGGAGCTTGGAACGGTGCTGCTGCTATACGGACTCCTGGGAACTTTTTTTCCTTTTTTCCGAATCTATTATTCCCATACTTAATTGTGGACGCACTCAATCTGGAGTTCTATCCTTTTTGTCTTTCGACGCACGAAATAGTCCATCGAAATCAGAATAACTTGGATGTCCTGACCGCTTAGAGATAGGATTCTGTAAGTGTAATGTACAGTGACTCCGCAAAAGGTTTAACACCCCCTACTATACCGCCTTTCTACACCGCCTAGTTTACCATTTAGAACACCCCCTAATTTTCCTCCCCTCAAACACCCAAAAATCATGATTTAACCATGCCTCCACGGTCAGAGCTTACCCCAGCCCTTCAAGAACGTATATGTGAGCTTCATTCTGCTGTTCACTGGGGATATAAGTGTATCCATAAATGTTATCTTTGGATATCTCTCTCAACAATTCGCTATAAAATCAAAAAGGAGCAAGAATGACAAAATGGTGTATCAAAACCTCAATCTAGTCAGCCAAAAAAACTCAATAATAATGATAAACAACGTCTGTTAACAACAATTGGATAAACTAGATATTAGGTATTTACGACACTTATCTGAGAGCATGCCACACCGTGTTGAGGCTATAATTGAGTCTCAAGGCTGGTATACACCATATTAGATAGTGGAAAATAAAGAGGTTTTGACCGGCAGAATATTAGTAACAAATGGGGTGTGGGGCAAGGGGGTGTTAAAACTTTTGCGGAGTCACTGTACATATTGTATGAATACAAATATATGTTACAATACATATATTACATACCGACTATTACATACAGCATGCAGTTGTAGATCTGAGCTTCAGAAATCTTTCTTTTTACTTCAGGAAAGATGATCAATTAACCGCATGTGAGTTAGCCAAGATAAGTCTTCTCCTACAGATCGGACGTGATAATTTCAAGACACATGATAGACTGGCAGCAACATCACACCGCACTCAGGACAATACATATGATATAATACCACTAAGGCATAGAATATCCATGGATCATTAGGCCCACATGTCATCGGTTCAATCCGTATTAATTAAATTGATGATTTTGTAGAGATAGATGCCCACCATACCTTGCGGGGGACGAACATGTCAGGCGACGAAAATTTCCAATTGCAGAGGTTGCTGTCGTCGCCTTGGTTTCCAGCATCATTGCCATACGCAATGCACATAGATGTTACTTGCAGGTTTATTCGGCTCGTCGATCCGACGTCGCCCATTGAGGTCCGTGGCCTGCTGCATGGATAATTATTACTCAGTCGATCTCTTGAGTCTGACCTGGATAATGATTAGTATTCTGTTGATCTCCGGTGAGGAATCTGGGGAAGGTGGCAAAGATGAGAAAATAAATGCTCCGATTCGAAAGAACGGGCAATATCTGCTCTCACTCCATATTCTGAGTTCCTCACAAGAGTCCTCAGGACAACCTTGGAACATTGAAGGAATTTCTGAAGAATACCCGGAGCACGTGCGAGCCTAGCCAAGTTGAACTGCTTCCTCGGTACAATCTTTGTATACGGAGTCCCTGTATGGAACCCACAATTAAAGTTCAAAAAGTGTTTTGAGATGAGCTTTTGGTTGCCATTCCATTTGTTTCTTCCCTTGCTTTTTGTTTGGTGTCCAAAATAAAATGCCAGCATGAATGACGTATGCAAATCAAGTTGCGAAACATCAGAGCCGAATAGGGTATAGATACATAACGTGACAGAACTTCGTAGAGAAAGGGATCATAATCATATCGTCCAAAATAATCAGTGGTACCAAGAAACAGGCACAAGAATCAATAACAGGGAAAGGAAATCATAAAGCATAACTGTCGTAGGAGGTCACATCTCCAGCTCTACCCCAGGCGATAACTTGGAGCAAACGTAGCCTGAGGATCCCAATCCCGGTCGTAGGGCGAGCTAGGTGAATGAGGAGTGGAAAAGCTCATGAACGGTCGGGAATAGCCTGTCCTTCGTTCAGGGTATCTGTCGCCTATTCCGCGATTTACAGCTTCTCCCATTCTTGCTGGACTTGGGGAGCGGACTTCTGACCTTAACACAGACTTTTCAATCATCTCGTACGGTGACTGAGTTGATATGGCATCCCCAGAGACAAATTCATGACGGCTATTGAATCTGTGTTTGAAAAAGTCGACCCAACCGTGGAACATGGACAGCCGCATCAGGAAAACAGCACACCAGAAACTGACTAGAGACAGAAGACATAGTGCAGCCATAAATGCACCTTCCCCAGGTCCTAGATTTTTTGCTTGGGGGAGGCACTGCTCTTTGTCACCCTTGGTGGTGGCTAAACATAGAATCCAGTGCTCCGCCTCCTTGGAAGGTGTCAACCCGTTTGCGAAGGCAGCATTGTAAGTCATGAAGACAACGGATAAAAGAATCACATGGGCAACCATGACGAAACTCAAGCCAATTCCTCTCCATTGTAATTGAAGGACTTCCCGGATGCGTCGATAGGCATGGCGTGCGGAAACAGTCCGGGTGGTAGCCGTTTGCGAGGGCAGCACAGAACTGGAGTTCTCATAAAGAGATTTGATGTATACGTATATGCAATACGCAACTGTGATGAGCTGGATGGCCAAGGAGATGGTAGAGACGACTATAAGGGGAATCCAGTAATCATGCGAACTGCCACGAGCATTAATGTGGCAAGTTTGGCCAAATCGATAGGAAACGCCGGTTAACCGAAGCATAACAGCTGTATCAGCAGCAATCAACGCTAAACCACAAATAATAGCGACACAGTTGAGTATTGCGCCAACGCGAATCTCCCAGCAGACCTGGAGGTGGAAGGCCACAGTACGGATGAAAGCTTTGAGACTCCTACGTCAGCTCTATACATAAAAGACGATTGGGGCCTTTCAGTTCATACCCCATACTACCAAGCAGCAGCCGCCAAATGCTACTAGTGAGCCCGAAAAAGCACATCCCACATCAGAATACATATCATTGGGGGTGATTTCATTGTGGCACTCTTCCGGTTTTGTACCAAGAGGGATAATGAAGGCCACCTGACTAGACATCAGCAATAAGAAAGTCGTGGGTCATCAGGGCAATCTTACTTGAATGCAGCAACAAGATAATGCCGCGCATATACCAAACCAAGTGCGGTTTGTCCATTTAATGGGAAGTACTGCATAAGTGACTAGTATGAAGACGCATAAGGGCAGCATCGCAAGGCCCAGCCAATTAGCGACCCTGGAATGTCGAACCACGTCTGGAAGTCAACAAGTCACGGTTAGAAAGGGCCTGTTAGCAGCAGTTGTCTACAGTATGACACCTACTATCACCATACACCCATGTCTCTGCCGGGCATGGGAGACAGCAAAATATGGTTCCATTCAAGGTTGTAACAGTTGCACAGTAGCGTCCATCGACAACTGAGATCTTACTGTTAGTCCATCAACGTAAATGAAAAGATTAGTAGAGCGTACATCCACCTGTAGATGGGAACAGAGATTCCTGTAGGAAGGGAACCGGACAAAGCCCATTTAGAGTCTGATCCGCCATGTCTGCTCAGTCATCAATTGGCATGAACTAATCCGCTGTCTTCTCAGGGTACAATGGATAATGGAATTGAAGTTGAAATAGAACGGATCCTTTGCAGCAGGAACGGGGGATTTTGGTAGTTATTCCATGCAGGTCTTCAGGGTACGTGGAACGCCCGCAACAGACATTGACAGCTGCAGCAATGCATGCTGAAATGAACGAGAATACCCCGTTTATATATCAAATAGAATAAATATATACGGTCCCCGCCTATCCACATGCTGAGAAAAGTTTCTTATGCGGGGAAAACAGAAGTTCAGGCACTTGCAGCAGTTTCTGGGGGCCTGACTCCGGATAGACGGGAGTAGGCAGGGGCCCGCCAGAAATATTGCATCTGTAAAGGTTAGAGGCTGTAGTCCAGGAACAGTCATGACGATAGAGCCCATCCTGAACCTACTCAAAGATGCTGATTGGGTTCAGGGGGGAACTGTGGCTGCGAGAGTCAGGTCGAAGTCGAGAGGGAGAGGCTAATTGCTGCACGGTGGACGTTGCATTCCATACGTGACATACCGTATGTACGTTACAATGTATTATATACAGGTTTACCGTACCATACCCATCCGCATTTTCAGCACACAAGATCCATGGATGGATAATAAGGATTTTCTGAAAGGAACAGAGAGAAGAGCCTTCAATTAATTGACATATGTATTAGTTATAACCCCAGCTGATATTATCAGACGCAGAAGGACCCACGCTTGTTGGCTGGCCCGACTAAGCCGGCGTTTCTTCCTCAGGCCAATTGCCCGCGCCGTTTCGTCCATTGCAGTGATCACCGCAGGAATTGGCCCAGTCTCAGTGTGATAAATCCTATTCAGAGAGCGTTGTGATCAATGAATTACTTTATTATAATAGATCCTGTCATCTATCAGCGCCGGCTAGTCCGAATAGGTATCAACATATCTACGTTCTCTCTCGACTCCTTTGGGGAGGCTACTGCAACCATCAAGCTCTACCAATCGACAGGAGCGAGCATGGGCACATAAAAAGGTCACGAAGAGGGGATAGCTGTGTATTGGATATAGGCAAAGTGTGATGTACGCATCTACGAGGGCAACATTGGCCAACTCTGTCTTGTGAACGATAATACTCCAACATGAATTGGATTCATGCTAAACAGTGAATCTAACTTAAGGATGTATCACAACGATGGCGAATAACGCGCAGGTTATGTAAATAAGCCCATCAAAATGTAGCCATGTCATCACAATTGTTGTCGATTGGTGTTTGTATCTTGAGTATTCCTCCAAAAATAAACTGCAGTAGAGTCAGCAAGACTGGAAGAACTCTAGTTGAGCGAGCATTAATATTTAAACACAGAAGCAATCAGAAGTCCATTTAGATCATTGGAGTAACACCAAATAGATGTATTCCTGACATAAGAGGTACCAGAAAAAAAAAGAAAAGGTTGTTATCATCATTTGAGGGAGTGAGTTTAATAGCATGGGAGTACTGACCATCAAGTTATGTATTCTGAGAGCGTTGGTTAGTTGTATCGATCAATACATAGCCCTATATTCCGTACACCACAACATTTAAGATCAACCCGATCCGTGGTGTGGAATAGAAATCTTAAGAAAAGAAGAAAAAGAGAGTTGAAGAGCCGGCGAGAAAATTGTCGGGAAAAAAACCTAAGCGAAAATCCACGGCTCACGTGACCCACACTCCACCTTCCCTCGACGCTTTTTCTCTCCGTGAACTTTTCGCAGCCAACGCCAACTTCAACAAGCCGTCGACAATATCCCGCGCAGGTCACACCACGACAAACAAATAATTCAAGATGGGTCGCCTCCACAGCAAGGGCAAGGGAATTTCTTCCTCCGCCGTCCCCTACTCCCGCAACCCTCCTGCGTGGCTCAAGACCACCCCCGACCAGGTTGTCGACCAGATCTGCAAGCTCGCCAAGAAGGGTGCTACTCCTTCCCAGATCGGTGTTGTCCTTAGGGATAGCCATGGCATTGCCCAGGTCAAGGTTGTCACCGGTATGCTAAACCCATTGCAATATCTCCAGGGGTTCAGTTCGTGCTAGGATGGTGCTAACGGTCATATCAATAGGTAACAAGATCCTCCGTATCTTGAAGTCCAACGGTATGAGACACTACGACTCTTCAATTGCATTAGTAGGATGAGGGAATGCAAGGAAGTTGGAAGATGCGCGGTCGTTGTCGATGGATATTATCTGAAAATGAATGTCATCGGCCCGAATAACGAACTGCGGTCTTCCACAGAATTCCGAAAGGATCTGTGCAGAAATGCGCATCGATCACATATATGCCTCTGCTTGGTCATTACCATAGGCTGACAGAGAGATTTTTTCATCTATAACAGGCCTCGCTCCCGAAATCCCTGAGGACCTTTACTTCTTGATCAAGAAGGTACGTACTAACTCGAATCGTTTTCTCGCATGTCGTAGAAAAAGATGAAAAGAAAGAAGCTCATATATTCTGACATCTTCTGTAGGCCGTCTCCGTCCGCAAGCACCTTGAGCGCAACCGCAAGGACAAGGACAGCAAGTTCCGCCTCATTCTCATCGAGTCCCGCATCCACCGTCTGTCCCGCTACTACAAGACCGTCGGTGTCCTCCCCCCTACCTGGAGGTACGAGAGTGCCACCGCCAGCACCCTCGTCGCATAAGCTTCCTTATATGTGGTTTTCGTGGTGTATTGTGGTTGGATGTCAGGCGTTACTCGTTCTAGGACAAGGATCCCGGACCTCGTCTATAAGAGGCAAGGTTGAGACAGCCATGTTTCTTTGTTCCCACAATCTGGAAGAAGGTTATGTAGGGCATAGCGTTAGGCTACCGAATACATGATTGTCGTCTATCCTTGGCGATGAGAGTCTGATAAACTAGACAAATTTAATGAATATCCATTGACATTCTATCGTTTTGTAATTGACCCATGTTTGCTGGGGTAAATGCTGTACTGTGCCCTCCGAGGATTCCTTTGTTCGTACAACAAGCTCAAAGGCGCCTTAACATCACACAGCTTCCTGCTCTTCGACTGACAGTGGCTTCTACATGCCTTACGGCCTCTTTGACTTGCCACTATCCTTGCTTTTCCCTGTACCTTAACCGTCCGTTCTGTCTGACATAAAGGGCTAGACAAGGGGCCTCAACTGAGGTCAAAAAAGTGACGAGCGTGTAGTCAGTGAATCACTACTACTTCTACTTCTTCCTCAGATCTTCCCTTACCACACCTTAAACAGTCGCTTTCCTCAGCATCCAGGTTTGACTTTCATGATTCACAGATTCAAAACAACCGATTACATTTCACGATGGACCTGTCGACTTGAGTACATGCTGCAGACAATTTAGGTGTCATGTCATCTTTTAGTTCAATAAGACCTACGGAGGCTCATCGAGCGTGGGGCAAAATAGAAGCCTTCCCATCATGGGTCAGTTCACTCGATAAGCACCTCGTCTTCCGGACTTCTGCTATTGCTAATCATCAATCAATACTATACAGACCAGTATCAATGCCCACGAGACGACATAGTTGCAAAACTGGCTGAGCTTCTCGAAGACAAGCGGATTGTCCTCGTGAGATACACGCCTGCTTCGGGTAAATCAGCGCTGGCATATTTGCTCAACCGCTATTGCTCTCAAAGGGGTATACGAAGTGTTTTAATCGACATCTGGCCGCCGCCCGGCGAAGACCGTGGTATCCAATTTATCATCAAGTGCACCCATATGAAAGGCTATACCGATGTCAGTAAGGACAACATCATGGACACGAAACGCATTCTGGATGAAGTGCAGATGTCCTATGATGACCCTGAGCTCTGGTTGTCGTTTACCAAGTTTCGACATGGACGTCTATGGGGCCCCATGATTTGCGCTTCAGCTACGGAAGCCCAGGCTCAGGAAAGCGAGCTTCGGTTTGGGCACTCCCTTGGCAGAGCTAGGTGTGCACAACGGGTGTCAAGCACTCTGTCAGCATAGTGCGACGCCCCATCGAGGGCTCCTTTTTCTAGCCGGGATGAATTTAATGATGTTCTGTCTCGCGTTTGTACCGACTATCGGTGGCTCGCTAACTCTAACCAGATGCTACCGAGTATATATTCAAGCTTTGAACGGCCACCCATATCCATGCTGACGAGGGTGATCTCAGTGTGTTCACCTCATTTGATTGTAAGCTTATTGAATTTTGTCGAACAGGTGTATCGTTCCAGTTTCAAGAGTCGAGCACTCACGTCCATCGAGACAACCCATATTCTCAGAACCTTGGATCGAGAGGAAGACTCAATCATGCGTCTTGCATAAATACCGGTCGCAAGGTGATTTATTAAGCAGAATGACGCTACAGCTGTCCTTAAGGAAGCATTGGCCAGCAACAGCGTAATCCGTGATCTGACCAAGCCCGGAATTCGCGAGTGTTATACAAAAGGATGGCTTCATTCAGAAGCCCGGGATGCTCGCCTGAACAGAGTTTTCTTTCTTTCTTTCTTTTGGTTTTTCCAGCACATCTACATGCGAAGTGGGTTGTCCCCATTCCCGATGTAACTAATATTTCCTATTTTCCAGGTATCTGGAACACTATAACACTAACTCGGGTGTTGCCCCTTTCCCTTTCAAAACATTTCCACTGTTCAAGCCCTCGCGGAAGCCATAATACGGAATTACTCAATAAAAGATTGGCTCAAACACCGTACATATTGGCCCAGGGGCAATAACCAGACCAGTTGAGGATGCGTACCAAGATGAATTCTATCGAGCATTGCATAAGGTCCTTGGCTTTTCAGCAAGGGCACCAAGTGAATGGTCTGGTGACAAAGTGGCAGGATTAATTTCCGGCCCCCAGAAGTGAAATGGGGCATTGGGATATTACGGGATGGGACAAGACTCCGGGACCATTGACAACAATTTGTGGGCTATGGCACTTACACGCGTTGGATTGAGGAAGGCTGGCTGGTAGATTGGTTGATCATCGACTGTCAGACCCCCAAACCCCATCCGTATGGTATGCTTCATCATGTTAATTTTGGGTCAAGTTTACCAGATACCGACAAGAGGCAGATGCTGATACAAAACTCTGATGGGCTGTCTTTTCTGAAGACTTTTCGTCTGGTGAAGTGCTAGACGCTTCTAACCGGCCAATAATCTCCAGATTTGTCTTAATAGCATAAGATATCAATAAGAGGACTCGCTTATTAGAATTGCTTATCGGTGCGTGGATACTTATCAAGACTCGAGAAGCAGGAAATACTTATTAATAATAAGACATGCCAAACTACATATTCCTCACTTATCTCGCAACCGCATTGCAAAGTTCAACCTTGACCCCAGCCCCAAGAAGAATATGGATCCACAGTCTCTGCGTATCGCTCAATCGATCATTCTCCGATTTGACCTCGACGAACATGACTTCCTTCCGGACCACATTCCAGAGAAACAAATCCGGGATCCCACTGCCCCGCTGCTGGTACTCCTGAGCTAGGACTTTACAGATGATCGCCAGAGCAGCTCCATGGAAACATTGCGCTATCTCCACGAGGTCATCGAGTTCAAAGGACCAATCGATGCCAATCACACATGTTCGCCTCGGTGACTCTCGCTCGTGAACAGCCCGGATGATCTTCTCAGTGGCGCCATTGGATATCTCCACGAGGCGATGGTTGATCTCGGATGCTCTGGTAGCATAGAAAGCATCTGTGTGCAAGTCGAGAGGACAGGTCTGGAAGGGTGTCTGGAAGACGTTTGGTACGTATGTGAACAGAATATCGTAGAATAAATAGCCGAACTGGTAATATCAGAGTCAATACCTCTGTTGGCACAGTAAAATAAATGTCTAGTGGCATTGTAAACTGGACTTACCAATGTTCTAACAATGCCATCTTCTGAATGGTGACCTTTCCAACCGTTGACTCTATACCAGCCTAGACACATATTCTCAACCCTGCATTCTTCTCCAGTCCCCTTCTCATCAATCCAGACTGTTGCATGGCTTCGCCTGGATGCAATATCATTACTACGTCTGGGGACGTTCTGGCCCGGCGGATCTTCACGTGCAATCCGTATACCCTCAACGACGCGTTCTTCAGGTTTGGTCAACATGGCATAGCCAAAATCATGCTGCTCCCGCTTGACAACTCTCAGTGACTTCTCAAGTTTCGTGATGCGTTTCTGTAGGTCATAATGGTAGATCAAATGGCATTCCGGATCCTCTAGGCCCTCCTCGCAAGTACGTAATGCAACTCTTTTCCAGTGTTTTCTTTGAGCCTCTTCATTGAGCCCATCAAATGGCGTGAGAGACCACATGTAGTGCTCTTCTAGGAGAGCCTTTCGCTGGTACCATGCTCCACGTCGTGCGGCGTGGAATAAACGCTGAGTAAGCAATTCAGTTAAAATACAATGTTCCTTTTCGTGCTCCTTAAATCGTGCTAGCGGATGGAGACCTTTGTGGATGATCCTTGTATAAACCCAGACTGGAGAAAATCGGCGTAGGTAAGCACCTTCGCTGCGTTCATAGAAGCCTTCTTCCTTTCGCTGCTCCTGTTCGAGCAGGATCTTCCACCTAGAATATACTTTGTCGGCAAGCTCCCTGATCCGCTGTAGCGCCACTGTGGTGGGTGTGCCATTGAATTCGAGAATATTATCTATTTCAAACTGCATCCGTAAGGCAGATTCGAATTCTAACAATGTTGCTCTAGAAGGAAATATAGAACTAGAACGACAGACAACATACTCGGGGAAATTCCTGCGTGACGTTTTTGCAAGAATGATGGCTGTGAGGGACTTCTCAGTCCACTCTGTAGATCTGTAGGAAACCAGATGCACACGCTCAAAAAGGATGCGCGAGCCCGAAGTGAGTCTGATGCAGTCACCTGTATAGTCGAGGATCTTTTGGACCAAGTAACTGTCTCTGCTGGATCTCTGCCCGTCTCCTTTGTCATCATTCCAACTGAGGCCCATCTGTGTTTGGCTAGCCCGTCTGAGAGCCGAAAGAAGCTCCTTCTTGGTTTTACCTTGGACCTTATTCTCTTTCGCAATGACCCTAAGTTCGTCAAGTAATAGCAACGACGACGCCTCTTCTAGGGTCGTGATCTGTCGGATGTCCTCAGCAAATTGAAAATAGCCATCATTGCCCCAACTATTTGCAGTATTCATATCTGTATCTGCAGGATTATCGTTTAATGTCTTTGGACAAACAAGCAGGCTTCGACTGAGCCGCAGATCAATCACGGCCCGAGGCAAGTCTGTGATGTCCGAGTCATAGGCAAGCCGATTGACTCGGTGCCACGCAGACGTTTTCCGAAGAAATAATCGAACATAGCTAGATTCCAACGAGAAGTTGTTAACTAGAATTTCATTTACAACAGAAGAACAGCAATATAGACCACAATATTCCAACATTATAAATGACCCGGAGGATAAAAACGTACAGATACTGTGCCTCATATGACAGACTTCTCCACTGCCGGAAAACTTGTATCTCTGCTTCATCGAAGAGATGAGCCTCTTCAGCAAGGACGGTTTCCAGTGCTAGATTGAAGGCGTCCACGTAGACAGAGCTTCTCCCCTTTCTCCACCTGCCAGCTCGTATTATCTGGTCCAGCGATTGCTCATCCACCTGCTCTTCTAAATAAGCTGCCCCATAGTGTTCAATAGCATATTTTTCCATTCCAATATCTGGAAGGGAATTCTCCAGCTCTGTCTGGCTACTAGAAGGAATTAGCGTTTCATACCTTTCTTCATTGCCATCATATCGCCCAACTGAGGTCTCCGAGCTCTTTAAAATAGCATTGTTTGAGGAAATTCCACTGTGACTTTGGCCGCTCTTATTCCCTATGCCGACATGATCTGCCACCGTCTTTCTGCGTTTCGCCGAAGTGCGCTGGGTCCCCCAGTACTCCAAAAGGGACATACTTCCGCAGGACCATAGATGAAATTCAAAGAGTATCATTGCACTCTCTCAGGATACCGCTGCTGGGCATGAAGTGTTGTTGCCTGTTGCCTCCAAACTGATCTGATGAAGACGTGTCGCGGAGCGGCGCGTGGTCACCTGATTTTAATTGAAGTTTGTGCAGTTTGCAGTCTTCATTCTATTCGGATGAGTGAAGATTGGAAAGTCTCCAGCCAGGACACTCTGGATAGGCACCCAATTCGATCGAATAATTAAGGGACTTCTCTGTTCTGATTATGCCTGGCACTGCTATGATCGCTTAGTGATTATTGATCTTAAGGCATTTCCTACCCTCCTTCCCAGTGAAGAGCCCCGCAAGAGGCTCTGCTGCTACCAGGCTTCGCTCCTACGCAACAACCTCAAGTTTCGTGCGCTCTGGCCGGTCTTGTTTGTCTCGTTCATGCCTTGAATAATACGGATTTCAGCTTACAAAGCTTATATCAAACGGTTTGACGCACTATTTCTGCCTCCAAAATTTCGCTTGTGCCAGCTGTTGCGATCATACCCACCGCATACGAACCGGGTCTACCTGAGGCTGCCCCAAGTACAGCAAAATAAAATTGGAATAATACCATTACAAGCAATGGGCAACGAATCTGCACATACGAATGGAAGTGGCGGTGGCAACACTCCTACAGCGGACGTTCTCAATGTCTCCACAACACAAGTTCGCCCCGGCGGTGCACCCGCAAGAGTGTACTTGAATGAGAAAGTCGTACCGTATTTGCTGGAGGGCATGAAGACCATTACGAATGAACAGTAAGGAAAAAAATTTTTTCTGTCGATCAATCCAGTCTGCCATTGTTACATTTTCGGTCAATTATTGATTATGTCTAATTTCCGTCTCATTTACGTTTCTAGACCTTCCAACCCTCTCCGTGTCCTGGGCGAGTTCTTGATCCAGAAGAGCAACGAGGTCGAAGGTGGCGCGAGCAGCTCGAATAAGTCTCTGAACTAAACAAGAGTCTGTTTCTTGTCAAGGTGTACAGAAGGAAGTCACATAATAGTGAGCCGTCTATATACTTTGATTCTCGAATCGTTCTCCTCAACTTCTCTCTTCGTCTGAAATAATTAATAGACTGGGACGATTCACGAAAACTGACCATGTATCATTGATATCGCGAATTATCCTTGTCATGGTCAGGAGACATGCCTGCATATACTGGCTGTGGATGTTGAGCTGCAAGTAGGAGGAATAGTGACAGCTGAACGATTTGTGTCTGTAAGTCACTGCCTACAAAGGTGATGTTCAGCAACCAGGCCAATAAAAGGTAATGTGATTGCACTTCTGCCAATACACTTTGGTATGTGCAAAATTATCAAGCAGAAGGAGCAAGCACAAGTTAGAGAAATTGAATTTGTTTCCTATATACATTTAAGATTGCTACAACTGTTTACATTTGGATTGACCATCAGGCCTCCTGTTAGTTCAAATCTGTTGGAGGTGTATCGGCCCCGACTATTAGCTTCAGAATATGGTCTGCGTGGATATATCTTCCAGCATTCAGCAACCAAAGTTCAGGTGCAAAGTAGATCTGCTGATGGTTAAACCGACTGAAAATCTCATGCAGGGGAAGGGCAGATAGCTAGTACAAAGAAAGCAGCCTGGCATCCGAAGGGCACTAGTTTCCGGACAAGCTGATATACGAAAATATTAGCCATGTTTCCCCCCAAACCAACTCCTTACCTTGCTAGCAATTGCACTAGGATTGCCGAGGCGTGTCAACTGCAAAACATAGGCCTTGGAAGGCGTTCTAGGTGGCCGTCAAGAGTTGAGCATGAGAACCCGTGTGTCGCGTCGATTGGGATCGCGAAGAGCTGCAAGAATTACATTGGTACTGTGTCCTCGATACCTGAGTACGTAAGCTCATGGGAGCTCTCGCAGGCATTGGCGATACTACTGTACAAGCACGAAAACGTCCACAGCTATAGCGAAAGGTTGTGGTGGTGCGATCCCTTTCGTTTGGGTCTTCTGTGGAAGTCCTGACGTGAAAAAGCTCTGAGAACTCTGCAAATAGATAGGTTTATGTTTTCTTGGTCGAATACGATCGAGTCGTTAAGTGAGGTGCACAAGAGGCAAAAAAGGCGAATAGCTGACTAGTGAGACAACGAATCAAATCCGGAAAAGTTGTGAGGAAGCGCTGGCCCTTGAGACAACCGAGAAATTACAACGTAGTGGTAGAATCCGATCCTTTCCCTGCCGCTAAGTGTCCCGGATCTCAGGCGAATAACAAAGGAAACATCATCCAGCTATCGAAGAATGACAAAATTGTGGACAGTTGACGCTTTTGTCGCAAGGCTGACGGCGTTCCGATCTCTTCAGTGACGACACGAAAACCCGAGACATCTTTTTTTTTTGGAGAAGAAAAACTGAAACAGCAAGACCCTACTAGTCTGTCGAACTCAAGGGGAAACCCGAATTGAACCAACCCAAGGAACACAGGGAAGATAAGAAAACATTGAAGAAGGCAGAAAGAAAAATGGACAGAGGTAAAGCGGGGTTAAAAAATTACAACATTGGAAAACGGGAAAAGGAAAATCGTGCGGCTTGTCTCTTAAGAGGTTGAGAACCGACTGCCGACATTACCTCACCTAGCATACCTGTCATGCGCACGAGGTTCGTAGGAGCGGCCAGCAGAATATGCCTCGCGTGCATCGTAACTAGGAGGGTTAGCATCACGGTCGTAGTAACCCCGGCGATCGTCACGCTCGCCACGGCGTTCTTCGCGGCCAGTGGAAGCATAGCGGTCGATACCGCGGTAACCGTAGTCATCACGGTAGTCACGACGACCATAGTCACGGCCATAATCACGGCTACGGTCACTGTAAGAATCATAGCGACCGGACCGGTAGTCATCATTGCGCCGCCAGCTACCTCCGTAGCGTCGGTCGTCGTAGCGGTCACCTCTGCCACGAGGCGGGCCACGCGCTTCTATGGATCAGAAGTCAAACCTGGATAAATACTCTGCCATCTGGATAAAAAGACTCACCTCGCTTTGGCGGTCCAAAGTATTTGCCTGGAGTTGGGGTTCTAGGACGGCTACGGCGAGCCTTCTCAATGCTCAAAGTAAGACCTTCAATAACCTCGCCCTGCAAGCCCTCCTTGGCTGCATCGGCTTGTTCGGCCGTCACCATTTTAACGAATCCAAAGCCACGGGATTCCTTGGTGTGAGGATCTACCATGATCGAGCAGCTCTCGACGTCACCATACTTCTCGAAGAGCCGCGAAATATCGGCCTCCGTTAAGCGACGATGAATACCGGTAACGAAGAGGTTAGAGCCAGTGTTCACAGCTCCGTCGTCATCTGAGGGCTTGTGAGCATCGACAGGGGGTCTGCATAACGTATTAAGATCAGTTCGCTGAATCATCACGACACAGGACTCAGGGGGAAGGGTGGTACGGTCAACGCATACCTCTCATCAACACGACCATTCGGAGAACGGCTACGCTCACGGTCGCCTCGTAAATCGTCGCGAGGAGATGCAGAGCGGCGCGCGAAACGTGGCTCGTCTGCAAGAAAGGATGGGTGTCAGTACGCGCAGCTAGTTGAATATAGCACACACAAGGACCTACCGTCGTAGCGACCATTCTCACGATCGTAATCGGCAGAGGCCATGGCGAAGAAATTCACAGAATGATAGATGAAAGAAGTGGATGAAGGTGTGAAAGAAGAAAAAATGCGTGCTGGTCGGAGCGCGACAGCTTAAGTTCCGGATGCGGAGAAAAATCTGACTTCGAAAAGGGCGGCAAGAGCCGTTGAAAGGAAGGATTTGGAAGCAGGTCCAGAGAAATCGGGTAGAATCAGAGACAAAGAACGCCCCCTGGGAATAAAGGAGATGAGGAAAATTCGATGGAGGGAGGTGAAAGGGAGAAGGGAGATGCGCGTATTGTTGCGGAGGAAGACGTAAGGCTCGCCTTGACAACAACAACTGAATTCCAGACCGGCCGCTTTGCACGCGGTTAGTTAATTAGATGTGCATAGTCAGCCAAGCCACTCTGATATCCCCTGCATTGTATTAATATTCTAGCCTGGCTTCGTTTACGCTGTAGGTATGGATGGCATTATTATGCTGTTCTATATAACTACATGTTATCTGCCTGGATCATGCATATTGTTCAATACAGGAAAAGATGGTTGAGAACGCTCGAATGAAACCTCGGTAAGTACACAGACAATGGGGAGAAAAAAGAAGCCATCGATCCGTTCAAACCCAAGAATAAATAAGAGGACCAAATGGGTATTAGTATTATATCACCACAATCAAAAATCACTTGAATCCCCGCCAGCGTCTCCGAGTTCTGTGGATTTTGACAGGCTCTTCAACAGCCGGGGCCTCAGGTGCCATGAGCGGCGTTCCATTCGATACAGCCGTTGCTTTCCCTTCCAAGTCTTCATCCACTAATCCCTGCAGCTCCTCATCGTCAATCTCACTGAGCTCTTCGCTCATTCCGCGCATGACATCCCGCCCCGTCCATCTCTCCTCGTGGATAGTAGTCCCTACGGGATCGAATGGTTGCATGTACCACTGGATGCCCCCTTGGGCCAAGGGGGGTTGTTGGCTACTTTTGGAGCTCAAACGACCGGTCGGCGGACGTCCCAGACTTATGCTACCATGGTCCTTCTTTGTTTCTCTGTTTTCAGGAACCTGGGCTTTGCTTGACGGCACAGTAGCGGTAGGTTGAGGATTCACAGCTTCAATCTCTACACCGGACACTGCGGCCGACTCATTGGTAGGATGATATTCGGTACTCACAGAAGGCTCAGGGGCCCCTGTCGCATCTGCCTGATGCACGCGAGATGTCTTCCCAACCGGAACAGAAACATGGTTTTCTTTGTTGAGTTCTGATTCAGCTATAGTGGCTTGAGCATGTTTCACTTCGCTTTGTGCGGCGGCCGGAACCACGCCAGTGAGGTCGATAGCGGCACCTGGGGCAGAGTCTTGGATCGAAACTCGTCGGGACAAGATTCCATGTTCGAAAATAGAATCCAGCTCTTTCAGCTCGTTCTCGAATGGCTTGCGACTTAGGTCGCTTTCCTTCCTGAGAGCATCCTCCAATGTCGGTTGGACTGCTTTGATAATCCTCTTCGCCAACTTTCTTTTCTCGCGCTGCTCTAGACTGAGTTCTGGGGCGCGACCACTGATCTGCATCTGAAGTTCAGCGGTGTCCCCAGCGGGCTGGACGCCGATTTCAGAAGTAAACACATGGGCCATGTCGGCTGAGAACGTAGACACAGATGTGTACTCCCGCTCTTCTAGTTTCTTGCGCATGGACATCAGCCCCTGTCTGAAGACACCCTTTCCATCGAGTCTGTGGGCAATGTTAGCGACAACCGCACATTTTTGCGATTGCTGGAGGATACTTACGCCTGGGCCTTCTCAAAGATCGGCCAGAGCAGCGGAGGGATAGGAAAGTAGACAAGGTCGACGATGCTTCGAAGCGTCTCGGCATCTTTTAATTTCTCCCTTTCACGCTTCTTGACCTCGTCGCACAACATTCTCAGACGGTCGAGATCAACGTAGAGTCTATCTCCAAACTCAATGCGATGCTGCAGTCGTTTAGCACCAACAACGCCCATTGCTGTGTAATCTCTTCTAGTCATCTCCATGGACGAGAAAGTCTCTAGCTGGAGCTGTAGTCTCTTCAAAAGCGCCGCACCTCTCCTTGCCTCACGTTTGAGCGTCCAATACTTACAAGCATCTTCAGCGTATTGCTTCCGCTGGCGAACACAGAAGCGCTGGAGAGAGGCTGCAACAGAATTTAGGACGACCTGCGGAATAACCGGAGCTCCAGACGGTAACTTCCAAATAGTCCTTGGGGCGATTCGCTTCCGCTTATTACCACCAACGGTCAGGGTTATTCGAGGAGTTATGGTTCTTTGTCCATCCTGGTCAAGCGCACCGTCCAAAGAATGCGGCTGATCCAACGAGAGCGCCGCCGCTTGGCTGTCACCCCACTGCCTTCCTTGCATTGTATTCCTGTAATATTCAATTGCATCAGCCGTTGCTGCATCGGTACCGTGCTCTCTTCGCCAATCCGGAGGAACATGCTTGTCACAGAAGGCCTTGAGAAGACTGGAATCCATGAGTGTAGGGCTTCCGTGACCAGACTTCATTTTGAGATAGAGTTGAGCCCTCCTGGCACAACTGACGTGAAATGCAACGAAACAGTTCTTGTTACTACATTGAATAGATGCGCCCATCCTCTGGCGGCAGATATAGCATTGAAGCTTCCAACGACTCCTTGGCACTTTTTCGATGTCGGTTATCGGCTCCATCAGTGATGGGTTGCCGATTGAAACCTCAGGAATCCATATAGCACAGAGTAGATGCGACCATTTCGAGGTGGTCGTCTGTTTGAAAGCGCCTTCAGTGTTTGGACAGAAAATACAGTTTGTCGTCCCTCTTCCGATGAGTTGGCACTTACGGCACAGCCATTGCCCCTCTGGAATGAAGGGTACGCCGTAGCATTCTTGATGAACCGCCAAATCGCACCCATCACAGAAGACAATGGCATTGGAGTTCTCACAGTCACCATCGTCACATACTGCACACTTGCTATCTTGCTCTTCCCCAGATCCCACTGGTTCTCCATTCACAGCAGCTGCGGAACTGGAACGGGGGCGTTGTGTTTGCGGCGGCTTGGGATTTGGTTTTGGTATTCGTTTCTCAAGCGCATGCCATTCCTTTTCAATTTTGGTCATGGTGACTTCGAAGACCGCGGGCTTTATGGGCTCCAGTTGATCTTCCCTCCTTTTTGCATTGTAGTCCGCTAGCCATTTTTCATCCTGTTCATCCATGTCATACTCTACCCTCCCAATCGCAGTATTCACGTCCCCCTCGGTAACCGCGGGGACTGTCAAGTCCATGTCGTCTTCCTGCGCGCTTTCCGCCATCCGAACCAACCTGCGCTCATGACGGATGAAAACGTCGCTTTCTTGGTATCCCACGCTGGCCATAGTACGATCAACATAATTCTGCTGGCCGACCCCCTTCTCCTCATAGCGAACAAAGGGATCCCGTAAATGGAAGGATGGTTTAGGGAGCGTCAGTCTCTCACGAGGGTTCGGACCCGGAGGTGGAACAACCTTGGGCTGGTTGGGAGGAAGGATACCGTTGAGCATTGAATCAGGGCGGCGAGGAGGACGCCCTGGTCGGCGTTTTGGAGTTGGAGATAAATTGTCATTGGTAACTGGGGGTAGTTGGGTCGTGAAATTCGCATCGCCATTGCTGTCATTGCCATTCGGTAACTGAACATTGGGGATCCCGGCCGATGGAGCTATCCCGTCCACCTCTTCGGCACTGAAGACAGCGATCTTGGCCTCAATATCCAAGTCTGGGTGAAACTCTTCCCAGCCCCTCTCTTCTCGAGGTTTGTAGCCGTCCCCCTGTTGTAATGCGAGGGCAGCAGCTGTTGCAGAGGTGAAGCGGCCTCGACTATGGCTCTTCTCTCTCCTGGGACGAGTCGAAGGAGGGGTCGCGGGAATAGAGGAAGCAGGGTGCGCTGGAGGAGGTTGTTGCAACTGCTGCGGCGGAGAAGAAGAAGGAAGTGTCGCTTGCTGTCGAACGGGTGGGTGGGATTCATCGTCACGAGCCAGACGAGTTCGAGTGCCGGAGTTGCTACGCCGGCTTGGACTAGCAGACATCGCCGGAGACTCATCGTCATCAATTTCAATAAACCTTCCCCCGCCTCCAGGACCTCCAGGAACGTATTTCCTCCTCTTCGGCGGAGGACCATCTCCAGCATCGGGGTCAGAGCGTGCTTTCAGAGTCGACTTAGATCGGCTCCCAAACGGTCTACCAGGACGCCTTCTCGATGTCGAAAGCGGCGCCATATTCAAAAACGAGATTATCGACGGAAAAGAAATCGGGAATAACCTGGTTATATGATGGCCTCTTGGAACGCGCCACTCACTGCAGAGTCGATAGTCGGAGATAGAGCAACGCACGCGGTTTTGTGCGACGAATAGGGGTATTTAAAAAGCATAAAGCAGTCTTCATAAACATGACCTCTCTAAATTGCGAAACGAGCGATCACGGGATCAGGCATGGCCATAGCAGCGTTGACAGCGACAGCTGAGAGTGAGAGAGACGCGGTCGATATGAACGATGGACGTTCCGCTATCACACTTAAGATTCCGCGCTAGCCTGTCCGGGGTAAGCGCAGGCCCCGCTTAGGAGCTTCAAGCTCTATGATGACACGTGACTGCAACGCATGAGATCCGAAGCGTCCAAGGGAAAAGCCTCCATGCTCTGGCAATCTAGCTAGGTACTTTCCAGCATGAGCGGCCCGGGTGATGACCGGTAAGTTCTCTTTGTTTATATTTAGTAGTATCTGTTGGAAATTCTATTTATTCGTCGCTAAACTAACGCTATGCTTTCTTCCTGGTTTAGATGGCGCGGAGGTCGACCGTACGACCAGAATCGCCAGCCGGCGCAACGACACCCCGCTTCAGGTCCACGCGATAGGACCATAGGGTTTCAAGGGGGAGCTCGAGGCGGACCGAATGCCTTCGGATCAAATGCTTGGGGAGGACCGCGCGAACAGTTTCCTACCGGACCTCCCCAGGAGCGGCACGTTCCTGTAAGAGGCTTCAATGCGATGGAGTCAAAAGAGGCCCTTAGGAGAAGTATGAAATACCCCGCCCCTTCAAACTGACTACTTCTATCTATCATACCATTAACAATTATGTTTTACAACAGATCTAGGAGGTAATGACTCATTCTGATTCCCCTTACGACTCTGGCTCCAGCGATCCCACCCTTCTAGAGATACTTCCTTTATATTAACCAGATACTTCCAGAGTCAAAGTCCTTTATTTATAAGCCAACGGGGAAGGACGTAAATAACATGAGATCTAGTGGGCCTTGGGGCTCAAAACGTATGTTACTCCATCTCTCCGAGTTTCTTCTCATTAATAGTGACAAAATTAATAGCAAATACAATGGCGAATGGGAAGGATTTCTTCCTCGAACTCCGCAAACAGGTTACGGCGTTGCAGAACGGCGGGGGAAATGTCGCAGGTGGCTGATCCTCCCTTTGATGATGGGTAGCGACTGTTCGGGAAGCCTATATTCACTGGATAAACGCGTACTACTCCGTACACAGGTTACTCTTACCAGTATAGCATAGCTACCCTAGATGAGATGTTTCCCTATTTCAGATCGGATGAGAAGTATTGTATAGTTGCCGTCATCGATGTGTGGCTGGCTCTACGCAGACAATATGACGAACATTCAATTGGATTGGTTCAGAGCATAGGGGCATGTAACCTACTCCACAGGGCAAGGGAAAAGTCAGTGTAAATCATACTCTTGGAGCTTCTCAGGCAACCAAAACAGTGGTAGAATGATGGAAATGAACCAAAAATATCCTTTATATAGGGTATTACTATCGTACGCATAGAAAATTTTGTGACAGCAGTTTACAGGCACGAGCAAAAGATGCGATATATACATACAGCTCAGCAATGATGTCTACAGTCTGGTCCATCCATCAGGACCAAGAATCCCACCATCATGAGCGCGTGGATCAAGAGTCCACTTCCTCAGAGCCCGACAACTAAGATCCGTATGCCACCCCGCTTCGAACATTTCAATCCCAGCCCATCCGATCATGGCCGCATTATCAGTGCATAAAGAGGGAGGGGGCGCAATGATGTCCACACGTCCAAAGCCGCGAACATCAAGGAACGACCGGAGAATAGACATGAGGAATTGGTTTGCGGCGACACCACCACTGACCACTAGGGTTCTAACCGGGAGATCCCCGGTCTTGGGATTCCTGGATCGGAGGGACTCAAGCGCGATGATCGTGCGAGAGGCAAGATGTTCGAAACAAACGCGCATGGCTTCGCGGGCGAGCGCAACACGCTCTTCAATAGACATGTCCCCGCCAAATTTTTCTTTCTCTAATACAAACTTCGTCACTGCGCTGGCTATGGAGGAGAAGCTGAATTGCAGATTCCGTGTGTTGGCAAAGGGTGTGGTGATGGACCAACCCCACGGGCTTTCGCGTTTGATTTGTTCCTCGCCACGGGTCATTGGGGGCCGGTAATCAGCGTAATCCGTCTTGCCATTGGGGAAGGCAAATTCCTCTAGTAGTCTTCCGTACATGGTATTTTTGGCATTATGGAGCAAAGAGCCGGGGAGGATTTCTCGGGCGGCCTTATCCAGGGATTCCCCGATGGCAATATCGGCTGTCGATGCCATAATCTCGTGATCGATAATAGACGTCGAATGAACCAAAATAGAATGACCGCCAGAAACGAGAATTGAAAGGAATGGAAACTCGGGCGTAGTAGCGCCGGCTTGCGTCGAGCCGGCATCTTTGTTCGGTGTCAAGGACGACACTAATCGTGGAGTGAGTAAATGCGCTTGCATATGATGGACTCCAACAAATGGTATCTGCCATGCAACAGCCAGTCCCTTCCCGGTATCCAGACCAACAGACAGGTTCGACCGCATCCCAGGTCCTCTTGTGGCGGATATGAAGTCTGGTCGGCGGCGCGGTCGGGAGTCATTCATCAACTTCACTGTCCCGGTATCATCATTCCCATCTTGCACTGGGAATGGTAGGTGTTTCAAAGATTTATCGATCAGTTTTGCAAGGTTCCTTTGGTGTGATTCAAGGGCAAGGATCGGGTGTATTCCACGATACTCTCTCGAGTCGGCTGTCACCTTATCAAGGAAATGAATCGTCGCAGAGCTTGCCGCAGAGCGTCCATTCTTCTCAACAATTGCAATTGATGTATCATCACTGGAAAAAACAAGGGGGTTAGCTGAAAGACCGACTCTCAATACCTTTCTTTGCCGGGGCCCGGAACCAGCAACAGCTCACCAGGATGATTCGATTGCAAGAGTGAGCAGGCCCCGGCGTTTCGGGAATAAGCTGTTTTTCCAAACGGCGCCTAAGGACTTGCATAGAGCAATAGCAGGGGAACGAGGACTTATCATTGAGGGATGGCGAGATGCGAATTCACTCTTGCAGTGGCTATTTCGTACTTCCGCGGCGCAGCGAAAAAACGTCTCCGCGGTCTCGCACGGGCCATGAGCCCTGGAATGGAGCCCTAACTGGCAGCGCGCACCAGAGAGTAGATTAACTCTCCTTTCCATCAGGACATCATTCATTCAGTCTCATGCGTGGTATTCTTGGGGTTCTCAACCAGGGCTAGATCGTTATACTATAGTATACCAGCCATGGTTCAGAGACATCAGGAAGGCTTTCTCTACTCGTAACCCTCTCCATGTTAACGTAGACAATCGACTCTCCAAACAGTATCATTTGCTGATTTCACCCCATTGAATCACCATTCCTCTCATTGTCTATCCAGATATTACATTTGCCAAGCAATCCTGTCTACACTATATTCATGCCTTGCGCATAGTCCCCGAGTCGCAACTCCTGCATGGCTAAGCTGCACCTCTAGCATATGAGAAGATCCGTACAAGTATCGCAGATTAGAGTTGGAGAAGGTACAAAATTTAGCTAAACCAACCTCGGGAGTATATTTCCAGAACGGACCAATGAAGCAGATGTACTGATAGGTATCAGACCCCCGTGAAAGATGTGGTGTCAGTCATCGTCATCCTCCTTGCCATGCGCAGACCAAGTATTAGAATTGTCCAATCCATATAGTTAAAAAAATTCTGCAGCCTAACCCTTTAACATCCATGTGGCTGGTGCTTTTGTGGGTCTAAATTTGGAATTGGTAATTGCTGGATCCAAAAAAGCCACTATTGTTGAATGGACTGGATCCCGTAGAAGTTCGAGCTGTCTGAACCAAGTCCTTCCCCACGGATTCAACACATCTACATTTGGACCTAGGCCCCTTCTCTTTTAGAAGAGGAAGGCGGTTCCTGTTGTATGGCCGGTTAGGAAAAGTCGCTGGGCGCTGCAGTGATGAGCTCTCCGTGCTGAAGATATTGAATGTATGTAATCCCGTCCGTAATTACTCACTCTTGGTTCAGACGTTCTCGTTCATTTCAAACGCGGTATAACTCTGCTGCAAGATCACGAATCTGCTGGTCATCCATATTGTTGAGGGTTTGATTGGATATCTGCTCTAGGGACCGATTAGGCAATTCACAGTTGCGAAGGTTGCGCTATTGTCGACGAAAGTCACAATACTACTCAATAAACAAAAAATGTATTAGAACAGGCCATGGGAATAAATTGTTATCGTACTTACATCGTAGTACGCTTGTATCTGGCCAATTATTTCTGCCACTAAAAATTCGTCACTTGGCGATCGCAACCCAGGGACAGCATTTTCATGATCATTGTCTGTAAATGTCTTTTGTGAACCATCCGCCAGTTTTTATGGTTATTTCAGGCAGACCTAGGCCCTTGTTCAAGGCAGCAAACTGACAGCTCGCTCAGGCTGTCTGAATCCTTGAGAGAAATCCTTTCCCCGCGAGCAAAGGGTGACCCCGTTTAGTGTACGCCGAATACGTTGTCCCTTATCCTTTCAAGTTCCGGTGCGAGAACTGATCCCAGTAGCAGCATGTAGTTGTGTTCATCTGTAAGACTGTAGAGGAGCAGACATACAAAGTATTTTACTGACTCCCAGGCGTTCATCAAGTGCAGACGGGCAACCTCTTCCCAGGGCTTGGATTGATCTCAGAGCAGGCTCCCAACAAGTAGCTGGTTGCTAGTGCCTGGCAACTCGATATCGCGATTCTTACGCGCCTGATCACTGATCTCTTTCTCCAGCTCCTGATGAGTAACATACTCCGGTAGCCAACACTCCATGTATGGCTTGCGCCTCTCTTCCTCTAGGTCATGTTCCCAGAAATAGCATCGGCGAAGCACTCGCTCAATTCGTGAATCACAGCTCAAAGCCGACGGGAAAAAAATTCATCAGCGTGCATCCCATTCAACGCTTGGTTGGTGATACGTTCGAAGCTGCTGCTTCTGCCAAGGAGATAGCCTCAATGTTGCTGAAGAGTCGAGCACGCAGATCCTAGCTCGGAAAGACTCTGCTGCTGGTCTGAGATCTTGTCCCGAATGTCTGCAATCAAGTCCGGGAGGTTCCGCTGAACATGCTGAGGGGGATATTGTTCAATCGGCATCGGAGGCTTTCAATTCCCACTTAGTCGCGCGTCTCAAACGACCGGTTGCGTAGGGCATGCCATCCTAAGCGCAAGCTGATCTTCTCATTCCGCATAAACTGTAGGTAATTGCTCTCCTCCTTGACTCAGTCTCGAAGATATCGGGGCTGCGTGATGATACCAAGAGTCCGCTCGCGTTTCGGATCAAAATGCTCCGCAATATTCAGCACTTCCTGCAAATAGTAATCCATCTTCACGCTAATAACGGCAGGGATAATACCCCCGTTGTTCTTCATATACTTCTATGTCAGGCCAAGGATGATCCTAATGCACTGCTCACCTTGCTCACCTTGCTCGCCCTGGTCGCCCTGGTCGCGACTGGTAGCATAGTATACCCCGGGGGATCAACGAGCTTCAGCTCCGGCTTGTCTGGACCCCAGATCTCGACCTCCAACACTTTATCAGTGAAACCCGAGTTGGTAGAATCACTATCATGAATACGCATGCGTGTCTTAGCTTGCTCAATCAGCGCAGGTAAATCAAGGCCGTTGAGAACGGCGTCGTCGGTCGTAAGATTGCGGCGTTTCAGGTGTTCCTCTTCGTTAGTTCTCGACACGCCCTACTCGATGGATGTCTTGATCTTGGACTGGGGATTCCGTCGCAGTACAACTTCTATTGCGAAATTTGTACAGACATTGCTTTTTGCTGGGAAGCGCACCCGGGTGATAGCTTCGAGCACCGAGCTCTTACCGCCGGACTGGTTACCACACACAATCAGTTGCGGTAGTTCTACTAGAGTGCCCGCGCCGATTGCGCGTAGTCCGTCAATCTTATCCAAAAAGGGTTGACTGCTGCGACTGCAATAGGTCCATTGCTTGTACATCCAACGAGGGCATTGGAGACATGATGGGTTGGGGTGGAATTCTGCAAAGGTCAGTGATTGGGAGAAGGGGAGAGGAGGAAAGGAGAAAATCTGCAGACGTGCTGAGTTCACTGTATAGTACGATTCCAACACATGTCGAACAGGATGTGGTAAAATTCAGTTTGAAAACTGCTGTACGGCGCAGTTGTGCTGAGAGAGGGATAAGATAAAAATATGAAATATTATTATACTTAATGGCTCGTGGGTATACTACCTAGATACATATCTTGAAAGTTATCTGGAAAACTTCAGACGGTAATGAATGGTTGGTCTTGCGTGAAGCACCAAGGAGCATCACACAGCCCTTGAATGCCACTTTACGAGGTCAATCTGGTCGTTTTCTACAACTGTCCCTTTTCAATTCTACGTTGGATGTAGTGTATAAAGTTATCCTGAAGAATCCCTACTGTTAGGGTATAACCCCTAGGCAAGATGGCCGAGTTGGTTATGGCGTAGTGTTCAAGGGACGACTTGAGCTCTTCCTCTCCAAAGGGAGAGGGTTACCACTATTCCGAAAGGATCATGGGTTCGAATCCCATTCTTGTCATTTCTTTTTTTATTAATCACGTGAATAATAAATTTATCCACGGCATTTTGAATAAGTAGAACACGAAGCAGGTAATAATACCTAGTATGCTTACTTTTGCTCACCGATGATCCTCAGTCGGTCACATGTGCAGATGAAGCGATTATCCCTGCTGAAATAGCTATAGTAGCAAACTACGTTCATGCGGAGGTGCTCCGTCTGGAGTTGGGAGTACGGAGAAACGGATAGGTCGGATACTTCACAGTGCACTGGCAGTATCTATACCTATCATATCATACATATACTGATCAGCGTGCTACAGTCGAACAGCCATCTGCTCAATCTATCCTATCTTCCCCAGCTCACCACCGATGGCCCGCACCGAGAGGAAGAAGACAGGCGCGGGTGGCCAGCTCAATGGTTGAAGTCGCCGTACGGAGTAAGACACTCCGCCATCCAGCGGTTGCTGAAACGGGTCCCGAGTTGGCTATCCAAACGGCCACGGTGAATTCTCACCTCCGCAAATGGTCTCGATCTACCGAAGTCGGTGTTGGGACTTGCGACGACGGAAATGCCGTGCATATAGCTACCCCAGCTCGGCAGACAAGAAGAGCAAAGTGTTCTCTCCCAGTGGAAATTTGAAAATAAAAAATCAAAACCAAAAAACCAGGTTCCGGATGTATCAGCAGTAATCTCCGGTGGTATTTTAGGTAGATTCGATGGTCTGGTATTATTATTATTATTATTAGCAGTTCAAGAGATCATAAGTTCCCGATGCTGGATACGCACTCTGTCCTCGTACAGCGTATTGGCTGCCACGCTCCGGACAGCACCGTGGGTGATCGGTTTCGACGTTCCCCTGTTCCTAGAAATTTCTTTTGCTGGGCATGCGGAAAGTCTATTGGAGTGATCTGACCAGCAGTCGACTCCTAATAATATTAATAGCAACGCCAGGAGTGCGGAAAATCGGCCATGATTCGTGCCTCTGTGCACATACTGTACATGCTTCCCACGGTAGATATAACGATGGAAGCTTTCTGGCAGAGGGAGGTGCGCAACTCCGGTGTCAAGACTCAACAGCACTGTTTCGAGATCCAAGTATCCTGCGCAAACAGTCGCCTTCGATCATTCGGTGTCAAGTCCGACGCAGGGGCCGGAGGAGGGTCCCTCTGGTGACTCGCGTGTGGCCAACAACGCCGCCAGCCGGTTAAAACTGAGCGTTCTCCGGTCGACGTTCTGAAGGGAGCAAAGGAAGGATTATTTTGCTTAGAAAGCTTCATTACTACTATTTATTATTATGATGATCCACTTAGTTTTTTGATTTTTTTTATAAAAAATTTCCCATTTTGTTTGTCCGGCTAGCTCTTATTATTGCCGACTGACTCACTTTATCAATTGTATCTATCACCGATATATTTATTGTTTCTAAGTCCTAGAGCATTCTCTACAGTTCATTCACTTTTTCTTGCAGCTCCGGTCCCGGCCTCTTTGTCCACGTGCACCCCTGTCCCGTGAGAACTCTTGTCCTCTCCAACTCACAAGACAGCTTCTTCATCTCCCGACAGGTTCAATTACTGAACAGTGCCTCTCTTCCCTTTGCTCAGTCATTTGCTGGCATCATGACTGGTGTCAAGGAATCTGTGAAGGAGCTGCTGGTGGGCAGCACTGAGGAACCTCAGCCATCTGTGCAGATCAAAGAAAACTTCATTCGACATGCACAGAAGGATGAGGCGACAGGGGAGCTGTACATGACTGAGAACGAATTCATCAATGCCATTGCACCCAGTCATGAGGATTATGTGAGTGTTCTGCTGCTCACCTTTTCTTTCTTCTACTAGCCAAATTATAACTGACATATCTCTCTTCTAATGCCAGAACAAGATCAAACGTGAGCAATATGGTATCCTTTTCAAGGTTGCTGATCGACGGAAAGCTGGCAGACTCAACCTGTCTGACTGGGCCACCTTTGAAAACCTCCTGTCCAAACCTGATGCTGAATACGAGATTGCCTTCCGCTTGTTCGACGTAGAAGGAACCGGGGCTGTGAAATTCGATACCTTCCAGAAGCTATACAATCAGAGCAGGGGCCAGAATACCATTCCCTTCGACTGGAATTCCGAATGGGCTTCTTTGTACACTGGGACTACCAAAAGCCGGCATGACATGACTTATCCCCAATTTGCCCAAATGCTCCGGGGTCTGCAGGGTGAGCGCATCAGGCAGGCCTTCCACGCGCTTGACAAGGATGGCGATGGCTATATCGAGCCGGAGGACTTCCAGCGCATCATCCTCGAGACCTCTAGACACAAGCTTTCCGACTACTTGCTAGAGAACCTGACCTCTCTTTGCAATGTCTCTGCGGGCAGTAAGATTTCCTATGCTACTGTCCGCGCGTTCCAAAATGTCATGAGCGAAATGGACTTAATCGACCTCATCGTGCTTGAGGCAACCAAAAAGAGTGACGACGGAAAGATTACCCGCACCGACTTTTTGAACGAAGCGGCCAGAATCACACGGTTCTCGCAGTTCACCCCGATGGAGGCGGACATTCTGTTCCATTTTGCCGGTTTGGATGCTCCTTCTGGGAGGCTTGCTCAAAGCGATTTCGCCAAGGTTATCGACTCATCGTGGCGCACTCCTCTAGAACTGGCTGGCCATGCCGTATCTTCTGCCTCAGGCGCTGCACACAAGGCAGCAGAGAAAACAAAATCCTTGTTCTATAATGTGCTGGAGTCCGCACACCACTTTGCGCTTGGTAGTTTGGCGGGCGCCTTTGGTGCACTCATGGTCTATCCCATTGATCTTGTGAAGACACGCATGCAGAACCAGCGGTCCACCCACGTTGGAGAAAGATTGTACAAGAACTCCGTTGACTGCGCGAGGAAGGTGATCCGCAACGAGGGTTTTCTAGGATTGTACTCTGGAGTGCTACCGCAGTTGGTCGGTGTGGCTCCAGAAAAGGCTATCAAGCTCACAGTGAACGACTTGGTTCGCGGTTGGCTGACTGACAAGGAGACTGGTAAGATTTGGTATCCTTATGAAATGTTCGCTGGCGGTATGGCCGGTGGTTGCCAAGTCGTAAGTTTCGACCTCCCTCGGAGGACACAGACCCTAACTCACATGGTCAGGTCTTCACCAACCCGTTGGAAATCGTCAAAATTCGCTTGCAGGTTCAAGGCGAAGTTGCGAAAAATGTTGAAGGCGCTCCTCGTCGCTCAGCTCTTTGGATTGTGAGGCACCTGGGACTTGTAGGCTTGTACAAGGGCGCCAGCGCTTGCCTTCTTCGAGATGGTAAGAACCCGCTTGCACTTTCCTGTTTCCTTTTTTTCCCTGTTGCAGCTAACTAACAATGTCCAGTCCCCTTCTCCGCAATTTACTTCCCTACCTATGCTCATCTTAAGTCTGACTTCTTCGGAGAGTCTCCTACCCACAAGATTGGTGTTACTCAACTTCTGTTGGCTGGTGCTATTGCCGGTATGCCTGCAGCCTATTTCACGACGCCTTGCGATGTCATCAAGACCCGTCTGCAAGTTGAAGCCCGTAAGGGTGATGTGAAGTACACCGGGTTACGCCATTGCGCAGCGACCATTTGGAAACAGGAGGGCTTCAAAGCTTTCTTCAAGGGCGGCCCTGCTCGTATTGTCCGTTCCTCTCCGCAGTTCGGTTTCACCTTGGCTGCCTATGAAGTCCTACAGAAGTGGCTTCCTATGCCTGGATCGCATGCGCATCCGGACAGTCCCACTGGTGAAGTCGAGCCTGGCGTCGGATTACAAGCTGCTAAGGCGCCTCTGCCTTACTTGAAGTCCAGGAATGCGCTTAAACTCATTCTTGATTTGGATGCCAACATTGGTAGCATTCAGATACCCCAAGCTGAGAACTGGCCTTCCTTTCTCCGAAGCTCTAAGAAATGATTTGATGCCTCCATAGGTCATCTGGCCTTTTCACCTTTGACTCTTATTTTCTCTGCACGATCATTCAAACCATTGACCATGTCTTAGATGAGGTCATTATTATCGACAAATTTCCTCCCTATACGTCAAAAAAGAGTGTGTACCTTCAGTTTCATTTCATGTCCCTCATGAATGGCGCCAGTTCTTGGATTGACTGATGGGTGTCTATCTCATCTGAATGCCCCCATTTTTCTGGCAGCTTTGCATAGCCATTGTTCTTTGTTTCATTAACATACCCAGACCCTTAGATACGCGCACACTTGGTTCTCTGGTGATTTAGGTTTCTTTTTCTTTTCTTTTCTTTTTTTTTTTTTTTTTGTTCTTTCCTTCTGGATGCAGCCATGATTCTGTTATTAAATTCCGCTGTTATTTTTTCGCCTTTTAGACAGTTCTTGTACTTAGTGTATTTTCTGTAAATTCCTTTACCTCATCGTTCTCTCCTTGAAGACCCATAGACAGTGAGGCGGTCCTTTTCTCCCCTTTTTCAGTTTCACCAGAGTTAGGGGCAAATTACATAGTCCAGTCAATACAGAGTTCTGTACAATTCTTTTTGTTGATTAAAGTAATGTAGTCTCATTGCCAGGGTGTACATATAGTTTAGAATTGGTGGTGAGACATAATTCATTGACTATTTTATGAAGGAGGCGAGCGATGCGCGTGAAGGAATGGCATTCATTATATGTAGTGTATCGAATTTAAGTGTATACGAGAGGGGAAACAGTCATGCTATGTACAGTCTGGCATGAGTATTTACCGATATTATAAGACCCACGAATAGAGTCAAAAAGGAACAGTAATGACCATCATGAAAAAGAAGTCACTTTTGGCACCTTGGTAACCCATTTTAACTTGCATGGCAATATGTGAACGAAATGCACGATTCGTCAATAGGCCATCTTTGAATGACACACAACAAAGAGAAAAGAGGAAGAGAATAGTCTTATAACACGTACTGTAAGACAAGAACACTTCTTTTGCTTACTCAAGAGTGCTTGTTGTCCTTTTCAGGTAGGATGCATGGTCGAGATGATGGCTATGTCAGAGATTCTCTGCGTGGAGCTGCAGATATATGGCAAATGTAGGGAACATATAGGTTTTGACATGGACAATATTTTTAGAAGAAATTCGCAGTCCGAGGATGATTTGTCTTCTGTGGTTCGTTTTTCGTGTTTCCCACGGAAGATGTAGCATTCTTCGTCTTCACTGAATTCGACTCTTGATCAGATTCCGGCCCTGTGGTCTTCCGGTGCCATAGTGAATCTTCAGCCTCGATCTCTCGAAGAACTATACCGTCGAATCAAAGCCGTCAGCAAATATTCTCTACAGAAAGAAAAGAAAATAAAATAGAAAAACAGAATGATCAGGTAAGTGCACCTTCTTCCCACTCTCTTTCCTTAGTTTCATCGCCAGTTCCCAGTAATTTTTCAACATTCACATCCTCTCCTCTTCTAATCTTTTCAATTACCTCTCTCAGAAGCTCGATCTTCGCATCCGTTGTTCTAGTATATGCTGCATAGTCGTTCTTCAAAGCAATCATTCGAATGGCTTGCGATCCAATCAGGATGAATATTATAATAAAGAAGCTCGCCGGGTTCCATTCCTTGGATTTGGAAGCCTGCACTTTCGCATCCCGGGAACGATTTCGAAGGTACTTGGGAACGAACAATGTCCATGTCGAGGATTGAGCTATCTTCGGTAAGGCTCTCGAAGAATAGTATTGTAGACGGATCAGTCGTGATGTCCAGGGTGCATGCGCCCCGACAGATCGTGTTGCAAAATGTGATGTACCAAAGAGGCACTTGGAAAGAAACCGAGACGTATTCATTTCAACAATAACAACAACAATAATAATACGAACACGCAAATGCCGGTTTGTGTCCAAACGTCAATTGATGCTTGATCAAATTGTCGCATTTAACTGCCGGAAGAAAAGAATGGGCCGAAAGCGGGAATACAATATACACACCGCTTTTATTCCATTTTCAGAATAGCGCGGCAGCTGTTGCTACGACAACGTCCCGTTTGGGCTCGGATGTGGTTAGTGACCTTTTGCTCCAGCTTTGTCTGCTCGCGAGGGAAGATGCTTGCTGCAATGGTTCATCTGCATCTGCATCACAGTATTCCCTGATGGCGGTCGCAACATTACCATCGGATTCTTCTGTAGAATCTCTGAAGCAGGCCATCAGATCGACGTCAACATGCTCCAACGCTACTTTGTTGTCTCTACAAACACTACTCCGAGGACCCTCGAGGACTTCAACAGAAGTTGATAACTACACATCGAGAAGGAACGAAAAGTATGCGAAAATCTCAGCAGCTACAGTGCGCTCGAGAACGACGCGGGCGACGAGGTCGAAGACTGGGGTGAAGTCAGCAACGTTATATCCTCCGATAGATACAGACGCTGGCCGATTGTCATGCCAGGAGAAACTCGTTCTTGCCACAGATGTCTTCAACATAACACTGAAGACCCTATCTGACGCCACAAAAGCAGACGGTTTTAAATCCCAATCTCGATCCAATGATGAAGAAGGCGCCCACCCTCGATTGCGCAAGGACCCTCTCCAACCTGCCTTGTCCAACCGCATCATATCATCGCCTAAGAAATCGAAAGCATCTAAGCAACCACATACAGTCTCTCGGTTGGACGAGGGTATTCTAGCGACTGCTGAATGTGGTAGGTTGGCGCTGTCATGTCTCAGAGTCTTGAAAAATGAGAGCTTAAGTGAAGGGAACACATATCGCAACGTTCAACTCGAGCAAGCCTCATGCGTACTGACGGGAAGGTTTATATCGCTGGGTCTCAATGATATGGCATACAAGGAACTGCGAGCTCTCAAACGAAGAATCCAGCACTACCTTGACAGAGTCAGCGTCGGGGAAAACTCGACATTAAAAGACGGCCACGATGAAGAGACGGGAAAGGAAAAAATGTCCGACTTACTTACTTTTACGAACATCTCAAATGGGAAGTCTTTGTACGGGTTGCTTGTCACGTTCCAAGCGAACGCCATGCGACTTATTTCTTCGGAGCCGAAGGTCTCTACTACGCAGAAGATCCATGCTTCCTTACAATTTTCAAACCCAAGCAGTCCTGTTAACATTATAATGGCCGCGTTTGAATCTGGGAGTCTTCCAAGCGACAAGACAGCTCTTCAACTTCAACTACTGTCGAACACGGTGCTTTCTCTTTGTTCCTGCACTGAAAAGTCCAACGATACCCCTAAAGAGCACTCGAAACCGATAACAATACTATCTCTCCAACTTTTATCTCTTGAGATTCGCTGCTTGGGGTGGCAGGTGGCAGGCCATGTTTGTGACGAGGGAAGAGAAGTGTGGGATCCCTTATCTCGCTACCTTGGGAACTTTGCCCATCAAAGTAAAGAGATAGGCCGGTCAGAGTTTGTCGCAATATACAAAACAATCCTGCGCCTTCAGTCAGCTGTCGCGATAACGAAACGGAAACCTTCTAATAATTCGAAGACGTCTTTGAACTCGGCAGTGAAGATTACAACCATCCTTGGACAACTTGCACAGGAATCGGGATGCTTTGACGAGGCTCTGAAGCTATATGCAGAAGCTCTCACTCCTTTTTCCGTTCGACAGTGCATTTATCTCTGTACAGTACGGTGTAAGATCGCTTCCGTTCATATCCAAGCTTTGAAATATGGAAAGTCTTCCGAGATTTCCTTGACAAATTCGCTTCTGGAAGCCACGTCAGCGCTAGGATTGTCATTGAAAGGCAGTCCTGATGAACTGGATGAACTCCTTGTCGAAGCTGCGAAATTGAAGAAGCTGTCAATGTCGTGGCTTGGGAGCATACTTGCCAAGGATGATAGATGTCTCCAGGAGAACGATATTCTCAAACGACTGCACGAATACCTCCATGGCTTCATAAGATTCTTACGACGCTATATCGGACACCAACCTTCGCCCGAGGCTGAACCTAAGGACCAGGAACTGTTTCAGAAAAGGGCGTGCCTATCTAGGAATGTTGCACTTGCCGCTGTGGATTCTGCATTGGCTATTGGGAAGCTTTCTGTCACATCAGGAAGACCTCATTGGGACGATATATTGTCTATTTTCACAGACTGCCAGCGTCTTCTCATGACTCTCCAGTGTGCAGTGGGTACTGACTTAGAACATCTTGAAGATGATGATTGCGGTATGGGACTTGTGAGACTGTCGAATCTTTTTTGGTCTCGCTACCTGAAGGAGAAAGAAGCGGGCAAAGATTCCAGCGAGCTTCTTTCTCTTCTGAGACAATGTACAGGCTTACTCTCGAATTGCTCTCCATCGCAAAGGAACACCGGCTTTGCGGCCCTCAAGTTTGAACGGCTTGCACATCTGTGCCTAGAATGCAACAGGGGTACTGAGTCTGAAAAAGCATTTCGGCAGTCAATACTGGATCATATAGGCTCGGGAATCCTGAGTCAGATTTCTTCCGATACGACTGGGCTATACCCCGATCGCTCTTGTCGAGATCCCAAAAGCAATGGCTTTGCACTTGGCCGCGTGCTTACGGCTTTTTTGAAGATGAAGATGCGGCGCAAAGATCTTCGAATGGGTATTATTTTTGATGATGACTTACCAGAGCCCGAGCAAAATGCCTTACTCGAGTGGCAAATGGCGATTTTGCTGGACTTGCATGCTCATACTCGCAGCGACGAATATTTTTGCCTTGCCTTAAGCACTCTAATATCCAAGCTCCTTAATATATATTCGCCTGAACGCTATCCAATCCGCCGTCTACGAGTTATTCTTCGCGGTTTGCGGTTTACGTTAGAACATCCGAATTCTTTAGATCCAGCATTGGTCCAAAAGCTTGTCGATGAAGGTACAGAAGGTTGTAAGAGTTCTCAAGACCTCCGTGGAGATTATGCGATGGAGAGATTTGCTGCGCATGTAAAAAACTCACTGAAAATAATGGTCGGCTTTCACAACGGAAAGATAGGGCCACCAGAGCTCAGCGATGCGGTATCATCATGGTCGTCCATGGTTCAAGAGTGCGGGGATTGGAAAGCACTTGAATCTTGTATCGATGATACCGAGTTCTGGCTCCTTCAAATGAAAGCCTTGATCGATTATGCAGAGGTTCACGGGCTATGGAAATATCAGATATCCGTTCTTGAACTAGTTCTGCGGGCCATGGAACTACAAGAAGCCGGCGATTTCTCCAGCATCATAGTCTTTCTTTCGCGGCTCGCGTCACAGTACTGCAGGCTTGGATACTGCAAAAAGGCCGGTGGCCTTCTTGCGCGTGCCGATCAGTATCTTTGCAAGCGAGACGTTTCATGTCTAGCGACTGTCACGTACAAGTTGGCGCAAGTGGAATATCTGCTTGAAATCGCAGATGTTGAAAAAGCTACGGATGCGCTCGCAACTGCTCGAGCGCTATATGAGGAAACGCAAGAAAAGGGAGGCTTGGCTAATTGCACCGTTCAGTCGAAGATATTGTGGGAAAGATTGGTGGCAGACGCAGCCTTCATCCATTCACGACTTTCCTGTGCGCAAGGATCAATTAGCCATGCTCTTTACTTTGCCAAATTATCCGTCAGGTTGAACTGCAGGATTTGGGCTAAAATTGAGAAATTAGCTCAGATTAGACAAGAAAAGTTTCAAACAGCAACCATCAATTCGGAAGTCGAGACAGTCACCGAAGGATTGCCGAAACTTGACGTTTCCCATGTAGCTTCTTCAGAATCATCAGGAAGTTATTCACAAGGTGCCCCCTTCTGGCCCCATGTCGGCTCGCATCATATTTGCCTGCTGAATCTTGCCAATTTATCGGCTCATCATGGGCTATTCCAGGACGCTATATATTATGGAGAACAGGCTTTGAAAATGAACAAAACTCTTCACGTTAATGTTCGCCAGATTGCTTCTCAGGCCCAGCTAGGCTCTCATTGGATCCTTGGTGGACATGTGTCGGAGGGACAAGAACTATTGGAAACTGCAACGGAGGCGTCTAAGAACCTGGAGAGCAGTATCGAACTTGTTTCTCTGCAAATGGGCCTTGCGGCTCTCTACAGGGCAAAGAGCGATCACGATGATGAGTTGCAAGCCCTCGCGAATGCCGACAAGCTTATTCTCGAAATAATAGGCTCCGGAGATAGGAATTGTGTTTCGGAGTCCTCGACCCTATCTGATCTTGAACATAAGATGGACAAGTTGCAGATTCGAGGGAGCAGTCGAAGGCCGCAGCAACAAACGGCCACGGGACGACGAACTCGTGCAATGACGACGTCTGTACGGAGCGGCTCAAGGAAGGTATCAAAAATGGCTGACACTTCCAGTGCTGTTCATTCGATCTCTCTGTTGAAGCATAGAGCCGATATTCTTCTACAACAAGCGGGCTGTCTTCGTGCATTACAAGACTTCGACAAGGCCACCAACCTATTGAGTGATGCAAGGCAGTTTGCTGTTTCTAATGACAACAAAATATCGCTGCACATCGGCGAAACTGAGCATCTTCTTGCTCATGCAATACAGTGTCTTGCTACACATCGTGTCTATTGCGTTCTCCCAGAATCCACCATTTCACTGCCATCATTGCAGTCGATAGGCGGAACAGCGGCCGAACTGTCAAGGAAAGGTCCTGCTCTGCGAAGACAAAAAGTACCAGTAAAACGTGGCCGTCCTTGTGCCCCTAAAGCGACAGAAGACTTCACTGCTTCGCTGGCAAAGGCTAGCGATTGCGTAAACGATATCCTCTCTACTGCTACTGCGGTGGGATCTACCTTTGACAGCCATACAATCTGCGGATTGAACAGTCGAATTTCCATATTGTCTCATGCTACAACTTCCGAATATTCACTAGCAAGGTTCAAATCTGCGGCGAACGTAAATGGTAAGTCAAAAGGATTCTCTTTGTTTCTGGCGGACGTCTAACGCGACTAGAAATTTCCCGCATCGGTGCCTTCTCCCGAGAGCGAACAGCAATTGACATCGACAAGCAATTGGCTGAGTTTTCGGAGTCCCTGTTTTGGCCAACTCCCTCTATCCCAGCTGTTGGGTTAGATATTGACGCGGGTTCGAAGTTCACCGAAAACTACGTTGATATTTTGCCGGATAGTTGGAATGTTCTCTCCTTGTCATTGAGTGCGGATCATTCCGAGTTCGTCGTATCGAAATTGCAAAAAGGACACTCGCCTTTTCTTCTACGACTCCCACTTACGAGAGGGAATTCCGATGATGAAGATGACCAGTTTACCTTCAAGGATGGCAGGGAGGAGATGAAAGAAATTATCAGGCTGGCTAACGAAAGCGCGCATGCGGCTCGATCTCAGACCGACAGGATTTCAAAAAAGGAATGGTGGCGCAACCGGGAGTCAATCGACCGTCGTCTGGAAACCCTGCTACAGAACATCGAAAATGTCTGGTTTGGGGGTTTCCGCGGGATTTTTTCTCCAATGCCACGAGAGGACAGTAATCTAGCTCAGTTTGCTAGCTCCTTCCACGGCATCCTCGATAAACACTTGCCGTCCAGACAGAAGGGTAACAGGGCTACCGGACCGAGGTTAATGCTCCATCAGGATGTACTGGCATTGTTTGTAGGGCTCCAAGATCTCCAGGATCAGGAAGATTCGGAAGACATACTTATGGATCTTCTTTATTTCGTGGTCGATATTTTGCAGTTTCAGGGAGAGCGCAATGCATACGACGAGATCGACTTCGACATGATGGTCGTTGAGACACTCGATGCCTTGAGAGCTTATCATAATGCTGAGCGACGTGAACAGGAAAGAGGGGCACCACACCATACGATACTGATTTTAGACAAGGCACTGCATTTCTTCCCGTGGGAATCCCTCCCAAGCTTGCAGGGACTTCCGGTTTGCCGTGTCCCATCCTTGGAGTGCCTTCGTGACCGAGTCTTGCGATTCCGTGACCGACAAACAGATAGGAGCCTGACAAGGGTCCTTATTGACCGCGCTAAAGGTGCTTATGTTCTCAACCCTACAGGGGACCTGAAAACAACACAGGAAACATTCGAGCGCAAGCTTTCCTCCCTGGATACCTGGACCAAGATTGTCAATCGGGAACCAACGGAGGAGGAGTTCAAGAAGTCGTTAGAATCAAATGATGTGTTCTTATACTTTGGCCACGGTAGCGGAGCACAATATATACGCGGCCGGACAATCAAGCGGCTGGATCGATGCGCTGTTACGTTTCTTATGGGCTGCAGCAGTGGTACACTGACCGAAGCTGGAGAGTACGAACCGTACGGGACGCCCATGAACTACCTGCATGCCGGCAGTCCTGCACTAGTGGCCACGCTATGGGATGTCACCGACAAGGATATCGATCGCTTCGCGAGCTCTACGTTTGACAACTGGGGTCTCGTTAAAGAGCCAGGTGCAAATGACAGAGAGATGGAGGCTGGCTCCACGGCCACGAGGAGGGGAAGGCCGAGAGGTGCCAAGGCAAGTGGTCGCTCCTTAGAGCGTTCCACTCCCGAGACTACGGATCCTCTCCCGGTGGCCTTGGATGAGGCTGTAGCCAAGTCAAGAGGGTCCTGCCTGCTCAAGTACCTAAACGGCGCGGCACCAGTGATATACGGCGTTCCAGTGTTTTTATGATAGAGAAATGTGTGTCTTGGAAGGGCGTCAGTTGTTTGGAAAGGCGTTTGGTGTAGTGACAGAAATAGCATCTTTATCCATTATCTCTTTTCGCTATTATTTACCATGAACGGATATTAACCGACCCCTACGGTAACCTTCGGGGTCGCGCGTATTGCGCGACCCTGACAACCACCCGAGCACCCCAGCCACCCGAGCACCGATTTTAGAACTTCGTAGAATTCCAACCCATCAACTTTATCATATAATTCAACCACCACCACCATGCCCAAATTCAATAAAAATTATGAAGATCGAATGCTCAAAGCTATTGACGCGTTAAGCACACAAAATCCCCCAAATATCGCCAAAACTGCACGTGAATATGGAGTTAAACGGCAAACCCTCTCCGCAAGGTGGAAGGGACGGTCCAATCTATGTGAACGACCACCAACCAACACCAGATTATCAGAAGAGCAAGAAAAGGCTCTGTGTCACTATGTTGATACTCTAGAGCAATTAAATATAAAGCCACTTGCACAAATGATCCAATCAAGTGCCAATTCTATTCTGAAATCAACCCATACCAGCCTAGACACCCCTCCACCTACTGTCAGCGAGAAATGGTTAAACCGATGGCTAGGAAGGCATCCTGAATATAAAAGACGTCGCTCTAGAGCTATAGAGCTTGACTGCAAGCGTGCAGAGGATCGTGAGGTTATTCAGGAGTGGTTTCAGAAGCTCCATCAGACCATCCAGAACCATGGGATATTAAAGGAGGATATCTACAATTTTGATGAGACTGGCTTCAATATCGGTGTTGGTCGTGATCAATGGATTATTACCAGGGACTTCAATATTAATAAGCCTCATATTGGGATGAATTCAAACCGTGAATATGTTACTGTGGTTGAAGCAGTCAATGCAGATGGCTGGACCTGCCCACCACTTATTCTCATGAGTGGTAGCTGTATACTTACAAATTGGTTTGAAGCTGCTGATATTCAACAAGACTATTCAATTGGAGTATCAGAAAATGGTTATATGACTGATACAATTGCCTTCCAATGGATTCAGTCATTCTATCGGCATACTAAAAGATATAGGAAGGGTCAATATACCCTTCTTATATGTGATGGATACGGCTCCCATCTAACACATGAATTTGTTGAATTCTGTGAGAAGACCAATATCATCACCTTCTTCTTACCTCCACATACAAGTCATTTCTTGCAGCCATTGGATGTTGGTGTTTTTCATGCATATAAGCACTGGCATTCAGAAGCAGTTGCAGATGCAACCTACTCAGGATGCAGTAAATTTACTAAGGTTGAATTCCTTCATGCCTTAGGGGCAATTCGCAAGAAGACATTCAAAAAGCGTACTATTCAGCATGGATTCCAAAAGACTGGCATCATACCATTCAATCCATCAATTGTACTCAATCAAATGCCTCAACCACATCGTCCATCCTCTTCATCCACCAATACCAATGATGTTGATTCCTGGGGCAGTACGCCAAAAAAAAGCTGAACGATTTAGGGAGATTGGTGATAGGATATGGGAGATTCATGATATCAACAAGGATCAATTTAATGAGGGCCTAGAGCTGCTTATTCGTGGTGGTAGTATGCTAGCATCATATTCAGCTGCTATCGAAGCTGAGCTTGACCAGTATATTAAAGCTGCTAGGGACCGCGCAGCTCGATCACAGGCCTCTAGGCGCAGGATTCGCAAGGGAGGCATAGTATCAAGCTCAGAGCTTGAAGCTATAAATCGAAATACTGCGAATATTAATGAGCAGGCTGAAATAAAGAGGTGGAGGACTAAGTATAAGCGTTGCCTACCAGAGCTGCTGGATGTATGCATTCGACGAGGAATTATTATACGAAGGCAACGACATGCTAGGGCCCAAGCTGAAGAGTAGAGCTTTAGTTTAAATATATTTTGAAGTTAAATACTATAGAATTCGTTGAGATATTGAAGCTAGAAGGGGGGTCTAAAATTGGTGCTCGGGTGGCTGGGGTGCTCGGGTGGTTGTCAGGGTCGCGCAATACGCGCGACCCCGAAGGTTACCGTAGGGGTCGGTTAATATGATTGCAATGAATATTATCATAGTAATAGATGTCCCCGCAGCTGTATTTCTTCCCCTCACCAGAATTCCCCACCACCCCTCGCTGTGTCAGAGCAAGATAAGAACAAGAACAAGAGCACATCCCATCTTCTCTCTCTCCATCCTCTCTTCGCCATCTTTGCATCCTCCCTGTATCGTCCACGTCATGTCCGTAACCACCAAAGCCACCATTGCTTCCTTTGGCGGGAAGCTGCTCAAGCTGAGCCACAATGCTGTCACGACAAAGTGTGAAATGTCGTTCAACCTCTATCTACCACCCCAGTTCTTCAAAGATTCATCTGCGAAGATTCCTGTCTTGATCTATCTGTCCGGGCTCACCTGCACTGCCGAGAATTGCTCCGAGAAGGGCTTCTTCCAGCACGGAGCCAGCAAGAAAGGAATTGCAGTGCTATACCCGGATACCAGTCCTCGTATGTAGATATCCCTCTCACTATAGGCAGCCCAGCCCATATTGCATTTATTTGGAAACTAACCTAGTCGTTGTTCATCGAATCATAGGTGGATCGAAAATCGAGGGAGAGGACGATTCGTGGGACTTCGGAACCGGCGCTGGCTTCTACGTGGATGCCACCAAGGCTCCGTATAATGCTAACTACAATATGTACAGCTATGTAACTGAAGAGCTGCCGAAAACTGTCTTCACTGCGTTTCCGCAGTTGGATTCCAGCCGCGTTAGCATTACGGGTCACAGCATGGGAGGTCATGGTGCTCTTACCCTGGTGAGTGGAGCTGAACTGCCGCCCTTTTTTGTGTGTCTTCTCCTATTGACAATATTTCAAAATGTCAGTTCCTCAAAAACCCCGGCAAATACAAGTCTGTCTCTGCCTTTGCGCCCATCTCCAACCCCATCAACTGTCCGTGGGGCAAGAAGGCGTTCAGCGGTTACTTTGGCGAAGATAACCTCGCCAAGTGGAAAGAGCATGACGCTACAGAGCTTGTGAAGAAATGGAAGGGACCGCTGAATGTGCTTATTGATGTGGTATGTCTTTTTTCCTTTTTGTTTCCTTCCAACCGGTCAGGCGAGAGATGTTATTTTGACATTGCTGTCCAGGGAACCGGAGACAACTTCTACAAGCAGGGACAGCTTCTGCCGGAGAATTTCGAGAAAGCTGCCAAGGAGGCTGGTGTCGTGGGTGTCAACGTACGCTACCAACCTGACTATGATCATAGCTATTATACCATGGCTACTTTCTCGGATGATCATGTCGAACACGCGGCCAAGTATCTCTTTGCATAGTGCGTATTAACTTCTCTTGTTTCCTTTTTTAAATATTTACCTACCGATCCACATATGGCATACTCCCGTACATCTACTTGTTTTGGCATGTGTTCATCATTCACACTTTCTTTCAGGTCTGTATCATTTTCTGATGTGTAGTCAAAAGCGATCGTCTTTCATCGAAGTCACTGATATAGGTTCCTAGGAAAATAAGATATGTTTCATTTTGTCTTACCTATAGGTACATGCATAACTATAGGTAAGTGTCTGGAATGCCATGATTTTGGTCCTTTGACAGTCCCTACTCTTATGCATTTCCAGAACATGTAGATACTCCTGGTTTGTGGGGCCAGGCTCCAAAAAGGAAACACAAAAAAGCCCTCAGGGAACTCCACAGAAAATCTCTTGCAACTGAAATCGACTAAGGCATAGAGAGAAAACTCACAATACCTACCCAACCTCCCTTTACTCAGATTCCATTCCCCTCCATAGACCATTGCCCGCCCTTCCTTTTCTATCCAATTTCCTTTGTTCTGCACAAAGTCTCCCATTCTAAAACGAGAGACATAGAAGAATAAGAAGAAGATGAGGAGGAAGAGGAAGATAAATAGAATAAATGCAAGAATGTTTCGCTGATCCTCCCCTGTAACCCAACACAGACCAGGCAATGAAATGCTTTGTACTGTATATCAACGCCTGACAAATGCAAACGAGTCACAAAACCTATATATGCTTTTCCCCTTTCTCTCTCTCTCTCTCTCTCTCTCTCTTTTTTTGAAGAACCGCAAGGCAGCAAGTGCAACAACTAGTCTGGGTGTCATAGCGATCAATGTGAAAAGGGTTATATGGGAATCTCCAGCCCGTTAAAACAAACCTTGGGGGAATCTAGATGGATGGGAAGTAAAAACAAAATGACAAGTAGAAAAAAAAATGAAGGAAACTATCTTGGACGGCGTAGATCGAAGGTAGTGGACAAGGTAGGGGAGGACAAAAACAGTCACACCATACGGCTTTATGCGGTCAATCGTTGGATAAAAGACTGAAAGAATGCGTGTTAGTGATGCATACTTCACGATTTCAAAAGGATCTCCGTTTGAACGTACTGGGAAGAATTGCCGGAAACCTCTCACATCCAGCTGGCCCAGAGCATTCAAGTACTCTTCAATCAGATCCGCTGTTATACCTATGCCTGGCAATTCACGTGTGCGGAGATATTCGGCATATTCTACCCCTGTCTTCGAGTAGATGATCCGCTGCAGTGCTCCGGCTTCAGAGAGAACCTGCTTAGCTTGCGCATCCTTTACGTTGAAAGTTGGTGTTGCGGGAAGAGCCCAACAGAGCGGCGAAAACCGAGATATCATAAACCCGCCGAAGCCTGGGAGAGCCTGTTGCGAAGGAACTGTCTCTTGCGAGGGTTGCGGGACGATATCGGGACCACCCCAGGAGCTGCTCATTTTGGAGAGGACCGAAAATGCCATCTTCGCTGTCGTGTAGTCTTCGACATCCTTCGAGAAGTGTTCGATAGTGGAGATGAGGGTCTCGAAAATGGGTTGATTGCCTAGACCGTATGCGTAAGCGAAACCGCGTGTAGAAAAATGGAACCAGTGGACATATACTTACGTTCGCTTATAATGACGGCTCCAAGATCATTGTTTAATACCGCCAACAGAAAATTGAGATATTCTCGTTTCAACTCGGCCAGGTGGATTTCGTCATCGGTACCAGTAGTGGGATCTGCAATACCAGCGAAAACCCGCTGTAGGAAAGGCGTAAGAAGGGTATCGAGGATTGCGTATATCTCGGTCTTAAATCCAAATATCACTTGGTCCAAGAGACGCAGAAAGAGAGCCATTTCGTCCCTCGTGGACGTCTGGGTGAGAAGACCATCAATCCACCTCGGGAGCTGTGGCAGAATCCGCGCGCCAAGCACTCCGATAAGCCTGGAGAAAGTAAACCTAGCAGCCGTTCTTATGTTGAAGGAGGATTTCAAAGACTCCAGAGCGACTAGCGTCACTTCGGATACCTGGTAGAAAGTCTCAGAAACTTCGGGCGCGGGAAGAGTCGAGGGGCCACTGGACCCAGGAACCCAATCCGAGAATCCTTTGACGAGAGTTCCAAGAGCCATGATATCATGGTGAATTTGCAACAAGGCCCTCTCATCGTTAGATTTAGCTGCGGGAAGATGCCTTTCCATGTCCATGAAGATGGGATTCAGCACTGATTGTGCGTAAAGAACCTGCTTATCAGGCGTGAGAGCGGGAGTGGAGCAGATGGTGCCCACAGCCTCAAAGAGATACAATTGACTGTTGAAAACAGCATCTGCCGATCCTTCATGGTCCTCTGAAGAATCGCCATCTGAACTTTCCGTGGGAAGTTCTGCGTGTATAACGAGAAGGTCGCCTAAGGCCTCAATGACCGTCTGCGCGACATTGCCGATGTGGGCTTTCAACTGTTTCACCAACCGTTGGAACAGATACCACGATCTCATCTTGACCTTTTTGACGGGATGGTGAATCAGTTGGAGGAAGCTTTCCAAGACTCCTGGAATGAGATGTGTATGGTAATGGAAGAACGAGCTGTATCGCACAGAGATTTCCATGTACTGAAGTTGCGTGGCAGGGTGGGTGAAAGATCTGATATCTGTAAATACCGGTTAGGAAAAGGAGAAAAGAAAAGAAAATAGAAAAAGGACATTTGCAGGTACGAACCTGACTCCACCATCCTCTTCATCATCTCAATGAGTCTCTCCGCGGCTTGATTGTGTGGAACGCCCTTGACGTATAAACTGCCGCTCTTAACAGCTAGGTCGCCGAATAGGAACATTTCATGCAAGGCAAGGTCCAAGTCATGCCAGTCCAGCTGCGCACCTGAATGTCGCAGGTTCTCAAAGGTGGCCCCAACAAGTTCCGAGATTGCTTCTATATACAGCTGCTCATTTACCGAGGCGATGAGATGCTGCAATACACCTAGCCGCTTCCGCAGTTCTTGGAACTCAGCTTCATCCGTCTGGTCTTCTTCATCGCCCCATGTTGAAGTTTCGTCGTATCTCATCTTGGCGATAATGGCCTTGAGGATAGGCAGCAGCATCGAAGAATATTGGGCAGCAACCGCCGGGTTTGATTTCGAAATCTTTCTCAAGTAGGATAGGAGATCGTTCACGCACGGGACGACGGTCGAACATACTTCGTCATATTCGTCGGAGAAGAATCTCAAGATGTGCGGAAGGAATACTTGAAGAAGAGTATTTGCTTTCTCCCTAGTCTCGGTGGGGATTGATTCAAGCTCCAGGGCCCGCACGACGTCCACGACAGTAAAATTTATTAACTTAGCCACGGTCTCGGCTAGATCTGTATCGTATTTGTAGGTGAACCTATTATCATGTAGTGGCGGACTGTTCGAAAGCTGAGAGACAATTGTGTCGAGGTTTAAGAAGATGATCATATCGATCTTGTCTTCTGCCTTCATCTTCTTCCCGATGATCTCTGTGAAGACGTCAATAGCCGCATCCCGTACCTTTTCTTCGCCTACTCTGAGTTCCGGTTGTTGGGCACGCCCCAGCTGCTGGAACAAAAGATCCAGCATTTCCTGGTTCACGACGAGACTGATGTCGATCCAGCTAACCCAGCTACCAACAGCCTTCAGGGACATCTCCACAATAGTATCGTTGCCATCCCGCCATTCAGATAGTATCTCTTTCCAGGAACTGGCGATCTTCTGGACGTCTCTCTGCCGGATCAAGTCCTTCAGGGCGTTTGCCCTGTCCTGTTCAGCGCGCGATCTTGAAACCAACACGTCACCGATTTCCTCATGGACTGCATTGAGCACTCGCAGGTAAAATATGATACCCGTCGGACTGTCGCGTGACGTACTGGAGGATGACTTATAGGTCAGGCTCAGGATATCGTCGAAGAAGGACTCCCAGCCACTGGCGTAGAGGGTGGAGAAGAGGAAAGTGAGGGTCTGAGCGATTTTATTCTGGATGCTGGGAGGATCGGGGGTTCCGGTTCCATCTGGTCCGTAGGCCTGACGAAGGTAGGTCATCAAGCCATCTCTGATGAAACCTAGAGTTTGAAGGTCAATCAGACTAGCCTGAGCGGCGCTGCTATTGACAACCTCAAGAGCCACATGCCGTACGACTTCCGAGTGCTGTGGAGTTTTTGTGAAGATAGAAAGGCAGACCTGCCATCCTGCGGGATCGGAGCGGAGCTGGTTGAGATAATCGAAGGCTTGGGCCTTGAGGGCTTGGTCTGAGGACTGATTCAAGGCGATCTCAACGGCACTTGCTACCTGGACAGGGGAGACATTCTCGTCAGATCTTTTGCGCAACTCTCAGACTTGACAGGAGGCATAAACATCAGTGCGGGGAGGAGGGGAGGCGGATGCTTGTTTTTCACGAAAGACATGTGTGCGGCATGAACAAATCCTTACTTGCTCTTCCATCTTCAACCGGGCGGGATGCCTTCGGAGTCGGTAAAGACTCAGAAGGCGAAGGCGTTATGAGTAGAAGGCTGTACTGAGTGGCAGGATGTGCGGGATACAGATCAGAACAGAATTTAAGAATGTGGAGGGAGGCCGATAGCACAAGGAGTCAGAAGGCAGTCATCGAATCATGGCTTTCGTCTGCAGAACCATCAGCCCTAGCCGGAAGAACGATATTTCGGAAAGAAGAAAGCTAGGAGAGATTATTTTACCTTTCATTAGAGAGTCAGAGAGAAAGACGAAAGAGAGAACAGTTGAAAGCCTTCTTTGGCTTGGGCATCTTTTTTTGTGGGCAATTTTTGCCTTTCTTGCATGTTGCGTGCCTGAGGCTGCAACAGAACCATATACACCATATACAGCAATGCATACTTGCGTCAAAGTCTACACTCCAGGTAAATACACAGCACAGAGGAATTGCACTTCCATCTGCTGCAATCGCATCTTCTCCAGCTAGTCAACTGTTGCTTTGTTCCTGTCCTGCAACAGAACTACTATGCGGCTATACAGAGTATGCAGAGATGCTTTCAAGCTTCCAGAGCATCACAATGAAAAGAAATACACATCTTCATAAACATCTAACAAACATGGTCCAAAAGATCAAAGGCTGTTTCCAGTATTCTGCAAATATGGACCTGAAGAAGATTCCACCTCCATCTCAAGCTCCATGTGATGACAACCTCGGTTCCCCGCCGCACGCACTGCAATTTCTCTGCTTCAATAAGAGGACGGAGTACGCATTTGTCTTCTTCAAGAAAACATATACCTGAGTTTATTCTGGTCTTTGTCATATCCTTCCTGAGGTTCATCAGAACATGGCTTTTCATAATTGCTGCTCCCTATTTCTTGCCGAAACGCAGAGTCTCTGGGTTCATATCGTGAAATCCTATTCACCCCAATCGATCGAATTGGTCGGCACGCTTCTCATCCAAGCTGTATCCTTCTGGCTTGTATGTCTTGTTTATCTGGCTCTGGATGTACTGCTCCCACACTACTCTAGCCGACACAAGCTCCAACCGGTCCCCAAGCAGCCCTCGCGCAAGGATGTCTGGCACTGTTTTACGCTCGTGGCGCAGAACCAATTGCTCTCTCTGGTCCTCCATTTGATCCAGATCCAAGCAGTCTCGCGAGGCCTCATATCAGCCTACCGGATTGATCCCTCCCTTCCGTCGTTGGCGGAGTTCACTCGAGATTTTATCCTGAGTTTACTGCTCCGTGAAGCTATGTTCTACTACGGCCACCGTCTACTCCATGTCCCCTGGTTCTACGTCCGCATTCACAAGCGGCATCATCGCTTCGTTGCTCCCATCGCCCTGGCTGCTCAGTATGCACATCCGATCGAGCACATCTTCGCCAATACCATCCCTATTACCCTGCCGCCGCAGATCCTGGGGAGCCATATCTTGACCTTTTGGGCTTATCTGGCATACGAGCTCTTCAATACTGCCACCGTGCACAGTGGGTATGATTTTTTCGGAGGTAAAGCGAAGATGCATGATTTGCATCACGAGAAGTTTAACCTGAACTACGGCTCCATTGGACTTCTTGATTGGTTACATGGGACGAATGTGCTTCGGAGTCAGAAGAAAAGGGACTAGGGTTGGCATTGGTTGCAATACCTCATTTCCACGACTGTGTTGAAGTAAATAGGATCGATGTTGTGAAAAATACAGGTGTACATATTATACAAATCGAAGAAGTTTTACAGGTATCTCCATAATATATGACCACCTTCTACATGTCGGAAAATCATCTCATCATTATCATTGCTGATAGAAATACAGATATCTATTTATTCGCCAGCCGTCTGCTTTCTTCTTGCTTCAAAACTTGCGCCTCCATCTTCTCGAATCCTTCCAGCGCCCTTCCGTACTTTTCAAAAGCATCCTTCTGGTAGCCGTCTGCTATCTTCTCAATGAAGTCTTCCTCATGCCATCGCTTGCCGATCAGGTCCTCGAAAGTCTGAGCGGGCGCTCTTTCGATCGCCCATACTGCATTGTAGGCAGCGCCTAGCGCACATGCATTGTCCCCAACGTCCAACTTGTACACCCCATCCACTCCGCCGAGAACCTCGCCTGCAACCTTGGCAATGGCCTTGTTTTTCGACCCACCGCCTACGAGGTAGACACGCCTAGGCTGAGCGGGGAGTCCGTCGTCCGGGCTGGTCGTAAGACCGCGTGACCGGAGCCGGAGAGAGAGCATCTGGCTTTCAACAATCGCGCGGGCCTCGTCAAATGGTTCGTTCCAGCCTTCCGCTGACTCCTTTAGGCTTCCATCCTCGGGGTTGTAGTTGAACCGCCACTGTCCTGAGCGCACGTTCGGGACGATCTCCGGTCGTGGGAAGAAAAGGCCCATCTTCATGAGGTCCGATTCCATCTTTTGTCCAACTGCAGGGGTCTGTAGCATTACTCGATCGAATTCCGCCCATGGATTTGCCGGTTTGTTTACGCCCAATTTCTCATTGATCGCATCGCGCACGTGTTCGCGAGCCAGGCCTCCGTTCTTATAGCAGAGCATGAACATGTAGAGTCCTGGTGTGGTGGGATGGTTGAAGAAGTGCGTGGAAGGGTCCGGCTTATAACTCGGCGTCGACATGAGGAACGTAGTGGATGTTCCGAGAGACACCATAGCATCTGACGGCCTCAAGGGCAGTGAGAGGATCGTTGCCGGGTTGTCTCCGGTAGACGAGATGATCGTGCAATCACGGCTGAAGCCATAGCGCTTGACAAAGTACTCATGGATCTTACCCAGGTGCGCTCCTCCATCTTCAGGAACCTCGCCGAGTTTACGTTTCAGGTCTTCGACGCCGAAAGTCCCGGCACAAAGTTGAAGCAGTCGATCATCATAGGCGCCCTTTTCGATGTTCCACAGGTTCATACCGCACACATCTGAAATGTCCAACGGGGCAATCCGTCCCAGAAGGATCGATGCCAGAAATGACGATACCAACGATATCCTTGATGTCCTCTTATACACCTCGGGATATTTCTTCTGAAACCTGAGAATCTGGGGGCCGGTAAATCTCTGTTTGCGGGAGATAGCCATAATCGTCAATATAGCTATTCTTTAAAGAGAGAGGGAGAGAGAGCATATTTGTTTTCAGCAAACCCCCTTACTTACATGGTGAGCCTTACTCCCTGTGACCCACGCCAGCTGTTCCTGACCGCCGAGATGCGCATCAAACTCCTCACATTCTTCTTGGGTACTGGCATCTTGCCAATTGGGACTGTAGGGATGAGAGAAAGCTGTTCGAAGCTGCTCTTCGAGAGTCTTCCCTGCATCCAAGTTCCCCAGTAACCCCTCCGCATCCTGACTCCAGTACACGCTGCCATGCTGCTGTCCAGCGCCGCTGATGCCCTTGACACGTCTAAAATCCAGCCCTTGTTTCTGCAGCCCATTCAACACCCCATCCAGCGCCTGCAGCCACAGGGCGACCGGGGCGAACACCTCATGCTCCGCTTCATTCGTCAACACGCCTTTCTTGATCTGGAATCCGTGGGAATCGGCATCGAAATCGAATTTGGAGATGTTGACGACCTTCAATTCCGAGTTCACAACTAGGCCCTTGAGCTGCTGTGTCGAGAGATCGAATCCGATATACAAGGGGCCTTGAAACGCCATTGTGGTGACACGATGGGGGTTACTGTACTTGGGTTTTGGAGAACAAGCGAGCTAGATAAAGTTTCCAGTGCGACAGTAGCAGAACTACAATTCTGTATTACATGAGAACAAGGACAGGTAAAGAGATATGTGCCCCGGATTATTATTATTATTATTATCTCGTCTCTCGTGATCTGCTCCGCTGGTCGGTAAAATTCCATCTGGGTCATGGGAACAGGTTATTATTATTACTATGGGGAATTCTCCACGGAGCACTGCAGCCCATGAGCCGGCTATGATGCACATCCACTTTCTTCTTTTTTTTCTTGCCTGTGATGTAATCATGCTCACGATGAGCTGCAAAGAACTGTCTAGACAGCGGGTAATTAATTGGTGACTACCGGTTAAAACCAAGAGTTTCTAGAATAGCAGATCGTCGTGTCTTCTGCGCAAAGGCTGAAGGATCGTATTCTCTTCATTTTTAAATAGTATGTATATACAGCGCTGTACACCCATAGCTACTCCATACTCCGTTGAGAAACAATCGCATGCGGCTCTAATGTCTATAGACTCCAAGCTGTCACAAAGAAAGGCCCCCAAGATTCAGGCTGCATGCCCCAGCGATCGATGGATTGCCCACCCAATTTTTAGGCCCAGGATGAAATATATATTGCAAGCATATCAAATCGGGGTCCGTCACATCCACGTTGATGACCACAACCTCAAAACTTCTTCGGCACACTTCGTGCCATTGTATCATATATTCATATGCCCTTCTTTTGAGAACCAATCATGTAACGCCTCCTCTTAAAAGACCCGTACGTGCAATGGCGAAAAGAGATGTGAAAGAAGACAAGCTCTTATCGTCTCTTACGAGACGAATCTTCTAACTCGGAATGCTGATGCGCGTGGTGATCCGCAGAAATGAACTCCTCTGAAAACTTCAGATCCCCTTGCTCGAGAGGCACGAAGCGTACCCTAACACGCTTGGCACCCAATACGTGGTCACCGACAGCGTCTCGCACAGCTTCTTCAATCTCTCTGGATCGGTTGACTGACCAACTGCCCGGCACAGCTAACTCAATATCGAGAAGGTAATTCTGGCCGGATTTCATGCCTTGGATGTCACGGACCCGGATGCTATCAGAGCCTTCTGTTTGCGCAAGTACCTTCGACACTGCCTCCCGTGTCGATGATTTTACATCATCGTCTATAGCTGCATCTGCGAGTTCTAGGAGCGATGTCTTGGTATTTCCCCATCCGGCTCTCACAACCATCATAGAAATAAGCAGGCCACCGACAGGATCTAGCCAGAAGGCATTTTGGAACAGATGTGTGCCGCCGATGGTAAACAATGCCACAAGAGCTGTGAGCGAGTCGACCCGGTGGTGAATGGCGTTCGACGCAAGCACGGACGACTTTCTTTCATCCGCGACCTTCATCGCTAAAACGAGGATAATCAACATCAACATGAGCCCTCTTTTCGAGTGATTCAGTTTAACCGAGGTACTCACTAGCACGGTAAAGCCATTCCTTTACGATAATAGAACCTCCCGCAAGCCACGCGGCGTTCACATTCGGCCCAAGGCTCTCCAACCCATGACTGTGCGAGTGAGAATGTCCCACAGATATTAAGTGACCGATTGCATCGGCTGCTTCCGGATAGAGCTGCCCGAGCAGAACATGCCCCGAATTCAGTCCCATTAACACTCCACCGCAGAGTAAGAGCGAGCTAACTCCCAAGGCACCGATACTCTCGATTTTCCCGTATCCGTTCGGGAACCTTTCGGTTGGGGGTTTTAGAGACCATGCAACGGTTCCCAGTGTTAGAAAGTCAGAGACAAGATCCGTAAGCGCGTGGTATGCATCTGCAATGAGAGCCTGGGAATGAAAGACGTAGCCTCCGATGAACTTTCCCAGCGCCATTGCAAGGTTGACAAACAGACCGACTCGTGTGATACGGACGCCAGCATCGTCCTTGTTGGCCGACGTCAGATAGACATTACTATGGTGATGGTGGTGATGGTGTCCATGGCTACCATGAGATCTCTTCTGACTTGCCATGGTTGGAAGCGTGACAAGTGTGGTAGCGTGACATTCAGCGCTGTGCGTGCGCCCGGGAAGCGAGGATCGAAAGGGAAAAAAAGGGTCTCTGGAGGCAAGACGAGACGCGTAAGTCGAGGCGGACGTGCGCAGGATGTGGCACTGTGTTGGTCGATGCACAGTCGAAACCGGAATACTGGAGGTTGCCCGTTCCTTGGGGGTAAAGATGAGCAGCGGAGATGCTGATGGACGGGCCCTGCACAGCAGGGACTGCGTCAGTGGCATCAGGGCTGCGATGTGCTTAGAGGACAGGGTGTTCTTCTTGGCCTCTGGGTCGATAGGATACTGCTACACTGTCCATTGCAGAAATCCCTTCTTGTTCCTGGACCTCTCCAGCTTCGACTGATCAAATTCAACCCGGTCGACATCCGATCCGACGGGCGCTGGCTGCTTGCTTATTAACGGACTGGGCGGAAGTTCCGCAGCGGATGGAGTACGCTGTGAATACGCGGTGCAGCACAGTTGACGCCACAGAAAACTGCAAGTTTTCCGGGGGAGAATCGAGCAGTGACAATAATAATGATGACACAGCTTTGATGTTTTGCTCCACGAATATTCAGTTTCCGGATCCCTGCTTTCATTGTGTGTCCTGCTGAGGATTAAGCTTCCCCATCCTCTTCAGGGAGCAGTCTCTATGACCGCTCCTTCCATCAGAATTCCGTTCACTGGACCCTTACCCCCGGCCATTATTACGCCTGCTACCGCAAGTACGGTCGCAGGGGCAATTGACGCCATCTCGGCGTTCTTTACTGCGCCGCCGTCTCCACACCTTCGAGGCTTCGATGCTGGCCGATCGTCTCAAACAGTCTTACTGACGGGCGCTGGGATCTCCGTGGAATCTGGTTTGTCCGACTATCGCGGGAAGAATGGTACGTACGTGAGGAACAAGGTATATAGGCCCATATATTTTCATGAGTTCATCTCGCGGGATGAGTTTCGCAAGCGATACTGGGCCCGAAGCTTTATCGGGTGGCCAGCACTCATGAAAGCGAAGCCTAACTCGACGCATTTCGCCATCAAAGACCTCGGTGCGAAAGGCTACATTAGCTCCGTCGTGACACAGAATGTTGACTCTTTCCATTCGAACGCACACCCGGAACTTCCTACACTCGAGCTGCATGGCTACCTCAGGTCCATCATCTGCACTAGCTGCCGCAATGAATTTTCCCGCGGGGATTTCCAGAACTCTTTAGCGGCTCTGAATCCAGCCTGGGCGGACTATTTACATGAGATTATTGAGATTGGTGCTCTGGATACCGATAACCCCGAGGAACAGCGACGGAAAGGTCTGAAAATGAACCCAGATGGTGATGTTGATCTTGCGCAAGCCCCTTACTCTACCTTTCGATATCCGGCTTGTCCTACCTGTTTAGAGAATCCGCCCATACTTCCAGATGGTACGAAATCGAAGGTGGAGGCTGAAAGTGATGGGGCATGGTCACCTAACTCCAACGCTGGGATCCTGAAGCCTTCGGTGGTTATGTTTGGAGAGAATATCCATTCGACAGTCAAAACAGCTGCAGAGGAAGCGATTGATGATGCTGGAAGGCTTCTCGTCCTTGGCAGTAGCCTGGCAACATTCTCAGCCTGGAGACTGGTGGAAAGAGCTCTTAAACGAGGCATGGCTATTGGCATAATCAACGTTGGCGGAGTACGAAATGAAGAGGTCCTCTTTGGACAGGTCCAGCAAGACAGTAGCCTCATGGTCCAGCGTGTCCGTTGCAGTCTCAAATCAGAAATTATTCTACCCTCAGTGGCATCACAGTTGCCACCCATGCATAGATAGATGTCCTCGTGTACACTGGCTTGGCTTTTTCATGTATATAGATGTTCACATACATGCGGATTATTAACTGCAATTATAATAAAAATCATTGCACGGAAGTATGGTCAACCCAACTACTATTTTCAGGAGTGAACAAAGGGCTGCCCAGGATTAGCAAGCAGCATTAAACGCCGGCCGATCTATTTTTACAGCGTTGTTGAAATTGAATTCGCAGCCACATGGTCCCGCCAGAGGTGCTCATTGTTCCCGGGCGGCGCCTCCAAGCCGCGGGGCAATCCTGGATGTACATTCACAGCCAAGTTGGACATGGACACTCGAAACTTCAGTGTCTCAAAGCACTCCTCATCAGATCGCCAAATTGCAAACTATCTGGAGATTGCCTCTTCTCTGGTGTCCCCTAGTACCTTTCTTTTCACTAAACGCCCCAGGCCTCAGTCGTATTCTTCCTATTCTGGGACTGCTTTACAGCAGGCAGCGCGCACTATGGATAAAGCACATCATCCTAGCTCCTTTCAACAGTTGGAAAAGGTTCGCAATATCGCTATCACTTGTCTCTGTTCTATTTTTGGCTTTTCTTCCCTCTTTCCAGGGCTTGAATCCTCACTGATCTCATGCAGCTTGGAGAAGGTACCTATGCTACCGTACGTTGACGGCCTTGTCTTTCCTGATTCTCTAACTTTTCACCACGCGTGCAATTTAGCTGATCCAAGTCATCGCAGGTGTTCAAAGGACGTAATCGACAAACTGGCGAACTTGTTGCGTTGAAAGAAATCCACCTTGACTCGGAGGAAGGAACACCGTCGACGGCAATACGAGAGATCTCGCTGATGAAGGAACTGAAGCACGAGAGTATTCTTTCGCTTTACGATGTCATCCACACGGAGAACAAGCTGATGCTAGTTTTTGAATACATGGACGAAGATTTGAAGAGGTACATGGACACCAGGCGTGAACGTGGACAGTTGGACCCTCTCACCATTAAGTCCTTCGTGCACCAGCTCCTCAAGGGGATTGCGTTCTGCCACGAAAACCGAGTTCTTCACCGAGACCTTAAGCCCCAGAACCTCTTGATTAACAAAAAGGGCCAACTGAAGCTTGGAGACTTTGGCCTTGCTCGAGCATTTGGGATTCCCGTCAACACATTCTCCAATGAGGTTGTGACTCTGTGGTACCGTGCCCCTGACGTCCTCCTGGGCAGCAGGACATACAATACGAGCATTGATATTTGGTCTGCCGGATGTATCATGGCAGAAATGTATACGGGTCGTCCGCTTTTCCCAGGAACCACAAATGAAGATCAATTGCAGAAGATCTTCCGCCTCATGGGCACGCCATCGGAGCGTTCCTGGCCGGGCATCTCGCAGCTCCCTGAATATAAACCAAATTTCCACGTGTACGCCACGCAAGATCTGGGTCTTATTCTCCCACAGATCGATCCTCTCGGGCTAGATCTACTCAACAGGATGCTCCAATTGCGACCGGAAATGCGTATCACCGCGGCTGATGCACTGCAGCACCCTTGGTTCCATGACCTCCCCCAAGTGCAGGCACAGTTACAGCAACAGCAGCAGATGGCCGGTGTATACGGAGGGGTGATTACACCTCAGCAGGCGTACTGATGCGGGGATTTCCATTTTCTTTTTCACTGTTGTAACGAGAACCCAGTTTCCTTACTTTAAATTCGAGGTTATTAATGAGCATGGCGTTCGTTATACCAGACAGGTTGTCAGCTTACTGAATCATAATTTGCTTCTCCCCGCGGTGGCCTAAAACACCTCACGCCCCTACTTGTTTGAACCAATGCATATCCAATCTGAAGTTAGAGAATTGTACGTTTGGCTTTGCGTTTCGTTTGTTATCTATGTCTTGCTTTTCTGGTCGGCACTCAGAGTAACTTTAAGCTGGTCGTTGGAGAGGCTATAGTTTATCTATAATGTTAATTCATACCTCAATTTTTTTTCAAAAAAAAACTTGAGCATCTATGTCTTGATTCAGTATTATTCTTGCGAAGAAGCTTGCTAATACAGATCTCTGTGGAGAACCCACGTGATTTCCTTGGAGAGATGGTATCAGTTAATTATTCTGGATTACTTCTCCTTCAACGCAAACCGATTCGGCAGACAATCCAATTCACATTCTTTCTAGAGAAAGAAAAATAAAAGAGGGGGAAAATGTCAGAAAACATACCACAGAATCCAAATCAAAGGGACCCAGTAACCTCACCATCTCCACCCCCTCCAGCACCGGTCCCTCTAACCCCCGGCCCGCGCGCGTCGCGTCTCCAACAAGTCTTCGAGCAAGCATTAGCCCGGACACTGCGCGCGAACTCGTACGCAAATTTCGCAGGATGCTTCCCGACCCCCGCGAGACATGTCCCTTCCAGTCTGGAATCGGTGTGGAGGCAACTTAACGCGAAACTGGAGGAGAGCGCGAAAGCTGAATTTGATGATATCATTCGCGAAAGGGATGCTGTTCGGCAGTTAAATGAATTGGATAGATTGGTTGGAGAGGCTAGGTTTCGAATGGATAATGGGCAGGGTGCGGGTAATGTTGCGTATGTCTTGTCTCTCTTATAAGCGGTCGTTCTTTTGCTGACGGGGAGGAAACAGCCCTCATACCCTTGGAGCAGATGAGCTCTACAAAGCGCATCTTACGCCATATCTACGGGAGGCGCAATCAGTTCTCGAGACAAAACTCGAAGCTACTCATGCAGAGAATGCGGAGTTGGCGGGAAAAATACAAGCGCAACGGTCGGAAATCCAAGCTTTGTTATCAAGTTTGGAAACCGTTGTGACCGACCTTGAAGGTGCTACTGCCGCTACGGAGCAGTTCGCTAAGGAGAACGATCTACGTCAGGAATTTATCCAAATGGACCAAGAAATCAAGGCTAGACGAGACACATAGCTGAACTTCACAAGTCCTTCTTAGGTGGCTCACGTTAATCCCAAAGCTATAAAGCCTTGTGGGGATTTATTCATGACAACAGAGATTCCATGTCCGTTGCAGATACCAGTCCATCGTCCACCATATCCTCGGCAACTATTAAGAGGTCTTTCGATGCGGTAGCTTTGAGTCTGTCCAGTTTACCTTTTTGACCGTCCAACGCTGCTGCAAATGCCTCTTTAAATGCACCGTCTCTTTCATCGTCCGGTATTCCACCGCGTCTCGCCAAAGCTGCTACTCCTCGATAGTATGTTTGAGCGTTGCGAAGCAGTGTGGGCGCGTTTTGCCGCGACATTGCGAGGCCCCAGGGAGCACAGCCGAGTCTCCACCTGTACATCTCGACGTCACCCCTCGCAAGATGGATTTTAGACAGATTTTCTGCGTCAGGAAGCCGTGACGCGGCTGTCAAAGCTTCAAGGGCAGAGGAAAGTGATTGCCAACGCAACGTTAATGACTTTTTGAAAGCTTCCAGGTCATGGGCAGGAGGCAGATCGGCAACTGCGCTGTTAAAAGATGTGAGCGCGTCTGCTTTACTGCAGAGACCGTCTGGATCTCGCGAGAGATCCAGGTCAGAGCCGAAGACGCGCGCGATTTCTCTGTGATAAGTTTCAACCTCAATCCTCTCGCTTCGATATAGAACCTCGCTTAAAGCGCATGTAAATTTAGCATAAGCCAGCGACGCTTCGTAGTGTCTTTCAGAGCTTTCAACGTAGGCAGAGATCTTGGCTTTTAGTTGGCCACCTGAATATTCTTCCACCCAAGCAAGACCAGTTCCGGGGCGGAATGCGAGCAGATTACAGAGGGTTGTTAGTGTCTCAAGTTGTGCCACAGCCGTGTCGACGAGGGTGTTCTTTGTCACCGGTTCAACTATTGCAGCCCATTGTTCCTGTGGTTCTTGGGCGGCCTCGCAGTTGTCCTCTTCTTGCATTTGCTCCTCATTGTGGCTATCGCCATATGAAGCTTGAGCTTCTAGTTGCCTGGCTTGCTCTTCTGATTCCGTGTAACGGAGTTCCTGCAAGAGAAGACAGCGCTGGAAAAGCTCTAAGGCCTCTTGAGTGTACTTGATGGCTTGAGCAATCTGATCGTCAGGCGGGTGTTTTGAGTCGGTGATTTCATCCGCGAGGCTAGTGAGCACCTGGGCAGTGTTGAAAAGGGCGTCCGCGTTATCTTGCTGCAGCTCAACGGCCGCCCTGTGGGATTGCAGAGCCACCTGCAGTAGGTCAAGGAGTGGAGCAGGAAGTTGGGAAGCTAGTTTAGGAGACTGTGTGATTGCATATTGAACTCGAGCTCTAGAAGAACGGAAATGGGAATATGTCAGTTCTAGTATGTTTCGCCTCCTTGAATAATAGGTCGACTTTTCTTCTTCTTTTCTCAGAGCGCATCACTTACTTGTTATAAGCCAAGTCGAATGAATGTGGATATTTCCGTAAGCCTTCATCGTAGTTGTTGATGGCACGCATGAAGAAGCGCATTGATTTGGCAGCATCTCCGGCGCGCCATTTCTCTCCCCCTTCTTCTAGTTCGACGCCAGCTAATGAATGAAATGTCAGCCTTTACAGTAGATGGACACCAGATGGAAGCCAAGCAACGTGGAACGAGCTATCCCAATTGCCCGCATGGGGAGGTATAGCCTGGGTAAAGAAAAGCCCACCTGCTAGGAATTCATCTGCAGTTTCAGGAGCCTGTTGAAGTCGGGCAACGATCAGCAAGGAATAGCCATTATTGGCAGTAGATGACATTGGATGGAAATACCTGCTGTGCTATTTTCTTCTTCTTTGTCTTGAGCTCTTTGAGAAAAGTCTTTTGCTTCGGCATATCAACGGACCCAGGAAAGAAATATTGATGCAAGCGCGATATGCGATAGGAATAAAGGAATTAGACTTTATAAGCAGATATGATATGCGCACATAGCTATTAGTAGCAGCGTCTGTTTTCACTTTTTTTTTGGCTTCCCCGGAGCAGTTGATTTAGCGGGGTTCATTTGTGACATGCGGAAGCCTCATGATCAGATCACTAGGTGTGTATTATTTACTATTCTTTACTATTGCCACGACAGCTACAAGGACCTTGTATTCAAGTATTCAATATGATCAGATTCTCTCAAAGTCAAAGGCCATAGAGTTTCTGGATGAAACCCATGTGTCTTTTGCTGCCAGATCTTCTCTTGGTCTTGATTAGAATAATACACCTACAACCGTAGATCAGCTCACAATATCAAGTGCAGCAATAATAAAGAACTGTTTAACTTCCAGCTCTACGTGGCTTTGTTGAAACTGCAATAATAATAATAATAATTAATGGCTCATGGAAACTCGCTGAATAAAAGACAGTAGGTCGATTTGTGCATGATATATCCATGTAGATGCATCCAGAGATGTCGATGGATGTGGTGATTACCTGCATCTATTATTATTATTATCCATAAGATGCCCCTTTCAATAAAGGCCTGAGGCTTTGCGCGCTCTCATCGAGCCACAGCATTGGTTCCTGCTGCTAGTCCGCTCCCATGAGTTCATCCGGAACTCTCTCTCCCACTTGCATCCCCGACGTTATTATTGTCCCTTCATAGCCTGAACAACATCCAGTCTGGTGCATCCAGTTCTTCTGCCTGTTTCTTTGACCTTCCCACAAATCTTCAGGTTCACAGTGCTTTGGGAATTTAATTCAATTTAATCTACATACCTTCCTTGACCCACAAGCCCGGTCGGCTCCTTTGTCTCCTGACTTGCATTCTACCTGCTCCGGACTCCATAATCGCCCGTTTTTCGCCCTACGATCTTGCTCTTAATAATAATACTCCGTGCTGCGGTCGGTTTCGTCACCTGAAGGTGGCTATAGCCCTGTATAGTTGCCTACCGCTGTGAAGAAACAGTCTCTCTTCTCTCTGCACAAAAAGCTTTCCCCCTCTTTATCTCCCTCCCTTTCCAGTCGTTTCTTTACCGGCAAAGATGGCTCGGCATCCTTCGGTAGAATCGGAGAGGCCGATTATTGCCGTAAGTGTCTCTTCCGCCCCCAATTGCTATGTTTTGGTGCTATTGGGTCGTTTCTAACTTCCCCATCTCACACCAGAATTGCAACTCCAAGAGATTCTCTACCATGAGTGCGGCTCCTTCAATTTCGCATTCAGAGGCCAGTTTGGGAAGTCTCCCCAGCGGCGATCCAAGACTAGCGGATATCCACCAACTCTCTATCGGTCTAGAACGCCTGGAAAACAAACCCCTTCTGAAGCAACGTTTTGTCCCGACACCCGAGAAGTCTGAAAACCTTAGCAAACTGGCCCTCGGCGCAAAGGTTGAGCGAGCACTGGGACGGAGGATGACCAGTCAGGATGCGGTCATGCGGGAGCCTATCCTCAAGGAGAAGGCAGCGACGACTGCTCCGGCAGCCCATTGATTAATTAATCCACCTCGAGGCGAAAGGATATAGGCTTGTGAGGGGCAGTAGAGTGTTTATGCTCCATGCTTTCTTTACATTGCTCTTTTTAACCTAATCTGCGTGGAGAACTCATTGCTCTGCACGCTCATGTCTTTTCTGTCAGTGGCGGGATCTTTGGAACGACTAATGCGGGATTTGGATTTGTGATTTATGAGAATTGCTGTTTTCTTGCATGTTGTACGGTCTTTGATGTCCATTTTGATACCTTAAGAGCAATTGCAGTGGTTTCGATATATCATGTCCACTGTGCTCCACCTCCCCTATGCATAATTCCTTTAATTGAAGCTTGCCATAATAGCACTGTGAGAATAACTGCTCCATCTGTCATTTGCATCTTATTTCCGTCACTTCGCTGTTGACCATGGAATAATATCATAATTAGTATTATTATTATTCGGAGATTATTCAGTGAATCGATCGCTGATGCTCCGTGCGTTGATGAGCCGGGCGGTGTGGCGCTAGGAACCTGAGGCAAATTTATGCGAGAAGCTTGACGGCCGTAGATTAGTAGTCCACCACACTGACGCTTCACCTTGCCTCGATTCTCTCCTCTTTCTATCCCAGTGCTGCTGGCTAATTGCTCCTCCCCATCATCATCTTCTTCCGCACTCCATCGCCAAGGGTCTTTTTTTCCCCATCTCTGCTCCATCTGAACACTGCTTCTGTCCTTTGTATCCCCCATCCTTCCCTGGCTTCTTCGCCAACATCTGCAATCCCACAACAGAATCTTTTTCTTGTCTGCAACGCTGCACAATTATACTCACAACTCGCATAGTTGTTTATTATCACCTTTTATTTCACTTCTTCTTGTTCATTTACAGTTTTTATACGTCTTCCACTTTGCAGTGTGAGTACTTGTTTCTTTGTCCATATTTATTTACACAGTTTGCACAGCAAGAGGGTTTTAATAATCAAATACTGACGGACTTTCGGCTCTCAAGTGAGGGTGGAAAGAGTCTTCTTTTTAGATTTCATATCATCCAGCACCTTATAGAAACTTCTTGCCTGTTTTTGCTTGTCCCGCATTCTTGTCTCTACCATCTCTAAAAGTCCCTGTTACCTATCCGTTTATTCAACATGGCTACTACGACCCAGGCCCCTGTCAACGGCAACTATCCTGTTCAGCAAACATATGTCGACGCTTATAGTCACGCTCAGGCCGCGGTCAATAACAATGCCGCGAGTTTCCAGCAGACACAGTCTGCTACTCCGTCAAATGCTCCCCCGAGCGAGCAGAAGAATGATATATCCAAGGATGAGGTCGGCTGGTATTTCGTCGAACAGTACTATACAACCATGAGCCGCAGCCCTGAGAAATTGCATCTTTTCTACTCTCGACGCTCGCAGCTCGTTTTCGGAACTGAAGCTGAGACTGTTCCCGTCGTGGTTGGGCAGAAGGTGAGCCAACGTTTTCCACGACCTTCACCGTCGAAGGGCCTTCCGTTTGCTGACAAGCACTGTTGCTTTTTAGGCTATCAATGAGAAGATTAGGCAGCTGGACTTCCATGACTGCAAAGTCCGTGTCCTCAATGTCGATTCTCAGGCCTCCTTCGAGAATATTTTGATCTCGGTCATTGGCGAAATCTCCAACAGATCGGAGCCGTCGCGCAAGTTCGTCCAAACTTTTGTTCTGGCCGAGCAACCTAACGGTTACTATGTCCTTAATGACATCTTCCGGTACCTCGTTGACGAGGAGGAACTCGTACCAGAGGAGCCTGTTCCTGCTGATGAGACTGCCAAAGAGACCGCTCAGGCTCCTACGGAGCCTGCCGCCGAGGCTGCAGCCCCCTCTCTGGAGGCTCAGGTGAACAACGAAGCTGCCGCAGAGAAAGTTGATGAGAAGCTGGAGCATATTGATGTCAACGGTGCCGAAGAACAACCCAAGGAGCCTGCACCGAGCAACGGCGTTGATATTCAAGAAGCGGAGGCTCAGCAGCCCGTCCCGGCTGATGAAGAGCTCAAGCCCGAAAAGCCAAAGACCCCAGAGCCGACTCCTGTTGCACCAACAGACAAGGAAGCTCCTACAGCCGAGAAGGAGGCCGCTCCTCCAGCTAAGGCTGTTCCCAAGACTTGGGCTAACATTGCGTCCAAATCTGGAGCCTCTGCACTTGTTCCTCCTGCAATTCCTGTTGCCCCACCTAAGGCTGCTCCTGCTGCTGCATCGCCTAAGCCTGCCGCGACTCCTGCACCGGCTGCTGAGCCTACGCCTAGCCAGACACCCTCAAATGACAGCGCTGGCTGGCAAACTGCCGGCGAAAACAAGAAGTCGCAGCCTCGTACGGGTGACGATCAGAACGTTCTTGCTTACATCAAGAACGTAACCGAGAAGGTTGATGCCAGCTTGCTCCGGCAAGCACTATCTCAGTATGGCAAGCTCAAGTATTTCGATGTGAGCCGCCAAAAGGTATGGTCTTTTAATCCAAGCACCCTCCCTTGCGTTGGGCGTGGGAGCTAACACAATTCAGAACTGTGCTTTCATCGAGTTCGCGGAGCCCGCTGGTTACGCTGCTGCAGTGGCAGCCAACCCTCACCAAATCGGAACTGAACAGATTTACGTTGAAGAACGCCGTACTCGTACCAATGCTTACGGCGGAAATGCCAACTTTGGAGCTGGCAGGGGTGGTGCTGGCCGTGGTCGTGCTGGACAAGGCCGGGGCGGCTTCCAACGAGATGGCGGCCGTGGAGGGTTTGCTCCCCGTGGCCGTGGCGGAAACGTCACGCCCAAGGGCCGCAACCAGCCTCAGGCTGCATAAAGGAAAGGATGCCAGTGAGAATTCGAATGCGTCATGCTTTCTTTATCTCTCCGGCCGACGATACCTCTTTTTCTTTTTTCTACCAACCCCGCTGGTTGGTGCAGCGCTGATCTTTGTTCTATTGCTTACGGAATTTCCAGGTTATGTATTACTTTCCCATTTACCCATAATGACATGTGTTATGTGGCTCTCATTTTTGTCACAGTGCATCTTAGCGGTTGGAAAAAAGTTTTCATTTTTCCCAGCTCAGCACTTTTATTTTCCATGGCCTCTTTGGTTTGTGTTTTATGAGCTCTTTTTTTTTGTTACTTACTTTCTGCCTTTGTATTGTCCGCATCCGTGTGATCCTAGCATAGCGCACAGAAAGCCTATATTCTTCTCCCCTATTATTCCACATATCCTTCTCTTTCTCCCTGATACTGTATTTCAGATCTCAGCCTAACAACACTTAGTGTTCCTGTGCTCTCTTCTTTCTATTTCTATTTTTATTTTTATTTTTTTATTTTTTCACATTGGTATTGGCACCGTGAATTGTGTGGATGCATGGAATACTGTACAATCAATCCACTCAGGCACAGTGAATTGGTTTGCAGGAAGGGAACAGTATATGGATATCTGCAAATATGCTAGAATACACCTTTAGCTAATGTAAAACAATCGTGAATTTTGAAGCTTCTCAGGGTTGCTGCGCCAACAGGGCTGGCGGAGAGCAAGGGCGGAGGGCGGACAGGGTTGTACGATGACTGGTCCCGAGAGCGCGTATATGTAACGGTACTGTAAGGCAGCCACCCGCAGCAGCGATATTGCAATAGAGATGCTGTAATGTTCTGTAACGGCAGGCCGGCCGAACAATGGAATGGGTGGAGCGGAACGTTCTAGATTGTTCACGGCCTCAGGCAGAAATTGCCTCCTCACCCCTCCAGTTTCCTCGAAGAAAGACTAGATAAACGCAGAAGGAAAGAGAGGTTTCCAACGGATTCGATGGCTGCATCCTGTGATTGGCAAAACACGAATTTCCAGTGTGTCCGGATCCACGGAAAGCACTGGAACCAAGTGAAAGTGCAGAGCTCAAAGCTGGTTGAGCCCCCAAAGCGGTTTAGGGCACGGCGGAGCGCGTGGAAGTTGCTGGACGGCCGTAGAATCGCAGATTCCTGCTCTCTTCCCTCGCAACTATTTTATCCTCGCTTCCTCCGCTTCTCTCTTTTTCTTTCTTCAGCTTCATCTATCCATCTATCCATCCTCCCTCTGCTCTGTCAGGCAGTTTTCTCCCTCTTGTCAAAAAGCTTTGTCCTATTTTACCTTTTCCTTTCCTCCCTCCACCTTTTTCCCGTCCTAATCTGTATGTATTAACACTACCACCTTCCCTCTTTTTCACCCGCCCAGTTTCTGCTTCAGATTTGGTGAAAAGCTTTTCGCTAACCCGCTTGTTTTTTTCCCAGATTTACACATATTCTCACCATGTCTTCCGAAACCTTCGAATTCCAGGCTGAGATCTCTCAGCTCCTCTCCCTGATCATCAACACTGTGTACTCCAACAAGGAGATCTTCTTGCGAGAGCTTATCTCCAACGCCTCCGACGCCCTCGACAAGATCCGCTATGAGTCCTTGTCGGACCCTTCCAAGCTCGATTCATGCAAGGACCTCCGTATCGACATCATCCCCGACAAGGAGTCTAAGACTCTCACCATCCGCGATACCGGTATCGGTATGACCAAGGCTGTAAGTACCAGTGATATGTCTGAGTTATCGCGAGATCTAGGCTAACATTTGCCTTCTAGGATCTGATCAACAACCTTGGTACCATTGCTCGCTCTGGAACCAAGCAGTTCATGGAGGCTCTGACTGCTGGTGCGGATATCTCCATGATCGGCCAGTTCGGTGTCGGTTTCTACTCCGCCTATCTCGTTGCCGACAAGGTCACCTTCATCTCCAAACACAATGACGATGAGCAGTATGTCTGGGAGTCTGCTGCCGGTGGTACTTTCACCCTCACTCAGGATACCGAGGGCGAGCCTCTCGGTCGCGGTTCCAAGATCATCCTTCACTTGAAAGACGAGCAGCTTGACTACCTCAATGAGAGCCGTATCAAGGAGGTCGTCCGCAAGCACTCTGAGTTCATTTCCTACCCCATCTACCTCCACGTCCTGAAGGAGACCGAGAAGGAGGTCCCTGTTGAAGAGGAGGAAGAGAAGAAGGAAGAGGACGACGAGAAGAAGCCCAAGATCGAGGAGGTCGACGAGGATGAGGAAAAGAAGGAGAAGAAGACTAAGAAGATCACCGAGACCAAGGTTGAGGAGGAAGAACTCAACAAGACCAAGCCCATCTGGACTCGCAACCCTGCTGATATCACCCAGGAGGAGTATGCTGCCTTCTACAAATCCCTCTCCAACGACTGGGAGGACCACCTTGCTGTCAAGCACTTCTCCGTTGAGGGTCAGCTCGAGTTCCGCGCTATCCTCTTCGTTCCCAAGCGTGCTCCTTTCGACCTCTTCGAAACCAAGAAGACCAAGAACAACATCAAGCTTTACGTGCGCCGTGTCTTCATCACCGACGATGCCACCGACCTCATCCCTGAGTGGCTCGGCTTCATCAAGGGTGTTGTTGACTCTGAGGACCTTCCTCTTAACCTCTCTCGTGAGACTCTGCAGCAGAACAAGATCATGAAGGTCATCAAGAAGAACATCGTCAAGAAGACGCTCGAGCTCTTCAGTGAGATCGCCGAGGACCGTGAGCAGTTTGACAAGTTTTACTCTGCCTTCTCCAAGAACATCAAGCTCGGTATCCACGAGGACGCCCAGAACCGTCAGGCTCTCGCCAAGCTCCTGCGCTACCAGTCCACCAAGTCTGGTGACGAGGCTACCTCCCTTACCGACTATGTCACTCGCATGCAGGAGCACCAGAAGCAGATCTACTACATCACTGGCGAGTCTATCAAGGCTGTTGCCAAGTCTCCCTTCCTCGACACCCTCAAGCAGAAGAACTTTGAGGTCTTGTTCCTTGTTGACCCCATTGACGAATATGCCTTCACTCAGTTGAAGGAATTCGATGGCAAGAAGCTCGTTGATATCACCAAAGATTTCGAGCTCGAGGAGACTGAGGAGGAGAAGAAGGAGCGCGAGAAGGAGGAGAAGGAGTACGAGGGTCTCTGCAAGAGCCTCAAGAACATCTTGGGCGACAAGGTCGAGAAGGTTGTCGTTTCCCACAAGCTTATTGGCTCTCCTTGCGCCATCCGTACTGGCCAATTCGGTTGGTCTGCCAATATGGAGCGTATCATGAAGGCCCAGGCTCTCCGTGACTCCTCCATGAGCTCTTACATGTCTTCCAAGAAGACCTTTGAGGTCTCTCCCAAGTCCTCCATCATCAAGGAGCTCAAGAAGAAGGTTGAGGCCGATGGTGAGAATGATCGCACTGTGAAGTCTATCACCCAGCTGCTCTTCGAAACCTCTCTTCTGGTCTCTGGCTTCACCATCGAGGAGCCTGCTAGCTTCGCCGAGCGCATTCACAAGCTTGTGTCTATCGGCTTGAACGTCGATGAGGAGGCCGAGACCAGCGAGGAGAAGGCTGCTGAAGAGTCGGCCGCTCCTGCTGAGGCTACCGGCGAGAGCGCCATGGAGGAGGTTGACTAAACAGTTCACCCCTAGTCTTCCTGCGTCTTTGCCTTGTTTACCTTCCGATTTTACGACAGATGCCTTAGTTTTTTTTTTTTTCTCTCTTTTCAACGTGTTCTTATTCAAATAATAACGGGTGAAGATCATTTTCCAATTATTACGATGTGATACTACCGGCGTTTTGAGCGTTTATTTAAGAAGTGCTTGTGCTCTGTTATCCTTTCATTTCTCTTCCCGTTGAATTACCTGGTTTTCCGCCAGTGTCCTATTCGCCCTTTAGAGATTTGAAAGTTTTTCAGCAGAAGGGTCAGGTCTTATTATTTCTAGTACTTGAATGAAAAGCTTATTTTCAGTTTAATTAAGTATTCCTTTGAAGGCCTTTTGAATTTCATAGATCGTTATCTTCTGTCCACCCCATTTTAGCCAGTAGAAGTAATCCATGAACAAAATGCAGCGTAACTTAAAAAGACAACAGTGGCTATCCCAAGACCCTTCTATTGGACGATAACATAAAAAAAGGTAATAAAGGGAAAGAAAGATGTCTGTAGTCATAATGTATCGAGAGATCGTAAATAATCATACCATGCCCCAGTAGAACTCCCTTGGTAGAAAGAAAGCCAGCAAAGAAATAAGAATCACAATTAAAAGCTGATCCTTGCAAACTCCCAGATATGTTTTTAGTACCGTTAAGAGACACTTCACAAGGACTGACTTCCTTGGAGATTGTGAAGAACGTTATATGCATCATCACTTCTCTCAAAATCATGCCGATGTCAGTTACTTATGCCACAGGAATTGAAAGGCCAGTCAGACAAGTTCCGTGAGGATAAACCCCAGGTCTTCGCGAGTAAGAGAGCCAGCCCACCTACTACGCCAAAACTACTAACAATCTGAACGATGGCCCATCCTCGCCGGTTAAGGTCATCAGCCCACCGGACGACGCCCAAGGGGTCGTGCGGGCTGAAGCTTGAGACACGGCATTCCACCTGACGTCCACTGTACGTACGGACCAGAACACTATCTGCAGCTTTTTCCGCAGAGCCATGTGGTCCGCAAAAGCCAGGCGTTTGTGTAATAGGCACGAGTGTACCATCTATAACACACTCACTCAGACGTTCTGTAAGCCAGATGGCCCGCTCGCCTTGCGCTAGAGCTGCATATCTCTCACGTTCGTTTTGAAGACTGCGTTGCAGGTCTGACGCCCACTTGGCCAACCGCAAATGCGCCATCGTTTCCTCCTGTCGTGTGTAGTCGGCTATCCGTGCCAGGGTGTAACCAGAACCACCACCGCCAAGTTGTGACAATTGTGAGTAGGATGGACCCTCGTAAGGAACCGAAGAGGTTAATCCGGGTATGTTGCTCTGGCCAAGTCGAGTGCCTTGGAGTGTCGGCTGCCGCAGAAGTGGCCCGCCAGATCGTCCTTGAGCGAGCTTCTTTGCAGCAGAATGCCGCATCCAGAGTAGATTATCGCGATCGAACATCTTCTGGACCAGGAGATCTAGCTCAGACGATACCAGCGGCTGGACGTAATCCGGACTCATCAATATGCTGGCATCCATATTATCATCATCGTTTGATGTGGCGGATGACACGGCAAACGGTAGCTGGCCATCCAAATCATCTAGGTCGTCTCCAGGGGAATTACCAAAAAGGAAGGGCTTGATGGACGCTTCCTGAGCTTTCTTGTGAAATGAATGTTTCAATGAAGTAACTTGGCTGGGCGACAAAAGGTCCGCTCTTGATATAACGGGGATAACGTTCGTCAAGTCGCAGAGCTTTCTAATACATTCAATATCCGTGGCAAGTGTACCTAAATGGGCCTTCAGCAAAATATAGGCAGCTGACTGAAAGGGTGTGTGAAAATACCTTCAGAGATGAGGTACAGAATAGCATCCACCTGGGAGCCACCATTCCCAGCTAGCATGTTTTGAAAGTCTGCGCTTGAGTTGTTTAAAGCGTTCGTGTTGCGGAGAAGCTGCTGGTACATGTATTGAATAATGGCCGCGGTCTGATCCGCAGGACTCAAATTGTTACATGGGGTGTCAACGAAGCAGAGGTTTCGCTCCAAGACCACATCACCTAGGCTCTTTCTTCTTCTCAGAATTCGTGAATCTTCTAGGTCCGACCACCAAGAAGGATAAGGCTTAGTGCTGGCATAAATTTCCGAAACAGCGCTGGTCGAGCTATGGGCCGAGTTGGTTCGAGAACCCCGTCGTGATCTGGAATTTATAGCAGACGGAAAAGGGTCAACATGTACAATGTCCTCGCAAGCCTGAACAATGGATCGCACGATGGACGTTTTACCGGAGCCTAACAGATATATGACGTATTAGCTGAACAGGTTCAATTTAGACATCAGGGCCCTGATAGAATACCGACTCACCCGAAGCACCCGCAATAAGTACCTTAAACCGGCCCATTGCCTTCCCTTTCTCTGTGAAAGGTCGTCGACTGGGCATTGTGATGCTCGGCATGATCAGCTGGGATGAATTGTCCGGGCCCGGGGCGGGTGCGTCGCGGATTTCCTCCGCCTCTTCCCCAGATGCGATTGCATGGGTGCTGAGATCATCGGCAATGGATATGTCATCAAGGTGTTTGAGGGACTGGTTTGAGAAGGACTTTGGACTGCTTGGAAGAGATGATGGCTCGTCAGGGTTGCTGAGGTTAAGCGGGGTAAGAGGACGCGATGAAGCGGAGTCTGAAGGACGGCGGAAAGAAAAGGAGGGCGATGAGGAAGTCGCGTCCCTTCTGGAATTAAGCAAATCGACGAGTCTCTGAGATGGCTGTTGACGGTATGAGTCTTCATCGTTGGGATCATGAGATTGCTGGTTGACGACGGCGGGGTTGGAGAGCTTGCAGTCACCCGTGGAAGCCTCCTGATCGGAGTCATGGAGTGAAGTGGCCAGACTAGCCTGTTGAAGCGTCTCATCCAGGCTCTGGACACCATACATACTGTCCCTCAATGCATCGAAGTCGGTGGACAGATCGTCCGAGTCACGATTGCGTGTTAGGAAGAAAGTTGCGGGAGCGGCATTGCGGGGATCAGGCCATGAGGGAAGGACGGACTGCTCAAAGGACGACTTGCGAGATCGAGGAGGATGTATGTCTGGGACGGGAGGCCTCATGGCGGCAAGGGGGTGATAATGAAGAGGATAAAATGGTAAGTCCAGGATTGAGGGGGAGATCTGAAAGTGGTGGATGTAAATGTATATCAGAGATGACGAGGCCAAGCAACGTGACTTGTCTGGGCAGCGATCAGGTCAGAAACAACATCAAGACGTGCAAGACGTGTACGCGACCGCTTATTGATGATACTGGTACTATATTTTATGGTTTCTACTGCTGCTATTATTATGATAATATAGTATTAATATCAAAGGAGAATCATATCATGTCATGTCATGCTATTCCTCCATTTACCCCGTAGAGTCCACGCGCCAATGAGAAACGCCCTACTGGAACAGGAGTCCAGCAAGCTGACACCATCATGGGGAACATGCCAGCCTGCCTCGTGCAGGGATGCTAATAATCGAGTAAGATGGGAGGCTTGACTCAGTTGACTGCAGCGAGATGCTCAGCTGTGATGATGATGGTGATGCATGCGTATATCTAAGTATTATATGAAGGCATCCGAGGTGGGGACTAGTGGGTCTAGCGCGGGTGAAGTTTAAACATGTGCCAAGCCGCTATAAACCGGAGGTGCTAGTACTGTGTATACTATACGATACGATACGATACAGTATAGTACAGTACAGTACATACATGGGTATTATCATAATCACACTAGCATGGACCTTCACCCACTGGCAATGCTTCTATCTCTACAGTGTACAAAAAGGTCCTGAGAAATTCATGAATAATAAGAATAATAATGTCTGCAGAATACGAAGAAATCACCATTAGATCCAGCCTAAGTCAACCTGCAGCAATGTTACATAGGCTGTGGATGCTAGCTGCACCAGCACTAGCGCCAAAGTGTAATCTGCATCCATCGTTATGAAAAACCGAAAACGCCCGGCCAATGGCGCCGGCCGCCTCCATCCAACCTACTGCAGTTAGTATACTTCGTTCTCCTCACTCTCGCTCTCACACTCACACTTCTGCTCCCTTTTTCCAATTTTGTTCCATCCGTGCTTCCTCCCGCCAAAATTCCTGCGACCATGAGCAATCCATTGTCCCGGTAATCATCCGCTGCTGTCGCTGTTGCCTTTGCAACTGCGCGACCCCCCAACTGTCCTCCACCCGTTTAAACCCTATTATCGTTGGTTTGCGTGACTTCTGAGACAAAAACTCGGTCCTGACAACCCATCGCCCATTGTGTTAATCCATTGTGTGTCGGCCCTTTCGACTTCCATTTCGCCAGCATGGACCAAGAGACGTCCATGTCGTGGTCCGACCAGCTCCATGGGGAGTCCCTCATGACTGTTCCCGGCGACGATGAATTCTCCAACTTCCTCGAGTTTGGCATGGATTTCTCCCGTCTGAATGAACATGGACAATCTAGCCAGCATCCTTCTCTTCCTGGGACTGTTCCTGGCTCAGCGTCTGAGGTGGAGATGCAGACGGAACAAACCGATCAGCCGTCACAATTCAACCGCATGATGGCTGATTTCACAATGGACCTTCAGACCCATTCCCAAGGCCAGAACCAGCGTCAAGCCCAAGGTCAATGTCAGGACCAAGACCAGGGCCAGGCCCATCAGGCCTACGGGAATGCTGATATCGCTCCTGGGTTCTACTCACACGACCATTCACAGCAGAATCACCAACCGCGCCAACCATTTCACCAGGAGCTCACGAGCCAGCCCTATGTCTACGGCCATCCCATAATCCCTCCCACCCCCAACAGCATTGAACTCCATGGAGGCGCCGCAAGATACCAGCCACGAGTGGATGAGGCCAGTGATATTTACGATCAGTACTCTCGGATTAATGAAGAGCAGGTAAAGCATGCCCCAGATTTCGCTCGCTTCAACGGGTCTTCAGGAGCATGTCTAATATAACCATTACATTCCATAGGCCCTTTATACTCCTCTCGTCTCCCCGGCTATGACACCTTTGGAAACTCAGCTCCGATTCCCTGAATACACGGTCCCCGGGGAGTATCTCACTCCACTCACTTCTCCTGCCCTTGAAGCCCAGGGTCCAAACCACAATTCCTATCCTTTTCCGTCAAGACAGATCTCTGATATGGGCTTTGTGCAAACACCGTCGGATACTAGTGGGATCCCAGGGACATCCGCGCAGTCGTCGCCCGGCATAGTCAGGAAGCACCGCCGGCGGCCGTCAGCTTCCACCAGGTTTTCAGGGCGGGCAGGAAAACCTTCTCCGTCGGTCCGGCCTCAAACGCGGAAGAAGCCCTTGTTGCATATTAATTCCGGCGAGATTCTCAATGGGCTCTACCAGGAAAATGGCTCCAAGCGGCCGCCCAGCAGCGGCAACAGCTTCCGATTTAGCAGCAATGATAGCTCTGGTCAGGACTCGGTATCCCCAGAGCCACTCTCTGAGCCATTGATGCCGCCACCTGCGCTTCCCCAGACACGAAAGTCTCCTGCACTAGGCCCGCAGGCCCCCAGCTCTCACGCTAGCGAGGCAGCAACACCCGCAACGCTTATGCGCATTCAAAGTTCACAGCATAAACATGACCCGACAGGCCAGTTTAGGGGCCAAGCGCAACTCGTCGCTGGGGAACCATCTGACGAACTCATGGAGGACGTTGTACTACCAGAGGCCGCCACTCCAACGACGAAACTTCTGACCAAGAACCGCAACATCAGCACCAATGTGCAGACTGATGCTTCCACATATGCTGCTTCCGCCAGTGGAACGCCATCTTTGGAACCCAAGTCGGGGACTCTCAACAAAGCTCCGGGTTTTGTTGCGTCTAGCCCATGTATTGGGGCCATGTCTCCGCCCCTAGGGCCGATTTCCAAAAAGTCGGACTCCAGGAACGGAACTTCCAGAAAACGGCAAAGCGTGAGCTCATCACAGATAAGCCCTCCACTGCAGCCTAAAATCAGTCCAAACATCAAGCCAATGCTGCGCAGCGAAGGTAGGCATTGTTATTATAGCTTCTGATGTCAGAAATAATATGGACTGATGGATCTTTCTTTCATAGGAATGTCAAGCGAAGCTTCTGCCCTTTACTTGGCATCCAAGTCAAATTACCAACATATCTTGGATGGCACTCTTCTTCCTGGGGTATCCTACCCGGAAACTCTGGCGGAGAACCTTAGCTCAAAACGCACAAATCACAAACTCGCAGAACAAGGCCGGCGGAATCGAATCAACAATGCACTTAAGGAGATCGAGGCACTTCTCCCGCCCGGATTCGCCAGCGCAAAACTTGCTAAAGAGGCGGGCAGCAGCTCGAAGGTTGGCGAGAAAGAAAAGGCTGGAAATCCCATGATTAGCAAAGCCAGCACAGTGGAAATGGCCATTGATTATATTAAAGAATTGAAGAGAGAGTTGAAGGAGGCCCAGGAAAAACTCAAGGCTACCGAATCAAAACTAGGAGCGGCTGCCACAGTCAAAACGAATGAAGACAGCGGTCATGATCCATGTCCCAAGCAAGAGTCCACAGAATCTGAGAGGACAAAAAATGTCCAAGACGATTTGAAGAACAACGACTCTGCAAGTTCATCAACGGGAACAGCAAGTGCTATATCATGACTGATCACTCACGCACAATTACGTATGTTTACAGACGACAGGGATTTACATATTTGTTGGAATAATGAGTACACAAAAAAGAGCACCATCGGGTTAAATAGAGTTTTCTTTGACTTTCGGGCTACCTTTTGACCTTTTGACCTCGTCTTCAGTTTCTTCCCGAAAACCCTCTTTCTTCTCATTCTTTTTTTTTTTTTTTTTTGTTGCCATTTTATTCTTGGTCTTTACAAATTCTCTATCTCCATTCCCTTATGTCTATCTACACCTAGCTTACTTGGACAGTTGACTCTATCTGGGCGGGACAATTATTTGAGCAAATCTCTTTGTTTGGGCAACGGTTTGGGAGGCTACCTGATACCGTTATTCCTTCTGTTTTCCTTTTCTTCTACTTTTATCTTCCCTTCTAACTGAATGCTACCTGGGTAGAGTGTATATACCCGAAAGCTGGAAATGAAATCACAAAACCGAACTGGGTGAAATTGTTCTGATCTGCTTGATTGACAGTAGTTCTTTTCAGGATCTCAATTCGAAGTGATATTAATGTTCTAGTGGAAGCCTGATGAGAAGTACTATTTATTTACATTGCGTTCAGCTTTTTTATATCCTATATTTTTTGTTTAATCATATTATACGTAAAAACAGCTTTTGTTTTTGGCCCAATGTTGATATCCAAGATGTCATTTTTGTCTTTTGGTCTGCCTTTTATAATTTCACCTTTTTCTCCATCTCTCATCCATCAGAGATCAGGTACCTAAGGATTCAGTAGTCCCTAAATACAGCAACCATGTCGTCTAATCGAGCGACTTCCCCCAGCAACAGCGCTTCTTTAGCCTTCCATTGCCCTAACATTTTCAGCTCAGCCTCAGACAAATATAGTTCCTCATTTCCCTTAACGTCGCTGCGTTCTGCTTTATCGAGAAAATCTCGCAGTCGGTTCCGCTCGAACTTGAGACGCTGCAAACAGCGCGACATAGCTTTGTATGTATCCTCTAGGACACTGTTGCGTACACGGTCAGGGTCGTAGAACCAGAGAAAAATGGTGCGTGAGGGCTGTCGTTGCGCATCACGCGGCACTTCCTGCAAGTCCACGAAGCCTCCTGACTGCATGCTTGCAAGGACTTGTCGTAGATCCTTGAAAGGAAGAAGACTGATCTCCTGTAAACGCTTCTCATCCAGCTTTCCCTTCGTGTGAAGGACGCGGACGATACGCAAGGCCACATCGCCATACCGGGATTCGATCATGCGTTCCAGCTCGAGATGGCGGAGTTTGCGAGCGAGATTTCTGAACTCAACAGCCCAGTGGGGCAAGCCGGACATGGATTTTCTCCCAGCAAAGGCATAGGGAGGTTGTGCTAAAAGATATAGGTGTTGATCGACGTCATAAATGCGATTCCCTCCAGAAGAGACACCATTAGTCCCTTCATGGTCATCGCCATTGATGCCATTTTCCAGAGGTCGCTTTCCACGTCTGTTAAGAGGCTGCGCAGCATCCATGGGGCCGATAGATCCCGTAAGGTCCACCTGCGGGTCGATGTCTTCGGCCACCGCATTGAGGGGAATCAGAACAGAATGATGTTCCCCCTCTTCACCTTCACGAGGTATCTCCACTGTCTCTCGGCAACACGGGGTTTGGTACTCGATGCGTCGAAGCAAGCATTCATACACGTGGGCTGTGGCAGCGGACGTCTCTCGTTCTGCAAGTTCGACAAAACGGCGATTTCGAAGTGCGACGTCCAGCTTCGCATAGTTTATTCGAACAACCAATCCAGACTTGACAGTCGATTAACATCCATTCTTCTTGCATTTGAACAGTATGACTTACTTCCATGGGAATCGTTTCGTCGGGTGTATCATCGTCCGACCATTCACTCTCATCATCCATGTCATCACCATCCACAACTGTGTAGTCTACCTTCCGTCGTTTATTGGATGCATCGGAGGATGTGACAGCATGCCTACGTTTGACACCAAAAGGAACACCTTTGTAAATCAATCCATGAGTTAGATCTCCCCCCATCCGTTCCTTGATCAGTTCGGTAACAGCCTCCTTCACGGCCTCCTCGTGTCTCTTTCCTTTCATTTCCTTGATATCAGATCTCGACTTAACGGCTCGTTCTGCATCAAGAAAGACATCGTTGGGGCTTTGAAAATGAGCTTCCCGAACACGAATAATATAACCGTGCGCCGCCAACGTCTTGAGCGTCGTATGAAGATGTGCGCGTCCTCCATGCGAATGTTCGTCATCGAGTCCAGTTTGCTGTTCGTCATGTTCCTCGCTAGTACCATTTGTCTTTACCTGCTTTGGCTCGAGCTCCGGGAGCGTTTCAAGGTGGCTGACTTGCGCGTGGCCAAGGAACATGATGGTCGACATGACAGTGGCTGCATAGTTCCCCAATGTCTCCTCAATCAATTCTATAATTTTGCCAGAACGAGCAAGGTAATAGGCAGTGTGCAAGTCGGCCTCATAATAGGTGATACCGTCATCGTAAGACGTGAAATGGAAGACTAAGTGGTGTTGGATCATCGCAGCGAGTCCCTTGCGAAGCTGATCGAAGGATAGGTGGGAGTAAGACTTCAGGCGTAGTAAGGGCAATCTTTCGTAACGTAGCAATGTCGCAAAGATGCGCTGAAGTTTCAAGAGAAGAACAAAATCAGCTACCAAACCGCATTCTTGCGCAAATGATCGACGTAGGTGCTGGACGATGACTGAAAGAAAAGAGAAGAGAAACGAGCAAGTGCGTACCGCGAAAACCTCGCCAAAATTATCCTCCACGAGGAGCGTACAAAGCTCCGAAGCATACTACACAGATCAGCAGCGAGAACAAGTGGGGTGGAGGGTTCAATCGCATACTTGAGACGACATTTTCGGGCTTCTAGAGAACCAAGAGCTTCCGATTCCCTAGAAGTGAGTGGAGGGTCACCGCGAGGGTGTCATGAGGAAGGGGTGAAATGGCAACTGGGGATAGGAAAGAAGAGGAAAAGAATGGATTTGGGACTTGTCTTTTGCTTCTTGTACGAGTCAACGCAGCCTATGGTCGCATTAGTATTCTGCGGTCTTTTCCCTCATTCTCGCCGCATTCATGTCACGTGCATACCAAAGCCCAAATCACGTGGCGGAAAGTGACTCGGCGAGGAAGGAAACGCCGGTTCCGCCCGCGCCTGCGCCAGTAGCCAATCACAGCGCGAGTAATCATGCACCGGCGCTGGGAGGCTCCGGCATCTTGAAGCTTTTCAGAACATCCGCTCAAGCTGAACGACAGCGTCTCTTCTCGCTCTCCCTCCCCTCTCCCTTCCCCCCGCTCAATTTCTCTCAAGCCTTTTTTGGCTTCTACTGCTTCATCTCCTCAATTCTTTCCTTCACCACATGCGATGATGCTGTCGCGATCTACTTTCGGTAGAAATGCGCCTCGTGCGCTGCAGACTGTTGCCAGCCGTCGGGCAATGGCCTCTGCTGCTTCGGGTTTCCAGTACGACATTTCCGAATCCGCTGGCGTGAAGGTTGCCAACAGACAGGGTGCAGGCCCTACAAGCACTCTGGCTGTGGTAGCGAAGGCCGGAACCCGTTTCCAGCCCCTTCCTGGTTTCTCCGACGCCCTCGCACAATTCGCCTTCAAGGTTGGTGAATCTTGTGCCAATTGCACCCTTTCCAGTCACCATCTGCCACAATTGGATACATCTCTTACTCTTTTTTGATCAATTGATAGTCCACGCTTAAACGGTCGGCGTTGCGGATCACTCGGGAGGTAGAACTGCTGGGCGGTGAGCTTTCCTCGAAGAACTCGCGCGAAAACATCGTTCTCAAGGCCAAATTCCTTTCGAATGATCTCCCGTACTTTGCAGAGCTGCTCGCAGAGGTTGCCTCTCAGACGAAGTTCCCAGGTAAGTGGGATAGCACCGACGACCGCGGAATCCATAGTGGGGATGGGAATATCTAATCCGCCCTGTTAGCCCACGAACTCAAGGAACATGTGGCGGCGCTTCTTCATTTCAAGCAGAAGTCTATTGCTGCTCACCCCGAGGTCTTGGCCGTTGAAGCCGCCCACGGTGTCGCTTTCCATCGTGGTCTGGGTGAAAACATCACCGAAGTTCCTTTCGAAAAATACGTGAATGTGGAGGCCCTTGCGGAGTTTGCGAAGGAGGCCTACTCTAAGCCCAATGTTGCTGTCGTTTCCAGCGGTGCCGACTCCGCTGAACTGTCCAAGTGGGTTGGCGAGTTCTTCAAAGAGCTCCCCAGCGGAAGCACCATTCAGAGTGAGGCCTCCAAGTACTACGGTGGTGAGACCCGCATTTCTTCCAAGACCGGCAACGCTGTCGTAGTTGGGTTCCCTGGCTCCAGCACATTCGGAACCCCTGGTTATAAGCCGGAGGTTGCAGTTCTCGCTTCTCTTCTCGGCGGTGAATCCACCATCAAGTGGACTCCTGGCTTCTCTCTCCTGGCCAAGGCCACCGAGGGCTTCTCTGGTGTTCATGCTTCCACCAAGAACAACGCATACTCTGATGCTGGCCTCCTGACCATTACTGTTTCCGGAGCGACCAGTCAAATCGGTGAGGTCAGCAAGAGTGTGGTTGAAGCCATCAAGAAGGTTGCTGCTGGAGAGGTTCCTAGTGAAGAGGTCAAGAAGGCTCTTGCCCTGGCCAAGTTCCGTGCCCTCGAGTCGGTTGAGAACATCGAAACGGGTTTGGAGGCCACTGGCTCTGCCCTCCTCACCGGCGGCAAACCATACCACGTCGGTGAAATCGCCCAGGCAATTGACAGCGTTACCGCAGAGAAGGTCCAGGAAGTAAGTTTTGTTCTATTTATCCCTCTCTGTTTTTACTCTCCTTCCCCCGGAACATAATCTTTTAAAAAAACTATCATTCTTCACTTCTCAGACTAACTGGTTGTCCTTTTCTTCAACAGACCGCCAAGTCCCTCCTCTCCGGAAAAGCCTCCGTCGCCAGCGTTGGAGACCTCCACAGCCTGCCCTTCGCCGAGGAACTTGGTCTGACCGTGTAAGCAAAGATCTATACCTTAACCTACCTACCTGACTTGCCTGGAAAGGAAAGGAAAGAAATGAAGGGAAGTCTGCTCCCACATTTGTCTAGACATTTATCTTCCGTTGATACTTGTATTTTCTTTCTTTTCTTCCCTTTCTTTGCGTGATGCCGCTGTAGCTATAGCCTCGAGCGTAATGCAAAATTCTGTACCTTATTTCCAATATGCTTTTCTTTCGTCTTGCTTTCTTATTTTTCCTTTACAACCAGGAGCATATAAGCTGCGACTCTCCTCTTTTGTATCCCCCTTGCCTTAATGAGGGCACTCAAGAGTCTACTCAATGATCAGACATGTTACTGAATTACATCCAAAAGCTTGGAGGAAGAAAGTTTAAACGTGGAGGTTCCCGAAAGATAGTATACCTTCCCATCCGGCTACGGTTTACAGTGCTTATCTTAAGCTCTTTACTTCCTGCATAAACATATAAGCATGGTAAGCAACGACTGTAAGCCTGGATAATCCAAAGATCACATGATGGATCCCTCATCTCAGAACAGAAGGCAACAACACTATTTTCACATCTATTATTATTACTCTGTACCAGATACACTACATATTACCCACGGCTACAATTAGAGTCAAATATGAAAAGCCTCTGGAATCGATATCCATAATCAAAACACGGGTTGCTTTCACATTTGAGCCTTCATCATCTGAAGAACAATCTCTTTCATTGTTACCGCTCTGGAAGCATCCACCCGGAGGTGACCTATACCAACTGTGTAGTCCCTAACACTCAGTGCCAACAGAAGCAACTAGATAGCTTTCATGATCTGTGCCATCTGCCCAAAACTAGCCAAAAAGTACGGGGTGGAAAAGTACCTGCCACAATCCTCCACACGACAGAGCTGGGAGAGGCACTCAGGCTAGGGATCCACCGCCCAAAGAAGCTTCCGGTATTCATCAACGCGACCATGGCATATCCAGATGATGCACTAGCCATAAGATGTGGCGCATGGGCTTATATATGACGATGGCAAGAAAGGGCCCCATTCCATGAAGAACACGCCTGCAGCGCAAAATGAAAATTGATGTTTTTCAAAGCTGTCATGTCAAGGATGATTCTGTTGGCTGGTTTGAGCGATGGTAGCCCCAGGAAAAGGAAGCCCAGGATACGAGATGACCAAGGAAAGCCAAATTTTGGAAGGAGTTACCGCGATATCAATGGAATGGCAATGTCACCGTAGAGCCACTAGTATTGGTAAGTCCGGTTGCCAGGCCAAGGCGGCGCTCAAAGAAGTGGCTAACAGCAGCAAAGGCTAGGGTCATAAGGAGAGCACCTCCAATGCTCCCCAGGACTGCATCAAGCATGGAATGCCAGTCCTCTTTGTGATATTACCAAATACATCTTCAAATTGATGGGTGGTCACACAACCTGGAGAGGCACACTTACCAGTACAGAATCCAAAAAGCATCATGGATAAGACCAAGGCCAAGCTACCAGCCGCGACCAGAAATCCTGGACCATAAGCATCAAATACAATTCCACTACATATGCTGCAGAAAAAGGTAAGGAACAAGTTCAGGCTGAAAATCCAGGCAATTTGAGCTGGCGGGTAGTTATGCAGCTGGTGAGAACCGAAGCAGTCCTGGAAGACGGATGTCGAACTCGCCATGCTAAAGACCATGAACAATGCACAAAAAAGGGCTAATTACCACAGAATATGCTTTGGTCTCTCCATCTGGGAACTGACTGCCTTCATTGTCATTGATGGTCATGGAATAATCCTCCTCTTCTCCAGGGACCAAGCACTCAGCCAATGCCCCTCATTACTGGCTGGGTCAGATGGGTATTGATCCTTCGTGATGGGTACCAGAAGGAATTTCCTTTGTCTGATGCCAAGTCTTTCCAGAGCAAGGCCGTAGTAGTTTAAAACAAGCTTAATAGTTTGTATGCCAAGAGCGTTGTGATTGTCGATGTGTGGGAGGTGTTTTGGATAAAACGGGTCGAAGTTCGAATTTGCGGCGAGCTCATCGATGCAAGACGCATCAACTGACAGGGAATTAACCTGAGCCCAATCTTCTTTCCGACTCAGCCTATCATTACTATCTTGCGTCCACCTCCGCCACTGAAACCGTTCCAGGTGAGGAGCGACACCCGGACCAGACATATTCTCAGCAGAACCTGCACATCTACAGGGAGCTGATCAGGCCTTTCATGGCACGTTCCAGGAACTGAATAGGCTATAATAGATGTATGGCATAATTAGACGGAAAAGCTGAAGGCTGATGACTTGTGGGCGTCAGGAACGAATAGTAGTTCTGGCATGGGAGGTCTGTTGGAGATATTTAACACCAGTCTATTTTGACATGCTATGCTCTCCATGACGGACAATGCCTTGGGTTAAGTGAGCACAAAAAGGGAAATGAAAGGCTTTGGATGCATGTAGGAAATCAAGAACATTTATATATGACTCGTATGATGTAGGAGGAAGTCATCGCTTATTTCATTAAGTTGGGAGACTACCGCAGCTAGATCCCAGCTCACAGACATCTGTTCTATGCTGGGTACAGACATATGTATTTTCCGTTCCCTACGTTTTTAGATATATTCTCCCTGTTATATCCAAAACAATCGACGCCTACCTACCCCAAAGACAATTGAATTAAAGGAAAAAGTCCTGTTCATTGAAGATCGAATTCCATATGATGTAGCAAGCCAGAACGACTCCCAAAGATTAAGCTGCGTTAAATGAATAAAAATCGGGTATACATGTAGTCTAACATGGTCAGAATAGAAGACAAGGGTTTCACTGGTACTAGAATCTTTCCAAGACAGGAGGGCGTATATCCACATGGCACCCCGCAAACGTCATTGGCCAAATGTAATCACAACAGCCGAAATCCAAACGGAGCATGCGCCAGCCGTTGCCCCGTCCCCATATTTCCACTACCCCGAACCGTGCATAGTAGAAGGGTATCTCAAACCTTCTCTAGTGCTTAGCGGTGACAGTTTCGCCGGTCAGCTTTTCGACTGCTTCCTTGGCCCTATTCGGTGCAACGGAGACCCACAGTTAGCATCAATCCGACCCTCGGCATCACATGAATATCGGATGGCATGCATGACGAAAATCGCCAGATAATGTGCCGTAAAACGGAAGAAATGACGTGGAAGACGACTTACATGTCACCTAGAGCTACCATGCAGACAGTCTGCCAAATGCCCAGGCCTATACGAGGAGTCACTCCACGGTAAAGACCCTTGATACCATTAGTCTGGTAGATGTATCTCATAGCCTTGCCAACTGTGAGATTCTTGGGCCGGTTGGGGTCATCGGTCCTGCTTTGCATCTCAACACGAATAACCTCAATCGGCTGGTTCCAGGCTGAAAGGCCTCCTCCAAGACCGGAGGCAAGGACCTTTTCCCAAGCAGAGAGTTTTTGACCATCTTGCTTGTCGGTTACATAGCGAATTGCACTTTCAGCCAGGCGAGAAAGACCAAAGCGAGAACCCCAGTTTGTAGTCTGGCGGATAGCAACTGCGTTGACACCTTTGTTGATACCTCGGACACCCTCCTTGCGGTAGATCTCCATAAAAGTAGCAAAGGTGCTCGGGGGCTTCACACCTTGCGCGGCCAGCTTGTGCTTTGTAATCTCCGCAGTCTTCATGCAAGTGCAAAAGCCCATGGTTGCATATGCCTGAGCGACACCACCGGCCATACCTCCGGCGATACCAGAGACGAAATCAGAAGCCCCGAGCACCTTGGCTCGGTATTCTGCGTCAGACGCCACAAAGAGGAGGACAGCGCCCTTGGTGGAGGCCTCAATCCAGGCCCAGGGAATGAGACCTTGATAATCTGTAGGAGCATCGGTAGGTTAACGGAAGGTCCTCCCCAATATTACCCGAGGGTAGACGACTCACAGCCGAGGATCCCGCCACGGCCCCATATCCTAGCCATAGCGCCCGCAAAGCTGTCATTGCGATTGGCAGCCATGGTCGTCTTGATCACTTCCAGCGGCTGGGAGAAATCATCGTCAGCGGCGGCAATGGTAATACTGGTTGAGAGAGCATAGAAAGTACCTGTCCCAATGTCGAGACCCTTGGAATATTGTCAGCGGCGGAAGATGGTGTAGTCGGAACGACAACGACAGGGGGACACTTACTCGAACATGTTCAGACCTGCGCCAACTACAGGGAGAAGTCGGTTAGAAGCAACGCACCCAAGCGCATGTATACCAGAGACCGGTGGACGTACGCAACAAATTGCTAAATTTAACAGGTTTCTTTTCGATGGTATGGGCCGAAGAGGCCGCCTCAGGCGTAGCGGTAGACATCTCTGGTACTGGGAACGCTGAAAGGGGCCCTGACCAAGGGATTTAGGGGGCTTCGTCGCCTAGGGATCACGGGGAGTGAAGGGAGTACAGGAAGTAGCTCAGCTGCGATGCTACTTGACAGAGGAGATGCGGGAGCAGGAACGGGCCAACACAGGTGGCAGATCAGAGAGGAGAGAAGACAAGAGTGGTGAAGATGAGGAAGAGGAAGAAGAAAGAGGAAGGAAGACTGCCGACAACAGCTGGACGATGTATGGATATAACAGCTCCAGCAGAGCCAGGACGCAGTAAGCACGTCCAGGTCCAGTCCCGGTCAGTTATTGCGTAACATTACTGTATCCCGGACTGTATCCAGGGCTGCACCGCGCTGTTGGGCGTATCGCTGCGTACGGGCGGGTATTGCCAGGTATCAGCCTTGCGTGCCTCAGCAGATTCTCCGTACTCCGGACGCCGAAATCCCCCGTAGCTTTGCATGTGCAGCTGTTCTATTGCGACTGTCTGTCGCCTTGCTTCTCCTTGCTTCTCCCCAGCCGGGGACTCGAACGTTGAATCTGGCGCTAACCTGCTTCCGGTTCGGCGGTGAGCCTGCCTCCCCCAACAAGTTCCCCATTCCGCAGTCGGGCCGCTGTTGAGTGCTACTCTTCTCCTCTTACAGGTAGTACAGCTCTTTCCCCTGCCCAAACTTCAAAACGACACGGAGATCTGAGGACGGGAGACACTCTAAAGCCATTGGATCGTTGCAGCAATCATCGAAAACGTGCTCTGTTACAAGGCCTGCTCGAAACCACTGAGTTCTTATCGTACACAAAATGCATCCAAATCAACAGAAGACCAATTTAATCCAGACACCAACATGGTACCGCTCCTCCTGAGCCTCTCTACACAGCTTCTCCCCGCACCGATACTCATCCCCCTATAATTTACAGCTGGGCGCCGACGAGCTTGGCGTACGCCTCGGTGCTGAAACTCTTGGGGCGCTCGATCGGGGCACCCAGAGCACGGTCGATGATCAACTGGGGCAGGACACCGAAGGCACGCGACACACCGAACAGGACAGTGTAATAGCTGGACTCCGTCAAGCCGTAGTATTGCAGGAGAACACCGGAGTGCTGCGATTCCGTCAGTCATTCGGGTCTTCCTCAACCGCAAGGCACACACAATCTAGACAGGAAGAACTTACAGCATCGACGTTGGGCCAGGGGTTCTTAGTCTTTCCGTGCTCGGTCAGGACGCCAGGAGCGATCTTGTAGACCTGACTGACCAGCTTGAACATGGGGTCGTCGGGCAGCTTGCGAAGGGCAAACTCGCGCTGGGACACGTAGCGGGGGTCGGTCTTCCGGAGAACAGCGTGGCCGTAGCCGGGAACGACCTGGCCGGATTTCAGGGTCGACCACAGGTAGTCGGTGATGGCCTTGTCGCTGAGGTCGTTGCCAATGGTCTGCTTCATCTTGGTGAGCCACCTGAGCACCTCCTGGTTGGCCCTATTGAAAATCTGTCAGCAAATATACATCATGATATGAAATACATATAAATAAATCTCGGGATGTACTCACAATCCGTGGAGAGGACCAGCCAAACCGTTCAGACCAGCAGCCAGAGAGAGCATAGGAGAGCTCAAAGCGCTGCCGACGAGGTGGGTGGTGTGGGCGCTTACATTTCCACCCTCGTGGTCGGAGTGGATAGTCAGGTACAGACGCATCAACTCGACGAAGTCGCCATTACCGCCGTAGCCTAGCTGGTTGGCCAAGTTGAAGGCATAATCCTTGTCCTTCTGGACAGGAGCAACCTTTCCATCCTTGAAAACGTTGCGGTAGATTCTGGCAGCAATGGTAGGCAGCTTGGCAATGACATCCATGGAGTCTTCGAAGGTGTAGTTCCAGTAGTCCTTCTTGTTAATACCCTTGGCATAGGCCTTGGCGAAGGCGGACTCGTGCTCAAGAGCCGTCACCGCAAGAGAGAACTGGGCCATGGGGTGAAGATCGCTGGGGCAGCGGTCGATGAGTTCTTCGATGAACTTGGGGATGTCGGACCTGGCAGCCCAATCGGCAGACAGGTCGCGGACCTGCTGCTCAGTGGGGATCTCTCCAGTCAGGAGCAACCAGAAAAGACCTGTCCTCTATTAGCACTGATCAGATGCGCATTGTTGCTGTCGGATGTTACTTACCCTCAGGAAGTGGCTCCTCACCACCAGGAGCCTTAGGAAGAAGCTTCTGAATCTCGGGGATCTAAAAGAAAAAAAATTTTCCCGTAAGCATTGAACAATTGGAAACATCACAACGCGACAAAAAAAAAAAAAAAAGAGGGTCCTCACAGTCTTTCCTCTGAAGCGAATACCTTCTTGGGGGTCCAAGACAGATCCCTGGTTTTCATGTTAGTTGGCCGTCTCTTTTGTAGCGCTGGTACTGCCTGTTCACGACGCACCTCCCACACGAGACACTTCACACCACGAGCGCCACCATAGGCCTGGTCAAGAGTGACCTCACCAAGAACCTTGTGGCCATGCTCCCTGTATAGAACGATAAATGTGTTAGCAATTGTCGTGCTTGTAGTACCTATCATGTGGATTCATTGGTGTAGCTGGGTTGCGTACTTCCTGAGCTTCTTGACCTTTTCGATCTCGCCGGGGAGCTTGTCTGCGAAGGTCTCCTTCAGAGACTAGAGAACCAAATTTGATATCAGCAAAAATAAAACGTATCGGGAGAAGCTGCACATACCTTGGCCTTAGCAGTCGAGTAGCAGCGAAGGCTGTTGTATGCAGCGGACTGCACAGCTGGTCGTGCAGTGACGGAGCGAAGAGCGGAGGGAGCTAGTCGGAGAGAGGAAGCCATGTTGGACAAGATGGGGGAGGACAATGAAGAGTAGAGATGGTCTTAAGGTGAGAGGAGAGGGAAGGAGAGATGAAAGTGGGAGTATTATTATTATGAAGGCGCAGGGCACCGACAGGCGAGGAGAGCAATAATATAAAGACGCAGGAAGATCTTTTAACGAAGCAGGCCGGAGCTTCTTCAGCGGTCTTTTTCTCCATCTGGCCGTAGCAAATAACAGGTGAAATACGGGCAGAAGTGAGGGCAATTACCGCCGGGTACGAGGGCAGGGCTTGCAAACGGCACTAATTGCCGTAATGGTACTGTAAGAGAGGCCGATATCCCGGAGCTTCCTGCACAGCTGTGGTCCCTTGCCGCCCTGGGAAGGAAGCCACGAGCCAATGGCTGCTCCATGCTGCCTGCGCCGCACTCACTAAAAGTACATGCCCGTGGGGACCTGCACTGCATCATTATTTTTATTACGGATTATCTACTACCTAGGCTTCGCTACTTACCTAGGTATTATCCGTATGTACCCAGCTGTGTTTCTAGAAAAAGAATCGTCATCGCGGACCTTCTGATGGAGGGTAGAATAACACTGCACGGCTGTCAGGAATGGTCTAGATTTTTTTATCTAATTAATCATTTATGGTGACTTGCCATCAATAATCATTCTGACCTACCTGTCGCTCGCCTGTGACGTAGGTACTATCCCGTTTCATCCGCCATCCTCCGGGGACGAGCTAAGGCCTGGTTGGCAACAATGCTACGCTGCATCTAATTATTCTACCTACAGGGGAGTATGAGCACGGGATTTGTACCAGGACGAACACGAAATATTCCTCTATCATATCCACACCACTATAATTCCGTCTGAAATTGCAATATTTATTAGTTCGTACAGCGGAATAAGCAATAAACTCGAAAACAAGGACCAATCAATCAATTCTCGTGCTGTTTCTCTAGCTGCATTAGATGCCATGTACGAACATGTGTCATGCACACTAGCATTCAGCATTCAGTATACAGCATACATAACACTGGACTAGTTTGCGGTAGCTCAACTTGTTGAAATCCCACCATGTTCAAAGGCACAGAAACCTGAACATGCTGCCTCAGTCAAGATCCATCTATTTTGTAATTGTATACTACAAGCGGTTGTTTCCTTGCTTCAGCCTGTTCGTCATGATGTATCAACAACTCAGAGCTGGGCAGTAACTAAAGACCTATTCATTTTCAAGTCACGTGTTATGGTGATTTCGGTACCTTTCCTTAAAACGTTAGCGCGGGACACAGGCTTTTCCTTCACCTGACCAAGCGCTAACCTCCCTTCTTTCTTTCCTTCTTTTACTCACCTCCATCTCGCAGGCTGTTTGTCCATCGTAATCCATCAAGCTCACCATTTCTTTTATCTCTCTACCTCTTCATTTTAGGTCGTACGTACTCGTACTCGTTCGCTAGGGACCACATACCCTAAAATCACTATCGCTTAGCTGTATCCAGCTGTAGGCGAAGACCCCCCTGGTCGCCAAAGTGCGCTCGTGGAGTCCGTAGTGACTGGTGACACGGCGGCAAGGGAATTGAAAAATTCTACCTTTGGGAAGGCAACGCGAGCTCCACTTATTGTCGCTTCTGTCGCTGGATACTCCAGTAAAAACGACCTTTTTGGGACACCGTGGTATTTTCAAAACACGCCAGTGTGATAAGCTTATTGTGAAGAATATCGAAGTTTTCCTCTTTCTTTTTCCAACTGAATCTATACGACCGAAGCAGACATGTCCTCTGCTGTAGCAGAACTGGATAACTATCTCCAGTCTATGCTGGCCCTTAAACCCCCTGGAGTCTCCGGATCGAAAATTAACAGTATCACTTCACTCTGCACCGCCAACGTTCAGGTACGACTGCCTATCTTTTCTTCCCCTCTTCCCTTGCACTGGGTGGCTGGAGCAGTTAAGCTAATTATTTGTACGTCTTACATGCAGAACGAATCTGTTCTAATCCAGAAAATCTATACGCATTTCAAGAAGGCCCCGGGAACACACAAGTTGGGCGTACTCTATGTCGTAGACTCTGTAACTCGACAATGGGTAGAACTTGCGCGCAAGGCAGGCCAGCCGTCCGGTAGTGCTGCTCCTGATGGAACCTTCGCCGCTGGTGTTAACAGAGTGGCCGAATTGCTACCCGTCTTGATGGCTGATATCATAAACAATGCTCCTGAAGATCAAAAGGTACGCTCTAGAAGAAATGCGCAAATAATTATCGAATTACCACAGAATATGCGGGCATTCCGAGGGTCGACGTGGAGAGACAAAAGTTCCGTTGGCCCTATATAAAACCCAGATCTACGTATCTCCCGCTATATATCCCCAATGACGTGCATAGAAGTTGTCTACTTTCTTAAATCTTGTTCTGTCGTTTGTGACGAACAGTCCAGCTTACGTATCCCATCTTCTCTCCATATAGGAAAAAATCAAGAAGCTGGTTGACATTTGGGAGCGTGGAAACACCTTCCCGGCCCCCATGCTTGCCTCTTTCAAGGAGAAGTTAAATGCTTCCGCATCGCACAGTAAGCATCCCCCAAGGCCTTGTCTCTCTTTCTCCCCGTATCTTATCTTGATTGTGGGACCTAAGGGCCCCAGATGCCAATGCGGGCCGTTGGGATTCTGTATCTGATCTCTCTCTTGTCTAGACGTCGAATCGACTACTCCTGAGGGTTCACCTGCGCCAAACTACATCCCGCTTGGAGGCCTTCAGCAGCAGCCATCTCAAACAGCAAATGGCGCAGCCGCTGCAACCCCTGCTCAATCAACCCCAGATACGTCTAGTATCTTGAAAGCTCTGGCAGACATGGCCAAGCAGAACACCGCTGCCCCTGCAGTGCCAGGTACAATGGCTCAAACCAACCCCCTTAATGTATTGAACACACAAAGTACAGTGTCACAGCCCGTGTCGTCGTCCGTAGACCAGGCTTCTCAGCCGCCGAGTGGACAGACTGGCGTAAACCCTTATGCTGGAGCGATGGCGACGCCGTTTGCGGCCTTGAGTAATTTGACCCAGAATCCGGCTTTGGTTCAGCCTCAGAGTCAGAGCCATACTCCAACCCCTTTGGCTGCTCCACAGAACCCGTTAGCAGCGCTACTACCGCAGACAACTGCCGCTCCAGTCCAACCTGCACCTGCTTTGGCGCCCGATGCATTGCAGCAGCAGCTTCAGCTCCTACAGCTGCTGGCTGCCCAAGGAATCCCCCAGGAGCAGTGGGCTACGGCACTGCAAATTCTTAGTCTATCGAACGCTACCAACATGGCCAACATGGGTGCCGCCGGATATAACAACCTGCCGGGCCAGAACGTGAACGCCTGGGGCCGTCCGGACCCTCAGTCACGTGATACAGACCGCGACAGGGATTACATGCGTTCCCCCCCTGGCCAATATCGCCGTCGTTCCCGTTCTCCCGGCTGGGACAGACGTCGCGATCTGTCTCCTCCTCGTCGTCGCGATAGCCCTGTATATGGAGAATACCACGGCGATTCCCCCGGCCGCAGAGGTGATCCTCGCGACGCCCGCGGCCGACGGGGCAATGACTATCGCCAACGCAGTCCCCCCTCGCGAAGGCGCCGTACTCCCAGCCCCCCTCGTAAAGATCCCACTCTTCCTCCTCCCGGTCCTAAAAATGTTGAATGGGATTATTCTATCGGACAGGGAAACATCAAAGGTTTGTCTTGGGCGTATTCATAATCCATTTACTGTCTACCTTAACTGATAATTCGTTCGTATCACAGTTCTGAGCAGAACCCTATTTGTTGGTGGTGTCACGTAAGTACTCTCACTCTCCGTCGGAAGTTCTGTTGGATCTCAATGTGCTGACGAATTCGTGCAGGTCATCTGAGGCTCATTTACGGTCGCTATTTAGCAAGTTCGGTGTCGTCCAGACTTGCATTGTCAACATCGACAAACGGCACGCTTTTATCAAAATGATCAGCCGCAGAGATGCTGTAAATGCAAGGGAAGGAATGGAGTCTCACAGGTCCGGAGACATGCAGCTTAGAGTAAGTAATCTCGGCTGCGATTCGCATCCTACCAGGTTTCTAACCTTGACACAGACCCGATGGGGCGTTGGTTTCGGCCCTCGTGATTGCAGCGACTATCAAACAGGAATCAGTGTTATTCCAATCGAGAGATTGACTGAGGCGGATCGTAAATGGATGCTTACTGCTGAGTACGGTGGGACTGGTGGGAGACCCATTGAAAGTGGGATGGTTGTCGAAGAGCCAGATATTGAGATCGGTGCCGGGGTCTCGTCGAAAGGTTAGCCTGATTCTTATTAAGAATTCCACCTAGAGGATAACTAACTGATATATCAAATAGCTATTAGCAGACGGATTGCAACTGATACTGGCGGCAAACGTGGTCCAGTGTCTTCTCGTTCACAGCAGGACCGCTTCCGCCGCCCAGAACGAGAAAGCCATCCTCAAGGCGCAGCCTCTGGCGGTTTTGGTGGCCAGACTGACCGTGACGCTTCCAATGTTAATAATGTTGGTGTCCCACCGGCAGTTCCTGGCTTTGGATTCACATTTCCCGGAATGCCCATGTTCCCTCCAGGCTTCATGATGGGAGGAGCCCAGGCAAACACTACGACGCCGTCTCAACCACCGCCTCCTGGTCAAGGCAGTTAAAGCGCTTCTGCCAACTTGGACTGTGAGAAATTCTGCAGTTCAAGCGCCAAGTATCTCTCTGATTCCATTCGACCTTGTCTTGATACGAAACCTTTTCGCCATTTCAACCCTTAGACTTACTTAGGGCAGTCTCCGGTGGCAGGCTGATCTGTTTGTTTCTTTTGGCAAACATTCTTGCTGACTTACGGCTTCCATCTGGGCTCTCTCATCGCCTGCGCTTTACTCATCACCTTTACTTCGGATACTTCATGTTCTTCACGGGTCGGATGACCCTCAGTCAAGGCTAGTAGCAAGATTGTTGCCTTTGCAAAGTCCATGCGATGATTGCGTTTGGGCTAGTTCTTTTGTCGTATTTCCAGAGCAGTTCTTGTTGTGCCCATGTTCTGTTCTTCTCACCATCTGCTCTACCGGCGTTCCTGGGCGGCTTTTTCTTTTTCTTTTTTCTTCTCCCTGTATTCTTCCCAAAACTGTTTTTCTTTGTCTTCCCAGTCGAAAAAAAAAAGAAAGAAAGAAAAAAGCCATGGACAGCCAGCCTTCCTAACAGGCTGTAATGTATCTAAGCTTCCGGTTTTCTTTGATCCATCAGTTTCAGCTTCTGTCTTCCTCGTCCATTTCTGTTTGTTGCTTTTCTCCCTTTTCTGGATTGTGTTAGCAGTTTCGATGAATGGATGATCAGGCTCGATCAATGCACTCGAATATTTCCTGAATAACAAAGTGTCTCCTATGTAGCTGCCTATTTATCTATGCTTCAAGCCAAAATCTTGTCGGCGCTCTCGCCATCCCCGGTGTGTCTATCGGTGCCTTTCACATCCACCTTAAACGAACGATGGATGGAGATACCATTGCTGTCAGAAAAGGGACCGGTGTTGCCCTTCTGGACGCTGTGGAGCTGGTATGAGTGCTGGCTGTGGTCGAGCCGAAATCTATTTACGCTCGAGCTGTATGTCGTTTTCCCAGCAGCACTGTGAGACCGCGAGGAGAATAACGATAGTCCTGGCAGGTATGTCGCAACCGGCCGCTTGAATCGCATTGCGCAGGGGCAGATGATGGCAAGGTTGATCTCGACAATAACCACACGCCCAGGATGGCTTCGGTATAGGTTGTGTCGGGCGTCTTGTCGAGGCGGATGACGTATGGTAGGCGGGCTATTGAGCAGATGATGGCACTGGAGGGGTAAATTAGCGGGAATTTGTATGGAATAAATGAATGAATGATACGACTGATGCCAGTTAAGAGAGGAAGCGTACCCCGATCCCAGAGCCAGGAGGCAGCCGACCGTGGCTCTCCGTTTCAGTGAAAAATGGAGATTGCGGATCGTGGGGATGAGTAGGGCTATGACGGCCAAGTCAGATGCGATATTCAGGACTGCCTGGGACAGAGCAACATTCTCCAGACTTAGTGGTCCCCGATTTGAGGGGATTACACGGTGCCCCAGTGATGATGCATAAGGCCAGGGTATAGATGAAGATTGCAATAGCGACAGTCACAACAAAGTAACGGTAGGTGACTGAGGGATTGATGCGGTACAAGACAGACAAGATGGCTATTTTGGTTAAGGCTGGACATATCAAATAAGGTGTTAGGGAGCAGGGCCTGCTTTGTGCTAGACTAGACTGCTAGAATTTATCTTATAGAGGAGCGGGCGTCTTGCTTTATTAAACTCCACGAGTTCCGTTAAAGTCACATTCCACATGTGCTTTCCCCAGCCATGCTTCATTACTGTCATCGAGTCAGAAATAGGTTTACCCCCAAGGCACCAAGGACTCCTACATCTAACCATGGTCCAAAAATAGGTCACAGAAACGCCGTAGGCGATCGTGATGATGACTATGAAGGAACGTGTAATGTGAGTGTCCGGCACTAAAGGTTCGGCCATAATGTGGTACAGCAGGCCTACCTAAATCCACCTCGATCTCTTTTATCAGCTTGAATGCCTGGTAATAGCGAAGGCCCAGAAACACTGTAGCGAGGAAATAGGTGATGCCAAAGGCGATAAATGTCCCTATTTGCAGTGAGTTCCAAGGCGCATGGAAATGCGATGTCTGCCCGTCCGGCGGCTGCATTCCCGGCGTCGTATCCGGGTCCATTGTACTCATTGTCGCTGATACAGTCCTTACGCACCAAAGTGGGCATTACCCCTTTATGAACCCTGTCATTCCTACGAGTAGGCTTGGTAAATTTGCGATGCTGCGGGCTAGACTCCTGTCAAAACATTCCGGGGCGGTGGCCAGTACCATTGGAGAATCTTCTTTAGTGGGCAGGACGGAAGAAAACCGAGGTTCGAGGCCCGTTCCGGCCACAACAGCGGATATTAGTATTGGGCCTCCACTCTAAATAGTATTGTACACTGCACTTTAATGCGACATGAAACAGAACGCCGCAACCCTCTATTTGACTGCCATTGGGAATAGGGGATCTCCGGCTGAATCGCTTTCTTTAATCCTTCACCGAAGACGTATATATTGATATTGTTAGAACTTAGCACTACCCCCATCGTCCCTCGGGGCAGATGCCTTACTCTTATCCGTAAGTAAAAGCTCGACAACATGGTGCTCTTTGGGCGTAAGCCCGCCGTGGAACCAGTTCCGGGCGATCGGGTCGTGCCACTGCATTTCTTTGAGAACAGCCTACTTGTCCAGGGCAACAACATGGCCGTCTCACTCGTGTTTGACGCAGTGCTCGACCCAGAAAAGTTGCGCCAGTCCCTCGAGGGCCTAGTCAAGCGAGAGGGATGGCAAAGGCTGGGGGGTCGGCTGGAAAGAAATGTGCAAATGGCCCTCTCCAGAACAGCCCGTACATACTAACCCTCCCGCGTCATCACATAGGCCTCGGGCCAGATCGAATGGCACATTCCAGCCGAGTTTACAGCTGAGAGACCCGCCATCTCCTTCGCGCATGTTGACCACGGCGTGCCTTCTGCTTCGCACCCGGCAGCCTCCCGGATCCCGAAGCCAACCACTTGGCCTGCTATTGTTGGCGACCCAGACGATCTGGAAGACCTGGCGTGGGGGCCCTCGTACAAGCCGGGTGGGATCAATGACTATCTCAACTCTGACCTCCCGGTCCTAGGGCTGCGCGTCAACTCCTTCACCGACAAGACCATCGTAGTCCTGCAGTGGCAGCATGTCGCCTTCGATGCGATTGGCATGCAGTATGTTGTCGAAGGTTGGAGTGCTATGCTCTGGGGCAAGACAGTCGAAATCCCGACCCCTTGTAGGGTCGACTCGGATCCATTTGACTCGCTTGCCCGGGGTTCACGTCCCACCATAGAAGAGCATATTCTAGCAGACAGAAAGGTCGGACTAGGAGGAATGCTCAAGTGGGGGTTGGGGTATGGGGTCGACATGCTTCTCCGGACCAAGGAGAACCGCATGGTCTGTGTCCCAGAAACATACTGGCGGCCGCAGCTGGAGAAGGCCATGGAGGAGCTTCGCGCCGAGGCAGTTGTGAAGGGTGAAGATGCCTCCAAGGTGTTTTTGACCGAGAATGACATTTTGACGGCCTGGATCCTGCGTTGTGTGGTCAGCCAGATGGGAATTAACCCCGATAGGACGGTAGGTTCAGGCACTTGTAACCTCGCTAGAGTGTAGGACTTACTGACTCGACTCCCCTTCTCCAGGTTGCCGCATCTATAGCCATGTCTCTTCGCAAGGCTTTCGAGGGAGATCTTATCCCTGCCTCTACCAAGCATCCCTATGTTGGCAACGCTTTCGGCTGGGCTAACGTACTTGTTAGCGCAGGTGAGGTCACCTCGAAGCCGCTGAGCTGGCTTGCACGGCAGGTTCGGCGTGCCATCAACGAACAGGGCACGCGAGCTCAACACGAGGCATACTACGCCATGGTGCGTACGTCTGGAATGGGCCTGCCTATTGTCATCTTTGGGAACGGCGATTTGGCCCAAGTCGGCTTCTCCAATTGGGCTAAGGCTGGTTTGTTCGACTTGGACTTTTCCCCGGCTCGTAAAGGCCCCAAGGGTGACAGCGTGCAGTGCAGGCCTTCGTACATCCAAGAGAATCACGGCCCTGTTAAGCCTGCAGATGGTTTCTTTATTTTGGGAAAGGATGAGAAGGGAAACTACTGGACCTCAGCATGTAAGGTGAAGGGTCAATGGAAGAAATTCGAGGAGCAGCTGAAGAAGGACTTTGAGGTGGAAATGTGAATCAACGAAGGGAGTAGTTCCGTCCGAACCGGTCCTCCACGGAGATATACTATAAAACCTATAAGTATAGCCCTTAACTTAACTAAGTTAGTTAACGTATTTCCCGGTCGAGCGGGCCACCTCCTGCTAATTCCTGCCCGCGGGCTAAATACTGTCAGGGCCCTTGCCATGTAGACCAGGACGAGCACGTGAGCTTCCTTACTTGGATTAGCGTGGCGCGTGGATAGGAGTACGTCGTCCAGCTTCACGTAGATCTCTTCCTTTTTCCTTCCTCTCCATGCTTGAAGTTCTCGTCGATAGCTGCCTAGATAGCTGAATAGCATCCTATTCATCATCTAGTTGAGCTCCATGACACATAGCAAGTTTAACTAATTTTATATTTTCTTTTACTATTTCTTATAACTAGAAGAATAGAGAGAGAGAATAAGATAAATAAGAAATAAAAAAAATTAAGAAAAGAAGTAAAAAGAAGAAATAGAGAAAAAGATATAAAAGTAAGAGAATAATTAAAAGAAGAATAAATCAAAATAGAAAAATGATTACAAAAGAGCCTGCACAACCAGAGGCGGGTGCTGTAATGGGGGGCGTACGTGCGTTGTTCCCTGCGACAGGAACCGGGTTATGATCGAGGGATCTCAGGAATGGACACACTGAACAATCTAGCAAAACGATATAACGATAAAAGGAAACACAACGACGAAGGAGCCTCGCTCCGCTCTATACAATGACGACGATACTAGTGAAGCAACCTAGAAACCAAAAGAATGCTCTCTTTCTCGTAACTATCTGGGAGGGAACCCTCCTTTAAGTACTCCGGCCGTGGGATCCACCATACATTAGTATTACAGGAGTACAGAACTTTCCTAATAAGCAGTACTGCTCTGAAGCAAAACGGCCGCGCAGAAGACGCAACCCTGGAGCGCTACCGAGAAAAACAATGGAGAGTAAACCTGTTTTGACAAAACACGCCACCGGGAAATGTGCGAACACATTCCAAAATCTTTCCAACAGCGACAAAACCACCGCGGATGAGGCGCAGGAGATCTTTGGCCGGGGAATTCTACGCATTCAACCGCATGGTCATCGATGTACTTACTCTTTTACATTCCTTCCAGAGGCTGTTTACAGCGAACTACCGTCACCACCACCGCGGGTGTCTCCTGAGCATTCAACATGCTCCGATAGTCGCTCTCAGAGCCAGTCTTCGCGACGAGCAACGCGCAGACGGCAATATAAGCGAATACCTTATACACCCACAGAGAATCAACGTTTGACCGAGTTGAGAGGTCAGCACGGTCTTCCCTGGCGAGAAGTTGCGAAACATTTCAAACATCGGACCCAGGCATCTCTCCAGGTTCAATATTCCAAGATACATCGTGAAGCTGTGGGTAAGCTTTGAGAGATGAGGCCCGATTTATTCAAGAAAGGGACATCTACTCACCAACTATCATTAGAGTATACATCAGCTTTGCCCATGGGATACATTGGACATAGGACAGATGATTATCTGGGATTTGCTTTGGACCAATGCAAGAACAGATTCATACGTCACATCAATCTGTATTTAGAATGGTTAACTTATTGCCAGCGAAAGAAAAATTAAGAGTGGAGAGCCGGCATAAATCTTTTTTATAATAGAATAGCTATCACATTTAATGTAACATTCGGTCTTTCTGCTAATACAACCTGCTCATCCTATCCATGTCGCTCCTCTCAACTTTGCAGCCTGCGAGGTAAGCCAAGTAGCTACCGTATGGAACAACCCGTTGTCATTCGTCATCTCATTGTTCGACGCAGACGATGGGGAAAACCATGGTTCCATTAGAGCGGTGGCAACGAATCCTTCCTTCGTTATCTTACCGCTGTCCAGGAGCGCTTTTTTCTCCTCCATTTGCTCCAAGGCTTCATCATAGTCATCCAACTCATTGACCTTCCGCGACGCGAACGCCTCAAGTAATTCTGGCTGGTCAAATTCCCTCTCACGCTTAGCCCACTCGCTAGCCCCTACATGTTGATGGAGCTTAGTAAAAGGAAAACTGCGATGGTCGTTGAAGCCAGATGAGAGGAGCATGTGTAGCCACATGGCTCCAGAGGCTTGCGACCACTTAACAAGGCTAGAGAGCTCTCTCTCTTCGTGGCCTGGCATTTTTGCCTCTTCCTCCTCCAAAACATGTATGAAGATATCTAGGTACTTAAAGTATCGGGTAGCAATCTTGGGGGGCTCTTCACCCTCGTAGTCCCATGTGCTGTTAACAGGTCTGTCTTGGAGAAGCCACCACGGTGCCGAGCCAAACAGCTGCGCGGGTCCAATATATGACCACTCAAGATCTACTACTCCAACAACAGTAAGATCTCTTTTGCCGCGAACAATTAGATTCGCCAAGCCAAGATCGTCACAAATTAATTTAAACTTGCAATGATCATACTTTGCATTGACCAAGTCAGGTATCAAGGTCTTTAAAACCTTGAACGCCACATATTTGTTCTTAGCATCGTATTCACCAACGATCGAGTTTGGCTGGCGAACAAGCTGTTCCCAGTCTTGCCCGACGACATACTGAAAATACTCGGTGGTCGTCGCAAACCCCTGAGTTCGGTCACCTGGGAATCATTCCTTAGTCAACGCAGTCGATTAATCAAAATGTGAAACAAGAAAACAACACGTACCAAAAGTGTCAACCCCTCCATTCTGTAGAATGCTATGTGCCTTAAAAGTTAGTGGCCGTCGCAGTGTAGGGCCATAGAATTCATTTTGTGGCGAAGGTAGGCTACCGATCTGATCAAAATCAAGCTTGAAAATCTGAAGGAGAAAATTCGCCAACTGTCTATAGATATATTCAACATCACGATCGCTGATATCCTCCCTCATAACTCTGCTGGGGCGATCGGCACTGGGATCCCGAAGAAGATCGCTAAGGCTCACACCGTTGATAAAGTCCATCATAATAAACGGACCGAGGCCAAGTGGATTGCTGGTAGCGGGACCCCACGCCTGGACTGTCGGGACGGGAATAGTAGTCCTGTCGCGGATAAGACCCAGAGCCGTTACCTCCATCGCAACCTTCTCGTCGGTGTAGTCGTCACAGACCATTCCCGCGCGAGGGAAACGAACCATCCAGGCTGTGTTGTCACTAAAGACAATCTTTATGCCAGCATTAAATGCACCGTGGTGAAAGGTACCATCAAGTTTACAGGGAAGCTTGTTAGGATGGAAAGTAGACACCCACTGACAAAGACGACCCGTTCTGTGGGTCTCGTTCACCTTATCAACCCAGAGCTGGCCCTGCACCTCGTGGACGAGATCAATAAGTGCATTGGTGTCCATAATGCCAGAGAGGTTTCTGATAGATAAGTAACAGGACTTGTGGCGATACAAACTTTAGCCAGTAAGTTTGTTTAGGAACGAGTGAGGTGGACAAGGAAGGGGGGCTGGCCCATTTTATGGTCGGTTGGCACGAGCATCGCTGCCTCAGGCACAACACCATTCTCTTGGCATAGTGTCTATTATAACATTAGGCACACAGTCCATGGGTTCAGTTATTTGAACCTTTTATGATTATCTCAAACGCTATAGTACTCCCAGACCTCAGCAATATCGTCTAAACAGCGCCATCAAGCTAAATGTATTTCGTCATAACGCTACAGGTAAAAAGGATAGAAACTTAACATTTAGAGTCGCATACTTAAAAGTTGACTTACAATGCTACAGAATATCAAGAAAGTAAATCAAGTAATCAACTCCTAAATACGTCGACACGGGTGTGTCAATAGGTATTACGAAGTTGGGCTAGAGAAGAAGATGCGTAACGCTTCCGCAAGAGAACTGACTACTCAACAATCCACTGAAAGCGCCAGAATCAAAAATTCAAGGGAGCTAAGGAGTAAATGTTAACTGAGATGTTCTTCTCCCTCAGAGCAGATCTCCCAGGTTAATAGAAAAGAATATACATTCCAAAGACAGTAACGACTGAAAGAGAGAAAAGTTGTGGGTACGATAGTAGAAACAGTGGTCAAGCTTCTGGCTACAGACTGCCAGTAAGGCTAGGTAACCAGCCTGAATGGCAGTCTATCCGGACTTTCCGCTCTTCTTTTATTGATAATCATCAGTACATAACACGCCAAGTTAAACAGATTGGAAAGTAAGGGTCGGGGACGAACAGTAGAACCTCCCTCCTTTGCGGCCTTCTCTTCAGCCTCGCGTTTCGCTCGTATCTCTTTGTTCCTGCGACGCTTCTCGATAGAGGAATTGGCAGTGTCAACCATCTGTCCAATGGCATTGCTCCCAGCGCTAGCAATCGCGTCATTCACTTCCCTTCTGGCGTTGGGATCAATGTTGTCGGACATCGCGGGCAGACGTGGAGTAAATTGTGAGTTTGACTGTCGAGAGTCAGGCTAACGTTCGAGACAACTAGCTTTGAACAGGAGGGGATATAAAAGGAGAAGCACAAACACAGTACTTCCGCCTCAGTTGTAGCCTAGATATTTTTGATGTGGTTTGAATGATGGTACGATAACGAGAGGGACATTGTACTCTTCTTATATCGCATAGACTCTTAGAAAAAGGTACTGTTTTCAAAGTATCAACTGCTACTAATTAGAGGGTAATGGAACGTAAATCCTTAGCGATTTGGCGTTTTTTGTTAGCAATAGCGATATCTAAAAGATACTATTGGATGTATGGCTCCCAAAGCTAGTTGAGTCGACGAGCACATATTATGCCTGCACCGTACACTCCAGTAGTCCAGCCAATCAGAGCCTGAAATGGATGTGATGAGGTGCGGATCTTGGGAGCATCGAGACCCTATGAATTGCGGTTAGCCGCCAAATCACCACATCGTGTAGCATTATCTCTGGCCCAAATACGCATTACAGACCTTCCGGTAAGTACAAACATGCAGCTAGCGCTGCTCGTGTATACTACTCATTGATTCCAGGCTGGCATACGTAATGCATGCAGTTAACTTTTTGACGTACATGAAACTAGAAAACAAGCTGATCCGAATGGTTGTAATCTCTACGAAGACGACAGGATCAGGTACTAATGTTAGATTGGGCTGGGGGTTCTATCCCATCTCGTTTGTTTTGCTTTTGCTCATTAAACTTGTCTAACAGTGTATTAGACTTGTACGATCTGTTGGGTTTGTCCAGAACAAATTTCTGCAAACATGCAAAACAAGAGGGGCGCCTGCCCGGTCAGGCTATCTGGCCACATCTCACATTTTCTTCTTCGTTCAACCTCTCAGCTTACACAGGGAGTGACCGCTATTTATGAGCGAAGCGTGTAGAGACGGCATCGGTGGGATGAACACTTTCCTATGCTTCATGCAACAATGCTGGCCTTCAGATTGGCGACGCAGTATCCGGTGAACCTAGAGGCAATATTGTGCTGACGTTGGGTTCGTTAGAGCTTCGGTGCAAGGACGATGGCTACTAACTCATATTGCAACGGCAACGACTTCCAAACCTTCTATGGCCTAAAACCTCGGACCAGGGTTCGCAATATGCCACCACCCCCGCGTATTTCGGTTGCACACCTGCCTCGAGATACAGCCTCAGTCCTTCACAGGGCCACTACACCCAGAACGACCTCGGAGAATTGCCCCAAAATCACGCGGAAAAGCCCCGACTACTCCAGCTCTCCGAGTGGGGCGATGAAATGTCAAATGACGAGCTCCCAGCAAGCTACATCCGGTATATGATAGAGTGGAAGTTCACGGTGAACAAACGGGTCATATCGCGGGGCACGAAAGAGGACGTATCCCTGACTCCAAGTGCGTTCTGGCCACTGACTCTTGGGCGTAAGCTGGAGAAGTTATTAGAAGGGAAGACCGCCCGTAAAGGAAGGGTAAGACCGGATGACACCTCGAACGTGGTGTCGGTAAATGATCGCTCCCAACGCGACCTGACGAAGAGATACGATAATCTCGACATCGGTTGGACAACCGTGGAAAACCAACTGCTTCGGTGGGGTGAAGTGTTTAGTCGAGGCAAAAATCTCAGGCTAAGCTTTACCTTCAACTATATTGAGGACGACCGTTTCTCCAGGACCACCTCAGGGAGAGTCGAGAAAAGAGGCAAGACATCAGTCACGAAAAGGATGCTCAACGAACGAGATGCACAACTCGATGCAGAGGAAAACGTGACTGGGCAGCAGTCGATTTGGCGAGGGGTCTACAACTTGATGCGTTGCCCTTCGCCATCATGTCATCTTGGCCCACACTGCTGGCAAGATCTACGCGGGAAAAAGCACTATGCACTAAGGAGCCATCATCTAAAACGCCTTATAGCCTTTGTGGAGAAGGGTGGCGCCTTGGGGTCTCATGATAACGTCCCTGATTCCTTCTGTGAAGAACTATATATGGAAGAGCAACAACGACTCGAAAGCCAGCATACCAAGAACAACATTAATGCGTCACAACCTTGTCTCCAACCACAAGCGGATAAGCCACCTATAGTGCCGGAAACGCTTCCGCAAGCAAATGGCCAAACACTGGATTGCCTCGATACACTAAGTTGCGAAAACAGTGTCCGGTTGTTGTACACTCTTGTTTTAATATTCTAGTCTATAATTGGATGGAATTATCCTTAGTCATTGATAATAAGTGATCTGATTGGTGTAAATTAATATACTTAACCATATATGGTTTGGTGGACCCACAGAATTAGAAAAAGAGTGTGCAACACCCGGACACCGTTTTTGCAACTTAGTGTATCGCTGGACCACGAGACGTGGCTGTCAGAGAACACAGCTTGTGGCATGAAGCGAATGTCAGTGACAAATTGAAGCTCAATTTCGGCAAGCATGCGAGGTGGCATTGGCATATGGCCTTGATCTTGAGCTGATCCACGAGGACCAAGATCCGTCGTTCTTCGCCGACAAAGGAATTATGGTAGGTATTGCACTCCGATTCGTAAAAGACATTGGTAGATGGGCTAGACATGTGAGGAATGTTTTGCCAGTGGAAGAGATTGCGCAGACCGCAAACTGAATGCTTGAAAGGGCGTTATTCTAGACACAGTTAGTATTATAGACTGAATCGTTTCTGACGTGGTACGAAGTATCTCCAACGTATGTATATATAATCCAGGTGTCATTAAATCAAGTGGGCGTAGCCGTACACAGTATAGCGATCCGCAGGCAGAACAACACGCTGTTCTGCCAAGGTCTGGGAGGGGCTTGCAATACAGGCCATTCTGGGCCAATTGGACGGGGGTGACGTCGGTAAGCACTTGGCTATGGAACGAGAGAGCTCTAACGGCGACGGTGGAGTAGGTGATAGGGATCCGGTGTTTTGGAAGGGTTTCGTTGGGTTGTGGGGTGGTTCGATCGGGTGGAGCAGTGGGGTTGGCGGATTTGAGGAGTAAAGAAGGACGACGGAGGGCTGAGAGAGGCTTGGGTTTCCAGACAACCCAGGGTCTGGATGAAGAGAATTCATCGTCCCTCATCTATCAAATACAGTACGCAGCTCTGTATATTCTGCAGGGGATGAACCGTAGAAAAGAGAGATTGGTAATCTAAAAGGTGGAAGCCTGACTGGATTTGCCCTCAAGGCAAGAACTCGTTTTCTACGATGAGGAATTTGATCTCTGGGCCTCTAAGTCGAGTATATTTGGCTTGCCATCTTGAATTTGGGCCTGCAGCGAGACAGCATGAACGTCCATCGGATGTTCCACAGCAGAGGTGATTTCAAATGTCCTGAGAGGTCTCTGATTACCAGATATATCTCGAGTATGGCCTGGGGCTGGCCCTAAGGGTGATTGTAGGGAAGCAAACATAGGTGTATAGTTGAGCCGGCGCCCCCTAACCTGATGCGATCTCGAGCCCTCGGAGGCTAGGGGGGGAACAGCACCAACGTCTCTTTCGGCGCGGTTTGAATCTGGTCCCCTAGGGACAGGCCCAGCATGTGGTGAAGAATTTTTGGTTGAAAAAACGAAGGTTTTCCGCTTAGAGGAAAAAGGTTGGAACCGAGAATGAATAGCTTGCTTCCGAGAGATGAGGCTATCAATCGCTTGACCTTTGCTGGTCTCCTCGTGCTTGCTGCTCCCCTCGTTCTTGCTGCTCTCCTCGTTCTTGCTTCTCTTCTCATTCTTGCTGCTCTCCCCTGAGTACAAGCTTAGGGTTATGGCAGAGTTGTTATTTGTTGCCGATTCAGAATAGCCCAATAAAAAAGGTCTTTTAGCCGCAGACCGGGGTACTTGGAGAGAGGCATCCCAATCAGCTTTAGCGGGTGACATTAAGCCCATTCGTCTCAGCCAGTGCGGGGCGGAAAGTCCTAGGATATAGCGATAGAAACCATGTACAGGAAAAGCCAAAGGAACCGAGACCACAAACACAAGGACAGCAAAGGCCCACAGTGGATACCAGGCTGCAGATATTGAGAATTGTGTCATACCAAATATGCTCTGATTGTGTCCTCTGGTTAGCTCATAACCAACTGCCTATCATGGGAATCTCGGACATACTGCAACCCAAGATATAGGAAGAAATGCAAAAGCAAGGACATTGTGACACTATTCAGCTATCTAGGCAGCTATCGACGAGAACTTCAAGCATGGAGAGGAAGGAAAAAGGAAGAGATCTACGTGAAGCTGGACGACGTACTCCTATCCACGCGCCACGCTAATCCAAGTAAGGAAGCTCACGTGCTCGTCCTGGTCTACATGGCAAGGGCCCTGACATGTGTGATCCCATACTGCATTATAGTGATTTGTATATAATCAAACCACTCCCTAATAACTTTAGGATCTTCACATTTAGCATGTTGATAATCATATCATCTTGAGAAGTGTGTTTTCAACTGATCTTGTTGATTAATAAAGTTGTATACCCATTTCTCTCTAACAGATTGAATTGGTGTAGTACCATGCTGAGCAAGTAGAATATTAGCCATTTCTTGTACATGCAAAGGTCAGGGAGGTGCTCCACGTCAATCCAGTGAGAGAATCCATTGTATAAGTGATTCCTCTTCATTTTGAGTCATCTTATGGTTGTTAGTGTGTTTTTCTGCTCAAAAGATGTGGCTATTTAGTTGTCTTCAAAGTATTGTATGCAGAATATTATAAACACATGCTGCTTCTGCAATACTGCAGATTTCTTGCTTTTTTAAAGCAGATATAGCAAGTAGGACCCTTCCCTCCTGCTCTATTAAATCTTTTAAAATTTGATATGCTTTTGGAGTCATGGTTGGTGGTTGAAATGAGTGAGGTTTTTGACCACAGTCAAAACGTGGAGAGGTGGCCGCTCGCTTACAGTGGCCGCTCGCTTACCGGATACGTTACGTTATATAGTATTAGCTAATCAATCAACTCAGCGAGTTCAACCGCGTTTACCGTCTTTAAAAGTAGTAATAATAATATGCAGAGTATGTGCTTGTACACCTTCAAAAGTCAATTTCTTTGGATTGAATGAAAATCATGGCATATTATTATATTCCTCTTTTTCTTGTCTCTATTTCCACAGCAAACAATGTAATGAATGTGACTGGAGAAATTCGTAACATTTCATGCCAAGAAATAATCTCCATAAACTATGTACAAACATGCTTACTCTATTTCACCTAGGTAGTAGTATCGTTGTCGCGATAGGGATGATGATAACCTGCGACGCTTCCCTTAGTATTTTAAACAGTTTCTTCCTTCTAGGCGAGCAGCAATCCCTTCTGGCAGGTTCACGGGTATTGGATCAACCTCCTCGCTATAGAACTGTTCTGTAGACCGGCTTCTCTGCTCGACTGACGCACTACCCTACTGAACTGCTCTTTCCGGCAAAGCAGTCTTGTTTGCTGCCGCGAGCGACTGCTCGAAGTCGGCGATAATATCATCGATGTGCTCAGTACCGACAGAAATGCGGATGGCATCCTCAGTCACACCCGAGTCAATACGTTCTTGCTCCGAGAGTTGCTCGTGAGTGGTGGACCATGGGTGAATGGCAAGAGTCTTTGAGTCTCCAACACTGTAAGTTGGTTAGAATGGGGGCCCTCCACAAAGAGAGAGAGAAACTTACTTGGCAAGGTTGGAGATCAGCTTAAAGCCATCAACAACCAGGGCACCGGCTGCACCTCCTCCCTTGACACCGAATGACAGAACACCACCGAATCCCCGCTTCAGATAGCGTTTGGCAGTTTCGTGGCTAGGATGACTCTCCAATCCGGGGTAAGAGACCCAGCTAACATTCTCATTCTTCTCGAGCCAGCGAGCAAGAGCGAGAGCATTGCTAGCATGTCGTTCACAACGCAAGCTGAGTGTCTCTAAACCCAATAGGAGTTGCTGCGCTCCAAATGGGTTCAGAGACGGCCCAAGGTCGCGAAGAAGCTCAACACGGACACGGATAGCATAAGCAAGGGGTCCGAAGGTCTCCCAAAACTTCAAGCCGTGGTAGCCTTCCGAAGGTTCAGTGAACTGTGGGAAGCGTGCGGAATGCTTACCCCAGTCGAACTTTCCGCCGTCAACGACGACACCGGCAATTGTCGTCCCGTGCCCGCCAATCCATTTGGTCGCACTGTGCACAACAATGTCGGCACCATGTTCGATGGGGCGAGCGAAATAGCCACCAGCACCGAATGTGTTGTCAACCTAGCCAAGTAGAGTGAGTTACGAAGATCCATTCACGGCAGGAAAGCCCACCACAAGGGGGGGTGGGGTAGACGTAGGCTATACATACCACCACTGGAACGCCCTTCTCGTGCGCAAGCTTGGCGATAGCTTCAAAATCCGGTATATTATAACGGGGGTTCCCAATGGTCTCTAGGTAGACCGCCTTGGTACGATCATCGATGGCAGCGGCAATGTCCTCGGCTTTATCTCCCTGAACGAATTTGGTCTGGATTCCAAACCGAGCAAATTGAACCTTGAACTGATTGTAGGTACCACCGTACAGGTTGCTCGTCGCTACGATATTGTCACCGGCGTGAGCAAGTCCCGCAATCGCCAGAAGCTGGGCTGCCTGGCCGGACGAGGTTGCGACGGCAGCAACACCGCCCTCGAGAGCCGCAATGCGCTTTTCGAAGACATCTACCGTCGGCTGTCAGACGAACAAGCCTCGTTAGTAAGCCTGTATGCGCTGGGACGAATCGAGCGACGTACGTTCATAATTCGACTGTAGATGTTTCCGAATTCTTTGAGGCCAAAGAGCCTAGCTCCGTGAGCGGAGTCATTGAAGACGAAGGACTAGTCCATAATTGTAAGTGGATGGTAGGAAAGCAATTGGGATTGCCATAAAGAATCGAACGAACAGTGGTGGCATAGATAGGGACCGCGCGGGCATTGGTTGCGGAGTCAGGCTCCTGACTTGAGAGCGGTCAGCATGAATATATTGTTAATGCAAGCCAAGAAAACGCACCCAGCATGGAGCTGGAGGGTCTCGAAATGAAGGTTCTGCTGGTCGGAAGACATGACGGGGTATTTGTGGTTGTCTTCCGGTCAGAAAGACGGCTGATCAGCGCAACCAGGAGGGTAAGGGGGTAGAGAAAGAAAGAGAATGGATCAATTCAACAACAGCAGCAGGAGAAGCGAATGAAGCCCAACGAGAGGTGGGGGGGGCTCTGAGGAATATATAGGGCGTCGGGACATCGGACAAGAGGGGGATGAAGCTATACGCCTGCAGCGACTCAAAGGAGGGGAAAGACGCAAACATCATGGAGGCAGCGATTGCGTGATCGAGGACTCGGCCGGGATTGTCGAATTTCTGTTTTGGGAGGGAAAGCTTATTATTTTTCACGATGGGCAGGGAGAAATGTTCAGGGCACGGAGGATATACTTACTAGTTAGTAGTCAGAGAGAGAGTTGCGAAATCGGCCTGTGTTTCCTCGGTTGTCTGGATGGGGATGGAGAACATTTATAAATAGGTACATTAGATATGTATATGTGATAATATATAGCAGGACTGCGGAGTCGGCTTGCAGAAAATAGCATATAATACTCCATACTCCGTCTTCAGCGACTGAATTGCTGCATCCAGTACAGCTCCTATAAATGTACTCCATGATTCTCCCTTACTCATCTCTATGACAAGTCATGAGGTCATTAGGGGAATGAATCTCAGACACACCAGAGATGATTGTAAAACAAATTCCAGCATCAGGATCATCTTAGATCAAGCAAGACTTAAAGACATGAGCAGCTATTTCCTTTCCACCCTTTGCAACTACCATGGTTATCAACTGGTAGTCGCAAAGAAGTGAGAGAAGGAGAACAACGCCTTCCTCAGCAACGAGGAGTTCCTGCTTGGCCCGCCGCCAACTCCAGAGTATACCGATACAATAGTCTCCAGTCGTACAGCAAGCCATTGAAACTGCCGAAATGCAAGGATCGAATTTTCATTGTGTTCACCGATATTCCCGAGTCTGAGCTTGAGAGTCTTGAACAACCTCGTTATCTTGACTATAACCGCGACGCTGAAACCCTAATCATACCAGTATCGTCTGACCCTCATGAAACGCCTGCAAGTTACATCAAGCGACTTGTTTTAGGAAAACCGGGGGAGATGCAACTGAAAGGGGCCATCGGACCTGGGAGATCAACACGCAAGAAGGGGAAACACAGGGAGAATGAGCCTAGTGTATCAATTTATCTCCTGAGATTTGCACGACCAGCTGGCCGAACAGCAAAATGGCTGACATTGGCAATCGAAGTCGGAGTCTCCGAGGCAGCTGAGAAACTAGAGCTCGATATCGCGTTCTGGTTCAGTAAGCCAGAGGGAGACGTTCGAGTTGGAATCACCATCCATTACTAAAGTGACAGTGGAAATGTAGACATTTCCACATGGATACTCGGAGCAAAGCCAACACGCCAATCCAAGACCTGCCTCAGTGAGGCTCCAGCAAGTCCGATTAGATTGTTCACAGGGAAGGATGGCACAGTGAACGTCCAGGAGCCTTCACGGTTGACAGTTAGTTCTCTTTGACAGAATAATGCTCTGAGAGCCTGCTAGGCCAATGAGGAAGGTGACATAGTCATGACAAAGCAACATTGGGAGGGATTGGTTGTCTGGTTGCAGGAAGCCATCGGGTCCCAGAAAGCCTAGGCGCATCCCAGTTGCCAGATATATGTGTGAGAAAATGATAGATCCTCTTTCTTGAGGGCCCATGACGGTTCCCTCCTAATAAATTCTTCCCCCTTCCATTTTTGTGCTCGCCAAGTATTAGATCTGAGTACAGAGTATGTTTTTAAGTAATATGGGCTAGGCAGTGCAAGCTACCGCCTAATATCTATGCAGTGTGACGGTGTTGATATCCACGTGATCTGTCCTGCAGTACACTCAGCACTAGTATACGTGTTCGGCAGACTTGTCACTCGCCCTCTCACAAACAGCAATAATGATGCGGCCTAGTCATAGTCATAGTCATAGCCATATATTTACGTGTATTTGTTCATTTAAATATATATAATCTATAATATAACTAGGACCCCTCTCTGTACAGCCCTCCCCATAGATATCCTACTCCACGCCCCTTTCCCCAGCCCGCTATTTCGCCGATTTTTCTACTCTGTATACACCACCGGAGTATCTCTGAATTCAAGCAGGAAACGGACGGGAAAGAGAAGACAAAGGGTGGTGTCAGCCCATCATGCTCCCTTGGATCTACCCCGTGCGCGCTATACAGATTGTCTTCGCCATCATCGTCCTTGGTCTGACCGCGTATGGTCTGCTTCCCCTTCTTCAAGCCGAAGCTTCTCGTTTCTGTCGTTGACTTGGATTAATAATTAAAATAGCCGTTGGTGAAATCTTCGACTCCCCCAACACGATCAACTATGTGCTCTTTGTCAGTGTCTGGACCTGGATTGCAACCATGTACCTTTTCCTAGCGCCCGCATACTTCCCCGTCCTTGCGAATCGCATCGCCATTTTGGCCGTGGAAGCTGTCACAATGGTTTTTTGGTTTGCCGGCTTCATTGCCCTGGGAGCTTGGTTGCCGTCACCAAGCTTCTGTAAAGGAGATCTCTGCAACTCATTGCAGGCGGCGACAGTGTTTGGGTCATTTGAATGGTGTGTCTCGCATCTTCTCAGCAGATTCTGTTATGGCTCTTGACCAACTGAAATGGCGACTGTTGCAGGGCCCTGTTTGCGGTCACTACCGGCGTGGTTATATACAACTTCCGCAGAAATTCGAAGCCCGCACCGCCGTCAACAGTCAACCTTGGCGTCTGAAGGTAATTAATTAATTGTAGATCGAATGGTACGTTTTGGAAGTTGGGTTGAGTCAAAGTCAGGAGTCAGACGGAGCTGCAGCCCTGTCCTGACGTCATGATAAATCGGGTCCCCAAACTTAATCAGTGAAAATTTGCATCTGCATTGAATGCTTAATAAATGATGTGCAATGATTGTTGTGAGTATTTATTATTTTATTATCAGTAGGCCTCAAGCCCGGTGTATTTTTATCCAGTTTGGAAGACAAATATATGCTAGTCATAAAGTCCCAGATCTCCTGAGTATTGCCACTTTACTACCCTCCCCGAAAATAAGCGATCCGCGAGAAGTGGGATATTAATGAGTCCCACTGATCCTTTTCAAGACGGCGGTTACAGGGTCGGCTGAGTCGGCTCATAAGTATTAAATACGCTGTTACCGGTGTAGCTCTGCTAGTTGACAACTAAAGAATAGAAGAATATGCCTATTATTTATTCCAAATTGTCTACTGTAACCTAGTACTTTGGAAGACTTCTAGAAAGGGAATCTAGCCCTAAGAATATTAGGGTTGCAGCAGAAAAAATCAAAGAGAAAAAAAGCTTCGCCCGCTTCTCACACCACCCGCTCATCCCATCCAACCATCATTCCTGAATCCTGCATATATGCCTCTGATTGATCAATCGCCGTTTGATCGTCGACTAGGATTCACACGGGAACCCTTGCCCTGCCCTGCTATCAGATCTGGACAGTCATAATGTTCGCTCGCTACTCCTGCAGCATGAGACAGTAGCATTGAAAAGTGGCCAAACGGCCCCGAAAATTTTGGTTCCTATTATTCAATTGTATTATATTGACTTACCCGTTGTTCTGTATAATAATAATGCACTTCCCCTTTTTTCTTTTTCTTTTTTCTTTTTACATACAATATTCATGTCCCCTCTTCTTATCTTGTTCTCCCTGGGTTGGTAATCCGTTTGAAACCGTTCGCTGCAGTCTGTAACCTCCGTGGCCTGACCATCTTTAAAAGGGATGGGGAAGTAAGTAAAAGAAAGAAAGAATAATCTCCTTTTATAAAAGAACCGTGGACGTGTGTCGCCTTGGGATCCCTGGTGGAGTCAGATCCAGCCGGTAACCGACTCCGTCTGTGAAATCTTTGCACCTACACCTACGGCTTCCTCTTCTTTTCGACACATGCGTTCTTCGTCTAGCATCTCCGAATCTGTCACGCCTGATATGGCCCCCATGCCAGCCGTGGCCATTGAGCCCAAGGCAATGGAAGAGGGCAAGATGATCAGTGAAGCGCCTCTCCAGATCAATGAGTCAACGTCGTCGCCGGGACTCAATGAGTTGGACTATGAGAAACATGGAGCCGGGCGCGAGTCAACTCCCGTGCCGGACTTGAAGCGGAAGTTGAAGAGCAGGCATTTGCAGATGATTGCCATTGGTTAGTTGGATCTTTCCCCTTGTTATGCCTTGCGTGTTAGAAGAAGAGATCGAAAGAAGCAGCTTCAGCATATACCCAAATACTTACGTCTGCGTACGTTGTCAAGGTGGTACTATCGGAACGGGTTTGTTTATTGGTAGCGGTTCTGCCATCGCCCATGCCGGCCCCGTGGGCGCACTCATTGCGTATCTGTTCGTCGGCTCGCTGGTATTCTCCGTCATGCTCTCCCTGGGAGAGATCGCTACGTATATTCCCATCCCCGGCGCGTTTACCGCTTATGCCACTCGTCTGGTTGATCCCAGTCTCGGCTTCTCCATGGGTTGGATTTATTGGTTTTCGTGGGCCATCACATATGCGCTTGAACTGACCGCAACGGGCCTGATCATTCAGTATTGGGACAGCTCAATCAACATTGCTATTTTTATCGGTGTCTTCTGGGTCTTCATTACGTCCGTCAACTTCCTCCCTGTCAACTTTTACGGCGAGATGGAGTTCTGGTTCGCAAGCATCAAGGTTATAACCGTTGTCGGGTTCATGATCTTCGCTATCTGCATTGATGCCGGCGCAGGCAAGCAAGGCTACCTTGGCTTCCACAACTGGGTGCATCCGGGACCCTTCGCCCCCTATCTCATCAAATCCTCGCCGTCGACGGCGAAATTCGTGGGTTTTTGGGCGGTTCTTATCCAAGCAGGCTTTTCCTACCAGGGCACAGAATTGGTCGGTATTGCAGCCGGTGAGACTGAAAACCCCCGCAAAACGGTTCCGTCGGCCATCCGCAAGACATTCTTCCGCATCCTGTTCTTCTTCGTCTTGACAATCTTCTTCATCGGTATTCTGGTTCCCTATGATGACCCCAACCTTCTGTCGGATTCCAACAATGCGTCCGCATCGCCATTTGTCATTGCGGCGAAAATTGCTGGCGTCAAGGTCCTTCCGAGCATCATTAACGCAGTCCTATTGACCGTGGTCCTCTCCGCGGCTAACTCGAACGTCTACAGCGGCAGTCGTGTCCTCGTCGGGTTGGCCCAAGAGGGCTTCGCTCCTCATTGGTTCAAGAAAACAACCAAAGGCGGTGTTCCTTACTATAGTGTTGCTTTCACTTCAGCCTTCGGCTTGCTTGGATTCATGAATGTCTCCAACTCGGGAAGTACGGTCTTTAATTGGTTCCAAAACATTTCCGGAGTGGCCGGTTTCATCACCTGGACATCGCTGAACGCATGCCACATTGCCTTCATGCGCGCTCTGAAGGCCCGGGACATCTCCCGGGATATGCTTCCGTACAAAGCCATGCTGCAGCCCTTCCTTGCTTGGTACGGACTCATCTTCAACATCATCATTATCCTTACCCAAGGCTTCACCGCTTGGATCCCAGTGTTCGACGTGTCAAGCTTTTTTATCTCGTATATTAGCCTGATCCTCTTCGTGGTGCTCTACCTGGGCCACAAGATCATCTTCCGACCGCCGTTTGTCCATCCACTCATGGCCGATCTCGACACAGGCCGTACCCAATATGAGAATGAGTCGTGGGAGACTACGGCACCCACGGACTCGGGGTGGAAGGCGAAGTTGCGAAACCCATTCAAGTCGCGAGACGGATGATGTTTTGACGTTCTGGATTTATATGTAATAGAGACAAAAGGCGTCATTTTTTTCTTTGCGCATTCGCCTCTTGTACAGTTATGACTTTCTGTTTCTTGCATTGCAGGAGTTTTCTTTCATGGTTCTCCCTTCTATACGGAGCGTGGGATACGGAGTGTATATTTTGCCGCATTTATTGCATTTCGATTAGAGGGTAGGCGAAGAATATGACTTGCATAATGACTGAATAAGTGTGCGGAGTAGCAGCTTGGGATAGACAAGAATTGACTTCCCGAGGTGCACGGAAGAACAAGAGATCCCGTCGTTCACATGCAGCCCGAGTCCACACACTGCAACAGTTGGTATGTTTCGTAAAGTTCGGATACTAAAATTATTTATTTTTCCCCCTTACGGAATATGGAGGAATTATTATTGCTATTTCGAAGCCCTCCACTCCACCTGCTTGAGACATGGGTTGTATGCAGATACCCTTGGCGTTTTATATGCGGCTCTCGACGCAGAACGGACTTTTTGAACCGTTCTAGATGAGAGACTAGGGGGAGCATCGGGTTCTAAATCCAGTGCCCAACAGCCCTGTCCTCTGCCGTCATATGCCACATTCCAGATGTGCATGTGAACATCGATAAATTCCAGAATCCGGGTGAAGCGGAGCCCCGGGTTTTAGCATGTGAGATGAAGGGGAAATCGCATATTGATTAATAATATAATTATACTCCGTATTATTATTGAGTCGGTAGTATCTGCGCTGTGACCCGGGCCGTATACTTGCTGATTCGCTGTACACACACACAATAACCCCGCGTGCAGTGATCATCGGCAAAGAATGGCTTGCTTGTCATTTGCCCGATAAGCTGGCAGGTTTGCTAGCCTCGCCACCCTATTTTGGCCTCGCATGGCTCGCTCGCGCATGAAGGGGTTGCACTGGCGTACTCTGTAGTAATAGTGTCATACTGGGCCATAGGTCAGATGGTCCATTCTGACCGTGTGAAGAATGGAGGATTGGCGGCCGAGAACTTGGACTTGGAAAGAGAAGAGCAGTAGTACGTTGTACTCTGTACGGACAGGTTGGGGATAGCTAATATTAATTGCAATTACTGGCTTATCTGGCATGCCGAGGCAATTTCCCTTTTCGGTTCTTCCGCCGATAACCCCATCCCGCAAAGCTTCTCGTTTCTGTCTTTAACTTGCTGAAGTGGCTGACTTTCCCTCCCCTGTGTCTCCTTTTCACCGTTTCCAATCCCATCAATTGCTTGGGGCGTGTGGCTATTAACTCTCGAACTGTCTCCGCATCGTTACTCTTGACAGCATTCGTCTTTTTCCCATCTTATGTTGTTTTCTGCCATAGCCTAGTGATTGTTCTGTGGCTGTCTCTGACCAACAACTTAACACAGTCCTACTTAGTATCAATAGCAGTCCGATACCTGCGCCATGTTTTTCACGCAGGAATACCCTTATGTCACTGTCGCACGGGAGCTGCAACAGGACCCTCCCAAGGGTACGCCGTACTCTGTTCCTTTGCCGGGAACTGAGCTGCCCGGGAGGACTCCGGTATACCGAGCTTGGAATGCTCAGAATGAATTGTTTTCCACGGCTGAACCGGAAGTACGTTGTTTAAAAAAATTCTCTCATAGAGGTAGACCGATGCTAATAATTAATAACCCCGAACCTGCAGGTTCGCACCACTCATGACATGTTCGAGCTCGCGGCAAGTCGATACGCGAAAAATAAATGCTTAGGGAAGCGTACATACAACCCCGTCACGAAGACCTGGGGTCCATTTGAATGGATGGATTATCAGACTGTCCAGAAACGTCGGGCCGCTTTCGGCGCTGGCTTGGTGGAGCTGCACAACAAGCACAGATGCGCCAAGGAGGGCCAGTACACTGTCGGCCTGTGGTGTCAGAATCGGCCAGAATGGCAGTTGACTGGTATGTGGCGGAATCCTCACAAGCTAAGCTGTAGTTTATTCACTTCTTACTAACTAGTTTCTAGATTTGGCGTGTGTATCCCAGTCTTTGATCACTGTCTCGATCTACGACGTGCTGGCTCCTGATGCAACAGAATACATCATTAACCACGCGGAGCTGGCCTGTGTTGTCACATCTCTGCCACATATACCAACGTTGCTTAAGATTAAACCTAGGTTGCCTGGTCTGAAGATCATTATTAGCCTGGATCCTCTAGATGCCGGTGAACAACCAGGCTACTCAAAGCGGGCTATTCTTGAGTCCATCGCTGCGGATCTCGGTGTTTCGATATATACCATCGACGAAGTAGAAGAGATCGGTGCCACGTCAAATCGTCCCTATAACCCTCCTTCTGCAACTGATATTGCCACGATTAACTATACATCTGGAACCACTGGCCCCCCTAAGGGAGTCGTTCTTACGCACGAGAATGCCATAGCCACTGCTTCTACTAGCCTATCCCTGTTTGTGGATCAAAAAACCCCATCGCTGCTTTCATATCTTCCATTGGCTCATATCTACGCCCGCTTGGTAGAACATATAGCTTTCTGGGGGGGTGCGCAGATTGGTTATTTCCACGGTAACGTTTTGGAACTGGTTGATGATTTGAAGGAGCTGAAGCCCACTATATTTGTATCAGTGCCTCGGCTCTACAATCGCTTTGGTACTGCAATTCGTGATGCAACCGTCAAGCAACCTGGTTTAAAAGGTGCTTTGTCAAGACATGTTGTCTCGGCGAAACTTTCGAATCTGCAAAACTACGGTACCGTGAATCACGCTCTGTATGATAGGATCTGGACCAAAAAGGTAGCAGCTGCAATTGGGTTGCAAAAGACAAAAGCTATGGTGACAGGTTCCGCACCTATAGACCCGTCCCTGCAGAACTTCCTGCGAGTGGCCCTTGGGGTTAGCTTCGTCCAGGGTTGGGGTATGACAGAGACATATGCGATGGGATTAGTGCAGAAAACCGAAGATGTCAGCACTAGCAATTGTGGACCTATCAGCCCTTGCATGGAAGCCTGCCTGATGTCTCTACCGGATATGGAGTATTCCGTCCATGATAAACCATATCCAAGAGGTGAGTTACTTGTGCGTGGCAAAAACGTTTTCCTGGAGTACTTCAAAAATCCCGAGGAGACTGCGAATTCGATGACGGAAGACGGATGGTTCCGCACTGGAGACGTTTGCAAAATAGATGAACAGGGCCGCATCATCATCATCGACCGTCGAAAGAACGTGCTCAAGTTAGCTCAGGGCGAGTACATCTCCCCGGAACGGCTGGAAGGCGTGTATCTCTCGGAGCTTGGCTACTTCGCACAAGGCTATGTTCATGGAGACAGCGTTCAGAACTTCCTCGTGGGCATATTTGGTGTGGAGCCCGTTTCCTTTGCCGCGTTTGCAAGCAAGATATTGAACCAACACATCGATCCAACGAACATCGAGGCTCTCAAGACAGTATTAGCCGAGGATAGAATACGCAAGGCTGTGTTGAGGGATTTGGAGCGGGTCGCAAAGAAACACAAACTTGCTGGGTATGAAAGGGTCAAGAACTGCGCTTTGTTGATTGAGCCTTTCACAGTTGAGAATAACCTTCTGACACCAACGTAAGTCCTTGACCTTTTCTAGATTGAAACTTGGAGGGGTACAGTTACTAACAGCTCTGCAGCTTAAAATTGAAACGTCCGCCAACTGTGAAGAAGTATCGCCAGCTTCTTGACGACCTTTATGCCCAGGCTCTGGCAGAAGAGTCTGCCCCTAAGGCCAAGCTTTAGAGGTTTTATTCCTCTTCCATGTTCCATTTTCCCTTCTCTTTCTTCTCTTGTACTTTTCTGGGTCCTCTTTCTTCAGGCTGTTAGTCAACTTTAGGGGATTGTCCCATGACCATGTTAGGGCACAAGCAATCTGATAATGATGCTCTTTGTGCATTTGGAATTGAGAGTGTGATTCTAGGAGAGTGGGGGTATATATCTTGCAGCCTAATATAGCATATAAAGTTGCAGTTTATTTTCTTTCTCTTTGCAGTTTAGTCATACTTACTTGTTTTGTATGTCTAACTCAAATATAGAAGGAATTAGGGCACAACACCTCACAGACAGTGAATAGAGACCTCTATTCTACTCACCTGCCTTCTTTTAAGCAGTCATTCCTATTGCCCCATATAACAGCTTCATCAACCCGGTCTTTTCTACACCCATCCTCTGTCAAAGCCTTTGCGCTCAATATACCAGATCCAAGCACAGTTACTATCAACCAAATCAAATGGGCTCATCCAGCTGCACTAATCAGAATAGCCATGGTAGGGCATGGCCTAGCCTTGATCCGGATGAAGAGCATTTTCTTTCCTCCGCCATGACAGAATCCATCTCTACTCCGCCAGTATCTGAATGGAGTGACCTCACTATCTGCGACGGCGCTGGGTCTGATGAAGGGGATACTTTCAAGTATAGATGTAATGAATGCCGCATTGTGTGCGCCGGTATAGAGGATCTCTGTTGCCACCTCCTCAGTGAGGCTGCAACCCATGTTGTCTGCCCGGTCTGTTTCAAGGAATTTCATGGTAAGTGCTGGGAGGAGAGAGTCAAGGAGAAACAGCGACATCTTGATGAGGTGAGTATGAGAAACTCTCACTGGCACTGGGAGGCTTGGTAGAGTCTGCACCGGGAGCAGGGAAAGTCTTCGCGCGAGTGATGATCAGATTCATTTTCCTTCTTGATTCTAAATAGTGAGAATTTTCGGCTGATGGCTCTGCCCAGCACAATGAACAGGGAGGTCAAGTCATGAGCCCAGTCTTCTTCCGACAGATGGAGTGGATTTTCAGGAGGAGGAAGGCATTCGGGATTTTTGATATTCCTATCATGAGTTCAGCTGCTGCGTATCGTCTTATTCCCAGCGGCCCAGCAATAGGGGAGGCTGTCCGAGAAAATAGCACAGAAGAACGGAAATCTCACATCGCTCTCAACGACACTATCCAATCCATACCAATACCTGCCAATGAAAATGATATGAATGGGAAGACACAGTCACCGGAAGAAACATGTTACGAATGTCCAGGCGAGAGCAGAATCCGAGGCTTATATGGAGACAAGGACAAATCTGACAATGACAGCCAGCCCTTGAATCCCAGCCTCTCTGACCACAGTGCTGGTAGCAAGGAAGGTGATGCGGCGTCTCGAGCAACGTCTGCAATCAAGCACATGCAGTCTAAGGGCAGAAAGAAACGGATGTTTCCTTATTACCACTGGGAGCCGGATATGCTCTACCTGAGAGACCGCGACATAGACCTGGAACTGCTAAAGAGCGAGAGACTCAAAGAGATGAGTTGGCTCAGAGATTTCGAAGGAGCTTAGGCTGCGACAGCTAAAGTCACTTATGGATAGCTTTTTTCTGTATCTTGACGTCTGCCTTGAACATGAGCGAGAATTGCAATCTTGAAACGCTAAACACGGATTGAGAGTATGCTTATGTACATCGAATAGGGATAGTTACTGCACGGAGTAGAAGTTTGATTCTCGTGTCTAGAAAGTATCAAGTTCAAATTGTTTCATCCGACCGTGCAAGCCCAGTCTCTTTAGTAGCTCTCCGCGCTCTCCACACCGGAATTGTTCCCGCTAGGCAAACCTCGTTTTCTCGCTGAACGCCTCTACTTCTTCCAACACAGCTCGAGAGGCGCTTCAACAGACTCTCTCTCTCTCTCTCCATATACAATGCGGTTCCCCAAGTCAATTATGCTATCCTCGCTCGGCTGCTTGATCCTTTCTGCAGCAACGGCAGCGGCATCATCCCTGACAATCAGTGTCCCATCCTCTAACTTCCTCCCTAATCCACATGTCCTTCCTGCAGGAACACATGCCACTCTAACCACCCTCCCCTCGCCAGAAGGAAGTCAATCGAGCCCTCGCCAGAGCAATGTCCTGACTGCCCCGCTTACCCGCTTCTCCACCTTCGTCTTCCGCAATCTCCAGCCCGAGTCTTATTTGCTCGATATCAGATCCTCCGAGTATGTATTTGCGCCATACCGCGTCGATATCTCCTCCGACGGCTCTGTCCGCGGCATTTGGGAGACCTTCCGTGGAAATCCGTGGGATAATCGGGGCGCAGAGAAGTTCGTCTCAGGCAGCGCCAATGTTGCTTCCGGCGATGTAGCCATCGAGGCCAAAGTGCTTGGTAGGAGGAAGTTCTATGAAGAGAGACCTAAGTGTGAGTTTTATTTTTTATTTATTTATTTTTCAATTCTGGGCCTTAGCCCCTCCTCTTCGTACATGTGCTCTTTACCTGGGTATTTCAGCGGTTCAGTGACTGACTAATATTCATGACTATAGTTTCCCCCCTTGGATTGTTTAAAAATCCAATGATTCTGCTCTCCGTCGTGGCTCTGGGTATTACGGTTGGAATGCCAAAGCTTTTGGAAAACAGTATGCCTTCATTCTGCCTTCTCCATCTACCTGTCTCTCTACATTTTGTGGCCGCTTCTTGTCTTGGCTTATGTCAATGCTAATCGAAGTATCGTTTTCCGTAGTGGATCCAGAAATGCGCGCCGAATTCGAGAAGCAGTCGCGTTCATCTCCGCTGTCTGGTGCGGCTCGCAATCCTGTTGCCGGCGGGCATACCGGCCCTGCCAACTTCGACCTGGCCGGGTGGATGGCCGGCGCATCGTCTGGCCCTATGGCTAACGCTGACACGGCGGGGCCAACATCAACTAGCAGAGATGGTACCAGCTCAGCACGGAGAAGAGGGTAGATTTGGACCTAACCGGGTTGAACTCATATATACATATCCTTATCGAACCTGGTGGGTAAAACACGAGGAGAGCTGTTCTGGTATCTCCCGGCCTTTTCATGCCGGAATACTAAATACACGATGCAGTTGAAGCCGCATGGTTACGCTTTGAAGTAATGTTATAACCAAGTTAATTCAAGACATCGTCATTCAAAAGACTCGTGGGATCATCCATTATCCCCTGTTCAAGATGCGAGATGCTTTGTGAAAGAAAATCAACAGAATATCAGTAACAGAATAAGAAGCAACGGAGGCATGAGTTGACAAGATGTAGAAAACAAGCCAGGGAACATCATAGGAAGGCGAATCGCCATCACATAAGTCAGGTCGAAATAAATCAAATTACGAGTTGCTTAAAAATCACCGCCAAAATCACCACCGTCATCGTAGCCATTGTCATAACCAGCGTCGTACACATCTTGTTCATGATCTTCAAAAGCATCCGCAAGCAAAGCACCACCGATAAGTCCTCCTCCGACGCCTAATGCCGCAGCAGCTCCAGTACCCAACCCTGATTTTCTCGGCGGCACTTGCTGTGGGGGATAGTAACCCCCCTGTGGCGGATATCCATAACCCATTGGTTGTTGGGGAGGGTAACCACCATAGCCACCGGGGTAACCGCCCTGCGGATATCCCTGATAACCATACTGCGGCGGACGCGATGATGCGTAACCTGCCTGGCTACCAGAGGACTGCCCAAACAGTTTTCCTAGGAAACCTCTAGATTTCTGCTCCCTCTGGGGCAAGCTTGGAGGGGCAGGACTCTGTGAAGACGATGGCGGGTAACCTCCTTGAGGCTGTGGAGCCTCGTTATAGAATTCTGAAGCGGCGCCACGACTAGCCGCAGGACTCTTCCTACCAGCTCGAGCATCCTCCTCAGCCTGCAACCGGGCAGCTAGGCGCGCGTCGTCATCGACGGAAGATGTGCCAGAATGGTTATTGTACGGATTATTGGAACTCAATGGTCTTTTGATATCGCCTGCGCTGGCTGCAGCAGTTGGGTTGGCAGGACCGGATTGCTCATAAGAGAGCGGCGGCCCGCTCGGCGGGGCATGTTGCTCCTTAGGTAGAGCAGGCCCCGTTGGGGGTTCCCATTGCGATTTACCGGTATGCAAATTCACAAAGTACCTAATGAAAGGCCATGTAAGACTCCAAAGTTCCACTGCTTTAGCGGGGGACAGGTGACAAACCATTGCTTATATCGGTCATCAAACTGCGGTTTCCAGCCATCCGGAGCAGAAGGCGGGGGTGGTCCTGGCGGTGGTGCAAAAGACATTATATTATTATAATGACTATTACTTCTTCGTCGTTGGTAGCAAGATCAATATGAATTTAGAAATAAATTGTTCAATAGCCCGGAATAATGAGGATGGAACAATTCAAGCTGAGTTATGAGAACAATTGGAATTTGGTCATGAGAACTGTCTGGCATGGGATATGAGTAATCTAGAGGATTAGTTAGTTAATTAACGCGTTATTTATGTAGTTGCGTCGATCGGCTTTCCAGTGGCTTCCAGTGGCGGTGTTAGTCTATTCTTGGCCATGTATGTGGCTGTGCATATCATCCATGGGTTACAGACTGCGGAAGACTTCAGAAATGAATATCAAAGGGAGCTTCCAACCTATCTAGCGTAGGCAACATGTAGATTACCACTAGATATCGATATCCTTGATATTCGCATCCACGTCGGCGCTTGCTGGCCACCAAAAATCCTCTTCCCAATCTTCGGGATTAACTGAGAGGGACCGCACAGTCGAACAACCCACGTAGGGTTTAATCTTTGCCCCTTCGATAGACGGGGACTCAGCCACGTCTTCTGAATCAGTATCACCGGTCAGATCTATAACCTCGGGTTCCACCCTAGTAATGACACGTCCACGAGTACGTCGCTTGGATTTAGGCAGCTTGAATAATCTCTCGTCGTCGGTGCAGAGGTCTATATAATTATGGTCTCGATTCAACTTGTTGGTTTTACCAACTTCATTCCGATCATCTCGCTTTCGCTTGCTTTCATTTCGTTTCTGATTCCGAATACGGGCAAGCCGCATGTGGGCTGCTAGAGATTGCCGGGTTTGGTCGTCCAGCCCTTGCCGATCTTCTACCGGCACCCCCTCGAACTGTTGCATTTGATACTTTTCCTCCAGGGGGGTTAGGGGAATTGCTTCCTTTGGTATACCTTCAGGACGAGCCCAAGCAGCAAAAGGACCGTCGTAGTGAGGTCCTTGGCCAACACCGTAAATCGGATGTCGCACAAGCCGGCCTGAAGATAGTAATGATTTTGCCGCTTCAATGCCAGATTCCGAATCCAGCTCTGGGTTGCGCTCATAGTCCGGCTCAATAGCGCGCTCGTAATTCATACAGTGATCATTACCGTTGACAAACGCACCGGAAGATAGTATATGGATACCTCCAGCGGAATCTCCGATAAGAAGATTGGATTTATCGCCAGAGAATGCACCACTCATTATTTCTTCCGGGAACGTCATTTTGTTTTCAACAAGAGCATCTTCCGGGGACAGAAGAATATTCCACAGTTTCAAAACTCCGTCTGAAGCGCCAGTATAAAACTGGTCAATTGCATCGCCCCAGAGTGCTACCCTGACACCGACATCTGCTTGCTCTCTAGACAGACTCTCGTCTATTTGATTCAGTGGTTCTCCATGTTGTAACCTATGGAGAATTTCAGAAGGGTTGCGATAATCCCAGACATATGTCAGACCATCAGTGCAACTGGCAGTCACATAATTCGGGTTCGTAGGGCAAAAAGTAACATCGTTAATGTCGATCGCAGGACAATCGAACTCAACAATGGATCTTTTAGATGTAAGCGGTTCATAGATACGGACAACAGAGTTCACGTTTCTTAAAGTTCCCGGTGCCGAGCTTGCAGTTGCAAATGCTGGTAGAACGGGATGCCACTTGACATCAAAGATATTCTGGGAACTTGGACTTAGCTGCACAGGTAAAAAACCTGACTCACTAGCGCGCCACATTCCGAGATGGCCATTTTGTGGCACAAGAACGTCTTCGGGATCCCTTTCCGACATTCCCGCTATCAGGATGTCGTTGGTTGCAGTAGTTGTGCCCCAAGCTAGTGAAGTAGGAATTAATTCGATGTCTTTCTTAGGCCGAATGAGTTCAAGAGCGGTATACTTCGGTTCTTCCTCAAAAAGGTCCCATAGGCCAATTGAATCCGTGCCTGTTGCTAGGATATTCCCATTGAAATTAGAGCGAGCCATAACCTGCACCTTTGACCGATGTCTCAGTGTTTTAAAGCAGAATGTGCTAGCGTGATTCGATGCATCCCATAGCTTGACAGTGTTGTCGTAGCTAGCAGTGAAAAGTGTATCTTCAAACCATTGCATAGCAGTCACGCTCATATACAGGCGAGGCGACATGCCGGTCTGGTTAGATATAACCATTTGTGAGGAATGAGGAATCCAATGGTCAGGCAGCTCTTTGAGAGAATTTGTCGTCAGGTCGCCCAGTAGCAGATTGTTGCCCCGGTTATAGGCCATATTATGTTCATCACATTGAGCCGTGGCACCTACTGCAAACCTAGTACCATCAGGAGACCAAGCCAGAACTATCACATCATTGGATGCACCCTTCCAAGATAAGACACGTTGAAGGTTTTGGCAAGTTGTAGACCGAATCTGCTGATTTACATGGTTTCCGAGTTCGCGTCTCCGCAGGAGATTGTTTATGTTGGTTGGTCTTCGAGTAGTTTTTCGTGTTGAGGGGGCACCATCCCTTACAGTAATACCCTGCACATAACATGGAACCGTAGCCAGGCGACCATTTTTGGCATCGGAAAGAAACCTCTCGAGGTCAGCGCGGTGACGCCGTCTCAGCGCTGAAGCGTCCATCAGATGAGTCAGAAGTTGGCAAAATTTGTCTGAACCAACGTATTGAGATAGGTTCCTCTGGCCATTTTCTACTTGGAGCCCAAGGATATCCCCAATGAGACGGTGAATACGCCGCGAGTCACTTGGCTTCACATCTGGTTTCATAACCGCTAAGAGGAAAGACTCAACATCATTCGCGTGGTATTTGGCGAGTAACTGGGAGAGTTCGCATATCCATGAGATTTTATCCACAAGTAATCCGAACATCTCTTCGGTAGGCGTTGAAGCGACAGCTCTTATGAGTCGATCACAGAGTGAGATATCAGAACAGAGCGCATCCTGCTGAAGACCACAAAATGGTAGCATATTCAAAATAGCCGACAATTCTCGATGATCAAAATCGACATGAAGTACACGATGCATTGGATTATTCCTGAATCTCTTAGCATATCCGGCTGGGCTAGATTCAGGGGCGTAGCACGCGTGCGTCGAGAAGTAGATATTATCCAGCAAACTGAAGAATTCTCCAATGACTTGGACATCAGGCGAAGAGTACACGATAAACGACTTCGTAGAAGGACGGGAATCTGGCAATTGGCGCCTAAGAGAGGATAAAGAAGCAGCATTATGTTCAGCCGCGATGTTATCATCTCTGTCCGATTCACTATCACCAAGGCTGACCTTTGCATAGTAATTAACGGGGCCACTTGTCGGGCGACGAGATCGCCGCGTTACCATTGCCGTGAACTTTCCCGTGCTGGAAGGCCTGGCTATACCATTCCTCTGCTCTCGTGATGACCCAGACCTAGAGCTCCCTGACAAGCGGTAATCCGCCCTTCTACCATCGGTCTGTTGTACTCCATCCTTAGATACCCTTTCAGGCTGGTGAAAAGCCGTATGACCATGGACGATAGTTCCTGAGTTCCTGTGGCTTCCTTCCTTAAGATTGCGTGCCGGTTTGTTCATAAACTGTGACAGTAAAAGTTGGGCCTCCTCTGCTAAATGTGGATCCTCTGGGTCGTACGGTTCGTGATCTGGTGTAAGTCTGTTCAACGAGAGCTCATGCCTGGAGGCCTGATCTTCCGGCTTTAATGAGCGATCTGACATTGTACGCTTGCTAAGCATACCACAAGGATGTCTTTATACCAGTCAAACCCAGACCCAAATCACTCTGAAGCTGGCCAAGACACTTTTTCCGTCATATCAATGATATTCCGAGTATGTGAATCCTAATATGTGTTGCCAAAAAATTATATAACAGCGGTCGAGGCCAGCGAAAAGACGAATCAGGTCAGATCTGAGGGGCGATGCTATATGCTGAAAATAAAAGAGTAAACCAACTGGGAATTGACTAGAAAGTCATTCACGTTGAATACGAGGTAGATATGATTTCACGCCTGATGGAGCAAGAGGTTGGACAATGGTAGATATTGCCAGAGAACAAACAAAGAGATGGTGTAAGAACTCCAGCGACACAGTGATAAAAGAATCAAGCCGACAAATAGACATGGGCAGACAATGAAGTTTTGAATCGATAGATGCGAGAACGACTCCAACGCGTCGGCCCAATCATGAAGTCCCCAGAAGGGAAGGCGGTAAGTTAAACCCGGTGTTATATGTACGTTGATATATAGATATATATATTGTCGGACGTTAAGGGTATCGGTTGATAAATACAGGTGTCTAATTGTCAGGGGAAGAATAATTATATTGATGCTATAGCTATAGCAACGATACTGCTCATGAATCTATATATTGATTGATCGATATCTTCGTCTATATCGTTGTGTACCCTCTATTTCAGCAGGCCTGATCAATCTACCCGTCACCGGAGAGGTTCATCTTTTATCCATAGCACGTGACCGAATATTGCCAGTAATACTATACCATTATACGGTCCCGTTCAACATATATGTACCTAAGAATAGGTGTACCTTTATTAGGCTCTCAAGGCGATGGTTGGTCGTACGCAGATATAGAAACTTAGTATATACTATGTACAGGAGCGGGCTGCTTGTCGCAGCGCCGAAAACAATAAGTTCAATTGTGGTAGATCGGTGGTATATTATATACAGTCTTAAGTTGACTTAAGGGAAAGCTTCATCTTGACTGTCTCACGTCATTCAGACGTTCTTATAATACATGCTTTTGGGAATCGACTATAACAACTCCTATTCGCATTCTGAATGCCTTCCATTTCGTACTGAGCGTTGTGTTAAATGATGAGAGTCAATCATTTAAGTAGACTTCAGTACGGCGGCCACAATCGTATAGCGAAGCCATCTCTCCACAGGAGACACCGAGATACTAGGACATGTACTGTTAATAAGCAAGGACTATCACTTACAAGGAAGCAGAAGGTAGGGTATATACGGACCTCTTCGTAGTTGAAACATCTCAAGAACCATTACTTGGCGATAGACCGGCTCCTCCCCCGAACAGATACCATCAAGTTATACAAGACATCTTTGAATGCAAACAGAAATGCTGCAGTAATCGCACTTTGGGTAACCTTTGGTCCGATGCCTGAGGAATATCATAAGCTGAACTAACACAGAAAACCAGGCCGCAAACTCAACTTACCTTTATATAGACCCACATAACCCTCCTCTTTCACAATTCTCTTCAGGCTTTCGTTTATACTCTCTTTAGCCTTATCTTTGCTGGCTACATGCATACGACTTTTAACTGTGATGTATGGATAGGTGATGCTGGTGGCCAGGATTTTTCCTAGGGCACCAAGATAAAATGCATCCGTTGGTGTTATGCGCTTGCGTCGCTCCACATAGTTTTTCAGCTGCTCGAAGATAGTATACTGAAGAATGGGATTTATCACCAGAATAAGTGCCGGGATGACGCCGGCGAAGAGCGCCTTCGGGCCATCCTGTTGAAGGAGCTCCATCAGTGTACCAATCGTTGATTTCGATGCCTTCCTCGCCGGCGCACCACCAGGCAGAGCTTGCTCTTCCGATTCAGCCTTCCGAGCCGTCATTCGAGTGTTGACGACCCAGATAGGATTTGTTATCAGTACCGTCGCGCTCCCAGCAATGGCGCCGGCAATCATAGATTCAACGGTTGTGAGTTTCTTCGAGACCCGACCGGCTTTCTTTGCTGCCTTCTCGAACGCAGCCCGCGTCCACTCATACCAGTAGTAATAAACAAAGTTAGTGACACTAATTCCAAAAAGCGCCGATTCGAGACCTGAATAAAGTCCGGAGATCCCCTCCCGCTGGACAATGCGACGAACGGCATCGAGAGTCGTAGACTGGGCACGCTTTGATTCAACTTGAGCTCTTGTTGACAATGTAATAAGGGGGTACCTGCGGAAGACAATTGTCGGAGGTTACCATCTGCTACAGCCCTGCAGCCTTTCCAAAGAGATCGATTTGTTAAGACTCACGTCAAGACCATCGACAGAATTCCGCCTCCAGCACCAGCCAATGCATGCGCTATATTATCACTCTGTTGAGCTGCCGTGGCTGCCACGACGGCTTTCTTTTGCTCTTCGACTCTAGATTGAGACATGTTGGAAGGGGAGTATAGTTAAAATAGACTGGTGTAGGGAAGCGAAATACTAGGTATGGGAAGTTTAATTGAATGTATTTAGCCAGTCTGTGGATTAACCAGGTCCAACCAGTGATGATAATAAAACACACAGCGAAATATGTTTCAAGGTGAGGGAAGGGGATTATATCTGACCTTTGGAGCCACTGTCGGAACGCGATAATGATTCGGCCTGAGTGGGAGATGCGGACGGGCATGACGTTTGCCGAATCCTTTGTGCCTCGGTTTAAAATAATATTCTTCTGACATCCGATCTTGAACCTCAAGCACTTAGCCAGCAGTGATACAAGGCCTATTGTTATTGCATAACCAAAAAGCCAGGATATATGAAGTGGCTCTGTCCTCATGGTTTCTACTATCTGCATCTTCCCGGTACATACACGGTGGCGCACTTCAGATGTTTTGTTAGGGCTAAAGGAGTACCTAGGACAGAGTATTGTCTTTGCTCTTTGTCTCCAACTCCCAAGCCCAAGAAGGGAATTAATTAATCACCGCTATGTAGTATGTGCAGGCTTCCAGATGTTCTTCCATATCATATATGAATGGACCTTTGCATGTGAAGTCCTCGTCCCTATCACCAGAAAATAATAGTACCGCATAGGTATGCAAGAAGTAGGTAATAATGAATCTAGCGAATGATTCATGTGATCTGACAAGGTAATTTTATTTTTCAGCATGGTTCTTGCAGCTTACAGATACTGGTATCATGATAATCCATCGTTTCTTAGTGAAAAGATTGTCTACCACTTTAAGTACCTACAGATGGCTGATATTTGCGCAGAATGTCACCAAAAATTTTTATGTAAAAGGCTACATATGATAAAAGAATAAGCTAGTATTAAATACTACGGCAGTCGTGTATCCAGAGGTTTAAGGCAAGTAATCAGGAACAGATTCAATATTCATTGTGTTCTTTACTATTATATCATTTCAACAGATCACGCAAACGAATTCCAACATGAGACAGTGTAGTGGTTGAAGAAAACAGAGTGAGAAATAGAAAGTTAAAGGACACAACAAGCAGGAAAAGAAGGACATGAAGGGCAAAAGAAGTTCAGAAAATTTGTGGAGAAACAAACATGAGTACTGATAATAGCATTAGAACAGACAAAAAAAAAAGAAGAAAAGAAAAGAAAAAAAGAAAAAAGACAAAAGAAAAAAGAAAAAAAAAAAGGGGGAGGAAAGAGACAGGCCATCTAGAGCATAATACGCAAGAGGAAAGTAGTGCGACGGGAATTCCAACTTAAGGAGCCCATAGATGGTTCTTTCACGGGTGTTGTTTGACTGACGTCAACATCAACAATGAAAGATCTGGGGACAGCCGCAGATGACCTCCTATATGGAATAAATGTAATCAAATGCTGAGCCAGATGGAAATGTAACGAAAAACAGGTGACAAGTTTCCATTTAGCAGCAGCCACCTGCCGACCCAGATTGCACTCCCTGGCCCCGACCGACGTCTACTTTTGGTTTGTTGTCAACAGTCGCGGTACCCATGCGCTCCTTGATCTGTCTCGCCATTGTCAAGAAAGCTTGCTCGACATTCGAAGCATTCTTTGCCGACGTCTCGAGGAACGGAATTCCCAAGCTATCAGCGAATTCCTGGAATGAGAAAGGCAAATCACATTAGCAAAGATACTTCCATGACTGAGTACCAATGGACAAGCAATGAAAGATATACCTTTGCCACGGTATATTCGACAACTTTCTTGTCTTCCATATCACTCTTGTTACCGACGAGAAGCTTGTTAACACCCTCAGTCGCGTAACGGTCGATTTCCTGGAGCCACTGCTTGACGTTGTTGAAAGAATCCATGTCGGTCACATCATAGACGACGCATATGCCATGTGCACCACGGTAGTAGGATGATGTGATGGTTCGGAAGCGTTCCTGACCAGCAGTATCCCACTAGAAGATGAGTTAGCACTCAATGGATCTTTCGATATTTTCACATTTTGGGCGTACAATCTGAAGCTTCACGGTCTTGCCATCCAGTTCAATAGTCCTAATTTTCTAAAATGGAAATGGTTAGCATTTCAAGGCCCTCGCTTTGACGTGTCATGAGCGTGCTGCGAGACATGAAATACATACGAAGTCTACACCGATAGTGGAAATGTAGCTCTCTGTGTAGGTGTCATCGGCAAACCGAAGCAACAGGCAAGACTTCCCGACACCGGAGTCTCCAATGAGGAGGAGTTTGAAGAGATAGTCGTATCTAATTTAACGGTCAGAGCTAAGGAAATCTCGCTGCCATTTGCTGAGTTCGACGGAAAAGAACATGGAGTGGGTAAGATATGCAAAAGTACTCTGCTCATTGCAAATAAGTCAGCTACAAAAGAGAAACGGGTCTAAAATAAGACAGGGAAAGAAAGGCCTCCATTAACGAAGGAGAGCACGAATCACCAACAGTATGTGGAGTGTAGGCGATGAAGGGGACTTACCACTCAGGATTCATGATGGGTTATGGATGGAGGGTAGATATGTATGCGTCGATGGTGAAAAGAGGAGCTGAGCGAGAATCGGCCTTGAAAAAAAGAAAGCGGATATTCCCAGGATAATATTAAGAGAAGAATCAGTGGCAGCTTTCTGATGTTAGCGGTGCCTATTGCGGTTCTGAGTGTGGAGTAGTTGTATCTAAGGACTTTGGGCGGCAACCTGGTGGTTGCGTTGCTGAGTGCAGGAGAGCAGGTGAGCCTAGCGCGCAGTCCCAGTTCTACTTAATAAGGTTTAGGCCTGCTTGCGCCTGACCGTTTTACCATTGATTACTTATGGTCACGGTCTTCTTGCCACACCAAACCTGATTAGGTTTAGCGTGTTACTTGTAAAATATGTAATGTAAGAGGTACCTACAATCTATTCATGGCACATTATGATTATGCTCTATGATGTATTGAGGCAATAGTCCACCATAGATGTTACTGAAAGAGAGTAGAATTAACATTCACATTAAAACGCTCCTTTAAGAGCTTTTTATCTAGGGTGTGGGGGAAATAATTTTTTCAAGGAGAATTTTTCTAAGCATAGCCATGGGCCTGGAGCCATTCCAAAACCAACTTCTCATCCCTTTCCTTGTAACGAGCATTGGTGCGGATGTTGTCAGAAACAATGACCAGTCCACGGTCATATCCACTTGTATCTTTGTCTTGGAAGAACGAGGCGATGTCCGCTTCGACAGCGTGATCAGCAAACTTGGAAAGGCCAAGTCTCACAAATCGGTCCGTGACTACGCTGTTTGCCGACAAGCGAGCCACAACGGAGTCCCAGTTCTCCTTCATATAATCCCAAAGCAAATGTCGGACTTTCGAGTTCGCTGCTAATGAGGCTGCTGCGTTGTGTACATCTTGAACAGCCACTCTGTCCGAGAAAACGAAGTCCAAATAGTCGCGAACAAGACCCGCATCCTTTGTACGCCCAAGTGCTACCAGGCAGATCTCCTTACCGTCAACGGAGTCAGTCTTGAAGTATTCCTCCTTGACGGAATTAAATTCCGCGCGGCCACCTTCTGAAATGTTGATGCTGAATATGGCAGAGCGGAGATTGGTGTGCACGGCAGTTTCATCTTGGCCTGTGGCCCAAAGCTCAAATCGCCTTCTCGCTTCAGCGATAACGCTGATTATCCCGTTAATTGGACGAGCTAGGAGTTACGTAGTGGGAGTACTTACCTCTCATGGCCTGCGTTGCCAGCCATTGCAATCAAAAGCTTCCGCAATTGCGCTGTGAGATAATCCTCACCAGTGTTAAATTCCCATCCTATCTTTTCAACGGCGGGACTTACGAGTTTGAGAGCAAATCTCTTCAAACCCGTGGTCACTGGCTCATTCTGTGAGAAAACGGAACGTAGGTGTCCAACAGACGAAGCAATTTGAGACCAAACCCTGTATTTTGTGTCAGACTAGCTCGATAGTATTGGGAAATTCCCTATAAAACTAACAGATAATTCTCTTCTCCTTTAAAGCCCTCCAGAAGGGCCAACAAGGCGGAAGTGGTACTGTCTCCAGATACGGCAAGGGCAGCAGCATCGCCAATTAAACCGATCTTATCTTCGGTGCTTAGAAGGTCAAGAGATTGACCGAGTTTGGCCAGCCTATCTGCAGGGTAACTTGTTCTGTAAAACCCGGAGAGGTTTTTATTAATTTTGTAGGCTGAATTCTGACCAACGCCTTGGACAGTGGTCGCCTTGGAAACGAGAGCATGAGATTCGACGTCAGCCATCTTTGGACCTGACTTGAGACCGAGGGGAATCCACCATGTTGTCTCATCCTCTTCGGGCTTTGCGTCGCCAGTTGACAAAAACCTGTTCTGTCGAATTTCGATTTGGTCAGGTTTTTCGACGACTGTGACAACGGGGAATCCGATCTTTCTAATCCAGGGATCCTTAATTGCACTAGTCAGATAAGCAAATAGATAAGCATCATCGCTTATTGACTCACCATAAAGCTACGAACGTCCTGGTTTGACGCTTTACTGAGTGCGGACCAGAGGTCGTTGGTTGTCGCATTCCCTAGGAAGTTATTTAACAAAAGCCAGGTGCAAATAATGCGATACTTTGCTTACCATATGCATGAGTCTTAAGATAACTTGCTACGCCGCGAAGGAAGGTCTCTCGGCCAAGATGATCGCTGAGCATTCGAATCACAGAACTCCCCTTGAGGTAGCTGATATGATCGAAGATCTGATCAACCTCAAGCGCATTTCTGACGGGAACTTCAATTGGATGAGACGCCCGCAACGAGTCGAGATGGAAGGCTTGTTGGACACCTTCAGCCTATGTAACCGTCAATACGTTCTTAAGAAGAATGGAAATACCTCTGGCATTGCGTACGACGAACTGAGACCACACATTCCACTCTGCACGTAGAGATTAGACTTGCTACACAGGATCGTTCGACAGGGATTCTCTTACCGGGATAGAAATGATCAACAGCAAGCCAGCCAACCCAGGTTGCAAACCCTTCGTTCAGCCAGAGCTCATTCCACCAATCCATTGTGACAAGGTTGCCAAACCATTGGTGAGCAAGTTCTAATGCACATTGTTAGAGTATGATGGTATTTGTACACTGAAATGAAAACCGACCGTGCGCAACAACATATGCGATACGATTTTTGTAACGAGTGTCCGATTTTCCTTCATCGAATAGGACCGCGGTAGTCCGATATGTCACGAGTCCCCAATTTTCCATGGCGCCCATGGTCTAGAGTATCTCTGTAAGCTAAAGGAAACTCCAATGGAATAAATAGCCCACTCACAAATTCATGGACGGCAAGAAGATCGGCCTTTGGCAGAGGATATTCAATCTCGAAAACTTCCGAAAAATAGTCTACAGTGCGATGAGCACATTCCAATGCAAAGCGAGCTTGGTCTTCGAGGCCCCTCGTGGTGTAAACGCGAACAGGAATGCTCTTTCCATTGTACTTGCGTTCAGTCATCGCCTCAACATAACCAAAATCACCAACTGCCCATGCCAGGAGCTACAACCGCAGTCAGCTTCACGTAAAGACATCACGACGGAGAAACTAACATAAGTACTCATCACTGGAGTCGTTTCAAACGAGACAACTTTGAGTCCAGGATTACTTCCATCCCTTTCAGACTTAACAGGCATATTGCTGAGGGCGACTTGTCCTTTGGGGACTTCTATTTCGAAATCAAATGAAGCTTTCAAATTTGGCTCATCGAAGCACGGAAAAGCTCTGCGAGCATCGCAGGACTCGAATTGGGTGCTAAACATATAATGGAACTCGCCCTCCTTCGGAGTATCTGCAGCGGGCTCTACCACGGGCTTGTATTTTGAACGATAAAACCCTGCCATTGAATTGTTCATAGTCCCCGTAAATTTGATATACAAGACAACATCAGCTGGGGTGACTTCCTGTGGAAAGATGAATGTCACTCGTTCTGAGGTCTTATCATAAGTGATCTCAGATGCCTTGGCAAGATTGTTTCCTGGAGCAATGAAGAACGAATCGCATCAGTAAACGCACCCGCTTGCATAAATATACTGGATCATGTAACACACCATCTTTCGCGAATATCTCTGCATCCTGAACCTCGATTTCCTTGGAATTTAGGGTGATTTCCTTGGCCGGTCTAGTGATTTTGGTGTCTATCTTGACAATGCCCTTGTAACCCCATGAACCTCCAAATTCGAGCCCAAAAAGGGATACGTCGTAGTGAACTGGTTTCACCCTGTCATTGCGTTAGGATTTGGCCAAATATGAAAGTTCCAGAAGACCTTGACAATGAGGTGTCATGGTTCGAACGGTTGCACAACTTACACGTCCGGAAGGGTGTCCCTATCTCTTAAAGCCATCGATACGGTGGAACAGAGTCTCGCAGTGGAAGCTGTGATATCAAATGTGGGAGAACGGAGCTTATATGGACGGCTAATATGCGAGCAAGAAAGGGGTTTCGTGCGAGAACAGAAAGCGGAGCGGTGCAGATGAGCTGGCGGGGGGATTCGAGGGTTGCAACGGATTGCATTAGCAGTTACGCCGACACATCTTCTGGTTGACGCAATATAAATTCTTCCCCACATCTGCTCAATGATTTTGGAACACTTTGCGCGCCTCGTCGCAATTATTGCTATCCCTCTCCAGTAATATCTGCGGCTCACAGCAATAATAAGACTGACCACTTCAAAGAGCCGGAAATGTGAGTTATCAAATTGGGACTAGCGGGTGCAGACAAAATGGAGCTCCGACGGAGGAGCTTGGGCCTTTCTTCACAAGGAACGGAAGTCCGTAATTTCAAGTCCACTAACTAACTGTTATTATTTTTCGCTATGCACTACTATTAGGCCAGCGGAAATTACCGCTTTCACTTCTGATTAGAAAGCATGGCAGATACCGATGAGGAATATATTGAGGGCATTACAGAAGATGAGGATGACTTCGATATCCAAACTTCTCGAGGAAGCTCTGCGCGCGGCCCGCGCTCAAGGAGAAAGAAACAGCGCGGGGGTGCTGAATGGGAGGTTTCAAGAACATGGGAGACATTAGTGGAGGGTGCTGATGGCACAATCAGCTCTACTGTTGAGGGGCTTCTCGAAGCTGGCAAAAGGAAGAGGTGAGCTCGGACGAGGAATGCAGAGCTGCTATTATTCCAGGAATGAAATCACTGTGAGTGCAGGGCCATGGCAACTAAATCCTAGTCCCTTTGCAGACTGTTAAGAGATACAACCCCACTACAACGCGGTATAATTCGACATCTTATCCTGATATTGGATCTCTCCCAGTCGATGGCAGAGAAAGACCTGCGTCCAAACCGATATCTTCTTACGCTCCGGTATACGCAAGAGTTCGTGGTGGAGTTTTTCGAACAAAACCCTATCTCTCAACTCGGTGTCCTTGGTTTGAGAGATGGCCTGGCGATCAGAATTAGTGACCTGAGTGGCAATCCTACGGAGCACCTTAATGCTATAGAAGCATTACGAAGTCAGGACCCGAAGGGTCTTCCGAGTCTGCAAAATGGGCTTGAAATGGCTCGGGGAGCTCTTTTGTAAGTCCTAGTCTCATGACGTCCATTGCGATCTAACCCAGTACACCCATATATATGCTAATCCTTTCCTCCCCGATAGCCATACTCCAAGTCACGGAACACGGGAAATTCTTATAATCTTCGGGTCTCTCTTGTCATCCGATCCCGGAGATATTCATCAAACAATAACTACGCTTGTAAACGACAAAATTCGTGTCGGAATAGTTGGCCTTGCCGCTCAAGTAGCAATATGTGGTGAGCTTTGCGCCAAGACCAATAGTGGTGATGATACTGTATATGGTGTTGCTCTCAATGAGCAACACTTCCGTGAACTAATGATGGATGTAACCACACCACCGGTTACATATTCTCAAAAACAGTCTGCTAGCTCCCTCTTGATGATGGGGTTCCCGTCTCGTACAGTTGAAACTTACCCGTCTCTTTGCGCATGCCATTCCAAACCTTCTTGCGGAGGATATCTGTGTTCGCGATGCAGCAGTAAAGTTTGCAGCCTTCCCGCTGAATGCCCTGCTTGTGGTCTTACTCTAATACTTTCAACACACCTTGCTCGGTCATATCATCATTTATTTCCTCTTATCAACTGGGTGGAGGTTCCGTGGCAACATGCATCACGAAGTTCAGCTTGCTTTGCCTGTGGCATAGCATTCCCCGCGGTACCTCCAGAGGAGCAGTGGCAGGCCACAACAAGCCATACTAAAGGAATGAGTGTGAGCAGTCGGTATGAATGCACTGTTTGCAAGAACCATTTCTGTATTGACTGTGATCTCTTCGCCCATGACGTTGTGCATAATTGTCCTGGCTGCCAGAGCGGAAATACTCTAAAGTTAGATGCGGTAGCAGGATAGGTGCTGCAACATAGCATATTGTAATTAGCAATGCACAAAGGACCTAGGAAATTGAGGATATGTTGCAAGGGTGCTATTAGTTATTTCAGTAATGTCACCGATAGAAATCAAGCTCATATGCTTTGTTACATAGAGAATACATCTAGATAGATAGCCATGAGCTAGCCGAGCCTCGGCTTTCGATACTACACGTGTAATGGTCCTCGCAAGGTTTGAAGCTATCATCATTTTATTATTTTCTTCAGAAGAGAAAGAAAGCGGACCTGTTATCTTATCGAATCGAAGGTGATTGAGCTCCAGCCTTCAAGTACGGAGTACACTCACTATACCTATAAAACCCATATAACGGCCTCACTACTAATAACCCGCAGTCGCGTTCCTTCCCCCAACTATGGAGCCGTCTCATAGTCCAACCGAAGACACTGCCAACACAGGGGTCCAGAACTCCCAGCTATTTTCAGACTTACAAGCCTATCCCTTCCAAGCGGACTTCGAGTTCAAAAAAGGGCTCTCAATCATATTGGGTCATCCAGACAGGCCTGCAACCGACTCTGAGATTAACAGTGAAGATGACCTAGTTCTACAAGCAAAATGCTTTTATTTTTCACGGTACACTCTCCTGGCTTGGTTTGTGGGAGACAAGCTAACTCTTCTGCGTTATGTCTAGCAAGGCAAAGCTTATGTCGCCACTCGCGTTTTCCTCCTATAAAGCCTGGCTAAAATCAGAAAGAGAAAGTGGATCTCCGTTAACAGGAGGAGCTATCGTGGAGGAACGAAAGGAGCCCGACGCAGAAGACACAACAGGGCAGCCATTCCCTTCGGACCCTACTGTTTCCAGCGACCACAACTCAGAGAAAGGAGAACAAACCAAAGAGCCAGTATATCCTTCTTCATTTGCCCATATAGTTGAGCTCATTACGACCGGCCAACCAATTCCCGGCATTCAGCAGATACCAGACACTGTTTTAATCGGCCACGATACTTCCAGCGCAAAGCCGAGAAGGAAAAAGCCATGGGAGAAGGCGGATAGTACCACCCTTGAAAAAGAAGCCACCGAAACAAAAAACATCGAGCCAGTATAATACTACTAAATCAACCTCTACATATATTATTGTTGGAGTGGCTGAGGTAGCTGAGCTGCGGGGCACCTGTGCAGAATCAGGCCAGTTTCTCGAATCGGCCATACGCTAGCGTCCATTATCCTCAACTAGAAAAGGATCATTATGTGATGAATTGCAATTTGAGGATTACTCAAAACTTTCAATCATGAAATCATTGTAACCTGCATTATAGTGATAAAATTATGCATAGGCGGCCTTTTTTGCCTTGAAAGAGCGACCATTTAACTGACAGGCGTCATAACTAAGTGACCGAATGGGATGTTTGTCAAGATTTTCTTTAATTGTAAGCCTCGGCTTACTATCCCACTCCTTTAACATCCCTGTACGGAGTATTTCAGTAAGATATTGATCATCTTCAAAGAAAATCACGGCGCCAAAGAAATTGCACATGTGTAGGCCGATACAAATGAGAGGAATTAGAGAGAGGTCATATGTAAGAGGGGACCACGGGAAATAGAAATAATAACATTAAACAGAGACAGGCGCCGTAGTGTGTTTGACCGCGCCGTCGCCAAGGGGTGTTTTGTCTCGGCTTCAGAAGCCCTAAACTGGACAGGAATTCGATGTTAGAGTACCTCGAAACAGCGTGGCTGTATAACTGAGCTTGGAAATATCGGTTGTTTTTAGTTCGCCATGAGATAGGGATATTATCTTCCCATTATTTGTTTCACCGAAACGGCAGATAATTGGTATTCCACTGGTTCACGCGATTGAAGCGGCCAGCTGGCTGGCCTGCTGTTTGAAAGCGGTCATCATTGAAATTGTTATAACGGCCAATCTGCATACCAGCTCCAGGACCGGGGCGAGTAGTATGGGATGGATTGCAGCACAGCATTGCCACTCGTGATCCGAATTTTGAGCCACGTAGGGAAACCATGTGTTTTCTAACGAAGTAAAGGCAATTAGACTCCTTCAAACTCTATATCAAATATGTGCAGGGGAATATGTACCGTATATGGGTCGCAACGAGTTCACGCTGATGGGGGGCAGCATTTATTAGAATCCATTGAATCAAGTAGTTACCATATTGGTCTCCCGCAACTGGTGATGTTCAGTTAATTACCAATATTGAGAATGAAGTTATAATTACTTACTGTCAATAAGTGGCATCCTCGGCCGGTCAGCACGTCCAACACACACTCTGGCGAGATAACGGTCTAGGAACTCAGAACCGCCTATCTTCAGGCATTTTTCCACAATTTTCGAGGCGAATTGATCCATGCTGTAGTCGACTGCCCAATGAAGAATATGCTCAGTTGCGCGGCTCTTGTCATGAGGGGCACCATGTTCACAAATATGTTGAATACACCAATTTCCAAATTGACCATGAGCTAGCACATCGATCTTCGCTAGTACCTCTTCAATTGCTGGGCGCTTGATGGCTATTAGCACGACCGAATGGACTTGCATTTGTCATGAGGAAGCCGGGAAAAAAACAACAGAGAGAGGGGGAGGGAGAAGGGTGTATATATCACATTGAATGGGCAGGCGAGATAGAGCAGCAGATGTAGCTCACCTTTTCATCCTCCACGCAATTCTCAAAGATGTTCTGAACAACCAAGCTTCCTGTCTCCCCTAGGGCAACTTCGTGCCACATCCCACGTAATGCGTCGTTAACCTTTGCCATAATCTGTGGTGGCTCGCCGCTCCAACGCAGCTCAAAAAGCTTCTGCCAGACATGACATGCATATCGATGGATGACAGTCTCCGGGATTCTGCGCAATAGCTCATGGACCATAATGGCTTTGTGCTCTTCGGGAACACAATCAAAGGCCTTTTGAACCACATGGCATCCAAATGGATCCATGCTGAGGATCAATGTATTTCCTCGTATGGCATTAGCGATGGCAACAATTTGCTCAGGCGTGCCATGTTCGAAGCAGCGTTGAACCAGAAAATTACCAAAGCGATTGACCATCAGAGGATACGCCTGGTTCACGATTGCCTCGATGATATCGTATTTCTGCTCAGCTGTTCCAACCTTGAGCTTCTGCTGGAGGAAAATCGAGGCTTGTTGATCATTGCTGCAAACGATTTTGTCCACGATATATTTCCAGTCACATGAAACATTTTTGTCCAGGAGTCGGCGATAGTTAAGTGGTTCGAACGGTGACAGATACGTTTGCAAGGCATTGCCACAGGCCTGGGATTATGAGCGCAGTTCATCAGAACGGTTTCACAAAACGACTCACCGATGAAGCTCCCCAGGAGGTCACGCTTGAATTAGCTGACGTAAATTCAGTTGCTGTCGGAGAAAGAGGGCTGCCGATATGCCGTGGATGGCATGAAGGAACCGGATACATTCCCAACTGTTGGAAGGCTCCATACTGTCTATTCGCTGGTGGTGCTCTAGGAATGGGGTGGGTAAGAGGACCAGTAGAAAACGTCCCCCAGGGAGGGTTCTGGATTGGAAAGCAAGACCCAGTACGATTCACCTGAGAGATCTGGCGCCTTGGTCCAAGGCCAGGGCCTTGAAGAAATTGAGGCTGATCCCCAGAAAACCGTGGCTCGAGGCTGCAGGTTCCTGGCGAGGGACTCGAGAGAATCTGATGGGATTGTAAAGGTACATGACTTGGAAAACCGGTATTCTGAGCTGATCCAGTCCAGAATCTGCTCGATTCCTGGCCAACTGAGCTACTAGCCAAGGGTAAAGATTCACAGAAAGGTTTGTCTGCAGTAAATGCATTGCCAAGTGCTGGGTGAGCAGAAGGTGCCCAAAATCCACGAGCGCTGTTATAAGCCGCTCCAGATAAAGCCTCAGAAGTATCAGATTGTTCATCTTCCTGTCCATTCCATGAGTCCTGGTATTGGTTGAACGCATAACTCGATGCATTGAACACATTCTGCAGATTACTGATCGTCTGTTCGGTAACTTCCTGGCCACCTAAGTCGGTTTCAGATGGAGGGCCAAGGGCTTGGTCGAGAGTATGCTTAATCACACGAGTCTGAGCCAATTCCTGCTCCTGGAGGGCAATTTTAGAATTAGCAGCGTGTAACTCCCGCTTCAGACGAAGCAGTTCGGATGTCTCCACCGTCCCTGATTCACATCGAGCTCCACCTGTAGTGACAAGAGATTCAGTAGCAGGAAAGATCGAGATGTCGGGAGACTCTCCCACTTCCACATTGGTGCCTGGAGCTGTATTGTTATGGACAAGCAACCTCTTCTGCTCTTCTAGTAGACTTTGTTGCTCCGAGAGTTTTGTGAGAATGTCCTGATCGGCACAGGCTCTGGTACCAGACAATGGGGCTCTTGGAGAAAGCCTTGCTAGTATCTTTTCCATTTCAGAAGTATGTCCGACGGAAGAGCCAACTCTTGAATGATCCAACTTCTGCTTCTAGGATTGTGAGAGGAAATCCACTTAGGGACTGAGAAATCTGACCTTGTATGACGGGAAATCGTTGTCTTCAATAACTGATGGTTGGAAATTTCCAAGTTTAGAAGAGACTAAAGGCTGGGGGGCATTGCTAGAATGAGTCTGGTGTTTCTGTCCCAAGCGTACATATAGGAAGTTAGATATAAGTGGCTTTTGTTCAAAGTTCACTCACTCAGAGTCTCCATCAATTGGGAGGTGAGGAGTATCTAGAAGTTAACTTACAGATATATCCCGTCCAAAAGGCATGCTATGCGCATTGAAATCGCTGTCGTTAGAAAGGGACTCGCGTTCCGAGTGCTTGCGAGCCTTTGTTGGAGACCCAGTTGATGGAAAAGACATCTTGACCACTCAGATAACAGTAGTTTTCTAGGCCAGAATTTCACCAATGGGCAAGATAATGAGAGGAACCTTACAGATTTCTGCTGAGGTTCAAGCAACTGGGCACGACACTTCAAAACCCAAATGTTTTGGCATGAGTGACGAGCTGGCAATAACGTAAATGCTCACAAGATGGCAGTGGAGAGATACCTTAAGGCTGTTTTGCAAGGAAAGAGAAAATGAGATAGATGGCAATATGTAAAGGAGAATATGAAACCAGAGATTGGAAGACACTTGAACAGGGAATAGAAATCGAAAAGAGCGAGATCGGGAAGTCACGACATGCGAGACGTGAAAAGTGAAGGAACAGATGAGCTTGAGGAAAAACTAGACGGCAAGGGAACAAGACATGGGGCCTGCTTGCCCACTGTGAAATTCACAGAAGGGGAAGGCTGGGTGGGGGACGACCTGAAATATGAGAGATATTGATATTAGACTGCACAATGAAAGTCTGATATAGGTATTGAATTCAGTTATGACTCTCAGTGTCATATCTGACACGCTTGTTTGGGTACCTACATCATTTAACTTGCAGAAGAAGCATGCTAGCAGAGAGATCTGAGAACATAACTTGGCTACTCTTCTACTGAATAGCAGTAGATGGTATCCACAGTAATATGAGAGCAGCACCCCACATCACCTCACCATCTAGCACCCTTGTTTCTTGTAGCAGCGAGCAGATGTACCTACCTGGGACACCCGCAACAAACGTGTGATGTCTAGCATTCAGCATCCCCATGAAAATACGAGCCAGTTGAGATCTGCCATGATTTGTCAAAATAGCCAGCAGCATACAGTCCAGCAGGGCCTCTCCAGCGGCAGCTTTTGCTCATAACCAAAAAGTCAGGCTGCCCAACACCAGTAAGGGTAGGCACAAGACGAGCTGCTTGTTCAAGGCCAGCTGCATCTGCGCCCCAGACCACCAGCTCTAACCGTTCATCCTGTAGAGGTCGAAGAAACAGCGCACCCAAACTAGCTTCGTTCTTGTACTTGTGCCTGCACATTTTTCCATTTGGTGACAAGATCGTCTCGGCTGCAAAGACGAAGGAGTTGGAGAAAGGCTGTCGAGAAAAGACCAATCTACCTCTGTCACTGCGAATAGGGAATCCAGTATACTTCGGAGGAGGTAGATCATCGCCTATAGCGAGAGTGATGACATTACCGAGCACAGAAACGGATCGTCCACTGAGGGAGAATGTGCGTCTAGCAGGATCGCATTCTCTACTTAGTTGGGAATCGGCCCCGAAATACTGAAAGAGGTTGCGACTGATCTGGAGGGCTACGTGTTCAATGCCAATGGAACACATATCGATTAAGAAAGTCCCCTCCGTGCTCATGATCGCATCCATCGCTCCAAGTTGACGACCATATCTCTGGCTAATGTTCCGCCAACTAATATCGTCTGAAACCGACCAAGTTCCAGAAGTATCCTTTAGGTACCATGTTGTTTCGCATGTACTTGCGTCAACATCGAATGCTTCCTGCATGTCATCCAACATTAAAGCAGCTGGCAGTCCAATCCGAGAAGTGCCGGTTGAAAGGTGAAACCGATATATGTTTTGTGTCTGCAAACGCCAGATCCCTTGCTCTAGATTCCTAGTGACTTTGATCTGACCGTTAATGTCAGGCGACCGCAATTGGTCGACGAATATGCCACATTTGGACTCCATGTATCCTGAAGATGGGATCGTGACTGTGAACTCCAAAGGCATATCTGGATGATTAGGGTTAACAGCGCTCTTGTTGTAGAAATCTAAGAGCCAAGGAGTCGTCATAACATCTGCAGACCAATGGCCACCTTCAGGTAATTCGTGATATTCAGACAGCCATCCGGTCTGTTCCAGCAACTCACGCATTAGACGGGAATTATACACCGGGACATTGTCGTCGCTGGATCCGTGCTGTTGAAGAAGCCGAATACCGACGATATTGCCTAGCAGTAACTCATGCTTGAAACTAATTCTTGCCTTCTGGAGCATAGATGAAAGCAATGGCTCGCAATTCTGCCACATGTTATAGGGCACATAATCTATAAAGTCAGTATTTTCACACATGGTTTTCTCTTTATCTTTGTTCTGATTTTCCTTTTTAAAATAGAGTTAATAGATCCACGTACTTTCAATGGAGGAATATCCAGAGACTGGTGCGGCGGCGACGACATTATCTGGGAAGTGAGTGGAAAAAAACCATGTTCCCTGGCCTTCAACGTTTCAGCACCGTTAATTGTTATAATCGCATTTAGGTACCCATAACATACCACCATTTGAATGTCCGATGACAATCCAGTCTCTCAACAAGACCCCCGGGCCATGCCAGCCGATATTTTCTATCCAGTTGGAAATTGCCGCTATGGCAGCTTTGACGTCGGCAGTCCCCCAAATGTCTACTAGCCGGTGAGTGAATGCTTCCATTTAGTATAAGGTGGAAATGTAAAGGAGATAGCAATAGCTCTGGTCGATATAGTATAGGTAACCCCTCTACTGAAAAGACGAGGGAAGAAACAGATATGAAAATGGTCTTTTCTAGGAACTCACGCCAGTCATCTCCACTCCAAGGAGTAACACCACTAGGAAACAACACCCAGGCGCAAGTCCCATGTGCGGCATCCAACATACTCCGTACTTGTGCGCTATCTGCCTCAATGCCAGCCCCATGCAGGCAAATAATGATAGGAAGCGAACTCTGCCCGTTCAACATGGTGCAGTCCAGCGGGGGAGGCCGCAGTATGGCGTAGGATACCACTTTTGCTGGGTGAAGAAATGTAATTTTCTGCGTGTCTGGCCAGTGCTTTTCTGTTATATATATGTCGAAGGGTCTCGTCTTGAGCAGTTTTCGATCTTTATCCATGACTCTGTACAAAATTTCAACTGAGAACCTAGATTCTGACAGCTGGCCAAGTATAACATTGAATATAAGAGGCCGAGCCTGGTACGATGATAAGTGCAACGGCTTTTCCAGGAATAAACCATGCTGCGGGGCCTAAATGAACAGTTAATTTCTTGATAGATGATAGACCATGCTGAGCACACACATCAGGCGAGCTGATGGAAACTATTTCAGTCCATTCAACCTCGTTATTTTGGACATTAATCGAGGCCACAGTGCCCCCGAGCTTCCCTCTAATTGTCTCCGATATCAGAAGACTACTTTCATCGACATGGAGACGGTCATTACGCGCCTCTGCTTCGATGGCCACATCAATAATAGGATCTCCGACCGCGCCCAGTGCCCTGACATCACGAATCAAGCGTAGGTCAATGGCATGATGACCAGGCGACAATCTCAGGATAATTGGTGCCCTGCGGTAGCGATAGTAATCTCCTCCGAAGTACTGCCTATTGTCCACCCAGAACTCCAGCAGACCGCTGGTATAGAGGGCGATCGTCTGGCTGGTTTTCCCATTCACTTCCAGAAAACCACGCGCCCAGGCCTGGTACTGTAAAGCAGGCCACCCATATACAGACTGCAGAAAACCCCAATCAATTTCTGGAAAACTCAATTGAAGGGTAACCTTCGCTTGTCCTCTGGAAGAGCTTGAGATATCCGCAGTCACGAGTTTCCATCCAACTGATGCATTAGTGGAAAGAGAGCTTGAAAAAGTCTCTTCTGGATCATAGATCAAGCTACGAAACCCGCCCCGGTGCTCTAATGGGTCTGCACCCCAGACAGATTCTGTTTCGGAATGCCCAAGTCAACCCAGCTTCGGCAATCAGACATGCCAGGGGATTCTCAGATGGGAAAAAAAATCACTGACCTCGCGTTCCCGACTGGAAAGGTCCAAGTACCTGCCAGCTAGTCGAAAAAGAGAAGGGTTCAATTTGGTAAACAGGAGTTTGGTTGTGGCCATTGCAGGTAAAGATTATTGTTTTCAGGTTGCATACAGCTGTTAGAAACCTAGCAGAAGCTGCCAGGAACACCGTCAATGGTCTGGTAGAGGCCATCTATTTAGTTGATACAGAAGCAACCAGAATAGCATCTACCGTACAAGGGACGGAGGGGTTTAACGAGATCCTTCGAAGCCAATGCGAAAAGGCCGACCCCAGGTATCCAACTCGAAGATAAGCTTGACCCATCCCACGTGATATGTATTTACGTATGGAGTACTCGTGCCCACGCCGCCGCCTTACCTACTGGTGTCCAGGTTCAATTATATTTCTGGATTCAATGATAATTTATATTTTTTGTGTTCTCCATAAAACTCATTCAACATACAATAGATAATACACCAAAAACACCACTAGATCATGGAGGTTATGCTCTTATTTTTCTAAGGCGAAATACAGATTACTATCATTGAACTCGGGATAGCATTGAACCCAGACACACCTATACAGGAACACTGGTGAGAGGCTGAGTAGGTGGGTGGTACGGGCACTTTTGCTCCAGAGTTCATACTCCTCAGTGATGGTGTGCCGGGGCACTGCAAGCCTATGGGTAGGACCCTCTTTTCCTTCAATTTCTTATCTTGCAATATTGTCGGGCCACGGCCTCCGCCATACTAAGGAGGGTCCTTAAGGAGAAGCCTCCTCCCTAGGTAGTTTGGAAGAATGGGCATACTTTTCGTTTTCAAGTTGCTTCACTAGTACGTTATCGCATCATCTTCGTCGTATAGTACGGAGTTCGGCTCCATTCTCGTTGTATTCTTCCCTTCGTTATATTGTTTGCTTTCTTTACTAATTCGTTTCGCGCCATGTTGTGGCGCGGCATTGTTTCAGAGTATTCATTCCCAAGATCTCTTGACCACAACCCAGTTCATTTCACAAGGAGCAATGCACATACACCTCCTTTGACAATGGCAAATTACTAGAAATGGCATAGCATACCTAATTGGGAGAGTGCTTTGCTGCCACTTTGTATCACGGTGTGTAGTCTACCAAGGGGACAATGGCGGTCTATATTGAGATAGGGGTATTTGGTTCTGCTTAGGTTTGTGGTAATGGAGTAGCTCTCAGTTGCTTCAAACTCTGGGGTAGCAAACAAACCCTTCCTGGGTAGATGTTTGATGTATGCTCCGATAATTAATCTAGCAGAGCATTAACTTTCTTCAATCTTCTCTAAATAGCTTCAAGCGAAGGACTTAACCATCTGAAGCATGTTAGCTCAGGGGAAGAGCGCCGGGCTCATAACCCGGAGGTCCCTGGATCGAAACCAGGACATGCTATCTATATATATATATATATGCACCTTTCTTTTTTTTCTTCCTACCATATCATTATATGGTACAGCAAGGACGGCAGCCCCAGGCCACACAACACCATAGCGAAGTCAGCGATTTAGTTCCTAAGCTATAAGGTCCTTACGTTTTCCTCTCTACTATCGCACTTAGCGTTCTCCGTATATTGATTAGCTCTTCACGCCATCACTGCCATCCGGGCCCTTACGATAAGCAGTCTAATGGCCTTCAACGTAAGTTTTTAGTAAACGCTATAAGATGAGACATCCAGGGCCTTGTATTGAGGTGCCCTGAAAACGTTGGATTCTAGCTCCTCCCTTGTAGGATCTATATAGCCATTAGGCTACTAAGCTGCTTTTCAAGACAGAAGGCAACGACGTGGGCCACACGGTCGTGAGATTCTCCATCAACGTCTTCAAAAGATGACCACAGCCAGTCAGGCCTTATGCAAACTAGGGACAACCCAAAGAATGCCCATATTGTGCCGGGGGCACTGCGAAACCCCCGATCTCCCATATTTCCTATCTTGGAACACCGTAGAACCGCGGACTCCGACATACTAATGTATGGTGGATCCCACGGCCGGAGTACTTAATGGAGGGTTCCCTCTCAGATAGTTACGAGAAATAGAGCATTCTTTTGGTTTCTAAGTTGCTTCACTAGTATCGTTATTGTCGTATAGAGCGGAGCGAGGCTCCTTCGTCGTTGTGTTTTCGTTTATCGTTATATCGTTTTGCTAGATTGTTCAGTGTGTCCATTCCTGAGATCCCTCGATCACAACCCGGTTCCTGTCGCAGGGAACAACGCACGTACGCCCCCCTTTACAATATGTTTTTCTCTGCAAACATAACAATAGCTCAGTTGCGTTAGACATCCCATCACTCTCCATATGCATCATTGAATACACTATTTAGGAATAGACGGTTTTATATATAAAAACTTGAACGCAAAAAATTATCATAAGCCCATGATGATACTAGCATGTCCTGGTTTCGATCCAGGGACCTCCGGGTTATGAGCCCGGCGCTCTTCCCCTGAGCTAACATGCTGATTGGTTGAGATTGCAGTAGCGTGTTCAGATAGACACTCCAGTAAACTATCCACATACTGATATCTACTAACTGAGAGTGTAACTAGAATGGAGGCTATTTCTGCCAGGCGAAAAGGACCTGACCTCTCACTAGGCGAAAAATATGACATTTTGTCAGTGCTCTACTCACATGAATGCTTGTTGGATCACGTGGGATTCTGCCGCATAGGTCCGCCCTCGCTGACCCTTTTCACCACGTAGGCCTATCTAGCTAGTTACCAACCAACGATACACCTCCATTAATGCTAGTTCATAGATCACGTGCCCATATATGGTTTTTGTTGGCCTCTTACTGGGTTCTGCTATCTCGCCCACGTTAGATAGTTCTCTCCCCTAGCTAGCATTCCCAATGGACAAGCATATCCTCCAACAGTTTTCTCATCCTTGACCGAAGACAAGCTCGTACTTTACGCGCGCACTCGTAGGCGCATCTAGTTATCTCGACCCGTATCCACACTACTCGATACCTTCCCAGCCTGACCTGCGCACCTCTAGACCGCAGGCCCTCACATTTATCAAGTGACCACTATGGCTCAGGACTGCTTGATAAACTACCAGCCGTATGCTGCAGTAACAAGTCTTCTTTGCAAACATGGTACCAGCAGAGACTGGAGCAAACAGTAGAAGATATGAGTCAAAGAGACAAAAAGTACACACCTGAATATATGTCAAGCTGGTATTTATATCACACAGATATTCATAAGGTTGTCTTTAAATGCAGGGTACCTGATTCATTAACGCACATGTTTGAATGTAAGTTGCAGTGGAGGTAAGGCAAGGAAAGCTTCTTCTGTATGAAATAGTTGGTGTAAGGCTCAATTGGCCTTTAACTTAATAACAGTATGTATTGTTATTTAACCATTAGGCTGAAGTTTGGCAATATGCTCTGCTCTTGGCCCTTGAGCAAGAAAGATTACTACCAGGCAGAAGTTGTTTACAGCGTACAAGACCTGGGTGCCGCCAAACACGTGTTAAATTAAAAGTCCATCGCAAGCAGAAAAGATACTCAATAGACGTGTAGAGCAGGGTTGCAAAAATCCTCACATTTCCTCTTTTCCTTTTCAAGGTGGCTAGGGAGTATTAATACCACCTAAATACCTGGGGGTTTCAAACTCGTAACATCCTGTTGTGCGTGTCTTCCATTCTTGACGATCATTCGCCAGGGAGGATTCGTCATCGGGGAGGTCGCATACGTACCACCTTCGTTTCTACTATCGACAAGAGCAAGCCTCTTGGACTCGGAGGTAGCGCAGCTACATCTTCCGACCTTTCACTCTTGACTGGGCCACGGTCGTATGTCTCCTCGGTCTTGTCTTTTTCCTTTTTTTGGGAGAGAAACTAATAACGGCCAAGCACCACGCCAGAGATCTAGGCCAGAGCATGACTACAACCACGGTGACAGGCACTGGGCGACGATCCTCCATACGACAATCAGAGTGGCAGGTAACAGCAAAGGCATCTAGCTCGCAATCGATGACCGGCCCGGCCGACAAGTTCCCGTCATTCAATGGTGAGCCGTACCATGCAGCCTCAGAACTAGGTGGTGCATCTTTGAATTCTGTTAAATTCCCACCAAACGGCCACTGGGAAGGGAGAAATGCCGGTGCTTCATCCTGGGAACATGCAAATGGATCAATTAGAAATCCAAAAACCAGATCGAGGAAAAGCGTCAGCGACGCATTTAGTACGATCAGGCGGCGGAATGCAAGCGTGAGTGCTAATGCACATGAGTTGGCACAAGCCCTCAGAGCGCCTCTCTCATATCGGCTGATAGTAAGATCAAGCGATTTTTGGAATCTCTCAGATGCTTCTAGGTAATATAGCTGACCAGCCTGTAGGCCCTTTGTGTCGTTTGGTATACGACCTCTGCGCTCACCAACACATCGTCGAAATCTATCCTAAACGCCCTTCCGCGCCCAGTCACACTCACAATAGTACAGTTTGCGTTCGTATCACTGTGGTGTCTGGTCCTATCCTATCTTTCAACGGTATTGCCTTCCTTAAGAAGAAACGTCCCAGCTCTTAAGAATGGCATATTGTATCCATCCCGGGATGTTCTCTTAACTGCCTTGCCACTGGCAATATTCCAGTTAGCTGGTCATATATTGAGCTCCATGGCTACGTCGCAGATCCCAGTGTCTCTAGTCCACACGATCAAAGGCCTTTCGCCTCTTTTCACGGTCTTGGCGTACCGAATCTTTTTCCGCATACGATACGCGAGGGCAACATACCTTTCTTTGATTCCCCTGACTTTGGGTGTTATGCTGGCTTGTTCAACCGGATTTTCTACCGATTTCTTTGGAATACTGTGCGCATTTTGTGCTACCTTGGTCTTTGTATCACAAAACATTTTCTCGAAGAGGCTCTTTAACGAAGCATCACGCGCTGAGACAGAAGGGCCTACTCCTGGTCGACGAAAATTGGACAAACTCAACCTTCTCTGCTATTGTTCAGGGTTGGCCTTCATCCTGACATTACCAATCTGGTTTGTCTGTGAAGGTCGGAGTCTAATTTCAGATTTCCTGCGCGATGGTACTGTGTCTCTGTCAGGCAAGACAGGGGCATTGGATCACAGTGCTCTTCTCTCGGAGTTTGTATTCAACGGATTATCCCATTTCGCCCAAAACATTCTGGCATTCATTCTGTTATCTATGATATCACCTGTTTCTTACTCGGTGGCTTCGCTGGTTAAACGTGTATTTGTCATCGCCGTCGCAATCGTATGGTTTGGGAGTCCGACGACTTCTATCCAAGCACTCGGAATCGCTCTTACTTTTATTGGTCTCTACCTCTATGATCGCAATAGCCACGATGATTTGGCTGATCGAAGAGCGAATGCAGACCATTTCCGATCGGGAGAATCAGTTCTTCCTATGAATAACAGAACGCCAAACCGGCCATGGGATTCAAATGGCTACGCCTTCCCTCCAGTGAAAATCATCGAGGAGCATGAATCCGATGGCTCCAACTCCCTGGCAAATAATCAGAAGAAGGAAGACGACGGACTTGGACGGGTCCGACCGAGGGGGAACAGTGTATCTCGCGCATGGTTGCCACCTGGTACTAAGCAGGAGTCCACCTGGCATCAGAGCGATTCGCGCTCATCGCCGTAATGTTCAATCATTGTATAATATTGCAGAATCGCGGCGTTTTAGAATGAATCACTTCTCGACGAGTCGCTTAGTCACTGCATGTCTTGACTATTTCAATCATATCAAGAAACACATAATTGTCCACCTTATTGAACACACCTTTTTCCCTCAATAATATACTATGACCCAGGCGCACTGCGGGAATGCTGCGATCATGAAATTGACAAGGTGCCCCAACGATCCGTGTCAGCAATGCTGTAGTCCAAAGCCCCGACATTCCAAACTAGTTACCAGCACCCAATAATGACGGAGCTAATCCAAACGATTGGCTGCATTGATTATCTAGACTCATTGTGTACAGCATCAGGGAGAGATAGGATCATATACTAAACGAATATTTTCAATCCTTCTTCATGACGTTGAATATGCTGTTGGCTGGTGGCTACTGGTATGCCCTCAGCGCTTGCAAGAAAACATACGGAGACTAAATTCCTGGAGAAGGTAGGTGAACCTTCATCTCATGAGAATCAATGTAATTTTTCTAAGGAACTAGTTGAAAACAGTACCATTCATTTAGTTGGAATAGCTCTGTATGGCCTGTTTAGGATATCGAATACTACGAGAGCAACTCACAGTGGCCGCAGCTCAAGGATGAATGAAAATAGGAAAATGTAGCCACCGTCAGTAAAGAACGTAGCCATCATCAAGCAACTTGTCACCAGGGACAGCACTCTAGGCAGCTCCAGCTCGGTGCAGTAAAGAGGTCTGCTCTCGGACCGTGTAGCAGAGGAGAAAGGGATAGGAAGACTTCCCTGTCACCTACAATAATCACGCCCTTTGAATGAGTACGTTGTAAAGGGAAAAAAGAAAAAAGAAAAGAAAAAAGAAAAAGAAAAGGAATAAGAAAGAGGCAGGAAAAGGGAAAATGTATGCGTGGAGCGGAAAAAGTGTTTTTCCCAAAAAAGGAAGCTGGCCAATCTGCAGACGGCAATTTGTGAAGTAATGTCCCCCATCCAAGCTGGACGACGTGCCTTCACTGTCCGAAGAACACCTGCTTCAGCAGCCTGCATTGTCCTCCTCCGCTCCGCTCCCCTCCCTCAACTAGATTGCTTTCTTTTCTTTTAATCAACTCTTTCCCTCTCATTCTCTTTTAGAATTATGCGGCCGCAGGTGATTCGTGCGGCCGCCCGGTCTTGTCGGGTCCCGACGCTGCATTGTCGCAGGGCTTTCACCACGACAATCCCTCGCACTACGGAGGTTGAACTCACGATTGGTGCGTCAATACATACGTAACTAGAACCAATTGCTTTCCATACTGATTGCAGTACTTTACAGATGGCAAAAAGGTTTCAGTTGAAGGTAATCGTCGTCTAAGAATTACACGGGGTCATCTGCTTATGTGATTACCAGCCGGCTCGGCTTTGATCCAAGCGTGCGAGAAAGCAGGCGTAACAATTCCCAGGTATGATCTGTGCCAGGTCAGAGAGGAATTTTTCACTGCTAACGTTTTATATCAGATATTGCTACCATGAGTACGTCATCTACAAATGGTCCCGTGGCCTTATCCTACTAACAGAATCCGCAGAAAACTAGCAATTGCCGGCAATTGTAAGTTGCAATGCGACATGTCTATCTTTCTGGAATTGTGCAGTTAATATGTATTCAGGCCGTATGTGTCTTGTCGAGGTCGTGCGTGCGCCTAAACCTGTGGCATCATGTGCTTGGCCGGTACAACCGGGAATGGTAGTCAAAACGGATTCGCCGTTGGTACATAAAGCGAGGGAGGGCGTGATGGAGTTTCTCCTCGCTAATCATCCCCTTGACTGCCCGATTTGCGACCAAGGTGGAGAGTGTGATCTTCAAGATCAGTCTATGCGCTATGGCGCTGACCGAGGAAGGTTTCATGAAGTTGGTGGCAAGCGGGCTGTTGAGGATAAGAATATCGGACCGTTGGTCAAAACTTCCATGAACAGATGTATTCATTGCACCCGCTGTGTCCGATTCATGAACGATGTTGCTGGAGCGCCAGAACTTGGGAGCACCGGCAGAGGGAACGATATGCAGATCGGAACTTATCTGGAGAAGAACTTGGACTCAGAGCTCTCCGGAAACATTATTGATCTGTGTCCAGTTGGTGCCCTGACTTCAAAACCATACGCTTTTCGGGCACGTCCATGGGAGCTCAAGCATACTGAGTCTGTCGACGTTCTTGATGCTCTGGGCTCCAATATCAGAATAGATAGTAGGGGTTTGGAAGTTATGCGGATACTTCCAAGGCTTAACGATGACATTAACGAGGAATGGATAAATGACAAGTCCCGCTTTGCGTGCGATGGGCTGAAGACTCAGAGGCTCACAACCCCATTAATCCGCAGGGATGGGAAGTTTGTCCCAGCAACCTGGGAACAAGCCCTAACCGAGATTTCGGCGGCCCATGCGAAACTTCAATTGAAGGAAAACGAGTTTAAGGCCATTGCTGGACATCTCGTGGACGCTGAATCTCTTGTGGCTATGAAGGATCTAGCAAACAAGCTTGGATCTGACAACCTTGCACTTGACCAGCCAGGAGGCAGCGCGCCAATTGCCCATGGCGTTGATGTGCGCACAAACTACCTTTTTAACTCCAAGATTTATGGAATAGAGGAGGCGGATGCTATTCTTTTGGTTGCCACAAATCCTCGTCATGAAGCCGCTGTCCTTAACGCCCGAATTCGGAAGCAGTACCTACGCTCGGACCTCGAGATTGCCCTTGTAGGTGAGAAATTTGAAAGTACATTTGAAGTGGAACACCTCGGCTCTGATATTGCGGCCCTGAAGACTGCTCTGTCTGGAAACTTCGGAGAAAAGCTAGCCTCTGCTAAACGACCCATGATCATTGTCGGTAGTGCTGCGACCGAGCATCCTGATGCTAAGGCGATATTTGAGACTGTTGGCAACTTCATTGAGAAACATGCGGCCAACTTCAAGACTCCCGAGTGGCAAGGATATAATGTTCTCCAGCGCGCAGCATCTCGTGTAGCCGCTTACGAAGTTGGATTTACCACGCCATCGCCAGAAGTGGCTCAGACAACTCCCAAAATGGTTTGGCTGCTGGGTGCAGATGAGATCAGCCAGAGCGATATCCCCAAGGATGCGTTTGTGGTTTACCAAGGCCATCACGGCGATCGCGGTGCTCAACTCGCAGATGTCATTCTTCCTGGTGCGGCGTATACTGAGAAAACTGGCACTTACATCAATACTGAGGGACGTGTACAAGTGACACGTGCAGCTACCTCGTTGCCTGGTGCGGCTCGTGACGACTGGAAGATTATCCGTGCAACCAGCGAATTTCTGGAAGTGACTCTACCTTACGACGATATTGAAGCGCTCCGAGACCGTATGGAGGAGATCAGCCCCGTAATGCGCCGATATGATGTTGTCGAGCCGAGCTCCGTGAGCTCATTGAGCAAAGTTCAACTAGTGGATCAAAATAAGGACACACAGCCAGTTGGTACTCCCTTCAAAAAAGTTATCGAGGACTTCTACTTCACCGATCCGATTTCCAGAAGGTATGTACCCAGATGTCTACTTCATCTCTTTTTATTCTCCAAAATGTTTGTCTGACTGAATATAGTTCTCCTACTATGGCCCGCTGCTCGGCAGCTAAGGCCACAGGGAATCCGGAGACAAACTTCATGGCGCCGGGTGAAATGTCGCCTCAGGTCTTGTATGGCTGAATCTCCTGAGGTGGTTACTTTTTTGTTTGTTAATTTGTCTAGGCGTTATCATTGTACCACTTAAACTTCAATCATTGGTACCCGTCATCTTTTTTCTTCTCTAATTTCCATTCCCCTGGTCAATCTTCGAGCCTCTTTCGACCACGTTCCTGTATGCCCTAGGTCCCCAGTGGATTTGTACATAAACTCGAGGCAAACTCTGTTTAACAGTACAAAAGATCACTTGACTGCGCTTCGTTGTCATGTTTACACTATCCTGGACTTCTACTGGGTTAGAAGCCGAATAAGATGGCTCCTAACATATTAGATGAAGCATGTGCGTGTGTAACTGGGTCCTGGAGAAGCCTCAGGAGGCTGCGTAATTTTAGAATTCACTATATTGTACTCCGTATCTGGACAGGGAGATTGGGTAGCAATGGCACGGCTAGTCCACAAAACACATGATACTAAGTGCCTCTTGACACTTAACCTTGGCAGGATTCAAAATTATAGTTCATCATCATCAGTCTCACCAGCAGTTTCTTCGGCATCTCTTTCGGTCTTGCTGGCTTCGGCTTGCCTCGTCTTGCGAGCGAAAGGCAGCTCTCGGCGTGGTGGGGCGGTTGGCGGCATTTTTTGAATTAGTCGGTCGACTGATACCTTCGAAGCTGACTCATGCGGTCCCTTGTCTTCTCTCTTCTCGATTATTGATGGATCATAGTCCTCATTTGTCGTATTATCTTCTTCCTCTAGAGGCTGCGGTGTCGATCGCTGCCTATCGTCCGTCTCTCGATCTTTTTCCGGGACATCCACCCCCTCAGCTTCGTCAGTCTCCATCTTTTCAAACCCATCACTATCGTCCAAATCGTTGCCGCTCAATTCCAGTGTACCATGTTTCGCGGACCGACTCTTCCTTGCAGGTACACATATTCTACCTGAGTCCGTGGTTTGAATTTCGGTAACTATATTGGCGCGGCAGCAAGTCAGAAATCAGCATATGATAGTGCAGCACTCAACAGACTATAATTAGATATACCTTTAGTCGGATCCACGGTAGCAGAAGCTAGTAGACGTTGCTGGTTGCGAATCTTCAACTTCTTTTCGTTCAGTAATTGGACGAAGTTTGCTATCAGCTGGTTTTCATGTTGGACTTTCGCATATATAAGTTCTTCGATCTGTGTATTGAGTTCATGTATAGTAGCCTCAGCAGCACGACAGCGACTGTTAAGCGAGGAAATCTGCTGTTCAAGTGTGTCTGCCCTAGCAACAGCGGCACTCGACCAGTCAAAAAGCTGAATAGTCTGTTCATCATCCTGATTCAAAGTAATAGAACCAAGTCTTTGCTGTAGTGAATTAGAAAGAATGGTCAAAGCAGTTACGAAAAAGAAAACACATACTGTTATGGTCTCAATCCTCTTTCGTATGGTAATGGCTATCTTTCTGTCTTCATCCTCGTCGGAAACAGTGGCAGAAACTTCAAGTCCACAGATAAAATCGGGTTTGTTAACAAATGGCGATGACTGCCCGAGAACATATGACAGAATTTGAGCCCAATCGTCATCACTACCTTGGTAACTTTTTGCGCGAAGGCTATTCAAACGGGATTGCTCGACTGCATGGTAATTAACATATGAGATGGGTCGTTATTGCAGGTCCAAAATATAGCGCACCTGAGCCTACATAAGGGTCCTCCCCTTCAGTGGCAACGAGCTGCAGGTCCAATGTCGCGGTGCCGGAGCGGGTGACATGAACGAGCACATATGCGTTCGGTTCATCAGACCTGGGGATTTGCAAAATGCGGGGGGGAAATGTCGTAGGCTTGGAAGATGACATGCCTGACAAACACTACACATGTATTTGAGAGGGGAAAGAAGTGACACCAAGCTCTCATATATCTGCAGGTTGTTGTGAAAGTTGTCTTTGTTATTAGGTAGCACTCTTATATTACTGTTGTCATTGGTAATTATTTGGTTCTTTTTTTGTTTTGTTTAGGCACCAGTTACAACCCAGCAATCTTCGACGACATTATTATTACATTATTACCGGCTATAAAGAGGCCCTGCCGGTTAAACAAACAGAATTGCCAGATGGATGTCGATGGGCAATAGGAGATCCTTCTGCTACTAGTTGAGATCACCAGGTTGGTATGATCTAAGACCTAACAAGGAAATAGAACGACAACACTTCAACTATGGGTAGATACAGTAGATAGTGGTACACGCCGTCTGCTTCCAAACGGCACGGTGTCCTGGTTGTTGAGCCTTGGCAATTTCGACAGTCTTCATCTCCTTGCCCTAACCAACTTAAACCAAACAGGTATCGGTGTCTCTTCCCCAGCCCCGGGAGGAGATTGGAGCCAGTCTAACTAACTAACCACCATATTCTTTTCTCTCCTCCTTACCGCCTCCAGTTTCTCGAACATCTTTCGAACGTTGCTGCTGTAGCAAGCGCAGTATCCTTATTTCTAGATCTCTGCTTTCCTGCCCTTCCTGCCCTTCCTGATCTTCACCGATAACACGCTGATCGCCATTATTGCTCTGCTCTGACATACGTCAGGACGTACGCCTGGCGTACTGGAGCTCACCTAGCGGGCATATCACATTTCCTGCGTACGAAAAGCATACCCTGCGTCAACCTACCAAATACGCCTGCCTCTACATCAGTCATTAGGGTGCAATTAGCCTTGGCCTTTTTAACACTTAAGTCAACTAAGCGACGCGGGATGACAGTCAACCGCTCATCCGAATCGATATCAGCGTCGGATACCTCTGCGCCCTCTATCTAGAAAGGGGGCAAGGAGACGAAGCTGTATCAATCACCGTATCAATAGAAGCTTGCTGCGAATTATCATATGAGCTCATTGTTTTCCCGTCACCTCCCTTGACGGGCTTCTCATAACATGGAGGCGTTGACTGTCCAACTACGGCGCGTCGAAGAGACAATCGAATGTTGGGATGATGATGGTGACCTCCAGTGCACAGATGACGTCCAGTTTTGCACTGCCTCCACAGTAACATCTGTAACAAATTCTTCTATTCGGAGGTCGGGGCACCGCGACTCGATTTCTTCCCGTCGCTCTACTCGCTCCGATCTCGACTCGATCCCGGGGGATGATGATGACTGGCAGGTTTTACTGCACGAAACTGACGAATTTGCAGCTGAAGATGCCATATTATCGGCCAGAAATGCGGGCATACCTATACCTGAAAACGTACCTAAGTCTGCACTTACGGGAGGCACCATAAAACGGCTTGGTCGCAAAAAAAGGGCGGATTTTGTTGACGACTGGTCTGAGGATGTGCTATTTCCTGGTCCTGAGCAGGCTCTACAGTTGAAAATCCCTCAAGAAAAGACATTTCCAGATTCCCTTCGCCATATCTATTCCACAGGCACAAGTCCGGTGAAAACTTCCGCCTCACCTTTCTGGGAGAGCAACCCTTCGGTCCACTTGAACTCTAGTTTAGCCACTCTTGACAAGTTCCGAGACGAAGAATATAGCTCCCAAGACGTGCCAACAATCAAAATTGCTAATTATAGACTTCTGCAGAAAGAAGCCCCCTCATCTAATTGCCTTGCCCAGGTGGCAAGAGACGATATTGAATGTTTCGACGATGACTTTGATCTGCCGGCAGGTGACATTCCTCTCCGGCTTGGATCGCACAAAGGTACTCGGGAGACTTCAACTCCAGTCACGGACGACTTTGATTTTGAGTTTTCCGAGGATAGTACTGGGGCTAGGTTTGGTGGCACCGCGAAAGATCGCCGCTCAAATCCTAGCTCTTCAGTCTCGGTGCTTGGCCCAAGTGTTTCGAGTTGCATAGCTGGAGAAAGCGAAGAGGACTGTTTAGATGGTCTCATCATTCCTGAAGAACCATTGGATTTGCAGGCTTCTTTGAAGAAGAGGCAAGACGCTAAATCGGCTCATGTTTCGGAGGACCTCCCGGCTCGCCAGGAGCCGAGCGAAAAAGATGACTTCTTCACTGGTCTCGAAATCGGTGATGTTGATATCTACGGTCCTGAGCAACTGGCTGTGAACCCTAATGTTAAATGCAAAACAGAGCATCCTAACAGCCCTACGCGTCGTTCGGGAACTACAGTAACGTTCACGAACGCAGCTGTCTCTCCAAAGACACGAATACCGCGTCTGTCAAGCCACGACCGCACTCGGTCTACTCAACTTGAAACGGTATCCGAGAGTGGCGCTCCTATTTCCAGGTTCCAGAGGCCACTGTCCCGGTTTGGAGGGCACTCTGCACAGTCATCCATTTCTGGTCTCTCAGCCTTATCTGCTTCATCGGCGACTAGCTCAGCACAACAAAATCGACGATTCATTGGAACGCGAACCATGGTGGATGCCTTAACTGGAGAGTCTGCTCCCTTGAGCACAGAACCTCTAACTCCAAGACGATCAGTGCCAAGCATCCGCGATGAAAATAAAATCACATCGACTCCCTTACAGCGTCCACTGTCTCGCCAAAGCGGAGCAAGTCGCTCAGTTTCCTCCACTCGACCTCGAACTCCAGTCGATCGCTCAGCAAACGATGCAAGGCTGGGTCGTAGACAACTGACACCATTCATTCCTGCTGGGGCCTCAGCAAATAAATTACACCATGTTAATGTGAAGCCATATCAACATTCGCGCCGTACTAACTCGGACAGTTCTATTGATAATCCAAGTCCGCAGGGCGCCTTGCCCCGACCATCGCGGATCAGCCGAGGGGGAAATCTGGGTAATAAAACAAATGAGACAAGTCCTGAAACTTTGGTCAGGGCCGCGAAACGTTCACTTACCAAACCTACGCGCCGCCGAAACTTTGGTGACGGTACTGAATTGGAGTCCTTTGACGACTTACCCACGTCTTCATCGGCCGAGCGCAGGTTTGTCAAAACCCCTAGTGGGCGCGGGGTTCCTAGGTCTTTCCGAAGCAGGCTGAGTCGAGGCCAACATGTATCGGCTCCAATGGAAGCGTCTACTCAACCAATCATGCCGTCTACCACATCTAGTTCTCTGGACTATACTCCGAGATTCGCGCGTGATACAAATGCCTCCAGAAATGCTAGAGAACAACGCATTGCCTCGATGAATATAGGTTCGAAAAATCGAGAAGCGAACCCACTCGCTCCTCTCAGCTCAAATTGGAAGGCTCAGTATTCCTCGCGGCAATCTATAAATTCGGCATCGGCAAGGACAAAGAGAGGGAAGGCCACAACCCTTTCCGGGAATAGACCTCATTTAATCAAGCCTTTGGGGTCTGGAGTCCATGAGGCTAAAGGTGAGTTGAATCTCTGTTCCTTGCTGAAGTCTTACAAAACTGATGTCTCTCTTTATACCGTCTTTATTTAGACGTAAAAGGCATGCGATATAATCCGATTACGTATCAGTGGGAGGGCAATGAATCGTCGATTTCAGAGTTTGATTTCTCCATTCCCAGGTCCCCTAAGGCCGCGCCTGCCCTCATAACCAATGTAGGTACAATGCAGAATGTACAAGTGGTTGGTGAAATGGTGTTCGATCCCCAGCGCATGTGTTGGCTCAAGCTGGCGCCACTGCAGCCCGGCGATAATGGTCTAGCAGTTGTTCAGGACGAAGATGATGTCTTTGCTGGTCTTGATGACCTAGAAGAGAAGAATTTGAGGCCCGGTTACACTGGAGGCCCGGTTGCTGATGTATTGAATGAATGCAGCCACCCTGCCAGTGGCGACGATCGAAGTGGTGATGATTCGTCCGATGAGTGGCCCATCACGGAAGAATTTGATGTCGGTCCTGAATTCGTCAAACGCCAGAGGGCAGAGGAAGAAAAATGGAGGCGTAAGGTCCACAAGTGGGTCAGTTCTGATCGTTCAGGATTTGGTGATGGCTGGAGATGGGCTATTCGTGACTTAGTGAGGCTCAATGCCCCCATTGGGGCTCAGCCATGGGAATAGGCACATTCAGTTTGCAGAAATGCCTTGGTGTGGAATCACCTGTGGCATTGGGGATTCCCAGGAAGAGTACCGTGCGAGACATGGAAAAGATTTATGTTGAATGACGCATTTAATGTGTTGGGAGGCTCGAGTCCCTTTCATGCTCCTACTCGCATGTTGCTGTGTTCTAGCGCTGCCTGGTCGCACAGCTTAATGGTGCAGAGAATCTCGAAGTGGCAGCCACAAGCCTGTTACGATTTCGTATGAGCATATGATGCAGAGGCACCTTCGGGGTCTTGATGATTTAGCTGATGTTATGACTTCCATGTGGGTAGGGTTTCAGTTGTGTTTGATTCCTCCATTAATGGCTTTCTTTATATTCGTCCTCTTTGTCTCACTTTGTATCAGTTTTTATCCATGTACTATTGTCATGTTATATAGAATCTACACATCTGCCTGGCTCTTATTGCACATACTGAGCTGTGGTTGTTGATAGAGTTAGGGTTAATTGTACAATTTATCGTATTCCTCTTTTTTTACTTCTTCCCTCTGACCATGTATGGGTTTATGTAGGATCGTAGATATTGTCATAGTAGCCTGTAGTGCATATCATATCTCACTTGGTCTTAAATAGATAATAGAGATACGATACTTATCTGCTCTATGGATGATTCATTAGGTCCTGAGAAGACAAGGAAAGAAGTACTTGGTCAGAGAAAATATTCTCCAGCTCATTTTATGCCTGGATTGGGCTACTTGCAGTCCGATCCATAACACACCGGCTCACACATGCATAGGATTGCCCTAAGCTTGGAAGCTACCTAAATAGTAGCAGAGCAGATTTGCATGCCTACAAGGGTGATAATAGGACATGTTCCGTTGTTTGCCCTCCTAACAATGAAGTATGGAGAGGTGCAAATTCTCTTCTGAAACACGGCAACACTTCAGAGCACTTATGACACCAGCCATACTGAATGCGCAATAACAAGCAAACCCCTGTCATGGCCGAATCCCTTCCAAGTGGCCATGGCCCCTGCTAATACTGTATCCACGGCCTTAAACCATGAATATCGCGCATATGCAGCAATTCCAGCCCAGCCAAACATATACCATCCTGCAGTTCCGCAACTCAGAAGTACTATGCAGCATTGCAGGTCTGGGTATTTCTGCTCTGCTTACTTGACATATGGGAGTCTGGGGTTGACCAGGTAACACAACCTACATTGATACCACTCTCAGTTTGAGTAGGGCCTGGTGTCCTGATCATGTGCTCTGTGAATATCTCGCGGGAGAAGCAGGGTTAACGAGTAGGAAATCATTGGAACCTCCACATGCATAATGATGCCCAAGCCCCAACTGGTGCCTTTTTCTGGGTAAAAAATACTCCTTGCAGCGATTACCCATGACTACACATGAGACGTTGGGCACAATGCCTTTTTATTCATGCAGAGGTATACTGATTGCTCCGGAAAAAGCGGAAATAAGTGGATATGTCCATTATATGTATGGTCCCGAGGATCTAGGTTACATGCAAGAATGATAAGGACTTGTTTTGATGCGGAGTCCTCTCAGAGCAGAACTATGTGGTCAATCAACAACAGTTAATTGAGTCCCACCACAGTTGGCAGCACTTGCTTGTCTTGCTGAGCTATGCGGCCTGGCTCTTAAATGCATCTGTATACTGTAGGCATATACTTCACAGCAACATGTGGCCAGCATGGGGGTGAATGAAAAATTAAAAATACATGGGATGGATGATGATATCTTGAGAGTTGGTACTGGGTGTTTATCCATGGATACAAAGGATATAAAATTTACAACGCTTAAGTCCTTGGCGTGTTTATTATAGAAACACTGGCTTTTGTACAGAGCACCTAGGTGTCCATCATGTATCATATAATACTACATTGGGTTTGGATGTCCTTTCTAATATTCCATTTCATCTATTTATTTTTGTGGTAGTATGCACATGTTCCTGCATTATGCAGCTACATTCAAGATTCCAAAGCCACTACCGTTGGCAATGCTTTCACAATGCATCTCGGCAGAAAGGCAGGATTCAATATTCCAGAGGCCAATGTGTCATTTCTTGAAAGAATAATCAATAAGGTTACCACGAGAGGACAGGTGATTATTCACACAATGTGGAGCAAGGATAGCCTACAAGAGATACAAGCGACACTGCCGTGGGACTAAATGCTTTTGTTGCATAAATCACAGAAGCATGTCACTTGCCCCCCTGTTATTTGCAGAACCTGCAGAGATCTGTATATTATTTACCTGCTTGGGTGGATATTGATTACTCCCTATTGCAAGTACTTGCCTGCTAACAGTACCCAGGCACTCTTCGCAACTGTATTGGTCAGCCGGCAGCGCATCCCTGATCTTCAACACCACAAGAAACTTAACTGGAAGACGCATACCCAGTATCAGTCACGGCATAGGAATCCCAGTTGCTTAATGCTACTCACATTACTTTTTCACACAACACGGATCTCATAACCGGCATTATCCATGCTTCCCCCACTACCCGAGGGGTGCAATACGCATGCATGAGTTAGGCGCTGTCTCCTAGGAATGGTAGACATGCCTCTACCTTGTCTCCAAAGTGCATGCGTGCTTGCATGCTATGTGCTATGCATGCTGTTAGGGCTCGTGTTCCCAGCCTTTGCGGAGCTATAGCCATGAGAGACACCAGTTGACCAGGATCAGAAGTCATGATTGCAACTCAAGGTGCTGCAAGTCTGAGTCTGAGGAGTCCTACATGGCAAGCATTATGGCTGAAACAGAAACCGGGGGCTCTTCCTGGAACCGCTCCTCTGGATTTTCCTCCGTCCATGTCAATTATAGGGCTTGGCAGGTCGTTCCGCGACTCCGTGGTTTGTCCTAATCTATGAACTACCCCATACATATCATACGTATACTAGCCTATTTTTGTCGGTTCTTTTGCCCCAGAGAACCCGATGCTATTTACCCCATTTGGCATAGGTGCTCTTGCTGCTACCTCAGTCTCCAGGGTTGGTATAACAAGCCGGAGGAAGAAGTGATCCTATCTAACCCTGGTCATTTTGTGGAATCCATGCCGCTCTCCACCATTCGTTTTCACTAAATGCAAGCTGCCTCAACGGTATTTGACCTTGAATCTATCTTGCATACTTCGCTCCCTTCCATCTATCCTTTTATTTATTTCTGAGACGGTTCGGCCGTTCATGGTCTCCTGCTTGCAGTTAACTCACTGGCTGATTACCCTGCGTCTTTCATGGATATGGGTTTGCCGATCTACCTTTTGCTCCTTCGTGTCATACGAATGCCCGGAAGAGGTCACTAGTAGCTCGAGTCTTGTTGTTCTTTTCGGCTAACCCATGTCTCTCTTTCAATACTTCCCTGAATAACTGGCTGCTATTAATAATACATATCTTTCACTTTCTGAGCCATTACTCTATCCAGCCTTCTCTTGTGAGTTCCATTTTGGTTGTTTTTCTTTTCTCTTTTCTTGCTTGGGCGAGCTTGATATTAGCTCCTCATTCATAACACAGAGTATCAGTTCTTCTTGTCTACATAATATCCGCCTCTTTAATGTACTTTCCGGGCTCTATTTACAGTGGATTATATCAAATCATATCCTTTGCAGTGCAGTCTGTTTGAGAAAGTCGGGGAAAGGAATAGGGGATATTAAGAGCTACCCCTTTTTTGACCAGACACAAGTTTTCCTTGGGCTGTTATGCGCGCTGGCTTGGAGAGCATTTACTAATTCCATGATGAATAGCCTTGGGAGATGCAACACTGGAGGGCATGACAACTATCTCATGAACCAACAGGCCGCTTTACCTGAGCATGAAGATGGTAATGAATTCATGGCAAACAGTCCTAATTCATATAATTTCTCCCAGCATTCGTTCAATTCATACATTTCACAGTTCAGTCCACCGTACAGCCAGCAGTCGAATTTGACACCCAGCGCGCATTTATCTCAGTATCCGTCAGGGCATTCAAATCAGTCAATATCAGTCCAGACGAGTTTACCACACCAGCCTCCGCAGTACATTTCCCAACCTCGTTATTTGCAGTCACCCCGGTACCTGCCTCTTCGTGATGCCCTCGGCGAAACTGATATCGAAAGCCAAGAGTCTCGGAACGAGAGCACAATGCTCTCTGAGCCAGTGATTCCTCCATTGGATGGGTTCCCAGATGTACGAGAGTTTGACCAGTTGATGAAGAGGTACTCACACGGCTATGCGTGCTAGAAGACATTGCTAATCCTTCCAGTTATGTCGATGACCTGTCTGTGAAGAAACAAGACAAAGCTTTGATTCATGCCAGGAGAGCGCGAAACATAAAGATGGTTTTGATAGATCCTAAAGATACTGCCATAGAGTCTGCTCAGTTCCGGTAAGGATCTCTGCCTTCCCGTTATTCCCATAGAGCAGCTATGTACTTGCAGCTGGTGGTGTTTCAACAGAACCTCAAAAGTAGCATGCTAAAAGTAAGCAATTAGGTTTTGGGTTAAGAAGATGTTTAAGCTTCAGACGGTTGGGATTGGGACTCCAGACGTCTGTATCCAACTCTTCCATCTTATGACTCCCGAGTACTGACTTCTCTAGTGTAGGAAAATGGTTTGCCATGAGGGAAAGCCAGTGGCGATTCGGGAGAAGCTTTTTAAAATCCTCACGAAGGCACACCAGCAGTGTCAACATGGTGGTCGGGACAAGACATCCGCTCAAGTTAGACGGATTTACTCATGGTAGGCAAATGGTCCGGTTGCTCCAATGGAGTGTCATAACATGGAAACCTTGGTATTCATTTGTTGTATTTTTCTTGACAGCCCATTAACTGCTGATCATCGCAAAGGGTCCCCAAAGAGCTGATATCCCGTTTCGTCAAAATTTGCCCAACCTGTCAAGTCCGCCGCGGAGGACTGCGCCTGACGCCTCCCAACTCGCGAAGAGGCTCCCCTAGACTTGAACTGATGGCCCGTTCTCCAAAAATATTTTCATCTCTTGCATCCAGGCGCGAATCCCTTTTTGGCGGCCATATATCACTGGAGAGACCGCAAACGGATTGTTATGCCCAGATGCATAGCCACAGCGGCTGGGTGAGTAATCAGCAAGGCGTACCTGGGCGGTCTAATATGGATAGTGGTTCCTTGCAGTCTTGTGGTGACGGGACTATCGGCACGGTCCAGGGTTCTATTTCTTCGGTATTGGATCCATTTACTGACAGTATACCAATGGCGTCTCAGCTCGGTTATAGTTCCGGGTATATTGCTACTCATGGTAACTCAGGTGCTCGAGGCTTCTAGTTTTATGGGGCGATGAACCTTACATTTTGCTGGTTGTTATATGTATGCTCCTAATGGGCCTGTGCATTCAATTCATAGCTTGTGGAAGGGATTTGAGCAGCAGATTGTGTGACTCTAGCTTGCTGCTTGCTGTTGCACTTTATTGCCTGTTATGGGCTAAGTTACATGGTAGCATGATGAGGCCTTTCATATATATGTCTATATGACAGGAGTATCTGGACACCTGCCCACATATTGTATCCCATCCCATGACCACCTAATTTTGAGATTATCCCTTCTTGCTGCATGGATTAATTGTGTGAAGATAGGTCCCTGCATCAGACCTTTTCACCCCTGGGCTGTGGTAATGTATTTTGTTGACAATGCATAGATGCTGTGCAGGCGGAAGAAATATCATAGCATTTCCCTTTTGGCCGATTCCCCAACATATTTTAGCCCTAGCTCGAATTATTTTACATGAATCGGGCCCCATATATCACAATTCTCAATCTAGAAAAAATAGAAGATGCTTCCATCTATCTAGATAGCCATTGACAAGAATATCAAGCAAGGGGATGGAAGATCAGTTGTCACAACCTGGTCCCCATCAACCCGGATCATGTGACTTGTTCGGTTATGTCATATGTTCCATAAAGGAAATAACATAATCAACCACTGAGCTGGCAGTTTTTTCACGTGTATCAACATTCATCATTCAATACCTTTTCTTCTTCTCTACCATATAAAATGCCGCTTTCTCAAGAAAATCACCTTCAAATGGTTATATCTGCCTATAAAACTGGAAAGATCAGCTCTCAATTAAAAGCTGCTGAGATACTTGGGGTCCCTAGAAGTACACTTCAAGATCAGCTACATGGTATTAATTCATAAAAAGACACACGCCAATGGTTATAAACCAACCAAATATGAAGAAGAATCACCTAGGAAGCAATTATTAGATGTAGATGTATAAGGATTTCCAATTTAGCCTAAATTTTTTATATAAAATTGTTACGGACCTTACCAGGATGGTTACACGGCAGCCTATGGATATGACAAGGATACGCACGAAGTGAGGCGTTAGGCTGACAATGTAGGTCACGTGTCCAAGTAGGTCCATGGAGATGACAGGATAAGCATATAAGGTCAGTCATTTGCCATCATGTATCTAGTTTGATCTTTCTCTCTTCACGTTCAATATCATCAAGTTACTGGAGTATCAACTTGGAGATCTGTATTTGTCAGTACTTCTATAATCCTAAGGTATACATACCAAGGGAGCCTTGCTTTCTTCTACCTCTCAAGAACCCTTCGGAAGTATTGTCAACATAGTGACACAAGGCCTTGACAATACAATACGACAGCGTTGTTGCCGGTTCCAGTCGAATCAGATAAGCCAACCAGAAGCCCAAGCTAACGATACAGAGGTACGAAGGATCCTAGGGCGTAACATCTATGCTTTATAACTTCTTTAATCACTTAATATAAATATTTTCAGGCTATTTAGTATATTATGCCGGGCACTGCGGAATCCCATATCTCTCATATTTCCTATCTTAGAACGCCGTAGGGCCGCGGCTAATGTATGGTGGAGCCCGCGGCCGGAGAATACTTAGGAGGGTTTACTCCCAGATAATTACAAGAAATTGAGCATGCTTTTGGTTTCTAGTTTGCTTCACTAGCATCGTTTTCATCATCATTGTGTTTCTTCTTTTATTATATCATTTCATTCCTAGATGGTTCAGTGCCGTGTGGTATAGCGGCATCAGCTTGGTATATCCATCCCTGAGAACCCTCAATTACAACCCGGTTCCTGTCGCAGGGAACAACGCACGTACGCCCCATTTACAATATACAAGAAGCTTGTTAAAGTATATAGATACCAATAATAATTATATTACAGTTGGGGTTCAAAAGTATTTCAAATTAAAAAACGTGCTAAAAACGCCAAAAATGACTGCCTTCCTATTTAATATAAACTGCCAGGCAAAATACTAAAACGCGTTCCCAGCTTCAAAATAGTGATAATTCATTCCTATACGTTTCAATGGCCAAAAATAAGGAATTAACTCCTATTATGTGAGTTCACATTTGTGAGCTTCATTCTATTGGATGGAACTATTACTAGATTCATTTAAAATATCTACAGATCCCTTATACAACTGTACAATACATAGTTCTTAAATAATATATTTATAATAATTATATTTCTAAATCATGCAGTGGAAGACCTCAAGTTCTATCTCCAGAATAAAAAGAACACTTTTATACGCTTATTATTAAAAATTTATATATAATAATATATATATTATAAGCTGCAATAGATTCCTCATCTTTAAAATCTATTATATAATATCTTTTCACAATCTTTATACAAAGAAATAGAAATAAAGAAATTAATTGAAAATCATAAAAGAAAATACTACAAAATATCTTATTTAAATTTAATAGTATGCTTATTTTACTCTAAATAATTAAAATATATTAAATAAACTAATAAATACTTAATAAAGTGAGATAAAGGTATATAAAGCCTTTATATATTTAATAGCCTATATTATTAATTAATTAAATATAATGTTCATATTATACATTATAGAAAAGATGTGAAGTAGATATTTTAGGCTAGTTTTTGTCAGGGCCCTTGCCATGTAGACCAGGACGAGCACGTGAGCTTCCTTACTTGGATTAGCGTGGCGCGTGGATAGGAGTACGTCGTCCAGCTTCACGTAGATCTCTTCCTTTTTTCCTTCCTCTCCATGCTTGAAGTTCTCGTCGATAGCTGCCTAGATAGCTGAATAGCATCCTATTCATCGTCTAGTTGAGTTCCGTGACAGTTTTAGATTTAATCAATATATAAATCTTATTTCTTTAAAAAATATCTTAGGATAGCTTATAAAGGTGTAACTATATAAATTATATCTTATATATATAAAATATAACATCCAGAACTAGTTAAGATAAATAATATTTTTATATATAATAATATTTCTGTGCATACTGTATATATTATTAGATATTTATTTAATAAGATAGGTATAGAAGTCATGATTTAGCCTTTTTACTCACCTGATCTTAATCCTATTAAGAATATATAGATATTTATAAAAAAGATTATTTATGAGTGCTATCCTAAGCTTAAGTGTGCATCTAATAATTAAGAGACTCTAGATTATTTGATAAAGGCAGTAAAGGAGGCTTAGCATGCTATAGATGAGAGGGTTCTGCAGAATCCATCAGATATTATGCCTCATGTAGGCCATTCTACCTGTAGATGGTTGGTATACCAAATACTAGGTGGGCGAGGTCTAGATAGCGCGATTCAGTACTGGATAGGATGGCAGTTATTTTTGGCATTTTTAGCACGTTTTTCAATTTGAAATACTTTTGAACCTCCACTGCAATAAAAGACTCTTATCTCTATATCTAAACATACACACTAAAGTATTTACTTTAGTAAATATTTATAATGGCTTTATAAAGGCTTAGGCTATTTAATTAATAATATATTCTTTCTGAGCCTACCTTTCAACTCTATATGCCAACATTGTTATTGATTAAAGGCTTAATTTCCTCTGCTTTTTTAGACCCCACAGAATACTCACCAGCTAAATTAAAAGATATATAGTTTATTAGAATAATCTTGATATAAAAATTTTTTTCCAATAGTCTTATTATTTTTATTTAATATCCCTTATAGGTGAATAGTACGAATTGAGTATAGTAGCGAAGGGTGTATCCAAGTAACTTATAGTAGATTGAGCGTGAGGTAAGGAATGACTAGATACATGGCAATAAGCGTCCTCATATAGCTTCCCCCAACATATCACTGTAATCCTCCTGCTCTGCTATCTGAGCATACCAGCATATCACTCCCGCTATGCTGCTCTGTTGGGCATATCAACATATCACTTCTGCTATGTTGCTATGTTACGTCACGTGAGCCACACAGCCGTCTCTTCACGTGATTTGCCCTGTGACACTAGTCGTTCATTCATAGGCTGTCGTTCTCCGTTGGAGTGCCTCCTCATGCATGTTCCGTAACATTGCGGAGTTCAGCTCCCTAAGTGCCAAATGCACGTGATCTTATGTGGCCTAAGGCTGCTGCGTTCGCGGCCTTATAATGGATTAGTAATCAATATACGGAATCTAACTATTTAATGTGATCGGTAAGCGAGCTGCGCACCATCTGACCGTGGTCTAGAAGTATATATTTTTACATCCCAGAAGTATATATGGTATAAAAAACTAGTTATTATGATTATTAGGACATTGCAACTTTTATGCTTAATAATATAATAATTACTGCACTGTGGTGGTGCTTATATATATTATTTAATTACAGCTGATGCTAGTTCAGTAAATTATGCATTTTGAGCTTTTCAAATCTTATTCTCATTGTTATAGAAGCTATTATTTTTTTTTTAATAGATAGATCTTCTGTAGTAGCTATCTATTACTTAGATTATTTATTTTTTTAAAGCTGTTTCTTGTGTGCAGTATATAAATTATAGAGTTTTTTCTTAAAAAGAATAGTTTTATTTTAATATTATCTTAAAATTTTATATGCTTTATATCTTATTTTCTTTAATTGTGTCTTAGCAAGAGCTAAAAAAGTTTTTATATATAATTTTAAAAAAGCCCTTTATAACCTTAGATATGTACTTTTATATTAATAAAGGTTATAAGGTATTTTAATATTAGATTATTGATTAGCTGCTTAATAGTGTAAATATTTCAAATTATATATTAAGCTGCAAAAGGTGTTTTAAATTAAATAAAGTCAAATTAATTACCGTAAAGCTATTGCAAATAATTTTTAATGTGAATATATTTATATAGATAGGTATAAGAATATACCTCTAAAAATTAAACTTAATTAAATGATTAAAACTGAAATATATTTTATTTTTAATTAACTTCCTATATGTCCATTTCAATAGAGAGAAATAGCAAACATTCAAAGACTACAATAAATATAAAGACATGCAGATTGGCATAATATTATTTTAATGATATATATTATTGAATTTAATATTTAGATAACTTTTATAATTATTTAGAATAAGTAGAGGCAATATATTTAATTATGCAAGCCTTATTAAAATCATGATTTTTAAAGTTAATAGATGCTTATTTTATTATTTGTTTATTTATTATTATTATTACTGGATTTTAATACTTTAAATATATATTAAAGTTTTATCCTAATCCTATCTTTCTATATAGACCTTCCTCTTAAAGATATATTTACTAAGGTGGAAGCACCTATCCAGTAAAATTAATATATTTATTGTAGTCTATTCTTAATCGTTTAATTACAAGAAAAAGCTTATTAATTATTTAATTTTAATATAATTATTTTAGCAATAGCTACTAGGCTTAGCGTAAAATTAATTCTATTAAAATTATAAATATTTTCTTATAACTATGCCTCTATGCTTTATAATAATAATTTTAAGGTCATCATATTTAGCTTGCTGATAATTATATCATTAAGAATATCATATTTTGAGCTTATCACATTATTTAAATAAAACCGTATATCCAGTTCTCATTGATAATTAAAATGATACTTAAACCTCAATTTAACAATAAGATATTAGCTCTTTCTCAAACATAAGATAGTTAAGGGGCTATTTTATATTAATTTAAAGAAAGGATCTAATACACAAAGGATTCCTTTTTATTTAAAATCAGGCCATAATTATCTATATATAGCTTAACTTAATAAGTAGCTCTATACAGTTACATATATAAAATTAATTCAAGTATATTATAATAATGTGCTGCTTGCTGTACAAATAAGACCTTTTCTTTGTTAATAATAGGAATGAATGGCCAACAAGATTTTCCCTTCTGCTCACCTAAAATTTTTTTTTGGAATTCTAGGAGCTTTTGGAGGCATGGTGGGTGGTTGAAATGCCTCAAGTTTATGGGCATGACCAAAACGCATGGGGTGCGCAGCTTGCTTACTGATTACGCTACTTATAATGTATCCGGTAAGCGAGCAGCCACCTCTCTGCGTTTTGACCGTGGTCAAAAACCTCACTCATTTCAACCACCAACCATGCCTCCAAAAGTATATCAAATTTCAAAATATTTAATAGAGCAGAAAGGAAAAGGTCTTACTTACTATATCTATTTTTAAAAAGTAAGAAATCTGCAATATTGCAGAAGCAGCATATATTTATAGTATTCTGTATATAATATTTTAAAAATAACTAAATAACTATATTTTTTAACCACAAAAATATGCTAACAATTATAAGATGACTTAAAATAAAGAAGAATCACTTATATAATGAATTCTCTCACTGGATTGACATAGAGTGCTTTTTTAATCTTTATATATATAAAAAATAAACTAATATTTTATTTACTTAATATAATATTATACTAATTTAATCTATTAAAGAGAAATAGATATACAACTTTATTAATTGACAAGATCAGTTAAAAACACACTTCTCAAGATAATATGATTATTGATATGCTAAATATGAAGATCTTAAAATTATTAAAAAGTGATTTAATCATGTATAAATTATTATAATATAGTATAAGATCACACAGGAGGATATCTATAATTTTAATAAAATTAATTTTATTTTAAGTCTAATAGCTACTGCATAAGTAATTATTAAAATTAATTATTATAAGAAAGCCTCTTTTATATAGCTAGATAATTATAAATAAATTATTTTAATTAAATATATTAATTTTACTAATTAGGCACTTCCCCCTACATTATCTTTAAGAGGAAGATCTATATAGAGGGTTAATATTAAGATTTTAAGTTTTTATATAATAATAAGATTGAAGTTAGTCCTAATAAATAGACTACTAATAAGATAAGCTTTTATTAGCTTAAAAATCTCTTTATTTTTATTATTTCTAATTATATAATTAAGAAATATTATTTTCTAATTCTTAATAGTTATAGCAGCCATCTTATATCTTAATTTAATTAAATATATAATAAAAATAATAATATTTTTATCTATATATCTGTATATTCTTCCCACAAGCTTTAACCTCTGGATATAGGCTGCTTTTCACCTTTAAAAAAGGTATATAAGAGCTTAGTGGAGCAGAAAATATACTTAAGAATTAATTACATTAATATAATAAACTTAATTTCCTAAAGACTTTTTCATAAGTTTATAAAAGTGTTTTTTAAGCAGAAATTATTTAAAATAGCTTTATAAGTGCTGGCCTAATTTTATTTAATCTAGATAAGGTGCTCAGTTAATTGGATATTTAGCTAAAGATCCTTATATTATCAGGCAGTCAATCAACTGATTTAGCACTTAAAATATCTTATATTATTAGATAGCTAGAAAAGTAGGCATCTACAATAAGAAAATTACTTAAAAAATATATTTAAAATTCTTTAGTTTTGCTAGAAATATACTTAGACAAGTTTATTAAAAGTCATAAATTAGCTTTAAATAAGCTGATGATTACATAGGAAGAAGTACACAAATTTATATTAATAATAAATAGAAAGGCTAAAAACAGAAGTAATCTAATAAGCAGCTAGCTATTATAGAAAAGCCAGCTATTTAAGAAGACCTAAAGCAATTTCAGCATAAGAATGAGGTCTATGAAGCTCAAGATGCACTTTATATAGATCCAGCACTTTCTATAATTAGGCCATATGTATAAGCACCCCCACAGTGTTCTAATTGTCATGTCCAGGGACATACTAAAGTTAGATGTCCTAAACCACCTAATAATTAGTTTTTATATAGAAAAGCAATTGTTTTGTTGATATAGACCCTAGAATCTCACCTAGAGGTGGGATTGGAGTGGAGGTGGCTGCTTGTTTACAGTGGCCGCTTGCTTACCAGATACATTATATCCTATTAATAAGCTCTTCAGTAGCTGTGAAATAGTTGGGAATACTATAAGAAATTGCCCTAGTAAATAGTTATTATTTCGCATATTTAGGCAAATTTCATGGCATTGGTGGTCAAAAAGCTCCAAATTACTCAAGAACGCATGAAAAACTGCCAGCTCGGTGGTTGATTACATTATTTGTCAAAAGATAAGCATACAGTGACCTAGCAAAAATATTTGATCACCCTCAAAACACACTAGTAATAGCGCTTCCTAATTAGGAATACATGACGCAATCCCTAGTTCAAAATAACACGTCCAACAAAACTATTGAATTCATTTCTCTTCCACCCTACCTCATTCATTCAATATGCCTCATTCAAAAGAATTAACTCCTAATATGCCGGCTAGGCTTTATGAGATTAAGGATATTGGCTGGAGCTACTGCAAAATTCACTCAAGATATCCAGATATTCCTTATTCAACTATTACTATACTATTTCAAAGGAATCTCAAAGACATAATCATATTACTCTTCTAAGATCTGGCAGGCTAAAGATTATTTCTCCTGGGGAAAAAAGCAATGTCCTCTTAATCTTGTTAAAGAAGATCCATATATTATGATATGGAAAAGGTCACGTGGTATGGCGGCTTGGCTCCCTCTCTAACCCCTGAGAATCCGGGCCCCTGATTATATGTAGAGAGAGCAAGAGAGCAAGAGAGAGATAGAACAGAATGGCATCCGTTCCTTAGTAGGCTACGTACGTGTAGTCGATACAGCTTCATTCTGCCCTTCTTCCCTGAGTTACATGCATATTCCACAACATATTAAAATGAGGGAACTTTCTCAGGCTGTTCAAAGCCATCCTTCCATTGATACAGTTCACCACCTATTTAGAACCTTACATATGCGCAAATGGAAGCAGTGTAAGAGACTAGAAATCCAGTCAGAAAATGCTGAAAAGAGGCTAAATTGGGCTAGAACATATGCCAATTATTTATCTGAGGATTTTAAAAGAGTTATATGGTCTTATGAGTGCTCAGTTGAGAGAGGAATTGGTGCCCACCTTATTTGGACTTTTAATAGTCTAGCCCAACAAATCATTTAAAGAGATATCCATGCTATTAGGTGTGGAAAAGGGGTAAAACATCTAGATGTTTTGGGCAGCCTTTGGCTTTGATAGGAGGACTGGTCTTCTACCTTTGGATGGTGATCCTGAATCAGCCCATGGAGGTGTTACAGCTTGGGTTATTCATGGTGTTTATGAGACTTTTCTTCCAGAGTTTCTTCACAATGGTGATATCTTTATGCATGGTGGTGCCTCAGTGCACAGGGCTTATATTATCAGGGATTTGCTTGCTGAAATGGGCGTTGAGGTTATGGAATGGCCACCATATTCTCCAGATCTTAATCCAATTGAGAATTTTTGGGCATTGATGAAAGCAAAAATCTATGAGAAATATACTGAATTGGAAAGAGCACTAGATACAGAGGAGACTCTCAAAGCTCTTATTGAGGCAGCTAAGGAGGCATGGCATGCTATTGATCAAAGAGTGTTGGAAAATCTATTCTTGTCTATGCCTCACCGTGCACAGGCAATCCTGGCTGCGGATGGATGGTATACTGGTTACTAGTGATCAGCATCATGTATTTCTTATCAGGAAAAAATATTACTAGCGTGTTTTGGGGGTGATCAAATATTTTTGCTAGGTCACTGTAGTTAAACACCCTCTAGAAACTTTATACATAAACATTATGAAACATCCTGAGAGGTCAGATAAAACAACACGCAAATAAAATCAAAAAGCCCAGCTTCCTTTTCGCTCACAGACACCCCAGGATTCAATATTCCCGTTCTCAGGTGATTTTGGTCGCCTTCTGGCCCAGTCATGAATGTAAAGGCGCAAAGCGACCCAACGCATACAGGGAACCCCTTTATCTAAGTCTTCACATCCCGTGGCTCCCCCAGCCACTGTAATGTAGCCCTTGGGACCTGTCCGGACATCGTCTCGCCTAAGGTCTTCCAGTGGAATACCAGAGGTCTTGCTGAGCTCGTAGTCGTAATAGCGAGCAACACAGGGATAGCCAAGAGAGAGATAGTTATATATCTGGGTAACAAATCCATCATGGAACTCGCTATCGATGTCATCTGGAGAACCAAGCTCGCTTTCACCATCCATCGGATGAGGTTCTCCGTACAGGTGAGCTGAAACCGGATGGGTCACATACTTAACTCCATCCATAGGGTTCACGCCCACCCTGGAGTCTCTTTCAATATCACCATTCCGATCTACTGTCGCCATGAATGCGTCCTCCCGGGACGGTGGCTGCTCGCATTTTGCTAGCCTGCGGCATGTCCCCATCCAGAGGCCACTGCAGTTACTATCAGCGTGGGTTTCTGCGGACCATAACCATCTGCAGTGGGCACCCTCCTGCATTCGTTGGCTCTGAAAAGTGGTGTTATCATTTTCATGAAGGGTGTCACCGGGTGATAAACTTTGAGGGAAAACCAGGTCACCCCCCAGCATAGGCGGACTTGCGGCACACTTCATTTGCGTCAAGCCGTTTTCTCTTCGCCATCGACTTATGGAGTCGGAAGGCATTGGCTCACGGGCAGAGACCTTGGACGGATGGAGCGATGCCGTAGTTCCAATCACGGCTTGTTGCTTCCTCTCAGCCTCCTCTTTATGCCGGCGCATATACTCAAGCTCCCATGGAAGATTCGCAGAAGAACCACGTCGGGATGAAGGAGGCTTATCCCCACCCCCACGGCCGGGGAGATATTCTTCACTGGAATCTTCATCTTCCCTGTCGATGGCGAAATGCGCTACTGACTGATACACCTGCTCATTTGGAAAAGCTGCCAATGCCTGTTCTTTCAACTGTTTCTCTGCAGACTGTGCTGCTAGGGAGAGTAAGAAGCCTGAAAACTTCTCGTCGCAGCTGACTCGATACCAATTCCTGGTCTTTTGGCGTTTTGTACATTCATCGGACGACGCAGATGCTGAAGTAGATGGCGATGGAGCTTTTGAACCACCGGATCCTTCGCTACTACTGGAAGGGATTGCAGGGAGATCCAGGACCCTGAAAGAATGCCTTCGGCTTTCTTGACGTCGCAAAAGGCTCGAGTAAGAGAACCGGGATTCCGGAGCCGCATGGGCATGAGAAGTCATGGAATCAATTGAGTTTGCGCGGTGGGGAGTTTGAATTGAGTGTCCTAAAGGAGACCCTCCCAAATGACCATCATACGAAAAATTCGTCGTCTGTCGTCTGCGAAATGAGCGTGATGCTGTCTCTATGAGCTGAGGAGCGAATTTCCTAGGCCCAGCTGGGGAGCGACTGTCAGATGGGGCCGAGCCATCTTCTCTGGGAGATCTTGGTTCAGACCTCGCGCGTCGACTAGTTACTTTCGACGTCTCTACCAGTTCTGGGCGGAACCTCCTCAATTGCTTCCGTCCAAGCCCTGGTCGTTTTGTCTCGTCCGAAGCTTTGATGTGACTATTATCAGAAACTGAATCAGGCCGTTCGGACAGAAGGCCCAATGTGGCCGTACTGCTTTCAAGAGATTCCCTTCGCAAATATGGTAGTGTGCTTTCGCATTCTTGATGGATCATGGTTCTCTCATTGCTCGGTTCCTTGATATCCGTCGTGTATGAACCTAATCTGCTGTCTTTCGAACTTCGCGAATACGTTTCGATAGGTTGAACTATGAACTTCCTCCGCCTCTTAGGTGCGGCCTCGGTGGGCTGAGGCATTTGTGTGGATGAGATTGTAGAGGAGGGCCCTGAATCCAGGGCATCCGAATCTGACGAGTATCCTTGGGATTGTCGCCGTTGGAGTGACATGTTTGATCCAATGCATTGACTGTGATCATTTTCTGAGAGACATTCTTGGGGATGCAAACTGCCTCTCAAGTATGTGCAGAGGTAGAGGATTATTTGACCTGTATGCTAGTTACCCGAATGTCATATGTATGCTCCAGGTGACAACTTCATGTAAAGTGTCTTCGAGTCATAATACATCAGGGAACCAACCATCTAACTTAACTAGCTAGTGTCGATATACAGGGGATCAGCCAATGGATATCATGATAATCAAGCGGCTTTGTGGGCTGACTACACCATGTAGTAGGTAACTATTACTATTGTTACTCTAGTATGGTGGGTGATAGTAACCATATATAATGGCGGTGTTGTATTGGTGACCCCACACAGCCATCTTGATGGGTAATCGGCTGTTATATGGTCACATGATCCCAGCAAAACATGTTGGCCAAAAGGAAAATGCCATGATATAAGCCTTTGACCAGATCTGAGCCTAGACCTGTTGATCTAATCCAGTCACAGGCCTTGGTGATGGATACTGTGGAGGGGAATTAGAGTCTATCTGTGGTTATTTTTAGCCTAGTGGTATTTAACATGGTGATATCAATCACACTGCCAGCCCGGAGGCCCTGTTGTGCCTGTTAGGACCACATGTGACCCATAAGGAAGATACCTCCAACTTCTGTTTGTTGTAGCTCTTCAGGCTATATCTTGTCTATCTACCTGTATATAGCCTGATCAACTACAGCCTAAGCCATCTATTCCCTTTGTCTACCCGAACTTCTCCACTTTCTGTCTTCGTGACCCCCTACTATATACCCTTTTATGCCACGGTGCGACCTAAGCAAAGGACTGAGCCAGAGAGGCTGCACACTGTTCTCTTGTATATATACCAGGCAGGACAGCAATAAAGGATATTATTAGATCTATTTTCGATTTTTTAGATGCTTATCTATATAACTTAGATTTATTGGGTTCCTGGACATTAAGGGATATATGCGAATAGGAAAGCTCATGAAGCAGCTAAGTATGGAGCTAATTAGCTAGATCTTATTTTTAAATCCCCTATCGTATATACCTAAAAGCCAGGACTCTAAAAAAAAGCAGCATGAATAGATCTTAGCTAAAGCTAGGTCTAGCAGAAATCATTACTAGTTTAATAACTAGTCCAAATAGAAGGCTTAACTCTCTAAAGCTTCCTGTCACGACGCTCAGATATAGAAAGAATAGAGGATGCTATTTAGCTATCTAGGCAGCTATTTGATGAGAGTATCAAACACGGAGAAGAAAGGAAGATCAGTACAATAGTCAGAAAGTATCTCCTTCGTGGAACACATGATATAACCGAATGGCCACATGTCCAGAGTCATGAGAATTCTCATAAATTTAATCTTTATCCAGCTAGAATTACAGTATAGATATTTTAGATCTTATTTAACTTCAAGTTTCCAAGCGTGGTTGAAATCAGTGGAGTGGCCAGACTACCCAAGAATTACATTGTCTTTAAGATAATTCCTATCAAAGTAATTCATCCTTTATCTATTGAATTTTTTGCTAGCCTTATAACCCAGTAAAACTTTATCATAAATAAATTTTGATAATGTTTACTTCTTTTTATGATTTAATTTATTATTATTTACTCATTCTTAGGCTAGTCCAGTAATCTTATAAAATTAAAAAATATTAATATTTCATTATAGAGGTAAAGCCTATTTAATAAAATTAATATAATCAATATCTTTTATTTTTAAATTATAAATAAATTTAAGTTGATATAATGCCTATTTAAAATTAGTCTCATCTGTACTATAAACGTTTTTATTTAGGATATTATATTTCTATTAAATACTAACCTTAAATAAACTTTTGAATTTTCGCTTATTTCTTATTAGGGAAGGCAGTAGACGATAAGATAATTATATAAATAATAATAGTCTTATTGAATATTAGAAGGTTACAATACAAGTCTTGGATGTAGGGTAGGCTATATTAATATATAATATAATCAACGATCTATACTGAAGGGAGTGGATTCTTTGGTAATGATAGTTTTCTACAATTTGCTATAATATCTGCATAGGCAGAGATCCTTTTAGCTTTTTGAGGAACTGTATAAATTAATATCAAATACAGGTTCAGCTCTCGGGTTTGATAGATATTAACCCTTTTTAAATGTAGCAAAGGCTAAGATAATCCATGGATCCTTCGGGGATTTTACCTTCCATTGATAACAATGTAGGTGATAAGAGGTAGTTAATTGAAATAGTTGTGGTGCCTGTAGCGAAAAAGGGTATCTCTTGGTGTCCAGAATCTCTCAATTTCCAATTATGTTAATAAAAGTAGACCCTATATTATTTAATTATAAGGCGCCTGCCTGTCTATCCTACCTGATATGAGAGAGCAGTGTAGAGCTTCTGGCTCTATATCCTATAGGGTCTTTCACTTAGTGTGGTAACTAGCTTCTGGATACTCCCAGAAGTCGCACTGTGGCATTTATCTTAATACTTAGATAACAGGATTCTACCATCTTTGTAAATTAACTTGTTGTTGGAAAAGACATATATCCTTTAAGAAAGAATTATTTTAAATTTTAGCTTTATCTAATTTTATAATTTAATAAGTAGTATAAGGCTACTAAGAATCTCATACTTATTATCTAAATTTTAAGCATAGGAGTTTTAGATGGCTAAAAAAAATTAAATATAAATATACAAGTCTCATTTAATATCCTATTAGATTAATACATTTAATAAATGATAAGTTTATTGTTTATTTTAGATTAAGCTCATTCTTTAGGCTCAGGAAATATAATATATGTCTATCGTATCTCTTAGTTTTCAAGACTATAGTGGAGGCTGTTACGGACATCACCAGGACGGTTACACGACAGCCTATGGATAAGGCAAGGATACACGCAAGATGAGGCGTTAGCTGAATAGAGAGGAAATACAGGCTGAGGAATCTATCTCTAGGCCTCACCAGCGTGCTCCACAACGCTGTAGTGGCTGTGGGACCATTGGTTATACAATAAGGAATTGTCCTACTAAATTCCAACCTGCTCGATCCTCTAGATAGTGTAATTTAATGGTGTTGGTGGTTGAAAAAGCATTAATTCTGATGGGCGGTGGATTCGGTGGGAAAGTGAGCGGCTCGGTGGTGGATTACGTTAATAAATTATTTTATATAAAGATATCTTCTGAACAGATAAATTCAGAAAGAAAACTATAAATAAAATCTTAATGATAAATTAATTAATACACCCAGAAAGAGCTTTAAGACTATTATTTAAAAAAATTAAATTAATTCTCTTATCCTCTTTAAAGATAGCCTAAAATAACCTTCTTATATCTTTGCTATAAGGCTTTTTATAGATATTATAAACTTTAATTAATTTAATAATTAAATAAAAGTCTAAGTAGCTCTCGCTTAAGTTTTATATTTAATTAATCATTTATCCGACTAATAAACTCTAATCTAATCTTTAGATGTAAAATACTTATATTTTTATTTATTTAAGTTATTTAGCAACATAAATACGACATAAAGCTCGTTAAGAAAGCTAATATTATTTGTGAAAACCTATTTTATTAAAAAATGATATATTAATTCTTTTTTAATTTTATTATTAACCTCTATTAGATCTTATATTTTATATATAAGTTCATAGAAATAATATTATATAAATAATCTTGATCCTCTTCAGTAAGCTTATGTATGTGATTAATCAGAATAAGATAAAAATAATTATTAAGGTGCTAGTGCTCTATTTTAACAATATATTTAATTGTTAATAGTGGAATCTTTAAGTGTATATTATAAATCTATTTAACACTCTATCAATAGATAGTATAAAGCTCATAAATATAAGCACAGTAGGTTGGATCTAAGTCTTTTCTTTTTCTTTAAGGCATGGTATGGTGTTGGGCATAAGGATAGTAGTAAAACGGGTGTAGCAAAGAAAATAGGATAGGCAGTATTAAATAGAGGGGTAGTTTGGTGGAAGTGGTCAAAGAGGGGGCCAAAAACTTATTAGGTGCCACTATAGCTGCTCCTATAGCTTTTTAAATTTAGGAAGGTCCTTATTTTGTTAAGCTTTAGATCTACAAGCATTTCTTTTTCTAAGGACCCCTTTATTATAGTTAGCTATATAATTTTCCATAATTTAATAGATCCTTCTTTTAGATCCTCTTCTTAGACTTTCTGGACTAGATAAAGAATAAAAGATATTTAGTTTTAAATTGCCATTTTTATTGATTTACATCCAATAGCTTTTGACTAAATATCCCTTAATATATCTTTTAAAGATAATATAATGTAGTAGGAAAGGGTTTTCTATTTATATATTAAATAGTAGAAAAAATATATAGGTTATAATTAGATAAATTGATATGTCTTAAAAGTTTTTAAAACAAAATAATTAGCTATAGGAGGTTATATTTTAAATTTTTATAATAATATAATACCAATAGAGTTTTCACAATATTTCTTTACATCATAATATTTAGATTTTGATATTTCTAGCATTGACTATCTTAATTGTTAAAAAAGTTTCCTTTGCCTTTATTGTCCAAATAGTCCAAATAAATATTGATCCATGGGAAGTTTATAGTTATCTTCTCAATTTTGGTGTCTTCCTAGCCTCACATATTGAATATTATAATAATAGTAGTTAATTATCAAGTGATATCAATAGATTTCAATAAAAAAAATTGGAAGTTGAATGCTGGTAGTGAGGTCCAATAGGGTCAATTAAACACTAAGCATTTGCTTGATTGACGGTCTCAGTCATATTTAATAGACAATACAGTATCTAACAGGATTGATTTAATCAGAGCACGTTTTGTTTGCCGAGAAATTTAAATCCTGATTTCATTAAGCATTTATCATACGTTGTTGACTACGCCTGCTATATTATATTTTTAAAGTGGTCAAACGACTATCTGATAATCTTTGGATTTTTATATTTAGCCCTTTAATAGTTGTGTCTTCACATGTATAATGAATTTCATAAATTAGATAACCTAATTCTTCCTAACTGATTGCTGTACGGGTGAGGTATTTAAAGGAAAAGATTTCTTATTTCTACTATATATATTGATTTAGGAGTAACTCCCCGTATATCTTTGGATATAATCTAGTCTATTAAGGCCTCCTAAGTCTAATATAACTAGAGGGTAGAATTCTATTAGCAATCTCCACTATAGAAAGCAAGCAAATTACCTAAATTGCTAAAGCTGCATAGGCTATAATGTACCATATTTAACTTTATATGATTAACTTTATGGCAGGAAATATTGTAATGAAACATATATTAATACCATAAATTATCTTAAAATAAAGAAGAATTGCTTATATAATGGATTCTATTATTAGATTAATACAGAGCACCTCTCAAGCTATTAAATATATAAAAAATGGCTAATATTCTTCTTGCTGGCCATAGTACTACATCTATTTAATTAGTTAAAGTGAACTGGATTACTAACTTTGTTAAATATTATCTTAAAGTGAAATCCTGCTTTTCTTAATGATATGATTATCAACATGCTAAATATAAAGTCTTTACCTTAAAATTATCAAAAAATAATTTAACCATATATAAATCACTATAATATAGTATAGGATTGTATTAAAAGATATCTATAATTTTAATAAAACTAATTTTATTTAAAATTAATTATTATAGAAAGGTATATCTTATACAGCCAGATAATTAGGAATAGGTTATTTTAATTAAGTTTATTAATTCTACTAGTTAAGCACTTCATCCATGCATTATCTTTAAAAGAAAGGGTTTATATAGAGTGTTAATATCAAGATCTAATATTCTTATTAAATAATAGATTAAAATTAGTCCTAATAAATAAATTATTATTAATAAGATAAGCTTTTATTAATTTAAAAATCTTCTTATTTCTACTATTACTAGCTATATAATTGTGAAATATTATCTTCTAATTATAAATAGCTATGGCAGCTATCTCATATCTTAATTTAATTAAATATATAATAAGAATAATATTATTCTTATTATATATTTATATATTCTTCCAATAATCTCTAGTCTTTAGATGTAGGCTATTTCTAATCTTTAAAAAGTATGTACAGTGAGTTAGTGCAACAGAAAATATATTTAGATATTAATTATATTAATAAGCTTAATTTCTTAGATATCTTTCTAAAGACTTATAAAAGTGCTTTTAAGTAAAAATATTTAGAGTAGCTTTATAGCTACTAATCTAGTCTTATTTAATTTAGATAAGGTGCTTAGCAAGTTAGATATCTAATTAAAGACTCTTATATTATTAGGTAGTCACTTAACTAATTTAGTATTTTCAAATCACCTTATATTGTTAGATAGCTAGAGAAGCAAGTATCTATGGTAAAAAAATTACTTAAAAAATATATTTAAAGTTTTTTATCTTTGCTAGAAGCACAATTAGATAAGATTATTAAAAATCATAAATTAACTCTTAATAAGTTTGTTTTTACAAAGAAAGAAATACACAAACATCACATTAATAATAAATGGGAAGGCCAAAATATAAGAAATCTAATAGACAACTAGCTATTGCAGAGGACTTATATCTCTAAAAAGGCCTAGAGCAATTTCAGTATAAGAATAAGGTTCAGGAAGCTCAAGATACTATCTCTATAGTTCAACACTTTCTTTAGTTAGGTTATATGTATAAGCGCTTACCATTGCAGTGTTCTAATTATTATATTCAGAGATATATTGGAGTTAGATATCCTAAACCACTTGGTAATTAATTTTTATATAGAAATGTGATTGTTTGGTTGATAAGGCCTTTAGTATTTAGCCCATGGACAGGAGTTGGAGCAGAAGTGGCGACTCACTGGTGAAATACGTTATCAGTAATGATATAATAACTTTTATTACTAGTTCTAGATCTTTAGCATAAATTTATCAATGACTTTAGAAGGTGCCTAAATAGTTATTTAAAAAATAGCTCGATTTATTAAAATTAAAAAATATTCAAATGTTAAAAAGACATAGTTTAAGTTATGAAATAAGTCTATATAGCTTATATTAATTCACAATTAGTTATGATATCTTTATATAATCATAAAAACGAAATTATCTCTACTTATATTAAATTTAGGAAGATATGTAGATGTAGAACCTTATATGCTTAAGATCATGTCTTTTAAAGTTATATTATAATAATTAAGGCTAGATTGCCTACTACCTTCACACTAAATCCAGTGATATTTGAACTGGGTTAACTAGGGGCCTAATTAGATTAAATTAGATAGGTGACTTACTTCAGCCCCTAGTTTATTAGGCTCTAGATTCCTTTGGTGAAGAAGATGAATGGGCATCTGAAAAATACTTATCTTAATTAGGTTATTAGACTTCTATTACTGTCTATCTTAGAAATCATAGGAATAACTAGATACATCTATTACTAGGCCTCTGTTACTCCGTGGGATCCTTTGTACCTCTGTATCGTTAGCTTGGGCTTCTGGTTGGCTTGACTTGGCTTCTCTGGAACCAGCGACAATGCTGTTGTATCATAAAGGCTCTGTGCCACTCTATGAAGAAAGGTTCTTAAAGAAATAGAAGAAAGCAAGGCTCCCTCAGTATATATACCTTAGGATTATAGAAGTATGATGAATAAAGATCTCCAAGTTGATACTTCAGTAATTTATTGTTCTTGAACATGAAGAGAGAAAGATCAAACTAGATATCTATATGGTAGTTGTTACGGACCTTACTAGGATGGTTACACGACAGCCTATCGATACTGCAAGGATATGCAAGGATATGCAAGGGATGAGGCGTTAGGCTGACATTGTATGTCACGTGGTCTAACAGGTCCATGGGGATGACGGGGAGGTTATATAAGGTCTGTCATTTACCACCATATATCTAGTTTGATCTTTCTCTCTTCATGTTCAAGAACAATAAATTACTGAAGTATCAACTTGGAAATTGATATGGAAAATGTCACGTGGTATGGCGGCTTGGCTCCGTCTCCAACCCCTAAGAATCCGAGCCCCTGAATATATCTAGAGAAAGAGGTAATCGATGGCATCCGTTCCCTTAGTAGGCTACATACGTGTAGTCGATATAGCTTCATTCTGACCTTCTTCCCTGAGCTACATATTCCACAACAGAAATCTATATTTACCAGAACCTCACTATCCTAAGATGTACATACCAAGGAAGCCTTACTTTCTTCTAGCTTTCCTAATATATTTTAGAGTTATCATTAATTACTATTGTATAAAGCTTATACAATATGACAATGTTGTCACCAGTTCCAGAAAGATTAGGTAAGTTAAGCTAACTGGAAGCCTAAGCTAATAATACAAAGATATAAAGGATCTTAAGGTGTAACACATTAAATGCTGTCAGCACAAATACAGTTGATGGTGATGATGACTTCCATTTTAGAGACCATTTTTCAGTCTAAGACTATGCATGGTCTACCCCCTTTTGAAGGAGGATTTGGTCAGCTAGCTAAGGACATAAATAGGCTTTGCCATATAGGAGTCAGATAACAGGGGTCACAGAGACAGTAGAATAAAGATAAATAATATGAGATAAAGATAAGAATAGAGTGGAGGGATATTTTGTAGATAGTAAAAGGTAGTATAAAAAATAAGATGATAAAAAGAAATATGTAGACAAATATGACTGATGATAAAGTATAGTGAAATAAGGAGAGGAATATATATAGAGATAGGAAATGTAGGGATAAAGAAAGTGATATAAGCAATATAATATATCAGACCTAACTCCTTCTAGAAAAGTAAAAAAAATTTTTTTTATTTATCTAAAAGCCACCGTCTAGTAGCAATCTTTATAGCATCTAAAAAAGCTAGAAGTGCTTCTTACCCTATCTTAATAATAAAAAGATAAAATAGGGATCTATCCCTAGAAAAAAACTGATTTATGATATTATCTTTTTCTTGATTATAGGCTAAGCAGCCTAAGATCCTTTAAATATTAATTGTATGCTTAAGAGAGCATTAGTTACTAGAGTGATAATTAAAAAAAATTGATTAATATATAGACTTCACATTTCTTAATAAGGATATCTAAGGAAAGGTTTTAATATATTTTTAGGTTTATTTCAATAAGGGAATTGCCTATTTTATATAATCTTCTATTAGATAGAGCTTTAATATCTTGTAAAAATTAAAAGATAGCATAGGATAATTGGATAAGATATATCTGCCTAAACTATACTTTTAACAGGCAGATAAAAGATAGGCTAATCATTATAAATAAAAAACATTAAAACATATCACTGCTAGCTTCAATAAATTATTAGATAATTTAATAAGTGGTGTATTCCTTTAATTAAGTACAACTATAAACCATTGCCCCTACCAGTCATACTGATTTTTAACCATAACAACATGGAAATTGAAGCCAAAGAGAATCAGATTCAGCTGGCACTAGATGCCTACAAAAGGATCAGTTTAAAATAAAAAGCAGCAGCTTTGGCCTTTAATATCCCTTTAAGAACTCTCAGCTGGAAATTAAATATTATATATAGTCTGAAAAAAAAAGCCAATTATCAGAAACTGAAGAAGCTATTTTTTTCAGAATAGATCAGAGATATATATTAATGTAGACCAGTTATTAGCTATCTGCTACTTAGTCTAGCTTTTATTTCTAATGTTTACCTTCTCAGCCAATTATTATTAAAACATATTAACTGCTATATTTAATTCTATAAAAAACAAGTCAAAATATACCGAGAAATATGATTATCAGTATGTCAAATGTGACTGTAATAGCCAATATAAAACTAAATTAAATTTATTTTTAGTAATTACCATCTGTTAAAAGATTATATCTAGAACCTTCTAGAATAACCTAAGCCCAGTCATTTCCAGAAGTTTCCACAAGATTCTATTCCAAAATCTTATAGAACCTTCCATTCATTTTATATCTGATATTCCAGCGTGTTCATGAAGGCTAGGCTTATCTATAAACAAGCCTGTCCTCCCCCATATATCCAACATTCTAAAAACATCATTAAGAAGATCAATAACTAAACAACAATATAAATTAGGATCTCAGGGTTGTTCTATTTCCAATACAAACATATAGGAATAGAAACTGCCTAAGAACACCCTAAGAGAGGTCCAAGAACCTTTCCAACAAAAGTTATCTTCCAACCTCTTCACAAATTTTAATGAAGGGTTAGCCCTTATTACTAAAACTGGGTTATTATTTAATCTCCACCTTAAATTAAGATAGACTGCCTGATGGATGAAGAACTATAAAGATTCCTAAATATTAATAAAAATAACAGCTCGCATGGCTTAGTTGGTAAAGCGCGTGACTAGTAATCACGAGATCCTCGGTTCGAATCCGAGTGCGAGCAATTTGACTTGTCTTTTTTTTTTTATATAAACAATTTTTTTTTGCATTCTTACTTCACTTCAATTAAGCCATGACAATGATAGCCAGCAACACATCTAGAAAATCTACTGCAGAGGATATACGCCACCCTTCACTATACTGGGGGAACCCTGAAAAGTCTAGGCGTTTCGTTTTGTTGGCTCTTCAGTATTTATTTTTCTTGGGCTCAGGCACTGGATGGAGCTGACATAAATAGAATACTTAGCCCACAGAGTCAGATAGTCATACAAGATTTTAAACAGTGGTAATTTCTGGTGTTTAATTCTTTGTTCTGGTCATCATATTGCGTGTAGTGGCACTAATTTTATTTTCATCTTAGAGATAATCAGTATTCTATCTAATAGTGATATAATCATTTATATTAAACATATTAGGAACCTCTATTCTTAATTTGTGGCTTATTAATATTGGCAATAAGCAAGCACTAAAGAAAGATATTATTAAATAGACAATGACAAGAGCTCTTACTACAACTATCTTATCTAAATTTATTATCTTTTTTGATATTTAGGTCACATTAGCAAGACTGATGATATCTTTATATTGAACTAAATTAGAGTCAGTTAAATAATTTGAAGACTAGGACTTTAAACTCTTGAATAATCCCACCAAAGAGAACTTTTCTAAAAAATAGTAAACTTAACTATTATGAAGTATAGTTTTATTATAACTAGGCTAGATTAGTATTAGATTCAGTAGAAGTTTTTAAATTTAATTTAAATTTTGATTTAGAATCACTTATTTTTCCATACTATTTATGAGATAGTGGAGAATCCCTTTCTCACCATATTATACATACTATCTTCAAAGGTATATCAAAACATATTTAGTCAAGAACCATTATTAAATGTAGATTAGCGTATATCTCCTAATCGTTAGAAAGTCCAAAAAGAAGATTTAAAAAAGGAATCTGTTAAATTGCAACGGATTATCTAGCTAATTACTAATAACAATATTCTCAAAATAAGATATACCTCTAGATCTAAAATTTATAGCCTAAAGACCTTATTATTATTGTTAAATCGAAGGAATTATAGAGCAATCCAAAAACTATTTAAAAGTTTGCTTGCTTTTACCTTCTATTAGAAATATTATGAAGATTTCTTATCTCAAAGAAATAAATATTTTCAGAATATTAAAATAACTGAAACTGATCATTAACTTTTTTAGAAAATTTTTAAGATAAAGAGATCTTTAAGGCCTTTTTAATTAATTAATTAATATTAAGCAAGTATAGGCTCAAAGACTCTCTTTATATATTTAATAAATATATAAAAGATTATTGTGCTAAAAGTGTATTTATTTAACTAAGCTCCCAAGGTCTAAGCTTTTATATTAATAATTAATTAAATAAGAGATAATGTTTAAAAATCTATTATAGATTCTATCATATCTTTAGTTCATGATATTAAACTAGAGAAAGAAAGAAGAAGCTTATCACTGTCTTATTTGTTAATATAACATATCTGGTAAGTAAGCAAGCGGCCACCTCCGCTCCAATCCCACCTCTAGGTGAGATTCTAGGGTCTATATCAACAAAACAATTGCATTTCTATATAAAAACTAATTATTAGGTGGTTTAGGACATCTAACTCTAGTATGTCCCTAAACATGACAATTGGAACATTATGGGGGGGCTTATATGTATAGCCCAACTGTAGAAAGTGCTAGATCTATATAAAATATATCTTAAGCTTTATAGACCTTATTCTTGTGCTAAAATTACTTTAGATTTTTTTAAATAATTAGCCTTTTTACAATAGCTAGCTACCTATTAGATTATTTCTATTTTTGGCTTTTCTATTTATTATCAATATAAAATTTGTATATTTCTTCCTGTGTAATTATCAGCTTATTTAAAGCTAATTTATGACCTTTAATAAATTTATCTAAGCATATTTCTAGCAAAGATAAAGAGCTTTAAATATATTCTTTAAGCAGCTTTCTTATTGTAGATATCTACTTTTCTAGCTATTTAGCAGTATAAGATATTTTAAGGATTAAATCTATTGATTAACTGTCTAATAATCTTTAGCTGGTTATCTAACTAAGTACCCTATCTAGATAATGGAATTAGGCCAGCACCTATAAAGCTATTTTAAATAATTTCTGCTTAAAAAGCAGCGTCCTTCCTAAGTTTGTGGAAAGACTTTTGAAAAATTAAGTTTATTAATATGATTAATTTTTAAATATGTTTTCTGCTCCACTAAGCTCCTATATACCTTTTTTAAAGGTAAAAAGCAGCTTATATCCAGAGATTAAAGCTTGTGGGAAGAATGTGTAAGTATATAGATAAAAATAATATTATTTTTACTATATATTTAATTAAATTAAGATGTAAAATAGCTATTATAGCTATTGAGAATTAAAAGATAATATTTCTTAATTATATAATTAAAAATAGCAAGAATAAAGAGATTTTTAAATTAATAAAGGCTTATCTTATTAATAGTTTATTTATTAAGCTAACTTTAATATTGCTATTATATGGGAGCTTAAACTCTTGATATTAACCCTTTATATAGACTTTCCTCTTAAAGATAATGCACAGGGGAAGTGCATAACCAGTAGAGTTGATATATTTAATTAAAATAACTTATTTATAATTATCTGGCTGTATAAGAGAGGTCGTCTTATAATAATTAACTCTAATAATTATTTATATAGTAATTATTAAATTTATAATAAAATTAATCTTGTTAAAATTATAAATATCTTCTTATATGATCCCATACTGCATTATAATAATTTATATATGATTAAATCAATCTCTAATAATTTTAAGATCTTCACGTTTAGCATATTAATAATCATATTATCTTAAGAAATGTGTTTTCAACTAATCTTGTTAATTAATAAAGTTGTATACCTATTTCTCTCTAATAAATTAAATTAATATAGTACCACACTAAGCAAATAGAATATTAGCTATTTTTTATATATATAAAAGTTAGAAAGGTGCTTCACATTGATCCAGTGAGAGAATCTATCATATAAATAATTCCTCTTCATTTTGAGTTATTTTATGGTTGTTGACACATTTTTCTACTCATTCTCAGCTTGTAGAACCTTGATTTCTTGTTAAAAAAGTAGATTTATATTTATTATTATCTATATAACTTTCTTAAGATATTAAATATAAGATACTAGACTATTAGAAAATTTCTTTTTTTAAATGCTTCTCTGCATGCTGCAGATCTTATGATTAAGCTAATAAAAATTCTGAGATATTTGAAAAGTAGAGAATATTGAATCTTTAACTTTAATAAAAAACAATATTAGTGTACAAAGCTAAAAAGTAATCTTTTTAAGAACTTAATTTTTATTAAATAATTTAAGACCAACACCTGTAAAGCTATTAGATATATTTCTTTAAGTAAAGATCTTATATACAGATAAATATAGATAGAGAAAGCCTTTTTTTATTAATATAATTATTATTCACAGCCATTATCTCCTCAGTTAATTTCTTATATGTATATTTAAGTGGCCTAAAAACACCAACATCGAGTGGTTGAAGAAGATAGGAAGTATAAAAAGATATATAAAAATAGATTATTTATATTCTTTTTATAAAAATTATTAAATTTTATAGTTAAATAATTAAAATAACTATTAAGAATAAGTAACCTCTTTATACTAATTAAATAATATTTTAATTATAATTTAAATATCTCTTTTAATTAATAAAGACTAATTTTATCTGTTGTCTATATATTCTAACTTTTTATAATAATATAGCCTTTATCAAAGAGAGTATATACTTATTCTTAATATTAAATATCATAGTATTCTTTTATTTTTAAGATAATCTATAAAGATATATAGATCTTTTTTAAACTTATATATTTAATAATTATAACCTATTCTTAATTTTTTTAATAATTTTTTAAGATCTTTCACTATATTCCACTGCAGTGATCACCTTAAAGATTAAATAAAATCTTATTATAAAGTTAATTTTATCAAAATTCTAGATATTATCTTTATAAATATTATATTTTTGAATAGCTTTATATACAGTAATAAATTATTATCTTATAATTATTAGATCCTCCTACTTTTATATGTTAATATATAATTCTTTAATTATATTGTGTATATGATGCTGAATAATATTTAACAAAATTAGATGTTTAATTAACACTAATAGTTGTGATAGGATCCTAGGTATGCTTATAAAGTAAGATCTGTGCCATTCCATGCAGAAACTCTGGTTAAATTGATAAGCCTCATTTATCTGTATCTAACAAATGCTTGACCAGGACCTCTTCTTCATAAGCTGTTAATTTATGGCAATTCACATGCATTTCTGACCTTGATTTCATTCCCTTAAGCTGATCTTGAAAGGTTGACTTTAGTACACCAAATACTCTGGCAGCTTTTGATTGATATTGGATTTGCTTATTTTTATACACATGTATGGCAATTTGCATTCAGTTTTCTTGAGATAAAGGCATTTTGAATGGTGGTGGTGGAATAAAGTTGCGTCGAATAATGCTTGATGGTGGTACTAGGGAAAACTGCTGACTCAGTTGTGGATCATGTTAACTGTTTAGGGTATATTTTAAATTAAAATTATTTTTAATATTTATTAAATAAGTCCTATTTAAGAAAAATATAACTTGATAATAATTAATATCTTGTAAAAATACCTCATCTCTCCTACCTTATCCTTAATGTATATCAGATATCGATTTAAATGTGAAGAGGAAGATTAAAAATTCGGAGACTACACTTTTGGGTTCTATCTCTTACCTAATCCAATATTGATTTCATCCTAGTTGAAGTAGAAATTAATTTAATAATAAATTAAGTTTTTATTTTATTACTGTAGAAAAGTTTCTTTAATAAGAATATTCAGAAAAGCTTAGTCTTAACTTGAAGTTATTTGTTATTTAACTAAGGCTCCTACCCTAGTTAATGCTAAAATCTCGGAATTCTGAAGGATATAGCGGGGGT